ATTCTGGAGTGGCGGTCCAAATATCAGAGGCGGCATGAAGTTTGTTATAGTAAATGGTGGCTTCTCGTCTTTCACGAATTTCCACACTGCCTCCTCTGCGACTTTTTTGCCGACACAGTAGGAGATCTGATAGGATTTTTGCTGCATGTTAGAGAAAGATTATGCCAAAGATAGTATAAGGGAGGACGAACATAGCTATCTTGCGCTTTAATAGCATCCGCTCTATCCATGTGTAGCCACTGGTCATTGCTTAATGCTCGACTTTCTACGTCTTCCGCATTACCAAGGGCAATGGCGTTGATACTACCCGTTATTGCAATAGCTTTGACCTTCGAATATGTTTTTGCAGACTTCAGTAACCCGGTATTCCCGAGAATAGATGGTTCCTCAAAGTGTTTGACAAAATCGGTGTTTTTCGGGTCATCAAGCAGCGGCGCTGCGACATGGATGACGTAGTCAATCTCACTATGTTCATTAAAGATCGAGTCGAAAGCACCTGTCTTTGTAAAATCGGGCACCACTTCGAAGGTGACATGTTCTGCCCATTCTGGATGGGTTGATAGTATCCGGTCGGCCGACGATAAGGAGCGTACGATTGCAATAACCGCATGCCCATGCTGGATCAACCGGGCCAATACTGTAGCACCAACAAACTCAGAGGACCCTGTCAAAAGTGTCAGTGGCATAGTAAAGCCGAGACAGATATCCAATAATTCTGTGATCGATCAAAATGATTAGGGCGTAGTAGGCTTAACTTGAGTTGTCTACTAAACATGGGATATATACGTAGCTTTTATTACTCTACGGCATTCCATAGCCTGCACGACCATAATATGACATCTACACTCTAATATCAGAAGCAGAATATTGTCCAATGGCGTTGTTTACTCTGTCAAGAGACCAAACTTGTTCCCTAAAGAGCCGCTTAGTTTGGAACCTTACGCTGTTTAGAACACCGATATTTCCCGCCGTCACATATGATATATTCAGACCTCGAATCAAGCCAAAACGTCCTAGTAATACGATGCGCTCCTCAGTTTCAGCGCCTAAATAAGATAACGAATCCTTATTCTCGTGGTTCAACGAAACAGCCTATATGCTAATGTAGAGCTACTAATAATGACGTCATCAATTAATTTAGTTAACTTTAGCAGCTGTTCTATGTAAAATGTAATTGTCATTAAAGGTCTAGACTCCGTCCTGCGTAAGTGCCATATATCCAACTTAAGTCATATATACTTTGTAAACGAATGAAGAGTCTGAGTTGCAAATTCTATTAATGATAGTGAACAAAATGTCGACAGATCAAGAGAACAAAACCATGATTCTGGTACATGTAGTCGTGGAGCCACAAGATATACCCAAATTCCTGGCGGCCTTTCATACATGTTTTGAGGAATGCAAAAAAGAGCCCGAACTTGAGAGATTCGAAGTGTTCGACATTCCGGCTAACAAAGGGGAGTTCTACTGGATTGAGACATGGAGAGGAGATAAGGAATGGTTTCTTAAGGTGAGTGAGATTTAGCACAGAGAAAGGACAGAACAAACTCATTGTTTTGCCAAGGTACAAATGAATCGTCCATACTACGAGCCCTATCTTGCGGAAACCCAGCCTTTGTGGGCTAAACCCCGTGAGTATACGGCACAACTTGGTAAGATTATACAAGCGTCTAACCAGAGGCCTGCCTGAATAGGCACTATCAATTTCCTTGAACATATTTCACATTTTCCGTCTTTCCAAAAGCAATTTTAGGACTGGAGTCCCCGAACATAGTCATGGAATTATTATGCGTAGAAAATTCCCCTCGAGGTGCCCCTAGTGGACAGTGTCAACCACTCTCTTTTCTATGGTCATCCTTACTCTCAGCATCCTTTGAAATTCCTCGTACTGTCAAGGTGTACATACTCACCAATTAACATATTGAGTACGAATTATAATACAGATGCAGCTGTGTGCCTGGGTTGAGGTTTGCCTTGCCATAGTCGATAGATACATCCTTGATGATAGACTGTGAGTGAGGTTAGATCCTGCAGTCTATTTCATTGGGAAAGAATCGGCCAGGACCACCCATTAAACACATCAGCGCTGCATTTCACCACACAACGATCTGGCACTTCGAGGTTTAACTCGTAACCCGCCGAGAAGATGATAAGGCGATAAGCTCGTGACTCTCGATCGTCTCCCTAAAACTGTAACCCACAACAGAACTTCGATTCAATAGCTTCCTTCCGACAAATAGTCTGGATAAGGAAGGGATCGTCTGTCGGGTCATCAATTCGGAAGCCGACGCCCAATCATTTACCGCCAACACGCTCACGGCGCACGCATAGACACAAAAGGGTAGATTTGGGGGCCGCACTACGCCTTGAATTGGTGAAAAATTACATAGCGTCCCAGATACCCTGCTGAGGGCACGACCTCTTTGCTCGAAATTCAGAGTACACAGTTTCAACCTCCTCAATATTAGTCGTGGATCCCATTTCTACATCGTCAAGGAGAAGTGGAGATTCAGTTTTCAGAATGTCATTTGCCAGCCGCTATTCCGACGTGCTCCGCACTTTGGGAAGCAACACCATGGTCCAGCTTCTTTGTGAGGAAGGGACGAATATATTCCTCGCTGACAAGGATAGATGTACTTCCCTTCTTCTCGCTGTCCAGGATGACCATACTTTTGTCGCGTCACGGTTGGTAAAAATCGGCGTAGATGTCCGGGCAACAAATAACTCCGGGGCAAGTGCATTGCACTGGGCAATGATAAACAACAATTGAACATGGTACAACTGCTCATTGACAATGGGGCTGACTGAGGCGGAGCAAGTCTTGTGGTCGAGAACTCTGCGGATTGAATCTGCAAAATGTGGGAGCCAATTACCACGAGCAAAGGTAAGGAAGGCATTTATGATAATAAGATTGAATACTTATATCTTTAATAAGCCCCAAATTCAGTGAGTCGAAGTAGGCATCGCATTCCTATTGTTCACAAGACGGTTGGATTTCGAAACAAGAAAGGGATAAACAAGACAGCTGAGGTTTATATCGCTAAAAGCTCAGCGGCTGTGCTTATCAACTGCTGCCTAAGACCGAAGGTGATGGAAATAGTTTTAGAGTTTATTCACCATTGCTGATGGTAGTCTTGTATGACGGGAACAGACTCCAGAGACTACAGCTGAAGAAGACTTCCACTGAATCAACTGCTGAAGCTACTGAATAGCCTGCCGCAGAACCTTCCACCGACGACCCAAAGGCTGAGGATATATTTCCCACCCAGGGCCTGAGAGATTTAGGTCGACTCATATCGACTCGAGTAGAAACCAGACTACTGTAAAACTTCTCTTTTGTACCGCTGATCTGGAAAAGAATATCACTTACATCTCCGAAAAAACGCTTATGTTTAATGGTTTCAAGTTTCCACGCCAATTCTATTCCAGAGCAGACCGGGCAAGAGGCTTCCAATCCATCTGGTCTCTTCTGCACCCATTATTTCACAATGCAATCTGTATGATATACACGGCCGCACTCTAACTTGCACTTTCCAGTACCAGCGATAACGAGTAACTCATGACAAATCCAACATTTTTCTCTTGAACCATCAAACGCCTTGTCCAGTAATAATTTCAAACAGACACACAGACTACTCGTTGTTTGGATCTAGAGTGAGAGTCTCACGGATTTGGTGTTTCCACTACATACACACAGAATCTTCAAACTAGAGAGAGAAGAGAAGAAGAAAAGGAGGAAGGACATCAGGCAGTCTAAATACAGAGAGGCAAACAATGCAAACGAGACGATGTGATTCGAGTTTTTCCTTCAGGTCTTTACAGCTTTGGTATACTGTATTTATTTTTGGGCAGAGCCAACTTCTACCTTGTGTTCATTGTCTCTATTTTGACCAAAATTACTATAATTATTGTCCAAATGCGCACTTATCTTTCCATCGCTGTCCCCTTAACAGATAACATGGTCTTGGGTCAAATAGGCGCATGCTCACCAGAACTTGATAAACTATTACAGACTCAAAAGCATAGGAGAGAAGAGAATGCAAGTAAACAACGTCAAGACATGTTAGCGTCTCTTCCTAATTTCCGTAAGTTCCACATAGGCTCTCAAATGCCCTTGACCGGTATTTCAGAGGAAATTCACCATATTTGTCCTCTCCGTTCGTATTTCGGCGCTTTTAGTTCGTCTCGTTTCTTATCGTTTTTACTTTTCCTTTAACTTCATCAAGCTTTTTCTTTGTCAATAGATGCAGTAGCAATCGATCATGGTTTTCGACAAGACGCTTCACATTTCAGCTTGTGCGTCGGCACCATCGGTGATGTACGCAGCGCTCGGCGCAAATATACCCGGTACAGACACAAGGATGTCAAAATCTACGATTAGACGCCTCCTACGGACATACGAAATCCGAAATGGAAGTCAAAGAAGCAGATACTGTTAAATAAGGAGACTGCGAAGAAAAGACTCGCTTTCTCCCGTCAGTGGGGTGGCTTTAGGGAGTGGGGAAAGTTCATCTTTTCTGACGAAAGTAACGTACAACGCGGATCGTCCGATTCAATTCGTCTTCCGCTTCCAAAACGAGGCTTTTTTTTACAAGGGTTTGTAAACTTGACTTGCCATGGGCAAGATATCTCGCAAATGAGTTGAGGTAGATTTGGATTGGTGGTAGGTCCAAATTAGTAATCATGGAACGCGATCCTAAGCTCTTCGCGACGGATATACCTCGATCTCTTATACCGACGCTCTTGATGATGGTTTAGTCGAAAATTTATTCACCTGATTCTATCTCCCAGCAAGGCGCAACGGGTGGGAAGGGGCAGCGTTGTGCATCGCGCCTGCCTCTGTTCCAGATGCATCGCTTGACCTACCCACCGAGAGATCCGGCATGGTCCGCCAGTCACTCGAACCCTCAATGATTCAGGATAATGAACCTGCACGATAAAATTGGCGGATACGCTCTAAATGACAGGCCAGGCTTTCGCGTCCTCGACATTAAGGACAGCTAGCGCCGCAACATCAAAGCGGTAAAAATCCGCCGCCCACTCTCGTCATGGATGCACCGGATCCACATGATCCGCCTGAGCTCCGTTCGCGTCTCTGCCCACAACAAGTCAGGCGCCGCGATGCCGGCCCAGAGCTCCCGAAGCCACCGCTCCCTGATGCTACAGACGGTCGCGCCGCAGACAATTACCAGCCAGCGCAAGACGGGTCGCAGGCCTGAGTTTGTTGAAGTTGGTGCTGATATCGACTGCGATGCTGATGCTGACGCTGCAAGACTGCTACATGCGCGTCGGAGGTGGTCCGCCAGGTGCTCGTAGGTTACCTGCCGTCCTGGGACCCGGAACATTGTCGTCAGAAAGGCCAGCAAGCCCAGACATAGCCATTCTCCAGGCGTGTCGACCAGTGAGTCCTTGAGATTCAGAAGGCGAGTCTGAATCGAGCTGATGATGGGCTGGAACTCGCTCACGCCTAGTCGCATATTGGTGTCCGTGTGTATGTTGATCAGCTCCGTCAGTTGCTGCAAGTCCTGAAAGACAATGATGAGTCTGGGGTCCGTGGACGCTTCAAAGAGAGCCAGCGACAGCTCGACGTCCACGGATGGCGACGGGCGCGTAAAGGCCGGATCCCACGACACGGGGCTCTTGAGAAATCGTGGCGCCCCTCCCGCTATGAGGCACCACATTAGGTCCAGGCACTCGAGCTTAAACTGAGTGACAGGGTTCTTCCAGAGGTGCCCAAGGCCATCTCGCATCTCTACGAGCCGTTGCAGGCCAGCCATGTGCGCATTACATGCGTCGTGGTCGCCGCTAGTGCTAGAGGCAATGGCCAGGAGCATGACTGTATAGATAGTCGTGTCGTCCAGGTGCGCGGCCCCCGCTGCCAGCTTTTTGTTGAGCAGCGCCAGCGCCCTCCCTAAATGGAAGTGTGACGACTTGGCCAGCGGCAGATTTTGCGCCCAGTCGTTGATGGTTGAGTTAACGAAGAGAATGGTGTGGAGGAACGACCTATCAAAAGTCGGCCAGATGAAATCCAAGCCTCTATCGTCGTTGAAGTCGACCACAATCTTGACGAGCGGGTACGAGGCTTCGGTTATGCGATTGAAAGTAATGACTGAATAGATGTTAGTCGGATTCGCGATCTAATCGAGGAGGCAGTCTTACACTGTCGTATCAGCGACTCGGATATTTGGCCGACCGCATTCGCAAAGTGATCGACGACTGCTCCAAAAGCAAAACCTCGAGGCGCCTGAGGTGGATGAGCCCACGGGCGCTCGTCTGGCGACTCTGACCTTTGCTTTACCCGCCGCAGGATCGTCGTAGAAATGGATGTATTTTCTCTTTGAGCCATAGTTGAACTTGGTCGGCCCTTGATAGTAGGGACAGCGCTCGTGTCAACATTCGTACTGGCGACGTGTTTGGCTGTCCGCCTGGCGTCCCGGTTTGAGCGGCGGGATCCCTCGCGCTTGTTCCGGCCCTTCATGCAGTGACTGCGGACCTGGGACCTGTCGGCGGGCGTCTGCTTTTCAGCCCCGCCGTACGTGACAAAGGCGAATTGCGTCGTCATGGTCACTGTTCATTGTACTTTGCTTCGGCGGTTAGCGCACATATCCCATCGAATCCGGACTCGGGTCTCGGAAGAGATGAGAGCGATGATGGGTAGTCGTGGTTTGTCCAGCCTATGCGGGACCAGAATATATACCCAACATGGCCTTGTGTAGGAACCGAGATTGAAGAATTAGACAAGCGACCAGATGGTTCTCCCCTTTGGGAGGGCCTGGAAGAAGCGGACGGCAGAGGGATCGGCGCTGACGACAGAGCCGTAAGCAGGTGCACGGGCCACTGACCACATTGTTTGCCCTTTTTGGAAATGACCCGAAATCTTAGTGAGAGTGAAGCCGAATCGAGGATGATGAATGACGGGATTGCGGTCTAGGGTTCCTCCGCGATGCTGTTTCATACGATAGATCTGCTATTAGGTGAATAATTCCGAATAGCATTGACACGATGTCTTTTCCTAGATGTGGCTATAAAGACAGCCTCCAAAGCTCTCTTCTCGCCCCACCCGCTTCATCAAGAGCCATCCCACCAATTCTCCTCGCTGCTATCTCTATTATTTGCGTCTCGTCATACAGCAAGAGCCAAAGAAAAAGACTTCCAACATCATGGCATCAATGGCCCTTCTACCCTCTACGGCCTCGCCGCTACAGGCCTTTGTCAGGGCCCAATTTCTCACAAAGCCAGTCCCGCCGCCTCTGTCAACGTGCCTTGGCGGACAGACGGCCATTGTGACGGGAGCTAACACCGGTATTGGTCTTGCTGCGGTTGGCGGCCTTCTCAAATGCCATGCCTCCCACGTCGTTCTGGCGTCGCGATCGGTAGAAAAGGGAGAAACCGCCGCTGCTCCGCTCCGCAAGCAGTACCCCGACGCTCGGATCGAAGTGTGGCAGCTTGACATGCTGTCTTATGAGTCTATCCAAGGCTTTGTCAAAAATTGCAGCAATCTCCCCCGTCTCGACAAGGTCATCCTCAACGCAGGCGTGGCCATGGCCGATTTCGTCATCAACAAGGCGACTGGCCACGAGTCGACTTTCCAGGTCAACTACCTATCTACCGCGCTCCTAGCCATCCTCCTTCTTCCCATTATCAAGTCGAAGCGACAGGCCCAAGGCCCGGGAAGAATCACAATAGTCGCCTCTGGGTTGGCACTCCAGTCCAAATTCGCCAACCGCGACGCCAACCCTCTCATCCCGTCGTTTGACGATCCTAAGGGCTGGGGAACTGCGGCCGCACTTGAGCGATACGGTCTGACCAAGACGCTGGTGTTGATGCTGGTTCAGAAGCTCAGTGAGAACGTGGAGCCCACCGACGTCGTCATCAACGCTATAGAACCGGGACTAGTCGGGGGCTCTGGTCTCCAACAGCACGCTCCCGCGTATCTGCGGGCCGTCTTCCGCTTTATTCACGCAATTGCAGCGCGATCAACCGAGCAAGGGGCCTGGGCGTATCTGGATGCAGTTGCGGTAAAAGGCCAAGAAAGCCACGGTGGCCTGGTGCTGAACTGGGACCTCCATCCGTTTCACCCCATGATGTATGAGCCAAGCGGCAAGAAGATCACAGAGAGATTGTGGGAAGAAACGATGCAGGAGCTGAGTTTTGCTAAAGTGCAGGGTATCATTGACTCTTTGCACAAGACGCATTGATGAGGCATTTGTTGCATGTCGCTGGCGTTGGGGGGATTTAGGCCAATCTTAGAGTATTATTAATTGCAACATGTTTTTCAGTGGCACTCTCTGTCCCTTCCTGCGTTACATGGGTGATCGTGATATTTTGTTGCAGTAAAGATATCAGATGTTCCTGGAGCAGGATTGAATGAGAGATGGTCCTTGTAATTTTCACACTTGATAGTTGTTCCAGGCTCCAATCCCCTGGAGTTATACGCTCGCCAGGTGGCCAGGTGAGCTAAAAAGTGGTAATTCCTAATAATAATAAAAAATTAAAAAACTACTATCTACTAATAGTTGCTCGTAGTTGGTGATTTTCCATAGTATTTACTATCTCAAAATAAATTCCTTCTTCAGTTCTCCGAGAGGGGAAGCTTGATTACGTATATCAGTGGGATGCAGACAATGCGGTGCTAGAGAGTAGAAATGTAGTGGATGCTAAACTCAGACATAATTTTGGCGCTAGAAAAGGGTTTCGGATTTTTGTCGCGCTTCCCAGGTGGTGACCTGGCCCTTCAGAGGTCATGAAGTGATTTCCACTTCGCGTTCTTTTGTTTGAAATAAAGGGTGTGGTGACTGTCACTCTGGGCTGGAAATCCTCAACCGAAAGCTGGTCGTAGTTTTCAAGAGTTGTAGTTTATTTTTAAAGACGACTCAGAGCCCAACTCACAAGGCAATATAACCCTAGAGTTTCTGTTGCTATTTTTGGACTCTAAATGCCGTTGCAGGCATGTAAATGCCGCTTTGATTACGCCGTCCGCGGTACGCGGTCGCGGAAACGGCATCATTGTCAGCTTAAATCCGACGAATTGCCCCTTATTGAATGTCTTGTCTCATTCACACCAAGGACCTATTTTAAGGCTTCAAGAAAATAGTTAGGTTTGTGTGGTTTGTGAACAATCTGAACAGTGGGAGATTATGCTAACTCCATTCTGCCTGCTAGAATAACAATGGCAAGCACCGAACAAGCGGGTAATTACAAGCAGGGCTATTCTAGCCAAACTGTCGCAACCCAACAAACTCGCACAGCTGAGTCGGAGGCTGCCTTTTTACTGCCATACATCAAACGGACAGACTTCATTCTCGATGTCGGCTGCGGTCCTGGTACTATTACCGCGGGCTTTGTCAAATACGCTAGTGAAGGAAGGACCGTCGGCGTTGATATGTCGGCAAAGGTCTTAGGCAGGGCCAAGGCAGTGGCCGATGATTCCGGCATTCCTAAAGAGGGGCCAGGCTCCATTATTTTCGAGGAAGGCAATGTCCTGGAAGGGCTCACGTACTCAGACAATACGTTCGACGTCATATTCTGCTCTCATACCTTTGGGTATATGCCGCCACCAGACATGCCTCTTAAGGCACTCACCGAGATGCGACGAGTACTGAAACCCGGAGGAATCTTAGCCACGCGTGATACCGTCGAACAGCACTTTTACCCGCGGAGCGTGGACCTCGACCGTCTCTGGGTGGGGAATTTTCGCCGAGCGGTGCTCAAAGGGGATACTGAAGCAGATCTTTCACCGCCTTTTATGCCGGCTTTGTTTCGTCGTGCGGGTTTCGATGCCGACGGGGGCAAGGTTCGTATCGGCACCGGAAGTACGGCGTTCTCGGGAGCAGATACTCGGCAGTGGCTAGCCAAGCGTGCTGAGAGCCAGTTACAGCCCGGCGACCCCTTACACCAGAGCTGGCTGGAGGCTGGCATCACCGAAGACGAGATACACGAGACGCTGCACGCCTCGAGAAGATGGGCCGAGATGGAGGATGCTTGGTATGCGGCATTGCATTGCGAGATGCTCGCATGGAAGTAGCTTAATGAATGCTTTCCTTGGCCAACGAACAGTGTCTGATGATCAATGGGAGCTATACTAGAAGATACATCAATTGTCAAACATATAAATCCTCGAAGTCAAGAGAATTTTGAGGTTTAGATGATCCCACCTAGTCAGCTAGCTACAATGCTGGTCGAAAATAAGCACAGAAGATCGCACTGGATTCAAATCTGCACCTACGGAGATGGCACCCACCCTAGCATTATGGTTTTCTATATCTGTTATGATGAGGTTCGGGATGATTCCGTACGTTTCACTAGACTCGTACAATGTTATGAATAGATATTGTCAGTATAATGCCCCTTGGGTAATTTATTCAGCCGCCGCATCCTACCGAATTACTCATCCAATCTACCCATATGGCAACTGTGCCCCGAGCTGGATAGTTGGATAGATCACATTGAGCAGAGTTTTTCCGCTTCTCTGCCCCTATAAATATGGACATGATAGCTAGACCTGAATACCATCGTTTTCAATCGTCGTCACATGACACTACCTAGTAAATTTACTAGTGAATACCAGAAATCCAGACTCCGACAGATATTGCAGCCGGGCTGGCGCTCGACAGCCACGAGATATATTTTAGCCTTACAGACAGGGCATCGACATGGTTGGAGGACGGAACTACTGTATCGTAGAATCTACCATCATACACATGCTCAGCATACAGAAGAGAATACGGCGTTCGATTGCTTCATTATTCTACTCAGTTGGTGCACTCGGCTCTGCGCTGGCCGAATTCCATCCTGATTTTCCTGTCGCAGATAGTGAAGATCAAGCCTGACGAACGGGGTTCCTTTGGTCGGCTTCTATCCTTCTCCGCCTCCGTTCCTCCTCGTCTTCTTCTCTTCCTTTCTCTATCAACAGACGGGGACGGTCCGGATATAGCATATGAAGGACCTACGCAGGTTGGCAGGAGGCGCATGCAGTGTTCATCTGACCGCAGGGCACAGTTTCTGTACGACAGTAAAGGTAGAAGGACCGCATAGCCAGAAGGCTTGGATGTTAGACCCGCGGTGCGTGAATAATAATAACAAAAATACTTAAACCGTTTTTCAAACGATGATCATGGAATCTAACTAGTGCTGGGCCTTGTATTCCTTCAACCACGCCACGACAAACTTGGCTTCCTGCTCTTGGGCCTTTTTAACAGGAAGTGGAGGCAATTTAGGTGTCATTTCATTTCGGAAGAGGCCATTCTCATCCCAATGATGGACGGCTCCTTCTATCAGAATGCGCGGCTCGCTCGGCGTGCTTGGCGTGTTCAGATACGGGTCAGCGAGCGGTGTCACCGGTCGCCACGGATCTGCCTGCCCACCGATCTGCGCCAGACGTGGATAGGATATTTTAAAACCACCATATTTGTTAATCTGCTCCGTCTGGGCTGGTTTCTTGATGCCAAAAGCCTCGCGGCAAATGGTGCTCCCATACTCGATGGTCTGAGTGCGGGAGATCAGGGGTAGTTGGTTCTTGGGCACAGTCGAGCCGACCTGGAGAAAACCCCACTGAGTGCAGTACTGATACGGCCATGACCGCCAAGTCTGGGTGATGTCATCTAATTTGTAAAATGTGTCGTTGCGAAGGCTGAAGTACTCGCTTTCGGTGTAGCCGGCTTCCAGAACTGGCTGGATTTGAGTGTAGTTCATCCAAGCTGCCCAGTTTAGTAGATGAGGGGCCAAGCTGGCAGCCTGCTCTCCGTATCCGCCAGCACTAATCAACTTCTCAGCGGTGGCCTTCTGGCTGACATAATGAGGATATTTAATCGTGCTCGAACTGAGGTTCGTGCAGTAGTTATCGAAGTCCGGGTCGTTGACTGCCGGATCCCAGTTCCGGTCTTGCCAGTAGGAAATGCCGTAGGAGATCGCACTCATAAAGTCATCGTCATATTTGAGCTCTTGAAGGTTGAAGAGCGCCTTCAGCTCAGTAATGTAGCTGTGATTATGAAAGATGATGTTGTCCATTGCGTGGGTGAGTGTCTGAGTAAGGTTGATGCACGGTTGCGGACCGTATTGCACAATCGGATTGAAATACTCCCAATAATTCCACTGAGCCTCAGAAACGCCTGAGGAGGAGATGGCACCAAACCATGTGTCCGGATAGAGCTTGCGGAGGAAAGCAGCATAGGCACCCGCATAGGAGCCACCATAAGCGATGTATGGTACGTTACTGGCAGTTAAATTGAGATGTTCTAGGCCAGGGAACACGATATTGTTGGCGAAATACGTCGTGTCGGCTAGAGACTGATCCGTGGTCAAGAACCGCAGGTTCTCTACAGACAAATCCGGGACAGGGAAAGACTCTCCGTAATACCGGTGCTCGAGAACGACTCCAAGTCCGTTTGTTGCTTTGGCGAGTTGGTATATTATACCTGATCAATAGCATTAGAAGGGCATTGTAATCACAAGATAAGGCGCACCCTTCTGCAGATACGGTAATCGGTCGTCACCAGCGCTTTCACCGGAGCAAAGCACTAGGACGGGGCCACCGGGCTTGTAGTAGGTGGAGTCAAACCAGTAGCGAATGTTGAAGAAGCCATCTGAGTGTGGTTCGTAACGGCTCTCGTTGTGGAGATGGTCAATTGGTACGGAGAAGTTGTAGGCTGGATACAATTTGACAGGGCTCACAGAGCCAACGGCAGGCGCCTTGCTCAGCTGTTATTCTGGTCAGCACTAGTGGTCGGACCTGTGACACGATGAATTGCTTACAAGGAGCCGCGATTGCAGTTCACCAACGGGCAATGAACGTGCCGCCACGTAGCCAGTGAAGCTGGCGAGCAAGAGATATAGGCACTTGAGCTCCATGGAAAAGCTAGATAGAACGCAAAAGTGGGACACGACTGCTGGGGAGGAGCAAGTTACGGCCCAGCCAATTTATTTTCGAGATTGAGGGGTTCGCTTAGCGTACTTCGATATTTAGTTTAGCTTATCACGCAATTAGTAAATACGTTTACTACTACCCTACCCCTCTCTGCAGTGGGAGGACCAGGTAGCATTTTCTGCTTAAGCAGGTTTAACCGGGAGTTACATTTATTACATAAAGTTTCAGGCCCTCGAATAAATGTAAGGCTCGGTTAGGATCTGATATGTTATTGTTCGTGACCTACCTAATCTGGTATGTAGGTGACTATATATACCCCACGGGGATCCTCTAGGTAGTAGAGAGGTAAGCTACTGCGACTACAAATAGCTGGATCTTTCCTACTGAAGACAGATGGAAAATAGTACATGTTTTCAGTGTTTCCAAGGAAAGATAAGTATCAGTCTTCTCTCTCTATGCATCGTCAACATAAACGCAAGAACTAGGTGTCTACTAACAAGTCTGCATTTGTGTGCGGGGTATTCTTGATACCACCTACCAATATCCGTTGCGATGACGAGAGAAGCAATTTTCGGTGGATGCATTTCGCTCTGCCGCATGTCAACGAGGGTCAAGTAGATTATATAATTTTTAGCAGACAAATTTAGACAAGACGACGAAATATAAATACCCAAGTAGCACCACTTTTCCTTCGCGGAACCTCTAGCGACACTCACGATACTCAAACTTAGTCATGTGAATCTGAAGATTGTACCATTCAGTTAGCAGAGACGCAACAAAAACGCAATTGAGGATAAATTGATTATGACATTCCACCTCCTCCTCCCACCCGACGGAGCTTCGACTCAAAATCTACGAATATGCAGTGGCAGTACCAAACGAATATCTGAATAAGCCACTGATTGTGGTCCACAACAGAAGCAACGTCTGTACAGATCGCGGATAATATAGGGCTCTATCGATGTGTCCTGGCTGGGTAGACGAGAACAGAGCAGCACGCAAGCTCCTAGCCGTCAACCACCAGATCCACGACGAGGCTGAAGACTACCTATTCTCACAGAACACGCTATTTTTCCGCAACGCATTTGATCTCAGCCGACTAGGAGACTTTCTTGTCACGCTCGAAAAACCCGCGTGACGACACATCCGCAACGTCGGCTTCGAGGTCTTCTTCTATGTACACGCGCAATTCGGCACGCCCAAGCGCACACTTAGACAATATGAGCGTGCCACACGGCTCTGCAACTAAATAAAACGTGAGGACAAGCAGTGGACGGATGTAGATAAGATGATAACTTACCAGTTCCTGGAAACACGAGAATCATCCACGTCAATGAGAGTGCAGAAGGTAGTTATCGACAAGATCTGTGAATGTTAGTAATGACGTGAGACTCGGGATATCTAGGTTGAGGGCGTACCGTCCAGCCAGTCCCACATATATCACATAATAGTGCAGTCAGTGAAAGAATCGGGCTCTGGGACTTGCATGGTGCCTTTAGTAAAATCAAACACAAACCCAAGTGAGTCAAGATACATCACTAATTTTGAACGGGTTAGCGGAATACAACAATCAAATCAAGGAGAGCTGCTCACCTAATGCAAAAAACATCAGACTTTCCGCATTAGAGAAGGTAAGGTCTGGCGACTGTAGTGCTAATTGCTGCACACCAACCCAGCCATAAGCAGCCTGTTCTACACCATTGGTGGTATGGTACTTTCGAACTTGAGCTACAGCAGAAAATTAGCTATCAAGATCAACGCAATCATCCGGCGGGTAGAGAAAAAAGGGCCGAATTTATACCTTTGCCACCTCTAGTGGTGCGACTTAACTCCTGAAAGAGAATAGTGCTCAAGCTCCTAGCGTAGAGATTCAACGTGTAGTCAAATCCCCGCGTGAGATCATCTTTCCATTGTTGCATTGTTGTTTGTGTCCTTTTCATGCCTTTCATGGAATTCGGACAAAGCACAACAACATCCTTCGGAGCAGTTTGAAAATTGAGAATGGTAGCGTCGATATCTCCACTGCAAGCGTCTGGCGATGCCTGTGTCCACGCGCTATGAAGATCGCTCCAGTACTGCTTTTGTCCTCCCGATGTTTCCGATGTTTGGCCATCATGCTTTTCATGAAGAAAGGATAAACTGCACTCGATGTGGACGTTATTCGATCGGATGTCACCAATATTCCATAGTTGTCCTTTTATCATAGAATTCCATAGAAGAAAGGTCAGCGTTTCTGTTCTCTGAATCACCTTACATACCGCTAGGGTCACCCACTTGGAAGAAATTCCGCAACCCACTTATAATATCTTGTGTTCACGGTCAGCTGAGGATCCAGTCGCCAGCCAAAGATGGCATTCAGAGCGTTGGGGATCGTTTGGTTTCGGATCATATCAGCCTCGCTCAAGACCTCATCGTTCCAATGTGTCAGATACCACCTCACGGCTTCGCCGCTTCTTTTCCCCATCTTAGGCAGGATAGGCTCAGCGCGTTGCAAAGCTCTCCGAGAACTTTTGCAGCTGGTTGCTACATCTGCTCTCGGCTCCAATTGTGCTAGAGAAGACACGGCAAAACAAGCAAGGAAGTAGATCCAAAGAGAGTGAACCGTTAAATGCATTCTGGCTGAACAGGAAAGATAATCCTTAGACTGATGGTTGGTTATTTCCCTTAATGCCATTTCTCTCGACTTATATGGAGATCGGGAAGATTTGGCCCCAAAACGTCCCATAGAGTACATCCACACTCCCATTGGGCGAGAATTATTGCTCGGGGCGAAGAAAATAGCTCAAAAACTCACGATATTCCTTCAGGATGGGTTTCATGAGGGCTCGCACAGAGTGAATAAGAATGCGTTTCGATGAGTTGTTTTTTGTGCCCTCTCGCGAACTAATATGTCTTTTGAAGGAAGTAATTACCCACTTAGAAGCGTGGGGGCTATTATTTCTAGATGTATATTTTCACAAGGCCCGTGATATCCTCAGAAAAGTGAATGTAAGCGGCGTTCGACTGCGAACAGTGGGTAATATTCCAACTAAGATCTCATTTCTAAAAGGTAAATGGGATTCATTTTAAGCCTACCCTTAATTTTTGCTCAATCTGTAGAACATTGGCCAACCCTCGGAATGGATCGTTTTATGTCGACCATTTGCTCAAATGGGTTCGACTTGTGTAAAATTCCATTCATTGACAAAACCCAGAAAGAAGGCAGACACTAACTAATTCGAGGGTCTTGCCGTCTGACTTCGTAGACGGCAATTCGGATCCGAATACGCAACATGCAAGCGACTTGAGAGTTGATGAGCATAGATGCTCTCCCTGGGACAGCCAGAATCGCCGTGATGTCCGCTGCACTACTGGAATTTCCCTTATTTTGCATTTAGGATGAAATGATAAAGCGAAAAGAGCGGAAGCGTCGAGCGGGATCTGATTTTTGAACTACGTCCTGAATTGGTCAATTTGGGTCAACCAGGGGCTGATTGAAAGTTCTTTGGAGGTTAATAGAACTTGGATTAATTGATTTAATGACCTCACCCACCGACCTCATCCAACAAAAGGCAGCCGTACCAGCCATCACGATATTTGTCATGAAAACGGAGCCGCTCGAACAGTTCCACTCCATTGACCCTATAGGAACTGGGTTTAAAGGAAATCACAGAACAACAATCATGATCAATCTCCAGCGTGACGGTGACAGATGAAATGTGGATGAAACAAATTCACGAGGCTAAGTTCTTCGCGTTCCCCTCGCGAGACCACGCATTCGCGAGCGGCTAGGCCGACGGCGGGAGTGGGTTTAGTAAAGGGAGGCGGACTCGGTGGTCGAAGACTGGGTGAATTAAGATATCCGTGGCACTGTGAGGCAACAATGCGACCGGCGGACTTGGCGATCCAAGACCTTAGTGAGTTCATACGCAGTGTTTGTTCCTTGACTCTGTTTGGTGGACTTACAGAGCGGCCTCGAAGGCGGCGAACGTATTCTGCCGCCAATTTTGCCACTTCGTGGGAAGATGTGGGAACCACATTATTATTCACTCGGGGACTCCGTCTTTGTCGTCTCTCCTTACCTCCATCCCCTTCATCTCTCCTTCATCCCCATGCCACCTTAATTTTACACACGTGCTCGAGGTAAGCAGGCACAGGAACCGCACTGGAAATCAAAGAATGCTGATGGGGGAAATGTCTTCCTAGTTTCGTGAGAGCTCGAGCAGACACTCAAACCACCGCCATGTCCTCGGTTGGTGCTGACGAGGCTAGCCGTCTCCGGGCGCTTCAGGCGGATGTGCGCGACCAGGATGATCTTGAGAGAGACATTACCCGACAGGTATGCCAACCATCCGAGGGCTCTCACGCATATCACTCACGCCCGATATAGGCAGACAAGGCCCTCGCGGAGAGAGCCGAGGAAAATGACACTAAGCGACTAGAGAAGGCACTTAACGAAAAGGCGTAGGGCACCCTTACATATATTGACCAGGGGAGCTGTGCTGATATAATCCCTAGGAGAGTCGAATCTCAGGTGCGGAACGCGCAGCATCGTCTACGGCAGCCAGTTGGTGCTATTACCCGGCGCCGCATCGAGAACGAGCTGCGAGGACTAGAAGTGCGCAAAAACGGCCTGGCCAAGGATGTGATAGAAATCCAGAATCGCATCGACGAGAGACGCGAGAGACAGGAAAACCCTACAGCGGTCACCGGCTCGGGACGGCAGCCGAACGAGTCTCGCCGTGACTACCTCATACGCACTGGGAAAATCACTCCCTTCGCTGCCGTGAACACGGATTCGAAGAATGGACCGCTTGCCAACCTACAAGATGCCCTCCTCGATGTTGAAGACAGATATAACGAAGACGAGGAGCGTGAACAATTGAGGGACCAACCTACCGCATCACATGTTCATCTCGCGCGGCCTGGGTTCGGCTTTGACGAAGTCAGTGCGGACAATGGTTCTGATAGCACCGTGTCCGGTAAAGGAAAGCGACGGAAGCTCGATTCAAGCCCAGAGGCGAAGAAACGGCCCAGGAGTCGTGTGTCCACTTCTCCCAGCGCAGATTCTTCTGCTAGCTATGTTGCCTCGGAAGATGCCGAGGAAGTGTCTGAGGAGGACAACTTTATGCCAGACACCGTCCCGGCGCCCATGTCTATAAGTAAGCGCAAAAAGGGCGTGTCTGGTGAAGAACTGGAGGACTTGAGCGGTGTCGATGATGGCAACGAAACCGTTTATCAATGTCGCCTGAGCAAGTGGATCAGCAAACGTAGCGCCGCCCGCAAGCGTGTTCAGGAGGATACTCCGGTTAAAGATGAATACGAGGACAACGAGGAATGGCTCAAGCCGCACCCAACCATTCCTGACGAGGTGATTACGAATGGACTTCGTATTCCGGGCGACATCAGTCGTTTTCTATTTGGTTACCAACGAACTGCCGTCCAGTGGCTTTGGGAGCTCCATCAACAGAAGGTGGGAGGAATCATCGGAGATGAGATGGGTCTCGGCAAGACAATTCAAGCCATTGCTTATTTGGCGTCACTGCACCACAGCAAAATGTTCGATAAGCCTGCTCTAGTTGTCTGTCCAGCAACACTCATGGAACAGTGGGTCAATGAATTTCATCGTTGGTGGCCGCCTTTCCGTGTCTCAATCCTACACTCGTCTGGCAGCGGTATGGTCAACCTTGGCAAGGAAACCACCCGCGAGGAAGCACTTACGACCGAGTTGATAGGCAGCTACCATTCGCGCCATTTATCTGTCGGCCAAAAGGCTGCGAAAAAGATCATCAATCGAGTCACTGAGGAAGGACACGTTCTTGTTACCACTTATTCTGGCTTGCAGACTTATGCGGATGTTCTTGTTGATGTTGAATGGGGATGTGCCATCCTCGACGAAGGCCACAAAATTCGGAATCCAGACGCTGGCATCACCTTCAGTTGCAAAGAACTTCGCACCCCTCATCGCATCATCTTATCAGGAACACCTATGCAGAACAGCTTAGTCGATCTGTGGTCCCTATTCGACTTTGTCTTTCCGATGCGCCTAGGGAATTTGGTGAATTTTAAGAGTCAGTTTGAAATCCCCATTCGCCAGGGCGGATATGCCTCTGCAAGCAATCTCCAAGTTCAAACCGCTGCCAGGTGCGCGGAAACCCTAAAAGAAGCTATCAGCCCATATCTACTCCAGCGGTTTAAAGCCGATGTTGCGAAAGACCTCCCGCAGAAGAGTGAACAGGTCATCTTCTGCAATCTCACACAGTGGCAGCGAACCATCTACAGTCGGTTTTTAGAATCGGATGACATGAAGTCCATTCATCTAGGGAAGAGAAACGCCCTTTTTGGCATTGACATCCTTCGCAAAATCTGCAACCATCCGGACTTAGCTGACCACGCGCTACGATCAAAAGAAGCAGATTATGGCAATAGCGAGCGCTCAGGCAAGATGCAGGTGCTCAAAGGTCTCTTAGAAGTATGGCGTGACACCAGACACAAGACTTTATTGTTTGCGCAGACCCGCCAGGTCCTAGATATTCTGGAAAAGTTCATTCGGTGGTTGGGTGATTTCAATTACCGCAGAATGGATGGCACTACTCCGATCAAGGATCGTCAGAGCATGGTCGATCGGTTTAACACAGATCCTAGTATCCATGTCTTCTTACTCACTACCAAAGTTGGAGGTATCGGAATCAACCTGACTGGCGCCGACCGGGTCATCATTTATGATCCTGACTGGAACCCTTCTACCGATATGCAGGCGCGCGAGCGAGCATGGCGGCTAGGCCAGAAACGCGACGTCACAATCTTCCGCCTCATGACCAAAGGCACCATTGAAGAGAAGATTTATCACCGACAGATCTTCAAGCAATTCTTGACTAACAAAATCACGCGTGACCCGCAATCTCGGGAAGGGTTTAACCTCAGTGACCTCTATGACTTGTTTACTCTCTCAGACGAGCATGAAAAGGACCTGGAGACCACAAAGCTATTCAAAGATGCACAGGTTACCTACCGGGAAGAAGCAAAGAACGAACCCGCTAAACCTCGTGCCGGTCAACCCAATCCCCCCCCGAGTCTCCGAAAGAAGACGATATCAGCACTGTCCAGGGCGTCGCCGCCATTGAAGAATTTAAGAACGACTCCGAAGATCCTGAGAAAGAGGGCAGCGTAAAAAGCGCCGAGGACCGGATCATGCAAGGCATCTTCGCCCGGTCGAACGTGCATGCCGCGCTTGAGCACGAGGAGATCGTCAACGGCAAACGTAAAGTGCGCGCAGATCCCAAAATGATCGAAGCCGAAGCCCGCCGCGTCGCCAACGAAGCCGCCGAAGAGCTGCGCAAGGCCGGCGAGACCGCTCGCACTGTCCCGATCGGTCTGCCCACATGGACCGGCCAATTCGGTATCGCAGGCCGTGACCGGTCTGGTGGGAGCAGCAGCTCAGCACGTCCTGCCGGCGCGGGGCCATCGTCTGCGAGCCTCGTTGCCAATCTCAACCCTCGCGCTTCCGTGCGGTCTGCCGATTCCTCCTCTCCCGCGCCAACGCGCATGCCGCGTGGCAAGGACTTTCTGGCCATGATCCGGGACTACATTGCCTCCCGCCGCGGGCCAGTGTACTCGCAGATGCTCATCGATGAGTTTAGCCACTACTGCAATACACCGCAGCGAATCGCAGAGTTCCAGGAGATGCTGAAAAAGGTCGCTACGCTTAGCCGTGCGGCAGATGGACGGGGGAGGTGGACGTTGAACCCGGAGTTTGCTAAGAAGCCTCCTGTGGGGAGGAGGTAGTGTAATGTACGGGGGTGGGGACATCTCAATTAAAGATTCAATAATCAAGTCCTTCACTTGCCCGATGTAGCTCACCTCTCCCAGAGACATCCCAAAAGTACATATCTGGGGCGGTGTGCATAGACACCTCAGGCATCCAATCTCTGATTGTCTGGGAGTTAATTATTGAAGCAACGAGACGGAAAGCATGCACTGCTCGCCATGACGGCTCGTCTGCTGCACCCGGATGAGTACGAGCTGGGCTCGCGGTCGTCCCTTGACTCTGATGGGACGTTCAATCTCGACGACGCCGACTTCGAATCCCAAGCTACGCCACGAGCCCGGTTTCGCGTCCGGCAATCCTGGTGGTCTCGCATCTTATCATCCACCTACTCCGGCTATCGTCGTCTACAGACGAACTCGCGCCCAGTCTTCGCGGGCTCCAAACGTCCAGGCTGCCACCGCCGACTCCTGTGTCGCGGCCGACGCTGTTGCTACATCCATGTCGTCTTTGGCATTATCTTTGCGCTCGTTCTCGTCACCTCCATCCTCCGTCCTTCCTACACCCACCCACCGCCGCATTACGATTTACTGAAAAAGACCGTGCTGGAATCCACATACCCCGGGCGAGGAAACCCTAGAAACGAAAAGGTTTTTATTGCCGCGAGCTTGTATGATCCCGGCGGAAATTTGGCGCGTGGCCAATGGGGCCGACAGCTTCTGCAGTTGATCGACTTGCTCGGGGGGGACAATGTGTTTGTGAGTATCTATGAAAATGACAGTGGGGAAGAAGGGGAGAGTGCATTGCGTGAGCTGGAGCAGCAAATCCCTTGTCCCAAAACCATTGTCGCGGAAGCACATCTGGACCTAACCACTCTGCCCCATGTGACCGTCCCCGGCGGTGACCAACGCGTCAAGCGCATCGAGTATTTGGCACAAGTGCGCAATCGGGCATTGAAGCCACTAGAACAGCAACCCGAGATCCGGTATGACAAGCTTCTTTTCCTCAACGACATCCTTTTCGAACCCATCGATACCCTTCAATTACTCTTCTCCACCAACGCCAACGAGGATGGTATCCCCAAGTACCGGGCGGCTTGCTCCGTCGACTTCGACAACCCCTTCAAATTCTACGACACATACGCCACACGTGATCTCCAGGGTTACAGCATGGGCCTCCCATTCTACCCCTGGTTCGCCACGACTGGGGGTGGTGAGAGTCGCAAGGATGTCCGCGCAGGCAAAGACGCCGTGCGGGTACGCAGTTGCTGGGGTGGGATGGTGGCATTTGACGCCAAGTACTTTCAACAAGGGACGAACAAGCCCAACAACCCCGAGGCAATGGAGAACCAGCCTCCTTCCCCCACCCAAGATATCGTACAGACATCCCCCGTCCGATTCCGAGCAGGCCGTGATCTGTTCTGGGAAGGCTCCGAATGCTGCCTCGTCCACGCGGACATCCAAGACCCACCGACCAACGTTGACGAAATCATCGACACAGGTATCTACATGAACCCGTTTGTCCGCGTCGCTTACGATAGCCGGACCCTGTCCTGGCTGCCTATCACCCGCCGCTTCGAGAAGCTCTACTCCTTCATCCACACAGTGGGCAACCATCTCGTCGGTCTCCCGTGGTATAATCCGCGCCGCACCGAGACTCCCGGCCAGAGCGTGCAGGACAAGGTGTGGGTGACTAATGAGCAGCAGGAAAATGGCGGCTCCTTCCAGATGGTGGAGCGCACTGCGGGTAACGATGGTTTCTGTGGTCGACGTGGCCTTCAGGTTATTGTCGAGGACCGTCAGCCGGGTCAGAAAGGGTGGGAGACGATTCCTACGCCCTCGTCATGATTGAATTTGGATGTTAATATATGTTGAGGTGGCTGCTCCAGAGAGCTGCCAGCGCGAATCTCGATACATAAGATTTTGGGAGAACCCCCAGTCAATACTATAATATGTACTTCTAGCTACCTACCTAGTACTCACTTCGCTCGCTTCATCCACTGCATGGACGTTACAATAAACTTGGTTCAATTTGCCAGTTTGCGTTAACACATATATATTCAATCGAGGCCGAAAGAGGCAACGTAGAGAGCCGCGGCGGCAGCTGCCAATCCCAATACAATCGTGGTGAATTGCACGGGATCTGCCATTGACATGCCATGGGTGTCCGATGTGGCTACGATTGTCCAAGCCTGGTTCCCGGGCCAGGAGGCAGAGCACTCCATTGCGGATATGCTGCTGGGGAAAGTGACCCCGGGAGGAAAGCTGCCTGTGAACTTCCCCAAGCGCTTGGAAGACTGCCCGGCAAACCTGAACTTCCCGGGCGATCTCATAAACCGTGTGGTAGAGTATCAAGAAGGTATCTACATTGGTTATCGCCACTTTGACCGTCTCCCCGAGAGTGTGCTCTTCCCGTTCGGATTTGGTCTCTCCTACACCGAATTTGAGATTGACGCTGAGCGCGTGGAAATCTCAACCCAGGACGTTATTGAAGGAGAGAAGCCATTAAACGTGACCGTGGCCATCCGGAACACGGGCCAGGTCAACGGGAGTGAGGTGGTGCAGGTTTACGCCAGCTTTGGCGACTCCAGGTTTTCAGTCTATCGGCCGACGAAAGAGTTTTGTGGGTTTGCCAGAATCGAACTTGAGTCGGGAACGGAATGAAAGGTGGATATTGCCGTGTCCCCGAGGGCATTTGCGTACTGGAACGACTCCACTAAAAATGGGTAGTCGAGCCAGGACTTTACTCTCTACATATTGGAACATCAAGCACCCTGATCCACGCCACCAGAAATATCAGCGTCCATGGGGCATTGGACTTTAAACCATGAAGATAACAAGGACTCGGGTCGGACTTTTGTGACAGATCATTTATCAGATACCTAACCATGTCGATAGGAATTTTAAGGTAGTCAATACACTTCCGATGGCGCAAATGACGGCCCACTGTTGAAAATCTGGGAGAATACAGCTTTTTGGAAGGGATGTTCTTCTCACATGCTACTAAACTGCTGAAGATCGATATTCAAAGTTGTACTAGGCTAAGGCATGGATCTCGACTACTTCAGGTACGGATTGCAAAATGGGACATAGCAACATAATTTGCTTCAGTGGCTATTTTATCAACGAGGCTAGTAGTATCGAGAGGTGCTACTTGGGCTTCAACCACTTTCGAACACATTTCGGCAACAACCTTAGCGCTATCCTTCTAGATGTGCCTATATAGAAATAGACCTGGGACCGAGTGCTTACAATCACCATGAATATTGCATAAAATGACAAAATGACTGGCTAACACCTTTTAGCAGCCGCTATCGGGTACTTTTTAACCAGTCTGCTTCTCTTCGTTTGCCTCATTTCTTTCTTTCCTTCTAGCTTCAGGATTTTGGTTGATGACACACTTTTCTTCCTTCGAGATTCGTTGCCCCATTGGTCAGACCAGTTTAATATACCTTGGACACTCCCAAATTGCATTTCTCTCCGGAAGCTAAGGACAGCCTGACGCATGGAGTAGACCGCTCTTCGTAAATCACGCGAGATACAAACCCCATAGTGACGCACCCAATTTCTCAAACAGGATCGCGATACCGGAATTTATTGCGTATTGAACTAAGTATCTCATATGCGCTTTCGATAGCTGATCCATCTTCCGCCCAGGGGCGCAGTGCGTCAAGGGCCAGAGTTTGAAGAGACTCAAGGTCCGAAACATATTCCCGTAGAGAATGTGACGAAGCCGAAATAGATAGTATCAGGGCTGAAGCGAACGCGCTACTATTGTCAGCATGGTACTCATAAAGAGCGCCGGCATAGCTTATAGTGAGGACATAAATATCGCTCGGACTTGACTTACCCATGGGACGCTGTGTACAAGTACGGGGTTCTTTTGATCAGCAGCCACCGTACGGAATGAAGATATATTCGACAGCTCGTTATGCATGTCTGGCATTTCTCCAAAAGGTCATGGGGTACCTCAGCTCCCTCTGGCATCGATGTAACTTTAATCACGAATGGTCTGTAAATCTTGTTCATGGAGGACCAATACCGACAACGCAACAAGCACGACTGAATGTTGTCGTCCCGCGTATCTGGTGTCAGGTCAGGCTTGATTGTAGCAGGCAAGGAGTTATACCAGGTCTCGAGCTGGTGAGTGAGCTCATTACAGATATTTCGAAGTGAAGATAGCGTGTCGACATTATTGAAATCGTGAGGTTGAGGCTGGCATAGACCACCGCCGGTATATGTGTTCATGCTATTTGTGAAATTGATCGAGTAATGGATCCGATTTACCAGAGACCTTGCGGATATCTCGGCCAGGAAATACATGATGCTGAGTCTAGGAGGAGTTCCACAGCTCGGAAACAGCATCCTATCGGCAAGGAACTGGATACCGCTTCGTGGCTGGTGGAATTCGGCGAGAACGTCGCTGGGTAAAGGACATCCATCAGTAATCAATACGCAGAAACCCGTTGTGAACCGGGCGTACCATTCCATTATGAAACAAGCCCAACTAAGGCGAATAATCTCCTGTACTCGATATTGAGGTGGGTTCGCGTTTCGCGACCTGTTCCTTGTTACAAGATGTACGACGCATGGTTCATGGATCTTACCGGATGAGGAGTTGTTCAACACTAGTAGAAGCCATGTGGACGTATTTCATTGACAGAAGAGGTTGGGGTCGGTAAGCTAGATACAGTGCACACAGTAACAGTCCTTGAGATAAGAGAATGTTCTCTCCCACAGACTGGGTCCATATATCTAGAAGCATTCGCTGTGCTGACCGAAAATATTCGAAACTGTGAGGAGCAGCACCTCTTTCAGACTGGTCCTCTTGAGGTCTTTCGTGTACCAAAGCACCTAGGGCAAAGGTCAACAGGAGTACTGCAGAAACCTCGTCTCGTTGCAGCCCGCGATTAATGGTTGTTTCGTAGCAGGAATAGAACGCCTCAGGCTCGAATAAAGGATGGAAGATATGGACATCTTGAAAAAATACGTTTACCAAATTGTTAGCGGCTTCGCGATTGATTGGTGGGATATCAGGTGTGAATTCGTTTGTTCTCTCCAGGTAGCGCAAGTCTAAGGTTTCCGAATGGTGAGATTCGACGCGGAAGAAGTACTCTTCTGGAAACTCGCCGACCAATGCCTGCACCTCAGACAGCCCTAAGAGACTACTGCTGCTGGCTTCATGGCCCGGGGGTATAGTTAGAGGCGGAAACTCAGGACTCTCTTCACGCATATACGGTGATTTTGTCCTTGTTTCTGGCCAGATACAATACTCACGGCTGGATAGTGGCGCATGACGAGTTACAATTTGAGAATTTAATTCCTGAGAAGTAAACTCTGGAGATGGCTCATTTTGTGTTGTTACAAAATTGAGGGCGTCACTGAATGCTGCGGGAACATTGGTTCCGGACCCTGGCGAGCGGATGGACCTCTGCAGGCTCTTCAAAACATTCGTTTGCGAGTGAAGAAGGTTTTCAATCGTTTGGATCGAGTGATTTCCCAGCTCCGATAGAGATCTTGGTCGCAATGGCCTGCAGCACAGCAATCAATGACAAGAAATCAAGATTCACTTGATATGTGCTGACCTTAGGTTCGCGTCTTTGTTCACATAGACACACGTGATTTTCTTTGCCCGACAAAGGCCACATGTGGGTTTGGAGCCGTCGCATCGCCGTTTTCTGTGATAGATCAATCTCAATGTGTGAGCGTTCATAAAGTCCGCTTGAAACCCACCGCTGCCGACAGTACCAACACGCCATACTCAGTCTGCGGGAGGATCAGACGATGCGGGCGGGCAGCGGGCGGCGGAGGTCCGCATTTTATTCTTGCTTCGGGCTTTGAGCCCCGCATTGGTGGGGTAAATTTTCCACAGCTACAGAATTAACAGCGAGGCGGATCCGGGCTCAACTACCAAAATCCCAATTGTATCCACGGTTACCCGCCAAGATCCTGTTTCGCTTTATTTTGTCGAATAACGCGCGTTTACCTCCCCCTATCCGTAGGGTAATAATGGCACCGAAGATGCCAATAAGCTAGTTAATCACTTAAGTATATAGCATTAGGGGTGTTAGGGTTCAACATTGACTATGTTTTTGTGCTGGGATATAGGAAAAATGGTAAATAATCTGAAATTATTCTTTCATTTGTCGTATGAGATACATATGGGTCAGCTTAGTTGCAGGGTGAGGTAAAATGTCACAGTTCTTATATGCAGAACCGACTGGCTATAAGCATCACTCGGATTTTTGTGTGTAAATGAAAGCTATATGTGTTGGCTCATGAGAGCCGTGGAGTTAAAAAGGACCATCTGAACGATTCAAAGACAATTTGCTGCCTTGTGAATGGCGGACGTGACTTGAGACTGTTCGAATATTGGTTCTGCGATACCCTTCGTTCGCGGTTCTTCGATGTAGTATACAGCATATGCGTATTTTCCACCACCATAGTCCCTGATCGGGTACCCCGTGGGTATGTGGCTATGAGCTTTCGGCAGATGTTCCGGATCTTGGTCTTGACATGGGTGCCCACACGAAGGCTAATGCTAGATTCAAAAAGCTCAAAGCATGAAGAAAAGGCGGGCCTTCACTACCCGCTACTCTCCGCCGCATATTGAGTATTTTGTGTTCAAAATGTCCTCCAGGTCCGGATGGTATTACGGGCGGGGACTATAATGGCTGGAACGGTAACTGAGCGGGAATCACGGATCCGCAACGCCGTCCCGCCGATGAAGGGCAATTTTAGCTTCCATATCCCCCGACGATAAGTTTTGCCATGACGGTCAGCTAGACATGGAAGCGTGATGAAGCCAAATAACCTAGGTAAACAACCTCGTAAAACCAAAACGCATACATTGTCAAATTCCATTTGCGTTGATCCCAGAGCGATCGTCTACTACATTCGTGACGTGTCCCTCAGTGACTCCATTGATCCATGATCCATATATATATGATACGCTCTAGCTCATGGATTTTGCAGCGAGACAATAATTTCAGAGAGGTTGAGAAACTGCATCGACACCTTCACCGTACTTTTTGCTTAAACACCCATTGATACCGGCGTCGAAGCCAGAGAGTAAACACCCTAACCCAGAGTTCTGATTAATGACACAAACAAGATGCCTATCAATTCAGCGTTCTCAGAAGTCAACATCCCTGACTTGGATCTGTGGTCGTTTGTGTTAGAGTCAACTAAGACATTTGCAGACTCTCAAGGTATGAATACCGGGGTTCCAGTTATGAATGCCTATTTACACTCGGAAGTTATATATAAATCTGCCGACAATCCTGGACGGGAATACACGTTCGCAGATGTGAAGGCTGCTGCAATTACATTTGGCGAGGGCCTCTATCATCACTTCGATTGGCATAAAGGCGATATTCTTGCGATCTATTGCCCCAATGACGTTGACTTTGGTTCTGTGATTTTTGGGACATTTTATGCAGGCGGTATCGTATCACCAGCCAATCCAGGTTATACACCCGACGAACTCGCCTTTCAGCTTCGCAATGCTGGAGCCAAAGCTTTAGTTACGGCAGAATCCCATCTTCGGAATGCTGTGGTGGCCGCGAAAAGCGCTGGTATTCCAAATGAGCGTATTCTGATCCTGGGACAGCAGCACTCCCAACAATTTCGTCACTGGAGTGATATCAAAAAGCCAAGTGAGCATCTAGAGTATGGAAGGTGGAGCTTAATACCTGATGAGGATCTTGCTTTTCTCGTCTACAGCTCTGGTACCACGGGGCTCCCAAAAGGGGTCATGTTAAGCCATCGCAACGTGGTTTCAGACCTTTGTCTTATAACTGGAGCTGTGGGCTATCATTATGAATCTGGCAAGGACAAGATGCTTGGAATTCTTCCATTTTTCCATGTCTATGGACTCGTTGGACTCGTGACCCAGTGTCTCTATCGGGGAATCGAGATGCTTGTCGTGCGTGACTACGAGTTTGAAGGATTTCTGCAATTAGTCCAAAATCACAAAATCACCTTCGTTTACGTCGCACCTCCTGTCATTGTGCGTCTAGCCAACGATCCTTTGGCCGAGAAATTTGATTTGCGCAGTCTTCGCATGGTTACCAGTGGAGCTGCTCCTTTGACGACCGAGCTCATTGAAAAAGTTTATCATCGTCTAGGTATTGCAATTAACCAAGCATACGGCCTTTCTGAAACGTCACCAATGACACATACCCAGCCTTGGGATGAGTGGCAGACATCTATTGGCAGCGTTGGCAAAATGTTTCCCAACATGTCCGGGATATTTATGTCAGATTCTGGTGAGGTCAAGAGAGGCGAAATTGGAGAGCTATGGCTTGCAGGTCCGAACGTCTTCAAAGGATACTGGAAGAATGAGGAGGCCACGGTAGCCGCAATCGTCGAGCAAGATGGTCGAAGATATCTTCGGACTGGAGATGTTGGTTTTGAGGACGAGAATTGCAATTTCTTCATCACAGACCGAGTGAAAGACCTTATCAAATACAAAGGCTTTCAAGTTGCTCCCACCGAGCTTGAAGGGAAATTAGCCTGCCACCCCTTGGTCCAAGATGCAGCTGTCGTTGGCATATATGATAATTCCGCCAATACAGAAGTGCCTAGGGCCTATATTGTTCATGCTACGAGAGGCGGCCAAGGATGCAACAAGGAAACCGGAGTCCCTCATGACCACCAGAGTCTACGAGATGCAAAGGAGATCAAGGACTGGTTTATGACCAAAGTGGCGAGTCACAAACTGCTGAGGGGCGGGGTGAGATTCGTTGACCAGATACCTAAAAGCGCCGCGGGGAAAATCTTGAAAAGTGAAATCAAGAACATGGCAAAAAGGGAAAATATGCCACAAAGATCAAGGCTATGAGTTGGAGTGAATTAGCATGGCATATAATGAGTTAAATGTCGTAGCAGTCGTACTTCAAAAGCGATTTTATTGGAGTTTGCTATATGTATTGAAAAGGAAAGTTCACCTGGTGTATTGCCACCACTATTTTCGTTGCCTAGCCGCAGCGAATCGTGACAAATGAAATTTGCAAAAGCTCTGGTCCATGATGGTAAGATACTAGATTTGATATAGCTCGAGACCCAAAGCTTGGATCATTTTTAGCTGCACTCTTCAATTATCATCGTAGGCTTTTCTTTGCTTTCCTTACGAAGATGTACTAAATCACTGAGATGCTACTTCGGCATTGCTTTGGGTCACGCAGAAAATGTCGAACATATTCCTATAGTTAGTAGACAAGTGTTTCATTCATCTCTGCTGGGATCTGCACTTTCATTTGAAAGGAAAATCAATTGATTTAACCAAAGTGACACTTGTACCTTTGCCAAAATTCCATGATCACCCTTCCTCGGCAGATAATGACTCAATGCACGCTCACAAGAAATTTCTTACTAGACGTCTAATATATCTTTTACTGCTACAACATGTATCATTTAGTTGAAAAGTATACGAGTGTCATTAATCATAATTGTAGCACCCATGCTGATCAAATATAATACTCTAGGACTGCATGAAGTCCCGTAAGATGCCGTTACATGCTTAAACATTCGCTATTTGTAGGCACCTGCGAAACATGAATCTGAACCTGACGTCTTTACTCACAACATCCAGTAGCTCCGATCCTGCTTCAACCGTCTCTTGAGTTTGATAGTTGCTATCCACCGTGGAGGTGAGCAAAGACCGCTGCTCCAGCTTCCATCCACGCAGAAGCAATATACAGATGGCAGCTCCGATATAAGAAAAGCCAGTGAATAGCTGCGCTCCGAGGTAGTCTCCAGTCTTTATAAAGATCTCCAAAGCAATTGGCTCGCCAAAGGTAGATGGTAAACTTAAGCCCAACCACATAAGACTCAATCCAGAAGGTACATTTCTTATACCGAGGACCTCTGCCATGAGAGGCCCGATAGTTGCCCAAAAATTTCCTGCAACCAGACCTTCACAGAGGACAAAGAATATCAACACACCTTGATTCTTAGCGACAACCCAGACTGATACAGATAGTACACCAGCAGCACAAGTGAGAGAACCCGCCACGTTCATTCTTCCCGTCTTGTCGCTGATATATCCAGCCAGAGGCCGGCCAATTGCTTGCCCAACGTTGAAAAGTGCACTTACTAAAGATGCCTGTGAATGGTTCAGCCCAATCTCGTTCGCATAGTTGGCCAGAGTAAATATTAAGACAAAGTATCCAAGCATGGTGAAACCGCCGAAGCCAAGAAGGAGGCAATACTCTTTTCGTCTAAAATGGGACACATTGAATGTGGTTTGGTTTGGGCCCCTGACCTTACTTCGATCTTTGATCAGAAGCACGCAGGTGTTGTTCACCACGAACCCAATAATGCCCAGTACTCTGAACGTCCATTTCAGCCCGAGTCTCTCAATCATGGCCTCGGCCACGAGAGAGTACACTGCGCCTCCAGCCGCGGCCCCAGAAAGTGATATACCGCTTGCGAGCGAACGCCTACGGCTGAACCATTGAGGGACGACGGCGGCAGTTGGTACGAAGAGTAGTCCCAATCCCATACCAAAGAGAATCCCCTGTGTCATAAAAAGCTGCCATAATTCGGTTGCAAAACTCGCGCAAATGAAGCTGGTGGTTTCAAGGATAGATCCACATAGCATCGTCTTTCGGATGCCTATTCTTTTCACCGCATAAGTAGCGATGGGTGAGGTCAGGAACAGAAATGTGACGCTCAAGGATCCCACAAAAGCATAGATGAGAGGTGAACCTCCAGAGAAGGTGTCGTTCTTTAAATAACGGGCCAAAAAGATGGCGTAAGCGGAATTAAATCCCCATGAGTGCGCATTAATAACTGCTGCTGCTGCAACACACACCCACCCATAGCCTCCGTCCGGTAGCGACTCCCTAGATGTTGTAGGTCGCACATTGACCTCCCCATAGATAGAACCCAATGGCTTATGTGTCTTGCATGATTCGACGGCGTCGCAGTGCGGGGAGGGCTGCCAGTCGTGGTGCTGTGCTTTTTCCATCGCGGTGCTTTATACATATAGTAGTAGAGTTGACAATATTGAATGAACAGAACGAGAATGCACGAGGTTAAGATATTAAAATTCAAGCCTGGCTCTGTGACGCGCGAAATCTCGCAGCCTTGGGTTCCTACATAATTAAGCGGGTGACGAGAATATCCCGACGAAGGTCCGATTCGGCAATACAAAGTGGAGTGTATACTAGGGCGGCGGTAAGCTCGCAGGCGTTCGAGGATACGAACAGTAAAGGATGCATTGGTGGTCACAAGATTGGAGATTTAGGTGGAAAGTAAAAAGTTAGTTTGTCCTAGCTGCATTGACTTGAATCGAGGATCCAGGCTTTGAAGTGGATCCGCAAGTTTAGGATTCGGTAATCTAACGAAACTACTCGGCCACTTAATTAATAACACAAAAAATGTGATCTCAACATAGAACAACTACAAGGCTGCGGGATAACTCTATATTTGGTCGGGCACTACGTTCAGAATAGCAACAGAGAATGCTGAACTCATGGAATGGCCTAAGCTTTTTTTCTGTCCGATTCACATTTTCTTTTGGGCATAGCTCGAGTGCAGTTTCAAGTCCACTATCTTGAAACATTGTGGCGGCTTGACTGCTGAGCTAAAAGCCGATTTCTGCGTGGCCTTCGGAACGCCTCTCACATATATTGGACGACGGCTAGTGTAGACAGCTAGTGTAGAGTTCGGCATCGGTCTTGTCTCCGGGGTTGGCTTTGCCGCCATCGAGATTCCCCGCTGACAAAAGCATCATATAAATCATCTCCAGTTCCATATACAGACTAGTTCCGCAAGTTGGACAGAAGTGATGATTTTGCCTAAATCGCCAACTCCGTTCACAGTATGACGAATTGTAGGTAATTTTCCTTCTCCAAATTTATCACAATTTAGCGAATAAACAAATTTGGTGGTGGATGGGGTTGAATTGAGGAATATTGTTTAGTGTGGAGGGGCCGTTGCGGCGACAATAATAGTCCCGCCTATGCCGCCTTCACCCTCTTGCGGAGGGTCGCAACGCTTGGCAGTGTATGGAGTCGGCTTAATCTGAGAGAATAATGAGGTGCTTCCAGCATTATTTAGCTATTGGATTAGGAGCTATTGCGGAGCCGCTACGTCCCGCGTATGCCGCACGGGACCTCTTGTGAAGATCATATCACTTAGTAGTGTCTGGAGTCGATTAAATTTGAGTTGACTCTGTGTCCGTGGTCTGATTTACCCACTGGCGGAAAGCGGGCCGCCCTGATCCCGAAAGTCAACTCGCAAGCTTAAAACCCTGATAGTCTCCCCTCTGCTCTCAGTCAACTTGGATTTTCATTACGAAGTCTTCTGCCTAACCAGAGTGCATCTCTATTCCACATGTCTAGGTAAAGAATCCATTAAGCTGCAAGTACGGATATCGTCATCATATTTCAGAATGTTGTCCTTTCAGTATCCTCCGCCTCCGACGTCCTTTGCCAAGCTGTCCTATCCCGCGCCCCATGTCGTCCTTGTCACGATGTCACGGCCCGAGAAGTTGAACTGCACCACAGCGGCGAATATAATAGAGTTGACTGAGGTATTCAAATGGATTGATGACGAGCCTTCTCTTTTCGTCGCTGTCTTGACAGGGGCTGGACGAGCGTTTTCGACAGGAGCAGATCTGAAAGAATGGCAAGAGAAGGCAAATGCGGCAAATTCAAGACCAGGTGCTGGACCTGGAGATGTCCCGGGCGCTCTGCCGCTGTCTAATCGCCTGGGTAAAAAGCCTATAATTGCAGCCGTCAATGGCCTCGCATTAGGAGGAGGCTGCGAGACGGTGGTCAACTGTGACATTGTCATCGCCGCGGATACCGCAACCTTTGGTTTAGTTGAGGTGAAGCGCGGGGTGGCCGCTTACGCCGGGGCCTTGCCACGACTGATCCGTACAATGGGACTCCAGCGGGCAAGTGAGATGGCCCTCCTCGGCAATTACATCACTGCAGAGCAAGCGGAGAGATGGGGAATTGTGAATAAGATCGTGCCTCGAGGCCGCGTTGTTGAAGAAGCCATCAATTACGCCAAAGCGATCACAGAGAACAGCCCCGATTCAATCATTTGTACGAGAGCTGGGTTGAGGCAGGGCTGGGAAACTGCCAGTGTCGTGGAGGGCACAGCCATCACAGGCAGAAGAGAGTGGGCTGATCTGCAAAAAGCCGATAATGTGAAGGAAGGATTGAGGGCATTCAAGGAAAAGCGGTCACCAATTTGGACGTCAGCAAAGTTGTGAACCATACTTCCGTGACTGAATCGATATGTTTGTTTGTAAGTAACCAGTGATCCATAAATTCAGATCTTGCATGAGCAAGCAACTGTAAATATTTTTGTCAGACCTACGCTCATTACCAGAGAAGATTGGTAGCCTGTCTGTGTGCCAACTAAATGATTATTATACGTCATCAATTTATACTATCGGGGGGTTGATTGGATGGAAGTGTGAAGGATTCCCCAGAGTTTCCCGCAAGTCCCCGCCACCCTCCGCTATTTAGTGAAAGTCTGCCCCAGTCGCCAAGCTGCGGGGTCTGCTAGCCCAAACCGAACGCCTCAACGGAGACTCTTCAGCCGAGTTTCTAAATACCGCTTATGGAGACTAAACAATGAGCTTGGATTGGCAATTGAAAAGAATGTACGAAAATTGGTAATGGTGATGCAGTTCCCCGCAAAACAGAAAATAAAAATCGTAATCAAAATGTTCTTCCGTATTATTATATTAACCCTGCAACACCCGAATTCAATTTCCATCGCTCCTTCCCATACTGTCTTCATATGTTGCTGTAGAAGCCCCATGTTTCTCGACCTTTGATCGTGGTTCGATCGTGATATTTCAATACTCTCTGTTCATCCACATTTGATTTTCTCTCTATTCATGTCTTAGAGATTTTGTATACTGACCCCTCAACATATCAAGAGATGGCACGCTACTGGGGTCTCCGGGGTAAGAAACTCTCAGCAGCGATATGGACGTTGTCCATGTTTGCCATTATGATATTTGGCTTCAATCAAGCGGTGGCTGGAGGGGTTCTCGCTCTCGAATCTTTCAACAGACAGTTCCCTCAGATGGACACGGTCGATACAACCGGGCACACACAGTCATATAATTCGACAATTCAAGGTATGTTGCTGAGCCCGCATAACACAAGGTGATGGATGGGCTCGATGACTTACTCGGATACAGGAACTGTCATCGGGCTCCATTACTTGTGTGGCGCATTTGGCGCGTTGGCTTGTACATTCCTTGGGGATGTGTTCGGACGGAGAAAGACGATCTTCTGTGCGACCTGTATTCAAGTAATTGGTACAATCCTCATGGGAACTTCATTCTCGTTCGCCCAATTCATTATCTCCCGTGTCTTTGTTGGTGCTGGAACCGGCGGCATTGTAGCGACCGTTTCCGTCTGGCAGTCCGAGTTATCTAAGGCGTCAAAACGTGGAGAACACGTCGCGGCTTTTGGAATATTCTGTGGCCTTGGGCTGTCTTACGCTCTCTGGGTGGACCTGGGAATGTCCTTTGTGAACTCCTCTGCCGCTTGGCGCGTGCCGTTCCTCCTGCAACTCACTCTTTCTGCACCGGTCCTGGCTTTTGTTTTCACACTACCCGAATCACCACGCTGGCTGGTTAAAATGGGCCGTGTCGCCGAAGCGCGCCAGATTTTTCTTCTTCAGGAGGAGACCGAGGCTGAGGAGCTCCCTGAAGTTGTCGATGCAGAAATCCGAGATATTCAGATATCAATTGAACTCGTCGGCCAAACATCATTATTGTCGATGTTTAAGATGGGAACGGAGCGGACTCTTCATCGTACAGCCATCGCTGCTATTGTCCAAATGATGCTCCAAATGTCTGGGGTCAATGTCATCTCGAACTACTCGACTACGATCTACCTGCAACAACTCAACTTTTCACCGATTATTTCGAAAATTCTCGCCGCCTCTTGCCAGGCCGTTCTTGGGTTTGGCTCTATTGGCACATCGTTCGTTGTCGATCGTGTTGGTCGGCGTGTGCTTATGCTCACGAGCGCAGCAATGATGGGTATCTTTCAATTGTGCGTTACGGCCCTAGTGTCTAATCCTGAGAACAAGACCGCTCTGAAGGCTGCTGTCGCCTTCATTTTTCTTTATTACTGGGCATATTCCGTTGGATTCTTAGGCGTTCCATTCGTATACGCCAGTGAGATCGCACCGGCCAAACAACGTGCCGCCATTTGTGGTGTTTCGACAGCTATCTCGTGGCTTTTCAACTGGTTAGTTGTCGAGGTCACCCCACCCGCATTTACAAACATCAGGTATCGGTATTTCATCGTTTACACTGTCATATGCTTTTCGTACTTGCCAATCATTTTCTTCTTTTTCCCTGAAACCAAGGGACGGGAACTAGAAGAAATCGATGGAATATTTGCCGCTTCCAAGAGCATATTCGACACAGTTAACGTCGCCAAAACAATGCCGAAGCAACACCTCAGTGATTTCATGCAGCAGATAGATGAACGAAAAGGGAATACCAACGAAAGCGAATCCGCATCAGGCGAGAATCAGAATAAGGAGATAACGGGTAGCCACGAATTGCAGACTACGAGCAACGAGGGCGCGTCACACGTATGTGGAAAAGCAGAAGATGCGGCAAGTTTCGTGGAAGTAGAACGAGTTTGAGAGCGCGGAAGTTAGTAGATAAGGTCGATGTATTACGGGCGACGATAGTCGCAAGAGCCTGCCAAACCTTTATAGCCAATCGTTTTGTCGGCAAAAATACTATCTAATCGTCTGAAAATGATTTGTACACCATACCACATAGTAATTTGTACGGTAGACTGTGTGCCTCAGATTCTACAAAGATTTCCCAGTCACCCAGAGTCTGCTCTCAATTCAATCCTTACAAAAATAGGAATACATGATCTCTCATAGTAATTAATATGGTAGGCTAGGTACTTTACTTTTCACATATGTCTCCCGAGTCCCAGTCGCACAAAGTCTGCCCTTGACTCGTATCGAAATAGGTGTACATGCTCTCCCATAGTAATAACTATGACAGGCTTGATACTCTGCCTTTCACAAAGGTCGCTCAAATCTTCCATTTCCACTACCTTGAAAAACAGAGGCTGTTTTGAAGACCAAATCCATTCGATTAGCTTATTACCTATTTTGCCTACCCATCATCAAAATTGTCATATTTACCGGAACGCTGTCCCCATTTTTGCACACCAATGCACTGTTGGGAACTAACTGGTCGATGGTTGTGCCAGGGAGGTGTTCAACTTGAAACCCCAAACCCTGACGACTCCCACATTCGTTTCGCTTTCGCATTGAAGCGTAACATCCGTGTTACTGCAAAGGTCGCATGAGAGAGGGCATGGAGAAGGAAAAAAATGGAAATGCCCCGGAAAAGTAGATCCCTGTGCCGACAAGGAAATTATTAACAAATGCGACGAAACATCATCACAATGAATCGGTCCCTTTGAATCAAGAAAATGTAGTTACCCACGATGTGTTTACAACTTTTGACAGCAGACACCGAAACTAGGGTGATGTTTTTCGAAGATGAGTGTCAAGACGCGCCTGTGTATTTACCAATGCAGGGATATCGCCAGCTGTTCAATACGGCGATTTTGTTCAACAGAAAGCAGTAGTGCCTGCTTATCACAAATTCGTGAGGAGCATGCGCCTCTTGGGTCAGTTCCACTCCGTGGGCCCAGGCACGACGGGGATGAAGGTGGCAACGCCGACAGAGGTCATGTATCCAGGGATGCTCTTTGCGCAGGGGACTCGACGGAGAGAGGTGGATTCAGTAAATTCGAGAAGATTAGTGACGCAAGGAAGCGGTGGCGATGTGATGCAGCAATGGGATGGGCGAACTTCATAATTGAAGACCTCAGTGACGCTGCAGAGTGAAATGCCAACGCAGAGGTAGCAGACGAAGGGACTGAAGAACTGACGATGAAGGCAGGCAGTTCATTGGATCTCGATGGAGTTTAGTGCACCTTTCGGTGATGCTGTTTCCATTTTTGAGGGAGTTTTAGATACTATAAGCCACACACTAGCCGGAATGGCGAGCGTAAAGGATCTTACAAGTATGTTGGTCGACAATTCATTCATCAACGTTGACGATGGTTCTCTCTAGCAGGGGTGTATCCCTCTAGCAATTTTCTATACTGCCAAGAATTTTAATAATCCACTTTGACATAACGTTAACCATGATTTGATAATGAGATAACTGTTAATTGTACTTAGCCTAAGTGGGCGTCGGCAACGCGGACTAGGTATGGCATCCAAAGGTTCCAATCTCAACCCATCCTAAAAAACGTTAACACAGCAAACTCCTGAATACGAGTTGAACGCCGACTTACTCGACCCTGCAAAATCTCCCTGAATCAAGGTATAGCTGTCCCGTAACATGGAGGGACAGAGGGTACTCACATATTTTGGTAAGCAACCAGACTCCCCAGTAATATTGGACGCGACTCATTATATCAGGAAACGACGACATACAAGAACTAGTATCTGGAATCGAGTTACTCGAACAGGTAGGCTAACAAAACTACTGGTATACTGATAAGATGCTCAATACAAAAACCAGACAATGAATGTCATCGGTCAACAAGCAGATCAAGAGAAAAAGGCTAGGAGTCTGGCCGAGGACAAAATACAGCGACAAGATGAACTACTAGAAGGTTATCGCCAACAAACCAGAATGATGGTAAAAGGGGATTGTGTATTATCGATCCTCACAAACCCTCTCACTGATAAAGTGGCAAGACGAACAATGCGTCAGCTTTCTCAAGACATTGAACAATGGGTGAAAAGGAATTTTAGCCCTTGTCTACCGTCCAGCACCAGTAACTGTTATGAGTATTTACAATCACCAACAAACGGCCACACATGGGAATCTATCCACATAGAAGTGGCGGATCGTATTTTCGAGAAAATATTTGCCCCCTTTATGGTTGGGCTTGAGAATTCTATCCCGAATCACTGTCTCCTCAATCTCGATATGCAGATACAAACATCGGAATGCAAGTACAATTGGAACGATTCTAATACTTACAACATGCTGACGGCCTTGTAGGCCCAGCTCAAGCTTGGCAGTTCTGGCGCCTGGCTATGAGTATAGCAGTGGCCTCTGGTTCGAGATCTACTGTAGATGATATCAGTAAGAGCATTGGGAATGCCGTGGAAGAGCTATATTCACAATGTTCAATCACCGATAAAACAAAGCGCCAGCAACAGCTCACGAATATTATACAGCATTGCTTCGAACTCAAGCAGCGTCTCGATCGCCAGAAACATACGTACCGTTTCCGCCACAGCCCACGGCGAATACCCTACAATGCTGAATACATGCGCAGCAGCTCGAGCCCACCTGCGTCTCAGGAAATTGTTAAATGCAGCCTGTGGCCAATGTTAACGAAACTGGTGGCACATGAGACATGGGAAGTGGTCGAACGGGAGGTTGTACGGACCGGTCTACCATAGAAGAGGGGTATTGACCCATGCGGCGAATACACTGCAGACTGGATAGTCGGCACGCATAAGCTAAAGCTGAACTTGTACAGGTGGCAGAAACTTAAATAACAGTATTTTTGCTTTGTGTTTTGGCTTTCCGAAAGATAGAATTCGCAAATAACTACAATCGCCAAACCGGTAAGTTAAATGGAAATGTCAGTGCTAGTCACATAAATAAACAAACACCGCGGTAGGTTGCAGCCTGCCGTTAGTTCAAATGAAGGCCAGCGTGGCAGACGTTCATACCCCACGCACAGAAATTGTTAGAGGATGTGACGATAGCCGATGGATGGGGGCATAGGAGAGTATTGTTGAAGAAAACACAGAGGCATGGGAATGTAAAATATGAATGCGAGACAGAACGAATCATGAATATGTGTATACGACGAGGAAGAAGACCTCTGTGATAGAAAATCTTTCTATCGAACGTGGTGATCGCTGGACACCCCCGGCCCGACAACAAAACGGCACTTTCTCCATAACAATACACCATTCGCGGATGGCCGCAGTCCAGTATCAGAAAGCATCCTTTCTCTTTGTCTCTGTGATTTTCTACTTGGATTAGTGTCTGGACAAGAGTGAGTCTCACAGTGGAGCGTCACGTTCATAAGACTACAGTTGATAGACTCGATGGTTCACTTGGAAGTAAGAATTGTAATGGTATAATTATATCTATCTCTGTATTAACTGCCTCGGTGTCTCCACTCCTTCCAGCCATTACTACTGGCGTGCGCCCACACTAATTAGCGCCACAAAAGGAGCAGGAGAGCCAAGGAATAATGAACCATGGATCAACAGATTGAAATAAAGTAATTCACAACCGATCCGCCCATCCCAAAACACCATAGTAAATGTGATAAAAGACAACTCAATATCTCTAAAACAATAGCTTAAGTGAGGTCCTATCATATCCTAGTACTATTTAGATCATATTGCGTCTCCTTTTGATGTTTAAAATTTTTAATGATGTTGTTTTGTTGTTCAAATATATATACTTGCACCTAACCGATGTGTATCATTTGATAATGCTGCAAGATATTTATTTATTCTAAATATAGGCTAGTTTATACCATTCTTTATGTCCATTAATAGTATAGTATGAATAATCAAACAATTTTACTTAAGGCTGTTGAAATATCGAGTTATAAAATAATGCACTTGTTATGATGTTTTGGGATGGTCGGGTCGCTTGTGAATTACGTTACGGCAGAGAATGTTGAGAAAGAACAACGCATTCATATTCTCTTCACGTAAAACTAAGCGTCGACCCTCACCCGAAAAGGTCGTAAAGACAAAATACACATATCCTCATGGCAACATCGGGTCTGCATAATTCACTCTGCTGGGACCCCCCTCCATCTTCACCGGACCACTCGTCATTCTCGTTCGTGTCCGGAAGGACTGGGTAAGGCCAATTTTTACCATTGACATCCAGTTTGTGGCAATACGTGCTGACAAAGTAGCGAAAAAATGCCTAGCGAGTCGGTCAGTCAACATTCCCAAATATAATTAATGGGAGCCCACGTTAGAATCCCAACCCTTGTAGTCGTAATCACTCGTGTCTATGTCTTTCCAGCTGTCATAGAAATAGTTCAACGGGCAGACAGGTAGGTTGACCATCATGTTCTTCGCAGGTTTGTATTTCTTGAGGAAAGGAAGGGTGTTTCTCATAGTCCAGTTTGCCAGGTAACCGCCTGCGGCCTGCGAAGCATCTGCGGCCTGGGCAAATTCGAGAGCGTCGATCCCAAAGTCCTTCAGAGCATCAAAGCCAGGGACCGGATTGAAGATGTCGTTGTCAGGAGATCCAATACCTGTGTTTTTGAGGAACCAATAACAGGTGCCGTTGTTGTCGCAGGTTCGATTTGAAAGGTCAGGATCGAGGTTCATATTCTGAGGAAGGGTCCCATCAATCGCGTAGCTATCCTTCACAATGAACACTCCCTCTTCTTTCCAGATCCACGAGATAGCGCCACTAAGTAGGCTGCCCTTCAAATTTTTTGCAAAGCTTTCCTTGCCTTCGAGGCTAAATTCATTAGCATAGACGCCGTTTTTGAGAACAAAAGGCCCGCTATTCGCGTGGTCGCTGTATGAATATCCGACTTGAGTCTCATCGACAGGCTGCGTAAGGATTGTGCTCCCAAAGGACTTGATCTGGTCAACGAGGGATATCTTGACTTTAGTAATTCTAGCGTCGATAATAGCTTTCCTAGCGCCTTCCATCTCACCAATACTGAGGGATTAGTTAGCATCGCGACTCTGAAGGTCTAGAAGAGGGGTTCAAACTCACTCTGGATCAGTCTTAGCCATTTGAGAAACGACACCATCAGCAACAATAGCAGAACCAGAAAGAACATTCAATCCGGTAGCGACTTTGCCTCTCACAGACCCGCCTTCAGAGCTTCCATCAGACCCGCCTTCAGAGCTTCCATCAGAGCCCGCTTCAGAGCTGCCATCAGAGCTGCCATCAGAGCTGCCTTCGGCTCCTCCTTCGGCTCCTCCTTCGGCTCCCGCTTCGGCTCCTGCCTCAGCCCCTGCTTCTATTGCTACATCCGCAGCAGCCCCAACACCACCAAGGAGAGCAGCAAATGCCCCTAGTATACCGACGGCAATAAGTAATCCCTCCGCGGCTGTGTTCTAAGTTTTTTTTTCAGTATCCGAAAACGTCAGGAAAGACCATGTTACTAACCTTTGTACTTGGCGTCTTAAAATGGCTAAAGGTATCCACGAGTTCGCCTGAGTAGCCTATGACATCTTCACATGTTGTTTCGACGGTTCCTGCAAGGCTATTGATCCAACGCTGGAAGTTCTCGATGGACCATAGAACGAATATGTAGAATGCGTTGAAGTCTCCGGTGGTGCATGGATCGCCCGTAGGATAACTGAAAGAACAACCACCCAGGCCCCTGCCCCGAACGAGATTAGCCTCTCAGGAGGTGTTAGGATGGGCCAGAAAACGCACATAGTACATTGACGTTGCTCATAGTCGCCAGTGATTTGACTCATAATCCCTTGAGGAAAACTCAAAGCCTTGGGGTGACTCGAGGCGCCTGGGATAGATGTTCCTTCCCAGATGGAATCTGCCCTATATGTCGAATGGTATGAGCCAAGAGAAGGCTTTAGAATTAAAACGGCTGTTTACTGACATAGTATGCAGCCAATAATCCATACGCAGGCTTTTCCAGTTCGCTTGGGTTTTGGCGCTGTTTGATTGACAGGTTTTCTTCCAGTCTGGGTAGGAGGATGAGTTTCTTTTCACGAAGCCAAAATCAAAATTCCCTTCATCGGGACTTTCCTTTCTTCTACCAGCGGTAAATTTGGCATCGGTAGCAGAAAGAACTTTTGTGGCTTCAATTAGACTCAGGCTATCATTCCCCGATACGCGAAAACTTACCCATAAGGCTCGCAATCAGAACGGGAAATTGCATAGTAAAATAGAATAGGGCCCAGGGCCTGCTGTACAAGGGTTGTCAGGAAATCACAGATAACAAATCGTCTTGTAGAACTTGCTATAGCTCGGAGGCAAGCAGAATAATCAAACAGGTTTCGTGGAGAATACAAAAGAGATGACGGCCATATTTATAAATGTCACTTCGAGATGAACTGATCATCGTCCCCAGACCCCACTGTCTACGAGTATCTCGGAATCCACCAACTAATAGGGTGGGGAGTTGGAATCCTTGCCCCCAAGTCGCAGACATGTATAAGGGAATATTGGTAACTAACATGTTGCCTCAGTTGGGAGTAGTAATAACAAACAGTGCACCAAGACAGTGCGGCATGTACTAAGTGGGTCATTCATGGCGATCGTTCTTTGCTTTGGGGTTATGGGTGTCTGTACCTGAGTATGTATGCACGCTAAAATAGCGATCGACTGTGACACCCTTGGTGTTGCAGTCAGATCGACGAGTTAGTTAGTAGGATTGCTTTGGCAGCAACAAGGGGCGGATGCTTAACGCTACGTAGCGAGAGAGATCCAAGGGTATGACGGCCCCGAACTCCTTAAATATGTCAAAATCGACGTCCAATTTAATAATCGAGTAGCAGAAATCCTCTGGGAAAAATGCACTTATGCGACCACTCACTTCCCTCTGAGACCCATCCCCGTGGGGTGCCATCCTCTATGGGGTCTGCACCAACACCCTGCGTTATTTCTGGCACAAAGGAGTATACTACCTCAGTGGCAAACGGCCCATGAGTGGAGCATTGCCGATGTTGGACATCACAGGAAGGGGCCAAGAACGAGTATAAATACGAATAATAATACTTCTGGGCCCCCTGAACCCATTTTTATTTCTCAAGATGATGCCCCCGCCACCATCCTTTGGCCCACTATATAATGTGTACTCCATAGCTATTCATACATACATCGGAGAGGCTGGTAGTTATCCCCTAAGAATTATGTAATCCTTCACTCTGCCAATCACCACCCGCCCCAATGACGCCATGTGTTGGCGGCCTGGGGCATCCGCGGAAAACCCGCTCTCCGATGATCATGAACAAGATGATAACTGTCTTTCCTTCGTCGCCATTATTCTTAGTGTTGTTTCGCAAAGATGCGCTCGGTAGTCGCGCGCTCTGCGTTTGCTCCCCTCCGAGCCTTATCATGCCCGCGAGTCACCGAGGCGCCGTCCATTTTCGCCGGCGGGCGGGCAGCATGGTCGGCAAACACCTTGAGACCATTGCATACAGCCCCTCCGCGCATGTCCTCCGCAACGACGGCAGAACCCTCCAAAGACTCCTCCAATCCGGCACTATCATTCCCCTGTCTCGACGCGCAAGACGCTAAATCGGCGCTTCTCTCGGCTCGATCGCTGCAATCCGGCCCGGAACCGTCCTATACCACCGGCCAGCACGAACAGTTCCGCTGCAAGGACCCGCTCCTCTTGGACTGGGGCGGCGTGCTGCCCGAGTTTGAGATTGCATATGAAACATGGGGCCAGCTCAATGCCGACAAGAGCAATGCTATCCTCCTGCACACGGGCCTGTCGGCCTCGAGCCACGCACACAGCACGCAGTCGAATCCCAAGCCAGGGTGGTGGGAGAAGTTCATTGGCCCCGGGCTCCCACTCGACACTGACAATTACTTTGTGATCTGCACCAACGTGCTGGGGGGATGCTACGGCAGTACGGGTCCGTCATCGGTGGATCCCTCCGATGGGAAGCGGTACGCGACGCGATTTCCCATCCTTACACTGGATGATATGGTGCGGGCGCAGTTCCGGCTGCTTGATACACTGGGAATCCGCAAACTGGCGGCAAGCGTCGGGTCCAGTATGGGTGGCATGCAGAGTCTGGCTGCCGGCGTCTTGTTCCCAGAGCGAGTTGGCAAGATTGCCAGTATCAGTGGCTGCGCGCGCAGTCACCCGTATAGCATTGCCATGAGGCACACGCAGCGACAGGTGCTGATGATGGACCCGAAGTGGGCGCGCGGCTTCTACTATGACTCGATCCCGCCACACTCGGGTATGAAGCTGGCGCGCGAGATCGCTACCGTCACCTATCGCAGTGGACCTGAGTGGGAGCAGCGATTTGGTAGGAGGCGCGCGGACCCTAGCAAGCAGCCTGCACTGTGTCCGGATTTCTTGATCGAGACTTACCTCGACCACGCGGGCGAGAAGTTCTGCTTAGAGTATGATCCCAATAGTCTTTTGTACGTCTCCAAGGCCATGGACCTGTTTGATCTAGGCCATGCCCATCAGACCGAGACACGTGGCCGTCGTGCCGAATCTGAGGCTCGTATCGCGCGCGGTGGTATCGCTCCCAGCGTCTCTGATCCTGCGTGCAGCCTCACACTGCCCGAGAAACCGTATGAAGAACAGCCCGAAGCCACAGCCTCCGTGCGGCCGCTGGACCAGCCTGCCGCTGCATCCGAAGAACCCGCAGGAGCTCCTCGCGATCTTGTCAAGGGCCTTGCTCCTTTGAAGAACCACCCGGTACTCGTTATGGGTGTGGCTAGCGATATCCTTTTCCCAGCATGGCAACAGCGCGAGATCGCTGATACCCTTCGCGCGGGTGGCAACAACCGCGTCGAACACATTGAGCTAGGCGAGGATATCTCGCTCTTTGGCCATGACACCTTCCTGCTGGATCTGAAAAATATCGGCGGTGCTCTTGGCCGGTTCCTGCGGTAGGACAGCTTGAACCTTGGTTTATGATTGGTTTCATGTTGGTTTGCCCGATCGAGAGAGTTGTATCTACCATTATTAGTGCATTAGCAGGCGTTTCATGTGAAATATATCACACCTCTCTTCTTCCTTGGCGCCTACCTTGGTCGCCTCAAATCATGTAGTCCGTCTCGCGATGACATTAAAGACCAGACCTCGCCAAGAATGGATCCGGAAATAATGCGGGAGACTGGGTATATACAGATCGGCCCAGACGATGCTCAACTGGCCGCCTCCAACGACATCTACGAAACTGGATGGGAGAGCTCGATGCCCTTGCATTAACCCCCCTACCCCCCACATCCATCTATCATACGGTCACGTCTCGGGCTTTGAGGGGCTTGATGAAGGTCAAGAAAGTAGCCAGGAGACTTAACGCAAGGCGGTTATCCAAGCAGGAGAGTGAGAACTGCCCAGAATGATGTAGGATGCGTGAGGCACCACATCTGGTTCTTGTTCACGGACAAACGCTTTCTGAGGAGCCTTACAAGAAGAACCATGAAAGCGAGCGCTTTAAGTTGCGGTCCTCCCGGGGATCGACGGCCTCTACAATACCAACCACTTGCAGGTAAACTGGAGCAGCCATAGCCGCTGCGATGCATGGATGCGCGTTTGATGTTTAGTATCCCTGCTTACTTTCCACAAGGTAAAAAACAAAGTGCACAGTCAATGCCCTCAGAAGTTGCTCTCAAAACGAATTCATGGGCTTCCAGACGTTCCCGGCCGTCGGATGCGTTCAGAATTGGCTTAAGCTGGTCCGCAGACAAGGGAGACAGCTCATCACTGGGCCGAAGAAGAAGAAGGAGAAGAAGAAAGGATGGGAGAAGTCAAGCAAACGAACAATTCGATTCACTATCCTGAGATTGTCATGCCCTCGGATTGAAAACTACCGGTACACCACTCGTCACCGGCCTGCTCGACGTCGTTACCGATGCCCGGTGTACGGATGGAGCATTCCATGGCCTCGGAGTGGGGGTGATTATCGTCATTGGGCGGTTAGTTGGTCGAAACATCCATGCTGATGTGGTCTCTTGGATCTCTGTTCCCCCTCAATCACCCACCGCCAGGGAATCTTCTTCCACTTGCGACCGAAGGCCGAGAGATGTAGACCCGGCATGGTGTCATGAGAAGCTCTGGAGTGTGTGTGGATATCGTCATGGAGACACGACCATCATTGGAACAATCGTCGTCGCAGCTCGACTGAGACTTGTTATATCACGTGATTACACTGTTTGCATTGTTTGGCCTATTTGGTGCTATCCTGAGGGGAGCGGATCTTCGGAATTACGCTGTTCTAGGTCAAAATTATACTTCCAGGAGAAAATTCCGGGGAAAGAGACGGACTTGCGTCAAAGTTCAAGAGGTGTTCTTCTAAGTTCCCGTGGCTAGTGCAGAACTAGCTTGGCGATGTGCGCAAAATCGAGCAACTTGCTGAGCACAACTGGCCTCGGAGAACCTCCGTCTGGCTGACCAAGTCGGATCCGATGTTTGTAAGTTAACCGTACAATTATTATTAACCAGGAGGAAATACAGTTCGGCTAATCCGTGGCTCTAAGCGCAACTGACCTCGGAGACACTCCCTCCGCGCCCAGACCAAATCGGATCCGATGTTCTTAATAATACAATTGAGCGGGAAAAGTGGCTCGGCTGGTTAGTCTGGTAAAACGCTCTCAGTAGTTCCCCGCATTATAGAATTCGTGGAGAATATGAGGGGTATCGGTTATTGGGCCTGATCCCCCGAAGCTTTGTACCTGGCTATGATCGTCGGTTGTTATGTCCCCAATGGAGCCGAAACTTTGAACATGGCTATGATCTTCGGTTATGTCCCCGACGGAGCCTGAGTCTCCGGTTTGTTATAAACCCATGTTTTCACACTCTCAGTCGGGTCAACCGTGCTGTCCTCTCTTTTCCAACATCAACTGGGCTCAGAAACGGCATAATAATGGCGCGCTTTTGGGGCCTTCGAGGCTCTAAGCTGCACTTAGCCATTTGGGCTGAGGCCTGCTTCGGTGTAATGATCTTCGGCTACAATCAAGCGTCTGCTGGTGGTGTGCTCGCCGATGTTACCTTCAACAAGCAGTTCCCCCGAATGGATACCCTGACGACAACGGGCTCCTTGCAATCATACAATGCGAAGATCCAGGGTAAGCTCTCTTGCATGCTCCCAAAATACAGGCTAATTTTAGACAGGTACCGTCGTCGCCATGTATACACTTTTCGGTGTGTTTGGAGCTCTAGGCTGCACTTTTCTCGGTGACATTTTAGGCCGTCGGAAAACAATTTTTATTGCTAGTATTGTTCAAGCTGTTGGAGCTATCTTGCAATCGTCGTCTTTCGCTTTTGAGCAGTTCATTATTGGCCGAATTGTTTTAGGACTCGGCACGGGCGGACTAATTGCGACTATCTCTGTCTGGCAAGCCGAAGTCTCAAAAGCTGAAAATCGTGGTGAGCATGTGTCCGCCTTTGGGATCTTCTGTGGATCTGGTCTTGGACTGGCTCTGTGGGTTGCCTTTGGGATGAGCTATACGCAGCCGAGTTCGGTCGCTTGGCGCTTCACCATGGTATTTACCGTGTTCCTTTCGATCCTAGTGTGCTCCGGTATATTTAATTTACCGGAGAGTCCTCGATGGTTGAGCAAAATGGATCGATGGGAAGAAGCGCGAGACATTCTCGCGCTTCTACACGACGAGGACCCGTACGGCGAAACTGTGAAAAAAGAGATCGAAGACATTCAAATCTCTATTGAGCGCGCAAACAAGGGTAGTATTGGCGCTATGTTCAAAATGGGGCCTCAGCGAACGTTCCATCGTGTGGTCATCGCTGCCGTTGCCCAAATGATGCTTCAAATGAGCGGCATTAATTCGATCACATACTACGCCCCTGCAATTTACGAGAATCAGCTACACTTTAGCGGGACAGTCTCCCGTATCCTAGCGGCTTCATCCCAGATTGCACTAGTAATAGGAGCATTCTGCTGTGCTTACACGGTTGATAAATTTGGCCGACGCAAACTGATGCTATTCAGTGCAACTGGGATGAGTATTTGTTTTGCCTGCATTGCCGGCCTTACTTCGAATCCGGACAATAAGCCCGCTCTCAAAGCTGCTGTTTTCTTCTCATACCTCTACGTCGTTGTTTATGTTCTGGGATTCCTTGGCATTCCATTCCTATACGCCAGTGAAATAGCGCCTACTCATCTACGAGCTTCCGTTTGTGGGTTGTCTACTGCCGTCTCCTGGCTTTTCAACTTCCTCGTCGCCGAAGTGACTCCCACGGCTTTTACTAATATCGGCTGGAAGTATTTCCTCGTCTATTTCGCTTTGAATGCCCTATTTGTGCCGATCATCTATCTCTTCTTCCCCGAAACCTCAGGACGATCATTAGAAGAGATCGACCAAATTTTCGAGTCTTCGACATCTATCTTCGACGCAGTCTCCGTGGCCAAGAAATTGCCCAAGCGCCATCTCGCCGAATATCTACAACAGGAAAAGGGGGCTGAGATTGTCGTTGCTGAAGCCTCTCATATCGATGAGGTAGCGTAACTGGTCTGAGTCGAAGTTGGTTACGCTCTGGTAGACGGGGTGACAGCGATTCAAAGGGATTGTTTCCAAATAGTATCGTACTTTCCTGATAGAATATTTGTCTGATCAATGTCTTATGATGAAATAGTAAATGTTCTCTTGTCTCCACTCTGGCTATGATTAAGACGTTTTCGATGGATTCACAGTCCCAATATGAGACACACGTGTATGGAGAATCCCCCGAGGATGCTTCGAGAAACCTTGAGGGGCAGTGGGAGTTATCAATTGAATTGACTCAACGTTTTTCGGTTCATTTTGTTGCTCGAAAGGTTCGTGCTGACGTACAGTCAGTCACGAAATCGGCTTGATCACTACACACAACTCTTTTCTGGCCCAACCACCAAGACCTTCTCACAGGTCAATCATTGAGCGGGCCGCATTATATGAGGGACACCGTAATATGCGCCCTTTATGGTAATGTGCTGTCCATATTTGCTTGGCTTTCTCCAGCTCCAAAAAACTTGGTTTTTAACCTTTTTTATATGACAGTTCAAGTGCGCCAACGCCCAATATGCCCCTTTAAAAAGGACAAGAGGTAGCTGATCGATTTTTTATGGGGAGTAGCTCCACCTCTTAATATCTTCTCTTATTTCCAGCTAATATTTCAGTGTTCTGTTTATAATAAAGTAGACGTTAATAATTTCCTACAATTTATTTAAATCTTGTTAAGAAGAAAGACTCATGAATTAATTTCTCTCAAACTTCGCATAAATCCACTAGACTAGGCTCTCCTAAACCATCAAACACAAGAGGTATTGTGATAAACCGTCATCTTCAAAAAGCAAACTCTATTGGTAGAGTGATGCCGCTGCATTTCACTGCTTTGGTGATCATCGGTGATGGTTTAGGAGCTGGTAGCGTATTTGGCGGCCACAATGTCGGCCTGTACCGAATTCTCGGTAGCATCTGATGGATAGCCTGAAGTCATAACACCTTCATAAAATGTTCCCTGGGCACCATTGCTGTTGTCACCACCAATACCTAGAATAATGGCACCCTCCTTCTTCATTGGGCTATAACCAGTTGGGTAGGCTCCACTCCAGTATGTTCCAAGTGAACCAGAGGCAGCATTGCCACCGCGGATTGACCATTGGTTTGGCTCCCCTTTAACGATAGCCGTGACAAAACGCCAGGAGATTGACGGGTTTGTTGATGTCACATCGAAATTGCTTCCGGCGGATAGACCATTCTCAAGGTCAGCCAATATCCAGGGACCACTTCCAGCGCCAGTGCCATATCCAGTACCAAGTCCAAAATAGATAGCCTCCATATGGGCGTCACCATTGTCGGTATTGTTTGTCTCTGCATTGCCGTAGTCGAAGCAGCATGCACCATTATAATCTGTTCCATCAAGAACAGCATACATGCCCTCTGCTGCATCACCAGAGGCTGTACCTACAGCGGTATCACAGCGATATCCCATGCCCGGCTGGATCTGGACACCGTAAGCCTTTTGTCCGTTGAGGGTAATAGGAGCTCCGGTTGCGCTAGCCAGTTTGTCCGGGCCAGGTGCTGCACTTCCTCCAGGAGCTTGAGTGAGGTGATTGGCATTGCCGGACTGGTCGTAAATGATAGTAATGCTGCAGCTAGTGCCTCCACAGAAGCTGTCTTGAGCAGCAGCATCGGCCACTGAGCCGGCAGACAAAGGTGTAATGTCAGCTGTGGTGCCGTCGGAAGCCCGCGAGACTTGGTAGAGTGGACCACTATAAGAATCATATAGAGCGCGAGTGGTGCTGTGGGCTGCGACGCAAGGTGTATTACCAGAGCCGTAGATGTCACATGGACCAGCTGCGACAAGAGAGCCCATGGCACCGATGCATATAGCAAGCCCTAAAGAGGGAAGAATAGACATGATGACTTCTTAGTGTCAAGAATTGACTTGCTATATAGATATAGTCAAAAATAGTCTGAAAGTGTCTGGATACTATCTGTTTTCGAGCTTTTGCGATGGTTAAATAGATCTGATGCTGCGGGGTAGTGAGCTTTTCTCAATCAATTAGCTTGGGTTTACCTTGATTTTGAAATGAAATATTTGATTCTTACAAACAAGGTAGCATTCTAAGAAATTGGTCGCTACCTTCTCGGAAATCATGAAAATAAATCATTGAATGATGCTTGCATGGCTTATGGTAGACTCAATTTTTGGGGTGGGCTTTCACAAATACGTTTTATTGAAGGTTTGTATGCTTCAACTAATAATCCGTGATATCGTTGGACGAATAAATATATATTCCTCTATTTTGCAAAGAAGAAAACCAAAACCAAAAACAGCCGGAAAACAACGGGGCAAGAGAGGGGATTACTGTAAGCAAATAGCCTGTCTGCAGGATTCTAATTCAGCCATATGGAATTAGACTTCAACAAAGCTTATAGGACTTCCTATATCTCTAGGGTGAAGCAAAATATGGTTCCTTCGGTCCTATGAGCCTTCTCGAAGCTACGAACAATGAATGGTCGATATAGTTATGTGAGCTTGAAGTATTCTGCCTTTTCTTAAGGGATGGCTCTTTGGAGTTTTTAACAACACGTGCTATGTCTTAATGTTTTAACTTCTCAGTACTCAGAAACTGTACTGTGTTTTTCGGCCAGGCTAGATTCAGCCGAAGTTACATCGTTTATAAAAGTATAGTTAGGCCATTTTATTCCCTCGGTCCCCTCGCAAACCAGTTTCTATCTGCCCAGACAATCATACTGCAGTGTAACTAAGATGCCTCAAAGACTACCATTCGCGGGTAACTTTCCTAGTCTAGCCCGGAGTTAATCGGATTCGAGAGCAGAATTAGAACGGCTTTCAGTTAAATCAATCCGACTCATTCTGATTCGTGTTTCCAACATTTCATAGATTGTCTCAATGAACCCAACTCAGATTAGATGTGCCGCGGTAACATCGCATATAGCAGATGCTCTGCCTAGACCTCAACTCCCAGCCCCATTTTTCAACATCCAATTGAATTGACTGACTCTTACTAGGGCCACTTGCTCTATCTCTTGCCTGATTGCGATCTTTCCGCCGGCCTACAGATAGTAATGTGGCTTCAAGACTACCCCGCGCCGGACAAATTATTCGGGAATATCCGTGCAGAACTTTCAGCCACACACTAGTGTTCAGGTATCATGCAAGAGAAAAGTATCACCTACGGAGAATCCAAGTTAATTTCACTCTGAATTGAAAGCGAAAAAACAAAAATAAGTAGTGGTCGGCAGATCTGTTAGATCACCATCGTGGTTTCATACTATTTCCGCGGGCTGATCACCGCGGGATCTAAGAGTAGCATGGCAAAGCCGTGCGCGCAGCAGAAGACTGAGTACCATTGTATTTGGTCAATGGGATATGCACTGAACGTTTCAAAAACTCTTTGCTATGTCGCATATATGATTAAGAGGTGGTGGCGCCTTTTAATTTCACAATAGCGTTTCAAATGACAGTCGACATTCTTGAGCGAGAAAGTAACCCCCTTTCTGTAGAACGAGCTAGAGAAAACCATGATCGGATCCAGAGGTGTAAGAACCTTAAGAGTCTCGCGATCAAATACCTGGATTAGGTAATGTATAACAAGATACCCATGCTCGATATGGAATCTGTTAAGAAATGAGGAGCCTGTTTAGGTCATAAGGGGACAGGGAGCAATCTGGTAAATGCAATCATAACGTTCGCCTCGTGTGGTAAACGCGGTTTTGTTGCGAGCTTGGTCAGCCGAGCGTTTACTGGTTTTTTTATCTAGTTTGAATGGTGATGGTTTATTATGAAAGCGGCAATAAAGGTCTTCTATTGTGAGTGTGCGTTTGAGAGAAGGTGTAGACAGATTAGTCTTGGAAGTAAGTCGCGGTAGAGAAGATTTGGGGCGCTGAAGAACTGAGGCATAGGTAGGTCGTTGGCGTGTAGTGGAGGTAGCGAGGTTGTGGAGTAGAAAGATTGAGGAGGTTGAGATTGTTGTGGTCCTGGTTCTAGCATGGCAGAGGCCGACTATACGATGGATGGGTCAACGTCCATGGTTGAAAGTCGCTCTGGTAGAGTGGATGCTGGCGCTCTTTCATGGGGCTATCGTAGAGATGATGTTTTGCAGAGGGCCACTATAAGCTCCAGGCAATATCACTGGATTCCTGTACACATCGTGTAATATTACTTTATCAAAGGTATTATGCCATACAAGCTGCAATTTACGATGTCCCTCCACATAATGCGGCCTGCTCAATAATTTATCGGCAGTGGGGCCAGAAAAGAGTTACTGTGTGTGTAGTGATCGAGCCGATTTCGAGAATGACTGTAAAGGTCAACACAACTTTGGCAAAGTAATATCTTCAGAAGAAGATTACAAAAGTGCTTGTGCAACACAGTATCCGTTACTGCATTTCCTATGCTTTACTCTAGAAGATATTTCCATATTCGAGACTGACTGCGGCAGTAAGTGAAAGTGGCATTCGTATCCTATGCCTTTTCTCGCTATCGTCCACAGCGGAGCTGTTGTGACAAATCCAGCGTGACTCCTCTATGCGTTCATTATAAAATGCTGGCCGCTCATGTCAATTCCTATGTCGGGATCAGTGAGCGAACCAGGCCACTCAATGCTTAGCTTAGGCTACACAGTGACGTGCTTGATCTTACTCAGGGAGCGAAGGCCGAGAACTAAAAAAGAATGAGGAAGCAGAGAAGTGCCAGACATTATCCTATTATATGTAGCTAACAATACTGCCATTTCGTTTGTCGGAAATGCCAGAAAACCTTTCATCTGACCACCTCCACATATACGTCAGTGTGAAGCACCGCCCAGCCTTCAATGAACTTTACTTCCATTGGTGGATTCATTTTCCGATCTTTCATACGTGAGCATCTCCTAATTTTATGTCCTCAAAAGGGCATCAGAGAGATGATTTTTTCTTGCTGATCATAATGATGAAATTGCAACTTGATACTATCACTGTGCCCTCTTTCGTCCTCTTTGATTTTACAGCCTTCTCTTCAAAGCAAAGTTTAAATCTAACTTCACCATCCGGTTCAATCTAGTTAATATAGCATATTCACCCTCTTCTTGTTCATCACACGACCTTTTATTGCCTATAAAGGTAAATCATGGCCAACACAGTGGTTCAACTTCGTTGCGGGGTGAAGGTTCGAACGCCTTTTCCTTATTACATGAAACCATATATTCACTGTGCTCTAAACAGAACGACACGTGGGGAAAGAAAGGCAAGCAATCGATGGTAGGCTTGCTCTGGTCTAAAACACCAGATAATACACAGATCGACGAGTTCAAGAACTATTCTGAGGTAACGATACTTCTGATGAGAGGATCCTACTCAATGTGCTGATCGGCTTGTTTAGATGTGGATGGGAACGTACCCCTCTAACCCATCCTACCTTCTCTCCACCGGCGAGCAGCTGGGAGATTATCTTAAGAAGAACCCCCAGTTGGTGGGCAAGTCCGTCTTAGATAGATGGGGACCAGAGATACCATTTCTGCCCAAGGTATCTGAAATTCAAAATATTTTCTAAAGCAGTGACTGACCGAAAAGATCCTTTCCTTCTCAAAAGCACTCCCCCTTCAGATTCATCCCGACCTCGGCTTAGCTGCAAAGTTGCACGAACAAGACCCGAAGAAGTTCTGCGACACCAACCACAAGCCGGAGATAGCAATTGCACTTTCCAAGTTTGAGTTGTTTGCTGGGTGGAAGCCACTCAATGACATCCAGGCCCATTTCAAGTTAAAGCCTCTGGAGAAATTCGTACCGACCCAATGTCACTTCAACGACGAGACATTGCGGCAGATATGCAAGTCGCTGCTGAATGCATCATCGAAGGTCGTAGCGACCACCATCAAGGAGCTACAGGACATCCCTGAGTCGCATTTCGGCGCATATCCCTACATCCCGGGACTGTTAGACAGACTGAGCAAGCAGTACACGGAATTCGACAACGGCAACCTAGTCGCTGCGCTGTTGATGAACTACCTAACGCTGGGACCCGGAGACTCCGTATTTGTGCCCGCTGATAGCATCCATGCATATCTTGAAGGAGATATTGTCGAGTGCATGGCCCGCTCAGATAACGTCATCAACACGGGCTTCTGCCCGCGCGCGGAGCGCGACAGCATCGAGCTCTTCGGCCAGGCACTAACATTCCAGCCACACAATGCGCAGGACGCGCTGCTGCCACGTCTTAAGAGTGACAAGGGCATGAATGGTAAGACGGATGCTTATGCGCCCCCAATTAGCGAGTTTGCCGTGCTGTGCACCTGTCTGGGAGCCGGCGAGAAGGAGACCCATAAATCTATTCTTGGTCCTAGCTTGATGATTGTCGCAAAAGGCTGCGGCTCTATGAATATTCCTGGTGGGGAAAAGGTGGAGTTGAAGGAAGGTTGGGTTTTCTTTGTTGGTCAGGGTACTGCGCTGGACTTTTGCACTGAGAAAGGTATGGCCGTGTACCGCGCATATGCAGAGTAGAACTTGTGGAAATGTTGTGGTGTCTCCTAGAAGGACGGCAATGCGCTAACGGAGAGAATTTTTGGATCTTGAATCATTTAGATTGGTTCGTAGTTAAGTATCTAGTTATTGGTTCTTAACAACAATAATAATATTATTTTACGATCTGCTTGGACTATCCAATCGAGCATCATATCCGAACCATAGCGTCTTATAATTCGCTCAATCCTCAGCGCTTCTACCTTAAAATACGCGCCGGGCGCTGCTGGTGTTGGTGGCGCCAAGCAATTCGTACCAATGTGATCAAATGCATGGATCAGCCGTCAGCGCTAGTTCAAGCGTCTGGCTATTTTAAAAGTAGACTCACAGTGCTATGAAGGCCTGGTCTCGACTAGCGGTAGGCCGTGCCCGCAGACGTGTCTCTTTGTTCTTTCCCATAATCTATCTATAGGTTGAACCTGATACTATCTTTGTGTCTCGCAGCGCGAGAGGCTCCCAAAATAACCCCCCTTGAAACATGGACCGTGTGGCAGAATTTTACCCAACTTGGTTCCAGGTATTGATTGGTTTCATAACTCTATATTAATATCATATCGTCTTGTAGAACTCTCGAGTCGGGGCGTTCCATTACCCAAAACCTCCGAGTCTGAGGCTCGCGAACACGACTTGCCTGTTTGTCTTTACCATTCAAGACAAGATTATTGCCGTTGTTTTTCGCCAAAACTGTTAATAATCTTTTTGACCCCAAGTCATCTTGAGAAGTAAGGCGGGACTCAAATATTCTCAAAAAGGGGTCATTAAGGGTAACGCTAAATAGTGCCAAACGGGTTCCGTTACTTCTTCTCCCGCAAAGAGAGAGCGAAGCGAAAGCGCGATCAACAAGACGGGCAATGTAGCTCTGTCCAAATCCCACCCGCCCATAAACCAGACGAGTACTGTGCACCCCAGAGAGCAAATCCACGACCACTGTCCTCCTTCGCTCCCGATCTTAGTCGTCAGTCCCAGTACTGTCCACGAACATCGCATGAACAGCCGCCGCCCTACCAGAGACAAAGGCTTCCAGTATACGACCCTTCCAAATACCATCCTGTGGCTCTCACACACCTCAATACGTTTTCCCACATGAGAGAACACTCTTCCCGTCTGAGTGGCGTACACTACCCAGACCCAAGGTCGTCGATATACCGGCCATCGCTGGATGGAAACCCGCGCATTGTGCCAATGGGGGCATTTGATTTAGCAGTGCCTGCCCCCAGACCGCAATCGTTTAATTCTTCTACTTCTGCTCGGTCGGCAGGAAAAGGGTTTCCTAGGCAAGGCGAGGGTAGAGAAAGAGCAATTTCTGAGCCCCTGTCCGTTACTACTCCTCAGAGGACTAGGGAAAGGCAGAAACCTGTTCTATCACGATTAATAACCAATTTCAGATGATCTACTGCATGGAAACTTCACGACTATTATGAGAAGCGGGGCGTACGGGGATTCTGAAAATTTATCCATTTTAGGGGGATCAATCGCCAATTAGGAGATTCGCCCGGAATATGGAATCGAAAACGAGAGTCCTTGAGCTTTGCTATAGCAAATCGCCTGACTACTTTGTCGTAAAGAGAGGAGATTTTCCCATTCCGTGGCTAATATCTTAACCATTACTTGCTGTACGGGATCTGGGATCAAGCGAGAAAGCTGGCAAGAGTGGCGACTTGTTTCCCGATCGATACACGCCCGTTGGGGGCTTATGGTCCTCCCATACTTGTCCTAAGCAGCGTGTCTCATTGGCAGTACATTCGAAGTGACTGCTGCGGAAGCCCTGAATATGGATCATGAAATCAAAACTCAAAGAGCAAGGTCACGTAGTCATTTATTTCATGGGGACATGCCCATCATACGTTCGAGATTCATTGGGCCTCGCGGGTCAAACGATCAGGTAACAGTAGTGTTCTCTATTAGTCTAGGAAGTATCGAAATCTGGACGTTCGAAGGTCCCACGTGGAATTGTACATCGCGAAGAAATAAATCTCTGATTCTAGTAAATCTGACCAACATTTTAAGGGGCGTACTAGCTAGTGAATGACTAATACACAATAGGAAATATTGATGAGGGGTAAAATCCCTGTATGTGACCTGTAGGAATTCCAATTCTTGACAGAAAGCAGCGATCATTATATCATCATGATCATGATCACCTCTGAGGTCATCTCCTTGCAGCGGAGTTTAGCGCCTTTGGTTGGGGGCCGTGCTCCCCCACCCCACGGCCTCATCCATACGGGTGGCTGGTCGGTCCCTAGATTGATGTAACTCTGCTATGTACAGTATGTTCGGCCCACTCATTATTGGCTCTATTCCTAGCTTCTAGGCACTCAACATACAATGTGCTTTCCCAACCCCGCAAAAGCTTGATCCAACCGAGATGGGGAATGCTACAATGACACATCAATCTCCTGGCTCGTGCCGCTTGGGTCGCGTCCGAGAGGGTCCTCAACTCGCCGGGTGCCTGGCTTCGGGCTGCACTCGACCGACTAATTACTACCGACTTATGTGCGGGGAAGAGCAATCGAGAGGCCGCCAATGTTCTCCTAGATTATAAAGGGTTACAAGATCGCATTGGGGTCTTAACCATCATCTTTTCACGGAACAACAGGAGTTGAAAGTCAATAAATATGGTTGGCTTCGCAAAACTTCTGGCAGGTTCTCGGCTACTGCCGATAGTGTACGGGGCGAGTTCAACCGTGTCCTATGCGTCGACGACCTCGGTGCGCACCCAATTCACCCTTCCGGCGTCTGCAGATATCGGGGAGCAGTTGATCGCCAACATCGATGACCCCGAGGCAATTAACGCCCAGTCCGCTTGCCCTGGTTATAAGGCGTCAAATGTGAGACAATCTTCTAACGGACTGACAGCCAAACTGCTTCTGGCGGGCAACCCGTGCAATGCGTATGGGACTGATGTAGATTCCCTGGATTTGTCTGTGGAGTACTTGGCAACGGATCGACTCAACATTCAGATTATCCCTACTCATATCGATTCCACCAACGAATCATGGTACTTGTTGGGAGAAAATCTCGTTCCTCGACCCCAAGCGGATCAAAATGGATCGAGTAAGGACAGCGACATCGAATTCTCGTGGACAAATGATCCCACGTTTAGTTTCACTGTGACCCGGAAGGCCACTGGAGATATTCTCTTCGACACAAAGGGTTCCGTCCTAGTTTACGAAGATCAGTTCATCGAATTTGTGACTTCCTTGCCCAAGGACTACAATTTGTACGGAATCGGAGAGCACATCCAGCAGCTCCGGCTCCTTGAGAATTTGACTCTAACCCTCTATGCGTCAGACATTGGGGACCCAATTGATGGGTAAGTCGTGTGGCTCGCCGCTTTTAAAGTTCCAAGAAATCTTTCCACAAAGGACGGACGCTCTTGATGCTAATATGCGTTTGATTTCTAGAAACATCTATGGCTCTCATCCTTTTTATCTGGATACCCGATATTTTGAGGTTGATGATCACGGTTCTCATAGCTTGGTCGCAAGCGACCAGGCCGATCAGTCCAAGAAATACGTCTCCTACTCACACGGGGTCTTCCTGAGAAATGCTCACGGCCAGGAGGTTCTCACGCATCCTCAGAATCTCACGTGGCGTACGTTGGGTGGTAGCATTGACCTGACTTTGTATTCAGGACCGAGCCAAGTCGATGTCACTAAGAACTATCTGACCAGCACTATTGGTTTGCCTGCGATGCAGCAGTATTTCGCATTTGGCTACCACCAGTGTCGTTGGGGCTACCAAAACTGGTCTGTAGTCGAAAATGTTGTTGACAACTTTGAAAAGGCCGGAATTCCTTTGGAAAACATGTGGTTCGTTGACTTGGATGGCATTATCTTGCAGTTGAACGGAAGGGAAGGCTAATAACGTGGTGACAGGAATGACATTGATTACATGAAGACATATCGTGATTTCGATAATGATCCCATTCGGTTTTCTTACGAAGAAGGCGAGAAATTCTTGGAGAAGCTGCACCAAAGTGGCCGCCATTATATCCCCATCGTGGATTCGGCGCTCTATATCCCGAACCCGAACAATGCCTCTGATGCGTCAGTCGGAATTTGTTCTTACAGTCAAGGTCGCTGGCTGACCGTTCTCTAGATATGACACCTACACTCGCGGGGCTCAAGACGATGTATTTTTGAAGAACCCGGATGGCAGCCTCTACATCGGTGCTGTCTGGCCGGGCTACACTGTTTTCACTGACTGGCATCATCCCAAGGCCGGTGATTTTTGGACGAATGAGATGGTGACTTGGCACCAGAAGTTGCCGTTTGATGGGATCTGGATTGATATGAGCGAGGTGTCCTCCTTCTGCGTTGGCAGCTGTGGGAGTGGCAACCTGTCGCTAAATCCCATTGATTCCCTGGGCTCTGGATCCAGTCCCCCGAGCGTCACTTCCTACCTGCGCACCACACCCACTCCCGGCGTACGCAATATCAACCACCCCCCTTATGTCATTAATCACGATCAGACCGGTCACGACCTCGCCGTGCACGCTGTCTCTCCAAACGCAACCCATGTTGATGGGATTCAGGAATATGACGTGCACAACCTGTATGGGCATCAACTACTCAATGCCACCTACCATGGTCTACTCGGCGTCAATTCCACCAAACGCCCCTTTATCATCGGACGCTCGACTTTTGCCGGATCGGGAAAATGGGCGGGCCATTGGGGCGGCGACAACTACTCCCTGTGGGCGTATATGTTTTTCTCCATCCCGCAGGCGCTCTCCTTCTCGCTCTTTGGGGTTCCTATGTTTGGGGTTGATACATGTGGCTTCGCCGACAACACCAACGAGGAGCTTTGCAACCGATGGATGCAGCTTTCAGCCTTCTTTCCCTTCTACCGAAATCATAACTCGATCGGGAACATTCCGCAGGAGCCGTACCAGTGGCCGTCTGTTGCGGAGGCTTCCAGAACCGCCATGAAAATCCGATATGCCCTTCTGCCGTACATCTACACCCTGTTCCACCAAGCACATACGACTGGTTCGACGGTCATGCGCGCGCTGGCCTGGGAATTTTCGAACGATCCCTCGCTAGCCGTGGTGGACACGCAATTCCTCTTGGGTCCGTCCATCATGGTGGTTCCGGCGCTTGCGCCCTCTGTCGATACGGTGCAGGGTGTCTTCCCTGGCGTGAAACAGGGTCAGATTTGGTACGACTGGTACACACAGACTGCGGTCGACGCCCAACCGGGCGTGAATATGACTATCTCGGCCCCTCTAGGTCATATCCCCGTCTTCGTGCGTGGCGGCAGTGTTCTTCCTATGCAGCAACCCGCGATGACGACTCGGGATGTCCGCAGCAGCCCGTGGTCTCTACTAACGGCGCTCGCTGGCGATGGAACCGCATCGGGACAATTATACATTGACGACGGGGAAAGCCTGGTTCCAGATGCCACGCTCAGCGTTGAGTTTGAGGCATTCCAATCCAGCCTCCGCGCCTCAGCTAAAGGCAACTGGAAGGAACCCCAGTCACTCGCCAACGTCACCGTTCTCGGGTTGACCCATCCGCCTCGGGAAGTGACCTTCAACGGACACAAAGTCCCGGCGTCATCGGTCCAATACAATGCTCACTCGCGGGTGTTGTCGGTGAGCGGCCTGCAAGACCTGACTTCGGCGGGTGCGTGGAACAAAGATTGGGTTCTGAAGTGGTAAATTCGATTGACTAGAGTGATTACCGCCCGTCGGGGCCGAAGGCCTGTTGAGCAGCGTGCTATGTAGTATGATTGGTGTATCCGGTGCAGCTCGCCATCACGGTGGATGGCTTCATCACCGGGCAGAGGGTTGCTGGGTTGAAACAAGAATCTCATTTCTCTACACAAGACCCAATTGGGCCGAAATACCGCGGAATTAGAAAATGCTTCAATCCCACCGTGTAATTGGCCCTTGGTATCCTCTCGTACATTTGCCATCCTGTCTTAGCTTCTACATAAGGGACAAAAAGGTGGAAAGGGCGATCCAAGCTCAGGTCTCGCAAAACGACCCTACTTGGCCACCTCCAGGATCTCTCTGAGCCCCTGCAAATCGGGCAGATTCTTCTTCCCCGCGAGCACATCGCTGAGCGTGTTCGTAGCGACCTTTTGAATTTGCTGCTCGTCCGTCACACCCACCTCGGCCAGGGTGTGGGGCAGTCCCAGCAGCGCGACGAAGCGTGCGACCGCATCGCCAGCCTGTGTCTCCTGCCACCCCAGCGTCTCGTTGAAGATGGTGAGGATGCGCGCCTGGGGCGCCTCTGTGTCGTGTGCGGTATACCGAAGGACATGCGGGAGCAGAATGCAGCTTGTGATTCCTGTTCATTTCATTGAGCGACAGGTACGATCGTATCATTGGGCTTTCTTACCATGCTGTACACCGGCCAAGCTTCCCTGGAGTACTTATTAGGAAAGCGTACCCCCCGGATCAAATCCAATAGCTTCTTACCAGTTGATGCCCCATTGCATGGCTGGCGCCAAAGCGCACTCCCCATTTCATGTACGGAAGAAGCGCCTCGCGCGATCCTTGCTGGCACTCCGAAATCCCGCGCAGCCGCTCTGTCTCGTCCATCGTCTCGTGGCCGGCATGGTACTCGCACAGCCCACGGAGCATCTTGCACAGCCCCGCGGAAATGACTTCCTGTGCCTCCGCCGGACAGCCGGGATAGCACATCCCCTCGACAAAGTGGTCGACCGCGCGCATCCCCGACGAGAGCCACAGATGGGCGGGCGTCGTGGAGGCGACCCGCGGATCGAGCAGGATGAGTGATGGCGCACCCTGGTCGTGCGCGAAGTGTTGCTTCTTGCCCAGCGGGTTCGTCGCGCTGGCGAATGTATTCCACTCGCCGGCACTCAGGCTGGTGGGCACGCAGATCAGCCGCGCAGTTGGAGCACGCAAACGATCGTGGCCGGCCAGCCCTGTCACCGGATCGACCAAAGCTTCCATATCTGCCGCGTCAAATCCAGCGGGCAGCGTGGCCGCGAGCATCAAGGCCGCTTTGCAGGCGTCGGAGTAGGAACCCGAGCCGACACTCACGACAGCGTCGAGGGAGCCGGCCTGCACGCGATGCGCGATTTCAATCACATCCTCGTAGGGCGAGTGGCTCCCGACTCCAATCTTTTTCGATACCTGATACGGACGGCGGGCCAGACGGTCTTCGAGGTTACGGATCACATCTGTTTTGGTGTCGAGGCTCGTGCTGACGACGAGCAGCACGCGTTCTGCTTGCCACCGGGCGAGGGCGTCGGGGATATCATCGAGGTACGAGGCGTGCAGAATGGCCTCATGGCCTTCACGGCCAGCCAGAGGGAGCTGTTGGACACGCATGATGAGTCGTGGTCCTACCGGTCGGTCGGCGTCCATTTGCCTCCGCACTCCCGCTGATTGGCTTGCCTCCGACACCGCCTCTCCCATCATCTGCCCACCCTGCGGCACCTTCCTTCTCATCTCATCCATCCGCTTCGTTCGTTGTATCCGGGACTGGTTTCTTCCTCTTCTGATTTTTATGGCCATGTCTACCCAGTCGTAGACTCCTACCTTCCCTCTTCCGGCCCAACTCCTGTCACCTTGGCTGGTGTGCCTGGTGATCCCTCCGCGCTAGCCGTGACGATCTCCCCACGCCGTACCTCTGGCAGATCTAGTGTCTGCCCGGCCCGCCCCAGCCTCATTTCATACTATATATTCTTCTTCTTCCCCTTCTTGCTGTATTCGTTCTTGGTTGCTGCTCATCGCTTCGCTCGTTTGTGCTCATCGCGACCGCCCCCGTGCCTCCGCCACCATGCTCGGCGAACGCCACCCGGAGGCCAACCGGCTCTATGTGCCCCCGTTACTCGAGGAGGACCCGCGCATGGCTGATCCCGACGCTTCCGAAGACCTGCCACCCCCAGACGTCGAAGCTGGCAGCGTGCTCCCCGTCTGGCTACAAGAGTCGTCCAAGTCTTTTCGCTGGCAATGGGTGCCTTTGCCACTTCGCAAGGCCGGTCGGGCTACCGCTCGATGGGTCAAGGGCCCGGATCCACCGCATATGCTCTTGTTAAAGCCGTTGTTCCCGCGCTTCCAGGAGCTACCCGTCCAGTACCTGGATCACTTCTTTCCCAAGCGCAAGCACAAGGTCTCTCTCTTGATGCTTTTGTATCTGTCGTGGTTTCTGCCTTGGTTCCTGGTTTTGCTACACTCGCGCTCCTCGGGTTACATCGAAGGATATGGTCGGCCGCAGACTCTCTCATGCTCGACGAATTTCTGGTAACTACCGTCCGCGGGTTTGGAACTTAGATCAGCGCTAACGATTTTTGTCTTGATGCAGGGATTTCGGCAACGGATGCGGTCTCAACGGGAACAACTGCCGTCCATTTTCCTCGTCGACGGTCGCCTTCCGGTGTCCTGCGAACTGCCGTGATACCAAGCTGTTAGAGCCTCATATCGTTGGAAACCAGTCATACAACTACCAAGGACTGGTGATTGGGGGCCCGCAACCAGATAAGCCTGATCCCGCCATCTATCGCGCCGACAGCTTTGTCTGTCAAGCGGCGATTCATGCTGGGGCCATTCCGAACTCGGTCGGCGGCTGCGGTGTTACGAAGCTCGAAGGCGCAGCCCACTCCTATCCGTCTGTTAAGCAGAACGGGATCGAATCGGTGGAATTTCCGTCTACCTTCCCCAAGTCCTTCAGTTTCCTGAAACTATCGTCGTCGCAGGCAACCTGCCCACCGGACCCGCGCTGGCCGCTCCTCGGGGTCACCATCGCCGCGGTTGGCGTCCTATGGCTCTTTTGTACATCTCCACCGGTGCTGTTCTTCAGCACATTTTTCATGGTCTTTTGTCATACAGGCCTGGTCGCTGATCCCCCCTCGTATCCTTTCCTGACCGACCTCGTGTCCGCCCTACTATCTCGGTTGTTGCCGGCATCATTTGTGGCCTATGTCCTCTACAAATTTTGTGCAGCGCCACTACTGCAACCTATTACGTCGCCCATCTACCAGCTGTCGAAGATGTTCCTATATTTGCCGCCAGTCTTCTTCGGGGCTCTGAACAACTACACTTTTGCGCGTTTGATTCCACTTCAGCGCCTGACACCGAAGGACATCCAGCAACAGCCCGGTGCAAAGCTGGCTTTGGCCCTAGTGATTCCTACTATTATCGCCATCGTTCTGAGCCAAGCATGGCAGATTCGCCAGGGTGGGCTGATGCCGCGATACCTGAAGATTTATTGCACTATGGGCCTGATAATTCTTATTCTCCTCCCGCTTCCGGGCCTACGCCTTCGCATCCATCATTACATTCTCGCCATTCTGCTCATGCCTGGCACCGCCTTTCCAACCCGCCCCTCATTGGTCTACCAGGGCTTGCTTCTGGGTCTCTTCGTCAACGGAGTCGCACGTTGGGGATTCGCCTCAATTATTGAGACTCCTGCGGCTCTCGGTGAACGAGTGTCCAGTCCTGATGGACACAACTGGTGGTCTACATATCCAAACATCACAAATGCATCGGTCACGATCTCCTTGTCGGATTTTGGAACCAATAACAGCCATCGAGGCAATGGAAATATCTCGTTTACTTTGTGGGAACACGAGCGGATGGCTAGTCTTGCTGTCGACGGGATCTCAGTCTTGCTCAATGACGTTGAGCGCTATCGAGGCTATCTAGACGAAGACCCGCAAGGTGAATTTACCTGGCACCGCCATGGTCACGACGGCTTGGAATTGCAACATGGCTCGCGCCTGGCTCGCCGCAACGGTGAGGGACAGCAACCCGTCGGATCTCAGTCCATTTTGCTCACTGATGGTGATACGGACGATGAGACTGAAGACCTCTTCTTCCGCTTTGCATTTCTTAGAGGGTCTGAGGCTGGCATGTATGGACCTGCAGGGGTGTGGGAGAGCGATGGCGAGTGGCATTCTCCGTCGCCGCAACGAAGTAGTCGTGGCTCATGATTTTGGCTTTTGGAGTTTGTGTTACTTTTGTTGATACATAGAATCTATATTGGCGTGTGGTCTTGGATTGGGCAGAGGCGTTGGTAAGAGTTGAATGATCCTTGATGTGCTTATTATCTCTCGGCTTATATGATGTTCGGTCTATACTTCCCCTCCCGGGAGTCTATGCTTGAAGTAGCTACTTTTGTATCTGTGATCTTTTCCGACCCCGCGAACCGTCGGCCCTGGAGGCTGGGTGAAGCTCGCTCGAACTACCTGCTACTAAGATCATGGATGATAAGCGATTCCCTCATAACCTGGTGGTCAACCAAGCAGGTGAACAGGTGCAGCAGGGACCTTATGGTTGGTCCTAAATGCTACATAGTCACCCCTTTGTTCTTGTGGTCTTAGTATTCTTCATTATTCATAAACTATCCATCGATTCTCATATGGATTGATAAATTTTGTTTCAGTTCAACGATACTGGTCATACGCTTGAGCCTCCTTCTTCCGCATGTCCACCCGTTGCAACACCACGGCGTCGTAGATTTCGCTCACGTTTTTCCCGCCGTGCAGCACCTCGCGCTCGTGTCGAGCCGCTTCTTCTTTGGTCATGCACACCAATTGATCCAGCTCCACCGCAACGGTCTTCTGTCCTTCCTTCTCCAAGGTGAGATTCATTCTGAATCCAGCAGGGGGCACCTGCCACGGTACCAAAACCAGCCGGTTGCCCAACCCGCTGACAGCGCTCTTCCCGCGCCAGACGTCGTCCACGAGAAAAGCGATGTCGTCCTTGTTGACGGGCAGGCGGAGTCCGATAGGGTCTTGGCCGGCTACCTGTCGAACTAGACGTTCGTACAGACTTTGCAAAGAAGCCATCATGCCATCGTACATCTTGTCGCGGCCCTTCGAGCTCATGCTGTATTCGATTGGATATCCCGTCACGCTGCAGATCACATGGTTGGCGACTGTGTACCCAAAAACCGCAGGCATGGTCCCCAACACAGGCAGAATGCGTACCCGGAAGTCTGGGAGCACGCCCAGCTCGCCGACTTGGCCCTTGGCATACTCATCTTCCGGTAGCGGGAGCAGACTCGCTTTGCCTGGTCCTGGCTTCTCAGTCGAGAACACTGCTGCAACCCCTGAACTGACACCCATGGCTTTTAACCGACGTCGCGTGCTGCGAGACAGGGGATCATCCGTGCTCTGGGAGATGTCACCAACCACGATGCGAGTCGGGTCTGATTTGCAGCCCGCACCCATAGATGAGATCACCGGCAGAGAGTTCGCGTGGCAGTAGTATAACAAGTCCACCTTAGAGGTGATATTGTCGATACAGTCAAGCACATAGTCAGGACGGCGTCCCTCGCCGTCATGAGTCAAGGTCCACGGCCCCAGCAATGTTTCAGCGACTGACTTGCCGAACAGCTCGTTGCGGCAATCGAACATGACCCACGGCGCAACCTGTTCAAGTCGCCGCCGGATACAATGTACTTTCGGTGTTCCCACGTCCGCCAATGTGGCGACGGCATGTCGGTTTAGCGACGACAGCGTGACCTGGTCAAAGTCGATAAGCCGGATCTTGGATACACCGGACCGAGCCAGTGCCGCTGCAGCGTGCGATCCGACACCCCCACAACCGACAACGACGATAAAGGAGGAATGCAGGCTTGCTAGGCCTTCATCAGTCAGAAAGACGCGGTTGCGTGCGAGTTGTTCGAGAATGAGGTCTGTCGGAGACGAGTTTAGATGTACACGTTGCAGCAACATTAAAGTAACATACCATCATCGTAGTCTCCTTGTTGCGCCCTACGCGCCAAAGCTGTGCTGCGTTCGTCCTCCTTGCTTAATTGCACATCCGAGGCTGCGGCGCCGAACTGCGTGAGCTTCAGGTCCACCAATCAGCCCTTGTATTGTAGAATTCGAAAGGATAAAACTCACCTTGTCCGCATGGTGCCGCTCACCAATCTCCGGGATGGAAGCCTTCAGGTCATGCACGGCCTCCTTCCGGCGAAAAGCTTGGTATCCGAAAATCGCGCCCGCTACAGCCGCGCCAGATAGCACGGCCGTTGTGGTGAGCTGCGTGGGATGGGAGCCCGCCTGGCGTTGCAGCCAGGACGCCATGTTCCCAAGCACACCCTTGTCCTCGGCGTCTGGTGTCCTGCGTTGGGGGTCTGGATTGGATCTGTCGCCATCGTCAGAATCGAAGCCGTAGTCGAGGTCGGCATCATTGGGCGGGGAGGACCACCACTTGGGGGCCCGGGGAGGCATGATTGCGCTTGCAAGAATGAAAAACTTACTGGACACACCTAGTAATCGTAGTAATGATGCTGTGACGAGCGAACAAACCAGTCGAGAACGGGATTGATCCGGGCCATCACGTGAGGCGGTAGCAAATGTAGTAGATCGAGTCGGAACCTACATGTACTATTAATTAATACTAATACTGGACGTCCATGAACAATGTTGAGACAAATAGTAATCCGAGGTGAAAGGGTCCCGCCTCCATCGGCATCCATGATCTTTCACTGGCAAGTGGTGTCGACGGATTGGTTGCCCGTCATGTGATCGTGTGCCTGAGTCCGACCTGCTTCTTTCCGCTCCGGTGTTGCATCGCAGCAATCATCATGTCGACCCTCGCTCCCTTCGTGGTGCCCGCGCTCAAGAAGCATACCGCCACGGTCATCATTGCCCATGGCCTCGGCGATACGTGAGTAGACGACTCGGCCACCGTATGGACACGAGAACTGACCATCGACCCTAGTGGCGCCGGATGGTATCAACCCCTCGAATGACCGAATTGTTAGTCGACGTTAACATTCGCAGGATGGCCCTTGCCCAGAACTGGCGCCGTCGAGGCAAGTTCGACGAGGTGGCCTTTGTCTTCCCCAATGCGCCGTCGATTCCGATCACCTGTGTATGGACGAGCCCAACGGTCCATCGGTCCATCTACCGAAGACAGACTAACTCGTCCTCCAGAATTTTGGCATGAGCATGCCGGGCTGGTACGACATTGCCAAACTCGGCTCGGATGTATGGCTTGCCTCCCTCCCTGAAACCAATCCCTCACTCACGCGCGAATAGGTGGACTGGAAAGAATCCGTTAACCTACAAGACGAACCGGGCATCCTCCGCTCACGCGACTACTTTAACACACTGATCAAAGAAGAAATGGACAAGGGCATCAACCCGTCGCGTATCGTGCTTGGTGGGTTCTCGCAGGGTGGCGCCATGTCAGTGTTCACCGGCGTAACGGCGAAGGAGAAGCTGGGGGGTGTTTTCGGGCTGTCGTGCTATCTTCTTCTCAGCGATCGCATCAAGAGCTACACGCCCGAAAACTGGCCGAACAAGAACACGCCCTTTTTCTTGGCTCATGGGTTGGATGATGCTGTGGTGCCTTTCCAATTTGGGGAGAAGTCATCGCAGACTCTGAAGGAGCTGGGGTTGAAGGATGTTACGTTCAATCGTTATTCGTATGTTGCTTGTGGTCTCTCTCACTTGGGTATGTGCTAACGCTGTCTGCAGCGATCTCGGCCACTCTGCGGACCCCGCTGAGATCGATGATCTCGAGCAGTTCCTGCAGAAGACCATCCCGCCCGAAGGAGATGGCCAGGCGACTGCTGGGTTATGACTTGGTGATCCCCGTGCTCGCTGGACTGAAAGGCTGCAGACTTCATGGGGCCCTGCCTTGATTCTCGGATTTGTGATGCTACTTTTTGCGATTGCATTGTCTCGATCTCAGTCTCCGAAAGCACCCAATGCTGCTCGAAAGCAGCACTAGTTGATCTGGGAGGATTTTACTCGGTACATAGGCTTCGGGTGATAGATGAGATGATCAGAGATACGAGCGTGTTCTCATTGATATCCGCGTATTAGGATTACTCTTCAGCTGCACGAATGAAACTCCTAAATGGACATTGCCCTTGCCACCGTCTCTTCGATCGCTCTTGTCATCCCATCCGTATTCTTCACATCGAAGGGCACCATATGCTTCGATCCATGATCATAAATCACCGCCTGAGAGGGCTCACACAGACCATACAACTTCATGCTCTCCGGGTACAGCGGATCCAGCTTGCCGACAATATGCGCCGTGGGGATGGAGATGGTGTATGTATCCGGCTGCGGCGTGATATATGCCATGCCCGAACGGTCGAACGGACATCCTCCACAGAGAAAAACAGCCGCGCGGAACAACGGCGGAGCATGTGGGTTCTCCTTGGCGTGGTGAATTATCAGCGCCGCGGCCAACGCCGCACCCTGGCTGAACCCCATGACGGCATCGAAAGGCCCTTGTTCGGAAATGATCCTGTAGGTGTGCTCGAAAGCCTCGAGGACGCCCGCGCCCGGCGTTGGACCTCGCGGGTAGTGGTTGTAGAAGGGACCGTCGAAGATGCCTTCGAGTTCTGGAACAACCTCCTGAGTCAATATTGCTTGGCTCCGAGGGACAAGGGACATACCCGACTCGACTTGCGCATCCTGTCGGCCATTCACGAAGATAAAGCGGTGGCCCTTCTTCTCGAGCTGCTGTCTCAGTCCGCCGGTTTGGATTTCCAAGATCTATCCCAGTCAATCAGCAGCAATCACCGCTTCTTAGAGCGCGAGATCTTACTTCGGCATTTGTTCCGCTGCCGTGCAGGCAGAGGAAACGCATGTTCGTGTGATGGGAGGATAAATCTAGATGAGAATACTCCTCGGGCGCAGTAGCTAGTTTATGTATCGTGCAGATGCAGGGGGGGCCACTCGGATCAAGCAGAAATCCAGGCAATAATCGGCCGGCCCTTGCCTCCTCTGACAGTCTGACTTACGACGGGAATAGCTACCTACTACCGAACTATTGGTAAATCACTGTGGTGGTGTTCCGCCGTACATTGAATTACTGTGGTAACTTCCGCCCTCGATGTCTCCCACTGTTGCAATCCCTGTAGTTAGTACTGCCCAGATTGCTAGGGCCAGCGACAATAATTCTCTCATCGTCACCCTGACACTACTATCTCTCGATTTCCTTCGTTCTTCTTCTTGCAGGGCCCGCATCATGGACGGAGTGATCTGCATCTTTAGTAGCTGCTCGGGTCGCCCCGGCTTCCTCGCCCCCGTCGCCATGACATTCTGGTCTCACCCCGGATCGCTGGACAAGGAATCATGGAAATCCGCGACGTGCTCTGCCTGCGCGGCTTTGCGACTTACGCCGCCCGCCATCCCTGGGAGATGTGCGCCAGCGTCGGGCCAACCCTGAGCGAGGCCACTTTTGGTCTACTCGGGTCCTCGTTCAAGCCAGAGCGCGACTTCAGAAACCTCGAGGGCAGGGTGGTCTTGGTCACTGGTGGTACATCCTCCAACGACTCCCGACCAGTGCCGACTACTAACTAACCGCCCTGGTCTCTACAGGGAATACCGGCCTCGGCAAGGAGACCATCCTCCAACTCGCGAAACACAACCCGGCACGCATCTACCTGGCCGCCCGCACCGAGAGCAAGGCGCGAGAGGCGATCAGGTCGATCCAAGCCAGCCTCTCCTCCCCCGCCGACATCAGATTTCTCCCGCTCAACCTGGCCTCTTTCACATCCATCCGGGCCGCGGCAGCCAAATTCCACACCGACTGCGACCGACTGGACCTCCTTATTCTCAATGCGGGTACAATGGGCAATCCGCCGACCACAACCGAGGACGGATTTGAGGTGCAGCTCGGCACGAACCATGTCGGCCACTTTCTCCTGACGAGGCTGCTTCTGCCCACGTTACAACAGACCGTCGATTGCGAGAAGGCGAAGGGGATCGACCCTGACGTCCGCGTGGTAACACTAGCTTCTCTCGCCCATGTTATCTCCCCATCTTCCCTTGAAGAAATGACATCCACGCCCGGCCTGTTGGCAGGCAGCACCTGGACTCGATATGGTGCCTCCAAGGCGGCCAACATTTTATTTGCTTCCGAGCTTGCGCGTCGACATCCCGAGATACTGTCAGTGGCGGTCCACCCGGGAACGGTCAATAGTGATCTGTACGGGCATGCTAGTAGGGCCGATGCCATGACAAAGTATAGCGTGGGTGTCATGCTACTTTTCTTCCGGAATGTCTCCAGTGGTGCGCTCAATCAGCTCTGGGCGGCTGGAGTTTCTAAGGAGAACCTAGTCAATGGAGCTTACTATACTCCCGTTGGGTATCGCACCAGCGGAACCACTGTCGTCCGGAATGCAGATCTCGCTCGGGAACTCTGGGACTGGACGGAGGTGCAGGTTGCCGCTTACACAGACTCCAAAGCTCTATGATAAACGAGATATAACAAAATATCATAAATTATTTGGACCTCATAAATTGGCTTGGCATGGTCGAAATACCATGAAGATACTATAAAATCGTATACTAAACAATCGTGGTTGAGATACTGAGTTGCAAAATCCCCCGTGTGCTATATGGGAGCCAAGACGACCTATTGGTTCCTATTGCCCAATACCGCACCTTAATACTGTAGTCATACGCTCGCACTGAGTGATGATTCTTGGTCATCTGTTCTTACAAAACCCCCTTACCTTTGATCGACTCGATCGCTTTTTTGAATTCAACGCAAACAATAGCTGTTTACGGAAAGGTGCCGCAACCCAAAGCGACCTGCGAGCGCTAACTAACGGACTGTGGTAATGATAGTTAGCTTTTACAATTCTTTGAGTACGACAGACCCGCGTTAGGGACTTAGGAGGGCTGTGCTGCTCCTCGCGGAAGTAATTTTATTGAAGATTTCATTATTATGAGCTTCTTAATATCACTCGACGTGGTCCAATCCGTACCATACTGCCTCATCTTTCCTAGTAGCCTATAACGCGCTTTTCTTAAGGAGTGCATGCCCCAGCAACACATTTAGAGCCCTCCGTCTGGAGATACTGTACAGTACTGCTAATCTTTCTACACAAGCAAGGGAAGAAATATCCGCAAGACAATTCATCAGAATCGCTGACTGCCATCAGGAATTGTTTCCCCAAGGATCTTGATTGGATGCTTCAGAGTAGCGCATCATCTGGTCGCTTCAGGGAACGGTCACCTCAAGAATGACAATAGAAGCCGAGGACCTGGGATATTTCCTGTACCAGATGCATATTACGTTCCCTTGGTATGATGAAGCATCCCCTAAGAACAAAGTCAACACTAATGCGAAAGAAACGATGCCCGTAATCAGGGCCATTATTATGACACAGGAGTGGAAGGAGGAATTTAAGATATCTTCCAAGTTACCTTGGACGCCCTACAGTGCAAGAGATGCTTATGTATATTTTCGTGTTACGCCTTGCTCCTTCCCACCTGGAATTTAGGGCACTATGGGGTCAAATTGGAGGATACTCGGTGGCGAATCTTGACGGACGGGTTGTGGAACAGACTGATTGCTGGCCGCAGCCATGACCTCGTAGGCCAACACTAGAAAGGCGGTGGATAATCGTCTAGTTCCCCTTCAGGAGAACGCTCCCCAAATATCCGTTCCACCGTTGGAAATGGTGTGGCCGATCGAGTCAGTTCCCCGTTGGCGGGTATGCCGATCATCCGTGACCCCTCAAAGCGCACTTCGCTTCCAAAAGGCTGAAGCGAAAAATCGGCTATTACAGAAAGTCTGTTCAATAGCCGCACATATAATGATATATAAACCAGTATCACCGGCAATTGTTTCTCTGAAACTGTGGCGAATGATGTAACACAGTGTTGCGCTCGGACAGACGGGCACGAATAGTGAAAACCCCTCCGTGTGGAAGTTACAAGTATATAGATCACTATTATGGCCTCCCATTTTCTTTAAAAACCTCTGTACTATACATGCAAAATATTTATTCACTCATTTGAAAGCTATCAACCTAAAAGCATCGATCACTGCATCATGAAGCCTTGGATTCTCCTGGCCTGGGCAACTGCAGTGGCCTCCTATGTGGTCCATGACAACTCCACGTGCATCATATATCCCCAGTCTCTAGCCCATGAAGGGTCGTCGATCGATGATGCACCGTCGATTCACCAAGCCTTTGATCTCTGTGGGACTGATGGAAAAGTAATCTTTTCGAATCATACGTTCCATATCAATTCTGTTTTGAATACCACGAATCTCGTCAACTGCGAAGTCTTGCTCCGTGGAGAGCTTCGCTTCTCTGACGACATATCCTACTGGCGCTCTCACTCCTACTCAGTGGTTCTACAGAACCAATCTACAGCCTGGCTCTTCGGAGGCACCAACGTCACCCTGCGCGGTGAGGGAGGCTGGTACAACGGAAATGGCCAAGCTTGGTACACTGAGAACAGAAATGGTGCCAATCAGCCGGGACGTCCGATCAGCATCACTTTCTTCAATTCGACAAATCTACTGGCAGACCATTTGACGATCATCCAACCTCAGTTCTGGGCAACATTCGTCTGGCAGAGCAAGAACGTCTCAATCACCAACTTTTTTGTCAATGCCACGAGCGATAACCAGTGGGATACCACCAATACTGATGGCTATGACTCCTGGAATAGTGACATGCTTCTAGTCGAGAACGCGACTATTACCAATGGCGATGATTGCATTGCGGCTAAGGGAAATACCACCAATCTTTTAGTCAAAAACGTAACATGCCACCAGTCCGTTGGTATGACTATTGGGTCCGTGGGCCAGTATCCCAATATGCCAGACTACAACATCAATATCACCTTCGAGGATGTCAAGTGCTTGAACTGCATGGATGGAGCTTACATCAAAACCTGGCAGGGTGTCTGGCTCAACGAAACTTCGAACGGGGATGGTGGAGGCGGTGGCCACGGTTTGATCAAGAACATCACGTTCCGCAACTTCGAGATGGAGAACGTGGGATTGCCTATTCAGATTTCCCAGTGCATTTACTCTGAGGCCGATGGCAGTGATTGCAATACGTCGAAGATGCAGATAGAAGATGTGACGTGGGCGAATATCACCGGCACTTCACGGTACAATATTGCTGCGTCGATCTACTGTTCTGAGGCACACCCTTGTCCAAATATCAATTTTGAGAATGTGAACCTGCGCAGTGTGAATCAGACGAAGGGACTCCCTGCTTATGGAACACCCTTGCAGTATGAGGTTTTCCAGTGTGCGAATATTATTGGTGAAAGCAGTTCTGGAATTCCCTGCAATCATGTTGCACCCAACAATTTCAGCCAGGGAGTTTATAGCAATGTCAAATAATAAAAGGGGTCGAGTTTGGGTGGTTAGTGATATGCGATACACATAGTTAGCATAATCCGAGCTTATCGTACTTGGAAAGCAGGGAAATATGTTGTTCGATCAGGTGGAAATAAACTGCAGTCGATGCTGATTCTCGCGTCGCGACAATCTCAAAGCGCACTATAAAACGCATGGAAAACGTGGGGACCGCAACCGCTATGTGGCCACCCTAGACAAGACCAGTTCCTTCTAGAATCTTGACTTTCTGTGGGCAGCTGACGCCGGAAGGATGGTGGCCACTTGACCATGCTGGCAATGACTAATCATAGCGTTCGAGCTTGCAGTGGCACCAAGTCCTGACCTTTTCTACCACCAAGTGCTCTTTGAAAAGGCAAAAAGAAGGGGCAAATACAGTATAATTGATATCCTTTCGTTCCCTTGCGTCATCTCTTTTCCGTGGCATGGAACTGTTATGGAAAATGCGAAAATGCTATCCCATTTCTGGAATAGTAGACAAAGCGCTTTCACGGCCTGTAAAGGTCTCCCCCTCGCTTAACCCTACGTTTGAACGATTCGAAACATTTTTGTGTGAGGCACAACTAGGGCTATGGAACTATTCATTTACTCTACTGTCCTCTCCTCCTACCAGGCACCTGGCCTGGTTGTTGGTATTAACGTGTGGTTTGGCATAGAGTGAAGGGGGAGGACTGCTCAGCTTGGTACTGGAAGCCGAGAGAAATACCCGCATGTGCCAAAAATATCCCTGTAACAGAACAAGACATAGAAGAAAAGCTGCCATTATGATATAACCTCCATTGGTTAGGGTTTTCGCGGTCGAAGGATCGTTCACACCAAGGGAACTGCCCGCGATAATCAGGGCAACTCTGGCGGCGGAGAGTACCTTTGACACGATGTAGCCTTTTCGAAAATTGGGGTCGTTTTTCATGTCATAGAAAGCCCTGTCTTGGTCAGTGATAGGAAATATCAATTGTACAGTGGGTTGCACTCACACTAAGCGTAAGAAGCCGACGGTGCTATTCACCAAAGGGAAAAGTCCCGCGTTTAACAAGATCGAGTGCTGCTATTGCTAGCCGATACTTCGTGAGTGTATAGTTGCCATAAACGACTACCACAATTCCACTGGTAATGCGAACTGACACAGTTAGACACGGAAAGTATCGGTGCTGGTTGGGACATACCAGAGAAAAACTCAAGAGATAGACCCATGGCATCCGTGGTCTTCCGTGTCGGTGAAAGAGCAGAGTTTCCGCAGCAATTATCGCAGGAGATAAAATAGAATAGAGCGATGCTCACTTTGGATCGACTGTTGAACAACATGGTTGTGGTGGGCACGATCGTTCTGTTCTTGGGCATGGTGATGCCGTTCATATAAGGGGTGTTATGGCAATATGTGAGCGCTGCAGAAAATCTGTTTAGGCCTCCTAGTGGCCAACCTCATAAGAAAACACTGCCAGCGGGATCTCCAGTGTGCCCTGGTTCCATCTCCACAAATACATCAAGGTTGAGTATAACTCACGTGATCTCGCAGGTTGAGTCCCAAAGGGGATTAGGGCGAGTGGGTCAGTGGTACCTGAGGATGCGTATCCCGCGGGTCTGGAGACGCTCCAGGGTCGCCTGAATCCAGGCAAAATGTTGCTGGTGGCGTGCCTTGTTGGAGAGTATAGCCTTGCAGATCGCTAGCGGTGTTGACGCGATGAATACCCCAATGAGCTGATTTGTCTCGTCCAAACAAAATTCGGCGGATTGGCAGACATTCGTGATCATTGGCAAGACATCGCAGGAAGGAAGACCGGGCGGTAGATTCTCGTTGAGTTGTTCCAGTTTTTGGTACGTCTCATGCCAGCCGGTCCAGAGCAAGGCACAGGTAGCCCAGTACATCATCAGATGCCCGGCAGTCTTGACATTGGGGAAGTGAAAGGCGATAGGGAAAAGGGGTCCCTTCAAAGGCTCCTCCGCAGGTTCATAATGGCGAGAAAGAGCAGACCAGTACAAAGGACCCTCGACAGAATCATTGAGCATAGAATAGATACTTTGAAGTGTGGTATCCAGAGATCGAAATTCTGCCATCAAACTCAACCCTAGGAATCTCTGATCTTCAGGTGACAGATTCTCAAACAACTGTAGTTGGTGCAAAAGTCGAGGAATATGCGCTATACAGTCGATGATTCGATCGATGGGCTGTTTAGCAAATTTATGCCATGGCTTCTCGATCCACTCTGCCTGCGCCATAAAGCTTGGTTCTAACTGACTGAGGTGATAGAAAATCTGCTCACGCGTTAGTCAACATCCGGATCGGGTTTTACTATAACGCACCACTTGGACTCGAACGGCAAGAAAGAGATGATGTCCCAATTCTGATGTATGCGCGTCCGCACCGCGTGCTCGGAGTAGGGATAAAAGCCCCTTGCAGTGCTGGTAATATCCAACAACATGCCTGGCTGGACACTCTGCAATTTCATACATGGCAAGTAGCAAACACGCAGCTAAAGTCTCATCATTTCGCACAAGGGCTGGAGTGAAAAGTGCCGTCTGAAGCTCACGAAGACCACGAGTATAGAGACGCAGACTTTCCTGCAACAAGGTTGAATTATCCTGCCTGTGAGCAATGGTAGCAGTGCACAATGCCATTCTTGAGTACTCCAAGGCTTGAGTTTGATTTGGCAATTTTAAGAGCTGGGTGAGCCATGATTTGTTACCACTAAAGGGTGTAGTTTGAGAGACAAAGTGGGTGTGAAAATCATCTAAAAAATGTTGACGGTAGCCGGTTTGAAGAAGAGACCATGGCTTGATGAGATCCAAGTCTTTCTTTGCTGATGGATTGAACTGGACGAATACCAGGGTCCGCTGATATCCCGGGCAGCGCCGCTGAGATCGGGTGCATTGCAAGCACTGAGGTTTTTGCTGCCCGCACTACTTATTGATTATTCGCTGCTATGCCAGACCTGGGTTTCTCCAGTTACCTTGATTTTTCGCTGTCGACAGACGTAGCAGCCCTTAGATCTCCCCGGAACACCGACCATCACGAGTGATTTCGTGGGCGGATAAAGCTCGATCAAATGAGAATTCAATGGTTAGCTCGTAATGGGGGGCTGTCTTTTGAATATGTGTCACGTGACTTTTGCAACTCATCGTCCCTCGCGTGTGACAATCCTCGTCCTTCATTCTTCTGTTTATCTAGGAACATCCCTGGCGACTATCTGACAAGAGAATCGCACTATAACAACAACTGTGGAAAACAACAAGACTCTCCATAATCTCGCGCACGACGTGCTTGAACTCCTGCCCGAGATTGATGTATGCAAAACCTCGTTAGATCTGGCCTGGCGAGCGCTTTCCGAACCCATCTTCAATCACGTCAAACGAACCTTTCTCCTAGCCGGATGGTCTCAGAGAAGGAGCGAGCTAGGCAACCTTGAGTCATTATATGTCGCCTGTATTTATCATGGCCTTGTTGCTAGCGATCTATATAATGGGAGCCAACGGTAAGAAGTTGCGGGCGCCGATGCTACGAAAGGTCACCTATTATCGCATGGCATTTCAGAAGAGTTGAGTCATTAAGTCTGGATCACAATTGCATTGGAAACTACTGCAGGTATTGCTGAACGCATCTACCCGTTATCCCGCCTAGTGCGATATGGACTCATGATGGACTTCTCACTAGCTACCCGCCAGGACATGGGAGCCATTAAACACTCGTCCGAGATTGAGAGACCTACCACGACTTAATATCGAGAAGGTTTCGGCGATGCGGTTGTCCATCAAGAAGAACAGCTAGACCAATCCGATCGTCCCACGTGGACTAATCACTTGACATAATGGCTCTCCGAATACTGTGAGGTCATTACCAGCGCCTAGAATTCCTCTTAGAGAAAGACGGCCACCTCGTCTAGGTAGAAACCGGGCTTTTCAAGTAAATGATCGCACAATGTTTCTAACATCGATGGCGCATGTTCTCCTCGTTACTGCGGAACCGCAGTGGCGGAGCCGATAGGACACGCCTCTTGGTGAAATAGCAATTCCCAGCGGATCCGACCACAATACTCTATTTTTTGGCAACCATAAATATAAATATGAGGTATTGCCATCCGTTACTGGGCGTGAATCTACCCCGTCTAGCACGGCTTGTTTTGCTCGCTTGGGACTCGAAAGTCCAAGCCCAGAAGCGTCATCGCCATGTTCCATGTGCTCGCCGTCTCAGGAATACTCTATCTTCTCTGGACCTGCCTGTCAATCATTCGGACGCTATATCTTCACCCACTCCGGAATTTGCCTGGTCCTCATCTATGGATCGCCTTTCCCATCCTTCGCTATATCTCTCTAGTCAGAGGACGGCTGGATATGGACATGCGAGCCTTCCACAATAAATACGGGGAAGCCGTCCGGTTTGGACCCGACGAAGTCTCCTTCATCACAGCTCAGGCGTGGAAGGACATATACGCCCATGGCCATGGCGACCGGCAATTCCTGAAAGTCCTCCACTCAACAAGTAACCCGTCCGACATCATCAGCGCCAACAATGCTGACCACAGCCGCTTCCGCCGTGCACTGTCCCACGCCTTCTCCGCCAAGGGCCTGCAGGCTCAAGAGCCGATCCTCCGCAGCTACGTAGATAAGCTGATCCAGCGACTGGAGGAGATCGCTGCGTCTCCCAACCCAGTAGCTAATATGGTCAAGTGGTACAATCTGACTACATTCGACCTGATCGGAGACCTCGCCTTCGGAGAACCCTTCGGAGGCCTGGACTCGTCCGAGTACCACTACTGGGTGGCGAATATCTTCCAGGCAGTCCGAGGAATAGCCTATGTAAAGATGCGCGATGCCTACCCTCTACTTTCCCGTGCCTTATCGCTCTTCCTTGCCCCGAAGTCTCTCCTGGAGGCCCGCAAAAGACAGATTGAATACAGCAAGTTCACCGTCCAGAAGCGCCTTCAAAGCACCCTCCATCGTGGCCCCGCCGACTTCATGGACAGCATGTTACGCCACAGCGGCGACAAAGAAAAGGAGCTCACGGACAAAGAGATGGAAGCTAATGCCAATATCCTAATCATTGCGGGCAGCGAAACGACCGCCACACTACTGTCGGGTGTCACTTACTGGCTGCTGCGGACTCCCGACGCCTTGCACAAAGCTACACACGAAGTCCGCTCCTCCATACCCTCCGACTCAGACATCACTTTCCAGACTACCTCTCAGCTGCCATACATGCTCGCCTGCCTCAACGAGGCCTTGCGTGTCTACCCACCTGCACCTGGGGGACTCGAACGCATAACAATTCCCCCAAGTCCGGCTGATATCTCGGGATACATGATCCCGCATGGAGTATGCCTTCCCTTATGATTCACGTAGTACACAAAGCAAAACAGAAGACTAACAAAGTTCGTTCTGTAAAACCAGACAAAAGTATCCATCCACCAATCCGCTGCATACTGCTCCCCTCTCAATTTCCATCGCCCCGAAGAATTCCTCCCTGAGCGTTGGCTACCGTCCGCCGGGGAAGATGCCTCGTCGCCCTTCTGCAACGACAATCGAGATGTGCTGCAGCCATTCTCGATCGGCCCGCGCAATTGCATCGGACGGAACTTGGCGAACGCCGAGATGCGGATGATTCTGGCGCGTGTGCTATGGAACTTTGATCTGGAACTTTGCGCGGAGAGCAGTGATTGGAAAGAGCAGCGGTCTTTTCTTCTGTGGGAGAAAGGGCCATTGATGTGTGTTCTTAAGAAGAGGAAAGGGACTGTGAGCGATTAGGGTCACTAAGCCGAGGTCACCTTGCATTACATTATTGAACCTTGAACTTTCCAAGGCGCCGTTTTATTCCAAATTAGAGACCTCGTGCGCTGCAATAATAATATCTTGGGCTCTGTACGGGCTTTCCTAGACAAAGGCTGAGGTAGTCGTTCCCTAAGCGAGGACCTAAGGACGAGTCTGAGTCTAGCCGGCCTATTCGGGACTGGGATGCACGGAGGATTCTAAAAATTGGCGTAAGTCTCTACGAATATTACTGATCGTATAGTTGCTGCTATCTTTAGTTTCTTTAGCCATCTGAGACGCGGTTAAGGACTGGCTCTCTATCATGTCACAGGTGAGATCCAACTTCGAAAGAGGTTGTAGAAACCAGGGCCAGGACCAACTTCGGCAATATCACTTCCTACCTTAACGGCGAAAGCGTGGTATCGCAAACTCTATATCGCCTTGGAAAACATACCACATAGCCACCACCAGCTGATATGTGAGTGCCAATCAAGCTATCGAAGGCTGCCAATAATTTCGATGGAATTCGCACGGTCCTCCACCACTGCATGAAGGGCGGAATCGAAGTTTGTCAGCCGTCTCCGTTGCTTTCAGCCGCACGCGCTAAGTATTTCTCCTCATAAATAAACGATGATCTCCACACAAAAACTAGAATACGAGGTTAACCCCGCATTCAGTGAACACAACGATTCTGGAACTCAATGGCAGATTTAACAGGAAGCGATGACTACAATCTCCATCTCCGTCTCATTGATCTGTCATTGATACAGCCACAGAGCGAGGCCATCGACGGTCCACAATTGGTGAAAATGTTTACAGACGAGGAAATCTTCAAATCCTGGTGGACCGAGAGCCGCCTGTGGATGCGGCGGTCCTGGCTATACGAGGATGACCGCGTTGATATGGTATTGAAATGGCTAAAGGACTCCGCTGTCACTAAGAACCTTCCAGAAAAGGACATGGCATGGGTCAAGAGTCTGAGTTCGAAGTCGAAGCCTGATGCAGATCTTCTGGAGCATATCGCCAAATTCATGGCGCATAAATGGCTGCAGACGAGTGATTGGAATGTTGCGGAGTTGTTTTATTGGGTAAATGCATATTCGAACAAGGTAAGTCCAGTTGTCCGTATATTTGTTTTGGTTGGGTATTAAACTCTTTTGATAGATTGCAAATCGCAAAGATCCCAACGTGAAACGCGAGACCGAAGATCCGAGACCAAAGAAGATTCCAGCGTCTCGATTCCATGAGGTAGCTGAGTGGGGTCGACAATGCCTTGGACTGGACAGTCTTGGTTATGAGGAAACACAAAACGTCGCTAGAACGTTGAGAGAATTTGGGAAGTTGGATGATGCGGTCGAAACATTCAAGCGGGCATCGTCACTTCAAGAAGATACTTGGTTCGCCAGATGGGGTCTTGCGCGGGCTTACAACCTCCAAGGAAAGTTTGCGCTGGCAGTTGAAACTCTAGAAGCAGTTAAAGCGTCCATCGAAAATGGAAAATTTAAGCGCGATAAACCTGGGAAGTCTTTGCATAAACTCAACCAAGATTTGGCCTGGTGGTACAAAGAAGCCGGGTATGTTGAGAAAGCTTTGGACCTTTATGAGTCCATATTACAGGAACATCCGGATGACTATTGGTCAGTCTTTGGTATGACGGTAGTTCTACATGACAAAGGGGGCTATACACAGCTGGTTGAATTGCTCGAACACTTGAAAAAGTCCAAAGACGAGGACACCGGTCTCGATCGGCGCACGCGAATTTTCCACGAGTTTTACTGGAGTGACGATTATCATGGCACCATCGCCGCTGCCGGAAAAATGCTGAATGGCAGCGGCATCACGACTCTGAAGGATAGCTATCGCACTGCTGTCGATGCGGCAGTAGAAAGGGTGCAACTTGCTAAGGATCAACGAAATCGAGAACGAGAAAAGGGCGCAAAAGAAATCATGGCTATGCTGAAGTACCACTGCGCCAAGTTCTTCTATCACAACTACACATGCACCGAGGAAAAGGAGATGGCGTTGTCCATGTGGGTGCAGATCATCCAGTTAGACGAAACCGATATGAGCTTGTTCCTAGAGCGAGCAAAGTTGTATGCCACCCGGGCTCTCTCTAGCCTCTATTTTGAATCGGCACTCCAGGCGGGACAAGACACTGAACTGGCAAACAAATACATCGATCATCTAGAGCATCTTGCCACTTTGAAATTGGACAGAAACCTGACGGATGAGATGAAGGAGAAATATCCGCGACAGTTACTGGCTCGATACTATGCGCTTCGTGAGAAGATGGAGAAGACAAAGAGCGTGATCGGCCCCTTTGTCAAATTCAATATAGATCTTTTGTCGGATGACAATCCCAGCAACAATTGGCAGGGATGTCATGGTCTAGCAGCGCACTTCATGTTTGCTGGTCAGGATGATGACTCTCTGGCCGCATGGTCACTCATCGTACCCATTCAAGAAGATGAGGACGCGGATGCTACCAAAGAGCTGGAAGGTCCTATCGGAAATGCATGCGATGGAAGATGTGGAACCAATTGGACCTACGCAAACGATATGTTTATTTGCCGAGTATGTGCGGACGTGCAGTTTGATGAGGGTTGCCTCAGAAAGCTACGAGAGGGGACTTTGGAGCTTCAGGTGTGCAGCAAGAGCCACGAAATGTTGCACGTTCCCGAGTATGATGAGGAAAAACTGAGAAAAATCGGAAAAGGGAATGTGATGGTCGGGCAGGAAGTCATGGCAGTGAAAGATTGGATTCAAAAGATTAAGCATGATTGGGGCTTTTCTAAAGATTGATTTAATTCGATATCATTAGACGTTGTCTGTTTTTTCTTTTAGTTGCCAACGATGGTGAAATTCATATGCCGAGTGCTGAGATCGTAGATGCATTCACAACCTTTTGCCGTACAGCTCGCGCATGGCGTCGTACCGGAACACCAAATACTGTTAGAACTGAGACAACAACGATTCATTGATTTCTAACCTTAGTTCCTTTTTGACGACACTCTATACAGAGAAGAGAGACATCATGTCGCTTTCCACACGATGACCGTGGTGTTTGGAATTGAGTGAGAGAGATCCTCTTCCGATCGGACGCAGCAACTGCTGGGAAATTTCCGTTGGCACGGCTGATAACTGAGACTCTGCCACGTCGGACAACATTATTCAGTGCATATGCCCATGATAAGGAGGGTGATACGACGGAATTTAATAACGAATTCGACGTGCCCACTCACATTGTTTGCTACACTTCGATGACTTGATTGAGAAATAGAGTCCGGAAGCCTGCAATCATATTATGAGACCAGCGACATGTATATTTCCGACCCTAGCCCTAGCGATTGAAGTCTCCGTAGCAAAAAAAAAAAAACTCGGCAACACTACATTTTGGCCCCCGCCAGGCTTGATTTTTAGACATGTGATTGGACACTTCGCACCGTCTTGGCAAAAGGTCGTGCTTTGATTGGACAATATCCATCAGCCACTCTTTTTCCGATCTCTCAACCTGCTTTACGGACATTGGGGCGCTATTTAGTTGCCAGTCTTTGACAAAGCGCTGAAATATGGGACCCAGATTTCGTTCAGACAGTCTTGAATAGTATTTACTGAGTGATTCGTGTGGTTCAATAGATTTGTAAATATGACGGTGTCCCTTCCTTTACCAAAGCTTCAGTAGCTTTTTGCTTGCAATTTATAGATGTCTGGTGTGGTGATGAAACAGTTTGGATAGCAAGAAAATATGAACACCGGGATTGTTGTGTCTAGCCCACATGCAAACGAAATTCTTTTGGTGAGATAAATCATTCGTTCTGAGGTTTTGAGCCCAACCGCTCTGTCGTCACCCGTAATTGCGGCTCCGATACAACCGCATCGGATCCGATGGTCGATGTGTGACTGGTTCAGAAATTCTGAACAGTCTGCAACTCACCACATATTCCGACACTGTTCATACTCGGCATGTCCAATCTACCATCACTTATCTTCGTCCCCGGCTCCTGGCATAAACCGAAATGCTACGATCCGATCATAAAACTCCTCCAACCCAACCTAAAATGCATCGCAATCACCCTCCCTTCAACGTCGGGAAGCCCAGCCGCAAGTTTCAAAGATGATCTCGACGCCACGCGCTCAGTCATATCCAGTGAGACCTCAGCCGGACGCAATGTGATTGTCGTCGCGCACTCCTACGGCGGTATGGTTGGTAATAGCGCTGTCAAGGGGTTCACTCGAAATTCTAAGGACCAAGGTCAGTCCTCGAAGGGGTACGTAATCGGCATCGTTCTCATAGCCTCTGGTTACACCCTCACCGGACTTGCCTTTATGGATCCATTCTTTGGTCATCCGCCTCCCTCCTGGCGTGTTAACAGCGACAGCGGATATGCAGAGTTTGTCACGCCACCACGTGAGCTCTTTTATCACGACTTGCCAGAAGAAGAAGCGGAGTATTGGGTTTCGCAACTTACGACCCAGAGTCTCAAAGCTTTGTTCGAGGGTGCCGAGTATACATATGCTGGGTGGCAAGATGTGCCTTCATGGTATATCGGTACTATTGAGGATCGGGGGTTGCCGGTGTTAGCCCAACGGATGACGGTGGGAATGGCGAGGTCAATGGGTGGTAACGTTGTGCATCGAGAGCTGCAGACGAGTCATTCGCCCTTCTTGAGCCAACCGAAGGCGACTGTGAAGATCATACTGGAGGCTGTTGGGGCGTTTACAGGGGAGTCAGTAGATGATTCTGGAGAATCTGCGAGCGGAAGTAACGCGGTGATTACAATTCCGAACGCTAGGCTCTTGCAGCCTTTATCGTGGTTTAAATTTGGATTGCCACTGGCCTTTGGGCATATACTAGGAAGAGGCTATCTCTATTTCACTTGGGGGAAGGGCTTGTGGAGGTCTTGGTTCCGTTGAACTATGTACATAGTTTTCAGTGTCATTTCAAAGGAGGCTTGCAGAGGATTGTGCATGCAACACTTTGGAACGGTCGCTAATACATATCAGAGCGGTCTACCTACGAATACAGCTGTAAACTGGCCTCTGAGCACATCTGTTCTATATAATTCGATTGACGAAAGGGTGCGTTGTCCATAATTAACACGAACTTTGGCGAGGGCTCATATACAGTACGCTCTGCTGATTACACGATGGAGACTTTAGGAGCAACGAACTGATTACGCTGCTTGTTCTGTCGGGCAGGTTGACCGAATCCAAGTTTTTGGACAATTACATACCGGCCGTTGTGAAATTCTTAGCCGATTTGGACTGAGTGATAGCCATTGCGAACGTAGTAGTTCAACCCGCTCGCCTCCGTCGGGATCGACATATTCGTACTCGGCTTTGCTGTGGGCTTCATTGAATTCGCAAAGTTTCTGTCAGTGTTTGAAATTGGTCGCACTTGGAGGAGACGAGGTCATCGAAATGCCGTGGGTCTGACCAGGCACATGAATGCAGACATTGTTCTAGTGCGGAGGAACGCATTCATACCAGGTCACTATCTAGAGGAAAGGACAGAAATCACGATGCTATTTTTGATTTATGTGGGTTTGCCTCCATACCCTCTCTTCTGTAGACAATCCAATTGACTCTTTCCACTTCATGACTTCCTTTATTGAACCGTTGACCAAAATGTGTGTATTTATACCGCTAGGCCAAAAGGCATGTTATGTACCTCTTGTACGGGATATAAGAGCAACATCAAGAATGCACCCTGAAAATGGACTACGTACAGAACCGAGACACGGGAGGCCAGAATAAGACTAACTGGCTCTAAGATGTAAGGGGATCATTCGCCGGTTTCCCTTCTAGAGAGTCCAACATCCGCCGCCAGGACCTGCTAGCCCGTGCGGCATGCTCATCGGCCACCTGCGGGTTATCAACCCCGAGAGTCCGCGAGAATACCTCCATGCTGACCCATCCCGAGTACCCTAAGCGATTGAGACAGGCATCCGCGACGTCTCGGATCGGAAGATAGCCACCTCGCTCTTCCTCGCACGGGAACAGACGAGCATTCCGCGACCACGCCAGCAGCTTGAGCATTCCCGGTGCTTGGAGAAAGTGAACTTTTGGGTCGACCCGCTCACCATCGGCCAGTTGAACGATCATCACGCGGTCCGGATCGACCTCTCGAACCAGCCGATCCATCGACTCCTGCAATTCCTTGTCCGCACTGGCCGGCTGACGTCCCGTTGCACTGGTAGGATCGGCCCACAGGCGAGCCGCGATATTGAAAGTATCCAGACAGATACCCAGATTAGGCCGGTTGGCCCGCCGCACCAGGTCCCAAGAATCCTCCCAAGTGTTGATGTGTGTACCCCAGGCAAGCGCCTCGTAGGCGACGCGCACGGGACATGCCAGATCGGCCGCCTCGGCTAAATCAGCCGCTAACCGGTCTCGGTCCCCAGTGATCTCGGAAGCATCTAGGAAGGATGACGGGATTAAAATGAAGAGATTATCTCCAAGGATCTTGGCCAGTTTTACCCAGTGCTTGAACTCGTCAATGCGCTCCGCGTGCCGGGCTGGATCGATGAGGCCTTCGTAATGGCGAAAGGGCTGCAGCGCCAGCACTTGAAGATCGCGCTGCGCACAGAGGTCGCGGATGGCGTGTGCGGCGTCAATCTCGTACTCCCGATCGGAGCGATCTGGAACAGCGCATGATGACTGACAGCATAGCGTCTTGGCAAGCTGCGCTAGATCATCGTGAAAGAGCTCGAGGCCTTGCTGGCCATTCTTTGCAGCAGCATCAATTTTGGCCGTCAACGGGTGCAGGTGGGCGGCTCCGAGGCTAACGGTCGCAATGGCCGGCTTCCATCGGGCGTCGGACTCCGAGTTGGGTGGGCTGGGAAGAGAATTCATAGCCCCACGTTGATTGTTCGTCCAGGTAGCAAATTAACACGGAGCGAAGATGGTGTTGTGCAAGACAATCCTTTCTCCCCATATATAAAGCAAGCAAACAAGGGCAACAGCGTAGCTCATGGTCTCACGCCACTCATCGTGCAGTTGCTTTTCGTGGGCCCTGTTGATCGAGGCCTCGGGGGCTTCGGTCGGCGGAGTGGGCCTTTTCATGCCTTGCGAGTGGTCCAGATGCCGAACTGTGGCACCCCAGGAGTTGTGCAACAGATGTATGGAAAATCCAATGACGATCTGCGTCACTAGTTGCTAACGACAATATAGAAAAACTATATATCGGTCTCGTTGGCAGCGCTGTTATTAGAACACTGGCAATGGCCACGGACAGTCTAGAGGTCTTAGGACCACGGAGTAATGCCAACGACCCCCGTCACCGCATTGCGACGCAGACAAACAAGACACAACCTCGTCTAGCCAACTAGCTTGTTCCGCCATCCTTGCCTTGTGTGACCTATACCTAGAGCCATTATTGTCTTGTCCATACGATCGTCATTTCTCCATTGTTCTTCCTGATCAATGCCTCGGGTAGTTCGTGCGGGATGAGGGCCCAAGCTCTTCTCATCATACCCACTTCAGCCAGCTGCCAATGATCAACGAGGGGTAGCTGGCAGTCAAGACACTGACAAAGATCCTGTTATATATTAATCTATATTAGGGTTAGCCGTAAATCTCCGTTTTGCCAAGAATAGAGGCCTGTTGAGAAACGGTAAATACCGTACTTTAAGAGAAACGCGTGTGACACGTGTAGCCTTGATTCCAGCCTTGTTAAATATCCCCCTTCCAATTCCGTAGTATTAAATCTGCGTGCAGTTTTGAATGTTCAATAATAACAAAATTTGAAGACCGATAGTATCCTTAGTATCACAACGCTCAAAATAATGATGTACAACCCTTCCCGAACATACTCCATATCCTCTAAACGCCTATAAAGACAAATATAACAATTCCGCTCATGATTTCAGATTATACTCATCCTCGAGAAACGTCAGAGGAACCTCGATGACGTTTGCTACTTCATCCCCACCGGCTTACGCCTATTATGAGCAGGAGCGTTCGTAACATATACCGAGCTTCCCCCATTGCGAGCACCTCCTATCGCGAGCAGGGCCATCCGCCGCCGACTTCACTCTATTATGAGCGGATGCACGCGCATCATATACCGAGCCAGTTCTTCCAACTTGCTGCTGCTGGCCACCAGCGTATTCCGCCTGTTCCGCAGACCTAGATCAAGTCCCTTCCAAGCCTCTTTTTCAAGTCACCCAGCAGCTACGGGCTCATCTTTCCTTCCGGCTATGGCGGAGGTATGCTCCAGGGAAGGACAGGAGACTACAGAGTGTTGCGAGTATCATATCTCACCCAAATTAATGGCTGCTTTATTGGCTGTTTGGGGGCTTCATAAGGAGGACGCTACTACTACCGCTAGACCTAGACCCAGACCTCGAGCAGTATTCACAGGAACCAGACCATGTATACAAACTATCGCTCGAGTTCACGAAGAAGCCCCTACAGATACAGCCCCTTCTCAAAAGTACAATATGGAGCTGCATGCCACTGAGCTCTGCCCTTTATTCACAAGAGGGGCCTCGAGCGGGATATCAACGTCATCATCGTCCGGAAGGAGGTGAAAGAAGAGCTGGATCTTCGACCAGAACAAGTCAAGCAGGAGGCTATTTGTAGACCACGCACAACCACGGTCTTTCCATAGTCACCTAGAGTCACTCCGGAGTACCTTAACTGGCGTGTATGGCTGTGGGGCCGATGAGTCGCTATGCTCCGTTACCGAATCATAAGGCGCTAAGTGCACACTAATGTAAACGGCCCCCGATTGTTTATGTGGCGTTTTCACGGAAGACCCCGCACACCAACATCGGGCTAGTTATTATTTATTTAAATGATGCGAGGCGTTTATTTAGTCTCAAAAATCTGTCACAACCACTGAACACGCAGTCAGCATTGTTCGCCCACCGTCGTGACTGTTCATCCTTACCATGGCGCCTCTTGACGCGATACCCATCGTCCCTCTCGTGGCTATCGTCGTAAGTGCCTTGCGGTTATGATCTGTTCTGCCCTCCTTCGCTAACATAATGTCCCAAGCTGTTGGCATATCCGCTCTGGGTAGTGGTCTACAACCTCTACTGGAGCCCGCTGTCGAAATTCCCAGGACCAAAATTCGCCGCGATCACCAACCTCCCGAACCTGTATTGGACAACGACAGGGCAATATCATTGGAAGCTCAAAGAGCTCCATGATAAATATGGAGACGTAGTTCGCACAGGTCCCAAAATGCTCGTCTACCGGAGCCCGCAAGCCTGGAGAGACATTTACAGCCACCGCAAATCCGGAGCCGGGTCGTTCGTCAAGGACCCAAAGTTTTATCTTCAGGGGCCACGAGGACCAAACATTCTCAACGCCAATGATGCAGACCACTCGCGAAAAAGAAGACTTCTTTCACATGCATTTTCCGAAAAAGCCTTGAGGGATCAGGAGGACCTGATCCAAAGCTATGTCGATACGCTGGTGGAGCGACTGAAAGGAGAAGTCTCAGCCTCTCGGGAAACTGTTGATATGACTCGGTGGTATAACTTCACCACATTTGACATTATTGGGGATTTGGCTTTTGGTGAACCCTTCGGGTGCTTGCGAGAAAGTCAATACCATCCATGGGTCAAAATGGTCTTTGTGAGCACAAAGGTCCTAGCTCTCCAACGACCTCTGGTGATTTATCCTGTTCTGGCACCGATTGTGAGACAATTTCTACCCAAAAGGCTCACAAAAATGCGACAAGAGCATTTTGCTTTGTGCACAGAAAAGGTGCATCGCCGACTGGAAGTCAAGACCGATCGACCAGATTTCTGGACCTACATCATGCGGTACAATGATGAAAGGTCAATGACTACGGTGGAGATGGAATCAAATGCGGCGCTTTTGATCCTCGCTGGGAGTGAAACCACCGCCAGTCTACTTTCCGGTTTTACTTACTATACCCTGACGAACCCCAGGGCTCATCGAAGACTCTTAGACGAGATTCGAGGAACGTTTAAATCCGTAGATGAGATTGACTTTCAAAGCGTAAGTCGATTGACTTACCTGGGTGCGGCTCTTGAAGAGAGTCTGCGGATTTACCCGCCTGTTCCTTCTATTATCCCTCGGATAGTGCCAAAGGGCGGCGCCTTGATAGACGGAGAATATGTTCCAGAAGGCGTACGTCTCCCTCGTCATCTGTAATCGTGAGGTGGCCTAACTTGAACAGATATCTGTGTCGGGAGCTCATTTTTCTACCTATCATGCCGAATCCCATTTCGCCGAACCAGACTCATTTATTCCCGAGCGCTGGTTGGATAGCAGAGACAAACGTTTCGAAACAGACAATCGGGGCGCACTCCAGGCCTTCTCGCTTGGACCCCGCAATTGTCTTGGGAGAAAGTAAGTGCTTGATATAAAGTGATTATTCTGGCTCAAGCTAAATTTTGCCCCTCCACAGCCTCGCCTACGCGGAAATGCGCCTCATTGCCGCCAAGATGCTATGGACCTTTGACATGGCTATGGACGAGAGTTCGGCTGGCTGGGAGAATCAAAGGTCATACAACATCTGGGAGAGAACTCCCTTGATGGTGAAGCTGTCACGGGCGCAGCATTAAGGCGTGTGAGCAAGACCGCAGGGAGCAATGTGAGGCGGTTCTTGTTGGAGGCAGAAAGCAGCGTCGCAAATTTAATGCAATCGGAAATAGCCTTTGTTCAGTTCATGTGTTGCTCCATGGCTACCTAAGTCACAATAACTAACGGAGCAACGTCCTATTATTCTGGGGAAAACCCCTTCCGATGGGGACCGCGCTGTTAAGCTCCAGCAAAGCAATCCATCGGTCGTAACTAACTAGCCCTCCGAACCATATGGCACGGATGCAGTGACTATTGCCCGAGCTAATCAGCAATTGCCATCGTAAGAGAAGCTTATTTAGGTGTGTAGTTTCCCTCCAGAAGATATGAATACGTACAAGACTCGTGGACTGAAGCAATGATATAATATTATCTTCCCATCTCTGCTCAATCGAATTACCTCAAATCAGTTATGCTTTCCCTTTGCATTGCTATAGTGGGCGGTGGCCCTGTCGGTTTCACCCTCGCCCGAATCTTCTACCATTAACCTCATATTGGAATCCTTTTTTTCGAGTCAGATACTTCACGACATGCACGCCAGCAAGGTAGCACACTGGACCTGCAACCCAACATTGGGATAGCAGCTTTGAAAGAAGCCGATCTGCACGACGGATTCTTGAAGTACGTCCGTCATGACGGACGGGCATTTAAAATTTGTGATAAGAAGCTCGTCAAATATGTCAATATGAACAGAGCCGAAGAAAACTCCTCACGTGGGTGGCCTGAGATCGATCGAACGGTTCTCCCGTGAGATGCTCATTCATTGGGGTCTTAAAGGCATAATCCGCTGGGGCTATCGTCTGCACTCAATCGACGAGAAACAATCTCGTTTTCGACCAGAGTGACGACACTGGATTCGACCTTGTCGTCACAAACGGCGCCCTGGAGCAAAATTCAGAAATTGGTATCTGACGAAAGGTCAGGGCATTCTGGAGTTGGTGGTTCCACCAAGATTATACCAAATGCCCAACACGCATCGCGATGTTGTGATTTTACAACCATGGGTCAGCCTTCTTCTACTCGGACTAATTATGGATCAGGAAATTCATGTTCCAGTGGCAAAATTGCCTCTCGTCGCTCGGCGATGTTTGTCGGAATGAGCTAGGACGAAATGATTGATCTGCGCTAAGCCTTGGCGCAGATCAATCATTGAGCGGGCCGTGTTAAATTGATGGACACCATAAAATGCGCTTTGCATGTTACAGTACCTATCTACGTAAAATTGCACCTGCGTACGAAACGCCGGGTGGAATTCCATGGAAACCGACATTGGGTCTACAAATCACACGGAGCGGGCCATTTGGCGCCTAAGTTCCTTCAGTTTTCCTTCTCAACCTACACGGCATGCCTGTTGTATTCGGAGCTTGTATTGTCTATGCATGTCTATCGAAGCTGCCGATAGACCATTTCATCAAAATTTCAGAGCTAGGCAAAGTCAACAGATGAGATGACCCTAAGACTCTCTTCCGCTTGGCTAAGCAATCTTGGAGTAGACTACCAACTATATTAAGCGCTGTACAGAGCTCAAATCGGTTTTGTCGTCGATATGATAACAAAAGGGCTTCATGGAACCGGTAGGTTTATATTCTAATACTTGATAATTATATAATCTTGATTACCCAATGAACGACAACAGTAGCAACTAGTTGCTACTTGTTACTGTACAGTATCTGCAATGACATACACCAACTTCCGGCCGCTGATCTTGTTGTCCTTTAACTCCTGTAGTCCTTCTAGAATTTCCTTCAAACCACCCTGCCCACGTTGAACAGGGATAGTCCTCAGCTTGCCTTCTGCCCACAAGTTCTCTGCTAATTCAGCCCACTGAACTGCAAAATTGAACTCAGCTGGCATGGCCGAGACGACCATTCTCTCTAGGCCATATTCGAACGGCTCCCCAGTGATTGTCCCAGCATCAGTAAACGCAAATACTACATCAGCTCGTGGAAACTGCACTGGAAGAAGCCCATGGTATCGTCCACCAGCAGAATGGATTGTATCCGCACAAATTTTGGCAGACTCAGCTGTGGCGACAGTGTCCCAAACTATTTTCAGTGCATTATCTGTGGCTTCACGAATTTTTGCGCTGCATTCCGGATCGTGGTAGTCGATGATGATGTCTGCTCCGTAAGCTTGAACAAGGCCGTAATTGCGAGGCGAACATGTTGTAACTACCCTATAGCCGGACCTTTTCTCACATTCAGGTCAGTTAAAAACTCTCTCGCTATGTGGATTTCGGTCATTAACAAACAATTTGGCAAATTGAATCCCCCAGAGTCCGGAGGCAGTGCTTCCACCATAGATCAGCACCGCATCTTCCTTAGGCTTCTCCTTTCCGATCTCAGGTAGCTGTAGTCCTAATCCAGACGGGCCATAGAGACATTGCCCAACGGACATGATGCCAACTCCTGCAGTCGCTGCATCAACAAAGCTGACACTTTCTGGAATTCTCAATTGGATATCGCCTTTCACGACGATGTACTCCGCAAATGAACCATTATCGACCTGTGTGCCATCACCCCCGTTGACCAATCCGCATACCCGGTCTCCCACTTTGAAATCTCGACTGATTGATGCATCAACTGCAACAACTACTCCAGAGTAATCGTGGCCCATTGTCGCACCGGCTGCCGGCGTGTTCTCCAGACGTTTCCAATCGATGGGATTCAAAGCCACTGCAACGGTCCGGACGAGGAGGTAGCCGTCGCGGAGCGTGGGGATAGGCCTGTTAGAGACAAACTCGGCCTGTCCCAGGCTACGAATGATAACCGCCTTTTGAAGTTGGGCCATTTTCTGATGTTATTTGATTGTAGCGTTGCGATTTCCAGTTTTTTCATGGAAATTCGGGTGAGAAAAGAGGTATATATATATGCTGGTATTATCCCCACAGCACACATCTCCATTCTCGCAATAACTATACTGCCACGGACTCTGAACTGGTCCACAAATCACCGCATCCTTGTGACATCTCTGAAAATTCATATATTTTTTTTATTCGAGAAGGCCATCATTATTGCACGGCGGTATCCACTTAAATCCGCATGTTTTGTGGCGGAGAAAGGTGGATCCCCGCCTAGAAACTTACTAAGATGAGACACAGCTAACTAACTAATGCTCACTGCATTCAATCTTGAACATGCCGTTCCCTTTCCGCTTCCATTTCGTCGAAGTATAGCGTTATCGACCTCCTAAGACATGTCTCTCCGCAAAAAGGCCTGTTCCTCATGCGTGGCTGCGAAGCGAAAATGCGACTCTGCTTTCCCAGCTTGCTACCGCTGTGCCAAGCGTTCGTTGACTTGTCATTATCCGTATTCACCTCCGAGAATCTTCCGAGAGGATCAGCAAAATGACCTAGGAAAGGAAGATATGCTGAGGCCGAGCTTGGTGGCACTGCGCGATCTTCAAACTGAGTCTGCGAATGGGAATCCCCTGATAGGACTCCGTTACACCGAAAAGAGCTTGTTTGAGAGCCAAGCCAACTCGATTTTTTCTGATACCCTGATCAGCTCGGATGAGAGCGCTGCCGATGAGCTTTCTATTCCGTCCAACACAGAAACACTCAACGGGTCTGGATATGATTACGGCTGTAACGGCACCCAGTGGCCCGTTTCGTTCGACCGAAGGATCCTAGAGTTCTATCCCCGGGTCGATGACAAGAAAACGTGGGCGTTTGGCGTGAAGACACTGCTCAATCAAGTTGATATTTTCCTTCGCACTGGGTCAGCCTTCTTCATTCACCCGCAGGCACAGACGGAGCATAATCTTCTACCTCCCTTGCGAGCCGCTTATGGTGTCTGCTCATCTTACAGGGTACGGATGGAGTCAGAATTCCCGTTTTTCCAGCAGCTTCTCGAGAACGAGATAGAGAATATGCTCGCACTAAGATCTCCAGACATACTCCAGGAGCAAGTGGCAGAACTCTGCGCGATGGTCTTATACTATGTTCTAATCTACTTTGGCGGAACAAGCCAGCGAGGGAAGCTGGCGGACAAGTCGGAAACATTTCTAGCGCAACATACAGCCCGTGTCGAGAGCCTGGAAATTGCGACTCGTCAATCAACGGCAGTCCTTATTGAAGCTGGACTATTATCTAATGAAGAGGGGCTAAACCTGTGGCATCTATGTGAAAGTGCCCGTAAGGTCGTGATGGTATCTTATCTCGCGCGGGAAATACGCCACGTCCTCCGGTTCAAGACTTGCTATCTTCTTCGATACATAATTGCGTTGCCGGTTTCAAAGAAGCTAATATTTCCATCTGGGGACAAACATGGCACTGGGGATGCTACGTCTGCACAATGGCAGGATATTGTTTCATATGACCGGTTCGTCCGAGACTGGGAGGCTGGTGAGCTGGGCGTGGCCGATGAGTTTACGTACTTTCTGATTTCGATGTGCAAAGGTACAGACGCACTCGAACTCAATTTTACGACTTCATTCTCTCCAATTTTCTCTTGAAGTCTACTTTCCAGTCTACTTTCCATAACGCTATGCCGAGAATTGCGAGTTAATTTTTACATGTATTCTTGGTATTATCATTGTACGGTAATCAATGATGGCCTTTGAATAATGACAGAATGCTATGACCCCCGCCATTTCGGCGTTATTGTCTTTCAATATTAAGCTTGATTTCTCAGCATCTATGCCTCCGCAACAGGTTGCTCCACCGAAGATAAATTGTAATGCCGCCGTGCTGCACGACGGTCCTAGAAAGCCGGGTCAAGATTAATAGCCAACGTGGTGCTGCCGCACACCACAACCGCAAGCGACATTCAGCTAAGCGACAATCTTTAGATTTCCTGGATCAACACGAAAAACGTGAAGAGACTTCATAATCCCAGACCTGTATCTATAACAATTTGTGTAAAAGCAGCATTCATGGAGATATAATGTTCATGCTTGGCTATATTACCCGCACCACCGTATATCCTCGTAGTTTGAGGCGATCCCGAAGTACTTCTACTAATTATGTTTCCTTCAAGAAGGCTATCTCCTACTTGCGGACCGGATTGTGGGACGGCTGTTCCGTTCAGTGGCGCTAGTATTTCCATACATCGAGTTACATGATTGTTACGGACCTCCTCGTGTATTCGCCTTATCAGTATTTTCTTTTCGTCTTGTGCACCTTCTGTTGCCAAGAATTCCACCAAAATTGGTCTATCCTCAGTTAACATAATTATGATAATATAAAAAATCAATGTAGGGAACTAGGTATGCGAAATAATGTAACAATATCTTTCCTATTGATCTCAGCCGGTTTTGTGGATGATCTCGGCGTCGTAGGAGTAAACAGCAGATTTTCTAGTAGTGCGTGTCGTCCTGTAATCCGCCACTCAAGTACTTTGTGATCTTTATTTGAAAAGACCTATCAAACATGAATTCAAATGATTATTATTTTCGCTGCTCTCAGGCAATAATCAGTTCGTGGTTTGGGAGTGACGGTGCTCAAATGTGTAGGTACCTGGTATGTGTTTCATCACACAGGGCATTGCATGTCATCGGGATGGGGGTTACATGTCGCACTTGTCTTCCAATTTTGGTATCCATGACGCAACCCAATTCTCGAGCAAGATCGTTACATCTTCACATGTTTCGTTTTCAAGTCCTCGGCAGGATAATCCATGTTGAGCCACCGGGGAACTCTCCCTGGCGATAGTTACGACGCCACAATCCATCGGCTCCTTGCATCAAATCACTGCGGCTGGTGAACCCTGTGGCGGTGCTATTGCCTTCTCCACTTTGCCGATCAACAATCAGATCAAAGTTTTATTTGCTTTGTTGGGGGGAACCTCCTTTCCCAGCTCTCGGGTTCCTCCCTGGTTGGGTTGCCCCTATCTTGTAGAGCCAAATTTGATAATATTGATTGCTTTGCATAGTTGTGGTGTCTCTGACAAATGAGCCGGGCAGTTGTTGCATCTATAGTACCAGCACAATTGCGCCATATATACCGCTTTCAATGGTAGTGACACTGTATGTCCGACTAGATATCCCTGTCTCCCACAGTGGTCTACTACACCCATCACGAACCGGTTTGTGGATTGCGTCTGTTGCGGGAACATGCCACGAAGATCCGCCGGGTTCGATCGTGTGGGGCCCGACGCATCCTAGACTATTGACTAAATTCCTCTAGATTGGCAGACAATTACGCCCTAGCTATAACACACGAAAGGTTCTAGCCGGCACATACACCGAGGGAGATCCTTGTTATGGTGGGGCTCTCGACCGCCGACGCGCCACAGTGAGGCTGAAGATGCAGAGTAACCGCTGTGGCTAGTGCCGGTGACCAGTCGAAAATCGTCAATCCGCGGCGAATAATATTCACTAAGATCTGCTATGATTCTAGGCAACACAGTTTTTGACTGCCTGGCGTCCTGGTGGACTAGAATAAAATCGATAGAAATGCAAAACAAAAACGGATTAGGAAGACCGCAGTGGGTTTCGGAGTGTCCGATGGGTTTGCATGTCGATTTGAAAGCATATCTGGCAGTACTCTCCACTAGGCTCTCCACAAGCCACAGACGTTAGGTGTGGCTAGCAGTCCAAAAATTATCTGTTCTGGTCCCCGGGTTCCCCCTCACTTGCCCTGCTAATAACCGGGCGATGGTCTTAGCTGTCTTGGTATAGCAAGTCCAGTTGTCAAGAGAAACCCTTGTTCATGACCATAGTACTGCGTCACGCTGGCCATAATAGGAGGCCTAGAATGGGACATATGCACTAGACTGGCAAGATATTAGAAAGAAGTCGGCGCGGGCGGAATGAACGTGAAGCGACCGGCAGATCCGTGCACGGAACTATTGAGAGGCATTGCTCGTGGGGCCGGACTCCTGTCTTTCCCACATTCTTACCCCTTCCCTGCTTCATGAACGTCGATCGTGCATGTTTAGTCTAGGCTTCCAAAGGATGTCCCCGGCAATCCCGGAGCGAAGGCATGTCCCAGTGGAGCATGTGGGAGCACTCCAGAGTCGATCTTGACGCTAGTCTCCGATCTCCTGCAGCATATCTTGGGAAAGACAGATCTCATCCCCACATGGATGATGCCAGGCCGCGTGCCTAACAGAAGAAAAAACAATATCATATTTCCGGAACGTGCTAATGCAAGGATTCCTATTCGATTCTAAGCCGATCTAAGAGCCTTTTTGCTCCCATGAGATGGATTCCTATTTGGCCGGCATTATGGCTGCCTTATGCTAGATCCAGAAACCCGGCACCTAATAACTAATGGCTGATCGCATGGTACTTTGGGTTCAGTGGCAATTTCTCTAACCTCATAGTTGTCCAACGTCTGGTTTGACGCTATACATCAGGTGTCTGACTTCCACCGTCTTTTGAGCTACCTGCCCTGGAGGTATATGAAGGGCCTCGGAACTCTTTGACGTACGAGCTTGATTCAAGATTTACTTCCATGCCCTTCTTAAAATTTATATACGCAGCTCCCGATCTACACCGCACCGCACTCTTTGCTTTCTCTTCTCTCTCTATCTTTTCATCATACTTCGCCAATCTTCTCTTCCATTCGTTTGCTCCCTAGTTGGTCTTTGGCCGATCATACCGGCTATAAAACTTTTGATATTGTGAATGTCACCGGGCACGACCAACCATGGCATTATCCCGTGAATTCTCAATTACTTTCGAAATTGCCCCTCCGGCCGCGGTCCGCCCAGGACTCCCATTCACCATCCCCGTCATCATGGCCGTGCGACCTGTGGGCACACCGGCACGGAACGTGCAGCATCTCGTAGTTAGCGCCTCATTGCGTGACGAGACTGGCACAAGAGCCGCAGTCGGGTTGAGCGGCAGTCTGACTGCTAGTGTGCGTAGTCGCACAGATACAGCCATGAGTGGCTATGCCAAATTCGGCCGGCTCACCATCTTGCAGCCAGGCAAGTACCGCCTGCGCGTTATGCTCAGTGCTGCTTCCTACAACGGTGTCGTGACTAAAGAGTATGTCGATTCGGGTATCATCCATGTGAATGCAGCTGTGTCGGCTTCCCAACCCCCATGTGAGTCTTGCTGTTTTCTTTCTCGCCCTTATTCCCTCTTTCCTTATTGTGCAATTGTTCCTTTCTTGTCCGACCTATTTGAGCCTCTTGCTGATCCGTTTCGTTTTCTCGGGTCTATAGCTCCGATCCAATTGGCGCGACTCCAGCGGCTGACCGCCGAAAACATAGACATCTCGGCAGCGGACATTGCAGCATGGCAACGGGCATGATTCAAAGCATGAATGGCGTCATGCCGATACTTTCGGCTGGAGAGTTGTGGAGTTTCTATTTTCTCTTTGGTTTATCAATAAAACCAAGGGAAATGAAGAGACGATTTGTCGTCTTGCGATTTGAGAGGAAAAGCCGACCAGATCAAGGCAAATCGGTCCGGGGATGTCGGCTAGGATCCCAGAGCGTATGACTCTCTATTTGTTTACATGAGTACTAGAAAGGAAGAGTCGATGATCAGGCTTCTGTCAGCGAAATACAATTGCATTTTTCTACAAACAACCGTTTTATCTTCAAGGCTGCTTGGTTAGGTCAGTTCAAGATACATAGAAAAGAGCAACATCCAGGATGATGCCGGAGACGGATAAAATGGCATGATGCATCCTTTATTCAAGCAATGGACTGGCATATTGCCGCAAATTGCGCAAAGGCTGTGCCGTGCTGAGCACGTACTGTAGAAATGTAGAATATTCCCAGCCCAGCTCGCTGGCTGCAAGACTCATTAAACTCGCCTGGTCGTCACGGCCGGGCCGTCCAGGGCCAGTGATGTTCTAAGTTAAAGTCAGCACAGGAAAATAAAGCAGATGGGTAGTAAACATACCGGTTTCATATTAATATCAAACAAGGCAAAAGGCGATCTCGGCTCAAATCTCCGAATATCAATGCGAATAGGAGCTGTCGTTTGCAACAGGTCTCCAACGGCCTCACATTGCTTCATAATATCCGCATAGGCCGGGTCAGCATCACGGGTCACAGCTGAAACAGCGCGCGAGTTGGTTGTCACAGCCACTTTGCCACTGTACGGAGCAATGCCATCGACGTGATTAAAGCGCACGACAGGTGGAAGAGCCTTGTGGCCTGCATAGTCCGTGGGGTCATTTGAAGACACGGACGGCGGGAGGACGGTAACGGTCCCTTCCTCTCCGCGAAGGTACTCTTCCACTAGCACGCGGGGGGATTCGTCGAACAAGGCAGACACATGCTCTGCCAGATCGGCGCGGGTGTAGCATATTTTCACTCCGTGACTGCCCCGGCCACGAACAGGTTTGGCTACTAAAGGATAGTCTGACTCAGGGATGGAGGCGAGAACGGCCGGTAGATCCCTGTCTCGTTCTCCTTGAGATATGGGAGTAGCCAAATGGGGATCCTGGACAGTCCACGAACGTGGAAGACTCATCCCCCGACGACGAAGTGCGTCGTTCAGAAATGACTTATCGTCATACATATCAAAGCACTGTGGCGGCTGGCCGACCACCTTAAGACTGGACTCGTGCGCATCTAGCAGCGACGAGGTCTGTAGTGGATGCGCCGCAAAGAGTACCGTGTTAGCCCACAGATGGGTGGCGCCCTTTCTCACCGCGGACAGAATGCCCTCCTCGGTGTCAGGGAAGCACCAGTGGTTCTCGTTTGCCGGATCTGGTGCTTCCACGGGTGTCAGTACAGGGATACCCGTACGAGATAACGTGTAGGCGATATCTGAGCCCGAATCGCGGTATCCTGTTATTTTACTTTAGCTGGGCCTGGTAGTAGTTATATGAACCTGACGACCCACCTCCAGGCTTCCGCGGCTTGCTCACCCCGCCATATGTCGGGGGAGCCAGCGCCTGATACAGGACTGCGACAATGGGCATTGTCGCTTCTGACTTTTGGGACATCGTTAGAGATCGTGTTTGGTGTAGAAACAGGATATTTCTCCCGACTGGTAAGAAAACAGAACGACCAAACATCGTGGTGAAGGCTGTTTAAATAGGCGTCGGTCAGTGCCCGACAATCTGCGTGTGGCAACGACTCACCAATTCATCGTCAAGAGATTTCCTGGTGCAAAATCGCCATTAATCGGCGATACTCTCTCCGCATAACCGCGTGCAATGAGTTGTGGTGAGGCTGTCCGCAGGGCTGGAAACAAAGCGCCGATCATCGGGTCGGAACAATCTTTCGGGACAGCACAAGTCGGGGTGCATATGTCGGGGGAGCCAGCGCCTGATACAGGACTACGACAGTGGGCATTGTCGCTTCTGACCTTTGGGACATCGTTAGAGATCGCGTTTGGTGTAGAAACAGGATTTTTCTCCCGGCCGGTAAGAAAACAGAACGACCGAACACCGTGGTGAAGGCTGTTTGAATAGGCGTCGATTAGTGCCCAGCAATCTGCGTGTGGCAACGACTCGCCAATTCATCGTCAAGAAGTTTCCTGGTGCAATATCGCCATAAATCGGCAATACTCTCTCCGCATGACTGTGTGCAATGAGTTGTGGTGAGGCTGTCCGCAGGGCTGGAAACAAAGCGCCGATAATCGGAACAATTCTTCGGGACCGCCCGAGTCGGGGTGGCCCCGAGGACTCTACAGCAATGGGGGATCGGAGAGAATTTATTCATCGTGTAAAAATTACATTCAGTTAAATATGCTTCTGCTTGCTACCGCAGAAGCGTTGAATTGGCGGCTACAAACACAAAACATCAAAGCGTGAAGTGATCAATGTCCAAATCCAGAGGGTGAAAAATCAACAGCAAATCCGAAGACTCGGAGGTTGTCCGCCAAAATATGGCCCAGCTCAGGACACTGCTGATCTGTTTGAGCGTCCGCAAAGGAAATTGACCATACAGCGACCATTCCAAGGCTTTCGGGCGCGGCCACACTGAGTTTGGTGCCGCGAGGCCCTTGGTGATCCCTAAACAGAACCCCGACTTGGCTCCGTTGCGAACCATAAATCGAGCGCCAGCAGTGCGCACTGACCGTTATAGATGAGGCCAAGAAGTAGTTGACACGAGTCGACACGGGAGAAATGCAAAGAGAAAGCGTGTGACTTTGTCAGAGCAAGAGACAGTAAAGATTCAGGATGCGCAAGCAGCGCATCCACATGACGACATTCAGCTCTCTTTTTCATCATGATGGCGCAGCTTCTCGAAGCTATCTCGGACGGTGTCTCGGACACTGAAGCCACCGAAGAGCCAATCGTTTGAATGCCGGCCGCAGTGGTTCACCGTGCCACTGTAGCGACGGTAGTCATCGCTGGTCTTGCGGGTCGAAGTGGGGGCACACTTTGTGCCAAAGTCCTCTTTAGGTGAACGAGGTGAAGAGTTGTCGGGGGACATTTGAACGGGGCTCGTCGAGTGGTGGTCGTCGTCAAAATATGACATTTTGGGTGCACTCCGAGGGATATCTCGAGGCTGGGAGGCCATGGATTGGCGAGACGAGGTATCAGGGATGTTGACCGGTGTAGGAGACTTGGAGCGCGGATGGAACCGTTTGGAGGACAAGAAGTTGGACTTGGGCTTCTCGTAGAGCGGCTGGCTGTCTCGGGTCGAAGTCGAATTGGACGAGGTCAGGGAGAGTGATCGCTTGGGGTGCTGACTGGAAGAACGGGAGTGCATTACTGTCCCGGGGGGTAGAGGAAGAAGATGAACTGGGACAGTTGTTGGGGGCGTGTGCTGCTTTATGGATGAGAATTTCCATGTTGTGTCCCCCTCTTTGTAACTAAGTGGTAGGGCAGCCAATCCTAATGAACCCCGTCACGGACCGGGCCCTGGCCACAACCAACGGACGGCCCTCGTTGGGGTCCCACTCGTAAGGTTTAGGGTCGGTGAGGATGACTCGATGGGCGAGCGAGGGCCCAATCATGGCCTCGTGTGGTCTTGGGAGCCGCTCCCACCCGGGGGTCCGTCCCGCATATTCACCGCTGGTCCATCTGCACTCCGGTAGGCACCCAGATTATGGTGATGATTGACGAGCGAATTAGGTGGGTTGGGCATGCAGCCCACTGACTAGTGCCTGCCTGCGGAAGCACCCCCGAGGTCAGCTGGACCATGGAACGAGCCCTATGGCGAGACGGGACAACACTAGTGCACTAGTACCACGCTACCTCTCTTCTAGCGGGCTTCGAGAAGCCAACGACCAGTGGTGACGTGGTCGGTCCCTCGGTATAGTAGAGGTCGAGCCTGACTTTGGGCGTCTTTCCGGCAGCGTTGGTGAGCTGCTTTCGGGGATTGAAGGCTGTGAAGGGAGATAAGAAGCGTATCCTTGCGGTGCTCCACATGATGTGCCCCGCTCGGGTCTGGGGGCGCAAGATCGGTGGATTGCTGTCACAATGTCTGGGAAGAGAGCTTCCTCAGTTGGGAAGGGGGTTTCACCACGATCCATGATCCATCCCCGTGCCGGCTAGAGATTACCTCGCTGCCACGGTGCTCAGCTTGCTTGGCCCGTTTTGTTTTGTAGAGCTTCGGCTCGCGGGCTTTGTTAGGGGTCGTAGAGGATTTGATTGAGACGCCTGAGACGACCGAGGGCGTGGCAGTCCCTTGTGATAGCGACGTCGCCTTGCTCAGCTCCTTTCTCTGTTGCATGTTATCGCGTTCTTTTGAAGGGGAGTTGTAAGGAATAGAACAACTACTTGTTAGGGTAGGAACCTGTCAGTCAGGTGAAGAAGACTTCTCGAAACGGTACCGAACGGGTAGAGATAAGGTAGACATACTGGAGCAATTCAGCGGAAGACAAAGGCACACCGATCCTGAACAGAATCAGGATGCGACCAGGTTCGTTCAAGCTTATAAATAAGAAAGATGATTCCGTACTTATTTAAAGGTCGTCGCACTTGTCAAGCCTAGGATGAGATGTGAACAAAGACTGGTGATAAGCCTAGGGCTGTTCACGATATGCGGTCTCGACGATATTATCGCAGGGATTTTAGTCGAACGATGCGATATACGATAATGAAAAATCCTAACGATATCGTATCGTGAACAACACTAGGTGAGCCTAGTGGTATTGCTTCTTACTCGGTGCCTACATCATCGTCTTCTGTCACCCGCTGTTACCGCGAATCCAGGAGAGCAAATGATGAAGCTATTGTAAAGCTATCCACAGGAGGCAGCGGTCACGCGCTCACCCACTCTTCTCACCGCCCGGCGGCTCGTGGGCTGCGGCTTCCATCGCGCGTCCAAACGCGCTTTCTTTCTTTTCGTTTGTTGCTCACTCTCTGCCCCCCTGCCTCCTCACTCTCTCTCTCTTTATACCCTTGCTGGAAGGCTTGATGAAGTCTCTCTGAAGTCTCTTTGAAGTTGATCTCCAAGGTGTGAACCCTGGAGACTCGGGCGCCGATCGACTGCGCTGCTCTCTGACTACTGACTAGAACCACCACGCTTGTCCCCACCAGTACTGCGCGCGCCGATCCAGACCGCACCATCCTGCTCCCTGTTCTCCCCACATCAAGTGTTTTGATCACCGGTCCTGATTTCGACACGCCAACAGGCACTGAGAAAGCTTTCTGCGTCGATCCTTCTCTTCTATGGGTTTGCTTGGGTGTGCTAGGCTCTACAACTCTTCTGCTGCGGGTGACGGTGCGTGGAAGCCTGGGGTGATGCCTATCTCGGCCTGGGCCCCGGTATAGCCGCCTGTGATTCGGGGTGTCTGATACAGTGAGGTTTTGCTGGTCGTAAGGGACGACCCGATTTACTATATGGCCTTCACTGACATTCTCAACAAGGGCTTCTTATCGATGGCAGCTAACACCATCGCCACTGGCCTTTGCTCTTACCCGACCGCCTGTGGCATCGCTGATGACCCCTATTATCGGGAAGAGGCCCAGCGCCTGATGGGCATTTTCACAACGGTCTCGTCACAGCCCCGAGAACCCAACCCAAAGTTGGTCACCCACGGCCACACAACGTTTCGCCTGGGACCAAAGGGGAGTGGTTTGCAGGAATCTTGTTCCGTCAACATTAACAGACAAGACAACCCCCCTTCCTCGTCCAAACCCAACCAAGCGCCATGCCTCATGAGCAGTCACGGGCTCTTTCGAAATCCAACTCTACGAAAAGTAGCGACAATCTCGAATGTAACCAAAAACATTGAAGGTCATTCATCCACCTCAAGGCCTTTACTCGACACTCACGCGGGAAAGTCCACCCAACCATCAATCACGCCCACATATAATATGGGCAAACCTACACGACGCTCCAGTCGGTCAAGGACCACGCCAGCAAACTACTATGCGCGTATCCATTTGTATGAGTCTTCCGAAGACGCGCCTCCGAGGTCTCGCAGGCCCTCTTTGGGCCATTCGACATCCGAATCTTCTCGGCAGTCCCGCACATTGACCCCCACATCTAAATACCTTTCGCAAGATGCGATAACAGAAGCTAGGGTTTTATCCGTCCGGCGGCCGGGCTTTCTGAATATCCAAAAGCTTCTTGGGGACCGTGAAACTGGCTGCGCTGCAAAACAGCGTCAGATTCACAGCCAAATATCCTCCGATTTTCGACTTGTCAAGCAATGGAAGGGTGCGTCAAATGACCTGAATGTTTTGGTCTGGTCTCCCGATTGCACCAGATTCGCAGCGGGGGCTACCGCTCAGTCGGACGACTTGAACATGCAGTACAACCGAGTGAACAACCTGATTTTGGGGGATCTGCCAACAAATTCTCTGAAGGAGTTGCCGGACCATTGGATTCCTCGGCCAGTTCGGGCAGATGCTGCAAACTCGAATTTTAATGACTGTCGCCTCTTTATGAGCGTATCTGACATGCAGTGGATCGGCGACCGGCTCTACACTGCGAGTTTTGACCGAACAGTCAAGATCTGGGATGTTGGAACGCACAGAGGTGTTTATTGCCTTCAGACCTTGAAGCATGAGACAAAGGTACAAGTTATGGCTCGATCACATCTTGACTCTGAGATTTTGGCATCTGGCACGGATTCTTTCAGGATTTGGGATACACGGGACCTTGCGAACCCCACATACAACCTTCTTGATATCGACCCACTGAAGGCCAGCATTGGTTTAGAACCAACTGCCCTTGTATGGGGGCATACTGCGCAAACCAAGGACCTTTTGGTGGGCGGTATGTCCGGAAAGGCTTCTTCTGATTACGACACGGTCAACCACGGCCATTTGGCAATGTGGCGGGCTGCTGAATCTCGTATGGAGTCCATGCAGTTAACGCCCAACTCGCAGAACGTCTTCACTGTCAAGTGGCATCACTCGCTTCCTATGTTTGCGACTGCAAGTTCCGAATCTAAGTACAAGGCCGTGAAGTCAGGTACCCCCAGAGATACTAAGTCGGCTGTGCGCGTATACGACCCCTTGAGAGTCAGATGGGCTAGCATGGAATTTTTTTGTCCCGCGTTAGATGTCAACGAAGTGACATTTTGTCCGATGGATTCGATCTACATCACTGCCAGCTGCACGGATGGCAATACTTACGTGTGGGATAACCGCAATCCTCGCCATGCCCTCCACCAACTAAGCCATGGACCTCCGCTTAGCCCGATTGACTCAGATTGTCCTCGAGAAGAAGTGGATGTTGGTGTTCGCGCTGCACTGTGGGGTTGTACAATTGACCAGTTCTTTACGGGGGCTTCGGATGGCTTCTTGAAGCGATGGGATATCCGCCGGTCCTGCGAAGATGTTCTTGTCGAGGATACCGCCACTCTGAAAGAGGGGATTTCATGTGGTGCACTCTCGGAGGATAAATCCCAGTTTCTCATTGGGGGTGGCGAAGGGGGGATCCATGTCCTTTCTACGGGTGCATATTCTGACCTCGATGATATCGCCTTTCGTTTCGAGTGGGCTGCACAGCAGCAAGACGACGAAGTTTCTGAGGCTAAAGCGAAAGCCTCCGAGTCTGGGGTGAAAGCCTCGAACGATTACATTGCGTCCGGCCAGCTCTACCGGCATCACAAGTATGGCATGGGACAAGGGTCGCACTATGAAGGTCCTTATGCCCGCTGGGCCCGCGGGCTTGATGAAGACAAGCCCAAACCGCAAGACATCCAGTCACTCCCTATCTTGGACAAATGGCGAATCCGCCAGCTTGCCGGGGGCCGGGCCCAACACCGAGACGGCCTTGACCCGAAATCAAAAAGAGAGATCGACAAGTGCAGGCTTACTGCTCAAATCCTAAACCGTCGTCGACCACGCTCGAAACACGGCTGTGAAGGACACAAGGTTAAATTTGAACCTGGACACCGTCGCCCCAAGAAGAGAAAGCACCGCTCTCCCGAGCTTATCAATCTTGTCAGTGGCGAGGAGGATAACGTCAAGCCCAAGAAGGTGAAGAAAAAGAAGACGCACTTGATCAAGACTACAGCCTGGATCGATTTGACTGGCGTCTCGGACACTGACGAGGCGGATACGACGCAACCGGTAGAGACAGCCCAGTCGGTAGTGGAGGCCGCATCTGAAGGTTGGCGGGAGAGTTCCGAGGAAGACTACTGGTGGCCCGACAGTGGAACAATTGACCCGAACTGCCCAGAGGTAGTGGTCTAGCTCAGCCTTTTTGTTCGGATTAGCGGCATTGCAAGATACGGCGTTACTATTGATGAATAACAAATGAATGAGATGCATTCCTAGGTACTATCTACCTGGTAGTTACCCACAGCCAGTAAGCGTACAGTACTGAAATGAAGAATCATGTTTTCCGTCGTCATACTTGAGAGGTACTTAGCACAGCCCCCGGTGGCGCAGAGGGGCAGTGGCGTTAGTGGGTGCCCGAGGTCATAAACGGACCAGGTATTCCAATCCAAGTATACCGTCTTCTTCTTCTTCTTCTTCTTCTTCCTTTATTCTTCTGCCTTGCACCCAACCAACCCTCCTGCACTTTCTTTCCTCACTGCAATCATCACTGTGAATTCCTCGGACTAAATCCTCCATCCATCTCCCTTCACTGATGTCGTTCGCTCCACCCCCCGGCCCACCCCCACCCTCGGTGCCCGAGGGATGGAAGGTTCAATACGACGATCGCTACAAGACATGGTTCGCATCTTCCTGGCCACCAGAAGCAGAAGCAAATAATCGGTTACTAACATTCAGCGCAGGTTCTACATCGACCTCGCGACGGGCAAATCGCAATGGGAAAAGCCCCAAGCCCACCCTGGTAGCCACGCGCCCCCCGACGCACCTCCCTCCTACGACGTCAGTTCGGCCGATCCAGCAGCGGTAGCCAGCGCGGGCGACAAGAAACAGCCCGGGATGGGGTCCAACAATCCGTACAACACGGCAGGAGGACGGAGCAGCCAAAGTCCCAGCATGGTCGACGAGGACGCCCGCCTCGCTGCCAAGTTGCAGGCCGAGGAAGACGCCCGCGCCGACGGTGCGCGGGGGTCCAACACCCCAGGCGCGTCTTCGGACTACTACAATGAGCCACCGCAGCCACAAGGATATTCGGCCGGACCATCCAGCTCCCAGAGTCCAGGTCCCATGCCAGAGCAGAAGCGTAGCAAGGGCTTTCTGGGTAAGCTGATGGGCAAGAGCTCGAGTAGCAGCTCACGACCGCCTCCGCCAAGGCCCCAATATGGATCGTATGGGCCGCCACCACCGCAGCAGGGGCCTCCGCTGGGAGGGTATTACGGGGGATATTCTCCGCAACCACAACCGGGCTATGGCTACCCTCCCGGTCCTGGCTACGGCTATCCACCCCAAGGTGGTTACTATCCACAGCAGCAACCCCCACGAAAATCCGGCATGGGCACTGCTGGTGCGGCGGCCCTGGGCGTTGGCGGTGGGTTGTTGGGCGGGATGCTACTGGCCGACACTATAGAGGATATGGGAGACCATAATGACTATGGCAATGGAGGATACGACAATGGAGGCTATGACAACAATGGAGGTGATTGGGGTGGTGGTGGTGATGATTTCGGAGGTGGGGATGGCATGTAGACTTGGGCTTTTTTACGATGTTTCGTGTTTTGCGATTGTTCGACAACTGCAGTGCATTGCCCCGGGCTTTTTGAGGAATGGGAGGACAGGCTCGGGGTGAAATTTTTTGTTTGGTTTCTAATTTCTGCTCGTTTTCGTTTCTCGGGTTGATGATAAAGGTTTCCCGAACATTCTCCAGAGCAAGACTTCTTATGTATGATGAAAAACGCACGTATAGAGACGGCGGGAATAGTCACAAATAGCTCGCCCGACTGTTGTAGAAGTCCAGTTTATACCTGTGCTTCTATCCACGCTTCCGCGCAGAATCAGCAGCCTCTCTGCCGGTTGCACCTCCACGGGCCGCCTCCGCACTTGCCATGGGGCCAGGAGAGGTCCCGGCCATCCATCCAGCTAGATCGAAGCCGCCTCCGGTCATCGCATTGCCCGTAGCCCCGGTGAGAGGGGAAGAACGAGAGTGTTGTTCGAACTCGGCGCGCGTTTCGGGGTCCACTAAGCGAGCATGAGGTGTCAAACACGAAACGCAACACCCAAAAGAATAAAAGACAAGACATACTGTTCTCCATGAGCTTGGGCATACCAAAGGTAATACCCAGCGCGACGACGGCCATCAAGATCATAGGGTTCTTAAATAGGCTCAGCGGCGAGACTATGCATACAAAAATCAGCGATGGCATCTAGGCTATGAGGAAAAGAGGCCACTCACACTTCGACCGCTCTTCATAGAAACTTATACGGCCAAGCACCTTCGCCTCAACGACAACATTCTCCTGCGCTCCGGTGGTAGCATCGCGAACGTATTTCTCCGAGCCGCGATTATCCCAGGGATTTCCGCGGAAGGTCTCCCAGACGCCGAGGATAGAGCCGTCGGCGGCGACGTCGACGCGGTACGGGGCGAAGGCGTATTCGCCGGCGGCGCGGATGTCGAGCAGGTAGGACTCCGGAGACGAGCTTGCGGGGAGGTCTCGGAAGGTGAAGGTCGAGGAGCGAGTGAGTGAGGCTGTTCGGATATGGTCGTTCTTGGAGGATGACGGCAAAGTCGTGAGGGTTGCGTGGGAGGTTGCGGGGAGAGCATGCGGGTTGGGGAGGATGTTTGAGGAGGGAATTGTGATTGTGAGGGAGGCACTGGCAGCTAAGGTAGCCAGGACGGCCCCGATGGAGAGTAGGGAAGGCAATTGCATGGCTGGGGTTGGGGCGTGAAGAGAGCAAAGGGAAGGGAAGGGAAAGGGTTGTTGCGTGGTGAGGTGATGGGGTCCGTGCTGACCAAGGACCTAGGGACTTGCAAGCTTAACTTGTAGGTAACCTAAATACATCAATCCCTGAGTTATGGATACCAGTCAAGCAATTCACACACACAGGAAGAAAATAAATACACATGCAATTTATCTATCCACTATGACCAGTCATTATGTCGAACATCCATCCTCCAGCCCATCATAGTACTCGACTGGGCCCGGTCCGCCACCAAGAGTGCCTCAATTGCGTCCTCTCCCTCGTACTCGTCTGCATCGCCGCCCACGCCATCCTCGGTACCCAGTTCCCTCGCGACGATATGGGCAACCGTTTTCTGATTCACATGATAGCAAGCAAGTACATCATTCGCGACGCGTCGCGAGGGCGTAACTGCCGCCTTGAGATCACAATGTCTCACTGAAAGCATAAAAGCATAAAAGACAAAGCTCCAACTTGTGGTTTTTTTTGTCCTCTTTCTATGACCCCATGCAATACAGTACTATGATACTCGCACGAATTTGGGGCAATCTTAATCACAGAAACAATTTTCATTTATCTAACATCGAGTGTTCACACTTGGCAATCGCGAGACCCGTCATTAGAATCAATTCCCGAATATTAGCAGTCTCGATCTCAGTCTCAATCTCGGTGGCCTCCTCTAAGCCATCGACGAAGATAATACCTTCTTGGTTCATAATAGCAATAACTTTAGACGGGTCCCAGTGCCGTTTCTGGTGACGGTTCACATTAAGCCGGCATAGACGCGTGTCCTGGTCCATGATAAATGGTAGGTCCGCCTGGGCCATTTCATATTTCGAATCCGAGTCCATATAACGCTCCCATAGAAGTGTGTTACGGTACGCCTTAGGGAATTCCCTGTCATGCGCTCGCTCATGCACGCGCTGGACCTGGTAACATGACTTGTCGATCTCGTCGAATCGCCATCGTTCGCTGGTCGCCAAGTTTATCCATCCTCCAGATAGACAGCAACACTTGCACCACATAAATCCGGGATAGTTGACATGAATACCGCCGACAACGTTCGCAATTTCGAAAGGAATAGACCTGGTGTCTCCGGTCTTGAGGGATGCTATATTGTCTTCATAACTAGTGACAATAATGTCGTTGCAGCTTAGCTTATAAGATGTTGAGTCTCGCTGCGGTAGCGAGATCCCCCAGTAAGCGGTGCTCCAGATATTATATATCGGGTATATAGAGCCTCCTTTCCAGGAGGACGCTTGGTTTATTTGGAAGCGCAAATTAGGCTCTGATGAGAATAGGCTCTAGTTGCCTGTGTTGATCGCCCAGGGCTCAGCGGGAGCAATTCAGAAAATATCTGTGTAGGTGGCTTTTGACGGCTCTAAACAAGCTTCATGATCGCCACTAGAGACGTGGAAGATTAGATTCCATGCCAAGGGATTGGTGAAGGATAGGGAAAGCCTTACTCAGAGGTCAGCTCGTCACCCTGAGGACGGTCCATTATGGCTACCGGGAGTATTACGACGACTGCGACGCATAGGGGAAGAATGAGGGGGAGGAAAAAACGGGAGTGGTGGGAAGGGAGAGTGTAGGCGGCCGATCATGCCAGATCACCAGAACTCCCAATATCCTATATGGTGATTCCATGAGGCATAACGGTACTATGACGATGACTCATCCGTTGGTTACGGCCATTACCATTACAGTTCTACCAAAGTTACACAGTGTTGACCTAAAGTGAGATTAGCGTATTTTGGATTTATTTTCTGGGAAAAAGGCGCAAGAGTGTGGAGTTATAAGTGATTTCGAAAACTACAGCAACTTAAGAAAAGCAATGTACAACGCATAGTTCATATAATTCACTTACGCTGGTCATTGCGTCCGGGTGAAATGGCAAACTGTGATATGCTTAGAGGGTAGTCAAACTTCAACACCCTGACTGAGCATTGCTGCGGTGGTGGAATTGCTTGTTACTATATGCGTGAGAAGGCGGGGACTTGATCAACCCAACCATTCCTAATGCGGTGAGGTTCGAATCACGCTGGCCATTGCTAAGCCGGTGAAATGGCCTCTTTAGATATATTCAAAAGTTGGCAAATTTTAACATTCCGTCACTTGAATTCAAGTGGTGAGCGATATGGCGGATTGATTCATTCAGGCTCTTCCAGACCACCATAACCTAAGTGATGAAATTTGATCACTCATGGTAGATGGCGAGTTGGAGTAGTAGGAGTGATTGACACCAGCGTCGGGCAGCTGGCGTGGGGGCCTGGAGGGGCCGGAAAGAAGGACTCCGCTCTACCTCGTGCAGTCGGGCAAACCCGATCATGTGCTCCTCTGCGTGTATATCAAGCGTGGTCGCAAGTAGTGGTACCCCAAGTCATTTGACATACAGATAGACATAGGGCACTATCTCTTCAGTTAGTGATCTCTGCGGGTAGGAATACCAGAGGCATCCTCTGAGCCCCGAGCGGATAATTTCCCTCGGTCCCATCAGCCGCGAAAGAAGGCCATGGAAGGGACTGATTTCTGGGGGAAGACCGGTTTCCTTGATCTCTGTAGCCAATTGCTACCTAAGGCTACGACTATCTTTAATCCTTCATTTTCCACACCAAGGGCGAAGGATGAAAACCAGTATGTATGATGATCTACATAATCTTAACACCAAGGAACCGTTGGGGGCTTGAATAATCCTGTAGGATTCCTGGGCGTACGTAAGTATTGCCCGGTAGTATTTTCTCTCAACTCTCGGAGTCCGCGCGCTATTAAAGGTCGCATTTGCGCATCTAAAGAAAAGAGGGTTTTCCATCGAATTCCTTGCATACAAAGTCACGCCTTACGGAAGTTAATCAATATGATTACCCTGAGTCCAAAGGCGTTGGCCGTAGCTGCCATCACTCTGAGTCTCTCACCTTCTGTTTTGGCATGTCTTGATATCACTAGCTACGTCGGCAATGGCAATTACTTCTCCGATGGCGCTTATGGCAATATCACAACAGTCGATAATGGCGTACAGACTTGTCGTGGCAATATAGGCACTGGAGACAAAGACATTGGAGGTACGTGTCTTGCTATGACTTTCCATTTCTTACTATGAGCAAACTCGGTAACTCGGTGTGTATAAAGATGGATGTATCAGCCGCTTCTCGCTGAACTACGACTATACCGATAACAATGGTTGGGGGCCTCTACCAATCACTTACTGCAACCCGGCACATTGGTATGCAACTCATCAATTGATTATAATATGGACAGCTTGAAGACTAACACTGTCCGTATAGTTACCAGATTAATGTTCCGTGCACCTTGGTGGAAAAGCAAAATAATGGAAAGGAGAACCTCTACTCTTGTACCCTGTCTAAATTCTGCTCGTGAAGCGAATTTTAGTGGAGTTGTGGACAAAGTCCATTGAAACTTCTCACCTGTGGGCATTATAGAATTGGAGAGGAACTGTTTGGCATATTTTTGGGGAGCGTAAAGAGAGATATTGGTCTCAGGTTTCGCGATACATATTCTACATTGCCCTAAAACGTACACATCCCCGCTGTTTATCTGGTCCTGTTTATGCGGCTGCATGCGCCTTTTCAGTGTGGTTCTCAATTTGCCAATAACGAGGTCGTAGAATGTGGCCCGTGGAGTTCCTCCCTGGATGAATGGAAGCTCCCACCTACGGTGTTTCTTATATATATTAGTTAAATTCCCACCAGGTCCTTAGTGTCGAGGTCGTTTGATGCTGAGAAAAGCTCATCAGCCTGGTCATCAATCGTCTTAGGCTTCCGGCCTAGCAGCTGTTCCAAGGTAGGATCAAGGAAGGCCTTTTCACCAAGCGAAATAGCAGTGTGCCAGCTCGCCCAGTTCTCAAGGAAGCTGACTTGCTCCGGTGGCACACTGCCATTCTTGATGTGCCATGCGATGGCCTCTTCAACGGGCAAAACGCGAACGTTGACCTTCCTGCCGGTATGCTTCATGTACTTCTTGATGATGTCAACCCCAGTCAAGAGCTCGGGACCAGTAAAATTTAGGGTTTCGTTGATGTGATTTTGCTACAACAGGGTCAGCCCACAGCCAGTTCTTCCATGTATGCGAAGCCACACATACCCAATTCGCGATGACCTTCGCGGTGGCCTCCCCCAGCTCAGCCCTATTCGCCCAGTGTTCAAAGCCGTCATTGGGTAGCACAGCGTCCTGGACGACGTTGGGAGTGGCATCCAGCTTTAGAAATCCGGCATAGTTGTTCCATAGGTGCGAGTACGACGCCATACGGAGGATCGTGTAGGTAATCCCGCTTTCCTTTAGGTAGCGTTCGGTCAGGAGGTGGGCCTGCGCGACCTGAGCGACGCTGGCGTTGCCTTCGGCTCCGCCACAGAATGACAGCGAGGTGTAGATTATGTGGCGCACGCCTGCGGCCTTCGCGGCATCGATGGCGTTTCGGTGCAGCTTGTATCGTTCCTCGCCCATGGAAGGGAACGACACCAAGAACAACACCTCTGCGCCGGAGTACGACTCCACCAGCGTTGACGGCTCATATACGTTGCCCTTGCGAATCTGAATCCCGGTTTCACGGACGGCAGTCGGGATGGCAGCCGTATTGTAGGATGAAATTCGCAGATCTGAGACCTGGACCAGCTTCTCTGAGAGGAGCGTCTGGAGCACGACGCGGCCTATACCGCCGGTAGAACCTAGAGACCCTGATTACTCATTGTTCGAGGACGGCATTCCACATATTTCATACCCGTAAGAACAATCATGATTAGACAAGAATTATTTATTTGCCAGGAAGAAGCTGGAGTGTGAAAGGATGCTTGAATTATGGTCCGAGACGGATCGAAGACCAGGATTTCGCACCGTTCTAAATGTTTTCTGCAACTGCATCGTATTAAATGTCACGTCGAGCGCCACAGAGAATGCGTATAGAAGCAGAACCCGCTAATCGTCCTGGTGGAGATTCCCGCCTTAGCCAATGACGTCAATATATTCCCTTCAAGTAATTGTCACGAATTGACTTGCTATGCCATTATTGATAATTGGAAGGCTGGACATCTCTCGCCCGACGTACGTTTTGGGGGGAGGACTCTTGGTCAAACCTGGATCACCTGTACATCTGGAAGATCGGAGTAAATGGACTTGATGATCACGCGCACGAGAAATAAACTGTCTATAAAACTTTTGCGGTATATGAATCGAAATATATCATCAAATACATTGCTATTATTCGAGAACAACCTCATCCATCTCGCTTACGCAGAGGCAACCATCTTGTCCGTGACATATAGGTCAACATACTGGTCGACATCATAGTTCTCCAGCTGCTTGCGGTCATTGCCCAGGTTCACGAGCTGATCGATGCGGGCCTGGTCAAAGTGTGCCTGCAGGTGGCGCTTGTACTTGGCGAGAATCTCGGGCTTGGCCTCCTCACGACGCAGGCGGTGGCCCAGCGGAGCCTCGACAGCGACTTCCTCAAGCACGGTACCATCGTTCAGAGTGACGGTCAGCGCGTTGGGGATGGTGCGCTTGCTAGGGTTGTGGTAGTCTTTGGTGAACTGCTCATCTTCAACGCAGCGAATGCGCTTGCGCAGATCCTCGACCAGAGGCGAGGTCGCAGCCTCGGAGCCATCAGCGTAGTCGTTGGCAGTCAGGCGGTTGAAAGCGAGCATCGTGGCCACCATGTACTGCTCGGCGATTAGCAATTTCCCGTAAAAGGGTCCACCGCACTTACTTGAACACAGTGATCGCGGTCAGCAAAGTTGTCCATTGCCTTGAACTGCTTGTCGATAATACGGATGCAAGCCTCGTGGGTGCGGTTGGTAATTTCCTTGATGTCCTTGGCGCTCTTGCCCATGGCGGCCAGCTTCTTGTTAATGATCTGGGCCGCTTCAATCGCAGTCTGAGAGTGGAATTCGGCTATTCACGAGAATCAGCACCGTTCAATTGATAAGACGGGACATACTTACCAGGATAGGACACCTTGAACAGAACGTTCTCCATAACGTAGCTGCCATACGGACGCTGGTACTGGAACTTCTTGCCCTTGAACAGGACATCGTAGAACCCCCAGACAGGAGCAGAGAGCACAGTGTGCAGACCACCCTCACCCTTCTGCACCTTCAAAACCAAATTGACAGCACGCTGGCAGGCATCGCCGGCAGCCCATGATTTGCGCGACATGGTGTTGGGCGTGTGACGGTACGTGCGGAGGCTCTGGCCGTCCACCCAGGCCTGGGTGATAGCGTCGGCGGTCTGCTTCTCGCTCAGGCCAAGCATCTTGGCGACAACAGCCGTGGTTGCGACCTTGACTAGCACCACGTGGTCCAGGCCAACCTTGTTGAACGAGTTCTCCAGCGCCAGCACACCCTGGATCTCGTGGGCCTTGATCATGGCCTCCAGAACCTCGTGGACCTTGACAATCTTGCCCTGGCCTACGTTGCCTCCCGCACGGTTAGTGCGCGAAATCCAGTCCGCCACGGCCAGAATACCACCCAGATTATCGGAGGGGTGGCCCCACTCCGCGGCCAGCCAGCAGTCATTGTAGTCCAGCCAGCGGATCATGGCACCAATGTTGAAGGCACCGTTCACGGGGTCCAACTGGTAGGGCGTTCCCGGCACGCGTGTGCCGTGGGGGACGACAGTACCATCCACCACGGGGCCGAGCAGCTTCGCGCATTCCTTGAACTTCAAGGCCTCCAATCCACAGCCGAGGGTATCGAGGAAGACCAGACGCGCAGTGTCGAACTGTGTCATATGGTCAGCGTGTGCAAGGCAGCGACCCAACGAGGTAACTCACCGCCAGGTCGGAATCCACGTTGTATTGGTGGATGTAGCTGGCCATGTCCTGGATCTCGGGGTCGTAGGGCTTGTCGGCGGAGGCCGGCGGAGCGGCAGACTGACGAGCGGCCATGTTGGAGAAGTGCGAGGCACGGAGAGCAGCAGTGGTCGGGATGGATGAAGTGCGAAGAGGAAATCTGGAGACGACGGGGATGCGGGCCAACGTGCGGGGTGTCGTGTGGGTCAATCGTCGCAGGGCGGGAAGGGACATGGTGAGAGAAACAGCGAAGGGAAGAGCAATGGGAGGAGTGGGAAGACGAAGAGAATAGAGGAGGGGCAATTGAGGAAGATATGTGGAGAGAGAGAGAGAGAGAGAGAGAGAGAGAGAGAGAAAAGGGTGTTATTGGTGTGGGAAAAAAGGGTGAGTGAGCTCAAGTTGACTTCACTGGGCCGAGGGTCGGTTAGTGACGGTCGGAAGTACAGACGACTATGTGCTGCCCTATGTACGGCTTATTAGATGATTCACGGGAACTCCGTAACTAACAGGTAGTACCGAGGAAGAGATCCTAATATTCTCTTTTCGGATGAGCAACTATGATCGTGGGAAGAATATCGTCAATGTTGGATTTGTTGAGCAGCCCCGAAGATCGCCCAGCCGAGCGAAAATCGGACGCCGACAGCCGGGAGACGATTCTCTTCACGTGTGCCGATCGTAGACTCGAAGAAAAAGAAAACTCCCCGGCAAGAGTAATACATCGTGGCTAGCACCAAGTATAATATTATGTACATGTTAGGTCCACAGACATCAAGCCCTGTCTCACCATCACCCTTTTGCGATCATTATTAGTGACCCCTGTTTACAAGGCCACATATTCGGTCGTCAGTGGTAACTGCGAGCATCTGCCGCTGTCTGATCTGATCCGACCCCAGAATGAAATTGAGTCGGGCAAGATCATTGTGGCATGCGACAAACAGGACTGCTCCCTTCCGCTGGAGAGCACAGATCAACAGATCGATGAGAACCATTGTTCATATCATGATGACCCGGTGGCTTAACTACTATGGGGGCTAAGTTACACCTGTCCTGGTGCTACATTGTATAGGTAGAGCTCAGCAAAAGTCTCCGGGGGTTACAGTCAGGCACCATACTGGTTTTCGACTGGGAGTCTCATCTCATTCTTATGATTATGAGGCACCATCATTATTGTTGTTGCAATAATCCTTCCTTTGCTCTGATTGCAGGGGCGCACCCTTGCCCGGACCCTATATCAGAAACACGAGCCCAGACCAAGGCGAGGGTTTAGGCTCATCCCGTGGATCCTTCGGCAGATACTACACTATTATTGCGTCTACGTGGTTTTGACTTTCTTGGCCACATCCTGCGCCCCTGCTCTACGAACGAAGGAGTCGGTTTCGTGTTCCTTGAAACAAATAATCCTCCCCGTCTCGCCCCCATTCCCGCCAGATTCTACGGGAGATGAACTCGATTCGTGGTCGTATTCAGGATTTTGGTTATCATTGGATCGACCCCGTACAAGGCCCCCACGGGTCTGCTTTTGCGATGATTAGATGGATTCTTCTCGTAGTGTTTAATATAAAGCGTGACGGCGGCCCTGGGTATAGGCCGTGTACAGAGTTCGATCACCATCGTACCGAGACTGGCTCTTTACTCTGTCGTTCTTTATCCTTGAGCATTCCTTTACGTTCATTAACATTTCTATCCACGAGGAGGACCAGAATCATCATGCGTCCTCTGTCCTTCATTATCGGCACAGCTCTTGCCTGGGCCTGCTCTGTGTCATCGACAGCAATCCTGCTGCCATTATACATCTGGCCCAGTGGGGATGTTTGGGATCCGGTCTATGATGCCATTGCATCTCACCCTCACATTCCTTTCTACGTGATCGTCAACCCAAGTAGTGGACCTGGCGACTCCGGTAGGTCTCCTGTTATCTCTATCTTGGCTTCCTTTCCGATCTGGCTGCGAAGATAGGCTTGTCCACTAATCAAGACATTCTGCAGAGTATCCGGCATCTGACTATATAACCGGCGTCGCCAAGTTGAACACCTTCGACAACGTCCGCGTCCTCGGCTACATTCCTACCGGATATACCGCACGTAGCATGTCAGAGGTGCGCAACTACATCTTAAAGTACAGCAATTGGTCCTCCTATACGGCGAGCAACATCTCCGTCTCGGGGATTTTCTTCGACGAGGCTCCCAACGAAAATGACCCGGCCAAGATCGCATACATGCGAAAGGCCGCCAACTACGTCAAGTCTTCCAAGTTCGTGACATCAGGCAACGCTCCTAAGACGGTCGTCTTCAATCCTGGCACTATCGCTGCGAAAGGATATCTGGATTCCGCTACTTTTGTTGTCCAGTACGAGGACACATATGCGAACTGGGAATCTCAGAATCCCTTAAAGTCTGTGCCTTGGGGTCAGAGGAATCAGACTGCCGCTATTTTGAACGAGACGCCACTTACTGCACGCTTCACCGATACTGCTCGCTCGGTGCATAAAATGGGGCTGGGTGCTATGTATATGGCTAGTGGCTGCTGCTACAACAATGACAATACTGTGGAGAAGGTTGCAAACGCTATGGCAGAGGTCTAGTGCAGATGGCGCTATTCGATTGCCATTGAAATTATGTATTGGGGCCGTCGGGCAAATAATAACACTTGATATATACAGGTATACCTGTGAATTGTCCCTTCCACTGTTGGTGTTTTGCTGCACTTTGCGACTGTTTAGAATAAGTACACACTGACAGTAGTGGTGTTGTTTTGGATACTCTGTGGCACTCTCCGGTCCCTTGATCACATCGTTGGCCTTATCTAGACCTTTGAAATCCAGGGGTTTTATCCTTGCCCCAGCATTTATATATTATTTTACGAGTGCAGAAGGAGGTACTTGTATGATTATGCCACCTTTAGAACCTCTAGTCCAGGCCCTTCGCTCCATCTTTATAGGGTCTCAGATCGTACTCATCGGGATAAGTCTCCAGGATGCGCTTGAGCTCCTTCATCTGTTCTTGAGCCTCCTCCGTAATATTCTCATAAACATCTTCAAAAGCCTCCCGAAGCGGAGGTTTTTTCACGCGCTCAGCATCACTGAATTCCTTCAGCACTGCCTTTCGCAATGTGTCGCGTGTCTCTTTCTCCTGATCCTCGCTCCACAGTCCCTGTTTCTCGAGCCATTTGCGCAACCTGATAATTGGATTATCGCGGCGCTTCCAGTCCTCGACTTCGACGCGGGCACGGTATGCAAAGCTGTCGTCACTGGTGCTGTGATGTGACACCCGATAGCTCATCGCTTCGATCAAGACTGGCCGCCCGCCGTCACTCAGAGCTAGTCTCCGTGCCTCCTTCATTGCTTCGTTCACGGCAAATACATCGTTGCCGTCCACCCGGATTGTGTCAATTCCATATCCCACGCCACGGCTGGCGATGCCATCACCGCGATACTGCTCCAGAGTCGGTGTGGAAATCGCATATCCGTTGTTCCGGCACAAGAAGACTACCGGGCAGGACCGTGTGGCGGCGATATTCAGCGCTGCATGGAAGTCACCCTCGCTGGCCGCACCCTCGCCAAAGTAGCATGTCACGATCCGCGGGGGCCGATTTGGGTTCTGCAGATCTTGAAGTTTGAGGGCATAGGCGGCACCAGCAGCCTGGGGGATTTGAGTGGCAAGGGGTGAGGAAATCGTGTGCTATATGGGTCAAATCAGCGAATTGTTGGGTAGATTCCAGGTCGAAATGCTGACCGTGCGGGGGTAGTTCTGTCCATAGTGGACTGGCATGTTCCGGCCTTTGCCTGTATCATTATGATTGGCGAATAGCTGGCTCATGAAGTCCTTGAGGGTAAATCCGCGTTGTTGAAAGACTCCAGCCTCACGATATTGGGCAAACACGACATCGTCCGGGGTCAATGCCGCGGCGGAGCCGATAGTGATTCCCTCTTCTCCAGCCGAAACCTAGCCCGCGCCCCTCGTTAGCAAACCTGTACCAGGTCATACATCTTTCCGGATGATCGTACCATGTAAAAACTCAATCGACCCTGCCGTTGCGCCTCGAACATGACCACATCCATGATGCTCACTATGCCAGATCAGCGACTGGTTCTCCAGATACCCCACTAAGCCACTCACCGGTCAGCATATTCTTATACCACATCAGAACCTCTTCATCCGTAACGTCGGGAGGTCCCCGTGTTCGGTCCACCAGCTCGCCGTTGGAGTCCATCACGCGGTAGGTGGGGATGGCGGGCAAGTCGGAGGCCTTAAGGAAGGACATTTGGGTGGTGAACTTGCTATTCACGGCACCGGGGAATTGGACACTGGAAAAAAAATCCCAAATCAGTTCCTGTTCTCTTTGCGATGAGACATCACGGCGTGCTCTCACCTGTCCGACCCTGGCCGTTGCGAGATGGAGCTGCTCCATCGCGGGGAACGGAATGCACCGGTCGGCGCAGCAATTGCTCTGCACGCCAGGGGGCTGCGTCGAGCGAGGAGCTGTGACAGCATGGTGCGAGGTGCGTTCTGCATTGATTTCTGTGGGCAAGAGCGAAGTTATGAATGTTGCGGGTGTTGAGCGGCCTCGGTTGTCCACGGTTGGCCACGGAGTTCACTATATACGAGAACAAGTCCTGGATCATCCCTTAATAATCCATGACTATTCTCATCTTCACACAATACAATAATAATAATATGATAAGAACAATAACAATTATAACAATCACAATCTGATCCTGTTTGTCTCTACGACCCCAGACCATGGCCGGAGTAGATTCAGCCCCAGCCGAACAACCAACAGGCATCGGATCTTGCGGCTGTCTCAACAGTAATCCCTCGATATAGCGAATCTGCTTATTAACGAATTCTTCGCTATAACGAACCCCCCCCCCCCGGGGGGCCCTTTTTTTTCCAGAATTCTTTTTCCCTTACATACAACGAACATTTTCGATTTTATCAGCTGCCTACCCCGCTACCCGTCGGTCAACGGTATCCCTCGAGTAGAAGCGAGCAGTTCGCGCACACAAAAGCCCATATCCGCAGAGTAGCAACCTCGTAATTGAACACTGATTGGATCGACCAGCCAATCAGCCCTGCTTCTCTCTCCCAAATATACCTACCTCGATGATCTAAAGAAATCCCTGCGAAAGCGCAAACACTACCGACGAGAGGACTGGCCAGAGCTTGAAGCAGCCCCCTTCTCATAGATACAGCACGCAGAGTATTGCAATCTCTCGTGAACTCCATTGGGATTTTTTGGAGGTCTAATAAGAAGGCATGGATGGTTACCTCTATTATGGTGGAATGGATTCGTTGCTTTGATACCCAAATGCGGCTCCGTGGACGAAGTGTAGTCCTATAATGGATCACTTCTCTGCTAATGAGGCTGCTGTGGAAAACATACAAATTTCAACCCTTCTTACGAATACCCTCATTGTTTGGCTCCCTCCAAATTCTACAAGCAAATATCAACCGCTTGACCAAGGAATAATTAGGACTTGGAAGGCATTTTGGAAGAGGGAGTGGATTCAATACATGCTTGCGGAATATGATGCTGGAAGGGACCCTCTTGAAGAGATCAATATCCTTATCGCAATTCGATGGGCTATCCGTGCATCGAATTTTGACGTGTCAAAGAAGACAATTCTCAACTGCTTCTATAGAGCATTCTCTATAGAAACAAGACTTGGCACAGGCCAATTACCAAATTCAGGGACCAACTAGTATTCAGGATACAGATGAGGATGAGGATAAAATTAGGGGTGAAACTATACCAAGGGTTCCAGTTTCGCAAGGAATAGGCAATTCGAATGGCCAGGTTGCATGGAGAGCAGGACGAAGAGGGAGATCTTGAGGCTATTCAGGTCCTGAATCGTTTGGAGGGAAAATATATGGCGGAGACCAATTCTAGGTGTCAGGGGTATATACGAAGCTGGTTTGCGTAGTAAATATATATATAATGCGCGCACTTTTGAAGCAACGAATTCCTTGATTTAACGGATACAGCTGGCTCCCAGAATTAATTCGCTACACAGAGGTATTACTGTACTTCATCTTTTCGATCCTTTTACAGCCATCGGGTATGACTGTGGGCTACTCCCGATCGGTTCCACTTGTCACTCCAGGCGATGACATGATGGTGGAGCATCACTCGTTCCCTGCTTGGAGCCAGCGGGACCGATGACATAGCCCTCGGGTACCTGGAATATCTCTTTGCGATTTCAATCGATTCGGGTTGGAAACCCCAACGACCATGATTGACACGGAGAATCTCAACCAGGTGCTGAGCACTGATATCTGCACCCCGATACCTGAAGCAACAGTATCCAAGATCATTTCCCGGCCGCCCTTCGTCACCGTGCCCGGAGTCTCCAATATCCGAGATCTCAGCCATGACAACGGAGTACGCCCGGGTTTCGTCTACCGGTCTGGGAACTTATCTGATGTCACAGACGAGGGGAAATCAATTCTAGTCGGTCGGATTGGGGTCAGCACGGTTTTCGATCTGCGGAATCAATCAGAGAGAGAGAAAGCCCCGAGTCCCGAAATCGAGGGCATCAAAACAATATGGATGCCGTACGGCGTTCGCCCTGCATCATTGAGCCTGCGGGACTTTGCCGGAAAGGATCATAGCGCTATTGGGTTCGTGAAGATGTATATGGGGATTTTGGACTCTGCCGCTCCGGTCTTCTGCCAGGTATTCCAACACGTTCAGAACTGTCCCAATGATCCGTTTATCTTTCATTGTTCTGGTGAGTCCCTGAGCCCTATGCATCAGGATTAGTGTTCTCCAGTGCTTCCTTTCATGGTTCCATACCCACTCCTTTCCACCGGTGTTAATCCACAAATGTTTTCTTCCTATAGCCGGGAAAGACCGCACAGGGGTATTGGCCAGTCTCATTCTTCTTCTCGTCGGACGTTCCCATAACGAAATTATTACCGACTATATCCTCACCCGCGTCGGACTGGAAAATGTTCGAGAGAATCTCCAGCAGATGCTTGATCTCAACCTTGGAACAGATCAAATGCAGCCCGAAGTGGTTGGGTACTTGGAATTGAGTGGCGTTCGGCCCGGCGCCATGGCGGCTTTTCTCAAAACCTTTGAGGAGACTTACGACGGTGGCGTCGAGGAATATTTGACCGAGAAACTTGGCTTCTCTCGTGCCGACGTGGAAATGATGCGGCGAAACTTGGTGAATTAGGGATTGTTCCTGGGATCACAAACATCACTCTAGAGACATACTACATGTATGAGCTTCTGTACATATAATTAGTTGTCTGGGCAAATAGACGGATACCCACTTAGAGCGACGAGAATAATGCATTGACCTTCATGCTAAAATATGCTTGGTAGAAGCTAGGGATCCATTCCAAGGTTTCAACTAAAAACACACGAAAGTACCTGGCTTTCTTGCTGGTTTTCTCCGCCTGCCATTATTGTCCGGGAGACGCCCTGGCCACGACTTCTTTTACACATTTGAAACGAAAATCTTCATCCTGAAATTAAGAATCTGTTCTTTGATTTCTGGAAAGCCTCACGCTGCCCCTCACACCTGGGCCTCCGGGACTCCACAGTCAGGCGCAGATCGTCGCTTTCTTCCGCCAGTCATTCCAGAATCGGGGATTGCCCATGCTAGAGCCGGGGAATCTTTGCACCAGTCGCATCTGAGCGCTGCTACCGTTGCGTCCCCCCGCTCGTGTGGGCCCCGCTGTTGTCGCTAGGATATTGTTTGTTTGATTATGCTCTTGCGGCCGCTACGGAGAACAGCCGAGCTAGCAGGCGACCCGTCTCCTCATGCACTGACCAGACGGGGCTAATGCTTGTTATTTCCTGTATCGGTGCCGATGTTCCTCCGACAATACTAATAGCGGGACAGGGGCTCGCGCTCGGAGAATAGGCTAAATCGGAATAATTGCCCCGGCCAGAATATATGTTGTTCGTGATTCGCATGAGCTCTCCACATTATAGCATTCTTCTCTGTTGGTGCCAACATGCATCTCTGGAAGAAGCTCTCGCTGGCCACACTGTCGTCAGGTCTTCCGACCCTGGCACAGCAGGTCCATAACCTCGGTGGTGATGGCTGGACTGTCAGCAGCAAGGCACTCAACATCAGCGTCCCTGGCCATTTGCCTTCACAGGTGCATTTGGATCTATTGGCGGCCGGAAAGATCGGTGGGTATTCCAATGACCTCTCCTTCCCGAGCTTTACTAATGACATCGGAAGATGAACCGTCAGTATATCTTCTAGCCTTCAAATGTAGTTGGTATAAGCTAATACCAGCTAAAGATACTGGGGCCTCGGTGATTTTAATGACCGCTGGATTGTTGCCAATAACTGGACTTATACAAGCAAGCCAATCCGTGGATTGTACGTGATTCACTTCTTGTTTACTTAGTTTGTTCACTAACCGTCCTAGATCGCCCAAAGCGAAATCTTCTTGGCTTGTTTTCAACGGACTCGACACCTTCACAACGATTGAATTTTGTGGACAGCACATTGGTACAACCGATAATCAATTCCGCCAGTACACTTTCGACATTTCGCAAGCATTGAGCGGGTGCCAGGGTGAACCTGTGTTGTCAATCAATTTTGGAAGCGCACCCAAAATTGCTGGTGCGATCGCTGATGACCCTTCTTCGGAGAGTATGATTCCCTTTTCCTTCGAGACGCCCACTCCTTCTAATAGTATTTTTCCAGAGTGGCCCTATGGTCCTCAGCAGGTCTATGAGTATACGAACCGCTGGTATATTCGGAAAGAACAGTCAGACTTTGGATGGGACTGGGGCCCTGCCTTTGCACCCGCTGGTCCATGGAGAGATGCATACTTGGTCCAGTTTGACCGCGAAGAAAGTATCTATATTCTCAACACGGATTTGGACATTCACCGCAAGGGGCAGATCAATCATGTTACTCCAGACCAAAGCGCACCTTGGGTAGTGAATGCCAGTATTGACTTTATCGGAACCCTTCCCAGCCGCCCGTCCATGACCATTGACATCAAGGACGTCGAGTCTGGAGCGTGTCTGAAACAAGGGACCTTGGAAAACATCTCTGTGTCTGGGAAGGCTATCAGTGGCAGCATCGTCGTTGATGCCAACGCGCCTAAACTGTGGTGGCCGAACGGCCTGGGCAAGCAGAATTTGTACTATGCCACTGTTACCGTTCACGATGGTCAGAAGGAGGAATTGGCTAGTGTGACGAAGCGCACTGGTTTCCGCACCATCTTCCTCAACCGCAACAACATCACAGAGGCACAGCTCGCTCAGGGAATCGCCCCTGGAGCGAACTGGCATTTTGAAGTCAACGGACAAGAGTTCTACGCCAAGGGGTCAAATCTAATTCCACCCGACGCTTTCTGGCCCCGAGTCACTGAGGCCAGGATGCAGCGGTTGTTTGGTGCCGTTGTGGCTGGACGCCAAAATATGCTCCGAGTCTGGGCATCCGGTGCCTACCTCCCTGACTTCATGTACGATCTTGCGGATGAGCATGGTGTTTTGCTATGGAGTGAATTCCAATTCAGCGATGCCATGTACCCCGTTGATCAGCCCTTCTTGGAGAACGTTGCCGCAGAAGTTGAGTACAATGTGAGACGTGTCAACCACCACCCCTCCTTGGCCTTGTGGGCCGGTGGGAATGAGATCGAGAGCCTGGAGCTGCCTCTCACCCAGGAAGCTGACCCAGACAATTACTCCTATTACGTTGGTCAGTATGAGGAGCTGTTCATCAGTCTCATTCTGCCCATCGTTTATGACAACTCGCGCTCCATCTCATACATGCCCAGCAGCACAAACAATGGCTTTCTTTGGGTCAACATGTCCGCTCCAGTTCCCATGGCCGAACGTTACAACAACATCACGGCAGGATCCTACTACGGAGATACGGACTACTACAATTATGACAGCAGCGTGTCTTTTGACTTTGATGGCTATCCTGTGGGCCGTTTCGCGAATGAATTTGGCTTCCATAGTATGCCTAGCTTGCAAACCTGGCAACAAGCCGTGCCTTCCGATATGTTGCACTTTAACAGCAGTACTGTCATGCTCCGAAACCACCACTATCCGTCCGGTGACTTGAGCACGGACAACTTCAAAAACTCCTCCATGGGAATGGGAGAGATGACTATGGCCGTCGAACGATATTACCCTATCCCAAACAAGGAGAACAGTGTCGCCAACTTTAGTGCCTGGTGCCATGCGACTCAGCTGTTCCAGGCTGATATGTACAAATCTGAGATCCAATTCTATCGCCGCGGCAGTGGAATGCCAAATCGTCAGCTTGGGTCACTTTACTGGCAGCTCGAGGATATTTGGCAGGCCCCCACGTGGGCGGGAATTGAATATGACGGACGCTGGAAGGTTCTTCATTATATGGCGCGTGATATCTATCAGCCAGTCATTGTCTCTCCTTTCTGGAATTACACGACTGGTGCACTTTCTGTTTATGTGACATCCGATCTCTGGGAGACAGCGACTGGATCTGTCAGCCTCAAGTGGCTGGATCTGTCCGGAAAGCCTCTCGCAGGCAATGCCGGCATCCCGGAGACCAAGCATTTCACCGTTGGTGGTCTCAATACCACCCAGATTGTCTCAACAAACATTGCGGACCTCTCTATTCCAGACAAGAAGAATGCTGTCTTGGTGATGTCTGTCTCTGCTCAAGGCCACCTTCCAAATGCCGAGAATAATTCGCCCAGCACTTTCACCCACCAGAACTTCTTCACACCCGCCTGGCCCAAGGACCTTGTTCTTGAGGACCCGAAGATTGAACTCTCACATGATGCCCGAACTGGCACTTTTACTGTCGAAGCCAAGAATGCTGTGTCACTTTATACCTGGCTTGACTACCCGGCGGGTGTGGTTGGGTATTTTGAGGATAACTCATTTACTTTGGTTCCAGGCGAGAAACGTACGCTCAAGTTTACGGTTCAAACTGATGAAACGGACGGGAAGTGGATGCAGGATGTTACAGTGACCAGTTTGTGGGATCAGACGACCAGTTGAGTTCACCCAGCCGTCTTAGGGATTTAGGTGTGTGGATAGCCAGCGTCTCCACTGATATAGATACTCCATGGATCTGCATCAGGCAGCTCTCCAACCTGACAAGCACATTATCTCGTTCATAATCACAATCAATTTGATCTATTACCCTATCGGGTTCTATGCTCGAACCGTTGCTCGTAAACATCACCTGGCACTAGCACCGTTGGGTGTAGAAGCATATCAAGTTCCTCCGGACTATTGAAAGCTTCTTACTAAATTTGGTTGTAAGTCTTGGGTTGATAGGTTGTGGATCATCTGGAAGAGATATAGCCGGACAAACTGACATTTCCCAATTTGCTAACTCTAAGTGTTTCTCTGAGAAAATGTATTAAAGATGTCACTGATCGATTCAGAGGGCGACCTAAGAGAAGCCTATATAAGCGTTAAATACCTCAGGCACCACGCCATCAAGTTAGTTCTTCAGACTCAGATGTATTTGTTAGCCGCAGTTGGCTCTGGAAGTCATTTCCGCATACCAGTATGTTTACAAGTGGATTATAACGGGGAACCAGATGTCATTGGCTGGAATAGTAATCCATAGTAGCCACCTCGTAGACACTGAGGGCATCTGTTGCGAGATGCCTTACCGATTGCTGTTCATACTGACGTATGGTTGGCATTTCTACCTAGCCAGGTAATAAGTGGTTCAAGTCTCTATGGCCTTATTTTTGGCGAGCTGTCGTTACTTATCATTATCAGCGAGAACATACGGGCAGAGATCCCTTAACCTGCCGCAGCACGCCATACAACATGAGCTCTATGAATGAATCTAAGCGCAAACTTATCATTGTCTCAAATCGGCTTCCCCTCTCGATTAGACGCGTGGATGGATCATTCCAGTCTTCCCTTTCGAGTGGCGGTTTGGTCACCTCTTTGTCGGGGTTGACCAAGTCAACAGAGTTCCGATGGTTTGGGTGGCCTGGAATTGAAGTGAAAGACGCAAATGATAGGGAACTGATCTCACAGAGCATGGAAGAGCAGAAAGCAATCCCGATATTCCTTGATAGCGATTTGGCACATGAGCACTACAACGGGTTCTCAAGTCAGTCTGTCTCCGCTTTGTGATTGCGAATTTGCTGATATCTGTAGATCGGATCCTATGGCCAATCTTGCATTATCAGTCAGGTGTAACGTTTGACGACGGACCCTGGCAGGCATACAAACGAGTCAACGAGCTTTTCGCCAACGCCATCGCGGATGCGGCTGACAGCGGAAATCTGATCTGGGTGCATGATTACCATCTCATGTTGCTCCCGGAGCTGCTACGCAACCGACTGCTCCAGCAAGGCAAAGCCTGTGCCATCGGGTTTTCATTGCATACTCCGTTCCCCGCAGGCGATTTCTGGAGAAATCTCCCGGTGCGCAAGCATCTAATCGACGGCATGCTGTCCAGTGACTTGATAGGATTTCATACCGAGGAATACAAGCAGAACTTTAGCGACACATGTGCTAGTCTTCTGTAAGTCCCATCAACTTTTCTCAGACTATTTGCCCTAACACGAGTCCAAATCAGTGGGGCGCGTACCCAGATCCCCAATCAGATTCAGTATAAGAACAGGTTGGTCTGTATCGACAGGTTCATCGTCGGAATCGACCCGCAAAAATTTGCAGATGCATTGCAAAAGCCCGAAGTACAAGAACGGATCAGTGTGCTCGAAGAGCGATACGAGGGGGTTAAGGTTATTGTCGGGGTGGACCGGCTCGATCATATCAAGGGCTTGACGCAGAAACTGAAAGGCTTTGACGCTTTCCTCGACGATCACCCCGAACTCCAAAATAAAATCGTACTGATTCAGGTTGCCGTACCCAGTCGAGAGGATGTCAAGGAGTACCAAGAGCTCGAGACCGAATTGAGTACGTTGGCGGGGAAAATCAATGGAAAGCATGGTGAGTGTGGCATTTACAATTCAGGATGCGTTTCTTACTGACGGGTTAGCGACTCCCGAGGGCACGCCGCTGCTATACATGCACCGGTCGGTCCCCTTTACCGAGCTCACAGCCCTGTACTCCGTGGCAGATGTGTGTCTGCTCACTTCTACTCGAGACGGCATGAACCTAGTAGCATTTGAGTATGTGGCCTGCCAGGAGAAGAGACATGGTGTTCTGGTGCTGTCCGAATTTGCGGGCGCTGCCTCGTTTATGGGAGAAGGTAGCATTCCCTTCCACCCGGCCAACACGACCGAACTGTCGGAGGCCATCTTCCGGGCTCTGAATCTGGACCCGAGCGAGCGGAAGAAGAAATACGATTATTTGCGCGACTTTGTCAATTTCCATACGAGGTCAGTGGTGCTTATCAATGTGCAAAGGTCTTGTTCGTCTTGTTCACTGACAGGCGGGTAACTATAGTGCTCGATGGGGACAGACCTTCACGGATAAGCTGTCCCAGCGTTGTCATCGCCCTGGTGATCCATGTTGATTGACCCTGTATATTGCGTATCCTGTCCAGTTGTGCCCTCTGCGATCAATCCAATTTAGTTTTGACTTGCGGTGTGGGATATAGTGGGCGTGTAGTGCCTGGGCTCTCTACAGTGCTTCATTATTGGTGGATCTAGAGTGAACGAACTACCACGTCGTCTCCACCATGAATATCGTCACAACTCCATTCGCGGGCCCTAAGATCGGTCATGACATGCTGCATCGGTCCCGAAACCTAGTTGATGACCCTTGTGAATCCATCATTAGGTCATCCCGGGCTTCCGAATCCCACGCGTCACTGAGTTTTGGTCTTCCGATCGAATGCGGCCATGATGCAATGGCGCAACTCTGGATCACGACGTCACGGACTGACAGCTTTCCGGACTCCCTTCTCATCCCTCAAGAACGAGGCAATGCGGCTTATGAACTCTGTCGCTCTTCATCACCACCACCATCTGCAGTAGCAGCATTTTCCTGACTATGGCGACTGCTCAACTCCCCGCGGGCTCCCGGTCTGGCCGCCTTGCGGATGACGGTAAGCCGAAACCTTCCCCAAGCATTCCTCCTGTCTCGGACCTTGACTGACTGACCCTGCCAGCTGCGACCGCCGCGCTCTATGTGACACACCCCGAACGCAAAGCTTCGATCCGCAACTCGACCGCAACGGAGGAGTTCAGTGAGTAGCAAGGCCCAAACCCCTCGATACCGACTGACGCGAGCCGCGCTTCCCCAGATCCCCGTGTCACGGGCACGCCCAATCTCAGCCGCGCCTCCGCCAGCGCCGCCCTCCTTGCGCACACGAGGTCCAAGCCCGTTGAAATATGGCGTCCTGGACGACTGCCGGCCGCGGAAAAGGCCGCCTTATGCGTGAAGGACTACACTCCCCCAGAGATCCCGATGCCAAAACCCAGCACCGAATACAGCGCCGAAGGACTTGAAGCTGCCGTGCTTGCTGTCCGCGACCAGAAGAGCGGGACCAGTTTGCCACCGACGGCCACGGGCCCCAAGCACGATGCTTCGGTCAGTGCCGCGGTCGGCGGCGACCCGCAAGAAAAAGGCGCTTCTGGCCGCGACGGGGGCTTACACAAGGCGGCGAGCTGACTCTGGACTGGGTGAGTCTGAAGCGTCGCATGCGCGACCCGCTGCGCGAGGGCGCCTCGAGGGCGAAGAAGATCAGCTGGCTCACACCGACCGCGCCAATGAGGCTAGTCGTATCCAGCATGCTCATACGAATGCTCGACTTTACACTTCATCGCCCCCCGTCGCGACGGAGGTAGAGGAGCGCAATCACAGGAACTCGCTTCGCGCTGCCGCGATCGTCATGGCTAAGGATAAGCAAGATGTCTCCGATAAGGTTAGCCCGGGTGTAACGGATACTACTGCTCTTTCCGCAGCGCAGAAAGGACAGCACTCGGCGCGCTCGAGGAAGGCCGTTAATGAAGGGGCAGATAAAAGGACCACCCTACTCCAAGCAATCGCGTTGCAAGACGCTGCGCAGAAGCGTGCTACCGAGAAGCTCGCTCAGATGAAGGATCCGAACGCCGAGTACCTCGAGTACTACGGGACCACGCCGCAGCCACAACAGTCCCGCTGGGCGACCCGCCGCAAAAGAACCTCGAGCGATGCGGATTCTGTGCAGGTGGATGAGGAGCGGTCGAGACAAATCCGCAGCCAGATGTTCAGTCTGCAGAAGAAGATGAATCGGGTTGATAACCAGAGAGAAAAAGATCGCGAGCTGCTCTTGAAGGCGGCACAGCGTAATGTTGATGCCACCATGCAGGACCTCGAGATGCAAGTCTATGCCGACACAGGTCGCCCTACGCCTTCCATGCTGAAGGAGTGGGATAAAGCTGCCCAGGGACGTGCGCAGAAAGAAATCGATACTGCGGAAGCTTCTGGTGCTGTGCAAGGGGAGCAAGTCAATATCGGTACCCACCAGTTCATGGATATGGCAGACGTTGAAGCTGTGGCGCGCTCTCGCCTTCAACCTGCGCTTGATGAGATCACGGACCAGGCGGAGACACAGAGGGCTCATGATGTGGAGGCCCGCTTGGATGAAGAGGAGGAGAGGAGACATGCGTCTGTGGAGCGTCAGCGGGAGGCTGATCTGAGGGCTGAGGAGAAGCGTCAGAAGAAAGGTACGTTTTAGTTTACTGGTCAGGATTCAAGGAGCAGACACTAATTCAAATAGATGCTGCAAAAGAGGGAACGAAGCCTAAAGCTAAAGGCAAGAAACTCTTCCCTGCGGGACTCTTTAGAATGAGGACCAAGCGAGGCCGCATTGGGGAACCTGTCGCCCAAGAGGCGCCTATACAGGAGGGTGTCGCAGCAGTCCCGGAAGAACCTAGTGCGCCAGAGCTTGCTGTACAAGAGGTCGGTCCCGAAGAAGAGGCTTCCGCTGCTGCGGGTGGTTTCTCCAGAGAGGCCTATGGCCAGCAGGCTGCTGACGAGCCAGAAGGCGCTGCATCTGCAATTGCCGCCGCGGATCAGACACAGACTCCTGCTGCTGATGACGAAGGTGGTTTCTCAAGAGAAGCACACGGCCAGACAGGTGCTGACGAGCCCGAGGGCGCAGCATCTGCGATTGCCGCCGGGGGTCAGACAAAGACTCCTGCTGCTGATGGCGAAGGTGGTTTGTCAAGAGAAGCACACGGCCAGACAGGTGCTGACGAGCCCGAGGGCGCAGCATCTGCGATTGCCGCCGGGGGTCAGACAAAGACTCCTGCTGCTGATGGCGAAGGTGGTTTGTCAAGAGAAGCACACGGCCAGACGGGTGCTGGTGAGCCCGAGGGCGCAGCAGCAGTGCAGGTCGCCGCAGTGGCTCCGATTGCGAAACCCACTACGCTACCCACCAGAGAAGACATGCAGCATGGCACAAGCCTCCCCGAGATTGAGGACTATGATAATACTGCCGTCACTGCGTCGGGCGCTGATGCTGTGCGCAATATTCGCCCTATAACAAGTCCGCGAGCAGACCGCAAGCTGAAGACCTGGTTCCGCGATCGACTGATTCGTCAGTCTAGTGATGGCCCAGTCGCTGTGTACCCTCACCAGCCGGGGCCTGAGTTCGCAACGGACAGTGAGTCGGGGTTCACGGGAGGTGCTGCTCTGACAAAAAAAGACGAGCCCCGTGGTGCAGCGCTGAGCTCCCACCCTGTTACCGGGGCAGATCTGGAGCCACATGACAATCGAACCTCCGGAAATAACGCCAGCAATGTTGAGGGAAGAAGCATGTCGCCGACTGAGGAAGAGGCCGTTCAACCTCCTTCCCCGGCCCCGCAGAATGGTGGTGGCAAGAAGAGCCGCCTGCGTCGGAGTTTCATGAAGTCCGTGTCACGCAACACTCAAGAATCCAAGACCAATGGTGTCACAAAGCAGAGTTCCGAGGGATCTCAGGCACTCTCTGAGTCTAAGAGTCGGGATGTCCAGGGTCTCCGGAACAGCGCCGTTGAACAGGGCTTGCCTGTTCCGCCGGCCCTCGGTGAAGCTCCTAGCACCGGCCGTGAATCAAGATTTTCTGAGGATCTGTGATTCATTTGTTCTTTGCGTCTATTATATTGACTGATCATTTTTCGTGTACCATCTTCTTTGGCCGGTTCTCTAGGAAAGGGGGTTTAATATGGCGTTGGGGGACAGTCTTGATGAGGAGAATGGCCTGGTGCGTTTCTGGTTCCTGGAGTTGATTTTGTAAATCTTATTAGGTATGAACACGAATGTAATGTTTTTCTCTACGAAGCCCTAGGCCACACTACCAAGGCATTCGGCGTCCCCAACGTCTCCATAGGAGACACTCATGTGACCGCTGAGTCAGGAATCTATCGCCCTGAATCAATTGGATGTTTCTTCCTTCCATCGATGACACCTTTGGATATATCTACAATTCTCTCTGATGCTGAGAAGATTAATCGGACGGCGCCGAATGCGCTGTCCGATCACTACAGCCAGGACACGCCTTGCGCCAACACCTTGCCAGTACTCCATCTACACTCAATTGAGAAGGCCTACAAGCTCGTGTAAATATATCAAGCTACAAAACTCACTTCAAAACTCGCGCCCATTATGGACCGCCTCTATCCCACCCATCTTAACTCCACCAGCCATCTTTCTCGGCCTTCTTCTGGGTCTGTGGACATGGAAATGCTTCTGGATTATCGTCTTGCAAAACAAACTCCTCTATCTATCCTGGCTTCCACCCTTTTCCCGCTCTGACCAAATATCCGAATACGAGTCCGAATGTAGGCCCGTTCAATGGGAAGAGAAACGCATTCACAGTCTGGATGGCACGAAATTGGCTGTCTGTCAGGGGCGGATCCCGATGGCCCATCAGATCAGGAAGAGGGTTCTTATTTGCTATTTCCAAGGGAATGGAGGGTCGACGCCTCTTCGATTACCGCTTCTTTCTCAGGTCGTGAAGACTATCTCCGCCGCAGAAGTCAAGGATCAGAAGACGGAATATATCATCGTCGCTCTCTCCTACCGCGGCTACTGGACCTCTTCAGGTCGGGCAACTCAGTCCGGCATTGAACGCGATTCGCAGGCATTCCTGCACTGGGTATCAGACACATACTCGATGCCTGACACCGATCTCCGGGTTATCCTCTGGGGTCATAGTCTCGGATCCGCCGTTGCGAGCACCGCCCTTTCGACATATCTGTCACGGCAATCCAGCACAACAAGCCTCGTACCGATCTCCGGGTTGATCATGGAAGCACCCACCTCTAATATCAAGGATATGCTCATCAGTTTGTATCCTCAGAGATGGCTCCCGTATCGATATCTAGGGCCCTTTTCCTGGAATACATGGTGCAACACGACTGCCCTCGAACGACTAGCCGATTGCCGAGACCACTGCGAGAGTACATCCATACCCCCCATCCTGATCCTGTCTGCTGAACATGACGAAGTGATCCCTCCGCATGTGGCTGGTCAGTTGGAGAGGAGAGGTCATGAGTTGGGTCTGGATATTGCGAGGATCGATGTCCCGAAGGCGATGCATATTGAGGCACCGATGAAGCCGGAGGGAAGGGAGGCATTGGTGGGATTTATTGTCAAGAATACATCGTAAATAATAATATCAGATACCGCTTGTCGTCCTCTCTGACATGCCGTGAACCCTAACGCCGTTCATCAAACCCGCAGGGGGATCCCGTCCATCCAGCGTAGAATCAATCGAAAACAGGCCCCAAACTGACCAAACTGAACCGCAGATCCGGATTCCCACCCTCCGCCTCGGTCTTCAAGAACCTCCTCGCCCCCAGATCCAGCGCCGCGTCACTCAGCGCATCCTCTCCTTCCTTTAGCAACCCTCTCGCCAACGGCCCCTTCCGACGCCCGTCGAGCTCCCAAAGCGTCCCATCATCTCCCCGCACAAACGCCACAAAATGCAAGTCCACACTATCCTCTGCCTGCGGCGCAGCTGTATCACCTAGCTTGGCCGCATCGCCATGCGCGCTCTCTAGCGCTTTGCTATCATATAGCAGATCCGCGCGCTGCACGGGGGCTAGGGCCTCCGCGCCGCGGAGGAGGGCATCTAGATCCGACCCCGGAATCACCTGGCGGCGGGGCTCCCCGTTGGATACGGCGTGGAGCAGCCCGATGAGTCCGCATGCGTTGCGGATAGTCTGCTTGAACCACATGACGGGCTCGGTGGGGCCGGAGCCAGTGTACTCGGGGAGGGTGCTATCTTCTGCTGTGCGAGAGGCTTCGTAGGTTGCTGAGACGGGGAAGACCAGGAGGAGAGCGTGTGCGGGCCGGGGGACGAGGGCGAGAAGATCGGGTTCGTCGATCGAGAAGACATCGGTGAAGCCCAGGGTGGGTGGCAGGCCGAGCTGGTGCACCAGGTGGCTCATAACCTCGGGGTTGTTCTCTGTCGGGCCGTGGGGTGAGTACGACGGTCTATGGGTATGGATCGAGATGCTGCCTTACCTAGAGGCACAAAGGCCTTTTGCGTGGCTGGCACATCAGGGTCGGTCATGTTGCTGAGAGAGATGGGGAAGGAAGATGGAACAAAGGTGATTAGGAGTAGTGGGGAAGGAGACGCCCATCGTTATCGCTCGCTACTTCATTTTATCGATCTAGATCTATGAACCAATCTACCCACCCACTACCCCTTATTCTTCAACGGCGCAAAGATCTCCGTCCACAGCTCACTGGCTTCCCCCAGATAATACGTCAGGCTCACCTCCGCCATACTGGCCTCATCATCGCCTGCCATCGTCTCCAATTGTGAAATCAGATTCTCCAGGCCAAACGCCTTGCCGGTCGCTTGGGTCGCGCCGGCCTCCAACATGACATTCACAACATGGATATGGAAATGATAGTAGGTTGGTTGATCTGTCACATCAGTTAATAAACAAATTCCGCGAGAGGGACTTCCAACAGACACTCACAGTGCACGTAGAGCTTCAGCTGATCCGCCTCCAGTCCCGGATACATCTTCACCGTCGCCTCCAGCACCCGCTGCCGCAGATACCGGAGCCAGGGCACGTGGCTCTTTTTCAAATCCCGTAAGCTCCAGATATCACGCCGGTGCACCAGCGCCAGCAGGTGCAGGGAGCCCATCGTCTTGCGATCCCAGTTCAGGTCGGGCAGCATGAGGAACGCGTCCTCGGGGCCATGGCCCGCGTCTCGCATGATGACATCCTCCTGTTCGGTCCGGCCTTCCAGAATATTGAACACCCAGTTCAGTCGGCCTTGCTCACGCTTTGCGCGCATGTAGGGCTGGACGTGGTCGCGATAGATGGCTGGTGTCTCGGTAACCATGCGCAGCTGCTGGTCGGAGTATTTCTTGATGTGGGACTGGGTGCATGGCCAGATCAGGTTGATTTTGAGGTCGGGCTGGGGTTCGAAGGAGGAGGAGGAAGCCAGGTACCAGCGGTAGATGTCGTTGTCGCCTAGGTTCTTGACTTGGCCAATGGCCGCGTGGAAGGCTCGTAGGACCTCCAGTGATTCCGTTGCGAAGGCTGCACGCTCAGCGATCAGGATCCCTTGTTGGCTGTCGATGGTTCCAAGGAGCGCAATTCGTCGTCCATTCTGATCTGAGGGTGGATCTGTTAGAGAAGGGTTGGTTCGCAGGATCGAGGGTATTGTTCGTACCTTGTTTGAGTAACTTGTCCACCTGGAATTGGGAGATCAGCGCCTCGGGGGCCACTTTCGCGGGGTCGGATGGGGGCATTTCGAGGATCTGGCGGCCGAGACGAGGAGAGGGAAAGAGAGAGAGGGAGAGAGGGAGATAGAGAGAGATCAGTTGCGGCGGGCGGTGAGATGGATGAGCTTGATCGTATTAAGTATGGATTCATCAGGATTGTTACTGTTTTGTCGTCGAAGAATGCATCTATCCAGTCCAACATGAGTGACGAGAACCCCCAACAACAGAAGACACGAACACCTACCGTTTCGGCCAACTGCAGCCACTCCTGCACACCCTTCACGTACGCATCATCCGCCGCCGGCGCCGTCTCATGGCCCCAAACCATCAAGTCTGCAAAGGTCCCCCTCATCTCCAGGGCCTTGACCGGCTCCTCTGGTTCCGCGTTGGGGTCCTCTGCCTCGGCGTTGTGGTGATCGGGTCGTTGCGACGCCGGCGTCATCACTCGGTCGGTCGGTGTTGCAATCACCCCTATTTCACCGCAAAAGACCAAGTCAGCTTCTCTCTTCCACTGAGGGAATCGCATTGATCCATACCGCGATATCCATCAGGCAGCGGCACGCGTCGACCGCGGAGTCTGCGCCCGCGAAAATGGGCTGTTTGGGTGCCGTCCTTATCGGGCTGAGGTGCCCAGAAGCGTTCGGTGGACTCGATCGGGCCGTCGTGGTGAATGCGACAGGGGAGGACGTGGGGGGTGTAGCGCGTGGGAGAGTCCTTGGCTGAGTGGAAGGCGTACATCATGAATAAACTCCCGTGGTGTTGGGTGAGTGACCAGAAGAAGAATGATAATTAACTTGACCGCGAGGGAGCGAATCATCAAAGGCGGTCGAGGCGCGTCCAGAACGCGTCGGATGGAGTCAGTAGATGGATCCTGTCAACTACTAACAAACTATCCACAAAAGAAATTGTGCGGTAAGAATGACCAGAACGAATGAAAAGAAGCAAGAAATCTTAATCATTCATCTTCCCAAGAGCGATTCTGGTAGCGTAGCCAATGACTTCCTGCCCAAACCCTTCCGGACCGTATATAAAGATGGACGACGGCATTCTGGGCGACTACGGCGTGGAAAGGCCGGCTCCGGCTCCGGCTGAGATGCGATGATGTCTTTTTCTAACGCAGCGTTTGAGGATCTTCGGATGAAATGGTGGGAATTAGGTGGCAGGGGGTGGTGTGGGTACGATCATCCATGGCCAACGCAGGATCCGGTAGTTCAGGGCCTAGCCCGGCGGGCGAAATAGTGAGGACCTGGTATTCCTGGCTCCAATCGTGTAAAATCTGGAATTGCTGGGAGACAGAGCCGGTTATATCACCCCCATTCGAGCAGATTTTTGAGGGTCGTGGCAAGCTCATCAGTCTGTTAACTAGGCTGGGACTACATGTGTGCTGACAACACGTCGAGGGACGGTAAAAAGGAAAGGAACAAGGAACAAAAGGCAAGAGCTGATATGGACCATAGAAGGGAATCCAAACCTTGTCGCGGTTGTGGCTTGGGGTGTATTATTATGTGCAATAGTTTCATCAAATAATGGACAGCGTGGGATGGTACAGAGCGAGGCAGGGGATATCTGGGTAAATATACAGCAGAGCATTATGAGCCACCATTATTGTAGCGGCATCATTGAGAGCCCGACAAAGGTATACGCATGAGGCCGAGAAGGGCTTGTTACAGCGCGGTATTGCCGGGCATCGGAGTCTTTTCATCACTGGGCGTAACAGTCTCGGTTACAGACGAGACAGATGGTTCACTCCACTCATGCGGCTTTGCACGCCAGCGAAGATACCATGGTCCATCGAAGAGGTCCCCCATGCACTCGATGGGAACACCCTTGGTCTCGGGCATCCAGACGCCGAGAATGATCAGGCCCAGGACGCAAATAATGGCCCAGAAGAGATAAGCGCCCCAGACGTCGAGGGAGACGAACATGTTCCCGGTCACACGGACAACGGCGAACTGAAAAAACCAATGTAGGGCCATGCTGACGGCGTAGCTCACGTTGCGGATGCGGGTTGGGAAGATCTCCGTGCCGTACAGGTAGGGAATCGTGCAGAGGCCAATTGACCATCCCACCGCATAGACAAAGACGGAGGCGATGGCGGCATCGGAGGCGGAGGCATTGCTCGCTGAGCCAGGTCGCAAGCCCATGTATGCGCCCATGTAAATGTGGGCTGCGAGCTGCAGGGCCAGCCCTGCGAGCGCGCACCGCCGGCGGCCCAGGAAGTCGATCAGACCCCAGGTGAACGCCATGGTGAAGATGAGTTTGACGATTCCATACGCGCCGGACGAGATCAGGGACTCGGCATTGCCCGTGATGCCGGCGTATCTATACATACCAAGAATGTTAGCTTCGTGAACGATCATAGGCATGCGAATCTCTGACTTGAAGATATTGGTCACGTAGTAAGTGATCCCGTTTCCGCCTGTCCATTGTGCAATCGTCTGCATTGTCATGAGCAGCCAGAACCGCTGGCGGTAGTTGGGATTCATTTGTGTTTCCTTGAACGCGGACCAGTGCGTGACAGAGGCCAGGTCGGTCACTCGTTCTTGCATCTGCGCGTCAATCATCTCAAACTCCTTCTCCAAGTCCGGGTCGTCAACGGCCAAGCCGCGCAAGCGCGCCAGGACCTCCCGCCCTTCCTTGTGGCGCTGCTTCGAGACAAGGTACCGGGGGGTCTCGGGACAGAGGAAGGACAAGCCGAACACGATCCCGACCGGGATGAGCGGGATCGCCTGAACTAAACGGTACTGGGCGCGTGTGGCGGCCATGTGGACACTGGCGCCGTAATTGATGAAGAACCCTGCAAGAGAAGGAGAAGGTATTGGTCAGAAAGAGAGCCGATCATCGACCGGAACGGGTGGCAGCACGAACCCATGGCCAGCACGGCCAGTAGAATCACCATGTACACGCTAACGACCAGACCCCTGGTCCTTGCAGGTGCGATCTCGGATAGGTACATTGGCGCTGCGACCGTCAGTACGCCGGCTCCCAAACCACTCCAGATCCGGGCAAAGAGCAGCAAGCCATAGATGCCCGACGAAAACACCTGAATGAACATCCCCGATGCCCACTGCAGGCATGCCAGTCGCCACGTCACGAGTCGCCCAAGACGGTCGTTCAGCTCCAGCGCGAACAGGGCCCCGAAGGCCGCGCCCAGCACATTGAAGGAGATGATATTGGCGGAGCGGTTGGCCAGTCCGGTCGGGTCGTCTGTCCAGTGGGATTTGATCAGGTTGAAATCGGCAGCGAAGGACGGAAGATCAACGCTGGCGCTGTAGCCACCCTCATCGTAACCTGGGCCGCGCGGAATCTGTCAGGTAATTATAGAAAGGGATGTATGGATCCGGTTGTGTACCTTTGGGAATGCTGCCACATGCGATGACGAACACCACTAGGGCATAGTAGGGGTTCGTTGCCCAGCGTGAGGCGGGCCATGTCATGGTGGCACGAGGACGCAGGCAAAATGTGGAGAGCAACCCCGGCAGGGCCCAGAACGAACCAACAAGGAATCCGGGGAAGCTGGACGGACAAGTCGGCCGGTGGAGATGATAGGCATGCAAGAATCACGTCATGGCGTGTGGTGTGGATTGTGGTGAGGCAGGAGAGAGAGGGAGAGGGAAGAGCGCTCGGCATCCCGTCGGAGGAAAAGACTGGTTCGGGCAACTTCCGAACCAAGCCGAACCTGCTGAACAAGACCTGGCACAACCACCACGAGTCAGATCATGGATGTCAGCATGAACTGCTCTGCCAGCTGGAGCCACACGAATATGAGGCGGCACGCGCTGGGGATTATTATTATTATGGCCATTGTTGTTGATGTTAACCGCGTTACACGGTGCCACTCGACACCCACTTTGGGTCTCCACGGCCGAGGTGGTGCCTTCGCGATGGGCGGCCTGCCGGACGACTTCCGTTCTGCAGCCCGCCCTGGCCTGAAGAGTCCCAGGTGGGTCGATGCAGAGGCCGATCTGAACGGTCGTGAGCCAGCACCGAGCGTGCTAGGCGGCAGATTTTTCTTAAAATGGGGTTTGCCCTGTCCTGGGTTTTCACCAAATCCAAGTAGTTGTGACGGATATCAGCCGATGAGCGTGGCATGTTATCAGTGAGGACAATTTTAAGGGTCTCCAACCGTCACGATGTGTGGTCTCCGGTCAGTTGATACTCAGGCGCGCCGCTTGTAGACTATATACAAGCCAAACCTATCCCATATCTGTGCGCCACATCCTTAGGGTTCGCCATGCTCACATCGGCCCAGACGAAGCCTGTCTTATTGAACGGCCATCCTTGTATATTGCTCGCCGCATCTTCACTCAACCACCACGATCAACGGCGGCCCACTCATGCTTCAGCTGCATCTCTAAAACAACGGATCCCACCGAACTCATGGGATAGCCACATGCATGTCGTCGAGCCACAGCGGTTTCCAGTCTCGCCAGCCGCTGTGTATCAGCCCTCGGCGCACACGCTGGTGGACGCCCTGGCATTTGAGTCCGCTCTGGGGATCCAGAATGTGGTCCTGGTGCAACCGTCAATTTACGGGTTCGACAATTCCTGTCTCCTGGATGCACTCATGAAAATCGGCCCTGAGCGCGGCCGTGGCATCGTGGTGGTTGACCCAACTACTGTCCCGGCAGAGACACTGGACGAGTGGCACGTCCTAGGCGTGCGCGGACTGCGAGTCAATCTCCAGTCCATCGGAAGAGTGATGGACAAGATGGAGCTGGAGAGGACGTTAATCCAGCATGCTGATATTGCTCGGCCACGGAACTGGATTGTCGAGGTGTACCTCCCACTGTACATGGTTCCGCTTCTAGAACCGATTGTGCCTCACCTCGGTATTCGCATCTGCATCGATCACTTTGGTAGCCCAGAGCTGTCTTCGGTAGTGCAGTACCAAAATAGCACACCCTTTGACCCATACGCCCTACATGGTTTCCTGTCTTTGATGTCTCTGCTCCGTGGAGGCCACACATATATCAAAGTGTCTGCGCCGTACCGGCTCAGCAAAGACCAACACCTACGCGATCTGCTGGCAATGGCACGAGAATTCTTGCATGTGACCCCTAGCCGTGTCATCTATGCAACAGATTGGCCACATACACGCTTTACTGGGGTTGACATCGGACCCTTCACGGAGCGCTGCCTGCAGTTATGCGCCGGCAGGCCAGGGTTGGCAGAGAGGCTTTTTCGCAGGAACACAGAAGAGATGCTTGGTATGGTCGCTGTATGACTAGGGTTTGGTGGTCGACGATTTTGCATTATACATTTGTCTCGGCGTTTGAGCGTTGTTACAGTAAGCTTTCAGCAAGCCGCAACGAGTATCTCGACGGAAACACAGCTTACTGCAAGTTCAACCAATCTGCCTCGATTCTGGATCACACATAACCAACACTAGCGATTATTGACAGATGTCAAGCTTGGTCCCGGCGGAGCAGATGTACATACGAGCTGGCCTAAAGGAAGGAGGAGAGGAATACTGCTACTTGCATCTTTTAAAGATGGTCTCAGTTCAACATCACTCACACTACCCTTCCTCGTATTGTAAATTAAGGTGGTTATGTGGGTAATTGTGTGTATCTTTGATTATCATTTATCTTTATTTTACACTAGCGCGTCAAGCAATGCTAGCGCTGATTTAATCCTTTGTCCTCCCGCTGTTGTAAAGCTGTTGGGAAATCTGTCAACTTTGGACGCCTAAATCCGCCTAAATCCGCCTAAATCTGGCAGCAGGAGCCGAAGGTCGTTTTGATGATGATTCGCCCGACTTCTACAGTGAAATAGGAGGAGTGAATTGTACTCGAAATATTCACAACTTTGTCCATTTGATCGCGTACACTCAAGGCCTTTCGCTGGGAGAGTTGCAGGTGCATGCCCACTATTCCCCACTCCGGCCAAATGGTTTGGGGTTTGGCGTGTTACAACACATAGCTGACTCTTTCTCGGGTTCGTTATCGGATTGATCACATGTTGATTTTGTCGGAGTTTGAATTTCGTGTATTCACTAGTCAGTTTACTACATATAGTCATGTGACAATGATTGAGTATGATGGTATTCAGGTCTAGCTATCATGTCCATATTTGTAGTAGAGAAGCGGAAGAACACTACATAGTGAGATCTGGCTACATCGGGGCACAGTTCCCTGATGGGGAAATTCCCAGATGAGTAAGCATCAGGATGCGGCAGCTGGATAAATTACCTGGGGGCCATTATTCTGACATATTTATTTGCTTTCTTATCATGAGCTGACCTTCTCCTCGAGCCATTACATTATTGTTCTTGTGGCTGTGGCCTACAGCACCCTCAATCAAAATGGAGCTAACCATTAAAAACGTCTCAAGCCTTCTGGCTCTGATGTGGATTCTACATACCTTGATTACCTTCCTGATATCCTACATCAGGGGCCGTCGCACCGGGTTCCCCGTCTACATTGTTCCCATTCGAACCAAGAGCGTGCTGTGGATGCTTCTAAATGTTCCTCTGGGACCGTACTTCGAGAAATACCTGCCGGGATGGATTTACGAGCGGATAGACATTGTGTCACACGGTTGGGAGTTTCGCAGAAAAGCGGAGATGCATCAGCGACTAGGACCGGCGTTTGTCGTAGTCACACTGGACCAGTGTATCTTGTGGTATGTCCCCACGTTAGCAGAGAGATATTGGGTGTTTGATCCTAACTTAGGGACAGGGTTGGCGATCCTGCGCTTGGCAATATTGTGCTGCAGCGAAGGAAGGACTTTATACAGTCGCCGGTCATCCAGCAGATAATGGGGTTTTTAGGAAATAATGTGCTCCAAGTAAGTTGCTTTTTTGTCACAGGGGTTCATTTATTGACTATCTCAGGCAAATGGCGACGACTGGTATGTGACTTTCAGTTTGTTCTAGATATACTCTTATGCTCATGTGTGACAGGCAACGACAACGCCGGATCGTGGCACCTAACCTAAATGAGAGGATCAGCGAAGCAGTATGGAATGAAAGTTGTGAGCAATCACAAGAGATGCTCGACTATCTGGCCAAACGGCCTGGTTCTCAAACATTGAGCGGTCTGCGCTGCCTGGCTATAAATGTACTAGGCCGAGCAGGATATGGCCAAGCACAACCCTGGCTCCCTGAGCTTCCCGTTCACTCCAAGGAAGAATTGAATGGCCGAGCAGGGTATTTTACTGCAATGGCACTGATCACGGAAATGCTTCCGGACGCCGCTTTCTTGCCACACAAGTTGCTGCAGATGTCATTCATGCCGCTGGCTCGTCAAGCTTTGGGTCGCCATTTGGAGAAAATCAGCCAATACACCAAAGATATGTTGAATGACGAACGAAAAGCTGCCAGGCACGAATCCGGCCCTCGAAACAATTTCCTTGGCTCTTTGGTGCAGTTTTCGGACCAAGACACCGGTGCCAAATCGTCTTTGACTCTGAGTGAAGAAGAGATCAGTGGCAACCTCTTTATATTCAGTGTCGCCGGGTTCGACACCACGGCTAATACTATGGGCTATGCGGTGTGTCTATTGGCAGCATATCCGGAATGGCAGGACTGGTTGCGTGAGGAGCTTGCCGCGCTACCAGAAATCTCACAGTGGAAGTACGAGGGAACATTTCCCAAGTGCCGGCGCACTCTAGCTGTCATGGTATGTTGTAGCCCTTTTCAAATGATTGAATACAATGTTTACCAGCCCTTATAGTTCGAAACACTACGTCACTTCGCGCCCGTGCAGCATTCAACCCGAGCAGTCAGTGAAACACAGACACTAATTGATTCTGACGGCGCACAACACGTCCTCACACCCCCAATGGACGTTTACGTCTCACAGCAAAGCATCCATTCTAATCCCAGTATCTGGGGCGCAGATGTGGAAGAATTCAAGCCAACCCGATGGCTGGATGACTCTGGGAATATCATCACACCCCCGAAAGGTACATTCCTACCATGGTCTGGCGGACCGCGAGCTTGCCCTGGCATGAAGATGTCCCAGGTGGAGTTTGTGGCAACCATGGCGGTGCTCTTCCGATCGGGTCGTTGCGAACCCGTCGCAGAAGGTGGTATGAGTCTGGAACAGTCTCGTAAAACACTACTTCGAGTGTTGTATCATGAGTCAATTTCCAAGATAACGATACAGGTGAAGAATCCCACGAAGGTGAGGTTAGCATGGTACCAGGAGATTTAAAGATAGACCGAGCAGCCGTCAGTATAATTGAGATAGAGCCAGCTCATATTTTCAACACATGCAAGTACTGGTTGAAACCAGTCATTCTACAATATGGAGCGCATTTGTACCCGACACGATCTATCATTATTAGCCCCACCGGATACGTCTTGGGTGGGTGCGGCTGTCATTAATATTATTATTATAACCACGTTTCCTTGGTCTGTGGATTCGGAAGGTGACCGCCCGCCAAACCTCTCGGACACTCTCCGGCCGATCTCTACTCTTCTTGCCCTAACTGGCACTGGCATATGATATAATTATATTCGGTGATGTCTGCCGACCGCACATTATGAACGTACGAGAACGCTGGCTTTCAAGCCATTTTCCATTTTTTAAAGTTTCAATAAGTCGAGTCACCAACCACAGCATCCGAGGACGACCCCCTTCGCTTCCATCATCTGATACCCCATGTATTTATTTATTCACACATCCTCCGCATTCTGGAAGACAACGTGCGAAGTGCAAATATACTCCGGGCCCTATCCAAATGCCAACCCTGGTTAGCATGTGTATACGGTATATACTGATGGAATGGTCCACTCACAATTGTGTAGCAGCATGCAGGCCGAGACTGATCCTCACACAGCTGAGGCGTCTTCAGTTCCTCACCTAGGCCGATTTCCCACTATTAGCATACGACACAAGATACAAAGTAGATCGCGTAGTTGGGAACACACAGTCAGTAGCCTGGTTGGCCTGAGCATTGTGCCTCGCTGGCTGGAAGCCCCGGCAGCAGTAGGGATTCTGGAGCATCCCCGTGTGGTCTGCGGCGAATGAGCAGTGCATGTTGATCTTCTTCGACTCCACGCCTAGGGCGAGGGTTGAGACGAGGGCCACGAGGATGGTTGACACGCGCATGTTGGTTGGGAGTATAATGATCGGAAAGGTAGTACGATTCGGTCGGCACGAAAAGAGGATCTTGATGGAATTTCTGGAAGAGAATAAGAGTATTTACGTCCAGCAGTCTATTGCACGCTCGTGGGACAGGGCCGATTATGTTCGTTCCTGCATACGCCATCCTTCGTCCCCTTGCATGTTTTGCATTCTTGCGCGAATATCGAGGGTATCGGGTAGACTCCTACGGGGATGAACCTGCTCCTGTCGCCATCCCATCACATGCTTGCTGTCCTGGCTGCCATCAAGGGATACTACATAGTACAATCCGAACTTTTGAGACAGAGGGCATAGCCCGTCACCTGATACACCTGATCTGATCAGGCATCCATTTGTTGAGGCCCCACCGCTGACATAAGCGATCCCCCTCAACAGGGCGGACAAAGCCCCCTCGGCCCGCTCATCCTCTCTCATCCTCTCTCTCTTCCCCAAAACAAAGTCATGAAGCACACCTCTTATAATCCCGCCGAAATGGACCGCAATGCTTACATCCCTCTTTGCTTTTGCCTCATCTCTTTCGCCGTCATCGCCTACACCCACTAGTCACCTAGTTGCCCGTCTTATGTACGCCAACGACAGTACAGTTGGGCCAAGATGCGAGATAGCCCGGTCACAGCTTCTCCGGCGAACTTCCCAAGATAACCTTTCATATATCTGTGAACCTAACTCCCAAACACATGGTCCTCCCTTCCCGCGAACTGCTTTCCCTCCAGATAGGATGGCTGCCCTTGCCCATCTCTCGGTGAACTTCTAGAGAGACTCATTTCCCTGGCCTTCTATATGTCTGGGAACCGAAACCGACCATAAAGCAGAAGGCACTACGCGAGAATCCCAACGTCAGGGTAGCGAAACTCCGGGTATCGCCTGCAGGCCAACACAAGCATGGTCTGCCAGGGCAGTGTGACGCTGCTCAAAATCACAAGATACGCATCACAGGTCTGTTGTATCGATTTCGTGAGCGGGCGATACAGTGGAGGAATGACTTACATGGCGAATCTTGTAGAGAAGGCGATTTTCGGCAATGCAGACCTAGTGGGTCGTGATCACAGTCCGGCGAACTTCGTGATGCAAGGCCTCAGTGAATCGGGAGGACTAGTGGGGGAAATGCCAGAGACCCATTTGCAGGATTTTGGCTTGTGGGCCCCATGGACCGAGGCGAAGACGGTCATCTTTCCTTTCTCCTTTCCTTTGTTTGACTGATCTGTCGTTATCGTCTTCAGTCTGTCACGACTCAGCTGACCCGGGTTGTGACCATGATTGGCTGGACCGCCTGTTGATACTCTGAAACACACAATGATATAGGCTACATGCAGCTAGCATCTCTTCCCAATGGTATTACTGTAGTGTTCCTGGTGGGTGGAAGCGACTACGCTGTCGTGTGGCCGCCGCTTCTCTTCTGAGGGCCGTTGCGGCACGGCGGACTAGAAAAAGAAGAACAAAGTAGAGGACGGTGTTCTGAGGAATATGATTCGTAATTGTGCTAAACGCATTTATCCACGGCTGCAGACTGCGAATTACTCGACCGACCATACAACTAATATGCGTTCAGTGACCGGTTTATTGTTCGGGCGGAACAACCCTTCAGCCGGGGGATCCAACAATCCACCGGTCTTTCCCAAATAATACACCGTCAGCGTCCCTCGTTCTCCGAGGTTCACCTTCCCCTGTCTCAGGAGATGAGCAGTGCAGTGTGCGCCGCATTGCGGATTCCGTGTTCGAGGCTCCAAGCCTCGAGCACGCTGCCCTTTGCGACTCTGAGCCAAGCCAGTCGCGATCTCCGCATTGCTCCGCCGTGGCGCCTATCCTCAAACATATCTGGACGTCCCTTTGGCTCACTTTACCATTTCTTCCACACAGAATATCGACCGAAACTACCCTCAATTCGTCCACCATGTCGTGTGCGGACCACCGTCTTCAGCAGAACGCAGACGACCTCGATCTCTCTTGACCCCAAACCGAAGAAACTGCGTGACGACAACAGCTGGGAGGAACCGTTCACCAATACCGAGATCAAGAAGATATACGGCCATACAAGGAAGATCTCGCCGAAATTGGGCAACCGGGTTCTGGCGCTCCTGCACTCTCGTCGCTTGTCTGGTACGCTCGACATCAACCTACCTGCCGAAGTTACCCGCACGGTCCCCCAATCCCAAATCGATAAGGCTTTAGAATGGCTTCGTGCAAACTATCCCGTGGATGAGGATGCATGTATCATGCAGCGGATTGAGAGAGAAGAGCGTGAGGATGAAGAAAAATTCAATTTCCACCCGCAAAGCGGTAGCTATGGAGCTCAGCTTGGTGAACAGAATGATGCCTACGGGAGGAGCGTCTTTCAGACCATGCGTGAGAAGAATGAGAAGCAGTACCTTGAGGAAGAAGAGCGCAAGCGCAAGGCGTGGCTGGAAGGCGAAGGCCAGGAGTACGAGCAGATGCGACGCCAAGTGGAGGGGAACACGAAATTGCAGAAGTTTGAAGAGTCGGCTGTTGTAGAGGGTAAGAGGCCATTCCCCTTTTGGTTGATCACGACTGACGCTCGCAGCTCGCGCGCGTGCGGATCCCAAGGTGAATCCATATCTGGCCTGGCGCCAGCGGCTTCACATCGAGTCTGTACCCAACCAGGCCGGGGCGATCGATTTGACCACGGTAAGGATCAGTTGAAATGCTGTACTCTATATGCGGTTGCTCATTCTTTACAACCACAGTCTCAACGCCTTCTTATGCCTCTGCTCTTTTGTTTTCTCACCCTCGGGCTCTGCTACGTGTTCGCTCAAAACTACGAGCCTCCCCAGCGACAGGATCGTCTCTGGCCGGATGTGCCTCCAGCGCTGGCGACTGTTGGCACCATCGTTGCAGCCAATATCGCTGTTACCATTATGTGGAGACACATCCCGCCTTCATGGAAATTGCTCAATCGATTCTTTGTCATTGTTCCCTTCTACCCTCATTCAGTCAGCTTGATTGGAAGCATGTTTAGCCATCAGACCTTCAAGCATCTCTTCACGAATATGCTTGTTTTGACGTTTATGGGGACCCGAGGTAGGCCACCAACATCTCCTTTTTGGAGATACCAACCAACGCTAAATTCCTTTTCAAAGTTCACGATGAACTCGGCCGCGGAAACTTTCTGGCCATCTATCTAGCCTCCGGCGTGGTGGGCTCGATGATGTCGCTAACGAATTTTGTCTTGTTGGGCCAGCTGGGCATGTCCTCCCTCGGAGCGAGTGCGGGCACTAGCGGTATTGTTGCTGCATGGTGCATGGTCCATTCCAAGTTCGTTCTTGCACAAATTCGTCTCTATTTCTTCGTAACTGACCCCATGAACAGCGACAAAGTTACCATGTGGATTCTACCCCGCGAGTGGAGAGATGTCATCTGGACCCACGGCTGGATGTTTCTTTCTGGCTTAATTGCAATTGAGGTTCTCAGCATGGCAGCCCCTGTCCGTCTCTTGTCGATCTTTCCTCTGTCGCGACTATTGAAGATGGACCACGTCGCTCACTTAGGTGGTTACCTCACCGGTGCGGGGTGCGGCTATGCCTTGTCTAAGACCTATCCTCCCCGGAAGTTCGTTTCCAGAGCTTTGCCGGCAACACGGTCAGCAGAGAATCGAAATTCGACTTGAATATGGTGGATTTTCCTTGCTGGAGCGAATTTCGAATCTACGTTTGATTCGATTGAATAGTAGTGTCCCCGCTTCTGACGGGACGTTTTTGTCTCAAGGCCACTACAATGAAAATGTACCATAGGGCTATTCTCAGTTACAACGACATCGTCCACTGAATGAGTGAAACCCATCTCCAGTACGAAGTTCTTTGAGGCGCATTGTGTGAAGAAAGAAACGAACATAGGTGAGTAGATGGTCAGTTGGTGGTGGACACAGACATTTCATGTCTTCTTCAAAATTCTCGATCATGACAAAACGTTTTCTTGTTCTCAAGTCTATGGTCTCACAGGCTCTCCTGTTTGCCCCTTGCCGAGACCTTTATTGATTCGTGGATGCGAGCGGTTCTTTGCTGGCCCTAAAGGACAAAGGCCGAAGAAAATCAAGCCTTACAAGGCACTGAGATCCGGAGAATCAACCCTGCCACGATCATTGTCCAGTCCAATAAAAAAGATCTCGGTCTTCCCAAAATGAATCAAAAGCTGTCTCGAGATTAAATAATAAAGAGTTCGGGTATATCAGACAACCACAACGGAACAAACTCCTTGACGTTCTGAAACGATCGACAAGGACCCTGCCTGTACAAAGGGGAACTCTTCTTTTGCTGGAGACACGCTTCCAATCTCTCTTCAATGAAGACTATCGGTATACTCCATAAATCTTGTCCCAGAAATGAATATTTAGAGTCGCCCAATTCCCGTCCTTCTGGAATATTATCTGCATCACGGTCAGCCAGAACAACATCAATCTACAGCAATTCCAGCTTTTAGGTCTCTTTCCAGCGCAAGCCTACCGTTGAACCAGTACGAAACCACGATCTATCAAGCGACGTCGACCAAACAGCCTCGCTACCCCCTTGAAGCCAGCAGTCAACTCCAGCAGATCGTTTTCTCTAAGGCAACAGGCATTTCGCCATTTCAGCAAACTCCAAGGTAAACAGCCAAAATGTTTGGACGATTCTACGCCGGAACTCACTCTCAGCAGCGCCACCACCGCCGCGGCCACGATGCTCAACAGTTCCAAGATGCCGACATCCACTGGGTGAACGTCTCCTTCAGCGCCGGCGATGTCATGATGCCTGACTGGGACCTCTTCGAGGTCGCCAAACTGGCCATCCGTGGCGGCCGCGCCAGCATCAGTAGCCGGCCGACCATGCATGGATGCAGTCTTATGTATTCTATCAAGGTCGAGGGTACCTTTACCCACCGTGACGACATCCTTACTGCGGCCGACGCTCTTATTTGCGGATATCAGAGAGAGATCGACCAGGGTCGGGGCCCAGGTTTGTTCCCTCGCAGCTGTGTGTTTAGTGGCATTCCGCCTTATTAACCAGTCTCAGCTCCAGGATGTTTCGAGGGAGCGCCGGATGAGGCCGAGGACATTGTGCAGTGAATTTCTGTTCTTCTTGGAGTTTATTTTGCTTCGAGTTTTATTTTTTGCTCCGCTATATAGACTGCTAGTGGATTTGCAATAGATTGTGCTATTGTTGTTTTCTTTTTGATCATAGATTGTATCATTCATGGAGTTATTTCATTATTGTTCATTTCTCAAACCATCATCATTGGCCAGACCCAACCATGGGTTTCTGTGACTAACTGAGTTTCGCCTCCACCGTGGGCTTCTTCGCCTTTTCTTAGTTCTTATTAATGATGAATTATTAACTACCCCGGATGCCGCCCACCAAATTCTTCCCCCACCGAACATGGAGGATTCGATGGCCCCGATCTTCACAGACACGGGGGTAATTGCAGAGCCCTTCAACGGCGCAACTCTGCCCGTGGAAGAAGAAGCGTTCCTCTCCCCAGGAACCTTCTCCAGCGCGGATGAGTACGCCGCCAACCCCCGATTCCTTGAATTACAGGAAGAATTGCGAGGCGTGCTCTTTTCAGCTGTTGCTAGCCTCGAGCCCAACAGCTACGCGTCGCCTGCCCCCTCGTCGCCGACCGAGGGACTGGGCTCGAGGGCATCGCGACAAAGCCTCGACTTTACACGCGTGTCCATCCCCAAGATTCGATTAATCTATTATCTCAAAAATTGGATTACCGAATGTGCACCATACCTCGACAAGTTTGACGAGGAACGTCACTTTGGTGTGCACATTCCCATTCTCGCACAGCGATCACCGGCGCTGTTCTACGCCATCCTTGCTTTCTCCGCTCGCCAAACCGAGCGAAAGGCGTGTCTCGGCACAGCATATGATAGCCTCGAACTATATCAGGAATCTATTCGGCTACTTGCACCATGCCTGCAAGCCAAGGACCCCAATGTACTCGTGACAGTGTGCATTCTCGCAGTCATGGAGCTGATGTCGGTCAGTCCACGGGACTGGCGTCGCCATGTGGAGGGCTGTGCGGCACTCTTTGACTCATTCAATGTCAACGGGCTCTCGGGTGGCCATCTTCAAGCGGTGTTTTGGTGTTACGCACGCATGGAGCTGTGTGGAGCGATCATCTCTAACGGCGCGGAGAGCACGGTGCTCCCGCTGGAGAAGTGGGTGCCTGCAATGCCTCAAGCGTCAGGATCCAAGGAAAAAGAAAGTATCATCCGGGATCTGTTTTGTCATAAAGGCCGCTCGTCACCAGATATGCAGGCCAATTGGGCTGTATATCTCTGTGCGAAGACATGCGATCTCGCCTGTCGAAGAACAAGACATTTGGAACTGGGCGAAGATTTAGACCAACATGCTGGTCCTTTTATTGACCAATGGAGCCGACTCTGGGACGATCTTCAGTACTGGCTTGAGCAGCGCCCCCCAGCCATGCTGCCCATCAAAACAACGGGGATAGGCGGCGGTCAAATCTTTCCGGAGGTCCTTTTTGCACACTGGGCCGCCATTTCGGGGAACCAGATGTACCATGCCGCATGCATTATGATGCTGGAGATGAGACCAGGCGGGAAGGCTTTGCCCTCATCAAAGCCCCATTACTCGGCAATCTGGCACGCCCGCAGAGTATGTGGGATTTCGTTAACGAATCCCCACAGTGGCAATCTCATAAATGCTATCCAGCCACTCTATATTGCAGGGAAGCTCCTCAGCCATCACAGTGAACATGTCGAGGTCGCCAGGCTTTTTAAAACTGTAGAGAAGACGACTGGATGGGGTGCCTTGTGGCGACTCAAGGATCTTGAGCGAGCTTGGGGGTATGAGCCTGGAGAAATACTATCTGTCATTTGAAACGCAAGGATGAATTGCGCTGCATTTTTCTAGTCAAACATAGAGTTTAATACCAATGACGGGTTACTTTAGCCTGAGCACTAAAGCCTGTTGTCATAGAAATCCAAAATCTCTCTTGTTCGTTATGTGTTGGATTTACTGGCATCCGGGTACCGAGTTCTTTCTTTGCCCAGAAGAAGCACCTACATAAATACTACGCAACCAATTATGCTTTACTTGGTGGGTAGAGCTTCGATAGATAGATTGACTGGTTTAGTCGGAAGCATATTCCGGGGAGATTACATGAAGGGCGTAATTAGTCAGTCATCCATGACCAGTTTAAACTGCGAAGCAGTGAAAAATGTTCTTGTTTTGCAAAAAGAAGATTTATAGGAAATTCTAAGAACTCGATATCAACTGAGGAGGAGAGTTACGGTTTTTTCTGGATGGCGTTTATCTAGGAGTGCTTGTCAACCAAAACCAAGTATGGGACAAGCAAAAGAATTCAAGGAAGTGCAAGAAGGCAATTTCAGTCTTAGTGGCCAACGCCACCGGGGATGACGAGCGTAAAAGTAGATGAGCAAAGGACAGGATCACTCTTCCGTCATCCTCGACTCTTGGAATAGATCTTGATGAGCTGTCTGTCACCCCTTTTGGTGCCTGGAATTATCACCCAGCGTCAAGGAAAGAAAGATATTCAAAACACAACTCCCAGCCTAGCACGGCCCAGAACGGCCCGAGTTTCCTGAGTTCCCAGACAAATACCGCTGCACAGGATCTGGGTCACCGGAGCCGCACTGGGAGACCTTGCGTCCAGCTTGCTTTCGGTCGGCGGCCAAGGTCTGCGCAAATGGGGACCACTCCCGAATTTTCGGGCCCTTCCAATAAAATACATATATCGGAATGATGAAGACGATTGACATAAATGCCAGGAAAGTAGAGGCCCACTCGAGGGGGTGTGAGTGTCCCATATTCTTATACACTATCATCCATACGTAAGCTCAATATCGAGACAATATTGTATGTATCAACTCACTAGGCGTGGAGTACATTGCTGCAATACCGGCAAGAAAATCGCGTGCCAAAGCATTTCCTCCCGTGGCTGAAGCGGAATAAGGTCCGTACGAGGCGATCATATAGTCGATTGTCGCCATGTAGATCGAGTACTAAAGTGGTCTATGATTAGCATGGTCTTTGATAATTTAGCTAGATCCACATACATTAGCAATAGCAATCAGGGTCGAAAATATCATAGGGGCAATCCAATGGACATGAGGAGGCCCAAGGCTGGTCCAGGCAAACCCAAACAGACCTATTGTCAAGAGTGGTGCGACTGCGGTCCAAAATTAGTAACAGATCACAATAAGTCACAAAGAATGAATGGGTGCGGACCATATAATAGCCAATACAGACGAACCTCTGGCTGGAGTGCATCAGGATCCCGTTCGCTGATTCGGCAATGACGGTGGATCCACGGCAAAAACGAGAAGTATGCAATGAAGTAGCCAATAATGATTCTAATATTGTCAGTATCTCTGCCAAAATGGTCCCACATAGTACCCACGGGATGAATGCAAGTCCAACATCAATTGTTGAGAACTTCCATTGCTTGTATACCAAGGTATATGACTGCAAGAAAGTGAAGATCAAGGCGTCACTGAAACCGCTCAGAAGCGACAGCCACAGGACAATGGGCTCTCGTATGAACATAATGAACGGACGTGCCCAAACCATGGACAAAAATCGAAAGGAAAGACGTTTCCCTTTGATTTCATCGCCACTCCAGACCATGTCACCTGCTTTTCGTCTTCGTCGGGCCTCTCGGGTGACCAAAATGCTGCATCTGGTCTCGGGCACCCAGAAATGCACCATCTGCGCAAAGCCTCCGAGAATAAGCTGGAGCCAAAAGTTCCAGTGCCAGTCGAGGAAAGTTGCAACGAAACCACCGACGATAGGAGCAATCACTGAGCCGGCCACTGAAGAAAGTACAACATAGGCCACGGCCCATTGTTGATGCTCTGGCTCCCACATGTCCGCAACCATACCAAGAGTCACTGAGCCACCAGCAGATGAAAGACCACCCAAGGTACGGCAAATGATAATGGTGCCAAAGTTTGGCGCCAGGGCGCAGGGTAGCTGCCAGATGTTGACGAGAAACAAGCTCAGCTGCATGATAGGCCACCGGCCGAATTCTTCGCTGAATGGCGCCCAAAACTCACTACCAAAGGCATACGCCACGAGGAAGGACATCTGTCCTACACGGGCAGCTTGCTCGGAGATATGAAAATGTTTCGCATACAGGGTAATGCCGCTGGCGTAGAAGCTCGCATTCCAGTTCATCGAGGTTTGCACCAAGAAAATGACGGAGATAATCCCCCATTTCTTCCACCACGAGAAATTGTAGCCCAGTTTATCATAGCACTCAAATTCTTTCAGCTCTGTTTTGCCTCCCTGGCCGTCAGCCGCTCCGTCAGCTCCCTCCTTCTCCACGTGGGTTGGTTGAGGGGTGCCTTCCGGGGAGCGGCCTCTTTCATTGGGGCCTTCTTGCTTCTCCAAGTCCACATTTCCATCCGCAGGATGGTCATCAATATGGGGGAAAGGATGTTGCTCGTTGCTCATGGCTGGTGGTGTTCTGGTGTCTGTAATGCTTACCGGTATTGAACATGCAACGAAGAACGTCCATGATCCGTGTTCCCCTCGATGATGTGGAAGGGAAACCCTTTGTTAAATACAAGAGTAACGAGCGAGCCTCAGACTGTCCACACCTTCGTCACTATGAAAGGCGGCTGGACCTGGCGAACCAATTTGCCAATAAGAACTGAATCCAGGGAGCTCGACCAAGCTTCTCGCGTGCCGTGGAGGAGACATCCGGGGACTATGACCCGCCCCATCGTCAGAAAGCTCTCTCCGCGTCCGCCTCCGCAGGTTGGGGACGAGCTATAATGATAGGCCGCAACTACAATCCGAGCATAAAGAGACCTGGTTTGGCCCAAATTTGCTGCTGGACTGGGCCTCGAATGGAAGTAGATTTCGGCAGCCCGGACCTCGTCTCCTGATTTGATTAGAACCAGCTTCGTGCACCACAAGGGTTAAACTATCTAGCTGGCTCGTCCGATGGAATAACGGCTATAATAGAAAGAGCTAAAGAGGAGATCTAGAACTTGCTCTCTCTACTTTGCAATGGAGTGAGCAAAAGGCAGTTGAAGTTTCGGATTATTAGAATACGTCTGTTGAATAGCATCGTATCTTAAATCTCGTTTCACGGAGCTACTCTCGGATATGTATTTGTTTCTTAATTTCATTTTGTCTCGTATGAGAGATTTTTGAAAAAAACCCCCCTTTGGGTTATATGTACTGCCAATCTCAGGGTTTCCTCAGACTTGTCATAATTCGCAGATTGGACCTATTTTGGAAAAGCGCATTGCCTAGCACAAGCTAGAGTATGGCGGAGTATGCTCCTTATTGGCTAGTAGATATTTCCATTACGCCTTTGGACCTAGCGGTATTTCGTACTTCAACTTGTCTCATCCAGGATTACGTAAGTACATCGATTCACAACTCGCGCCTTCTTTTGCTTTCCCAACAGCATCCGCCATGGCAAGCGACGAGAAATCAAAGACCCCGTTCGAGGATTTAGACCGCGATTCCTCTGAGCGAGAGACATCCCTGTCTCCAGCTACAGATACCTCAACTGAGATCGGGGCACCGCCCCAATATGAACCCCCACAGACCAGAGCCGAAGGGAGCTCATCGGCAGCAAGAGCGACACAAATATTATCCCCTACCCCTGACAAACCCATTGCAATTCCGGCCGTTGATGCCGCCAATGAATCGCCGTTTCTCCGCGCCTATGCGCCCATCTTGAGCAAGCATAAGCTCCCCAAGGACTCATTTCTCACTTTCCTGGATCAACTCAACGACGCGGTTGAAACCAGCCCACCGATGCAGGTGCTCGATGCTACAGGCGGCATACTCCAATCCGTTCCGATCTTATTTCCAGTTAGATGGATTGGCTCCGCTGTCAGCGAATTGGCAAATCTGGGCGGGCACGGTATCTCAAAGGGCCGCTCTGATTCCGCCATTCGGCGAGCAAACAAAGACATTTTTGGACCGCGCGGGCTGAAGGTCGAAATTGCTAAGCTCGACGCTGTTGCCCATATCGCTAAGATTCCCATTCTCGATTCCCAGGGCAAAGTAAACCGGCAAGCACCTCTTCTTCAACAACTGGAGAAGCTATCCAACACTTGCACGGATAGGGCGCAAGAGCTTGACCTGCAACAGCAGCGCATCAGACTGCTTGAGCCGTGGATCGCTGAACTCGAGCCGGAGATTTTGCCGTGGACTTCCAAATCTAGATTGACGCGCTTTAATGCGGCACTGAAGAAAAACAACCAACAAGATAGGGAACAGAGGGGTAGGCGGAATGCTGATATGCAGGAAGAGCAGACCGGGTTCCGGAAATGTCTTTGGCTTGTCATTCGGAAAGTGGAGAGTGCAGACGGGACAACGTAACCTGTGTCAACAGATAAGGGGAATTAGAAAGATAACTATACGAGCCATGTATGGGATTCTCTACACTACGGAGGCGGAACTTGATATACTAGCATTCGACATGTGGAACGTGCGACAGCCTTGCGATGATAGCTTTAATAAACGTGGGATATACCCATACCGACTTCTTCAGAAAAGCTCATAAAGTCAACGAAGACCAGTTGAATCTCAAAGGATAGCTTAGGAAAATAAGCGTACATGGTCGTGTAGCACAGGAAATAACAATAATTAACAAGATATTATTGGCTCACGTAGGATATATGACAGAAAAGTACTGCAGACTCTGGCCCTCTACTCCAGGGCTTGGCGACTGTTATGTCCAGTGATCCAATTCCAGGTCCTATCGTTTTCTGCACAGCTATAGAGGAATGGCTTCTTCGTGTCCCTTTCTAAATTGGCCTTCTTGTAGAAGTCGGCTGTCATGTTCTTACTCCCACCACAGATGGGACCGCACCAGACAGGACGATAGCCATATCCGTAAGGTTGAGAATGTATTCCTTCTGAGCATAGGAGTAGCGTTATCCGAGGGTCCGTAATAAATTGTAATTTATGAAAGGGGCCTGCTACCACTATCGTCTAATTTTCTAGGGCTTCAGCATGACTAGTTTTAGTTGGAAATCTTTGAAATATGGAGACCACCGGAAAGGCAATCGTTTTATTGAATGCAATTTGCTTTTAGTTTCCTCCGAAACCCAAATCATTTGTTACAATAAGTCGACTTCCATATCAAGACCTAAGAGATACAAACATTCGGGAACGCTCAAAACCTCATTCATCCTGGTAGCAGGTCGAGTTCATGACTATTATCCACAGCGCCAATATCCCAAACATCGGTACTGCTAAGCAGCCTATGTTCTCGAACCGAAGATTACCTATTCGTCGACGACTTTGCCACTATCGTCCAAACGCTGGCTATCCTCGTTCAATCCCTTCCACTTCGTTATCCCGTCATGTATATCTCTCAACCGATATTCATAGAAGATATGGCACCTAGCAATCCGGATTAGCATATACTAAAACCTCGCGGGACAATACAAAGTATTCACGTTGGCAGAAACGTCGAGATTCGCTCCCGTTGCTCATCCGGTGAATCAGAGAAGTCGATCAACTGTGGGAATAACAGACACATATTGCGTCCTTCATCCATGATCGGAGTCCGACAGACCGAGCATGCCACCTTTGTAGGCGTTTGGTATTTGATATTTTTCTCTTTGGCCGCATAGAATGATAGACCGCTAACTCCATTATCGAATCGCATGTCTTCCTTCGGAAAGATGGCTGCCCACTGGAAGGGCGCGCCATGCATAACTTGGCAATGCCGACAATGACAAAATTTGGCACCTACTGGCCGCTCCCGTCTCAGCGCGTAGGATACCTTGCCACACTGGCAGTGGGCGCGATGTTTGATTTCCCCAAATTCTTCCAGCGGCTGCTGCGAATACGGCGGGCGATGGCTGGGATCCTCGTCTTTGAACGTGTTGGGGAAAATCCTATCGTCATCATAACAGCCCGATTTATTAGCCATAGTGCGGCGGTAATAGCGATTCGGATTAACGAAACGGAACAGAATGCGTGAATCGGACACTCCGGTTCTTATAGCAGCGAGGTAACTCGGGTTCATATCACGATTAAGACCGTGGCAAACTTTTGCCCTCTATAGCAGCATTACTTCTTCCTTATATGACATTTTTCGATCGCTAGCCATGATTTTGAGGACTGCCATTTTCCCGAATTTTTCTACTTTCCGCCAATCATGTCCATTGAAGTAAATCGCCGTCATTGCGAACTTCGCAAGTCTGGAGCTTTGTGATGTCATTAAAGACCATAACGTGTTTGCTCCTTGCAACTTCTAGTGAGTAAAACAGGCTACCCGCAACCAAAGGACGAGGCAGGGTTACGGATCTTTATACTTTGGAGAGATTGCGTCACAATACCGTCTACCCTTCAGAAACAAAGGGGGGCAAATTACTAATGATATGGAGCCGAACATAACCTAAAACAGCAACGATACTATATGATTTTGTTCTTAACCGACGCGCATACCACCTAGATACTGCGATCACTGCTGGGATGATAGATGCGTTGGCAACCTTTTGCCGTACAGTTTGCGCGCATGGCGCCGTACCGGAACATTAGATTCTGTTAGAACTGGAATAGTACTGTCGCTTCAAAGAAGTAGCGCTGCACCGGGCAGTTCCGAGGCGGCGTAAAGGGCTGGATACTGACTATCTGGATGAAGATGTACAAGTAGTGAATTGTCTAAGAGAGGAAGTTGTGAAGCTATTCTAAGTTGTCTATCCATACGGCTCTAACGAGGGAGAATCACGTGATGTGATCCTAACAGTTTATTATCTACTTACCCCCGATTTTATACACAAGAGGCGGACACCATGACTGCTGTCTGAAATATTGACTGCGTGCCGAGTCTGGAGGGGGCATCGATTCTTCAGACCAACCGACATCTCGTTCAATCGAAATCGTAGTGTGGTCGCTTGGAGCCATATGAAAACCCTTCCCAAAGGTATTCGTGAGAACAATTTCGTCCTCAGCTTGGGGCCGGAAGCCCGTGTGGGAAGAATGATAGGAGGGGTAAGAATGGCCCGCAGAAAGCCCCTGCCTGTTACCTTCCGGCCACTTAGGGAACAGCCGGCGTATTACGGGCCGTAGCGTGGGGAGACAGGCACAGATGATCCCGATGCAAGGTTCGACACTCGACCAGATGAAGCCATTGGATTGTTTCCAGGTTAGGTCGCCACTCGTATACGTCGTGGTCAGGAAGTAGAGTCGGACCGCACCGGCCACGCAAGCACTAAATATCATTCGAAAATAAGAAGTGTCAGCAATCTAGAAAAAGCTTCAGACGATGAAAGTAGGGCAAAGAAGAGCACCCTTACAAGCCAGCCAAAAGGAAGATTCCAAGCACAGTCAGCTTTCGGTTCCTAGGCATTTGAAGCCGCAGAACCATTGATATAGGACAGAGCAGGATAAGGAGGTCCGTGAAAACACTCAGCACCGCATTAGATATGAAGAAGGCGTAGGTGTTGATACAACTCCCCTCCGCAGTGGGGTCTATATATTGCTTCCAGAAATAGTCGTAAGGGTGGCACTGAAGCCCCGCAGTGATGACAATACCGATCCACCAGCCAAGCACTAGGAATGATAGCCCATAGAGCACTCGCCGGAACCTGGTGGTTGGGAAGATACGATAGTAGAGAAGGATAATAGACATCTTGACGGCTGGGATAACGCTGCCATAGAAAAACTCATAGAGCCAGAGGAGCTATAGAGGGAGTTGTCATATATTAGACACCCGTTTTTCTGGCTATTGCTTGAATACTCATTCCGGGCCTCGATCACTCACCTTAGTGATAGTGGCAATGCTCACACCGGGCGCCCAGATATGTTTGCCGATACCGTTTTTGACAGCTATCACAGGCGTCAGCTTCAATCTTCTTCTGTCTTTGCTATCGCCAGGTCGTCCAAATCATATCATAAATGATGAGATCAATTGACTAGTTGCCTTACCAATTACACTCATGATTCCATTGCTGTATGCAAAAATCTAATGTAGAGATTAGCTTCAGGGTTGGTTTTTCGCAAAGGGCTTAATCATCACCAGTGCCACTGCCAGGACCCAGTCATCCCACCAAAAGTTCGCTTTAGATATGTGTCTGGAGATAAAACGCAAGATCACGGCAATCGTCGCTAGGGCGAGCAGCGCCATATCAGCGCCTATGACTTGAGGACCGAGGCTCTCAGAGAGATCCATGCCCGCAGGCGGTCCAGAAGTCATGTCGATATAAATGCAAGTTAGGAATTAAAAAGACTCATGGTAGCCGCAGAGAGCCACGAAGAGGATGGGGTGAACTGGTGTGCATGGAGGTGGGCATTTGTATTCGCAGACCAGAAGTCGAATTGCAAGGTTCCTAAGGATCGGTGGGCCTGTCGACCGGGGTCCTAATCCTTTGGCTCGTGCCCATGGATTGGGACCGCCTAGACTCGACACTTCAAGCCAGAATCATTTCCTCACTGGCCCGTGTTTTCGGTTTTGTCACGAAGGTGCTCGTAATTATGATTAATGGCCCCATAAAAGCGTGGGGTCCGATCTTAGGGGGTCCGATTTTAAGGAGCGATTAATACAAAAGCAGCGATTGGCCCACTCGCCCTTGAAAGAAATCATTCGCACCTCTCAGAAAGTAAACACTCGATCACCAGCTAGCAATAATAGCAAGGCCGCGATTATGACCGGTCGGGGTTGAGGGATGAAAAGCTCTTCATCTACATTTGGAGGCAGAAAGCATATTCCTTCGCCTAACTAACCACCGAACTAACCATTTACGGTAGTCCCAAACTCTTTTACTACCTTGATCACCAACAGTCGGTAATTTTCGAAAAGGTGAAATCTGCTAAGAATAGGTGCCGAGCGCACCAATAAATTCCAAAATCGAGGCCACGACATGTCTGCATTCTGAGCCACCTCAATGGCCTCTATGTAGATGCGAAAGAACTGATTTCTGGATGATCGACACATTGATAGAGGTTGTTGGGTGGAGACTCGAAAACCTAGACATTCCTGGGCGTGCTAGTAGAGGGATTCTGTCCTACTTGGATCTAGCTCAAACAGTCTTGACGACTGATAGCTTTGCTCTGGCGCCAAAGGATCGTGGCTCTGTAGCATTTTATTGACCGGATCCACCACGAATCAAACCAGTGATTCCACCATGTGGTCGAGAATCCTAAGATAGAAGATGTCTGACATTCTAACAGCATGCAGGTCACTCACAGAACTAAATGGTCTCAGCTCAGACTTGGCGCAATCTAACATGATTTGATTTGATTTAGCTTAGAGTCTCATGACCCACCACATTCATTGATCCTGATACTTGTTTCCCTTCTTCCACGCACCCCCTCCTTCTCCTTCACCCATCTTCACGTGTGAGAGCCCCCCCCCCCCCCCCCGGCGCGGCCCAGTGAGTGGGATTTACGATTATGTAATGCTCACTGAGTAACGTAATCAACCACCGAGTGACGAATACCACCGAGTGACGAATTTCGCGTCCATCTCCTACAATCATTTCCTTGACGCGTTATTTTTCACCACCACTATACAAAATGCCTCTATCTCAAGAAAATCGCATTCAGATGGCTATTTCTGCATTCAAAAATAAAAAAATCAAATCAAAATTAAAGGCTGCTGAGATATTTAGTGTGCCTGAAGCTACGCTTCGCCGTCGACTCAACGGTAGGAAATCACGCGCAGAAACACGCGCCAACAGTCATAAATTAAACCCTCTTGAAGAAGAAGTCCTTGCGAAGAGGCTGCTAGATGCAGATAAGCGAGGATTTTCAATTCGGCCAGAGTTTCTACGGGGAATGGCGCAGATCCTGCTTCGCGAGCGCACAGGAGATCCTACTACGACCCTTGGTGTCAACTGGGCATATAAGTTTATCAAACGGCATCCAGCACTGCGCACACGATACAATCGGCGGATCACGTACCAGCGTGCAAAGCAAGAGGATCCAAAGATTATTAAACAATGGTTTGCGACCGTACGCGAGGCTATTCAAGAACATGGTATCCACGAGGACGATATCTGGAACTTTGATGAAACTGGCTTCGCAATGGGACTTTGTTCAACCTCTAAGGTTATTACTGCAGTCGATCGCAGTGAAAGGCCCCGTAGGGTTATTCAGGGGAATCGCGAATGGGTCACAATTATTGAATGTGTGAGCTCAAAGGGGATATCTATACCCCCATGGATCATCTTGAAAGCAGGATCTCAACACGCTGCTTGGTATCAAGAACCTGCTCTCTTCAATAAGGGCTATGCTATCGCAAGAAGTCAGAATGGCTGGACAACAGATGAAATTGGCCTCCGCTGGCTAAAAGAGATGTTTGAACCACATTCTAAAACCTATTCAACTGGTGCAAAGCGGTTGCTTATTCTTGATGGTCATAGTAGTCATCTAACTGCAGATTTTGACGCATTCTGTGAAGAGAATGCTATTATCTGTCTTTGCATGCCTCCTCATACCTCTCATCTTTTACAACCACTTGATGTTGGTGTTTTTGGTCCGCTAAAGCGCGCATATGGAAAACTAGTAGAAGAGATGATGGTTGCCGGCAACAACCATATCGACAAGGAGGATTTCTTGTCTCTCTATCCACCTGCTCGCGAAAAGGTGTTTACTAGGGAGAATATACGCAGTGGTTTTGCAGGTGCAGGACTTAACCCGCTAGATCAAGATCGGGTTCTTGAAAAGGTAACTTTTCAACTTCGGACACCAACACCACCTCTTGTTGAAGTTGAAGGCTCAGTCTCCTCTGCTTTTCAAACACCTCAGAATCCTCGCCAACTCGATCACAAGGTACGCAGTCTACAGAGAAGCCTTCGAAAACGAATGCTTTCTAGTAGTCCAGTATCTCATATTCAACATCTTGAAAAAGCTGCACAGATGGCAATGAATATGAACCTTATTCTTCGACAAGAAATCAAGGTTCTACAAGGTGAGAATAAGCGGAAAATGCAAAAGAGGGCAAGGAAGCGTGGTAATCTTGGTGATGATCTTGTTTTATTTGTACAGGAAGGTCAGAATCGAGTGCAACAGCTTGATACACAGCTTAATGAGCCGGCCGCTGAGACGACGCCAAGGCCTCGCCAGCGAGCTCCACGACGCTGTAGTGGATGCGGGACTACTGGTCATACTATAAGAAATTGTCCTAGTAAATAGCTATTGTTTTATCTTTTTATATGGTCTGATTTAATACATTTGTGGTTGAAAAGCTTGAAATTTAACGGTACGCTCGACGAAATTCGTCACTCGGTGGTATTCGTCACTCGGTGGTTGATTACGTTAACTTAGGTTGCTGAGGGTTGTGCTCTGGCTCGTGTACAATTCTACTCAGAGATTAAAAAGGGACAAAGGCTGAGCACTAAAACGAAAAGGGAAAACCAAGAGTTGCGAGGCATTTTCCTGAGAATAAACGAGGGCCATCGTGACAAGCTCCAGGCATTGAAACCCCCCCTCGGGCAGAAACTCAATAGCTTCAGAGTGGGCACACTCCAATAATATCATGATGCAGGCTCTACGTTAGTCGTTCAAGCCGTACTATAGTCCCACTTGGACGTGTAAAATCTCTGATTCAGATAAATCTGGGAATGCCCCAACAATTTAGAGGGCTAGTTAACTAAGTAATGAATGACTAATACATAATAGGAAATATTGATAAGGGATAACATCCCTATGTGACCTTTAGGAATTCCAACTCCTGACATTAATGATAGAAACGAGCGAAAAGTACTGACAAATTGATCTCCCGAACCTTATCTGTCGGGAGCGGTGGGAACGCCGACACCTCAGGCATCCATACACTTCATCAACGCGTCTTCCCTCCGAGCCCATTCCCTCCTTCCTCCGGTGTATACCCGTGGAGCGGTCTTGATCACTTACTACCTGGCAGGGGTCGCGTCAGCGGCTTCCTACCGCTGCTGATGACCATGCCTTTAACCCGATTCCGTCATTCCAAAGACCCCGACGCGATGGTCGCCCAATTATTGAAGCAGTTCCAGAGCTCCAAATCACGCACTACCACACCCATCTCGACCAGACAAAGCCAGGTGGATGTCAATAATGCGGTAGCCCACGTAAAGACAGAATTTGCGATTCATGTACCATCGATCGACAATCCGGAGGACTATGAGTTTCTACCTGGCCATTTTGCTATCGAAAGTGTCCTGGAAGTGCACTCAGACGAGCCGCAGGGAGCTACCTACACGGTCAAACTCCAAAGTGGCGAGCTGGAGAGAATTTCATACTCACAACTGTCGAAACTTAAATACGGGCTGGAGTCGCTGGCCGACTTCAGGGAGAGACTCGAGTTCATCAATGCATCAGAATCGAGCGAGGATGAAATTCGAGTTGTTGGGAGACAGCATTTAATGCCATCCCCCTTTTTCTCTACCGATGGCACATCTTTTAAGGAGATATCTGAAGTGGACTCTTCCAATTCATCCATCACCCAGGGTTTACGGCTCCGACCCGGAGCGACTTCAAAAAGAAGCGGATACGCTCGATTCTTTCATCCTGTGGATAGCAATTTTGAAGATTCAGCCAGCGATGTTAGGTCCACGCGTGCTCGGCGCCGCTTGAGGAGAGCGATCGCCAGAACCAATCGCACCTCTGATGACTCGGACATGACTTTGTCTAGGGACATTCGGACTTCAGCTCGGCAAAGGAAGCCCTTGCGAGCCAATCTGCGAGAAAGATTGGAGGACGATATTTCCGAGGGTAAAACTCAGGCCAAGAGACGACCAAAATTTACTGGGGCCAAAGAAGCGTTTTACCAGCGTCCGCTTCCTGACGATTTCAGGAACCAGCACTGCCCTTATTGCTCTGTGTGCAATATCTACAATGATCATCCCGAGAAAGGGCCTTTGGTGTTTTGCCAAGGGTGTACTTCTTCGTACCATCAATTCTGCCTGGGTCGTCGAGCCAATCGAGAGCATTTGGTCACGAAGATTGATCAGGATGATTTCATTCTTCAATGCCATCGCTGCTTGGGAGTCTGCCACACAAGGCACGATGTCTGTCCCCATCTGGGCTGCTGTGCAGAATGCAAAGAGAAAGGCCCGATGTCCAAGCCTCTTCGACAGCGTCTGACACCCCGCGAAGAGCAGCAGTTACGAGTCGACAATGGGGGTACAGACCCAGTTACTGTGGTTGATATATCCCAAGTCAACAATGTAAACAACGTGCTCTTCCGCTGTATCGGTTGTCAACGGGCTTTTCATATGCGACACCTGCCAGTGGAAGAAGGCATCGTCGTATCATCTGATATCGAAGCAGTTTTCGCCCAGTACAGCCTGAACTGGCAGTGCAGGGATTGTTCTGATGCCCCTGGAGATGTTGAGGGCATCGTCGCATGGCGCCCCGCCAATCCCGAAGCCAAGGCTTCCGGGCATTTGGTGGAGGCTCTCCCCGAGACCGATAAAGAGTATCTCGTCAAATGGAAGAAACTTTCCTACTTCCGCGCTACGTGGCAACGTGGTGACTGGTTCTGGGGTGTGAGCAGGACTGGCATGCGTCGAGCATTCTTTAACTCGCCCAAGGCCCGCAAGCCCATTTGGACTTCTGAGGAGGCCATTCCTGAGGACTTTCTGCGAATTGACATTATTTTTGATGTCGTTTACTCAGACGCTGCGACTATGCCGGACGACGAAGCAAAACCTGAGATGGTTAAACGCGCCTACGTCAAGTACAAAGGGTTACCATATGAAGATTCCGTATGGGAATCTCCTCCGCTCCCCGTTGAGACTGCTCGATGGAGCGATTTTAAGCTCGCGTTCGAGGACTGGGCGTTTCGGGATACCATCTATCCTCCCTCTCACGCTTCTCTTGATACCCATCTCTCGCGAGTTCGAGCCCGGAATTTTGAAACAGAACTACTGTTGCGCTCGCAGCCGGAGCTGATGATTGGGGGCGAACTCATGGAATATCAGCTAGATGGTGTCAATTGGCTGTATTATATGTTTCTAAAGCAGATAAACTGCATTCTTGCTGACGACATGGGCCTTGGCAAAACCATCCAGGTTATCGGGTTATTCGCGACTTTGGTTCAAAAGCATGGCTGTTGGCCGTTTTTGGTTGTTGCTCCCAACTCGACATGTCAGAATTGGCGACGTGAGATCAAGAGATGGGCGCCCAAACTTCGAGTGGTAACGTATTGTGGCTCTTCTTTTACTCGCCATATGGCCCGAAATTACGAGATGTTCACTGAAGATAGCAAAGACCTTCGGTGCCATGTGGTGATCGCATCCTATGAGAGCATGGTCGACGTAGGGACTACGAAGGAACTAGCCAAGATCAAGTGGGCAGGCTTGGTGGTTGACGAAGGTCAACGTCTCAAGAACGACAAGAGCCAGCTCTATGAACGCCTTCAATGCATGAAATTTGGGTTCCGTACCCTACTCACAGGGACCCCTCTTCAGAACAACATTCGGGAGTTGTTCAACTTGATACAATTCATTGACCCACAGAGAAATGCGGAACAATTGGAAGAGGAATATGGGGACCTCACCTCGGATAATATCCGGGTCTTGCATGAGATGATCCGACCGTTCTTCTTGCGGCGGACGAAGGCTGAGGTACTACCATTTCTGCCGCCGATGGTGCAGATCATCGTTCCCGTGTCAATGTCTGTTGTGCAGAAAAAGCTCTACAAGTCAATCCTCGGCAAAAATCCAGACCTTATCAAGGCGATTTTCCAGAAGCAAACGGGCCAGATCCAGAAATCCGAGCGCTACAATTTAAATAACATCTTGATGCAGCTAAGGAAGTGTCTTTGTCACCCCTTCGTTTACAACCGGAATATCGAAGAAAAGACACCCGATCCCGTTGTCTCCCACCAACACTTGGTTGAGGCATCTGGAAAGCTTCTTTTGCTGGGATTGATGCTCCCCAATTTGCGCGAGCGCGGACACCGAGTGTTGATTTCTAGTCAGTTCTTGGCCAATTTGGACATCGTTGAAGATTTCCTTGATGGTCTTGGGCTCAACTATCGTCGTCTGGACGGAAGCTTGTCATCGTTACAGAAGCAGATCCAGATTGATGACTTCAATGCGCCTGATTCTCCTTACTTTGCATTCCTCCTGTCGACCCGGTCTGGCGGTGTTGGCATCAACCTTGCTAGTGCAGACACCGTTATCATCATGGATCCAGATTTCAACCCCAAACAAGACATGCAGGCTCTATCGCGAGCTCACCGAATAGGCCAGAAAAATACTGTCCTTGTGTTCCAGCTCATAACACGAGCTACCGTGGAGGAAAGGATTATGCAAAAGGGTAAAAAGAAATTGGCATTGGACCATGTGCTCATCCAGCGCATGGAGGATAATGAAGACGAGGAGGACTTGGAGTCTATCCTTCGGCATGGAGCTGATGCACTGTTCAACGACGATGACTCTGCAGACATTATCTACACCTCGGAGTGTATTGACAGGCTTTTGGATCGAAGTCAAGCGGAACAGGCTGAGAAAATCGCTGATGACACGACCAGTACCTCGACCGAGCAGCCACAGTTCAACTTCGCTCGTATCTGGCAAAATCATGGTGGCACCCTCGAAGAAGTGACCGAAGGGGAAGACAATCTCGTGGACACCACTCTGTGGGATCGGATTCTCCAAGAGCGTGAACGCGAAGCAGCCGAGGAGGCTAATCGGAAAGCCGAGGCTCTTGGCCGTGGCAAGCGAAAGAGAAGGACAGTCAACTATCGCACGAAAGAACAGGAGAATGATGGCGAGCCCACGCCCGTGAAAAGGCGCAAGACTGGCGACCTTGATCGGGAATTTGAGCCAGCAGAAGATGAGGGTGATGAAACAGACACTCTCGGGAATGTCATAGAAGATGCCATGGATCTGGTGGGTGATCAGCCTCCGCTACAGATTAGACACCGTCCCTTTGTTCGAGTCCGGTCACCTCCTCCAGCACGGCCGATGGTTACCAATGGGGCCCAAGATCCCCGCTTGGCCTGCGCCGCGTGCAAACATCACCATTGCCGTGGTCGTTGTCCACTGAAATTCGCCGGGGTCGAGCATTGCCCACTCTGTGGTTTGGTGCATTTCGGCCAAAATCGTTCTTGCCCCCATCTGCAGTCCGAATCACAGGTACGTCGGATGCTGGTCGCCTTGTCCAAAAGCACGGAGCCTCCTGAACATGTCACCTTGGCTAGACGATATCTACGCGGCATTCTCGGCCACTTGACTGCACGTGCACGGCAGGTAGCTATGCAACACAGTCAACATCCGAGTCTTCAGGGCCCCATTCCGGCTCAGCAAACTGGGGCGCCAGTTCCGTCTGTGAGGCACTGGCATGGAGCACCAACCTCGGAATCTTAAAGCTCTATATTATCTCCTCCTTCCGCAGGATGTGAGGCCTGATCATCTACCCCCCTCTTTTCCCGGATCTTCTGAGTAAACTACTGTGGTTTAGATAGATCTTGTCGTTATTCGACCTTAGGTACTTTCATCAATCATATTTATTTCTGAGCTATGGCCATTCGCCATAGGAATAAATGCGCGGTTGACACTCCGTTATATTGGGCGAAAATAGGCCAGTCAGTAGGGTATCAACAGCGAATGTCAAGAGACGTTAAAAATCATTGCGATTGATCACCGGTGGAGAATGAGTACCTCCCCCGGATACCGCTTCAATCTAGCGGTAAGCTCACGCTCGCTGATCTCCAGCTCAGTGCAGATTTGGTCAAAACAATGTGTCCCATCAATATATTTGGACAGTGTCCGATCATCGATGGAATCATCGTTATCATCATCAAACAAATCAGACGAACCCATTATGACACTGCGGCTCCCGTTCTGGAGCGAGCCGGCGCGTTCGCGGCTCAGGTCACGCCGAGACGCCAGGGCAGAGTCCTCACCCACGCTGGATGCCGCATAGGGAGTGTTATTTCCCGTCGTGGCGCGTGAGGATGGACCAGTAGATGTGAAGGTGGGTATGGTGGAGGAGGAGCGGGGTGCTGGTGCCGGCTGGCCCGTTGCGCAGGCGTATTTGTGAACACGGTATAGGAAACCCTTGATCACGCCGAAGGTGATAAAGCGGCGGATGTCAATATTGGCCAGCTTGCGGCTATGCTGGGAGTACCATTGTTTGACGCTCTGGCCTTGTTTCAGGCTGGCGTATAGTTCGACGATCCCAACGCCGTCGACTATCCTGGGGCCTTGTCCTATGGCGGGTGTATCGCCCTCTGAGCTGCTCGGTGCTTCAGTATGCTCAGGATTGTATCCTTCTTCGGACCCGCCGAGCAGAGGCCAAATTTCTTCGGCATCGAAGCGCGAGTCGTCACGGGACATGCTTGGGGCATTTTCGGTGAGAGGGCTTGCCAGTGGACCCGCGCCTCCGGAACTTCTGCCAGGGCTAGCTGTAGACGGTGCCTGTAGTGGCATTGAAGGCCCTATTCGGGGGTGTGGTGCGAAACGGGTGTTTACATATCGTGCACATTCGAGCTGCATGGCGTCGTCTGTGGCGATGGTGGAGCTAAACTGCGCTGTCGGTGCATAAATGGCGGAGAAAGAAAAGATGTCTAAGAGGAATAGACATCCATAGTATAGGAGATGTCGAATGGCGCGGCAGGTCAAGGAGAAGTCAGTGTCCGCGAGGATAGATATGATGCGGACACTGTTGACACCATTGATGTGCGGGACAATCTGCAAGAATGGTCGGCCGACAATCTCCCAAATCCGGGGGTGGGAATCATACCCGTTGCATGGTCAAATCCCAATTTTCATCCATGAAGGCTTGGTATCGGACTGTAAAAAGAGGGACTTGCCAGGCCTTAACAGAGGGAGGGGATGGGTAAACAGGGAAGAGCTTGATGTTTAGGGTATTGAGGTCATCTGGGAAGGCCCGTCAGCAAGAATCCATATCACGTCAAAGCCTCAACAATATACCGATCGGGATCATGCACTCGCAATAATTGTTCAAATCCTCCATCAACATCTCGCACAGGCTGTACACCTTGCCCTCGCCGCTCTTCGAAAAATCGCGCGACAAGAATCCGCTCTGCTCCTCCAGACCGTGCATCAAATCGGCTAGCTTCTGAACCACGCTCTTGTACGTGCTGAAGTCCTCCTCCTCGGCCAGCACCAGACAGAAGTTGAAAATGAATTCATTGCGGTCGTATCGCGCCGATTTCATGCAGATCGGATAGCCTAGAATGCGATAACCGTTGGTGCACACCTGTAGAAGGTTGCCACAGAGCTCTTGGCGAGGGATCACGAAGAAGGAGACGTCGGCAAAGGTGAGGAAGAGCGGCTGCGAAGGCGCGGTGGTTGAGGGGGCGATCGCTCCGTCGGGAACTTGGTGGACGACCTTGGGGCCTGGTCGCTGCGGTGTCAGAAATGAGATACTATCAATGGACTGGCTGACGGACCCTCTTGCGTATCGAACTTGCTGTAGAAGATTGCCTTGATCATCGTGGAGGAGAGGCTCTTGTTGGAGCTAACAGGACCAAGGCCAGAGACATGAGGGAACCGAAGCAGCAATGAAAGCTGAAGAAAATCGACAGCCGAAGAAAATCAGAAGCTCGGTATTCAAAAATGGGCAGGAGAAGTCAAGCAGGCCTAAGGGCCATGGCGGCAGGGAGATTGGGCTGGAGCGGGAAACGCGACACGGGCCGAGATCTGCTTATCGAGCTCCCCTCACGTGCTGCTGCTTCCTCCTCGTTCCTTCGCTCGGGACTCGTCAGTCCGCACGCTCTCTGTTTGGGCCTTGCACCGATATCTTTCTATTTCTGCATTTGTGGGCCTGCACTCACCCAGTGTGCTTCTTACAGTTGTGGAGACCAATAATGAAGATCGATAAGGGGACTCTCATGTAGAGCCTCCAAGACTTAGTAACTATACCCTCCACACTCTGCTGGTCATGTATTCTTCAGGCGGTCAGCTCCCAAGCTGCCTAGTTTGTATGGTCTACACATTGATCTCCGCATTGTAGTCAAGTCTTCTTGCTCACACAGGGGAACCAAGAGCACGCTGTGCTCTACATACGCGATAGTCACAGGGCTGCCAACTTGCGTTTCCTCCGGTTCCCCTCCTGCTGGGGCCCAGCCGAACTAGGGCACTCATCCAGAGGACCACCTTGATCTAACAAAAAGATCGCACCAACCAACGGAAAACACCAATCCTGGCCCCTCTCCCCTTTCTTGAAATGCTCCGAGTCAATATGATCAAATCTCTCATCCCAAGCTGCCTGGCCGTCATTCCGAAGCGAGACGGTGTGGTTACAGAATCCGCACCAGAACTGTGACTGGTTGGCCATATCAAGGCGGGTTGAGCAGACCGAGGCCCGGATGCCGGATTCGGGAACGCCATGCTGCTGGCGCAGGTGCTGCGTGTAAGAATCCTGCTGATAAAACAGTTTCTCACAACAGGCGCCTGTTTGCGAGTCGTGAAATGTGCAGAGCCAGCTTTGGATATGGAGATGCTGAGAGCTTTCATGGCGTTTCCAATCGGCTTTGCTGCCGAAGGCCTTAGGGCAGTGGGGGAATGTACAGCCGTAGGGACGTTCGTGGCGTTTTTGGTGTTTTCTGTCGACAGTTTAGTATCAGGCACAGCTTCCAAGCAAGCTTGAAAAAACCTCTTACTTCATCTCGCAACGGAGTCGAGTGCGTTTGGGGCAAGTATCACACTGAAACCAGCCTCGCGTTTTCTCCGAATCTTCTGCAGCGGCGTTCTCGTCCGAGAGCCTTTCCAGCGCTGCTGCCAGCACTTTCTGTAGCATATGGCGTTGAAGTTTGGATAACTGCGCGCTATCGGTCTCCAAATTGATTCCCTGATTGGATTTTTGACCTTCCTTGCGGGCGCGGCTGCTTATAATCCTAGTCATAGACCTAATCAGATTGTCGGCCGCGCCAGCTAAAAATGCTTCTGGGGCTGCATTGATGAGCTTCATTTTATATTCGCTATCACTGTCGAGTGATGAAACTCGGCTCAGTGTTATCTCTGGGGGTGCACAGTCCTGTGTACCCTCAATTGGTTTGGGGGTCGATGCCCTGCAAGAAAGGAAATCCACACTTCTACAATGATAATCAGACTGACTTTCCGGTACGGATGGAGCGGATGCCAGATTTTGCGGTGTGTCGAACATGGGTTCACCCTGTGAGCCCGTTTCATCGACAGTCTGCGTATCCGAGCAGGTGGCGGCAGTCTCATACCAATCCATAGACCTGGAAGGTAGAATATTAACCATCAAAGCACATTTGGACAAGAGATATACTTCACGTACCTCTTGAGTAACAAGTCTGCGTCCTCATCGCCATGCATCCGTGTGATATGTTGCTTAAAATTATCCAAGCGCGGCCATGTCTTGTCCCGACGAAAACATTGCTTTCCAAAACACATGTACACCATCTTGGGGCCCCGCTCAGGCTTCTTATTGTGAACGCATTTCTTATGGCGGGCGAGGTCATTGATGGTGCCAAACCCTTCTGTACGGGTACAGTTAGACTCATCACACTTGAAGAGCTTGCGGTGCCGAGCATCGTGTTTTCTGCGGCGAGTTTAGCGTGAGAGCTAAGACAGCAGAAGAGATCGCACCTTTTGTCCGCTGGACACTTGCCCACCCACGAGCAATACGGATGACCACATTTGAAGGGGCCATCATGTGAACGCACATTGCTCAAATCCGAAGCGATGCCGTAGTTAGCAGTGTGTTGGGACAAAGACTGATTGATAAAGGTAGTTTGGTCTTTAGCGTCGATCTGCGGACTTGAGATCTCATCCACGCCGTATGAAGACTTCACAACCGGCTGTGTGCCACAGCTAGCAGTGTCATACCCCGAGTCTGTCGAGTGAAAGCTGCCTATATACTGACTACCGCACTCCGATGCTGTGTGATAGTTGTATTGGGAGAAGCCGTCTCCGACGGCAACATTCATAGATAACAGGGAAGAAGAAGGATTACCTGGCACACCGGTGACCTGCAGTGGGTTCCAGGCATCTTGGTCACTGGCCAGTCGGGATGCAGTGAACGATGAGAAGGATAGAGCGTGGGGTTCGATCGATGATGACCAAAGGAATGGGGATGGTTGGGCAGCGGACAGGTCAGCGCCCAAGTGGAGGTCCAGCAGCGAGTCCCCAAAGGCAAGGCTGGGTTGCTTCGAAGGATCATCTAAATCCGAGTGCGAGAGATTCAGGGCATCATGGCCGACCATGAGGCCCTGGAGGATGTCGGGGTCGTGGTGCTGCTTGGTGGGGTCCTATTCCGTATTGGTTAGTTAGGGCTTCGGGAGAGCAACATATGGCAAACCACTCCTACCTCCATCGTGTATATTGTGTAAGATAGGGAGGGGAGTGGTTGGCTTGGTATTAAATCAAAGCGCTCTCCCCATGTGGACACGGGCCTTCTCTCCACGCATGCGAGACTGCACGCGAGCGACGAACACGCAAGTTGACTTCACCACGCGATGCCGATCAAGGGTTGGAATGAAAGAGAAGTTCATGCGAGATATGCATGCCTCATCCCTTGACGTGGCACATCCCTGCTCAGGTGCACAGCCCCCGCGACACTTTACCCGAGCAAGTAGTGCCCTACGGATTATTGAAGACCAGACCTATTAGTTGGACCAATAGGAAAAAATGATAACAAATACCGAATACCGAAAAGCATATATACGCAAACTCTTTCGCCTCCACGAGGCCTACGAACAAGGACGTAGAGTAGTGAGTGTGACAGCCTTTCAACCTAGGCAGCATGTCCCTGCAAGACGTATGCAAGGAGCCTAACTCAGCAAGCGAAGATCGTTCGCACCCGAGTAAAAAAACAAAAAACGAAAGGCAGTGACTACAAGCTCATACGCTACCAATCCCAGCCATTTAGTGACAATAGTGCCTGACTTGAACAATATATACAATTCATGGCATTTTGGCTTGTCTCTGCCTCCCTCGCAGTTGTCTCCCTTCAAAAAGTAAATACAAAAGCAAGAATCATCTATAACCCAGGACTATGCAAATGATACGCTACCTTCCACATGCAGTCGATTTCCAAAATATATGTACAAGGAATGAATCCATTCCATCTATTCCCGTTCACTGATCTCCGACAGCGGGAAGTAATGCGGCTCCTCGTCCTCTCCGGTCCACCGGCGCCAGTGCCACCAGGGCATGTTGTCTGTCCGTGGTGGGGAGGACTTTCGCTCGGCCATGCCATTCAAGGGCTCAGCAGCTTCGTCATGTAGATTGATGAAATGCTGCTGGCGCTTCCGGCAGTAGCGGATGCCATATATAGCGCCTGCCGTGATGGAGATCAGCACCAAGATCATGGCGCTTCCGGCAAGCAAACCAGCATGAAAGGTCGGATCTGTATCAAGGGTTAGCTCATGAAATTCGATCAGAAGAAAGAGAAATAACTTACGGCCTATAGACCAGTTCTCATAATGATCGTCCGTAGTGTGTTTCGGCATGTTCGACGGCTGCGACCAGATCTCTGGGTTATCGGGATCGACCCAGGGAACGGTGTTAACATTCGCCGGCGGAATAGTAGAAGTGGCGCCGTCTTCGCCAGGGAAGCCGAAGGAGGGCGCATCCAGACAGGTCTTCTTGCGACAGGACTCGCGTAGCTCCGGTGAGGGGACAAAAGTATACTTGCGATGTGAGGTACGGAGAACGTCACCATTGCGGTCTATCGCTTCCACCTTGGTCCAGGTGTAGAAGCTAGCATTGGTGTACTCGGTCTCAAACCCTGTCTTGTTCACCTCGTCCAGGAACGTATAGGGGCCTGTCATGTTTGCCGCGCCGTAAAATCGCCAGGTTTTGACGCGGGTGGCGCCGTTCCAGCTGACATAGAAGCTCGTTGGAGAGGAGGGCTCGGGGGACCTGGCATAAGACCACAGGGCAGGAGAGTCAGATGGGTCAGAGTCCCACTCAAACTTTTGGGCCCGGTAATTCATGATCGTATTGCTGAATGTATACCGGGCCCACATCACCAGTTCGCCATCCTCTGTGTGTTCCGATATAAAGGGATTGTTGCCCCATCCCATCACAACATTCTGATTCGGTAGGCGTTGTAAATTGCCCTGACTAGAGCTATGCATCTCCTTACCAGGAGGCCCGTAGTCACGGATCTGCGTGGCGGTGTTGTCTACATGGTCGATAAGAATAACCATACCACTAGAGAAAGCGTGCGTCTGGTTAAAGCCGTTGTCACCATTGTTGTACAGAGAAAGAACGGTGTGCGTCGCATTCTCGTATAGCCATCGCGCATCGTGCTGCTGCGAAAAGCTGAAGTTGATATTCTTAAATGATGGATCCGCGCCATGAAGCCGCCAAATTACGCTGCCATCCTTGCCGGAGATCTTGTAGATAGCGCAGGTGTGGCGCGAGGAAATCAAGTAGTCACCGTCGGCGTTCTTGTCAATAGAGTTGATATGGAAATAATCCCACGGCTCGGTGACCTTCAACCCAGTACCAGAAGTATCGGTATGCGCTGGGAACGTGTAGCTCATCGAAGGGTCGACGTGGTCGAGCGAGTGCCATTCAAACACTACTTCGCTAGTCTCCACATCGACTTCTTGGAACACGCTCTCCATTACCCAGCCCACGCCGGCCTTGATGTTCCAGGGTGTCATATCGAACTGGCGCTGCTGGTAGACGGTCATCAAGGCCGTCTTGCCGTCGTTGATGGGCCGGAACTCGTGCATGTCGCTCGAGGACATTCCGCCACCGGGTTGCACTGACCGCACGATGCGGTATCGATTATCCAGAATGACACCATGCCCGCGAGCGTAGCCCTTTTGCTGATTGCCCTGGAAGAAACACAAGTGATCTTCGCCTTTGTATTTGCACACATGCATTCCATGGGCAACGCCGCCTCCCGAATTACCCCAGCCGCACCATATGAGATGCTACTTTCTGTCAGTTTTCTTTCTCTTTTTTTTCTGGCCTGTTTGTCGCGGGGATATGTGAGGCAGACGTACTCCTTCATTATCAAATATGTACGGGCCCGGGCTCTTCGCCTCCCAGTACGGCGTGATGAAATAGTATCCAGGACTCAGCTTTTTGGCGTTGCTGCGTTCGATTTTCAGGTTGAGAGGATAGAGATCGGGTCTCTGCGTGAGGATTAGTGATGGTCAAAAAAAAGACCATACAATCGTGCAGGCGATAGACTATGTACTCACCGACTTGTAAAAGGCGGTCTCCTCAGCATGGGTGCCCGAGATCGCGCAGAGCCAGAGCAGCAGGCCCAGTAGGGCGAGCGCAGGAGCAAACGGCCTCCCGGAGGGAAAGACTAACACGACCATGGATCCTCTTTTTCACCTCTCACACGTTGTCGCGGAGAGAATGTGATGATATGTGCAGGACGGGGTGGATGGGAGGAAGGGAAGCCGCCAGTACGAGAAGCGAGTACGAAAGTGTTGGACACCCCCCAATTATTCCTGGCGAGTAATAATCACTGGACAGGATCGTCGACGATCTTCTCGTCATGGCTGGCCCTGATGAATCGCAATCGTTATGTAGTCGTAGGTACGAGTAGGATCTTCGCTAATACGCTAATCTGCTGGGGCCAAGCGGACAGAGGACAGATTGCGACGTACGAGGCTGACTATGATGATGATCTTAGTTATCCAGGACGTAGCTGATTATCATGGTTATATTTAGGACGCGACGCATTTAAAACGCAAGGCTCCCGAGGCTGGCTTCCATGGCGCTTACCGCTTTTCTCTTGTGGTCTAATTACATGATATGGCTCTCCTTTTTTGATAGTTAGTTTAGTTATTACCCGCTAACTTACTGCTAGCTTTTTCTCCTCCAGTTGATTAGTTAGATAGCATCATCATTTCTTTCTTTCAAAATCCGCCGTTCCTCCGTCATACAGGGATTCCTTTGTGCGCAGCCTCGTTGCCTCGTCACTTCAAGGCAAGTAAAAAGGCGCTAGACCTCATTGAATACGAGGTCGGGGTATGTCTTACTACTAATGCGAGGCCCGACTCCTTCCCGTCACGCTAAGGCTGAACTGAAGCTTGAAGTTACATGGCGCCAATTAAATACTTAGGCCTCCCATGACTTGTAGTTGGTGGCGGACTGAGTCAAGATGTGACCTGAACCCTGGACCCAGTTTCCAACTTTCCCGGTCCTAAAGTCAGTGGTCCCGTCTAAGCGAACTTGTCTCAGCACTATAACTCTGGAGGTTCATTTATTATTAGACAGTGTGAGGGTGCCTTGGAGGGCTCGTGGGTTCTGCGCCACGGTTGTGGGGTTCTTCATCGACAATAAACCCTGACAACCACTTGAGCAATGATTTAAAGTCATCCTCCCTAGGAATAATATTCCAGACGGCCAGAATTAACTTCTCCATACATATTGCCATGTTCAACCCCAAATTTCCCATGACGTCAACTCGGTCATCCAGGTACCTCAGAAGGACATGGCTTTCCATCTTAATCACATTAGCTCTCCTCTTTCTCTTCGTTCGACTTGACTTCTCTTATGCACCACAGCCAAGGGCGGTGGCACAACCACCTAAGCAAATCCCTATCTATATTCCCCCATTCAAGCGGAAAGATGAGGTCGGTCTCGTCGTCTCGAAAGCGGGTGATGAAGATATCAATTGGGTCCTAGATTTTTGTGAAAGATTGTACGTATGATCAAAGGTCGATCAAATATGCAGTTGCTAACTTCAATGCCATCTATTAGCAAATGCACCCCATACATTTACTCACTAGCGGATGTGCCCGAAGAGGGCTACCTTGTTCCGTATACGAACATGGGCCACGAAGCCAGCGCCTATCTCAGCTATCTTGTGGATCATTATGACAGTCTTCACCCATACACCATCTTCATCCATGGCAAGGAGGAACACTGGCACAATGACGTTGCTGGGCCAAAAACCTTGAATCAGATCCCAAATCTACGCTTCGAAGCGATCGACGCCAAGGGATTTGTGAATCTGCGTTGCTTGTCCATTCCGGGGTGTCCGAACAGCTTGTATCCATCGATTATTCAACAAACCGACATTGACTACCAATACCTCACCGACAATTTCCCAGAAATTTATTCTGAGCTTTTCGGAGTTGACCCAAGTACAGCGCCCTCTCAGCTTGGGCATAAATGCTGTGGCCAATTCGCGGTAACCAGAGAGAGAATTCAAGAGAGGCCATGGAAAGATTACAATCAAATTCTCCAATGGGTTGTCAAGGCTGAGTGGTCAGACAGTTATGGGATTGGATGGTTAATGGAGAAACTGTGGCATGTTATTTTTGGGATGCCTCCAATCGAGTTTGTCATTTCCTCTTCTATAGTGAAACTCATTAAGCTAATGCCTTTGGCCACGTTTTAGCTGTGCTCCAGTTAATCAATGTCGCTGCGATCTTTATGGTTGGTGTGGCCCAAGCCCAGAAACCAATGGTGAGGTCTTGAAACCAATAGGTGTTTGACCAAATCAGACAAATACCAAAATACTTTGGAATATGGATTGCCACCTTTTGCAACTGCCCCTTGAGGGATCCAATGATACCCCAACGAAACTGGGTATCTCAGGGCTTTTTGCTGGAATGTGCTTATCCAATTCTTTGTGCTTCTGTACCATCTGCAATGTGGCTGTAGCGGGCGTTGGACTGTTTTTACGCATCTGTTAGCGATATTTCGATAGAGAAGTTATGGAATGAATCCCTTCTAGAGTTTTTCCTTGATCAAGCGCTCTTATGCCTTTCGTTGGGATATGGTCTGACGATGTTGGATACGTAGAAAATATATATCTTGGTCCCTAAACATAGCTTCGTTATAGTCTTTTTGGTCTAGCGGAAAAGCCAGATGGCCTAGCCATGGCCATAATATGGCGCCACTACGCGACTGTCTGCACTGTACAGATAGCCTATCCCAACTATGACGCAGAACTATAGTAGACGCCCGCACCGTTTGGGCATAACTAATGGTGGGCCTGTTGGCCCGTGCTGTCTCGGAGCAACCCGAAAGCCTAACTCGGCATGCCCCGAGTGTGGATCTCGTTATTTGAAGGACTTGTCGGAGAGAGACATGAACAATACTTCCTCGTCGAAAAGCCGCTGTTATTATTATCATTCTGCTCGGTCTCTGGTCCTATAAAGTCTCGTATCCATCTGAACTAAAAATGGGCGTGTCTCGCGACCAGCATACGAGGGGGGCCACCCATGCCACGGTCCCGAACGAGAAGAATATGCATATCCTAGTAAGTTGACAGGGGTCCTTCGGATAGTAATGATCGAAGCTAACTCTATCTCCATGCAGATTGGAATGCGAGATGGCGTTACAGGGGAATTTAAGCTGGTCCCTAAAGCTGAGGCGGTCGTCTCTGTCTTTGACTCGAATTTCTTGATAGGCGATGGTATCTGGGTAAGACATGGAGCTCGGAGTGGGCGTGGCGGCTTGCTAACAAAGAGATCAAAGGAGGGAATCCGCGCGAAGAACGGTCGGGTTCAATTTGCAAAGGACCATATCGATCGGCTGTTTCAGTCTGCCAGAGCGATGCTCATGGACCTTGGCCTTTCGAAAGGGCAGCTCCTAGGTCTGATCCACCAGACTCTAGACGCAAACGGCATGTCCGACGAGCCACACGTTCATATTCGGCTTGTGGTCAGCCGGGGATTGAAATCAACCCCATATCAGAATCCGTCCGTAAATATTGGCCTTCCGCTCATTGTGCTTATTCCTGAGATCAAGCCCACCGATCCGACTGTCAAAGAACGAGGACTGAGATTGATTACCTCGCATATCCGGCGTGGTCCTCCAGACGTCAAGGACGAGATGTGGAACCACATATCGAAAGCAACCGACGTCCAGGCATGCATCGGGGCTAATGTCACCGGTGCGGACGAAGCGTTGATGCTGGACCTCAACGGCTTTGTCAAGACATGCAATTCGACGAATTTTTTCATCGTCCGTGGCGGCGAGGTGTGGGCTCCCACCAAGAATAACCAGATGCAAGGAATTACGCGCCAGAAATCGATCGATGTCTGTCGTGCGAACGGGATCCCGGTGCGAGAACTGGACTTTACTTTGACGGAGGTTTACGGTGCCGACGAGGCGTTCTGCACCGGGACATTTCCCTCGCAGATCCATGTTACCGAGGTGGATGGGCGGCAAATCGGCGATGGCGTTCGGGGCGTCATAACGGAACGGATTCAGCAGTTATATATGGATCTGGCACGCCGAGACACTGAGCGGACTCGGGCAGAGATCCTGGATGAAGTGGCTCCCCGAAAATGCAAGCTATAGAGACAAATTAGGGAATAATAATCGTGGTCTCACTACTACGATGAAGTGATATAACTATAGTTCGTATTCACTCGGATCATGTCAGCCTGATTGAAGCCACGTGACGTGATAGCGCAGCCAATATACGTACGTATTCCTCTTCCCCAGTATTTAGTCGCTCGCTCGCTCACTCACTCACGCGCCTTTTTCTTGTTTCCTTCTCCCTTTCCCCCGCCGGTCGCCTATTCTCAAGTCATGAAGCTGCCTGCCGTTGCCTTTCTTCTTCTCTCCTCTCTCGCCACATATACACACGCCGCCTCCGACTCCTCCCGTCTAAACGAGAACACCCCATGCGTTGCGCGCTCGCCCACCAGCGGCTTATACTTCGACCTGAGAGCAATTAGTCTATTTCCACCTGAGCTGAAGAATGGTAGAAGGATTGACCAGGATGCGCGCAACGAGAGCTGGTACTGCAAGGGCCACGATTATCCGGCCAATTTCTCGCTCAACGTCTGCGAGCCGGTCATTGAGAAGCTGACGGATGTGGTTGGTGTGGATTCTTCTCGTTGGAAGAATATTAGCGCTTATTACGAGCAAGATGGCCAAATATATTCATTGGGGTATGGTGGTCTCCCTGCCGGGGACGGTCGATGAAGGATGATGCTGACAGTGATGACAGAGAATCAGCCTCAGACCCCTTTTTTCGCGGCCGCAAGCTCGTCCTGAACTATACGAATGGTTCTCCGTGTCCCAGTGACTACGATGGGACTAGCTCGAATTCTTCATTGCGAAGAAAATCAGCCATCATGTCTTTCCTCTGCGACCGCGACGCGGCGCTCAGCCAGGCCACTCCGTCCTTCGTCGGCACAATGGACTCATGCTCCTACTTCTTCGAGATTCGGAGTTCTGCGGCGTGTGGTGGCATCGCCTTAAATCCTAGCACAGGGGGGCTGGGCCCCGCTGGCGTCTTTGGCGTGATGTGAGCAATCCTTTGAACGGAACGCTGATGACCGCGACTAATTCATTGTACTCTCTAGCATTTTGATCGCAGTGGCGGTATACTTGATTGGAGGCTGCGCATATCAGCGAACAGTCATGCACCAGCGCGGCTGGCGCCAGTGTCCGAATTTCAGCCTATGGGCGGGCATTCTCGATTTCGTGAAGGTATGTCCCCTAGCGTTGGTGCCATTTCGATCATCGCGCCCAAGACCCAGATACTGGAATATTTCATCACATAAATATCGGGATTCGAATCTGCCGAGCCTCCCTACTTCGAGGATTGATTAAGTGTACTCCAGCTGGTCTGGAGCACAATCACATCCACGTTTCCCCCTTATCCCATTTGTTATCCCATTATTTGTTTTTTCTGCACTTTTGCATGATTTCCCGTGTTGACCGCGGCATGTACATTTGCCATGACTCCGGAGCAAGGCGCAATACTAAACGGACTGTCTACGTCTCCATGTGTCAATGGAACTCACCCATCTGCTGCATGAGGTCTCTGAATCATTGGACAGTTTACGTAAATAGTCAAGTCACTGCTCCAGCTAGTCTATGCAACCTTGTGCTCAATCGTCTTTTATCTTTTTTTCTGGGCATTCTGGGCATTCTGGGCATGTCATCAAGAGAATATTCGGCTAATTAGCCTATCCCTACAGGACATCGTCGTCATCACCTTTTCCTCTCTTGCAAACCTGCTCCATATCACACGATCTCCCTCCAGTAGTGGCTATGTCCGCGCCGACACGGGCACCCGGGGCGGCTTCATTGGGGCAATCGGGGGCCGCCGAGGCCCGGGCCGTCGCTCTGAAGTAGATGCTGAGAATCGGCTAATAGACCAGCTGGATGAAGAATGGGATGATTAGCAATATTCTTATGGCCAGTTTCTGTTCGTTGTGTTGTGGATTAGTCTTTGGTGTCTCTATCGCTTCCACTCGGGATGGGTCATACCTACTGTATATTGAACGACTCCCTATGTGTGCTTTTGAAAAATAAGAACCGTATATAATTTATAGATGCACAAGAGGAACTAGTCTGACAAGCTACACACCAACACAGAGAAAGCCATGTTTATGTTACATGAGAAATACTTGAGTGATCTGGGCAAAATGTACAATAGAATGAACAATGACGAACAAGATCGAGGGAGATCTGGCTCACATTACATGCATAAATCTCCATAGAATCCGTGAATATTTTATTGTGCTAGAATTCCCTTCCGTTGATCCTTCTGTTGCGGTACTATTAATAGGGGTAGTATAGATCTTATCAAAGGCGGTGATGAGTGGACACCTCAGGCATGCATGACCTAATGTAACAGGCACCAAGTCATCTGACCGCATCGACGTAATCTCTCCAAACAAGGCAAACAACCACATCTCCCTCGTGCCATCGCTCGCTTTGTCACTTCATGCTGATCTATCATTATCGCTTATTGTGTTTCTGAGCATATCGGCTCTCCTTGGATCGTTCGTCCGTGCGACTACCACCAGCTCGAGGTGCGCTGGCCTGGTCTGCGACCATCTCCACTCAGGCGCACCTCTCGATCACCGTGAATGATCGGGAAGATACCCACCACGTAGCTATTTGGCCGTCTTTCTGATACCATGCGGCAGTCTAGGTTGATAGCGGCCACTATCAGCCTGGGTTTTCTCGCCCTCCAAGCTCCCTTCGCCACCGCGCAAGGCGAAACGAGCCTACACGAAAAGGGCCGCTGTGCCATCCGCGGTCACTGTGGGAAGCAGTCGATCTTCGGTGGCGAGCTGCCATGTCCCGATAATGAACTGGCGCATCAACCAGAGCAGGCTGCGAGGAAGAAGCTTGTTGATCTGTGTGGTAGCAAATGGGAGCAGGGGCCGGTCTGCTGTCGCGAGGAGCAGGTGAGTGCTTCTAACTTTTCCCTGACCTGAAATGCTGATCTTATGTTATGGGTAGATCGACGCGCTCTCCAGTAATCTGAAGTTGGCCGAGGGTATTATCGCATCCTGTCCTGCCTGCCGAGACAACTTCTTCAACATCTTCTGTACCTTCACTTGCTCCCCTGACCAGTCGCTCTTTGTGAACGTCACAAAAACCGATGAAGGCAGCTCCGGAAAGACACTGGTGACGGAATTGGATAATATCTGGACTGAAGAGTACCAGAGTGGCTTTTTTGACAGCTGTAAAAACGTCAAGAATGGCGCCTCTGGTGGCAAAGCAATCGACTTTATCGGCGGCGGTGCGAAAACTTACTCTCAATTCATGAAGTTTTTGGGCGACAAAAAGCTACTCGGAAGCCCATTTCAGATCAACTACCGCACACAACCCAGCGGACAGGGCATGAAGGCTCTGACCATTAAACCAAAAGCCTGCAACGACCCCGACAAATCGTTCCGCTGCTCTTGTGTCGATTGTCCCGAAGTATGCCCTGAACTGCCAGCAGTGTCGACGCACAAAGCTTGTCAAGTCGGGCTCCTGCCATGTCTGTCGTTCGCAGTGATTCTCATCTATTCGGTGTTCCTGCTTTTCGTCATGGCGCTCGCTAGCTACGTCACATTCAAAGAACGTCGGTTCCGCAAACCCGAACGAGTCCGCCTGCTTCAAGACCCGGCACCAAGCGATGATGACGACGAGGCAGAAGTCGTGCGTCGTGGAGGCTATATAGAGCAACCGCAAGGGATCTACAAACCCAATTCTTGGCTGTCAGCGTTGTTCTATCGCATCGGCGGTACTTGCGCCCGGTTCCCAGGGATCACAATTGTCTCCAGTGTGATTGTGGTGGCTCTACTGAGTTTGGGCTGGCTACGATTCACCGTCGAGACGGATCCGGTGCGTCTCTGGGTAAGCCCTTCGTCTGCGGCAGCCCAAGAGAAGGCCTTCTTTGATGAGAGCTTTGGTCCATTCTTCCGGGCCGAGCAAGCGTTTTTGGTGAATGATACCTCGGGGCCTGGTCCGTCTCCTGTTTTAGATTATGAGACTCTCAGCTGGTGGTTTGACGTGGAATCCCGAGTGCGCCGCATGATATCGTTAGATCAGGGGCTGAACCTGGATGACGTGTGCTATAAGCCAACGGGCGATGCTTGTGTGGTGCAGTCTTTGACCGCATACTTTGGTGGTTCTGTGTCCAACCTCGATCCTGATACATGGAAGGACCGGCTGAGGCACTGTGCGGAGTCCCCGGGAGACCCAAGTTGCCTCCCTGACTTCCAGCAGCCTCTAAAGCCCGAAATGGTTTTGGGTGGCTATGAGCGAACAGGGGATATTCTGGATGCCCAAGCCCTTGTTGTGACTTGGGTGGTGCGCAATTACGCCCAGGGAACCGAAGGAGAGGCCCGAGCCATGGACTGGGAGAACAGTTTTCGCCGGATCTTTGATGTTGTTCAAGAAGAGGCCGTCGAGCGTGGCCTGCGTGTGTCCTTCAACGCCGAGGTCAGCCTGGAGCAAGAACTGAACAAGTCGACCAACACGGATGCGAAAATTGTGGTGATCAGCTATGCGATAATGTTTCTCTATGCCTCCTTAGCCTTGGGGTCAGTCACAGTGACCTGGAAGTCTTTTTTGACCAATCCAGCCAATGCTTTGGTCCAGTCCAAATTCACTCTGGGCATTGTTGGCATTTTGATCGTCTTGATGTCTGTGTCCGCCTCGGTGGGCTTGTTCTCCGCAGCGGGCGTCAAGGTGACTCTGATCATCGCTGAGGTTATTCCGTTCTTGGTTCTCGCTGTCGGCGTGGACAACATCTTCTTAATTGTTCATGAATTCGAACGTGTTAACCTCAGCCACCCTGATGAAGAAATTGACGAAAGAGTGGCTCTTGCCATCGGGCGAATTGGGCCCAGTGTCTTCCTCTCTGCGCTGACTGAAACTGTGGCATTCGCTTTGGGCGCCTTTGTAGGCATGCCTGCTGTCAAGAACTTTGCTGCTTATGCGGCAGGGGCCGTTTTTATCAATGCCATTCTGCAAGTCACCATGTTTATCTCCGTTCTCGCTCTCAATCAGAAGCGTGTGCAAAGCCTTCGCGCAGACTGTTTCCCGTGCCTGACCGTCCGAAAGGCAAACTCATTTGGCTTCCCGGACGAGCAAGTGTACGAGGATCAGGAGGCTGAGAGTTCCTTGCAGGATTTCATCCAACGCGTCTATGCGCCATTCTTGTTGGATCCCCGGGTGAAGGCCACCGTTGTGATTGTCTTCCTCGGTCTTCTAACTGCCGGTCTGGCGTTGATCCCTGGAGTCGCCTTGGGATTAGATCAGCGAATCGCCTTGCCCAGTGATTCTTACTTGATTTCCTATTTCAACGACCTGGACGCCTACTTTGATTCTGGGCCTCCTGTCTATTTTGTTACCCGGAATGTGAACGTGACCCAACGGCGTCATCAGCAACAACTTTGTGGCCGTTTCACCACCTGTGAAGAGTATTCCTTGCCCTTCGTTCTGGAGCAGGAATCCAAGCGTCCGAACGTGTCATATCTCGCCGGGTCTGCTGCTAGCTGGATTGATGATTTTTTCTATTGGCTGAATCCTCAACAGGATTGCTGTAAAGTCAATGGCAAGCTGTGCTTTGAGGATCGGCCTTCCCCATGGAATATATCCCTTTACGGGATGCCGGAAGGGTCCGAGTTCATCCAGTACGCGGAGAAATGGATTGATGCCCCTACGGACGCATCTTGCCCTCTTGGTGGCAAGGCTCCATACAGCAACGCTGTTGTCATTGACGAACAACACCGCACTATCAATGCCAGTCATTTCCGGACCAGCCACACCCCATTGCACACCCAGGATGATTTCATTCAGGCGTATCTTGCCGCTCGCCGGATCGCAGACGGTATCTCCACTGCACATGGCATCGATGTTTTCCCGTACTCCAAATTCTACATCTTCTTCGACCAATATGTCTCCATCGTCCGACTGACGGGTACGCTGCTGGGATCCGCGGTTGCCATCATCTTCGTCCTGACATCTGCCCTTCTGGGCTCGGTTGCTACCGGGGCGGTCATTACCGCTACTGTCGTGATGATTGTGGTTGATATTATTGGCACCATGGCCGTTGCTGGCGTCTCGCTCAATGCCGTCTCCTTGGTCAATCTGGTGATCTGCGTAGGTATCGGCGTGGAATTCTGTGCGCACATCGCCCGAGCCTTCATGTTCCCTTCGCGGGCGATCATGGAAAAAGCGCCCACCAAGTTCCGTGGCAAGGACGCTCGTGCGTGGACGGCGATGGTTAATGTTGGCGGGAGCGTGTTTAGCGGCATTACGGTGACAAAGCTGCTGGGCGTCTGTGTACTGGCCTTTACCCGCAGCAAAATTTTCGAGATCTACTACTTCCGGGTTTGGCTGGCGCTGGTCGTGTTTGCTGCCACCCATGCTCTGATCTTCTTACCGGTGGCTCTCAGCTATTTCGGGGGCGGAGGTACGTCGTTTTTTCCCTTCTTCTGTGCATTGCTTCTTTACTAACGCGCCTAGGCTACTCTGATCCTGCATCCGATGGTGGTTTGGAGGCCAATCTCGCTGCGCGTGGGTATCGTTCCTTGCTGGTCGACGATGATTATGATTCGGATGACTATTAGGCATTTCTGCCATCTCCGCTGCCTGTTTTGGGCACTGGCTGAGCTTGTCTTTCACCCCCCGACGCGAACACGACTGGATTGGAGTTATCGGGGTAATCGGCCACATTGGGCCTTGGGTTGTACCAACTACGACATAGGATTTTGATGCTATTCTTTTCTCTTGGTTTTCATCTACAAGTATCTGTAATACCACTTGTGCCCGCGGTCGGATGTTAATTCCGACTGTGGGTTCTCCCCAATAGGCATAGCGTGGGGGTCTTCCTGGTTTCGGTACAGTAATTGTGAGTTGACATCATCCAACACTAAGCACCAAGAAGTTGTGCCTAGGTATAGACAGACCCCCACTCGGCTATTGACTCCCCCACGACCTTGCTTTTCCTTTCGGTGTTTGATGATTCTTATAATTCTTATTGTACAGACTCGCTCGCTGTTCTCGCGCAACTCCTCGTCCCTGTGTTGCCTGCTCGCTTTCCGATTGACTCTCAGACCGCCAGACAGAGCCCTCTCAAACTACTGCTGTTTCTGTGTATCACCAGCGCGTCATACACGGCCATCCCACGCTCTTTATTCCCCGGTACCCCTGTAAAAGAGACCGCTCCCTGTCGATTTCGCAAAATCCATCCCTTCATCCTCCAGCATGCTCGTGGGCGACCGGCCTCAGCCCCGGTTTACGCCTGCCATTGTAGATCCGCCAATCACGCACGTCATGCCCGCCCTTAACGCCGGGTCATCCACGGCCCCGTCGGCAACGGGCTGCGCGGAGAAATCGACCAAGCCGATGCTCCAACACATTTGGATCGTGACCGGGCCCGCCGGGTGTGGGAAAAGCACCGTGGGAGAGGGATTACGGCAGGAATTGGGGGTTCCCTTCCTCGAGGGCGACGATGTACCATCCCCTCCTTCCCCGTCCCGTGGACTTTAAACCGGAAGACAAGGGCTAACGGGACTGACTTGACAGTATCACCCACAACTCAACAAAGAAAAAATGGGGCGTGGCACTCCCCTCACCGACGAAGACCGCTGGGACTGGCTCATCGCCCTGCGCAAAGCCGCCATCGACGTCCTCGCCCCGTCTCCCGAACGGAACAACCCTGCCGGAGTGGTCGTGGCATGCTCAGCGCTCAAGCAGAAATATCGCGACGTCATGCGCGTCGCCGCATATGGTTCGCCCTCCGTCCAGATTCATTTCATCTATCTCCAGCTCGACGAGGACGTACTGATGGCGCGGGTGCGCGCGCGCCAGCAACACTATATGAAGAGTGGCATGGTTCGCTCACAGCTCGCGACTCTCGAGGAGCCCAAGGATGAATGGGATGCGATTACCATCAATGTGCAGGGACCCCCGGAGGAGGTGCAGAAGCGTGTTCATGATGCGGTGACCGCGAAGCTGGCGGAGTATGTGTGACCTTTTTGGGCGGGGGTTGTGTGTTTTCGTTGGATATGCATCTGGAGCCTGGTGTTGTTTCTTTTTGTCGCATGTTGTATAACTTGTGAGGGACGGTTTTTGGCAAAGGACGGTTCCTGGAGATTTCTCATGTCTAGTCTATTCTCGATCAGGTGTTTTCGTTACTTGCCCGGTCCTTTCTGGTGTCTGTAGCGAGCAGATCACAATACCCCAATACTTCGGGGTGAAATGCCAGAGCATTTTTCTTTTTCTACACATGGAGGATGTGAGATGTAGTGCCCGCAACAGCGAGGTCATTGGATTGAGTCTATCTATACGGCCGCCTTTTCTATGCGATCTACCGCAGATTCAGCAGCATGAGTTCGGGCACCTCAATCAGCTCACGCACTCGGTTGCCCATCCTTGCCATCGTCGCACCATCCACAACCCGGTGATCCGCGCTCCAGCTGAAATTCACCTGCTCACTGGCAACAACCTGGCCCGTCGGGTCAAACACTGGAAGGGTACGTGCGCGGCCCACACCCAGAATAGCCACCTCCGTCGGCACAATGACCGGGGCCACGTACGTGCCGCCGATGTTACCAATATTCGAGACGGTGATGGTGCCGCCACTCAGATCAGCGGGGGTCAGTTTCCCACTCTTGCCGAGTGCGCTGAGCCGCGAGATCTCGGCGGCAATGTCGGCTATGGATCGACCCGCGACATCTTTGATGTTCGGGACGATCAGGCCCTGTGGTGTATCCATTGCAATTCCGATATTGTGCTTCGCGCGCATGACAAGCTTGGGTTTCTCGGGGACGCTCGAGTCTATCCGGGCGTTAAGAAGGGGATACTCGTTCAGAGCCAAGGATACGGCTTTCACGACGAAGGACAGGAAGGTGATCTTCTTGGGGTCACGGGCGTCGTTGGCGAGCTTTTTGCGGATGGCAGAGATCTCATCGACGCGCAGCTCGTCTGCGTACAGAAAGTGTGGCGTGTTCACCGACCGGGTCATGGTCTTGAACATCTGGGATTGGATCGGGGTCAAATTGACCACGGACTCCGTTTGTCGCGTGTCTGGGGCTGGGACCGGCTGCACCACCGTTGGCGGTGCTGCAGCTGCAGGAGAATCCTTTGCGGCCACGAAGTTCAGGACGTCTTCTTTCAGTACGCGGCCGTCTTTGCCTGTGCCGGATATATCGAGGATGTTGATGTCATGGCTCTTCAAGAGCCCGCGGACGGCGGGAGTCGCGAGAGATGCATGCTTCGACCGAGACGGTTCCTTTTCTATTATCAAAGTTTCGCGTTCTAGAGTTGCAGGCAGCGAAGACTCTGCGGCTTGTATCGCGGCCACTACATCTGCTGCGGGTGTCGACTCCGCCGTGTCTGCTCTGGGCTCGTGCGGCGGATTATCATCGGCATACTTGGAATCGTCGACTTCGATATCACAAAGTGCCTGGCCACACTGTCAGCAGGGGGTCCACCGATCATAGTGCTATGTCAAACTGTACCTTCCCGGTGGGGACAGTATCATCGGTCTCAAAATGAAGTTTCTTGATCACGCCTTCGTACCTAGATGTAATCTGCGCCCCATTAGCAAACGGTATAGGTATCCCTCACAAGATACTCACATCGTCCACGGCCTTGTCTGATTGATACTGGCATAGAGGTTTCCATTCCTCGATGTGCGCCCCTTCCTCGACATACCACTGGATGATTTGGACCTCGGTGATACCTGGGACGACACTCATTAGCATCGGCAATTCATTGAGACAGAACCAACTCACCTTCCCCAACATCTTTCAAGATCTGAGATCTGATCCCCCACAGCGGGGCACCGGCGTGGAAGTGCCGACACGGGAGGAAGGGGGGCGAGCGCCGAGGGATCCGGGGCCTGCTGGAAGACAGGACATGGGCAATGGCACCTCGACTGCGCAAGAGGCTCATGGTCAAACAGCTGAGGACATTAACAAAGGAGAAACAGCAGGGCCGCAGGCATTTATTCTGGGGAGAACGACAACCGCTTCTAGCCGAGGGCCGGTTGACCGCGGACAGTATTGATGCCTGAATTTGGGGGCAACAAGATCATGCATGCCTATTACTTATACTAGAGAAATATTTCTGTAGGTATATAAATCTATTCCTTACATCCGGGAGGCTATTCTGTGGTCTCGACCAAAGAATCAAATTTTATTTGAATACTTTCTGCTTCTGCCGCGAATTCCAATTCAGCGTTTTGGAGATGCTATGCACCCAATCATCGCCCCGCCGACCGGGCGGTAACACGTTAGCGAAGGGATAGCGGGAGGCCGACACGGTTACGTAGTCGCCGGGGTGTAATTCGACCCTGAGAGTCCCAAGTTAACCTCAATCTCAATCTACTCCAGGGATAGTGGGGGGGGATGCTCACTTCTCACGACCATCGAAACTAGCCCATGAACTAGTCCGAGCATCGTAGGGCACACCCATGCGCAGGACGATGGTGTCTGGTAGGATAATCGGCCGAAAGGACAGTGTATGCGCGCAGATGGCCGTAACGAGGATGACCGGGTTCTCCGGGTGAGAGAGCGAACCCCCGGCAGCAAGATTGTAAGCGGTTGATCCCGTCGGTGTAGCAATGCAGATTCCATCTGCGAGGAGAGTCGTGAAGTGTTCGTCGTCGCCAAACAATTCAATTTGCGACATGGCTTAGGCAGAAGAGCGGTTAGTAGTCGTCCGAGAAGGCTTGGGGAGAGAGACATACTGGGGTTAGGTCCACGATCTAGGACCACATCGTTCAATATCTCATAGACTCGATCGGGGGTATGCGTCAAGGTATCCTCGCCTTCTTCTCCAATCAATTCCTCTACGAGATCCCGACTGGTCAATTCCCTCGAGTGCGGGTCTTTCAACCGCGCTTTGCTTCTCATGATGGTGCATTCGAAGCGTAAACGCAGACTGACCACTACCCCATCGCGGAAGGCAGTCTCGATTGTCCGCTGGTAGTCTGCAAAGTCAAAGTTCGTGAGGAACCCCAATGATCCCAGCGCGAAGGAAAGCACGGGCGGCACGATTCGCTGGAAGAGCCAACTGGTATAGAGAACCGTCCCATCCCCTCCGAGGGTGATGACAAAATCAAAAAGATGCGGTTGGCTCTGGGCGAGTTGGGGATCCCAGTACTTGAGCCGGCCCTTGGCCGACGGCTCCTCCTGCAGGAGCTGTAGCTCCCCAAAATCCGGATGCGTTTGTAGCCGTTGCTCGACATAGACGATGTACGGCGTCTCGCGCTCGTGAGACAATAGCCACCGCGTCAGTTTCCTCGTCAGACTGACCAACGACTCGTCGTGCGCCTTGCACACGACAAAGACATTCTTGACGGTGAGCTTGAGCTTGATGCTGCCTAGCTTCTTCGATAGCGTGCGCACGTTCCAGGCCATGTCCGACAGCTGCCGTTTCGTTAGGTGTCTCGATTGGACGATACTCGGGGCCGGCTTCAGGGTCCGTGGGTCGCCGACGTCGGTCACTGAGACCCGCGCGCCCTCTTCGAGCGGCGGCTTGACCAGGGCGACGGGCTCGTCCTCATTCTGCGCCTCATGGACGACATTCTCGGTGTCTCTGAGGTTGTGTGGCGGCGTGGCCCATTCGCCCGCGATGAGAGAATGAACGTAACAGGCGGTTGTCTTATCATTCTCGTCGGTGTGGGTTCGCATCCTGGGCTTTTCCATCGTCACGAGGGATGATTTGCGGCGATGGTTGGAGTCGGGGTAGAAGACGACCTAAGGTGACATGGAACGTCAGTTGGATCCTGCCATTGAGTAAGGGATCGATACCTCCAGGTGGTTCTGAGTGTCGGAGTCGCTCAACCCTCCGTAGCTCTAGGATGCCGTGATCAGCTAGTTCCCGGGGGATGCGCGCTGGGGTTCGCCACATACATCGTCCACCGTGGGCAGGGAGGGTCCCTGCTCCTGACTTTCCATCGCGATCAGTGTTCAAATCTTACGCTGGGCGTGTTCCGGTCATGGTGGGGTGGGGAGGGACTGGGGAGGGAGTTGCAGGCGGCTAAGGAAGAAGTGTGGGTGGATATGACGTCATCATTGACTGGTGTGTACGCGACGACGCAGTGGTTATTGTGATTACGATCAGGCACGGGCAGAGAGAACCGGGATGAGGTGTAGTTCGGTCGGTCGGCCTAAATAGCGAGAGTGGGTTGGATCATTCAATGATAGCCTAGTGTTCAATTGCGATAACTACAGTCTGAGAATGGGCGTCATCGTCTACATGGCGTTCTTCATCTCCCGCAGAGCAGTCATCACGTCCACAGGCTGCGTCTTCCCTGTCGCTTTCTGGATCTCCGGGTCCTGTACAATCATGAGCATCGGGCGTAGACCGTCAGGATGAAGCGGGGACTTACGTGGACACGCATAAACACATTGTGAAGCTACGCGTCGGTTAGCCGGAACAAGATCCAACAGGGGAGCACTCACCTTCTCATCGCCGATCGTGAATTTCCCCTGGGTCTGCTGGTTTTTCTCTGCAAAGGCCTGGAGCTTCTGGATCGGCTCCGTTTGGGAGACGGTCATGCAGAACTTCACGTTCTGCTTGGTGTACTCGTGGCCGGGCTAGAAGGCGTGAGCACGGGCGGTCGATCAGACGCGGCGGCGAACAACTTACGTAGACCCGGGTATCGTCCGGCAGAGCAGCCAGAGTCTCATTCAATGCCTTGTGCATCTCTGCCGCATTGCCTTCGAAGAACCGGCCGCACCCTAGACCATCTTAGACGAGTATCCCCGGTGGGCACGAAGCAGACATACCCGCAATGAATAAAGTGTCTCCCGTGAAGACTACCCGTTGGGACCCGTCTTGCATGTAATAGCAGATACTGTCCTGCGTATGGCATGGAGTGTGGAGCGCCTTGACCGAGATGCGCTCTCCGATCTTGAATTCCTCGCCGTGCTGGGGGGTCTGGGTTACGGACTGGCACTCCTTGCCCCCAATGACGGGGATTTTGCCGAATTGTTTGAGCTATTCCCGCCGGTCAGTCCATTTCATGCGCCACCCGAGGGAGCAAGACCGACCATGTCATTGTTGCCCCCCGCATGATCCCAGTGGCTGGCTCCCGATGTGTTAGTGACTGGTCCCGCCTAGCTCCAGGTCCAGACATACTGGTGGGTATTCACAATTGACGTCAGCTGGATCTCGCCTTGATCGATCATGGACTTCAGCACCGGGACCACCCTGCATTGCGAGTTTGATTAGTCTTGTCGGCGGAGGCATCGAGCCGAAGATGGATCACTGACTCGGGCGGATTGGCCGGATCAATAATCACAGATTGCTTCGTCGGCTCATCTACGACCAGGTAGGCATAATTGTTGCCCTTCCCGGTCCCTACACGGCCAGGAACACAAATAGTCAACAACGGGCGCCCGCGTCCACGGCCGAGGTCCTACCTACACATAGGGATCGAGTGAATATGCATGGTTCTGACGTGTGGTTTGAACGAACGAGATGCAAGCGATGAGCGGACCACGCGTGCGATACTCATCACCGGAGTAAGAATCACCGTGCGGGGAGGGAAACGGATGGGATGGATGATTTGCAATCCAGAGCAACGTCATTCGGCGGAAGGTTATTCCAGATCCACTCACGCTCCGACTCTCGAGATTGGTGAATGCTTGATTCATTGGGCTCGGGCTTGACATCCTTCCTTGCCGGGCCGACTGATCCTCTTCTGTGATTCGTACAGGGACGACGACATGATGGTTACCGTTCTGTGCCTCTGTGTGGAAGAGCGAGATATGTTGGGCCGTTTGTGGTTGATGTACACCTAAAGATAAAGTGAGACCGCCCAGATGATGGGCAATTGGTCAACGGGCTTGTTCCGAAGTGGTCCTTGAGGGATGACCGGGCGTGTTCCGATCTATAGAGTGGTGAAGTGCAATCTGTAGACACCGCCAGACCCACAGTTCCCCCTCTCTTTTCTCCAAGAACGGAACTCGGAAGCGCGGAATTACCTCCGACGACACGCCCTTCCGTTGACGCTTAATTATTTGCCGGTTGGCCTTTCAGACACCTTCAGATACTGATTCTGCTCCCATCGAGTCGCCAGAGGCTTCTATCGCGACAATCCGTCCACCCGCTCTCGGATTAGCCCCTCAGGACTCCGATCCATTCCACCGCACGGGAAGAATGGACCGCCAACAGTTTCGGGATGCAGCCCACTCTGCCATCGATGACAGTGTGTTATGTCCCTGGATCCCAATTGATATCCGTATATTCTGACCCCCAACTCAGTCGTCAATTACTTCGACTCCGTCCCCGAGCGGCGGGTCGTGCCCGCCGTGGAACCGGGCTATCTTCGCCCTCTCATCCCCGAAAACCCTCCCACAGAGCCGGAAGAATGGGCACAGATCCAGAAAGATGTCGATGACAAAATCAAACCCGGATTAACACATTGGCAGTCCCCGAACTTCATGGCGTACTATCCGGCCAGCGTGACCTACCCCAGTATTTTAGGCGAGATGTACTCGGCCACATTTACGGCGCCGGCATTCAACTGGTTGTGCTCGCCGGCCTGTACGGAGATGGAGACCATTGTCATGGACTGGGTTGCCAAGGCTCTTGGATTGCCCGGGTGCTTCCTCAGCACATCCGAGAACAATGGAGGCGGAGTGATTCAGAACAGTGCAAGCGACGCTATCGCCACGATCATAGTCGCTGCGCGGGAAAGGCGCGTCCGGGAGATGGTCTTGGCGGAAGGCTTCAAGGAAGGCACCGCAGAATACGAGGAACGCAAGATGGATCTTCAGCCCCGACTCGTTGCAATTGCGAGTGATCAAACCCATAGCAGCGCAGCAAAGGGTGCACTGATCGCTGGAACGCGCTTCCGGAGTGTAACTGCGCGGTTGGAAGACGATATGGGCATGACGGGTTCGCGCCTACGGGAAGTCCTGGAGAAGTGCGACAAGGACGGCTTGACGCCTTATCACTTGACGATGACCTTTGGCACTACCAATACGTGCGGTTTGGATCGCTTCGCTGAGATCAAGGCTGTTCTCCAAGAGAAGCCGGCGTGGCAGCGGATCTGGGTGCACGTCGACGCTGCCTATGCGGGTGCCGCGCTTGTGGCCGATGAGTGGCAGTACATTGCGAAGGAATTTGCGGAGGGCGTGGACAGTTTCAATATGAACATGCACAAATGGCTGCTCGTCAACTTTGATGCAAGGTATGCAGAGTGATGTCTCATTATCGGCCGCCAGCTTATACTCCCCAGTGTTCTCTTTGTCCGGAATCGACTGGACCTGACCAATGCCCTCGACATTACTCCGACCTACCTGCGCAATCCCTACTCGGACATGGGGACTGTGATCGACTACCGTAACTGGTCGATCTCCCTCGGACGACGATTCCGCGCGCTGAAGATCTGGTTTGTCATTCGCAGTTACGGCCTGAATGGTCTGAAGGCCCATATCCGGAAGACCATCGGGTTTGGAAATATTTTTGCGGACCTGGTTCGCAGCCGGTCCGACCTGTTTGAGATTGTCACCAAACCCGCCTTCTGTCTGACCGTTTTCCGAGTCAAGAACCCTCATGCATCCGCAAATGGGGCGGACGGGTCGACGGACGGTGTTGCCGCATGCACCGCAGACGCGGTCGCCGACGGGCTCTCGAAGAAGGTATACGAGCTGATCAACTCAAGGGGGGAGATCTTCATCACCTCGACGGTCATTGCGGGAATATATGTCATTCGGGTCGTGAGCGCCAATCCGATGGCTGAGGAGTCATACGTCCGGAACGCATTTGATATCGTCGTTCGCACCACGGAGGAGGTGTTGCAGCAGAAATAGAGCCTGGCATAGGCCATGCTTATATGTAGTAGTTGGTTTTGATTACCTCCCGACCAGGCGCCCTCAGCTAGGCCGGCTCTCTCTGCATCACCAATCCCCACTCACGGTGTACCCGTTGTTCTCTTCACCTAGAATTATTATTATTATTAGATCAATTAGTCCGTCGTCAACTACAACATCATTTAGTTATTCTGCAAAATGTTATACAGTCCCGGTGGTGGATCTTGCACGGTCGGGATCTCTCATAGCACAATCACTTTGCCTCGGCCCGCCCAGGGCGGCGATAAGCGGCTTGTTGCGGCGACGCCAGACATACTGCTGAGAACTCTCTCTCTCTCCTTGTTCTTCCTCTACCCACTCTCTCATCTTCTCCTATAATCCCCCCTCTTCCTCTGTTTTTTCTTTCTTCCTTCCTCCTGGATCATCTCACATCTCCCCCATGATGCTCGCTCCGTCCACACGTCTTCCTGCCCGCCTCTCCAGGCAGGCCGTCCCCACACTCCAGCGCCAGTTTAGCTCCGCACGCCCGACGCTGAAGGAAATCCAAGATGCGTACATTCTGAGCGCATCGCGAACACCGACTGGCAAGGTAAGCAGATCTACAAGGCTCAGCCGGACCTGTACTGACCGCCCGTCTAGTTCAACGGTTCATTCGCCTCCGTCTCGGCACCCGAACTGGGTGCCGTCGCCATCAAGTCGGCCCTGGGTAAATCAAAGGTCCCGATCGACAAGATCACCGATGTATATATGGGAAATGTCTTGCAAGGCGCTGTGGGCCAGGCGCCGGCTCGTCAAGCCTCCATGTTCGCGGGGTTGCCTTCGACCGTTGAGTCCATGACCGTCAACAAGGTCTGTGCCTCGGGTTTGAAGGCGGTGGCGCTGGCTGCACAGAATATCCAGCTGGGATTGGCAGAGGCCCAGGTCGCGGGTGGCATGGAGAACATGACTCGCGTACCCTACTATATGCCCCGCTCTAGCCAGCTGCCTCCGTTTGGGGAGATTAAGCTAGAGGACGGCTTGATTAAGGACGGTCTCTGGGATGTTTACAACAAGTTTCACATGGGTATCTGCGCCGAACAGACGGCCAAGAAATACGAGATTTCACGCGAGGACCAAGACCAGTACGCCATCCAGTCGTATCAGCGAGCCCAGCAGGCCTGGAAGGAGAACAAGTTCGCGGACGAGATCGCGCCGGTCACGGTCAAGAGCAAGAAAGGAGATCTTGTCATCGAGCGAGACGAGGGCTACGAGAACCTCCGCATCGATAAGATGGCGAGCTTAAAGCCCGCATTCCTGCGCGATGGCACGGGTACCGTCACCGCTGGTAACGCGTCTACCATGAACGACGGCGCATCCGCCCTGATCCTGGGCAACAAGGAATTGGCTCGTGAGTTCGGCCAGGGTAACCGCGCGCTGGCCCGCATCGTGTCCTCAGCGGACGCTGCCATCGACCCTGTCGACTTCCCCGTGGCTCCTGCAAAGGCAGTCCCTATTGCACTGGAACGTGCTGGTATCACCAAGGACCAGGTTGCCGTGTGGGAGTTCAATGAAGCCTTTGCGGCGGTGATTAAGGCCAATGAGAAGGTCAGTTGAGTACCAAACCGATTATAGATTCATTGCTGACAACATCGTACAGATTCTCGGTCTTGAAAATGCCAAGGTTAACATGCTGGGAGGCGCGATTTCTCTTGGCCACGCCCTCGGGAGCTCTGGGTCCCGTATCCTCGTCACTCTACTTCACCAGCTGCAACCCGGCGAGTACGGTGTCGCCGCCATCTGCAATGGCGGAGGTGCTGCCACTGCCATGGTGGTGCAGAAGTTGGATCGAGTCAACTAAGTATACAGTCCGATACCCTTGTATAAACAATGTGAACCATGCAATCAACCCTTTTATTGTACCCACAAGCACAATATAGACAAAATAGTAGACAGCTAGAGGATCAGCCTCTTATGACGTCTGTGTTTGGGAGCTAAGCGCAGTGTGTAAACACTTTTGGCCCCGACTGACCAATGACTCTCATCCTTCTCCCACTTCGAACTAGTTCTTATCACGCTGGGAAAGCACTATATCAGCTGGTCGCTTGAATCGAAACATTATGGATTAGCCAGAGAATTGCCGAAGACCAAATTCCACAGATGGCGGAGGACACGAGAGCGACGGACCAAATAGCGAACCCTCAAAAGGGGCAGGGTCTTAAAGGTCAGAGTCGAAAGCGTCACTGCTGGGAATGCTTTGGACGGAACTTGGTCTGTGGCTTTGAACTTTCTGGGGGTGTAAGCGATGTGCGTCGTCTGGCATCGAATGTCCGGGATACGGCGAAACGAAACCACACAAATTAAAATGGCTCACACCAGGCCAGGTGAACTCCTGAGTTTGGAAGCACAATAGTCTCCCAAAGGAAAAAGTCTCTCGAAAAGGTGCACTATAGAACGCAAGCTCGCCGAAGGAGGGTATATCTAGCGCCACGAAGAGTCAGGAGCAAGAGACGACTATGCTCACGATCTTCAAGGATGCGGCCATTCCTAGCTCGGAGCTGAAGACCACCCTCCATGCGATTATGGATTCTATCAGTTACTGTACGTACTCATCGTAAGACTTAACACACACTGATTTCAAGAACAGATAACATCTGCATATACCGTGACTTACTGAATGTCCTGGAATTTGGCCCAGTAGGGTGAGTTTATCCAGTCTCAGACTCGATGGTACCAATAGGATATAAGCGCCCCGATTATGTACAACTTCGCATAATCTGCATGAGTCTCAGCCATCGTATGAATCGGACCGGAAGTGACCCCCAATCCAGTATTTTGTCAAAGACCTTTCTCCACTTCGGGGGTTGATCATTCGTTCTCTCAGCGAGGATATCAAGGACAAAAACAAGCGTATGGGTGATGGTGTTATTGCAGGGATTTTCACCCTTCTACTCGCTGATGTAAGTCCACTCTCCATTGAAAAGCGATGATGTGAAACAGATCGTACCAACTATACCCAAGGCCCAGCAAGGAACAGTGCTCAACTCTCGATACCATCTTGATGGACTCAGCAAATCGTCAAGTCACGGGGCGGCGTTGGTTCCTGTTGCGAATCACCTGGTGTAGGACCGCTACTACTTGTTTACTTTACATTTATTAATGCCTAATTCGCAAGGCCTGAATACAAGCACGTGATGAGAATCAATAATCTTGCGAGAACCCCTTCTGGTTCAACCGATCTTCAACTCCAATCAACCCGGTCATTCTGCCCTAAAACGGCTAAGGAGGCAGTCTAATGCTACTGGAATGAAACAACACCAAATTAACAGCTGCAACTGACTTCAACGCATGCTAGCTTGCAGCACAAAGTCGAGATGCCTTCGTGCGCAGAAGAAGACGATACGGGATATGATGTGCCCATCAACAAGATAACAAGCTTCCACGGCAGTTTGAATCAATACCTCCATGACAGCAGCACCTCCAGCAGCTTGACAAACATTGTGCCCGGTTGCTCGACACCGGGCCTAAAGCGAAGCATCACCGCCGTCGAGTCCCAACCCGTAATTCCAAGCGGAACAGCCACCGTGAGCGCGAGTCCGAAGCGCCGACGAGCCGTCGCAAAGACGCCGACTCCTTCCCCGACCAAATCCACCATCTCATCGTCACGCCTGACACGCTCGCGTTCTAGCTCATCCATTCCAGTCTCTCCCCCATCAACAACAATCTCTCGGAAGCAAACACCGAGCAAACGCAAACGAGCCTCTCAAACAGAAACGCCACCCATGCCTTCAAGGCCACCCTCCCTCCTTCGTGACTCGATTCCCCCGAACCTAATCCTCCTTCTCGTAGGCGTAAACCCAGGCCTCCTAACTGGAGTAACAGGGTACGCCTACGCCCACCCTTCCAATCTATTCTGGAAACTCCTGCATTCATCGGGGATAACCAGTATCCGACACCCACCATCCGACACATACAAACTACCCGAGCTGTACAGCGTGGGCAACACGAATATCGTGGAACGACCCACGCGGGACGCAAGCATGCTCAGCCGGGCGGAGATGGATGCTGGCGTCCCTGTGCTAGAAGCTAAGATTGCTATGCAAAAACCTGAGGCTGTGTGCCTTGTTGGAAAAAGTATTTGGGAGGCGGTGTGGAGGGTTCGCCATGGGAGACCTATCCGTAAGGAGGAATTTCGATATGGATGGCAAGGCATCTCCGAGAATATGGGATGCGTTTCTGGTTCGGATTGGAGGGGTGCGCCCGTTTTTGTGGCTACGACGACCAGTGGACTGGCGGCGGGGATGAGACCAGCTGAGAAAGAAGCTATTTGGGCCGAGCTTGGGAGCTGGGTTACGAGGCGCAGAGTAGAGAGGACATTGTCTTCTACTGCTGTTCAAGAAACTGCCCATCAGATAGGGTAAGGCAAAAGGGATTACGGATACGTAGTAAGATTCAAGTTCTTATTCTTAGTGAATCTGCAACAACAATACCCACCGTCAGCTAGTTGATAGTCAGTTAAGCTCTCTACACCTTTCCAGGCTGTGCATATGATGATTTCCAAGCCAACACACCCAATCAAAGTGTTTCAATTCCTTTCAGTGCAAGCCACCTGCCATCATAACGAAATCAAGACTAGTGGTTTCATAATGAGCACCAGACTCAGGGATCACATTCTCGTTGAGTACACGCAATGTACATCCATATATATGTTTACTACTAACTAGTGCCACCTACAGCACAATGATCAGGCGCGGGCCGATGATTCTGGGCGTAGTATGGGAATGCGGTGAAAAAAGGTGGCCTATCAGAGGCAACTAGCATTAAACTGCAATAATAATGAAGTGGGCTCACTTTCCTGCTAGTCCCTTAGTCAAACAGCAACGTCATGTGCCGCACCGGCACGTGGAGTACCTGGCCCCCACGGCAGAACATTGCGCTTGCTATGAAACTGAGGCTAAATAATGACTAAAAAAGAGGTAATCTGGTCTTAATAATCGTATATAATCGGTGGTGAGTGTCCACTCCAAGCAGTCGGAAAGATTCTCGTAATAATTGCCAGTGCACAAGGCGCTTTTAGACTCGCTCGGCGGAACCGGACAAGAACATGCACGCAAGAAAAAGAAGAAAAAAAGCGATAGCAGCATTGGAACACTAAGCAAAATCATTCTGGCAGCAGCGCTGAAGCTACTTATACGTACATTCTGCAATTTGTGAGGAAAGTGCTTTAATCCGGTTTCGTATAATGACAGGGCGAATCTTGGACCGACATCATAGTGGATCTAGGGCAAAATCGCACGATGAGACCTCGGGGATCCGGGAATTCTTGTAGCGTATGACTATCATTGCCTAGATTTGCTCCGCGAATTACTTCCTGAGAATGAGTCCTATCAAAGGACCAACCTAATTGGGGGGTAATTGGGGGCCAGTGGCTGCGCACTGCCTATCATCAGCCTAGAGTTTGAGCTTGGACACCCAAAATATCACTGTTTACCCTATGAAGGAATGGATCTGTAGTTAGCCACCGTCACTTGATTTAGTCTCCCAGTTCAAATACATGGCTAAACTCTCGATACGAGACAAAGTCCAAAGCTTTATTTCTGGATAACTCTATAAGCTGTACGTAATCTTCGGGCTCGCCCATTAACTTCACGTTTCTCACTCGCCAACACTTTAGGGTCCCGTCAACTTCAGATGTCCTAACGTCTTATATGCTGTGATACATTCAGTGCCAACATTGCGTCGTGATTCTCTTCCTCTCGTGCTCTCACACCCCTCGCTATTATGTCCATCGAATATGCACAGCAGAACAAAGGTCCTCGAATCCTAGCCGTGTTCTGGTCGCTAACCGCTCTTACCTTGGTGGTGGTCATAATTCGACTTTTCATTCGAATAAGGATATTGCGCAACACAGGTTTAGACGACTGGTTGATTTTGGCTTCAGTGGTATGTTTCAACATGTCCTCTTTAAAAGGTCTGTCAAAACTTTGTGCAAATACTCACGCTCGCGGTCTCAAAGCTTTCTACTACTGCATTTACGGCTGTGACTACTGTCAACGTCTCCCTTGGATATGGTCAACATGCAGACATGATTAGTCCCCACAACATCGATCACATTCTCCTTCTGAACAATGTCGATTTTATGTTCGGTATCATGTCCTTTTGCCTCCCGAAGCTCGCTATTGTGGCATTATTGGATCGACTCTTCCAGATGAAAAAATCCCATCGAGTCATGCTGTGGGGGTTAACAGTTACGGTGTTCGTGGTGTCTTGCATTACAGTCGTCATAATCTGGACAATGTGTGACCCTCCCGAGGCACAATGGAAACCAGAACTACAAAAGCAAGGTGCCAAATGCCGCAATCCATGGATTCTTGTCAACTATTCCATATTCAATGGATGTAAGTCGTACCCTAGTCACCCTCTTTATGATTCAAAACTTAACTTTGGATGTCCCGGTGTAGCTCTCTCTGCATTTTCTGATGTGGTGCTTGGGCTGTATCCTGCGCTGGTTGTGCTCAAACTGAAGATGTCTCTGCGAAAGAGGCTGGCTTTATGCGCAGCACTAGGGATGGCAGCACTGTAAGCATGGCTATATGATCTCTCCCTTACATAAGATTATTGGCCGCGTTATGAATACTAATATGAGAAAATGATATCCAGGTCTGCCGCAATGTCTGTTATTAAATGCTGCCAGCTTCCTGGCCTTGCCGATCCTCAAGATGCTACTTGTGAGTTGGCTTGTACCAATGAAAAGGAGTTAGATAAACAGTATTAACCATGATTTATTACAGACCGTACAGCAGACCTTGTGATTTGGACAAGGTATGTATCATTTCAGCTTTTCTTAGGCAGTTTGGGTGTTGTTTTGCTAACACTACTTTCAGTGTCGAGGCAAACGTGAACATCCTGGCGTCCTGTATTCCAACACTACAGCCAATTCTCGAAATGATGTTTGGAAAGCGGGCTTTTAGAAGTTCCGCAGATCGCTACAAGGATAGCGCCCAGAAGACCAATTGGAGTACCGGAAAAAGGACTGTTGGATATCATCGCAGAGATAAGTCGCAATTCACAGCTGTTGGTAGCCAGGATAGCATCTTGGGCGGAGCAGACGAGGCTGAAAACCATGCATTGGGACAAATACGACGCCCTGAAAATATAGCGACAACAGGGTATAGCAATCCTCGTTGGTAGGCTTCCTTCGGTCTTTGGTAATGGTGATTTATTTGAATAATTTTAGAATTGAAGACATGTTTACATGAAAAGGGAGCACTCTAGTGGTTGCCTTAGGGTTTACCGAAACAAACAGCGATAATCGGGTTCTGGGCAGCTTCATCAACTTGTTCAAAGTAGACGGATAGGGAAGAGGAAGAGGAAAAGGAAGGCGCAATACAAACGAAGAAGAAGGGTGCGCACACCAAGACCGTGCCTGGCGCGCGATATGGATTCTGTAGATAGTTGAGACTCTCTTGATTTCTCTTCTTCTTCTTCTTTCCCTTCTCTGACTTGGAAGTCCCGTCGACTATAGTACTCAGACTGAATACCGTCGCTTTCGTTGTTTTCTCTTCCGACCTGACTGCCCGGTCACAGAAACTATGAACTGTTCTGTTGAGTACGCACATCCGATCGGGCCCTAGCAGCACAAACCTCAGCTGCCTCGATTATTCCCGCATCCCTTGATTGCCGACCATTTGCCGACCATTTTAATGGGATGGCCGGTTTGGCGAGCTATGTCTGGGGCTTCTACGCCATTGTCCCCTTTACCTATCTGCTTAGGGTACTGGAGTTGCCTTAAGCCTCACTAAGTCTAAATAACTGTATTAGATCGCTTCTACTCGTTCTCCAAGAGTAAACACATGCGCAGAGTTAAAGTTCCTCGCCGGAATCAAACAATAGCCTTTCTGGTTTGATAGAAGAGATTTGCCCCCTTCATCTGTAAAGCCACGATTGAAGTGAGTATGGCCAAAAGCCCAGGCCGCAACTGTTGGGGCGATCCAGCAGACCTCACTTAAATCTATAGCAAAGCCCGTAGACACGACACTGGTAGCATGCTTTGGGTCTGTGCATCGCGAATCCATGCTCGGGCTATGGTGGGTGAAAATTATGACCCTTCGGCGAGGTTCATGCTTGGCTATCGTCGAAACTTGATCATTAAGCCAAGCGAGATCAGACTGATGCGCAGCATTGTGGTCATCTACTGTCCATCTCAGAATATCCTTGAAGTCCATCATGCGACTCTCCACCGCAAATTCCTGCTGCGGGGAGATGTGCGAGAACAAGGTGCAACCCAAAATTGTGAGGTTATCGTTGATATCGTATCTTGTTTGGTCGAGAAATACAAAATTGCCCATAATAGATATTTTTTTCACCTTTTCTTGAAAGCACGTATCTTGAGCTTGGCGATTCTGAACGAAAGGTGGTACGGTTCATGCACCCAGGAGAAAGAAAACAGCCGAGTAGCGATTCAGTTGAGTCTCAAGGAAGGAGAATAGATCGTCGTTGGCAATATGCCCAATGTCTCCAAGAAGGGCAAGGTAGGGTGTGGTTTGAGCAAATGTGAAACTACTGTACGAGGGATGGGTTTCGAGGTGCAAGTCCGACATGATTTGTATAGACTGTTCCCATGATGAGTAAGATTGCGCTTTGAAACCAAGTAGCAGAAAGAAGGTTGACTTTAGGATATACTGGATGATCTTGCGGGTTATATTCGCCCCACCCGAGTTTAACTGAGGCCTCGAACCTCTAGACTTCCCTCAGCAAAAGGGCTGCCAATGATTCAAGTCAGTGTATCAACTATATCGTAGTATCCATTGCTTTGCAGAATCCTTATGCGAGTCGATGTTGATTGTGTTTCATACTAGCACGTAGCTCTAGCCTGTTGTAGTAATTTTCTCAAGTAGATCTAGGTACCATATCACCACCTTTCGCACCTCCCCCTTCTCTTCCCTCCGCTTCGACCCCTATCCAATTGAGGGCTTTGTAGCGGCTAGTCAAGTACTCTGTATTTTCACTCGTTTCGCTCGTCTTCGGAGCCCCTTGGAAAGGTCTAAATTTTGGCCTTCATCGAGGCCTCATGTCTTTCTACCGCAGAAATTGATCAGGTGGCTGCCTGAGGTGTCGGCGGCCACCGCCGTAGATAGATAGGATTTCCCTTTTGGGAGATCACTCAGTCAATACAACTCACTCCGTTCGTTTCCTCTCCTTCATGATCTCCATGATCAGGTCTCTGCGTTGGCTCTTCGACTTTCTCTGAGTCTCACCGCCATCAGGTTATGAGCCCGGCTCTCGTTTTGGTTCCTTTTTAGACCAGACGGGGTCGGGATCCTGCTGCAGGACCTGTGCAAGTCTATCATCATTTTGATCTCTTTTTTCTCCGCCTAATCTTCATCAAATACTTCAAAAATCCACATGAGCATTCAGAAGCTCACTGTCCATCGCTCCTGAAAATTCAACCCACAGGGTTACGTTTTCATCAAAATCTCGCCATCTGTGCGATTCGTCAAATTTTAGACACCTTCTCAGACCCAGCAACGACTGGGCCACTGCCACCGTCCGGCAGAAGAGACACAGCGATAACTGGGGCCACTGCCATCGTTCAGAAGGATAGATCCAGCTTGTGGGCAACTATCACCGTCCAGCAGGGTAGACCCAGCGACTTTGATCGTGTGAAATTCCAACTGTCATCCTCATCATGGACTCTACACGTCCACAGCCGTCCGAGACTTTCCGAGCCTTGCCGGTCGCCGGTACCGACTACACCAATTTCACTACTACGCCGACGGGCGAGATCGCGTACACGATAAGCGAGTGAGACAGACAAGAGTGAGATACCTCAAACCCCTATATTAAGTGCCTTTTTTACAAGTTTATATCTCAGCAATGATTGAACATGCAAAATTCTTATCACAATCCTATATTAAATATCACAATTAGGGAGTGCTGAAGAAATTTGAAAACATCTATGGAGATGGTGGTTCGGATTTTGTATACAGTTGCTTTTCAACCAAAATACACACCACTTTGAGTTAATTTTCCTAAATCTGTAACAACATATTATCTACATCATAAAGAACAAAGAAACTAATAATTTAGACGAAATAACCCGTTAGCGTGAAGATACGAAGATGCAAAATATGGTACTTAGTATGGAGTATTGGGCGGTCTCACTCGCTTGTCCTTCTCACACGCTTATCATGTACGCTATCGCTGTAGAAATTAATCGAAGGCCAGCAATTTTTCTCTTTCCCCAACATCCATCTTCCACGTGACCGAGTGACTGAAAGTAGGATCACGGAAATGAAGCACATCGGAGATGAAGGCACCGTGGGCCCACGATAAACCCTGGGACGAGAATAGACTCAATATATACAACGAAATGAATCTACAGCTGGAAGTCGCATTGGAAACGGTTGTCTGCAGTTGAGAAAGGCAAAACCAATGGAATTAGTCAAAAGCTAATATCAATTGAAGGTCTTCATCCGGGGAAAAATCATGCTAAGATCTGGAACGTACTACCTAATCTCCTCTCAATATTAGTTGGGTAAACCGGCTTGAATTTTAAGTTGAGTTTGTCAAACGGTACGTAGATCCTGTCTAACCAATCAAAAAGTTGGTTGCTGGGTGCGGTTATTATCCCGGTGAGCGGCCTAATAACTTTGTCCATCCGCCGGTATATCGGGGCCGGTACGGAGACGGTACGGAGACGGTTCGGAGAGGTTCGGAGAGGTTCGGAGAAAGTTTTAGATTAAGCTAGCTAGTCACAATAACCTATTCTAGTATTTTATTCGGTTCAAAAATGTTGATGTGGCTGTTACTCGAAGCCGAATTTTTCTTAATGGTCTCTGGGGCATCCTGTGTGACCGGGGGCCAGGTCAAGAACAAAAACGAACAAAGAATTCAATTTGAGAGCTATGGTTGACGGGAGATCCAATTTGAGAAAAGGAAATAGAGACAGAGGAAGAGTCTCTAGTTATCTACAACACTCTATGTCTTGTGTCAATTGTCAAAGGCGGTTCTTAAACGTAAAGTAAGTCCGAGTGAGAGGCAGTCAGTACAATTGGGTCATGGGAAATGCATTGATCGGAGTCGGTCCGACCTTAGGCCGAAAAGAATACCCGAGGATTTCAGATAGTGAGGGAAAAAGAGGAATATCTACATATTGTCTACGATGCTGTAATAATGAATCATGTTCCATGGGAAAAAAGTGGGCGAACAGACACAATTGGGCCAAATCATCTGACATCACAATCTAGACACAAAATATTGGTAATATTTTCTACATATATAAAGCCCTGATCCTGCGTTCCTTTGATGCAACGAAGCGATTGCAATCCGCATGAACCCCAATCTCTCCAAATACATTGACTGATAACCCACCCTCGCAAATGGATCATTTCCACAAACCTGAGATTGGCAAGCGATTGTTGGCTTCAGTCGTGGATGAACAGGCAAGAGAACATCCAAATCAGAAGTTCTGTATTATTCCCAATAGTGAAAGCTCTCAAGAGGGATTTCAAGATGTCTCCTTTGAAGATATCGCTAGAGCGGTGGACCAGATGTCGTGGTGGATAGCGAGGACTCTCGGTTGTGGGGATGACCAGACACTAGCCTATCTGGGCACAAATGACATCCGATACCTTATTCTTTTTCTCTCCTGCAATAAAACCGGCTACAGGGTATGTTATATGTTCTAGTACTTATCAGAACTCTTAACGAATTTCTAAATAGCTTTTTCTTCCTTCAACAAAGAATTCTGACGAGGCGTTACTACATCTTTTGAAAGAAACGAATACCAAAGGAGTTCTGCATTCCACTGGATTTAAAGAACAATTTCCAGCCATTGGCAGACTTGTTTCAAAGGTGGATGTTGTCGAAATACCCTCTTTGAATGAGTTGTGGGAGAAGCAAGCGTCCCCCTACTCTTATATCAGATCATTTCGTGAAGAACAGGATCGTATTGTCTTGATTATGCACACATCTGGAACAACAGGTTAGTATTCAATGCTAATTAACAGTGCCAGAGTGAATTCATAATTTTTAGGTCTTCCCAAGCCTATATTTATGACTCACGGGTTCTTTGCCACGATCGACAGTGTCAATGTATTTCCTCTTCCGAACGGTCGGCTTCCAGGGATACCTTGCAGTACTCTGCTTGCAGGAGATGCAATTTTAACAGTTACCCCATTTTATCACCTAATGGGCTTTTTCTTTTTCATTCAAGCGATATTCGCTGAATTGCCGTTTGCTTCACCACCAAGTAAGCCATTATCGGGTGACCTTGTGGTCGAAACATTAAGGAAATTACGCCTTGTCTCGGCTGCCCTTCCCCCGTCCTTAATTGAGAATATCTGCAGTTCAGATCTTGGACTGAAGACCTTGACTCGATTGGAGAACCTCTACTTTGGTGGAGCGCCTCTATCTCCCGAAGTAGGAGATATGCTTTACGAGAAAGTCAAGCTCAACTCGGTCATCGGATCTACGGAGATGGGTGTGTTATTATCAATGCAGCCTGTTGATGAAGCTGATTGGTCATACTTTGAATGGGCACCGAATTTCAACATCTATATGGATTCGGTCTCAGACAATTTGCATGAACTTGTTGTTCGGCGAGGCGACAATCGCGAGGTAAATGGGATATTTCATACATTTCCGAGCCTGCTGGAGTACAGGACCAAAGATCTTTACATCGAACACCCTACAAAAAAGCATTTATGGAGGTATTGTGGCCGCTCAGACGACATCATTGTTCTCAGCAATGGCGAGAAATTTAATCCCGTCCAGATGGAGAAGGCAATAGAGGCTCACCCACTTGTTTCGAGGGCACTTATTATTGGTCAAGGTAGATTCCAATCTGCTCTGTTGATTGAACCAAACTGGGAGTTATGGTACTCGAGAAATTTCTCGTCTGATTCCGCATTTCTGGACGAAATCTGGCCAAAAATAAGAGAGGCCAATGATGGAGCCCCAACTTATGCACGGGTCATGCGAGGTAAGATTGGATTGGCAGCTGAGAACAAGCCATTCAAAATCACGCCCAAAGGGACTACCCAACGCCGATTAGTTCAAAACGAGTATGAAGATTTGATTCAGGCTTTATACAGAGACTTTCATAAGAAGCACTTGGAATGCCCGGACGAGGGGTCTTTGGCCAGTATCACAGCCTTCATTCGCCAGGCTGTTCACAATCAACTGGAAAACAGAAACGTTCGCGATACTGACGACTTGTATAACACTGGTTTTGACTCTCTGCAAACCGTGTTCCTTGCAAACACGTTGAGCAGCGCGATAACATTGAAAAATCCAGATTGGGGCCTATCCATAAATATGCAAGATATTTACGCTCACCCGACCATTGTGAGCCTGACTCAATACGTTACAGACCGACTGCAGGGTATCCAGACCGACACAAAGACCTTGCGGGACAAAAGGATCAACAATACTATCCAGAAATACCGTGACAGTCTTCGTTCAAAAACTCCATTCCCGACGGAGAAAAAGGAGAGAAATCAGCATGTAGTCCTGCTCACAGGCTCCACTGGTTCTCTGGGAAGCTATATACTGAATCAGTTGCTTAGCGACCACACCGTCGCAAAGATCTACTGCCTTAATCGGTCACATGATGCTGAAACTAGACAAAGGCAGATTCATGAAGAGAGAGGCCTCAAGCTCTGGCAAAGTGACGAGCAAGTTGAATTTGTCAAGGCTGTGTTTGGAGACGACAAATTAGGTCTCTCTGAATCAAAATACAACACCCTTCTTGGTACTGTTGACATAACGATTCATAATGCTTGGAGACTTGATTTCAATCGAAGGGTTGACTCTTTCGAAAATCTGATCAAGAGTGTTCGGGACCTCCTTGCATTCAGCCTGCTCGGTGAATGGTGCTCACATCTTTTCTTTGTTTCTTCTATAAGCACCATACATGGTTGGGATCCAGCCATGGGGCGTCCCTCAGCACCAGAAGATGTGATTGAGAACCCTGATATTGTTATGAAGCTAGGCTATGCCGAGTCTAAGCACATCGCTGAACGGCTTTGCTACGAAGCCTCCAAAACAGTGGGCGTGCAAACGACTATTCTACGAGTGGGCCAAATTTGCGGACCTACGAGGTCTGAAGGGATATGGAACCGAAATGAATGGTTTCCAAGTCTCATCACAACATCAGAGAGAATTGGAAAGATTCCGACGAGTCTGGGTGCGAACAAGCTAGACTGGATTCCTGTGGTATGTTCGTATCCTCATCCCAAGAGTCGGCTCTTTTGGTCATTAAATAGCTACTGAATGTCTCACGCCTCGTATCCACAGGATTCCCTTGCAGAGATTGTTATGGAAATCATACACAGTCGTCTTGGTACTCAAAGCAGCTCAGCTTCCGCCGCTTGTTTCCATCTCGTTAATCCCAACAAAACATCCTGGGAGTCGCTCCTGCCTTGTGTTCAGTCCAAACTGAGTGTCACCACGGTCGCCGCCTCTGATTGGATCTGTGATCTCGAGAGTGTTTCTGACCCAACCGAAGAAGACCTTCAACAAATGCCTGCAATTAAGTTATTGGACTTCTTTCGCGGGCTATTATTACCCAATATACCAGTTGCCGGTGTCGACGTGCGAAACGCCATGCAGAAAAGTCCAACTATGGTTAACCTGCAGCCAATCTCGAAGCAAATGATCACGAATTGGCTGGGGCAATGGGGCTTTCGGCGAGATAGCTAGTTTATTGTCACGTTATGATACAGTGATTTGAAATTGGTAGGATGACCTACGCTTCTTGATTGTTCTCCGAACCCGAATATTGAAATTAAAGTTTCTTCCCTGCGTTATTTTATTCCGGCGGGAGGTTGGAGGGTTGCTATCCACTGCTACCCCCACCTTTAGGGAATAGCTACTTCTATACTTAGGAACTTATTGTCAGAGCACAGCCGATCAGCTTCATGTTCTCTTCGCTTCTGTAATATTTTAAGTATTGTATAGATGAAATTCCCTCTAGGAGAGTTCGTTTACTGCGCTGTTTTATCTCTTAAAGAACAGATACGATCGCTATACTCTGTTCCCTCTCGTTTCTATACTGATGCCCAAAGCAGCTTAGCTACTCGATGATATGTATCTAGTCCGCCAATTTTCTCGACCGAATATCGTAACAGCATTGTGAATTCGCTATTGCTGTTAGGATAATCTTCCCTTGATCCTGCGTCTCAATGTGAAGTTTGATCATGACCAACATTGACTGGTCAGAAACATCTTTTGATCTCTCCACATTAAACCTCCGGTCACTTCCTCGTGGACGCTTATAGTTGAAATTACCTGATTGCTCACTTTTTATACCGACTTTATGCTATTATCACTTTATTGATGTTTGTTCTTATGATTTGCCATTAAAGACAACGTCAGTTAATATTTGCAAATATCTAAGCTCGAAGAAATCGGGGCTATTATCCAGAGCACTTTCCAGTAGCACATGTATCAGGCAATGGCAGACAAGTCCAGAATGTTACTTTCCTTTATCAGCATCATCCACATAGCAGAATCTTGTCTACTAAATAACAATTTATGCAGTCGTCTATCTTTTTTCAACATATAACAACTATATCTTAGATTTCCATGCCAAATTTATAGGAGTCCTTGCTGTCCAGAAGAAATGTTAGTCAACTATCAATGTTATGCACCGAACCTAATGCTCACCTCTTTCCAGTATTATGAGCCTGAGGTGTAATCAGTCCAGCTATCGGGTGCGCCCAATAATCTCAAGGAAGCTCTCATTCTCTGTTTTACACTAGTGTTGACTAGTATCCAACTCAAAAAAACTCCCCGCAAACAGTCTCCGTCAACGCCTTCAACGCCCTCGAATAAGGTCCAAAATATCGCACATTAGTATCACTATCCTCCCACACTGAATGAAGCTCCTCACGACGCAGAACAGAGATAAGCCGTTGGACTAAAGTATCTGCGCGGGGCCTATAAAAGTCCCCCGTAACAGTGGTGGCAGCACCCATGTTTCGCAATGTAATGGCACAGCTGACAGCGTTATGCACGAATGCCCATAGGCGGCATACGGTAGACGAGAGGCGGTGCATGTCCAGAAATGCCTCCACTGCTTCTTCGGCATGGTCGATACATTCCGTTGTAAGGGTGTTAGAGTCTAGTTCTAAGCTATCAGAACCGGAGGAAGCGGCAGTCTCTAGAGCTAGTCGCAAGAATCGACAGACCCCGTAAGAGACATGGATACGCAGTGCTAGGCGCTCGAGATGGTCTTGCAGGGTGTGACAGCGGTGTTTTTCCACTAAAAAAGAGGATGCGGATTCGAATATTTTCTCCAGACGTCGCTTGGCTGCTAGTGCCGCAGCAACACTCTCGCTGTCTTCTTGGCGGGTACGGTCAAGTTCGATCTGGCACACGGAGAACATTGATTCGGCGAATGAGTAGCCTGATACTGTGTCCGGGTCGGAAGGGATACTGCTGTTTGATTTCGTTATGTTTCGTGGGCGGTCGTATGTTAACGATAGAAATGTGTCTTGCAAAAGAAGCATCCACCTAGATTTTGTTAGTGGTGTTAGATTGGTCTTGGGTAGGTAGGGGAAAAAGAGTGAAGACCAACTGAAAGTCTAAGCACTTACCACAGTCGCTTTCGCTGTAACTGGTCAGTAGGACTATACGATCCAGCCGACACAGTTTCGTCGTGTAGTCCGATACTTTGAGCAAGGCGTAGAGCCGATCCTGTACCTGTGAGTATACAAACACCATTTGAAGGAAATTAAATACCCATCAAAATCCATGCACTATTAGTGTCGAGGTTATTGCCCAAACAATGTCCAATTAGTGCCATGGCCTGGATCTGATTCATGTCGGTGTTGATGAAAAAGTTTGAGGTGCGGAGACATTGGAAGGAGGAACAGACTAATGTATGCTCTTAGCGTCGACCAGCAGAAGTTTGTCCATCACAAACATACTAAAGACTTTTGTTTTCAGATCCCGCTCTTTGATAGGGTCATTCGAGAGTTGCACCCCAGAAGCGAGTATGGCGAATAGCAGCGCTAGCCACGAGGAGTCAATATCATCCAGTGAAGACCAATCACCATCACTATTAGCTTGGAGTGTAGCGCGCTGATCAAGAAACGAAAATAACGAGGTAGTGAACTCCTTGTAAGTCACGGGTACAGGGTAAAAGGGGTATGCACAGGTCTGATACGCCTGCCAGTATCTACATATATCGGATTAGCAGGGAAGGGGATGCGGGATATAAGATAATGGGACAAACCGAATAATATTCTCATCATCTGGAAGAGTCTGACAAATCTCTAATGCACCAGCCCCAGGTCTCCAGAGATTCGTGAAAGGATACGTACGTGCCGCGAGTTGGTCTATCAGAATGGCATCGTTGAGCCCCAGCGTTGCTGGGGGATCAGAGTGGCTTCCTAGATAGACGGTCGCCCCTGTAGTATCTTCGAAGAATAGTTTCCCAGGGGATGGGTCCGGTCTGGATGCCCTCCTACTCGAGCTGGCTCGTTCAGGCATCTGTGGTCCGCCTTTATAAGTACCGGATTGGGTCTGCTGCAGGTCCGCTTTGAGACAAGATATTTGTTCCTCAATGTTCTCTAGACGCCTTATCATGGAGCTGACGTCTGGTGTATCAGAGATGGAAGCGGATAGAGCCCCGGATCCAGTAGCCTCAGTATCATTTGCCCTAACGCTGCTCGGGCATATTAGGTGACATAAACAGAGACAGAGTGATATAGAGATACGGTACGGTACATACCTCACGATTTGTCGATGTTCATTCCTATCGCCACCAATTTCACCCTCAAAAGCCCGCGGCAAATCATTAATCCCACCGCCCCCCTTCCCTAACATATCGGACGACCTCGGCGCACCACAAAGTTCCGCATGCCCCCCCCGCACACAACTAGAACAAGGAACATCTCCATCACAGCGAACCTTCCGATGCCGACAAGGAAAACAAGATTTGACAACGCGATGGCGGCGCTTGCTCTTTAGCAGTTCCCGCACGCGGGCTGTATCGTATGGATATGAGCTTGACTGCTCAATACCGGGGTCAGAGCCGGACGGCTTAGTGAAAGCGTCCTTGTCCATGATCCTTGTGTCTTGGTCAACGTCGAGGGTGTAATATTACTGCCTCGGTTGCGCACCGTCATGTGATCTCACCGACAGAATCGGAATAAACAACTAACAAATAGCTAGTGAAGTGATAGTCTTCTGCAGTTTAATTGAATCAAGGGGTGCCCAGTGATCGGACGCGGATCATCATTGAGCACCGTCATCACTCACGTGACTCCCCCCACCGTGACAAAGTCACAAATACTCGCCTTGTAGAAGCCGGGTCCTCAGTATAGTGGTGTATATAGGAATTCTCGCGTCCGACGATTACTGTCTTAGCTCGCGTTGGCATATACTTAGTGAGCCAAAGCGTAAGACCTTTGGGCTATCCACAGAGCGATGCTAGAAATAACAACACCTTTGGAACCATAACGGTTCGCCTTTACGATAAGTTTTATGCTCCTAGCTTGTCTTAGAGAAGATCCTATCTACACAATTCAGCTTATGAGGGGTGATGATCTCAATAGCTGCAAATAGTGGTCTGCAAGGTTGCTCACAGGTGTCAAACTCTGGAGAACCGCCACAAGCTTCTGTAACTGAGGCTTATAACATAGTGTAGATGGATCATACTGCATAAGGAACTCCGCGGCAGAATACACCGGATATGGTGTCAACGGATGAGCCTGACTGTGTTAGCGGGATATCCATAACAAGAACTGATAGGCCAATCTTGCTTTGAAAATACCAAATTCGTCGAGGGATCGGGTAAGGTTGGCGATTTCAAGGGCAGCTGCCAGCGCCTCTTCTTCATATGTAGGCATGATCCGTTGCTTATTTATCTCCCACGGTAATGAATTTGGGACGTTGCAGAGGTATATAAGAGCCGTATGTGCCATCATATTTGCAAAAAGCCGCATTGGATCTGCAATATTAGGTGACGATACGGCTGTCTGAGATATTATCCGGAGATTTTGGGCTAGGAGTGAATGAAGCCAATGATGCCGATCCCAAAAATGACATGGCGCACTGCCATAAACGAGCTCTACCACTGCCTGCTGTTTATGTGTGAGACAGCGTCCACAGATTGTAACAAATATGATCAGTTCAGTAAACGGAGATGCATTGTGATCAGAGACAGCAGCAATCTCTTCAGAGAGAAATTTGCCAAATATGCCCTCACCACCTTCAAAATGTGCCTCTGACGTAGGAAGGCGAGTGCATATCTAGTGTATCATATGTGTCAGCCCTTCCTAGTCTATAAAAGCCTCTAGTTAGAACGTACCACGAGCTCATTAAATGATAATGGCCAGTTATTAGAGATGCCAACTAATCGATCCAGATAATATGCCATCCAAAATGTCCTCCGCCGTTCTTCAATTTCAGTACCGTCGGGCTGACTCACCTCGGCACTGGCCATATTTGTCGATGCACAGTCGACCTTATGAAGGCCCATAAGCTGTATTAACCGGCATGTACGTCCAACGCTCATCCAGCCTCGTTGGTAGTGCATGTGCATAAACTCATAAAATGCAAGAAGAATCCATGATTGTGCTTGTTCAAGATCAATTGACCCAATTCCAGTGCTTTGAAGCTCCAGGTCTTCAAGTGCTTTCCTCGCATGTTTGTAAAGCAGACTACTAATGGTCTGATAGTGCGCTGACATTGATGCAGCTAATGCCCACATGGCAAGCTGTAGGCAGAGCCGGGAACTTTTGATGTTCGGCTGGTGAATCCAAGAGAAAAAGTGACGTTTCTGAATAAATGGCGTAAACGGATGAACACGTTCAAAATATAGCTGATTGCTGCATTTCGTTAGAGCATCTTCTATTTTTTGGGTTACAACCCGGTATATGGTGTGACTCACAGATCTGCTCGTGTAAGGTCCGACTGTATTTCAATCCCTTCGCTTCGACATTCCACTAGAAAAGCTTCCGGTGAAAGGAAGCCAACATGGCTAGCCAGGCTGATCCCAGCCGTCGGGCTGACGCCCTCTTCTGCATCGATTGTATCTACTCTGTTTTCCGGATTGGCTGGTTTATCATATGGAACAAGCCCATCCCTGCGTTCCTCCAAGCGACGTTGTAATTCAGCTGTGTTAGTGTGCAAGCGTCAGCATGTTCTATATTCTCATCAATGTATATCCAACTCACCAGTTCGGATTCGGAGGCTCTCGAGAAGACCTTTCTTTGGACCCCTCGCACCCCTCGCTGAGCGCCTGGGGTTGACTCTGCAGACGGTACCTGTATTAACGCAAACTGTGCATCGTGGCTGTTGGCCGTCACAGCGGAGCTTCCGCTTTCGGCATTCTTCACACGCTACTTTGCATCCCTCTTCTGGCGATTGCCACTCCCGTTTCGCAGCGGGATTCAGAGAGGACATGTTGTCTTGATGTCTGTCTTTCGAATGACACTGGTATATAAAAAATCGGATTGCTGCTGTATGACATAAATGAAAACCAATACTGAGAATGGGAAGGTTATATATAATGTATAAAATAACCCAAATTCCAAAAGCGGGATTGGGCTTTGTCTAATGATTCTATGAGAAATTTTACGTATATATTAGTTGCTGTCTTCTACTGCGGTGATTAGTTAAAGGCAGGTGGAAATATGAGGCAACTTAACTTTAAATGCTCTTGCCTGACTTTTTTGAGGCAGAGCTTACCAGGTTACCACAAACCATGTTTCTATCTAAACTTATTGTAGCTAGTTCCGGGTGGATAGTGTCGGGCGGCTGACTGACCAATGTCGTACCACACAACAAATAATTTCACATTATTCGGCCCTCGGTCGGACCTCGTCGGAACCCCGAGACCCACCAAAATGTTGGTCATTGAGAGCGTTACTATCTCGGTGAGTGGTCTAGAATTCTAGAAATCTTGTGCATCCGGTGTATCGGGGTCGTTACGGAGACGGTGCGGAGGCGGTACGGAGGAGGTACGGAAACGGCTCGGAAGCAGTTAATAGAGATAATTCGCTTCCACGAAAGCTTCATTCTAGGTAACCGGGCCTTCCGTATTGGTCATAAAAATATTACCATACTAACCAGGCCCTCGCAGTTGCTAGAGGACACATTCAGGCATTGTGGCTTGGCCTATTCAGTGGATTTTTTAGTCCAACATGGAGGTTTGTTTAATCAAGTCTTGTCGGGGATTACCGAACGTACATAAAACCGTGAACCTGGGTTTGCATCTGAACTTTAAGGTGGGTGATAGGCAATTGGCCGACAACGAGGAGAAGGCGCAGCTTTCCTGGATTCCTTCTTCCCAGCGATGGCGCTTGCCCAGAAAGATTCACTCGTCCAAGCCCAATACGCAATACCCTGGCAACCGATCTCAAAGCTTGGAGTATATCGATCGCCTAAAGCCATCAAGGATGCCGGCCTGGACAAGTATCGGGAAGTACCTCGGAAACATCATCATTCAGATATTCATATCAAGGTACCAAAACGTTTGTTATGTTCAATACTCAGACAATACAGTACTCGCTCGGTTACGGAATAAGTTAAATTGCATTGCGAACACTAGGTAGTTAATGAGAGTGGACATCTTCCATACGATTACCACAAGGTTATCGGAGGAAACCTGTACACGCATAGTTTTACATCTAGCCTATTTGTTATAACCAGAAATTTGTTAATCAGTCTTCTATGACCATCTTCTGTTTTTACTTTGTCTTCCAGCCAGAGAGAAGGAAAGACAGAGATTGGCTTGACGTAGGAGGCCATCTCTCTCTTCGCTTGATATATTGATCTTAACCAAACATTTGGACTTCTTACCATCAGATTTGAGACCTCTACCTGCTTTTAAGCGTCTGCTTGGACTCTCAGATAGTTTTTGGTGACGTAAACGTCAATTCGACAGCACACTCAGTTGGTTCCTTCGCGTGGTCTCACCAACGAATACCTCTATCATTCTATGTTTGGTCTGTGATAGCAGCCAATCGCAACTAGAAAAAGCTTAACTTAACGCCAAATTATTAGCAACTCGACGAAGCTTACTCCCCCCGCAACCTTTTTCCGAAAGTTATCCCGAATGATACTCCACGAAAGGCAGAATGACAGTGAACTTAAAACTGGGGAGTAATGGCCCACGGGTAAGTTTGTTTCATACAATTGAGAATGGCGGTGATAGCTTTCTCGCATCGTCGGACCCGGGCTCTCGTAAGGTGAAGGGGCTTCGCGACGTCTGGCAAATGGCTGCGGGTATCCATAATATTCCGTCTGGTTAGGTTCCGCAATTTCCTTTTGTATTGGTTCAAATAAATAAAAATCGTGCGCCCAGAAGTCATTTATTGCAAAAGGCGTGACCCTCCGGTCGAGATAGGTAATATCGTGAGTGACAATATTAGAAGACCCCTGGTATATGTATAATGACAAACGTTTATTGTTAGCTATTGTACCTATGCTTGAGAGCAATACTTTACCTTCAGACCAATCAGAACTGGTACAACCTCTGAACAGAACTGGAATTTTTATTATTTATGTTTGACGTCCTGACAGTCCTTAAGCACAATCGACCGAGCAAAATAGCTGGCATTTTTGACAATATCTGAGGTAGAAATAAGTATAGATTGATATAGAGAGAGGCCAAAGACTCACTCAATGCGTTTTGGCTCTCGTATTTTCGCTTGCTTCATAATATGACTGCAATGAACAGCCCGAATAATTTCTTATGGACTCTCAAATTGCTCTGGTATGTCTATCAACATCTTTGAGCTCGAGGACGAACAGAGGTTGGGATATTAGAATGGTGTAACTCGGTCATTAAAGGTCTTTTCGGCCGCAGCATCTGCTGGTACGTTGATGCAGACTGGTCATAGGGCTTGGTGATTCTACTCATTTGGTTCGTTATTAAAGTTAGCCACATTGCCAAGGTCAAGGCTAGACAGTGACCATGAAGTGGTAGGCTTGAGTATGGTATTGACTGAAATGTACTTGTTGTGACGGGTGCTGAAAAGATATTTGGATAATTCTGTACATGCATCTCGAGTTAATCCAAAGTCACATACGAAAGATATCAATATGATAAGGTGACTTACTAACGTGTTCACAGGTGCTCACGAATATGTTGATGGCTGCTGTAACCGGGACATTTGAACCTCCCCTCCGTCCATTGTGCTCATTTCTTGTTATTTCAGATATAAGCTGAACAAATGAAAGTAAAATAAATGAACGATTGGGTATTTCGAAAAGTCTTAAATATTGAAGCAATCTATATCTAGACCCATTATTAGAAATGTTGGTCGCGCGAAAGGAGGCTGAAGGCATGTAATGAAACTTACTAATTTATTTTCAATTACAGGCAACGGGTGAACCTTATGGGGGCTAGACAGTTCCAAAATCTTCGACAGTAGAAACCACCAGTCCCCAATTTACTCCCGCATCTAGAAATTGTGGAAATTCTTCTGGGGAAATTAACTTAAACTCGATAATGCCGAAGCCAATAGAACCTATAATGTCTCGGACATTAATCTATCCGAGACAACAGGCAACTGCACCTTGGTACCCAATCACTAGATAGACTAATTAGGTAGATGATTTCCGGGTTAAAGAGGTGGAGAGATTTGCCACATCGTCATGTCGCACTCTGGTGGCTTTTTCTGTTGTCTCAACAGAGCGATAAGCCCCGCTGATAGCATCGTTTACTGCAAGTACAAGTACCCTTCCCATAACGTTTCTGAAAATCCGAGCACTCTCATTCTAAGATAATGACGGACCTTACTATTTCCGATGACGTTCTCGGGCGGATTAAAGATCAAGTGATCTTTATCACCGGTAAGCATATATCCATGTCATTCTAGCTTGAGCTTGCCTGATAAATATAGGCGGTGCATCTGGAATCGGCAAAGCAACCGCAGAGCTTTGTTTCAAATACGGTGCCAAAGTAGTCATTGGAGATATCAACTCGCCACATTTAGAGGGCTTGGAGCTTGAAAGTTCCGATGACTTCAAATTCCTGAAAGTCGACGTTTGCTCGTGGGATAGCCTACGAGACGCGTTCAAGCAAGTTGAGGAATGGTTTGGTCGAATCGATCATGTCTTCGCAAACGCCGGCGTGGGACCAACGACCGACTTTGTGGATGACAAGCTCGATGAATCCGGTCAACTCGCGCCTCCCAACATGCGAACTATCAATGTTAATCTTATTGGTGTGATCTATACACTTCGACTCGCGGCATACCACATTCAAAAGCATTCGACTGGGCGTGCAGCTGGCGAAACTGGAAGCCTTGTGGTCAATGCCTCAGCTTCATCGTTCCAGAATTTCTGCGCAGGCGATTATACTGTTACCAAGCATGGTGTGCTCGGAATTGTTCGCGGTATGGGCTATCAGCTCGACGGCAAGGTTAGGTTGAATGCCGTGGCGCCTTCTTGGACAGCCACGGAGTTGGTTCCTACGGGATTCATTGAAGCCCTGGGTGTTCCTGTCCAGGGGCCGGATGTTGTAGCCCGAAGTGTTGCTCTGCTGTTTGTCGACCAACGGCGTCATGGTGAAGCTATCTACAGCTGGGACGGGAAATACAGAGAAGTGAACAAAGGGGATGATGGATTCCTTGCGGCTTCATTCGGAATCCTGGGAAATCCCGACGATGAGGATACGGTCATGAGACAGTTGAAAGATGAAAAGGCCGTGGCAGGCGTCTAGTCAACATGGAATATCTTTCGTTATGGTCTCGGGAGATGTAATCGTCTTGCTGCTGTTCGTATCTCTGTAAAAGGTGCCGCATAATCATAGTTCCAATAATGCTGAGCTAAGAATGTGCCGTCGGAGTGATAAAAAACCCGAACCGCAGGTGTCAAACCTTAAACCCACTTTACTTTTCTATCAGCTGGCCGAGCCGAAACATTCACCCCTATAGTGAATAGACTTTATAATGGGGAAATTGAGGGAAACTTTTATATATAGCTTTACACATCCTTCCTCATTTATCACTGAAGCAAACTTTTGCAATCGACTACCTGGAATATCATCGCTCCAATTTAACATCACTCTGCAAGCTAATAATCATGTTAGCTTATTCAGGGCTACTTATTTGTGTATATTATGGGCTTGTACTTTGGGAAAGCTTATTCATTACCTTGACTCCTGGCTCCAGACACTCATAGTACAACTATCGCTCGTTATCGGACAAGGTACCATACAATATAGTTGTATCAATTCTCTCCAGCGCTTGTTATGGTGATCAACAGACAGGCGCGAAGTATATTCGCCGCTGAACAATTCGCCAGCAAGGTAAACAGGGATAAACTTGGGAGAAGATACAAGGCCAAAGGATAGTTTGTTTTCACCTCACGATGTTCCGTCGTATATTGGTCTAAACACTGATGGTGGAGATACCTCAGTGTTTCTTTACACAAGGAATGTACATGTCGGTAGTCTCTTTAGCCTTGAGAATACCTCTTGATGTTTTCAAAGCTGTGTGACCGAGGATATTCTCCTCCACACTTTCAACGCATGTCTCGGTATGCAGTTGGCCTCCTAGATCCACCACGACTATGGAGAGTAGAGCAGTGATAAATTTATATGGCCAAAATGAGACTGTGGGCGCGCTGATTGCCCCTTTGCAGCCTTTTACGCCGGTAATCTGGACAAAGTCTGTAAGCCCCGTATTGGGTTTTAACGGCAATTATTGGAAGAGACTTGCCTTGTCTAGATTGGGTTTATCAACCAAGTGTACCTCTTCGACCCCGCGAGCTCCTTCGGAGCGTTTGGTATCAATGAATTTTCGATACGCTTGTGCATGTCCGTGATCAAAAAACACATCACATGAACGAGTGGATTTCAGGTCACAATCGATATTTTGTTTTCGAACTATGTTCCTGAGAGCAGCCAGTTGCTCTAGCTGGTGACATATTACCTGCTCCCCAACAGCAGCGCCGTGTTTCGAATCGAGTTGCCGGACGATTGTAAGAGCTAATTTGGTGTGGCTCATTTTGGTAGAACCATTAGCATATCAAACTCATAATTTGAAAGCTGAAACCCTTGTAAGCTCACCATTACGTCCTGTTGCACCAGTGCAAGACTGGCCGGCCTCAAGTAGAACAGCACTGGGCTTTTCCATTAATCCCCCGGGTCTGTGAGGATGTGGTAAGCTGTGGCTACCCCAGCCAAGCCAGTTCCGATAATAGCTAAATCACAGTGCGTTGGTATTGTTTCCGATGATCTGTATGATGCCAAGGGATGAGGGTCTTTCAGCCAGTAGGAGGCCGTTGGGCTCTCTACTGGACACCCTCGCTCTCCAGATTTCCAAGCCATTCTAAATCTTTAAGTTGGAGAGAAAAAAAACCGGTTTGATTTTGTGTTGGTGATTCAATGAGGCGTCACCTTCTGTTACAGTGCAAGGTCCTATTATTACGGCATTTCAGAGCTTATGTCATGTGATTATAGGGGTAGTACTCTATCACTAATGCCACATTGGGTCTTTATTTGTAAGGGTATCTATTCCATTTGAGACGTATCCTTACCACGTTTAACAAGTTGTCGACAACCTTGGACTAGAGGTGCGCCGAATCGGGAAATCCATGAAGAAAAAGCAACGCTGGATGCTTCCTCGTTGATTCATCAGCCAAGGAAACATAGTATGTAATTTGAACGAGCGCCGGGTGACGTACTCTTTTTGCTGGAAGCTTTCCATTGTAAAATGATTATTTGAAGTCTCAAGAGGTTGTTTGGGTATACTCTCTGCAAGACAGATAAATGAAAGCGAATGTCAGCAAAGTTTCTCTTTTTCCAAATAACTCCGGTCTTCCACGTGGCGGAGTCACTAAAAGAATGAAGCAGATTGGGGGCGAAGGCACTGTAGACCCAAGTTTAACGCCGGGGACTAGAATAGACCTAATATAGATAATCAAACGAATTCACAGCTCGATGTCTATTGAGAAACTGCTCTCTGCGAGTCGACGAGAGCAAAATCAATTGTGTCAGTAGAAAAGCCAAAGGAAACTTATAATCTTGATTCATGAGAAATATGATGCTAAGATACGCAAGGTACTCTACAATCCCGGAGCGTGAAGAGCGGGGGCGGTTGTAAAGCCGACTCAACCACTCTAACGTCACATAATAGAAAAGACCCACCAAAATCGTTAAATGGAGAGAGCTTTGATATGTTATAATGTACTCCCAATATTGGTCCGATTCGAATTTTAAGTTGAGCTTGTTAAATGGTAGGTTGACCTTGTCGACTAATCAATTTGTTGTTTGTTGGTGGAGTTATTGTGTCGGTAGGTGGCCTAGAGACCTTGTCCGTCGGGTGTATCGGTGTCAGTACGGAGACGGCACGGAAACGGTTCGGAGACGGTTCGGAGGCAGTTTAAGGACATTTGTGGAAGCACTTGGATTGGATTGGACTATACTTTGCTAGAAGAAAATGGAGCAGTTGTAAAGCGGACATTGTGGGTGTTCATTATTACATGCTTTGTGGACTGCATTGAAGAATATAGAGCATAACATTGATACTGCAGATAGGATTAAACCACACCTACTGGTTAAAAGTAATGAATGTGTAACTTTATTACTGTCGGGATGTGTCTCATGATACACCTGTTGAAGTGGGTTCACGGCTTTGGACAACAGAGATTCGCAGGGAGCCTTTGGATGCGACTCAGTATATTTCCAAGACTGATCACTGGCCCCTGAGACTCAGGTGCCAGCGAGACAATTATGTACAGGCCTCTTTCCCCGCTCGCCTTACGTCAGTGCCTGCGATCCCGGGCATGTAGCTGAGAGGACCCAGGAATACGCTAATCGTACCCTGAAATTTTAGACTCACTCTTCTAGGTACCCCCAAGTGCGGAACTTGGGAGTACCCAGAGTACATAATATTAATAATCAGTTTATTATGCACATATTAGGAGAGCTAGATCCCTGCGCGGCAGCGAGGTAGCGGTCAAATTTTGCAAATTAGGCATGACAGTCACAGCATACATTACAGTACGATGGTCCTCTCAATTACACACTTGGCAATTAATACTTTTTATATCTCTGGGTTTTCATATGGTGACGCTGTGGGACACGGGGAGTCTTTTGCGGAAAAGGACTCGGTCTGTTCGAGATTTGCGGTACGGCGAGTAGCGTGTGAACTCCTGGTGGGAATCCAATTTGGTGGAAATCCACATTGCTAGCCAGACTGTCAATGATAGCTGTGTGATACTGGCGACACCGAACCCATACCAAAATTGGTCGGATGAGGCGGACACGTTATGTAATATGGATGAGGTATGACCGGACAGCTGCTGAATTGATTGCAGAAGTGGCCCAAGGCCATCTTGGTAACTAGTGACAGCAATTATTCCCACCGCGCCGGTGATGCCCAGTCTGAAGGCGGCGCGAGTCGAGCCACGAAGACGGCTGGGCGAGGACTTCTTGACGGCTACAGCGGCGGTTTGAGAGACTCGATCGTAAGTAAGCCGGTAGGATTTTATGACCTCGGCATGTTCCTATGAGAGATCTTTAGTTCAAAATCCAGTAGTAAAGTTATAAGAGTGCTGGCGTACATCAGAAGGTAAGTCGTCAACGTAATGTTTACTCAGCTCATCCCTTGCCTCATCAGAATGGCCAGTTTCTTCAAAAGCTTCCGTTGCATCGGTGCCGGCAACCTCGATCAAAATGGCACTCCCGCCAGGGTGGTCTTCGAGATATTTGGTAACATCGTAGACCTTGTTGTGGAGGACGATCCAGGCGTCGTCGAGTTTGTTATGCTTCTGAACTTCTTCGAGGGTAGACATGCTGACTATGCAGGTATGAAGTTAGGCAAAGCCCGTTAGCCACCGGGTATATATGAAACATTTCAAATTGTTACCATACCATGCGAAAATCAGGCGTTAAGTAAACCAGCGCATCCAGATACGTTAAAAAGGGCCACCGGACCCACTTGATGTGGAGACCGGGGGATATGGTCCAAGCGCCCAATCACCAGTTCCGTGCGAACTTCGGCCGGGATGAGATCACTGGGCGTCATTACATTACTCGTATTGAATATGAGCACCAATCATTGGCCGTGTAGGGTAGCAGAAAATCTGGATCGAGAGGGCACAGAAACGAGCGAGATGGTCGTTTGGGATAGTGCAGATTCAGCAAAACCTCTGTCTGTGCATTATGAGGTCAGGAGGAAAAGATGGCAAAAGTGCGTGCTGGCCCATTGGGCATATTTAAGGACTAGTCAACACTCGAGTCAAAAGGTTAGAGACCGGAGCCGCCACCATGCCTATCTCCCTTACTCCCAACGTGAATCTCAGTTTGTCGTTCTATCTGATAGGGGACGATGTATCTACCACGCAGTCAGTAAACCTGGACGCAAAGTGGAATTTGGAGGATGTGAAACGCGCCGTAGGGGGCACTTTCCATGTGGTACAGCCGCTTGGTTAGTCAAAAGGTTCCCATTTTAGTACTATGAATTGCCTGTTACTGATTCTGCCACAAGGCATCTCTTTCCACGTTGAAGATGATCGGGAATTGACCACAGTGCACGACATTCTGACAGCACCATCGTCGCTCACTAGCCCTATTGGCCTTCGCATCGACGGGCAGGCCGTACAAAGCCCACAGGGCCCCGATGGTCTGCCACTAGTGGGCAGCTACTATGAGATCTTTCCAGATCATCTGGGAAATCATTATCGACTTTTCCGCAAATACGGAAATGTTATTTGCACGACCAACATGGGCAAGACGACGTATCTCACTGATAGTCCGGAAGTGGCGGCCGTGGCTCTAGCAGAATCGGCGTACATGACCAAGAAGATCAATAAGAACCACCCACTGTGGGCAGTTAAGGATAACACGGCTCTCTTCGTCGGCGATACCGAAACAGAAAATTGGCGACTAGCACACAAGTTTATGCCACCGGTTATGGGACCTAAGGCCGTGCGACACTACACGCCGCTGATGCAGGAGTGTGCTCGCAAATCCTTTGCTGTCTTCGACGAATTAGATACCCGCGGACAGTCGTGGAACGTCTATCAGTACATGGTGAAGCTAGCATCTCAAACGATCGGCCGATTCTGCCTAGGTACCGATTTCCAGCACTTCACAGACGTCGACGCCCCGTTACATCCTATCGTCACCCTTATTGTTAACATCCTATCACTGAATAAGAAGATCACCGCACGCGGTGAATGGTACCGATATCTACCATTCGGCGATCCAGCACGACTAAAGCATGCTCGACGTACCATCTACTCGCTCCTACAAGAACATATCGACCATTTCAAGGGGTCTGAGATTGCTGGAATGCCAATGGCCGGCGCAGCCGTCAATGCCTCATGCGTGATCGACTACCTCCTCAATACGGTTGATGAGACAGGCCAGAAATTCCCAGAGGGGCTAGTACTCGCAAACATTATCATCGTCACGGGAGCTGGCTTCACAACAACCTCAGCCTTAATGTCATGGCTTCTCTATTGCCTAGTTACCTACGAAGGCACACAAGAACGTCTATACGCAGAACTCTGTGAGCATGGTATTGCCGCCAAGCCCGTGGATTGGACCCCGGAGCTGGCTCACAGCCTGCCTTACCTCGATAATTTCATCAAAGAAACCCAGCGTCTGCACAACGCCTCCTTCCAGCCTGCCCGAACTACTAAGACTGACGTTGTCTTGCCGGGAGGCTACCGTCTTCCTCAGGATAGTGTTCTCATTCCTGCCCTGTATGCCATCCACACCAATCCAAATGTCTGGCGCGACCCATTCCGCTTTGACCCGGATCGCTGGACTACTGATGAGGTCAAGAACAAACACCGCTGCGCGTATATCCCTTTTACCACAGGTCCGCGTGGCTGCATCGGATTCAATTTTGCCCTACTTGAGGTCAAAATCTTGCTCTGCGAGCTGATCGCCCGTTACGAGTTCTTCCGCGAGGGCTTAGAGACCGTGGATTATGATCCTGAGTTCCAGCTTATTCGCCCGTTGAACTTTTATGTACGTGCCAAGAGAAGGATATAGGTGTCAGGCAAGAGCAGACAAATCTTTCAAGATGTTACTTTTCCTTTTCAGCAAATAAAGCTCCTCCACATAACAGAATCTTGTTTATTAAGATAGCAATCCATGCAGTCATTCATTATATTTAAATATACAAAATGAAATCCTATCTACCTTGTACGCAAAACATCTAGGAACCCTTCCCTGTCAGAAGAAATGATTGTGTCAGTGAACCCAAGGCTCACCTTACTCTTTTGATGGCCGGTCGACTCAGGGGAGGTCGTCGGACGTCACAGCAGAGACCTGGAGAGAGATCATGGAAAGGAAACGAACGGGTAGTGAAGTTGTATTGATCATGATCTCCCAGAAGGGAAATCCTATCTATCTACGGCGGTGGGCGCTGACACCTCAGGCACCCACCCATCATCTTTCCAGTATTTTGAGGTTGAAGTGCAACCAGTCTAAACACTCTCAAGAAAGCTCTTATTCTCTGCCCTCGTCTAGACAACGGCAGCAGAACCAAGACAGTAAGATTAAAAGACACGTCCACTAGAATTATGCCAAAGATTGCGCCACATCCACCTAGGTTTGTGGCATTATGTCCAGTCTCTCTATTTGACGATACGTCTCAAAGATGCTTTCCCTATCATCAACAAACACAGTCCAGCCCAGTCAGCGTGCTCTATTCATGTATATCTGACCAACATCGTCCCTGAACGTGAAAAACTCCTTGTCATCCTGGAAGTGATTAAAGGTTGCACCGGGGTTCGCGAACGTGATCTCGCACCACACTGCAACGTTTTAGGACTTTCTAGCTTACTGCTCGAGTAAGTGAGAGGTTCAGTGTGAACGGATAGCCACCGATATACATGACAGTCAGAATTTTGACTTAATCACCCAGGCAGAAGAAAGATACTCACCAAGTAATGTTCTTAATCCCAACCCTCCCAAAAATAGCAGCCATCCCACTCTTATCATCTGGTGGATGACACCACTTTTCTAAACAACAAACCAGCACAAGCTCCCCCCACAAGCGATCCCAGCTCAGCGGATTCTCATCCTGCTCATTTAAACCCTTCATTCTTACCTTTTTTTCTTCTAGCACCGCCAACTCAGTCACATACCCCGTCGAACGCGAATGATACGACTCCATCAGCCAGAAAGACCAGTCTGACGGAACTAAACGGCAAACGGGTACTAGATATTCATCCGAGCAGACTTGATCCCGTCGATGATCTATGACGGCCGGATCGCGTTCAAGCTATCTGGTCGCCGCATGTAACAACTTGCTGCCAACGACATCCAAGCTGCCTTCGAAAGCTGGAACTCATGAAGCTCGAACCCTTCGTCAGAACATGCAAACGCGCAAATATAAACACACCCAAACCAACTGAAACGAAGTTAATCGGCATGAAATGAGCTAGCAAGATACTAAGGTCAACTAAAGAGGTCGGTACCACTATAATCTACAAGGAGGCTGGCGAAAGGGTCTGGAATGCTAACCAGGGATATGCTCGAGTGAGTTAATAATAAGGCAGAGCTGGAGTTCGCGCTGAATGTAAATTTTGATGATGGACCATATCCATAACATGACATGCACAGACGGAGCCATCACTGCTTGCTTTTGTTGATATTGAGTATACCATTTCCAAGTGACCTCATCCCCAAGTGCACTCATCCCCCGAGTGAACTAGACATAGGCTCCCTCATATGGCACCGGTGAGTTCTCGGTAAACCACTTGTTTTCCTCCTCACTATTCCTTGGTGGAGGGATCATGCCATTGATCTTCCAAAGCCTTCTCTCGGTCTCGATTACATGATACTCCCAATCATATCCCTTCTCGGCAACATGAGGCTTCAGGAGTTGGTCGATTGCGGTTGTGCTTCTTTGGTACGCCGCGTCATCATCAGGCAAGCGGACAGCAATTTGGGTAATGACGATACGAATAAATGGTTTGTTTATCTTTTGTTTTCCACCAACCCACACGTCACTCTTGGACTTTTGGATGAATTGGACCACCACATAGATCGCAGGAAGGCCAATGCCCGTATACCTCTTTGTAATGTCTTCAGACAAGGCTTGTTTGGACGCAGCATCTTCAAAGGTGCCGTCTGGATGGTAGATTTGCCAGAGGGGCATCGTAACGGTTTGGAGGAAGTGCTAATAATTATTATCGTGCCAGATGACAGGTTAACGATGTGTATAAATAAGAGATTGGATACTATATGGTTGATAATATTATACCAAGATTCATAGCCCTCTTCTCTTGCGGGAGGAATGCGTTCATTAAACATATTTAAATTAAGAGCCGCATTTCTAAGCCTGCGGAGGAGTGGCGTTAATACTTCTTGAATATGCTATACGCGGAAGAAAGAAGAAAATTGCCTCCGAGCCGTCTCCGTGCCGTCTCCGTACCGACCCGATACACCGGACGGGCAAGGTTTCTAGGCCACTTACCAAACAATAACGCTCCCCGACAACCAACATTTTAATTGGTCGACAAGACCTACCTACCATTGAAGAAACTCAACTTAACATTCGAACCAGTTCACCCGACCATTGTAGAGAAGGGTGGTCTAGTTGACCCGGGAATTGATCAGATGCTTATGCGGAAGCTGTCACGACCGCGGTTATATAGTGCTTCGCGCTATCTCTGAGCTCCAGCAATGGCGATGTTTTCCACCTGCTTGGCTACCCTGCCTCATTTTGCTCCCCAATCATCCCTCCTTTGCCCGACAACTGTTGGCCCTGTATAAGCTTCTTTTTTACCGGACGAACCTAGGCAAGTCATGGTTGAACAGGCTGTCGCCACCTACGTGCCGCAGCAGGTTCCCCTACCTCCGGTACCTGCAACCTCTTACTTCTCGGAGACGCAGTGGGAGATATTATTCTCACTGGCAGATGCAATAATCCCGTCCATTTGCACCCCTTTCACGTCTAGGTCATCTAATGACAGAGTAATCTCGCAAGCTGAGTGGGATGTTGCCGTATCAAAGCTGAAGGCCACCATTGCGGGACCTGATGCGGCGAATATTGCATTTCAATATTTGAAAGAAGATGCTTCGTCGAATCCAGCTTTCCGTACCTGCATCGAGCGCATCTTCGGCAATTTTGTGCATGAGGAGGGGCGGAGCGGCTTTGGGCTGATTCTAAACGCGCTCAAGTGAGTGACTGCAACCTATCATTACAATTGATTGTCTACTAAATTTTGAAATAGTACCTACGCTGGATCATTCATCCTCACTGGGTCGACTACATTAATCCACCAGCAGCCGCTGGCCGTCCGGGAAAATATCCTTCGTGGATGGGATACATCGCGATTACCCCCTCTGCGAGTCATCTACCGGGTACTTACTGCGATCGTCAAGAAATCGTGGGTGATTACTAGCCCGACGATCAGCCTAGTACTCGGGATTCCACGTGTCCCAGTTCATGGCAAGCCCAGCGACGGGTTCCCATACGAGTTTCTGCAGTTCCCACCAGGAGACCTGCCAGAGACTATCGAGATTGATGTCGTGGTGGTAGGCAGTGGCTGTGGTGGCGCCGTAGCCGCGAAGAACTTAGCCGAAGCAGGAAATAAGGTGCTCTTAGTAGAGAAGTCCTACTCATATACTACCAAAACTTTTCCTATGACGCCTAACGAAGGTTTTGTGAGCATGTTTGAGGCCGGAGGCGCCGTCATCAGTGACGATGGGTGCACGGCCATGCTAGCGGGCTCAACCTGGGGAGGTGGCGGCACGGTGAACTGGTCTGCATCCTTGCAGACACAGGGATATGTCCGAGAGGAATGGGCAAACACCGGATTGCCCTTCTTCACCTCGCTTGAGTTCCAACGAAGCCTTGATCGCGTCTGCGATCGAATGGGGGTGAACACCGAGCATATCCGCCACAACCGCCAGAACAACGTTATTTTGGAAGGCGCGCGCAAACTAGGCTATGCCGCCAAGCCGGTTCCACAGAACACAGGCAATAGCGAACACTACTGTGGTTACTGCATGTTAGGATGTCCCTCGACCGGAAAGAATGGACCCACTGTAACGTGGCTGGCTGATGCCGCGCAGGCCGGGGCAACTTTTGTCGAGGGCTTCCGCGCCGACAAGGTGCTCTTCAACAAGGTTGATGGCAGGCGGGTTGCATCCGGGGTGGAAGGAACCTGGACCTCGCGAGATTCGTTTTTGGGACTGAGCGGCGAGGGAGCCGTTCGACGTAAGTTGATTATTAAAGCTAAAAGAGTTGTCGTGTCGTGCGGTACTTTGCAAAGCCCACTGCTATTATTGCGGAGCGGCTTAAAGAACTCACAAATTGGCCGAAATCTACATATCCATCCTCGTAAGTGTTTACGCTCCAGATTTTATCAAGCAGTGCTTATTTTTCTTCATAGTTATCATGGCTGTTGCTGTTTTTGACGAGGAGACTCGTCCGTGGGAGGGCTCTGCGTTGACAACGGTGGTGAACGAGTTTGAGGACCTTGATGGTCGTGGACATGGTGTGAAAATTGAAGGGTTAACGATGATGCCGTCCTTGGGGATACCCGTGTTCCCTTGGCGGAACGGATTGGACTACAAGTTGTTCGCGGCTAGCATCAACCATAGCACCAGCTTCATCACCCTTACTAGGGATCGTGATGGTGGGCGTGTCTATCCGGACCCAGCGGATGGACGTGTCCGTGTCGACTACGCCGTCTCTGCATTTGATCGCAAGCACGTCGTGGAGGGACTGATCGCTTCAGCCAAAATTGCATATATCTCAGGCGCCAAGGAATTCCACACGACCTACCGTGACATGCCGCCGTTCATCCGCCCCAACGCCTCCAACCAAGAAGCTCCTGAGGGCACCAATGATGCTACCCTACAGGGCTGGATTGCTGAGCTCCGACGCAAATCGCCCTTGAACCCGGAGCGGGCCTTCTTCGGCAGCGCTCACCAAATGGGTACGTGTCGTATGGGTAGGTCGCCAAAGTCGAGTGTGGTAGACATGGATTGCCAGGTCTGGGGCGCCGAGGGCCTCTACGTGGTGGATGCGTCTGTCTTCCCGAGTGCCAGTGGTGTGAACCCGATGGTGACCAACATGGCAATTGCGGACTGGGCCAGTCGGAACATATCACGGGTTTAGGGGAATCGCGGAGCGAAGGGAACATGGTGGCCCAGCTGTGGGTAAATGCTTTCAAAAGTGTGTATTTGTATCAATCGCGTTACGCCGTGTTCATGTAGTTTATTTATGAGATCTCTAATCAGGTAATGTATAGGCATATTTTGCGCGGGCGTATTACGTAGTTCTTTTTTTCTTTCAGTATGCCAGAACTAGCCTTTAATTCTTGAAAGTCTTACATGAGTTGAGGAATTTTTTTTTTTTTTTTTTTTTTTTTTTCGAAATGGGGCATGTACTCTACTGATTAGTATGGTCTTTTGAGTGTGCATAAGCGCCCGTTTCATTAGTTTTGGTTGTAGATTTTGCCACTTGGACATTAGATTCGTTGCACAGAAATATCTCTATCTCATTAAATTGCAATTAGGCGTCTCGAGCAGGTGATCGAGGAGATTACGGGACAACCACCGTGGTGCTTCGTGGCGGCGCTTTGACGCTGGCAAGCAGAGGATTTCTTAGGAAGGTGTGCTTGCTGCAGCCACAGCCTGTGCCATCTGTGATGGTGATAGCTCCCCGCTGCTGATTATATCGTGAGAGCTCGTCCGTCGATGGGACTAACCCTGGAAACACCCTAGTTTAACCACCTACGTGATTAAATGTCAATTAGTTGTGCTAAGCAAGCGACGAGAACTACTAAGGTGAGGCCCTGAGGTGCAGGTATATTAAATATACTAGGAATAAGCAACAAGCTCATGTCTCGGTCATTTTGGTAGCATGAAACGAACGAAATGGGAGGAAAGGTTTACCTTCGATCGCAGTAACACGAAATACCCTTGCTATTAAAAACAAATTATCTATGATGTTCTGTTAGCCAAACAATGACTTCTCATTCGCTGCTTCTTCATGCCACGCTCACTTTTGATTGCTGTTGCGACTGTCCTCATTTGGCTTTGATATTGGCTACTTTACTAGCTCTGTTCTCTTTTAACCCTAATTGTTGTTCCCCCAGTCCTAATGTCGGTACTTAGTGCAACGCCACCTATTCGTCGTTCCCTGTCCGTCCTTTTCTTGCATACTTTGCTACGCACCTCTACTATATCTCCCTTTGCTGGTCGCGCCTACATGCCTTCTTATTCAAGTATACTGCTGCATTTTCCGCGTACTCTGCTATCTATGCCATACCTGCTCTCCTCCGTCAGATCCAGAGTCGTCTCTGTGCTGGGATCACCTCTTCGACTACTCTATCCTACCGGTTGTTTCCCTCCATGATATATTATATGGTCGCTATGCCTGTCCGTGTCCTTTCCTGATGATTGACGCAATGATGCCATCTAATCTTTGTCAGGATTTACACGTCCACTAAAGTGTTTTGACCCTCCCAACTCAACCCCCGCTCTTATGCTTTCCCTCCACCTCCTTACACTGCCCCACCAGTTCTTTATTTGGTCGCTGTGCGACCTGTCCCTCCATCTGCTCCATTGCTATCAACATATCAACTACACCATCCCAATCCATCCGAGGGGCGTGCATCCTTACGAATCCGTCCTATCGCCGCCCCAAGATCGTCTTAGATCCGAATACACCCGCACAGCCATATTCTTCGCATGTCTCATCGTTTACTGAAACAATTTCCACTGGTCTTTCTGCAACTGCCTATTCTCCATCTGTCCATCCCAGGATGTCACGGACCGCTGGATCACGAGCAATGCCGAGCAGGGTCAAAAGACGGAGGATGTGGCAAGTAGACTTTAGTGTTGTATCATCGATTCAAGCGCCGCAGTCAGTCTATCGTAGTTAGCCAATCATAATGAATCGAAGGACAGCTGGCTGGTAGCGGACGGCGACCAGTTTAAGGGTTTATCTTGTGTGGGTCATTGCGGAGAGGTTCAGTGGAAGCTTATTATAATTTCACCCTGAAGGCGGTATAAGCAAAGCCCAGCCCCACCCACGGCATCTGAGAGCACCCTTGTCAATTTGTGTTATAAACACCTTGATTTCTGTACACGCTTATATTTTGGAAAGGTGAAAACTTGAGTCAGCATGTCCCCGGCAAATTTGAGTCTGGAGCAGAACGGACGGTTTCCAAGTGGGCGATGCAAACTAGCTTGCGATGAATGTCGGAAACGAAAGCTTCGCTGTGACGGTCAGGATCCGAAATGCGGAGTTTGTATCGAAGCAGGCATCACCTGCAAAGTCAACACGAAGCGCCTAGCGAGAGGTCCAAAGAAAGGCCTCCTTAGAGCTCTTCGGATCAAAGCTGGTAAGTCAGGTTTGGTCAGAAGGGAAAAGCTTTTCTCTAACCCCTTGCACAACCATAGCTGAGTTACAACACCGCTTGAATGAACGCGAAGTTGCGCTGGCTGTACATGATGACACACAAGATGGTACACAAGTCGACCTCGACAGTGAAGTAGATACAACCATGGCGGATGTGAATGCAGGCTCAGGTACCAATACCATCTCGCTTCTTTATCACGGCGCACAATCACCGTCAAGACGCCACGCTGAAGAACCTGCAGCACCCAGGGAAGGGGCAGATTTGATATCAGACTTCACAAGTGCAGAGCTGTGAGCAATGAATATACCGAGCTATAGCAAAATATCGAATAATGCTCTAATAAAAGACAGGAATCAGCTATATTTTGAACGAGTTCACCCCTTTACTCCATTGATTCAAAGACGTCACTTCCTCTCTTGGTCTCATCGCCGAGACTTCAAGCGTTCCCGGCTCTGCCTGCAACTTGCTATGCGGACCTTAGCTGCATCTCTGTCAGCACAGTATCAACATATTTCTCTAGCGACTTACCAGAATGCAAGAAAAGAACTTGAATATATTGAGATTCAAGGTACTGGATTGGACTCGGTTGACGTTGAGCAAGCACAAGCATGGATACTTGTTGCGTTCTACGAATTGATCCGAGCTCATTACCGGCGAGCCTGGATGAGCATCGGACGCGCATGTCGATTGATACAACTATTGGGTTTACATAGAATTGACGCTGTGGAGAAGATCACAAACGATGCCGAGGCAACTCCGCGTGCCAACACTGAGACAGAAGAAAAGAGAAGGACATTTTGGATGGCATATTGTCTCGATCGCCTGGTGGGTCTTCGGAACAACTGGCCATTAGCTTTCAACGAACTTGTGGTATGCGCCGATCGCAGTTTCGGGTTGTTACGAAATATTAAAGATATTCCAGATATGCACTCGACTTCCTGCGGCTGAAGCTGACTTTCAAAACGGTGAACCCAGCCTAGGCGGATTTCTTTCGGAAGCAATTACTACCGACTCTGGGTACAACGTCCCCGCTTTCAACGAATTAATAGTATATGTTACAATCTGTGGACGCTGTCTATCACATAAACAGCAAGCAGCCATAGAGCCACTCCATAGTAGCTTATCACGGGGTTTTTGGAACCGCCATGAGTGGCTTCATGCACTCCTAACACAAAAGCTCAGAAGATCCCGGATGTTGTCATCGCCTTCAGATATGACGGATCCTATGCGCCTTTTCGCGAACATGGTGGCTTACACGGCTCTTATCTATCTCTGCAAGATCCTGGATTCCTCACCAAACGAAAGCATTAATCAACAATCCATGCCTGCATATGAAGAAGAGTCGCGAACTGCGGCCTGGGAAATCGCCAATCTGGCCCAAAATGTAGATGAACTAAGTATTTTCAAGGTATGTTGCATATATGAAGTTTCTGCCAATCTACTTTGGCTAATATAGATAGGTTCATCCATTATCACCATATCCCGTGTTTTCCGCCGCAGAGTTTCTTGCTCGAAAAAGCTCGCCGGTGGTTTCGTATGAGACTGAGTTGCAGAAGCTTGTCACCTTTCTCAAGGCTCTAAAGCCTGTGAGCGACCTTGCAGAGCATTATTTGCAACTATTGAAATTCCCACAACCGTCAAATCACATGTGATAGATGCAAATCACAGCCTTCAACAGCCGTGGTAAACCAAAATTCAAAAAAACTTTCAAATCATGCCAGGAGCCGACACCCGGACCGAAATGTGGTCAAATAATCCCGGCTGGCTCGTAGCATAATTGACTAAAAGTATTTGGCCACTGCGAAAATTATAAGTCGCATACAATAAATGTATTATATTATCCGTACAATTATCTATAAATTGGTAGGAAACTGCCTTCGTTATAATCATGTGATTATTCTTGTGTTTCTAACACTTGGTGGGGAATGTTATAAATCTAGAAATCCGCTTTATATGACCACAAGCAAAGAAGACTTAGGTACAGGCGAAAATCATCGAAATCTGCTACCATGGCTCGACATAGCGCTTGGTCTGCTCTTCATCCACTTACGCCTGTAATGGTTGGTGTGGGCTTTGGCCTTCCTCAGTGCACACGGTCAATCACCCATCCATCCATTCTGTACCTCCACTCCACGCCAACGACCCATGTATGTCTCCTCAGTTCTTCAACACTCCAAATCTTCTCTGTCGCGACCCACTTACAAGATCAATCATTCCCCACCTTCTCTTAAACCTAGGCTCACAACCTAAGACCTTTATCGCGGCTTCAATAATAGACCATCTACAAGAAAATCTTACTCGCCGTCTTTAACCTCTCAATTCCAAGCCTTTTCTCGCATATACGGATGTAGACTTTTATAACTTCAGCCGTATGGCATGCCTTCAAACACTACGGACTTTAGCCCTTCAATCCTAAGGTCATTTGCTAAGAACTTCGACCAGGTAATGGGCCAGACCTAGTCGTCTATAATAGGGGCGAGGAATATAAACTTTTACAGTAGGATTTCAACTATAGTCGCCTGGTGAAAGAAGGAGAAGTTAAAGGGGAAGTCGAAGGGGACCCAGAAACACGAGAAACACCACCCCCGCTTCAAGTTCTACGATCAATTCCCTACTAACAGCTATCGCAAAATTACAAAAAACATCGCAAAGGTAAGGGAGAGCTTCCCAGATAATGCTAGCCCCGAATCCAGTAAATTGAAGCGTCGGATTGAGCAGATATAGGGGGAAGTCTTATACAGGCCCAGCTAGCGGCATATGTATCCAACCACTTCATATGCTACCAAGAGACCTGGGAGCAGGCCAATGTCAAAAGGTCTAAGCGCTAGTCATCTAGAGGGGGTTCTCTACGAGTCGGGGATTCGAATATCCTCATCCGAAATAGGGATATTGTGGAGGCTGAGAAACAAAGGCGGAAGTATAAACGTGAAGCTAAACAGTGGGAGATGGAATGCAGCGCCGCGCCGAAATTAGTGAGCAGGAAAATCAGAGAAGAGAGGCAGAGCTTGGATGGGTCAATGGAGATGACGGCCAGCCACCTTATACTATCGATAGACCCGGAGGGGGGGGGGGGGGGGGGGGGTGATATTTGTAAATAGCTTCAATTCTCTTTTGATAGGGGGAAATGACTATTAGACTGAGCCGGGTCCTCGCTGGTGAGGGCCCAGCTACAGTGGGCGGGTATGTGGCCTGTAGGAATTCCAATTCTTGACAATATGTTGCAGATACGTGCAGGATGTTAGCGTGAAATATGGAATGACGATGGCGAAGCGGGGAAGTTTTGCCAAATATTTTAAAGTGCGGCAACCCAGATCCTCGAACCGTCTCCGAACCTCTCCGAACCTCTCCGAACCGTCTCCGGACCGACCCCGGTACACCGGACAGACAAGGTTTCTTGACCACTTACCGCTAGAAACAACTCCACATTATCTCCAAGGTGTGGTTCCTCGGAAATGATTGGCTATCGCCGGCCTACTTGCATCTGGGGCGCAGGGACGTTTCGAACATAGTCGCCAGACTAACAGACACGAGTCTTAGCTTGAAACCAAATTGAACCCTTCTACTCCTCCCTGGGCTCAGATAATGCTTACTGGACTACCTGTATATATAACAGTTCATATTTTAGTCGCGGGTATAAATCTGCATTCTCGCAAGCCACGCTATCGAAATCCATTCATCCTTTATAGCAACGTTCACGACATTCCACAGAAACTGTGTAGTACTTCCTTGTGTCGACAAATGGCAGGAAATGCCGAGACCGACAATATTTCCAACCTCATTGCACAATTGAGCAAGGCTGACCTCTCAATTCAAGATAGAGAGACAAGGCTAAGGTTAATTTTGCTGGCACGCCAACTGACGGAAGCTCTTCAAACTCCTCCCGAGAGGGCCTTTGATATATGCTTTTCGGCATGTCTCGTATCCATATATCAAGCACCAGAGTGCTAACATGAGCGAAATGATTAGTTCGCGCTCTTACCATGTGCATACGTTGCAGCAGACCTCGGTGTCTTTGAGTTGATCCAATCTGCCGGGCCGCAGACCGCCAGCGAGCTTGCCCAGAGTACTGGAGCTGATCCTCTGTTACTATGTGAGCTCCGAGCCATCTCGTATCACTACCTCTCAAGTCTAAATGGCCCATCATATTGTAGTGCGAATCATGAGAGTCCTTGCAGCGAACCGAATGTTCGTCGAGCTAGCTGGGCCGGAGACTAAGTTTGGGCCGACGTCACTCTCAAATACATTTACTCTCCCAGCGCTTCGCAACGGTATCAAACATTGTTTTGATCTGGGCTACCGCGGTGGGGCTGGATTTCCGTCTTACATTCGAGAGACGAACCACCGAGCGGTGGAGGACGAGCTCGACTGCCCGTTCCAATATGCCTTTCAGACAAAGTTGCACTGCTTCGATTGGTGGAAGGAACACCCTCGCGAAGCTTCCCAGTTCCATAGTATGATGACTGACTATAGGGCTAATCGGCCACCATGGACCTCGATGTTTCCTATGGAAGAGTCTATCTGTAACGGTGCAGTTGGTAAGCAGGAGGTATTGTTAGTGGATATCGGTGGCGGATTTGGACATGATCTCATGCTATTTCGGGATCGATGCCCAGATACCAAAGGTATACATATTTTTCTAGCTCCCTCATATGTTAAATTGTAACGTTTCTCCTTGAACACAACGCTGACTTTGAATTTTAAAGGTCGATTGATTCTTCAAGATCAATCAGATGTGATCGATGCAATCCCAAAGGGCAGCCTCCACCCAACAATCGAAGTGATAAAACACGACTTCTTTAAACCTCAACCGATCGAAGGCGCGCGAGTTTACTTCCTGAAGCACGTGCTACACGATTGGCCCAACCCGAAGGCCCTAATCATTCTATATAATCTCGTAGCTGTGATGAAGGACTACTCTAAATTAATCATTATCGAGAACGTGCTTCCAGAAGCTGGACCTCTTCCTGTGCCTACGGCTGGTTTGGACTTCATCCTGATGATCGGATTCGCTGCAAGTATGGCCCCGATTTTTTTGAATGACCTTCCATAGGTTCTCACAGTCGCTTACTCCATTTTCTTTAAATCTCTGTTGTATACTGATGTTCGATTTTCCAGTGGAGAGGACCAAGAAGCAATGGGAAACGTTGCTGACCGAAGCGGGGCTGAAGATCACTGGACAATGGGTGAAGGAGGACGGAGATGGCGTTCTAGAAGTTATGTTAGCGTGAATTACAGTCTGGTCCGAACTCTGTCTTCAAGGGAGGCACAACCCATATCAGTCTGCTCCATACGCGTCATGAATTGTTTCTTGAACTCTGATTTGAACGCACTAATCTAACTTCGATTACTTTTCAACAATCCTGCTCATCTTTAATCGTATTCGCGAACAGGAGGGAGTGAGGGATTGTCATAATATTCATTTTCAACGCGCGCAAAATGCAATGCCTTTCAGACCCTCCATCAGCTCCAGCAACAGCAAAAACCATGTTGTGTTACTTAAAGGATCCACCAGATCTCTCGGAATTTATATCTTGAACATCCCCCTGGATGACCCGCCGGTAGCAAATATATATGATTTAAATAGATCGAAGGATGCTGAAAGAAACCAGATGTGAAACCACTGGCCAAGAGGCCTGAGAACTTGGCATGGGGACGGTTATAGGGTCGAGTTTATTCGCACAGTGCCCGGGGATGAACACCTCGGCCTCCATGATACCATACACTACGATCTATGGAACAACGGTCGATATCATCATCCACAATACATGGAGCGTGAACTTTGACTGCTCGATTATCGCCTTCCAGCAGTTTATGACTGGAACGCAATCTGTTTGATATCAGCGCTCGCGGCCGATTCCACTCCCATTTCCTCTTCGTATCTTCGATTGGCATAATACATAATTGGAGTCTATCTATGGAAGGCCCATCAGCGCCAGAACGTTTGATTAAAACCCCGACGCAGTCCTAAATCAAGAATATGCAGGATCCAAGTACATTGCAGATAGACTCTGCTACTATGTGCCAACGACGATTCTGTTTGTGGGACAGATTGCTGGACCAAGCGATAGCAAGGGAGTTTGGAACGAGAACCGCCTTGATGGTGACTTCGAGAAGCCTTGGAAGCATCCCGAAGAATTTGGGTAATGCTGACAAGTTTTAATTGGATTCCGGTTTTAAGTCGCTCATTTCGCTGACAAAACCCTTTCTGGAAAGCAGAATGTAACCAAGTTTGCTAATTTCGGTCTTAGTAAGACTTTGTTGCAGATATCATGGGCGAGGTTATGCACGCTCAGCTTGAAGAGCATGAAGAATCCGTTTCTGTCACCCTCCGTTTGGTCAATCCGCACATATCATAGTGGCCCGGATATATCATCGTGGCGGGACCTCCTTACTCCCATTGTATCAAAATACAATCCGACCAACCATTATCGACTTCGCCGAAGGGACTCCTGAGCTTGGGCTGATAACGTACCCAATGATACAGGAAATGCATAGCAAATCTGCACTAGAGCTGCTTCCTTTCTACGGTAGCCTGATAAATTAGCGTTTCCTGAAAGAGTTGTGTCCAAGGCAAAGCGGGCAAGCCCAACCTCCACAAACCTGCAGACCATATCTGCAGATCTGATGGATAACTGATTACGACAGTAGGAGGAGCTTGGGGAAGACCGCAACCAGGGCAAGCTGACTAACATCGTTTATATTGACCAGCCCGTTATCACCGATTACTCGCCGGGTTCCGCCGTTCCAGAAGGAGATCGTTCGCCCAATCAGTTCAACGACTTCTGGAGACGATTCATCGAGACCTTCAGCGTGCAAGGCTAGAAGATTTATATAAACTGGCGGAAAGCCACGCCGGACACTACATCTCGTATACTTGCTTGCGGCCGGCATGGTAGAACAGAATCATACTACAGTACCCACTTCAGCTCGACACGTATTCAAATCAATGATCCGTCTATCAGTGACCTATTGCAATTCAAAGAAAACTGATCAATCGAGGACTAACTTACTTTGGTTACAGAAATCCCTCTGTACGTTTTGGGCGCCGCTTACCGCCTGCTGGAGTTCTTCCTTAGATCGCATCGATGACCTTCAGCAAATGGGATCCTTCACCACTCAGAAAAGAGCTAGGCTGCTCTGTGTTTGGTATGCCTGATTTCTATCATCTCTCTTTTCTAGATATTGTTCGGGTTTGTTGTACGTATTATTCAACGGTTATATAACTACGCTAATGCCAAGTGGCCTTGGGCAAAATCTTTTTTGAACATGGTGGTTTGAACTGTGAAATTGGTATTAGTGGTGAATTATATCGTCATCTTTTATATGCTCGTCAAATTTTATTTCACTCTCTCATATACCCTTTCTATTGGGTCTGCACGGTCGCTTGTCATGGATGGTGGTATGTTATTTCCAACTACCTTCAAATTTATTCAATATATGAACTAAGCGTTACACACATGTTCCAACAAGTGTTATACTGGCTAATTAGAAACATGGCGTTACTCGCAGACGATCTAACTAAAGGGCTCCTTCAAGTCTATTGAATTCGTTTTCCGCATACTGGCCGGATGGTTCTCCGATATCAGTTTTGTTTAAAGATTATCTGCGCTGATGATCGATCATTTCAAATCCGTGATAGAAACTGAATTGCCAAAGTTCCAGAAGGTCAGGTCTCAACCATTCCTGCCTCTGTGCGAAAGAGACCGACATTTCAAGAATTGGCATATAGTCGCCTCACCAGCCAAGTACCAACAAGCATCGGCCGTTGTCTCCAAAGGGGTTTAGTCCAACGTGTTAAGAAAACATGCCAAGAAACCGGCGAACGCCGGTAAATCGGCCACTAACGTCCTTGTTGCATGAAGCTTCAACCATCCCAATATCTCCTCTCGCGCATCAGGAGGATTATTCAGTATTCGAGCCATATACCCGAGGACCTAAAAAGGTTAGACACTTACTTTCAGGGAGCTCAGGTTCATAATGAGAGGTTGGACATACCGAGTTGCCGAAGCAGAAATGGACCACTGTGAACACTAGCCCGACCAACGTGAATCGTATCATAGCAGCATTGGGACTACGGCGATACAAACGTACGCCTGCAACCAGTGAAACGAATCCCAGGGTAACAGCCAAGACAAACCCCGGAAGAAAAAAGACTTCAAACCACACTGCAATAGCAGATGCGGGAAATCGTTCGTCCGCGAAAGGAAGGGTGGTGACATAACCACCAATAGCCACGCCGAGATTCAGGGCGCTGCTCAGGAGAGGAATCAGAGCTATTAGCGTCAACGAAGACATTGTCTTGTTTTCTTTAGGGAATGCCGAGGGATGGTTGACAGTGCAGCATAGCACACCGACGCCGGGTGAATTAATCCGTGATAATTTTCTAGTAGAAAGTAGTCAGCATATGGGAATTAATCAGTCGGTTATAAGTTCCTCTGAATTAAAGTTCAGAAATGCCCGCCCCATAGTAGTCGAATCGTCACCGCTTCCGCCGATAAGGGCTCGACTCGGCCTAATGATTAACATTCAGCCTAATTATCATATTACCGCCCCTTCCCCAAAGCCGAAACCAAAATCAACTTCTGAGACTATTTACAAATAACTCCCTGTCTATCAATCATAAAAAATGCCTATCCGTCATCTGTAGTAACATATTCAACTTCTGCCTGTCTTCTCTGGTCAGACTGAACCTACAACACTTCCTTTAGCGCCAAGTATTTGGTTTCCACATTCATCCTTCTGTCCCCACCGATCTCGAGAGGATCGTTGATGTGGGTTGTGGGACTGCCTTGTGGTTGATTGATGTTTCCCGCCAATCCCTTCACTCCCAAATCGACGGGCTCGATATAGATTTGACTCAAGCCCCCCACCCGAAATGGTTTCCCACCAATGTCAATCTTCATTTTTGGGATATTTTCACGGACGTGCCCGCGGGCTTTGAGGCCAAATACGACCTCTCGTACGTCCGACTTCTCGTCCTAGTACTTTCTGGAATAGACCCTATGCCCGTGTTGCGTCGTTTTTTGCAATTGCTCAAGCCAGGCGGCTATCTCCAGTGGGATGAACTAGATACGGTGAATATGAGCATTAAAAAAGTGGATCCATCTTTGAACGCTCCTGCGTTGCAAGAAATCAAAGACGCATCGCATGCAGGTGGACGCCATGACTGGGTCTTAGAATTGCCCCGTTTGCTAACCGAGGCCGGGTTTCGAGACGCTCATATTCACTTGCAAGATATTCTGCCCCCCAAATTAATTAGAAACTAGGCGCCCACACCTACTACATATAGAGCAATAGAGAGCAACGTAATTAAAAATTTGTCTGCTCATAGGGACGCAGGACTTTTTTTCCTATTCCCCCAATTAATCTGTGGAAAAACGCATATGATATTTCGCGCTCAAGCCAAGGTATACTATAGGACAATCTCCTCTCAAATTTGCCAGTTAGGTGCAGGCCGGGTACTGTGGTTCACCATGTACATTTTTCCAATAGTAGTAATCGATATCAGGAGTATTATCATCAAATTCCTCGATGGTCTGATGGCATTCAACCTTTAGATTCAAGCCACCTCCCTTGAAATTAGTCAATGTATTTGGAATAACCATCTGGAGTTTATCGAGTTTATCGAGAGGTTCGTCTTTATCGCGCCGCGTATCGATTAAAGACATGCGGATTGTCTTAGCTGGATCAAGACCCAGTCTTTCAAGATACTTGTCTTGGGCGAAGAGCTGGCTTTCATCTCCCCATAGTTTGTTTCCATCAGGACCAATCTCAGGAATCCAGGCCTTAGAGATCGCGTTCCAAGCATTAGAATCAGCTGAGATAGCACAGTACCTATTTGAAGTCAAAATGATGAAGAGTAAAAGACATGCTAAGGGGGTCGAACTGGTAGGTTGGCGCTCCAATCCAATCACCAATTACGGGAGACGTGTAGGCACCCTCGCCTATCTGGATACCATTGATGTTGTCATCGGGCGTGACAGTTCCAGCTTTAATCCATTTAGCAGCTTGGGCCTTTAAACAGTTAGAAAAATATTCAGGGGTTGAATGGTCCCTTATGTGCAACATACTGGACGCGTAGTGCGGTATCCGATGAGCTGTCCTGGAGGGAGTCGGGGGTAGATTGGTCTAGCCGCAATGCAGCTGAGAATGGATAAGCCCAAGTTTAAGATCTTGGCTCCAGAGAAGAGCATTTTGTCGCAAGATTTCAATTCAATGAGTGGAGAAAGAAGCTGAGGGGGAATAGGAAAAAAGTCCTGCGTCTCTATGAGCAGACAAACTTTTAATTACGTTGCTCTCTATTGCTCTATATGTAGTAGGTGTGGGCGCCTAGTTTCTAGTTAATTTGGGGGCAGAATATCTTGTGCTGGGCCATTAAATACTAGGACGGTTATGGTAAATATCGGATATTTAAATACATAATAGAAGGTAATTAGCATCAGCACAACGTGGGGCGGTTTAGGGCCCCAAGATCTAGAATGAAGTCCAGCTGAGACCCACTCTTGCAAGACCAACAAGGCGTCCAAGGGGAAAGGCTTCGCTTTAGAAGTTTTGCCAATTCTGTAATAATATGATTTATGTGGTTATATCACGTAACTAAGCAGGTTTCAGCTAAGCATATTTTGGGTAATGTCCACTGCACTGGTCTATTTTATTCAGGTTCTCATTTCGAAGACCCATAACCACAGTAGTAGCACTAAACTACTTACTGTGTCTATTTTTTGTAAACAAGAAGGGTTTCTTGGGACTTTACGCTCATATTGTGCACTTGATTTCATACACAAATCTGTAATAGATGCAATGTATGGAAACAGCTATCTAATACCACTGTGTATATGTCTTCCCAGTCTCATATTATTATACTTCATACTATGGCAATATTCGACGCACGATCTCGCTTTAGCTCTATGAGAACGATACAGACATCGTAAACGATTGTCGTCCTACTTGCTGATCTTACTATCTGACAGAACTTTCAGGCCAACACCCAGATGCGGAGCGTGCGTGAGCTAAGGATATTCGCTATCGCTGGCGAGGTTGACTGGAAACTAGGCCCCCAACCACTCGCTTATAACAAGGTTTGCAGGGGTCCAAATCATTCAGTTGAGGTGGAGATCCAGTTGACTGACACAAAAGGCCTGACTGGGTTTCGTGTGCCCGTCAATGGGGATGCCCCATGAGCAGTTCTCACGGTCTCACGGATGATGCCATCCGATCCAGGACATATGTATCAATCCTGACCCATCTGGTCACAACACTTTCTGAATTGATGGGTGGGTGCCTGAGGTGTCAGCGCCCACCGCCGTAGATAGATAGGATTTCCCTTCTGGGAGATCATGATCAATACAACTTCACTACCCGTTCGTTTCCTTTCCATGATCTCTCTCCAGGTCTCTGCTGTGACGTCCGACGACCTCCCCTGAGTCGACCGGCCATCATGAATGGTGTTTGACGAATTTCCACCTTTCTCTAACAGAGCCCTGAGCGCCTCGCTTCCGGGTAGATTCATAGTTGTGGCCATAAATAGAAGACATTTATCTGTGGACACTTGTGTAGATAATATGATGGAAAACCAGTGGGAAACACTGTAGTGTGCTGAAAATTTAACTGGATTGCTCGTGAAATGGGACAAAGAAACTTACAATGCATACCAATTCTCACTCTCGGCCAAGCCAAAACATCTCTACTTCCCCTGTGTACTCCATATAAGGATACGTGCTAACAGTCGTACGCCCAAGGATATGATTTAGTACACATTATTGTGAATTATAGCAGGATTGGAGCAAAGTCCCAGGGTTAGCTTTTTCCGCAGGACGCCTAGGACTCAGATCTAGTGGGGGCTAGCTTCAGAATGTTGGTATAGCATTAAATTAAACAAGATAACTTTTCTTCCAGGACGCCTTGTGTGCCTTGTCAGCGCTAAGCTTTCTTCTAGTTATAGCCAAAGAGAATGCTCCTTTTGATACTCCTGCCTACTCCTGAACCTTGAAGTGATTCTGGTACTTCCACTCATAATATCTGGGCTACACCACCCTCTTCAGTAGCCATATCGCGTGGGACATGCGCTACATCGGGAGGTCCAAGGTCTCAGGCATATATACGAACATGCTGCATGATAGAAATAGCATCCTCATTCAGGTTCTCGGTAATACTAAAACACATTTATAGCGTATCGCAACCTGAGCCTCATACCGCTCTGAGTCAACGGAGTGTATATAGGCCGCACTTAGCAATCATCATCATCATCATCACCATCGTCCGTATCCTCACCCTGTTGCTCCAAAATGCGTTTTATCACGTCCACAGTAGTTTCAGTTTCCGGGTCGTCCCTCTTCATTAGCTTCACCTGAAGAGTCATATAGGTTTTCAACCAGCCGATTCGCTCATCACTTAATTGCGTAAAAACACTAACAGTGATCCTGCTTTCCTCCGGCAGCCCGCTCGACATCTCTGCCGCAACCACGCGGTCTTGTGCATCGGTAAAGGAAATGACGAGGGAGCTGATCTCCTTGGCTGCATTGTTGATATCGGTCCAATCGCCATTCGCTGCGTTCTCGACACTTTGAACGGCATCGATGTACTTTCCAAGAATATCGCAGAATCCATCGGTCTTCGTCGCGTACTCATCGGCCAAATTCGTCAAATCCTTGAGATATACCTCCTCCACATCAGTGAGGAATGAATTGATGGAGTTGGCTGGCGCTTCGAACAGGTTGTTTATGTTCTCCGCGACATGACTTCTAGTCGCGTTGAGCTTGGCAATTTGCGCGTCTGCCACATCCTCTAATTTGTTTAGAGCAGTCGCGGACAAATGTATAAGAGCATCCGATACGACGGTATCCAGTCCTCCGATGGTTGGAAGCTTGTTCGACACCTTTTGGGTCAGGCTTCCTAATGTCTTTTCGAGTTGATCCTTGGTCTCATCCTTTAGACCCATGAGGATGTTTGTTGGGAGAAAAGAGATATTGGTGATGGCCTCCTGTGCCTTTTCTTTGATTGCTGTTGTCGCGGATCTGGCGTCTGATGCTAGGCCTGTGAAGTCCAAAAGAAGATCTTTGGAGGTTTGAACTGCGTTCGCAATCTGGCTAGCTGTGCCTTTAACGGCGGAACCGATTTCTTTAGCAGTTGTGGTGATCTTTTGTAAGGAGCTCAACCATCCCCTCGCCACAAGTCCACTGCTCCTCACAGACACGTCACTTCTTCGGCTTCCCTTCGGCACCTCGTCAGTCCACACGAACGAAGACAGCTGTCCATCAAGGGCGTCACTCATTATGACATCGGGAGATACTATAGGTGCACATTGGACGAGAGAAGAGCCCAAAAACCCTATAGCATAAAGGGCTATGATAAGCAGAAATTGAAATCGAATCATGGCGACGTGTAGAGTAGTCGATTGATACTTGTAGATCGTGCACAAATCAGATGAGCCCACCGCAATCGGTAGGAAAAAAATCCCTACTATTGCTATAATCGAGAAGTTGGAATAACTAAAAAAGAAATTACTGGCAGCAGGCAGGTATTTGTTACCTTCATAAAAGAAATCCGGCCTAAAGGACTTGCACGTATTCAGGGAGATTGCTGTACCAAAATACCTGGCCCGTAGATAATAGAACAATCCGCCTGGATAAGCAATATATCAACGGTAATTTACGCTGAAAGCACTTGGTTGAAGGCTTCTACAGAGTGGCTTGGCAACTAGAACCCTAAGAAGGATGCGCTTGCAGGGATCCTAAAGGATGAATTAAGGCCATCCATCCGCCCATTCGAATAGGGATCTTATTAGGCCATGGATCAATTGGATTAGGCCATCTCGCTTTAAATGAAGCTAATTTTAAATGTAAGCTGGACGTATCCTTCAGGCCCCCCCCCGGAAGAGTGGCGTTCCAAAAGTCTAAAACCCCTTATCCCGACAGGACTAGGAAAATATCACCCTAACAAAGGATCTTTACATACATCAAAGGCTGAGCTTACCCCTTTTAGGCCTCCCGTATAGGCGCTCTTAGCCCAGATTCGTTCTAGGTTCATTGGCTGAGCTGGTACCTTGCATGAGTTAAGAACGGGACGCACGGAGGCTGAAACGAGCCTCGATGGGGACCAGAATAAGGTCCAACAAAGTGCTACGACGGAGCAAATCAGAGCAGACCATGAATGTCAGGCGACAGCAGTATTTAGACTACGTAAATGTACTCTAAGAATAGAAATCAGCTATACTCTTAATTCTCACCGCTGATTGCACTCATTAACTCGCCACAAAGCCATACGGAATACCGTGTCGGGACCGGCCCGATCGCTCATAAGGAAGAGGGAAGCATCAGAGAGGAGGCTTGTGTTAGTTGGTTCAGGAGTTCATGAAATTCTGCATGTGCTAGCATGTCCGCAGTACCACTAGTTGTTTGCGGGCTCCTTGGGCTTCTGTATGATTTGTTGCTCGTCTAGCGGAGCCTGTTGTGGCTGATTAGCAACAATCATAGAATCAAGTCGGACAATATTTATAACTAGGGGGCTTTAATAGGGGGCCTGGGAGGCTTATAATTTGGCCTATAAGGCGAAAAGGCGGTTTGGACAAAAATTACGCTGTAGGCCATAAGCCGCCGGGGAACCTATACTCAGACTAACTGCCATATGTATGAGGCTATGTCTTTACTAGTTCTCTTTTAGAAAAGTACAGCTTAACTGCAGATACGAATACATCTAGAGACTCGACGTTATATTCTATTCGATGTTAAGACTAAATACCATTGTGAGGAAATGAATATATGGATGGCAACTCTTGCTCTATAGGAAGGAGGAGAGGGCGCTCAAAAGATGAATCAAGCCCATCTTTCCGTCTGTTCGAGTAGGGAACCTAGTGGGAGCTGCGGATCAATTGGATAAGGCCTATTACATATAATTTAAAACCGGTAACTTTTAAATGGTAAGCCAAGTCGGGCCCCCCATGTACTGTAGCAGTATGGGACCAAATACCCCGTCAAAATTATCCGTTTCAACAAAATATAAATAAATAACAGTCGCTACCGGCATCAGGAGGTGGTCTGTCTTCAGTAATTATATTTATACTGACTTACCCGCTTAGGTCGCAAAAAGAAACCATAACTTTTTCCCTCCGTGACCGTTCTTTACAAACTTGAAAGCCAAAGAAGGTCTTTGTTCAATATGCGGCTCATCTGGTGGTTACTTCAGTTAGCAATATTTGCACTGGCTTTGCCTGGAAGGAATCAGCGAAACAATCAGCCAAGGGCCCAGCCAAAGACACCACTGCCATCAACCTCTCATGTCCAGATAAAAACCAGCGCACCAACGCCAAAGCGAGGTACATTCCAATCCTTACACAACCTTTCTTGTTCGTAAGCTAAATATTTTTGAAGCAAAAGTATGCATGAAGAAACCCCAAACTATCGGACCTATCGGACCTGTCGGTATGATCAGAAATAGCTTTTATTTCTGGCCCACGCTGATTCTGATTGTCACAAAAAGCCCCTAGCCGCACACGAATTCCGACATTGACACCTTTACGGACATCGACGTCAAAGTCAGGTATATCTCAATTCTCTTTACCTTTCTAGCGCGAAAGCTAATTTTTTTGGAAGCCAAAGCATGCAAGTCAAAACCACCGCATAATGGTATGATCATAAGAAGCTTTTCTATATGATCCACACTGATTCGAGTTCTCGCAAAGTTCCTAGCCGCACAAAGATTTCGAAATCGACACCGACCCCGACAACAACAATCAGTGTTCACTCACTAGGCTGCTACGGATTGCCGGTTAGACCAAATCCTGGGCCGGTCTGTGTCTGCACGAATGGTCTCACAACACGGTTGACCGTTGCCTCTGAGTGCCCGACGACGATCCCGGCTGATTGGACCACGCCTGCGCCACAGCCAACAAAATCGACTAGTCAAATCCCCTACAGTTATTATAACATGACAAATGGGGCGCTCATCCACTGTGCATCGTCGGTGGTGACAAAATTAGACATTTACACGGGGCTAATCGAAACGTACTGCGCGGGTTCTACCTCGACTGACTCCAATACGCCGGGTGTCACCGAAACTACATCACTGTGGCCCGCTACCGAGAGCCCAGTCACATATGGAAACTGGGGATATTATACAGGCGTCACAGAAGGGTTGTCGACTTACAACTCTACACTGGCCGCATATAACCTGGCGGGTAGCTTCTACACGGCTTTTAGCAGCCTCTGCACCAACACTGGCACTCCTATCATTACAACTACCACGACAACTTCATGGAATACATTTGCGACGCTTCCAGGCGGTGCGACGGGTACGATGTCGACCATGGCCCAGGAGGCCACCTACTATAAGTGCGATGGAGAAAAAACCATGAGCGTCGCGCCTTGGTGGATCGATTCAAACGGCGGCATTGACGAATCTGGAACTTTAGCGGTTTCTATCATTGACTCTCTGTACTCTATAGAGAACCTCGATACATGGCTTTGGACTCTAGCATTTAGATATGCACATGCGACCGTCTCATCCGCCACTAACCAAACAATCTGGTCCAGCTCCAACAACGGGGGGTCGGAAACATCAGAATCCTCGGAATTCCCGGTCTTTAGGGTCCCAACTCAAGTCCAGCTTATTTACGGCGATAGTTTGAATAGCGGCGTGGGACTAGAGCGGCTGACGGGGAAGGCGGTATTTGAGATGAGCGCGGAAGAAGAGCTCGCGTGCGAAATTGCAGAAGAAATTGCGATGGCGTTTGAAATGTTGCTCGCTTTTGCAGCAGGGCCTGAAGCAGAAGCCGTCGGCATCGCTATATCGGATGGGGTGAGGGAAGCCGTACAGGATGGGATAGACACCTCTAGATTCTTCCTGGGTTGTCCGTCCGATGAAGATTAGTGAAGCTCGGTAATAGATGGTACCATTTCATCAAATTCTGCTTCCTCGTTTTCCGGTTAATTGTTCATCGAGGGCGTATAACTAGTTGGTTAGTAAAGCCTTCGTTGATATCTAATGAGACATTTTGAGAAGGCACTACTCCCACGGTCAAAATAATCCTCCCAACTAGATATCCTACTAGGCCTCGCCAAACCCGCCTAAAACCCAACGCTCCCATAGAAAACCCGAGGGCGGGCTCAATCCTATCCAGGAGCGAAGCAAGTCACGGAGTGCCAGATTTTATCTTGTACATTATCCTGTGGAAATGATAAGAGAGCAGTCCATCAAATCGATGCGTCAACAACAAAATGATCCTGTGTGTGTGACCGGGTGCCAGGTAAAGAAAGAAAGCGAACAAAGAATTCAATCTGAGTGCTATAGTCGACGGGAGATCCAAGTTGAGAGAAGGAAGAAGAGACAGAGGAAGAGTCTCTACTTATCTACAACAGTCTATGTCCCGTGTCACCTGTCAAACGCAGTCTTCAAACGCGGTGCTGTTCAAGGCAGTGCTGCCAAACACGGTCCCGTCAAACGCGGTCCGTCATGCCTGGTCACAGCCATTGAGTCCCTCTGTACTATGCGCTTAGAATATTAAGATTATGAGACTAATAAAATAGTTGCAACCTAGAAAATATATGTAGTTTCCAAATTGTGGCGGCTTGATTTAATCCTCGTCTCAATTGATGGTGGCGGACGGGCGGCGAACAAATCGGGTTATTACCTAAAGGGTTGTAGTGGTAGGTTCTGGATATGATCCACTCCTATGAGGCGTGAAGTAAATTTCAGTAGTGAACCCATAATACCAATCTATTGTTAGGAAAAAGATTCTGGCTAGGCAAAAACTTGGCATGCAACGTGTATTAGTGATATCACCATTTCCGGTTAACGTAATCAGTAGGCGAGCTGATCACCCCAAAACACTGTAGTAAAATACGATATTCTACAACTCGATATTTCAATAACCGCAAATTGATTGTATTTGATTATTAGAATGATAATATTGATAAGGAGAACAAACAGGATGGACTAACTTAAATTGAGATTAAATAATTATTTTACTACGTTGCCAAAAATATACCATGATCGAATGCTATGTATATATATTCCAACTACTAAATCTCAAAATCTCTTAAATCCTAATAAAGAAACTAAGTATGGCCTAAATAGTACTAAGATAGGAATAAATTTTATATTAATCTATTGTTGTAGAGATTTCATGTTGTAAAATATCTCATTTACTATAGTGTTTCAGGGTGATCAGCTCGTTTACTGAATACGTTAGCCCTCTATGCCAAATTACTAATATGCCATAATCCGTTGTCCCGTAAATTCAGATACGCCGAGACCGTCTAGCGGGGTGCGACCCAGGCGATATCTGGCGTCTTCTGAACCATAGCTCTCGCCATCACCGAGGTGGAAGCGGTGATTGAACGTACCTGCCACACCCAGCCAACAGACCATCCTTTCTGACCCTGTCGAACGGCCGCAGCCATGTAGGAGGGAAGGCTCGGGTCAACGTTCCAGATGTTGACAAAGCATGGGCCACAGTGCCTATCGGACCTAGAGGTCATTCGAACCTTCCCGTTGGACCCGTGGCGACGCTCGTCGCGACTTGATCACGGACATCGGATCAAATATGCCTGAATTGCCCGAGCCGGCAATGCCACCTATGGATGCTCACCGGCGTCAGTGTCCGGTATGGTCTGGTCGGGACAGGTCTGTTGGTAACGGTCGATCAGGTCGATTTCGTTTCATCCCGACATAGTCTTATACCGAATCAGGCTAATTCTCCTTTCGAATGATTCGTCATAGGATGCAAGCAGATGATTATCGGGTACGCGGCTTGCAGTATTTAACATTACTCATAGGCCGTGACAAGTACTGCGACAGCACCAAGTCTTGGCAGCACCAACCCTCTGGTCCTGTACTACAACCGGTTCATCTCCTCCAATTCCAGCTTAATACTTTCCCTCCATCACATCGCTTCAGCACAATGGTAACGGTACCCTTAATCATCAACGGCAAGGAAGAAGTCCCCTCATTTACCTTTGACGTGGTCAGCCCCTATACGAATCAAACGTGCTGGTCCGCTGCCGCAGCCACCCCGCACGATGCCCTTTACGCCGTCGAAGCCGCCGATGCTGCCTTTCTCGCGTGGTCGCAGACAAACCCTATAGTGAGACGAGATCTCCTACTCAAGGCTGCGGAACTACTGGAGCAGCGCCTTGAGCAGAATGCCGAGTACATGCGCATCGAGATGGGCGCAGATGTAGGTGCTTCGCAAGGATTCGTTGTGCCGCTGGCTATTCGCATGCTGCGCGAGGTCGCTGGCCGCGTCACCTCGATTTGTGGAAGGGTCCCTGTAGTAGAAGCCGAAGGTCAGAGTGCAATGGTCTTCAAGGAGCCGATGGGTGTTATTCTCGGTATTGTGCCGTGGTAAGTTCATACATGTTCGGTTGCTGCGCATATAAAGTTAATTCTATAGGAACGCGCCCTACGTCTTCGGTATCCGATCCGCTGCTTGTGCTCTCGCCGCCGGTAATACTACCATCTTGAAATCCTCTGAGTTGACCCCGCGCTGTTACTGGGCCATTGGCCGTGCCTTTGAAGACGCCGGTCTGCCCGCAGGCTGCATCAACATCTTGCACTGTCGCCCACAAGACGCCGCCGAGGTGGTGAACACCATGATCGAACACCCTGCCGTCCGCAAGATAAATTTCACCGGCAGTACGGCGGTAGGCCGTAAGATTGCGAGGTCGTGCGGGCAAAACCTGAAGCCATGTCTGATGGAGCTAGGCGGGAAGAACAGTTCCATCGTGTGTGCTGACGCGGACATGACGATCGCCGTGCAGGGCGTGCTTGCTGGTGCATTTTTGAACGTGAGCAAATTACCCGAATTCGAGGTTCAGTCCTAACTACCTTTTCTCTAGTCCGGCCAGATCTGCATGGCAACCGACCGCATCCTCGTTCACTCCTCCATCGCACTAGCCTTCACCGAAGCCCTGAAAGCCTCCCTCGCCGGCGCAGACCCCTCCGCCCTACCCCCGACTCTCGTAAACACTGCCTCTAAGAACCGCGTCGAAGCACTAGTCTCGAGCGCCGCAGCCTCAGGCGCACATTTCATCTCCGGCTCCGCAGAAACAAAGATCCCCACCGATGCAGGCGTGCGCCTAGCCCCAGCTATTCTGGGCGGCGTGAAAGAAGACATGGCCGTGTGGCAAGAAGAAGCCTTCGCCTCGGTAGCCGCGTGCATGGCATTCGAAACCGAGGACGAGGCGATCCACCTGGCGAATAGCAGCGGATACGGACTATCGGCGTCAGTGTTTACAGAAGATCTGCGGAGGGGATTGGCGATGGCCAAGAAGATCCAGTCTGGGTAAGTTTTGGTCAGGGTGCGGTTTTGTCGTCAGCTAATTGGGTTAGGGCTGTACATATTAATAGTATGACTATTCATGATGAGCCTGTTCTTCCTCATGGTGGGGTGAAGAATAGTGGTTGGGGGAGATTTAATGCAGAGGAGGGGTTGAATGAGTTTTTATCGACTAAGAGTGTGACTTGGATGGACTAGTCTGGTATTATAAAAGTTAATGCATAGGCGTTGTTTTTGAGTTTGGATTGGCTTGACGACATTTTTGAACAGAAATCACATCTAAATGAGACATACCATTTTTCGTGTTCCGTTGCTCTCAAACCCCTATTGTTAATTCGGGGTGGCCCCCGACCTTGATTGTATTAGACTAATGGTGCATGCTTCTGCGCCTGTGGTCCGTTCTCCAAATCCGTCCTGTCGCACTCCATCAAAATTCCACCCCTTTCCCTTTCAAATCCATCAGAATGTCAAGGGGATTGCCAACCATTTCCTAGAATATAGGCAACTCGAAGTATTCTGGATTTGGAGTTGTACCATGACCTCTCAATTTCTAGTCCTTCATAACTTAACATCTTGTCTTAGCCTGGCTTGCGAAGGCCTGCGCTGGCCCAGTGAATCACTGCTTCTAGAAAAAAAGGCCAGTGTTACGGCAAGAAAATAGACCAACCAACGACACAACAGTATCTATATATCAACTCAGGATGTATGGACGATACCTATCTATAATATCCAAATATACAAGATAGAAAATGTGCTATTAGCTTCTTATACAGTGATTCTCGAAATCGCCTTGACCAAAACACACTGAGAATCTTTTTCTGGCCCCACGGCCAAGGCCTTAACGTAATTCCCGGGTGAGTGGGTCACACAAGCGAGCGGGTCAGCCAAAACACCATAGTAAATGGGATATTACAACTCAACAACCAGAGCTTAATATGAGGTTCTATTGTATATTAGTACTTTTTGGATCATATATAGCCTATTTATGGGATCTAAAAGGTTTATCATATATTACGGTTCATAGATATATATTTGTCGTTGATGTAGCTGTATTTTTTGGTAATGCAAGGGAATATTTCTTAAATTTAGATTTAGGACTGATCATACCAGTTAAGATGCCTATTAATACTGCTGTACCGATAATCAAATCAAACTAACGCGTGGCTGTTGAAATATCGAGTTGTAATATATCCCATTTACTATGGTGTTTTGGCTGACCCGCTCGCTTGTGTGACCCACTCACCCGGGAATTACGTTAGTGCAGATCATTTATTAAGCGGGCCACACTAAGTTGAGAAACTTGGTAAGGATCCGTCTTGTATGGTATTATCTGTTACCCTGTAATATTACATCCTGCACTGACAGTTGGGCTGCAAACCTTGGTCACTATAGTATACAAATTCGCGTATTACGGCGGCCCTCAGCTTAGTGTGGCTAGCTCAATACATGATCTGCACTAAGGCCTTGGCAGTGGGGCCAGAAAGAGATTCTCAGTGCGTTTTGGTATATCGTTCATTTCGTGAGCTCTTAACGCGCACGAGGCAAGCAATGTTGATCGACAATGATGTTGGCTGATTGAATGCCAAAATTGTCCCCTCACTCACAGATCAATAGTGCTCGGGATACCAAAATACCAGCAAAAGACATTGTGCATCAGGCAAGCGGTGATATATTGGACAAATAGGTTATCAAGACGGCGCATGCTCAAATATGGAGGCCATATGAGCTTCAAAATGAGGCTTGTATGAGTATTTGCATTTATAGAGACAGCAGTATCTCTGGTATCAGGGTATAGATTTTCCCCATTGGAAGGTAGTCCATGGCTAGTGAACTGCAGTTTAATTATGCACTTTCCCTTGGAAAATGCTCTTCCGGGGTACCTCTTGGATCTCTGATTTTCACCCTCCAAAGAAACAGTGTTGATCCAATTAATCAGCACTGGCACTGAAAATTCCATTTCGTCTGTTTCTGCTATCACTATATCTATTCTTTAAAAGCCACTGTGCGCCGTGCTCTTACTGGGAAATTTATTTGGATACAACGGACTCTTTTGAACAGTCCGAGGAGCGCCGAATCTGGAGCGTTTGAGCTGTCATACCAAAATTATCTTCATATCCGACAACGACGATCAGATTTTGGTCTGAATTTTGGGAATATGATTTGCCGCATCTATTATAAGCATTTCTTCGTATTTTAGGATAATGCTTTAACTAAAGGCGAGAGGCAGAAGAATACAAGATCCCTTTTAGCCCTTTGTAGAATGAGTTTCTAAGAGGTTTCAGTTGGCTTAACATAGGTCCCTTAAGTTAGAGACAGGTAGGAAGAAGATAAATATCGCGATGAGAGGGAACTGAAAATCTCTGATGTCAATTTCTTGTGGGCGATATCTACGCCGGAATAGGCAAATGCCCGATGACGCGTCCGATGCCGTTTTCACTAGACGTATTTGTTTTCGAATGGTGAATGTCGAACATCAGTTTTGAAACAAAACATCCAAACTTCTCTATTCTGTATGAGAGGAGCTGGATAATGGTTGTTATATTATCCTGGAATCCGAATCATCCTAAACGAAAATCAAAGTGAGAGCCGTTATCAATTATTGGCCAAGTGAAAGGAGTTTGCGGGGAATTAAAGGTGGGGCTACTCTGCAGCGGGAAAGCACAAACTCAAAACAGAGGCCAGAAAACTTCGAGCGCGAAATCTCATTTAAAGGGCGGAACCCCCTCATCTGGAAATGTTATCACCAGATACGTTGAATCGATGAATCGGAGCAAAGAGATGAACGCCCTGAAAGATAATCCATCTCTTTCTGTTCGTACCGCAAAGCTCGATGGGACCACCTGGAAGACGCCTTTTCAGGTAACAAAAGAGATGTCGTCTAATCTTCCAGTGGTTATTGTCGATCACCTCATCGTGGGTGCCGGCCCCGCCGGAGCATCAATGGGTTGCTTTCTGGGCCAAAATGGCCAGGAAGGCCAAAGAGGCCTCATTATCAGCTCAGCACCCGCTATCTCAAATACGCCGCGCGCACACATGACCAACCCCGCAGCATACGAGTGCCTGAGGGACATTGGTCTAGAAGACGAGTGTTTAAAAGCCAGTGCCGGTGTTCGAGAGGCAATCCAGCATATCCGATATGCCGAGAGCATGCTCGGGCCCGAATACGGCCGCGTCCACTCATGGGGAGAAGGCTTATCCGACAAGATGGTGACCGTCACTCCATGCCGATTCACTGACCTCCCTCAGACCGAATTAGAGCCCATTTTGCTTCGTTACGCCGCATTGCATGGGTTCCCAGTACGTTTTGGCACCGAGTTAATTGGCTACAAGCTCAACGCAGACAACACGATCATCGTCAACGTGTACGACCGGATCAGCACGCAAACCTATCATATAAAGACAAGATATCTGTACGGCGCTGACGGAAGTCACAGCCGTGTAGCAAAGCTTCTGGATCTTCCATTCTCAACTAAACTGAGAACAGACAGAGCAGTGAATGTCCTCTTCAAAGCCGATCTCCGGGGCAGAATGGACAACAGGTTAGGTGATCTCCACTTACTCATGAATCCGGGGTCAGAATTGAAAGATCACGCCTGGTCGATGATGCTACGGATGGTTAAACCCTGGTACGAGTGGCTGGGTGTATGCTCGCTTTTCCCCGTCTAATTACTCCGAAGGCTAACTCCCAGCAAAGGTTATTTTTCCGAAACCTGGAATCACATTAAGCAAAGCACCAGAGCCGCAATCGTATATCGAGCCTCTTCGAGCGTGGATTGGTGATGATGATATACCAATCGAGGTAATCCGTACAGATCTATGGACTGTTCAGGAGAGCTACGCCAAATCTTGGAGTCGAGGAAATATGTACGCCAGATCGCTTGGCCCCAGTGGCGGTCAACCATGATGGCTAATGTACACAGATTCTGTCTCGGAGGTAACCGAATAATGTTGCGATATTTTTCACGGCCCCGCGATTGATGAGACTTAGATGCGGTGCATCGGCACCCCCCTACAATGGCACTTGGCTCAAACACCTGCATTCAGGATGCCTATAATCTGGCTTGGAAAGTTGGCATGGTGGAGAAAGGTTTGTTTCTCATTTACTACCCGTGACAATGTGTTCATGTATCCAGGACTGGCTGGGGAAGACCTCTTACGCACTTATGACGCTGAGCGACAACCAGTAGGAGCTGAAGTAACGCGACTGTAAGTCCTGCAAGCTATTCTATGCTTTCTTATATATCGCGACTGATTATACCGGAAGCTCAAATTACGGCCGTGACCAGGTTGCTAAGATACATGCGGCTCTGGGCATGATGGAAGATTCACGTGAAACCCGCTCAATGGCCGTTGATGAGCTCCGGGCCCCTACGTCTATAGGCGCAGCCCGCCGCGCTTCCTTCAAAAGAAGTGCTGTATTATCTTCTGCATCGACTCGATCACTGGGCGCTGTTTTCAATCAAAGATACACTAGTGATGCGGTCTACGCAGCCGACGAAGATACAGGGTTTGCGCCGTTGGAAAATGCAATAGAGGACTACATTCCTCAAACTCGCCCTGGGTGCAGGCTACCCCACTCCTGGTTGAATACGTATTCCCCTCAGATCAGGCTCTCTACGCAGGACTTGGCAGGAGGCGGGAAATTCACCCTTTTCACCGGCGTAGCAGGTGGGCCCTTATGGAAACCGGCGGCAGAGGCCACGTCAACCAAAATGGGCTTGGTGATTAGTTGTTTCTCGATCGGAATAGGAGGCGATTTTGTAGATCAGTACATGGAATGGACTGACCTGAGTGGAGTGGGAGAGGACGGTTGCCTTCTCATTAGGCCAGATCGGTATGTTGCTTGGAGGTGCCGCACTTGCAAAGAAATTGATTGCGCAAGGGAGATTGAGTTTGTCCTGCAAAAGATCTTATTCAGAAGCGGCATTTAAACGAAAGACAAGCGTATATCACACCTTGCAAGAGCAGAGCCATGCTTTTGCTTTCTATGGTCTTGCAATGATGGTGGACAGCATGTGGCGTGAACATGTAAAAAAATAATAACACATTTCAGCCATGATGCTAGCTTATTAGCTGGGGATATGGCTACCTTTATAGCGGACAGCAACATCCTAGCCTTCAGTCTAAAAGTCGAGTCTTTTTCTTTATTAATTGGAGCCAGGGTGCTGGAAACTGTTCTCATTCATTACAGCCTACACATGTCTGTCTGTTTGTCTTTCCCTTCACGTGAGAGCATCTGAAGTCACAATTCATAAGCTTACTTAGCTGGCAACTCGAGTAGGGTAGCAATATCAACGCCATCATGGAAGTCTTGCGCTTGCCACCCTTGGGGCGGTTTCGAGCAGACGGTTCCATGGCGATATGAACATTTCGCAACACTAATGTGTTCACCCTGTGCTGACGGCGGACGGCTTCACCATCCTCAGTCGACAGCCGCATTTTATAAATGAAATTGCGTTGTCGGTTTCTATGCTTACGACTTTCCGATTACAGAAGCAACCGAGATTGAGATCCAGCATCTTGAAAGTGCATTGAACAAACTATGTATTCGGCGAAGGCACCGTCTTCGAGCTGAACGCATTACCTCCGTGGACAAAACCGCAAATACGGTCACCTCTGGCGAATTGAGTCACACCTTTGCCGGTTTCTTCGACGATTCCGAAGTAATTGTAGCCAAGCAATGCCCCGGACGCAGACAGAAAGTCAACGTGCTTCTAATCCTCAGGGTTCAAAGCAACACAGACGACTTTGACGAGAATGTGATTTTCCCGGAGAGCTGGAAGCGACCGGTCGGTAATTTGTCTAGCGTCCTGCGGTCCGATGACCATGATAGCTTTCTGAACAGATGGAAGTGTCATGGGGTGATACGGATGGCAATATATGCGAAGATACGTATGACCCTCACTGTACGCAATGCTTGAGTAGCCCGGTCAAAGTAAGGAACAATTTTCCGACTTTAAAAGGTTGTTGCATTCTTCATCGCCCAACCTCAGCTGCAGGCGAGACGCCGAATCGACCGGTCTGAAGATTACTTCGGCCTTTTTCAAATTGGGAGTTTCTCTCAGGCCTCGCCCAAATCCGCCCACCAAAACCCAGCCCGTGCATTGAGTTTGATCTTAGAAGTCCCATAGGCGCGTTGTCATTTGGAAAAACCCCTAACCCAGGAAAGTGATCGTAAAAGTTCAATACCTGATTCGGCATTATCTCGAAGGGGTATATACGAGTCTCTCATAATACCGTCAAAAACGAGTACAACGCATATGACTTGCCAATTCTCGCGTCCGACCCAAGGTCGAAGGGGTTGTACAATGAGTGGAATCCATCGTAGAAATTATAACGGTATATTATGACCGAATAATAGACTAGTCCCTCGGATCGAACTGCGAAAGAAATGTTTTAGAGCGTAGCCTAGTGGGGTCTGAACATTACCCCGGCTTACTCGCTATATGATCAGAGGAATCACATAATTCTGGGACTTACTTAAGCTTAGCATGTCTAATTGGTCGGATTGCCCCTTGGTCGAGATTATTCCAACCGTCTTCTACTGCTGATGTGATACGGATAGCGTTAGAATTCACGAGGAATTTTGGATACGCAAAAATTACCAGCACATTGACGAGAGCACTCGAGCATTGCGGGGCTCCGTACAGGGAGTGACTGTTAGATTATTACTTTCGCTACGTCTATGCATAACGTCATCTCATTTTGAGTTCTAAATCAATACAGTAAGCCGAAATTGAACTGATGACTACAATCGACCGCTCTATAAATTGAACGGCGTCTTATCATGGATGTAACAAACTAAAGATTAATTCGACATGATACACAACCTCTAATAATCCGAGTCCCGTTATCTCCTTCCCACACTCGGAACACGACTGGGTAGGAGCTGAAGGGAAACCCCGTATTGACTACCATTCTTGAACCCATCTCGCTCTCAAATAATCAACCATAGATTCATCCATTCTTTCGATCTCAGAATCCGAAAATGGAAAGAATGGGCACAAAAGCCTTCACCATCACAATAATAGGCGGCGGCATAGGAGGCCTAACCCTAGCAGCAGGTCTCCTCCGCCGAAACGTCCGCGTGCAGATCTACGAAGCCGCATCTGAGTTCGCAGAAACCGGCCTCGGCCTCTCCATGGGACCCGCCGCACACCGCGCAATGCCATTGATTGATCCCCAGATCTGGGAAAGCTACGACTCCCTCGTTACGACTCACGCTGATAGTCCCGGCTACGAGTCCTTCAAAGACACATGGTTCGAGGTAATTTGGGCTAGCGGGGAGAAGGAGGGGGATCTGTTGATGGATCTTAAGGCGTTGCCGTCTGGTCAGACAACGGTGAGACGGGCCGATTTTTTGGATGCGCTTATTAGTTTAGTGCCGAGTGAGATTGTGCATTTTGGCAAGAGGCTGGACAAACTTTTTGAGCGTGAAAATAGGGTGCAGTTGAACTTTGATGATCGGACGACTGTGAGCGCTGATTTTGTGATCGGATGTGATGGGATCAGGTCGAAGGTTAAGGAGTCTATGCTTCCTGAGGAGTCGAAGCGCACCCGGCCTAGGTATAGTGGTATGTATGGGTATCGCGCTGTGCTGGGTATGAAGGATATGGTTGATGCTGTCGGCGATCAGCGGGCGAGGGTGTCGACGATGTATATTGGGGATGGTGCTTACGGGATTTCATATCCGATTATGCGGGCGGAAAAGGTGAATGTAGGGGTTTATGTTTTGAATGATAAGTGGGATTATGATACTTGGGTGAGGAAGGCGACAAAGGAAGATATGCTGCGTGATACTAGGAATATGGGGAGATACGTGAAGTCGCTTGTTGAGGTAAGTGACGATTATCTTCAGCTTTATTGCATTTTTTGATGGTTTTCCAGATAATACCGGACCCTTCACAGTGGGCGATCTTTGAGCATCCCCATATTTCTACTTTCGCTCAGTCGCATGTCGCTATTCTTGGGGATGCAGCCCATGCTTCTACACCGCATCAGGGTGCTGGTGCTGGGCAAGCTATCGAAGATGCACATGTGCTTTCAGAACTTATTGGCGACAGTCGCGTCAAGACTGCACAAGATGTCATGGCGGCTTTCAAGGCATACGATGAAACACGACGTCCTCGCAGTCAAAGAGTCGTCACTAGTAGCAAAGAAACTGCGAGTTTGCTCTGTTTGTGCATGGATGGTGTCGGAGATAACGAGGCAAAGCTCAAGGATACTTTCCAGCAACGTCTACGCTGGCTTTGGGATTTGGATGTGCAGGATCAAGTAGAGCAAGCAAGAGGAAAGATGGTTGCTTATATGGAATCCCAAAAGTTTAATTCTGCCTTGTCTCCACTATGACATGTATATAATGCAGAAGCATATCTTTCGATGCATCATCGCAGGCAAATTCTCGGTATAATAAATTAATATAAGTCAACTTTGAAGCTATAAAAAATTTCTGCATTGTCTAATCTCGGAGGGATTCAATACCTATTCACTAGCTAAAACAGATGTATGAAACAGATTCTAAAATCTAACGTTATATAACTAGTGCAAAGCCATTTCTTATTCTTAACTGTCAGAGTAGTCACCTAACTACAGATTTGTTTGCATTTTATAAAAGAATGCTATTATCTGCCTTTACATGCCTCCTTATACCTCTCACCTTGTACGACTGCTTGACATTAGTGTCTTTAGTCCGCTCAAGCGCGTATCTAGAAAACTAGTAGCAGAGGTAATAGTTATTAGCAACAATAATATCGGTAAGGAGGATTTCTTGTCTCTCAATCTAACTACTTGCGAAATGGTGTTTACTAGGGAGAATATACGTAGTGGTTTTGCAGGTGTAGAACTTATCCCGCTTGATCAAGAACGGGTTCTTAGAAAAATTACGTTCTAACTTCAGACACCAATATCACCTTTTGTTGACGTTGAAGGCTCTATATCCTCTATTTTTTAAACGCCTAAGAATCCCCATCAACTCGATTACAAGGTCCGGAGTTTACAGAGAAGCCCTCAAAAACGAATGCGTTCTAGTAGTTCAGTATCTCATATTCCACTTCTTGAACAAGACGCGCAGATGGCAATGAATATGAACCTTCTTCTTCAATAAAAATCCAAGGTTCTACGGAATGAGAATAAGCGGAAAGTGCAAAAGAGGGCAACGAGGCGTGCTAATCTTGGTGATGATCTGGTTTTATTTGTACAGAAAGGTCAGTATCGAGTTCAACAGCTTGCTACGCAGCTTCATGAGCCGGCTAACGAGCCTACACCTAGGCTAAACTAGCGAGCTCCGCGACACTGCAGTGCCTGCGCTTGGACATACTATAAAAGGTTGTCCTAATACGTAACTATTCAGTTCATCTTTAGATATTCCAATTTAATTATCTTTTGCGGTTGAAATCTTTCAAAATCCTATGCTTTTGGAGAAATGGACGGGTCGGTTGTGTGGACGACTCGTATGTGAATTGTGTTAATCAAATTAACATAAAAGGCTGCAGCGTGTTTCCTTGTCGTAGACTTCAATCGAAAGAGGCAATTGCTTCATTGGGGTTAGCTCCACGTTGACACTCGGGGCTGTCTTAATGTTGGAAGACTATGTACTCGGTAGGTATTCTGTGCATTACAAGTAAGCATCGTAGATGTAGTCTTAATGCCAGATAGGTGTCAATGTGGCATGACAATACCTGAAAAGCAGCCGATCCACCAAATAGTTATATTCCAGCAGTTACTGCGGAATTGGAGCACATGGTCAGAGACATGCATTGAAAGTCGTCGTCTGACATGAGTCTGTGTCCAGTAGTCAACTAGCGTGGGAGGTTGTAGCTTTCTCCACGCCTTAGGCCGGACTCGAAATAGGCATTTGCCTCATTGGGATTAGCTTCTCATTGACCCTCAGGTTGTGGCTCCCCAGCAACCATCAACCTGCCGTGATTAGCCGGACTGGGCGTGAGGCAATGCGGGGTCGTTTCAGGGGTGTCTCCGGAAAAAACACTCCAGTTCTGCGCTCACCTTTTAGAAATGGGCAACGCTGGTTCCATGTCACGAACGGAACGGCTTGAGAGTTATCAATAGTTTATTTTACACCAAGGAACTAAGGCACGATCTTGCAGGACGCAACCCGGGAAAAAACTGTGCCACCTTCCTCAAAGAGTTTTTTTTTTACTTTTCTTTTTGAACCTCATGAACCTAAATGGGATTAGTCTCACAATATCAATAAGAATAGCGGCATCATTGTCATTTTCGCTTCGACCTGACTCACTGAGTTAAGCTCGACTCGGAATCTGCTCAATGCTTCGAGAACGCGTCTCAGGTGGCTAGGCCAGGATATTTCCCGTTCACTAGAATTTTTTAAATTGTCTAAAGCGCGCACATATATTTGATTATCGTCACGCGTCACCCACAATAAGAGATAATCAGCAGAGGAGTGATTGGATGGGGCTACTCAACCGTTCAGCGCTAAAGTCTTGTTACATCCCGCGGTCAAAATCAGCTGCCATACTAGCCTTTTGGGGAATATGTATCGGTGGAATCTAGCGAGATCCAGCTAGTATATTTCTGCTTGTCATTTACTGCCTCGGTGAGTGCACTCTCCTCGCTTAAAAGGCCCCGTGCTTATGAATATCTGCGACCACTGATTTAATTGTTGCTACCTGTCACGCTAAGGATGGATAACACCCCTCAGCTCGATCAGGCTTATGTGGAGTGGAGCTTGTCAAAAATAAATTGCATTTACGCCAAAATTAATAGATGCTTAGATGGCAACACTCGCGAACATTTGATGATAAGAGGTCCACATCTCACTGTCATGAGTCGAACCTACGCCTTTTGTTTGAGCTCAGTGCAGAATCAGACTTGACCCTGAAGAACGCAAATTAGATTCTACCATCCTCACTTACTTTCCTCTCCTTCCAAGACACCATCGCTTTTTCTTCATTTTAGACTGAGTGTTGGAATCCATTACCGGGGCCACTAGTTGAGCACTACTTGACGCAAGAATAGACGTCCCTCCACTTCATTTTGAGACGAACTCGTAATCGATTCGCCTGCAATGGAGCTCTATCTGCACTTATTCATCCTCACAGGAGTTGTTATTTTCTTGGCCACCTTACGGGCCTGGCTTACTCCAAGGAAGCTTTTTCCGCTGCCACCTGGACCGAAAGGGAAGCCCATAATTGGAAACTTACTCGATCTTCCCGCGGCTGGCAAACAAGAGTGGCAACATTGGCTCAAGCACAAAGATCTGTATGGTCGGTAACGTTTGTTTTTCATTTTTGGCTCTGTTTGACCTTGCCACCAAGAATGCTAATGTGTTATTCAATCTGCCTTTTTTAAAGGCCCGCTAAGCTCCATCACAATATTTGGACAAACAATTATTGTTATCAATGATCGCCAGCTTGCGAGCAGAATTCTGGACAAGAATTCAGCGAAACATTCATCTCGCCCTATTTCAATATTCGCCAATGAATTGTAGTTTGCCACCCCAACCTCTCCCACCCCCCAAAACGCCTTGTTTATTTGTTTTTTTCGTGGATAATGAGCCTAAGTGAAGGTTTCGTGCATGAGGAAAACATCGAATTGCCCGCACAATGGTAACTACAATACAAGATGAGCTGACATATCACAGGTCAGGGTGGAGTAAGGCACCGTCGAGTCAAGATAACACAACTCTCCTTCGATCATATCGTAAAGCCATGGCTCGTGTCATCGGGTCTCGCTTCACAGCTTCTAAATTTGATGCTATGCTGGACGTGGAGGCCCGAAGATTCCTCTGGCGGGTGCTTCACAATCCAAAGGACTTTGTCGATCATACGAGGACGTGAGTCTTACCCTAAATCTTCTTCGGAATTCAGTATCCCATGCTAAGCTTCCCGAGAGGAGCAGTGCTGCCGGTGCATTCATATTGAAAATTACATATGGCTATAATATTGAGCCCCATGGAAAGGACCCTCTGGTCGAATTAGCCGACCTGGCGCTGCAGCAATTTTCTAACGCCATCGTTCCTGGGGCTTGGTTAGTTGACCTACTCCCAGCCTGTGAGTTTTTACACTGCCTATGTTCTTCAACAGTAGGTATCTGAGAAGGCCATCTCTAACTCGCTAACAGTGAGGTATATCCCGGAGTGGGTTCCGGGCGCTAGCTTCCAAAGAACTGCTCGGTACTACGCCGAAACATTAACCAAACTTGTGGAGAACCCATTTGCGTTCACGAAATATCAAATGACCAAAAAGGGCTACCAGCACTCTTTTGCATCATCTCTCCTTGAGCAAGGAGAGAATGAAGAGGTTGTCAAATGGACCTCGGTCGCATTGTATGGGGCCGGGGCGGATACGGTCCGACTTACCCTCAAAATCTCTCACGTCTGTTATCTTACTGATGAAAACTAGATTGTATCTGCTCTAGAAGGCTTTTTTCTTGCTATGATGCTCTTTCCAGACGTTCAAAAAAAGGCCCAAACTGAAATTGACACATTGACTGGCGAGCGAAGGTTGCCGACGATATCAGACCGAAAAGAATTACCATATATCGATGCAGTCGTGAAAGAAGCCCTTCGCTGGCACACGGTGGCACCGCTCGGCGTTCCTCATAAGACCGATGAAGATGATATGGTGGATGGTTACTTGATACCAAAAGGTGCATTGCTGTTGCCGAATATTTGGTATGTTCTGGATCAATGACGGCCTTGCCCTCCCTGTTGACAGATCACTAGGGCCTACAACCACGATCCAGCAACCTATGCCGTTCCTTCCAAATTCGAACCGGAGCGGTTCCTTGCTTCTGATGCCGCCGATTCCGCGCCTGACCCTCACGACGTAAGCTTTGGTTTCGGACGAAGAATATGTCCTGGCCGCCTTATCGCAGATACATCTATATTTCTCACAATCGCCCATACTCTTGCTGTTTTCGACATAACGAGACCTCCTCAACAGGAAGGCCATGAATTCGAGTTGAATATCGACTTCACCCCGGGAATCATCAGCCACCCGGAGAAATTTGAGTGCATATTTACACCGCGGGGCCCCAGCCATCGAGAGTTGATCCTTGAAGTTGAGCGAGAACATCCATTTGAGCATAGCGATGCAAACACGCTGGCCCAGGCCTTGATTTACCAACAGGCTAAGCCACAAAGTTGTTAGATAGCAGCACACCCACTCGGGAATAATTTAGTTCTCCGTATCTCCTTCAGCGACTCTATTATATCTTAGTAGCGATGTGCGACGTCGGCCTGACTAAATGGCATCATGATGGCGTTGAGACTCAGGCGAAGTCGAAGAGTCAACGTAGAGACCTGATCATGGAGATCATGAGGGAGAAGAAACGAATGGAGTGAGTTTTATTGACTAAGTGATCTCCCAGAAGGGAAGGTCTATCTAAAAGCAGTGGTGGGCGCTGACACCTCAGGCACCCACCTGATCACATCAACATACAAATGCATGAGCCTTAAAAGGTTCCCAAGGACAAGGGTGAGAAGAAGAGAACCTTTGGACTTCCTAACCCCAGGAAGCTAGACCTAGGTGGTCTGCGGCGGAAGTGTTACGGCTGGCAGGAGGGGAAAGTTAGGCGTCACTTGGGGCACGCCACCAGCCCTGCGAGAAAGGGGTAGCCAGATAGTTAACAGAAAGCTTATCCGGTCATAAACCAAAGCATAACGGAGATTGGAAGGAAAGTGTTCGTCGAAGGGAGGCTGACGCTCCAGGTCAGCAATAGATCGATAGCCAGTCATGTGGGAGTCGCTATTGGTCCTGGATGAGGCTGTAACAAGCCCAATAAGCTGATCTGATGGACGAATTAACAGCCAAATTGCGCCTGAGCCTTGCTTTTTTGCCGTATCACGGATTTTGGGATACATTTTCTTCAGTAAAGTGGCCGCATCGGCCGCGCCTTCTTCGCTGTACGTCCAACGTTGAAATCGAATGACGTCATGCTGATCAGGTAAGGTGAAGTTGCAGGCTCCGATCACATCCCAGCACCGATGTTTTACGTCCTTGAATAATGGCCGACTCCAAAATTTGGACTTGGTCTCACCTTCACCCACTTCAAAGGTATGGGTAGTCCAGTCCACGTACTCTTTCACATGGTCCTGTGAATCGAACAGATATCCACCACCGACCAAAAGGCTTCCAGTAACCGCATCATATCGACAAGGCAAGTATTTCAGATACATGCCAGGCCGATCATCCATCTGCCTCCGCTCTTGCTCTTGCATATTGACCACATTCTGCAAAGGTCCATCATAATCAAGTGCAAATTCAGACGTAAAAGCTGCTTTGCAATTTATTTCGCCCAAATTATACCCTTGGATGCCAGTCATAGTGTAATTTTTCTTTGAAGAAATGCGAAGTCGAAAGATATGAATCATGGGCGAACAGATTGTTGTGTCGTGCATCTTTGCCGTTTTAACTATGTTTCAAAATACAAAATTGAAATTGCGTAATAGCGCACGCGACCATGATCTAAATCTTAGGTTCAGTTTTTCAAATTAGGCATATTCCAAATAGTATGAATGGGAGGGACCAGAAACGAACAGTTACGTCATTTGGTTCGGTTTCTGGCCCGCGTTTAGTGGACCTTATCCGGATTGAGTTACAACCAATTGCGATTAGTCCAGGCTCTGGCCCAGGCTTGCCTTTCGTCCCCACTATTATGACAAGCGGGACAGACGGGTGGAATATTAAATTACAGGAACGATCACTGCATGGGAAATATCTAAGACATAGTATCAGAGTTGCCACTTGACTTGAACTCTTGTAGGTGGCTAAGAGTTCCAGAAACGATTTGAAATCAAAATCAGTGAAAAAAAACTTGCGCGACGATGCATGATGCATTATAGCATCGTCGCGCAGAACATGAAATAAGGTTCATGAATATAATAGGCGGAGGTTAAGGCGCTTAGATCATCCTCGCACAAGCACCCCACGGTATCTCATTCTACCTTCTCGAAGTGTTTTCATTGCATCTTCAACTCCATCACGTGTGAGCGGAAACTTCATTGTAGTTGGAATGATCCTTTTATCCGCAGCAAACTGGAGAAGGTCGCGGAGAGACTGACGTGAGGCGACCATAGTGCCCTGCACGCGTAATCCTTTCGAAATCATCGGAAATGATGGAATTGAAGATGGGGAAAACTCCACGGTCAGTGGATATATCGATCCATGTATGTCCATAAGAGGAATAATACTAAGGTAGGTTGTTAGCTTGTGAGAGACCGCTGGTTAATGAAACGTGGAGACACTAACGACGCGTAATCAACACCACCATTTCCACAAAGCAACAGATGCTTCACAGGTTTGAAGTTGAGCTCCTCACCCGGTTGAAAGATGTAGTATTCAGAAGCTCCGAACCGTAATGCCTCCGCACGCTTAGCATCCGATCTGGAGATGGCCACGACATGGCAGCCCATTGCCGCAGCGAGCTTGATGGCCAAATGGCCCAAACCTCCTAACCCCATAATACCAATACGATCCGTAGGCCGTATACCATACTCAGTCAAGACAGTCCAGACTGTAGCCCCGGCACACATGAGGGGAGCAGCATCGGCAGAGTCGTACCCGTCTGGGATAGGAACTAAGCACCTAGAGTCCCAAACAGTACCTTCGCCGAATGAGCCAAGGTCAAGATCGTGAGTGCCGTACTGCCTCTTGTGCTCGCAATATTGGTCCCATCCTATAGAGTGATTTAATATCTCACATTGTAAAATGAGTCCAAAACACACCAGTCAAGCATGGCTCACAGTTTCCACATACATAGTGGATAAGACCAAATCCAACACGGTCTCCCAGTTTCAAGTTCTTCACGTCCTTGCCTAACTGTCGGACGATTCCCACGCCCTCGTGCCCTAGTGCATTTCCGGACTTCAAGAAGTGCTCGTCTGAACCACATAGCCCAGAATGTGTTATTTCGACATAAGCTTCGTTAGGCTGCAGGAAACGTGTTGTCTTATCAGCCACTATTTTCCCGTCTTGGGAACCTCGAAAGACATCAAACGAGATACTCATTTTGAGGATCAGAATCGTAGTGTCTCCTCGGTCAGATTGAAAAAGCCGAAGGGGGTAGAATGGACAGTGGAATATAAAGAGAAGACCGTGTCCTGTTTGTCTTCGAAGGCTCCTTATACCTTTGGTCTTCCAGAGGACTGAACATTCTAAGTCCTTTATGGGAATACAAATATACTAAAACAGTATTTACTCTTTCCGGTTAGCATTGTCACTAATGTAAGCTAACGTAATATGTAACTCAAACGTGGGAATGTATCTGCATACGCAACCTTTGTCGATATATTTGTCGTCGAAGTTAGACCCGGTACTTGTGAAACTGCTATTTTTCTTGACGACCTATAAAGTGGAGAACATGAACACTATAAAAATGCCGCATTCGGGCTTGAGTTCGATCTACTTCCTAAAATTATTATCACTGTCAGACTGTCATTCTTAATACGCCATTCTTGATCTCTCTCGTTCGAATTCTTTCGAGTGTTCCTCTATGTACGGTATAAAAGCACGATTGATTTGGTACAAGAGAACAAGAAAAGATTTTATCCTCTGTCTTAAATTCTCTTGGCACGGCACTGATCCCAGCGGTCAATTCTTGGCGGATTATAGTACCTGATACAGTTAATGCGTAATTAATTACAGCCGGTTAAATACATACGTTAGGGGTTCCCCAAAACCCAACCAGTCTTGGAGATTTTTATTTCCTAGGATGGTTAGCATAAAGGAAACCAAAAAATCGCAGTCGATAGAGGTTGGTGGCGAGAGCAGAGGCGGTACAAACATTCAGTAAAGAATTATAACTCGTTCGTCTTCCCCTGGTAAGAATAACGAAGCTTTTCAGTCCTATCACTAAGCTCACTGATATTTTGAAGCACCGAAAACAAGAAACAAATTAAGATACACTATAATTACACATGTATATCAAGGTATCTGTTTTTGCAGGGTTAACTTTTCCGGACCACAAACCCAAGGCAGCAGGGTTACATATATTTGGTACCCAAGCAAAATCCATCAGTAAATTCTGAACATCGTGCCACGCTGTAATCTTCAGCGTTCCCAATACCTGGGTCAGTCTCAGTCGGAACCATTCTCGCTGTTCCTTTTCATACGAAGAGGACCCCCCCATTACCAGAAGCCAGACCCTGAGACGCAAGGAAGCATGATCACTAGATTGGATCGGCAAAGATGACAACAGATCTTGAAGTTCCGACACCGCAATCTCTCGTGCGTATTTTGAACGAGGGATGGGAAATACAACCAATATACCGTATAATAGCGCTGCCCATCGACACGCCTGGTATATGAAGAGACTGATATCAGCTTCCGCCGAGCTCCCTGGTAGAGTGGTAAAACCAGCGCGAGATTGCATCGTTGGCGCATCATAATCCGAAGGAAGAGACAACAGCGTATGGATCACGACATCGCGAGTGTCAAGCATGGCGTCCATATCAACATTGGTCATTTGGCCGGTAGAATATGCATCTAGAGCCATGGAGAAGTCTCCCAGCGACGTGAAGGCATTCACTAGATTGTCGGACAATCCGACATTCTTTAGGATCTCGAAACCTCCACCCATGGTTAAACATGCGGGTTCACATAAGTTGAAGTTGACTAATTCTTTATATTTCTTCATTTGGCATGGTCTCCCCTTAACATCCAGCAATGGATATGCAGGCGGGGAGAGCGTAGTTGAAGCCACGTTCAATGCCGCGCTATCGAAGTCAGCCGACTAAATAAAAATTCCCTGTTGCTGCAGTTACGACTTAGGCCGACAGAGTACTCACCAGGTAATTACCCAAGGAAGGCCAAAGGAGCTAATCTTTTCTATGCCACCGCATTTTTCAACAAGCTGCAGAACAGCATTCCAATGTACATTTCGGCAAGCGAGAGCGCCATAGGTATCCAACCAGCGACCACTCGTCAAGATGGGATAGAAAGGCGATGGATCTCGGGCCATCAGCAAACTTTCACCCTGTACATTTGTGGCAAGGCATATAGTGATCATGATGAGATCTTCGAGCGTGTTTGCAGAAGTTGTCATGTTGTGACAGTTGATTTGATCTCTTGTTGCAACGAGGGCTCTCGTTTCCAAGGAGACTAATTTCCCCTTATCGCGCGGCTTCTGCCCTGCCAAACTCAAACGAGACGATAAGTGACAACGCGCAGAAAATACAAACGCGTGATACAAAGCTGGATTCTCAAGGCTCCGAGGTAGCCAGTACTTAGGAAAAGGATTGACCGACCCTTCGAAATTGTAGCGGAAGCCAGGCCACAACCTTGTGGAGATGTGATCGATGAGTTCAGAGTCATCAGGTTTGCCTATGGGCAATGATAAAACACCAAGTCGATCCAGCGGAGTTCTTGTTTCCTGGGCCTTGTCCGAGGTTGCTTTTTCGGTCATTTCCGTGTCGATATCACTGTCCTTAGGCGAGACTTTCTGCATGACCATTGCTTCGCTGAAGGCCGGCGAGGCAGGTGGCTCGTGTCGCGCACATCTTTTTCGCAGAGTTTCGTTCGCAATATGTCTCCTAACGGACCCTCGCTCCTTTCGAGCCATACCGCCGTGGTGGCCTCTGTGCTCAACGAAAACAAAGTTGGCGTTCCGACCCACTAGGCCCATGTTGCCGACAAAAGCAAATTATGCTTGTGGTGGAAGAGTCTCGTATGGTCCACCAAGATCGAACCGATTGAAGTCAGCAGAAGTAGTTTGCGGTTTGCTTGAATATCAAACTTTATGTTGAAATAATATGCCACAACTTTAAGAGCATTTTCAGATTCGGTGTATGACGAGAAAACCGGTCCAGCTGTGGTACCCCGCCGGCATCTTGGCCCGGCATGTTAGTAATAGGCCCACCCACACCGCTTCCCAGAGTGCGCCAGACCGTAACAGTCATTCACACCGTAACCGTCAATTTGATCAAACCACCCATAACCATACTTTTCGAAGCGATATCTTCCACCCAACATGCCTGCACCCTTTAAATTTGACGAATCTCGTATGCGACGCATGATTGAGGCCTGCGAAGCCGTCCAAGCCGAAGAAAACCCAAATATCGCTAAGATTACGCGTGAATATGGCGTTCTTTGTATGGCCCTACGCGACCGCATCAGGCTTCCGACCTAACGAGGGTACATCAAGAAACGTGATTGCTTCAAAATCCAAATCTTGTCCTGATCTTACTGAAACTCAGCGAGGTGAAAATATCACCGCTGTTGAATGTATCGCTGCCGATGGTTGGCAGATAGACCCGCTATTCATCTTTAAAACTTCGACTTCCCCTGAGTCTGACCGCCATCAAAAACGCGCGATGCGAATCGATCGATTGCAGTGAGGAAGGCTAAAGAAGCTGCCGCAGAAGAGAGACGGCTAGCTTGTGACCAGGCGACTGAGGCTAATGAAAGCCGGGATGAATCCTTTGATGCCGAAGAGGATGACTCAGCCTCGGAATAGAGACTCTCTTCCACAGTCTTGTACGACGACACTTGATCTTGAAGGGAAGGAGGCTATGGATCATGATGAGGATGATGACGACGATGCTATCCTCCTTTGCCTGACACCCAGCAGCGTGTATCTAGTAGAAAGCGCAAGCGCTCAAAGCTACTTGATGGCTACGTACTTGGGTTTCAATAATTAATTATTTTTCAAATTATACGACGCTTTTCTCTGAATTCACTTTCTCTCTCTGTGTATTAAAAATCACAAACAAATACACGGTAAAACTCCCTAAATTTACACAACTTAAGCCAAAGCGAGCAAGTCACGTTTTAGACCTGTTTGTCCTGTTTGTGGACCCTGAGGGTCACCCGCGTCGAGATGTCGGACCCTCCACGCACCCGTGGGGCGGTGCAGGTGGAGGGTTTGGAGCGTCACCCGCGGGTGAGTGCCAGGTCTACCAACTAGTTACTAGAGAGTATGATTGGTCAATACTAGAGTTCCTAGGGCAGCCCGTAGGGATACCCGCTAAGAACCCAGATACCCGCGGGCTGCCCGCGGGCAGCCCGCGGTGAGCGACGGGCAGGTAGTTAGGACCCGGCCCAAAGCGGGCGGTGACGAGGCCTCGCTTGATCTCCCTCTAATCTTCATCCAACGCAAAGAGCAGCAGCAATTCTGACGACATTCGAATTCATGACATGTTTCTCCTCCATTTGCCAAAAGAAATACTGTTATTACTAGTGACGTTCCTAGAAGCAGAAAAGGATATCAACTCGTTATGTCAAACCAACAGCCAACTCCACACTCTCTTGAATCCATACCTCTATCGACACAATTCTATGAATTCTGGCAGTTCTGCACTAGAATGGGCTGCCAAGTATGGAAATCAGGCTACAGCTCGGATGTGTATTCAAGAAGGTGCCCAAACCAGTGTGACGGATAACCTTGGCTACATGCCATTATCCTGGGCGGCGCAGAATGGGCATACAGCGGTGGTAAAGGTATTACTTGAAGCTGGTCAGGTGGACGTGGACACAAAAAACTCCTGCGGTGGGACGTCCTTATCCTTAGCTGCTGAAAATGGGCACGAGGCGGTGGTGACGCTATTACTTGAAACTGAGCGGGTGGACGTGAACTCAACGGACTGCCATTCTCGGACACCCTTATACGGGGCTGCTGTGCATGGGCATGAGGCAGTGGTGAAGCTATTACTTGAGACCGGCCAGGTGGATGTGGACTCAAAAACCTCCTCTGGTGCAACACCTTTATCCGGGGCTGCGCGAAATGGGCATAAGGCAGTGGTGGAGCTCTTACTTCAGACTGGGCAGGTGGACGTGGACTCAAGGAACTCCCATAATGTGACACCATTACTTCTAGCCTCTCATTACGGACATGAAGCGGTGGTGAAGCTCTTACTTCACACTGGACAGGTGGATGTGTGCTCAAAGAGCTCCTCTGGTGCAACGCCTTTATCTGGGGCTGTGCGAAATGGGCATGAGGCGGTGGTGAAGCTCTTACTTGGGACGGGGCAGGTGGACGTGGACTCAAGGAACTGCTATGATGCGACACTATTACTTTTGGCTTCTCAGCATGGGCATGAAGCATTGGTGAAGCTGTTACTTGACACCGGGCAGGTGGAGGTGGACTCAAAGAACTACTCTGGTGAAACCCCGTTTTCTAGGGCTGCGTGGAATGGCCATGAGAAGGTAGTAGAGCTCTTACTTCAGACTGGACGGGTGGATGTGGACTCAAAGAGCTCCTCTGGTGCAACGCCTTTATCAGGGGCTGTACGAAATGGCCATGAAGCGGTGGTGAAACTCTTACTTGAAACTGGGCAGGTGGACCTGGATTTAAAGAATTCTTATGATGAGACACTATTACTGTTGGCTTCTCGTTATGGGCATGAGGCAGTGGTGAAGCTCTTACTTGACACTGGGCAGGTGGACGTGGACTCAAGGAACTTCCATGGTGAGACGCCCTTGTCCCTGGCTGCTGAAAATAGACATGAGATGGTAGTGCAACTGCTACTTGGGACTGGGTAGGGAGAGGTGGATGACCATGATAGCTGGTGCTCTAATGGTAGATAAGAATTTTCTGATCTATAGCCACGATGCTAGAACACTTGGGAAAGACTTTCTAAACCACTGTATCTCGATACCAACGCCGAGAAAGCTTTCGGATTGCTCCTATTTCTTCTTGACGACAAGCATGAACTGGTGGGCGATCTCGCAAAATCGCTCGGGACTTCCCTGCTTGGGCTGTTCAGATAGTAGATTCTACAAGAATCTATGGACCGTTACCATATTATAACAATGACTCATTTGTTACTATGAACTAGCAGGTACCTCTACAGGTGAGCTGGGACCGTTGAGAAAGTAGTCTATTTGTTCTACCATAATGTCAATCATAGCCATACAGCGTCATCTATCATTCGTTACTCAGCCCATTTATCCAGGCCTAGTCCATCTGGGCAAACATCTCCAGCGCTTCATCTAACTTTCCAAATACACCACTATGCCACCCCTTCAACGCTTCCCACTCCTCCCTCGGCAACATGCCCCGATTCATGCGCAACCACCCCCCAACAATAAAATCCGCATAACTTGCCCTACTCCCCATCAGAAATGGTCCACTCGCATCCCTCCTATACAACCTAGCAAGCCCGCCTAGGGTCTCCTCGAATGACCTCAACACCTCCCCCCGCTTCTCCCCGCTAATCCCCATATCCTCCCACGGCACTCCCGCCCTCCGCGAGAACTCCGCCTTGCTCTCCTCTGCGGTAGCCGGATCAAAAGGAAACCCTTGAACTATCAGCTGCGTATGCGCAGTAAACGCAGCATCCACATTGGTATTGAACTTCGCGTACGCCGCAATATGCCCCTCCGCCGCCTCCGCCTCCGCAATTGGCGCAAAAAGCTCCAAGTCCTGCCCAAAGACGTACCCTAGCTCCTGTGCCGGGAACAAGTCCCCCGCCCCCGAGGACGGGTATTGTTCCTGCAGGTATGTCGCAATTTCAAAGGAGTCACCCACTATGCGCCCGGTCGCTGGGTCGGAGATAACGGGAAGGGTTTGGTAGGGGGATCCGTCGACGAATTTGCGCGAGGCGGGGATGTTCAGAGCGCCGCGGACGGAGCTGATATCGGGCAGAGGCACCCATCTTGTTTTGTATGGAGTTTTTTTGAAGTTCAGGGCGTGGCGGGTTTTCCAGGGGTTTGGGGAGCAGGCAGTCTCTGCGGCGGGGGGGCGAGGGCGATGTCATAGAAGGTTATTAGGGCCGTCGTGGACGATGTAGTTGAGGTCGTGGTCGTGGTTGTCATGGTGAAATTTGCACGACGAATTGGAGTCCAAGGAGTTGGTGGAGTGTAATGGAGTCTGTTTGGAGCTGTTGATTGATCCCTAGCAGAGCAGTTCTATATACTAACTATGAGGCGGTGATTCAGGATGAGTCATGCCGGATGGGGGCCGCGTGCGGTATGTACCGACGAACTATAACTATTACACAGAGTGACTCGGACTGTTCGATTGTTAAATCAGGAGAGTCTTCGCCAATTTTATGTCTAGGCCAGAGCCCATGCCTTGAAATGCTCTTTTATATTGTTTTTGGGTGCTGAGATCATGGACGGCGCGTCTAGTGGACCTCGTCCACGGTCTTCTCGAACTTCGCCAGCTCTTCTGGTGAGATAGGATATGTGTGTTCTTGCGACGGGAAAGCCCGGCTCTTGACCTCCTCGCGGTACTGGGCAATTCCCCGCGATGCCTCGCCCCAAACATCGGCAAACTGCTTTACAAACTTAGGCACGAAGCGACCGGGTTGGAAGTAGCCTGTCATGTCGACCTGCACCAAAACCTGGCCCGAGCAGCCATTGCCAGCCCCAATGCCAATGGTGGGAATCCGGAGTTTCTGGGTGATGATCGTGGCCACCTCAGGCGGCATCGCCTCCAAGACAAGCATAAAGGCCCCGGCCTCTTGCATGGCGATTGCATCGTGAAGGAGCTTCAGCGCACTCTTGGCGGTTTTTCCTTGGACGCGGAAACCGCCAAGCGAGTTCTGTCGTTGGGGTGTAAGGCCCACATGACCGACGACGGGCACACCGGCCTGGGTAATGCGTTTGATGGTGGGGGCAATCTCCTCGCCTCCTTCGATCTTGACGCCTTGTACGCGGCCTTCCTTGACAAGGCGGATGGCGGACTCCATAGCCTGCTCGGGGGAAATCTCGTACGAGCCCATAGGCAGATCCGCAATCTGCAAGAAAAAAAGTAGGGCGTGAGACATTGAATTCATCTGCAGGTTCTCAAGGCAAACTCACAGTAAAGGCACTTTTCGTTGCCCGAGCTACACTCCGACAATGCAACAGCATCTCCTCCATAATTACCTCGCTTGTGTTATCCAGGCCCATCGCCACCATCCCCAAGCTATCTCCGACCAGAGTCACGTCCATGCCCGAGACATCGGCCACATGGCCACTAGGGAAGTCGTGCGCCGTGATCATAGTGATTGGCTCCCCTTTCTTATAGAGGGTTTGTAATGTTTGGATGGTGACCTTCTTGCGCCCATTAGCCGGGGTGGGAGCAGACCAGGAGCTGTGTCTTGCGTGGCTGTATGGGGAACAGGACAACGACGATCGCGAGGCGGAGGAAAGGGATGGTAAGGACGAATCGAAGCGATTGCTTTGTTGACCAGCTAGGAGAGGTAATGTGGTCCGGAGCCGTGACGGCACAGCTAGAACTGTCCGCGAGAGCGGCCGCCATGCCGAGCTCGGTATAGCCATCGCGATACCCTACACTGTAAATGGCGATCACAGCTGCGCAGGGCCGATAATGAACGAGAGTCAGAGGGTTCCAGAGGGTTCTGGCAGGCTGAACCGGACAAGCCGATCGGCAGAGCTGATCTGCTTTGTTGGTTGGCAGTATATCGGGCACAAATGCAATGACCTCACTGCCTGGGAAACAGCGCTGGGTATTTATGCTCGTTTCCAGAATGAACAATACCTCCCCCTTGTCGGATCTGCGGTGTTCCGTGCCTTCAAACCTCCATCGGTCCGAGGGTGAGACTCGCAAACGTGCTGGGTTGTCCGGCGTAGACGGCAGTCTTTCTTCAGGTGGAGTGAGTCTTTCTTTTCTCGCCTGAATTCTGCAGTTTCTGTTTGTGTCGAGGGTCCAACGTACCGTTTGGGATGTTTTCCCGGCCAGGGCGAAGCTGTCAGATGATCTGATGAACAATTTCTCTGCCAATGTCAACACGAGTCAAGCACTGGTCCATCGCGGTGTTTGTGATATCTGTCGTCGGCTGTCCAATGCAAGTCATACACCGCCTTTCTCACCGCCCTGTGTCTGGGCCGAGGTTGGGCTGCCCTTTGCTTCTTTACTCAAGTGCACAACAGCCGAGATACCGATCCACCAACCGCATCGCTCGAGTCGGAAAATCCAGGTAACTTGTTCATGTCCCTCGAGGTCGAAAAGCCTCTTGACGGGCCAGTTTATCCTGGCGGAACCCAAATGTTCGGTCGCGAGACGGTAAGATTCCACAAAAGACTCATACCGCCGCTGTGCTGCGACCGCAACATGCTTTTCCTCCTTGAACCACTTTTCTATACTGTCGCTATTGATCAGACTCAGATGCGCACAATATACTGGATGATTTTCATCTATGGTTTTAGCTAACGATTATCGCTTTTTTCGTTTCTGTGCATCAGAGTACATCGAGAAATGGATCGATGTATACCTTTGTTGGCATGACCAGCGGCGATTGATTAAAAACTGGCACAGATGACGTGATGCTTCGTAGCCATTGCCGGTGTCCCAAGAAAATTGATTCTTGAGTTGCATGAATTATATGCGGATGCCAAAGTGATCGATGTGAACCGTGACTTGCAGATAGCGTCGTCAGCAGTGGCTGCGCTATTTCCTAGCGCCAATGCTGGGCTGGCGCTGGATTTATCAGGCTTTAGCTGTCTGGATGAGAGATAAGCAACAGCTGGTGATTGAGTTGTCCCGCTTCTATTATCGTTGACTTGGATCCTGATCACCGGCCGTTCGAGCTCATGGACGGCCGAGAAGTGGAAGCCCCGCTGCCTATCTCCCGAACGATACATTTACAAATGGTCAAACTAGTAATCCGCTGATATGACCATTGACTCTGATTAGCTTCTGGAATCTCACCATCAATACGTTCGAGGCGTTATCAGCCAAGGCAAGTTGTTCATTGCCGAATTGACGGAAAGATGAGGACGCTTTGCAAGATATTGGATATTAGTGGGTAAGATTGCCGCCTCTGGGCGATCTGCTCCGGGATTACGGGGTGAGCCGCTTCCTGGGTAATCTGAGGTGGCCATCAGCCGGCCCTAAGCGTCAGCTGAGGCGCCCCCCGGCACAATCTAGTATTAACCCCGGATGATTACCAACCCCTTTAGTTCTCATCGTGCTTCCAGCCCGTCGCCTGCTCCGGTGCTAGCCGTCTTATTATCTACTAGAGTTTCTAGGAACCCAAAGGGAAGGTGAAGTCGCATTCCAATCATGTCGTTTATGCTTCTTCTCGCTTTCTCTCCGAAATTCCGAGTGAGCAATTCGATTCTCTTTAGTCTGCCTCGGAAACTGAAAAGCCCCTTATTTTTACGTTCTATCCTTTGCACTAGTAGAGCAGACATCGCATACTAGCTCCTTCTCAACACGCTACGTAAAAAAAAAAATAACGAATACTTTCCCTTGCCATCGTCGGCTATGTTCAACGCGCTGTACCATCTTTGGTCCTAGAATCAATATCCGATCTCACATGATTGAGCAAATATCTGAATGCGTTCCATCGCGGGTCTCGAACGTATCGCCTATGCGGGTGTCAGGCAAAGATGGCATTGGCGGCCTGAAATAGTATATTTTTTGTCGCGTCAGCCATCCGCCACCCTAGCGAGGTTTCTTATGATCCCTTCAAATCTTCAACTCACTATGCGAACGGATTGCCGTGCGATTGACCGTAGCTAAGAATGGCCCAGCGACCCCGTGAACCAACCACGATGTCGTTGCCAGATTTGTTTTATCAGACCGAGATCCCGATCGCCTAAGATTACTACTCATGATCGCTCACGATCGCTCTCCGGAGGATTGCATGGCTCGCGTGCTTCGCCGCGCTTGGCGGAATGTCCGTGAGGTCAAAGCAGACGGCCTCCGTCCAATAATGGCAGTCACATGGCCCGCAACTTTTATCGGTTAAATTAGTGGCGTAGCATTATCACCTGTCTTTCAGGACCAGCAGAGTAGCCCCCTGGCAACCCTCGTTAATGATTATAATATATCGCGTGCTTATTATTATTATATTTTAGGGGAGATAGCGCAATTGACTTTTCTAAGACATGGCCACCCGACTCCAATCCAGCATGTTTGAGTTATCAGTAGTCGCCACGTGGTTCGATCGCTTAGTCTAGCCCCTTTTCTTGAGGTCTAGTATGCATGTTCCTTCTTCAAAAGGAACTATCTCTCTTATCTTGGAGCGCCACAATTCCTTGGGACCGCGGGGTAGGGACCCTGACCAACAGAGCACCTTCCCATTCTGGGTTAGATCTCCGAGATGAGTGGTGATAACTTAACTCTGAATGGCTTAGGCCTTCTTCCAGACTCTGAGAGTCCGCCAATGATAATACGGAGACGTTTTCTGGGCTATCCACTTTCAAGAAATAGGGTTACACTTGTTTGAGATGCACTGACAGGCTTAGATCCAACAACCGTGCCCATCTCCTGGTTTGCTGGACTTGGCCAGTATGGTTTCATCTCAAGCTGGAACTAGCCACCACACACCCCGGACTCCGGTGATACCCTGGCGACAACCACTTGACTGGCTTTGAGGGAATTTTCCCCCCACTAAAAGCATTGGTTATATATACGGTCACCCCGAGCACCCTTCCCCTGACATTCTCGCATCTTTCCTAGGTCGATTGAGCAACTGAATCCTCCGAAGCAACCCTTCACAGCTGGTCCTGCCATCATGGCTAACTCAGCGGGAGCTATGGCCATTGAGCCCATTGCCGATCCTCGTGCAAACCCAGCAACTAACGACGAAATCGTCGAGGGCAAAATCATGGAGCGCAACTGGGGTCTCGAAGCTCGTGTCGACTCCACTGTCACGTTCGAGGAATTTGCCTACTGGGCTGAGATCGAGCGTGCCGATGAACAGGAGAGGAATCGCCAGTACGTCGAGAAGCGCGGTCCAATGTCCGTCGCCAAGATGCTCAAAGGTCGCTTCTCACATGGCATTCATCATGAAGAACAAAAAGAGCGTGAGAAGGCTGCTCAGGAGTCCAGTGACGGCGACCATAAGGGCCCAGCTGTAGTTCAGCAAACCGACCTCACCGTGACAGACGAGGAATGGAAGACTGCGGCCAGGGCTTTGAAGACGGCCAGCTGGGGGACTGTCTTCTTCTTAATTACTACGGATATTCTCGGTTGGTCAAGCTGCCCGTATGTCCTAATCCTCCCCGATGAACTGACCTATGCTGACTCGGATCCAGATACGCGTTTTCCACTGTGGGTTACGGTCCTGGCGTTGCTCTCTACGTCATCTTCTCTATTGCCGCAGGAATCAGTGGTTATATCCTGTGGCGCGTTTACCTGAGCCTTGACTCATCCCGATACCCTATCCTGAGTTATGGCGACACTTTCTTCCGCGTGTTTGGCCGGAGGTCGCGTCACTTCATCAACGTGACCCAAGCTTTTCAACAATTCATGACTGTGGCAGTCTTAATTCTCGGAAGTGGCCAGATCATCGCTCAGCTCTCGGGCGGTACTATCTGTTACATTGTGTGCTTCCTCATTTTCACAATCTTTGGTGTTTTTGCCGGGATGATGCGTGGCTTGCAGCATGTCGGGTGGCTGGCTAATGGGTCGGTTTGGTTGAATATTGTCAGCTTCATTATTGTGTGAGTATTGTAGAATATCTCCTGTTCTACGGACTAGTACTAACAGTGCATTATAGCATGGTCGCAGCGGCCCGTTTCACAGTCGACTATGAGGCTACCACCCAGAGCACGCGTGTTAAGGAGATTGGACCTATTATGACCTTTGGAGGACCGCCGCCTGCCCAGTACCAGCCCGCGGCAGTTGGATTCGCGGGACAGTTGAACGGTATCAACCAGATGGTTTGTACGTATCTTCCGTCTAATCTCGTTGCTTGCGCCTATCGCTAACCCCAAAAATAGATAGCTGGGGCGGTGCTCTGCTCTTCGTGGCCTTCTTGGCTGAGATGCGTCACCCGATGGACTTCTGGAAGGGACTGATGTGCGCCCAGATCTTCATCTGCGTCGTCTACATTTTCTTCGGTGCTTTTGTAAGCCGTTTTCCCTTTTGTCACAACGTTGAGCTAGCTAACCACAAATCTCCCTATGATGAAGGTCTACTCCTTCTATGGACAGTACTCGGCCCAAGTGATTACTACCGCCATTACACCCTTTTCTCTGCAAACTGTTGGAAACGTCTTCGCTCTATTGACAGGCGGCATCGCATGCAGTAAGTGTCTACCAAAGCTTTTCTTACTTATCTAACACGCTACTCCCCAGTTATGTACTTCAACATTGGTATGAAGACTGTTTACATTGAGGTCTTCCAAGAAGTATTCCACTTCCCTCCTATCATCACTCGGAAAGGCCGCATGATGTGGTATGCCTTGGGACCGGTCTACTGGATCGTAGCCTTCATCGTTGCTGCCTCCGTTCCCAACCTAAACGGTGTCTCGGGCTTAGTCGGCGCCCTTCTAATTCTCAACTTCACCTACACCTTCCCTGCCATCTTGTACGTGGGTTACAATTGCCAGATGGGCGCTCGGCTTCCAGGAGAAGGGTTTGACGCCTCCACACGTGTGACTGTCAGACACGATGGCGGCTACAAGAGATGGGTTCGTGGTTACATGAAGAAGTGGCACATCAACATTGCCAGCACGCTGTACTTCCTGGGCGGCCTCGCTCTCTCCGGAATGGGCTCGTGGGCGGCTATCGAGGCTCTGATCGCGTGGGCCGATGGGCAATCTTCAATTGCCACGTCGTGGGGATGCGCTGTTCCGGTATAGGCATGGACGCATCTAGGGAATGAATGGACTGGTGGAACTATTGATATGTAGTTTGCCTGGATACGGCGAGGAACTTCGTCAAAGAATCGGTAAAAGCTATCAATTCCTAAGACTTTCTTCCCAGGCGGCACTGGGGCCAGGAAGGGATATCTCTGTAGATTCCGCTGCAGCGATAGTGTGATGGCCCAAAGTAAAGGCTATAGACCAAAAGTCCGACGGAATGTTTCCCTCTGTATGTAACACGAGTCCCGTCAATCAATACAGTAATATTTATTGTTGTCTCATTTGGTTAAATAAATCCAGTTCACCTTCCCTTGCTCTATTCTCACTAGTAGGCAGTATCGTTTACTTTCTCAACAGAGAGAGAGCGTCCACCAATGGACTTATATTCAGCTGAACGGAAGGTGGTCTGCGAAATGAATTTCTTCGTTAAACATATTGGACTTACATACAAGGCTGAACAGAAGAACCGAAGGACCTTTAAGTTCTCAATCCTGGCTCAGCCTAAGGCTTCGTTATTAAGAGGAGAAGATTATTCTATTTCCCCGCATTTGCTCCGCATGGGCAAAAGCGAAGATATATTTTGGTTTTGGACCGAAGAGCCGCGGCTATTATTTGCCTCCTTTTACCCAATGGCTTAAGCGAGCGGGAAACCCTTCCATTATACTAAGGGCTAAAAAGGGTTGTTTTGTTTGGAGGGCGGGGGGGGGGGGGGGGGGGGGGCGCTCAAAGGAGAAAGCGTGTTTAAAGCTCAATTCGGAAAGCAATCTCCGCTCGGATTCGTGGGATCCAACGAGGCTATTAAATTAGGGTGAGGAGAAAACCACAGCAACCCCGTTGGCCCGCACCTGTTAGTTTTCTCCGCTGTAGCCCTTTTCCCACCCGCACTCTCATTATTATTCGGATTCTTCACAAGCCCGTTTCTATACGAATAAATAGCTCTTTGGCCCATTGCAACTCGCTTTCTTCTCGTCGTTACACCCATAATCAATCAATTCAGGCACGGTACTCCAGGACGCCCTTCCGGTCATTTTCACTCCTTAACCGGTGCCTGTCACACGGCATGGGCAGAATTTCCGTTTAATCAACAATACTGGAATTTGACTTCACCGTGTGCGCCAGTCTATTACTCAAGTCACATATCCGGCCAGCGTGATTGAAATTCATCCTCTTACGCCCCCCCGTTATCCTAAATGCCTAAGCAACCTTGGTAGTCTCCGAATACCTCTCTCTATATTTCCACAGCTAGTGAGACTCTTTACCAAAAAGCCCGTTTGCCAAGCTATACTGTCGACGACTCATCGACGCGAATCAAAACTTACAATTGAAGATAAAGACAGTGTTCTGGAAAACTTATTACAGACAGGCATGAGTGAAAAGAACTCTTTTGTGGCGGGAATCGACGGCGCCAGCGGAGATGCCACCGATGGTATCAGCTACGAAGGACATGGCGCTTCTCATCCCTCAAATCGCCAGCCGCGTCTCCAGCGACGATTGAAAAGCAGACATCTACAGATGATTGCAATTGGTGAGTCCGTCCTCCCAACCTGCGGGAAAATTTGTTCATGTGTATCTCAGGTGGCACAATTGGTACAGGCCTATTTATCGGAAGTGGCGAGGCGATATCTCACGCTGGGCCAGTCGGGGCACTCATCGCTTATATGTTCATTGGTTCCATTGTGTTTTCGGTCATGACATCTCTTGGGGAAATTGCGACGTACATTCCCATCCCAGGGGCATTTACAGCATATGCCTCGCGACTTGTAGACCCTAGCCTCGGGTTTGCCATGGGCTGGATCTACTGGTTTTCATGGGCCATCACTTTCGCCCTAGAGCTGACGGCTACTGGCCTGATCATCGAGTATTGGGACCAGACCATCCCTATCGAAATCTTTATTGCGGTTTTCTGGGTGATCATTTTCGCTTTCAACTTGCTACCCGTCAACTTCTATGGTGAACTGGAGTTTTGGCTCTCCAGCATCAAAGTTCTCACCGTCGTTGGGTTCATCATCTTTGGCATCTGCATTGATGCCGGCGCTGGCCGCCAAGGTTATCTTGGGTTCCACAACTGGGTGCATCCGGGTCCCTTTGCTGACTATCTCGTGACTCCTGGCCCAACTGCCAAATTCCTGGGCTTCTGGGCGGTCCTCATCCAGGCCGGCTTCTCATGTCAAGGGACCGAGCTCGTCGGACTGGCTGCCGGTGAAAGCGAGAATCCTCGAAAGACGGTCCCATCGGCCATTCGCAAAACCTTTTTCCGGATTATCTTGTTTTTCGTTCTGACCGTGTTTTTTATCGGCCTGCTGGTGCCCTCGAACAATAAGCGACTGCTCTCCTCGGCCTCAAACGCATCAGCATCGCCGTTTGTGATCGCTGCAGACCTGGCGGGTGTCCCCGTTCTGCCGAATCTACTCAACGCAGTTCTTCTGACAGTGGTCTTGTCGGCTGCTAATTCCAACGTTTATACTGGCAGTCGTCTGTTGGTTGGCTTGGCACAGGAAGGCTTTGCACCCCATTGGTTTTCCAATACGACCAAAGGTGGTGTGCCATACAATGGAGTGGTGGCCACCGTTGCAATTGGCTTGCTTGGCTTCATGAATGTTTCCAGCAAGGCCACGACCGTTTTCAACTGGCTACTGAATATGTCGGCCGTGGCTGGGTTCATCCTCTGGGGCACCTTGAATCTTTGTCACATTGCCTTCATGCGGGCGCTTAAAGCCCGCAATATGTCTCGGGACATGCTGCCTTACAAGGCTCCGTGGCAGCCTTTCCTGGCATATTACGGATTGTTCTTCAACGTTCTCATCGCTTTGACCCAGGGTTTTACGGCGTGGATCCCGGCATTTGATGTGAGCGGCTTTTTTGCGGCCTATATTAGCTTGATCCTGTTTGCCGTTTGTTACATTGTTCACAAGCTCGTGTTTCGAGACCCTCTGGTTCGCCCGCTCCAGGCCGATCTCGATACTGGCCGTCTGGAGATCGAAAATCAGCACTGGGAGGTTATCATCCCTACCACTTGGTATGGCAAAGTCTGGCGGATCCTGGTGGACTAAGTCTTTTCAGAGGTTGGTAGAGACTGGTATTGGGAAAGTAGATGTTGTCCCTCTGCGTCATTGGTGCTTGTAAATATTTCTTTCGACGGCATGTTGACTTGTCATGGCGAGCGAATATAAAAATCAGTCACTCTGTTCCGGTGCTGCGGAGGGTTCGGGTATTGCCACAGCTGGTGTTACCCTCGGTATCTAGTAGTTCCATGGATTTTCGCAGCCTGATCCTATTACAATAGAGTGAATAAAGTGAGTAACATGAGCAAAGAACCGACCGCGGGCGACGATCGTCCTAAATGCATGTGAAGTGGAAACTGTTCGACCCACATAACCGTCCCTCATCGCACTGGTTTCCCCTTTAGAGCCGTCATGTGAGCCGAGGTCGCTTCGGTCACCAATAGTCCTTCGGGGTATTAATTCTGGGGTAGCTCATTATTATTCATTCTTTTTTCAGTTCACTCCTTCCACTCTTCACTCATCATAATGGACGCCCTGCAACAATATTCGCAATCCGCGCTGGCGCGGCTGCCCGAGCCCGCCCAGCAGCTTTTGCGCACTCCGCTGGCCCAGAAAGCGCTCGGTGTCGTCATCGCCCTCACCCTGCTTCGCTCCACCAACAACTTCTTGTCGCGCTGGACCATGAACAACTGGCGGCGCAACGAGCCCTGGCGCTCCGAGCGGGAGCTTATCCTCATCACCGGCGGCAGCAGCGGCATTGGCAAGCAGGTTGTGGAAGACCTCGCTAAGACCGGCGTACGCATTGTAGTTCTGGATATCAATGAGCCGACCTCGGCGTTGCCCGCGAATGTGTCATTCTATCGCGCCGATATCACCTCGTCCGCAAGCATCGCCGAGGTGGCGGCGACCATTCGGGCCAACCATGGGGAGCCGACGGTTCTGGTCAACAACGCTGGCGTGGGCTACGACGGCACAATCCTTGAGGAGCCCGAGGCGAAAATTCGTCAGACCTTTGAGGTCAATACGATTGCGCATTTCCTGATGGTCAAGGAATTCCTGCCGGCCATGGTTCGGGCCAACCACGGCCATGTCGTGACGATTGCCAGCATGGCCAGCTTTGTCGCGCTGGGCGAGATGGCCGACTACTGCTGCACCAAGGCGAGTGCCTTGGCCTTCCACGAGGCCTTGCGTCAGGAGCTTCGCTACTGGTATAAGGCGCCGAATGTGCGCACTAGCGTTGTCCACCCGCTGTGGGTGCGCACGCCCATGATCAAGGTCTTGACCGACAACGAAGCCCACTTCCGCCAGCCCATCATGACGCCCCAGGTTGTCTCCGACGCCATCTGCAAACAGATCCTGACGCAGAGCAGCGGCCAGGTGATCCTGCCCGCCAGTCAGTCCATCGCCAAGATTGTGCGCGCTATGCCCAACTGGATGCAGGAGGGTGTGCGATCACTCGTCTCTGGCAACATGCACTATATGCGCCAATGCCAGCAGCGCGATCAGCAGCAGCAGGGCAAATAGACGGGGATGGGAGAATGTATGTATATATTTATGTGTCTATGATAGTCAACCCAACAATGTACGTGTCAAAAGAGCCAGGAGAACCGAAGGAGGCGCACATCAAGGCAACGAAGAAATCATTAAATAATTCTAGCAGTATCCCCGGGCAGAAAAGAGAAGAAGAATTCTTCTGCTGCACGATGATGTTTGTCTTGTTTACAGTACAGAGTGTTGCCTGAGGCGCCATCCACTGTTCCCTCCAACCCTCCTTTCTTGTTCGTCAACCTAACCACCTCCAAAAATCCATTTCCCACACACTTTCTATCTCTCTCTCTATCCATGGGCTTCAAACGCGCCCGAGACGGCCAGCTCCTCCAGCATCCAGTAACCCCCTCTCCGGCCACAGCCATGTCGAACTCCACACGATCGCCGGCGCTGCCCATCTTCGAGACGTTCCGCGACGAGCTAGACGAGCACCATGACCGCCGTGAGCGCATTATCAAGACTAGTCGCGATATCACCGCTCTCAGCAAAAAGATGTATGTGCTTCCGCTGGTCCCTGATTGTCTCGCACTAACGAATGCTACCCCCAGTATCTTCGCCCTGCAACGGTAGTCCTATCCCCACTGCTCCCCTCCCGACGAAAGAACCACCTGCTGATTGCTGGCAGTATCCGGACCGTCAAACAACCCCTGCCACCCAAGATTGATCAGGAAAATGAGTCTCGTTATGAACAGATCCGGGCGCTTTTTGCCTCGGTGGTCCTCGATCTCGCTGGAATCAAGGCGTGGCGGTACCAACGTCAGATCAGCTCGGGCCTCCAAGAATTTGTGGAGGCTATTGCCTTTGAACACTACCTCCGGACCCAGACACTACTCACGCATGACGAGGCGGCCGCGCGGGTCCCCGCCGGGATCGCCCTGTCGGAGGAGGACTACTTGATGGGCCTGTTCGACATGACGGGTGAGGTGATGCGGTTTGCCGTCCTGGCATTGAGCTCGGGCAATGCGTCCCAGGTGACGGAGATGACGGGCGCCGACGGAGACGCCAACCCGACCGCGACCAACACCCCTACACTTGCGCAATCCCACGCGGACCTCGTCATTGATTTGCGCGCCATGCGAGCCCAGTTCGAGTCCCTCAGTATGCCCCAACGCCACTCCATGCTACGCGACTTCGTCAAAAAGGTCGAGGTGATGCAGACCAGCGTGGAGAAAGTTGAACGGGCGGCGTATGGGGTTCTAGTCCGGGGCAGCGAGCGTCCCAGCGGGTGGACACCGGACTTGTCGGGGCCGGTCGAGGTGGAGATTCACTGATCGGCATGGTGTCGTTCTCTAGCAACTACTTCCTTGCTAGCTTACCCTTGTACAACAATAAATGAGTATTATTGAGATCGGGAACAACAAAAACACAATCGTTGCTACGGGAATCGCGTCATGGTGACATCACCACCCCCGAGGGGGGTGAGAAGGTGTAAGAATAGCGCACAAAGGGACTCAGGGAGTGAGTGACAAGAGAACCTGGACCCCCCAAAAGAAATTAATAACGCTGCGGTAACCCAGTCTTCCCGATCGCCCAGCTCTGTTCTGCTCACGGGCTCGGGAGCGTTAGCGTTGCCGGGTTAAGCCGAGCGCGGGTCCTCTTCCTCCGATAGGATCCCTTGGGAAATCAGATCTTCGGGCTGTGGGCGGTTCTGAATCTTGTGCTCGAGACTATCGGCGAGCATGTTCTTCTCGAGCTCGCGGGCGTTGGCTTGCAGGCCAGGCGCGGCGGTAGACGCGGGGAGGATGTTTCCTGAATTGGCGGGTGATCAGTTCAGTTCCCGTCTTGTACCATCCAGAGAACAATGTGGAACGGTGAACGTACGCTCGATCAGCTCCTCGCGTTCCGGTCGCTTCTCCAGATTCCGCTTCAGACTGTCCGTGACGCGTTGGCGGTCCAAGTCCTGGCGTGTGGCTTGGAGCGATCTGTGGAGCGGGGAGGATTAGTACCTATCCATTCACGCCAAGCGTAATACGGAACCCGTACGGTGCGACTTCCGTGTCGAGCAGGATATGGCGGTCCTTGAGGTCCTGCTTGTCCGGACGGGTCTGTAAGTGCTTCTCGAGCGAGTTCCGGCGCTCCGGGGAGGCGGCGGTGAGAGGGGTGTGGTCGATGTTGGACATGGTGAGTGGATGATGATGAGGGCTATGGGATAAGTGGGTTGCGTGATGCCGAGGAGGGGAAAGAATAGAGAAGGCGAAGAGAAGAGAAGAAGAAGAAGAAGAAGAAGAAGAAAGAGAAAGAGCAAGAGCGTCCGGTCCAGTCAGTCCAGTGACGTGGTATTCTGCGGGGAACCCTTGTCATGCATTAATTAACTCTATATAGTAGTCTATATATAGTATACTCTGCTCTAGTATTCTAGTATACTACTATATAGATTGATACCACTAGAACACCGTGCCCTTCACCTGCGCCACTTTCTTCAAGTCGATGTTGCGGATCAGCAGCATCCAGACAAACGCCAGCCCAATGATCCCCGTGCCCACCGCCAGCATCCTCGTCTGCGAATACGCATACGCCTTCTGGATCGCGATCCGCGTTGGACTTCCCATCGGATATTTCATCTGCGCTGGCACCTTCTCATAGATGACCGCCAGGTGCGGCAGCGCAGACGCAGGGAGATACCTCTTCAGAGCCTTTTCGAAGGTGTTGCTCCAGATGGCACCGCAAATCGTCGCACCCGCCGAATCGCCAACGGTACCCACCACATTCAGCAGCGCCAGCACGCCCGCCACATGCTGATGGTCGACGGCGGCCAATATGGCAATTTGCTGCACGATGATGAAGATACTGCCACCGATCGAGATGAAGATTTGGCACATGACAATATACCCGATGGACTGGTCCGGGCGCCGGAAGTAGATCATCAGGCCCTGCGCCAGGACGTAGATCGGAACGGCGATGTACAGTGTCCACTTGAATCGCCCAGTGACCCGGATCGCCGCACCGACGCCCAGCAGCAAAACACCAGAAACCACGTCAAACGTGTTGTTGACATACCCGGCCTGGGCGATTGAGAGATTGTTGACGACGCGCAGGAAGGAGGTGAAGTAGTTGTCCCAACAGTAGTACGAGAGCTGGTAGGTCGCATCGAGGAGACAGGCGCCAATGACAGTCCGGTTGCTCAATAAGGCGAGGTTGAACATCGGCACTGGTGCCAGGAACGTCTCGTAGGCTGCAAAGACCCAGAGCATCACGAATCCAACCACTAGCATCGCAATGATATAACCCGTCGCCCAGCCATCAGGTGCCGCCGAAGCGATATCAAACGGGAGAAAAAATACGGTGAGGCCGGCAGAGAATAGGAAGACGCCCGGCACTGCCCTCAATCAGTATTTTGCTCGCCCTAAGAGCCGTAGTACTTACAGTCAAATTCCATGGCATAATACCAGAGGCTCTGGAGAATGGTTCGGCCGCTCTGTTTCCTGACCAAAACGCCGTCCTTTCGAGCTTTGCGGACATTAAACTTGAGCACAAAGTACAGAGGGGCTGCGACGATCGGAAAGATGATCGCAAAGCACCCAAACGCCCATCGCCAGCTGATCTGGTAGTAAAACCTTTCGGATGCCTTGGCTCCTGCGAATGCCGTGATGATATAGGGCGAAGACGTGAACGCGTAGGCCAAGCCTCGATTCTTCAGCCGGGACACATCTGCCGTGATCACATCCACACAGTATGTCATACCGGAAAACCCCAGAGTCCAGAAGACCTAATATCGCGCCCGTTAGCATTTGCAGTGCTGATTTGTGCGTGATTGGCCTGGCAGTCTTACATATGCAGCGCAGAAAGTCGCCAGATTATTGCAGACCGCCATGAGAACCAACCCCAAGGTCGCAACAACCGCCATGAACAGGAAGCCTTCCGCGCGGCCCCAGACATCCATGATCTTTGCTAACGGGATATAGCATGCCGCGCTGATGGAATCTGCAACGATATAAATAACATTGAGCAGCGAATGAGACTCGAATGCACTCGTGACGTAAGGAGTCAAGTTGGAGCAAATCGAGCTTTGGAATGCATTGACAAAGTAAAGGAGCCAGATGCTGTTCAAGAAGAACGATGTCAGCTATAGCATAATACTGGGGAGAGGGCCGGGCCAGTAAGAAGAAACAAAAGGGACATACTTAAGGAAGACTGCAATCAGCATAGGCCTTGACCATGTCAGGGTCATTGCTTCAACATCCCGAACTCCGCCTTGTAGATCTTCACTCGGAAGATCCGCCTGGAACTCGTCCATGCCGGTGTTGACAGCGACATCATCGGCAACGGGGTCTCTCTTGCTTTCTTCAACTGCAGTCGTGGTTTCCGTATTATCGGCTTTCGTTCCGTGGAACACCCTTTGGAAGATGGGAAGGACTGCCATTGTGGTTAACTAGGATAGAGGAGACACGAAACAAAGGGAAACGTGAGAGGGAGATCTTTGCCCTTATAGAACGTAATCCCTCCACCAAAATCCCGAAGTCGGCCGCTAAGCATGCCGCAAGTTAACAGTCGTGCGAGCGTGATCTCGCATTTTCATTCGTCCACCGATACAAGGCATGAAAAATCTCGACCCCCTATAATGACCCACCAAGACAGCTAGTCGCTTGGCTCTATCTAATCAGATGATCTTATCTAGCATGAGCTATACTCCGCAGAGTAAGGTTGGCTATGCAGATTACGTGGTTCAGTCCTATTAGCCCCGCTCGCTTCCTCTGTCCCAGGGAAATGAATTATGGAACCTGGATCGAAAGACGTTTTGTTGTCTCGGCCCCTGCGCCGATTCTCACGATAGCAGAGTTAAGCGAAGTCCTTGTGAGCGAACTTGGCACTCTTCCGCAAAGAACCCTCGAGCCGAAAGCCAGTGGATCTACTCGGAATCTATCGGTAACGAGTACGCTCACTAGTTCTAGTACCATCCCTCGTGGATATTACCACTTCCATGCAACATGTGGCGTGCGGACCTCATCTGATAAAAATGAATCGTCTCCACCAGAGCAATGATTATTGGTATGATTTCTGCCACTAAGTCATGAAAAAAAGCCACATTCTGCAGAAGAAATTGTTGATAATTTTTTCCTTTCGGGACAAACCGCTGCCGGTCGCCTCCGCAAGCTTCGGATACACGTCAGTTCGGCGGTCGTTTTTCTCCACAAATGCCAACTGAGATTATTGAAAGAACCAGATTATGAGGCCATTTACGTAACGTCCGAAACATGAAGGCGAGGTCAATAGCCTCAGAAACAGTCAATCTGGACGCAGATAGAACACGTCCATATTAAGCACGAGTGTCAAGGAGACTTAGACAGAAAACTCATCAGATCACTGTTGCGCTGATCTATTGTAGAGATCCGTCTTCACAAACCGGAAGAGCAACCGAACAGTTCCACAACTAGCTGTAGCGTACGTCCATACTCGATAGCACATTCTTGGCTTCCCAGAGTGGATACGAATGAGCGATGCTGGCAAGACCGTTTCCGATATGTTCTCGGCTTAGGTACTTGCAACCTGGCGAGGGAAAAGAGAGGACCAGCTAGGTAGGGCTGCAGGCCAGCTTCCTTTCCAGGCGAAACAGATACATATTCATGACTCTAGGCGAAACGGTGCATGCAGATGCTCGGGACCATCCGGATTTTAGACCGTCCACGATTATGATGTACTCGTTGCAAGCACAGCTTTGATCAACTGGAACACTCAAAAAAACTATTTCAGTTAAATTATCGCAGCCGACCTTTTCTTTCTTTAACCATTTTCTTGTTTGTTTGCAATGACATTGTGGATTTTGGCCTGATAGCCAAGGCAGCATCCCGGGTAAACTCTTCTCATCTCGGCACTGGGCCCTCGGCATTGACGGCCGGCTATAACTCTTTTGCTGCCCTTGTGTATTCTTGGATGTATGTATGCCCTGCGCAGAATAATAATCCGTCCTCTGTCTTCCCTTCCTAGCACAACCCGCACCATGCGTCTCCCCTACGCACCGTCCAGCCCTCCCGCCGATGCGCCCGCCGACACCGCGGACATTTACGCCCGCATTGCCGCCCGGCGGAATCCCCGCCCGCTTATACCCCTCGATTTGTCGCTGCTACACAGTCCGCCCGTCGCCGATGGCTGGAACAGCTTCCTAGGTGCGATCCGATCGCGTACCATTGTCGATGCGGGCCTGCTGGAACTCGCCGTCTGCCGCGTTGCTGTGCTGAATCACGCTGTCTATGAATGGAACGCCCACGCCCCGCTGGCTCTCAAGGGAGGTATCCAACCACAAGAGCTCCAGGCCGTCCGCACACTCCCCTCTGTGGCCGATGATGCGGCTCCTCTCGCATCAAGCACGCTCTCTCCGCGCCAACGCGCTGTCCTGCGCTACACCGACCAGATGACCCGCTCCGTCACCGTTCAGGACGAGGTCTTTGCCCAGTTGCAAGTAGTCGGGTTTAATGACCGCGAGATAGTCGAGCTCACGACCGGTATTGCGGGTTACAATTGCGTCAGTCGATTCCTCGTTGCTCTTGACGTGGGCGAGAACAATGCCCGAGAGATGAAAAGCGTCGATGAGCTGGTCGCCGCCCTATGATACTACGGGTGCAGGAGGTGTCCCTGCATATCTACCTAGGACATTGAACTGTGGGTATAGTTTGATTCCGGATATGTATGTGTAGTCCATAAGTCGATGTTAAGCCTGTGCTTCACCTATCACTCTAAGAGTAATGGTTGACCGAGTCAATGAGCGTATCCTCTCAGGACTTCTTGAACTAAACTTGGATATAAAAATATATATCTACCACCTAGCCACTTCGGTTTATTCAGTGCATGGGCATTCATGTTTCAAAACACAAGAGCTCAGTCTCCATATAATCTTTCAGAAAAGAATAGAGGTTGCTAGGTATAGCGGGCCTGGTTTGGTTGTGCTTCTCCGAGCCATGGGATTGTGAAACGAAACCGCTCATTCACGTTGATGGAAGGCGAACAGCGCAACTACTGTGCACTGCAATGGTGTCTGAAATGCCCCTCACTTCGTGACTCTGAGAACTTCGCGTACTCGGCCTTGGCTCTGTACAGGAGACATCCGGCAGCTTGCGGACAACTTTGCCTTGTACCTCCACCGGGCTGCCGGGTGTCTTACCCATGTCATACAGATGTCGCCTCTCCACAAACCAAATGCCGTGCTGAAATCATGTCGGTCCTGGAATTAACTAGAGATCAAGTCCGGATCGTAGACCCAGCCTGGTTGTTTGTACAGTGTACCCCCGTATACATCTGAACGTCTCTACTGGCACGGTTAATGCCCACATTTCCGGTTGCCAATTGGATACTATGATGCTGCGGCTCCTGTAGCAGAGGCATGGCCACCGAGAGCTGTTGAAGATACAAATCACCAAAAGGGCAATATAAGTTTCTTCGCAATGAAGATCTGCGACTCTCATATGCCAACTGAGACAGAGGCGCTTTTGCTCCGGAAGCAACTGTTGGAAATGAGGTAGTTATACCGTAGCCTAGCACATGGCTGTACAAGTATATTAATTTCTGGCTGGCCCTAATTATCGAACCATTTTATTTTAATGCCACATTGTCAGCAATTGTTCAGCCATGGCTTAATCTCCCACTTCTCACATTCTGACAGTAATCTCACCCAGATCGCTCTCTCACCGCGCTAGCAGAATCTTTGACCAATGTTGTCAATGCTCAACTGCTGTTTGAAGATGCGACGGAGGACAAGGGAGTGGAAACAAATCGAAGGTCCGACCGGTTTTTGACGCTCGCTTTCCGCTCTATTCTCTAAGTTTGCCAATTAGAAACAGCTTGTCCTCCTGAAAAGCCCCTTGACTGCACCGCTTCCGAGAATGTTCTCATAATGCAGGCATTTGAATGGCACGTACCTGACGATCAACTCCACTGGCAGCGCCTTCGACAATTATTGCCGAGCCTCAAGGACATCGGGGTTGACAAGCTCTGGATTCCACCAGGTTGCAAGGGAATGGACCCATCTGCGACGGGATACGACATCTACGACATGTACGACTTGGGGGAGTTCTATCAAAAAGGATCCCGCGCGACAAGATGGGGACCAAAAGAGGAATTACAAGCGCTTGTCTATGCTGCCCGAGCTATCGGAATTGGGGTATATTGGGACACTGTGTTAAATCATAAAGCCGGTGCCGACTTCACCGAACGATTCAAGGCTGTGAAAGTGGACCCGCACCGTACGTGCTTTTCAAGCGCGACTGGTTGACCAGACTAACATGTGCCAGAGAGAAATGTTGAAATTGCGCCACCAGAGGACATTGAAGGTTGGGTTGGCTTCGACTTTCCCGGTCGCCGAGGCAAGTACAGCTCCATGAAGTATCACTGGCGGCACTTCACAGGGGTCGACTGGGATAATATGAGCAGCCAGCATGCAATCTACAAGACTTGTGGATATCAGAAAGGCTGGGCCATGGACGTTAGTGACGAAAATGGCAATTATGATTATTTGATGTTTGCCAACGTGGACCATTCTCATCCAGAGGTTCAAAACGATATCTTCAAATGGGCTGAGTGGATCGGAACCGAGATTCCCATCAGTGGCATGCGGATCGATGCAGCAAAACACTACTCTGCTGCCTTTCAGAAAAAATTTATTGATCATTTGCGGGCCACCGTTGGTGCCGATTATGATCTGGTGGGAGAATACTGGAGGGGAGAGGTAGGCCTACTTCTTGAGCATCTTAACTTGATGGATCACCAGATTTCTCTGTTCGATGTACCGCTGGTTGGTCGGTTTTCGGTTATCTCGAACACAAAGAACGCAGACCTACGGTTGGTTTTCAAGGGCACCCTGGTGGAACAGAGACCAAGGCATGCAGTGGTAAGTTTGGTCGCTGCGAGCATATGAACAGGACTAACTTCGTTGGATCAAGACATTTGTTGAGAATCATGATACGGTAAGTTATTGGAGATAAATGCGCATGAACCTATCTGATGTTCGAACAGCAGCCAGGGCAATCCTTAGAAGTGAGAATTATCGATTTTTCAATGTGGAAGGAAGCTCACGAGCCTCACAGACCCTGATTGCACCATTCTTCAAACCTCTTGCATATGCTTTGATCCTCCTCCGATGGCAGGGACAGCCGTGCGTCTTTTACGGCGACCTCTACGGAATTCGGGGAGGACCCAAACCAAGACTCGGCCCTTCGTGCGGTGGGAAACTTCAAATTCTCACCCGCGCTCGTAAATTATATGCATATGGCAACCAGCGAGATTATTTTGATAAGCGGCAGTGCATTGGTATGTATAAGGCACGCTTCATGCTTGACCTGCCATGTTAACAGTTTCGACCAGGGTTCGTACGCTACGGGGACTTGCATCATCCCTTTGGGCTTGCGTGTGTTCTCAGCATTGCGGCAACTTCCCAAAAGCGCATGTACATCGGCCTCAGCCATGTTGGAGAAAAATGGACCGATATTCTTCAGTCACAAACCGGAACGGTAGTGATTGATGATGGCGGCTACGGCATTTTTTCGGTGGCTTCAAAGAGTGTGAGTGTTTGGGTGAACTCTCGCGCGGAGGGAAGACATAATATTGCTCGACATTTGTAAGTGTAATTCCCTCTTGTTGGACCTTTCTCTGGAATATGTGAAACTATTTTGAATTTCCTAAAAGTGGGTTATTACTAACCGAATGCTCAACTATAGCAACACAGATATCTATAAATCCCAAGCCAGATGACTGTTATTTGAGATTTGTAATGTTTATTAAACTTTTTGATTCCGCTATAGTTGCCTACCTAGGTGGCAGAGATGAGCTTTAGTACTCTATCAAATATCCAGTATGTCGTGGCTCGAGGGAAGTTGGCCAGTACGTTTAAAAGAGTAGCACGACGGGCAGAAATTGAAAGAGATCTATTGTTCCAAATGAATAGGGCATATATAGCAATCTATAACACACGACTGAGCAGATCAGTTCCAAAAGGCTTTCTGCAGGGCATCACACATCAAGGTAATGCACCTCTTGCCCTCGGACAATACTCCATCCATCGCCAGGAATGGGTGTGGCATCCCCTTCATGACCTGGAGATTCACCTCAACGCCAGCCTTCTGGAGCTTCTCGGCATATTGCTCGCCTTCAGTGCGCAGGACATCCAGCTCACCCACCATGACCAGCGCGGGTGGCAGTTTTGACCAGTCGCCCTGGTAGAAGAGTGGGCTTGCCTCCGGGTTGGTGTAGTCCACCGCATTGGGGAGGTAGTGGTTACGGTACCAGAGCATCTTGGGAGCTGGCAAAGCCGCGGTATGCTCATATCGGCGGTACGACTCATTGCTGTCCACAGTCGCCGTGTTGTCTGTCACTGGGACGGAGAGAAGCTGGGCACGGAAATGCACCGGCGGTGATAGCTTCAATGCCTTGTGCGTTACAACTGCCGCAAGGTTGCCGCCCGCAGACGAGCCACCGGTTGCGATCTTGGAGGGATCGATCGATAATGCGGTGGCACCATCAGAGATAAGCCAGAGTAGTGCCTCCCAGCAGTCATGTACTGCCGCTGGGAAAGGGTTCTCCGGTGCGAGACTGGGTAAGTGAAACCATTGATCAGCTTCCCCGCATCGCCCTCATCGTATGCGGCACAGACTTACCGGTAGTCGACAGTCACCACGACACAGTTGCCGCGGACGCACAAATTCGAGCAGACGACATTTTCAGTGTCGATATTCCCAAGCACCCAGCCACCACCATGGAAGTACAGCATGACGGGCCATCCGCCGGCGGGCTGGTCGCCCTTGGGCGTGAAACAGCGGATCGGGACCGGAGGACCCTCGGAGACCCGACGTTGGAGAGTCAAGTCTTGCGTCTTGCCGACTTCGAGCATGGGACCGGCGCCAGGAATCAAGACACCGCTGGTGCGTGAAGCCTCGACGGGCTGGTAGTGGACTTGTTGATTGTTGATGACAAACTTGTTATAGAAGTCGACATACTCCGGGTCCAGCAAGTCCTTGACGGACTCGTGGAGGGGATATGGGGGTTGCGGAGCAGACATTGTGTGTGTGAGAAAGGGAATGTGTGTGATATAGGGAGACAAAGACCGAAAAGAAAAAGAAAACGAGGAAGAAGAAGAAGAAGACCCCCACGCGCTGGGTGGGATGACGCGGGGGATAACTGATAAGAATTTCCTATCGTGGCAACAGATCGGCTGCCCACTCGAGACGCGGATGAATAATACAATGAGGAATGAAAAGCCGCTGCTTCTCCCCGCGCAAGGAGTAAAGATTCTTCACATCCTCCTCATCATGTCTCCCAAGACCCCCGTGCTCACCGACAAGGCCCCCAAGCCCTTGCCGGGCATCTACTCCCAGGCCATCATCGCCAACGGCGTCGTGTACTGTTCCGGCGCAGTGGCGATGGATCCGACGACTGGCAAATTGGTCGATGGCGACGTCAAGGCCCACACCGTATGTATGGTCTGCCCACCGGAAAACAGAGATCTGACGACTCGCCAGCACCAATGCATCAAGAACTTGACCCATATCCTCGAGGAAGCCGGGACCGACATCACCAAGGTGGTCAAGGTCAACGTGTTCCTGTCCAACATGGATGACTTTAGCGAGATGAACTCGGTGTACATGCAGTACTGGGGCGATGTGAAGCCCTGCCGGACGTAAGTGCCTCTTTCTGTTCTTTCTTTCCTTCTAGCGGTGTGCCGTCGAATGCTGATAAGTGGTCCCTTACAGATGTGTGGCGGTCAAGACGCTGCCATTGAACACGGATGTGGAGATTGAGTGCATTGCGGTGTTGTAGATAAAATCAAATGGCCAACGAAACTAAATTTCAATCAAACAGTGTGTTCTATATATAGCTTGCGTCGGAAGCCACAGGAACCATCACGCGCGAGGTCCGGAGGACCAACATTCTCATTTCTGAATGCCTCCAACCAGCCCTGTCGGCACAATTTATTGATTAAGGAAAATGGAAATTGTTTGCTTTGTTCAAGCCTCTAGAATCGGAAGCCGGTCTGTCGTGTCCCACCATTGACAGTTACACGGATCGTGGGTTGGACTCAGAATGGGGCAAGTCAACCGAAACCTACATGTCAGGCAAGGTCAGTCCGGAAAAATATCCTGCTGGTACTGGCTGCATGATATAGAACCGAGTGATGATAAAGAATACAAATAAACTATAGAGTTCAAGAATTAGCCGGACTTGCCTATCCCGCGCCCAAATCGGTAGTGGGGCCCGCGGCTAAATTGTTGTTCGGCCCCGCCAGTAACTAGCTAGTAACGTCCACCATGTCCATTTCCACTCCAACCAACTCTTCTCCTCTCCTCCTCCCCTCCCCCCTCTCTTCGCCGTATTCTTCTCCATGTGGTCTCCGTCGAAAATGTCGCCTGCTCCGGCCCGGCCGTTGGAAGGCAAGATTGGCATCGTGACCGGCGGTTCACGCGGTAAATCGACACCCCCATCGTCACTCGCGGGGCAACGCTGCTAACTGACAGTGCGCAGGTATCGGCGAAGCAATTGCACGAAACTTGGCCGCAAAAGGCTGCTCTCTGCTTCTCAACTTCACCTCCGAGTCCTCCCGTGCCCCCACCGAGGAGCTATGCACTTCGCTGGCCGCGACACACGCGATCCGGTGTGAGAGCGTGCAAGCCGATCTGAGCCAGCCCGAGACCGCCGTGTCGGCCATCGTGAGCGCTGCGAAGAAGCATTTCAGCTCGGGCAATAAACTACAGGTCGATATTCTCATCAACAACGCGGGCGTATCGCAGGATCGCAACCTCAACGACGCTGCCAAGGGCCCCATCGCCGCCGAACATTTCAACTGGCACTACACCATCAACGTCCTCGCCCCACTCCTCCTCACACAAGTCATAGCCCCTTTCCTCCCCACCGACCGCAGCGGTCGCATCGTGAACATCTCGAGCGTCTCGTCCTCTATGGGTTTCGTGGGACAGTCCATGTATGGTGGTACCAAGGCGGCCCTCGAGGCCATGACCCGGACCTGGGCCCGCGAGCTGGCGGACCGCGCCACCGTTAATGCCGTCAACCCCGGCCCAGTGATTGGTGACATGTACTTCAAGGCAGGAGAGGACTTCTGGAAGGATATCCAGGGATTCCAAGACAATACGCCCATGAGCAAGCTGGACGAGTCCGACGCGGAGACGATGGGGCGCTTGACCGAAGAGCAGGCTCGTCTGATCAAGGATAAGATGGGTGGTCGGCGTCCAGCCTTCACAAGTGAGATTGCCGGGGTGGTGTGTATGCTCTGCACCCCCGACGGAGGTCATTGCACTGGGAGTGTCATCTGTGCGAATGGTGGGATGAGGATGGGCCTGTAGCGGACTGACGGGGCAAGAATAGATGTTGCATAGTAGTTATATGAATTCATCGATAATCAAGAGCTGCCTAGAATGATCGATAATTCTCAACAAGATAGAGCCTTACTGCTGCATCGGTTACCTAGGATGATGTAGACTCCGTAAGGGTTTGGAGACACTCATGACGTTTGGCAGCCTCATAGGACCTGCCTTTCCTGACTACAAACCGAGCCAAAGATCAAGCTCCAATACACTTTATTATCATCGAAGTGCTCAACCTTCAATGTCTCCAAAGACACGCCCGACACATACTCCTGACACCGGAAAAAGCAAACCCTAGCCAAGCCAAGCCAATCGTAAACAAGATCATTGCAAAAGAAGAAACCGTGACATCAAGAGGCATTTAGATTGCCTGGTAGACCTTGAAGCTCTTAAACTCCCAATATGCATTCTCAAAGCTAGCCGGATTATTGGCCACGAAGTCGGAGCAGGTGCCTGGGCAGCTATACATCTGCTCGTAGAGCCGAGGTTGAGCCGCCAACTCCCCGCAAAGATCAATATTGGCAATAATACTCTGGTTGCGGAAGTGCGATGCGATATTGCATTCTGTGCTGGGGAAGTCGGCCAGAGCTGTGCCCCAGGTGGATGGGTCGGGCACTCCGGTAGAGGTGGTGATATCGGTGGGAATAGAGTCTCGCGGAAAGAACCACGCACGGATGCCAGCATCACGAAGCTCAAGCGCATAAATCTATACATAGACTGGTTAATATCATCATCTGAGAGATCCGAGCTCGGGAATTCTTACTCCACCGCCCTGATCATTCAGTACTTGGCCATATGTGGATCGATCGCCTTGTACACCACAGCCGGAGTTACTATTGGTGCTATTGTCGCACGTTTTATATCGGGCTGAACCAGTCTCCTTGCGCTTCACATTCATTGAGCATCCTCCCGTCGTGTGCAGGGTGACCTCGTTGCCTTTCGTGCCTCCGTTGGTGGATTCAACCACATCGATCTCTCCATTCTCAGGCCAGTTGTAACCGTCGGTTAGCCACAGGGCGGGCCATGTGCCACAACCGTATGGGGTATGGAGAATATCAAAAATAAAAAGGCCCGTATCGTAAGCGGATTTGGATTCGATCCGCACCGAGTTGCGGCCCGCTGGCGCATTCGGGGTCGAGGAGTCAACTCGCAGTACGGCCGATGCATCCGTAGCGAACGTCAGGTTGAGGTCCTGGGCGGCTTCTTCATTGACATATCTAAGCAGGGGTCAGCAGGTAGGAGTAACGTGCAAAGAACATGACTTACACCACAAACCCATTGGTTGGGTCTTGGTTGGAGAAATAGTCAAAGTTGTCAAAGAACGATGTCCCTTGGTACGTGTCCACCAACTTGTAGTTCAAGGGAGTGTAGTCGGGATATCGATTGGCCCGGACGCCCTCCACGGCACCCACAATCGTAACAATGATCACCACGATGACCAGCGCAACAATCACTAATTTCTTGCGAAGTGACCAACCCCGGGGGTCATACCATGGTGTCGTGGTGAGCAGGTCCTTCTCCGGGCCCCCTTGGGGAGACGCAGGGACGGCTGAAATGGGTGCTATAGGTGCACTAGGTACTTTGGGGACATCGGTGGGTGCGAGATCCGGGATGCGAGAAGTTGCACCGCTGTAGCGACCCAAATACTCGGGTGGGAGGTCGCGATCATCCATAGTGAGAGAAAAGCGAGTGACTGGAGATGGGAAAAGTCCCGTTGAGCAGCGGATCCTTAAGGTCGGTTGATAGGGACTGCGGTACCTGCTGGAATGTGGGGTCCCTGGAATGCCCCAGGGGGAAGGTCCAAGTGAATTTGGTTCAGACTAAACAATAACACCTGCTGTGGATGCACGTCATAAACCATGGAACAGGAAGGAGGAAGAATAGAGCCCTAAGGGACGCCAGGTTGTGAATGCAGATTCACTATCTTGCTAACCCTTCTTCCCCCCTTGCTCCTCCTCATCTGCGACCCGGTTCCATCGCCAGCAATACAGTGTTGTTGTCCTTGTCAACTCTTCATCCCCAGATCTCCATCTCCGCTGTGTTTGGTGTGGAAACAAAGCATCGCCCAATGAGCCTGGGCCGAGCTGTCAAGCTCTTCACCTCATGCGACCAACGTCAAGCTCCTAGGCTCGAGCACGTGCTGGCTGCTCGATGATGCCCCTTGCTGCTTGGCTCCCCTTTGTCCCTTCTCGAGCAATGCGACCTCCGCGTCCGCGGGCACGTCTTGTTGTTCTTCTCTACCGGTGCCACTCCCTACCTCTGCGTGGTCACAGAACAGTCCTGTCGTGTTGTGGTTGCGTCTGTATTGATGATCCAGAATATGAAACTGCTTCGTGATGTCCGCGGATGGTCATCGTCGATGCCGTGAGTCTGCAAGCGCCCATCACGGTGCGGTTGTTCGGCGCCGTGTCGGCAGCCCGCTCTTTTCTGGCGCGGGTATAAGACCATGGAGCATATCTAACTGGCGGGATTCGACCTTCAGAGATTGAACATATCGGGCATCTACGTGTGGGAGATGGTCATGATGATCAAATATCAACAAAATTATAAGCTAACCCATTGTTCACCCACCCAACGAACACCTGCTATCACTGGTACTGGCCGGGAAATGCAGAATCAGCGGTTGCTTGAAGCACCAAAACGCTGCCATTGATCTGGCTGTCCGGGTGCAGCATGGTGGTAGCCACTGGTCCCAACGCCCGACGAGTATCATGGCCGATACCATCATCCAAAGAAGACTCCTCGATCGTCTCGACTGCACCACGATGTCGTCCAACTACGACAATGTTATTGGCCTTGCGGGACGCCTGACCTAGCTCTGTCCGGACCGCTGCAAGAGTCACTGCGGCCGTATCACTGATTGTGCCTGACGCAGTCGATCGCTGGAACACAACGCGCTCACTCAGTTCTTCTGGAAGGGAGTCACGCAGGGTCTCGAAAAGGACCAGGTCGCTTTGATGATCTCCGGTGGATCCGGATGCTGCACTGGACGCCGGGAATTGGATGATGGTTGCCGTCACCTGGTCGTGCTGGGCCAATTGTAGGACAAAGCGAAGGGCGAATCGATCGTCCTGACCACCGAAGAATGGAAGAACGATGTGATGGAACTGGCTCCCGAGGGCAGGTCGAGCCCAAGCAGACTTCTGAATGCTCATGGCGCTCGCGGGGCGTTTGGCGTCTGGGCGTTTTCCGGCACGGGCCTCGGGGCTGCGCTCAATAAGGATGCCAACATGGTTGGACACCCGCTCCAAAATGTCAGAGACAAAGCGTGCGTAGGCTGCATTCGCAAAGCGGCCCGCCACGTCAACTTCCAGGCCGTTCTGGGGATCTGCCAATGTACCCGTCTCGCTCCATGGCAGAAGAAGAAAGTCTCCGGTATTTTGATTTGCCATGCCAATGAACGTCTCCGCGTATGAATGCTCTGGGACAACTGAAACGCCAGCCATGAGCGACAAATCATGCCACTCGCCAAAGGCGCGGAAAGTATTGATGACGGGATCCCACAGGGCATGCTCGCCGGCCGCAGCCACTTTCATGACACTGGAGTCGCGATCTGTCAGTTCCATCAGTCGCACGCCTTGCACGCGAAGAGTTCCGTCTTCGTTCTCTTCGGACGGGGTATCGGCATCCTCAACCACCTGCTCAGTCACTTGCAACACTTTCGTCGGATGCACTCGTGGTGACGACCGTGCAGTTCCAGTATTGGGACTGAGAAGAGCTGCCAAAGTGCAAATGCCCGAGAGGCCATCCAACCGCAGATATACCAGTAACTTTCGAACGGGAACGGATTTCAGCTGATCTTTGGCAGCAGAAACACTATCTGAGCGGCTATCAGTCGGAATAGCATTGTCATCCCAGTCGATCTCCCCACGCCTCCATCGCTCGGCTTTGACTTGATACCATGCCGGGTAGAGCAGGGTGGTCAGGGGAGTGGTGATGAAAGTGGTGATCAGGGCCATCACCACAAATATGGTAAAAGTGCGCGTGCTGAGAATCTTTGCTTGCAAGCCAATATTCTATCAAGTTCGCGTTAGCTTGAACGGTTGAGAACAAAACCAGGAAAGGTTGCGTACCAAGACAATCAGCTCCACCAGACCCTTGCAGCTCATCAACACGCCGACCGAGAAGCTCTCCCGCCAGAGGAGCCCACTATACCGGGATGCCAACGTTCCACCAGCGACCTTGGCCGTGAAAGCAATGGCGATCACACCAACCACGTAGCCCCAGACGGTCCCGGTATTGAGTAATCCCAGATTGGTGCTGAGACCCGACAGGGTGAAATACAGGGGAAGGAACAAGGCGGCCACCACATCTTCGATCTTTTCTGTCAGTTTGATGGCAAAGCCTCCTTTATGTGGACACATGAGGCCGATGACGAAGCCGCCGAAAATCGCATGGATGCCAATGGCCTGGGTGAAAAAGGCCGACACAAGTGTAATCAACAGGGTCAAGGTCACGACGGACTGGCTGGGTCCTTTCTGCAAACTGCCCGTTCGTTCGAGGAAGCGGTAAAACAGAGGCCGGAAGCCGAAGATTAAGAGGAGCATGTAGCCAACGGCTACAAGCAACACATACAGCGCGGTGATGCCGCTGCCGGCATTGACCAGAGCGACGCACAGGGCAAGCAGGATCCAACCCACCACATCATTGCCCACTCCAGCGGACAAGACAATCACGCCGACGCGGGTGTCGAGCAGCTTCAACTCCGTCAAGATGCGGCACAGCACGGGGAAAGCGGTGATGGCCATGGCAATACCGATGAACAGTAGATAGGTGCCAAACTGGATGGGCACGGTGCCGGGATCATTCCGGAAGGCATTGTACAGCCCGTAGGAGATGGCGCATCCGAGCCCGAATGGCAGGACCATGCCCGCTGCGGAGACCCCAAAAGCCACACGCCAGTGGCTCATTAAAAAACGCAGGTCGGTCTCCAGCCCAACCTGGAACAAGAACAGCACGAGGCCCAGGTTCGCCACCACGCTCAGGGCCGGCGTGCTTTCGGAAGGGAAAATGGTGTCTGTGAAGCCGGGGATGCGGCCCATCACGGAGGGGCCCAGGATGATTCCAGCGATAACCTCGGCAATGACTCGCGGCTGACGAATCTTTGACAGCGGCCAGTGAATCAGGCGGCAAAGAATGATGATGATGCCCATCTGGATGATGAACACCAGGATGGGGTTTTTCGGATCATAGTGGGCCGGGTTGCCGCCATCCAGCACGCCCTGCGGGTTGGCGCGCGCGGTGGTTGTCACCGCAGGCGCAGAGGAGGTGGTGGTGGATGCCATAGCGATGACCCCGGGAGTGAGGGAGAGAAAAGAAAAGAGAGGCGGAGGAAGACAAGAGGAGACGGAGAGACAAAGAACCAGGCGTCAGCGGTAAGAAAGTCTGGCTCAGGCCCCGCCGTGGGGGCGGAGGAAGCGAATGATTGATTAGATTAGGGATATGATTGGTAGGTATTCAATAATGCCTCTCTCTGGAAGACTGGAAAAGGAAAGGGGAGAAGCATCCCGGAGAATTACTAGACCACTGTCACATACGTACAGTATGGCCAGATCTAGTTATATCTACGAACTGGATGTCTACCCACCCAATCGCGCATTCTTCTCCACTCTCCCCACACTCCGACCGTTGGGGAATGGATGTGGAAGTCAACAGTATATATAGTCCTCGGGCATACACTCTGGTCCGTCGAAAACCAACTAATCACGGGGAATATCTCTCGCTGAGAAATGCATTGTTGCACAAAATGAAAACCTTGCTCCAACAAGGGCAAGGTTAAAAGAGCGGAAATCCAACCATGCAAAACTATATACAAGACGGGGGAATTATAACATGCAGAAGAGATCAGTTGTTCGCCGGGAGCTCGTGAGGCTCGAAGCGGAAATGACTGCTAGTGTTGGATGGCGCGACGCCAGGATGGCTACTGGTGTTGGATGATGGTGGCGGCGGCAGGCTGCCGGGTCCCTTTTCGCTCGAATACGAATGGCCCTGTCCCCGGAATGGCGTCGCGGGTAGTTCACTATTGTTCGAGAACGGCGTAGGAAGTTCCCGCGCTTGCGATGGCAGTTCGGCCGGGCGCCGATTGGTGCGCCGTCGGACGAGAAAGAAGATGAGGGCGACGATCAGAGCGATCCCGACCACCCCCCGACCACACCCCCTGCAATTGCCCCGGTTGGGGTATGCGACGAGTTATCTGAGGCGACACTCCCGGTGGCCGTGGCTTTGGCGTGGGACGGCTGGCCGATAGCGACGGATGCCGAGGTCGTCGCGGAGGTCGTTGTGGAGGTGGTTGTCGACGACGTTATTGACGACGTTGTCGATGTTGCAGCGGGCGTTGATGTCGCAGCGGTCGATGATGTTCCTAAAAGAGGCTACCGTCAGCACCTTGTCTCGGGCCTTCTTTTCTGTGCGAGGGATGTCACTCACCAGTCTGGATCACGCTTAGCAACTGATCGTTCGTGTCGGCATAGGTCTGACTGGCGCAGCCGACCCAGACGGCACTCTGGACGTAAAATCCGAACTCCTGCTGATCGCAACAAAACAAGCCGTCATAACTGTAGAGATCCCAATTCGGTTTCGCACAGGATGGGTTGCTCTGCAGAACACCGGTGCAGTTGAGGCCGCTGGGGCAGCAGATCATGTTGGCGATGCCGGTGTTGGAATCATAGCAGTAGGAACCGTCTGGGCAGCAGGAGTGCATGGTGCCCCAAGTGTTGGCGCAGGACTTCTCACCGGCGCCGCAAGTATTATTGCGGCGCACGGCGTAACCAGTAATGTCGGACGACATGGTGCCTTCGGGGAATGGTTGATTGAGGCGGATGAGAAGAACAGAGAGAGAGACCAACACAGCGGGAGGTTGCAGAGGGAGAGCAAAGGGTGTGCCTGTGGGGGCCAAACCAACTTGGCGGGCCACTATAGTGGTTACCTCGGGTGCTAATTAGTATTAGTACTAGTATTAGTCTTGCTATGAAGATGATGCTGCTGATGATGGTTGATATTCTTGAGGATGATGATCTCCTGCTGTCCTGGTCGTGATGGATGAGAAGACCAGCAGAGAATCCGAACGAGGGCAAACCCAACATTCATGGGACCAGGGCGAGGATCCTCAGGCCGTGCGGCGAGTCCCCGAACGCCGCATGACAGGCCCTCGGTAGCCAGTGATGATGGATTCTCATAGTCGTCTCCCACATCGCAATTATCGTGGGAATGACCGTACGGATTATGCCGATGAATCCTGGAGGGCATGAATTTTGCTTGTGGGGCCCCATCTTATGTGATAAGAAGGGGGCTAGGCTCGACTGGGAAACACATCATACTAGCCGGTCAAGTGAAGGAAGATGGAAGGTGATGAATAAACGACGATTCGTCCCTGGAACGAGTTCCATCGATCGGATATCTCATCTGGTCGCACGATCCACCCTGACGTCAAGCACTGTCCACCCCTTCGATCGATGACACCCCCTTTCCTCTTGATTTAACCAGGCCCTGCCCGCCAGGATGTCAGTTCATGTCGTTGCTTCGACCACGGGCGCAATTGTCCCGATCTTTCATCAGACGGTTCACCATGCCGCCCAAACGCAAGTCTCCCGACGCGTCCGGCGCGTCTGCCAGCAAGCGAAGCAAGCCGGACCTGCGCCAGCCGCATCCAAACGCGAAAGAGACCGAGGCCTTTGGGATTGTCCTGCGCGACTTCTACCCCCCGAAATGAGCAACGAGCGCTGCGAGGCGTATAATAATGGAACCCTTGAACGGCCCATCGACACCCTAAACAAGGCCTGTCGCGAGACCGCCGACCATCGTCGCGCCATCGCGCCCGGCAAGGCCGTGGTGCACTGGTTCAAGAGTGATCTGCGTCTTCATGACAATCGCGCCCTGCACGCGGCTTCCCAGAAAGCCCACGATCATCACATCCCACTGATCGGCCTCTACGTTCTCTCACCAGAGGACCTGACGGCCCATCTGGCGAGTCCTGCACGCGTCGATCTGACCCTACGCACCTTGCAACTGCTCCAGCGCGACCTGGGCGAGTTGGACATTCCCCTACACGTGGAAACGGTCGAGGAACGCAAGGCAGTCCCGGGTCGGATTATTGAACTCTGTCAGAAATGGGGCTCCCAACACCTCTTTGCCAATATTGAGTACGAAGTGGATGAACTCCGACGCGATGCCCGGTTAGTCCGGCAATGCGCCCAGAATGGGATTGATTTTGAGCCGAAACACGATACCTGTGTGGTCACTCCGGGATTGCTGAGCAGCCAACAGGGCCGGCAGTATGCCGTCTACACCCCGTGGTTTCGCTCTTGGCTGGCCTTCCTGAAGGAGAACCCCGACTACCTCGAGGTGTCGGAGGAGCCCGGGTCCAACCCCCAGGATGCGCGAACCCAACTTGCAGACCTGTTCGATTGTAAGGTGCCCGCGGCCCCAAGCAACAAGCAGTTGTCCGACGCGGAGAAGAACCGATTTGAGAAAATGTATCCTGCCGGTGAGCACGAGGCCCTCCGGCGGCTGGATGCGTTCCTGGAAGAAAAGGCCCGCGATTACGAGACGATGCGGAGCATATTGCCCGGTCAGCATACGTCCATTCTCAGCCCGTACTTTGCCTCGGGAGCGTTGAGTGCCCGCACGGCTGTGAAGATGGCCAAGCGAAACAACAAAAATCGGCTGGATCAGTCCGACCCGGGCCATGTCAGTTGGATCAGCGAGGTGGCCTGGCGGGATTTCTACAAGCATGTGCTCGTGCACTGGCCATTTATCTGGTAAGACGTTCCTTCCCTCTCGTTTCGTTCTAAACCTCCCTGACCATTGCAGCATGAACAAGTGCTTCAAGCCGGACCACACCAACATTGACTGGGAGTACGATAAAGACCAGTTCCAAGCCTGGGCCGACGGCAAGACTGGATATCCTATCGTGGATGCTGCCATGCGGCAGTTGCGGCACTCGGCATGGATGCACAACCGCACTCGGATGGTCGTCTCATCTTTCCTGTCCAAAGACCTGCTTATCGACTGGCGTCGGGGTGAGCGGTACTTCATGGAGCATCTGATCGACGGGGATTTTGCCTCTAACCATGGCGGGTGGGGGTTTGGCAGCAGCACCGGAGTGGATCCCCAGCCCTACTTTCGCATCTTCAACCCGCTCCGGCAGAGCGAGCGATTCGACCCGGAAGGCGAGTACATCCGCTACTGGGTTCCCGAGCTGCACGACGTCCAGGGCACTGCCATCCATGCTCCATATGACCGGGGCGCGGGGGGAGTTGCGGAGAAGAATGGATACCCCCGGCCAATGGTTGAGCATGCGATCAGTCGGGAGAAGGCTTTGGAACGGTACAAGCGGGCGTTGCATGGATGAGAACGTACAGCAGACTTGGTCAATGTGCTCTCCGAAATAGATCTCGTGCTCCGGAGGGTATCCGGACCCCACAGGTGCATCGGTGTAGCTAGTTATAGTCTCAAAATCCAGATCCAATTTCGTACCCATATCAATAGGTGGACCCCCTTCGCCGCAAGAGGCCAAAGTGCATCGCTTAAATCTTCCACGCTCTAGATCGGAACTGCAAGCCACACTTACCTAACCCGCCCCCGCATTTTCTTTTGCTTCCGTCCTGAGCTTAGAGCCCTCCTCTGCTTTGCACTCATCCCTCTCGCTATACAACACCTTCCCCGATGACCTGAACTGAACATGGACACCCAGTTGGGTGACATCCCTCCCTCGACTGCCGGTCCGGACGACCTCCCTGACGGCAAGCGACGATGGCGCCGCAATCGGATTGCCTGCGACTCATGCCATGCTCGTCGCGTCCGTTGTGACCGTGCCTTTCCTTGCTCCCGATGCCTACGAAGTGAAATCCACTGCCAATTCACCCGCGAGCGCCGGAAACGAGGGCGTATTGCACGGTCCAAGGTGCCGGCCACGAACACGGAGAATACGAGAGACCGAGCCCCCGACAAAGAGACAAACGGTGGGGACGGCCTGCAGGTGGCCTTGTCACCCCTGCAGCAAAGCTCTCCCGCATCCACATTCCAGCACCGGTCGCCGGCCACTAACGAAGTCAGCATCCTCTCTGCGCCGAGCGCCGAGGGCCGCCGCCGCTCTGCGACGGATGGGTTACGACATCGAGCAGGTCCGGGGGCGACTAATGTCACCGAAGAATGGTTGTCTGCAGCGCACCTGTCGCCAGAGTCCTATGAAGTCCTCGGGGGCTCGGGTGGCGGCGATGGACCTCTCCCCCGGCTGCTGGATATCTGGAACCCAGTCGATCTGGCCGGTCACCGGCCCCAAACGGTGTCGGCGCCGATGCCTTCCATACCACGGCCGAGTCTTTCCAATCGAGGACAGATTCCTGGCCCAGCACGATCTTCATTGAAATACCCGGTGCTGGAGCCTGTGATGCCGTTCTTAGAATCGAATCTCCCTCGTCGACTGGTGTGCGACCTGCTGGAGCTATATTTTACGAGTGCCTTTTCGACCCATATGCACCCCGTGTGCCATCACATTCATTGCTACCTCCTGCGAAAAGCTTCTTTCCTCAGTCCGGACAGGCCACGGCCCAGCAGCCCGGCACTCTTGGCGAGTATGTTGTGGGTGGCGGCGGTAGACGACAGAGCCTTTTCCTTGTCCATCTCGCCGCTGCAACGCCGCAAGATTTGCCAATTTCTCTGCGCTCTGACGATCCGCTTGCTACGACCCTTGATTCATGTGTCATTCAAGGATCAGGAGCCACCCGCAGCGGGCGAGAATGGTCATGCAACCGCCGCCCAGGAGGCTTCGGCACATCACCCGTTCGAAGGAGTGGGCGATGATAAAGGTCTGGTCGGACCCGCTGGCTCACTGGACGATGTGATCACATACATCCATGTCGCATCCATTATTTCGTCTAGTGAGCAAAAGGCTGCGAGTATGCGATGGTTCGTTGGTCTGTCATCTTTTAACGCTCACTATCATACTGACTTCGGTTTAGGTGGCATGCTGCATTTACGCTAGCACGAGAGCTCAAACTCAACCAGGAAATGGAAGTGATGCCCAATGTTGATAGCCAGAGTGATGGCTCAAGCCCGTCATTCGGTTACGCTCTGGCCGGCTGGCCTGGCTCCCCAGGCGGTCCCGGCTTCGACTACTCCAATCACAGTCGTCCAAGCTTGAACTGTGTGTGCGAGCAAGGCGGTAATTCGCATAATCCCGCCGTAGTCACAGAAGAGCATCGAGAGGAGAGACGTCGGACATGGTGGCTGTTGTACATCATGGATCGGCATCTTGCACTCTGCTACAATCGACCATTGGCACTTCTCGATGCGGAAAGCGAAGATCTTCTTCTTCCACTGGACGAGAGCTCCTGGCAGGCGGGCAATATTCACAGCAATAGCCCCCGACAAGATGGACCCCAGTGCCCGCGCTCAGGAGATCAGAACAAACGCCGCGTGTTTCCCAACTTCATATGCCACGATCACTCCATCCTTGGCTTCTTCTTGCCGCTCATGACAATCACCGGAGAGTTGATTGATCTGAACCAGGCTCGCAACCACCCCACGCTCGGTCTCCGGCTCCAGGGGAAGGAGGCTTGGGAGATTCATGTGGCAGAGGTATTGCGGCAGCTTGAAATCTACAGAGCTAGTCTCACCACCTTTGCCGCGGCCACTACCGCGGACCCGGAAGCGTCACTGTCGACCGCATATGCCCCCAAACCCGATCAACCGGCCGACCCCCAGATCTCTCAAGCTTTTTCCTGGCATACACAGACGGTCATTGCCTATTCATCCTACTTGGTCCATGTTCTCCATATCCTGCTAGTGGGTAAATGGGATCCGGTCTCCCTGATAGAAGACAAGGATTTTTGGACTTCGTCGCCGGCCTTTGCGTCAACCATTTCTCACGCACTGGAAGCTGCAGATTCTGTGCAGCAAATCCTACGATTTGACCCGGACATCAGCTTTATGCCATACTTTTTTGGTATCCAGCTCCTGCAGGGCAGTTTCCTGTTGCTTCTCATCGTGGAGCGCCTTCAGAAGGAAGCGGGTGAAGGTATCCTGAACGCCTGCGAAACGATGATTCGCGCCACCGAGTCTTGCGTCGTCACTCTGAATACGGAGTACCAACGCAGCTTCCGGCAAGTCATGCGGAGCGCCGTTGCACAAGCGCGCGGGCGGCCTGTGAATCCGAGCGAGATCCGACATCGCCGCAAAGCGGTCCTGGCCCTCTATCGATGGACACGCAAAGGCACTGGTCTCGCGCTCTGACCGTGGTGAAACTGTTGGCTTGGGCCTCGGTTTCTGAATGATCGGGGTGCCTGTCGATCTCTCTTACCGTTTCCGAGCGGTGCAGGCCCTTGGCTATCATGACGGTTCCAGTGAGATTGGATGAACAACCAAGGCTCGCTGTGTTTGGTCGTTGTATATAGATGCTGCATTAGCGGATTATGTTGCTTTGGTTTCTTCGGATCGGCGTTGGAGCTCGGCTAGGTTAGGTTTTGTTCTGGTTCATGTAGCATACTGGTACTGTACATGTATACTCTTTTGGTCCTCCCCGCATCGCTTTGGACATAAATCAATGATTCGCCTCAAGCAATCCCTGCACGGCCTGCAGGCACTGCAAGATTCGCCTCTCCCCACTTACCGATTCTGAATTAACCGAGGACAGACTCGAGCACAAATGGACCGATTGGCGGCCGATCCCCAGAATCTGGGGAACTTCGGTTAAATCAGGGGTCCCGTGGCCTGTGTCTTGCCCGCTCTTCTGCGCGCTGGCCGGTTGCATTTTACCGATAATGCAGCACGCGCCATGAGCTCTGGCTGCCGGGCCACGGGTTCTCCGCAATAATTATTTTTTATTGTTTGGTTTAAAAATCAGGGACGATGCCCCGGTTTTGCGGGGAAAGTCCTTGATTTTGTTCGGCACGATTTAAAGAGACTCGATCTTCTCTTTCCAATCTGTGTAGCCTGGTTCAAGTATGCGCTCATGATCATTGTCTAATCCTCCATCTATTGAGCAGCGATGAACCAAGGAAGTTCCTCATACATGTCTGGGTGGCATACCACCGGTCCCTTGTATCCTCCAGTGATGGACCTACCATACAGTGTTGCAGACTATGATCAGCTGGGCCCGGACCCGCTGATTGCAGATGACTTTCCTTATTCTTTATCAGAGGGTTTAAATTCCACATTGACAGTGGCACAATTAAATTATGCCAGCGAGTTTACCGGAAATCCGACGGGCAAGTTCCAACCGTATCCGCAATCATATTACGCGGCCGGCCTTGTGGGCGATTATCAGGAAGGCAAGAAGACTGGGCAGTCGAGGTAATAGACTCGCAACATTTTGTGTCTCTGACTCGAGGATGCTAACCTCCATAGTACGATGCTTGGACACCCTCCTTCTACCGCCCCTTTCAACAATGCAGACCCCACGAGAGGCTATTTCCAACCGCTCTCCCAGCTGGCCACGGAGCGCGCGCTCTTCATGAACCGCCTCTGCAATCAACCCGGGTTCTCCGCGTACGCTGCATCGCCGACCTCTGATCCGTGTAGTTCGCCCGGAACAAGTCATGATTCCTCCAGTGGGTGGGAAGGGGACCCAGAGAGAGAAGTCATGGATCTTCACTCTGCAGACAGCTCTCCGCCGAAGCTGTACCCTCGCACACCTCGCGAGCCGATCCATCAGTATCAACATATGGCCGACGAAGACGACAACCTGATTCCGTTAGAAATGCCAGATGGTAGCACCCGCTTTACGGGGAATTGGCTGCCAGTGGATCCTGGTGTTGGAGTTACCATCGGGTCATGTGTTCACCGTGATCCCAGCGAGGATGGGAATCATCTGGATTTGCAAGCCTTTCATCATGATACCATCGCCTTCATTCCACCAAACTCGGCTGCGTGGTCATGCGAGGGGTGAGGTGCCCATGCGTAGACGGAGAAAGCAAGCAGAACACACACAATGACGAGAAGACCCTTGGGCAGGGCCAAAGGAGAACCATCAACTTGACATGGCGCCACGATACATACTCTTCGCAGCATTCTGTCAACCACAGACAAAGTTCGATTTCCCGAAATCTGTATCGAACGATATTCGACATCCCTCCAAAACCCGAGAACGTCAATATTGGCGACTGGGAACCCATCAATCAAATCTCAACAGAGCCATCACGGCTGAAAGGAATCGCCAGGGATGAGTGCGTGAAACGATTTGACTGGTGTGAGGAAGGGAACAATGTAAAGCATGAAACTGCGAGCGAACCCCCAGTCGGGGATCAATGGCCAATACTAGAAGCCTGATACCTCAACATGAATGGCCACCTGATGTTTACAGAAATGTCCATGTTACCAATAACAATAATAATAAGCCAGCATAGCTGCGAAAAGCCGTTTGTATAAGAACAAAAAGATGAGCAGTCGTAGCTGAGGAGAAGAAGAATTTCAACAAAGCGCGTCAGGTTGCCCAATCCGAAATAAACAATCGACGACATATAATTACAGAGCGATATTACATCAATCCCATCAGTCCGCTGACTCCCAATCAGGCCACACAATAACATCCTTCAAAGCTTCCCTGTTCGCCATGTAGTATTCTTGACCAAGCATGTGCAGCTTGCGACGATCTGTCTTCTTCGACTTAGTGCGTGGCACACGGTCGACGAGTAAGTAGAGGCTGGGAATATAGTACATCGGTAGACTCTGGCGGATGGCCTCACTCAGTGATTTCGCGAGTGCATGCACGGCATGGCGATCTGTGACCGCACGGAATTCCATATCCTCTACAGGCCCATGTTCGAGATTCATTGGGTTGGAGCCCAAGTAGATGTAGGCGGCTAGGATGGGATCGCTGACGCCGTCTACAGCCCCCAGCACGTCCACAATAGCGGCGTCGCCGTCAGAGAGGTTCCGTCGAATAACATATTCGACCTGCCCAGCCTCGACCCGCGCCCCGTCCAGCTTCAACATTGAGTCCTTCCGGCCAATCAGCTCGACTGTACCGTCATGATTGTATCTACCGAGATCGCCGGAACGATAGAATTTATGTTGCGGGCGTTCCGGGTGCAACTGGGCCATCCATGCTGGCGGAGTAGCGAGAAAGTTTTCGGACTTCCCAGAGACATGATCCAGATATCCACGAGAGATGTGTGGGCCTTCCACCAGGACTTCACCCACAGCACCGACAGGCATAAGCTGGTCCGGAAGATCAGGGTTGACGATCCAGATCGCTCCACTACCAGGGCGCCCAACCACGGCGCCACGGCCCATCTGGAGATTATTGTTATAGCAGCAGAGCGATGCGACCTCACCCATGCCGTATTGGTTGAATACCTTAACATAACCCAACCACTTGGCCAGTACCGCGTCAGAGACAGGCTCTCCGCCAATACACATCACTTGCAAAGTGGGCACCAGGGCGGGATCCATATCGATAGCCACAGAGGGTGTTACAAACATCATATTAGCCTGAAGAGTGTTCAAATCGCCCATCAAGGCGTCCATCGAAAGAGATGTTGTGGGTACACAACAGCAGCCACCGGCAATGAGGGTGGACAGGAAGTCGTTGTTGCTGATGTCGAATGCGTAGGCGTCGAACTGAAACATGCGGGTGTGAGATCCCATGCCGAACACACGAATGTAGTCTGTCAATGCGGACGCATAGCTTCGATGTTCCTGGATAATGCCCTTGGGCTTGCCCGTGCTTCCCGAGGTGAACAGAACGGTGCAGGCATCAGTGGGGCGGACATCGGCACAGGGAACTCCCGGAAGAGATGGCAGAGCCTGCAGAGAGTTCTTGCTTATCTCAAACTGCGTTGCCACCAACTCGGCAAAGTTGTCTGCATAGCCAGCTGAGGTCAGAATGATCTTGATCTGAGTACGCTCCAAAGCCGACTGCAGATATGAAGGTGGGTCTTTTGCATCAACACAAATGTATGCACCTCCTGCCATCAGAATGGCCAGTCGAGCGACGATAGTCCATGTGGACTTGTAGAAGGCGCACGCCACAAAGACTCCAGGTTTCACCCCATGGCTAACAAGCCAATGGGCTAGGCGGGATGCCAAATCGTTGAGTTCCCGGTACGTGAGATCGCCATCCCATGAGCGAATTGCCGGTGCATCGGGAGTTGTTGCTGCGTGCCGAAGACATAAATCGTGTAACAGCGAGTTCTGTGCCGGTGCAACTGCGCGGGTAAACTGGGTAATCCGGTCTCGATCATGCGGCGCACATAGTTCCACGCCTCCGACAGCCTGCACAGGGGTGCCATCAATGGAGGTAAGGGCTTGGTTAAAGCTGTGAAGCAAGCTCAGTGCCAATTCCATTCCTATTGAAGTCCTGCTCACGTCCAGCCGGGCATGTAACCGGTCGTCGGGCGTGTAACAGATTTCTAAATGCAGCCCGCTGGATTCGTAAGTCGTAGGCTTGGGCTCAGACTCGACTGGTATGGCCATGCCTTGAGAGCAACAGACCTGACAGCGACCGACACAAAGCTTCAGATCCGAGGACATACGCTTCGCCGGTAGTCTCTGATATGCGATAGTCACATTGTAGTCCACGTCCTTGCCATATTGAGCAGTATCGCCATTGGTAGTCAGCGATGACCCAGACACTTGGGCCAAGCTGTTAACTTTCTGTGTGAAAAGCTCACGCACTGTTTCTTGAGGGTCGAAATGAATCTGCACAGATGATCCAGCATGAGCTGGACTGGTCTCGCCGACAAAAGAGCGGCCTTGCTGGTACTGCTCGCTAATGTAGAAGGTGGCCGATGAGACAAAGGCACGGATAATGATGATCCAAGCCAATTGAATCATGCGCTGGATTTGAGTGTCAGGATGTTCGTCCTTGACCACCGAGGGAGCGTCGAGGGTCTCAACGAGGCGCAGCAGCCGTAAGGGACGTGCCTGAAGAGCGAGGTCAACCGCCGTCCTACTTGAATTGCTTGGAGGTGCCTTGACGGGGGCGACGGCGAGGTGCGAATTGGAAGACTCGGCTTCTAACAAGATGGGAGCCATGATGGGCGACAAATAGTAAATTCAGCCGCGAGAAAAAAAAAGGTAGGAAGACTGAGTTCTCTACTCGAAGAAAGAACACACCTGGCTTAAGTGCAAACGGTGTGTTCCACGGCCATCGCTGATGTGCGTTGACCGGGCGCCATTCTTTGTTCACAGACAAAGCAAGCAAGCAATAACGCCCCACTCTTTTCCCTCGGTCATGCATCGTTTATTGAGGAAGATTTGCGCTAGAACTAATTGCAGCACTCATTTCACCTCGCACAGAACGGAGGCAGGCGGTGCTGTCATTCGTCGGCGGTGTTTGCCTGCGGTATCGCGAAGTGGGCTGGCTTAATGACCGTGTCCAGAGTAACCATGCGCACAGCGGGGCAATTATTGGAAAAGGACACACAGTTTAGTAGGAGGATTATTATTATTTCCGTGAGCTATTCATGCTGAAAGGCTGAAGAGAGAGAGACAAAGGATGGAAAGAGGAGCCGTTTTACTCAATTCGTCAACCAAACAATAGCCATGAACGCCGCCCTGCAATCACTCCACGATTTGCATAATACCCGGCCGGATCCCTTCGAGAATACCCGATACCTCCTTCCATAGTTTCTGCCGTGCCTGGCGGCCCTCATCGCTGCGAACAAATGCCGAAAGCGCGGTATTCTCAGGGCATCCATCAGTCATGTAAGTACCATGGCTTTCCAGTCCTGCCGCTGCGCCGGCGACTAAAGTCCGGCTGCCCACCTCGGTTGACCGCGCCATCACGGCCTTCATCAGCCATAATTGCCAACCGGCATCGCGTCCCAACTGTGAGTGGCAGAGACCAGGGTTTATCTGGTTGATGATCACCTCCGTCCCACGAATTCGGCCTGCCAGTTCCTGAACCAGTAAGACCTCGAGCAGTTTGGATAACATGTAGCGCTCATTCATCTTAGCATTGGTGGGATCGCTTATGGTAGCGAGGATACGATCCTCTTTCCATTCGGGGAATTTGACCCAGGCATGCACTTCGCTAACCACAAAGCTGAGCTTGGGTTCAGAAGAAGGCACTTCGCGCCGGGTAGCCTTCAGTTTTCTGAGAAGGAGCAGCCCAAGCAGGAGCGTGCTGACAACGTTGACAGTAATAGAACGCTCGAGACCCTCGGCGGTCTGGAATTCCGAAGTTAATAAGGCGGCGTTGAGGATAGCATTATCAAGACGCGGCAGCTTCGCAGCCCGTTCACCGAAGGCGAGCACGGACTTGTATGAAGCCAGATCGACCTCCCACACTTCGCAGACTCCCGGTCTACCGGTGGACGATTCAATCGATTTTTTGGCATCTTCGCCAGCGGCCACATTGCGAACCGCTAGAATGACCTTCTCCGCTCCAAGCCGGACCAGGTGTCGCGCCGCTTCCAGTCCCAGGCCCACATTGGAACCGGTGACGATGACCGTCTGGTCGGCGAAAGACTGCTTGGGGTAGGGCGGAGTGACCAAAAATTGCGAATAAAGAAATCCCATGATGGCAAAGCCGGGTTTGATTCGTGTGTCCGCGGAGCTGGGGCGCGTTCGGGCGAGCTTAAATAGGGTGAAGAATGTTGTGATGCCGTTATGCACGCTCGGCATTAAGGCGGTCATAACAGTGGGACGTCCGAGGTCCAATAACATTGTGACAACGAAATTCCAAAAACCGGAAATTCCGTGATCTGAGATTCTCAGTTGAATGGTGAGTATACGAATCCTACTTCTGTTATTGAAAGACGCTATCCTTATTATGCATTCCCTGTGCAACTGCCAGCTGCCAACAGAAGCATAAAAACTACTGATATCCGAGAATTCCAGAAGCAAAAGGTCCATTAATCTCTCGACAGATAGCAAATAGCAAGTGTGCGCAGATCAATTATGCACGATAACGAGATTCTGAGAGAAATCCACGCCAAATTACTAGGCGAGGAGATAGGACAGAATACATCCCATCCTAGTACGGCGACTGGGATGGACCACCAGGCGGCGCAGTCTCCTATAATTAACTGAAGTGTGAGGCGACCGCGCTGTGCATCTCCGAGCTGATCAGCCAATTCTTGCAATATTTAAAATCACTATGAAAATTCCCCTGCATGTACTCTATATAGAAAAGGATGACTTGCTTCATCGACTTTTGCAACTTTTCAACTAGGAATTTTCAGGTCTAGCTAGTTGTTCAGGTCCAAACGCTCCAAGGCCCCTGATAGCGAAATGTCTGCCTGCGTTCATTGTGCTCAACGAAGCCGCTGAAGATATTTGCCTGCTGGGGGCCTTCTTCCTCCTTGATGTAACCGAGCTGGCAAGAGTTGTACTCTACCTTACGTTGTGACTCATAAAAGGTATCGTAAGACTCCTCTAGAGCATCTTTCAGTGTCTTGATATTACCCCCTGGGTGCAAGACACTCCATGGTTCTGTGCATTCGTGCGTCTTGCATGACTTCAAAACCATCATGAGAGTGTCCAAACGGGCCACAATTTGATCGAATGGACGGCCCGCAATTGAATAGTCCGATAGAAGTGACGCATTAAGGAAGTAGTTATCAAGTTGACCAGGATCGAGCTACCACAACTGTCAGATTTGAAAGTTTTTTTTTCTTTTGACGAGGCAAGACCCACCTTGACGTCGTAGTATTCCTTTTCACCAGTGCACCACACGGAGTAGTAAAGATTGTATTCGGGGCTCACAATGCGAAGGCCCTTGTAGGTGTTGTTGGTGGCGGCGTTCGATATGCCGAGCTTCTTGTCCGGAACATCGCCGTACTTGCCCCATCGCCCTTCAGGGAGAGCTTTGCCCCAGAATTCGATATTGACATGCTCAAAGCGAGTGTTATCTAATGTACCTGTTTCCTCCGCACTTAGTGGAATAGCAAGTCCATCGAAATCACTTCGTGTCTTTCCGGCAAGCCCTAGAATGGTAGGGGCTAGGTCCGTGTGGGAGGTCATCAGGTCTACAGTCCGACCTGCTGCTATTCCCGGTCCTCGGACGATGAGAGGGATGTGGATATCCGTGTCGTAGCCGGACTCTTTTCCCGGATGAAGCCCTACAAACTCGTGTTAGAAGTATGAAAGGCTATAATGCATGCATAATGTACTTACGGTGTTGTGAGATATGATACCCGTTGTCAGTTGTGTAGAAAACATAGGTGTTGTCGAGCTCTCCTTTGTCTTTTAGCTTCTGGATTAAGGTCGCAACCATTTCATCGACCGATTGAAGTGCCCGTAGACGGGCACGTTGAAACTCGTCATTATAGTCGATGACAGTACTATTTAGTAAAGGAAGATCCTTCATCCAAGAAACGCCATTGTGCTTTAACGTCCACTTATTAGCATATAGCCTAGTAATCCAAATATAACCGATTAGCTCCGCACCTTCTTCGGATTGAAGTTGTCAGTTCTCGGGATAATATAATCCTTGAAAAGATGCGCATGGCGCGCAGCACATTTGGGCGGCTGTACGTCTAATTCCTCTGGAGTTTTGAAGTGGCAGTTAGAATGAGGAGCAATAGGGGCGACTGTTAGAAACCAGGGATTTTTGTGTATGCTAGCCTCGTCGATAAAGTCGTACGCTTTCTGCGCAATAATATCTGGGGAATATTGCCCCTCGTAGCTAACTGGGGGCGCTCCGTTCCGAACCATGCTGCTGTTGTAGTACTCATAGGTGTAAGGGTCCACTAGGAAGTCACTACTAGTAAATCCTTCGACGTATGGTTTGTCGTAGTTGTCCACGCTGTGGGCATTCCATAGCTTTCCTGAGTAGTACGTGTTATATCCAGCCTGTTGCATCCACACTGGAAGGTAGTTCTCGTTGATTCCTTCCCGAACGACCTTGGGATAACCACCTAAATATTCATGTTAGGTTGCTAAAAAGAAACTTCTGGGGACTAGGTAACGAGTTCCTTCGCTTACCGTACGGTGGAAAGAGGTCAGTCACGTTAGTATTGTGCGCTGCACGACCAGTCCACAAATTTACACGCGACGGACAACAAATAGCCACGGTGCAATGGTGATTGGCATAAAGTGTTCCTTCGTTTATAATATATTTCTGGAGAAGGGGCATGTGTTGCTTGAATTGTTCATTAGTTGGCTCCTCATATCCTTTACGTCTCGATAACACTACCAAAGATTCCATATGCCAGTCTTGGTCATCAGTCAGGATGAAGAGGATATTAGGCCTTTTGGCCACAGCATTTGCAGTGGCTTGGACCACAATAATCGGTAACAGAAATAAAACCAACTTGGTTAGCGTCGAGCGGAGCATCATGAATTGTCTTAACTTTAGATGGTGAAATAAACAAAGGATATCTGGAAGAAGAGCAGCAAGCATAAAAAGAAAAATCAAAATTGGCAGTCTCACCCTGAAAAACCTCAGGAAATCCTTGCTTATTCGAGGCGAAAGCTATTCGTCATTAACCCCGCATCTATCGTTGTTAGTGAGTTCTAGGGAAGCTAGTGAAGCTTTCGGCAGCTCTACCGACTTCAACCGACTGCCGGAAAATTGTATGTATTACCTGCTTTGACTCCACCTTGGAGAGCAAGTTATAATCACTCCGTCTATTTTTCCACAGACGATTGAAGACGAATTCGCTCTTGGGGATATATCGCCCAAAACTATCAATGTGGCGGACGCTGGCAGTAAATGCAGTCGCGATCAGCTGTCCTATCAGTGAGCGATTAAATATTTCTCATACTAAATTTTGAAACACACTAATCTATATTTAGTACTCTCGACAGGCTCAACGGGCATAACCATATGTTTTACTCCGTGATCCTACTCGTCCGCCTGAGCCTCATTGAAGCGGCGACTCAAATAGGAAGCTCCCTGAAATAATATATGCGAAATTATCATACAGCCTCTCCTCAACCCAAAGCGAAAGTCACTCCTGCCGTAGCCCCAGCTTTGGAGTTCGCCAGTTTCCTCCGTCTGTTAACGTTGCTCATGTAGTCCTCTAACTTCTGTTCGTACCGCGCATAGTCTCGCTGGTACTTCTTCTGGTCTTTGTATTTTTCTCGAGAAGGTGGATGTGGCTTTATGCCATCGAAAAGTCCCGAGCCGAAACACATTTTGATTCAAATTTGTTTGTGGAAGAGTTGGTGAGGCTGGGTTTAACTTTGCTTGGAACAGGCTGAAGTAGAAGAAGGAAAATAATATTTGTGTAACTTTAATTGTGCTAGGGTGATTGATTTATAGGAAATTAACTAGCACAGCCTTCTTTTCCCCGAGTCTTGGCTTCGTCATAGGGTCCAAAAAAGGTGGCTGTGATACTTCGGGTTCTAGCAATCAGTATCTGTTCTCCACAGCACTGATCTTTTTTCCATCTATGTTTTGACGGGCCATTGTTCTCATATGGTCGGCGATTTCTGATGTCTTGAATTTAAATTGTATTTTTAGCACCAGAATCTTGAAATTTATGAGATAAATACGGGACTCTTAGCTATCGTCCATCACTAAGCAGCAGTAAGCAATATGTTCAATTATCGCTCAAGTATAAATAACAGCTTAATATATCCTCGTGTGCTCACCATCATATTTCCAGTCACCTACTTCACCATTCTAAAAACCAATGGAACCATGCGTCCGATTATAGATAAGAAACTGATGGGTGGGTGCCTGAGGTGTCAGCGCCCACCGCCGTAGATAGATAGGATTTCCCTTCTAGGAGATCATGATCAATACAACTTCACTACCCGTTCGTTTCCTTTCCATGATCTCTCTCCAGGTCTCTGCTGTGACGTCCGACGACCTCCCCTGAGTCGACCGGCCATCAGAAACTGTTCTCTGTCGAAAAAGATGGGGCCGACGAAGAAAAGATCTAGAAGCACCTGGTAGAGAATGGCTGCATTTTTGGCGCACATGCAAAGAACACTAGTGGGAGTATACACGATGAGATACCACAGATCAGTGATAATGGAGGGGGTGCAGAGGATCCTTCGCAGGGATTTGACTTATATTTACATGCTGAAAATGGTCCTTGACCAAAAGAGCCAGGTTGGATGAGCAGTTGACGATAGGTTGACAGGAGTAAGCTTCGTATTAAGGGTCGATATCTCCATTCCTGCAACCCACAGCCATATTAGGCTAGATTGGGATGCGCACCTGTTGTGAATTTTGGATCTAGCCTAAGAAAATACTATGAGAAGCTTTGGGAGAGCTTGGCCGAGATATCTAGACAAGGTCAAACCCGATTTTGCCGTAACATTCTGGCTGGCGCTTTCCCATTGGTACCGAAGACAATATCCATGCAGATTGACTTCGGGCGTACAGCAACCATTTTGGAGCTGTATATCGTGTCATGGATTCTCGTATCCTTTATGCAATAACGATATAGTGGTATAGGAGAAGCAGATACAATTTGTTTATCTGATCCAGATATTTGCCAGAATCTACCTCAATTCATGCAGTAACGAGGCTTTCACAATCTGCAAAAAGGAATCCCCTTCAGCCCTGTCATAAAATGCCTCATTATATGCCAGGTTCAAACAAAGCTGGTCTCGAAAGGTCCACACATGACACACGGATTGTCTATTGATCATATCTAAGCCGCCTGAGACTCGATCGATGCGAATTCCCCGCTCTGCAGTTCCCTTTGCTCTCGCCACAAACCTCTCGCATACGCCAAGGCTGCTGATGTCCACATCGGTCGGTGAAGGGATGTTCTTCGGCAGACTGCGAAGGAGGTTGCATAACCCAATAGCGTATTCGCGATGCGCCGAAATATATGCGTGACTCAGACCTTTGCGGTACTCGCCATGGTACGCCTTTGCTCGGTCTAACCATGATGACTCGGACGAAACAGGGAACATCCAACCTGTCGTGAAGATTGTGCTAGCATACTGGCGACCAGAGTATGGCTCTGGTAGGAACGGGCGTAAACTGTAACGTATCGTACTCGTATAGTGTTTGTTCTGATCATCAGCAGTAGCTAGCGCATAGTTGGCTCCGGCAATTGACGCATGTACTGCTGCTGTTACCGAGAGATTCCGAGCTTTGCAACCTTGTAATACAGCCTTTGTCTCTTGCTCAGTGAGATGAAGACGGCTAATGCACGTACCACCTGGGGAAGTCTCTGCTGGTGCGCGAGAGGCGATTCCGATGGCCCCAGCGGCATGACCAAAGCTTGCAACATAATTTTGGGATAGTTGCTTGTCTTGTTTCTCCGACGTTATAAAACTGGACGCCGCTTCCTCAACACACGGCGCTAAGCGGACGATCTCTTCACCCCATGGCAGAGAGGAAGTACCTCCGGCAGACTGCGCGGCTAGGTCAAGGAAGTCGTCCATCAGAATCAAGCCACCAATGCCATCGGTTCTCCAGTGTTGCGAGCGGCCCAATAGCTCACCCGTTTGGGGGAGAAAGGTCATAGTAGCATACGGAACACGTGTGGCAGATGCGATGACTTCATCGGCCGTCTTGTCCTCAATCACCTGAAAGGTTTCTGCCGTCCATTTCTCAAGTGCCGTAAGGTCGGGAATATCGTAGACATATTTGGTTTCGTCTACGATATAGGCGGCGATCGTGGGGTGTCTGAAACGCAAAGCCTTCCATGCCTCGCGGAAGAGAGAGGATTGGTGTTCTTTGGCGAGTGAGCCTAGCGGAGTCACTGAGGCGATTATGTTAATAGCCCAGTGCTCACGATTGAACGGACGAGCGGTATCACCAAGGATCTTGATAAATGTTTCATTTTCGCCGAGTGGACGTTCATATCGTTGTTCACTCACGTTGGACCATGACATATTAATTTGTTCGCTGGCCTTTGAACAAGAAGATTCCAAAGTTAAATAACATTATACCATCAAAATTATGATCAAAGATATCTACCTCGTTTTCTATATCCCCTGATCTCCAGGACGCCTGATACACAGGGCGCCTGATAGACAGGACGCCTAATGTCTATCATATGTGGGTCTATTAGGACGCCTTAGAATAGATACTCATTACGCAGACTAGACCTCCAGTCCTACTGAAACTGAACATACAGTATCTATACATACCTGCAATACTTCCATGGATCTATACAGCATACCCGCCCACTGTAGCCGGGCCCTCACCAGCGAGAGCGGTGAGGGCCCGGCTACAGTGGGCGGGTATGCTGTATTTCACGGCCCAGAAAAAAGTGGATCTTCGTGGGGAACAGTCGGTCTCCGACTCTAATCTCCGACTCGATCACCGAGTCAAGATTAGCCATTCCCGACCCTTGCTTGCTTTCTCTTTCGTGGTCCTCGGCCCGTCGCGGTTGTGACGACCGATATCCGCATCAGGCTGCGGATATCACCGTCAATGCCCGTCGCCTGCTTATGGTGGAGGATGGAGGGGTCGCGCTCTTTACTCTGCTCCGGGGTTTTTTATATGACTTGGAGTTCGTCAGTGAACTCTCTCAACTCACTACCAGCTGAACCGATCGACTCCCGACCTCAGCACCGCGTCGCGACTTGCTTCCAGCACAAACACAAAACCTTTCGATACAATTGAACCACCATCAACACTTCACCATGGACGAACCGACTCCCCCAACCGAGCTTGGCCGCCTACGCGTCCTCTCACCCACTGCCGGTGTGCGAGTCTCTCCCCTGCAGCTGGGTGCCATGTCCATTGGCGAAGCCTGGGCTGGCATGATGGGCGCCATGGACAAGGTTTCCGCATTCAAGCTCCTGGATGCTTTCTACGAAGCCGGTGGAAACTTCATCGATACCGCCAGCAACTACCAGAACGAACAGTCCGAACAATGGATTGGTGAATGGGTCGAGGCGCGCCAGAACCGTGACTCGCTGGTGCTGGCCACCAAGTTCAGCATGGACTACCGTAGCCACGCCATTGGCAAGGGTTCCCAAGCTGCCAACTTTGCGGGTAACTCCCGTCGCAGCATTCACGTTGGTGCCCGCGACTCGCTGAAGAAGCTGCGCACCGACTACATTGGTGAGTCTGCGACTCCATGTTATCGCTCACCTGAGAACTTGCTTGCTGACTTACATCACCTCCGTCAGATATCTACTATGTTCACTTCTGGGACTTCACCACCTCGATCAAGGAGGTCATGGACGCCCTCCATATTCTCGTTGAGCAGGGCAAGGTCCTATACCTGGGAGCATCGGACACCCCCGCCTGGATCGTGGCCGCCGCCAACACCTACGCTATTGACCACGGAAAGACTCCCTTCAGCATTTACCAGGGACGCTGGAACCTTCTGAACCGAGACTTCGAGCGTGACATCATTCCCATGGCCCGTCAATTCGACATGGCTCTTGCACCGTAAGTGTCCAATTCCCCCTTTGACAGAAATCCCCAAGGGCTAACCTGTGTTGTGAACAGCTGGGACGTTCTCGGTGGAGGTAAGTTCCAGTCCAAGTCCGAGCTCGAGCGCCGCAAGTCTGCCGAAGAAGGCCTGCGTGCCTTCGCCGGCCGCCCTCCCCACCAGACCGAGGAAGAGATCAAGGTCAGCGAGGCTCTGGCAAAGGTGGCATCCGAGCACGGCATCGAATCCGTCACCTCCGTCGCGCTGGCCTACGTTATGTCCAAGGCCGGCAATGTCTTCCCACTGATCGGCGGCCGCAAGGTCGAGCACTTGACGGACAACATCCAGGCCCTCAGCCTCAAGCTCACCCAGGAGCAAATCGAGTATCTCGAGAGCGTCAAGCCCTTCAACCCTGGCTTCCCGCACAACTTCATCCCCGCAGACCCGAATGTCACTGGTTCGTCATTCCTGATTGCGCGAACCAACGCCATTAAGTTCCCTAACGCCCAGAAGCCGACCTCTCTTTGAAATACCACTACCACTGGCATGATGATATGTAGCATAGAAAACAGGCAACAAGCCGGACCCATAGTTATTAGTCACCTTTTGGAGGGCCGCGTATTTAAATGATGAAGCACTGTGATTTTCTCAAGTGATCATGCTGATTCACGCCTTGATTGGCATGACATCTCAGATACCCAGATAGGACTAGTGGTCGGTCCACTTTTTAAGCCCTAAGGACGTGCCTTCCCCTTGACTGATACTAACTACTGTAGTGGGAGAATAGGGCGCACAATGGCATATCAGGTTCCTCTGCACAGGTTTATACATAACGGGCCATAATTCCTAAAGAGCATAGCATTTTAACATGCCAATCTATTCATAGGGCGCCATTAACTTGTTCCCAAGCACCCTGAGTGGAGCCTGCTCGCCCAGAACCGTAGTATGTGACCAAGGCTTCAATTCGGTCTCTCTACGAATAGTAGCAGCAAAGCAGCGGCTCCAATTCTGGCGTGGAAGGTGTTGACAGACATTTTCAATGGTTGATGAATGAACACTTTCAGCATGACCGCCGGTATTGTCTAATCCTCGTTAACATTCAACGCGGGAAAAAAGATAATGCGAGTTCGCTGGCTTAGGATCACGTTGACATACCAAAAACAGTGGCTAGCTGCAGCAATTGCCCGATGGCTGTGATTTTCCCCGTATCACGAAAGTCTTGATGTCGAATAATTGCTTCAGCAACACTCTCGGCCTGATCTCGAGGGGCAGCCGCATCCGGCGCTGATGAATCCGACGACTCTTGCAGAATATTCAAGGCCAATAAACCTCCATAGAATTCAAAGCTCAGTTTTGTTTTGGTCAAATTCTCTTCCGTCGAGCCAATATCATGCAAGAGACACGCGAGGAAGTAGGTCTCATCTGTGAATTCCCAGGAAGGAAAGAGGTACTTTTTTATCGCTAGTCCATAATGATAAACACGGAGTGAATGATTGTAGGTGGGTAATGGGAGATGAGACTGCGCGTAATCGTTTATACGCCGGGAGAGTGCTGTGTCTGGAATAGGGGTATCTGAAACTGGAATGAAGGGCGCTGCAGAGGGAGGCACAGCAGAGGACAATAGAACAGGTGCTGAGACTGCAACGGGAGTAAACCCATACAGAGATTCAGGTTTAGATGCCATGTTCTTCTTCGATGGAAATAAAGCCGATCTCTAAGAGTCAGGTGGTCTTGGGTATGTCCAGTGTGTTCGGACTGGAACTATGTTCGTACCGGATATGTGTTTTGAGGAGAAGTATCCTGCTTTATATAGGAGGGCCTAGCTTGGCCTAGACCACGTTCATGACAAATAATCCTAGTATCTGTTATTGATGTCGTGACTCAGGAAAGGGCAGAGGGGAGGGGTACTACTTCGGCTTATGTCGGAACTCCTGGTGTTACTTCCAGTATTTTCCTTTGTGAAGTAGATCGAAGGATCCATTAACGTTTTCCGATTATCCAGTTATATTGTCTGGAGCTACGTAGAATGATTTCCGCTACTTTCTACTATTAGGCGCTCCTGGAAGACAAATATCGACGATTCATATAGGCCAGAACCGTAAAACCTTATTTGGGCAGGCCCACACCAAACAACTTCTCTTTTCGGATGCCGAAGGTTCATTGGTGGAACGCCAAACCTTACCATAGATCCGTAAAATCCTATTTGGGAAGACCCACCCTACACAACCTCCTGGTTGGATTAGATCCATATCTCCCTAGAAATTGGTCAGCTTCGGCAAAATCACCGCCAAGGAACGCCACAGGGTGCTTTGAAGAGACCTTGAACCAAGAATTTGTGAAAGACCGACGTTTCTTTTATGCGCATTTAAGTATGGCCTGTGCAACCAATGCTCTGTCTTGTACATACCTGTCCCCGATGTTTTTGGCTGTGGTACTGTATGTTGCTTTTATTTCTTATGTCTTTGCCATCTCAATTACGGGTGAACAAAGAAAATGATTTGCATTTCCGACTGACAAAAGAAACATCAAACTCGGATTTTTGTTTAACTACAATAATGTAAAGAAAGACTACGTCCGCTTCTGACCACAATGGCTTATAAATTGTCACTTCTTCTTTCTTTGTATATGCATTTCCTACAAGCCTACCAGCTGCCTCACTAAGCAAATTCACTTGCTTAAACTCGATGAAATATCAGTTTCAAGGTTTGTTTTATCCGTGGATGAGTGCCAAGTCAAGAAATGAAACGAGTAAAGAATTCAATTTGAGTGCTATGGTCAACGGGAGATCCAAGCTGAGAAAAGGAAGAAGAGAAAGAGGAAGAGTCTCTACTATCTACAACAGTCCATGTCCCCTGTCATCATCTGTCAACCGCAGTCCTCAAACGTACTCTTCAAACGCAGTCGTCAAATGCGGTCCCGTATGTGAAGTTCCGTCACACGCGATCCCGTATGCGTAGTCCCGTTATGCGTGGTCACATTATCTCAAACACCAGAGAGTCATAGTTGATACCTGGTCTAGTCAGACATTGGATATAATAGCTTATGGCGAAACCTATGGCTCATAGTTGCCTGAAACCAAGTTCTCCTGCCGTTCCGCGCGGATTGGCAAGTTTTCGATGCATGAGTCCGAATAATTAGGATTGGAAACACGTTACCTTTCCGAGTCTTTCATTCCATGGGGAGGGGGGGGGGGTGTGTTGTTCTTTCAAAGTGTCCAAAATCAATGTATTGGCACTAGTTTAACAAAGTAGAATTAAAAGACAGAAATTCCCCCAAACTGAGCCATGATATTGACTAACCGCATACAGGAGTAGGCCGTTTTGGTCATTTTCCTTTCCCAACCGTGTCTCGACGGTCCTTCAAAACAGATACGTAGTGCCCTCTGTATCCAGTTTTCACCATCCATTCCTTAACGCTCTTCACTCTAGTTGGCAGGATGTCGTCCAACAGCTGATAATCTCTCTTCGTCAAATTATCTTTCCAGGTATTCCAAAACCCAGAATAGTTCTCTCGCACGGTCATAAATGAACCGTCGTCACAGCCGGCGGAGTAACCCAGTATGACATCTGGGTCCGGCCAAATGCCAAGCTGAAAGTATTTGTCCAAAGTAACATCTTTGTAGACTGCATTTATTCCGGTCACTGTAGTGAAGACTGTCGCGAGGTCTGTCCACGCAATATCCTCTGTGCCGACATGCAATTCGAGACCGTTACTCCTCGCGGGATTGTCAAGCAGCCATCGGGCATACTGTCCATAGTCCTCAAGATAGATTAACGGACATTTTCCATTTCCTAGAGGCGCTGTGAAGACCATCGTGCCCGGGTCATTCGGGTCTGGCAAAGGCCGCATGAACTCAGAGAGACCTTCCATGTATGGACAAGATGTCAGAATAGACCACGCCATCGGAGCAGTTGGCTGATGAGATATGAAATCGACCACTTTCCCTTTGCCGTCTAGATTGCCGGTTCGATATTTAGGGTCGAAGTTCCCGAGCTTGGAGGCATACTCAAGACCGGCGTAAAGAAAATGTTTGACGCCGAATTCACGAGCTAGCTCGTAAAGTCGAATGCCCCAGTATATCTCAGCCTTTTCGCCAATGGCCAAGCCGTTCGTATTGGCCCAGACGTAAGAGACACCTCTCATTGCCTCCCGAAGGGTGGGTTCGTGATAGGTCTCTCCCTCAAAAATTACCACTTCAGGAATTGCCGCCAGTTCAGTCGCTTCTTTCGAGGAAGAATTTCTGGTAAGGACACGAACGGCATATTTACCACAAGATGCCAATGCTAAAACTTCGTTAGCTATGTTCCCTGCTGGAAAAGATCGTAGGAACCTTTGACAACAGGTCCTCCCTGAGCACCAGTGCCACCAATTACCAAAACTATATTGTCTGACATGTAGAAGTTCACGGTCGTGATATATCAAGAAGCCTCTGGCGTGTTCTTCAATTCGATCGGAAAATAAGTTGATGAATAAATATGTCAGGTTTTTTTTAAAGGATGGGTACAACTGGACACTTATATAGGTTTTCGCTATCGCTATCGATGGATTACCGGGTATCCGTGAATTAGGGAAGTTCATGGGTCTGGACCAGTGATGAATCCAACCAGTTGCTTCAAATTCTGAGAAAGTTATTGATCTCCAAGCATAAATTGCGGCGGTCCAATTTTGGTCATTTGTCAGCCCACGGTTACTCATCTGACGATCCCTGCGAAGGGCAAAAGTTAACGCAGGCGTGATTTGTAATTCGCATTCCACTTGCCTTCTGTGCTACCGGGAGAGGTAACCTTCATGATTTGAAGTATTCGCCATTTCTATTAGATCGGCTTGAGCTCCTCTCGGGCTTTGCCAGTGGCGGGATTCTATGATGTAGCCATGCCAAGACCACCGATCCACTCACGGCGGCTTGGCGTCACACCGTCACCCAGAAACTCTAATCCACCCGGACTGGATTGACCTTGCCCGTTCCGAATGGAGAAGTTGTGTGGTGTGGGCCGTCCAGTGTGCAGAGACAGTCAATGAGACAATAGCACGCACCACGGAGTGTCATCAAACGGCACTTATTCCCGTCCTAGAACTTTCTAGACGAGACCTGCTTCCTCACGTATGTAAAGATTTTTCCATTCAGCCCCTACTCTAGTTCGGCACTTCCTAGTTCAAGAGACTTCAAACGTGAATGTTGTACGACGCGACTTTGTTGAGTTACGTAACCGCCGAATGCTTCGAGGCTTTGACATTTTGCCCTATACCCGTAAGGCCTGAGATTCACTCCAGAAGCACGTCTGTGATCTCCATTGCACGGGATCACAGACGTGCCTGTCTGTGATAAAATACAAAACCAAAAAAAAGACGAGGAATGCATTGGCATGAGCTACGAACAAATGAACCAGTTTCCTGATGCCTCTGCCAATGCGCATTTACGCCTGCATTTTCCACGCGACAATATCCTTACTCTGCGTCATACTGCACAAGCACTGACTGACCCTCTTGCCCTAAGGTCTCTGACTCGATTAGAAAATTCACGAAGAACGCTGCTGGTTCGGTCTGGCTCATATTGGCACTAATTCGGTGGTGACATCCCGGTACCTCGACCATGAACCGCTATGCTCGATCGGGGAGCTCAGCACGTTTCTCAGATCTACTCACAGAGCAAGCAGTGGGCACTCAAACGGAAAGAGCAAGTCACGAGGCGCCAGACATCATCCTGTACATTCCTAACGTCTTCCGTTACTAAAAATCCTTCTATTACCAATCATGTTGATCCCGCTTGTCTCTCTAGCTATGAGCCTTATATCCGGCTCGTTCTCTACACCACAGCAATATTCGGCATCCGAAACGCGAGAAAGTGAGGTTGAGTTGGTTGGCTTACTATTGCGAGAGTCCCAGATAAGCGAAGTAAGTCCAGAGGATGTCAACAGTGATCCCGATTCGCTTTTGGAATCTGACTCTCTGAACGTGGATGTTGCGTAAACGGATAGCCGCAAGCCTAGTCAAGGCGAAGAAGACATTTTGTAGTCAACAAACGAAGCTCCCAGCCGAAGTAAGGAATCCCTAGCGATGGCCTAGCCTCAAGAATATCCCTATCCGCTAGGTGGTGGGCAGATCAAGGGCAGTCTAGAACTTTACTGCGTTAACGAACAGCAAGAATTAGTTTTAGGTTAGAAGTCTTTCACCACTTTCTAGCCCATACTAGGTGCTAATTTGGCCGTATGCTTATTGTTATTTGCCAATTATTCCGATATCGGCATATGTGAACTACAATTAATCAATCCTCTTAACTTCTGGGGTCCATAAAAACCATTTGTTATAACATTTGCTGATCTGCTTCTCAATATATCAGAGCCAGCCATAGATTTTGAGTTGAATTCCCTATCTAATGAAGATCAGCCAATTAGGGTTCTGCTAGGCTTCTCAACACTAGCTAAGTTTTCTAGTGGCATTAATGGAGTAGGTACGTTTTACCTATTTTCCTAGACATTGTCAAGATTTTAAAAGCGACTTTAGAGTCTCAAGGGCTTATTTCGACTTCTCGAAAAGATACGCAACCTTATGCCACTACGTACTATGGCCGAGTTATGACATTTGACTCTAACAACAGTAGGAGCTACTTGAAAGAAAACACATCACTAGATAAATTGGAAACGAACCACATAGGTAATAGGCCCACTATCTGTTAAAACATTTCAATCTTGAACCTTCCAGTCACCTTCTAACTTCGGTCAACCAAGTCTTCGCTTTTACTACCGTTTTGACGTCGATACCGCCTTATTCTAATACGGCTGCTCTTCTAACTATATCTGATCTATAGCTACCTTTGTGCTCCCAAGTCGGGAGCGCCTCAACAATTGTGACAGCGCCATCACTATTGTCCGAGTCGCCTACGATTCCACAAGTAACGGAACAGCATCAAACATACATTCACCCACTAGCGTATACCATTCATCATCATTCTGAGTCGATTCGGCCTACTGATTTTAAGCCGGAAGTGAAATCCCACAAGTGCCCCTTATGCCCTAAGACGTTTGCACTGCCTTCGTCACTACGTAGTCATTCAAACATCTATAAAGGCTATAGGCCATTTCAGTATGCTCGAGTTGGCTGCGATAGATCCTTCTATACTAAAAACGGCAAAAAGCGCCATGAATGTCACTATTAGCAGACTCTAATCTTTTTGCAACCGAGACCGGAAGGTGCGACCCGTTAATGGAAAGTAGGTCGCTAGTGGACCGGCTGTTATGGGAGATGCGAAAACCGTTGTTGAAAAGTGATAATGATATTGTAACCAAAGACACTTGTTCTGTAAATAAAAATTTTGAGATCCCTGAGTTACTGTATCTTTAAACTAGGGTCCTTGGTAGTTATTAATGAGAACTCGTATTAAGATGAATCTCCGTCCATTAATTCTTTGATTCTCAGTTTTCTCGTCTCTCATGATAGATATGGCAATCAAGATCCATACGACTGGTGAGGAAGTTTCGTGGGATCTGCCCCGGCTCAGAGAGGTGTCAACTTCATTCGTGGTCTCTACTACCACTCCTAACTCCTTGCCTTTATCAAGGTTGAAAGGTCAGTAGAAAATTAAGGCGAAAATCAATAGGATGAAGGTAATGGCGGCCTGGAAGAAAAAAAAGACACATCTAACATCGGGAAGTATGACGAGCTCTTCTTCCGCTAAAGCCCCAATGTGCCAAATAACCCGGACCATCACGAAGCCTATGAAGCCACAAGGTCCAGCGTTGCAGAGCCAATATCAATCGTCGCCCACAAATCATTCGTCAAATGTCTAAATGGAGATAGTTTTACTCCTCAGGTCTGTTAAGTAGCCTGTAGACCCCTCACAAAAGACAATACCTACAAGGCTCCATTCGCTCTGGGACAGCGAATTGGACCCTGCACATGACCAAGCCATCGTTCGATTTGCCAGGTGGGGATTATATCAGCAGTGGAGATTGGCATTTGGATGCCTGATTCATGACCTAACGTTGAAAAAAAAATCTCGCCGCAGAGCCGGGGTTGGGAGGCGGTAACTAATGGTATATGAGGGTTACTCAAATGGAGGAGCAGCACTGTATTGCTCGCCTACGTGACTCAGCCTAATATCTTAAGTTATGATCTCCAGGTTGGGATACTATGGAGGCTCTAAGCCGGGAACGGCAAAACTAACCAAATGCAGTAATTCTCAGGCCCGCTGTTTACACCTAGAATATGAGGACCTGTGAAATTGACGCCGAAAATGGCCGGGTCTGAGGCCAAAAACGGCTGCCTTTCCACTCGTAGCACCTAGAGCGAGTCGCCGCTTAATCGACTACCTCCCGTTTGGCACCACTATTCTACACCCGCTGAGCACTTTTAATCACCCTCTTGACCTGATGGTAACTAACTTACTTGATGGACGGTTAGCCCCAATGGATCATGGGCCCTGGCTTAAAGTTCACTAGGACTGGGGCGGTGCGGTTCTGAGATAGGAGGGTTGCGGGTCTACGAGGGGCGGTTCGTGATTCAAAAATTTAGAACTGCCCCATTTCGAGGCCTATTCGGGGCAAGGGAATGCCCAAGTATGCACGGCGACGGTGGGGCTTGGGCGGAATGGGGTTGGATTCAAGCACGGGACAAAGGAGCAAAAGCGCCACACTCAAATCCTTGCGCAAATCATTTGAAGAGGACTCTACCAATTTTAGACTGCTTTCTCCACCTATCTACTTCTGGCGGCACAGCCGGACAGTCTGTTGATCGAAATATTAGTGGTGAAGATCAAGGGGACCGACCAGCCTCCGGTGTGGTGTCGTACATCTTTGAAATGGCTGCGGCATTATTTTGCGACACCTGTTCTGGATCACATAGGGAGGAATTCTAACAAACTTCGGTTTTCGGACCCGAATATCAAATACGCTAATCTAAATATGGCATAGTAGTATCCTTAGCTTCGCAGGATTGGGCTTGTACCTTACATGACATCAGCAGGACTCTGAACATTGTATTTTACACGAAACTGCTACCTCTTTGTGCCCCTCCTTACCTTCCGTCTACCTCAGCTCATTTACCGTTGAGCGAATACCTTTGCAATGCTCCTTCGTTTACCAAATGAACTACTGCAGTACATCGCAGAGGATCTGGAACTCGCGCGCCACATAAATGCTTTTGCTCGAACAAATACCTACCTTTACAATCTCATAAATCCCTATCTTTATCGTTATGATATACAACAACTTGGAAGTTCGGCATTATCGTGGGCTGCAAAACATGGGCAAGAAGCAACAGCTCAAAGATCGCTAGATCTAGGAGCTCATGCCCAATCTCTATCTAAATCTAATGAATCGCCGCTGTTACTAGCGGCACGAAATGGGCATGAGGCGTTAGTCAAGCTACTACTCGCAACAGAGGGCACCAATCCTGACTCCCAAGACCCTAACGGACGAACACCCCTATCATGGGCGGCTGAATATGGCAACGAGGCAGTAATCAGGCTACTGCTTGGCACGGAAAGAGTCAACCCACATTCCCACGACTTTAACGGAAGGACGCCACTATCGTGGGCGGCAATGAATGGACATGAAAAAGTGGTCAAGCTACTGCTCACCATGGAGGGCATGAACCCAGATTCCCAGGATTTTGGCGGACAGACGCCCCTATTGTGGGCGGCAATGAGTGGACATAACGGGGTAGCCAAGCTACTGCTCAGTTCGAATGGTGTCAACCCTGATTCCAAGAATTCCAATGGAGAGTCATCACTATCGTGGGCGGCACGTAACGGGGATAAAGCAATGGTCAAGTTGCTTCTCACCACGGAAGGCGTGAACCCTAACTCCCAGGATTCTGACGGATGGACACCACTATTGTATGCGGCCGTAGGAGGGCACGAGGCAGTAGTCAAGCTGCTGCTCGCCACAGAAGTCGTCAATCCAGACTTACAGGCTTATAACGGACGGACGCCGCTATCGTGGGCGGCAGAAGAAGGGCACGAGACAGTAGTCAAGCTGCTGCTCGCCACAGAAAACGTCAACCCTAACTCCCAGGATTCTAGCGGACAAACGCCACTATGGTGGGCGGCAGCATTCGGGCACGAGACTATAGTCAAGCTACTACAATGAGGGTGACAATGTAAATTGTTACAGAGGTTTTCTTTAATGCCATCTATTGCGATGAAACCGCTGCGAGATTCTATGGACAATTCCTATAAGCCCAAACAATTCCAAGTGAGCAGGGATTGTTGAGAAGTAGATCGGATTCTTATCACTCTGTTGGAGTCCGAAGGTCCCAACGGCCCCAATAGAAGGATCCTCCTGAGCAATCCACGTTCTCCACTCCTGGCCTAGGCACTCCAGTAGTCTAAGCTTTGATAAATACGTAAACAGTAAACCGTAACCTTTATATGCAAACATTAGTTTTGAACTATATTTATCCCTGATCGCACTGTCGCGGGCCTAACTCACCAAGCAGCCAAGGTATAGTTATGCCGCCTTCTGGTTCACGACAGCAACGTCAGATTGCGCTTATCCACTAATATGAGGAATACAATGGCTAATGGTTGCTTTAAGTACAAGCAGGTTCAAAATGATTACCTGCACTATCTAGCACCTACAGTGTCAGAGTCAATAGTGTAGCGGTTGAAGGACAGGATTCTTGCAAATACGGCCCACCATAATTTAGGGCGATAACATGATCAGCTTATTAGCGTTAAAATCAAGAGACTACGTTTCATGACCGAAAGGAACAAAATGGGGGCCATATTCAAAACCGAACTCGAAGCCACGACTGACCAATTTTTCAAACCGATTTAAGCCGGAAGCTTTCCATTCTTTCTGTTGTCCTTCCCTTCCTTCTCTCAGTCTGAACATCAATCCAGAACCCCTCGTCAGAACCATCGATACAACAATACGGATATGTATATCCGCTCAGTGAAGTTGCTGGTGGTCATCGCGGCGTTTTCATTCTGTTTATCTGCTTCGGCTAGAGCTATCCATGCCTTAAACCCTGGGATTGAAAGGACAGCGAGAGACATCGGATACCGTGGTGAGTGCGCTACAACTTTAAGATACTCGTTACCTTGAGTCTAACATCTCGTGGCTTTCATATAGAACCAGTCTATAATTCCAACGGCCATCTAAGTTCGCGAGCCAAATCCGTGCGGGAAACATTCTTAGACTTTCCCGAAGTGTCCGATGTGGACATAGAGAAAAGAGATCAACAATTGTCTTGGGATGAAGCCATACAGAAGGGGAGAGCCTTTTGGGCGAATCTCCAACGTTATATCGCTCTTGCCAACCCTCCTGCGGGTATCAAGTACCCAAGCAGACGGCTGAAGCAGTATGAGACTATAGAAGACAAAACAAACGTACGCCCGCCTAATGTTATGGTTGCTCCCCTCGATTCGGACGGGGTGAACACGGGAAGAGGCTGGGAGTATATTGATGTCCGGCAAGATAACATAGGGACATCGACCTATAAAAACTACTATTATTTTGATACTTCTTTGCAAGAAGGGATCATTCTGGCCGATCATCAGACTCGCGGAGCAAATGCGCTTCTCCCTTGGTCCGAAGTTGCCTTCCAGCAGTACAAGGCCTTCCCAGGCAGCGTTCTTGACAGACTGAGATACATATACAGGGTTACCATCTCCACAACGAGCACTACAGACATCATGGAGGAAGCAGTCCGCCGAGGGGAATACCAGAAACAGTATGAGGGGTGTGGCGGCACCTGGTACGGTTTTCGTCCTGGGAATCCCCCCTCGGACTCTTTCCTCGCACTTCTGGGCTCCAAAAATGGCCGCGGAGTTGCCCATATGCTCATTGACCACTGCGCTGAATTAGGCAAGAAAAGCATTAGAGAAATCCAGGTCAATTTGGATATCTCGTCTATGAAGTTTGTCCTGACAAGGTAATGGTCGATTTCTTATTGAGGCAGGGAATGATGTGGCCTTCGGTGCTGTTAACCAAATGAAGAGGAATGCGCACCCTGTTTCGCGCTGGGACAGCTAGCCTCAATGCAAATTTCTTCCAATCGATATATGACTGCCCTACCCCATGGGGGTAATTCTAGTCCGTCCGACTGGATTAGACTTCGGCAGAACCCATCGGACCCATTACCCGACCCGACCCAACCCGCAAATGGGAACCCGAAGGTGTTGAAGACTCACTTTTTGTGGGACTTCAACACCGACTTTTAAGTTTTAACATCATTGTAGACAACCCTTAAGCACCCTGCTTTACCCCCTGTTTCTTGTACTCAATGTGAATGGCTGACTAGAGTAGTCACTAGACCCTAGCCGTTTTCGTTTCTGGCCTGGTTCCTAAGAGCTCACAACTCCCTAGGAGCCGGCCGCTAGCTCCTAGGAATAAGCTCCTCGCCAACACTGTAATCTTAGTATCCCTGTGACGTTGAGCGTTTGGCTGCGGCCACAACATCCGCTAGTACTTGCACAAAAGCTGTGACGTTGTACACTCTAGAAGGCTTCTGATAGATGCGCCTAGTGGCAACAAAGGAAAATCCTTAGTGGTTACATCTGAGCACAGATGGCTCTAGCCGCTCCATACCAGTATACAACAATAGATAGGCGATTTCATCTTACTGCTCTCACCCTCGTAGCTCTCTGAAGTCACATGAACATATTAAAAGAGTGTGTAAAAAATCCTGGTGTTTGTTATCACTTTGCTATCAGATGAAAAATAAATAAACAGAATCCTAATGCCGAGAGACTGCGTCAGGCAGCTGGTGTTATCGATAGAGGCTCTGTCAACGCACTGGTGGTCAAGTCTTTTCTTTTCGAAGAGGCAGGCGGAACACGCTTGGGCGTATGCTCGAAAAAGGAACCGGGGACAAAAGGTTGTGATTGGCGTTGTTAGAATGGGAGAGCTGTCATCTTGAAACCTTTTAGATTATTCTATTCAGAATAGAATCATGAAATTTTGATACTTCAAGTCATTGACTCAGTTCATGGTTTTAAATGAACATACATACTAATTTTCAGTTATCGTTACGCCATAAATAATCATGATAAATTACTCATATCCCATGGAATATTCTGGTTAAGGTAACCAAAGTTGTACCAGCCGCAGAGGTCATCGATAGACCCCAAGGAAGGAAGCATGTCGAGACTTTCACTCGATGTATCAGCATCCGATCCCATGCTTCCCTGGCCCTCGCCTGTGGAAAGAGGCGGTACTTCGCTGGACTTTGCACTGTCGCTCGGTGCTTTGGATACCAATCCCAAAACATGATGGGCGATTGTCTGAATCTCTCGCATATTTCTCGCGGTTCTCGGCCACACTTCACCTAGTTCTTTGAGGCATCCAATTGTCATTCGGATCTGATTCCTCGCGATCATCATATCTTTTCCTTTCAACAGGAAGTTGCATGCTGACAGCAACGCAAGCGTGCCTTCGCTAATCATGCAGGTGACAAAGGGCGTGTGGTGGAATTGCCGGACCGGCAACGCCAGGAGACGTATCTGGGCCTCGACTGAACGTAAGACGCGCACAGCGTGAACATTTATGAGGTCTGGTGTAGGATTATCTGGTGGCGGCTCTCGAGCGCAGCTTGAGATGTCTTCCACGGGGTTAAATTTGAGGTCCGAGAATGGTCGGTGTAAGCCGATTGTTGCTCTGTAGATTTTTAGAGTCGCCCTCTTGCAGCTATTGGAGAAATATCACTAAGACACTTACACATGAATGAGCAAATGGGCCTGGAACATGAGCTCATTGATCTCTCCCGTTTTGCTCATGACTTGCTTGCGGCTTTTCGGCAATAAAAGGAGCCACCCATTCAATATCGAGTCGGCAGTTTGAATCACATGCATTGAGTCTTCCTTAATTGCAATCTTTGGGGCCGTGGATATTGCGAATGCTGTGCATCGTACAGCGCCAATGAGATATGCAAAGGACGAGAACTCAAGATTATCTGGAGCAAATTCACGATTTTCCCAATCTTGTATGGTTTTCGGTTCTGGAATATCCTGTGATGATGTCAGCTAGTTATCTGGAAATGGGCGTAGGATTCCATCGGCTATACATACCCCCGACTGGTATTCTTTCTCTTCGCAAGGCAAGTCCACTGTAGATTCTATATCTACAACTTGGAAATTCATGGTTCCTTGAGTTCCCGCATAGTAGGCATCCACGATGTACAGGCTCCACCATGTTCTCCTCCAGCATTCCTGTAAGATGGGATCTCCGGCTCCTTGTGTCGTCGAGAATTCTTGGCGATTCATTTGCAAGTCAATGGCTAAGCGAGTTGCCTGGTCCATTTGCGATTTGCCTTCAATTTTGTAGTCATACCAAAATAGAGCAACTGAATATAGGAGGCGACACTGGACCATGATTGGGTCTGTTGGTGGTACTTGGGAGAAGCAGGACTCGGCATAGTCCTTCAGTGAGGCTGACCATTGTCGTGCATTATAGAGATATCCAACCAGGCGAATAATGGCTATCAGTGGCATAAGAGTATTTTGCTTGCTCTGATCCTGATATAGTCTCATCAGGTGCTTTTGTGGAGGCAGGAATGGGTGGAATGTATGGAAATTCTCGAAGTAGGAGTTGATCAGGGCATCATTCAAGAGATTGTGAGGCAAAATTTGAGTGGCCAGTGGCGATGATGTGCCGGATGTTGCATCCCCAGTACTGATTCCGTCGAGCAGACGATGGCCATTGGATGCGTCCGTCTCAATTCCTTGAGACGGCAATTCTAGTCCTTGGCCTAGCTGAAGATCTATCGGGTATTGCGGACTAAGTTCTTCGATTACCATAGTATGGGCTGCAGCAGCTAATCGTTTGCGCCGCTCTGCGAGGGCTGCACGATCTAGCCCACCACGACGCGATTGGGCATACTGGCACTGCTTGCCCACCTCAGCGCAGCGACTGCAGCACGGTCGCTTCCCGTCGCACTTTAAGTGGCGCGAGCGACAGGGTAGACACGCAAGTGACGAGCGCGTTGCTCTGTTATTCTGTATTGGCGTCTTTGGATCCATGAGGGTGGAATGAGGTGAGATCTCGTCATTAAAGACGGGTAACAGTTGGAGCGCGGGTACTCGGGTATCCGCGGACCCACCGGGAACCCGTTTTTTACTCCGATCTATGGGACCCCGAAACGCCACAGAGCATCGAGAAATAGCCGACTAGATGGCCGATAATTCTAAACGAGAGATCTATAAAATGGAATAGAAAGACCTAGATGATATTCTTCACTCATCCTCCCTGGAACACAGTTTGGTTGCTATTGACTCGACAAATCATTTATTACCACCCTCTTGCCTACCCCTTGCTCCAGACCTCGAAAATAATGGCCAAAAAAATTGTCATTATCGGTGCTGGGTTCGCTGGTGTTTGGAGTGCACTGTCGGCCAAGCGTCTCCTCGACCTTCGAAGCCAAAATAATGGCATTGAAATCCTCGTCATCGCTCCTGAGCCCTCCTTGGTCATTCGTCCGCGACTCTATGAGGCGAATGCTTCCGATATGACCCATTCTCTTGGAGCTGTCTTTAAGGAAGCAGGAATTCAATTCCTTCAGGGCATGGTGGAATCTATCAATTCCAATGCGCAAACTCTCGACGTCCGGTCTACTTCAGGTGCCCAATCAACTACCAGCTACGACCGCCTCATTCTAGCAGCTGGAAGCGCCGTTGTCCGGCCTAAGAGTATCCCTGGGATTCAGCAATACGCATTTGACATTGACTCGCTGGAATCTGCAACGAAGCTCGAAATTCATCTGCAGGATCTCGTTTCACTTCCACCAAGCCCAGCTCGCAACACCATTGTGGTGTGTGGTGGTGGTTTCACGGGCATTGAGCTAGCAACCGAACTACCAAAGCGCCTTGGCCATATCAAAGATTATCGCATCATTCTGGTTGAAAACTCAGACGAAATCGGCCTAGCGCTTGGACCGGGACCTCGCCCTGTCATTACTCAGGCCTTGAAAGACCTCGGAATAGAGGTCAAGGCTGGGTCTCCTGTTGCAGGAATTGACGCTAACGGCGTTTCCCTTGCTTCTGGTGAGCGTGTTGAGACAAAAACAGCTATTTGGACTGCCGGAGTAAGAGCAACACCCCTGACGCAGCAGTTCCCCGCTGCTAAAGACGGATTGTCTCGCCTTCATGTCGACCAGCATCTTCGAATTCCTACAATCGAGAATGCCTTCGCCACGGGAGATGCTGCGAATGCTCTTGCCGATACGGAAGGCCATTATGCCCTAATGTCCTGCCAGCATGCTCTGCAACTGGGTCGCGTGTCGGGTCATAATGCGGCTGCGGACCTTTTGGGTGAAACAATGATCGAGTACTCACAAGCCGCCTACAATTGCTGTCTAGACCTTGGCTCCTGGGGTGCTGTTATCTCTAGCGGTTGGGATAGGAAGGTCAAGATTACTGGAGATGTAGCAAAAAGAGTGAAATGCTATATCAACCAGCAATTGATCTATCCTCCCCATGATGCTCAAGAAGCTCTGGCTTTGGCGAACCCTAATTGGCCCGACTCTGATCAGCTATTTGAACAAATGCTGCGAGTTGTCGGTTAGGATTCTATGGCATAATACAACACAAGATTACTATGTGATGAGGTTGGTTGATTGATTGACTAAGTCGAAATCGAAAGAAATCTGTCAATGATTGGAATTCCTACAGGTCACATGTAGGGACTTTAACCCTCATCAATATTTCATGTTGTGTATTACTCATTTACTACATAGTACGCTCTCTAAACTGTCGGGCATTCCCAGATTTATCTGAATTAGAGATTTATTTCTTCGTGATGTACAATTCCATGTGGGACCCTCGTACGTCTAGATTTCGACAAAATCTCCCATATTCATCTTTGTTTCTCGCGCTGTTATTTGTGTATCTATTCTCGCATTCTAATATATTTGAAGATCTTCATAAAGTTTCTTCAAACACGGTTCTCCAGAAATTAATATCCATCAACCGAGCGTGGCGAATGGACATAGTAAGCTGTAGTTCTCATCCATGATGAAACTGTGTGCTCTCTCGTCCAGTCTCGTAGCCATAGTTTTTTAATCCCGAACCTATTGACATTTCATCGTACTCGCGCAGTAAGTTTCAAACTTTTCTGCTAGCTGACTACTTTTCCTACTGCGTAGCAAACAGAGTATCAAAGTTGGGGTGGAATACTATACAAAAGCATGGCATAAGTCTTGATCGTCGCTTGTTATGGGCGGTGTCAGAGCTGCACCGAAGGCAGGCTGACCATCGAAGCAGAACCGCGAATTCCATAAAAGTGGTTCGTCGGTTGCGCTCTTTGTCTTGCCTGCCTTCATTTTCAACCTGTTTGCGTCTTTCCCCTGCTTTCAGGGAGAGCGATTTGTAATCTAGGGAGCTATCGTCGGCCATCGACTTGTGGTCGGAAGGGGGAAGCAATACTTTGAGACAGCCAAGACATTTCGGACGCGACTGGTGCTTGATCAAACTGACTTATCAGCAGATTACGGCTTTCGGCAGATATATTTTTCCGGTGATGACGTAACCCTAGTAGATGCATCTTACTGTAGACCAGGAGAGAATACTGTACAGCCCTCGTGATCCGTCCTGCGACCTGTATCTGAAACCCAAAAATAAATTCGACATGGAATGAATGGGAGGCACAAGGTGTATTGATGAGAAATGGGAAGAAGAATCCTACAGACACCTAACTGCCCAGCTCATAACCCCAGGGAGGAATTGTAGTGGGTGCAAACATGCACTTAAAAGTCTAACATGAATAGGCTAACCGGGTATCCGATCCACCTGTGGGGAAGACTGCGTATATATCAGACCGGCGCCACAGCCCTTGATATGCGATTTATCTTATCCGGCCATACCCATTTCTTCCGTAACGCTCGGAAGACTTGTTGATGTGCTAGTAGTCTAAGATGCAATTGTTTCGGCAGTATACGGAAAAAATGAGGGAATGTTAACAAACTAAACTAAATCAAGGATCATGCGCGGTACGAAGCCAGCGAACTTGCCATGCGAACGGCCACGCAGCTAGGGGTGGTCTGTGAAGGATCGGAGAAACCAGGGAAAAGGGGAGCAGGGCATCCCGTATCCTTTTCATACCCGGATCTGCGGACGAGTCGGCCAGATTTCGCCACCCCCAGCGAAGTTAGCCGGCTCAACACTCTCTTACAAATCTGAATTTCTTTGATGGCTATTTAAACGAGGCTGGGAGTCTTTACCCTATCTAACCTTCAATCCCAGCAGGCGATGCTATATATAAGTAACAGCCTCCTCCGTAATCGATTACAACTCGTACCTTTCATATTTGCCCATGGTCATAGGATACCTTGCACTACACTGAGAAGAAACCACCTCGCCAGTATGGGTATCAAGACTAACGTCACGCTTTACACCGGATCAACACCAAATGGGATCAAAGTTCCGATCTTGCTTGAGGAACTTGGGCTTGAGTATAAGGTACGAAAAGACACTTTCCCCTATAACTGGTAGGAGAGAACGTCAGGAAGCTCACGGATATTCCCTTTCCATAGCTATACCCTGTCCAAATGAGGGCCAATGAGCAAAAACAGCCTTGGTTCTTAGAGATTAATCCTAATGGGCGGATCCCCGCCATCACGGATATATGGACCGATGGACAGCAGATCCGTGTCTTTGAAAGCGGAGCCATCCTCGAGTACATTGTTGACCGGTACGACAAGGACCACAAGTTCTCTTATCCAAAGGACTCTCGTGATCAATGGGAAGTTAAGAGTTGGGTTCGTTCATGGTCCTCCTAGAACTATATGCCCCAAAATTATTGACACCGATATGTAGCTCATGTGGCAGATGGGTGGCCTAGGGCCTATGCAAGGACAGCTGGAGCATTTTAAGAGTTGGTTGCCAAAGAAGTGAACGCATAGCCGATCAGATCCTGACTGGATGTTTGCAGGATATGCAGCGGAGAATATTGAGTATGGTATCAACCGCTACCTTAATGAGACTCGTCGCCTCTATCGTACTATGGATACCCACCTGGCTAAGTCTCCTCATGGGTTCCTCGTCGGTAACCGCCTCACCATTGCTGACATAGCTTGCTGGGGCTGGATTTCTAATTACGGTAAATTGTCCCTCTTTTTCGTTATATGGTTTCGGTCTTCGTATGTAGCTAATAATGAAAATGCAATCCGATCCAGCTTTGGATGGCGTCTATCTCGATGAGTTTCCTGATCTGGAAAAGTGGCTGGACAATCTCTCGAAACGCCCAGGCTTCGAGAAAGGCCGTCAGGTTCTGGCGCAGCACACTCTTTGACAAGAGAAATTCAAGCAAAAAGTTGGGTCTGGAGGTGTTAGGGAAAGAACGATTGCTAGCAGATGGTGCGGCTTGCTCGGTGTATGCGGTCCGAAATTTTAAACGAACCTACGTACCATACCGCTATCCTTGGCCTAGTTGGAAGCCAGTTCATCAAAATTGTAGATATGCTTTGGCTCAATTTGGTACTGCTGTAGCACCACATCTAGGCGATGGAAAAAATCCTCAATACAACAAGCACAAATAATGTATATCACCGGGGTTCCTATGTTTGCCCTATTAAATTCTTGACAAGCCGCCGGGTAGGGGAAGCCTGCCCACTGCCAGTTCATGGCGGGGCCCGGGCTCAGCCCGCACGGGAATACCCAGGGCTTTGTCAAGGTCAAAGACGACCATTGGCTTGACGTGGTTATGTCGCCGACCAGACTTAAACTCAAAACTTTCTATTACCCAAAGAGGAAGTTATCTGGGGTAGAACAGAGATTAATAACTGGCTTCTATGCGGGCTGCACGTCTGTTTAAAACGAAGCAGGATGTGGTGGTGGACATGCATGGACCCACCCAACCTAACTTCCTTTCTAGTTAAGCCGGAACCACCGGAAACCACCACTATCGGCTTCATTTTTATTCAAATGAGTTCAGCCCACCTCATATTGTCCTATTCAAATGGCGTCCAATTCAGTAATAGCGAGCTTAGAATTGCGTAATGATTCAGCCCCTTAAACAGTTGTCTTCCTTTCCAATGCCCTCGGCATCTAGCAGTATTGAGAGGGCTGATAGTACAAGTTGCCGTTTGAACAACCAGAAAGTTAATCCCGTTATTTACTCTGCTGAATGTTTCCCGATGTGTGTTCAGACGCTCAGACCTTAGAGCTGCAAGCAACTCGATCAGGTTTAGCGTGTCAAAAATCCGGTACAATTTTGGCATCATGTGAGAAGGTTTGAGGGCACTGGGGTAATGAAAACCGGACATGGATTTATTATCCGCTGTATGAGTCTAATAGAGAACACTGATGTAGTGACGCTGTTATCGGTGATCTTAGCCAGGAATGGGCCTATTTTAGAGGGTTTGGATCTAACCCGTTCAAGAAGTTATCCGATGTGGGTCCCATTGTGAATCCCCGTTAAGGCTGGATGTTCCATAGTTAGGTGGATATGGCTTCCTAATAGAGAAGTTGTACGGAGTGGGTATATGTATATCGAGACACAATGCCTACTTACTTGCCATACTTTCTGACAAGAGGGGATGAGGATCCGAAATACTACGGAGTTTTGCCAATATCCTTTCGAATTTCCTCGTCACAGACCCGATTCGAACCAGGCCCATAGATCATGGATCCCCGTCCCGATGAGAGTGAAGTAAGTAATCGCTTGGATTCGCTACCACAAGGAAGAAGGCTATCTAATCACTCCCAAGGGCGGCGTAGGACCGAGACCGCTCTACCGACATATTCGGCGCCGATAGTCGCGGATGCCCAGATGCGTAAATTTTTCACTATATATATACCTTGAGATGATACCAGAGCTGTCCGTTACGACAGCACTCATAAGTGACTGCAATAAGCCATAACCTGTGATCGATTTTGACCACTTCGCCATTCACCATTCACCATTCGCGTTTTACCTCACGGCGCCTTGAGCAGAGCAGTAGATAGTTCTGCATCCGTTTGACTTCTCTCGCAACAAGTCGCTTCCGAACGATATTCCATCTTGGAGTTTTGATTTAAAACTATGTATCATCCCAACCCGTCGCACAAGGAAATCAATGGGCACACAGTCACTCCCAAACATTTCTATGTGGACCAGCGAACTGGATTTGTGCCGCCACAGATGCCTCTGCGGAGGCTTTCTGCTGAATGGGAGATATGGGAGGCTACTTTAGATGTTGCGAAATCACAGAAACTCAAGGCAGCTGAACAGGCTCTATCGTTGGATCCTCAACCGAAAATAATCGAGGAGGAGAAAGCACGGGCATGGAGGAAGACTGTTGAGAAAGTACGGATGGAAGTTCCGTCAATGAGCACACCTCTGATTGATTCTTGCCAGATGCCGGTCTTATCGATCAACAATCTCAAAGGATACGAAAGGGAGCTCAGAAGAGCACATCTTGTCCTTGCGTTCATAGTTCAATTCTATGCACATACCGTTCCCTCAACGGAGCCCATCACTGTTCCTCGGTCGCTCACCGTCCCTCTTCTCCGGGTCTCTAAGGAACTTCAGCACGCCCCTTATATTACCTATTCTGATCACGCTCTTAACAACTGGTCTCACAAAGAACCACGCGAGGAAGGAGCCCTTCCGACAAGCGATAACCTCCAGGCCCAGATCACGTTTACTGGGACCCCAGATGAGAACGAATTTCATATGACGGACATCCGCGTAGAACTGAAAGGCGCCGAAGCTGTCGAATTGATGAGGTTGGCCACAGACGAGATTGTAAGTAGCGTTAATCCCAATGTTGGGCGAATTACGGGGTACCTCAAACGAGCGGCTGCTGTTATTGAGCAGATGAAAGATGTTTTGATGAGTACCAAGAAACTAGTTAAACCTGAAGCATTCTACTACGGAATCAGTCCATGGCTTGTGGGGGCTGACGCTGATTCTTGGAATCGAAAATGGGTGTGGGAAGGTTGCCAGGAAGTTGAGGGCTCGGCAGAAATGCTGACAAAGATTAGTGGTCCGACTGCGGCCCAGAGCCCTCTGGTCCCAACTCTGGACGCATATCTCGGGCTAGAGGAGGACGAGAGCAAGAGCGCTTTCCTGGATCGCGTTCGTATTTATATGATTTGCGACCATGAGGCGTTTCTTCAGCACCTTAGATCAAATGGTCGCCCAATTCGTTCCTTCGTTCAGAAATTATCTAGGGAGCAGGGTGCGGATTCGCCAGTTGTGACCGCATATGATGCTGCTATCAACGCGATGAAGGGATTTAGAGATGCACACCTCATTATCGTGACGTTGTATGTCATAATTCCTGCCAGAGAAGCCAAAGCGAGGGCTGGAAATCCTGGAGTGGGTGTCACTATGTCAGCTAAATCGCCTGGTACCGAAGCTGGGCCAGAGGGGAAGATGGAAGACGAAAGGTCGGCGAATGTTGTTCCCGGAAAAAGTAACAGACACACTGGGAAGGCAGCATCGAAAGGTAAAGGGTCCCAGCTGATGGAATTTTTGAAGGGATTTAGGGACCAGACAAACCATGGTCGTGTCGGTTAATCTTATGTTGGCGAGTTTCTTTTCGCAAAATCCTGACTTTCGATTTTGACTTCATAAATAGTAGTAGGATCTGTCGAGAATTTGAATTCCTACAGATCACATACAGGGATTTTACCCTTCCCCAATATTCCTATTGTGCACTAGTGTTGTTATTGGTCAGTTGTTAGTTAGTTAGCCCCTAAATTGTTGGGCATTCCCAGATTTGGGAGGATCAGAGATTTATTGCTTCTTGAATTGGATTTCTATGCGGGACTGTTGTACGTCTACATTTTGACAGGATCCCTGTAATATAAAATGGTACATAGCGAACGACACATTTTCCAACTCACACTGAGACTCCTCGTACAATTCCTCCATCCGCAAGTATGGAATCTACTAGCAAAGAAAACCCCATTGTTCCTTGCTCTCCGGGCAATCAAAATGATAATCAGCAAAGCGTACAATTCACCGCCAAGGTCTACAACGTCAGTGGAGCAACCTTATGTGCACGAATAAAGGGCCGACTTTCTCGACACGATTTACTCAGTCCCTAGCCGCAAGCTCATTCATCCCCATAATATCTAGATGTCTCTGTCTCGGCGACTCAGATCCGGTATAAGACCACTCAATTGCTACCTACTGGAGATTGGTCACGCTCCGGTCTGATATATACGCAGTCTTCTCAACAGAGGCCCCGGATACCCGATTAGCCTATTAAGATATGTTTGGACTTCGAATGAGCAAACGTAAACCAGCAAATCAAGCGAGATTAACACTAATGGCTCCCATGTACCAATCCCAGGCAATTCTTCTCTAGTGGGTATGAGCGGTTGAGCGGTCGAGTTTACGTGCGATAAATCCCTCAAAAGATATATAAACACTCTACAACCATGGCTTTCCAATTCCACTTCAGTAATTCACACCCTGACTTGGAGAAAGACAACATTCTACACGTACAATATTCTTTCATTCTATTATCATGCAAGAACCAATCTACAATCCCGAGTAAGTCCCTAGAAAATCACAGCCCTCTCAAGCCTAAATGCAGCTCGTAATCTAAATATTTCACTAGGTGTCCTTTGGCGACGACCACCATCGCTTACCAGCATAAACTGGTCAACTGCCCCGGAAAGACCATTGTCGGAATGCTTGTCGAATATCCTCCAAACGGTGCGACACCCCCTCACCGTCACGGAGGTGCTTCTGTCTCCGCCTACGTGATCCGTGGCTCTGTCTTGAATAAGATGAATAATGATCCGATGAGGGTAATCGAGCACGGAGATTCCTGGTATGAGGCACCAGGCTGTCACCACCGGATTAGCGCCAATATGAGCAAGAGCGAACCCGCGGCGTTCTTCGTAAATTTTGTAATTGACTCAGAGGTTTTGGAGCGGGACGGTCCATCGGTGCTTGTGCAATATGACGCAGAGTATAAGGATATCATCGCACGGAAAATGCAGGCGTAAAAGTGGATCGGCGGGGGTCAGAAGTTTTGTCCAATTGTTCATAATCCACGTCAGTGGCTTCCTCGTTAGTTGTCTTTACTTTTGAATTTCATAATCTGTCGTTAGAGATCTTGTGCAATAGAGATTCCCTCATGGTTTCCGAAAACCTGCAGATTTTTCAGGTATAACGTTCCACAGTCACATAACGCTACAAGCCTTTTGGGCAGCGATGTATATAGCGAGCTGGTAACTTACTTCCCTATTCCCACATATTCCTGAAAGGCCCGGTTAGCAGTTTTCCAGCGCCATCTCTGATACTACTCCCGCGCTATACGTAGCTTGTTGATAGCCTATTAATAGGCTATCTCGAGAGTAGGACATGCTACGTCCTTTCCTATTTTGATACTCTCTTTCATCACGCATCACATGTATCATCTAGAATCACAAACTGCATGGATATTTAATCTGACGGTCGCATCATCTCTCAGATTGACTTCTCATCGCATTTGCTTTACTTATAGCGACTTAACCAACAATACGCACACCATGCAAGCCATTCGCGTCTATCCCGCGCCTCCCGAAACCACCCCCTATTCGCCCTCCAATCCCGCCCCATCTACCGCTCTACAGTTAGACCACAATGTGCCCATCCCAAGGCCATCCCAACTCGGGGAGCTTCTGGTCCGTGTCAAAGCCACAACCATCATTCGCGACATGTTAAAGTGGCCCGAAACCTACGCGCATGAATACTCCATCCCCGGCAACGATCTCGCCGGAATTGTGACCGAAGTCTTCTCGCCCGACAGCAAGTTCAAGCCAGGCGACAAGGTCTTCGGTATGGTCCATGTAGACCGTGCCGCAACATGGGCCGAATACACCGTCGTCAAAGAGGATGAAGTCGTCCTGATCCCGACCGCATTCACTTTTGCTCAGGCAGCGGCGTTGCCACTCAGCGCCCAAACCGCCTATGAGGCCTTATTTGACCACGCCCGAATCCCCATTCCCACTGTGGAGGAGGTCAAGACCCGGTCTGTATGTAGAAAAGCCCAACGGGTGCTGATTACCGGGGCTGCGGGTGCAGTGGGAGTGTATCTCATTCAGCTTGCAGCAGCGGCGGGCGTAAAGGTAGTGGCCGCTACCAGTTCCAATGCGCGCAATGAGGAGTTTCTCCGGAGTCTTGGAGTGGATGACGCAGTTGAGTACGGTATGCTGGAACGTTATCGAGGGGAGTTCGATGTCATTATTGACGTCGTTGGCGGGGAGCTGTTGGAGAAGTGCTGGGAGTATGTGACGGAGACGGGCCTGCTGGTTTCTGTGGATTCTGGGAGCTTCAACTTTGTGCAAGAGCATGAGAAGCGTGGCCTGTGCAGGACCGGTGTGCGTGCTTTATTTTTTATTGTGAAGGGCAGTACTGAAGCGTTACACTATCTTGCTGATCTGGTGGAGGTGGGAGCCGTCCGATCTTTCGTGGTGGACGATTACCCCCTTGCCAAGGCACCAGAGGCGTACGATCTTGCGAACGGACGGTATTTTGGACGTGGAAAATTCATCCTTTCCATCTGAAGATGACCATGCTTTGCTATATATTCAGCTTTATCCATGTTAGAACCTTCAAAACGACCTCCACTGTTGGCAGTACATGTTAATACGGTTAGATCAGATCCAACGGGGAATGAAGTCACTTCATACTACGGATCGGCCATGCTATTGATCGAAAGTCATTTTGATGTTACCAAGCACTGCCGCACGTTCAAGATCATTTTCATTTGAGACCGCGACGATTTATATTTTTCGTGTGTGTTCCTTCGCGTATCCTCGTCAATGGGCTATGATCATTCATCCACTACCCTGAAATCGGACCAGCCTGATACAAGCATCCAAGGAGATTCTTAGGCGGTCATTAAAACCATTGACCATTCCTTGGGATCATTTCCATCGACCAAGGCACGCTTTTTCTCCTAAGACTGCGAAACATCCCTGCTAGCAAGTATTTCTCATGCAATTTCAACGTGTTTGTGCTAATGCATCGTTGGTGGTTATTCGCCTGTCAAACGATCCTTGTAGAGTAAAACTCACTTTAGCATCGGCATCAGACAACTCCACTCCTTCCTGCGGTGGCTTTTCATCGGCCAACCCGTGTTTCTCCAGAGTAGCAATAAGCTGTCCTGTCCCGTGGGTTTGATACTGCTTGAACTGCCGAGCCCCCAGCTTCGCCTCAAAAAGCTCGTCGACTTCTTCAAGCGACCGGCCCTATCTTGAATTACTACCAGCGAATATAAACCCGGAGAGAAAGTATTGATGCTTACCTTGAGCTCTGGGAAGAATAGAAATCCCCAGATAATAGAAAAAGCCGCCACAGAGCCAAATATCCAGCCAATCCCACTTCCCATACTAGGCAAAACGTAGGGGGTGACGAAGGTAACCAGGAAGGCTCCAGCCACATCACACGCTGTTCCGAACGCCTGTATTGCAGGTCAGCCAAAGTCCATGGAGGCGAAGGATGAAGACGCACCATGATCTTTTTTCTCATTCGTACTCCTCCAATTTCTGCTCCTGTCAGAAAAGCGTTGTTCGAGGCAGAAATACGAGTGAAGGCTGGCAGAAGAATGAAGCAAGCGATGGTCGTGTTGACTTCATTCTGGTTCATAGAGGGCACAGTGCCCAGCCCCGAAGCAAGGTAGAGCAAAAAAGTGCAAACCGCACTTCCATAAATCAAGAGAGGTCTTCGGCCGCTGATATCCAGAAGCACAAGTCCGATGGCGCACCCAACCACTCCAACCACCTGGCCAACCATTGTATATGTAAAAGACATGGATCCCATGCCCTGCTGCACGTAGAAGGTGGCCGCGTATGACTGTACAAACTGATTGCCATTCATCTGCTCGAGGACGAATAAGGTGGCCGAAATCTAATCTGCGTCAGTGGAGTTCACACGTATCGATGAATAGTGATAGTTACCCAGGTCCGTCGCAGGTAGTTACCCCGGAAAAGATCAAGCCAGGAGCCTTGGTCAGAAACTTTAGATTCTTCCAGGAGTTTTTCAATAGCTTCTGCTTCCGCCACCGTGGCTCCTATCTGTACATCTTCTGCAGGACGAATCCGGTCGAGAGCGATCTGGGCTTCTTGTTTTCGTCCTTTTAGAATAAGCCATCGAGGCGACTCAGGAGTCCAAGGAATCAGACCAAGTAGGCCAATGGCGGGAATGAACTGCATAGCCGTGGGGACCATCCAGCCTTTTTTGGTGGAGTCAGTCGCGTATGCCTGTGACATTCCAGCTCCCCAGAGATTGCCCAGTGACGAAACCATCATAATCGAGCCAGACAAGATACCTCGCGTTGGAGCTGGAGATGTCTCGGCATTGTAGGACGGTACCGCATTCTCGACTAGCCCAACAGCGAAGTAGGCGACCATACGACCGACAGTGAATTGTGCCCAGTGGTGGGCTGTGAGCTCGACTGCGTATAGATCGTTAGCCATCGCTCATGTAACGCCAATGTCAAAGCACGCATACTGATGAGGGCCACAATCTGAGTGCCGGCCGCGGCATACATGGTTCTCTTGTAACCAGTCTTCTCAATAAACAGCTCCGACCCAAAGCAACCCGTGAGTTTTCCGATCCACGGCAGTGAGTTCATCAATGCTTTTCTTGCCACCGGCAGCTGGAATGCCCCTTGTCCATCTGCAACGCCAAATCGGCTGAGAAAAGACGGCAAGGCCTGCAATGAGCCAAAGGAGCCAGTGTCACTGGCGTATCGTCAGTTTTGGTCATTCTATACCAAGCAAGAGAGGGTCTTACAGTCCAAATAGCAGGGCTCCCTGTAAGAAAACCACTGAATTGAACAGCAGGTACAAGGTGAGATTGCGCCACATATTAAGTTAGTTGAGGAGGTTCGTAGCAGACAAGACATGAAGAGCAGCTGGGATAAATCGGTTCCCTTGGGGTTATATATACTTCGCCAAATTAGGGATGGCCGTGTCCATGACTGCTTTATCCCCAGATCTGAGCACCCCCAGACCCCATGGTGTCGTGATCGAGCCAGAGCATGTCGACACTTTTCTTCATTTGGGAGGGAGGAAGTCGGCTCGGTCGGGTCGCGGTTCTCGGTGTGCCGAGGACCCACCAGCATTATTGGATATACTCAGGAGACAGGGTAAGTACTATACTAATTGGGCGAAATAATAGTAGTATATTCCGGCTCGGATGGCTCAGCAATCTGTCACTCCACCCTTGGACGGTTAGCCTATCTGACGATTTTACTTGGACCTTTCGCAATACACCGATAACCGAACGGTTCGAGCCGACAGAAAGGGCCTCAGAAACAGAATGAGGCTTATCAGTATAAAGCTCAAAAGCCCGGTGTTTTCGCCAGCTTCCTGGACTGCCCGCCACTCCCGTACAATCATGGCGACTGAGCACAGAAATATTATCCAGCTTGTGGCAGATGACCTCGGCCTATTCCTCGGATGTTACGGTGCCAATAATATCTATACGCCAAATATAGATAAACTTGCAGCATCCGGAACCAAGTTTACAAACGCCTTTGCCAGCACGGCATCGTGTTCTGGCAGTCGCTCAACAATTTACACCGGTCTGCATACCCACGAGAATGGTCAATATGGGCTTGCACATGGGTGGAATCATTTCCAAACCCACGATCATATTGAGACGCTACCTCAGATCTTCAATGCTTTGGGATACCAAACCGGGATCATTAGCAAGGTGCATGTTGGCCCCCGAACAGCTTATCCATGGGAAGTCACCGAAGAGAGCGATACTCGTAATGTGAATGCAAATGCAGCCCGTGTTGAGGCATTTTTCGACAAAGCCAAAGCCACGAACCGACCCTTTCATTTGACGGTTGGATTCAGAGACCCTCACCGAGACCACACGAGACAAGGGTTTGGCAATGACGAGGCAGATGTGGCACACATCCCAGTGCCCGATTATTGTATGTCAGACGTGGATATTCCTTTCTATCTCAGTGACGTGCCTGAGGTGCGGCTTGAACTGGTCGAATACTACAAGGCGATCAGTAGGATGGATTTTGGAGTTGGCCTGATCATGGACGCACTGGAAAAATACAAGCTGGCTGAAAACACCCTGGTTATCTTCGTCAGCGACAATGGAGCCCCATTCCTTAATTCAAAAACCACTTTATACGATGCAGGAGTCAAGCTGCCCTTGATTGTGAGATGCCCAGGATCTGCTCGCGGAGTGGTCAACTCCAACATGGTTTCATTTCTGGACATTTTACCCACTTCTCTGGATTGGGTCGGCGCAAGCGAGGCAGATATCAAGACAGACAACTTGGGAAAGTCCCCAAAGCGGCTGGGGCATTCATTCCTCTCCATTTTGGAATTATCAGAAATCCTTCCCGGGCAGGAATGGGCGCAGCATGTTTTCGGCTCTCACACGTTTCATGAGATACAGAACTATTGGCCCACGAGATTCCTTCGCACCCCACGCTTCAAATATCATCGGAACATTGCCTGGAGGCTGGATTTTCCTTTTGGTACAGACCTATATGGCAGCTTATCGTGGGAGGGCATTCGCAATGCCGGAGGTTCGGTCATGATCGGGAAACGCCCGCTGGAGAAATACCTTTTCCGAGGACCCGAGGAACTTTTCGACCTTGAGAACGACCCAGAGGAGGTTAACAACTTGGCTTCTAATAAAGAATACGAAGCTTTGCTCCTTGAATGTCGTTCAAAGGTTGAGACGTGGCAATATCAGACAGGAGATGTATGGCTGCTCAAGGACGGTGTGTCAGTCATCACCAGTGAGGAGCATCGGCGGCAAGGAATGAAGTTGCGAGACCGATTTGAAGTTGATCCTGTTAATCCTGGCAACCAACAAGGGCCACATTGGGTGCCACCATTGGTCCAAGCGTCTGCCGCCAACGATCAGTTTCTACCGGGATGAAATATCATTGGGGTCTGTCAAAGGTGTATCTGGATTTCTACTGAGCAATTCAAAATAAACATGGATGTGCAATTGAGTATCGTTAGCTTTCTCATCTAAACTTGGTCAATTGTAATATAGAACTGACACATAAAACGGGATTCAGACTCCGCTGTAGGGTAGATCCGATGGTGCAGTGAAAAGCTCCAACGGCGGCCACATTTCTTGGTATTGAGACATTGGGTGAAAGACAGCCACATCCCAAGCCCCCTCAAAAGCATTAGTCTGGTTCCACCATGCTCCGTCCTGTAAATTAGGATCACCAAATGCAGTATTCATCGGAATAAGGGCATCATCTGGCTCCTGTGGCATGGGTATGAAACCTGAACGCGCCGGGGGTTCTGCGATCGAGAGGTGGGCAAGGTAAGTGATCCATCCACAATCGAATTATGTGAAGTTGATATTTGTGCGTTCCTTCCATGTTTACCGCCCACAAAAGGCATATCCTCTAACGCATTTTCGTCCGTCAACTGAGAGCGGTTCAACATGCTGTGTTTAGAGATAATTTGGCGACGGTTGGCCATCGATCCGATTGCAGGTCGAGCATGAGCACTATGTTCTGGTAACTCTTCGTCCGATGTTGAGACCGAATTACCGCGTTGCACCAGTGTACTCAAATCGTTGGCCTATTGGCCTGTTAGCCCTCCTGGAGAAAGGAAAACATAAAGCTGGGTTGCGTACAATCGTTGAAACGGTAGGGAATATAGCTGCGAGACCCCTGATAAACAGTATACAGCTGTTGACTTGCTGCATCACCAAGCTAAATGGGGCAACTAATGCCTGTGTATCTGTTGGGGTCGCATGGATTAGGATCCTGCCTGCCTGATATGCACACTCGGCTGTCTCCATATCTAGCAAGACGGTGCCAGAATTGATTCCTGTGACCAAGGAACAGATATCGGCAATTGCGCGTGCATGTTGAAATCCCTTGGCTTGGCAATCTAGAACAAATTGCGAAGGAAGTTGATCTAGTGTTCTTTGGGGAAGCGACTCTCGAAGATTTGCAAGAAAACAGCGGTAGAGATCGCAATGGCATTGGTGCCACCAGATGTGGATCATGATGTACCGCGGAAAAGACTTGGAAAAAGCTCTTAAATGGAAATTCTTCTCTGAAAATGAGATGGAATCAGGTAGCTGCAGGGAGAATTCTTGCAGGCTAGAATCCAGTTCTCCAATGCGGCTCGGAATTGTTATAGTATCTTGTGTGGACGAAGCAGCTTGTTTTGTGTATCTACGTTTGAGTATACATTAGCAGTTAAGAATGGCAATATATTATACATGTTACGTACCGCAGGATACTATCACGAAGAGACATGACGCGAATGTAGTAAGCCAAGAGGCCAAGGTCAGTCGACCCGTCCGTTGCGCCATCTAGCAGTGTGTTCGGACCAGGAATATCAAGTTCAAAGTTTGATTCCTGGGAAGGCAGATGGATATGCATGACATTGGATGGGCAAAGGGTGAATTCAGGCAGGCCACCTGCGAGCATGGTGTCGAGGATATAGATGCCCCACATGAGACGACGGCGTGACTCTTGCGCGAGAGAGCAAATGTTTGGATTATCATAGTTCAACCGCAGAGCAAAAGCAAACCGGGTAAGTGTTCCCATAAGCATCAGTGCCTCCGTAAAGACGCCAGTCCACATATGATATCGGATCATCAGTAATAATGCCTGTGCCTTGAGAATAGTCGGTCGCCCGAGATCGCGAACAATAAGGCGCTGTGCAAGTTGTGCACATTGTGTCCCATAGTTTGTTCCATGGCGGTCGATGCCCGGGAGACAGGATGTGATAGCCACAATTGATAGCAGGAGACTGCTGTCTGCTTGCCCACTATTGTACCATTTCAGTAAAGAAGCCTGATGTAAGAAGGAACACGCAGGTAAGATGTGAATATGCTCGAAATAGACATCCAAGGCGCGCTTTACGCGCTCGGGTGTCAAAAGATCTGATCTGCAGCATGCTTGTAAGCCTCATAAGCGCAGCTTTTGGAGTTCATACAAACATACAGATTATTATCTGCCGTGGCTGCTTGGCGGAGCCGGTCTTGAAGCCGCATTCTGTGATTGGATTCGCCGTCCAGATTCTCCGGTATATGGTGCGGTAACCTTTCTTCGCGATCTTCTATGACCTGAGTGCCAGACGTGGGCGCCGGGTTAGATCTGCGGCGAGGAAAAAGAGTCGGGTATACACAGTCAATCCCTTTCTCGCGGCAGCGATGGCAAGCCGGCGCGTTTCCCGAGCACCGAACTTTGAGCTCATGACACGCGACGCAGGCTTGTCGAACACGACATCGGCGAAGTCGTCGTGGGCCTGCAGAACTATCCCGAGTCTCGCCGTCGCGGAAGGAGCAGTCGAATCCCAGTCGTTGGCAATTGCCGCATACTCGACGTTGTCCGTCGCATCGCACTTTTCGCATCCGACATTCATGGCATGTCCTCCTCACCAGTTTCTCCATACTAGATTGCATGGTGCCAACATCCCTAACATAGAGGGACCTGGTGGACTTTGCGGGGTGCGATCTCAACTCTGGGGTTGTTAAGGTATGAAGACTTGCGATGCTTTCCGGCTCGGCCGGGGTCGGTTCGGGCTTTCTGTGGTGGAGTGACCGACAGCCGAGTAGCCAATCATATCGTATGATTCCGACCTGTCCATAGCGTCTAGATGTTTTTGTGACGGCCTAGCGCGCTAGAGGGTTGAAAAAGGGGATTTTCTTTTGGTTAACTCGTACGGTCATGCGACGGAGTGTTCTTTTTTGCCCGGACTACGGTCGGTCACGCGCAATAATGCTGTTTAGTATATGTACTGGTCCTTTTGGTCAGCTAGTATTACGGGCCTCGAGGTCTACCCTTCACATTTTCACTCGGAGACTAATGACCATGTACCAAATCGCAGCGACTTTCTCCAGATATTGAATCGCGTGTTCACCTTGTCAGGTAGAGTCAGCAAGCGTTTCGCTAGGGATCCCACACAAATGATCCATCTAAGCCTAAGAGAAAAGGATCGCTTTGAAAAAAGTTGAACTCGGCCAGCGTGGATAAGGGATCAGTTGCATCAGATATTTCAGGCTGGGACACCGACGTAAATTGCGGTTCGGCTTCGGAAGTGAGCATTGGCTTAATTGACTGACCCTATAGAAATCCCGTTAGAAAATATAAATGGAAAAACACTAGATTTGATGAACCAACCTCATGCCTCATGTGCAAAGAGTCCAAGCCAAGAGATTGCTCACCGAGATCTGGAAGTAAGTGTTGTCGGCATCTCGACAAGGCATTTTTGGCTCCTTCGTACATCGCGCCCGCTTTTGTCCGGGCTAGCCCACGCGCTCGCACGGATTGTAAAACGACGGCAAGAAGAAAAACATCCTTGAAGCTGTTCCCTGTATCTCCAATCTTCCGAGTCAATCCATCGAGGGCATTTTCAACGGTGCGGGTCAGACTGGCTTTCATATGCACTATGCCTCCTGCACCGGGGACAACTGAACGATTTTGCTCAGACATATTTGCGGATTTCAAATATCCGCAAACGTTCAAAGCTGCCGATAAAATGTCGGATTTGAAGAGAACTTGGAAAATATCCCAGTACGCGTTCGAGTTGAATACGTCTGGGTCAGCCACATTTGGATCAAAGCAGTCCTGGAAGGATAGCATCACCAACGATGAATCTAGGCACAATTGCTGAATTTCCGAAACAGCTGGATTATCGCAATCCCCTTCCCTGACTATAGACTGATAGAGGCAGAGAAGTGGTCGCCGGGTATAAACATCCAACAAGACGCGGTTCAGTAGGAGACCGGGTTCGTTGTCCCTTGGAGGGGCATAATCCATTTTTAATGGCGTTGGGATTTGTCGCAGGCACTCTTCCAGTTGCCGACCATGCTTCAGCAACTCGTCGAAATCAATTTCTGAGATCCCGTTGCTCACACAAGTCATAGCCATCATTCGGCGGGGGAAAGAAGCAGCCAATGTGATTTGGCTCAAGGAATCCGTCCATTCATGCAAAGGTCTAGAAGCGGGAAGTTCTGTGGTTGATTCGTCAAAGTCACAATCGTTGAGATTAGCCTGAGTCATATGACCAAATTTCATTCCACCGTTCATGACGGGCAAGCCGGATTCAACAGATGTCTGTAGGTCCAGTTCCATGATCGTAATCCACAGTCGGCGCCTGATCTCGGCTTGGAAAGCAGATATCTCAAGCGTGGTGGAAGGATCTACGTGTAGGCCAATCGACATTGCCGAGCGAACAAGTGTTCCAGATGCCCGCCAAATCTCTTCGGACGATACTTGTTGCAGGCGTCTCGCTAATATTAGAAGTGCTTCAACTTGTAACGTGTCAAGCTCGGCCCGTTGCTTGCGACTGAGTTTTCGGTACCATTCTTGAATAAGATTCACAGCTGACAACTTCAAATATTTCCAAGCTGAGGAATCGACGAGTTTCATATTTTGGTCCTCTAGCGAGACCGACACGGCGAGGACTGCTGTAAGCTGAGGAATAAATGCCGACGAATGATAGATTTCATGGTCAGAATCATCCCAAAACTCCGTGTACCGGCGTTGAAAGGATGGAACATGCAAAATCCGGAGAGCTTTCTCGAAATTCTTGGCATATGAGTCCAATAGCTTATCACAAACCGCTTTTGAGGGAAGGGAAATTCGGAGTTGTAATATCTCTGGAGAACTCTCCAAGTGCGAATTTGATTCTGGCGAGACCAGTGGCCATTGCGACTTGCTTTGAAGGAACTGCACGTCCTTTGCGAGTCGCAGGAGAGTCGGATCCTTTGTGCATTGGCCGATGAAAGCTTTGGCCTCTCCAAACTACATAGAAAATCAGCCAGAGACCATATGAAATGCACAAAGATTAAGCAACCTGGTCCAGAGAGATAAGCCGACTATTCTGCCCTTGATATCGGGTTCGCGACGCCTTGACCAGAATAGTTCCCGCCCGAGGTGCCGAATATGCTGATTGAGTGGGGCTGGCTTCAATCTGTTGGCTGCTGCTCTTACTACTACTTATTAATGACTGGTTAGTGTAAATAGGGCCACTGTTCTTACCCAGGTTCGACGGCCGAGCGGCTATTGGCTCCAGGAAGGCACGCAGCTTCAGTAGTATTTGAAAGTTGCTCCTCCAATCTAATCACTCTTTGCTGTAGATCCTCAATGATACCTATAGCTGCTCCATGCCGGCTTTCGGGTTGTAAGTCTCGTTCTCGGTGGATGTCATCTTCAAGTCGGGTTCGCTTTGCCTGTGAAAGAGTGGGGAAGGGCGCGCCCGGATGGTAAAAGCAGACTGCAGGGCATCCGGCTTTAGTGCAATTTTGGCACGGCGCCACCCGATCGCATTTGAGCTTTTTCTCTCTGCATCGCAGACATGAGACTACCGGGCGCGGTCGTTTGCGCGTTGAGGCGTCATCCATCAGCGGCCAAGATGCGTCTCAAAAGGACTCCCTTGCCCGAAAACCACCCGTCATGCACGAAGACCCGTGTGCGCGATCTGATGCAGTAGTAAGGTGACAAATCAATGAGCTTTGGCTGTGGAACGAATCTTTGACGCGATTTGTTTGGGGCGAAGTCGGCGCCAAGCTTTCGTTGGAACTGCGCTCCCCGCACATTTGAATGGCTGGTTAACCGGCCCGTCGGCTCTCACTTAGGTCTCCGATGTGTTTAAATATTCTATCCGCCTTCTTCAACCCGAACTTCTAATTCTTATTGAGCAAGATCCATTCACTAACGAGACACGACTACTAATCCAAGATACACTAGGAAGCCGTCCCATCAGTTGGTGATTACGGGCTCGGTATTGTCCCACTGGTCGGTCTCTGTAGCATCAACAAGCCAAGAAGCAACGCTTCTGCGACTGGTTTGGGCCATCAATGGCACTCCTTTGCCATGATTCGGCCACACTTTTACTTTCTCCGTGTCCGTGTCCACTAACCGGGATGGTCTGACCAAAACGTAGGTAACTCCAGAATTCCGGACCTCCTGCTCAGCCTGGTTGTGATCGAGATATTGATGGCTCATGTTGGACTTGGACATCAGAAGGCGTAGCACACAATGCATATTGGGCCAGGAATCACCAACACCAAAAGCTTGCAGAACAACGAGTTTTGGAACCCCAAACTCCTTCATTGCCGCAACAATATTTGCATTGCAATTGGCCATCAAGCGCGGAGGTGCCATTGGGGCGGCAAAGGGGCTATCCGATTCCCGGGGGCGTTTAGTGTCACGATTACTGCGGCGGGGAGATCATATTCAAAAGCCGCTCTCACATCGGCTGTATTGGATGGTGTGCCTGCCTCATGGTTAGCCAACAGCAGTGGCGTTCTTGGTGAAGTCATCTTCACCTTTTATAGTATCTAGACCTGCCGGCATATCTTCCATTGCTGACAAATTCCTAACTAGGGCAGTCACTTTGTGTCCTATTCAGTGTTAGCTGCGGGCCTAATGTATTAGTGAGGAAACCGATATACAAACCTCGATGCAGAAGCTCTTCTGTAGTCAACTTGCCAGTCCGCCCACTGCCACCGATGATAAGAATCCTCATTTTTATATTCGCAGGTGGGATTATTGTTGCTAGACAGTCTATCTTCGAGTGTAGCAAATCAAGACTCTGAAATTGCTCTCACACAGCTTCAATTGTCACTTTTATACACCCAAGCCAAATCGGATCTCCGAGAAGTTATCGGATCCGGGCCCGGACGAACCGGATCCGAAGTATTCCAGGCGTCCCACCACTATGGAGGTAGCACAAAAATAAAGAGAGCTAAGAGCGTCTTATAGAGCTTTCTGAATAGTAATTAACTACCATTCATCCATTTCAGGCGATAATGAATCTGTTGTTATTGTCTCACCGCTTGCGGCAATGATCTGCTTCCCCTGATCGTTCGATCACGTCGTGGCCAACGCAACCTCGACCTAACTACAACTCCCTCTCCAGCCATGGCTTCCTCCCTTGTCCTCGGACTCCCAAAACTCTATTCAAGCAAGGGTAATAAGTGCGTGCCCCCGGTCAATGGCTGGATCATCGGGACCTGGCACGTCACCCACTCCAGTCTTCCGCTCTGGAAAGGCAAACGCAACGTCAATATTACCTACGAAACACTGCCCGCCGACTCATCCGGAGTGACCAAAATCGATGACCTAGTGAGGTACCAAGCGATCGGGTCAGAAAAGATCAAGTCGGTCCATGGGGTGGACACCCCGAGCCCCGGAAATCCCGGTGCCTGGGATTGGCGCGGCAAAGGGTGGCTGGTGATCGCGACTTCCCACTGGGAGTGCCTGGGCTTCGGCCATGCCGGCGAGAATAACCAGTGGATGGTCACATACTTTGCCAAAACCCTCTTCACTCCGGCTGGCATTGACATCTATTCGCGAAATAAGCAGGGGCTTCCCCAAGCGACGATCGATGAGATACTCCGCACTCTCCGAGAGTTTGGGGTCACAGAGCTCACGGATCTTGCCAACAGAATCTTCCAGATCCCGCAAAACTAGAGCATTCGATACAAATGGGGGGGATGACTTCACGGCCGGCTTTTCCTTCTGACATCTCATCGTGATCGCATCCACACACCCCTGATCCTCAGACAGCACCGTCGACTGTGAATTGTCACATCAGGCGGCAATGTGCAGTCCCCGCTGGTGTGTACAAACCATCAATTACCGCGTCGACCCATGGTGGTTGTCATGCCTGGGGAAGGCAGCACGCCCCTACGACTCGTCGTGCCGCGGACAGTATCCAGCCCCATCACCCAAACGGGATACAGGCCACATCCTATAAACACCATGAAGGCACTTCAATGGATAGGCACGCGCATGGTAGAGGTGGACGTGGTCCCCAAGCGGAGGTCTCGGCCGGGATGTGGCGGGCGTCTGGGGCTGCGGGCCTGTAGGTCTAGCGGTGAAGCAGCTAGCCAAACTTCGGGGAGCGCGCAAGGTGTCCACGGTTGGCAAAGATGTACAGCGATTGCGTATTCCAGAGGATTTTGGCATGACTCCCATGGACGTAATAACGCATCCGGACGTGGGCGATTATCTGCTGTCGATTCAGCCTCACGGGCTCCAGCGTTCAATTGAGGCCTCCTGGTTCCGAAGCACATAGTCCTCGCCTCACGCGGCCATGCGAGCCATTGGACTGGAGCGTGACAGCAGCGACAGTGTGGCCGCTATCATCAGGGCCACGCGCAATGGCGCTGATTGGCGATTTCTTCTTCACGAGGTGTATCCACATCGGGCCCTGACGCTCCGAGGCAGCCAGGCAGCTCCACAGCGGTATCAACCATTCCTGCTCAACCTGGCCGTACAGGGCCGTCGGGACCCGTCGTGGCTGTTCACGTACGTGGACGAGTTCGAGAGCATATCGCAGCGATAATACCGGGTTGCGTGCCACGAGATGCCCCGCGGGCTCAATGTGCTTGGTGACAGCATTCGGACGCAGCGAGCGAAAGAAGGCCAACAGCGACTTGGTGATTGACCAGAATGGATAGTCTTGATTTATTTAATGAATTGTCTATTATCTATCCATGTATTTTCGGTGAGACCGTCCGGAATGAATCACTAAGCGGAAGATATAAATAGTTAATATTCTGCCCCGCCACTCTTTCCTCTCTTCTTTTTTTCCCCACATAATCATCATCGTTATCATCATGTTCCCTCCACCGCCCCTCGACCTCGACTGGAACGACATTGGCTTCAAAGTGCGCGAAGGTGCGTAGTTGGTAGAGAAAAGCCAATTGGTGATGGCTCCATAACTGACCGACATTCCATAGTGCACGGCCATGTCGAATGCCACTTCTCGCATTCCGACGCACCCGCGTGGTCCGCGCCACAATTCGTCGCCTCGCCTTTCCTGAATGTGCACGGCATGGCGCCCGGCCTGAACTACGGACAGCAAGCCTACGAAGGCCTCAAGGCGTTCCGCCATGCCAATGGCAAGATCACCATCTTCCGGCCCGACCGCAATGCCAAGCGCATGCAGACCTCCGCCGAGGTGGTGTCCATCCCTCCCGTTCCGGAGGAATTGTTCATCGAGTGTGTCCGGCTTGCCGTTGCCGCCAACGCCGAGTTCGTGCCCCCGCATGAGTCCGGCGCGGCGATGTATATTCGGCCTCTGATCTTTGGGTCGTCGGCGCAACTGGGTCTGAGCCCGCCGGACGGATACACGCTGGCTGTGTTCGTGATGCCTACAGGCGTTTATCACGGCGCCCATGCAGTCGATGCTCTCATTCTGGAAGACTTTGACCGGTGTGCGCCGCACGGGACGGGCGCTGCCAAAGTGGGAGGCAATTACGCCCCGGTGCTGCGGCACAGTGACCGCGCTCGCCGGGAGGGATTCGGCATTACACTGCACTTGGACAGCGCGACTCGCTCTGAGATAGACGAGTTTTCCACTTCGGCATTCCTGGGCGTTGTGCGCGATGGCAATTCTGTCACGGTTATCCAACCCAATTCCCAGAATGTGATTGACTCCGTGACGGCGGCGTCGGTGCTTGAGATCGCGCAGGGCTTGGGATACCGCGTGGAGAAGCGCCGCGTCACCTACGAAGAGCTGAGCCGCTTCGACGAGGTCATTGCTGGAGGCACGGCGGCCGCCCTAGTGCCGGTGAAGAGCATCACCCGGCGGTCTACCGGTGACAAGTTCGAGTATCGTTGTGGTGCTGACAGCCAGGGCGGTCCAGTCGCTGCGGCGCTGCTGAAGGCGCTACGTGGAATCCAGTCTGGGACGGTCGAAGACACTCGGGGTTGGAACTATGAGGTGCACGCCCCGCCTGCTGGATGGATGGAGGGCGCCAGTGGACACGAAACAAAGGAACGCTCCGGCACCAATGTTCCGTAGACGGCCAGTACCGCGATAAACAAAATTGGGAACCTATTGATTGCTGTCCATCCTACAAATAAAGAAGTAGAACGAGGTGTAACCTCGCAAGAAGAAAGAAACCCAACAAGATAAATAAATAGGATTCATCGCGCTTTTGAGCCGCTTCCCGAGTGTTTCGAGGTCGCTTTTTAGCTAGCCAGTTCTGGCATTCTAATTCTGTAAGGGCTGGTTAGGGTAGTTATCCCAATATGTAAGCAGCTTGCTTTGACTACATGATTTCGCAGTACCGATAATCAAGAGGTCGCGCTGAATTAATCGCAGTAGCTATTCTTCCTATCAGACGATTGGTCGATTGATCGAATCAGTGACTCATACATAGATACACAGAAAGAAGTATTGAATATCAAAATAATATCAACAGAATGAAGCCATCTCACCGCTTCAAATATGGCCGGCGCAGCGTCATCAATCGTCCATCCGGCATGATATCACCGAGATCTATAATTAAAGAGAGAAGCAGTCAGTTGGCTTCCTCATAAACCACAACTGTCATGGATGATGGACGTAAGATAACGAACCATGGTCATGTTACAACAGCACCAAGAGAAAGCCACCACACTAACCACTATCGCTGGCACTTTGGCCTTCGCTGTCCTCCTCCTCACTCGACTCCTCATAGATGTCGCGGCGAGGCGAAGGGGCCGTGGCAATCGGCTTCTGTTGAGTTGCAGCTCGGGCTGCCTTTTCCTTGCGCTGTTCCTCAAGCAGACCCTTCAGGGTGGGGCGATTTGAATTGGTGGCCTTGTTGCTAGCTGACGGAGGAGCAGGGGGAACAACCGGGGAAGAAGTGGGTCGTATAGCCCGACTGGCCCTCTTGTTGGACGATGGAATAGCAGATTTAGCTGGAGCAACCGGGGTAGAAGAAGGAGTTGGGACAGCCCGACTGGCCCTCTTGTTGGATGATGGAACAGCAGCTTCAGCTGGAGCAACCGGGGGAGAAGAAGGGGTTGGGACAGCCCGACTGGCCCTCTTGTTGGACGATGGAATAGCAGCCTCAGCTGGAGCAACCGGGGGAGAAGAAGGGGTCGGGACAGCTCGACTGGCCTTGCTGCTAGACGATGGGAGAGCAGCTTCGTTCCCTCTGTCAACCGTGAGAGCTTGTAGCTCTTCCCGTAGCTTTGAAATTGTCTGGCGCCGCTTCGCGATCCTGTCATACCTCCTATGAGGGGCTTTTTCCTGTTGTGTGACTTTAGTCCATTCAGTGAGCATGCGCTTGATGATTTGCAGAGCCTTCGGGTCGGTATTTGGATCCTCGGCCATACGGCCCAGGTCTTCTCTCTCCCGCCTTTCTTGTTCAATCTCATCCACACACTTCTGGGCCATCTCAGGAGGAATCCCAGGTGGGAGAAACGAGGTACGGACTTCTGTTGAATTGGCAGAGGCTGCGGATGGAGATCTCTTCTGGGACGATTGATGACCAGTTGGTTCGGTAGGTGTAGGTGTCAGGGCCGGGAAACTTGAGGATGGCTCATTATCGTCAGTAAAAGATACCGATCCACGCTTTTGGGACCCATCAGCAGGAGACTCCTTGCGCAAAATCGAGTATAATTTCTTTGCGCTATCTAGGATAGGCTGATGTGCGTCAGGCGTCAGATTGGGTGCAGGAATGGGCCTGTTTATGTTTCGTTGCACCGGTTTCCTGTCTGGCGGGCTCGTCATGATGCCTACTCCTAGGCGACGCTGTGACGCTGACAGTTGGTCCGCAGGAATACGGCTCGGACCAGAGAACGAAGGCGCACGCTGCCGTCTCTGAGGTGGGGTTGAGGTTGAGGTCGGGGAGTCTGATGTTTGGAGTCTCGGCTCCTTCCGCGGTTCCGCCTGCTCTAGGCTCTGTTTGCGTTTGCGGGAGCGAGTTTCCTTCGCACTCTTAGGCGTAGGCATGTCGAAGTCCTCAAGAATATTAATAGGGGAACCATCGTGGTTATCAACACAGGGATTGTCCTCGTTCGTCTCGACAGAGATCGTTAGACCGCGGTGGCGCTGCTTAGCCGATGAAGAAGGCTTCCCGGCTTGATCTGGCAGGTCGTGGATGTGTGATAGCTGACTCGACAAAGCACTGGCACTAGAAGCGCGACGCGTTGAGCCTGACGCTTCCCTCGTGCCCTCGTCTTCGTCAATGGAAGGTAAGTTTTCCTGCTTGGTCTTTCGTTGGAGCTCACATCGGCTCGCGGCAGAATCCCAATCGATGTCAACTGAGGGAAATCGGACTGGAGGAGACGGTGCAGGCTTCTGAATCACATGTAAAGTGCCTCGTTGGTCCAGGCCCTCTCTGCGAGCCTTTCCAATATCCACGAAGACATCAGCAACGGTCAGGTCAGGGTCGAGGTCGTCGGCGGGGTTTTCATGATCCAGAAGCTTCTTGATAACCAAGCGCCTATGCAAAGAAAAGTCTTAGTGTGGAATTAATTGCCGCATCGCAAAAATCGGTACTCACTCAAGGTCAGGATAGAGCTTCTTCCACTTTTCCTGGATCAAGGCAGAAAGTCCTGCGAGGGAGACTTCCTCGGGAGAAGGCACCACTAGCAAGAAAGAAGCGGGTTTCGCAGAACCTGAAAGCGAGGCATTAGGGTCATCATGGTTTGGCAGGAAGCTAAACATCCTGCGAGTGGATGACAGCTGCTCCCGGGGGAAGACCACGACGCGAAGCCGAAGAAGGACCATTGTGAGGGTCACTGGAGTAGGTCGGCATCGAGAGAAGAAAGAGCGTGGGGGGAAGGCGAGAGGGGAGAGAGAGAGAGAGGGAAAGGGAGAGAAAGAAGAGAGCAAAGTGAAAGGTGAGAACGGCGCATAGGCCGAAAGGGGAAGGTGCGCGGTCGATCCCGCGGCAACGAACAAAGACGATAATGAGAGGAATAGTTAGTACAATTGGTCTCAACAGACAAAGGAGAGACTAAAATTCAGGTACGTAGTTAGTGGACGTTGACACGGCGGGTTTCTGCCGGCAGATGCCCGTTCGGTCAGAAGCGGTCGAATCTCTGACCGAAGAGAAATAAAATATTTTACTGTGTAAATGCTACGAGGAAGTAAATATAGGAAGGAAACTATTAACAAGCAATTATGTACGATAAGATGGTTAGAGGATATGCCATTAAATATACGAGTCTAGTCCGCGGGTGCAAAATACCGCTGGAACCGATCAATATGCGTCAGACCAAGATCGGTGATCACCCAATGACAGCTCATGAGCAGACTGGGGAACCGGACAGTCCAGAAATTGAGGTATCCCTCCGGCAAGCCGCCGACATGCGCCTTCAGAGACTCCGGCATATCATTGTAGTGGTTGCGCTTGTTGCGAAGAGCGCGTAACAGATCGAGCATCCGGGAACCCGTGTACTTGCGTTGTTTCCCCAGGTTGTCCTTGAAGTCACGCGGCAACAACCGCAGAAAATCCATCTCGGGGCCGATGACTTGTGGTGCAACGGATTCCAGGCACAACAGCGCATCGGATGGCGGGTCGCGCGGCTCAAACTCGAAATGATCTGACACGTCACAAAGGAAGCTGAGTCGGTCTGACGGGGGCCAGAAGAAGGGGTGCATCAGAACTGCACTGGCGTCGGGTCTGGAAGATGGTCAGGATGAGGTAGGGGACGTCTAGGCGGGAGAGAAAACATACCGTTGGCGGGGGTCCAGAGACAACATTGAGCGGATAAGATCATCCGCCTCGAAAGCGTAATCACCCAGCCGATCTAGCTCCTGGAGGTCAAAATTGCCCTTAACGATATTGGCCTCGCGCATGAATTTGCCATTCTTGTCGAACGGGTGGCTGCCGCGCGTCAGGACGTAGTAGAACACACATCCCAGGGAGAAGATGTCGATGGCACGAGTGGCCCGGCGGTTGGTTTGCGGATCAACAACGGCAGGCTCGGATGTTTCCGTATTCTGAGATTCAAGGCCAAAGGAATCATCATCAACCAGCAGTTCCGGCGCGCGCCATCCCGAAGTACCGGCGGCATGGGCGGTGGTAGCGCGGAACGAGCTCTGGTTGTCTTCCAGTTTCTTGCACAGTCCGAAGTCGGAAATAAGGAGTCGCAAGGATCGCGAGCCCGTGCGACCACGAGGCATGGCCGCAAGAATGTTCTGGGGCTTCAGATCTCGGTGAACAATCTTGAGGGAGTGCAAGTAGCGAACTCCAGAAATGATCTGACGTAGAACATCGGGCATGTCCAAGCCACCCTGAACCAGGTCCGGGAAGTCAGATGGGCGTTCAACCACATCCTGCAGAGACGCCGGACATAGTTCAAGACCAATGTACAGAAAGCCGGTAGCTTGCTCACGGCAGAAGTACCGGATCACGTTGTTATGGTCGTCACTTTCTTGCAATAAACCGACTTCGTGAGAGGCAATATCGTAAAATTCCATCAGCATGCGTTTCACAGCGACATTGCGGCCATCGAAAGACCCGCGATAGACCACAGTCCCGTGGCTGCCGTGGCCCAGCACAACGTCGGTAAACACTTGGAGACGACCAATGCGGAGAACGCCATCCATCTCCATAATCTCGTTGGATACTGTGCGACTCAGCTGCACGTCAGGCTCCAGACGTGGCTGCGGAGCCAAGGCGTTGACTTGTTCCACCACTTGATCGGCTGTTTCTTGCGTGCTGTCCCCGGCGCCGGGCTTCTCCTTGCGTCGGTGCCCTTTGCCCCCACGGGTTCCGCGGGAACGCTTCTTTTTCTTGGTGGGCTGTCCCTGTTCAGCGAGCTCAAGTTCATCCACATCCTCATCGCCAGGGTCACGAGATGGTTCTCGAATTCGAATACGCGGCGTGGAATCGAGTGGTAGTACATTGCCATTGCTGGGAGGTCGTGGAGTTTCATTTTCGTCGGCTTGGGCGTCCGTCATTTTCACGTCGACAGGTCCATTGGGAAGAGGACGTCTCGGCGTGGATGTCCGATTCAGGTCCGGCGCGGTCTCGACGATCGGTGTTGGAGGAGCGGACAGAGGAGGCTTGTCATTCGCATTGATGATGTTCTTGATGTCAAGTTTCTGTCTCGCCAGGTCCCGCAGATGATGGGAGTTGAAATAGATGAATGTACCAATGAACAGGAGCACCAACGTCACAATAATGTCCAGCGCATTGTCCCAGCCCTTGCGAATGATAGCACTATTCCGCAATGCCGGAGGCAATGCCAGTTCGGAAGGGCTGCGCAAAGCGCCTCGAGGTGTGCCGCTGGACAATTCCGTGGCTGAGCCACCAATACTGGCCAGGGGAGGTCGAACAACATGGGGACCATTGAGGGAATGAACACCCGCCAAGGCCTCTCGCTGTTGACGCTGAGTCAAACTCATAAGCGACTGGCCCTTGCGGAAAAAGTCCTTCTCGTAGCACGGGGCCATGGTGGCGCGTCCAGTGACTAACGGATATGTTTCCTCTGATAGGGCATACCAACCGCCGGCACTGGTCGTTTCAATGAAAACACGCAGGTCACGCTCATCGTGAAGACTTCCGTAATCTGGATCTGGGGGCTGCGAAGGCTGCGACAAGAGCACCAGTGGGAGAAGGGTGTCCGGTGCATCCGTGGCTGCGGGGCGCACGATGTCGAAGACCCGTACGACAGGCGACGAAAAGTGTTGTCTGAATCGAGCCCGGTCCATTCGGGAATGATCGAAGCCTAGCACCACGCCATCGTGCATGCTGTAGATGTGGCTCAGGTCCATGGACCGATAATATTGGCTCTGAAGATCCATATCGCGATTATTTGGAGCCCACTCGGAGTATTTCAATGTGCAGATGGGATCGCCGGTCTCGGTGTTTTGGATGGCGACAGCATATTCGACCCGACCGAGGACGAGAGTGCCGGAGGTGTTTTCGCATTGTTCGGGATCCAACTCCTGCCCATCTACCTTCCGGCACCCCTGTCCGGCGGTGAAAGGTCCGCGAGAACTGAACACCCGTAGGATGCTTCCCGTGCGAGCATCAATGGTGTACAAGGTAGTCTCCTTCCGAGCAGTGTATGTCACGGCAGGCTCAATGCCGGAATAAGGAGTTTCGTCCACCAACTGCTTGACTGTCAAGCCAAGTTTCTGTAGCCCCGCATCCGGGCCAGGGCTGTAAATGTACAGGCTGCCATCCTGACTGGGTTCGACGATCCACAAAAAGTCGTCCTCGGGCTGGGTATCATCAAAACTCGAGCGATTAGCTCGATGGTAAATGCTCTCGACCATGGGGCTGCTGGGCACCTCCAGGGCCCAGCGAGCGGCACCGGTCTTGCGGTCTCGGGCGTGAATGGTTCCATCGACGGTCGCCAGCAGCACAAAGTCCTCAACCTCCCAGTCCTGCAAGGACCGCGCGTGAAGCTGCGGAGCCAGACCGGCAGCTGTGCTGCTGGCCTGGGCAGGAGGGGCTCGAACGGCGCGGCCGGAGCCCGCCAGAGCCAGAGTTGCTAGGGCGCTCGCATCGTAGGATTTCACGAGGGGGGGTTCGGCCAGTGAGGCCGTCTCATGCGTCGAAGAGTCCGAGGCTAACGGCACGGACACACGGGGGGCCGATCCATGATGGGCTGGTTGCTGCTGCGGAGCAACCAGGACCGGCAGAAGGAGAAGGGCGACGCTGGCGGGGAGGGTCGAACGGGCACCCGGCAGCCGCCACCGCATTGTGGAAAGGTCAGCACAGTGAGAGAGAGCTCAGCGGCGAGATAGTGTGCGTCTCATGAGTTGTGGCGAGGGAGGGTTGGGAGTGTGGTGGAGGACAGGAGGGCGGGAGGAAATCGAAACACAGGGACACCGGGAATTGTGGAGCAGGTGAGAATGCGGATAGCGGAGCATCCCCCACGCAGAGCGTTTGGGACGGATCTCGGTATGTTGTTGAGGATCGATGTAGAAGATGATGAGGGAGGGAGGTAAGAGAGATCGAGGAGATGCAGGAACGAGGTGGATGGGAAGAAAAGGAGAAAAGGATGGCGCCTGAAGGATCGTGTGTGCGTAATACACCGGTACGCTTACAGGAGCGACCAGCCTCTCCCGCCTCCCCACGATGGGCTGCAAGGTACCGGGCCGCGTACGGGCGATACTCGGCGGGATTGCCTCCGACTGGGACGCACACGGCTATGCGACTGCCTTGATTAACTTCACTCTGGACACACTCTCAAGGGTTGGTGAGTTGCGACAAGGGATGAATCGAGCCCTTGTTACGGCCCCCAGCGTGGGTGGGTTTCAAGGCCCCCTAGCATTATTGATTATGGATGGGGCCAGATGAAAACCAACAACAGGGATAAGAACGAGTCCGTCATAGGTCCCTATCTATCAGAAGAACGAGCAACAACAACAAGACATCCCTACTCCCCCAGTTCCGCACAACCTGGATTCACAAGAAACGCCAAGGTAGATCTGGACAGACATTCACATACACCGGCAGGCAGAGGCATATCGACCTCCCTCAACCGCCCCGGATCATCCACGTCACGGACAGCACCCATCCGGCCACGAACATGACGGTCACGATACCCGCCCCAGCCTGATCGCCCGTGGTGATGGGTCGCAACTGCGGGGCATCATCGTTCGAGTTACTTGTTCCCGCACCCGGGTTGCTCTTCGAGGTTCCGCCCGTCCTGGACGTCAGCGGCGCTTGTTGGTCGTCAACCAGGCTTGCGGAGAAGATGCCTAGCGCGCTCATCTGCTGCTCCAAACCCTGCGTGCCGTCCCAGGTCGACTGATACCACCGCCGCCCGCATTGTTGGCCGTTGGTACCGCCTGTACACTGCTTGGCGGCTCCCTGCGCACTCGTCCGGAGCTTGGCCATCACCTGCTCGGTGGTGAAGGGCACGAGGGTGGTCATGAAGGCGAGCCAGGTGGAAAAGAATGCCTTGAAGCAGGATTGATTGCGGTCGCAATCCTCGCCCAGCTCGCAGCTGATCTCGGCCATGGTGTTGCCCTCATCTCCGTCAAACCCTAGGGTTGGGAAGAACTGCTGTGCGGTCCCCCACAGCCCGTTGATTCCATCCTTCCACTTCTCCGCACCATCAGTCTATTCCCAGGTTAGCTATGGTTGCATTACGCTTCTCGAGGAACATACGTGGTTGTACATGTAGGCAGCCCCGCTGATGTAGGTGCCGTAATTGTAGCTCCATTGGAAATCGCCGTGATCTGTGCATTGAGAGGCACACGAGGTCGTGTCGGCGATGGTCCAACCGGCCTCGCTCAACAATGGAGTTGTGGCACTCCAGTCCCAGATGCGTTCCGCCCAGTCCGCATAAGTGTGGTTGCTGGTGAAACGGGCCAGACGAGCGGCGAGCTGAAACAGCCCTCCGTTGGAGATGGCGTTCTTGGTGGTGTATCCGTCCTGCCAGGGCCAGATCTGCCAGCGCATCCCACCCCGGCAGTTACTGGTATCCCAACGCGGCACTTGGGTGTTGAAGACACCTTGAGCGAGCGCTAGCCACGACGGCTCGCTATCCTGCTCCGGGAAATTCAATTCCGCAGCAGTCATTGCGGCCAATCCCCAAAAGACTTGGTCGTCGTTGCCGAGATACTGGCTGTAGTTGGAGGGGAAGTAGTCGTCATTGCCCTTTTGAAAGTACATGCCGTCCTGAACGATGCCGTTGAACTGGCTGTCGCCGGTCCAGTACCAGTACTGGATGAGGGTCATGAACATGGCACCGCCTTCCCACCAGGTGTCGTCCATTTTACCGGGGATGTCGCTGGACGCGCGGCCGTTGTAGTAGGCGATCATGTCAGTCGCGGCCTGCTTGGCCACATCCTTGAGGGAATCTGCCCGGGTATGCGATTAGCCACGGACAATGGCCTATGGGCAGCGGAGGGAGTACTGACTGGGATCATCGATGTTGAGGTCAATGGCAAGAGCCGCCGGGACGGCGATCAAGCCGGCCAAAAGGAGAGAAAGCCACTGCGACCGAATCATAGGGAGGGTTCGGAGGGAGGGAGAAGCATTGAAGCGGGAGTAAGTCGTGGAGAGAGAAAGAAAGGTGGAAGCGGCTGCAAGAGAGAAAGAGAGAGAGAGCCATGGGTCAGGCAGCCGCAGCGAACCGGAGGGATGGTACTCCTGAGGAGTATACAGTTGAATTCGGTGGATCCGCGGGTGCTCAGGCCCACACAAGCGCCGGCTTTAATTGAGCTTGATTCAATAGAGCACCACCACTATTATGGACGGATTATTTTTCTGTATTTCGTATTATGACTATCGGAATAGGATGACGCGGTGATGGGGATTCCCTGCATTTCCGACATCCGGTAATCCCTATCCTACCATCAAGATACCGATGACGGCTACACTTGTCGGACGGGGTGACCCGCCCAACCGAACAACAACCCCGTCCCTATTCTCATGCGACAGATTTTCTTAGGGTTCAGGAGTATATACCGGCAAATAGATCATCGACATCCTGCCGTCATGAGCTACGGAGGAAAGCACGTGGACCGGGGGGCCACATTCCACAGGCACAAATCTATGTATTCATTTTTGGATCAAGGCAGTTAAAACATATCTATTACATCCGCTCCCTCCGGCGGGGAGCCGCCCGAATGATGTTGTCCACACGCAGAAGCAACTAGAGCTGGGTTAGTACATGTACAATTCAGAAAATAGCAGAAAGAGAAGTGGACATACCTCAGCGGCCTCCGAAGCCGACGACACCACCGCCTTCTTCAACTTGTAGGCCTCCACCACGCCGAGATCACGCATGTCCGCAATGCCACCGCCGGGCGTCAGCAGGTCCAGCCCGGAGCTGGTCATGCCATTGTTGATGGCCTGGCGCAGTCGTGTCACCAGGTCGCTCGAGTCCAGTCCAGCATTGTCAGCCAGGATGGTCGGCAGCTGCTTTAGCGCCTGGGCAAAGGAGTCTACCGCCAGCTGCTTCTTGCCAGTTGTGTTCTGCGCGGCCTGTTCCACGGCCTTGGCCATGACCATCTCGGCGCACCCACCTCCAAGTGTAACACGGGGGTCCTTGATCGTCTGAGACAGCACGGCCAGGGCGTCGTGGAGCGATCGCTCGGCCTCGTCCAGCAGTTGCTCCGTGGCGCCGCGGAGCACGATGGTGCAGGCTTGGCCGGCGGACACACCTGAGAACTTGATCAACGTATCCTCGCCGATGATGACCTCCTCGATCAGGTCGCACCCGCCGAGCTTCACCTGCTCCGGGTGGTCAAAGGTGGAGGCGATTTCGCCGCCCGTCACCAGCGCCAGGCGCTCGATGCCATCAAAGTCGGCGTGCTCGATAGACATGATCCCGGCTTCGGTGAAAAGCTGCTCGGGCCAGTTGTAGATGAGTTGGCGATTGACGAAGCAGTTGATGCCATGAGACTTGATCCGCTCCACCTTGGCACGCATCTTCTCGCGCTCTGCCTTCTCCAACTCGGCCAACTTACCTGTTGACTCGACTTTGACCCGAGCTCCAAAGATCTTGACCTTGTCCGTGTCCATGGCGGTGTTGGCCACGAGGATCTTGGCATTCTCCAGTCGCTTCGGCTGGTTGACACCAATCTTCTTGTCAAGAATGAAACCCTCGTCGAGGTAGGAGTCGCTCAGCTTTCCACCCGCCTTTTTAATCACTTGGATGTGGCTGAGGTCGGTCGAGCCTTTGAGACGTAGGACGGCCTCACAAGCCAACTGGGCAAAGTGGTCCCGATCTTGGGCCAGCACCTTGGAGCTGAGGGTCGTGCGAGCGATCGCGTGCAAGTCCTTGCGGAAGGACTCTGGGTCCTGGCTCCGGTCGACAGCCACTGACTCGAGAGCGGCGAGGGCAGCCCGGCTGGCGATCCGGTAACCTTCGATGATGGTCTGGGGGTGGATCTTGCTGCTGACCAACTTCTCGGCCTCGCGCAGGAGTTCGGCAGCCAGTACGGTGACAGAGGTTGTGCCATCACCCACCTCATCATCCTGAACTTTAGAAATGTTGACCAGGACCTTCGCGGCGGCGTTGTCCAAAGCGATTGACTTGAGGATCGTAGCACCGTCATTTGTCACGAGGATTTCGCCGGTCGACCTAAGCCCCTCGCCATGTCAGTGTTTGTTCTTGATTGTTTGGGTTTGCACGTACGCAGATTGTAGGATCTTGTCCATGCCCTTCGGGCCCAGCGTGCTCTTCACGAGGTCTCCGACGGCGATGGCACCCACAAAGGCGGACAAACGGGCGTTCTCGCCCTTCTCCTCGATAACATCGTCGGCAAAGATCTGTGTGGGATTGCCGAAGGATGCCTGGCCGGGTCAGTTACTGATCGAGTGTCAGACACAGGGGTCGCATACCATGGTTGCCAGTCAATGTTGGTGTTGATTATTGTGGTAGCGGGGGAAGGACAGGAGAAATTGGTTTGGTGGCTTTCACCGCCTGCATTTCACTCTTCTTTCTTCCTTCTCCACATTTATTCTTCTCTCACTTGTATCCCCTCACGAACCATGGCAGATGCTGCCAATCCCCCCAGCAAGCGACCGCACTCGGCTGTCGATGCAGACGAGAATGGTGAGTGTGACCTCCAGCTTAGCCCGACATTCGATATTGACCTCGTCAATCATCAGGCGCCGACGACTCCTCCGACGATGACTTCGGTCCTGCGCTGCCCTCCGAGGTAGCTCCCAAAAAGAAGCGACGGAAGCTGCCCTTTGAGAAAATCTATGTGAAGGCACTGCCAGCCTCGGCGCGGTACTCCAAGTCGCTCATGCACAAGGAGCAATTGTCCTTCGCGACAGTCACGCCATTCACCGACTTTGTGATCACCAGCTCTGTGGACGGGGTGGTCAAGTTTTGGAAGAAGATGGCTGAGGGGATCGAGTTCGTCAAGGAGTTTCGCGCGCATCCTGGCGAAATTCGGAGTGTCAGCGTCAGCGCCGACGGCCGCAGTTTTGCGACCGCCGGAGCTGATAAGACGGTCAAGATTTTCGATGTGATTACTTTCGGTGAGTTCCAATCCGACATTGGCCCCATTGACCCCATTGCTGACCGCGGTAGATCTTCTGTCCATGTATACGCTCGAGTTCATGCCGCGGTGTGTCTGCTGGGTACACCGGCGCGGAGCTTCTCTGCCGCTGTTGGCAGTGACCGATGAATCGAGCAGTACAGTGCAGGTGTTTGATGGCCGCGGCGAGAACCCCCAACCTCTCCACACCGTGACCACCATTCACCGCAGCCCCGTGGTGTCGTTGGCCTTTAACAACGCATACGACTGCGTCGTCTCAGCGGACGAGTCCGGAATGATCGAGTACTGGCGTGCCGGGGACGGATCATTTGAGAAACCAGACAATGTCTTCGACTTGAAGTCATCAACAAATTTGTTTGCGTTCAAAAAGGCCAAATCTACGCCCACAGCCATCACGATCTCACCGTCCGGTGACCAATTCGCCACGGTTTCATTCCCAGACCGCCAGGTGCGCGTATTCGACTTTGCGACGGGAAAGCTTTACCGTACCTACGACGAGTCGCTGGCAACAATCACGGATATGCAACAGGCCGGGACTGCGCCGTACACTCTGGACGCGGTGGAATTCGGGCGGAGGCTCGGAGTCGAACGGGAACTTGAAGGAGGATCGACACGCAACAAGGTCAATGTCATATTTGACGAGTCCGGCCACTTTTTGATGTACGGGTCGTTGTACGGGATCAAGTGCATCAATACGTACACGAACCGTGTGGTGCGGGTTTACGGACGTGAAGAGCCCTTCCGTGCTTTGAACCTGGCCCTCTATCAGGGCCAGCCGCAGCGGAAAGGAGTGGTGACGGTCTCAATGGCTGCCAGCAGCAACCCACTTCTCCAGGAAGCGGAAGAGCGCGATCCAATTCTCGTGTCTACGGGATTCGCCAAGTTGCGCTTCTACATGTTCACCAACGAAACAGACATTTCACGGTCGAGTCGCGACGTCCAGAACGAGAAACCCACACAGGCCGCTGGCGGCACCGGTGCGGCCGCGGCCAAGACGGGCGAGAGTGGTACGGCTGCCATTCTGCACACGACGATGGGCGATATCCATCTGCGCCTGTTCCCTTCTGCCGCCCCGCGGACAGTCGAGAACTTTGTGACGCACGCGCGGAAGGGCTATTACAACAACACGATTTTCCACCGGGTGATTCGCAAGTTCATGATCCAGGGTGGCGACCCTCAAGGTGACGGGACAGGCGGCGAGTCCATCTGGGGCGGGGAGTTTGCGGACGAGTTCTCGAGTTTGAAACACGACAAGCCCTACACACTCTCGATGGCCAATGCGGGGCCGAACACGAATGGTAGTCAGTTCTTCATCACGACGGAGAAGACACCGTGGCTGGACAACAAGCATACCGTTTTTGGTCGTGCGGTCCAGGGTCTGGACATTGTGCACAAGATCGAGAACGTCAAAACCAAAGACGAGAAGCCCGAGGTCGACATCAAGATCGTCAGCATCTCCATCTCTTGAATTTGTATAAATAAGATAGCATCTACGAGACCAAAGATATTGCAAACATTTCCATGGCGCGAGTGCTAAAGCCCGATCGCGCAGCTATGTACTGGTCATCCCAACCGGTCTTGAGTCGAGGAATTATAGGCGTAAGCATGGACGATATAGCCGATAGAAAGCAATCAAACAGAATACACAAATGAGACAAAGATCCATATAGCCAGCCAAAATAAAAAAAAATCAAAACGCGCGCCCGAAGAAAAGAATCGAGCATGCATCATCCAGCGTAATTAAAGAAAACCCGACAACCCAAAACGCCGACCGATGCAAGGAAGCAGAGGAGACGGTCCGCACCCAATCCAGACCGATTGAGCGACAACCCGCCTCGCCAAATCAGCACGGTCACCGCCGAACCTCACGGATCTCCACATCGTCGGACATGGACATCTTCTGCAGACGCGAACGACCATTTGGACTGGGGGCGCCCATGGGTACGTCGGCGCGCGAGCCACCGCGCGACTGTCCGGGGGCCGGGGATGCGCTCCAGGGACTCCCGCCAGGGCCGATCGAGCCGGGCGCGGGGCTGAGCACGCCCGAGTTGCGATCGTAGAGCATGCTGCTGTTATTGTTGCCGCCGTGGTATAGATTGGGACGTTTGGCGTCGTACCGACGCTTGAGGAAGACGCCGCCGACGGCTAGGGCGCTGAACCCGATGATCAGAACGATCACCATGATCACCCAGCGATAGTGGGTGCTCCACCTGCGCGAACATTAGTAACTGATTTTTTTTTCGGGCTGCGATTAACCAAAAAAATAAGAATAAAAATAAAACCAACATACCAGGATGGTGTGGCCTGGCTCGACGGCGAAGCTGCGGCAGCAGCCGAAGAAGTCGCGGTTGCCCCGGACGAGGTGGTGACAGTGGGAGCGGCAGCGGCGGCGCCGCCGTTGCTCCCATCGTCGACTTTGCCCCCCGAGTTACAGTAGTCATTGTACCAGGTCGAGAGGAGCTGCTGGTCGGAGCTGCTGCAAGTGTTACAGACGGCACCGGAGGATTTGAGGCCCGTCAGCAAGGCCGACGCGCAGAAACAGGAGACCCAGGTGGACTGGTCCGTATTGCTCTCGCAGCTTGTCTGGGCACCTGTCAAGGTGGAGCAGGTCAGGCCGCACGACGGGAAGGTGGACGAAGCGGCTGTTGGGAGAATCGAGGCGGCGATGCTGGGCGCGGTGTAGAGCGCCAGCAGGAGGAGGCCCTGGGAGAGCCACATGGTTGGATACAGGAGAGAGCGGTTTCAAGGCAGACTGGATGGCAAAGAATGGGCCCTGGCAGAATTCACGTGGAGACAGACGGGGGCGAGATCAGCAGCAGCCCATGCTGGAACAGGCGTGGATAAAAAAAAGATATGAAGTCGAGCCGGTAGCGAGCGAGTGGGTGAGTGACGGGAAGAAAGAGAAGCGGGAGAGAAGGGAAAAGACGAGGAAGACGCGGGAGAGAGAATTGGGTTGGTCGCTCGTTGGGTTGGACCCCCGAACGCAGCCGTGGGGTCGCTTATTTTGATTTCTTCGTGACTAGGCCGGTGCGACTGTACCAAGTGCTACTTCATCATAATGCCATTCTGCGTCCTCATTGTCCGTCCGTTTGCGGGAACTGTCACAGCTGTCACTCCCGACTGGAATGCTGGCCAAGCTCGTCGGGTCCGATCCGATCGCCCTATTGTAGTAAGGATTGACACCACGTTTTATTTTCCTAGGGGTTTCAGTCTTCCCTTCTCTCCGGAGACCATAATAATTAATAAATCTCAAAAAAGGGGGAAGGGTTCCACTCGCGATCTGCCAGGGGCCAGTCTGCCATTCGACGACGGGCTGCAGCACGATTGATTGCGCAGCCAATCGTAGAGCATTGCCGGCCTGATTGAACTATGGCGGAAACGGCCGACCGGGACGAGTCTAGAGATAATGGACGAACCGCAGCGACGGGAATAATTGCTACCAGTAATTATATCCTTCAATCAGATAAATGCTCAACGTGATAGATCATCTAATAATGCATCAACTCGATGCAAACTCCCCCCTGTACGTCACCTCGCACTCGACTTGGCGGCCATACTGTAGAAGAGAGGAAGCCAGATCTCCATCCTTCCTATTTCACTGTCTGGGTCCGATGAACAATGTTTCTACTGACTGTCATTGAATCACGATCTCCCAATGACCCAGAAAATCTTGGTGTTCCCGGTGGACCTAGAAGCTAGTGCTGTCAGTTCATCTGCGTAGCTCCTGTCTATGATGGAATCACTAAACATCCCAACGAGAATGGCAACACTCGACGCCATGGCGCAAATGTTCTCGGTGCCCCAAATTCTTTGTTTTAGAGATACGCGCGCTGCAACCGACATGCCTGCGATGTTATTGCGGTAGGCCTAGTCGCCGCCAACGGCACGCTATCTACTCCTGCCCTGTGCATTATGTGTGCTGTAGGAAGGAATACAACTTTCGGAAACCCAAGTCCACTGGTTGATTGCGGACAGCTTCGGCGGCCGCAGCGATAGACTCGGATAAGCTAACGACGAGCGCAAGCACGGTGACATTGGATGCCTCGTGATGGCCCTGCAGCATTTTGGACGGTGAGCGTGCTGGCGCAAAGGCGTGAACTCTTGGCCTTACAGGCATCAACCTAAGGCAGTGTTAACTCCACTACCAGAGCAGCCTGTAACCAGGCACGTTTTGCGAGTAGGATTCATTTCTCAAGGAGTCCTTCTCACAAAGATTACAGTGCGAACGCGGCACGGAAAGAAGGCAAGTGGGCGATCCTATATATGTGGTTTTCGTTTGGGATCATGGAGTCCGCATCCGTCGTTTCCTGAGTCCTTACGGACTGGTGGACTTTGCCAAACATGAGTTGCTACGAGCTCCGACAGGGACAAAAGATCGTCGGCCTTTTTGGCCCACAGCTGCATGGATCGCTGTGGGGCCACCCCCAGTGCGGATCCCAAGCCTATCAGAGATGGTTATCAAGGGATGAGCAACGGGCGACCGTTTCTCCTTCCAATCCGTAAGTCACGTATTCTCAAGCGGTTCAGCGGAGACTTCACGCCGCAGCGTTTTGATCTGTTCCTGAAGATTGACCCCGGCATCGCATAGGCAAAACTCCAGCGATGTCCCCATGACAGGTTAAGCAATATATATAGCTCGCTTTCCTACCGTCAATGCCCAATCTGCTATATCTGATACGCCCCTAAATATGATTCAATTATTACTTTGGACTACACGCTGTTCGTCAGGGCTCAAGTTCCGGGGCACAGCTCTATGCCATCGCCAATGACCTCATTCCGAGACTCACAAATTCTTCTCTGATTGATGCCCCTTCTAATGCACCCTTCTAATTGATACACCCTTTTAATCCAAATCAACTGTGTTCACCACCATGACCAAAACGGTCGAATTCAACGTCTTCCGCGGATCTGAGAGCGGCGAAATTATTCCGGATACCACCAGAGCCACACTGGGCTCTGGCGATGTCTTCGTGGAGATCTCTCACGCTGGCCTATGCGGGACTGACCGACTGTTCCGGACCAAGAGCATTGCCTTGGGCCATGAAGGAGCCGGCACGGTGCGCGATGTTGGCTGTGCCGTAGACCAGTTCCGGGTCGGGGACAAGGTCGGCTTTGGCTGGGTTCAGAAGGTGTGCGGCCATTGCGATTACTGCATCACCGGTACGGTGCCAAAGACCCCCAGCCCCGAGGATGGAATTGACCGGCACAGACAAGGACCAGTACTGTACGCATCGAGAGAACTATGGCACCCACGGGTTCGAAATCGGTGCCTTTGCTACCCACGCCGTCTGGCACGAGAGCATGCTCATCAAACTGCCGGACGCGCTGGAGTGCCAGTACGCCGCACCGCTGATGTGCGGCGGCGCCACTGTTTGGGGGGCATTGACTTCTGACGGGATCCAGCCTGGGGACAGAGTCGGCATTGCAGGGATTGGAGGGTTAGGCCACATGGCGATCCAGTTTGCATCGATGCTCGGGTGCGATGTCGTCGTCTTTTCAAGCGATCCATCCAAGCGCGACGAGGCCCTTAGTCTGGGAGCCAAGGAATTCCGCGTCTTGCAGGATGGAGTGCCCACGACAGGTGTGAAGCAGGTGCGGCACCTGGTGTGGTGCGCCAGTGTTCCGCCGGATCTCACTCGGTGAGTGAGTTCGTTTCAAGCGCCTCCGATGATGATCATCTCATGATTCTTGTAGACTTCTACCGCGAGTCGCACCGGATGGAACGATCCATCTCCTGACTGTCAGCCATCAGTCCATACCCACGCCCACCTTGCCGCTGGTCTCGAACGGCATCCGACTGCGTGGCACTGCAGTGGCTTCACGACTGGCCATCCGGAAGATGCTGCGGTTTGTGGCGCTGCACGGCCTACGACCGATCATCATGACTTGGCCGATGACGCGGGATGGGATCCAAGCGGCGTTCACCACGCTCGAGCAGGGGAAGATGCGGTACCGTGGGGTGCTGGTGGGACAGCGGCATCTGATGGGGAAGCCGGCCGTTGAAATCCAAAAGTAGAATGAATTAGATCAGTCAAGGCGGGGGAATCAATCGTCTGCTCGGAGTGGGATATTTTCCAATCTACGCGATTGATTCTACCGAAGTCACACCTAGTATATATTTCGCGATCGGCTAGTCCCAACCGGGCTGTACCTGGTTATCTTCCCCGCCCTCGTCCCTCCCTTCCCTCCTTCGTCTCCATTATAATTCAGACAGAGAAGTAAACAATACACCACCATCAACATGGGCTCAACCTATTCCACCCCAGAGCCAGTCAGAGAGAAAGCCGCTCTGGCGAACGTAGACATGGCCAGGACCAGCATCGAGCCAGACTCGAGGACTCGTGACACTCGTTCGTCTTGGACCCCCGACCTTCCGTTATCTTCTTCATTATTGACGAGATCACAGCTCCCCCGCCGTATCCGGTTCGGGAAAGAATCCGATCCCTGACGCTTCCTCGCATGAAAGACTGGAGCGAGAGCCTGATGAGCGATGCCAAGGTGTGAACTACAGACCCACCGGGTGTTCGATGCTAATCTCAAGTCTCACGCGCGGGACAGAACCGCCTAGCCATTTCCACCTTTGCTGGCCAGCCCTATGAACAGATCCTCGCCGATCGTCGGGCTCTCCAGTCCGACCTGCACGTCTTCAACCTGGCCGTGCCGGTGGAAGGCGCGCCGATTACGAACCAACGCTCTTCTGGTCGCTGCTGGCTCTTTGCCGCGACCAACGTTTTCCGTGTGCCGCTGATGAAAGCATACCAGCTTCGGGAATTCGAACTCAGCCAGGCCTATCTCTTCTACTGGGATAAAATCGAGAAGGCCAATTGGTTCTTCGAGCAGATCATCGCCACTGCCGATGAGGATCTCTCCAGCCGTTTGGTCCAGAAACTCTGTGAAGATCCGGTCACCGACGGCGGTCAGTGGGATATGGTCGCCAATCTAGTGCATAAGTACGGACTGGTCCCCCACGCGCTGTATCCGGATGCTTTTCATGCGCAGAATAGCTCCAAAATGAACTGGCTGCTTACTGCCAAGCTGCGTGAGCAGGCCTTGATTCTCCGTAATCTGGCCGCGAAAAAGGGAGATGGCCAGGCCTCTCATTTGCTGGCCGCCCGCAAGGAGCAGTTCCTGCAGGAAATTCATTCACTGGTCACCCTCCTGCTGGGCCCTCCGCCGAACCCGGACAAGCCGTTTGTATGGCAATATTACGACGCCAATGGAACTGCCCGCGAGGTGCGACAGACTCCGGTGGAGTTTGGTCAACAGGCCATTCGGTCTCAGACACGATCACTATCACGCAACAGCCCTGCTGTTTCCCCAGGGCGGTTTTTCAGTCTGGTTCACGATCCGCGGAATGAACGAAACCGGTTGCTGACGGTTGACAAACTCGGCAACGTACTGGAAGGACGACCGCTCACATACGTCAACGTAGAGATGCAGACACTCAAGAAGGCGATCATTGCGATGCTCAAGGCCGGACATCCGGTCTTCTTTGGCTGTGATGTGGGCAAGTTCTCCGATAGGAACCTTGGAGTCATGGATGCCGACCTCACCGACCTCGCGCTCGGGTTCAATGTCTCACTCGGGATGAACAAGGCAGAGCGGCTCGCCAGTGGGGAGTCCTCCATGACCCATGCGATGGTCATCACGGCGGTGCATCTCCTCGACAATGACGAGCCGGTCCGGTGGCGGGTGGAAAACTCGTGGGGTGAGGGAGTCGGAGAGAAAGGCTGGTTTGTGATGACCGACCGATGGATGGACGAATATACCTTCCAGGCCGTTGTCGACTCCAACTTTGTTTCGGCCGACGTACGATCCATCCTCGAGCAGACCCCTAAAGTCTTGCCCCGATGGGATCCTATGGGGGTGCTCGCCTGAGAGAACAACAACTACACGCCAACGCTAGGCGTCGGTAAATTGGCCGCCGAAAATGGATACCTTCGATACCGTTATTTTCTGCGTCGTTTTTACTAGAAGCTTATCGTGCCCATGGTAGACCCTCAGGTTGACATAAGGCTCTGTCTGATCCGTTTGTGGCCGGCTAATTCATTTAGTTTATGATGTTATGTTATTGACATGAGGCGATTGAGAATTGAAAGTAGAAGGAGACGTCACATAATGTTTTTGATTCCTGTATGCTGGTACTGATGAATTAAGCCCGGAGGGCCGCTAAAATTAACTAACAATAACCATGCCGAAGTAAACCTCTAACCCTGTAGTTATTTCTTTGGGACCTGTCCCAGAGGTTGGATAGCCAGTCCTTATCTATGCCGAGGGAGGCTGCCCGTTGCCGACTGGAATGCTGGTGTTGTAGGAGCCGAAACAGGCTTCCTGGTACATCGCCTCCTTGGTAAGCTGGGGCACATGGCCGAGGAAGTTCTTCACCGGGCAGAATCCGTTAACCGACTCATCGCAAGCAGACAGACCATCCAGTGGCAGAGGAGCATTGTTCAGCACGAAACGGATGTATTTCTCGGTCTCGGACTTGGATGATAGATCTGGATTCTTGTACATCTGCGGCTGGAGATCATGGAACGAGGTGTCCTTAGGGCAGGTCCAGACTTCAGAGACCAGATGAGCCCCGAATGGGGTCATCTCATTCAGTCTGAAGTGGCGCTCCGGAGCATGTGCAACAGTGGAAGGTATGCCTTTCGGGCTATACTTGAAGTAGTCCAGGCCTAGAGCGGCTAGGACGGAGACAATGGTATCGTCGTGCGACATATCCATAAAGAGAGGCTGGTCCAGTGGGAAGTCCTTCTCGTTGTCATCATATGTAGAGTTAATGCTGCTATCGCTGCTCTCGATCAGCTTGTGCTGTAGCCGTGCCGCTAACTCTTGCACATAGCCAATACCCTGGGCACGGCCGCTCGGAGAACCGAAGCCGTACATATCGTAGAATTGCAGATCCAGGTAGTACTCGAAGTCGCGCCATTCTTGCTCGGTGAATAGCGAGCAAAAGGACGAGCTACCCAGCGTGGCATACTCATAAGGACACAGGTTAAACATGCCTAAAACTTCTTCCGCAAGAACTTTGGACTCCGAGGAGAAGAAATCCTCGGGCAGGAAGGCAGCGAAGCGTTTAGCAGCATTCTTGATCATTGCGGGAATGAATTCCGCAGCTTTATAATCGCCGGCAACTAAGCCCTTGACACATGTTTCCGTCGACGATAGTGTATTATTGAAGGCTGGCTTCTCGGGGATAATAACGAGGTCATAATCCGCATACGAGCTGTTACCGCCCGTGTTGGCGAAAAAGCCACCTGTAGTATAACAGCATTAGTTGGCCGTCCTCGATTCCATAGTTCGCGGATCTACTCACTCAGCCACCAGCGTGCACTCTCTAGGATGCGAGGATAAGAGGTCGTGCGGAATGTAGGCTTAGACCGAGGCATGCCATTTGGGAGAACATTCAGAGCGGCGTTCCAGTTTGCCTCTCCTGCAGAAGCGCCGTACAGGAAGCGGCCGTATTGGCTCCAGAATGCCGCGCCAGAGGTCGCTTCGGTTGCGGCACCCGTCGGGAGTAGGTCGTTCAAGCCTAGCAAATAGTCCCAGTTGTTTAAGAAGGCAAGCGGCCCGGTACCAATTTTAGTATCCGGGTGCTTCTTTGAGGCTTTTTGAAGCGCAGAGGCAAACAGCTCCATTGATCCCGCATCCACTGAAACATTCATCGGGTACCTTTGCGCATGGCGGTGCAAAACGTGCACCTGCGATAGCTCGCAACCTTGCGGAGAACCTTTGGGTAGGCCAAAGCCGGGTGCGTCCGCGTATGGGCTGAGATTGCCCCAGCTCTTCTTCATATCAAACCCAGACGGATAGGATGTCCCTGTTGGAGCGACGGCCCCCGAGCTCGAAGCCATAGATATGCTTCCAGTACCGGGCAGGGCAGCACTGCTGCCCACGAGGGCGAGCAATGCGACAGCAGAAGTACTCAAAGCGGCCATTGGGGAATGCTACCGCCTGTAGAAATTCAAAGAGGTTATGAGGGTGAGATTAGTAGAGTGAATTGCCCGACGACTATATAGGACAGACTGTGGTTGACCAGGAATTAGCGTCCCTTGTTCCTGCGGTCTACTTTCGGGGCCTCAACTACTCTCATCTACATATTTGTTCATTGCCCTACTGGGGCGTTATGGAGGTTCAATGTCGTATCCACCTGATTCCACATCTCCGGGTTATGTTGGTGGGGGCCAGGAACATCTAATTTGCCGTAGTAAGAAAGTTGTATTATTCAAGCGTAAATAGTCTAACTACCGGTACAGTGGGAAGACACGGAAATAAATCAGCGCTAGCATGGCTTGGCGCGCTAGTTCAAAAATAACAATAATCGCCCCCTAAACGTTGGGGGTCCGACTTTAGGGGGCGATTAGTTAGTGTACCATCCATCTGGGTCAATCACTGCTTGCACGCGATGCGGTATCGTCATGGCGAGATTGAGCATTCCCTTTTCTCCAATATTAAACCATGCCTTGTTTATCTATTTCTATTTCTTATCCATTCTCTTTTTTCGTTATTCCTTTTCTCCCTTCCAACATTATTAAGTGTCCCTTGTTTCCTTTCAGAAGGTTCATTTAACTGACATGTATAGAGCACTGGGTGCGGGAGAGCCCTAAAAGATGCGATGCGAGTCCCAGTCGGCGCGGTTTGGTAGGGTAAAGAACCGACCCGCCTGCTGGTCGGTTCCCAAATTCCAAAATAGGGACCCGGCTGTGGTTCGTGCCGAGGCCTACTTATTACACATCACAAGTCATCGACCAGCCACCAGAGAATGGCTGGGAGGCCAGCTGCGAAAGCGGAGGGTCAACCAATAAAGTACAGATTTGCACGACTGATAGATTGGACCCACTACTTCTCTTGTATTCCTTTCGCGGATATATGACACGACAAGTGTAAGCATGCAAGGTTTTTCCAAGTTAGATAACAGTATCTCCGCATTGAAATGAAAAACTTTTCTACGGCAAACAGAAACGCATGTCCAAATTATGGATAGTACATTGCGCATCTCGTCTGTCTCATCTTATCAATTGTTACTCAAAAGAAAACATCTGCGTCGAGTTTATAATCTTCAATGATCTTCATTGCAGCGATGTCTCCAATGAGATATGCTGTTGATTGGGTATGATTGCTGTCGTTCATTTGTTAGCTTCATCAGTGTTGTACTGCTAGCATAATTCCAGTACATACCTTGGCAGCACTGGACACACACTGAGATCTGCAATACGCAAATTTTCGAGACCAATTATGTGAAAGTCGGAAGATACACATGCTCCTTTACCACCTTCGATCCCCATCTTGACCGTCCCCAATGCATGCCACGAGATGGTAATATGATTTTTGATATACTCCTGAAGAAGTTAGACAATGATGCAAATGGAAGCAGGTTAAAGAGTTTACCATTAAGTCATCGTCTGCATTACTCTTAGGGCCTTCGAGAAGCCCGTCGACGGGGAAGGTGCTATTTTGGAGAAAATCGTATGTTTTTCTAAGCGATTCAATCATGACGCGACGGTCGTATGGATGTGCAAGGATATTCATATCAATGTTTGGAGAATCGTTTGGGTCTGCACTTTTGAGTGATATTGATCCTGATGATTGGCTGTGTTGAAGTATAGTCGATGTTGCCAGCTTCAAACAATCAAGAGTCGGTGTCGGAACAACGCCCTGGCACTGATGTCAGCTATCTAATCCATCTATAACAAGTAAGAGAGAGGGACACACAAAACCAAGTTCGTATGCCGGTACATCAGGCTGAGACAAAAATAACTGGGTTCTTTGGTCCAATGTCGTGTATTCTGGAAATGAAGCAATATCAAGTTTAAGATACCCCACCGCAAAATTGCCAATATCCTCAGCCAGTGGCCCTGACCTATCGTGGAGCCATTTTTCTCTAGCTCCTTGGATGGCTGATGTATCTGGAGGAGGGAAGACATCTGGTTTAATGGCTGCATCCATTCGAACTAAGAAGTGGTCTCGAAGATTCGAACCTATGTTCGGTTGATCCAATACGATAGGGATGTTGTGGTTCTCCAAGTGCCTTGGATCACCGATTCCCGATAAAAGGAGAATTTTCGGAGTGTCAATTGACCCAGCAGATAGGATGGTATCTTTGTTAGAGAGGTCGAAAGGCAAAAGTCTTGTTAGCTGCAGATGCTTCGCTATGTGGTAAGGGACTAACATCTAGCACGGTTGACGAGTTCGACCCCAACAGCCTTCTTTCCTTCAAAGATAACCCGATGTACTGGTGAGTTGGCTTTGATAGTCAGATTGGCTGGTTTATGGTATAGGTATGCCGATGAGGCAGTGATCCGTAGGCCCCTGAATGTCGTTGCCGGGGGAATTCCGATACCAATGCATTTGTCCGAGTTTATATCAGGATTGAGCGGTATCTAATAAAATTAGGTGGTAGTTGATGGTATATAATCCAATATCGCTCATACCCCATGCTTGCTTAACGCTTCGAAAGCATCTTCAAGTCCCGGAGTCCAGACACTTGGGAGGGAAACATCGATGGCGCTAGGAGAGTTAGTAACTAGAATATCGTTAACGTTATCAGACGTACCCATTTTTGCCGTGAGAATCTGTTTCAAGCTTGACATATTTTTCGTATTTTGCCGGTGTCTCATTGTGATAATTTTCAAGCTATAAAAAATGTCAGGAATGAGAAAATTTATTTCTTTGGTCTTCTGTATTGAAAAGCCCACCTGTTTGATCCTTTCCAAGCTGTGTTCCCACTTCCAAATATCATCATTTACCAGTCTCGCCCATTCATTGAATTCTGCCTTCGAACCATAATCCCACACGCCCATGTTAGTTGCAGTCGAGCCCCCCAGTCCCTTCCCTCGAGCATAAGGTATCTCTCGTCCCTTTATCTGGGTTTGAGGCACGGTTTTATAACCATAGTCAAGATGTGTGCCGTTAGTCGCCCAAAAAGTAAGCCGCTCTCCCGCAATGCGGTCGGCAACATCGTCATTATCTTCACCGGCCTCTAGTAGAAGTACTGATGGCTGTGTACGACTCTTAGATAATTTGGATGCAAGTGCTGAACCAGAAGGTCCAGCTAAAGCAATTCAATTATGGAATGTAAGCAGTGCAGTTTAAAAAGGTGTAGCCTTAACCCGGAGAGCTGGCGAACTTCCAAGTGAAAAACTTACCACCAACGATTATGAAGTCGTAGACGTTCGTCGTCATTTTGGAATAGCTGGTTGCCATCGAAAATCTCTTTCCTTCACCTACTCTTATGGAAAGAAACCTCCTTTCGTTTTAAACGGAAAATTTGTTCATCTTAAAAAGTTGGTGGTCTTCGAATCATGACCTCACTTTGAATGAAAAGTCTCATCGATGACGTGGAGTGGATGGTGTTTTGGATCTGTCAACCACTCAAGCGTTTTCATAATATTTAGCTGAACCCACGCCAAATAAACGTTAATTAGAAAGACTATCACATAGTTCCTCTTTTCGAAACCTACTACGAAGGACAATATGAACATGACGAATTGTGTTCATTTTGGCATAGCCGATGTTCATCTGGTGTCTTGTAGCACTATCCGGCTTATGTTGAAACCAATGATACTCTAGCTTATAAAGGCGCTGTTTAAGCAAGGCCCAAAAGATTTCGATTGATCCAGATCAAGAGAATGGGAAGGCCATTCCACAACTTCTACCCAAAGGTTTTCCACATGGCCTCGCACGAGTCTAGATGTATGTAGGGGCTAGTTATCGTGTTAAATACATCTTCAGGTCGTAGAGAATGCAGAAGAATACAAATATAAGGCTGGTGTATTCTTTTGGCAGCCACACCACCACGACGAGCCTCCAAATCGCTTAAGGGACGACGGTAGCTAAAGTAGCAGCCTACCCAACACATTGAGATATTCCCTTGCTGGTATAGGTCTCTCTTACGTCATGTCTAAGGAGCTATTGATGAGGCGAATTAAAGATCCATTACGGTCGTAACCCAGCACCACGCTCAACTAGACATTTATCTGGCCATTTCCCGTGGTCGCGGCTTTGAAATATTGTCCTCTCGTACTTTTTCGGACCGAACTGTGGTTTCAAGATTGTCAATTGGGACGTCTTTGAAACAGGCGGATAGCTCGGTATAGGTCGAACCCAAGAGCTTCAATTCGCAATATGCGGGTGCGTAATTGGGGGCGGGGGTGTGGGTTTATTCCTTCCCCTGACCCATGGGTACGTCGGTAGTGGAGAATGATGCTATTCATAAACAACGGGATGTGTTGAAATAGCTACTAGTGACTGGTTTTCAAATAAGGACCATCGTAATAGAATAGTAGCGCTAGTTTCTTTCATTAGTGCTCGGCACTGCATCAGCCTTAGGGCGGAACAATCTGGGGTTGTTGGGGTTGTTGGGGTCCGCTTTCCTTCCCACCTGCTAGTCCTACCTAGGTATCTGAGATGCTCTGCCAATCAGCGCATGACTCTTCGAGAAAGCCGCACTAACTTGATCCTGACGGGGGCCAGAAACAACCTTGACGATCATTTTTCCCTAATATAGATACTAGTGCGAAATTGCGGGGGTAACTAAGCCAGAAAAGAATATTAGAATGGGGGCCAGAAACATCGAACTTGCCGTGGTAGGAAAATTCAGTGTATTATTATCATTTAAGTGTAAATGAAGCTATTATTGGGCGCAGGGTAGGGAATACGCCAGGGTCCGCTTTTACGCCCGCCCACTAGTCCTATGTGGGTATCTGAGATGCTTCTGCCAATCAACGCATGGTGTCTGGAGAAAGTCGTCGTACTTGATCGTCGACTCGTCCCCCAAAGGCATGGGTCCGACTTAGAGGCGAGTGTAGTAGAAAACTAATAATAGGGCCTGGAGCAGTTTATAAAGGCGGAGTGTTCGCAGCGTAAAACTGTTGCTTTCCGGACCCATTAATCATTACTTCTTCGTCTCAGTGTGCATTTTGGGGCTATAAGAAGAATAATGAAGCTCGTTCTGTCAGCTGTTCTGCCCGCTTTTGCAGCCGCAGCGTTAGCTTCGCCTTCTGTCACAATTGATGCCGGCACCCTTCAGGGTGGACAGTGTGAAAATACACAAAATGCAGTCTACTACAAGGCAATTCCCTTTGCTGAGCCTCCTGTTGGGGAACTACGCTTCGAGCCTCCAAAGGCTTACAACAAACAATACCCTAATGGGAAACTTGACGCAACCACCGCACCTGCCTCCTGCATTCAGTTCGGAGCCGAGTTTGACGCGACAGGAGTTATAGATGAAGACTGGTAAGTCAAGTCATTGAAGCTTCTATTTCACAACGAATTCACCTTGTGCCAGTGAATTTGTCTAATAATTGATTTTTATCAGTCTCTACCTAGATGTTTGGACTCCATCTAACGCCACCAAAGACTCAAATCTTCCCGTCAAAGTTTGGATCTACGGCGGATCAGACACGTCTGGAGGAATCTCGAAAGGCCTATTCGATGGCTGCAACACTGCAGCAGATGGTTCGATTTTTGTCTCAATCAACTACAGAATTGGACCTCTAGGATTCATGGCACTCAACAGTGCCGGGATATATGGTAACCAGGGAATTCAAGATCTTCTTCTCGGGTTGGAGTGGGTCCAAGCCAACATCGCTGCTTTTGGCGGTGACCCGGTACGTGAAGACGCATATCAGTTACAAGCTAAATCAGTGAGGGCGGTGTTAATGATAACTTTCAAATACAGAAAAAGGTACTTCTGTTCGGCCAATCAGCCGGTGCTGAGGACGCATTTATTATCGCTTCTCTTCCTCAAGCACCGTCTGTTATCAGCAGTGTCATCATGGAATCGGGCGCAGGGAAAAAGCTCCTCTACAATTCGACAATTCAGGGTGTTGGTGCATCATATGCTCAAACACTCAAGTGCAGCTCTAATGACGTGAGTGCGGGATCACGATCTTCGCTGTAACTAAACGTTGACTTCTCTTTAGAAAGCTTGTCTACAGTCTAAGACTGTCTCCGACTTGAAGAAGGCGTACAACAGTGATGCCTTCCTGCAAGAGGGAATTGGAGCTGGTGGACCACTCGCTATCACCACCTCGGGGACACATACTTTCTATCCCTATGTGGATGGAAATGTCATCCCTGAGGAACCCTTGAGTCGCGGCGTACAAGTGCCGGCAGTCTTTGGATCCAGTATGTCAACATTATTCGTATCTCCCATTCTGAATACAGACCCACTAATTGGAATCTGAAGACAAAAACGAGGGTGCCATATATGCCGCTGCCACGGTCAAAAGTCTGACGGATGGCAAGAATTTGACGCCATCTCTGTACAAGAACTTCCTCCGTGATAACTTTGGTGGCGCCGCTGGACTTATTGAAAAATACTACCCTCTCTCTATGTTCGAAGCTTTCGCCGGCGGAGACACACACTTTGGTGTGCTCTATGCCATATCACAGGTCATAACCGACTCCGACTACAAGTGTGTCGCATACGAGGGGTTGGTGTCAGCTGCACGCAAGAATATCCCCGTTTGGACATACGAATATACACACAACAACACATGCCCATGGCTAGGCACTCTGAAACAGCTCCAAGGAAATGCGGAGGAAATGGCGCTAGTCGGTGCTACTCATACCGCCGAAATTCCGTTCGTCTTCGGTAACATGAACAACCAGCCTCTTCCCGGCGGGACTTGCAATGCCACAGAAGCCGAGGACAGCCTCAGCAAGCAGATGATGAGCTTGTGGACGGCAATGGCAGAAAATGCCGATCCGTCGACCGATGCTATCCAATGGCCACGATTCACTCTAGAAAAGAATGCGTCCAGTCCCGGATTGATCTTCGCAGATTCAACCCTGTCTGGCCAAGTCGATTACAAGAGTTGTCTACTGTGGGCCAAAGTTTTTGACCTCATTGAAGGAGGGAATGGTACCGCCACAGCCACAACCACGCCGAGCAGTGGCGGTATAAAACCAACGGCTTCGGCGACAACGGCCTCGACGTCAAGGGTCTCGGCGTCTAATACTCCCCCGGCCAATGGTGCAGCAACTACTATGCCTGCAACAGGGGGTCTCCTTGCCTTGGGTGCGCTATTGACGGTTATATTGGCATAGGTTCTAACATCAAAGTGTCTATGGAATTGTTTTGCCCATGTATTATTTTCAGAGAGAGAATGGATAGGTGGATTGCCCGTTGGACGGAAGAATTTAAAGATCTAGATACATATTATAATTTGGGAGGAATAGATGAGCCTTACTCTTACCTGCTCTGGTACTTGTATAATTGAATATCTGAGATAAGCCTTCTGAAATTTTCAGAGTAGGCAAAGTCAACGTAGTCATCCTGGAAATCCATAATATGCCTCCGGTAGATACTGCTTGCACTGAAATATAAACTAGAGGGATTGCTAATTAATCCAGCTACAAGGTTTATAGAGTTGGCGTACCTAGACAATATATATAAAAAAAAAACCGCATATGACATTCAATGACTAAAGGATTTGGGTACAGTAGTAAGCCAATGCCGTGCATATTAAAGAACTACTGCCATGACAAGGACGGCCTTCAGATCCTCAGAATTTCCAAGTTTTGGGAGAGGCTTCCTGCATTCAAAACCATTGGTTGCCCGAGGTCATTACAGCATGTGTTTAGCTTGCTGAGCAAACCAGGTGGGTTACGAGGACACTTTTATCTAGCTATCATGTCTGTATTTATAGTAGAAAAGCGGAAAGCATCTACGAAGTGCTTCGTAATAGCGGAATAAGCTTCAGGATGCGGCAGTTGGACGATTGGTGAATAATTAACCGGTGGATCATTACTCATGATCACCCAAATCACAAAGACCAAACTGGGGTTCGGGGGTGGGGGCCGTTGGGGGCCGTCAATTAAGGACGAAATCCTCGGCTGAAGTTGTTTGCTTTCAAGATCCCTTCAATTACTCTCCAGCGCCGCCTGGTCTGCAGAAGGCTGAAGGTTCATAATCCCTTTTCCCTTTTGACGGATCGGTATGTCTCCGCGAAGCGAGTCTCGCGGAAGAGTCTCCAGGAGTTGTGGGAACTGCCGGGCGATCAAGCGCCGTGTGAGTGCCGCTCTGTCATCTCGTCTGCTCGGTCACCGCTAATTTGGCTCAATCCCGCTGCAGTGCGACCGACAGTCTCCCAATTGTGGGCAGTGCATCCGACTAGGCGAGGATTGCCCTGGATACCGAGATGAATGGGATCTCGTCTTCCGCGACCAGACCGACCAGACCGTTAAGCGTTATAATGCGAAAAAGACGAAGAGCGCGACCAACGACTCCCCTCCGCCCACTGACAGCTTGAGTCCTAGCATAGACGAGATAGGCGTGAACTATTTCTTCTGCAATTTTGTCGTCGGTGGCCAGTCCTCTGCACGGGGATGCCTTAACTACATTCCTACTGTTTATCGCGCCGATAGCGAGCACCCGACGCTAGTGGCTAGCATGGCAGCCGTAGGCCTCGTGGCGTTGGCTAATTCGACTCAACAGCCCGAGCTGGCTAGCCGCGCGCGTGCCAAATACTCGGAGGCAATACGCAATGTAAACATTGCATTAGAATCCCCTACCGAGTCCGTTAAGGATAGCACCTTGATGTCGGTGATATCACTAGGGGTGTTCGAGCACGTCTCCGGATATGAGTCGTGGAGTCGACATGTCCAGGGCGCTGCAGCGCTAGTGGTTGCCCGTGGCAAGAGACAATTCTCTAGCCCCGTCGCAATTCGCATGTTTAACCAAGTGCGCGCAGACCTAGTGCTTGCCTGTGTCTATGGTGCGAAGCCGTTTCCGAAGGACATGCTGGAGCTACAGGAAGAGGCAGCGAAACACACCGACCCTTCTAGTTCATTTTGGCTCATGGGGGTGTTGAGTACTCGGTGCGCAAACCTGCTTATGAGTGTTAGAAAGAACAAGACTACCGGGGAAACCCCTTGGTCTACATTGTTGGACGAAGCGAGTGTGATTGAACGTGACTTTCAATACATCCTCGAGGTCCTGGCCGTACAAGAACCGTATACAACCATGCGAGAGTCAGGTGGAGACCCGAACATGATTTACAATGGTCGATTTGACCTCTATAGAGACTTCTGGGCGATCAGACTCTGGAACAACCTGCGCAATCTTCGAATGATTGTCTGTGAGATTTCGTGCTACCTCTTGAACAAATTTCTCGCTACGGATCTAGCACCAGCTGTCCGAGAGCATATGGAACTGAAGCTCCAAATGACCGAAGAGACACTATCCATGCTGGCCCACGATATCCTAGCCACCGTCCCACAAGCTTCAGAATACCTGTCCTCGGCCTCTGGATCCCGCTCTTCCGCCGGTCTCCCCTTCCAAGGCAGCGTGCCGGGCGGGTATATGTTGACCTGGGGTCTCTACATGGTAGGGAAATGCCCGATTACGACAAGTGAAACCCGAAAGTGGGTCATCCAACGCCTCCAGAATATTGGCAGGGACACTGGCATCTCAATCGCGCTGCGGCTGGTCGAGCATATAGTAAAGATAGATCAATGGGCCGGCTGAGAATCACTGATCCAATGCTCGGGTCCTAATGTGTCAGATCAGCCCGTACTATTCTATCAAGATCCAGTCCAATAAGAGAATACCCCCTTTCAATTTTCAAGTATTACGAAGTACCAGATTTATTTACTGGGAAATACGGTTTATCAACGCAGAGATTCTCCTTAATTTCGTGGATTCTCAATTCTAACAATCGTCTTCCGCATCGCAATACCATTCCACAATCAACCGACTTCCACATCAGGGGACAGCACATCCCCAGTCCACATTTTTCAAGTTTTGGTTAACAGTGGTAAAGGGGGTCGTGGCTGGTTTCTTTACGGGTTTGAGGATTGTATATTTTTACTTGTGGCCAGAAGACAACTGTGGGTCCTTGGATAAGATTGAATCTGAGAGGCATTATTTGGCATTTTACAATAGAGAGAAAACACAAATCACTAGCAAAGAGTGCTGTATTTTGGTCGATGAGGAAGAAGTGTATACAATTCCAGACTAAACCCGTTTCGGATTAGCCTCCCCGGTCTTCTGTGACTCCTGTTGGAGATTCTTCCACCACAGCACAGCACAAACAAAACCATGGCCTCTCCTTCGACAATGCCCTCCAAACAACTACTATCGACTCTATTCAGCTCTCTCGGCAACTCACGCTGGACCCTGACCCGCACCCTCCGTAGCGACAACCCTCTCGATCTAAACGGCGAGCTCCGCGGCACGGCCAGCTTCACCTTTCTGCCGCCAACGGCAACCTCGCCACACCGCGACTGGCTATACTGCGAAGAAGGCGAGATCCCATCCACAGCCTCCGGCGCAGGTATTGCCCAGGCAGGTCTACGGTGGACCAAGAAATATATCTGGCGGCTAGGCGCGGAGACAGGCCGGATAAGCGTGTGGTTCGTGAAAGTAGCGCCGGGCCCAGAGGAAGCGGACTATCTGTTTCATGACTTTGATTTCTCGCTGAGCCAGCCGGCTGGCCAGGAGACAGCCGAATTTGTCGCCCCACCTGCGCCTCCGCCTGTTATTGCAGAATGTGAAGATACTGTCCTCGCGGCGCGCGGAAACCACTTGTGCATTAATGATATGTACCGCACCGCGTATGCCTTTCGTGTTCGGCCGGAGACGGGCGAGGTGCTAAGCTGGGCAAGCCGGCATGTCGTTCGGGGTCCGAAGAAGGACCAAGAGATTGTCAATCGGTACGAGCGGAGCGATTTTCTACGTTGAAGATGGCATGCGCACTTGCACTTTGCATATACTATCATATACACATGATACCTATATTCACATCCCTCGTCTCGATCCGCCCGCGCCAGCTCACATGGTATATATAAAGTCTGGCCGCTTGTCACCCAGCAGCTCGATCTGGCTACGATCCAGACCTTCGATCCAGTGGTCGCGCTCACCGTTGCGACGCTTGCGGTTCTCACGCTGCAGCAGGATATACTGCACCACGGAGCCGCCAAACAGAAACAAGACCAAATAGCTCAACACCGTTCCGTGGCCGGGATAGTAGTTGGGTGCGTCTTGATCGCGGTAAATGTTGGACGACACGATGCCATTCAGGTTTCCCCAGCTAAAAATTCCGAATAAGCACAGAGCTCTCATTAGAAATGAAGATTGACTCACCCAATGATGATTCCCAGCGAGACACCGCGTTTGTAGACACCTAATAGAAAACGAGGTCAACCACGCCCACGGAAACAACCGCTCCGCTCTACTTACCTTCTATGTTGTTCGAAGACCACGATATAGTGTTAGCGATGCACGGGTAGATACCCATGGCACCCAGGAAGGTTCCTGCATAGCGCACTCCCGCAGTTTTGGCGCCAAGAAGCATGGCAAACCCCGTCATGCCCAGGAAGGAAACGCAAATGTTGCAGAGTCCACGTTGGCGCGTGCGGTCAGCAATAAAGCCGACAGTTACAGTCAAGATAGCCGCCGCTGCGTAGGGCGGCACACTCAGCAACTGGGCGGTGATAGATTTGTAGCCTGCGAAAGCTATGTTAGTAGATAGTCGGCCTATGTCAAGAAGCCACAATACCCTGGACGAGACTCGTTAGTGCCTGTATATCTCGCCTGGTTTGGCTTCTTTCACTTACTAGTTCTTTGATGATACTCGGAATAAAGAGCGAGAAGGCGTATAGCGAGCCATCCGCGCCCATGTAGATAATAGCGCCTGTATAGGTCTTCCAATCCTTCACACTAGCCCAGAAGTAGGACATCTTGAACTGCTCATGCTCCGCGCTAGACTGCTGGTCGAGAGCCAAGCGACGCAAAACACGCGCGCGGTCGGCATCGGACAGGAACCTGGCCTGGTCGGGGAAGTCGTATACCATCCAGAAGGAAATAATTCCAATCAACACAGTCGCCGCCCCCTCCAAGATAAAGATCCAGGCCCAACCTGCCCTGCCGCCGACACCGTCCATCTTGGAAATGGCTGCGGCCAGGAGACCACCGAAAGAGCCGGCCAGCGCGGCAGCGGAGAAGAAAATGGCCATACGCACTCCAAACTCCGAGCGCTTATACCAACACGATAAGAAGTAGCCGACGCCGGGAAATAGGCCCGCTTCTGCCAGGCCGAGGAACCAGCGCACGGCCAGGAGACCCGAGTAGTTCTTGACAACGCCCATGCAGGCCATGCAAACTCCCTAGAGGATAAGGGTTAGGCTGACGGTCAGGCGTAAGACAGCTGTTGCACACCACATACCCAGCAGATCATGATGATCGGAATAAAGATACTCGGCCGCAGACGCTTGAGTAAGACGTTGGTCAACGGCTCGAAGACCGAGTATGACACAAAAAAGACGGTGAGTGTGGCATTATATTGATTACCCGTCATGCCTAGGTCGTCCGTAAGACCGACGAGCTTTGCATTGCCGATGTTGGTCCGGTCGAGAAAGGAGGCAAGATAGAGCAGGCTGAGCCAGGGCACGAGGCGGAGATCGAGCTTCCACAGCAGCTTGCGATCCTAGAAATCGAGTCAATAAACCCAGCAATAACCATTAATAGTGAGTATGCATACAATCTTGGCCCTCTCCTCATCGCTCAGACCGGCGTCCGGATCCTCCAAAACAGTCAGGAGCTTCTCCGGGCCCTTTGCGGGCAGCGCGGCCTCGGCATCCTTCTCCGCGGCATCGTGCCGCGGCACCTCGTCAACGGCGGCCTTCTCGTCAGTCGCGCTCATGGTGCAAGGGAGTCAGCGTGCGGACAAGGATGTAATAATGGTGCGTGGCACGCTTAACAGGAATTCTCCGCAGACGCAGGACAGAGAGGGGGAACCGCGCAGCTTATAAATTGGCCTGCAGAGATGCGGAGGCATTATTGGCGCATTATTGCTTTGTCTGCCCAATCAGTCGTTCCCGGTTCGGGGAACTGGGCGAACAGGAGCTTGGCGACCGATGATCATCCCTGTGCTCGGTATAGTTGCGGTGCGGAGAAGCTTGATCGGCGGGACGAGAGGCACTATGGGAGTGCCGAACAGTGGCCGTTGTCGTCATAGCTTAGAACCCTAAATAAATAGGGGATCGGGGTGGTGAATTTGACGGACTAGCATGATCAAGATACATAGTTTAATATGCGGGCCATATAGAGAATCGGGGTGGTGGACTAGGAGGACTAGCATGATCAAGATACATAGTATGATTCGCGGTCTACTGGATGATAAGAACCATGCCCACCTTCAAATCACGGCGAATAAAAAGACCCCTTTCAGTTCCATTCCCATTCCCTCGGTTCGATCCGCAGACCCAAGTATCACATCGCGCAAGGGTCGGGCGCAAAAATGACGCCGCAGCCCTCCAGACTCGAGTGTGCGGCCAGGATCTCGCGCGCCCGCATCGCCATCTTGATCGAGTTGAAGTGGGCGCGGATCTCATTGCCGGCTGACGGATTCTCGCCAAAGTTCTCCACGTATAGGCGACAGGGCGAGGTGGACAAGATGCGATAGATATTCTGCACCACCCCGGGGCGCACTCGATTGACAGCCAGGCATCGGGTACGACCGTTCTTGACAGAAATGTCCATCTCCGGTGCGAGTGGGTAGGTCGGCGTGAGCACCGGGCACACCCAAGCGTGATGGAAACCGACGTAGAAGTCATCTTGGGCCACTCGCTGCAGAAAGGCGAGAGCACCCTCCTGTCGGACAAAGGTTACCAGCGCGGTCTGGGTCCCAGTGAGGACATTTGTATCGCACAGGATCGCTGAGTAGATTGCTCCTCCACGGATGCTGAGGAGAATCTGACCCAAGTTCGCGTGTGGAGGGAGATTCTCAATGACCACGCTGCGGTAGATCTCGTCGTCGTGCCGGCCGGGAATGTAGCGGAGACCGTGTTGGAAGAACGACGTTCGCAGAACTGGAGCGCGACTGAGGATGTTTTTCTCGTTACGAGCGGCTTTCAGCTCCTGGTCAAGATTGTCAAAGACGCTGCTGCCCATCGCCCATCGCGGTTCGTTGCTGAACGAAACAGGCTCCTCCATAGCGCTGGCCTGGCTCTTCATGGGCATGGTCGGAGAGGTGCACATCTCGAGAGGGGATCTCTGTTTTGAGTCGAGAAAATGTCAGAACCGGGCGGTTGACCACAAAACATTGAAATCTTGTACGCACCGGCTGGATTTTGTAGCTCGCGCTACCCGTGTTGTTGATGGCGGTGCGGTTCTGGGCAAGGTGACTGCAGAGTGTTAGTGGCCTACGGCGGACCGTGGTGGAGGCAAAGCACAAAGGAAGCCTACCTCTCAGGCTGCAACGTAGGAACACCAATCTGGTCCAGAGACAGGTCGAGCAAGCTCGGACCCTCGAACTCAACCGGGTACGCTTTGGGGTCATCCATTGCAAGCACCTTCGGTTCCGGGAGGACCTGGGAACTGACACCACGGGGAGAGTGAAAGAGATGGAACTGGAACTGGACCAGACGAAGCAAAAACAGCAGGAGCAGCCACGTAAGGGCGGCCACCACACTGCTCAACACGACAGGAGCGATGCTGTCGGCATACGCCAAAGATCCCATGTTGTGAGACACAGTGTGAGTCCTAAATAGGGGAGATGGTGAGAGAGAACCGAGAGCTAGCTGACAGCTGAAATGGATAGACTATAGATGTCCAAGTAGGACGCTTGAGGCTGGTCAATGATGAAGTCTGGTCTCCCGTTGATGACCCAGCGAGGAATATCCAGGGACGAACACCAAGCTACTGGCTCAGGTAGAACACAGAGTACTGATGGTGGGAGGATGAGTATTAAGAAGTGTCATTGATACAGCTTAAATCTACATCTATGAAGAGTCAGTTCTGAAGCTGACGCGGAAGTGCAGGCATGCATGCATACCTATACAAAAGATATAAAAAGCCTGCCAACAGCACTTGCAAGACTACCCCAGAAACTGGCCCTCGGCCAAGGCAACCCACGGGAGTTTCTCTTTCCAGCACCGCTGCATCAGCTGCCGGGCATCTTGGATCTTCTCAAAGTCAATATCGTCGGAACGGAGAAATGAACACATGGGAGAAACGCTCACCTGCTTCAAGCCGGACTTTTCCAGGACCATGAACCGATCCAGCAGCTTGGTCCGCTGTGTAAAGTCTTGGGATTCGCAGCCGGCCGTGAAGATGGGTAGCAGCGAGCAGACCTCAGTCGACGCACCAGGCCGCATCCGTCCCAGGGCAATGACCAGTTTGCGCAGTGCGTCCTTCACCGCGAAGGAATCAGGCGGAGACCCCAACACCCGCCGATGGAGATGCAGCAGCCCCGCGCAACGGAATGCTTCCTGTGTCGCCATCATTTCCAGAGCCTCGACGCCGAGGTGATGGTCCGGGTTGTCGTGGGCGCGCTCACTGAGATCATCAATGTCGCCAAGTACCGCCTGGGCCTCCATAACGATATCTGCGGACGGGTGCCAGTTGCGACTAAAGTTGCCCATCTCGTCGAAGCGCTGATTATCGCATTGCTGAACCAGTTGTGCCAGACGAAGCAGGAAAACGCCAGTCCGCGGGGTGAACCCTGTGAAACAGTCGACTTGGAACTCGTCATATTTATCGGGGGAACAGCATGTCCGTAGGACTGACTGATACAGCATCAGAGGAGGGCCGGCCTGACGGCACGACAGGGCTCCCATTGTGTCGATGTAGCCCAGCCAGCGAGCAAAGAACGCCCCAATCCGATTTCCTGGGCGTGCAATCCGTTCGCTCCGTGCTAGAAACAGGCCACGAGCGAGTTTCAGATGGCTCTGCCATGTGATGGGGACTTCAAATGTCCCAGGAGACACGATTTTCAGGGACACGAGCATGATGGCCGTGGCTAGGTGGCTGTCTGTTATGTCCTCATTGGATACCTCCAATGCCATACGCAGAGATGGAAAGACGTCGCTGACCCAGTGTGCAATACGATTCGCAGGATCTGGATGACCCAAATACCGAGCACGATGGCTAGCCGAGTACGCCAGCAGCAGGTTCAGGAGGTTTGGGTCGCCAATTGCCACTGCTAGGTTGGCATCGGACAAAACGAAGAGAAAATGGGGAACTTACTTGACGGTAGCACCGACATGAAGGGATTGTCTTCGCAATCGTGCGGCACCAGCATCCTAGATGTGTGGTTGATGAAGTGGTGAAAGTACATCAAGTTGATGGGATTATCCAACAAGGTCGAGGGAAGCGGTGACAGATATCTCGGAATATTGACGGGCACGGGCGAGGCATAGTAGCCGGAACAATCAGGATTGTGCGAGAAAGGTTGAGGTGATGATACAGGGTCATCATTTCGCCAGCGAGAGCTGATCAGATCCAGGGCATTGTTGATGTCAATGGCCGCATGATCATTGTTAAACGACAAGTCCCGGTCCGGGCGTCCAGAATCCAGGCCGTAGTTATCCGTTACACTGGTCAGATATGCCTTCCATTTGTTCTGGGCAGCCGATGAATTATCTGCGGCTTGATCATTTCTCGAAGGGGCTCGGGAGCCATGAATAGACCCTCGATGTCGATCATAAGATGATGCGAGAATGGTGGGAGTTAACCCGTGCGTGGAAGGCGAGGCGGAACTGGTTTCCGGCATCGAAATGCCATGGGGGCTCGACAGCAAGGAAGCCAGCTCACCGGCGGCTGGGGAGTTTTGAGACGTGCCATCTCGCTCTGGTAAGTGAAAGCCAGTATCATGTTCAAGGTCCGGGATCTGAACCTCTCCGCCGAATTGGTTACCGTTGTTCTGGAATGTCGGTGACGCGGATGCGTGGTTAGACTCATCCAAGGAGCCACGAAGAAAAGACACTGGCTGCGATACCGAGGATTGTTGTAGATTGAACACGGAGAACGATCTGAGGTTGGAACCTTGGTCTGCTGGGGCCGTACAGGAGATGTTATCGAACGTATGTTGGCCAAAGGGATAATGTGACAACGGTTCTGAGGAAGTAGACGTTGTCAATGGTGAGGATTGCTCCGCCCAGGTGGTGAACTGAAGCTCCAGTTGCGATGGCGAAGTCACATCAGATCCCGAGGGAGGCTTGGGGGATTCGAAGATACCCCCGGAAGCGGTGGTGCCGGGAGAAATTGCCCCGGGGGAAGCAAAGGTCAACAGCTGGCCACCATCCGAAGGGATACTGGTCGCCGAGGTTGGTAATTGAGCCGAACTAGTCGTATTGAAGGTGACGGGCTCGGAGAAGCTGATGACGCTACCCCCATGTCCGCTAGACTGGGAATTGGGGGAGTCGACGGACGGCCGCTTCGCCCGGCCACCCCAGTTCAGTCGAACACTATAATCACAATCTTCTCCTTGCCGCTGACAGTTGAGACAAGAGGGTTTTTCCTCGCCACTGCATGACACTGTGAGCTTATAACGCGGGATGGCTTGTAACGGTATCTTACCATTTGACTTTTCGTGCCTTGCATGGCCTATCATCGGGTGAGTTTCAAGGGTCCCCCGACAACGTGGAGGTTAACTTACCAGCATCCTTTGCGGCTTCGGCGCTTCGGCTCCGGCGCACCAGGCCTTCTAGGGCGAGGCATGTCACCTCAACGAATCGGGTGGAGTGCCGAGCTCAATCGAGAGCACGCGATTTTTGAACAGAAAAGAGGGTCCCGGTGCGCTAAGCACCTGCCCGTTGGCTGTCACACCGGGTAATAGACTCGCTTTCTGCGTCTTGACCCGTGTTGGCCCCAGGTACCGATGAAACGATAATCGACAAGACACCCACACCTAGTATACAAGCACATCGAGGTGTGGGAGGGAGATGTGCCGGGACAGACGGGGAGGCTTGCTGGAGAGGGACAGCAATGGCTCAGAGCTCGATGTCTCTTTGTATTTTTTTTCAGATAGTTACGCGCCAACCCTAGGCCAAGACAAATGATGATGATCTCTGGAAAAGCGGATGAAGGTCACCGGCTAGTGACGCACTAATCAGATTCGGTGGTCCACCAACACAGCAGTCGCACAGTCGTATGCAGAGCCTCGACAAAAGTCGGATGCAGTTTCTGGAAGAAGTTGAGAGCATGAAAAAAGTGTGGGGAAATAAGACAAGAGGTTGCCAGCTTCGCAGACCGGCCGGCCTTCCGTTGGTATCCCGCGGTGTTGCTTCGGCCATTGGGGCCAATGATCGTGAAGGCCTTATCAGTGGTGTGAGCATCACATGATCTGGCGTGCTGAGGTAATGGTGCTCGGTCACTATCGATGGAAGTTTTATCCGGAGGCTCGCGGGCACGCCCAGGTGAGTCCAGGATGGTGTGAGGAATACAGGGGGAGCGCAGGCCAGGATGGAGGCCAAGGCCTCCCCATGGTGAACATTCATCTCTTGATTCTACAGTTCCAGACCAACAATCAAAACTGGAGGGAAGGAAAGTAGTCGTATATACTCCTCTTCCATCTTGAAGAGCCCCTAGACACCTCTCAAACATCTGATAAGAGAAGGTTTCTCACTATGCCTCGGTCCACCGTTCAAAGAGAGGTTTGGGGGAAGGCGGTTGGTTTTAGCTAGTCACTGAAAGAAGGGGCGAGAAGGGACACCTTAGGCAGCAACCATCAAATCCTTGGCGTCCTTGTTTCCTTGTTGGTCCGGTGGAGCCGACCTTCTTGCTGACGCCATTGCCTCAGTTGTCGTTCCTGAAGACCCTGTTCCATTCTTCACACCTGTGTACAATAATGGCCGCCGAAATCCCCCAACGGCTGGTACAGCATCACCCGCTCCAGCGCTGGCCCAGTCCGTCCCGGGGCTTGTCCGCCCTGGTTCATGTAAGGACTCCCATGGTCGGTCTGTTTACGGATATCGGAAACTGACGGCAACTCGCACTACAGCTGGCAGGACTCTCAAGTTTCCTCTGGTCGTTCAAATGGTAAGCCCTATTCCTTCCATGCTCGCAAACGATACTGAATTTCCTGGCAGGATGCATGAGAATCCCAATCAGGCGTGAGTGATACTATATCCTGCCCGCCTGCTTGTCTGATGGTCGTCTGACTCTCACAATAGCAACCAAGCATACGGCTGGCACTTTCAGTACCTCACCGTCATCGGTCTGTCCCTATCTACGGTGACTTTTGCTGTGGCCCTGCTGGCGGACATCACGCTGTCTCGGCGCCTGTTCTTAATCAAAAACATCCTGTCTGTGTGTAGTGCTCCGATGGAGATTCTGATCAGTGTGCTGTACTGGGGTCTTCGTTCGGTAGGTTTGCCAGTCACAAATATTTTAGTGTCACGCTCATCGCAATCTTCAGATTGACAAGCGCTTGGTAATTCCGGAATGGGTCTTTCTACCCATGCATGCCGGTACGTCTTCTCCCTTTCGGGATGTACATCCTACTTATTGCTACATACAGATATCAGTTTCCACGCTGTCCCATCAGTGGTGATGCTGATTGACCTTTTGTTCCTTTCTCCACCGTGGACCATCACCGTCTTCCCCGCCCTCGGGCTGTCTGGAGCCATTGCCTTTGGCTACTGGTTCTGGGTCGAGCAGTGCTTCGAGAACAACGGATGGTGTGTCAGGTACTTCCATTGAATCTGATCCATTAGCTAACTTGCCTAGGTATCCCTATCCCATCTTTGAGCAGCTGCCCACGCCCGGCCGGATTGGCCTTTTCTCCATGAGCGCGATCATGATGGCGCTGAGCACGAGCACACTCAAGTGGTTGCATGGTCGTGTGAACGGCTTTGGAACGTCTGTCCCAGCGCAGTCTTTCTCTGGCAATATCAAGAAGGAAACCATTTAGATGTCCACCTTTCCTATGGAAATATTCTGTCGAGGAATTGGCCTCTAGATCTACGCACATCTTTTGGTGGACAAAGAAGGCGCAGACATATGAAAACAGACCAGCGTGCGGCATTTTCACGAAACGTTTCGGGAAGATAGGGCTTTACATTTTGTTTAGTACATACGCAGTTAAATATTTACTTGGATAGCAATAGAAAAACCCTCTTGTCTCTCAAAATTGCCAACGAAATCAGCCGATGGACCATGCTGCTTACCTAATCCATTTGCAGCTTTTCCCCGAACTCTGTCTCAATCTCGCTCTGCACGCCTTGACTACTCCTTCACCCCAATCCTCCGTCAAGATGCACCTCAAACCCATTATCCTTTCTGTTCCGTCCAGCATGCTCGGCAGTCGGCTCAGCTCCGCCGCGTCGGGCTCGCTCGCCTGCCCTCTCCGGTCGTTATCCAAGCAGCCTGTACGATCAGCTCACACCATGTCTACACAACTCAGCACAAAGACAATAATCCGGCCATCTGCATGCTCTGCCCTGCAGCAGGTCTCTCAGCCGAGGCCCCGTACTACCCCGTCCCCCCTCACCCGACACGTTGGCCTTCGTGCGCAATCGACGTCCGCCCCGGGAACCGAACAAGTGAAGCTGGACTGGGACTCGTTCTTCAAGCTCCGGGCATCTCGCCGCCGATACTCGCTGGCTTCATCAATTGCAACCTCCCTCGCCAGCACCGCAGTCGGCGTGCAGGTGCTGTCAGCACAGGATCTGGAATCTCTCGGCGCACAGGTGATGGGCCTGGACCCCTTCGTGGTCTTGGGTCTGGCGACAGCAGCATGCGGTGCTGTGGGGTGGCTGGCTGGTCCATTTGTCGGCAATGCAGCCTGGGGGCTGGTATACCGACGGTACAAGCCATCTGTTGCGGTGGTGAGTTGACTAGCCCTGACACCCATAACCTGCCTGAGAGAAAACAGCTAACAACGAATCTTCTCTGCATTTAGAAAGAAAAGGAGTTCTTCGACCGCATCCGCCGGTATCGCGTGGATCCGTCGACTAACTCGATCGCCAACCCCGTGCCGGACTACTACGGCGAGAAGATCGGCAGCGTGCAAGGATACCGACAGTGGCTCAAGGACCAGCGGGCCTACAACCGGAAGCGTCGTAACTTCATTAAGTGATTGGTTTCTCTTTCTGGTGTACATTGTGATACGGCCGAGTCGTGTTGGGTAGCTAGCGGTCCTCACCAAACTGGTACTTTTTTCTTTTGTTCGGATGGTGTTTTTTATTTCAGTCATTGTCATTAGCGGTGCAAATTGTCTTTGAGGCATTGCAATCTATGGATAATATAAATCCGTGTTAGGCTGTAGCAGTCCACGCCACAATATGTTTAGCGAGTTTGATAATCGTTTCCGTAGGAAGGACTCTGAATATATATCTAAGCTCTAACTCTTATGTTTTCTAGAAATACCGGCACTTGATCTCATTTAACTCAAGTACATTTCGGAATGCTCCAAATTTCAGACTCGTATATTGACAAGCTTGTTGATGCCCAAGCACCTATTGAAGAAGTAACCAACTATTTCTAAATCTTCGCTTTGGGATTCCGTCCAGTATCAACATCGGTCCACCAAGGAAAGTTTGGTGGCGGGTTGTCGTCCAAGTTCGCCCGGAAGCTGGGCTTGCGTTTTTCAAAGAATGAAGCCACGCCTTCCTTCTGGTCACTATGATATAGTTAGTATATGCTATTGACCTGCTGGAAAAGGCGACATACGCAGAGCCAAATGTGTGAAAGATCATTTTGGATTCCACCAAATGAGCACTCTCTGCCGACCCAGTGTCGCGCCACAACAGGGCACGATTGAGATACTGTGAAGTCGGGCTAACATTATCGGCAATCTCACTCGCCAGCTCTAGCGCACGTGGAAGAACCTGAGATGGGTCTGGCAAGACCTCGTTGAAGAGATCCCCGAAGTGTTTGGAGTTTGGCGGGAAGACGCCGCCTGTGCTGACGAGATAGCTGGCGTTGGAATGACCGATCAGTCGGGGCAAGAAGTATGATGAGCAGGATTCCATCACGATACCGCGGCGGCCGAATACGAAGCCGTATTTGCCCTTTTCATAAGCGATACTACATCCGATATCAGTATTTGCCTATGCAAGTAAAGAAGACTATCAGTGCCCACCGGATGATTGCAGGAAGAGTCATTGTCATGCCAACTCCCACGGCTGAGCCTTGCATGGCCGCAATGGTCGGTTTCCGGCATCGGTGGACGGCCAAGGCCAGACGACCACCCCTAGTGCAAGAGTTAGATTTGTTTGACAGGAGATGCAGAATCAGTTTACCCATCACGATGCTCAGCAACGTTCTCCTTCTGCCTGCTAAATCCAATATCCAGGTCCGCACCAGCACAGAACGTCCTCCCAGCGCCTGTCAAGACAATGACCTTGACACGCTCATCGACATCGAACATGGGGTAGAGCTTCTCGAAGTCTTGCATCATTTGTCCGGTAAATGCATTGTGCTTTTCCGGGCGGTTGAGAGTGACAACAATGACAGGCGTCACGCTCGGGGCACCGGCCGGATGGTGCGAGACAGTGACATGGCCTGTTGTGGACACTTTCTCATACGAAGAAGGGAGCTCAATTGGGCTCGGCTCGAAGATCATGGTGAATTATGGAGTCGGTATGATAGTTTACACCTTGGGGGATCCTGGCTTTTATCATATCTCGGTTAGACCATGCTGACCCCGGGATTGCTGATCATAGCTGTCAATCCGAACGCAACCTCGGCTGGTCGGTGGAGACGATCGCCAACCCCGCAGTTCTGCATTATTAACTGTTGCTTCTATACAATTTCGAGTTCTAGTATTATTGGCAGCGAAGAGCAGTTAAATTAAGCAATATCCCTGATAACTGAGAGCTGATTTACATAAATTGAATTTGTTTGCAGAATTGAAACCAAGAGCCGTTCTAATAGAACCTGAATAGATCGACGACGCAGAAATTCATACGTGAAAATAACACGTCTCCCAATTATAGAGTAATAAAGTCCACTGAAGAGATAAGGATGAAGCTCTAATGCGTCAAAGGGGATCCCGATTGTTCCGGCGAAAAGACTGCATAATGCGGTGGAGCCTGGGCGGCAGCAGATGTTCAACGCGCTCTTACTACGTTGATGGCTGAGTCGCTGAGAGCAGTGTGTACATATGATCAAGGGAGCTATTAAGATCTATGGCCTCTCATCGCCCGCTTTATATGCGCCAATGCATCTCTAATCAACTTCTTCATGCGTTCATATGAGCAAGCGACCTCAGCACGTCTTAGATCCCGCGCCCAACGATCCCATCTCTCGCGTTCAAACCCCTTGCTGCCGTCTCTCCTCGTTTCAATGTACTGTGGAAACACGCGGCCATTCACGACATTAGCCCACAATCGATCGGCGGCTTGAATAAACCACTGGCAAGCGGCTTCCATTGTTGCCGTATGAGCCAGCATCTCGGGAGAGTGTTCCAAATTCTCAAATGCCATTTCAAACACCCAAGTCGCGCGAAGCGACTTATCCAGTGGATGAAAGCAGGGTGTCTCCCCTGGAGACTCATAGTGGACATCAGCGGCCTGGGTAAGCTGCGCGAGAAATGCGTTCAGCTTAACCCATCGCTCACGTTGCTCTGGATCAAAGTCGGGGTTACAAGGATCTAGAATTTCCCAGTAAGCTGTCTGAACACGAAGCTAATTTTGATCATACCTTGGTGATCGCCCCCATACTCATACCATCCCTCTAGTTCAGTATATCCAAACGATGGTAGATCAGTCCAAAGAATATCTTTGTCAGATTTGAGTGCTTCACCCGTGCCAGGGTCTATGGCTGTCTCTTTCTGCAGTTTCGACATGAACTCGACCAGTGTGCCATGCTGACCGGGCACGAGTCGCTGAGCTAGCTCCATCACTGACAACGAGACGTTGTAGTCGACCAATCCGACACCATCCCGCGAAGTTGGACCGTGAGCTACAAGGGCTGCCATTGTCTTGTCCTTAATGCATTGCACAGCATCGTCGGCTGTGACATTGTTCTGGGCGACCAGGTTGATGTCCTTGTACTCTTCATAGCCCTCAATTTGCCTGATGAAGGCGCGCCGCCGCTCAAGGAATCCCTCTCTGCGTTGTAGCAAGCCGCGATCTTGCCCGCTCAACTTTGTTTTCATTTTTGGATCATTGATGGTGTGTAAGAACCACTATCACTGGTTTTAGCCTTGCCCCGCACACACCTTAGATCGGCGGCTTACGTCAATTAGGAGACAGAATTGTGAACAATTGTACGAAGCAGCTACGCACGAGGCACAGTACTTAATAGTTCATCACTCAATCAGCAGCTTGTCAATGATATGTCACGTCGGTGTACTATGAGTAGTAAACAGCCAGAATATACGAGCTACTCCTGATTAGAGCAACATTAGTTGCCAAATATCTCGAATTACCGAACTTAGGAGCTTGCCAAAAGGATTCCTTAACCCAAGGAATGACTACTGTAGTATATAATAATGATGAACGTAATCGGTAAGTTAGTCGCCTACCTAACCAAATACTACTGTTTCAAATCGATTTATTAGATCACCAGCGCCGCTAATTCAATTTCCTATCTATCAAACCTTTTGGGGAAATGCGTTCTTTTATGCCCAACTTGATTGCAGTCGCTGCATCGTGGGGGAGCGCGTCTGATTGACTGCGAAGCTGACGAAGCTGGTTCCGCCGGGGGGGGGGGGGGTTCGGAGCTTCTATACCCTGATTTGAGCTATGAAATGCCTCCCTAGCTTCCGGATTCGATAATTCCTCTGGTTAAGCAATGTGCTTCGTAGGTTTCTTGCGCTTTTGTTTTCGTATTTCATTTGCAGCGCGCAAATCGCGATATTCCTCCGCAAGAATTGCTGCTTGATAAGCTTATCTATGGCTCTATCAAGAGTGTCAGAGGGGCCTCGTGAATGGCGACTAAGCATAGATTTGATCTATTAAGCTTGTCGATTCAATTGCTCAAAATCTGCTGGCGTTGGAGGGCTGTATGCGCTTGATTGACGAGGTGTAGGGGTAGATGTCCGAAGCTGACCATCAGGCTTTGAAATGACTCGACTGGGTTCGTGTAGGACTAAACCAGCTGCAGCGAAAGCAACGCTGTGGTAGCATGCTCATGCTTACGATAGTGAGTAGATCCCTAAGGTTCCTCTCTCAGTTATATCGCCAATTGCTTCATCATTTTCATAAATTTTAGCTTTCTCTCGCTCTCTATATGTATATACAGACCTTGCTGGATATCGTGCCGCCTATCCATTCCGAAAGAGTACCCTACTGAAACTCGAGGAGCAAATCAGCGAGATACGTGAAAACATGTCCTTTGCACTAGATGTGCTACAGCTCAAAAGCCACAATCAGACCCAAGAGGGCATATTGGAAGTCAAATCGCTTGTCGAGCGAATAAGAGCCAGTCATCTCTCTGTCACAATTCGTGACTGGCTTCTGCCACCAGATGCATCTCTTAATCATAACGTTGCATGTGCGAAACGTCATCAAAGTACAGGGCTATGGTTCGTCAACGGCCATCACTTTGCGAATTGGCTGGTAGAACGCAATTCCTTCCTCTGGTTGAATGGCTTTGCAGGTTGTGGCAAGTCGGTCCTCTGCTCAACTGCAATCCAGCATACATTTCGTGAGATGAAGGACAGGCGTGAAGTAGGGATCGCGTTCTTTTACTTTTCATTCAACGATGAGTCAAAGCAAGATGATAACGGGATGTTACGCGCATTGCTATGGCAACTATCAGGGCAGCTCCAAGATGGCGAAAGGGACTTAGAGCAACTCTATACATTGTATAAGTCAGGTACTCCTCCAGTGGAGGTGCTACTCGACTTTCTTCAACGCTTCCTAGCCCGATTCCGCGACAGTTATATTTTACTCGATGCACTAGACGAAAGCCCCCGCGACCACAATAGAGAAGGAGTTCTAAGAGCGATACAGATAATACGCAGTTGGTCCTTACCTAGTGTCCATCTTTTGACAACGAGTCGTACCGAACTTGATATCCGTGCATCCTTGGATCCTTCTTGCGATCAAGATATTTCTCTGAGGAATTCGGAAATTGATACAGACATAGAAAACTTTGTCTCTCATCAGCTCTATAACGATCCAAAAATCGAGAGGTGGAAAGCGCGTCACGGGGAAATTCAAACACAATTGACAGCAGGTGCACAGGGAGTGTAAGTACTCAACACTGAAAAATAGTGTCCACTAGTTTGACTGAAATCGCATGCAGATTCAGATACGTTGAATGTCAGTTCAATGCCCTTAGGCGGGCACGAAACCGGAACCAGCTTGATGAATGCCTCCGTACATTGCCCCGCGATCTCGATGAGACATACGAGCGAATCTTGTGTAATATCAGCGAAGAATACGTGGAGGACGTGCGTCGGGTTTTGACTGTCCTCTGCACCTCTACTCGACCGCTCACAGTAAATGAGCTAATCGACGCCCACGCTATTGATCTTAGCGAGCCGCCGCATCTTGATCGTGATGGTCGATCGTACGAGCAAGATGATCTTGTTGACATTTGCCTCGGTCTTATCGAGATTGCAGCCACGGAAGATGATAATAGCCAAGACAAGTTGACTGCCCGCATAGCGCATTTCTCTGTTCAAGAATATCTTCAGTCAGATCGCATCGAACAACAAAAGTCAGCAAGATTTGCCATTCAAAGTGCACCTGCGAATGCAGAATTAGCCCGGATCTGTGTTGTCTACCTCTTAGAGCCAAGTCTCTCTAGGGGAATGTTAGATGCGAAAAAGCTTACAGAGTTTCCACTTGCTCATTTCGCTGCCAGTTATTGGTTTCATCACTATGCAAACTCCATGGAAGGGAAGCCGGAAATTGAGCGACTACTGCTAGGGCTTTTCAAAGACAAGACAAAGGCTTTCGCGACGTGGATACGTTTACATGACATAGACGCTCCAGAGTATAGCAGAGGTCTTTCTTACCGCCCTATTGCTGATATAGCATTGCCTCCTTATTACGCAGCCATGTTGGGATTGGAATCCGTCCTAAGCAGCATCTTAGAAATGGACACCAGAGAGGCAAGTATATCGAGAACAGTAAATGCTCAAGGTGGGCGGCTCCGCTATGCACTCCAAGCTGCATCATTGAACGGACATAAAAGAGTGGCGCACATGCTGCTAGATCGAGGTGCCGACGTCAACGCCCAAGGCGGACAGTATGGCAATGCATTACAAGCTGCATCAGTCAACGGCCATGAAAAGGTGGTGCAAATATTGCTAGATCGAGGCGCCGACGTCAACGCCCAAGGCGCATTTTATGGCAATGCATTACAGGCTGCATCAGTCTACGGCCATGAAAGGGTGGTGCAGATGCTACTAGATCGAGGTGCCAACGCTAATGCCCGAAGTGGATTTTATGGCAATGCACTACAGGCTGCATCAGAGGAAGGCTATGAAAGGGTGGTCAAGATGCTGCTTGATCGAGGTGCCAATGTGAACGCCCAAGGTGGAGAGTATGGCAATGCACTGCAAGCTGCATCATATAGAGGCCATGAGAAGGTGGTCAAGATGCTGCTTGATCGAGGTGCCGACGTCAACGCCCGAGGTGGATACTATGGCAATGCATTACAGGCTGCATCACTTCACGGCCATGAAAAGGTGGTGCAGATGCTACTGGATCAAGGTGCAGAAGTCAACGCCCAAGGCGGACAGTATGGCAATGCACTACAGGCTGCATCAGAGGAAGGCCATGACCAGGTGGTGCAGATGCTGCTAGATCAAGGTGCAGAAGTCAACGCCCAAGGCGGACAGTATGGCAATGCACTACAGGCTGCATCAGAGGAAGGCCATGACCAGGTGGTGCAGATGCTGCTAGATCGGGGTGCCGACGTCAACGCCCAAGGCGGGCAGTATGGCAATGCATTACAGGCTGCATCAGTCTACGGCCATGAAAGGGTGGTGCAGATGCTACTGGATCAAGGTGCAGAAGTCAATGCCCAAGGTGGAGAGCATGGCAATGCACTACAGGCTGCATCAGGCAATGGCCATGAGAAGGTGGTCAAGATGCTGCTCGATCGAGGCGCCGACGTCAACGCCCTACGCGGATACTATGGCAATGCACTACAGGCTGCATCAAAGGAAGGCCATGAAAACACGGTGCAAATATTGCTAGAGCGAGGTGCCAATGTGAACGCCCAAGGTGGACATTTTGGCAATGCACTTCAGGCTGCATCAGAGGAAGGTCATGAAAACGTGGTCAAGATGCTGCTTGATCGAGATGCAGATGTCAACGCTGAAGGTGGATATTGCGGCAATGCACTACAGGCTGCATCAGAGGAAGGCCATGAAAAGGTGGTGCAGATGTTGCTGGATCGAGGTGCCGACATCAACGCTCCAGGCGGATATTATGGCAATGCACTACAGGCTGCATCACGCAATGGCGATGAAACAGTGGTGCAGATACTACTAGACCGAGGTGCCGACGTCAACGCCCATGGTGGAAAATATGACAATGCACTGCAGGCTGCAGCAAAAAAAGGCTATGAAAGGGTGGTCAAGATGCTGGTTAATGGAGGTGCCGATGTCAACGCCCAAGGTGGAAAGTACGGCAATGCACTACAGGCTGCATCTCGCAATGGCCATGAAAAGGTGGTGCAGATGCTACTGAGTCGAGGTGCCAATGTGAACGCCCAAGGTGAATGTCATGGCAATGCACTACAGGCCGTATCACTCGACGGCCATTAAATGGTGGTTCAGATGCTGGTCGATTGAGGTGCCAACGCTAGCGCCCAAGCCCAAAGACTTAACCCTTCTTAATGTACCAACGTTGTTTAAAAACCTCTACTCTTAGTTTGCGTTGAACGATCAGGATTCAGGACTAATAAAATACTTTTTGGATGTCAAATTTGAGGATTTCTGATCATCATCGGTTGCAGCCACTGCTTTTTTCAAGAGAAATAGGTACGATATCGTTCTACGGTGCTAGTGTGATCCTGAAAAGTCGGATTACATCCTAACTAATGGTAGTTGCCATTTTTGAACGGTGTCTAAAAAAATCAAAATGAAAATAAAATAGAATCACACTATCATGCCAAATAAAGGGTCTCATTGGGCATATACATGTTAGACCTTATTGTGTTTGGTCACCCTTGGGATTCGATAACCTTGTGGTTGAACGACCTATTCATATTGCAACCAAGAAGAATGGGTTCAGTAATGACTACAACATGTAACCAATTTAAATTTAGGGCCTGGGTTGCATGGCTACGACTGTCAGTTAGTACCAAGTTCTTAGATAAGCAATCAACAATCACCTGCCAGGAAATTAGCTCTCACTGTTATACAGTGCAGAAATTAATTTAAGTTGCAATAGTATACTTTAAGGAAAGTCCATTGGCGTAGTTTTCGGTTTTGGGCGAGTGAGGAAGATTGGTTGTTTGCAAAAAATGAGTCGAAGATGAGAACTCGATTCAACTTCTAAAAGCAGGAGTTGAACATCCTTACACGACACTCAAGAGCGTGCTAATGTCTGATTAAAACTATATTAGAAAGAACAAGTAATTCACATTTGGAAAATTCAACAGATGCTTTTAAAATACTTCTGCCAAACCTGTATGAACCTTGTATTTTAGTGAACTGATGTTTAATTTTCCGCTTTGAATCTAAAACCTCTGCCGAGGTGTAGGAGCGGCTGCGAAGCGAAAAGACGAAAGGGTCTCTGCTAGAGAGTACATTTAATTCGAATATCTCCAATATCCGAGATTAAGTAAAGTCACTTTATTCGTTTCGTTTACCATAGCCATTCTAAATAGTATCCTGAAATTCTCCCTTTGTTCATTCTATTTTGTTCAACTTTCCGTTCTCAAGCCCTGGATTATGGCCAAATATCATGCCAGTCTATATTTACCTGGTAGGTAATTCAAAAAATAGCAGTTTCTTCATGATACAAGCAGCATATTCTCAATTCAGCTTGTCCTGGAATTTAGTGCAAGCTGGTTCACATGCAACCACCGTGTTTGAAGTTGTTCCTGATCAGACGACGCATTTAGTGCCGGGACTTGTGCAGAATATAGGTATCCTGTTGAACAACATATTACTGACGTCAAATACATGCGCAGCTTCACTAACAGAGGAAATTTCGCCCTTCTGGTAGGCTTCGATTGCGAGCTGAATTCTACCCTCGGGCTGGGTAGAATTTTGGGGATTTTGGCTGCGAATGTGGGGCATGGTGGTTAGTTTGAAAAGCTGAAGTTGACGCGTTGGGTGGGCCACGCGCGTGTGGGTTACGCTAACCCCGGGAACTTGATTGTTGATGGACTTTCGGGGGCCTGTGGAGAACGCTATTTAAGGTCAATTGGCTCCGAATCTGTATCCATATGTGCCCTGACACTTGTGCGTATTCGGGGATCCGGTCCGAGCAGCCAGCGAATGTATGTGCGAGTACAGAGTACGTTTTCATTCGATCTGTTGGGATGAGGTTCGGGAGGACAGTGACACTAGGGTGGTGGACACAAATGGCCCCCTTTGGCCCTGTTTGGCCCCGGAGCAGAAGGATTTAGCGCACCGGGGATGTACGTACTCAACGGCAGATCGTTAAGCGAGTAAATCCATAAGCTCTCGAAAAAGAAATCTTGAACGCGGTTGCCCTGTAAATATCCCCCGTAGAATCTCCCTTGGCCGATATCGGATTTCTTTTCCCCCTCCTCATTCTACCATAAACCCAACGCCATACATGCGCTTTGAGCTTCCAATTCTGCTCGGCCTCGCCGCCGCCGCCTCTGCCTCCACGTGGACAGTCAATGCCTTCACTGACACCGAATGTCAAGAAAATCCTTACACTTGGAGTGGTGACGATGCTGAATCCATCAATACTGGGAATTGGTACTCTTCAATTGTAGCATCCTATCCTGATGGATGGACTTTCACAGCTTGGACTGGGGCCGAAGAAACTGGCGATGCGTATCAACCAGCTGCCAACACTTGCCAGATTCCAGCCAATGGAGATGCTGTTCTGTCCTTCACCTTGGCTGAGAGCTAGATGGTGAATTCGCTTCTTGTCTGGTCATATACTCAATCCAGCCAAGTGGTTTGCTGACTTACACGATAGAGGCGGCCTCGAGAATAGTGGGAGTGAGAAGAGGTCGCATTCGAAGATCTGATGTCCGTTATGGATTGTTACTATGTGTGTGTGTGTTTTGTTGATTGTTTTTCCTGCGCTCTTTGCTATCGATGTAAATCGGGCACCTTTAATTGCTTTTATTATATTGGGCGATGATCGCCAACGGGCCGATCCAGCCTAGCGAGAGAAGAGTCAGCCGCGTGGCGCAAGAATCACTCAAGAATACATAGAAATATGAAACATAATTGGATATTGTTGCCAAGCACTCAACTCCAGGTCTGCCTGAGCCTCGTTGAAAGAACTGCTTTCCTAGGCTTATCCCTTACTTGTAGGCCCAACTAGACGGGCGTTAACGCCCTGATTCGGATGTAATTCGGCAGGACCTCTCGACAAAGACTGCCGGCGGCACAAATGCAGTGGTCAACCCCTCTTTCACTGCCAACTGGACTTCTACTTCATCACCTAAAGAACGGGAAATGCCATTGCATCAATCTCAGCCTGTCTCAATCCCTTTTGCAATCAGCCCACCTGCACTCGCCATGATGTCAAAATCACTTTTTGAAAATCCCGTCCCCTTATTTCCGAGGCCGGAGGATCATCGTGCAATCCTGCATAACCCCTATACTCACCCCTCGTAACAAGTGGCTGCTGTGAATATGACAAGGATGATTTTGACGACATGGAACGATTCGCCCCTCCAGAGAGGCGTTCACCAAATCCGGCTGGAGGTCGAATTTGCACCTACGGCAGCTTTCATCACGCCAGAGAGGCGAGAATAGTATCATTTTTATAGTCGGCGGAGTGGGCCATGACCTCATCGTGGAAAAGCTTTCACCGTACACTGAGGACTTTATCCCTTCCATTCGGGCTACTGGGAGAATGATTTGAAATGTCCGCATTGTCCAATTCTGTGTCCTAGGCACTCCGACAACGAAAATAAAGCACGAACAAACAAAGCATTTGCCATCGGGCCCGACCCACCACAGAATCTGCAGCTCCGCCAACAGCTCTCTCTCCCGCCCTTCCGTTCGCCCTCTTCCAACGTACTTCACTTCGCTCCTCTCACAGCGGACGACTCTCGACACTACATCCCTACCCATTTTGTCGCTACAACCTCCACCCGAACGCCCTCTCGTTCACACTTCCCGCCACCGACCTGCCCGTGCGCAGCCAGAAGCGGTCGCATCTCTCCCCTCCCCCACCACAACCCACCATGAGCGGCCGCAACGTATCGCATGGCCGCGGCGGAGCCGGTAAAGACACCTCCAGCATCGCCTACGAGCGCAAACCCTCGCCGCTAACCTCTCCGACGAGCAGGAAATATCTCCCGGCAACAATCCGCCACCACACCCCGCGACCTCGTCACACCGACCATCAAGCAAGAGGTCTACACAACCGGCCGCGGCGGCTCAGGCAACATGGTACACAATGACCCCGGGCGACCGGAGATTGCGCGCGAGAGTCAAGACGTTGAGTCGCCGCCGTTGCGCGCGGAGCAGATCCCCCACCACACCGGACGAGGTAAGCTATGCGCGAAACTCTGGAGCATGGCTGCGTGGCGTGACACAAGCAACCTGAACTGACGCGAACTCGGTGACTTAGGCGGCGCGGCGAATGCTTATATCCCTTCTCTGGAAGAGGAGCGGAGACATCGACAGGAACAGGAGGCAGAGTTGAAGCGGGTGCGCACTGCATCCAAGGATCGCGTCAAGGAGATCGAAAAGGAGCAGAAGGAGCGCAACCAGTCGCCTGCGAGCTGAGCAGGGATTTCCTGCCTCGCGCTTATCCACGGTTCGATGGGTGGCCTTGGGCCATTTTCCGTTCGCTGGTAGGAACCGATGCGTGCACACACAACCTTCCCCAATCCAATGGTGCTGCGGGCAGTGCTTGTGCCTGACGGTTAGTCTGGTATGGGAAGTAGTCAACAACCAAAAAAAGGAGTTCGGGGTCCAGAGGTCTGTCTTATCAGGCATTGGGGTCTCTTTCTTATGCTTGCTTTTTTATTGGCCTGGGGTCTTATCTCTGACCCCCCTGTTTATCACGGCGCTCGGGGTATATCTGGTGTTTTATTTTTTCCATCGAAATTCGCTGCTAATTAGGCCATGATTCAATCATCCTAGCTCCTTAGATTTATATTTAGGGCGACGGAATTGTACAATGCAGGACACAAATGACATTGACCACGTAGTCGGGTATCACAATAGGCAACGATGCCAGATTTACATTATTGTCATGTTTCGTGAGGATGCTGGATTAAACCTCTGGAAGAAAACACCCCGTCGCATCCACCGGCCAATTGATCAGTGGCCTCCAATCCGGTCCTAGGGTATCGCCAATCTCCCTCAGCAAACGCGAGCCCCAGTCGCCCATCCACCACGAGTCCCGCAGGTGATGGAGAATAACCGCATAATGGGCAAGGACCACCAGCGCAAACGGGTGGTGCTCCTCCACGAGATCCATGAAGGCAGAGGGAACATTAGATATCCAGCAAAACGCAAATGCCTTCGGCTCAGCGCCTTTCATCAGCGTCTCGAGCGAGTCACTCAGGTGGTGAATGGCAGACTCGAAGACCGCGGTCTTGTGTTGGGTGGGTTGCCGGGCCGTCTCGAGCTCGTTCTGGCGCTGCAGTGCTTGCACTACCAGGCGCGACATGTCGGGCATCGTTGGATGGGCTTCGGCGGGTGCAGTCAGCGATGCGAGCTCACTGGCTGCGACGCGGCCGCCTACGGTCCTCATTGCGTCGAGAAGCCACTTCGTCAATTGGAAGACTTCTATGAATTCATCCAGGATGCTGAATAGCTCGTCGTCTTCTTCGTGGTCATGCACGGGTTCATCTTCCACCTTGTTGATTTGGCAGTATGCAAATCGAAAGACGGTCATGAGCATACACAATGCAAAGACGGCGTTGCATTCCGCCGTGGTGAGGTCGGATAGTTCGGCTAACTGGATTCCCGCGAGAGCTTCGGTTTGGTGGTCACGAGCTGTGATGACATACGTCCGCTTCTGGTCTGGGCTGGTGCTAGTTGCGGCGAGATGAAGGGCGGATACAGCTAATAGGCCGTGCCGTAATGGGGCATGTCGGAGTGATAGTCGCGGAATGACGGTTTGCCAAAGTGCTTTGTCGAGGCGGTCCCGCAACACGGAGCGGTAAGTTGTCGTGCACCAGTGCATCATTAATTCCAGGTCTTGCAGATGCAACGCGTCTTTCATCTCTGCTGGAAGGCTAGACCGCGTTGGGTCGGAGTCGTCATCCTCATCGGACAACTGGAAGCCTGCCTGAGGATCCAGTTCGGTCATGGTTGGCGGTAGTGATGGCGAAGACCGACTAGAGGCTGATGATGATACCGACAAACGCGCCTGGGGTTGGAAGGGCTGCCGTGGTGCATATGATGTGGTCATATTGCGATCCTGGCAGCGAGCACATGGCGAGAGCTGCATCGGATCCTGGAGTGGATGAGATGTCAGATATGAGAACATTTGAGTCCTATGGCGTTTGACTTACCCTGATGATCCGCGGCTCAGGGTGCAGACTCGCCTGCCGAGGTCGCTTATTTGGCGGCGACGCCATGGATGCAACCCGCTGGTCCCGCGGTGGAGAGCAAATGATAGGCGAGGGTGGCGGGATTAGCTCGCGATGATTTGATGGAACGAACGATGGAAAAGAGGGTGTTTGGTCCTTTTTAATAGTGATGGATGACGAGACGGCCCCCCCGGGCTCTGGAGGAAGAGGTTGTCGTGATATAGCCCCATTGCCCGGAGAACCCCCCAAAGCAGTATGAAGAGAAGGATTCACGACGGGCGAACGGAATCAGTCGCGCTGCCCAGTTGATCTGGTGGCGGTGGGTCGTGGGAGCGTGTTTTGAGCTCCTATGATCGTTCAGGCCGTCAGGCTAAAATTGTTCCCGAAGCGGCAAATGCACAGACATTTGACACCAGCGGAATGCTATGACAGCCAAGTGCAACAGCAGCAACACCGAACCTGAGACAGGAGGGTCACGAATCCTGCAGGCGCACAATAAAAGAATAATGTGATTTTGATTGAGAGGAGACGGTTGCATTCCGCCAGGACACAAGTCAACGACAGAGCAGATTGCCCGATCGCGTTTAGGCTCCGGCGATCGTCTTAGTCAACAGTCGGACGAGCCCTGCTTTTTCCTGTTGCGGCATAGCGCCACGCTCGGACGCTCCACATCGCGCAGGGTTCGAGAAGCATTTCCCGATGAGGGCAAATTAATGTGAGAGTCGCATGGCGCAATCGAGCTCGTCTTTACCCAAATCGGGTAAACGAACGGCGGAGAGAAGTACATTAACGAGACCAACCGCCCCCCAACAGACAGGCGGTGGAGCGATCGGGTTGGTTGGTTAATTACATCTCATTATCAATCTAGCAGCGAACTCCTACATACTCAACGTGGTATATGCATAGAAAAGAAGGAACTATCAAATTCGCACATCGACGTACGGCACCAACTCAACCTCCCCAACGAGCCCATTCGGCCCCCTCCCCGGCAGGGTGCTCGTCTCCTCCAGCAACAGGGGTTTAATTCCTGCGTTCCGGAGCTGTCCGAAAATACTGCGGAGATAGTTCCACATGGTCGTAGGCACAATGATAGTCACCACATTTCGACCAGGCTGAAGATACGGTCCGAGGTTGGCGCGCGGAGCGGCCAGGTCGACAGACGGCAGACGCTGTCCATTCACCATGATCCGGGCAGCATGAATGATGGGTGGGAGGACCAGGTATGCGCCATCTGCGGCGTGCACAGAGGGAGGCCAGGCGAAGCTGGTTGTGTAGTAGCCAATTCCAGCGGTGTTCTGCAAGCCGTCGATCTGCGTCCAGGAGACGAGCGAGCTGAGCTGGTGCGTTGTATTGTGCTTCGAAGCGATCACCGATGCGTCGCTCATCTCCTGAGGCGCGTCCCAGTGCTCAACGGTCAATGTCCATTTGGACAATGTGATTGACGGAGCAACACCGGTAGCAAGTGTGGTGACCCGGCTGCCGTTGGACAAAATCAACGGCTTGTCATCGGGGCCGGCGGCGACGTGTAGTATAGCACCGGTCTGTGGGGAATGGTCGTAGTCAACGACGGTAGACGGGATCTGCGTCGCATGCACCATAGGCGCGACGGTGTTGTTGGAGAAGGCGATCATGAGCGTTTGATTGCCCGCTAGACTTAGTGGGAGTACAATCCGGCCATCGGCTCGCTTGTAGTTGAGCGCGGGCTTCATTTCGCCCGTCCAGGGGTTCAAGATGAACGGAGCCTTCGTGCTAGCGATATCCACAGTGCCGGTGGACGCATTGGTGTCGCAGAAGATAAACGCATGGTCCATGCCAGTCTGGTCATCCTCACGCCAAGTCGTGTACCAGGTTCCATTGGTCTCTATGCCTACCTGGGGCTTCAACCCGAGCGAGTGCAGTTTGGCCGCAACTTGGCCTGATGGAACGCTGTAAACGTTCCTGGTATGCTTCAAGGATTGGATGGCTTGCTTGACAGCAGAAGTATCTCTTCCATCTCGGGTCGCGTACACCCCGGGGTCTCCGCCGCTTATAATCACGGTAAGGCCGGCACGGGCATACTTCTGGATGTAATGCACGCCTTCCAAGGTAAGATTACTGTTACTGGTGATTACCATTGCCTTGTATGCAGGGCCGTTCGGTGCCAGTCTACCATTTTGGACCGTGGCCTCCGGCAGGGCAAAGTTGTCTGGGGAAAGGTATGTGTAAGTGTAGCCTAGACGGAGCATTAGTGTGTCTGTTTGATTGATGTTGAGAGTCCCACTTACCCGCGTCAAGCATATCTGTGGAGGTGTATACTGTTGGAAAATTATAGTTCGTGGCCGACACCTTATTGTAAATAGCAACATCGGTGCGTGGGACCCCAGACTGCTGCAGGAGCTGTACACGCGCTGTATAGTTGAGGACATCGCCAAACCCATGATTCCAGGATGGCTGTTTGTCCGAGTACGGCTCAGAGAAAAGATAGCTGAACGCTGTGTATCCGGGCCAGGTGGTGTCGTAGTAATTGCCCGTGTACGATTCACCATGCAAGACAAACTGGTTAACTCCGCCGGAAACCGCACTGTTGATAGCGAAGAGGAGTTCCGAGTGTGGGAAGTTATACGCCTTGAATATCATGGCTCCCATTTCGTTGGAGATGACGCGCTTGCCAGCCAGGTTGGCCGGTCCGGAGAACTGGCGGTAACCGTCGATATTGTTTGAGAACTGCAGGCTTTCACATTCAGGGGCGTTGACTAAGGGGATATTTGCTTCCATGTCCATAGGGAGGTTATACGAGACTTGCGTAGACATTTGCAGATTCAGTTTTGAGTTGAGCCAGTGTGTTAGCCGATATATATATTCTCGGTATCCTTCAACCAGGGCACCTCTGAAGTCGTTGAGATAGCCCACGCCCTGGTCAGAAGTATCCAGAACACATTGGATCATCCCGGGCTGCGTGGCCTGGATGTCGATGTTGTTGTCACCGAACATGACCAGTGGTAGGAACGGCTTTAGGCTGTAGCCGTACTTGGATTTGAAGAGTTCCGGTAGCGATGGCGTCCACGAGATATTCGCTCGAATCTCCATGCTATCCTCCCAACCTGACAAGAATTAAAGGAGGACAGATCGAGATATCATAAATAATTACCATAGTGACCAACATTCATTAACAGCTCTTGCACTCCATCCTTGAGCATATGCTCTTCCCAGAACTTAGTGGTTGTGTGCGCTCCGCGAGCACTGAAATGATCCACGGTATATGAACCGTTGTCGAAGATTGTCCTGGACACAGTCGCGCTGTAATCGAGATTCTTTTCATGGGTCTGGAATTGATAGAAGGCAAAGAGTCGGTACGATGATTTCGTTGATGGTAACTTGAGAGAGACGTGGCCCGTAGATGAGACAAGCTGCGTCCACTCTTTTAGAGTACCACTCTTGAGGGTGAGCTGCAGATACCAGGTCTGTGGCTCCCCAAATAAGGTCATGCCGGGAGCCACGCTCATATTCTTTGACGAAAGTACCTCGGCGCCCACCAGAGCTACTAGCTCTCCAGCTCCCCAGCCAGGAATCACTCCTTCAAAATGACCATCCTGGGGCACGACAACAGAGAACGGCTCCTAAAAGAGAAGATATAAGTCAACTACTCCCCAGGTAAAAGAAATTCACCTACCAAATCCCACTGAAGCCCCTCATCATCCGAATGCGCAGGGACGCCCTGTCCCTGATTCGGACCCATCGCGAAATCCATATAGAGTCCAGCCTCTTTATGGGCTCGCAAAGCCGCAACAAAGATTTCTCTAAAAGCAGGAGTTCCAAATCCATACTTCGACCAGTTTGCGCCAGTCGGCTGGCCGCCCAATTGGCCTCCATAGTTATAAAACGGCACCAGCTCTACGCCTCCGGCGCCGATTTCACCAGCAGACTTGATATTCTCCTGTACGATCGAGGCATCGACACTAGCGTCGGGAAGCCAGTAGCGGAACCGAGGACGGCATAGCGCGGTGGGATTGTCGAATGATCCGCAATTGACCTGAGCGGAAGTTTGGTCGTCTGTGTTAGCTAGCGAGGGCTGTAGGAGGAGCTGGAGGAGGGCCAGAAACTCTAGAAGCTGTTTCCACATTGCTGCAAGGGGATCACAGCGAAAGTATTTACCTCACTGCTCTCCTTTTTGCCATGCAAAGTAATATAGGAAGACAGGTCTCGGGAATCCCGAGTGCATTATGATTTCATTCGGGTTGATTATTCCCGAAACAGGCAGGAAGATCCATCAGATCTGGAGACTGTTGCGGGACCACAATCGGTGGAAACAATCTCGACAGGACTTAAGTACAGCCGCTTCCGATCAGTATTGCATGGTATGGACATCGATTCTGTGCTCGTAGATAGTAGTGCAGTATTTACATGATTTTTAAGGTCTTCTGCTCGGGGTGAAGCAGCCCGACGAGGAGAAGAAATATTTACCCCGCGGGGAGCTCCGGGTTCGTGTATGGGGTGGCCCACATTCCGGAAAGGGGAAGCCAACAGGGCTGGAAAAGCCGAGATGGAGTTATACTCTCATTACGAAGGATAAGCTTCTACATGCTTAAGAGAAACTCTAGGATTCAGGAAGTGAAAACTGGATTAGGATCATCAGTCATATTAAAATGCAAGGACAGTAGACTACCCGGGATCAACTGTATATAAGATGTGAGTGGGTAGCCAGGACTCGGCAAAACAGGGGAGTGATTATATAGATGGATGCCCAAATGCACAATGCAGAGTATGTCATGTTAATCATGAAACTGTCGATCCAAACGATCGACCGATTTGATGCAATGCCAACAGCGAGTGTCAATCCAAGCACGAAACTTGTCTGGGTATCAAAACGGATAATCATGAAGGAAGATGGAGGGAAGGGAGAATGAGGACGGAGTATATCAATACGAAGGATATAAAAGCGACGGAATGCCCCCTGTTATTTCACCGAATCCGGCAGCCGATGAAATCAAAGCCAGGTATTGGCGCCCCGGAGCGCAGCCAGCGCAAAGTGGCTGCCGAGGGTAGGTCGAGCACGGAACGCGTACGCCTCGCCTGGTGCGTTTGAGCCACTGGTTTGCACCCAGTAGCGGTCAGAAAAGGGGGCACTGTTGAGTCCGTTGGAGATGTAGCTGTGCAGGTCGCTGATAAACATCTCGCGCGTATCGCCGCCCACCGTAGCGGCCACAAAGCTCTGCCAGTTGGTCTGGCCCCAGCCCACGGTTCCATCCAGAGCAACGCCGGCCGCGGCGCGCACAGTTGGGTAGAACTCCCCGGTGGCATTGTACGCCTCCTTGGGGAAGACGTCGAGGTCAAAGAGGACGTCTGCGTAGTGGTTGAAGGCGAGGAACCACGGCGGGGTGCCGTACTGGAGCAGGAAGTGAGTTCCCTGGTCATCTGTGCCGAGGTGGTCCGTCCAGATCTTGTCGGCCCAGTCCTTGCCGGTGGCAATGTACTTCTGTTGATGCGTCAGAGCACCGTACGAGGCCAAGCCGATGGCGGCCTTGATGCCCAAATTGGTCTGGTTGGCGAGGGCGCCCAGTGCATCGTTGAGGGACAGCTGTGCGGCAGGGTAGAGGCCGTTCGCATTCAGGTATGTGGCGTACTTCTCCAGTTGAGCAGCGTAGGTGGTGGCCAGATCGGTTTTGCCGGTCGCTTTCTGGTATGCGTAGCTGAGGATGATCACGTTTCCGCTCTCCTCGATGGGCATGGCCTCGCCGCTCGCCAAATGGCCCGTGGCATTGGGATAGTTTTCACCGAGATCGTGCACAGCATACTGCTCATCGTATGCACCACTACCCATATAGTCGAATATGGGGGACAGAAGCAGCTTAATGTAGTCCGGGCTAAGAACGTAGAAAATGGGGAAGGCTGCGTAGATGACGTCGACGGTATTAATGTTGCCATCGCTGGAGATCTCCTTAATAAAGGCGCGGGTTTCGGAGGTATCCAGTGAGTCGTACGGGATGGTCAATTCAATGCCTCCGTAGACCTGGCGCACCGACAGCGCCAAGATGTCCGAGTAGTTGGAGCCATAGGCAGCGTCGCCCGTGTTGGAGATCAGCTTGTCGAACCCAATCGACTCCAGCTGGGCTAGTACATAGTCATCCAGGAAGTGTGCTGCTGCTTCGACCGTGTCCGAGAATTCCCTGCGATAGTACCCAGTTTGGGTGGTACCTAAGTAGTCGATCGCTTCGTCACGAGCGTGGCCGACAGCGAAAGTCACCGTACGCGTCCCGGAGAAGGTGTGTAAGTCGTGCACAAAAGCTACCACGCCGTCCGCCGTCCAATCGGCATGGGTGTTTGTCAATGTACTGTGGGACACAAAGCGGCCGCGTACCGCGGATGCCGGGCCCGAGGCGGTGGAGAGCGAACTGCCGGCCCAGGGGCGGGAGGCGTAGACGGCACTGCCCCACAAGGCCTGGCTGTCTGCGTTTTGCGAGAAAGTGGCCGTGCCCTCGGCGCTAATCTGGAACACCTGGGCGTCGTCTTTGGCAGAGAAGCTCCAACTGCTTTGGTCCGGCTGCCCCGTCCAAGTACTGTCAATGTCCGAGTAGATCTGCACCGCGGACGAGATGCCCTCCTTGACCGTCACCGTCAGGTACGAGAACGGCAGCGATTGGCGGAGGTAATTCTTGGGCGACACGGGCGAAAAGAAATCGAGTGTCAACGTTCGCGCGCCCGCCTCGACCGTGAAGATGGAATGGGTGGACGTGTAGGTGGCCTCGGTGACAGTCGCGGCCTTGACGCCGTCCGGGGCATCAGGCACGCCGAACAGACTATACACGTCGCCGTTGACGCGCGCAAACACTGACCAGCCCAGGTTATTGCCGGCCCAAAACTGGGCCTGGCTTGAAGGTAGTGATGCGACATCATTCCCCGGGATCCACGCTGTGAGTTGACGATCAGCATTCGTTCATTGCGACCCCAAGGAAAATCCGGGGAGGGATAATCATAAAACAGGAAGGAGGATCAGCGCACCGGACAAGTAGGGGCTTCGCACGGCCAGGGGATACGACGGCGGCTTCAATGGGTCGTAGCTAGTAGCATGGCTCCAGGGAAGTCCAACGGCCAAGACGGCTAACGTCGTGAGAAGCGCCAGCATGTTGTATGTCTGGTCACCCGGATTTGGAGAAATGTCAACAGGCAGACCACCGGTGATCGTCTATGGGGGGAGATAGTATATAGATCCGAGAAAATCAACAAAGACACCCGTGGGGAGGAAATAGTTCGCGCAGCTGCAGTCCAGACCAGAATTCCATGGCGCAAAGGGGGTGGTCAGGGCTTCAAATACTTCACCGGAATAATGTCTCTCTCTCGTTCTCTCGTGCTTTCTCACCCCCCACGCGTGAGTTGGTCAATCACAACATGTCAAGTGCTCCTTGCGCGAGAATAGCCCTAATGCACATCAAATGGGCCATTCCCACCGACTGGACTGTGGAGGAAAGAGGTCCATGGCTGATTTGCTCCGAGAAAGTCATCTTACTTTTAGCCGATCATCATTCTCGTCGAGCTCTCCCAAGCTAAGCACGCCATCTCACCGATTCATGGTGCCCGACCCCGGGCGGGCAGATCGCGAGCTGGGATGAGTCTGACATCCTTCCAATCACGCGCCACCACAGACGAGAGCCGAGGAGACGGCTCGCGAGCATCACATCGAATGGCGTCATGAGGATTGACAAACTAAATCTTCGTAGCCAGTCGGCAAGACTCGGGGTCTCTCTGGCGCAGGGCACGCCTGAAGTGGCTCCAATCACCTCCACTACAAGTATTGTCTCGGGGAAATGCTCCGGTGAAGTGACGGATCGAATATATTGATAAGATGATTATAAACACATCCAAGACAAGTGCAAGGGGGGGACAGTAGTCGATAGTATACATCGAGAGGGTCACCGCCAGTCTGAACCACAGTTATTCTTATTGTTCTTCCCGCCAGCAGGCACATCTCCCTCTCTCTGTGTGTGTATGTGATGGCTCGAGTCTTCCACGGGTGCGGGGTAGTCAGTTAGTTGGTCGGATTGATTAATTAGTTCACTAAATCCTCGCTAACCGCCATCCACACTATCATTCGCGCAATGCGGACCCGTAACCCCTGGGGTCATCGGACAGCTGGCCAGGGTGGTGGTGGCTCAGCCGATGGTACCGAGAGCGGAAACTGCGTTAGTGACCGACCGCAGCCAGATGACTCGATATTGATTGAGATGAGGTCACCGCGGGTGTGGTCTCGCCCTAATCGAGCGACCAACAGGACAAAGAGCGAGAGCGGTGGCCCAGCTCGAGCACCGGGACAAGTGCGAGATGTACATTAGCCGCAAATGACGCTCCACCGCCGCTTCTCAAGTGACTTGGCCGGCCATTGCGCCATCACCGACTCTTGTCGGTCGCGCTCCAGCTTCCGGCCAAGCGAGTGCCCGTCATCCAGCGTTTCTCCCATCTTGTGCGACGTTGTTGCCTCTGCATAAGAGCTTGCCAAGCTCCGATGAAGATAATCAGGGGTTCTGCAGATCAGCTGACGAAAGCTGACGACGACTCTGCACTCGTTCACCACTCATGGTGCTCGATGTCAGTCTCCTCCAGCACTTTCCACCAATCTGGAACACGGCATCCTCGTCGCACATGGGGTTGCAGGGAGGCCTACTGCAAGGGGCCGCTGTGATTTGCAAGGCGCGCGAACCATCCCCTAAAAGTCCGGTCAGGAACGGTCGGGCTGCAGAAAAGCTCGGGTGTCCGCGACACTCGTGTGCATGGTCGGCGATAGCAGCCACATTCGGGTGGTGATCTCGGGGAGATTGATAGGCAGATGCACATGGCCAGCGGCACATGGGGATGATCAAGCCGACCGGACCGACCTGCAGGTATGTATCCTTTGGATCATGCTCGCGGTCGGATGGCTGCATTCTGCCAGGGGTTTGTCGTCCGTACATGGTCCCCCGCCATGGCAAAACATGGACCGTCTGCCTCTGGTTCCGTTGTCCATCAGGGCCGCAAAAGGGGCCTGGGGTTGTCGCGGGGCATCTCGAATGTCGCATGGAAGAGATCGCGACCGAGCGATCTCAGAGGAGCATTTCAGGCTCGGTTCCCGTCTGTAGGCCCTCGTAGTTACCACAGGAGTCCGGTCAAACTGGCACAGAGTAGAGTACAGGACAACTGCCGAAGTGCACGGGCCCGAGAATCAGCCGAATCCCGACTGGAGCATGATGGCACGAATCGCTGGGAGTTGAGGGCCGAATAATGTGAGTCCGGCGGATGCAGCCGGCAGGGCTCTGGGTGGACGGGTTGCCGCAAACGGCGGGTAGAGCAACGAGTGATAGGAGCCGGATGGAGCGCATCGCGGTTACATCAGGGGATTTCATTCGCAGAGGTCATCATCAGATCTGACTGACTGCAACCCGACGGAGTGGAATGTTCCTGCGTCGGCTGCACGGGTCAAGCCAGCCTGACAGTTGCGAATGAAATAAAAAAAAAAAGAAGGTTGGAGACCAGAAGAGTGAAGGTGACACTGTCAATCTCTTCTGCCCCGAGAACGTCACTTTTCTCTCTCCCCTCTTCTTCCCTTTTTCTTTCTTCCTCCATCAATCATTCCTTCTCTCCTTCGATTCCTTTCCTTCTGTTCATTTCTTCCTCCCGCTGACATCCTCCCATCCCACCATCAACCCTTGGTAAGTCCTTGGTGGATCTGCTCAGATCCGTGGGAGCCCGGCGAATCTCCCGCCCTCTGACAGCCTTGCCGGGCTGGTTCGCCGTCCGTGCTAATTCTGCGACCGATCCAGTGCGAATTACACAGCTCTCGGTCCATCCTCGACACCCCCTCCCATCACCACCCGCTCGACTTGTACTCGGCCTCGCGCAGCCCTCTCATCGCTTCCCACAGACCGCTTTCGACCGGTCTGTCAATTACCCCCGATCGCGTCACCCGTGGGTCATCGAGTCTCGGTCGCGACCGCAAAACACCTTATCTTCGGTCAGGAGTCGATGCTCCAACTGTGACGTGTGAGCTTTCTGCGGGGTCGCATGCCCGCTTTATCGCCCATCTTTGTTGAACGTCACTCAGCTCGGGGTCCACCGCGGCCGAGCATTCTATAAGAGCAGGGATCCGTCCTGACTCTCCCCCGAGTCGTCCTCGGTTCCTTATCATCTCGAACCATGTACGCTGTGGAACAGGAAAGGGCCCATCCGGTGCCGCCGCCACCGCCGCCCTTGTCAATGGATCGCATCTCTGCCCCGGCGGCTGGCTATCCAACGCCGGGCTCGGGCGGTTTGCAGTCGGTCGACCACCTGGCGCCCAGGTCCTATGTCCATGAGGGCCGCATCTGGTCTCTCCAGGTGGTACAGCAGCCCATCCGGGCTCGCATGTGCGGCTTTGGTGATAAGGTGGGTGGTATTTTCGCAGGTCAAAGGCGCCGTTGTCTAACGCATATTCCAGGATCGGAGACCCATCACGCCGCCACCATGTATCCGGCTGATCGTGCGCGACGCACAAACAGAAAAGGAGATTGATATCAAGTATGGTTTCTTCACAATTAGGGGTACACGCAGATTCTAATAATGGAACAGTGAGATCGATACTTCATTTTACGTCCTGACTGTTGATTTGTGGAATGCCGATGGCACCAACGAAGTGAACCTGGTCAAACATTCCGCTACCTCGCCCTCCATCTCGACTGCCATGTCCTCCTCGTATCCTCCGCCCCCGCAGAGCATGTCCCCCACCTACTCCGCCTACAACAACCCATACGGGCAACCCGTCTATCCGGGGATGAACAACTATTATGGCGGCGGTCAGATGGGATACCAGAACCCTTACGGAGGATCACCACAGGCTGGCTACTACCCAAACCAGTACTATCAAGGTGGTGGCCAAATGGCATCTGCCATGTCCCCTGCTGCGGCACAGCCCGTCTCAGGTGGACCAGGCGGCATGTTCACTCGCAACTTGATCGGAAGTCTCAGTGCAAGTGCCTTCCGGCTGACCGACCCAGACAACAAGATTGGTGTATGGTTTATTCTACAGGATCTCAGTGTGCGAACTGAGGGTACATTCCGGTAAGTCGTGTTGAGGCGATGATATATGGCTTGTGACTAACAGATCCCCCCATAGTCTGAAGATGAGCTTTGTAAACGTGGGTACACAGTCGACAGAGACCAGCAACGGTACACCCGTGATCAACCACGGCAGTGCCCCCATTCTAGCCTCTGTCTTCAGCGAGCCCTTCCAGGTCTTCTCGGCCAAGAAGTTCCCTGGTGTTATCGAGAGCACGCAACTGAGCAAATGCTTTGCCCTCCAGGGAATCAAGATCCCGATCCGCAAGGATGGTGTGAAGGGTTCCCGTGGGCGTGGCGGAGATGGCGATGACGACGGCGACGACTACGATTAGTTCAACCAGATTAAACGAGTTCGCCCGAGGCGCAGTGTTTTGGATCTGGTGTTTTTATATTGCTCAAGACGCATTGGTGGACGGCGACGTGGGACCAAAAACTGGAATTCTTGGCTTTTTACGGTGTTCACGGGGCGGGCCTTCGTTTTGGATCGGTGTTTTTTTTTTTTATTGATTGCTACACGGACCGGTGCAGGCAGGATTTTTGACTTCGAATTGGTTGACTTTTTTTTCGTTCCTGTCTTTTTTGTTGCTGTTGGCCCTCGGCCGTGTCTATTCATACCTGGCGTCCACTCGACCGCCCGTATATATATTTATTTTTTGATCGAGGAAATCAAATCTTTTCTAGGTAATCTGGTGTCACAATGGGTAGAAGTTAGCCGAGCCCTAGAGCATCATTGATCAGGGGGTGGTTCTGTTGCCTTCCAGTGTCATTCCTACTCTTCTTATCTATCATAATGACAAGGCCTTACGGAGAAATGTTCCAATACCGCCTTTTCACGTAGCCTAAGTGCTTCCGAAAGGCGTCAAGAACGATGTTCCCCATTCTGCAGAAACTCTGCTCAGTAGCATGGACAAATGCTTCCGGATGTCACTATCTTCACTGTCACTGATTTAATCCACCCCTCTAATGACGTCCTTTGTACCCTTGCCGACAATGAGATCTAGAATAATCTTCAACTACCTACGGAAACGGAATATCTGGGCCATCACGAAACTGTACACAGAGAATAATTCTCACCCATCCTCCTAGTGATATATAGGACATCAACGCCAAATCAGCCAATCTGCTGATCTGTTATCAGTTAGTCAGTACGTAGTTCTGATGCCCTAATCTAGAACCAGGACTGAATTCCGAATCCCCGATCTTACTCTCTTCCCCGCACATCTCGCTCTTCTGTCCGAGGCCATGCTGAACAGAGTCGATCAATAGAAAAAAGAAGCCTCGCCTTCATTTAGGGAATAACTAACTATTGATATTTCAAAAGTCTATCTACGAATACCGCGCAGGCATACTACGATACGAACAACCGCCATGCCCGGCCTGACCCAGACTTCCGCGACCTTCAAGCATATCACCGTCACAGAGCTACATCCGACCTTCGGAGCAGAGGTCAGCGGCGTGGATTTTTCGCGCCCGGTAGAGGATGACGTTTTCCAAGAGATCTTGGCAGCAATCAAGAAGGTACGTGATGAACCCCTGGATAGCTTCTGAGCTCACCACATACTCGTTAATAGTATGGCGTGTGCGTGTTCCGCAAGACAAGTCTTGACGACGCCCGACATGTCGCCTTCGCAGGACAGTTCGGCGAACTAGATGATGTGAGCCCCTATATGGCAGGAGGGCGAGCACATCGTCTATCAGACGTGCGCCTGTTTGACGTGAGCAACATTGATCTGGACGGGACGGTATTCGCATTGAATAACAAGCGTCGGGAGTGGAACAAGGTAGGTGGGAATGCTGTGGGTGGTTAGTGATTCAAAAACTGACCGGGCTAGGGCAACGGGCTGTTCCATGTAGACTCGAGCTTCAACCCTCGACGAGCGGGATACTCGCTTCTGAGAGCGGCAGAGCTTCCCCCAGCGGGGATGGGCGGCGAAACCGAGTTTGCGGACGTGCGAACGGCCTTTGATGAGCTGCCAGCGGAAGAACAGGCCGAGCAGAAAGCACAGAACTACATCGCCGCACACTCGCTGTGGCACTCCCGGAAAACGGCGGCGCCGGAGACTTTTGCAGACCTCAACCCGGAGGACTACCCGATGAGCCGTCACCGACTGGTGCAGCGACACGAGCCCTCTGGGCGCGACACACTGTACCTGGCGGCGCATATCCACCACATCGAGGGACTCGACAGTGAAGATTCGGCGAATCTGTTCAAGCGGTTATTCGCGCATGCAACACAGCCACGATATGTGCTGCGTGTGGCGTGGGAGAATGCAGGTGACTTGGTTCTCTGGGACAACACTAGTGTCATGCACCGGGCTGTCGGCGGCCGGTTTGAAGGCAAGTTTAAGCGCGACATGCGGCGGGCGACGGTTCATGATAGCAGCGCAGCGGCGTGGGGGCTGAATGAGCACAGCAATGTTCGCCAGGGACTCCCGTGAGACAGTGAGTACGATCGAATGAGATGTACAAATATAGTTCGTCGTGAAATAATTATAGCCCGTAGTGGATATTCCATTCAGGAACAGGAATAGAAGAGTGGATCCGAGACATTTCTTCTGTCTTCATTTTATTTTTTTCGAGCAAAACTTCCGAGACAAGCAGGACCGTGATCAGCCAGAACTAGCGGCAGGGCAACAACACCGGGAAGGCCGAGAGTAACGGGTGTGCGCCTTCACCGTGATGTCAGTCAGAGTCAGCAGGGGATGTGCTGGACTTCAGCGCTCCGTCATCGCTGATCAATAATTTCTTTGACGAGGCGGACCAGCACTATGTCATCAGGGTCTGTTAATTAACGTTGTCGGAGGTGTCTCACTCGAATCACTCGAACCCTGGAAGTAGCGTGGCTAGCAGCGAGAGGAGTGCGCTTGGGGTCTCGTATTCGCTGGGATGTTTCAGTCCCTCCACCAGTGACCGCCTCGATCGGCGTGGGGAGGGCGGACAGACCCGCCCTGAGTGGTTTGGAGAGGGAGGATCGTGTGCCGTCGATCGCGACTGTGCCTTGTACACCACTAGTCCACGACAGTAGTAGTAGTAGGTGCGCTGTTTTTGGGGGGGGGGGGGAATAGTTTTGTTTTTGCCGAGGCGATGCTATTTATACCTACCTCCCTCACAGCAAACATATATAAAGAATGCCCGGCGCTCAACCCTCAACGACAACAACAATCAGAATAATTCACCATCCTCTTGTCACTCGTTTATCACAATGAAGTTCATCCTGTCCACCCTCGCCCTGCCCTTGCTGGTGGCCGCCGCGCCGACTCCGAAGGAAGATGCGACAACCAACCCGCCCTTCACCGTCATGTCCCTTCGCTCGGGATCTCCCATCCACTTCCTCACCATGACCGCCTCCGACGAGCACTTCTGGCTCGGCGGCACGACGGCATCCTACTGCCCTTCGGAGGAGGGGATCGTCTGCCCTCCGGGCAAGGACACTGTCTTTGCTGAGAATGGCAATTCGATGGTAGGTCAACCACTTTTCCATATTGAAAGACAGAGTTCTGGGTATATTAACACGGACTTCAATAGGACGTCGAGGTCCCCGGCGGCCAGCAAGTCTACGTTGGCCCCGCCGGTGCGCTGAGATACACCATCGCGCACTCGGCCTCCATGCCCGAGGGCTCCACCGTTGGAGGCATGCACTACGATGCTGAAAAGCCGTATTCCTACTTGACCTTCAAGGGCCGGGGCGCCACAGGATTGATGGCCTGCCCGACCAAGGACCACAAGCATTGGCAGGTGTTTGCGGCCCTCGAGGACGCCACGGTGCCGACTGGCAATGTGAACGACTGCCTGGGTTTCGACGCAATGGCCGTGACCTACAAGGGCAAGGTCCCGGCCTGGCAGTACATGTAAGGAATGGTGGTGGTCTGTACAGTAATAATGGCTTTGGGCAGAGTTATTACCTCAGATAATTAATGAATCACTTCGTATGCACCTCTATATATGTAGGAATGTAGGGTATCACTCAGTTGCGCCAAATTCGGATCGCCTTGTCTTTGCCACCGCTGCCGACCTTTTGTCCGTCTGGACTCCAGTCGACGGCGAATACCTCGTCCTTGTGGCCCGGCAGGTCCATCGACAGCTTCCCCGTGCGCACATCCCACACTTTGAGCGTGGTGTCCTTGGATGAAGAGACCAGGAGCCGCGAATCGGCTGAGAAACAGCACTGGTAGACGGCGCCGACGTGGCCGCGGAAGGTGGTGATGAATCTGGCGGAGTTAGTGAAATCCTAGTTGGCCCGAACAGGGAATCGCTTACTTTCCATCCCGCCCGTTCCATAGTTTGACGTGGTTGTCAAACCCGGCGGACGCAATATATGCCATGTCTGGGGAAAACGTAACGTGGTTCACCTCCTTCTGGTGGCCCAAAAGTCGGGCTACGGGCTTGCTCGAGCTCGCTGGGTCCCACAGGTACATGGTGAAGTCGTCGCTGGCAGACACGAGCCGCTCCACGATGACATTGTTGACCGTAGCCGCCTCTTCGAAGCGTTTCCGGGCCGCAGCGACTTTTTCCGCCTCGGTGTCGGGAACCTTGCCAGTGTGGTCATGATAGGCAGTACGAAGCGCAAAATCGGTGGACAGCGCCAGATGGTTCACCCGGTGGGCATGCGCCGCCAGGGTCTGTAACAAAGTACCATCCTTCGGATTCCAGATCTTGATTGTCTTGTCGTGGGATGCCGTATAGAGCTTGCCAGTGCCACCCCAGCGCACACAGGTGACTGAGCCCTTGTGACCGGTAAGCACATTGTCGATGCGCTTCGACACTACATCCCACACCCGAACCGTCGAGTCCTTGGATGCCGAGGCCAAAAGTGGCCGCCCAGATTCCTGGACGTGGTACGGTTCCCACGCCAAACTTGTAATCCACTTTGCATGGCCCTTGAGCGGCCCCCCGAGCGCCTGGCCCTTTTTCGCATCCCACAATCGCACCGTGTTATCCATGCTGCCCGTCGCGATCAGCGCCCCGTTCGGCGAGTATGCCACTGCCAACACCCAGCTGGTGTGTCCCTTGAGGGTGTGCAGCGGAGTCCCCGTGTCACAGTCCCAGACTCGGGCTGTCGCATCGCCGCTGCCCGACACCATGGTAGACGAAGAAACTGGAGAAAAAGACGTGGCGAGAATTGCCTCGCCATGCCCGGCTATTGATGCCGCGCAGCGCGAAACGGCCTTGACGCGGAACACTGCTTGTGGGGTGAAGTACAGCGGGATGGTATCTTCGGTCGTCTTCAATCCTGGTTGGAGGAGCGAGTGGTACAGATTGGCGAGGATGTCGATGGTCTGGCCTTCTTTGGTGTCGGACTGGTAGGTAAACCGATAGGGCACCCGTTCGTCGTCATCCTGCATTGGTGGGTTAGCAGTGCTCTTCCGACCGCGTCCGACGATACTGACATTGCCTTGTAATGTGTTGAGGAGGGTCTCGAGGTTCTTGATGTTCGCATCAGCCACGGGCACTGAGACGGCGGGCCCGGTGGCATTGCCTGTGGACTGGTCGTAGAATTGGACGCGGACACTGCCCAAGTCGCTGGGGATACTTTGGATCTCTTGCTGCTCGCGGGCCTTTTCGGCCTGAGCGACCTTCTGGCGCTTGCTGGGGGGCGGAAGGACAGTCGCCATGGTTGAGGGGAAGAGAGCGAGAAAATTAAATTTGCAAGCTTCACGTTATCACTTATCGTTATCGAGATCCTTTTTCCTTCATAGTCGGAGTTTCGGAGTGTATAAGAGCAAAAGGAAAAAAATCGGCCTATGGATGCCCCAATAGTGTAGTGGTTATCACGTGACACTCGTAGTTCTCCCTTTCAGGAAAGACACGAGGTATGTTAAGGTCCTTCGTTCAAATCGGAGTTGGGGCACGTCTTTTTTTTCTTTTATGTTCTTTGGGCGTAGACTAGTAGTTAGCATGACAGATGGTCATGGCGAGGAATATTAGGATCACCATAGACGCAATGCTATCCTTGGTATCCTCCATCTTCATCCATCCCAAACACCATCATGTCTTCCCGCAAGTCCACTTCGGCCTCATTTGCTCCATTGACCTCCAAGGCAAGCCCGAGACGCTTACATACCGTCCAACCGACAAAAACGGCCACCAGTGTCGCAGCCCAGGACATCATCTGCGCCGTAACCGAGTCGCGCGGCGTGTCATGCGTGGTCGGCCTGGCATTTATCAATCTGGTTACAGCAGAGGCAGTGCTATGTCAGATCTGCGATAGCCAGACCTACATGAAGACCATCACCAAACTCGGCGTGTTCGAGCCCAGTGAGATCCTTTTCATGAACACGGCCAAGGAGTCGAAGCTCTGCTATATCGTGCAAGAGAACCTGCCCTGTCCGATCTTGACTTATTTGGATCGCAGGTGCTGGTCAGATAAGACAGCTCACGAATACATCGATCACTTTGCCTTTCCCGAGGACTTGGAGTCACTCAAACTGATACTGGGTGGGCATTACTTTGCCGCGTGTTGCTTTGCGGCAGTATGGTCGACCTCGATGCTCTTGATAATGACAAGACTAACCATCGCGCAGGTCTTGAAGTATGTCGAGCTCGAATTACAGCAGACCTTCACCTCGCATTCCTTGCGCATCCGCTTTGAGCCGTCACAGGGTTCCATGACGATTGACTTGGCCACGATTATCTCGCTCGAGTTGATCCAGAACTTGCAGAATGCCAAATCCCGGGATAGTCTCTTTGGCCTGCTGAATGAAACCTTCACGCCCATGGGCACTCGCCTGTTGCGAGCCAACATTCTCCAGCCTTCCACAGAAAGGGTCAAGTTGACAGCCAGACACAATGCCGTCGAGGAATTGTCCACCAAAGAAGACATGTTTGTGTCGGTTCGGCAGGCGCTCAGAGGATTTGTAGATGCGGACAAGATCTTGACCTCTGTACGGGCTCTCTGCTGTGTCTGACTGCTCGATTTCACTGACTATCTAGCTTATCCTGGTTCCCACCAAGCGGACGGCTCAGTATATCGAGCAGTCTGTGAACAATGTCATCATGTTGAAGACGTATATATCAGCGATCACAAACGTGTACCAGGCGCTGACAACGGCGCAAAGCGATCTTCTACTAACCATTCGAGAGGTGACAGGATGCCTCTATAATTCTGGCCTTTGCTAATGCTTTTCAAGCTGTGCGCCCCCGCAGCCCACCGTTCAGTCGAGCAGCTCATCGAAGAAACACTCAACGAGCATGTCACATATCAAACCAAACCGCTGGATCTCCGAAACCAGCGCATATACTGCGTCAAAGCCGGTGTAAACAGTTTTCTAGACGTGGCCAGGCAGACATACAAAGAAGCGAACATCGACGCGACCGAGCTCGTGGCAAAGCTCGCAGGTTTAAACACATATTCCACCCTTGACGACCTCGTTGCTGATATTTCTTAGATAACTGTGAAATGGCACTGGACCTGAAATACGACACGGCTCGCCAATACTACATCTGCATCCCAACCGCAGAACAACCAGAGCCACTACCAAGCGTCTTCATCAATGTCTATCGCAAGCGAAACCGAATCGAATGCCAAACGCTGGATCTGGTCAAATTAAACCAGAAGATCGCCGACGCGCACAATGAAGTCATCAACATGAATGATAGTACCGTCCAGGAGCTGATCAACGACGTGTGCTGCGAGGTATCGGGTCTTTTCCGCGTCAGTGAAGCAATTGCCATGCTTGACATGCTAGCGACGTTTGCGCAACTGGCTACCAGCCACGACTACATCCGCCCAGAGTTGACAGACACACTGGCCATCAAGGCAGGACGGCATCCAATCTACGAGCAAATCCGTGCTAACAAGTTCATCCCGAACGACGCATACGCAACGCCGCAGACACGGTTCCAGATCATCACGGGCTGCAACATGAGCGGGAAGTCGACTTACATCGGCTCTTTGTCCCTGCTGACCGTCATGGCTCAGATAGGCTGTTTTGTCCCCGCACAATATGCCTCCTTCCCTTTGGTCCACCAGCTATTTGCCCGCGTGGCGATCACAGACGACCTAGACGCCAATGTCTCCACGTTCGCTGCAGAGATGCGCGAGATGGCGTTTATCCTGCGCAACATCGAACCTCGCAGCATGGTGATCATCGACGAACTTGGTCGCGGGACTAGCACGACAGACGGCCTGGCTATTGCAATCGCACTGGCCGAGGCACTCATCTCCAGCAACGCGTTGGTATGGTTTGTTACGCATTTCCACGAACTACCGCGCATCCTGGCCGAACGCAGCGGCGTTGTCAATTTGCATCTGGCCGCAGAGATTGCCTCCGATGCTTCCAAAATGACCATGCTCTACCGTATCGCAGACGGCCCCGTCCCAGACCGGCGGTATGGTCTTGCTCTCGCCCAGCTCGTGGACCTTCCACCGGGTGTGCTGGACAGGGCGCGAACAGTCTCCGATGCGCTGGACCGCCTCGCCCAAAAACGCAACAGTCCCTCGCGCGCCTTGGCGATCGCCCGCAAACGCAAGCTGCTTCTGTCGCTGCGTGAGCAGCTCCTGCTTGCTCGAGATGAGTCTATGGATGGCGATGAACTCCGCCGTTGGCTGTTGAGGTTGCAGAACGCGTTCGTGCTACGCATGGCTGCCATTGATGAGGAACTGTCGAGCTCGCATGATGAAATTCATGACAGTGAGGAGAATTCGAGTTCTCCTATTCAGTTTGAAGACTCAAGCTCGGTCATCGATGATCAAGTCGATGAGATCCCTGTGCAAGAGCATGTGACTGTTGAGACGGATGAGTCGATATCTTCTGCAGAGGACGATAAGATGGAGATTGAAGAGGAAGAAATTCTTCCCAGCACCGACAGTGAGTGATTCCACCCATTCTTTATGAATTGTAGAGTTCTACCTTTTCTATCCGTGACTGGGCATATGTATACGGCGAGCAAGAGGTGACCTCGAATAAGACCCCATGCCCCTTCAACCTTTGCTATAGCACTACTGTGACTGTATGATAGATGATGTCTCACAGTGCGCAGTGTATTTTATCTGCAAGTGCTAAAACATCCATATTACATCACAAAAAAATACGACATGTAAATCGTGTAGAGCCATGAAAAGTTCCTCGTCTTCAGGTCGTGTATTATCTATGACAAACTGTGCGTCAACATAGGTAGGTAGATTGGTTGGATATCACCCGAAATGGAACAAAGTCTGCTTCCCCTTCTTATTCTTGCCCTTTTTGCCACCACCAACGCCGGGTCCATCGATCAGGTCGAAATCAGATGGCTGCTCAGACGGCGAGGCAGCGCCCGAGCTTGCACCTGAGCCCCATGCGCTCGGGGCGGGTCCGCGGCGGTCATCCCAGCGGACATAGGCGCGGGTCTTACCGGCCATCATGACATTGGGTTTGGAAGCCGCAGGGAGAGCGGGAAAGGCGTCTGCGCCGGAGGAGGCTACAGCCCGGCTTGAGGTAGTCGGGATGCTGGGGGAGGAACGACTGGAGGTGCTGGCGAGGGGTGGGCGGGAGAGGGCAGGAGGAGCAGCAGTGGCCCAGGGGGTGGCAGAGGCGGCATTGTTGCGACGAGAAGACCCGCCGGTGGTAGCGGAAAGAGGAGGAAACGGGTTCATGGATGAAGAAGCGGCAGAGGAAGGGAGAGGACCACTTCTGCCGACAGCAGCACGGGATGATTTGGCGGTAGATGACTTCAAGCGCAGAACACGGCTGCCGCCTGCGCCGCCGCCATTAACGGTGCCGGGGGATATGCCAGGCAAGAGGCCACCTGGGCCTGGGAGGGCTGGATAGTCTTCATTGATGGCACGCCAGTCGTTCCAGGATTGCAGGAGATTAGATCGCTTGGACTCCTCCTCGTAGATTTCGGCCAGTTCCTTGATGAGCTTGCCCAGTTCGGTACTGGTAGTGTCGAAGAGAGTGAAGAAGGCATCGATGAGCTCGGTCGCGGAGATGTAGGAGGTGCGGTAGCTGGAGACTCTGTTACGGAACTCCGCGAGTTTCGTGGCATCGTTGTGCAGAAGGTTCGAGGCCCTCTCAACCACGGCTGTGTGGCGTAGACGCCGCGCCGGGTCTTGCGAGCTGACAGGTCCATTGTTGGCGGCAAGACTGAGGTTCTCGAATTCCTCTGCCGGTGGTGGTGGGGGAGCTCGCGACGATGCAGAAGATTGCACAGGTGTGCCAGCAGCTGATCGTGCCGGGGCGCGAACAGTTTGGGTGTCGTTGCGTGTGAGCTGACCACCAAAGCTCCGCGTGGAAACAGACTGTGCGCTCTGGATGGCCATCTGTCGCTGGTAGGCCATCTCGTCGCGTCTCAGTGGCTGCGCGCTGGAGGCTGGGAGAGGCTCCGCATTCGGGTCGCGACCGCGGCCAGCACCACGGCGCTGGCGCTGCGGCTGGTATGGGCTGCGGAGGTCAAATTCGGCCAGATCGACGATTCGAGCATCTCGTCGCACATCCTTGGAGAGACCATCAGGGTGCGCCTCCAGTTGGTGGGCCTTGAGATCCATCTGGGACTCGAAAACCACAAACTTTTTTTCCAAGCACTCCTTGTCCAGGCAGAGGAAGTGATCCTTTTGGAAGTGACCTTCCAGAGCGTTGTAGTCGATGTAGTACTGTTGCTGGCGATTGGTGGCGTGGCGATCACAGATGTGGCATCGCTCGTGTTTGTCACGGCAGTGGGTATAGAGCTCATCATCGCCATAGAAACGCTGGTGGCAGAAACCACACTCAGGGTGGCCTTTGAACCCACTTTGGTCTAGAGCACCAGGAACATCATCGCCATGCTTTTCATGCCGGCGCAGCTCTGCCATGGTGAACAGGACGTGCTCGTGGGTAAAGACTTTCTTGTTGCGGGTGCAGAGATCACTGTTGCGAACAGGTGAGAAATGAAGAATCAAATGATAGGCAGGAGCTGGGACTTACCACATCACTTTGCCATGTTTGTTCTTCACATGTCTATGAAGGTCCGGCCAGCCCAGGCAGGCAACATCACAGTCTCCATCGGGACAGTTGTACCGCAGGAGTAGCACTGTGTCCTCAAAGATCTCGTCGTTCTCGTACTGGATGCCAAGGTTCTTGTCTGTCCGGGCAAAGTCCTTCTGTTGGAACTCTTCGTACCGTTTAGTAGTATCATCAGTGAAAACCACAAAATTGGACTCAGTCTGCGCATTGAACAGTTAAAATCTGACTAGACTAGTGCAGGACCGAGAGCGAACCTACCCGGCAATGAGCACAAGCTTTGTTCTTGTACAGTGCCCGTAGTCTCAGCGCACAAATATGACAGGTTCGGTGATTGCACGGTGAGACAGAGGTATGTTCGACCCTAGACGCGCAGATAAAGCATACCTCCCCATCATCGGCATCATCGGCATCGTCTGTCGCGGGTGTGAACTTCTTTTTTCCTCCTTCAGCTGCAGGTGCAGTTAAGCGTGCATCGGGTGTGGTAGATTCAGTATTTGGAGTCTGTTTGTCGCGTCCACCACTGCGTTGGCCTCCCCGGCCACGAGTCCTGGAGCCTCTTGTAGCGTCGGCGGGTTGGCGGTGCGGCTCCCCACGGCCAGAAGAAGCCCCTCCACCGCGCCCGCGACGACGGCCACCGCGGGGCTGGCTGTTTGACTCTGAAACAGGGTGGTTATCGGCCATTGCGAGTCAAGATTGAAGCAGCGGGGGCACCAATGTCAAAGAATCACAGGGCGAGAACGTAATGGAGTGGGTGGGAAAAAGTTAGGAGTGCGGGAGTTGCTGACTGATCGCCCAGGCGGAGCGATAACGCGCTATCTACAAACAGCAGCACAAATGTTATGCCACCATCTACGAACTTGCAAGGACAGGGAAAAAATGTCCATATTCAAGGTCTTCGAAAATGGTCCTATTGATCTCAAAATGATCAGTCGCCACTGGAAGACTGCACCAACTCCCGCTGGAGAGCAGAAAACAAAGAACACATCAAAAATCAAAAACCAGTACGGAGTAACTATGCGGTCCGGCGTGAGCAGCAAGCGTGCCAGAAGGAGACAGGGTCGGGTAACTGATGATGGAAAGAAATCGCGCCGGCATCCCCATGCATTGCAGAAAACCAGAAGGGGGAGAACAGGAAATTCGTTAGAGGCATTTCCAGAAGCGCAGACTATTCGTCCGGGTTGTACAGGTTCTGGTTCAGGATCTTGGTCATGGTGAACATGTGGACCCGGTCCTGTTTGAAGACGGCGCGCATGGCCTCATCACAGCGGATCTGTCGGCGGTCGCTTGGGTCCTGCAGGTCGTGGTCACGGATGTACTGCCAGACCTTCTTCACCGTCTGAGGTCGAGACAGCTATATAAAATTAGCATACACCGCTAATTCAGTCAAGAAAAACGCACCGTGACCTCGCCGAGCAATGCGGACAAGGGCGGCGAAAGGTTGAGCGGTTTCTGGAAGAGGGTCAGTTAGATCTGGGATACGGATAGGGTATCAAGCTCACATGGAATCCACCGGTCCGGTTGACCTCCTTCTTGGTGTCCGAGCCCGACTCGATATCGGAGTCATCTTCAGCCTTAATCCGTTTCGCAGTCTTGGCCTTGCTCCGCTTCTTAGTGGGAGCTGTTCGCCGGGGGCCACCCCCTCTTGTAGGTCGTGCGCGCAGATTCTCCTCCGCCTGCAGCTTGGCTGCGAACAAGGCGTCCGCGTCGACATCGGGCTTCCGCTTTTTGGTGGGGGGCGCGCCTCTAGTCGGCTCGGACCCTTCGTCGCTATCAGGATCGCGTTTCACCGGTGAGGACGATGGTGGAGGAGAGGGAACCGCACCCGAGACCGACTCGCCATCTCCGACGCCATTGGACGCGGGAGTTGCCTCGGGTGACGCCGCAACGCCATTTCGTTCAGCGACAATATCGAACCGCTCCATGATGAGCTGCTTGATCTCAGTCTGTACAGATAAATGTAAGCCCCGTCAATATGCTCGTAGTTGGGCAGAGATGGACCTTCTGCGGAGTGAGATCGTAGCCAATGACATCTTGGAGACCTTTGCGAATCCGTTTCTCGGAGATGGTGTTGAGGTCGCTTTTGGCAAGGATCGAATCGATGATCTCGGTGTACCGAGCGCGCTTGTCAGATGAGACTGTGGTGCAAGGCCCGGGTTCAGTTTAGGAAGCTGAACAGCCTCGGCAGTTGGCGCCGGGATGACGACGGGGGACTTACGCGACATCTTGGCTGGGCAGCAGGTGTAGAATCCCTGGCGACCAAGACCAAAAAGGCAATTGCTGTTGGAACAAGTCGGTTGCCCAATGCTAGGTGCGCTGGGAGGGAAGGCGTGCGAAGAGGTTCGGGAGAGATGTCAGGTGAGGTAGAGAGGTACCTATACCAAAGGTCGCACTGGCGCTTAGGACCGGCGGGGCATTGGGACGGAAGAGGTGACCGAGTAGAGACTAGAGATCGAAGAGTAATGAGAAATACACGCAATGCGCCGACACCACGAACACCCAAGCGGACAGACCAGCAGCTCGATTCTTCTCAGAAAAAGCACGCAGGGATTCGCATGCTCTGCTGAACACTGGCTGGCTGGCTGGCTCCGATCCGGGAAGCTGGGGAAGGTGCTGAGTCAGCGACAAAATCATGTGACTTGGTGGTTAGTCAGCGCGCACAAAGAAAGGCGCGGCGGATTGTGGATTATTTTTCGATCCAAGACCGAGAGGCAGTTTTTCCACATCCCTCTGTGTCCCAGCACCCTCGCCAGTCGGATTCACACCCAGTATGGCGCCCAGCTTCGATACTTTGTCCGAACAGGACCTCCACGAGGAGGAGGAGGAAGAGGTTGACTTCTCTGGTGCGTGCGATGGATTTTCATTGTTCTCAAATGGGCCCCTCTATCTAACACCCACCCAGATCTCAAGGCGCAGTACGAAGTCAAACTCGAGGAGGGCTTGGACACATTCATCGTCATCGACGGACTCCCCGTCGTGCCCGCCGACAGCAAGCAGAAACTGGTCAAATTCCTTTTGAGAAAACTCAATGCCGTGGGCCACACCTCCGAAGATGCGGTTTTCATGCCGCTCACCGACAAGGGCATGTCCGAAGGGTGCGTGAAGTGATCCGGGTTGGAAAATACATTTTTTAATCAGTTTACAGGTTCGCCTTTGTCGAGTACGAAACCCCCGAACAAGCTGTCGCCGCCGTCAAGCAGCTGCACGGCACCCCTCTCGACAAGAAGCACACTCTGCAGGTGAACAAGTTGATGGATATTGAGCGCTACGGCCGCGAGGGCCGCGTGGAGGAGGAATACAAGGCGCCCGAGATGGAGCCGTTCAAGGAGAAGGAGCACCTGCGCTCGTGGATGGGTGATGCCAACGCCCGTGACCAGTTCGCCCTCTACCGGGGCGACAAGGTGGGCGTGTTCTGGAACAACAAGGGCAACCCACCGGAAAACGTCGTCGACCGCGCTCACTGGACACAACTTTTCGTGCAATGGTCCCCCAAGGGTACATACCTTGCTTCCGTCCACCCACAGGGTGTGCAGCTCTGGGGCGGGGCATCCTTCTCGAAACAAAAACAATTCCCCCACCCGTTCGTGCAGCTCATTGAATTTTCGCCACTTGAGGGGTACATTACAACCTGGTCGTCGCGGCCAATCCAGGTGGAGGAAGGCCAGCCGGTCCTGACCTATGAGGAGGATGGAAAGAACATCATCGTTTGGGATATCGAGTCGGGCAAGCCTCTCCGGTCGTTTGTCTCGCACGACCTAACCGCAGGCCCTATTCCCGAGGGCGAGATGCAGCCTAAGAAGAAGGTCCAGTGGCCCGCGTTCAAGTGGTCCGCGGATGAGAAGTATGTGGCGCGCATGCTCCAGGGCCAGTCGCTCTCCATCTACGAGCTACCCCGGATGAACCTGCTGGGCAAGACCTCGGTGAAGATTGAGGGCGTGAATGACTTTGAGTGGTCTCCGGCCACGGTCAGCCGGGAAGGTACGAAGCAATACGAGCAGCTTCTCTGCTTCTGGACTCCCGAAATTGGCAGCAACCCGGCTCGTGTGGCGATGATGACCGTGCCAACGAAGGAGATCGTGCGAACGCGAAACCTGTTCAACGTGTCTGATGTCAAGCTGCACTGGCAATCGCAAGGTGCCTACGTCTGCGTCAAGGTCGATCGTCACTCCAAGTCCAAGAAGTCGATGGCAACCAACTTGGAAATCTTCCGGGTGAAGGAGAAGGGCGTTCCGGTGGAGGTGGTTGACAGTCTCAAGGACACAGTGATCAACTTTGCCTGGGAGCCCAACGGCTCTCGATTTGTTCTCATCACCACGGGCGAGACCCCGACCGGCTCCGCCGCCCCCCTAAGACGGCCGTGTCTTTCTTTGCTACGGAGAAAAAGGGCAGCACAGCCGGCAACTTCAAGCTGGTTCGGACCGTCGAGAAGAAGACCAGCAATGGCATCTACTGGTCGCCAAAGGGCCGGTTTGTCGTGGTGGCAACCGTGCACTCGCAATCTAGCTTTGACATGGACTTCTGGGATATGGACTTTGAGGGCGAGAAGGTTGAGGCTGAGAAGGATCTGGCGGCCAACCTCCAGCTGATGAAGACGGCCGAGCACTACGGTGTGACCGACATTGACTGGGATCCCACTGGCCGCTACGTGGTCAGCAGCGCCAGTGTGTGGACTCACTCGGTAAGTCCTGGTGTTTCTTTTTTCTCCCTGTCTACTTCATTTACTAACTCGGGATACTAGATGGAAAATGGCTGGAACATGCACACTTTCTCCGGCACCACCTTGTCCGAGAACCCCACCGAAAAGTTCAAGCAGTTCAGCTGGCGCCCACGCCCTGCTACTCTGCTCAGCAAGGAGGAGCAGAAGCAGGTGCGCAAGAACCTGCGCGAGTACTCGAAGGAGTTCGAGGAGGAAGACAAGTACGCCGTGGACATTGCCAACACTGCTGTGGTGGAGACACGGAAGCGCGTGCTCAACGAGTGGGCTGCCTGGATCCAGCGCGAGAAGGAACTCCTGGCCGAGGAGAGGGAGGCCTTCGGTCTGCCCGAGGACGCCGACTCGCCCAAGAATGCTCTGGATGCACCACCCGCCGGCACGGACGAGGGCGAGACAGTGGTCGAGGAGTTGGTGGAGGAGATTATCGAGGAGACCGAGGAGGTCGTCCTCTGATGAATTTGTTTCCATCGCATATAATGTTTTTCTTTTGTTTTCGTCTTTGTCTGCTGGTCCCTTCGGCGATATACGGGACGCCCTCAAAACCATTAGGTCGAGCTTGTGTGCGCGATGATGAATCCTTGATGTGCAATGTGGATAGCATGAGAGATGCCTACGGATCTACTGTTGCAACCTGGCTGCAAACTGTTCATTCTATATCTATTCTTCTCCTGGTAGACACCGTGATCCATATTCATCCATATAATCCAAACCCGATTCCCACCGTCCCCAGCAAAAACAAGGCCACGACCGACGGCCGCGTGCCTGGGCTTGTGGTGGTCATGGAAGAGTTTGCCGCGCGAACATTCTTCCGAAAGAACTCATTGTGGTCGCCAACGACGTTGCCTCCTGGTCTATATTCGCACACGACATACCATCCTTGGGCGCGAGAAGTCCCATCTGCAGCTCGATCATCCAGAACAAGACCTCGCCGACTATATCTAGATTTATCCGTATACCCGCAGTCAATGGCCGCACAGCCCACCTCCGTGGTAGACCGCCATACCAACTGCGTAAAATGGCCTGTCTTCTCCGTGAAGCCGGTGGGTTTTTCGTAGTTATACTCGGCGCCCTCGTTCCCCCATGCGTCCACAGCGGCGGTGGCATTGGCGTACCCAAATGCAAGGTTCTCGCCGTAGGGGCCACCCTACGCAATAGTCAGTTCATAGATTCACAATATCAAGAAATGAAGAATGCATACCGAGTGTTCCCATATACACTTTTCGGCCCAGTTCTTCGCGTACTTCTCTAGAGTCTCGTTCCATGATAGTGGACTTGCCTCGTGGACAGTCCTGTAGTCGTTAGTCGCTTGCAGGACGGCGGATTTGAAGTCGGTTTTCGAGGTATAAGAGGGTGGATGTGGTGAGGTGGGTATGGCGGTCACGGTGGCGGTGGTTTCGTCTTTTACCATGATGACCTCGTCGGCGGACGCAATGACATTGAAGATGATCAGAAGAAGCCAGTGCCATGAGACTAGGCTGCCGGTGGCCATCATGCCTGGTATATGCATGTATACTGGAGTATTGAAGATACTGTAATATCACTGCATTTTCTGAATTGGAAGCATGCAGTGTTTTCTTTCTCCGATCGTGGATGAATTGGTCCCCTATTGTACTAGGATAGAGAAAAGTCAAAAAGACCGTCCGAGCTAAGCGGGCAATGATGTAGGTAATAGAGGTAGCCTAATGTCAGGGCAGCACAGTACCTGGAGAAGATGTCATAGTCTTTTATCCGGATCCAAGGAACAAGGTCTGCGGGAAGTCTATGAGCCATCATATTATCGTGAGCCATTATATTATCGTGAGCCATTATATTATCGTGACATTCAGACACCACCCGGGTCCAGCCCAAGATTAGAAACTAAAACTAAATACGGCGGAGGTTTCCCAGTCTCAATCGAAGCAGGGTGAGTACATTTCTCTGAATCGTGCTTTCTGTGCCTATCGTCAGGGGGAGTCTCGCCGGGTCTCAGGGCAAAGCGTTTCATCGTGTTCCAGCAGCCGCTGTTGACGTCACTGGTTGGATGGTAGCATCCGGCGCACGGCCTGTGCGCCGGATTGAGCATTGACTGCTGAAATTATTTTTGACATGAATTAATTAATTTGAAAGACATAATGCATAAATCTAAAGGAAAGAATTGAGATCTATAGAGCTTTGGGTAAAGTGGGCGATGCAGTTAGGGCTAATTAGTGGTTGCCAAGATAACAGGAAAATAAACAGTTTGGGGGCCAACGAATCTATTGATGCAAACTGGCGGCCAATCGTCCAGATCTGGGCTCGCAGTCAGTGGAATTCGGCGCAGTGATTGTATGAAATGATAGTCAGAGTTGAATGTGTCTGCCTGTCATGACCCGTAAATGCTTATTGTGTAAATATCGCTATGCAAATCTCTAGATACTGAGGAGAATATCTACATCACGCTGCACCCAATGCCATACATAGCCCGTTCCACATCACGTTTCACCTGGTACCAATCGGCGCGCCGTTCGGCAAAGTCGTACACCTCCTCCACGCGCCAGATGCCTTGAAATCGCTCCGCATCAGCGATGAGCGTTGCCAGCTCTTTGGCGTCCGACGGGTCAATCAAGTAGATCTGGGCCAGCTCGCGGAAGGCCTTGAAGTAGAGGAGGAGCTCGTTGTTCCTCAGCGTCTGTACGAATTTGAAGTAGTGGTTCATGTCACTGTGGCTGGTTAGTAATGAACCACAAGAAAAGAGGGCTTTGACATACCTTATTAGCTTCAGGGATCCCTCGACACTGATCCGCTGTCGCTTGAGATGCTTGCACAATGCTGTGAAAAGTCGCAGTCCCACCTCTTGGTTGAAAACGTCCAGCGTGCTCTTGTCGGTGCTTCCCACCAGCATCTGTGTGTGCGAGGACGCCACGTCAACCACAGCCGCGGCTGCTTCACTGACACCCACGTCCATTGTCTGCCGGTGTGGATCTGCAGAAACGCCCGGGTTGAAATCAGTGGCCAGCTGTCGAGTTGCAAGAATATAGTCTATTTCCTCCATGAGGACATCAATACCCTTATTCAGACCGGCTGCTACCCGCTCGTCCAGCATCTGCTCGAATTTCTTCTTCTCCTTCACAGCAGGGTCGACGAAGTCATTCCGGTCGGTCAGTCTTGTGCCGATAAGTTCCTGCTCGTAGAACACGTCCATCATCTGCAAGATCAAATCGCCGACATTGACCAGCTCCAAAAAGGTCACAAGAGGCTCAACCCCAGACTGGTCGCGCTCTTCGTGCTCGCGTGGTCGATAGTTGGAGAGATGATCGACGGCCTTGTCAAACCCAACGATAACATGTTGGTGCCCCAGAATTCGGAGTAATGATACAAAAATCGCCTCGCACTGCTGCTTCGCGATCCTGCCAGTCTCTCCACCCAGTCGCACAAACTGGGCCGCTCTCTCCAGGCTCGTCTTTGCGGAGTGAACAAGACTCAGAGCGATTTCAATGCTGAATAGAGACCGAATGCCTTCCATCTTCGATTTCATGATTGCCGCTTTGGCGGCCAGTTCGGTGGTCGGGGCTTCCTCCATGGGTACCGGAGTTGGTGATGAAATGGTCGAAAACCGGTTAGGGCTCTTGATTGCTGGCGAATTGCGTCCATTCGTTTCTGAGTCTGATTTGGGTTCTTCGGGTGCTTTTCCGGAAAAACTGGGCAGAATGTTCACGGGCATCATGATGACTTTCTTGAACGAAGTCAGGAAGTCCCGCTTATCTGCCTGTCGATTAATGTTAGACATCAAGTATGACTCCGTAGAAGCAGCCTGTTCAGACAGTTGTCGGTCCCAGTCAGCCACCGCGGCCTCGGATGCCTTCCGGAAAAAGTCCAGCTCTTCAGCCAAATACAGGTCAATGTGCGGTTCGAAAATTCTGGTGATCACCTTGTCCAGGTACTCGTCAAACTTGTCTCCAGAGCTTCGCGAGGGTAATAGGGCTTCTGATAGGTTCATACACTGGACAAAGGTCACCGAGACGGCCGTAAGGTACGACTCCATGTTGCTGCGGTGCAGTTCGTCAAATATGGCCGTCAGAAAGGGATACAGCACGTCCTGGCCAACTTTCTCCATAAAAGGAGACGCCACATTCATATTTTGGGGGAAAGCCCGGTTCATAATCGAGACTTGCTCATTGTAGGCAACGCTCAGGCGGGTCAAGAAGGCCTGGGTATGTTGCAACTTCACATTACCCGTCGACTCATCAATGCAGTCAGCAACCCTCCCCAGTTCAGACTTTTGTGTCATCAGATGGTTGTGATGAATGAAAAGTTCGACGGCCGAGTTGCCGCCATTCAGCGTCCACAATACATGGGCATATTTCCGCATCGTGCCCTCAATGTCATCGTTTTCGTATCCTTTCCGGAATTCGTTCAGCGCGGCAGTCTCAAACATTGACACCGTCGTCTCTAATTGATCTGTCCGCTCTTTCCATCCTTCTGTTATGTCACATTTCGCAAATGCCAGCAGTTGCGATAATAACTGCGCTTGAGATTCCGGGTCTTTATACTTCGTGAAAACCAGACCATCTAATGATGGCCCTGATCGTCCTATGTCGTCATAAAACGGTGCCAATGCAGCGTGGATCTTTCCGTATTCCTGCCGTGCCTCGCCTCGAATAGACTTGGCTTGCTTCAGCGCGCCCAGTATAGGGTCATCCACGGGCGCGAGTATATCTGGCTGGGGAGCCGTATTGACCAGGTCTATCTTGTCGAATCCATCGGCAAGATTTTGTTCGATAGATATTGTAGGAAGGGCACCGTCCTTACTCGCTTTGGTCTCTTCTTTTTCCGCAGTTTCCAGGTTGGCAATCGATTCATAAATCTTCTCGTTGTGCTTTCGCGCTTCGGTTTCATCCCAGCAGCCTATTCGCTTCAATCGCTGGACCCACCGCGTGTCATCGTAGGCCATTTCGTGCATAAGCTTGGAACAACGCGCGGCTCGGACGAGGTCGACGGGGCCCAGGTGCTCAAAAATCAGCGCTATGATCTCTGCTAGCTGTCAGTAAATCTTGTCGGAAGGAGCTTTTTCCTTTTTGCACGCACCTGCTGGAAGAGATGCTCGGGAGATCTCTTCCATAGACGCCATCCGCAGCGAGGCCAACACATCTCGACGCGGAGTGGCGGGCCTTGAGCCTTTCTTGGGATTTGGCATCTTGGGATCTTGAACTGTTCATCGGAAATGCCAGAAATGACCTCAGGTGGCCAGCCCTAGGCCACACAGCTGTTTCTGGAGTGCTTAGACACCAGATCTCTGGGGGTGGTTGTTGTGGAGCGGGGCAGGTTCGGGGCAGAAGAGAAGTGCCGAGAATAGTACAGTGGATCAGAGATGGACCATTGAGGCAAACCAAGTCAGGGTCGCATCATGAGCACCCAGGATGTAGCACTTCTTTTTTGTTCTGCAATCGGAGACACATTCCACGATCGGCACAGATCAGTGGTGGTCTCACCGCCGTCGGCAGAACCGAAGGGGGAGGGGAACAGGGTCAGATATAATTCGTGCGACAGAAACATATGTAAGTAGATGATTGGATATTATTATTGCAAAAGATTATCTTTATGCCACAAAGCTGGGCAAATAAAACATCAAGGTTGAGTGGTTGGTTCTTATAGTGAGTGTGCTTGACCTCTCACCAAATATATACTTGCACACAAAACACTATTCATAACACTATCTACTCCTAACCTCCGTTAGCCGGTTACCAAACCCCCAGAAATACCCATGTCAAATAGTGTCCGATTCACAGCAGTCGAGACATCATTGTAGGGCATTGTGCAGCGAGAATGTTTACCTCTTTACCTATTGCAAATGTTCAACGCCTGAAAACAAACATCCTGCTGTCTCGAATGATTAGCTCCTTTAATTTTAAAATCTGGTTAGGAGAAGTTCTTTCCTCCTGGTTCTTTCCTGAAAACAATATACGACACGATGTCGAGTCTCCCGAGAATTATTCGCGGTTTTCACCGGGTCGGGGTTGAGCAGCAGCCAATGAGCGTGTACGTAATCCCCTAACCTAAGACTCTTCCACTTCTTCTCTTCCACTACCGCTTCTTCCCTCACCACGCCCTCCTCCTCCCTCCCCCACCACCCTCCCTTCCTGCTTCGCTGCTGCGCTCCCATCCATTCACCTTGATCGGAGGGTCGATTTCGCCATGCTGGCACGTTCCGCCCTGCGCGTGCCCTCCCGGGCCATCGCACGCCAGTCGCTCGGCAAGACGGCCACGGTACGCCTCGTCCACACTCCAATCCATCCATTGAGTTCCGACAGAGAGGGCAATCGCTGGCCCAGCTCGGGAGCCATTGATTTTCGGCCATTGACTGACATACCCGATAGCGTGCCTCTTCCACCGCCGCCGGTGCCGAATCCGCCAGCTCCCCCTTCTCTCTCACAATCACTGCGTCCCTCGCAACGGCCGCGGCTGCCGGTTCTGCCGCGTGGTACTACCATCTCTATGGCCAGGAGGCATTCGCCATGACCCCTGCTGAGGAGGGGTGAGTGAATTCCCTCGTGGTGGACTACCCGGGTCGCCCCGTGACGCCGAACCGAGGATTGTGCGATCAACGAGCAGTTGGACTAACTTGTGATTTTCTTTTCAGATTGCACCCCACCCAGTACCCCTGGGTGCATGAGCGCTTCAACAAGACCTTCGACCATGCCGCGTAAGTTTTTTCACTCCCATGCCGTCGCGACCGGTGGACACTAACAGCCCCCAAAAGCCTCCGCCGCGGTTTCCAGGTTTACCGCGAAGTCTGCGCCAGCTGCCACTCCCTGACCCGTGTCCCATGGCGCTCGTTCGTTGGTGTCATGCACACCGTGGATGAGATGAAGGCCATGGCCGAAGACAACGAGTACGACACCGAGCCCAACGACGAGGGCGAGCTCGAGAAGCGGCCCGGAAAGCTGTCGGACTACATCCCGCCCCCTTACAAGAACGACGAGGCTGCTCGTGCTGCCAACGGTGGTGCTCTACCCCCGGATCTCAGCTTGATCATTAAGGGCCGTCACGGTGGCTGCAACTACGTGTTCAACCTGCTGACCGGCTACCCCGATGAGCCCCCGGCGGGCGCCAGCGTCGCTGCGGGCATGAACTTCAACCCTTACTTCCCTGGTACCGGTATGTAGTGATTTGGGGATGTTATGTCAAACCGCAAAGCTAATTGGGCCTGCAGGCATTGCTATGGCCCGTGTCCTTTTCGACGGTGTCGTTGAGTACGAGGACGGCACTCCCGCCACCACTTCCCAGATGGCCAAGGACGTCGTCGAGTTCCTGAACTGGTCCGCCGAGCCCGAGATGGACGACCGCAAGAAGATGGGTGTCAAGGCCATCACTCTCCTGACCGGTCTGTTCGCCATCAGCGTTTGGGTCAAGCGTTACAAGTGGTCGCCGATCAAGTCGCGAAAGATCGTGTACAGCCCCCGATCCGGCCCCGCCGCTGAGTGTGTCGCCGCACGACTGTTATGAGTGAGAAAGATGGGGCGTGATGGGGGCAGACCGATCCTGCTCCTGGCCTGTCTTGCCTGACTGATCTGTTGTGTTCATTTATGGTCGTTGGCCTTGTGTTGTTAGAACGCTGCGAGCACCCCCTTGTATCTGTGTATCCTAGATATATTCCTTTTTGTCTTTTGAAAACTGTGTGCTCGAGGAATCCCTGAATTAATTTCCTTTGTTGTGACATTCTACCTACGACCCGTAGAAGCAGAGCCGATTGTAAATCGCGTAAGATTGGAGTTATATCATCAAGCTATATATACACAAAGTGGCGAGCATGATATAGTACAATGAGCTTTTCAAAGGGTATCATCAGGCTCGGTCGTCCGCTCTCCATCCCCAAACAACTTGACAAAAGCCAGATCATAACTCTTCCACAGCGCCCCAAACACCAAATTGGCCAATGTCACTATCCACGGCGGACTGCGCCCGTCGGGCCTGGCAAACAACTTCGACAACGTGATAATTGCCAGCACCGGGGGTGCCCAGATACCAAGGAACAAAACCTTCCCGATCTTCTGCCGTGTGGAAGTGATCCGATACGGCCGGATCTGAGCCAGATATTCCTGATAAGCGGTAGGAAGCTGGTGCTCCGCAGCACCAGTCGTGAGCAGATTCAGATACCGGGCCGACGGCTGCGCATACTCGGGATCCGGACGGAGATGCGGCTCGGATTTGAGGCAGAGCGCGCTGAGACCACAGGCGGTCCGTGCCGCATGTGTGAGGGTAACCCCGGATTGTTTCCGCCGTCGCGCTTCGTCGGCCGCGGGTGAGAGCAAGGTGTGTACCTTGAAGGCAGGTGTCCCTGGATGCTCGGGGACGGGGTCGGCGGGCTTGTACGACTCCGGGAATGCGTGGCAGTTGACAACGACGTCGCGGTAGCCTCGTCCACCGCCCTCTGTGGCAATGATCTTAGCGTAGTCAGCCAGCGTGACTTCGTAGACGACGCCGACGAGGGGCTTGTGCCATCGATTCCGGTGCGCTTCGGCGGCGGCCATGAGCGGTGCTTTCTCCGACACGGAGGATTTGTCGAGTACATACCAGGCCTCATCTTCTGCCTCTGCCGAGACATCTGCTTCCTCTGGATCGCGGAACTGGGTGCCCGCGAAACACGGCTCGGCGTATGGAATGCCGGGCAGATCGAAAGTCAACCGCAGCTCAGGCACGAGTACATTGATCTGCGACAGTGGCTTGATGCCACGTGCACCGCGAAAAGTCTTGGACGCCAGATTGGACCCGTATGCCAGGTAGAGAACCGTTTCCTTCTCTGCGACTGGATCCGTCACGCCGGCTCCGTGCTCCTGCTGCTCCGCGATCTTCTCGGGGAGGTGTTCATCCTGATCGAGGGAGGTGGCGACACTTGAGGCACGCCGCCGCGCGACGGTCGTGGTTGGTAGGGAGGCGACATCGGGAGTGGAAGGCCTGGCAATAGGGCCGGGCAAGAGAGCGCGCAGTCGGTCGAGAGATTCTGTGCCGCTGAAGTGGTTCTGAGAAGGGTCTTCGTCGGCGTATGTCATGGTGGTGTAGCCCAGTCAGCAGAAGTACTGCAGACAGCCAAGAATAATGATGACCCGGGAGCCAGCCAGGAAGTGCTAGCCATAGGTCATTTATGTCTGAATTCGCTAGTCTGCCTGTCCGGGGCAATTGGACGCCCTTCACCCGTCGGAGATCAATTCGCCCGTGATCCGTGCTGAATAATCGACCTGACTAAGTCGGACAGGGTCTGCGACGATTAGTTAGGATATACATAGTCCATAGTTGTAGTATTTACTTTGTCTAAAATCATGTCTACACGGATAATGTTCCTGCTGTGTAGTTACGAATGATGGGAGTGCAAGTTTTACAGTTCGACCAATGGACACTACAAAAGAATACCGAATGCGATGGGACTATGATGTGAAGCTGTTCGATTTTGATGTTTATCTTGTTTTCAGCCTCGAATAACTGACCAAGTGATAAAAAACGGCTTTTCCCCCCTTCTTGTCTCGTCAATGTATATCTCGATGTCCAGTGTTTCGGTGGTGGTGAAGCCAGGTGATCTGGTTGCACTTGCCTTCTTATCTCTCCCTCGTCTCTCTTCTTTCTTCTTTTCCACCCGGATGTCAACCTTCCCATCTTGTTTGGCAATAGTCCCCTTGACGCCATGAAGCTCTCTACTATGGAACGGGACGTGCCAGAGAAAGGCTCGTGGGGTGCTGGGTCATTGCACTCCAAGTTCTCGTCTCGGATTTCAACGTCCCCTCAGATCAGGAGAGCAGCACGCCAAAAGATGAAAGCTTCGAACACAACAGAGGGTCCAGAGGAGAGTTTGCTGCCCAGCCATGATGATCAGTCCAACTGTGATATTGGAGACGGAGCAACCGCGGTCTCATCCCCAGTCCCAGAAAACGCCAATGCAAAGCCCCAGGACAAACAAAAACGTGCATCCAAAGCTCTCATGACCTACACAAAAGGCCGAAAGGCCAAAAGGCTGGCAGTGAAGGAAAAAAGCTCCAGTAGTCATCAATTGCCACTGGCAATGAACCCTCTTATCGCTGCGAGTGCAACTTACACAAAATTAGGCCCAATGGACATTACAGACACTCCAGGTGAACACCCAATTGCACCGACTGATGACCAGCCAAAGAATTCCCGTGGTCTAAAAGCCCTGGGAAGAGGAAAACAAATGGGACAGAAGCTGAACCTCGCCTTTCAAGATTTGGTTGATGAAGACAATGCATCTATTTCCGATGATTCTATGGCGTCGGACAACACAGATCAGGCTGACAGTACCTTCGAGCCTCCGTCCAAGCAATCTCCGACCGGCTCTGTCTTTCGTGGTCGTTCCCAACTGATGAGCTCGCCTGATTATGCCGCTGTCCAGTTAACTTCTGACCGTGAGGCCACTCCTACGGCTTCCAAGCAACAGAGTTCTTCTTTTCAAACCAATGGATCACAGGAGCCATTTTATACTGCGTACACTAACCATTTCATACCAAGCTCCGAAAGCACCCCCGAGTCACAAAGGCCTCTGCTTGCCACGCAATCTTCTACTGAAGAGACAGGTTCTGGCCCGAAGATCCACAGATCAATGCCGAAAAACAGCATTGTTGACCAGAACGGGAGTCCTCGCCTTCTGCCTCAAGAAGACACGTATCTTGTACAGAACCCTAGCATGATCGACGCTGAATCCCGGGCAGGGCACATTCTTCCACACAGCAACGAGATAGAGACGGCGGATGATTGGGGAAAGTCTCAATCATCGCAGTCTACCCAGTTGATGTGCACTTTCCATCGGCAGATTTCCTTGAACTATTACCCTCTCGACTGTGGAAAGGAAGAAATCCCGAAGCGATTGACCGAAGGCACGCTCTTCGGGCCTCCTCTCTACCTCAAATGGCGCCCCAGTGCAAGCCGTCCGGTTCGGAATGATGATGGCAACCAAGTTGAGCCCCCAGCCATTGCGCCAGAACCAAGAACACCCATACCAAATTACAGACGAGATAATGCTGCGACCATGTCTGCCTCCTCTCTTCCCCAACTGGAATCCTCACTGTACGATCAAATAATAGAATGGATGGCTTCTCTGCAGGAGGCGCAGAGATCTGTGACTGAACTCACGCTGGAGACAAATCAAGTATGCGGGCCCGATTTTCTGAACTCTAAGATCATTAACTATCCCAGCGTATTACCCGTCAACTGGAAGAGGAGAGAGAGGCCATTGCCTTCGTGCTGGACGAGTACCATGAAGAGTCGCGGAGGGCGCTGGATCGACTGTTTCAGATGCAGCATGCACAAATGGCCCTCTATCGCAAGTCGGTGGCTGCTATGCTGCAGCAGCATGCTGACCTGTGCATGAGACTTGTATGGCGGCGGCCCGGGCGAGAGTGATGTATCGACCACTCACTGCGCTATGATTGACTGGTCGCCCCGAGGCCGATCACGTGGGTCCGGTGGACTTTCATACTTCTTTTTTTTTTGGTCCGCCGCGTTTGCAATTGACCGTGACTCATTACTCTTGTTCAAGCTCTCCTGTTTCGTGTATTATTATTCTTCTCCCCTGCCGAATCAATTGCTTTCCGACTCTCCCCTGGACCCAAATCCCTCGACTCTCTCGAGTCTGCCCCGCCATGTCGGTGAGTCAGCCCCTCCATGACCGAATGACAGCAAAGACTGACGCCAAACGACGCAGTTCTTCATCGAGAACCCCAATGTGGGAAACACCGACCATCTCGAAGACTCGCGCAGTAAGCCCCGTCGCCACGGACCATTCCCACTCCCAAGACTTACCTCGCCCGTACAGTTCGCGGCTACAACCCGCTCACCCCGCCCAACCTCCTCCAGCATGAGATCGCATTGACGGAAAAGTCGCGGCAAACGGTCCTGCAGGGTCGTAGCGAGGCCGTCGCCGTAGTACACGGCACAGATGCAGAGCGCCAGCGCCTGATGGTGGTCATTGGACCCTGCTCGATCCACGACCCGGATATGGCGCTGGAGTACTGCGACCGCCTGATGAAGATGAAGGAGAAGTACGCGGATGACCTGCTGATTGTCATGCGCTCGTATCTGGAGAAGCCGCGCACGACTGTTGGGTGGAAGGGTCTGATCAATGACCCGGATATCGACAATAGCTTCAAGATCAACAAGGGACTGCGCATCTCGCGCCAGCTGTTCGTCGACCTGACCAACAAGGGCATGCCAATTGCCAGCGAGATGTTGGATACCATCTCCCCGCAGTTCATTTCGGACTGTTTGTCCGTTGGCGCAGTCGGTGCCCGCACCACCGAGTCGCAGGTGCACCGCGAGCTGTCGTCTGGTCTGTCGTTCCCCGTCGGATTCAAGAATGGCACCGACGGCTCACTAGGCGTGGCCGTTGATGCCATTGGCGCCGTCAGACACCCCCATCACTTTTTGTCTGTCACCAAGCCCGGCGTGGTGTCCATTGTCGGCACCGTTGGCAACCCGGACTGCTTCGTCATCCTGCGCGGCGGCACGAAGGGCCCTAATTACGACGCAGCCAGCATCAAGGACGCCAAGGAGAAGCTGATTTCCAAGGGCCTGACACCACGTCTAATGGTCGACTGCAGCCACGGTAACTCGGAGAAGAACCACAAGAATCAGCCCAAGGTGGCCGCCGTGCTGGGCGAGCAGATCGCGGCTGGTGAGACGGCCATTATGGGCGTGATGATTGAGAGCAACATCAATGAGGGTGCGTTTGCTAGTTTTGTTTCTGGTCGTCATAATCATCATCACTAACTCTTGTGTTTAGGCAATCAGAAGGTCCCGCCAGAGGGCAAGGCCGGCCTCAAGTACGGCGTGAGTATCACAGATGCTTGTATCGATTGGGCGGATACCGAGTCCGTGCTCGAGAACCTGGCGCAGGCTGTGCGTGCCCGGAGACAGAAGCTGGCGGCCAATGGGACCAACTAGATTCATTTCTAATGACTGCATATGTATTCTGGGTAGAAGCAAAAAGTTTTTCAATGGACTTAGATACCCGAAGACTAAGTGATACCCAACGCCACGTCTTATCATGCCCTTAGGGACCTGCAATTGTAGTCTTTATGATGATTTAGTATGCCAAGGTACATCTTTATACACCAATCCCAACGCATCTGAGGGAGTCCACTGTAGATAGAACATATTATGAGTGAAAATGAGAATAAAAGTTTGGAATTACTAACGCTATGATAGACGGCTAGAAAGAGAAGAAGACATCGTGTGAAAGGTGAGATTTATGCTGATCCAAGTATAACATGCATTATATTCAGGAGAGACATGAATATACTTCTGCTCAGAAATGCAACAAGGGCCGCCGTGCGCCATGCGAAGAGGGAAGGGATGAAAAAGGATATGTAAAATGCTAAAAATGGCAAGATGATGGCCGCGAACAGCCCCTAACCTAAGCACGACTGCTCTCTCTCCACAGACCCTCTCTCGATTCGAGTTCAGGGATCTTAAAATCCACAATACAAGCAGCGAATGAGGGACGGCGGAGCGGGGATTCATCGGAACCGCCATTTCTGATCGTTTGAAAGTCATGTGCCATATTAGACATCCGGCGACTTGGTCCATATCGACTGGTGAAGTTGTCGTGCTGTTCACCGGACTTGCGTTTGCGACATGATCGTAGAGGCGACACACCAGAGTCGGTGCGGTCGACTAAGCGAGCCGATTCTAGACTGCCGTCAGAGGCGAGTGTAAGGGATTTGCAAGGGACTGTGGCAAGATCCTGTGTGCTAGTAGTGAAAGTGTCGACATCGAAAATGCTCGCTTCTCCTGAGGCGTCGAAGGCCCAGACGCGAACACTGCCGTTAGAAGACTGCAGGGCCAGTTCCACGAGATTATCCACACTGCCAATCTCTTTGCCGTATATCTTGAACGGCCACATCATTGCTGTAGGTCTGTAGCTGACACTCAGCAAGAACTCCCAGTCGCCGTTCTGGTTCTGCACCAGACTCTCGCGCCGCTTGCGGGATCGCTCCGAGTCCACGAACCAGTCGCGGGCGAGATCGCTGTCGCCCATGACGCCGTCACCTTGTCGCTCACGTTCCTTGCGGATGACGTTAAATACATCCAGGGGGACTGTGTACAGGACAATGCGGTCCTGGTACGCGGCCACCACTCGCAACCCCCAGTTCAAGTCCGATCCGGCAGCGAAGATGGTTGGTACGCGAGCCTCCTTATTGATATCTGCTGGATCTTTGCCGAACGGAGGCACACAGACGAAGGCTCGGGTGAGACTGGTAGGGCCACCGATTGGTGCATCTGATCCAATGCAGAGTAGACCGGTACGGGGCTCGATGAACATAATGTGATAGCCGTCATTGATGGGAATCGCCCGATAATGGTGACAATGCGTGGCCCGTACAAGACTCAGACTAGATGAATTGGCAGGTGGCATGCGAGTGAATGACTGGACATCTGCCAGAAGATGAAAGTGACACTTCTTGGGATGGTCCGGGGATGGCGAGTGTAGGCAGGCGCACTCGTGAAGCTCCGGGCCGGCCAAAGAAGTTATCAGCCGTAGTTCCATAGGTGTGTCGGGGCGATTTGGCAGGAAATGCACAACTTCTGAGGGTTGTGACATTGGGAAATGCTTCCGCTGCTCCTTATGGTTGGTCTCATCTATCCAGTGTAATTCAACGCCAGAGGAGCTGCCGAACGCCACGCATCGGCGCCCAGGGCAAACTGCAATGGTACGAGGTGGATGTTCGGATGAGCACACATTGTAATGATAGTGACGAGACGTAGGGTTAATTGTCGGCATCTGGTGACTACGTGGCACCTCCGGCTGAAAAGTAACTCTCTCGTCCGTATGTTGGAATACGTCTAGATCACAAATCATTCCAACACGGTTTTGTAGTATGGCGGCGACAACAAATTTGGGCGAGCTAGTGTCCACTGTGGCAGAGAGAACTTCAAGCGGGCATTCAATTTTGGATATGGGCTCCAGGTCAGCGTCTGTCAAGTTGGTTGAAATCATCCGCCTGGCTTTCCTGGAGCGGAGGCGATAGACATAGATCATGCACCCAGTAGAGACGAGCAGATAGTTGCCGCAGCTGCTGACGCTGAAGGTCGACATTCCTCGTTTTGCGTCTCTCACACTGTGTGATGTCGGTTTAGCACGAGACGTACTCCCACGAGTCTTCGTGACTGTTGATCCCTGAGAGAGCTGAGAGAAATCCACTATGGAGGTGGTCAAGAAGCCTGGCTTCTCAACATTGGCTTTCCGACCCGATAAAAGGCATTCGGTGGCAAAGCGCCGGCTCATGCGCCATACTTCGCTCTCGTCGGTTTCTTGCCTCAATGTGAGCTGCTTTGCACAGTCATTCTGCCAGGCATCCCACCACCCAGCCCGCTTAAGCATACGCTCCAGCAGATTGCGATTCAGGCTCACGCGCAACCATTGCGAGCATGTTCGACGCGCATTGTCAAAGTCACGCGGTGTCAGCATCGAGAAGATCTGAAGAAGGATCTCTGGTGGGGTGATATTGGCCGCTGATGGGAACGATCGATCTGTGCCATGAGGAATGGCATTATCGCTGCGTTGCGCAGATACGGTGGTAGGGTTGGGTATCACAGCAGGAACAGTTGATGTAGCACAATCGAGTTTTGACGCTCTGGCAACCTTTTCATTCTTCGGTCGATGCCCAGCATAGCCGTGGCTAAGCGATCTCGTCGATGGCATCTCGAGTGTCGAACAAGCAAGTCCGTAGCTAACTCCACAAGCACCACGAAATGAATCCAAGTAGTTCCCGATGATATTATTATAGTTCCACTAAAGCATGCTCGGAGAGGGCAAAGTCGGTGACAAAGGGCCCGATTTATTGTGTGGTCCCTAAACGAGGCAGAGTATATCAGGCAGGATGCAGAGGGCAAGCCACTTTCGTACTCTCAGAAGGATGGATTCGACTGAGTGACGAGATGATCAGAGCGATGAAGTGGTGATGTGCTAAGAGTTAATGACAGTCGGGAGATCAGCACTTGTCTAGTCGATCGAATTCCCGCTGGCCATGGTTTGTAATGGTATGTGAGATGTGGACAGGCTGTATGTAACGATCTCGCCGAAATGTGGGCGGTTGTATAGTTCCAGTCAGCGTGCCTCTGAAAGCGGGAAGGATGAAGTTGGAAGTTGATGAGAGAGGAGACAATGTAAGGCGCCGGGGACACGACCGTCATATACCCCGATCGCTTGTTTTGCCATCTCGCGCATCAGCCTACAAGCGATTGCCACCGAGTCAAAGGCAAAGAAGTGTGACGGGAGTCACCGAGTTTTGGCGGGAGTGGGACCGTGGATGATGGGTGGCGATGGGAATGGAGGCAACCAACGCAGTATAGCGAGTAGGACGGTGAAACCATTGGGTGTACATAATGGTGAATTAAGCGACATTCCAACGCTCAAGAATGTGGGCCACGCGACGCTCGTGCCGGATGCAGACGATCTGTTGTATTGTGCAGCAGGAGAGTTTCATCGGAATGTGTCCGATCTCGATTCGCCGGACGAGGCAAATCTACAACAAAAGATCCTCTGTTCTATGGAGAAATGAATGGTGATAACCAACGAAATTATTTAACTCGACAGTATAGACAAATTACGATCACAGAGGTATCAACAGGTCGTACATCGTGAAGGGGGAAAAAGATCGACGCTGGAAAGTCAGGAACAGCTATACCCCAAAATCCGAGCAAGCCGAGGCCATCAAGTCGATACTTGGTGCAATCCGAATTCCGACGCTCCATTGCCAATGCCATTATTCTGGCTCGAGTTCCGACCAGGAAGCCAAGCCGAATGCAGTGGTACCAGAAGACTTGGGTTCACATACTTCTTGAACCGCAGCTCGAGCTCCTGGCCTGCGATGTGCACGGGGAGGGCATCACGGTCGAGACCGGACGGCGACATGATCGCAGAAGACGAGGGTGAGAGTTCGCCACCGATCTGGTCGCGATTGATACTCTTGAGGGCGATGAATTTCATGAGTGGCTCGTACGTGCGCGCGAACCAGTAGGTAAACCAGACAGTAAAGACCAGCAGAGGCACGAGAAGCAGCGAGCGGGTGATGGCCAATCGTAGGGCCAAAACACCGATCATGGCGAGTTGGTAGACCACCAGCCCGATGAACAGACGGTTGCAGATCATCGGCCAGGCACGGCCCGTGGAATGCTGCTGGTGGTCCATGGCGTACAGGAGCTGGTATTTGTAGATGAAACGGCCGATGGTGAAGTAGACTAGGCCGAAGAGGCAGATCAGCCAGGAGCTAGGGAACACGCTGTACACAATGCAGATGATCAGAACGAGAATCGTCTGCGGGATCGAGAAGCCGTAGCTGAACACCGGCGGCGTGGAGAGCTCTGAGTAGTCCCGCGGCGTTCGCGCGAACAGGTAGCGGATTGGATATAAGGAGAGACTTCCGAACTCCAACAGCCGAAATGGGAAAATTCCGACACCCTGCAGGACTAAGAGATTGATGTAGAACGGTGAGAGATCCTCCAGAGACCGTGCCAGTGCAGAAGCAACCGTGGTAGCATCTTTGAACGCATCGCGAAAATTCTGCCAAAATCCGTAGAAGTTGGTGGCCGTACTAAAAACGGTGAAGACGAGGAAGAGGTTGAAGAAGGTGAAGAAGAAGTTTTTCGAAATGAGAGACAACTCCACATCGCCCCGGGACATCATTCCTTGGTTATTGGATAGCCCTGACAAAGAGGTTAGTCTTGGTCAGTCAGATGTGGAGTCCACACTCACATTCATATAAGTACGGAACAGCCAGAGTCAACAGCGTGAGACCCAAAGTTGGTAGACCAGTTTGAACCAAGGACTTCAGAAATGGGTGGAGAGCCAGGGCATCGGCCAGACTGGGGAACACTTTATGGAGAGTCTCCAATTTCAACACATAGGCAAATGGAATCAAGAGAACCGACCAGAATATGGTGAGAAACCCAATCACAAGAGTGATCGACCACGACTGCGCCATGCGGCGCAAGCGCGATAGATATGTATTTTTCCAGATCACATCGGCCGGGGCTGGGGCAAGCCGGGCAAACATCTGCAAAGGGTGGGGGTCAAGGATGGCCTGCACCAACATCTGAGAGGCAGCGATGGATTCCATGGTCACGAAGGCAATCTCGGTGGGGCGATACTCATTTTGGCGCGCTTGTAGGATGTGTTCATCGGTCTTCCGTAGCTTCTCCTCGTAGTAATCGATCGCATCGACCATCCGAAATCGAAGCTTGAACGGACCGTACCAGATGCGAGCTTTTGGTCGTTCCTCGGAGTATTCGGAGACGTGACCTCGGTCTGCACCAGAGAGCAGCTGGGATCGCTCATCATCGTCGTTGAGGAGATCTGATCCACGCTGGTTCATCAATCGCACGCTGTTCCCGTCGCTTGGTAGCCTTTTGTAACCCAAATGTGTCGTCCAAGCCCGCTCCAAGTTTCGAAGAATAGTCATTCGCTCGTCGACCAAATTGTCTAGCTCACGCCAGTTCCGGCATAGCGTGACACTCTCAACCTTGCCAATGTTCAAGCCCTCCACAAAATCCCTAACCTTCTCCTCAGACAGCAAATCTCGTGGGATGCCAGACAATCGAACGGTTCGGTCGGTCGTGCTGGTCTGATTGGCGAGATAGGTCTGCCGGGTCCGAATGATCTTGTTCGTTTCTTGAAGAAGCAAGTAGATAGCCAACCCAGTGAAGATGTATGTGAACAGCACGTAGATCCAGAGATACGGCGGAGCTGATTTAAGTTTGCCCTTGTCTGTATCCTTGGCCATCGCAATCACGGTCTTGTTGTGCGGCGGTCCATCATTATCCCACCCGGGGATCCCGTACCGGCCTTCATATTTGTAGTGTAATGGCAGAATGACGGTGAGACCGAAGAAGAAAACCGCGGAGAGGAACCGGATGGCGAATTTGAAGAAGGATAGTAGCTACAGCACTTAGCAAATCGTTTCGCGGGACGTCAAAGGGTGTACCTACCACATATGCATCCAGGCCAGCAGACGCCAAGATTTCATCCTCTGTAATGCGATACACGACGGGTATCCAGCCAAAGAAGCTATTGGGAAGTTCTGGTAACCGGGAAGCGGCATTGCGCTGCCGTCGTCGCGCCGCATAGAGCTCTGACCACTTTGGTCGCAGAAGCTGTGACCAGTCAGCGACAGTTGACACTCAGAAAGGGATCGACCATACACAGAATGAGAGAAAGGCGCCTAGGCCCAGTGCCAGACTGATCGAGAACTGCGTGTACAGATCGCGCCCGTTCGTCTGATCCTTCCACCGCGGCTCTCGTCCGTCGCTGGAGTTGAAGGCAAGCACGGTCCCCAGCGGAGTGACCGCGGATGCCGTTAGAGACATGACTCTAGGTCAGAAGGTGCTCAAACCCCGAGAAAATGTCGTGTCGAAGGGTCGTGTGTGCTACCGATTCATCAGGGCATGCGCTGCTCGGGACCGTTGAAGCAAAACAACTGACGTCAGGGGCGGATGGAGAGAAGATGGAAGGCAGAGAACAACTCGACAAGCGACAGAGTTTCAAGAAGAGTATTGCAATTTTTGAGTTCGTAGGCACTGCCAGCCCAAGAGAATAACCAAATGTCGAGAGTGGCGTGAGCTTTCTCCCTTTTTTCGTTTTAGCGGTGTTGAAGGACTCGATGCTAGTTATGCTTGCATCTGCTGACTCATCGGAATAGCATAAGTTGCAGTGCACATGACCCAGGGTTGGCCTCCGCATTACTTTCATTTCTACAATCAGTTAATCGATCAATACTGATGGAGGCACGGAGACAAGTCTCGACGGTCAAGGCATGTGATGCCTGCCGTCGGCGGAAGCTGAAAGTAGGTCCCCAGGATTCGTCACTGTGGATTTACTCATGGAATCGACAGTGCCCTGGGAAACAGCTATACGACCCGGATCCCCGGTGTCTTCGTTGCCAGAAAACGAATATTCTATGCACATATCATGACGTACATGGAAAAAGAGGACCCAAGACAGGAAGGTAGGTTGATTATGCCATCTGCCAGTCCGCTAGCTCACATCTATCGCAGAAGGTTAAATGCCATCCGTGCCAGTCAGGCGTTGATGGGTGATTCTGGTTCAGTCCCTGGACATAACATGGATTCTTTGGCCAATATCTTACCAAATGATTTCATTTTGAACCCATCACCAGCCCAGCTTTCTGTCGGCAATGAGTCAAGGCTGGACATTCCTGATAACAATATTGGACCTGAAGCTGCAAGCCTTGACTGGGGCTCGCCCTTTCCCGAAGTGTGCACTGAGAATTATATCCCCACGCAGGTTGACTTCAATCTGTTTTCTTATACCGAAAGTAGTGAAATTACCATGTCACGGCAAGAGATCATAGCTGAGCTAGCACTCTTCTTTACGGTATCCTATCAGAGAAATCCGGTCATCCACCTCGAAACTCTGCTCCGCAAAGTCGATTCTGGCGAGCATTTGTCCGACTCCAGCTTTCGTATCTTGCTGCTTTCCATATCGCTACTGAACGAGGCCGGTCAGTTTCGCCAGTGCCCTGCGCGAGGAATGACCCGCCTGGAGGTTCTGTCCCAATCGATTGAGCAATTGAGAGTTACCAACTGTCATTTTGCGGACTGTCCATCCTTGGATGCTGTTTTCGCTTCTTTGGTCTTGTTTATTGCCTACAGCGTGCGAGACAAACACAATCGCGCTTTTCTATATTTAACAGAAGCAATTGGACTAATGGATCTGATTGGATATTCAAGTGATCCGATTGAAATGGAGCGATTCCATCGCATGGAGCGTCTGATATTCGTCACTGAAGCTGCATCCAACTCTATTTATGGAGCCGATAGGAGGAGAATTGCCAGACAACCGCCGAATCTGACTATTGCAGAGCCTTCCGATATATGGCACATTCCAGAAACCCGTCTGAAAGAAATTCCGCTCCCTTTATCAACATTGGACTTGAATACTTTGGACAGACAAGCTATCCATCTCTTGAATGCGATGGCTCGCCTCTACTCTGCTTTAAACATAAACGAGATTACGGATGTCGCGTTCAGAGACAATTCTATGGCCGTGATGGTCGAAGGCAATGAACGAAAACCATCGTGTTTTATTCAAGTAGCCGATGTGGCTATTACCAGGCAATGGCAGCTCGCCTCACACTGGTGGCGTGCTCTGTAAAATAATCCATGTCCACTCCAATCGAAGGCCAGTGCAGGCTATACATTACAAATCATGGGCATGACCGCGATCCAACAGAGCAAATTCGTTGCTCCCGGTTATTGTCGAATTATGGGCCACGGAAAGCTGGCTGCTCTTGCGGATGCCATGCTCAATATTTCTTCTGCTCTTGGGATCGTTTCCAGCTGCTCTTCCCTAATCCGGGATCTAATTGGTATTGTTTCTGAGGCAGACTACGAGAGGTATTTTGCACCGAATCTGAGCCTCATTGAAATTTGCATCACAGAAGTGCCAAGATCAATTGGATTTGCTGATTCAATCCCCCCCGATGCGGAAAACATTGATATGGAACTATTACTTGGTAGCTAGTACTGTAAATCTTCAATATTTGGACTCTCAGATATTCCTCTACTTCATGTTCAACGCGTAGTCTAAAACCCGTGCCTGGTTCCTGAAAAATTGTCTTGACGCATGGGTGGTCACAGGAACGGTGATTCCGTGCGGCACACCTGGTATAATCTCCAGCTGAGTGTCGATGCTTGCATTTCTCAAACGCATGGCATATGCTATGCCCTCATCTCGAAGCCCATCTTGACCAGCCACTGTGATGTGGACCGGGGGGTGATTTGAAGGAGTAGATGCAATCAGCACCGATACGTACTCATGCGAGGATTGTGTACCAGCATACTTATCTGTAATAATGTTTATGAGAAACTGGCTCAAAGCTCGGCATCGAATAACTTACCCCAGAGTTTTCGCAGGACCTTTCCGTGTTGTTCTGATCCACTCAGCGTGCTAGAGCCTCCTATCTTCAATTCCTCAGGGTACAGATCCGGGTGGCATGTCACCGGGACCACCAAGTTGGCATGGCAGATTCGAGACACTTCGTGCTCCCTGGCATCCCGGAGCGCAACGCCTGCGGCTAGATTGCCACCTGCGGAACATCCCCAAAGGCCAATTCTGTCCTTGTCAATCTTATACTCGGCCGCGTGGTCTATGGTCCACTGGATTGCTTCATAGCAGTCGTTGAGGGGAGCTGGGAACGGATTTTCTGGGGCCAGGCGGTAGTCAACGTTGATTATCACCGCACGCAGTTCAGACGCGAAAAAATCAGCTACCCCTATGTTTAATGATCAGAAATTGTTCTTGTGGGGTCATTATTTCATTACCTTCGTCCACATTTGGGAATCCATGAATCCATCCACCACCGTGGTACATAATCAACGCTGGTCGAAGGCCAGAGTCTTTGGTCTTGGGAACGTGAACTTGAACTGCAAATTGACACCCTTCCCCATATGCGATCGGGATCGTCTCGGACTGTACGTCCAATGTGATCCGAGATCTTGCTTCTGTGGCGGGAGCCCTCGGCCAAGTCATGTATTCTTCGACGAGCCATTTGCGCATCTCAATATGGTCTCCCGGGTCAATGGAAAGAAGAGTCGATGCCGGCAGCTTGGCTAATTCCTTTTCTTTTGTCAATCTCGACTCGAATAATGGAAACCAGTGGCGAGAGCTATATATTACTTGCGCGTAGTTGACATCCATTTGTTCAATGATGTTCGGGGCATGTTGTGGAATGCCCTCATCTTGCTTGTTCGCAGTTGCACTCATTGTTTCAACTCAAAGTCCAACGGCTGGAAGATGAATCGGTTTTCTTTCTGACAGATAAAAGAAAAGACCATCAATCCATAAAAAGCCTTTATGCCTTCTTATAAGGAAATCGGATTGTTGATTATGGCCCCAAGACCTGGTACGTAAGACCATGTACGCCGTAGACGGTAAACGAATGTTGAAGTGAAATAGTTATTGCACCCCACAGGTGTTTGACATAAGGATGTGACCAGCTTTTTTTCTACAATCTCATCTCAGCAAAATACATGGTGCCCATTCCTGGGCTTTTCCCCGTCCGCTTCCAATAGCTACCTCGGAAGCATGCTCGGTCGAAAGCTCGGAGAATTAGACTACGGAGGATCCCGATTGGCCCACCCCGGAGTACATAGACCTTTGAACTACACAGACGCCAGGATCTTCTCCACATTTCCCCGCATGAACACCAAATCTTTTATGCTATTCCATGGCGATGGGGTATTTATCACCGGTACTTACCTCCTGCAGCTTCGACATTGCTAAGGCTCAGCGCCAAAAAAAAAAAACCGGAAGAAAACTGATATTCAAGGTCAGTGCATCATGACAGCGAAAGACTTCAAATCTTCTGAGGAAGAATACGCTGCCCATAATGCAACACTGCAGGCGCATGAGATGGGCTGGAACTGGAAGATCGTCATGAACTGTAGGGTTCCACCTGGCATACTGCGCTTACCATACTAACAGCTCAATCCACCTGCAGTGATCGTTGTTGGTCTCTCGCTCGGTCTTTTCGGCTATGATAACGCCTTCGCCTCACCACTGGTGTCCCTGCCGCTCTTTGTAGAGAAGTATCAAGGTCCAGGATATGACGGTAGCCTTGTTTTCACGGTATTAGAGGCACCTCTATTGGGGTTACCATGTTATTCTTCTAACAATATTCAAAGGCGCGCAATCTCGATTTAGTGATCAGCGTACCTCTCGTCGGCGCAGCATTCGGTGCTTTCTCTGCCATTCCTCTGCAGCAATATCTCGGGCGTAAATGGGCCTTTCTCATTGCATATGGCACGATGTGTATCCCCGGCTCGATCCTGCAGCTTTTTGCCCCAAACATTGGCGCCCTTGTTGTGGGCCGATTCTGGAATTGTTGGTCTCTCCCACCCCAACCTGTACACAGGTGTTGACAACTCCAGTTTAGATTTTGGCATCAGTGTCGTCACCAATATTGCACCCATCTACCTATCGGAACTTGTTCCGGCACAACTCCGAGCCCGAGCAGTAGGCTTTACTATTGCAGGGAGTGGTGCGGTATCCGTCATCGCCACTGTCGTTGTATGGGCCTCGGAGAAGCTTAAAGATAAAAGACAGTATATGATTCCATTGGGGATTCAGGCAGTGGCACCGGTTATTTTACTGTTTCTGTCACTGTTTCTTACTGAGTCGCCTACCTGGCTGCTCATGCACGGCCGTGACGAAGAAGCGAAGAGAAATCTGACTTCACTACGCGGCGGTAATGCTACCCTCGCTGAAGCCGAGTTAGGGGTTGTCAAGGTCGCGCTGCGATCAAACGACGAGCGCAGAAGTACCGTCAAATGGTGGGAAATTCTCAAGTTAGAAAACCTGGAGCGCACCATCTGCTCTGCAGCGCTGTTATGCCTTTCTCAAGTTGGCGGCCAGATTCTTGTCGGCACCTACTCGACCGTCATTTTGGTCCAGAGTGGTGTGGCCGATCCCTTCAAAATCACTGTCATCATCTTCCTGTTACAGTTTGCCGGGACACTTGTGGGACCATTGCTTCTGGATAAACTCGGGAGACGGACGGTTGCACTGCCAGGATACGTTCTCCTTTTGATCTTGGATATCGCGGCCGGGGCTATTGCATGCGCGGGGCTCTCGACCAGCGGGCAACAGCTGGGGCTTGCTGCGCTATGCATGATCTTTTCATTTGTGAATTCTATCGCTTTTCAATCAGTGTACGTGTCTCTCGTTCCCCCCGAGTCTTTGAGAGGGGTTGATTGACTTCTTCGATACAGGATATACGTCCTCCCAACCGAGATCCCAACCACAAAGCTACGCGAATCAACCATGACTTGGTCTGTATTCTGGTCATACTCAACGGCAATTATGACCACCTTCGCAGTTCCGCAACTGACAAGCGCCGATGCGTGAGTTTCTCCATCGCCCTCCTGGCTTCTTCAGTGCCGACTCTTGACGTCCTCGAGTGTATAGTGCGAACCTAGGAGCCAAAGCTTTTCTGGTATTTGCTGGCTGCATGCTGATTACCCTTGTGTTAAGCTATTTTTACCTGTAGGATACTCTGGCCCTCTTACAATGAAACAAAGCTACTGACACCGATTTCTCCTAGGCCCGAGACTGCGAATCGAACGCTCGCCGAGATTGATGAGCTATATGCGGCACGAATTCCCAAGCGAAAGTGGAAAGGGTTTCAGACGACAGGCACTACCGCATTAGACAACGGGCTGGAGATTTCATAAGAGAGACAACTGGACATGAAGGACATCTACGGAGGACAGAAGACTCATATTTGACAAAACAATATATTCTAATTCAAAATGCAACAACAGAAAAACTTCCATGATCGTGTATATAATGCAAAGTATGCCGTGCGCAACTCATAAAACATCGTGTCCGCGTCAAAGATGCAAATTACCGAGCAGTAGGTATGTAATTTATGCAAGCTTGGAAGCATCGTAGTATAAATCAAGTAGGCAGCCTGCAGACCAGGCCTGAGTAGGCGACTAGAACGACATGTTAGCAATCTAATTATCCTATCGCTTCAAATCAACTCACCGAATCAGCGCAATACTCTCCATTTTTGTTGGTCAGCTCCGTCAAGCCCTTCCACGGACTTTCTCGTAAAGCCTTCTTGCAGCCATCAAGTCGGCGAGTGACCTGCTGGAACGCCTCGGTGCGTTCCTCGGGAGTATTTCCGCGGCTCTTGAGATCAAAGTATAGGAATGCACGAAGGAAGTAACCACGTTGCCAGACCCACTCTGGACCTTGGTGGTAGTTGCGTCCCTTGGAAGTGGCGAAGTCGGTCGAGTCCTCGGAGTTATTGTAGTTTGGCCGATAATTCATGTCCGACGGGTCTAATGTCGCCATGCCGACAGGGCCGAGAATGGCAGGCTCTGCAATTGCGAGAGCTTTGAGTGCGCGCTCTGGGTTGAAAAGCGAGGGTGCCACAGACATTGCAATGGGGAAGTTCGAGCGGAGCTGGTAGTCCTCGAAGGGCTTTCCGGATTTGTACAAATCTTTGTAGATGCCCCGGCGGTTGATGATCGCAGGGTCGACATCATACTGACTGTCTTGCTGGGGATCGACAGGGATATGGTAGCAGCGCTCGAAATTATCCAGGATCTTGTTGGCCCACTCAGTAAAGGTAATGGAGCTGCCATCATCAATGTCGACACCTTTGTGAGGATAGAGGTTGGAATCGTGCAGCTCGGAAACCCAGCGGAGAGCGCTGAAGACAAGACCGGTGATCTCAATGGCAGCACCATCGCGAGGAGTTCCGGGGAATCCCTTGTTTCCAGCCTTCTCACTCTCTCCCATCTTGTCTTGCCAGGTGCCACAGTTGCTTTGACTGCCACCAAAGATAATACCGGTGTCCCAATCCACCTTTATATCGATCTGAAAACCTTCAGACTTCATCTGAACATCGAGGTCTGGGCCAGCATTGTATTCTCGAAAGGACATGCCATGGGCGTGTCTCTGAAACACCTCTTGGATACATTCCAGAAGCGTTGGGGACTGGGAATAAGCTCGCGAATCGTCGAATGGGAACCACGTATCGTCATATGGCAAGAATCGTCGTGGGACCTTCTCTTGCAAGATCTCAATGCCATTTGGTGCCATCTTCGAGTAGTCCTGAATGGCTTGCAAGAAGAACCAGACTGAATCCCTGGAATTGTATCGCGGTAGCTTGCCGCTGCTCAGCAAATTCGGGATCATGCCATGTTTGAGCACACTGGCAAAAGCGAGAATATGCTCCTTAGCATCGTCGAACCGCCCAGTGCAAAGGAAGAGGCCGCGGATGGAGATAAAGACATCTCGGCCCCAGCACCGTGCCCAATCAACAGCAAAATGGGGCAGTCCTGCTGCCAGACTCGGAACGTGCTTGGTAGGCCACAACGACGCCGAATTCACATAACCCGTCTGTTGGACGCTGACCATTGCCAACTGATGGATGAACTCTTGACCGTGCCGCACGTTGTCGCTGAATTGGTGGATGCTTCTCTTCCACGCAGCGTTGTAAGCAATCTGTAAAATGATGGCGAAATATCTCGGGAGCAGGAAGCTAGGCAATCCGCGGACAGCATCGAATCGCTCTCGCAGCCAAGTCGCAGGTTGAAGCAGGGCAACATATCCTTCCTTAGTGGCCATCTTTTCCATGCGTCCAACCACATAATCCAAAGCCCACTGCCCTTGTCGCAGATGGTTGCAAAGAGGATGAGCGAGTTGGTTGTACTTGATTATATCTTCAAGAATGCTCCACCAACCCTGAAGTCCAGCGTAGACGAGCGGGCCATGTTCTGGAATGTCGTACACTCCGTCCTGGCCGCCGCTAGAATCCCTCTCTTCGGCCTCACAGCGATAGAGCACAAAGTTCAAGTCGATCAAGCTTAGCTTCGAAAATGCCTCATCGGCACCACTTGCGAGGTAGTTGTCCAAACCAGCAACACGCTCAGTTCCAGGAATCCAGGTCTCGAAGAGAGCAATAGCACCCGGGGCAAAGGGGCCTAGCACGGAAATGGTAACATCATTGCCGTTCTCCTCAATCTTGGTAGCCTCGATGTCACTAGTGCGGCTAGGAAGACCCTTTAGGTACTTGTCGTCGGCCAGAACCTTCTCCCTTGTGCCCTCGTCTGCATCGACCTCCAGTATCCAAGATCCAATGTGTTTCGCCCGGGTTCCGCTAATATGAGTTGGGGGTAAGATTTTACCGCTATCATTGCCCGGGAACGCGGTATGTGCAATCAAGAAGACTCCCTTTCGGGTCTTCGGATGGACCCTGTGAACGGTGATGAATTCACCATCATGATGGATATGGGTTTCGTCATAGCCCTCGACACCCATCATGGTGTGCAGCTCATTCAACAGCTTCTTGACTCCCCCGATACCCCCTTCGCCAGACCCTGTTTGTAATTTGTCCACTTCGGAAAATTTGGATGCATATTGCCGTTTCTCATGAACGAGATCGACAAGCTTGGGGTATATCTCATCATATCCCATCACACTGCCACTGGCAGAAGCACACATGGCAACGAGAGCGGCATTCGGCAGAGTGTCCCTTGCGTCGCGTTTCTGGGCCGGTACTTCATTGTCGTGGGTGCAATCCATGAAGAGTGCTTGCACAGGACATGGCCGAATGTGCGTAACTTGCTCATCAGCAACCCCTGTCTCAATAGAGTGGCTACTAGCAGACGGCAGATCCATATCAAAGCTTCCTATGGGACGTCCACCATGTCGGTGGACCAGACGACTTAGCTCTGCCGTGCTCCAGGCCTGCATTGCCTCTCGAATTAGTGCATTGATTCCGAGACGTTTGACGAACACATAATCAGCCTCTTCGGAGCCAGTGAAAAGCTCCGCGAAGACAGTCAAATCAGGCCTCACTTTCCGTGCTTCGTCAAGCAAGTATTCAGCGACTACCAGGGGTGTTGAATGGCAGTTGTCAATTCGGAACCCAGAGAAGTATTTAGCCATCAACTGCGTATATCGGGTCATGAATTGCCAGAGGAATGGACTATCCTTGGGCGAGTTGCCATATCTCAGCTTGACACAATCTCCCCACACAATAACCTCCCGGCGTAGGTACGCCTTGGAGTCGGGTCCAGCGTTGTCGCGCATCGCGTCGGCGTTCCAGATCCAGCCATTGTTTACCAGAGCAAGAGCTCTTGGACTGTGCTTCTTGGTCGTTTCATTGATGGGGAGGCGAGTGAAGTAGGACTCGATCAAAGGAGAATCTTTGGTGACGGCACCCAACTTGGGGCCATGACCGTCGATCCGGAGGTACTTGATGCGATTGAAAAGTTGATCCATCATATCCTCCAAGTCTGTATCGAATTCCTTGTAGAAAGGCAAATTGACTTCATCCAGTAGCTTCAGCAGAGATGTTTCAACTCCTGGAAGGTCTGAGGCCGACGCGTCGTAACGACCAAAGAGCACAGTCAGAATAGCTGCGCCGAATTCGGGGTCCACCTGACGGGAGAATCTCCCCAGAAGCTGCTTCGATGTCGGAATTCCATGCTCACGGGTCACATTGGCTTGCTGTGTCAATGTGCCTGCCTTGAACTGCTCAGGGTCAAGATGCTTCCACTGTGGGCTTGTGAGATCGACTTGGGCACTGGACCAAGCGTCAAGAATCTTCTTCGCGTCGGCCTTAGGGTTTATTGCGTAGAACTCCCACAGACGAAGCCCATCGATGACTTCCTTCCGCAACACATTCATGACCTTCACCAGATCATCCTCCGTCTTGAACTCAGTTGGTAGACCTAGGCTTTCCAGGTCCTCGCCGAACTTGAGCAGCGCCGTGTCCAGCTCCAGGGCCGATTCCAGCCACGGAGCCGTCTCCACGCTGTATCCGGACTCTGGGTGTTCTTCTAGCCATTTGCTATTATTCGCAGTGTGGTTCCAAACGACATCGGTCAACGTCAAGAGCCCGTATTCGGATTCCATCCGTGAGACCAACGATGATACATCTTTCTCTCCGTTGGGAAAAAGCTCAGAGTCGAACGACAGCTGATCGAATATGCTATATGGCGAATTGGAGCTTCCCCGTTGCATCAGGGGCGTGAAATGGACCATATTGTAGTTCCGCTGACTGATTCCATGGAGATGTTTATCCCAGTCGGTCGGATACTGGCCCATGAACTTTGAAAGAACCGAGAAAATCGAAAGCGCATTAAGAGGAAGATCATTTCCACGCAGAGACAGCTTTGGCGACACATCAATGTAATGAATAGGCGTCTGAGTCGGTTCCGGGGTAGACACACGGTCGACCGAGAACTCCGGCAGCGGCAAGAAGCTCGTATAGAAGGCGAATGCGCCCGCGCAGGGGACCGGGATGTCGATCTGGATGTTCTTGCTGAAATGGGGCTGCAATCTACTTGCATCTCAGCAACCGCGATGTCTCGGTACATTATTGGGCAGAATGGAGGCCGTACCTGAACTCTCTGAACGAATGGCGGTCGAATGCCTTGCCCTTCTCGGGGATGTTCACCCACAGACTGCCTTGGCGGCAGATCGAGCTGGTGCCCTCGATGATAAACCGGAGCACGTAGTGCGGGTCGGTCGGAGGTGGAAGATAGATGTACCCTCCCGGCACATCGGGAGAGCCATCATCCTTCAATGGAAGCAGGTAAACCTGACGGGACGGGCCCATGGTGCAGTCCTACTGTACTGAAGAAGCGATTGGGCGAAAGCAACAGCCTCGGCGTTCACAACTGGAATCGGAGATCACCAGCGTGGGCAGGGCTTAGAGAAATACCGCGAGCGGCGAAAGAATGAATCAATTCAAAAGGTGGAGAGCAGAGCAGAGAAACGAAGGAAGCAAGAATGTTGGGAGGGGCGAAGAAATGATTTCTCCCCCTCGTTCCTGGGTTGGTCTGGCCAGCCGGTGACATCATGGACGCACGGACGGACGAGAGCTCTAACTATAGATCGATCATACATAGTGGCTGCCACCCCGTGACCTCCACATCATTGTGGCCCTCGACCGTCGCTATGCCTTGGCTGGCAAACAGCCTAGCTTTCATTGTGACATATCCTCTATTAATAGTTGCTAGGGGGATTAATTGAGGGGTAGCGAGAGAATGGACGGTCTGAACAAGATGAATTCCACAACACGAACGACCCATAGTCAAGAGAAAATTTACTCGCGCGACCAACATACTTTAGTCACAAAATTAGCTCAATGTAATGCTGCTATTAGTCAAAACGAAATTCAATCCCATAGGAACATGCTCGGCAATCTGTGAACTTCACGAATTAAGGGCAGCTGGGCCGCGGTGTTCAAAAACACCTTTTGTCTAGGTGATAGGCAACCTATTTAGTTTCTAATGATGAACAATCGCACCGAAAGCTTCCGTGTACTATCCTCCCTCCGTCATGAACCGCCGTCCCACCCGATTCCTTTACTGTACTCCAATTGATCGAGGTATTGATCTAAAGGTCGACAACCGAATCTTGCTACGAGCCCCTCTAATATTCGGCATAATAACATGAGACAGCTGCCCGCCAATATCTGGGAATCCCTCAGGTCGCACACTAAAAATGGCTACTCGCGCGCTCTGTTCCACGCTCCTCATTGGCGCTTACCAGCCCTTTGTTGCTGAGGGCCGTAGGTTATGCCTGGGTCCTATTGTCTCCATCTCAACGCCCCGTTGGAAGCGTGATTGTGAGCAGAAAGTGGACCGCTGCCATACTGTACCTCTCACTCTGAATAGAGAATGGTTACAATACAGGAATGTGGACCAAATGTATTTAGTCTGCCTGTTTCTAGCTCTCTTTTCCTTTTCTTCCTCTCTCTAGTGTGAGAGTCCAGTTCAAAAAGGAAGAAGAATTCTATGGCCACCTTGCATTGATAACACGATTTCTTACCCCTGAGACCGAGACCGGGAATTCAAACTCAAATTGACTTTATTAAAGTTCGTCTTGTTCCTGCTGCAATCAGCCCAATGCTAAGTGCCGATTCAACGGCAGAGAAGCATGCGAACGTAATCATTATGGATGCCGATGCTACGACACTAACGTAAGGAGGATGCCAGGAACCCCGACCGCACAGATACAAAAATTACCCATTTCACCACGAACGATTGTTGAATTGGTCCTGCTGTTCAGTGTGCTAGCCATTATGGGTTATATGACTGCAGTACGAAGCCTGAACGTGATTGTTGGCAGGATTGGTATGTGTGCGAGACTCTAGTCGAAAAGGCCTAGTCCCTGCTCCAGTACGCTGTTATGTAATTGCCGACCTTGGGGAGATGGGAGAATTAGTGGTGGGGCGACGCATGGCAGGTGTTGTGGAGACCACGTGCAAGTGGAACAGTAGGGCACAAACAGGTAAGTGAGACGGGGGGGGAGTATGATGGGGCGCCGAAAGGGGCGTGTATTCCTGGTCGATCTCGCCCCCTTGCCAAGAACATCGCAGTAAGCGGCAGCTGCTATCAGGGGAATGGGCTTGGCGGAAGATGGCTCGTGTGGACGCGCGAAGTCGGTGATGCGAGGCATCGGTAGTTCGAGGTAGCCGGCGGGACGAGAGATGAAACCGCTGGTGCAATGCCGTTCTTCAACACCGACCGTTCGGAAAACCCAGGAGTGGATGACAGCGATAGAGTGGGGCTCAATGGCGTTGGGATTCGAACCATTTTCCGTCATGGAGGTAACTACTCAGGCGTAACTATCATCACCTGGTTATTGCCGGTTATTTCTCAAAGAATCAGGGAATTCCCCCCGACTGGGCAATCCTCGTATACGAACCATACAACTACAGTATTACTACAGTATTTAGTATGCTGATACTTTATTAACCATGTTGTATAAATACAAAAAAGGGGGGTTTTCATGCAGCATACACATTATGAAACCGCTAAATTTTAGCGCGCTGCCAAAATGCCTAGTGGGTCGTGCAAATTTCTTGCCAGGTTTGTAAATGCAGCAGGGCAAGGAATTAATTGCTAGAATGTCTGTCAGTGAATTCGTTGAAACTATGTATCTCCACGGGCGAAGACATCTCCTTGACGGTGCGACTTCTCGTTTGTAACTCTCGCGAGGCCTGGTTTCCAGAACCATGCCTCTCGCCGATCACTTCTTCTAATTTGCTGTGGATCATTAGGCTTTGGCACCTGGTACGCGCTAGACTTCCCTGAGAGTTCCCACCGAATTGATAATCAACGGCCTGGCAGGGTTTGTCCCGGTTTCCTGCAAGACATTTAAAATTTCCTTCCCCCGCAATGTTTCCTGCCATCCTGTCCGTACCTGGCCTTCGTTGACAGCATGACAGACGAGGACCAAAGGGCCCTGGCCGTGAAGACGGTTGCGGCCGTCTTCATGTCGGTGGCATGTTTATCGGTATTCTTGCGTTGCTATGTCCGTGGTTGGGTGGTCAAGGCGTTTGGATGGGATGATGGGTCGATGATTTTGGCATTGGTAATTATTTTCTGGTTCGGATGCTCAAGTTGAAACAAACTAATTGTATAGGCATTCTATGTCATGTTCGCCGCCTGTACGATCGGTGGCACTTTGTACGGCACTGGGCATAAGTTCGAGCACCTCACAGCATCTGACCGGGTGATTGCGATGAAGGTAAGCATTCAGTTTGCTAGATTACTTTCTCAACCCCCCACTAACTTTTATATTCGAATAGTATTGGTGGCTTTGCGAAATTGCTTACTGCTTCGCCTCGATCTTCTGCAAGATTTCTATCTGCCTTTTCCTCATGAGAATCACCATCAGAAGACTCCACATCTGGATAATTTACATTGTTATGGTCCTTACCGTCCTCGCAGGATTGGTGTTTATGTTCCTGATGCTTCTACAATGCAAGCCTCTTTCGTACTTCTGGACGCGGGCTGCTCTGGATCCTAGCATTGAGGGCTATTGCATCAGCATCAACATCATCATCACCATGACATACGTGTACAGTGCATTCGCAGCGCTGTGTGATTTTACTGTTGGGATCTTGCCCATTTTCATTGTGTACAAGCTACAAATGAGACGAGAGATGAAACTGGCTGTGGGAGGCATTCTGAGCATGGCTTGCGTGTATGTCATTTCTGGCCAACAATCTTGGGAAGATATAGCTAACAATTCTCAGTGCGTCAGCAGCCGTGGTTATCAGGCTTCCATACGTGAAAACATTTGCCAATCCTGAGTTCCTCTGTCCGTTACCTGCAATTTCTTCCTGAAACCGCCGTCAGCATACTAATCAGCCCATAGATGCTACCGTCCCGATCGCCATTTGGTCGAATACTGAGGCTGGCCTTGGTATCACCGCTGGTAGTCTCGCAACCCTCCGTCCTCTATTGCGTGTTTGGCTTGGCTCTCACGCCGACTCAAAATATCCGTCTGGCTTCCCGAGAGCATCTGCGTCACACAACCGAGGTAATTCGGGACGGCTGATACCATTGGGGTCAATGGATGAGAACCTGCATGGAGACTTGAGACCGGATAAATTGGCTGTCATGGTGAACAGTATCGAAAGCCGGAGAGACGGGGAGAACACGACCTCATCTAGTCCGAAAAGCAGTGAAGAGAGGCTGACTCTTGACCATGCGACACCCTCCGATCAGGAAAAGCTGGAAGTGGGTATTCATCAAACATTCGAAGTCACGCAGACGACGACTGTGAACAGGAATTATGGAGAAGGGTCTCATCGAAACGTGAGGGAACATGTGTAATTAGTCTTGTAGTGCGCGATGAGCCAATGAGCCAACCTTCTGATCAAGCAGATTCTCAACTTCGACTTATGATAGGCCTTTTTGAAGGTGGTGCTATAAAATCAATGTTTAATAGTTGCAGGTAGGGTGAGTACGAAGTTGAGATTGGTCAGCACTTCGCTCGCAGAAAGACAACGATCATGGATTCGGAAAAAGGTGTGAATGGATGTGTTGCCGCAGGATTGTTGAAGATAGATGGTATAGTTCGCTCGCAGTTGCGGCCTGTAAACGACCCTTGTATCGGGTGTTCAAGGTAGATCCCACACCACGCCCCCTTGTGTACATGTGTGTATGATAAGAGAGAGAAAAACGGAAGAGGGCTGGCTATAGCTAAGCGAACTCTGCCCCAATTTGGTTGAGCATGTCGGCATGATCCTTGCTATAAGTGTCACCATCTCTGGCGATCACTTCACGCACCCAAGGCCCCCGAGGATTAAATGAAGCCTTAAAGGGCAGGGCCCGCATAACCAGGCCGTAGGTGCATGCAATAGGGTCAACAGGGATGGGTTTGCCCGTCTCCTCAGACAGGCCGGCCTTGATGTCGAATGACCAGAGAAGCTGGGCGACGATGACCCAGATAACATTGCGGGCGAAATACCGCCCAGGGCAGGTCCGTCTTCCATAGCCGAAGACGGCAGGGGGGAGGGCTTTGAGCGTTTTGCCGTCCTCGTCGAGCCAGCGATCTGGGATGAAATCGTCGGGTTCAGGGCCGAACAAGGCCTCTTCCCGGGAGATTGTGCAAACGTTGGGCACAATAACAGATCCCTTGGGAATGGCATATCCATTGAAGGTAATCTCCTCCTTGTTCAAGTGAGGGACGCCCTCGGGGCCAACGGGCCGCCAACGGAATATCTCTTCGACAATAGCCGTGACGTACGGCAGGTTGGGCTTGTCATCAGGAACTGGGAGTCGGTTGCGCCCAACAACGGCATCCAGCTCCTCGCGCGCCTTGGCGACGAAAGCCTGGTCTTGTGTGATGCAAGCCACTACAAACCAGAGCAAGCTGTCTGTCGTGCCGTCCAGTGCGGCGTCAATCATGGTACCAAGCTCAAACGCTAGCTCGTGCAAGGGCATATCCAGGCTATCCTTGTCGACAGTCTTCTTGAGATGCTTTGATATATTCCAGGCGTCCGACTCCAGGCCCCGCCGAAAGTTTTCGTCGCGCAGATCATACTTGGTCGTGTAGTGATTCTCAGCCTTCGCCTTCCATGGGGCCAAGAAGCCGGGCAGGTTATTAAGCATAGGGAACTGGTCAACAATGTGCGCGTCAACCTGGACAAACTCGGAGAATTCGTCGTTGAGTTTAACAACGGCGCGAAGCACCGGGTCGTTGTAGCCTTTGACACGGAAGCCATACAGCAACGTATGGATGATGCTAGCGACTGCGCGCTGAAAATGTCCTTGAACATTAGCACCCGCGCCGCCCGCATTTTCCAGCAGATCGTGGATCAATTGCTGTGATTCCAGAGTCTGGAAAGGAAGATAGGCGGCTGCCGGTGTAGCGTTTAACACAGAGACCTGTAGCCTCTGATGTTGTCTGAATTGCTCTGTGTAATTCATCATGAGGATGTTGAGCCCTTTCAAGGCCAACTCTGTGGCCAACTGCAGTTCGGATTAGCTCATATGGCACGTCCAAAGTGAGAAGAGTAGAGTCTTACAAAAAGACGCGGTCGGTCTGAACATATAGCTCCATGCTTCGCTAGGAGGTTGTGGGCTACTTCAGACGTAGACAAAATGATGACGGGCTGTCCAAGCATATTGACGTGAACGATGGGCCCATACTGCTTGCTCCATTTGTGATACGTCTTCCAGCCGTGGGACGTGGGAGCTTGGTGAACATTGCCAATTATCGGCAATGGCTTGGGGCCCGGTGGCAGGGGCAAAGACGAAGTTGATTTACGCCGCGTGACCATATACACGCCTATTAGCAGCCCGACAATGGCTATGAATGTTGCTGAATGCATGATGATTGAAACTGGAAGAACAAACAACCAGATCTCTCTAGGGTGGCGGCGATGGAAGTAAGTTCATTACCCTAAATGGGTTTCTCTAACAAGGCCTCCCGTCTGGGGCTGTTTCTCGAAGTGACAGAAAGACGCTGGTATTGGGTCCAACATCATGGTTATTTTTGGAGCTGTAATACATGACCCACTCACCTACGGAATACGTCAACGCAGTTGACAACTGACTGGCATGATCAGATGCATACATTGTGGTACACTTGAATTGTTGTTGTATGCTATACGTACATTCGTGATTCAACTATCTACAATAATATATGATGCCCCTATTATAGCCTTGCGCTAACCGTCAGAGCATCATCACCATTCTCGCCTTGCGATTGGACAGAGAGAGAAGTCTGGGATCGGGTTTCAGGAGGGCTATAAAAGGAAAAGAAAATCCAGAGGATCGCTGATTAACACCACAGGCAGACCAAAGGGAAGACACGATAGGAAAATTACCGCTCGATGTACGAAGGGATGTCTGCGACCGACATTTTGCCTTCCAGGATTCCTGAAGGGGGGTCAGTACGATAGGACACATAAAATAGGATGGAAGACCACTGACGGTTAACAGCAGTGAACAGAGGGAACTGGTCCTCAATGCCCTGCTTCTTCAAGAATTTGTTGACCTCGGCGGAAGTCAAAGTGCCCTGGAGCTTCTGGCCGTTGAGTTCGGACTTCTCAACTTCCTCGATGGGCTGATTGCGTTCGACGCTGAGCTTGGCACAGCGGAAATTCCGCCCACCGCTGCAGCTGGTGATCAGGTCGGCGACACCAGCGCTCTCTTCGGTGAAGGTGCGGGTGTCGATCGTGGCGCCGAAGAACTTCTCGCCAAAGCGCACCATTTCCAGCAGTCCAACCCGCATGACGGCGGCCTTGGCGTTGTCACCCCAGCCCATGCCATCCACCCAGCCCGCAGCCAGAGCGACGACGTTCTTCAGGGCACCGCTGATGGACACACCAGCAACGTCATTGACCACCCGCACGTGGAAGTAGTGGCGGTGGAAAAGCGTCTTCAGCACGGCATGGTCGATGGGTGGGTACTCCGACGGCAGCGCCTGCAGCTTCACCTGCGAGAACTGGCCAGAGGTGTCCTTGTGTTCAAATTGCACCAGGTCGACCTGAGAGGCATTCGGGGATCGCTGAGGTGTAGGCGCCTTGGAGTCCATGGGCGGCGGGTCGTAGGCCACACTCGTCTCGGACCATTTCTCTTGAGCCACCTCGTTCGCAATGTTCGCGCCGGACAGCGCACCGCAATAGATCCCAAGGGTCTTGCCGATCGTCTCTGAGAAGAGGTTGATGCCTTCCTCGTTGACATCAACACCCTTGATGCATGAGATACCACGAGCATACGGCAGGATCTTGCCCTTCAGCTGCTCACAGGTCTTGATGATGAACTGGTGCGGCAGGTTGAAGACCAGGATGGTGCTGTCCTTAACGGTCTCCTCCAGTGACGGGTTGGCGTGCAGGTTGGCCGGCAACGAAATTCCTGGAAGATATTTGACGTTCTCATGGATTCGGTTGATCACCTCGGTCAACTTCTGGGGAGAGTTTTGAGCGGGATCGTAGTGCTTGGATGTCTTGGGGATCTCGACGTTCTCCTCGAACACCCACATTTCCACCTTTTCCTGGAAGATGTCAGAGTTGGCCGCCGTGTTTTCGGCGACGATCTTGGCGATCGCGGTACCCCTGCCAAAAGATCAGTTGTGGAAAAAGTTTTCCTCGAAATCTCGGACGCACCAGTTGCCGGAGCCCACCACCGCCACCTTGTGCTTTCGCTGATACGGACCGAGAGATCCCATGTTGGATGGCTGCTTCGAAGACGTCGAGTGTGGTCGGGAAAGAGCTCGGTCGGCGAAAGGCGGGGACTTAAAAGGCCGTAGGGATCCCGACGGGGGCGAACGGGGTGTGGTGAGTCGGCGGGCCTGGTTCCCGGTGGCTAGCGGCGACCGAGGCAGGAGGGCTGTGGCACTGGGCGCAGGAAAGCGAGTCCGACGATAAAGGCGCAACATCCACGAAAAGGTGGATATGGGAGCCCCAACGATGCCCGAGTTTCGCCTGTTGCCGCACAAGATCTGATGTCACCGGACCCGAAAAAGGTCGGGAAGCCTAGCCGTGGAGCTCGGCGGGGATTCGTTAGTACTGGTGCGAAGGCGATCAAACGTCAGTGGATTTCCTTGGTCGCAGGGGATTTGCAGGGCAACCGACCAGGGACCAGGGCGGTGAGGCTCTCTGAGGTAATGGACCGACAAATTTCTGGATGATCGACAACCACTGTCTGCACATGCGAACATGGTAAGTCCACGCTGCCTCTCCACTACGACCCGGTTCATTCTCGTTGCTCATTATTCTCATTCTTCTCTTATCCACAGGCTCCTCATCGCTCGGTCATGAAGAAACCGGCCCCGGGCCGAGGTGCCCTCCCTCCAGATCGGGCCCATTCAACGACGACTTCCGCACGAGCAAGAAGGACAAGCGCCAGATCAAACATGCGGCGTTGATGTCCAAGATCGAAAAGACCCAGAAGCCGAAACGCCGTCGTCCGTCGAAAAAGCTTGCAGCGAATCTGGAATCACTGGCCGATGCGCTGCCAGAAGCCGAGGAGGCTGGCGATGCGTCGAGTCAAGTGAATGTTATCAAGCAGAAGACCTTGAGGCACAAGCCCGGGGCCATGAAACAGAGGGAGAAGCTCGAAAAGGTCGAACGGGATCGATTTGCAAAGAACATGGCCCAGATGTCTAACCTCGCACCACCTGCCAACGCTGGGTCCAACCCGGATACGAGTGCGACGACCAGTCGATGGTCCGCCCTGCGGAACTTCATCTCGTCTACAATGGAGCAGCAGCCGGTATTCAAGGCGAACAAATGAAGTTCGATGTGGACAGCAGTCATCAGTTACACAACACGCCAGCCTCCAACCACCTGAGGGCGGTCTCGGCTACGGAGATAGCCGCAACACAAACGGCATGCCGCCCTCGCATGTAAGAATGCCACATAAACTACCCGTTGCAGCCTATTTCCCCAAGACCCACAGTGGATGGCTCTTGTTCCTGAGTCAAACGTGTGCAATCCGTGTCTGCCATCAAGACAGCAGTGGAAAAATCCCGGGCACACCTCATGATTCCCATACCATGAATCACTCAAATCGCTGAGCCTAAAATGTCCAGTTTCTACAACGCGAGAGATCAAGATCTATCCCAAATCATCTTAGTCAACCAAATTGGACAATGATATGAACAAAAAACTTTCATGTTTATTCCACTTCCAGTATAGAACAACCCAGACCACATTCGACATTCCCATGAACAGGAAACCCTTTCAGTCTAGTGGGCCCTCTTTCCTCCTGTTCGACACAGACCTGCATCATCCCAGTCCTCACTGCCGACTCCTTTGCGCGAGATGAACAATCCAGTCGGGTCCCACTTCTGCTTTAGGTTGTACAGGCGGGGATAATGGTCGCCCCAGAATGAAGCCTGGAACCCCGGCTCATAGGCATTCGCCTCGTTCAGGTACGCACCCATGTTGTCTTCACCCTCGACAGACCGCAAAATCGGAATCTCCACTTCGGTCATGTTCTTGACGACTGCGGCTTGCTGTGCCAGCGTAGCATTAACCGGCCAACTGCGGGCATAAAGCATGTGGGTGATGGTCTTTCTCCAGGCGGGATTGAGAGCGCTGTCGATCTTGTCTCCGTTCGAAGCAACAGCGCCACCGGCCACCACATGGCTAGTAATCTGATCGTACGGACCCATTTCGATGCTGCGCCAGGCGTTAGTGAGGCGATCGGGGCCATCTGCCGATTCAAGAAGTTCTCTTGAATATAGTCGCGATCCAAGCATGGATATCCCGCCTGTGCTGTCCGATTGAGATCCGCCTAGGAGCAGAGTGGAAATGGTGGAGTAGATACTCGGAAAGACTTCGGTCTCATATTGCGTCATGACCCCAGGGATTTGCTCTAGCTTCGAGCGCAATGGAGCATAGAGCTGGTCAATCTCACTCGCGTTGCTGTGCTCTGGGAACATAAGCAGGATCATCATGGCGGAGAGACTCGTGTCTGCGGTCACGGGGAAATTTGGAAAGGTGTAGTAATATCCTGAGCCACCGGCACCGTTGAGGGCTGGAAGTGCGGCATGGTACTGGCTGAATGCCTCCCAGAAACTTGGATCGCCTATGGCCGTGGAGATGTTGAGATTGCTAGCCACCACGGGCACCTCTGGGAACGTACGAACAGTGACGCTGGTCACCACGCCAAATGTTCCACCACCCCCACCGCGCAGCGCCCAGAAGAGGTCGGAGTTCTGGAAGTCATTAGCGGTGACGAGATTGCCCTTAGCCGTCACCACTTCGAATTCAAGCGCATTATCTGAGGCCATCCCCTTCCAAGCGCCAAAGGGCGAATGCCCTCCCCCTTGAATATATCCACCGGCAGCGCCAACAGTGTGCGCAGATCCTCCAATCACTGACCGGTTATGCTGCGCGACGAAGGCGTAGAGTTCGGGCAGATTCACACCAGCGGCCATAGTGACGGCCTGTCCTTCACCGTTTGTATTCTTCGGTGCGCCTTTTGGCACAAAATTGTCGACCATAATAATATCTTTCATGTTGAAGGTCAGGATCTGCAATGACTCCGGGGCAGTCGAACGGCCTAAGAAATCATGACCAGAGTTCTTAATAGCGAGACGGAGGTTATGTCTGCTAGCAAATTGCACAACCAGCTGGATCTGGTCGGCTGTCTGGACTATTGCCGAGTACCGCGAGATGCGACCCTGGCCGCACTCTTCGTTCTGCGGTGTCGTGTCATAGCAACTCTGGTCGCGCTCCGGCCAGGCTTCCCAATTTTCCCATTGCACAGCACCAGGTTCGCTGGCCCGCCAGGTGGAATTGGCCCATTGCGCCTGGACGACGCTACAGGCCGTCGCATCGAAGTCGCCCTCGTGGCAAACCGCTGCTACCGGTCGCACGGCAACTAGGTTGCCTTGGAGGGTGTTGTTCAGTACCACCCACTCGTGGTCTGAGGGCCAACAGCTCTGAGTGGGGAGGCATCGACAATTGGGTGCTGATGGGACTGCGATAGCCACCAGCGGCAGAAGAAGAAAGTAAAGAAGTCTGCCAGACATGATGGATATATTTCCTAAGCAGTGCAACCATGCAGCTGAGCTAGGATCTCTGCGGGTTTATATAATTCACTCAGGGCTGAGGCGGTGGATGCATGGGCAAACTATACGCGGGTTACTAGATCGGGACGAACAACGCGAGCTACCTAACTGGGACAAAACCCGCGATAAAGTTTGCCCAACAAGGCTCAGCGAATAGATCTTGGGTCTGCGTATCGTGACATCGTGGGTTTATTCCTTCCAACTATACAGCCTACAGTTTTTTGTCCTGGTAGACATGGTACACCGAAATCTTCATTAGGAGGCAGTGTTCCATTTCAGATGCCGCCACCGAGTTGGCTAAATGCTGACTCAGCCAGATAAGCCCGCCGCCTGCGGGGAGAGCTCCGTATCGGATGAGTAGTGGTTCTTCCCTTCATCTCTCCTCATCATATTCCTTTCGCTTGTGTCGCACTCCCTGGTCATGCTGAGGCCTCTCCAGCGCCGCGGGCTCGCAGTAGCCTGCTCGGCGCCACGACTAGCTGGTGGCCGACCTCGGCGTCCGCCGCAGGCACGAAGACCGCTCTCCAGTTCCTCCAATAGCTTCCCAACAGCTTCGCAATTTAACCGGTCAGATTTTACAGGCCAGCCCTTTACCGGGAGCTATGAGCCTGGTCTGCCGACGTCTGGCCCGCTGGGATCCACTCCCGCGTTCGGCGCGCCGCGAATCACCCCAAAGGTGCTGAAACAGTACCTCGATCAATTCGTGGTCGGACAGGATCGCGCCAAAAAGGTGTTGAGTGTGGCGGTATATAATCATTACCAGCGGGTGCAGGAACTGCAGCGGCGCGAAGAAGAGGCGGCGGAGATCCTGGCTAAGCAGCAGCGGAGAGATGCGCTAGAGAGCCATCCCCTGGAAGGTTTGTCCTTGTGTCAGTGCCTAAGAGACTAGACTGACTGACTGTGGTCCCTTTTTCCAGCCGAATTCCCAGGACAACAGCGCACGGTTGATATGCCTTCACCAACCTCCAAATCTCGCCAGGCAGCCCCGCTGGACCCAAACGATAACGCCGATGCGTCTGCCCCACAACTGGATAAGTCCAATATATTGCTACTCGGTCCATCCGGCGTCGGTAAAACGCTGATGGCCAAAACCCTCGCGCGGGTTCTCTCTGTCCCATTCAGTATTTCGGACTGCACGCCATTCACACAAGCCGGGTACATTGGAGAAGACGCCGAGGTGTGCGTACACCGTCTTCTCGCTGCAGCGGATTATGACGTCGAGCAAGCGGAACGTGGGATCATCGTCCTGGATGAGATGGACAAGATCGCAGCTGCCAAGGTCAGCCATGGCAAGGATGTCGGCGGTGAAGGCGTGCAGCAGGCGCTGCTGAAGATTATCGAGGGCACCACCGTGCAGGTTCAAGCAAAGGCCGAGAAAAATCCTCGAGCAACCAGCCCTCCAAATAGCTATCCCTCCAACAGTCCGTTAGGCAATGCCTCATTTCAACCTAGCGGTCAAGGTCACACGTCTCAGAAAGGCGAAGTCTACAATGTGCGCACGGACAATATCCTTTTCATCTGCTCTGGTGCTTTTGTAGGTCTGCACAAAGTGATCATGGACCGGATATCACGCGGTTCAATCGGGTTCGGCCAACCTGTCCGCTCAGCTACAAGCTCGTCCAATGGCCGACCTGGCTCCTCTGACACCTTGCATACTGAGCCTCTCCCCATCCTCCCCGGGTCCGAGGAGGAGGCATTATACAAGAAACACCTCCCGTTCTTCACCTCTGCATCACCCGCAACACCGGGCAGCGAACCAACGTACTTCAATGCCCTCGATCTTCTCACTCCCTCTGATCTACAAAGCTACGGATTTATTCCCGAGTTGATTGGACGAATCCCCGTCACCGCCGCACTATCGACCCTCACACAACCTCTCCTTCTACGCATCCTCACCGAACCCCGAAACTCCCTCATAGCACAGTACACAACCCTCCTCTCACTATCCGGGATCGAGCTCCGCTTCACCACACCGGCCCTGCACAAAGTTGCCGCCAATGCCTTCAAAATGGGCACAGGCGCCCGCGCGCTCCGCACAGAAATGGAAACCATCCTCAGCGACGCCATGTTCGAAACCCCCGGCTCGAGCATCAAGTTCGTGCTCGTCACACAAGCCGTCGCTGAACGCCAGGAGAAACCCATCTACCTTGCTCGCGGGCAAGGAGGCCGATTCCACGCAATGATCTCCGCAGAAGAGAGCCAGTGGGAGGAAAAAACGCGACGCGATAAGAAGGGCCAAGAAAAGAAGAAAGGGAAGGGCCAGAATGGGGGTGATGCGTCCCAGAATGCTTCAAGTTTCCAGGAATATCGAAAACGCGCAGTCGGGTGAATGAAGAGTTTTGGGACATTAGTTTCAGCTCTGATTTTGCGGGTTTACTTGCAGGCTGGTATAGAGATGCTAATATTATTTCTTTCCTGAGTCTTTCTTTTTCGAACAGTGATTCCTTGCGGCGAATGCATCCGCTGGTTGGCCCTGGAGTTCCCTTACGAATCTAGTCACCATGAATACTTCAGTACAAACTACAAAGTGGGGCACAGTATGCATAGCCAGTGGAGTTGATTGACATTTCTTTCTGTAGAACGGAACAGGACACAGACTATGTTGTCAGCTCACAAATAGACCATACAGTGAACACGGGAATAGTCCATCGCAACGCTCCCATGGCAGATATGGCCGTGAATTCAAAAGAGCAAAAGAAGTGATCCGAGGCAAGGAAAACGGGGGGGTATCTCAAAATCAAAACAAACGCTATGAGCAAAAAGGAAAGGATATCAGGAGCAATAGCCATAGTGCGCCAAGCCATTCTTCTCTTAGTTTAATTTCGGAGCATTCATTTGCCACCATTTAGATCTCTTTTGGAGTGGTCTCCTAATGGCTCTGCTTGGATGTGATAGAGGTGGAAGAATCAGAGGCCTGCTTCGCCTCTCCTTTAATCTCCTGATAGAGACGCTGGTAGTCGACCTTAAACGTCTCGTAGAACGTCTTGAGGTTGAAAAACTCGACATGTCCCCAGCTATCAGTTCGCTTCTGCTGTGGTCCCGAAGTGATGATAACAAAGCGCCGGAAGCGTGCTGCGTGGACCAGACACCAACCCGCAAATGTTTCGATCAGGTTGTTGACGCATTGTTTATCCTCAGGAGCAGACGGTTGTGCCTCTTTGAATTGTGGGCCATATGCGTGCATGGGGAACGAAAGGACATTGTTGTTGGGTCTGTCGAGGTACCGAGTGTCCAAGCTACTAGGCCAGAACCGTCGCAGATCCGGGTCGACGGAATTATTCTTCTTGATCCAAGCAAGGATCGTTAACCACCTAGATAGCGAGGCTGTTAGAGAGCTTAGTTGTAATGAATGGATGGATTCAACGTACAGAATATCCTTGGTCTGGTCCCTGTTCTCTGTAGTGAGAATCGTCTCGATCCACTCTAGGATGTTAGGGGGAAACAGAAGCTTGGAGGTGCCAGGCTTTTGTATTCGAGAGTACCAAAACCACTTCAGAAGCACCGCAGTCCCCTTCAAATCTGCGAGAAGGACATCCGGAGTGACTAAGATCGCAGAACCGTAAGGGAATAGACGTTGGAAATGTTCACCGACCGTCGGGTAGCGTCTATCAGGATGCTCCAGAGGTCTTGCAAGACGAGCACTCCAGAAGTTTAGTGAAGGGTTACGCAACGCATAGCGGATAGGAAGCTTGAGAGAGCTATAATCCGAAAACGATTCGTGAAACTGCGTTTATTGTTAGACATTTGACCTTGGTTTAAGAGGAATGGGTAAACATACCACAGCAACGCTGCCGCCCTTAATGTTGTGGACGAACTTGCTCCAATCATCTGCCTTGCGATTCGATAGGATTGTCACACCATTTTCCTCCAAGAACGCCGCCATCCTGACATACTCCAAGTCGTCCTCGTGTAAAGGAAACCACAGGTAGAAAAATTTGGCTATCCTCTGGTTATCCTGAATGGTTGCAAGGTCTTTCATCGTGATATTGTAATCGGCCTTGAAAGCCTCAGAGAACGATATGTTGGCTGGAGGCGTCTGGGCGCGGTAACTAGTATCGATTGATAGGTGTTGGATGCTAGATGACTTTGGTGCCGGCTTTTGGTTCTTGTTAAGGGAATCTGGATCGTTTTCTGACGATTGAGCGGACTGGTCGCCCATCGTGGGCACCCTAGGTTGGAGTTGAAGATCAGAAACGGGCTGAACGTGCTCTGATGGCTTGGACGGAGGAGAATGCGCATGGTGGCCATGATCTCCAAAAAAAGCAACTGCCTGGGGACGAGGGTGAGAACCGAGTGGTGATTGTGTAGGTTGCTCGGGTGGTTCGGGGCCCGCAATCTCAGCATTGCGCCTTTGATACAAAGATGTCTCCTCGGCACTTTGGCTTTTCACGATAAATCCTCGCTCCAAGGATTCAATCGGGGTCCATTGGGCAGCTCCTCGTGTTCTCAACTCTTCCGCAGAACCTGGCTGGTCTGGACTATGAGAATCACCGTGAGGAGTGCTAATGCTTACACAACCCCCGAGAGACAGGTTGGGACGGGGAGATGATGGCAATCGCAGCTCTCTATGGAAAGTCAACAGTCTCTTCATAGGCGCCAGTTGCTTCCGCACCGCGAACACCAAGGGCGCGCCATTTGACATATCCTTGATCATCGGATGAGTGAGAATATCAAAGGCTTGGGACCAGCGAGAATAAGCAAGCCACACGTAACCTTCATTGGTTGGAGGGTAGTAGATCGCTACCCGGCGTCTTTCACGGAGATACTCTGCCATTTCGACGAGCGCTCGGTTCGTGTCAGGGAACCCTTCTGCCCAAGCGTTGCACTCCACCTGCCTTGGGTGCTTCCAGCTGCCGTTAGAGACGAAAATGAACTCATATGGTAAATCGAGTCGCTCACCTTTGGACACAGATCGCTGTACTCTTCAAACGTGCACAAATACCTGAACCAAACTTCAAGCTGAAGACCTCGGTTGTTCTTCACAAGCTGGGCAATGACATCTCTATGTGTTGAAGCACCACACAGTCTAACAGGCCCGACATACTTCTTTTGAGGCCCCACATACACTTGCGCAAGGACTTCGCCTGGGTTACAGAAGTAATTATAGCCCTTTTGTTGAAAAAATCTTGCGCCATGGCGACGTGACGGAACAGGCATCCGTTTGATTTGCTCTTCAACCGAAGGGGCTTCATCGTTGGCAGACAACGGTTGTGGAAACCTTGGGTCGTACCTCTCCGGTCTGGGAGAATTGAATTGAGACGGGAGAAAGCCATCATCGCGTTGAGGCCTATATGAATCCATGAGAGGAGGTGATTCGCGAAAGAGACCTCCTGGTCTGTAGTTATCATAACTATCCCGCGACTCGCGCTGTCTGGAGGGACCGATTCTGTCGCTCAGCTGGCGAGAGGGTCTTGCGCGGTTCCGCGGTTCGATAGCCCTTGACGAGATGTCTAAATCCGCACGCGAAGGCCTCGTACCAGGTGAAATGAGGGTTGTCGGAGATGAAAGAGTAGTCGATGTGATGATCGCTCGAGTATCCTCGGGAGTAGGTTGCGGTTGCACTGAAGGGGTTGCGTTCAGTTGCGTTTCATTCTGTGTGTTGGAGGTGGGTGGCGCTCTACCAGAAGACCCGATTTGAAGGTAGGAACTGCCTTTATGACCCGTCCTTGCTGGAAACTCTGATGGCTTCCTCAGCTCAAGCCGCGTGATATCTGGCGTCGGCTCGTCCCAGCTATTGGGTTTCACTCGCTTGTTATGCTTATTGCCCGTACCGAAGCCCACCAGCGGGGGCTTCTCAGGTGGCACCATGGGTAGCTGCGCTGGAGGGCGGGCATTGGATGGCTTTCCATCCACCAGAGGTGTCTCCGATGAAGAGCTGCAGACAGTTGAAGAGACCGGCTCCGGGGCGCCCTGGGTGACGAATGCTGGAGAATCTTCGAGGGGGACAAAGAGCTCCGGAGACTGGTCAGAGGCGATCGAGGTCGCGGCGAATTTGCGTTTGCTTCCGATGCCTGCAGTGAAGCCACTTGCCTCTGCTGGCTGCCCAGAATCTGGACTGGGCGAGCGAAGGGCCAGCCGGCGTCTCTTTTCTCTGCGTCTCGCTTTGCGTTGGGCTGTCTTATCTCTAATGAGTTGCACATGGTTTTCCCAGGCCTCCACATCAAATGGCGGTACCCTCCTCAGGTCAATGTCTCTTTTCTTTCGCTCCCATTCCAGCAGAGTTTCCGGTGAATCGAAGGCGTCCGCGGGCTCCCAGCTGTTTGCTTCACTGCCGTAGTTGGCCCATTTCACGAGGTACTGCGGGCCATCTTCCAGGTCTCTCTGCGCGAGGATCGTCTCGACCTCGTATGTGGAGCACTGATCACTTGATATCGTTGAAGTGAGAGAGATGGCATCCCAGTCGCTGGAGGGTAGCGCATCGGAAGTCATGGCGGACGACCCCAGATAATGTGCAGGAAGACAGAAAGCAAGTCCGCCTCCCCACGCATCATCCGTTCATGGTCGACCCGTCTCTCTTCTTTGTTGATCGCGTGGGTTGACAGCACCAGGCACGTGACCATCCAAAGGGGCTCGGCCGTTTAAGGAGAGAGATGGGCGAGGCATCAACCAATAATCCTCTCTTCCCCTTCCCACCCTCTGTCTTGTCTTGGTGAGTACTCTGCTCGTGCGGCTCTGTTGCCTTCGGATTCTTCCTCTCATCCATTTCCCTCACTGTCATACTGACCCCGCCTCTTCTTCCGCGCAGTGATTCCCGCTTTCTTCTGTGAACACGTTTACCGTCTTTTTTACCCTCTCCCCCCGCCCCCCGAGCTGTTCTAGCTCGACCCCCCATTCGAAATGGCCAACGACGAATATGATGTGAGTTCTCGGATGATCATTCGATTCTCACTGATATACTGATTCGCCATGACTCTAGTTTCTGTTCAAAGGTAACGTTGCCACCACGCGCGGAACCCGCAGCCTACGGGCCCTTCCCTGCCCGCAACCCCTCGACTGCCTGGCCGCACATACTGATCCGGCGGACTGAACAGTGGTGCTTATTGGAGACTCCGGCGTCGGCAAGTCCAACCTGCTGAGTCGATTCACCCGCAACGAGTTCAACCTGGACTCGAAATCCACAATCGGTGTAGAGTTCGCAACCCGCTCCATTCAGGTGGATTCCAAGACGATCAAGGCACAGATTTGGGATACGGCTGGTCAGGAGCGCTACCGTGCCATCACATCGGCCTACTACCGCGGTGCAGTCGGTGCCCTCCTTGTTTACGATATCAGCAAGCACCAAACCTACGACAACGTCAACCGGTGGTTGAAGGAGCTGCGGGACCACGCCGATTCCAACATCGTCATCATGCTTGTGGGTAACAAGAGCGATTTGCGACACCTGCGCGCCGTGCCCACGGAGGAGGCCAAGCAGTTTGCCAGTATGTGTCCGGTACTCTTTCTCGGTAACACCGCTAACCCCCGCTCGTAGGCGAGAACAACCTTTCCTTCATCGAGACCTCCGCCCTGGACGCTAGTAACGTTGAGCTGGCCTTCCAGAACATCCTCACAGGTTGGTGGGCCCCATGTCCTCCACCCCCGCAGCGCTGACTAGGCACCCAGAAATCTACCGCATTGTTTCCAGCAAGGCCATCGAGGGCGGCGAAGGCGGATCGGGCTCGATTCCCGACCGCCGCGTGATCGACTTCACTCCGCAGGACTCGGAGCAGAAGCAGGGCTGCTGCTAGACACGCCCCGGCGAGGGCGACGCACACCGACCGCAACGAAACTTCGACTTTTGCGATGCGTTTCTGGGATGGCTTTGATTTGTGTTGGGAGTCTGTCACTCGGCTGCTACGAAGATGATTGATACACGGGGCTGGTAGAGAGATACGAGGGGCGGATACACATGGATGGGAGAGGAGAATGGGTGTCTTTTCTTCTGGATGGCGAAACTGGCACCGCAGATCTTGTTCCCTGCTCTGTTGGATTTATTTTCTTGCTCGCTTTTTTCCTGCGTGACCCCCAACGAAATTGATGTTCTTTTTCTTTTCTTCTTTCTCTTCCGTCGAACTGGTGTGCTTCGTGACTCTTCCCGTTGGTGTGCAGGTGGTTGGTTGGGCGTCTGTCATTTGAGGCTGCGTGGGCTTGTACGAACTGTTCCGGGTGCAAATGCAAATCCGTACATTGGACTCTGCGGTTCTATTGCGTAATCTTTCTCCTAGTTATCTTTCGTGTCCATCTCCGCCTGCTGGACAACAACATTTCCCATGTCAAGATTTCGACCGATGTGAACGTTGATTATGACTATTATTATGATGCTAACGATGGCGTACATAGTCAACAGTTGTCACTCCAAGATCACTGCGCATGAGTGCTTCCCACGATTAAATGATGGGTTGTGTGAACTTGATCGGCAACCACGGAGGCCCAGACACGGAGGTTCAAAAAGTAATCGACCAGTCGATGATAGATAATCATATATACCACAGCCTCGGTTTCGGTCATGGCTATAACAAGCCCACACAGTGTAGGGGGCAATCCGGTGATTGCTGGGATAGAGCAAAATGATACGCAGCGTACGTGAGGGCTATCCCCTATCCCAATTCAATGCTTCGATTGTATGTTTCATATTCCCTTCTTTTGTGTATGTCTAAGGCGCTATCAAGGAAAGAAAAACAAAACAAAACAAATAACAGTCGCACACGGGGTCCCATCGCTACTCCAACACTATGCCCATTTCACGATCAAGGATCGCGGCTCGCAACTCCCTGACATCGTCGCCACGCTCCCTCATGACAAACTCGAGCGTGTCCCCGAATGTCTCGCCGTTATCGCGAAACCATTCACCCAAAGACCAAATAAAATCCTCCACCTGCTCCTTGAGAGGTGCATGCTCACGCAGCCACAATACCTGCGCGGGGTCGAGCTTCATCATGTCCTGCACAACGTAGTAGTGAGGGATCTCATCACCCCATCCCTCGTACCCTGGATCATGGGAGAGGTCGTTGCGGAATCGAGACCGGATCTTGGCTGACGACTCGGTGTAATTAGACGGATGGGCTGTGTGGAAGTACTGGCCGAAGAGATCACTCGGGCTCTTTTCGTTGCATCGTTGGTGATAAGCCGCAGGTGAGGACTCGGTGGGAGGATAGTTCAGATGGATATTGAAGGTAAGCTGATGGGTACTCTCGGGGTATCGCTTGCGGAATTTGCGCTGGATGGCGCCGTTGCTGGGACAGATGTGATTTTGCACGACGTCAGAAATGACCAGGCGTAGGTCTTCCATCTCCGCCAGCTCTGCAGTAGACCAGTTGTGGAGCAGCTGGGCGCGTTCCGTCACGACGTGGCGAAGGCTGCGAGAGAACCGATCGTAGGCACGCGTGTGGAATGCGCGATGGTACAGCCACAACCGGTATACGGCACGGCGCAACCGCAGCTTCTCTTGCTCAGTCAGCGAGCGACGGATTTCGTAGTCAGTCTTCCATTTCTTGAATGGGTAGACCGTCTCCCATTTCCGCGCCGCCAGACCCAGCTGGATTATCTGTTTGAGGAGTGCATCGGACATGGGCACATGCCGGATGAGATGAGCTGGCTGGCTCACGTTGTGTGTCACCACTTGGATGACATCCTGGAGCGGGCCGAACTCAGTCTCTGCGGCACTGGCTAGGAGTTGTACTTTGTTGGTCGAGTTGAAGATGCGATGGAGTCGACGGCATGAGGCTGCCAGGTTCAAAACATCGGATATGGAGTCGCAAGATCGAAAAATGTGGAGCAGGAGCTCTGTCGCCAAATGGTCGATTGACATTATGGAAAAAATGTATTCACGTTTGACTGTATAGCTTTGAGAGCTGTCAGCTTTGTGGTCACCGGCAGCGCGTCAACAAAGAGCTCACTCTTTCAGGTAATAGTTTGGTTTCAAACAAAGGTGCCGTACGGCATAAAATGGCAAATGTATATTCTTGTCAGAATGTCTCTGCCAATAGGTCTGGTCCGACAGCGCCGTTATGAGACGAACAACGGCTGTCGCGCGTGGCCGGGGCCTAGTTGAGCGGTACCCCACCGTTGGGGCTGGCCAAATCAAGGAAAAAAAACTGGGATGAAACATCAATGAGTATGGTAAAAGAGCGGCAGCTCAGCAGCCCGACAGGGCTGGAGTTAGAAAGCCTCGCCATTGTTGATGGTTGCAAGACGGAGGTGACGGCGTTGGTGACCATAGTCGTGTCACTGGTCACATGACTAATGCGTGATCACATGGTCTTGGCGCCCCACAATCACTGCATAGGGGCAACTGTGGAGGGCAGATGCTCAGAAACAGCAAGAACTAACTACCAGCGCTGGTGAGGCATTTTTTCTATTGAGCTGGATTGTCGTAATTCCGCGCCTCTAAGTTTACAAAGGAATGTATGACTAATATCCCCGTGCCTCTCGGAAATGCGGACCACCAACCTAGTTTCGGGCACAATTTTATACAGCTGGCAAATTCCCCGTTGCTTCAGATATCGCTCCTTTTATTGAGGTCAAATCGAGTCAGTGAGGTAGGGTCTCATATATTTGATACCAGACAATTGGCAATGCGATAATATATGGTAGAAGAGACTTTCAATGGATTAGACAAAAAACTTCGCGAATTATTTACAAGCAAGCATGCACATAGATTCACCAAATACTAAGCCATTGCAGAGCAGACAAATCCAGTGATGTCACAGAGTTATTTCATACTTAGTACTGCCCTTGTTTCAGTTGAACAGCATGGATGTACTAATATTCACATCCAATGATATCCTGGTAAAAACAAAGTGAGGGAATAGGCAGGACAAGGCCAAAAGGAAAGAGAGAAAAAAATTGTACATTTAAATCATATTCTCTTGTCCTTTTATCCCTTTTTCCCGCATTTCTAACAAAGAATTATTTTTAAAAAAAAATGCAAACCGCAAAGCACGCGGATCAACGAAAAATAATATTTATCAAATGAGCAGAGAAAAGACTAGTTTCCCCATGTATATGCATTCCACCACCTCGAGAATAACCCTCCTTGGACGGTTTGCTCATTCCAGCTAGCGCGGCGTGCCGCCATGTCCGGGTCAGCAGAGATGCGCTTCTGAGCATACAGATTTGAAAAGAGCTCTCTAGACGGATTGCCACCGGGTCGGCGTCTTTCCCCCATAGTTGCGAGCCTTGGGAAGTCATACTCAGTGGTAGTAACAGTCCTTTTAGTGGCGTTGACAATGGACGAAGTGGAGAGACTAGAGTCCCCCTTGGTGTCCTTGTCAGGGTTACAAGGATAGATGTTAGCTCCATGAGATTCGGTGACAGAGGACAAAAAATTGAAAGCATAAAAAAAAGTAAATAAAATAGAACAAACTCAACCTACTCGGCCGATTTTAGTTTCCATTCCATTCGAGTTACCGTGGGGGTTGTCAGACATGACTGGACTGCTTTATCTAGTTCTTTTCTTTGATCAGCAATCTAGACAAAAAGTGACAAGGGCTAAATCACTTGACCAAGTGATCTGTGATCATGTGCGTAGACAGGATCGAATTTAATGAATGCAGTGCAGTCATTCATTTAACAGCAAGTGTAGGATTTTAAAAGGGATGTGAAAGAACACTAAACGCACATCCGAGCTTATGGTTATCTTTGATTTGGACTGATAGATGATCAGAATGAAAAAAAAAATAGTATATAGAGGAAAAGAGGGAGAGACTGGCTTAAATAGCACAAAAAAAGAGGGGTGCTGGGTTTCTGCCTGGCAAGTAAAGTTGATCTTGCTGAATCATAGCTTGCCATCGTACTAGTAGATTAATATTCAGAATAGTCAGTCTATCCTAAATCCCGCTGATGAAACTGTTTCTTTTGCTGACGAATCTAATCCGAGCTATATCCGGGTGGATCCTAAAGGGCCAATGAGGCTACGCGGTTTATTTGTCACCAACGACTGATCTGCAAGCTTGCCAAAGCGTTAACTATACTTGGTGCTGCATACTTCAAACTATGGCAGGAGTGATACCTAGTACATTTCCTTCTGTGGTGAAGGTTAGAATATACTAAGTCCACCTACCTCGCTCTTTTACTCACCAGTTTCTCTTACAAAAGTTCCATTGCTCTCATATTCTACCGTCACCATGGCTCCCAAGGTTGCTATCATCTACGTACATCTTCCAATGGCTAACTTTCTAATCGATCCATCTCACTGATGGTCCCAATAGTATTCTATGTACGGCCACATCCTGGAGTTGGCTAAAGCCGAAAAGAAGGGCATTGAGTCCGCTGGTGGCCAGGCCAATATCTACCAGTTAGCACACCGACAACTATCTCTTCTTGGTCACTAACAATTGATTCTCTAGGACCGCCGAGACCCTTAGCGACGAAATTCTCGCCAATCTGAACGCTCCCCAGAAGTCCAACTATCCCGTTGTTGAGGCTTCCGACCTTCTCCAATACGATGCCGTCCTTTTCGGAATCCCCACCTGTTACGGTAACTTCCCTGCTCAGTGGAAGACCTTCTGGGACAAAACCGGAAGCATCTGGGCCACCGGTGGCTACTGGGGCAAATACGCTGGTCTCTTCGTCTCCTCTTGTACTCTACGTGGTGGGCAAGAGTCGGCGGCGATTGCCACCATGAGCACTCTTTCTCACCATGGCTTCATCTACGTCGCTTTGGGTTATAAGAACGTTTACCCCCTCCTGACCAACTTGGAGGATATTCACGGTGGCAGTGCCTGGGGTGCCCATACTTTCGTCGTAAGTAATTCTGACACAATTTAAAGCATTTCCCATGCTGACCACTACACACTAGGGTGCCGACGGCTCCAGGCAGCCCACAGCCCTCGAACTCCAGATTGCGGAGGCCCATGGCAAGGCCTTCTATGAGGCCGCCGCCAAGGCCCAGTAATTATATGACAGTGCCGAGTCGAAGCCGGAGAGCTCGAGTTGCTAGAATGCGACGGAGAGCACTAGAATACGCTCCTTAGCCACCGAATACTGTGTTACCATGAGCTAGCAGTTAAATTACCTACGGATCAGGTCCGTACGGTGTGGTCCCATAAGGGGCAGTTGCCTCGCTCTTACAGCTAAACATCCAGGGAGCCTTCAACACCATATGCCACCAGCGACTCCTGGACACCCTACAAAAGAAGGGCTTTCCGCAATGGGTAATAAGCTAGATTAATAGCTACCTTACGGACCAGAGTTTCTTCCATGACGAGGTTTTTGAACTAATCCGAAAACAGGCTAGAGAATCGCAGGGATCCTCCATCCCCTCTATTCTCTTCGTCCTCTACATCGCCTTGCTATACGAGGAGCTTAAGGTGCTATGGGTAGCGGTAATTGGTTTTGCTGCAATAAAAACGGAGTAGTCTTTGCCCCGACCGCGAGCGACAACTGCCAGACGCTCGAGGAGGTCTAGGAATCGTATAAGCAGTGGGTAAGGGCCTACCAGATGCAATTCGAGACGGAGAAGAGTGAGCCAGCTCGGAATGGGCGCTAGAGAGTGGGTGCAGAAGCAACAGGAGCAGAGAAGGCAGGAAGCTTGATGTCGTGTGTCAATAGCTACGCAGATCAGGGCTGTCGCGGGTCTTATCACATAGACGGCGCACATGAAGTAAAGCTACGTATAGAGTCAGTTAGACAAAGAGGAGTAGTCCGAGCTCACATTGTCATTCAGCTCGCAACACTCACCACGGTGCTATGTGCGGAATCCAGGATATGAGTGAGCTAGCTTAGTCTTTCACCGCGGCCCCAGGATAGACAGATTTTATAGGTGCGCGGATGAATGTCTTATAGCTGAGTTGCTGCTAGTGCAGCATACATTCATTTCGGAATAGACTCGTTTATCTGCATGGAACTATAACACATGACATCGGAATTCGATTCAGCAAACAAAGTTCACGATAAATCCTTCTCAACACTCCGGGCACCCCGCAGAATGTAGTCCACAACACGGTCTGGTCTAATCCAGAAGCTACTATGGCCAGTTTCAATCTCTTCAACATTTTGCAGCTTCTCTCCAATGACTTTCGTACAGAGGATCTGAAAGTCTCGTGGCATGATATTATCGAGCTTAGTGACTAGGTACCAGCTGGGAATATCCAAGTAGGCAGCTTGAGTGATGGGGTCCAGGAGAGATCTTTGCACGCACAGATCTCTTTAGTAAATACTATTAGTACAGGTCAAGAGGTAACACTAACGCTGCGGATTGGGTCTTTAACTCGGTGTAGAAATGAGCCTTTATTTCCTCGTCAAGCCCATTATAGAAGACATCGGGGCCAGCTATAAAAGTAGGCACGCCATCCTAGAGAGAATAGAACGGTTAGCTTTAACATAGTCAAGTTGCTGATTATTTGAATTCAACCGAAGGATCCGTCTTCAAATCTTGCAATTTGGCCCAATTCTCAAACTGTTTCAGAAGGCTCTCGCCTATCTTGGGCATATTACACGAAATAAAAAGAAATTTTAGGATGGCTGTCTTTCCGGGTCCACGAGTCTTCTGGTCGAGACCGACGAGTCCCTGCACTGCCGGCACAGCTGCGTAAGAGAATAGCACCATGACAACGTTGTTGCCCCCATCCACCTTGTCTAAGACATCCAACACTCTATTCCTAATCGTATCTGCGTCCTCCTGTAGGCTACTCGCTGAGTTGTTGCCTACACTGGGTAGTTTGATGTTGAAGTCCAGCGGGTGCCCTGTCCGGCGGAGCCAGGGGATAACCGGTTCGAATATGTCCTGGTCGTGGAAAGCACCGGAGACAAATACAAGAGTTGCTTTTGGTAGCGGCATAGTAATAGCTGCAGGGTAGAATGATAGAAATTACAACGTGAAATTAACGCGCGTACAGCGGCAGCTTATAGTCATGGCGCATAAGCTTTTACCTCAACTTCCTTAGGCCCCGAGATGAGGCGGATTTCCGGATCGAATTATTTGATCCGGATTTGCACCGTGGTTCTACGCAGGGCGGATTAGGATCAATCCGTTTAGATCCTGATTTACATAAATTTGTCAAAATGTTGAGTTATCTGAATAAAGAGAGATTTATGCTAGTGCGGATAGTAACAAGATATCCGCGGATTATCGCCGATATCGTGTTACTCTATGCGCATAGGATGCGGATTTGCGGATGCGGATTTGTGGATGCAGTTAACCCCGCCAATCCCAGCTTGCTATTTGGCCCATCGAACCCACAGCGGCGCAATGGCCTGAACGCGTCATTCCGGGGTCCTGCGGTAAAAACCTAAAAATTCACCTTAAGATGCTCCTCACCTGTATACTTCTCATGTCCGTTACTCCCGGTCGCGCCTTCGATATCCGAACATCCGACAGATCACATACCTGATCGCACACACGCGGCTAACGGACCCCCGAAGGACTGTTCTTTCTCCCTGTTCGACTCTCCTTCGGATATGGCTGGGACTTCCACGACGCCCCCATCGGGCTGGCGAAACCCGAAGGCGTGCCAGGAATGCCGCAAGCGAAAAATCCGTTGCAACGGCCTTAGTCCCTGCAAGACTTGTCATCTGCGTAGCACTCCGTGTGTCTATCGCGATTTCATTCGGCAACGCAGGAAGTGGAACGATGACAAGGCATCCCAGCAGCATGTTGGGTCCAGTGAAAGAGAGCCTCGTTCACGCCTTTCCTCGCCCAGCTTGCCCCAGCCTGGGCGAAAACCGTCCCTCATGCATGATTTCCCAACCAGTGTGTCAGCAACACACATGGCATCGCCTTCGTGCCAGATACAGCTGTACTATGGCCCAACATCGCCATTTTCCTTGATGCAGCATATTTATCAAGAACTAGTCTCTAATCATCCGACCCAGCCTCAAGTTTCCTCCGGCCAGGTCGAGGAAGCCGGGGCCGGCCTAGACCTCTTCAGTTTCCGTCGTATATTCTTCGGCACCCTAGATACTCATGAGGCGGGGAAGGGACCCAATACTAGGGAGGTTTCCTTGACCTTTCTCCCATATGAGCTAGCCACGTTATTTCTCTCCCGTTATTTGTCAACTCTCTACCACCTCATGCCATATCGTCCTAAGAATAACTTCGAGCGTACCTTGGATCAACTCTACAGCCTTTCCCCTTCCATTCATCCCGACACACTCACTAAGGCTATTCTCTTGCTAGCCCTAGCATGTGGGTCTCTTGGCACAGAGTACTATGCTTGGGGTGACGTACTCTTTGAACGAGTAAAGACTACAGTGGCCGCCTTTGATGATGTGGTCAACCATCAGATGGTCCAAATATCATTGCTTATGATAAGTTTTGCCTATAGGAACGTGGGCCTCCTCCACTGACTTAATTCAATACGCCCATTTTCAGAACGAACAAGGCCGCCCAAACTCAACCTTTTTGCATCTCGGGTGTGCTACTCGGAAGGCCCTATCAGCTGGTCTGCATAAGGATGCACCCAATGATGACTCCCAGAGCCAGGAAAACGTAGACGAAAGACGAACAACCTTGTGGTCTCTCTACTTCTTTGAGACGTAAGCCGGTCTTCTACTGAATTCTAAATTATTTTTCTAACCTTGGTGATAGATGGATTTGTTTTCAGCTAGGCCGACCCACGTCTATGTCTCTGAAAGACATTGCGACGGAGTATACGCCAGACCCTTTTATTCGGCTTTTAGTACATCTTTCTGAAACGATTTCTAAGTCGGCCGACCAAATCTATGGACAGCGGCACGAATCTCTGCTATACATGTGGAAGGTTGCTCTATCGATTGCGGAAGACCTGCGTAGCCATGAGAGACGGCTAGAGCAAACTCTAGGGTTTGGATTAGGCGCAGCTATACAAACGGGATCTCTTGGAGTTCAGCAAACGATTTTCACTACTTGTGAGTCTATTCTAGATCTGCTTTAGAGGAGAAAACTGAAGATCTATAGTGTACTACCACATTCTTCTCTTAACATTTCGCCCATTTCTCATCTTTCGTGGACGCTGGCAGCGGGATATGAAAATGTCGAGGCATCGGTCTACGAATAATGGAACAAATCGGCATACAGAGACTCCCTCATGGTTGAACGAAGCCTGCACTCATGTACTCACTGCAGCGCAAAGAACAATATACCACCTATGCGAAGCATCCTATGTCAACGATCATGTCAGGGTAATGCTATCTAACTTTACCTTAAAAGCATCGTTTTTCATGCTAACTAGGAACTAGCAAATGCGTTATCACGGATATTTTATGGGAAGCGCTTGCTTCACATTGATATACAATTTTGTTCACGACCCAAATTCCGCCTCGGTCTATTTGCCGTGGGTCTATGCTGCATTGCAGAATTTGTCGACAATTAGAGCCGGTGATCCCATAGCCAGCACCATTTCGTCTATACAAACTGTATTGCGAAAGATCAACCCTTCATACGAGTGGACACCCTACCCGAAGCAGAGCAGCAGACATGAGGTCGATTTGTTGGTATCTTCCACGAGAGCTCAAGAGCCCATCACTGGATATGGCCAGCATTCGACAACGACTGACCTCGCAAGCCCATCTCATCTATCAGGGTCACATCCGGATATATCGGCATTTCAACCAAGCCTTCCCCAGGTAGAGATACCAGACACGTTCGGTTCTAGCGGATCTGGTGAGGAATCGCGTGATTTCACACAATCCGACATGGGTTGGGACTTTGACTTTTCCACCATGGATCTGGAAGCATTCTTGATCTATCAGTCGATGGCTGCTCCCATCCCCTGATTGATTCGACCTTTCTTACCCTCGGCGCGGCTCAATGATGTATTTTTAAGGAACTAAGGAGATGGAGATTTACTTTAATTATGGCCATTGCAAGAACTTTTCAATTTCAAAGACTCGGTCCCGACGCCTGAACAAACCATGACGATAATCAAATATACATGAAGCCTCCGAATATCATCCCAACGGATAGAAACACATCGATCCTCTATGCAAACAGTTTCCGTGTCTCCAATGCATCCCCCTTCTTTTGTGAGTTCTCCGACAGCCCCAGATCCGCGCGCTTGGCCACCCGGTCCGTCGTCACGTCCCGGCGTTGCGAGTACCGGCCGGCCTTGCTCATGCGGACCTCACGACGAACTTGGTTCGGGCTGACGTACTCCTTGTTCTCATAGATGACAGGGCCGCCGAAACTGCCCTCCAGGATGACGATGGGGGTCAGGACAAAGCGAGGGCCAATCTCCACCAAAGACACTTCGGGCTGAACGTCCTTGCCCTTGGGCAGGGGCTTAACCGTCTCTTCGCCGTCCTTCTTCTTGTCACCTTCCGATTCGCGAATCTCGTAGACCCGGATCCAGATCTTGCCATCCACCCCGAAGATACCAATGATGCGATCGACGAAAGGCTTCATGCCCTTCACGCCACGCTTAGGAACACAGAATACTCCGCGCAGCATCTCGCGGATCAGAGCTCGGTATTCTGTGCCAGGAGCGCCCATGTCCGGCCCTTGCTCATCGAATGACCGGTCAAATACCACCAAGCCGCGTCCGCCCTTCAGGCAGTTGCCGGCAAATCCAGCCCCCAGCTCTGCCATAGTATGCAGATTGTTGAGATGGAACTTGATTGTGGGGCCGTTCGGGGGACGCGCCAGCCACAGGTAGAGATCCTGGCCTTGCTTGCGAGCTTCGAGGAAGAAAATGATGTTGCAGGAGTGCAGGTCGGCGAGAGAGTTCAGGAGGAGGTTGTAACCGGCGGTCTTCTTCTTCGTATCCAGTTTGGTTTCCTTGTGCGTGTGTGGGAGGAGGGAGCAAATGTCGGACATCAGGTGTCGGTGACTGGAGGACAGTAAATTTGATCAGCTTAAACCCTTGGTGATTGTAACAATCATTCCATACCGATGTGACACACCCCTCGAAGTCAGAATGAGGACTCGAGTCTTGGGCATCTGACCTGCAGCCAGCTGCTTTTTCGCGGCCTCGACGCCCTGCTCCTCCTCTTCTTCTTCACTGTCTGTCGTGTCGTCTGCGTCGTTGAGCAGCTCCTCCATGTCAATGTCCTCATCGTCCATTGGCTCAGCAGGTTGCTGAGCCTTCTTCTTGGAGACTGTCTTGTAGACTGCTGCCATCGTGATTGTTGTTTTGGCTGGGAAGTTCTGGAGTTGCAGAAGCCTGCCGCAGATCAAAAAAAAGTAGACGGCAGAATATTTTTGTCCTTCGCCGCCCTGGACGACTTTCTCAGTCACGTGCGCTCTCCCGTCACCTCATCGGGCCGGATCATGGTTTGCGCCCGAGGATTATCGTCATGATTCCAATGCTCTATGCAGCCCTGAGAATCCCTCTTGCGACACTTTCATTCCGGCCACCCGGTTTGCAAACCCCAGTTTCCGTGGAAGATCCCAGTCTTTCTCCTGGCAGTCGAGGGCCTCAACATAAAGCATCCCAGCAATAAACGTGTCTCCAGCCCCAATGGTACTGTTCTGTATTAGAAAATGCAGTCCAGATCATCAGAGCGAAATGTTAAATCCACTTACTCAACCACTCTAAAATCTTCCGCAGTATAGGCGGCCACGTGGGCGAAGTTCTTCGTATTAGGCTCAAAGGCATCAGCGCCGTCCTGGCCCCAGGTACAGCAGAGAAGAGATCTAGAATTATGAATTATCAGTTCCATACTTGAAGGTGATATGTGGATGGTCACTTACGCCTTCGGTGTGTGGCTCGATTGCTTCCGCAAGCAATCCTCTGCTGATATATATCCATTATGCTTGTCAAGTATCAGCAAGGTCCGAAACTAAAATTGCAAGCATGATAGTATTCTCACAAGGGCCCAGCCTTTTGAGTAGAAAACCACATCCGCCTCTCCAGCAAGCTCCTGTAGACCGTCTCGACCGGGTTTCTCGACCTCCACACTGACACGAGCATTGGGAAAGTGTTGTCGGAGATAATGAATGCAGCCAAGGGTCACATCTGGTACTCGGCCCTGGAAGCAGTTAGCACGGAAATTTATTTTGCTTCTTCTCCAAGTCGGTAATCCCAGAAAGCCTTGGCTCATGCCACGCACCTCAAAATGGAACCAAGTTGTTCGAGGGCCTAAGTCATCTGCAATCCGCGAGAACTCCTCCACAGTCATTTCGGGAAGCTCATTGTAGTTGACAATGGTTCTGCTGCCCGTAGACTGGCTCTTGATGATGTAGCTAGATGCCGGCTCGGTAAACTGGTCCCGGTAAATGCAGTGATCTAACCGAACTCGAGGCTCGAAGGCAGATCTGATTTGCTCCGATGCAACCGAAGATTTCGCTGGCAGCACAGTAATCAAATTCAATGTCGGTGACTGGTTTAATGGGGCATGCTGGGCCAACTGTTGCAACACCTCCAAGGTATTGGGACAATTTCCACCACGGCGTCGTGTCACGCTGGAGGCGCGCAATTTCTCGTCTTCCCCGGGATAATGTGGTGTTCTAGATGCGTTAGAACATTATGATTTAACTGTCCCCCCCTTCTCGGTCGGTCGCTTTGTGCGCGGCAAGACTGGAGAGGAACGAGGGGAAGGCAACCTACGTCAGGATAGTGTCCACATAACACGCCCCAACTGCAACCACAGACATGATGGCCGTTAGATCTGAGATAATATCTCCAAGTCACCAAAATTCGTAGTGTCGATCGTAGTCCCCGAGCTCATATATATATATGTCCCTCCGAGGTGGATTGAGGAAGAGCGAGGGGCAGATTAGTCAGAGCCGTTATGGCTTTCAGCTTGTAGTTAAAAGCAGATCTATGATGATGGAAAGCACAGTTGTTCCAGGCAAGTAAAACGTTATATTCTTTTATTATTTTGTATCCAGGTATTATCATATGCCCGAATAACTGCCATTTTCATCCATTGGTTCAGAAGCAACACTCGGACACAACAGGGTTATGGAAAGCAATGAAGGCTACCTGAGAAGCGCAAACCTAGATTCTGGTTCTGATATTTGGAGCGAAGCTATATTTGGTGTGCTATTGCGTCTTGCCAGCACATTCTTTGCATCGGGTAATCCTCCATGAACGGCCTATTTACAACGTCTGCGTTTTATCTCTTAGGAGTATCCACTTCTGGCATGATATATGCTCAGTGTCCATCATTACAATTTGTCTTGTCTTATTTCAATGTCAGTCACATTGACTGACCTTTGGCAGCCTATAGAACCATCTCATGCGGGCCCAAGTACTGCGGGTGCTTCTTGGCACGTCAAGTATCAGCCTCATTCGCTTTCTCAGACAGCCCAACGACAACGCAGTTTGGCACTTACTCCACGACCGACACAAGAATATAACGTAAAGAAATGTCTTATTTGATGAGTTCAAAAGTTTCCTTGACTTTTTGTTTTTCCCAGCCTTGGGCTCAGTGTCGAACGGAGCCTGACATGGGACTAATGAGAAAGGTCTAGTCCGCTTGCAAACTGCATGTTAAATAGGTGCGAGTCCTTGGACTCTGTTCTCCAGCATTGCATCGAAAATATACTACTTATGGACGATGTGATATAGGTAATAGTTATGCTAAGCGCCAAACCAAAAAACTAAGAATGAAGGATAAGAAGATTATTATTCTTATCATGAATCGCGAGTCAAATACGGAGCCTCCTAGCCTGTGCGGGTCTTACTGCCTTTACTATCATATGGATTGTGCCATACGACCTGGTATAAACTGCATATTCCTCCTAGCCTCTTGAATTGGTCCTTCCGTGCAATATGAGGGCTGTCTCCCGTCTGCAGGTAGAGAAGGGAAAGAAGAGAAGGGCACGCCTATTCCGCACTTCCACTTATTTTCCTCCCGTAGAACACACATTTTACTATTTAGGTCTCGTGACAATTCAACGGTCGCTCATTAAATATCCTAACAAGCCACTTCACCAGCTCCAGAGCCATCTGGTTGATGGACCATTTAACCAGCAGGAAAGAGTCGTAGTGGTTAGATTTGATCAGCCGTTACTTGTCAGAGAGGGAAATCCCAGAGCTTCTCAAGGGAAATAATGAAGTCGGTAGTATTATAGGTACCCTAGACTCAATCTGATCGAATACGGCTACATGAAGCCCCCAGGTCAGCCCCTGGCCAAATACGGTGCTCCGCACAATCTTCCCTGCCAACAATAACCCGCAAAGCAGATATAAGCTTTCAGACTATCCATAAAACAGTTGGTGACGGAGTGAATGCTCAACAGTGAGAAGCGGAGGTTGCGACATTAGTAATCCGAGCGAAGATTTAGGCGGACGCCTCAACCACGGTAGAACACTGGCGGGGTGCCACGTCCATGGCTCGAGTCACGTGGCGGTTTGGGAGACAGAGCTCTAATCAGGATCATCATTATTTAAATTATGCCTCAGCACGAGAGAAAGCAGCGGGAAAGGGTGGGTTCAGGGTGCATCAAGACTTATGTTTAATAGTCAGTTGTTCAATCCAAGTCTGCAAGTATGCTGAATACAGGTTGATAGCTGGACAAGTTGTGGCTCATGGTACAAAGTAGGGTAATCTTGTGTGGATTCACGTTTTCCCCGAGCCCAAACGGTCAGCCAATTACGGGAAAGCAATAGACGTCAACCTAAGTCTATCCAATCCTCTTTGCCAGTTTATCCTCCACACTAGAGCTGGTAGATCAAATGAACTGGAGAGAGAGTGACCTTGTGTCCAATCAGGACGCCGCAGTATGTCACTATTAAACTTTCCTCCGCGTTTAGTTTGTTAAACTCAGTTCTTTAGATTAGTCCTTTTGGAAACCGCGGTTCCAAACAGCATAGGCGAGAACCAAGCTGCTTCCCGAATAATATAAGGAATCAATAGGTTTGTGGCTTGCACAGCCTCAGGTTGTCAGTCTGCTTTTGAGTTTGCTTTTGGCTTGGCGAGAAATCTCCATATTATCGTCTCAGATATCTTAAGATGTATTAAGTCTCCTACCTCTTTGTTAGTGTTTCAGGATTAGCATGCTGCTTGACATACAAAAGTGATAAAAGTTCCATCAGGCGAACACTCCACTGTACGCGTGCTCGCACATCAGGCGCGTGCTTGCTGCTCGAGACTGAATTTTTCTACCCGGATATCATTCTCTTCCTCTTCCTCGAGCAGTGCCCCAGAACCCGCAATGCGCTCTCTTCTCCTATATTGACGTCCAAACATGAGTATCGACCCGTTACTCACCTCACATGCCTCCGTACTCTCTGTGCGCACCCATATTTTCGCCGCCTTCGCCGCTGTGGCCTGGTATAATGCCATTGAACTCATCATTATATGTTTCGCCACGTTCAAGCGCTGGCGTGGGACCTACTTCTGGAGTCTGCTTGTGGCTTCCGCCAGCATCGTCCCTCTCGTCCTGGGATATGTGCTTCTGTTCTTTCCCACCGGTGTCCCCGCAACCGTTTGCGTCGCATTGATCGTCATCGGCTGGTGCGGCATGGTGACTGGCCAATCTGTCGTGCTGTGGTCGCGTCTGCATATTGTAGAGCAAAACAGCAAAGTGCTACGCGCTGTCCTTTTTATGATCATCATTAACGCGATCCTGCTCCATGTACCCATTATTGTACTGATGTTCGGGGCCGTGTCGGCGAAGTCTGCTCAGTTCCTGCGAGGTTATCGGATCATGGAACATATCCAGCTTATCGGCTTCTGTATACAGGAACTGATTATATCGACCATTTACGTGTGGGATACGGCCAAACTGTTACGCCTGCGTCCAAGGGCCCGGCTCAACAGTATCCTGCATCAACTACTCATAATTAACATTGTCATCGTTATACTCGACGTTGCCATCGTGGCCATCGAGTATAGAGGCTATTATGCTATTCAGGTCATGTTTAAGCCTGTTGCATACAGCATCAAGCTCAAACTGGAATATGCTATTCTCGGGAAATTAGTCTCTATCACCCGCTGTCGCCAGAATATCCTCTCTTGTGCCAGCGAGATCACTCCCACACCTCCGTCGCAGGAACTGCCATTACAACCCTGTGAGCGTCAAAGCACCTGCAATGGGAAGTATAGCCTGCCGTGGCGTAGGGCAGATTCGCAGCACTCGCAAACTTCGATCTTGGACACATAGGTAGGTTTCGCTCTGATATACCTACCTAAGTCTTCGCAAGAGACCTAGAACTATAGGGTTCGCGTTGCGAGGCATCCTACTAAGGGAGCCTTACGAGCATAGAGGATAGGTTCATAAGTCCGTCTATTCTAAAAGGTAGATCTTACGAGCTATTTGATCTATCTAGCGGGCTATCCTTCCTTAAAGGCCTATGGTTCTCAAAAGGTAATCGTCGCAAATTCACTACTATCCCTCATTTACCTCTCTCTCTCTCATGTACCCCTCTAATTCACCCCTCTCATTTACCCCTCTCATTTACCTCTCTCATTTACCTCTCTCATTCACCTCTCTTATTCACCTCTCTTATTCACCTCTCTTATTCACCTCTCTTATTCACCTCTCTTATTCACCTCTCTTATTCACCTCTCTTATTCACCTCCCCCCATACTCGCTCCTTGAGTCCTGAGATGTGCTATACACTTGGATCTACGTCAAAATGACATGGAGTAACTAGATCATGTTTTATACAATACAAATGCTTGGGGCCAACACGCGACGGCTTTCCTCAACCTGGCACCTCCTATTCTTGCAGCTTCCTGACAGCATTGACAGCTAGGCTATAACGATTTCTACGGCCCTCAAATAATTGGCAAAATTATCTTTGCTATATATAAAATGTGTTTGTTGTGCATGGAGAAAGCAGGATGAATGCTTCGCCTCATTGTTATTGAGAAAATCAAAGAAATTCACCCTTGAACTCTAGACAAAGGTCTATGATACAAGCAAACTGAATTGACTCATACTGTATATCTACAATATTTTTTTGGTTTGAGAAATAGTATGTACTGTTTTGTTGTTGTACTGCTGTAGGAAGCCGTTTGCATTTCGCATTTTTGACGGAGCTTCTCACAATTTTTAAATGGATATATACCTTCTGCCTCATGTGCAGGAAATGCACCTCTCCATATAACCAACGCTCTCTGCTGCTATCTTCTCAGTTGAACATCTTACTGCTTCATCGGCCATCCTCCACGTGCTTCTGTCAATATGACTTCCTCTGCTGTGAAGCGAGGCAAGGCCATGGAAACAGAGGGGCCAACGCCCAAGTTTCTCTATGCCATCCTCAAACAGTTGGATTTGAAATCGGTATTTCGTCTCCCACAGCCCCCCTCCAAATATTTTCTATAGGGTGGAAAGCTAATTCTGAGAGCTGGCCAGGTGGACTGGAACTTGGTCGCCTCTCAACTGGAAATCTCCAACGGCCACGCCGCTCGCATGCGCTATTCCCGCTTCCGACAACAGATGGAAGGAACAACGGGAGCCAGAGCAGCTAAAGTCAAAAAATCTGCCAAGAGATACCCGAAAGGCGATCTCAAAGCTCAGATGCTCAATGATACGCCGCCACCGCCACCGCCGCCGACTTCGGGCATCTTCATGAAACAAGAACCTCTCCAGCCGGCTCCCTTCGTGAAATGGGACCCACTTGCGCCAAATATGCCCACTCTGTCCGATATCCCGCGGGCATCCTATTCTCCAAGTGATGATTATTCTGCGTCGCCGCCGCCAGGGATGTATTGCTTCCCCAATTCGATACCGTACTCTATGGCTCCAGCTATGCCATCCATGTTATCTGCAGCTGATTCCCCAATGCCCTCAACCATGATACAGTATGCAAAAATGCCAATGAGGCTGATGGACACCAGCATGTATGAGTATGGAATGCCCCCAGGGCCGAACCCTGGCCCAACCATCTCATTCGAGCCTCGGCCACATTCCGGTATGGGTTGGGCTCCAGTGAAAGTGGAGAGGAATAATGAGGATGATTCAGATGCTGTGATTGTCAAGGTTGAGAAGTCAGTAAATCAGAATCAGTAGGGTGGGGCTTATCCCGCTGAACGGTCTTTGACATAATTTCTGGTATCTGGCTAGTCATTCGCTCAGAAATGTTTGATATTGCTATTAAAGATGGGGTATGTCTTCTTCTAGATATTCGTGCCTTCCTCTAATATACTTACTATCTTACCGGTTGCAGGAGTCCATCTCGCCCGTTCCACGCCATAAAAATCGAACCTCTGCTTAAAGCCTAGGTTTGTTATGAACATAGATGAGGCTAAACTCAGAAGTTAACTGGACATATGTACAGCACGCGCTAATCATCCGCCGTAGATCTGCCTCCCAAAGTATTAATTTAACTTGTCAGTCGCCGTCATGTTTTCAGCGCGCTGCCGGACAAATTACCCCACTTGTATCTCAGCCTATTATTAAGCACGGGCGAATGGTCGCATAAATAGAGAGTGAGAGGTCCTCAGTGCATGAGCTAAACATCTTGTTCCTTCATCACTCATATCTGAATTCTATCCGTCCTAGACAAGCTATCATGGTGCTACAACTAAGCCCAAATTGTGAATATTGCGACAAAGACCTGCCACCAGCATCAACAGAGGTACGCATATGTTCTTACGAATGCACCTTCTGCGCCAATTGTGCGGAGACAAAACTAGCCGGCGTCTGTCCTAACTGCGGCGGTAACTTTGCTCCGCGGCCGATCCGCCCATCGAAGGAATGGCGCACTGGTCTGTGCATAGCAAAGCAACCGCCTTCGGATACGCGTGTGCTTTTGAAATACAGCATTGAGGATGCTGCTGCGCTCACGGCAAGGATCAACAAAATCAGACCACAAGATCGTTAGTCTCCATCTTAGATAGCGCTAGAAACGTTCTGTTAGGGCTGCAGTTATTATCACTATACTGGTGACGTGATCGGACTGTCCACTCATGACGCTCCTCCTGACCTTCCGCCGCTCTTCTCCTCAATATTAAAACTTCCATTGTTGATATTATTGACGAGGCAACCTGCACATGCACGGTCGGCGACGCTTCCTACCGTTTCCTTTATTCTCCTCTCTTGGTCAGCCTTTGTTTAAGTCGCTAGGCCACTCAGGCTGTCCGTCGATAAGCACTGGTGAACCGTAGTCGTTTGGTGAAGGAGTGCTTCACATGTGCCGTCTTCGGGGTGAATTATGCAGTAAGTAATGTATGCCACAAGATGGAATGAATGAACTCAAAAGGCAGTGGTGAATGAGGCGCTTTGTAGGACTCTCCTCTGGGAAGGAAAGTAATCGCGATGCCCCCCACCGAATACATGAAGGTAGCTTTCTTTCCCCTTTGTTCTTCTCTCATCAGCTATCTTCCTTTATCAGCTCTCTTTCTTATTAAACCTCTACATCATAAACTCTCTTCATAATCTCGTCTCTTCCATTAGCTCTCTACCTTCCTCTCTCGCTTTCACCTCCACATCTCTCTCCATCTGCCTCTGATCAGTTCAATTGCACTCTTTAGACCAGTGTGGTACTTTTGCTTCTTTGTGATGATCTCTGCTGATTTCAATATAGTGGCCGACCTCAACAACACCCCGCCCACCCCGACTCCTCCCCTGTCCGATGAAGAACTGACTGCACGATAAAGAACTTGGTTTAGCTGGTCTTCACCAATACGCTGCAGTGTCCCGCTTTACAGCCCTCACACAAGTCGCTATTGTGGGGACCCTTGCTTTGACCTGAATAGAAGGGACGGTCCAACTGGATTCCATTCCATTTCTTGATGCGATATGCCACTCGATCCGCATACGACTCATTCAAGATTGGGCGACTGATGCGATCACAGCTTTTGCATCGCTGATGATAGACCCTCGCATTGTACTGTGCTGAATGATACATTCTTATGGTGATTGCAATCTTTTTACTGGACCAGCCGCCGGAATCGCATGCAGGGTTACGGCATATGAACCGCCCCATTATGTTTGTGTCGTATTCCTTCGTACAATCACGAGGCTCATCTGTCTTGTGAAAGGTGAAATGAAGATCGTGCTCTTCAAGCAGGCGCGAGACTTCGTTATGGAGAGATCGGTACATAGACCATCGCCAATCCGGCTTCCGCCCTTCCGGTTTCATGTCGAATTTGAAAGTTGTCAGAAATTGTAACAAGCAAGAGAGTGCGACGTAAAAACAGGACTTGAATCCGAAGTTCCGTTGCGGGCTTCAAATAGACAACAGTCACTGTCGCTGCTGCCGCCGTGCCGAACGAATCGTGAGCCTTTTAGGTGGGGCAATATTGTACTTTTGTACAAAATACATCCTTTCTCTGGTAGATCTTGTGCCACGTCATCTATTGAACAGGAGTCTGCATGAGCTCGCTGCCGTGCTATCATCCGAGGAGTTGACACATTGAAGTACGGAGCTCTGACAGGAGCCACGTTTAGTAATTGATCTTTGGTTTTGGTTTCTTGAAAGTTCCAATAGTCGCTTCATCAAAAGCATAATGGTTTGTTGTATGGCAGTATTCCAACAACCATCTGTCATCGCAGTGGGGCAATCTATCGAAGTACAAGTTGCTCGATTTCCACTCCACTGGTGATCCGGAACGGGCCGTGCCTCTATAAGTTGACCGACGTCCCGGGGTGGGGACCAGAGGTATCGGTCAAATCTACGATACGGGGTGAAAGTCAATCATTTTTGTAAAACAGAATAAGTTACTCTGGTAGGTTGAGTCCTATGAATCATAATAGTTCTTGGACACGCCAAGAGCCTGGAAATGCGGGAGTAGTTGTTACAGCTAAATTCGAAAACAGATTCCCCCTTGAACACACACACTTTGCTTCTCAGCCTGTCCCCGAAATCTCACTATTTGTATTGGGCTGATTTACAAATAACCACTTAGCGCCTGTCTAGCCGATCGCGACATAATGTATTGGATTTCAGCGCATATTGAGTCATTGTAAAACACTGTGAATGCCCATCGAATGTTCGAGGCAACGATCTTGCTTGATTTGGCCCACTTTCGTCCTGTTATTTTAATTTACCACGGCCTTTACCTTCATGTACCTTCTTTATGGTGAACGCTGTGTTGGTGCTGTAGAGTATTAAGCCTGGTAGCCCTTGTTATCGTTTGTTATTTGCCCTGGCTCTTGCTCCTCGCTCCCACTTCTATTCGTTATTGGCATCCACAATCATGGCTATCTCAGCAAAGATACTACGCAGTAAAACGCGTAGGATTCTATCCCTGTGAGTGGTAGGAAAGTATGAAGCGGGGTAGATTAGCCTTGGTTACTGCGCCTAACTTAGCCAAGTATTTTTGCATCGTGGGTTCTAGGAGTTTCAGTGGCTCATCTATTTCCCATGCAGCTCTGTGTGCTGGCACGTACAGGGGACATAACGCCAATGACGCTTGAACACATCTCAAGACCACATAATTTAACCAACTGACTCGCCAGTTAGACATTCCTGCGTGAGGCTATGATGAAATATGACGCCTTGCTGGGATATCTGCGTCTATATATAGTGAAATAAAGGCCGAGGTTATCAGGGGAGCAATATGGCTTTCTTTTTAATCCTTTTCAACATTTGACAGCCTGGTAAACGTCTTTGTCTTCGCAAATGGATACTGAAACCTCGATTCAGATAAGAGACGGACTTGGGGCGCAAGGTATGAGGTTCTTCATAACACTGCCAAGTTCAATACTCTCGGTTATTCAAATCTTACACCAGGCTGCAGCATCTGAGCTTTTGCAATGGATTCAATTGATTGAGAGCGAGTGGAATCTAGATTCGACGATGTTCGTTCAGTAGACAATCAGCAGTTGGCCTTTACCTAGAGAACTTTATGTCTCTAAAGAAAACGCCTTGTCGAGTTCGCATAGATTACTGAGGGTGTATACTTAGGGGGAAGGTGGACGGACCATCGATATTGGTTAATCCAAGTATTTCAAGTGATGGAAACATTCGATATGAATGTCCATTCCTACGAGGGCCCACAATGCGAAACACTGAGCGACGTGCTTCAGAGGGTATTTCTTCAAAGTTGTCAGGAACATGCTCGTTAGGCCACGAAGAATTTGCCTCTCTATATTTTTATATTCATCAGTATCAATGACAATTAAGACTGTAGCTAACCTGGGGCACTCTGGGACTACCAGACACTCGGAGGCGCTCGACGACATATCTTTCAAACTATTTGCTCTATTCTATTGCAGCGATTAGGGGGTTTTTATGGTAGTGGCGCGCTGCTCTCGCATCATTCTTAATTTGCTCTAACTTTGAAGCGAAGTAATTAGGCGCGGTGAAGCGTACTAAAAAAGGGGTTCCGAACAGTTGGAGGCTTCTGCGGCCATTATTAACCATGCGTTCGCTGCATTCGACTCTGACGTGGTTAGTGACTTAGTTTTGTCTCATCTCGTGAATTAAGAGTAGCTTTGAGAGGAATACGGCAGCCTTAATACTATATCGTGCGTAAGATTCTAGGAAACTTCTTGAGGTGCTGGCGGTGGAGGGTGATGGATGTGAGGAATGAGAGATCGATAGGCATGGAGGGTCACAGATGCACAGGTGTATTTGAGGTTCCCATAAAATATAGAAATATACGTCTCAGTCGTTCTAGAAATAAAAGTGATTTATTCCTAGAAAAGGACTAGCCAAATATGGATTAAGGTGGTTTCAATGGTAAGATCTGCTTCGCGGCATCATTTGAGTGCTCAATGAGTTGATATGTACCCTTATCATGAATGGTCTTTAGTTCAATAGCCATTTTAAAAATGGAAAGTGTCTGAGATCAGACTGAATACCACTACAAAGATCATGCCAACAAGAATTTCATGTTCGTTTTCCCAGCAAATTCGATTAATTTCCATCCTGAGTCCTTGGTAAATAGCCCTCCCATTAGCTCTCCTATACGTAACCCGTATCGACTTTCTAACACAATTCGACTAGTCAAGGATCTCTTCCCTCTCAAGACCAAGCACATCATATACCTAACCGGTATAGAAAGGGTTCGTGCAAGTCCACGAAGTCAGAACTGAACCGCCAGGACCAAAAGCTGCTTTAAGAGCCAAGATGGCAGCCCACGTTCCCATTCCAGATGTCGCCAAGCCTGCAAGAGTGTAAAGGAGGACGGGGACAGTCAAATACCAATTTTTGAGAAATCCGCGCGCCAATCTCTTGATTCCGCTGTCGTGGCGAGTAGTCTGGCCGGTGACAGGATCGAAGCCTTCGCCTTCCAATCTGGCACCCTCTTTCACCTTGTAAGCAAGGTACATGAGTCCCGACAGAGAGTAAGTGAAATTGAGACTGAACAACCCGCCGACAAAGTTGGTAAAAGCATTGAAGTTTGGAACAGACATGCTAATCACCAAGGCAAGAATCCAGTACAATGGGCCTAGTCCCCACCATAGATACCGACCCTTCCTGGTGGTGATAGCCGGCAGGTTGAAAATGGCTTGACCAACTTCCAAGTACACTGTCTTCATGCCAACGTTGAAGTAGAGGACTAAAGATGTTTATCAGAATTAGATTCTTAACGTTCCGGGGCATCAACGCTTACAGACGGCAAGCCAGCCGGTGATAAGAGAAAGAACATTGCCAACAACTTGAATATGTGCGGGTCGCACAGCCTGGGTGATGATGCTGTAGCTATATTGGCCATAGAAATGGTAGACCTAATGAAAGTAGTCAGTAAGCGGGTCATATAAAGGCACGCTATAGTCACTTACCACAGCACCGAAGAACACGTATACCACAGTGATAAAGGTTTGAGCTAGCAGCATGCCTTTCCAGAAGTCCATAGGGCGACGCATTTCAGAGAGGAAGGCAACGAACATCACGGCGCCAGAGTACGCATCTAACAACTCAGTTAATATGCTCCACTAAACTGTCCCGGTCGAGGCAAGAGAGTACTTACAAACCATACTATTGATGCCGTTGAAATTTGCCGCGAAGAGATTCGTATCAGTAGGCTGATACTCAGGCGGTGGAGTGTGAGAGAAAGTTTTCACAGGCGCCATCGTCGCTACTGTTGACCAAGCCTTATTCAAAATTCCATTATTCACCTGTGCTGCCGGGTCCGGGCCATTCTTCACAACAGCGAGACTATCAAGCATGGTTAGTAAATTGTGACATGATATAGTAACAGCGGGAAGAAACGGTAGACCGACATGATGATGAAGGTGACAATGTTGATCCACACTGATAAATTGCAGAACCAGCCGAGGTGCTTTAACGAGCGCATATAGCCACTAGCCATGCCTACCACCAAAGAGATGACAGCACAAACTATGTAGCAGAGATCGACACTTCCGGCGAGCTGTGCAATAATGCCTGTTTGGCCGAGTTGAACAACGGCCACAGAAAGGAACATCTGCAAAGCTTGCATAAAGTTGATGAAGTGGCGCATCTTCGATCCATAGAGGCGGAAGAATGGATCGCCGAAGCTCACAATCGGAAACCGAGAGGAGTCAAGACGGATGAACACACGCCAGATCATGATTCCGGAGACAAAAGCAGCAAGACCCATGAGAATGAATATACCGATACCAAGTCCGTACCCAGTGTTTGCGAAGACATAAGGCGTCTGACCCCAGCCTAAGATATCTGTGGTGATTAGATAGAAGACCGAACCCCAGCCAGCGTTACGCAGGGCTCTCGCAGCTTGTCGCCACTCGGCGTCCAAGTCTCCCATATGCGACGAAGGCGCGATCGGGCTAATGGCAGTATCATTGCCAGGCACGACCTCAGGGGATTTCTTCTCCGAAGCGTAGTCAGGCGCGGAGTTGGTAATCGGCAGAGCTTCACGCCCGTCGCGTATCTTCGCGTCTTCATATGCGTTGGTCGTGAAGTAATTCTTGATGACTCCCAAAAAGCCCTGGCCAGAGGTCACAGACACATAGCGGCGATTCTCTTCCTCTTCTAGATCACGCTCGACATTGGCCCAATATGTGTACTCTTCAAAGGTGACACTCGGATCAAGACGAGCTTGCAGGCCCCATTCGCGTTGAAGAATACCTGGGTGAAGTCCTTTCTCGCGATATGCGAGGATTTCTTCGGGTGAAGCGCCTGTCTCACGGATCTGCTCCGTGGGGGCAGTTATGCCCACTGGACCTGGAAGGACAGACATCGTTCAATCCAGGGAATGTAGGAAAAGAGAAAGGGAGAGAAGGTTGTTAGAGGGGATGATCGACCCTAAGTGGACGCCTCTGAGATTGACAGGAAATCAGAAAGAGTGAGGCTGAGGGGTGAGGGGGGTATTCGGGGTATATCTATGGCAGGGCAGAAGGGAACCATATATCGTCCTCAATTTTTTTTTCAACCGCGGAGAGCCACGGCCAACGCCAGGTGGCGCGAAATTACGGCCAAAGGCGGGGCCATGGCAAGTTGTGTCTCGCTCGGGCGTTGTTGAACGCTTAAAACTCGCTATGCTTCCACATGGTAAGCTCTAGGGATAAGCAGCTAAATACGGCGAACCAGCGAATTAGCGCAGCGTCGAAACTTAGCAAGGCTTGGAAAGGCTTGGTTACCTTAGCATCTCGGGGTCCAATGAGAATTGTGGATATGGAATTGGACACGAGTTTTTGAAACTTTAGTTCCCGCAATCCGTGGGGAAGGTCTGATCGCGGTTTCACCAATTCACATGCCTGCTTGACAGTCTCCTCGGCCAGCTATCAGAATATTGTAGGATCCTGGATGTGATTGAACCAAGCTGGGTGTGTGTGAATAGTATCGTCTGGATCTATGAGACATTGCTCCAGGTCATGCGATGTACTCGAGGCCCGTGCTCCCAGAGGCGAGATCAAGGTCACATCCGTAATAACCGAGCTAATCCAATCGAGTCGCACTAATGTCCGCTAGGTAGACCCCAGCCACTCAGCAATAGCGTTCCCTGTTCTCATGTAGCGGTCTCCGTCGGGGCGCTCAGGTTCCCCCGCCACTGTCTTACACCCCTGTCCCACTGTCGAGATATTGAACACCCTCCCTCATTGGTCTGAGATACCACGTAGGATCAATGTGGCGCTGGGAATAGGCTCGAAGGAACGTCTATCCGAGAAGGGTGGCTCCATAGCCATGCACTTGATCGATTATCCCCATGGTTCCAGGATCCATCGCTATACAAAATGGAGGTACACCCCTATTAAACCAATGTACAGTGCCGGACGATGAAATAAATAAGCGCTAGTAGACTCACCCTACATTACTATATTAGGATAGGCCTTATTTTGAAACCTAATGACTAGTATTATCTCAACGCGTCGCGTTGCTTTTGCATAGCATCACTCCACTACCTAACCATGGGTCGGGAGAAGGAATCAAGCGCCCAATTGCGCACCCGCATACGCGAATTGAAGCTCCAGGTTGGACCTATACCCAGTTATCTACGCGTTTCCCAGACGTCCTAATTGGCACTCTCAAAACGACAGTTCGATCTGAAAAGTACGAAAAGACAACGTTTTAAAGCCTCGACCAGGCGCGCGCAAAAAGCTCGCAGAAGAGGATCTATTAAAGATTATTGCGCGTACTGATGATAATGCGCATGTCAATTCCAGGATCTACTTGAAGTAATCGATTTCAAAGTGCATAGGCGATCAGTTCAGCGCCTCTTACATATAGAATGCATGTGGAAATAGCAACAGCGCGAAAGGCCTTATATCAAGTCAGAACACGCCGTAAAACGACTTCCTTGAGCTCTTCGTCATCGGGATAAGTCTCTGGAGTGGTGGATGCGTGTCAAATGGTCAGATGAGTGCATTACCGAGCGTGTTGTTGGGCTATAGCCGGAATGGACTTTTAACTCGCCTCGCCAGCTCCTCTTCCACAACGTAAAGGAGGTCCATACCGGCAAGGGAATATCTCAAATTCTTTTGGGCATGCTTCTGTTTTGACAACCGTACCCGTCTATTTCCTTTATTTGGCGATCTAGAGGCTCGTCGTGGTGGTGTGACTACCAAAAGATTAAACGAGCTTTATGCTTATATCCTTCCGCATTTCCTACGGCCTGGAGATTTATTTATGAACGATAACTCGCCACTACATACATCTAGGCTTTTACGAGGGTTTTTGGCAGATCCAGGGGTAGAAGTTATGCAATGGCCTCCCTATTCACCTGATCTAAATCCAATTGAGAACCTTTGGACATTGCTTAAACAGGAACTTTATAAGCTATATCCTTGACTTCAGCATGCCCCTGATAATGCTACGACGCATCGGAATATCATCGACTGCACCCAAATCGCATGGGCAAATATTAGGGACCAGGTAATGATCAATCTCGCGATGACGATGCCGCATCGCGTGCGAGCAGTGATTGATGCAGATGGATGTACACTAAATACTAGGCAATTTTGTATGTAATCGCATGTCCATCTAACGTTAATGGTCAATTATTTTTATTTTACACTAGCGCGCCAAGCCAAATTAGCGCTGATTTATTTCAGTGTCCTCCCACTGTCGCTAACCTCTTTCCTCTTTGAGTTGCCGGACCGCATGGCCACGTGTGTGGCAGGTCTGTTTCCTCTCAAGGCTTATTCTGTTTGTCGACGCTCTTAGGAAGTTTTTTGTAGGCCCACTGTTATCTTTTCCGATATTCAAATCGCTTAGTGGTTGGGAGCTGACCGTCGTGCCAGGATGGTTCTTCCTAGTCACAGGCACAGCCCCTAGAAGTTCAGCAGGGCACTGTAATGTACTGGAATGCTACAAATTGAGCCAGGTTGTTCAGCCGTGACTGCTGAGAGGGATCGAAAACCTCATGCGCTGGTACATTCGCTCTATATTAGGACAAACTGAGCACCAACACACAGCCAACTTTCAAAATCGTTCTGGTTTGCGCCAAGCGATTCTTCATCGCGGTTGAAGAAGACGCGAAGGCTCCGACCCTCCAAGAAGTTCGGAAATATATGAGTTTATTCCCAAACTGTTTCTCGGGGATTATCTCAAATTCATTTGAACACGAAAAAGTGGGTTTAGAACCACCGCGTCGGGTACTGTATATGCACTTGTTAAACAAATTTTTTTAAACCCCGAGTTTGGTTATTACACCCTCAGTTAACCACCCCTGCGTTTCTTATCTCAATCAATTACTGGCAAGACACTTTATCACAGTGTAACCAGCTGACGGTGACTGAGGCGACCGTGCCTGGCACGTGATATTGGTTTTGTGTTGGTGAATGTGTGTTCAATTGGAAGGGGCACTGGGGGGCAGCCCAACTAGTTAGTTATCTAACTATGGGCTCGGACCGGAGATCACGTAATTCCTGTGGGGATAGTGCTCCAACCCTTAAAATACGATTCAATACTTGTAACGGAGTCGAGTCAAGGATGGATTAGCGTCTTTCAGATTAGAATTCGAGAAAGATTATATGAGAGCAAAGTGGTGAAATTGATTTCGATCCTTCCTGTATGCAGGAAACTTTGCTGCATTCTGGCCCAATGACCGAATCCCGAAAATCAGCCACAGCCCCGACGCGTAACAAATTGGAAGCTAGATACGATGGCCAATTAAATAGAGTTTTTATACAGCATGCTGGAAGTTACGCGCTATCCGACCAGATCTGCACTCTTTGTCACGGGGGCTGTCCTGTCCGGGGTTTAGCGCCCGCAATTAATCTGGAGACTATCATCCATACCACCACCTTCCAGACCATTCCAGTGGGTCACAGGAATAGGAAATAATCAAAATGGTTCCACCACTGTCTGGATTTCTTCAATCCATCAAAGTAAGCAGTGGGAAACAGGTGATGATTACAGACCAGCTGTATGGTGAACACACCATTTCGGAACCTGTACTGGTTAGCCTCTTCGAATCCCCTGAGCTGAGACGACTCGACGGGGTACATCAGCATGGAGTGACGGGACTTCTGGGTTTAACGCCTCGAGTGACCCGCCTGGAGCATTCTGTTGGTGCATTTCTGCTGGTGCGGAAGGTGGGCGGCAGTCTCGAAGAACAAGTTACAGCATTACTTCACGATGTAAGTCATACAGCGCTGAGCCATGTGGTGGACTGGGCCCTTTCGAAACCCGGTGAAGATAGCTTCCACGAAGTACATAAGGAGCGATATTTGAAGACGACCCAGCTGCCTGAACTGCTCATTCAGCATGGCTTTGACGACTTGAAGCCCTTCCGGGAGGATCTCTTCCCATTGGTTGAAATGCCCTCGCCACATCTCTGCGCAGATCGACTGGACTACGGCCTGCGTGACTCAGTCGCGTTTGGAAAATTAAGCCTAGAATACGCTCATCGAATCTATGCCTCTCTGAAGGCCTCGCCGGACGCCTCATCCCCCCATCGCCTGATGGTGCTGGAAGACGTCGAACTGGCTCTTACACTCGCCCGAGCCTACTTGGCGACGGATCGAGATATATGGTCTAACCGATCGAACATCAACCTATATCAGCGAACGGGTCAAGTGATTGGGAACTTGATACGACGTGGTGTGATCAAGGAAGAGCTGCTCTGGGCGGGGTCGGATGAGGAGTTTTGGAAAACAATCCGCAGTGCCGCAGACCCAGGCAGCTTGGACAGTATGAAACACCTCGAAACTGGAGGCATGCCCAGTGAGGAAGGCCTGAATCTCCCCCAAGGTACCAAAATTCGCACAATTGACCCAGATATCCACCTTGAGCCATCGACGCCACCTTGCCCGTTGTCTATGGTGCGCCCAGAATGGGCAACCGAAAGACAGGAATACATTCGCAGTCGGCAGAGCATGATGCGTAATTAGTGCATGAAGTACAGTGCGATAGCTATAGATCGTGCAGAGCCTCTTTAACGAACCTTGAGATGATAGTGCTGCAGACCTTTATGTTTTCCTCCATGGAAGGCGATAACGGTCGCCACTGTATAGGGCCCATCCAAATAGCGACTTAGAGCATATGAGTCCTTCCAACGACTCCATCAATACTATTTTCTATAGCTCATTTAGCCTGGACAGTATTTCACACACTGCGTCAAGCCAGATGTTTCCGTTTTCTTTTTTCTTTTCTTGGCTCAATATATTTTGCCAGACAATAAAATATGCTAAGACTGCAGTTTGATCACATTCGTCTCGCTGGATAAACTTTCGTGGTGTGGGATTCATTCCCGCTGTTGAACACTGACTACAGTATTGGTACCGGAACAGTGCGGTTGGATCACACATGTTCTGGATGGGTTCACCTGCTGTGTTAGTCTCATCCCTGCCGCTCAACATAGACTATCCATAACAACGTCTGGCATCACGAGTAAGTTTGGGGCTGGCTGAGGTTGGATCAGCGCCAGCTAACACGCGTATTTCCATCTTAGAGAACGTTCGCTCAGCATTTCTCTGCATTGCCTTTGTCTTCAAAGTGGTCGCTCAACACTTCAACACATGTCGGCCGTTCACGCCTACGTTGTGGCCATGATGGCGAAAGCCAGTGTTGATGTCTTGCACACGGATGAAGGCGGCGGAGACAGTGTTGTAATGGCTAGAGTTGCTTCATTTAGATACAGTCCGCAATTGCGCATATGTAGCCAGGTATTTCAAGATGCAGTAACTTTCCCTAAACAAGTCTTATTACACGTCCGATTTCGACGATTCGTAAGTCATGAAATAAAAGTGATACTCGCCGGGGCCGCCATACTTGGAATCATCCAACGTAAAGTCCTTGTCAAGACGGAATCCTAGGCGCTTGTAAACACCCAGTCCGCATTCAAATGCGAGAACGAATATGTCCAAACCCAGCTCACGCGCTCTGTCCATGCCACTCTGGACTAGGGCTGTGACGATTCCCTTGCCTTGGTTATCTGGATGAACGGCCAAGTAGTCCAGGTCTGCGTGTAAGTTAGTGAGCAAGACCGCAATCCAAGCTCGGCATTTCGGCGCCTCTTATTGCCGTAGCTGTGACGTACTTATATAGGGTGTACCAGCTAAAATCGCCTACCTCTCCTCAAGCACCACGTCTTCAACCCCGTCAGCCGCTGGATTCGGATCCCAGACAGCCATTTCCGCAACTCGTCGAATCTCAGCCTCCTCCTCGGGGGAGACCACTGGGACCAGGGCCTCTGGCCACACGGGCAAGCCGTCCGCAGTGGTCGCATGCGAGACCGGCAGTTTCCATCGCGCGTACCCCAAGATGCGTCCCGTCTCTGGGTCAATCGCCATTTGGTGCCGCATGATGCTGCGGTTATTGATAAGGTTACGTGGCGCGCGCTTGACAATTTCGGCAAGGTGCTGTGAGAGGGTTCTGTGGCTCCACGAGAAACGCCAGTTGTCGTTCTGCCAGAAGGCGGGGATGTTGTTGTGGGCAATAGCGGCACTGTCTGCCACGGTGCACCGGGAGATTGTGTGAGAGGGCATTGTGAGGCGGCGACGAGGGTAGTTGTGATTTAATGTTCGTGGAGGCAAGTTGATGTTTCAATGCTCTTGGATGTTTGTCCCAGATGCTGACGACTGCAAGATGAGATTTTGCAATGTGGCCTTGACTGCTAGCACGCCATGCGGGATGTCTGTATTGGTAAGTCAGAAGTATCGGACATGCCGCTTACACAGGCTGTGTGGCAACTGTTCGAAATGCTAGCCAATGTACTACTGTCCAATAAAACACCAACACGCTTATGAGGAAGTTTCAAGGGAGGGTGCGAATTTGAGCTGGTACTAAGGCACACCAATACGTGCAATGAAAAGGATCGTCTGGTCAGCACTAGAACTCCTTCAAGACCTGTGATCTTTCCTCCTTCCCAGCTTCGGTATCCCTGCATTTCTCACGGTCGAGACACTACAATCTGCTGATATAGATCCGGAGTAGGATTCCAGAACTCGGAGTAAAGGATAGCCTCACGGTCGATTTATCTGCAAGATCAGAAGATAGTTTCACAAAGGGCAGGCGGTCGAAACCTTGGAACAACAATTTATCTCTAATTGACAATGGGCTAACTTTCTCCCTAAACAAGGCCGTCTTTTCTATATCCGGTATCCTCCAAGGCATGCTCCAATCCGGTCGTTCTTCTTTTGATATAGCAATATATTGGTACATATGTACACCCAGTCTCGCAATATCAGTCCCCGGGAAGTAAACAAGGAGGTCTCTAGGATTTACTAGCATATCATCGGGTAAGGGTTCAGTTATTGGTAACTCCCCACTCTCAGATCTCCTATAAGCATTGATCCATCACGACAGACAATACACAGGGATCGGGCAAAATAGACACTTTCGTCGAGAATTTTCATCACGGCGGATTGGTCTCTCTAGAAGAGATCAATTAATTAATACACTTGGGAGCACGTTGAAATGTGATATGCAACAGGAAAAGGACTACTTTCGATTTTCCGACAGAGCCGTTGTATGGGAAATGTCAACTCAACACTTTGTCCACTCCATCCGATGCCAGTTGGAAATAAATGATGCTTGGAAAATTGTATAGGTCACAAAACTCGCTACTTCTGAATGACCCTTATCCACTTCGCCTACATCATGAGTGCTTTGTGGGGTTTCTGGCTGGCACCCTTTACAGTGCGTCTCGAAACTGGTGCGACCACCTACACACTATTGGGAATAGACTTCGAATATCAATATTCCCATATCAGTATCAATAAAGGAACTCAACTCTCATCATAATACGTCACTCTGTCTTATAACTGAATTGCGATCTAAGAGGAATTCAGAAGCCAGAGCGCCAAGTGCGCTATTCCCCCAGCCCAACATTGGCGCGCACAATCTATGCAGAATACGAGGTCACTAAACTCTATAGAGGATAGCTAGACAGCCCATATTAGTTGTTGACGAGCAGGGCTGGTTTTAAATAACTTCGCTTATGTCTTCACCCAAGTTTAATTGGAGTATATAAGTTACTGTCCTAAAAGAGCAACACCGCCGTTCGTGACTTTCGATGCAAGTAGTCTTGGCGCCACAATATGAATGACCACGGCCTGGGCATAGCGAAGATTCCTATAAGTTGACTAGCAGGCCCATTCGCGGTAGATTCTAACAATTCTCTCATCCACTCTAGCAATACTTGTCAGCCAGCTGAATCCGTTGCTATGCTGCGCCTCAACAAATTCGTCTTAATCCTCATAATAGCCAGAACATCGACTGCATGGCTTTTAAGATACAATGCCACAGTTGAAGTTGATAAATTACTTTGGGGAGGCAAAACGACTTCGGCTGCAAAGGTGAAACTGACGGGACCAATAACGGCAACCCCAACATCGACGGTTACCTCACTCCACACGGATTTAATACCGGCGACAACGAATGGTGGCGGGAGGGCAGAAGTCAATGTCACAGTTGAATATCTTTTGTTCCCGAAAGCTAGACTACCAGTATGGACGCCGACTCCGTCGTTAAACGTCTGGTATCCCCCCACTCCAACCCGCTACCAGGAGCCAACCATTACGACCAATTACTTCGCACCTTATGTTATTAGCAATCCTACGTCATGCACGAAAACGATGTTTACTTACACTGATTCAATCGGAGTCAGCCTGCCAAATGAGCTTATGGCTCAGGCGACCGATGCAACCGCGGCTATGTTCGTCACTACATACATATCCACTGTCAGTACAGATCTTGGTGGACAAGCCGTGACAACAACCCGATGTGATGTGTACCTTAATGCAGAAGCAGTCCCTGCCCATGGTTACGATCTCGGTAGTGATGGCTACTTTGCGGAAGAATGCGTTGACCCGCGAAGATCAACTTGTAGTCCTGGAGAAAACCAGGCGGCTACAGGGTCAGGAGGCTGTAAGGGACTCTATCCTCCGACTAGAGCGAAGGAGCATTCGGCCAATACTGCAACATCCGGGGCAAGTACTACGCAGACAGGTGGAACCAATGGCACACCAACTAAGGACCTGCTGAAGGCCCAAACTGGATTATGGAGCTTAATAGTTTACTGTGGTATACTACTTTTCTGATCATCCTCTCTTTATCAGATGATAGCCAAGACGAACCGTCGATCTTGGCATCTCGGCATCTAGTGCCCATCGGGGCTTTTCTCCGCGAGTGGCTTGCTTGATTTAGCCGCGATATTATGGTCCATGTGGATGCAAGATGGAGAGCATTTGACATTGGGACCATTCGACAGTATATCCTCACAAATCATTTATATCGTTTCAATTTTTTGTATCTAGGAACTCGGCACTGGGAGAATTATTGTAGCTAAATTTTACTAAAGGCTGTAGAAAATAGACTAAGGTGTCTCAATGCTACATCACTGGTTGACAAACCCACAACTGCGGACAGTGCAGGGCGAATAGGTGCTTGCGGGTAATGGATCCGCTTGTGGCATTCTTTTGTTGAAATGTGTAGGCATTGAACATAGCTCAGACCCGTGGAGCTTCTTTTACGAATACGAACCTTGGCGAGCGCACTGATCTTTCGGTCTGCAAACGAGGACTAGGGGCTTGAGAAGTCGTATAATGAATCTGGGTGATTGGTGCTCGCACCATGTTCAATTTTTACCGCGATGTGTTCATAGATGTGACCGGGCAGTCAGGTCAAAAGAGAAAATATCGAAAACGATGGTATTCAGTCTGAGTACTATGGTCGTGACCTGTGTGGCCGAATCAGTTGGCCGTAGGCTAGGAGAGAGGTTAGTTATTCACTATTTTCTTTGTCCGCGCGGCGTTACGAGCGTAGGCATATTGATGAGGTGGGTGCCTGAGGCGCCATAGATAGATAGGAATTCCCTTTTGGGAGGTCACTTCGTGAACACAACTCCCTCCATTCGTTCCTCTCCCTCATGATCTCCATGATCAGGTCTCTGTAGTGACTCTCCGACCTCCCTTGAGTCTCGATGCCATCAATTATTCACTTGAACACAGTCCTGCTGGACGGTGTTCGTTTCACAAGTAATTTGTCTATCAAATCAACTACTGGTACTGATAACCCTGCTGCTCAAGAGACACTGGCTGCTATTATGTCTTGGTGATGTGATGTTTTGGGCCCTCTTCTTGCCATTATTTCTTCAACTGCCACCTGACACGCCAACAACTTCATTTCATCACGCCCCGCTCACCATACCTGTATCTTTTCTTGCTTTTATCATCTTCATCAAAATGCCTCAGACCGCCGAGGACCACATCAAGCTGCTGCTGTGCTGCACTAAGCACTGCCACGAGCGCCACGTAAGCTCACATTGACAAAACCTCGAAGTTTGAATAGTATTCTGTTGTAAGCTACAGTTTCTGACTGAGAAATGACAGATCGACTTCCAGGAAGTCTCCGCGGAGCTTGGCCTGCCTTCCCGCGCTGCTGCGTAAGTTGTTCCCGCAGTGCAAAAGCATACCTCTACGCTGAGATGGAGAAGAGGTGGCTGATTGCGCTACAGGGCTAAGCGCTACACTCGTCTGCTGGAGGCTCACGGCATGGATACTATGGGTCTGACAATTGGTTGCGCGGATAAGCCCGCTGTTTCGTCCGCCGATCGCCTTGCCCTCGGTCTCAAAGTTGACGGGGAGAGTCCCAACTGGGAGAAGCTCTTTTCCAAGAATAAATCCATCAGTATCAATCCCAGCGTGGACAGGGTTTCTACCATGGGCCAACAGCAGATCACGAGCGATCAGGGCGACGACCAAGAGGACTGTCGCAGGCTTCGACTCCCTCGACAACAAGGAGACCCGTTACAAGTCCAGGGTGAAGTCCATTGCAGTTGGCCAGAACGTTGCGAAGAATCATCTCACCATAGTCATCCCTGCCAAGGCCATCGTTTCTCGCAAGCGTCGGGCCGCCATCATCACGACAAGGACACCGATGCTACCATCTGTCATGGCAGCGACGTTTCATCCATCTCTCGTATCTGAACAGGACATGGCATCCGTCTTCGAAGGGTTCTCTACTGATTAACGGTTTCTTTTTTTTTGGAAGCATCGCTGAGTTTTTATCAAGGATTTATAAGCCATCTTGGGGAAGAATCTCGGTAACCTGATGTGCTTTATTCTGGATTTTCTCTGAACCTGGACCGGTTTATTTGTTTTTGCACGGCAGGATATTGCCCGATCCTCGGCAATATCTGCTCAATCTTCGGCTTTTACAATCTACAACAAGTTGACTACTTTGTTTTCGTTTGTCTAAGTTTGTTAAACGTTCTCGTAGGTAGTACTCCTCCTGGCGTATGTTGATACTTCAGGCGGCCTTCTTACGGATGTCACACCACATAGAGTTTCTTGGACGATTCGCTAGTAGCTTCAAATTTCGTTGCCAGTTGCACACAAGTGTCGATCTTCAGAGTATGGAACTTGGAGTTGCAGTTGCCCGCCGGTTTGTCTCTGAAACTAGGAACTGAGTTAAACAATCCCTCTGAGGACAACTTGGGAGATACGTGAGTTTGGAGATTATAAATAACGTGAAGTACTAGTAACATGATACTTTTATCTCGTCGCCCTTCATAGCCTGCTCTGTGACCTCTTCCAACCATCACCCTCTTCACTCTTGGCAACGACGTTCGCCAAAGTGATGAGGCCAAGCTCTTTCGTTTAGCAGGCATTTAGACAATTGACAATGGCAGGATCTTTCTGGGAGCTTAGCAAATCAATGAGAATATGGTATATGCGACATTTTATTTCATCTGCGCATTCATCCTAGCTCGTTAGTTTCCCATTTCACATATGGTTCAGCCCTAGTATTTTTTATGCTTGGCTAAGCAAATTCTCGGCAAACTGATGACTTCCTGGCGCCCCAAAGACTTCTAGGTGAAATTAAGATTAGCCATGCTCGTTAGCGTATCGAGATGGTCCACGCCGAGCTTCGTCTTGCTCATCTCCATTAGATGCACCTGAAGTTGCTCGGCCTCTTCCCACCGGCCTTGGTTCTGGTACGTCGATGCCAGGTTGGCCATACTCGACAGCGTATCTGGATGGCCCTCGCCGAGCTTCGTCTTGCGAGTCTCTAATACTTCCACGTCGAGCTGCTCGGCCTCTTCGCACCGGCCTTGGTAGCGGTACGTTGACGCTAGGTTGGCCATACTCGTCAGCGTGTTGGGATGGTCCTCGCCAAGCTTCGTCTTACGACTCTCTAACACCTGCACGAAAAGCTGCTCGGCCTCTTCCCACCGGCCTTGGTTGCGGTACGTCGATGCTAAGTTCGCCATACTCGATAGCGTATCTGGATGGCCCTCGCCGAGCTTCGTCTTGCGAGTTTCTAATACTTCCACGTCGAGCTGCTCAGCCTCTTCCCACCGACCCTGCTTCCAGTACGTCGATGCTAAGTTCGCCATACTCGATAGCGTATCTGGATGGCCCTCGCCGAGCTTCGTCTTGCGAGTTTCTAATACTTCCACGTCGAGCTGCTCAGCCTCTTCCCACCGGCCCTGCTTCCAGTACGTCGATGCCAGGTTGGCCATACTCGACAGCGTATCAGGATGGTCCTGTCCGAGCTTCGTCTTGCGTGTCTTTAATACTTCCACGTCGAGCTGCTTAGCCTCTTCCCACCGACCCTGCTTCGAGTATGTCGATGCCAGGTTGGCCATACTGGACAGCGTGTTGGGATGGTCCTTGCCGAGCTTCGTCTTGCGAGTCTCCAACACTTCCACCTCGAGTTGCTCAGCCTCTCCCCACCGGCCTTGGTTGCGGTACGTCGATGCCAGGTTGGCTATACTAGTCAGCGTCTCGGGATAGTCCTTGCCGAGCTTCGTCTTGCGAGTCTCCAACACTTCCACCTCGAGTTGCTCAGCCTCTTCCCACCGTCCCTGGCTCTGGTACGTCGATGCCAGGTTGGCCATAATCGTCAGCGTCTCGGGATGGTCCTCCCCGAGCTTCGTCTTGCGTGTCTCTAACACCTGAACGAAAAGCTGCTCGGCCTCTTTCCATCGGCCCTGGTTCCAGTACGTCGATGCCAGGCTAGCCATACTCGTCAGCGTGTCAAGATGGTCTTCGCCAAGCTTCGTCTTGCGAGTCTCTAACACCTGCACGTCTAGCTGCTCGGCCTCTTCCCACCGTCCTTCGAGCCAATATCCTTTCGCCAACATCGCAGTGCTATAAAGGGCTTCTTGATGTTCTCCGCCTAATATTTTGATCCTTTGCTCTCTTGATTTTGATGCCATTTCTCTTACGTCTGTGATGTTACCACATTCGGACGCATACCATGCACCTCTATGGAGTAATGTAGCCCATCGTTGTAGACACTCACATGATGATGGCCGTTGTGACATTGCAGCTTTGACATGAGGAAACAGTGTCCTACATCTCTCCCAGTTTTCGTATTGGCCGGTGGGAAACTCTTCAAACAGGTTGTTAATGAATTTCTCCCGCCAATGGACGATTTGTCCATGAAGTTTTAACCACGCATGCGTAGTCAGTTGCACTAGCCGGTGCATCGTAAAGAAAGAGCTGTTCTCACTGATGGATATAAATGAATAATCCCTCAGTGTCATAATATCATCTTCAAAATCAGGGCCTACATCGGATTCAGATGATGGCTCCCCGCCACTAGAGTCGTTCAGGGGCTCTGAACTTGATGTGCAATTGGCCTTCGGTTGGTGCCGTATAAGGCTCTCTGGTATTCCTTGCCGATCGAAAAAACTCATAAGAGAAAGCAACTTAGCTGCAGACGGCTTTGTGTGGCGCATATAATCGAAAGATATCTGCCACGTCACTAGAATCGAATTCTTTGCTTCCCAATCCCGATAGAGATGGCCAGCCTCCTTTTTTAGAAGCCTTATCGCTTCATGGTCATTTCTTTGGAAGTCTCCTAGATATTCTGATACCGAATAGCGAGGCGCCCGATTTCGAATATAGCTAGCGGCCTGTACAATCGCTAGCGGCATAAACTCTAATGCATTCACTAACTGTCGTCTCTCTTGGCTCTCCCCTGGTTGTTCAAGCTTTCTTTGGAGGAGCTCTAGCGCCTCAGATTGTTCCATCGGCTTAACTTCAATAAGGCCCTTGTGATCGACTAATTTCAACGCAACTTCTTTAGCCCGACTCGTAATAATGATAGAACCATTGCGGCTCCTAGGGACATATTCCAGCAGTGGCTTTGTAGAGGCGCTCGTTAGGCCTGTCGTTAGATCTCCTCTACCTGCCGTCGGAAGCGAGCAAAGGAACTTATCGTCATCGACATTATCAAGAATGCAAACCCATTTCCCTATCTTCTCGTCCCGGAGCCAGTTCTCAACCAGTTTGAATATGTTAACTTGAGGATCCTGACGACCTGAAATTTTCACCTGGTCTGCGATATCCCGGAAACTTTGCTCGAACCGGGCTTCGTTACTCGCATGAACCCAGAAAACCCATGTTGCCGGCGATTTGGATCGAACTTGATAGGAGTATTCGATGGCAAGTTGCGATTTCCTTCGGGTTGTGAGTAACAAATCACGTTATGGCCGCTCTACACTCACCCGACACCGCCAAGGCCGACCAGCGCTATTCTCGACCCTAGCACTGAGCTTTTCTCGTGAATACGATCAAGTAGCGTATTTCGTCTGACAAAGTCTGGATCGCGCGTGAACGGGACAGTCGACAGAGGGCTAGGAGGAGTTTCTGGTCGCTCTTAGGGTGGGAAACGTCTATTAGTCGGCCGGACTTGACCTTGTCCGTTCTTCTGACTTACCCTGAGGCAGGTAAAATTCTGCTTTGATCGAGCCACGGTTATCTCCAATCTGGAGCCCATGGTTGTTGCCGCCGAATGATATCGCCGCCATGATCGAAGAATCGCACGTTGTTTGTATTTCACACGAAGGTTGTCTGATTCTCAACTGAAGGAGGGGCACATCCTTGGCTTCGCCATCAGGTGACTGTATTGCGCTAAGACAGGGGGTCCGAGTAGCGGGCAACCCGAATCGAGCATTCTGTTGGCCCTGCTAGGAGGGATTAGCAAGGAATCGGATCGGCCCGAGCCAGAAAACCCAGATCAAGTGCAGCACGCGATAACCAGCTAGGTCCCATCCGCTCTTCCCGTCCGATAAGAGCACCTTTTGACATTGTTACCGCACTTAGAGACTCTCTGCGGCCAGCGGTTTTAAAGGCACAATCTAAGCGGTTCGGTACCGCTTCTTAGTGTTTGCTCAAATCGAGCTAGCACAAGATGTTTTAGTACTTACAACTGCCAATTTTTAAGGTCCGCAGCTTTGAGATGGCCTACCAAATTCCCAGGAACTACGAGATCGCCCAATCACGCGCATTTCCTAATACCTCGCAACCCCCCACACCTTTCGCCCAAAATCATTTCACCTGCTCACTGAGCAGATGGATTCGCTCTCCATTCCCCCTCCCTGGTCTCCCACCGCTGCCTACCTACATTCTCATCCGTCAACGTCCTTCTCCGCAACATGGCACCAAGCTCCCCCTCTCTCAAAGTTCGAAATGATTCAAGATATGATACTGAGCAGATTACTGACTACCTCGCAAATGGCCAAAGCTACTGAATGTAGTAAGCGCTCAATAATCAACATTAGTAACAACCTTCGCCGGTTTAGAGATGTTAGTCCCCCCAACTCGTGTCAGCCGACGACGAAGCATAACACCTCCGATGATAGAAGCACTGTGTGATCGCCTTCTAGAAAAGCCTGGGCTATATGTGGACGAGATGGCAGTCTTCTTATAGGACGAGGTACGTGCTTAGGTCACAAATTTGAGCCTCAAGCGGGATCTCGCTTCGGTGGTCTGGTCGAAGAAAGTGGCTCGAAAGAGAGCAAAGAACAGAGCGCCGATTTACGCGACTTCTATATGCATAATCTGTCGGACTTCCGGTCGTATCATTTGGTCTATGTGGATGAGTCTAGTTGCGATAAATGAATTGGGTTTAGACGGACAGGATGGTCTCCGTTAGGCGTGGCACCATTGCAAGTAGCCAACTTTCATCGCGATCAGCGATACCAGATACTGCCCGCATATCGTCAAGATGGAATTGTGCTCTCTCGAATATTCCAGGGTTCCACGGATGCTGCAGTATCTGAAGAATTCATTGATCAACTTTGGTTCTCGAAAGCAGTAGTCTAGGACACTCTGGAGGTGTATAACCGGAGCCTCAATTTGTAAGATTCATCTTACAACAGGGGATGAAGGCTGATGGTTTCCACTATATCTAGCCCTTGTAAGGAAAGAAAGACTGTAGAAGTTGCTGGCTGGGTATCACTATTTACAGAACAACATTGAAACTCGAGAGAATTGGAGGAGGAAATATTTCAATGCGGGATAGGGTACCGTAACCAAAGAGAGATGCGTTCAGGGTATTTGATCGCCATGACAACGTGTGAGATGCATACAAAACAAAAAGGCGTCATTGGGTATTCGTGAGCATGGTTTCATGATATGTCGTTAAATGTCGGCCATAACGGATTCTACAATCCTGCGCTTGTACTGAGATATAGCACGTTCCTTTCTCTGCGTCTGAGCTCGCAGGCGCATATAACGCTGTTTCCAGGTTCCTTCAGAGACTGGGTTGCTTGTGTCTTCATCAAGATCAAAATCGGCAGGATGGTCGTTCTCGACAGGGTCATGGACTGACTCCCCAGGCTTAACTGGAGGAGCGAAAGTTGCGACTGTTGTTCCAGAATTGGGGCTTCTAAGAAATACCTGAACCGAGAACTGATAGGACTGCTGGTAGTTGTAGGATATAGTATAGATGATTCCATCAGCTGGCTCATGCAGACCCGGGATCCCTCCACCAGTCGCATCCGCCGATGCCGGGTCTACCTTCACAGTCAGGGACCCTGGCTGGTTACTCGTAAAGCCAAAATGGTGTCCCACTCCCAAATGGAAAGCCAGGACAAATGGCTGCGGCCCCAGTGGGAGCTGTGAATACAACGCGGATAAATTTAGCACCATTTCTGAGGCAATAGCATGTGCTTCGTCGAGCTTTAGGGCGGAGGCTCGTCCAGACAGCCTTGCGCGAGCCAGCTCCACAGAAAGTGCACGAATAACATCATCGACGGAAATGGTGCGCGCAGTTCCAATATCTGTCGTATGGTTGTCCGTCATCTGGCTTGAGAATGTCCTATCGTCTTCTCCCGCTTGTGGAATGACAGCACCATTCACTCCGTTCACAAGGAGCGTGGGAGGCGTTGCAAGACGGACTGGTCCTCCTGAATGTTGAGGAACCTGTAGCTGAAGCTTCCCAGGCCGTGCATGGGCTGCTGGGGTGGGAGATTGGTTGTACACAGTATCGAGGACGGTTTGAGAGGGATTCTGACTGAAAACGGGAGGAGACGACTGGGCACTTGGATTTGAGGTATGTGATGGTTCGCGATTTTGATTCACCTGGAAAGACGAAAAAGATCCGGTAGACGATGATTTATTCGGCGGTCTTCCACGCCCCTTGGTAGTCGATGAGCCAGTACTGTTTGGCCAGGCAGACGAGACAGCCGGTCCATGCCGTCTCTTGGAGCGCGATTTATCGCCGGAGATAGGTGTCATGGCGGACCTAGGCTCAGTAGATCCAAGCATCTCAGATGGGTGGCTTCCTCGGGGAAGTATCGCAGAGTGAGGGTAGCCAGATGGCGATGCCTCACGATCTGGAAGCCTCCACCTGGTGTCTTGGGCCTGTTGATCCGATGGGTTATCTGAACCGGGTGCAGTAAATGAAGATGCTGCAGTCATCCATGGATCGGTATCACTAGGATATGCACTGAACGGGATGGCGCTTTGTGGGAAAGGTATCGAATGGGTCTGGAAACTGCTGGGATGCAGGGCGTCGATAGAAGTATCCAACTGAGGTCTTTTGACAAGCTTCTCATCCTCGGCTTCTTTATCTTCGGTCCTTTTCCTGCCACGTTTTGGCTTCCACTGCGGGACCAGAGCCCGAAGAGCGAGATCTTCTTCCAACGGAACACCATCCCGTGAATCATTCACGAACGGCCCCACTGGAGGGAGTTGCGTATAGTACACATGTGCATGGTCAAGGCAGTATTCAAAAAAGGCATCGACATGCATTGCACGCATCCAACGCTAGAAAAGATTAATTAGGATTCGCTAAGACATGTTGAAAGAAACCAAAAACATTGCTCACCTTGAGTCGAACAGCGTATTGTTGAACCTTTTGAGTACTCTGTTTCTTTTCTATTGAAGGTGGTTCTACTCCCAGCTCCGTGGCCAGTTGAATCCATGTTTTCAGTTCGCCGCTGTCCAGTTTTCGAATGAGTTCAAAGAGGGTAAAAACACTGAAGCTTTTGCCATCACTCCGTGGCGGGCAGCGAAAGGCTCGTCGCAATTCAGTGTCGTCGACCGAAGATGGAACATTGGGATTGCAATAAAGAATGAAGGCAACATAAGCATCGTCAATTGTGTCATCGGTGAGATCTCGAATTGGCAACTCTCGAGATTCGACCTGGTCCGCAGAATCTTTGGTCTGCTGCTGGCGGAGGGAGTCCAGCATCGGTGGAGACATCGAGGTGCCTGAGCGAGCGGCCGATGATAGTGGAAGACCGGAGCGCATACCCCTGGGAGACGATTGCAAGCTCCGCGGTGTTCCCTTGCGCCGAAGAGTAGGCGACTGGTCGGCATCCGGCTGACTTCGAGCACTTCCTATGGACGAAGCAGTCTGCAGGGTTGATTCCAATGTTGACGGATACCGTGCATACTGCTGGACGACCATTTGTGAGCCATCGAGGCCGGCGCGATTGGAGCGATCGGCAGACTCCATGGAGAACGGAGCTTCCATCGGGAGCTCAAGGTGGATACAGGAATCGCTCACCAAGCCGAGCAATAATCATGAACGATGATGAAAGAAAGAACTTCTATCGGATGTCATGTTAACCCAGCACGAGTCGAGGGAATGCATGCATGGCAAAGGAGAATCCACCTCCTCCGGGGTGGCTGGAGCTCTATTTTTGGCTGGCTCAGCATCCTCAGACTAGCGCCGTCCGGGCGGGGTTGCTCACCCGGGTTCACCGCCTGCGGTTACGAGTCAACATGGATTGCAGTGAGAAGATGCAAGAAGATGATCACAGTACACTCAGGATCGTCCGTAGCACTCGCCTCCCATTCATTTGACTACCAAATGGTGAGTTCCCTACCTTTGTTGTCGGGGATATGATCACGTGCCCGTGTCCCTTTTCTGCCGGGTGCTGAGTCATTATCAGGAGCCTTATCGATAGGGAATATGATTTCTCTGATCTCATCGAACACGCTGCATCACCACTTTCCACGCCCACACGCCCTGCTTCCTCCACCCATCTCAATTCCATCCTCAACATTTACACTCGGCCGCGTGGCCTGCGCTCATTCCATTTGCCTCACGCGTCTCGGACTTCCCCTCACGCTTGCCGACAATGCCGCTGGTATCCTTCGCGCGGCTCGTTATCTTATCCTAGCGCGACTTGACCCACCATGGCGCCCTCGCAGCGTCGGTCAACCCGACCTGTGCGTTCCAACCGCACGAGGGTTGAAACGTATGAGGAGAGCATGTCGGAAGATGATCCCAACGATCTCTCGGAATTTGAGTATGATCAAGCCTCGCGCCGGTCATCGTTATCGCTGCGTCCACGCAACCCGTCCGGGATGCCGAGGACATACCGCGAAGAGTCCACTGATGGCAGCTCGGAGGAGTACCCGGATGACAGTGACTCTGACCTTGCTCCATCCGGACCTGCCGATCCCCCCAGCCATTCGACACATCCTGTTATCGAATTGGAAGCTACCACCACGACTCCCTCGCGTCCCTCCCGGCCGCAGTCCACGAGCCGGGCCAGGGCCCCTGCCCGGCGAAATCAAGCCAAAAGGCCACGCAAACAAATACGAGGCCAGCTGGGCAAGCCTCTGCGCAAAAGGGCCAAAGTTGGCACGGAAGCACCCACCATTATCGGATCAGGAGTGATCCCCCCTTGGCAAACCTTGCCTTACCAAATTCTCTTTGATATCTTTCTGCGCGCGTCTTATCCACTTGTCGATGAAATGACCATGACTAGGAACTCCTCGATCCAATGGCTCCTGGATATTGCTCTACTGTGCCGGAGTTTCTCCGAGCCTGCTCTGGCGGCACTGTACTATTGTCCGCCATTGCTCCCCACTCATAGAAGCCACGGCTTAATGAATCTCCTGTCAAAACCGCAGGAGACACTTTCCACCAACTACTCCAACAAGATCAGAGAACTCAATGTGGATGTAGAAACCATTCTTCTTTACAAGAGTGGGCCCACTCTCGGTTACTTCAATCTTGACAAATTGATTGAAAAGACACCTCTAGCACGACAGATGCGGCTGTACCACAAAGAGGATTACATTGTAGGTTTGCCTCAATGGAGCATTCCGCAGTCGAAGTGGAGTTATCCGGACTCGCTCTTCTCCACCATGGCAGACACGCAGATCTTTCTTCGCAGCTGGGATTGGAACACCCGTTTCCTTGAGACGGACGCTCTGCTCAAGTTTATGCGTGAGAAACATGCTTTATCCAGTTTTCAAAGCCTGAGAGAGCTCCGGCTGCTGCATTTCAGTGACAAGGATCGAGAGGATGTCTCCGAAAGTGAGGACATCCTTGTCGAAGCCCTCCAGTTGCTCCCGGACCTCCAACGCCTTGCTTTCCTAAAATGTTCTTTGGTCGATTCAACCCTAATGCTCAAGCTGCCCTCGAACCTTCGATCTTTCACTCTCGACAACTGCATTCACATTTATTCGACGGACCTGATTTCCTTCCTCTCATCTCACGGCGGGAATCTTCGGGAGCTTATTCTCAGCCACAACCGACACCTCAACATGTCATACATGACTGTTCTTGCCCAATCCTGCAGTAAGCTGGAGAGGTTGAAGATGGACATCTCTATGCACGACATGTCCAGTTTCCGCGATCTTGAGCCCCATTTCCCGCACTTGCTTTGCGAGAAAGAGGTTGCAACGTGGCCCCCAAAGTTGCAAGACATCGAATTAATCCAACTTCGGCGGTGGGACGATACCCTGGCCGAAACCTTCTTCACATCCCTGATCGATGCTGCGCCGAGTCTTCCGGACCTGCGACGCCTGGTCATTAGCGCAATTCTGAAGATCCAATGGCGCGAACGTGCACATTTCCGCGAGAAGTGGATTGCTAAGCTGGAAGGAGTTTTTCTCCGCCGCAGCAAGCCCCCGAATCCCAACCTTCGTTCTCTGCGAAAGCGCCCGGTGGGCCCGAGCGAGCCAGCCGTGCAAGACGATTCCACTGTCTCTCCCGATCTCGCAGTCTCAAAAAATGAGCCGGGCGCGCCACTCACCACGTCCAAGCGCCAGAGTTCACGTCTTGCTCAGCGCAAATTTTCCGAGGCGGAAGATTCGGCCGAGTCGGAGGGCGAGGAATCTAAAATGGGCAATATACAGGGGATGTGTGATATTGTGACGATTCGAATTGATAACCAACGGCCGACGGACACGCAATTCAACGAGGACGATTTCCTTGATACCGAACGGAGCGGCGACGAGGACTGGAATGAGTGAGCGATGATTACAAATTCAGCATGGACAAGCGCAGCAGCAATGGAACTGGCCTTTTCTGATCCATATTGATGGTGTCTTTGCGGCGTTGTGTGCTTTTCCTTCTGTTTTTCGGGTGATATTTCTATATTGTGCTTCCATTTACGTATGGTTATGAGCGAGGAGTTCGATGTGTCTGGTTGTCTGTTTGTTCTTTGAAAGCGATACGATTAGAAACCCCTGTTACATTTAGCTACCGGTAATAAAAAAGATTCTCACCCATGGCTGTTCCATGCAATAAGTAGTGAATGGCTACCCAACAGTCTTTCCCCTTACGCAATTGGCGGAGCCCCACAGGATCGCTGGTCCGAAACAACGTGCGTTCCTTGACCGACTTGTATTGCAAAACATCACTTCTTCCAAACTCCTGTGCCCTTAGGCATGGCAGGCATGGCACCCAACGTTGGGGACACCAGTGGCCCGTCCTCTCCTCCACCGCCATTGCCCGAAGGGTGGTGAGTGAGTCCTGTCGCGCTGGGCGCGTCGTATGTCTGCTAACCAAAATACGGTCCAACCCAGGCTTCCTCAATGGGAAGGCGTCCAGCGGAAATGGTATTACGTCCAACGAGCCACCGGAAAATCCCAATGGGAAATTCCCACGGAACCAGTTGCTCTCACGCCGTCCACATCACCGACGCCAATCGGGACCGGGCCTTCACGAGCGCCGGCATTGCAGCCAGCCACGAATAGCCATCGAGTGACGGGACCAAGGGCTGCCATACCGGGTGGGAGCTATGCTGCGACTGGCATGGCGGGAATTTCCGTAGGAAATCGCCCTCATTATTGTGCTCTGTGCGAACATGGAAAGAGTGGCACTGATGCTGGGATAGAGCTCTTTCGGCTCTCAGGACAATCCAGTCCATGACCCTTCCAGAATAATGGGATGGCCCTCAGGCCCAGCGGCATATGGTCAGCACCCTGGTGCAAATGAGGGTAGCCACCTCACGGTGTGTTAGAACGATTTCGATTGCCTGTGTTGATCACTGACCATTTTTTAGGATTCTTTGCTGTCGATGCCGCATGGGCAACCGCACCCACATCTCTCAGCATTCCAGCAGAGCCAGGATCAGGCCCAGAATCAGCCTACAGCAGGCCAAATCACCCCCGGTCAGCCATGGTTGGAAGGATTGCACCATCCAGGGTCTGACCAAGGCTATCAATCCTCTCAAGCATTGCTCTATGGCCCGACTCCTCCGCATTCGCATGTCCCTCCATATCCGTGGGTGGCTCCTCTGCCTACTGGGACTGGCGCTCCAATACCTCAAATGCATAACCCTCAGTCGCAATGGCAATCGAGCCAAATACCGCCTTTATCGAGTACGCAAGCTCATTCAGGACCTACGAGCGTAGATCCACCATTCTCAGGTCCCGGGCCTGGTTTGAAGCGCCAAGAATCTCATCCTGTTCTTGGCTCATACGCATCCTGTACTTCAAATAGCATCATGGGGCAACCTCCCAGCGTTTCAGGATACCCTCTATCGCGATCACATTCCGAGCATGGACCGAATGGTCCACCGCATATACCACTTGGTTTTCCAAATGCCACACATCCACCATTTTCTAGATACATGCCGCAACCAAACTTGCACGGCCGCTTCCAAGGGGCGAGTCTGACACAACCAGGGACAGTGACCAGTTCTCATACTGCCCCAACCTTTCAAACCGGTCCTCAGTACTCCCAGAATCCACTGGTTCAAGCAAGTATCAATCGGTACTTGCCTTCGCAAATCCAGCATCCCGGTGGTGGGACTTTTGTCTATACGGGAACAGCACAGCAACACAGCACATATCCGATCCCAGGCGACCGACCTGCTGGTGACTCCAATCAGGGGCCTGGCAACGTTCTTGAGTCCTCGCGAACGGCAGCATCTGATCCTCAGTTTGTCAGTGGACCGTGGGCGTCACCCTCGACGCCGCCTACCTCGGGATGACATGGCTGAAACGTCTCAATGAATTTTTTTTTTACAACGGTTCGGGATTTTCTCTTCTTGGATGCAGCTTGGCATCGTCATGAACGTTGTTGATGTTTGCAGATTCCCTGGGTTCGCGCGTGCTCTTTTTATTTGTTTAGTGCTTACATCCAGGATCTCTGTATCTGGTTATAATCCATTATTAAGGGGGCCTTGCACTAGCCCTGAGTCGAAAACCGAATTGTGTCATCTGCTACACTTTACCTCTTATGCGTACCGGATTTCTCTACTGCTTGGTGGGGTATTCCCGTCTGAGCTTTCGGTGGGGAAGTTGGGGCTGGAGCTGCTCGGGGGGACATGTCGAGCGTAAGATGGGTATCCGACTTGACACGGGACAGAACTACGACCTTGCAGTGGCCGAAACGGCCAAGAATTGTCTGTGTGCTCGAGATAGCTGATTATTAGCAATTGTTTTGTCTAATACATCAAATGCTACGGTCCCATTGGCGCTATTATTTGCGCAGGACACGTTACCAGGCTCAGCCAGCTAATTGAACGAAACGACCCACAATGTACCTCTCGTGTATCTTTCATATGTCGGCCCTTACGAGAGGTACATCAACGGCACCTACAGAGGAGTGGGTCGTTCACTTAGATGAGGGGCAGTATGCACCTACAGTGTTGTGAAGGGGCTATGTATGTACTCAGCAGCCAGGGCGTAGAAGGCCTACCAACTGCATGATTGCGGATAAAAGGATGATCGAGAACGTCTAGACTCATTGGAGAGCTGTTTTCTAGCTTTCGCACTCAGAACCTATAGGAATATTGTTCCAGCTGTCTGTCCCCCGGACTATTTCGGGTAACAACGCCACCGACATCACCGATCGACACACCCTCATCCTTCCGCGCCGGATTCCGCAAAAGAACCCCGCAGCACGCAATTCGCGCGAATCTTACATGCAGCTGCCGACAGGTATAAGAACGCACGGTTCTGCGCGCAGGGGGGCGAAAGGAACATCAGAGTATACTTAGTGCCGCAGAACATATTTCTCACTAGGCACCTCCTAAACACGCTCCAACCAAACCCATCCCCCCGAACTTAAACTGTTTTCCCAAAACCGCATACATCCACCTCTCATCACCATGTCAGCTCCAATTCCCGCTTCCAATCTGTATCTTGGCCAGGCCCGCGCCACTAAGAGTGTTCAAGATTGCATGACCATCTATGACAAATGGGCTGCCACATACAACGATGAGGTTGGAGACGAGGCTCAAAACTACGTTGCTCCCGTACTCGTTGCCCAGGCTGCTATCAAATTCAAATCATCCAACGACCCCACCAAGCCCGTCATTTTGGATGCCGGCTGCGGAACCGGCCTGGTGGGCCAGGCTATTGCCATTGGCAAAGCCGAGGCAATCGATGGCCTGGATTTATCTCGTCCCATGCTCGACGTGGCACGGAAAACCGGCATCTATCGAGATCTAGATCAAGCGGATCTCAACAAACCCATCCAAAAAGCCAATAACACCTACGATATCGTGGTATGCGTCGGCACTTTTACCCTTGGCCATGTTGGCCCTGCCCCTGCTCTGCGGGAATTTGTCCGCATTACCAAGACCACTGGCATCGTCGTTGCAACGATCCTCCAAGAGATCTGGATCTCAGGAGGGTTCAAAGACGAAGTCGAGAAACTCAAGTCCGAAGGCTTGGTGAACGTGGTCTCGGACGGACTTATAGATTATGTAAAGGGCCATGGCGACAAAGCAGTACTTCTTATCCTAGAGAAAAACAGCGCCTGAACGACACCAAACGATAGCACCACGCCCCGTCAACAGCACGATGCGATTGCGACACCCCCCAGCGATAGCAACACAGGGCCATTGCACCAACAATGCGATAGCGACACAGTTCGATGGGTTTTTATTTAAACATCCCCCGGCCTTGCCCACAACCAAAGAAAAATGCGATTGCGACACAATGCGAGAGCGACATAACGCGATAGGTTTCAACAACATGCCCCCTTCCAGTTTGGCTACGGATACCAAACGATAGATTTTCAACACATTCTAGTTTGGCTGCGCGGAATGGTAGTCTTTCAACACATTCTAACTAGCTTGGCCACGCGAAAGCGTGTATCGTTCTTAGAAACACTCTCAGATCAAATCCTTGTAACAAAAACACCCACAATGCACCTGAATTAGAGCTCTATCTAGTAAGCTTAGACCTGGACGGACCTGTAGGGAGCGACGAGTTACCTTTCCTTTCTGTTTTTCTTCTTTTTCACAAGGGTGGATAAGTTGCTGGCAGCAGCAAAATCTCATGGATCGTCGAAGGCTAGAAAGAACCGGTCTAGGTGATATTGTTGTTCAAATGCATCAAAGAAATGTTTCTTCCTCCTTTTTTTGTATGCTGTTGTAGCCCAACAATAGCCTGGTCGTCCTCGTTGGTTTTAAGCCTTGGGAGTGATTATTACCCAGAATGGGGGTTCAACTCGATCCAGCACGTGACTGTGCGCTCAACGACATCGCATTGTCTCTGGCCATGTTCTGGAGCATTACGATTGATGACATATAAATCGGTCGATGTGAATGGTATCTGATACGGGAACTATCTATTTTTGGTGCTATTTGGTGGTAAACAGGTGGTTCGAGAAGAAATCCTCGGCCCAACCAACCCATGCTGTTGAAAATATATAAAGGTAACCGTGGAGAACAATACAAATTTCAAACCATAATTATCAAATATTCTTCCTCTCCCAGTGACAGAGAACCACATGAACTAGATCCCTAGAAAAGTTGACACCTTGTATCCCCCAGCCGAGACATGGTGGTGCTGTAAAGTAGGTCAAACTGGCTCAACACCGTTTATATTGTATCAAAATGTAGTATTATGCAGCCGAACACTACGATATGCAGGAATATTGAGCATCATGATTTCAATATTACTGGTCCTGATCATGGTGGCCAGATCTCGATCGCTCAAGATTGAATTACACATCATTTTGCTGAGGGACCTAGTAAAGTGGTGGCCCTTGACTCTGTTCCATGTGTGGCAGGCAGAAACCACATACTCCAACAGTCCACCAGGGTATTTTATGAGGCAGCCACTCCATCTTCTTTCTTCCTCTTCCACTTTCTTCTTCCTCCACCTTCACCCACGCGTCACCTCGTTCACCTTCTCGATTCAATACCACATCCATACCTTACCAAAATCTTTTTTGACTCTCCAAGTCCATCATGCCTGTCAGATGGAATGCTGAGAATGACCAGAAGGTGATCCCTTCCCCCTCGCTTGCACATCATAACACTCGACCCTCATCTGCCCCTCACAATATTTCGACACCTCGAGCCGTCAAGCAACACACTGACCTGGACGTGACAGCTGATGCTTCTGATTGCCGCCTCCATTCCCACCAGTCTTGACTACGAGAAGCTGGCTGAGGGCATGGGTCCCGGTAAGTAAACTCAACACCACCCAACCACCCTTGTGATCGAATCGCCCAGGATATCAGGCTAAAACTGAAGAATGACAGAATGCTCCGCCGAAGGCGTCAAGCAGCACATTCGTGCTCTGAAGAAGCGTGGTGATGCTGTTTCTGACACTGACAAGGACGCTGAGGTCACTGAGGGTGATGACGATGTCCCTGCCACTTCCAAGGCCACCTCCGCCAGGGGCGGGGCGCGCAAGAAGGCCGCCCCGAAGCCCAAGACGGCCGATGACGCTGCCCCCAAGCGCAAGCGTGGTCGTCCCGCTACCAAGCCCAAGACTGTGGCGGAGGACAACAAAGAGAACGAGGACGATGTGCACGAGTCTCCGGCCAAGATCGCCAAGACCGACGCGGCTCCCGCTGCTGAGGAGGCTTGATCTTGTCCTCTTCCTTTCTCTTCTGAAGCATGATCCCGGTGGTTTTGACTCGTGGCTTTTTCATGTGGATTCTGGAATGGAGATGTGTTTTTTTGTTTCTGGAGAGATATGGTGTGATTTGCAACCCCGGGGGATTTCATCATGCTTCTCGTTCGTGGATCTTAGCTAGCAATGCTACTTAACTACCTTGTAACCTTCTTCCAGTAATCTGTATACCCTCAGAAAAACGTAGAGTTAATGGTCCTGGTACTTGTCGAGGATCACCGCATACCATTCCCATATTTTGCGTGGCAGGACCATTCTTTCAAGTCTCCAATATAACCGCTACTCATCCACAGCTGCATGAACACACCTTACAGTGCATCATGGTGCCTCCTACAAACTTGGATGAGCGCGACATGAAAAAAAGCAAGACAAGAAAGAAAGGGAGGAAGGAAAACAGTTCCTTGCACAACCTGTCATGCTCAACATAGTGGCCAATACCTTTGTAGATCGTGAGTTTTCGTTCTCAATCTTGCCAAACCACTGACAGAATTCTTCAAGCCACTCCATATACCCTAGGCAACGACCTACGCACCCAAATTTGGAGCAAACATCCACAGTCGGCGTAACGGCACGTCCCGCCGAGTTATGCCCAGTCACCTCTTCATCTGATATCGGTTATCCCGATAGATGAGCCCAACTATCGGGTCCCGCTCATCCGTTGCTCCTATACCTTCGTCTTTGGGGAGCCATGTTAGGTCCTCGAAAGTCTGCTCAACCAGACTCGATATATTTCCTTCTCTTCTCCCCTTATTCCTTTCCTTCCTTTTGCTACCGATATCCGGCCCCATCCATAGACCCCCTCATCACAGCATCACCTCGACCCCTCAAATTGCTATCATCAGCATTACCATGGCTCGTGTGAAGCACACCCCGGAGTCCGCCGAGGAGAGCACTCCGGCGCCCTCGCCTGCCAAAGAGATGGAGAAGAAGCGCATGGAGTGGGATCATGAGATGGACCGCAAGGTAAAGTCACATTCCCTACTGCGCCCTCTATACAACCACCTCATCTATCTATTACAATCAAGCATAGATAATACTAACTGAGTATAAATTAGCTCTTGGCGGGAATGGGCCATGTGAATGGCGCCCCCAACTACCTGGCGCTGGCCAAGTTCGTGGACCCGAGTACGTCCTTTCCTCTGCTCCACTAAAGCCCTCACCCAGTGCTTACAAGAAGGGAATACTAGATTGCTCGATTCGTGCGGTTCAGCATCGCCTGATTGATGTCAAAAAAGATTATCCCTGGCCTGCCGGCATGGACAAGGAGGGGAACATCGTTGGCCAGTCGGGTGTCCTGCCGGGTTCGTTCGAGGCTACTCGAAAGCGCAAGTCCACTGGAAACACCACAAAGGCTGCCTCCGGCAAGGTGAAGAAGGCGACGAAAGACACCGAGCCTAGTACTGCGGCCGGTCCTGAGCCCAAGACCGAGGCAGATGCCAAGAAGAAAGCTTCCTCTTGAGTAGTTTGAGCTTTGTTACCCAGTCTCGTCCAAGATGGTAATAGACCTACCTGTCCTTTCCTTGTTTCTTGGAGTGTTGGTTTTTTTGTGTGGACTTTCACACCCTCTTTTTCTGTGGTCGAAGATTCCTTCTTTTCTTCTTTTCCCTGCTATGGCGATCGGGAGTTTCGGATCTGCGTCTCTTCTAGCGAGTTGTATTTGTTTCCTTACCCAACGGGTGGTCTTTCTGTTCGCTACTTAATTTCAGCTTCTCCTGTAACCTACAATCAATGAACTGAAGCAATAATATTCAGTGGGTAGAAAATGCTGGCCGTCCTAATGACGAGGCCAGAACTAGATATCCGTAAAACCCAAGCAACACAAGAAGATAGCCACGTCAAAATCAGATCACCAGAGCAGATCGTTAACTCAAGTCCCACCCATAAACACCATCTTTGGAATGGAAAAGGCACCAGATCATCCCTTGAACAAAATCTCAGTTCCTCCCAGCATGCAAAATTCCGCGAACGATCAAAAAACACTACGCAAGGTCTGCTCTGGCCGCCCAAGGAGAGGGCGATGGCTATGGAGAGCCTCTTTAGACCTCTACTATCGGGTAAGTGTCCCATAAATCAGGGTCGGGCAGAGTTTCCTTGCGGACCTCGTCGAAGACGCGCTTGCTCTTCCCATCCAGGTGGTTGTCCTCCCACTCGGCCTGATCGGTTTCCTCCTCCTCAATCTTAGGCTCGGGAGACGCGAGCTTGCGCTTCTTGCTGCCAGAACCTGCAGACTTGGGGGTCTTAGGAGTTTTGGGAGCCTTGGAGGCCTTAACAGCCCTGGGAGTCTTGGGGGTGGTCTGGGTGCTGTTTGCCCCCTCCCCAGACGCAGTGTTGTCGGCATCCTCGCCAGGCTGAGCGGTCAGGATCATCTGACGGATCTTGTAAATGCGTTCCTTGACAGCACGCGGAGTGGGAGCCTCATCACCGGCTGGAATGTTGTTAGTATAACACGGCACAATAATCATTTCAAATAAAAGAGTAAAACCTACGCCAGGTATTGGCAATAGCCTCGGAGTTGGGGTTAATGTCGGAGGTTTCCAGGATCTTGATCAGCAACTGCTTTGCGTTAGCCATGTTCGAAGGATATATGGTGGCGGGGGCCGGAGTTCGAGGCCGGGCAGCAAGATGGGGACAAGACTCACGATCTGGTCCTTCTCGGGAGACCAGCGCATTTTGATGGTGGTTGTTCGAAAGTCGGGTTGGTAGTGATAGTCAAAGTGAGCGGAAGTGATGAATTTGGTGAGCGGTTGGAGGTAGGTGGAAGCGTGAAAGAAAGCCGGAGAGGTGAAGAGGGTGAAGAAGCAGAGCATGGGAGGGTGGGTTAGGCGAGCAGTGAATGATGTGATCAACTGAACGCAGAGAGAAGGTTGGATGATCAAAGGGTTTGCTGCGCTACGGTCTGTCGCATCAAGAGAATGCTGAGATGCCCACTGCAAGAAGGTGCTCAGTGCCGGACCCCCGCAAGTCGAAGGAACCAGGAAGAAGACTCAAGTGTACGCAACAGCGGCTGGTCCATAATGTCCCAGGCCTCTGGCCTGGTCAATATCCCCGGTGCCTCAAACTTCCACTCATCAGCCTCTTGAACCCTTCGACTACTCCCTCCTCTCATCCGGAGATTCCTTCCCATTCAACCATGTTCTTCCTTCCTCTTCCGCCATATAACGCTTTCCCTTTCAGCTCTTGCATCTGGTATGTTTTGATATCATTTTTCTTCCTTACCTCGCTGACTTGAAAGAATCTTTTTGAAATCGCCGAGTACACTCAAAACATGGTGCGTTACTCCGTCGAAAGACTGCTGGCGGCCACGATCGCTTCCAAGCCGAGAATGACTGCAAGTGTCTACCTCATTGCCCAAAATTTCGAATCATACTTACAAGGCCCAGCTGGACTACAAAGCCATCGCGAAGTTTTATGGAGAGGGAATTACCCCGACCGCGCTGGAGTTCAAGTTGCGCGGCTACAAGAGGCTGGCCCAGAATCTGAGGGACGACGCCTCCGAACAAGGCGACTGTCTGACTTCGTCAGTCAGAACCCCACGAGCTCGTGTCCCTCGCTCGACTAGCCGTTCTGGCAAGTCAGCTACTTTACCAAAGGGGAAGAAAGGCCTTGAAGGAAAATCATATTCGACCACTGAGCCGACCGAGCAAAACCCCTCGCCATCTGTCAAGACTGAGCCAATCATTATCAAGGATGAATCAGACACTGAGGACATCAAGAAGGAGATCAGAGACGATGCCAAAGCGACTTTCATTTTCGAAGATACCGACACAGATCTCGAAGTCATTGATTCCGAAATCAAGCGTGACAATGGAAACACCCGGGCTTTGTTGAAGATAAAGAGCCGAGTCCGTCGGCCTACTGAAGAGGTTCCCAGCAAGCGTCACAAACGACACCACTCTGATTTCCCCACCACTCTGCCAAATCTGCTGGCTCCCGAGCACTCAGTTCGTATTGATAGCCAGTCCAACGGCTACATGCTCCCTAAAACTGCTAGTCATGCTCGTTTCCCCATCCCTGCTGTCCGCTGTCCAACCACAAGCATGACTGAGCGGCTGAGCCTGACTGCTTACGCCGAGGATGAGAACTCAGAGACCGAGTATTCTCGGCCAACCAGAGGTGCGGTCCATCGACCATACGCTCCTGTGGAAGAGATTTGATATTTTAAAAATTTTCCTCGAGATACAGGATGTGAAGTTTGCCAGTGATAGGAATTGGGGAGGATATCTTGATTTAATGCCCCTTGAACAGGAGGATGGTTGCAGATAGTTTCAAATGAGATTCGTAGCTTTACTTTGAAGCCCCATAACAAGCTGACCCCCTGGTGCCATGTCCCGATCTAGGTAAATGCCTTAAATACTTTTATATACAAGGAATTTACACTAGCATCTGCTTGAACGCTACCTTTTGTTTTCACGACGTGCCTGCATCCTGCTTGTACTAGGGCAAAGAACATCACGTGCAAGGACGTGCACGCATCCCACTGGCCCGTCCAGTCGACTGCGTGTTCCTGGCCATGATTCAACCATTTTGTTTGCAAACCATCGTCTCCAAAATCTCTATCTTCATTCTCTTTAGCCACTTGTTTGTTTGACTCTTAGTGAATAAGCCCAAAGGCTTCATGGAACCCAAGTGCCTGCCATGGTCCTCAGCCCCTTTCCGACCGTGCCAAGACTGAGCACCTACACTCCATCCTCTGAATCATGGCCAAATCTCAGCCTGCCACGTCTGGACGTTTATCCATAGAAACCAAGATGACAACAACCAAGTTCGAAAATGCCTCAGTCCCCGGGCGTGGGAGACAGCTTACCGCTGCCCAGGAGCAGATCCTCATCCAGCTCTTCCAGGCCAACAGCAATGACACTCCAGATCCTGCAAAGCACACGAAGAAGTTTTGGATACTGCTGTCTCACCTGGTCAGCGAAAGTATCGGGCGCCAGTACTCGTGGCAGTCCTGCCGTCGTCATGTGACTCGGCATCATGCAGATCTTGAGAAGAAGTTCAGGGAATCTGGAGCCCATGAGGACGGAGTCTCCCCAGAAGAGGCTGTTAATTTCGCCAAGTTCCCTGCCCCTGCTTCATGTATCACTAAGACACAATCGACCCGACATCACCAACGCTCTCAGACTCGGTCGCTTTCCCCTCATGTCCACATCGATGAGGGTCAAAAGTACCGCAAGCGATTGCGTCAGTTCTCTGGAAGCTCGCAGTTCGAGGGTGAACTCCATTTGGAGGATTCTGAGTCTTCAGATCCTGATTCCACGACGATTTCACTGCCACCAATGCCTAGGAGGCCCATGAAACGGCGCACTGCAGAAGGTCTCGGGGCCGCGACGCCTAGATCTGACCGCGCTGAACAGCGACAATCATCAAAGGCAGTAAGACGAGCAGCTTGATTAAAGTCCTACTAGAGTCAAGCATTTGACATCATACCAAAATCCACAAAGCAACGCGATGAGCACCAGCGGATGCAACATACAGAACGACGGAACACATCGTACAGCGACCAGATGGTGGAGCAGGACACCAGTCATCCAGTCGTTGGGAGCGGGTGTGGACATCTCGTTTGAGATGATGCCAAATTTCAAACCGAGATATCATCGCTTCTAGCATTCGGAACCGCACCCGGCACGCCATTAACATGATCTCTGTCGGCGCGAACTGCCTCGGTTAAGAAATTGCATCTATGTGGCCTGTCCCAGATGAGATGTTTCAAGAGATTGCCATATCGACTGAGAAGGATAGAGACAGACCTCGCGCATCACCGCTCCGAGGTTCAGCAGAAAGCTCTGGTATTGGAGTTGAACATACGCTTGCAACCACATGTATATGCCTTTCTGCTACTTTAAATGTGATCCTTTACCCAGATGTCCTGTTACTTGTCGCGGAAATCCTTTCTATTCTTCTGTACCAATAACGATGCCCACACGATTTATGATACAATAACGAATATCGAATGGCGAATGACTGTTTTATATCTCCCATAGATATGCCGGATGAAAAAGGAGCACCATTCTGAAAATCTCGTCCGCCATATCGATCAACTTCTTAGGTATTGCGGCAGATGATATCAAGACAGGATTTACTGGAAAGAAAATCTTGGCCTTATCTATATTACCCATGCAAACTAAATGGCTAGTGACGATATTAACAGTATAGTAGCCAGGGTTTTGCACGGCTCTCCTTCACTATGCATAAACCCAAAGTAACGAGGACGCCTTCGTTGAATCATTGTCCCTACTAAACCGTGGCGGACAGATCAACATAATAATTTCCTGTATCAAGATCTTTTTTTCCCGAGAGTCGAAAACATCGCTGTTCGTCGCTGTGGGGAAAGGCTTCGTCGCTGGCCTTTCTCAAGGTCTTGCTGTGGCTGGCGTCTTGTAAGACGATTGAATCCACGCTCTATAGTGTCCTCCAGCTATGCATGTTGTTAACAACAGACAGAACCGTAAGGGATTAGGTCAGACCAACATCACTGTTATGCTTGAAAATCAACCACACCGCCAGCGTCAACAACGTAGTAACCACGGCAAAAAGGATATAAAACCACCAAGGTGGGTTGGACGCCAAGATATCGACGTTCATACCAAAGAGACTCTGTATCCACATTAAGTATCTGTCTTGGAAGGCTAAATATAAACTGAGATTCATACCGCGATGAACATCAGCGGGAGGAAAACAAACTGGCAACAGAACTAGTCAGCAACTGATGTGGTAGAGACAGACAGGTAATTTCGACCTACCGTAATCCAACTAAGGCGCTTCATGCTTTTGTTTGTCGATGCTGACTTTTGTGCTTCCGAGATTGACGTAAGATTGAATTCCTGTCACAAGTCAGTCGGTATTCTCCGTGGAGCTGGAATGGATTGTCGATACTAATTGAATGAGATTGTTGGAAGTTTCCGTTAGAGCTTTCAACCCTTCTGAATAAACCTGTTCCAGTTTATTTATTTGATCTCGAAATGACCTCATATCTTCATCTATCTCTTTGCTTCCTGCATAGTTCTTCTCACGGAGGACAGCCCACGATTGACTCACGTAGCTGTTCGAAAATGCCATGAGCTCGGAAATTTGCTTGTTGCAGCTCCTTCTCAGCAGATCCCATAGTTGGGCATCGCCCAGCAGGTCTCGAATTAAGTGCGGGTTCCTTCCATTCGCCCCTAGCAACTCTGTGCGCTGTTTTACGGTTAACGGTAACCTTATCGCGAACCGAATTTCCCTCACCTTTATTGCCAAACGACCTTCCGCTGCCTGAAAGGTACGATCCCACTCTTCCCAGAGTTGCTGAGCCAGGGGAGCGAAAAGGTCAGTGGCACAAGGGGGCACTTGTGCGTATTCGGAGGTGCTGAAAAATATTCTGGATTCTAGAGCACTCTCCGAGGCCGTCGTGTCCTGACGTTTGGTCATAATCCATAGAATGCCATAAGTCTTTTCGAGGCTGCGTATATCTAACTCGGAGGTATCGGACAATCTCGGCCAGTCACAGTTGGGAGAGGTAGGCAATGTAATTGCACGAGTAGTGAAGCGGCATTCAACAAAGCCTTTATGTATAAATAAGGGAGTAGCTCAACATGGACCACATCAAATCAAGATACTTACAGTCTTTTTTTGGAATTTGAGTCAAAGCTGCTCGACTGGGTGCAATACTAGGCTGCACTCTCCATACTGAGCCTGCCTCCTGCATTCGTTGGCTAACAAAAGGGCCAGCTGGGGGATGTTTTTGCACTCTTCGCCACCAACGACAATGGACACCAGTCGAGGAAGTCGAAAAGAGAAACCCATCAGCAAGGATACTACCCCAGTGGAGTGTGAGCGCTGGATTGTTAGCAGTAGGCTAAGAGTACGTACAAAATACGTCTGGAGCCAATGTCCGCTCCCATGAAATCATCAGCCCTTGCAGCAAATTCCATAATCTTCTGAGAAAAGGGATAGCCCCTGTTCGTGATGTCGCCTTCCAGCGTCTTCGTAATAGTCGTAGAGTCACCGATGACCATTTCAAGGTGGCCCGGAGAACTGGGCAAGAGAGTCCTCCACGTGGAAGCCTTCACGAAGCTTAGACTGTCAGTGCTTCTGGAAAGAAGTAGTAGCGCAATTCGATACTCCCCCTTTTGAGCCGCAAGTTGAAGTGGATTTAAATCGCCGAAATCTCGTCTATTGGTAAGGGCACCTTGTTCGAGAAGTTGAGCAACGGTGGATACAGAGCTTGCCTCTACCGCAAGATGAAGCGGCGTCCGCCCTTCGCTACCACCCTGCGCGTTGATATCTGCGCCTTTCGCAAGAAGTATTAGCATGGTCTTTGTCTGCCCTTTCGATGCGGCGACCTGGAGAGCAGTTCCAAATGTGCTGTCTTGGGCGTTGACGTCCGCGCCTTTCTCAAGAAGTAGTTCCACGATTTCGGAATGCCCCTCCCATGCGGCGGCCTGGAGAGCATTTCCATACTCGCCACCTTGAGCGTTGACGTCCGCGCCTTTCTCAAGAAGTAGTTTCACGATTTCAGAATGCCCCTCCCATGCGGCGGCCTGGAGAGCAGTTCCAAATGTGCTGCTTTGGGCGTTAACGCCCGCATTTTTCTGAAGAATTAATATCAGGATTTCGGTGTGCCCCTCCGATGCGGCAGCCTGGAGAGCATTTCCATACTCGCCACCTTGGGCTTTGACGTCCGCGCCTTTCTGAAGCAGTAGTTTCACGGCTTCGGTGTGCCCCCCCGATGCGGCAGCCTGGAGAGCATTTCCGTACTCGCCTCCTTGAGCGTTGACGTCCGCGCCTTTCTGAAGCAGTATTTTCACGACTTCGGAATGTCCCCTCAATGAGGCGGCCTGGAGAGCATTTCCATAGCTGCCACCTTGAGCGTTGACGTCCGCGCCTCTCTGAAGAAGTAGTTTCACGATTTCGGAATGTCCCCTGAATGCTGCAGCCTGGAGAGCATTTCCATACTCGCCTCCTTGAGCGTTGACGTCCGCGCCTCTCTGAAGAAGTAGTTTTATGATTTCAGTGTGTTCACTCCACACGGCGGCCTGGAGAGCATTTCCATACAGGCCTCCTTGAGCGTTGACGTCCGCGCCTTTCTCAAGAAGTAGTTTCATGACTTCGGTGTGCCCTCTCCATGCAGCGCTCTGGAGAGCATTCCCATACCTGCCACCTTGAGCTTTGACGTCCGCGCCTTTCTCAAGAAGTAGTTTCACGACTTCGGGCCGCTCTTTCCCTGCGGCAGCGGCGGCCTGGAGAGCATTCCCATACCTGCCACCTTGAGCGTTGACGTCCGCGCCTTTCTCAAGAAGTAGTTTCATGATTCCGGTGTGTCCACTCCATGCGGCGGCCTGGAGAGCATTTCCATACAGGCCTCCTTGAGCGTTGACGTCCGCGCCTTTCTGAAGCAGTAGTTTCACGGCTTCGGAATGTCCCTCCAATGCGGCGGCCTGGAGAGCATTTCCATACAGGCCTCCTTGAGCGTTGACGTCCGCGCCTTTCTCAAGAAGTAGTTTCACGATTTCGGTATACCCCTCCCATGCGGCGGCCTGGAGAGCATTTCCATACTCGCCACCTTGAGCGTTGACGTCCGCGCCTTTCTCAAGAAGTAGTTTCATGATTTCTGTGTGTCCACTCCATGCGGTGGCCTGGAGAGCATTCCCATACTCGCCACCTTGAGCGTTGACGTCCGCGCCTTTTGCAAGAAGTATTTTCACGATTTCGGAATGCCCCTCCCATGCGGCAGCGGCGGCTTGGAGAGCATTTCCAAACTTGCCGCATTGGATGTTGACGTCCGCGCCTTTCTCAAGAAGTAGTTTCACGATTTCGGTATACCCCTCCCATGCGGCGGCCTGGAGAGCATTTCCATACTCGCCACCTTGAGCGTTGACGTCCGCGCCTTTCTCAAGAAGTAGTTTTACGATTTCTGTGTGTCCACTCCATACGGCGGCCTGGAGAGCATTTCCAAATATGCCGCTTTGGGCGTTGACGTCCGCGCCTTTTCCAAGAAGTAGTTTCACGATTTCGGGCCGCTCTTTACCTGCGGCAGCGGCGGCCTGGAGAGCATTTCCATACTCGCCTCCTTGAGCGTTGACGTCCGCGCCTTTCTCAAGAAGTAGTTTCACGATTTCGGTGTGCCCTCTCCATACGGCGGCCTGGAGAGCATTTCCATACTCGCCTCCTTGAGCGTTGACGTCCGCGCCTTTCTTAAGAAGTAGTTTCACGATTTCGGTGTGCCCTCTCCATACGGCGGCCTGGAGAGCATTCCCATACTCGCCACCTTGAGCGTTGACGTCCGCGCCTTTCTCAAGAAGTAGTCTCACTTTGTCTTCCTGCCCCACTGTTGCAGCTTTGTAGAGATCCATTGGCCACTGCCAGATCTGCCAATCGTTTTTGAGGCGAGGCTTGTGTTACAGTGATGTCGAAAGGGGTAAGGCGAGGGGGTCTTGTCGAGAGTTCGGATGGTAAATTAATGTAAATCTAGATTTGTGAATATAAAGTACGATCTAGTAGGCCCGGGATCCACCGAAAAGGCGACAGCTTGATGGTCTCATCTGTCTACGTATGATGGGCATAAGTAGACCTCTCAAGGGCTCAACTGTAAGGCAGAAATTGGTCGGCGCGTAGTGAACCTTTCCTAGCGGTGAGGTGATTGTTTGGCATGTCAACTCCAATGCCATGCATGGGGAAGGTGGCTATGTGCATATACAAGGGCTCGAGCGTCTCAGCTAAAACGCTTCCATCGAATAATCATGAGATTAAATTTAGTTCAAGAGGTCAGTGCGACCCTCGCACGACTCAGGGGCCACTCTCACCCAATCCCTCATTCTATCTATTAGCACTCATCCGTCTCACCCAGCAACATTATTATCCGCGAAAGCAAGTGTTCATTTGATGAGAGGAGAAACTTGTTGAAAGTTCTCCAGAGTCACGCGATCACGGACAACTTTATCCACATAGCTACATGTACTAATGTTCGTGTAACAAAGTCCCCAAAGCTCAAGCAATAGGCTTCGGTCACATCGTGATTCACCTCGTGACAGGCATGGGGCAGGACCAGGTCCCATTGAAGTAGGACACCTTGTCAGATCCTCGAGACAAGCTATTTATTTTTGACCTCTTCGCATTGCTATCGAAAGATTGAGAACCTATTCGTGCCCTCCCTTCCCGCCACACCGCGGAGGTCATGGATCACCCGTACACTTTGCAGCCACTCTTCCTTCTCTTTCAGCCGAGCATCATACCCCTTTCTATCTAAACAACTACTTCGTTCCCATTGTAGTATAGTGTCTAGATCGCTATCACGGCACCGCACTATGTAAGGCGTGAAGTGCGGCCTCACCTTCTGGGAAGGATGAAAATTTTGAATAGTCTTGAATTCTCGGAGTAGGGAAGTTAATGAACAAGTCGAGAAAGACCCAATGTAGTATGAATTGAACACGCTCGCCAACTCGCCAACCACAGCTGTGAGGAACTAAGGGGACTTTCAGAAGAAGGATAGATCCGGAGTGAGCAGCACAGATATGCTGTCAAACGAAAGCAACTCCCTCACAGCGGAATTGTCTGAAGGTGGCAGTGTAGATGAGCTCGAGAAAATCAAAGCAGGCCAGCCTTTTCAGAATTATCAGGATCTCTCTGATGGATAAAATTGGGATGGTCCAAAACCCTACAGCGCAGCGCGAATGGTTTAGAAAGTGAGGTCGTGGTCTCGTTATTATGTACTATTGAAGTCATTTACATCCGTCCTTCAATACCAACGACGGAGAAGAACAGAGTCCAGCTCCATCCCTAATGGCAGAGGTTGATCCACTGCGCGACAATATCTTCCATGTCATGCGCGATACCCCACTGGGAGGACAGGCAGCGAAAGAGCTTCTGCATGGAGTTCAGCTCATATAACAAATTGCGCACTGCACCACCGGATGGGGTGAGTCCATTATGCTCGCTTTCGACGAACCGCTTCGTGTCCGAAATCGATGGAGGCCGAATATCCTCATGGCCCAGATGAAGGTCTGAATGGGACAACAGAGCGTCCTGCCAAACAATAGCGCGCGGAAGATTGACCGTGGTGACTCCTGCAAGCGAGAAGACCACGTATATTGTGGATGCGGCAAACAGCGCACTCGGCATGTGCACGACATGAGCCCGACCTCGAGGCAGCTGCTCGACAATATCTTGAATGGCTACGGCGTGCAAGACGGCGCGCCGCGCATCATCGCTGTTGGTCCATTTGACTAGGTCGAAGCCCGGTTGCACTGTACGATTGCCTCCTGATACATGTTGTGGGATGTTGTAGCGGGAGCACACATGCCGACAAATAACTGTCGAGTTAACCATCGTATCAAGACAGACAGTATGCCAACGCAACAAGATCTCCAGTCGTTCGGCAGCTGAGAAATGGATGCTCATGGAGATTGTCTCGTGCACTTGAGCTAGTGCTCTCCGCACATCCGATCGGCCCGGGACGCCCACGGCCAAATCGTTATCGTCGCAGTCAGACACGAGAGATTGAACACCTTCGAGCACGACACGGAGAGCAAAGGCGGAGAGCTGGTAGTCCAGCGGCCGAAAGCTCCCAACTGGGGAAAAAAGAGACCGAAAGACCATCTTGAAAGATGATTGATCGTGTTTTTGGGAGCGCATATAGGCGAGCCATTCGTCTGCGGTGTTGGCATCGAACGTAGCCTCGTCGCTGGGAAGGCTCAAGGAGTTGGCAACATGACTAGCGGAAGCACCATCACCGGACATATGGGAGACAAGGCCATCCAAGATATAGTAAGCCAGCAGCGCGCGCTGCTGAATCTCTCGGGCAGCCCAAATTCGCCATTGGTGTTCCTTTTGTGCGACGGGGGCGTCGGCGGAAGGAAGATTCTCCATGGCGTAGGGTCCACTTTCAAGCATTCCGCAATGGCTTGCCCAGAAGAAACCTAGGGGTCGAAATACTTGGCTGGTGGTGCGAATCACACGATTCTTTGACAATGCCCCATAGATCTGGCCGAGGAGAGCAGTGATCAACAACTGCACTCCTTTACAAGCATCGTAAGGACCATTGTGTGTGATCAAGGATTGCCACTGTAGGATATCAGAAATTAGAATATATCAGCACTGACCGAATGGGAAGACTTACGGAGGTTGCAACGGCTGTATGTGCTAGCCGCCACAACGCTTCGCCCTATGAGCTGAGTATAAGCATGGCACCAATATTAGTGAATATCCGACAGGGTTTACCTTTGCGACTGAGTCATTGGGGCCCAAGTACAAAGATCCGATGGCGATAGCATTCAGCAAGAGAGGATGGGTGCATTCTCGGAATACAAAGGTGGCTCGATGCAGGATCGGGAAGGTCGGAATGAAGCGAACAAAGAACATGTGCAGACATTCATCGAGAAACACAGAAGTAATGGATGTGGATTTTACAGCAGCAGTAACGCTTGAAGACTGGAAAATTTGATGAGTGTTGAGTGCTAGGACTGAAAAAACAATCAACTTACCGAGCTGGTCACCATCTCTGTAACATCGCGCACCGCCTGGTGCCCTCCTCCGGACGGTATGGCACCTATTGAAGAACTGCGATCGTCAAATGAGTTGGGAGACCCTAAGTTCATGTTGACATCCTGCACGACTGGCGGAAAGGGCAGTGTCCCCAGAGGCATCTGCCATTGGTCCGTCGTGTCCGAGGACATCAGACTCTGGAACAGATTTTCCGAGTCAGGCCAGATCAAAGCAAAATCCAGCTCCGAGGCAACACTATGCATTCCTGAATTTTGCACAGACTGAGCTTCCTCCCAAGACTGGCTGGTAGCCTCTGTGGATACTGGGCCAGCGGTCGACGCACTGCTGGTGTCCCACGAGGACATAGCTGTCATGGAGTCATGCTGTGGTAGCAGAGGGGTCGATGGCAGGTCCTGTTTTCCAGTATTCATGGCACGGGAATGTAGCTTCTCATGGCGGTTGAGGGCATCTTGCCGGGCAAATGGTCGGCGACACTCTTTGCACACATATGGCTTGGCTCCCGTATCTACAGGATCCCCGCTCAGCCAGTTGAAGATTTAATCGGGGGTTGGATAAATATAGAACTTACGGCATCGCTCATGTCGCTGTATGCGCGGATTAGCCCATATCACTCAGCTGCCCCTAATGAAGGTCGGCAGCACTATGCGACACTAGGGCAACTCACCCTCAGATGCTCCGCCTTGGAGAAGGCCTTCTGGCACACGCGACACACCAGCTTCTTGGCACCTGGAGACGGCGCGATCATTGAGTCGGTCTCCATCGTGTATGTACCGCACAGGAAGGTGTCAGAAAGAGGGATTGTGGTGATGTGGAGAGGCTGTGGGGAAGGTGTGGGTGGTTTCTACATTACTTGGTCGCCAATATCCTTTTCACTATGTAGTAGGGCTCGATGAAGAAGTCTTAGACGTGGTTGACTTATTAGTATCTATTTGTTTAAAACAATATACAAATGGAATTAAATCATCGTTAACTATCGTTCTTATTGCCAGAGAGTCCAGTTCAAGAGTGGGTGGGATGTGGCAATTAGACGCCTGATGCGTGGCCATAGAGTATCTTGCCTCCTGCCTGTTCCCTTCTTGCCGTCCACGGACGAATCCGCCACTTCATGAAAATCGGTGGCCGTAGACTCGGGTTCCACCACGCACGTGTGTAAGGGGTTGTAAGTACTTGCAGGGTGTTACCATGATCAGGCTGCGCTAATTATCACTATACTTCAAGTGTTCCCCAGAGCTCTCCCCAGAGTCCAGGGCTCCTTTCGACTCGGATCTACGGGATTACCGCCCACAAGTCTGGAGTTTTCGGCTCGCCAAGCCATTCTGGGGCGACACGGTAATTGACCGGGCTTGAGTATGCCGACGGACCCATCGGGAAGCCGCCCTCAACTGCCACTCTGCGCCCAGACTCAGCCACTAGTACTGGATGCCGCATTGGCAGCATCGTGAGTCGCCGGCTCCGACGCTTCACCCACGGCACCGTGGAGGCTCTCCGCATTCTCTCCACGAGGAGGCCCGTATTGGAACCGAAAATGCCGCTCGTATACCCCGGGCGTAGGGAAACAGTGGGTACCGTGTCTGCTATGCACACTCACCGTGGAATTTTCCGCACAGAGGCCCTGGGATCGACGTCTTTTGCCTAAATATTTTTTTAGAACCCGTCCAATGACCCCAGATCAGTCATTATTCCCCGGCTCGCCCCCAAATCAATTCATCTACCTCTCTCCCCAGTCAGGACCTGACATCCTCCCACAACACCCATCCCACTTTATCACCCTCCCGTGTATAGGACTTGAAAGGCCCGGTACCTGTGTAAAATATTCTTCTTCACAGGGTGAAGACCATGACTTCGTTCGAGATGCAACGGACATCATCTCAGCCAGACGAAGAGATTGACGACGGCCCGGCCACCAAGGCCGACATCGACCTCGTCGAAAGTGCCTGCGATGGCGGCGCTGCCACCTACTCTGAATCAGTGGCTGCTCATCTCCCAAAGGTCCACCGGGACTACCTGTTGGAACGGCATGGAACACTAGACCTCGATCCTATCCCCGGAATGGACCCGAATGATCCTTACAACTGGCCCGAATGGAAGGTGAGCGTTTCGAAGATTTGAGAACAATTTGCATGGAAAACTGATTCACGTAATGTAGAAAATGACCAATCTCATCCTTGTGGCATTCCACGCTTGCATGGGTACCTTTACTGCTGCTTGTATCATCCCTGCATATGCCAATATCGCCGAAGAATTGGGGATCGGCATGCAACAGGTTAGCTACTTGACCTCGATCCAGATTGCCATCATTGGAGGTGCTCCTCTGTTCTGGAAGCCATTGTCCAACCGCTACGGCCGCCGGCCAATTTTCCTTTTGTCTCTGATTTGCAGTCTGGTGTGCAATATTGGCTGTGCCAAGAGCACCACCTTTGCATCGGTAGCGGCCTGTCGGGCTTTGGTTGCGTTTTTCATTTCCCCTGCATCTGCCATTGGCAGTGCTGTGGTCATGGAGACCACTTTCAAGAAGGATCGTGGCCGTTACATGGGTGTCTGGACCCTGATGATTACCCTGGGGGTGCCCATCGGGCCTTTCCTCTTCGGCTTTGTTACCTACCGGGCCGGCTATCACTGGATCTACTGGATCCTAGCCATAGTAAGTCTTCCCCTCGACGAGAAAAATGTAAGTTGTGCGCTGACAATTTGGGGCAAACAGATCAATGGAGTTCAGTTCATCCTGTACCTGTTCCTCGGCCCCGAAACCCGCTACGTTGGCAGTAAAGTGGACCGTCTGGAATCCAGCTTGAAGACCCAGTATCTGAGTATTCGACGTATTGATCCCACACCACTGAGCTGGTACGAGTTCGTGCGACCTCTGACCATGGTCCGGCATCCATCCATTGTGATCCCTGCATGCGCATACGCAATGGTTTTCCTGTTTGGTAGTATCCTAGCGACTGTTGAGGTGCCACAGCTGCTGCAACTGAAGTTTGGACTGAACGCCGAGCAGCTGGGTCTGCAGTTCCTGGGTGTGATCATCGGCTCCGTGATTGGCGAACAGATGGGTGGTATCCTGTCCGATGTATGGATGAGCCGCCGTGCGCGCCGGATCGATCGCAAGCCAGAACCCGAGTTCCGGCTGTGGCTAAGCTACATTGGCTTCGCACTGACCATCATCGGCGCCATTGTCTTCCTGGTCTGCACGCAGACTTCGCCTGCAGGTCACTGGAGTGTCGCCCCCATAATTGGTACGGCCATTGGCGCCGTTGGTAACCAGCTCGTCACGACCGTGATGATAACCTATGCTGTTGATTGCTATCCGCAGGAGGCTGCTAGCATTGGCGTGTTCATCACCTTTGTGCGACAGATTTGGGGTTTCATCGGCCCATTCTGGTAAGCATTCCTATTCTAACCCTTCTTGTGTTCGACTGCTAATCATTTTGTGATAGGTTCGCACCTATGTTTGAGACTGTTGGTATTGCGCCCAGCGCTGGCGTGGCATCTGCTCTCGTCGTCGTCGCCAGTGTTATTCCGACCATCTTTCTGCACTGGCGCGGCAAGATTTGGCGTCGGAATGAAGGAGAGTGAAGGAGTATCACTTGCGTCGGTCCTTTCAGTGTATAGTATTTATTCGAGTAAGATTTCGTGTTCTTAGACGGGCTGTTCGGATGCAGAAGTTTAGCATATAGTTTCGGTTTAGAAGACAAGCAAAGACTCGACAGGGTGTTTGGCTGTAAATAGAGTGATACACTAGCATGGCAATGCACACAAAGAATTAGCAACGACCTTCAAGATTAGGGCTTATGAAAAAGCAATGTAGAGCAAGCAGGTGGAAGAAGAAATCTTGGCCGCAGTGTCCAAAATGTAGACACAAGCTCTCAGAGCTCAGTTCAACCCCCGGCAATAAGGAGAAACCAAAAAAAAGTTCAGAAAGTAGGAAAGAAAAAGAAAGAATAGTAATGTATTATTATTGCTGCCCCCCCAGAATATAAAGAAACAGGACCCCTGATGAGTTTTAAGAAAACATTCAGCCGGACCGGGCTAACTCGGTGTCCAGTCCCGAGAGTATACCGGAGCGTCGACATCGGCGCCCCTGACCCATACAGCCATGCCACAAGGCCCACGCGCAGACTATTGCCGGGTTCTTAGCCCGTAGACTACTACTTTACAGGCAGGAATTTGGGTGGCATTGTTTACGGGTTGAACGTTTATTTGTTAATCACCTAGAATAATTAGTATGCTTCAGCGGGACTCGGGATGCCGAGATGTACTGCCAATTTTTACTTTTGGTTATTTGTATGCTGCAGTGCTGCAGCAGTACGAAATTCATGCAATTGACAAATTCACGGGGTTCAGAGACGTTCGCTACTCTATACTAGCTTTGAAGCCGTACACGCTGACTCAAGTTTCAGGCGCGGACTTCTGGGCTGGCGGAAAAGATCTATTCCGTAAAGGAAGACATTATACCCGCTAACGCGCTGTGATTGGTGGATATTCTGAAGCACTCAGGCGAAACATCTTGAAAGCGGCGGTAATAGCTTCATTGCGATAAATATTGCTGTTGTTTAGTTGGAAGCTCGTAGATATGATAGATATATGCCGATATCGCTTGCTTCTACTGTATAGGTTAAGTTGGCGCTTACGTAGGAATACCCGGGCCACGCAGGGGACATTATTTTGAATACCGCCAATCATGCTTGCGCATACATAGATTTCTTTAGCTATGTCCTTGGCATCTACCTTATCATCATTTTTTTTTCGGGCGTATGAATTTATACAGAGCCGACGCTTGGCCTCATTTTATTTCCCATCAACTTGGTCATTGGTGCTCAATTTTGTTGATGAGCGTTCCAACGTGCGGAAGCAGCTCGACGGCGAACTCATCACCAGCCTTGATGAACTCCTTGGGGTTCTTGGCTGCGCCAACGCCCGGCGGGGTGCCCGTCAAGATGATGGTGCCAGCAGGAAGGGTGGTACCCTGGCTGAGGAAGCTGATTAGTTGCGGGACAGAGAAGATCAGGTCGCTGTTAATATAGAATTAGCTTTGGATCTTTCAAGTTGTACTTGCGGATAACGGGCACATACGTCAGATCGCAGTCCTGCATCACACGGCCGCTCTTCAGGCCGCGGATGTGGAACTTGCTGGCGTCCGGGATGAGGGCAGCGGACACCAAGACAGGGCCAATGGGACAGGCTCCATCAAAGCCCTTGGAGAACGACCACTGGCTCTGGTTCATCTGCGAGGTGCGGCTAGAGACATCGTTGGCAGCCGTGTAACCAAGAACGTAGTCAAGAGCCTCGGATTCCGGCACGTCCTTGGCATCGCGACCGATGACGATCACCATCTCGGACTCATAATCACCGGTACTATCCTTCTGGGTGATCTTGGGCAGCACCGTCGGGGCTGGCCAGGGATCCGCCAGCGCAGTGGAGGGCTTCATGAAGAGCGTGGGAACATCCGGGAGATCGAGGGACATCTCCTTGGCATGCGAAACGTACTATAGAATATCAGCGGTGTTTTTCGACCATTTAAAAGGATTACCTACATTCAGTCCAATGCACCGGATTGAGCCGACCTCGCTCTGCGCCAGCGGCGACAGAACGCGCGCAATCGTTTCCGTGGCATCCGTCGCCTGTCCTGGGTTCAGGACCGAGTTGCCAGAGAATGGGCGCACGGCGACATCCTTGCCATGATACAGGGCAAGGCCCACATCCAGCTGCGAATCGACGGGCTCGCCGATAAGAACCTGGGAGGGATTCGACTTGGGCACGAAGCGCACCAGGCCTGGACGACGTCAGCATTGATCCATTAAAGCATAGAGGGATAGTAGATACGTGAAAAGGTAGATGCGATCTTGGACATGGTGGGAGAGGTGAGGTAGTGAGAAATGAGTCTCCAAATATTTGCGGGTCGCGCAGTTAATTATTGTATGGCGGAGTATGTCTAACCCGGCTTCCTCTCCCCACGTTGACGATGTGGGGCAAAGTGGCCAACTCCAACACAGTAATAAATGATAAGATCCCCTCGGTCGCCATTCTGAACCCCATCACCGCCATCATGTCTGCTCCCAAGGGTCCCTTCCGTCTCGTCACCGTCAACACCGCCCCCGAACGCGCCAAGCGCCTCATCGGCCGCCTCGTCGACGCCCTTAAGGACCGCTACACCATCATTCACGTCGACAACTGCGAGAGTAGGCCGTCTCCTAACGATTGAAAAAAAAGGCGGAAACTGACTTTCCATCCAGAGATCGAAGAGGTGGAGCCTAAGGTCAAGGAGCACATGCCCGACGTTCTGGTAAGTAAAACTTTTTTTGAGTGTCATATCGGCTTATCCGAGATGCGCGTTGGGAATTCCGTGAAACTGACGCCCCGCCGCAGTTCAGCGCCTCCATGTGGACTGCCGAGGAAGCTAAGCAGATTCACGACACTGCTCGGTCGATCAAGCCAGACATCAAGCTGCACGCCATTCCCACAGGTCTGCAGGTCGAGCGCGGCCCGGATGCTATTGTCGAGTACCTCTGCGAGAATGTGCCGGGGCTGCTGGACAGCTGAAGGAGTCTAATTGGAGGCTCGGAGCGCGCGGAGAATGTATAAAATTCATATATTTTGCCCCATAAAGCTCAATAGATACTTGATGATGTTCTACTTTCAAAGCTTCTGGGAAACTTTTGCAATGTTCTTTAGTAACCTTTTTTGCCAGGCACGACCTCATAGCATGGCCCGCTTTTACCAAACATCGCCTGCAGGTCATCAATTATTACATTCGGCACCTCCCATGCTGCAAAATGTCCGCCTCGAGCATGCTCACTCTGTCTTACAACCGGGCCCAACGCAGCGGCCCAGGTGGCAGGGACAACCGAGATCTCGCGCGGGAGATGGGCAACTCCAAGCTTGACGTGCGAGATGTATTCTCTAAGTGGGTCATAGGAGATTCCCTTTGGGGGTTGCGGACGCCATGCTTCATAGTAAATGCGAACACTCGCCGCAGGGCCCGCGACCGAGAACCAGTAGATAGAAGTCCAGGTTAGAATCTCATCGTCTGTCCACGGATACGAGTCTGTCCAGTCGTGAAGTTTCTCATATATCCATGCCAACAGCGCGACGGGACTGTCAGTCAGTGCAATGCCGATGGTTTGTGGTTTGGTGCTTTGCAGCATGTTGTATCCGTACCCTTCTCGATCGAACCATGCGGATCGCACGCGGCCATCTTTCTCGCGGCTGGTATACGGCTGCAGCGCATGTTGCAGCGCCAGCAGTGGAGTGCGGCTCCACTGAGGTGGCTTGGATACGACCATGTTGACGTGCGAGGCTTTGCAGTGCTCCGGGTATAAGAGGCCTACGGCTCTTGTTACCCAGAACCCCCAGTCGCCTCCTTGGGTTACTAGTAGAGTACAGATTAGCAAGGGCATATCCGATTAATCGAAGAAACCTACCATACTGCGTGTAGCCGAGTTTGAGCATGAGCTTGTGCACAGTCTCGGCGTATTGCGCTAGTCCAAATCCGCGACGAGTCACTCCAGAGGAGAAACCAAAATTCGGCAATGAAGGAGCGACGACGTGGAACGCGGGATGTTGATCATCTCCCTTCAAATGGGAGAGTAGTTTTGACACTTCAATGAAAGAGCCAGGCCCTAGGATCCATAATTTAAGCCATTATATCATGGATTTCGTCGCTAGCCGTACTTACAGCCATGGCTAAATAGCAGCGGAATCGCATTCTTCACAGGACTCACCTGATGAACGACTGTAACGCTACTCGTTAGTATCACGTTGGCGATTAGACTTGGAGTCGGGAATGGATACTCACAGTGGATATCCAGAACACCGAATCCATCCACTTCAATGGGGATTTCATACTGAGGCAGCTCATTTAGCTGTGCCTCTGCTTTCCGCCAGTCAAATCCATCTTTCCAATAAGTTGCCAGCCTCTGCACTTCCTTGGCAGGAGCTCCGAAGTCCCAGGGATCCTGGTCCGGTGACTCGATCTGTGTTGGGAATTTTGCTAGCGACAGACGCTGCTTGAGGTCATCCAGACTGTCTCCCGGGACTGAGATTTTGTATGGCTGTGGATTGTCGGGCATGGTGGTTGCAATAGATTTCGTGTTCTCCAGAAATGCAAAGAATGCGGGGGAGTTAAGAGAAGGCGCAGATAGGGATTATCAAGCAATGCCAACCTTACATGATGCCCAGTCTTGCTTACTTTTGTATAGGCCAAGAAATAGTCCAGATGCAAGAAATCCAAAGCCTTGTCGCAGGAGCATTTGATGAGCTTGTTTGGCTCCCAAACCGAGACGTGTATATTTTGAGTGGGTAGAGATAGTTCTGTGCAAACCGGGAAGTTTGTGGAGTTGCCCAGAGCCCAAAAAGTCCATCCGCCTCAGAACCAGCTATAATCAATATATTATGAAACAAATACCTCTATTTCTAAATACCTCTATTTCTCTTTGTTCCTCCAACTTATTATCGCTGTAGCCCATACAACCTGGAAGTCTTCGTTGATTGCGGTGCTTAGTCATCTCGGCCAGCTTTCCCGACGAGATAAAAAAAGACACGGAGAACTTGATCAAGCGTCAAGAACTGCTCAACATCATGGTATTTATACGGACAGCAGCGCGAAGTGCGCCAGGCATTCGGGCCTTCTCGACTGGCCGGATTCTGCGCCATGAGCTCGCCTACCAGGTCTGGGCCCCGGAAAACGAGCAAGCCGTTCGGGATCCCATCCTATTTCTCCATGGGCTGTTTGGGTCCAAGCAGAACAACCGGAGTATCGGCAAGTATGTGTGTCATTGGTTCTATTCATAATTTAAGAAATCTAACGTCTTCAAGAGCATTGGCTCGCGATCTAAAATGCCGGATCTTTACATTGGTCTGTTGCCAACTGGGGCCCCCTTTCAGAGCTGGATAGATGGCTGATGGATTGGACCAGGATCTACGTAACCATGGCCAATCTTTCCATTCTCCGGAACACAATTACAGTGTCATGGCCGAAGACGTGCAAGAGTTCATGCAGCAGCAGAAGCTTGAGAAGTGTGTGTTGATCGGTCACTCCATGTACGCCCTTTTCCTTACCCAGCCTGTCCTAGAGGCACTGACAGACTGGATTGATTTCCCTCTTGAATCGCTCTAACATCTAAACAGGGGCGCCAAAGCCGCTATGTCGGTGGCACTTCGCTCCCCAGAGCGTGTGTCCGCTTTGATCCCCGTCGACAACGCCCCAGTCAACGCGGCGTTGAAGAGCGATTTCGGCAAGTACATTAAGGGAATGCAACAGATCGAGGAGGCGAAAGTGTCCAAACAGTCCGATGCAGATAAAATCCTCCAGGACTATGAAGAGGTGAACTGAGATTATCCCTGCTTTCGGAGACTTGATTTTAACTGATAATTCTATCAGTCCCTTCCAATCCGCTACTTCCTTCTGACCAATCTCGTCCGCTCAGAAGAGGATCGTACTATGAAATTTCGCGTGCCACTTTCAGTGCTTGGCCGCTCATTGGACAATATGGCGGATTTCCCATACTCCGACTCGGACAACGTTCAGTACAAGGGCCCGACACTGTTTATCCGGGGTACCAAATCTCAATACGTGTCAGATAACACCGTTCCTGCGATCAAGAAGTTCTTCCCGAATGCGCAGATAGCAGACGTGGATGCGGGGCACTGGCTTATTTCCGAGAATCCGGAGGCGTTCCGACAAGGTAAGATCTCTTCATTTTCTATACCCAAAACGTTTTATCGCTGACGCGTTGGATATAGCTGTGGTCAAGTTCTTGGAATCCTCGTGAGTCTCGATGGTAGAATGCGTGGTAACCAATCTACAGTCAAGCATAATAGAACGATAGAACCACGTTTTGATATACCAGCAATGAATTTCATTTAGAACCGTAGGGCACAGAGTCGGGAGAGGAGGTGGGGAGGGGAAGCACTAGTCTACGCTGGATGGACCGTTTGTCCTGAACTGGGGTAAAGCAAGCGGCATGTACTGCTGGGTGGCGGATCCGATCTCTCCTATTTATTCCCTTCGATTTAGGCTACTCAACTAATCGTTACGACTTGGGTGTCACTTCATCTGGGTATTTGCTTTGTGGGGCCTAAAGCATGAGGCAATGGCATCCCGGGGAACTGCAGGCGAGAAACTCTTGCTTATACGTGAGAAAGGGGACAAAAGTCCTAGTTCTACATAATTGATCATAGCTTCACTCCGGAACCGAGCACGGATCCGATGGAGTCTGGCGTCGTCTTTCTTCCCGGAACACTTAGTACTAGCTTCCCCGCATAAATGATAGGGCAAATTCAGCCTCCATCTCGGATCTTTTCTCCAGGCCAGCCGTGAAAGGGCTTTGAAAGAGCAACTCGGATCCGATGCTCATGAAGTGGGTGCTGCTACTGGCTTGCTTGGTGCTCTTTATGATGCTCTCCTGAGCACATACCTCGTCAAGCGCGCTTTGCATTTTTGACGTTGATGGGATGGGGAGTAAGCAAACCAAGACGATGGATATATCAGCAGCACATCTCCATAATCCTGGGCAATATTTTGTATGTCTGTGTCGCTGACCCTTCTGTCCAAACCAGAAATCCCATCCCCAGAGAGTCTATTTCAAAGTTCAATATGTCGGCTCAGAAGGAGTGCATCGAAAGTGTTGATCCTGTGAAGGGATACACTGATGATATCGACCTTCTCTCTAGCAGGGAGAAACAAATCATGAGGCGAGTTGACCTGCGCCTCGTCGCAGCGACAGCCTTGGGATACTCCGTGAACCTAATGGACAGAGGCAATGTCGGGATGGCAGCCATTGCAGGGTAACTAGAGAACATCCCCGAGGAGCACAGAGGCTAAAAAACTGAGAAGGATGCTCAAGGACCTCGACTTTGTGGGCTACCGCTATGTAAGTGGCTCTTCCCGGTTCTCAAACGAGAAATATTTGATTCGCTGACGCCTTGTGAATAGTCTCTGATAGTCCTGATGTTCTTCGTTACCTACGTGATCTTCCAGCCACCGGCCACAGTTTTGATTCGAAAAATCGGCCCCCCGTACTTTCTGTCGGCGATCATTTTCAGCTGGGGGATTCTTATGCTCGTGAGTCTGCCTTCAAGTTCTTCTATAGTGCAAGTCGCTCAGTTGATGCACAGGGTATGGGATTCGCCCAGTCTTGGAGCCAGGTTCTCGCAATCCGAGTTCTTTTAGGAGTCTTTGCCGCTGGATATTTCCCTGGCTGCATGTATCTGCTCTCCTGCTGGTACCGTCGTTGTAAGTTCACAGAGGCAATCCAAGTTGCGGTTTCTCTATGCTAAACCATTGGTTGTCTGAAAACAACAGATGAGGTACAAAAGCGGTTTTCGGTTTTCTACGGCGTTGGCTGCGTGGCGTCAGCTTTGGCTGGGATTCTCGCCTACGGGCTGATGCAGATGGATGGTGCTCATGGGATTGCAGGCTGGCGCTGGATCCTGATTTTGGAAGGAGTTGTAGGTTGCTCCATGCACGATTTCTACGGAAAAGGACTAACTTTGCCAGATAACTGTGGGCTTGAGTGTTCTCTGTTATCTCTTGATCGTGGATTTCCCGGATAGGGCCTCGCGCAACTGGAGATTCCTTACTGAAGAAGAGTGCGCCTTTGTCGTCCGCCGAATTAACCGTGATCGTCTTGATGCCGAGGCGGAGGAGTTTACAATGAAACGGTTTCTCAGGCCAGCGCTGGATATCAAGATATGGGCGTATGCAGTGATGTTTGGGTAAGTTCCAGATAACCGGCTATTATAGCTGATGAGTGAGCCCTTGCTGAATGATGATAATAGTTGCTTAACCATCAACACCTACGCCATGGCTTATTTTCTTCCTATCATCCTTTCCGATGGAATGGGGTTTGGCGTGGGAGAATCCCAATGCCTCACAGCGCCTCCATGGGTCTTCGCGGCGCTGGTTATGTATGCAACAGCTTGGGTCGGCGACAAGATCCAAAGACGAGTGCCAATTCTGCTTTTCAACGTCTGTTTGTCAATTATCGGTCTGCCTATGATGGGGTTCCTGGAAAACAATGCCGCAAGATATGTGGGCGTCTTCTTGACTGTCGCGGGAGCTAATGCAAATGTACCTGCCTGCATGGCGTGGCAAGCGAATAATATCCGAGGCCAGTGGACGCGCGCATTTTCTAGTGCTACACTGATTGGCTTCGACGGTATAGGGGGTATTATTGCCAGTTTAGTTTTCGAGAAGGATGCGCCTCAGTACAGGCCGGGCGTGTTCACTGCACTTGGGTAAGTGTCTGCCCTTTCGAGAAGATTCTACTTCAGGCTAATCTGAATATAGAGCTAATATTTTACTTCTTCTCATTGTTGTGTCTCTGGCACTGTGGTATCGACATTGCAATAAGCAAGCAGATCGCGGAGAGCGCATTATTGCCGGTGTTGAGGGATTTCGCTATACAATCTGAAAGACAGTTAATATATATAACTGAATCTATTGCCGTTTCGACTAAATATATCAACCCACTAGCATACAATATAACATTCAATCCAATCCAAGTTTACAACAGTCAACCTCCTAATCATGCCGCCCTCTCCGCATTTTCAATCTCCGCGGTCGCACTCTTTTCCTTAATAGCCGAATCCATCTGATCATGACGTGGCATGTTTCTGGAGACACGGACCGTGTCGAAAATACTCTTGCTGTTCAAGAAGATACGATCCACCTCCTCAAGATGGCGACCACTGGTTTCAGGCCAGAAGAAATAGACACCTAGAAGAGTCATTTGTTAGGATGGTGATATGATAAGTTTTGACAGGGAGCTCACTTGGAAGAATCAAGAGGAGATTGATGCACGCAAAAATGATGTAGTACTTGTACCCCAAGGAGTCGAATCCGGTCGGAGTGATCTCAGCCACGAGAAAGTTGAACAACCATGCGGTGCCCGTTGAGAGAGCTGTGATGGGAACGCGGGCACTCAGGGGCGCGACCTCCGAGGCATACAGGAACGTCAGCCCGAGAAATCCGACAGGGAAAAACAGTGAGAACATGAAGATAAAAGCTGCGGCTGTTCCAGAAGCAGCACGGTTGGTGATCTGCGATGACGTTCCGGCAATGATTGCCATACAAGTGCCCATGCCCGCTGCGGAGAACATCATCAACTTGCGGCGGCCCAAACGATCGACGGTTAGTACACCGATAGGTGAGCAGATTGTCTGCCATGTAAACACAGCAGCGCCTAGAATCCTTGAGATGCTGCCAGTGAAGCCCAGACCTTGCTCAAAGACGGTTGCTTGGTAGAATGCCAAAGCATTGATGCCGGACATCTGCTGAAACATTTGTCCCGCAGCTGCCAGAAACGCGCGATGGAAGAGGCGCGAGGGTCCGTTGGTAAAGATGTCTCGGAACCTGCCCTCGCCAGCAATTTCCAATGATTCTTTGATTTCGGCTACGTCTACATTGACGAGTTCAGAGTCCGTTGTCGTGTCGGCCAGGGCTGCCAGGACCTCCCGGGCCTCATCTTCACGGCCCTTCTGTAGTAGCCAGCGAGGAGATTCGGGCAATTGCGGAGTCATTATCAACACGAACGTCGACCACAAGGCCGACAATGCAAGCGGGAATCGCCAGGAGACGCTGCCAGTGGTGTGGGACATGCCGACATTCACCCACGCAGCAATAGCGAGCCCAAGACTGATAAATACCGATTCGAGAACCACAGTCGAACCTCGATGATCAGCTCTCGAACATTCCGACTGCCAGTTAGGGGCAGTAGCAGTGAGAGCCCCAAAGCCGAGACCAGACACCAATCGACCCACGATGAGCTGGGGCAGAGAGAATGACGTCGATTGCAGAATAGCTCCGACAATATTAATAGCTGCCCCAAGCATGATTGTTCGCCTTCTTCCCAAGGGATCGCCGAGCTTGAGACAGGCTAAAGATCCAAAGAAACAGCCCAGTGTATAGAAAGCGACCACGGTGCCCTGGAGTTTCGAATTCTCAGCCTTCACCGCGCCAGTTGTGGTTTCCGTGTTGATACGAGGAAATGTTTCCGTCCATGAGGGCAAGGCCAAAAGACCACCTGCCACGCCATTGTTGTAGCCGAATCTAATGGTTCACCGGTCAGAAGGAATCCAAACATGAGAAAAGAAAACGGTAGGGTAGGGTGCTCTCACAAGATGTATGCTGGTAAAATCACGGCCCAGATCAACGCCGCCCGGAGAGATTTGCCTCGAAGACCAAGAAATGGAGCCATGATCGGGGAACGAACGAGTTGGAGTCGCTCGGCCACGGGTAGGAAACTAAAGAGAATACTTTAAGTATTATCCCGGACCTGGAGCGCTTTTATTGGAAAAATTCGGGGTAAGATCGGCTTGGGGTTCGTGTGCGCGGACTTAAGGATGTGTACACCTATTTCTAGATTCGGTACAGTACACGACTCTGCCGATCCATATTATCAATTGCTAACTCTACCAGATTTAGAGGAAGGCGACCAATGAACAGAAGAGTAGAGCCCATCAATGCTTAGCCCTCGGACCATGAGTCTCCATTGTTTAGCCCTCGGGCTACGAGTCTCCGTGGAGACCCCGCAAATTACCCCAAGCGGGAATGGGGGCTGAGCATTGCCAGGGTACAATTTATGGGGAGGGAGAAGCTTGGTTAGGCTCGATTGGGCCCTAGAACGGAAAGCGAAAAGGAAATCCGGGAGAAGATTCTAGTGCCGGAGAGATTATCATCTTATTATCAGCAGAGGCGACTTGACCCGCAACACAAGCAGGTTAGTCATGTGCATTGACGATGTGTACAGAGATTCTAACAATAACGTGTCAGGGACGACCATTCAAGTCACCTGGGAGTTTTAGGCGTATGCGTTGAGCAGCTGCTACATCGGAATAATGCCCTCAAGCTTACGTCGCTTTTTGCCATTCTTTTTCTGTTTCTGAGACATTGACTCTTCCATGGAAGACAACGGGGCCGGGAAAGGGTTGTTGATTTGAGGTGGCGTAGAATGCTGCTGGTCCTCGATTGGTTCTCCAGGGCGCTTACTCTTGTTCTTGGTTTTCTTCTTCGTTTTCAAAGCCTCCGTTGGGCTGTTCTCGAACATCGTAGCGACGTTGCTTGAACTCGTCTCTTCTTGAGAGACGTGGCAGCCGTTGGTCTCGGAAACTCGACTCGGCAAGAGCGATTTTATGGGCGGAGGCGGGGGCGATGCCTTTCGGGGCACGTTACTCTGAGTGGGCCCAGACTCCTTGCCTTTATCGTTGAGATTCTTTAGTGCGTGCTTGATCTTTGCGAGTTCTTGATCAACGTAGGCGATCTCCACATGGGGCAACGAATCCAGACGGTCCCTCATGCGATTCACGAGGCCGGAAACATTCTGGTGTCATTTCCAAAGTCGCTAGTACTCTTTTGCAGGTCATCAACTTTTTCCAAAAGGCCTATAATCTCTGACCTTGACTTTTCCAATGCCTCAACCTGTTTTCGTGTAGCCTCGACATCAGTCCTGAGAGTTTCGAAAGCCGGACCAATCGAGTTGGTCTGGTCATGCAGGTCTCCCGCCGTCCTGGTCGTCTTTTCGTCAAGCTCGGCGAGAGCGCCCAAAAGAGCCTCATGTTGATTCTGAAGTTGGTTGATCTCCTGAAGCGCCCGAGTGTGTTCTTTCAGTTTGTCTTGTGTAACCTCGGCAACCTGATTTGAGAGCTGGATCAGTTGGGCCGGGAGCTGTTCCAGGGATTCCAATCGAGTGCTGAATGCTTCTGGTTGCAGCTGATCCACCTTTTTCTTGACTTCCATGAGCGCAGGAATCTCCCCAACAAAAGACTCCCGCAGAGCTTCCACCTGCCTCCGCACCTCGCCCATGGAAGGGTACAGCTCCTCCATGGCGTGAATCATGTTTTTGACAACGTTCTCAGTGGTGAGATTGTTGTACCGCAACTCCAAGGACCGAATGCTACTAGACAACGTCTCAAGAGTGTCCTTGGACTCCGACACAATCTGCTCAAGATCGGGGATTTTTTTCATTTGGGGCACCACCTGTTCCTGAACATATCGAAATAACGGCATGTAGTGGGCTTCTTGAAGCGTGCGTAGGTCACCGGAGAAACGGTTAATGGCTGTGCTCAGACCCTGAACCTTCTGATCTATGCCCCCGAAGTCTGCTGGATTAATTGCAGGTTTATTTTCAAGCCGGTCTAGACGTTGGCGATGCTTCAACGCCTCGGCATTGATTTGGCCATGCACGCTCTCTAACCGGGAGACTTGTTCGTCTAGCTTGCGCGAGACCAAGTCATCCAATCTCTTCATATCATGCTCTTGAGAATCCCTTGTGACTTTGGAAAGTTGAATTGCTTGAGAATTGATCTTCTCTTCCACCTCCCCGATCCGAGATCTCAAGGGATAAAATTGACGAGTAAGAAATTCTGGGGCCCATGACGAGGGTAAGGCGCCGGGAGGGCTGCTCTTGAGCGCTTCCAGTTGGCGAGCAAACTCAGACATCTTGTCCTCTGTCACGTCCAAGATGGCAGAGTCGACTTCACTATTTGCGTGCGTTGATTCAGTTCCAGTCGGTTCTTGACGAGACTGAACTTCATTGATCATGGATTCCACGCGTTTAACCTGCCCTTCCAGTGCTGCGATTTTCCCTTCCACTTTTGGCACGTCTAACAGTTTGGCTTTAGTGCGCATGAGACGGCTGTTTTGTTCATCCAACGACCGCTCAAAACGATCGACCCACTCTTGAAATTCATCCCGAGTGACAGTCTTGGTGCCGCTAGGGCTTAATTGCCGCGTCGGAGCAGCCTTGAGTTGCTCAATCTCAGCCTCTAGCTTTGCCAGTCTCGCATCACTCTCTGAGGGAGCATTTGCTAGCGTCCATTTGGTTAGGAGGTTCTCTTCCAGTTGCCGATATAGTGACTTTTGCTCGTTGAGTTCCCTGTCAATCCGTGCCAACTCGGAAAGGTGCATCTCTTTGTTTTGCTGGTAATATTTGATAGTTGTCGGAAAACTTGAGCTGCTCAGTGCCAGATGCAGGTGCCTCTCAGTATAGGCGAGTTCTTTCGTCACATTGTCTCTCTCTGTTTGGATTTGGTTCAATCTGATCGCGACTTGAACCATATCTGATGTGCTTCGAATAAAGGCATCGCCCGAGGCAGTCGACCTCTCGACCGGCCTCGGTTGAGGGGAAGGGGCAGAAGCATTGTTGGGTGCAGGGTGGGGAGGAAAAGCCGCTAAGTCGATGGAATCTGTGACTGCGCGATGCGTCGCATTTGAGTCAGGAGTGGTGTCGACCACTGACCAGCTTCGGCGGACTGCAAGTCGAGGATCCCTGGGATTAGAGTGTTGCGGAGCAGAGAGGGAAAGAGATGTAGAAACCGGGGAAGAATTAGAAGCAGCTTTCGTCGTCTCAGTCATCTTTCCAGGCTTGGAGAAAGAGTCGCGAGCTGTTCATGGTACTCGCAAAGATGTAGCGAGACACTATCACCCCACAGCATCAATGCGCAGCGTTTCCAGGTAACGATAGAGTTTCAGATAATCATCAAGGGGTATCAGGGAAGGATTCAGAAGCCGCCTGTGTGGGCCCAGTCGAGCTCGCCGAACGCATGAGTAGGTGACGCATGTGACTTTGGAAAGCGTATCAGAGACCGTGCCGGGCAAGGAATATAGCGGATCGAGGGTAAGGAGATGGTAAAAATTGGTGGAGTGAAAAAGGAGAGTAAGAGAGTAAAGAAAAAGAGAACAATGAATACGGATTGGGGAAACTAACAATCCAACTATGTATTCTGCCGGGCGGTGGACCAGCCGCTTTCTTTTGCCCTGCGCTGCTTGGTGTTTTTGATCTTTCTTCTCTTCTCCCCAAACACTCCCTTCGTGAGAGCTCCATCTTGCTCTGGAAGACACAATGGCTGCAGTGAGTGCCGACAATGGATACGTTGCCGTGAGATTGCTGACTTTATCTAGCCAATTTCCACCGTCGCGGAGAGCAAGGAGCTTCGCGGGTCTGAACCTCATCGCCGCCCACTCCCATATCAGAGGTCTTGGTGTCGATTTCGACTCACTACAGCCTCGAACATCCTCTCAGGGCCTAGTCGGCCAGGAGAAGGCGCGCAAGGCCGCCGCCGTGATCCTACAGATGGTCAAGGAAGGCAAAATTGCCGGGCGCGCAGTTTTGATCGCAGGACCCCCCAGTACCGGTAAAACGGCCATCGCAATGGGCATGGCACAATCGTTAGGGTCGGACGTACCGTTTACCATGCTTGCTTCCTCGGAAATCTTCTCGATGGAGATGTCGAAGACTGAGGCTCTCACCCAAGCATTCCGGAGATCGATCGGTGTGCGAATCAAAGAAGAAAGCGAGATCATCGAGGGTGAAGTGGTGGAGATTCAGATTGACCGCAGCGTGACTGGGGTATGTCAACTCTCGTTTTGCGCGACAGGCAAATCTTCAGAGACTGACTTGTACAGGGTAATAAACAAGGAAAGCTCACTATCAAGACCACCGACATGGAAACGATTTACGATATGGGAACCAAGATGATCGACTCAATGACAAAGGAGCGGGTGATGGCAGGAGACGTGATCTCGATCGACAAGTCCTCCGGCAAGATCACCAAGCTTGGTCGATCGTACGCCCGTTCGCGAGACTACGACGCGATGGGCGCCGATACCAAGTTTGTCCAGTGCCCCGAGGGTGAGCTGCAGGTTCGCAAGGAAATCGTCCACACTGTCAGCCTCCACGAGATCGACGTGATCAATTCCCGGTCACAGGGCTTTCTGGCTCTGTTCTCCGGCGACACCGGCGAGATTCGCAGCGAAGTCCGGGATCAGATCAACACCAAGGTGGCAGAATGGAAGGAAGAAGGCAAGGCTGAGATCATCCCCGGTGTCTTGTTTATCGATGAGGTGCACATGCTCGACATTGAGTGCTTCTCCTACATCAACCGCGCTCTGGAGGCAGAATTGGCGCCCATTGTCATTATGGCGAGCAACCGGGGCCAGGCGCGGATCCGTGGCACCACCTACACCTCTCCTCACGGGTTACCGCTTGACTTCCTGGACCGGGTTGTGATTGTGAGCACGCAGCCGTACTCGCCCGATGAGATCCGTCAGATCCTGGCCATTCGGGCCCAGGAGGAGGAAATCGACGTGTCGCCCGACGCTCTGGCGCTCCTGACCAAGATCGGTGAGGAGTCGAACCTCCGCTACGCCAGCAACATCATCACCACGTCGCACCTCCTCAGCCAGAAGCGTCGGGCCAAGGAGGTCAGCGTCGACGACGTCCAACGCAGCTTCCGGTTGTTCTACGACCCGGGGCGCAGCGTCAAGTTCATCAGTGACTATGAGCAGCGGTTTATTGGCGACCAAGGTGCCGTGACGTTCTCTGTGGCCACCAACGGTGATGCGATGGAGCTTTCGTAATATTAGACGCATCTTGTGGAGAGTCTTCGGGTTGGATTGACAAAACGCTTGTTTCCTTTTTTTCCCTTGCTTTTCTTGTTCCACATCACACGATGTATGATAGGACTACTGGCGCTTGAGTTTGGTTTGTGGGCTCAATTCATTCAATTACTGTGTTTTATTAAATATTCCCTTGTATCGCCGGGGAGCCATGGGGAAGTTCGAGTGGCACCGCCTCAATCGATCAATCTAGATCAGGGAGTAGTTCCCGTCACCCCCACTTCCTTATCATTCCTCTCCCATCCGACAACAAACGACGATGGACGACTACAGCACCAAGGAGGCCGTGCTCCAACTGGGGATTCTAGATCCCATACTGGCAGAGGTACCAAATGAGCCCGCTCTTCCCAAGCGCACCTTGTTGAGGAATTGAATAGATCCTCAAAGCCTCACCAGTCCCCAAAACCGACTATAACACAGTCACAGTGGAGCAGATGCGACACGGCCTGGATGTTTTCGAGCAGACACAATACGATGCCTGTCCGGTGCATGGGACGCGGGAGTCGACGATGACCATCCCCATGCGCGACGGGTATGAAAGTGAGCTCCGCGTGATCCAGCCTCCCTCCCGACCATCTTCAGGCAGTCCACTTGTGGTACTGTTGTACGGTGGCGGGTTTTTCCTAGGAACGAACTTGCAGTTCGTTCCCTGGGGCCGAGCCGTAGCAGCACTGTACGGTGCCACGGTGGTTCTGCCCTCGTACCGCCTGGCGCCGGAGCACAAATTCCCGACTGGCGCTCACGACGTCTCCGACACTATGCAGTGGCTCGCCGGGAATGCGGCCTCGTTGGGAGCCGATCTTTCCCAGGGCTTCGTGCTGGGCGGCGGGTCTGCAGGCGGAAACCTGGCTATTGTTGCGGCGCACCGGGCTGTCAAGGAACAGCTGTCGCCGCCGTTGACCGGACTGTTTGCCTGCCTGCCTGTCTGCATGAGTGAGCACACGGTGCCGGAGAAATACAAGCACCTGTGGCTTTCGCGGGAACAGAATGCCCTCGGCCCGAACTGCACGCTCGAAGATATTGAGGTCCAAAACCGATGGCTGGAGCCGGACGAGCAGTCGGAGGATTGGTCGCCGTTCAATTCCGATACCTCGTTTGCAGCGATGCCACCGACGTATGTCCAGGTTTGCGGCAAGGATACATTGCGAGATGATGGGTTGATCTATGAGAAAGTGCTGAGGGACCATGGAGTCCAGACAAAACTGGACGTGTACCCGGGCATGCCGCATGGCCATTTCATGGCCTGGACGCAACTGACACAGTCGCTCAAGGCGAATGTTGACGCCGTTGCAGGGATTGGTTGGCTATTGGGGAAGGACGTGGACCGGAATGAGGTTGAGCGAGTATGGAATCAAAGGAAGCCTTTGTACAGATAGATCTCTTTATTCATTATTAGAGCCAATTATACAAAATCAACTGTGGCACTCCACGGGCCCGTATCTCCAACTCTGTGGAACTCAACGCCTTCGCCGAAGTACCCTGCACCTTTCCACGACTGCATCATAGCGCCATCGTACGGCCCATGAGCATCGCCGCCGTCGCGTGCATCAGACCAGCGATACTCCCACATCGCGGGTGCTTGCTGTTCACCATTCCCGGCTACTGCTGGAGGAGGGTCAACCCACTCTTCACCCGTCTCGTTGCGGTATTGCCGGGTCAAGAGCTCGCGCTCGGTGTCGTAGATATCCGCTTGGCCTCTGCTCATCAAGATGTCGGCGGCGCCGGTGATTTCGTCGATGGCCTTTTTCCGAACGGCTGCGTTTGGGTCTTCGTCTGTCATTTCGATGTCTTCGGTGCCAGCATTGGCAGGCTTCTTGTTCTTCTTTTTTGCTTGCCATTTCGGCTTCCGTGGCAGACCTTTGCCGAGTCGAGCCAGCGCCTCCAATATTGTTTCGCCACGGTCAAGCTGAATGATGATTGTCTTCAAAATGTCGGATGTCAACAAGCTATCGTCCATACGGTCCTTCTCCTTTCGTTCTGCCTCGCGTTTTTCGGCCGCCTCTTTGGCTTTGCGAATTTCCTTATTCGACAACCCCTCCATCCATGAATCGTAGACGGCATCCGGGTCTGCTGCCTTGCGCACAAAGTTTCCGGTCTCGTCGAACCGGCCCTCTTCCTGCTCCGAGCGCATATTGAATGCATCCAGTAGAGGCGCATGTTTCTTCTTCGCGCCGGCCCCCAGCTCCTTATCAATGTCGTCGTCGACATGTGCGCGTTCATCTTCGCCAACGTCACTTTCACTCTCCGCCTCCTCCTCATCAATCTCATCTGCGCCTTTCCTCAAATCGGCACGTAATGTGCCTCCGCCCTTCGAAGATGCGACCTGTCCCTCAATCTCGTCATTTCGCAGAAAGCGAACAGACTTCTTATTTTTGCGCAATGCTTCGTCGGCGTCAATTTCCTCGGCGCCAAAATCTTCCTGTAGCTCCGCGAACATGTCATCGTCGTCTGCATCGTGTTTGGCCCGGCTGCGCTTTGCTTTTTCCTCGACCCGCGCGGAAAAGCCCTCGTTCTCGCTGTCGGAGTCGTAGCCGTCGAGATTGACCGCTTTTCGACGCACTTGCTGGCCACGGCGGCCGATCTCGTCAGCGTCTAGTGTCGGGTCGTCGTCGAGCGCGTCGGGAGCCAGCGCTGAGGGATTGCGGAGATCGAAGCGTGGTTTCTTGCTCCCTGATGGGCCGTCCTCTTCGTCGCCGTGGTGAGAGCGAGTGAAATCCTCACCTGCCCGCTTGGGGCGCGGAAGTGAGCTTGCCATGGCTGGGGAAGTGAGGGAGGTGTTGGAGCAATAAGAAAGTCCAGCAGTGTTCTGCAACCGGGGTCGGACCGGAAAATCATGGCGGCGCCAACTTGCGTCACTCGCAACACCAGACCATCATCTCTGCCCTTGCCACATCTTTCTGTCCCTTTACGGTCTCTAGCATTCTACCATGGTGAGTGTGGCCTGGCTTTGTTTATTCTTTAATCTTGCTAACGGCTCAGTTCCGACCGGACTACTGGGGCGACGACCCCATGGACGGCGTCATGGGCGCGGGCATGCTCCGTCCCGGTGCTGCACCTCGACGCTTCGACGAATACTACCGCTGCTACCCTGTAGCCATGCTCCCAGGTCCCGAGAGGGAGAATGTCAACCACGGTGGCAAGGTCATCATGCCGCCGAGTGCGTTAGATAAGCTGACACGACTGCACATCACCTATCCGATGTTGTTCGAGCTCCATAATGGCGCGAAGGAGAGAATGACGCATGCGGGAGTTCTGGAATTTATTGCGGAGGAGGGAAAGATCTATCTGCCTTTCTGGGTCAGTTACAATCCGATCTGTTTGGTCATCGGCGCTGATATCCATCATTCTGCAGCTCATGCAAACACTACTTCTCGAGCCCGGTGATCTGCTTCAGATCAAGTCGACAGATCTGCCACCCGGTCAGTTCATCAAGCTTCAAGCGCAGTCGACATCCTTCCTCGATATCAGCGATCCCAAGGCAGTGCTGGAGAATGCGTTCCGGAATTTCTCGTGTCTCACGAAAGGCGATGTGTTCACCTTCGCCTACAACGATCAAGTCTATGAGATGGCGGTGCTGGAGACAAAGCCATCCGGGTCGAAGAATGCCGTTTCGGTGCTGGAAACGGATTTGGAGGTCGACTTTGCGCCTCCGGTTGGCTTCGAGGAGTCGCAACGGACAAGTGGGACAAGCACACCGGGCAGCGTCGTCAGCGGGAAGGGGAAACTCCCGGCTGGTGGGCTGTTGCACTCTCATGGCACCATGGCCCAGTCAATAAACTATGCCGCCATTGCTCCCGAATCGACGGATGCTGCAGCCGGTGCTCGCGCCGTGTCATCCAATTTTTTGTCGGGAGGGCAGCGCCTGAACGCAAAGAAGGGCAGCAAAGCTCCGACCCCCAAACCATCTACTCCCGTCCCCGGAGCTACAAATTTGCAACATCCACCTCCAGCTCGCAAGACCAACGGTCCCCAACCTCTCCGACTCCCTCCCAACCAACTCTTCTTCGGATACGCCATCACACCGGCCAAGAAGCGCGACGAGAATGGAATGGTCGTGCCCGTGGACCAGCCTAAATTCCAGGGCATCGGCCAGACACTTCGGGGGAAGCGCAAGGATCCAGGCGGAGATGTCACCCCCACATCCGGAAGCGAAGCCGGCAGCCAAAAGTCTCACGGAAGCGGGCGCACGTTGGGAGGAAGCAAGCGTTAGGGGCTGGAGAGCTTAAGATGATACCTCAAATTCTTAATCAGATAACGGAAGTCCATTCATACTAAATCCCTCGGACGTAAACATAGTATATTCCAAAACCTCGATATAGTCCGCGATAAATGTACATCCTTCCTCGGCCCCAGCCAACTTGCCGACGGCGCCTTGGCAAGCTTCACATGCCGATCTTGAAAACATAAATAACACAATGCCCGGAACAACAATCATCATCGGATGTTTGCATCACAACTCCAATGGCAGCCAAACGCGAGGGGCCCCTGGCGCCATTTGCCAAACTGGCTCCGTCGGTATATATCCAGGAGCCAGTCGAGTCAACCGACGCAAAGGATTCACAACCAGTGATTTTCATCGCATTCTGGATGAACGCGCCAGCGCGCGCACTTGCCAAGTATGTGATCGAGTATCGCCGCCTGGTACCCAGTGCGCGCATCATCTTCGTGCGCAGCGACTCCAATGATTTCTTCCTGCGCGCCACCGGCCGAGCCCAGCAGGCTCGTCTCACACCAGCCGTGGACGCTCTCCGGGCCAGTGTCAATCCGCAGAACCCGGTGTTTCTCCACATGTTCTCCAACGGCGGCCTGTCAAGCACAACTCACATGCTGAAGGCATACCGCGCCGCCACGGGCAAGCCACTGCCCATCTCATCCATGATCGTGGACAGCGCCCCGGGGACGGCAACCATCCGCACTGGGATGAAAGCTTTCTCGTATGTGCTACCGCGGATATGGATCCTGCGCCTAATTAGCAAGAGTATGCTGCTGTTTGGTCTGGTATTTGGCAAGCTCGTCCGGATGATCTTGCGACTCCCCGACCCCGTCACTGTCGCCCGCGCGGCGATCAATGACCAGTCTTTGGTGCAGGCGGCCAATCCCAAGGGCATTCTCTCGCGCTGCTATATATACTCTGACGCCGATGAGCTGGTACACTGGCGCGATGTGGAAAACCATGCCGATGCCTCGGAAGCACGCGGTTGGATCGTGCGCCGGGAATTGTTTAAGGGGGCGCCGCACGTTAGCCATATGAGAGCCGAGCCTGATCGGTACTGGGGCATTGTGAGGGAGTATCTAGGAATTGAGGAGTCAAAGGAGTTGGCATGATTTTTTAGATTTTGGAATGTTGTTTTGCCGGTTCGATCGATTTACTTGGTGATATACCCAAATCACTTTTCTCTCACCGTGAATATTATCAGTTAAACACAACACATTCGTTCCTTCTGGCAACAAGTGGCAGCGTCCATGGATCGAGAATTGCGAGTCACTCTGACCTGGTCCTGGGACACTGCTTCGACCGGAGATCAGTTCCGCGACCTGCCCTTTGGTACCTAGCCCGCTAACTATGGGCACCACGACCATGCATCATGATGGTGTCCCTCAACGTCAGTCTGCCATGTCGGTCATGGCAAGCCCTCTTCGTTCGCCTCTCTCTTCGCGGCGCATGTCTTCTATCTGCACGGATATCAAAAGGCCACAATGTCGTTCTCACAGGGGGAAACCTTTATCAATGCTGCAGAAACGACCCAGGACAATCGCTTGCTTCTCCCCGGGTTTCGGCGGCCACTGGATTTTTACCCGATGGAAAAGAACATCTATGGAGTTGAGTGTCGTAGTATGTTCCCCACGGCGCTGGATGATAGGGATATCCAACGCGGAGATGCAGAGTAAGACCTGCTTATCTACTTCTCAATGCTGTATTGACAGTTTCAAAGTCTCCCGGCGCAGACCCTCCGTGAGATTGCCATGGTAGATGTCATGGAGGACATTACCGATATCCCGCAATGGTGGACGAAGGTATTCAGCATTGCACTCTTTGCTTCCACGCCCACTAAATTCTTCTTGCGTACAGATCCATGATCAAGGGGTGACGGAAGAGTGGAAAACGATGGCGATGAACAGCGGCCGAGATGTCACGCTCAACATGGCGAATTGGATCATCGAAGAGCTCAAATACAAGGCCCTGATCCAAGAGACAACGGGCGCAGTGGCTCTGTATAACGGAGACGTGACAAAGTCCGACGTCAACGTTGGCGAAGGCCTTCTTGAGGAGCTGAAAACTGTCGTCCAGGTCCTGGAGTATGCCGACCCGAGGCTCCGCTTCTACACCCCCTGCCACACGGATAAACAGCGCGATTTCCTCTCCATGGCCTTGTATCCCCTGGTCTACGGCAAAAGCCGCATCCTGGGTGACCGACTCATCGGTCTGGATGATGCGCTCGACAACATCGGCAAAGGCGAAACCATCCCCGTGCCCAAGGAAACCGGGATCACGCGCGAAGACATTGCTTGGCGAGTACTCGCACGCGCAGACATCCAAGTCCGACCCTACAGCCGCTGTTACCAGATCCTGCCCTCAGACTGGCAACTGGGCGATGACGACGAATGGCACATTGAAACTTACATCAACAACCTGCACCCGGTCAAGCACCGCAGCATCTACAAGGTCATCGAGCGGATCTTCAACCGCCTCATCCCGCAATGGAACGCAACCCTTACGCCCCTGAAAGACCAGCTGCACTCGCGCGCACGCATCGAGTACACCAAGGCCGAATATTATCCCATTCCCAAGGAAGTGGCCGACTCGGCGCCGCAGATCAAGCCGCGCGAGGCGAACAGCGAGTTCGAAGAACGGGTTGAAAAGTGGCGTATGGAGCATATCCGTGCTGTCCAGCCCGATGCGGGCAAGTTCATTCCCTGGGCTGTGCCGCCGTGGCTTATGTCCAAGTTGCCCGAGGACTTGCCCAGTCCCGTCCGTATTGAGGAGGGCGTCGACCTGAATAAGGATTACAAGCAGCGAGGGCTGCAGGTTGTGACACGGCTGCTGGGCGTTGATCTTAGTCCGGAAGATCAGTACTATGAGACGAATTGGCATGTTGAGCTGCAGATGGTGAGTCCCCCCCTCCCTCGCCTCTCCCTCTTCATCTACTGATAACCAGAACAGAATGAACACATCTGCGCCGCAGCATTCTACACCTACGACGCCGAAAACATGGAAGACCCCAACATGGAATTCCGCAATATGGTCGAGACCGCAACGCTCAGCGAAGTCGAGCACGACCCGGAGGACTTCACATGGCTGAAGCAAGTCTTCGGTCTCGAAAACGGCGAGCCAGCGATCCAAAGCTCGGGCTCGATCCGTTGCAAGGTCGGCCGCACGGTGATCTACCCGACCACGGTGCAGCACCGGCTCACGCGGTTCGAGCTGAAAGACAAGTCCAAGCCGGGGTATTCGCGCGCGCTGGTGTTTCTCCTGGTTGATCCGAATATCCGGATTATTTCCACGGCGAATGTCCCGCCGCAGCGCTATGACTGGTGTCACCCGGTGCCGACGGATAAGCCCGAGGAACTGTCCGCAGCCATGCAAAAGCTGGCGCTGGATAATATTGATCAGAAGGGGGATTTGCCCATGTCTTTGGCGGAGGCACTGGAGATTCGGAAGGATGTGATGAATGAGGGCTTTGAGTTTACTCGGTACCAGCATGTTGCGTTTGAGTCGAATTTGTTGATGCTGGAGGGAGGGAGAGTTTAGATCGGGGTGTTGTGTCGTCTTTGGGTTTTGTGCTTTGGAATAGAGAAGGTTGAAAAGCAGAATGCTGGTAATTCGCTGCCCGGTATTCAAATCATCTCTCTACACGTTCTTGCTATCTATCTTGATCGAGGTGCAACCGCATCGCCGCGCTATGCTATTCATGCAAGGAATATACACTGCCACTAAGATAAAACAAAACATGCACACACATACACACAACACACTACCGACCCTTCATCTCCGGGAACTCATCCTCCAACTTCAGACGAGCAGTAACGTTCATACTCATAAGCTCTTGAATAAGCAACTTGGCAGCGTATGGAATAGCCATCTTGACCACGGAACGAGACGACTTGCAGCGGGAACACCAATTCAAGTAACCCATGAAGCCGCACTTCTCGCAGACATCCACCTCGTGGCGATCCGACGAGATCATAAGCCGTTCAAGCAGCAGCTGGCTGGTTCCATAGGCAATCAAACAGTCGCGCTCCATCTCACCAAGACGGAGACCACCATCGCGCGAACGACCCTCAGTAGGCTGGCGGGTGAGGAGGGCGCGAGGTCCACGGGCACGCGAGTGCATCTTGTCTTGGACCATGTGCTTGAGCTTCTGGTAGTAAATGGGCCCGGTGAAGACGTAGAAAGGCAGTGCCTCGCCCGTAATTCCTGAGGTGAGGTAGTCTTTTCCGCCGTAGCTGAAGCCGTGGTCGATCAGGATCTGGGACATTTCTTCGACAGGGCTGCCGCCGAAGCAGGTGCCGTAGCCGTGTTGCCCCGAAAGCACGCCTGCTTTGCCGGCCACAAGCTCCAGCATCTTGCCGACCGTCATGCGGGACGGGAAACCATGCGGGTTCATGATGATGTCCGGGTTGATACCTTGGTCGGTAAAGGGCATGTCGGCTTGGTCGGCGATGATGCCTACCACACCCTTTTGACCGTGGCGCGAAGAGAACTTGTCGCCGACTTCCGGGCGTCGGGTCTGCCGTGTGAGAACCTTGATGAGTTCGTTTTCTCCTTCGGTGACGGACCGCATGACTTTGTCAATGTATGCCGGGTCCGGAAGTTTGTAAGTCATCGGCTGGGGGAGAAGTTTGGGAGCTCTCCCGACGTCAGAGCCGGTGATGCCGGTCGTGTGCGCCGTGTCGGGTGTGACTTTGTTGATGTACACCTCGCCCGCATTTACCTTCTCACCGACAGCAGCCAACCCGTCGCCCTCGAGGAGCAGATGTTTGGCAATGGGGGTATCGCCGTCGTACTCTGGTGGGTTAAGCGCATCCTTGGTGCCGTTGGGATAACTCTTCAGGTTGGTCACGTATTTCCGGAAGACCTGGCATCGGCCAAACCCACGGTCCACGGACCCCTTGTTGAGCACCAAAGCATCCTCGATATCGTAGCCGGAGTAACTCATGACAGCAACGGTTGCATTCTGGCCGGCAGGAAGTTGATCGTATTTGACCAGTTCGATCGTCCGTGACTTGACCATCGGCTTCTGTGGGTACACCATGAGGTAGAGAATGGAGTCGATCCGCTGGAACTGGTTGGAGGCAATTGCACCGATGGCTTGTTTACCCATAGCGCATTGGTAGGTATTTCGAGGCGACTGGTTGTGGTGGGGGTAAGGGATGAGACCAGCGACAGCGCCCAGCATGGTGAACGGCTCGATCTCGAGGTGGGTTGTGGCTTCGTTGACGTCCTTCTCGTAAATGGAGATGTAGGAATCATTCTCCTCGTTGACATCAAGGTACTCAACCAGTCCTTGAGCAAGGAAATCGTCAAAAGACATCTTCCCGTCGCGGAGTTTCTTCAGATGGTGAGCACGGACACAAGACTTGCCATTCTCAGCCACGATCAACGGTCTGCAGATACGCCCATCATCGGTTGCAATATGAACAGCGCGCTGGTGGTGGTTGATAAAGATGCTCACGAACTCCGAAATCCGGCCCATTCGTCGGAGCTTGCGGAAAGAGTCAAGAAAATGCTTAGGCCGTCGAGTCAGAGCTGTCGGTGTGCCGTTGATGGAGATGGTGTAGGCGCCAGGTCCATAAATTTGCTTTCCGCTCAAGGTGGAGATATCTTCCGCGCCCAGAATGAATATCAGGTTCCGCACGGGACCTTCTTCGTCGTTGGTGGTGATGTGTGTCATGAGGGCCAAGTTTTTGACCAGACCGCACGCCTCTCCTTCGGGAGTATCGGCAGGGCAAAGCATGCCGAATTGTGACGGCTGCAACGCACGAGGACCACTGACCTTGCGCGTCTTCTCAAACTGACTGCTGATACGGGTCATCATACCCAGAGCAGCGATATAGCTCAGCCGACTGAGAACGTGAGTGACTCCTGCACGCTCCATGCGGAATCGCTTCAGGCTCCAGTTGCCGGTCGAGATGGCACGGTTCATGCCATGGGTGATGTGGTTGCCATGCATGCTCACCACGCTCCACGCATCAAACTGTTCGGCGCGGTTTCGTTTGTTCAAAACCTTGTCGATGTTCATTTTGATATCGAAGCAAAATTTCTTGAACATGTCTTCAAACAGCAAAGCCAAGAGCTGACCCGCCAATTCCAGTCGCTTGTTCCCCAGGTAATCACGATCATCCACTAGCGTGGGATCGTTCTTGGCCATCAGCACACGGCGGGCCATGTGTGCAACGTAAATGGCCTTGGGTCGGAAGTTCATGTCCTTGACTTCGATGTGCGAGATGATGACAGAGGCAATGGCTTCAACGGCCTCTTGAACATGAGTTCGGCGGTAGGCCATTTGCTTCCGGTTAATTTTGATGCGCGACCCGATCCATTCAAGGGCCTGTTGCTGGGTGTAGACGCCAATGTTATGGGCCTCCTCGAAGTTGATCGCAAAATCATCCTGGTATAGCTCGTCGGTGCCGGTGACCAGAAGCAAAATCTCCTGATCCGTGTGAACGCCCATGGCCTTGAGCAAAACAACAATGGGGATGTCTTCGCTGAGCACGTTATGTTTCACGTGCAGCCTATCCTTCTTGAGGATAATATAGCTCTTCGACTTTCGCTCGTTGGAAGAACTATAGGAAGTTAAAAAAGGGCGAAAGATAAACCGCATCAATATAAGTCTTACCTCGTCACGGATGCCTGCACAATTTCTTTCTTCGGATCCGTCTCCACAATGATTCGGTTCTTGCTCAACTGCTCCTGAACAAGAATGACCTTTTCCGTTCCATTGACGATAAAGTAACCACCCGGATCGAGTGGGCACTCGTTGAGATTGCTCATCTCCGCGGGAGTTTTGTTCGTCAGCACACACTTGGAGCTGCGAAGCATGACGGGCATCCTGCCAATGGAGACACCTCGCCGAATGACCCGTTGACGCCCACGCACGTATTCAAAGTCGACATAGATCGGCGCGGCATAGGTGGTGTCCCGCAGTCTGCATTCCTGCGGCGTCACATTCGATTCAAAGTGGAACCCGGCGTCGGACTGCTCATCGGCGCGCCGAGGCGATCCAACGTAGATGTCGGTGAATTTGATGTAGAAGTTGTGATCCACATCGCTGCGAATCATCGAGCTCGACTCGACAATCTTCTTCAACTGCACCTCGACAAAATAGTTGTACGAGTCAATGTGCTGTTTCACCAAGCCTTTGACTTTGAGGAAGGCGGGGAGGAGATTCCATTTATCCTTGGCCGTGTCGATGGGATCGGTGAGCGATTTGTTATAGTAAAAGGGCTCGAGAAGCGCATCGAAGGGATCTCGGTGCTGATAGTTTGGAGCCGAGTGCTCGTGCGGTTGGTCACCACCATGCTCGGCTGGGCCTGGCTCGGTCGTTTGGGTTGAGTCAGAGGGTTTCTTGGACACCGAAGAGCGCTTCCGCTTGGCCGCGGCGGTCGCGGGCTGATAGTCAGTCTGTAGAGAGGGAACCGATGTTAGTCTGATGGACGAGTGGCTCGAATGGGAGCTTGGAAAAAGTTTTGCTCGTACCTCTGTTGGCGGCCGAGTAGATCGGGCGTTGCTAGCCGCGGAGGGCTGCGGCCGCCTGCGAGGCGGCATGGTCGCGGATATCTGAAGCCTGGAGAGTGCCTCGTTTCCGTAATGACAAATCCGGGAGTCAGTGAAAGAGGGACGCGACTGGCATCGCCCTTATTGGAGAAATCGGACGGAGGGGAAAGTTTTTGGTTATCGGCGGGGGTTATGTAATCGGTCAGCTCTCTCCGACGAGCAGGCTGGACACCTGAGGCAGACACTTCACCATGGGCTGATAATCCAATCATTTATCATAGGAAGTGTTGTCTCTGTCGAATGATCACAGTGAATGAGCAAGAATCATATTGTCTGTTCTAGCCTACCTCATTTTGGGGTGGTGGGCGTGCATCTGCTGCTAGCCCTAATTCCTCGGTCCCCGATCTATATTGGGATGCCTCGACCCAAGCAACTCAATCTGTAGATGCGATCGCAGCCATCCGGATTGGCATAATGACAATCGCTACCCAGTCCATGTCGAGCAATAGATCCAACGCCTGGTGAGGCTCACCAGCCCTGTATGATGATGGCACCTTCCTCACACCCGCAACGGTGGGTCTCGGTCCATCGATATCTGGGATATGCAGCCATCAGCCGATGCATCGACAATCCCTGGACGGGAGATGCGATCGGAGGAATGTTCCATGGCCAGCAACAGGGACGGGGGTGCCACTCTTCGGGAGGCACCATTCGTCCATGCCCGCATCTCTGCAGCCACGATCATCGCGAGCATTCTTGTTCTGTGGCGGGCAACGATTGACCGCAAGTCCCTTGCCACAGTGCGGGGGACTCGTTCGTGTACATCCAGTGCCCGTCGATTATGATTACTATGCTGATTATGATCTCATTGATTGGAAATCTTCCATCGCCCTCCTCGTGGGTGCTGGTATAGCTCGGATCCAGGACGATCCCAGTGTCGAGCATACAGAACCAATCCTGGGCCTCGACGGGACTACTCTGTGGGCATCCTTCCAGTTCCCCCTCCATCTGCTCGTCATAACGTTGGTGGATCAGGGGCCAGACTTGTGGCGGGAGGTACACCGCTGTTTTTCTCCGATCCCTGGTTCTAGTCCCCCCAGAACCACCACGAACGGACTGAAACAACAAAGCGCCCGCGATACTCGCTGTCACATCCTGGCGCGCTACACGCTTCCTCGTGTCTCCACTCCCTGCTCTCGCCTGCAGATGCCACGCTCTTTTCCCTGGCCCCCTTGCGTAGACTGAGTCAAGAAGCCTGGCCTCGCACGGAATTGGCCATTCGGGCACAGGCCCCGGGCGTCCGTGGACTGGATTCCGATCCCGTCTGCCCATCCTGGGAGTAGCCTCACGGAGCGCGTGGATGGGCTCTGTCAAAGAAACCCAGGTTGCCACCGCCTTTCTCCCATCCACACCATTCCCCATTTGGAGTCGAGGGCTGAGCTCCCCACTTTTGTTTCCTTTCCCAACCCCCTCTCCTCTCTTCTTCTTTCTCTCGCTGGTTCTGTTCTGCTGTACACTGATCTCTCTCTCCTTTGTTGTTGTGGTTCGGTCGTTCACTCGTTCCCTTGTGTTGGTGTATGTGTGTGTGTGTTTCCCCCTAAGCCTCGCCTGTAAGTGTTGATCCGCGTGTGATGCTTCCCCCTGGCTGATCTCCGCATCTGTGTCAGGTACAACAACCACCACCCACCACGTTCTATCGTAGCTAGATGCCACGGTCGGGACTGGTGCCTGATCCTCTCGACCGATCGTGATTCCCTCGACTCTCGAGGCGTTCATTGTGTGAGTCTGGCTCCAACACGCCGATCGCTTCCCTCCTTCCCCCCACCTCAGCCCCTCTCCGATCTCTGCGTCCCCTTACTTGGCCGAGTACGACACCCGGTGCCCACCACCACCACTTCCGGCCACTGAATGTCTGGGTTGCAGACAGAACCATTCGGGAGGCTGGAGGCAAAGGAAATCCCCTTAAAACCGTGCCCCGTGCCAGCATAATCCATCAAATCAACACCCGTGCTGACCAATGCTGGGGTGTGTTGCTGTAGTTGGATCCTTGGACAACTCTGCCCACCATGGCCTTCAAGAACGGGCTGAGTGAACGCCTCGACGAGCTGCGCTTCCCGTCTCCTCGATCTCCGCCCTCGGAGTCGACCTTCCCCGGCTACACCTCGCTCTCACCGGGCCATTCGAATATCGTGTCGCCTTTTTCGCGGCCATCGGGCGATGTGCGTGCCAATTTGCAGCGGCGCTTCACCACGGACTCGAGTAAATTTTCCTCGCCATGGAATTCACTGAACCAGGGAGCGCCTCAGATGCCGGATCCGCTGGACCTGTTGTCTTCGGTAAGTGGAGAGCGTCTTTTTTGCATTGGGGGAATGTGGTGGACTTAGGGCTTGTGGGAACTTGCACTGGTGGAGGCAGGCAGTTCCTCTCTGTTTTCCCATGAGACGAACTGCCTGCCTGCCTGTCTCCTGGTCTCATGCCCTGCTCCTCCCCTTCGTCCATTGCACCTTATCTGATTCACACCTCGTCTATTGTCGCCTTCCCCCATTATCACCATCCGCTCGCCCTCCCTTCACTGTCCCTTATGAGCCTTGGACCCGTCTCTCACTCATCCACCCACTCTCCCATCTCTCTATCTTTTCCTTCCCCTCAAGACGTTCCTCTCTCACGTCCCCTCCTCTGATCTTCCGTACTAATCCTTGACCTTTGAACAACCCCACTTCTTTGCATTTCTTTTCATTTCCTCCCATCTGACCATGCCGCAGTTCGAAAAGAAGCGTCAGCACATCGAGTACATGCGTGAGCAGAAGCGACGCTTCGAAGAAGACATGAAACTGCTGGACATGCAGCATGAGAAAGAGAAGCAGGAGATGGACCAGCTGGCCCGGGACCTCGCCAAGGCTGGTGTGTCTGGGCCCGTCAGCGAGCCCACCACCCCGCCGGAGTATCGCGAGAGCGCCGTGTCCAGTGCCTTTTCGCGGCCCTCCCGCTTCTCGACCTCCAGCGTGACCTCGTCTCCCGGCTTCTTCAACGCCTTTGCTTCGTCGCAACTGACGTCGCCCCAAGCTTCTTCCCACACCACTCACCACTCGGTGGATCGTTTCGCGGGTCACTCACTTCCTGGCTCGCGGCGCAACTCAGAGAAGGAGGATTTTATCCCGGAAACGGTTGCAAGCTTCCGCCCAGGACCGTCGTAAGTGAAACATGTTCCCTTCTTTCCATCGGATCACCTTTCCTCTCGCCTTGTCCGAGTCGTCAAACCCCTGCGGTCTGGTCTGAACTCTAGCTGACTGGCTTTTAGCATCCACCGCTACTCGCTGCCTTCCAACAACTACAATAACCAGCTGCGCCATAATGTGCCTGGTTTCAACATGACCTCTGCTGCCGACTCGTTCGCTGCGACCAAGTATCTCTTTCATAATGACGACGACAAGTCCCCTTTGAAGGACGAGGATCGCATGCCCACCCCGGACATCAAGAGTTACATCAAGTTGACAGAGCCGGATGACAAGTTCCCCACTCTTTTGCGTCGTGGTGGTTCGAATCTGGTAAGTCGACGATTCTGGATTGGAAACTCTCAAGGTATGCTAACCAGCTATCAGCTTTCTGCAAACCCGGATGCTTTGGATCTGGCCAACTCTCGTACTCCTGGCCCCGACGCGTACAACTCCCACAATCGGCACCGGCTCTCTCATCAGAGTATGCCGCAGAATGTGCCGGGGATTATGCGTGTGGATCAGCTGGGCAGCCCGACCGCAGAAGACCATGGCAATGCGCACACCTCGCGTCACACTGCTCGCCACTCTCTGGAGGGAAGTCTGGTGTACAACAATGATCGTGGCAACGACGCCATCACCTCTGGGCCCTCGACCCGTCCCACCTCGCTGCAGTCTTCTTACTCAACCAACGATCTTCCTACGGTGAAGGGTAGTAGCTTCAACAACGCGATCACTCCTCCCAAGACACACGCTGAGCACATCCACCAACACAATGCCAGCATGGGACGCATTCCCGCCGGCGCCGTCAACAGTCGCCAGCGGAAGGAGTCACCCGAGGCCGACGAGACCGCTCTTCAGAGCCCGAACTCGCCGCAGTCCATTCTCCAGGCGAGTGCCGCACCGTTCGGTCCCCAGTTGACCTCGTCGGCTACTTCCAATGGCGGCCTCACTGGTTCTGTTGGCCCATCTGGACTGCCCCCATTCCAAGCCCCCATCTACGGCTATGGAATTCCGTATGTCGGACCTCCTGGTCAGCTGAACAACCAGATTCCGGGTTTCCCAACCGCGGGTGCCTACGGCGGATACCCTAACTACAACGGCGGATATCGTTTCACTGAGGGTGTGGGCCGTGGTGCTGCTCCCCAGCGTCGCCAGGGTGAGAGCGATTCCACGCAACTCACTCGCTTCGCCAACTACCCTCTGGAGCATTACAAGGGCGAACTGTACACTCTGTGTAAGGACCAGCACGGGTGCCGCTATCTGCAGCGCAAACTGGAGGAGCGCACCCCGGAGCATGTGCAGCTGATCTTTAGCGAAACTTATATGCACGTCATCGAGCTTATGACAGATCCATTTGGCAACTACCTGTGCCAGAAGCTCCTTGAGTACTCGAACGACGAACAGCGCACGGCTCTTATTGATCATGCTGCTCCCCAGCTGGTCAAGATTGCTCTCAACCAGCACGGAACTCGGGCTCTGCAGAAGATGATCGAATTCATCTCGACTGCGGAGCAGATCCAGACTGTCATCCGCGCGCTCGAGCACCATGTTGTGGAGCTGGTCCAGGACCTGAATGGCAACCATGTCATCCAGAAATGCCTCAATCGTCTGTCGCCAGAAGATGCTGAGTTCATCTACCAGGCCGTTGGCGCCAACTGCGTCGTCGTCGGCACTCATCGCCATGGATGCTGCGTTCTTCAGCGCTGCATTGACCATGCTTCGGGTGCTCAGAAGGCTCATCTCATTGCGCAAATCACGGCGAACTCCTTTGCCCTGGTCCAGGATCCCTTTGGCAACTACGTCGTGCAGTACATCTTGGATCTTGCCGAGCCTCACTTCACCAACCCGCTCTGCCAGACGTTTGGAGGCAACATTTCGTCGTTGTCCAAGCAGAAATTCAGCTCGAATGTGATCGAGAAATGTCTGCGCACTGCTGATCCTCTTATCCGACGTGAGATGATCGATGAGATGCTGTCTGGCAACGAGCTGGAGAAGATGCTGCGCGATTCCTTTGCCAATTACGTCGTGCAGACTGCCATGGACTTTGCGGATCCGGACACTCGTAACCGAATCGTGGAATCCGTTCGCCCGATCCTCCCTTCGATCCGTCAGACCCCGCATGGGCGTCGCATCGCCGGCAAGATGATGGCTTCTGAGAACTCCGGCAGGGGAAGCGCCACGACCAGTGGCCAGGCCACACCGAACGAGGTCCACACCACGCAGATTTCAGGATCGATGCTCCAGAAGAACTTTGTGTACCAACAGCCAGGCGCTCCGGCCTCCAACGTTCCCAATGGATTCGGCCAGAACTTTATTCCCGCTTCCTCGACCAGCTCCGCCTCCAACACACCTTCCGGTGGAAACAGTGAGACCTCGTCGATCTTTAGCCCGTCCGCCACTCAGCCGACCACCAACCTCGGAGCGCAGAGCCAGCTCTATGCCTATTTTTGAAGCGTTGAGCGTTCCTCACAACCACCTGTCTCAACTGTACACATAGCCATGACGCGACGACCTTCTATTTCATGATTTACGGCTACTTACCTTGCAAGACTTGTCATCAACTCTGGTTGGGACCGGTTGCATATGCCATGACCATCTATCTTTGCGGCACGGTTTCCTAGTGCCGTGCGCATTTCTGCCCCAGCATTTTTACCCTTTGCACAATCTGCATTTTACTCTTGTCCATTATCATCCTTTGCAGATACTCTTTCCATGAAGCAATGCGTCATGACTGTTCCATTTGGCAAAGCTCACGCGTTGCATGTGTATCTCTCCCCTCGAATTCACGGTGACAATTTAGTCTCGGGAATCCATGACCTTTTTTGGGCACTTGTGTTTTCAATTTCCACATTGTGTACTTTTCTCCCATTTTGTCTTCTGACAAGCACTGGTCTTTCTCGGTTGATGAAGAAGGCCATGGTTGTTTCTTCACATGATCTGGCTTTTCAATGTTTTTCAACTCGATTTGATCCGTGCTTTTCCTGCGTGTGCTTTTATCCATATTTTTTCTCCCTCTGTACTTTGCGTTCCTGCTTTCTTTTGGCATGCATTTGTGCTGTTTAGGCCATTTTGAAATCCTTCTGCGTGGAGGAACGAGCCTTGGGCGTTTCCTTTAAGGTGCGCGAGCAGGGTGGTTTTTTCGCCAGGATGCTTTTTCGAGTTTGGGACATTGTTGTTGGAGGGCTGGCTGGAAGATATGGTAGCCGTGCATTGCCTTGAGGCTGATGTGGGCAGCTATTTTTCCATCTTTGCTTGTTTGCTCCTACTTCTTGACATTGGGATTTCTTGCCATTTGGTTTTTTATCTCGATGCATGTTCCTTTTTGCCTACACATTGTACTTCGTCTTTGATCTTTTCTTTTTCCGCATGGGTTGTACTCATAGTCTTCTGGAATTGCATTCGGTTTCTGTTTCCATTCTGTCTTATTGTAGGCCGTGTTTATTTGTAACCTGGTATTCGTAACAATCTCTTGACATATATCTTCACAATTTATTCAGGTGTAGACCAGCTAAATATTTCATATGAATCCACTGATTCCACGTTCGATACAGACATGCAATAGACTCGCAAGGTATCCAATATCGTCATAGTATTTATCTTGGACCCATTCAGCAGCTTGCGCAATAGTCAACAGCTCTAGTCCACCCCAGTCCCCCGTAGTCCCCGACCTTATCCGTTCCGCGAGTCTCATCCCAGTCTCTGGGACTATTCGATATCCATCCTTGCCACTTGATGAAAATAATACGCCTGATTGAAGATTGATATGTTATGAAAACTCAGGAATGTAATCAATTGCCGCGATTATAATCTAAAAGCTATTAGAAACAAATAATTTTGGAACGTAGATAAATGTATAAAATGCGTTTTATGGGGGTATAGTCCCAGTCCAGCCACGGCGGCGGCGCTTACGTGATCCCATTTCTCCTTCCTCCGGCGCGTCCTCGACAGCTCCGACAGTAGACAACGCGACGCACATCGGTCTCTCATGCTACCAACAGACGTTGCTCGTTCTTTGAGCCCACAATGGCCGTGCCGCGATGTCCAGGCGCGGCAGCTGGCCAGTCTCCTCAGTGTGAGTCTCCGACTCCGAAATCTGTCGACGGAATCGAGCTAATCTTCTCATTGCCTTTAGCCCCAGACGCCTAGCCCCCCTACGCTGGTTGTGCACGGCATTTCAGCAACTTGCAAGTCAACTATCACACGCGCAGTTCTCTCCGCACTCGAAGTGCCGCACGCCGTCGTCCGAAGCTCGGAATGCATCACAGGGCGGCATCTATTGACGAAGATCTTGTGGGCGACTCTGGAAGCTCTGAATCGGAAAGACGAATGGGAGAAATTTGGCAAGGGACGCGTTGAGCACGTCAGTACCCTGGCAGTCCTGCTGGACGAATGTCTTTCCTCGAGAGCGGCCGACAAGACGGGCAAGTTCGTGCTGGTGCTGGATGAGATTGATCGGCAAAGAGAAGCACCACCGACGCTCTTGTCCGCCTTGGCACGACTTGGAGAAATTGTAAGACCTTGCCGAATGTCAATTCGCTGTTCCAGATTAACGATTCCTAGATCCCATCTCTCTGCGTTGTCTTAATTCTCAGCTCCACACCACGACCGCTTTTCCTCCAAAATGCAGCCGTTCCGCACATCAGCTTCCCTCCGTACACGCGCAAGGAGGCCATTGCAATCATCCTGAATTCAGAACCGCCAACTGTGGAAGGGTTGCCAGCAGAAACCTCGTCACAGATATACCCAAACTTCGTGTTGACAATATACGATACGCTTGTTGGACCGACAGCTGGATCTATCCCTGTTTTCCGATCCATCTGCTCAAGACTCTGGCCTCAATTTGTTGCCCCAATTGTGAACGGCGAGGCTCCTCCCGGCGGGAATGCAGAGTGGGATTTCTCGCACTTGGTTGTCAAGAACAGAGTGCTCTTCCGACATCAAGGAGAGTCAGCTCTGGTACATCGGATTGTTCCCGAAGAAGCTGCCACCGCAACATTGAAACCACGCGTTCCCTTGGCTGCCAGCGCAGTGCCCTCAGCTCTTCCCTCTTTGCCCTACTTCTCTACACTGATCCTAACATCTGCCTATTTGGCTTCCCATACGCCCCAGAGACTGGATACAATCTTCTTCTCTAAGTTCTCATCCTCATCACTGTCCGCCCGCAACAAACGTGCGCACCACCGTCGTCGCCTGAAGGTTCTTTCACAGGCTCAGGCCGAAGAGCAAGCCGCTGGCGGAGGTCCGTCCACCCCAGGCAAAAAAGGCAAGCGAAGCAAGACCCGCATCACCAAATCGACGCTCTCGTCTGCATTCGCGACGTCCTCGGCTACCACGTCTGCCATGGGCGGCGGAGCCGGTATCGCAGGTCCATCCACGATCCTCACAGCTCGTCCCTTCCCACTGGAACGGCTTCTTGCAATATATCATGCCATCGACCCCAACCCGCCAGCAAATCCGATCCGTGTTGGCGCCGTCGCAGACCAGATCTACGCTGAGCTAGCTACTCTCCGTCGTCTACGTCTGGTTATTCCCGCATCGGGTCATGGCGGCGGAGTCTCTGGTATCGGTAGCGGAAATACTACTGCCGATGCTGGCGACAAATGGTCCGTTAATGTGACGGGAGAGTGGATCGGTGAGCTAGCCAAGGGCATTGGTGTCGAGGTCGGGGAATGGCTGGCTGGTGGTTTAGACTGATCTTGCCGTTAAGGGGCGTCTGTTGGGGGAAAGGGCTCATCGCACAATCGGTGTTTTGGTTTTGTTTTAATTCGCGGGTGTATGCTCATGAATGTGTCTTGCCTACAACCGATGCAATACATCCTCATTTCATTAACACTTGACATTACTGTCGAGTCATTTAAATACATCGCTACTAGTATCTCACAGGGCAAGGTCATTCAAAAATTACCAGGTCCACTGATCGACGGTGGCACCTGCACATACCAACAGACTAGGTGTTTGAGGCGCATGCCTATTCAGGGCGCCTTCGCCAGACTCAAAACATAATGAGTGGATGGGCTGTGGGTAGCGATATTTCGACAGCGGAGAGGCAACCTGCGCGCCAGTGTGTAAAGAGAAAAGTTGAATCTTGTGTTCGTCGGAGGCTGTATAATCCATCGTATAATCCATCTAGTCAGCAGCTACTCGCCAGGAACCTCGGCGGAACAAAGAAAGACGCACCACTTGCTAACATGCCAAGTTCATTGCTCACATCAAAGTCTTGGATGGACTCTGGTTCATATTCGGGGAAGGTCAAGTATGGGCGTGTGGAGGTGTGAGAGCGGGAGTTAGGTTTTGGTTTGCGTTGGAGGCCATTGGGAGCGTAGCGGATGTCGTACATTTGGAGCTGGGCACGGATATCCATTAGAGCTATGTCGTGGATTGAGATAAAGACATCGACAAAATGGCAGACGTACCGAGTTATGCCCTGCCACGACGAGTCGATACGGATCAATCCTGCGGATCTTGGATACGAAGTGCGGGTGTTGTAGCCGGGTCGCACTACCACCACTGCGGAGATCATGGAGAAAGACAGTTGAGTCTTTTAGGCCCGAGGCGATAACGTCCTGCGATAACCATTCGACGGCAGTGACGCTAGCATGAGAAGTGTCACTACGTCGATGACTACCTGGTTTGGTGTCTCCCGGGAATGGTTTCTGTGAAAGTGTCCAGTGGCTGCCAAACCCTTCCAGTGTATGGAGGCCATCAGAGGCGCCGATGGCAAAGAGTGCTTTGCTGCCTGTTGGGCAGGCTGCGGAGCACCATAGCGAGGGTGTGGTGCGAATGCGGATAGGATGTGCAACTGCAGGGGGTGAGCCTTGCTGTCTTGGGTTGGGCCAGGGTAAAAACGTACAGTAGTTGGGCCATCGGTAGTCGCCGCCTTCGTCTGGGTCAGGTAGCATGCGTGGTGCGAGAAAGGAGTCTCCGTTTGGTCCGCTGTCCATTGTTGCTCTGCTGTCGTTAGCGAAGCCGCAAGAAGCGCTGGAACGATGCTTCATACAAGAGATATCCCGTGTGGCTCAAAGAAACCGAGGAAAGCTGTAAAATGTGTCAGTGGTAGGAAGGACAAGGCAGACAAGACAACAAACTCGGTATGCTTCTTTGAATAGGACTCGCTCCATGGTTCGGTTGTATGTCCATTGTTCTTCATCAAAATCCGGAAAGCAGATTCTCGACGGTTGTCAGTAGAGCGTCTCGGTTTCGCAAGCAACATCGAAACTCACGAGACGGACGACTCGCCACCATGATATCCGCCTGAAAAAAAAAAAGAATAAGCCGATTGCACCATCGCAGCACTAAACGGACACTCACTGGCAATCAAGATTCCGGACTTGGGGTTCCGTAAGACATGGCGAATAGAGTAATGATCCGGCCACGGCTCAAACTCATGCAGCTTCTTCCGCTGTAGTTGGCTTGCATATACTATGGCCTGCTGCTCCCGCCTGGCACTTCCAGAGAGCAAATTTGTTGCAATTTCTCTTGAGGCATTGTTCAGTGGATGGTTTAAGAAAGCAGCTGTCTTAACCTTTTCGCGAGCTGACCGCTGGGCGAGATGAACCCGTTTTTGCCGTTTCTGTACGGCAGTCAGCAATGAGTTCTCTCAAAATAGACAGCACAGCACACCTCTTGTTCTGTGCGTTTCCGCTTGACAGCTTCTTTGGAGTACTGTGCTCCAGGTGGCGCTGCGTGGTTGGCTTGGACTTTGAAGTATTTCTTTTTCTCCGGATCTGCCAGTTTGATTAGTACAGGTGTTCAACACGGTAAAACAAATCCAGCGGCCCCCAAATTCAACAGTAGTTGAGCGTGTATTTAGTTTGCAAGACATGGAGATATGCAAAAATCCAGTGCGCGGATAAAGATTTCATCGAGGGCACATCTGGTGATACAATGCCGCGACTCACCATAATAGAAGCCCGGTATCTCCCGGTTCATCATTGCGCAGCTGGTGCGCCCAACTGGCAGAAGACGAGGATCAGAGAGTGGCGCTCGGGGTTGGCGAGTCGAGCTTCATCCACTTTTTTGAATCACCACCGCAGTGCTCTCACATCGGCTGATCATCCCATGTATTTCTTCATCGCTTTTGATAGACATAAACAGAGATAAAAATGTATGAACCAAAGCAGAACGAAATCGCGACGAGCTAAGGGAGCTGAAACTCTGGTGGCACGCGAGACCACCTTGACGATCTGAGCTGGTGACGTCGGGAAGATCTTACATCAGCTGGTGCCTGAGGCAGCAACACAACTACATCGTGCCTGCTACTCTAATTGGAGACCATCACGGTTGCCCCAGATCCTCCAGGTAAATGGTTGCTGAGAGGACTGACTTTAATTTTTCATTTCTTTGTACGAAGTGGAAAGGCTTCTCGCCGTTCTGTATGTGTTCGACCACGCAGTAACGAGTGACGAACTATTTCCGATATCATCTGCATGCAAGCGTTTTAATTATATAAAAGAAGAGGACTTGTAGACTCCAGGAGTCATTATCCACAAGGGTGGTAATGAGTGCAACTGCTGCCCACTGCAACAACTCCTTGAAGAACTCGACAGACAGGTTTCGGCTCCTGTGGCTCCCGTCTTTCGGCAGCAGAGGTCAAACACCAGCTCAGGAAGTTGCCTTGGAAGCTTGCCATAGAGTTGGACAACCTCAGTAGATGCGGTCACACCCCAATGCTGCATGGTGCGCTGGAATGCTGCCCTGGGCCATCTTCTTGCCACAAGACTGGTAGAGAATGTGTGGCAGGTGGAAGACTGTAAAATCACAATGGAGAAATCATCTGCCAGTATATCAAAGAGAAATTCTCGGCCGAGGCAGCTCCAAAGATGAGAAATCCAGTGAGGAAGTCACGTTCGGCCAGAAACTGCTGGTGTGGTATCCCCCAACACATCTTTGCTTCGATCCACCTCTTCCACTTTCTTCCCTCTTCACCCTCACTTTGCTTCACAACCCCGTTCCCATCAAACTCACACTCGTGTCATCATTTCGCTGAGCCTTCTCCTTCACAATCCTGAAAAAAGATACGTCTTCCAGTCCAGGTAAGTTGTGGGCCCTAAAACAAGCTGTATCTCGGTTGAGGCCATCAGGCTTCATCCGAGCTGTGTTCTTTCCACCCCGAACACTTTCAAATGTATCTCTTCTGCATCTCAAGCATCATCACACCTTGTTGAATGTCTGGAATGATGCGTTTCACTTTGATCCTTCTTTGTGTTCGCAAGCAAGAAGGGTTGTGCTGATCACATATTCACGTTTGTTCAGCAACCGCTTTCGGTCTGGCAGGTATGGCTGAATACTTTAGCCGCCTTGACCCCCGGGCGCAGGCTCTCCATAGCCACCAGCCTGAACATTCTCTAGCTCAAGAGGATAAGGATATCCGTGTTGCTGTACATGACGGGGCCACTGACAACCTGGGCCCAGAGGGAAAGGAATCCCACGAACTCGTCCAGGAAGAGACCGAAGAGAGTTTGAATGTCCTTATCGAGGATCTGGAGGCCGAAGATGGCAAAGTAAAAGATCCTGAGGTGCTCACTATCCCGGTCGCCCCTGGTGAAGAGCGTCTTGTCCCTCCTCAACTGATTCAAACCGACCCTGCCCATGGCTTGTCGAACGCTGAGGTCATCCTTGTTCGAAAGAAGTATGGCCTGAACCGTCTGAAGGAGGAGAAAAGAAACCATGTCCTCAAGTTTTTGGGCTTCTTTGTTGGCCCTGTTCAATTTGTCATGGAGGTAGGTCAGCTTCCATGGATATTGCACGGTTGGAGTAATGAAACTAACCCAGTTCTTGCATTTATAGGGTGCAGCCCTGCTCGCTGCTGGTCTGAAGGACTGGATCGATTTCGGAATCATCTGCGGTCTGCTCCTCCTGAATGCCGCAGTTGGATTTTGCCAGGAATACCATGCTGGCAACATTGTCGATAGCCTCAAGGAAACACTAGCACTGAAGGCAACCGTGATTCGCAATGGTAAACGAATGGAAATTGGAGTTGAGGAGGTTGTTCCCGGTGATATCGTTCATGTGGAAGTTGTAAGTGTTCACTTCTCATCCTACATTATTAAAAAAAAAAAAAAACAGGAGAAACATTCGCCAGCAGCCCGATGGCTCGGAACTAGAGCCTAAACTCTTCCTTCGCCAGACCGTTGGAGACAGCGTGACGAATATCATTGAAGAAGCGCTTTACAATGATCTAGGACTCCGGCAAACATTTGGGTTGAAAAGGTCGATTCGGTTCGAAAACTCCAATGCCCCAATTCCAAAGCGCGAAATCGAAGAGGGTACGGATATTCGCGGTCGCCGAGTGCGACGACGATCACCGCGTATAGCTGCTCGAGATAAAAACGCATCAAGCACTCGAGTTTCCGAAAAGCACTCTTGAAGTCAAATTCGATCTCAGGCTTGTTTGACAAATTGCGATAGAGAGACTCCAGAATTGTGAGGGCACAGGTGATTCTAGAAATTCAACGAGCATCGGAAAATGGATTTTGGGGTAACTTTACCATTTGCATCGAAGTCGTTTAACGAAAGGTTCTCCGAAACCGGGGAGTCCTGTAGACCCTGAAAAATGTTACGAAATGGGACCACGTTGGAGGCGGAGCATGAGAAGGATCTATACAATCTTCAGAAGCGACATTTCCAATTTCCTTTGCGGGGTCTATACGGTTTTAGGGGTTCAGAAGGGTCCAAGTGTTATCTAAAAATACTTTTAGCGGCTCAGCCGCAAAATGAAGCACCCAATCACTTCCCTAGAGCGCTAAATAAACTGGGGCCTTGGTATATTGGCGTCTAGCGCTAAGCTATAAAAAAGCTAATTAGGTTTTGCCGCAGGCGCTGAGCCCCCATAACAAGAAGCTCTCTTTGCAAGTATATAAACTACAAGTCTACATCATCACCTCTAATTCTTATTCTCGACAGATCGCTCTACTTCTCTACTTGACCATCAATTCTTTATTCAAGACCTTTATCTACACCACCCAAATGATTGCAAAGTCTTTTCTTATTTTTGGCCTTGCCGCCATCGGCTCTTCATTCTCCTTCCCAGATGACCTGCCAAATGGGTCCTATCGAGCCTACTACAATGAGGCTGGCGAAGAAGTCCATGAGTTGATTGAAGCAAGCGTTTTTAATAGCACATCTTCCCTGCCGGCACTGCCAAAGCGGCAATATTCCCAATCTAAGCGAGATTCTATCCAAACCTGGTGCGGGTGCGACAACTCTATGAATGCCGGCGATACAAATGTTGCAAACGCAGGACTAGCCGACCAAGCGGCTGCGTATCCGACGATTTGGCCTGGCACAGCCTTCTACACAATCCAGAACACTGCCGTTGCGTTTGTGTGCAACGTAGATGACAAATCTGCAAATATCCCCACGGACGTTGTTAGCACTGGCTCATGGGATATTTCGGCGGCCTGCGGCCTGTTTTATGCTGGTACCTCCCGCATTCAGTGGCCCGAGGCCCTGGATTATGGATACATGAACTACGCGCCAGGCCTTGAATTCTGTCAAGATGCCGAAGAATCGACTTCAAGTACTTGCCAGGTCAACTTCTGGATTGGCGGTTTCAGTGGGGAGTTTGAAGCTGGAGCGGTTGACGAACCCAGTGATGACAACGAGGTGAGTGATATTTCTGCAGTTCTTGCAAGCGGCTCAGCTCAGTAAAATACTAATCTTGCATGTAGGGCGGCCTTTGGGTCGGAAGTGCGCTGGATTGCAACGATGTGTCCATGGGAGCGCCTTTCTCCGATGATGTCGACAACATCGGCGAGGAGGAATACAACTGGTGCAATACCAATTTCCAGGTCCCGGGCCAGACCAACTTGAATGTGTACATGGGTGGCGATGGCAACAGGTGTGGCCAGGTGTGCAACAGCGCGGACGCCTGCCCTGACGGCGGTCTTTTTGCCCAGCTCTTCAATGCTGACGGCGGCGCACAAATTGGCACATGCACCTGGGACTCCTCTTGGAATACCGACTGCGCGTCTGATGGGTCCCTGATCTACTCTTCGCGTGTCCACTGTGCCTTCACCCCATAATTGCATATGTGCTCGAGCTCTTTCATATCCCTCCTGACCGTTTCCGTCGATGAATTTCATAGAAGACTAACTCACATGGAACAGGTCCAGAAAGGCCTGTACTATGCTACTTGTGAACATTTTCCACTTATTTTCTGTGTCAGGCATACTCAATATCTTCATCTAGCGTTAGTCTTGTCGTTCTATATCAGCGTCTTTATTATTGTATCTCATACCAAAATGCATTTGTCGAAAGCAGCCGTTTTGGCATCTTTGAAGATCAAAAAGACGTCTCTGACACAGCTCGGTCCACGGCACGGCACTGTCAGCACTATGGATCAATGATGTCTGCTATTTTAAATATGTGCCATATTGTGCTGCCTCAGCTATTATATGTTAGAGCGTATCGTATCTCGGGGAAAGTACGACCCCAGCGGTATTTTAGACCGCGAAAAGATATGCGGTGTCACTACAGTCCTTCGAGATTAATTATAATAGCCTCACTATCCAAAATTTCAACCTCCACAATCCCATCAGTGACAGTATATGTTTCCACTGCCACTACGCCTTCCACTGTATGCCCTCTTCCTTGATCAATTGAGTAGCTCCATTCCTCACCGGCCCAGGTAATACTCTGTTCGGGTCCAGCGTAGTCAAATCCCATCGCCTGGGCTCCTGCTGCAGACTCTAGGCGCTGCACTGTATAGGAGAAGGTGTTGACAGGGACTGGGAAAGAAATGTTTTCTGATCCTCGGCTATTGACGCTTTCACCTATAACCCAGACGCGAAGGTTAAGCAATGCGACTTTAAAAACAGCATTGGTATTTGCATCATAAATCGCGTACGCAGTAAGCGTATCCGATCCTAGATCAACTTCGGCTACCTTGCCTGGATTTTGTCCCAAGAAGTCTGCGATAAACGGTAGGGCATACCAGGGGGCGCGTACTTGCGGACCAGGATTCGCATCCCCGGCAGAGTTGTCTGGGACCCAGTAGCTGTGCAGTGCTGCAGGGCGTTGAGTAGCATCGACTCGACCAACGCCCTGTGTCAAACTGTATAGCCGGAAGTCAATGCTCCAGAGTGCCGCCCCAAAACCGGCCTCGATTTCGATAGGGCTCCATTCCCCAGAGCCAGTTTCGCTTAGTACAAACTCGACATCTGGTTCGTATGCATTCAAATAGTCGATTTGCGAATTGCATGAAGCGAACAATGAAGCGGTAATAGTATGGTTCATAAGATAAAACTGCTGTTGATCTAGAGTAGTGCAGTAAATCGGTAGCTGATACCAGTGTTGGGCGGCAAATTTGACATTCTGAAAGCTATTGAGGCCGTCTTGGAATGCGTCGATTCTGAAAAGGCTATTAGTCTTCATCTCCATGTTAAGGCTTTTTAAGAGAACTACATACAAATAAGAAGAAGGGCTTCCTGCTGAAAGATCAAGTACCTCATACATATGATTGCCTGTTGTATAGAACCCTAATGTCTGCGAAATATAGTTCATGACTGTTTTCACATCGTTGACATACTGGTCGAGGGTATAACTGATCCCGTATTGTTTAGGATAAAAATCAGGCTCGTTGCCAATAGCGACCGCAGCTAGACGAGCTTCGCCGATGTTCCAATAAGCTTGAGTGGCATAGATAAGAGTGTTAGATATATTGAGGAAAGGACCTAGTGGAGCCTGGAAAGTGATGTTAAAGCCTTGAAAGCCCTTAAACCCGTCGAAATAGGTAGGCCCTAATATGTATGTTGCCGAGGAACCAGTTGGACAATTACCAGCGATGCAGACAGTCGTTTCTCCCTGGCTTGGGTCGAAGAGAACACGGTCGCCGCTAGTCCCACCAATGCGAATTGTTAGTGGTGTGTTAAGTCGTGTGGCAACCGAATTAAGCATGTTGTAGCTAAAATCGTTGGCAAAGTTGTTCATGAACGCCGTTTCAAATCCAAAGCCAAGGAAATCAACAGGAGCTAAAACAGCGGTGTCAGGGGCTTCGAACGGCAGCTGTGCATTTACCAAGGTGATTGCAGCGAGCAGCACACATTGCGCAAATAGATGGTGTAGATCCATCTTTGTTGGGCTTTGTCTGCTGCAGTCGAGCGGGAAAGCAAATGCATTATACGCAAATAATTATGAGCGCACTGCGTAGAGCCGACCGTGGCAATTTCTTGAAACTTAATGCTGAGAAGTCCACTACTCCCATAGAAGTCAAATGCTGGTTCCATATTGCAAAATTCCAGACCAAACAGACTGGTGGTCCATTATATGCCAGACGCGGGTATTTATTGCGTCAACGACTCACCACTGCACCTACCGAGTACTGTCCATAGTCTACTTATTTCGCTCTAAAATAGAAAGAAAAGCCAAATTGGAACCGACCAGCGACCAAATGTAACCTGAAGGCATAATCAGTAAACATAAGCAATGCAGGTGTTTATGTCTCCCGAGCCGGCTTTTGTACAGCGATATACACGCCTCAGGGGAGAGGCGGATGCCAACCGCAGCAGGTAGCCGAATTCACCAGCATGCATTGCCATTGTACCTCCCTTGTAGCAAAATGCATTTGTGCTAAGGCGACCGTTTCCGGCGTCCTTGGAGGCCAAAAAGGCGTCGGCAGCGTTCGGTCCACTCTCTTCACGCACGCAGCTCCTCTACGACCTTGCGCGTTAAACCAGTTTCATTCCTCTCCATTTTATGAGGATTCCAACAATGGCACGATCCCGCCAGCGCTCGTTTATCGCTGGGACAAATGGTGCCAATGGTCATTAAACCGCCAGCTGCCGCCTCGATCTTGGTTCAGAGCTCCAACGTTTTAACTGTTCAACCCTCCAAGCCTCTGAGCCTTCGTCTCCAATTCTTCATCTCTTGGGCCTTGTACACGCACTACGAACATTTAACACTGTTTAAAAGCAAGAGACATATGCAGAGAGTATGCGAGGACTTGTTTGGGCCGAAGCCAGAACCAATCCCTGCCTGCATCAGCAAAGCCCACAATAGCCTCAAAGTTGCGGTACGCTATGAATATAGAGGGTCTATAGACAGGAAAAACCATCATGGCAAAATCCATGCGGCATATGACATGGGTATATAGACTATATTACTTGAGTGACAAGGGCAGGTTCTCGACATCTGAAGATAGAGTATTTCACCTTTGCAGCTAAACAGTAGATAACTCTATCGCTCATGTTCATTCCGCATGCCAGCCTCCAGGGTCTTGGAGCAGCTTGTAGAGATATCGAAGGTCCTGATAAACTTGGGCCATGTGTTCGTAAGGACAAGGAACTTGATGCTCTGGATGGCATCATCGAAGACAGTTGCATCGAACTCCTCGGGAACCTTGCCCCAGTATTGTGCTCGGTTCTTGATATCATCAGAAAACGAACTATGGAGAGTCTTTTCTGTGTCTTCCGAAGATGAATAGGTCGAAAGTGACCCAAAGGAGAAATTGGGAGTGTCGAAAGGAGCGATAGTATCAACTTCGCACTTGTCGCCGTATAGGGTTCGAGTGGGGCTCTCGAAGATCGTTTCGAGCTTCGAGAGATCTTGAAAAGTAATATTAATAGGAAACGTCGCGTGACGAATACTGACAAACTCGGCATAGATGTGTAAGGCGTGATTAAAATGCTCGCGGGTAAGCTCCTTGACGCTGTAGTCACTGGCGGCCGTGGCATCCCGGACAGCCGGGGGTAGCGAACTCTTCCATTCGGCGACGGCGGTAATGAAGGCAATATTCTCACCGGAGAATTCTCGGAGGGCAGCGAATTCCTGAAGAGGAGCAGGATTGTGCTCAAGGAAGCATTCAAGATCGCTCATAGCCAGGATACTCTCATCAAAGCTGGTTTTACTCGTGACGGAGCCCTTCCTTGACTTCAAGCCAAAGATCATGTTCTTGGCCATGGTAGAGACGGAGACGAAAGAGCTGGATCCAGAATTAGAGGTCTTGTTTTTTGACTTCCGCTGCACGAGTCCGTCGAGCGTCGCTCGGCGGAGAGACTGGTGGCGCATAACCTCCCAGCAGGGAAGGAAGACGGTGAAGACTTCCATAAATTGGATAGAAAGGCAGATCCTGTAACTGCGTCAGGTCGGTGTAAAAAAACTGATATAGGGACGCATACCACTGCGCAGGTAACCAGTACTTATTGACGGGCGCCATAGCAGGAACATAGAGAGCGATGAGCCACAAAGGGGTAGCGGGCAGGCTGTGCGAGACATTAGAGGGAAAAACTTCTTCAGTTGCCATGGCATACTAACTTAGCGAGAGCGCAGCCAATTGTCTGAATCCTCCAGCCCTGCGTATCGTGGATGTTGCGAGACTTCCAAAGAACTATGGGAGCAATAATCCAGGACCAGAAAAACAGCCAAAATACACCCGGCCACCTAAAACATTTGTTAGATATCATCGAATTAGTGCTGCGTATCGTGCTGTTGTTACCATTCCCAGCCTCTACCCTTCTCTATCTTCTGTTCCTTAGCGGTACCGTGAACCTCGGTGCCAGGAATGCCCCAGGAGCTATGCCACTTGCGCGAAATGATGAACATCAAGGCAGTAAGAAACACCTGCACGATCGGTTAGAAATGGATTAGAGTAGGAGTTGTCATCATACCTGAATGAACATTGATATACCAACAACGATGAGGACCTTGGACGTATAGCTGAGACGGCGAAAGCGGTTGATTAAGCCGCTCTTGCTCCTCGAGGTGAAAGGGTAATCAATAAGACGGTTGCCAGGCTGGGCATATTTCTTTTGCAGCATGGCAACGTGGAGGAAACGACTGTTGGAAGCGTGGAACAGGGCAATACCACAAGGCAGCCAGGTGCCCATGATCCAGTACTCGGAAACTTGGGGTTCCACGGCATCAAACGTCGAGTGGAATTGAACAGACATCCAATAAAAGTGAAGAAGCACGATGGCAGAGAGTGACAACCCAAGGCCTCGGACCCGCAGGGGAGGTGTGTTGCGATGAGCGATGAGATATGCAATGCCTATCGCGATGGGGACAGTCCATACGCATGCCCAGCATGTCCACCAGATTCCCAGTGGGGTGAATCTGAGCTCCGGCGTGGAGTCAGCATTGACTCCCTGCTCTGACCCCATGGTGACTGCCTTGACTGCTGAAGGAGAGATGTGAGGAGAACGTTAGAAGTTAAAGGCGCTTGTCAGATATTGCAGCCCCTCCGTAGCTCTTGTGGGCCGACCCAGATCGAAGGGCATACGCCGTCTGTGGCAAGCGGCGGACCGAATCGTATTTGAGAGGCGCTGAACGTGGGTCCGCACTCCCGACCCTGGTTCAAGAATCGGTTCAACCAGACTGATCTACGCGCCCCCAAAAGCTCGGGGGTATGTCTTTTGGTAAGTAGCTTCAAGCGGAGCTAATTGTCGAGATGGAGGAATTGGTATCTAGTAGTATCTAGCAGACACCAATTGCCACAGTACAGAGTATGAGCGGTTTGAATTTGGGATCTGTCTACATGCCCCTATTTTTTAGGTTACATGGGAAACCTAATAATCAGCAGCATCTCCTACACTAAGCCGTGTGCGGTAAATGCTGGAACAGTTCGGGGAATACCCGTTTAAGCGGGACTTGGGTCAGCCGAAGCAAATCTCACCCCGGAAAGCTCCATTGCCTCATCACAGATAGTCGTCACTATACCACTATTTCCCTCCCAGATATAAATGCTCGGCGGAAGGTTTAATTTCATCGGAGAGTAGACTGATCTTTAAAGCACAAACTGCTGTAGAAGGAAATACTGAACAGGACAGGCCTCTGTGTCGGGAAGAGATTCCGGGGTCGGGAACCATTCCCGCCGGCTGAGCGCGCCGGCTGAGCGCCCCACCCGACGCCACGATCGGCCTTTATGGGCTGAGTATGGGCTGAGGTGAAACAAACTTAATCAACGCCCAATATCAACTGCATCACCCTTCTCCCAAGCGTCTCTGAGACATCCGCCTTCAAATCTCGACTCAGCTCTACAATCTTCTCTCTGACCCACTCATGATCCTCATTATTCACATCAAGCAATAATGTCCAAAGCTTTTTGATACGCTGATTGTCAAAAATTCCATCTTCTCCATTACGCGGCCTTCACCCACACTCATTTTACGTACAATAGAATGCTGTTGCGTGGGAGAGGCTAACCTTGGTAGGGAATCATGCTCCGTTTGCGTGGCTCTTCTCTGTTTCAATATTCATTCGCTCCCAGCGCCGGTCGATCTCCACTCTAACCGAATGACCCGCGGTATAAGTGTAAATTGAGCCAAGTTATAAGTCATCTGCTTGATATAACCATAGTAAGTACCAATCCTATCCATCCAGCCCTAGAACCCCACAAGGTCCTCCCCTATCCCACAAGGTCCTCCCCTGCGTCAGCAAGCCATAAACCCCAACGCCCCCGCATCGTTATGAATACATCCAGACAAATCGACCTAGATAAACCTCGAGTAAGCTTCCATTAACGGTTCGCCAAGAAGGGGCCCACCAACATACAGAAGCCGACTGTGTACTCCCATGTCGATCATCCAGTTGTGCATGCAGCCACGGCGTACCGTCTTTTCCCTCAAGTGAGAGGTGGATCTGCGATGCGCTGTGCGCGAAGTTGTGGCCGCCCCAGACGAACTCTCCTACAGTATTAATATTATTAGCCTGAAGCTTGGTAATGGTAGAGGCAGCAGTTAGTGCGCACCGTTGTTGTTCCCTAGGCATTCGTTCAGGTCTAGTCGTGAGTAGGACCAGGATCCGTCAGGTCGCTCGCAGCGGCAGCTTAGGGTGTGGCGGTTGCGGAGGGTGATGTTTACTGAGGAGGTGTGGAAACTCATTGGGATAGTAAATGTACAACTCGAGAACGGAAGAATGAGAAACGCAGAGGGTATCCTGATCGTGCGCTCTTCTTCCTACTAGTTCTAGGCGGAGTACGTCATCTCGTCCTCATCATGCCGTCGACGAGTATTGAGAGAAGTGTGTTTTCTGCTTCATCTCTGTAATTTCAATAAAACGCAATCGCTGAGTATGGTGTTAAACGCAGGATGAAAGAATTTAAATTCTGTGCTTTTACCTGGAGATGTTGAGATACTGGCGTTAAAATATATATTCCATTTCCATTCTACCAGGAGGGCATGACGGTATACTAACTCCAGACCCATGGTCACGATGTTTATTTTTGAACACACATTCTGTACCATTTTTTCAGCCTGCTGCTCTCTCGGAATTTGTAGACCATCCCACTTGCCCGACGTGGGTCAAGTCAACACCCTACGTCACTCGAGGCGCACAGACTCGGCGCGGGACATCTCGAAAGGGTCTTGCAAGAAATCAAGCTCATCTGGCTGCATTCTCACAAATCATGGGGCGATCGCCCAAACCACGCGGATTCTTGTTCCATTTCCCAAATCACCGGTTGTTCCTGGATCAACAAGGTGGTGGATACCCCCACCAGTGTCTTTATTGATTGATCAGCAAGATTGACCTTCAAGCCGAACGGATATAGGTCGGAGTTTGGCGTCGAAGATTAATAATTCAAACATACATATATCACATTCCACCCCCTCTGGCAGACCCATCATCCACAACTAACTCCGACCATGAAGTACGTGCAACTCGGTACTAGCGGCCTGCGCATCGCGCCCATCGGCGTAGGCTGCATGAGCTTCGGAGCCCACCGAGCGCCCAACGAATGGTCTCTCCAGGAAGACGAAGCTCTCCCCGTGCTGGACCACTGCTACCGCTCGGGTCTCAATTTCTTCGACACGGCAAACGTATACTCAGCTGGGTCCTCGGAAGAGATCCTCGGCAAAGCCATCAAGAAATACGGCTGGATCCGCGAAAGCATCGTCGTCGCCACCAAAGTCAACTTCCCCGTCGGGCGCAACGGCGAGAAACCCATTGGCTGGGCGAACGACCAGCGCGACAACGGCGGCTACCTGAACCAGTACGGCCTGAGCCGGAAACACATCTTCGACAGCGTGGATGCGAGTCTGCGCCGCCTGGACCTGAGATATATCGACCTGCTCCAGATCCACCGGTTCGATCCTAACACGCCGATCAAGGAGACGATGGAGGCGCTGCATGATGTCGTCAAGTCTGGGAAAGTGCGCTACATCGGCGCGAGCTCGATGTGGGCGCACCAGCTTTTGGAGATGCAGTACACGGCGCGCATGAATGGGTGGACGGAATTCATCTCCATGCAGAATATGTATAATCCCATCTACCGCGAAGAAGAGCGGGAGATGTTCCCCGCGTGCCTGAAGTTCGGCATGGGTGGTGTGCCCTGGAGCCCGCTCGCCGCGGGGTTTCTGGGCCGGCCGTGGAAGACGTGGGCGGATACCACTCGCGGCAGCGGATGGAGCGAGAGGCCGTTTAGCGAGGCGGATAAGAGGATCAACGAGAAGATCGAGGAGATTGCGTCTCGGCGCGGAGTGAGCATGGCGATTGTGGCTATTGCGTGGTGTTTGTCGAAGCCGTTTATTACGGCGCCGATTCTGGGGCTGGGGAAGAAGGAGCGCGTTGATGAGGCGATCAAGGCTACTGAGTTTGAGTTGAGTGAGGAGGAGATCAAGAGTATTGAGGAGCTGTATCAGCCGAAGCAGGTGGTGGGACATAAATGAGGAACTACTGAAGCAGAGTTGAAAAGTGTTACATTGCCTACCTATCGCCGACGCTAAACCATTCTATCCCTTGGTTTCATGTCTGCATCTTCTGTCTGCGATACTCACTAGCAGCCATTTGTAGTATAGACTCCACGTGATGCTGCTTGGCTGACCGAGAGATCCATTTATCCTGTATTTTACGTCGGAAGATGACTGGCCCTGCAACGAACGGATCTGGTGCCGGAATGGAGTAGATCCCTGTCCTATGGGGATCGCGTCGGGTAGGGCGGCAGAGTTACTCCCCCCGATGCTGAGCCTCCCCGTTACCCAGGCACTCGTGAAAAAGATGGTGGGTATGGCTGGATCGGGTCTACCTCCGTAGTCATCACTCAGTGCTGCTACTCTATTCCTGCAGTGGATCGACCGAACTACCTCATGGCTGTCTGGTGCAGATGAGCTCGTCCACCACTCACCATCGGCGGTTCCCTCCCTCCTCGGGCGCTGATAGGAGTCGGGTGATATGCGAGACATCGCGAGGGCGCCACGACGTCAGCGTGCGAATCAGAAATGACCTAGAGACGGCCACTCGCATGATCAACCCGCTCAGCCCGCGCCCGCTAGCCCCGGATCGGGCGACGACGAGGAACTCGTCAGCAGTTAGGGATGTTCGGGTGCCTTGCAAATCGCTCGATTGAGGGTCAGGAGGGATGCGCATGGGGGAGAGGGAGGGTGATGGTTTCACAGGTGCCTGGCAGGGAGAGCGCGACAAGTAAATAAATAGGTCCGGAGCCCGAGCTGGGCCTCACACACCACTGTTGCGGACCGTCCTGTATTCAGTTGGACGACGTCGCAGAGAATCGCTCATTCCGCCAGGGGTGCTCAACCGACGGTATGTGCCTCGCATGACGCCATGGTGCCGGTGGGCCCGCCCTAACTGGTTCTAGATGGGAATGCGCAAGAAACCCGTCCAACCCTCTTCCTCTTCCTCCTCTTCCTCTTCCACCTCCTTCTACCCGTCCTCACTCTCCAGTCAGTCCTTTCCCGATTTCACTCAATCCAGCGGCTCACGGTTTACAGGCCTCGCTTCCTCCGACTACCCTCCCCCCGGTCGCAACGACCTGGAACGGCTGATCATCAAACACGGCTACCCCACTCCTATTGTTCTGTCGTCCCTGCGTGATTTGACCGCCACACAATCCCCTTCGAACCCGCCCTCGCGCTCTTGCTCTCGCTCGAATCACTTCGAGACTCGTCTTTCTCCGTCCACCACCCGCCCCATCCCGATCCCCCGACCGAGACGGCCACCGCCCATCTACGACGATCTCCCCGTGACTCCACTGACTGGCCGATTCGAGACGGACGCCTACCTGCGCGAGTGGGAGCTCTCATCACTATCGGCTCGATCCCAGCGAGCACACTCTTCTCTCCCCTCCGGCCGTCGTGGCCGACACTCCTCGCGCACCCACAAGCCGTCAAGGATGCGCGCTGATCACTCACCCTTCCACTACTCGTCGCTTGTCTCGCCCACCACTATGTCCCGGTCACCACGCCGCTCGATATCCCCTCCGCCGTCCCGCGCTCGCCCTCAAAACCAAGGCAAATCGGTGCCCGGTTTCTCACTTGGCAGCCTCCCTCGCTTCCACCCGGCGGTCTACCAGTCCCCCTCGAAGTCACACAATGCCACCGGCCAACCATCGTCCCCACGACCGTCTCGCCAGCATCACACATATCGCACCTCAACCGGGTCACGCGACATGATGTGGCAGTTTCGCGACTGGATGGATAATGGCTCTCCCGGTCCGTCGGCCCCACGCCTGGATCCGCTGCGCAGCCCTGGCCCCGTTACCCCGCTGGCCTTGGAAGACGCCCAGGGGTATTTTGTCAGTAGTGGCTCAGCCATGGCAGCCGCTGAGCGAGCTTCCCGGGAGTCGGGCAACAAGCAGCCCGGCCCGTCGCCCGAACTGGTGGAGAAGCTGATCGCTCGCGAGAACGAGCGCGCTCGTCAGAAGAATCGCAAATCTGCCAAGGGGTGGCCATGATACGTTGTTTTCAGCTGCATTATTCATCGTGGTGTTTTTTTTCTTTGGTTGTTTTTGTGCGTCCTGGCACCTCATCCCCCCGATCGCATTCCTGTCCCTTTCTCTTCTTTTTTTCTCTGGGTAGAAAAATGGGCCTCTGTCTCCTCTGGCTTAGGGGTTTGTCTTGTTTCTGTTTATTGTTTGTTGCATCGACCACCAGATCTGCGCCTGTGCATTACGAGATCATGTATCTAGTTATACCCCATATAGTCCAACTCATCCCGTGCATCCTGAGGCATCATCACCGGAGATATGCCATCCCTCCCCGAGACAGCGGGGCCCTTCAAACCGCGCTGATCAATTAACAATCCCGCATTTTCTCTGGATTCTCCTTCAATTGCTTCTCGTACATTAATTCTATCTCCTCAGTAATAAGTCCCTCCGCTCCAATTTCCAGCAAGTGCTGTTCCGACTCCCCCTTTGTCCCTTATCGGCCATCCGTCGCCACTCCGATCACCGGCGCGTCCTCCACACCTCAAAAGTACCTGGCGTCACGCATTGATCGCTGCACCCGAGCATGTCATCGGCGCCGGCGCCTGTGTCTGCTGCTACACCTACAATGACAGGTGTAACGACCGACATGGCAGACCAAAGACCGAGGAAGGATGCGGCGGGAGGGGGGAGTATTGCTCCCGCGCCAGCAGCAAAGAAGAATTATCACGGGTTTGTGGCCGGTGTGTTTTCGGGGATTGCGAAGCTGAGCGGTATGTTTTCGATTTCTGCCACTGCTTGTCTTGTCTTGTCTATAAGCGATAGGCTAATTAACCCTCTGTCTCTATCCAGTTGGTCATCCGTATGTGCATCTCCGTCGCGATACTCGGACTTCTCTAATAATCGCAGATTCGATACCGTCAAAGTCCGCCTCCAAACAAGTAAAGACGGCCACTTCCGCGGACCGCTGGATTGCACCCTGCAGACAGTCCGCAAAGAAGGTGTGCGGGGTTTATACAAGGGCGCGACCCCTCCGCTGGTCGGATGGATGGTCATGGACTCTGTGTGAGTGACATCGGAGATGCTCAAGCACAATCAATAATTCCTGGCTGACTGGGCATTCGCTACAGTATGCTCGGCTCATTGACGCTCTACCGCCGACTACTCCTAGAGAACGTCTTCTCCAAACCTCATATTCGCCCATGGGTCCCCTTCTCGCGCAGCCAGCCAGACCTCAGTGTGCTTCCGAGCTTCGGGCATGGTATAGCCGGGATCATGGCCGGTACGACGGTTAGCTTTATTGCGGCACCGGTCGAGCATATCAAGGCCCGGCTGCAGGTGCAGTATGCGGCGGATAAGTCGAAGCGAATGTACAGTGGTCCGATTGATTGTTTGCGCAAGATAGTAAGTTCCTTCGAGTCATTATATTTTGCACCACCCTAACTAACACCTCCTAGGTCCACACCCATGGCATCCACGGCCTCTACCGTGGCCTCTTCGCGACGATCTTCTTCCGCTCCTTCTTCTTCGTCTGGTGGGGCTCCTACGACGTGATAACGCGCTATATGCAGCGCTCGACCTCTCTCTCCACGCCATCAATCAATTTTTGGGCCGGTGGCATCTCCGCCCAGCTCTTCTGGCTCACCTCCTACCCGTCCGACGTGGTCAAGCAGCGTATAATGACCGATCCCATGGGCGGAGCGCTCAATGACGGCCAGCGCCAGTTCCGTAGCTGGAAGGATGCTGCCGCGGCGGTCTGGCGAGAGCGCGGGTGGAGAGGGTACTGGCGGGGCTTTGTACCGTGCTTCCTAAGAGCGTTCCCGGCGAATGCGATGGCGCTGGTTGCGTTCGAGGGCGTGATGCGCTGGCAGACATGAATGAATACCCCTACATGGACTTGACTATATCACACTGTATATACAATGACCTCCAAGGATACCACTGAATAGAAATCCACCATGAATCCATACATACCCCTGACCTGGACCGGGGATTGCCCCTGGCTGGTGCGTGAGGCAACTCACCGGCGGAGTCCGCGCCGAGGAATGTTGTACGTTGTACTGGCTGCATCCGGCGATGAGACACCTCCCTCCCGGCCCGCTATTCTAGGAATCCCGCGATAACAAGTTATTCGCTGTGCAACTTGGGCGGGTCATTACGATCGTCATCGGGATCGAGACCGCCGTTGAGCAGCAAGTCAGAGTAACGTAGGGGCTGGACTCCCTTTTTCCGGCCAGGAGAGCAACATAATTCCTGCCCTGATTAAATCCTGACTCTTTGTTCTTTGCCCTCAGCGACTGTGTACAACATTTTCTCATCATGTACGCCTCATAGTACATAGTTCGTCGGTTCGGGCTGAAGAACGAGCGACAGATATGCCTCAGGCAGCGCATTAGATCACCGTTTCAGATACATTCATTCGATCAATCCATCCATCATCGACCACACACAGCTTCACACACACTCTGCGTCTCCTCCCCCGGACCCCGAACGGCCATGGCCGTCGCACGCTCGATGCGACGAGCGAGTCCCATCAGCCTGATCCTGGCGGCGCTCCTAGCATTCGGGTTCATCTGCTTCCTACTCTCACCCTCCAGTCCCTCCTCCGCGGTCTCCTCGCGCCAGCGCCAACAAGACGCTGCCGAGCACCCTCTCTCCCCGCCGACGAAACCATTCTTCAAATCCCAACAATTCCGCAGCGATGGCGTGCAGGCCGCACCGCCCGTGGTGCACTACAACCTCAACACCCTCACCAGCACAGCCGACGCCCTCGCCAAGAACGAGCGCATCCTCATCCTCACGCCCCTCACGCGCTTCTTCCGTGGTTACTGGGATAACCTTGTGAAACTGAACTACCCGCACGAGTTGATCTCGCTGGGGTTCATCGTCCCTAATACGAAAGACGGCAATGCCGCAGTCGCAGCGCTGGAGAAGGCCATTGCGCAGACTCAGAATGGGCCGATAGATGCCCGCTTCGCTAGCATCAGTATCCTGCGGCAGGACTTCGAGCCGCCGCTCACGTCGCAGGACGAACAAGTCCGCCACCAGCTGGGCAGCCAGAAAGTCCGCCGCGAGTCCATGTCCCGTGCACGCAACAGCCTCGTCTTCACGACCCTTGGCCCGTCCACGGAGTGGGTGCTCTGGCTGGACGCAGATATCGTGGAGACACCACCGACTCTCATCCAAGACCTAACGAGCCACGACTGCCCCGTGATCGTCCCCAATTGCATGCAGCGTTACTACGACACGCACGCCAAGCGCTGGGCGATCCGGCCGTACGACTTCAACTCGTGGATTGATAGTCCGGTCGCACAGCAACTCGCAGAATCTATGGGCCCCGATGAGATCCTGCTGGAGGGATATGCCGAGCTCGCCACCTATCGCGCGCTGATGGCCTACCTCACCAACCCCGAGAACCTCGATCCGCGCCGCGTCCTTCCGCTAGATGGCGTTGGTGGCACGGCGTTGATGGTTAAGGCTGAAGTACACCGCGATGGGGCCATGTTCCCTGCGTTCCCGTTCTATCATCTGGTTGAGACGGAGGGGTTCGCGAAGATGGTTAAGAGGTTGGGGTATGGTGTTTTTGGGTTGCCTGATTATTTCGTGAGTGCTTGCAACACCTATTCCATTGATTCTCTTACTTTCTTTTTGCTAACTCCCGGCTCAGGTGTACCATTATAACGAGTAACAGGCCCACCAGGAGTCAAGTTATGGTGTCGAAACAATAAGGAGTTTGCATATTGCGCGCTGTGCGTCTGCTACCAGTTCAATCAAGTCGAAGCCATCTTTTTTTCCATGTCATCGGTGTTTGCGGGTTGGGGGCTGTTCGCCTACTATTTCTGTTCTTCTTTTTAGATCGGATCAGACAAAAGGGCTTCATTACCTACATCTCTATTTGAGTGATTCTGTTTTTGTGTGTACAATCAAGAGTTGGTTCTTACGCGGTCTCACGGGGTACTAAGCAGAAAGGAGCTATTAATTTAGAATGGAGTTTTGGGATTTGTGGTCAAATCAAATCAAGTGCATGCCAATATATTTAGATCGTCTGTCCCCTTGTTGTGTTGTGAGTTTGCGCCTGTGTGCTTGTCTTCCAGTGGTCAAGATTGAGCTATGCTCTGTTTCGTAGTCCACAGCTGCGTGTGCTAGTGGAGTCGAACCACGCCCGACAGCCCGGGATCAACCCCAATGCAGCATCATACTCTCCAAGCGCGGCAGTGGTGTTGTTTACGTATTTGTTCATATCACCCCTGTCCTTGAAGATCCGGCGGAGTCTGTCGAATTCCTTATATAGAAGTACTGTATGAATGTTGAATTGCTTCTTCTAATCTCTATCGACTAGAAATAGTCTCCGTCTCGCTCTCGATGAAGGTTAGTAGTGCATCTATTCTATCCATTGTAGAAGATGTTCAGGGGACAATGAAAAGTCAAGATATGCCAATCAATCCCAGGAGATCCTAAGAAACCAAGCCAGTCAGCAAGGCAACCAAGCTATAAAACGGAGGGGAAAATGAAAACTTACACGAGCATAATCCCCGCTCCAACAGCAACAGCCAAAAACTGGGTCACCGTCTTCCGCAACTCAAGCGCCTTGTTGGGGCCAGTTTCAAGCAATTCCGGGATGACAGCGACAGTACCAACGTATAAGAAAGTACCCGCCGTAAAAGGAAGAAGCATGTCTCCCCACGAGAGACTAGTGCCCAGCAGACCAGCCGCAACGCCGGTGTCCTCCGCAACACCACTGCCGCCAAATTCTTGCACGGCAATACCGATCAAGGTACCCAGGAAAGCACCGACGGCAGTAACAAACTGGGCGCCCATGGCCTTGCGCTTGGAGAAACCCGACTGAACGAGAAGAGCGAAGTCGCCGACCTCGTGCGGGATCTCGTGGAAGAACACTGCGACAGTGGTGGTTGCGCCGAGAGTGGGCGAGGCGTAGAAGGAGGAAGAGAGAGCGAGACCATCGGTGATATTGTGGGTGAAATCAGCAATCAGGTTGAGGTAGCCGCCCAGCTTGACGCTGGGGTTGATTTCTTTCTCGGGGACGGCGGACGAGGAGTTGGATTTGGAGGCGGACTTGCGCTTTTTGACATCTCCACTGGATTTTGACTTGATGTCGGAGCTACTCGACGTGGCTGAAGTATCAGTATGTGCGTGGCCGTGGGAATGGTCGTGGCCACCCCCGCCGCCGGTTGCGATGCGCAGGGCCTTGTCCATGGCTACGAAGGTGAAGAATCCCACCATGATTCCCAGACCCAAGAGGAGATTCTTATTCGGCTCGACCATCACGAAGCTCACATGGTCTGGCGAGTCCTCGCCCAGGAAGATCTCAGGGAGGAGGTGGAAGAGCGTGTCGCCCAGCAGGCCTCCGACGGCGAAGGCGACCATGATAGACAGCGAGGAAGGGTCAATGTTCGGGGGGCATAGTGCCAGTAAAAAGTCTGGAGCGTACCACTGTTAGTCTGTGGTCAGTCGAGACCAGAAAGCGAGCACGTACTGGGTGGGCCGGAGATATAAGCAGTTGCCAGAAGCGCGTTCACAGCTGGGCTTCCGGGGAAAAGGACCGCGAAAATCTTCGAGGTGAGACTGGCAGTCTGCGGGCTAGTAGCACGCTTGTGCTCATTGAGCGATTCCACCAGCGGGCAGTTCTGCATGACAGCGTGAGCAATTGTTGTCTAGCACGAAATCCCCTGGGGCCATACCTGCAATTGGTCCTCAATCTGGCTGACAGAGAGGTCGCCAGGGTGGGCATTGGCTGCCGCCAATACTGAAAACAAGATACATCCAGCAGCGAGGGCGATGCCCGTTCTGCGCGAAGGAAGAAGCCAAGCCATTGAAGGAGGGAGAGGGGGGGGGGGGGTAATAGAAGAAAGACAAACAACAGACGGGACCCTTATCACGAGGGATTCGTCAAACACGCCAAGTCCAACGGTGCAAACACCCTCGAAAAAAGTTCCGCGATAAGATTTCCATTTGCACTTCTTCACCACCACCAGCAATCATAAATCATGGGCAAGCTTCTACAGAAGAAAAAAAACCGGTCAGGCTTGTCCAAGTCTCGGCCGAAGGACAGTCGTCTGAAGAGTGGCAACAAGAAGATCAATGTGCTGGGCAATGCCATCATCGCTGACAACTGGTATGTTCCCTCCCATCGCCTCCCAGAACAGCAACTGACCTCGACAAAAGGGACAAAACCTTGACTCTCACCCAGAACTACCGCCGTCTGGGTCTCATGCACAAACTCAATGCACCCACCGGTGGCAAAGAGCGACTCCCCGGCCAAGGTGAAGCCGCCGAAAGCTCCCTGCACATCAAGGGCAGCGCCAAAGCGGCTGCACAGATCGGACTGGGCGAGACGCGGGTGGAGCGTGATCCAGAGACGGGCAAGATCCTGCGCGTGATTAAAGACGACGACGAGATCGAAGTTGCGGGCTACAAGCGGCGGCGCGCCAACCCACTCAACGACCCGCTGAACGATCTCTCTGACAACGAGGATATCCTCCCAGATGTCTCAAACTCGGCTATTGTGCAGCAGCTGGAGCGTCAGGCTGATGTGGAGGACAAGAAGGTAACGGCTAAGAAGCCGCGGCATCAGAGCGAGCGGGAGTCCGGGTGGATTCTGCAGTTGATTGAGAAGCATGGTGATAATCTTCCGGCGATGGTGAGGGACCGTAAGCTGAATCCCATGCAGCAATCGGAGGGGGATCTGCGACGGAGAATCAATAAGTGGAAGAAGAGCCAGGCATGATCTTTTCATGATCCATCATTTCGTGGCGCGTTGGGCGTTTTTTGGGATTAGATTTGTGTGATTTACTAAAAGTGGCGGAAGATATAGTATAATTTCTGCTATGTACAAATCATCAACGTCGTAGTAATGATCTATCAATTGCGCTCGAGAGTCGAGTAGGTGACATGGCCTGGAACCTTTGGTGGAAGACTCACGCGCTGCACCACCCGCACCCAGCGCCGGCGCCGCCATTCGCCCACGCCATAGGATGCCGTAGCGGCTTCTTCCCAGTCGCGAGTGGTAACTTTGGACTTATCCTTGATCGAAGAACCGGCGGAACTAGACTTGGCCCTTGCCGATGGCGTGGACTCCGCCTGCAGATCTCCATAGGTGAGAGCGGTAATATCCTCGTCCCCTGGACCATCAGCGCTCGCGGGTAGATCCCAAACCCAGCCACCAATCTCATCGATGATGGCATTGCCTTCTGCGGTTACACCAGGGATCTCAAAGCCAACGCCCGTGATCATTCGCTCCACCACCCACTCGCGACAGTCCAAGTCGAGCTCCCATTTTTTGCTCTTCCACGTCCACCCCGGAGGGGCATTGACATCCTCAAAGAATCGACAGCCTCGGGGTCGATCGCCGGCAATCCGCGATGGTGAAAGAGGGTCGTAGGGCTGAGGGCTGAACAGGAAATTCTCCCATCCTCGTTCTGAGCTCCCCGAGGCTCGATGCTGGAGCTCGAAGATCTCCACTTCGCGTTCCTCCGGGTCCGTGTCTAACGAGATATCTGCCAATTGCTCCAACTTTGCGATTGCTACTGAAGGAGTCACGGGATTCTTATTTTCGGTCGGGGGTGCATCCAGATCTGTTGAGCCTCCGCTCACATCGCGGATCAAATCCACGAAAAACTGACGGACGGATGGGTGGTTTGACAGGAGTGCCGCGTTGCCGCCTACCAGCATGATCCAGCGCAGCGGTACTAGATGCGCCGTCATAAACAGCAGCGCGGTGACAACGGTGCAAGTCAGAAATACTGCCGACGATAGTTTCTCGTTCGAGAAGTTCGTCAGCGGCGCAAGCACGGTGATGAGCGCATCGTGGACGTCCGAGAAGTCAGCCATGCAGTTCTGCAGGTCTCGCATGTTCCGGAAGAAATCCTTGGAAGTCTCCGGGGCAGGTTTGATCGTTCTCGCCGGCGCCAACGCGGGTCCGTCGTAGGAATAGTACGGGGTGGTGCTGGATGTAGATGTTGTCGGGGGAGGGGGGTGGCGAGTTATGAAGGCCGGAACCATGATAGATAGCAACAGCACCGCAAGAGGTAGTATCAGGAGTAGGTGTGGATCCAGACAGATGAATGAGTAGACGAAGAGCAATGATAGCGTGTGAGTGGGTTGCTTCCAGCTCAGCAGCCGCTCAACTCGGGTCTGGAACAAGAATACAACACCGATTCTACCCAGTCTCAGTCATGGGTGCTGAATACAGGTACAAGATGGTCTTACCTGGCATTGAAGCGACGGAAGTTGTTGGACATCACGGGCAGACTAAAGGACGGCCGCTTGGGGGACGTCGCGAAGGCCGCGTCGCCCGAGGAAATTGTTTCATCCTCGTCATCATCCGTCGGGGCAACTTGTTGCAGGATCCTGCGAGTGGGTGTCAGGTATGTGGGAGTCGACAGGCTCTTGAGAGATCATACTTGGTGAATAACCGGTCCTGCAGCGAGGGCGAGCTTGTACGCTCTGCCTTGGGCTTGAGGTTAAGTACAGGCATCGGCTCGTCGCGGTTGACCAGAGCCTCAGGGGTGTATTCATCCATGGGGAGCAGTCATGTCTGAGCAGGAGAAAAAGACAGATAGAGAGAACTGGAAGGGAAGAAGGTTGGTTGATTCGGCATTCTTCAATCATGTGCTTCGGCCATCCTGGGGTTAATTACCGGATGTAATTCAAATACCATCACCGCCAAATGCAAGGTATGGTATTACCGATGATTGTTCTGTTTGCAGCCCACCGCGAACCCCCTGAGCGGGAAGTTGGTGCATCGTTAACGGTGGAGCTTCAACACATCTGAATTTCCCTTTTTCCTCTCTTCTCTCTCTCTGATTTCTCTGATTTCTCTTCTTGCCTGCTCCTGCTCTCCATTCCATCTTTGGTGTTCCATTGTGGCACCTCAATGAACCCTTAATTACTTGTTGGCTTTGTTGGTGGGGACCTATATCCAGCGCTTTTTCTCCAGTTACCGCCTTGTGGACTTTCAACGACTCCCAAATTATTTCTTGACCTGTCGCCTTCCCCTCCTTCTACCGTCTCTTCTCCGGGTACCGCCAGACAGCCGTTTCTTGCTTCCCCGAAATGGACCGGTAGCCACCCAGTCAACGGGTCGCGCAACATTGTTGCTCAAGCCTCTCCTATTCGTTTTGTTGACAGGCCGCTCCTGAATGCAACCCTTACGATCGGACCCTGCTAGAGCAGTTCCCCGGTTTCCTCACCTTTTGACGATATCGCCTGCACCGCGTCTCGCGGTCGGGTACCCTTGAGTCTCTCAATGCCGGCCAAAACGTCGCAGGCTTCGGGGAGGGGTCAGACTAGCAAAGTTCAAACCCGCTCATCCAATCCGTCGAGAAACGATGACTCGGGATCCGGAGGTAAGAACACACTGTGGGAGGCTGCAGCTGGATGCTGACGAAACAAAACAGTAGACGCCCCGGCCCGGCGGCGCTTGCAAAAAGCGGCCTCCACCACCTTCCACTCCAACGCCTCGTCCAATGCGGACTCCCAGTCCTCCAAGGATGGGGCAGATATGCGTGCAGGGGGAATGAGTAAGAGACGACTGTCAATTCGGGAGAAGATTCCCCAAGGCCCGCGACCACAGGAGTCATCGCGGTGGAGGTATGGTTTTTGATGCTTTGCTCGCCCCTCATCACCTGGGTGGTCCAGCACGCCGGAACAATGTTGACACTCTTACTACAGCAAACCCACCGGACCTTATTTCCATTCCGAAAACTCCTCCGTCGATTCCACGAACAATTCAACAAAAAACCTTTCCCTCCGAACGGCGAGCGTGGGAAACGTGTCAAGCCAATCCCCACCGGAGACCACTGAGTTCCTAGCTCCAATCAACTTCGATGACTTCCACAACAGCATCATGGCCGAGCCCAGCTTGAACCATTTCCCCATGCCCGGAAATAGCGGGACGGGGTCTGAAAATCGTGATTCGACTTTCTCAACCAACAGCACCTGGACGAACAATAGCTACGACAGCGGTAGTGTTTCGGAGCGAACAAGAGCTTCCTCTCGTCGCAAGAGTGAAGTATCTCGTCTCAACTCCCAGAATCCAATCTCAAACCCCGGGCTATCAGCTTCATCTGCCAACGCCCGCACTCGCCGTCAGAGCTCTGTCCAAGCAGCTGCAGGGACCACTACATCTTCACGAGGGTCGAGAAAATCCATTGGCGGCGGTGCATTTGCCCCCACGAATGCGTCAGCAAGGCGCGCCAGCCTAAGTGCTCGCAAAGCTAGTACAGATACAACTCGGACAGATTCAACCAATAATTTGCCTCTTCCGAGGGCTCAGCAATCGGAGGTGAATGATGGGTCCAAAGTTCCAACCTCCATTCGAAGTCTCAAAGCAAAGTCCTTCCAGCCCGGTCCACGAGAGCCTCGGGGGAATTTCTTGACCACATCTGGGTCTGCGGTGACCCCGGATCATTCACGTTCTTCTTCTACTAATGCTGTGCGAACACCCGCACGGAATCCTTCCGGGGCACCTGGCACACCCTCCTCTTCGTCCAAGCGCATGTCTGTTATGCCATCGCATGCCACGGGGCTCGGCGCTCGCACCATCAGCCCTACAGATGCTCGGCGGATGAAGCGAATGTCAATTGCACAGCCAGCGCCTCCAATGCCAAACACGCCCCCGACGCAGACCGAGCCTCTTCCAACCCGTCCACTGTCGTCAACGATGTCTCCTTCTTTCATCCCCAGGAAGAGCGTCACTCCTTCTTCCAACCGAACAACGCCAGACCCGAACCGCAAGTCTTACAGCTCCGGGCTTTCTGTTTCATCCAGCACCAGCTACAATTCGGTTCGGAACTCCGCGACACTTCAACCGCGACTTTCACAAAATTTCTCCTCGTCTCGTCTGCCCACGCCCAAACCACGTGCGGAAACAACAACGAACAATAATGGGGAAGAAGTTCCGCCAGTTCCAGCAATTCCCAAGGCCTACGAGTCCCCCAAAGGCGAATTCGATCCTCCATTCTTCCCTGCGCCGAGAAAGTCGAGCTTGCCCGGGGATCTTGGTTTGGTGAGGAGCTCCCGGGACTCCGATTCGGACGTGCCCAATGTGCGCGATGCCCATAGAGATGGGAACAGAACGGCAAAAACACCGGATGTCAGGACAAGAACATCTACTGTGATTGGCGGTAGAAAGGGCTTGCAACCGTTGAAGCTGCCACCCCTAAATTTGCTTCCTCTGGGTACGCCGATGACGACCAAGATAGAGGCATTGAGAGACAGAGAAGGCGACGACCGCCAGACGCATACACCATCCAATCAAATTATCTCGAAGACTCCCACAACACCGTTGACCGCGTCTAGGGCCAATTTATGGCCTTACCGTGACGATGATGATCGTGTACCTTTCACCCAAGCGCGAAGCAGCACCTCTCACTTCGCTTTGAGCTCCACCTCAACAGCAGCTCTGCGAACAGCAAGCAGCACTAGCGCATGGGACTCTCTTGACACTCCCCTTAGCACTCGGAATATCTCTCCGTATGCCTCTTACACCTTGCCCAAGAGTGGCACGGAACTCAACCACCTCCGTCAGCATGTTAGTGGCGATTATTCCAACCGAACATCGCAGTCAAACAAATTGACCGGCCCACGGCCACAAACCCAGTCTGCCATCCTGGCCCCGGCTCCAGAACGGCTCAGCCAGATGTCAACCCCGTCGGAGCCAGAAAGCACCGCCGCCTCTAGTTCGTCTCTCCGGAACCAGCTCCATGTGACGCGGGTTCGCAGCAACTCGAAGACTCTGAAGGCGCCTGAGGTCAATACGGACCCCGCCAAGTACGACAACATGCCGCCGCCAAAGCTGCCCGCATCTGCAACATGGAACAATCTGTCTTCAGTGACGTCGACCAGTCCCAGTTTCAAACAGTCGTACCTCAAGCCGCGGCGGCAGCCGTCAATCTCGAGTTCAACCAACCCGGCGGCTGCGCGGAAGGCTAGTGTAAGCAGTGATAAAAGCCTTGTACTGGAACCAACTCCTTCAAATGAGTCTGCTGAAAGCGACAACTCGCAGAAGCGGGGCCCTAGCGCATATATTTCTCCAGTCCACAAGATTATCAGCTCCGCCCGGTCTAGGGATGCTGCATCTCCTCGATCTACCGATGCCAACGTCGATGCTGATGTGGTAGTGGCCGACGACGAAATGAGAAAGCTAGGGTCCAAGCGAAAAGATTTCGAGAAAGCGGCACGGGAGTTGGACGAGTTGCGCCGCAAGGCCGGGCCAAAGGATCGTGTTAGTCCCGCACAGGCCTTGAAGATGGCGAACCTCAACATATTCGAGAGGGGCGAGATCATCGACTACCGGGATATCTTTTTCTGCGGGACGCAGAATGCTAAGAAGCACGTCGGCGACCTGCACTCGGGTGCTGCAAACTTTGGATACGACGATGACCGAGGAGACTACAACATCGTAATTGGCGATCACCTGGCCTACCGGTACGAGGTTGTCGATGTCTTGGGCAAGGGTAGCTTTGGGCAGGTGGTGCGATGTGTCGACCACAAGACCGGTGCTCTCGTTGCAGTGAAGATCATCCGGAACAAAAAGCGATTCCATCAGCAAGCGTTGATCGAAGTCAATCTCTTGCAAAAGCTCAAGGAATGGGATCCTCATCGTCGTCATAGTGTGGTCAACTTCACACAGAGCTTCTACTTCCGTGGCCATCTCTGTATCTCGACGGAGCTTCTTGGCATGAACCTCTACGAGTTCATCAAAGCGCACGACTTCCGCGGCTTCTCGCTAAAACTGATTCGTCGTTTCACGAAGCAAATGCTCGGCAGTCTTGTGCTTTTGCATGCGAAGAAGGTGATCCACTGCGACCTGAAACCGGAGAACATCCTTCTTGTGCATCCGTTGAATTCGGAAATTCGGGTCATCGATTTTGGGTCCAGCTGCTTCGAAAATGAAAAGGTCTACACCTACATTCAGAGTCGGTTTTACCGCTCACCGGAAGTCATTCTCGGGATGTCCTACGGCATGCCGATCGATATGTGGAGTCTGGGTTGTATTCTGGCGGAGTTGTTCACGGGCTACCCGATCTTCCCTGGAGAGAACGAGCAAGAGCAACTGGCCTGCATCATGGAGGTTTTTGGCCCTCCAGAGAAGCATCTGATTGAGAAGAGCACGCGAAAAAAGCTGTTTTTCGATTCCCTGGGCAAGCCACGCCTCACTGTCTCCTCCAAGGGGCGAAGACGGCGCCCCAGCTCCAAGGAACTCCGACAAGCCCTCAAGTGTGATGATGACGCCTTCCTCGACTTCATCGGCCGATGTCTGCGCTGGGACCCTGCTCGTCGGCTCTCTCCCCATGACGCATTGAAGCACGAGTTCATCACCGGCGTCAAGACGATCGCCCGGCCTCGGATGTATGCTGCGACCAACCCCAGCTCGCCCGCCAAGCGAGGGACCACCGCAAGGCCCCTTCCTGAGCCGCCTGGAACCAGTCTGAAGAACGGCACTGTCGTGCGCAATCGCGATACCACGGGCAATTCCCCTGTCAAGGGCTCCAGCGGGAAGCGCCATTCCACCGTCAGCGGTCTGCCAACGAGCACGCCTGCCAAACGCGCCTCCAACAACCCCACGATGCCCGGGTCCGGGCTTCCTCGCGCCTCGGCGCGGAGTATCAGTGGAAAGGCAGATCTGGCGACTGCGGCGGCAGCGACCAGCCTGGTGAGTCGAGGCCAATAAAGCCCCGGCCCAAGGGCAAAAATGCTAATCAGTCCAACCACCAGCGGACCAAATGAAGTCCCCTGTCATCTGCATTGTAATCTTAATTTACTTCTCTGTCGCGCCTTGCTTACTTGCATCGGGTGGTTTTGTCATTTTCTTCTCCGCTTGTCGCATGTCAGCGAGATGAACCATCCATCCCATCCCCATTTATACCCTTGTTTGTTGGGGTCCGCATGTTTGTTTGTTTACGTGGACAGCATTTGCATCTGGCACTGTTTGTTATGACCGTCAAGTTGAGTCGCGTATACCTCTTCGTTTTCTTTTTTACTTTTGCTCCTGCATGTCCCCTCGTTATACCTGCTATTCTGTGATGATCAATCATCGGGACTGCGATTTTGTACACTGTTACCTCTCATTGCATAGGCTCCGAGTGTCTGCCTGGATCAGGATCCACCATGCATTGTCTTATGACCAGTGAAGTAGAACATGGATGAAATATACATAGTTAGTACATTAATCATTTTCATGGTTGTTGTACAGTACTGTAGTAGTTCGGCACTTGGTTAGGGCTTCGTATTAACTGGCCCCCGAACGGCCAGCTTGGCCTCAACCCCAACTCCGCCTTATCTGGTCTCCACATCATCAACACCAACCCAACACTCTCCAACCCACCTCTCTTTCTATCTTGCCATTGGGATTTCTTCCTTCATGTCGTAGGTCACTGCACGCTGGCGACCTAATTCGCGATGAATGGCTTCAATGAGAAACGCCTGGACGAGGATGCCTTCGGCGACAAGGGAAGCAGCATTGGCGGGCTGAAGACCTTCGATGCGTTCCGTGAGTCCCAATCCAGGGGATTATTGCCCGTCTCCTTCTCGAAAGAAAAAGAAATCAATATTCAATATATCCCTCCGCTAACTATCTCCCCTACCATCCAGCCAAAACCAAACCCTCATACACTACAGCCACCCACCGCGGTGGACAATGGACCGTCCTCATCCTCGCCGTATGCACAATCCTCAGCTTCTCGGAACTCAGGACCTGGTGGCGCGGCACAGAAAACCACCATTTCAGCGTTGAAAAAGGCATCTCGCACGACCTGCAACTGAACCTAGATGTCGTAGTCAACATGCCCTGCGACACGCTGCGCGTGAACATCCAAGACGGAGCGGGCGACCGCATTCTCGCTGGCAATCTGCTCCAGCGCGAGGATACAAGCTGGATGCAGTGGATGAAGCAGCGCAATCAAGAGTCTCACTCCGGCGGCCATGAGTACCAGTCGCTGAGCCATGAGGAGGATTCGCGGCTCGCGGCTCAGGAGGAGGACGCACACGTGCATCATGTTCTGGGTGAGGTGCGCCGCAATCCCAGGAAGAAGTTTGCGAAGGGGCCGCGTATTCGACGGGGTGATCCTATTGACGCGTGTCGCATCTATGGGAGTTTGGAGGGGAATAAGGTGCAGGGGGATTTCCATATCACCGCCAGAGGGCACGGGTATCAGGAGTTTGCGGAGCATCTTGACCATACCGGTATGTCTACTTTCGGGGGTGTTTAGTTTCCATTCATTCAGTTGATCCGCAGCTAACCTTTCGGGACAGCATTCAACTTCTCGCACCTGATCACAGAGCTCTCCTTCGGCCCGCACTACCCAACGCTCCTGAACCCACTCGACAAGACAATCGCCGAAGCAGACACCCATTACCATAAATTCCAGTACTTCCTCTCCGTCGTGCCAACAATCTACTCCAAGGGCAAAGGCGCACTAGACGCGTACGAGCGAGCCCCCGGCTCGGCAGCAGCGCGCTCAAACCGCAACGCCATCTTCACGAACCAATACGCCGCCACCAGCCAGTCCACAGCCCTACCCGAGACCCCCTACCTGGTTCCCGGGATCTTCTTCAAGTATAACATCGAGCCGGTCCTGCTGCTGATCAGCGAGGAGCGAGGCGGGTTTTTGAGGCTGCTGATCCGTCTGATTAACACCATTTCCGGGGTGCTGGTTACTGGTGGCTGGCTTTATCAGATGAGTGGGTGGGTTGGGCAGTTTTATGGACGGAGGATGAGGAGGCAGTCGGAGGGTGTTTTGACGGGGAAACATTATACGGATTAGGGCAGTTTTGACCAAAGATATTTGGAGTTAAATATTGTTTATGTGATTGTATGCCTTGTTTTGTATATTTGTATTCTGTTGGATGCGCCTACTCTCCTACAACAGAGTGGATGCCCATGATATCCTACAATGAAATTGCATTCATCTTGATAGCCCGAATCTTCGAGTAGTATAACAAGGATCGAGGTGGTATACATGGAAACATAAATTGGGTTCTACCTCATTCATCCATCTTGTGCAGGCTTTAGACAGAGATGCGTATCAAACTTGGAAGATCTCGCCCATCCCCACGCCAGCACCCTCCGCGCCAGCGCGGCTATCAACCAGATCCAAGCGCCAGCCATTCCAATCGCGTAGCTTCTTCTTCAGCTCGCGCATCCACTCAACCCGTTTACGGGCCTCCTCCTCAGCCTGCGCGCGCGCAAAAGCCGCTTCGTCGAATTCATCCTCGAAATTCTCCTCGGAGAGGAGCTCAAGGCTCCCGCGCATACCCTGCGGATAAGGCGGGTTGGACGAAGATGCACGGGCACGGTTGCTATTATTAGATCCCCCCGTGAAGGCAGCGAAGCCGCTAGAGAGCACAGTGGAGAAAGAGGAGTGTTGTTGCTGGTTCCATTGCTGTTGCTGCATAGCCATGCTTCGGCGGCGAGCATGGTCCGGGCGACCGCCGACGAGATCGACGTCGTCGAAGGCGTTGGCGCCTGCATCGACGGGGCCGGCGGAGTCAGGTCCCTCATCTGCGTAGTCTGCGTGAGTGGCTAACTCATGCCGCTTCTCTTGCCAGACGCCGCGGCGGAGGTCAAAGACCTCGCCTTCCAGCTCGCGGATGCGGCGTTCAAGGCGCTGGCGTTCCTCGTCTTCGAGCTCGTCGAGGGCCTCATCATCTGCGCCGGTGGCATCACGTTTTCGGATCCGATCTCGCTCTTCGCGCAGGCGGAGGTTCTCGTTCTCGATGCTGGCGAGTTTCTTGCGCATGATGGCGGTTTCTTTGTCTGATTTTTCGCTCTCGCGGAGCCGCGCTTGGTGTCGAGTCTCAGATTCCTTGTGCAGGTTGCCGAGCGCTTGCAGCTTTTTATCGAGGGTGTCGATTTTCTTGTCTGCCTCGTCTTTTTCGTTCTTGAGTTCCTCGATTTCGCGCTGCAACGTCTTGATCAGCGTTTCGGTAGAGGTCTTGTCGACGCCTTCCTTGACGGCTTTTTCGGATGCGCGAGTGAGCGCTGCCTTGGTGTCGGCTAGCTCACGCTGGGAGCGTTCGAGCGCCGCTTGTCCCTGGGAAGCTTTGTCCTCCAGCGCGGCCAGTTGAGTCTCGTGTACACTGTTGGAGGACGACTGCGACGTGAGTTGTGCCCGCAGGTTCGAAATCTCCAGTTCCATAGCTTCAATGGTAGCTGACTTGGATTCCAGCTGACGGACCAGATCTGCTGGCGGCGACTCTGATGTCCCGGGCACAGCAACGCTGGCATTGTTCCGGTGTGACCGCGTCTGAAGCTGAGAGTTCTGCCGCTGCAGTGAAGCAATCTCAGCTTTCTATAAAGTCTTGTGTCAGTTATTGTCCCGTTTGAAAAAGTACCAAGAAACCCTACCAAAGACTCAATCTCTGCAGCCTTATCTTCGGCTTTCTTCAATTTCTCCCGTAGCTCCGCATCATCAACACTAGCCTCCCTCAAGTCCTCAAGCTGATCCTCCGTCTTCCGCCAACGCGACAGAGCATCCGAAAAATCTTTTTCTAGACGCTTATTATCCTTCTCCAGCTCCTCGATCCGAGTAGATTGTTTGCGGAACACTTCATGTGCGGAGTCGCCGGTCAGAGGCGGTAGTGTCTGAGAGGGAGACTTGAGCGTTGAAGAGGGGGACGGAGAAGAGGTCCCTTGTGAGACGGAGGACTTGCGAAATGACGATGAACGCATCTTTGACTGTATTGATAGCGACGGTTGTCGGCCGTGGCCTGCACGTGGTGTATCAAGTCGTGCGGCTAGCGGTTCAGCCTCGGGGTCAGGAGAGGTCGGAGCTGGGGGCATGGGTTCCACGGTGGACGGCTCAGGAGTATCCTGTATAGCTTCTCCATCTTCTGGGTGCTCGGGGATCGTCGCGTCTGCGGCCTGCTCATCGTGCGGCTTCTGTTCCGTTTCTGCGAGGGGTTCTGTTTCTGTTTCTGCTGCTGTTGTGCTGATATCTTCCGTCGGTTCAGCATCCTTAGGTGCCTCTGCACCAGCAGTCTTCTTATTGGCCTTCTTCTTCTGTTTCTGGAGGGCTGCAACCTGCACAAGCACACGGGCGTGGTGTCAGTGTTTGTTTCCCTCGCCCTCCACGCGCATCGGACAGACTCACCCTCTTCTTGGCCGCGGCCAGCTTCTCAGCCTTGGCACGCGCCTCGTCGTCAGCCATAATGGGATCAATTCGCGCAGAGATGGAAATGGCCGAGGAGATGAGGTGTAGTTAGTGAAGGGGGCGAGGGTGTGGACAGCTTTCCTTCCCTTCCCCGGTTGCGCACAGACCACGTGCTCGGATCTATACAACCACGACGGGTGATTGTGCCATTATTGATAGATCTGTTTATGATGTGATCTGCTACGTCGTCAGTCGGGTTATAAAACCGGAGGCATCTTCAGAATGACCGGCTCTTTTGAGTCGAGTGAACTCATGCGGGCATCACGGAGCCGCAACTACAGCCAACATTTCAAGACAGGTTTCAGGAAGAGCTAATTCCTCGTATCTATCAAGTTCAGACAATTGTGAATTACCCGACATTATTATGAGCTAGAAACAATACATGTCGACGGAACCGAACAGGTAGGAAAAACAACGGGGTGGGGAATATCATTCTCGTCAGACGGTCTTGCCCATCCATCCCTCCTCCCAACGCCCCTTCGTGGCAGAGAAATATGCAGGTTGAATGCGCCACAAGACCGTAACAAACGACGAACCGAACGCCTCCAGCTAAACAAATAAAAAAAAGTGATAAATCAACCGATCAACGGGAGGAAGAAAAGGAATCAGAAACACAAACAGACAGGAAGTCTCAGACCTCCATGGAATCGGCAATCTCCTCGCTCATGGCCCGCACCGTACCCTTACTACCAGACCGGGAGCGAACCTCTTCATCACTCAGCATATAGTGGTCATAATCGTCCACGACAGGGCGCATCGCATTCGATGAATGGGCAATATCTTCCTCATCATCGCCCTCGCTGTCGCTGGCTTGGAATGTTGAATCCACGCGATCACCCAGCCAATACCGCGCGCGCTTGCTCGACCCCAGGTCAGGGGTCAGATAACCGTCGTCAAACGTCCGCTTCCCTGTGGGCGTTGTGGCAGCCTCGTCTGGGGGCGTATGGCTCAGAATCGGGATCGCGCGCAGATACATGTAGCAGACACGCTTGCGCATGGGGTTGAAGAAGAAGTAGTGCAGGCTCCAGATCGCGCCGTCATCCGCAACGGAGGGGTCTTCCTCCGGTGAATACGAGTAGACGGAGCATTCTCCAAGCGACATCTGGTCGTCCATGATCCGCCACATCCGTGGGCCCCAAGCCGGAGATGCGGCCGCGTTGTATGATCCACTGAGGGTCGCTGGCGGCGATGAAGGGGAGAGATCGATGGTCTCACGGGGCCGTAGGTTGGACAGTGTGGAATCGACCGTATTCATCACCCGTTTCAAATGTCGCTCGCGACGAAAATCACTCGGGCGCAGCACATGGGAGAAGTCATAGTCCGGATGGCTTGCGTTGAGCGTGGCGATCAGGTAGGCAAACGTGCGACGACTTGAATGTTCACTCAGGGGGCCAAATGGACTCGAACGTGAGAGATTCAATGTCACGGCAGCATCGGACGCGTTTGGGGGAGATAGGGAGGCGGATAGTCGTAGGACCGATTCGTACTGGGCTTCGAGCGACTGTTCGATGTTCTTGTACAGCTTGCGATCGGAGCGCGCTGCTTTCGTTGTGTACAGATCGCATCCACCCACGATATGACAGTCGGCTGTTTGGAAGTTGAGGGAGCTGGTGATATCCTCAAACTCTGGGAGTGGCAGGAACTAAATGGGGGCAGACAGACGGATAAGCCTCGGTCGGGGAGGACCCTCCCTGGCCGGCGCGACCGGCGCGACCGGCGCAAGCCAGGGCATGGATGGGATGGGGAAAGACGAACCTTCATCTTCAAATAGCGACCAGCTTTCGTTGAGCCTGATCACTGACGTTATTGACGGGTTGCGATGCGCTGGGGGTACCGGTCCAGTCGACAGCGATTCACCGGAGACGACGCTATGGGGAAAGCCGGAGACGGAGACGCAGCCGCCGATCGGCGATAGCCGCAAACAGCTGGGGGGAGAGAAGGGAATGGGGGTAGTGTGCGGATTACACCAAACAGAAGAGGTGTTGGAGGGGAGAGAATAGGGGAGAATCAAGAATACGCCGCGATGGGCCACGGCTGAACGACGGGAGTAGATGAGCGAGAGGAGGGGAGGGCGGAGGGTCACATGACGGACAGCCAGTGAGATCATTGCGTGGCATCACGATGTGACGGCCTGAGGCATCCATCCGTTAGAGCCCAACACGGGCCAGGTTGGCCGACATCTCTGCCGTTTCCGAGTCCTGAAACAAAGTCAAACGAATTGGATTAGTATAATAGAACCAGTGTGTGTCTCTGAAACGCCTATGTACGACCCTGGCTGGCTGGCAGCAACAATGAAAGAAACGAAACAAAGGAGCAAGAATCCCGCTTGCTACATGATCTTGGTGACCACATCTTCCTCAACCTGGGGCAAGGAGCATTAGCCCGGGTCGATCGGGATGGGTGTGACGGTGGGTGGGAGCGAGAGAAAGGGCGAAACCAAGACAACAGCACTCACCTCCATGTCCTCCAGACTGTCCTGTTGGCTGATGCAGCGAAGCACATTCTTCTTGCTGCTCTCCTGCATCTCGCCCGCGAGTAGCAGCTCGTCCAGAATGAAGTATGCCTTTTGGAAATTGAAGATGATGTCCAGTTCGCACACGTTGCCGTAGTATTTGTCCATTTGCTCGACGTAGCGGTGCACGATCTCGAGGGTGATCAGTTCGTTATCGGTGGAGGCGCAGCCGGCGATGAAGAAGAGGGAGGCATAGCGGCGATAGACGACTTTGGAGTCTGCAATCGTCCGTCCGTCAGTCCAAGGCGGTTCAACGGGGGAATCAGAATGGGATGGGTGGATGGGTGATGGATGTACCCTTGTATTCGAGGAAATTGCACATGCGAGTGCGGCGGGAGAGCACCAGCTGGGTCACATCCTTGATGATCTTGGCCTTTTCCTTGGGGGACAGAGTGGTGAACCACTTGGCGAGACGCTGTGTTTTTTTTGTGTGGTCAGAACGGGGTGGGGAGTTGGGTGGGCGACGAGACTCACCACTTTGCCCTGCCGGGAGAGCAGGATGAGGTAGCTGGGTGGGTTAGTGATGGGACCAGTAGCGACCAGGCAGCAGGAAGCACGATGAGGACTCACTTCACAGGCATGGTGGGGGGACGGGCAGAACGAAAGCAAGTCGGTGGATGAAGGTCGAAGTGGCAGCTTGGAGAATTCCGTGTCGCGGTGGGGCCGGCCGAGCTAGGGTTGAGACCGACCACGGTCCATGTCAACACAACACAATCTCATAGTTATGGTGGGAAGTGCGACTAATTCCATCCGTCGTCCAAATTTGGAGACTCCTCCTGATGGTTGAATGACTCGCAGCGGCCTCACTGGAGAGGCATCGTTCTATGATCAACACGACAACAAGAGAGAAGAGATGCATTGGAGAATTACTCTGGATGTGATGGATAGCTCAGGCATCATGACATTTGTGGTACAACAAATCCCTCTACATTGCGCTTCATACAACGCCATCCACAAAACTCCCGGGTATCTACAATCAAGCACCACCGCCTCCAAAGCCTCCCCCAGCAAAGCCTGCCGTTCCAGCAAAGTTCGCTTGAAGGGCATGCGCCCCGGCAACATGGCGCCCGGCACCGTAGCCAGAATGGACTTTGGTATTCGTCCGCAACTTCTCGTGCAGGGCGAGATAGGCCGTCAACACTAAGATAATGAACGGCTCGCCGAACGGGACAAGAATCTCGACAGCAGCGATTTTGGACGGGAGATCAGCCGTCTCGCGAACAACAGCAGCGACCATGCCACTCTCCTCATCTTCCAGCGTCAAAATAGAAGTGCCTTTCCAGATAAACGGTCTCCGGACACTGGTATTGGGAATCACCGCGCCATGGGCGTCCAGGAGCGGCACCACAGCGGGCATGCGCCGGTCGCCGGTCATACGCATCCAGAGGACGGAACCCTTGACGCCGGGCTGGCGAAACATGCCGATATCGCAGTTACTGCTCTTCTCCGCGAACTTTACATGCGCGACATCGTGGCCCGTCAACTGCGAGGTTTCGCGGCGGACGATCAGGTTCGGCTGCCGGACCTTGTGCACCTCGACGCGGAATTTCTGTGCGATGTCATCTTGGAAGATCTTGTAGCTGCTGAGTGATCCGCGGTGGATGTGGTAGCTGATCGGAGGGTTAGCGGCCAGTCTGCCACTGTTAGCGCTGGTGATGGTCGTTGAGAGTGCCGACGGGTGAGGATCCCGGGCTGAGTATGGTGGTGGGCTGTCAGTATCGTGTTCTGGTGCGTTCATGATGGTTGAAAATGTGAGATGGGAGGAATTTGGATGTTGATGGGTAATAGATGCGGTAAGTGGCTGTGCCCAGCCTTGTCCCTTGGGGTAGGGCTGCTCTGGTCGATCGGTTTATATTTAGCTAATGCCACGTCCACCGGAGGCAGTGCGCGAAAAGGTAATTCTAAATATTCATCTAAAATGTGTTTGTGGTATTACATCGCATTAGATTTGGGCAGAGAACATACTCAGTGGTGGTCACGATTATATATTTTGAGGGGAGCCGCCCTATATACCGAACTGGGTGCGCCGAGACATATTTATGGACTAATCGATTAGCCTGCTTCCCATTTATACCCAAAGGCACCATGATTCTGTTTTCAATTAATCGCATTGGAAGGTGCAATTTGCAATGAATCAACGACTGGAGACAATGCGGGCTCCCTCCAGAACCTCTGGTAGGGTCGTCCCCAGAATGAACAGAGATGGAGGAAAAGAGCTCTAGCTATTGTATGTTTTCTTCCTAGAACTTTCCCGCGGAGTATCAACTTACCCCACCCCTCCCAGTTAGAATCACCTTAATATGGTAGTTATAATCGCCGGTCGACGGCGAAGAGCCGGAGGTTTCCGGGATATGAAGACAATCGAACAAACCCTGACAAACGCCGAGGATGACCGAGCCGAATGCTTCAACTTACGTTATTGAGAAGAGTTTGATTTGATTTCGAGAGAGGTTAAGAATGAATTTATGGCTTATAAAGAAGGAGGCAGGTTCCTGATTCAAATCCCGGATTCAAGCCAATTCCTTATTGCTTCTTCTGGATGGTTAACATCGTGACCGGAACTGATATCCTCAAGAGCCCTAGAAAAGTGTATTGCCGCCTTAATCTATTCTGTCAAACTTCCCAAATCCTCAGTGCTGCTCAAATACCATGGCTGCGTCAGCCCTTTTGAAAAGCCGAGTGCGAAGACCATCCTATTTGAAAAAACTTATGAAAGCAGAGGACCTGGTCCATCATTTCCCGCATGGCTCGTATATCGGCTGGTCTGGGTTCACCGGCGTTGGCTACCCCAAGTACTGCTCCCAAGTGGAACAGCGTGAGACAAATTTGCTAACCGCGTTCGCCTGAAGAAAAGTTCCTGCTGCCCTCGCAGACCATGTCCAGAGAAATAACTTGCAAGGAAAGCTCAAGTACTCCCTTTTCGTGGGCGCTTCCTCTGGCGCCGAGACAGAAACCCGCTGGGCAGAGCTGGATATGATTGAACGGCGCAGTCCACACCAAGTGGGAAAAAAAATCTCCAAGGGAATCAATGAAGGAAGAATCAAGTTCTTTGATAAACATCTGAGCATGTTTCCCTCGGACCTGATCTATGTGCGCCTGCCTCGCTGTGAGATGAGTGAACGAGCGACATGCTAATTTGCGTCTGTTAGGGCTACTATACTCTGAATAAAGCCCAACCAACACTAGACGTGGCTGTTATTGAGGCATCAGCTATAACAGAGGACGGTGGGATTATTCCAACCGCATCAGTCGGTGCTTCACCGGAGATTGTACAGATGGCCGAAAAGGTGATCATTGAGGTCAACACTTCGATTCCATCTTTCGAAGGCTTACACGATATCGCGAGCTTTAATGATCTCCCACCTAACAGGAAACCATACCTGATTACAAGACCAGAAGACCGCATCGGCACTACTTATATCCCCGTGGATCCAGAGAAAGTGATCGCGATCGTTGAGTCCGATTCCCCGGATCAAACAAGCCCGAACTCAGCAGAAGACGACACCTCCCGAGCAATTGCTAGGAATCTGATTGAATTCCTCAAACACGAAGTCAATCACGGACGGCTACCGAAGAGCCTACTACCCATCCAATCCGGCATCGGTAACATTGCCAATGCGGTAGTCGGCGGCTTGAGCAAAGGCGACACAGGCGCAGACTTCACGCACTTGAAGGTATGGACCGAAGTGCTCCAAGATACATTCCTCGATCTGTTCGACAGTGGCCGTCTTGATTTCGCAACCGCAACTTCCGTGCGCTTCTCTCCCGACGGATTCAATCGCTTCTATAATAATTGGGAGCGCTACGCCGACAAGATCCTGCTTCGCTCTCAGCAGATTTCCAATTCTCCCGAAGTAATTCGCCGCTTGGGATGCATTAGCATGAACACGCCTATCGAAGTAGATATCTACGCCCACGCGAATAGCACCTGCGTGATGGGTTCACGCATGCTAAACGGGCTAGGCGGTTCAGCCGATTTCCTTCGCAACGCTAAATACAGTATCATGCATACCCCCAGCACGCGGGCTAGCAAGTCCGATCCCGAGGGTATTAGCTGTATAGTGCCCTTTGCTACACATGTTGACCAGACCGAGCATGATCTGGACGTTATTGTTACCGAGCAGGGTCTTGCAGATGTTCGTGGTCTCTCGCCTCGCGAGCGTGCGCGTCTTATCATCAGGCAGTGTGCTCACCCAGACTACCAGCCTATTCTGAGTGATTACCTTGATCGGGCGGAATTTGAGTGTCTGAAGAAGGGCATGGGACACGAGCCGCATCTACTTTTTGAGGCGTTTAAGATGCATAAGAATCTCCAGGAGAAGGGGACGATGAAGATTGATTCTTGGGTGTAGACGATTGTCTATAGTTGAGTTGACTGAAATGGTACCCTGATTCCTTGATGTACCTTGTTTAGTCAAGAATCGACCATATCCATCCCCCGTTTAAAGTGTCACTCATGAAGAAAGTCACTTAGACGTAGCACATATGAGAAGTCATAGTCCGGATGGCTTGCGTCGAGCGTGGCGACCAGGTAGGCAAACTCGCGATGACTTGAATGTCACTCAAGAGGCCCAAATAGACTAGAGTGAGAGAGATTCAAAGTCACAGCGACGTCAGACGCGTTCAGAGGAGATAGAAACGCGGACAGTCGTAGGACCGATTCGAATAATGCTTCGAGCAACTGATTGACGTTTTGTCCACCACAGAAATCATACAGAGACAAGTTCAATATTGAATCTCATTCAAACATTTTTAATTCTTACATGGTATTCAAGAACATTGAAACCAAGAAAAGTGCACACACTTTAACTCCTCTTAATAAACCAAAACAACCAACCCAGATCTCCCAAACCCTTGCCCGAAAGAAAGCCCGGGCAACCCCATTATTAATGACAACAGTAGTAACACAAAATTAGCAGATGTAGTTGCACATCCTCCGATGTAGATAGATTAAGATAAAGGTAAGGGTCTTTTTGCGAGTCGAGTCGAGTCGAGTTGTGCCCTGTAGATAGAACATTGCCGATTGCCGATTGGCGAGCAGTGTCTAGCCCCAAAGATTTCTCGATATCTCCTCATTCATCGTGTCTGTTGGAGAACCGCTTAAACCTGAGCCATGTTAGGCCGTCTGCGGCCGTGGGCACCACCAGCGCGGCCGCCGCGAACGCTGACCGACGAGCGGGCCATGAAGATGGAGATAATGACGGAAGCCATGTAGCCCGCCCAGCCGAACCAGAGGAAAGCCGTGGACGCCTGAGCCTCGCGGCAGCGCTTCTCTGGGTTGTGGGAGCCATCCGTGATCTCGTTGTGGTTGGTGAACGACTGGATCAGAGCATAAGCGTCTGTTGTGACTATATCCTGCAAGTGGAAAGAAAAAGCACCAAGAACTTACGTGGTTGCCGCATGAGTTGCCAGTCAGCTTCGCGGCCAGGGCGATGGCGGCGCAGAAGAAGAAAATGCAGTTGAGCGCGTCGACAGTGATCAGGATGAACGGGTGCACGGCCCAGTCGATGTTCCACGAAGCCGGCACTAGGTAGAACAGCGTGAACATCGAGAAGGCCGACGTGAACATGACATAGTTGACCGAGGACGGATTGCCCGCGAAGGCTTCGGCGATCATGTTGCCGACCAGGGCCATGATCAGGAGGGTCCAGAGAAACTGTGCGGCTGTTGTCAGCGCTATCCAGTGCGCTCGAGAAGAAAAAAGTTGGTAAGAAACTTCAATACATACCTCCCACGCCCGCAGGCCGAGCTGAACACCGCGCAGAGCCATTGCGACTGGAATGTGTGCACGAGAGCGAGGATGATAGCGGCGAAAATAGAAAGCGAGTTAGCGGAAGAGTGAGGTTGTTGAGCGGGGGTTGTAGGAATGGGGGATCGACGGCCCTAGGGCAGTTTTAAATCGGATGAGCCGGAGCAGATGGTGATGACGATACTTGCAACGCATCTACGTCATGCATATGTCCGGGATCGGACGGGAGCCAGGTTTAGGGGCACACCAGGAATGATGGAGATGACTGATAGACTGCTGCACGTCGACCATAGTGCTCCCTAGTTAGTTATCAGTATGTAGTACTAGCGGTGATCATGCCGTAATGGTGTTCGTTCCCAAGCGGACCCGAGTTTGGTTCGAGGCGGGTTCGACAAGCGCAGGCCCACTATAGCTCTCTCTTCACTCTATTTCACTTTCCTGTCTAGGAGACAACCCTACAGGCAATTCATAGAATCCAATTAGAAGATAAAAAGAATAGAAAGCATTGATTTGGTGCGGGTACATTAATCGTACGTTCCAAAAAAAGAAATCGTGGTTCCAGAGGGGGTCGAACCCTCGACTTTGGCGTTATTAGCACCACACTCTAACCAACTGAGTTATGGAACCATTGGTTGATGAACTGGGATGGTATTACTCGTCATGACCAGTTTGCAAGGCTCTGTCTACCCTCGCAGGCATTCTGCACAGATCCGTACCTATACCCCAAAATTAGCACTCATCTCACTTGCCAGGGAACGAATCTTACCCCTGCGGACACTGACTCTCCAGTGCAGTGCTCCCACTGCGCATATTGCAAACCTTCACCTTATGGCAAGCGTGTCACTGGTACAATAGTGCTCTTAACGCTCATCTTGCCCTGTAACTCATTATCCAGCGTAACCAATCCCATCAGCCTCCATAGCCTCTGTAACGTGGTACCAGAACGTCCTGTTCAACGGCGCATCCTATCCCAACCCGCTGCGGGGCCGTACGCCTCTCGCGTGAGTACTCGATGCCGAAGGTGCTTCCGTCGCTGTCGTCGTTGTTCTTAAGCCCAAAGCTGAATGTCGGATGCTAATGCAACCTAAGTTTTGATCCTTTTTGGGGCGTCACTTATTCGTCCAAGAGGTCTGAAGCACAAGACGGGCTAGAGCGGGAAAGAGAGAGGAAGCAAGCGCACAATGAGTCCTCTTGGTCTAGGAACCCACTACGCTGCCCATACAAGGAGGGACATGAGAGGCACGCCTGGTCATTGTGGGAAAGTACGTGCGTGGACCGACCTGTGCCGGAGACGCCTTTTCGGCTATTTAGGGACGCCAGAAACGGCCGCTCGGCACAAATTCATTTTGTTATGGGGAACACAAGGCGACTGTTGGAAGTTTTGGACTAGCTGTTAGTAGTAGCACACGAGAAACTGGAACCGCTCGAATCATCGTGGATGGCCTTTCCGGAGACCCATAGGCCCATACCACACTGCAATCAAAGTGAGTAATCTGTGATATATAGCCTGAAAGAAAACAAAAGTAGACTAACCAGGCAAGCACCAATCCCCACGATCACAAGGTTGAGGAGGGTTAGGACAGTTTTCTTCCAGGAAGACCCATATCGACCCCAATTCAAAAAGAGCCAAAATATACCGCTTAAGCCATCTTCATATCGGATTAATATTACACCAGTTGGAGTTTTCTCAAGCGAAAGACTTACAAGTAAACCAACTAGCGAACAATGCAGTCTATCGAGTGGAATCAGATCAGTGTGCTCCTGTCCAGACGCCCAGTTCTCAATCAATACTCACAATTAAACTTAGTAGGTCGTTGAAAACAGGAATAGCCTCGGCAATAATCCAGGCTATAACCCAAAGACTTAAAGTAATTCCAACCCAAGACCCAATTGACAGAAAAGTGCGTTTGTGCATGTGATCAGTGTGCCGAAACAGGCGGACATATATATACTTTGCCGCGACATGGCCGTTAATAACACCGGCGACAACAATCTGTGATCTTATGTCAGAATAAGGGTTCCTCATAAAGCACAGCTAAGATAGAGATAAACCTACCGAAGGAATGGCAATCCCATATGCAAGCTTGGCTGTCACATCACTGGTGGAACTTAGTGCAGGGGATTTCACATCTTTCCCGCCGTAAATGTAAATGACAACGCCCGCCACCACATACATTGACGTATCAGTCGTCTGGAGCAGGAACAAAGTCTTGGGGTAATCGGTTGGTGTCTCCATCTCAGAAATAAAGCCGAAGAAAGCAACATGACCGGCTGTAGAGAGATTAGTCAAAATACAAACGCTCTTCTGGTGAGATAGCACATACCGTAGGCGAAAACAATATTGGTCACGGCCAAGAATCCTTTCGCAAGACTTACTTTCGTAGTCGCTTCCAACTTGCCATTTCCCGGATGCTGAATAGCAATGGCAATCATAGTAATCAAAACCGCAGAGACAATACTTGCGAAAGCTATCCGAAATCAATATCAGCAAAAGTGTTAGTTCACGAATGAGAGACCAATGCATACAGGCAAATGAGAACCATGAAACTTTTCTGAGAGTGCGAGGCAGGGCACAGATAAAGGAGACTACAAGACCAACAACCCCAAAAACAATGGAGCAGGTGGCATGGTCTGTCAATGTGTTCATCATGACCGTGAAAGTCAAGAGATGGCTACCCATAATGAACACTAGGAAGAGCAATTGGGCGGTTCCTAAAAGCTCCCTCCCAAAGCCACCCATACCAAAGGGGCCGAAAAGCACTTCTCCAGCATCTCCCATGCTGTGCACATGCGGGTACCGCAGTTTGAATTGACCAATGACATATCCGGTATAGGTGGCTAGGATACCGAGTCCAACAATGAGAATAACCGCACTGAGTCAAATCAGACTCTATTGCCATGCTAGGCCTGAATGAGACGATAGAGTTCGACTTACGGGACCAAGCCTAAGGTTGCCACAGCAGATGGAAGCGACAAAATGCCGAGAGAAACGGTTTCTGCGATCATGACTGCGGAGTAAAACACCTTCAGAAACTGCAGCGTATTCTATTGCGCGATTCAAGTTGACATACTCACGCCACATTGCCTGTGTTGTTATAAACGAAAGTGTCAGCTGCAGGTCGGCCAAGAAAGTATTTTTGATAACTCACCACCACTGTAAAGTTCGATATTTGACTTCTGCAAACTCCTCATCTCCAAATGGGTCTTCATGATGAGACACTTCATTGCTTAATCGATGCTTTTCTTCGGTATCCAGACTAGCTTTTTGTCTGTTTACCGGTGAACGTGATTGTTGAATTGTATCGTGGTACAGGGGTGCCATTTTGCCGTGTGTTGATCGGAGTTATGGGCGATATTCTATGCAGCGCCGTGATCGCGATCGCAGTCAACGTGTATCGGCAGCAAGTGAAGGAGTGAAACACCCAGGTCCAGGTTTGACGAAGGACAGCAATAAATACGGATTCCACCTGGGTCTTGAACCACAAGCTTCGCGTCAGGCTCCGCGTACGTCCATGAACATTGGCCATAGAAACGATTCATTTACACGTTAGTGGCGACACTTGTCACATTGCGGGGGAAGGGTAGCGGGATCTAGGAACCGGAATTGGGCATTCCAAGTCTGACAAGAAACCAACCGTCAAATAACAATAAGAATTATGAATGGTGATTCACCGTTACGACACACCCAGACAATATTGAGCCACATTGAGACCAAGGGTGAAGTGGGGCTTCGGTTGGAAGAACGGCGTGACTTGATTAAAGGACGCCAATGATCTGGGGTTTACATGTGAAACGTGCTTAAATTCGCCTTCTAATAATTGAAAACCGGGCGCAACAGGGAACCAAATAAAAAGCGTTTGATGTCATAAAGTTTGGGCGGCAAACCTGCAAGGATTTGGCGATGGTTTATGATTTCCATTGGCACAACTAGGCCTCGCCGTAACTCACCCAAAACCCAACCCGTGGGTCGGGTCTGGCCTTTTCGTCAACAAAACCGTGGGTGGGTTAGTTAGGTATTTAACTAATGTCTCACTGCGCACTCGGGGCTGCTCCGGGTGTAGGATACTCTTGTTTATATGTTGTTTTGGAGTGCGGCGCCCGCCTGAGGAATAAACTAGTTAACCTGTAGCACGAATATGCTCATTGAGATCCGGTAACAGTTATCCAGTCAGAGTGCTCTGTTCACTGCGGCGCTTAAATCCAACTTGGCGTAAGAAATCCTCACAGTTTTACTGCGTTGCCTGTACACATTGATTTTCATACCCTCGGGCTCAATGGTCCGTGTGATCATAATATGCAGGTAGTGATGGATGAACGCCCACTTGCTACAAGTATGACAATAAGTTGCCCCTCACCAAAAAAAGGAAAGAACAGGACCAATAAATGGCTGGCAGCTCCCGGCTACAGCGGGAGAGTAAACGTGAACGAAACGAATTACACAGTACTTTTTCTCTAAGAGAAGTGCTTTGATATAGCAAGCTAACCACCGATTCAATGGGCCGCCGAATACGCCCATCTATTTTGTGGGCTGTGGAAACTGATCCAGCACTTTCTTCCCTCCCACAATTTGGAAGTCAGATGTTGGGTATTTGCCTCCAACATCTACATGCAGCATATAAGAACCAGGGTATAATACCAAGTCACCATTGTCTGCAGTTCGGGCGACTGAACCCAATGTGACATCGATATCAACCTTACGGGTCTCCCCAGGTTTGATATTCTTGGCCCTCTGGTAGCCTACCAAAGTCCGGATTGGATATGGCGTAGGTCCAGCGTTGTCAGTCGTCAGGAACACAAGTGTCACATAATCAGACGTCACTTTTCCGGTATTGGTGACGGTGAGAGTGAAAGTGTCGAAGAGTGCAGTATCCACTGGTACTTTTTTGGACGCATGCATGGCAAAGCTATCCGTGTTGTACGGGCTGAGGTTGCTCTTCTGCCAGGAGATGTGGAAATCTGTATAATGAAGCCCGTAGCCGAATGGCAATACACCGTCTTCGTACCATCGATATGTCCGACCAACATTGTCACTTCCGGGTCGCAGTGACATATCTGTCATAGCCACCTCGTCGACGTATTCCGCCGGATACTGAGTAACCGGGAGGCGTCCGGCCGGGGCTTCATTTCCTGTCAAGATATCGAACACAGCGGCACCGCCAGCTTGACTCGGATAACCCGCCCAAAGTAATGCTCCGACACCATCGTTGGACAACAGGGTTGAGTCATCGAGTTGCCCTCCACCGAATTGCACGACGACCAGGGGCTTGCCGACCTGCGCCAGACTCTGGATCAGATCCAACTGGTTTCCAGGCCAGTCTACTGTCATGCGATCATGGCCCTCCGCCTCAATTGTGTTATCGATGCCCCCAGCGTAAACCACTATATCGGCTTGTTTGGCCGCGCTCACAGCAGCATCGAACCCAGCAGTGCTGGTGGTATTGATCTCAGTGCCTGGAACGAACTTGACCTGATATCCGGCATGTGTCGCGCCCCAAACCATCGTCCGGATATATTTGGCGGTGCCTTGGTAATTACCCTGTAACTGGGTTGTCGCATTTGCATACGGTCCGATCAAAGCCAACGTCTTGTTTGCCGCCAAAGGAAGCGTGTTGGCGTTCTTAAGCAGCACGATCCCCTCTACCGCGGCCCTTTGAGCCAATTCTTGAGCGACTGCGGTTCCAACGTCCGACCATCCCAAGGACCCATATAGCTGGTCTTTAACTGGGTCAAAGTAACCCAGTTTGACCAATGAGGAGTACCTTCTGAGCGTAGCCTGATCCAGAGCCTTGATCGTTGTCAGACTCTGTGCAAGAGATGAGTTTAGATAATCCGGGAAGACTGAACCGCAGTCGAGATCCGTCCCAGCATTTAGTGCGACAGCAGCTGCTTCAGCGCCAGTGGCTGTATAATTGTGACTAAGGTAGATATCATCAATCGCGCCGCAGTCTGACGTGACCCAGTGACCCGTTGCTTCCCAGTTCCAGTGATCCCGTAGAATTGTCTGGAGTAAGTACGAGTCGGCGCAGCTGGGGACCCCGTTGACGGCATTGTAACTGCACATCACTGCGTCGACTTTCGCATCACGAGTGCATGACCGGAAAGAAGGTAAGTAATACTCGGATAGGTCCTGGGTGGAGACGATGGCATCGAACGTATGGCGCGTGACATTTCCCCAGTCCTCGAGATCATACGCAGCGAAGTGCTTGCATGTCGCAACAACTTTTGGGTGTGCAGGTCCAATTCCGTTCTGCAAGCCGTCGATAAGGGCATAGACATATCGAGCAACATGGAAAGCGTCTTCTCCAGGAGTCTCTTGTCCACGACCCCAACGAGGGTCTTTGAATGGGTTGATGTTTGGGGTCCAAAAGTCGAAACCGGAGTGGCCCGTGTTGCCAAATGCACGACCTTCTGTACCGATCACACTGGCGATCTGCTTCACGAGGTCGTCGTCAAAGGTAGCACCAAGGACGATGGGCGACGGGAATGAGGTTGCGTAGCTGAAGGGTCCACTTGCGGCGAAATGAACGCCAGGAGAACCAGCGACGCCGTGTAGACCCTCACTCCACCAGTTATATGCAGGCAAACCAAGGCGAGGTACTCCAGGAGACTGGTATTGTGTGTTGTTGATTTTCTCCTCCAGCGTCATGGCAGCTACAAGGGAATTGGCCCTAGTGAGCACATCTTTAGATGGGTCGCATACTGCCAATCCACTCAACGGTCCTGTCTTGCAATCCGGGAAGGGACTATTTGCAATGGCTTCGCTAGCAAAGAGTGCCAAAACAGACACAACTGACGTGCTCCATGAGGTGATCTTAACACCGACCATCGTGGACTTTGGTTGGATCGAGGATGGTTTTGTGCTCAGAGGCGGAAGCCTGGACAGTACGGAGCTTTTATACTCCAGTTCCATCCATTCAACTCCAACCCAAGAGCTTCACCCTCTTTGGGGCTACTTAGGGATCTACAATCACATTCAGCCGGAATTAAATGCCACTCTCTCCCTGTCTAGGGAGTCCCCTGCGGAGTAACCACAACTCGCACATATTAATGACGCATTGCACGATTCAACTTTGCCGAGGGACAGAATCGACAGGGGGTGTGATAAATTACAAGATTTCGCCGCCGATCACAGTTGTAACATTAGATAAATTAGCCTGAATGGACATTTTATGGGGTATCAAAGGTAACATAATCTAAAGCGAATGCGGGGGTGGACATCAACCCGCATAACCCAACCCATCCCATAGTCTAGTAGGGACGCACCCTGCACCCTATTCACACACGCAAAAAACACTTGGGCTTCACAAGATTCCCCTGTTTAGATATCTCAATCGGCCGTATACTCAAGAAGAAGAGACCTTGCTCAGCCGCTTCGGGATACACACTAGCCATACGCACAGTACGAGACTTAGTGAACTCGGCATGAGAGATGTTGAGTCTTAGCAGATGTCCGTTGCTTTGTTAGGGTACAAGTGTGAACTTATACTAGGCGCGGTCTAGCGCATCATAAGCGCTGATATTGTTCCTCTTTTGAAACCAGTGTACATTAGGATACATGTAGGCACACTCGCGCAATTTGACCGCTGATCAAGCGGGATATTTCCATCCATCAACTGTATTTCAATCGCTCTCCCGTCAGACCTTGCTCTTACGCATACCTCCGAAAGCTTTGACAGCTTCTCTAGGGTCGATCTCGTCCCAACATGGCTTAGAAAGAAACGGGGACCCAGACCCAGACCAACAGCCAATAGGCAGCCGTTACGTCGTCGAGTGCTTGGTGCGCACCGCCTTTACCCAAACCTTGCTTGAGCTTGTGGTTAGTTAGTGGAGAAGGGTTGCATGATTGATAACTACCAACTGACCGAAAGCGGACGCAAGCTATCGTACCTTGGATGGATGCACCAGAAGAGGAAGTTCAATGCAAATGGGGAAATATATTAGAATAAAAGCCGCCGGGTACCGACCTTGACTCACACCATGATCAAGGAGATGCAAATGACACGTCGTGTCTCGCTATAACTACACAGAAAAGAAATTCAAAATAACAGCCGATAGGCCCTCCCAGGCACAGAAAATGCCCGTCCTCCCATCCTTGGAATCAACAACCTTCGATACGGACCTGCGCGACCGGCACCTGGTCTACGATTACGCAGCGCAGGATGAACACGGAAACCCAGAAAAATGGCGGTATGAAATGTGGTTCTACAACGAAGACCGCATCAACTATGCCATCCACGGCGGGCCGATGGCGGGACGAGTCAACTTTCAGACGGCGACGTATCAGTGCATTCGCCCCGGGGAGCTGTGGCAGTGTAACTGGCTCGAGGAGACGGGGACGATTTGCTCGCTTGTGTATGATATTGCTAATAGTCGCGTCACCACTTTGATTGGGTTCTCCAAAGGGCATTGGGAGCAGGCGGAGGCGGCGCACGGCGATAAGCGTAATCCGCACGATTTGGAGAGGTGGCGCGGACTGGCAAGGCTAGGGATTCAGACGGATCGCAAGTTGCTGAGCGAGCAGGCTGATATCATCTGGGATTTCCGCGGGCCGGGGGATCTGAAGCCCATTGAGATGGATTGGCCCACTTTGTAAATGGGGTTGATGAATGAACTCCGGTGATATGCAATGGCGGATTCGAAGATATTCAAGGGATCGGAATGGAGGTTGGGAGAGGCTGCCAATGGTTTAGAGCACAACGGATGCAGCAAGGGGTTGGCCGTCAATGAATAGACTGTTACTCGCATTGCCTGCACGCATGTGTAGGTTTCAAGTGTCGACCGAGCACAGACTTCTCAAGGACGACAGACGGCAGGACGGGGCCGGGCGCCATGTAATGGTTGGTATCTTCCAACTCGTTGGCAGGTTCGGTATGCCCCGGGACGGTCCCTTATTTAGACACGTCGAAAGTGACAATCCTGGGAGTTGCTTATGTCCAAGCTCGGAAGGTCCCAACGGTTCACACCATGACCAGGAGGTACGCGTGGCTGACGGGGTATAACGAGTGGGAAATGGCATAGGAAACCAAGCTGTCACAGTTCAGAACTGTTGCCGAAAGTGGTCAAGATAAGAATCATAGACGGTCGGGAGGAGACCGTCCTATGCACGAGGGACTAATCGGAGCCCGACGACCTTCCTGATGGAGCCTGAAGGCAAATAAGCTGCACCTGGATGTCATCGGGGCTGAGTGGTGGGGGACCGTTGTAGGAGGGAGCGCGGCTGATGATCCCGACTGCAACCTCTGAGGCCTGGGACTGCGTGGTCATGTCATCGAGGTACCAGATCTGCCATGGATGGCCGCTGGTTCCCGGGGTCATAACCGAAACCCTCTGGTCAGGCATTGATTCTAAGACAAACTCTGGGGTCCAGCGTCAGTTCGTCGGGTGGGCCAGCAAAATAAGAAAGAGGGGGATACACACCTTGGACTGGAATGGAGGCCACCTCAAACATCTGCGGTGGACAAGTCTCCAACGTGGGCGGCCAGGCGATCATGTGTGCCAAGGCGGCTTCCAAGGGTTTGTGGTGGTATTCGCCCGATGTAGCCATATGAAACATGGTGTTTCGGAGGGATCCCTTCAGATCCTCAGAGCAGGGCGGGCCCCAAATTCCATCACAGCCATTGTTCCCGCCAGACGGCACACCGGTGATGTTGCCAATGCGGAGGGCAACTTCGGAGGTGCGATTCGCATCAACCGCGTCGTGATTAACGTGGTTGTCCTGGTAGCGAAGCCAGTAGGCCACTTTGGTCATGGGGCCCTCGCCTTTGCCCAAGGGACTGGCATCGAATCCGTAAAAGAAGGTGACGGGGTCGGGAAACACGGGTTGGAATTGCAGGCTCACGGCGGTCTGAGCCACGGGGTCGACGCACCCTGTATTCCAGAACGAGCAGAATTGGGCGGCGCCGCAGTGGAAGAGCATCAGCAGGACCGCGAGGAGGGAGGGCCGGCCAAGGGACCCGCGATGCCTGTCGACAGCCATCGATCGCGACCGGGAAAATCCACGCGGGGGACAAGGAGACAAATAGTGGTCGACTGGGCACACAAGAGTGACCGCGGAGGTCCTCCAGAGGCGTCTAGAATGATGGTGAGCGGCTGAACAGGGCAGCGAGAGGCATGCTCATATCTGAGGCGACGGGGGCGTGTCACGGCGAAGGAATTATTATGAGAGGGAGGGAAGACAGAAGTGGAAGTCAAAGATGACTGAGAAAGGAAGAGAAAAGGATCCTCCTCGCACGAAACGAGGCCCGTGGAAGAGCTGGTGTTGGTTAGTTGAGTTGGTGAAAAGCCGGGCGAGAAGGGGCCAGGAAGAGTGACTTGGGGGTACTTCCTCCATTATGGGGATATGCATGTGGATCAAGTATCCCTAGGTCACTCGCATCCCCTGGCATTCTTGCTGAGTCCCCGCATTGTCCACACCCAACCGGGCAAATCAGACGGCGGATCGCGACCCGGCTGACTGAGCGACCGACAGGGTCCGGCCAGTCAGGGTGGCGAAAGTGGAGCGGGTGAGAATCATACTGGCCGAGAGCTGGTGGAAATGAGATCATCCAGGAGCCGTTTGTTTACTCGGGGAATCCATCGTTGAGCAATACTGCACGCATTGTTTGCCTACCCCTGGACAGAGACTGACAAGCTCATCAGAAATGCCATAAAATCTCGCAGGGTTCAAGGGTCCAGCGCTAGCAGACCCTTGGTGCTCGGCGTAATCCACTAGGGGAGCGCCACCGCCATCATCTCTCACCGTGAGGCCGTGAATCAATTATCCGCCTGTCGGAGGACGCGCTAGTGACTACGGTGTCGGGAATTTGCGCATAATAACCTCGATCTCTCCTCTGTCGGCTGCTGTCACTTGGCCAGTGTCATCTTTCTTATCTATCGGCTTTGCCAGGTCTGAAACATTCCTGGGTGGATACAAGTTGGAATCCAGCGGAAAGTACCTTGGTGGCCGTATACTTTTCAACAGCCAAGATCCGGGCTTGCCGGTCTGACTGTACGTACGACTGTCCAAGTTAGTTGGTAGTTTCTAGTGGCTGCTACGGAGTTGCTAGGCGAAAAGTCCACTCCAAGACAATTTTCCCGATAGAGTCATCGTCAAACGTAATTTATGTTCAATCATTCTGGCAATTCTTCGGGCACCCCAGCATACTCGCCCAACGCGCCATGCAACTGCCCAAATACAACCCCATGCCAACCCCGAACATCCTCCCACCCTTCGGCGGCATCGTCACGCCCATCATACGCAGCCACCCGCCAACAATAAATTCGGCATAGCTAACCTGCGCGCCGAGCAAGAACGATCCGGCAACATCCCTCTCAAACATCGTCGCCAGCGGTGCTAGCGTCGCACGTAGTGAATCCATCAACTTTGCCCTCGCCTCGCCCCGAATGGCCAGGTCATCCCACGATGACACGCCGGCGCGCCGGATGAACTCCACGCGGATCGTCTCCCCCGTAGCAGGATTGAAGGGCAGGCCGTGTGCTAGGAGGGGTACATGTGCGCTGACGGCTGCGTCGACGTGTGTGTTGAATTAGGCGTAGGCGCGCAATGCGATCTCAAATAGGAATAACCTCAAGAAGATACAAAAGAGACAACCCGTAACACGGACTATGAAGCTCTAACTTGTCTATCAAGGAAGGTCGAGGTACGGACAAGGGTCCCCATAAAAAACGCCACTTGACTTTTCAATGAACTCGCACCGCTCTTGCATCGTGTTGGCGTTTTGGAGCTTCGCTAAACCTTTCTCGTCCGCTTCGTCTCTTGTTTACAAAACCCATACTCCGCCTCCGGGAGTCCTACCAGCGCGGATGTAGTTGTTTTCACCGCTTCCACGCCCTTCAGACCTTTCCGACATCCAACCATAAAATTGTGCATATTCGCTCTTCCGCCAGGTAGGACCAAGGCGACGCACTGCTATGAATTAGAAATGCACTTTAGGAAGACGTGGAAATGACTTACTCCGATCACAGTGCGCGTTCTCTTTGTTCTGCCACTCAGGATCGGAGGTAGATGGGCGCAAAGTGTTGTTGAATAGGTCCAGTTCCAAGAATTCTAGTTCCACGCGGCTACAAACCTCTAGTGTATAGATTCCTCCTTGAGATGGCCACCCTGTAACCGCGACGCCAGGCCCAGAGCCATAATATGCCCAGAATTGCGGCTCGCCTGTGAAATGATTCTGGGGAGTAATGTGGTCATGATCCATTTTATGTAGCATCGCAGGTCGTTCTCGAGGATTCGAATAGTGTGAGTATGAATAGGCTAGGTATCGGTATCTCAACCAAATAATCAAAGAGGGCACAAGCAGTGTAATCGCAGTCTGCAACTTCACCATTTCCGAGTATCTGGAGGATAGATATATGTAGAGATAGCGTCCCGAGGTGCAGTCACTATGTAAGAATCGGTGAATCGAGTAACACCACGAAGAAGGGGGAAGGGGATACTGCTCAGGTGCCAGTGAGCAGGTCACTCTCAGCCTTGTAAGACCTCGCGCCAGACTTAACTTGGTCTACCCCTATTTAGTGTAGCCTGTAAGTTGATCGATATTTTACATGACTATGAAACAAATAGCACGTTGCGTCAATTCGATTGCTCGCGAACGTTCCATTGTGACAAGAAAGGGCATTGACCCGAGGTGCATTCAGATAATTCGTTGAGATACTATAAGTCATGTTGTGTATAATGTTCATTTCTGCAGCGATTCCAACCGTCCGCGTACCACGCTCAACGACAACGCTAAAGACTCCCCCAACTTCCGTACCCGCTCACGCTCCTGCGCCATCTTCGCGTCCGCCATTGCCCTAATAAGCCGCAGGACTTCCAGCTCTGCAACCTCGTCACTGCTCAGCCCCACCAATGGATCGTGAGCCTCCAGATGCTGCTGGGCGTTCAACACCTTGGTAATGGCCTTGATAAGAGGCAATATAAAGTCCATATTAGAAGACAGCCATAGCGCGTTCTCAGGCGAAGCTCCCTTGCGACACCAGAGGATATCCATAGCCTCCGCGCGCTGCGCGAAGGTCTTGAGGCTCTGCGCATCCTCGGAAGGGAGGCGCATCACGTTTCGCGTCCAGTCGAAGTCCGGTATTTGAAGCTGCGTGTTCTGCCACTGTTCGTAAAGGGCCCGCTCCATGGTGGACATGCGCTCCTTGGCGAAGGACTCGGCGTCATGTTTGCGTGATACGGAGGAGGTTATGTCTTTGCTTTGGGGAGTGATGTGGCCTCCGCTGGCGAGTACTTCGGCAATATTGTGCATTTTTATTACCGTTGTCTCGAGGTCATCGTTTGGCTGTGGGAGTGGGACCAGGAAAGGGAATTCTTTGAACCCAAGAGATGCGAGCTGGTCTGGTATGTTGATAGCGGAGCCTTGGGGCTCCATTTTGGCTAGATGTGTTGGGTTCATGATCCTGGCAATCGTATCTACTGGTTTAATCGTGTTGAGATCCTTTAGTCTTGAATGAGGTCTGCCCGAGGTTCATCAGAAGATGAAATTGTGATACATAAGGTCTGCACCTACCCAGGTGTTTGATCTGGTTGGCTTTGAGTGACTATGAGTAACTATTGATAGCGTCTTTCAGCTCAATTTGCCTATGCATAATAGGTTGGACATGACTTGTGTAGCCGAGACGTGTGGGGTTTCCCGAATGCTTCAGACGCGTAACGAAGGTTATTGACAGGTATGGTGCCTGAGGCAGAATGGACCGGATCAGGTGATAGCACGAACATTTGCAACTAAAGTGAGACAAAGAGAGGCATGATAGCATTGTTGATAATCACAGTGAAGGACAAATTGTTAGTTACATATGATACAGGAGAGTGTCCTCCAAGCGACTGTCGCCCTCATCCTCCTCCCTAATATACAGGCAGTGTTCAGAAGCACTGTTTCGAGCTTTTCTCAATCATCCACAGCAAAAAAAAAAAAAAGCCAAAGATCGTAGGAGAGTGTCCATCCATAATGCCCTTGAAAAACACTCCAAAAAAAAAACGCCACGCTGGAAAACCAAATGCAGATTAAGGTTGAAAAAAAGTTGACAATCTGTCCGCGCCCAGATCATTTGTCGTCGTCTTCATGAGTATTGTCCTTGAGCCCATTGCCGTGCAACCACGCGCGCTTCCACGGACCGTCTTTCCCAAACGCAGTCTCGCGGTCTCGCCGCATCCCTTCCAGGACGCCCACAATTCCACCGTGGCGCAGGCGTTCAAGCACAACATTCATGCCCTGCTTGCTTTTCAGCACAGCATCTCGGGTCCGGCTTACACCGATCAGCTCGATGGTCCGCTGGATGCCGGCGGTAGAGAGCGAGGAGAAGAATCCTTTTCGAGGCGCTTCATCCTCCGCCTCAGGGGCGTTGTCTTCGATGCCCGCCTTCTTCCGTCCACCGAGCAGTTTTCCCTGTCCAAGCCGAGAGCGGAATGTGACAGTCGTTCGGACAGTGGTCTGCTCGCTCTTCCGGTCATCGATAGACAAGCCATCTAGCGCATGGCCGGCGTCTTCACTCGCGTGGCGCTGGTATAATTGCTTCTCCACTACGCTGAGGACACCGGTCCACTCCATATTGCGAGACTCTGTTTCCATCCATCCCTCCCTGGGGTCGACAACCGTGGTCTCGAGGATGTAGCTCTGACCCGAATTGTCTGAGCCCCCGATGCCCTTGGGCAGCAACTTGAGAATGCCCGACGGGACCTTTGATTTCTTCAGATGCAGTCGGATTGTGTGGAGACGGTGGGTGCTGGGGTCGACGTAGCGTTCGATTACGTCGGTGGTGAGGACATGGCGGGAGTAGGGGTTGGGATAGCGGAGGAAGTAGGCTAGAGAGACGGCGGGGAAGGAGTAGTCGTAGGTGAAGACATTCTCGAAGAATTTCATCGTGGCGGATGAAGGAGAGTCATGTAGTCTGATGACGATGAGGTGGTGATGGACGAAGGAGATGGTCAGGGATGGTCAGGCGACAGCAGGTTGTATGATCACTTTTTGATTTGACGAGGCGGAGCTGGGTCGGATAATTTTTGTTCCGGATAGCCTATCACAGGACGCGAATTAGATCGAGGCATCATAGTAAGATGGAGATGAATGAAAGAATCGAGAGAAAGAATAAGTACATTCTGTGTCAAGAAAGTGCAAATTATGGTAGGGAGCTGCGTTCCGCATGATGCGAATTGACGCTCGCGGATTCCTGCCGAGAATTCTACCGACCAAAATATACTTCCATAGTCTCCGTCCACCCAGTATATTTCTCTGCAATGAAAGTCACAGAGAGACCGGTGGCTGCGGGGAATTGGGACCAAATCCCGTGGAGGTAAAGTATCTGTCCACGCGGCCGTCAGGGTTTTATTTCCAAAATAGTCGATGGACCTGCGCCACTGGGAGTTCCACTGATCTCGAATAGGGCTAGAATCTTATTCACAAGACCACGACCTGGAGGAAAACTGAACAGGCCCAATGACTGTTATGCCAATAACCGATATCCGGCGGACGTTCTAGCTACATAAGGGTCCCATGTTGATCATAAGGCGGAGTCAACAAGTCGGGCTAGTTACGCCCGACACTGCCGATGAACCAAGCCCAATCACAAAGCGTATATGAATCATTCGACGGGTCTTGCCGCAAGCAGCTGATGCTTCTAGCTCGATATGAACTTGGTCTGATTGGTGCTCGATTCGACGGGCTTCGGATTTGATAGTCCGAATGAGGGGCTGGCACCTGATCCAGTAGCTGGTATGACATAAGAGGGAATATTTTAAACACGCGAACGCAAGGTGATATCTAGTTTCTAAGAACCCCAGGTCTCGTCACCCAGTATGGCGACTCTGACAGCGAACCCAACGTCTGTCTTGGGCTTGGATCGCCCTATTCAAGACACTTTCCCTGATGGATTTGCACAAAATGGCGGCCGAATCTCTACCAACCATGTTGGGATGCTTCGTCCCACACCGGCATCGCTGCCCATTGAGGAAATGAGAGAACGACTCAAGCAGGATGGATATCTTTTCGTGAAGGGACTTCTTCCTAGAGAGGACGTCCTGGATGCAAGAGAGCAGTACAGACTTACCAGCACATACCTCTCTATCGATAGACTTGCTAACAATAACCTCTCTGTCCAGCTATTTTAATCAATATTCGGGCACTTCATTATTGGAACCAGGGACATCTCCTCGGGACGGCATTTTCAACAAATCCTCTCATCCCGACGCGCACAAAGGCATTGGCGGGGAAGGCTTACCTGTCGATCCAGCTGAAGAGAAGATTCTGGTTGATGCCCATAAAGAATCAGAGTACCGCGCTTTTATAGAGCATCCTGCCCTGACCAAGTTCATCAGAGAATTCATGGAGTGGAAGGAGCATCGCCTGCTCGATCGGTCCATGCTGCGACACAATGTGCCCTTTGGCAAGGGAACTGGGATTCATTATGATAAGTTGTTCCTCAGAGCAGGAGATGGATTCTTCCTGACTGCCTGGGTTCCAATCGGTAACTCAAGCTATTGCACGCCTTTCGATCGGACTACGCTAATCACCATCCTTGCAGGCGATATACCAATCAACGGCGGAGGTCTCTGCTATTTGGCCAACTCTGTCGGCTTGGGTCGTGCCATCGAGAATGACTTCAATACTCGAGCAGCAGCCATGACGCAAGAGGAGAGGGTCTCTGCATTTAATGTGAACATGATGGACGGCGGGATGATCGCGTCGTCGCCCCAGCAGCTCCAGGAGATGCATTCGGCTTCTGGCTTGCATGAGTGGCTCATCACCAACTATGAAGCTGGGGATGTTGTCTTCCATCATCCATACAGTATCCATGCCAGTGGTCGAAATGAAGACCAGGAAGGTCGTATCAGGCTGAGTACGGATTTGAGGTTCTATGACAAGGATGACCAGGGCATGGACACGCGGTGGTGTAAGATCTGGACTCCGGGAGATGGACTGTAACTATTCACAAGTAAAGTAGGCAGAGTACAAAGGCAAGGGGATATACTGTGACATGAGAGAGTACTATGCTTTTGCTGGCGATCAACCTCCTCCATCTCATAGATTAGTACCTGAGATCAGGTGACTGATTACCGATACACGTGACTGGTTGCCACCCCGCCAATCACAGGCCAGCGACTCTTTTTTGAATTGGCGGGGGAGAAAAGAGTCACCGGTTCTTCGAAACACACAACACCTGAGCCACCGTATGACCCTGCCTCCCTCGTGGTCGCACAATCCCTAACTCACTCGGTCTAGGTTCCTCTCCCGAATCCTTAAACCATGGTCGACGAACCAGGCCAGCCCCCGGCCTTGACCACGCTGAGTCTCGCCGAGAAGGCTCACGAGAAGCAGCCCGTCAATCAGGTCGTGACACCCTTCGATGTCTCCGGTGGAGTAGACGAACACGGCAAGCTGCTGCCCGTGGACTATGACAAATTGGTGCGAGAATTCGGCGCCACTCCCATCACGCCCGCTTTGCTGGAGCGATTCGAGAAAGTTACCGGCCACCGCCCGCACCGCTTCATGCGCAGAGGCATTGTCTTCAGCCACCGCGACTTGACTGCCATTCTGGACCGCTATGAGAAGGGCCAGCCTTTCTATCTCTACACGGGCCGGGGACCGAGTAGTGATAGTATGCATGTCGGACACACCGTTCCATTCGAGTTCACCAAGTATGAATTCCACGCGGGTCCCTGGAAGGATATCGCGCTAACTTTTCCAGGTGGCTACAGGATGTATTCGACGTGCCCCTCGTGATCATGATGACCGACGACGAGAAGTACATGCACTCCGCCAAGGTCGACGTCGACGACGCCAAGCGATACACCAAGGCGAATGTGAAGGACATTATTGCAGTTGGATTCGACATAAAGAAGACCTTTATCTTCAGCGACTTTGATTTCATCGGCGGGGCATTCTACGAAAACATTTGCCGCATGGCCAAGCGCATCACGATCAACCAGGTGCGCGGCACGTTTGGGTTCAATGACAGCAACAACATCGGCGAGTTCCACTTCTGCGCGACCCAGTCCGCGACCGCATTCGCGACGAGTTTCCCGCAAATCTTCGGCACGGACAGGAAGAAGGTCTCGTCCATCCCCTGCCTGATCCCGTGTGCCATCGACCAAGACCCTTACTTCCGGCAATGCCGAGAACACGCCGAGAAGATGAAGTACAAGAAGCCGTCGCTGATCCACTCTATCTTCCTGCCCGCGCTACAGGGCCCTGGGTCCAAAATGTCCGCTAGTGTGGATATCTCCGCCATCTTCATGAGTGACGCACCGAGTCGCATCAAGAACAAGATCAACAAGTACGCTTTCTCCGGTGGACAGGAGACTGCCGAGCTCCACCGTGAACTGGGCGGCAACAGCAAGGTCGATGTGCCGTTCCAATACTTGACTTTCTTCCTCGAGGATGATGCGGAGCTGGAGAGTATCCGCAAGTCTTATGAGAGTGGCGAATTGATGACGGGTGAGATGAAGCAGCGCTGCATTGCTGAGCTCCAGACGTATGTCCAGGGCTTCCAGGAGCGCCGCAGCAAGGTGACTGATGAGCTTGTGGCCGAGTTCATGCGGCCTCGTGCGCTGGAGTGGAAGGGGAATCCGAACCCGGTTGTGGCTGAGAAGACCAAGAAATAGGTGTCTTGCATTCATGTTTGACAATTTGTTGCATTTTCATAGGACGACTTACGGGATTTCTTCAATTAGTTCCCAATCTCAATTAACAACGATTTCACGTATCCAACGGCATATTCTGTCATACTACAGCATATGGCCTCAGTGGACTGACAGGAGGTTCATTATATTATATATTCACGAGATCTTCTATCGATCTCGAACAACTACACCGCGTATGAATCCACGCACGCCATTACTCAACCAGCATTCCTCGCCATTGGCAAGCTGGGCAGCTGAAATGGTCTGCTCTACACAGAATCCTTGAGATAGAGCATATCGGCGGGTGGTACCTGCATTACCCCCGCTGTCAAGCGGTGGCGTGACCCACGCTGGACCAGAGACTCCAATATCTCGCCGTCGGAAGTACGGGGTAGTGATGCTTCCCTCCATAATCTCACCCCCCGGATTGACGACGAGCACCTCGGTGGTATCAGCCGGGGATTTGATTCCCGCTCGTAGTCGCGCCGCATTATAAGCATCTCGGGAGGTTGTTTTATGCGTCGTCAAGCCGGAGGGGGTTGTAGCTTGTGTATCAACATAAACACGCCAGACCGAAGATTCGGGGGCTGTGTCAATTGAAGGGATTAGAAGGTTGGATGGGTCAATTGGCGCGGTTGGGTGCACGTCGACCGTGCCATTGCCATTGTCGTCTACAGCAATTCGCAGCCGCCATGGTTTTTGGGGGTCTGGTATAGACGCATCAAGGAATTGGTGTAAGGTGCGCAAGTCCTGTTGGAGCCATGCTAGTGCTTTCTCCCACTGGAAATGCTGGGCGGCGGTGATTAGCCGGTCTCGGTGGTAGGCAAGGAGATAGTATGGCGTATCGACGCTGTCGGGATAGGCGTTGACTGAGAGCCGTGAAACAGCAGCAGGGAGGGCAGGGTCGTAGCGGAGCGAGGAAATCAGAGAGAAGGACATCATAGAAAGTGGAAAAGAGTGTGAAGGGAGAAACCGCGACGTAGTATGTCATGGTGGACCTGGCGCGTGATTGGCCCGTGCCCCGGGCCGACTAACTCGACTTTTCGTCGAAGCTCCGACTCTCCCTATCTTTCTCGCCAGCCTCTGCCGCGCATCCCAGGGTAGGTGCTTCTGGTCCTCCCACACAACAACAGTAATATCATCGGTTCGCACTGCTCACCTTGCTGCAGATTCATCACCCGCCGCGTCGGTTCACTCCCACATTATGTCGAGCGCTTCGCCATTACCCACGCCCGCCCAGAACGTGGTGCTGGACACCTCCAAGTTACCCGCATCCTCGTCCGCGTCAGTCTGGGATCGCATTTCCAACTGGGTATCTGAAAACAAGGCCCTGGTCTACACCATTGCCGGTGTCTCGGTCGTTGTGACGACCGCTGGTGTCGTTTACTACCTGTCCGACTCCAAGGGTGGTGCTGGTGCTGGTGCTGCCGCGCCGGCGGAGAAGAAGAAGAGCAAGAACCAGCGACGGAAAGAGAAGAAGAAGGCGGAGGATGAGAAGAAGTCTAAGGCCGCGTCTGTTCAGGATGGTAGGTCTTGATATTGCCTGCTTACCTGGGCGCATGCTGACAACGATTCAAGAATCGACCACTAAAAAGGCCGAGGAGCCCGCTGAAGAGCTGCCCGAGGTGGATGAGGCGACAGTTGGCCAATTGTCAGAAGAGGTATGGCGGTTTAGTGCAAATGATGATGATTGGTTATTAACAGTCTGTTCAAGACCAGGAAGGCATACGCAGCCAAGCTAAAGGCTGCCGGTAACAAGGCCTTCGGCTCCAAGGACTACAACAAAGCCATTGAGCTGTATGGAAAGGCCATTCTCTGCAAGCCCGACCCCGTCTTCTACTCGAACCGCGCGGCCTGCTACAACGTTCTGTCGGAGTGGGACAAGGTCATCGAGGATACCAGTGCTGCGCTTGTGATGGACAGCGAGTACGTCAAGGCTCTGAACCGGAGAGCCAATGCCTACGAGCAGCTCGAGAAGTTCAGTGAGGCGCTCCTTGACTTTACCGCCAGCTGCATCATCGACGGGTTCTCCAACGACGTCAGTCGTCTTGCGCTTGAGAGACTGTTGCAGAAGGTGGCGAAGCAAAAGTGCAAGGCCATCATGGATTCCAGGAGCAAGAAGCTTCCTAGCGCCACCTTCGTCTCCAACTACCTGCAGAGCTTCCGCCCGAAGCCTCTGCCCGAGGGTCTGGATGAGTCGGTTGACTTGAGTGAGGATTCAGGCAAGGGTTTGCTGCGCAAGGGTCTGGTTGCCATGCGCCAGAAGACGGCTGATGGCTACGAGGAGGCCGCGGCTGCTTTCGAGAAGGCGCTCGAGGTTGGTGACCTGGATGACTTTGAGGCCTTGGCTCTCAACATGCGAGCCACCTTCACCTACCTCGGCGGCAACGCCAACGGCGCCCTGGAGGACCTCAACAAGAGTGTGGAAATGCAGCCCTCGCTGGTCCAGAGCTATATCAAGCGCGCCAGCTTGCACCTCGAGCTCGGTGAGTCCATTGACACTTGCTGTAAATCATTTCTGACCATTCCATAGGAAACCGCGAAGCCGCCGCCGACGACTTTGAGGTCGCCATCACCCACGACAAGGACGACCCTGATATATACTACCACCGCGCCCAGCTTCACTTCATCCTGGGCGAATTCGCCGAGGCCGCCAAGGACTACCAGAAGTCGATTGACCTCGACCGCGCATTCATCTACTCCCACATCCAGCTCGGTGTGACGCAGTACAAGATGGGCTCGGTTGCATCGGCCATGGCTACCTTCCGCCGGTCGGTCAAGAACTTCGAGGACGTTCCCGATGTGTACAACTACTACGGCGAGCTCTTGCTGGACCAGCAGAACTTCTCGGAGGCCATTGAGAAGTTTGACAAGGCCGTAGAGATGGAGAAGCAGAACAAGCCGATGGGCATCAATGTCCTGCCGCTCATCAACAAGGCTCTGGCCCTATTCCAGTGGAAGCAAGACTTCCAAGAGGCCGAGAACCTGTGCCAGAAGGCGCTCATCAGTAGGTTCATGCCCCATTGATCGTTTACACCCGTACTGATTCTACGTGTAGTCGACCCCGAGTGTGATATCGCCGTCGGCACCATGGCCCAGCTGCTCCTGCAGCAGGGCAAGGTCTCCCAGGCCCTGAAGTACTTCCAGCGCGCCGCCGAGCTCGCCCGCACAGAGGGCGAGATCATCAACGCCATCTCCTACGCTGAGGCCACCCGCACCCAGCTCGAGGTGCAGGAGAAGTACCCGGCGCTGGCCGCACGTCTGACGGCGATGGGCGCCAGCGGCATGGGAGGAGCCCGGGGGTGTAAGAAGACCCAGACCTCTCCTTTGACCTTTTTTCCTTTCTTCTTTTCTTTCATCTCCCGGATCTGGACTCGGGTTGCATGTTCTTGTCTAATTACTCGGTCTCTCCCCGGATCATCATCTTTGAGGCGCTCGGGCCATCCTCTGTTTTTGGGGGGGCTTTCCCCCCCGCGTGTACTTACTACTATCGGTTGATATATTCCCTCTCCTCTTTCTTTCGATATGTCTGGGCGAATAAATAAAACCGAGCGAAGTAGACCGAGCTGTACCATAACTAAGAGAGAATGAATGTGCGCATTAGTATGACGTTGTGTTGTTCTGGTCCATGTCTGCCCCACATCAGCTGATCCACCTGCTTATCGCCTCGGTCAGGTGTTGTACGCCGGTCCCTCTTGTTCTCTTCGTCTCTTGCTTCTCTCATCCTCTCTCGTCATTTCCTCTTCGTGCCTGAGCCACCGAAGCACTCAGGTTCATATTGCTTTGGCTTCGACGCATCCTGGTTGTTGCAAGCTCTTCCCCGGGTGAAACACCCAGACCCGCCGTTACTTCCTTATCGGCCCTTATCGGCCCTCTCATACTTGCCTCATCTGCCTGAGCTTCCGGGCTTTATGCTCGCTCGATTCCCTGGGAGCGGCGACACCCGGACTCTCCCTGCTGCTATCTAACAGGCCAGAGCCCTTCCACCCAGCGTGGAATCCTCAACTCAACCCAGCCCGGTCTGAGTCAGTCCGACTGACTTCAACCTGATTCATCATCTACCTCTACCCCTCTTCGGTTTCCTAATCCTTCCCTACTCTTTCTCTCTCTCTCTTCCTCCTTCGAACAACTCCCTGTTCCATCCATCCTTTGTCTACTTTACTTCTTGTGCTGCTCGTCTTGGTCTCTATCTTCTCTGTGTCCCTTTCTTGCAGGAGCGGCTTGCTCGGTACATGTACCGAAGCTCTCGGATTACTGGCTGACTGGAGACACCCGGGTAAGTCACGAAGCCTCATCTCGTTTTCTTTTTCCGATCTTGTTTATATCCCTCTTGCCCTCTCCTTCTCCTGTTCTTTTTACCCACCCACACCGACAAGTGCACTGTGAATGACGACGGCCCCCATCTCTGCTTATCTGTGCCACTCACTGACTGCTTTTATATAGGCTGCAGCACGTCGTCCTGACCAGACTTCTTTACCATGGCGAATGCACGAGGTATGTCTCCCTATCCTTCTAATTTTTAGTGGACCCTTTAACTGATCCGGTTACCACTGCAGCTGTCGTCACCCTTCTCCCTGTCCTGCCCGATGGCATACCCCTCCGCACCCTTACTCTCTCCCGAGATAACCCTGCCGTCTTGATTGGTCGATCCTCGAAGCGTGAAGAGAAGAACCGGATTCCGGACAAGCAGAATGCGTGGTTTGATTCCCGTGTCATGTCTCGAGATCACGCAAAGTTGAGCATCGGTCTGGACAAGAAGGTTCGTTTTCTATCTTCATTCTCGCGACACCCTACTAAGCTGGTGCTCAACAGGCTGTGTATATCTGCGATTACGGCTCCACACACGGGACCTGGTTGAACAACGCCCGGCTTACCCAGGATGAGCAGACCCCCCTGCTCGCCGGCGATCATCTTCGATTTGGCCTCGTTGTGGATCGTGGGGATGGTACGTTGTCTTTCCAAATTTTTGGATTATGCAAGGCACTGATTTGACTACAGAGGTCTTTCCTGCCTTGGAGGTCTACTGCAGAATTGAATACGTCGATACTCGGTATGGATTCGCATCCATTCGACTTGCCCGCTTAAATGCTAACGTTATGGCACTTCCACCCAGTGACCATAGCCCCCCTGTGCCCCGATCGAAGAACACGTTTTGTGTGCCCGAGGATGACGACGACGACGAGGAAGACGACGATGCTTATGTGCAAAGTGATGTGCTTAGTGAATCGGAATCATACTCAAAGGAGCCTGCACGTGCCCCTGTGAGCGAGGCCATGACTCCAACCTCTTTGCTGAGTGTGCATGCAAGTGGGGAGGAGAACAAGCGTTCGAAATCCTCTGACACTGATCATGTGGACTTGCCGGTCAAGGATGCCAAATCATTCTCGGTAGACGACATAAATATCTCCCTCCCAACCCTTCAGATTGACCCACTTACACTTCACTGGCAAGATTCTCTTCATTTGACCCAGGCAGCACTCGAGTTGCGATTGTCTAATCTTGACTGGGAATCGATTAGTGAATGTTTGGGCGTCATGTGGTTTGTTCACGACCCGATTAGATGCATGCGCTACTTTTTCAAGCTCTCCAAGTACATCCCAGTCCCCGACCAAGGGTTCCAGGACTGGTTGATTAGGCGACCACAGCACGAGTACATCATCGAACTGATCTCTGAAGACTTGAAAGCCTTTCCACAACCGGTTGACACAGCCCGGAAGACAATACATCGAACCCGTCAATGCTCTGTATCACAGGAACAGTACTGGTTGGAAAGCTCCCCAGATTTCAAGCCCATCAATGGCACTGAATGTTTCCTGGAGTTGAAAAGTGAATTGGACGACATCGATACCATGGAACCAGTCTTCGAACGTGAGCCAGGACAGAAACTCACTTACTGGGTCGTCGATACACGGAAGTACTGGGTCTTCAACGAAATGGCAGATGAGCTCACCTCCGGAACCAACTGGTGGATTGTAGAAAAGCCACGAGAGGTTCTTAGCGAGGATGTCAGAACTCAGCTTGATAACGATGTGCCCCCAGATGATTGTCACAAGTCCTGGATTGTGAAAATCTGGGAGCCTTCAATGATCAGAAATCAGTGGTGCGAGCTTGCTCCTTACTGGGACACGAGTTTCAAGGCACTTCTCTCGGAGAAGTTGGATGATTCCTTTTCGGGAGACGAACAAGTCCCATACGATAAAGCAAGTGATTCAGACTCTGCTGTATCCAGTGCTAGACCTGTATCTGGGGATGAAGACTCTGCATCGAGTCTTTCGGACTCTGAGGATGATGAATTTGACGAGGAAGAAGACGACGAGTCTGACTCAGATCAAACATCCGAAGCTGAATTCATTTCTGAAGTCATTTCTTTGGTTGAGCCTGATGAGAACTTCGTCAATCCTACGGAATTGACATCAAAGAGCGAGATCTCGCTTGCGGAAATCAAAGAGCACATTAACCACAGTGCTGATTCTGATTCCGGTTCTCGTCTACCGATGGCGCCACTTTTACTTCGGGAGAAGAAGGTCGAACTTACGACAGATTCTGACATTTTACCTACTATTGACAACTCTACGCCCGCCCCCTACCATGATGGACCATTTATCAACTCTTCCAATCCTTGGATTGAGGAGCATGACAACGCCCCCAGCCCATCAGGTGATGACTTCATGACAGGTGCTGCCAAGTCATCCCTAAAGAGAGGGGCCTCTGAAATAGAGGACATTCTGTCTGTGCCAGTACCACAGAAGGGCCAAATGGTGACAAGCACCCAAGACTCTTCCTTCGAGGATGCTCAGCGGCTTGCATCCTTCTCCAGTGGTTCCCAGCAGTCAAGCCTCAACACAATTCCGGAACCCGAAGTAATTGAAGCAATTAACTCAGCTTTGGCGGAGCGCGAGCCAAGCGAGCCACCAAGGAAGCGAACCAAGTTGTCACCGTCTCCATCTCCATCTCCATCTCCATCAAACGGAAGCGGCCTAGCAAGCCACGCAAAAACCGCAGTCATCAGCGCCATGCTTGGAGGGCTCGGTACTATTGCGCTTCTGGCTTCCCTCCCATCGGAATACTTCCAGTAGAAGTGTGTGTTTCTGTTATCTTCTCCCTTTATCCATGGGGGCTTCGTGAAACGAATGGCGTTTTCAGGTGTTTCTCCTTATCATTTGATCGACCCCTTTATCCTATCAATTATTGCTCATTGATTGAGCCAGTCAGTCTCCGCCTGTTAGCATCACGTTTGCAGTGCAAGAATGGCCCCAACCTGGAGACTTTTGCTTCTTTTCTGCTCTTTTCTCTTAGTGGAATATTGCAGGTCTTTATCGGGTTATTTCATTTTTTTGTTTCGCGACGGACACCTCCTACTGATGGTTGTTATGCTTGTCTCCCCTCTTCCATGCTAATTGAATCGATTAATGCAATGTGTCGCTCGCTTTTTTAATCTTTGCTTTGATACTCTTCAGAAATCGGTAGTGAAATGCTACATAGCAAGAATGCCGAGGATATCAACATTATACCGAATAACGTAGCTCTCGCGCTCGATTCAGTTATATACATATTATAATCCGGTTCCATCTCTCTTTTGATCGTGTTACCATGCCAGATACCATCCTTTTGCCCAAAGAGGTGGGCTTATCTCGAAGTGCGCCGTGACCTCATACTATCGAAACTGAGGGAACGTGGCCAGCTCTTTAAATTTAAGGACGTGTACGTCTATTCTTCTACTCTCTATCTTGATGTATTATTTTAAGAACTACGCAATGACCCAACGAAGCTCAGACTTGCCGGATGATCCACTAGCGAGGAGACTATAGCATTCCATCTAAGTGGCTCATCGCACGACAGAAACTGGGCTGCATCATTGAAGGAAGGAAATCAGCTGACCATCTTAGTCGACTATTGCTCTGGACATGTTGTTCTCAGTTCTTTTCCGGTTCCATCTGCCAAGAAATCGTTCATTGCTTCTGTCAGTCCTTTTGGAATTCAACGGTACTGCGAACCAGAGGAACGAAAATGGAATAATGATCACCTTTCCACAACTGCTGCAGCTCAGCTAGCTAGTCCTCGTGACAATTTCCTCAGCTCTAACGCCAGCAAGGAACTTCACCGCCACCGGGTGGCCAGTCCGCGTTGAAATCTCAGTGTCCGACGTGATTGGCAGGGAGAGGCTGCAGCAGGTAGGTGGTATATTCTACTCGCGAATAGGATGAGCAAACAGGAAGTTGTTTTAGCCTAATTGCCAGCTCTACTGATCCACGAATCTACATATGCAGGCAGCCGTTTGGTGCGGGTTGAACCGCTCTAGTCTTCCACAATTGAGTTGCTGAGTGAGACGGGCGAAATGCATGAGCGATGACTGCAGATCTGGCGTCAGTTAATATTCAATTAGTCTGTGACCGGCTTGCAGAAAAACCAAATGGGGGAAAAAATAGCCCAGCAAGTGGCACTTCGGAGTTGTCGAGATCTAAATCGATACCATGGATTCCTAGCCCCAGATCATAAGCGCGATACGTGTTGCTCTGGACCCTGTCCTTGTATTCAGACCCCTCAAAATGCAGCAACTCGATGAAAATTTGCCTGAAGCCATGGACGACGGTATAATGCATCTCAGGCAGCCCGTTCTTGGGCGACGTCATTGGTCTTAAGCCCACTTTTTTGACCGGCTTGCTTTTCCTGATTTGCTCGCTGTACTTTGTCCAAGGGACTTTTCTTTGTATATTGCTGGGGAATCCGCTATCAAGAGCACCGGCTTTCTGGGTACATAAGTCTATTTTGAAACCCTAGTTGGTTAGTACTTGTACACCGCTGCTTTCTCCCTTTCTTCCTTTCCTTGTCTTTCGTGTTTTATCGTAAAGCGCCAGGCTACGCCATTCGCGAATTATGTCCATTGTTGATGTATCCGGTTGTCTAGAAATACGCCGCTTTCGACATTGTGTGTTAGCCTTTGCCCACATGAACATGCTCTATGATCAGTATTCTTCCTGTCCTCGGCACTGCATGCATCTTACTGCTTCGAACTACGAAGACAAAGCTCTGCTTACGTGCTCTCTATCTGCCACTGCCAATGCGTATGACCTATCTGCATCCCCCAGCCCGAGTATGAGATCATACCCCCAGAGCTTTCTGCAATTATCCGTGGATGGATTTACCCAATCCAACGTCTGCGTCTAGTATCTCGCTTATCCTTTTTAGAAATGACTCATGAGTTGGAGATCGGCAGGACAAAGCTTTCGGAATGTTACACTTTATCAGTAGATGCCTGCCCACAGTTCCAGTGATGTGTAACACAAGGTTCTGGTGGCTGCCATGCGTTTGGAACTTATTTTCGCTTCACTTGAGTCTGAGTGAGCTCGGCCCAACCTCCGGGTCTGTGCTGATTCGCAGGTGACCATAGACCCCCATTCAAATATCCCTGTTCGTACGTTCTTTTGCGCCCGACTCTCGTTCGAAGGGCAGTGCAACACTTGTAACCGCCGAGATCAGAGAGAATCCGTATCGCGCCAGCCCCTTTGAGAAACCGAGTTCGACCGGCAATGCCATAGCCCCGGTGGAGTGGATTGATTTAAGTCTTCGAGAGTACACAGTCTCATCCATCAGCCCGTTTCAGAAACCCTGTGGGATATATGCCTCGGGCCCAGGGAGCAGACACGCCTTCGTGCCAGCCCTCGGATGCACCGTTCTGTGGTTTGCATCGGATGACGCCCAAGATGGCGAATGCCCCGTTTGCTCCTGATACACGATATACTTCTCAGGGAAATCGATTGGTAGATCCCAGTCTGTAAATATGTACCCTGCGCAGAAATGATCCTATTATTGATTCTTCGTTGCAGTCACCCTCGAGAGTGAGCAGCAATGTACTGCTGATCATTCCGGAGGTCGGATTCCGTCCTTATTCCCTGACGCATGTAACATTTGACTCGAGAATTCGTGGCACCAAAGGTGCACATAAGAAATCATGCTTCTTTGTCTACTGTTTCCGGGCTCATTGTACTTTGGCCTAGGCAGGATCAAATCCTTGTTCGATCGTCGCGTCCGACACTTTACTATATATGTTCATCCGAATTTGCTTCCTCGAAGGGAAGGAGCTGATCAAGTTTTGTCCCTGCTCAGCTGGGCTTGGCTTCTGTAAGTCGGGACGGTGAAAGAAATATGGAATCCGAAAGAATATTTAAAAGTGCATCTTCTTCAGACCTATATCCAGCCCAATAATCTTTGGCAGCACTTCCTATTTCGAGGGTGTGCATACGCCTTCCCCAGCAAACATTTTTGCCGTCAACAGTTTAAAGAGAGCAAACGATGTCGAGCATTAATCTCGACCCAGAGCACATCTCCTGCATCGGCGGGCGAACTGTTCTTACATGCCAGGGTTGTGCAGGAAATGCTCCTAGGTACGAACACCCGATTAGTTACTTCGCTCTAATTTTGACATTCACACAGAGGGTCTGTCTGCAAGATATGTGATGGACGCGGATTCAACATCTTTGTTTGCGCTCACTGCAACTCTGCAGCGGCAGCGGCCAGCTCCAGCACCTCTACAACATCGGCCACGGCCTCAGCCGCAAGCCCCAGGTCCTCTGCTTCATCGTCACCAGACTCCTTGAGCCGAAGCTCCTCAGCCTCGTATCCGTCTAAAGTTAGCGTTAGGATCAACAGCAGCTCCTGGCAACGGCTAGGGAATGTCAGAGATGACGCGAGGAGTGGACGGACTCCAGCCAATACCTCACGGAATCTCTGAAAGAGTAATATCCTTTCGATTTGATTTTTTATTATACGACAACCGCCTGGATGGTGTTTAGATTATTCTATTTGGGTTGGGCTGTTTCAATGCGGCGCCCAGCCGCTGGACCATCGTGTTGGATGTCGTCTTGAAGTGTTTATATGTTTTAAAATAAGTTTGGAAAGAGTATATCGTTTCATGATTATTATTATAGGGTTTTCATGGGGGTTGGCGTTGAATTTTTCGTTTGTTGGTTCCATTCAGGCTGGAATATGGTGTTAGATTTGCGGGGCTTGGAGTTGATTTCCAACTTGAATTTGCTAGATTGTGCGCTCGACCAGCATACGATAGAGTACGGGCCTTTAGATGAAATACTCAAACGGAATCTGACTTTCTGTGTAGTCTACCGCGTCGTTGTAAAACGGAGAATACCTACCTCGGCACTCTTAATTTTGACGAACTAGCATCCCCACCGTGTGGGATCGCCGACTCCACTACGTAAGTTCAATGGGATCACAGGGCCACTTTGACCGCCCTGCCATCTGCTCCCGTCTGCTCCCGTCTTCGCACACTTCGTAAAAATATAATCAAGAAGCGAGATCACGGTTATCTATGTCAATCTGGAATTGGAATCACAGTAGGATTGAGATGCAGACCTCAGATCCTGGGCGGGGTTCACCTCAGAAATCCAGCACAGCTTGCCGGAGATGCCGGGGACACAAGGTAAGCGCCTTGTTGCTCGTTATCCATATTTTAAGGCCTGGCCATGACTGCGAGAGTACACGTGAGCTCTTTGGTTTCTTAAATTGGACTGATATGCGAAATAGGTCAAATGTTCGCGAGAATTACCGGACTGTACCCGGTGCGCTAGCAATCAAGTCGAGTGTCATTATCCCTCTCCGCCAGACCGGAAAGCGATTGCAAAAACTCGGGCGCCATGGGGAGCAAGGTATAGACGCAATATGGAGAGACCTGCGAGATCCGACTTTGTAAGTATATGGAGTATATAATTGAGATGCTCTTGTGTCCTATTATTTTGCACAGCAGGATGAATTAACACAACTCAAGGAGCCTCATCTGCCGTTGGTAGCTCAAGGCTGTGACAGCGCGCATCTTCTGTCTCAGCCCTTGGGCCTCTATCTTATAGAAATACTTTTCTCGCATTACATCTGCGCATCTGCTGTGTTCCGCAAAGACCAGGTCATAAAGGAATATCTTGATGGCATTCTACCTGAATATGTTTCACGGGCTATCTTTGCCTTGGCATCAGTGTAAGTGTCTGCCTCTTCTTTAGAGTTTGCTTTTCTCTTTCTCACAAGATGTTCAAGATTTGTCGACAACCCACAGGAAATGGCAAGATTAGGCCAAACTTCTATGCCCCTCTCAATGCTGCGAGTGCAAGCTCAGACATGGGCGAGCCTATCAAGCCAATATTGCTTGCTGCACGCCCATCAGCCTTCCTTGAGCGTAATCCAAGCCAATGAAATGGTTTCCACCTTTTGGTTCGCTCGGGGAGAGATTCATAGAGCCAAACTGCACGCTCGTAAGACAGCCTGTCTAATTACTTAACTACCATTGATAGTTCTAACTATTATTAGATGTTGCATTTGTTGCTGCAAGGGGCCTTGGATATCACAACTTTGGCCGATTCGGCGCTAATGATGGTGGGGATTACTGCTCCCCAGATCAGAAACTGGGTTATAGATGCTTTTGGAATTGTTGGGTCATTCTTTTCGTTATTTTAAAAGATGATGCCTTCACCATGTCCGCTGATTCATCGCTCCAATCTCTGCCACAATTTCGGTTATCGTGTCCCAAACAACCTACATTATCCGACCTGTCCAATGAGGATGAGGAGATTTTCTTGGGAGCTGTTGAGCTCCTTCATATCTAGTAGGAAATCTGTTGTTTTCTTTGTGATCTGCTACTTACCAAAACTTGCAGTCACGATATACAAATTTTCAAAACAAAAGTTCCTGAACCCATCCAAGAGCATATTGATCACATCGTCAAACTCAAGCAGCGCATGATACAATTCTACGATGAGTCGGCATACTTGCGGTACACCGGATCCTACAGAGGTTACTCTCAGTCATATGCAAGCAAAGTCTTCTTCATCCACTCTCTGTACAACATTGCGATGATATCTCTCCATTCATATTTTATCTCTTTCTTTACAGGAACATCCATTGAACGGTCCTTGCCTGCTGATTTCATTCAGAGTTGTACAAATACCACAGTGCATCATACTGAAACCTTCGTTGACATGATTCATTCATTTCTCCATATTGATGGAAAAGTATCAGAACTCCCACCTTTTGCAGGCTATTGCAGTTTTCTTGTCGCCAGCATATATATCAGCTGTTTGCCTATACAGAACGCAATAATATCAGTATATGCACGAGAGAGGCTTCTTTCTTGTCTGATTATTTTGGGAGAATTGCGGAAATACTGGACACCGTTGGAGAGACTGGTATGTTTTGTGTTATGATGCCATGGATCTGATGCAGACTAACCGTAACAACTTCCTTGTTTAGTGGCAAAAGATCTTTGAACTGCTAGGGGACCAGATCTCGGCGCAGGATGTCATTGATCGGCGTTATGCTCTTCAACACCACGATGTGGACCAATCTTGGGGCTCCGAGTTTCTTCTCTCTCTTGGCATATCCGAATACATGCATCATGTGGACACAATTCGTGGGTTATACCGAGTTCCTTATGTTCTACAAGGGGGAATGGAATCACCAGCTTCATCACCGGAACAAGTCCCCGAACGATTCGTGCAAGATCAGATTCCCGACTGGAATGAATCACGACTTAATTCCAACGAGGAGACACTGGACCAGGCAAATCTTTCATCATTAAGAGATCTGAATTTTATTGGAGATGATTTGCCCGCGTTCGTGGCAGGTCAGGGAGATCTCACTAGCCTTATGGATGATAGCACCGCCTTCCTCTGACATATTCAAACGTTTTAACCTCGGCTCAGATTTATTTGATGTAGCCTATAACAACATGCAGAATCTTAATGTAGGTTCAGTGTTTCCGTGTTTCCGTGTTATAGATCGGCGCGACAGATTCGGTCCGGTACATACGGCCCGAGAGATGCCACCGCATAATGTCAGATCACCCCGCTTTCCAATCAATAATCAATATAAAGATGTCTCCAGAGATCGTGCACCTCACCCCAAAGGAGCTCTGAACAAATCCGATACACATCAGTTTCACAGTATCAAACGCAGTATTAGTTTTCCTGATATCGAAATGCCGAACCAAATCCGCGACATCCGAACCGTTGATAAGGAATCCTACCCTTATATCTTCGAAAAGGACGTCTCAGTTCCACTGCAAAATGGAGGAGTCGTCCGCTGCAATGTCTACCGCCCAAAAGACTCCGACGCAGGAGTGACCTATCCTGTACTGGTTACATATGGACCCTATGGGAAAGACATCCCACTGGAATGGTTCGTGGTAGAATGCAACAAAACCCTGGCTATCATCTCACACTAACGAAAATAAACATCAAAGCTTCAATCCAAAAAGCTTTGCCGAGCTCAATCCTGTCCACAAAACCAGTCATTCATCCTGGGAGACTCCGACTCCAAAATACTGGACCGAGCATGGGTACATCGTCGTGCGAGCTGATGAAATTGGAACGGGTCAATCTCCTGGGATCCTCAATCCACTTTCTGCGCAGACCGTGGATAGTTTTTGTGAAGTTATCGAATGGGCTTCTGAACAGCCCTGGTCGACGGGAAGAGTTGGCTTACTAGGCATCAGCTACTTCGCGGGTACTCAGTGGCCGGTTGCAGCGCGCAATCCGAGGGGTCTAGCTGCAGCAATCCCATGGGAAGGGTTTTCGGATTATTATCGAGATTCTACCCGACACGGAGGAATCTTGTCCAATACCTTTCTTCATTCCTGGTGGGCTCGTCAGGTGGCATCAAATCAGTATGGATTGCCTGGCAAAGCCGCTAGAAATTGGGGCCCGGATACGATTGAAGGGGACTTGCCAGAGGATGAGCTTACAGAAAACATCGTAAGTCTGTCATCATGGACGTCAAAGTGTCGCTATCGGGATGATCCGCCTTTTACGAGCGCAGACTATAACCTGGAAGACATCAAGATCCCGATTCTCAGTGTCGCAAATTTGGGCGGGATCCTGCTACATCTCAGAGGAAATGTGCAAGGTTTTGCTTTGGCGGGCTCCGAATTCAAATACCTTCGATTCATTGTCGGTCGTCATGATCTGCCGTTCTACGAAGACGAAGAGGTCGAGATTCAGCGCAGCTTCTTGGATGCATTCTTGAAAGATGACGACCGGGATGGATGGACCAAAAAAGGAGCAATTCCTCCAGTGAACCTGATACTTCGAAAGGGAGATGTTGGATACAACGACCCTATTGCAGAGAAAGCTTTCCCTAGGCGTTTGGAAATGGAATGGCCACTGGCAAGAACAGAATACACAAATCTCTTCCTCCACCACGGCGGAGATATGCTTTTCACGCAACCCCAGTCAACCTCCACAAGAAGCTATGAAGCACCAGGCAAAGGACAGTCCACTGAGATAGTGTCCTTTTCGACAGCACCCTTCGAAAAAGAAACAGAGATAACTGGACACATTGTCGCCCATCTCAATGTCTCCGTCGGTCAAGATGATGCTGGATCAATCCCATCGGACTTGGACTTATTCCTAACTCTTCGGCATGTGTCAGCCAAGGGTACCGAGATTCTTTATACCGGGACCACGGGGGAGGGAGCTCCAGTGACAAAAGGATTTCTACGAGTTAGCCTGAGGAAGACCAATCCAGAGCATCCTCATCATCATCCTTGGCTCCCCTATCGGGACTATTTTTCGACCGATGTTCTTCCACTTACTCCTGGCGAAGTATACGCAGTTGATGTCGAGCTTTGGCCAACTAACGTGGTTGTCGACGCCAATAGTCGCCTGATTTTGGAAATTAGCTCAGGTGATACCGCAGGTAGCGGAATGTTTAACCACAATGATCCCATTGACAGGTAAGTCTTGGAATACACCTACTTGCTAGTCAGATGTTTACTTTTTTCGTCAACAGGGCAGAGAATGTCTTCAAAGGTCGAAATCACATCCACTTCGGTCCTGACCATGTGAATTTCATGACTATTCCCATAATACCACCCTCATCATCTGCTTAAAGAGTCCTTTCAAAGCACGACAAACATCAGGATATGTGACAAGGAGGCACAATTGTTCCGAAAATTAAATTGGTAAATAGTAATCGAAACTAGTTGAAATTTGTGTTGGCCAACTCAGAGTGTTCTAGAATCATATCGTATATTGCTTGAGCAGATACAGTTTAGTAAATAGGCAGAACGCCATCAAACTTCATGTCCATAAAGTACTGCACAGCAAAATTGAAAAATATGGGGTCTTCAAGAAGGGCAAAATGGCCGGTCTGGGGTAGGATCAGCTGTCCAGCATATGGAATCCAGGCTGCCATTGTATCAGGTTGGTTTCTCTCAATGGCAACATCGTGGTCTCCATCGACGATCCAGACTGGGCATTTGATCTTGTTCATCGCATCCGGACCCCAGGTGGGCTCCGTGTCCCACATGCTAACAATAATGTGAATGTTTTTCTTGGTGTCTGATGAGAGAAAAAAGAAATAGACTTACTAGTTAATGCCTTTTACCATAGCGGGACAGCGAGAGGGCAAAGGACTCAAGCTCTCACAGGTATATGCATTGCATGGGTCCCGTTTTTGTAGAGATTCAGAATTGGTGGAAAATGTGGTGCCATTAGTGGAGAAGTCTGAATCAAGACTGCCAGTCGCGGAATTAATAATGGGATCGTTAGTGCCAGGAATGCTCATATTGGCTTGTAAGTTGGCGCCATGTGCAAATACCCGGTCGATGCGCGAAGTGTAGTTCATGGCGAGGTCGAGTCCAGTGATGGCACCGTCACTCCAGCCAAGGACAGAAACACGTGGAATTTTGAGATAATCAAGCAAGGCAATTGCATCGCGAGCAAAATCATCGTAGTGGAACTTGGTAAAGTTGGCGTAGGGGCTGCGACCTTCACCTCGAGTACTTCCCAATAGTTCAAATTAGCATTCTTATACGCTCCCTTTCAGAAACAGAAGAAAGACACATACTCCTGTAAAATGACCCTTCGAGTTTGAGCCAGCATGTTAGCTTGCAGATACATCTGGTTGCTATTTCCGGTGCCACCATGGAGTATAAGAACTGGTGTAAGTTTGGATTCCATAGGGCCCATGGTTGTATACCAGAGACTAATTCCAGAAGGCAGATTTAGATATTGGCCTTTATTTCCGTTGTGAAGAGGCCCTGCGCTCGGCTCCCACTCCCAACGAAGAACGGAAGCATTGAAAGATGAATTCGGCCCGCAATCTCTGCAAACATGAATATGTGAGCTACCTTTTCTGGGCTCTTTTGTATAGCTCTGGGGAAATTCGCACATACGCAGACACTAGGAAACAACGCAGCAACACCATTGCCACACTGTAAGCAAATTCCTTTCCACGCATTGTCGTTAATTTTGAATGCCGAGGTGCAGCAGGACAGACCAAGTATAAATCTATGCAGCGTGTCAATTGCGACTCAAGAGACTCTTTTGATATGACTTGAGGGGCAGCTTTATTGTCAAATATGTATTCCAATTCGATGCAGGCGGGGAAATGCCAAAGCTTGGTTTCCGGACCCGAATTCTCGGATACAAATTAGAGGGATACGAATGGGTCAGTGCTCGCTCTGATTTCTATTGGAGTAAATAGTGAGGGGAACACACCAATTACGTATCTCGGATTGTCAGTCAAGATACTGCTTTATTGATTGGTCCTTCACTGGGAATGGTGGACAACTGTCGTTTTAGTTTCGGTTAAACATTGGGCATGGATTGGCCACACGGTATGGATGGCGGACGCCTCGACCGAATTTTAATAGACCATACTCCATGAAGAACAATCTGCATGGATTATTTCTTTAGTCTGTAATCACTACAAATACCATACCCGGACAGACCCGGACAGACCATAAAGCAACACAGAGCAAGTAAAGAAAGAATGGATAAGCGATAGTGACGACGAACACCGAATTTTACAGATTGACAATTGGAAGCTTTGATAGAGACTCCTGCTGAGCTGTATAAACTAGAAAATTAGATTACTTTACATTTAATACGAATCAGAATCATTCTCATAAAAATTTCCATATAAGCGATTCTAACAGTGCAAGTGTAATAATGCTGACGGCAAGGCTACCTACCATTGGGAAGCGATCGCCTCTGAAATCAATTCCATCGCGAACAACGGTGCCAGACTTTTCCCGCATACCAATAGAAGATCGGGATGTTCGAGTTTGCTGCGAGTTGCCGTCAATACTTGTTAGCATCCTATCGCTTTCGCGACCTGGACAGCAGAAAATCTTACAGCGCTGCGGCGCCCAAAACAAGAACCACGTCGTCTGGCTTCGCTCTTGCCCGGGTAAAGCAACGAAGGGCTGTCGTGAAGGGAACCCCGATCGTAGTAGCCGGAAGAGAAGAAATGTCTTCCGGCTTCTCAACAAGTATACGCTCAGGCATCAAGCAATATTGCGCATGTGGGCCGTCACTTTTCAGGCCAAGTTCGACACCCGCCAATTCCACGGACTGTTTCCCCGATCCACTTGGTGCGCATGGTATCTGAAGCCTGTTCAATATCGATCACAGTACCCGAATAATCTCGGGACTAGTGATTGAGAGAACTGGCAGCGACTTTTCTGGCTATTTCGAGAGTTGCAACGCTTTCATTATCGTGACTGAGGAGGCAAATTCGGACCGTATAGTTAGCTCACGTCTTTCTCGAGATACGTTAGCACAGATGGGATGAATGGCAGGTTTGGGAATTTGTAGACCAGATCGATGATTGGAACACCCACGTCTTTGTGCGGCATTCCGGATCCATGGATGGGAGTTCCGATTCCATCTGATTGATCCCTTTCCGATGCGATCCGACGAACTCCGTGCCATCGGATTATTACAAAGCTTCTACTTACAAGTCTCGGTCGTGAAATGCGACTCCCTTTCAAGATGTGCGATGCATCAGCTGAACGTCTCGAACAATGTTCAGGCGAGGCCCAAGGCTCACATCCCGATGCGGAATCTCAAAACATTGAACGCGGGGACCTCGCTCAGGTAATCAGCGTCCAGTCAGCGATGGAGCGGCCACACAATTTGATGCGCGAATTTATCTTCATTGGAGTTGTCTGTGCTGCTCAATTCATGACACAGGCGGGTCTTGCCATTGCCATTGTCCCTCTCCATATAATTGGTGATAGCTTCAAAGTCACGAACCCTGGGCAGTTGAGTTGGTACGCGGCCGCATACAGCCTAACGGTTGGTACATTTATTCTCATTGCGGGAAGGTTGGGGGACCTGTATGGGCATAAGTTGATGTTCATTGGCGGCTTCGCTTGGTTTGGTCTATGGTCCCTTCTGGGAGGGTTTTCTGTCTGGTCAGACCAAATATTTTTCGATATCTGCCGTGCGTTTCAAGGAATCGGGCCCGCCTTTCTGCTCCCTAACGCCCTCGCTATTCTGGGACGCACCTATCTACCTGGCCCTCGAAAAGATATGGTGTTTAGTATCTTTGGTGCCACTGCACCAGGGGGATTCACGGTCGGCGGTGTGTTCTCGTCCCTTCTGGCTGAGCGTGTTTGGTGGCCATGGGCATACTGGATAATGGGAATCGCTTGCCTTGCTTTCGCGGTCCTTGGGTTTCTCGTTATACCGAATTCTCCTTCCCCGAAAATATCAGACAAAACGCCATGGTGGATCAAATGTGATCTACTAGGTGGCTCTCTTGGTATTGTTGCCCTTATTCTAATCAACTTTTCTTGGAACCAGGGACCAGTCGTTGGTTGGCCGACTATCTATGTCTACGTTCTATTGATTATCGGCTTCATTTGTTTGGGCCTATTCTTATGGACTGAGCTCCATATATCATCCTATCCCTTACTTCCCCGAGAAATTTTCTCTGAGGATGTTGCGTGGGTGTTAGGCTGTATCGCTGCTGGTTGGTCCAGCTTTGGGATTATAGTCTTCTATTTCTTCCAGTTTATGGAAATAATCAAGAGAGACGCACCCCTCTTGGCGATGGCGAAGTTTGCACCTGCGGCCATCTCAGGTGCAATTGCTGCAGTTACAACTGGCTTTATTTTAGGCCAATTGTCTCCCAGCGTGATTATGCTGATAGCTATGCTTGCGTTCACCGGTGGTCAAATTCTCTTGGCCACTCTACCTGTCCACCAAACATACTGGGCCCAAGCATTTGTCATATCCATCTTGACTCCGTGGGGCATGTAAGCATATAACATCCCCTCAAATAGTCTTGAATTCAGAGTTGCGATATACTCATTATTTATTAGGGACATGTCTTTCCCATCTGGGACAATTATTCTAAGCAATACCATGCCACGGAGACATCAGGGACTCGCTGCCTCACTCGTCAATACCATTGTAAACTATTCAATCTCTATCGGACTCGGATTTGCAGGGACTGTGGAGAGTCAAGTCAACCAGGCCGGGTCGGAAGTTTTGAAAGGCTACCGCGGTGCAAGCTACATGGGTATCGGCTTGGCTGGTCTGGGAGTCGGTGTTGCGTCCATGTTTGTCATTCGAAGCACGATCAGCCATCGTAAGGCGACCAATCTGCCTGCCCGAGCGGATGGTTGAACATGTAGACATGTAAGATCTTGACGTCGTTCCTAATATGTTCATGGTCACTCCTAGAGGTGGCGCCGATGTGCTGTCCGTCCATTGTGGTGATGTATCTTCGCGTGGGTCCATAGTGTGATTTTTTTTTGGTCGCGTGAGGTGGTCAAAATGCGCGTAAAGAACGCACTGGCAATTTGAAGGCTTGTTGGGATATTCGCTTCCCGGAGGCAAGGGCCGCCGTGCAAAGCCGATTCGTGTCTCAATGGACCTGGTAACTATCCACCACCGGCCTTAGCTGTCCTATATTGTATGCGCCTGCCTCTAGAAAGAAACGCTGAATACTAATGAAAGCTACAATGTGGAGTCTCTGTCATGGACTTGATCCTGCAAGTAAAAACGCGGTGGCTCGGGCACCAGCATTATACCGCGTCGCAATGGATTCTCAGCTTACATAGAAACATCTTGCGAACGTATAAAGAGATGCAGTTCTTATAAACAAATGCCGTTTCTCACCCTAAAGATCCTTCTCAGAACAATTTATCTGTCCGTGCTCGAATCCACGGCCCAAAAATATAAAGCGGAAGAGCCAAAAATATGATCGCCCACTGAATGCCCGCCATTTCGTAGAACATCTTCGCAATGCCTTGTTTCGCCATCCATGAGTATGCACCCTTTGATAGGCCGAAGGCAACGACATTTTTCGATGCGTTCACCAGCACCAGAGCCTCGCCACTAATTCGTGGATATGAGTCTACCACGTACGAGAGCATCACTGACGGAACGAGTGTCAGAGATGCAGCGGTGATTGCTTGGCCAACGGCTGGGTGGACATAATTCTGTTTCCGGGCGATGGTATATCCGAATACTATGAGGCCGATGGGGCAGACGACAAACGGGAAAAGAAGCGCTGGTAGACGGTGTTCCGGCTTGTGAACATTGCCGTTACGCTTGCGCAGCCAGCGGGAAAGAATATCGGTCAAGGGACCAGCAATGGGCCAGGCAATTACAATACCGGCGAAGCTGCTTAGTGTGAAAAGGCCCAGGTCAGCAGGGGAAAAGAGGTAGGGCGGCGGGGAAAAGATCTCGGGAGCAATGGTAGATATAATAACAACCCTGTTTTCTGTCAGTGATCTTGTCCGAAGTCCTGGTGGGGTGACTTACCCTCCTAGCACAACTCCATACATGATAGACGCAAGAAGAACACCAGGAATTAATAGGAGCGGAAATGGTAGCACGAATTGATATAAAATGTGCCTAAGCACACCTCGCTCCTGTGCCCCCTTGGAAATTCCAATGGTAAATAGACTAGACCAGTGTTCTTTGTAGTCCAGTTGGGCGCGTTGTCTGGAGTGGGATGAGGTCCTCGCCATCTCTATATGACTATTTCCATCTTTCTCAAAGTCGTCGGCAACTTGCGGCTCCTCATCAGGCTCATACAATGTCTCTGGGAGAAGGAAGATAGTCGTCACGAGGTTGAAACCGGCAAAAATAGCGCAGAGAATGAAAAACCAACGCCACCCCTTGGCCTGAATCAGATATCCCGCAATGACTGGGCCTATCTGCGAACCACCAGAGAGGGCAGCGGCATAAACCGCCATGGCGCTGGAGTAGTTTCGTTCATAGAACATGTCTGAACAGTTTTTAGTGCCTGATTCGAGGACGCCGCCTAAGGACATACCTGCAAGGATACTCGGTCCTAGAGACTCGATTGAACCATAACCTGTTCTACCATTTAGCGGGTGGACAATAACTGACACAGCCTTCAAACCTTACCAAAGCTAGCGAATACTCGAGAGCCGAGCAGGCTATTGTAGTCCTTGGCAACTGCGCTCCAGATGATGCCGCACAAGAACATAGCCATAGATATTAGAACAATCGGGCGCTTTCCAAATGACAGAGCAAGTGGCATCCAGAATAGATTCGCCAGTCCCATGCCAAGGACGGAGTAACTGATCAGCGGCGACAATTGGGCGAAGGGCAGGTGGAGGTCTTCCGCTAAAGAATCGAAGCCGGTCGCTATCCCTGACTTTTATTTATATGATGTCAGTATAAACTAGTCCGCCGTCGTCGAAGAGAGCCACGAACAGAATACATATTGCCCATAAAAACGAAGAGGTTTACGGTCAGCAGGGCGCCATACCGTACCCTGTTAGGGAAGAGCTGTCTCCATGAGTATTCCTACTTCACACAATCTATGGAAGGCCTATAACCATACCCTAGGATCGATGACCGTCATACTTGCTAGCGATCAAGCCTTGCGCGCGCTGTGTGTGAAAATCGAGGGTGGGGCCGATGAGAGCAACGGAGCCGGAGGACAGAAAAGGTTTCAGGAGGGAGCCAGATAGATAAGTATACCAGCTCCTCCAGCAGGCGAGGTATGAGGAAAAGGAGGAAGAAACACTTCGGATTCTCAAATAATAATTCCCCGTGGGGATTTCCCCCACAAAACTCTCTCGTGCAGAGCTAGTCCTCGTCGAGCCAGATTGAGTCTCGGATACTCCGTGGGCGCTCGGATGCACTTCGGGACCACATTGCCGAGATCTCGAGCGAATATCAAAAGACGAATAATTCGGCGTGTCTGTACTGAGTCATAGCTCGAGCTGTCTTCGTAGCTTGTTACTCGTGTTTGATGTTTCAAGTTTTCTCAGCAGGCCAACATCATTGCTGTGTTGGTATTCAACAATTCCTCCAGGGTCAATAATCTCAGTAGCACTCCTTGGCATAAAAGCCACAACTCTGCCAATCCTGTCATAGGCCAGTTGCGACTGGCTCAGCTTTTTGATATCTAAGTAAACCGGGAGTTAGGATCGGTAATTGACTGTCGACTTCTCTTGTTTCACCAGAAGACAGCCGGAGTCGACCAAACACACTTGCCCGCGATGATATAGACCCGGAGCAGACAATAATGATGGCAGACAATAATGATGGCAGACAACAATATTGTCAGATAATAAACTCAAGCAGTATCCACAGTAGTCCCCCCGTGAACATGCGCACTTTGAATTGCGCGAATGTGGGAAATCCGGTGGCTTCGGCTTTCCCGAGTTCTCTTCAGCGGGGCGACGCCGAACCCTCGGGCAGCTCGGTCATCCCGGGCAGCTCTTGACAGCTGAGACCATGAATTCGAGCTGGCTGTTTGATGTTTTTGCAAGTATTTGAAAGTGGACCTACGGGAATTAATCTTCTTCTGGTTTCACCAATTGCACTATCTAGTTCGATCAAACAGAGAATCACTGAGAGAAGCACTCAAAATGGTAAGCCCCAAGGCCAATTCCCGTAATGTAGCTGCTAACATGGCAACTGCAAAGGTTCCGGAAGAAGCTCGCCTGCGCATCGTCGTCGTAGGTGCCGGCCTCAGCGGGATTGCCGCCGCCATTTCAGCTGCGCTGTCAGGACATTCTGTCGACGTGATCGAGCAAGCCAAAGAGTTGGCGGAGGTTGGTGCAGGACTGCAAATTACACCGAACGCGTCTCGTCTTCTTCAATACTGGAAACTTCCGGATTCCGTGTGGGAGTCAGCTGCAGAACCGACAAAGGTCACGGTGCATCGCTATTCTGGCGAGATCCTGGCGCACGAGAGTTCATTTGACAAGAATATTCGGGCAAAGTACAATGCGCCGTTTGTGGACCTGCATCGCGTCGATTTACAACAAGCGCTATTTGCACGAGCGCAGGATCTAGGGGTCACATTTCATCTCAATGAGAAGGTTGAGAAGCTTGACTTTGAAAAGGTGACTGTGTCCACCGCGACTGGGAATCACTACACCGGAGACCTCATCATCGCAGCTGATGGGCTATGGTCTCGGTGCCGCGAGGCATTTATAGGCCACAAAGATGAGCCGATTCCAACAGGGGATCTAGCATACCGGATTGTGCTCACAGCGGACCAAATCTCAGATCCAGATCTGAAATCGCTGGTCGAGAATCCCGAAGTGCATTTCTGGGCTGGGCCTGGAGCGCATGCTGTGGCTTATTCTATTCGTGGCGGCCAAATGTTCAACATCGTGCTCTTGGTCCCGGATAATCTTCCCCCCGGTGTGTCGAGGCAGGCTGGTTCCGTGGAAGAAATGCGAGAGCTTTTTGTTGGCTGGGACCCAATGTGAGATACAGTTTCCCTATAGATCAGGGATGTGCTGAGTGGTTCTTAGCCTTATTCGCTTCTTGAGTTACGTCAATAGCGTCGACAAGTGGAAGCTCATGCACCGTGAGTCTTGTCTTTGTTGAAACAAGTCACGCGTTGACACTAATATTGGTGAACAGACGGTGAAATGGAGAAGTGGGTGAACGATGCCTCAAATTTGGTTTTCATGTAAGTTCCTGCAACCTCAACGCTATCAAGATCTAATTCATGGGTACTTGGGAAATGACAGCGGAGACTCCTGCCATCCCATGCTTCCGTATCTTGCCCAGGGCGCGAACTCCTCACTGGAGGACGGTGCTGTTCTCGGTCTTCTACTGGGACATATGACAGACAAGACACAGCTTCCTCGTATCCTGCGTCTGTATGAAGGCCTGCGCAAGTCAAGAGGCGAAGCAATTGTCCGGGAGACGTTCAAGCAGGTAAAAATCTCCGAAAATTCTGCCCGAGAATCCCACTGATGGGCCTTCAATAGAGACATGACTTCCATATGCCAAATGGTGAAGAGCAGGAGAAACGAGACCAGATATTCCTTTCCCAATTGGGGACGGAGATCAAGGGATCATTCCCTAGCCGGTGGTGAGTAGTAAATACCTAAAATCGGTTGTTTTATGATCCTGATTTGTGCAAATAGGACGTGTCCAGAGGTGCAGCCCTGGCTATATGGATACGATGCGATCAAGGAGGTTGAGACCGCGGTTGCACGGAACAAGGAGTTGTTTTCTATGAAAGCTCGACGGAAGTGCTGCCAGATTCTTTAGTTTAAGACAAGACTGTATATTTGATAAATCTGACTGAAATATCTCAGTTTAATTCAATGTATCAATCAAATCCATCAAAATATTGTCACTGTAAGAAGATGTAGTTAATCCCGCAAGGACTTGACGGACTATCCATCCAGCATCGGCAGCCCCCCAATATCATCAAACAACCGGGCAATGCCCTCGAAAGAGTAATCCGGAAATCCAAAACCATATGCCCACTCCTGTGATATCATGTCAGACATTGAGGACTTCATGCTGTGAGGAGAATAACTTGCAGGAATATCAAATGCTGACTGGCCCGGCCCTTGATCAGTTAGGGTAGACGCTTCCGTCTCGTCTTCAGCGCCAGGCGCACTATTTTGCTGTGCCCCGGAAGCTCGGAAGTCTCTCAGATAATGCCGAATGATCTCAACTGATTTTCTCGCCACAATAGACTCATCCATCGCCTCGAGAATCTCCACGCCCATTTCCACGGACCGGAGTAGTGGAATTGTCTCACCACACATGCCGAGTTTGGACATGGGCAAGAGAAGTGTAGATGTAGCGAACATCACATACGTTGTGTTATACCACCTAAAAATAGTTAGCTAAGAGCATTAATGTTGGAGACTTCGGTCTAGCAAGCGTACCAGCATCGGAAGAAAGTGTGGACCCGATAGATATCGTGGATGACTTCAATGGTCTTCATGGCTGCATCTAGGCACTTTGTAATAGTTTCCTCCAGTTCACTCGGAGGGTGGCGTAGCTTGCGAGTAAAGTGGCTCAAAAATGGCCTGAATAGTAGCATCTTGACGTTATAATATCCTATTATCGATTCCAGTTAGCCTCTCAAGTCAGCTCTCACGCTAACCTGCTAAGGGGAACTCACGAATCCCCAGCACAAGCCGCTGTCTTCGAGCCCATTTCGGATCACGTAGGGCGCTGCGTGACAGCTTGTATCCGTCGATATCTGGCCTGATTTTCTCTGGAAGTCTTGCGAGCCAACGATCCATCTCCATTTCAATCTGAAGGGCAAGTTGTAGTTTCTCTTGCAGTGAAATCCTAGAGTGGTAAATCTGGACCGAGACTCGTCTGATTATTTGGGCGAAGTCGATCATCCAGGGAATGATGGCGTATTCTGTGTCGTCTCTTTCAGGGATGGCCCGATTGTGGTACTCGTCCATTCCAAGTGTATCAGGTCGCCCGACAGAAAAGCTCATCTCTCTTCATTGGTTTTGGTTAGTCAATGATCAGATTATACAGTGGCAGTCAGACCCTTAACAGGGTATAGAATGGCATGGGGGTAAATTATCTTACATTTCCAGAGAGAAGATTCCCCTGCAGTGTAGAGCAGCACGTCAGATAATAATCCGAATTTGTTGATATACTCAAACTTACCACCACGTCTTGGAGATCCAACTCGAACGCTGGTCTTTGGGATGTCGGACTTCCCTGTTGAATCCAGCGGAAAGACATGTGCGGACCGCCAGCCCGAGATACATATAGGCCACTGGTGGATGAAGTTAATACTCGCAAAATCATTGATGGCTGTTGGAACACCCACAATTCGGATTGAGTTCATTTTGACAGATTTTGGCCTGGGGGAAGTTATTGTTAGTCAATCCCCAATCCAAAAAGCAGGTTGCCACATACCATCAAATAGAGACATTGAACAGTCTCAAGGTCATTAGAGAACCGCAGGTAATTCAAATAGGCTTGTGCTTCGCCAAAGAGCTTCCGACTCCATTCAAAGCGTGTCAGGCCAGCAATTCTGTCCTCATCCCAGACACGTACCAGTGCCCCAAAGGAGAGCACACTCAGGTATAGGGCAACGAAGCTAGGTTCGGGATGTTGGGATCTGTTAAACCAAAGGTCATTGGCGCGAGCCAGGAAATCATCCTTGTCAATGAACGGGTGAATAAAATGGATATTCTCGAAATAGCCATTCATAAACACATGCGCTTGCTCAAAATAATAGTTTTGATGCTCGATGGACAAGCTCTGTCCAGCTCCGGTGGCGGAAGGTGAGAAGCTGGGGTTGTGTAACGTCGAAATCAGAGAAAAGGGTGCATCCACTGGCCGGGGGTTCCAGTGCTGCTCTGACGCTTTGGGCTCCCGCGCCTTTTGCAGATGACCAATGATGGCGGCAGAAGATGTGCTACCATGGAACTCAATGCCGTTCGTGTGCGTGTTCAGCTCACTTATTTCATCGTCGACACTTTCTGCCGACTCCTCTGGTTGCTCGCCGGGAAGCTTTGCAGGTTCGAGCGGCGTGGAGCTATTGCGAGGCATCGAGCACGGAGTCGTTTCAACGCCAGCTGAAATAGGTGGCTGGATTGGTACCCCCGGTACCTGAGTTGGCCCCGACATGGCGACTGTCCCCTCAGCTGTGCGAAGCCGCGAGGTCAATTCATCGATCCTCTTCTCAAGATCGAGCACATAGTTGGCAGACCGGCTGCTTTCTCGTTCTCGGTAATTCCCCTGATAAACACAATCAAGCTGACTTTCTGGGAAGTTGTCAGTGGTTTGACTATCAGTCGTATAGGAATTTTTGTACTTCTACAATGTGAACAAGGGTATTGCTCATTGCATTTGTATTTCTTCAGCCTGCACCGGTCACAAGCCTGGGCGGCCCGCGGCCGCTTGGCTCGCTTGGGTGCAGATTCATCTGGGTTTGGAGACGTGGACTGGTAATTTTGCATCATCCAGGAATCATCTTGTGTATTTGATAGAGTATAGATAGCATGCGTGGTGTTTGATGATCCGTGAAGGAGGCAATCCGGGATTTCCGGGAGATCAGGGACACCGCACGTGACTCTTCGCGGGGAAGGAAGTATACGTTGGAAACAGCATTATTTTCAGTCGGTTCTGAGTATTCACTCCATCATCTGTCATCCAGCATATACTTGACGCTGATATATAGATTGTGAAAAAAAAATTTGGTCAATGTGTAGGGGTGAACTGTGTGTGTATGATGGTGGGCTGAATATAGATATTTTCTACCACCCAGTATCGGTATAGCAACCGAGTGATAAATCAAAATATTGATGAGTGAAATTCGTATTTAAATCCCTCTATACACTATTCAAGTCCTCCCAGGTTACAGCTTCACATTGAACCGCGCCGCCACCGATTCGAGCTGCGACAAATCCAACGCTGGCGCCGAGTCGGGCAGAACCACTTCCTCCAAGGGCTTGCCAAGCTCATGAATCAACGACTCAATGCCATCCCCATCAGAGAAAGAATGAACCCGAACATATTTACTCTCAAACCCAAGCGAAAAGGCCTGGCCCGCTGGAACAACAACAGTCTCGCCCTCACGGAACAAAGTTCCCTCCTCGCCCTGCAAGGTAACTCTAAGAGCACCCTCCATGACACAGAAACAGTGATCTACCTTCTCGAAAGTCACAAATCTTGAAAATAGCGTCTCGCTATAGTCCTTCGAAGACTCGATGCTAGAGATCGCGACGAGGCCGTTACTCTGCTTGGTCGTTACGAACGGTCTGGACATCACGCCGCCGGCCATCCACCGCGGACCCGTGTTTGCACGCAAGAAGTATCCTTCGTTGCTGTCGGGCAGTTTTTCGTCTTCTTTCGTCCACTCACCTACCTCCGGTGCCTGGTAGTGGGGCTGGAAAACGACGTCGAATTTCTCCTTCGCGGCCATGACCTTGGGGATCAGTAGGGCCTTTAAATCTCGGTTATCTGTTTCGGGCACTAGGACTCCCTCAAAAGGCTCGGAGACATAGCGGAAGAAATCCACCCAGTCGCCTGGCGTGATCAAGCCTTGGGTTTCGGTGTGTGGGCCGATCATCTCGGGGTTGTGGATGACTTTCTAGACGGGTTTGTTAGATGGTAACTATTGATTGAACTGGAGGGGTTTTACATACAGGAGGGATATAAGCAAAGTCACCGGGGGCCATAATCCGGCACTTGTCACCATTCCACAGCTTCAGGTAGCCCTTAGTGACAAGAAAAACGTCATGAGCATGGTTGTGGTAGTGGAAACCCGGTGCGTCAGATAGGACAGCACCGCTCTGGAACACAGCCATCAAACCACCTGTTTGTTTTGCGGAGGCCAGAATGCGGAACACGCCTTTGCTGCCGGGGATCGTGATGCGCTCACCCTCATACTGTGGGATGGCATAGGGCACACGCGCCTCGGGGGGCTCGTTGCTCCACGATAGAGACATAATGTTGGATATGAGATCTGGGGAATGGAGAGATTGCTCCGCAGAGCGATCGATGTTTTAAATTTAAATCGTTCAACATCGGCATGCGGGGGGAGCTTCAAGCCGAGCGGGTTCTCCGCTCGCTTCCGGGCAGTCGGAAGATCCGAGTTACAGTCTCGTAGTAATGTTATAGATTATACATACTCGAGAAACTTCATAATATTTTATTTGAGAGCTTTAACTGGTCAAAATAGTCGCATCTGCGAAAGAGTGGGTTCCAGTATGTATCGTCCTAGCAGCGTACGAGGCAATCCCTAATAGGCAAGTCAGAGTAGCCACTACGGAAAATAAATAGCCAAACCAAATCATTCACCCAGCAAATGCCATGGCTTGGACGGTAATTCAGACTGCCTGGCACCCGTCCATGGCCTGATCAGAGCAACCAACGCTGCTAAATGCCTTGCCGGGTCACATGACTGGCCACAGTAGCGGCGGATAAAAAGTCATCCGCGTGGAGAAGAGCGCGTGGAGAGGCGTGGAGATTGTACAAATGGGCCGGACTGCCCCTCAACTATTCTCGGTCTTCTCTCCAATATTGTATCTTCCCATTTGGTGTGTTACTTTTTTTTTCTCACAATACATAGCATTACACCATGGCCGCCGACAAGCCGACGGGCGAGTACCGCCAGTACCTGCCAGACCTGAACATCCCGCGCTTCCAGGCGATGTGCCAGCAGGATGCGCACGAGTACGCGCACGAATTTAAGACGAAGCATAATCCGCCGTGGCTGCATGCGCTGTACATGCACTGGCTGGATCTGTATCAGGAGCCGTTTAAGGGCGTTACTACCGATGGTACGGTAGACCTAATAAACCAATGAGGGGCAATGAGCTAACTCAATTGCCAGGCCATGTCCGCCCCGGGCTCTTCACATTACAAGACGAAGGCGTACCCATCCAAGAGATCGTGACTGCCACAGAAGCCGCCATCGCACTCCTAGACGACAAGCAGAAAGAAGTCCTGAGCTACCACATCGACTCGCCGCAGTGGCGAACATGGTCAAACCCCGAGTTCCTTCTGAGCCACAAGGGCATCCGGCTAGACGAAGTGGATGCCACCACGCGGGATTCCATCATGAACATTCTAAAAACTACTCTCTCCCCAGAAGGTTACGGCAAAGCCGTTGCGGCGATGCGCATCAACCACTTCCTGGGCGAAATGGTCAAGTCCCCAGAGGTGATGAACGAGTTTTCGTACAACTTCGTGCTGTTCGGGAAACCGTCCACCACGCGGCCGTGGGGGTGGTCGTTCTATGGCCACCATCTGTGCCTGAATATCTTCCTGTACAAGGGCCAGATAGTTGCGTCGCCGTGGTTCACGGGCGCGGAACCAAATGAGATCGACTCGGGCCCGCACGCCGGCACGCAGATTATGCAGACGGAAGAGAAACTCGGTCTGCAGCTAATGCAGTCACTGTCGAGCGAGCTGCAGTCCAAAGCCCGTATCTACGCGCAAATGAACGACCCAGCTATGCCGCCTGGCCGCTGGAACCGTGATGACCAGCGCCACCTGTGCGGCGCATACCGGGACAACCGCGAGGTGCCATACGAGGGAATCACAGTGTCGACTTTCAGCGCCGCACAGAAGGAGTTGTTGTATGGAATCCTCGAGGAGTACCTGCTCTACCTGCCAGCGAAGGCGCGCGCGATCCGTCTGGAGCAGGTGCGCGAGCACGAGGGCGAGACGCACTTCTGCTGGATTGGTGGGAATGGCGACGAGGATCCGTTCTACTATCGCATCCAGAGCCCTGTTGTACTCGTCGAATTTGATCACCACTCCGGCGTCTTTTTGACGAATGAGGAGCCGAAGAAATTCCATATTCACACGCTTCTGCGCACGCCCAATGGTGGGGACTATGGGTATGCTCTGCGCCCGCAGGTCCCGGCAGTGGAAGGGTTGAATGGGAAGCATATCACTTGGTAATGTGTCCGAATAGAGGGAATCTATGATCGAACGATGTATATTGTATGAGATGAATCTTGAAGATCGCCTTGTTTCTGTCTAGAGCAGTGTTTTGGTTTCGCAAGCATACGCTGAGATGCCAGTCGATAGGGACGCGCTTCACCTAATTTTTCTCTTCCATACCGACTACCAGCTCGAGAAGCTCCAGTGCACGCGTTTAGCAACCTGCTGTGAGACTAGGCACAGAAGTCTGTCGTGGCAGCCTAGACTGTTTGCCCGGTCCGTGGTGCAGTGTTTTCGTTCACGACCATCTTCAGTATCCAAGTTGCGCAGGGAAAACGCCAGAATGAAGGCTCAGACTTGTCCATCCAGTATAGAACGCGCCTTTGGCAGTTTTACGTTTTACTGTTTCTGTGGCCTTCCATTGCGCTAAGATTCGCATCAGCAACATCTCCGAGTAGTGACATGCCGGACTACCCGATAATAAATCTTTCGTTTTTCGCTACGCTCAAACTTGGCTTCGCCTGCACAAATAATGCCGAATAAAGAAGTCCCTACTGGCCTAGATCAACACGATAAACCTTTTCAGCTGAGTCGCCAAACTAATTCACGAACTCTCCCCTCCGGGCCGTTAACGCCATTTTCGCCAACTCCCGCTTCGCCTGGGATCTTCTGATTTGTCTACTTTGGAAAACTCGGCGAGATTTTGCAGTCTTCCCAAACCCAGTCCAGCTTCTACTACCGCAGTCATCGCCTCGGGTTTAATTGCCGCAAACTAATGTATTCAGAAGCTATATAGTGTACAAATCTTAACTGCTGGATATTATACCATCAGACTGCATTAGTACTATATTATGGAAATCCTCGACAAGTTCCTAGCTCTTCTATACCCAGATGAGTGGCTTACAAGACTTGCATGCCACTCTGTATCAAGACTATTCGATATGGATATCGAGCACTTGAAGAATTTGTCAACTCGAAAACTGACCGTGTTTCAAACAATCGAAAAGAGGAGGTGGTGACATCGATTCCCGGAAGGACTGTATCTGTCTGAAATAATGCCTTCTCCCGCTTACCTATCATCTGCTTGTACAGCGATCCTTCCAAAGAACGCATACCGTAATTTTCAAACGAGTCGCTCACCCCAAAACATCATGTTGAACGTGGGGAAATGATAGGGGCACTCCCATTTTTGTTAATTCCCTTGAATGTGCGTACCATTACGTCGGCCAGCCAAGAAGGCACAATGTTCGGCCTGAGCACTATGGAGGCCTTGTCAACTACACTAGTCTGCAGTGGAAGGTGATGCTCCCCCAGACGCAGCTGAGCGATGGGTTTAATTGGCTGAAGAGGCTGACGACCTGGTGGTGATGGTCGTTGGGGGTTTTTATTATTCAGATAGCTTTCTTTATTTATAGTGCTTCTAGGGGCACCCAAAGGTTCAGCATAGATGCGGCATTGATTACTAAATAGGAGTCAAAGGGTCTAAGTCATCAGAAGCTATTGAATAACTGCTATTCTTTGCGCTGAAACCAGATCATTTCTCTACCCAAAGCAGCCTCGAGGAGCATCCCAACCTTATGAGGTGATCCTGTAGAATCAACAGAGAATTCTGCAGGGAACTGTTTAAAATAGATACCCCTTTTGTTCCACAATTTTCCAATAAAGAACTCCCCACTCACATGTATCAGCTCTAGGCGCAATGCGATGGGCCCAGAGAGGTCTGCTGTCAAACGACCCTCCCGGTCCGTCAGGAAAACTGAACCACCCGCCTTATGCGTGTAGGTCCCGGCATACTTCTCCATTGGCAAGCACAAAGGCAGTGGGGGATCAGGCAAAGAAGGATAGAACTCGGCCTTCACATCGTCCAAGCTTGGAGGTGAGACCATTCGGTCCCATTCCTCGCGTTGCTTTGCAAAACATGCAGCAAGCTCTTTGTTATGCCTAGGATCGTCTGGAAGATCTAGAAACTTGTCTAGTAGATACACGAGTAACCTGGACGCAACAATATTGGCCGAGGTAGCATTGCCCATGATGGCGAACCCAAAATCTTTATTTGGCAAGAAACCCACTAGGGAACCAAAGCCAGGCCAGCCACCAGGGTGCATGTAGAGAAGCTGATCGCGGTAGTGGTCGCAAGACCAACCTAGCGCATACGCATGCCAGGGACCAGGCGGGATATCGCTATTTTCAAAGTGTAGTATCCGGGGCTGTGTTAACAAGTCATGACCCTTGAGCGGACCTGTTTTATGGATCTGTTCTCGTATCCAGTGAGAATAGTCAAGAACATTGCTAACCATGGATCCGGCACCGGTGGCAGCATCCCAAGACATTACAGGCTCTGGGTTGTAGGAGCCGCCTTCGTCGGATTGATGCCAACCGTAGCCTTGGACGAGCTTTTGGGCGCTTGACGGGGTTTCTTTCGCCTCTTGGATAGAGAAGTACGTCTCATTCATCCCCAGCGGTTCCCATATCCGTCTCTTCAACATTTTTCCCAGGGGTTCTCCCGTAAGCTTCTCAAGAGTGTACGTAACTGCGACGTACCCATGGTTGTTGTATTGATACTTGGTCCTCAAGGGTTGTGAGAGAGGCAGGTTTCGCAACGAACGAACAGTCTCACGCAAGGTGGCGTCCTTATCAGTACAGGCCAGTACCCACATCCAGGGCGCCATGCCGGATCGATGCGACAGCAGATCTTCGATCGTAACGTTCTTTGTGTAGTAGTCATCTGCCAGCACGAAATCGTCTGGAATCAGGGTGGACAGTGGGGTGTCCCAGTCGAAAGGTGACGTGGTAGCTTTGCTATCCTGGATTGCCATGGACGTCGCTGCAGCAGTGAATGCCTTGGTAGTACTGCAGGTCGAGAAGAGCGCATCGGTCGTCATCTTCTTTCCGGGAAGTTCGGCGAACCCATACGCCTGTTGAAAATGAGTATTTGGGTACATGTCACGGTTGAGGACGTACTTACTTTGGAATACGTGTTGGAACCTTGAACAATTGCGATGGTTAGACCTGGCACTTTCCATAGCTCGAGCTGTTCTTTCACAAGAGCATCAAACTCCGCATTCAGCAGGGATTCTCCAGAAGGCGAGGCCATGTTGGGTGGTCAATTGACAGTGAGCCAGTGATTTTTGTCGAAAGAGTGGTGGGGGGAGGTTATTATGTCCAAGATCCTCATAAACCAGAGCTTCACTCGATCTGTCTGAGATCGGTATCAAGTTTAAAGCAAACAGTGGGATGAGATCAAATATTGTAGCAGTAGTGGTTTGTTGAGGGCTACTGAGGGGTTCACTCGAAAACAAGAAAAACAGGCTTCTGCCAAGGAACCAACGCTTACAAGGAATATATCAGCCTAGTAGGCATAGACATATTCAGCCAGTAGAAAATGAATTATCAAATGACTCTAATAGCTATTAATAACTCTGTGCGTTAACTAATTTTGGCGTAGGGTTCGAGAAACAATCAAAGAGTGTAGGTGGTGACACCGGGTTCGAGAAGTACCGTAGAGTTGCTACCAGTGGCAAACCAGGTATAGCTATCGGCATTCTTAATTAGGACAGTCTAAGTCTTCTCCTCTCTTGGGAGTAGTCATTTCTTCATGCCCAGTATCGGCGTCCAAAGCATCGACGCTTGCTACAGCAGCATCTAACTCTACACACAAGTCATCCCCAGCAATTGCTATGGTTTCCCCATCCACGGTTTTTAGGTAATATCCTCCGTTCTCTGGGTGTAGAATAGTTTCGGGATTGTTGTGGGCCATGTTGTTCAGGCCCTGTCTGTCTTGTATAACGATAGCTCCAGCTGGCGGGTCAATTTTGTACCGGGTTATACCTTCAGCCATTGAAGTTATAAAGAGGGCGATAAAGGCAAGTGATCCTAGGGCGGATTTCATTCCCAACGTTTTCTCCTTTGCTAGATGAATTATTTTCACTTTGTCCACTAAAGCATAGTACAGTACAAACCTGATATACTTAGAGGCAGAAAATGGCAAAAAGCTTTGCTTCTTAAAAGACCATCATAGAGTTAGTTTATGAAAGCGGCAAGTGGTCGGAATGATCAAGGAAGTGACTCACAGGTGCTTTTAAGCACTAGTTCTAAAATGACTAGCACACGTACACGGAGAGACAGAATGAGAAGGAGAATGAGGGTATTTATATTGGAGAGCCATGCTATGTTTAAAAATGATCTGTCTTTTAAGCGGCGCTATGTGATAAGCTGGCCGATGTAAACTTAATATAATGGCTAGGCATCTCTGCGGCCCTTCGCGAGAACTATCCCCTTTGAGTGGCCTGCTTTGTTCCAAAATAATCTGGCTTTTAGGTGGCGCTATGTGATAAATGGCCGATGTAACCTTACTATTATTGCTAGACGAACTGACTCCCTGTCTCCTTATGTATTAGACTTCGGCGATGTACGTCATGTCATGCAGACCGATCGGGTGCTTCCGAGAGTGGATTTTTGGTTCTAATTATAAGTTATTTATCCTGAGACAATTCCCGAATGTACATTGTCGTAGCAGTGTTTTGTGGGAGTCCTTCAGCAGTAGAACAAGTGATTCCTCAACTGAATGAAGGAGAATTCGTTTGGTATGTAATGGCAGCAAAGTTCCTTGAACGTCCCTGACGATTTGTTGTGGCTCTCTATTGAGTGAACGGTCTGACCCCTCCGTGTTTGGGATGCAGCGCGTCCCTGTAACCCCTATGGGATAGGAGTCAACAATATTTCCAACTTTGGTAGCTCCGTGTCAAAAATCTGGTGTGACGGAGAAGACTAGCAGCTGGATTCATAGTATTACCTGCGAGGGGTATCCTTGCATATGATGATATGATGATGAGTTCATTTGCCCGATGTAGCTCGCTTTAAATACAATCGGCTATGTGGGAATGCTGTCAGGCAGGCCTGACAGCGAGAAATGACTCGCAGAGCTCACACGACAAGAATAGAGAAGACAAAGGAAACAAAAGAGAGAGATGACCGTCGCCCTCATCCCCACGGTCGGGCTTCTACACGCCAACTGCCCACACAATGCGCCATCGGTCTCCCACATCGTCCATTCCCACTAGTTCCCTCGAGTCACCGAGGTCCCGCATCACCGAGCTCGCCGGGCTGTCATCGCGACGCGCCATCATGAGTCACCTCCCACTGCCCTGGCCATGGCCGCTCACGAATGCGTTGGATGTCAAGGGGGCGCGATCCACCTGGGATGCACACCCCTGTGCTGCGCTCCCCCATACCCCACTGTCGCACTGCCCTGTGGGATCAATCATGGTTCTTTACCTTCGTCTTCGTCCCCGGCTTCCACCCCCGCGGCAACAGAATCCACTGCCTGTACCCTTGCATATTGGCCATACCCGAAATTCAGTCCTTGAGCTCCACCGTGCAACATCCTCTTTTAGACGATAGACACCCTAAGCATTTGCCTTCCCATGCCGCCATCTCCAAGAATATTGAGCCAGAGCCTGTGAAAGTGACTTGCGCTGCTCTAGCACGCCACATGTATCTGCGGGATCGATCTCATTAAGATACTTTATCGCTTGCCGCAAGATATACAATGTAAATGGGGGGTGGCGGTCAAAAATTTGCTTGGTTACCCATGTGCCGCGGAAGGTAGCAATGTCGACTGAGATGCGAGAAAGACTGCGAAGTGCAGCCTGGGACTGACACCCATGGGCAAAGGGCTCACTAGGTTTATTCTTCGACCACCAATCCAGCACGGACATGTGGAGGACGAATAGGGCTCTTTTGGATTCTTAGCAAGAATACAATCGAAAAACACATATAGGAAACAAAAATGGCACAATGTTTTTCAAATAACGTACCTGAGCGTGACGGCAATGGCGCCGCATTCTCTCGGCTTGGAGCCCTGAAAGGAAACTAGTAGGGAATGCAAGAACTCTTGGAGCTCGTTGTCAAGCGTCGCTATTTCGCTACCCAGGACATCCTTGCCCTCGTTTCGAAAAATCTGGAGAACTCTATCGAGTAAAATGGCCGCTTGACCGTCCTTACCAAAACACCCAGGGGCAGAATCTTTGATAAGACTGTCTGTCGGTGATGCTAGAGTTACCGAATATGGAACGGGGTTCAGCCCGAGAGCATTCACAGGTAGACACGACCCACTGGGTGGGATAGTGGATATGAGCGGTTGATCAGGCGAAGCAGTTTCACAGACATATAACCTTCCCCGTGTTAGAATGGACGATTAGCTTTTGAGAACGACAGAGTCAATCCCGTACCTCTCTAGAAGCACAATGATCCACCATATATTGTTTTCCTCTTCAGCCCGCAGGCAGCCATTTGTATCTGACATTGGGGGCGACACCGTCTTGGGCTTGTGAAGGCCTACTGCAATCGCCATGCGTGCACACACGGATATGGTCATCATTGCTGTATCCACAAAGCAGCGCATATACTCATATAGGGATACGAGGAGCCCGGCTTGGATTAGGCGTGTTGAGACCGGAATCTCCATTTGAACCTGAGCAAAGAGTATTTTGGTCGACACATACAGTCCGTGAAAATGATCCTTTACTTCCGGTAGCTCCGGTGGGCGATATGTGATCAAATGCATCGAGAGAAGGAGAAGAGAGAAATCTGCCCGATAGCGGTTTTGTGGGTGAAGGAGATCATCTTGAAAAAGAGGTCTTGAAACAAACGGAAGCACATAATTGATGTTGTCGTAAAAGCTGACAGAAATCTCGTCGACGAATCGTCCGGTTGTCCGGATAAGGCGGTGTACTTGATCATACACAAATTGATCTGATCCACACGACTCATCCCGCTCAGATGTTACCGTGCTCGGGGACAAGGGTTTGTCATGGAATGCCAACGGTTTGTCATGGAATGCCAACGGTTTGTCAGACAGTCGACCACATTGCCCAGGACGGAAACAAGCCGCAGCATCATCACTAACCAGTGATGCCAAGACGCGCTTAGATGGCAAGCTAGTGGGCTTCGGCTGTGTGATAGGGCTACTAGCCGCTGATTTGGGACTGGGCGTATCTGGAAATGCATGATATTCGCAACGCAAACTCCGCCTATCCACCACTTAGTCCATGACAGGGAGCGGAATTCGTTGGGTAATCAATAGAGAGAGTATTACTAACTGGGAGCAAGAGCCACATCGTGGTCGGGCTCGGTCACAACGCTTTTTGCGATGACGACAGATTACGCAGGCCAGCGCTGGACGCTGTCGGGTCGCTCGAGTCGAGTCCGGTGATTCCATAAGGTAGAAAACGTTTCACATCGATGATTCATTTAACAGACAGGCTGGGGAAGTAACAGCAAGTGGTTCGATTCACAGTGTTGCTGAAGGCCTTCGAAGCAGACGAGCCTCTGAGGTGGACCGCAGAGGATGGGCGGGCGGCGGACGAGGTGGGCTTCGGGCTACATATCTACCCCAAGGCATTGGATTGAGTCGGCCGCGGAATGCCGACTGAAGCCAATCATACCAAATTCCGTGTCTTACAAATCGCAAAAGCCTCGCATTGAGCTGCTTATCTCCGACCCGACGACCCACTGTAGCGCCCCACACGTGCATAGTATGCGCATGTATGCTAAGTTAACCAAAGTTCACCGTCGGAAATTTCGGTATGCTGATGCGAAAATATCAGGGCGGGTCTTTATAAAATGGATTAGAGAATCCCATTCTGCCATCTTCGCCCTGTAGTTAACAGACCACAGAGGGAAATTGTATCAGCACCATGACGGAAAAGCTGGATACTGAAACGGCTGCCCCCAGCTCCACGTCCGATCAGGGGACGAAGGACCTTCCTCCCGAGGAAGGCTTACGCGGTTGGCTTTGTGTGGTAGGAGGGTTCTTCGCGATGTTTGCCAGTTTTGGTTTTCTCAACGTGTAAGGATACTAGAACCCAGCACATGCCCCAACTTCGCTAATCACTACGTCCATAGCATCGGTCTGTTCCAAAGCACATATCAAGAGACTACCCTGCGAGATTATAGCCCCTCAGATATATCATGGATCTTTGCGATGCAGCTCGCGCTGATGTGGGGACCCGGGCCTATCTATGGCCGCCTCGTCGACAATTTTGGCGCAGGGGTGGTCCTGTATCCCTGTAGTGCGCTTTGTGTGTTCGCGTTGTGCATGGCTAGTCTGGCCACGGAATACTATCAGATCTTCCTGGCGCAGGGCCTGGCGTTTGGTATTGGAGCGGGTGGTGTCTTTACCACGGCGATGGTATGCGCGGGACAGTGGTTCATTCGACGGCGTGGGCTAGCAATTGGCATAGTCACGTCTGGGAGCAGTTTGGGTATGATGCTGGACCTTACATAACTATCATTTCACATCCTTCTTGCTGACTTTTAAAAACCAACAGGAGGAGTAATCTTTCCGATCTTCTTCATCAAGGTGATGGCCCATGTCGGCTTCTCTGGGGCCGTCCGATATACAGCCCTCTTTGTCGGGATTCTGCTCATGTCGTCTTGCCTTCTCATTCGAAGTCGTCTTCCCCGAAAACCGTGGGATTCTAACATGAAATGGTTCAATTTCGGCCTTCTCAAGGATAAACAGTTCGCTCTGTACATGGCCGGATCTTGGTTGGTAATGTGGGGCCTCTGGGCTCCTTTCGACTTCCTGCCCAGTATGGCTCAGAGTACGGGGTTTTCACCTGATATGGCAATGTATCTTATCTCATGTGTCAAGTAAGTTCTATCTACTGCCTTGACCTGCTGGCCAATGCTCACGGATTGGAAGTGCTGCCTCTATCCCTGGTCGTATTCTCCCCGGCTATCTGGGAGATCGCTTGGGATTTTACAATGCATTCACGGCGGTTTCCTTAGGATCAGGACTCGCAATTCTGGCCCTGTGGGTCCCATTCGATTACCACCACTCACATGCAGGTCTCATAATCTTCGCCCTAGTCTACGGCTTTATGAGCGGCTCATGCGTGAGTCTCCTCATGCCATGCGCGGCGAAGGCAGGTACGTTAGAGACCCTAGGACAGCGTTTTGGGACGTACCAGATTATCATGTCCACCTCGTAAGTTACTATCTAGTACTTGAAAATCATCCAAAAAATATCACCGCTTATCGTCTCTAGTTTATTAACCGGGCTACCGATTATGGGTGCGATTCTCGCCAGGCAAGGGGGAGAGAACTACATTGGCCTCCAAATGTTTGGGTCCTTTGCCTTGATTGTGGGGGCGATCCTGGTTGCTATATCGACATGGATCCTACGCCAGAGAAATCAGACTTGGAAGGTTTAGGAGCGGACATAATCACGACGTTTGCTTCTTGGAACATGGTCTCGTGCTGGGAGTCCCGGAGGGGGGGGACCTAGGATACCCGGCTGAGACGTGTTACCTGAGCGCTCTCACGAAAGCTACCGCTGCCCAGATAGGAAAGGTCCCCCCCACCGCCAGACATTATTTCTATGTATATAGCTGCCTATGCACCAGATAATGTCTGACTCTTTTCATTTTAGTGCTCACTGCTTGCTCCCTGAGTAGAACTGAGCACGGCCCTGAGCGCCCTGATCTGCTCAGAGGATTGCTAGGGACACTACAGCTTATGTAATAGGAATGATTAGTTAAAATACGGGGTGCATTTTACCGCTCCCTCAAGTTAATGTGAGCAGGTCAATAACTGATCTGCGCTAAGGCCTTGGCGGTGGGGCCAGGAAAGAGTTTCTCAATGTATATGGTCAAGGCATTTCGAGAATCACTGTACCGTATATTTCCGAGAGGCACTCGTAGCGTAACATCGTTACCCATAATATATGCAAAAGGAAATAGTCCACCACGTCATAAATGGCTAACGTGGCGAAGTGTAGTCAGCGTTCTATCATTGATATAGATACCCCAAAACGGTGGGTGCAGCTGTGGAGCTTGGGAGATGAAGCACGCAGAGGACAACGCCGGCACTGAAAAATAACAGTTGTGAGGTATAAATCATTCACTTTTTGTACAAATTCCCACCCGATCGCCTGCTTGCCGGATCCATCTTCTCCACTCCAGTATCACGTCGTGTGTCGCTTATAGTCACTAGCGGAGCAGCTTTTCTAGCCTTGTTCTTAGGGGTGGATCAAACCACGGGGACTGACAGATATAGAGAAACCAGGTGGTCCCTGCATTCTGCATTCCTCAATTCTCTCACCACCTTCGGAATTTTCTCCTCTGCCGAACGTGGACAAGAAACCAAGCACCCAAATATCCAAGTCATGGCACCATGGGACACAGAGTCTGTTGAAGGACTCTGTGACAAGCCGTTTGACTTTGTCATAGTCGGCGGAGGAACTGCCGGCCTGGTGGTGGCCAACAGACTTACCGAAGACCCTAAAGTTAGCGTCATTGTCCTGGAAGCAGGGACCAATCGTCTCAATGATTCTCGAACTATGGTACCAGGATTGGCGATGGCAATGCTTGAGGATGCAGACTTCGATTGGAACTTTCAATCGATTGCTCAGGTGCGTTGTCTATTCATCAATTGCAAAAAGAAAATTCGCTATATCAGTTAGGCTGATCACAGTATCCGGAAGGCAGAAACAACTCAACGGTCGCACACTCTCAGCAAGCAAAGGCCGCACTCTCGGAGGCTCCTCGGCTATCAATTTTGGCATGGTTATCTACCCTTCCCGTTCCGGATTGAATGCATGGGAGGCATTGGGAAACCACGGCTGGGGTTGGGATGGCTTGTCTCCTTACATTCGCAAATTTCAAACGGCTACTCCACCGTCGGATGCAAACCGTGAAATTTTCAAGGGGATGAAGTGGGATCAGAAGGATCAAGGCAGCGACGGGCCTGTGCAGGTATCATTTGGAGACCAGTATATGCCATATCACGCTGCGTGGATGGAGACGTTCAAAACATTAGGATATCCACAGATTGATGATCCTATCAACGGTGCTGGTACTGGACCTTTTGTGTCTCCGGCTGCAGTGGATTCAGCGACCCACACCAGAAGCCATTCTGGAGCTGCTTATCTAGGGCCGGAAGCCCAGGCTCGGGCAAATCTACGTGTTGTGACAGGGGCTTTAGTGCAGAGCATCACGCTGGAGAGACGAGATATCGGGGTCGTCGCGACTAGCGTTCAATTCCAGAAGGACCAGAAGACATTCACCATTTCAGCTAACAAAGAGGTCATTCTTGCCGCAGGGGCAACGCAAACGCCTCAGATTCTAGAGCTGTCCGGTATTGGAGATGAAAAGATCCTTCAGTCCTATGGAATTGTCCCGATTATCAACAATCCTAGTGTTGGGGAGAACTTGCAAGACCATGGCAATGTTGCTTTTGGATACGAGGTTGCGGATGGACTTCCGTCGGGCGATATGTCTAGGGATCCTGCCACCGCAGCCGCTGCAATGGCTGCTTATCAGAATAATCGTTCTGGTCCCTTAGCCGCGGTTCCCTTTGTCTCTGCATTCATGCCCTGTGTGAACTCTCCCGAGGGAGAGCATGACCAACTGCTTCGAAATATCCAGGCTTCTATCGACAGTCCAACCACTCCTCGAGCACATAGGAAGCAATTCGAGGCAGTACGGGAGTTGATCAAGGATCCAGCTGAACCTACAACTCAATATATTCTGGCACCATTCCAGATCCTTACACGAACAGGCGATAATCCTAAGCGTCTGTTCGGGATGGGTCATCCGGGATATTTTATCAGCCTTGTCTCCCTCCTCAATTATCCTCTGTCCCGTGGGTCAGTTCATATCCAGTCGGCCAATCCGGAAACTGCTCCCACCATTGACCATGGAACGCTACGTCACCCAGTCGACCTGGAGCTTCATGCTCGCCACAGCATGTGGATGGACCAAATTGCAGAGACCGATCCAATGGCATCTCTCCTCAAAAAAGGAGGCGAGCGACTGCACACGCCGGAGCCGGTGACCGATTTGGGAAAAATCCAAGGAGCTATGCAAAGAACTTGTTACATCTATGTACCATCTCAGTGGAACTTGCGCCATGATGCCCCGGGAGGACGGTGGGGTGGTGGACTCTCATCTCAAGGTCTATGGAACGACCAATGTGAGAGTTGTAGATGCCAGTATCTTTCCACTGGTCCCTCGAGGAAATATCCAGGCTACTGTTTTCGCCGTGGCAGAGAAGGCGGCGGATATAATCAAAATGGGATAACCGGGGAGGAGATGGACTGTAATAATGAACGACGGACCATTAGTTCCATCCGTCCAGTTCACTTTATCCAAGCGCATCACTATTCAATATCTGGTTTTGGAAAAAGCGAGGCGCCCGCCTTCGCCAGGTCCCCCGTCTATTTTTGACATCCCCTGGGCCAATCAGTTAAAGAAAGTGTGAAGGCCTGCAGGTACAGGTGTTAGCACGTATGTGTGTCCTTTCAAGGGGTCCTTTTCATCTACTACGCCCTGTTTAGAATAGATTCGTAATATTTAAGCAGAAATGAGGAATCAACCGACATTGTTTATTTCCTTGCGGTCATCGAGACTAATCCTGATTTTAGTGGCTTCTTTCAAATCCACTAACGGACCTCTTAGTACATGTCTGAACGGATCTTGACGCTTTGGTTTCCTATTCTCGCTTAGACATCCTAGGGCGGAGTCTATGTACAGCGAATGAATGCCTGATCATGTTATGTCTCGGAGCTAGGCAGCCCACGACAGTCTCGTATTGGTCAAACCCGTTCTCTAGGTCTACAATGAAACTATAGATCGGTCAGCCTTTTCTGTGAATAGAAGAAATCACTACATCAGTACGACTTAACTCACTTCATCCAAAGATCCACATATTTTTGATGTAAATTGTTTGTCTTATCAAGTCTTTCATCGTTGTCTCGGAGCGAGTCATCCTGTCTGTAGGCTCTAGAAACATAGCCATTCTTTTCCCGCTATCGGTGGCGCCTTTCCTATGCGGTCTCAGCGAAAGAGTCTCGTCTGCCCATAATTGAATTGGGTAGACGAAAACACATAAGCAGGCAGAAAAACGATTCAAAGAAGATGAAGTTTGTGACTGGGATGGCGTCCCTGGATTGTGCCTGAGGCAGCACGTGCATGGCTTCTGTAGATAGTCGCGACTGTCTTTGCTTCTTTCCCTTCTTCTTCTTCTTCTTCCCTTCTCCAACTTGGAAGTCCCGTCGTCCATAGCACATCAATTCGACTTCTTCATCGTTTTCTCTTCTGATCTGGCTGCTGATCACAGAGTTGATGGGATGTTCTAGTGCTAACATAGTCTTATCTTATACCTTAGATTCAGAAATCGGGCCTCATTGTATATCAGAAAACAAAGGGGCGTCTCAGGCTTCACTACCCAAAAGTGGGCGGAGTGTCTTCACACTTTCATGCGCCATCTGAGGCTAATGGTATTTTCGTAGCGGGATGAAGTACTCAAAAAAATGAGGGTAGGACTAAGGCTATCAACAGACTACCCAACACAAAATAAACGACCCTGTGGGTGTGGTCTTCCCTTTTCGGTATAGACAAGAGTGGGTTGAGTAAAGCAGGGCCGCTCCCTGATGGGGCACTGAGCGTCCCTGATCACTCTCACGTAACTGACCTGAGCGTAATTACGGAGTCGGACTGCGTGCTGTGATCTACTCAGTGAGCCAAGGGGGTGTGCGCCTTCACTGAAGAGGTGGCCGCCCAGATAGGCATGCCCCACCTGCCAGAGGCAATCCGTAACGTACAGCGGCGTATAAATCCTACATTCAAGGGCGCGCTGTAGTCTCTGAACGGAATGCTATGACTGGTTTGTAACCAAATAAAGTGCATATCAGCATTAATCGTGTACGCCTTCAAGGCTAGAAGTACAGATATACACCACCTGGAACGCTAGAGAACAATATAAACAAGATAAGAACCGCAGATGACAGCAAAGAAAATGAGCACTAGCGGATGCATCAAGTTTGAATCGATGTAGGAAGGGAAAAGTAATTAGAGAATAACGCTCGCCTGTCACTGCCACCCACCTCGTATATAACTAAGCTCTCATTGCACGTATTAATTACCAACCGACCGACGTTAAGAAGTAACTCTCAGATCATCACGGTCCGGTATGAGCTCGTAGCCACCTTCCGAGGGCAAGATCTGCCCAGCGATGATAATCGCGGCCGCACAAACGAGCCCAATACACCAACTGACCGTGCAGAAGATCCAAGACTGGTCGAGTTTCCAGCCGACGAAGAACCGGTCCTCGTTGTCGAACAGGTATGCCTGGAACCCAAAAGTCGTGTTGGTTAGCAACGAACGGAGACGTGCTTCTTCCCGAGCCACAGGGTAGGTAGATAGGACGTACCACAACCGACATGCCAGCAGCCTGCACGACTGCCGAAAGAATAACCATCAAACTAAGAATGCGCCACCCATTCTCGCGGACCCGTTTCCCGCCCGACAGAATAATCAGATACGCGACGACGCTCATGCCCTGCAACACAACGGCAAAGGACATCAGGAAGCCGACGGATCGCCACATCGAGCAAAAATATCGGTCATCGCCATGGCAGTCGTCTCGCTGGGGGAAACTTTCGCAGGTATCCGAGAGGGAGGAGCAGCGGCGGTGGAGGCCGTAGGAGTAGTGGTAGGCTGGCTGTATAGTTGGTCGATGGATGTTAGCGAGCTTTTCCTAGAGGCCGGAAGGTTGAGTGGGGGATGGCGCACCTTATCGCTATGGTAGCTGACCCATTTCGGGATGATGATGGCGCAGAGAGTCAAGGCGAAGGCTGTCGTTCGCGGGTGCCTGGTTAGTACCCATCTGACCCGACGACCAACCTCAAATGCGCGACCGCGGAACTTACAAGCTAGGAACACCACCAGGGTACCTGAGTAGACGATCGTCTTTGTGAGAAACCCGGTGTAGTTTCGGTCTGTGCCTCGAGGCACGAGGTGGAAGTCCATCGTGGTTGCGGGTGGTGGATGCGATCACTGGGAGCTGGAGGTTGGAGGAGCAGGAAATCACATCGGATAGAGACCAGATGGAAGGTGTCGAGCACAGCTCTTGAGGCGATCGAGCCAGCGAACCTCAGGTGTCGCGAAGGACAAGCGAGAGGAAGGGAGGGGGAGGCAAAGCTGGGGGATAAGGTAGGTGTGCAATGATAAGGGACTGGCCGTTCCCGTCTCCACCCCCAAACCGGTCTGAGCGCCTGTTAAATGCCTCCTACTGAACTCCTACTGGTCGGTCGTACATGTTTCTTCTTGTAGCTACATGATGTAATTAATATTATTGACAGCATAAGCAGCCGTTCTACCACAGATGGCTATTTTGATACCCGACTCTCGCATTTTTCCAGAAGGCATTGAGCGATCGATTAGCACTGACGGCTCGCTTGTGGCCCAGGATTGGTATCTCAATTTCGGCATTCTCACCTCACCGTCGGTGTAAAATTCAAATTGCTCGTATCCGGTGTCCCTTTGTGGTCACCAACAAAAAAGTGGAGAAAGAGGTCTGAAAGTCCATTCGCCTTGGTGAGGAAGGAGTAAATAGCAGATGTGACGGTCCTAAGGATTCCAGATTTAGTAAACCGAGCTTGAAGAAAACGGCCTTGGCGTGAGCGAAATAAGGGGACCACAAAGACCTATCAACGTTAGCATAGCATAGATGGTTCTGCAGCTCTCAAGTGCATTCTGGAAAGAAGGTTTTTTTATTCGAATCTCTTTTGATTAGGCAGTTTTGAATCGTATGTGTGGTTGGCCCCATAGCTATTTACCTTGTCATTGGTATAACGGCTATGTACCTCAATACCTATTCTGCAGGCAATTGAAATAAGGTCAATAGAACTCCCTGAAAACCTCAGGCCATGATGCCATTCGTTGGGCATCACTCTAGCTCGATTTAAGATTTACGCTCTTCGACCGTTGCCGGAAGGACCAGTCAACAACACCTTTGGCAAATTGCACCACGGCATGCAGCGACAGACGGAAAGAGGAACCCTTCGCGCACAGTCTAAATTCTTTTTCATATGCAGTATAAATTTCCTGCGGGGACTGAGTCCCATCCATCATCATTAGGGAGACTCAGTAAGGAGCAATACCAAAGAAAAGAAAGCACAACTAATCATAATGTACAAAGCATGCGCAGATGGCCTCGTCCGAATGGTACACGAGGCCACCCTCACTCAGGCGCCGTCGAATAGGCCACACCAGAAACAGAAAAGGAAAGCAAAAACGCCAGCCAGGTTCATGCCAAACCATAAAAAAAATCATGCTTCCCGTTCCAGCAGCATCACTTTCCGTGGTTGCCTGCGACCATCGCGCGGAAATCGTCGTTGCTCTTTTTGGGCTTGCCATCGCTCTCCTCCTTGCCATCAGCCGTGGTGTCCATTTGGTCGCTAGAGCCTGCGGAGGGGCTGGTGGAGGTCAAGGTCGTGCCGAGAGAAGGGCGTTGCTTCAGCCCAAGTCCACCCCTCCGTCCACCGCGAGTGCCAGGCTGTTGAGGGCGCTTGATCGGGCCCTGAGCGAAGGCCGGGCTCGGTTTCTTCTCCTGCTTGATGGAGGTGACCCGATCGGTTTTCACCTCAGCCCGTTGCTGCTTCAAATCGCGAACTGTTCCAATCCGGATGTGGCGGCCCGGAATGATCTCCTTTCCCTCTAGCGCCATGGAAGCCTTCCCAGCATCGTGGACATCGGCAAACTCCACGATAGCGCCCTGATGATCAGGACGCAACACAATCTTGATCAGTCGTCCGAATGGTTCGACGAGAGCCCGGATCCGCGCATCATTGACCGTGTCTGGGACATTCATCAAGGCGAGAGTGCGCTCCGCTCGCTCGCCAACAGGAACTTCCACGTCATCCGGGACGGTGCCATTAACCGGGGCAGGTGATTCTGACTTGACTCGAGAGATAACAGTATGAGCAGTACGCTTGGGGCCGGCAGGGTTGCTGATCTCCACTTTAATCTGGCGTGACAAGAGCGTCTGGCCGTCCATCGCGAGAGCCTCAGTCGCTTCTTCCTTGCTAGAGAAAACAACGAAGGCAAACCCTCTCTTCTTCCCAGCGGCATTGCGCGGAAGGATGACAGATTCAACGTGTCCAAACCTAGTGAAAGCCTCGTTGAGGCTATCTTCGTCGGCTTTGAAGTCAATATTGGTAACATAGATTTCCCTCCCTTCGGCTTGAGGGCCGGTACGATGCTGCTTCTGCGTAGGATCGGAGATTTTCACTAGTAGATGTAGGCCTTTTTCGATCTCGGTTCCGTCTAACTCGGTAGCATGATGTGCCGAGGAGGCTGAGGCAAACTGCAAATAGCAAAACCGTCGATTGGTATTGTACTTGAGAGACGGGAAACGGATGTCGACAATTTCACCATACTAAGCAACAGGTCAGCCAGGATGCTACACCATCAAATTGTAGGAACGCACCTTGCCAAAAAGATTGCGAATGTATTCTTCGTCTGCGGTAGCTGGGAAATTCGTGACGAACAGCGTGGATCCAGACCCGATCTGCACCTCGATGGTGTTCTCCTTGAGAAGTTTCTGATCACGGGTTTGTGCCCCAAGAGCCTCTTCCTTTGTTTCAAACTCGATGATGGCAATTTCAGAATTACCATCCTGTCCATGGAACATCTTGACACTGTTAATTGTGCCACACTATCCAAGAATCAGTATACGAGAGGGGTTCATGGTTGAAAGAAACACTTACATGACGGAAGAACTGCCGAATTTCGTGCTCGGAGAGATTATGAGGCAAGTTTTTCACCACCACCGTTGCATTCTCACGATCCCGGCGAAGCGCCACGGGTTCATCTTCTTGTGGGGGTGCCTCCTCGGCACGCGCCTTTTTGGCAGGAAGGCCGTTCGCGTCGACATCGTCCTCGCGCTTCCTCTTCTCAGCCGAAGAGACCTGCTCGTCCACGGCAGCAGATTGCTGCTGTTGCTGCTCCTGCTGTTGTTGTTGTTGCTGTTGCAGCTCCGCAGCTTTCTTCTCTCTCTGGGCATTCACAGCCCTCATGGCCTTTCGAGTTTCCAGCACAGCCATTTGGAGTTCATCCGAGTCTTCGTAGTCCTCGCAATGGGTGATATAAGTTTGGACAATCTTTTCCGGCCAATCGAGATCCGTTCGCTTGATGGCTTGCTTCAACACCGCCGTGGCATAGCTCGGGTTGGGTGTCCGCCTGGCCGCATCCACAGTAGCCTCGCCTTGGACAAACTTACTCCAGGAAATGAGCTCCCAATCATAATAGGTAATCCAGAACTCGTAGCTGTTGCCCCGGGTAGGAACAAGACCTCTGAAAGTTTCTCGTGCGCTGTCCCAGCTGCCGCTTTCGCTGAGATAACGGATGTAGATGCGCTCGAGCCGGAAGAGAGGGTCGCCCTGATAGGATCGACCGTACTTCTTCTCGCCCAATTCCTGGACGCTCTCGATCGCCGAGCGAATGCCAACTTCTGCGACATCCAGGTCCTCGTCAGTGGAGTCGGGGAGGAAAGCGCGTCGCCGAAGGTAGCTGCACCACGTGGTGTGAACTTTCAAGACCTCCTCCAAACCGCCAGCATCCAGTAGGCCAGTACTGGTAGCTTGGTGCTTGATGTTGGAGATCTTTTGAAATCCCTGGCCTTCACGTTCGGAGCTGAGCAGGTATTGGGACCAGAGATTGCCCGACCACGGGCAGTGCCGTGTCGCACGATGCAGAGTCGAGATCGTTGTAGTCGATGTATGGCCATGCATGGATTCATCGATCAGAAACATCACATAGTCCTCCCAGAGAGATACATCAGTGGGGAACCGCAAGACTGCCCGTTGGTAAATGGCTTCGGCAAGATCGAAATGAAATTCTCGTTTCCGGCGGTTGCGGCTCATTTCCCAGTCAATGTATTCAGCATAGACTTGCCACTCGATGCTCCGGTCACCGGTTTCCTGGGCCTTGCTCAACTTGAACTCGAACTCTTCTCGTGCGTTATACCAGGCCTTTGCATCCGACGCGCGGGCGACCGTCTCGGACATGACTTCCTCATAGTTGTTGTTATAATAGGTCGAAATAAAACTCGAAAAGGCTTGGAACGTTTGGTCCCACGTCGCATGAGGAGTCTGCAGACGAACTTCGTACAGGTTTCGGACGTGATTAATTTTCTCCTGAGATGGCGCACGTGAAAGGTCTTGGGTACACAGGGCCAGCAATTGATCCCACACCGGATTGTTGTTGTTGATTCGCCACCGGGTGGCGTCGGCGCCGCCCTGCCATACGTCCAGAACAGACTGCCAGGTAAACACTTCACGACCAACCAGCCGATCCTCCTCCGACCACTGGCTAGCTCCACCATCGCCGGAGGCTGAGTAGTAGAGATACTGCACCCATTCGCCGTAGATTTTCCACAGTTGCGTGCTTCCGTATTCCTCCTCAACTGACCGCTGGCACAGCTCCGTCACGGCGATTCGTTCTTCGACTGAGCGGGCGAGCATGCTTTCATCTTGGATCCATTCCGTCCAGAGATCTTCTCCCATAGCAAACAGCTTGTCCATTTCCTCCCGAGCTGTTCTCATGTCCTTGAGAAGATCGTACTGACGAGGATCACCCTGGATGTCCGGGTTATTGGGTGGGTAGACATGGTTGACAAAGCCTGCGTGGAGCAGTCCGATGAATTGCACATGGGCCTCGTACGAGTGGGGGTTCTCCTGGATCTTGTTGAACAGCTCGGTCGCCTGTCGCTGAGCATCAGGGACAAGCGATGTCTTGGCATAGTTTCGGCGAGCGCTTTCTCGGGGGCCGTCCGCCATCGCAATGTCGAAGGATGTCCGCGGAGTAGGTGTGTTGTGGCTGACAGCGTTCACATGAGGGTGCATGGTGGATGGAGAAAGTTGGCTTTGGTAAGACTCAGTATTTCGCAGCATGGTGGCAGTGTTCGGCCGTTGGGGTTGATGGTGTTGCATGGCAGCCAGATCGGCCAAGGTATCCATCCCCGGCGTGGACGCTTGTCGGGCCGAAGCTGGTTCGGCAGGCGGAGTCCCATTACCGCCCCCAGGGTTAGGGCCAACTGATGGACTGGAAGCCGGTGGCGATGGAGCAGACGAACCCGAACCGGCGGAGGCGGAGGCGTAGATCTGCTGGGCAAGGGGGGAGGAAGTTTTGGTTTGGCGCGTGCGGGTTCGCTGCAGCGCTTTGTTGTGAGAAGGCGGACCCGTTGAGCTCTGCGCATTCGGATTGGCTGTCGAGGAAGGAGCTTGCGTTGAATTGCCTGATTGAGAATTCGAGTCCCCAGAGAGCAGGGAATTGATGTCCATCTTGTTGCGCACACCTGTTACTCGAGATCCGGGGAGGGGGAGGAGAGAAAGGCGACCAAGGTCGAAAACTCTCGGATAGTGCTATAGCAGCAGAGATCCTGATTATACGACAGCTTTAAGGTCCCTCAACCATTCCTGCTGTCGGTCCACACAGCTTCAAGCTCCAGTTGTGTCGGTTCTGGTGAACGACGCAATTCGACCGCGCGATGCGAGTGAGACGCGCGGAAAAGAAATCCGGTGTACTGCAGAATCAGATCTGCGACCGAGCGATAAAGGGTGCGAGCTGGGCACGAAACCGGGGTCTGGTGAGAAGGAGTGGAAGCGGTTCTTCTGAGTTGGCCGATCGAGACGAACGGGGTTGGCCAGCTCTGGGAGAGAACAACGCAGCAAGTGGGAGAAGACGGAGAGAGAGCCACAGGCGAGGGAGGCTGGGGAGTTGGGGTTGGCCTGGGAGGGTTGAGGGGAGAGAGGGAGCACGGGAAAGAGAGAGGACGAGAGAAGAAAGAAGAGAGATGAGAAGAGAAGAGACGAGCGAGCCAAGGTGTGGTGGATCTTAGGTGGAGATGGCCGTGAAGAGAATATGTACAAGGCGCAACTACGAGGGGTAAAGCAAGTGCGCGGGCAGCATTCGAGACCCGGATGGCTTATTGCTACGAGAAGAGGCTATGGCTTCTAGACTTCTTGATCTCTGTGATCCATCATCCATCGCGACTGCGACACACCTGCGCCTGAGGCTGACTAGATACGGGACACCGCTCAGACCAGATGTGCAACTCGGACTTGCCGCTTTTTTTCCAGACCGAAACAACGAACATCACTTAGTCCTCACACCCTCCCCCCACTCTCCCATGGCCACAATGGGCTCGGTCTCACCATATGGACTGCTGGTCCGATCTGGTAAGTCGTTATCAAAGCCATTGTCATCAATATCTGACAACTCTTCCCCCCGCAGCTCGGACCGGCGTCTCCTTCGTCCCTCGCCGGACATTGGCCTCGACCGCCATCCGCCGCGCACAAGATGACTCCAGTAACAAAAAGGGAGGATTCCTCTCATCGATGAAGAACCTATTCCTTGGTGGCGACAAACACGACCACACGGTCATCAATACCCAGCAAGCGCCCACAAAAGAGAAAGGCGGCCTGGGTGCCGACTCGATCTTCGCGCAGGAAATGAACAGGACCTCGGGAGCCACGCCCACTCGCCAGAAGAAGGAAGCGCAAGAGCTGGGACAAGAAGAGAAGAAACACCTGGAGTCGCGACAGCTGTCAAACCTGCAAGCGGCCCTCAACCCTGTCCCGAAAAGCATGAGGCGGTGGCAAACAAAGATGGTCGTTCGCGAGATCCGAAAGCGCGGCCGTGTGCCACGGGTTGTGCAGATCAAACGCACAGAACGCGAGGAGCTGGTCAAGTCGCATTGGTTCAAGACCTCGGTGAAGAAGCTCGGTCCGCTGGCCCGGCAGATCGCGGGCAAGAACATCGACGAGGCCATCTTGCAGATGCGCTTCAGTAAGAAGAAGGCTGCCAAGGATGTGCTCGAGCATCTGGAGCATGCGAAGAACGTTGCCGTCGTTCGTTCCGGTATGGGCCTGGGCATGGCGCAAGACTCGGAACCGTTCAAACCCACCACTGTCACCCTGCCGGACGGCACAAAAAGAAGATCACCGACCCAACATCTATCTACATCGAGCAGGCGTGGGTCAACCGGGGTCCCTATGGCGAGCAGATGGAGCACCGTGCCCGAGGCAGAATCAACCGGCTCCGCCCTCCAGCAACGGGCATTTCCGTCCTCCTGAAAGAAGAGAAGACCCGGATCCGCGAGTGGCAGGACCGCGAGGCTACCGCGTTGCGGCAGCGGAAAGAGCAGCTCTGGACCCAGCTGCCAGACCGAAAGATCTCTGCCCAGAACCAGTACTACAGCTGGTGATTTGTGATTTTTGTTCCTCTGGCGTTGTGCTGTGCCATCCTGTATCATTTACCTCTGGCACTGGTCTCCTTTGTTATACCGCCCGCTGAAGACTTGCATTTGTGGAGAAGATCGCTCCCGAGTTCTATACTGAGCCGTGGACCCAATTTTTGTACTATAACTCAATCAATCCCCCATGGATATCTTTTATTTCTACTCCTTCTGCTGATCTAGTCTTCATCTACCAGTGACCAACTCGGCCTTAACCAGAATAGGAATAGCACCCCCTGTCGCCAGAGGAAATCGTCGATGCCCCGTAACTTCCAGGATAGAAGTAATAGCCCCCGAGTGCGCCGTCATAGAAACGAAGATACTCTCATCCGTCGCAAAGATATCCTCCAACAACTCGCGCAGCCGCACACTGCGCTCCTCGTTTGATTCCCGGATTTTCGGATCCCACAGGGTATCTTCCTCCGAGAACCCATCTTCAATTCTGTAACGCGGGTACTCTGCCTCAATAGCCGAGCGCGAGGAGCGGCGATCACAGGTATGTTCACCCATTGTTTCTCGGAGAAGCTACATGGTTTGGTCTAGGTTAGTTGAGGATTCACGAAGTGCGCTTCCAATTTCTTTCATGTTGTTCATCTTTCAGCAGAGAGCGAATGCCAACCACACAACGCACCTCTTTAATCACCGGTCTAAACGGCTGAGTATGCGGCATCTCTAGCCCCTCGAACGTAATCTGCGCCGTGGCTAGACACCTGTTCAACGGACTGACGTAGTAGGATTGCGGGTGAGGGATCCCGCCCTGGATCTGGGTTTTCCATGCCTCGCGCGCGGTTTCGGCTTGTGAGATGCCCAGTTCTGTTAGTCGGGCGTCGACCCACGTTCCGTGTGAGTCGCCATCTAGGAGGGACCAGTATTCCTGAATTCAGTATCAGTATGTGGATAAATCAACAATGTATACTGAGTTCTGGACGGGGAAAGGGAATGAAGAGAAACATGACGTGACATACATCCCACGCCTTCGTGCCGTACCGCCTCTCCGCAACATTATGCACGCCCTCGCCATGGCGTCCGAGAAAGAGGAGTTTGTATTTCTCGCCATTGGTGGAAACATCGTTCAGATAATCGACGTGTGCGCCGAATTTCTGCCATTGGTTGCTGTTATTCAGCGTGGTGCCGCTTTGCGATTCATAGGACCTGGTAATCAAGCCAAAGTTCGATGCTGCCTGAGTGGATTGGAATCTTAGAGGGCGGTTTGCTTCATACAGGGCCAGCGGGTGTCTCGTCTTACATAGTCGAATGTCTTTGGATCTGTGGATTCCTCGTCTTGGAGGAAGTAACCTGTTTCTGTGGAGAATTTGAAATGGGAGCTTGGGCGTGTCATTGTATGTACAGGTGGTTATTATTGTCTGTGGCAGGAAGAGAGTCGGATTTATTGGATACGACCGGAGTTTTGTTCAAGTGTTGAGCTGGTGGGGCAGTGGGAGGTCCACTCATCCTGGTCTATCTACACGGGGCTTATTTCGAAGCGCAATCTATACCTCTCATCTCACCCATGGATCTGGGCATTACTTGTCCATGGAAAGCATGTTAACTTTTGGTATCATAATACTTTTCATGTCTACCTGTAGACATATTGTCTCAAATAATAGCAAGTTGTCCTGCAACGCCTACCCAATCCATTCCCAGTGTACACTGCAAATTACTGCAGATGGGTATTCCACAAAGCCAACCCCGCAAAGCATACCGCTGAAACGTACACCAGGGTCGTGACATCCGTCTATCTCAAGGCAAACCTCGCTTGCACGCTAGACACCTAGCATGCATTTCCTGCGAGCCACATGGCTCGTCGGTGAGACAGATGTAGAACTTTTCTGGCAGACATGAGCTGTCTTCCCGCCATGGAAAGACATCTAGACATCGCGTCTTCTACCCAAGAGGACAGAGACGACGATACTTGCCAAGCTCGTTCCAGTGTAACAACAGCGCCAGAGAGTAGTCCGCCAACCTGCTCGAGCATCGAGCTCGATGTGGGACAGACTTGGTTCTTGACAAAAGAGGCCAGTTGAGTACACGACGTGGCCAATGGTTGCTTGGCGCCTTGGGGCAGACTCCGGTTGGAGTTGTTTCCGGGCACTGCCAGACTGCGAACCCCCAAGCCGTGTGGCTCGCGTAGGCCTACTGTTCCAGCGACACAGCATGGTATGGTCTGGATTTGATCGGTCGTCGGTTTCAGGAACGGTCGGGTAGTTAGGTGCGAAGCTTGCCACTTCAGTGAGCCAACAGCAGTGCTAGCGCCGTGTTGGTTCGCTGTAGACGAAACATGTTTGAGGAAGCCGCCCTCAGGAGCAGGCTCAACGCCGCTTGATCGAGAGACGTGGAGAATGCGCCGTTTTTGCGTGTCAGCAGACTTCGCAGTTGTGAGCACGGATTGAGAGGCAGCTGGTGAGTTTTGCGATGGGTCGTGACCGGGCTGACCGCCAAGGTTCGCCCGGGTGATCTTGACTGATTGAAGCGTTGTCGGTGAGCCACAAGGCCTCTTGTGGCCTGGGACAGTGCTCTTGGGCCGGTTTTCGGCGTTGGCCGATTGGGGAGTAGTCGGTGGCCTGAAAGTTGGCTCGTGTCCTGGGACACTTGCAGTGTGTCGTCCGGTGGACCTGACTGATGGGAGCACCGCTGATGCGCTGTTGGATGGGTCGTGTCCCGCAACGCCGCTTGTCGGCCTCCTGATAGATGAAAATACCTCCGGTGAGCTGCTTGAGGACTTCCTGACGACGTAGATCGGCTGAGCGTCCACGGGGGAACTGCGCTGTGGATCGTAGCCCGGAGACGAGGAATACCGCGTGGTTGGGGAAACCGAGCTTTGGAGTGACGGCGTTGGTGTCTGCGTGAATGCAACATCGGTCGGGGACATGTTGACGCTAACACGGGCCGCAGCTTTCTCCAAGCAGTTGCACTGATGGGGAAGAAATTAACACCTTACTCGGAATCAGGAAAGCAACATCCAGGACTTACTCGCTTATGTTGCTTCTTGTGTTTTTCGCAGGCGCCGTACTTCCGCGCCTTGATGTAGTTCTCCTTCTGGGCTTGCGATCGGGGCTTCTGCTTCTTCGGCAGGTTGGTAGCCGCATTCATGTTGAGATCCAGAACAAATTCGACCCCGCCATTCCCCGCTGTCGGGGCCGGGGTAGGGGCGTTGTCGTCGGGCGAGTTGGTTGATGGCGGAGACGTGCTGCCGCGGACAAAGTCGGACCAGCTTGGGGAGGAGAAGCTGGTGGTGGACTCCGAGGACAGATCCAGGTCAATCGCCGTGGCGTCGCATAGTCGCTGGAGATGCAGGGCAATAGACGCCTCTCGGCGCTTTTTCTTGAGGGAAGCAGCGCGGGTATCGGCCGCCGCATGTGCTTCCACCATGTACCGGAATGCATCGGTGTTTCCATAAGTAGAAACTTGGGAGAACTCCGTGTTGTCGAACATGGGGCTGGCATCCCACAGCCCCTCCATCTCCGGGGACTGATCTGCCATGAATTCTGGGAAGTCATCGCTGGTCATGTCCGACCAAGTGGGTTGCATGAATTCTGACGGGGAAGCGCCCAGAAATGTATCAGCCTCATAGGGCATTGACAGGTCTGGTGGTGAGATCGAGTCCATCGAAGTGGAGTGATCGTCGATCTGACCGGAGGACATGTCCATGAAGTTGTCAAAGTCGAACCACTCATCCGGATGGCTGGGGAGGTCCATCTGGACCAGGAATTGGTCGGACACGGACGCCATTCTCTACACGAGGGGGGGGTACCGTCTTGTAGATGGTCGGAAAGAGTGAAAATGAGGAATGGAATCCAGGGTACCGAGAGAGAGACTGGAGTGAGGGAACAGCTCTGGATCGCAGTGCTACCGCAGTGAGTCCTGGGCAAGCGTGCCTTTGTAGAAATGAAAACGAAGATGGAAATCCTGAGGCAACGCCGGTTTCTATGGGATTACCTCGCCCTTCCCCATTGGGGTCCCCGACTCGGCACTAGGCCCGTTCGGGACCCCGACTCCCCGCTGTGACTCAACGAGCATAGCCACATCACCTGATGCGCGGAACCCTAGTCGGCGATGCGACATCGCGTGGGTGGACGACACCAGTTCGCGGTGTCGGTCGCTACAGACGAGATCGATCAATCGGTTGCGTTTGGCCACTCTAGAGAGAGGGAGAGTCCATATATATTCTATACCGCGCAGCGACTATCGGTCCGCCGAAGATGGCCGGGAATCTTGGGATAGGTGGATAGTTCCTAGATGAGACACACATAGATAGACCGACGACCGTGCGTGAAGATGGATATATTCGAGGAAAAGCCCATCAAATACCAAAATCGGAGCATATCCCAACGGTGAAACAGACCATCCGGATCTCTGACTTCTGGTCCCTGTTCATCATGCTGAGTCATCTTCCCTGCCTTAGGCACGAAGGCATCCCACGGTCCTCCAGTTGTCCAACTTCACCCCAGACTCGAGAACACGTCGAACCTCTTTTCTCCCCCGAGATTAAGTGCCTGGCTTGTTCTGTCCGCGTGTCTCATCAATCGCCCCTATCCTTGTTTGCCCACCTCTTCATCTCTGCTCAGTGAACAGTCCACGCATCCAACCCCTCCATCCCGCCCCGCCCATCTCAGCGGCCTTTTTTTCCCCTGCCAGCTTTCCAGCTCCACCTTCGGCTCTGTTGTGGGGAGGACCGAGACTGGTGAACTGATTGGCGCCTGGAAATGCCCTGAGTGCTATTTTTTCCCAGCGAAGAAAAAATTCGAGAACCACGGTCGGCACTGTCAGGAGCCCCGGTGGACCGATCCCGAAAATCAATCACGTCACGCTGTCCTCTCTCCATCATGGCCGCCGCCTTGGACGACGAAGACCTCTCCATCCCTTTCCCCTCCGGTCGTACGCGTGAACACACCAGCAGGCCGCCGCCTGCCAGTTCCAACCCTTCCGCCATGGCTATGCCGCCACCCTCGCGCCCGCCCGGCAAAGCCGACGTCCCCACACAGTCACCGGCTACCATGCGGGACATGCAGCGCCTCGATCAGTACAAAACGATCAAGATCCTGGGCGAGGGATCTTTCGGAAAAGTGAAATTGGCTATCCACCAACCAAGTGGACGTCAAGTCGCTCTGAAAATCATCTCTCGTCGCAAGCTGCTGTCCCGAGACATGGTCGGTCGCGTGGAGCGGGAGATTCAGTACCTGCAATTGCTGCGGCACCCACACATCATCAAATTGTACGAACCCCGGGGTTATGTCTTAAGCTCGTGACTAACTGATCTCTCCCACACTAGATACACGGTCATCGCTACCAAAACCGATATTGTGATGGTGCTGGAGTACGCCGAGCGGGAGTTGTTCGATTACCTCGTGCGAAAGGGAAAATGCCACGACGATGAGGCCCGAAAATTCTTTCAGCAAATTATCTGCGCCGTGGAATACTGCCATCGACACAAGATTGTGCACCGCGACTTGAAACCAGAGAATCTCCTGATCGATAGCGAGAAGAACGTCAAGATTGCTGATTTTGGACTAAGCAATATCATGACGGATGGCAATTTCCTCAAGACAAGCTGCGGCAGTCCGAACTATGCCGCCCCCGAGGTGATCTCCGGCAAGCTCTACGCCGGCCCCGAGGTCGATGTCTGGAGTTGCGGTGTGATTTTGTACGTGCTGTTGGTGGGCCGGCTGCCCTTTGACGACGACTACATCCCCGCCCTGTTCAAGAAGATTGCCGCCGGCAACTTTCACCTGCCAGGCTATGTCTCCCCTGGGGCTGCTCGGTTGATCCGGGCTATGCTTCAGGTTCACCCGGTTCACAGAATCACGATCCCCGACATTCGGCAAGACCCATGGTTTTGCAAAACCCTGCCCAAGTATCTTGAGCCACCCACAGAAGAATTTATTGCGACGGGCGTAGAACCATACAAGTCAATTGATGCTCCCAAACTTCCGCCGGGAAAGCCACTACCCGTCCAGCAGAAGATTCATCAGGTTGCCGTGTCGAAGCTCGAACGAAGCATGGGATACGGCAGGGAAGATATTGAAGATGCTTTACGGCATCCAGAGCCCAGTGCAATTAAAGATGCTTTCTTCATTATCGTCGAGAATGAAATGATGCAAACCAGCTGTGAGTTTTCGGAATTGTTGAGCCAATTTGTTCTTAACTGATTTGTGGTAGCTCCGACGGAGGACAACTTGATGGATCAAAACGTGAAACCCATTCCCCAAAAGAAGCAGCCTACAAGTCCACCGGCAGACCGGGCGCATGCGGCGCATCATGCGCTGGCGCGGGAAGCCCCAGTTGTCACTCCGACTCGAACCCCAAGTGTTTCACGTCGTCCTCCCCCGGAGGAGTCCCAGCAGAATGACTCCGATGACTATGACGCTGTTCGCATCAGTCATGTCCGTATCTTACCGACGAGCTTACCGTATGTCCATGACCAACTTATGGAGCACCGCGATCGGGAACAGCGAGCTCGCAATAAATTCCTCGAAGAGCAGCAGCACGAGGCGCGATTTGAGGAGGACGGCCAAGGTGGCTACCGGGAGCTTTCGCCTGAGGAACAAGCTGCCACCGCTCGAGCATTGAAACCTCATGCTCGTAGCGTCATTGACTTGGACACGTTGCGTTTGGAGCCACCAACTACACACCCCGTACCTGGACCACAGAAGAGATCCCGCAAGTGGCAGTTCGGCATCAGGTCGCGCAATCAACCTTACGAGGCGATGCTGTACCTGTATCGGGCAATTGCTGCACAGGGTGGAGTCTGGGATATTCAGCCTATTGACTCTGGTAAGTCTTGTTCATAGTTGCTTCGTAAATTCTCACTGACAACCAACAGGCTCGCAAATAGGCCCCGATGCAAGCCCCTCCTCGGACAGCCCTAGGTCCTTACAGAACAAATATCCTGACCTTCCCTCGGATTATTACATCCCCAAGGATCCATGGTTCATCCGCGCCCGTCTATTGAAAGAAGGCATCACCGCCCCGGGAGCATCCACTAGCGTCTACAACAGCCGCAGCGACCTCGAGGAGTTGCGCCGTCGTTTCCACATTGCAGGTATTGCTTCCCCTGTGGAAGGTCAAAGCCCATCGTTGGGCATGGAAAGTGGCGGTGGATCCGGTCCTTCCTCGGCCTCACAGAACAACGGTCCCCCGCGGATCTCGCATGGAGTCTGGGTCTTTGTGGATATCCAGCTGTACCAACTGGAAGAAAACAACTACATGGTCGACTTCAAATGCGATGGCTACCAGAACGTCATCCGCGCCGACGGCGATTCCGAATGGCACCCCATCAGCAAACGCCTCAAGAACAAGGAAAAGGAAGTTACCAGCCCTTACCCCTTCCTCGATGTGGCATCGGATCTCGTGGCCCAGCTGGCTGTGGCCAGTTAGAGTGCTGGTGTCTCGTCTGGGCGCCGATGACGATTGTGAACATATACGCATCATTGTCGTTCCTACACTTCCTCTAATACCTTCTTTGTGACTCGGAGTTGTTACATTCTAATGTTTTGATAGCAAGCGTGTTTTTCTTCTATACAGGACGTTGCACATTCTACGGAGCATTTCCCATTGTTGTCTACATGAATACATGGTTTTTACAAGTACTAAGGCGTTTACAACCACTACTTGATAAGCTTGTTTACTGAAATAATAGAAGCTGGGTGCGCAAAATTCATTCATTGGCCAAACCGTACCTATCCCCCCTTCCCTCCAAATTCCGAGAGTCCTCCAACATGAGGCACTCAGTCCCTCCACCCGCTCCCCAACCCTCGCCCACCTCCGCCCCTACCTGCCCACTCAGAAGTCCCCACGGTCTCTGGGTTTCTTGACAGACCCGCGCTCCGAGATTCGCAACAACAGCCTCCGAGAGGTCCTATTCTGAGATTCTGGAGGATCCGCAAGGTCTGGTCCAGCGACCATGGCTCCTCCATCGTGGGCAGTCGGAGCATCGGTGCCATCGCCATGACCCAGCCGGTTGGTTTCCCCCCGGACATGTCCGTTTGCGCCTTCGTGCTCACTTGGGTGCTCGGAGCTGCCCTTCCCCTGGAGCGCTGCATCGAGGACCCAAGGCCGGAAGGTTGGCAGAACTTCGATGTCCGGGAACCGAACGCGACTGGCCTGCTGGCGACGGTGGCTGCTGGTGCCGTTGTTGTTCGAATTGGCAGTGCCAGTCATGGCGGTTGCTGGGCCGTTAGTCGAATGCCGGACGCTCTGGGCACGCTCAGCGTCACGAACCTTCAGCAGATGCTGGCGGATTCGGGAGACGATCTGGCGAATGTCCTCAAAGGTCTTGCCTCGCCCTACGTGCGAGCGAAGCCAGTCTGGCACTGGCGCTATGATCGCCGTGGGGTTCTTGCGCCCCCTCGGGGCCTTCTTTGAAGACTTGGACGCTCCGGCATTGTCAGAGCTTTCGTCCCCGTTGTCCACCCGCAACATCTCACGGCGCCGAAGAATCAACTCGAAGCTCTCCACCCCTCCCCACTTCATCATCCGGTTGAGTGATTCGACGAGCAGCTCGCACTGCGTGAACGGCCACTGATCAGCCCTGTATCTGGCACGCTGGTAGTGCTTCCGGCAGTAGTGCACCCACACGCTGGGTGGAAAGAGCTTGGTTGAGGCCTTGTTGCGGCCGAAGACATGCGAGACCACTTTGCGGAAGTGCATCCCATCTGGCGATGGGGTCATGAGGCAGGGAGTCGAAAACTCACACAGCCAGTTCTGGAGCTGTGTTCCACCGTTTTGGGAAGAAGCCCGCTGCAAAGAAGTCTTTTTGGAAGCAGTCTTCAGTGAAGTGCTCTGCGAAATGCCCCATTTTTCTGTATTAGTCTGATTTCTTTGTGTGGTGAAAGGAAAAGGTATCAAAAAGGGGGAAGAGGACCCTAAAAGGGAGGGAAGGAGAAGGAGAACTTACAGAATCGGAGAGATTATGAAGTCCATTCGAGGCGGGAAACTTGTTTGCCCCTGCGGCTGGCGTCTGTGGAGGAGTGCGCATGGAAGGCTCCGGATCAACAGTGGCTTGGTTGGTGGCAGGGCCCGGGTTCTGAAACGGGTTCTCTTGTATGTACTGGACACGCAGGCTCTCGGCGCTTGTATGACTAGAGTCAAGCTGCTCGCCGGTATCGTGCCAGGGGTAGTGCACCTGTGTGCCATTCTCGTGGTTCTGTGCAGCAGCAGTATGCACAGTGGCAGCAGGAGGGGGCACAGAGGTTCTTGACGCCACGGCTGGGGTGCTGTCTAATGCAGGGTTCAGGCTGTTTGGGCGTGGGCTTTCAATTCTGTAAAGAAGGGCCATGGAGACTCTCTCTCTGTGCATTTCATATAGAGTTAGCATCGGTTACGAAATTTGAATATCAGGGGTGAAGCAGGAAAAGTCAAGGCAGGCCAGAGAATACGTAGCCACTCCCAATAACTTTTTCGTAGACTTACCTAAAGCTGTTATGCTCGTTGCTCCCCCTTTCCAATTTAGCGAAGGAGGGCAGCAGCGAGTTCTGGGACGGCATCCCGTTGGTTTGACCTGACATGACAACAGGATCGAGGGTGGCAGAGTTGAACAATATCAAGAGAATAATGGGATCAGATAAGCCTAACCGAGAGGTAATCCCTTGAGATGCAATGAAACTTAGCTGCAGATGTCGGGGTGAAGATAGATGATAGGACGGAGAAGGTGAAGGGTTGGGAAGAAGACGAAGAGAGTGGGAGTGACGGAAGGAACCGTCCAGTTAAGTGGGGAAGTTTATACTATACAGCTTTGCAGGAAGTTTCCTTTACTTTTATTTCTATGGTTTGTTTGCCCGCGAGATTTCGAAGAGGTTCCGTCCCCTTTCTGCCATCTTGGGATCCAATATCTATGCCTTACACCCAGGCGAGACTGTCATTTCCAGAACACACTGCCTGGAAGAAACATCTATATAGCTTTGGCAAGAGTCGAGTGTTTGGATATCTAAGCACCTTTTGCTTGACTAAAAGAAAATGGTTGAAGAATATAGGTTTTGAAGCACTCGACGTCATTAGCATACGGTATATATATCGACGCTTAGTAGGTACACATATTACTTGGACAACAACATAGTAGAAAGGCATAACAGAAATTAGCTTAAATTTAAGACTAGGGGTATTTCGGACCCTCAGGGGCGCATGTATTTTCTCGAGGTTCGGATGGTCAGCACATCACTTCCCCGGATTGATGTTCATGTGTGAGCACGCTAACCCTAAAAAGTGGCACCTGGCATACCAACATTCGAAAACGAAACCTGATCAATAAGCCTTGAACCAACCAAACTGCAGTATTTATTATGCTGAAAGCAGAATTATGTTTGAAAACCCTCATGCGCTAGGAACGAGCACACTACATAGAGCATGCACTCCTGTGTAGAATGAACTTCTTTCTTGATACTCTTATGTACATTGTGGCTGCGACCTTAGCCTTTCGGGATCTAGACTTAAAAGAGATGAATCGCATGCCCTTGCAGCTTAGTATCTAGAGTAGATGTCAGCGAGGGGCTTCGGAGGCTTCTTAGGCTGCGCTAGATGCACCCCGCTCTCGCGATGAAAACAAGGTAAACCGCTAACAGAGATAGGGAAGATGGAACCACCGTTCGAGGCTCCAGAAGTGGGTGTTGTTGACTATTCTCGCAGCCGAGACAACGGGCATCAGATGGGTCAGCAGGTTGGGAGCCTCCGCAGGCACATGCGCACCAATAACATTACTAGCAATATCGATAATGTCATGACTCGAACTGTAAACAATCTCTCTCTCTCGGCTCAGAATGGATTGCAGGATCCTTGCTCGGGATCATCAGGCTCCTTACCTTTTGTGCCTCTATTATACGCTGATGTTGGTTGGATACTGGCCCACGGGGCATACAGATGAGGAAAATAATAAAACTTCTTTGTGTACAATAAAAATCAAGTAGTAGTAATGAACAGATCTCAAATCAAAAGATGAATTGTCCGCCACCAACGCCAAACCAGCAAGATAAAATGACCTAAATCCAAAACCGAAAACATGACCAGAAAGCCGGGATATAAGTGCCCATTAATGAAAACATCGTGCCCATGCATACATCATCAATACATACTCGTGTTCGTTTCTTCAGTTGGCGTAGCCCATGGTGACCGACGGCCTGGGCGCGTACTTTCGAGTCGCACCACGCCCGGGGCTGCATCCCGCTGACCCAATGTTGATGGTCTGAAGTTCTCGACTCAGAGCATCCATACCTGGGTGGCCGCTATTCGGGTTGCTGGGCATGACGGGATAGGTTGGGGGAGGGACCTGAGAGATGGAGGCCTTTGATGGGATCGAAGGGCCCTGGTTGTAGTCGTAGATCGGGGAACGAGAGCCTGGCGTTGGAGATACGGAACTTCGGTGTGAAGAAGTAGGTCGATAGGTCGGCGTGGAGGTTGAGGTACTGTAACCTCTGCTGTGCGTGTAGTTGTCATGGCTCTCGTGTCCACGAGGTGGAGTTCGCTCGACAGGATCCGGACTTGCGTAGATGTGGCTCGGCGTGTACCGTTTACCCGTGTCCGGAACGCTCTTGAATCCCACACGCGGTGGCCCGGCATTGCGGGAAGAAGATTCATTATCCCGGGAGCTTGGCCTTGCCGAATGCTTGAAGCGGATGATAACCTCAGGCTTACGGGTTTTCTTCTCCGGCTCGGGGGCCCAAGTATCCGTAGGCAGATGGTCTGACGGATCAATCTCGCGGCCATCGTCACCAATGATGGGCCCTGTGTGCTGAGGCGGTTCGCTCTCAGCCCTCGTTTTAGTGGGAGAATCGTATGCGGGAGAAAGATCTCGGCTTCCTGCACGGGAAGTATTGGGATTCAGGGCATTAAAGGAGTCGGGCGAGTATGGAATGGAGGAATTGCTGCCACGGTCACCCATAGATGGCGGCTGCGGACTGACTGATTTCCGAGTCACCGACCGTGTGTCTGGACTGACTGAACCGCCTCTGCTGGAGGTGGGTCGCTCATTCACGGGCTGTGGAGATGTCCGCAGAGGATAAATGGGAGCTCCGTAAAGCACCGGTGCCGTTACAGGCGCGGATGAGGCTGCTTGAGAAATCATCATCTCATCGTCAAAGTGTGAACTGCGTCTTCGAATAGCCCGGCTTTCGTGAATTGCCCTCTCAGACTCGTCATCGGCTATTATAGGATCGTATCCTGCCACCAGACTAGGAGGCATCACTGCTCCGTCATCAACTGGAGGCATGTCTTGGGGGACTCCTCGGCCCAAAGACGGCGATATGTTGAGTGGCATAGGGTTTGGTTGTGATCTTGACTGGCCGAGGTGGTCAGGAGGGTAAGATGTAAAAGAAGATCCAGCGGGCGGTCCGACAGGCGACCTGGACGGCTGTGCCATCCTAGATCGATGAACGGGTGGTGGAGGAGGGGGGCCATCCTCTTCTTCATCCTCGACACGCGGCTGCATATTCGCATACTCGGGGTGATACTGTCTGGCATTCTGTAAGTAATACCGAGAACCGTCTGCCGGCCCCGAAGAGGAGGTGGGGCGGGCGAAATCAGAGGGCGGCAGTTCATGACCGTATCCTGGTGGTACTTGCGGCGAATTGTTTGCGATTGTGCCATATTGATCGGACTCGGGGTGGTACCGGGGTTGGTCCGTATGTCCTGAACCACCGTGACTTCGAGGCCCGGGCTCATAAAAATTCCTCGCATGACCATCCATCTCATGCAGAGAAGGCCGTTGGTCTCGAGGGGCCCCAAAGTCATGTTGACTTGGTGGCTCTTGTGAGCGAGAGTCAAACTGGGTGTCGGAAGGATAGGGAAGTTCCTGCGTAGCCCGACGAATCATTCCTGCCGGAGGAAGCATTGGAGCCGGCTGTGGAATATCCTGGTAATCCTCTGGCGCATCGTATCCACTTCGAGGAGGGGGGGAGACTGGCTGACGAGGCGCTATAAGGTGGTGCGTCATAAAGAGGCTCTGTGTGTCTCGGAGCATGAGGGAGACTATCTGAACCCACGGCTGGGGGCATGGAGTTGGTATGATCTCCCACGACGGGCCGCGACGGCATTGGGTGATGCAATGGTGGCGGAGCAGATTGGGTTTTCTCAAGGGTGGCCGGTCTTGCAGGAGCTGCACCTGTTGGATCGGTTGGCAAAGGACGTCGCTTGATCTTCTCCAATTGCCGAGGGCCTGACAAGCCCGAGGAACCAGGTCCTAATGAACTGGTAGGCTTCCCCTGAACTCTCTCCGCTGCCACCTTTCGTCGCTCAATGACCATCTCATCCTGCTCGCGGGTGTCATAATAGGTCATCTCGATCCGAATCTCTCCAGCATATCTACCCCGGCACTGCAGAGTATGCCAGTGGTCATTCTGGCTTCCTCCTGGGATGATCAAGTTGTGCAAGTCAACCCAGGTTTCACCGATCAGGTCAGTCTTTTTGTCGTCGTTGAACACGGAAACCTTCAGTTTGAAGTAGTCCGGAGACTCGTGCACGGTGAAGCGTAATTCAAAGTCCCTAATATCATGAATTAGTGTTGTCCAAAAAACTGGGTGATCTACCACACATACCATCTCGGGGTTTGTCCACCTCTCATATCTGTTGCAGTCTTCTTTGCTTCCTTGCCAAGTCGTGCAGCGCAGTATGGGTTTTGCTTCCCCATAGTCTTGCGATTGGGTAAATTCTTTGCGCGATCAATGATGGCGACGAGGGTGCCGATGGCCGGCCCGTCGACTGACATGTCGGCGAAGATGCCGGCCGCATGGTTGACCTTGGTGAGCTTGTTGCTGGCCATGGTCGATCGAGGGGTGGTTCAAGGTGAACCGCGGGGACAATCCCTTGATTGCTTCCTTATCGCGTCCACGTCGAGGAACGAGAGCTAGGACGGGGAAAGAGTGGACGAGACGAACCCGCTGGCAGCCAGCATAAAGGGATGTCTCACAGAGTAAATCAGGGAGTGTTGACAAGCAGAGATGCAAAGAAAGTGAGACGCAGGGATGGGGGAGAAGAGGTAGAGGAAGAAGAAAAAGGCAGGCTGGGAAAGATAATGATAAGCTGTGGAATGTATGGTGTCACCGTATTTACGGTGGCTGGGGTTGGAATTAGGTGGTGTTCCTGGCGCTGGCCCCACCAAATTACCGTACGTGACGAATGTGTGGTACGGATCATGGAGTAAACAGATCGACACGGCACTTCTTTTTTCTTCCTCTGCTTCTTTTTTGTACCCACAACAACAGAGACGAGGACAGAATAGCCACAAAAAGAACGCGTTTTGCTTGATATCCTCGTCACACACATACTCTGTCGGAATGGGGAATGGAGAGGTGGATCGGCAGCATCAGCTCTCGATCGCAGCCCCAGCCACCAAGATCCACCACTCCAAGCATTCCCGAGCTGGCCACAGCTATTGGAGCAATGATTGGCGACTGGCCCAGACGCAGAGATCGGGCTGAATGGCCTTGTGGATGAATCCTGTTTCAACCAGATTGTGATGGTGGGCTGTCGGCGGCTGCCTGCTCTTCTCCACTGGATTGCTATGACGACTACCGGGATGGACACAGTACACAGGGACGCTCGGCGACAAGCGAAACGGCTCTAGATGATGTAACTAACGCTTCCATCCCCTGCATCACCGCCCGGTGGGTACTTGCAGGGTTGCTATTTAAAGAGAACTCGGAAGCCTAGTCACGGTCTCTCGGGAAAAGGCCTTGCCGCCTATACTTGTAGTCACTAGGAGGGCTAACGTATTTGCTGATCGAATTGTAGGTATTACTAAGGGTCATGTCCGCAATGCTGGCTCCCCGCAGGGCGTACAGACGTCAAGAATGGAGCATGGCGGCTGTCCATAGTTTACAGTGGGGGACCATGTGCAGGCTGTCAGAGTCCACTGAATTTGGCATATGCAATAATGTCAGTCAGTACCCAACAATCCCGCCATTGTTATTTAGACTGAATCGCGAAGGTGAGATGTATAGAGGAGTTCAACTGTTCACAATCACTTCCCCCGGGCAGAATTACACCGCTTTCAGGCCCGCTTTTTTTGGCAGAAAAAAAAGATGGGCAGCTTCAACCAACTCCGACCATGCCCAGCCAGGGCTCCAGATAATATTCTTGTTGCTCATTCAAGTTAGCCCCCCGAGCAATAACTATCCTTTACCATGGCGGCACCCGTCCTGCCTCTACCGCAGGTCAAGCTCGCCTCGCTGCCCTCCACCCGTCTCACCCCCGAGCAGCAATACTGGCGCACCTTCAAAAACCCCCTGCTGATTCCCTCGCCCGCCAATGGCCCCGTCAATCTCATCACTCAGCCTTCGATCCCTTCATCCGCAGCGGCATTCCCGTCTCTCACACAACCGCCCGATGTCTTCACTGTGACAACGGGCGCTCGAGTCCAAATCTATTCCATCCGGACCCGAAAGCTGCTGCGCACGATCACCCGGTTCGATGATACAGTGCGCGGGACGGACGTGCGGCCTGATGGCCGTGTAGTGGTGACTGGTGATGACACCGGCGCAGTGCAGGTGTTTGACGTCAAGTCTCGAGCCATCTTGAAGACCTGGAAGGACCACAAGCAGCCCGTGTGGGTGAGCAAGTTTTCACCAAGTGACCCGACGTCTGTTTTCACGGCGAGTGATGACCGCACCGTGCGGCTGTGGGATCTGCCATCGGAAAGCAGTGCGCGCACCTTCGTGGGCCATGGCGACTACGTGCGCAGCGGTGCATTCATGCCGGGCTCGATGGCTTCGTCGGGCCTAGTGGTCTCTGGTTCTTACGATCGCACGGTCCGATTGTGGGATCCACGTGTGGCAAGCCGTGCAGCCATGACGTTCAAGATGGGTTCGCCGATCGAAAATGTCTTGCCCATGCCCGCCGGGACGACGGTGTTGGCCTCTGCCGATAATAAGATTGCGGTGCTTGATATCGTGGCTGGCAAGCCGCTTCATTTGATCCAGAGCCACCAGAAGACAGTTACCTCGCTGGCTCTTGCGTCAAATGGCGAGCGGTTGCTGAGTGGTGCTCTGGACGGACACATGAAGGTGTTTGAGACGACCGGGTGGAACACTGTCTCTGGATCGAAATACCCATCGCCCATTCTGTCGCTGAGTGTTATCACGTCTGGAATGGACTACGAGGACAAGCACATCGCTGTTGGTATGCAGTCCGGCCTTTTGTCTATCAAGACCCGCCTGTCTGGACAGCAGAAGATCAAAGAACGCGAGCGCCAGAAGGAGATGCAAGCTCTGCTGGAGGGCAAGCTGGAGGAGCACGACCGGCAAGTGGCAAAGAAGCAAAAGGCGCGCGGATCAGGCTGGGACAAGCGACTCCGTGGACGGGATTTCATCGGCGAAGGTACAGATATTGTCATCGAAGGCCAAGATCGCAAGCGCCGCAAGAAGGAGCAGCCCTGGGAGAACGATCTGCGCAAGGCCCGCTACTCGGCTGCCTTGGACCAGGTCCTCGCATCCACCGACAAGACGGCCCAGCTCACTCTTCTCACAGCACTGCGCCACCGCTCCGCCCTGCGCGCTGCGTTGCGAAACCGCGACGAAATCACGCTGGAGCCTGTGTTGCAATGGATCCACAAGAACATCCGCGAGCCGCGCCTGGTGGATCTCTCTGTTGAGGTCGCCATGAACCTGTTGGATATCTATTCAGGCAACCTGGGCCAGTCTGTCGCGATTGATAAACTAGTGGAACGCCTGCACCGGCGCGTGCGCGATGAAGTGGAAATGGCGCAGCAGGCGTGCCAGACCAAAGGGATGTTGGATATGCTGAAGGCAACGTGATGGATGGACCGATGGATTGCATGCGATAACTATCATTTCTGGCTTCGGCGTTCTTTTCGGGTCTGGTTGGTGTACATGGCGGGCCATTTGACATTGTACAGAAGCATAGAGAAAAGTTTATATTGACTATCTATCTACAAGGATGATCTTGTGCTTTACATCTTCTTATGCGTATAGCTTCGAAAAGCCCGTCTCGGGTGGCTGCAACCAATTCCGCTCATCATACTCCCACCCCTCCGCACCCTCAATCACATGGAAGGTATACGCATACCGGCTGCGCGAGCTAGTATTCTTCTCACTCTTGTGCAGCACATTCCCATGAATCAGCACCAGCGAACCCGCCTTGACATCAACGATCTCCAGATCCTCCTCTTCAGCCTCACCTTTCTTCTCCTCATCCATGCCCCTAGGCAGACTCGGCCCCTCATTAGCCACAAATTCGGTCCCCTTCCCATCCGCCTTCCTCACAAATCTCCGAGTAATAGCCCCACCCTTCGCACCGGTATGCGACCCCTTCCAGAACCCCAACGTCCCATTCCCAGCCCCGGCATCCTGCAGCGCAAACCACCACCCCACCGCCGACGGTGGGTTCGTGTACAGGAACTCCGAGTCGCGGTGCGAGGGCACCGCCCCGCCGATAGACGGCTGCTTGCAGATAACCATGCTCTGGAGCACGCGCGGATCGACGAATCCCAGATCGCGCGCGACGGACGCGTTGCGCTCTGTCAGCGAGACGGCCTTGAAAGGTGCTGAGAGCGTGTGCAACGAGTGGCCGATCTTGTTGACGGCTTGCTGCTTGGGCTTGAGTAGCGCAGCCCGCCCCGTGAGCGGGTCGGGCTCCTCGCTGAAGGCGTCTGGTTCGAAGAAGAAGCGCACTTTGTCACCGGAGTTGAGGAAGTAGTCGTCTCCCACGTGGGCGTTGCCGTCGCCTTCATCGCCGGTGGTGAATTGTGTCAGTGGGTGGTCTTCTAGCGAGAAGTCATTGAGTAGGGACTCGGTCTCGGAGAGCAGCGAGGACACCTCGGCGCTGCTGAGGTAGTCGGGGACTACCAGGTATCCATTCTTGCGGAAGGAGGCCACTTGGGCGTCGGTGAGGCCGGACATGGTTGGGAAGGAGGAAGAGAAGGGGGAGAAATGCGGGGGAAGTTCTGCTTTGGTTTTCCAATAATCAATCGCGGGCCCAGCTATCGATTATTGGTTATCGACCCGCGCCTTGGGCCGCGGCCTCGACCCGTTGACGCCTCCATCGCCGCCGTGATGTCAAGGCGGCAATTGCCACAGCATACTTGTTGCTATATAAAGCCCGAATGAAACCCCCAAAGATCACATTCCTAATCCACCTAGAGGATATCAACCTAGGAATAATACAAAGTGAACCAGCTGTATCTACTCACATCCCACATCCCACCAGGCGCATCGGTTCCCCAGGATGTCCGACTCCTACACCAGCTCTTCGTACTTCTACAGCTCTATGAGCAACACCGCCGCCGGAGCAGCCGCCACCACCGGAGCAACCGCCACCGGCCACCGGTATACAACGTCCTCGCATACCGAACCCGACGGGACGACCGTCGTGCGCACAGCGCACCAGGAGCTAGGCAAGCCCCTTGTCGTGGAGGAGCGCCGCTATGATCGAACAGGCCAGGAACAGCTGGCTCTCCCTGAGCCGGCGGGGACGTCGGCTGGCGGTGTGAAGCGTATTACTGAGTTGGAAGATGAGGATGTTACCGGCGCTACAAGTCTTGATCCCGGCACGACGTATGGGGGGGCTGAGGCCGGGGGGACTGCCTCGCAGAATATTGATGAGAATGTTATCGACCGGGAGTCGGTGGATCTGGGGACTACGCCGTTTGGGGTGCGCGTGCTTGATACGTTGACGGGGGGGTCGAATGCAAGGGAGTCGAGGGAGTCTGAGGATCCAAATACGGGGGCGAGGTTGTTGAGGCAGTCGGATGTAGATGTGTCGGAAGTCATTCAATGAGGACATGACATGAGTAACAATTTCGCTTTAGCCAAAAAATGAATGAACGAATCTGATATGCAACACAGTCTTGCAGTAGATCAAAGATGAATAGGTCCCTCGCGGTTGCGTCTCTTCTCCCACCAGGCCGGCACGTCGTACGCCCAGTGGCATAGCATACCGGCAATAAATCCAATAGCATCGTTCTTGAATCCCACCAGCAGACCAACAGTCACCATCATGACAGTCCACCGACGCTTGCGCTCTGCATCCGAGGGCCCCGGCCGGAGAGAACGATGCGACTCTTCGTCAACAGCGTCGTCCGTCCGATTCAAGTCTCTCGCACTGGAGGTATTCAAGCTCTCGCCAACGCTGACTAGTTCCAAGCCAGCCGCAATAACCATAACCCCGAGAAAAGCAGCGGGGAACCGCTTCAGCAGATCAAGCAGCGTTTCTCCAAAGAGGAACCCGATAATAAGCTTCAGCACACCTAAAAAGATCACACTAGCACCAGAACGAGCACCAAAGCGATACTGCGCAGCCAACCCGCCAGACCCGTGGCAGACGGGCATTGCGCCGAACCAGCAGCCCAGCAGGTTCATGCCGGCGACGCTGAGCCCGACATGGGTAATCGACGGAGTTTTGAGGTTGGGCAGCAGATCGTTCGCCAAATGCACGACCGCAACAACGGAGTTGAGCGTCGTCAGCGGGATCTGGCCAATCCCAGCGTCCACGGCGCCGATGCGCCATTCATGAGCGTTTGGGACGAGGGCATATGGTCTCCAGATCGCGAAGCCAGGTAAATGGCCCGCGACGCCAGTGCGGATAATAGCGAACACGAGTCCCACGACAAGAATAATTAGCGCGTAGGGGATCTTGCGGTAGACGTTCGTGATGAGAAGAGCGAGGAAGGCGACGATGGCCCAGATCCGATTATCAGCCCAGGACGGGCCGATCCATCCGAGCGGGGCGAGCATGTTGCCGCAAGCCGCGATAACGAGCGACAGACCTGCGCCGACTTGGATACCCTTGACGACGGGGATGGGGATGACGCCGGCGAACCATCGCAGGAGGCCGGTGATGCTGAAGAAGAGGATGCAGGCACCGACGAAGATCCCCGCTGCGGCGATGGCGCCGTTGCTAAAATTGCTGGCGATGGCTACGGCGGCGATGGCTTTCATGGGCTGGACGGGGAGTGGGATTCCAAAGAATAGGCCCGTGAGGATGTTGAATACCCCGGAGAAGATTAGGGTGCTGGCTAGAGAGACCGTGCCGTTGACGGATAATGCTATGGCGATGGGGAGGAAAGTGCCCAGGTCACCGAGGGAGCCGGAGATTTCGTTGACATATTGACGCTTGAACGTGCGCCAGTTATGGGCTGAGATCTCTCGTAGTGAGTTAGCTGTCATGGTGGTGGTGGTAACATGAAGTCACAAGGGAGATGAAGAGCGGAATCTATGGGCTGAAGTATCGGAGAGCCCCGCACGTGGACAGGTTGCACATACTCCTTCAAGCAGGTCCAGCATGGGTTGTTTATCAACTAACAATCCGAGTTTGATGTTCATACCTCCTTTTTGACCTAACATTTATTATGGATTTGATCATTATTTATGAAGGGGAATCAACTCTTCACTCCAACCAAGTCTCCACCGCCACCTTCAACGTATCCTGCAACCACTCCTCTGAATACCGAGCATCACCATCAAACCCATGATCCCCATCTCTGAGAGTAAAAACAATGTGATCCCCACCGAGCTTCCCACTAAACACCTCGCGCGCACGATGCACAAACTTCTCCGCGCCGCGCGCCGGAACCACACTATCCCCGGCACCCTGGATAATCGCTATGCCACCACGCGGAAGACTGCAATCCGGCAGCTCGAGTTTCTCAAAGGTATAAACTCTCGCGCGGTCTGAATCCTTCACGCCTTTGTCCCATAGACCGCCCATTTCACCGTACTCCATACCCGACAGCAAGAAAACCAGTCGTTCTTGCTCGGTGATCGACGACACCGGCGTGCCGGGGACAGTAGAGGACAGAACTTTCTGGACGATTTCCTTGGGGAAGTTATGGCCGAATGGTGGCTTTTCACGTGGAGTATGGTAGTCCGGCGACTGAAGGTCCACGCATGGATACGCAGCTGTGCAGGCGCGGATTTCACTCGGATGCGAGAGGGCGAGATTAATGCTGAGAGTACCGCCAGCAGACTCGCCGAATGTAAGGACCCGGTCTAGATCGACTGCCGTGGGCGTAGTGTGCGCAGCCAGCAGGTCGGCTAGAGCAGACGAGTGCATCCATGTCCAGAAATCCTCCATGTCGTCGTGGATGTCGGTGCTGGAGGCTTCGGGGATGAGGCGGTAGTTGGGTGAGATCACCACCGCGCCATGCGTGATGGCGAGATCAGATAGCCAGTGCGGGTAGAAGTCCATGTACAAGGAGTCGCCAAAGACCTGATTGCGGGTTAGGAACGATACAACGTTAATACATGGGATCACATACAAAGCCACCGCCGTGGAACCGGATGATCACCGGTCGTTGGCCCTTGTGCGGAGTTTGAGGGATCAAAATGTCTGTTCGGATTTCATGGTCGCCGATTTTCTTGTAGGTGGTTTGGATGATATCCAGGCCATCCAGTTTGGGGGAAGAAGGAATCGACATGGTGAGAGATGGTATTTTGTGTTCTAGAGGGATACAATTCTCTTCTTCTTGGAAGAGCGAGGGTGACTTTATAGTATTTTGTAGCTGCACGCTATCTGACCCTTGATGGAGCTATAGCGACCGCCCCTTTCCGGACATATTAACGCCGGATAATTATCATACTAAAACCCGACCTAAACAGGCTTAGGCTCGACTCGGCGTCGATGGCACCCCGAACCAGGTTTAGCGTTTATCGTCAGGAGCCGTGTCAAACAGTTCAAACAGTCCAAACACGCAATCATCCGGCCATTCATGATTGCAAATCCAGCAAAGCCGGATCTAGAGCAAAATTGAGCAAACATCTGGGCCTGAGGTATCTCAATCTCCGGACTATCCCCGTATCACTCAGCCTTGTCAGGTTGTTTTGAGCGAACGGCGCCTGAGCCGGGTCCAGTCTCGGTCTCCGAAGTCTCCGACGCGGACCAAGTTAGAGACAGTAATTTGATTCCTCGAATTAATAAGCGGTTTAGCGAGTGTCTCTGATTCGCAAAATTACAGCAATATTCGAAACCAGTCTATCCAATATTCTTTTACACTGTTTCGCAAACCTTGACGTGAACACATTGGTCTACACTTCTGACGAAAAATGGAATGGTATTCAAGATCTTTATTTTTGTGATTGAGATAAAATGGGTCCCCTGGACTAGCGGTTCATGTCGTTCGGTTTTGATTCATTAGCTTGATTCTCCTCCGAAAAGTCGCCGGTTCGAACCCGGCGGGGACCTGATTTTTTGCCAACTCTCCGCCCAATAATTAAAGCAATGTAGAAAATCGGCCTCCCACACCCCTAAGGATGCGTGAGCGTAGAGAGGAGTAATAGAAGAATCAATAGTCTGAATTATGAGGCGTTCGAGTGACCAATCAGAAGGTCCTAAAAGAGCAAAAACGTCAACCGATGGGAAGCCCAATCAATCGTAAATCGAAGTCGTCAAAGACCAAGATTTATTTCCAAGGAATTTGGCAAATCATTGATCATTAACTTCAAGGGGATAATCGTTAGCTAAAGCTGATTCCCCTCCAAGTAGGCCTTGTAGTAATAGATAGTCCTCCCCTCCCTATGAACTCAAGTACCAAGTGCATGATTTTTGCGACGAAGCTGCCCGCCCCGTGGTAATACTCCGACCGCAGCGAGCTTGGAGAGATGTTATGGAAAGTTCTCCTATCCTACAATGCTTGCTGGTATCATTTTACGGTAGCGACGCTTATGATGAGCAATATGGACCATGAGAGACGAAGTTTCATCGTAAATGTGGTGGATGGTATTAAGTAGTATCATACTCAAAATGAATCTCCAATCTATATAAGGAAGAGAACACAAAAACTCCTAGTATACCACAAAGCATATACAGCATACCCTACTCCCAGTAGACGTGAGCCCTATTTGGTGATGATGTGCACAGTCTCGTTGAGAGTATCCATAATGGGGGAGAGCCCAGCCTATTATTGATCATAAGTATCAGCATGGATTGATCTTTCTCATATATGGTGTGATGATCCACTTACCCCGACGAGATAGGCATGTGCCACATTAATCTGCGCCTTGCCCGCAGGCAGGGACTGGGGAATCTTGACAGTGAAGTTCTGGTAGGGTTCCCAGCCGCCGGTCGTGTGGAACACAGGCTTGAAGGGGCCCGAGTAGAGAAGGTCGCCTAGTTCCTCTTTGGCGGGGAAGCAGCCGTTCTGGACGCAGGAGGTGATGCCGATGGCGATGCCGATCTCCTCGAAGTTGGTCAGGGAGTCCTTGGGTGGTGGTTAGCTCTTTTGCCTTTTGTGGAGAGGGTTCAAGGTAAATCCAGGAATATGGGGGCACATACGCCCTGCTGGATTTGGACCAGGTACTCGTCACCCGCGGTGGCCTTGGCTCCATTCGGGAAAGCGATGTTGGCATTCTGGGCCAGGGCGATGCTGGCGAAAGCAGCGAGAGGAGCGATGAACTTCATTGTATCGGGTTTGGTTGTGGTTGGGACTGAAATTAGAATTATTGAAGCGAGTAGTGGTTGGATGTTTTTCAAGCGAGAGTAATGATCAAAGATCTGTAGCGAGTGGACTGATAAATAATAGATGAGTTGTTAAAAGGAGAGTTGGGCCATGACGAGCTACTTATTTAATTTCCCTCGTGTCTAAGCTTTTCGTCCTTCTCTCGAGCCAGGTATTAATAGCCCCAACCGCAGCGGTGGCCCTGATTCGCTAGGTGTTGGAGGGATCTCACCGCGTTGTGCACCGCGCCCCGTAAGTTACCGGCCGCAGTTAGCCGGGACCAATCACCCACGGTTGGGCCGACGATCGCTGCCGGGATGGATGGCTGGAAAAACCGGGTCTTCTAAGACTTTCTGATGCTGGGGAGGAGCCAGGAACCCTAATCCCAAAAATAAGTTGGGTGTTGAGGTGAGCAGGCTACCGTGTTACTATTTCCTGATCTTGTCTCACCTTACGGATGCACGAATAGGTCAGATGGATGCGTTGTGCTGCTATATTTGCGGGTGGTAGCGATCGACGGGACATGTGTGTCTGATGGCGCCACCCGCGACATGGGGAGGTTGGGTAGTGTGTGTGTGCTGTGCTGTCATGACGACAGAGCTGTCGATCCAAGTGTAGAGACTAGTCCGAGATCATCTTGAATCTCCAGAATACCGTCCTGGCTCTCTTGTAGATAGACCCATCAAACTCAATCGTAGAACCACAGAATGCAAAAAGGGGGGAATGTTCCATACCTTCTCCCTAGCGCTCGGGCCAAACCAACTTTCAACATCCTTCGTCCCACGGTCTCCTCGCATCCTCCACCAGGGCAACGCCTACCCCGATCAGCCGAGACAATGGACCCCGACGCCAGTGTTCCCGCCGAACCCGCGCCCGCTGTCTTCAACTACGTCCTCTCATTCCTCCTGGTCGGCGTCGCGTGGGGTTTCACGACCCCGTTCATCCGGCGCGCGGCAGCGGATTTTAACGCGCGCCAGGAGAAACTGAGTCGCGGGCCCGGGGCGACTCCTGATACACCGCGAGCGACATCTACAACCACTGATTTAGAGGAGGAGCAGGAGTTGCTTGCCCGCGATGAGGAGGACGAGGACGAGGATGACAGGGCGGCGGCGTCGCAGCTTAGGGGTACATCGGGGCCGTCGAGCGCCCGGCGGGATCGTGCAGACAGCCACAACCTTAACAGCCATCACGAAGATTCAGACGAGGACAACGACGAGGACAACACCCCCGTGCCTGTATGGAAGCGATCCTCTTCTTCATCATCGTCCCCCACCACCTACTCCCGCTCCTGGCTACGCACCAAGATCACCACCCTCTTCTGGACGGTGATCAATCTGCTGCGCACACCGGCATACTCGATTCCGCTGGTGATTAATCTGACGGGGAGCATTTGGTTTTTTCTGCTTGTTGGGAAACACGGTATGTATCTCTCCTTGTTCGCGGGAAGGCAAAAGCAAGTAAAAAGAAAAGCCATGCTAACTCCCGCTATCTGCAGAGCTCTCGCTCACCGTCCCACTGGCCAACTCCAGCGCGTTCCTCTTCACCGTTCTGGGGGAGTGGTACGTCGAGCGAAAGGTGATTGCCCGGGAGACGTGGTTGGGACTGTTCTTGGTGCTGGGTGGGATTGCGTTGTGTGTTCACTCGAAAAATCAGATGGGGTCATCCAGCTAGAAACACCCGGTAGTAGTAGTTAGTTACATGGATGGGCGTCAGGGCTGAATATAATAATAATGCATACATCTTCATACATAATGGCAGTGAACAGGATCGAAGGTGGGAAGAACTCTCACTTTGAGATCAAAACTAGAGTAATATCTACAGATACAGTACATATCCCAATCCCAATCACATCTCATCCAGCCTCCCATTAGAGAGATGGTGGCAAGCCAACACCTATCGATCATGCCACCCGTGCACACAAACAGAGAGAAAAAAGCACCGCAGGGAGGTCGTCACGCATATTATACCAAATGGCAATTTTCCGTTCCATACCAAACCGGGCCCGCAGTGGTATCGCATCAACGGGTAGTAGTAGAAAAAGGCAATAACAAGACACGGCACGGCACGCAAGAAAGGAACTGCAGGGCTGAAGGAAACACAATCGTCAGATCAAACGCCGCGGAACTAGTAACATCATTAGTACTTGAGAATGGCCACAGGCCAAAAAGACAGAAACTCACCATCCGAACCACCAAAAACCACATGGCACCGACAAACTTGAATGACGACAGCGCCGCCACACTCCACAACACGACCTGCATGTAAATCAGGGACCGGTTGCTCTGGGTGAGATCCTGGCCGTTGGAGGCAGCATCCTTGTTATCGAAGTTCTCCAGACCCGCCGCGCTGAGCACAACAGCGCCGAGCGCAAAGTTGCAGAACACCCAGGCCAGCACGACAGCACTGCGGAAACCCTTGTAGTAGTCTGCCTGCTTCTCTTCCTCGGAGACGCTCTTCACCTCCTTGGGGGGCTTCATGGAGAACGAGCGCAGCTCGGCCTCGTACTGGGCGTTCAGATCGCCGTCGTCCTGCGGGATGTTCACGTCGACCTTGCCGCCGGGCTTCAGGTTCGCGGACGGCAGTTTCTCGGCCTTGTCGTCGCCCTTCGTTCCCCAGGTGATGTCGTGGGTGTTGCAGAAGGCGTAGATGTTCAGGACGTTGATGTATGTCGGGGTGAGCAGAATGTATTGGATGAACTGGTCATGGTTAGCATGAGACGGGCCAAGAAAAAGGGAGTAGGGACTTACGCAGGTAAACATGTGCCACGGATCTAGGAAGATGATCGAGGCTACAAACCACATAAGATAGGTCGAGCCTATCGAAACAACGATCGAGAAGAAGGTTTTATTCCGGAAAATCTCGCTGACTTCGAAATGCGGGTGATCTTTCAAGTCTTCCTGAACCGACTTCACCGTGACAAATACGGCGGCGAAGGACAGGTAACACATGATGCCAATCCAGAAGTACACCATGGTCATATAGAACTTGTTGGACCCGCCGGGGCGATTTCCCAGCGCCAGCACGAAGCAAGTGACCAGAGTTGCGAGGTAGAGCCATTCGAAGACAATTCCCAGGATCTTACCCACCGTACCCAAAAGATTGGATGCGCCCAAGTAAGTCGTCAGGATGTGGAAAACCAGGAAGAAATTACCGATACCGAACCAAGCGAAGATGATGGCAATCGTTTGATAGATGAACTCGATCATCAGCATGAACTTGCGCAGGAAGCTGTGGTCACTGCGGAAGACCTGGTAGAAGTGGGTGATGGCGTAGATGGCAGCGAAGAAACTGCCATTCAGCCAACGACGTCGTTGCAAGATGAACTCGGCCATTTGATCAGGCACATCCGTCTCACCAGTTGACGACTTGACGTATCGCAGGAGCCACCGGCATTTCCGCTTCGTCACAATCTCGAAACAGAGAATGCGGTCCTCGGCCAGGTACATGTTCGCAGTGAAAATACCGGCGTTGGCGCCGTGCATCTTCTCACCCATGAAATATCGCTCCAGTGGACCCTGACCGTTCTTGTCGTTTTGCAGAGCAACATACCGGTAGGCGGAGAAGGCACCGGGCAGCACGGTGATGAACCCAAACGCAGACTCCAGGGGCTTATCCAGGATGTTACTGAGCTTGTACTCAAAGTTCTGGCCGGCCACCAGAGGGTTCAGCAATTTCTTGCCATGCGACAGCATGACCTTGATCTCTCCACAGCAGCCACCGCACATGGGCTCGACATCAAAGGCCTTCCACAGGTGGTAAACCGAGTCCTTGCCGGGCTTGGTACCCGCATCCAACAAAACACAAATATTGGGATCGAGCACACGACCGAAGGCCTGGAAGAACCAGCGATGCGAGTTGATTTTCTTCTGGTTCTTTTCCTTCAGACAAAAAATCATCTGCACGGGGGGTCCCGATCGCGGCTTCAGATGGACCTGTTCGCCCTTCAGCTCGATGCCCACCTGCGTCGTGTACTCGTAAATGTGCGCCGTCACGTCCTTGCCATTGACCTGCTGTTTGGCGATACCGTCCTGGTACACACCCAGACCGGCCAGCACAGCCCGAGTTCGGGGGTTGATCTTAGCACGACCGTCACTAATCACACACACCACAATCTTCTTCCAAGCATCCTTGCCCCATGTCTTGCTGCTGGTGCGCGAGCACATGTGTTCAATGTTCTTGAAGACACCGGTCATGGTGCGCGCGAACAGGAAATCATCCTCATTGTACATGGTGACTGCGATGAACAGCTCCGTGTGGCGCGGCTTGGCGAACAGCTTCTGGCGCAGCGTGAAGCGCTCTTCGAAGAATTGAGCCGGGTCACAGGTGGCCGCCGAATAGCGCATGTGGGTGAACTCATCGCGGCCCGGAGGCTCGGCGTGCGGCACCTGGCTGAGCAGCCGCGGGGCAATGGGGCAATCCAGCACGAGATTGCCGTTGAACAGCTGAACTTCCTTGACCGTCTTCCAGCGCCGAATGGGCGCCGGGCTAGGGGTTGGCCGCTCGTCTTGAAACTCATCTCTGTATGGATCTGGCCCCTCAAAGGGGTTTTGAGATTGCCCCAGCATAGGAGCGTTGGGGTCCTCAAACGGAGTATGCCCACCTTCTGGATATTGTCCCAAGTCGTAGTCCTCCTGCGGTGTATGAGTGGGCTCGTACGGCTGGTTGTAGTATGCGTCATGGTGGGCGTTCGGGTCGACCGCGTACTCGTAACCGGGGTAGTGACCTCCATGTGCTTCGTACATTTCGTTGTGGCCGTAGGAGCCGTGGATATTCTCAACGGAGTACTGCCCATCGGCACAGCAATTAGTTTTTATTCCATCCCAAAAATGTCCCCTGTCCAGACACTTACGGTTGGTTGCTCGGCCAAGCGATCAGTGGATGGCATAGGCAGATGACCGCTGTGGCCGTATGGATTGTCCGACAGCTGGTAGGCTTCCAACGGCCGGCCGGGGGAAGGCGTGCGGGCACTTGGGTGGTGAGGGTTCATCATGGGCGAACGATTCTGGTCCCCAAAGGGATCTGGCGAGCGCGAACGTCAGTATTCAATATTGAGGAACTGCGCACAGCACAGCGGTCGCGCGAGTCGCAGGGTGACGATGTTCTGCAACGGCGGAGGGTCCCGCAGTCCAGCAAGCACATGAAAAGGGGAACTGCACTGACCGACACGATTATACGACATAGCGGGCGACTATGCCTCGGAGATATTGAGTTTGGCAAGTTTCAGAGAAGGATCAGGGAAACACCCCTAAGTTCCTGGCCAGGGGCTTGTCGGATGGAGATTGCGCCAGGAGGGCCCGGTGGAATGTTGACTGGGGGAGGCTCGGCGCGGTTTCAGGACTGAGCTCCGATAGGCCCAACGATGATGATCTCCCCGACTGAGTGTTTCGGACAGCGGAGTGCGAGAGGAAATGCGACCAGCAGATTCGCAAGGAGGTGAGTAGTTAGTTGGAGACCCCAGAATCGCGTTCGTATTCTGAGATTTTGGGTGTTGACGACGCCTTCAATGGCTGAGGCGTGTGGAGCAGCAAAACGAATGAGAGAGAGCCAAGGATGACCCGCAGTGGATCGATCCTCGAGGCGAACGTGAGAGAGAGAGAGGGAGAGAACCAAACGAGTGTCCGTGCCTGGAGGAACTAGTGTCTGTACCGCTGAGAAGAGAAAAAGCCCACTTTTATTGGCGCTGAAACACGCGATCCGTGGATCGTCACTGGACGGTCACTGGGCCAACGAGCCTGCGCCACTCTTAGGTAAGGCTGTGGCGGACACTCTTTTTTTAGAATGGACCGCAGGGCAGGCTGCTGGATTCTTTCCTACCAGGTTGGTTGGTTATTGGCGTGGCAATCAGATAATAAGACATCCCAGGACTAGTCGATCGGAAGATATCATCTGCACGTCAAGCACATGTTAGACAAGATGCACCCTTGGTCCGGGTGGCAACCAAGGCAAGGGGGTAGAAGGGCATGGCTTCCTGCCTGAGGTGTCAACCCTCTTTGGTGTAGACCATCAGCGACGACAAGGCTGATTCGTCAACACACTATCTATTGCACAGCCAAAACTTCACCACGGTCCACCTGGATGCTTAGATACACCCAGCTGTGGGTTCCTTTGCCGATAAGCTTAGCGCAGATAATGCGAAAAGTAGGCTATCATTGCGTCGGAGCTTTGCTGGTACCAGTCAAGCTACTGCTTTGCGGAAGAGAGTCGAGCTGATTGAATTGGCCACCCGGCGTAGGGCTGACGTGCATGATTTTGGCATCGAACATCTTGGTCGTACTCCTACGGCGCAGCGTGTCTCCTCCTCTTTGAACCGTCGCTCGCGCTGATACTTTTCGTCCGGTTGGCCTTGGCCACCTCTCGAATAGACTTTATCTGCTGAACACCGCTACTACTCCACGAGGGCGCCCACCTAGGACGGTAAATTGAAGTTGATTTTTCTATTATATCACGGCGCCCCCGTGGAACTATTTGCAAAATAGATATACACTCGGCAAATATTAAATGAACCCGTGTTTAGCATTTACCCGGCGGCTGGAGCCATCGGACCCTGCTAGCCCGAGCTCGGTCAACCCCGCGATGCGCGTCAATAAAAATATCGGACTACTAAGCCATTCCATCTACACAAGAATTCCAAGATGGAGGTAGCGGATGATCAAAAAGTCCGAACAATATTACTTTACTAGATTATCATTTCATGCATCGCTGACCACCTCGCGGTAGACCATCAACGAGCTCCAAGCGAGCTGGATCTGGACCCCCGACTGGGTCGATTCCTCTCCCGACAATACCGCTGGTCGAATCGTCCACTTCACTCGGACCGTCAATCTCTCGTCCCGACCGTCTCGGGCACTGCTGCGCTTTTCTGCTGACACCCGATACAAGCTATTCGTCAATGGAGTCCGCGTCGCCGTTGGACCGACCAGGAGCAGTCCGCTCATTTGGTACTATGACACCCTGGATATCGCGCCATTCCTGAATACCGGAGAAAATGAGATTCGGTTCGTGGTGGTCCGGTACTTTGCAGCCTCGCGCAGTGCGATGCCGTTTGAGAGGACGTTAAGGCCCGGTTTGACGGTTGTCGGCTGCGTGGAGGCAGGGAGCGAAGTCGTGGAGCTCAATTCGGGACAGGGCTGGCAGGCCCAAGTGGATGAGGGCATTCGCTTCCCGATGGGTTTGGCGGACGACGTGTTTCTTCATGTACGTGCTCACATGAACGCGCTCTTGTCATTTTCTAACTTGTCACAGATCAGCGAACGTATTGTGCCCACACCTCCTGCTCCCAAAGTGACTCCGACGGCATATGGTATCAAGACACTGAATGGAGACATCCCGCCTTGGAACCTGCGCCCACGCGCCATTCCGATGCCAGAATCGAGCCGCGCTGTGGTTAATACTGTTCGAGCATGCGAGAGTACTGCGTCCGTGGACGACTGGACAGGCCTTCTGTCTAGTGATCGGCCACTAACCCTTCCCGGGGGCTCTTCGCACATGGTTGAGTTGCAAGCAGATGTTCACTCGACTGCATTTGTCCGATGGACCTTTAACGGAAGCTCACACGTCCACCTTCGCGTGACGTACTCAGAGGGATACGAACTTGAGCCTCGCTCGTACCCATTCTTTCGGTCCAAGGCTGATCGGCTGGACTCCAAGAATGGGCAAATAGTTGGCCCATATGACGAGGCAACGCTGAATCTGACGGGCGAGCAAAGCGTCGTTTATGAACCGTTCTGGTTTCGAACTTTCCGTCTGCTGAGACTTGAAATCACCGTTGGACCGGAGCCCGTCGAGCTCCTGCAGTTCGAGGCTACCCAGGTCAATTATCCCATGGCAGTGAAGGCTACCTGGAACGAGCCTGGCGACCAAGTTACTAAACAAATCTGGGATGTGTCCATCCGAACGATGCGAAACTGCATGTTCGACGGCTACTCCGACTGTCCTTTCTACGAGCAGCTTCAGTATTCCGGTGATAGTCGCTCGGTGGGCCTGTTTCACTACCTCCTTTCTGGCGATGACAGACTCATGAGACAGGCCATCACCAACTTTGCAGCCTCGGTCACACCAGAGGGTCTCACGCAGTCCAGATTCCCCTCTCATGTTCCACAAATCGTCGCTGGATTCTCCCTGTATTGGATTCTACAGGTATGCGACCATCACCTCTTTTTCGGTGACAAGAAGTTTGCCCGTGGCTTTGTGCCTCGCATCGATGGTGTTCTCGACTTCTTTGATTCTCATATCGATGATCTGGGTCTGGTCAGCGGACTGCCGGAGGCTGTATGGCAGTATGTAGACTGGGTTACCACATGGGGTGCGACTGAGGAGCACGCGGATAAGGGTGTGCCAACCGCAGGCCGCAAGTCAAACAGACACACATACTTCAGTATGCTGTATGCCTACGTCCTTCAAAAAGCAGCCCAGCTTGTCCGTGATGCTGGGCGTCCCGGTCACGCAGACGAGTACGAATCGCGAGCCGCGTCGCTTCTCAAAGCAATCCGAACTCATTGCTACGACGGAGCATTCTTCACAGACTCGACGGCCAACATTACAGAGGATGGGGCCTTTTCTGAACACTGCCAGGTCTTCGCAGTTCTGTCGGGCGCTGCTGCACCCGAGAGTTGCGCATCGCTCTTAGCTCATTCGCTTGGCAACCCGCATTTCTCCAAGTGTTCGTATATGATGCGTTTCTACATGCTTCGAGCACTCTCGATGGCTGGCGATGATGTTTACGAAAGATATTGGGACTCCATGTGGGTCCCTTGGCGGCAGATGCTTGCGAATAACCTCTCAACTTGGGAAGAGGATGATGTACGACAACGCTCTGATTGCCATGCCTGGGGAAGCGTGCCCATCTATGAGTACTGTACCGAGCTAGCGGGCATTCAGCCTATTGCCTCGGGGTGCACGAAAGTACTCTTCAAGCCTCGTCTTCGTCTGAGCGCGGCCCTGGAGGCAAAGATCGCCCTTGGTAGGGACAATCTTGCTACGGTATCTTGGCAGACTGGCGACAGTGGTGAGAAACAAGTCACACTACGGCTTGAGAAAGCTGTGGTTGTCATCAGCCAACTCCCCGGAGGATTAAAACAGGACCATGGAGTCGTCGACTCTATCAATCTAATGTACAAAGAAGGATTTATATAGATACTTATCACAGGCGACGTGAGCACATTTTTGGAATAGAAAGATTAGAAAGCCTGGATTATGGGACCCGTGAAATATAGAGAGGGTTGAATGTATATATCTCAATTCAAAGATGACGCAAGCGATCTACACGTACTACTTCAACAGAGATTATTTTCGAAAGAAAATGTCCAATTCTCTCTACCTTGCATACGTCACATGTGCAGCATTCTCGGATAATTCTTCCCGGCCCTAAGCCGTGGCTGTCAACTCCCTTGCATGATGCTGCTCATCCGCGTGTATCTGCACCTCGGTGACATATCCCTTGAATTTACGAAGGGAAACTCTATTTTCGAACCTGTTCCCCAAAAATGTTAGCTCATCGCAATAAAATGGCACATCAGCTTCAAAGCTGCTAGTACTTACATCTCATCAATTTCAGCAGGTGTGCGACGCGTCACCTCAGGGAGAATAAACCAAGCAATGACCACAGCAATGGCACCCGTTGCCGCAAAGCTGAAGCAAAGTAATCATCAGCATTTATTCTCGAGAGAAATGCTCCCATGCTTACAAGAAACCCGTCTTCACACCCCATTGGGTAACAGTCCCATTAATCATATCGGGCGTGGTAAAGCTAAACATAATCGCAACTCCATTGGACAAGGCCAAAGCCCAGCCCGTTGTCTGGGCACGCAGGCGCTGCTGAGGAATTTCAGCGGCGTACGCATAGCCAATGGCTGATGCGCCGGTGGTTGAGAATGTGGCCAGGCAGGCGAAGAAGATCTAGTCCGAAACTGTCAGTTGGTATTCCGGAGAATATTAACCCGGATGTTTGTTTCTTACCAGAAGCGAGCTCAATGCTGGCTTGGTATAGTCGAAGCAGCCGACGACACCCAGACATAGCAGTGATATGCTTGTGATCGCGTAGGGGTAGACTGTAAGCGGGCGGCGGCCGAATTGATCGGTCAGCGCGGCTGTGAGGATCATCGAGATGAGCTGAACACAAGACAGAATCATGGTAACCTGGAACGGATCCTTGAATCCGGCATATTGGACTTGGAATTGCAGTTAGAGACGCGTGATATGCATGGAGGGTAAGGAATTCAATTACAGAAATATGTGGCGTAGGTGTTGAATACGGCAAGACCAACAAACTGTTGCGCAATCTTGGGCCAACCAGCAATGATAAAGCGGATGAGATTGCGTCCTCGGAAGATAGCCCATCTATCTTCTTCCCTGTTGCGCTCGGCAACGCGGCGCTCCTCTGCAACTGTTGCGGTCATTACTTCCTGGAACGACCGTTAGCATGGTTCTACCTTAACAATAGAGGGGGTTCATACAATTTGCTCATCAACGCTGTACTCCTTGACGTTGCCGTTGTATCTCTTCAAGATCTTGGCTGCTTGTTCGAGCTTGCCCTTGCTGACGAGCCACCATGGCGACTCCGGGAGAAGCACGAAGATTAATCCTATTGCGCCAATCATCGCCCACTGAATTTCACAAACGAGTCAGTTTAACTAAACGCACAACTCATGGTTGGATTTCAACTAGCCTGCGTATAGATAGGTGTACGGAAATTGTACGGGTCCACCGCGTTGAGCTGGTTGAGCGCTACCGAAGCGAAGATCTGGCCAATGACAAACCAACTAATCATGTCAGACTTGTCCATTTTCAAAGGAGTCTCATACTTACAAGCTGTAGGCGTTGATATATAGACCTCGGAGCTGAGACGGAGAGATCTCTGATAGGTAAAGAGGCATAGTAGACTGCAACATGCCAACGCCCATGCCGGAGAAGAGCTTTGCGACAAGCCAGTGGTCCCAGCGAGTAGCAAAACTCTCGATGAAAATGCTCTAATACCAGCAGACAGGTCAGATATCTCTATCAAAAAATGGTAGCCAACGCAAAAACCGGCACTTACCACGACCAGGTCGACAAAGATAATGTATAACGCAACCTTTCGTCCGTACGCTTCGGTGACATATTGGAGGAGCTTGAGAAACTTTTAGATCATCTGTAAAACCACCAGGACACAAGAAGCCATACGATTTGGCCGACTGTCTGGCCGGCTGACTGGATCCCTCCCCACGCTGAAACATATTTTCCTTGAATGATCGTAGTGCCCTCGGTTGCCATCTGGCCAATAAACCCTTTGTTCGACACGATTCCACCGTTCAGGTTAATTTCTGTTCGAGCCAGTCAGACCATCATTCTCTGCTATGAAACTGTTCCAGATGCCTTACGGTACCCATCGAGCGATGCACTGAACGCTGCAGCCATCGCAACTAGGGATACAAGCTTGAATTGTTTCACACTCTGCCACACGGTAAAGTCGTCTACTTTAGACCGCATAACAGGTCGCTCCTTGGAGATCATGTCAGGCTCCAGCTGTGTGGAGACATGCTCGATCGCTTCGCTGTTCCCCTTTGCCAGATCCATCGTATATGAATGTGCATAGGTTGGGCGTCAAGCTGCCCCGTGGGGAAAAATTGGACTCCAGGCTTTATAACCAACATCTTTCGACCCGCTACCCTACAAGAAAGAGGGCTTGGCTTGAGAGCTCCTGTGGGCTTTAGTCTCAAACAATCCTAAGGCCGGAAAGTGCTATGCGTATTTACCGTGGAAGGGCATCGGCTAGCTGCGAACCAACAAATCGGTTAATTCGCTATCTTGTACCCACTAATTATCGGCGTTTGATTGAGAGCTCAATCGCCGCTGGGATATTCACTAGCAATCAGTTGACTGGACCACTATTCCGAGTTCTGGGGAAACTCGGTGTTCTTTACCCCGAGTTAAACTGGCTCTATGCGGACTTGTCTTTTAGGCTGCCGTACTCGAACCATAGAAGCGGGTAAATCTTTAAGCATGTCAGGATCGCTTACATCTTGTATGAAGTACCCAAATATTTGAGAATATGTTCTTCGTCTAGGACTATTGAACAGCTCTCATAATTTTGGTCATCATTTTCTAGCCTATATCATGGCTTGAAAAATTCGAAGAAACACTTGACCAACCACGATATATAATAGTGTCCTTACGATTTATCTTCCAAGTATGGTTACTCAGGTCTATTGTTATCCGAACTGGATAATCAACAGCTAAAACAAGAATAAAGTTAGCCAGGTCCGACTCCCTTTTTAAAGGTAGATCAAAAGCGCCTCCGAGGCCCCAACAGTAAATGTTGCTTTCCCAGCGGAGACGGTAGCAGTCTCTATCGTTTCTGTTCCCTGGATAGTACAGGTTCCATTCTCAAACGTCTGACCAGCAACGGTCGGATTTTCACCCTCATCAACCCGAGAAGTAGCATAAGCAGCAGTCAAACGCTTGCCTGTGACTTCAGACGCAGACAAACCAGTCAGTGTAAATGTTTGTGTGGGTCGAGTGCCACTGGCATAGTACTCGGAATTATAGAGGAGAACCTTGGCCGGGGAACCCGCCTTGTATATAGCGTAAGCCGCATATGGTGTATCCTGGGCGTCCAACGGAGCAATTTGGTCTGCATTTGCCAACGCCATGGATGCAAAATAAGCACCATAGTAAGGTGAGCCCATGTCGTACCTGCCCCACCAGCAGTATTGGCCTGTTGATTGAGAGTGAGCGAGGACAATACCACGAGTCAGAAGATCACCTACAATCGCCAATTGTTCCTTGGTGGAAATACAAGGCCTGTAGATGGCAATCGTTAGCTACGGATATTGGTTTTCCAAGTGCGAGCCTTATACCTCGGTGCCCATGAGAAGGGTCTGCATGACATAGTCTAGGATCCAGAGACCAGCACCAAAAGTTGGACTAATACCACCTCCGCCTTGCGTTGCTAGTGTAGATGTTAAAAAACCTAGTCTCGCTTAATGGAGAGGAGACATACCGGAGTTGGTCTCTCCAAAAATATGCGGCTTGCCCTCACTTGCCGCGGCGGAGACCTCGGAGACAAAAGGCTCGATTTGCGATGCAATCTCACTGTGACCCATGAGGGTTGACAAATTGGCCGTACTGGCTGACTGCGGATAGTTATGCGAGCAATAGTCCTTAACATAGGAATTTGCGCTGCCCTCCCGAGCAGTCAGTCCAGCGATGCTCATCGGCGAGGTTCCAAAGTAGACACCCGCAGAGATGAGGTCCGAGGCAGATAATTTCCCGCACACTTCAGTCTGCCATGATACCTGGGACGAGTAGTCGGCAGAGGCAGTCCATGACTCCCCATCAGCGATGGGATCACTGCTTGTGAAGACTGTTATACGTTCGAATTAGCTTATTTGGCAGTTAACCAGGATATTGAAACGGACAGTTTGGCTCGTTACCAAGCTCAATAGCATATAAGTTTTCCATGTTTGTATGAGCAAGAGTTGCAGCGGCGATGGTGTTGGATATATTATCCAGGCGACGATTGAGACCCAAAATCACATCTCCAGCGTAGGTGGAAGCGAGGGAGACGAATGACGGGCCAAAGGTAAGTGTGTCTGGAGCATCATCTGGACTGGCTACAGAGTAGTTCACTGCTTGATTCAAAGATGGATCAAAGGTTGCTCGATCCCTGCTTCTAGTTAGCAACGGTCTGTCAAAAGTAGCTTTCATCACATACTGAGTTGTGCCTCCGATTCGCAAGGGCGGCCAGGTTCCCGTCAGGTCTTTCAAATTCTGCAGGCAGGTTGTAGTGGACGCGACATCATTCATGTATGCGGGAAATGTGAAGAATTCCAGACTACGATATAAGCATCTGTTCGTTACGGAATTGGGAATCAAGCAACTTACGAAACACCAACTGGCGCTGCAGAGAGCTGCCCGCTCGAGTTTGATGGCGGCGTTGCGGGAACATTGAAAGTCAATCCTGCAGCTGAAGAAAGACAGCTCGAAAGCCAAACAGAAAAAAGTAATAGAGCCATTGTTAGCCACTAGGCTGATGATTGATAAATTCCGAGCAGTGTGCAATTAACCTCTCGAGTCCGTAGTGAGGTTTGTTCTAACCACGCTGTTGATCGGTCTATGCTAGATCCGTTGCGTTCAAAGCCCGACCTAAGTAGGATGCAATTAACCGCTTACCATAGGCAGGGCCTTGCTCCAACCTAGGCTCCACTGGTTAAAACAACCAACTAATTCCTCCGCATCATCCGTCCATGGTCGGTTCACGTTATCCCGAAGTTTTTCCGTGGCGTCGGAAACCTTACGTCTAGCTTCACAGAAAATACCTTCAGAATGTTGACTATTTCGGCTTTTATCGATAGTATTCCTGTGTATGTATCCCCCCGCCTACATCGCGCAGATCATTTAAACTCAGAAGGGCAATTCTCCGGAGGGTCAATTCCCGAGCCAAATAATGAGATATTAATACCAACGCTATCCTGCTTATGGATTTGACAAAAAATTTACGGAGCCAGTTCAGAAAATCAAGGATGCTGTCATGAATAGTTCAATTACGATTTCGCCACTGCGTTGGAATCTAGAGGAATCATATAGTATGTTCTAGGATAGAAATAAATCCAACTATATCCTCTTTCTCTTTCAATCCAGCAACGCCAGGGACGATACCCCTTCCCACCGAAAAATATTGCCCGACACGATTGGAACATTGGACCGACTGCCCTAAACAACTGTCAGAACTCTACAGTTCCGTCTACAGTCACTTCCAGCTGGACCCAGGGGGGGGGCACGTCTATTCCCGTCTCTGCTTAAGTTAGAAGGACTAGGCCAACGTCTTGTTCGCAAGCCACTCAGCGGTGAGCAAGATCCTAACAGCGAAGTGAACCTAGAAGTAAGATATACCAGATACAACATTCCAGATCAAGGATCTGTCTGTGACGTCGAGGTAAGTCTGGTGCTATAACTTACGAAAGCAATTTATATGGCTTTGTATGGTCGTTATGTCGTTTTATCTTATTTTGTCGTTGTAGGCACGCTAGTCGGTGTTGGGCTGTCTTCTTGGTAGGGTGTTGGGCCACTGAATCCCTGGAGGCACTCTCTGCGCGTCTCGTCGTCATTCTTGGAGACATTTCGTGTGAGATCTCTATTAGGCAAAGCCGGAAAAGAGAGCAACCAGAATTGTATTGTTAGAACCCTGAATGTGAACGAGGAACTTAAGACCAGAACAAATGATAAGCCGCAAGGCGGTGGAGTCGATAACGATACTGCCGGTTTCTGTCAGGCTCAATTGCTTCTCCTCCAGCGCACCAACACACAAACACACACACAATGGCCTCCGAACCGACTGGACGCCCCGCGAGCGTTCTCTTTGTCTGCCTCGGCAATATCTGTACGCCCATTCTCTCTGCCTATCAACGCGCCCACCAACCCATACTGACCCAGCGTAGGCCGCTCCCCCATGGCTGAAGGCGTCTTCCGCAACCTCGCCGCCTCGCACCCCTCACTAGTGAGCGAGATCGACTCCGCCGGCACAGGCGCCTACCACACAATGGAACCCCCCGACTCACGCACGATGTCCACGCTCCGCCGGCACGGAATCACAAACTACAACCACGCAGCGCGCAAAGTCACCAAGGAAGACTTCCTGAACTTCGACTACCTCCTCGCCATGGACGAGTATAACCTGCGGGATCTGCTGGATACGCGGGAGTCGGTCATTAGGTCGGTGAAGAGAAAGTCTGGTATGCTTGCTGCCCCCTTGTCACACTCTCGAGTTACCCGGGCAGGCGCTGAGGCGGCGATTGCAGAGCGGGCCGCGGGTGCGAAGGTTGCGGATGTGCGGCTGTTTGGAGATTTTGGGGCTGGAGGGAAGCTGCACGCTCGTGTTGGCGGTGGGGAGGTCGTGCAGGATCCGTATTATGGTGGTGCGAATGGGTTTGAGGAGGTTTATCGGCAGGTTGAGCGCTTCTCGCAGGGTTTCCTGGATTATCTGGAGAAGAACGCTGCAGAGTAAGTGGGTGGGCTGGTTTGTTTGCTCTGATACCCGGTTACGATTTGCATGGAGATAGATCCAGGGCATAGATGAAGACATGATATGAGGATATTATACACGATGGATCGGTCAGACCTTCTCGGTGATCTTGATGGCAGTCCTGCATCCCAGACGGATCACATCCACCAGCGGATCATACGGCTTGGCCTCTTTCGCGTCGTTGGCCACGGCATGATCCAGATGCTCGAGTTCCTCGTCACGGATCCGGCGGAAAGTCGACAGCATCTCCTTGAGCTCTTCGTCCAACTCCTCCCCACGCCGCTGGGCATCCGCCTCCCACGAGAGGATCTCTCTCACCTGATCATTGTAATGCGATCCGATCTCCGTTTCGACGGCCTCGGTGCACGCCATGGCAGCCTCCCGGCCCAAAGCAGCAGTCGACCACCCTAGAAACGTCGCCGCCACCTCCCAAACGGGATACATGGCCGTCGGGCGGATTTCATGTTTCGCGATGAGCTGGTTGAAGGTCTTGAAGTGGCCTGCTTCCTGATCGTACATGTGTTTCATGAGGGGCCGGAGGTGTGGATGCGAGCGGACAACCTGGGGCGTTTGGGCCTTATAGATGAGTGTTGCGGCGAGTTCACCAGCTTGATTAACGCGAAGGGCGCTGTCGAGGAACTCGCGCTGTTTCTTGCTGAGCACGTAGCGCGGTTTGGAGCTGCCGGGTGAGCCGTGTTCGGTCGAGGCATGGCGGCGTTGGTAGCGGTGCAGGGTCGAGGGCGCGAGGAAGTCGAGGAAGAGAGGCGATGTGGCTCGTCGGCAAGTCTGCCAGGCGCATCTGCGCAGGACGGGGAGTGACTCCATGAGAAGAATAATGTTGATCGCTCAGTCAAGGAAAGTTGAAGGTACCGCTTAGAAAGAAAAGGCTTGGCGCGCTTGCGGCATTCCCGCGAAGTGATCGGAACGGCAAAAAGGACAGACACTTCCTTCACTCTACCCACCACCATCCACGATCGTGTCTCTGCGATCATTGTTCGGCTCTCCTGTTGTTTATCTGGGCGTCGCATCTTTGCTCTTGCGCCTGGGGGATCATCGAGTGCCAGTCGCTGTGCGAATCGTGGCGACGCCTCCCTGTCCGGTGGAATCGCCTCAACCTCGAATCGCTGCCTGGGTGAGGGCAAAGCCAGTATCTGGTATATAATTCACCTGGTACCTGGTATATATATACATCTATATATATCTTTATAACAAGGCTGCCTGCGAGACGAGAATCGACGGACATTCACCATGGCGGACGATCTGGATGCTGAGCTGCTGGCGCTGGCGGGGGATTCGGAGGAAGAAACCTCTCCCCAGCCAAAAGACTCCCCAGCACACTCTCGTTCTTCCCGCTCTCCACAACGAGACCACTCTCCCGCAAACATGGGTCGCAAGGGAACCGCCAAACCGATTCGCCGCAAGGCCGTGAAAGAGGAGGACGGCGAGGTGTATGCATTGCCCCCCCACCTTCTCAATAGGGGGAGTACCCTATTGAGAACAACATTCACTGACACTACTTGTCCAATTAGATCGGATGCCGACTCTGCCCCCATGTCCGAGTCCGACTCTGAATCTGAAGGCTCAGCCGTTGTGGACGAGGACGGTCCCATCTTCCCTTACGACAAGCTGTACTACTCGGCCCAAGACAAGATGGAGATCATGGCCATGCCCGAAATCCAGCGTGAGGAACTGCTGTCTGAGCGTGCGCAGCAGGTCGATCGCCACAACCAGGACCTGGCGCTGCGCCGTCTCTTGGCGTCGCGTGAGCGTGACGAAGCCCGTGCCGCTGCGAAGAAATCCAAGCGCAAGGCTACCTCAGCAGGGCTAGATGAGAACCAGCGCAAAAGTTCCCGCCAGAAGACTACACTGGGCGGCCGCAAGGTTGGAGAGACGTCCGACGCCATTGAAGCCTACAAGCGCCAGCGCGAGCAGAAGGGCAAACGTGATGAAGCCCGTCGCCGTGATCCTGTGCAGCCAGGACGTCGTGCTCGCTCCAGGCTCTCCGTCTCTGATGACGAAGGCGAAGCCGACAGTGATTTCGAACTGGACAACCGTATCGATCGCTCCCCCTCCGCTCCCAAGGACGACCCTCCTGCTGATCTCCGGGATATCGACCGGGCCCGTGTTGGTCGCAGCAACTTTGCTCAGGTCTGCTTCTACCCTGGATTCGAAAATGCCATCACCGGTTGCTACTCTCGTGTCAACATCGGCCCCAACCGCGAGACCGGTCAGAACGAATACCGCATGTGCTTGATTACTGGCTTCGCTGACGGCAAGCCCTATGCCATGGAGGCTGCGAATGGCCGCCCCTTCATTATTGAGAAGTACGTGAAATTGGCTCATGGAAAGTCTGTGCGGGAATTTCCTTTCATCGCCTGCTCAGATTCGCACTTCACCGAGGTTTGTCATTTGCTCTCCAACATATGTACGCCCACTAACCTCCATCCAGGCCGAGTTCAACCGCTACCACAAGACCATGGCTGTGGATGATTGCCGGATGGCCACCCGGTCTCGCGTGGCTGCCAAGGTCGGCGACATCAACCGCCTCATCAACCACAAGTTCACCAAAGAGGAGCTGAGCGAGAAGCTGCGCAAGCAGAACCAGTACGACCCCAAGCGCAACCTGATCAAACGCATGGATCTCGAACGCGAGGTGAAGCTCGCCCAAGGGGACGGAAACACTGAGAAGGCCGAGTCCCTGCAGAAGGAGCTGGACCAGCTCGTCAACCCGACGCTCTCGTGGGGCACGTCGCTCTTCAACGCCGCGGCCGAGAAGCCCGCTGAAGCGGACAAGGTCCACCAAATCAACCTGCGCAACCAGAAGCTCAACTACGAGAACGTCCGCCGTGCCCAGCTCGAGGAGCGCAAGGCCGCCCGTAAGGCCGCCGCTGCCGTTGCTCGCGGTGAGGCCGCTGCCGATCCGTTCATGCGCGTGCGCACCATGGCCAAGACACATCACGACGTTAGCGGGAAGATCCAGCAGCCCCTGAAGCCTGCGGATTCGACTCCGACCGACACGCCTTCGCCGGCTACCAAGGTGGCCAACACCGCTAGTCCCGCACGCGTGGCTACGCCCGGCTCCAGCCAGACTCCCAAGAAGTCCAAGAGCGGATTCATGATCAGCTACCGCAACACGGATGACGAGAACATCGCGGCTCTGGATATGGACATTGATATTGACATCTAAGACTGTACCATTGTTCACGCTGTGCTCTGCTTTGCCTGGCCATCGAGTTGATTGATTGGCTCTGTGGCGATAGACAGGGAATCCAGCGTTGACACTTTCTTCTCTTCTTTTTCTCGCTTGTTAACAGCCGGGACATGGCGCGTGGTTTTTTGTGGCGTCTCTTTTTTTTTTCTTTTCTATTATTGTGCACGGGGGCTTTTTGTATTATGAGAATACCGGCAATGGAGCATGAGCACAGAATTACATAGGGCATCCAAAATGATTATGTTGATAATGAATCCAGCCTGATAAGCGATAAGCCAGCCCTCACGTGTTCAGTTGCCGGTCAACGCGAGGCACGCGCGTCGATTAACTATGCGCCCTTGAACACATTACTTCCTTCCTGCCCAACTTCTCCTCATACTTTCTAACTCCCCCAATTGTGTGCAAGATGACCCGTTTCCTCTAATTCACACCCTAATCTATTGTCTACTTACCTTCCAGAATGTCCACCCCTTCCACGCCGCGGTCGACGCGCTCCGCGTCCTCGGCGGCCGGGTCGCCCAACATTCTCACGCCAGGCCAGAAGATCAAGGCCATGATGGCTGCGTTCGACAGCGACTCAGAGGGGGAGCCTGTTATGTCGAAGTCGAGATCTTTTTTCAACAAGCCTGATTTCGGTCGCACCCGCACCACCCAAGAGACGCGTCAGTCTTCTGACGAGGAAGATGAAGATGATGAGGTGGCCGTGCCTAGAGGTCGTATGGCTGCGAGATTACAAGGAAACACGACGAATGGGGACGCGTCTGGTTCTAAAGGCGAAGAATCGGCGTTCGTTCGATTGTCCAAAGCTCTGCGGACGGAGCGAGACCAGGCTCAGAAACCTACACCTGACAAGGAAGAGCCTGTTTTCGTGCACGAGTCGAGTGATGATGACCTCCCTGCGGCTGGACCGAGAAGGAGAAACAATGCCGGTCTGGAAGAGACACCGGAGCCGGAGAACGAGTTAACCCAAGCGTTGTCGCCCACACGGGAATTGTCCCCTCTCTTCGTTTCGGCGTCGGCACAAGACAACACCGATAGCCCGGCCAATGCCCACTCGACAAAAGAGTCTTTCAAGAAAAATGCTCGGTTCCTCGCCCTCGTCGCACAAAAGCGCAAGGAGCGCGAGGAGCGCGAGGCGATCGAGGCTGAGAAGAAGGCCGCTCGACGTGCACAGATGGAGCAGTTCAGTTCGGAAATCTTGTCTGGCGAGGAGAGTGCCGCCGACGAGGATCCGGAATCCGCTAGGAAGTTGACCCAGCAGACCCGTGCGCCTCGCAAGGCCAGCAAAAAGGCTCTGCAGGAGATGAGGGCCGAGACGCAGCGCATGAGTCGAAACATGCAATTGGCCCATCAAGCCCAAACCAAGAAGAAGATCACCAAGGACAGCCTTTTCGCTCGCTTCAACTTTATGCAGCCAGAGACTTCCGCCGAAGCTGAGCCCGCTGCCGCCAACTCATCCTCCACCGCTGGATCGCAGCCTGGCTCTGATGGAGAAGGTCCTCATAAGAACAACGACACTCCCCAGACTTCACCAGTTGTCGCTCCCTCTGACAAGGAGAAACCAACTACCAGTGGCAGTACCGCTGTGGATCGTAACGTTGGCAGCGCGGCTGACATGGAGGCCTTGATGTCCGAGGATATCCCTGATCTGCCTGTCTTGGAGGAAGCCATGCAGCTGGATGCAGAGGAAGCAGATGCGTCCAAGGAGCTAGTTATCGACAACGCAAAATCAGAACCGCAGTCAGCATCGGCCAAGAAAGCACCTTACCAGTTTACCCACCGACCTATTCGCGTCATGTTTACCCGGCAACAACTGGCGCAGCATCAAGCGGAGGATGATTCGGACACCGACTTGGAAGTCGTGACGTCGCCTGCCAAGTGTCGACGGATCGCTGCATTCGAGAACCTGTCCCAGAAGAAGAATGAGGAGTCAGCCTCCATGATCAAACTCAAGGCCTTGGCTCATCTGACTTCTCCTACACGCCAGTCCGCGTCCATGAACAACGCAGAACTGTCTGCTAGCCTGCTTTTGAAGGCACGGCAGCAGGCTGCCAAGGGTAGACAGGAGCGCATTGAAGAACTGAGAGCGAAGGGCATCGTTATCGAGACGGTTGAGCAGCGTACGGCTATGGAAGACGAGGTCGAGGATCTCCTGACGAAGGCTCGGAAGGAGGCAGATGACATCGCGCGGCAGGAGAAGAAGGAGTCAAAGCAAAACGGCAACGAGGAAGAGGATGAGGATGATGATTTCGTGCTTTCTGGCTCTGACGAGGAGGGATATGGCGCTGGCGAGGATGAAGACGATGAGGACGAGGAGAATGATGTTGCCAGTGTGATTGGCGACAACCAAGGTCTCATTGAGAAGGAGGCAGCCGAGGACGATGAATCTGCCGACGACGAGAGCGGCGACTTTTCCGCTGCAGAAAGTGACGTCCCTACATCACGGAGGAAGCGACCAACGCGCGTGCTCAGCGATGACGAGGACGACGAGCCGCTACAGCGGGAGCCGCCTTCTACACCCGTCAGACCTCCCATCAATGCAGCTGATTCTGCATCACGAACCAAAATTCCTGGATTAGAGACTTCCGACAATATGTCCATGGGTCTCACGCAGGCATTTGCGGGTACTCTAGGAGACAACGACAGCCAACCAGGCTCTGCAACCATCCCCTTTTCCCTCCCCGACCCCGGTCAACCCATTCCTCAGCTTCGACGTGACAATTCAGAAGTTCTCGTTCGAGACAGCCAAGCTCCACCTGATGAGGCCGACTTCATGGCAGATTATCGCCAAAACGTCACCCGGGTATCTGAATCGCCTGCGCCCTACTCTATCTCTGGATTCTCGCAGCTGCCCGATCCAACCCAGGATGAAGGTTTCGTCTTCTCGCCCTTTGATCCCATGAAACGTTTCAACGGTACTCCTCCAGTATCGACTGTCGATACAGTTCTCATTGGCCAGGGCCAGTCGCCCATTGCGAATCGCAAGGCTAGACATCTTCGACGTGGACGTGCAGCTGAAGCTGCCAAAGCTGACGGCGGCGACTTTGAAATCGATGCCAATGCTTTCAACGTCATGAAAAAATCTGCCAAGGCCAAGAAACAGACCGTGCCGTATGACAAGAGCAACAGCAGGGCTAAAGAGATTTTCGACGAAGCAGCGGAGGAATCTGAGGATGAATATGCTGGCATTGGAGGTGCTAGTGACGAAGAAGATGCCGAGGAAGATGCCGAGGATCGACGAATGATCAATGACAACAGCGGCGAAGTCGTTGATGAGAAGCAGCTTGCTGCGCTCAATGCGTACGTCTCATTGTTCTTGACAAATAGAATCCTAGCTAACAAGTATACAGTGTCCACCAGCGCGACCGTGATGAAAAGGACGTCGCTAAGCTCATGAGGGATATCACCACCGGAGCACTGCGTCGTCGCCACGGAGCTGACGATGACTTCGACCTCGACGACTCCGATGACGAGCGCCAGGCCCGTCGACGCGAGAAGCAGCGCGAGTTTGCCAAGATGCGTCGAGCTCTGCTTGCAGATGAAAAGGTTGGTGAGCTGGCCGATAATCCCAAGAAGGCCGCGTTCTTCAAGGCGATCGAAGACCGCGAGGAATCGTTCGATTTCAACCTGGACTTCCTCGACGAAAACCAGAGCGACTCTCAGGAGAAATCATCGCAAGACGTGCGCACTGAGGAGCAATCGAATGTGCTTGCGACAGAAAGCGCTAAGCGCAAGCGACCCCTTGAGGAGGCTACCGAAGACACTACGAACCGGCCTCCGCCTCATCTGCGTCGCACTCCCGCCACCGCAGCGTCGAAGAAGCCCGCCTCGCTTGCCGAAATCCGTGAGACGTTGTCATTCTTAACCGAGACTCACGACTATGATTCCTTCCACGAAGACGCATCCCTCGACGAGGAGGACTCTGGCACCACGGGCGAAAACAACGAGGCCGCAGGAGCCGACGTCCAGGCTGAAGAACCGGATGTGCAAACTACGGGCCATTTCCCCAAACCCAGCCACCCGCGCCGCACCCGCGGGCCCGTCGTTGATCGACTAGCCCTCCTCCGTCAAGCATCCTCCAACTCCGCCTCCGGTCCAGAGGCGGCGAACACCAAGCTCGCGTTCCACAACGGAGGAGGCAAAGACGGCCCCATTGGATTCCGCCCTCCGCAACTGCTGCGACGCGTCACGTCCAGTTCGTCGTCAAGCACATCGTCTAGCTCGTCGCATCGCGTGACCAAGCCAGGTACGGCAGGCCCGAAGAAGGGTGGCGCGGTCAATTCTTACACCGCTGCGCGGGAGAGGGAGCGCGAGAAGGCACTCAGACTCCAGCAGCGCAATGGGGGGTCAAGCATCGCCAAGCTGTTGAACAAGCATGCCGGCGGCGGGCTGGGCGCCTTGGCAGGAAAGGGTCAGTGGGATTGACCGTGGGATTGAACACTACATGAATGAGCCTGAGGCTGATCTGTATATCTGATGGCGCATACGGGGTCTTGTACGCGGCTGGCGCTAATTGCGGAGTTGCCTTTTTGGGTAGTTAATATGTAGTTCGTCACTGGGTATTAGGAGTTTTGAATGAATTGGGAGTTTTCACTTAGTGAAGTATCCTATCCCATCCACAGTATCTGAAGATTGGATTCACCTAGAAGGCGATAGACTATTTTCGAAAGGTACGATTGTATATTAAACCGTTGGGTATCTTTCGAATACAAGCACAAATGGGTATAGAATATCTGACACACTAGGCTTCCATCTTCAATACCCCAATTAAGTCCACCAGCGAGCGTATCGCCTTCGCATCAGGATGGCCTAGCCCTTCTCTGCGAGGGAGAAAGTAAGAGTCCCAGCCCGCATCCCTCGCACCACAGTAGTCCTTCTGGTAGTCGTCTCCGACATGTACACACACCCAATTATCCTGTGCTCCCGCAGCTGTAGACACAGAGTCCTTTGAACAGGCACTTCCCAACAAGCCCGCCTGCCGCCTAGCGACATCAAAGATAACCCTCGATGGCTTTTCCTCGCCAGCCTCGTAGCTAGTGATAACAATATCAATATCAGGGTCCGGATCGGAGAATTTCCTCTCATCTTCTGGACGCGAACCACCGCCCCTGTACTCAAACCCAGGCAACGCAAGGCTCTCGCGATCTTGATCCGCGCGCATCGTACCCACCCGTACACCCAGCGCCTTCAGCACAGCAGGGACGCGATCATCCGAGTTGGAGATAACGCCAAGGACTACCCGGTTAAATGGCCGCGAGGCTGCGTGTCTGATTGTGCGCATCCGCGCCAAGAACGGCGCCACGTCATCGTACAGCGCGTACCCCTGTGCGCCCTCAAATCGTTTCAGAAGAGCATCTTCCAGTCCAGCTGGAAGTGACTCGTCGGGGTTGCGGTTGCTGGTATCCGCGTTCTGCTCTTTCAAGATCCGTGTGAATGTCCCCCGGATCACCTCGCCCCACCACTGCTGTGGACCATTGTACGCGCCGCGCAGAACATCGGCGCGGCCGTAGTTCGGATATTGCTTGCATTGTGCACGGAAAGCATCTTTGAAGCTGGCCAGAACGCTGGCTGGTGTGACTGCTGTGCGCGATAGACCGAATTCATGCGCGACGGCGGCGTATTGCTCTGGTACTGGAGGGTGTGGGTAGAAAAGGGTGTCGAAGGCGTCAAAGGTGAGTAGGAGATTACGAGGTCTCGAGGGGGAGTGTGTCGATAGACTGCGGGTTGTGACATGGGGCGTAAGTGGTCGCATGGTTGAATGGGTGATGTTACGTAGTTGGAAGTTGATCAGATAAGGATCTAAGAGATTCGGTCCTTATCTCATTGCAGTTTAGCCCTAACATGGGCTGACGTAGATGACGCGTCTGTACACACTCGCCCATCCTGATCAGAGGGGAATCCCCTCTCTTTCACCATCATCTGCTCATCGACAATAATGCGGTCTCTCCTCCAGCTGAGCGGCCTGCTCGGCATATTGACATTTACCACCGCCGAGCACTGGACGCCCCGCAATGCAAATCACATCTTCAATGCCATCCACGCCTCAATGCGCCAATGGGGCTCTTCGCTACATCACAATGGCATGTCCTTCTTTCTAGCTAGTGTCCCTGCGGGCACGCAATTCTTCCACGGGACCGACAAGTCGACCCCCGTGATCGGGACCGAGTGGCTCGCTTTCGAGCCGGAACATGCAATGGTCTTCGCCGGGATGCATAGACCGCCTCGTGGTCGCCCACCAAACTATGGTGATGATGATGACGATGATAATGATAGCCCGAGTCATCGCCAAGAGCTTCGTCGGCGAGAGCCCCATCATACCAGCCCTGACGACGCCGCCGACGAGGATGCAGGCTATCTACACACCTACGCAGCGGCCAAGGATCTGCGTCTTTTGTACATTGATGGAATGTCTGCCGGAAAGACGGCGAAGGGGACTCTTGACTCCCAAGACGTGCTTCTTTTCAACGGCTCTCTTGAGGATGCCCCTAGAAACCCAGGTCCAGGACCAGGCTCGGAAGGCGAACGCGCTAGACTAGCCTGTGAGTTGGCGCAGGATACTTGGGGAGGTCGTATTGACGGCGTGCTCCGTATGGAAGCAGGGTTCGAGGTTATTTTGTGTGCTTTCGAGCGCGACCTGGTTCCCGTGCGCATCACCCAGGTCAAGCCCAGGTCAAGAGAAGGGGACGAAGGCAGACACGGTCCTAATAACGATGAGCACTCCGGGCCAAGGGCCGACGACGGCAAAAGGAGAAAAGGCCCTGGGTCCGGGGGTCCACGCGGCTCCGTGACCTGGATGCGCGCCATCGCTGACCGGTACCATAGCATTGGAGGCAGCCGTGTATCCTTGAATTACGATAACTTCGTGACTGCCTTCGCATACGACGTAGACCTATTCTCATCAGACTCAACTCTGCCACGACTGACGGATCTCTCCCAGTCGGAACTAGATTCCATCCGCCAGGATCTAACTAGTCTTATTATGAACCACGAAGCCGCGGAACCTTCGTGGAATTGGCAAACAACAGCAGATATGCTTGTTACGCGGTATAGCGACCAGCTGTCATACTACATGTCGGGCAAGATCATTAGCCTGGAGGATCTCCATACTGAGATCGAGCGACTGCTTGCTCCTTTCATCGACTATGGAGACCGGAACACCGAGCTCGAGACTGATCGCTGCGCCATGCACTCCATGCCGCTTCGGGCCAATATGTCAACATTGGCTGCGCGAGCAGTGCACAGTGTTGCACGGACTACTTGTGGGACGTTGTTGGCTGTATGGGAAACACAAGACTTAAAACTAGCTGTCGAGAAGATCCAAGGGCTCGTCGACTATCTGGCCTGGACCACGTGGAAGGAATGTCGTGGCTGTGCAGATAATGAGATCTGCGTCGTGCCTATCTGGCCGATGGGGAGTGTGGAGGACTACGAACATCCACAGTGCAGAAATGCATCCAATCCATACGATGGCGAAGGCGAAAGCTACTGGGGCGGACTGCATCGGTGACAAGAAACATGAAAACATCAATGTAGATAGCAGATAACTAATAGTAAGTTCAGGTCATTGCGTGGCATTCACCCAGTCAATTGCACCATACAGGATTAAACCTATATTCGACGAATTCTAGAAAAAAAAAACACGGATGAATGGGAATACAGAAAGAGAAGCAGAGAGTAAGTTAAGAGGAATTCCTCGTGTTCGTCATTGACGCATGTGCTAGTTCGAAAACAGCTTGTCTGGGGACAGGTGGCTAGTGTCCCGCGAGCTTGATAGACAGAGGAATCACAGAAGAGAAGGATAAGATCCCGTCAAGGGGGAGGGTATTGAGAGCGGGATTATATGGTGAGAGTGATAATAACATGGGAAGTTATTTACAGGGAGCCCAGAGCACCGGCGCCAGAGACGGCGGAGGTACCCTCGCTGATGACGGAGCCGGCGGCGGAGCCGAGGCTGCCGAGGCCGAGGGTGGACAGGAGACCCTCAAGGGCGGACTCGACCTTGACGAGGAGAGCACCACCGTCCTGGGACAGGACACCCATGAAGACACCCTCAACCTCACCGGCGACGGGAAGCTGCTGGGCCAGCTGGGGGATGGACTCAGCCTTGGCGACGACGGAGCCAATGGTGCCCTGGACGTTCGAGAGGTCACCCAGGTTGCTGAGGTCAACGGTGCTCAGGACGTTGCTGAGGAGGCCGGAGTCGAGCTTGACGGGGAGGGTCTCGCCGGTCTGGGACAGGATGGAAGTCACACCGTCCTCGCTGATCAGACCGCTGAGGCTGCTGACGAGGGGGAGGCTGGACAGGATGGACAGAGGGGAGTCGCGCTTCAGGTTCAGGCTCTGCAGGAAGCCGTCCAGGGTGCCGATGACGGTACCGACGAGCGAAGAGACATCAGACAGACCCAGGGAGTTGAAGAGCGTGGCGGTCTCCTCGTTCAGCTTGACCAGCAGAGCGGAGCCGGTGGTGTCAACAACAGTCAGGAGACCCTCACCCTGACCGGCGAGGTTCAGCTGGCTGACAACGGGCGCGGTCTGGAGGACCGAGCCGATGGAGTTGGCAACGCTGCCGAGGTGGGCACCAGCCAGGAGCTGGGCGGACTTGCCGTCAAGCTCAACCACGAGGTTCTTGACCTCACCGCTGTTCAGGGTGTGGGTCACGCTCAGGACGCTGTGGAGGCCAGAGATGGCACCGCTGGAAGCGGAGTCGGAGCCACCAGCAATGTTGGACAGGCTGGACAGCAGGGGGAGGTCCTTGGTCAGGCTGGTCAGGCTGGAGAGACCACCCAGGCTGCTCAAGCCGCCGGAGGACAGGCCGGAGGGCAGAGCAGACTCAACGCAGCTCAGGACACCGGTGGGGAGGCCGCCGGAGGGGATGAGCTCCTTCTGGAGGCAAGGCACCAGGTTGCCAACGGAGCGAGTCCGGGAGGGAGTGGGCATAGCCACGGCGGTGGACGCCAGCAGGGCGGCGGAGATGGCGAAGGTCTTCATGGTTGCAGAGAGCGACGGTTGGTTTGTAATGAATGAATGGACGGTTATTTAACCGAAAAGTAAAGAATGACTTGTGGTAAGGAAAGACGACGAAGAGAGGTTCTTGGAAAAAAGATAGTGGGAATGGCTAGGGGGCACACGTTATATACGAACCCCATTTCTCAGGAGATTATTACTCACCTGCTTCCAAGCCTCGCCTACGCCGGTTGACGTCGTGGGGACGGGTCTGCCCCCGAAAAAGCAGGTGAGCAACGGTGCGGCCGGGCTCCGCCGCAATAGTCTGATGGAGCAGAGGACGGGGAACCTGGTGCCCTTGTCACCTTGGCGGCGCTCTCAGTGGCTAAAAAAGGCACCGACACGGGGGGTTTGGACCCATCTACCGCATGGTAGCGCGTCCATAAGCTTCCTAGGAGGTCCATCTTCATTAGCCATTCTGCAGATCTATCCCCCGGCCGGCATCACAATAATGGGGAAGGCGTTGAGGATCTCCACTGATAGGAGCATCTCAGGGGTCATTAGTTCCTGACGCTTGCAAAGCCATGCAAAAGGGCAGGCAATTGAGCTGTTGTTCAGGGACCAAACCAAGATAAAGACTCGGTGGAGAACTGCCCCTGAACGGGCCCTGAACCCTCCACGGTAAGACCCTCACGAACCGACCCTGAACCGAGGCGCCAGGTGTTTTCCCTCTGACACCCACTTTTGGCCTTGAGATCGGCAGGAGTACCCCCATTAGCGCGAATTCTGGCCAATAGTTTGCGGATTTCAGTGCTAAGGTCGCTAGGGATCGACGGTTTATCCGCCTCATGCAGGCTTAAGATGAACGTGTGGTCCCCACTTCCCGTTAGGACGGCTGCCATGCTCGCTGATTGTAATCTCTTCCGGGGCTAACGCCTGGTAGTCCCAGGGGTTAGCGAGGTGGAAGGATGGCGGGGGAAGGAATGCCCAGGAGTACTTAAGGCCAGTTGGAAATTATTGCGTCATCGTCTGCTTAATATCGCCAGGGCTGACAGGGGGTCCAGGGGTATTTATTCTCCAGGCTATTGTTACATATGGTAGTATGCCGTTATTGAATTCTATTGACCTGGTTCGTATCGCGTTGCAAATAGCAGCTATGGTACAACGAATAATATGATCGCTGGTGGATTGATTTTCACGCCCAATGTTCCTGGATGTGGAGCACGCGGAGGTTTGTGAAACTTCCTACTCGGCGGTCAGTTCTCCTGATGCCTGCACTGCCATTGGAGGCCCCTGAGCAAGGTCATGGGTCCTCGGGCGAAATCCATAACGGGTCGGGAGAAACCTTGACAGAGCTTTGGAAGGCCTGGGAAGGGTTGAATGGCAAGATAAAAAAGGAGATCATTCAGATCGTTGCGCAAATCAGCCGTTGTACGGAAATCAGTTAATCTGGCTCGAAAAGTGTTTGCTTTGCCGCATGGGCATTCCAGATGCGAAAAGAATACTCCGAAAGGGGCAACAACATTCGGTCCATGCTCTTGGCACGGCCGTAACTCTATCCTCAATCGGAAAACTTTTGTATTTCACATCTGTTGGATTTTTCTCTGCATCCCAAAGCTTCTAATAACAGCCAGCTAAATCCAATCCGTCTCCAGGTTTCCGGCAGTTATTGTTGTTGTTGTTGGTTCCAGAATCAGTAATCCTTAGAAGCTCATAATCTGCGCACCTCCAGCAGGAGAACACCGCATGGTCTCTTCCTTCCATGCATCCATTTCCTTCAGTGTCTTTTCAATATCCTCCCTAACCAATGGAACCGTCTCCGCCCCCATCAGCAAACGGGCAGGTAGTGATCGAACGTGCTGTTGCATAACGGTCTCGAAAAGCAGCTGCGCGCAGATAGCAGGCTCGCTCCACGTGAGGGCAGCTTCAGGGTCGGTGATATATTTGATCAGCTTGCTGAACGGTCCAGCGGGAGAATCATAAGCCGGATGTCGAGGGGCCAGTTTCTTGCTCGACCCTGCGAAATTCGTGCGCACTCCCCCGGGGGCACATATTAGAAAACGGATGTTCCATGCTGGATCCATTTCTTTGGCAACTGACTTTGTGAATCCTTCGAGGGCAAATTTGCTGTTACTTTCATTAGAAGATGCTCCCTTCTGTAATTCATCAGTAATGTTCGTACCTGGCGTGGTAAAAAGAGTGGCCCGGGAAAGCCATCCCTCCCCCCAGCGATGATATCTGGACAATAGTGCCACCACGGCCGCGCGGATTGACTTCGCGAAAGATGCGAAGGGCCTCTTTAGTGGCATGAACTGGTCCCCAGAAGTTGGTCTCGAGTTGGCAGCGTGCTTCCTCTTCGGAGATTGCTTCCGTATCTCCCAGGAGGCCATACCCCGCGTTGTTAATAACAACATTGATCTGACTGAATTTCTCAACGGCGCATGCAAATGCAGTGACTATGTCTTGTTGGGAAGTCACGTCCAATTGGATCTTCAGCACGTTTGGTTCATCGGGCAGGTACGAGAGCGACTCGAGGCTGCGAGCTGTGGCTACGATGCGATGGCCAGCGGCATAGATGGTCTCTGCAAAAGATTTTCCTAAGCCTGATGAACAACCGGTTACTGCTCGGGATTGGTTAGATAAGTCGAATAAAATTGTAGAATGATTACTTGCCGAACCAGACAGTTTGAGTGTCAAACATCTTCATTGGCAGGGAAATATATATTCCAGTTGGAGACTATACTTCTGTTCAAATCCGAAATCCTCGAAGGAAATGTAAAACGACTTGAACTCTTCATCAGTGCGGTCCCCAAATTGTCTTTAAATAATAAGCAGTAGAGTAATACTTCCCACGTCTTGATCAACACTCGAGGCCTACGACGTCAGATTTTGTGATACCGATAGAGTGACAGATGGTCACTAAACTACACTGGGAAAGTACACTAAGGTCATCCTCTGCTATGTAAATCAATAAGTCATCCCAATAAATGCGCCACTGAACTGTATCTTAGTGCTTTCTACATTTTCAACAGGTGACCTTATCTCGCTCATGTCTAAACTTGGATATGAGTGGGTCTATACTGTGCAGACTAAACCATATGGGGAAACTGCACTAAGAGACCCAGCTTACCTAAGCGTCATCTTCTCTTGTCAGATCGGCTGCTTTAGTGCATCTTCCATTTTAAGTATCGCTTTTAGCCAAAATCATCGCTTCAGAACGCAGAAATGCCCAGCAAGACCAATGGAATGTCTTTTGTCATCATCACCGGCAACCCACAGGAAGGCAATGGCCAACGCATTAGCCAAGTGCGGTCACAACTCGCGAAGCGACATCACCAACAACGCCAACAAGATGCAAAATCTGCAGTTTCTCAGACTAGCGGAGATAGGAATTCTCAGGTTTTGATCAGGCAGACCCCTAGAGGATTACCTAGCGAGATCCACTTCTACGTAGACTCTACCCAATTGTTCCCTTCGGTTACAGCCTACCAAAGAATGCAGGAGTGTAAGTATTCTACCAACAACCCCCTTCGACGTGAGTACTGATGCACTGAACCAAGTCATGTATCGCTATGTTAATTATAGCCACCACATCCACCCTTGCTTCTCAACTATCATCTATGCTGCGGTCACGCACTTACCACTCATGAGCTCGAAGATATTAAACGCCTCTGCATGGGATGATATCAGCACCACTGGAGAAATTAGTTATTTGACCCATCAGCAGCTCAACATTACGCGAAATCTGCTCAATGTCTCATTTGACAATCTAGAAGAAGGGTGCGGTGATTCTAATATCGCTGCCATGATTGCAGTCCTTCTATTTGATGTAACAAGTATCCCCTAGCAATTTAAACTGATTGTTACTAATTTTGCTGCCTTGCAGCTCGTCAATGGAGACGAACATGCCTTCCTTACGGATAAGAAAGGCATAGAAGAGATTGTCAGTATACGTGGTGGTCCTGAGAATTTGGGATTTGAGGGCCATCTGGGAAATAGTCTCCTGGTGTATGCATTGCCCATTCTGTGACAATACTAAGTAAGTGATTCTATGCTCATATTGAAGTCGAACAGGATTGAATTACTCCAAAAAGTGGCTCAACCCGGTACATATTATGCCGGCCACCCGATACTGAAGAGCATGCAGTTACTTTTGCCTCATGCTTTGGATCTGAGAGTCTTTACATTTGGACGGATATCGGAAGACATTACTGAGCCACAAATATCTGATCACGTTCTCAATATTCTGAGTGATTTTTACCAAATGGTTCGGCTCTCGCGACAATGGCACATCTATTCAAATGATATCAGCAGTTTTCGTCAGTGCTCTATGCATCTAGCAGATATTTATGACTTCCTGGTTACTACGCGCCAATCTTCGGAAACCAGCTCGCGCCAGGACACTGACCCTCGGATACGGGCAGTGCTCAACGCCAGTCTTCTATTTGCCTGGTCCAGCTTTGCTTCCGATAAAGCTGACTCTGTCAATCTACCACATGCCATCTATGAGCTACAAGCTCTTCTTCAACAGACAGATATCGATGAATTCTGGGGCCCACTCCCAGGAGCTCTCATTTGGTGCCTGGCCATAGGGGCCAGGTTATCCAAGCCTGGTCCAATGCGGAAGTGGTTCATTATGCAGACAACTCGAGTCACATGTGCTTTGGCGATGGAACAGTGTGATACGGTGCTATGGTGTCTTGAGGAGATTCAGGCAGGCCTAGATGCAGAGGAGAGATCAAATTCTGATATCGTTCTGTAATAGAGGAGAAGGTGTATATATCTATCGTCGTGTTCGACCATTTTGTACTCGATAATAGTGCTATGGCCATCAAAATCATAAGGTGATAGTTTATACGACGTAGAAGTTGGGTTTGGGATCTTCGTCAAAATATTGAAGCCATTGGTATACGCTTTCCTGAAAATAAGCCCTTACCTCATTACTCCAACCTGAGGTGTTATAGCAATGATATAATCTATTTAATCAGGTTAGTCTATTTTTAGCAGCGCGTCGGTCGGAGCCACCTCGCTCTAATATCCTATTTGTTCCAGCCTTAATCTCTTAGATGCTTAGCGGAGCATTTGCACGACGGAGTAGTTCTACGTAGCTAATTAATGCTTTCGCTTAAGTTTCGTCAAGGTAATTATTGACTGTCCGACTTGGGGGCGAGTATCCTCAATGCTGGATAGGGTTCGAGTCCGCCAATGACGTTCCGCGAAGGCGCAAGAAGCGCAAAAGGGGGCTGACTTTTCCCAGCGCGGCAGACCGACTTCGTGCATTGTCTTACAGTCGAAGACCTCTCATCACATCTCACCAATACATTTTCTCATCGTCTTGATCGCCACGATGGGAGTGACTTGGTCGCAGTTCTTCCCACCCGCGCCAACCCTCACAGAGGCCAACCTGCCCAGCCAGAAGGGCAAGGTCTTCATCGTGACCGGCGGGTACTCGGGCATAGGCCTGGAATTATGCAAAATCCTCTTGGGAGCTGGGGGCAAAGTCTACCTGGCTGGCCGCTCAGAAGAAAAGGCCAAGAGCGCGATTGAAGAACTCAAGTCTTTGCACCCGTCATCAGATGGAGATGTGCGTTTCCTCCCTCTTAACCTAGACGACCTGACGACCATCAAATCCGCTGTGGAGACATTTACGGCGTCCGAGTCGCGACTGGACGTTCTGTTCAACAATGCCGCTGTCTCCAACCCACCACAAGGCTCCATCTCGCCCCAAGGCCACGACCTCCAGCTGGCGACTAACTGCTTGGGACCTCATCTTCTCACTCAGCTCCTCCTGCCAACACTCAAGCGCACTGCCCAGGGCCAGCCGCCGGCTTCCGTGCGTGTTGTATGGATGGCCTCAATCGTTGTGGACTTATCCGCTCCTGCAGACGGCGTGAAACTGGAAGAGCTGCTCCGTCGCGACACGCATCCGCAGCGCAACTACGAAAACACGAAAGTCGGGAACTGGTTTCTGGCAGATGCGCTCGCCCATCAAGCAGGATCTGACGGCATCTTGAGTGTGGTCGTGAACCCAGGGAACCTAAAGTCGGCGCTGACTCGTCATTTCTCTCCATTGGTTCCCTTGCTCGCTGCGCCTCTCTTGTACCATCCCAGGATGGGGGCGTATTCTGAGCTTTGGGCTGGGCTTTCAAGTAACCTGACTATATCTGATGGTGGGAAATATATCATCCCCTGGGGTCGCATTCATCCAAGTCCGAGGACAGACCTGCTGCGCGCGATGAAGACCAAGGCAGACGGTGGGACGGAGACCGCAGCGACGTTCATACAGTATTGCGATGATCAGATCCTGGAATTTAAATAATAGGAAACTCCCGACCATCGGAGTCAATCATTGCGTTGTCTCGTCTATTAGCTAGTGCAAATGATTCTGTTCTTTAGTTTGCTTTCCTACTTCTCATCCGCACTTTAAGGCGGGTTCCAGCTGAGCGTGTGTCAGGACTGGTTAATACGCGTCAATCTGCGAGAACCAGATTGCGCCCGAACCCTGATCCTCCGATGCGGTCTGTGCTCGACGCCAGCCTTCTGTTCTTCTATTTTGAACCGATTCACTATGCTGCTGGATGTTGTCCACAGACGTATCCGGCATGAACTGAGCTCTCTACAATGGTATCACACAACCCTATCCACTCGGCAGTTTTCATGCTGACAGGAATCGGATTGTCTCCTCCTCCGGCGAATGTGGGGAAGCTTGGGGTTCTTCGGGGGGAAAGCGAATGAGTGCAGGGCAGAAAGGACAAAGAGCGGATACGGAATCACCCACCAACAGACATGGCATTGCGCAACCGTCCTCAGGGATGCCGACGCATCCCGCGCCGCTGATTGGATGGAACGTAACAGGCTCGTCGAGGACCTGGTAAAAATTTCTCCCTGGCAGCCGGTGAATGCGGGTGCTTATTTATTGCAGCGGATAAAGTCCAAGCAGGGATGATGGCAACGGTCGCCACGCCGAGCCCTCGACCAGTGGAATGTGGGGTGAGATGTGGGAGAGGGAAAAAGTCTCTGCCGCCCGTATCAGGTGGAAAACACAGTTGATTTGATGGCAACACGGCTCCGGCGAGCTACGTTCGGCGTTGAATTATTTTAGATCTGCCGCGTCGCCATTTCTTACTTCTTCTGAAATTTCTCCTCTCTGCTTCCTTCTCCTTCCATTCCCGATCTTGTTCTCTCTCTCCCCACCGAATCCCCTCTACATCTTATCTCCGACACCATGACGAAGACTCCCCAGGATTTGCAGATTGCCATTCTGGGCGCCGGCATGGGCGGCTTGACCACCGCTCTTGCCCTGGCCCGGCGCGGTTTTAAGAATATCCACGTCTATGAGCATGCCACAGACCTCGGTTTCGTGGGTGCCGGTATCCAATTGGCGCCGAACATGGCGCGCGTGCTGGACAATCTTGGTGTCTGGAAGGGCATTGAAGCTGAGGCCGTGAACATTGGGGATACTTCCGTGCGAGGTAAGTTGTAGAATCAATAAGCACCACAGGTTCATGTCTCACGGTTATTTACAGATGGCGCCACGGACAAGGAGCTGGCGCACGTTGAGCTTCAGTACATCAAGGAAACCTACGGCTACCCACACATGGTAGGCCACCGGGCATCGCTAGCCAACGGCCTGTACCAGGGATGCCTGAGCCAGCCCAACATCAAATTCCACTTTGGCGTTACGGCCGAGAACGTTGAATTCGGCCAGAAGCCATCGTTCACGGCCGTGCCCCGTAATGAGACCGAGAAGCCGTACAAGGTCGAAGCGGATGTGCTCCTGGGGGCCGACGGAATCAAGAGCAACACCCGTGTGGCGATGCTGAAGCTCCTCAACGTCAACGTCGGCGTCAAGGATACCGATCAGGCCGCCTACCGAATCATGATTCACAAGGACCAAATCAAGGACGACCCGGAGCTACTGGCTCTGATCAACAGCACGCGAGTGACCCGCTGGATTGGCGAGAAACGGCACATCATCGCATACGCAATCTCCAACAACACCATCTACAACTTGTCCACCACGCAGCCGGACACCAACTTCGCCGCTGCCACAAATGCCACCTACACGACCAAGGGCTCCAAGCCTGCCATGATGGGGGTCTTCTCCGACTTCTGCCCCATGGTCCAGCGCATGCTCAACTACGTCCCCGATGGCGAGGTCTGCGAGTGGAAGCTGCGCGTCCACGACCCGCTCCCCACATGGGTGCACGAGTCTGTTGCTCTGGTCGGCGACGCCTGCCACCCTACGCTTCCCCATCTGGCCCAGGGTGCCGCCCAGGCTATTGAGGACGGGGCTGTTCTGGGCGTTGTTCTCGCCCGACTCCGCGACACAAGACCCGAGTCGATTAACAAGGCTCTCCGCGTCTACGAGAAGGTTCGCAAGAGCCGCGCCGAGGCCCTGGTTGACATGGCCTATGCCTCTGGCCGTGCTCTGCACCTGGGCGACGGTGCTGCGAAGGAGGAGCGTGATCGCCAGTTCGCCGCTCTGCGCCAGGGCAAGGGCCCTGTCCCCGATAAGTGGGCCGATGCCGATGTCCAGCGTGAGATCTACGGCTTTGACTGCACCAAGGTCGCGGAGGACAACTTTGATGAATACTTTTCGCAGATGTAAGCGTGTTTCTTTTTCTGTGTTAATTTTCTTCGGGTCAACTTGGCGCTGTTCTTCTATATTTAGCTTTCTTTGGATCTGTAAATGTTCACTCTAGGAGAATTGAGATGGTTTCTTTAACTTGATATAAGATTCACGTACTAATTGAGTCTTTTTCTTTTACAGGGGCAGCTTGCGCGACGCTAAGCTCGCCTAAGTATATCTGCTGTCGGCATACTTCTTTACGACCATAACAAAGCGAGGAATATAAACGACCGTCATTGGGAGACGGTTGCCATATATGACATATATATCTAACACGCGATCGTAGTGTATTTTTTTATAACGCAGTTGAATAATGATTTGATCTCAAGATAAGCTAGTATAGACTATTAGTTATACCTATAAATAATATCATACTACTGTAGTAACCAAATGGAAATAATTCGTCGTTGTTGCTCACATTTAATGTGTTTTGGGTTGACCCACCCGTTTACCGATTACGTTAACTACTTAGTTGTTAACCTAGTTAACGTTAACTTACTGCCCCTTGAAATCACGAGCCTCCGGTCGAATTCGGCCGAACACGACCGAGTTCACCTCGTGACCCCTAAGCAGTGAAAATGGCCGGAGTATTTCCCCGAAACTGAATATTCAGAAACGAATGTGAACATCACACTCTAATGATTATGTCAACATGTCGGGTAGCTCAATGCCTGAAGAATACCGGCGGAAAAGAGTCCGTAAGGGAACGAAGAGCTGCTGCGAGTGTAAGCAACCCCCTCCGCAACGAAGTGTGAGACTGACAATGAACAGGTAAGCGGAGAAAGATCAAGTGTATTCTATCTCCGGATCTGTCTATTTGCACTGGGTGTCTAGAAAGAAGCACCCCGTGTCTCAGTCAGGAGTATGTGGATGATCGTCCACCACACCATGCTGAGGATTCAGCGTTGGATCGCCGTATGGCAAGGGTAGAGTTATTACTAGAGACACTGATGGACAGGATTCCCTGGGGCCAAGTTGGTGACTTGACTCCTTCATCCATTTCGGCAACGGCGAACGAGTCACGACCTCTCTTCGCATCTCTGCCTAATGGTTCTGGGGTGCAGACTGAAGTTCGTCCTCCGTCTGGAAAACTTGAGATTCTACGCCGACGACTTGCTAGGATGTTACCTTGCCAAGCGGATGTGGATTGTCTGTTCGCTTCGAGTCACGGATGGTGGCTTATCCAGCAACATATGATGCCGCACCTACCAGACTTAGTTGAGAATGACTTTCACGGGTTGTTTAATGTCGCCGCTGTCTCAGAAGGACATCCGACGACTATCGCGAGACTACTTCTCTGTATCGCAATCTGCATTCAGCAGCTCCCATCTGAAATGGATATGCGAAAACTCCAAACTACATTACCACTTCGAGAAATGATGAGCAGTATCATTGAATTTCTCGTCCAGAATGTCACCTCTGACGACGAAATGACTGGAAGCATTGAAGGTGTTGAATGCCTTGCACTTCAGGGAATATACGAGGTCAATGCTGGCAACCTTCGAAGATCATGGCTTTTATTCCGAAAAGCCATCACGATAGCTCAGCTTTTGGGCCTGCACAGAGTGGCTATCAAGACATCTGAGGAAAGGCTAAGTTTGATGGAGACAAAACGACATCATTTATGGTATCAGGTTTCGAGAGGAGTATGCTGCTCACCTCATTCTGTGAAGAATCGTGCTGAAACTCATTAGGAACGTTACCTCTCCACGCTACTTGGCGTACCATCAGCTACAGGCTCAGCGGTCTTCCCTTTCAACGATGACGCCGCTTGGCTGTCACCAGAAGCTCTTTATCACAAGCATTTATATCATATATCCGGCCTCATACTTGCTCGCAACCAAGAAGATTGTACCCATTCCTTCTCCACCACACAGAGAATTGGCGAACAACTTGATTCCCTCGCAGAGCAAATGCCGCCATCCTGGTGGGAAATCCCTACCAATATCTCAAACAACCGCACAAAAGAAGCATCCGTTCAGTTCGAGCGAGTAATGTGCCAAATCTGGCATTTCGAGCTAGCAATGCTGGTGTACCTACCCTTCATGCTACGTGCGACGACTGACCGACGATACGAACATTCACACTTCTCTTGCTTAAATGCTAGCCGAAGCCTAATTAAGAGATGGATTTCCATTCGTAGGAGCCATAGCACTCTCCTCTTCTCCAACCTCCTCGAATTCCAGGCTTTCACAGCAGCGACCACTCTCCTGCTAGGGCTCCTAGGCCCTCAGATAAGTACACACCAGGACGTCTTACAAGAACGGCACGAGGATTTTCAGCTTGTAGAGACAGTCATTCAGAATTTTGAAAGACTCGAGCAGCATGATACTCGGATGTCCGTTGGTGCTCAGAGCATTTCTGTCATTCGCACACTTCAACGGTTTCTTCACGAAAGAAACTTCTCTGGCAGACTGCGTCTTGAGATCCCTTTCTTTGGAATCATCAGGATTGCGCGTAGCGGTGCCGTGCAACCGCTAGAAGGAGAGCGGATTCTCGGGGCAAACGCGTGCCAAAACACTACTTTCCCTCGACTTGGACAAACCTGTGTGTCTTCTTCCATGGCGAGAACGGATTGCACCCAGACTTTTATGTCTCGTCCTAGAAGAGAAACACCCCAGGAGATGGTCAGAAATGAAGGGAGCTATGCTGACGATGGTGTGGAGAGAAACGATCCTATTTTGCAGTTATCTGGCGGCCATTTTCAACTTCCTGAGGCGTCGGGCACCCAGGGTGGTTTTGATACTAGTGAATTGCCGTTTCAGGAAAGTGATATGATATTCTTCGACAGCTTAGTGAATACAGATTTGGTGGGTAATTGGACACTATAATCCATGCCAATCCACTGGGTAACTTACTAAACATCAAACTGCCTTACCGGCCCCTTTCATAAATTACAATTTATTACGGACCCTCGCATAACGAGGGTCCGCCACCCATATGATAAAGCCACCCATATGATAAATATTCTCCTTTTTCCAACTCCCCAACTTCAACGCGTCATTTCCATCCACCACAATGCCTGAAAACAATGCAACTATTGAGGATCGAATCCAGGATGCCCTCGCCGCGCTATCCAATCAGGAGAAACCAAATATCTCGAAGACTGCGCGAGATTATCATGTTCCTTACCAGCGGCTTCGATATCGCTGGCAAGGCCGACCTTCCCTCCTACAGCGCCAACCAACCCACAGATTGCTCAATGAAAGCCAGGAAAAGGTGCTCTGTACCTTTATGGATACTATGGATGACTTAGGCCTTTGCCCGAAGCGAAAACAAGTGGAAGCAGCGGCGAACTCTATCCTCCGCGAAGCGCGATCGGACCCATCTATCTCGGTCGGCGAACACTGGGTTACACGCTTTCTAAAGCGTCATCCTGACTTCAAACGACGACGACGACGAGCTCTAGACATCGAGCGAATGCAAGCACTTGATAAAACGGCTACACAGGCGTGGTTCAACCAGTATCATCAGATTATTGTCGAGAAGGGGATTCTACCCCAAGATATCTACAACTTTGATGAAACTGGGTTCCAAATTGGCGTTGGCAAAGATCAGTGGATTATCACTAGGGAACCTACGAAGAAAATATTTAGTGGGACAGATACCAACCGGGAATTAGTGACTATCGTTGAGTCTGTGAATGCAGATGGTAGCTTCGTGATTGCACCACTCATTATCCTTACCGGCCGCCAGATTCTCCTTCGATGGTTCGACAACATCACCGAGGAGTGTATTGCAGTCAACGATACTGGATATATGAATCAACAACTTGCCTACCAGTGGATCCAGCATTTCAATCGCGAAACTAAAGGCCGAACTATAGGGAAATATCGACTCCTCCTTTGTGATGGCCTTAGTGCTCATATCACTAGGGAATTCATCCAATTTTGTGAGAAGAGCGACATTATTCTATATTTTCTACCGCCTCATTCAAGCCACAAGCTTCAGCCTTTAGATGTTGGAGTATTCAACGTTTACAAACATTGGCATAGTGAGGCAGTTGAAGCTGCAACTATGAGTGGTTGTACAAAGTTCACAAAAGACCTCTTTCTCCAGTCAATTCGCACTATCCGACAGCAGACTTTCAAACCTTCAACAATTAAGCTTGGTTATCGATTAACCGGCTTATGGCCATACAATCCTAGTATCGTATGCGATGATTTGGCAGATTATTCAGTCCCATTGTCGCCATTACCAGACTCACCATCATCATCAGGTAGTAGTATTCCTACAGACATAAGTACACCAACTACTACATCCCGCTTTCGAAGAATTGAGAAGAAGTTAGATCGATTGGATAAGAATTCGACTACATTTCAAAATACTCTCCAGAAGTTGATGAAGGGTAGTCAAATTCAAGCGCATCTAGCCGTTGAACTTCGCCGAGAACTCAACGCCACTACACATGCCCAATCGATTAGGGAGGCGCGAAGAAATACATCTGGGAGGCGCGCGAGGTTATCCGGAATCATTTATTCAAAGAATGTTCTGAATATAAAGCGTCAAGAGAAGGATTTGGATGATTTAGAGGCGCTGGATCGATTGCGACCGCGGTGGAAGAAGGTAATGAGAGAGCTACGAATGCAATGTAAGCGGGAGGGACGGCGGTTGCGCAGATAGGATCGAAAATCAAGTATCTACTACGTCTTTTTACTATACAATATCCATAGTTTAGGGGGGTATAGGTGTCATGGATCAAGATCAAAATTGGATGTTGATAGAATTTATCATATGGGTGGCTTTATCATATGGGTGGCGGACCCTCGTTATGCGAGGGTCCGTAATAAATTGTAATTTATGAAAGGGGCCGGTTTATTCTAATGCACAATGCCGACACGTACCATTAGCTTCCGTATTAATGATCTCATGGGCAGAATTTTCCCGCTTCTCTGCTATAAATACAGACAAGATAGATAAACAGAATACGATCAATGTCATCATTGTCACACTTAAGTGGACCATCTAGCAAATTTACTAGTGATACGCCTCATTTACGAATTCTACAATAATCAAAGAGTGTAAACGGTGACACTAGTTTTGAGACGTACTGTACTCTGCCTTTGATCGAGTTAGTAATTCTAGAACACAAGCGGCGGAAACACGGTGTAAGCGCTGGTATTCTAACGCAATCGGCCGAACCCAGCCGACATATACGCGGAGGAACGGCGGAATAAAAGCAGGTCAGTGTGCTAGACTATTTGAACCATCTCTTATAAGAACGCTATTTCTCCACTCGAGTAATCAACCGACTCCCTCGAACATACTATAATCATCAGTCGCCTGCTTCAATCCCAAGCTTGGACAATCCCCACGAAAAGCAAGACAAGATCATCATGGTCCTCAAACAAGACACCACTGGTATTAGCGCAGCTGCTGAGACTCACATTGTCTCCTATTCCGCCGATCTCACCTCTCCCGTCTTCAAAACCTCAGCCCAGCGCGCTGCCAAAATGGCCACCTACTACCTCCCAACCATTTCTTTCTTCGCAAATGGAAACATTACTCAACTATCCGATCCATCGCTTTACGTGCAACTGATCTCAGGGCCTCTAGACAGACTTGGAGGCCTTCCTGAAGTGAGAGGACACAGAGTTGAGGCCGTAGGCGAGGACAGTGCAATTATATGGCTTTTATTGAGGGTGAATGGGGTGGAGATATCTAACGTCTATTTCTTCAGGAGGACAGAGAATGGGGCTGAAGGATTCGAGGGTGGTATTTTTGATGGGGAGATATGGCTATTAAAGCAGCTGGCGAAAGAGTAGAGGGCTCTTTCATGATCCCTCTCTGTCAAATACTGGCAACCTCCAGAAATGTGACTCAAGCTAGTAAACTAAAATACGACCGTTGGAGACGATGGTTCACCAGAACGTCCTTGTAAGTGTTGTTATACTTGACACCTAGCTTTCTATGGATAACGTCTGTTTCCCATCCGTCATAATGATCGTGAGCTTGCTACAGTCAAGTTTTTCGGCCATTTGAGACGTGATGAAGGACTAACTCTCTATCATACCACGGATGAAACTGGAGCTTTGAAGCAGGGAGCCCTGGAGCCATGTCGTTTGGACTAATCTTGGATACTGTAACCTTTGAAGACAATAGTGACGGGTGAGGAAGTCTGATTGCGGCCAGAGATGGGGAAGGAGGGGCACGGCCGCACGGAAATAGCGTGTCGTGTTATAGTAATTTCGTGTAAAGTACATTATTCGAGGTATCTACCATCTATCCAATAAAGACTTGCGGATAGCTACTCGGAGTTTGTTGGTCCACCTGATCATGTCTCCCGGTGCCAAACGTCTACAGTTTATTAGGTATGTCAGTCACTATTGCGAATCAGGGGGAGATCATCATAGTGGGCTGGCAGTTAAGTCTTCTCAATGAAGCGTCACCGGCCATGCCTTGTATACTGCCACAGTTAGTCGCAATTCCTCAGTGTAGGAACACTAGACAGACTCTCTAATAGATGGACCTGATGTTGTAGGTAGCAAATAACCTCAACGACTTCCGGAGCATGAACCCTTATTGTATTGTTTTGAATTAGATGGTGTAAGTTACAGTTCTAAAGCGGCATTCGCCCAACTGTCATTTCTTACATAGGCTCTAGGCTGTTCGAAAAGGTCGGTCTTGCAATAAATAGGTTGAGCTCAGTGATGGTCGTTTTCTTCCGTTCTAGAGGGGAGTCCTTAGGTTCGGAAATGGCTGGAGTAAGTGCACCTGTCCAGATATCACCTTGGAACTGTAGACTGGCAATAGAAACTCGTCGTGGAAGTTGACTTTGGGCACTTTCTCTTGAAAGAAACGGTCAATGAGTTGTCTTTTTTGCCGCTTGCGTTCTTCGCGATCGTCCATGACGGTGTTCAATAGATGTGATTGAAGGCTCTTGACGAGATGCTTAATGAATGGAGGGAAAGAGAGTGGGAAGGGAGCAGGAGAAGAAGTCCTCCTTACCCCTTTACAGGCCCCACCCTCTATCGTGGCGTACTCACACCTGGTAGGGACGAATAGTCATCGTTCCCTCGTAGCTAATGGAATCGGTAGGCGAATGGGTCAACCCAACACATCATAGTAGAAGCGATACTTTACAACGGATTATCTCAACAACACTAGCTTAATATTATATTGAACGAACCCATCATTGGATATTCCCACTAACGCCCTGACCGTAGTTGTCGGGAGCAACTCGGTTGCACGGAATACCGCTATCTTTCTCACCAATGATGTTCGCACACTGGTACACCTCGTGCTGGATCGTCGTGTTCCACATGGGCAGACCCAGTGTGCTATTGACGGTCTTCAAGTCGACGTTCTTGAACGATACATTGGGACAAGGATGCACAGCCGAACAATAGAGCGAGGCGGCAATATTGTACGTGGATGTGCCGTGGATGTTCTCCCATGTCACATCTTCAATCGCCATCTTAGAGGTGTTGCACTGGTTCTGGTTTTCGGTGTAGATGCACTGCGTGATCTGCATCGGCAGTCCCACATTAACCATCTCGAAATTCTTAAACGTGATGTTCTTGATCAGCCCGTGGCCGCCTCCACCGGCGTCGCCGTTTGAGCTAGAAGAATCATCTTCACCCTGCCAGGTCTTGATGTAGGCGCCATCGGCGCAGTTCAGACATTTGACGTCCTCGAACGTGACATTGATCACATAGTCTGGCATTGTCGGGTATTGTCCCACTGAGCCGATGGTCATGCCATTGGAGCGGTGGCAGGTCACATTCCTGACGAGTAGATTGGTTGTATTGCCCTTTGCTGCGATGCAGTCATCCCCGTTGGTAATAACCGCGTTCTCGACAAGGAGATTATCGCTGTTCCACGAGTCATAGCCGTCTGTGTTGACAGTTCCCCATTCATTATCACTCGTAGCATTGACGAACAGGTTGGTGATGGAGACATTTTTGCTGTAGGACACAAACGTCGCCCAGAACTGCGGCTGGATGATTCTCAGATTGTCGACAAGGAGATTAGTGGAGTTGTAGAATGTGATGCTGATCGGTCGCCCCGGCTGGTTGCTATTGTTCTGGTTCTCTGTGTACCAGGCTTGACCCTGGCCATTGTACCACCCGCCCTCGCCGCGCAGGGTGACGTTAGTTCCTCCGAAAAGCCAGGCCGTGGACTGGTTCTGGAGAACAACATTGTATGAATGCGAGAGCCAGTACGGGATGTCGTCGGAAAAGCGCAGCTCGCCGCGTAGGGAGACGTCACAGTTAAGTAGGTTGGTAGTGTTCAACACGGAATTGATATTGAATGTGTTGTCGGAGAATATGACGGTGCCGTTGATGCCGCAGAGATCAAAGGCCTGATGGATGGACGGCGCGTCGTCCACCGCTTCGCCATTATGATCGAGTCCCTCCGGGTAGAGCGTGCAGGTCGTGCCATTATTGACAACATAGGCGGCGGTCAGGGGGGCCAATGCCCCGAGTAGCCAGAAACGCATAGTGGTTAATGACGAGCCTGCCTTGGAAGAAGGGACCGGCGATCATTTTATATCGTCACCTCGCATTGTACTATGCCGAGGGGGAGAGTTGCATCCTTCGCCGATGTGACCTCCGCACGAGTAAGTTCGACCCAGTCCATTCGCTCAGGCTTAGACCGAGAGGGGGCGACGATCGCAGATCCATGTTGAGCGGAGTTGAACTGTTTTGGCCATGTTGTTGGCTGGATGGCAAGGGAGCTCAATTGTATTTCGGGGCCAAATAAGCTATTCCTGAACCAAATCATATTGTAGGCGTGTATAAAAGTAAAAAGTGTGGTGAAGATATACGCGTGCCCAGTGGTTGATAGTTCCCGAAGGTCTGCTTCTCCCCCGGCTAATCTTCATCCACACCCCACGTCACCATGCTGCTCGAACCCGCGCATGGTGACTGCCTCGCCTAAATGCCTACGCCAGCCGTATGTCTGCTTGGTTTATTCGCACTGATCCGGACTAATAATCAATTCCAGACTCCGTCCCCGTTTCGTCTGTCTCGTCGTAATCCACCCTCGACGCGCCGCAATGCTGGCCCACAATTCGCACCTACCCCTCGTTTTCGGCTGTCGCGAAGGATATCGGCTCAGGAAAGAGACGGAGATGAGATCGACACCATAGACGATGATCCACCGCCGCCATCAGCCCATGAAGCGCGCGTGGCACCTGGATCTAGCATCACGCGTCGCCAAAGAGACGGGATTGAAGATTTTGATGATGGAGAGCTATTCAGAGATAAAAGCAGAACAGGGGATGCATTCAATGAGATTATCGATGATATCATTGATGGTACACCCCCAGAGGAAGACCCTGAGTCGCCGGGGCTTCTCGACGCGCGATTCGACGCGGTCTTTGCGCCGGTGAGAGAGCGGACGAAACGGCGGCGTATCGACATAGAAAGAGAGGCTTCGCCCAATCAAGAACAACTCGAGCCGATACTATCTGCCTCCCCTGAACCTCAGCCGATCACGACTGTGGATACTCCAGTCTCCCCAGAAACAGGTCCCTTGGAGTCTCCGACGCAGAGCACTCCAGCAGTGCCAGCGCATCCACTCGTATCGCCACCGGGGAATTTCAAAACACCCTTTCGGAACCGTCCGAAATTTACGCTTTTTTCATCCCAGAAACAAACTGATACTCAAAATACGCCTAATCAGAGAACACCATTAGCACAAACAACACCGGCCCCGACACAGGACAGACGCAAGCCAACATTCATTCTACCTCGTTCTCCATCGCCATCAGCTGCAGCAGAAAACATTCCTGCGCCATTTTCACCGTCCTCTCGTACGTTACACCGTCGTGGTAAACGCGCAGGAGTACCTGGCTATCAACCAGGTGGAATGGCAGCAGAAGTACGCAGCTGGATTTTGGAAATGGCGTCGAAGAGGGAGCAATTTGTCACCAGTCCAATAACCCGAACTCCGTCATCAAATTCTGCTGACGACCTTTCTCAAGAGGAATTGAGAAAGTATCTAGTGGCTGCACGAGTCCTTCGTGCTCACCAGTCGACAATCAGTGGCTCTGGTCCTGTGACACGCATCAAAGCAAAGCCAATCACCATAAATCCGGAAATTGACGAAAACGCAGAAATCATCAATGTTATGGTCATGGGTTCACCTCGATCCAAACCAGTCTTGCAGCAACAATCACCGCGTACTGGCTCTGTGCAAGGGCATCCAGGGTTGGGCGTTCAGACAGGAGACTTGATCGGGATCTATCAATGTCTCTCATGGACCTTAGAACTCAGTTCGAACTGCACGAACCCTGACGATGATTATCCGCATGAAAAAGAGTCGTGGCTTGTGGCTATGGAGTGGGATCTCATACAAGAAGCTATCTGAGCGCTGCACGTTTTACACATCATCTTGACCGGTGACAGACGAAGTTCGGCGATGCAACATGAACTAATGACTGATGAACTATATCAAGATATCAAATATCACGATTTATACGGACATCAATACTGCGAAACCGACTCTGAACTGAGATCAACCCTAGTGTTCTCAAAATCTCTGGCCTTGACCTTGTTCTTGAATAGGATATCCATCTCCCCAAAAGTGCGATTCTTGGTCTCTGGAAGACGGAAGTATGCCCAAAGGAGACCCAGTCCCATAATCCCACCATAGAAGAAGCCGGACTTGGCGCCCCAATTCCATGAAGTCTGCTGCACCATATGCGGAACGAGCTGGCCATAGATCAGACAAGCGACGTTATAGACTGCGCGAGCGAGTACGACGCTTTTGGTGCGGAGGTAGTTGGATGGGATCTCGGTGACGATGGTGTAGATGATAGGACCGATGGTGATGAAGAAGACAAAATATTCAATCAGGAGAATACTGCCAATGCCATACCCTATGTTGGGGTGCGTGGCTAGATTGGGGATACCCAGGAATCCAATGAGGATAGTCGTGCTGGCCATGAACCCCGTGCCAATTAGCAGCAGCGAGCGTCGGCCTAGCTTGGGGACCAAGAACCAGGCAATGAAGACACCGACGATAGCCAACGCGTATTCGCCCATGCCGAAGTCAAAAGAAGCATTCGGGGTAAGACCGGCCTCCTCGAGAAAGTACACAATATAAGCAACCAGCGGCGCACAAAGCTCTTGAATGAGATAAGTGAAGACCGTGATCTCCGTTCTGCGCAGATCCACGCCTTTGAACAAGTCCAGGTAACTGCTAGACGCATTCGCCTCGTTCTCGATCTTGACAGTGTGCACCATCATGGCGACAGTATCCTCGATTTCTTCCTCCGGACTGTCCTTCGACCGCAGCCGGCGCAGCATGCGGCCTGCATCTTCAGCGCGGCCCTTGCGGATAAGCCACCATGGTGACTCGGGCGCCAAGTAGATGCCAATCGCGAGCGGAATAGGCAAGACCCACTGTAGGGCAAAGGGGATGCGGTAGGCCCACTGGCCCGACGATTGTAGAAATGCACGCAGAACACCGGTGCCGACGAGATAGCCAATGCTCCAACAGAGAGAGACCAGCATCGTGAGATACGGCCGCAGCACATTGGGACACACCTCGGCGGCGTACGTGGTCGTCAGGGTCTGAAAAACGCCCCAGGGAATACCAAGTAGGATCTCTGCACCCAGATACATGTAGATGCTGGTGGCGAAGAATTGCAAGAAAATAAACGCCATCATCAGAAATAGACAGCCGATCATGACCCAGCGGTAACCGAACCAGTCGGCGAACAGGCCGTTCAGCAGTAGTCCGACAATCTCACCAGCGTTGACTCCATTGCCAATGGCAGATTGCAGCTCTGCGGGAATCTCGTATTTCCCATTTCCCAGGGAAACTCCGTATCTTTCCTGAAAAGCAGGAAACGCAATGAAGCCAGTCACGAAGGCGTGGTCGAAGCCCTCCATGATCAGTGCTGCAGAAAACCATATCGACCAGAAAACGGCTTTAGGATATTTGCGAATCCCTGCGCGTAGGCCCATCTGATGCTCATCTTCTGTCGCTCTCTCGGCGCCCTTTAGGATGTCGCTGGTCGAGGCATACTTCTCTGCGTCTTTCTCGATTACAGTTGCAATAGTTCGGGCATCGCGCACATCTTCCTGGTGTTCGGGCATCGCGCTGCGAATAGCAAGAAGTGGCACCGAGAAGACTGCTGAGATTGGATTCTAGTTATTTACCGTGATTGTTTTCTTTTCGATATTATGTGCCTCGTCTCGGGTTGACGGCGGCCTCTTTGTAGCAGCCACTGTTTCGCGGCCCCAGCTCACCCCACCGGAGGGTCGACCCGCCTTCCCCAGACTCTTGCAGGGGTTGTTTGTCTGGGGTAAAAGCTAAATCAGACGATATCGGGGCAGTCGATTCCCGGTCCGCTAATCATTCTGACGCGCCGGTGATTGTTAGACCGAGCCTTTACCTTCTTCATCGCGGTGGACGAACCGTGCAGCAATAGCATTGGCATTAGCGAGCCGTGCGCCGAAGAATTGCCGACGAATGCAGGGATATTGTCTCGTGATAGCCTGCGTTGACTCGACTCCACTCGTATTATTCGGCACCGGACTAGCTTGTCCCGCTGCATGTGGCTTCTATCACGTCCGGTGATGTTTAAAACTCCGCTGGCCAGCCCTCGAAGAGCAGGCTTGGCATTGCTGATCCGGCATAATTCTTGTTGGCTATTAGTCTGGGCATTTGTTGCTTCCTAAAGACCTTGTGCAAAGCAGGATGACAACTGGAAATGTACGTTGGCTCACCGGCAATGGTGACAACGCGCTATCCGATGGCATTTCCTTTGGCATGCCCTGGCCCAGAGGCCTGTATCAGCCGGGGCAAACATTCGTGATTGACGGAGAGGGCAAAAATTATCCCCTCGACTCGCGCGAGCTCGCCTATTGGGCAGATGGCTCTCTCAAATGGACGGCCCATTCGGTCAGCGGCGATATCGACTACAGTGAGCGATACAGCGTCCAGGGCGTGCAGTGGAAAGAGAAGCCCAATTGCGGTGTCAAAGTCGAACACATAAACGATGCCATTTCATTGGTCTCTCAACGGGGACTTCATGTGTCATTCGCGGCGCCGGGCAGTTCACAGATTTTGGACACTCTAGCATTTGACGGACACACCGTATGCTCTGGTGCCACGATCGTGGCCTCCATTGATGGCAGAGAGTATTCCCCACACGTCAAGGCAGTTGAAATTGAGAATGAAACGATAAGCCGGGTCGTTGTCAAAGTGTCCGGCATCGTGGAAGCTGCTGGTAGCGATGCCCACCTTCCATTTGACGTGCGAGTCTATGTGTATTCGAATGCGTCAACTCTTCGAATAATCCACTCATTTATCCACGACTTGGAACCTCACCAGCCTCTCACATCACTTGGCTTGCGCTTTTCTGTTCCCATGGGTCGAACGGAGCTGTACAACCGTCATGTTCGCCTGGGAGGCTCTGAGGGAGGAGTCTTGAAAGAGGAAGTACAGGGTCTGTCTGGGTTACGGCATGGCCCGACTCTCCAGAACCGAGTTGATCAAACAGCTGGACGACCTGTCACTCTACGTGAAGATGAGTGGTCTGGAACGGAGCTTCTTCCCGGACTGTCATACATTCCTTCCTGGAACGACTATTCGCTCGCTCAACTCTCATCCGATGGCTTTACAGTCAAGAAACGCACGAAACGGGGCTGTTCATGGGTCAAAATTACCGGCGGTGGACGAGCAGATGGGACTGCATATGTGGGTTCGGCACAAACTGGTGGCCTCGCAGTGGGCATGTCTGACTTCTGGGAACGCTATCCGACTCAGCTGGATTTAAGCGGCTTGACCACGGAGGAGGGCACTGTAACGGTTTGGCTGTATTCACCACTGGCCGAGCCTCTTGAAACAACCCCATACCATGATGGACTTGGATTGGATTCTTATGAAAAGCAGCTGGAGGCGCTCAATGTGACGTATGAGGACTATGAGCCCGGATTTGCTACAGCAAACGGCATTGGCAGGACGAACCAGTTCTTCTTGAAACCATTCCTTTCAACTCCTTCAAATGACGACCTTAGTTCTTTCTCGGCCCTTGTCCGCAATCAACCCCGGATAGTTGCTACAGTGGAGCATATGCACTTTGCGGACGTTTTTCATGGATGCTGGGCCCCTGATCCCCGGGCTTTGGGCGTCACACCCCACCCCCAGACGACAAATATTGAAAATAATCTCGAGCTGCTTTTCAGATTCTACCATGGGCAAGTCGAGCAGAACCGATGGTACGGATTCTGGGATCATGGAGACGTGCAGCATACATACGATCCGCACCGTCATGCATGGCGATATGATGTCGGCGGCTTTGCTTGGGATAATTCTGAACTATCGACAGATCTATGGCTCTGGCTTTACTTCCTTCACACGGGCAGAGCAGATGTGTTCAAAATGGCGGAAGCCATGACGCGACACACTGGGGAGGTTGATGTATATCACGCAGGAAAATTCAAGGGATTCGGGACTCGGCACGGTGTTCAACATTTCAGCGATAGCTCCAAGCAGCTTCGAATTTCCAACGCTCTCTACCGGCGCATCTACTTCTATCTAACGGGAGATGAACGCACTGGTGATCTGATTTCGGAGCTTCAGGAATGTCAAAATGCCTTGTTGGGGTTGGACTCGCACCGGAAAGTTCAGGCGCACGCTGGCATTCCCGAGGGGTTTGCCATGACGAACATCGGTCTAGACTGCGGGCCACTTGCTGCTGCTTGGTTGACAGCATGGGAGAGAAGAACAGAAGGGTGGGTAAAGTCAAGGGAGCTACTAATGAAGTTACTGGAGGGTATTGCCAGTCTCAAACACGGGATTGGTAACAATGCAATGCTACTAAATCCCACCACCGGGGAAGTTCAAGAATGTCCCCCTCCTACGCCAGAGTGGGCTATCTCGCATTTATCTATGTTATTTGGGTTCCCAGAAATTTTTGCGGAGTTGCTTGACTATGCTCGCGCCGAATACCCTTCTACTGTGGAGGATTTCATGAAAGTGTGGCTCAGCTACTGTCGAGCATATAACAGCGGACCCAGTGTTCAACGCGAAGAATTCGGCTTCGAGTTCCCATCTCATGCAACCTGGAGGCAAAGCCACTCTACATTGACGGCCTTTGCTGCGGTAGAACAAAATAGTGAAGAACTTGCACATGCTGCATGGACTCAGTTCTTCAGTACAGATGGATATACGCAACATCACGACTGGACAATCCTCAAGGCTGGTCCTCCGGAATATTTTAATCACAGGGAAGAGGCTGTCTGGATCAGAACTAACGAGGCTGCTCGCTATGGCGTCTCGGCAATTTCCAACCTTGCAAATATCGGAAAGTATCTAAAATAGATTGTCAAGTGCGCATATCTAGTTTAACGGTGTGTTTCCAGTCACTATTTGACACAGATCTGAATTAGAAGCATAGCTCAGGCGCTGCGTCTCGGCTCATAATCAACCCGTAGCCCCGAGTGTGGCTACAGTCACTAATTTCAGTCCAATAGACGGATTTCGAAAACTTCCCGTCATAGGTATTGGTTGCGTTATCGCGGGGTTGCGGGGAGTTGGGGCAACACGGCCGTTCATTGATGGAAAAAAGAAGAGATCAGTTTGGCCGTTGTCTGGTGAGGGGCACAGTAGCAATCATCTGAAGATCCTAAACCAAATCGAAGCTCAATATTTGATCTGTTAGTGGCTACCAGCTACTGCTCTCTATCTCTGTCGCCGTCCTCACATCGCATTTTTGTGTATGCTTTGAAAACACTCCAAGGAAGCATGGCGCGGACGAAATATGCCCTCGTGGGCACTGGCGGGCGAGCAGGCTTCTTCTACAGCGCCATTGCTCAGACCTTCCAGAGTACTGCGATGCTCGTCGCATTCTGTGACACCAACCAGACACGAATGGATGTCGCGAATAAACGCATACAGGAGTTAGGGCTATCGCCGTTGCCCACCTATAAGGCCGCCGATTTCGACCGAATGATCGACGATACAAAGCCCGATGCGGTGATTGTGACAACCATTGATCGGACGCACCACATCTACATAATACGTGCCATGGAGCTTGGTTGCAATGTGCTCAGCGAAAAGCCGATGACAGTGGACGTAGAGAAGTGCCAAATGATCCTCAACGCTGTCAATACAACCAAGCAGCAGTTGCGCGTTACTTTCAATTATCGGTATGCGCCTCACAACACTAGAATCCGGGAACTACTTTTAGATGGCGTCATTGGGAAAGTCACCTCTGTACATTTTGAATGGATGCTCAATACGAAGCACGGTGCGGACTACTTTCGTCGCTGGCACCGAGATAAGCGAAATAGTGGCGGCCTTCTCGTCCACAAGTCTACGCATCATTTTGATCTGGTTAATTTCTGGTTGGGAAGCCACCCGGCTACCGTATTCGCGATGGGAGATCTGAAGTTCTACGGCAAGGAGAATGCTGAATCTCGGGGCGAGACGAATTTTTACTCTCGAGCGCATGGGAGTGCGGCCGCGGAGAATGACCCCTTTGCCCTCCAAATGAAAGATCATCCTCAACTTAAGGAGATGTATCTAGATGCAGAGCATGAAGACGGTTACTATCGGGACCAAAACGTGTTCGGTGACGGGATCAGCATAGAAGATACAATGGGTGTCTTAGTAGGGTACAAATCAGGGGCAATTCTGACATACAGCTTGGTCGCCTATTGCCCGTGGGAGGGATTTCGGGTCTGTTTTAATGGAACCAAGGGTCGGCTGGAAATGGATGTTCTTGAACAGTCGTATGTCAATGCTGGCGGGCAGCAGAGCGAGGAGGGCGCGATAGCCCATACGGAGATTACCGTTCATCCAATGTTTGCGCCACCATACGGAGTGTCCGTTGTCGAAAGTGAAGGTGGTCATGGTGGAGGAGACCCTGCTCTTCTTAATGATCTGTTTGGTACACCTGTGCCGGATCGGCTACATCGAGCTGCATCGCATGTCGATGGGGCCATGTCAATTTTGACGGGCATTGCAGCCAACCAGGCTATACGAACTGGACAGGTTGTCCAAGTGAAAGATCTAGTGCAATTCTGAATAGGAAAAGTCTCTTATAGAAGGAAAATGAAAGTGCTACAACTGCATCCATGAGATGTCGGAATACATTGTTCGGCATTTACTCATTTTCTTCTGGTTTGCTGCTATGATATACCGCTAGCTTTTCTTCGTATAACAAAGGTTTCCATGTTTTGGGCATGAATTTTATTGTGAAAAAGTTCCAGTGATGAAATTAAGCTCAGTGATGACTGATTGTGAAGGACTTGAAAAAGAGTTTCCTCATGACAATGAATAAAACATCAGTGCGCAGTAAAGAATGACAAAAGGTAACCAGCAGTAGGCAATAAATTATTAGAAACCCCCTAGTAGGGAATGACCTTGACTGCAGAAAGAAGGCCATAATCCTGAGGTGGCTGCCCACTGATTGGGGTCGATGTGCCATTCGCGGCACTCTCTAACTCAGACCACAGCGGGCGTAAAGTATTGAGAAGTGGTGTAGTGACCAGTGCGTCTATTCTGTTCTTTCCGGGTCTGAGATATTTCGTTATATCCGCCCGGGCCCACGTCGGGTCCATGGGTGGCAGGGTCTGACCGTTCACAGTGACGCGCAAAGTATGGAAGATAGCGCCAAAGTCAATGATTGCCGATTTCGAGCGATCCGATGAAGGCCAGCTAAATATAGAAGTATAATAGCCTCGGCCACTTGTGGTCGTCAGATTGCTATCAATGTCTTTCCAAGACTTCAAGCCATTGGGGAGGTTGTGCGTGGTGTTGTACTTGACAGTATCACTAGGGAGCATTTTAGACAGGTCTGACGGAGGATCCCAATGCTCGATCGTAACGGTCCAGTTGCTGATCTCGATTGGGTCCGATGAAGACTTGGGCGGGTAGTATTGCGAAGGATCTTGAACATTGTAGGTTTGCCCTTTAGACGTAGATCTATGGGTGTCCCCACTAGATGAAGAGAGATCAAAAGCGACAATGACTGACTGGTTTCCGGCAAGCTGGAAAGGGATCTTGGTCGAGGTTGATGACTGTGTGTAGTTCAGAATTGGAACTTTGTCACCTGTCCAAGCATCCAAAATGTACGGGGTCCCCAAGCTGGCAAATTGAACGCTTCCTTCGCTGTGACCGTTTCCAAGACCCCATGTTGAAGGAGCCAAAGCATCGTTGTAGACGAAAAAGTAGTTAAAATCGTCTGTTTGGCGCCAGTATGTATACCAGGTATTGTCTGCCACAACCTTGGTGCCAGGTGTGATACCGAGAGAGTCAAGGGTGTTGGCAAGACCCTCATAAGGAACCTGGTGCACATTTGGAAGCGATGTCAGGCTATGAAGTGTCTTCTTGGCATACTCTGAGCCGCTCTCATTATAGCTCGCTAGGTATGTTGGAATACCACCAGAAAAGATGATTGGAAGACCAGCATGGGCAAATCTGGCGATTCCCTCCGCACCAGCAACTGTCATGGAATCGTTCCCACGCACGATAAGGGCCTTGAACTCCTGGGCGTCGGGTCCCAAGACGCCGTTTTTAACGTAAGCCTGAGGCAGGTCAAAATTGTTCGGTGACAAATACTCGTAGGTGTAGCCAGCTTCTTCCAAGTCTGTTGGCAAGTAGTTTCTCACGATGCCGGGGAATGTCGTGATATACATGTAGAACGCGACATCTCTCTTCGGAATGCCGGATTGGAAGATGAAGGAATGCCGAGCCAAGAAGTCGAGGAATAGGTCCTTGTAAAACTCCCACGCCGGCTGGCGTGGGCCATGCATTTCTGAGTATGCATAGTCAAATGTACTCCAGCCAGGCCATGTCGTGTTACCGTACTCTCCAGAGTAAGGGTACCCGTGGATAATGAACTGAGTGACTGATCCCGCGATTGATCGCTTAGCGTCCCAGAGCCATTCAGGAATTGTTTGCTGGTAGGCTTCTTCGTGAATTGCTCCCTCTTCGGTCGACACCAGCCGCTTCTGGGCCAAGTTTGCCGGTCCAGTATATTGTCGATAGCCATCGATGAGGTGATTGAACCCTAGCGATTCGCATTCAGTCCCACCCACTAGAGGAACGTTCTGAAGCATATCCATGGGCAGATTATAAGAAATCTGAGCGCTAAACTGGAGATTCAGATAGTCTTCTGCCCAAGCCTCCAAGGTGGACACATAGATTCCGTAGAGGTTTGTCAGTGTTTGTCGGTAGTCTGCAATATGGCTGTCACCTGCATCTGGCTCATCGGTAATATACCAGACTGTTGGCTCTGTATCAAATCCGATCTTGTTTTGATGGAAGAGAATTGGCAAGTACTTGCTGACGTCGTATCCGTGGTCTCCCATAAATCTGGTAGTATAATTCTTGGTGAAAAAGACATTTGCTCTTGTCTCAATGGAGTCCTCCCAGCCGTAGTTGCCAACCTCCTGTAGCAACTTCTTCAGCTCAGACTCCTCGGGAACGATATACTTCTCCCAGTAATCGGTCATTGTCTTTGCACCAAGAGCAGAGAAATGGTCAACAGCCCAGCTGCCATTCTGGTGCCACGTCTTCGGCGTAGTTTGGGGTCCCCGCATGAAGGCTGGATTTTGCTGGGCACGGTATCCATTGTGGATCTGGTAAATGACGAACACCTCATGGTATAGCCCAGTGCTGTTATGTGGGAAGGAAACGTGCAAGTTTCCATCCGACCCGACCTGGCCTGTGACGTCCTGTAAAGAATTTGTGGCCAATGTGACTTGGGTTCTATCAGATGGACCATCTCCAGGAAGACTGGGGTAGGTTCCGGTGGTGTTGAGAGATGTCTCGGTAGTGCTAGGCACGGTGACATTGATTGAGTTGGTAACAAGTCCAGTAATGACAGCTTGCAATTTGACGGTACCCTCGACAGAGTCCCAACCCGGCAATTTCCCACTCCAAGAACCACCGAGTGGAACGGTAAAGTTAAAGGCATAAAGGTCATACATCAGGCCTTCGGAGTTCTCGGGGGCGGGCACTCCTTGGCCTTGATTCGGACCCATGGCAAAATCTATATAACTTTGTGTTAGTCCGATTGTAATCGGTTGTAGTTGGCAATTCTCTCACCCATGATGCAGCCATTGTCCTTGTGGGCCTGCGCCAGCGTATGAAAGACATTTGTCCAGGCAGGTGTTCCCCAGCCGTATATCGACCAGTCATCGGGTGCAAAGTTTCCTGTTCCCTCCGGTGTGCCTATATAGTATCATTCTTAGTTAATGAGCACAGCCGTCACGCAAGACAGCTCATACCGCCGTACAAATAGTATCCCAAAACTTCTACACCGCCGGCCCCAGTAGTTTTGGCTCCTGCTATATCATCACGAAGAACTGCAGCATCGACACTTGCATCTGGCACCCAATAACGATACCGAGGTCGGACAAACACAGAAGGGTCCTTGAATGTGCCGTTATCTATCGCCGCGTTGACCAAGGAGTCGGAATGGTCATATGGCAGCGCTCGTACCATACAGGTCCAGAGACCTGTCGCCAGTCCGAGGGTCAACTTGAAGTTCAACATTGTCCCGGTAAAATCTTAGACTTGTTCCAAGAATGGGTCCATGGCATTGTTTTGAAGCATTTATACCCGAGTCCTAACGCTACAGGAAGGATCTACATCTATCTCTCTATGCAAGCGTCATTATTTCCAATCATCGCTGCACCTGGCCGTGTTCGGGTTAATGCACACCGATTGCTATTGCTTGTTAAGTCGACTCGTCGTTCAAAATGCTTCGGACTCATCCCTATATGAATGCTCCGGGGACGATCACCCCCGCAGGACCCCCGCAATTGACGATATTAGGGCAATGTCGATCAACGGGAGAGAATTATTAATGTGATCCTTTGCCATACTTTTGTCGCGGAGATCCGAACGTAACAGGAACTCGGGGCATGGAAGACCGAAGGCAGACAAAGTATTAAACTGCGCTTGGGAAAACAAGCATATCGAGAGAAAAAGCTTGCGGGGAAGTTCGTCATATATAATACTTGGAATCACGGAATGCTTCTTCATGCTTACTTGAAAACCCCCGCTTTACTCAGTGAGCAGTACATAAATAATGGACACATCTTCGGAGCCAGAACCTCCGTTAGCCTCGGTGAGGAAAGGAGGGAGTGTACCCCCTAAGAAGCCAGCGGCCCGCACTGCGGACCGGGCGATTTAATGGTCGAGTTGAAGTCTCATAAATAAGAGTTGAATCACCGTTTATTCTAGATATCTCGCTCAAAGCGGACAAAATAGATTAAATATCACCATTATCATTATGTCTCATACTATTCATGGCAAAGCGGTCGCCGGACGGGGCTATAGTCGCTCCGAGTGTGAACCAGTCGACACCAATGTCTTAGCGGAGCCTATCGAGCTCCCGTTCTCTGGTCGTATCGCAAAGAATCGGTTTCTGAAGGCGCCCATGACTGAGCGACTATGCAGCTGGTCCAAGGGGCTTGACGATATTGTAAGTCAATTGATATAACGTTATTCCCACTTCCAAGATGCTTACTGTAGAATAGACAGCACGTGGTGTACCAAGTAAAGAGTTGATCAACCTTTATGCGCGATGGGGCGAGGGTGATATTGGAATAATCGTCGGCGGCAACCTCATGGTTCGCTATGATGCCGTAGAGGCGTTCGGCAACCCTATCCTTTGCGATAACCATGACAATCGAATCGAACAATTCAAAGAGTTGTCTGCCGCTGCCAAGGCTCACGGATCACTCTTCATCGCCCAACTCTCTCACCCGGGCCGACAGGGAAATATCGCACTTAACCCTAATCCAGTCAGCGCAAGTGATGTTGAACTGAAGATTCACTGGGCTGGCAATGAGTTCGGCAAGCCTCGCGCGCTCACAGTCCCTGAAATTCATGAACTGGTTCGCCAGTACGGTGAAACGGCATACCTGTGCCACCAATCGGGGCATGATGGGGTCCAGGTATTCTAGTTTTTCAATTCAAACTATGGAGTCTTCTGCTAAATCAAAATAGGTTCATTGCGCCCATGGCTATCTCCTTGCACAATTTTTAAGCAAGACTACCAACAAGCGAACTGACGAATATGGAGGAAGTCTGGAGAACCGTAGTCGCATTGTCTTCGAGATCATTGATGAGATAAGACGCCGAGTTCCAGACCCTAACTTCATTATTTGCGCTAAAGTCAATTCTGTTGAATTCCAAGCTGGAGGTATGATCCCAAGTCCCCAGGAGGTATAAAGTACCAGCCTAATGTTATTCAAGGCACCAAACCAGAGGAGTGCCAGTGGCTTTGTATGAAACTCGAAGAGGCCAAGCTAGACTTCGTCGACCTATCGGGGGGCACCTTCGAGGGTCGAGCTTTTGAGCACAAAAAAGAATCGACGGTATGAAATCCAGAATTCACTGCATAACTGAAGCTAAGAAGTGAACTACAACAGAAAGCTCGCGAGGCATATTTCATTGAATTTGCCGAGATGATTCGACCGCATCTCAAGAAAACGAAGCTCATCGTTACGGGCGGGTTCAGAACCTCCAAGGGTATGGTTGATGCTATTAATGGCGGAGCTTGTGATGGTATCGGGATTGGCCGCCCACTCGCAGCAGAGCCCTTCCTCTGTAAAGAGATTCTCGAGGGTCGAGTCACTGGGGCTCTTGAAAATTTTGTGCCCTTGCCGCAGCATACCCAAGCTTCCGGCACTCAGTTGCATCAAATTGGACTTGCAGACAAAACTATCAGTGATTGGAGTAGTCAGGAGGAAGTTGAACGCTGGGTTGAGGCTTTCAAGATCGAGACGGAGCGTAGAAAATCCATTTTCCCCAAGATTGATAGTTCGGGATACCCAAGGATTCACGCCGTCGCTGGTTTCGAATATTGAAAGGGGGGGCTGAATTTACATGACTGAGGAATAGATCTCAAGAACTCAATAGTGATGAAAGCTAGGATACAGGAGCCCAAAGGAGCGAAAGCCAAGTATTGTTCTATAGTTCCTCTTTCAAAAGATTATGTGCTTTATTTAAGCTTTTTTTCTTCTGATTTTGCATCAATGTACACAAGTTCGAAAAACATATGATATCTGTGAGTGCTCCAATTCAATCGCTTTGAATTTATCAACCCGAGATAGCCTTGAGCGCATCCACCGCGACATTGCAACCCCATCGCACCAACTTCTGCTCCTTCTCCGAAGACACAATGTCCGTCTTAGCAACAACCTTGCGCACAAAGAAAATCAGTCCCTTAGCAATGTGTGGCGAGTCCTGAACGCGCAAGAATATTTGCATCAGAGCCTTCTCATCCTTGGCGTCATCAGCATCTGTCTCTTTTGATTTCTTCTTCAAAGTGCGTTTAGACTTTTGCGATTGTTGGAAGATAGTGATAATCAATAACTCCACAAAGGTTTTCGTCTTGGGTTGCAGGTATACGAAATTCAGGTTCTTCAGGACGTTGAGCGTCAGGGTGCCGTCCGCAATGAGAATACCGTACATCTTGGCCAGATTGACAACGGATTTCATGCTGATGGCGTTCTCGTCATCGTCAGCGTCGAAGCCGCCATCGTCGTCCTCATCATCCAAGTCATTCTTCTCGCCCATCCGCTTAAAAATGTTCCAAAGAGCGAACATGAAGGAGACCTTGATGCGTCGGCCTGATTCGCCGCAGAGTCGGCGCGCAATAAGCGTATAGTACGGGTTATGTGCTTCTTCTTCCATTGCGCAGTGGAGAAGCACCCGCGGGATTTCAAACTCTTGAGCACGCTTTAGCCGGAGCTTTAGAAGGCGGACATTGGCGTCTTGGTAATCTGTGGCGGACATGATGGCAACGAAGATCGACCGTCGAACATCGGTGTTCATTCGGTGGGCTTTTGCAAGCTGTCCAAGATCGGGCTCTGGGTCGCTGTCTTCCTCGGCAACAGCATCGGGATTAGCTGAGGTTAGATTGGCCAGCTCTTGGCGTGCAGAGACCAATGGATCTTCCTTCCAGCTTGCACCAACCAGCCACCATTTACCCTTCTTAGAAGAGTTTTGAATGTCTGAGCGGGTGATGTTCATGGGCTCCGACGCGCGAATGACCCGCGAGTTGTTCAAAGACCCCAAGATCTTGCGCATCTTGGTGATATGCTCAGATGTGATGTTCGCGCCAATTCCAGATTTCACGCGGTTGTTTTTCAGATCCGTGATGATATCGATCATGAATTTCGTGCGAACAGAGAGGCTTTCCTCACCAATCTTTGCCACAGCAGGCTGGATGAGCAAGACAATATCCTTCAGAGCAGATGGATCGTCCTGTCGAAGCTGCGGGCCAGAGTCTGCATCAATGTTAGACAGCTTGTGATTGCGAATGGTTAGTTCCACTTACTTCGGATGACCTTTAGCAGGAGTTCGGTATTGGTCTCCGTAATCTCCTGCAAAAATAGGCGGATGTAATCAAATATCAACGGGCTGCCGATCACATGGAAATTGTACATCTGCGAGAGAAGAGAGACCAGATTGATGAACTCTTTCCCCTCGAATTTACCGCTGTCGGCGCCATCCGCATCCAAGGTCTCAACGATCTTTTGTACAATCTCTGCACCAACATCCATTCCCATAATCCTGTACAGAGCAGCAATGAACCCCGCATGGAGGACGAGAAAGGTATCCTGAAGAGCAGATTTTTCACAGATCAGACCCATGAGAAGATCGATAATTGTAGATGTAACATGTTGGCGAGGGTAGTCGCGGTAAAGTTTTTCGAATTCGGAAACAATGGAGATTAGATTAGCCTCGGACATTTTATTCAGATGACCCTGCGCCTGGCGTCTCAGTCGAGTAAGAGACTCCGTCTCCGGATCAGAACGCGCTCGCAATGATGGCGGAATATATTTCTGTGGCTGGGTTTGTTGCGGCTTTGCGACAGGTGCCACATAGGGATTTTCTCGCTTCTTAGGCTGCTGCTTGTTGTCCTCCTCGTCAAAGCCGTCGAACTCGCTGCCTTCGCTGTCCTCGTCCTCCTCGTCATCACTTCCAAAGATCTCATCGTCAAGATCGAAGTCCTCCTCGGAGCTTTCTGTGTCATCCTCGTCATCATCCTGTTCTTCCATTTGAAGTGCTTGAGCCTTTTGTCTCTTGCTTTGTAGCCAATCATCGGCTTCCCGTTTGCGCTTCCGGCTGTCGTCTTCCGAGTCCTCAGCCAGATCGCCAAGCAATTCATTTAAGCCATCCTCTTCAAAGGCCTTTGGGAGTTTCTTGCCCTTTTTGAGACCAAGTTTCTTCTCCAAAGCCGCGATTTCTGCATCGTCTTGCGCCAGTTTAGACTTGACAGTTCCCGAAATATGTCGTCCCTGTGACTCCTCTTCCGATTCTTCACTATCACCATCTCCCTCGTCTAGATCAATCTCTTCTGGCATAGGCCGCTTCTTCATAACCGACTTTGGCTGCTGGGTGGTCTCGGCCGATTTTGATTTCGTCTTTGGTGAACTGTGTTCCGCCTCCTCAGACTCCTCCTCATCCTCGTCTAGGTCAAAATTATCCTTGGTCGTTTCGTCGTATCGTTTTCCATTCTTGCGATTTGGCAGAGTTGTCTTTCGAGACTTCTTCTCCGTGCGCTCGACCCGCCGGCGGTCCTTGCGAGATGAGGGCCCGGCTTGACGACGCTTCCGATCGCCGTAGGTGTCTCGTATCCCCAGTTCACTTCGTAAATCCCTTGGCAGCGACGTCGTATTATGGTGGCGTCGTTGCACCATGGCTGCGTTGAGTGTTTTGTGTTGCAAAGGTCGAGGTTGAAGGATAGCGGACACAGGCGGTCAGGGAACTTTTTCACTTTTCTGCCCACGAAACACGAGGGCGGTGGAATAACCAATCCCCCACAGTGGATTTGGTTGTTGGTCGAATCCCATCCTCGACACTATCATTCACTCAATCTCCGTGTGCCTGGACCAAGCATACTCACAATGGCGCCTCATTTGAGCCACAATGAGGTAATTACTATCTCGACCGCGCATTCGCAGCAACACCGTATCACTAACACTTCTACCAGTTCTTCTCGTCCCTCACCGATCTGCTCTCCAAGACCTCCCAAAAGTCACGCGGCTCTGTCTATCTCACCCAGAAGCCGATGACTGATGCCGATTCGTCCAACTCCCAACCATCCATCCTTATCCGTGCCACGGACGGAAACACCAATGCGCCGAACCCGAAGTCAGGCAAGAGTGGAAAGTCCTCACGAGTCACGAAGGACAAGTCGACAAAGGTGAAAATGTCCACGATTGTCAGCCCGGGTGACCTCGAGTCCTTCTACACTCGGTACGCGGAGGTGTGCAAGACGGGTATGGCTGGGTTGAAGAAGCGGGATCGCAGCAAGCGGAAGGGGAAGGCGAAGGCGAAGGGCGGCGCTTCCAAGACGACCGAGGCATGAGCGCACGCTTTCATCTCTTTTTACGAGACTTGCTTCCAGTTGTGGCTTGCAATTACTGCATTTTCCGGCGTTTAATGTTACTTTTATCCCCTGTTTCGGGTGATATCCCATATACACTATTGTTTATACAGGCTTTCATCAATGCGGCTTTATTACGATGCCGACTGAAATCGATTTACAACAGCAAAATGCTGACCTGATCATCTCTCTATCCTATCACCAGCGGGTATCTACTTTTGCCCTCTGTGACTCTAAAGTCCCAGCTGGTGCCCTCAAACTCCTTCCTCGGCTGCACATTGACATTAAACCCATCCTTGAGGGGACCCATAATAGACGTGATGGCTTTTGGATTCGTCTTCGGGTCCTTCCAGATCCCTCCAACAGGAAGCACGTCGAATCGCATAACCGTCATGGCAATCAATCCCAATATCTCACCACTCGCAAAGTGGCGGCCGGGACAGATGACGGGCGAGACGCCGAAAGACATGAAACCACCTACACGCCGAGGATCCTTCTTCTTCTCTGCCTGGTTGTCGGAAGGCGTGGCCTTAATGAATCGTCTTGGGTCAAATTCACCATTTGTCGAGCCCCAGACATCCGGGTTTCGGCCAATGGAAATCGCAGGCATCATAACGACATGCCCTTCTTTCAACTGATACCGATCACCAACCATAAGCTCTTGGGTAACGAAGCGTGTGGGAGACGAAGATGATCTCGTACGAAGAATCTCCTGGAACGCAGACATCAAGAGAGGGCAGTCTTCACGAAGATCGGCGAGATCAATAACATGCGTGCCATCCTCCGAGATATGCACTGCATTTGCCTGTACTTCATCGCGGATCTGTTCTAGCAAGTCGGCTCGGGAGAACATATCGTACAGGGCCCAGAAAGCTGCCGGAACAGTGTTCGAGAGCAGGGCAAAGGCCATACTTGTCTCCAGCAGCGCGATATCTCTCACGGCCATGCCTGCATCCCGCGGTATTTTAAATCGACCGAAGGTTAGGTCGGAGGAGTCTTCGTGCCCTCCGCGGTTATAATAGTCTTCAAACGCTCTGGCAAGAGTTTCCCGTCCCTTCCAAGCAGTACGCGCCGTCAGCCACGGTAGCGTATTCGCTATCAATGGACTAAGGTTGTTTTCAAAATCCCTATATCATTGAATTAGCAAGGAGCAGGGTCTGTAGAGATCGTAGAGCACAAACCAGAATGCATCCTCGACTTTCCGGTCCTTGTAAGGGTTCATGTCCCCGTAGGAGGAATCGGTACTCGCAGCCGTAATGGAATGGCGAGTCCACTCATACAAGTCAACTGACTCAACAGTCCCTAGTTCGTCGATAAGAGGCCGTAGCAGCCGAATCATTCGCTCGTTCATCAGATCCAGGGATTTACCCAACAACGAAGGATGCATGCCGTGGAGAAGTTCTGTAGCGAGCGTAGCGCCACTGGGCTGCTTCGATTTCAACAGGCCAAGAGCCTGTGGAGAGACGCCCGCCATGCGTTCAGCGGAGAATAACGTGAATGGCTCGAAAACAAGGGTCTTGGGGTTTTGTTGAATATTACGCATCAGCGCCGGAGAGCTAATCACATAGATCTTGTTGAAGACCAGATCTAACGAGAAAATCGGGCGCGTCGAGTGTTTTTCGCTGTCGACGAAATCAGACCAGCTCGGAATAGAGCAAAAAACAAAACCAAAAAGGGTGAGAGCTCACGCTTGCTTTCCAAAATAGGCAACGCCGTACCAGAGCAACCCGATCAGGTGTCCGAAGATGGGAATGCTGCTCGACACCAGCGGTGGTTCGCCGGCATCATGGCTTTGGCGCCGATAGACCGCAACTCCCAAGACGGCAACGAGGCCTAGAATGAGAATCTGGCCGAGACTCAACATGATGGACCCGATGAACTAGTTAGCTCAGTAGCTTTTTCCACCGGGTGTCATCGAAAGAAGGGGGAGGGGGTTTCATGAATCTATCACCGACGACTCGGCACGGGACGCAATCTTAGGTCCGCAAATGAGCCAATGATCAAAATCCAATCAGATTGCGTGTATTGGTGGAATTTGCTAGCGTGAATCGGGACGGCCCCCCAATCGCCCAGCATCGGTTTAACCGTAAAGGGGAAATACAAAAATATATCACGTGATGCCCCATTTGGGTGATAGTAGTGCTACCTCCATTTGAAGTATCCAGTACGTTAGCTGGCGTTTTCCTAAGGTCGCCATATCATCATCCTTCACCTCACTAACGTCACCTCCTGCTACAATCCAATTCGCATTATTGTTGCTTATCAGGGACCTTACGCAGTTGTAACTGTGAAGTCAGTGTAATCCGGCGGGAATTTGATTTTCCGCGACAGAATGCACCCCACAAAATTCTCAGTCAAACAACGAACCTATTTATCAGATCAGATAACCATGGCCAAGTCCAAATCTGCCAAGCGCAAGCGCAATGCACAAGTCGACCTTCCACAAAAACTCCCAAAGGCCGACTCTTCCACGCTAACGCCGCCTCCCGATGGCTCAACTCTTGAGCCCAAACACCTCAAAACGGTCGTCTCAGATGAGGAGCTCGACATCACCATCGAGACGCTCACGACTCTCGCACAATACCCTAGCCTGACCAAATCAAAGGCATGCAAGGACCTCCGAGTCGCAGTCTATGACTTCCGCCAGGCCTGTGCCACGGGCCTCAACACTGCTGGTACGCTGCTGCGTTGTCTCTAATTGAGAGCTGCAACTAATCGTTTGATAGAGGGTGCCAACCTGACAGCACGAATAACCGGTGCCCTGGTCGATCAGAAATACCTTGAGGCCAAGATCCTGCTCGCTGAGATGAGGATCCGGGGCGAACAACCCAAGATTGGAGCCTTATGTCGCTGGGTGCGAGATCTGGACGTCGTCAGCGGCCTATCAACACAGCCCGAAGCTTTCAATCGTGTCCCTCTTGAGCGCAGCGCAAGGGACATGGAACTCCTCGGCGTCCTCGATGCCACCCTGCGTGTCAGCACCCCGATTGACACCAACCCGAACGCCATCGACTCAACCTCTCCAATTGCCTTCCAGTCCATCTGGGACCTCCGCCCCTCGACGGCACCACTCCAAATCTACGCTTCGGTCCTCGACAAATCTATCCTGGCCGAGGCGCCGAAGTCCCCCTCCGTCCTCCGCATCATCGACCGCACCCCCGGCCCACTCCGCAAACCACCGAACCATCATCCCGCCATCCTCTACACTACCGCCCCGAACGCTGTCCCACTGGCTCCCATCAGCCCTTCCATAACATATCATCCACATCCCGCTGTGCCAGGCCTCGGCCTCGCGCTGAATGTACTTTCCGCCGCCGAGTGCAAGGCAATCATTGCTGCCGGCGAATCCGTCAATTTCCTTCCCGACGCGCCCCTCCGCGAAGATGGGGATATGAGCATCCTAGCCCACAATTTTTATTGGGTAGTCGATACCACTTTCCATGACATGCTCTGGGCGCGAATCTCCCCTTATGTGCCGCCCTCGATCAATGGTCGCCTAGCCAGAGGCATCAATCGGCGCTTTCGCGTGTACAGATACGTCCCTGGCGCCGAGTACCGGTGCCATATTGACGGAGCTTGGCCACCATCCGGTATCCTCCCCGATGACACGTACGTGTACGACTCCTCGCCCGAAGGAAAGAAGCAGAGCTCCATGTACACCTTCTTACTATATCTCAACGACGAGTTCGAGGGCGGAGAGACGACTTTCTTTATGCCAGCCGCGCGAGAGGGAACCCTTAATGCATACCCTGTGAGCCCTGTGATGGGAGCCGTTGCGATATTCCCGCACGGTGAGGCGAATGGGGCCCTACTACATGAAGGGACAGGAGTGAGGAAGGGCGCAAAATATATTATCAGAACTGACGTAGAGTACGACGTTAAGCCTTGCGAAAAGTGATGATAAAGATACGAATGAATAATAACATAGAATTGGATTTTAAAATCAGAAGAGTTTTCGGAATTTTTGACCCGATGTGCACGAGGAGTATAGCGTTCATAATGGAAGGCAATGTTAGTAGGAAATTGGCTAGGTAGACGAGGAAATATGTAGCCAGGTGGGCAGATATAAAAATGGTATACTGGAAAGTCTGTGATCCCATTCGGCTACGAGCTTCACTACACGGAGTTCGACTTTAAATGGGAAGGAAGCATTGCACCATGAGAACGACACCCAGCAACTCGTTCTTATCCCGTGAGTTTAATGTCCAATGTTGTCGAGCTTTACGGTCTTTCTGCCTTATTCTCATATGGAAAACGGTGTCTTACAGTCGGATGGGAAACTGGATACTTCTCATTTGCTCTTTCCGCGCTCGCCGTTCGTAGCCTCCAGCTATATATGGACCATCCCCCGTCTGTCTGTAAGAGAAATGCAGAGGGTGAATTGTGTGTTCCTGATTGAGGCCCCTGGCCGTCACCGATATTAGGCTGTTTTTAGCACCCCTGCAGCAGCATCCCACATCAGGCACGAACTGGCTAGCGGGTAGATAGATGCTTTAAAAGAGAAAGCCAATAATTGCCAAGAATTATTATTATCTGCTGGTATATATGTCCCCTCACATGTAAACGATAGTATATACACAGCCACCGATATGACACATGTACATATCTCCCATAGCGCCCGCTTAGAGAGACAGCACAAGCTTCTTCAGCTTCTGGAAGTTGGGCGTGCCCAGTCCAGTGACGGGATCCCAGCCCTCAGTCGCGTTCCAGTGAGCGTAGGGAATGATCAGGGAGCCGTTGACGTAGTCATTGCTTTGAGGATCGATGCCTCCGCATCCGTAAGAGCCGCCGGCGGTGATGTCGTTCAGGGCCTTGAATCCCTCAGAGTACAGCCAGGGGTTCAGGAATCCCAGAGCAGGCTTTCCAGCACGCAGACGGGCATCGTTGAGCAGGCCGACAATGCCAGCGAAGGTGGGTGCAGCGGCGGAGGTGCCGCCAGAGGCAGCCTTCTCGCCACCGTAGATCACTTCGAAATCAGGGTACAGACTGTGTGAAGACACGTCAGGGAAGCCACGGCCCTTGAAGTTGGCAAAGTTCGAGTAGTACTTCTTGACCTTCGAGTCGAGGTTGGACAGGTAGGTGTTGACAGAGTTCTTCTGATACCAGGCCTGCTCGAAGTAGCTAGAGAAACCGCCCGAACTGGCATTCCAGGCAACCTCGGGCGCGACGTCGGAGGTACCGCCGACAGCAGTGACGTAAGGGCAGGTGGCCGGGAAGATGGGGTTGAACTGGGGGGTGATGCCGTCTTGGGCCTGGCAGGCAGAGCCAACACCCTCGTCACCGGAAGAGTGGATGATAGTGATTCCACGAAGGGTGTTCAGACCGATCAGATTGCAGACGCGCTTCGCGAACTTCTCGGGCACGGTCTGCTCGTCGTCGCCGTAGGAGTTGGAGATGACCTGAGGCAGCTTAGAGGGATCCTGCGAGAGCAGGTACTCATAGTAGTACATGTACGGCTCATTTTGGTCCTCGGAGGCACTGGGCTCGTCGGCATCCGGAAGAAAAGGAGCGACTCCACCCGTGATAAACTCATGAACGGGCAAGGGGTGCGAGACGGCCACGATGAGCTGCACGTCCAGATTGGACTCAGTCACATCACTTATGGGGGCAGTCTGATTGTCGACACCTCCGTTGAGGGTCTTGACAGTGAAGCTCTGGCTGGGGATGTCGAAGAGCTTTTCGTACTGGATCAGGTCGGAGATCGAGGCGGTCTGGTTCAGGAAACTGCCGAAGCCGATACGGCTGCCAGCAGAGGGCTCCGGAACGTAGTCGCCCACGTTGTACATCTCCTTCAGACACGAAGGGGTGATGGACGTCTCACAAGCCGGCGAGACTTTCGTGTTAGAGGCCTTGAGGTCCGACTTCACACTCGCCGTCGTGACCGTCTTGGTCTTCTGAAGATCATTGTTGTCATTGCCAAAGAAGACCGTAGGCGTGATCAGATCAATGTCATTGCTCAGGTCGTCGGGGATGGAGTACTGGGTGGTGCGCAGTTGCACACTGCCCTTCTGCTGGTAGTAGGCAAACTCAGTGTCGAGCAGCTTGTTGACGGTCTGGAGAGGTGCAGCAAAGCTGAGCAGACCACCCTCGCGCTTGATCGTCTTGACACCAGCATTCTTCAGCCACTGCACGACCTTGGCATCGTCCACGACGGGAAACTCCCGCTCGATATCGCTGTTGGCCATCCATTCGCCGTACTTAGCATTGCCAGGAGTCGCCAATTGAGCCAGTTTGGAGTCGATCTGGTCGAGATTCTGACGGTTCAAGGCAATTGACAGCTGGATAGGCTCATCGGCCTTGGGAGCTCCAACATGCACCCAGTTGTTGCGGGTTGCTTGAGTCGCTTTCTCCCAGACCGCGCCCAGGGCAGGAGCAGCTAGAGAGCAGAGCAGCCCAGTCTTGATTGCGGAAGGCATCTTGATGGTAGGAATGCACTATGTACAGCGAACTTAGGACAGAACGAAAAGAAGGGATCGGCAGCTCTACTTATCCATTCTTGTTGTTGTTGTTGTTGTAACCCCCTCTTTTTACCTCCAAGGCTCACAGACCGACGGGACTCCGCATTCCCAGGCCGAAACACACGGACGTTACATCTCGAGTGGGCCCTGATTGTTGTGTTGTCGCTAGTTAATCTCCCCCAAGCTTCTGAGGGGATCGTCAGGGGTAACCGGCCTGGGCCCTGATAGTTGAACAATGCCTTTTTGTGTTCGACACATAATTGCATTTACCGAACAACATGAAGGAATCCACTTCTCTTCATACAACTGGCATTGCTCTCGTGGACGGTTTGCCAAATAATGATCGAGACGGAGTCCGCCGGGGCTTATTACGCTTAAGCACACAGCCCCACGGACGCCATGGACCCGAGGTGTTTAATGAGCGTGTCTAACCAATAATGGTCAATGGCTGCTGTCTCCGATTTATCCGTTATCTCGCTTATGTCGTGACGGAGAAGGAACTAATAATCTATCAAGCCACCGTCAACCATCAAGGCAGAACACAACACAACTAGGGCTCAGGCCGGTGGTTCGGCAAGAACGTCAAGCATCGATTGCCGCGCAAATCGGGACTCCATGTATACATGCAGCTTCCACTGGTAGCCTGTATATAATTCCGCCTTCCATTCCTATAATAATATATGCAACGCTAGAATACATCATCCGAAAAAGTACAAACCATGCTAGATATGTCCACTCAACTAGCCATGCAAACAAGGTACCCAAATATCCGTAAGAAAATAACAACAACAGAGGGGATATCATGATGTAGCTTCATGCTGACAGAGATATTGAAAAGGGCGGGTATTAGTGAATAAAAAGAAAATCGTATAGAAGAATGCGCAAAAGACCATCTTATCGGACACTCGTTGATCACCCAGCTGTGGTTCCAGATTAGTCCAGGTCCCATGGATCCATTTTGCTGGAAAGGTTGGCGTCTTCATATTCAGAAGGCGTTTCAGGCTCCAAGGGAAAACTGAAATCATCCTCATTGACATAGTCTGGACGGGGTGGCTGGCCAGCCTTAGAAGTGGAGTCAACAGCTGGATTAGCAACGATGCGTGCGGCAACGTGCAGCAAAATGACAAACAGATACATCGGTGGTATCAAGACCATAGTCAGTGCCTTGGTAAGAATTGATGTAGCATCCTGAGTTGGGGGCGGATGGTAGATAGTAGAGGGAGGAGGCATAGGCGAAAGGTCTCGCTGCCGTGTAGCCCGTGCGCGACGACGGAATTCGGCGCTCATGTGGTTGAAATCTGTGTGCGGCGCTGTGGACGAGATGACAGATCCAGCGGACAACCTCGAGCTCGAGGAGACGGACAAGTCTGAAGTAGGCCTTGGCGGGTCCTCCTTGACAATGCGTTGCACCCTCATTGGCGGTGTTGCGAGTATGTCTTCACTCTTGGAGCTTTCAAGCTTTTCAGGTTGCCGTTTCCGTACTATTTTGGGAGGCACTTGATCCTGAGAAGCGGCCTGCGAGATAATATGATCATGGCACTTGATGATCTTTTCGGTCAGGCCACAGAATTCCACGGGGCTAGCATGAGTGGAATTGGTATCGGCTGGTGAAAGCAGATCCGCGGAGTGAAATGATGCAGGGCTGGATGAAAGTGAAGCATCGGATTCAGTCGCCACTCCTGTATCGGGTAAACCCTCGACTTCGGGCAGTTCACCCTCGGGAAATGCTTCAGGCTTTGCTTCTGTTGCAGAAAATGGTTCAACCTCAGTCAATTCTTTGGCCTCTTCGGCTTCAGCGACTGTTTCAACGACAGGCGAAGCCTTAGCTTCAACTTCCGGGAGAGCTTGGGCTTCCTTGGCCTCGGGCAGTGCATCAAATTCTTCGGCTTCTGGCAATGTCTTGGTGACAGGTGATTTCTGGTCTTCAGGTTGTGCTCCATATTGAGCTGGAGCTTCAGACGATTCTTTAACCTCTTTAGCTTCCGGCAGCGCTTCGGCATCTTCAGATAGAGGCAATGCTCCGGAACAAGACGATGGCTGATTCTCGGGAAGTGCTTCAGCATTTTGAATCTCGGCAATCGTTTCAGCTTGAGATGACCCCTCGGCATTAGACGACGCCTCCGCATCACCGAATGCTTCAGTTCCAAATAGTGCTTCAAGCTCAGGTTGTGCTTCGGCTTCGTCGGCTGCTTGCAATGCTTCAGCGTCGGGTCGCCTGTCACTGTCGGAATCTTCTTCATGCACCGATGTAGCTTCAAACTTTGCCAGCAAGCTGGTAAAAGTTTGCGTGGTCTCAGTCACTGAGCGCCGAGGAGGAGCGGGAGCTATGGGCGGATCCATGGAGTCGGTGGACAGAGACGACTCATCGCCATCGGGTATTGTTTCCAAAGCTGTACTGTTGGCTTTGTTGGAGGTAGGATCACTGTCATCGGTTGCATTACCGTCGGTGTCATCCCCCGTACTCGTGGAATCCACCCCATCAGACTTGGTAGGCGATAGCGAATCCGGCGTGCCCAGAGAATTCGCAGGCGCACTCTCCCTCCGAGCCTTGGGGCGCCACGCCTTTTTGCGCCGAGGAGCCATGGCTTCTTCTGGTATTTCGACAGTGAATGCGCGCTTGAAGGGACATGGCGTAACCTCGTATCGCAAGACTGTGGGCAACGCATTTTTCAAGTCTCCCACCGCGCGGTGGTCCTCTTCCGTTTCATGCGGCAGCTCGATGCGATAGTAGGTGAGAGGGCGAATGCGCAAGACGAATTTCGACACTCCATCCACACACCAACATTGCGAGTTCTTCAGGATCGCATGGACCACATTTCCGCATTTCAGGAAGACTGTCAGTCCATGCACCTTCTCGAGTCGCAGAGGCGCCGTCGCAACGGTTCGTTCGGTAGCTGAGCGCCAGGGCAGAGTTTCGATTGTATCAACGGGATAGTCGAAGTCAGATGGCGCAGAACTCGAGGGGCTGGGGTGGACGGCGCGAGGAGCAAACTTGACGATTTTCGCCTTTGGGTGGTAGAAGATCACATTTTCGGAGAGCGCTGGCGCATCGCGCGGCGCTTGGGGACTTAATTTGGCTGGAAGAGTGAACGAGCGACGGAGGGACGGTAACTGACCCGGGGACTCGCTCGGAGGCCCGGGCATTGTTTATGCGACACCGTAAACAAAGACGGACGGAGGGTGGAAGTGGGCGCATCGATGGGAATATCACTGGCGTTGCATATTGGATAGAGGGCAGTTGCAGGTAAAAATATCAAAAGCGCCGAGCAAACATCCAACGAGAGGAAAAGCGCAATCAGCTTCGAGTTATCAGCTGCGCATCTTGGGTGGGGGGATGGGTTCGCAGCCTTAGGCATGGGAAGTCCCACGTGACATGACGACACAGAAGGGATCCATGGATGCCTGGTTATTATCACCATTGTCAACAACAACACCATGTCCAACTTCGAGCCTAATGCCGTCATCCGCGGCTTCCAGCTTACCGTAGTAGGGAGTATGCGTCGTTGGTCCCTCGGCTGCTGTTCTTGATGGCTGACGTGATTCAATAGCGCTCCGTGCCTTGTATAATCCCGAGCTGTTCAAATATGAGCACTTCCGGCAAGCTGCGCTGGCCGTCGTGGTGGGGATTGTCATCCAGATCATCATTCAGATTCCAGTATGTCTCTTTTTCTCTTCTTCTGGAATATGTAATTCTAACTCTAGATTCCAGATCGTCGCCGTCAAATTCGCCATCTACTTATTGTCATGGATCATCAACCTGGATCACGCGACCTGGGACGACAAGCTCCTCAATGGCATGGAATTCATGTCCAAGTCTGTTCTGCAGGTACCATTTCTGCTGATGACGCTGATGCGATATGTGACCCCCACGCTGGACGAGATGTAAGCCATACGTAACAGCATTTGCCTTTCTCTTGCTGATCCTCCGCATAGCTTCATGCAATCCATTCAATGGGTGGATTCGACCTATATCCAAAAACACAAGTCCGAAGACCCTGACACCCTGCGGGCGATGTACTATCCGCACCTGATCCAGTACTCCATCAAAGGAAAGTCCGGTGTATCACGCCCCATCCCCGAGGCAATCATGGCCTTTGTGAACAGATACGCCAAGAAGATGGGTCTGATTCTCGGTGTCTATCTTCTCTCTCTGCTTCCCATCGTTGGTCGGTTCGTCATGCCAGCCGCAAGTTTCTACACGTTCCGGGACCATGTCGGCACTGTTCCTGCAGCAGCCATCTTTGGCGCGGGCCTGGTCTTGCCCAAGCGATTTATTGTCATGTTCCTCCACACTTACTTTGCATCCAGAAGCCTGATGCGTGAGCTAGTAAGTCTTGGAAGCCAATTTGTTCGAGTATTTCCTCTAACAATTCACAGTTGGAGCCCTATTTCTGCCGCATCAAATTCACCTCTGAACAAAAGCGCCGGTGGTTCCGCGATCGAGAAGGTGTTTTGTTTGGTTTTGCATTTGCCTTTACCGTCGTTATGAGGACCCCGTTTATCGGCGTGCTCATGTATGGCGTAGCAGAGGCTTCAACCGCCTATCTAATCACAAAGATCACCGACCCGCCGCCGGTCCCGGCCGAGAGTGAGGGTTTCGCGGAGAGCCAAGTGACCTGGAAGAACAAGCACGATTTTCTGCGCTTGTCACTCGATAACCTCGACAGACTCAATGTCGGGATGGACGATGACAACAAGAGCAGTCCACAAAGCTCCTCTGGGAAAAAGTTTACGTAGACACTTGCATGGTGCTGGACTTGATTCTAGACGAGCCAGGGGTTACGCGTTAACTAAGGTAAAAATGTCAATTGATTGCTGATCGTACTTCGTTATCGGCCTGTCCGACGATAGGCGAGATAAAGCGGGGATAAGCCACTTCTCCAACGGTTGGAGACGCGGTGTCGTAAGAGTTATCCAACCATACCTATTCTCCGCCTGCGGGGTATGTTATCAACAGGGGAGGGTGACTGGGACTTATATCCGGAAGATACCCTCGCACAAGGGGGCAGATAACCAGGCATAACCAACTCCTATCCAAAAGAATCAGCAACTATGGGTACCAAAGGAATCCGCACTGCCCTCACGGTCGACTTGAATAAGCCAGCAAGTGAGCAGCCTGGTCTGCATGTAAGTTGTGTTTAACCACAGCCCTGTTTATCTCATAGCTGATCATCTTAGAACCGATGGCACCCAGATAGTATGCTAATTTGCCTTTATGGACCCGAATGCGTTGCTGACATTTACCAGTCCCTGCCCATGGTAAAATCGCCAACAATGAAGTCGTCAAGATCGAATGCCTCGACTGGACGGGCGGACAGATCAAAAACAACGACTCAGCCGACGACGTGAAGAACGTAGATCTCACCAAGATTCACTATCTCTCCGGACCGTTCGACATCGAAACCGCGGAACCGGGCGATGTCCTGCTCGTGGAGATTCAGGACGTGCAGCCCTTCCAGGACCAGCCCTGGGGATTTACTGGCGTGTTTCATCGACAGAATGGAGGCGGTTTCTTGGATGAGATATATCCCGAAGCGTATGTTTATCGACATTGCGAAAAACGATTTCGTCTGACAATGGTAACCACAGAGCGAAGGCAATTTGGGACTTCGAGGGCATCTTTTGCTCCTCTCGTCACATCCCACACGTTCGATTCGCGGGTCTCATTCATCCCGGCATCTTGGGGTGTGCTCCCTCGGCAGAAGTACTCGCTGAATGGAACAAGCGTGAAGGCGAACTGATCGCAGCCAACACCGTGGCTGATCGAATCGTCGCACAGCCTCCGCAGCCTCTGAATGCACACGCAGGTGGTGCGGACGAGGCTACCAAGAGCAAAGTCGCCAGAGAAGGAGCTCGCACGATCCCTGTACGTTTCCACAAACTTCTTGCACAATAATCCAAACCTGACAACTCCTCTATAGGGCCGCCCCGAACACGGCGGAAACTGCGATATCAAGAACCTCTCCCGCGGTTCCAAAGTGTATCTCCCCGTCCACGTCCCAGGCGCCAAGTTCTCCGTCGGAGATCTCCACTTCTCGCAAGGCGACGGCGAGATCTCCTTCTGCGGCGCGATTGAGATGGCCGGTGTGATCACGCTCAAGTTCAGCGTGATCAAAAACGGAATGGCCAAGCTGGACATGAAGTCCCCGATCTTCCACGCAGGTCCCGTGGAGCCGCAGTTCGGGCCCGGGCGCTACCTTACCTTTGAAGGGTTCTCTGTCGACGAGAAGGGCAAGCAGCATTATCTCGATGCCTCGGTCGCGTATCGGCAGACCTGTCTACGGGTTATTGAGTATTTGAGACGCTATGGATACAGCGATTATCAGATTTATTTGCTGCTAAGCTGTGCACCCGTGCAGGGACATATTGCTGGCATTGTGGATATTCCGAATGCGTGCACTACCCTTGGTGTGCCGATGGATATCTTTGATTTTGATATTCGGCCCGAGACCGATGCCGTCAAGATGGATATGGGGACCTGTGCTTTTGCTAGTCAGTAGGGTAGTTTGCAGATGTTAATGAGTGGCGGTATACAAATTGAACAATTATTTGGAAGAGGAGACGACGTTTACATAACAACTATTGTTGCTAAACTACACATTCTATAATCGGCCCTCACTTTGCTCAATCTGCGTCCACTGATCCGGCTTCACATCCTGAAAGTCCATTAGCTTATTCGGTCCTCCGTAGCGGTTCTGCGTAGACCTCCAGTCACGGTCAACAGCAGTTTCGGGCCTCCATCGAAACACATCCTTCAACTCCTTCTGCAGTCTTTCCTCCAGAGCATCCACAATGAACCCTCCAATTGCAGGCATCTGCATAGCACCATTCCCAGAACCCCCCACAGCTACAATAAGCGATGAATGCTCTGGATGCCGATCGATCAGAAACGCCCGGTCAGGCGTATCAGCATCCCAGCAGATCCGGGCAAAAGAAAACGGCCGATCGGCGAGGTGTGGCATCGTGTCTCGTAGGAAATCCCTCGCACGAGCCTCGGCTTCCAGTGGAATCTGGTGCTTTGCGAAGGGGACACTTCTCGTTCCACCGGCTTGGTTGCTGGCATCTGCGACAAAATTGCAGTATCCCGGGTGTTCGTCGCAGATCTTGAGCTCGTGGTTGTCTTCATCGGGCTCCATGAAGAATCCCTTGGCTATATTAAACAGCACGGGCAGATTTCGGTATTTCTTTGCCTCCTCGGGGGTCATGCGGATATGGCTCAATGTCCACGCCGTCGGACGGAGCTGCTTCTTGAAGTCCAGTAAACGGTCGCTACCAGCACCTGCAGCTAAGATAACTCGGTCTGCACGGTGGACTTGCCCATCCGCAGTCCGAGCTCCGATGACATCCCCGTCTCTGTAGACCAGGGCCTCAACGTCACCCGCCGGGGATCCCGTCACAAACCTGACACCGAGTCGAGATGCCTCGGTGTACGCAGACAACATGGCCTTGCGTGCATGGATCCAGCCGGCGCCTGAGCGACTGAACCAGCCCTTCCAGCTGGGAAAATGTCCCGTCAAGACACCTGGAGGCATAGTCTTGCGAAAGTCCTCGGCGGTCTCGAGGCTCACAAAGTCACCTTCACACTGATCAATCTCCTCCGTCTTGATGTGCTCAATAAGAACCGGTGTATGACCAGATACAATAAATCCAGTCTCGTGGAAATACGGTTGGAACACTGGGTCGGTCTTCCAACCCTTCAAAGCCGCGCGGGAACAGGTCGCAAATGCGACACTCCGTGCATCGGGGTTTGCAGCTATACAAACATCAGCAAACTGCGACATAAACAAAATTGCCTGCCTACCCTTTAGTTCCTTGTGCTCCATGATCTTGTTGATATCGTTCCCCGCCGCAATGGGCGAGGGCACCGGGTGCGGATCCAGCACCAGGACATTTGTATATCCGCGTCGCGCGAGATGTAGAGCTGTCGAGCAGCCCCAGGTGCCTGCACCGACGATCAAAATGGAAGACGAGTGCGTGACTGCCATTGCGAACGGTGAAAGAGCATCATCTCTCAAATCCAGACGACGGGTAATTGTATGTGAAGCCGCTAGGAGTCTCCACAGTTTATCAGCCATCGTTTCGCTTGGACCTTCCCACCACCCAAACCTGGGGTATATGGACAATCATCTCCGCATTGCCGACCAGCCTCGCTCTATTAATCGCACTTCGTTTAGAAGTTGAGCCAATTGCGCCTCGGTGAATAAAGCCAACATCGCTTGGAGCTTCCACACCTTTGCGATCGCCCTTTTTTTCTCCTTGGAAGGTCGCGAGCGCGAGAGTCGGCTTGTACCGCCAAGACTATGGCGATCATGCCGGTGTCATAGCCGATCGTATTTAGGCAATCGAGGAGATGGTGAGGGGAGACACATATAAGGATCTCGGCTTTCTCGTGTTTGGGTTCAACGGCTTGCACTGCGTCCAAAGCAACATGGCGCGCTCTGATGACATCTTCACTGCTGTTCCTGGCACCGTATATCTCGTGGACGGCAGGTATCTCTAACTGAATTGGAAACATTATGCTCATGAAGTTATAGAGTCCCGAACTTTACGAGATGCTGCCCATGCCGGCGAGCAGGATATTCTGCTCATCCCACAGCCATCCAACTCCCTGGCTGATCCCCTCGTAAGATCGCATGAGAGTTGATCAGCGATTCGCAATTCTAATAGCTCGGTATAGAACTGGTCCCGTTTGAAGAAATACTACTCTCTATTCCTCATATCTGCATATGCCTGTGTGTACTCCTTCGGCGAGAACAATTGGGGCGCTAGCTGGACCGTCATTTCCGACGACACAGGAGTCAGTCTAACCAACATGAACGGCGGTTCTGCGCTGAACTATCTTCTACTGGGATTCTTTAACATTATCTGGATCCCTTCCGCCATGAAATATGGCCGGAAGATCGTTTATATTCTCAGTTTGATTCTACTTATGGCTGGTAGTATCTGGGGTGGTTTTTACCATGGCACGGTCCAGTACTATATTATGTTGGCTGTGCAGGGTGTTGGGACCGCGGCTTATCAGGCGTTGATTCAGCTCACGGTGAGTAGAGAGCCTGATTTTTGGTACGTGTGAAACTGACCTGCTGAAAGATCTTTGATATGTTCTTTACCCATGAGCGAGGCCGAATGGTTGCCATCTACATCTTCTTCCAGCAACTCGGCTCGATCCTCGGCCTTATCCTGGGTGGCTATATCTCAGACGGGATTGGTTGGCGATGGAGCTCGCTCATCGAGGCTATTGCATGTGTATGCACCCTTATCCATCCCCATTCTGACAGAATCCCCATCTAACAACCGCAGGGCGTAATGATCATACTTTTCGTCTTCACTTTCGACGACACAATGTTCCCGCGCTACCGCTTCACAGACCCCCTGCGCACGAGACTCTCCCACTCATCTGACGCCGACGAAGAACTCAAACGACAAGACGAAGAAGGAGGAGCCAAGGAAGACCCGATGGTACGAAGAAGCAACAGCAACAGCATCGGCGGCGAAGACATGCCGCCACGAACGTACCGGCAGCAGATTGCAATGGTGCACTACTTCGCCGACGATCAGACAACCTGGTTCCAGTACTTCCGCCGCCCCTTCTACCTGTTCGCGTTTCCGAATATCGTCCTCGCAGGCATCCAATTTGCCTTTGGGTGCACGGCGGGGATTGTTTCGTTCAATACCATCTCCGAGATCATGACTGAGAAGCCGTATAATTGGAGCGCGGGTTCGACGGGGTTGATCTTCCTGGCTGCCTTGGTTGGGAACTTCCTTGGGTGCGTGGTCTCACTATCTCCTCTGTCTGTCCTGTCTCTCTTCTAACAGCAGTAGAATGGGCGTTGGCTCCCTGTCCGATTGGGTTGTCCTGGTCCTCGCTCGTCGGAATAAAGGATATAAAGAGCCGGAGATGCGCCTCTGGGTGTATATTTTCCCGTTCATCTTCGGTGCCGTTGGCTACTTTACCTACGGCTGGGCTGCTACATACGGAGACCACTGGATGGCCATTGCCGTGGCGCTGTGCTGTCTGATTGCGCAGCAGGTGTCTATCACGAGTCTGGCAACTGCATACGCAATGGAATGCTTTGACGGGGTACGTGAGGAGCTGTCCTTTATCCAATTTATCGACTAACCGCACCAAAAATAGATCTCCGGCGAGCTGGTTGTCGTGCTGGCAATCTGCTCCTCGCTTATCAACTTCGCCATCTCCTTCTCCGTACAGCCTTTCATCGACACCACTAACTACGGGTGGACGTTCACCTGCTTCGGGCTGCTAGTGGTTCTCTCCGTGCTGGCGGGGATTCCCATGATTATCTGGGGTAAAGACTGGCGACGGAAATGCAAGGCGCGCTATGAGCAATTCTTGGCCGAGACAGGTCGGAACGGCCATCCGACGGCTATGTGATAGCACCTAAGCAAACACGAAATATAATGGGTTGGATATTTGTTGGATAATAATTTTTATTCCTAGGACAGTAGGAACGGCAGTTGGGGACAGGGCCTCCATAATGTTGTGTATCATACATCATGCATCATGCAACAGAACTCGTCATGATTCGTGATAGGATGAAACCACTCTAAGCGAAGAACTTCCTAGCCGCCGCCTTATCCTTCGCCTCGCGGTCCTTGACGGCCTTCTTGACCTTGGTGATCTCATTGGAAATACCCGCATCACCGGGAGCCAGCTTCGCAGCCTCTTGCAGATCCTTGAGCGCCTCGTCCTCCTCCTTCAGGCCCTCGTGAGCGAGAGCACGGCGGTAGTAGGCCTTGGCCTTGTCGGCGTCCTTGGCACTGGCTGCCTCTGCGACCTGAAGCGCGAAACCGGCCCATCTCTGAGCGTTTTGGAATTGTCCAAGCTTGTTGGCCAGCAGCGACGAGTTGGAGTGCAGCGTAAATCGGAGGGCCTTCATCTCTCCGCCCAGTTCCTTGGGATCGCCCTCACCCGGCTCGGGGAATTCGTTCAGGTAGCGCAGACCCTTCTGGTACTTCTCCAGGCCAAGGTGCAGATCACCCTTCTTGAAGGCCGTGTTGCCGAACGTCTTCAGCTCCGACGCAATCTTCAAGACCAGAGGCGCCGTTAGCTCCTCGCCCTGGTGATCCTCGGGGAAGTCCTCGTAAGGGTCACCGGTGGCATCCTGTACGCGTGTCACGGCATCCTCATAGTCTTTGCCCGTGAGCTCGCCGCAGTCCACGATCGTCACATCGACCGTGGGCTTGTCGGCCTCGGTGCTCATGTTCTCGATCTTGCGGATCACGCTCTTGCCGTTGATCACCTCGCCGAAGACAACGTGCTTGCCGTCCAGATGCGGGGTGGGGACCGTGGTCACGAAGAACTGACTGCCGTTGGTGCCGGGGCCCGAGTTGGCCATAGACAGCAGGAAGGGCTTTTCATGCTTGAGATCGAAGTTCTCGTCGGGGAACTTCTCGCCGTAGATCGACTCGCCGCCCGTGCCGTTGAATGCCGTGAAGTCTCCGCCCTGGATCATGAACTGCTTGATCACCCGGTGGAAGATCGAGCCTGTGTGGGGCGCGTCAGCTCGTCAGTGGACGGTTGCCTGCAGCCGGTCGAGTTTCTTCCGCACATACCTTTGTAGGTCAATGGCTTGCCCTGGGTGCCCATGCCCTTTTCACCTGTGCACAGCGCCCGAAAGTTGTCCGCGGTTTTGGGAACGACTGATTTGCCCGTGTTAGCTGCGTCCGATTCTCGATCTCGGGTGAAATGGCATACCATCGTTGTACTGCGCAGGCGGGGAAAAATGCATTAGCTTCCCAGAGTTCACTCGGTTTGCGACTGGCAAGCTGAACTTACCAGCTCAAATGCGACGCGACTGGGGTTGGCCTCGCCAATCTTAATGTCAAAGAAGACGCGGGAACGGTCTGTTGCAAGAATGTCGATTAGCATCAAGCATAATCACGCGGGTAGATCGGTGGACCCTGCGAAGAGAGTGGACATACGAGACTGCGCCATAGTGGTGGAGAATGTGTGAGGGAAGCAATGGAACCGACGGGGAGAGAGAGAAGGAAAAGTGAGTCGTGAGGCTGAGGGAGCGGGGAGGAAACAGAAAGTGGAGGGGGAAAGTGGTCGGCGGCTCTTCAGGAAGCTTCCATAATCATCTATCTATCTATGAAGGCACTGATGGGTATATCCACGATTTACATACATTTACTCCAATAATTCAGCCGGCAGCTTAAACTCATATGTCTGCCGTTGTGCCTCTCCTTCCCCTTCTTCTGCTTTGCCATTTTCCTTCTTATCCTCCTTTTTCTCCCTCTTGGGGAGCTTCGTATCGATCTCGATGGTAACCTGTCACATAGTCAGCCTAAATGGCCCGGTCGCGGCGCAGAACAGAAAGGCAGGAAGGCAAATATGTACCGCCGCATCTTCACTGCGGTAGTCGACACCCACCGGCCCATCGTTCTTGAGCTCAACCTCCATCATCGCCTGGAACACGCCGTTTTTGACTCGGTCAGGCACGTAGGACTTGCGCATGAGTTCGTAGAAGTGGTCGTAGATCTTGCGCGCGGTCTCGGCGTTGGCTGCCTCGTGGAAATCAGGCTTATTGCCTTTCTTCATCTTGCCGTAGAGAGTGAATTGGGAGACTGTCGATGTTTAGCAATGTCAACGTCAAGATGAGGGCTAGCGAGTCGTACCGCAGAGCACCTCGCCCTCAATGTCCTGAACACTCTTCTTCCACTGCAACTCTGGTCAGAAAATAGTCACTACATGCGCATCCATCGGCCTTACTTGTGCGCCATTCTCATCGGGCCAGAACCGGGACTTGAGCACCTTGTTCACTAGGCCTTCTGCGTCCTTCTCCGTGTCCTCCTTGCCTACCCCAGCCAAAACGAGAAGCCCGCGACCAATCGAGGAGACTAGCTCCTGGTCCACGGTGACTGAAGCAGACTTGACTCTTTGAATGACGACTGTCACAAGTGTTAATAAGCAGAAATTGGGAGGCGAAATGGTAGTGTACGCACCTTTCATGATGCAATCCACCGGAGTTGGGCACTATGGAATGAGAGAGCCGCTAGGGGCTTCAGTCAGGAGGGCTGCTGGTAAATCTGTACATCCAGCACCAACTAGCGAGTCATGATTGTGTCTAGAGAGGAGATGGTCGGAGGCGTCTTTATCTTTGGTGTTGCCGCCTGTCCACCGCCTCCAGTCTCACCGCCTTCCACTCACGGCATCCTCGAAGCTTTCCACTGCGACCTTCGTTTCACTCTGCATCCAGACCACACGCAATCGCTCTCTTCCGCTCACCCATTTCCTCTCCTCCTCTGCTGATGGAACATCTCCAATCAGCTTGATTGAACCCACACCCTCCGTCTTGATTGACCATCCACGAATTGCACGCCTGTGGACGGCTTGGTCCACATCCTCCGCGGCATCATGACATCCCGCAAGACACAACAAGAGATCGACAAGACCTTCAAGAAGGTCGCAGAAGGCATTCAGACTTTTGATGGGATTTACGAGAAGATTCGCGCTGTCACAAATCCCACCCAACGCGATAAGCTCGAGGAGAACCTCAAGCGCGAGATCAAAAAGCTCCAGCGGTTTCGGGATCAGATCAAATCATGGGCGGCGGGCAATGAAGTCAAGGATAAGGCTCCGCTCTTGGAGCAACGAAAAGCCATTGAAACGGTAAGTTCTTGCGAGTGCGCGCATGACCGTGGGGAATGTTGGCAGGCTAACGTCCGAGACAGTGCATGGAGCAATTCAAGGCCGTCGAGAAGGAGATGAAGACGAAGGCATACTCGAAAGAAGGACTTTCAGCGGCGTCACGACTCGATCCCAAGGAGAAAGAAAGAGTGGAGGCATCCGACTTCCTGTCATCCATGGTGGATGAACTCCAGCAGAAGATCGAATTGATGGAGGCCGAGGAGGAGACGCTTCAAGCCCAAATGAAGAAAGGCAAGAAGGATACGGGCAAGGCCAACCGGTTGGCGGATCTGAGCCACTATACGGAACGACATAAGTGGCACGTCGACAAGCTCGAGTTTCTCAACCGAGCCTTGCAGAACGGCAATCTCGAGGTGAACCAGGTGAACGAGCTCAAAGAAAGCATCAAGTACTACGTTGAGGAAGGCGCGAATATCGATTACTCCGGCGAAGACGAGACACTGTACGATGATCTAAATATTGGTGAAGATACGGAGGTGCAGTTCGGTATGGGCGGTGATGGCGATCGGGTGTCATCGCAAGACGCGCAATCCGTCCAGGATGATGAGCCAGAACCAAAACCGAAGCCCAAGGCAGAAGCTGCAGCCCCTCGGCGACCGTCGACACAGATGAAGTCACCGCTTCCCGTCCTCGCTACCCTCCACCCTTCGACCTCATCCAGCACCAGTTCGGCCATGAAGCCTGCTCCGCTCCCGACGCGTGCACCGGGCGAAACCCTCAAGTATGCCTCCGCGGCGGCCGCGGCAGCAGCAAGTGACAAGAGCGGCGTGGGTATTCTCCCTCTCCCACCTCCACCAGGGGCCAGTCCGGCCTTCTCTGTGGCTCTCCCTGCGTCCAGGGCGCCGTCTACTGCATCACCCAGTGTGGCATCAGCGCAACCGGTTGCAAAGCCTGCAACTCCTACGGTTTCGGACGAGATTGACGGCACAGGACGATCGAAAACGCCCGCCGGTGCTTCTGTCTCGGGTGTTTCATCGCCGGTTCCAGCAGACAGAATCGAAGCCAAAGAACCATCCACCAATGGCAAGCCTGAAGGTGATGAGTCGATATTCCACCTCCCACCGGGTCTCCAAGACCTGGTCCAGTCATTCGAGACGACCAAAGAGCGTGCGACAAACAACCCTTCGCCTTCTGTTCAGCGTCTGTTGGCAACCTCCCTTACGACTTGTCCCGAGCCCGGCGATGCCGAGAAGCCCCGCCACTACAAGCCGGCAAATCCATACAATACCCCTCTTTACTATCCGCAAGAGCCGCTCTCGATATTCGATGACCCTCGACTGTACGACACCGGGCGAATCGACACGGACACGCTGTTCTATCTCTTCTACTACCGACAGGGATCCTACCAGCAGTACATGGCCGCTAAGGCTCTCAAGAACCAGAGCTGGCGGTTCCACAAGCAGTACCAGACCTGGTTCCAGCGTCACGAAGAGCCCAAGAACATCACGGAGGAGTTTGAGCAAGGCACCTATCGATTCTTTGACTACGAAAGCACATGGTACGTTCAGTCAGCCGCCTCCCCGCCGCGAGGCTGGACTCCCCACCGCGAGGCTGGATGATGCAATAACCGGAAATTCTAACGAGGCGCAGGATGAATCGGCGCAAGGCTGATTTCAAGTTCGTATACAAGTATCTCGAAGACGAGCTATGATCTGCTTACGGGCAGGTGGTGGTCGAGGTGGTGGCTGAACCGGTCACGCTTCCTTGCTGGCCGGGCCGGCATCGAGCAGGGGTGGTTTGTTGTGTACGTGTTCTTTTTTTTTCTCTCTATTCATCATTACATCAGGGCCAGGCATGGGGCAGTCTCCAGGGGCACGGAGTTGAATGATTATTCCCGATTCCCGGTAGTTATTCTGATTTGAGTAACAATGACATGTTCATTTTTGTCGATTATGAGCCTAGAAGCACTACGAGTAGAGAAGGGCTGCAGGATCCAAGCAAAAGCGGGGGAACCCGATCCTCTGCGTTTTGTATACATGACGTGAGGACACGTCAAGGAGAGCAGAGGTCAGTTCGCCTCGCTGTCGTAACAGCTTCTGCGCTACGGTGCGGGATTTTCTTTCTAGAAGGGCCAGGATCAGAGAAGTGCGAGCCAGGGGGGCTGGGAGGGGGCAGCCACCAGCACGATCGAAGAGCCAATTATATCACTGGTGCCGATCGTCCCCGGACGCAGGCAAATCACTAGACTAAACCAGGCAAGTGGTGGAGAGGCGGGTTCGTGAGTGAGAGTGGCCGATCGTGGATCGTGTCAGCGGCCAACAATGGAAAATGGCCGATCCAACAGAGACGAAGGGGGCCTTGAAGTGGCCAGGCACTTTATCACAGCGTTCTTGGCTAGTATTCTCCACATTGAGGACAAGAGACGAGCGAATCTGAAACGACCAAAATAGCTTTAGCACTCAGTGGCGGCCGTCTACAGCAGGAAGGGGCCAGGGGGTATGTCAGAAGGGGGGATGGGTTGGTAGGGATTGACGCTAGAAGCCTTCTCGAAGCCCTCCTTCGGGTAGGGATGGGCACGACCAGGGTCGCATGCACAAGGCCACCATAGGTCTGACCGCAGTGTACAACTGGGGCCAAGTCGGAGGAATGGCGCTAGAAGCCTCGTGGAAGGTTCTGAACGTCATTAGCGACGCGAGTCGGGCTGCAGAAATTCGCGCAGTGCGAGGTCTTTGTATACAGTGCAGGTTGGATGAATGTAGAAGATGCTTCCACGGGAGGGAGGATGGGAGAATATACACAGTAGTCAATTCAATCTCCAACCAACAAACAGCCAAACCGATTGAGATGACCGCGATCCAACAACCAAACAATCCTATCTGGTGGCTGCTCGTGGCCCCCAATCCATCTGCATTTAACCGTGCTCCTCCAGGAAAATCAGCTTCAGAAGGATTCGTACCGGCGTCTCAGATGACAGGGCCGGCCGGGATTGGGGAATTCTCTCATTCTTCTAGAACCTGACCAGAATCCTTTATTTACAACCCATGTCCACTCTTCTCGCCCTGCATTATTCACTCCCACCATCCTTGAACCATCTCCATATCCTCTACTCTACTCTACTCTACACATCCACAATGCAGTCTCCCTATTCTTGCTACTCTTCGCCCGGCGACATGGACTTCTACTTCTACCACCCACAGCCACAAGTCCCCATCTACGACTCCCCGCTGTACGACCTGGAGCCGCCCTCCCCCTTTGGCGTGCCCGAGGTCGAGGTGTTCTCCTTCACTAGCTCGCCCTACGCTTATCCCGCCATGGCGGATGTGCCCATGTACGACGTGCCCAGGATGCCCACCAGCGCCCCGACCAGCAGCTGCGCCAGCAGCCATTGCAGCAGCAGCTCGGGAAGCTGGACCCCGGAGCTCATTATGCCTTCCTACCCCATGTCGTCGTCGAGCAGCACAGGCTACGACTCGTGCCCGGACTCGCCGCCGCCTGCTTCCAAGTGAGTTTCTTCTCGTGATCGCTACCTCGTATTCAAGCAATATACTGATATCGTTCCCATTCAGGCCTGCTAAGCCCTTTTCTTGCGAGAACTGTGGCAAGACCTTCACCCGCTTCGCGGACCTGAAGCGCCACCAGTCCTCGGTTCACTACCCCATCTTCCGCAACTGCCCTGTCGAGCACTGTTCGCGCAAGGGCAGCAATGGTTTCCCGCGCCAGGACCATCTCGTCGAGCACCTGCGCTCCTATCACCACTTGGACGTGCCGAAGCGCCGTGCCTTCAAGCGCTCCGCCAAGGAGATGGCATGATTACTTCGCGTTCCTCTTCAAACTTGTTCCTTGATGGATCTGTTCCTTGATGGGACCTAGTGATGGCTTGCCATCTCTCTCTTCTTACGATATTACGACCACTTTATTCTTCTATTTTGCGGCTGCTGCGCCAGTCATACCCCTTTTGTTGTGTGTTCATTTTATTATAGATCGCAGTCCTATTTTTGATTTTCGGCAATCCTGTATAGAAGAAAGACGACGCGGGCCTGTTTTCTTTTCTCGGATGGTTTTACGTTTGACGCTTATAGACATAGACTTGGCAGGATTTGGGGGTTTTCGATAGACTACTACTGCTTACTGGGATGGATGGGACGAGAGGGACGATTACTACGATGTATATAACTGAGGTGTCGGGATTTACTTACTTTCTTCGGAGGGTACATACAAAAGAATGGTCTTTATCTCCATACCATCGCCTCCTCTTTCTTACTTTCATCGTACTCTTCACGGACAAGGTTCTAGAACAAAGGCCCCAAACAAAATCGCGCACACGGTTGTCAGACTAACTACTGGTAGACGGCATTACCTTGTCAGTTCACCGCGATGATCCTCCACTCCCGCGCACGGACAACCAACACGATCCTTCAGGTGACCGCTGATCCCAAGCCCTGCGAACAAGGCCAAGTGATGCACGCTGTGTGTTAGCGAGCGAGTTAGCAAGGCTTAGCACAGCTTTTTTGCAAAGGGCCTGACCAACTATTCTGAGACGTACGTAAGTATAATACACTTTAACTAGCACCACTGGACCACAGGATCCACCAGTATAAACAACATTCTCTGTCCGATCCCGGGGAGTGGATCCTCGTCTATACCGAATTGAGCGCAAACAGAATCCTAGACACACTACTACATACTGTACCTACACTCCAGACCCATCTTGCAGAGCCACCCGCCCCTTCCAGTACTGGTCCCACTTGGCACAGTTTTCTTCCATTACTTGATTCACACCATCATCATCAAACGCTATCTCCCGTATAGCGGCCTCGTGCTCCACAAAACTATAGCGCAAAACCCTGCTCTAGATGCCAGCCGATAAGACAGTGCTTCAGCCATGCACCCGTGTTATCCGTCCGGAAGGCTAAAACTAGATATGCCGACCCTGGTAGAAGGGCTGTATCGCGCTTGGGGAGTGATCCTGCCGGCCTGGCTAGACCATGATGTTGTGGTAGTTGATAGGTTCCACTTTCTTGTGCGGTAATGAGAAAATCATGGCCGTGGAGAGGGATGGGTGTGGGCACGTCCAGGTTAGTTTCGATGGCTACGACGACCCAAGCTCCTGGGTTGGGGAGAGATATCAAGGTCGAGGTGTTGGCGAGGACCTGTGAAGTAGTTTGAACCTGACGGAGGATTAGATCGGACCAGTTCAGGTGCATGGACATCCCCTTAATCTGCCAACGGTAGAAGTGTCGTAGTCGCACCATTGCTGACAAGTTGCAGGGCTATTGCCCTGGCAGGGACTGGGGGATCTCTTAGCTGATGCACTAGCTGTGTGTGCAGCAGATATCCTGCTGATACTAGAGCTGGTGCCCTCGAGTCGGTGCAAAATATGAATGTTTCCGCCGTGGAATAGCTGCCGGTTTGAAATACAGCACTGCTCGTGCTTGTCTTATGATGGGTAGCAGTCGGGTTGGAAACAGAATCCGGCTCTGTAGTAGCAGCTCATGGATAAGATGGCTGTCAATAGGTAGGACGAGGTTAACTTGATACGCTTGTGCATAGTCAAAATTCAATTGCGACCCTGTAGAGTACATCCATACACTAACATAACGCCACCCCGAGTATTGCGCCAGCCCTCCTCACACTGCCATTATTTCGTCAAGGACAACTCTACAAAATCCGTAAAACACTGACCCCCTGCCTTCCCCGTCACATCAAATTTTACCCCCTCCTCCGCCAGCCGAATCTTCTTCTCCTCCCGAAAAGATCCGCCTGCCTTGTGCTTGCTCACCCGCCACTCCCCCTTGTACCCACCCAGGGTGCGATCCGCCGCCAGGACGCGGTGGCAGGGCACCTCGGGTGCGAAGGGGTTAGTGCGCATAGCGTTGCCGACGGCGCGCGCGCTGGATTTGAGATGTGCTGCCATCGCGGCGTAGGTGGTCCAGCGCCCTTCGGGGACGGAGAGGAGAGTGCGGTAGACGCGTCGGCGGAAGGGGGTAAGAGTTGGATGGAGGGAAATGCGGCGAAGGAATTTTTGGGTTGTCGGAGATAGTGTCTGAGTGGTGGTGATGGTGGTAGTGGTGGCGGGCATTGTTATGGTTGTCATGTTGCGATGGACTCGGCGTGTGCCAAGGCGGGATGGACGCGTAGATGTATTAGAGGAAGACGTAGCTGTACTAGATGAAAGCGTCGATCGCGTGCACAACAGATATTTTGGCTTTGTAAAATGGAGGGTTTCGGATGAGTAGAAGAAGAGATGATGGAGGAAGGAGAAAGAACCGGGATGAGGTGGTGGTAGTTATACTCCGCGGCTTGTCCTCAAAGTGACCAATCAGAGCTGATTTGAAATACGTACTTCCATGAGCAAGGGAAAATTCAGGAATCGTCTACACCCGAACGAAATTAAGCAAAGGATTGAGACTCCCTTTCTAATATAATCATTGTAGACATTGGGTTATGGTCGTAGATGAGTTTGTTGTATAGAATATGTATAGGTGTGAAATGCAATATGGACCTCTAGTTGCCTATCTATTCATGCGATATAGCCTCTAACATTATTCCATCCCTCCTCAAGTTCATGACTCATTCCCAACCTGTCATCAAGTCCGATCCACATGTTCTGCCGCCACACTATTGTCCTCCGTCTCGGAGAGAATATCCTTCACAGCCACCCCTTTGCCAGTCTCCGGATCCACTACGCTGTTCTTGCGGCTGGTAGTCTGGATCATGCTCGGGTTCTCAGCCTTGAGCCGAGCGAAATTCTTCTCAGCGTCCCAAGCCCACGGGGTCTTCGCGGCAAATAGCAAGTCCATATCTTCCAGCGTCCGCTGGTTACTCTCCGGGTACAGTGCCCATACCATGGGAATGGTGATCACGTTGCTGGCAGCGAAGATGTACAGGGTCTTCTCGCCGATGGCACTGAACATAACCGGGCACAGGAGGGTCTGATATTCAAAAATTAGCACCGAAAGCCCCATCGTATCATGCAAGGATACTCACCAGCCATCCATTACCGATACTCCATCCAACTACACCCCAGGCATTACCTCTAGCACGCACCGCCAGAGGGAAGATTTCGGCGGGATAGAGCCACGGCACGGTCAGCCAAGTCGCTCCGAAGGTGGAGGTGAAGATGAAGATCATCGAAGCAGCCGCAGCACCGAATGAGGATGCTTTGCCCATGTCGCCAGCCGCTTTGGCATTGATAGCCAAACGGGAAAACCCGCCAGCCAAAAACATGGCAATACCTTGGACGATGGAGCCCCAATAGAGAGTCCATCGACGGCCAATGCGATCCAGGGTGAAGACGCAGACAAGAGTTGCGAACTATAACCGCGAAAATTAGCACTTTTTCTCTTCCGAATAAAAATGAAACATACCATGTAAAAGATATTGTTCAGCCCGCTAATCCACTGACTCTTCTCCGAGCCGAAGCCAGCAATACTAAAGATAGTCGGTGCGTACACCGTGACACCAGCGATGCCGACCCATTCCTGCATGATTTGTAACCAGACCACGAGCTGCACACGACGACCGATATGCAAATCCCCAGACTTATACCCAAACAGCATCGACAGGTAGTTGTTGCTGTGAACCACCGTCTTCTCCATCTCGGCGATGTTCTGGATATCCTGGAACTCGGCCTCGGCGCGCACCCGCTCCTCAGGGCTGTCTCCGCGCAGACGCTGCAGGATGTATTTGGCCTCTTGCTCGCGGCCGACTTTGACTAGCCAGCGAGGCGACTCGGGGAAGAACCAGACGGCAAAGAACAGGACTAGTAGCATAATGATTTGGAATGCGATGGGGAAGCGCCAGCGGAAGGCTGACTTGCCGTCGTCGATAAAGGACAGGCCGCTAGTCAAGGTTAGTTATAGGTCTTTGGACCAGACCAAGAAGAAGGAATGAAAACGTACAACTCCAACCAATATGCCAGAACCACACCGAAAATATTCAAAGTAAACTCAATGGCAATGAACTGCCCGCGCGAGGTGTGTTCCGCGGTCTCGGTGGCCCAGACGGGGACAATGGCGTTCAGTATACCCGTGCCGATGCCGTTGATGAAGCGCGCTGCAGTCGTCAGCTTAATTCTCGTTTCTTGTCACGTCTTCGCCTACCGCAAATCATCCAGTTGTGATTCTGAGCCGAGCACTGCAGACTCGCGCCCACAATCGCCCAGACAGCGCCCACTGCGATACTCTTGATCCTGCCCATACGATCACCCAGCCAGCCACCGAACAGGCCGCCGCAGAGCGTCCCCAGGTAGTAGACCGAGACAATGCCACCCTGCAGCAGAGAATTGGTGACCACAGGTGTCAATTGGCCGTCCTCCACCTTAGTATAGCCAAAGCCCATGAGGTCAATGTAGTCTTTGGCGTTGTTCACGCCGGACATCATACCCTGGTCATATCCGAAGAATAGAATGGACAAAGCCGCAACGCAATTGACTGCTATGAGAAGCTGACGCTTCTCCAGCTTATGGACGATGTTCCATTTGGGGATGAGGTCACTCATTTTGATTGCAACCGAGGAAGAACCAGTCGGTCTAAGAAAAGAACAAGGAAAGGAGGGAGCAAGCAGACCTATGTCCGCGGGGTGGGTGGTCTGAATCCGGCAGGGAACAAATTCGCGCGACACGGCGATCTGCTTGCTTTTAAGTCTCAATAGGTCCTTTACGGCGCGAGTCCGAGACTCAGACCCAAGGGGAAGTTCTCTACGAAGATCAGCCAAGACCGTCCCAAGCTCAGCAAAGGCCGGCGCTCCAATCTGGTTACATCCCGGCGGGGGTTATTCTATCAACGGATTCGCCCCACTACTGCAGACCTGGTTCTGCTAGGCCTGGAGGGGAATGCAATCGGCAATCCGAGCTTCTCTCGTTCCTGCAAGATCAAATTGACAGGACTAGCGTCCGAGTCTTCGTTGCCTCAGGTAGCAGAACATTAAGCCAACCGCCGCACTTTTTTGCGCATCCTCTGAACTCGATCAGCCTGACCAGGGGCCGCAGATGCTATTGGAAAGGAGACTACTCCGGATCTGGTATGTATTCGCAGGGTCGGGAAAGCCGCCCAATGAAACCCTAAAATTGGCTCCACCGGCCTGGAGAAACAAAGTCTCACCCATTCCGAGTCGGCAAGCCGGGGAGTTTCAGCGAAACCGGAGCATGTGCGTACGGCTGACTGCTTTTAGTTTAGGCAGAGTCATGTTGTAGACCAATCCAAATCGTGGTTCTCATCTCCTTTTTCAACTTTTCTTTCATGTGCGCGTGGCGACTTGGAATCAGACACGTCGGAGATCGACCGATGGTCGTGCCGGCAAAGGAAAAGAGCAGAACCCGCGTCTCTCCACACATCGCTCTCCACACCCCAGAGAAAATTCAGCCGGTTTTCTTTTGCGGGGATACGTCATTTTATGACTCCTCTGAACAGTCTCTGGCAAGAATGAGAGTGGCCAAGAACTTGACTAGCCAACAAGCTACTCCACTGAAATCCAGCTACTTGTTGACTCTGCCAAAGCAGAAGCTACAGACCCGCCCAGGTTCGCCTTCCATGTTAGAGACTATCGAGATGCATTTTCAACCCCCTAATTACATGATATATTTTGCCAGATAAGTTTACTCCCGTACTTTGGAACGTGTTTCCGGTTCAGAAAGGTAAAATTCAAACGGACGAGCGATGTACCGTTACGTATTATTACTGATTTCCTATCGCTAACGTACGTAGGAATGGGCGATTGTTCGGGGCGATTGTTCGGCAGTCTGAATTCTCCATTGTGAAATTATATTTGTCGATGAGAGCGCAAATTTTACTAAGTTATCTGCTAACCCTACACGCCACATAGGCTAAGTCGGGGTCGGTGGCAGCATCCTGCTCAGCGTTCTCCAGAGCCACGCGGAGGCTCTCCTCGCTTCGCTTGATGAATTCATCATGAGCAGGAGGCAGACGTTCGTTGTGCAAATCGACCTTTCGAGCCTCGTCAAAGTCATGAATGGCCTGCTTAATACCTTCAGCGCCTAGCATGAGAGTACCGGGAGGCAGACGACCGGCAGTTGCTGTTTTAAGCTCAGTGACGCCCTCTGATTGTTCACGGAGCACCCGGAAGACACGGGAGAGACGACCGATTGCAAGGACTTTGTTCCTGATGGCCCGTCGCTTAATTTCGCTGGAGTTGACTGTGGGATCGATGTCGACGGGTAAGGAATGCGACGCGGGACTAGCAGGACCAGTTGAAGGAGTATCCCCCTCCTCCAATTCCTCTTCGGAGCAGGTGTTGAGAATGGCGATCAACATATCGGTGATCTTCTCACCAACGAACGGCAGGGACCAGGTAAAGACGTCCATGAAGTTGGACAGCCAAAATGGGTGAGGAGTGCAGTTAAATTGCCTGATGTTCATCACATTTTTCTCGTACCTCAGGACGGCGGCCTTATTGTTGTATCTATCAAGATAATTGGGCGCACTAAAAATGGTCATGACACTAGGAAAGCCAGTCGTCCTTGTCTTCCTGTACATGCGGTACCCGGCATCTTGGGCTTCGTGTGCTCGAATAATGGAAAGCAGATTGTTCCTCTCGAGGAAAGCGCACGCAGCTGGGTAGGAAAAAGAATATGAGCAGCCACGAACGCTGTTATGAACGAAAAATTCGTTTGTCGTTTCTTGGCCGAATTCCTCCAGAGGATCGGCCCAGAGCATGTCGCACATTAGACCGTGGGTTGGAGGTTCATGGAATCGATCAACCTACCAACTGTTAGAAACCAGGACGATAGTCAAAACTCATCGCTGCATACCGCCTTGATGTCCTCAAGAGTGTGTAACTCCGGGCTGAGGCCACCGTGTACGCAGAAAAACTGCTTGTTCATGACCGCCGCCAGCGGAAGAGAGCAGAAAGATTCGATGCAGGCCTCGTAGATCTGCTCGCTATATTTGTGTTTAACCTCGAGCTTGAAGGTAAAGTATTCTGTCAGATGGCTACTTTCGTGGTTACCACGCAGCAGCCAAAGCGACTTCGGATACCAGATCTTCAGCGCCCAGAGATACAAAACACACTGCAAAGGATTAAGTATAAAACACATCGCTCAGTCGAAGCTTTTACCCACTTCAATGCTAAAATAACCTCGATCGACGTAGTCACCCAAGAACAAGTAACGTGTCTCGCAAGGGTCGCCGCCAACTTCAAAGAGCTTCATCAAATCATAATACTGGCCATGGATGTCACCGCAAACAGTGATAGGGGCATCCATCTCCAAAAGATTCGGCTCAGACCGAAGGATTTCAGTACCGGTTTTGATTATCCACAGCGCCTGGTCCTCAGTGAGCCGGCCCTCGCGATACAGGTGTTGCTTGAGGAACTGGAGATTCGGCTTCGAGGGGTCTTCGAGCGACCAAAATTCCCGATCCAGTGGAGTATTCAGGGCCGGCGCTTGAACATCTAGATCCCTCATATTCTTCTCAATTAGTTATCGGGTGATCGCGTAACCAGAGCGACCGATGCGACTGTTGCGTTACCTTTTACTACCCTTTCGAGAGTCGACACCTGTGAGCCATTCTCCATGGTATGCAATGAAAGATCGACCTCTGGGACCGGGATCTCATTGGTCACCGCGCAAGCCGGGTTACGAGCCATCTCAAGCGTATAACGTGTAATAGATTGTTCGGGTTCAGAGACCAAAGTAACGAGGTAGTAGGCAGCGAAAGCACCGAGAGGGCGTGGTGAATGGGAAAGATTGCCGAGGAGATGACGGAGGAAGTAGGAGCTGTAATATCCAGTCAGCCGGCCGTGGGAATCTGGAGTTGTTGAAGCATAGGAGAGCTTGGGACGGAATTCATCACGTCGGTATTATGGAGAAGACAGAGAAATCCATCAGGTACATCAAAGATCACGTAATGTTTATCTCTGGAGAAGCGGGGGCCTGTCGCTCGGCTACCGCGAACCCTAGTGTCGAGCAAAATCATGACACAAATCCTCAATATCACCATGAATCCTCTTACGGTAGAAATTGAGAGGATACTGAGCGCAGGTATTTGGTGACACGACCATACCAACTAAAGTATGATCTTAAAGTGACAAGGATTCAATGCCGATCAACTTTCCCTTCCATGAAATCTTCTGGAAGTTCCAGGCTTCTAATTATAGACTCTTGTATCTGCTTTTCCATCTTTAAAAACGGCCTGGTATCATTACGGGTAGGTACAAAATGTGTTTATCATATCATATGATTAGGGTTTGAAAGAGTATTACTATGTTTCCTCTATGGAAGGCGAACCTGGGCAGGTTGTACTGTAAAAAAGTGAGCCTGAATTACTTAGTAGTTAAAATATCTTCAAGGTGTTGGTGCTAGATGGTGCCATCTGTCCCAACACAGACATTTTACCAACGCATCTTTTGCATCCTAATATTTAACACCATCTCGACGAAACACTGGGCCAAGGTCCTGAGCGGCGTGTAGACGAGCATCCTAGTCACAGCTCCTCTATTGAGCCCTACAGCAGATTTCATCCTGCGAATCAGAAATGAGAAACTTGCGCCCGAGAAGAAAAAATGCTCTAGTTGCAACAGATGCTACCTAGACAGACATGGCGATTCTCAGCTAAGTAGCTGAATCTCACGGCCACAGACTATCGCGCCGACTGAAACTGGGTGGCAGACCGCCCTTGAAGGCATCGGATTATTTCATTTCTCTCGAGCATGTCGCCCAAATCTATTCCCTATAAAAGCAGTAGGGTGTCCATTTCCAAGTGACTCGTCTGAATACACACCTCAAGTGTCCAGCTTCCAGCTATCCTCTAGGGACTGCCGATATAAGTGACTCGAATCCGGCTGCGGGGGATCTTCGATGTTCTCCGATCCCGCCATTTCGCCAGGCCCGAGGCCAACGCATCCGCAAATAACCGTCAATGGTCTAAGCGGGCTCCTCCGGCTGCTGTTCTATGAACTCCGCGGGCATGGCGTTCATTGGGTCTGGGGAAAGACTAGAGTCGATCTGGCCGGGCGGGTGGAGGGCGGAAAAGGATTCTGCTACCCGGAGGGCAACCAAGTGTCATTCTACATAAATAATGTCAGTGTACGCATCCTGTTCAAGACCTTTTGTTGATTGATTTTCAGATATTTCCAACAAAGACAAGTACCTACTACAGCTCGTCCTCACTACTCACTATCGGCATCCCCCACGGCAAAGTCGGCCCAACCGAGTCAACCCGGCCTGCTTAGCTAAGCCTGTCTCAAAATACCGCAAAAGCTCTTCTTTCCCGTTCTCAACCACCTTTGCCCCCATTGCGCACTCTCCATCCCTTCTCCGGCTTCCTTGGGGGATTTACCTGTCTATTGCTCTCGAATCCTTTGCTTCGTTCGTCATGTTTCGCTCCGTCCTGCCGCGGGCTACGCCGCGCACTGCCATCCGCTGCGGCCCCAAGGCTGTCCCTTCGACCTTCATTGCTACCCCGACGCTCTTCCTTGCCCGCTCAAAACGTGGTTACGCGTCTGAAGCAGGTGAGTCCTTGGTCATACTGCCTTTCCGGCGCTATCGGAGGCCTATCCTGTGCTTCCCGGGAATGATTGCTGATTTCCGGCCCATCGGCAACAGGGGAACACGATCTCGTCATCATCGGCGGTGGTGTTGCTGGTTACGTCGCGGCTATCAAGGCCGGCCAGGAGGGTCTGAAGGTGCGTTTTGAAAGCCTCGGCTCCTTTTTTTGGGAAGCTAACAAGTTAACTCGACCAGACCGCATGTATCGAGAAGCGTGGAACCCTCGGTGGCACCTGCTTGAACGTCGGCTGCATTCCTTCAAAGTCCCTGCTCAACAACTCGCACCTTTATCACCAGATCCTCCACGACACGAAGAAGCGCGGTATCGAGGTCGGCGATGTCAAACTCAACCTGACGCAGATGATGAAGGCCAAGGACCAGTCCGTCGATGGGCTGACCAAGGGTGTTGAGTTCTTGCTGAAAAAGAACGGTGTCGACTATATCAAGGGTACAGGTTCCTTCGTCGATGCCAACACCGTCAAGGTCGATCTGAACGACGGTGGTGAGCAGACCCTGCGTGGCAAAAATATCATCATTGCCACCGGCTCCGAGTCGACTCCCTTCCCCGGCCTGAACATCGATGAGAAACGCATCATCACCAGCACAGGTGCTCTGGAACTGAAGGAGGTCCCGAAGAAGATGGTCGTCATTGGTGGCGGTATTATCGGTCTGGAGATGGTACGCCTTTTTTGGTCCCTTTCCCCAAGGGTCTGGCTAACAGAAATTGTAGGCTTCCGTCTGGTCTCGTCTCGGTGCTGAGGTGACGGTTGTTGAGTTCCTAGGCCAGATCGGTGGCCCTGGCATGGACGCTGAGATCGCCAAGCAGTCGCAGAAGATCCTGGCCAAGCAGGGCATCAAGTTCAAGACCGGCACCAAGGTCACCAAGGGTGACGACAGCGGCGCGACTATCTCTCTGAGCTTGGAGTCCGCTAAGGGTGGTAAGGAGGAGACTCTGGACGCTGACGTCGTCCTGGTTGCCATCGGCCGCCGCCCTTACACCGAGGGTCTGGGTCTGGAGAACGCCGGTGTTGAGAAGGACGAGCGGGGCCGCCTGGTGATCGACCAGGAGTACCGCACCAAGATGCCTCACATCCGCGTGGTGGGCGATGTCACCTTCGGCCCGATGCTGGCGCACAAGGCGGAAGAGGAGGCCGTTGCGGCGATCGAGTACATCAAGAAGGGCTACGGCCACGTCAACTACGCCGCCATCCCCAGCGTCATGTACACGCACCCGGAGGTCGCGTGGGTGGGCCAGACCGAGGCCGATGTCAAGGCCTCGGGCGTCAAGTACAACGTCGGCTCGTTCCCCTTCAGCGCCAACTCGCGCGCCAAGACCAACCTTGATACGGAGGGTGTGGTCAAGTTCATTGCTGACGCAGAGACCGACCGCATCCTCGGCGTGCACATCATCGGCCCTGGCGCCGGCGAAATGATCGCCGAAGCCACTCTCGCCGTCGAATACGGTGCTTCCAGCGAGGACGTCGCCCGGACGTGCCACGCTCACCCGACCCTCTCAGAGGCCTTCAAGGAGGCTGCGATGGCCACCTACTCCAAGCCCATCCACTTTTAGAACCCTGATATCCTCCTTCCCCAACCAACAAACACCATGTACTACTTTTTTGGTTTAGTCTACTAGCCCGGCTAGAAAACTACATGTAGCATTTCCTGTGATTCATTTCCTTTGTCTGAATAAAATAATTCTCCGTCTAACAACATTTCCATCCATAAAAGCCTTGTCCAATGCAAAAATAAACAATATATATATGTTGATATAACAAAAGGACTGCCTCCGACTCGGGTTGCCGTGTGGAATATGGCGATGTGGTCATTACTATTCCACAGGACGGGGCTATCAAGTACGCTTTTGGATTTAGTCTATACGATTTATGGCTCCTGCCTGTAGGTGTCGCAGCGCGTGTTTCTATTCCAATTCTCACAGGAAAGCGTTGGCATCTCTTGTGTATAAATGTTGCCTATGGTATAGATCCAGGATTTGCGAGTCTTTCCACGTTGGATCTACGAAGGATCTGAACCGCAAGGCAAATTCGTGGACAAAGCCTCACTGGGTGTAGCCCAAGGCGCAATTCAACCAATCGTTTGGATGGAAACTTCTAAAACTGACAGGGCATAGAAACTATCTATGGGGATAATAGGCAGGGCAATTCCTTAATATTATACGTACGGTCACGGTGGAGATTCCCGTCAACCTATTTTCTTCCGCCGGAGCTCCGACGAGACCTACTTCTCCATTTCGGCCCAATCCCGTTAGGTGCTTATCTCCGCCGATCGCATCATGGCCAGAGACCAGTCGGTCCGACCGAACCAAGTCACGGCGGTATTTTCTTTGCTTCAGCGCCACCACTACGCCCTTCTTGCATTTGTAATCGAACAGATTGATAATCAGCATCCCACCTTAGGTAGTTAATGAAGTGTTAGTAGAAGTATATTTGAAGGCAGTGCTTGTATCTATCTGTCTACCATTTTGTATCAACGCACTGATCTAATTGTCTCAACTCTGTACATTTTTGACCCATACCGCTTATACTACGCTATCATGGCTCCCACTGTTGCCTTTGTTACCGGTGCTAACCGCGGACTGGGCTTCGGACTGGTGAAGAATTTTGTGGCAAACCCGAACTACGTAAGTCGTCCATTTTAGCATATTCGTCAGGAGCTAGCTAATTGAGCCACTCGCAGGTTGTCGTTGCTGCGGTCCGTGATCCCGCACACCCAACCGTTAAGGAGCTATCTGAGCTACCCTCGGGCGAAGGCAGCAGCATTATCGTCGTGAAGTATGACGCCGGTGTTGAGCAGTCCGCCTTTGACGCTGTCAAAGAAGCCGCCGACAAGGGCGTTGATCATATTGATTACGTTGTTGCCAATGCCGGTATCGCTAAAGTGTATCCCCTTGTCAAGGATGTCAAACGCGCCGACGTCCTCGAGCATATTGAGGTGAACGTCTTTAGCGTTGTCTCTCTCTACCAAGCCACTCGCCCTCTACTTGAAAAGTCGATCACCAAGCCTGTCTATGCTATCATGGGATCTGGAGCTGGAGCTTTAGGGTAAGATGTCCCTCTCACATTCTCCTATGTGGCTATTATTTCATTTTCATTTATGCCCATACTAATTCACTCCCTAGTCGCCAGCCTCCCGTTCCTAGTGCAGCATACGGAGCTTCCAAGTCCATTCTCCCGTGGTACGGTGTTCGAATCAACGCCGAAGATGAGTGGCTTAACACCTTTGTATTGGACCCTGGCTGGGTACAGACCGATATGGGCAACGGGGCTGCGAAAGGGTGGGGTATGGAGTCAGCACCTGACACTGTTGAAAAGTCTACAAGCGGCATGGTTGATGTGATTACCAATGGAACCAAGGAGCAGTACGGTGGCAAGGTCGTCCTCTACAACGGCGAAGTTCAAGAATGGTAGATTGCTTGGGTGATTTTTTCTTCATCGGTGATTCAGTGATTGGCATATAAGAAAGCTAGAGGTGGTGAATATATGTTCTTTTGTGCATCCTTGGAAATCCACTTGGTAGTTAAAAACTTGAAAATGAGAAAGAAATGCCGGTTTCGAGCTTCTTACGCTGATATGTCATACCGGAAAGCGTCAAAAGTATAAAAAGAGTTATGTATAAACACCGCAATGCTTATATCTAGTGTTATATAAATGATATGTACAAATTTTGTTTCTAAACAAATTCGGAGAAAGCTAGAGTAGACATTGGGTCTGAAGAGGCGGCATAGGCAGACTAATGCAAATGTGCGTACATATATTCGGAACAAGCTTACACAGCTCCTCGAAATATAAGCAATACCGGATGTACTATTTATTTCAAGCTATCGTATCCGGAGTGAGTCTATTCCAAAGACTGTTGGAGTTACCCAGGCGCCGAGGGAGAAGACAAATGCTGGGGAACTCATGTTTGAGGTTGCAGGGACGATGAACTTAGTATTAAGGGTATGGGAGTTGGGTAATTCATTCCTGTTGAACACAGGATTCAGTGGTGGAAATTGGTGAAAGCGCTGGCACCTAAATAGGACTAGCAGCCGGAAATACCAATCCGGCTCGACCTTTGGACCGGACGATTCTATGTCGATTGCAAGGCAAAAATCCCTAGAAAATCTTGCCCAAGACCCTCTTCGCATCTTCCTTAATAGCTCCCTGATCCTCCTTTGCCTTGACAACATCATTCTGTACAAACCTCCGCCTCAAAGCCTGCGGTGCCTTCGCCATCATTAACCCATCTTTGCTCGTTTCCAACCGCTGCCTCTTCTCCTCCCTCTTCCTGGCCATGCCATCGGCAACTCGTCCGGCCTCGACGCCGGCCAAGAACATCTTCTCCTCTTTCTGGGCACGTATATCCTGCATTCTAGTCCGGGCCTCACGCTCTGCCCTCTCCCTTCTTTGTTGTTCCATCAAATTATCCCATTTAAAACCAGACAAGTACTTCATGTTCCATATATCGTCATGGTACCAGCCGCCCTTTCGGCCGCCGACGATAGTCGCGTTGAGAGTCTCCGCGCAGATCTTAGCGGTCCGTTTCGAGGCAAACTCGACCCATCCATCGGTAAACATCTTGCGCTTGTTGCCTCGCTTGCGCGAGTCGCTCAGGACGAGCGGGGAGAGGAAGGTTTTGGTGATGGGCTCGAAGCCTCTGGCTTCCAGCATAGCTTTGAGGGCGCCGGGTTTGAGGTAGGGCGGAAGTGAGGCGAGATAGATGATGCCGGGCTTTTTCTTCTTCGCAGAGGCTTTGAGTGCTTTGGTTGAGAGGGGTTTCGTAGGCTTGGTCTTCTTGACGATGAGGTTGGTGGTTGTTTGTTTGTCGTCATTCTCTTCCTCCTCGGACTCCGTTTGCCGAGATTTGCGGCCCTTGCCTTTAATATCTGTCCGAGACAGCTGTTCCTCGTCTTCGCCATCAGACTCCTCGTGGTCCGATTCTAGACCGAAAAAGTCTTGATCTGCCGTCCGCCGCCGTTTTACGGCGCGACCCTTGCTCTCCGCCACCTTCTCCTCGGAGTCGTAGCCACGGTCGACGGCCTCGTCATCGTCAATGCCCAGGAAGTCATCATGCGTACGTGTTGTCATTGTAGATTGTTCCCTAAAATTAGAGGGAAGCTGGAAGGGAGGTGTAGAAGTGAGCGGATCAAAGTCTCCACAACTTTTTTTTTGGACGTCGGATCTAAGTTGTTCCGATAGCACTTGATTATGTACACCAGATCTATAACTAGCCGCAATAACTACGTGAAGGAAGAAGAGCGTATTGAAAAAATCACAAACATACAGGTATTTCAAAAGCATTTTCACCCTGGGAACTCTAGTTAAAGACAGTGATGCATACACGAGGAAGTAGGGTCTTTCGATAGCCAAACACCATGCACAGCCCTTTTCCACCATCCCCCTACCTTATGCCGTATCGGACTGCTTGTGATCAACTAATTACTCTTGAACTCCGCTTTCCATTATGGATATGGACCCATCACCTAAATTCGCATCTTCAGTGCCCACAATTCATCATCGCGGTGGGTAAAGGAGGTCCCCACGCCCGGAGAGAGAAATGTTGTTGTGCAGGTCGAGTATTGTGGCCGTGGTTGTTGTTGTAGCTGTGGTGTTGGCATTGGCGATGATAATGACGCTCCCTAGAACAGTCCGACACGGTTTCTTCGCCGTTATGGCCACAGAGACTACAATCATGTGGATGATTCACAACATATCCATGCCCATGTCCATGCCCGGACATACAATGTTGCTGTTCAGCCTTCGTCCGCTGAGGCGCATGGCAGTGTGGATTCACCGATGATGACGAACGCAGACATTTGGAATACACACCGCCATCTCCGTGAGTGGCGCATATCTGGTGACAATATATATGTTTCGCATGACGTGAATGGTCGTAGCTGTAAGCGCAGTAGCAAGAATGTGGATCTGGGTGGCGGCTCGACTCTTTTGGTGCAATTCTGATGCCGTGATGGCATCGGTGCCGGCTACTAGAGCCGGAATCACTCTCGTCGGAGGTGAATGCATCGGTTCGGTGTCTACTGCCCCGGCGATGGGTGTGTTTATGGATGCTGTGTGGGGGGCTTACCACCTGTAGGTATGGCGGAGGGCAGCAGTCGCAGTCAGAGGTGGTGCGGTCGTGGCAGTGGAAATGTCTGTCGAAATGCATCTCAATGGCCTGAAATAACCCTGGACGTGTTGTGTTTGTTTTGAAGTGGCGGAAATTCTACGATAGAGGATAGTCGGGCACTTTATACACAGTCCGCGGATATCTCCTGGTAACAGAGGGTGGTGTGACCAAATCTCATGACTTTCAAGATAACTATTACTATTCGAAGATAATGCATACTTTTCTTTGTTCTCGAACCAGATGTGCAGCTGCAAGTGGCACTAGGGCTGCGGTTTGCCTGATGCATTGGCCGTTGGCGCCTGAGAGGTGCATGTATGTTTGCTTCTCGAAGCAGTTTCAGAATTCCAGCACAGACCTATTTGGGTTGAAGACCCCTGATCTGCATTTAGTTGATGTTGAGGATATGGCCGGACGACGTTGGAAGTTCTTTGCTGCATGTCATCGATGGCGTAAAAGGCTGAATCCACTCCGTCATCACGGTCAGCCAGGTGTCACAGACAGCTTTGACGGCTTCTTTGCGCGAGGAGCCGCAGCTTTCGATGTACACTATGCACTCGGTGTCAGCCTGACCAAACAGGTAGCCAGATAACACTGCCTACCTTTGACTTTCGGCTCCGTCCCCGAGCCACGAATAGTGAAGCGCACTCCCCCATTCAACCACAATGTGAGCATCTGACTGCTCGGATCCACTGGTAGATCCGGTTTGTTACCTGGTGTTTCAGAGTCATAACCCTCCGTCAAATCCCTCCACCGAAGAATCTGGAACGAGCCGAAATTGCGTTCTGCAAGATGCCGGCCACCCCTGATCCCGCGGAACAGCTGCATTGTGAGCTCTGAATTCGGGGAGCGGAAATAATTGTTCAATGTCTCATGGTGACCAAACTCGGAGAAGAGCTGTTGGAGTTTGGCATGTGCAGTCAAGCCCTGTGCCCGCCATTTTGCTTCCGCGGCTAGGAATACCATTGCAGCCGTGATTCCGTCCTTGTCATAGCATACCGATGGGAACATGTATCCAAGTGCCTCCTCGTATGCAAAGGGAACGGTGTATCCATCCTCTTCGAGTTTTCGGGCAACATTTCCCATCCACTTGAAGCCGGTCAAGGTCTCGACAAAGTGAACTCCCTTCGCCGCTGCCATTTTCTGGATCATGCCGCTCGACACGGCTGTCGTTTGGACTGCTATACGAGAAGGGTCTTTGGAGACTTCAATTGAATCGAAAATGTGCGAGGCAAGGAGAACTCCAACGTGGTTTCCGGTGAGTGTGAACCACTTTCCACTGTGATAGAAATGAGTGACAAGCTATTCAAGGCAAGAAATCAGAACTCACTCGACTTTCTCCGCTACCGCAAACCGATCCGCATCAGGATCATTCGCGATGATCAAGGTCATCTCCTCTTGATCGGCGGTTTGCATAGCAAGATCCAGAGCACCGGCTTCTTCAGGATTTGGGAATTTCACCGTGGGAAAATCAGGATCTGGTTTCTCCTGGGAAGCAACAATCACAAAATCAGTGATCCCAACTAAGTGGCAAGTTTCTTGGAAGACCGCGCTTCCCACGCCATGCAAAGGCGTGTACACGAATGGTCTGGGAGGTTTCCAGTCTGACACGGTCGATTTCTGTTAAGCGGCGTCAGTTCTCTTCTTTAGAGCAATATATGATGACCGACCGCATATTTGCTGACGTGGCTGGTATAATCAGACAGGACTTTCTGGTATAGGCCCTGTGGAAGAATGGTCTTGATGACCCAAGCAGTTTCGTGCGGCTTCAAATTCTCCTGGATCGATTGTGCGATCTCCGTGTCCATGGGAGTATTGATCTGGGCGCCGTTGTTAAAGTAGCTGTGGTGTAGGTCAAGTTAGCATAGAAAGGATAACAGGACTTGCTGAGCCGAACACTTTGTATCCTAGAAAATTGTCAGTAAATATGCCAAAGTATTACAATAGGGATTCAATCACCATTATCTTCAGCTGGATTCTACACATCTGTCTGTCAGCCGGGTACTAAGAACTAATTGGGAGCGACCTACATGACTCGCCGTGACCATGATTCCTGCAGCAGCGTGGAAATGACCGATTCCAAAGGGAACCATGGGAGTCGGCGACGCTTCCTGAAAGTGCCACACGGGAATGAGCTCGTTGAGGAACGCATTTGCGGCAAGCGAGGCGAATTTGGCTGAATTATGGCGAGCATCATGGCCAATGACTACCCCGGCGGTAGCGATCTCTGGATGTTTAGTTCGAATGTACTTGGCCAGCCCCTGTGATGCCTGGATGACGGTCAGGCAGTTCATACACGAGAAGCCGGCGGCCATGCGGCCACGCAGACCGGCGGTACCGAAGTCGATGCCTGGTCCTGATTAGATTGAGCCAGATAATCACACAGACAGGCACCTACGACGGCGCAGGCGCTTCTCCAGCTCATCGGCATCACCGGCAGCCTGGAGGGTTTCTATCTCCACGCGAGTGGTGGGGTCCTGGTGGTGTCAGTGTAAAGCGGGCTTCAAGGTGTAGCCCGACTGACCTGATCCCAGTCAAGCCATGTCTGGACTAAGGACGAGAGTGAATCCTCCATGATTATTCCATATGTGGTCGGTCACTGTGGCAGTCGAGAATGTGTACAAATGACGAAGTGCCGATCAGGGCCCCTCCACCGGTGTTGATCCACTCTCCTTCCTTTCGTTTCAGCCTGGGCCCGTTGGGTCTCCCTCCAACACCGCCCTTTCCACCTTGCTAGGTGTTGGCTTCACTCTTTCAATACTCATACCCACCATGCAGAAAGCTACTGCTGCTTCCCGACCGTCCAGGAAGGACACTATCCTCACTCGTCGGCAGATCGAGGGCCTGATTGCGGAGGGCAAGCATGTTCTCATCTACGAAACCCGCGTCCTCAAGGTAGATGCCTGGCTGCCCTTCCATCCGGGGGGAGACGTCTCGATTAAGCACATGGTGGGCAGGGATGCGACGGACGAGATCAATGCGTATGTGGTTGTGGGCGTACCTCGGCTGGAATAAACAAACACTGACCCGACTCTTCCAACTAGGCTGCACTCAACGGAAGCTCGCCAGCGGATGCCTTCATACCAGATCGGTCGGTTCGAGGGGACATGGATCAACTTCCTACCGCCCATTCAAGGTGGCAAGTTCCGCCCATATTCGGAGGAAACTTGCTCGAGCGAGGAGGACTTGACCACCAGCCCGGAGGGATCCAGTGAGGATGGATCCCTGCCTCCCTCGCCCATCTTCGATCCAGTCGATTCAAAATCCACTGCCCGACGGAGACATCCTATGTCGGACCCCTCGAGCTCGAGGTCGACCCCTGCCAACGAACCGTCCCAACCCAAGCCGTTCTTCTTGGACGCTCGAACCTGGGACGAAATTGTTCTCGACACCGCCAAGTATCCCTCTCTAGATACCGCCAGCCAGGAGAACATTAAACAGAAATACCGCGAGCTCAACATCCGCATGCAGGAAGCCGGGCTCTATAAGTGCAATTACTTCTCCTACTTCATCGAGTGCTGTCGCTACACGACCTTTGCCGCCCTGTTCTACATCTTCCTGCGCCTGGGATGGTGGGCAACGTCCGCGTTCTTCCTCGGCTGTCTCTGGCACCAGCTCGTCTTCACAGCCCATGATGCCGGCCACATGGGAATCACGCACAACTTCCACGTCGACACGGTCATTGGCATTTTCATCGCCGACTTCATCGGCGGCCTCAGTCTATGCTGGTGGAAACGCAATCACAACGTCCACCACATCGTGACCAACGAGCCCGAACACGACCCCGACATCCAGCACATCCCCTTCTTTGCCGTCTCGCACCGCTTCCTCACCAGCCTGCGCAGCTCCTACTACGACCGCGTCATGCCCCACGACGCCGCGACCAAAATCCTCCTGCGAATCCAGAATTGGTCTTACTACCCGATCATGCTCTTCGCACGATTCAACCTATATGTCCTGAGTTGGGAGTTCCTCCTGAAACGGCAAGCCCCGAAACGGGGCCCCGCCTGGTGGCACATCTGGCTCGAGGTGGCGGGCCAGCTCGTCTTCTGGACCTGGTTCGGCTACGGCGTGATTTACCGATCCATCCCAGACTGGAACAGCCGGCTCATCTTCCTCCTTGTTTCACACATGGTCACCGGCCCGCTCCATGTCCAGCTCACTCTCTCACACTTCTCCATGTCCACCGCCGACCTGGGCGTGCACGAGTCCTTCCCGCAGAAAATGCTGCGCACAACCTCGGACGTCGACTGTCCCCCCTGGCTGGACTTCATCCACGGGGGTCTCCAGTTCCAGGCTATCCACCATCTCTACCCGCGCATGCCTCGCCATAACCTGCGCCAGGCGCAGAAGTATATTCTCGAGTTCTGTCGCGAGACTGGCATTCCGTACGCCACTTTTACGTTCTATGACGGGAATAAAGAGGTTATTGGGCGGTTGGCTGATGTGGCGAAGCAAGTTCGCATCTTGGAGGAGTGTCGCAGGTCGATTGCCCAAGAGGGTGTCTTTGCTGATCATCACCACTGAGTGTTATCGGCGTCAACGAGTGCCCCAACGATGATGGTTGTTGGGCTATGAATTTCCTTGGTTTCTGTAGATAGAATGCACGCCATGACCAGTATCCTTCCCCGACGTCTGCGTGTCCATAATGATGAATCGACTGTGTTTTATTTCATGCATCTCTTAACGATCCCAAATACGCTATGCTCTAAATACAGAGACAGAGGGAGGGAGAGATCCCATCCCCATCCCATTCACCCCGGCAGCCCACCCCCACGCGCAATCTTCTTCGCACGCTGCTGTCGCCGATTATGATTTGCCCGGCTGGCCTTATTCTCCTCCTTCTTTTGTCTCGAAGCGGCACCGCTCTGTTCCCCAGACTGTGGTGGTCCACCACCCCGACCTCTACCACCTCTGCCTCGTCCGCGTCCACCGCCACCGCCACCGCCACCTCGTCCTCCTGCGCCGCCTCTCCCCCCTCGCGGAGCAGCAGAAGCAGCGGAGTCGCCTTCTTCATCTGACTCGGTCTCTTCCGGCCGTGGCTTTCGGTACGACGTCGAAGGCAGATCTGTCTGGTTCAGAGCACCACCACCAACACCGCCAGAATCCAGCGCAAGACGATCTTCAAGCCTGGCGAGCCGTTTTGGATCGCGGGAGAGCATGACAGCCCACCCTTCAATAGCCTCGTCTGTCATCTCGGTGTCACGTTTAAGAGAAGCGCGCGGCTGCGAGCGACGTGTGGCAGAGTCACGAGCAAAGAGCGCAGGACTGGACTTGTAAGCGCGGAAGAGGGTCATATCCAGCTGGTCGGCGCGGCGGTTGCGCATGTCTGCCTCCGCCTCAGCGTCTGTGCCGGCCGTCGTAGCGTCGACGGTTCCGCCCACGTCGGCGACGTCATAGGTATCGTCGCGCTCGTCGTCGTCGGAGTCGAAGTTCGCCAGCGCGGAGAGGATGGCTGCTTTGTTGGTGGCGTGGTTGCTGCGGTCGGCGAGGACCTCGTCAGCTGTTAGGTCTGGGTTTGCGCGGCCGAAGCGGAGCTTGCTATTTGATTGTGTGGTGGCTTCGGAGCGGCTGAGTTCGGCGATGTCGATGTCTGCGTCGAAAATGTTCCTGCGCGTTGGCGCTGGTGGTGAGGGTGAGCGGATTTCTGGAGGGGTTGGCCGCGGTGCCAATGCATCGCGGCTGGATCCTGCTTGCGGGGGAGGTAGCTGTTCGGATCGGTCTAGAGACTGGAGCTCTGTTGGAAGGTTGTCGTCTAGAAGCTGCGCGACAATGGTCTCCGCGTTGTCGTTGTAGAAGTCCAGAAGTCTGACAATAAACCCGGACCCGAGGTCGGGGAAGAGGTCTTGCACTTGCGTGACTAGTGACATCTTGTGTACGTGAAGCTCTTCGGGGATAAGAGCACCAGATGATGGGCCTTTGCCCTTGTCCACTTTCTTGCGTCTTTGATACCGATGGTGCAGGGGTTTGGATTCCATCTGGTAGACGCGTAATTGGACGAGTAGATCCTCGGCTCGTTTTTGTGGATGTGCAGTTAGATATTTATCCAATCGAAGAAGGATATCCGAACTGCAAACCAGATCAGAGAGCAGAGTCGGCTCCTTCTTCATCCTCGGTGTCCCTAGGCCCGCGGCAGCTTTAAGGCTGAATAGCTGGTCAAGGAGCAAGGACAGATTGGCCGATGGCTCCTTCAAAAGTGAGATCATCCCGACATAGATGTTGGCCACAAGAATCCGGCGGAGATCTTCCCGGTTCCTTTGGCTCAGGTAGGCATCCGACACGGTGTCCAGGAAATCCGAGCCTGCCATCAGCACTTGGCCACAGGGTGGTAGCACCGACGCCAATATCGTCAAGCGACGGACATCCGCCATGACCTCTGGACTTGGTGTTGTGCTTGCCAGAGACAGCTGTGTGATAATGACAGATTTTGTCTTCTCTAGACTAGACATGATCTTCTCGCTGTGCAAATCCCATGCTTTTGAGAGTGATGTCTTCAACGCCGTGCTTGAAGGAAAACAACAACATAGATTGCCCCACAGCTTGCAGTCGAGAATGCCTTCTGGTGGATCCGCAAGACTGAGCAGGTAGCGCCTTGTCGTGAGAAAACAGAGCTTCCGCAGTCTTCTTGCTTTGGGTCCTGTCTGCAGGCCCGCGTCCCCCGCTGCCGCGTGCTGATAGTACGACTCCAAAAAGGAGACGGCGGGGACATCATGGACCGCGGCATCTTTGAATTGCTGATCTGTTGCATTTAAACGGATGCCCAGCAGCATCATCCACGCATCCAGGCAGGCTTCCCAGTCGTCCGACGGGATGGTGGACCTGAGTGCAGCGGGCGGCACTGGAGCGAGCGGCGGGAAGTCCGCCATGAGGGCGAGCGAGAGAATTGAGACAAACCAGCGTCTCGTAACTACAACGACGCCCATAATCATGGCAGTCGCTGGTCCTCTATGATGACTCAGCGGCGGCGTCCCAAAGCGGTTAGTGGCAGATAGCCGAGATGCCAAGCCACACTGCATCTTTTTTTCGTCAATCAAATCACCATCATCAAAATCACCGGCCCATCATCACTTTACCGAGCCACGCAGTTCAGGTCTTGATCGGCAATTCCTCGTATGTGCTTGTCTTTGATATTCCCCCAATTCAATCTCTAACACTCCAACACAGATTACTCAATCACACAAGATGTCTTTCCAGAAGCCCGAGAAGGATTTCGGCGAGGGCCCTGTACGTCTTCCGCAACGCATCCCACAGATCGCAATTCGTTGGCCAAATGCTAATCCCGTGTATAGAAGGTCCACAAGATCCGCATCACCCTCACCTCGCGCAAGGTCGCCTCGCTCGAGAAGGTGTGCCAGGAGCTGATCGACCGTGCCCGCTCCAAGTCGCTCCAGGTCAAGGGCCCCGTCCGTCTGCCCACCAAGACCCTGAACATCTCCACCCGCAAGACCCCCAACGGTGAGGGTTCCAAGACCTGGGACAAGTACGAGATGCGCATCCACAAGCGCCTCATCGACCTGCTTGCCCCCACCGAGACTGTTAAGCAGATCATCATCAACATCGAGGCCGGTGTTGAGGTGGAGGTTACCATTGCCGCATAAATTTAGTTATTTAGAGGCATGGGCTGGATCTAGGTCTAGTCTTCTCCTCGTTTGGTTGTCTGCTGACGCGAACCGAGGAGAAGGGGTGGTCTCGCCGATTGCTCGTTTCGAGGAGTTGTTGATACCCGCTAGATTTAACCTGGAATACAACAAAAATGTGGAAACATCTTGAAAACGATCTTCTTCATGGTTCAATTCGTAGTCCTAGTATTGTACACAGAGATACACTGAGAGATTGTCTGTCCGACTGCACTCAAGCGCCATCTGTCTCTCTTATCCGGTCCCGAAATCCTTCAAACAAAAGTAGTCCTTAGAAGTCAAAGCTGATCCATTCCCGCTTCGGCGGCACAGTCGGGATAATCCCATCCTTGAAGTGACCATTGGCAAGGAAGAATTCATACTGCGCCACAACTTCCGGCGTATAGTCCTCGGGGCGGCCCTGCGAGTCACGCAAGCTCGCTTCGTCGGGCGGTCCGTCAGGGAAGTTGATCCGGGTCCAATGATTGTTGCCTTGCGGATGCAGGTAGCATGGGTGATCTTGGATGTATTGCACGGGACGGCCCTTCCACATCGTAAGGCGGTTGGTGGCTGGGTCTCGCAGAGTCTCGCCTTCAAGGTGCGGGAGGGGGGTTTTGCTGGCTTGGATCGTCGATCTTGATATATGCGCGGGGTCCAGTATGGACTTGTGCAACTGGCACACCCTGTGGAGCGGCGGGCTGGCCGAAGGGTGCTGGAGCTGCAGGCTGTTGGGTCGGCGCGCCAAAGCCTGTGGTGCCGGATGGTTGGCCGAACGGGTTGGGGGGTTGTTGTTGCGGTTGCTGAATCTGGGTGAAAGGTGAAGCGGCCTGCGAGGTCTGTCCGAATCCGCCAGGAGCGGAGGGCTGGCCAAATGCTGAGGGTGCAGCAGTCTGTCCAAATGGCGATGGCGCAGGCTGGCCTGCCGGTTGGCTGAAGCCACCGGGTGCTGGTTGGTTCTGAGTAACTTGGTTGAAAGGTGAGGCAGCGGAAGGTGCACCGCCGAAAGGAGTCGGGCCCGGCGCTGACGGCTGGCCAAAGGCTGGCTGGCCGAACGCTGGCTGGCCGAATGCGCCGCCTTGGCCTCCGAGGTTCGAGGGCTGCCCAAAGGCAGATGCCTGGTTCAAGCCACTTGGCTGACCGAAAGTAGACGGCTGGCCAAAGCCAGTTTGTTGTCCCATTGAGGATGGTTGGCCGAATGTTGAAGACTGTCCGGGCTGTGCGGGCTGCGAGGGCTGCGCAGGTGTAGGCTTTCCCCAGGTCGAAGCGGCTCCCAAGTTAGAGGGCTGACCAAACGCAGAAGAAGCTTGACCAAATGCTGAAGGTGCTGGAGCTGAAGGTGCTGAAGTCGAATCCGGGCCTGTTTTGCCCTCAGTGATGTCAATGCGATTGGGATGTTCGTTCCCGCCGTCGATAATGTACTTCACAGCACCGGTGAGGTCATTCAAAGCCACATCCATTTGCTTGGTAGCTTCTTCATAAAGGGCCTGGGCCTCCTGGATCGCTTGGTTCATGTTTCCAGCCGCCGCGAGCTCGTAGTGACGCAAACGCATCTCTTCCATGCTCTGCTCGCGGGGTAGTCCACCGAAGAGTTGTCGCGGGACATGGCGTTGCGGAGAGTAAGAAGAAAGGACCCATTCAGGCCGTCCCTTGCCTGCGGTCAAGTCGAGTTTGATATCATTCGCGTTGACGCCGTAACTGTGTCTGTATTAGTCGATGAGTAGAAAGAATGGGTGGCAAACCACTTACTCCGTCGCTTGCTGGTTCTGCGGTGTTCCTCGCCCTATTGTTTCTATGGGTTATTTCCGGGTGATTTGAAATTTTTGGGTGCCATTAGCAGCAAAAGATCAGACAGCGAAGGGAGTACATGTGGAGATAGGGCAATATTGTCAAGTCGAGCCCGCGAAGCAAGATCGTACGGCTGACGCCGCGAAACAGGCCGTAAAGGTTTTTCGACATCAGGCTGAGAAAGCGTTCTACGAGATTTGACAGTGACAGAGTGAGGCCATCAGGCAGTAGAGTGGTTCCAGTGGGCATACAAGATGTGCCATCATCAGGCGCCAGACCCATGGGCGTGCGTTGCTCCATCGGCACCATGACAATCTGGATCATAGGCGGCGGAAAGTTCATTTTGAGAGGCGCCATCTTCGCAAGGCAGACAGATTGACGGAGGTTGAGATGGAGAAGAAGGGACGAAAGGCCACAGAGAGAGGGAGGGAGAAAGGGAGATAAAGATAAACAGAAAGGGAAGGGCAAGATAAACGAGTGAAGCAGAAAAAGTGAAGTTCAGGGACAATAGCCTATTGAGGAAACTCCCCCAAATGGTGCATGACAGCCTTTTGTGACATACCTGCAAATGGTGTAGACAATGCCCCGAACCGATTTCCCGAGGAACCGGTCGTCTGACGACCTGGATGCTCGAATTTGCAGCGGTCTGAGGCATGATTTAGCGCCTGTACTTGATTGGGATCCGAGAAAACATACCGCCGAACTTGCAGCGGCCCTGCTGGAAATATGTGCAGACAACCATGGTGTCTGTTCACCGGCTACTCACTGGAATTACTCGCGATCCCCGCGCAGGGGCCGAGTCAGGAGCTTGGAAAACAGTATCACCGGCGAGAATAAGAGTTCCGATGGGAGGTTTCCAGAGTTGATGCGACAAAAAAGCGCGGTCGTGGCCAGCCGAACGCGTGGGTGTTGAAAGTTGGCGGCGACGTTGTTTGGGGCTTTTCTGCCGCCTTGCGCCAATCAGCTGCTTATCACGTCGACTACAGATGAACCCGCGGCAAATATTATTCTTTAGATGAATTTGAATAAGAGCTTACGACATTTTTTTGGTTTTTAAATGCAATAATTAATTAGGGGATATTCCTCTAGGTAGAACGGAAAACACGAATGGCAGGTAAGAGGACTACCGATGCGCATGATATATTTTGGCGTCTACGATCGACACAAGACTTAATCCAGAACCATGACTCCTATTGCTGCGCCTAATCTTTTGTAGCTACCGAAAAAAAAACATTCATTCCAAGGCTCCACCGCCACTGGATGGGTATATCGTCTGTGTATGCCGCATGCTCGCCCGCAAATCGTCCCAGTTCAGCCCGTCGATCTTCTTCCCGCCGAGTGACTCGAGCTCGGGGGACAAACTGTCCAATCGGCCAGTCGCAAGGCGTCGCATCATCACCGTGTCTTTCGCACCGGGGAGAGAGCTAGCATTCCCGTGGAGCAGAACCTCCTCGAACCACTGTGCCTCGTCCTCGTCGAATGGAAGGCCAATAAGCTCCATCGCGCGCTTGCTGCGTCTCTGTCCGGGTTTGTTCTTGTGCACGAGCTCCACCAGCTGCGCAAAGTAGCTACGACGATGAGATTCATCGTGCCTGCGGGTAAAGTAAAATGCCTCTGTGACGTTGGACCGGCACAGAGCTTCGAAGAAAGCGCGCTGGACCTTCTCTGTTGCAAGAGGGGGGGCCACGGTAAGGAAGTATGCGATTGCCAGGCTGTCGTCCTGTTTTGGGAGGTGGGTCATGGTTAAGGTGTAAAGGATCTCATCAGGAAACGTTGGGATCAAAGAAGGTTCGGTCAGGTACTCGATGGCTCGCTGTAGACATGCACCTGTTAGGACAAATCAAGAAAGCGGGGTTTCTGGTAGACTTACTCTGAACTCGAGTCGGTCTAAATTCCACAGACCTTCAATAAAGAGACGGTACTTCTCTGGTAGATGGAATCGGCGCGCAAATTGTTGAGCAGCATCTGGGGCCGCGCGACAGTCTTTGAGGAGGTAATAGATCAAAGCTTGTTTGTGGTGGATATCGAGGGCCGATTCCACGATGTGTTTCACGAGAGAGCGCAGATCGGCATTGGTCTTTGGCGGATACACCTTGGTTACTGCTAGAGGTCAGCCAGAGGCATCCATGTTGGAAAAATCGCATCCCATACCTCCTTTGATACCGAGCAGGCCTAGCAAGCGGTCGGCAAAGAGCTGGTTCTCGAGCGCCCGCCGGTTGGCAAGGATCTGTTCGACGACCTTTGCATCGTAGGAATATTTCTTGTTAAAGAAGAAGATGGTCTCGAAGTCCTCCCACAAAGCCATGGCGCGCGGTCCTGGACTCTTCCGTGCGTGCAGCCGCTGAAAGAAAGAAAGCCGGGCAGAATGACATAAGGCGGTGAAGCAATGTTGTGGCAGAACGCACGGAGCAATTCCTGTTTGGGCGGAGAGTAAACAACAACCCACTTTCACTTCACTCCTTCTTTCCATTCCCACCCCCTCGCGTCCCTATGAAGCACGCGCCCCCGGCATTGATCTGCGCATAATGGCTTCACTTACAAAGGGCCGGTCCTCGCGCCGAGTGGCTGCCCGCCGGAGCTATGTCGTTGAGGACACCTCTGAATCTGAAGACCCCGGGAACGTCACGCCGAGCGCAGCCACCGAAGACGATAACGACGAGAGCGAGGAAGCCGAAGACTACACACCGGTTCCCAAACAACACGCCCCAAAGGGTGGCCCGCGCAACAAACGAATGAAGCTGGAGCCTGCGACGCCATCGACAGTCCGGCCAACGCGCAAGTCGCAGCAGGCGACCGCGGAGGACTCGGAGGCATCGCAGGTGATGATGGATGTAAACGATAACGATGAGAATGATGAGAGTATCAACATCTCCTCCGTGGAGGCAGATCCTGATTCTCCTTCCAATAAAGCGGCGCTGAAAAGAAAAAGTATGGCTCATCCCCGCAAGAGTCGTGGTTCTATCACGCCCAAGCCGACCAAGGGCTCACTCCCCACTCCAGAGCCGTCTGCATCGCCAGAGCCTGAAGCGCGGGCCCATCGGGAAAGCGTACCGCCTCTCTCCGATATCACCGATTCCGCCGTCAACCAGTCGCCGTCCAAGCAATCCGAGGAGCCTAGATCGCAAATCTCCATCATCAATCCCAACTCCACAGTCCTTGAGAGACCAATGGACATTGTCCTGAAGTCGAGAAACGTGGCTCAGCCGGCACCCGAAGAGCCCGCGGAGGCTAAACCTCGCATGATCATCACCAACTTGACCTTAACAAATTTTAAGAGTTACGCGGGACGTCAGGTGGTTGGTCCCTTCCATGCCTCCTTTTCCTCTGTGGTTGGCCCCAACGGATCGGGCAAGTCGAATGTGATTGACTCGCTACTTTTTGTCTTTGGTTTCCGCGCTAGCAAGATGCGACAAGGCAAGATCTCGGCCCTCATCCACAACTCTGCCCAGTATCCCGACCTGCCTTTCTGCGAAGTCGAAGTCCACTTCCAGCAAGTTCTCGACCAACCTGACGGCGGCCACGAAGTCGTTCCAGATTCCCAACTGATCATTTCGCGACGAGCGTTCAAGAACAACACCAGCAAGTACTACATGAACAAAAAGGAGACAAACTTCACCGCGGTGACCACCTTTCTTAAAGACCGCGGGATTGACCTTGATCACAAGCGATTCCTGATTCTGCAGGGTGAAGTTGAGTCGATCGCCCAGATGAAGGCCAAGGCCACCGGCGATCATGACGAAGGCCTTTTGGAGTATCTTGAAGATATCATTGGGACTTCGAAATACAAGACCCCCATCGAAGAGGCCGCGACTGAGCTTGAGTCTTTGAACGACGTCTGCATGGAGAAGAACAACCGCGTCCAGCACGTGGAGAAAGAAAAGAACGCGCTGGAGGATAAGAAAAACAAGGCTTTGGCATATATCCGAGATGAAAACGAATTGTCACAGAAGCAATCGGCCCTCTATCAGATCTACATCGATGAATGCGCTGATAATATTCGTGTTACCGAGGAGGCCATTCTCCAAATGCAGGAATTGCTTAATCACGAGCTTGAGAAGCACGAGGGCAATGAATCCGGCATCAAGGAGCTCGAAAAGCAATACAAACGGGGCGTCAAGGAATACGAAACCATGGAGAAGGAGGCCCAGGGCTTACTCAAGGAAATGGCCAAATACGACAAAGAGTCGGTCAAATTCGACGAAAAGAAGAAGTTCCTTCTCGGCAAACAGAAGAAGCTGGAGAAGACGATGCAAACTGCCCGTCTTGCCGCGTCCGAATGCCAGAGCTTGGTCGAGAAATACGCCTACGACGTCGACAAGAAGACGACCGAGACGGCCCAACTCGAGCAGGAGATGAAGACGGAGGAGGAAGAATTGGCCTCCATTCGTGAAGGGCTCAAGGGCAAGACTCAGGGGCTCTCTGATCAAATTACCGCCAAACAGAAGTCTCTGGAGCCATGGAACGAAAAGATCAACCAAAAGCAGTCCACAGCCGCCGTCGCTCAGAGTGAGCTCGACATCCTGCGGGAACGGGGCAACGCGGGTGCTGTTTTGCTCGAAGAGGCACAGGGCAAGATCGCCGCCATCGAAGAAACACTCGAGTCCAAACAAACCGAACTCGAGGAGCGACAGGCTCAAAAGGAGACCTTGGAAGCCGAAGTTGACAAGCTGCAGAACGACTTGAAGAAGTACTCCAACCGCGAGCCCGAGGTCCGCGCCCACGTTTCCAGCGCACGGCAGAAAGCAGACGAGGCACGAGTTAGTCTGGCAAGCACACAGAACCGCGGCAGCGTTTTGACTGGATTAATGCGGCTCAAGGAGTCTGGTCGTATCGATGGGTTTCACGGCCGACTGGGCAACTTGGGCACGATCGACGAGAAGTATGATGTTGCCATTTCAACCGCCTGCCCAGCTCTGGACAACATGGTTGTGGAAACTGTAGAAGTCGGTCAGCAATGTATCGACTATCTCCGAAAAAACAACCTTGGCCGAGCCAACTTCATCCTCCTTGACCGTCTGCCTCGCCGTGACATGTCAACTCTCTATACCCCTGAGAGCGTGCCGCGTCTCTTTGATCTTGTTAAGCCCAAGGACCCCAAATTTGCCCCGGCTTTTTATAGCGTGATGCAAAACACTCTTGTGGCCAAGGACCTGGAGCAGGCCAATCGCATTGCCTACGGTGCTCGGCGATGGCGAGTGGTCACACTTGATGGACAGCTGATTGACGTGTCGGGAACAATGAGCGGTGGTGGCACTCGTGTCGCACGCGGCGGCATGTCCTCGAAGCAGGTCGCCGACACCACCAAGGAGCAAGTCACCCGATTGGAGTCTGATCTTGAGGAGCTGGAAAGAAAGTTCCAGGCCTTCCAGGATAAGCAACGGCACGTGGAAGCCCAAATGAGCGAGAAGTCGGAGGAGATTCCTCGTGTGGAGACAAAGATCCAGAAGATCAGGATCGAAATCGACAGTGCAAAGCGCAGTCTCGCCGACGCCCAACGACGGGTGAAGGAATTGAGTGCGGAACACAAGCCCTCCAAGGACGACGAAGCGAAGGAAATCGCCCTCCAGAAACAGATTGACTCAACGAACAAGGAAATCGAAGAGCTCAACAGCGAGAAGAGTGGGATTGAAGAGGAGATCCAGACTCTGCAGAACAAGATCATGGAAGTTGGCGGTGTTCGCCTTCGTGGACAAAAAGCCAAGGTCGATGGCCTGAAGGAGCAGATTGGCATGCTCGCCGAGGAGATCTCCAACGCCGAGGTCCAGAAGTCCAAGAACGAGAAGCTCATCAGCAAGCATGAGAAGGCCCGTAGCCAGTCTGAAAAGGAAATTGGCCAGATCACCAGCGACCTCGAGAACCTGGAGGCGGATGTTGAGAGTCAGGCCAATGACGCTTCTGATTGGAGGCAGAAAGCAGATGACGCCCAAGAGGTATTTTTTCATTACTGATCATGTTGAACTTAGCACTGACCCTTTTCTAGGCCTTGGAAACCAAGAAGGGCGAGCTCAAGACGCTGAAGGAAGAGCTTGATGAGAAGGTGGCCGAACTGAACGAGACCCGAGCCACCGAGATTGAAATGCGCAACAAGCTCGATGAAAACCAGAAGGCTTTGACTGAAAATCAGAAACGTAGCCGATACTGGGAAGAGAAGCTTTCCAAGCTGTCCGTGCAGAACGTCAGCGACCTCGGCGACGAGCAAGAGCCCGCAGAGCTTCAGATGTACACCAAGGACGAGATGAGCGAGATGAACAAGGAGTCCCTGAAAGCCGTTATTGCCGCTCTGGAGGAGAAGGTCCAGAATGCTTCCGTCGATCTGTCCGTCATTGAGGAGTACCGCCGCCGAGCGGCCGAGCACGAATCACGGTCTGCGGACTTGGCGACTGCTTTGGCATCTCGCGACAGCGCTAAGTCTCGTTTGGATGGACTTCGCTCTGCTCGACTGAACGGGTTTATGGAGGGATTCGGCATCATCTCTCTGCGCCTGAAGGAGATGTACCAGATGATCACCATGGGCGGTAACGCCGAGTTGGAACTGGTGGATTCCCTGGACCCTTTCTCGGAAGGAATTCTGTTCTCGGTCATGCCTCCGAAGAAGAGCTGGAAGAACATTGGCAATCTCTCTGGTGGCGAGAAGACGCTGTCCAGTTTGGCGTTGGTGTTCGCCCTTCATCATTACAAGCCGACGCCGCTCTATGTCATGGACGAAATTGACGCGGCTTTGGATTTCCGTAACGTGAGTACCTCTGCTCAAGTGCTTTCCTTTTACTTGACTGATTTTGTGTGATAGGTGTCGATTGTGGCATCCTATATCAAGGAGCGCACAAAGAACGCGCAATTTATTGTCATTTCCCTGAGAAACAACATGGTAGGTGGTATCATTATGCAATGCCAGAGAACGCCCACTAATTATCACCACAGTTTGAGCTTGCATCTAGACTTGTCGGTGTTTACAAGGTCAATCATATGACCAAGAGCGTTACGATCGAGAATCGTGATTATATCGAGGGCCGGTGATGATTAGAATGACATGCATATTTTCTTTTGCGTTGTGCCGCATTGTTGTCGCTAGTGATATCATGGGCGGGGAGTACTGGCTTTGAATTCATTTTGGTTTATCGAGTATATGCACTTATAGGACGTATCAGATTTTTCTTGCTAGAACGGGCAACTTAGCCGCCGTCACTTTTAGAAGGGCGATCGATATTGGTGTCTACTTCTCCACATCTTTTGATGTACCCATAACCTTGCCAAGGCTCTTTTCAGTTGTCTCCCACTCTATGAATAGCCTCCACCGCCCAGTCGCCTCTCGGCTTGAGCTTGAACTTCACCTCCTTGGGCATCGTCATGAATCCGCCACGACCATCGCCCACGGATCAATCTCCTCCCCATCAGCGGGCTCGATATCAAACGCCCAGAGCAGATTAGCGACCTGCATGAATGCCCCATCCGTGGCAACCCTCTTGCCCTGACAGATACGCCGGACCTGCCCGAAGACCGGCAGCGGAAGGTCCGTTCGTAGCTTTTGCTCTCCGTCCCCATCCTGCCGCAGCCACCTCTCGGGAACGAAATCTTGAGAGTTGTTCGCCCGGCGCGGGATGGACCCGGGAGATATGGGCCGCCAGCGGAAAAGCTCGTGCGCAACGGCATCAATGAATGTGAGCGCCTGCCATTTCTAGCTTAATAACACGCCGGCTTTTGATGTGTCGGAAGTGAAAACACTAGTATGAACTAGTATCGAGCAGGCTGATACCGATGGAGATCATGAAGTTGCTGAATAATTAGACTACCTCAACTGCCGTGTTTTACAACAGGTGTGCAAAATTTTCTGCGCTTGTCCTCAATGGACTTCGTCGATATCACATACTTGATTCCCCGCGCCAACATCTTTAGTGGCGTTGAGCCCTGTCTCGCCGTTGCACTCGCTTGTGTCCCTATGATGCGTCCCTTGCTGGGACGCTCAACATACACCCTTGATGGATCAAGCCGAACGCCAGTTAAGCCCTCGAAACAGTCAGCACGGTCTAAGCCCCCTGAGAGTGGCGATTTCCAGCCACTGAAGGACGAGTCGAGCCAGCTGTGGCTGCAGTTGATGGGACCGAAGTACAATGTTGGCGTCGCTGTTCAGGACCGTGGGAGCCAGGAATCACTCGCTAGAGAGGCTAGCCTTGAGGAACAGACGCCGCCTGGCAGTGGAGGGATATCGGTGAAGCAGGAATGGGCTGTGGGAGGCTAGGCAAATATAAAATATAGCCTCAAGTGATCTAACACAACTAAAGTATTTCTGTTAAAACAGCCAATTAGAATCAAATAGTCATTTTCTGTAGCCAAAGACAACATATCGAGCGATCACGCATCAAGCAATAGACCTATTTCTAAAGCCACTTCGGAACTAGCTCATCCACACGCATTTCCCTTGATCTACGTAGTTCATCATACTCTCAACCTGTGCAATATGCGATATTATCTGTATTAAATAGCCCCAGTTTTTAACCGCCTAGCTCCGTCAATCTCGTCTCCGCCCAATCCCCTCAGTCAAAATAACATTCCTCCAGTCAGAATAGAAGCTGGGTCTAAAAATTAATGTGGTTGGCGCACATGGCTGCCTACGGCCAAGAAGTCGTTGTGGCCAGCAAAATTGATTCGCTGATCTCGGCCCACAGGTGTATCAATCTTACCCGATAGAGCTAGTCATCCCTCCACGTTCAACATCTAGCAACGAACGAGCCACCGAACTACCGATCTCTCGTCGCGACACGTTTTCACCTGGTACACCTGAATGCGACAGCAGAATACCAGGTGCAGCGATTCACAAAGCGTGCGGCAAGGTGCAAAACGTTTCCGCGCACGTAAACCAACATCAAACTCGACGAGGTCATCTTGACACGCTGATGACCATGAGCAGCCTGGTATCGACCTATCTGAAGCAGGGGCGGTGGGATGATGCTGAGAAGCTCCAGGTGCAGGTGATGGAGACGAGTAGGACGAAATTCGGCCAGGACCATCCTGACACGCTGGCGAGTATGGCTAGCCTGGCATCGACCTATTTGAAGCAGGGGCGGTGGAACGAGTCTGAGCTGCTCTTCGTCCAGGTGATGGAGACAAGCAAGACCAAACTCGGCCAAGATCATCCTAAAACGCTAGTGAGCATGAATAACCTAGCATCGACCTATTTGAAGCAGGGGCGCTGGGATGAGGCTGAGCTGCTCTTGGTGCAGGTGATGGAGACAAGCAAGAAGACCAAACTCGGCCAGGACCATCCTGACGCGCTGACGACTATGAGTAGTTTGGCATCGACCTATTTGAAGCAGGGGCGGTGGGATGAGGCTGAGCTCCTCTTCGTGCAGGTGATGGAGACGAGCAAGACCAAACTCGGCGAGGACCATCCTGACACGCTGGCGAGTATGGGTAGCCTAGCATCGACCTATTCAAGCCAGGGGCGATGGAATGACGCTGAGCAGCTCCAAGTGCAGGTGATGGAGACAAGCAAGGCCAAATTCGGCCAGGACCATCCTGACACGCTAGCCATCATGAATAACCTAGCGTTCACCTATTTGAGGCAGGGGCGATGGGCTGAGGCTGAGCAGCTCCAGGTGCAGGTGATGGAGACAAGCAAGACCAAACTCGGCCAGGACCATCCGGAAACTCTAGAAAGCATGAGTATCCTGGCGTTGACCTATTCGAACCAAGGCCGATGGGAGGAGTCCGAGCAGCTCCAGGTGCAGGCGATGGAGACATGCAAGACCAAACTCGGCCAGGACCATCCTGACACGCTAGCGAGCATGAATAACCTAGCGTTAACCTATTCGAACCAAGGCCGATGGGATGAGGCTGAGCAGCTCCAGGTGCAGGCGATGGAGACGAGCAAGACCAAACTCGGCGAGGACCATCCTAACGTGCTGATGAAGATGGGCAGCCTGGCGTTAACCTACTCGAACCAAAGCCGATGGGACGAGGCTGAGCAGCTCCAGGTGCAGGTGATGGAGACAAGCAAGACCAAACTCGGCCAAGATCATCCGGACACGCTGGCGAGCATGAATAACCTGGCGTTAACCTATTCGAACCAAGGCCGATGGGATGAGGCGGAGCAGCTCTTCGTGCAGGTGATGGAGATAAGCAAGACAAAACTCGGCGAGGACCATCGTGACAGGCTGACGACTATGGGTAGCCTAGCATCAACCTATTTGAAGCAGAGGCGGTGGGATGAGGCTGAACAGCTCTTCGTGCAGTTGATGGAGACAAGCAAGACGAAACTCGGCCAAGATCATCCTCACACATTGATGAGCATGAATAACCTGGCAGTGACCTATTCGTGCCAGGGCCGATGGGATGAGGCCGAGCAGATTCAATTGCAGGTGATGGAGACTTGCAAGACGAAGCTCGGTGAAAACCATCCCGATACACTCTCGAGTATGGCCAACCTAGAGACAATACAAAGAAGAAGAAGAAGGAACGGAGCCGGTGGTTGGGCTTCGAGAAGCTTGGCGAAGATTTTTTCAAGACTATTATCATAAGTTATTGGTTTTTATTTCGTGCGCTTTTTACGACCTTACGTCCTATGCAGCTCCCTAGCTAGTGTGCTCTCTAGCTAGTGTGCACTGCTCCGTTGAATATGCTGTTTTAGTGGCCCTGAAGTATCTTTGGAACCTCTGTGAAGCTGATCTGTCAGACCTCCCTATGTCACTTGGACTTGGGAAGTGGCAGATGAAAGTGGCCTCTCCAGATTCGAGGCCCTCTCAGGCCCTGATGTTTGACTCGATTGCATTACCATGGAAGTTCTGGTTGCCTCTATCACCAATTCAGTTACAAGACAGAGCGACGTATTATGATTAGAGTAAGTCACTGTATTGATAAAGATACAGGAATGTTGATATTTTTCCGTCCATTCCTAATTTACACTTGTGGGCCTTGGCACTAGGGTTCGAGAAACAATGAAAGAGGTGGCGGCACCAGTTTCGAGACGCACTGTAGTCTAATTAATGCTCCTTCGGCTCTTTCGATGACGCAGCCGCCAATACTTTTAGCCTATACTCCGTTCCGCATTGATCGTCAAATCGCCCAAAATCCCCCCGAAATCTGGTTCAGACCACCCAACTATCGGCGTTACTCATCTTCGAAAATCAAATATCCGAACAAGCCTCGCACTACTCCAATAAACCCTTCTGCCGATGTAACCGTGCCTGGTATGTCATCATTGGCGCGCGCACATCAACCCCCGGAACACGGTTCCCGGACACAGCTGTATGCCATGATGCGGGGTATACTTATTGCGATGACAGTCAATTCCCCCGAAATGACCGAGCAACCTCCTCTTTCTGGGATGGATCAACATGGTCCGCTGGGACTATTGCGGGTTAAACCGCTCGAAACGATGATCGTTGCCGAAGCGCGTTGGAATGTATGGAAGCGCAGGGAGAAAAATGTAATATAACCCGCCTCCTTTCCCTCTCCGCGCATGGTGTACAGCGTGAAACGGTAGAATCTATATTCTTGGACTCAGTATGCGTCTACGACCAATCCTGTCCCCTATCCAGGGGCTTTTGCTGCTACATGCCAGCGCTGCGGCGAAGGCGGCGGCTCAGGTAGACCTCTCGCAATTTGTGAATCCGTTCATTGGCTCTGAAGGCCCAGTCGCGGGCTCCGGATTTGGCGGTGGTGATATTTTTGTGGGTGGCGCGCGGCCGTTTGGTGTCGTGAAGGTTGGAATTGACTCGACGGCTGCCGATTGGAGCACTGCTGTCCTCAATGGCGGTTGGACGCCCGATGGCAATGTCACCGCCATCAGTATGATGCATGAGCACGGTACTGGTGGCAATCCCAAGTATGGGATCATTCCCCAAATGCCTTTGACCTCGGTTGCTGCGCCGATCAATGTGTTGGATAATACCACCTATAGTCAGCCGAGGGTAAGTGCTGGCCTTTTGCAAATGGTTGTGTAAACTGGACTGGAATAACATCTTTGCAGATTGGCAATGACACGGCCAGTGTGGGTTACTACAAGACGCACCTACAGAGTGGAGTGATTGTGGAACTGTCGGCATCCCGCCATGCTGGTATTATGGAGTACTCCTTCCCAAAGGGCGAGAAACATGTCCTCGTGGACGTGTCTCACGTATGATCACCTGTACTCGAAGAAATACGAAAGCCAATGCTAAGCGAATAACAGTATCTACCTGGAAGCCCTGGCGGTGCGGATGGCCAATTCTATGTCGGTGGAGAGATTCAAATCGAAAGCGACGGAAAAGCTTATAGTGGTTACGGGACGTATATTGGCGGTTGGAATAACGGTATACTCACTTGACCCAATCTCCATTGCAACTTCTGACAGACGACCAGGCGCGCCTTTTACGGTGTTCTTTTATGGAGAATTCTCCGAGACCCCTGACCACTCTCAGACCTTCTCAGGCGTGAACACTGACCCCATGACCCGGTATCAAAATCTGGCTGACGGCGGCGTGAGCATACCGACTTTCGCCTACGGCAACACAACCAGCAAAGTCACCTCCGGCCCCATGAATAACCGAGTCGGAGCCCTCTTGAGCTGGGATAACGGCCCAGCTTCTCATATCACCTCGCGCGTGGGCATCTCGTCTATGTCGGTCGAAAAGGCCCGCTCATACATCCGCAAGGAAATTCCTTCGTGGAAGCTGAATGACACAGTCACTGACGCTGTGAAGGAGTGGAATGAGGATGTTTTTAACAAGGTCCGGGTCCCCTTGGACAAATCGGCGAATATGACGAACGTGAGGCTGCTTTACAGTTCGCTGTATTTCATTCACTTGATGCCGTCTGATCGAACCGGTGAGAATCCGTTGTGGGACTCTGGGGAGCCGTTTTGGGATGACTTTTATACCATGTGTGAGTTGAAATCCAACACATCTGAAAGGTATGGGTTACTGACGGTTTTCAGGGGATATCTTCCGTTGCACCGTCAGCTTCTACCATATATTCCAGCCAACCTACTACGAGTCCATGATCCGAGGACTCATTGATATCTGGAGGTAAGTGAGAACGACTCCAACAAAAAACAACTTGTTAACAGTGCGTCAAGATACCAAGGCTATCTCCCCGATGGCCGCAGCGGCAACTGGAACGGCCTAGTCCAAGGCGGCTCCGATGCGGACAACATGTTCGCCGACGCCTACGTCAAGGGCATGCGTGGCTCCATCAACTGGACCGATGGGTACCTAGCTATGAAGAAGAACGCCGAAGTCACACCGTACAACACATTCGACCCGACCGATCTGACAGCCAGCACGAAAGAAGGCCGCGGCGCGCTCGACGACTGGAAGCAGCTGGGCTACGTCTCGCAGGATCACAACACACGCTGCATCTCGCGCACCGTTGAGTACAGCCTCAATGATTTTGCACTCAGCCAGGTTGCCGCGGGCGAGATGCCTGGGGACCGGACGAAGTATTTGAATCGTTCTGCTAATTGGCAGAACATCTGGGATAAGGATGTCAAGAGCCTGGGTTTCTCGGGGTTCTTGGCACCGAAGCTTTCTGATGGCTCGTTCAATGGATCTGGGTATGACCCGCTTTACTGCTATAGCTGTGAATGGCAGTCTTATACTTATGAGGGCATTCCTTGGGGTGAGTTTGGTCCTCTGGAGGTTCGGAATTGACAGGCAGCTAACAGGCACAGAATACTCATTCGTCGTTCCTCATGATATGAAGACTCTGATTCAGTTCATGGGTGGAGAGAAGACCTTCGAGTCGCGTCTTGACATGATGGTAGGTGGACGTCGCAGGAATGTTGGACAGACGGCTAATCTCTGTCCAGTTCAAACCAAACACATCTGTGCAGAACCTTGGAGCGAACGGTGCGGGTATTACCACATTGATGAATATCGGGTCAGTCCCTTCGAACTCTCTAGCTGTTCAAGACTGACCAGGCCCAGCAACGAGCCCGACTTCGCGACCCCCTACCTGTACAACTACGTTAACAAGCAGTACAAGAGCGTTCAACAATCCCGCGGACTGGGGTACCAGTAGTACGATTTCTCCGCGCTCACTCAGAGCATCCCCCAGATTAGAAACCGAACTAACAGCCATGATTCACAGCTTCAAAGACGCCGCCTACGGCATCCCCGGCAACAGCGACGCGGGCGCCATGAACTCGTGGCTCCTGTGGCAACTACTGGGCATCTACCCCGTCGTCACACAGCCAGTCTACCTCCTCTCGTCGCCCTGGTTCCCCGACCTGAACATGACCGTCAGCGGGGACAAGACGCTGCGCATCAAGGCCAACGGTCTGAACGAGGGGATCTACGTGCAAAGCGTCAAGATCAATGGCAAGGCTTGGACGAAGAACTGGTTTGAGCATGAGGATGTGATGACGAACGGGGGGACGATTGAGTTCGAGCTTGGCGAGCAGCCTACCGTGTGGGAGACGGGTGAGGCGCCGCCCTCACCGGGACATGTGCAGCTGTAATTCACTCCGAGGGTAGACAGGCTAGTATGTCAGAAGAGGATGGACCCCGCTTGTCTGTGCGTGGGTCGTGTTCCTTCATGTCAATGTATCTATGACCTGCAGCCCGGCCCCGCATGGGACCGAGAGCAATGCTGAACCCATGGGGAATCATATTCCACGAGGCGGGCGTGAGAGTGACGAGAGCCAGCCGGGTCCGACCATCAAGGCTCCGTAACTAAAGTAGAAAAGCAACCAGGGTGCGGCGGGGCTGATTGGATTGGAGAGCAGCCCATGATTCCGGTTTTGTTTAACTGCCTGTACGTAGGCCATGTGACGTCACGGGGGGGTTGGGGTGTCCCGCCTCCAGGATAAAGTAAAGTTGATCACGACTCTTGCTCCCAACTTCTTCACACATCTCTCGTTGCTGCTCTTGTCGCTCCTGTCCGGTTGGTAACCGCCCTACGTTCATCATTCCCCACACAGTGGTTGCGGCTCCACCATCCACGAGGCATTCACCATGGTAAGCATTCCCGCATTCCACGGCACCATCCGAGAACCAGACTTCAGAGAGCTAACATTCGTTCTACTGATTGACAGGCCCCAATCGACACCATTCTCTCTCCTCGACAATCCACCGCCTCATCCACCAACTGCCCAAACACTCTCTCCAGCGGGGCCATTGCCGGCATTGTCATCGGCACGATTGCAGGCACGCTGCTGATCCTATGGCTAATCCGCCTGTGCCAGCTGCCTGGCGCGTGGAGTTTCGGCGGCGAGCCAGACCCCGGCTACCGACCGCCGATTACCCGGACTCACGGTCGCAGACGGCGTCGGCGCCCGTCGGTTGTCGAGTATACGGAGAAGCCTGTTAGTGGGTCGTCGCGCCGGTACCAGACGGATGTGCGCCGGCCGGAGAGGGTGTATGTGACCTGATTTAAATCTCGAGGGGAGGCAGGGAGGGTATAGGGCGATGATAATAATGACGGTCATGGATTTTGGGGCGGGGCTGGGCTGGGCTGGGTCGGGACTTATGGGCGAGTAGAAAAAGCAGGGGGCTCAGGCCCTATGATTATTATTGATGGCGAGACCGCTGTAGGTAATGATACACGAATCAATAATGACGATAATGCATGAAGATGATCACCGACCGAGCCCAGACTCCATTGCCTTATCGTGCACAACCATCTAATCAGAGTGCCACTATCTATACTTCCACCGTCGGTTTCACCACCCTAGACGAACTTGTTTGAACGGGAGCAGGATCGGGCTCCACCATGGCCGGCTTGGCTTTCTGGGGCCGGGATGATTGGCCCTCCATCTCGGGCAAAAAGCTCTGCAAGGGGGGAACATGGGTGGATCGTGATTGCAGTCGCACGAACGGGAGGCTGCAGGGTGTACATCGATATACTTCGTACTGTACTCCCTAGGGACTCCAAGGGACTCCTAGGGACTCCCTAGTGCGACCATGAATCCCCTTCCTAGTCTTTCTGGAAATATTAGTTCCCGGCCAATGCACTTGCCCAAAGCAGTTAAGCCCCAGGCACGGCTCCCTCGCGCTTTCCCAAACGGGCTAGTCATCCACTAGTAGTGGCTCTTTCCCCTTTACACCCACACTGCTCCCTCTCACTCTCTCTTCTTTCTCTTCTTGCTCGATGTACGACTCCGTCTGACCCTCATTCGTTCTTTGCTGGTGGGATTCTCCCGCCGTCCCGTCTCTTCGTTCGTGCCCACTTGAAGCACATCCATTCTTTTGAATACACTTCTCCTGACGGACCATCACTCATCATGCTCGCGCTCTACTTCTTCCTGGCCACCCTGGTCAGCTATGTCGCGGCCCAGTCCAACGCAGAAACATCCTGCAACCCATTGAAGACGACGTGCCCCCCGGATCCGGCCCTGAGCACCGAACACACCTTCTGGTTCAACGAGACCCTCGACGACACCCTTTGGAACATGACCTCTGGCTCGCTCGACTACACCTCTGAAGGCGCCACATTCACCCTCAACGAAGAAGGCGACTCCCTCCTGCTGATGTCCAACTTCTACATCTTCTTCGGCGTCATGGAGGTGCATGCGAAGATGGCCAAGGGTGCCGGCATTATCAGCGGTGTGATTCTCGAGTCTGACGACCTCGACGAAATCGACTGGGAATGGGTCGGCTATAATACGAGCGGCGTGCAGTCCGACTTCTTCGGAAAGGGCAACACGACCACCTGGAACCGCGGTGGCCAGCATAATGCCCCTAACGCAGACATCGAGTTCCACAACTACACCACCTACTGGGACCAGTACAAGCTGCAGTGGTGGGTCGATGGTGACATGGTCCGACAGGTCAACTACGACGATCCTCTCGCTGTCTACGGCAAGAACTACCCACAGACACCCTGCCGCGTCAAGGCCAGTCTCTGGCCCTCGGGGAGTACCGGCCAGAGCGAAGGTACCATCAAGTGGGGAGGAGGCATGGTCGACTGGTCTCAAGCTCCTTTCAGCATGACCATCCAGCGGATCCGCGTGGAGGACTTTCATACCGGTAAGGAGTACCAGTACGACGGCAATTCGGGTTCTTTTAATAGCATCGACGTGATCGGGTAAGTGATTATTGGTTCCCATTATATCGAAATGAATGCCATCCTAACAGCCTCTGACAGTGGAAACTCGACCGCGCAAGAGAGAATCGACAACCCGCCAGAGAGTCTGTCCGAGAAATGGGACAATTTGCCCGAGGGCGCCCATATCGGCGTGTACTGCGGTGCAGCCGCCGCCGGTGCCTTGATTATTGTTGCCTTGGGTCTCTACTGCGTGAAGCAGCGCCGGAGAGGCCGTCTCGAACACGCCCTGGACGATGCCCGGTACAACACTGAGCGCAACGAGATGCAGAACTACCAGAGCGACTGGAAGCAGACCGAGTGGAACAGCACCAGCTACCGCAACAACGGCTATCAAGCAATGTAGCAATCGCCGTGAAATCCATCTCCTTACGAATCGTTCTGCTGCTCTGTCGCCTTGTCTGTACACCCTGGCGATGTCTCTCTGCGACGACAGATGCATTCAACCAACTAATGACCTGGCCTGGATTTTGTCTCTCTCTGTCTGCTGCTATCTATCTTTCTGTCAATATCCTTCTTTCTCAGTCCAAATCCTTTTAGTCGTTGGCGTTGGACCGGCCACCCGCTATGTTTTACTTATATACCGCGACCTGAATGTGCACATATCTCGTTTTCAGGCTCACTCATTCATTCTTTCATGTAGATGCCTCTAAGTTCTTCCATACCCGTTGTAGGACGCTTCATGAGTCAGTCTACTACGTCTGGGTGACCACGCAGCGCGGCCCAGTTAGCGGAGTCGCACCGTGCCTATTGACAGAATTGGGATCGGCGCCGTGGTCAACGAGGATTCTCACGATACCCTTCCGGCCAAAGTATGTCGCGTAACCCGAGCGGCGAGTTGCCGTGGACGGTACGACAGTCCACATCCACACGACCGTCTACAATCAAAAGCCTCGCCACATCCGCATTTGTACTCAGAATCGGAATTGATCCCGTTGTCAAGCAAGAGCGTTGCAATGGCGATGTATTCTCGGCGCGGCGATGCTTTTTGTCGCGGTCGCGAGCTGGTTGTGCTCTGCGGCCCATGTCAGCGTGTTTCCTTGGTGATTATGGGCGTTGTAGCTGTCGAAGTAGGCGTTGAGGAGGTCATGGCTGCGGTGGGATGTTTGGGAGGGGTGTTGATATTGCGCTCGGAGGTGAGATGGGTCAGGTTAGTACATCGTAGCATAAATATTTTGTGCTGTGCTGTGCAATGACGTCGATACAGCCCGTTCCACTGTTGCCTCAAGCTAGCCATTCCGGTGGTCGGATTAGTGGGCTGGGCGGGACGGAGAATGTGAAACACTACCGTAGACGAGTCGGGATCGGGTCAATTGGGTCGCAAGCCCTGCCGCGTACGGTGCCTCGGACAATTAGTATTTACGGTCGGCGATCGGGACCAGCGGTTGGATCTGCGATTGGTGTGGAGGATCACCGTAGGAAGTCGGACTCGCCGAAATCCGTGCCTCGGTCGCGTTGTTGGGATCCTTATAATTCTCATCCAATCCTCTGGCCCTTGTTACACTCAATCCAACCTCTCACCACGTCTCGCCATGGCCAAAGAGGTCCCCATCCCGGGCCCCAAGGGCGTGCCTTTCTTCGGCAATATCTATGACATTGAACCCGAGCTGCCCACCAGGAGTTTCGAGCTGCTGGCTGATAACTACGGTACGGGCGACTGATGCTGGAGCACTCGATCACTAACTGACCGGTCCGGATAGGACCAATCTTCCGACTTACCACATTCGGCGCCCCACGTGTCTTCATCAGCTCCCACGAGCTAGTAGACGAGGTCTGCAATGAAGAACGATTCACGAAAACCGTGACTGCGGGGCTGAACCAGATCCGCAACGGCGTACACGATGGTCTCTTCACAGCCAATTACCCCGGCGAGGAGAATTGGGCCGTCGCTCACCGCGTGTTGGTGCCGGCGTTTGGCCCGCTGAATATCCGCGGCATGTTTGATGGTATGCCCCTCGATCTGGCAACAAGAAGGACATAAACCGAGTGACTGATGCCCGTGCTAGAAATGTACGATATCGCTACTCAGCTCGTGATGAAATGGGCGCGCCAGGGCCCCAATGTCCCCATCACCGTGACAGACGACTTTACCCGCTTAACTTTGGACACAATTGCGCTGTGCGCCATGGGAACACGGTTCAATTCATTCTATCATGACGAGATGCATCCATTCGTCGAGGCCATGGTTGGCCTGCTGTCTGGGTCGGGGGCTAGGGCGCGTCGTCCCGCTCTGCTCAATAACCTGCCCACCAGCGAGAATGCCAAGTACTGGAATGATATCACTTTTCTGCGCAACCTGGCCCAGGAACTGGTGGAGTCGCGCAAGAATAACCCCGAGGATAAGAAAGATCTTCTCAACTCGTTGATTCTGGGCCGCGATCCGCAGACGGGTCAGGGACTGACGGATGGTTCGATTGTGGATAATATGATTACTTTCCTGATTGCCGGTATGGACGCTCCTCGCTTTCAATCTATAGACAGGGCTGACAGAGACTGCTATAGGCCACGAAACCACATCTGGCATGTTGTCGTTTCTCTTCTACTACCTACTCAAAAATCCCCATGCATACCAAAAAGCACAGGAGGAAGTTGACCGAGTCATTGGGCGTCGCAAGATCACTGTCGAAGACATGTCCAAGCTCCCCTACATCACAGCCGTGATGCGCGAGACTCTGCGTCTGAACCCGACTGCCCCGATGATTGCTGTGCATGCCCACCCTGACAAGAACACCGAAGACCCCGTCAAATTGGGTGGTGGCAAATACGTTTTGCACAAGGACGAGCCGATTGTCCTCATGCTGGCCAAGATGCAGCGCGACCCGCAGGTTTATGGGCCCGACGCCGACGAGTTCCGGCCGGAGAGGATGCTGGACGAGAATTTCGAAAAGCTGCCCAAGAACGCCTGGAAGCCTTTTGGCAATGGCATGCGAGGATGCATCGGCCGCCCCTTCGCGTGGCAGGAGGCCCTGCTCGTGATCGCTATCCTGCTCCAGAACTTCAATTTCCAGATGGACAATCCCAGCTATGATCTGCGTATCAAGCAGACCCTCACCATCAAGCCTAAGGATTTCCATATGAAGGCAACTCTCAGAGAGGGTCTGGATCCGACGCAGCTCAGCATCACCCTTAGTGGGAGTGCTAGTACTACCCCGGGCACCACGGGCGCAGCCAGCCGGGACCGGAAACCCAAAGCGACACCTGCAGCAGGCGCCAAGTTGAAGCCCATGCACATCTTCTATGGAAGCAACACGGGCACCTGTGAAGCATTTGCTCGGAGATTGGCTGATGATGCTGTTGGTTACGGCTACTCGGCCGCAGTCAGCTCGCTGGACTCGGCGATGCAGAACATTGCCAAGAAGGACCCTGTGGTCTTTATCACGGCTTCGTATGAAGGGAAACCGCCTGATAACGCTGCTCACTTCTTTGAGTGGCTCAGTTCACTCAAGGGAAGTGATCTGGATGGAGTCAATTACGCAGTCTTTGGCTGTGGACACCGTGAGTAATCCTATTGCTTTCGTCCATTCATGTCACTAACTTTCTTTTTTCAAGATGACTGGGCCTCCACGTTCCATCGCATCCCTAAAGCAGTGAACGAATTAATTGCAGAGAATGGAGGAAACCGACTTTGCAACATTGGTCTGGCCGACGCAGCCGACTCCGACATGTTCACCGACTTCGACAGCTGGGGAGAGAGCGCATTCTGGCCCAGCATCACCGCCAAATTCGGCGGGACCGGTCCAGACCAAAACTCCAAGTCGAAATCGTCTCTCCACGTAGACGTGAGCTCCGGAATGCGGGCTTCTACCCTCGGCCTGCAACTGGAAGAAGGTTTCGTGGTTGAGAATAGACTTCTGACGCAGGGCGAAGTACCAACTAAGCGGATGATCAGATTCAAGCTGCCGTCGGATATGACCTACCAATGCGGCGACTATCTCGCTGTTCTGCCCGTGAACCCGCACGCGGTCGTCCGTCGCGCAATCCGCCGCTTCGATCTACCCTGGGACGCCATGCTGCGCATTCAAAAGACATCGCAGACCTCAACAGCCCCACCGTCAATTCCCCTCGACACACCCATATCAGCCTTCGACCTGCTCTCCACCTATGTGGAACTGTCCCAACCAGCCTCAAAGCGCGACATCAACCTCCTCGCCGACGCCGCTGTCGGAGACGCAGAAACCCAAGCAGAGCTGCGCTACATGGCGTCCAGTCCAAGCCGCTTCACAGACGAGATCGTCCGGAAGCGCGTGAGCCCACTGGATCTCCTAATGCGCTACACAGCCATCAACCTCTCCATCGGCGACTTCCTCGCCATGCTCCCGCCAATGCGCGTGCGCCAGTACTCCATCTCCTCCTCGCCGCTGGCCGATCCGTCCGAATGCTCCATCACCTTCTCCGTGTTGAACGCCCCCGCGCTATCGGCCCCGTCAACGCAAGATAACGAAGCCATCGAGCAGTACATGGGCGTTGCATCGACATACCTCTCCGAGCTCCAGCCCGGCGAACGCGCCCACATCTCCGTCCGCCCATCACACTCGGGCTTCAAGCCACCCACCGATCTCCAAACACCGATGATCATGGCCTGCGCGGGAAGCGGTCTCGCCCCGTTCCGGGGGTTCGTAATGGATCGCATGGAGAAGATCCGCGGCCGACGCAGCGGTTCCTCTTCTGATGACGAAAAACCCGCTCGGGCTGTCCTTTACATTGGGTGCCGCACAAAGGGCCAGGATGACATCCACGCTGCAGAGCTAGCTCAGTGGGCTGACGAAGGCGCCGTCGATGTGCGCTGGGCATATAGCCGGCCCGCAGATAAAACACCGGGTCAGCATGTCCAGGACCTGATGCTGACGGACAAGACAGAGATCGTCCAGCTCTTTGATCAGGGCGCGAGGATCTATGTCTGTGGCAGTACTGGAGTTGGTGGTGCGGTGCTTGCTGCCTGCAAGAATATCTATCTGGAGAAGAGGCGTGAGAATCTGGCTAGGGCGAAAGAGACCGGTGAGGAGGTGCCCAATGCGGAGCTAGATGAGGAGGCTGCCGCGGAGAGGTTCTTCGAGCGGTTGAGGACTAAGGAGAGGTATGCTACTGATGTGTTTACGTAGTTTGGGACTTGATTTGGGATTATGGTATGATATGCCCATTGCTCAGGGATGGTGTTTGGTGGGTTTGATAGCAGATTTGTTCCGTTTAGACACAACTGAATTTATTGATGCCAATGGTATTCAAGAAACATCTACCAAATTGTAACCCTCCCTAGTTCGATACATTACCCTCCTCTCGACAATAATATGGCAAGCTGGAGATTATCGCCGGTTTTGAGTCTAGGGGCATTAATTTCGGGAAGTTCCTTGACAGCCGAGCTTACCTTCTTGGTTCTATCTTCGCTGGAAGCGGTATTTACCATAAAAGAACGCGGAATTTTTTTCAATATTTCACAACGGACTGGTCTTTGATTGAACATCTGCGAGGAGAGACATTGGAGAACCATGGTAGGGCTCATCCTACACCGAGCAGAGGCAGGCTGAAGCAGGCAAGAACCATCTTTCTTTCCTGCGTTTTATGAATAGAAATGCTTGTCTACAGCGTTTCCCTACTGTTTACCATTCGCCCTTCTGCCCTCGGCATTATCATTGTTGACAGGGCTGCCCTGTGTGGGGCTTCTTTGTTGCCCCATCATAGCCAAACCCTAAAGCGACAATCCTGGGACGGGCAGTGGTTGTGTCGGATTGCTTATTATGATACATCCAGGGTGCAGAAAATTGCTCGAATGAGCGAGAAGCTGGGCTCATCCTGAAATAACTCCCCAACGGTCATAACGTCATCAGTGAGGATAAGCGACCCTATAGTACTTGAGTGCAAAGAAGAGCACGGTCTCACCGGGTAAATCTAGCAGATGGCAGATCCCAACCCCGCAGGAATGGCTTGCATACTGTCTGGGGAATAGCCGGGACCTCGAGAAGTGTCAACTGCCGTCTCCCCCATGTCAGTCCAATAAATGAAAGCTACCCCGGACTAATCCTTCAACAACCCTTACCTGCATCTTTTTGTTTCTGTCTGGGCTTTAATGCAAGCTCTTTGTTGACTATGGTCCAAAACGCAGCCGTCGCAGGGGGTAGGACGTATCTTGTACACAGGTAGAAAAGCTTCCCTGTGCCGCAACATTCTCTGAATGCATCACTGACAGATGAAAAAGCCATGCCCATGAAGGCGATATCCCAGGTACCGTCGACCTAAGTGCCGTGGAGGGTGATGACACGGCCTACGGACAAGCCCTCTACCCTGTGCCTGCGGAAGACCCCAACGACCCTTTACAATGGCCAATGTGGAAGAAAAACGTTATCTTGATTATTGTCTCGGTTTACTCCTTCCTCGGGAACAGTTCTCTCGTCGGCCCGTCTGTGTATATCGGGATATACAGTGAAGAATTTGGGATATCTGCGGCGACAGCATCAGGCCTGATTTCGTATCCGAATCTGGCTTTTGGGTTTGGTAATAATGTTCAAACTCCCTCTTTATTCCGTGGTTGACTTTTGTTTAGGGTCTCTCATTCTTGTGCCCATGTACCTCAAGCTGGGACGGCGCCCCGTTGCATTATTGTCCATGGCAACAGTATGGATCTCGCAAAATGATTTGTTCTCCTGACTGACGCAGACCAGTTCCTAGCCGGATTGATTGGAGCCTCGAGATCAACAACATATACGGGTCTGATGGTTGCCCGGGTCTTCCACGGGTTTGGCAGGTATTGTTTTTCATAATCCAGAGCAAACGCATGCAATTAATACTCTCAAAGTGGTGTATGCGAGAGCCTACCAGTACAGTTCGTTAACGACATATTCTATATCCATGAGCGGGGAAAGAGAATCGGATACTACACAGGTCAGCTTCATAAAATCGGAAAGAATTTCTCATTTTTCTGACTTGAAAAGTGTGTCTATGCTTGGGATCTACTGGCCCTCTCTATGCAGGTTATATGCTTGCTGGAGGTTACTCATGGCGTCTTTTCTTTTACGTGGAAGCCGCTTTCGCTGCTGCGCTTCTTATCATGGCTTTTCTGTTTGTGGAAGAATCAGCTTATCACCGTCCACCAAGTCCAACTTCCCCGCATTCTTCATCAAATTCTCTCACTGCAGACAATGGTGCTGAGAAAAAAGGGGATGTAGTGCAGGTCGAGAATTCTTCTGGAACAGTGCCTCCACGGAAGACTTTCCTGGCCACCCTTAAGCCGTGGAGTTCTATCGATCCGGACGCCAAATTCTTTGTCACGATGTTCCGGTCATTCTCATATTTCTTGATCCCGGCTGTTTTCTGGGTAATTGCCAGCTACGGTAAGTTTGGAATTAAACTTCAAATCTCTCAACTAATAGTATGGCTTAGGGTTGTACATTGGTCTCGGTGCATTAGCGTTCAACTATACCTTTCCACTAAAAATCACAGAGCCACCATATAACTGGAGCCAGGTATGTAAATCAGTGAGCTCTTTTCCGAGTAAATCGCTCTAATAAAGCGTAGACCAATTCCGGTCTTATCGCTGTCGCTTCCTTCATCGGCTACTTCCTCGCCCTCCCCTTCACATCAAGCTCAGATCGCCTGGCAGCAATTCTCACCAAGCGCAACAACGGCATCCGCGAAGCCGAAATGCGACTCCCAGTCTTATTCCCCGCCATCCTGCTTGCCCCCGCTGGACTGATAGTCTACGGCTTCACCGCACAACGCAACCTGCACTGGGTCGGGTATTTTGCTGGTGTAGCAATGGACCAGTTTGGCTCCTACTTCTACTTTACGTTTACATTGGCTTACGCGGTGGACTCATACAACGCTAATACCCCAGAAATGCTGATCGCCATGAATCTCGGGAAACAAGCCATCTCTTTCGGGATGGGCTCGTTCTTGCTGGACTGGATCTTGACGCGGGGGTACGCGGTGGTCATCTCGGGAATATTTGGAGGGGTCCTTCTTGTAAATAACCTAATGGTCGTTGTTTTTGTGCTTTGGGGGAAAAAGATTCGGCGATGGACAGCGCAGTCTTGGCTCGGCAAGATGCACGCGCGGACTGCGACGAGGGATATGACTCACTGAGAATAGCTGCTCGCATTTGTTTCTGGATTTCTGTTCTGTGGAATGACTAGGCTTTGTAGATTGGGTAAGAGTACGGGGACAAGCAAAAGTCTGAGAAAGCTGTCTCTTGATTCCATCCCTCATTGGTAGTCTGCATATTAACAGCCGAGGTTGACCTATGATGACGTGACTAGAGTCAACAAAATTTCAAGATAATGTTCCACAGCCACGGTTTGGTGTAATAACAAAGTATTTAAGCTGACTGATTCGGCCGAGTCACCGAGGTCGTTTGCGAAAGGGCGGGCGGGGCTGAGGCACTTTTAAATCCCATGGAAAACAGACGAAATAGAAATCCATCATTGTCTTTATACCTGATTGACCATCCGACTCTGTTATATTGACTGGATTCACTTTACAATGCCTCTTTACGACGTTGAACACGTCTGCCCCCTGACGTTTGCACAGCAAGAGCAACTGGCAAATGCTCTGACAAGCCTCCATGTGATACGCTTCAGTACACCACGTTTCTTCATCAATGTCCGGTTCACGGATGTCAGCAGTCAGGTTGTATTCCGGGGTGGTGTACTGCGGAAGTATAACAGAATCATTCTTCGGACACGGGCTAGTGAAGGTCGGAGCAACGAATCGTACATCGAGCACTGTAAGGCCATCGTGTGTGAATGGGAGAAGATTGTGGGTAGAGAAGGAGAGAACAGTCTTCGCACAGTGTGGGTGATGGGAGCGTTAACCACTGCGCTTGAAGCCGGTATTGCACGGCCTAAGGTAGGCACTCTCTTCGTAGTAGCTTTCCTCCTAAGTTTCAGCTGTGCTGCTCTACCGGCTCCGAGACCTGATTCTAACAAAATCTTTGGACATTAGGTTGGGGAAGAACAAGAGTGGCTGAAGATAAATAAAGCAAGTTTCAAAGCACTCGCTGAACAAGGGGACGAGGATTTTATCGAGTTGCTTGAGGAACTCGATTCTAGCTAAGTATTTACTAAAATGATGGAATGCTCTACAGAATTGGTTCTAAATCTATCCTTGATACAATTCTAAAAAGCTCATTATGAATCACAAACCAATATCTTTTGAAGAAATCGTTCAACAATGTAGCAGCATGGCAAACATTGATCAACGTCTAAGACGAACTCAATTTCCAAAATCGAGCGGTCGCTGGAAGGGTGAAGATGGTCGACGCTGCGGAAAAATGTCGATGCCATGGAAGCTCAAAATACCCGTTAAGGGAGTATAGGTCTCTCACCACCGGACGCAGGAGATTGATGATCTAAAGCCGGAAGGGAGTTGGAGGACGGCGAGACAATCGGCCTTGTCGAAGTCGGCTTGTCTTCACTAACGCCGGAGCCGCTACCGTGACGGTTGCCGGAACCACCATGAGCAGCAGCGCCAGAGGAGCTGCCGTGACCATCCACGGAGCCACCATGACCATCACCAGAGTGAGGCACGGAGCCAGTGCCGGTGGGAATACCAAGCCGAGTGGCGGAAGGCTCAGCACTCGGAGTAGCGGCTGAAAGTGCAGGACTATGCCCTGCTTCCACACCATTGCCGTCCTTGTGTGCAGACTCCGCATTGCCGTTCTTGTGCTCTCCAGTCTTTCCCTCTGCAGACTTAACTGATTGGGGGTTATTATCTCGGTACAAGACTTTCGAGAGGCACGGGGGACGTACCTTCTTTAACGAGTTCAGCCAAGTCTTTCTCAATATCAGTAAGCTCCTCCAACGGTACTTTGACCGTCTTGAGGGAACCGGACTGAGAAGGTGGAGATTTCGTAGTAGTGGTCTCTCCTCCATTTGCTCCATTCTCACGACCTGAGCGGTTATCATCTCGGCGAGAAATCGACCCACCTGCCATAAATGGCTCAACAGCAGCGAGCGCCTCCTCGGCTGCTTCTGGAATACCCCCTTGTATAACTGGAGCAATAGCAAGGGTATTCTCCTTGGGCGTACCTATGACGAACGGTGCAACTTCTCCCTCAATTGCCTCCTCAATTTTCTCCATAACAGCAGCGACCTGCGACGGGGGCAGTCCTCCAACCTTGGATCGTGACGGCGTAGGTATTGCTGTAGCCACAACAGAACTCGGCGTAACCGACGAAGATGGAGTTGTCGTGGCAGTGGTTGACGTAGAAGTGACTGGGTCTTGCCATTCAGATAGAGATGTCGACGGAACCTCGACACCTCCTGGCGTATTGGGCCCGTGGTGTTCTCCTGCAGCATCGCCCTCATTCTCTCCATTCTCCCCAATAGAGCTATTATTGTCTCGTTCCTCAATAGAGTGGCCTTGCACGAAGTTAGTTGTAGCCTCTCATGGGGGAAATTCGGAACATTGATCTTACCAGCTTCGGACCTGCGCCTGTCCTTGTAAATGCTGCTTCCAAAGCGTTTAGCGACCATGCTATCAGAGGGCAAGATGGCGTTAGCCGAGCTGGATGGGCGGCCGACGAAAGGCCGCGCGGGCAAACCAGCGGAAGTAATGATGGACGCGCTGGTCATTTCCAAGACTTGGCCTTCGGCGGCCTTGTTGATTACTCCGATGGCTGGGCTCCTCTTTGTGCAGACTTTGCCGCTGCCTTCGTTATTGCTGCCGTTCTCCGGAGTTCCAATTGGAAGAGTAGGATTGGAAGTAGGAGTAACGGTAACAGTAGGTTCAGGAGCGTCGTTAACAGAAGGTTCAGGAGTGACGGTAACAGTAGGTTCAGGAGTGGAAGTAGGTTCAGGAGCGGCAGTAGGCTCAGGAGCGGCAGTAGGCTCAGGAGTCTTAGCATCACCGCCACCGTTGCCGATTATATCGCCAAACCCATTTTTTAAGCCATTCCAAACATCTTCCGCCGCATTTATTAAATCGCGTTGCTCAAGGCCCTGTTGGGTGGGCATTGCCATCGCAGGGCTCAAAAGCCCGATAGCGACGATGAAGGCGTACCTCATTGTGAGAGGAACAAGGGAGAAAAAATAATAATAAAGTCTTTTTCGAGGATCAGCGTACGATAAACTTCCGTTGTGTAAATACTGTGCTACTGTGTTCAGGCCTGCCAGAGGAAATTGAACACGACCACAGAAGGAAGTGGATTATTGCTGGATGACACTTGGTACAAGTCGTCCCGGCGGGCGGATTTGCATTTATAGACATGGCTGCGAGAATTCCTCGACTGTGGTGAACTGTGAAGGATTTTGATAGTAGAGGCTCTAATTTCGAAAGACTCGGTCCCAGATGCGCGTCAATCAGCGCCACGGGGCCGGCGCTTTACCCAAATAGTGTAAACAGTTCCTGAATGCGGATCAATGGTTTCGCCCAATCCTTCAAGAGATTCCTCTCAGGGCAATCCCAAGAGACCACAATATCCATGTTCCAGGGGCAGAACAGGACAGAAAAGCGGATATAATAATAATACACAATATGAACATCACAAAGGTAGACGCCATGCCCCGAGGTGACCGGGAACTGGCCCTGAGTCGGGGGTATGCTATTTTGCCATCGGCACAGGCGCTAAGCGTTGATCAAATATGGTTGAGGAAGTACACAAAAAAGTGATGCCGGGCATCCTACTGTTTGCTGCAAGAAAGGGCCGAAACTGTTGGCACCTGGCCCTTGTCATCGGTGCCTCAGGGCGATTATTGGGGGCTAGTAGTTTGGAGCCGAGAGCACAACACGCCAAGACCCACTACAAGATATTGAGGGCCAAGAGAGCACAAAAGGAATCCAAGGTCCACTAATCTATTTGTGACCATCTAATGGTGATGTGTCGTGATCCTGGTAAGCTGGAATCAGGAGGATTTCACTCACGGATCAGTGGTCCTAGTTTCCACAAAACTAGGGTTGGCGCTAGGATGACCCTACTAGAGTACACTGAATTAGAAACAGAAGGGTTTCCGGTAGGACTAACACTTCGAGAACAGGAATAGCTTTGGGCCCCAATATCAGTTTTTGAGATCAGGGCCTGCCTCTAGCTTCGACCTCTTGCACCCGGAAGTGGCACACTTCCCTCGGATCTCTATCTCTACTCTCTATCTCAGACTAGGGGGGCCCGTCAAGGGCAATGCAATCCTTCGCCTCTAAAGCGTTGCAGTGGTGTAAGAATTTTGGCTTGGGATTCTACAAAATTCCGTTCTGCGCCAACATGGGCCCGGTTTGAAGTTTGCCCCAGCTCCAAAAAGGGACACAGAAGGTGGAGGGAATGGGGCAATCAACGGTATCCTGACCGAAAAGCGTTTAGTTGTGCTACAGAAAAGTTTATCGTAATTTAACAGGTTATCCGTACATCGATCTCGAGAGGATGCAGGATTGGTGTCCCAAACACGCCGATGGGGCACTTATATTAATTCCAATAGTATTGATTCAGTCCTTCTATGTACATAGTTAATAATAGAAGGCAGTGCCCGACTCACGCAGTGACCAATCAGTGCAAACCCTTAAATCTTGGAGCCATGTGGCAGCAAATGGGATAGATGAAGTGCAGCCAACTAGGTTGGAATGATATAGTCTCGACAGCGTGTTTTAGAGAGGAATGCACCGCAGTATATATTATTCTTGGTCGGGGAATCGATATTTCATTTGACCTGACCACAAGCATGTTGCACGATGATAAGGATTTCCAAAAACCCGTCCAAGATTCGACTGAGAATGTAGAGGGCCCAGAAATGCCCTGCTGTTCGCAAAATGCTCTGCTGACTATGCTCCATGTCGCCACAACGGTCGCTATCAAAACACCAAAAATTACATTCTCTTTCTTCACAATGGACTTGGGTAGAGTACATGCATGCATACAGCTTCCACTTGGTCGTTCATAATCCTTTCTCTGATCCAAAGCAAAATACCGCTCATTTTCACTGCCGTGAAGACGCTCTTGATTCCTTCATAAGAAGGTCTGCTTCATGTGTTCCTCCAGCTTCAAGACATTGTCTAACCCTTTCCAAAATATTGAGTCGATTCGCAATAATCCAAGGCGAAGGCAAGGTAGGACATCAGCTTTGAGGCGCATATCTCGGCGTACCTGTTGCAAGCTACTCGCCCATGAAGTAGCCTCGGCAGTGTCAGAGGAAATAGAGGCCATGAGCAGTATTTGGAAGCATATCGAGGAAAATGCCGTCGCTGCCCAGGAGGGCCACAGTGTTTCCAGATCGTTGTGACTCAAATCATGAACAAATACAACGGCAGCAGATATACTGTGCTGGGCCCGGATGCGGGCTTGCTCACGTGCAGCGAGGGTACCCGCTGATTGATTGGAGTTGATCGAAGACTGAACGAATGGTCTAAAGACTGCACGAATGATACTGAGATTGATATAATGGTAGCTCATCTCAAGTGTGCGGTCCATCTCATTGCGGTTATTTTGATGATGCCACGATGCTATATCATGAAGTAAAGGTTCGGTTATGGCAAACGTCTTCTCGAAGTCTGTAAAAAGGCTTTGAACAGCTCGGGGTGAGCTAAAAAAAATTAAACATCAGTCATGCATGACATACACATAAATAGTCTGAAAACTCACTAGAGCTGAGTGATGACTCGATCAAGAAGAGACTCTAGTTCAGATCGCTTCATAACTGTTGACCATTCATGGGAATCTATCCCGCTGCCCAGTTGGTCTGCTAACTCGATCGTAGTCACGAGCCAACTTTCGGAGTTAATTAAAGGTGGACGTCCGAGACTGAGTGCCAGCCATTTATCAACCGTATAAATACAATACGATAGGCGTCTCCGCTGCGAAATTTGCCAGCCTGGTATTCGCCATGACTTAGGATCAAGGTGCAATCCCAGTGAATGAGCACATGAGACAAGTGTACTGAATATGGTCCATCGGAAACTGCTGTCCTGCACAATGGGGTTTGGAGACGGTCGAATGACCAGGAAAAAAATTGTCTGTATGGTTGAAATGTTTGGTGCATGTATTTCAAATGCAAGTGTGTCCTTGATGATTTTATAGAGTGCTTTGGGAGAGGGTTTCTCATAGGCGAGGTCGATGCATAGTCTTTCATGGAATTTGGTGAATGGCTCTGCTAGCAAGTAAACACTAGCTAGAAGATGAGGCGGACTGGACATTGGGTCTAGTCGTTTTGATGAACTTAGTATTGGATATTGTGGTAGCACGATTTTTTCAAAAAGATCGACAAAACATTGTCCGATCTCCACGGGGACTATGGCCTCAAGGCTATCTGTCTGCTGTTGAGTGGATAAGTTGTTGCATCCAGTCTCCTCTCTGCCAACAGAAAAGATTGAAGGTTGGGCAAGTAAAAATTGTGTCGGAAATTCTCCCAAGTTCACAGACTGGATATCAAGATTTTTGAAATGAAAGTTGCCGGACGAGTCAAATCGGTATTGTTGCAAGAGAAACGGGTCCATGTCACCGCTGATGCCGAGAAACAGCGGAGACATAGAATTTTCGCAATCAAGAGAGACTTCACTTTTTACTCTCTGCGCATTTTCTGCTGACCTGTCGTCGTCGCAGGGGAAGCTGGGCAATCCAGGAGACGGGTAACCGAAATTTCCCGGGCTAAACCCAGGAGGCCATACCCTATCATCAAAGCCTCCTGAGAAAGAGTTAAGTTGTCCGTCAAAGATCCCCTCCATATTGCGAGAGCCATTGGGAGTATGAGAATCTGACTGTTCGTTGTGAATCGACATCAATGCATCAAATGCCATTGAGTCATGCAATGGGGAAGCCATACGCTGAACTTCCGGTGGGCTGATGCCTGAATCCTGGATTCCACTTGAGTTGACGGAATAGCCAATGGTCCTCCGCGGCCGGTTTGTCTGGTGTTGAAAGGTGCATTCCTTTCTGTGGAGTGTGCAGAGATAGCACGGTGGCTCGCTGTCAATGCGACATGCCGCTTTCCTAGTCCGGCAGGAATCACAAGCTCGGTTACGCTTGCTCATATATTTGCGACCTTTACTTGACATGATCATGCAACTGCAACACTGTAAGAGAAGCCGTTTCTGAATATAACCCGAGTTCGATAGGTCCAAGCTTGCGGTGGAGCGGAACGTCGGCTCTATCGTCCAAAATTGATAACGCTTGTCTCCGCGTTTTCAAACCCTTAGTCATGGAATTAGCACGGACCCACAGCATCGGGCTGCACTCTTATGGGCGCTTCTTAGAGCTCAATGATCTCTGAAGTATTAGTGGTGTTAAAATTGTCGCTAGTCTACGTATGTCACACAGATATTCAGTAATATTTTCGAAGTTTTCGAAGCTAAAACCTTCTCCTCTAAACCTCTATGTAGTTACATCGGTTGGCTATTCATCTACATCGCATCCTTTCCGAAATGGACTTCCCGGAGAAGTTCACATGTGTCCTCAATGTATGCGAAGCTCTGCGATAGTCCTCTGTCTGGGTGGTTGTAGTGGCCAAATGCGTGTGGGACTCCGGTGTATCGCTTGGTCGTAACTTCATTTCCAGCTTCTCTCATGAGATTCCCATAGAACTCGCCTTCATCCCGCTCAAGGTCAAATTCCGCCGTTATTATGTGCGCCCGTGCGAGATTTTCAAACGAAGGAGCCAGAACCGGTGTGCACATCCACTCCCGAGTCAGAATTCTCTCCTGTTTATCTGGTGATATCATCAGCAGACATCCAAAACTTTGAAGAACGTCTGAACTCACCATTGTCATCACCCAGCCAGTATTTGAGAAACCATTGTTCCCTGCCTAGAGGTCCCCACGGTGCATCTTGGTACAGCAAAACACTCTCGTATGGGCAAGTCCTTTTGTTGAGGTTACGGTTTTTCAGACAATAACGCATATCCGTTGCTGGCACAATAAGCAGCTGAAGCTTGATATACACACTCTCGTTGCGGGCTAAATGAGCCATCACTGCCGACATATGGCCTCCTGCTGAAAGCCCGCCAATTGAAACACTCAATGGATCAATGTTGAGTTGGGTGTTATTGGCAATTGTCTGTATGTTATGATTCATTGTCAGTCATTTGCTAATTACTATTTTTTCTCGATAGTCCTTACCCACTTGACAGCATCCCAGGAATCGTATATGCTGGTCGGATACGGGAACTCTGGGGCAAGCCTGTAATCCACATCGATGACCTTGATTTGGGCTTTGTTGCACACATGTCGGCACCATGCCGCTTCACTGTTCAGATTTCCAAGCACCCACCCACCTAATGAGAGAGCAAATGAATTAGGGCCATCGGTGTTTATAATTTCCGCTAAATACAACATACCGCCATGGAAATTCAAGTGAACCGGAAATGGGCCAGGGCCCTCTGGAGTATACACCCTAATTGTGATTTTGCCCGACGGTTGCGAAACAGGGATTTCCAGATCCTCAACGTGGAAAACAGACGGCCCTTCGAAAATAAATAGCACTTTCAGCAACAGAAATACGGAACTTGAACGATCGGAGGCTGTTACATACCTGAATACGTAGGATATGTGAAGCTGTACTTCGCAGGGCTCTTCCGGTATTCCTCAATGCTCACCTCGTCTGCTCGTACCATTGAACTTCCGTATGTTTCCCAAATCTCAATCCATTCAGGATCTAATCCTGGTAATAGCTTTTCCGGAATAGACAGTCGGGCTTTTTGAGCCTTGGCCTCGATGAGCGTTGTGGCCGTACTCGTTCTCGTCATGTCGAAATCCTTCCGCGCAATTAGAGAAGTGAGAATAAAGCTTTGAATATTTTACTTCCAGGATATTTGCACATTTTCATCTTCCTCTGATCCGGTTGGCGGCATTCAAAAACCTATCTCCGACTCCGATCTAGGGCCCGATAGGCACGGGTTAAGTGGGGACTCCCCTATCAGCGGGGAAGGCCTTGGTTTGAACCGATGTGAACCAAGCACCCCGGATTCTGCTCGGCCAAGGTTGGTTAAATTAACCCACTCATCCTGCTTCTCCGTTCAATGGGACATGATCTTCTAGTTCCTCGTTTTCGAAAATTCAAGACCAAAGAAATAGTTTTCACGAACGACTCCTCCCGACTGCGAGTCTAAAAATGGGGCCAGGCCTATATGATGTCTCGGGGAAACCTTTCGATGACTCAGGAGCGATACCATCGCCAGCGGTGCAGAATAGACTTCGTCGCGTGCCTGATAAGTTTCCGCCTGTCGCCTTACTGATTCTCATAGTCGAGGTAGGTCATGTTCGTCGCATAGTAATCTTCAAGCGATAAATACCTAACGTTGACAGCTGGGTGAGCGATTCACTTACTTCGGGCTAAGTGGACCCATTCAAAACTATATCAAGTATGTTTGGATTTAATTACATATTCTCCTACTATGGTAGTAACGAAAATGTTTAACAGCAACCCATATGATCCTGGGTCCGATCTCCCCGGTGCCCTAGGCAAAGGTCAAGCTGTGGCATCAGCCTTGGGGAATTTCTTCAAATTCTGGGCATATGCATCCACCATAATAGGTGCAATCATGGCAGGTCCGTTAATCTATCTCTCAAGAACAAGGGTCAGGTTTGCTGAAGTTCGACAGACCAGTACTTGGGGAAATTCAAAGCCATCGCCATCTCACTAGCGATATACATCGTTGGCCTGATTATCTTAGTGAGCACTTCGACACCACAGGGAATTCAAAGCGGATCTGGCCTTGGTGGTCTTATTGCAGCAATGGTCATCATTGGTCTGGGCACAGGCGGTATCAAGGCGAACGTGACTCCCATGTGTGCTGAGCAGTACCAGAATGCCGAGCCTGTATTGAAAACGCTCAAATCAGGGGAACAGGTGATTGTGGACCCTGAACTGACGGTCGAGCGCCTCTTTATGTGGTTTTACTGGGTTGTCAATGTCGGGGCCCTTTCACCATTGATCACGGTCAATATCGAGGCAAAGAAGTCATTTTGGCTAGCCTATCTAATCCCTTTGATGTAAGGACCCGGCGAATGTTAAATCCATAAGCTGGCTAATCTGTTTTCCAGAGTCATTATTCTCTCCGGCGCGGTGTTTTTGGCGGGGCAAACGCGTTACGTTAAGATTCCACCAAAGGGATCTGCCATAATGGACGCATGCCGTGTGTTGAATATCGTTCGGCAAGAAAAGCACTTCGAAAAGGCAACACCTTCGGCTCTTCAGGAATCAGGAAGAATCGACAGGTATACTTTCGCACAGGCTGCTCAGTACACTGATGAATATGTCTTAGACGTTCGTCGAGGGTTCATGAGCTGTAGGGTGAGTAACAACACAAAAGCAAAACTATCTCATATAACTAAAGAAGTGCAGATGTTTATCTTTTTCCCATTTTATTTCATTTGTTGGATTCAGATATGGAACAACCTCATTTCTCAAGCCGGGCAAATGGCCCTGCACGGAACCCCAAATGACCTTCTTCAAAACCTTGACCCAATTGCCTTGTGCATTTTTATCCCTCTGCTTGATCGTAAGTCCTACACTTCGTGACCTGATTTTATTCCTCGAGAATTAAAGTTTAATGCTTCATAGTGGTAATCTACCCAATGCTTCGCAAATTCAAGATCAACTTCAGTCCCGTGCGCCGAATTTTCACAGGTTTTATTCTGGCCTCGATTTCGATGGTGTACGCAAGCGTTCTGCAACATTACATCTATATTTCTCCTCCAAAAAGCATTCATGTATGGATTCAAGCCCCTGCATATGTTTTTGTTGCCTTCTCCGAGGCCTTCATCATTGTTACCGGGCTTGAACTTGCATTTACACATGCTCCTAAGAAGTAAGTCTGACTTCCCGCACATTTTGAGAGATTCCGCAATGCTAACAGGTTGTCTATAGTCTGAGGTCCGTGATTTCGGCTCTTTTCTGGCTTACCATTGGAATTGCTGCTGCGATCTGCATCGGTTTAAGCCCGGTTTCACAAGATCCATACCTGGTTTGGATGTACGGATCCCTCGCAATTGTGGGCTTTGTGGCAGGATGTTTATTTTTTCTTTGCTTCCAAAAGAGCAATTCTCTGAACCCGGCCGCGCAACAGCTGGACGAAGATGTACCAGTGGCCCCATATGCGGCAGCGAACACCTCCGATCCCCCGGGGAATGGAAAACCCTGCGAATAATTTCATGTTTTGTGTATCGTAATAACACTTACTATATTTCCTTCCTTGCAATTTATTCGGCTCTCTAGCAAATTCGATACCTACCGCCATTTTAGACCGGCGGAGTCAATCATTTAGACCTCACAACTCTTCACACGTAATTAGCTTAATTCAGATCGGTTTTTATCACTTCGGACCGTCTTTCTACCAATAGCCCGAAATAATTCATCAAATTTTCATATTATGTTTGTGTTACTATGATTTTTCTATTGACCCACAGAACATGACTGCGAAATTGTTGCCCGCGTGGAGAAAATGAGGACTTGGTCTGGTATCCTGGTATCAACGACCACTGGCCAATGACAAGCGACGCCGATGAGGGCCGAGGATGAATGCCGCCAATCGGAGCGACGCTAGTGCGGTGCGGCAGAGTGTTAGATAAGCTGCCGAGATGGCCTGGCACCTCAATTGCGTCCCAATAAACTCTGTCTACCTAGGCCGGTCTCAAAATTCTTATTGGGAAACTAAGAGAACCCCATAATTGGTGGCAGTTGTCTCTCTCTAGTGAGATAGTCTTCCCCCCACCTACGCTTACAGATCTCTTCCATCCTCTCGCCCTTGTCGTTACTTCTCCTCCTCTAGCTTGACGGCCAGGCCGCCTTCAATGATGAAAAGCGATAATATTGTCATTCTCGGGTGAGTCTTGGGTAGGTCCGAAACAACTCCTCTGCTTGTCTAACCGAAAGGTTCCTTGTAGCGCTGGAGTCATTGGACTTGACGTAGCTCTGGTGCTCGCAGAAAAGGGTCTCGCAAAGCATATTACTATCGTTGCTGAGCATCTTCCAGGGGACACCTCTATCAATTACACATCGCCATGGTGAGTATAACACTGAGCCAAGAGTACATAATATAAATAGCTGAACTTTTAGGGCTGGTGCCAACTTCTCCGCCATTTCCTCGAGTAATGAGAATGCTTTGCGCTGGGATAAGATCGGCTACAAATATTTACTTCGCCTCGCTGCGCAAGATGGAAGCAAAGCGTTTGTTCAGGAGACCCCTTCAACAGAGTACTGGGATGAGATGCCCTCCCAGGCGAAACTGAAGTCTATGGCAGACTATCTCAAGGATGTAATCTATCCGCCCCAAAGTGCCGACTATTATAAGACGATGAGGTAGCTGATTCGCTCAAGTTTTCCATAATCCGCAAAGCAGATCTGCCCGACGGGGTGGAATATGGTGTGACCTTCACAACGGTGACAATGAATGCACCTATGCATATTCGCTATCTCATTGAGAAACTTCGTGCCGATTATGGTATTCGGGTTATTCGCAAGCAGGTTCCAGATATCCAGTCGGCTTTTTTGAGTCAAGATACAAAACTGGTTTTCAACTGCACAGGAAACGCTGCCCGAGTGCTGCCTGGTGTCCAAGACTCCAAGTGTTTCCCCACCAGAGGGCAAATTGTATTGGCAAGAGCCGGACACGTCGGTCGCAATATAATGCGGCATGGAAAAGACTACGAAACCTATATCATTCCTCGACCCGGCTCAAATGGTAATCTCATTCTCGGGGGCTTCATGCAGAAGCGAGTGAGGTGAGTATTCATTTCCTTGCCCTTTATCTTGAGAGGGAAATTAACACCATATAGTACAGGTGATACTTTCGAAGAAGAAACCCAGTCGATTCTGTCTCGAACGAAGGCATTGCTCCCTGATCTCGATTCTCCAATGACAGAGCCTCTCGCTGTTTTTGCAGGCTTGCGCCCCTCGAGAGAGGGGGGTGCTCGAGTTGCGATGGAAGAGATTGTCCTTAGTCCTGGGGAGCGGAAAGGGGTTGTCGTGCACAATTACGGCGCTGGGGGGACAGGGTTCCAGGCTGGATATGGCATGGCGGTTGAAGCTGTCCAAGCCGCAGAAAAGGTCCTTCGAAGTATTCTCATCGGCTGTGAAGGCGCTCGAGCACGTCTTTGAGGCATTCTACTATTATATTCGCCGGTTGAAACTGGCCTTCTTATCCCAATACTGCTCCAAAATGAGACATCTATCCCAAAACAGCTTCGTTTGCGCTGCTTCTTGTGTTAAAGAGTCTCTTACCTTTCAGAGATATTTGACCAAATTCTTTCTTTGCCATTCTCGAATTCCCGGATCCCGAATCTGGGCCCAGCCTTCTTTCGGACAGAACCATAGATTCTGGTAAAAGGGCACCAATGGCTACCTTGGAGACCATTTTCGGCGCCCGATTTACCGTCACTTAGCGTTGTGATATAAAATAACCTATCTAGTAGGTGTTTTGGGTCCGTTCGCCTTATCTAATAATGACTCAAAATATATGGGGTTCAGATTTGCAGCGTAAGTTCGCGCGTTATTATGGCGAAACCGCCAAGCCCTCAATACATGACCCATGGAATGGGGGTCAGATTCCTGTATTCACCTAGTAAGGGGGGCATCTTCTAAATTCCTAGTCTCCCCCCTTCTGCCGGCAGAAAATCGGAATCAATTAACTAGCTAGCGAGCTTTTGAGAGTAGCTGAGACAGCTGGTAAAGTGAAAGCTTGCCTCTGCACCGTACAAGCTCAAGTTCCTCAACAGCCGCATCCAGAGACTGTCCCTTACCATGTCTAGCATATATCTCATCCACGATGACTTTTCGCCTACAGAACATGACCCTCTCGCGAGAGGACGGCCGCCAGGTTGCACCGTATGATCTCTCCAATGACTGGACAGATGGATTTGCGCCTAACCCACATGTCCACTCTCTCCAGACATCTGGCACAGTCTGGATCGTACGAGAGAGGGAGTAGAGAGATCCACAGGGAGACAAAGAGGATAGCTGCTGCTCTTCTGAAGGAGTAGGAGTAGGAGGTTGTATAGCTGATGCCTCAGATAGACATGCTGCTAGCTGAGAAGAAGGAGAAAATGAGTCCGGCGTCCGTGCTCTAATAGTAGAGCTGTCTATAGCCCGTACCGCAAAGGTGACTTGACCAGAAAGGAGATCCTGAAGCTGGCGAGCAATGTTCCTAAGCTGTTCTTGAGCCTGATAGCCGTGAAGATCAACCGCCTGGTGTATGTCCTTCTGGAGGACACTAAGACGATCGGCGATAATAGGAAGGGTCTGCCGAAGCTGAATCTCCTGAGGGGTCTCTGTGCAAAGAAGGGACTGCCGTATTTGCTCTGCAAATGTAGTATAGTCTTCTCGTGCAAAAATAGGGTCATCCCACATTGAATGTTGAGGAAATTGTGCCCGAAGCAGAACTGAGTCCTGAAGGATGATGATCCGTAGTTGATTAAGCAGGTGTAAGAATCCTTGGGCTGCCATGTCATCTCGATCTTCTGGGCTAGTAGCCTCTCTAGGAGGCGGCTCATTCGTAGGGTCGTTAGAATTGAACCAAGCAAGCCACTGATCGATCCATGGCCACAGAGCCCGTATAAGGGAATCCGGAGGTTGAATCTTTGCTCGAGGAAGATAGTAGTTTCCTATTGCCTCAGGCTGGAAACCAGCCATTGAACGAAGGAATTTCCGTGGGAGATGGGTCAGATAGCAGTTTGTTAAGGCATCCTGATTCCATTGACCCGCACGGCGGATCTGGTTCGCTTCCACGGCCTTCTAGCTCGGCTTGTTTTGACCCCTGGGATCGGCTAGCATGTGTCTTCTTGTCAGTAGAGAGATTGATTGCCTCATAGACTTCATTCGCCCATTTTAGCTTTTTCTCTGTAACGAGTTCACCGTCTGGGAAGCCTTGCTTTTTGCAGAATCTCTGTAGTATATTCCTTAGCTTCTCGCATAAGCTAGGAAGAAGAAGGTAGTCCCTTTACCTGCCACTCCTGATGCTTGTTAATATAAGCCCTTGCTGTATTTTTAGGCCGCTGGCTTCGTATATATTGGAGAGCCTTGACGCTATGGAGGTTCAACCGGTCCTGGAGCTCAATCTGTGCTAGCTCCTGGGTCTGTATCTTAGAGGTAGGAGGGACGGTGGCTGATGCTGGGGGTGGAGGAGAGGAGGGAGTAGAAGATGAGGGTAAAGCCATGTTGATTAGGCGCGGGGAGGAGACGGTATTCTCTCTTGCTCTCCGTCCGTCTCCCCTGATGATGATGATGATGATGATGATGAGACGCGTGATAAGAAGAGGGAGTAGTACGACGAGGAGGAAGGGAATGCGATGCGGAATTCCAACCAAGCAACTAGTCCCTACCGCCCTATCGAGTCCTCTTCTACCGCCCTACTGCCTCTACATTTCCATTGGAGATTGTGCCTACTATTAAGGGGGGCCGGGAAGGTAAGGTACTGTCATGGCCCGTACGAGGCATCTCTGGCTTCAGGATTACTGCCAAGATTTCGTAGCATCAATCTGGGTTCATGATATCTCGCCTCGGTAGGGGTCAAATGGCCAGGTGCGGTCAGATATGTGGCATATCGTGGGGGTCACGTGAGATTACACGGAATTTCGTGGGCGTGGATACATATACATGTAGTCTGCAATCAAATTGGTAGTCTATGACTATCTCAAATACCCCGAAATCACAAACGCAAACACAAATCAAAGCTCCTTCTTCAGGAAGTGCTCGGGTTTGTGGGTAGTCTCATAGTCTACGTGCACATAGGCACGCTCAACATCTGGCAGAGACTCGAGCTTCATTTGCAGTTCCTCCGCAACGTCGTGGGTGGCACGCAGGGATTCCGAGTCCTCCATAACGATGTCGACCTCCACCAGCAGGCGGGGGCCAGAAGTGTAAGCTCGAACCGTGTCGATGGCGGTGATAAGGGGGGAGTGGGTCATAGCTACAGCTGTAATTAGCGCCATAGCTCAGATAATCAATAGCAAAGTGGAAAACTCACAGATATAGGTAATAAGCTGCTGCATCTTAGTGTCTGCCGTGACACCAATCAGCAGCTGAAACTCGCCATATGCGGAGTGCAGCCACAGTCCGCTAATCAGAAAAGAGAGCAGAATCGCGCCCATAGGGTCGATCCACCAGCGAACTTTGCTACCCAGGATAGATGTCGCTATACCAATGCCGTTGATAAGGCAGTCGTTGCGGTGGTCCTCCCATAGAATCCGAATTTGGGAGACCTCTCGCAAGGCAAAGCAATAGGTGAAAAGAGAAAGCTTGGTGACAAAGGCCACCGCGACGGCGATAATTGAAGGTAGGTGGAAAGTCGAGGTAAGAGTATCAGAGCCCTGAACGACCTCACGGATAGAGAAAGCGATAATGATAAATGACACGGCGGTCATAAGAAAACAGAAGCAAATATTGCCAGCCGTCTCAATGCGCGCCTTGCCAGCAGGGAACTTGGCCGGGTTGACGTGGTTCACGGCTTTATTGCACAGTAAGAGGGTCAAGTTGGACATTGGGTCGAAAATCGCATCCGCCATGGTGGTAAAGAGCGAAAGGGAGCCGGAAGAGGCAGCCCCATATACCTGGACGACACACAGGATTATATTCGCGGCGAAACTGCCATACACAGCGATCTTGTACTTGAGATTGTTCTCGTTGTTCAACTCGCGAGCCGCGCGCACATGTTCCTCGACAGGTTTCAGCATCCGCTGGATGTTCTGGTTCTGATTCTCGTAGAACCCCTGCAGCTTGCGATTCGTAAGTGCCTGTTTCCCGCGGTTTATCATTTTCGAGCCCTGGTTAGCCGACCCATCGCGTTTGCGCGACGTATTGGCTTTGATCTGGCGGATTTCTTCCTCAGTCTTGAGCTTGGAAGCGAGGTGGAATGGGTCGCTCTCAGAAGTATATCGCGGGGGTTGATGGCCTTCCTCATCAGCGCCGTGGCGTTGCTGTCGAGCCACGGCTGACTCGGTCTCAAGGGCCGAAGTGGTGGCCTCGGCGCGCGGCGACATTCTGTCGGATCGGTGAGACGAGCTGGGCGAGCTGCTGTGAAAATGCTGGAAGGCATGTGGGTGGTTGGAGATACTCTGGCGCAGGTGTTCCTCCATGATGGCGGTAGTTGTTCTTGATTCGGGAATGGTTATTAATGAGAGAAGGGAGGAAAAGCTCACGGTGATGAGGGAACAAAGAAAGAAAATCGAGAGTGGCAGTGCTTATCTTATCGGCGGAGGACAGGGGCTCTGAACTCAGCCAATCACATCCTCGGCTTGAGTGATTAAAGATAAATTTTCAGAACAAAAAAAGTCGGCATTGAACCAACTCTGGGGTAGTGTTGAAGCGGGATTTAGAGTGTGGCGTGTGAATCTCACCCAGTTATTCTCGGTCACATCGTCGGTTAGATCTATTATCATTTGCTCGGTATGTCCTACTATGTATTGGCTGTGCTTGCGCAAAAGAAGGCCCGATGGCGTGACAGGTGTGAACTGACCTCTCCCTATCCTAGGCCACGAAATAGTGTGAATGAGAGCTCGGCCGAGAAAGACTACTACTGTTTGGAGACACTATTAAAAAGAGTCTGAGGGCCAAATTGCAACCTGAGTAGTGTCGGATAGATCACAAAAAGCTGCTATGCCTGGCGCCAAGAGCATCGCCATCATCGGCGCTGGCCCCGCGGGGGCAATTGCTGTGGATGCGCTCATGCAAGAGAAGGAATTTGACGTCGTCCGCGTTTTTGACAGACAGGAGAGAGCCGGAGGTTGCTGGTACGTTGTATGGAGATCAATACCCTTGTCACACGCTGACCTTCATACAGGGTCTCGAGAGATGATAAGCCACCCCAACAATTCGATTTGGAAAAGCTTTCGGAGCGTACAGCCGACGTGCCGCTAGAGATTCCAGCGAATCTGCCATGTCGGATGCCCGCCATCCAACAGGACCGCTTTACTGATTCCCCAGTCTATCCCGCGCTAGAGACCAATGTGGATGCGGGGGCGATGTCTTTCTCGCAAGAGCCTATTCCAACAGTCAGATCACAATGGTCCATTGAGCGGCACGGAAGAGACACTCCATTCCGCCACCACTCTGTCATCAGGCAGTATATTGAGGACCTGTTTACCCGCAAGCAATACCAGGATTTGGTTCAGTACAACACCACCGTTGAACGTGCCATCAAAGATACCAACAGTCAAAAATGGGTTCTGACCCTACGGCGCCCAGACCAAAACGGAGCCGAATCAGACTACTGGTGGAGCGAGGAATTCGACGCGGTCGTGGTGGCTACGGGCCATTATGCGGTGCCGTTTTTCCCTGCCATTCCTGGCCTGAAGGAGTTTGCCGCCAGATACCCTGGCAGCATTGAGCACACAAAACACTATCGCAGCCCGGAGAAGTACCGAGGAAAAGTAAGTATCGCTCCTGATAGCCTTTTGGGGGGTTGCTCTGGCCACTAATTACGAGAAGAAAGTCATCACAGTCGGTGCCTCGGTCTCTGCGGCCGATACAGCAGTTAGTCTCATAGGCAGTGCACAGTCGCCAATCCATGCTGTCGTCCGTGGTCGGTATAATGTATACTTCGGTGACGAGGCGTTCAAGCACCCCGGGATCCTACGACGGCCCCCCATCACGCACATCACGAGCAACGACAACGGGGACCGCACGGTACATTTCGAAGACGGTACCTGCGAGAAGGACGTGGATCACATCATTTTCGGCACCGGTTTCACTTGGAGTCTGCCTTTCTTGCCCCAGGTATCAACGCGAAACAATCGTGTCCCTGATCTGTATCAACATGTCTTTTATCGACATGACCCTACATTGATTTTCGTAGGCGCTGTACGTTGCCTCTCCTTTTTTCTGCACAGAGAGTGAAATTTCTAACCAAACTCTTTTTATTAGGTCGGTGCTGGTTTGACTTTCAAAGTATTTGAATGGCAAGCCGTCGCCGCTGCTCGTGTCCTGGCCGGACGGGCAGCACTACCATCTGTTGCAGAGCAAAAGAAATGGGAGGATGACCGCATTTCGCGCAAGGGAGATGGTCCGGCATTCACCATGATCAACCCCGAATTCGAGGCGTACTTTGAAGATATGCGTTCCCTTGCTGGGGAGCCACGCGATGGGACGCCTGGGCGACGATTGCCACCGTTTGATCAAAAGTGGGTGGATGTGTTCAACGCGGGTCATCAGCGGCGGATTAAGATGTGGAAGCGGGCCAATAGGGCTGCGAAGATATAGGGGAAGGCCACAGGGAGGTTATTGTGATAGATACCATTCATTTGGAATACTCCGACTCAAAAGATATCATACTTGACAGCGATCCACTGGATATACGATTCGATCCCAGAGTACACTTCACCTTACTTTTAGTTGACCTAATTTTCTTCTTAATTTATAATATATGGATAAGCTATCCCGTGACTGTCGAGCCATTGTCCACATGGTAGATTGGTTGGGAATTTCTAAGTCAGTAGAGACTAAAGAAGCAGGAATGGAATTCAGCTGATTAATACTCCCGGTTCTATTGTTCTGATTATAAACTTGCTAATCGTTACAAAGTCATTTCGTTAATTGAGCACGATAACTCCTATGCTTGTAGCGAGATCGCGTGCAACCATGATTGGGCCTTACAAATCCCGCAACGCCAACCCTCACACAAACATATCACCAGACATTCCAATCGATGTGTGAGGGAAATTTTGGCAATAAATTTAACTATTAGGCATTTAGGACAGCATCATTACCCATATTGATCCCTTCCTCGCCCCCATTCAGCCGTCTTGTACCGCCTGCGATGTGGCAGCCTTCCTTGAATTTTCTCGCTTTACATTGTCAGTCGATCCAATTGGCTCAATTACCTTGTCTCAGGCTAAAGATGAATTAGATGCTTGGATTATTGCTCTCAGTCTTTCGAGTTTGCTTATCCTATATCCCAATGGCAACATACGGGCCATTGATGCTTATTTCTTCGGTGCCAGCGCTGCTACGGCGTCAGGAATCAATCCGTTAGTTCCACAAGCTGTTGCATTCAGTGGAAATTCAAACTAGTTAATAATACTTCGAGTAGTATTGATCTCAAGGCTCTGAAGACATATCAACAGGTTTATCTTTACGTCATCCCAACACTGGGCAATTTGATGGTCATCAATATTGCTGTTGTTGTTGTGCGATTATGGTGGTTTGAGAAACATCTGAAAGAAATTGGTATGATACAACATAGTGTCCCTTTTCTTCCTATCCACAATGTATGATGTACTTATTTATTCGACTATCCAGCACCTAGTCTTCTGAGAAGGGATCACACTCGAAGCGCAGCAAGCAATGTGGAGGCAGATATCGAACACTCAGAAATCATAAATACAGTTAATTCTGTTCTCATCAATGGTCGCATTGGTGATATTACTGAGGAAGATGGTCCTTCCAGAACTACGGACTATGGCTCAATCAGGCTGGCGGGGTATGCATATTCATAACGATAGGAAAAACAAACAGAGTTGCTTACAGTCTTAGAAGTAACCCCAGTGAGAACGGGTCTTATGCCATCAATACACGAGCAAGAGAGGGTGTTAACACGAACACCGGTACAAGCATTCAGTTCGCAGACGACCCACGCCCACGAGAGCATAATGATCAAGCCAAAGCGCTATACATACCTCCCCCTTGGAAACGTGACAGAGGTTAGTCTGTCAAGCCCGATGAACCTAATATTGTTGTCTCATTTCATGAATAGGAAGCCCTCTCCTTGAAGTTGACGATCATAGCGATGAAGGTAAATTGCCATCATCATCTCCATGTGGACAAAGCCGATAAATTCCAGAATCTCTCAGGTCTTATCGTCCAGCTACGAGGTCATTTATGCTTCCATGGCCCGACCGGTTGATTTCCACAACCTTGACACTGGAACGAGCCGCGTCCATGATGTTTGTACTTGGTATAACTCGCAGTCGCAGCCAGATTCCCCGACCTCGATCTTCACACGGAATATCACGATCCCGGACAAGCTATCTGCCAATCCTCTCTGCCCAAGCTACTCTAGATCGAAATTCACAATTTTATAGACTAACAGATGAGGATCGAGAGAAACTTGGTGGAATTGAATATCGCAGCTTGAAGCTGTTGTTAAAAATCGTCATTGGTATTTCCGGTCCCAATGATAAACGCACCATCAGTCAGTAACAAATATACAGGTTACTTCATTGGCCTTCATCTGTTCGGTGCAATTTGCCTCGTTCCGTGGATGCAGCATGCCAGTCCAAATTACCAGGAATACCTTGCAGAATGCGGCCAGGGGAAAACCTGGTGGTGAGTTTTTTCCCCGATTCCAAGCAAGCAACGCTAAGATAAAATGGGTTGGTTATACAGGGGAATTTACTCAGCCCAAACAATGGTGAACAATCTCGGATTTACCCTGACCCCAGACTCGATGATCCATTTCCAAGACGCCACCTACCCTCTACTTCTCATGAGCTTTCTAGCCTATGCAGGAAACACTTGTTACCCATGCTTACTCCGACTGGTCATCTGGATCATGTTCAAACTATGTCCGGAATACTCATCTCGCAAAGAATCACTCGGCTTCTTACTATCTCATCCTCGACGTTGCTACACACTTTTATTCCCGAGCCAACCCACGTGGCTTCTGTTTAGAATCCTGGTCGCCATGAACCTCATTGATGTTGTCCTTATCCTCGTACTAGATTTGCATATTTCAGCAGTCAGCCATCTTCCTCTCGGTCAACGCATCATTGCCGCACTTTTCCAGGCTGCTTCTTCCCGACATACCGGAACCTCGATTTTTAACTTGGCAGATGTGAATCCGGCTGTTCAATTCAGTCTGCTGGTGATGATGTATATTTCTATATTCCCCATCGCCCTCAGTGTCAGAGCCTCAAACGTCTATGAAGAAGAAGCGCTCGGAGTTTATTCGCTCGCGAACGAGATCGACGAGAGCGACAGTCGATCGTATCTTCTCACCCACATCCGCAACCAGCTCACCTTTGACTTGTGGTATATCTTCCTCGGCATATTTTGCATCTGCATCGCCGAAGCGGAGAGAATCATGGCTAATTCAGATCCGGTTAGCCCCAGTATCAATTCTGATCCGAGCACTCCAGCTAACGTTGACAGGCATTTTCTGTCTTTTCGGTGTTCTTTGAGGTGATCTCCGCATAGTACGTACCTTTTGATGCTTTACCAACGGTATTAAATATCAGCATCTTACTAATCTTCATCTAGTGGCAACGTTGGGCTCAGTTTGGGGTATCCGACAGTCAGTACATCTCTCAGTGGGCAGTTTACCACATTCAGTAAACTTGTTATCTGTGCCATGATGGTCCGCGGCCGCCACCGCGGACTGCCATATAAGTTGGATCGGGCTATTGTCTTGCCGACCGAGCATCTTATGCGAAACGATACGGAAGGCGATTCAGGTTGGAGAGGAGGACAAGTCCAGCAACTGGCAGGAATCCGACGAATCCACACAAGCTAATACGTAAGGCTGCGGGGAAATCTGTCAACCTTGATGAACGTCTAAATCTGGCAGCAACAGCCGATGGTCTTTTCGATGATGAGACTTATTAAGTAGAATAGGGAGAGTTGATTGTAGTCAAAATAATCACAATGTTGTCCATTTGGTCGCGAACACCCACGGCCATTCGCTGGTAGGTTTGCAAGTGCCTGCCGTAATTCCCCATTTCGGCCGAATCCTTCGAGTTTGGCGTATGTCACAACGCATAGCTTTTGCTCGATAGAAAATCCATTGTCAGAGACATGCACGACAAATAAACAAAACGGGTGAAGTTCCACTACTGCCTACAACATGACTTATGTCTGGAGAGTAATCTAAGAATACGGGACACATTCTTAGGGAAGGCTGCGGGGCAGGTGGATCAGCAAATTTCCCGATCTGTGCTTAGCTGACTCGTTCTCGGTTTCGTTCTCGGATTGATCACATGTTGATTCATCTGCTTTATCTGCATTCTTATGGCTGACCTTCCCCTCCATTAATTTTTTTTTTTTTTTTTTTTGGTGGCTGTGGCCAACAATACCCTCAATCATCATGGAACTGACCATTAGATACGTCTCAAGCCTTCTGGTTGTGGTATGGGTTCTACATACCTTGATTACCTTCCTGAGACTCTACATCATTGGCCGTCGCACCGGGTTCCCCGTCTACATTATCCCCATTCAAACCAGGAGCGTGCCGTGGATGTTTCTGAATTCTGTTCTGCGACCGTACTTCGAGAAATATCTGCCAGAATGTATCTACGAGCGGATAGACATTGCGTCGGCCGGTTGGGAATTTCGCAGAAAAGCGGAGATGCATCAGCGACTTGGACCGGCGTTTGTCGTAGTTACACTGAACCAGTGTGCCTTGTGGTATGCGCCCAGAGCAAGAATGTTTCGTGTGTTTGATATTAATTCAGAGACAGGGTTGGTGACCCTGCGCTTGGCAACATTGTGCTGCAGCGAAGGAAGGACTTTGTACAGGCGCCGATTGTGAAGCGGATGATGGGGTTTTTAGGATCTAATGTGCTCCAGGTAAGTTTTTTTTTTTTCTTTTTGCTACAGCGGTTCATTTATTGACGATGTCAGGCAAATGGCGACGACTGGTATGTGGCTTTCGGTTTGGTTGAAGGTATACCCTTATGCTCATGTGTGATGACAGGCAACGACAACGCCGCATCGTGGCACCTAACCTAAATGAGAGGATCAGCGAAGCAGTATGGAATGAAAGCTGTGAGCAAGCACAGGAGATGCTCGACTACCTGTCCAAACGGCCTGGTTCTCAAACATTGAGCGGTCTGCGCTGCCTTGCTATCAATGTACTAGGCCAAGCAGGATATGGCCAAGCTCAACCCTGGCTCCCCGAGCTTCCAATTCACTCCAAGGAAGAATTGAATGGCCGGGCAGGGTATTTTAGTGCAATGTCATTAATTACAGATATGCTTCCGTACGCCGCTCTCTTGCCACACAAGTTGCTGCGGATGTCATTCATGCCGCTGGCTCGTCAAGCTTTAGGTCGCCATTTGGAGAAAATCAACCAATACACCAAAGACATGTTGGATGACGAACGAAAAGCCGCTAAGTACGAATCTGGCCCTCGAAATAATTTCCTCAACTCCCTGGTGCAATTTTCGGATCAAGGCACCGATACCAAACCGGCCCTGACAATGAGCGAAGACGAGATCAGTGGCAACCTCTTTATATTCAGTGTCGCCGGGTTCGACACCACGGCTAATACTATGGGCTATGCGGTGTGTCTATTGGCAGCATATCCGGAATGGCAGCACTGGGTGCGCGAGGAACTTGCCGCGCTCCCGGATATCTCACAATGGAAGTACGAGGAAACATTTCCCAAGTGCCAGCGCACCCTAGCTGTCATGGTATGTTTTCGTCCTTTCCAATTTGATTGAACACAATGCTTACCAACCCTTATAGTTCGAAACACTACGCCACTTCACGCCCGTGCTGCACTCAACCCGAGCAGTCAGCGAAACACAGACACTAGTTGATGCAGACGGCACACAGCATATCATCACGCCCCCAATGGACGTTTTTGTCTCACAGCAAAGTATCCATTACAACCCAAATATCTGGGGCGCAGATGTGGAAGAATTCAAGCCAACCCGATGGCTTGACAATTCTGGCAATACCATCACACCCCCAAAAGGTACATTCATACCATGGTCTGGCGGACCGCGAGTTTGCCCTGGCATGAAGATGTCCCAGGTGGAGTTTGTGGCCGCCATGGCGGTGCTCTTCCGATCGGGTCGATGCGAGCCTGTCACGGAAGGTGGTATGAGTCTGGAAGAGTCTCGTAAAGCACTACATGGAGTGTTGTATCACGATTCAATTTCGAAGATAACGATGCAAGTGAAGAATCCCACGAAGGTGAAGTTGGCGTGGTATCAGGAGATTTGAAGGTAAACCGGGCTGGAATGGATCAATGCTCTTGTTCATGCAAGTTAGCTTAACTAGTATTTGATGGAAAGAGCATCCTTCGACTAGCCAGCTATTGAATGTGTTCTATTCCATCAACTCATTTACCCGATTTTGCCGCTGCTTAGGTTAATACCCGGAGCTCCACCTGAGACCTTGAATACGGATCGCCACCGATACTGACCACCCCGCGGGATGATGAACACCCCCACGTTCAAATAAACCAGAAACTTCTTCCTCTCTTCTACCATCACTCTAGTCTACTCATCCTCCAGAAACCTCTTTTCAAATGGATTCCTTGAAAGGAAAAGTCATCGCCGTCACGGGCGTAAGAGGCATCGGCCTAGCCGTCGCGCGCCAGTTGCACGCCCACGGCGCCCTCCTCTCCCTCGCCGATATCTCCACAGAGTGTCTCGCCAACGCCGTTTCCGAACTCACAGGAAGAAGCGAAGATTCCACAATCATGACAACAGCCGTGGACGTCAGTTCTTCCTCCTCGGTAAACGCCTGGATCAGTGAAACAGTCTCGCGGTTCGGCCGGCTCGACGGCGCAGCCAACATGGCCGGCATGATCGGCAAGCAGCACGGGGTGGGGAAGCTCACCGATCTGGAAGACGACGAGTGGGATATGCTGCTGCGGGTAAATCTTTCGGGGATGATGTATTGTCTGCGGGCGGAGCTGCGGGCGATTGCCGCTTCTGCGCCCGGCGGGAAGGGGGAGTATCGTGAATGCGTCGAGCATTCAGGGCCTACGAGGATTTCCGTTGCATGCGGCGTACTCGGCGACAAAGCATGGTGTTACTGGATTGACGAGATCAGTTGCTAAAGAGGTTGGGCCCGAGATTCGGGTGAACGCGGTGGCGCCGTGAGTATAGCCTTCCTTTTTGTGCTTGATGATAATGGCTTACTGATATGTTGCTGCAGAGGCGCTATTCAAACACCTCTTTTGGATCAAGCGGTTGGAATCCAGGGCCGTGTTACTGATACGCCCACCGCCATTTCGCGCGTCGGTACCCCCGAAGAGATCGCGCAGACGGTGCTGTTTCTGCTCAGTGATGCTTCATCGTATACTACAGGGGCAGTATATAATGTCGACGGCGGATGGGATCCGTGAAACAGGCAAGGAAAGGAAACGTGTTGTGTGTAAATAGGCGCCGTTGGCGCGTGGATCTGATATGATGAGAAATGTCTTCTAGGACGAGAATAATGTATTGACCCCCAAATGCTCGCTAAACAACCAATGAAAATGCTATGTCGGTACCCAAATCCCGCCGACATGAAGCTCTATTGATGCGCTGGAAAGGAAAGAAAAACCGCCGTCTATACCCAAATATAGAACCATAAACCTGTAACCTCTTAATTAGCAACTCCACATTTCAAATCCTCTTGCGGACTCCACATACTCATCAACATCGTCCAATAGGACCAACGAGGTAGGCAGTGCAACGACCTCGCGTTGCTGCTGTCTTCCGTTTGGACTGCGACCGGCCAGCCGTCGGTATAATTGAGATAGAGCCAGCCCATATGGGCATCCTGGAAACGTTGTTAGTTCCCCACCCATCCGGTTCCAGGTTTCTGGCATGCATACCTCATCTGTAAAGCCAATTGAGGTGTTCAGGTAATGAAAATAAAGAATATCGGACGTGGAGGCATTCATGCCCGACACAACGCCCACTCCGCCGGGGGCATAGACCTTGCCATGGTTCGAGGCATAGACAATCGTGCCCCCACCATCAAGGAGGAGGTTATTGTCCTTGTCCACGAAGGGGCCCTCGCACGTTTCGCGACCGGCCAACCCGGATGCTGTACTCGTGTCCCCGCGCGGGAAATCCGTTCTCAAAGCGACAGCATTTGCCGTGGCTAAACCACACGTAGTAATATGGGTCGTGGTAGCTCATCCACGACCCCTCCTCGGGCTTTGACTTTTTGTGCGGGATAAAACTCAGCTGCACGGCGTCTGGGTCCGTACGATTCTTGACCGATAATAAATCTGCTGAGAGCGGCAACTGCCAGATATCGTTCCAGAAGCTACCCCAATTCAGGTAGGATTCGCCGGTCGTTTGATCGGTGATGAAAGATGGGTCGATGGCATTGGTGATGTTGAACGGGTAAACGAGCGAGTCCTTGCCCCCGTCTGTCTCAATCACTGCGCCGTGGTCTGTCCACGCACTGCCGTCCAGGGTAGTCGTCGTGGCGACGCCAATGGCGCTGTCGCGAGAGCCATGTGTGCTGAGCGTGTAATAGCAGTAAAACGTGCCATTGTGCTCGATGGTCGTCGGAGCCCAGGGTCGTTTGCGGCTCCCCTTGTGCTGGATAATGCTGGCTTGGTTGAAGACATGGCCAACCAGCTCCCACGGTCCGCTCATATTGGCAGCCTTGAAAAAGGGGATATGTGGATCACCCTTGAAGAGATAGTAGTAGCCATTGGACTGAACTATGTTGGGATCGTGTGCAACAATATTGCCCAAGTTGGGCAGCGGGAGAGTATCGGTTGTTTCGTAGACCTGACTGACCCCACCCCCGAATGGGAACGGGGGGGTCGCCTGGATCAGAACCACGAGCGTGGGCAGCAGCCACAGAATGCGTGGCATTGAGCGAGGTATGTACATAAAGCTCAGGCCGCGCAAACTTGGCGGGAACGAACAACTTTGAAGGATACGGTTGACTACAATCAGCGCATCTTGCAAGGCTATGGATTTTGCCAGCCAGGGTTAAGGGGAAAGGGGAGGTTGGGAAAGGAGACGAAGTGATTCAGATTATGAAGATGGAAACGAGAAAAGCGGGCAGCGCACATGGTAGTTATGCGATCACGCAAGGGAGCTAAAAAAAGAGGAGCTGCTCGTTTTCTTTTTTTTTTTTTTGGACCCTGTTGGGACCCTTGTGTTCTGTCGATCGAGACTAAACAGAAGCCAAGTCTTTTAGAGCCTTTTTAGGCTGACACTTTTCTGGGCGCCGATACAAAGCAGTGACCCCGGAGTACCTAAAAATACTATGGGGCGAGATGTATCCCAAGGTACCCAGGTCCGTGTCCTTGGCCCCCTGTCGCAGCGGGACAGTTAGACGTGGCGCCAGGGGTTGACCCGGGGAGGTGCCGCAGATTATCATTGGTGGAATGGAGTGTTGCACCCGCGACAACAAAGAGGAGAAAATTCTTTATCAGTGATACCGTCGCTTACTGGTCTCGTTAGTGTCCGGAGGCTCCGTGGTGTGATTCGTGCTGTGGGTTGCGTGTTGAGCCCTTCGGCCCCACTACAAGGCGCAGTAGGAAGAATCAGGCTGCAACGAAGGGACAACACACTGGGCGTTCGGAGGACGGGTGAGTGTCTCGGCCTTGCAAAAACCTAGCGAACCCGGTGGTAGTCGGGTCTGACAACGCACTTTGTCCGGTCAATTGGACCCTTCTCGTGATCGACCGCTCCTTGCAGACCCGGGGAAGCCAAGCCTGATCGACGCCCCTTAGCGATGATCTTGTGGGCCATCCCGAGCGATAGATAAACATACATAGGTGGAATTTGGATGATGGCATTGCGCCTGGGAATTACGCAAAATTGCATAACTGAACGAAGAACCATGTGATGAGGATGGAAATTCGGATGAAGAGAAAGGGATATAGTACAGAAGCCGACCAGCTCAAGAAAGCGACAAGAAAGAAAAGAAAAGATCAGTCGCCGAGGGCATATCCGGTTAGATCCTCCCAATCGAAGACATCCAAGAAAGGATCGAATTCGCCGGGAGACTGTATAGTGAAAAAAAGAATGGTTAGGATGGTACAAAGAGGAGGGGACAAAGACTAATGCTTACGCCGAGATTTGCTGATGGGAGCATGTTCTCCAAGTCCGAGGGTAACACGGGGACCACGCCGGGAGTAGCGGTAAAAGCAGCCACCTGCAGTCGAGTCAGTCAAATCTCACCAAGACGCTTATTATTGAAAAAAGACAAACCTGGTTGGTTTTGAAACTGCCCATCCCGGGAGTGCCCAGATGCTCGCAGCTGGCATGGCGAGAAAATAATGTTTGTGCGAAAGACAGAATCCGTTCGACCACCTGCTGCTTGTACATGACTGCTTGGGTAGGCCATAGTCTGGCTTTGACCAACGCCACGATTGTCGACAAAAAGAAATAGTCCTTGGCTCCTTTGACCACCAGCAGAAATCGGCCTTCCAGGCAGACCAGGGTCGTTTCCACCAGAGAAATAAGCGATTCGGGGAGGCCGGGAAGATTGTGGATCGAAAACATGGTGGATGTCGGGTGGTCAGGAGCTAGAGCTCGTTAGTTTGCCATGAAACAGACATTGGAGGGAAAACATACCATTCCGAGATTCTCCCGAGTGCAAAATCTGACAGATTGACATATAGGCCTGTAGAGTCCATTCGCCAAGAAGGCACAATGACAACGGCCTTGATGTTTCGTGAAGCTGTCGCTGGGTCGAAAGTATCTTGCTCGCAATATCCATGCGAGACCTTGCAGAGGGGACAAATAATGACTCCCGCCGGGCCTCGATGGCAAACGGTGTGTGAATCGACAGGAGGGCTTGTGCCAACTTGGTCTCGATTAAAGCTTTCCACAGGCTCACCTTATGTTGAGTCACAGCGTCGATGCCTTCTAGTGCCGTCCACGCGGGAATCCGCGCGATATGTCGGTTTAGTTCCCAGTCCAAGCGATGAATTTCTTCGTATCGGCAACTAATGCGCGGCGAGTGCATTAAATGGCAGACCTTGAGGCGGAGCGGTAGGGATCGTACTAAAACCGACTGGAAAGATGCATCGGTAACTTCGCTGAGCGCTCGTCCCGTCGGAAGGTCGGTGGCGCCCTCGTAGAATTCGTCATCGTTGATGTTCAGAACGGAGAAAACATCGTAATCTGAGCTTTGCACGGACGGTGGCATGCCCCGGTCAAAGGCAACCTGCAAATCAAGCTCAACGATCGTTGTCCAAATCCGCCGACGCATCTCTTTGTTGAAAGATGAGATTCTCGTATACCGGCTCGGGTCGCGGTGATAGCCAGCCATCATAGCTTGTCTGACAAGAGTTCCCGTGGCGAGCCAGGCCTGGCTGCGCTTCATCCCGTGCCAATTCCATGCTTTTATTAGGAGTATAGAGATTCGCATCGAATTGATTTCCGGCCTCTTAACATGCAAATTCTCGATCCATTTTTCGGCATGCAGAACCCACTCCACGGCAGTATAGCATTTGAGTTCTTCCCCATTCTTTTCTTGTAAAGTGACCGGGTCGGCGAGGTGCCAGGCGCAGGAGAGCATCAGCAGGAGCTGAGCCGCAAATGAGGGAGATGCCATGTTGGGTGTATCCATCAAGCTCCAGAACTTGTCAAGATCCCGTAGGAAAGTTGGGGCATGGAAGATGCGGTGTGTAGATTCGATATAAGTCAGATATAAGCCTACCAACTCATCCACAACTGCACGAGATGGCAACAAAGATATCAGCGATGCCGTGGTGGGTTCGGGGAAGGGCTCATTAAGTGGAATCCGCTTCCATACCCCCTTCTTGACCCTCTCCAGGTCGGGGCGGACCTGTGAGAGAATTGGATTGGATAGTCTAATCTCTTCAGCAAAAGATCGGATGTCCAAGAACTAAGGTTGTGGTTAATTAGAACTGCTTTGACCTTAACAGCGACGGCTGAGACATACCTGTGCTACGATATTGGCATACACCCCTGATCCATTGAAGCGTGTCTTCGTCTCCCGGCCCCGCATCATCATGCGAGGCGAAAGGTCCAATTTTTGCGATGGTGAAAAGGCACCATCTGACTCTTCTTCACCGTAATCGGCCTCATCAGCCTGGGCCGAGATGGTGATATCGAGCTCGGGGGCGGGACGCTTCGGTCGCTGCACGACCTCGGAGTTCGCATAGGGCTCCTGGTTCACAGCTGCCTTAGGTGCGCCTAGAACAGTTTCCAAAAAGCAATCCCGGCGTTCGCGTGGCGGCCGGGTCCGGAACGGCGGCAGAGCATGATTGCTGTGGTGGTCCAAGTCATGATGGAGATGATAGTCACGTTGCTCTTGAGAAGCCGACGGAGCAGACTCTTTGGTTGGGACGAATGATTCCGTTCGAATTGACATGGTGCCCGTCCCCGAATCCGGAGGCGTGTGGACGGGCGTGCGGTCAACTCGTGGGGGAGCAGATATGGTGGAACCTCGGTCGGATGCAAAGGCAACGGCCGACACGGTGCTGGGCTGCTGCCAGAGAAAACCATCCTCGTACGAGCATTTATTGGGAGTTCTGCTCTTGAGGCAACGTCCGCAGGTGGGATATTCGCGATCACAGCGCAACTTGCGACTGCGGCATTGGGTACAAGCCATGGTGCGCCGGCGTCTCTTACGCACCCTTTCGGGCTGCGCAGCGGGCGGAGGGCCCTGGATGTCCGCCATTATCATTCACAGACGAAGACGATACATGCGCGACGCAATCCCAGCATGGTGCAATTGTTATGATTGCGATGAGAGCCGAGGGTCAGTCGCGGTCTGAGCTTTTCGAGAGAGAGTTTAGGTTTAGTTTCGGCTTACGTGTTGGGCCCACTTCGGTCTTATCTTGTCTCGTTTGCCTAAAGAAAGTCGGTATTATCATGGTTTGAAAGGGTCTTCTTCTGATCTATATTGCTCTTTGCACAATACTAATGCCTCAACCATCAGTCCCACTTTCCCGTCATTCCGGGACGGCCCACTGCGGCTCACTTTGTGTTGGCCGCCCACAGGTGTTCCGAGAGATCTTCTCTGGTGCTGCGATTATTTGCGGTGATGCAAAATTGTCTTCCAAAGCATCTATGCCCCTGCATAGCTACCCGCACCTATACCCCTCTCAGGCCCGCGTTGACAACAGCATACGATGCGGCCCGGCTTTCTTAGAAGAGAATAGTCAACTAGCTAGTTAACGTTAGTTAGTCCCCAAATGGTGCTTACAAACACTGCAATAATAATGAAGTATTTTTCTAGCACTTGGTTGCACTGATCGGTTTCCGTGATCTACGAAAACTATTAGTCCCCACCTACGACCCTACAGCCTAGTATGGTTCCCTAGCAGCAGAAGAAACAGCGCCTCGTTGATTGATGCTCAAACTGCATGCTGACTGTATCACAGAGCCTCTTTCACATATCCGTCCGAAAAAAAGACTTGGCCCCCACTTCCGCATGTCCTTCCGGTGCGCCATCAGAAAAGGGGCTTAGATGCTGGCTCAGCCTTTGGATTGCACCACTCCAACCATAGGCCTTAATTACCCCTCTGAGGCCCCCGTGAACCCCTCAGGGAAACATATTTTTGATAAATCATTAATATATTCCTGACCCACGCCATGTCGTCGGTGCGTTCCGAGCCAATAAAATCTCGGATGCATAATCCCTTTCACAATCCATTGCCGGCCTCATTATCCAGTAAGTTTATTTCTATAGACTCCAAGGGCTTCGGGATAAGACTAACAATGCCTAAACAGAGGAGTGCAAGAAAGCCGGCAAAATTTTGAATTCATTCATCAATCCGAAGGAATTTGGCAGTCTCGACGGCGGGACATTTCTGGATGGCGGGGTACCCCGGAGCGTTCTTTCCAGGGCAAAGGTGAGACTTTCAAATGAGAAAAAGGCCGAACTGAATCTAATATGCTTACAGGGCCTTGTGATCTTCACATCCCTCAAAGCTGGATTTCTGGGCTCTGTCCGGTTTGGGTCCGGGCTGATTGTCGCCCGACTCCCTGACGGCACCTGGTCAGCTCCTTCGGCCATTGCAACAGGAGGTATTGGTGTTGGCGGCCAATTCGGGATGGAGCTGACTGACTTTGTCTTTGTCGTTAACACTGAACGAGAAATGAACAAGTTCGCCCAGGGCGGTTCTTTGACTCTCAGTGGAAATATCAGCATTGCTTTCGGCCCCATTGGACGCAGCGGCGAGGCGAGCACCATGGCCAGCCGTAAAGGTTTCGCGGGGATGTACGCCTATTCCAAAACCCGTGGTATGTACGGCGGGCTCACGCTTGAGGGTGGCGTGCTCGCGGAGCGGGCTTCTGCCAACAAAAAGATGTACGAGCGGAAGGTCACTCCAAAACAACTACTGGGAGGCGAGGTGTCTCCTCCGGCCGAGGCTGAGCCATTGATGTGCGTCCTGAGATCGGACGTTTTCACCCTCGAGCCAACACCCGTTGAAATTGTTCCTGAGGTCGTCTCGGGGCAACCAGATGAACAAGCAGGGGAATTATCATCACAGCGGACAACCGAGCCACCAGAAGGAATCTTTGAGCTGCCTGCTGAATATCCGGCCTCTGATGTTCCCAATCCTCCTGATGCTCCCAGTCCTCCTGATTCTCTCAATCCTCCTGATGTTCCTGATGTTCCCAACATTCCCGATGCTCCGGTTTCCCAGCCGGACACTGAAAGTACCGAGATGGGCACTGAAAACCGGCATGAAAGATCGGGAAATTCTACGGGTAACCCTAATGATGCGTCTCAGGATTTGGTCACTCCTGGTGAAGCACCCGCATGGTTAGCTGGTTTCATATCCAAAGAGTTTGGTCTTCCCTCAGAAGAACCTGCGCCGTCGGCAGAAAAGCCTGTTCAGTCCTCACACAAGCCAACAGCCTCTACAGCGTCTACTGTGCAGCCTGAGAAGAGCCGTCGGGCCTCACTTACTCGCAAGCCCATACCATCATCTTCGGTGGATAGTTCTGAACAAACTTCGTGGCTGGATCTTTAGCGTTTTCACCTTGTTTTGAAATCTGTCTTCCCTTATAGATACCCACCCGATCTGCAGATTATCCGCTCGTCACTTAGCATGCAAGCTATTTTAGCGGTAATTGCCTAGGTATACCTCTGCGGAATATTTAATCTATCATGTTCATGTTCAATCCGTACATAGACCTCAACCAAAACAATAACCCTAAAAGTTCAGGCGCTAGGGCATTGACACCTCAGGCCACAGGCATTAGGCGTTGCACTATTGTGCGCCTATTTGAAGGTAATTAGGCAGGCAGCACTAGCCAGCTCGCTCTCTACAGTCAGGGCTGCCAAACAGTGGATCCACTAGGAAATTGTGAATCTGGAGATTGGCTCCGAGCTCGGCTTCGGGGCTCGGAGATACTAGATATCGACGGCCGAGGAAAGGCTATATCTACCGCAGGCAGCCACAACTCACCTCGGAAGTAAACAAAGAAACCCTCCCCCCAGAAAACAAATCGGCTGAGACATAGTGTTTGTGACTCCAACCATGCTGCGCTCGCTGCTGTCGTTCGGGCCCAAGTCCACTCCTGCCAGTCCAGATGACAATAAAGAAAACCACTATTTATTCCCCACAGTGGATGCTGAAAGCGACGGCGCAGATTGCCTGAAAGACTGTGCAGATTGCACGATTCATTTTCCGTCCAAGGTCAAGGTTGAGACCTCGCGTCCCCTCTATGGCCACATCAAGGAGTTTCATGCCCATGTCCTGGTTGCCACGGGGCGGTCCGACTGGAAGGAAAAAGTCGAGCAAGAGAAGGGAACATTGATGGAGGCGCTCGATCAGCCTTCCGCCAAATCCAAGCGTGGGGTATGGTTCCTTTGTCTTTCCCATTATAGATATTCCCTAACGTTGGATACCAGCGTATTATGGTCTCGGCCTCCAATCTGCAACTCCCCGACCACGAGAACCCGCAAGATGCGACCCAGCAAGCAACAACGGTGCTAATTCTCCCATCATTTACCTTCGTGGACCTTGTCACACCAGCAGATACGCCCGAATTAATAAAACGGTTTGTCGACACGCCAGCGGCCGATCAACAGACTGAGAACGGTGCCTCCCCCGCATCTAGCATGACCGCCCGCCCCTGCGAGCTGGACTACGTAATCCTGCTGTGCTCGCACCGGCGGCGAGATGCGCGCTGCGGAATGACTGCGCCGCTCATTAAACGGGAACTCGAGCGACACCTGCGTCCGCGCGGACTGGACAGGGATGCGGACGATACCCGGCCTGGCGGTGCGGGCATTTTCTTCGTCTCGCACGTGGGCGGGCACAAGTTCTCCGCTAATGTGCTGGTGTATCGGAAGAAGACGCAGCAGATGATTTGGCTGGCACGCGTTAGGCCTGAGCACTGTGAGGGCATTGTTAAATACACTATTCTGCAGGGGAAGGTCGTGCACCCCGAGACGCAGCTGCGGGGTGGGTTTGACAGGCCAAAGGGGCTGACGAGCTGGTGAGTATAGTCTTTTGGGGGGGTTTTTGAGTATGCAGAGCAGCTGTGGACCTTTTTTTACAGTGCTTCTAGAGCAACCCAAAGTTTCAGCATAGGTGTGGCGTTAATAACTAAATAGGAGCCAAGGTCTCAGTCAGTAGAAAATGAAGTATTTAATGACTCCAGTAATTACTAACTCACAACAATGCGGCTGTCGCCAAAGCGAGTGGCTGAAAATGTAGGGTTCAGGCCCACCCGTGACACGCGACGTCAGACCGCGTTAAGTAGTGTCGCGTCTCTTCTCAGCTCAGCATCTCTTCACCGACTCCCAACCACACCATGCGATAATGGCGGACTACGCCCTGGGGTCTCGTGCTGAGGTTGCCAGTCAGGCTGTTGACTTGCGCGCGGAATTAAAATCATGGGAGAAAGCATTCGCGTTGGCCAACAATGGCAGGAAAGCGGGTAGGGATGATATCAAGCAGAACTCGGATATCGGTAAGTCCAGGCGCCAGGGTTTTCCAACCAATTGTGTTGATGGGATCACTGACTCCTTGTTTTCTCTGTTCATCAGCCGCCAAATACAAGGAATACGGTCGACTCAAGTCCCTCGAGTCCTCCCTAGCTCGACGCGAGAATCAGCGACATGATGCCCAAGATCATTCTAAGAAACGCAAGCATGCATCGCCTTCCGGCCCAGAGGCGCATGTCGAGTTTACGCCACGCAAGTCCGCCAAGGGCCTCTTCACGACTCCGTCTCACAAGCGGACGACGAATGCCCATCCATCCCAGTTAGACCCATACGACTCGCCATCGACGCTCCGCAAACTCTTCAGTCCAAGCGCACACCAACCAAATATGCCAGCGCCATCTCCTCTGAAAGCTTCAATTGGGCCAACTCCCCAACGCGATGGGAAAGCCCTAGGACTCTTCGATCTTCTATCCGAATCGGGCGGGAGCGCCCCAACTCCGTCCGGGAAGAAGCAGGCGAATACGCTTGCAGCCGCCTTTCGAACGCCATCCAAACGCAAAAGGGTCGACACGATCCCAGAAGCGCCGGAAGAAGAACAGCAGGAGGAAACACCGCGGATGGCTCGGACCCCAGCCTCCTCGGCCAAGCAGTTTTACCTGGCGAATCTGTTCGCGACTCCCACGACAATGCGCTATGCCGCGATGGTAGAGGCGGAGGATCTTAAAGAAGCGGGAGAAAACATATCACCAGATCTACCACCTCTAGCAGCCCCGGGAGCACCCCAGTCAGAAACACCATCCTTCCTACGCCGCTCCAATCGCTACCCGGCCGCTACTGCCAACCAGAACGGCCCGGGCCTCAGTCCAATTGTCTCTCGGAAACCACTTCAATTCGCGAGTAAAGGGCTATCGCATCTCGTTCAAGGTCTCCGCGACATGGAAGAGGAACGAATGGATGATGAATGGGATGTGCTCGGTGAGCTTGAAGAGGAACAAGAGGCCGGCAATGTTGAGGTGGAGGACAGCCAGGTACCCCAGCAGGAGCAACGCCCAATTTACAAGAAGAAGGGCCAGAAGCGGACGACTCGCAGAGTGATTATGCGGCCGGTTGCCTCTAGACCAAAACCTGCCGCGCCTGCAGAACCTGATTACGAGGATGAGAGTGAGGATGAACTGGCGGCAGTGCCAGAGACACAGCAACCGAGCAAGCCGAATGACAGCAATGGTGTTGACCTGGGAGAAAACGATGAAGACGACGCCGCTTCCCTCCACCCCATGTCTGAGCCAGATCTCGACTCAGACGCAGATCCAGAGGTCGAGTTCGACGGCGACTCTGACTATGAGGAACAATCCAAGCCTATTGCCCGGAGCAAGAGCTTCTCTGAGCGTATCAAGGAGGCTGTGGCTTCTGCGGTGAAATCAAAGCCCAAAGAGACTACGGAGAAGAAGCTAGGCGCTCCAGAAACGAAAGAGAAAAAGCCTCAGTCCCGGAGAGTCAATCCTCAGGCTCATGCGAACTTTCGGTCGCTGAAGATCCGGAACAGAGGTTCCAAGACTGGAGGTCGTTTCCGGCGAAGATAGGAGATATGCTGATACTGGAATTTATGAATAACGATTGCGTTGACTGCGAGCATGGATTAGATAGTTTTACGTGCTTCATGAATGCTACAATTAAAGCTTGACATCGCACCGCAAGTGCCTCGAGTTCAATTCCAGTAAGATTATATCAACATGTCTCATCAGGTCATAATGTCTATAATGCAGCCATCTGTCAGGAGCTCTCTAGAGCTCAATCAGGAACATATCGAGCCCGAGCATACTGTAACCGCCGTGCACGAGCAGCAGCGTCCTGAGATCTCGAACGATACGGCGGTCGCCGAGTTGATCGCGGCTTTGTCACTCGTTCGGCGAGAGGTCTATCCCGGCGGGAACCCGGTGTCGCCCCCGAGGCAACCCACCAGACTCCCGCGGTCCGCTGTCAGGGGGTTCGGCGGGGAACTGGGATATTGGACATGCCGATCCCAGTCTTCAAGAGAGATATACGGACTTCTCAACCACGCCTGCAGCTCATGCAGGAACAAACGAGCATTATCACGCCCAATAAAATCTCGCAACAGCTCCTCGGCTTGCCCAGCACTACCCTTCATATCGACAGTGCGGAGGATAGCGACGATATACTCCAGCAGGAACTCAGCGTTGTTCGCCCTGCGATTCTCCAACCGTTGTTGTCCCGGCCGAGATACCTGGCCCTGGCGCTGCTCTTCTTCCTCTGTTTCGGGGTTCAGAAAGCTGAAGACGCGCAGTTCTCGGCGGATCCACTTTCGAGCGCGCGAAACGAGCGCCTCGTCGCGGTTGAATAGGTCCGGTGTCAGCTCACGATACTGAGATAGGCGGTTGGATCCCACGCGCAGGGAATATAGTTGGTTGCGGTATACATTGCGGCGGCGCAGGAGTGGATCGTCAGGCCGCGGGGGTTGTAGGTTTGGATGAACTCGTCGGGACGGTCTTGCGCCACGTCGAAAGGGCGGGCGCGGTTGAGTAGCAGAACCAGAGGGAGGTCGATTCGTACTTCGGGGTGGTAGTTTGTATACCTTCGGACCCTGGGGTGATTTCAAGTCATATTGTACCGCGGTCAGTTCGCTCTTGCCTATTATCTGATCAGTAAGTGTTCCACAGTGGCCAGTTGTGAGCTCATACAGAGTGGGCAGTTCGGCCGCTGCTCCAGCCAGCTGACAAGACACAGAAAATCGAAGTTCGCATGATTGCAGGGCACTGCGACGCCAGGCTCGGTGATGGAGTCGAGGCAGATGACGCAAGGGTTGGCCACACTCTCCAACTCCTCATGGGCTACCTCCTGGAGAGTTCGCTGGAGGATTTCCTGGCGCAGATCGACATCGTCTGCCATGGGCGAGAGAGTGTGACATGGGCAGTTGGGGCAGTCGGGGCAGTTGGTCCGTCGAGGCGGCAAGTGATCTGCCAGCGGCAAAATTCCGGCGCTTCTTTCTTTCACCTGATCTTCCATCCTCTAGCACACACCACTCTTCCCTTGCTCTTCTCCCGTGTCTCTCCTTCTGTCGTCCACCTTCCTCTCTTTTCTACGCAATGAACTGCCCTGGACAGGCTCTCAACTAAACCCTGACCAAGACCAAGACGGCTGGCAGAATGTTTGGCGGATTGCGCTCTGCCAAAGCTGTGGTCTCCGAGACTCGTTCGCGTCTCGATCCTACGGCCATGGCATACGGCCCTGCGAAGGAGTCTGTCCATAATGGCCTCCAGCCGTTGGGTCGCACAATCACCTCGTTGAAGCGGTGGTCCGTCCTGAACAAAGAGCTACCAGGTTGGTATATTGAACGGGCTTGATACGGACTTGTTTAACTAACCGATTTCTCGCTTCTGCAACAGCTGTCTCTGATATTCGTGCCATCCACGTTTATGATTTCGACAACACCTGTGAGGATCTTCGGATCGCATAACCCTCAATGTTGAACACTAACATTGGGACGTTGATAGTGTTCTTGAGTCCTCTTCCGAACCCACAATTATGGAGTGGTCAAACCATCGGCTTCCTTCAAACACAGGAGTGCTTCGTGAATGGCGGATGGTGGCATGACCCGAACATCCTCTTAGCTACAGGCAAGGGAAAGGATGTCGAGGAAGCGCGCGGCTGGAATGGGTGGTGGAACGAACAAATTGTGGGACTGCTGAGCTCTCCGCTCAAAGATTGAAGGCTGACTCGTTCAAAGTATCACCTGGTGACACTCAGCATGCAGCAAAAGGATGCGCTCACCGTGCTCCTGACCGGCCGGAGTGAGTTCGGTTTTGCAGACATCATCAAGCGAATGGTGGCTAGTCGGAACCTCGAGTTTGACCTGATCGGCCTGAAGCCTGAAGTTGGTCCCAATAGCGAACGATTTTCGTCGACCATGAATTTCAAACAGACTTTCCTCGAGGACATCATTCTCACCTATAGCCAGGCTGAAGAGATTCGTATCTACGAGGATCGTGTGAAACAGTAAGTTCCTTATTGCGTGCAAGATGCTTCCACCCTGACCATTTATTAATGCCATATCAGTGTGAAAGGATTCAGGGATTTCTTCGAGAATCTCAACAGGGACTTCCAATCCGGGCAGGGTCCTGTACTGCGTAGGCCCATCAATGCTGAAGTCATCCAGGTGTCCGAGGGATGCACATTTCTTGACCCCGTAACTGAAACCGCCGAAGTGCAGCGCATGATCAATGCCCACAATGGTATCTTGCACCACCCCCCAATGGGAAAGGGCAAGACTCCGTACAGCCGGCTGCGGATCAAGCGCACTGTCTTCTACACCGCATATTTGATATCCCAGGAAGATTCCAACCGCATGACACAGGACCTGCTGGTCCCGATCCTACCACCAGGCCTGGCTGAATCAAATGACCTGAAATACTTGGCTAACAGCATTATGATCACTCCTCGCCCGGCCTCCAAATCCATCCGGAACAAGGCTGGGGGCATGGGAAACAAGCTAAAGTGGCAGATTACTGGAACGGGTGTCTTTGAGAATCGTGTGTGGGCAGCTCGAGTCTCGCCTGTTCCTCCAACTGCGAAATACTTCACGGAGAGCCCTGCGCCTCTGATCGTCCTGGCTGTCCGCAAAGGCGTCCGCCCAGCTGAGGCAGGGAAAATTCAAAACTGGCACCCCGTTCCAGCCGACAAAGCACTGAACTTTGAAACTGTCGTTGGAGAGAAGGCTGTACTGCGGATTGAAGAAGACAGCGAATGGGAGAGCCAGCCGGCGAGAAAGAGCACTAAGCGCCACTTGCAGCAGGAGGGAGACGATGAGATTTTATATCCACAGAGTGGCGATTATGACAGTCGCTCCAACAACCATAACCCTTACCAGCGTCTTGCGGGTGAGAACCGCTCTCACTATGACGATGGTCCTCGTCGAGGCTCTCATCGCAGCCGAGGCCGGGGCACTGGCCGCGGACGCGGATCTGCTCGCGGCGCTCGTGGCCGCGGTCGTGGTCGTGATGGCGGGGGCCACCCGGGGTATCGGTCTCTTGATGACTATGCCAGTGGATATGATGGATCACACGACGAACAAGGCGGTGGCTTTATGAATTACTGAGTCTCTTTACTTCTTTTTCTATCATGGCGTCGGGACATTGTTAACATGAGCTTCTACTGGGGTGCGGTTTGCTAAAGTCTATACTTTGCAGGCATGGTTGTTTTCTGGCGTGCATCAGAAAAGGATTAGGCGCAGGTGGTATCCATAGCCTTCGGCGTGGAGAATTCTTAGATCATTCTCAAACGCGATATGATTTGTTTTTAGGCGGTTTAGTGTCGCCGTGTATGACTGATGTCGCACAATGAGGTCCTATGTTCTTCCATCACAAATGAAGTAAGATGAGTTATCCTTATATCGAAGCAGTGTTGAGTATCTATCCATGAAGCATAAAAAGCCCTGCTTGAGCTGGTCGACATATGGAAGTGGTATACTTAAATTGCTATCAAGTTAAACCCATAATAACAAGAGTGAGTGTTCGGGAGTACGCACAGGACGACTTATTACTATTACAGTCAAAAAGTCCGACTAGTCAGAACCAATTGGGACCTTAAAAAGCTGAACGAGATTCGAAAACACCTTTCTTTCTTCGGAGAAAATACAATGTTTTGAGTCATGACGTCAATCGGTCGAGCCTATATCCGTCGGGAACTCCCAGGTTTAATTGCCACGGCCTTGATCCCATTAATAAGACAAATTGGCTTGGCCTGATACTACTGAAATTCGTTATTGCCACATCCATGCTACCGGATGTACGGAAGTACGGAAGAAATCACTAAACCCTGCAATTGAAATTCCAGGCATGATATAATGTAGTATATAGATGATAATTTCTCCCATTTGAATGCTATGTATCACCTCGGGCCTCAGATGAGGACAGACTATTCCCTTTATGGAGACCCTGCGAGACACTGCGTTTGGGAAGCTAGTCCGTCTCGCCACTCACTATCGATGGATGCAATATCCGGAAGAGAAAGATCTGTCTGTCTGGCCAGAGTATTTAAAGACTGAAATCAAGGACAGAGAAGGCAGTTCTGCCGCACCAGCGGTTGAGAATGAGAACCCGGAGGACCTGGAGGCGTTCGGCCTCTACACGGTGATATCGCAGGCGTCTCGCCGCTTCTCGGCGGTGTCAACGATTCGGGATGGAAGCGCGGATCCATCGCGAGGTAACCAGACTATGGTAATTAGCTGGCGGGGACCAGATGACTCTGAGGTAATTGATAATTGTTCATGCGAAGGTTGAAGACGAACAACAGCTGATGGAGATATATATCAGAACCCCCAGAACTGGAGCACGAAAAAGAAGTTTTTCGTCAGCACATTAATTTGGCTGCTCACCTTCGCCATCTATGTTGGCTCCGCAATTTATACGCCTGGTATTCCAGGCGTTTCTGAACAGTTCGGGGTAAGCAGCGTGGCGAGTACCTTGGGCCTGACACTGTTTGTGCTCGGCTACGGACTTGGTTTGTGTTTCTGTTTCTCTCATACCATAATATACCAACTAACAACCTACCCCAGGACCAATGGTCTGGTCTCCTCTCTCCGAAATCCCCATGATCGGCAGAAGCCCAACCTACGTTCTAACTCTATTCGTCTTCGTTTTGTTCCAATTCCCCGTGATCTACGCCAAAAACTTCGGCATGCTGCTAGCCTTCCGGTTCCTCACGGGGTTCATTGGGTCCCCTGCCCTGGCAACCGGCGCAGCTTCGATGGGTGATATCTGGAGCCCCAAGATCCGCGACTACATGATTGCCGTTTGGGGCATGTTCGCCATCTCCGCGCCTGTTCTCGGCCCTATGCTTGGCGGCTTTGCCTTTTCCGCCAAGGGATGGAAGTGGACGATTTGGCAATTGATGTGGGTATCTGCCTTCAGTTTTGTCTTGCTCTTCTTTTTTCTTCCGGAAACATTTGCTCCCAATATCCTTGCTCGGCGAGCCCGTCGCGTGCGCCGAATCACGGGCAATTCGCAGTATATGTCCGAGTCCGAGATGGAAATCAAGGATGTCAAGCCAAGAGTGAGTCACTTCGATGTTTCTTTCTTTGCTTCACCCCAGACATCATAATGCTGACACACTCCCAGGACGTCCTCTTCGAAGCTCTAGTCCGACCATTCGAGCTATGCTTCCTTGAACCCATCGTCCTCCTCCTAAACCTATACATCGCCCTAATCTACGGCATCCTATACATATTTTTCGAAGCATTCCCCATCGTCTTCGAAGAAATCCACGGCTTCAATCCTGGCGAAAGCGGACTTTCGTTCATGGGCATTCTCGTCTCAACCTGCTGTATCACCATCCCAGCCTACTTCTACTGGAAATACCGCTGGCAGGCACGCCACTTCGACAGCGAGGGCAACATCGCCCCGGAGCAGCAGATGCCACCCGCGTGCGTGGGGTGTTTCGCGCTCCCGATCTCGCTGTTCTGGTTCGGCTGGACGGGCAACTTTGTCACCGTGCACTGGATCGTACCCATTATTGGATCGATGTTCTTTGCTGTCGGTGGTTGTCTCATCTTCAACTGTATCTTCTGTTACCAGGCCCATGCCTACCCGCGCTATGCGGCCTCGGTGCTCGCGGGTAATGATTTCCTGCGCTCTTCATTTGGTGCTGGGTTCCCGCTTTTTGCTTCTGCTATGTTCCATAATCTCGGCGTTGGGTGGGCGTGTACTTTGCTTGGATGTCTGACAATCTTGTTCGTGCCTTTTCCGTTTATTCTCCTCCGTTATGGGAAGAGGCTTCGCTTGGCGAGTAAATATGCCAGACACGATATCTAATCTGCATTGGAGAGCGTCTTGAATGATTGTTTACTTGATATAAAAGTTTAATCTCATTGGCATGACTTGCCAACTGAGCATACTTGGATGGAGATATTTCAATTCAATATCATTCTCTTCGTATTTTTTTGATGGCATTTGACTAGCATCTGCTGAGCTCATATTCAGGGCTCTCTCGCTCCAAACTATCCAAATCAAACAAGTGGGTACAACATGACAAGAAGTGCTGGTTTTATACATTGAAAGAAAAACGCCCAGAGCCAAGAAAAGGCAAAAAAAAAGAGTTGAAATCCCAGCCCACGGAAAATGACATTCGTTCTATGCCCTTTCGGCATATCTCCTTTGAGATAGCCCAATCAAAGCCCATCTCATAGTACTGGATATGTCGAGTCCAGTCCACGAAGGTAGGTAGTTGGAGATCTTAATCTCCTGCTATGTTCGTAAAAATCCCAAACTGTGCAAATCCAAATTTCCGAGGGGCAACCATGTGTCCCATAACTATTCCATTCCGTCCATTCTGCTGTGTTCGAGCCATATGCTCATTCACTCGTCGATATTATTCATTTCCGTTCGTGTCGTTCGCAATATGGAGGTAAAGGTGAAGGTGTGTATCGCAAAGGTGGGGTGAGGTAAATGCAATCTTTGAAAAGAAAAACCAAACAGAAAGAAACAATCAAGCCCATCACTCATCGTCGGTCAGTTTCCGGATCAAGCTGATGCTGAGAATCATCACCAAAAGACCGATCGTGACAACGACCATGAGCACGAATCCGAACCAACCCAGTACCATGGCGGAGGTACCGACACCGCTCTTGATGCTGCCATTGCCCATATCTTGGGCTATTGTGCTTGCAGCGACGGAAGCCGTATGTTGCCATAATACGGAGACGAGAACAAACACGGAGGCGACAAAGATCAGGGCGAGGGCGGCCTGGGAGACCGGTCGAGAGGGGAAGGGTTTGACTTCGCGCTCAGAGCCGGACTCGTCGACCTCCTCGTGCCAGCCGGGGAAGGTCGCCAGAAGGATGAAGCAGAAAAACGCGAGAACGATGGCAACGATTCTATGACCAGGTTAGCATGGTCACAGAGTAAAAATTGGTCGGGAGATCACTCACAGGAGATATGGGAACACTACCGCATCCTTGAACGTTGAAGCGACCCAAATCAAGTTCATGGGATCTTGCTCCGTGGTCACGATCTCTGCCAAGGCAGTGGCGTTGGCATTACAGATAAATGCTCCCCCATCTGGCGAGACACAGATACCAAAGTATCCCACGCGGACCTCAAGTTCGGCTGTACCAACGATGTGGGAGATGGCCGTGATCTCGTCGGGGAAGACCTGGGCGAGGTTGAACGTTGGCTTGTACTTCTCATAGTACATGGAGATCAGGAAGATGCTAGGGATTTGCGGGGATGATGAAGAACATCCGGCCAACAGGAGTGCTGCAGAGGATCGTTAGTCACATTCTTCATATGGCCGATGTATCCAGATCCTCGAGGATGCACTTACATAGTAAGATAATCGCCACAGCAATCACAATCATCAACACATGATGGTATCCGATCATCGGCACGAATCCTGAAACCAAAGTTAGCCATGTTGTAGCTGATTTTTCTGGAGAGTGTTCACGTACGGCCCCATCCTTCAAAAAATCGAATCGCCATTGCTGCCAACAGCCAGCTCGCGGCCCTTCTTCTCTGTCAAGTCGTAACAACTCACTCCTCGGATCTCCGAGAAGGAGCGCGGATGAACAAGAGTAGACCCAACGCCTGTCAGATGGCCAACGGCGTTCCTTTGCTTTGGTCTTGCGGGCGCTGCAGCTGTCAAGTTCGCTAGAATGGAAGGCGGAGGAAGAAGAATGCGGAGATAGGAACGGAACGGATTGTTCTTGACGTTTTGAGGAAGAAGAAAATCTCCGTGGAATCCGGATCGCACCTATACTGGATTCTTGAGAATGGTCAGAGACGAGGATTGACGGTTGTCCCAGTGGAATGGGGGTGAGCGGGAAGGAGAGGAATGAGAGAAAAGGAGGGAGAGAGAGAAAGAGAAAGGGATTCGTAGCTGGAAGCGAAAGACACCAAGCACCACGTCACGCTATCTTGTCCACCACTGATTGCATGAAGCTTTGGAGGCTGGGGATGGAGTCGGGTCGTTGGGCAATAGAGGAGGCTGGGCCAACGACCTTTGTTTACGCGGTGGGTTCCCGGGCAACGGGGACTGCCACGCTAACGCCATTCGGGGATAGTGTCGATCAGGCCAAGCTTTGGGTCCCGCTGTGGACCATGGCTCCAGCCTCGTCCTATTGCTAATATTCTCTACAGTAATCGTGATGTTCCAAATGTTGCCCGACGAGCCCAAACACCCGCCGTGTCTCATGTTTCCAACGCCACACCATAATAAAACAAAATTCGCAAAAAATAGTAGCCGCCAAGGCCGAGCGGCTCGCCAACAATGATCCCATAATCTCGAATCCAATGATACTTACTCCCTGCACCAAGACCAAAACTAAATGCATATGCTTACTGCGCCACAAATGAGAACCGTTGGAGATCCAAAGGAGCCGGGGTTCGTGTTGCTTCCTCCGTTTCGTCGTCCTCACTGTCCGGGACAATGAGGTCTTCACTGCCTTGAGTACCATAGCCAGCAGTGAAAGAGGATGTTTTGGGAGGCTCTGCGGAACCAACGTCACGGAGCTTGGTAGGTAGATTGATGGTGTTCGACCGAGTCAATGCCGCCTGTCCCATCCGTTGCAAGGGCGTCAGCCGTTGCCGCTGAGTCGTTGGGCGGCGCGTGACCGGGACAGGTCCCCTGCGAGACGACTGTGGCACAGGGATCTTGGTTGGAGCGGGTCGAGAAACAGGTAAGGATGGCTGTGGCTCCGACTGGAAGGTGTACTTGGACAGGATGGTCGCATTTTGTCGCGCCACATGGTGCGTGAGAGCGCGGTTGAAGTTGGAATTCGGGTCCACGTCACTCGACACCGTCTCCGCATCCTTCGCCTGATCGGCCACTGGTGCATCCCCATCGACGGGCTCAGTCGCAGGAGGTTCTGCTGTTTGATCGTTCGTCTCAGAGACCTCGAACTTGTTCCCATCTCGAGCATCCACGGGCTCGTTTTCTTCAGTAGGGTCGGGAATGCCAGCAAAGATGTCCTCAGCCACCTCATCAGAAAAGACATCCATCGTCGACTGGCGCTGTTTCTTGGTTCGTGACACTTTTTGTCCGCTGGGACTGGATTGGCCCGGGCTCTGTTCGAAGAAACGACTGCGTAAATTGGGACGCGCAGGTAGCGAATCGTCATCGGCATCAGAACAGAGTCGCTGCCGCTTAGTCGATTGTAGGGTAGAAGCTCGTGCGGCCTGGGCCAGAAACGAAGGTCTCTCAGCGCTCCGCACCATGGGGCTGAGACCTTGGTTGTTTGAGAACGCCCGAAGCGGACCAGACCGACTCACGCTACTGGAGCGTAAGGGCGCTGAGTTGGCCTGCCAGGAGCTGTTCGCATTGCGCTCCAGGAGTCGCTGCTGGCTCGGCGACGGAGTCAAGCTGTTCGGATCCAGCTCGGCTAGAGGCGTTCGCTTCGGGGTGAAGAAGGAATTGATCGGCTTGTTTGGCTTCAGCTCCGACCCCAAGGTCTGGCGGCGTTGAACGCCCAAGGGCAATTTACCTGCAACTACCGGCTTCACGTCAATCAACCACTTGGTGGTCGGGTCCAGGTCACCACAAGCGACCCCGGCGGCGATCTCTGGAGCCACATCGCCTCCAATGAATGGGAGCTCGTCCAAATTGACATCATCATCTGGAGGAGACAAAGTCACCAGTTTTCTCGCTTTGGGGCAGAAGACTCGTTGGTAGAGGAAGGTCAATTCCGCCTGCTTGAAGTTGGCGAGATAGTCGCGAGGAACTTGATAATTGCCCTCGAACTGAAGCATGCGGAGCGCTCGCTCAACAGTCTTATGTTTGCGAATGATGCGGTAGGCGGTCTTCAGTCCCATCTTGGGAATATTCGCCAAATAGTCACACCCGCTGAGGATGCACATATGACGGAAATTGGCATCGGTCCATCCAACCAAGCTGACCTCCCGGCACGCAGTGAATTCGGCTCGGTTGATCTCAATACAGTCACCATGCTGGTCCAGTTTAGACAGCAGTCTCTTCGCCCCAAACACGAGCAAGTCCGAATCCTCGGAAATGATTCCATGGATGGTCCCCTGCTGTTCAAGATATACCAGCTGGGCATCTGCCTCGTACGGCGCAACCACGTACTGGACGTCCATCTTCTTCAGCTCTTCGATCAATTGACGGGCCATGTACGGCGTCACATCGACGGCCTTTTGGAATTCTTGGTAGGCTTCCGGCATCCTGCCCTTGCGCTGCAGCTCGAGGCCCAGAGCCTTGCTCTCTTGCCGCCGCCGATGACGATCTTCTTCAGTGCCCGATTTGCTGGGCAGGTTGTCTCCATCGAACACAAGATATGGCGTAACTCCGAAGTAGAGAAGCATGCGGACGCGATTGAGCACGAAGTCAATATGTCTGTCATAGAGTTAGCGTCTAAGGTCAACTAAGACAACTCCGAACATCGTACTTCCTCGTTGGTCTGTCCAAGACCAGGTCCACGGCACACGCGACGGTTCCACGATGTAGCCATCCATATGCATCGACCCCAAGGGTCTGGCCACTGAACTTCTTTAGATGGCATGGTCTTTGAATGGATTTCAGAAGACCGTGAAGTCCTTATTATTCAGCGTTAGTAGTCCATTGTCCTCCCCGGAACACAGGGGTCAGCATACCTTTGATACCCATGGCGGGCACCGGTCGAGGCACAGGTGGGGAACCTCTTGTTTACTCGACAAACGATAACATGCGAACGGGGGGAGGGTGGGGGGAAACACGGCCGGTGGTAATAGAGAACACAAGAAGACGCAAAACAGAGAAAAGCTACCAAGTAAATACCTCCATGGCCCAGCGTCACTGGAATGTTTGTTTCATGGTCCTCGACGCGCCAGACGCGATGGAACGATGGGCGGTGACTGCCTGCCACTGACCGCCCATTTCTGCAGGCGTAACCGAAAAAAATGTCCAAGCCGCACCCTGGACAGTCTGCATTCCAAATCCCCACCCTCACCATGGCTAAAACATTGCAGAAAGTGCACAAGAAGATCTCCAAGAAGAGGGGTAAAGTCGACTCGCTGAATGAAAACAGTCGCGATGCTCAACGACTAAGACGGGCGGGTGCTCGAGACGATCGACTGTCCCGCCACGCCAAAACCACCCTCAAGGGCAGACAGCCGTACAGTGAGAGCCATCGGGCACACATTCCAACGAATATGTACTAATTTTTGCCTAGTGGAGAGGATCGGACACCTTTACGATGCGGTGCAAGATACAGAAAAGCCGCTCTCAGACCAAGAAATGGCTGAATTGATAGTCCAGTATGTCTAGCCGCCATTACACTCCGGCAAGTTTTGTCTAACAAAAGAAATGGCAGATACATCAACCGGGATGCCGACGAGATCGAGCAACTCCAACAAGAACGGCGCAAAGGGCGGCCGCCCAGCAAGCGGGAGGAGACGCTCAAGCTGCGGACGGATACGGAGGAAGGGGAATTCCGGACCGGGTTCTGGATGCCAGACCTGGGCAACGGAGATGTGCTCGCAGCCCTTAAATCATGGAATGGAGACTGGTCCGGTTTGAGCACGCTGAAGTTTGTTCGATTTACGAAAGACGGAGGAAAACAGACGTCAAGCTTTCCTCCCAAGGGCATGTCATGATTCATCTGTTGTGGACAGCAAGGCGCATGGTGCATTGAAGTCATTGTCGACTATTCTAATCCATATTCACTGCTATGAAAGCATATATCGTATTACCCTGTAGCTGCTGTGTATAGTTTCTGTTTGGGTGGTCATGTGACATCATTCAGTGTCAAGACTCTTTTCTGCTGCTGTCGAGACTCCTTCCGTCACTCTCTCAACCCCGAACTTTCCTATCCATCAACGCTTCACAATGTTGTCTCTCCGCACCATCTCGCGTTCTGTTCCACGCACCTTGTCGCGCTCGCTCGGCCTATCGCGCGCGGCTCTCCGCCCAGTGTCCGTCCTCCCTAAACCCACCCTGTACCAGCCATCGAAGGCGATCAAGCCTGCCTATGCTGCTTTCTCCACCTCTGCAATTGCCAGACAATCTCCTGCTGAGGGTAAGTGAAGTAACGACGTGTTGCGAATGTTATTGGCGGCTACAGAACTTTTTCTTCAAGTTACTGGGCCGGATTGAATTTCTAGCAGCTATAGAAAAAAACTCCTCAAAAACATACTGATGCCTGGGATCTGTCATAGGGGATGCCGAGCTTATCGCCAAGCTTGATAACGAATTGACGCACGAGAACGAGTCTGGTCTGGAGGACCTGCAGGATCAGGCGCAGAATGTCGATTATGTTCTGCAGACTGGAAACTGGACGGTCAAGGATGTTGCCGGAGAGCAGGAGGTGGCCCTCTCTAAGTCTTTCGGCAACGAGAAGTATGCTTCCCCTGATTCCAGTTGAACCGGTCAATGGATGCTAATGCACTGCTATTGTTAGGATTCGTGTCACCTTCACCGTCGCCGATATCCAGAACCTGAGCGAGCAGGAGGACTTCGATGACACCGGCCTGGGCGATGAGATGGATTTCCAGGGCCACCAGGCCGCCAACCAGCGCGGAGGCCAGAGCCCCGTTGCCCAGCACCCCGAGGACAGCGTCTCGCCGGCTGACCGCGAGTGGGCTGACCTGGCAGAGCCCGGCTTCCCTGCCCGCGTGAACGTCTCCGTCGAGAAGCCCAACGGTGGTTCTCTGTTGATCCAGACCCTGGTCCAGGATGGTGTCTTCCAGATCGAAGAGGTCTCTTACTTCCAGAACGCCGATCTCGCCAACGCCCAGACCGCGGAGAAGGACTGGGCCCGCCAGAGCCTGTACGCCGGCCCTCCTTTCGAGAACCTCGATGAGGCCCTGCAGGCCAACTTTGAGCGCTTCCTGGAAGAGCGCGGTATCAATGCTGAGTTGGCCAACATGATTCCCGACTACATCACCGTCAAGGAGCAAAAGGAGTACATGCGGTGGTTGGAGAGTATGTATTCCTGGAATGTTCGATTGAAGTGAAGCAGTTGCTAACATGGCCCTACTTTCTAGATGTTAAGAACTTCCTTGGTGCGTAAAGCGCTGGGAATGTTTCGGTCCCTCCAACTTCTATAACCTCCCGTCCTATCTTCTTGACTTGAATTTACGGACATGCAGGGATTCTTTATCTTTGCATCTCCAACTTCCCTATCTCTCCCTTCCAGTGAGGTGGTCTGCCACAGCGCTGTCAACTCGCGCGACCTCACATGTACCAATATTCTTCTTCCAAATAATTGAAAATCACGGTGGAATCATGCTACATCTCGCTATAAAATTTGTAGTTTTGAAAGATATAGTGTGCCATGCCATTTAATGTTTATAAACAGCCCAGAAACATTCCGTCGAGTAAGACCCTAAACAACTCCTTGAATGCGCCCGATCAACAACAGTTCGAGATGAACGAAATAATCATGAGGTCATGATTCTTGATAATAGCTCGATTCAAACTCCAGATCAGAATTCCATCGGATCCGGTTTGATTTGTGGACCTGCCTCATCACGCTCCCGTTTCCCAGCCCGCTCTTCCTTGAGCAAGTTGGCAATAAACGAACGGAAATAGTCAATGTAGGGCTTCAGACTCGTCTTCTCATAGTCCTGCACCTTGCGCCCGCCCTTGGTATCCGAGCCGTTCACCGTGCTACCCTCCACATCAACGATATCGGCCTCTACGACACTAGCCGGATTTTGCGCATCGTATGTATCAATCTCTGCCAGGAGCTCCATCACCGTAGGAACGGAGAGAGGATCGAATTCTTCGGCCTTGCGAGGATCGATGGGAACACAAATACGACCAGTGCCGGGGTGAATCACAAAGGGGCTTTTGAGCAAGTGAATCATCTTCTTGCTGACTTCGGCATCGAGGCGCGGGTATGTGTATTCGAGGACGATGTCCTGCTTGGCGTCTCGGAGGGTTTTTGGATCCAGTGTGCTGCTCTTTCCGGTTTTGGCCAGAGCGTCAATATCCGCCCATTTGCTGGTGCTGGGACGGTCAGGAGAGGACTCCCACTTCCTGCGCAGCGAATCGTTCAGCGTCTTATCCGGAAGCAATGCCAGCAGGCGTTCTGCCTGCTCCTCGCTGAGAAAGCTGTCCTGGTCCCTCAATGTGGTCTGGGCAAAGTTATTTTTGAGAAGGTCGAGGCTGCGCAGAATGTGCGGGTGTAGTGGTCGTTTGACGTTCACGCGCTTGCCGCTTGATGATCCTCCCCGCACGATTTCAAGGTAGCCAGCGATGGCTCTTCGTCGCTCATCTGACAGGTTGCGAGCACGCGGGTCACAGACCCAGGCGTGAGCACCACGTCGACCCGAGTAGACCCAGAGAATATGCTCGAAGCCAAAGTCGTCGCGCAGAGCGCCGTCGATCACCTTGATTGACATGGTTACGAACGCCCAGCATTTCGCACAGATATTGGCTTTCGAGCAGCAGGACCGGATATCATCGTAATCCGTCAAATCGATATCGAATACCAGCTCTTTGGAGACTGGCTTCATTTGACCGCCTCGAAGTGTTTTGCGATCTCGCGGGTTGGTGCTGTAGACAGGTCCGATCTCAAATCGGGAGGGGTTCATCTTGAGGATATCCTTACGAAACCTGTGTATGAGGCTGTCAGCTCGCGATTTCCCAGGGAGTTTGGCGCGGATATTTCTCACAGGTCGGCGGTGGGGTACGATTGGTATCGAAGATAGGCATCATTCTGCAGCGTGAGGGCGAATTCACGATTCCCAAAGTCTCGAGTGGGTACAATGCCGTGGTTCAGCCACTGGAAGAGGTATCGAAATGGGAACAATCGCTGATAAAAGGCAAGCATGATATCGGTGTCGACAGCGGACGGCGCGGGGGCAGGGGCCCTGGACAAAGTGGCAGGTCAGTGGACGAGTTGCTGCACATATTGGCTATCCTGTTGCTCACTCCTCCGATGGTGGCGACTCCATCTTTGTATCTGGTGCACTAGACGCTGGGAACTCCTCGTCCTCGTCGTCATCGTTGAACATGTCCTCTAGTTTGACACCAGTGTCAATCTCGGTCGCAGCAGGAGCATCTGGCATGACCTCATCATCCTGACCAGGCGGCGATACAGAGTGAGGCATGGTGGGCGCGCAAACAGTATACGAAGGAGTTGTGTTGATCGATCAGGGCATCATCTCGGCCAGTCGCGTGAATGGACAAATCGACGCGCCGCGGTCGCGTTTACCCTAATCACGTGATATGCTATCTCCGAAAACGGCATTAATAAATGGCCTGACTGTGGCCTGACAAGTTAACTTCTTGCAGGTATGAAAAAACGGGACATCTTGCTCCCTGACTCTCCCTGCCGCTTGCGGAAATGGTTGTCTGATGTTCCTGCCTCGCACTCCCCTGGGGCCTTGGATGACAACACGACTTCCCACTTGCTGTGCTAGTGGCTGGTCCTAAGGTGCCCCCGTCAGTGACGGGGCAGTTCCAGCACTGTGCTTCTAAGATTGGATCAAGTTTTCCGGATTCATCGTGTCTTGAGCCCTGTTCCTCTTTTGTCCGTGGGGGATGGGTCACTCTCAGCGCAAATGGATAATATCGTCGTCATTGACTGCAATTGGTGATTTGCTGGCCAACTCGCTGCTACTACAGTGTGTGATGGTCGTACCTCTAGCCAAATTGGGAGCCACCTGTCCAATATCGTACAATGGCCGATCCGGGTGGGAGTTGGCGTGGTGTTCACATTCTTCGGTTGTTACCCGCCAATGGGAGCACTAAGTGCGCAGGGCCATGCTGTCTCCCACATTCCAGGAATCAGGGGATCCCTCCGATTAGCGCCCTCAATTTTGGGATGTCTTGACACTATTTGCGCAGGAGAGTTGCACTCTCGTCTTGTGGCTTGGTGCCGGCAGCATTTCTACGACTCAAATGGGAATCTGGTCTTGGGCACACACTAGTGCCCTGTGAGACCATCGACAAAGGTCCTGAAAATGACTGCATCCGGCCGGACCCTGCCAGTGTGGGCAAGCTGACACCGTGGCTCGTGTTCCCATTCGAGCTAATATCTTCGCCACCCTTGGAGTTTACTGGATCCTGACTCGAAGAGGTTTTAACGAAATCAAAAGCAGAGTGGCCATTTTTGGCACTGCATGATCTCCAATCAGGCCAATTCCCCCACCAGCTCCAGCATCGAAAGGCCCAAGCTCCTATCCCAGGTCTTTCCGCATTGGGTTGATCTGTGGAGCTTGGGTGGGCTGCTGAACTGCTGAATGTCACGTTTGCATCCTGGTACGCCATACCCAAGTATCATTGCGCAGAGATTTCACTCAGTTACCCTCCATCGGTGCCTCCACCATCCACGGTTCAGCCCTCGCAGTTCCTGCTTTCAGCCGTAGATGGAGCTTTGTGGGACAGGTCTGCCCATTGCTGTTCGAGACGGCCCAATGAGCTGATCTCCCCATTCAGGTATCATTCGACACGACTGTGTCAACCAATCCGTCATTGACTTTGTCGTCAGTGACCTCTTGGGATGATGGAACACTGTCCCCGGACGAGCATATAAACCGACGTTGCTCGTCCATCAAATCTTCTTTCTTTTTCTTTTCCCCGTTACTCTTCCTCACCTTACACTCGTTTCTACCTTTGCCTTGCTTATTATTCGGATTTTCTTTCCAGTGAAAAGTTATCTCTTCCAAAATGGTCCGCTTCGTTACTCTTCTGGGGCTTGCCGCCCCGGCCTTCGCCGGTGTCATGCAACAGCGTGGTGAGGCTAGCTCTGCTGCCGCCGCCGCTCCTGCTGTGAGCCAGGCGTCTGCTGGTGCTCCTAAGTGGACTATGGGCCCGGATGGACACATGTCTGAGTGCAAGACCCCCACTACCACTCCCACCACGACCACCACCACGCCCAAGTCCACCACCCCGTGCCCCACTACTACCACCAAGCCCTCGACTACCCCAAGCACTACCCCGTGCCCCACGACTACCCCCAAGGTGACCACGAAGCCTAACAAGACCTCCACCATCATCACTATTGTGACCACCAGCTGCCCTGGTAAGCTCTATACAGCCCAAGCGTGATGAACTTCTTTTATGCTAACGATATTCCAGTTACTTCGTCTACCATCGTCGTGGGTAGCTCGACCACCGTCATTCCGGTTACCCAGACTAGCTCCATCACCCTCCTCAAGACCGTCGTGAACAGCGAGACTCAGGTTGTTAGCTTCCAGAACGCTACTGCGCCCCCTGCTGCTCCTACCGCGGTGCCGCCCACCCCTCAGTCTGCGGTGCCTGCTGCTGCTGCTCCTGCCGCTCAGTCTGCTGCTGCTGCTCAGTCCGCTGCTGCCGCTCCCGCTGCCCAGTCTGCTGCTGCTGCTCAGCCCGCTGCTGCCGCTCCTGCTGCCCAGTCTGCTGCTGCTGCCCAGCCCGCTGCTGCCGCTCCTGCTGAGTCTGCTGCTCCTGCCGCTGCCCAGCCCGCTGCTGCCGCTCCTGCTGAGTCTGCTGCTCCTGCCGCTGCTCAGCCCGCCGCTGCCCAGCCCGCTGCTGCCGCTCCTGCTTCCCCTGCTGAGTCCGCCGCGGCCGAGCAGCCCAGCAGCCCCGCCCAGCCCGCCACCTTCAAGGGTGCCGGTGCCATCGTCGAGCCCGCCATGGGCTTCGTCGCTGTCGTTGCTGGTTTCATGGCTCTCTTGTAAATTCTTTACAGCCAATAGCCAGCCAACAGGCAAAAGCAGTGTTTACCTGGGGTCTCTTTGATTGCCTACCTTCTGTTTCGATCTGATGGTGGATCGAGCGGGAAAGATGTCAAAGAACCACGGGGCGCTTGTACTCTTTGATTATTTTGGTGTTCATGTGTATTTTAGACCTCTGCATGTTGATTCTCTGACCCGCCTGTTTCTGGCCGAATGCAGGTAACAATGTGTTCGGGAGATCGGAGTTGCTTGGTCCCATTTTGGAGGCTTTCCTGTTTGGGTTTCTTTTCACTTGCAAATTATATAATAGGTAATCGTAATAATATGTCAACATTTTGCTTTTCTATTGCATTTAATTTTCCATCGTTCCGCATTATAACTTTTATTGAAAAGTGTATGGAGCGAAAAAAGTGCAACTTGCCTATTTCGACAAAGTTCCCTGGCCTCATCACACTTTTTGTGAGGTACTTTTTCTAATACCAAAAATGTCAAAAATCAAAAGCAGTTTAGTGCTGGACTAGCTTTTATCCATGACATGCTGACGCTTCTCTTTAGTACCCGTGCATGATACGTTCATGTTTTTGTCCTTATCTTTTATCTTAAAGATAAAACTTAGAATGGAGGTTAGGAATAGAGTATCTGTGATAGAAATAGCGTGCTTCACAGAATGAAAATGACTGTAGTAGATAGTCAAGAGCCCACGGTGTTTCTTGGTCTAGCGGAATCGCATTTTTGACGATTTCCGAAATTTTTGGGTTTCTATCGGAGGAAAGAGCACGTCGTGCACAAGCCATCCATGCCGCCCATCGACCGGCCCATACTTATTCCAAAACTCATCCTCCAATTCGGAAACAAGAACATCCAGTCTCGCATCTAGATGTAGAATTCGTCTCGCGAAATCATCCGCCACGGGGACAAATTGCTCCAGAACAGCCTTTTCGTCATCCTTCGTTGGCATTCGGAACCCCACCTGGAGCCCACGAAGTAGTTGATAGAGAGTATTCACACTAGCGATCTCATTCACATAGCACTGAAGGAGCTCAATCACTGTTTCCAGCGAAGCGACTGATAATCCATCGAACAACTTTAAGCTCCCAGGCCCAGCATTGGTCAGGGCTTTGTGCAGAGGCTGGAGAACGCGAAGATCCCCCAGTTTGTATCTGGTATTGCCGTGGTGGTCGTCGAGTTTCTCTTCGGGCTTATTACCAAATGAAGACATTCCTGCGCCGGCGAAGAGCTCTGCTAGACGATTCACATGAGTCGGGCCGTGCCTGTCATGGACTCGGTAGATGCCAAACCAGATCGAGCGATAAAGGGAAAATATCTTGGTCTCCAGCTTTTTTTCCTGTGACATAGTCTCTTCGCAAGCTGTCGGGGACATCGTGAGATCCGCCGACGAACCCACAATATCTCGATGCGGCGTGTTGGGGTCGTCTTTGCGGGAGAAAAAACCACACATTCTCCTGATCTAAATGCGGACAGTGAATAGAAGTGCCGGATTCAAAGTAGAAATAGTAATGGAACAGAAAAGATCTTGTTGATGGTTCCACTTAGGCAGATATAACGGGAATTGAACTGCCGCCTTGACAAGGGGTGATGTTCTTCTGGTCGCTTTCTTTCGCCGAAGAAATGCTAACCCAGGCTGTAAAATTGCTAGTGCATGCCCCTGAAAGTTGAATGCGGTTCACTGTTGTGTGGCCTTCGCTCACGTGAGTGAGGTGGTCTTCGTGGCGTCGGCTGCGCCTCAATGGCTTAAGATCGGGGGAGGCTATACTGCATCAGTTGGCAAATTAGGTCTGCACCGACAGTATAGACCGCCTTGAATAGGCTTCGTGGCCCGTCCAGCGCTTTCGAATAAGGGGAAATTAAGGGGACTTCCTCCATGTTCTTGAAAGCGATCCGCTCCATGGTCGATCCCGTATATTACCCATAATATCATACAGCAAGTACCATGAGCTTGAACCTGAGCTCCATAGAGAACCTCAAAGTCCCTGCTAAAATAGGCTTGGGTAAAAGCTAAAGACCTCTATAAACCCAGGGTAGGCACCATCAATTATTCAATCTCAGAGATCATCGCAGTTTCATCATCTATAGTCTATAAAAGTTTTACTGTACAGTGTCTACTCCTCATTGACCAACACATAGCGGTAGCGCGCGTTGCCTGCCCACATATCCACAACGCCCTTGTTGGCATCCTTCATCGGGATCTCCTCTACCCAGGGCCGGATGCCCGTCTCAGCGACCAGCTGGAACATCTCGCGGATCTCGTCCGGGCTACCAACCAGAGAGCTCTCGACCTTGAGGCGGCGCATCAGGTTGCGCACGGGGGCATACAGAGTGCCGTCCTCCGGCAGACCGACCTGCACCAAGCTACCGTTGGTGCGCAGCAGACCCAGGTAGTCGGTCATGGGCATCTGGTTTGAAGTCAGTTTTGTTTTCTGAACAAAATGGGTGAGTAGAAAGTGTGTGTCTTACCTTGGTAGACGAGACGGTGCAGACGATCAGATCCAACGAGCGCGAGTGTTTGCTCGCCCAGTCCGGCTCATCATCGGTAGCAATGTACAGATCAGCGCCCATCTTCAACGAATCCTCGCGCTTGCTCTCCTTGCGCGAGATAGCAACCACCTTGTCGGCACCCATCGCCTTAGCGAACAGAACACCAAAGTGTCCCAGTCCACCAACACCAATAATGCCCACGCGCTTACCGGGCCCGCAACCATTATGCTTGAGCGGGCTGTAAAGTGTCACACCACCGCACAGCATCGGCGCCGCATCCGCAGAGGAAATCGCGTCCGGGATCTTGATAGCGAAATGCGACGGGACACGGTTGTACAGCGCATACCCACCGTACGACTTGTCGCCGTTGTAATGTGTGCTGTTGTACGTGCCGACGAACTTCTTAGAGCAGTACTGCTCCAGTCCTGAGGCGCACTCTTCGCAGTCGCCTTGGCGGTTGACGCACGAGTCGCTCTGCGCGCCGACGCCGACCCGGTCGCCGATCTTGATATCACCCACTGCCTTCGAGCCGACGCGCACTACTGTGCCGACGATTTCGTGGCCGACGCAGCAGGGGTACAGGGTGGGTCTCTGGGAATAGGGTTAGTCTGGTAATGATCATGTTGGACATAAATAGAGACTGACCCAGCCGCTGCGGAGGGTGTGCAGGTCCGAGCCACAGATACCGCAGTGTGAGACCTTGATATCAATATCGGTTTCTGTCCGGATGGGTCAGTTACTGAACACCAAAAAACATTCCAAACAAAGAACAAAACGAAGAACTCACCCTCCCACTCTTTGGGCTGGAACTCCTGCCAGACCATGTTGCCGTCGGCGGAACTGGGATCAAGACCCATCCATCCCTCGAACTTGTAGTTTGTCTCCGCCATGGTGAATGTGTGTACTGAGTAGAGATATTCCACCGTCTTCAATTTTCAATCCCCCGTAGGTGCCGGCGCCATTATATATCACCCAGGGTCCCACACCAGCCGCCCTGGCGTAGAAAACTCTTGAAGAATTGGTAAGCGGATCCATTCGGCACAAAGCTTCTCGGAGATTCGGTCAAGTCTTTGCTGGGTCGCAGTGGGGCCGGCGCCGGGTTCCTTGTCAGTTTTCGGGTTCGACGTCTGGGATTTCCGGTTGTCGGTGTTCAGCGTGTGACGTAGCTGCAGGTACATACTGTGGCTGATCGTTCTAGAAGGCCGCTAGAACAACTAAGTCCAACGTAAAAACCACAACTATAGTCGATCGATATTCGCGTAGCTAAAAAATGTACATGCAACCCTTTTGGAGGTCCGATCGCAAGATGCAGCAGGAATTAAGCAGAAAGACGCAAAAACAAAAAAAGAAACCATTCTATCTCGTTCTGTTCAGGGCCTCTCTCCCGCACCTGCGAAAACACCGGGATATATGTTAACACACCCACCACCCCCACCATCGGCAGCAACAAATCTCAAAACTAGAAGAGCCCCAGGATGTCCTCGTTCGACTTCTTGGGTGGGTTATTGCTCTGCTGAGGAGCTCCATTTCCCGACATGTTGAGGTCGGCAAACCCGTTCAAGAGATCATTGCCATTGCCACCATTGACGCCGCTAGAGGAGGGCTGGGCGGCTCCGGAGTCTCCGAAAACGCCCAGCAGGTCGTCCAAGTTGTTGCTTGCTTGCGGTGGAGGGCTTCCGACTGCAGGGGACTGCACCCGCACAGGTGTGCCGGCGAGACCTTCTAGACCAGACATGCCGCTTGTGGGTTCTTTCTGCGCGGATGCAGGGGCACCGCCGTCGAAATCGATGTCCAGCAGATTCTCGATATTGCTTTGCGTCTGCGCAGGGGCCGCAGTGCCACTGACGGCGGCGGCGGCTGCGGCCGCAGCCAATGGATTCTCGCGCGCGTTCTGGATTTGTTCCCTAAAAGAAGAAAATGTTAGCAAAACCTTGGTCTAATATAAAAGAAAAATGAGACATACTCAATGGCTGCCCGCTGGACAGCATCAGCTCCGAACCGGCCTTGACCGACAAATTGCTCTGGAGGCTTGTGGTATACGGAGGAGAGGGTGGAGAGTTCGGTGAGAAGTTGGTCCAGAAGCGCCGGCGGGAGTGAGTTGATAGTAGTGAGGATAGGAGGCTTGTCTGAGAGCACAATGTTCCTGGTGGCATTCGAGTCGCTCGTGTTGGAGAGCAGGCGCCAGTAGATATACGCCCGGTCCCGAACATCGGGGTTGTCGTTCTCCGCGGTGGCCGCCTGAAGAACCCGTTGAACCAGGCCCTGGGCTTTCTCAGGCCGCTTGAGGAATAGTTTGACCACGGCAGTAAGAATCTGCAACTGGGTCTGAGAGAACTCCTCGTTGAAGCCGTCCACGAACCCGCCCAAGATATCACCCGCGTTACTGATCTTCTCGGCATACTCACCAACGATCCAAATAAGTGCAGCTCTGGCGTTTGGCTCATCCAACTCATCGATGCACTTGCACAATGTGGGAATGATGCCCTCATAGCCAGGGTACTTCCGGAAAATGTCTTTGATGACAACGATGGCTTCCTGGACAACGTAGTTCACCTTGGTGTTGATCAGATCCAACAGTGTGTTGACGCACTTCTCGCTGGCACTTTCAATTTTGATAGCGACTTGACCAATGGCTTTGACGGCACGCCGCACAAAGTCCATATCAACCTCGAGGGCATACTCCTTCAATTCCGCCAGCAGCTGATCCACGTTGCGGTCGTTTGCTATCCGCACCATGATCTCAAGTTTCTGGAACTTGACATACGGCGGGTCGTTGTACTTGCAGAAGAAGACGCGGAGTTCCTTGTTGAGGATGTCCGGCTGCTTTTGCAGCAGTAGATCGATGTTTCTCAAAGCCACATATTGCACTTCAGGTGCGGAGGATACCAGAGTCACTGCCACTTGTCAGTAGATAATCATCGCAGTCTTTTCAGGAGACCTACCCAACGGCGGGGCCATCTTCTTGAAGTAGTTCTGGTTTAGCTCCGGGCTGATATTCTTCATGTGCAAAAACACCGTTTTGACGGCTGCAAGAACCACGCTCGAGTTGACATGCTGAAACTGAGGCGCAACGCGCTCGCAGATGTGCTCTGACTCCTTAACGTCGCCCGTCCGGTACTCCGCCAAGGTCGACAGGATCGTGACCCGTCCCCACTCCGTGCATTCATTCAACGCCATGAGCATCTTCCGTAATGTATTGGATGTCACCTGCAGGGCTTGCGTCTCGGGGGCTGTGTGAAAAATCTCTGATAATGCGGTCACCGAGTTGGCCACAACCATCGGATTCGGGTCACCGATCATCTCCTGCAGCATCTCCAAGAAGCCATTCTCCAAGCACATTCCCGGGTTCAGGTCAAACAGCTTGGCGACACAGATCGCCGCGGTCTTGCGGACATACGGCGACTCGTCTCGTAGGGTTTTCCGAAGCGGTTCCTCCATGTAATCCACCATCTTCTCCACCCGGATACATCCCATCGTTCGAATTGCCAGCGCACGAATAAGCGGATTAGGGTCTTCGGAATCTTGCACAAAGGTATTGACGGCGAGAATGCACAGGTCGGGATGGGATTTGGCGTAATTCCTGGGGGTTCCTGTCAGGGCGCGTGTGCAAGTTGAACGTGGTCGCATACGTACATGAGATAAAGGTATACCAGTTTCTTCTGCTCCAAGTCGCCCGTGGCAATGTTTTTGAGGACATCCGGGAACAGCGCGGATACGTCCTTGCCCAATGTCATGGCCATGATCGTTTTCTGGATGGACTCCTTCCTGTTACCGGGTCAGCCACATTGTCGTCCCAATTTCGACATTTTGGCCGGTCCTACCGTTCATAAGCATATTGGGAACTGCAATGGTGGTCAGCATTGTCAAAGAGCGAGCCGATTGCGGAAGGGAACATACACCAGGCCAGCTCGCAACTCATACGTCTCGCCTTTCCGGGGCACCGCAAAGGCGCCTCGGATCTTGTTCATCGCCATGCTGTGGATTGGGAAGCTTCAGCAACGACCGAGTCGCGCCTCCGCCAACAGATCAAGCGAGGGGAGTTGGGAGTGGTCGAGGGACGTTGGACGGGGCTGCGGGGCGAAGGTGGTTGGTTGCACGGTCGCGCGATTAGGAATGGAAGAGAAGAGATGGGAGTGACGGAGACAGGAATTAGACCATGCCTGCCTGTCTGTGTGTCGGGCCTGTCTCTATTGACAGGGATGAGTGGCCACGACCGAGTGTGGGAGGGTAAGTTAGTGTAGTGGGGATGGATGGGGAAGAAAGAAGAAAGGGTGCAACTAGTGTTTTGCCAAAAGTTGTCCACAAAGACTCTCCGCCGCCTTGCCTACCATCTATCTCCCTATTCCCTTCCACTCAGTCCCTAACCACCACCCACCATTATGGTGAGTAGTTCTTGTCCACACAATAGACTCTCCATTATTGACACTTTCCAGGGCAATCTCCCCAACCTCCGTCGCCTCTTCGTCGAAGCCAGGACCGAGGCCGAAGAGAACGAGTACTCGCGGACAGCAGTATGTGACCCCCTACATCACGCTCAAGCGCAATGGATTGCTGACGGTCGGAACAGTTCTACAACCTCGTTCTGTTTATTTCCTCGATCGCCGTCTTCAGTCTGGCCGCTCAGCGCATGAGCGGACCCAAAGCCAGCCGATGATGGATGAAACATATACTTCATTCGTCAGGATGATGATGCATAAACAACCATACTAGACAGGCTAGCTGCTGGTCCGTCAATCCGATTCTTCGCCCTCGTCATCCAGGAACGCAAGCGCCTGGTGGCTACGAGGAGCCTGCCTGCGTCGAGGCTTTGCATCGCTTTCCTCGCCCGATCCCATCCCCCATTGTTTCGCGCCCTGCTGGACCTCCTCCAAATCCGCCTTCAGTTCCCGCTCTTCCCGGATCTGACTCGCCTTCTCCAAGGAATACCGACCCTTCATGCCAGCGTCCTCTAGCATGCCCTTGAGATGCTTGATCTTTGCCTTGGGAGTCTCGTACGGGGCTAGTTCTCTCCACCACATCTTGCGGATCCCGCACTTGACGAGCCACCCTTGTAGTCGCTTAATCTCGGCCTGATCGGGATCGAGATCTTCGTCCTTTGCTTTGGTTGCAGCCTTTTTCCCTTCCTTTTTCACACTTTTGGCTGTGGCCTCGGTGCTCTTCTTCCGTTTCCGCGGAGGCTTGGGCTCTTCGTCTAGGACCACAGACATTTCGCTTTCAGAGTCATCCTTGGCGCCCTCGTCTGCGGCTGGCTTTCCAGTATCGGGAGATGCCTCAACGTCTGAATCTTCCGGCACGTCCTTCTTGGGGGCTTGTTTCTTGGGTGTGTTTTTCACGGATGATCTCCTCTTGGGCTTCTTGACTTCTTCTTCGCTCTCTTCAAAGTCACTTTCCTCACTGGGCGGAGTAGACTCCTCTTCTCCATCAGACACGGGTGTCTCGGTCTTTTGGCGCTTTCTCGGCTTGGGCGCGCTGACGGATTTGGTTCGTTTCGGGGCCTTCGTCTCCGGCTTTGGCGGTGGCGGAGGGGATTTGACAATTGGCGCCGCTTCTTGCGACATGGTCAGATTATCCTGTACTTGCTAGGAAAACAGAATACCGAGAGTTAGCACCTGTCCCTATATCGCATGGTCTAAATGTAACCAGTAGACAATCATGAAACGCACCACCTCGTCCTTAATGACTCGATCACTGCGCGCCTTCCACTCGCCCGTGTTCTTGAAAAAGCCTTCCTCCAGACCGAGTTTCTGTTCCACCGCGAGTCGCACTCGTTTCACGGTCAATTCCTCCAGGTTCCCGGCCTTGAAGACCGCGGCCACAGCTTCGCGCAATGCTTTCTCCAGCGCATCGTCTGGCGGGACGGACGGCTGCTCGTTCTCGGACTCAGAGGATGAATAGATGCTATATTTGGCTGACATGGTGGTGCTATATGTATTGAAGACTAGAGGGTGTCACTTGAACTCTGGGTTCACGACGCGACGGGATCGTAAGGGACGCGTCAGAGTCTATACTCGCCAGAGACAAGATGGGATGCGCGCAGCTGAGCTTTCCCTTCTTTCAGATAGTGGGATCAGGGTGTCTTTTCAACAGGCTGCAGTCATCAATCGACAAAAGAACGATTCCAACCAAGTCCGTAGGTATCTCGGTCGATCCAGTTCGTCACCCGCATTGTGATCACGTGATTGGTATTGGTATACAGCGTAGCAAGGAATTGTAGTAGTATAACATCCTATTGTCGATATTGGAGTTCTATTCAGATCATATCAAGCCCATTGCTAAATAAGCATTTATATGGGGTCCGTCCTGGATATCGAACTGGTGGGAACGGTGAGGAAACCTAATCGACCTGAGATGAGCAATCAATCAACTTACTCGGTGAGCAGCGGTGCAACTTAGGGTCGCACAGTGGTGGCTCACTGTGTATCTGGGGGCCGATGGCAACCTCGAAGCGGTAACTAGCAACCTTACAATTGCCTTTTCTTCTAATCAAATAAATTCCACTCGTGATGGTGGAAGGCGTGAAGCGCATTTCCTCCTTCGGTACTTTCGGGCCGGCGGTGATTGGTCGGTTCCTTGTACTTGACAAATCCATCTGCCACTCCAACATTATTATTCCCGATCTCTTCCTTCTGGTCTTTCTCACTCCCCAGTCCATCGGACCTACGACACAACTATCGGACAGCATGGCGGAGGTTCCTCCTGAACAGATGGACTCTAAATTCGGAGCACAGGCCCATCTGTTTAACCAGCAAGCCCCCGGCGCATCCTCCAAGGCGGCACAAGACAGAGACTTGAAGAAGCCATTACCCAAAGGAGTGGTTCTAGACAAGGATGGAAAGCCGTACGCACCGTGACTCGCAGCCGCACATTGCTATATGGCGGACAGCAAGACTAACAACTCCATCACAGCTGCCGCACTTGCACCTCCGTCGCCTCATGGCGAGCTCTAACAAAGCAAGCCAAATCCGATTCCTCCTCAACCTCATCCTCCAGCATCGCATCCTCAGCCACATCCGCATCCGCAGCCTCTCTAGCCGCTGCTGCCGCCTCAACGAGCACAAGCACACCAGCAGACTGCCCACCGGACGTCGAAGAGCTCGGCCGCTCAACCTGGACCCTCCTGCACTCGATGGCAGCCACATACCCAGAAAAAGCAAACACGCAACAGCAACGGGACATGCAGGGCTTCCTGAAGCTGTTTTCGCGCCTGTATCCCTGCTGGGTGTGCGCGGATGATTTTCAGGCGTGGATGGCGCATCCGAGTGGACGCAATGAGCCGCGGCTGGGCACTCGGGCGGAGTTTGGGTGGTGGATGTGCGACGCGCATAATGAGGTTAATCGAAAGTTGGGGAAGAAGGAGTTTGATTGTCGGTTTTGGGAGGAGAGGTGGAGGACTGGGTGGAAGGATGGGCGGTGCGATTGAGGGATGAAGGTGAAGAGGAGGGCCTTGCTTGGTTTCTCTAGAGAGATGTATGATTCTTATGATGGTGCCGGATGATGATGGATTCCTATGATGGGGTTGGAGTTAAAGTTGTTTGGAGGTTTCTGTTTTGCCCTCTCTACTCATGTGTTGATACCTAGACATCTCTGCTTTCCATGTACGATATACTACATTTTCACCATAGACCGTCCAATCTATTCCCATCGATGTAACTATAACTAGAAAAGAAAACACAAGTTGGCATACAAACTAGGATCGCTAAAGAATTATTGATCTGGCGTACAAACAGGAAAAAGACATCTAGACAATGGGTTGCGCAGGAGTAAATTTTCTCTCGCTCCCAGTCCCTCCAAAGCGCCGCCGAACACAACTTCTCCCCAATCACACAGACAATGGACCAAAAACCCATTTTTTATAACTTCATGTCAAGAGAAAAAGAAGAGAAGAGGGGAAAGGAAACCGTCAGACTTCATCATGCTGTAAGTTCTAGAACTGATTCGGCACGTAGAGACGGAGGCCGCTGGCCGGGGCACCAATCTCTGTCACCTGGGATATCCGGCAAACGGTACCCTTATACTGCGGGTGGTACTTGGCACCGGTGAAGGGGTCCGAGACACTGGGAGAGCCGCCATAGATCGGGGTGTGCGAGGCGGCGCAGATGTCGAACTCGGCAAAGGGGTCGAAGTCGATTTCAATCTTGTCTTGCGGATTGCGCTCGCACTGAGTCTTGATCTTTCGGGCCTGGTTGGGAGAATTAGCATGGATGGTTTATAACATAACCAATAAATCTTACCTGGTCTAGAAGTTTGGCGGAGCCGCCGTTGGCTAGCATGCGGTTGGCGAAGCTCAGGGCGGAAGCGTAGTTCTTGTGGGTAAAGGCGAATTTCATGGCAGCCATCAACGCCAGCTGCCGGTGAGCGACCTCGAGCTTGGGGATGGTGAAGTATGCAGACAGCTCCAGTTTCCGCTTCAGATCAGCCTCGTCATCGGTACCGAGGGCACGATGCTCCAGCTCAACCGACATCGCAAGGATGTATTCCCGAGCACTGGCGATGATCTTCTTCGCCTGCTCCGCTCCCTCTTCAGAAGACACCGTGTTGACGAGAAGAGTGTGCAGGATATCCCTGAAGATGCGAACTCCCTCCTCCAGCTTGTTGGCGCGCATGGTCGCATAGCCTTCTTGGAGGGCACTTGTGGCAACGAACTCCAGATCACGCGGGATAATGGGCAGCACCTTGCGACTTTCCGTCTCGTCAACTGTTCTCCGCACATAGTTAACGAGAGATGGGAGGCCAGCACTGGCGGGGAGGTAGGTTTTCGACGCCTTGTAGATCTCCAAGAAACGATGCTTGAGAGGAGCAAAGTTGACGGCACCCACCTGGCGGTTCAGAAGCTGCATAGCAGTGTCAAAGGAGCCAGCAGCGACATGGTCGGCTGCTAGCGGAGAGTTACGAGCCCACAGATCGGCCTCAGAGCCGCCTGCTCCAGCATCGGTGCTCTCAACGTTGACAAAGTCAACGTCCTCCTCAACATTGACATCATCACCCATGTCCCATCCGGAAGCATCCTCCTCTTCATCTTCCAGGGTATCATGAGCAACAACAGCTTCCTGCTCCTCTTCCTCAATATCGAAACCATCAGCACCGGCCTCCTCATCACCGGCTCCAACTTCCCCGAGCAGTGCTTTCTCGAAGGAAGAGTGGCCAGCAGTCTTAACCGGCCAGTTGTTCTTGAAAGTCGGCACAATCGGGTGCGCAACCTTCAAGGGCTCCTCGACTTGAGGCAAGCTGATTTGGTCTTCTGTGAGACCACAGGCTTCGAGGATGGACTCGGCCTCCTCGGTCATGCCATGCGACTTGGCGGTCAGATAAGCAAGAGGATCTGTAACAAAAAATTAGCAAATGTCATAAAAAACAACCAAGGCAGAGTCGGCAACGTACACAAATCCACCTCCTTAAACATCTGGATCCGGTCCTCAACATCACCACGATAGACGGCGTTTTGGAAACGCGAGGTGAAGTCACCCCGATGCTCAGCGATCTTAGCCATCCGAGCAAGCTTCTCCTGGTCACCCGTAGACAGGTAGAGGAAAGAGAGCTTATCGAAGTTCCGTTGCTTCTGATAGGTCATTTCGACTGTCTGGTGGTTACCGTGGGCCAGGGCCTCAACCCCGAGCTTATTCCAGTAGTTGGGACGGTCAAGTTCGCGCGCCATCTCGGTAGCAACTTCAAGGTTTCCGCATTCGAGAGCGAGGTCAAACCGGGTCTGGGGATCTTGGACGAATTGCAGAGCAATCTCCGGGTAGCCCTTCTTTTGCAAGTACGAGATGATGCTCTGGCCAACCAAACTCGAATTCTTGATGATCTGCAGCATTTCATCGTAGTTTCGCTTGACTAGGGCCAGCTTGAATCGATACTCGGTAGGATCGATTTCGAGGATGCGTGGCTGAGCACTGCGGTCGAGGCAGTAGACGTTCCGTCCCTTAACGCGCACCAAGTACACCGTCTGGTCGAGAGTGCGGATAATGCCGTTGTCACCGTTGAGGAGAGAGTACTTAACATGGTTCAGGGTCGAGTAGAGAAGCACACCGGCATCATCCCAGGTGGCACTCTTAATCCGAATGGTTTCGTGCAGAGTGCTAACCTGCTCGAGGGTCTTGGTCACGATAGTCACATTGTGCTTGCTGAGCAAAGCACAGTAGAGACCGTCGTTCGACCAAACCACGTACTTCACACCGCTGACCGCAACCTCTGCCAACTCCTTCTTCTGCTGAATATCGAAGAGAACGACCGAGGTGGGGGTGATAAAGAGGAGGCAGCCAGTGCCACCAAAGTAGATGTCGGTCGTGCCCGCCGGAGCCTTGATCGTCTTGGTCGTAGAGTTGCTGAGGTCCTTGATGTCAACCTGCTGGTTGGAGGGATTGAAGACGGCAAAACGGTTTCGGGCGACGAAGACCGCAGATGAAGCCTGACCACGCAGAGCGTCCGTGGGCTCGACGGCTCCGGTAGGATCCCTGGGCAGGTGAATCAACTCGTAAGTGCCATTGTCAGCCGGCGAAGTGACCAGAATGGCCCGCTCTGCCGGGTTGTAAGAGACTGTGCGGGGAGGAACCCAAGGGGAGCCGAGCTTGCGCAATGAGAGCATCGGGGGCGATTCAACGTTCTTGCCGAAGTCGTATGACTTGACGTGCTTCTCCTTTGTGATGTAGAAGAGTTGGTTCATATGGACCGCAGACGCAGGGCGCTCCCGCTCGAGCTTGAACACCATAACACCAGTATCGTGACCCGCAGCGAACAGGTTGATCTCGGGGTGCGCAGCGATAACCCAGAAGCGATCCGTATCACGCTTGAAGGATTGCACAGAAGTCCGCTTGTTAAGGTCCCACACTCGAATGGTCTTGTCCTCGCCGACGGAAAGGATAAGATCTTGGTGCGGGTGGAACAGACAGGCAGAGGCGTTCTGGAAATGGCCGCGGCAGGTATCGACTTCCCATGCCTTGGTTTCACTCATCCTCCACAGCTTGATAAGCCGGTCGTCGCCCGCCGACACGATCAAGGGCAATGATGGGTGGAAGGATACCCAGTTCACCCCACGATCGTGGCCCTCCAACACAAATTTCACAATCGCATCGGTGTTGCCAAACATATCGGCCTGGTTGGGATTGGAGCGGGCCATCTGATCTTCAAAGCTCATGGTCGTCGGGGCAGAGTGCTTCTTCCGCAAACCGGAGATATCCCAGATACGGACCGACTGGTCCAAGGAGGCGGAGGCGATGAGGTCCTCGGTGGGGTGGAACTGCGCGCACATCACATAATGGTTGTGGCCGGTCATCGTACAGACTAGACAAAACGCAACCGTCAGCGATGTTATCAACTCCAATGGCATGGATACTACTCACTCAATGATCGGTTCTGCCAATTCCAGATTCGGATGGTCTGGTCATCGGACGCAGACAGGATCCAGGGAAGTTCATGGTGGAAGAACACAGTGCGCACGTAGTCCAAGTGACCGTTCAGGGTAAACAAACACCGCCGAGTTTGGGTGCTCCAGACTTTGATCTTGTAGTCGTCGCCTCCCGAAACAAACAGGGGCTGGGTTGGGTGGAAATCGATTCCTCGAACGGGTCCATCGTGCTCTTCGAATCGGTCAATGAGCGTTCCCATGCGGTAATCCCACAGTTGGATGGTCGAGGAGTGAAGGGAGACGAGAATCCATGGCCTGGTGGAGGGTCAGCATTGATGCTCGGGCGTGTTTAGGGTCACCCCGCGGGACCAACTGACCGTTTGGGGTGGAATGCGATCCCCTTGGCTCGCGAGGATTTCGACTCAAACTGAACGTGGCAGAAGAATTAGCAGCTGCAATTGGCCACGACGACAGAGTTGCCGCCCTCGAGCCAGAGTGGTAACATCGGGGCCAATCGAGGGGCGTACCTTTGTGAGCATGTTTGGAGAGGACTGCATCTTGGGCGAGTGGCCGGAGCCGCACCATAAAAGTAGCAAGCTCCGTTAGGCAGTGAAGAGATCAAAGCAACCACCGCATCCACCGAGAAACCAGGGGAAGAGGGGGTGGAGGGAGTGGATGAAGATGGGCTTTGAGGTGAACAGACAACAAGAGCGAGGGTAAACTAAACGTGGACTCTTGGTGCAAGCGAAAGGCCGGGGCCAATCAGGGGGAAGGCGGTGAGTGCTGTCTATCGGGATGGACGAGGCAGTCACTAGGAGTCGAGCATTATGATCAGGATTGTCACTGGCGAGAGGAGGAATTCGACGGTGACGAATTCGGTAGCGGGAATCTGGTAGCGGGAATCTTGTTGCGTTGTCGACTGGACGTCGTGCGGGTCTGTTCGCGGTGGGAAGCATCTGGAACGGATGATGTTCACGAGTTTCTAGCTACTTCCTTCACCATCGATCGCTTCAGCGCTCCCTCACCTACCACAGAAATAAACAATTCAAGATGCCACTCAAGCTAGAATTCACCAAGGATCCACCACTATGGCAGAACACTCTCCTCTGAGCAATTCAATCCCTATGCATGACTCCGTTCTGCACGACTCGGGCTCCGATATTGCCTCGGAGGATCGAGGGAACAACACCCCTGCAGACGGCAGCGGCCACAGCTTGAATGAATCAGGACCGTCAACACCGCTTCAGACCACCGACAGTGTCACAGACAATGTCACCGTCAAGCCATACGCCATCGAAGAGCCTGACGATGACCGGCCGGACGATGACTGGGCTCCGGTCGCCCAGAAAGAACTACCTTGTCTTCCGGACAATTTTGAACGCTGGCAGCGTGAACTGGCCGATTACATGAATGATCTGGACTCGGCCACGGACTCTTCCCACGCATGGACCCATCCAAGTAGTCCCAAAAGAGGCAAGAAGAGAAAGCCAACCGGCACAGGCCACCTCCATCCTCTGAACTGTCACCCGTTCGGATCACGAAGCAGATCGCAAGATACCCATTCTACAGGCCTCTGCCCCAAGAGACCACGACGACGCAGCAAACACCCCAAGGAAGATGGTCCCATCTCGCTACACGATTTCCGAGAAGCTAGAGAAGCCCAATCGAGCGCCAGCTCGAGCCCTGACGGGCGATCGACCGATACGAGCAGTACGGAGACGATGAACGATACTCCGATGGGCGACGAGATGGACATCGACTGATTTGACCGTCCGACACAAGACATCATACCACGTGACATACCGTAATAGGCAGTCGGTATGCATTACGTCACTTGGCATCACCGGCCTTGAACAGTGCCCCAATTAAAGGTTCTGGGAGCTTGTCATCTTCCGTATCTTCCATGATTCTCAGTCCAACGTTGTCAATTGCTCACAGGAGTCTCTGGATTGCCATGTCTACTCGAACATCATCCCGTCAAGCAGCCCAAAAGGCGAAAGAGGCTATAGCGAGCACCAGCGAGGTAAAGGAAACTGGATCTAAGCGCAAGGGACCAGTGCAGAAGGCCCCGGCACCCAAGCGAGAGAAGAAAGAGACCAAATTGCCCGAAACAAGCGAAACCAAAGCTCCGGAGCCAGCCAAAGCTGCAGAGCCCGCCAAAGCTGCAGAGCCCGCCAACGCTGCAGAGCCCGTCACGGAAGGCGCCAAGGAGGAAGCCAAGCCAGCATTGGAAAAGAAGGACTTACCGGATGGACCGGCCAAGGACAATCAAACCACCGAGGCTGGGGTTCGAACGTCCCAGGAAAGAGAGAATGTCGTGTCATCCAACATCCTCGAGAAAGGCATCATCTATTTCTTCTTCCGTCCTCGAGTGAATGTGGAAGATCCCCACGGTGTGGGTGATGTTGCCCGAAGCTTCTTTGTGCTTCGACCTACCCCTAAGGGTGCAGAGCTGGATCACAACCAAGGACCCGTCGACCGGGATGCTAGATGCCGCTTGATGCTTCTCCCGAAGAAGAAGTTCCCGACTTCAGCCAAGGAGAGAGACATGGGCTTTGTAGAGAAGGCCGGACAGACCATGCAGCAATTGCAGGAGAAGTTTATCGCTGGAGAAAAGTATCAGACTTCCACCCAGGGTGAACGCACTGTGCAGGAAGCGAGGCCCTATGCAGAGGGTGTCTATGCGATCACCTCTACGCGCAAAGCATCCCATCTGGCCTATATCTTGACCATACCTGCTGAACTGGGCGAGATCCAGGAAAACTTCGGCTTACGCAGCAAGGGAAGCTGGATCGTCCAGTCCAAGAATCCGAAGTTCCCCGGCCCATCTTTTGCTCAGCTGCCCAAGGAACCAGAGTACCCTGAACCGTGCGTATAAGCCCACAAAGTATAAAGCATAGTGCAGCATTGCTTAATGGTTTCTAGGATTCGCGAAAAGTTCGGCGATCTACGATGGATCCCCCTCGAGCCGGAGTTCCTTGACTATCCTAATGCCCAATTCCTTATGATTGGTGAGGCCCAGAATGAACTTGGGAAGGCCGCGGTCTCAGAAGGGCTCAAGGAGCCGCACCAGCAGGAGCCTGGGCAGGAAGTAGAGAAACTGGAGCAGGAAAATGAAAATCGGGTCGAGTCGCTGCAGGGTAAGACTGGACATAGAGCTGCTATCGAGTTCACCATCAAGTTCACACGTTTTCCCAGGAGACCAAACCATCTACCAGGACCTTGGCCTGGAAGCTCAAAAGTATCCTTCGTTCAAAACCACTTGGACCAGCACTTCCTCTTAATACTTGATTTTATGTTAACGTTTTTCAACCATATGACTTTTTTTCCCGGTTCTAAAGTGGCTTGAGTCTGTTCAGCTGATTCGCTGACAGTGCTTACGATCTAAAAGTATGCTTTTATCATGAGAAGTGCAAAGAAACAAAAGCAAAAAGACGTAAAAAGCCCACTATGGCGCGACTCCCAGCAGACCAGCACATGTAAATCAAGCTCTCAAAAACAAATCATCGTCATGCACCTATCACGTGAAGCACGGAACTATCATTGGATATTAACAGATGAGGAAGAACACCCCGGGCTGGTATGATGGTGTAATTGGCTAGCCATCCATGTTAAGTTGTATCACGCCATCGTAGCCCAGAGTAACAGAATATCTCCTCATACTGAATGGCAGAGACATACAAATGCGGGGAAATCATCGCCTTAAATACGTGTGTCTATCTTCTAAAATCACCTTGTCATTTCCTTTGACTTGATCCTGCGAACCCATCGTCATGTCTGTCGCCAAAGAAGTCGAATCTGCGAATGCGAACTATGCAGCGTCCTTCACTAAAGGCGATTTGCAGCTTCCCCCACAGAGGTAATTCATCACATCTTTGATAGATATATTAGTCCGCCATTTAAGCATATAAAGCGGATCCTGATATCTGACCAAATCTATAGGAAGGTGGCCATCGTGGCATGCATGGATGCTCGACTAGGTAAGATCTCCGACATGAATAAATTTCTGCTTCATCTATATGAAACTATCTCACACCACAGTAAAGACACCGCTCGCGCTCTAGGCCTCGAAGAAGGCGACGCCCATGTGATTCGCAATGCCGGAGGGCGAGTAACCGATGCACTGCGAAGTATCATTATTTCGCAACAGTTGCTCGGCACCCGGGAGATCATTATTGTGCACCACGTATGTAGTCACTCACCAAGATGATATCATTTAGCAAGTGCTGAACACTCATTCTTAGACCGATTGTGGGATGCTCACTTTCACGGACGAGGTTATCCGTGACAAGATCCGTTCGGATCTGAATCAGAATGTGGACCATATTGCCTTTCTGCCTTTCAAGAATTTGGAGCAGAGTGTTTTGGATGATATCAAAATCCTGAAAGATGATAAGTTGGTCCTGGATGTTCCGATTACCGGGTACGTGTATCAGGTTGAGACTGGGAAGATTGTTAAGGTGGGAGAGAGTAAATAGGCATTTGATAGTTACTGAGTGTAGGCAGAAAGTCGCGATTGAGTTAGGATACAAACATATATTTGCGCAACTATGCTACAGTTACAGAAAAAGAAAAAAAAAGCTCTTTCCCTTTCTTTAAATTCATCGAAGATGATCCTGCATATTATCCATTCGACTGAACACCCCCGGTTGACTCGCAATGTGAGTGTCGTCTCGCTTCACCAGGAAGACTTGCAAGGGCAAGACATGTCGACGACCATGGGAGGCACAGCACCCCAATGGAGAGGTCAAGACGTTGGCTGATGCACTAGGCTCGAAGTTTGACCACTTCTATAAGAAGCAGAACAAAATTAGTGGGAGCAGTGTGACTGAGGCTATCGTACTGATAACGAGATGCCTGTTGAGTACTTGGGCCTTGGGGGGCCATGCATCGGTTGGAGAGCGGCATATGAAGCATATGGCTAATTGGGAAGATGTTCACCGATTAGTTTGCGTACCGTTTCGGCTGTTCAGTCTAGAGAGTGTAGGAACTGAGATATCGCAAAACAAAAATACTTGGCAGATAATGTGGCTTTTGATTTTCTGTCAATGAATTACTGGTACATAGAAGCAGACGTTAGTGCGGATTAGGAAGTCCAGCCTGAATCGTGCAAACAATTTGAGTTGCAATCGTGAAAAAAGCAGGGAGGCAATGAAGGAAATATGAGAATGAGAACGGCAGTCTCGCAGAGAAAAGTAAAACAGGCGTTAAAATCATCGTTACTTCCAATTCCCAAACCAGAGCCAGTGAACTAGCCTTTCACAAGCTTGATAGCATGTAAAATATCATCGAGAGACCACCCGGGCCCGCCAGGGACAATCTCTGCCCACACCTCCTCTGGAACTGCATCATTGGGATCCAGAAGGCTCCAGTTGGGGCTGGGCTCCGGCTTGATCCACTTGAAGTCCTCAACCTGACTCCAGCGGTCTTCGTGGTCGACACGATCATGGTCCAGGGCCTAGAGCAGTAGGTTAGTAAATGACCCCTCCGGAGATTTTTGACGACGGCTTACATAGGCTCTGGGTATCCGACCAAATCGGATGTTGGAACAATCCTCAATAATGGGGTTGCTCGAGCAGCTGAGATAGACGTCGACGTCGTGGCAGTTGTGCATGCGAAACTGGCGACATGAAACCACCAACACACTATGCTCGACACCGGTGATATGCGCGGGACCATTGACCTGGCCGCAGATGAGGAGACTTTCGTCGACCCCCTTAATGGTCAGACTTGCGTATGGCTTCCCATCGGCAGTGGGAATGGACATGTCCACCACGCAGTGGCGCAGAGAGGTCATGGACGCTGGGACGGTGGATGTTGATCCCGAAGCTGGGAGCATGATGTGGAGGCCGTAGTGATCGTTCACCGACACAGACGACACAGAGGTCGCGGCGAATGAAGGGCCTTCTTTCTTCTCGGGCTTAGGTTTCAGTCCACCCTCAAGAGACACTGGGGGCAAAGAAGTGGGAGCAAGCTCGGGCCGTTCCTGATGCTGCTTCTCCGGCTCATTCAGTGGGGTGGATGGGTTTGGCGTCTGGAAAGCGGAAGAATCCGCCGACGAAGTCCCAGGTGAACGATACCCTGGAATAGTGCGTCGGCCTTGGGCGGCCAAGGTGGCGGCGTCGGAGAGGGAGATGGCGGACGCATTTTTCTTGGTCTTGAAAGTGAACTTGTAGCGGGGCTCAAATGCTGCTCGGGTCTCACTCAACTTGTCCTGCAGCGCTTTGATTGCCTGCGGGAAGGTCAGTCAGCATACTTGACCAACAAACATCCATGACACTCGCCTACCTCGGCATAGACCCGTTGATCGTAGGTGGGGATGTAACTGGCGGCATCTCTGACTTCATTCGACAACCGCACAATTCCAGCGAGGCAATGGTCCGTCGCATCCACACGCTCCCCGCCGATTAAAGAGGTATCCGCAAGACGATCCATTTGCTCTTGCAGCGCTGTTTTAAGGGCTGTCAGAAATTATACACCCGACAAGATTAGAGTGGAGTCCTTTTCAAGGACACATACAAGTGATTTCATGCTGGAAGTAGCGGAAGAACCGCTCTTTCAGCGGGATGTCGGATTTCGAGATGGTCTGGTTATCCGCCGACAACCGACGGACGTGCTGGACGTCCGACTCAGCCATGGTGGATTGGGATGGTTGAGGAGGAAAGATTGATGACCGCGGGGTCAGAGAGCTGTCACTGTAGATATCGCGGGCAGGGTGGAATGCTGTGATGACGTTGTTTCGAGTTCACCCCGATCATGCGCCTCGCAAGGCCGTGAAGCTGCAAGACAATGTCGGAATGAGGAGATTGTGAGGAGAATCGCTCTGGCAGGTTAGAATGCCACGCCAGAAAACACTGATAGCAACAACCGTTCACAGTGACGTCGATCATCCCGCATCCCGCTGGATCTCGGCGTGGAGATGTTCCGGTGTGATTATCAGGCCACAAGGCACCAACTATCGATTTCGGTAAATGCTGTTACACAACCCTTGCTCTGTTCTGTTCCAATCAAGGACCTATCGAGCCGGGTACGCGTGTGGACCTATTAGATGCATTCTTGACACTCGTGAATATTGGGTACAAGGCTGGATTGCCAAAGCTACCCGAAATGGCAGTCAATAGGGGAAAGGTTAGGTCTACAAGCTATCCCTTCCAGTGCGGGAGTGGTGCAATTTGGTCTGCTCTTGGAGAGATTCAGTGTAAAAGTACCATCGGGCCTCTGGAGCTCAGTGGTCGGATTAAATCCTAGTGTCATCGATGGCGTTGGGATTGGGGCGAGGAAACAAAGAAATCCGGACCCTGGGCAGTGTGCTATTACACCCCTACGACCTGGACTGGTCTACTTCGCTCGTTTTGGTAGGGATGTGAAGAGCTAGCTCTGGCTAACGGTTCGTGGGCGTTAAGAGGCCCATTTGCCGGGCTTTCCTCCGCAACACGGCCATGCTGGTTAACCTCCTAGTGGCCAGCGGGATACGGGGATTTGGGGCTGTGGTCCACGGAATCACCCCCTGACTTACCCCGCAGAATAAGTATTCCGCTCTATTGAAGTATAAAAAGAGTAAAGTGCCACAGTCCGGCCAACGTTATTTGCACTCGACGGCGTCACTCCTCATCGTTGAGTGGATAGCTTGACTGTATAGTGGGAGCGGTGCTATCTCTTCAATTTGGCGCAGTGTGTTGGTTGACAGATTTCCCGCAATCCGCTGTATATAGTTACTCGGAACGATCATGTAGTTGGAGCAATTTAATCGTGTTATACATACCAGCACGTGTTCATGAACTTCCGGTTCGGCGCGTTCCGATGTGTCGCCCATTCCTATAACAGCAAGACAGGCACTGGGACCAATTCATTTCTGCAGTTTCCGTGCGAGATAACACTCACTGCAAAGCCTCGATGAGTCCACCCCTTCTGCTTCTAGTTATATGCTGCTTCCAGCTAGGCTTGGCCGTTGGATCCAGCTACCGGTCAGTGGAGCAGCTGGAAAGCGTACCTCATGGATGGTCAAAACGAGGTATACCGCCAGCCTCCAAGCGCATGACATTCCATCTGGCGATTGCGCAGACCGAAACTGCCGAATTTGAGAAGAAGGTCGTTGAGCTCTCCACTCCAGGCCATCCAACGTATGGACAACATATGAAACGCAGCGAAGTGGAGGACTTCCTGCGTCCCTCGCCTGATATCTTGTCGCAGATTCTGTCGTGGCTGGAATCCGAGAATGTCTCGATAGAAACCATTGAGACCAATCGCAACTGGATTAAATGGCAAGCGTTCGTCCCGCAAGCCGAGAAAATGCTGAAGACGCGCTTTTTCCACTACCACAACGACGACAGTCAGACCTCGGCCATCAGGACCCTGAGCTATTCCGTGCCTGAAGAGCTACACCCCTATATTGAGATAATTCAGCCAACCACTCGATTTGGAAATCTCGGGCCGCACAGAGCCCTACCTTTAGCCCAGCCTATTGTGGCAACGCCCGAGGATTTGGCAAGCGGCTGCGACAGGCTCATGACGCCAGATTGTCTTCGGGATATGTACGGGCTGTACGACACGCATGCAAAACCCGATCCACGAAATCGACTGGGAATATCTGGGTTCCTGGAGCAGTATGGCCGGTATTCCGACTTCAACAACTTCATGGATCAGTTCGCGCCAAACCACACAGACGCCAACTTCACCGTCGTGTCCATAAATGGCGGACTGAATGATCAGGATTCGTGGAGCGGAAGTACAGAGGCAAGCTTGGATATCCAGTACGCCCTCTCCGTGGCCTACCAAGCCTCGGCCACCTATTACACCACCGGAGGACGCGGGCCCTTGGAAGCGGAAGCAGATCAGCCCAATGCGAGTGACTCGCAGAACGAGCCGTATCTGGACCAGCTCCAGTATCTGATAAATCTTCCAGACGATGAGTTGCCTGCAGTGCTCTCCACCTCATACGGAGAATCCGAGCAGAGCATTCCCGCCTCGTACGTGACATCTGTCTGCAACTTGTTTGCCCAACTAGGTGCTCGTGGGGTGTCGGTGATTTTCAGCAGTGGAGACTCTGGAGCTGGAGGGTCGTGTCTGAGCAATGATGGAACAAATCAGACCAAATTCCTCCCGGGCTTCCCAGCCTCTTGTCCCTTTGTCACGGCCGTCGGTGGGACATACGGTACCGCTCCTGAAAAGGCGATCGATTTCTCTGGAGGCGGGTTTTCAGAGCTGTTTTCCCGTCCTTCGTACCAGGACGATGCAGTGAATGGTTACCTGAATCGTCTGGGTGACGAATGGGATGGACTGTACAACCGGACAGGAAGAGCCATCCCCGACATAGCAACTCAAGCCAGCAATTTCGCCATCCGCGACCACGACACATACCTGAAGATCAGTGGCACAAGGTTAGTAGCTCCTGGTTTTAGATGACGGCTTCATTTGACATCAATTAGTGCCGCAGCGCCTGTATTTGCTGGCATCATTTCCCAACTGAACGCAGTTCGTCTGGCGCAGGGTCTCCCTCGAATGGGATTTCTCAACCCGTGGTTGTATTCTGTGGGTCAATATGGATTCACAGACATTGTAGAGGGCGGCTCCCGGGGATGCCATGGAACGACCGATGCTGGACTCAGCACCCCGTATGTGCCGGGTGCTGGATGGAATGCCACCGAGGGATGGGATCCAGCAACAGGGTTGGGCACGCCTCTTTTTCAAACGATGGTCCAGCTGGCTCTGTTTGACCATGTTTAATGCTGTTAATGTTAATGTTAATTCATAGTAATTATTGGATTCGAATGTGTGTTGTGTACAAGAGTCGAAGAGAGCAAACAAAGAACCTGATCAATCAGGCTTATATATCACGTGACTCTCAAGCTGACCGCCGCAGCTCCGTCACCAAGCTGGACAGCAACTGTCCATCCTCTCTCCCCTGTCAACTCTATCGCCATTGCAACCAGTTCGCGAGCTTACCCACATCCATACCTCTCTCCATCCTCATTATCTCCCGCACATCATGGCTGCCGACCTGAAATCCCTTGTTTCGGAGCTCCACAAGGCTCTGGAGCACAAGCAACTCGACGCCGCCAACAACCTCCTCAGTCAAGCCAAGCGCGCCCTCCTCCTCCAGAACGCACTGGTCCCGACCGCATCCACATCTCCACAACTTGTGGCTTTGGCGCGGCAGGTCCTCGAGCTGGGCGCTCTCGCCGCCATCCGACAGACTGACGCACAGGCCTTCACACGGTACTACCAGCAACTGCAGCCGTTCTACGACCTTGAGCGGGATGCAGGCACGCCCGGCTCAAATGCATCCAAGATGGATTTCAGCACCAGCCAGCGCAGCAAGATCACGGGGCTGTACCTGCTCCTCCTGTTGAGTATGGGCGACAGCGCGAACTTCCATACCGTGCTGGAGGGATTGGTCGAGGAGGCTATTTTGAAGGGCGGTCGTATCGATGATGATGCCTACATCAAGTATCCGGTTGATCTGGAGCGGAACTTGATGGAGGGGAGCTATGATAAGGTGTGGCGGGAGACCAAGTCGGAGCGGGTTCCCTCCGAAGACTTTGGGTTGTTTTCGAATGTAAGCGAGCGCCTTTTTTCCTTATGATTGTTATCAGGGACTAATAATCACTCTTTTGTCACAGGTTCTCATCGGCACCATCCGCAGCGAAATCGCCGACTGCTCCGAAAAAGCATATCCATCCCTGCCCATCTCCAATGCCAAGAATCTCCTCTTCCTCGAGTCGGAGGGTGCTGTCATCGAGTTTGCCCAGCAGCGCGGCTGGATTCTTCGTGACGGCCGGATATATTTCCCCGTTGAGCCTGAAGCTGCTGCCCGGTCCGAGAAAGATATCCTGGTGGCCAGCGGCACAGTTATTGAGAATACGCTAGGCTACGCCCGGGAGCTGGAGACAATTGTCTAAGTGTATTCTTTCTCTGTGTGTTTATTGGGCCTGGTTGCGGATGTACTTGTATACCTGTCGCTATTTTTGCATTGTGCTTCGTCTAGCGTGTTCATGACAACAATCATGCTTATAGATCTGTCTTGAGCGTAGGATCATGATCATCATATGTAGTGTGTTGCCTTCACTCGACTTCGTTCTTATTGCACATCCACAGTCCACACACAGACTCGTCGGTCGTAGAAACTACTCGACACGCAAAGCAATTCCGCCGACTCGGACGGCCCCTTCCACACATCACTGGCATAGTTCATGCTCTCATGCTCCGTGAACTCCGCCAGGACTTCAATTCCCCATTCACATCCCTCATAAGAAACCCGCACGACCCTCGTGCCAGCATGCATACAACTCGCCAGCACCAAGAAGCACCATCCATCAGCGACTCGAGTAGTTTTTATTACCTGTAACCGCCAAACACCACCACCGAGGCCTTGCTCGGCCAGGACCTCTCCTCTGCGCGTGGCATGGTACACCCGCAAACTCTCATCGTAGCTTCCAGTCAAAAGAAACGGTGCGCCGTCAATTAACGGAATTGGTAATGGAAGAATAGCCGTGACGCCAGCGGTGTGATGACGAGATCGGTCGTCATGGGCAATCACGGGAGACGAGAGGCGCTCAATTTCTGATTCGGAGGCTGATGGCTCCAGGCTGAATCGACGGGTATGCAGGGATCCGAAGTCATCGCCCGTGAACATGAACGGGATATCATGACCCTCCTCCGACTTGGGGTCTGGATCAAGTGGTTCTCGGTATGTAGCAAGCGCGACAAACCAAACCTCGATCATCTGTCTTGCGGCGAAAGTGCCCCATTCGTCAATACTGTCTTCATCGAGCAGACTGCGTTCCGTCCCGAAGACGGCTGTCCGACTATCGGAGAAGGTAACTGCAAAGCCATCGGCTGTATCTTGCCGGAACCAGCTCTGTGGCACCCAGGCCAGAAACAATGCCGGGATAGCCGGGTCTTCGTGGACCTGTTTGGTCCATTTGTGCTTGAGAATTGGGCGTGAGGACTCCGTCGACACTTGGAAAAGAGCTACGGACCCCACACTGCTGGCGATGGCGAGTGTATTCTGGTCTGTTGGGTGGAAGTGCAGGTCAAAGACAGCGTAGGGCAGAGCGAGTCTTTGGATTTGGGATCTGGGATGTCGTTAGCATTTGATCTGAGATGGTTGGTTTTTGTTTTTGTTTTCTGACAATGTCTTGTGGACAGGATCTAGGTGCCACAATTGTAGGCTTCCGGTCTTGGTCTGCTGGATGTCTCCATCCTCATCTTTGGTTTCGGTTAAAAGGTAGGTGCCGACGACAAAATAGTCGGGCCACGCGGGACAAAATTGGAGGCAGCTTGGTGGTTGGTCTAGAAAGACTGTGGTTGCTGATTGAGGGTGTTGTGCGGACATTGCAACGTGTGTCTCGTCAGCTCAAGTGGTAGTGTAGAGTGTGATACACCGACGCCTTGTATCTCTGCCCAAGTCGATGTTGTTGAACGGATATATATCGGGAATGGTTCTCGGCCTCCAGGGTGCGGGCGGTGAGAATGCCATAGTATCTGAGGAATCAAAGACGGTCTTTGCAAGTATGAAGCGAAACAATAATATTTGTCATATGGACCTCGTAGTATCTGCTTCGAATCAAAGATTTGTAATGCATCATTCTCTCTGAAGACAGACCCCGCTTGGCACATGACAAGGCTGCACTGACCGTCCAAAGACAACTACCTTAATTACCTACACTACACTACACGATTACACGCAACATGCCTCTCCCGTTCAGCACTCTACCCTCCACCGCGAGGGTCTCGCTGACCCCTTTCAAAGCCGAAATCCCCAAAGCCAAGCTCTCCGAGCTCAAGCAACTGATTGAGGTCTCCAAGCTCGCACCACGCACGTACGAGAACTCCCAGACAGATGGACGCTATGGCATCACGACCGACTGGCTCGTCGCAATGCGCGAGCAGTGGCTGTCATCCTATCAGTGGTACTACAGCATTTCTCAAAACATAGTAGTGAAACATGCAACTAACGAACCCTCGCAGGAAAACCTCCGAAGACCGCATCAATAGCTTCCCGCAGTTCACAACTAACATAGAAGGCATCGAGATCCATTTCGTGGCTCTTTTCTCCGAAAAGAAAAATGCAGTTCCGATCTTGCTACTTCATGGATGGCCTGGTATGCTGGCTTGTTAACTCTGTCCCCGGTGTGTTGAGCTGACCTTTTTGTTTAATACATAGGAAGCTTCCTGGAGTTTCTCCCTATGCTCCAATTGTTTCGGGAGGAGTATACTCCCACTACCTTACCATACCACTTAATCGTGCCCTCATTGCCGGGCTACACTTTTTCATCTGGGCCTCCTCTAGATCGAAACTTTGAGATTACCGATGTTGCCCGGATCATGGACCAGCTGATGAAAGACGTCGGCTTTGAAAGCGGGTATGTTGCCCAAGGCGGCGACATTGGCAGTCGCATTGCTCGAAACTTGGCTGTAGATCATGACAGCTGTAAAGGTATGAAATCCCTCTAAGATAAAATAATGCACGTCGATCTGACACAATGTCAGCGGTGCATCGTGAGTAGTTACTTCCCGTCCAAGTGAGGAATGAATACCAACACAGGCTGGAAGTCAATGTTTGTTTCATGAGACGGCCAGACGGCATGTCTGATGACAACCTCAGTGTGTTTGAGAAGCGAGGTATTCAGCGCATGACAGATTTTATGTCCACGGGCGCTGCATACGCCATGGAGCATGGTACGCGCCCGAGCACCATCGGCCATGTCCTATCCACCAGCCCGGTTGCACTTCTAGCATGGTAAGTGCAAATAAACACTGCAGATGGACCATGCAGTACAATACTGAGATGTTTAGGATCGGCGAGAAGTTTCTTGAATGGGTCGACGACGCTCTTTCACCCGAGGCAATCTTGGAATCAGTCACACTTTACTGGCTGACCGAGACATTCCCTCGAGCAATCTACGCCTATCGTCTGGTACGTTTTCGTCCGGAGAGATATCTTTTTAACTAATAGATTACCTCCAGAATTACCCCCCGCCGCCTATCCCGGCGAGCAATGATCCCCGTTGGTATATCAAGAAGCCGTTTGGATTCTCTTCCTTTCCCATGGAGCTCGCACCGGTCCCCCGCTCGTGGGTGGAAACAACAGGCAACTTGAAGTACTGGGAACAGCACCAAAAGGTAACTGTTTATTCCGGGATATGACCACAAATGCTAACAAGTATGGCTAGGGCGGACACTTTGCAGCGCTGGAACAGCCTCAAGCTTTGAAGGCGGACGTGACCAAGTTTGTGGAGCAGGAGTGGCCTGGGATTGTAGGAGGAAATTGAATTTGATGTGCATGAGTGACATTCGTCCCGTTGCTTGATTATTTTATGAGCAATGTATTCCTCTTAGGGAGGCAATGTGTATCAGACTGTCTAAAGCGTGATAGTCTCTTATAACTCGTATTCCTAGACACTACCCTGCTCTGACTCTCCCGAAAGCTTGACCTTATCCCTCCAAGAACTGAAGTACTCCCTGCTTTTTGGCCAGGCTAATCTCATAGCTGGAATACTGCTTGCGATCATTGCGATTGAAATCTCCACAACGGAGCAGTAATATATTGGGACCGTGTCGTAAGAAGGATCGTTACCCTTGTAGAGATGGACGACATAGGCTAGCCGCACCGCAGCTGCAACACATGTACTGTATCATAATTTCATCGTCAGAAGACCTCTTAAGGCAAAAAATATAGGTAGAGTCCTACATAAAGGCTGCAGAGCAAAGAAGCCCTAGTGCCTTGATTCTCTTCTTCCAAGTGACGTGTAATGCTAGAGAGAAAATAAGTTAGCACGAAAAACAACATAGTAATGGCCCAGGGAACAAACTGAGGATGGTTTTTATAGGCAATACTCCAATCCACAGGTTCGTCAGAAGAAATAGTACCGCAACATCACACCAAAAGATCAATTCAGAGATGCAAGCGGCTTTCCCTTCGTCGGTCATGATCCAGAACGACCCCACTGGATCACACTGGAATATCGCAGTGAAAATGAATGCAATGGTCATGCAAGTGACAAATACAATGGTGATGATGATTATAATGCGAAGGTTTCGGAATAAGCGGAGGTAGAGAAATAAGATGCTGAGTTTAATAAACCCACTGGCGGCGGCGTAGAGGACTTGGGTTGCCAATCGAATCTGCAGTTGGACTTAGTGAAAGGTCCCTTTCAAAGAGTTAAAGGGCCTAAAACGGACATGTCCAAGGAATACAGTATCTGGCCCTTTGGTTTGTGCTCTTTTCCCCGTTCCATGTCGCACACCTGGACAAGTTAACGGCTTGAAAAGAAATGTTGCAATGTGCGAACTCACCTATGGCAATAGAAATGAGTGTGCCAATGGAAAAGATCACTGCAGCCACGATACACCAATCATCTATCCCATTGGTTTTCGAGATGATGAACCGAGCAATTAACCTTGCGACGACGACCGCTGTGGCTATCGCGATGAGCACTGTGGAAATGACAATAAGGGCCACTCCTTCACTTGAAGGACGACTTAAAGGACTCTGGAAGATGGTTAGCGACAGACGATTACATAACAACTAGGAATCCAATATGGATAGACGTACGTAGCTAAGATCGTGCATTCCTGAGTGGCGCGTTGTCTGAATGCTCCATGGCCTCAGACGCCTTGACTTTCCGGAGTGTTTAATGAGATAAATGAAAAATTTGCCACGGCAGTTACGGCTACGGATTCAGGAGCGAAGATAAATCATGAGCACAAGGGACAATTTCCTTGGGTTGGGCGGTTGGCCAATCAGGTTTTCCTGGTGCATCTCGTATTTCCTTTTAGGGCTGCTGGAGACGTCATGCCGTCTGTTATCACATTTGAACCTCACGCAGTGGCATGGCGGATGACTAAATAGAACATGGACTCAATCTGATGTCATGGTTGTTTACACTTGGATTCTATCCTCTTGTTATCTCACCTTCCACTTACTCGGGGCAACATACCATCTTCCCTCGAATGGGTATTCAATCATAGAACTCCAAAATGTATGATCTGCACGTCCCCACACTGATAAGATCGATCCACTTTCCTTTTCTTCAACAACCACCATCAATCAACCATGCCGTCATCCACCACCACAAGCCCTGACTCCATTTTCTCCGATGAGTCCAGTTTCTACGGTGAACACTACGACACGAACATGATACACGTCCACTGACAGACCCAGGTGACGCCGATGAACAAGCCCGTCTGGAAGAGCTAGTAGCTACCTACGATCCAGAACCCTACTGGTCAGATACACACCCCTACCAGCTCTCCACGCGTCAGTACGAGCAATACGCTGCGAAGAATCCACCACCAACCAAGAAAGAGCCTCTCCCCTCCACCAAATCCCCACAATACCTACCGCCCAACCGCCGCGGAGCAAACGAATCAGTCCCACACTTCCTCTCGCGGCTCCCGCCGTCCACTACCCAAGTCGGCGAAACGGGCCCGTGGATCTGGGCATACGGGGATCCATCAACACGCAAGACAGAGGATTGCGACTCATCCGAGCTCGTCCGGCGGGGCACGGAGCTGCTACGCGAATACGAAGACGAAAGCGCCTCGCTGCGCGCCGCGCTCGATGCCTCCGGCGCGAAGACGACCGCGCCACTCACGCGGAAATTGAATGTTCTCCGACGAGGGCTGGAAACGAATATCGCCTCCGTGGCGCGAGAGACAAGGACGCTGTGCGGGAAGTGGATGCTTTTCCCTACTGTGGACCGGGTGGATTCCGTTTGGAGTACTGTGGTCCAGGCCATGGAGGACGGTCGACTAGGCGATACTGCCAAGGTTGCGCCAGATGATGGAAGCGGTGGAGGGCAGGCGCGCTTGATTTGTGTGTATACGGCGAATTACGAGGATAAGGAGGATGTGAAGCGCGTGCTGAATGGATTGGTGGATGTAGGGTTGGTTAATGTGGATCAAAGACCGATTTACTACAAGTGCGATGCATATACGTTGCTGGATATCAAGTCGAAGAATGACTTTGGGCTGAAGGCGAGTTTGTTTTCCAGTCGGGATGTGCTTTCAGGGAAGATTTGAGGGGCATTTGCAGAGACGTGAAGAAAAGAGTTCGTTCCAATAGATGTCTGGGTGTGCTTCATTCGTATGTCTCAAGCCAGACGGTATCTGGCTGGAGCAACTACGCTAAGCGTGTTGCTGCGCGGTTTCAGTCCGCATGGGATTGACGTTCTGATATCCCCGAATTCGGATTCTGCGTGGCATTCGCGTAGGCCGAGGCGGTGGAAAGAGAGGTACAGTGCTCACTCTCGAAGACCATGAGATGGGAGTCCACGTGTGCAGCAATTGCAGCACGAATTGGACGCCGGGAGGCTTTTGAATATGCCCACAGATGGGCACAAGATCGAAGGAATACCTCAGTCATCATGGCTCGTCCAATTGATGACGCCTTCGCAGGCCTCCCGCACTTCAGCAACCCCCTTCACGTCGCCCCAGGCATCAAGAAGCGTCTGAACCTCCCTCCAGTCCTCCGCAGCCTCCTCCCGCTTATCCTCAACCAGCAACTTCTCCAGTCTCGCCGGAGCCCCAAGAACCCACATGACAGTCTCCTTCTCCGGTCTCTGATCCCCCGCCTGCTCTTCCCCCTTAGCGGCCTTCATCTGCCGCCGCTGCTCCTCGCCCTCCTTAATCAACCCACTCGCCGTCTCCGCCACAAACGCAATCGCTGGGCCAAGAGTCTTGGTCATAGTCAGCGGCGCACCGCGGTCATCCATGCTCTTCCGCATCTTGCCAATCGTCTCGACGGCGCGGATCAGCTTCGAGTAATTGTCGTACACGAGGGCCTTGCGCTCTCCGTCCAGTGTGCGGATGTCTCCCACTAATGTATTTTCAGCTTTCAGAATAGTCGACAGCGATGACGTGGAGAGCAGGTGGTCGACATAGCGCTGGGGATCAAAGTCCGCGTTGTCGAGCTCTGTTCCCGAGGTCAGCGACGAGGGGTTGGAGATGTCGCCTGCATCTGTATTGCGTGGCACACTCTGCGACCGAGGGGCCGGCTCGGCGGCTGGTGGTTTGAGGTTGTAGTAGTCGCGCAGAGCGGAGCGGTTGCGCCGCGGGTGGAGGGAGGAGGGTGAAACCGCACGTCCCGTTGGGGTGGACGGGGCGCTGAGGTTGTTAAGGTTGGTATTTAAGGCATCGAGAGATGGGCGAGCTGACGGGGCGGGCGAAGAAGCGACGGATTGACGGGGTGAGGAGATCGTCGACATGGTGCGTGGGTGTGCAGGAGGAAAGAGCGGACGTGATAAGAGAGAGGACAGAGTAAACGGTGGTCCGTGACCAACATACACAGCTTCAACAACAACACTCCACACTCCGACTCGGTCGCCATGGCCCATAGAGACCAGATCGCAGCTCATATCCAAGGCAGCAAGTCCCTCACCGTCTCATCAGACTGGTTGGATTCCTTCCTCGCCTCATCCGGCCCCAGCAATCGCAACATCCCCATCTCAGCTCTGACCCAGACAGCGCTCTTCCGCGTCCTAGCCTCGGATTTCCGCAACTCACTCAGCAAAACACCAACATCCCTCCTCCCAGTGGATATCTCCGACCCAAACGTGCAAGAACGGCGTCTCCAGGGTTCTATCCCCGTGCAAGTGCTCGACATCGAGGACATCGGCACAAGCCTGTGGAGCCAAATCGAAGCAATCGAACGCGTTGAGCGCGGCGAGGCGATCCGCGGCCGCGAGATCGTGCGCACGATAGCCGCGCTTGAGGACAGCGAGACCACAGGAACAGGGAATACTCACACGAGCAATAATGCTATGAGCGGCAATGCCAACGCGTCTGGGAGCTCGGGTTTTGGTCCCCATCGGCTGATTGTGCAGGATGCCGCTGGGACAATGGCTGTCGGGATCGAGATGCAGCGCATTGAAGGTGTCTCTATTGAGAAGCTTCCTATCGGGGCGAAACTTATGCTTCGCAATGCTACTGTGGCTCGAGGTATGGTGCTGCTAGCTCCTGAGAGCGCGATTATGCTCGGGGGCAAGATTGAGAGTCTCGATCGGTCGTGGAGGGAGGGCCGGAAGGCGAGATTGCTGCAGAGGGTTGCAGAGATCGGAGAAGAGAACCAGGTGCAGCCGAATGGGACAAATGGGAATACTGGTGCCAGAAGACGGTGACTTGGTGATTCGTTTGAGGTATGTAACTGTCTATTTTTCCTACGTCTAACAGCAACAACCCATGACGCCTTGCTAACGGACTATGCAGCCACACCAGATACCGCATGACTCAATTCCTCCCACCCATCTTGCTTCCATGGTGCCACCATAACTGCCCTAAGAGCATCGCCCGCCTTCCCTGTTTGCGCGTATGCCTGACTGAGATCCGCAGCTTCGAGGTTGCTGTGAGGAGGCACGCTGCGCAAGGCGCGCTGAATAGCCATCTCCGCAGGATACAGACTCTGCGAGGCAGTTGCCAACTCCATCCAGCCCTGGGGTTGACCCGGTGACAGCATCACGGCTGCAGTAGCCTCTCCGATCCGTCGGGTATCCTCCGGGAGCGCCGCGTCCCCTGTAAAGCCCATGGCTGAAATGGCAGTCAGGAGCTTGATAAGTTTTGCGCGGTCGTGGAGTTCGATGTCATCGCGAGTGATCATGCTGTGGAGGTCTGACTCGACAGCCTCGATAGCATCCCTGTCCGCGTCGAGGAGTGCAATCACTCCAAGCAAACTGACTGCTCCAATGTGGTCCGGGTGGCTCTCCACGCAGTCGAACAGCTGCTGACGAGCAACTGACCGTTCCTCCTCCCCACCCTTTGCCCAGAGCACTTGCGCGAGCAGACAGACCACATCTGGAGCGCTATCCGCTTCGTGCAGAGCATCACGGAACATGTCTATGGCACGGTCCATTGATTTGGTGTAGTAGTACGACAGACCGGCAGTCAGGTGCGCCGAAAGACGCAGCTTGCTGCATGCTTCAGGGTCGAATTTCTCTGCGTCTTCCTCCCCTGAGAGAGTAAGTGCCAGTTCAGCCTTCTCGGCCGCTTCTTCGTATTCATGGCGAGCGAGAAGAATACGAGCCATGTCCGCATTGGCTTGGGCGAATCGACACAGAGAAGCTGGCGATTCGGATTCTTCGAACTCAGCCTCCACTCCAGAGCAAACAACCCGCAGGCTGGACTCTGCGTCGGTCACCTCGCCCATTCGCTCTGCCAGTAACGCAGAGAGATGCACGAATGGCAGATCTGACGGTTCCTGCGCACAAAGTTGGTGAAGAGCGAAGAAGGGTTGGATGAGATGAGACACCTCGTTGGACTCGGAGGCGTCGGAAAGCAAATGGTCGAAAAGGGTCAAGGTGTACTGTCGCTTCGGAAGCGTAGGAGCGGAGTTGGCAATATCAAACGCGTGCTCGAAAAGACCCCGTGCCTCCTTAGCATCACCAAACAGCAAAGCGAGTAGGCCCTGTCCGATCCACGCTTGCGAGTAATCAGGATCAGTCGACTGCGCGCGCGTGAATGCTTCATTTGCAAGCTGAATATCGTTATGCAGCAGATAAAAGGCGCCCAGGTTCGTCCAGCATTGTGCGCTCCGGTCATTCAGGTGCAGGCTTCTCACGAAGGCATGCTGGGCCACCTTGGGACTCATGCTGGTTGTAACCACGCCCAGCGAGTTCCAGAACTCCGAGTTCCCGGCTTCCAGCTCAATTGCCCGCTTGAAGCACCGCATAGCCGCCTTGAGGAACTTGCGTGCTTTCTTAGCTTTGCTGGCGTTACCTTGCGCACTTGAATATGCTCTGTATTCGGCCCATCCAAGATTGTACCAGGCAACAGCCTGAGCATGAGCGTCGTGCAAGGAAATGTGAATGGCGCGCTTGTATGCTAGAATGGATGCATGGATACAGAAGGAAGATGCATCGAACTCTTCGTTTTCAACAGTAATCTCGAGCCAACTCTTTTCCACACCGTCAATATCAGCCATGATATCCAACGCGGCAGGATCAAGTTCAGTCGTGAGTAATGCCCTGCAGTCCGAAATGGGTAGCTTCTCCATTTTGATCTTGATGTATGAGAAATTGGCGCAAGCATCCCCGACAGCCTTCCAGAGATTAAAGATGTCAGGTCGGACCTGCGCTAGAGAGCCCGCAACCCCGATAGCCTGGCGGGCAAGCTCTGCTGCATCATTGAACAAGCCTGAACTCAAGCTTTTCCACGAGCTCTCGATCAGTGTCTGCAGCAGCGCAATCGTCACACCAGTTTCGTCAGGTCGCAAGCGCAGGACTTCCTCGTAACTTGCTATAGAGTCATCGTATTGTCCAAGCTCCCGCCTGACGTTGGCCAACATGTACCGCGCAAACCAGATGTGCTCCTTGTCTTTGCTGGAAAGATTTTCCTCCAACTCCTTGGCATGTTCAAAGGCTCGGGTGGCTGCAATGTATCGACCAGAGTGGTGATAGCTCTCGGCTAGACCGACCCAGGAGTGGTAATCATTGGGCGTGATTCTAAGAGCTGCCTGGAACGCAACGATGCTCTTGGTGTACTGTTGCTTGTTGATTTGGACCGTTCCGAGCGCCGCATATGGCCAGCTGTAACCCCTGCGCTTCGATCCAGGCGCAGGCTTGGCCTTGCCGGAGTCGACGACGCGCTGCGCAATGGCTTCCACAAGATCCCATTCTTTCTGGTCGGCGAACGCCTTGGCCAAACGCTCCGCAGCTTCGATCTCGGATGTAGACAACTCAAATGCCTTGTGGAAGCATCGCCGCGCTCGAGTTTTGTCTTTCTTGTAGTCCGCGTAGTAGATTCCAAGGCTCGAATAGGCCGGCGCGTAGTTCAGATTTGCCTGGATGGACGCCAAAAAGCATGCATACGCGCCATTGCGGTCTTTCCGTGCGGACGGTGATGGGTCCAATTCCCACTGACAGTATCCAATGCGATAAAGAAGCTCGGATTTGAAATCCCTGTTGTCGGGCTGCTCCTCCTTCATGCTTTCCAGTGCATCTTGAAGGCCATTCAGGCCTGCTTGCAGTTCACCGTTCAGCGCCCTGCTCCAGAATAGCTCACCACGGATTTTGAGATTGGCAGGGTCGCGCACCAGGGCTCGCTCCAGGAAATTGACGGCTTCGGCATAGTCCTCGTCCACTGCCAAAATCAGACCAATGCCAAGTAGGCAGCTCGTGGATGTTGACTTTCTCTCAAGAATGCTCTCGAATATTTGCTTAGCCTCTGGATGGTGTCGTGGGGATTGATAGTGGATCAAAGAGTTGGCCAATGTGATATTCAAAGCGTCTGTGGTGTTTAAGGCGTTCAGGCCAGTGTATTTCACCAGCGTCTGAGTATTAAGCAGACCCTTGCGAGACACTTCCACCACGCTCTCGTACTCCTCCATAACCAGGTAAAGCTCGGCCATAATGCGGTGTGCAATGACTGAAGAACGAGCAGAATCAAGCCCCTCAACCATCATGATCAGACGGTCTGCAGCTGCCTCATTATTGTCGTCACTCTCGGAGTCCTTGGCGGACGCTTCCGCATCTCCGTTTTCCCTCTCTTTCGCCTCTTCCTTGGGAAAGGGAGAGATTTCACTGGACAGAAACCCTTTGAGCACTTTGGCGAGTCCGGTATCTGGGAAAAATTCGATGAATTCGCGTAGAAGACCAGCGTCCCACTGGGCGAAGCTCTCGACATCCTGCCACTCGAGAACAATTTTCCACGCAAGTTCGAAAGGATGCTTGATAATGACCATATCGCGCGCGGCCCGCAGAATTCCGTCTCTCGTAGCACCCTTTTCTCCGGGAGGCAAAACATCCAGAACATCGCATGCACGCTCGAGAAGTTTTTCCTCATATTGGCGTCGGACCTCATCGTCGTTGGTCCAGTCAATAATTCCGCGATACAATTGGTCCAATCCACTGTTTGCATAGGCTTCTCTTTTCACTTCGAGGGTAACTTGGTCGATACGCGCACCGAGACGGGTTCTGCGCTCTCCAATCTCACGATTGATGAACTCTTTCTCTTCTGCTTCTGTGATTTCGATCAAGCGGAGATAGGTCTGGGAAGGATGTGGGAGACGTCCTTCGAGGAAGTCGTAGAGAGGACAGGTCGGGAGGTGAAGTTCGAGGGCGCGCTTGTACTGGGCCTTGGTGCCGTTCTTTCGGGCCAGCTTTGTGTATTTGTCCACCACATCCTGGCAGCGCTCTTTTTCGTCGCTACACGAAATCAGTCTAGAGAACGAACAGTAGAAGGGCAATTGCGTACTTCTCGGCGAAGATCTGCCCAAGTCTCAGAACCACTTCACGGTAGGCGTCTAGCTTGTGGCTGCCCTGCTTCTCGCACAGGCTGATCAACCCCTGCCACGCTGTGCGATCGCCGGCCTTAATCCTAGTCGCTGTAAGGTATGCTCGCTCCGAATCCTCGTTTCTGTTGAGTTTATCGTACGCCAGACCAAGAAAGACATTTCTAGAGGGACCGAGAGGTCAGTGTGGTTCGCGACTCGAGAAGTGCACATACGCGTGGTAATTGTTGGGCTCCTGCTTGACCAGCGCCTTTGCTTTGTCGGCAGCAGACTCGAAGTCCTTGGCATCGAGTGCAGTGCGAACTGCCTTGAGCGCGGCCTTGCTCGCCATGGTCTGTCTTCCCAATCGAGTGACTGGCGCGGGGAAGAAATAATGGTGTGGTGGACGGCAGTTGATAAGGCGGTAGAGGAGCGGGCGATACGTCACCTGCTTATCGCTATCTCTCTCGTCCTCTCCACACGTCCTGTCAGCACTTCCTCTGTCTTCAACCTGGAATAGGCGGTGCCAAGGGGTCTAGTGTGAGTGATCTGATGTAGCTCTGGCTGAGCTCATTGCACTACCAGTGCTGCAAGGCATCATCTGACCTGCCAGTCAGCTGCTTCCCTGGATCCGTTTGTCTCTGTCGTCTCCCTTGATCGCATTTACCACCTCCCTTCCGGGGCTTCAAGCACTCAAAAATGAGTTCCTTGTCCCTTCGAATCGACGGGCGGTCCTTCCGCGACCCGCAGAACAGAGAGATCATCTTGCGGGGGATCAACGTCGCGGGCGACGCCAAATACCCCAAGACCCCAGACATTCCCACCTACGTTTCCGACAAGTTTTTCGACGCAGACAATGTCTCTTTTATTGGACGACCGTTCTCGCTGGAGGATTCCCACCTGCATTTTAGGAGACTTCGGAGGCTGGGCTACAACGCAATCCGTTACGTCTTCACCTGGGAAGCTATCGAGCATGCTGGTCCCGGGACATACGACGATGAGTGGATTGCATTTACAATTGAAGTACTCAGGATTGCGAAACAGTATGAGTTCTACGTCTTCATGGATCCTCATCAGGACGTGGTCAGTTCAGGTAGTCGAAACAAACAGAGAGTTGCGCTGATCAATGCTAGTGGTCGAGATTTTCGGGAGGTTCTGGAGCTCCCATGTGGACGTTGTACGCAGCAGGACTGAACCCCAGGACCTTTAAGAAGACTGAAGCTGCCCTTGTCCAGAACACCTATGACAACCCTGCGGCATTCCCGAAGATGATTTGGAGCACAAATTACACCCGCCTGGTCTGCCAGACCATGTTTACTCTGTTTTGGGCTGGACGCGACTTTGCTCCGAAGGCGATTATCAATGGGATGAACATTCAAGATTATCTGCAGAGCCATTTTATCGCCGCATGCAAGCACTTCGCGCAAAAGATTCACGAGGCAGGTGACCTAGAGTCCCAGGTGATTATCGGCTGGGAGAGCCTGAACGAACCTCATCGTGGCCTTGTGGGTCTTCAAGATCTCTCAGTGATTCCGCCCGAGCAGCAACTCCAGTTGGGCACGTCCCCCACAGTATTTCAAGCTATGCTGACTGGGGCCGGCCGTGCTTGCGAACAGACGACATGGGCCTTTGGCAGCTTTGGCCCCTATCAGACCGGCAGAGAACTCGTGGACCCAGAGGGAGAATCGGCGTGGTTACCAGCCGATCATGATGATAGCAAGTATGGTTGGCAACGAGATCCCGATTGGAAGCTTGGTGAGTGTGTATGGGCACAACATGGAGTCTGGGACCCGTCTACAGACACGCTCCTTCAAAAGGACTACTTCTCGAAAGTCCCCCAGACTGGTGAGAAGCTTGACTATGAAAAATTTACCAACAGCTATTTCCTGGACCACTATCGTGCATATAAAGACGCTATTCGCAGCGTCTGGCCCGAAGCTATCATGTTGTGCCAACCACCTGTCATGGAAGTTCCTCCTGATGTAAAGGGAACGCCTGACGATGATCCAAATATGGTCCATGCAGTGCATTACTACGACGGCCTGACTCTTCTGACGAAGCATTGGTAGGCGCTATCAGCTCTCACGATGGTTACAGTGCTAATGGCCACAGGAATCGACTATACAATGTGGATGTTATCGGCGTCCTTCGAGGCAAATATCTCACCCCGGCCTTCGCAGTCAAGATCGGCGAGACCGCGATCCGGAACTGCTTGCGAGACCAGCTCAAATTCCTTCGCGAGGAAAGTTTGAATTACATGGGGAACCACCCACTGTTGTTCACTGAAATCGGCATCCCGTACGACATGGACGGTAAACAAGCATACCAAACCGGAGATTACAGCAGCCAGATCAGCGCTATGGATGCGAACCACTTTGCTCTTGAGGGAAGCACCTCCAATGGGTTCACGCTGTGGGTTTATGTGACACAGGTAAGTTTGACCCCTCCTGAGGTCAGGTATGGCTTTCTCTGACACTATTTAGAATGACCATGAATGGGGCGACCAATGGAACGGAGAAGATCTGTCGATTTACTCTCCCGAGGATCTCGAATTGCCCGGTGGGACCAACATCCGCTCCATGAATCCTCACTCTGCGGCCTATTCCGAAAGCCAGAGTAGTGGGGAAGAGTATGAGGTCGGACCCCGTAACCTCAAAGGTGCATTGGTATCGCCATCCATCACCAGAGAACACTCCCAACCACCGCTTCGAGAGAAACAGGGTTACCGTGCGGCCGAGGCATTCCTGCGCCCCAGCCCTGTCTACGTTAGCGGGCGGATGGTCAACCACGTCTTCGATCTCAAAAATTGCACGTTCACACTGTCATTGAACGCCAAGGTGCCGACGACACCTGAAGCTCCCACCGAGATCTTTCTCCCGGACTTCCACTTCCCGGAACCCAACACGGTCGTCAAAGTCAGTGGCGGCAAGTGGGAGATTGACATCCAGGAAATCAGAACTGTCAAGATCCAGCGCCTACGGTGGTGGCATGCCGAAGGGGATCAATCTCTCAAGGTCGAGGGGGTCAAGCGCAAACCGGGCGGGCTCGAACACCCATCCGGAGAGGATATCAGTTACCTCGAGCAATGCCAGCGGGGCCAATGCGTGATGATGTGATGCCACTTTTGTTCTTATGATATTTCAATTGCATCTGGGTTATAGCTTTCGGCGTGCTTACTTGGGGAATGAATTCCATCTGGTTGCTTTTTATGTTGAGCCAAGATCCATGGATCGCAAGATAAGATAAACAATCGGTGACGATGAGGGGCAGGCGACGATGGCACCGGTGGGAGGGCAGGGCCGGAGACGGGAAAGCAATGGAAGAGAGCGACTCGTAGTCTATACTAGAATAATGTCGGAGTCGGCGAGGCCATCGAGAGTGAGCGGTGTGTGAGCGCGCGACTGCCCCTCTGGAAAATTCTCAGCCCCGTCCAACTCACGAACTCGACTTCTGCGGCAACTCACCCTGTCTTTCCCTTCTTGTCTCTTCCCACCACCCACAACAAAACTCGCCTACTCCCACCTCCCCACCCCTTCTCTCCTTCGTTCACACTTCCCGCGTCGCTCCCTCGCCTTCCAATGGCCGTTGCTGCCGTGTCCGCCTGCTAAACTGACAGACGCGCCGGACGGTTTCAACGGCCATTCCCTGCCCAGCCGGGACGACCTCGACCGCTACCCTCCGATCATGAAGAAAGGTTTTCAATACCTCTGATACGAGACGAACGAGCAAACAGCTGAATACTACACCCTGGACTGGACCCTGCCGACAAAATGGCTGCGGAGGAGCTGTCAGAGGGCGGCATGGCCGACATCATTCGCGCGCTGGAGCTGATTCACAGCCCCTCGTCCACAAATGAATTACGCAAGGAAGCCCTGACATTCGTGGAGTCCCTAAAAGACAGTAGTGCGGCGGCACGGAATGGCTTTCTGCTGGCCTCCCGCGCAGACCACGCGCCTGTGGTGCGCTACTTCGGCCTGACTCTCTTGGACCACGTCCTACGCCACCTGTCTTTTACCAACACGGAGGAATGTGCGAATGTTCGGACCATCGTCTTGCAGCTGGCAGAAAACATTCGACCGGAAGACCCGGCTTATCTGCGCAACAAAATTCCTCAGCTGTGGGCGGAGACCGCGAAGAAAAGCTGGGGACTGGATTGGATGGATATGGATGCTGCGCTGGTTCAGTTCTGGGGCGCCTCGCTCGTTCACAAAGAGCTTGTGCTCTCCGTTCTGGAGACTTTGTCCGAGGACGTCTTCTTCCGCGAAGACATAGTGTCGTCGCTGCGCGGGACGGAACTGAACCGGGCCCTAGTGGAGATTTTTACCCCTGCCGGCATCGTCGAACAAATCAATCCGGATAGTAGTACTAATGCGTTGCTGCGCTGTGGGGAAGAAGGCTGGATTATGCGCATCTGCGAATTTCTTGAAAATTGTGTCCAGAACGTTTCGAGTTCGCCGCAAGCTCGGGATGCGGCTATCAAAGCTCTGGCGACTCTTCGGTCTGCACTCTCGTGGTCTGTCTACAAAGCAATTGCGTCGGCGCCGGTTGTACCCAGTATCTTCAGGGCATTGACCTGTCAGGATGAGCAAGTGCTGCTCCGAGCTATTGAGGCATTGCACGCATTGTATGGAAGAAACAACATGGGCAACGAGGAATCACAATCACTGGTCTGTCTTGTTTACGATACGGATTATCTGACCATTCTCCAAAAACTCTACGAATGGTCAGTCGTGGGGCCGGACGATGTCGATGAACCCAAGTATTTGATTTCCAAAAAGCTTTCAGAAATGATGTCGTACCTTGCTGGCTGTCTGGAGGATGATAAGTTCCTACGGGACAACATGCATCGATTGAACCTTCCGCCATTTGTCCACTTCATGACCAGTATCATGCACCATCAGAGCCTGACGGTCTCGATCCCTGTCCTACATGCGTGGACGAAGTTACTTGGGGTTGAGAAGATTAGCGGCTTGGACTTCGTTGTGGACCTTACTCCCCAGTTACTCAACATTTGCACTTCCCGATTGATACGCTGGGAGTCACTTCCCACGGAGTCGGATGATCCTACGGTTCAATTCCTCGTTGAAGATATCGATACCATCCCAGAACGGCATGCATTCGTCGGCAACTATCGCCGATACTGTTCGTCAGTTATCGAAAACATCACCCAAAAACGTCCTCAAGAGGCAGTGAGCGAAATTCTTGGAAGAGTGGATGAAAACTTGAACAATCTGTACAGCGGTGCGGAGCCGTTTAGCGTGGAAAAATTCAGCAAATCCACCATTCCGCTCATGCGTGCGGATGCCCAGTTCGCAGTCGTGGAGGCGGTTATCAAGGGTTACAACAAGTGGATCATCGCCCACGGCAAAGCGCCCCAACGAGATGTATTAATACATATTGAATTATTCCATGTCTTCATTGCTAATGATCGATATAGGAGCAAAAAAGAATTGAGTTGGAACATGCGGTGGAGAATTGGGCCTCGAGTCTGATGCAGAGAACTTACGATGACCCGGTCATGAAACAAAAGGTCATCAAGCTTGTTGTTGACATTTCATCCAAAGCCCTGAACAATCATTCGGGGTTTGCACTCAAAGCTCTCGAGCATATTCTTATGACCCGACTCACCGATCAGCCTGATCACCCTGCCTACTCCGAGGCCGTTAAGGAGCTTCACGGACTGGCCAGTCATGAACTGCGCCGCCTCGCCATGCGATATGCGGACGATTTCTCTGTAAGTTAACGCGAACAATGCTTCAAAGCTTTGTGGGAGATACTGACTTGGCCGTGTACATAGGCCTTCTATGACGTGCTTGAACCAAAGATCAAAGAGATCACCCTGACCAATCGAGTGGATGACAAGCTGCAAATGGAGCTGACCTCGATTCTTCTCATCATCATGTATCATGATCGTCTATACGGTGTGTTGAGGGCTCATACTAACTTGGTACAGGCAACGAGCGAACAATGTCGACACGTTTTTGCAGCAGTCTCGGCTATCATCCTTCCTTGAACCCATTCGACAGGCATGGCAAGACGAGGAATTCAAGCGCATGAGCTCTTCTTTCGACAGCTTCTGCCACATGCTTGGATTGGAGAACGTCGGTCCGTACATGCAGGGCAAGCAAGCACATAAATTTCTGGATTGGTCGTCTGTTTCTCTCGACAATGAAGGGAAGCTAGTGCAGGAAGAAATGACCCGGAAATTCCAGGTGGGTGATATTAACTACTTCTTACGATCTCGAGCTGATGGACAAATCGTAGTTGCTTCCATTGCGCGGTACCAAGACCATGCTGGCCGTGTCTACGGACAAGTTGAAGAAGACAGCCCCAGCGTACGCAGTTGCCTGCGAAATGTGGCATGATCTAATCCCTCAAATTCTCACAACGCTTCTTCAACTAGTCAGGTGAGTCCTAACCTCTTGTTTCAAGCCATGAGACTAACCAGCTGGGCTAGTCATGCCCATGCTTTCCACAATCCCGCCAACTGGAATGTTTCGGATGACATGCGTGCTGTTGTCGAACGAATCTTGACCGACCGTTTCTGGCAGGCTGGCATCTCCAGCGGCAGCCGTGACGAGTTCTATGCCCGGATTACCGCCTCCAAGGCCACGCTCGAGGGATTTGCCTCCTCTGTCCGAGGTAAAATCCGAGCGGTCCGCGAAGCCTGCTATTCGATGCTGTTTAGCATGAGTAGAATGCGTGAACATTTCTACGGATTCGCCGAACTCCCTGGTCCCCTATCTGAAGCTCTATTCAACGACTCATCCCATCTCTCTTCTCATCAGTTTTCTGTACTCCTTAACATCTCCCGCTGTCTGATCGATGATTGTCCTGTACGATTCCGCAGCCAATTCCTGCCACCCATGCTTGCTGCCCTGTTTGCCAATATCGACCTTAAAGTCACCGCGGAATGGCAGGTGATTGAGCAGCGGAGGACCGGCGTTTCTGATGGCAATGACCTCACCGACGAGATGAAATCTGAAAGTGTCCTACGCCAGTTGACATATTCTGCCGTGATCATGGTTGCCAGCCTATTCGATCCGCAGAGAGGCGGTATGAAGTTCCCCCTATATATTTCGCCGATCCGGGTGACCACAGACCCAATACTGATGCCATACGACCGACCAGACCCAGATAGAGCCGAGGCAGATCCCAGCGCACCTCAGACGACACCAGAACAGTCTGATTCAATCCGACACTTCGTACTTTCTTCCCCCGAGATTTTCGAGCCCCTCATGCTTTTCTGCACGCACGCTTTGAGCATGCGTGATACCAGATGCTGCAGCATTATCACTCGAGTGATCCGATCTATTTTGCAGGACTTTGCACCCCCTAACAACAGCCCTACCACCGTGACGATCCGCGAATTCATCTGCACCGACGTCCTCAAGGCGTGCATCACATCCGTCCACGAATCATACTTTGTGGACATGCAGAAGGACCTCGCCCAGCTGATCGCCTCGATCTGGGTTCTCTACGGGCCCTGCAGCTCGACTCCCCGCTCCGTCTTCCTCAGCTTGCCTGGACTGGACGAGCAAAAGATCGCGCAGACCGAGGCCTCCCTTCACAGATGCGCTTCTCCGCGGCAGCAGCGTGCCATCATCCTCGAACTTCTCGAGCCCCTGCGTGGCGTCAGCATCGCTGAGCAGGGTAAGATTCTCGGCTCCCGCGAGGAACGCCGCAAGGCTCGCACTGCCCTGCAGGAGAGATACATGACCAACGAGATGGAGACGCAGCAGCAGAGCCACCGAGTCGATATCAACGATGGCCCCGATCTCGGCGGTGTTGCTGACTTGTTCGGGTGATCCTCTCATCCCTCACTTCTGAATTCGTTGATCCCGATGTCGTTTTGTACATACGTACAGTGACCCCCAGTTCCTGTCGAACTCGAAGCATTTCAAAGAACGCATCTTTGTTTTCGTCTTTCTTTTCAGTTTCATTTCTTCTTCCTTCATTTCTTTTATCCCGCGTCTGAAACTTTATGGATTACCCCTTGTGCCGTTGGAGCGTGGTGGCGCTCTGAGCATAATTCAATAGATGAGAAAACAAAAAGGCAATCCCAACGTGCTCAAGCACAGTTCTAGACAGATACCCTGGTTACTGTTTCCTTGAGATGTGTAGATGAGGCAAAGAAAATCATGTTGCGAGACTGAACTAGACCAGTAGTAGGTATATCTACAGTTTTCTTCCGAATCATGCCACCACATCCATCCATCCACCACCACCACCACATCTTCTTCATCCCCATCACCTTCGAGGCTTCAAATCCAACGCGGCACGGTCCTGCCCACATTTCACGAAGTGATTAAACGAATCACTCCCTTGCACAACGGGTCGTACAACACCAAACCAAAAAAGCACCGAGTCATATCAATCCTAGACAGGCGAGAAGTCTATTGGGTAACCTTGGACGGGGTATAGACGAAAGTCGGGCGGATGAAGCGGTCAGAGTTATAGATTTTCTGATCGGTGCCCAGGAGCTCCTTCTCGCGGGCCTTGTCGGCCAGATGGCGGCGGACCTGGTCGCGGTCCTCCTCGGCTTGCAGGAGGGGGGTCAGGTATAGGCGGGACCAGATCTTCTCGCGGGCGAGTTCACTGTTGTTGTATCGATATGTTAGTAAACCATTCATTGAATGTTCTCTTCTTTCGTTGTGGCAGGAGATTGATTGAGAGAGCGGGTTGAAAGATAGTTGGAGATTGAATTAAGAGGGTGGTGGGAAGCCGGCGCGACACGTACCGTTGCTCGCGGACGCCGTGGAAGTACTTGTAGAAGCCGTAGGCCATGATCATGTGCATGCCGACGAGGTAGTAGACCGGCTTGAAGCCGCGGGCTGGGACGTTCCGCTGTTGTTGGCGAGAGGGTTAGTCTTGTCTGCCGTCTGGCCGGTGGGATTTCCCGAGAGCAAATCGGATGGCGGAATCGGGTCAATGGGCGTACCTTGTACTGGACAGAGGCATAGCCCCCCGTTGGGGGCATATCCTGGGGCATGATGGCGGAGGGGTTGGACTGGGGAGAATGAGAAGAAGCACCGGAAGTTGAAGTCGGCGATCGAAGGGTGAGAGTTTGGTCACGTGGTCCGGAACAGGCGGTCGTCAATTGGCTGGCGGGAGCGGACGGTCTTTTTTGATCGGATCTACACAGAACTGCCGTCTGCACACTACGCAATGGAGGATGAAGAACGCCCGAAGAAATTGCCCAAGCTGGGCCATGACGACAAGGAGACCGAAGAGCAATTGGGCCCCGCCATGACCGGAGCGGTGGCCCCAACCAACGAGACCGACGATGCGAAGGATACCACCACCGAACCCCCTCCAATGTCCAAAAACCAGTTGAAAAAGCTCCGCAGAAGAGAGAAATGGGATAGCCAGCGTGAAGTTCGTAAGGACAAGCGAAAACAACAGCAAGTCAATAAACGCGAGCGGCGGCGCCAAATGATCGAGGAAGCACGAGAGAAAGGTGACGAGGAAGCGGTGGCCGAGCTGCGGAAGAGCTGGGAGCGCACGAAATCGAAGCATCGGCGCTCTACGCTGCTTCCGCTCACCTTTGTAATGGACTGTGGCTACGACGAGCTGATGAAAGAGAAAGAGCGCATCTCGCTGGCGTCTCAGTTGACTCGCTCATACTCCGACAACGCGGCCGCGCCATTCCGGGCACACTTGGCCTTCAGCTCGTACAACAAACTCCTCAAGGACCGCTTTGAAACGGTGCTTCCGGGACACAAGAACTGGAAGGAGATTCGCCTTCTGCCCGAGGACTTTGTCCATGCTGCCGAGTCAGCCAAGGAACGGATGCTTCCGCCGCAGGGGGGACAACTTGTTGGACCGTTTGCCGACAAACAAGAAGCAAAACCCGAGGATGGAGAGATAATCTACCTTAGCAGCGACAGCCCGGATACCTTGACCGAGCTGAAGCCCTACAGTACCTATATCATCGGCGGGCTGGTGGATAAGAACCGGCACAAGGGAATCTGCTACAAGGCGGCCACGGAGAAGGGTATCAGAACGGCCAAACTGCCTATTGGGGAGTATATTCAGATGACAAGTCGCTCGGTCCTGGCCACGAATCATGTGGTGGAGATCATGCTTCGGTGGCTTGAGGTCAGGGACTGGGGGGAGGCATTCATGCACGTCTTGCCAGCACGGAAACAGGGAAAGCTGAGGGAGAAGAAGGAGAATGGTGATGATGCCGATGACGATAAGGAGAAGGAGGGTGAAGATGCGGGAAGTGACAGTAACGGGGTGGAAGCAGAAGAAGAAGCAGGACAAACCGGCGATCTATAGAATAATCATCACGTGATGTTTGGGCGACGAGCGATGTATTACATAAGTATGATCAATGACGGCAGTGATTTTCTTCTTTTCTTGCGCGTTTCTGGTTTTTCTCTCTCTTCACTGTTGACACAGGCAGAAGAAGGTCTCTCCTTTGCTTCTCGCCCACCGTCATATCTTCCTTGTCTCTCCCTCTCCCCTTTCCCTCCACCTCTCCGCTCCCACACCTCTGTTGCCCGGCAGCAACTACCCCTCGCCACCATGTTTATGCTCCGCAACGGTAAGTAACGCGCTGTTGAATGCCCCGCCAAACCCAAGCCCCTCCATACCAACCCCTACCTGTTTTATCACTAGCCGGGAACTAATATCTGTCCTCTCTAACAGTGAGCAAATTCATATTCGGCGATACTTCCAAAGAGTCGATCATCGAAATCCCACAAGGGCAGCTTTACCTTGTCCGACCGTTGTCGCCCAAGGGTTACTCTGAGCTCATCTTCAAGGACGCCGCGGCTACAATCCGCCGCACCGGTCAGGAGTTCCAGTACCAGCTGGTCATCCAGCGAGCCTACGAGGAAGGTGAGGAAGAACTCGCCGATGACGAGGCCGAGGAGGGTGGTGCCGACAGCTTAGACAAGGACGAGAAGATTTTCTTGCTCGACCAAACCTTGCACTTTCGCTCGGAGGTTCGTGACGGATCGGTAAAGATTCTGGCGTGGGATGATTTGAGCGGTGACGTCGGCGACCTCTTCGAGTTTATTTGCGACCCTTCGGTCCCTTCAGACAAAGTCGCTACTTTTGAGCTGGCCGCCCTTCAGTGCCAATACGAGCGCAAATTCCGTCGCAGCGCCCAGAAGGCCACGGAAGAGGAGCTACAGGAATTCTCATTCGGTGAGGAGAAGCTGATCCCGTCTGCGAGCCCAGTCTCGTCCCCGACCACGAAGTCTCGCGCGCATTCTTTAACCTCTGCCGATTCCGCCGCGGCAATGGCGCGCGATGTGAAGTATGCTCAGTCCAAGGGCCAGATCAAGACACCCGCGGCGGATGAGGAGCCAACGACTGCTCCGGCCGCTGCATCTCAGCCTGAGGCCAAGGAAATTCTTAGCAAGGAGAAAGCTGAGCTACATCTTTATGATTTCGCAACAGGAACCTTTGTGCTACAGGAGCCCGAAATCACCGCAACTGTGTCTGAAATTGGTACCTGGCAGTACTGGATGCAGATCAGCGGTAAGGACAAGGAGTGGTTGGGCCAAGCAGTCGTGGCAGACATCAACCCCGTCTTCAATTTTGAGTACCTCTCGTTCATCTTCAACCACTATGGCGAAGATGGCTCAGCCTACTCGTGGCTGCTACGATTCAGGGACCAGAACTCTGAAGAACGGTTCCAGGAAGGCCTGATGCAGGCGCTCTGGGAACAACTCAATGAGATTAAGTGGAACAAGGTCAAGGAGAAGGATCAAGAATACGTGTTGGATGCCTTCCAGGACCTCACCATGGAAGATGCGGATGACCAGCCAGATGAGGAAGAGGAGGAGGAAGCCGAGGAGGAAGACGAAAGTGATCAGGATGACGGCCAGCGCAGCGAGCACTACGACTCCGATGAAGAAGAGGAAGATGTCATTACCCGTGATGCAGACGGGAATGTCAACTCTCAGCTGGCAGTGGGCTACAAGCACGACCGATCTTTTGTCGTTCGAGGATCGAAGATTGGCGTCTTCAAGCATACACCCAACAACAACCTCGAGTTCTCTACAAACATCTCAAAGGTCCAAACTCCCAATGGCAAGCTCTTCAGTCCCAAAAAGGTCATGCTGCATGCGGAGGATAGCAACATGGTGCTGCAGAACGGGGACGATCCGAACTCGCTGTACCGGATGGATCTCGAATACGGAAAAATTGTGGACGAGTGGAAGGTCCACGATGATATTCCCGTAGAGACTTTCGCTCCAGAAAACGTGAGTTGTCTTTTCCATGTTCGAAAGATATATTGACTAACTATCTTAACAGAAATTTTCCCAAATGACATCTGCGCAGCCTTTTGTAGGTGCATCCAAGAATGCCCTCTATCGGATCGACCCTCGTGTATCTGGTAACAAGCTTGTCGATGCCGACCTCAAACAATACGTCAGCAAGAACGACTTCTCGGCCATGGCCACCACCGAGAAGGGCTACCTTGCCGTCGCATCGAACAAGGGTGACATCCGTATGTTCGATCGACTAGGCATCAACGCAAAGACACACATTCCTGCGCTGGGCGAGCCGATTATTGGCCTTGATGTCTCTGCTGATGGACGCTGGGTGCTGGCCACATGCCGCACCTATCTCCTTCTCATTGATTCGCTGCAAAAGGACGGTAAGAACGAAGGCAAGCTCGGGTTCGAGAAGTCATTCGCCAAGGACGCAAAGCCCCAGCCCCGTCGCCTGGGCTTGCAGCCCGCACATGTCGCACAGTTCCAGCATGAGACCAAGCAGCCCCTCAGCTTTACCCCTGCCCGCTTCAACACCGGTGTCGAGAGCGAAGAGACCTCCATCATCACCGCCACGGGCCCCTTCATCATCACCTGGAGCCTGAAGAAGGTCTTGGCTGGCCGCAAGGATCCCTACACTATCAAACGCTACGAGGAGAACGTCATGGCCGACAACTTCCGCTTTGGCTCAGACAAGAATGTCATTGTTGCTCTTCCCAACGAGGTCAACATGGTCGCCAAACGCAGCTTCCAGAAGCCCACGCGCGAGAGCATCGCGGGACCTGTGACACCCAGCCGGCGCAGCACCGGTGGTCGATGGGGTAGCCGTCTCGGCAGGAATGACATCGTCAACTCCCCGTACTAATCTTCTCCTTCGTTGAACTCTTACTTTATTTCTCTTTGAATTTTGTACCATTATTCCCATACCCCCTGCTGTTTTTTTGCTTCCTTTCTGTATCTATTTCGGATCCCCTTGGCCTTTTTGCTACATCTTCTTCCCGTTAATTCGTTGCGCGCTTTGGAGCGAGGAACTGATGCAGGAGACGATGAGATAGTCGCTTAGATAGCTTAGGTAGTATCCAGGACAGATCAACGTCGATCGATCAATCAATCAATCAATCATGTCTCTGACTTAACTTGCCTTTAGATAGACCTTTAGATATAGACGCTATGCGGGAGTGCTATCTCAACGTCTTCTTTATAGGTACAGTATTGTTATTATTGACTTCCCATTCTAAGTGGTTGTCATATTCATCCACTGGGCATCTCCTAATCTCGCGATATATATCGCCATCGCCTCCATGAGGAACGAACGCTAAACCAGCCAACAATCGAACGCAGACAGAAGGCAGGACAGCGATAGAGAAGATCCAGCATCGCACCGCTGTCCGGGTATTCGAAGGAAATGCAGCCAACCCGATTTTTCTTTCCCTTTTCCTCCACTCCGTAGATGAAGATCCAGGTTCACCATACAAGCCCAATGCACAGTCACATCCAATTATTGTGGTCTTTCTTGCCTTCTTTTTTTCTTGTCACGTGTGTTTTTCCTTTGCTTGTTTCTTTCCTTTCCCTTTGTGCCATCCCCTATATGCGCTGTTCACCTTCTCCGTCCTCCGATATGTATACATCTGCACCAGCAGTATATACGCAGTGCATTTACGACCCAACATACCACACCTCAACGCCGAGGATATCGAACTTGTCGCCTTCATCGGAGAGCGGCTCGTTGCCGAAAGTTTGGCAGTGGGCGCTGACGCCCTTTTCCAGGCTGGAGTCCACCCATAGCCCGTAGCGGCCATCCCTGATAATTGAACCCGTGAGCAAAATATGGAAACGAATAACCATGGATGGAAGAATTGTTACTTACCCGCCACCCAGACTCAGAAACCCGGTCTCGCAAAACATCATGTAGTCGTTCACGCCACTGTACGGGAAGGCCTTGAAGCGGATCCGTTCCGGGGTGCTGGCGCCGCTGCTGCGCGAGGGAGCGGTGATAGAGGACGGAGACGGCGGGGCGAGAGCACCACCACTCGCCGCCGCGAGGTTGGTCTTGATATTCATATTGAGATTGTGAGCAGGCGAGTCCGAGCGGGCGGGAGACTTCGATTTGGGATCATTGCGCAGGGTACTCCATCTTCCAGCGTTGGTAGTATCCGCTGAGGGCGGGGGTGGAAGACCAAAGCGCTCGAAATCTTCCTCCGACTGGGGCCCGTCGCCGGTAAAGGAAAGAGGCATGGTCGAGGGCGGCGGGAGCACGCTCGCCCGCCAGAGAAAGCACTCGCCCGTGCCGAAGAACTGAGAGTTCGGGTGCGGGGCGTCGGTCATGTAGGCGCCGAAAACTGCGCCGGCGGGGGAGGCGTCGCGGACGACGAGCACGTAGCCCGCCCGCGGGCTGCGGTGCGAGAATCGCTCGCAGTTGTCGTACAGGGTTGCCAGGGATGCGCCGTCGCGGTCAAGGCTGTAGGCAAGACGCCAGTTGTCGGCGAGCTGGAGGCGCGCGGGGACGAGCAGGCGGATTTCCTCGGCGAGGGCGCGGGTGAGCAGCTGTTGCTGGAGCAGGTCGGAGCCCGTGGGCACGGTGAGAGTGAGTGGTGTGAGTGGCGGGGGCTGGAAGGGGGAGGCTGTTCGGCGCGGAGTGAATATTTCCGAGGACGAGGAGGCCGTCGACCATGGTGAGGAGGAGGGCATGGCGGCTATGCTTGGGTCCGTCAGACGGCGGTAGAGGCCTGAGACGACGTGCGAGACGGGATACGAGAAGTAGGATGCGGCGGAGTTGTATGAGGAGGCGGAGGAATTATTGTTTCGTCTTTGGGGCGTGCGGGATCTGGAGCGTGGAGTGGAGGTGGGAGGGGAGTCGGAGGAGGTTATGTCTCCCTGTGATGAAGACGACATGCGGACAGGGACAAGTCAATTGAAGGGTTCAGGTAGTAAACGGAGGAATACAGAGTGAAGAAGAGGCCAACGAAAGTTGGCTGGTTCGCCGATACGCGCTTATCATGTGGGGCGGGTCAGCATTGCCGGGTGCAACCCAAACTTACAATGGATTTTCTTCACAACAAACTCATACAAGCTAGGATTATGATTATTGAGGCAATGGCATGACTGTTGTTGCACAAGGAATGGTCAGCATGATACTTTCCCGAGCTCAGAATAGTATTCTGACTGGATATCCTGACATCGAATCTATACTACCAACGCGGATGCGGGCACCCAGTGCACCACGAGACACGCGGCAGTGTCGTGGTTCTCCAGGCTTTTAGACCAAACGGGTGATATTCAAGTTTAGTTAGATCTGAATCATGTGTATTGCACGGAAGACCTGTCCGTTTTCCGATTTGCCATCTAATAACGCAATCATGAGCCCGTGGCAACATACAGACCGATATGAATGAAACCCAAAACATGTGTCTCCAGAATCGCAGCAACATACCACCACAAACCCAACATACAGAATATCTACGGCAATCAGCCATGTCCTCCCGGTCCACTCGCTCCAATCTGGGCAACCTCGTCAACCAGGACCGCGATGACGACGCCCAGAGCAAGGGCGGTTCGCAGTGGCGAAGGGCCGATCGACGGGCCACACAGAGCACGACGACAATACCTGGTGGCCGAAAGAAGCGAAGATCACCTACACCTTCGCGGAAGGCACGGGCTAGTACAGGGTCTGGGGCTGTAAGGCGGTCACAATCCGTTAAACGGTCTCGTTCGCGTGCGCGGCCGGAGGAGTAAGAGATTAGAGAGATTTCGGGGAATTTGATAATGGCCAATCTAGGCAGACTGCATTGGAATTACACAGGTTTTTGGGGGTACTTATATTGATACCGTAGAACATAAGAGTAATCAACGTTGCGAGGCAGGACGCAGATCCACAGTCTCGAATTCGAGTCCGTTCGCTTCGACAACATGACCGGGTCTCAGCGCACCGGTATAGATGTTCTCCTGGGCATGCGGGTGGAAAAGTCCAGTTTGAGTGCAGTTCAGCACCGTCTTCAGGCCCGGTGGATCAGTGAGCCGGAACACGCCCCAGCTCGGGTCCTTGCTTGGCGCACATACGATGGCGATGCTCTCCGGTAGCATCACCTGGTAGCCGCAGTGGGTATGGAGGTCACGCGAGCTCATGAAGCATGTCTGTGACGGGTGTGTGTGAATCCAGCCGAGCACCATCAGGTCCTCCGAGTCGCAGTAATCAAAGATGGCGGATTCGTTGACCGTTTCACAAGTGTCAGGGGTGGAGGTTTGTTCCGGGATCAGGAGCTTTGAGATAAATAAAGCGTTGGAGACCAGTGTTCCACAGAGAATGGCACATGTCTCTAGATTGCGGCGGGTGTTTGAGGAGGCCACAGATAAGAAGCGGGAGCGGAGGTCGGCCGGCAAGAAGACCGAACGTAGAGGAGTGCCGTTCTCAAGATACGCGGAGGGTTTAAAAGTGTAGCTGGAAGGATCGAGGTCGGGTCGTGCGGAGGTTGTGGCGTCAGGAGGTTGTTCTTTCTGGGGGACAAGCGGAACTGGTGAAACCTTGGATGGAAGCAGTGGTGGGCTTGATTCCAGTGATCCATCTACAATAGATGCTCGGCTGGGTTCAACGAACTGCTCTTTGGGAGGCAGAATTGGTGGCGGCTGGCGCTCTGCATTCCTGTCATGGATGGCAATGCGACCTGCCGAAATCGGCTCGAGCGGCTTCTGCCGTGGAACCGTGGGGTACTTATATGCCGTGGACGGCGAGGCCACTCGGGCAGCAGATGAATCTTGGGCATGGTGGCGATGATCAGTTGATGTGTGATCGATATTGTTCCTCAGGTGCTGGATCCGCCGGCTCAAGTCGCGATCCGCTGACGGGCTGTCCGTTTTCAAGGCGTCTTCCCAATCGCCCCAGACCCCTGCGACACGTTTGTTGTCCCCTAAATCGCCCGGCGGCTCCTTTGAGCGTCGAACTGTGGCTCGGCGGTGGATCTCCGACTGCGCCAGACGAACAGCTAGGTCTCTGTTTTTCCCCGCTTCCAGAGGTTCGACTACACCAGCCAGGGCGGGATCGGGCACCCCATCTCGCTGTTCCGCAATGGGCTGCTGTACTGCAGACTGTTTTCGAGCCTGGCGTTCCTTGATTAACTGAGAGTAGCGTTCGTATCGCTTGTTGATCCGCGGCTTGAGGACTTCTAGCTTGGCGAGGTTTTTCTGCACCTCCTTCTCGGCTTCCACGAGGGCTCTGCGCGTCTTGTCATCTTTGGCGTCGGGGTGGCTGGAGAGGTTGACCAGGACCAGCTGGGCATGTCGAAAAAGCAGCAGATAGACTTGCTCGTCGCGTCCCTCGCGCTCGTAGATATCCGCCTAGGTGTTTCGGACGAGTCAGTGGATGGCCAACGCAAAGGAGATGGAGGGTAATTTCTGACCTCTCGAACGAGCGTCGCCGCTGTCCTCAGCCAATACCGCAGCGGAATGGATGAGTTGTACTCGTAGTCCTGGGCGATTTTGGTGATGGACTCGACGCTCTGAGGCGGGGCAGCGCCAGGGCCGGATGGGTGCGTCATGGCGAACAAGAAGATGCGATCACCGCGGTGCGACGACCAGCAGCAGATGTAGATGAATGAGCCGCATCGAGGCGGCTGGTAGAGGGTTGGGCCAGTCAGAGAGTGGAGGGAAGATCAAAGTCAAGTGGGTGCCTGGTGGATGCCGATTGTTGTTGCGATAACTAATCAAATAAAAAGTTCCTCTCTATCTCTTGCGTTCGACAACTCCCAAGCTAAGCAAGCTCAATGGCTGCACGGCAATGACCCCCCAGTCTCGAACCTGAGGCCCATCGCGCGCTTCCCAATAACACAGACCCTATACGATCATGTCTGGTCGAACAAGGGACGCATCGTGCCGAGGGCGCAGCTGGTGAGCGACGGGCTGTGCGGTAAGTCGTTACCTGCATCTTGATTCGCAACCGGAACGCTGAATGTGCATCGGCAGATGATATTCTCCACCGCCTGTCTCCCTTCCTTCGCAGGGACGCTCCGGTCGACGTTTTGGACTTATGGCCCGGCTGCGGCTTGTGGTCTTCCAAAGTCAACGACCTCCTTCAGCCTCGTCGTCATGTTCTGATCGAGCCATCCCTCCAATATTTCGGCCCCATGCTCCGGCCCCTTGCCAACAGCAAGCCATGCTACGAACTCCTGTCCATGAATATTTATAAAACGAACAATTGGGAGGATATTATGACAAGATACCTGCCAGAGCAAGGGCCGCCGAGCGGAAATAATGCCGATTCGTTACCGAAGAACGATACACTACTCGTTCTGGCCAGCCCGACGCTTCCAGTCTCCAAAAGGGACCATTATACCCCGTCGCGTTGGTGGTCCCATCTGATGGAGAGCTGTATGCAACAATCTGGACTTCATAGGTACGGCAGCGTGCGCGTGTTGGCTTCGCTGCCGGTTTCAGAAATGCAGGCAGTCCTACCACGGGCCGTTCACCATCGCAAGCGCACGTCTATTCTGACAGATACTGTTGCTTTACACGCGTTTGAGGTCGCAAGCCCTTACGACTCCGATACTGAGTTGTTGTGTAATATCAAGGGGTGGGATGTGCTTACTCGCGGCGCGAAACGGGTGGCTGAGCGGACCGCAGCACAGGAGATAACTACTCCTGCCGGTCGAGAACCTGTTGCCATATCGATGGCACCCGAAAGCCCCGAGGCTGGCAAAAATCCTCTTCCTCATATTCCGCGACTATTCGTCGATTCCCACAAACAGATTTTGAAGGACATTGCACGAGGCCGACAGGCTGAGAAGAAGGATGGACCCGACAAACAAAAGCACAAGCGAATTGCAAGCACGGCTATCAGTCGGCTAAAACATGAAAACTCACAGGCACATGCGCGCGAGGTCATTGCGAAAATGGGCCTGGAGCTCGACGAATTGAGTCGCACATTGTCGCGCGCCGCGGCCAATCCCACCCAGAGTCACGAGCAGTTGAGGTTGCTTGATGACCAGATCGCAACTCTTCAGTCTGCCTTGAATGAGAAGACGAGCCGGGCTCTGGTAAAGTTTCGGAATCCGGCCCTCCAACGCATCGATGACGACCGTGCGGCAGAGCAATCCAACAATTTCGATGATTCCATCCTGCTCTGGGATCGGCGGCCATTTGAGCCGCTACGTATTGATCCAGAAGAGGAATATCCTCGTGAGAAGTCCCGATGTCTCGTTTACTTTGAAGCGGACCCGAACCCACCCATCATCCAACACCTCCACTCCTTCCCACCTGAGGAACAGCATGATCTGCTCCGGATCTATGAATCCTTTACACTCGCCGCCAACAACCGCGGCGCCATGCCGTTGTCTGACTTTCTGACATTGATTTTCATCAATCGGTCCATCAATGACCTTGTCAAGGCTATTCCGAGCCTTGCTCGGTACGCTACCAAGCGGCTCAAACCCGGAGCAGGCCCTATTGCATTGGAAGATTCCAATACAGCAGACCCAAATACCCTCTACCAAGAGAATTTGGACTACGACCTGAGCACTTGCCGGCTGCGGTCTCTCCCAGTTCGCGTCCTGTGGGACATCATAGTGGAGTACAAGCGGACGGCGACGAATGTATCGACGGTGCAGCTGAGCCGGATGCTAGGCGGGACGTTGACAGCCTTTCGGGCTGGAGGGGATTTTGTACCGGCCCAAAAATTGCACTGACCAGACATTTGTATGGTTTGTATATTATGATTAGATGGAACTGTATACTACCGCAATAATAATGTACAACAGAAACCAACACGGATACCCGCAAGGGACCCACTAACTATCGAGGGCACTTCTTACTTGCGTCAGCGGCGCCTATAGCTGCCCGAGTGAAAACTCCGGGACGAGCACGAGGGCGAAGCATTGGACGGGTTGATATACCCTGAGCTACATAGACCGACGAATAAACCTCAACCCGACTGGCGGCCGTTAGTCGCTCTCTACATAGTTCACAGCCAGACTGCGGCTCAGCCTCCACACCGATGAATTAATTTAAAATGAGATCGCCGACAAGTGAAATTTAAATCCCAAATCTAAACGCGGACCCCAAAGCGATCGGCGCGAACGCCAGGGCAAAAAAATGTAATTTCCCATTTTTCCGGTTGCAAACCCACTATGCCACCGTCGCATTGGGGCTTGCGGTGGTCCCTCCCGCCGGTTTTCTGTCACTCACTGCTCTAGTTAGTAGTGTACCAAATGATTATTAGTTTTTTCCGTTTGCTACGGTCGAGACCCGGCTGATCCCTCTAAGCCGCTTTTTCTTTTTCTTTTTGGCTGGTCAATCTTTAATTAGCCCTGATTTGCCGTCCCCCCGGCCGCACCCTGTCACGGCCAGCCTTCCCCCTCGGCTCTGGTTTCTTTTCTTTCTTGCCCTCGAAGAACTACTGACTGCTAATCATCAGTCACGGTGAACTTTCTGAGTCATTTCTCCCTGCCGGGGCTAATTGGCCTTGCTTTGTTCTTTGGTTACTATCCATCGCCACCGCGTCACCACCAAGTGCCAAAACCGTGGGATTATGAGAATTGCTGGAATCGCGCAATATTGTACTTGCGGCCGGTGGCGTCGTTGATATCAGTGATATCTCACTGGCGTTGGCCCTTGATCCTTGTCTCTTGCGGTGATTTTCTTTTTCGCGCAGATCATTTTCTCTCTCATAGATCGAGTCTCTATCATCTCCATCATCACGAATTTGAGAACAAACCGCTCGCAGTGCAAGCAACATGACGCCTGCACACTCGCCAGTGCAGCTGTCGGTCCAGACCAGCCAGGATGGCAAAGCACTTCCATTGCCGACTCCGACGCCGCCGAGTCTCACGCCTCCGGTGACTCCGACTGTCAAAGACCGCCGTGCAGCAGAACAGTCAATTCCCAGTCCTGTTGAGGCTCCAGCTAAAGCCAAGGGAGAACCGCTAGCCAGATCGAAAGTCTGGTCTCCGCTGCGGTTCCCGGACGACGTGGAAATCAGCCGCGACGCCCAAGACCGCCCCATCGAGTTCGGCCGCGGAGCTTGGAGCATCGTGTACAAAGCGCGATCAAAGCCCTGCATCACCTCAAGTCTTGCATCCTACACTCCGCCCAGCTCGCCCACCGCCGTGGGACGGGTACTGGCCGTGAAAGCACCGCTGCGGCGCGACGCACGCCCCGTGCTCCAAGCCGAATCCCTAACTCTGACGCGCCTCAACCTCACAACGGGCTACGAGCGCCACGTCGTCCCCTTCCACGGCTATCTCGCTGAGTCCGAGGCCCTTGTCATGTCAGCCGTTCCGCTCGCGCTGTCGACCTATATCGAAGACACGGCCGATCTGGCGCGGAAGAAGCAAACCACCGCGACGATGTTCAATCCCATCCAAGGACTCGGCGCATGGCAGGATCTAGCCCGCAAATTGATTAGCGGATTGGGATGGCTCCATGACACTGCGGGCATTGTGCACGGCGATATCAAACCGCACAATATCCTTCTGCGCCCTAGCGCTTCGGACAGTGACTCCGAAGATGAAAATACCTTCCCCTATGACCCGTTGTTCGCAGACTTTTCGTCCGCATTGGATCTCCCAACGGACGCTGCGCCTTCACCGAGCGATACGACCTCTCGCACAGCAATGTCTGCATTTACGCCGCCATTCACGGCCCCGGAACTGCTATCTCTCGCGTCCCTGACTTCTGGAGACGTTGCCCCAACGCCGGCCTCGGATGTTTTCTCTCTGGCTGCGACGCTACTGGCCGCTGCGACGGGCGATCTGCTCCTATATCCCGGGTCGAGTAACCTACAGCGTCTCGCGATGGCGCGCGAGGGTCAGCAGATTATCGAGTTTGCGCGCTCGGGCACGAACGGTTGCCGTGTCCCCCGGAAGGGAGCTGTCGAGCGTATCATCCAGCCTGCCGTGTGCAAAGATACGACGCAGCGCATTGCGCCGACGGAGTGGTTGATTCTTGCTTCGACTTGATGCCACTTTTTTTACATTCTTTTTTTCGTCACATATATCCAACGTTTCTTGCATTTAACCTTGATATATTCCTGATTTCTCTCGGAGACATATCACTCCTGTTGTTTCATTATTATTTTTGTCGAGATACCCTGTTTAAAAGGTGTTGGTGGAGAGCATGTTCGATATATAATAGATATGACATAATAATCAATATATTGTTCAATTCTCTGTGTAGCGTCATAATTTACTATTGGCCTGTTAAGTCTCTGAATCCAGCCCCTCCACATAGTTCTTCAGATCCTGCACCCAAAGCTCGAAGTTGTGATGTAGCTGTTTGCCATACATCCACTTGACCATATAAACAAGCCACCCAACCTGGCACTCCCAGTTTCTAACCTCCGTCCCGCGCAGGACATTCTCTCCCTCTGTAATCTCTACATCCTTAAGTTCGTGTACTCGCTCCGCCTTCAACAAGGACGGACTCATCGTGCCCGGTGCGTCGAAGTCCGACGCCCAGCAGATGCGCCCCGTAGTTCCCTTGGCCGCATCCGGAGAGACGTACTCGGTGATGACGAGGTGAACGTCTGTTGCTGGCTGGGGTTTGGAGGAGGTCGGGTCCATGCGGACGTGGAAGGTCAGCTTGGTTCCAAGTTGGAGGACCGATGATAGTGTGGAGGTATCGTTTTGGTCATTGTCAGAGGGTGTGTCGGGCTGCGAGCGGATCGTGACGCGCGGGACGAACGAGTTCCATGATGGCCAGGTCGAGGTGTCGGTTAGGGCCGCCCAGACTTTGGATGAAGGAGCCGCGATGAAGATCGAGCTGCCAAGCTGAAGGGTTGCGCTGGAAGCGAGAATGTTAGGGGTGTCGCGGTCAGCGTTGGCTGGGTCTGTGATGGATGTCATATTGCTTGTTTGTTGTTGAAGCTTGGGAGGTGGAGTGGCAACAGATCCGGAGATGATAAGGCGGCCCTTATCGCAGCCCCGGCCGGTTCCGTCATTCTTCCGATCGCCTCTGGTCTATGCCTAGCAAATATGGACATTGAGGTATTACGGCAGTTGATTGAGCTATATTTCAGTGTATAAGTCCCGGCCCCGACCTGGGGTTATTCCAAGCATCAATGATCGCTGGGGTAATTCCACCAATGGCACCGGTGGGCTCATCCGCCGAAATATAAATCCATCCACACGAGGGGCGAGTCTCCGCACTGTGGGGGAAGTTTCTCCTTGATCGGCGAGGCCAATTGCTCTACCGGGGACAAGCGCGCGCTGCTGGACTCTGCCCTGCCGCGAATATAAAGAACGAGAGTAAGTACCGGGGAAAAGCCAGTCTGCTGCAAAATCAAAATGCTAATCTCGAAAACAGCCGCTTTTGCGCTTTTCTCTTCGCTGGCTCTGGGGGCTCCAAACCCTAACCGCTCCCCAGACCGGTCTCGTCGCTGCGTAATACCGTCTTCCAATGGCTCGGCAGATGATTCTCCTGCCGTGGCACGGACATTTGCTCATTGCGCGTCTGACTCGGTCATTGTCTTCCAGGAAGGTGTGGACTACAACATCTTCCAGCCGGTCCGCGCAGTCAATCTGAGCAATGTCGAGATTCAGGTATACGGCAATCTGCATCTCCCGCAGAGTATCACCGCCATCCAGCGCATTGTGAATGATACTTCTGGATCCTTGTACTCTGACGGTCTGTACTGGTTTGAATTCGCCGGCCCACGCATCGACTATATTGGCTCTGCAAATGTCAACAGCGGTTGGATCAACTCTTACGGCCAGGCATGGTGGGATGCCAACCCTACCAATGGCACTGGAACCGCTGCCCGTCCGCATCTGATGAGCTTCGAGACTACTCACGGGTCGCTCAAGTACTTCAAGTCCCGCAAGCCGATTGCATGGAACGTGCAGCTATTGGGAGACGATATCACCGTGAGCCATGCATTTATCGATGCCGAGTCGACTGGGTCCTTTCCTTTCAACACAGATGGATTCGATGTTACCGCGACCAATGTCCGGATCTCGGACAGCGTCATCTACAATGGCGACGATGCCATCGCCGTACAGTCGGGTTCTCACAACGTGGTCTTTGAGAGGAACACTATCGGATATCAAAGCCACGGCATGAGCATTGGCTCGCTGGGCGAAGACCAAGCCGAGCCTGCAAATGTCACCAATATCCGATTTGAAGACAACACTGTGATCAACGCCGTCTATGCCGCACGCTTCAAATCCTGGGTAGGGGGACAAGGTTTGGCAAAGAACATTACCTGGAAGAACATCCGCGTATACAATGTCACCTTCCCCATCTTCGTGACCCAGACCTACACCAACCAGGGCTCGTCGGAGACCCAGCTCGGTGGCGGCTCCACTTCGGGACGGCCGAACAACTCATCTGTCATGATGGAGGACTTTACCTGGTCGGACTTTACGGGCACAGTCAACACCTGGCGACCGGGCGATGGCTCATGCGTGTCGGATCCTTGCTGGTATAATGAGGGCCTGCCCAACTTGAAGCACACCGAGGCTATCATCATCGAATGCAACACTGAGACATCGTGCCGGAACTTTGCCGTTGACAACATCCAGGTTATTCCTCAGAGTATGGCTGAGCCTACGGTGATTTGTCTGAATGCCACAGCCAAGCTTAACCCGGACCTGGGGTTCAGCTGCCGCAATGGCACGTATCTGCCTCAGGCCAACTAGGGCTAGCTTGCCTCAGTGTGAGGTCGCTCTTCCCTTATGTGAACAGGGAAGGTGCAATCCTGAATGTACATACCTATAGCAGATCAGCTTTGTTTTACTTTCTCTTCTTCTCTCTCCCCACCATCTGCTTTCATCTCAACCCCAGGTGGTGTTCCTTCGTTTCTGAAAGACGCTCATTCCACGTATATTCGGACCCGTTTAGTCCGTATCTGATCTTTATTTCTCTCGACTTTCGCTCGACACAATGCAGACGTACTATACTACCCCATTCCGCTACTATCCTCGCCCTCGCTTCTGTCTCCTCCGTCCCGGTGGTGTGATGGCGCCTCTCATCCCGATGGACGAGCTGCCATCCTGGCTCCAGGTCGGCCTGAGTCCAGACATGTGTATGGGTCTGCAGCCGGCGTCCTTGACTTTTATCCCGCGAGAGGGCGAATATGAGGTGGTCTGTTCTCACTGTTCCAGCAGCGTCGACTCCACGCACCAGAGTTTCTCGGAACGCGTCTCGGATGTCCAGTCGCCGCCCTCGGCCCAGTCGCCTCCTTCTGCTGCGGGTAGTAACAAGAGTTGTCCTGGCGCCTTCTGGGGCTCGCCGGGTTACCCTCCGATGGAAATGCTAAAGTACGCCAAAGGGCTGCCTGTGCTTGGACAGCCGCCTTTTCCTGCTACGCTCCAAAATCCTACGACTAGCATGTGTTTTGTTCCCATGCAAGATCTTCAGTGGCCTCTCCAAGGTGGGGGGGTTCCACCCGGTGATTGTAAACCCAATACCTTCCTTCCTGGTCCTCCTCAGTCCAGAGGACAGGCCAGTGAAACTCAGTCCACTGGCCTCGCATCTGGTGGTCTTGCTTCTGAGATTATTTCAGCCCCGGCCGTGTATGCGGAGGCAGGAAGTGTCGTCTCATCCCATTTGTCTAACGAGGTAGTGCAGTTGGGTGTGGTTTCTCAAGTGCCTGGCCTGAATCCCGACAACACGACAGCAGCAGTTCCCAGCGTACCTATCTCGACCACGGCGTCTTCAGCAATCGCCAACAGGGTTCCCACTCCTGGCCCAAATGGCAGCCAATCTGTCACAACACAGAATGGATCACTCAGGTCCCCGATTGAAAGCATCGCGTCTACCCGATCTCTCACGGCAGCCGTGGAGCGACTCAAAGAGATGATTGGAGCCAAGAAGATATCTCGCAACGCCAGCCTGTGCTATGATACCAAGAGCGGAAGAGGTCAACTGTCGGTTCATTCCAGCCTGAAAGAATCCTGTACCTCGATGACTGGAGCAGACGAAACAGGTGGCAATCGCTCTACTCGTGTTCGCCGACGCCGTCGCCGTCGTCGCCATGACAAAGAAATGCCCAAGCCTGCAACGGATCCAATTGAAGACAAGGATCAACCGGAGCAGCCCAATTCAGCTACAAAGCGGCGGGACCGACGCGAGCGAATACAGCGAAAGAATGCAAACTACAGCACTCGGTACTGGCACATGATGATGATTCCCAAATGGCGGTCTGCTGTTCCCCAGTTTTGATTGATGGGTGTTTGGCGATTTGTTCTCTGTCTGCTGTTTGGTTTCATTGTTACAAGTTTGTTGCTTCTTCTCGCAATTGAACATTTTTGACTTGGGTTATGGTAAGTAGATAGATCGGACGTTCGTTTTTTACATTGTCTTCGAAGTTGACCAGACTGCGCCTCGCTCGTTGTTTTGGAGGGATTATCGAGCTGTTTAAGTATTAACTTTCCCTTCAATGAAACCAGTCTTGCCTCATTATAAATTGCTCCATTCGAGATGATGGTCACCTAAAGCTACAATCTAGTATCGATCCTGAAGCCGTTGTAAAAGAAATATATATACCATGTTCCCGATAATACAGCGCTAATATATACAGATACATCACTGTCAAATCGGAGCATTCATCCGCTCCTTATAATCAGGAAACTCAAAGTCTCCCAAATCCCACTCAATGGTAGGATTCCAGCTCTTTGACTCTCCCTCGGCGGAAACACCCATCTCCAGATCCCGATCCGGTTTCTCATCGCCCCCCAAAGCCGCGCTCGGCTTGGGACTGCTACTACTATCATCGGTACCTCTAATAGTAGCATTGGTATCAGGAACTGTATCAGACTCAAGTCTCAACTCGCGCACGACACGGATCCCCGCCTCGCCATCGTTTGTCTCGGGGTCTTCATCGCCGGTCCTCACTTTAGTAATGCTGGTAGAGTATCCGCCTGACGCAGGCTGGAAATGCTCGTTGTAGAAAACGCCACCGTCTGGACCGAATCCGACCCCGAAGCCGCGTTCGTAGACTGATGATTTGCGGGATACTGGAGTTGGGTTTTTTGCGTTTGAGTTCTGATAGGTTTTGGAACTTGAGTTTAGTGGTTGCGGGCGGAAGCAGAAGGAGAAGACCCGCGAGAATAGTGGGTATAGTGGTGGGAGACAGGCGCAGATTATGGAGACGTTGGCTTCAAGGGAGGACCAAATGGCCGCTCTGGCGTTTGTCTCTATTCATTGATGGTTAGTAAAATATTTTTTGTGTTGAGGGTATATATCTGACGATCACAGGTACTTACTTGTATAGTCATTGTTGTGAGTCATTTGTCGCAGTTCATATAACCGGACAGAGCTGGTAGCAACGACACTGTCAAGTAGATATCAGCGCTTAATCAATATAAAGTGAAAACCCCAGAACCAGTGAGACTTACAAAACCCCAAGACTAAACACAAGCATGATGCCCGTCTTCTGCTGGGTTGGCAACTGCAGCTTCGAAATAAGCGGCATGGGCAAGACCAAGATGACCAGATCCGTCACGATCTGGATACCCGCATTGGTGAACCAGACGATGTCCGCGCGGAGACAGTGCGCTCTGCGGACTTTGCGAGACAAACTCCAAAAGTCATGGATGGGGATGCAGAAGACAAATGCACTGACAACCATCCACAGACCTGCTACGATAAGGCAGCCGGCGAATATTTTGACGACAAGACGAAACGTGCGGTTTCGGAAGATGCGGGTATAGAGGACTAGGGCGGAGAGTTTGGAGAAGATGAGGGAGGCGTTGTAGAAAGGAATTGAGAGCCAGAGGAACTGGTTGAAAGTCAATCAATATACCATATTCTTGTAGGAAATGGATTGGGGGTAAGTGATCTTACTTGCATCATCCTTGCTTTCTGCTCCTCCGAGAGGTCTTTCATAACATGACCCATTCCGTAGTGTCTCTCTGGAAAACGGTCAGCATCATGTTTCATAGCTAATTCTAAGCGAACCATCAATGTCTCAACATACCAACCATGATAAAGGCATAGAACACAAGACTCAAGATCTGAATTGATATTCCTATGTCAGTTCCGGAGTCCCCAAGATATGTGTGTGTCGGCCTACCATTGCAGCCAGGATGAGCATGTCATCCCACCCGGGAGATTTCACCAGCCGAAAGCGCGTCCATAGCCGAACCGCAACCACGAAAGTCGCCAGACAGGTAAAAGTCAACGTGGCAGGGAAAATATGTGCCGAGGTCATGGTCACCAGTAGCCAGACCTCGGACTATCTGAAGAGGATCGAGCAGGGACACAAGATTCAAGAAAAGGGCACATGGTAGTAATCCATTTGCGAGAACAAGAGGAAATTGTGCTTCCCCTGGACAGACACCATGTACTTAAAAGTTGCAATGGTCAAAGGAAGTTGAAAGGTCGCTGAGGGAAGTGAATGAAGTATAGAAAGCGCCAAGATGAAGGTACTCATGTGAAAGGCGAAAAGACCGCACCAAGTGTTTATTTAAGGGGCTACTATTCTGACGTCTGCAGACCGTCAAATTCTTGTGGAAAAACGCCTCTCTCCTCGTGCTTGGTTTCATCCACTGGCAGTGAGTTCCTAGGAAATGTCGTCGTCGCAGGCTGTGGTTGGTGTAACCGTATTTGCAAGATCGCCGCATTGGGAAAGTCGGGGTGGCCGGATTGACGTCAAGGACTTTTAAAGTGTATTGGCTAACGATCGATCTTCTTCCGAAAGTTATGATTGGGCCAAAATAAAGTTATGATTAGCGACAATCTTCCGAGTCGCGCTCCGAGACATGGTTCATCCGCTAATCGTGGGGGTTGTGGTCGACGACTGGCTAGGCCCGCCGGTTGCTTTAACCATTACTCCATCTTAGAGAATTCTTCGCTATGACTCGTTATCTTTCTGAGTAGCACCCCGTTTCAGCCCGCGAAGATTCATGTTTCTCCTTCTGTCCGTCTGCCACTTCTGTTTAAGATAACACCTGGCGCCGGGCCCGAGGTTCGTCCGCTCGGTTCTCGTTCGGTCGGTCAATATTTTCTCTCTGACTGGACTATGGGCCAGGGACCTGACGGCTAGTTTGCACGGCAGATATCCTCCCCGGCGATCTCCCGGGTTTTCTTCCCGGTATTGCATGATCGGGACACGGGATCGGTTCCCGTGAATTATAACCGATCGATGATTTTCCCGGCGCCTAGACGGGCCTCTGTAGGCCTTAAATGCCACCTACCCAGGGATTTTGAGAGATAAGAGAGTCCTCTTAAGTAGATTTCGGAAAAGTGTTTATGTCGAATCCCACCAGTGACAATGACTGCCGGGTATGCGTTTCGCCAATCGCAGACAATTACACACTGAAATCTATATGTTCTTATCTGCACGCTCCAACAATGCCTGATCAAATCAAATTTTCGCTCTGAGGACAAGGCCCGTCCGACAAAACCTCGCAATCGTAATCCACACCGTCCCAACCATCATAGTCGCCGCCGCAAAGAGCTGCGCATAAAAGAACCCCCCATGATCCTTCGTCAGCAAAGCGCCTGCAATCGGATTCCCCGTCAGAGTCGCAAAACTCAGAATCGTCATTACCATCCCCAACTTGATACCGATCTTCTTCATGTCATCCGTGATAGAGGCGAGGGTTGCCGGGAACAGGGACTGCGTGCCCGCGGAGAAAATGCCGTAGAACACCACGAATGCATACAGTCCGCTGGTATCCGACACGGCGATCCAGCAGAATAGCATGACACTTGACATCAGCGTTGAGAGGATGAGGAGATTCAAGGGTCCTGTGCGGCGGTCTGCGATGAAGTTGGGTATCGTGCGCGCCAAGATACCCACCCCGTTTAGGATTAGGAGGAGGTCTATGGCTTCCTTCTCATTGAGGCCTATTATCTGGCGCGCAAAACTGGTGATATAGAAGAAGGCTATGTACAGTCCCCAGTAGTTGAGGTACATGCCGACGCTGAAAAAAACATATGCTTTCTCGCGGAAGGCGGCCCATTCGATTATGGGCCCGCTTCGGCGGGGAGGCACGCGCTGTTGGAAGAGGAAGAATGATGGGACCAGCATAGTTAGGGTTAAGAAGCCGAGGACACGCATTGTCCAGGCGTATCCGACGGTGGGAAGGAGTCTCTGGACGACAGCAGGGAAGATCAAGCCGCCCGTTGCAGAGCCCGCGGCTGCAAGTCCGACGCCAAGAGAGCGGCGCGTGGTGAAATACGTTGGCAGCAGGGAGAGTGGGGGGGAGAACATCAGGCCGAAGCCTAGACCCATGCAAACACCCTGGCTGAGGAGCAACTGCCAGTATGTTTTCGAAATGGAAGCCATGAAGATACCCAGGATATTAAGAATAGCGCCAGTGCCCCAGGTCAACTTAAAGAAGCCGGCGTCGACGGCTCGCCCGGAGAACGTGCCGATGAAGAAGAGTAGGAATACCTGGATGCTTCCGATCCAAGAGATGTTCGACGCTGACTCGTTCAGGAACCCTTCGTAGTATGTTTGGAACATCCCAAACGCGGTGATGTAGCCCCATGTATTGCAGACCGTGAAGTGGCCAGCCACGATCTGGCACCATGCTTGAAATCCGCCGTCAGGGGGTGGGCCAACTTCGCCTTCGGGGATTTGGACTCGAGCTTTCGAGAGAAGAATGCGAATAGCACTCTTGGGCTTCTCGTCCATGATTGGCGGAGAGTCTGGGGCCTTCTCGACCGTTTCCATGGTTGCGTCGGAGAATCTGGGTTTGGGGCTTGGCCATGTAGATTGGGGTGCTCTGTGGGTGCGGAGGACGAAGTACTGCCCCAGAAGAACGTGAAATAGGGCACGCGAAGGACCAGCAGTGAGAGACAGACTAAAAAACGAAAACTTCCTCTTTAAGTATTGTGCTGTCGAGAATCTAGGGAATCTCGTGAAGGAACAAGCGGGGAGATCAAGGAAGAGTGGTATCGTTAGATCCCAAAGGCTGATATAGTGAGTATTAATACTGTTAATCCCGAAGCTACATGCAGCATTACAAATAGGGGATTTGTGGCTACGGCGATCCTCAATTTGTCCGGCCTGCCTCGCTCCGAGCTTGTAATGGGATAGGCTATTTTGGACCCTACTCGGGCCAAGCACTTCGGCCAAAGTTGAACTCGCCGATGATCTTCCTTGTTTGCGCTTTTACCCCTGCCCCTAAGACAATCGCAAATTTCTTCCGATAATTATTATAAGTCAGGGATACGGCTCACGTTCTATGCCCGTCCCTGGACTAACTTTCTTCTTCACAACCCGCCTCGTCAGACTGGCGTGAACCGTTGTCAAAGCTTGGCAACATTTTTACCTTTTACGGCTAGTAGGAACGAAGTATAGCTACGTGTGGGGGCGGCAATTTCCACGTTCTAGATGAAAGGAGGGCAATGCCGCCCCTAAACAGTGATGTGTAGAGATAGATTGAGCCGGTAAGCACACGAGCACCAAGGAAACATGTTCATTTTCATCTCAACAGCTGTACAAGTCCACGTACCTGTCGTCTGCACATAAACAGGATCACAATCACATCTACAATCAAATGCAGACTCTGGTCTTTGAGAGATCTAGCGAGATATCATATTTAAGCAAAGCCAAAAGAAAAAAGTCAAGATCAGCAACGGGCTCTACAGACGGGCCTTGAGGTTGGACTTCAGCCTCCGCTCAACGGCGGCCATGTACTCCCCAGTCGTAACCCAGGCCTCGCGGTCCTTGCGGCCGCAGGCCAGAGCCAGGTCCTTGGTCATGATGCTTTCCTCGTTAACGACGTCAACGCAGGCGCGCTCGAGCTCCTCGGCGAAGGCGACGACATCGGGGGTGTTGTCGAGCTTGCCGCGCTGAACCAGGCCGCGGGTCCAGGCGAAGATCGAGGCGATGGGGTTGGTGGAGGTCTCGCGGCCTTTCTGGTGCTCACGGTAGTGGCGGGTCACGGTGCCGTGGGCGGCTTCCGATTCGAATGCCTCGCCGGTCGGGGTGACCAGCGTCGAGGTCATCAGGCCGAGGGAGCCGAAGCCCTGGGCGACGATGTCGGACTGGACGTCACCGTCGTAGTCTGGGAGTTTGCGTTAGAGAGAGATCAAAGAATGGAGGAAAGGGACGCACTCTTCAGGGCCATGACGAAGCCGCCCTCGCTCTTGATCATCTGGGCGACCATGTCGTCGATCAGACGGTGCTCGTACCAGATCTTCTTGGCCTCAAAGTCCTTGGCGTAGTCCTTCTCGTAGATCTCCTGGAAGATGTCCTTGAAGCGACCATCGTACTTCTTCAAGATGGTATTCTTGGTGCTCATGTACAGAGGCAGACCCTTCATCAGGGCCATCTGGAAGCTGGCATGGGCGAAGCCCGAGATGGACTCGTCGGTGTTGTACTGGCACTGAGTGACACCGCCGCCCTGGAAGTCGTATACCTGGATCTTCTCGGGCTCGCCGCCCGCCGGGGTGTAGACCAGCTCGAGCTTACCGGGGCCGGGGATCACCCGGTCCTGGGCTCGGTACTGGTCGCCAAAGGCGTGACGGCCGATGACAATGGGCTTGGTCCAGCCGGGAACCAGGCGGGGGATGCGGGGGATGAGGATGGGCTCGCGGAAAACGGTACCGCCGAGGATGTTACGGATGGTGCCGTTGGGCGAGAGCCACATCTTCTTCAGCTTGAACTCCTCCACACGGGCCTCATCGGGCGTGATGGTGGCGCACTTGACACCGACACCGTACTTCTTGATGGCCTCGGCAGCCTCGACGGTGACCTTGTCATCGGTCTGATCACGGTATTCCAGACCCTATGATTCCAGCGACGATCAGCATCCGGTCCCTGTCGACATCCTAGTGTTGTTCTTACCAGATCGTAGTACTTCAGATCAACATCCAGGTACCTGATTGGCGATTCTCAGCGATCATGCATGCAGAAGATCCGGCCCAACGAGCCACTTACGGCAGAATCAACTAGAACGAGGCCGAGTTAGTCTCGGTTGAAAGGGCATCTGCAGGGATAGTTCCGACGTACCTTTTCCCGAATTTCCTGCCAGATAATCCGGGTCATCTACAGAAACAGGAAGTAGATCCCTTCGGTTAGTCTGATTGGCACATGAAGGGCTCTGGCCCCCCCGTGTTTCCCCGCGTTCGACACCCAAAATGATGCACAGGCTTGTGACACGGGGAGCAGAGAGTTTGAGCTATAAGAAGGGTCCTTTCGTACCTCGTCACCATCCAGTTCCACCACCGGGTTCTTGACCTTGATCTTGCTCTCGGACGCCATGGTGCGGGTTTGAGTGAGAGTCACTGGGGAAGCTCCGGACCAGCGGGAAGAGGCAGCAACACGGGAGAGAGAGATGGACGAGAGAGATCTCTGAGCCTGAGCAGTGAAGGAGGGTGACAAAGAAGAGGAAGAAAGAGAGGAAGAACAGAGGAAGCGAGAAGAGCAGAGAGGGGCAGCGGCGGGAGGGGAAGCCAGTCGGCGGGCGGCGACGGCGGAACTGGACCGAAGGGCATTCATTATTATGGCTGGCGGTCAATGGCGCGAATCTGGGCTCGGAAGGAAAGTCAGCGACAGGAGGACACTGTTTTCGGGTTGCGTTTTCGCGCCTGTCGACTACCCGAGGTGTGTCGGCTCCAGGGAACGGCTGGTGGAGCCAGACAGCGCGTCAGAAAGGCACGCCAGAGCCGGGGCAGAACGGGAGGGTTCGGAGGTCCGAAGGGTGCGAAACTGGGGCAAAGCGACTGTATGCACTTACCAAGTGTTTTGCTTGCTGGCCGGGTAGGAGGAGGGAGAGAAGGGGGAAGAAGGATAAGCCGGATGGATGGAAGGTTGGGGCAGCGGGCGCCCTTTATGAACCAAGTAACGCTAGAGTCGTAGCAGGAATCGCTGAAAGTGCCGAAGCCGGACTATCAATCACGAGACGCTGAACTCGCGACTTTGACTCTTACAATTGTGAACATTTCGCATCTTTTGACTTGGTGCTCTTTCACCGGTCTACTCTGAAAGTTCAAGTGGAGCAGAGTCCACTTCCGGAGTTGCGCTCTCTGCTCCGCGGCCAACTCGGTTGCCGGGGGCGGGAAACGAACAGTCGAGTGTGTTGATGGGAAGCGTACACGAACTATAGACCATCACAAAGAATTCCAAGAGGACCTAGTGATAGCGGTAGGATTCCATTGCATTATTCATCATGCTCGTCACAATGTTGAAATTCGGTCTACTACGATAAATTACTTACTTCCGGTTTGACGCCACCCTGCGCAATGTATGTGTTGAAAGTCGCCCCAGCAGAAACATCCTATATACAATCCTCCATCTATATATCTCTCTAGAACAGTCCGTCGATCTCCCCGGTCTCGGTGTCAATGTCCACATTTAGATATCCCGGGGCGGTCGGAAGGCCGGGGATGGTCTGGATGTCGGCGGCCAGGGCGTAACTATAAGAGGAGTGAGTAGGAGACTATGGAAGGCACGCGAGAAATAAACTCACAGATATCCGGCACCAACGGCCAGTCGAACGTCCCGGATGGGCACGGTGAACCCAGATGGCGCGCCCTTGAGGGCCGGGTCGTGACTGAGCGAGTACTGCGTCTTGGCCACACAGATCGGCAGGTTGCTGAAGCCCTGCTGGGTGTAGGTGTCGACCTTCCTCTGTGCCAGCTCGCTGAACTCGACCTTCTCGGCGCCGTACATGGCCTTGCCGATGCGCTCGATGCGCTCCTGGATGCTGCCGTTCAGGTCGTACAGCAGCTGGAAGTTCTTGGGCTTGGAACTGGCCGCCATCACGCCCTTGGCCAGATCAATGGCGCCCGCACCACCCTCAGCCCAGTGGTTGGCGGGGATGGCGTCCTCGGCGCCCGCCGCCATGGCCTCTTCCCGGATGACGGCGATCTCGGCGTCGGTATCGGTCTCCATGCGGTTGATGGCGACCACGACGGGGACGCCATACTGTCGGGCATTGGCGATGTGCTTGCGCATATTGACACATCCCTTCCGGAGGATCTCGACGTTTTCAGTGCGGTAGATCTCGTGCAGAGCAGCGCCGGGGCTGATCTCGGGACCACCGCCGTGGACCTTGAGCGCGCGGACCGTGGCCACGATGACCACGGTGTCCGGGGACAGACCGGACGATCGGCACTTGATGTTGAAGAAACGTTCGCCGCCCATGGTAAAGTCGAAGCCGGCCTCGGTGACGACAAAGCCGGTCTTATCATCGTGATCCTCATCGGGCTCAGTACCAGCCAGCTTGAGGGCCAGCTTGTCCGCAATGACGGAGCTGGCGCCAATACTGATGTTGGCGAAGGGGCCGGCGTGCACCAGAACCGGAGTTCCCTCCAAACTTTGCATCAGGTTTGGCTTGATGGCATCCTTCATCAGAGCGGCAAGGGCACCGCCGGCACCAATGTCGTCGCAGGTGACCGGGTCGCCGTTCTTCGAGGTGGCAACCACCATGCGGCCAAGCCGCTCACGCATGTCTTCCAGGTTGTTGCTCAGAGCCAGGATGGCCATGCACTCACTGGCAACGGAGATATCAAAGCCTGTCTCCCGCGAGAGACCCTTCTCGGTGGGCGCTTGGCCCACCGTGATGCCACGCAGGTGACGGTCGTTGACATCGAGCACGCGGCGCCAGGTGATGGTCGCCGGGTCGATGTCCAGACGGGCAAATCGGTGGATCTCGTCCTCGGTAAGCTCATTCGGGTCCGTCTTCTCAATTCCAAGCTTCTTGAGTCGTCGGAACATGATGGGCTGGAACTCGCGCTTGCCCTTCTTGGTAGGTACCAGACGCTTGTAGAGGGCACCGTCCTTCTGCGTAGACTCATGGAACATGCGGGTCTCGATGGCTGCGGCGAGAAGGTTGTTGGCGGCGGTAATGGCGTGGATATCACCCGTCAAATGCAGGTTGAATTCGTCCATCGGAATGACTTGGCTGTATCCACCACCGGCAGCGCCTCCCTTGATACCAAATGTAGGGCCCTGGCTGGGCTGTCGCACATTGGCGAAGGTAATACGGTTCAGGTGAGCACCCAGAGCTTGGGTGAGACCCAGCGTCGTAGTTGACTTGCCCTCACCAAGCGGAGTAGGAGTAATGCCACAGACCAAGATATAGCGGCCATTGCGGCGGTGGGCGAGTCTGTCAATGACATCAAGACTGACCTTGGCCTTGGTGTGACCGTAGGGCTCCAGCTCGTGAGGAGCGACACCAATCTCGGCGGCGACCTGGGTGATGGGCTTGGGGTACTGGGCGCGCGAGATGGCAATATCCGAGGGCACAGGGCGCTCCAGCCGGATGGGCAGGGGGGTAATGTGACGGTCCTTCTGTTTCGCAAAGTAGGTCTTGGCGGAATGAACCACGTTCTTTAGCAGCATGGCCACTGTCATGGGGCCAACACCACCAGGAACCGGGGTGATCTGCGAGGCCACCTGCGAGGCCGACTCAAAGTCCACATCGCCAACCAGACGCTGCCCAGACTTCTTGGTCTCATCGGGCTTGTAGTTGATGCCAACATCAATGACCACAGCCCCAGGCTTCAGCCAATCTCCCTTGACAAATTCCGTCCTTCCAATTGCCGCGACAACAATATCAGCAGTCTTGAGGACACGCCCAATATCCGGGGTCTTCGAGTGGCACAGGGTCACGGTAGCATCTGCGTTCTTGAGGAGGTAGCTCACAGGGCTGCCGACAATATCACTGCGTCCCAAGACAACGGCCTCCTTGCCCGCGGGGTCGACACCGCTGGCCTTGAGCAACTCCATCACGGCCAGCGGGGTACAAGGGGTGAAGAGCGGACGGCCGCCTCGCTTGGCCAGCTCGCCAATGTTGATTGCACCAAATCCATCGACATCCTTCTCGTCCGCAACGGCCGACGTCACAGGATGTTCCGACATGTGGGCGGGGAGGGGCAGTTGGACAAGGATACCATGCACGGCGGGGTCATTGTTGGCCTTGGTGATCTCCTGGATGAGCTCCAGCTGCGTAGTTGACTCGGGCACATTGATCAGCGTGCAGAGGATATTGGCCTAGCACACGGAAGGAAGTTTTAGTGAGTGGTCCGGGCAGAGATTGATGCATTGGCGAAAAACATACCTCCTCGGCCGCCTTCAGCTTCATGCGCACATAGGTACCTAAGCCACATTAGCGTAAGTGCCACTGCAAGCTTACGAGACAGGACTAACTCGAATCGGACCGGCTGCCAACTATATCAAGCATTGGCGTCAGCATTTGTATTTTTCTTTCGTCGTTACTTCCGAAGACATACCTTGGAAGATGACCAGACTCGGCTTGAACCGGGGGTTGGTCACTTGAATGTTCTCAATCTCCTCTTTTAAGCTCCCACGGATGCTTTTGGCAATGGCGGTGCCATCAATCTTGGCAGCAGCCATGGCGGAATTGGAGAATTTGCAACGGGAGGAGGCGGGGCGGAGAGAAAGGCGTTTGACGCGCAGTGGAGATCCGGCGGAACCGAATGCTCTGCGCGCGGGGAAGGAATGAAGGATCGAAGGAGAAGAGTCGATGGGGACAGAAGGAGGAAGACGAAGACGATAGAGAGAACGGTAGCGGGGTAGCGTGGCGGGGAACATAAGAATGATTTGGTGTAGCTGGTTGGGTGGGCGGGACGCACGTGAAGATTGGGATAGGAGTCTCGACAGGGGAAGAGGGAAGGATAGGAAGGAGTCCCGGAGGGTGGTGATGATGATGCCTGATCATATACACACACAAATGGACTCGAATCAACCCTCAGTCACACACACCCTGTAAGCCCTTTCAGATGTGGTCTGGTGTCGCATGGAACACCACAGCGTAGGCCATCCGGTAGAATAGATTGTTGCCTGAGGCATCCAGGGTCCTCTAGGGCTAGGTCTGCGTCACATCACGTGCCGATACCGGACTAACCTCAATCCGAAACAACGATACGGCGATACCAACAACGAGGCTTGGCAGCGCGGGAGTGTGCGATCAAATTCATCAAAGAAAGTCTCTCGGTCATCCTCCCACCCCCCACCTCATCCTTCCCCCCGTTTCTGTCGACTCCCGAGTCGCATCCCATTTCGCCTGAGAGAGATGCGGCCTATTCTACTGTCGGGCCATGTGCGTTGCCGCCCTCGCGAAATCTCGTCGGATCCACAAAGGAAGAAGCTAACGAAGAACCCCAGGAACGGTCCCTGAATCAAATCAAGTTCAACCGCGATGGCGACCTCCTATTCTCCGTGGCCAAAGACAAGATTGTGTGTGCGTGGTGGTCCGCCAACGGCGAGCGTCTGGGTACCTACAACGGCCACCAGGGTGCTATCTGGACCGTTGACGTGAGCCCCAACACCGTCCTCTTGGCGACCGGTTCGGCAGACAATACGGTGCGGCTATGGAACATCAAGACAGGCGAGTGCGTCAAGGTCTGGGAGTTCCCCACTGCCGTCAAGCGCGTGGCCTTTTCGCCGGATGGTAGCAAGTTGCTGGCGGTAACGGAGAAGCGGATGGGTTTCCTGGGTACGATTGCGGTGCTCGATATCGCCTACGGAGATGGACAAGGTGGAAACCTGAACGAGCAGGCCGACGAGCCGAGCTTGCGCATCACTTGCACTGAGAGCAAGGCGACCGTCGCCGGGTGGAGTTTCTTGGCCAAGTACATCATCGCGGGACACGAGGATGGCAGTGTCAGCCAGTATGACCCGAAGGTGCGTATTTCTTTTATCCGGGGCGCTGGACTTATACTGATGTGGCCGATAGACTGGAGAGCAGCTGGAGACCATGCAGGCGCACGAGTTCGACCACCAGATCAACGACCTCCAATTCTCCCCCGACCGCACCTACTTCATCACTGCCTCCAAAGACAAGTCCGCCAAGGTATGCCTCGCTCACATGTCTATGCAAGTGCCCCAACTGACCATTCTTAGCTCATGTCTGCCCGCAACCTCGCCATCCTCAAAACCTACACTGCCGACACCCCCTCAACACCGCCACCGTCACACCAAAGAAGGACTTCGCGATTCTGGGCGGTGGCCAGGCCGCCATGGATGTCACCACCACCTCCGCCCGCCAGGGTAAATTCGAGGCCCGTTTCTACCACCGCATTTTTGAGGACGAGATCGGCCGTGTCCGTGGCCACTTCGGTCCTCTGAATACCATCGACGTCCACCCCGCCGGCACCGCTTATGCTTCTGGTGGTGAGGACGGCTACGTCCGCGTCCACCACTTCGACAAGCCGTACTTTGACTTCATGTATGAGGTGGAGCGGGAGCAGATGCGGAAGTAGGAGGAATATGTGTTTTATGAAGTGAAAAAAGAAAGAAAGAAACAAGACTCACATGATGAGTCTGGCATACGGGAATGAGATGATGGGACACGATTTCCTCGTTTCATTGATTCCATGATCACTCGGAGTTGGTACCCTTTTTTTATTATGTTATTGATTTTTTTTGGCCTAATCAAAAGACGGCATGCTTCATTCTTCTTCACCTTTTGATGAGAGACACGGTTCTATCTGAAGAGGGTACGGGTAAATAGACAAAACGAGGCTTCTAGAAGCATTCAAATATCGTGCCCAACTGGTGTAGAGCTTCCGGAAGCATTACTTCTGTTTTCAAGAGCGCATGTCAGTCTCCAGCAGGTCATCCAATTCTTATGATGCCGAGAGAGTACAAACCAATCTACTATTTCGTGGCAATGGCAATGGCAATGTAAAAAACATGAGGTATCTCGTTTATGCACTTTTATAAAGTTTTCTCTAAACCGAGTCCATGCAAGGCCAGCGCTAATCCGACCAGCTGAAAAACAAAAAATCAAAATCCCTCATGTAAAAAAAGCGGACATGACATGACAATCATCGAATGCGTGCGGGAAATCCAATTGAGCAGGAAAAAGGGTTGGGAGGCAAATATCCCTCATCCATCCCCAAGAACCAGAAAGAAAAAGCGGGCACGTTCACTCCCCTCTATTTCTTCTTGGGGAACTTCTCCTTCCCGATATCGGCGCCACGTAGCTTCACATTCAGCACGCGCTCCATAGCACTGAGAACCTTCTGATCGGGGGTGGCGGTACCACGCTCAAAATCCTGGACGATGGAGACGGTGGTGTTGCACTTGGTGGCGAGGTCCTTCTGCGACATCTTGATGCCCTCCTCGTTGCGGCGCTTCTTGATCGCGTCTGCGACGGCGAACCCGACCGTCTTGGGCTTGACGATTTCGTCGCTGCGGTCCACTTTCGTCAGGTGCTGTCCTTCGCCGCTGCCGGAGCCTTTGGCCTAGAGAGTGGAATCGGTCAGGAAAATGATAACAGCATAATGGGGAGAGGGAGCAAACATACTGCGTTGCCGGTGGCGAACTTCTTCTCTGTCCCGATCACCAGGCCCTGACGCTGGGCGGCGTTGAGGGCGCTCTTGCCCTTGACGACTGTCTCGCGGGATGCGGCACCACCAGCGCCACGAGCCTTGCTGCCGATCTTGGTAACGGTGTCCCAGTCGCTCATTGTGTCGGTTGTTGATGCTGTTGCGGGTGTGTGAAAGGGTGTATGTGGGTGTGTGTATGTGCGGTAGTGGAGTAAGTGACGTTGATGTTGATCGTGTGAGAGAAAGGAAGACTTGGAGATTATATAAATGATGACACATTGGAAACTTCTCGAATGTGGTTTAGTGTGGGTGACCAAATGCGGTGTCCGCTGTTTAGGGTTCCTGCCTGGGGCATCATTATCGTAGTATACAACCTGGGATACTAACTACCACTTCCTCTGACACAACACCACCCGATACCCATCCGGATCCTCAATGGTCACCCCCCACGTCTCCCAGTATGAGTTCCTCGCCGTGACCCTTTTGCCACCCGCCTGAACTAGGTTCCCCACCACGGTCTCATCAACCGGCCCTTCCAGATAGAGAACGAGGAGATCCTCCTCCGTCGGACGGGGCTGAATCTCAGGATCATCATCATTAACCTGCACCAGTTCCAGATGCCATGCCGCATCCTTCCACCCCACCATGAGCAGATAATGCCCGCCCTCCCCTGGATGCGGAGCTAAATCCGTGCGCCAGAGGACTTCCAGTCCCAGTCCATTGACCCAAAACTGTTCCGCCGCCGCCAGAGACTTAACCGGGCGTGCAACACGGATGTGACTGCTTGGTGTGGGAAATTTGCCTTTTCCGCGCTCTGCTGCGATGGGTGGCAAAGGTTGTGCTTTTGCCGGCAATTGGTCCGATGCTGCAACTACTTGATCGGTTTGTGTGATGGCCTTTTCGACATCGCGTTCCTTGCTTCCGAAGCTGTCCATTCTAGTTGATATGTAGATGGTTGGGAGATGTCTGGAGTACACAAAGACGGGGATCAGATCAACCCTAAGTAGGTTGAGGTTTATTACCCTGGCCTTGTTGGCTGCATTCCGCACTGTTACATCTGTCTAATATATCTTCTGTGATTATTCTAGCCCTCTGGGCTGACAAATGTAGTCTTCCTATTAATTGGTTAACTATGTCTGCCCTCATTAGGCAGCGAACCTGTTCGTATTCAGTGCGGGGGCAACACGAGAACGAAACTCAAACTTCACCGAGTCAGTCATGCACTCAGTGGGTTGAACCACTATATTCTAAAGCTATCATTTCCCCTTCGGTAGCACCAACCATGCAAAATCTCGCAAACTAAAATTTTTCCTAGCAGCTTTCCTGTATTCTGGGGGTTCGTGGTTTTTACCAGCTACCGAAACGATAGCCGGAAAGTCTGATGCTGATTATGGAGTGGCTTTCCAGATATGGCCCACGATTATTTTCCTATTGTCACCGAAAGCGGGACTTGTCACGTCGCAAAGCGTCTTGAGAAACTCAATCTCAACCAACCATGGGTGTCATACCTGAAGGACTTGAAAGAGGATCAGGATCCTAATGGTTCGAAGGACACCGGCAAAATAGCCGGTATGAAGGACATGGACAAGGTAACCGGCATTAGCGTTAGAGGCTGGATTTGCGACTGGGAGGGGGACAAGGTTAAGGTCCTCCTCGGACAACGGGCGGCAATGGACTCATCTCCAGGTCTTCACGAGGCATTTGGAGGGAAATGTGATCCTGGGGAAAGTATCCCGGGAGCTTTGATTCGTGAATTCCGCGAGGAAACCGGCCAGGACATTTTATGTATACAAGCCTTCCTCGGGGGTGAGGTCTTTCTTACTCCGACTTCTAAGCGATGGATTGTCCAGCTTCATTTCCTAGTCCAGGTTCAACGGACCGGAGAGTCTCAAGGCTTTCATATTCGGTTGAGACCGGAAGAGCATCAGGCTTATATTTGGGCTTCTGAGAAACTCGGTGGTTTGAATGGCATTCAGTTCACGAATGCTACCAAAAGCCATTTCGAGTCCGCTGTTACAGCTTTTCGAGGGAGACCCTAGATGATTGAGGGAACAACACTTGAGTCATCTAAATGCCGCGCTAATTAAACACACTTGTTCATCGAAAACCTCTGTACTTTCAGTATAACATTCGTTTGCAGCCTGGTATCATGCGCCTGACCAGAAATACTTCGTTACCGCAATAAAATGTATCTTTATACTAGCCACTCTGTTGGCTATGTTCCTTATAGGTCGATAGTCCGCCTGAATAATTCAATCCAAAACACGCAGCTCCCCGTAGTCCACCATCACATGCTCCCGGTAGGCAGCACGAGAAGTGAGCATATCATAATACCGACGAAGATGAGGACGGTCCTTGCGAGTAATCGGAATATCAAAATATCGGAACAAGACATGACCGAACTGAATATCAGCCAGCGTGAGCGTGTCACCAGCTATAAACTGCGCACGCGACAACTGCACTTCCGCAATATCCAGAAAATAATCCAGACGAGAGATACCTTCCTGTATTGCTTTCGCATTCTGCTTTGAAGGCGCAGTCCTCACAATGCTCCAGAAGATCGGCCCTGTAAAAGCCCCACCGACATTCAGCTTCGACCACTCGGCCCATTTGTCGACTTGGGCTCGAGCCACCGGATCCTTCGGCCAGAATTCATCGGTGCCATAACGCGCTGCTAGATAGCGAGTGATTGCGCCTGTCTCCCATATGGGCTCGCCGCCGCCGTCTCGGAGAACGGGGACGGTGCCATTGGGGTTCATGGCGAGGAATTCGGGTGTGTCATTGCCCCCGTAGCGGTGGCCCACATCGTGGCGTTTGTAGGGGAGGCCGAGTTCCCCGATGCACCACATCAGAGCTTGGACGTTGGACGATGTTCGTCGTCCCCAAACTTCTAGAGCAGCCATTTTGGGGTCGGATATAAGGGATGAGCGCGGCTATGGGCAAAGTGTGATCTACTGAAGTTGAGGGCAGTATGAGTCAGCTGTGTGTTGACGTGGGTGGTACGGATGATGAAGAGGAAGGATGATCGTCGGAGGGCTAGTAACTAGACTGTCACGTGGATATGTACTCCTAGCCAGCGTCGAATTGTATATTATTTGGGAAGAGCTGTGAACAAGTTCACGATATTGACCCTTCTATTGCTTATGCGAAAAACAGCTCCAGCCTACCAACACCTTTGGTCATCGGGGGTTCATTGTATACATTTCGGCCCTGTCTAAAGAGAAACTCTCAAGCTTTTCCAAAGACATAGATATAAAGAGACAGGCATTGGATTCAAAAACACCTGGGTCCTCAAGATCGAGAAATACAAGAGTAGCCCCAAAGTTAGTGAATCATAACCCCAATAAGCGGCCTTTGGCTCGGAGTCAAGTGCCTCGAGCGGGATCGACACCGCTTTGGGGTGTTTGTCTCGCAAGAGAACTCTTTGCTGTGCGTGGCAATGGCCAGAGACTCCATCATGCAGAGTAGGAGGGAAGGTGAGAGCTTGACGGAAGAAGGAAAAGAAAAGTATGGGTAGGAAGATGGAGAGTATAGATATAATTATGCCTCTGGCTTGTCCAAATTTCAGGCGTTCCCTTGTCCTTCAACTAACACATTATATAATTGCTAGAATATATCCAAGCAACTACTGTGCATTAATTACTCTACCTACTAACACTAAAGCAAGAGATAGTTGCATGTAGTGATGAAGTTAGTGGTGGTTAACTAAGTCAGTCCGTCTGTCAGTGATGGGGCGAATCAGCGCCCAGCCAGGTAATCCACTGCTTGGCCTGCGCCTCCATCACTCACTCCCTCTCGTCCTTGGCACATACCTGCACATCTCCTTCGCTTTTTTCATCTTCAATACCTGTGATTTTCTTCGCCGATACTCTCTCTCTCTTTCTCTTTCTGTATCACCAATAATGGCCTCCAGCGGATTCACAACAGCAATGACCACGCGGTCGCTCCGCATGGTGCGGACGGTCTGTCCCTGTAGCCTACATTCATGTCAAGCAGTTGGCTGACTCTTAACCAGGAACTTGAATTCCTCGCCGATGCCTCTGTCATTACCTCACAGCAGCTCTCATCGATTCTCTCACAGCTACCGTCCGAGTCCGACGCTCGTTCTCTGGTCCAAGAACAACAACCCTCACCGCAGCCAATCCAACCGGTGCAACATCTACCCATCCAAACGCAGCCTCCTCCTGCCCCTTATTCGCCCCCAGCCTCGAGAACATCGATGAATGAGAAGTCCAGTCTGCACAACCAATACGCAAGCCCGCCCCCTCAGCCCCCACCAGCCTATCCTCAGGTCCCGCCGATCACGGGCCTAGCGACGGCTCTGTACGCGTATACACCGACCGACCCAGGTGATCTGGCCATCCAGCCGCGCGATCGTATTCAGGTTATCGAACACATGAATGAGGACTGTATGTCTGACTTTTTAGCTGCACGTATTGGGACTTGAAGCTGACTAGTCTCTCAGGGTGTCGAGGCCGCAACGAGCGGACTAATCTCGAAGGAATCTTCCCCAGAAGCTACGTGGAACTGTTGAATGAGAAACAACCGGTTTCATCGCCCGCGCCTACAAATTATGGAAATATGCCGCTGGAAGTCAGCCAAGGTGGATCGTCTAGTGCGCAGCCCAATGATCCCAAATCGGATAAGTTCCAGCAAGGGGGCAAGAAGTTTGGCAAGAAACTGGGCAATGCCGGTATGTGTCACAGCAACAGCTTGGTTTTTGGCGGATTGAGACTAACTGCCATTCCAGCAATCTTCGGTGCGGGTGCTACTGTCGGCTCCAACATTGTCAACAGCATCTTCTGATTAGTACCGTGGCGGTGTATGCTCTATGATGTAAGATGTTGATCGGAATACGGCTCTTTTTCATTTTTTTATCTCATCGAAACGGCGTTGGGGTCTTCGTTTTGGTCTGGATGGACAAACTGGCTTGGTCGGAGGTAACTATTCGCAGGCGGATGATTTTCCAAATCCCATAGACCGTTTACTCGAGCTTCAATACAAACAGGCTTGTTATCACCTCATGCCACTGAATTATAAATAAATATAACCTCTTCTCGCCCCCAATTGTAGTAACGCGCGTGGCTTCAGTCTAATCCAGCGCTATAACGCACCGGTCCTGACAATTGAGCCGCATGTATTTCTTCACAGCGCCACCCTCAAGAGCGCGGACATCGCACGGGAGCCTATAATAACAAGCCCTAAGAAGTCATTTGACCAGGGCTAATGATCGCCGGAGCACTGAGCCCCATTCAATTTATGCACTAGCCACATGCGAGGTATACATTCCTCGCAACCCGCATAATGGCTCACAGCCACAGCGCTCCGTCATTCGGGTTCATGAAATTAGGGAAGCGAATTGAAACTCGATCGTCGAGCCGTGCCGTCGCTCCGGGCCGAGCGTCTAAGCGAGCGATATGATAAGTGCCCCAAGTTGTCGCAGCGCTTACATACATGCACTAGTCAGTTAGCGGTTTCATGGATTGCTAGAAATAGAGCCACTGGCGGAACATGATTAGTTAGGGGCTCTTCAGCAAGTGGCTGATGGGACCCCTCTTGAGAGATGGAGGGTTGATCGACAAAAGTACGCAGAGTGTTCGTGGACTTAAGAATGGACGGCCCTACTTGTCTGGTGTTCGTGTAAATATCGGTTGCATGACACATTTCCCGACTATACGCTTCTTTTAATATGAATACTTGATCACTATGCGTTATATGTTATTGAATCTGTTCCTTTTCGTGCCGTTTGTTGTGGCTGATGGCTGGGAGGACTTTACGAATAATCTTGCGACGGACTTGGCTCCTCTCATCACCCTTTTTGGAGAGAAGCTTACGAAGCAATTCCTCTCCGAATCTATTACTGTCCTGGACAACGTCATCTTCGCACTTTCGCCGCTTGGGGTCCTGACGGCCGTAGTCTCCGTGATTAGGGTTTGCGGTGGCGCCTCACTCCGTGCTTTTGTTGGACGAGCACAAGAAGGTCCCGGAGATGCAGAAAAAGAGCTCCTACCGTGTGTCTCTGAGACGACCGGTGAGTTGTTCAACGATGCGGGTATCTCGCGGGTCTTTGGCCGGCCCAAGATCGTCGAGATCGTTGCGTGGGAACAGACAGACCCCAAGACCGGGGGAAGTCGATGGAGATTGGGACTCTGCGCGAGGCCCTCTTGAAAAAGGCGTGGTATTGCAAGGGCGACGAACTCCAGGAAGATGAGATCAAAGGGATGCCGGAGCTGGATATACCGAATCTGTCTTTGAACAAGGGGATTAAGCGAAAAAGCCAGTTTTGGTTCTACTGCGCTGCCGGGCTTGGTACAGTGATGCAGCTAGGTCAGTTGAATTTGGGGGCTGAGCTTGTGTATAGTGATATTGACTGTTTGATGTAGGTGTCATGGCGTATGCTGCATTGACTGTCTTTGCATACCCAACTGTCTTCAAGGTGGGAGGGAAAAAGGTCGACAGCTATGCCTTCCCTATGTACATCATTGGAACCACCTTTCTCTTCATTGGCATGTTCTTCTGCGCTTTTATTCTTGGGCACTCCTCCAAACAATACTATCTCTATCCGAACCATCCAAGCAAAATATACTGGCTACAGCCAGGCAGTCAAGATGTCGGAGATCAAGTCTTTGGTGCATTTCTTGCGACATACAAAGAGAGAAACTCAACATTCACTAGAAATATGAGATACATCAAATCCACCCGGGTTTCAACCCGCGGTAAACAACATACCAAAATTTACGTCACCCTCGCTTTGACTCTGATTGGGTTTGTCATTCAATTTGTTGGACAGCGAGGGCTTCATGCGTCGGTCATCCTGGCTCAGCTAGGTTCGACGCTTTTTATGGCAGTCATACGAACGTGCCTTCGAACAGAGCGAATGGCACCAGGAGAAAACAAGCTCAACAACCCAAAGCATGAACGGCAACTCATATCTGAAAAGCAAAAAGAATTGGATTGTTTTGCATTTCATGTTGATGAAATCAAGTCTTTCAATTTGCGCACCGCTCCGCTTCCTCAGAACCTTGCACCGAAGACAACCACAACTTCGGTGGCTAGCAAACTGATTCAAACCAGAATCAGACTTGCGGAACTCACCTCCAACCCACATCATGGGATTAATGATGCATGGGAAGACCTCCCCGTTCGTCGAGTAACTCGCAATCTTGCACAGACGATTGAAGCAACAATGGACCTGTTATCGACCTGGTCTAACAACCTGGAGAAAAGGTTTGATTTTAAACTAACTCTGGAGTGTGAGAGACTCGACGAAAAGCCCACAGACGTGGTTCCAGAACTCTATATGTTTACATTATCGCGCTCTCGCGATACAGGGAAATGGCGAATGAAACAAGCCAACCTCGAAGCCGTGCTTGGTCTTTGGACATGGTCTTTGACCAAGTCCAAAGCAGAATGGCGCCAACCGAAACTTACTCGACTCGTGGGTTTGAGTGAAGACGAGGCACGCGAAGAAGAGACCGATCTGTATTTCCAAAAGTGGATATTCCGACAAAGACATGCCAAATTTGTTTCTGCGAAGTTAATAGATTCTTCGCGACAGCTGTTCGGGTTCCATCCAGAGAAACCTACTGCGGAAGATATGAACTCACAGGAGACATTTTCTTCACAGAGCACGCTATGCGTTGACATGGATGTTCTTGCTGTCATAACCGATAATGACCTTGAAACAATGGCAGCACAGGATATCTACATCCATTTTCTTAGGCAGGCACTCGAGCCTTTCAAGGAATTGGGTGGACATGTTGATCTCATTCCTGAATCTCGAGGATCCTGGCTAGCATATAACAGTCGCCTTGAGGGACTGGTAAAATGCTTTGAGACTTCTAGTCTTGGCTCAAGAGAGGATGCGCTATTATGCATCGTTCCAGCCTTGAAAAATAAAGGCCTTCTGCCAGAGCTTGCAGGCGATTCTCTCTGCATCCGGAAACGAACTAATCAATGTCTCGAAGAGAGCAACTTCCAGGACGCATTATCCATCCTCTATTGGCTTTGCCAGTGCTCCGAGGGCTCTGAGTTTGAACGATCAGTATATGCACTCGGATCACTCTGTCGATTTTCCCTGCTCGATAGTGCCAAGAAAGTCCGGATGGCAGGCTTCAAACAGATTTGCGACCTCGTTTCATCTAAGCCTAGAGCTTCATTGTTCAAGTCTAGAGAGGTAATACGGCCAGCTGGCTGGTTGAACTCCCCACAACATATCGAGTGGTGGCAAAAATTCACGAGCCAGCTAGTATACCTTGCTATACATATATCCAGAAATTTTGAGCCAACAAACTGGATGCGGCCAGAATTCGAGTCCCTGCAAACTAAATACGGATTAGATCAGTTAAAAGATGTGGATCAGGAAACCGAAAACTCGAGGAGAGGCGTACATGCTCTGCTCAACCTGCTCACCTTCCGCGACGATGGTATGGATCCCAACCGTGAATTCCCGGACTACGATGAACAGTTGGGTTTCGAATATGCACTTTATAACGAACATTATGCTGTCTTGTACTTTTTCTTGGCCAAGTGGATTGAAATCAACGCGCATTCGCCAGCTCGCATAGTGCCCGCGTATACAATTGCAGCAAGAAACAACTGCGGATGGGCCATTCAAACGCTTAATCGATACAGTGCCGAACTAAATTCAAAAACGGATATAGCTCGTGAAGCGCTGATTCAACAAGTGCTTTCGGGGGATTTGAAGGCTGCTCAAACTTTGATAGAGAACGGAGCAAACGCAAAGACCAATCCTAAGAGAGATAAGGCGAGCCCTTTGGTCACTGCTGCCGACCAAGGGTATCTGAATATCGTGAACCTACTTTTAGAACATGGGGCAGAAATCGACCACGCAGAAACATCTGGATACTCAGCATTACATTCTGCATGTGCAGCTGGCCACTTTGAAACTGCTCAGCTGCTGTTGTCCAAGGGGGCAGATATTAATTTACGAGGGCCTGATGACATGACACCACTTATGGGTGCTGTTTCAGGAGGTCATCTGCGGGTTGTTAGGTTGCTTGTTGAGAGGGGGCTGGTATTGATATGTGCGACGACGCGGGCGATACTTCGGTCAGGATCGCCGCCATTTACGGACACACTGAAATTCTTCAGCTATTACTCGAAAAAGGTGCCAATGTGCATGTTTGTAATGGAATGGGACAGACGGCCCTCGATGCCGCCATAAATTGTCAGCAGGTGGGGGCAATGCGCCTTCTGGAAGCAGCACTTCATGGACAGCAAGACCGCGGAATATAGAGCAGGATATAACCTTTTCCCCTTCAACTAACAAGCTTTGCTTTCTCAAATAAAAAAGCTACAGAGACGCTGAAAACTATCGTGCTCACTCAGAGTCTCGCTTCCTATTAATTTTTTGAGCGGAATTAATTCTCTCCCTTCCAGCAATACTCCTAGAGAGCCACGCACTTTTGAGGAAAATTTCCGCTTTGGCTTGGCCCTAATGCCAGAGCATGATCAAGAGGCCAATCAGAATTAAGAATCAGTACTAACACATGAAGCCTACTCATCACATTTGTGCATGTGCCACCTGTAAGCGCCGGCGGGGATGATCGTGCAGTAGTCTAGTGTGACCCGAGCGCGGCGAGCTTAGTCTACCAATCCAACCCGTCTATCGTGTCGCGGATTCCTTCAGGACCAGCCCGACTAATAATAGCCAGCCATCCAGCTCTGTGCGGAGTTCCAGGCTTGGTCATCTTCTTTTAAGCAGTATGGCTGCACAACTCCCCTCCTCCCTACTTGTCTCTCAGTGCTTCCCTGAATGTTCGGGGGAAGACTCTGAATAAACTTAAGAGAATCCGACACCCGGTTTACCAAATTTCGTGGCCGAGCTAGTAAGTCTAACATGCAATGCGAATAATTCCCCTGTCAGTCTAAATGAACCTTAGACCGTGGATGTGGTGCACGTCAACATAGCCAAAATGTCGCAGATTCAATATCCTCCTCCCCCGAGCTCTGGTATGACAATCCTTCAACTTTGACAGCATAGTCCTTTATTAATTCATCTCCATAGCCCCGCCAGATGTGACATGTAATACGTCTCTCTACCCCAAGGATGTCATACACTAACTCTTTACAGCATTTCCAAAATCATCGCTCCTGTATAAGCCCCCTACGTTTCACTATCCTGGGCCACCTTCTTCCAGTCCGCCAGCAAAAAGCCCACCACCACCAAGTGGAAATCGGCAACAGCAAGGCCCTCTCCAATATGATGGATACCGCGAATATGTCCCTCCCACCGAGCAACCTGCAACATTTGCCCAACCGCCTCCCTTAGGAGAAAGAAGGGAGAATTTCCCAAGTGGTGCGACGTCAACAAGTCCCCCACCAGATCAAGCAGTTTCCCATAGCTGGCACCCTAAGGCCTCTTCGCTGTCGCAACTATCAGTGTCTTCCCAATCCCCCCTCCAATGGGAAAAATGCAACAGTACCCCGGTGGAGCTCCAGCAAATGGACAGTTCGTTGGAGCACAATCTGTCACAGAAGATAATGTTGGGACATTCAACGGAGGCAGCTACAGAATTAGCCATCGAGACACAAACTCTCTCCTTACCATTCAGTTAGCAATAGGTGCTCCATTGAAGGCCAGGCCCGGTAAGAGATAACTGGCCTCGACTTATTTATCTTATGATCTAATTGAGTGTCATAGGTATTATGCTTGCAATGTCTACAACAATGACACTCAAGGGCAAACTTTCCTTTAGTTGGAAGAAATTAATTTCTCGTGGAGAAATGGGGCACTCCACATACACGGGCCCTGGCGAGCTTCTCCTTGCCCCGTATGTGCTTGGCGATGTTACAGTTTTGCGGGTCGATCGTCCAGGACAATGGAAACTTGGACGAGATGCTTATCTTGCTTCGACGAGTGGGATCGAAGCAGAATATGAAAAGCAAAGCATATCCAATGCTGTCTTCTCTGGCGAAGGACTTTTTGTGTATCGTCTAGACGGAACCGGACTGGTATGGATACAAAGCTTTGGTGCAATCATCAAGAAAGAAGTATGTTACTTTGTTATTTCCCCAAAGTTTGGGATACTAACCTTTATGAGTAGCTTGCTGAGGGAGAGACGTATTTTGTCGACAATGGCCATCTGGTCGCATGGACTTGCCAATACAAGATGGAGCGTGCGGCCTCCGGTGGTATTCTCTCGAATCTGCACTCCAAAGAAGGGCTTGTCTGCAGATTTATCGGACCGGGAACCATCTATATTCAAACGAGAAACCTGAACAATTTCGGCGTTGCAATTGGTGCCAGCACGGCCAGTGGCTGATCCGATCATGTCGACCCAGCCAGTTACGTCAAGGGAAAGAGGAGGGTCTCACATGATAGCCTCTACCAAATTGTTTCAACAGGTCTGAGCATTCAGATTGATACGCTATAGTCTTTTATGCCATCAGGCAGAGACTAGGTGCATCATCATTTAATCGAGAGCTGGTTTCTCATGTGTTTATAACTTGTCACCTTTGGCTTTAGCATCCGAATAAAATGAAAGTTTGTGAACGCCAAAAAGTTCCGAGCAGATTGGGTGTCGAGATGAGAAACATTAGTAGACACTGTGATATCATCTAGAAAGAGTTGAGTTATAGTTCCCCTAGCATAGGTGAAGTAAGCGGATGGTGTAGCTTCATCTTCAGAGAGCTGAATTGTAGCATCCCTAGCAAACGATGTGAGGGTTCAGGATGAGCGATGAAACTACACGCCAAAGTCGAAAGCTACAATACTGTGAAAAACTGTAGTGGTATCGATCCATCCATGCCAGACTATTTCTATCCTTCAATCATTTTCGCATCTCAAGCCCCGTGCGGTAGAAGATACAGTGCCGGGGCCACAATTTCATCCGCAAACAGTTCCTGGAAATGACACGCCGCAAAGAAGAGATACAAAACAAGCCGCTCTCTCGCATGACTGCGCAGACCAGTAACTCTCTCCCACTTAACCAGTACGCTTTCTGCGGCCGACCTGTCCACGGAAACCAGTCTTGATGGCCGCGACCGAACGGCGCGATCCGCAGGAGTTGCAAGTAACGAAGTACAGACGGTTCTCACCCTTGTTCAGCTCGGTATCGGGGCTGCGGCAAGTCTTGCAGGTGACGTATTCAACTGGATTTTTGGTTAGACTTGTATTTTGGGGTGACGTGAAAAACATACCGATATACCGCCGCAGAACGTTTTCGATCTGCTTCTGTTGGAATCGTCCCTTGATGACGAGACGCCGGCTACCGTCCACACTACCGCTGGTACCCAACTCAGCGAACAGGAACTGCATGACGTGGTCGTCGGAACGCTTCATGCGCTTGCAGATATCGGCAATGTTGGCGAAAATGGTACGACGGTTTCCTTCACGTAGACACTGGGGCGGGGGAATCTTGTACGACTTGGTGCCGCTGGCGAGCATATCGGGATGGTGGCTCTGGATGAGGGAGAAGAAGCGCGAGACCAGGAGCGAGTATGGGATGACCTGTGTAGCATCGTGCGCCCAAATGCCCGTTCCGGCCTCAAGATCGCCCTCCGGCACTTCCTCGACCTGCTCCTCGCCGGCCTCTTCCACACCAGCCTCGGCCAGCTTGGCCTCGAAGTCGTCAACCTTCTTGACCTTCTTCTTCTTTTTCTTCATTGCGCTCGGGTCGAATTCACCGTCTGCGGTGGCACCATCCTCGCCCTCGTCGGTTTCTTTGACCTTCTTGGTCTTCTTCTTTTTTGACAGGCCCTTGAACATCTCGGTGACCTCGTCGACATCCTTGTCTGTGTACATGCGACTCTCAGTCAGTGGGGGTGGCAACCAAAATTTCATGCAGGCATGACATACCGGCGGGCTTCTCGGCGCTGGGAGCGTCTGAGACTTGGCCGTTGGTATCCATGATGACTCCGCCTTCACTGAATGCAACGGACTTGCGCTGCTTCGTCTCGACTTCCTACAGGCGGTACAGAGTCCACGGTTAGTTGGGGATGATCAAATAAAAAATCGCGCGGTTTGCAAGTGGCAAAAAAACAAGGAGGAATATTCCCAGGTCTTCACTAGCGACACCGGTGTGGTTGATGACCGAGGGGTAGACAGGAAATGTGAGGGCTGAGGATCAAAGAAAATGTGGGAGGGTCGGATTGGTGAAAAAAGAGACCAGGGTGTGACGTACGGCGTCCGCCATGCTGAAAGGCTGCAGGGGGGTTCGATTCACTTCACGAGAGAGAGATCGGGTTGTGCTTGCAGTCGCTGGAAATTGATGAGCTGGAATGAGGCGACAGAGGGCAAAAGACATTCTATTCCGGTCTTTCATCAGAGCTGTTATCGCGGGATGATCACGTGCTACTTGACTCATCCAGATCGGGTTATGTAATGTGTGTCATGTGACCGCGCCTGGATCCGCGGGAATCGAACAGCAGCATCAACAACTCACTCTGCTCCATTCATCAGCTAGATGCTTCGAACATTTGCAAGGCAGTAGGCAGGCCCCTGCTCGACTCACTCTCTTTTTCCGCTCCGTCCTCCGATTCGCCTCGCCCATCATGTCCGCTTCTCCGGCCGCCTCGAATCCCTCCTTCTCGATGTCGGCCTACATGGTCCCCCTCCACCCAAAACCCATCCTCGTCCGCCTCCGACGACGATGTGGCCTCCCTGCCTTCAGAAGCCACAACAGACTCAGATTTGGATACTTTGTCCGATGACTTCTCCGATGCGGAGGCCGAGTGGAGAGAAAGCCTGGATCAGTTGGAATTGCTGTTGACTATGGTCCTGGTACCTTTCGTGGGGAAGTACCTGGGGCGTCGGTGTGCATATTGGGGTAAGCAGTCCTGGCCACAATTCCTTGTCATCTCGCATACTAATCAGCCGATTCGATCTCAGGTTGGACGAGGTACATGGAATGGAAATACCCTGTTGAAGTGGTCATCAGAAGCCCCGGGGCCTTCAGAGGTGCTGGGGTCATTGAAGCTGCTGCCACTCTATGATGGGAGGCTTAACACGAAATATACGCTCTAGAACGCCACTCTTCATGGCAAGCCGCTATTGTTCGATGGATATCACATCAAGAGCTTTGGTTTCTAGACTCCGTTTGCTGCCGGGTCCCATCATTCTGTGAACGTGTTGTTCCGGGACCACTCATGACGGACCTCATAAAAGAAAAAAGACGGGACATGAGTCTTTTGCCCTCACCATGAGACGGCTTTTGACTGTTGGCAATACCAGCCATTTAGATCCGCCCAAAATTTGACATAGACTCGGACATGACATTGCCGGTGCCCTCGCAAGCTTTGACATCCAAAATAGCTGTTATATACCCAATGAATTTGTTACAATGTAAACCGAGGCAATACTTTTATAGTAAATATGCGAAAGTGAAATAACAACTTCAATACTTTGCAGAAGACCAGTCGTTCCCTCCCCGTTCTACAATTTAGTCCAATGCATTGGGTTCATGCAACTCATTAAAGGACTAGTAATGCACGTCTATTCTGGTAACTCCTTAGTATGTCACTATCGACTGAAAGTTGATTTTAACCAAAACAAACAAGGTACTCTTCACTCGTTGTAAAGCCAGCCCTAGAGCCACAATATTATACCCTCTTCTAAGCATATAGAACGACCGTATAAACATGGAACAAGAGAAGGATTTCGGCAGCTAATTACAACAGAGACCTAGCACATGCTCCTACGTACCAGTAGACGCTCAGGCACTTTCAAGCCGCGGCGGGTACCTGGTAGTCTGATGGACAAACAAGTGCTCGAGTGGGCACCTAGCGGGTCAAACATGGCGATAGGGTAGGATCCCTAAATCTCCAAGTTCAGTCACATATCTCAAATATCACTCTCATCACTCTACAGCAGATGGATGACCCCGGCCCGGGGGGGAGGGCTACGCAGTTGCTAAGCTCCACCATAGCACTGCAGGTACCATAATACGTAGCAGCGGTTCATGCGCGGATCTTCGCCTATACAACGCCACAGCCTACAATGTAAGCACACCAAGTATAACTAATTATATATTGTCCCGTAAAGGCCAAAAAAATCTGATAAATCATTTTTCATAAACCTCTGACAAGCCTCCAAACTATGCAGCAACAGCCACCGCACTCGCCGCTCCATGAACCACATCCGCCACAACCTCGGGCATACTCAGCATCGGCGAGTGGCCCGCAGCACAAGTGTGCACCTTCACCACACCTTCACCGGGGTAAGAAGCCATGAACTTCTGCGCCTCAAACGGAATCGCGGCGTCCTTCTCGCAGAGAAGATATGTACTCGGGACATCGCGGTAACCCTCGTAGGTCAGTGGGTCCTGCATGGTCGGCCAGGCGTGGTGCATCAATCCAGCGAGGTATTTGTTCTTTGTCTCCTCGTCGAGATCATTATAGAATCTTTCGGCGGGGTTGGTCATGTAGCATTTATTATCATCCTGCACAATAATAGACACGCAATTAGCATCACCCGGCGCAAAGAGCAAGGCAGTGCAAGGATTATATTCCTGCCAGACCGACCCACTCACCTCAACTTGGAGAATTCCTCTCGCTCCACCAGGCAAAAAGGAATCAATAGACTGCCCCGCCGGAAGGAGGAAAGCCGCCACAAACACCATTGAAACAATTCCGCCCTTCTTTCCCTGCGCCTCGAGCTCCTTGCGAGTGAGACCCTTAACGCATTCCGAGCCGGGGATACCGCTATACGAATGCAAAGCCAGGACGACTTCCTTGCCCTGCTCGATGAGGGGCTCCAGGGTTTTGCGGATGTGCTCCGCGTCCTCGGCGAGGGATGTTGAGGGAGGGCCGCCGGCGGAGAGGAGGGTCAATGTCTCGGTAGGGTAGCCTTGTGCGCGGAGGAGGGCCGCGACGGGCTCGTAGGTGCTACCCGCGTGCCAGGCGCCGGGGATAAGGAGGATGGTAGGTTTTTCGGCAGACATGTTTATTTTTTTTAAAAAAAAGATTGGGGAACTATGCACGGAGCGGAGGATGGGGGTGCTTTCTGGCCTTATATCATTTCGTTAGGGGGCCGATACTTGATTTCCTTGGATATTTTGAAATCCTCTGGGGGCTTGCGGCGCCCAATTAGTTCTCGATCACGAATCTAACTGTTGCCAAGTATGGAGTAGTAGCGAAATCAAAAAAGCATCCTACCCCGCCTCCTGAGTTGCTGGTTCTACTTCCAGCAAGTAGGACAGGAGTGGTTCCTTCGATATATGCTCGTGGAAGTATCGAGTTTTGGAATTGAAAAACATCCCCCCGTCTCCAAATTGTTGTCTCCAATTTTTATCTCATCTCTTCTCCGTCAAACGAATAATTCCTCCTTATCTTGCGACTTCGAAAGGCCCACGGACACTATTCTCAAGCCGTTAGCCCTTAATTTAGAGCGGCACTAAACGTGCCGATCCTAGCCCTAATCAGACTAGCGGCCCCTGTCAGCCGCCAGAATGTTGGAGCTAGTACTGGCTATGAAAGCCATTCGAAAGTTCGCAATTCACGAATCAAGCGATTTCCCGAAATTATGTAGTTCGTTAATCCCGGGAATTATTGATGTCGCTAGCCCGTGGTTGTTTCGTCGGAAACCTTAACCCTGCGGTTAGGTTAGGCCCGCGAGGGACAACGGCTAAAGGATCAGCGGGACAAAAGGATCAACTCCTTAGCGCGTTCACGATTGGGGCCAGGCGTTGAATTTAGGTCCAATAATGAAACATATACGGCAGATTTGGTATTTTCGGAACTTTAACTTCCTTCCCAATGGCAGAGAGCGGGTGGTCTGTTCCTATGTGTCGAAATCTAGACGTACGAGGGTCCCACATGGATTTGTACATCACGAAGAAATCAATCTCTGATTCAGAGAAATCTGGGAAATGCCCAGCAATTTAACGGCGTACTAGCTAATTAATGACTAATACACAATAGGAAATATCGATGAGGGGTAAAATCCCTGTATGTGACCTGTAGGAATTCCAATTCTTGACACTTTGTAACAGTTAGTTGTCATTCATCTAATAGCAAGACGGAAGTTGTCTCGACGTCAATCCAGGAATTGATCATGTTGCCCATAAATAGTGATCGACGCACTCTGGATAAATATTGATGGTCATGCACCAACAGAAAAGATAAATTTTGGATACCGAAAAGTTTCCCAATTTTTCAACCAAAACGAAGCCCGACCCGAATCAGTATAGTTGATTTCGACGCCACCGCCACGACGTTCTCACTACCTCTTCATGTCCCCCATAATCTAAGGGCACCTGCCCGTGAAGACGGTTCGCTTCATCCGGTTCAATGGCATATTTGACATGGTCATATGGGGAAAGCAGGGTCGAATAACCCAAGTTCATGAGGGCTACCTGCCCAGTTCGTGATGTGTCAAGCAAGCCAAGAAGTGCTGCTTCTGGAGGATCATATCTCGCCAAGTCTTGGGCCTGGGGCAAGGTATCACTTACGCCGAGGTCGCGGCGAGAGACCCCATGGTCAGTGTGCTCAGAGTTCACCATTGCGTAGGCCATATCGAGGGTATGCGAGAACGCTTCATCGGCATTATTGAGAATGAGGTCAGCCACCTCTGCTCTTAATGGCGGGTTGGAAAAACGGGAAAATGAAGATGATCGAAGGTCTCCGATCTCTCCCCGATGAGAATATGTCAGGTGCGGAGAGCCACTTGGGCGGTCCACGTTGACAGCGAGGTCTCCGAAAGTGTCGAGTACTCTCCAGGAGAAATATCTTTCCTTTGTGCTGTTCAATATCCTTTCTGGCCCTTGTTTACAGTCCTGCGGGTTTTGTGGCCCTTTTTGCACATCTCGATGAGTGTCAATTGCAAACCTTGGTTCGGGCAGATTGTGCTCTCCCTCAACACCGCGAATTTGCCGAGTGTCGATATAATCGGTTTGGTCTGCTCCTGAAGCTTCTCCAGGAGTGACATTAGTTTGGTTAGTTCGTTCGGCACGAAAAACCCAAGTCGAAACAGTTTCACAGGAACGGATGGAGGAAAGCCTGCTTTTACTGGGAACCATCTGGCCTCTGGCTCTTGGGCCATCTTGGCTAGAAGTTGGCTTCCAATTCCTTTGTCTCTCTTCCATTATCTCCTTCAGGTGATCGAGATCCAGGTACCCTCTTGAGGCATGCAGTAGTGGGTTTTGCTCTTTGACACCGGAGATATCCAGACCACGGCGCAGAACGTTGAGCAGATGGTCCTGTAATGCGGAGCCTTGGGTACTGTGCGATGCACTATCCAACCCGGTGTGGAGATTGCCGGAACAGGCATCTTGAATGGCATTCCCTTTTTCCTTCCCCTGCATCGACCGGTCAGAACGCATCGTTTTCGTTCCATGGTCTTTCCCTGGTGCCAGGAAATTTGTCTCGGAAAACGTCATTGTCCCGAGGGCTACAGCATGAAATGAGTATCAGCCATCGCAGACAAAGCTCGCGAACTCACCAGACCGAAGGTTGACTGGTGATGATGTCTTTCCCTTATTGAAAAATCCCATGTTCGGAACTTGATGGAGCTGTGCAAAGATTAGAGACAGGAAGCAAGACTCGTGCTTTTGCTCACCGTCAGCCGCGAATGAACGACGTTGGCCGCTTGAAAATCATCGTTCAGGGTGTGTTTTCTGCCTCGACGCTGTCGCTTCGTTCTGGGTCTCTCTGTCTCCGATGCACGCTTTGCTGCCGAGGTGGGGGCTTTGTACTCGTACCGGTCTTCCCGGGTCTTGTGTCTGGGTTTCAGTCCATAGTCCTGTCTTCGAGGCTTTTCTGTGTTCTGGCCTCCCTGAGAGATCGAAGATTTGTAAACTCGAGCACGACTATTGGAACCACGCTGTACACTACACAAGCGCATTCTGTATGGAGTGGTGAGCTCGTTGGACAGTTCTGGCAGAGCAATGCCTGGACTCGGAGATGGTGGCCAGTGGTCCACTGGGTGTTGGTCAGAGGATTTCCACTGGTCGGCATGATAAACAACTTACCTGGCTCATCCTCCTGCACGTTTGACAGCCAGGCGTCGATCGGATATTGGTTGGTCGGGTTCATGGCCGGTGGAGGAAAGAAGAGAAGAGAACAAGGATGGGAGAGAAAGGCCTAAGACTATGAAGAGGAAAGTGCGACTGGCCCAGCACGGATGTCGACATGATGTATAGATACACAGCTAGTATGCAACAAACTATCGCTAATCCCGGACCATGTGGGCCTGCCCCTCGATTTGGTTTGTTGACGGCCGAGTCGCTGAGATGACAGGGAAGGCGGCAACAATAAAGGTCACGACGAGGGTTCTCCCCGATCGCTTAAGTGGACGACCAGGGCTAGCGGCTGCTCGACCCCTGGGCCATCCATCCATCCTGAGTCGGTTGGTGACCTCTGCATTTCCCCTCCCCACCTTGCTTCGTTTTCTCTTTCCGTCTTACGCAACTCAACGCTCACGTTAACACGAGGTAAGCTCATTCACCGGTCCCGCCTGATCGCACAAACCCTAAGGACAGGGGACACTGCTGACTGTCCCTTCTGCACACTGTCTGAACTTCCTCTTTTTATCACGCACTCGCTCATTTATTTTCCTCAGACACTCCTTCTCTCGATCACTCCCGTCCATCGACCATCAACCATCCACCATGTCCAAACTTTTCGTCCAGTAAGTCCCTTCCCATCGGCGCCCCTCCCCATCGGCGCCCCTTCCCCAGATTTTCCCACCGCAGAATGAGCGCACTGACACGACCGTCCCCACCCGCAGCGGCCTGTCCTGGCACACCAACGATGACACCCTGCGCGACGGATTCCAGCAGTTCGGCGAGATCCAGGAAGCTGTCCGTGTTCCCCACACACCCACCAACCGTGGTTCTATCTTGTTTGTGTACCCGATCTGACTCCGCTTTTCTTCAGATTGTCGTCAAGGACCGCGCCACCCTGCGCAGCCGTGGCTTTGGCTTCGTTCGCTTCGCGACGGATGAAGAGGCCGATGCGGCCATGGAGGCGATGAACAACCAAGAGTAAGCAAGCTTCCGGACAGAAGTCCATGAAAATCCTAATATCCCTGTCGCAGGTTCGATGGCCGTGTGATTCGCGTCGACAAGGCGTTCGACCGCCCCAACCGCAACGAAGGCGGCTTCCAGGGTCGTGGTGGATACAACGCCCAGCCTGGCGGTGGTTACCAGAATAACGGCGGCGGCTTTGGCGGTGGTGGCGACAGCCGTGGCGGATACAACCGTGGTGGTGCTGGCGGATATGGCGGCTACAACCAGCAGAACAACTACGGCGGCGGCGCCGGTGGTGCTGGTGGATATGGCGGCGCCGGTGGTGGTTACGGTGGTGGCTATGGTGAGGCCTCTTTCAATCGCAGACCCCCTCGGCTCAACTAACCCAGACTGTGCTTGCAGGTGGCGGTGCTAACGCTGGCTTCGGCGGTGGTGGTGGTATGTTTCTTTTTCCTGATCCAAGTCTTTCGAGTACTGATGGCTCTTAGCAGGCTGGCGCAACAACAACGGTGGTGGCCCTGGCCCGGCTGAGGGCAACTAGGGTTCATGTGTGCTCCAAATACCCCCCTTCACGTCTGTTTTTCCGTACTGTTCTCTTTGGCTACTCTCCGCAAAAAGAAGTGACGATTCATGATGGAAATGGGACTTGATGCAATGCAAATCTGGATACTGGGTGGATACTGGGTGCTGGGATGGGTTTTTTCGTTTTCGATCTATCTTTCTCTTTCTTTCTTATGTGCTTGATATGAAGAATCAGATGCATATTGGCATTCGTGAATCCATCATTCTTGGCTGTATCGTCTCGTCTTGCAGAATGTCTCTGGTCTTTTCTGCAGAAAAGACTCCCCAGCATATTCCAACCAAGGGGCTTCTTCTTCTTCCCGTCCTGTCCATCTACTACTCTATCCATGAATCTATGTATATGCACTCGGAAGAGCCTCGTCAACCATCTACTCAATCTTTCCCCGGTCCTCCTCCCCCTCATGCCCTGTCCTCCTTGCTGCAGTCTCCAAATACCTCTTCACATCCCTCTCGGCCTCCTTCTCTTCCTCCTCAGCCATCCCCGCAGCCTCAATAGCCTTAACCCGCCTGACAAGGTCAGTAACATGCACATCTGCAGTGCCCAACCCCAGCCCCTCAAGCGCCTTCTCCAGCAAATACAGATACTCCGTATTCTTGCCACTCAGCCCATGTCCCGCACTGATCACCGCCGCCACATTTTGCGGCTCGCGACGAGCCGGGTCACGCAGGAATTGCGGATTCGTCGGTTGTCCGATGTAGACCATGCAGATGATCGGCGATAAGCTCGGATCATGGTTCACAGCCTTGTCGTCCACAACGGGGATCTTGGATGCTGTTGCTGTGGACACGCCTGACACGGCGTGGAAGGGCGTGTAGTGGGCGCTGTACCCGTCGATCTCGCGCTCGTCTAGGTAGTCGTGCACTTCTTCAGCGTGGCTGGCGGGGATGTGGTAGGCCGCACCCCAGACTTTTCCTGTGGAAGCGGATTCTGATTCCAAGTGGGCTAGCTGTTGGTCCGAGGTTAGATTGGGGTGATCTTCAAGTGGATTGTCAAGTCGGCTTGGTGACTAGATAGGTCGCATACCGGGTCATCTAATGTCTCCCAGAAGCTCCGTTCAATGACCGTCACTACACGCCCGGGCTCTTCGGGGGTGCCGCGATGATCGGTGCTATCTCCTATGAGCTTTTACTTGGATATATGCAAACCTTGCACCAACATACCTAGCCTTGATATCCAGTCGGCATCAATTCTTCATTTCTGTAATCCATGCATGATGGACATTCAAACGACGACAATGTTACATACCTGCCAGAATCGTCGCACATAGCCGTTAATGTACCCCGGAACACGCTGGTCTATATCCAAAGACCCGATAATTAGCGGGAACAGATATCCCCAGGAGAGGCCGCCAGCGCAGTATGCATATGTAAATCCCTCCAAAAGAAAAGACTGGGGCCAGACCTACCGTAATGTGGCGGTGGCTTCCAGATTAGACTCCTGAAGAAGGATTAGCCAACTCATCGATCCCTGGCCGGATCGCAGCAATCCACTCACCCGTAACCGAAGACCCAGAGGTCGCCTTTCGGGAAATGATTCCGCCATGTTCGGCCTTCCGGATGCATTAAACTTGTACTCTGCTGTGTCATTTTGTAACACCAATCGATCGCGGTATTGTCTACTTTGGACGACATGAGAGACCGCGTGTTTCCTTTCAGACGCGTCATGTGATTGCTGATTAATTTGAAGATGAGATCTATAACCACTAGGCAGAGCTTTTTACTGGGAGGACAGTCTTGCAAGTGCTTGATATTAGTGCTTGAACTCTACTGGGGACATGCAAAGTACCATATCGTCTAGGTTCGAGAATCGTTCCAGGGACAGAATTGTGTGGTTGGTTATCGACGTCGGAGACATATATTTGGTCAAAGGGTAACAAACGCTCCACCCCCGCGAATAGTTAATACAAGGCATTGACTAAATTGTACCCTCGAATAATAACCAACTGTATCAAATTTATATGCATTTGACTATGAGCATGGCAATCAGGTGACTTCCCAGATTGGTTACATCCTCGGCACTCAGAGCTCATCCTGTAAACACTCCATCGCCAACACGCCAACCACCCCAGAAAATGAGCAGTCTCTTTCGCCTTCTCAAAATGCAATACAGTGCGCCCACAGACCCACGCGGTATCTCCTTCGCCGGCAAAACAGTGGTCCTGACCGGCGCCACCTCCGGGCTGGGCTACGAGGCCGCCATCAAATTCCTCAACCTGGGGGTAGACTCGCTAATTATCGGAAGCCGCAGCCTGGACCGGGGCAACCGAGTCAAAACAGAGCTGGAAACACGCACCGACCGACCGGGGGCCGTTCAGGTTTGGGAGCTTGAGATGAGCAGCTTCCAAAGCGTCAAGAGCTTCGCGGGCCGCGTCAACACCGAGCTGCCGCGGCTGGATGTGGCCCTTCTGAACGCGGGCTTGTGGAATAGGAACTACGTCACGTCGGGCGAGGAGTGGGAAGAGACGGTGCAGGTTAATACCCTGTCCACCTCGCTGCTCGCGTTGCTTCTTTTGCCGAAGCTCCGGGAGAGCTCTACCGCCTCGGAGCCAACCCATCTCAGCCTTGTGTCGAGCCAGCAGTTTGTCCGGGTCAAGGCTGAGAGTCTGCGGACGGACGGGTCATTGCTGGAGTATGTGAACGACGCGAGCCATTTCAAGGGCCCTAAGCAGTATGGCGTTTCGAAGCTGCTATTGGAGTATGTGGTGAAGAAGATTGCCAGCATTGTCCGACGGGACGACGGTACGCTGCCCGTTATTGTCAATTCCGTCAGCCCTGGGTTCTGCGTGTCGGCGCTGGGGCGGCAGTATAACCGGTTCTACGAACGATGGCTCGTGTGGCTTGTGTATAAGCTCTTTGCTCGGACGACCGAGCAGGGCAGCCGGTCCTTGGTCAGTGCTACGGTCCAGGGTGTGGAATCGCAGGGGAAATGCTGGCGGAGTGATGGGTATCTCGAGTAAGCTCTCCTGGTGACTGCTGACCCAACAATCAATGTGCTGACCGTGCATGGCAGCGAATCTACGGCCTTGACGACTGGATCGGAAGGCAAGCAGTTCCAGGACAAGGCTTGGACGGAGATTATGGAGGTGTTGGAGACACAGGCGCCGGAGGTTCGAAGTATCGTGCAGTTGTAGCCCAGAAGAGACCCACTCTAAAAATAACATGCCGTCATTGATGGATCTGCTTTGGGGGCTACGGGCCTGATGAACACGGACGCGATAGGGCTGGATCTGCCTTGATCTCTTTTCTTCCTCTTCCTCCTCCTCATCCCTCTTTCCTATCTGCCACTATACGAATTGTTGACGTACCTGGTCACTCAGCTCTCAACTACAGTTCATTGCCCCACAGGTCCACTTGTGGGCACGAACCTGCCCTCCTTTTTTTTTTCTTTCCCGCACTCGGGCGAGGCTCTCTTCCCCCTTGCCCCCTCTGCACGCCATGGCCTACAACAAATCCTACAACCCGGACGCGCTGCCAGCGTAAGTGTTGAGCTAGAGATTGATTTGCGACGGTCGCTAACTCCGACTCCAGGCACGCCGAGCCCGAGCAGGTATGAATTGCTTCTGCCTAATAGCTGCCAATCTTTCGTCCTTGCTCATTCTCCCCTCAGGTCGCGCAGATGATGGGTAAACTGCAGGTGTCTGGCCCGGGGACTCCCAACCAGAAACCCCTTCCCACTCGTCCTCCGCCCCAGAAATCCCCCGTTCCTCCTCGCGTCCCCGTCTCCAGTGCTCCGCCGCCGCAAGCGTACCAACAACAAGCTCCAGCACCATCACCCCTCCAACCCACATACAATGCACGTCCTCCAGCCGTCAATTACACGTCGCCCGGAGGAGCACAATCACACCCACCACACCCCTTGTATCCCTCCCCGCCACCGCAGAACTACGGGTTCGGCCCTCCGCCCCCTCACCCCTCGCGTGAACGCCCGCCGCCCGCATCGCGCCCCCCAACCACAACCAACCCACCACCGCTCTCCGTGCCGACCGACGACCCGCAACAGCTCTTCCCACTCTTCCGCGCCGCCAATTCCTCGCACTCGGGCGTCCTGACCGAAGCCGAGCTGGGCTCCGCCCTCGTGAATGGCGACTACACGTCGTTCCACCCGCGGACGGTCAAGATGATGATCCGCATGTTCGACCGCGACAGCATCGGGAAGATCAACTTCGACGAGTTCGTCTCGCTGTGGCGGTACCTCGCTGCGTGGCGCGAGCTGTTTGATCGCTTTGACGATGACCGCAGCGGGCGCATCAATCTGCGCGAGTTTGAGAATGCGCTGGTCGCGTTCGGGTACCGGCTCAGCCCGCAGTTTATCTCCGTCCTCTTCAAGGCGTTTGAGAGCAAGACCCGTCAGATTGGTCCGCCTAAGAGCCCTCAACTGGATGGAATGAGCTTCGATCTCTTCGTGCAGGCGTGTATTAGTCTCAAGCGCATGACGGATGTGTTCAAGCGCTACGATGATGATCGCGATGGGTACATCACCGTCAGCTTCGAGGAGTTTTTGACCGGTAAGCAGTCCAAGATGGATGCCCGTGTATGTCAATGCTGACCATCGACCAGAAATTCTCCAACTTCAGGATTAATGCATGCCATGGCCGGGCATTCTTTGTTTCTGTTTCGCTTTATATTATACCCCATGCCCTCCCCAACCGGTTTCTTATCATAGAATTCGTCGGAAAAGCCGCGCAAATTGAATTTAACGAGGTTAATCCGGACGTTGTCATTGTTCTACGATGCCTGTTCCTTTCCCGATACTACTCCATCCAGCTAGATACTCCTACAGGATTTTTTTGATTACCACTATAAAATAACTACCCCAGGCGACAACAAATTGGCGCCCAATTCCATTCTCCTGGACTGATGGACAAACCGCAAGTTGAAAGGCATTCGGAGAACCCGGCCAGAAGGCAGGCATGTGTAATTGGCTTGATCAGCCCTACTGCCAGGGACATGCACTTGCAAATGCGTCGTAACCAAGATCCTACGGTCATCAATAAATACGAGCAAAACTGCAAGATCAGTGGCTCAGATCAGAATTATTTTTCGTGCAGTGAATGAAATACTGTTCCATTGCAAGGTACACGATGGCATCCGTATCTAGTCGTGTCGTGTATGCTCCAGCTCGCGTATCACAGTGCGGGCCTCGCTAGAAGGGTATTATAGAAAGAAGTCAGCCCAGGTGTGGTCCTGTTATGCTCCCGATCATTATTCACAAACCGATCAACCATCCTCGCACGCAAACCACGTTGGGGACTCCTGCAGTTCCGAAGCAAACCTCTAATTAGGCAACTCGAAAACATCGGTGATAAAAGATCGATCTGACTCACCTCCACCCAAGGTGCCCCACATCTCACGATGTCGGCACTCCGAACATCCGACCGCCCAAGCCTAGTGGCGGTCAACACACTAGATGGTCCGATCGGAGAAATACCGATGGACGGTGGGCCTTGCAGTGGACTGCTTATCAATGGACCTGTTCATTTTTGCGCAGAAAGGGGCATAGGTCAGGAGTGGAGTGCGTGACTGGATCGATGGCTCGAACTGTCGGCGGCCGTTATCCCCGACTGGTGAAAGGCCGAGGGTCAAACACTCCGACACTAAACTTCTCCTTGTTTTTTTGTCGTTTAAAACCTAGTCATCTCATCGGGCCATACGCTTCGTCTCAGCAAGCTCCCTGATTATTTAGGATCGATCGATCGATCGGTACCAGAAGAAGAATCGTCACAGAGTCCATACCAGACACACCTCGGGATAATTGGTTCCCTCCCCACTTTTTTTCTCTCCCGATTACTTTTTGGATTTCTCCTCTTTCGCGACACCAAACCACCACAACTCCCCCTCCCCTCGACGCCATGTCTGTCGAGCGCCTGAGCCACGATGGCGCCAGTGGCGACACCGTCGTCACCGACCAGAACAACGAAAAGTCATCCGTCGACGCGCCGACTCCGGCACCGGAAGCCGATGCGCCAGAGACTGATGCGCCGGAGGCTGATGAGACCGCCCAACCGACGGCGGAGGAAAAGGTGCAAGAAAATACAACTGAAGGAGCACCCCTGGATCGCACGCCGTCTCAGGCCGCGAAAATGGGCAAGAAGAAGATCGCAGTCGTCATGGCGGCTCTCTGTGTAAGAACCCGACTTGTCGCATCCGAAATCAATCGCGCTAACCTTTCCGTCTCGCAATCCAGCTGGTTTTGTTTTTGGCGGCCTTGGATATGGTATGTTTTCTTTTTCTTTGTATCCGAGTCTCTCATCAGAGGGTTGATTTGCTAATCCCACTGTTTGAACAGACAATCGTTTCGACGGCCCTGCCTACCATCGCAACCTCTTTCAACGCCTCGGAAAGCGGCTACTCATGGATCGCCTCCTCGTATCTGCTGGCCAACGCCGCCTGTATCCCACTATGGGGCAAAATCAGTGATATCTGGGGCCGGAAGCCGATTATCTTGCTGGCCAACTTCTTGTTCCTTATTGGCAGCTTGGTGTGTGCCTTGGCGAAGAACTTGCCCATGATTATCGCAGGCCGAGCCATCCAAGGTATTGGTGGCGGAGGTATCATCGTCCTGGCAAACATCAGTGTCTCTGATATGTTCAGCATGAGGTGAGTCGGAACACAAGCAACGTGAATTTTGAACGGTGCTGACTATCTCATTCAGAGAACGTCCGATGTATTACGGTCTGTTCGGCGCTACTTGGGCCATTGCTGGTGCTCTAGGACCTATTGTCGGTGGTGCTTTTACCACTGATGTGACCTGGAGATGGTGCTTTTACCTTAACTGTAAGTCATCTTATTTTGTTTTGATTCAGACACTAACATGACTGTTAAGTGCCCATTGGCGGAGTCTCCTTCGTCATCCTGACCTTGTTCCTCAAGATCGAATCGGCCAAGACACCGTTACTCGCTGGCCTGCGCAGCATCGACTGGACAGGCACTGTCTTGATCATTGGCGGTACTATCATGTTCCTCTTTGGAATGGAGTTCGGCGGTGTCAACTTTCCTTGGGACTCAGCCACGGTGATCTGCCTAATCGTATTTGGCGTCGTCGTCTGGGTGCTGGCAATGCTGTCGGAGTGGAAGCTGGCCAAATACCCCATCATCCCAACACGCCTCTTCAACGACTGGTATAATGTGCTCATTCTCCTGATCACCTTCTGCCACGGATTCACTTTTATTGCCGGAGCCTACTATCTCCCGCTCTACTTCCAGACGGTTCTTCTGGCCTCCCCAATCTTGAGCGGAGTCTACGTCCTACCCATGGTTCTTTCTCTGTCAGCCATCTCAGCCGGAACCGGTATCACGATGAAGAAGACGGGCCGCTACCGCGAACTGATCCAAGCCGGTCTCTTCTTCATGACCCTAGGCTTCGGTCTGTTCATCGACCTCAAGCCCTACGCCTCCTGGCCCCGCATCATCATCTTCCAGCTCATCGCTGGTGTTGGCGTTGGCCCCAACTTCCAGGCTCCTCTCGTGGCTTTCCAAGCCAACATCCGCCCAGCCGACATGGCTACCGGAACAGCCACATTTGGCTTTGTCCGCCAGCTCTCTACGTCCATCTCCGTCGTCCTGGGCACGGTCATCTACCAGAACGTGATGAGCCAACAAGCCGGCAAAATTATTGCTGCCATCGGCCCCGAGCGCACCGCCATCATCTCGTCTTCCTTCGCAGGATCCTCCAAGTCTCTCATCGAGAAATTGGAACCTTCCCAGCGTGCCGTCGTCCTCGAGGCCTTCACATACGCCCTCAGCCGCATGTGGATCTTCTACACCTGCATATCAGGCGCCGGCTTTATTCTCTCGCTGTTCATCCGCGCCCGTGTATTGAGCCGCTCGCATACCGTCCAAAAGACCGGTCTTGCCGAGCAAGAGCGTGCGCGCCAGGAGCTCCTCAAGGACGAGGCCGCGCGCAAGGGGGAGTCCAAACCCGAGGCTGACGTATAGCCTTCTTTTCATCCTCAAAATCTCTACTCTTGAGGCTGCATATATTCTATTCTTTAAATTCTAATATATAGTTTTTATACCTATTGGTTGCGTCTTTGTCCCTTTTGGTAAGGGTCTGAAGAGGTGTTGATTCGGGCTGTTCGTTTGCATATGATTTATGGGCTCGCGGATAATTTTTGTTTTTGGTTGCACGACAGATCAAAAAGGCGCTTGTGTTGGTTAGTTGCATGGGGTGTCTGTATCTACTTCATAGAATGAATATACAAACATTTGCCTTGGCATAGGTCTTGGAATACAACTAAACATAGACTGTGATATGTTCATCTCATTTGCCCTCTGGACTGCAACCCGCGGGCTCTATTCCAAGGCTTCTACCATCCTCTTCAGAGCCTCACCCAGGTACTCTTGCGGCTGAGAAAACACAACGCGAAACCATCCGGGGCGCTCCGACCCAAAAAGCGTCCCACTCGCTAGAAAGACCTTCTTCTGCAGCAGAGACTGCATAACAAGGTCGTCAACCTCCCCCTATCTTCACGTCGGGATGCAAGTCGCGGTATCTCTTTCCTAAATTCACCCACAGAAAAAAGGCTGCGTTGCACCCTGGTGCGTATTCGATACTGTGCGCTCGGAGATACTGCACCGTGTATGCGTAGCACTCTGCTAATTTCTTCTGATTTTGCCGGATATACCGATCTGTAAAGTTGTCGTCCTCCAACAGTAAAGTGGCTAAGTGGTCAGATATTCCAGACGCGTAGGAATATATTGAGATAAACTTCAGTGCCTCGTGGAGATGACCGTTTGCCTGGGAGATGATGGTTCCGAGCCGCATCCCATTCGCACCAAAGTCTTTGCTCAGCCCCCAGAGCACATGCACGAGTCGGGGGTCAATAATGCCCGCCAGATCAATGGATAACGCAGACTCAAACCGGACTGGTGGAGGATCCTGATCCACCGTATTCTCCCAGACAGACAGCGCATATATCTCATCACTGATAAAGTGTATCCTGTACTTCTCACAGAACCGCATTAGCTCAACAACCACCTCACGCGGGTAGCAGCGCCCAAGAGGGTTGTGCGGGTGGCAGAGCATAAGCGCCCTAACCTTCCTCTCGCTCTTCAGCTGAAAGTCCAGCAGCGCCTGCTCATACTTGTACACAGCCTCCCTGCTGAACGGATCGCAGTCACCGAAATCAACCTCCACTACTTTCGAGCCAGGCCGAAGGGACATATCCGGGATAAAAGTGCCATAGAACGGCTTCCCGAGCAAAATGCCGTCCCCCGGATCGGCGAAAGCCCAGGAGACATGCTCGATAGCAGACGAAACGCCGTTGGTGACAATGAGATGGCTGGCGTCGAGCGGGATGGCTGGGTGGAGGTGCCGGTTGAGGAACCGGGACATGGCTTGTCTCAGTCGCGTAGAGCCGCCGCCTCCGTCGTTGTAGGTGAGGTACTTGGATGGTAACTCGAGTTTCTTGTTCAGGAAGCTGAGGAGCGTGTCGTGCATCAGCGTGTTCTCTGCTATCCCGACGTTGACGTAGCCCGTTGGGTTCATGGACGGGCACCACACATCGCTCAACACATCCCATATGGGGTTGTTCGCTGCTGCCTCGGTGGCATTTTGGGCTCTCTTTGAGACGACGGGATCTGTGCTTTCCGACTGCGACATCTTGGTGGTTTTGATATCACACTCCAGAGGTAAAGGGTGTCAACATTCAGACCATTATAAGGCGGAATAGAAAGCTAGTACACTCTCTTATCCCATGAAAATCACCGTTCGTATACAACGAAATTTCCAAACTCAGGCGTCAATCTTTGAGGTCGACGAGTGACGTCGCATCGGCTAACTCGGCCGGATGTGGAGATGAACCTTAAATCGAGAAGTATACCGGCCTCTCTGTCGCAACTATTGTATAGATGTCCTATATGCTTCAAATGTGAGCCGATTTCCAGGTAATATTTGCTTCACAATACGGTCGGACTTAATATACTACCAGTCCTATGCTGATTATGGGCAATGGTTTATAGACCGGATAACGTCTCCCGCCCTGGGACTTGCTCTTTCCGTTTTGAGCGCCCTGATCTGCTCAGGGAGTATGACATAATCAAAATTGCCCGCTCACTGAACGCTCACTGAACACTCACTAGTTAAGCACTCACTGATTGCTCACCTAAGCGCTTTGATCCACTCGCTAATCGCCCTGATTCGCTCACTGAGCCAACCCTAAGCATGACAGTGAGCGCCCTGAGTAAGCCTATCCCCTAATAAATTGTACCCTGTGACCGGCAGCCAGATCAGAAGAGAAAACGATGAAGATGTCAAATTAATGTGCTATGGACAACGGGACTTCCCAAGTTGGGGAGAAGAAGGAGAAGACAAGGAAACAATGAAGAAGTCCCAACTATCTACACAATGCATAACACGTGCCCAATTGCATCACCGCGCCAGGTACAAGCATCAGGCTGGTCACATCCTATAGATCTTTGTTTGTCTACTAGCAAAGAAGTGTGCGATACAGTTGGATACATACTGTGTTTCTATTGATAGTATAGTGGCTCACTATGATACCGCCCATCATGAATCAGCAAACTCTCGGAAAATATTGGCATTCGAACTGAATTCTAGTCTATATTTTACAAAATAGCTTCCCGCGTACCCCCTCTAAGTCCATTACACCGAGATGAAGGGCTAGGATCCGCCGAATTTCACCCCAAATGCCCTTCCGCGCGCTGATAACAGCGTCTTGACGCTCTGTTGCAAGATTATACAGGTATTTTTGTGCCACATTATCTGAGATGAAGTGTAAATACCCGAATGAAGTATTGTGTTCCTGGCAGGCTTGTGCCAGGTAACCGACCTCGCAGTCGACCCAGTCTGCACCATGCTTATTCTTGTCCAGCCAATCCTCAGTCTCAACCAATGGGCTCGGGACAGTAACATGATTTCCCTGGAAAAGGTGTGCCCTATGCTCTGTTGATAGTGTCGTCGTGAGTGGGCTTTTCCAAGAGAGAGGTTTGTTGTTTAGGCGACTTGTTTCACCAGTGACGAGGACCTGATTCGGGATATCTTGTGTTCGTAATGAACCAGCCTTTCCTATATATAGAACGCTGGATAGGTTGTTCTGGACTTGCATCGTGCGTGCAGCATTTCCGATGATATCACCCCAGAGGCTCATCATGCTTCCGACAAAAGCGACGATACTCCCGTCAGCTCGACGGAAGCGCTTCCACGCAAATAACTGGTTCGGCTCATCTGTCCCTGTCTCCCAGGGGTAATTATCATTGGTGGCCAGGTGATCAACATATCCGAGAATGACAGTATCGACAGGACCCATGAACCGCAAATTTGATTGCGAGAGAAGATCCAAACAAGTTTCCGGAGAAGGAAGTCGGTATTCTATCACTGATGTAGGCGCATTAATCGAATTCAGGTTGAGGTAATATGCGACGAGAAGGGCGTAATGCAGCACGTAGTCTCGCCCTGGAAAACACCTGATTTCCAGAGTCGAGTCATCGATGATGACTGCTGTTGGTCGATGCCAGTTGAAACGTTTTTCTCGTTTCTCATTGGGTGAAATATGTACATTGGGACCGTCTCGGTCATAATGGCCACAGACCACAATGCGGGGCCAGACATGGGTCTTGATCAACGGATGGATCTTGCCATAAATGTATGTCTGCAGGGTTTCGTGCATCAAATGTTTGTCTGCCAGAAGAGAGTCATGGTCTACTCTTACCACGGCCATGCTTTGGTTCCAGACGAGAAATCAACAGGCGAGTTGGATTGAGGCTAGTGTTGTCAATCGGATTAAATTTATCCCGTTCATGGTTTGTTTGCTGCTGTCCAAGAGATGCTGGTGGGCTTATAACATCGCTTTAGTTGGGCCCTTTGTTGGCTTTTGCGTTTGAAATTTCTTTTTGAGGCAAAATATTGCCCTTTGAATCTATTCTTATCCATCCATCTCTTCCGGGGCGCTGATAAGCATTCTTTTGTCAAGACACACTGGTACTCTAATGTTGAACCTAACGAAATAATCACTGATTAGATTGCGCTCTTGAGTTTTCATAACCAGGCGACGCATAGTCGTGGCCTTTAGTGATGAGGATCAGGCCGAGCATAGCATCCGAATCGCGTCACCGCACAGAGCCTTCCGCCCGAAGTATCAGACAGTTTCTCTTGGTTCTCGGCGTCTCGGTGTCTCTCTTTGGCCCAAAGCAAATCTCATCGCTTTTCTGCAATCTATCTTCATTGCGGATGGAATCTACATATACTGATTTAGAAGATCACACCTAAACTTTCCCAAGTTTTTCTATACCATGCGAGATAGATCTTTTGGAACGTGTTCAAATATTTTCGGGAATTATTGCATATAATACGTGCAATTTCTCGCGCCATCTTTTATACTATCCAATAACTAAAAGAATTTCGACCTTTCTATCGAGGGACATACACCCAAGTACGCATTGTTAAGGCATCGAACGCAAAGTAGCACGCCGAGAGAATCCGAAATTCCTGTGGAGCCCTCTTGACCGTTCCAAAGACCTTAAATTCTTATGGTCAATATTCTCAATATCGGATGTCTTGCTTCGACAGAAAATGCCACCCATGAGTGCTTGCATGTCACGGATCCAAGTGAGGAAGTTGAACTCCAGCATGAAAATGAAAAAGCCCAATATGGTGATAGGGATTGTGCAAACAAAGAAGATCCAGATTTTTGGATGTGTCTTCCATTGTAGAATCTGAGTTTTGTCGTTGTTATCGAGTGTGAAGAAATTCATTCCGAAAAATCCCTGCAAATATTTTCAGCAAGTCTCATGGTCAAAGTTCGAATGCAAAGGCCTTACTGAGATGAAAGTTCCCGGCAGAAATAGAAGCGTTAAGGCGGACACGGTGTCGGACAAAACTTTGCCTTCATTCCGGGTTTGCTTGAGAATGCCTTTCGAGATGTTACTATCGGCAACTGCAACGAAGTTTGAGGCCTATTGAACACTGTCAGCCGCCTTTATTCTAAAGAAGAAGAAGAAGAAGAAGAAGAAGAAGAAGAAGCAAAAATGTCAGTTATTCTTCTTTCGCAGGCGGCACTCACACACTTGATCTCATTATCCATGCGGCCCACAAACGCCTTAGCCCGGAAGTTCAAATTTGTGATCATGTTTTCATAGAGTGACAGCGCTTTTGAGAGTCGTATTGTTGCCGCAGAGGAAGGAGAATTTGACTGGATCCACAGATCATGGTCTCGTACCATGGCACCGAGGTTATTAGAGGCCGCATCCATAGATTCAGAAATATGGATTACATGTCGCGATAACTCATGAAGCCGACTATATCGCTCGACAAGGAACTCGAATGTTTTGTCGTTATCGGATGATCCGGTTTCTTCAAACAGCTCCTGACCACGACCCTAGAATTTGTTAGATATGCTCGCGTGTATAACATTGGAAATGGGCAACACCTTCTCTATATCTCGCACTGGCTTTTGGAAGCTCCAGAGATCATTCTCACACTGCTCTACCACTATATTGATGGCATACTCGAGCATGAGGAACGGTTCATTCTTCCAATTTCTGAGATCAGCTTTATGCAGCAGACGTCTTAGTCGGAGAGTAATATTGTCGTCGAGATCGAAGCAAAGTAGCACATTGGTCTCGTCAGTAAATTCATCCGCTCTTAATCTACCACTCTCTTCGGTAGGCTTGACAAGTGATGACCGCCACAGGGTACAGAATGCCATATAGTGCCAGTCGTACGCAAATTCAGGGGCAGGGGTTGAGATGAGATTTGTGTTACGGAAATCTCCTTGGTTTAGCGCCCTTTCATCGCCCTTTCCCTTGACTTGTTTGGAAAGAAAGCGCGAAAATGTCCCTTTATGGGAGTTCTGATTAGCAGCTGCCGGTGGCTATTGTAAGCTCAATGTGCTCTCTTACCATAGCTGGTTTCTGAATCGGTTTGTAACAAATTGACAGTACTGCCGAACATGCCATTTGCGTTCCAGCCCAATCTTTCAAAAAAGAATTCAGGGAGGAAGAACTTTTCAGTTAATTGTCTGCATAAATCTGCACTCCCTACCATTTTCAATATTTCTTCTTCCACCTTTGGCATGAAGCTGACATATATAAGCAGGTGTAGAATTTGACCGAAAAGTGGTTCTCACATAACATGAATACCTGGCTTTCTCAAGAACTATATGGGACCTATCAGCAAGTTGCCATGATACATTGGGTTTTTCTCATCCGACTAACATCTTCTCGCAACAGTTCAGTCCGGCTTAGCTCCCGAGGTTCTGGTAGACTTTGGTCTCCCGGTAGCGATGGTTGGGGCGGGCTAACAGGAGGTATCTCACTACCCAAAGGCTCCGTCCACCGCCAGTAGTTGATATTTGTTGAGAGATTTGCTGTCATTTTTCCAAAATAAAATAAAAAAAATGCACGGGGTACTACTCTCGAAAGTTGGCTTAGGAACTCAGGAGAAATAATATTTACGCCCCCATTTCGGCCCCAAACGTTGCGTTCGAGGGCGGCACACCGGCAGACGGTCTTTTCTCTTATTGGCAGGGCAATTGTTAAGCTGGTGGGTATTGCATGAAGCCATCTACGAACTCGTTGGCTGGTGGATGGGCTTTCTAGTGCTAATATTGCACTTTCGATCCACCACCCATCAGCTGTGGGCTCAGTGCGCGGTCGCCCGGCGGGTGATTTCCACCTATCTATATCGCACTCGCCCTTCTGGGTTCCGGTCTGGCGACATCAAAGCGGCTCTTACCCATATCTTACCAGGACTACTGACGGATGTTCCGTATATAACTTACCAATATTAGACTTTGTACATACGGCCGCAGGATGTGGGGAACGAGAGGCCTTATTTAAGCCGCACGCCGGCCAGTTAGTGGTTGGGTGGGTGACCCCGGAGGAATCCGTGCTGTTGCATGTTGGGGTTCATCTCTTTTTTGCCCACCGCTTGGGTTTAGCGCCCTTCCACTTCAGGCCTTGAGTACCTTCGCCCGAACCACCTGAAGCCATCTAAATCGCACCTGAACCCCCTGAACGACCCCTGCACGGCTGACTTGGGCCACTCGGCTAAACTTGCCATGTTCCTTGCCTGCTGTCCACTGCCTCTTTGCCGTCCTTTATTCCTAGTCTCTGTCTCGCTGTCTCGCTATCACCTATTTATAGATCATCACCCTCCACCGCCCTCCCCTTAGCCGGTCTAAATAATGCTCTTACTAGCGCCTCCACGAGATCACGGACGTCACGTCCTCCCACCCCGCCATAGGATCGGAGAACCCATACCTCACCTCCGTATCACGGTTACTAGCGGCGGCTACCACGGCTTCTAGGATCGACGTTAAAGCAGACACCGTCTTCGAGGGCGAGGAAGACGTTGCGACGGTGGCTAGTGAAGCTAAGGTCGTCATAGACAAGCCTTCGCTAGAATTCTTGCACAGTAGCACTATAGACTACGAGTTGATTAGAAGCCATTTTAAGATTGTGAATAATTCTCAGCACTTCACTATACGAAGTATATATGGAACGATATATATATAGTCGTACCCGACTTCTATATCCAACGCCAAGTTACCAAACCGAGTTATTTGTGATGGTTCCAGATAAACGTCACTATTATAGGCGAGACCCAAATGTGCAGCAGCGTTCGACGGTAATATATAATTTATATGCATGTTGTTCTACTTGATTATTTCATATCGAAATAGCCTCATGCTTACAGAGAATATCCAATACTACTGAACTATGCCCTCACAATGTCCTGCAAAAGAGCGGCAACTTTATCCGGCATACTCAGAAACGGCGAGTGCGAGCTCGGCAATCGATAGGTGTTCTCCGGCCTACCGACCTTAATAGCAAACTGCTCCTGGAATGCCGGTGGCAGAGCATGGTCCTGCTCGCAGATGATATAAGCACAGGGTATATCGCGCCAGGGCTCATAGGTAGCTTCTCCGGAGAAGACAGAGCGCGAGGTGTGTACCAAAGCAGCATTCCACTGTTCTTGTTCTCTAGGAGGGAGATCTTGCCAGCCGACAGCGCCGGCAGCATCGGCATAGACGTAGTCGCCCTACATAATAGTTAGTTCTGTTAAATAAAGACGAATTGTGTTAAGCTCTTGAAAGTACGTAGTAAAGTCATAGCTGTGTACAGATCTATTTCGGTATGAGGGGCAATTATACATACCTCAACCCTCATCCAAGGCAAAAAGTTCCCTCCCAATATACCCAACAAGCTCTGTCCCTTGTCTAGCGCGAATGCAGACAAGAAAACAACCTTCCCAACTCCACCTGGTTTATTTGCAGCTCCACGAGCTATCTTATCCAGTCCTTCGACAGCAGAAGAGGCAACAACACCACCATAGGAGTGCGCCACAACGACAACATCTTTTCCCTCGTCCACGAGCCTAGTCAAAACGTCACGTAGGGAAGCGACATCATCCGCCAAAGTCTTAGAGGGCGGTTCGGCTCCAATTGAGGGGTGCGGGGGGCATTCAGACGAAACACCGAGGGCATCTAGACGAGCTCGGAGGGGGCCAAAGACTTTTGGGGTTACCCAGGCGCCGAGGGCGAAGACAAATGTAAGTGAACTCATGTTTGAACTTGCATAGAAGATTAATGTAGTATTGGAGGTAGGGGAGGTGGATGATTCATTTCTGTTGAGTTCGGAACCCAGAAGTGGAATTGATTCGCTTAGGGTTCGGCAGTTATATGATAATAGAAGCCGCCTCGAAAACAGCTATTAGTCTAGGTGTTTTTAAATTACATCTCTTTGGATTAGATACTCTTTCCCGGCTGGTACAAGGGGGCCATTTCAAAGTTTTGACCGGCACTAATCAACTACTAACCTCGCCACACCAGCGCCAACTTGGGGGTGTGTACATAGTCCTAACCGAGACTAGATTAAATTTGATCAGTAGCATTATCGTCGTCTTCATGTTCATTGACCCCCCTCTATCTCAATAATCTCCTACATAGGACATACTTTGGAATACGTTCAATCAATATCTGAATAACCACAGTAATTGAAATGATTATAAACGGGAGGGGTAAACTAGGCGCAATATAATCGTTATGTGGAAACAAGGCTAGTATTAGAGATAATACACTCTAGTGGCTTGGCTATGAAAGCTTTTGAAATGGTCGTTGTGCGAACGATTCCGGCCCCCATCTTCCCCATTGAACTTGTCGATCGAGAGCGTTACTTAACAAAGCAAAGAATCATCATCCTTCTAACGGCAAAAAAAGAGAGATGTGCAGTTTGGGAGCTCTACAGTAAGGCAGCCTGATGTGAATTCGAACATACTCAAGCGTTCAGAAACACCAGATGGATGAACCGACCCGCTGTGCAGGATTCTAGTTTTCCCGCACTATCTGCGGCCTCGCTCCTTCATATCCCGTTGGCTGTTTCACCTTAGTGCCAGAATATGACATGGGCAACAACGACGCCGACAAAGACTAAGCCATAACCAAGGCATATTACTATTCAGTATTAGTATCCCCGATTTTTCGCTTTCGACAATTAATTTTCCAATCATCTCCAAGCAGATATTTTATAGTTGATGTATTATGTATGTATTTAATTCAAGACATTGAGTTCATAGCGTCCCTTTTTCTCCTAACCGGTGGGCGCCACAGGGGCCAAGGGCTCGTCATATGTATCTCCTTTAGATTCTTCTTTTCTACACTACTCAACGGTCTTGAGTATTGACAACTCTACCTCTCTAAGAGGGCTGTGTCGCCAGAATGGTGCCTAATGATGCTGGCGAAACGACTCAGCCAAAACAGCGTATTACGACCATCGTACTCGCCGTGCTGGCCATCTTTTTCGTGTTGCTTAGGTTAGCGGCGCGCCGTATGAAGAGGGCGCCGTTGGGAATGGATGATTGGACTTTAATTTTGGGATTGGTGAGGCTTTCGCTGCTTCGATTGCATTGAATACCACCAACTAAGCTAGCTATAGCTATTTGTGGTAGTACTTGCAGGAGTCAATATTGTTTGTCTGTCACACATTAGCCCGACTCCTGGAAAAAAGACTGATAATTATCAAGGCATCCACTATGGTTTGGGCCGACACATGGACACTATACTCCCGACTGACAGGCCAGTCTTCCTTAAGGTAGAGCGTGATCGGCGGAAAACGATGAACTCACTGACATCTATGGATAGGTGGTTTACGCCTTCGAACCGATCTACATCACCACCGTCGGAATTATCAAACTCTCTGTCCTCCTCATGTACCACCGCATCTTCCCAGTCCGTCTCATCAGAATCGGTGGGTACATCCTCGGCAGCATCACTATCGCCTGGGTAGTATCCGTTGATCTCGTCGCTATCTTTCAGTGTACGCCCATAGCTAGGGCGTATAATCCCATGCTTCCAGGCCACTGCATTGACCTTAAAGCTGCGCTGATCGGCAACGGGGTGCCGAATTTTGTAACGGATATCTGTATCCTAGCACTACCAGCACGGCTTATTTGGCAGTTGCAGGCGAGCACGTTGCAGCGAATTTCTATTATTCTAGTGTTCTTGAGTGGAAGTTTGTATGTGCACCCCCAGTTCATTTCCCTCGTTTATGGGTTGGATCCAGGTTCCAGACTACGGAGTGGTTAGATATTGAATGGATAATTGCTAACACGAATACAGTGTCGTATTTGCGAGTATCTACCGTTTCAGCCTCATCTTCATCTTCAATATCACCGATATCTCCTGGACTCTCGCCGACGCACAAACCTGGTGCGTAGTCGAAACAGCTGCGGGAGTCATCTCGGCCTGTCTGCCTACCCTGGCTCCACTTGTAAAGTCTTGCACCCGTACATTTGTCTCGACTGTCCGCTCGTCATCCAAGATCAACAATACCCAGTCTGCCACTGGAGGAAATACTTCAGGGCGTGCTAGTGTGGCGAAAATCACCAACGCTGGGGGTGGCCTAGAAGGGACAGGCGAAAGGGATTATGCGCTGGAACGGGTCGGACCTAGCAATCTTGGGAGTCGTTCGCATGTTAAAGGGAAAGGATGGACAATGATTCGAGCGGAGTTTGATAGTGACTGACCTAGGACTAATCTAAAATATGTATAGGCATCTAGAATGACCTTTGGAGGTTAAAATATCAACAAAGAGTTACCTCAGTAATAGTGTCGTGACTGCAAGTTCCGGTCTGAACCAGATCCATTAACCCTGTTCATTGCGTCCCACCAAATAAAAAGCGTCTCTGTTCAGAACTGATAGCACACTTAGTGACAGTGCAATGTCGATGTTATTGACACATCAATTTGTGTTGTTCATGGCGTCCAGTGATATTCGAAATCGGGTTTCTCTACAATCTCTCTCTTTTATTTTCTCTAGGTCCCACCTCAGCGCACTAATCGTTATTAGAATATCATCGCGCTGGAAATTCCACACAAAAATCAGCATATTATTCACGCCCGAACGTTAATTGTGCTATGAGAGCGGTGAGGTTCCGACTTCTAAGGGACTGGCTGTTTTATCGAGACGTAATTCTGCCGTGCTTCACCGTCTCTATGATAATTGTGCGTCTATGGTACATGAAGCACGAAGATGCGCGTGCTATCACATCCGATGAAACATATTGTCGACACGTGTACCTTCCATCAGCGCGTAAGTACACCACGTATGCAATAAGTAGCAATAATCCCCTATTTATGTTGCAGCTCGACTCCCACCCCTCTTTTTCTCCCAGTCAACTACCTTCATGCTGTCCTCTCTACCACGCCAGCTGTGCCACCACTATTCAACTACATACATCATCTCACGATGTCAGGGCTCGAGGTCATTGGGGGAATCTCCACGGTCATTACTCTCCTCGACGCCTCCATCAAGGTCTATGACAGTGTCCAGAGTGATGCGAGGCTCTCTGGGACGTTCGAAGTCGTCCGACGCCGGTTGCCCGTTATCCTCCATGTCCTTCAGAGATGCAAGAATGTCCTTGAACAGAGCAAAGACTCTATGTCGTCAGATGTTTGCGAGGCTTAGAGAAGATTCTTGATGCTTGTGACGAAAACGCACGGAAATTGAGAGATATTTTCGAAAGGGCCATTCCTGGTGAGAAGGATACGTGGGAGAAACGATACGCAAAGGTCATTCGGCGACTCGGAAAAGGAAGCAAAGTCGAAGAGCTCATGGCTACGCTCACCCAAGACATCCAACTCCTTGTCAATAATGATGCGGTGGACTCTGCTACACCAGAGCAAAATGTCGAACTTTAAGATATTCTTAAAGAGATGGCATCTGTCAAAAGCTCCGTCACACATGAGGAACTCTTAGCGTTGACGTTCCACAGCGGGGGGGGGGGCACAGACCAACAATGTCAACAGCGGCCGTGGCCAGCAAATCAACAACAATGCTCATGTCGGAACCCAAAATTTCGATTCCGGTAAGGAGCCGCCATCATGAAAACACATTTTTTCGGCCCGAAGCGAGCTTGGCGTGACCCAATGGAGGGCAGTGAATGGACTTCTCTACTTCGATGATTTCTGCTACTTCACCAAGTCAATTTCTCATTGCTACTCGTGGTGGAGATTTCCCAAGATTTTTCGATGTCCTTAGGAGTCTCAGAGTCTCAGTTTCTTTCTTTAAAAGCTCAAATTCCACCCCCATAACATTAAACAATCTTAGCTAATTATTTGAAGTGACCATCGAGCAGAAGGAAGATTTCAGTTTTCGCGGCTCCGTTGGCATCCAGCTCGGTCAAGCGCCCTACATCGCCTCTGAACTTTTTGTCGGCCGTGGTTATGAGCTTGATGAGATCGCAAAAGCTCTACACCCTGATCACAAGGCTCAAAAGCAGCGACGCCTAGTTCTCGGCGGTATGGGTGGTATTGGCAAGACCCAGCTTGCTATCGCCTACGCAGAGTCCGCGCGGGAATCTTATAGCTCGGTTTTCTGGCTAAATGCAGTATCTGAGGCCGCATTGAAAGACAGTTTTCGATTGATTGCCAGCTTTGTCTTCGACATTCATGACCCCAGAGTGCTAGAGGACAAGGAGATCGTGAGACGTGTACACCAATGGCTATCTACACCAAATAATACCGGATGGTTGTTAATCTTTGATAGCTACGAGGACAGTGACCAGTTTCTGATTGACGATTATTACCCTCTTGCTTCTCATGGAGCTATAGTGGTCACCACAAGGCGACCAGATCTCGTTGCCGGGAGCACTATTGACATAAAGCCATTACAAAATATTAAGGATAGCTTAGCAATCCTACAAACCCGATCAAAACGAGAGAACGTTCAAATCAGATATGCTACAACGAAATGCATTTAGGATCTACTAACCGCTACTGTTAGATCCTCATGCAAAGCGCCTCGCAAAGCGACTTGCGGGTCTTCCTCTCGCTTTGGCCACCGCCGGGACATATCTTCATCGTAGTACCTTCACATTCGAACGCTACCTTCAAGAGTACGAGAAACGCTGGAACGTTGACCCACGCCGAACCAGAAAACTCCAGGAGTATCAGGAGCGCACGCTCTACACCACCTGGGATTTGTCATATTCTCGTCTAGAAAAGGAAGATCCGGACGCAGCGAAACTACTGAAGCTACTTGCCTACTTCGATAACCAGAGTCTTTGGTACGGGCTTTTCCATGCTGGGCTTACCGATAGCTCTCCCGAGTGGCTTCGTGAAGTGCTCATAGATGACGTGAATTTCAATGGAGTGATGGAAGTCCTGGTTGAATACTATTTCCTCGACACTCACCAGACTTCTGACTCGTGGAGCATGCATAACTGCGTGCACGACTGGACACTGGTAATACTTAATAAGGACATCGACGCAAAGAATTATTGGTATGCTTTTGACTGCGTTTCTGCGTCTATAAAAGATGACAGCACGGATGACTTTGCAAACCTCTCTTACTCTCCCTTGGCTGCTCATGCCACGCGGCTAGTCCAACAGCGTTTGTGCCAGAACGACGTCATATATGATATTGCGCCTCGTCGACTCGATCAAGCTTCACTGATTGCAAACCTACTTCGACACCAAGTACTTCTTCTTGCTGCAGAGAAGATGTACCAGCGGGCGCTAGCTGGGCACGAGAAAGCACTCGGACCACCCATCGACCCTCGACACTGTCAACAATCTCAGGGTCCTTTATGCGTTCCAAGGCAGGCTAGACCAAGCGGAGCAGATGTACCAACGGGCACTAGCTGGGCGCGAGAAAGCACTCGGAGCGAACCACCCGTCGACTCTGATCACTGTCAACAATCTCGGGGTCCTATATTGGACCAAAGGCAGGCTGGACCAAGCGGAGCAAATGTACCAGCTGGCACTAGCTGGGCGCGAGAAAGCACTCGGAGCGGACCACCCGTCGACTATCAACACTGTCAACAACCTCGCGGTTCTATATCGGGACCAAGGCAAGCTGGACCAAGCTCAGCGGATGCACCAGCGGGTGCTAGCTAGGAAGGGAAAGAGAAATACTGCTACTTGCTTCTTTCAACGATGATATAAGTCGGGACAACAGATCATCCTGCTATCCTACGAACAGCCACGAACACTAAGACCCACGGCATCGCGGTTCATCTACAATAGGTACCCGAACACTGCGACGAACCCGGAAACGACACAGCAGATCGACTAGCTAAAGAGGCGGCTATACCAGGCCAAACCCATCCATTTTCCCCCCTTGCTATCGCGAGAGAGGGCCCACATCCGGAACGGCATCTATGCCCAATGGCAGAGCGAATGGAGAGAATCCCGTAATGGCAGCCACCTTCGCAAGATCGACAACGCACTACCAGCCAAATACACGAGACAGCTCTATGGAAACTTACCTCGAAACCAAGTGTACCTCCTGACGCAGTTACGAACAGGACATTGCTGGTTATCAACATACGCCAAGTTGTTCCGTCACCGCGATGATGACCGGTGTGTCTGCGGGGCGCGGGAAAGTGTGATCCACGTCCTCCTAGACTGCCCCGCGCTGAGGCACCTGCGCAGAGAACTTCAGGAGAAGGTTGGAGACGCGTTCAACAACATATCAACCCTCCTAGGAGAAGGAGGACCTAGAGGAGGCGATACAGCTTCGCGAGCCAAGATCTTGGACTTCGCAAAAGCATCACAACGGTTCCAAAGTCGCGCGCCAAGAAGGCAGCAATCCAAAATAACGGCTAAGAGGCCACGGCAGGCCCCAACGAGGCTCTAAGTTCGTTCAGAAATGACAAAAGACACATGTACGTACAATGATATATAGTTGTTGTATGCTGCATATCGTTCGCGAGGGGTCAGCGTAAATGAATTATATATACATACAGACTGTACCAGGGTGGCCGACTCGTGGAAACTCCGATTTCAGGCAAGGCTCACCATATGACTATAATACCCGGAATGGTAGCACATATCCCATCCCTGGAGAAGGGAAAGCAAGCCAGTCAAGGAAGAGCCAACTTGAATAACCACTACTCGTACAGGCCACGAAAGGAGACCAACACCGATCCCCTCAGCGGGTCACAGAGAGTTCCCCCAGCAATCCAAGATCGATGAAGCCGAGGTAGTCCAGAACACTTATCATTGGATATGGACTCATCATTGGATATGGGGCTCCAAGGGGGCCCGGGTCTGCGCGAACATCACTCGCTGCACGACAGTCGCTGTCTTGAAGGCCCCTGTCTCCTTCCTATCTCGACTACTAGGCGCGAAAGCGACCCAACAATGCCCTGGCTATAGGATAGGCAATTGGCCAAGTCTCAGGATGCACGATCACACAGTCCGTTCTCTGGCAAACTGATAGGGCCTCTCGAGATCTAGTGCCGGGGTGAGATCTTCTATATACGGGCCCATGCTCGCAACAAATGCAGCTGACGAGAAGATACTCAATATCATTTCACCATGGAAAACCCCGTGCCATGTGTAAATCTCGCATCCCTTGTGATGTTACAATGGTGGCTTTTGAGTTGAAGTAGACACGTCGAGGTGTTAGTTGGTCGCGACTCTGAGTTTCAACAATCCACCCCAACCGATTCATCAAGCCTCGGGTCCTCGTCTCTGGGGACACCACCTCAACGGTCTACACTTAACATCTAAATCTGATTCTGAAGGAATACGGAGGAAGATGGATATATTATCAATTGCTTCGCTTCTCATTTGATATGTATCGACTTGCCCCTTTGATCAATTATTCTCTTGTTCGGTTTGTAATTAGAACAGCTCCATTTGATATGCACCGACTCAGACAGTATAGTCATCGGTCCGGAAATGGCTAGAGATCCACTTAGAGCTAGCACGGTGGCGAGAGAAGTCGCGAGCCATCATGGCAGAGATGTTTCCCAATGGACACTACGAGAGCTAGAATAAATACGGCTGCGCCGGCAGTTCCATTTGTGTGATTTCTTCGTTGATTTTGCTTAAAATTGTGCCTGGGAGTTATGTGGCCAGTTCTGTCTCCCTAGAACTGGTAGCAGCCCCTTTGCGTGAGTCTGTTCAATAGGGAACCAGCAATGACAAATCCTAACTTGTTGTTGTGAATCATCTCATGCGCCGTTCAAAAGGAGGCAGGAGAATACCTAAATCGATATTGAAAATTGTCAAATTCTTCAAAGCCGAGCATTACAGGTATTCTGCCTTTCTCTACCAGCCTATGAAGCTCTATGAACTCGGACCCTACGGACTTTGTTCTTTCCCTCGCACAAGTTGTTCAAAACTGTGATATCCATGAATTTCCGTGTAACTTGATCACCCCTTAAGGTATACTACGATAATACCATATACAGGTAACCTGTATGTACTATATCTCAGATTATGTCATAATAGCTAGAAGAACTAGGAGAACATAAGATAACATATACTAGTCTGATTTACGGGTGCTGTGGCTAGTGTGATATGCAAAACATATACACAATGACGTGCTATCCAGGACAAAGCAGAGGTTCAATTCCGTTGAGAATGAGCGCCAGCATGTGTCATCACGGCTAAACAGAGGTCCGCAGCTTGATACCGACTCCTGAAACTTTGCTGTAGCGTGTCTACTTCCGTCAGTTAAATGATTCTAATAATCAAGCCAAGGGAACACTCACATCGAAATGGAAGATCAAATATTTCTCAGGGTTATCCCACTCAAGCTCCAAATCGTCCCTTGCGCAGCCAGGTACGCCACACCATGGACTCCATCGTTCCCCGTCTTTGACCCTTAAGGCTGTAATGTTACCAAAAAAGTCGCGGGCCACATGCAGACCCTTGAAAGCTTGGACATTAAGATTGTGATTGTGCTTCCCCAAGAGCCCCACACATTTTCCATCGTAGGCAAATCCTGACAACTTCATCATGCCCTGTGGATTGGAAGACAAACACATGCCAGCAAATGAAAATGTCAACCTGTGACATTGCTCCGCAGGAATGCAATATTTCACCACTTTCGCTGACCCAGGTATATGTGGATCCCGCATTAACTGGCGTGGGGCAGGAGTACTTTCCATCGCGTGCACAGCGGGTAGATCAATTACTGATCAGATCAATGATCGACGCGGGGCCGAGGTAGGATACCGGGGCAGCGAAGTATACCATCACTAATCCTTTATGTGGGATGGCAAAGAGGATCATGTCGTACGTGACTCGATGTAGCGACGTGATCGCCGGATGGTCTTCTTTCATCGTCAGGATAGCCTTCACCAGGCACTAGAATTGATGCCAGCATATGATCCCTCAAATCGGACAGTGGTCCTACTTGAGCCAAGGCAATGCCTGCAAAACTGTGTGCAATCTTATGTATTAGCTTTATTAGTACTTTTATTTCTTATTTCATCTACCTTTCTAGTGCTGAGACTTTCACCAAAATTAGTATGCTCTAAGGCAATACGATTATGATAAGGTAAGGAATAAATTTTAGGGAAAAAGTGGACGAAAGAATGCAACTATTTCTTTCCTACCCATCTCAGGGGTTTTAGTTGATGATCTTGGTGTGATAGTAGTAAATAGCGAGATCGCTAAGGCTTTCCCTGCAGCAGAATGAGCAAATGCACCTGTTCAACTACCAGGTTCAGCCTTCAGGCAGTCTTGGGTGAAGAGTATTCAGGGTCCTGAATTGCCGCCTGAGGCCGTCTGAAGAGCGGCGGGATCGCCCATGCCCGATTGGGCGACCCAGGGTGACCACCATCATACATGTGCTGTTGTATGTTGGTTATCTCTTTTTTGACCCTCCCCCTTGGGCTTAGCGCCCTTTCCCTTCAGGCCTTTACGCCCTTTACCTAAATACCTAAATCGCCTGAAGCCATCTAAACCACACCTGAAACCCCTGAACGACTCCTGCACGGCTGACGTGGCCACTCGGCTATACTTACCATCCTCCTTGCCCGCTATCTGTTGCCTCTTTGCTGTCTTTTGTTCCTGGTCCCTGTCTCGCTGTCACCTGTCCATAGATGATCACCCCTCATTAGGTTAAACTGATGCTCTTACCAGCGCCTCCATGAACTCACGGACGCCTCGTACCTGATGTCCCAGGAGCCCGCATCCAAGATCGATGTTGAAGAAGACACCGTCTTCGAGGACGAGGCAGACGTCCCGACTATAGCTGGCGGAGCTATCGTCGTCATAGAGAAGCCTTCGCTAGAGCTTTTGCAGAGTAGCCCCGTAGACTATACGACTCAGTTGATGGGGATAATCAGTGCTACACTTTTCTCCTCGATTATGGCTGGCATCTGGCTTTGCAAATAAAAGAAAGTGGGAGATACAACTTGGTCACTGTGCACCCCTTTAACCTTATTACTTAATATTGCAGAATAGCTTCCTGAAAAGAACGAAGTCCAGTGTCAAGTCTAACCTCTCGGCCATGCCGAAATATACCAATACAGGCTAGAAATGACGATCATAACAAAACTGTTTGCCGGCACAGCCTACTCCCAGACAAAACCGAGGCTTTTTAATTCGAGCTTTGCAGTCGCGCGATTCCACCTCATCGTTGCTTAACAAATCCATCCGCCAGGCAATTACTATGCATTCAGAGAAACGTTTCTCGTACAGTAGTATAGTTTTCACTTTATTCTGTTTCGAAGGTCGAATCGTATTGAAAAATCATACACGTCACAGTTGCTCAGCTGACCTTGCTTCGCAATGGCCCCCACGAATTGCCAAGGTGCCCTTCACAAAGCAATAACATGACTCAGACTCAACGACAATCCCCACGGAAATTCAATTCATCATACAAAGAACTTGAATCAAACTATCTCATCATCCATACTAGTACTGATATCCATCTCAGAAAAATCATGCACGCGAATGGTTCCCATCAGCAGAGAGCGCTGGAATTGCCCGAATTGATGCTGTCAATTCTGCGTCAAATGGACATGGCCACCCTGCTTACGTCTCAACGAGTCTGCCATATGTGGGCGGACTTGATCCGCGAGTCAAAGACCCTCCAACAAGACCTCTACTTCTTACCGAGTAGCCACGAAGGCAATGACGAGCCCCGATATCGCAATCCATTGCTTGCCGAGAAATTTCCATTCCTAAAGCAACTGGTCAATCTGAACAACGACCAAAATGCCGGCTTTTGGAGGCCTTGGGGGCACGAGTGGGAAGACATCAAACTGAGGAATTTAGATTTGTTACGATCTCCAACCAAGCAAGACCAGTATATGCGCCCTGAAGCAAGCTGGCGACGTATGCTGACGCACCAACCGCCCCTATACACTGTTGGAAAGTTCAGTGGACGGGCTGGAAGATTCGGCTCAAATTGGAGCCAGTCAAAAGCTGCAGAACAATCAACCGGTCTCCAAATGGAAGCACTGTTTCATTGGGTAGTCATACTACTATTCGATAAAACTAGAGGAACCGATATCTCGATTTATATCGGGAAAGGCTTGTCTGCTGATGTCAAGCAGGGGTATGCGGGAGTCACAGGTCGGCGGTGCCAGATGAGTGGTGACTTGGATAGAATGGTTAGGGAATTTGATATTGTCCTAGCTCGAAAATTCCCCTTTGCGGGCTGTACGGTTTACGATTCCGATGGCGAAGAAGTTCATGAGCCGCCGACCGAAAATGAGATAATTCTGGAGCAGCTTCATGGGGTTCACCAGGAGATGACTAGGACATTACAAGGTCTGGATTTCGAAACTTACCATGAGGGCAGGAATAATGATATTTAGTGCTTTGGGTTCACGTATGTAATCCAACGCCCGCCGGTGGGACCACCTAAATATTAAGATATATAGTAGTTAGTCGGTCTGAGCGATGCGTGAGAGATACGGGATCTAGGAGGGCCGTTTCAGCTTGCACCCCGTTCGGAATAGTCGCTGAGACCCAACGGCTGCTCTCCTGAAACGAATAGTTACTTCATCTTGAGACAGTCCTTTGTTTCAGGACGTATGTCGTTCGTCAGCGCCCAAGCCACTGCGGGCCTTCGCTAAACAGTGTGGAGGTCAGGCAATGGCCTTCTGGGGGGTACTCCGACAAGCTGTTCTGGCGCCAGTTCCGAGTGGAGTGAAACATCCGTTGCATCAGAAAAGAAGTATCTCTTAATGAGTTGTCAGCTTCACATATAGCTCTTTCTGCAGAACGGAGGCGAGTGTTCAATGGACCCGGAGGGGGCAGGACTGAGAGGGCGCGTATTCGCTACTAAGAATATCAACCACAGTTCTAGTCATAGAATTAGCTTCACAACTGCGTTAATGGTATAATTAATATCGGAAGACGAGATACCCAAAGGAAAACAGTTGCGAAGCGCTTCGTGAAGGGAGAAAATACTGTAAGCGCTTGCGCAGGAGAAGGGCGTTTATATAGATGGATGAGCAATCCTATCCGAAAATAGGACAACGGTTGCTTTTTTTAGCCTACAGGCCCTAAGATGCAGAGGGGATAACGGTCGGAACATTGCATACATCGTTAGATGCATTGTTAGATGCATCGATAGCGTGGGAATATCACGACGGACTGAGTGGCGGGGGATGAAGTCGATAGATCGACTATCCGCCTCCCCCAAAGCCAAAACCTGGCCAAACCAAGGCAGGAAATTGATTTATTCTGAGTATACCATCAAGTCTATCGGACTTACCAGACCAGTTTTGTGAAATTACTATATTAAGTAAGAATATATGAGTGAACAGCACAACAAAAATCAACCGAGATCCATTCCCTCCGTATTTGGACTGAGTGGACTGAGTGGGATTGACCCGTTTGGTATCTCGTGATACCCCAGAATCTCAGCGTACCTAAAAGCAAATTAGAAATCTTCGGAATTGAATCATGGAATAGTGCTCACATGATTGTTTTCCAAACATCAGCGGGCAGGTCAGCCTCGAGAAATGACCAGTCGAATGTTTCAGTTGCTGTCGGTTCATCGGCAGGATCATGGTACGGAGCAAGGTATGGCGCGGTTAATGCCTCTTCTGCAGAACATCGCTTGTCTGGATCAAACTGGAGCATATTCTCTAACAAAGCAATTGCTACTCAAATCAGTGATTTAGATCTTTCTAATTGAGCTGGTTGTATACATACCTTTTGGATCGGTGCTAGGGAGAAGCTTCGACAATGGTTGGCGTGGTCTTTTTGGGAGAGAACTGACAAATTTCAAAGTCTGTGAATGTTGCGAATTAATAACAGTGGCCATATTGAACGGACTGCTGGGATAAGATTAACATTTTCACTAGCCACCTTAGCCACGACGTTATCAGGCGGACTTCCTAACAGTTCCGTAATCACACAGAATTGATCAATGTGATTCTTGCCTGGAAACAGGGGTCTTCCCAGGATTAACTCTGCAAAAATACAGCCAGCGCTCCAGATATCCACTTTTTCGTTGTATCGGCGCCAAGTGAGCATGATCTCTGGAGCTCTGTAGTATCGGGTGGAGACATAGCCGGTCATATGTGCCTCTTGGACACGGGCCAGGCCAAAGTCACAAAGCTTCAGATCGCAATTCTCGTTAATCAAAATATTACTAGGCTTGAGGTCTCGGTGGACAACACCGGCCGAGTGCACGTATTTGAGACCCCGCTAGCCATCAGGTTAGCAATGGCGCTTAATGACAGCGACAAATCGGCTCACCAAGATCTGATACATAAAGTACTGAGTAAACTGGCTGTCAACAGCTCTAGCTTTCAGAACACTATGCAGATCGGTCGCCATAAGGTCGGTCACAAGATAGCTTTGGTAATGTGTCAGATGTAAGCCTTTAATAATCAGATTAAGGGAATGCGTACATATCTTCGGTCGGAGAGATGAAGATGTCCTGTAAATGAATAATCTGGGTCCTCGTTAGGGCCAAATTCGAGAGAGAATACGAAGGGAGGCAAACGTTTTCATGTTGGAGCTGCTTCAGTAATTTGATCTCCCGAAACATATGTTTCGCAACAGTGGCCGTTTTAAATGGGTCGGTCAGCTTTTTCACAGCCACGCTCCGGTGCAGAATTTGATCTTTTGCAGAACTGAAAAGGATATTAGACTCATTGGATTGAATTAAGTTGTCACGCTGCACAATGGTCCTACCAAACAAGCCCAGAGACACCAAGCCCGATGGGTTCCAATTGAGAATATCTATGTTATAACGTCTCAGCTTAGATGACGAAAAAGGTATGAATCCTGTTGACCGACCTTGATGTCGTCTCGAATGGTGTACCCATGATTATATTCTGTGTGAATTGGGCCATCTCCTGACCCGGAGTCCGTGTATGGACTAATGATTTAGCCATGAGCCAGTATGTATTCTCTTGAATTCCAATAATAACAGTTTGGGAGAAAATCGGCCTGTTATTGTTTTCCCCGGGAATATCGATGTATAATAAGGGGTGAGCCAGATGTTAATAATGTTGTGGCAAGAAAAGCTGTTATATACTAAATCCTAAAATCCACGGCATAGTGGCGGTGGGGACGCGGGGTGACATCGGCGGCTACGGGGCAAGGATCAAAAAGTGAATAAAATCGAAGCCTCGTGCATGTTCTTTGAGGCACAGTAGAATTCCGTTTGCTGCTCGCAGGACTTTGAGGATCTCCACGATCCAGCCACTGACTGGGCGGCTTGCAACTCCGAGCAATCAGGGCGTTAACCGTGCTCCACATCTCCCGGCATTCCTGATGGGGAAATACATCCAGCCAATCCACATTTCTGTCAGACCACGAAACAAGCCATGATGCTCGGCGACTTGACTTGTTAGGCCCACAAAATCTTATTATTGGGCGTTCGTTCTCCTAGATGCCGTGAGAACGCCCCATTCCCTGCAAGGACACCAACGCGCCTGAGACCCGAACCCAAAACACTTGTGTAACATGCATGATGTCAATGGTAATCCTGCCATTAATAGACACGGATAATCGTACAGAATAAGAGGGAACGCCCTCTTACAGTTTCGCCCCATCGATAAAGTCGTCGAACATGAAATCAACGGTGCCCTCCTCTTTATCGGCCGAAATCGTTTCTGGTAAATTCACAACAGTACCCGAATCGTTTCCAGTCCCCAATGTCGAACTCTCTGACCACGTACTAACTGAAAATGTTGGTGATGGGCATTTCAACTGATCCGAGGTATCCTTAAGCAGGGTCTGCGTCATCACTCCAAGATGGGTATTGATCTGATCGTCGTCGCATTCTGCATGCTCCAAGACTTGATTTTTGAGGTGCAATAGTTCGTCGCGGAGAAGGCCTACTTCCGCCAAAAGCGAGTCGTATTTTGCCGTCTCATTTTCCAGGGCATGTTCCATCTGTTGATTTTCCTCCTTTCTCTTCAGTCGGCATTTGTTTGCAGCGATACGATTCCGCTCAAGGCGCCTTGCTCTTTCTGGCGTGATATTTTTCTTATTCTGTGTCTGAGGCCTTGTGGAAGGTCGCCCGGCTGTCTTGGTTGGCTTCTTCGACTGCGGCTTGGGGTATCGGTTCGCTCGTGTATCGGTCGTAGATTGGGAATCACGCTTTTGCCGTAGTTTCTGGAGCAATGCATCTTTCTCGCTTCGGGAGATGCTCAAGGGAGGAATTAGGGGGAGCTGCATAGGATCTGTTGTTGGTGGTGGAATTCCAATCTGGGTGCTTGGATGAAAGGCATGCTGACCCAGAGTAGCCATCTTTGAAGATAGGTGCTTGAAATATATCGATAAATGAACAACCTTTGATCAGGGCAGAATGAATAATGTAAAAGTTTTTTTGAAGAAAGACGGCAACCCGGATTTATATATGATCGATTAACTCAACGCGTAATAAGGATATGATTATGGACGGTCCAGGAAACAAGTTCCTTCAGTGACGGTATCATCGCCAGTTTTATATCAGCCAATCATACTTGCCATGGCGGTTCCAGAACCAGAATGTGGGGAAGCAAGATGGATGTTTGTCAGGGGTGGCAAATCGGGATGCCTATGAAGAAAGGAGATCACATCCACCCAGTGCAGGGGTATAAACTTGATGTTCTCCTGTGTCGGAGATTGAAACATAGAGAACAAAGGTTAATAATCATGAAGTCATATGAAGGTTAAATCGCTTTCCCATATAAGGTAAACCTGTCCTTCGAGACATCACCACTTACAGTCATCCTACTAACTAATCCGGGCCAGACCCGGTCTGCCTTCCAAGCAACTACGTTAGTGTATGCATTTCTACACTCATGTTCCTGAGATCTCATCGTGAATGTCTGCTCTGATACACATCAACGGCCGACAGATGGCAAATCGGATGCCTTAAATTGCGGCAGTAAGACCTCCCTCCATTCCTGCCGCGGCTTTCTGGCTCCAGTCGACGCTCCCCTCTCGCCTTGATCAATTACACGACCTCTTCCTTCCTTTCCATTCTCTCTAGCAATTCTGACTCTATCATCCTCGTCTTGACTCCCACGCCGTCGGACTGGTTGTCACTTTTAGCATGGGCCACCAGTAAACAACGCAGCCGCATTCATTGCAAAAGTGGAATTCGATCTCTCGGTCGCCCCAGATGTACTTCTTGGTCGATGCGCCTTCCTTTGGATGACATTGACGTCTGGACGGGAGTAGCGTGCCCAAGCAGCTGCATATCGCCGACAGATGCTACACTAGCACTAGTTGATGTAGTCAGGTTTGCGTGGGACTTCCACTGTAATGGCACCGCTGTGGCAGGTTGCTTTGATTTTTGGTCGACATTTGGCAAATTCTCTTATATGCACTTTATAATCAGAAAGTATGTGGAAATGGCGATATTGAACTTGTAGCATTCGAGGTCGAAGATGAAAGTGTTCGGCATAATGGCCACCGGTGTCTGCCTGTGAAGTGGGCAAACTCAACCGTGACTCAATGCCAGGTAGCACGAAACTGCCACAGGGACACTTCTAGAACTTGGGCCATGCACCGCAGTGACGTTGAAGCGTTATTTCGATACAGAGATGCTGTTATTATTTCGAGTCAAAATCGTGATTAGGTAATTGCATTAGTACACGTCGCTCTTTATTCCGACGAATCTCGCATCAAATGCCGAAGAAATACGGAAGTGGGTCACCAAAGCTTCGAGTCACCCCTGTCTCGGAATCGGCTCAGGACTCGTATAGCACCTGGCCAGAAATCATGAAATCATACATGGCGATAAATGATCATACTGTCAGATACATGCTTGGAACCATCACAAGCGTAGCTAGTATTTTCCTTATCAAGACAAAGTTTGATTTTTCCGCCCAATCCTATCTACCACAAATTTACCCGGCCTTTGATCAACCCAATCGAGCTCCACAACCAAATGCCGAAGCTAACCCTTCCCCAATTTAACCAAACATCGGCTCCTGCTTAGCCCCTTCCACAGCAGCGAGATAACTCGGACGGTCCTTAACATAGAACTCAACATCGACCTTGCCACCGAGATTGGCTTCGCCGTTATCCAGAGTCCCGGCCTTGACACAGGTCATATCAGCCAGGACCTCCAGCTCGGTATACACGCTCGAGCCGCAGGTGGGGCAGAAGAAGTGCTTGTTGACTTTGCCGCTGCTGCCAACCGAGTCGTAAGTGCTGGGAGTTCCTGGTACAGAAGATTAAAGAATTAGATCATGGACGGTAACCGAGGAGAAACAATTGACAGATGCGCCTGCATACCCTTGGTCACCTTGAAGCTGGTGCGAGGGACCACGGCGTTTGAAGTGAAGGCGCCTCCGGTCCACTGTTTTGTTGTTTAGCACAAATCTAACCCTCTCAACGGGGTAGGTGCTACCTTTTGACAATCGATGCAGTGGCAGAGTGCCGCGGTATACTTGTCCGCTGGCAGAATATCAGTGAATTGGAATAAGGGTGGAATGATGTAGAGACCATACCTTCAATGGAGTACGTGACGCCTCCGCACATGCAGCTGCCGGTGAAAGTCATGGTGTCTGGCGTTTGTTATAGTTGACAATCTCAAAGTTGTGTACCTTGGTGGAATCAGAATTGAAAAGCGTAATGGGGGCCGGGTCTTTATAGCCCCCGCCAGGCCTCTTTCCTCGGCGTTTCATTTTTCTTTTTGCTCCACCTCCAAATCCCGGCGCAGGGTGGAGGGGAATAGGATCTACATGTCAAAAATTCCAGTCGGGTGTTAAACGAGGTATGTTACGATGCAATTGGCTGCCACAGAAACCTCGAACGATCACGAATTTGACTTGTGTGGTTTTCAAAGTATTTTACCCATTATTCTCTCTACAGGATCTACTAATATTCCGATCTAATCACACAAAACATTACATCGCAAATGACCCGGCGCAAAACACTGTGGCTCACACTGCACATCGGGCGACTCGCACTCCTCACCGCAGGCGTTATTGATGATACCTAGACACACCGACTTCATATTTCCGGGGCATTTAACGGCAGCCAGCTGAGAATTAATCAGGAATTTGCAAAGAGCGACGATCTATATGCATATATAGCCCGACAAACGTCTACTACTTCCTATTATTGCTTTGTTCGTTCTAGTTCTCGCCTCTCGCTTGCTGAGTAAATCCGAGCATGCCCCTGATTATCTTAACTAGATCACTGATCATTATATAAGCGCACGGATCTGCTCACAAGGGATCGTCTGATTGTTCGTCGATTGATGTAGTATCAGCTGTTCTCGACGAAGAGGACTAATCTGACCATATTGAGTACTTCCAGGGTCAAGTCCAACTTGATGAAAGTAGCTGGCCGGCGAATTGTCAACAGAAACCAAGGAAAGTTTTTTGGAACAACCAGATACGGTTGCAACAAGAGCTCGGATCCAATTTTTTTTTAGCAGAGTTATGATGAGGAATCCCTCAAGACTAAAAGTACAAGAAAGAAAGAGCTCGATCACTTCAGGGCTACATACGGCCTCTTTATCTCGTTACACTATCTCCCCCCACAGTCCGAGGAATGGTTGGGAAAAAAACTACCTAGGTATAGTATGCTCCCTAATGGAACCACCTCAGAACTCCCATTGTTGCAACCAGTTTAACATTAGGGGTACAGAGATCGGTCCTAGTGATCTCATCACGGCGCTCGCTTCTTGCGCTCGCCGGACATCCAGCACCACTGAAAGTGCCGAGCTTTTATCTAGCAGTGCGCGGTAAAAGCCCAGCAGCTTGAGCGCTGGTTTTCTACGTACCTCGGCACTCGTCGGGCTCTGGATGTTTTCGAGTTTGTTTACCCAGGCGGCTAGTTCAACTGGCTCCACCGCGTACTTCTTTTGGATGGCCGGAATCAGCGACGACCACGGCACCTTTGACGGGTTCGTCAGATGAAAGACGGCACAGAGGTTCTTAGATGAGTTTGCACGTCTTGTATTGACAATCTCGCCCATGATCGACGAGAGCGTGTCCTGAACGTTCGCGCGATCAGCATGGGTTTATTATTACCAACAGTCAGCGGCGGAAGCTGCTAAGTCCTTACCACGGGGATCCAGTCAACTTCCATAGCTCCTAGGCAATTAGGAACTTGACCCAGCGCTTTTGACGTCGCAATGATGGCCGGAAGCCATTCATGCTGATTCCATTGTCCGCGTGCGGTAGTCGGACCTGCAATTTGTCCCACACGATATATCGTTGTTGCTATGCGGCACCGTCGCGAGGCTTCGAGACAGATGCGCTCTGCCACATATTTGGACTCGCCGTAGCCCTGTGGGAGAACTGCTGCGCAATCTTCTATCGGAACTTCCGGGACCGACGGCGCCATGTCCGGGGTCCAGGCACCTACCGTACTAATGGAGGAAACAAAGTGGATATGGGCGTTGTGCCGACTATCAAGGCTGAAGTCAACAAACCGGCGAACGCCGCGGATGTGATCATCTTCGAAGGAGTCGACTGAGTGGTTAAAGTCGACTTTCCAGGCGTTGTGGATGATAGTGTCCACCGATTCCAACAGCTCTTGATATTTAGCCTCATCAAGAGAGAAGTGCGGTTCTCCGAAAGAGACTTTGAGGAATTCTAGCTTGTTTTTCCAGTCGTCTTCCTCCACATGTAGGCCTTTCTCTTCAAAGCTTTTCTTCTGCCGCGATTCGGCGTCTGATCGATTCAAGCAGTAAATCTTCGATACAAACGGGCTACAAAGAAAGTTGTAGAGTAGGTATGTCCCGAGTGAGCCTGTTGATCCGGTGAGAATCATAGTGGAGTGCGCCTCCATGTTGTTCTGGAGGAAGCGCTCGTCGCGCACGGGAAGATCGGCTGTGTACTTTTCTACTAGGCCCTGTATCTTCTCTCCTCGAGAGATGCCTGTCTGCTGCACATTGTCCTCTAGAGCAGCACAAACGACTCGCGATAACTGCTCCACGGTTGGGTTGCTATAGATCGTCTGCGGAGTCATAAGCCCTGCTTGCACATCGGGTCGACGCAGTTGAAGGCCCTCTTGGATCACTCTAGACACCTGGATAGTTGATAGAGAATCAAGCCCAGCGCTATAAAAATCCTGGTCGATCGGTATGTCTGGTTTTCCTAACACATGAGCGATCGTTTGGCGAACGTATGTCCTTACGCTAGCTTGGTCTAGGGTGTCAGGGAGGTAGTACTTCAACTCCTCCTCTAGACCAGCAGAATAGATTGCGTCGATCTCCTCTTTATAATCGCGGAGAACAGCTAGCCGCTGCGTTGTGCCCTTTGGGGTCCTCTTGAAAGGCTTCGTCTTTGAGGCAAGCCCGATCTTGTTTTTCACCACCCGGCCGTGAGCGACGATGGTTGCGTTTGCCGCTTGCACGGCTGGCCAGATCTCTTCGATGAACATTTTGGTCTCCATCTCTGGCACGTCGAAGGTTGGCTCTATCAACAAGCCCGCCTGGAATCGAAATTGTCCAATGACTACTGCCTTCGAGACAAGCGGGTGTCCCTCCATGATGATCTCCATCGTGACCGGGTTAAACTTCTCACCGTTGCTCAGAACGATCACATCATCCCCCCGGCCATAATATTTCCATAGACTTGGTATCGTGGGGTGTTGAGTGAAGAGGTCGTTGGTTCGGTAAACATCGACTTTGGGGAAGGTGTGGAAGATACCGTGGAAGTCCTGAGTCTCCTGTCGCTGTAACACCATTTCGTATAGATCATTTCCCACGGGCTGCATCTCCGGCCCATATTGTGGGTGCCATTCGAAATAGTTCCAGTTACCTGGATCTTCTGGAACCATCGCTGGTATCCAGCCGGCCTCACTTGATCCGATCACGGACACTAATTGTGTATAATTTCGCAGACGATCACCAGTCTCTGGTCCCAGAGGAGCACCCCCAAAGTAGATAGTTCGCAGCTCATGTAGACATGCCAGTGCCTCGTCGGAATGGCTGAGATCTTCGAGCAGAGATGGCGGGTATACTGCCGCCGTTGGGTGACCCTTCCGCATCAGCTCGACCAAAACGTCCACCGATGGAGGCTTTTCAGGACCAAGCAAAAAAGGTGTCCCATGGAAGATACTTATAACAAACGCCATGAATCCCATAACGTGGAAGAACGGCGTCGTGGTTAACACAAGATCCTGGTTGCTTAAGTTAAACATCATACTTGGCTGGCGACCTGGTGGCCATTGAAGTCGAGTGACCGCATCCAAGGTACCGAAAAAGCCATTCGTTAGATACACCGGCTTGGGCATACCGGTTGTTCCAGAGCTGTGGATGATACACACTGTATCATCACTAGTCTCGGCGAATGAATTTGGGGATCGATAGGAGCGAATCCCACTCTCATCACTGAGCATGGCCTTTAGGGTGGGAACTTCGAAGACACCCACATCTGGAGATAGATGCTGAGTTCCCAGAACCCGGCTACGGTAGCCATCGCTGTAACAGACCTTGGTACAGCCCGTTGCCTTCAGGAGATGTACATGAACTTCGTCAGGATTTCTCGTAGACAGAAAGAAGGGCTAGAATTCCATCAGCAGGCCAGTACCGCAACCTTGTTATAGTATCCATACCTGAAAACCAAGCTTCTGGCATGCGAGAAAAAAGAAGCAGTAGCGCACGTCGTTTTTCCCCACATACGCTAACGTCTCGCGGGAGCGCGCGGGCTTAAGCGTTTTCTCCATCCACCCACATAGGATGTTCACAGCGCGAGATACATCTTTCATTGACAGAGTTTGGAATCCATCAGACAGCTCTGCTCCCCGCGCGACGACTGCAAACCGTCTCTCAGGGTCTGTTTCAGCGACATCGTCGACGACCTTTGAGAGCAGCCTTTTGCCTGCTTGATCCATAGTATTATTGTTGGAAACACTACCGGTATAAAAGAAGATGAATTATTACAGGGAAATTATGGGGACAGAGTACTGTCAGATGAAGAAAGGGAGGCACAGGAAGATCGCTTTATAGTCCGAGACTCAGCATGGTGGCGAGAAACTCTACCAGAATCGGCGATTTACCAAAGGAGGATGAACACGGTCCTACGAAGCATTATTTTTGAAGGCCTACCTAGAATAGTGGATGCCTAGATCGAGACCGGTAACAAATTCGACCATGTAGATGCGGTATTGGCGTCATCGCCATCCCACTTCACCTGACTAATTATTCCGCCGGGCCAGGCCACTATCACGCCCCACCTGTCATAGACTCGTCGGGAGAAGTCCGTAATCAACGCCTCAAAATAATGGTCCCCGGCATGATTAATATACGATTAACTCGAGCCCGTCTACCCACAGATCATCCAAGCACCGTTTACCGTAACGGGAAGGGGCGCAGCATGAGACCCACTGGCTCTGTTCAGCCCCACTTTGCTTCTTTATCTCGCCCAATCATCGCGGAGTAACTAGCATGCAGATCATCCAGCAATCCTAAAGCTTGAACCGTTTTCGGTATATGCTTAGTCTGGCCCGGTTAAACGGCCCTGGCATGGTTTCGTCATAATCGCAATGTTAACAAAACTGAGCAGGGTTCGTTTCCCTATGCTTTATACTATCTCGCGTCTTCCCCTAGAATTTAGCTAACACTTGAAACCCTCATCATGTATATAAATTTTTATGCCCTTTAAGAAAGAAACTAGAATTTAGTCTTGATGCCATCATTTTATTCTTCCTTTGAACCACGATTACCACGATTACCAGTGCTTGTTATCTCTAGTGATATAACGGGTTCTAATATTAGAAGAGATGACAAATGTACCGGGTGACGCCGAGGTGATGACGGTTCGATGGATGCTCGTACGAGAAGTGATAGAACCGGCGGGGCGTGAGCAGCACTGAGTCGAGAAATGAGGGATGACCCATGGAACGACATCGCCGACTCGGCGAAGCGGCGTTATTCAAAGCGCAATTCCCGCCCGATTCGCCGGTCGGCGCAAATAGTTGTCGTGCTGAGGAATCATCAATGACCCATCAAGTGATATCGCTGGTTCGCCTAAATGGCTGCCGCCCTGTCGGATGGAAGATTTAGTCGGAGGAACTTGCTTCCCCGCGGAGACATCCACATTCCTCAAAGAGTATCGGGACCCCAGCATCGATCGGGAAACTTCAGCCTCCCGCTTTGATATAATCACTCAAACATGCTTAAATCTACCAATTGGACCTCGTGTTTGTATTAAGCGTTGGGATTGGATGGAATCACCTGAGGGATAAAGTGCAAGATAACATATATATATAAATACACTCATCCGGACATCTCAAGCTCCTATTTGAAGCATATACGGAAATATCGAGCCTACACGGGAGGGATACGTCATCCTTCAATGAGTATTACTCGCGTTATGAGTTTCAGTGACCGGCGTCCTTCTCTAAGTGAGGTTTTGCATAATACGGCTCCTCACCCTTATACTTTCAACTCTTTTACAGCCCATTTGGCCCAGAATCATTGCCTTGAGCCCCTCGAGTTCATCCTAGAGGCCAGGCGCTATAGGGATAGCTATGAAGCTACTCTCTTAACTGATGAATCGCCTATGTCTCCCGATCAGCCCAAATCATGGATATTGCTTGAGCACTGGCAGCAGCTTCTGTCAACATATATTATCCCGGGTTCACCACGGGAAATCAATTCGAGAGGCAACATACGGTGTGACTTGCTAGCATACCGTAATCCAGAGAAACCTCCTGCTCCTACGACGCTTGACGCGGTCGAAAATGAAATGCTTGAGCTACTGTCACACTCGATTTTCCCGTCCTTCTTGAATGATTCAATATCAATGTCGAATATCACAACACGGTCAGACAGTTCGCACAGGATTATGACAGAGAGTGTCTTGAATGAGTCAATATCAATGTCGAAAATCACAACAAAGTCAGACAGTTCGCACAGGAGTATGACAGAGACTGTCAGCCCAACTGTGGTATCACTATGCAACAGCCAGGAGAAAACCAATTCGACGTCCAACCTAGATATCATGTGCGCAAATAACGAAGAGAGCTGCATCTATCTGAGGGATCCTGCATCTAGGTTCAGCCAGAGCAGCAAACCCCCTCTGCTTGATTGTTTTCGAAGACCGTGGACATGTACTTGGCACCAAAACCTGAGAGAACTTTTTGTGGAGAAATTCCTACCACGCTGTGCTTTTAAGGTCAGAAATAAAAAGCGAATAACGGGTTAATCTTGGTATAATTGCCTTGGTGTACTCTATTAGTGGGACGACTTATGGCACATCATGGTTGTTGGTACTTTTAAACCAAGGCAAACGGAAGGGAACTACCTGACAGTGTTCTTTCCTTCTCATTGTCTGAGTAGCCGCCCGGATTCGCTGTTACCGACAACACTCATTACAGTGCCTCGATGTCCTTCACGTTCCTCTTTTGGATTGTTCGGTTTTTGCTTCCTCCAGGGTCTTTGGAATCCCTTCAAGATACCCCCACACAATAGACTCGATGTCTTGTCTTGTCTTAATTTACGGTTTTGGTTGGCTCACTTCATGGTCAGAGGTACCCAGAGGCTCCTCAAATGTACAGTAACCAGAACCACATTGTCTAGTCTATTACCTCTTGTGTTTTGGGTTGTAAAACGCACCAGAGATACATACTTGGTGAAAGTGCAGAAAATTCTACGATAACCAAATCTGTAAGAACAGGGTCCAGCCGCAGTTTGCATAGCGTGCCCCAAAAACAATTCGTGTCTTGTCAGTAACGGTATCTGAAGCCTGGTGTTTTCCAGTCTGTGATATCTTCATAGTCATCCGATACCAGCTGAACCTGGTTCATCACATCCACCACATTTTTCGAATTGGGCTCGACATTTAGCACCTTACCGCCACCAATAGCGCCTGCATTTCCAGCGCTGCCCTCAAACCCCTCTTGGCGCACACGGCTAGCATTCGTCCATTGCAGGTAAGAGCGTAGAACTAACGCTAGCATAACAGCTAAGGCGTAGCAGATCATGATAGCGCGGAAAGCGGTGTTATAAGTTGGTGCCTCACTACTAAGGAAGAACTGTGGCCCAGAAATATTTCCAGCGCAGTATGCTAGGAAGAGCATTGCCGTCACTGTCATTTTCTTCGTTACCCCGCGGTAGTTGGCCTGCACAAGCGACAGAGCGAGCGGCATCGCCGCCGGCCCAGTGGACAGCAAGAAATATCCAAATAATTGGATACCCAGGACGATGTGAGCACGGGAATAGATTATTGCACTGCCGATGACGCAAGGGATCACAACGGCAACGATTAGTAGGCAGTTGACTTGGCGGAAACGACCAGCAAGCCAGCCTGTGCCAGTGATAGCGGCAACGGTAATGAGCGAGTAAGGGATAGTGATCAGCGTCGACTGCAAACTCGTGAACCCGAACGAGACAATAACGATATTTGCAAAGTTCTGAGTACCTCCATTTGGGATTTGAGTCAAAAGCTCTAGTCCAAAGATAAGCCAGGTCTTCGGATCCATAAGGCACTCGACGACCTGATTCCACTGCCAAACAGTCTTCTCCGTTGCACCCGTGCCCGCAACAACAATCCTGTTAGCTGCAAATTGACGTTCCTCTTCCGACAGAAATTTTGACTTTGAAATCGAATCTGGTAGCAATATCCAGATAGCAAAACCCCAGAGAAAAGTTAAGAGGCCGAGGACGATGAACATCCACCTCCACGGCCCAACATGGTCACTGACGTGCCCTAGGCCATAGGCGAGGAGGCTGGCAGCGATGCCACCAACGCTCTACAGGGCAATGTGAGTTTTTATCGTCCGAATACGTGAGGCTGAAGGGTACGTACATTGCCGGCAAACCACAGACCTGTCCTGGTGGGAATCTCATCGCGCGTGTACCAGGTCGACGTAATAAACATAAATGCTGGTGTAATAGTTGCTTCAGCGACTCCGAGCAAGAAGCGAACGGTCATAAGACCCCCAAAGTTGGTGCAGGCTGCAGTGAGGGCAACCACAGCACCCCATAATAGCGTGTTGGCCGCCAAGTACTTAGCGACGGGCAGACGCGCAATAAGCATGGTGGTCGGATAGGCCCACCCCAGGTAGCCAAAGTAGAAGATTGAGGATACCCAGCTATACTGTTGGCCAATTAACCCCTGGTAGTAGTATTAGTGTGGTTCTTCGTTCCTGTCGCAGAGATCTTACGGTGCCATCAGAAAGTCCAAACACGGACGCACTTGATAGTATCGTTTTATCCATGAAATTGAGCATGTATGTAATGAACAGCAGGGGCACTAATCGCCTGTCAATCTTTCGCAATACTCTTTTCGCCAAGGCATTGTCCGTCGCCTGCTCCACAGCAGTTCTGTCCGGAGTGGTGCTTGTCTGAGCCATATTGCCAGTATGCTACTCCCGCAGGATAATGAACAATTTCAAAGGATAAGCAGGAAATATTCACACCACAGGGGTTTCTGTCTTCTTATTCACATGTGGGCCATCCCATTCTTATCTTTCCCCGCACTTCCATTGGTTTGAGCCCCGCACCCCTGGTATGTTATGGCGGAGAATGGATCTTCGGGTGGACCATCGGACAAAAATGTGATATGTAAACCTTTGGCCAGGTCTCAGAGGGCTAATGATAGTCACAAACTTAGTGAAATGCTCATTATCACCAACGTTGACTACTGCTTCGTATGACTAATTTCAACATGGAGCGTGGGCTTTAGCGGCAGATTCGGAGTTGGCCGACGTGCGTTAGATAGTTCTTTAACTAATTGACTAGTAAGTGAACTAGATAACTTACTTATTTAGTTAGATTCTCCTCTTTTAGTCATCTAAGATCTCTAGAATCCTCCATATTACCACTCTGGCCTTCCTACCAAGACTGCTGTTATCTGGCTGCTGATTCCTCAAGTATCCTTAGCTATCACTCCACATTGATCATGAACGGGCTCTCCATCTCTCCTTTTATCACCGAGCTACCCAAGGTCGAGCTTCATGTCCACATCGAAGGCACCCTCACGCCAGCTCTCCGGTGGGAGTTAGCAAACCGCAACAATATCACTCTACCCTACGCCACATTTGAAGACCTTAAAGCTTCGTATGCGGTGACCTTCAACCACAGGCCCGAGCTCAACGGCCTCCAGCCCGGTATCCCTACCTTCCTGGAAGCCTATTTTGCTGGGTGCGAAGTTCTCTGCACCGAGACCGACTTCTATGATCTAGCCATGGCCTACCTCCGCCGCTGCGCAGCAATGAATGTGCGCTACGCTGAGCCATTCTTCGATATTCAGGCACATACGCGCCGGGGTGTCCCCGCCAATGCGGTCCTGGATGGCTACCTGCGCGCACAGCACGATGCAGCAGAGCAGCTTGGTGTGCATTCGCGCTGGATTATGTGCTTTCTGCGTGACGAGCCTGTAGACCAGGGCCTGCTGGCGTACGCTGAGGCGCGGCCTTGGGCTGCCGGCACTGTCGAGGGCGGCAAGGGTCTATTTCATGCCGTAGGGCTTGCGAGCAATGCATACGAGAGACCGCCCATGCTCTTTGAAGCAGGGTTTGCGCTCGCCCGGGCAGACGGCCTGCATATCACCATGCACTGTGACTTTGGACAGAAGGACACGCACGCACACATGACTGAGGCCATCTTTCTGGTCTGCGATGGCCAGGGATCGGAGCGTATTGATCATGGTCTAGATGCCGAGGACCAGGAGATGCTATGGCAAGCGTTGATAGATAGGCAAATCGGTCTGACCTTGTGCCCCCATGCATACCATCGGAGGACAGCAACAGAGGTCTTGTTCCCAAAGATTAGAAGACTGTGGGAGAGAGGGGTTAAATTTTGCATCAACAGTGACGACCCGACCTTGATGCATGATGTCTGGATTGATGGGAACATGGAGAAGATATATACATATTGCGAGTTCAGCAAGGGAGAGATGGTACAATTGGCAAGAAACGCAGTAGACATGTGTTGGGCTGAAGAGCATGTCAAAAAGGCCATATATCAAGAATTAGATAGCGTGGACATCCGTGAATAAGGAACTATTATCGCGGCTTTCCCTCACTGTCCGAATGCTCCAGATGCCCCCACTAGTGCTCTAACAGATATTGGATGAATTCTCCTGTTTGTTTCTCTTGGGAGAGGTGGTAATTCGCCCCCTCAATTGTTGGGCATTGTCAGATTCATCAAAATCAGAGAGTTATTATTCATTCGTAGTTTGCACTGCCATGATGGGACACCGTGGGTCGGATTTTAAGGTTTTGTCAAGGCCTAGAACGAACCGATGTTTTGATCACATGACTAGAGTTTTCCCCCCCCTGGGAGCCATATGGCACGACTTGTATTCACGGACGTAATATTAAATTTCTCGCCCTCTGGCCGGTTCCAGGCCCAAGCACTATCTACCATCTAGCCCTCCAGATGACGACTATGATGGCTATGTTGACCTTTCATGGCCAATTCAGGGATTTACTATTTACATCTAATGGCTTGCTCGCATTGATTGGGACCTTGATCAGCATCACTGCATTGACTTATGTGGCCTCGAAGATTCAGGGTGCCGTCACAGTGCGCAATAACCCTCATGGAAGCCGCCCGCCAACGCTCCCATACGCTATCCCACTGCTTGGTCATCTTCCTGAGTTCTTAAAGGACACAAGAAAATTCCTAGCAAGAGCCACGTACGTTTGACGTCGTGATGAAATTCAGGGAATTGGTGTGCTAAACTACATGTACAGAGCTCAATATGGGCAGTCCACTCCGGTCCGGATACAGCTCCTCAACCGGCATATGAGCCTCCTCAAAGGTGCTGACAACATAACGGCCCTTTTCAAGAGTTCCCGGGACCTAAGCAGCGAGCAATGGCTCGTGCAGGTGTTGGTTAATGCATTCGGTGTGGAGGTCGCCGATGCACCTTTTTATCTGGCCGACGACACGGGAATCAGCAACCAGCCTGACCCTAGAAGCAAGATGGCGAACCCAGAGCATCGTATCTTCCATCTGGTCTATAAGTCCGTCCACAGTGGCTTAGGCGGACTTAGCCTTGCGGAAATGGAGAGACAACTTGTGAGAAATCTGTCTACTCAGGTCTATGAAACGGATTTCAAGTACGACACGTGGACTGAAATCTCGGATTTATACGGCTCATTTATCCGCAAGATCTCCTTCAGGGCATCCATCGTATCGCTCTGCGGACCGCATGTCTTCAAAGTGATCCCGACCTTCGATGACGATTTCTGGGTATTCGACAGCCTCATGCCAAATTTGTTCAAGGAGATTCCGCGGTGGCTGGTACCGGCGGCGTACAGGGCCAGAGATAAAATGAAAGACAATTTACAAAAGTGGCAGGCCTTTGCCCATGAGCATTATGATGTCTGCCAGGGTCAACTGGACAAGAGGGAATGGGAGGAATTCTTCGGATCTAGGTTGATGAGGACGAGACATGGATTCTTCCAGAAGATGCCGTTGAGCAAGGAGACTGTAGCTGCAGATGATCTTGGATTGATTTGGGCGTATGGAACTCTTTTCTCCTTTTCTCTCTCTCCTTTTTTGAGCCAAATCGGCTGACCCATAAACAGGGCGACCGCAAATACCGTCCCTGCGACCGGCTGGATGCTATTGGAGGTTCTTCAGCGTCCGGATCTTCTCCTGAGAGTCCGGGAAGATATTGCTCCCTACGTCTGCCGGGATCCATTAGACTCTAGCCAGATTGCCGTCGATATTCCCAACCTCTGCCGCCGGCCCCTCCTCCAATCTATCTACGCCGAGGTCCTGCGCCTCCATTCCGGCACCGTCATCAACAGAGTACCCACATCTTTTGATTTCCACCTTGGAGGGTGGAATTTCAAGAAGGGTGAGCAGATCATTGTTTCCAACTACAATACCGGACGCAACGAATGCGTCTGGAACCAAGGCACCTTCGAAGACCCGCATCCTGTCGATGAATTCTGGCCGGAGCGTTTTATTGTTTATCCGGATGATCCCAACAGTGGTCCTGTCTTACCATCTGTCCTACAGCAAGAAGCAAAGAAAGAGCAAGTCTCGACACTCTCGAAACCAACTTTCTGCCTCGACGGGACGGCTGGGTCTTGGATCCCCTATGGTGGAGGTACTCGGATGTGCCCCGGTCGGCATTTCGCGAAGGAGGAGATGATCGTGACGATGGCGATATTTCTGTCGGTGTTCGATATTGAGCTGCTGACTGATAAGAACTCTTGGATCCAGCCGGATTTGAATTATTTCATGTTTGGTGTTATGCATCCGAAAGGAAAGATACCCGCTAGGATTCGGAGGAGGGAGTTCTAAATGATAGTTATATTAGGGTATGTACTTCATCGTGGGTCGCGGTTTTGATTCTGGGATTTCTGCCGTCTTTGCAGTAATTGGCGTATGCTACGTGAGAGAGTCGCTGTTCGAAAGGGCTCGATTATCTATAGGCTACCCATATAATCATGAACGACAAGTAGGACTTTCATTGGTCAGACAGTGAGACACCACTACGAGACACAGAGCAAATTGATCATTAGGCGTTCAGGTTCAGTGGCGATACGCAAGAGAATGAGTTCAATTGCGGGATTGTGAACGCAGTGATCATACCTGAGAGGGGATTAGTACGTTACTGACATGACGGAGCAGAAAACGACGAGCTCACCTTCGATAGCAGCCCAAACACCAAGGCCACACATAGATAGAGACGCCAGGAAGTAAATGATATGCCAGGTATTGAAAGCGACCTGGATCTTCCCTCCGCTGAAGAAGCCGCGGATCCATCGCTGAATGGTAGATCCCTCCCTGCGCACTTGTCCGGTTGCAGGGTCGAAGCCTTCTCCGCGCTCGGGCCGGATGGCATTCTTTTGAATATCGAAACCGAGCGCGAAAATTGGGGGAAGGGTATAAGTCAGGTTGAGAAGCATGGAGGCAGAGATGAGGCTGTTCAGGCCAAAGAAGTCCGGGATGGCTGCGGCAATGATGAAGGCTATGGCCCAGTACATTGGAACGATGCATGCGTAGAAGATCTTGCCGCGCTTGGTTGTCAGTGGTGGTGCGCCCAGGATATCCAAGAAGATATTGTTGTAGATGACCTTGATGCCGATGTTCCCGTACAAACCACCGCTGATTAGGGAGGCGCAAAGTGAAACCATATTTCCCACTGTTTGCCAGCCATATATGCTGACGCCCTGGTAGCTGGGATTGAAAGAGTATTGACCTTGAAGGTAGTAAACGACACATCCGTAGGTCAAGTACAAGCTGTAGATGAAGAACTGCGCTCCCCACATCGCCTTGATGAAGTCCATTGGCCGGCGCATCTCAGCCATAAATTCGACGAACAGCTGCGCTCCAGCGTAGGCCAGTACGCCAGATAGCATGCCATTTACCGAGCCGATTAAACCATTGGGAGGGATATTGTTGTAGTGTATAATCGGTGGATAATTCCCATCCTTGTCGGGCGTGATAGTAGATGAGTCTACCGCACTCCCTGCTGATCCCAATCTCGAGATCGCGTAGTTAGGGGGTGAGTTGGCCATGACCCCCATCGTCATGATAATCACAAACACGTTCATCCATACTCCAGCGTTGGCCACCCATCCATAGGCTTTGAGACTGCGGATTTGCGAAAAGAAGAGGCCAGTGAAAGCGAAGATCAGCGGGCAGGCGGCATAGCACAACTGGAATCTGGACACTTGAGAGATGTTCTCACCGAATACCAAAGTGACCGAAGAAACAAGGAACAACAAGGACACTCCCTGGAGAATGTTCGTCACATGGCGGCCATATTTGCCCCAGGTCCGGTATCCAAGATCGCCGTAGTTCTTGACCGGAAACTGGTAGCTGTCAACACCCAAGAAGACGCGCCAGATCAAGTAGCCGGAATATCCGGCCATTAAGCCAAATACAGTGAAGAATACGACACCTGCGTCAAATCAGTGACATCCTGGGGCAAGAGTGAGCGGTTCCGCGAACCTGGGCCCCATCCCAACGTTCCCATAGTGAATCCAGTGCCATATGGACCCATGATGTCTGTTGCACGGTGAGTCACCCCATTTTATGGATATCTTGGTTCGTTTGGATTTCTATACCTTCGGCAATAAGATACCAGCCTTTAAAGCGTATATCAGCTATCATGATTAAAGTGGCTGTATTATCGAGTACTTACAAGCCCCCCAAGATGCCGACCTGAACGAACGACTAGCATTAGTCCATTCTTCGTCAGAGATATGAATCCGATTCTCATCAGCGAAATCCGTTGCTGACAGGTGGGATTCCTCTGCCAAATCCGGCTTCGAAACGATGTCGCGCAAGCTGAATTTCGGAGGTTCGTAGGTTGACTCCTCCTCCCTTGTTTTGTTCGCATAGTAGTGGTACTCCTCAAACGTCACATCCGGATCATACGGCTTGCGAGCCTGGGGCTTAATATAGGTATTCTGCACCACCTCTTGGGAGGCCGTGCTGGGCTTGGGCTTCTCGTCCATGTTGTTCGGACGTGGTCACGTGAAGCTATATCTGCAGAAGGATCCTAAGCGCGATTGAAAGACGGAAGAATTGAAAGAGAAAATAACTAGCAATATGTTTGATGTGATCCACAATCGCGTTTTGAATACATATATATAATAAATATTCAGCTCGAGACGGATTCCAGCCTACATTTTATTATTGCGGAGTCACGCGGGGTGAAAAGCGATAAGCGTTGCGTTCGGAGTGTGTTCGGAGTGTGTTCGGACAAGGATCACGGCGTCGGGTTGCTCTAGGTGGTGTGTGTAAACTGTCGCCTGTCCGGACCCGCGAGCTTGCAACTTGTTCGACTCGGCCTGGCCTATAGGAGTACTTTTGAGGGACAGACTTGAACTATCCGGAGTAAAGAGGCAAGATAAGGATTCCTTAAGTATGCTTGGACAAAACTTACGGCAGGGGGTTGATTTTGTTTGATTTGATCTATTCCTCAGGCTTCTCAACGACCTCAGGCCGTATGCAAGCCCTAGTCGATGTATCCTAAACAGTAGTAATCCAGAACGTGCAAGATCCCACACAGGGTATTCCCAAAGACGGCAGTGTTCCCAGACGACAATATCCTCGATTCTTAGGCGGTGGTGTTCAAAACAACAGTAGTGTTCACAGCGCAGAATACGAATACGATGCGGAAAATCCGTAAGAAACGAGAGTCACTTTGACAAACGTTGGGTCAGACCCGGGCCCGGAAGGGTCTTTGCAACTCATCGACCACCTCAAATTTTCCGAGGTGGAACTCTATGCCACGCGGCTGGGGAATGCGGGGCACCTCAACCTAAAACCTTGCTTGCTAGGTTAGAGAAGCATCCTAGATGGGCACGGCCTTACTTATAAAAACTCCGTCAAAAATATAAAAGCCGCCCGCAATTTTCAAGTGAAGCCCTAGAAAACTTGCTTTCCACTAACCACTGCCACACCCATCAAGCCATCACCATGCGTTTGCTAGTGCGATGGCTCGTCCTTTCGTTTGCTTTCCTAGCAAATGGCCAGTCATTTAATCCTAACGAGGGAGCAACGCAAAGCCACTTTGACGCAGCCAAAGTAGGCACCAATAAAACAACAAACGCGACATACTCGAATCCCATTATGACAATCAACGCTGGCGACCCGTAAGTAATGCCGATACAGAAAGTTAATTTTTCCAGGTGCAATGTGGCTTAATTCTCTATTCAGATTTATGACGCGCTATAATGGTTGGTATTTTTTCACATATTCGACCAACGACAATATCACCTTGAAACGCTCTCGTGCTATGACGGATAATTGGGACAATGCGGAAGAAAAACTTCTCTTCAATCCTGATCCCTCTAGTGGTGAACCCTGGGCCACAGATGTAAGCTGGATGCAGTGTCAATTGACTCTATTGATTCAATTATTCCTCAACAGTTTGTGTCTGATACGTTTTACAGTTATGGGCTCCAGAGATCCATCACATTGGAGACCGCTGGTACATCATTTTCAGCGCAACACCCGATGCAGATGCACCTCACCCACTCCAGGATGCCATGTGCCCTTTCGAGTGTCCCGCTATTAACCACCGGATGTTCGTACTAGAAAGTGACGGACCCGACCCCTGGGCTTCGAACTATAACATGAAGGGAATGCTCAATACATTCGACCAATTTGCTATCGATGGAACCTATTTTCAATACAAAGATCAGCTTTATCATATCTACAGTTGCTGGGAGAATACGTACAGCGCCTGGCCTGCTAATCTCTGCATCACTCACCTGAACAGCCCTTGGAACGTTTCCTCCAATCTCATTGACAGGCGGATGATTTCTGTCCCCAGTGAGCCCTGGGAACAAGTTCCGTACGGGCGGCCTGTCCGGCTTGCGACGAACGAAGGCCCGCAACAACTCACCAATCCTAAGACGGGTCAGAACTTCGTCATATACTCGGCGGCTCGGGTGAATACGCCTTTCTATTGTTTGGGTATGTTGGAGCTTGTGGGTGACAATCCGATGAACTATCAAAGTTGGCGAAAGCACCGAGAGGGCTGCGTCTTCCATCAAAATCCTGACGCTGGTATCTACGGAACGGGTCATGCGAGCTACACAACTAGTCCCGATGGGACGGAGAGCTATATTGTCTATCATGCGCAGACGACGGATAATCCTTCAAGTAAGTGTTGTAGTTTTATCCTCAAAGTGTCTTTTCATGTTTAACTGGTCAATGGTGATTGTACTGACTCGTTCCGAAAAGCGAATCTCTATCGAACGGTTCGCACGCAGAAGTTTACCTGGAATGAAGATGGAACGCCGAACTTCCCAAAGGCTTTGAATGGCCCATTTCCAGTGCCCAAAGGCCAAAGCTAGTGCTGAAGAGATGTTGACTCCGTTTTAATAGCTGGCCTTTTTATGTCTTCTGTGACTTATTCTTCGTTAATGGAGATGGACACTAGATGAGTGACTATCCGCAAACCAGATATGGCGTTCTGGAATTATGTGAAGAAAGGGGAAATAATGCCATGAAAAAGAAAGTGAAAGTAGTCAATGAGGTGACCTCAATGACGAATTGCCGCAGGTCGGTCTCGCTGATAAAATGGGAGATATAAAGAGATAAAACAAGATCAACTATCTGTTCATACAGCCATCTCATTTCGTGTCCGATTCTCAGGAGACCGAGACATCTTCTATTTTTGATCTAGTAGCCTTCGCAACATAAGCTGGGTCGCGCGACGAAGGCGGCGTGATAAACAGACCCTGTAATGCAATGCCCGAGGCTTCCTCGGAGAGCGCCTTCGGTCGAGTGGCTTCTCTAAAGAAGAACGGAAGCCATAGAAGGAGAGAAGTATGTAGGATTGTCTATAGAACTAAGAGAGACTTCAGAAGATCTTATACAAATGGTCACATGACGGGTGCCTGAGATCCGCAACAGCTTCGTTTCAGTCCCAAAGCCTGGCATCGCCATAATGCTAACTGATAGTTGGAGACCGTCGCTCAGTGGGTCGTGCCACACAGTGATGATTTCGGGGGATTTTGCGGGACTGCTTGAGAGAAAATGGTTTGTTCCTCGGGGCATGTCCTAGACTAGACTTAAGGTGCTAGGGGAGTGAGGGGGTTGCTGACAGTAGTGACTATCCGAGCGAAGGAGCAAGCGGGGAACCCAAAGACATTTTCTTTGGGGACGACGTGGGCGAGTTAGCGCCGAAGTCGGGATATCCGGGGAACATCGGGGTGAGATCGGTGTATGCACAGACATGTTGGGATTGTGCGCTAACGGAGTGACCTTCGCCGAGATTGACTGCGACAGGTTTTTCATATGAACTTATCAGCGCGGCTTTTCCGCCTGGCTTTGCCGCTAAAGACCGAACCCCGCACGAACATGCCGCAAGGACTCAAGGGCAACTAGCACGGATTCCGTCGTGCTATAACCTATGCGATAGAACTAAATTGATTGTGAATTACTTCTCCAGAACGCAGAGAGCAAGTACCCAGATTGGGCAATATGGAGAGCGCCAATGAGTCCCCATTGAACAAAGAGTTTGAAAGGCTCGTACATGAGACTTTGGCTCGCTGGCATGTTCCTGGCGTATCGGTTGCTGTAATTGATGGTGACAAGTCTTGGGCAGAGGTTTGTGTCTAATTTGCACAAAGACAACAGCCATTAATGATGTCGACAGGGTTACGGCATCGCTACTCTTCCATCAACCCCAGCGACAGCATCGACACTCTACTGCGTGGGCAGCACTACTAAAGCATTTACCGCTGCGGCAGCTTCTCTACTAATTGATCAAGGAAAGCTTTCATGGCACACGCGACTCTCCGACGTAATTGGAGATGATTTCATCCTACCAGGCGAATGCGAGACAACTCACATCACTCTCGAAGATGCGCTCAGCCATCGTACTGGCATGCCAGGACACGATCTCTCCTATGGGAACGAGGGTGGGCGATCAGCAAAAGAAGTCACGCGAAGCCTACGTTACCTCCCTTGTACTGCACCGCTCCGTACAAAATGGATGTATAGCAACATTATGTACGTCGCTGCTGCTCATGCGATCGAAACATTGAGCGGCTCGACCATTTCCGATCTCTTCAAGGCGCAAATCATGGACCCTCTCGGTATGCAGTCTACATACTTTTCAATACCCGCAGCGCAGGAAGCAAAAGACCATTTTTCACAGGGATATTACTACGACGACGATGTCGGCGAATATCGAGAAGTTCGTCGTCCAGTCGGCGATATAACTATAGGTGCTGGGGGCCTTATCTCTAATGTGTTGGATTTTGCAAAATGGGTACGGACAATGATCAAGGAACTTGGCCCAATGACCAAAGAAGGTCATAAGCAGATACGAAGCCCTCGAATGTTGAAACCTCCACCTCTGGAACACTTGCCCTTCACTAGTGCAACGTCGTATTGCCTGGGGTGGGAGACTGCTGTTTACCGTGGCGTCCAGATATACATGCATGCAGGTGAAGTGGAGGCATATGGAGCATACGTTGTTTGGATTCCCTGTCTGGAATTTGGCGTAGTTGCTTTTGCGAACACTGCAGTAACTTCAAACTTTGTCCAGCAGGTACTGATATGGACATTGATTGACGATAAAATGAAGACCCCAGTCGAAGAGCGATTTGACTGGAATAAAAGGTTTGTGCTTTGCTACCCCGAGACTTTCAGTTGATAGCTTACCTTTGCAGAAACACAATGTTTTCTCAGAGAATGTTTGGCGATTATGATAAGGCCCTTCAACGACACTTCCCTCGACTGCCACCTAGCCGAGCCTCACCGAGCTTACCACTGGCAAGCTACTTGGGATCATATAAACATCCAGCTTACGGTAACATAACCATCACGTTGAAAGACGACAATCTGTACATTCTTCGGGCAGGATTTCGCTGGGAAGTTGATATCGTGCTTGAGCATGTAAATGGTGAGCATTTCTTGGCGAGAATGAACTCCATTGTCAATCGTGGTGGATATTTTTTTAAGGATGCCTTCCCCTCTGAATTCAGGGTTGGCGACGCTGATTGCGTTCCTGCTGCATTCGGAGCAAGGCTAGAAGAGGAGATGGGAGAAGAAAAGATATGGTTTACCAGATGTTCCTAGACGAAGATAGGACTGTCGCCTTGAGGCCCCTTTACCTGGTCAAATTTCATAGATAACAAACTGTAATATATTTATGGGTAGACCTGTGAGGTTGTATCGTAGTATGAGAGCAATTCCTCGAATTTCTTCCACTAGCCCGCTTGATTTTTGATGTTCTCGTGGCGTGTCCTTGAATGCAGAGATAGATACTTACGTGTTTTTTTTCCTTGCTTGATTTTCAAATATTCTGGTGTCCTATTACTCTCGTAGAAGATTGTAAACTATGAAAGACCCAAGAACAAGCTAAGCAAGTACAGCCAACCCCATCAGTAGCATACTCAAAGCGGCAAAATCTTTACTCGCGGAGAGAGTGGTTGTTGCGCCACTAGTCGGCAGAGACGATGGCTTTCCAGTGCCACTAGAGGGCGTTCCTGTGTCTGTCGCATTGCTTGCCGCTAGCATGGCATCTACCTGAGTCCACAGTCTACAAGCGGCGATGTCAATGGAGCCAGGTGCACTTGAGTTGCCGAAGATCATCCCAGGGGTCTCAAGCTTGCTTGATGTGATTTGAAATTGCGGCCAATGGATAGCTTCAGTCGACGGGCTAGCGTTTTCTGCCATTGCTGTCCACAAACTCATCATTTGCTTGCTGAGATTCCACTCCAATGGTTTTCCAGTGCAGGTTGTGTTTTTGGAAGGAAAATCGAAGTGCAGGTTACCGAAGATGCAGGGAATTTCGGCGGTGTGAGCGGCGCCAAACAAAGATACTTCCGCCTGAGGCATTGTATTTAACCATGCACAAGTGGAATTGTGGGTAAATTCGTACATCCATGCAGGGAAGTTCTTGCGTGTGGCTTGCATTGCACACTGATATCCCGAACATTTGAAGTGGACATCGGTATTGACGGTTGCCATGGCTGCAATCACGGCCAGCCCGATTGAATTAGTAGCAGATTTGAATAGAGATAGAGGATAATGTTTCTCAATAATCTGAGCAGCAGTGCCCCAGTTGTAGCGGAGGAATTCCGTGTAAGCAGCTGGCGTGGCTAATTTTACCTTCTCCTTACTATCATATTTGGTGAGGGTATCCATCATGCCTTCTTTTTGATCTTGAGATTTCGCCTGGTTAGCCTTCATCTAGAAGAGACGGTGATACGCATACTATATCCAAAAATTATCGGAACTTGTATTCCACGAGTCAAGGGATTCTCAGAGATGACAATGCCGTCCACATAAGGCCAGAATTCGTGCAAGTATTTAGTATCAATACCAACATAGCTGATTGCTCCAAGTCCCTCATTTAGGAAGGCATCAGAATTATACGCGTGCTTTAGATCGGTAACATTCCTAGACTGGAGACAGGATTTCTGTGGAGAGTTAGTGTCCATCTAGAAGATAGGGCGGTTCCACACTCACATCATAAACACTGCACTGAAGGCTCTGGGCATATGAAGCACCAGTATTCTGCAGGGTTGAATTGGACATGAGCGAAGGTAAAGCGATCGATTCCGCGATGGCACTATTGAAGAGAGATGGTGCTTGAGGAAGAGTGGAAATAGTAAAAACGTCCGTAACGCCAGCTGATTGACCGAAGAGAACAACTTTTTCTGCATTAGAAACTCATCGTTAGCTCTGAATGTCTTGCTTGGTTGCAAAACATACCTGGTCGACGCCAAAAGCAGAGATGCTTTTTTGGACCCACTCTAATCCAAGCAGGAGATCTTGAATTCCTTGGTTACCATGGATCCCGGCACTGCTGAGTGCCATAAAACCGAGGGGCCCAAGCCTGTAGTTGATTGACACAAGAATCGAGCCATCCTCCGCAATGTTGCAACCATCGTATAGAGAGTAATCGATTCCGCCGCTTGTGTCCGACCCGCCGTAGACCCAGATCTTGACAGGGAGCACGGAGTCTTTGGTGGCATTATATGGGGTCCAAATGTCTAGATAAAGACTAAAATGATCGATATGTTAACGAAATAGCGCACTGCAGAATCAATGGGTTGAATTACCAGTCTTCGTTTTCCGGTCCAGGTGGTATCATATCATCTCCGAGCTGAATGCAGGTGGCGGCATGAGTAGTTGCTTCAAGCACCCCATTAGGGTATTGTTTACTGTAGGTCTTTGGAGGCTCGAATCGTAGGTCTCCAACGGGAGGTTCAGCAAAGGGAATTCCCTTATAGAAGACTGCATCTTGTCCATTGCTGCACTTTTTACCATGAAGAATGCCAGCGTCAATAGTGACCGAAGGCGTTGCTAACGCTGCGGTTACAAAAGTCGATAGCGAAGTTGAAAAAAGCAGCTTCATCATTACTATTGTCCAAAAACGCACAGAGACGAAGAAATTATCAACGGGATGTGTACCAGAGACTCCACTTTATATAGGGAACCTCTATGCTCCATTACTTTCTAGTATCTAATTTCGCAATGATACCAAGTAATTGCTAGTAGTAAGGCTGGATCAACTTGATGGGCCTTGCCGATGTCTGCCTGGGACTTAGTTTGATTCGCTTTCCTGCCCTAGAATGCAGATGAGCCAACAATAGTTTCTTTGGCCCCAACACCAACTCAATTCGCGCAAATACTAACCTATTTATAAACACGCGCGCCAACACTGACTGCGAATAATTTTCCTAGATAGGCTGAAGGAGAAACTGTTATTGTCACCGTCTGCATTGGTGATTAAGATTTGCATAAATTTTACCTATTCTGGGCATGGCTAAAGCGAGGTGGCCGGGATAGTTCTAGATCCATAGAGCTAACCCTATTTGGGCATGAAAAACGCAACGCCAATCAACGCATGGTCGGAAGTATATATTTATCACATTGGGGAATCGGGATATTTTCTTATTTAAGTTGACCAAACCCATTGCATTTCGGCAAAAATGCGACGTCCCGCCTAATTTTACGATTGAGTTCTATTTTTGGCCCTACATCGCTCTTACTATGTCTAGTGAATAAGGCGAGATAAAGGTGGGGGCCAATAGCTCTCCCTTCCTTAAGCTATCTAGCCATAGGGCATATACCGAAAAACATACAATTCCCAGAATAGTTTATCAGGTTTACCTTCCATATGTTGTATATCTAATATACCTCTCCACTTCAAGTCACAATCTTGGAACAATTAGGCGCCAAGTCTATCCGTCCAGGGCAGATCTCCACTGAGTAATGCTTAAACTCCATCAAATTCATTCAATACTAGTATATAAAGAAACGCATTACAGACTACGTTATTTCATTATTACGTATACAGTGACAAGGATCAGTAGAATATTTTTGATGATATTTGCTGGTTTGTACAGCTCACCTTTCTTTCCCAGGCTAACACATGTTTGGCCCCAAGTCAAGGTTTCTTTGCATAACACGGGAAGGATTCCATCCATGGCGCAGACTAATAGAAATACCATGACGTTGCCGGATGTGCGGTGATGGAAAAATATTCGTTGATTGGATAAAATAATCTCCACTAGATGCTGCTCCTTTGCTACGCGCTCTCTATAAGAAGCAGAACGTATCCAACTGTCGACCAGCGCAGGTTTGAATCTTGAAAATTTTTCCCTACCACTCCCTACTGTCTAGATGCCCACGATGTCCACCGACGACTATACCAACTTCCCGCCAGGGACGCATATGCTGGAAGACCGTATGTCCCTTATGCATTCCCCTATTCATACACAATCTGACTTTGATATAGAAAGTAGCAATGGAAATGACAAGCAGGAAATTGTTCTCAACCCTACACCTTCGGATGACCCCGATGACCCTTTGGTAGGGCAAAATCAGCTTCAATCACAACCTTGGAAGTTATCATGAACTAAACAAGAATTTAGAACTGGTCCACCTTTAGAAAAACAGTGAACTTCGGACTCACCGGTACATACGTCCTATTTACCTTTGTCGTGCTTGAGATTGGCTCCGTCGCACAACACACCTACAAAAAAGCCCTGCACTTGAGCTTCAATGCCTTCAATCAAAGCGCTGGTGCCTCATACGGAAGTCTCGCGATAGGATGTCTTTTCCTCATTCCCTGTGTGCACAAATTTGGTCGACGACCTGTGTACCTTATAAGTGCAGTGTTGCAATTTGCCGCTGCAATTTGGTATGCGAATTTTACAACCGCCGGCGAAATGATCGCCGTTGGTTTGCTGGCTGGTATAGCAGGATCAGCCTGCGAGGCCATCGTGATAATTACCATTGCCGACCTGTTCTTCGTGCATCAGCACGCTCGTATGAACGGTGTCTTCCTCTTTATGCAGAGTCTAGGTACATTGGGTGGTCCCATCGCCGGGGGGTACATTTTAAGTACTATGAAGCCGTGGCGATGGTTGTGGTGGATAACCGCCATCCTCGTGGGTTGCAATCTGCTGCTGGTTCTATTCTTCTTCGAGGAATCCAAATATGTTCCGCGATCCAAGTCAACTGGGAATAAAATCTCCAAGAGGAACGAGTATCCAGATGCCAATGGCTTCTCATCATCTGATAGTGGAGAGAAATTCAACGACAGTAACGAGCCACCATATGACTCAACTGTGGAATCCCAAACCTACCCTCGCAAAACATATCGTCAGCGCCTTGCACTGCTGACGAAGACCGATGTCCCGATCCTCCAGAGCTTTTATCGACCTCTGATCGCCCCTTTCCTGTTTCCTGCCGTTGCATTCACTGCAATCCAGTACGGCTTGATCCAGACATGGTTCTCTGCTACCACAGCAACTGGAACCAGTCGCTTACCTTACGCACCTTACAATTTCCAACCGAATGACATTGGTCTATTCAATATCGGAGGTTTCATTGGTGTTTTACTCGCTGCAGGCACCGTACCTTTCCTGAGTGATTGGCTTGTTGTTTGGCAGTCTCGCCGAAACAAAGGTGTCTTCGAACCGGAAATGCGTTTGTGGCTGCTTTTCCCTGCTCTCCTCTTTAACTCTGTTGGCTCCTGGATTTTTGGTATTGGACTTACTCGGGTATGCTTTGTCTTTCCTTCTATTTAAACAAATAATGGTTAACATCTCCTCATAGTATTGGCCTTGGATTAACCTTGCCGTCGGCAATGCAGTTTTCGGCTTTGGATTTATGGTCACTGCCGATATCTGTCTGACATACCTAACAGATTGTTATCCCCTAGTAAGCTCGATCCAAGTCTTAAGATGACATAAGGGACCATAGTAACAAAGTCAGATCCTCAATGACGCCCTTATCTCTGTGGTCTTAATCCGCAACGGCCTCGCAATGATTGTTAGGTTTGCATTGAGCGACTGGATCAAAGGGATGGGTATCCAGAACACATTCGTTCTCATCGGAGTTATCTCCCTTGCTTCTATGATCATGCCGGCTTTACTTATGGTCTATGGTAAGCGTGCCAGAATACACACTGCGCACAAGTATTCGGAATTTGCTGCCAATCAGCAAGCTCAGAGACCAGATCTTCAGCAGAGATGTCGGACACAACAGATATCGTAATCTGTCAAGTGGAAGCCTATATGTTGCGGTGAAGCCGAAATCTATGAAGACATGTTATCATACTTTTAGGGAAATATAGGTGTCTCACAGTTGGGCTGACACATGGGCGCTTGAAGAATCGTCACGTCTAGTGTGAAGACTTGAAGGGAAAACTCAAGAGCACGTGATATTGTTTTGCACTGTTTTGTCTCTCTCTCGCTGTGTGTGTGTGTGTGTGTGTGTATTTAGTTTGCCTGCTTTGTCTTCAGTCTTCGGTCGAAGGTGACTGGAATGATACGTACTCTGCTCAATCGTGGAGAGGGCCCCACGTTCTCAAAGGTGGCTCGTTTGCGCAGTCAAATGATAGAATTTTTGATGACTATGCTCTAGCACTGAAGAACTCTATCCACTGTGGCGTCATTTCCTCGCTATGGGGTCTTGAGCATGTTTTTATCGTGTCTGCATCAAACCAGGTCAATGGGAAGAGCCCCTGTGGTCTTGATTTTGGATCAAAGGATGACTCGGATAAATTGGGGAAGGACATCTTTACTAGTGCATGCGATGAGCACTCAGGCACAATGTACTGGATTCTTATACAGGTTGGCTACAATGTGCTTCTATCATCGGTGGTATTACTATTCTGTAGTCTTTTTGAGTTGGGGGTGCATAGACGTTTACAAATTGCCGCTAGGCTTCTCCTTGGGTAATTCAGCCCTACATGGCACTTAGGCAGCATGTGTAAAGCAGTTTCGAATAAAATATATCATTTAAGGTCTCACTAAGGTCATGTAGAATACAGACTAGGCTAGTAGGAGTTGTTTAAATGATGAGTCTACATTGACCCGGCAAAAGCCGAATGAAGATTTCTAAAAACAGCGCATTCAAGTGTTTCGTGGAGTGTTTCTAAATACAGAAGGCTATTTTCAAGGCATCTAGATGCTGATGACTTGCGTATCACATTAATTTCCAGATTTCTATCCCTCTAGATAGTCTTACTCTCACCACTCTCATAACTCTCATGATTCTCACCATCACTCCTACACTACACTTTCCGCAACCATCTACCGTCATGATGGCGTTTCTGGTGAGAGACAAATTCAGACCATGTTGAGGTGGGGCTATATTTTTAGCGCCGTTGTTGACAGACGGTGTCCACATGCCAATTGAATGATCATCCTTAGGGCCAGAATGAACTGAAAAGCACCCTTGGCTCAATGGAAGTTAATGGCGACATTACTGAGGAAGCGATGACAATCAAGAACCAAGACAAGACACGGAAACGCGTGAAGATGTTGTTGATTGGAGCGGGGAAAAAGTTAGGATGCGTAGTAGCTAGGAATTCGCCTAATACATTAAACATTCCTTCAATTCCCTGCACCTGGCCGTTTTGTCGCTTCTCACCGGTCTCATGCCTCTGAGACCACCTCTCCTACTGCAACGTCTGCTCAACCCGTCAGTGGCAAATGATCGTTGATGCCGAACGAGCTGCGTAGGATGCGTGATCAACCGTCTGTGATGCAGCCTAATAGGCCAGAAAGTTCAGTCGGCGTTGCAATGTTATGCTGAATTGAGGAAGAATCGAAATTGCATTGCCGACATGGCGCATTCTCGCCAGGCAGCACCATCGTCCAAGCCCGAGAAGCTACAAGGCAGGCACGGAAAATGGAGATTGGCCTCGGATGATCAGAGCGGTCCTTGATAACAAGATCAGCTGCTATGATTACTAGCTGTAATTACATGTGGTGCATTGCGGAAAATGTGCAATATCACTCGCCATGAATATGAGACTTCGTTGCCAAATTCTCTGCTTTGCCTAGTCTTCCTTATGTATCTGTACCTTATCCACGCTCTACGGGCTGTCACCATGCCACAAGCCCATTCCGTCGACGCCACGGATTCTTTAATGGAATGGATGGCTTCTGGGACTCACGCGCTAAACTAGGATCGCGGACCTCCTCGTGGAATGGAGCTTGTTTGCGCGACATGGATCTACGTGCAGATTTCGTGGAGTGATTTGCAACTGTGTTTGGTGTCCACGTTGTGTATATATAGGCTGGTCTACCTGTGGAAGGGCTTTTAGAAGATGACCTTTGGTGCAAATTCCTAATACTAAGAACACACTTATTACGCGACGCTTTTATCTTGCAAGTCCAAGCCTTGGCAAAAATGTCCGCCAATATAGCAGCCTCTATACTTTTGTCACGCACTCAGACTGCGTACCCCAAACGAAATGTCTTTCTCGCCCTCGTCATTTCGACATTCTGTCGCACGGTTCATTCGAATCCAGAACACTACCGCGCTTCCTGGCCTGCCGCGGTTCAGGACCGTTGGGCAATGTTACGGGACGAGCGTGTGTCGCAAAGTCACTCAATGGATACCACCATCCATAAATGGGACCGCGACGGCGATGTCCAATGCGGAATACCGGACGACAGCCAGCCGATGTGGTTCACTCAGGGCGGTTGTAGCCTTGCAAGCCAAGACCTCACCTACGCCGACACGACCGGCAATATCACAGTCATCCGCACGGCCGCAAAGGGGGATCTTATCAAATTGACTTGCGAAGACGTGTATTGTCCGATCCCAGCTCGAGTTGACTGTTATGAACAGCCGGGTATCTGCTCGTCCGACGAGTGGTGCATGATCGACATCCACGAGAGATGGGGCCCGTGGGCCATGGCCCGTGATGGATCTACTCCGCAATGGGAATACTGCTTCAGTGTCGCTGATTTCGTCGCGAACTCTACTGATGAGGCGCTGATCTCTAGCTACAATGCTGATTGCGTTGCCAGCACTATCGGCGACTACGGCATCAAACTAGGGCCCAAGACGGAAGCCTGGAAACCTATTAGGGGAAGGTGTGTTTCATTCCGAAAGGCGGAGGAGAGCTGCATTGGCAACCCGCTCGAGTTTGGCCCTTTTGAACCTGATTTTGGTCTGAACTATGCCCGGGAACAAAGCGGTTGGCCGTTCCCTCGCCCGCTCGTTTGTGGTCCCGGACTTACCTGCACGGGTGCTGAGTTTGAGGTCCGCCCATCGACCTGCGTTGTCCAACGGCCCCTCAATATATGCTTTGCTGGTCCGTGGTGGGATTCTACCCAGTGTCCGAGAACAGAATCGGATGCCCCAAAAGGTGGCCTAACCATGAAGCAGACAGTGGAAGCTCTTCGCAGGGCTATCCTGTTGTATCCGGGCGAGATTGCCTCTCCCGGAGACTGCGCCTATTGGAATCGCACTAGCAACGTCGGCGTGAGTGTGCTCGCTACGCAGCATAGGATCTACAACATAGCCGCTGCCCTGTGGCCGACCCAACTCTTCGATGTAATACCTAGTTTCGAGGAAGTTATGCAATTGATTCCGGATCCCAATCTTTACGGAAGTCCCTCGGATTGCGTCGCCCAAGCCGACGTTCCTGGCTCAGACATCAACAAAGCTCTCGCTAACGCAGCCACGATTTCCTCGCAACCTAACCAAGTGTGGTCGCTCGTTCACTTTCTGATGCACAACCAACAAGCTCCTCTAAGTCCTAAACGCGTTGCTGCTTCACGAGCACTCGCCGCTCACCTCTCGGAAAGCTTTTGGTGTGACGACTGCCGGGGCTTCTTCTCAGTTGGCGTTATCGAGGTATACGGACTCCCACCTCTGAGTTCAAACCCTGAAGATCATGCCCGATGGTGGTGGTACGGCCACAACGTCGCTTCAGAACACGTCGCTTCAACCCGTGGCGGCCATCCCTGGATCCACGAATTGGGGGAGCAAGGCGTTGCTTCGTTTCAAAACCCCTACTTCATGACCTGGAAAGACGCTGTGGACATGTGGACATATAACAATTCTTAAACTAATCACTACTAGGGCGATGTTTCCATCAGTGTGGTTCATTTCTGAATCTCAGTTAGTTTGCCATACAACTCACAAAACTGTGTTATCATGAACATGCCTGATGTGGCGGTCATCGTATTCTAATTAATTACATTGAAAAGTACAATATCACACAGACGCTTCTTTAAACGAACTGCATTTGATGAATACTCGAACAGCGTATTATCCCACTGGCAAGGGTTTATTTAGCCAGACTCCTATCCTGGGTAGACAAATCATGATTCAAGATGATTTCTACCACTCAGAATATGTTGTTAACGTAGTTTTGAGTAATATTTAGAGTAAAGATTAACCCTGAGCCCCAGAACTCTAGCCTGCACTTTCTAAACCTCGTCCCTTTCGTATTGTTAGCGTCTATTTAAAATGGTTATAACATATAGACGTACCCTGGAAAAAATTGCTGTAGCCAACGCTATTAGAGATTCATTAGCATGGAGCCAGATTTTTTCTGCTAAGGTAACTCATACCTGATCGTATGGGCGCGAAGCATCGTAGAATCTCAAATCGGTTGAAAGTCTGATAGTAGATTTTGGATCGGTGTTCACGGTCGAGGCATGGATCTGAAATATCGATCAGTAATACCCAAATTTCATTTCATAGCTTAAATTACTCACAACAAACGGATCATGGAGCACAACATCTCCTGCCTCGAAGGAACTGATAAGCCACCTGCAATTGTGCTGAGCTGCAAATTTAGCGGGCTCTGTGGAAAGTCCACCTGAAATAGTCATGTTTTTGTTATATGGACTCTTGGCTTCTTGCCAAGACAGCCCACTCTGAAAAGCCTGGTGGGTGAAACTAGTTTCAAATTCTTCCCCCAAAACCTTGCCTGCCGATAGCTTAGCTTCTAGAAACCGTGGTCATGTATATATCATAACGAACTTACTCTGTTCCAGATACATCAACCCACCTCCGTTGATCTTGACATCACCCATAGCGCACCAAGCCGTGATATTTGTTACGTCTCCCTGCCTGAGGAACATTTGGTCATAATGCACACCAATTGGCTCTGATTGGGGAAGATTGCATCGGAATAAAGAACGCTTAAACTGGCGCACATCTTTCCACTGAGTGATACGTGCAACGAACTCTATCAGATTCGGGTGTTTGCAAAAGTCGTCTGTATACCATTCTTCGTTGTGCGCCTTGGCTGTCAGTTCGGAAAACAACGCTGCTTGCTTACTCTTAGGCTTTTCGAGGTCGGATTTTCGAGAGCTCAGGCCTGGGAAGTTCGATAGGGGTTGATCGAGATTGAATATTCCGTCTACGGGAGACGTGCCCGGCTTCAAGACATCTGAAGCGGACAGAAAGCGGAAGTATGATTCACGAGCTTTCAGAACATGGTCACGAGGAAGAAGACTTTTCACAAACAGGTAACCGTCCTCGTGGAATCGCTCTCTAAGGATCTCGATTGGAAGATTTGCATTCGAAGGTCGAAGCAAGCCAACCTGATGATTTAGCAGCTGGCCATCGGCAACGTAGATACTTTCAACGATGAGATCTTTCACAGTGGCCATTTTTCTGTGGGCTGCAGAGAAGGATGAGAAGGAGAAGTGCCTTGTAAAACCCGAAGAATCGGCAAAGAATAGTTTAAAAGAGTAGTTCTTTTTATATAAGCCTGGGTGTGAGTGGACTTTTAAGCGTGGGCCAAGGAGCAGCAGAATGAGGAGACAGAATAAAAGAACATGAAGATGGCCTCACTCGAGCGCGTTGAGTTTGGAACCCTCGCGACGTTCTATCTCGGTGTGATTTCGCCCGAGGTGGGGCGAGCGACGCTAAATGTTGTTCAGGCGGAGAGATAGTTCCGGGTTCCAAACCGCAGCTGATGTGACCTTTCAACAGAGGTCAGAATGAGAAAAGGAGACACTTTTTCAGTGCCTCACAGTGAGGTCTGGGGGTAAGTTAAGGGACGTGCTGTCTTCGATTAATGTTTAGCTCTTAGGAACCCTAGAGTTGATTATTGAGTGGAGACGTACTTCAGCTTCGATCTTCTTAAAAACATACCATATGCAACTATATACACAGAATAACGTCTGCCGGTGGGCCCTTTCCTATCCAGGCTGATCTATGATATACCAGTTGCCGGATGGGGTAGATCCGTGAGGGCGCTTAGGCTTGGAGATCAGCCATCCAGTACACTGCCTGCCTATAGGCCACCAAAATACGCATTTTGCTGCTCTACTCATCTTGGAAACACAGCAATGTGAACAAACGGCATCTATGTTCCTATTTCCCCTATACGAAAGAGCATAGGCACCTTATGTACAACAACAGAAAAAAAGAAACATGGAAAGATACGCCAATTTCCCGAACCAAAAAGTAAGCAGGCAACGATTGAACCATAGAAAACGATAGAATCCAAAGAGAAGAAAAGAGGCCACTTGGTAATCCAACTTCACGGCCCGTTGATAGCGAAGGCAAACGAAATGTAGAAGGGGGTATAGAGAGCATGAAAGACGACCCTGAAATCCACTGATCCAAAGAGGCTACCAAAGAAAGACATTCAGTCAAGGGCGTCATTTTTTGGGCTTTTTGCTGGTTCCTTCTCCCGGAGGACCTGAATCTGGGGATTTGCGTTTCTTGTCCGGTTCATCGTCCCGAGAGAAGCCAGGGCCACTTTGTACTGCGGGGGTTGGGAATGTGAGAGGACTGGGTAGCATGTTCGAATCAGGTCCTGAGCGGCCGAAACCCCACTCCGGGAAAAAGCTGGATGGTGATGGGAGGAGTGCGTCGGACACAAACCGGCTAGGAAGTGCTGATATGGGTGTTTCTATGTTGCTCGTGCTGTTCCCATTGTTATTGGGATTGCTAGCGTTGCCTCCATAGTTGTTCTGTGACGCGGCACCCGGCGGAGGTGGGCGGGCAAACGGATTCGGTGGGCCTTGCGCACCGGCGCTCAGAATTGCGCCGGCTGAGGGAGACGGAGGTGGGAGAACCACCCCGGATGGGGGATTGTCGGCGTTCCCTTTGGCAGGAGTGAGCGTCTTGTTTCCAGCAGAATCGCGCGATGAAGATTCGGCCGTCGCACTGCCGTGATCTGAGCTCTCGCTGGGAATCTGGACCTTCAGTTGCGGTCTTTTCGACGCTAATTGCCCGCTGTTTGTCCGCATTGGCGGTCTGATATCCGAGACTGACGAGATCGAGTTTGTACGAGGCGTGTCGGCCGCAACACTAGATGGTGCACCCCTGGACTCGGGTGGCTCGTGTTGCGGTGGGTGAATCTTCTGCAATATTTCTTCGCTCTGAGGTGGTTCGTATATTGGAACGCCAGAGCCAAAATGACGAGCGAGCACGGAGCCGCGGTCATCAATAGGCGTGAATATGCTGCGCGACTTGGATGAAGACAATGACCTAGGCTGTGGTGGGGACTGTCTCTCTTCAACCTTCAATGTCGCCGTCGTGTTTTCCTGGGAGCCTTGAGATGTAGGCACACTGCGCTGCTGCTGTTGGTTGTCTGCTGCATAAGGGGGAGGCGCCGAGCTTCTGCTAGACTCTTGCATGTATGCCTGCTGCTGCGCTGGTGCGTGCGAGCCCTGTGGCATTCCCATATGCTGCTGCTGTGGGCCCACTGAATGCGCATGAGGTGGCATATGTTGCGGGCCTTGATGATGTGGCGGCATCGATTGAGGCGGCAAGCCGTGGGGATGCATCGGCGGTGTTCCCTGATGCGGCGGATGACCGTAGTGCTGAAATTGCCCTGGGCGGACGTTCGGATTGTACATCGAGGGATTCTGCATGTATGCATATCCACCATTTTGCGGCGCAGGTGGCGGCGGAGGCGTGGCATGCTGCTGGGGGCCTAGATTCGAACTGCCACGACGGATATGATTCCTCGAAGTGGGACGCGAGTGCGATTGCGGGGTGCCGTGTCGCGTCAGAGGAAGGCCGTTGTGAATGGGGGGAGATGCGGAAGGCGCGTGGTTGATGTGTTGGAAGCCAGCCTGGTGTTGGAGGTGAGGCGGGCCGGCCGGCGCGCCATGTTGAACTGCTTGTATCTCTTCCGGAGCGGGTGTGGTCTCGTCTTCTTCGTCATCGTCATCGCGCTTACCAGAGAAATCATCTGGTCCCTTGTGCTCGTGGGGAGGTCCAAACTGAAGCAGGGCGGCATATTAGCAAGGAAATGGAATCGCAATGAAATCGGGAGATGCGTACATATTGATACCGTCCCAGGGCATCGTGCATGTCACACGATGAGTACTCGTATAGTTTCTTGTTGTGGCCAAAGATGATGACGGCAACGTCAACGGAGCAAAGAACGGCGAGCTCATGCGCCTTCTTAAAGAGGCCCCCCTTTCGTTTCAAGAACGTACTAGACAGCAAACGCGTCGGTCAGCTACAGTTCATCTTTTTGAGTCGAAGGTCGACTTACACAGAACGGTTGCGATCATCTTTGATGGCTTTGATCTCGATCTTTCTCCGACCCATTATGGATGGCTATGGGCGCACGACAAGTGCGACGATGTGTTTGAACAGAATATGGAAAGTCAAGCGATGCGCCTCGTAATCTACACGAGGTCCCGCACGGTTATGTGCTTGTCCGTGGGATGCAAACTTGACGCGATGCCGATCGGGGGTCGCGAAGTGAGACCCGGCGCGGGTCGGTGAAGGTTCTGAAGCGACCGTTCCCTTCAAGAAGTCGGGTCGCGATATCCACGCGGATATCACCGGGGGAGCAACGAGCCCTCGCGGAGTATTTGACACTTCAGAAGACCTGAAGATGAACCACCGCGCGACTGAAGCGGGAGGGAAGGATGAGAGAAGAATGGACGGGGGGGCACTCAGGGGACGAGTACCACACCAGGAACCAGAAGGGAGATGGACCAGAGAGGGAAGCGACACTGCCCGGGCGGTACCAAGCAGGTAACTAATGGGGATGACTAGATCGGGCCGGAAAAGTAGTGATTGACGATGCAGCAAAGGTTGATTCTAAAGATAGCATCGAGGGAAAAAAGGAATGGGAAAGGAGCGAGACAGGGTGGGGCTTAGGTAAGCAGCCGTGTTCTATTTATAATGGCGACGATGATCGGGCCCGCGCTTAGAGGGCCTATGAGAAGGGAGATGTCTGTGATAGGGATTCCCTGGTGTTGGTCCATGCAGTAGGAGCGATGTCGCTGTGCCATTATGCAACAGAGGTGGTAGTGACTACTCCGGATAGAGTATGGTGAAGCCTCACGGCCGGGGTGGATCTTCCCCCCAGTGCAAGGGGGCGGGTCGTTCTCTAGCGGGGTCTAGATGCTGGAAATAACCTACTTACCTGGTAGAGAACTTTTCAGGTCCAATTATGTCATGCCTGCTGGAGGTCAACCCGGATGCAGATGGAAAGACAATGGGGACTAAATCTACTAGCTGCCTTGTTTGAAAAGCGCCTCAGAGAACCTCAGAGCACCTCATGTCGCTTGAGACTCGCCCTAATATCCCCGCCCACCCAACTCGGACGCTGTCACGTACCTCGCAGTCGAAAATCCCCTAGACGTCACACGTTCGCATTACGATGCATTGCAGTAACTCAAACATGCCACTAGACACTCAAACTCCCGCTGGTAACAGAGGAGGGATCTGATGTCCTATCGAACGACAATACGCGACCCGGCAAGTTCGTCAAGCTTCAGTATTGTCGGCCGACTCAGCAACATGGACAGTCCAGCCATGCTATTTACCTTACGCATAATTCCGAGAAACTTCCACTTCCATAATACCACCTGCTCGAAATGCAGTGGTTCCTCTACGCGATCCAATCAGTGACCATGGATTTTGATCAGGACGATGAAGGCAACAACGACGACGATTACAATGACTTCCCTGCCATCTAGTAGCGGATTTTGTACGAGAATGAGTCGCCCGGCGGTATCGAGTCCATCGCGTGATACGATCGTGGCCGTGACCATACGTTAAGAGAGAGCAGATGAGACCATGCGCAAGACCCAGCAGGCGCAACATGCCCTCTTAAGTCAGCTTACCGCGAGCAGCAATGTCAAGAAAGAGTAGGGGCGTTGAGGGAGGACATACTGTAACAAATTGTTTCTCTCGGGTGGAGGGGAGTGCCAGGGGAGATTCAGGATGTGGATGATATAGCTACATGGCGCTTCCTACCGCCATTGCTGTACCCCATACTAAAACCTTGGGCGGTGCATCGGAGAGCAAGAGACGGGACGTTTGTCATCACGCTCTCACCAGATGTGTATTCCTTTTTGGGCTGGTTTCTCTTCGCGTTCATAGGCAGAATCTCGATAACGAATTCGGCCTGGGCATCAATTTCGGTAGGCTCTTGACTATGCTAAAAACAATAGAGAGAAGGATAGTTTGCCAGGCCTCCCTCTGGCGGGTCCAGACTCTGGACATTCAATCAATTATTGTACTCTAGCACTATTCACGGTGGCCCCTGCAGAGACCTCTTGTCCATTATGTCATGTTGGTCACCTGCTCTGGACAACCCTAGATCACTTACGATGTATGCAAGTATATGGGCAGCCTGTTTCAGGGCTTCCGGAGACTTCATGATTGGCCCCCGGTTTGGGGATGAAGTCATGCGTGATGTTTTGCACATAGTTACTTGTCGACTGGGCACCGCCGAAGCTGAACCTTGGATCGGACCACCCCAGCTTGGAGATGATGATCGTCACCATCATCCATTATTCTGGTTCCTGCCACTGTCATACCTGCCTCCCACAGTAGGTAGTGACTTGCCCTTGTAAGTCATCATCGTCACCACTTTGGGATAATCTTATCATTCGGCGTTGTCCCCCATTGCTGTTCGTTGTGTGTTTGTTGGGCGGTGGCTTGCCCCGAGGTCGAGACCGACGGGTAAGTTTAGTGTGGTTTCGTTTACCCCTGAACCAGCATCGCGAAACTCTGAGCTCTTCTTTCTTCCGCCTCTTTTTTCTGTTTCTCTTGGGTTTTATCCCTTCCTTTCCTTTTCACCCTCTCTCGCTGTCTCCCCTTCCGTTCTCTTCTCTTCTCTTCTGGGGGTTTTCTTGGTCGTCTCCCCAATCTGCACGCTCCCCCGAGCCTCTCCCGTCGCATTCCTGACCAGGGATTCCCTTCTTTCCTGAGCCTTATCCGGGGCTGCAGGACATCCCGGATTTTGTTCCTTGTCGGTTTCCTGCATTGCTCGCATATTTCACTTAGCAACCTCCCTTACTGATTTGTTGGCTGTTGAGCAGACAACCAAAAAAAAAAATAACGAGGCGGGACCGCATTTCCTTCCCAACCCCTGGTCCGCTTCCCCGACGCCCAAACTCCAATTCTCGCGGTCGCATCCCCTCCCAAAATGCCGTTCTTTTCTCGCGTCTTCCGGGGTAAAGACTCCAGCGCGACCAAAAAGCAAGCCAAGCCGGCGCCGACCTCGGACCCAACGCCCGCGAAGCCCAAGTGGACCGACGCATGGCAGCGCACGGAGGTTGCGCCGGAGGAAGTGCAGGATCTTGTGAAGGGCTGTGCGCAAGAATTGAAGGCTCGAGGTGGGTAGCAAATTCCGATTGCAACCATGTGGTGGTCGTGGCACTCGGCCCGCACCGGCCACGCGCATTCCACGGATTGCTGATCATTGGAACAGCTCTTGACACTCCTTTCCTTCTCCTGCCGTTCCGTCCAAGCTCCGATCCCAGCGCCGCCCGGACTTTCGTTCGCAACTACTTCAACCAGTCCTTCGAGAAAGGCACCCCTGTCAACGGCGATGAGCTCATGCAGGAGCTGCGGCTCAATGAGCCGATGGTACTGGCTAGTGTGCTGAAATGGTGCTGGAGCAGACTTCCCGGTGGTGTGGTTACGTGGGAGGCCTATGAGCTGTTCAAGGTCGGCGAACAAGGTACGACTGGACAACCAGGAATGCGGGGGACACGCTGACAATGAGTACAGACTCCGATTGGGCCCGCGACGCTTTCTCGACCTTTATCCCAATCAGTGTGGACTCCGATGCGCGTACACAGATCATCTTCTCCTTCTTTGACTTGCTGGCTGCAATTGCCGCGCATGGAAAGAGCAATGGTCTGGGAGGTCGCAAACTCTCTCGCTATGCTGGATGGTGGGCCTTTGAACATACGGACACGGGCAATGGTTTCGAGGCTTCCTACAAGAACTGGGCTGCGTATGGATCTCTCCCCCCACTGAAATGGGTGTAATACTGACGTCTATAGTGGTGCCGATGCCACGAGCCACCTGTTTTTCGCCTATTTGCGTTCTCTGACGCCCGATGTGCCGCGTGGAGTCACCGGTATCTCTTCTCTGCCTATTTCCCTTCAGACTCTTCTCGAAGCCACGGAATATCCGCCGGAAACCCCCAGTTTGTTACAGGTCAGTACGACCAAGGTGGTTATGATCGTGGAGAGTGTCTCTCCAACGCCCTTTTCCTTGCTGCGCCGCGCAAGGAACTTCGAATACAGTGACAACGATTGGCACTTGCAGGAGTTTGCCGACTTCGAGGACCCGATTCAGGCATTGACCGACGAGTGCCTGCGTGTGCTTAAGTGTATTTCCACCACAAATGAGTCCACCGTCTCCACCTCGAAACACTCGACCAGCCTGCGGGATGCTTCCTGGTCCCGTTTTGAGGATATTGGGTTCGGAGGTTCAATTGAGTCTGACCAAGAGGATGAGGATGCCACCGCAGCGGCAGCGGTGCAAAAGAACGAAGCGGCTGGAGGTATAAAGTCTGTGCCTCAGTCTCAGGGCGCTGATTTCGGCCGTCCTACCACTCCGTCCTGGGCCGACTTCATGTCGTCCGGCTTCGGGGATGAGAACAATCTCAAAAATCCTGTCGGCCCCCTGCTTCTGCCACCGGACAAAGTACTGCCTCCTATCGTCGCAGCACGAGGCCAGAGCTCCCAGTCTCATAAGCGTCACTTGGACGCCGAGCCGTCGCTGGAGCCGGGTGAGTTGGCCAGCATCAGCACTCTGGATCTGGACGACTCATTCTGGTGGGTTTGGATCACTAGTCTGTCTGGCGACGAGCCCTCCGCACGCAAAGCAGTCTTCGGCCGTTGCGCACTTCTCGAAACCGTCATTCGTAATACAAAGTGGTTGGTCCTTGAGGAACAGGTCAAGGGCGCCGCCCCGGAGCCGGAGGTGGGAGCGCAAATTGTCGAGAAGAAACGCTTCTTTAGCTTTGGTAGTCGCAAGGGTACCAAGCTGAGCCGCCGCAAGTCCTCGGCTAAGAAGGTATCTTCAATTGAGGAGTCGTACAAGCGCACGGGCAACCAGGCTGGGCAAAGCAAGACCAGCATTGGACCCGATCAGCACAAGCGCATTCAGGCAGCTGCCGCAGCTCTGCAAAAGAGGCATCGCGAGCAGGAAGCCCAGGCAGCTAAAGACCAAGGTCACGCTGGCGATGAAAGCCGTTCCACGAAGACTAACTCGGTCCTGACGCTCCAGCCGGCTATTGTGAACGAGGCCTCTTCGGCTATGAAATGGGCCAACAATTATGACAAGCATTCTCTTCGAGCCGCCTATCTGAGTGACACCCGTGCTGGTACTGGCACTCACGCTGAGCATGCTGCAGCACCTCCAGCAGAGAAGCCTACCACTCCCACACCCGCCCCGCTGGCCACTACAACGTCTAAGAACCCTCCGCCGCCGCCTCCTAAGGATGCCGTGGCGACCCCGCTGCCTCCATCCCCCGAGCCGCCTGCAAAGCCCCCCAAGGATGATGTACCTCCTCCACCTCCACAGGATGATGATAAGAAGGCCGCCACCAAAACAGTGGTAGTTGAGCCGCCTGTTGAACCGTCGCCTCAGGAACTGGTCGAGGAGACCAACAAGAAGCTCAAGAAGAAGAGCGGCAACGCCGGATTCAAAAACATGTTTACCGCCAACAAGAAGAAGAGCGATCAGCCGCCCGTAAGGACTACCGGTGTTTCTTCCTCTGTGGCAGCTGCGCGCGCCGCCCTCGAAGCCAAGGCCAAGGAAGCTCAGGACTCCGTGCCCAAGTCATCAAAGACATCTGTGCTGAAGAAGAAGCCCGTTCCCGAGAAGAAGGCCGAGGCGACATCCCCTGCCCCTGCCCCTGCTGCGGAACCGGAGAAGCCCTCAACCCCCCAGAAGACTGAAGAGCCCGTGGCCGAACCTGTGGTTGAACCCGAGGCTATCGCACGGCCGGCTGCCAGCTCAATTAACGAGAATGCCGGCGGGCCACCGACGACACGACACGCAGTCGAGTATGACGCTCTCTCGCGCGTCGATACCAACGAGCGCGACGCGGCTGATCAGGAGTTCTCCAAGTTTGACCAGGGCCCTTTGATCGAGCAGCCTGCTTTTATTCCTGTTGAGTCGCCGCAGTTGACTCCTATGGCTGCGCCAGTACCAGAGGCAACTCCTGAGGCCTTACCGACCCCTGCCAACGGCCATGATGACGAGCCTGCTTCTGCCCCCGAAGCTGAAGGCGAAATCTCGTCGGACGACCGCTGGGCTCAGATCCGCAAGAACGCTGCGGAGCGAATTGGCGCCCCTGAGGAGCCTGAGACCCGGACTAGCCAGTCTGAGCGGACAGACGAGGGAGACACCAGCGGCGAAGAAACCATCGAGTCCCGCGTTGCTCGCATCAAGGCCCGTGTCGCCGAGCTAACCGGAAACATGGAGACAAATTAGTAAACGCATCGCGTCCATTCACGTGCAGTGCCTCAACCCTATCTCCGTTTTTGTTTTGGAATTTCCTTTTGTTCATTGACCTTGAATCACCTTTAACCCTTTATTCTTCCGACGATCCAGGATTCCTTCTCTCCTGTCTTCATCCTCATTCATATACCCTCTCTCTCCCAACGAGTGTTTACTTGCTTGTCTTGTCTTGTCGAGTGTGGTTCGTCTGCTTCCCACAGCCAATTGGAAGAACGTCTCCCTCTGAATGAATGGGCAGATGAAAATTGTGATACGATTGACGGATTATTTTGGTCTTTCTTTTGGCCTAGTTCTTGCTTTCTTCACACTCCTCGTCCCGGGCTGGACAGATATCCCTTTTTTTTTTTCTTTATCATTTGGAAACAACCCCATTCACCCTATTGTCTTGTCACCTCTCACCCACCCTAATCCGGTTGCTGCTCTGCTGCTGCTACTGCTGCTTCTTGCTGCTATGCTATGCTCTATTCCCCTTTTGCTACTGGTTATTTTCCCAGTTTTCAGTTGCTATCAACCAATATGACTCGTTTGTTTTGAATCTGTGTACTAGTAGTAGTGTAGGCTAGATAGCTACGCTATACTCTATGTGGCACCAACTGCATGTCCACCAACAGTAGGCCAGCAGGCAAGTAACAATAATCCTAGAGCCCCAAAGCCTTAAGAATCTCCTTCCCAACCGCAGTCGCCGACGCCGGATTCTGGCCCGTGATGATCGTCGAATTCGTCCCAGCAGCCTTGGACACAACAACCTTCTCCCCCCAAGCCGCATCGGCCTTGACATACTTCCCGCCCGAAATGCGTCCCAGCTCCGTCTCCAGCATGAACGGCACCACAGACGACATGCCCGCCTGGTCTTCCTCTTCATTCGAGAACCCCGTCACCGTGACGCCGGAGATGAGCGGCACGCCTGACGGAGCGGTTGCATTCAGCAGCACGCATGGCGCATGGCACACTGCCGCGACGGGCTTGTTGGCTGCCGCGAAGGTTTGAATGAGGGCTAGGCTTGTTGGGTCGGTGGTAAGGTCGAACATGGCTGTATTATTTCCGCGTATTAGTTGTTGTCTCTTTTCTTGTTTTTTTTTTCTCTCTCTCGTGCATATACCATTCCCGTTGGGGTGTATATAACTGAAAAGAAGAAGGGAGGGGTTTGCATACGGCCATGACCTCCAACATAGAAGATAGCATCAAACTCGCTCGCGCGCGGCACCATGTCCGCCAGCTTGTGCGTGTTCGTCCAGAGCGGCTTCTGCTCAGCTAGGAACGTCGTCGCCACGGGGTCGGACTCGAACATCTTGACCGAGCTCGGGTCTAGAGGGGCCTCGCCGCCCTTGGGCGAGGCGACGGTCAGCGAGACCTTGGAGTGCAGGACATCGTGTGGATGGGCAAATTCGGGCTTTGGGATTCGGAGTTAGTCAGGTATGTAAGGGGGGGGATCGGGGTTTTTTTTTGTGCGGTGTGCGGAAATATATATCTCGCGAGGTAGGAGGTCTTACCAGGTACCACCCCGTGCGAGCACGGTTAGCCGGGATTTCGGCTTGAGAGGTGAGCACGACGAGAACTTTGGGAGCCATTGTACGTCGGAATTGTGCGTTTGCGTATGTGTCAGGAGGAATTATTGAAGGGGATGTGTGTTCCAGTCTAGCTACTAAATACCCAACGATATCACCATCTCGTCACTACCCCTCCGATCGCCGCAGCAAGGATCTGCAATGATATCATGGGTCGAGGACATATCTCACTATGATATATTTTTTTTACCTGCTACGTAATAATATGAGCTCGTCTAAACCACCTTGACTTCTCCAAAACGCAGGCCTAAACCCTAAAACTCTGTGTGAGGGCAAATATGAAAACATAATACAGTGGAAAAGAGACGGCGCTAAGATTGAGACTATACTACATTTGTATAGAAACGGTGCTCACCGTACAACCCTGACCCACCAGGGGTTTTAGGCTTTTAGTCCTTGTGATGAATTCTTGGATATCTTAGAAGCCGAGGATGAGTCTGGGGACAACCAGGAAAACACCAGCAGCCAGGACAAATGATTGGCGGAGAGGTTTCATTCATCTCATGATGACGGATTCCAGCTAGCAAGTGAAACGTGGGCAATCGGAATATTGATTCGAGCCAGCTTAAGTGGGTGGCAGTGGTGCCAATAAGCTAGACCTTGAGCAAGGAGACTACTGGTGGTTAATGTATTCCCATTCACAAAGAGCCTAGGTGAAATCCAAGTCTAGGAAAGTGCCCTAGCAGAGTTGAACATGGGTCGGAGTATAGCTGCATTATGAATTACTTTTTTGTATCTAGTTGTATATGCACATGTCACTGCCCTCGAACGCCTATAATAAGAATAAAAAAGAGGCATAGTGTACAACCATCGCAGAACCACTGAATAGGCTCGCGGTGGATGGATGAATGCGTCGGCTATATCCATCCCACATCCCACACAGCCCACGCTCACAGAACGTACCGTAGGCGTCGAGTCGCCTCAGCAGCTATCAGAGCGCTCAAAGCGCCGATAAAAAGACACACGGCGATAGCATTAGGCTTGTCCTTGTCTAAGTTCATCCACCCGGTATCTGACTCGTCAGTGCCAGGCTGCGCTTCGGGCTCGAGGATGCTGAAAACGATCCAGCTGATAAAAGTGCCGACAAATTGGGGCAGGGTGGTGTACACATTCAGGACACCGAGATAGATACCGGCGAGCTCGCCGGTCGAGGGGATGTTAGATGACAAGGACGTCGGATCCTCCTCGTCTGTGTCACTATCCGCGTCGCGGTGGTTGAGCCGGAGTACATCCAGCTCCGACTCGGCGGCTGAGCTGGCCCGCAAGCTGGCCGATGTGATCATGGTCACAGCGCCTGAGCGCGAGGTCGGCATTGTTGCTGCGGCACCGCCGCTCATTGTCAGCTTGTTGATCTCCACGCCCATGAAGGCGAATGGTGCCCAGCCGCTGATTGCCCAGGGGATGCCGCACACGGCCACTAGGAAAGTCGCAAAGGCGCGCGAGTGGGCTAGAGGTGCGAAGATCATAGTCGCGGCGAACATCACTTGCGAGATAAGCCAGGCCGTCTGAAGATCTGGCCGCACGGTGGTAATTGACTTGAGGAGTCTGGCGATCCCCGGCGGCGGCCGAGGTGTGAATCGCTCCCGCTTCGTGTCTGGCGGCTGCACACAGAACGGAAGCAGCACGGAGCTGAGGAAGGTAATGGACGAAAACACCACCAGTGACAGACTGCCCACTCGGCCAACCTCGCCCAGCATATCCGTTGATTTCGTCACTTGCTCCGCCGGCACTTCATAGCGGAAATAGGTCTCGCCCACCCATGTGGTGCTATAGAAAAGAAACGGAAACCAGCCTGGAAAGAGATAAGTGTGTGCGCGCAAAGCCCAAGTAAGGTAGACATACCAATCCACGCCCAGAATTGAGCCCAGCAGATAGCTTGGATGCGAGGCGGGAGCTCCATTGTAGTTCTGAACAGCTGAACGACAACTTGGATCGCGCCAGCTTTGCCATCAGAGTCTCTGTCGGTCTACTTTAGAATCTATACATCAGACCATCGCTAGGGTACTCACCTGGCCGAAAGCAACACTCGCTCCTTCACTGCATAGGACGTAACCGATACGGCTCCGATCAATGACAAAGCCGCAATCACTGTCATCTGCTTGAACTGGGTGTCGCCAATGATACTCCCGAAAATGCTCACTGTATCGATCGAGCCAATAACGTAGCCGATAAGTTGGCCAATGGCACACATTCTCCCAGCTGTTGATGACCCGTTAGACCCTATACATATCTATGTTCAAAGACAAGATAAACATACCCCATGCAGATCCAGCTTGTTGCTGCGGAATCGGCAACGTGTCCACGATTAAGCTGCGGCAGCATGCTTGAACTATGGATTGTAAGCGATTTTCCTCCTCAGACACCACCACCGAGGTTACTTACCGACATTGATCGAGAAATCAACAGCATAAATACTCAAGACGGCCAACGCAATCGTGTAATTCCTCGCCTTCTCGGGGTCCGAGACAAACAGCGCGACAATCTCAGCCGTCCAGCCCAAAACAAACAAACACAGCGCCACAACAAAAGACCCGAACACCATAAACGGCCTTCTCCGGCCCCATTTCGATCGTGACCGATCCGCAATGACGCCAATAAGAGGCTGGATAATCAACCCCGACAGCGGGCCCGCAATCCAGACCAGGGAGGTTTTGGATTTCGTCAGCCCCAGCTGGAGGAGATACGGCGTGCAGTAGGTCATCTCCGTGCCCCAGGTGAATTGTAGTCCCACTAGACTAAACGTTAACAGCGCCATCCGTGTGGACTCGGACCGTCCCTTGATCGAGGGGGATCCGGCCCACCGAGCTGACTGCGGCATCTTGGCTGCGCCTGGATAGGCATGCGCTCAGCTGCTGCTGCTGCTCCTTCTTCTGCTCCCCCGCTCCTCTGGCCGAAGGCGGCGAGTATTTATAATATACCACCGAACGCAGCGAACAATCAATTGAGTCGGGGTTGGTGAAAGACGCACGGGTTTCGATTTCGGAGGTAGGATAGAGTTGTTGGAGACCTTCGAGCAGAGAACGCAGGGATATGCCAATCGAGGTTCCCACTCTGGAATTGTATAGTACCCAGCGCTGGTTGAGGGCCGATTGGTGTCGGGAGCTGGGTGTAGTTCGAGCGAAGGGGATGGGTCGGGTGTTTTTTTGGTTGACGGGACCGGCAGCCGGAATTTCGTGATTGATCAATGCGATGGCGGAGGGGACTAGGCTGCTCGCGTGATCCCGAGCAGATAAGCCGGGGTGATCGTGGCGTGTGTCGCGCAGAGTTGGAGTTGAAAGGGAAGGAGAATAAACGAGAGAATGATGAATGGCCAGACCCCCCGGCTTATCGTGGGTTGTTGGAGACCCGCCAGGGGTGGCTGCCAGGCTGCCGATCGATCTTCTCGGAACAGCCACAGACCGTGTCCAGCCCTAACACACGAAACAGTAGGCTACTGGATAATATCATTACATCTCTATGTCAACAATGATCTAATTGAAACCCCGGAGGATCTACTGGAAGTGAAAAAGGAGCGCGCAAGACCCGTTCATTGCAATGGGCTTCTCCAGCTCTACAATTCGACGCTAGAGACCGTGCAAAGAAATATCACAACATGACTGACGCGACTCCCATTGGCTTGGAAGTTCCGTCCAACAAAAGAAAAAAGAAGATCGAGAGAAGAAAGAACAGATTTTGATTTCACTTCGTATCCCGCATTGCCGCTTTCCCATATCGTCGTAAACACAGCAAGGCAAGGACCTACAGCCGGTTGGGTGCAGATGTCACGGGCCACTGGTAGCCGGCGGCGTCGCTGAACTTGTACCCGTACGAAGCGGTGAAGTCGTCGAGGACCGCGGGGCCACGGGAGCCTAGAAAAAGATTAGAAAATAGGACAGTTACTGGGGATGAGTGGGCATACCGTATGGATACTCCATGGGGATAATCTCCTTGTTGTCGTCCAGATAGTGCAGCAGAGGCGTGAAGATGCGCCAGCTGGCATCCAGCTCGTCATCACGCACAAAGTTGGAGTGGTCGCCCTTGAAGGCGTCCAGGATGAGCGACTCGTACGCCTCGGGGATCTTGAGGTCGGAGAAGCGCCGGCGGTAGGTCAAGTCCAGCTCGGTCACCACCGTCTGCATCGACAGACCAGGCAATTTCGAGTTCATCTTGATATAGACCGACTCGTTGGGCTGCACCCGAATGACCAGCTCGTTGCGGGGGATGTCCTTGAAGATGCCGGAGGTGACGTCGCGGAATTGGATGCGGACTTCGGTCTTTTGCTCGTTCAGGGCTGCGGAGGTGTGTTAGGAGAATAGTGAAGTATAGTAATATGAAGAAACATACCCTTGCCAGCCTTCAGGATGAAAGGCACGCCATCCCACCGCTCGTTCTTAATGTAGGCAACCAAAGCACAGAAGGTTGGGCAGCGCGACTCCTTGGGCACGGTGTCATCTTCCAAGTAACCTGGCTTGCTTCCGTCGAGCGACCGCCCATACTGCCCAATGATGACATTCTTCGGCTCGATCGCATCCATTGCGCGCAGGACGCGCACCTTCTCATCACGGATATCCTCCGAAGAAAAGGAAATGGGCCGCTCCATGGCGAGCAATGTGAGCACCTGCAGAAGGTCTGGAGCAGATGTTAGTATTTATTCGGTGACTATTATAGGGGTACACATACGGTTCTGCATGACATCGCGGATGATACCGAACTCGTCAAAGTAGCCCCCACGACCCTCGGTGCCGAACGGCTCCTTGAATGTGATCTGCGAAATATGAGAATTTTGTTCAGAAAACCAGTGCAGGTACATACCTGAACGTTGTCGATGTGGTGACGGTTCCATGTAGCGTTGAAGAACTCGTTGCCAAACCGCAGGATGAGAATGTTCTTGACCATCTCCTTACCGAGGTAGTGGTCAATACGGAAAATCTCCTCCTCCTTCCAGTTAGGATCTAAAGCCTTTTGCAGGTCTCGGGAGCTCTGAAGGTCCTTGCCGAACGGCTTCTCGACGATGATCCGAGCCAGGCCATTCTTGGGGTAGCAGTTGCGCTTCAGCTGCTCCGACACGACGGTGAAAACACTAGGGGGCAATGCCATGTAGAAGACGCGGTTCTGCTCCTTGCCTTGCCGGCGCGTCTCGATATCGGAGATGTGCTTTTGCAGGTTGATGAACGAGTCATCCTGGTCGTACTGGCCGGACACGTATGTGCACAGCTTGCAGAACTGCTCTAATTGCTCCTCAATCTCCTTCGTCGGGACCTTGATGTACGAGCGCACGCGCTTGAGGTATTCGTCGTGGTCCATCTTTGTCCGAGCATATCCAACGATGTTGATGTCCTTGGGCAGAAATTTGTTGCGGAACTGGAGGGTGGTCAGCGGGGAGAAGCTTAAATTTCATGTGAGGTCGTCACATACAAGGCCGAAGAGTGCTGGGAACTATTCAGTTGGTTAGTCCTGGAGCTGTTGATGTCTGCCGCGGGGCTCGAGCACGAACCGTCTTCTTCTTTGCGAGATCACCAGACGCCCCCAGTACCACAATGACCGTGTCATCTTTCAGTTCGACGGTGCTGGGGAGAAAATGCATCGTTAGCCGCCGGGTCGAGTTGCCAGGGAAAGGATTTTGCAGTCCATCAGCGGGTCCCACGAAGGAGAGCCCAGCAACGAGGTGAAAAAAAGCTGACAGGAACGGAGCAATTGACAGCAGAAGGTCTTCGGAATAGAAGCGACCGATGCGCCCGCAGATAAATTGCCGTTTGGACCAGGCTGACGTTGGGAAGCAACAGCGGCAGGGCTTCCGTTGCCGGAGGGGAGGTGATGTCAGAGACGGCACGGGTGGGATGGAAACTCACCCAGCGTTCTGGCGCTCATCGGCCTGGTTGATCAAGCTGCTCATGGTGATGGACAACCGGAATATACAGATGGGGGGAGGGCGAGTGAAGAGGTTGAAGAGAGGTGGGAAGAGAGTGAGAGAGAGGAGTAAGAAAGAAAGAGTTGGTTGCTCCCTCTCAGGATCCGGCGGACTGCTAACGACTTCGGCAGTGGGGCTTTTTTCGGGGTGGGATGGATGTATTTCTGACCCAGTACGCTGACTATTGATTCAACTAACCCCTGCTAACTCCGTGAATTACTTGACTGTGGTACAGAACACACTACTCTGTACCACCTCCACAATGCTATGTACTCCAACAGCTGACTCGGCACGCCCGGAGAGGGTGCAACCTGCTTATGGTGATGGAGGGACCATAGGCTATAGACCACCCCACCGGCAATTAGGTGATTGTTTCCAGTACACGGAAATACTGAAATACCCACGATAAGCAGAGCTCGCCCTGCCCGGTGACCGAAATCGTGGAGAGCGATCGGCCCATTTGTCATCGTGCCAGACGGATTCTATTTTCCCGTTATGATGGGGCCCGGACCGATTGAAGCGCTCGGGTCCATCCTCGGCGGCATTTAACCGCTGTTGGGAACTCGCTAGAAAGTGTGCCGAGCAGTGGCCGCGGGGTGGGAGATGGTCAAGACCTGGTGAGATTCATGAAGAATATCTTACGGAGTCCTCCCACGATCGGTCGGTCGGTCGAAGCACACGGGAGGTACGACATGGACCGATATTGCCGAGTTTCGTCATGGTGAAATCTGCGCTCGGAGGACAGCAGGCCGGATGGGGCGAAGGCGGTGAGGCGGAACATTCTTTCCTCCGGAGCCCCCCAAACCAGACTAGCGCGCCTCGCTTAATGACTCAGCCGAGCACCCGCACCACACGCAAATTGTGTGCGCCTCTACATCTTTGAACTGAAGCCGACGACAACACACGACAATCCGGGTCCGACTTTTGATCTCTTGCGGGTCTTTCCTTCGACTTTTTTGCCTCGCCCGCTGTTGCTCAGAGATATCACAATGCCTTCGGAACAGGGACACCGACGTGAGTATCCCAGCTGGTCGCAGTCATCCCAAAATGGCGTGGAGCAAAAAAGAGTCGTGCTAACATCGTTTCTGCCATCTAGTCTATGTCAAGTAAGTTATCACCGTCTATATTCTCGCGCTGGACGTACACACACATACACCTGGACACTCCTCGTTCGACTGGATCGATTGACAGAGCGAGGGGGGCGGAGGAACAACCCATCTGGATGCGCAACACCCATCACCAGAACAGACGACTAATACGGGTTTCTTCTACAGGGGTCGCCACTTGAGCTACCAGCGTGGAAAGCGCAACACCAACCCTAACACGAGGTACCTATACATCCCCCCAAATCCCAAACGCACAGCGTACTGATCCGCAACTCGCACAGTCTGGTCAAGATCGAGGGCGTCGATGACCCCAAGGCTGCCGGCTTCTACCTGGGCAAGAAGGTCGCTTTTGTCTACCGGGCCAAGCGTGAGGTCCGGGGCTCCAACATTCGCGTGATCTGGGGCAAGGTCACCCGGCCGCACGGTATGTGATCCCATTTCCTCCAATATAAATCCTCCTCTGACGGTCTCTCCTCAGGCAACTCCGGTGTTGTGCGCGCCAAGTTCCGCAACAACCTCCCTCCCCGCTCCTTCGGCGCCACGGTCCGCGTCATGCTCTACCCCTCCAACATCTAAACGGCTTTATTGTATCTAGTGGGCGATTTCTGACGGTTGGTCAGGCAAAGGGAAAAAATTCAAGGAACGAGCCGAATGTGTTGAGGATGGAGTTGGCGGGTTGATCACGTTCTATTCGTGGGAGAAGGCAGGGTCCCATCAAAGTCCCTACGAATCAAAAAACAAAGAAACATTTTTTGACCTGCTGTTTCCCTACTGTTCCGAGCAACCAGAAAGGATGATGCCTGGGTTGCAGCATCGCTTTCTCCCACTGTATCTGACGATTCGTGCGCGCCACATCCATCTCATTTCAGCACCCGGCTATTCGACTTGCTGCTTTCTTTGCTCGTCTTATAGAAGAATTGCATTTATTCAGGTTCCCCCCTGCGGCTAACGCCGTCTATCGCACGGCAAGATTTAGTCCCTGCTGCTGTTGCAGTTCGTACATCGTAGTTCGGTCGACCGTAGGTACTGTCTGTATAATGGATGCCGTCTTCCTCTTTGGCTGTGGAACCACCGCCTGGTTTCATGAGAGAACTGGACCCGTCGTACAAAGAAAACGCTTGATGACACAAACCAGCTGATGTCGGCTCCACATGCAGGAACCTGGGCAGGGAACACCCTGGATGGAAATCGGATCAGGGTGTTTCCCAATCAACCAGCACTCCTGGTGGTTCCGTTCCTCTGCCTCTTAAGGTGTCTATGGAGACAAGTGGGAAGTGCAATTCAAGACCTGCGCCACAGGGACCCACTGTTCGGCGATCATGGGGGTGGTGGTTGAATATGTACACCATGTTTGGGGTCTGCATCTCGGGTCTTCACGAAAAGCTTGGGGTTTTAGCGCATGGCTCTAATCCAATAACCTCATCGTGCGTCGGAGTCTCGCCTGAACTCCTCCAGATAGAGATAGTTATATCTATCGCTCTAGAGTGTTTACCGGCATGATCGTGGTTGTCCGAATCAACGACAACAGTACCCGTCGTACCGTCCCTGGCCCAGGCAGGCTCGTGTTTGTCGAGATGAACCAATTGGAAGACCCCGGATTGCGCCAGGGCGCACACTATCATCATAATCTGGTCTTCTAGCAGACCTAGAGAGCGAGAGAAACAGTCCGCGAGCGGGTATAGAGTCGCAGAATGACAGGAATAATAGACGAATGATGTGTTTCAGAATTCGCCTCTGCCTGGCTGTCTATTTTGGGCATCCGGGACGAGGAACCAATGGGGTGGATGGACCATGGATGGCGACCAGGCACTGACGAGTATGGCTTCTGACCCTCTCGGACCTGCTCTTTCTTTTTCTCTCTCCGATAAAACCTGTCCCTGCCCACATTTGGTTCCTTTTTGTCCCCACGGTCATCATCCACGAGAATCAGACGCTCCATCGGCTGCCGTTTCTCCCAGATATCCAGCCTCAGCCTCTCTGTCTCTGCCAGCCTCGACCCCCTCTCCGCAGTGTCTCACTTCCTCCAGACCCTTCTCCCGCCGTGTTTCTCCAGCCCAGTCTCTCGATCAAGACTATCACCATCGACAATCCATCTCTTGGCACCCCCAATCGCTAGTCTCCACATCGGCCGCCAAAGCTGGGGGGCAGATCACACCCGTTTCAGACACTGCCTTGTTCTCGGGCACTAGAGACTAACGGTGGAACTCCCCTAAACTAATAAAAATGGCGGCCCCCCAACAACCACCAGCCTCCTCTCCCCGCCGGAGTCGCGGTTACAGTTTCAAATCAGACTCCAAGACACATCGGTCCAGCACCTCCGGCCACCGCAGCCAGCTATCCGAGTCGGTCTCTGAGAAGGAACGCCGCCTGCTACACACCAAGGCCGATCCGCTGGTCGCAATGAACGAAGCACAGCCCAGTACGTCACCGCGCTTCCTTCCTCCCACGTGGTGGTGATCCCGCGCGGTCGCATTCCTGGCGAACTGACTGACTCCTGAGAATAGTGGCCGTCGCCCTGGAGAAGTCCAATCTGGGCTCCTTGCGCGAAATACAGCATAAGGATCAATACGGGAATCCAATTAGTGGGTATTTTCTCCTTTCGATGGCGGTGTTTTGGCGCTGACGCAAAAGTGTTTTAGCTGACCCCGACTTGTCGAATCCCACTCGGCCGCGACTCGAGCGCCCGTTGGATACAATCCGATCGTTCGAGGCCGCCATCTATGGGACATACAATAGTAATCGCATGTCATTTGTACGCACCGGTATGTCGAATTGCTCGCTATTTCCCCTGGAGCTTCCAATCACTGATTATTGGTCCTAGATGACGCATCGCAAGCAGGAGACTATAGCCGGCGGACAAGTTATTATGGCGGTAATAATTACAACAATGGTAAGCCAACTCCCCAGCCATCTATTCGCCCTATTGCTGACTCCCATCCCCAGCTCCACAGAACCACATGAACAGGGGATACACCGACCAGAGCTATTACAGCGGCGGCGGTCGGGGCACACAGTCGCGCCCGGACAGCATGGTCGACGGCTACCAGAATGCAGGAGGGCAAGCAGCAGACAACAACTACTACCCTTACCAGAACAACCAGACCGGGCGCTCTCGGCCGCGCCAGTACTCGCGCATGTCCACCGACCAGGCCGTATATGCAAACAACTCACAGGCCGGCTACCCACAGCAAGGCTACCAGCGCTCCTACGACAACGTCGCCGCGATATCTGGCTCCGGCTCCGGCTACACCGATCCCTACGGCCAGTCCACAGACCCGAGCTCGATCAACAGTTCCATGGACCAGTTGCAGCAGCAGGCTATGCAGCAACACCGCATGGACGAGCGTGTATATGCCGATACCAATGGCTATGGTTACCAGGGCGGAGGGGGAGGGGGTTATGGTCAAACGTATAACGCCAATGGCAACGCAAACAGCAAGACTCTACCCTCGCCGCCAGTGCCGGCCCATGATCCTAGCTACTGGGGCGGTCCCGTCGGCGGATCGTCTGCTCCACAGGCCCCGCTGCCGAGGAACCATCTGCGCAAGAACACAAACACGAATCAATCGACACCCAACGAGAAACGGAAGAGCTGGTTCAAGCGCAGGTTCAGCAGGGACTAGTTTCTTGTCAATTCTTCGATTGGCGGATGGATGTACTATTCTTGTCTCTTTATGATGGCTTTTTTTTCTTCGCCTTCTTTCCTTTTCCTGCACAGAAGTTTTTGGTGATTCGATCGTTTTCGCTGCGGGTCATGCGTTCATGAGGTTATGAGGACATATGCAATATGGGAATGGAATGGAATTTTGGGCGAGTACAGGATTCAGTTTTGGGTTTGTGTTTTTTCTGTCTTTTGTTTTCAGCGTGTTTCCTGGAAGGGGTTTGCCTGAGGGCAGGATCCAGTTGACATGGATAGCTGAATTCGTCCATGTTTGTTGATATTGACCTGCCCTCTGGATGGACGTTTGTCTCTTGTGTCGCTGGTGTACTGTCTATGGAACTTAAACTACGTACATACTTGCCTATACTCGATCTATGTTACTAGATGTAGTGCACTACGAATCGATGGGATTTACCACCTCTTCATGGAGCACCAGTCACGAATTATCCTTAGCCACCTCGATAATAACACATCAATTGGGAATCACGTTCAATGGTAACAAAAAGTGAGGTTCGATCTACTTCTTCCCCAGCAGCTTATGCTTCAACTTATCCGCCAACCCCTCGTGCGCGGGATTCTTCTTCCGCTCCTTCTCCTTGCGCTGCGCTTCATCTAGGTGGACGTTTCCCTGGCCGCCGCGCTATGCGGATAAATATATATTCACATCAGCAACGCAGTCTTTTTTTGGGTTATAGGTATGGTATGAGAAAAGGAAGGAATGAAGGGAGAAATTGACTCACGCCAGTGTGGTACACTTCATCGCTGGAGTTCCGCATCGCCAGCTCTGGGATCATCTCGGCGTCGTGTGGTACTTTGGAGGTTGGGCGGACGTGGGGAGAGCCGATGTTGCCGACGCCGCCGCGCTTTCGTGTGTTAATATTGAAACTGCAGGAAAGGAAGGATGTGGAGGGATGTGTGAATATATGGGGTGCGGCAGACAGAGACAGAGAAGGTCCGGGCAGGGAAGAGAGGGTAGGGTAAAGAGGACTACTTACGCCGGCAGAGTAAGCCCCATCGCCTTGGTCACCGTACATGCCCTCGCGAACGATCTCACCATCGACGTATCTATGGGGCACCAGTTGTTAGTAGTAGTTGGTATTATTCGTGGGGATGGTGTTCGGGATCGGACTGGACTGGACATACTGCGTCGGGTCGTGGCCGATGTTTCCCTGTCCTGCATGACGATTGCGCAGTTAGTATCCTCCTTTAATATAGAGAGAGACACGGCAATCAAATACCTCCTCGGCCATGCGAGACCATCGGCTCGTGCTCGCCCATGCTGAATGCTGTCTGTTGTCTTTGCGAGAGGAAGCTGAGCGCGCTTATCGGGAGTGGAGTGGGAGGAATGCGGATGAGCGATAAGATGCAGGTACGGCTTAGAGATCGCAGAAGGGAAAGGTAGATAAGACAAGTGGGATGAGGAGGCACTTTAAAAGAAGCAGAAGAAACGCAACCAGAGCAGCCCTCTATGGTCGATAAGAAGATAGATAACAATTGGTTGATCCGGTGACTAACCCCACGTTACTGATAGCGAGCTTGGCAGATGGTCATAGATTTGAAGTACATGTAAGTAGCTAATCACAGCATCGAGTATCACTACGTTTTCTTCTTCTCCTCCCCCGTGCCGCCGGTGGTGGGCAGGCCCATGAAGATCTTGAACGAGTCGTAGCTGCGAGAGAGTTAGTTACCATGATCATATCACAAGTGAAATGGGATCAGGACATACATCATCCACTGCAGGCCCGTCAAAGTACCGATCATGACAATCCGCACGGGCAATCCGTTCCACAAGCCCCGGAAGCCAATCTCGCCATAGATCCGGCTCATCGCCGCCCCAAAGGCCTCGCCCGCTTGGCGGTTAGCATTCAACTTGCTCACCATCACATCGGCCGGATGCGACACCACCGCACAGAGAATACCGGCCAGGTATCCACCTGTGAAAGCGACGGCCGTCTGCGCACCCTTGTTATAGTCGGATTTGTGGCCGGGGAGATTGGCGTAAATCGCCTCGACGATGGTCTCGAAGGAGGCGAATTTCATCATGGTGTAGGGGATCTGCCGGCCCCACAGTGGGTAGAGGCCTTTGTATAGACTGTGGACATAAGTATCAACATCTGAAGAAAAAACAAGATGGGAGGGATGAAAAACTGACCCAGAAACACCCTCCTTGGCAACAACGCTCGAGATTCCACTGAACGTACCCCGAAGATCCGGCGGGATGGTCGTCTGCATGCGCACCTTGACTGACTCAAAGGGACACAGCGCCAGGTCCGCGATCAGTTCGGCGGATGCACTAGCTGTCAAGTACAGCGAGGTCTTCCATCGGCTGGCGTTCTCCTGGCCGACCAGGTCGCTGTAGAACTTCTTGAAGAACTCGTAGCCGCCGTACTTGAACGCACCTTGGGCCTTTGCAGATTGTGAGTGTCAATGGCAATCTCATTTCTGTCGGTCTCCGTAGGTCGCTTCACTTACACTGTAGCCGAAGAACGTGGGGCTCCAGCCGGTAAATACGCCACGAAGGCCCTCGGCGGCGCGGATCGTGCGGTACGCCTGCATGTTGCTCTTGTAGAGCTGCGAGTCCACCTGGCGTCGGCATTTGATCAAATCGAGGGGTGTCACCGCCGTATGGGTCAGACCCTATCCAGGGAACAATGTTAGGATCCCCAAAGTAAACCTAAGAAGAAAGGATTCGACCTACACAGGCCATCATCCCGCCCATTGTACAGGCGGCATAGTACTTGGCCGACCAGGGTTCGATTTTGCCCGCTTTTTCCTGGGCCTTCTTGCTGGCGACATCGTACTCGCGGGCGGCCTCTTTGGCAAACGCATCGGCTTTCTTCTTGGTTTCCTCAATTGCGCTCCAGGCAGGGAATGGCTCGCGCCGAGGTTGAGCTGGCTGTGCTGGGCGAGGGTGCTGTTCCTGTTTCTGTGGACCCAGACGACCCAGTGGGTGGTGTTGGGCGAAGATGGCAGCGGCCGAGTCAGATGGAAACATGATGGATGGATCTAGTACAATCGTGTCACTTGTGGGTCCAAAGTGGATGACCAGGGCTCGTGGTCCACTAGCAAAGGATCAACTCTTTCAACCAAGTCGAAGAGGAAGAGGAAGGATATCAGAATCCGATCAGAGAAAACAACCAGGAGTCGTATGTCAGCACCGCCGGTTAGTTATGTAGTTAGTTCGTGTCGGTCGGGCACATGACGTAGGAGGGCCAGCCGTGCCAGTCTTGTCCTGAAAGAGAAAAGCGTGATCGGCTGACTTTCCTTCTTCCTTCTCTTCTTCCTCGTTCAACGACACAGCAATTGCCTCCTCTATACAGCCTACACCCTCCACCGAGCAGTCCACTCTGCACTCTTCTCGGTCTCCCAAATCCCTATCAGACACAATCTGGGCCTTCGCGCCCCTCTCTCCTCCCTCTGCCCCTCCATCCCACCACCATCCACCATGGCGTCGTACATGACCGCCAGCGAGGCCTATACTCGCGAGAAACAGGCATCAGACCAAGTCAATCCCACACCGCAAACAGCCTGGGCTGATAAGTACCGCGGGGTAAGTCTTGCCCCCCCCCCATCCCCCGCTCCAAAAAGACCTGGAAAAGACCTCAGGACTGAACGGAACCATCTCAGGCAACGATCCAAGACCTCGACCCTCCTCCCGCCCTTTCGGTCTCCCCCGACGACCCCATCGCTGCAGCGCTCATGGCCGCCTACGAACGCGACTATACCCACCTCACCGTCATCTCCGCCACGAAGCGCTCCCTCCTGGGCTACCTGAGCATCCCGCGGTTAAAAGAACTGCTGCAGACCGGCGCGGTCAAGGAAACCGACCCCGTCTCCGCGGCCATGCAGCGCTTCGTTCGGAAACGAGGCATCTACCAGGTCATCACGATGGAGACTCCGCTCGAGGAGCTGGAGCGATTCTTCGAGACCGACACGGCGCTCAATGGCGAAAAGCGCGAGAAGCAGCAGTTTGCCGTGGTGACCGATGCAGCCCGCAAGTTTGTGCTCGGTGTTGCGACCAAGGCCGATTTGGAGGAGTTTGTCAAGCGAAGACCTACGTGAATTGGAGGGAGCGTTTCTAGACCGGAGGATCCGGGACATGGGACTCTCGAATGCGATCCCTCTCGGAGCGTGCGGTCCCTTTTCAACACATGGATATACTAGCATCGTTTAACAGGTGTTAGACACAAAATGGGCCCGGGGGCGTTAATCCACAATAATCAATTGATATCCACAGAAACGTGCTGAACACACAACAATATATATTGATAGAACCTCAAATAATCAGTGATCGCATTCCAACATTATTTCCCCCGGAACGCCGAAGAAAGAAACCCCATCGCCTGTCACTTAACTACTGAGCCTTTCTCGACTTGGCTTTATCCGCCGCCGCTCTCTCCCCTTGGTCGTCCTTCCAGGCCACGTAGATATAAGCGAACAGGACGACGTTGGCCGTGACGGCGGCAGTAATTCCAGCGAATGTTGCATTCCCTGCCCAGCAATCGGCTTGTCAGTACATGTCCAAGAATGATGAATAAAGTAAATGGGCAGGCATCCTACCGCTGAAGATCGAGTTCACGGTCAGAAAGTACACGCCGATGGGGCCAACTGCCATGGCAGCCGTGAAGCCGAGGAGTTTGTAGATCACGTCGCTGTATTGCCGTGATCTGGTTAGAGGTTTGGAGGTTCCGGTGGACGGGTTGACGACTCACGCTGGCACGGCAGGCGTTACGTCCGAGGAGGTCTTGTCTGCTGGCGGCTGGGCGGCCACGTCGGCGTAGGACTGCCCGTGAGGGCGACGGGAGGACATGGCTATGTTGATTGTGGGATGAGACTGTCAAAGCAGGGAAGGTCAAGCGGTGATGGCGAGGTGAGGGAGCTTGGGGTTGGAAGTGTCCAAGCGCCGAAGCTGGACAGCGGAGAAGAAGTAGAACAGTTTGGATGTCACCACCCCACCCAGATCGGACTATGAGGAATGAATCCAATGGATAGCTCAGATACAAACAATTCTATCGTATTCTCTCTGATTTCCCTAAATCATTCCTAGGCAGTTAACTAGTCCTCTACACGTCTTTCGCGTCGCCATCCACGTGACCCTCGCGCCTCGCGTTTCCGCCGGCAGAAAAAAAGTGCGCTCCTTCCTGTTATCTTCAAGAGCAGGGAGAGGCTGGCCTCGAAGGACGGACAAGAGAGAGACTGCTCACACCATGGAAGACTCGGTGCCAGACACGCCCATCCGGGACAGAAAGAATTTCCCCGGCACCCCCACGGACGAGACAGAGTATGAGACTATCGCCACTGTGCCCATTGCGGCGCCGACATTCACTCCCTCCCAGCGATGGACGCAGCCAACACAATTGATTGACGGGCCCTATTCACGTCCCCACAATGTCCCTATTCAAGTCGCTGCCTCTTCCCCAACCGGACCTACTTCTTCACCCCCTCAACGCTTCCCCCAAGGCGGCATTTTATCGTCCCTCATCGCCCCTTCTGGCACCCACTTTCGGCCACCCCCTACCATGACTGGTCCTGCAAAGCGTACACCGGTCTTCGATCTCGAGGACGGCCCCACCTACCGCGGTGGTTCCTCGGACGAAGAGACTCTGCAAAGCACAGACATCAAGCCAGCCATGTTCGAAAAGTCGGCCCGCAGCCCTGAGAAAGTTGTCGAGTCGCCTGTCCGCCCTGCCATGAGCGCTTTGGAACGCTTCCGGGAGCTCACTGCTTCATACACCGCCGGAAACATGAAACGCTCCGCCGACCAGATGAGCCCGACCGGCGAAAAGGGGGTTGCGGTCAAGAAGGCTCGCCAGGATGCGCCAGCGCGGGCGCAGCCTGTTCAGCCCCAATACCTGTCGGTACAGGACATTGGTGACTACCGGGTCAGAGTCAAGGTCGAGCGACTGTTGATGGTGATGCCGAACAAAACGATTCAAGCCTGCGTCGATGCGCTGATCCGCGCGAATGGAAACTACGATGGGGCTTTGGAATATCTTGCCAACAGCGACGATGCAGATAAAAGGAATGGCCGTTATTCTCCTCTCATCATTGAGTCTTCGGACGATGAATTGAGTACCCCGGCAGCAGCCCCGGTCCCGATGCAAGCGGCCAAGCAGAACATCAAGGCTCGCGGCACTATTCAGGACAAGTGGGCTGCAATGAAACTGCCAGGTGCCAGGGATCAAGGCTCTTCGGATGAATCCAAACCTCGTCGACGCTTGATGCGTGGTCCCATGTCTCGTTCATCTCCGGATGGAACCTCCTCGTTTTCAGCCATTTCGATTCCAGACGCCAATACCCCGCCGCCAAAGAAGCTGAACCGTCTCAAGCAAGGCCGACGGGTGGTATCGCTGCGCTCCGAATCTCCGGAAGCAGCTATGAGCGACTCGGAGGATTCAGATGTTGTTGTACAAGAACCCGGTTCTTCAGGCATCGACGAGAAAGTGCTGAGGTTCTTCAACACCTGCAACACAAAGGACCTGGCGGATATTGCTGCCGTCCCTGAAGAAACTGCCAAACTGATAACCGACCACCGTCCCTTCGCATCGCTCGGGGACGTACGGGTAGTCAGTGAGCCAGCTCCAGCCAAAGATGAGACGAAACCCAAGAAACGAGGACGCAAATCACTCAAGGCCATAGGTGACAAGATCGTTGATAAATGTCTGGATATGTGGACGGGATATATGGCGATTGATGCTCTTGTTGCCGAATGCGAGGCTCTGGGTCAGCCTGTTGCCGCCGAGATGAAGAAATGGGGGATCGACATTTTTGGCAAGCGAGGAGATCTGGAGATCACCTCTCTGGATGCTGCTGCCCCCAAGTCCCACGACTCTGGAATCGCTACGCCGTCATCCAACCGTGCCGATGACAGTTCCGACAGTGACGGTCCTGCGTCTGTTTCCCGCAAGACCTCTCGGTTCATCTCTCAGCCGGCTATCATGTCAAATGATCTGGAGATGAAGGATTATCAGGTTGTTGGTATCAATTGGTTAGCTCTCTTGTTTGAGCAGGAACTGAGCTGTATTCTGGCCGACGATATGGGTCTTGGTAAAACCTGCCAGGTCATTGCATTCCTTGCGCACCTCTACGAAAAGGATATCAAAGGTCCGCACCTAGTCGTGGTCCCCTCGTCGACACTCGAGAACTGGCTCCGCGAGTTCCAAAAATTCTGCCCGACCCTTTCGGTTATGCCCTACTACGCTGGGCAAAATGAGCGTGCGCTGATTCGTGAGCAAATTGAAGATAATCGTGACAGCATCAATGTCGTGATTACAACATACACGATCGCCAAGGCCAAAGTCGACGCCAAGTTTCTGCGGGATATGGACTTTACTGTCTGCGTCTACGATGAGGGTCACATGTTGAAGAACCATCAATCAATTCTGTATGAAAAACTCATTCGCATCCCCGCCCGGTTCCGACTGCTGCTCACGGGCACGCCGCTCCAAAACAACCTGCAAGAACTGGCGTCGCTGCTCGGGTTTATCCTGCCTAATGTCTTCAAGGAGCATAAGGAGGAGCTGCAGTTGGTCTTCTCGAACAAAGCGAAGACTAACGACGAGTCCCATGCCACGCTGCTCTCAGCGCAGCGCATCGAGCGCGCCAAGTCCATGCTCAAGCCGTTTGTGCTCCGCCGCAAGAAGCACCAGGTTATCGATCTTCCCAAGAAGCACCTCCATGTCGAGTACTGCGACATGAACCCCTCGCAGCGCGAGATCTACGAACACGAAAAAGAACGAGTCCGCCAACTCCTCGAAGACCGTGCCGCGGGCAAGAAGACTGGCAGCAAGACCACCCATGTCATGATGAAGCTCCGCCAGGCTGCAATCCACCCTCTTCTCGCACGGCGTCACTTCTCGGATACCGTTCTCCGCAAGATGGCCAAGGCATGCCTAAAGGAAGAGCAATGGGCGCTGTCCAACCCGGACATCATCTTCGAAGAGCTCCAACCCTACAACGACTTCGAATGCCATGAGATGTGTCTCAAGAACCCGTCCTCACTGGGCAAGTTCAAACTCAAGGACGCCGAGTGGATGGACTCGGGCAAGATCGACCTCCTCCGCAGCCTCTTAACCCGCTTCATCGCCAACGGCGACCGCGCTCTCGTCTTCTCCCAATTCACCCTCGTCCTCGACATCCTGGAGTCCGTGCTCGAGACCCTGAAAATCGACTTCGTCCGCCTCGACGGCCGCACCAGCGTCGAAGACCGGCAGTCCATCCTAGACGCCTTCCACGAACGCACCGAGATTCCCGTGTTCTTACTGTCCACCAAAGCCGGCGGCGCGGGCATCAACCTCGCCTGCGCGAACAAGGTCATCATCTTCGACTCCTCGTTCAACCCGCAGGAAGACGTCCAGGCCGAGAACCGCGCCCATCGCGTCGGCCAGACCCGCGAGGTGGAGGTGTTCCGGCTCGTCACGCGTGATACTATCGAGGAGCAGATCTTTGCGCTGGGGAAGACGAAGTTGGCGCTTGATCAGGCTGTCGCGGGTGAGGATGAGGCGGGCGCGAAGAAGAACGAAGAGGCTAATATGAAGGTTGTGGAGGATATGGTGTTTGGGGATTTGGAGCCGAATGCTGAAAATGGGGTTGTCCCGGTGAATGGGGAGAGCGAGGACTAGAAAATACGGTGTTTTGTGTGCTGGTGCTTTTGTTTTGGGAATATGTTCTGGTGTTCGTTCACATTGCAGGAGTTGTGAAGTTTTTAGACTAGATATTCGAGTACAGGATAATTTGATATGCTGCCGCCTCTTTCACAATCAATGGTCTCATGGTACGGCTTCCGCGTGACTGTCAAGTTGGACTCTTTATAGTAGCATTGCAATGTTCAAACTATGATCAATCAACTATTCTAAGAAGAGAATTCAAGTTTAGGAGAAGCGATATGTGCATTTTCAGGATAACCATCCTATCGGAGCCATGTACAGGCCAAGGCCCGGGGAATCTATAAACAAAAGAAACTGGAAACACCAATGATGCGGAAAACAACAGATCAAAATCCAGCCACCGGGCTATGCATGAATATTCAACGTGCAGACGAAATGAGAAAACCAGATATCGGTTATGCGGTCAGTTCAGGCTTCTGTGCAGCCTGCATCGACAGGTCGACAGCCAGCGGGTCGAAGTCAGACTCAGACTTGGCTGCTTTCGAGGTCGGTTCCGGGATAGACGAGGTGCGGATCGGGCCGCCGGTATGTGTGGCCGGAGAATCCTGCTTCGATCGTGCGCCACTGCCACCAGCGGCACGGGCCGACTCAGATTGCATCGCGTTCTGGACAGCTTTGGACTTCACCTCGTGCTCCTCGCCCGGTCCCAGCACCCACTTATCGGCTAGATCGAGGATTTCGTCGGCGCGAACTGCAAGAGGGATCAGATCGTCGAATCCCAAGCGCCGACAGCAGTCAGTGTACGTCTTGCACTGCTTGGCAGCGTTGAACTCCTTGTTCTTCCCGGGAATGAGCATGTTGAGCAGATACTTTGTATTCCCCCAACGGTTCTCCGATTCCAGACAGAATCGCATGTATTCATAGACAACATCCCGCCACGGCAGGAGACCGCCCTCCGCCTCGGAGCGGAAACAGGACGAATTGGCCTCCGCCGCGGTGGCGATCATGGCCCCGTCCACGCCGTACTCGGCCATCAAGGCCAGCGCGGTGTCACGCGTGGTGACGTCGCCGTTCATGACGATGGCTACGCCGGCGCGATTGCAGATCCCCGCGACCATACGGAGCTGGTCGCGGATTGCGCGCTCGCGGGGCCGCATGGGCGTTGTGCGGCAGTGGACCGTGAGCCCTGTGATGCCTGTTTGCACGAGGCGCGAGACCAGCGCTTCGGTCAACTCAGGGGTTTCGAGGATGCGGATCTTGACCGATATGCCGATGCGGAAGGGCTCGCCGACCTCGCGGACGAGGGACTCGAGGATAGAGACGAGTTTGTCGGGCGTGCGCAGCAGCGCAGCGCCCATGCCGCCGCTTGTGCTGAAGGGTTTGGGACAGCCTGAGTTGACGTCGATGCCAGCCACATCCCCCGCGACGACCTTGGCGCACTGCACGGCCAGATCGGGGTCCGCGGTGCCCATTTGGAAGATGAGCTTGCCCTGTTCGCGCACGGGGTCGATCCGGTAGAGGACCGATTCCTTGGGCGGTTTTTCGCCCCGGCCGGAGTTCGAGGGCATGCGTGTGAATTCGATGGTGCCGTTGCGTGGGTTCACGCGCCGTTCAGAGCCTATGAGGGAGCGGTCGATCGTCTCGGGGCCCCAGACTAGGTCGGCGCCGTATTTGAGTGCCAGCAGGCGGGAGGGCAACTCGCCGGAGCGAACCATCGGGGCAAGCACGACTGTGCCGCGGTAGTCGACCCCCCTGGCGGGGATGGGCACGCGCGGTGCGGTCACGGGCGAGGTGAGGACGGTCATTGCGGAGCGTAGGAATCTGATCATGGCATGGTTGATGGCATAGTTGTGTGTCGGTGGACGCCGGTGGATGGATGAGAGTCACGTGGCGATAGCGATAGGGTTATTTTCAAAATTTTCTTCCCCTACCTGCTTTTCTTTCGGTCACAAATACGGTAATTTCGTCTTGAATGGCCCTGACCCCTGACAGTGTCACAAAGGTGCTGTTTGGGAGGAATCATCAGGGAATAGTACATACACTCTATTGCCACCGCCCATCCCTCTCCCGGCGTAGCGTGCGCCATCTGGGGTGCAGTGACGCACATTGCGTGAGAGCACGAGACCGGGCGCATAAAATAGTTCCCAATGGTCCCACGATCGATTTGGTCAATGATATACTATAGCTACTAGTGATGTAGAATTGGAGTGTACTGCATCAATCCGATGTGGTCGGTCGGTCGGAAAGCCAAGCTGCCCTGCCCGCCCGGAACCACACACTCCCAAACAAAACCACAGCCCAAGCAACCCACACCGAATCTTCAGAGCCAGTCCAATGCGCCCCTTGGCCCGAGTGATAGTCCGGCACTCGTCCACAATTCTTCCCCCCACTTCCTTGTCTGCCCCTCCCTGCTTCTTCTCTTCTCCTTCTTCCTTCTCTTTCTCTCCTTCCTCCTGTCTCTCCCGCCCTGCTCTTCTTTCCAGACGCTTGACCTCTTCATCCCCCACCATGTCCTACGGCATCCGCAAGATTGCCCAGCCGCACACGCTGGAGCACCGCGTGTACATCGAGAAAGATGGCGTGCCCGTCTCTCCCTTCCACGACATCCCCCTCTACGCCAATGAGCAGCAGACCGTCCTGAACATGGTGGTCGAGATCCCTCGCTGGACCAACGCCAAGCAGGAGGTACGGAATCTTTCCTCTCGGCGACTCGACAATCCGTACTGACCGCTCCCTAGATCTCCAAGGAGGAATTCCTCAACCCCATCAAGCAGGACACGAAGAAGGGCAAGCTGCGCTTCGTCCGCAACTGCTTCCCCCACAAGGGCTACCTCTGGAACTACGGTGCCTTCCCTCGCGTACGTCGACAGATCATCCTCTGGAAACAAGCACACACTGACAGAATGACAGACCTGGGAAGACCCCCACAACGTCCACCCCGAGACCAAGGCCAAGGGCGACAACGACCCGCTGGATGTGTGCGAGATCGGCGAGCTGGTCGGCTACCCGGGCCAGGTCAAGCAGGTCAAGGTGCTGGGTGTCATGGCTCTGATCGACGAGGAGGAGACCGACTGGAAGATCATCGTCATCGACGTCAACGACCCGCTGGCCCCCAAGCTGAATGACATCGAGGACGTTGAACGTCACCTGCCCGGTCTGCTGCGCGCCACCAACGAGTGGTTCCGCATCTACAAGATCCCCGACGGCAAGCCCGAGAACCAGTTTGCATTCTCCGGCGAGTGCAAGAACCGCAAGTACGCCATGGATGTCATCCAGGAGTGCTCCGAGGCTTGGGAGAAGCTGATTACGGGCAAGGCTCAGGCCGGTGACATCAGCCTGTAAGTTTGCGGTGGTTCGTGTGTGGAGAAGATCAAGATACTAATTGTGCGATTGTAGCGCCAACTCCACGGTCGAGGGCACCGCCCACACTGCCGACCCGAACCAGCTGGCCGCCATCCCTCGGGGCGAGAACCTGCCCGCTGCCCCTATCGACGGCAGCATTGACAAGTGGTTCTTCATCTCCGGTGCTGCTGTGTAAATGTCGGACGTGTTTGTTGGCAAAATATCAAAAGCAAAATGACCGCGCCATGGTCTCGATGGTGTGTGTATGTTGAAACTACGTGGATCCATTGATGATCAAAGTAGAAGAAGTAGAGTCTGTAGATTTGGATATCATCTTTGCCTCTCCCTGTCACTTTCCCTTCCTTTCCAATGAATCTCCCACGGCGCCAGAACAAAGAAACGAAACCGAAGTATGTATACAAGAAAAATGCATGCTTGCTGTGCAGAAAACAAGACAAACGAATTATGCTTTCAAACTAGCCTCCCGTTCCAAAGCCCTCCCAATACGCGCCACCTCTTCGATCACATCCCCAATTTTGAGTCCGCGCTTGCCCACCTCCAGGGTCAGTTCCTTTCCGCCTTTAAACCCCACCGTCATCACCGGTGGCTCGGTCGAGGTCCGTGGCAACCGCGTGATCTTGATGTCGATGTGTGATGGGCTGCCGGCGGTTGTGTTGGGCGTGCGCAGCCGAGAGACAAAAAGACGGCAAGGTCGGGAGGCAGCTGCAAAGGGATTGAAGGTTGTGCGGAGGGAGGTTATTGTGCTGAGTGGGATGGACATGGTGCTTGGCTTTTGGGGGGGGAGTGGCTGGAATTGAGTGAATCTGGGAGTCGTAAAGAGAGTCAGGTCGTGTCTGAGACAGGGTTATTTCTTGCATACCCTGGTCGGATCAATTCGTCTTCACCGAGCGAATGCGATGGCTGGACTGGAGTAGGCTGTCTATCTGGAGGTGTGAAGAATGCCTGGTCTTTCTCGAAAAGCCTGGCTGGGCCGGGGATCAAAGGTGTTTGCATCCAGAGCAAACACTCCCTCAACCTGGCATCTCGCGACCACCACACGGGTTGGTTGTTTCCTACAAGACTGCATACTTTCTCCCTTTTGAAAATTCCGAACTACTGCTATGTCGTTCCCCTGCTATACCCGTGTTCAATAATACTTTCCCTCTATAACCACAACCCACCCCACACTCGTCGAGCGTCACCGCGGAGTTTGGACCCCGACCTGTCAACATGTCCACCACATCCGCTCTGCAGACCCGTCTTAAAGAGCTGTCGTCTACACTAGGAGAGATCCAGCCGCTTGTTGACCGTCTGAACACGTTCACCGCTTCCATCGGCCAAGGCGACGAGGCTCGCGTGGAGCTCGGGTCCGAGATTCATGCGCGGGTGAAGGAAGCCGAGGAGGAGCTGGAGCTGCTGCGGGTGGAGGTTGAGGCACTCGATTCTGGTACAAGTGATAGGAGGAGGAGGTCTCTGGCTGGTAATGGGGACAAGGAGGCGGAAAAGGAACGAGTGGTTGCGCTGGCGGGGAGGTTGGCGGCTGATCTCAAACGGTGCGTTATCCGTGCTTTCTCTGGATTCTTTCATTTATGTCGACGAGGAAATACAGCTAACGTCTTTTCAGGACTCGGGGGGAATTTCGAAATGCCCAATTGCAGGCCAAGCGGAATGCAGAGCTTGCGAAGCGCAAAGAGAGAGAGCTACTGCTGTCACGGCCAAAGTCGCCTCCTGGAGATGGACAGCGCCGACCATCGGAGAAACTCACCCAGGATGCTCTGGAGCGAAATGCGTCCAACGACGTTACGGCTGCATTACGGAGAACACACCAACTGATGCAGGCGGAGCTATCCCGGAGCCAGTTTGCGCATGAGACCCTCGGTGAGTGATGCCAGGAAATTTGTGGAATGACTCGGTTTTAACGCACACTAGAACAATCCACTGCAGCCATTTCCTCCCTGTCCGAATCCTATACCAGCCTCGACACCCTTCTCGCCTCGTCCCGCAGTCTTGCCAGCTCTCTGCTCCACTCCCAGAAATCAGATACCTGGTACCTCGAGACCGCCTTTTATCTTCTTGTTGGTACTATCACATGGCTTCTCTTTCGTCGCATTCTGTACGGGCCTATGTGGTGGCTGGTCTGGCTTCCCGTCAAATTCATTGCTCGCTTTGTCTTTGCAGTGCTGGGAGTAGGGGGACTTTCCAGTACCGCTGTACAGCCCGCTTCGAGTCCACTTGGTGACATCTCTACTACCATCCATGGAACAGGTACTACCGTTGTCTCAACTGCTGTGACAGGTAGTGGTGTGGCTGAAAATCAGAAACCATCAGCGCCTGACGACGATGACCGCCTGATTGACAGGGTTGGAAAGATGGTCGAGGAGAGTGATCGGCCGCGGAACACGAAGAAGAGAATGTACGAAGAGGAACCGGATGATCCGCACCGCTTTGATGAGCTATAGATTCCCAATTTTAATGCACAGACACCTTGATTCATCCAGTAAAAAAAGAAGTATGAAGGCTGGCTCTGATTGGGGGGAGCCACGTCGCGTCACGTGTAACTAGACGCGACGCGGGTTTCCCATTACACATTTCACTTCCTGACAGAAGACATCACCGCATCATGGCTGCCAATTTCTTCAACAACAAGGCCCGCGCGGCCGCTGCCGCCTCCAGCAGCTCCAAGCCCAAATCAGGCGAGGCCAAGGAAGAGATCAACCGGCTACAGCCCTGGGTCGAGAAATAGTGCGTCCTCCAGAGCTGCTTGCTACCACTATGACCAGAAACTGACACAGGCTCTAGCCGGCCCAAGACGCTAGACGATGTCGCAGCACAAGACCACACGACGAACGTCCTACGACGGACCCTCCAAGCTTCCAATGTATGCAGACACACCAATTGAACACCCAAGTGTGCCACCCAATGGCCTATGCTAACAAGAACCCCCAACAAAGCTCCCACACATGCTCTTCTACGGACCCCCAGGGACCGGAAAAACATCCACGATCCTCGCACTCGCCAAATCCCTCTTCGGGCCAGCCCTCTATCGCTCTCGAATCCTAGAACTCAACGCCTCCGACGAGCGCGGCATCGGGATTGTCCGCGACAAAGTCAAGAACTTCGCACGCACGCAGCTCTCTCAGCCCACAGGCCTCGACGCGGCCTATCGAGAGCAGTACCCCTGTCCGCCGTTCAAGATTATCATCCTCGACGAGGCGGATAGCATGACGCAGGATGCTCAGTCTGCGCTGCGGCGCACGATGGAGCAGTATAGTCGTATCACGCGCTTTTGTCTCGTCTGTAACTACGTGACCCGCATTATTGAGCCGCTTGCTAGTCGGTGCAGTAAGTTTCGGTTTAAGGCGCTGGATAACTCGGCGGCGGGAGTGAGGTTGGCGGATATTGCGCGGGCTGAGAACTTGGCATTGGAGGATGGGGTCGTCGATAGCCTTATTCGTTGTGGAGAGGGCGATTTGCGTCGTGCGATTACCTACCTGCAGAGTGCGGCGCGGTTGGTCGGTGCTACGAAACCTGCTGGTGGGGTGGATGGGGATGATGATGCCGAGATGACCGATGCTGGGAGTGCGGGTTCGGGACCCATTACGGTTCGGACCATTGAGGAGATCGCGGGCGTGATCCCGGAAGGGGTCCTGGACCGTCTGGTGCAGGCTATGCAGCCGACGCGCTCGGGGTCTGCGTACGAGGCTGTCTCGAAGGTGATTACGGACCTAGTGGCAGATGGGTGGAGTGCCACTCAGGTTGTTGGACAGGTTGGTTGTCTTACTGTTTATTGACAATGTGTGCTTGTTACTGACTCTAGTCTAGTTATACCGCCGGGTCGTCTTCAACGAGGCCGTGCCCGATATCCAGAAGAATAAGATCGTCATGGCCTTCTCTGAGATGGATAAGCGGCTGGTTGATGGCGCAGACGAGCACTTGTCTATTCTAGATCTGGCTCTGCGCATCGCCGGAATCCTGGGCAGCTCTTGAGTTAAGGCGCGATGGGCTATTCTTGTGGGTCGCTGAGTGAGTTCGACGCGAACGCATACTAGATGGGCGTTGGGACGGGATTGTCAACACCTGGGCGTTTACTGTCTGTGCTTCTGAGATTATTTGCTCATGAAAATTCCACTGATTTATGATACCCTACATCTTCCGGATCTTATTCCCTTTGTACTGGTTTCTTCTGAGAATTATGATGACCTGCTCGTGTTTTGGTCTGCCCTAAGAACTACAATGCTTCAATTTCTCTCGCGAGCACGATAATGTAACAATCACTATGGCGTGAGAGGTAACGCCTATATAATCCTGGTCGACCGCTATACGTATTAAGTAGACTATCGAAGGTGAAAGATGATTATATAAATTGAACGATGTTCAAAAGTTGTCATAGGGTCGTATCTGGGGCTTAATTCCTGAGGGAACGATAGATGTGATCAAATCCCGATATTATTCGAAGTGTTCTGGCGGTCTCAATCTTCTTCTAGTAAAGAGAACGATCTACTTCACAACAGACGTAGATGGGGCTCGTCTTCCTTGGGAAGACCATTCTGTTTCAAAATCAGGCACGGATTGGTGGCAATGCCCCACGCGGGGCGTTCGGGTGGTTCCAAATTGAACGTCGCCCGATTCTCGCTCTCTCTCTTCGCACTTCCTTGCGATCGATCAATTCCCTTCCTGCGCCGTGATATCGTCTCTGAACGGCAATAATGTCATACCCAGCGTCAACAACCACCCCGCTCTACCTGACCGGTAACCAGGCGGGACTGAAGGAGTTCCTAGACAAATTCGATGTTGGTGCCCGGAGTCCGGAATGGAAATGTTCAATTTGGCTAACATGGAGCGCCGATTAGGTCTTTCTCTTCGATTGTGACGGTCCGTATCCTCCTTGTCCTGCCCCTCGGCTTTCTCCCCGATGCCATCCACAAGCCCAGCACGACGGATCGCAACAGGTGCTGAGAGATAACTAGGCGTCCTCTGGTCCGGTGACCACTTATTTCCTGGAACAGTTGAGACACTCGAATTGCTCCGGAAGAAAGGTGCGCATGGCCCACTGTCACAATAGAGGGATCGGGGGAACTCACGGTCCGCCCAGGGAAGCAAGTGGTCTTCGTGACGAATAACAGCACCAAGTCTCGCGCCGACTACAAGAAGAAGCTAGAGGGTCTAGGAATCCCGAGCACAGTGGTAAGTGAGGCATGGTCAGCTGTGACCGAGTCCGAGTTAACGCAGACCCAAGGAAGAAATCTTCTCCTCCTCCTACAGCTCCTCGATATACATCTCGCGCATCCTGCAACTCCCCGCTGACAAGCGCAAAGTCTTCGTCATCGGCGAGAGCGGCATCGAGCAAGAACTGCGCTCGGAGAACGTCCCCTTCATCGGCGGCACGGACCCGGCATATCGGCGCGATGTGACGGCCGACGACTACAAGCAGATTGCCGCCGGTGACCCCTCTGTGATCGACCCGGAAGTCGGGGTCGTGCTCGTCGGGCTGGATTTCCACTTGAACTATATCAAGCTCGCGCTGGCGTACCACTACATCAAGCGCGGGGCGGTTTTCCTGGCAACAAATATCGATTCGACGCTGCCTAATTCGGGGACGCTGTTCCCCGGCGCGGGATCGATGAGCGCGCCGCTGATTATGATGCTGGGACAGGATCCTGTCGCATTGGGGAAACCGAGTCAGGCTATGATGGATGCGATTGAGGGCAAGTTTCAGTTTGATCGCAGTCGGGCATGCATGGTTGGGGACCGCGCGAATACTGATATCCGGTTTGGGCTGGAGGGCCAGCTGGGCGGGACGCTGGGCGTGCTGACGGGGGTTAGCTCCAAGGAAGATTTCGTATCAGGTCCCGTGAGGCCGCTGGCCTATCTGGATAAGCTGGCGGATCTGCTGGGCGCGGAGTCTTGAGGGCAGGACACGACCGGATATACATAAATGGTGGGAAGATATATAGACAGGTTGTTCATTAGACATATAAGCGGCTATGCTTCTGCGAGGCTGTCAGGCTCATCTTCGACTGCTAGAAACCGCTTGATTTTCCACAGAGACAGCAATGCCTGATTGGACACCTCGTCTCGGGGTCTGAAAAAGAGCGCCGCATGATGGAAATGGGGATGCGAGTCCCGGAGTGTCTGCAGCTCGGTTTCGGAGAGAAGCACCGATAGATCGAAGACAGGGACTCTAGACTGAGTCTGTGGGAGGGAGACAGAGCCCATAAAAGACTCCTGCGTTTCATTCTCCGCTCCCTGGGAAGAGCAAATCAGGACTGCGCCACATGCCATACGATGAACGGGCTCGAGTGGTCCCAACGCCTCCTGAAGCGCAATATTCGACAAATCCCGCAGTTCGAGAACTCTCCACACAGCTCCTGGTCCATCCAACCGTTTAAACTTGTTACAAGCCTTGTCGAGACTCTTGACCACTTCCCTCCTCATATGGTGCAGTGTAAACTCCGCCGCATCATCCCTCCAGGCCATGAGATTCTCCTCACGCGACGTGATCGGTCCCTGTGGATGCCTCCACCGGTAGGGCAAGATACGCGGAAGAACTAGTTTCTTGCCTCGGCCTACCTTCACCCATGGACCACCCAGGGCTTTCAGTAACGGCATGAAATCCAGGATGCGGAGAACCAGCTGGCGGGTTGAAGACGATGATGCTGGACGGGATTGGGGGTCATTGTCAAGCGAGTCCTTGAGCAATCCCACCGGCAGGAGGTATAACTGCTCTGTCTCGGGCTCTTTAACTAGACCCCATTCCCCCAGCAGGTCGCGCGGGAGTCTTGCGCCCGTTATGGAGCATAGGCGTGGCGGGGAGGCTAGGGCGAGGGCCCAGGGGTTCTTGTTGAGTTCATCAAAGGCCTGCTTGTAGTATTCTCGGTCTGGGCGTAGTTTGGAGGGGCGCTGAGATTTGTTGAGGGGGTGTGTGAGGAGAGGAGATTGGGGGAGTCGCTTAGAGGGAGGGAGCGAATCGGTGGAATCGTTTCGCCGCGCGGTCGAGGTTGAGATGCAGCGAGAGGAGTGGTGAGTTCGTATATGATGTCTATGCGGCGCGGCCAGTTGCTGGAATAGGCGCAGGCGCCATGTCGCGAAGGATAGTTGGTTGGCGCACTCCATGGTGGAAAGAAAAGAAGAAGAAGTTGACTTGTGTTTAAGGAAGTTGAGCTCGCGCCAATCAGAGGCCGGGATTTGCGGAGAAGCAGTGGACCGCAGAACACAGGCAAGACAGAAAGGAAAAGGTATAGAAAATGTAGTTCCATGAATGACCAGACCAGTTCTTACAAATTGAGACAAAGTAGCAGCGTTGCAGAGTGTAGAAGAGTGGCAGGTCGGAGCTCCCGTATCAGCGCCGATCGACCCATTTATCGCACCGCTTCTCCGACTCTCCAACTCCAACTACAGACTCTCCTTCTCCCCCCAACCATGACCATGCGGCCAGGCTCCCTCTCTGGCCTCAGTCGCCTTATCCGTCCTACTTCCATATCCACACTTCGTCCAGCTGCGACGCTGCCGCGATGTCTCTCAACTAGCACGCCCTCGCTAGCTGGGGCACCACCAAAAGTTTGGGCACCGACGCCCTTTGTAACGGAGACAGTGGTGAGTCTAAGTCTACATTACATTTGATGGGGCTATACTAATCGTTCTGCGTAGGCCGGTGGCTGGCAGACCTGTACGTTTGTTTGCTACTATCCCAAGCAGCTCGATTGGCGCGCGAAGCTAACCTACCGATGAAGCCGATATCTTCTCCCGATTACTCAAGGTATGCACACTAGTATACCATACAGCCAAACGGTTCAGCTCTCTGACTATCATTTAGGAACGTATCATCTACCTGGAGGGCGAGGTAGACGGGGCCGTCTCCGCCTCCATCGTCGCGCAGCTCCTCTTCCTCGAAGCCGATAACCCCGAGAAACCCATCCACATGTACATCAACTCGCCCGGCGGCTCCGTGACAGCCGGTATATCTCCCTTCCTCCCCTCCTGTTTCTACATCAAGTTAATACCATATCCCACCCCAGGCCTCGCAATCTACGACACCATGACCTACATTGCCTCCCCAGTCTCAACTATCTGCGTCGGCCAAGCCGCCTCCATGGGCTCGCTCCTCTTATGCGGCGGCCACCCGGGCAAGCGGTACTGCCTCCCGCACTCCACGATCATGGTGCACCAGCCCTCGGGCGGTTACATGGGGCAAGCGACGGATATCGCCATCCACGCGAAGGAGATCCTGCGCGTGCGCAAGCAGCTGAATCAGATATACAAGACACATCTCAATGGCAACAAGGAGCTGTCCCTCGATGATATTGAGAAACTGATGGAGAGAGATTATTTCATGGGTGCCCAGGAGGCGCTGGAATTGGGCGTTGTGGATGAGATTCTGGATCGGAGGGCTGTTAAAGGTGGGGAGAACGGTGGAAAGTAAGTCGAATATTGAAGAGCCACTACAAAGTATTTGACTACACTACCTCCCTCTGGATCATTCCACGGTGACTCTGGGTATGGAGGAACTACTGGGAATTTGAGTTATTATTAACAGGTTTCATACATTGAGAACCTAGAGTACAAGAATCCCAAAAGCCATTCATGATTATTCCCGATCAACCCTAACAATCCGCCCATCAGTCCCAACCTGGAGACCGAATCGCTGGCGAAGAAACGTCGCTGTTTCAGGCGATGGCACGTAACCCGTTGGCCGCCTGGGCGTGGTCGAGTACTGCCATTGATCGCGCAGGATATCCCACAGCCCCATGTCCAGGATCACTGCCTGGCCCGAGGCAAACTGGTCGAGTGGGTGGGTGTTGCGTCCGCTGGGCGGAGATTCATTTTCGCCGGGATCTGCTAGGAGGGTTGTTCGTTCTTCATCGATGTCGTCTTCGTCGATGTTGGCCACAGGAGTTGTTGTATCTGCTTCCTCTCCTGTGTTGTCCGTTTCTCGGAGTATACCCCGTTCCTCTGCGTCGTGGTCCTGTTGCGGGGACGGTGTGTTCGCGTCGGTATTTGGATTTGTATTTTCGTTCGTTGCTGTATTGGTTGCGTTGGCGTTGGCGGTAGTGTTAGAGGTAGTAGTGGTGTTGGTGTTGGTGGTTTCAGTCGGCCCGACCATCTTAACCCGCTCAACAATCAAACCCAGCATGACAAAATCGAGCAGAAAGATCAAGACATCCAACAAAAGAAGTCGAAAAATAGGAACTGGGGCCGCCTGCCCGATGAAATCGATGAAGAGGCCTCCATGGAGATAGCCACGGGTGTCTTCGCCGGCCTCGGGGCGAATGAAGAAAGCATGGAAGATCATACAGAAAAGGTTGCTGGCAATTATCGCGCCGATATAGGGCTGGTTGCGCGTGGGATCGAAAGGGGATGCTTTGGGGGTGAAGAAGATGAGCTCGACGACGGCGCGGACGGCGAAGAGGATGACGGAGCAGCTGTACGGCCGTTAGGTAACTAACAGAGGAGATCAATTGGAAGAATGGGCTGCTCACTCCATGTAGTATAGCGCCGACAGTTCACAGTAGATCAGCACATCAAGATCGCGCAGCAGGCGGTCGATGAAAGCGACTTTCGCCGTGGTCTGCGCCTTTCTGACGCGGCGGTTGTACTGCTGGCCGCCGCTCGCTGCTGGCTGCTGAGCCGACTGCGAGGCGTCCGGGCCATAGGAAATGCCGGACACGTCAGCGATGTATTCCGCATCTCGAAAGGCAACATCCGGTTCTGTCATAGAGGGTCATGGGGAGTTGGCGATCCGGCCGGGGAAGGAGAGGTGATGGTGGACCGTCATGAATGGGGTCGAGTTAATTGGGGGGAGGGCGGAGTTATCTCGGGCCGACTAACTACAGCATCTATAGTACGGAGTGAAGTAACCATCTACAAGCCAAGATAAATAAATACTAATAAAATGATTGCGTATCATGCTGTTCATGTCATGCTGCGTGAATTTAATCCACGAAAATCGTCGTGGACAGCTCCGAGTAGTGCTTGAAGAAGCCCGTGAACAGCCGGATCGCATGCCCGACATCGTAAGTGCCGCCCGTCTCGCGAATGCTGTGCATGCTCAGCTGCGGGTTGCCCAGATCCAGGGTCCGAGAACCCAGGGCCGCAGACAGCATCGGGCCAATGGTGCTGCCGCAGCTCGAATCATTGCGAACAACGAACAGCTGCAGCGGCAGGGGCTCGCCACTCTCCTCCGTCGTCTTGCGGGCCACTTCCTGCAGCAGCACAATCCCGGGGGCGTTAGTCGCATAGCGCGCGTTGGCATTGATCTTGATCACGGGCCCCTTGTTCATCTCCGGCTTGTGATCCGACTCGTACTTGACTGCGTAGTTGGGATTGACCGAGTGGGACATGTCGGCGGACACCAGGAACGAGGTCGACAGGGTTTGCTCGTAGGCAGTCGAGAGGTCCTCGCCCTTGGACGCAGTTGACGGCAGCACTGACAGTCGCCGAATGATGGCCGGAAGAATGTTCGAGTCGGCGCCCTGGGCGGTGCGGCTGCCAATCTCCTCGTGGTCAAACAGCGCAATCAGACGGATGGCAGACTCGTTGTCCAGTGCCGCCTTGTCCGCGACGGAGTCGATGAGTCCCACCGTCGCACAGAAGGTGCAGTTCAGGTTGTCCAGACGGGGAGAAAAGATGAATTCCTCCAACAGGCCACCGAGGCACGCCTTGTGCGTGTCGAAGAGGATCATCTCAAAATCCAGAATATCCTCCGGCTGGACTCCGGCCTCGGCGGCGATCAGCTCCACAAAGTACGGGTGGTGGCGCTGCGTCATGGATTTCAAGGGGGTAAATTCACCCTCCTTCTCGGTCTCATCGGCCTCCGGTTTGCCAGTCCGGTTGAGTTCAGCGGCCACCAGGCCCGCAATGGGGAACAACTGGGTCTCCTTGTTGAATGTAAAAGTCTCTTGACGGTCCAGATGAATTGCCAGCGTTGGAATGCGAAGAACTGCGACATTAGGTCATGATCATCCTTCAAAAACAACAAAGCATGTTCACATACTGGGCCGATCAACCTTGACCAATTTTTGCACGATCGAGCCGTCCTTGGCCCGTGTCATCACTCGGCCCGCGACACCGAGATCGCGATCAAACCCTAAAAATGTTAATCATGATCAAGACCACTTCAAGGCAATTAATTGGATTGGCTTACAGGTGTGCCAGATGCCTCCACCGTAGGTTTCAACCCCGACCTGCACAAAGCCCTCACCCCGCTTGTTGCTCACGGGCTTGACCCGCAGCACGGGGGAGTCGGTGTGGGCACCGATCATGGAGATGGAATTCCCCGGCTAGACCGTGGTCAGCGACTTGATGTAGAGTTGCAGGTGTCTTCATACCTTCCATTGTTGGCCGATGGCAAACGCAATCAGGGTGGTGGTATTCCGAGTCAGGTAATACTTGCCGCCGGGCTGGCAGGTGGAGGCCCATGATTCTTTTTCCTAGACCAACTATAAGCTTAATGAGCATATCCTGGCCACCATCGCATACCTTGATCTCCTGGAAACCGGCCGTGGCGAGGAGCTCTTTGGCGGACTGGACCGCATGAAAAGCTGAAACGAGGTCAGCTGTCTCTCATTACGACGAGGTGGGGGAAGACACACGGGTGGGAGAGGCATTGACAAAGGACAAGAAGTCCTTGGCAGGCTGCTTAGAAGGCATGGTGGCGTACGAGCGGTGCAGGTGGGAGACAGCAAAGGGCCAGCGGATGCGCATTGAAGAAAGAAGAAGTGGTGGGCGGTGACTGCGGAGTCGCCGCTTAGTCCTTTACTTGTCGGTTATCACGGAGGTGTTAGGTAGTTCGGAGGAATTAATTCGTCACGCCCTAACTGAATTGGTCATAGTTGATTAGTGGTGGTGATTATTACTGCAGAAACCAAATCATCATAATCATCGGAACTGATTGGTGTCGGTCGTTCTGGCCCAAGCTTCTGCGCGTCGGGGCGCGTGGGGACGACGGGCTGGTCGCGTCTGGGCGACCGATGAGACAGATCCGACCCCCACGGATCGAACTAGTCGACAGAGATGTTGTATACATCCAGATGAGTGGACCAGACCCTCCGAAACAGCTACGCGTGTTATTGTGTCTTTGTTTACCATTCGTGTTCCCACTGCGCCGGACTATGTGAAATGTGAAACCACAAAGCCACCGTTGCGATGTGAACCACGCTGCCCACGCGGTGCTCATGCTCGGCAGGGTCTCTGTAAGATCTAGATAGACGAACGACAAACTCCTGCGCGGGATGATTCTGGGTTGTCCAAGTGAGGACTGCTAGATCGGGTTAGCGTGACGCGTGACCGGGAGAGCGCCCTTCGATCCCCGTCACCGGACAAGAACAAAGACGAGCAACATCAATCATCACCATCACGGCTTGTCTCCCATTCTGTTTCTTGCTCTTACTATTATCTCTGAACATACTCTGCTCCACTGTGTCCTACACGCTGACTCTGCCACTGTATCCCCCTTCCCTGCAACCGCTGTGGCTGGGACTCGCCGACCCCCTCGTCTCCTAGACATAAACACCAGCGCGCTTCAAATACACCATCTTCCCGAGCCCCATTCAACCTTGCACATGCACCCTGTGGCATCCACTTGATCAGACGATCAGCTTTTCTGGGCTCCGGGAGACCTTCAGCCATCGTTGCCATGGCCGACCGATCTCAGGCCAGGGAGGTAAAGTCGGATGGCAGCGGTACAGCAGCCAAGTTGAATGAGCGCGCACAACCCGCGAACATCGCATCACCTCCAGGCTCCAAGACACCACCAACCATGCCATCCAAGCGAACTATCCTGTTCCCAGCCAACCAGCCCAATCAACAACAAAGACCGCTCGAAGGGTCGGAACCGGTGGATGCGGGTGCCCTGTCCCGGGCACTAAAGGATTATGATGAGGCAGGGCGTCGTCGGGAGCGAACTCCAGGCACGAGCCCTTGCCGCAAGAGGCAACGGGTGTATGGAGATCGGTGTGTTGTGGTTTCGTCTGAATCGCAAGGGTCAGAGACTAACAGAACACTAGATTCATTCCCAACCGCGATGGACAAGACTTGCAGGCAACCTTCAGCCTGTTGCATGAGGATGGCTGCCCGTCAACCCCCTCCAAAACAAAGAGACGGACCCCCCACTCGGAGCTCCATTTCCAAAAGAGTTGGTGTCGCTCCGTTGTGTCCACTGATCTTCTGGTTGACTGACCCCATTGACAGCGGAGGAAGCAAATCGGACCTTTTCTCGAGTTTTGCGCAGCGAACTATTTGGCAATACTGTGCCACAGCCGGACCTGAACTCGACTTCACCCGATCCGCTCCTCGGCTTCAGCAATGGCATCAATGACAAGACCCGATCTCACACCCCTCCCTCTCATGTGGTTGCCAACGTTCCCCCTGCAAGCATCACTCCATCTACTCCACACAAGAATCTCTTCAACTACGGCCCGACCCGGTCTGGCTCCGGCCACCCGACTCCCTCCAAGACCCCTCGCAGCCACCATGGACCAAATCTGAACGTCCGATCGGAGCTGTACAGCCTCTCACCCATTCGCTACGACAGCCAACGGATCCTCGAAACACCGCGCAAACAGCCACGCTACGTGAACAAGGTACCCTACAAGGTCCTGGATGCGCCCGACCTGCAGGATGATTTCTATCTCAACTTGGTCGACTGGGGAAGCAGCAATGTTCTGGGTGTGGGGTTGGCCAATTCGGTGTACATGTGGAATTCCCAGTCAGGCCGGGTGACGAAGCTGTGCGAGCTCAAAGACGACACGGTCACTAGTGTCAGCTGGATTCAGAGGGTAAGCAAAATCGCTCTCGGGTGAACGGCACCAGTAACTAACGTTCATTCTAGGGTACACATCTCGCAATTGGTACAGGCAAAGGTCTCGTGCAGATTTGGGATGCGGAGCATTGTCGTCGACTTCGGACGATGATTGGCCATACGAATCGGGTTGGGGCACTGGCGTGGAACGACCATATCCTCACATCTGGGTCTCGCGATCGTCTTATCTATCACCGAGATGTCCGGTCCCCTGATCAGTACGTTCGTCGACTCTCTGGCCATAAGCAAGAAGTCTGCGGATTGAAGTGGAACACGGAAGATGGTCAATTGGCATCCGGTGGCAACGACAACAAGTTGATGGTGTGGGACAAGCTGAACGAGACCCCCCTCTATCGCTTTTCCGACCACAGCGCCGCAGTCAAGGCCATCGCGTGGTCCCCGCACCAGCACCACCTGCTTGCCTCGGGTGGTGGCACGGCCGATCGCACGATTAAATTCTGGAACACGTCGACGGGTTCGATGATCAAAGAAGTTGACACCGGCAGCCAGGTGTGCAATCTCTCTTGGTCCAAGAACTCGGACGAGATCATCAGCACGCATGGCTACAGTCAGAACCAAATTGTCATCTGGAAGTACCCGCGCATGGAGCAGATTGTGTCTCTGACCGGCCACACCTTCCGTGTCCTGTACCTCGCCATGAGCCCGGACGGCCAGACGGTTGTGACGGGCGCTGGTGATGAAACCCTGCGTTTCTGGAAAATCTTCGACAAGAGGGCTACTCGAGACACTCGTCGTGAGGGCAGCAAGCTTGTTGAATGGGGCACCATTCGGTAGGTGGCCTGTCCTATCCACCTGCATTGATATGGAGTTTCGGTCTTCGATTTTGCGTTTGTTTTCGTTTTTTTTTTTTTTTCACATTTTATGCGTCAGCATCAATTGCATCCGGGCTCAATGGGTGAGAGCATTTTGTTTTGTCGGTGGGATTCAGCGCTCGTTCGGACGAGAGGTTTTGTTCATGGGGCTTTTTATCTTCGATCTGCCTTGGTTCCGGGCAGCCTCATCAATTTTTGCACAGTTCAAGCAGTGGCGCCTATGGTGTTTCGCGGATCTGGTTGCCGACGCGCGGCATTGCCCAGCGGGGATTGTTGATTCATCTCTTGCCGGTGGACTTATTCTTGTATGACTTTAAATCCTTACTCTGATTAGTTACGATGATATGATGACTTGAAGTTTTTGACATTCTGTATTCTTGCTCTTCCATCTGGCTTTAGGAATCTGCAACATTAGCATGGTATCAAGTCTGTGCGGTTTTAGCGTGCGGGATTGCAATTGACCAAAGCATCGGCCATTAGAAATGTAGTCTGTCGTTTGAGTTCTCTGGTCGTTGAGGAATTGACTTTGTCAAGCCCTAAAGTCAAAATATATATCAATTCCCACAAGTTTTGGCAAGGTACAGAGATAGATTATAGACATGGTCTATATATTCTGAACAAAGCTCCAATTAAGCCAGCCGAGTAAATTGCCATGAATTTGTACAGGCTGGGAATTAAATCAAGAACAGTCAGGCCGCTATCCGATTATCTATGCTACACTAAATACATTTCGACAAACCCCCAGAATCAGAGACGAACATGACATAAGAGAACAAAGGGAAAGAGAGGGGGGTGATTGATTTCATAGAACCAGTCGTGCAGGCTCGACCTGCAACAGAGTCTGAATTCGCTCCAGGAAAACCTTGGCGCGCAGCTCCTCCGTAGCGGGGACGGTCAGACTGAACACATTAATTGCGGAGCCGGATGGAGCGTCCACAAATGACGGGGTGGTCTGAGTTGGCTTCTTGCCGCTCAGGAAGTCAATGATATCCTCTTGTGCCGGTGCTGGCTGGCGCACGGTCTCGGGTACCTCGACGGCGTTCAAGTCAGGGATGTACTCACCGCGTGATGTGTGAATTGGCTCTGCGCCGAGGATCTCATCGAACAGCTCATCGGCCGAGGGCTTCTCGCTCGACGAGCGCGGGAGGTCATCGTTCGCCAGGTCCGTCGCGATGGCCAGGAACCGGGAAAGCGGGACCGTCACCCCCAAGTTCTCCTGGATCTTCTTCTGAGCGGACAGCACGGCAGTCAATGAAACCGACAGCGCGACTGAAGCCATGGGCGGCGGCTTGGCGAGAATCTCCTCTTCTTTCTTCTCCGCTGTCGGGGCCGGGGTCGGGGCCGGAGCGGCGATTTTGATGTTGCTCAAGTCCAGGTGCGTGAGCTTCGCGAGGTTCGCGGCTTGCGTCGAGGGGTAGTCATTGGCGATCTGGCCGAGATAGGCGAGGACGTCGCCCTTCAGGAGCCGGCCCTTGGGCCCGGAGGCGGGGATCTTGGATACTTCGGAGTCAGGAATGCCCTTCTGGTGCAGAAGTTGTGTGACGGAGGGGTAGAGAGGATAGGCGGGGTTTTGGAATTGAGGGGCGGAGGAAGATGCGAGGCCTGGAATTAATCGAGATTAGTCTACGCTCGAGTTTCACGGTCCTGTAAGCCATTCACGGAGTAGCTCCGGTGTAGGCGGATTCAATGGGGAGAAGAGTAACTCACGTCTAGAGACATAGGAAATCATCGGCTGCCGGCGGATAAGCATTGTCGGGACTTGGCCGGTGATTCTGGCGGCCATCTTGTGTCTGGTTCTGTGGTCTCTTTTAACTTGTTGGGAGAGGGCAAGGCTGGATGCGGAAGCCGCCGACGGGGCACAGCTATCGCAAACCCTGGGTGAATTGGACAGAGACGAACAGATTCGACCAGAAGCCGACCGGCCGCAGGAACAGGGAAGATCAAATGCGAATAATGGCCGAGTGATTAGAGAGGACGAGGAAGCGTGAAGAAAGACAAGAAGAAAGAAGGCGTTGGGAGCTTTCACCGGCGGCCGGGACGGGAACATTTTTCTGCCGCCGACGGGCTTCTGGACTTTTTGTTGCCCTTTCCGAGGGGAACAACAGTCGCCCAGTCTTGGTGAGGATTCCTCTATTTCGAGCCAATTGGCTTCTATATTTGATAGATTTACTAATTGCAATCCTAATGGCAGAACCACTGCGATGTCGGGCAGATCATCAGCCTGGCGAATACTGTGGCTCCATTCAGGCCCTGCCCTGCGACCCAACATCCACACGCAACAACTCTCAATAGCTAGGCATTTCGCATCAAGTGCCGCTCGATGCAAGGCAGCCAAGCCTCCAAAGCGCTCTGCGCGCTCTTCGACGAGTCCTTCTGCGCGACCCCCGGCGCGGTCCCCGGCGAAGCCAGCACAGGATGACTATACGATGGCAGGAGCGCGAACCTCACACTTTGGCAGATTGGCGGCCAGGGTTGCAAAGGAAGGGGAGGTGATATTATCCAAGGCACCATCTCAGCGCGTTTACCTCATGATCTCCTACAGCCTCACGGCGACTTGTTTCGCTTGTGCAGCCGTCTACTCACCCCTAGTGCTTGGCAACACTCCCGACCCTTTGCCGATATGGATCAAAGTCCTCTACGGGGGCGTTTGTGTAACCATGAGCGCTCTGGGCACCAAGTTCTTGCTCCCTACCGGCAGGCTCATCCAGAATACTACCGCGGTCATGGCTAACAACGGGACACACGTGCGCTTCGCCGTGCGGCGCATGGTGCCCTTTTTGAAACCTCGCCAGCTGGAGGCTCTACCGCAGCAGATTACAATTGAGCGCAAATTGGTCGTCTCGCCGGAGTCATGGGAGCGCTTGCAGAGAGGGCAGGCTGGACGGGATGGCACGCAACCACCACCAAACTTCTTTAAGGCGCCAATCCAACGTCTGAGCATGATGTCTTTCAAGTTTTCTCAGAATGTGCGACAGGTCTTCACCAACGAGGATCTAATTCTGTTGAATGTGGAAGGTCAAGGCCGCAATAAGAAGCTTCTTCTGGATTCCAATGGGTTCGTGTCGAAGGACTTTCTGAGCATTGGTGAGCTCGTTCAGACACAACGACAGAAGTGAGCTGGTCTGAGATCTCTGCCCACTCTCCAATGTGTTCTGAGAATAGCCATCACCGTGTATATACTATACTGTAACTTTTAACTATCTCGTTTACCCTTCTCACCCGTCCGTATAGATCGCAGACCACGTGATCCGGCGCGTCAAAGACACGCGGGTCGCGCCCCTCCCCAACATCTTCTCCGAACACCACCATTTCCCAGCCGTAGCAGGGATTCGGCCTGTCTGCAACCACGATGGGGAAACTCATTCGCCTGGAGCTTTTCAGTATGGACCTCCCTTTACAAGCGCACCACACAAGAGTTGGTTGCTGACTCCGCTCCCAGATTTCAAGTCTTACAAGGGACACCATGTGCTTCTCTTTGGAGATGCGTATTTCACATCCATTATCGGGCCTAATGGCTCTGGCAAATCGAATTCGTTCGTGACTCTCCCGGATTCCTTTCCTGATCCCTCCATCCCCGTGGATTCGCGCCCGCTTGGCGGTCCCATGTCTTTTAGTGCATGTGCTAACGCGTCCCAACCAGGATGGATGCCATCTCCTTCGTTTTAGGAATTAAATCGTCGCATCTTCGATCCACCAATCTTCGCGATCTCGTCTACCGTGGCCGAGTCTTGCGCGAGAATCCCGCCGAAGGAGCAGAGGCCGATAACGAGAATGCATCACAGGACCCAAGCGGCGCGAATGACCCCAAGACTGCCTGGGTGATGGCGGTGTATGAGGATGATGCGGGCGAGGAGCAGCAATGGCGTCGATCCATCACCAGCCAAGGTGTCAGCGAGTACCGCATCAATAGCCGCACCGTGACTGCCCAGCAATACAACGAGGCCCTGGAGGCGGAGAACATCTTGATCAGAGCGCGCAACTTCCTGGTTTTCCAGGGTGATGTCGAGGCGATTGCGTCGCAGTCACCCCGCGACCTCACCCGGTTGATCGAGCAGATCTCGGGCAGCTTGGAATACAAGGCTGACTACGAAAAGCTAAAGGCCGAGGCCGAGGAAGCTGCTGAACAACAGACGGTGCAGCTGAATCGTCGACGAGGAATCAACTCAGAGGTCAAGCAGTATCAGGAGCAGAAGCGGGAAGCCGAGAGCTACGCTCGCAAGGCCGACGAACGCGACCAGGCCATTATTACCCACATTCTGTGGAAGCTTTTCCACTTCCAGCGACTGATCGATGCATCCAGCGCGGACATTCAGAAATACCAGGACGAGTTGAAGGAGTACCGCCGCGGCGTTGAGAAGTACGAACAGAACGTCGAGGATGCCAAAAAGGATCATGCTCGGGTAGGCAGAGATGTTGGGAAGGCGGAGAAGAATATCACAAGGAAAGAGAAGGAAATTGAGGAGCTCAACAACTCCCTGGTGCCAGTGGATGAGAAGATCGACATCACCCAGAAAAAGGTTGAGCGATATGCCTCGAAGATTGCCGAGATTGGTAAAGAACGGTCGGCCCAGTCTGGTAATGCTAAACAATTGGAGAAGGACTTGAAGCTCGTCGAGAAAGCTCAAGGTCAATGGGAAGCCGAATGGCAGAAGGCCATGAGCAAGAAAGGTGGCCAACTGAGTGAAGCCGATCAACAGGAATACCACAAACTCAAGGAAGAAGTCAGCAAAAGCTCCTCCGCGGACCAGCTGAATCTCGACAACCTCCGACGGCAGCGGAAGACGGAAGCCGAAGCAGTCAACAGCTTGAAGGGCAAATTCGAGACTACCGAGTGGCAACTCAACAATGTCCAGTCCGACATGCAGAACATGGAAAAGCGCAAGTCAACTCTTGACGATACTGTCAAATCTACCTCGAAAGATATCGATCGCAAGAAGACAGAGCTGAATTCCCTGACGTCTGAACGCCTCCGTGTCTCGCAGATGAGGACCGAATTGGAAGAGAAGCTCCAGGTCGTGCTGAGGAAGCTGCTTGAAGCCGACGATGGGAAGAAGCAGACCGAGCGAGAGCTACGGGCCAAGGAACTGATTTCGACTTTGAAACGTATCTTCCCCGGAGTCAAAGGTCGTGTCAGCGACCTCTGCCGGCCAAAGCAGAAGAAATACTCGGAAGCGGTCAGCACTGTCTTGGGACGACACTTTGATGCCATAGTTGTCGATAACGAGAAGACCGCCAAAGAGTGCATTCAGCACCTTCGTGATCAGCGAGCGGGCCAGGCAACATTTATCCCACTCGAAACCATTCAGGTCAAGACTTTCAACTCGAACCTGAAAGGCATGCACCGGGGAATGCGCCCTGCGATCGAGACTGTCGACTACGATGACTCCGTTTCCCGAGCCATTAGCTACGCCTGCGGAAACTCTATTGTTTGCGATGACTTGCAGACGGCCAAATATCTGTGCTACGAGCGAAACGTTGACGCGAAGGCAGTCACCCTGGATGGTACTGTGATCCACAAGGGTGGTCTGATGACTGGTGGTCGTGGTCCCCAGCAGAACTCCAAGCGCTGGGAAGACTCCGAGGTGGAGAACCTGCATAAGTTGAAGGACAAGTTGATGAGCGATCTTGCCAATCTCCCCAAGAGCCACCATCGGGGCTCCGAAGAGGAGATGCTTCAGGGTGACCTTATTGGCTTGGAACAGCGACTCACCTATTCACGGGAGGAGTTGAAGGCTCTCACAAGGAACCTTGAGAGCAAGCGCAGTGAGATGGACTTTGTCAAGCGTCAGCTGGAGGACCTGCGACCAAAGTACAGCGAAAGGAAGGAGACTTTGGACGAATTGGACGAGACCATCGAGACGTCTCAGGCCGCCGTCAGCACTGTTGAAGATGAGATCTATCGCAAGTTCTGTAAACGTCTGGGATATGACAATATCCGAGAGTACGAGGCCCACCAGGGCACCTTGCAGGAAGAAGCTGCGCAGAAGAAGCTCGAATTTACAACCCAGAAGAGCCGGATTGAGAATCAACTCAGCTTCGAGAAGCAGCGAATTCAAGCAACCGATGATCGGATCAATGGTCTGAAAGCGCAATATGAGCGTGACATGAGCTTGATCGAGGAGCTCAAATCCCAGCAGGATGCAATCCGCAATCAGCTGGACGAGTTCGCTGCCGAACTTGAAATTCTTAAGGAGAATCTTGAGAAGCAGAAGGAAATCTACGCACAGTCGGCAGAGAACTTGACTCAGCAGCGGAGAGAACTCCAGAAGCGTAGCAGGAACGTCGAATCCGCTTTGAAGAACGTGAATGCGCTGGAAGCCGAGATTCAACGGAATTCATCCAGTCGCTATGCTCTCCTACGACGCTGCAAGCTTGAAGATATTGACATCCCGTTGGCCAGGGATTCCAATTCTCTTGACCAACTTCCTATCGACGATCTGGTGAAAGCTGCAGATCCTGATGCCATGGACGTTGATGATGCGGATGAGTTAGATGGTGAAACTCCTATGGTCCAAGACTATGGAATTGAGGTCGACTTTGACTCTCTGGGAGATTCTCTCAAAGCGGTATGCACACATAATGACGAATCTTGTAGTTTATGTACTGACTGACCATGGAATAGGAGTCGGATGACAAGCTTGAAGAGGAGCTGCTTGAGAAGGTCCGCACTTTGAACAGCGAACTCGACAAGATGGCACCGAATGCTCGTGCCATGGAGCGGCTGGAGAGCGTTGAGAACAAACTTCGCAGCACCGAGAAGGAATTTGAGGATGCGCGGAAGCATTCTCGGAAGGCCAAAGAAGACTTTGAGGGCGTGATGAAAAAGCGTTCCGACCTTTTCAATAAGGCCTTTTCGCACATTTCGGAGCAGATCGGTCCAATCTACCGCGAGCTGACGCGAAGCGCAAACTATCCTCTGGGTGGACAAGCGTGAGTAATTCTCTTTGTCCGATCAAAAGGATACATTTCTGACAACATTTGCAGGTACCTGGATATCGAGGACTCGGACGAGCCCTACCTGGACGGCATCAAGTACCATGCCATGCCCCCCCTCAAGCGTTTCCGGGATATGGAGCACTTGTCCGGTGGCGAAAAGACCATGGCTGCGCTTGCTTTGCTATTTGCCATCCACTCGTACCAGCCATCGCCATTCTTCGTACTGGACGAGGTTGACGCCGCCCTCGACAACACGAACGTCGCCCGGATTGCCAACTACATTCATGATCACGCTGCCCCCGGCATGCAGTTCATCGTGATCAGTCTCAAGACTGGACTTTTCCAAAATAGTGAAGCTCTGGTCGGTATATTCAGAGATCAAGCGGAGAATAGCAGCAAATCCCTGACACTTGATGTAAGTTTATCTGTGTTGCCATTTTTGCAAAGCCTGGCTCTGACAACTATTTCCCACAGCTTCGGAAGTACACTTGAATCCCCTGGGCTGGAATTTTTATGCGGGTGTTACGATGAATCTTTGTTTTTCCCCTTTGTCTTTGTAGATTACTTCTTGCGGCTGGACACTACTTCTTCGTGCTATTTTTACGGGAGGAGCGTGGAATAACACGGTTATCGACATAGTTTGATCTATTTAAGAGCCTGCTCTCATTTGCTGCCCTACCCATTTACCGCGAATACGTTTATCTTCAAGAGCGTATACACACTGTTTGCTTTTGGTTCACGAGTGGTTCGCACACGCTAGCCTGTGATTATTCTAAACAGGAAAACAAATCTACAAAGCTTTCCAACATCTCGCCACAGACATCTCAGGGCGACTTAGTCACTGGCGCATGCGTCAGCTTAAAGTATCCTGGCTGGAGAGTCTGCCAGACACCCTCAGGGTCGTATTTGGCGGCGACCTGCTGCAGGCGAGCCTTATTCTCCGCGCCGTAGCCGGCAATGACATCCTGGAACTGGCTGGCGTAGTTCATGTAGACCCACTCATTGTAAACTCCCATATCCTTCGCCTTGGCAAGGACCGTGTCCCAGAAGCTGCCGACCCAACTGTACACCGTCTCGTCGTCTGAGGCATCATCCCACCAGAATGAAACGTGCATCAAGTGCACGGGTCCCTTGGATGCCTCAAGACCCAGGGCATTGCCTCCGTACTTGGTCATGTTTTTCAGCATTGGCTCTGTCAGGGCCTGGTAGATCAGCACCGGCTGAGCACCGGTCACATTGGCGACCTGTGGAATGACTGAGAAGAAATAGTCAACCGTCCACTTGGCGAGCTCTTCGTTGAGATACGTGGAGATCGGCCAGTAGACCTCACGCAGCCCATTCGGATTGTCAGAGTCGATATACTCGGCGTACTGCACGAGGGTCTTGGAGGTCGTGTTGTCTGATATAGCTGGGATGGACCTGATCTGTTCGTAGATCGGGGGGTTGGTCACGTTCTTCACATAGGTGAGTTCGGCCGAGGCGACGTTCATTCCCTCCGTGCTCAGGAAGGCAATGTAGTATTGCGCGTTACCGTCGTTCGGGGCTTCGTGGACGAGATTGACGAAGGCGTTGATGACAGGGTCGAATTCCGTCTCGAGGAATACTCTCGTGTCACCGACCATCATCGGGCTCGGACAGGTGTAGAGGTTGAACTTGGTGACGAGACCGAGGTTATTGCCGCCTCCACGGAGACCCCAGTACAGATCGGAATTTTTATTCTCAGTGGCGGTGACGATGAGGCCGCTAGCGGTGACAACCTCAAAGCTCTCGACGTTATCAATAGCCCATCCGTACAGGTTGGAGTAGAAGGAGATGCCACCGCCAGTGGTGAATCCACCGACTCCGATGCTAGAAGCACGACCTCCGACAACGGCCAGGCCATAGGGCTCGAGAGCCTCGTAGACCGAACCCCAGACATTACCAGGACCAATTGAGGCCACTGACTTGTCCGCATTAAGAGTCACCTCGTTCATATCCGTGAACCAGATTGTGATACCACCGGGGCTGTTGGATGCACCAGCAAAGGCCGCATGGCCACCACTTTTCGCCGCAAATGGGCACTTGGTGAGTCGGGACACTAAAACGACAGCGGAGACCTCGGTGTTCTTGGAGGGCTTGAAAATACAGCGTGGCTGCACCTCTTCTTGCTGGACGGACCAGAACGAGCCAGTGAAACTGTTATAGGCCGTAGTGTCTGGGGACAGAACTTGAGAGCCATACAAGGAAATCAAGCTGCTGCACTGTGTAGATCGATAGAGCATTAGATCGTATTGCAACAAAATGTTTAGGGTTTACCCAAGCTCGCTTTAGACATACCGCAATTTGACATGCAACCTCCGTTGTCTGATTGCTTGCACTGCGCAATGAATTGACGGTCGATGCGTCAACACCGTAGCTCTTCAGTGCAGTTGCAACATCTTCCGCCGTCTCCAACGTGCTACTGCTAGCCTGTGCCTGACCCAAGCTACTCGCCGCAACTAAAGCACCTAGAAACTGCCACAGAGAACGCATTATGGTACTGACGGATCCTACCAAACAGAAAACGACCCTCAGTTGCAAGGAACACGAAATTGAAAAAAGAACGAAGACGGGTTGATAAGTGACAGCTCCCCGGACCTCGGGGGTTTAAAGGAATTTAATCATAGTGCTCGCTCACCCCTTGGAAACGACGCGGAACGGCATTTTTTGATCCGAGCAAGAATCCCACCTCGCGAAGACATAGTGCCGCATTTTAGTTGAGTAAATTAACCGCATTGTCCCGGGTTGAGGGGCCTAGGTCCTAAATCCCTGTCATTTTTAAGCGAAGCGACTACGCATCAACATATGCTGTGCCCAATATACCCCGGTTCGCTTTCCGAGACAACAGTACGCTAAGCTTTTTTGGGGAGCGGTCCCCTTCCATGCATGGCGTTCTAGCTGCATATAGTAGTGGTTCCTCGAACTAACAAATGCGCAATTATTGTGCCCCAGCTTCCCAGAACTAACTGGCCAATATAGAGAACGAAATTTTCTTTGTTTTATGATTTACGAAAGTGTTGACTCCATATAATTCGGTAGCTAGAGAAACACTAAACCTGCCGATCATAGACTCCATGAGACTAGTTTAAGGACCTACTTTTGTACACCTTGTCGAAGCGACCAGAATATTTAGCTAGGCCTAATGAAGAAATTATCCACGATTACTGTACCTCCGAGGCTGAGCAAGGCCGCTATATTACCTATCCCTGCTAGCTTTTGCACCAACGTGGCCACACGGGAACCGAAGGCAAAAAGAGCACGACACGAGCACAGGAGTACTCTGGTTGGTTCCTCGGCAGATCGGGCGGGACGAGGCGAATCAGCCATTTTGGGGCCGATTGACATTCGGTTCCATAGATTAATTTTCGAAGGAATAAACCCAGCATTCACTCATATCAAGTCTTCTTTTTTTTCTCTGGTGTAAGCAACATTCACCTTCTTCAAGGGTCGCTCGGAGGGGCCCAAATGGTGTGCCTCAGTTTCTACCCCTGCGCCTTTCTTCTCTTAGTAGATGAAGCATTAAGCCACAAAGTGAACTAGTCCCACAGTAGACTTTTGAGGATGAGGCGGGCGCCATCGCCGCTTCGGTTGTTGGCTACTACCTAAGATAATACATCTGGAACAAGCCCTTGTTACCGACCTAAAGAGACCCTTGTCTTTGCATGTGTCTCTTAATGCGTACCATTCCATAGTTACCATGACGAGAGCCCCTGTCCCCACCATTCAAGCCCTGGTCTTAGTAGTTCCAAAGGCAGATTTTTCGGTGGCAGAGACTGGATGTTTGGGCTGCAGGATCCTGGATATATGACCGCCCTGGCCCCCTTACGAACAGTAAATCGAGATGATCCGATCCTGAAGCCCTCACAAGAGGCTTGTGTAGTCTTCAAGACTTTCACACAATATGTCGGCAGAAGACATTATGTCGACGGGAGATGTCACTCCGGCTGCGATTAAGGACACCGGGTATGTGCTGATAGGGTTCACTTCGCTAGTTGTCGCTGTGCGGCTTGCTGGCTCCATTCGTCAGGTCAAGGATATCAAGGCAGAAGACTTTCTCATTCTTATTGCCTATGCACTTTTCCTCGAGCTGGCCATTCTGTACATCATCATCACGCCCGTCATATTCCGACTGGCTGCCCTCGAGGGCGGCTTGATTCCCATGTATGCTGGGGTTGAACATGACAGTTTGCAGCTTCAAATTTTCTTCTTTGTCACCACATCCTCGTTATGGCTGTGCCTGTGGATGGTCAAGTTCTCGCTGCTATCGATGTATAAGCGTTTTTTGAGTGGAAGGGCATACATCATTGCATGGTGGCTAATTCTTGTGTTCTGTATCTTGGTATGCTTGTTTTCAACACTATTCTGGATTGACACGTTAACAAAATGCAGTTTTTGATCGGCTGTATCCTGTCATCCTGGTTCTCATGCTCCAGTTTCCACGCCTGGTTTACTGCGGGAGAATGCAACACCGCGCGAGACCACCGTGCCTCAGTGATCAGCCTGTATTACTCCTATGCAGTCGATCTAGCTACAGACTTCTCGAGTATGAAATGCCCTCATGTTTCCTCTATCGTCATTGCTAACATCAGAGTTTAGTCATGGTTCTGCCCCTCGGTCTTATCTGGAAGCTGAAGATGGAACGCGCACGGAAACTGAGCATCAGCGGACTCTTCTGTCTCGGCTGGGTTTGCATCGTCATCGCCACCATTCGTGTCATCCAGTTGAGAGATAATAGTTCCAATGGCCAGCCCAAGCCAGCATGGCTGGCGCTGTGGGGAACCATTGAAGCGTCAATCGGTATGCTACTTGACCTGATGACACTCTTCATATACTTACTTGTGACTCACCTTTAGCTGTTCTGATCGGTTGCGGCCCCGGACTCTACCGCATCATCAAAGCCTACATGTCCCCCTCCGTCCAATCCTATCAATACGGCTCGTATGCTTTTCAGCGACCATCCGGCAATGCGCTCCCTTCGTACAACTCTCATATTCATGGGGGGAAGGATATCGCGCTTTCGCGTTTCTCGGTTTTGAGATCTCACGACTCCGGTGCATACAGGTCGAACAGTCCCTCAAGCAGTCAGGAAAAGCTGGCGAGCCCTAAGGAGAGGGGTAATATCTTGTTGACCTCACATGTGACGGTCACCGTTGACGAACGAGACGGTTATATGGGTGAAAATCGTATATAGATACCTAAGTAGCAAAAATGTCAGTCACTTTTGGGCTTTCCTTTTGCAGCATAAGCGAATTGCTGAGTCGCTTCTTCCCAAAACAGCAACCACAACAACCACAACAACCACAACAACCACAACGACCACAACAACCACAACGACCACAACGACCACAACAACCACACCAGGAGCTCTCTCGTACCTTTTGCTACGTATACACAGGCATGCGTTGATTGATGCGAAGCTGATTGATGCGAAGCTGATTGATCGGAGCGTTGCGACTTCTATATTATCTCTTTGAGTTGATCTGATATAGTAGCACCTCCAATATCTGAATTCAAGTGACCTGAAAGAGAATCTAGATATGTGATGGTTCCGTTTTCCTTCTTCAAACGTGTCATATGAAAGGATTTCTACCTGTCTTCTCAATATCTTCTACTTGATTATTTGGCCCAATTTGACAGCATCATCCTGCGTACGGGGATTTGATGGGGGTTTGAATCCCATGTAAAATCAATGTATTTGGACAAAGAAGACAGCTCACGATCATCCTATAGGAGGGAATGATTATTCGATTGGTTGTGTTATTCGGCAAGCCGCCATAAGCTACTATTCACGATAGGAATTTCAAACACTTGAATCGGATTCACTACCAAACCCCATTTAAGACACGATCGCAAAGGAACTTCGCCGTCACAATGCACTGGACTTCTTCAATGTTGCAATATGGAGCCTGTGCAGTGCACAGATAGGTTTTCTCCTGGTAACGGCGACCTCGTTCTTAGCCGTTCATATACTATTCTAAGTAAAGTTGTTTTTGAATGGATTGACTCCCAGGTGGCCGAAACGAACTGAGGAGAAGTGACTATTGGTTTGCTTAGAAATATCTTAATGCCATGCGATAAGGATCGTGAGTTTGGAAAGCCGGAAAGTTTAAGCTGAGAGCATTATACATATTGGGCATGGGCTTCTAATTTAGATGTTTTCAGGTCTGCGATTTATCCAGTGTCCGGCGCCGCAAGTTTGATTTCAGGCTAATACAATAATGATGAATTTGCAGTGTCTAGACTCCAGAACCAATTGACCGACAATTCCCCTCGATTTTTGGAGAAATGAGGTCAGTGCAGCGATCAATAGCCGACCCCTGGCAAAACAAGCAATCGGGTGACGATCATCACCTCAAAGATGCAACCCCGGCGTGGTCCCCGCATAGTTACAGTCTGTGCCCCGGCGGGGCACGACTATGCTCACGATCGTCAGGGAAAAGCGCCTGCGGAATGGGCCGCTTTTGTAACCTTTGCACGCCGCGTCAATTGCCGTTTGCCGACAACGGCCGCCCTTGTTATGAGCTCAATCGGTAGTATCGGCGTTAAGTCGAATATATAACCGCAATCAGCTGTTCTGAGCAGCTACAGTCGTCAAACAAAAGACTGCCCCTGAGAAATCACCCACTCATAGAAAAATGATTGTCTCTCTCCTTCTTGGAGCTGTCGCAGTGGCCGCAGTGCCGACTGGCAGTGATTCCTCGTCTGCAATTGCTGTTACTAAGGATGCACCTCAGGAAGCCGGCGACAATATTCTGCAGCCGTTCGTTTCCTTCTCAATTGAATTCGCCTTCTTCCCTGATTACGCAGGTAAACACGCCAGCGTGCCCCAGACCATACGTTGAAAAGAAAACTAAACTGTGTTTCGTGTAGGAAACAAGTCGCATCCGAATGATTTCTCAAACAACCTACTGGATAACCTTGCCAGCCTCCAAGGTATCAAGCCGTACATTCGTGTCGGCGGCAACACCCAGTATGAACCACCATCGGCAAGGATAACTTACGGGTATACATTGCTGACATGGCCATCCATTGTATAGGGATTTTGCCCTCTATGACCCCAACTTAAAGACGGCAACCAATGGCACCATAGTCCCAGCAAAGTCAACGGACTACCCGTATCTCCTATCCATCGGCCCGTCATTCTTCGAGTCATACTCGACTTGGCCAGACACCAAGTTCAGCCACGGCTTCAACCTTGGCAAGAATGGCACTGCCGCAGTGGAAAGCTTACTGGCAACTGTGCCCTTGGCATGCAAAGCCCTTGCGGACGGCAAGCTGATGCACTGGGAACTGGGTAACGAGCCCGACCTGTACATAGATGGTGGCGCGTTTAGTGCGCGGCCGGAGAACTGGACAGAGAGTGACTATGTCACCAATTGGCTTACAAATGAGCGAGCTATCAAGCAGAAGATGGCACATGCTTGCCCGGAGATGGCGACGGACTCGGCGTACACCTATCTTGCGCCTTCTTTTGGTGGCATTAACAATGGCCTTGACCCAGTCAAGACGTGGAGCGACGGACTCGACTCGGATAAGAACATTCGCTTGAATTCGATGCACAAGTGAGTTTACTCCCAGGAATTGCTATTCAGAATATTCCTGACCTAATTTGTCTTTCTAGCTATATGGGAGGCGCGACCCAGCCCGGCGTGACACTCCAGAAGACCCTGATGAACCACACATCGGTTATAAACAGCGTCGATCAGCATGCCACGCTAGCGAAGGAGCTACAATCTGATAAATTGACCCCGGGTATTCCTTACATCCTGGGCGAGATGAACTCGCTCTACAACGAGGGCGCGCCAGGTCTATCCAACTCATTCGGCGCCGCACTGTGGGGCGTTGACTTCAACCTATATTCCGCGTCACAGAGCCTTCATCGCGCGCACATGCACCAGGGGACCGACTACCGGTATGCTTCGTGGCAGCCAGTGCAAACCAACAAAACGACCAAGGGAACGAAAGCCCCGTACTATGGAAACGCCATGGTGGCCGCGATGCTGAGCGCCGACAAGAACGACCAAGTCCGCGTGCTCAACCTGCCGCTCGACCAGGACACGGAGTCTGCCTATGCGGCATACGTAAATGGCAACCTGGCGCGCATTGCCGTCGTCAATATGCAAGAGTATAACTACACGGGATCGACCGCGGCGTCGCGGCGTCCTTCGGCCAAGTATGCTTTCCAGCTTCCTGAGCAGGTAAACGGCAAGACTTTGGCTGTTCAGAGGCTTATGGCGAATGGAAGTGATGCCATTACCGGCATCACCTGGAATGGATGGTCGTATAACTACGAGTTAAACAACGGGAAGCCTGTGCGCTTGCACAATGTGACCATTGGCGAGACCGTGCCTGTTGGCAAGAAGGGTGTGGTGGAGATTGAGGTACCGTGGTCGAGTGGTGCCATTCTGGACTTTCAGGTTTAAAGCAGTTGAGATCTTATATATTGAAGAAGACAATAGTTGAGTGTATTGTCGCTGCCAAAGGTACCCTTCGCAACTCTTACGAGTTCGGGATTGATGGGGTCTAAAGTATTCTCGGGTTCGAGGGTGAACTGCTGAGTACATGTAGTATTGTGGCCGTCTAGCGGAAAAGGATCAAAAACGAAGAGCAGAATATCAACAATATCACGTATCTATTGTCTTGGTCAATTCCTCACTCTCCGAGGTAGCAACCATCAGCGCGGCACCGCACATCTACAGGAAAACAGTTGGCTTTGTCAGGAAAGACCCTTGGCGCTGTATACGAATTGAAGAAAATCATTTGCAAGGAATGAACCCCTCTAGCCCTGAAACCTAAAATAGCCTGGGGCCATCTGTAACTAACGGTATTTCGGAAGAAAGATACAAAACAATAAATACAGAGTGGGCGCCATTACGGCCCCAAGGGCATAAACCGCCATCGTCGTCACGGCAAAGGCATCTCCGCCCTTCGCCATCACCGCAATGTAGACGTCACGGTCCGTGGGGGATTGGGGTTGGGGGTGAGGAACTGTTGGGCATGACGATGGGCGTGCCGATAATGATGATGATGATGATGATGGGTCAATAAAGCCTGCCCTACTGCTGTTGCTGGTGGTGGCAGGGAGGGAACAGTTCACATAGTGCGTTGTGCAACGGTGAGGACATGGCGAAGAAATTCTCCGATGGTCCAGTCGTTCGCAGGTAGGGTTGTGCAGGAGATCGCTCGCGCAGGCAGACCTGCGCGCGGGTCAAGCTGCCAGTGGCGGAAGATCTCAGCGAGGCGGGGCTCCTGCGGGATGATTCCTGTGCTTATGCCTACTGGGGTTACCGGTGCTGCTGCGAATGGGGTCCGAGCTGGGATCGACGGCGGCGATGGGGGCCATCGTCGCTGTTCGTGAAGATCGAAGGTGTCGATCCTGCCCTGTGCTGCAAGGCCCCGATGGATTAAGCTTGACGCAAGGAATGTGGTGTTGCCAACGTGGTGGTCGACACCGCTGGACATGGAAGTTACACGGAACAATATGACAGAGCAACCGACGGCGGTCTAGTCTGTGCAACGGGTCCGACCAACCGCGAAGATCCAAGTAAGCGATGCATCAAATAGTGAAACTCAAATAGTGGTCGGATTATCTTCTCTCTCATCTCAGCTATACACAGAGTTCCTGCCGGGTGCTAAAATTAAAACAAAAAAAGGGACGCCCGCAGGTCTATGCCAAATGCCACCAGAGTAATAATGCCACGCAAGGGAAACCATACAAGGGAGTGGAAAAGAGCCCATCACATCACGCTAATCAAAAGAAAGAACAAGAGAGGGGTAATCGGAGTCAGTCGTAGGAAAAGACGGCGCTAGAAGAACAGAACAAAAAAGGAATAGGTCGTAGGAGTCGTGCGGGAGTCGAGTCGAGTGAACTAGGTCCACTGGTTCACCGTGCTATAGCCGTGCGCACCGAGAGGACCAAAGTGTTTAATCTGGGCCTTGAGTTGTTCGCGCCGGCGATCCTCCTTCGACTGGATGATCCGCTTCGTCGCAACAAGCAGATGGCTCTTCCCGTCCTGGAGAGTTCGGGTGGCGCCCCGCCGGTTCCCCTGGTGTTGCATTCGCTGCGGGGGTGACAACAACGCCGAGGGATGGTGCGTAGCAGATGACCCGGACATCTTGCGGCTCGACAAAGAAGCTCGGGTGGTAGACACGGAGGTGCGGTGATGATGGGATGTGGGAGGAGAAGAAGAAGTTTTTATCGTGTATTGCGGAAAGCGAACGGAGCGTCTCTTGCCTGACTTGGTCGTCTCCTTCTCCCAGACGGTGGCCCCGTATTTCTGGTACGGCGATTGTGGAATAGCCAGCTGTTTCTGTCGCGGCGATAAGTCGGTCTTCGGGCTCACTACGAGGTCGCTGTCGACGCTGGATTTGGTCGACACCGACATGGTTCGTAGTTCAACGCCAGAATCCTCGGGCGCAAAGACTTTGTTGCTGAGCAGTTCGCCCCCGTCATCCGACTGGCGAGGCGACGAGTCCTTGGGGAGTCGTGAGCCCCCCAAGGGCGCGGTAGTCGGCCGCGTCGGCGATGGTAATGGCGATGGTAGTGGTGGCCGTTGCCTGGGGGCATCCTCCGCAGAGCCCTTGGACAAGGTACGACTGACGTAAGTCTTGATGGAGTCGCGCATACCGCCCAGGGCACGGGAGTCGAGCGATTTCCAGCGATGGCGGCGGCCCTTGCTCAAGTCGAGGGAAATCAGCCGACCGTCCTTTTTGCCCGATTTGCCATTCCGCAGGCTCGGCGTGCCACGCCCGTTCTGCTGGGCGGCGGCTGATGAGGGGTCGGCCAACTCTGGGAAGAAATCCCATTTCTTCTCGCGAAAGTAGTGGTTCGTGCCATGATTAGTGCGCTGCGGCCAGTGCGCGGGGCGACCGTACTGGACTTCGGAGATGGAGCGTGCTTGAAGGATGAAGGAAGTGTCCGAGTCGGTGGAGTCTGCCCGAGACTCTGGGGTGAGGAAGCGTGGAGCCGGTTGATGATCGAGCGGGCCTAGATGATCGGCGGAAGTAGATGATGGGACCGGGTGATCGACAACCAAGTCAACAAAGTCGTTAGATCCGGAGCTGATGAGGATGGGATATAACTCCGTGGAACTGCGAGGCTCGCTGGGTCCGCCGCCACTGTCGACCGTGGATTCAGTCTCGCTGTCGTCGCTCGAGTCGCTCCAGAAGGCGCCCTCGGCGGGCTCTTCCTCTGTCCGGTCGGGCAGCAGTGGCATGGCGGGGAGTGGTTTATTGAGGAAGAGTTCGGAGTGGGAGGGTGCAAAGGGATGTTTCATGGTCGGAGGGATGACCTTCTCCATGCCCTCGAGCGACCGAGAAGGTCGTACCGGCGGGGCCATTCGGACTGAGTAGGTGGACGTTCGGGAGGGCATGTTGATGGCGAGTCGAGATTTATAGAGAGCGCGGCAGAGGACAACCGGGCAGCCATGCGCGATACCAAGGAAAATACTCTCCCCGACGGACCAGGAACGAAGAGGGGAAATGCAGCGATCAAATATCATCCGTCAGTCGATCCGACATGCCGACCCAGCGTCATCGGGTGCACGGACAGTCAATACGGCAAGGGATGGGTATGGGGCAGTAATGTATTCGTATTCTTCTGTACGCTTGGCCCGATTCACTAGCCCCGACTCACCCTTGCAGCGACTTGCTCAGCTCAGTTTGGCTGCCTTCTCCATCGTCTCCCGCGTCAGTTCGTCCGACGCTGTCCGGACCGCCGCTAGCTTGCCCAGTCGCCGGAGCCGGTCGATCATCGCCTCGTCGCCAAAGTGACTATTGTGCTCGAACTCGGGTTCTGCGTTGAACGCGAGCCGTGCCGCATCAACAATGATTCGGGCGGTCATCCCGAACACGCGATAGGATTCGATCTGATCTTCCGCATTCTTCCCGCGGGGAGGCTGGACGGCTGCGGTCCGGTTCGGGCGAACAAAGAACTGATGCACTAAATATAATTCTGGATTAGCCAGGGATGGAGGCAAAGAAAGAAACCAAGGATCGGCAATGTCTCCCCGGAGTCAAAAAGAAAAAGCAAAATAAATAAATAAAAGGAACGACAATACAGACATCCCTGGCACGCCCGAGTGGGTCTGCCGACATACTTCTCTCTCGCATGGGGTTGACGGTGACAGATGATGTAGAAGTATGATGGATGGACTTACTGCGCCAGTTAGAATTATGCCATGAGCTCCACGACCCCTGATACCAATCCGGCGGGTGCGCAAGGCCCTCATCGCGCATGGACAGAAACTGTTCAAAGGGCGCCGTAAACACCGCGGCGACCTCGCGCGCATCTAGCTTGGGAATCAGCGACACCTCCGGATCGGCGGACTCGCCCGTGCGTTCGTCGTGGGCGTGAAGCAGCGCGATGCACGGCCGCACCACCAGCTCCGTTTTGGCAAGATTGGCCGGCATCTCGCAGAGGTGCTCCACGGCGAACGGTCGTGGCAACGGGGAGTCGATGTTAGGCAAGCCGATCTCCTCCCATGCTTCGCGGCGTGCGGTCTGGAATGGCGTCTCGGCGAGCGTGTCTGCCCGGCCTAGACTCAATTGATACATTAATATTTATTTTGAGGGGAGTTTTTTTTTTTCTTTTACGGAATGTTGTCTACTGTCAGGCAAGAAGGCAAGCCAGGGGCCCTGGCGCAAACTTACCTCCCGGTAGAGCGGCGTCTCCTGCATCTGATGAGGGTTAGCCTAGCGGCGCATGTCGTGCAGCGTCGGCTGCGCAGACCTGAAAACAGGGCTGGTCTTTTCTTGTTTTTCTTTTTGTTTCCGGGAGGTACCTACATGACCGGAGTGTCTTGGCCCGCATTGTAATCACGATACGCAGGTCGCCCTGCGAGTCGGCATAGAGCAGCAGAAGCACCGCCGCACGCCGGGTCAGCGGGACGGTATCGTATGCCGTTGGCGGAGGAACATAGTTTCGTAGCCGGTGGATGGCTTCCTGTACCGCGCTATCTTTAGCCCTGGGCCCGGTTGGTAGAGAGACATGGGTGAGAAGGGGGGCATGGTCGGATGGCCAAGGGGGATGACCATCCACGGCTGGCTCAAGTCTCGGGAATTGTAAGTCAAGAGAGCCAAGACAGCCCAGCCCAGGGGAAAAATGCGGCAGTTGAGAAAAGGAGATGGAAGCGAAGGAAGGCATGGCTGAATCCACGCGGAGCGGCATGATACAGACAGCCAAGCGAGGGTCGTACATACCTGGGCGGCGGGATTGAGCGGCGCCATGCTCGTTAGGGATTTGAAATCACTGGAGGTGGAAAGACTGCGGATGGATTGAAGAAGCAGCCTCCGCATGGTTTGGGCCGTTGGATTGGAATTCTCGCACCGATTCCCGAGTGGCCGAGGTAACTATTATAGGCTGCGTGATGACATAATAGTCGATGTTTTTGGATTGATGTTATGGTACATACGGCGAGAGATTGTCCGACAAAAAAAAATGAATGAGCCAAATGAGCGAGGGCGCAGGGGCCAATGCAGGGGAAACAGAGAGAGAAGTGGTCTATCGACAAAAGCAGGAAGTAACACAGATCAAGAAAGGAAAAAAAGGACCAGCAATCTATACATGACGAGGAGCCTCCCAGATCCGAGAACACAGAACCCCAACAAGGAAGTCATTACGGGCGACTTTTGTCCTCCTTAGGGGCGGTGGAATCGGACTGATCGACCTTCTCACCCTCCGACAGGGCCTCGGTGGCCTCGGCGGACTGCTTCTCGCTACTGTCCGAAGAGGTCTCGACCTTGGACTCCTCCTTGTCGTCGATATCCTCGATGTCCTTCGGTACCGCCTTGCCTTCGTTCTCGTTATTCTGCTCGTTTTCCTCCTCAATAAGCTCCTCCTGCTCCTTGAGGACCTCCAGGCGCTGTTTGTTGGTCGCCGCACCCTCGGCGTTGTGCACCTCGAGCTCGATCTCGTGGAACAGCTCCTCGGGGATGCTGGACAGCACCGACTTGAGAGCGTCGATTTGCGACGCCATCTCGGACTCCTTGCCACCCTGCGTGTACATGTATGCGTTACTCAATACCAGAAGAGTAGACGGAACACCCTGGTTCAGACGCAGGTCCAGCCACATCGTGAGGTCCTCGCGCAGACGCGCGGGGGAGACACCGTGGGTGCGGATGCCACGAGAGGCGCTGGCCATTTGTAGCTCGGGCACGGAGAGCGAGTCTACCCCTTCATATTTGATAGCACGGTCGTCCCGCTTGATCTGGCGCATGCGGTGACGGATGTTGTACCGGAGCATAGCGTCGGTGCCGAACGAGTTCAGGTTCATGTACCGGCAAATGCCCACTAGCTGCGGCCGAGACAAGTTGTCCAGAGTCAGGTCATCCTTGAAGATCTTGCAGACCTTGATGACATCCTCGGTCGATGGTGATTCACCCGTGGCGCGGATCTTGCGGAAGAAGTCTGCAAATTCCTCATTCTTTACCGTGGCAGCGGTCAAGGGCAAGCCAGTCTCACGCAGTGTGTTTCGCAAGAACCCGGATACTTCCTTGCGTGTCGAACTGAGGTTCAGTGCCTTGGTCTCACGGGACTTCTGGCCTTCGTAAGTGCTGGGAAGCAGGTTGGGGAAAAGCTTCAGGGCAACGGGGAGCAGCAGCTCCGCGAACGGAACAATGAGGAAGACGGAGAACGGAACTAGCCGACCCAGATCTTTGACCGTACGTTGAAGCTGTTAAAACGTTAACTCTTGACATCGCCACGCACTGGATATTCGGAACGAACCTGACGGTGCTCCCTGCGGCTAAGCTCATACCCTGCGGCCATCTTCAATGCCAACCGCGTACTAATCTTGACCTCTGTAGCCAACAGCTTGGTACCATCCCAGTAGTGTTGGGCCTCCTTCTTGATTTTTTGTCCAATGGTCAGACTCTTGGTCTCCTTCTTTCCCTCCGCCACCTTCTGCTCCTCCGCAGTCACGGCCTTGGTCGTTACTTCGCGGGACTGTGATTTAGCCCGAGAAATATCTGCCGACCTAGCGACATCTGTTTGAGTGGTTTCTTTGGAGGGCAGGTTGTTGCTTTGAGGGAGCGGCTTCTTCGCTTGCTCTGCGTTGAATCCGGGGGGAGGATAGGTCTGAGACGAGGAGTTGGATGTAGATTGTTCGGTCGCGTATCCTCGCTGCTGAGGAACGAGAATGGCGAGAGCGGTCACTTGCGATGGCATGCCGCGTCCGTTCCAGAAGATGTGGTTCGCCGTAGCCACGGATGCCGGACCCAATGCACTGGCGAGACGGGTGCGGGCTTCAAGAAGAACAAAAATCAGTTTGCATCTTTTGTAGAAAGTAATAGAAAGCCTTACCGCTCAGACCAGGCCGCAGCGCAGCCGTGTTGCGCACCAGTCGGGCCGATCTCATCGTGGCGGACATTTGCGGAAGTGGTTTGGGGGGCAAGAGAGAGAGAACGAGAATGTCCAAAACAATGAGCGGAGGAGCCGGAAGCGCAACAACTGGCGGCAAGAGAAGAAATACAGATGGAATCGACAACGATCACAATGGATATGCTGTCCCAAAAAGTTGATGGAAGGCGAAGATTAGGCATTGATGCAGGCAGAGGTCATTCTTGCACGGCACGTGACCGCATGCGGATGGTTTGTCAGATTTGCACTATTCTTAGACCATCTGATAAACAATCTGTACTGTATTAATGTCGACTTGAATCACGTCCCCGCTGCGCGCGTGAGCAGTCCACCATTCACTTTATTAGATCCAGATTTTAATGCCTCTAATGCGCACGGTGTCCGCTGGCCTAAACTAGCCCTAGCTAAAAATATTACCGATGATCGAGAAAAACATACGTTTGCATGTAATATTGTGGTTACATTTCTTCTTCTTGTCATTCTAGAGATTAGATGGATTAGATGGACGGTAGGCAAATCGAATATAGAACAAAACGCTGGACCAGACGGAAGCCGGACGGATATCCAAATAAACAGAAAGGCACGAAAACACGTATGCTAGGGGTATCATCATAAGTGGGAAATTCAAAATATAAGTCCACGCCCCTAGTTTCTCTCTCGAGCAGAGCCCTTGCCAGCTTGAGCGCCCGTCGAGGAGGCGTTGGCATTGGCATCCAAGAGAGGGATGCGGTCGACACTGGCCGTCCTGAGGTTGCTGAGATCGGTGGACGAAGCATTATCCGGGAAAACCAACGGACTCGTCGCCCCCTCCGGCGAGCTTTGCCACCGCGCAACGTCATGCTTCAGCTGCTCCAGCTCCTTCTGGAAGCGCTTGCCGAAGACATCAATGTAGTAGGTGGCACCGTTGTGGATGCTCCAGATGAACAAGGCGGTGATGAAGATTCCGCTCGCCCACCGGTACCAGAACCAGAGTGGGCATGGGATCATCGTTGACAGAGCATATGCGTACTGGATCAACATGAAGGCTAACCCCTGCAGTGACTCGGGAAGGCTCAGCACAAATCGCCCAATCCACGCCTTGGAGTATGATTTGCGCAGCCAGGTGAAACTTGTCGGACGCCCCTCCCGAATCTTGTCTGCGCGACGCACCGTGATCATGATATGGTACATCGACTGCCAGATGATATACGGGACGGTCGCCCAGATTATCATGGCCCCGAGGGAGTAGTGCTCCGGGTCGCCCGGCTGGCTGAACTTGATGGCATACACCGCGGGAAATCGTTCCTTGAGCATCTTGGCCGGAGTCATGTGGACGATGCAGTGCAGAGTGACCGGTGGCATGATGTGGATGAAAAGACTAACAACTTTGTCCATGCTGTGGAAGACCATCGAATTGCGCCACATGGCGATGGCCACGGCGTTGTTGCCAAATGTCAGGCAGAAGGTGCTGATGAACAAGCGCTTCGAGTTGGGGAAGACCCAGAGACTGAGCATGCAAAGCAGGTTGACAAAGTAACACAGGTCGGCCAGGAAGTAGTGATAGCCCTTCTTGTGGTAGGTGTAATACCGGATGGGCATGAAATAGACCAGTTGAGCACTGAACCAGATGTAAAAGTATTGCGGGCAGGCACCGATTAAGTAGCCGCTGATGAAGACGTTCAGCACACCGGCAATAAACGACACCTTCTCGCGCAGCGTGACGGTGACGTCCTTGTTCCACTGCTTGCCCAGCCGGTCCACCCCGCCCTTCATGCGACGACGGTACTTTTCGAACTGCTCATCCGCCGTTGGGGCGCGGCGCTTGAATTCCTCCACGACACGATCTTTGGCATTCATCGAGGTCGACTTGAACTTTTCACGCTGTTTCCGCACTCTTTCTTTCTGGGCGTTGATCGCTTCCTGCCATCTCTCCAAGCGTTGCGATAGTTGGATATTGTCGAGCAGGTCGAATATGGTCAGCCTGTCCAGGGGCGGAAACGTCTCCCAGTCCTCCTGGTACGAGCTGCTACTGCTGTTAAAGGAGCCATCTCGCGACAGTTTGTCCGGCGACGCGACCGGCGAGTAGAAGTAGTCGTGTTCATATTCATCAGTATCAAACGGCGCGTCTCGCTCGTCGGGCGTCGAAGCCAGCGACTCGGGGTTCATGGTGGCGGTGGGATCGGACTTTCTGCGTCGTCGGGAGCTCGCGTCTTCCATCAAAAACTTCTGCTGGAAGGAAAAGATGGTCGGGCCGTCCCGGTAGTGAGGATAAGGCCGACTGAGGAAACGTGCAAAAGTTAGCATGCCCATGCTGGAGCCGCGTACAAAGGAGTTGTTTTGGCTTTGAAGGACGGAGTCCAGGATGGAGAAGGAGACAGATGGAGGGGGGATGAGGGGCAAGAAATACCTGATGTCCGTGGGTCACACACTTGGTGAAGACCAAACAACGCAAACGGAAGGTGTGAAGAACAGCAGTGGTGGTGGTGTTGAAGAGGGAAGGTGTGCGTCGCCCGCGCCTGGTGGTTGGCTGGCCAGCTGTGGCCAATCAGAGACCAGGGCTATACTTGGGGCAGCTGATAGACAATTCATGACCAGAAGCAATTCGTATATTGGCTGGTAACTACACAATATTTCACTAACTCAATATCCATAGTGCGCAGCATGCCCGGGGGGCTGCCACAGCTCCGGTGCTGGGTCCTTCTCGATGCCTACGAATGGTCCATAGTACCCCGTCATATAGCCCGGGTTGGCGTGCGGCATGCACCGGGGAGACTGTTGTGGCATGGTCACCGGATAGGCCCCATAGCTGCCTGCCGGCGGACTATGCGGACTGGACGGACTAGTGGCTGGCGAGAGAGGAAGAACCCTCTGACCAGTTTTCCTTTGCAACGGGCTGCTGCCTCCCTCCACCACACTGCTCTGACGGTGGTGATAGCCATGCGCATCTTCCTCGACCTTTGCCACCACTGCACGCGATGGTAGGTCCTGTATGTCTTGGTGGGCGGCCTCGGGCAGATGGGTCTGGGCTACTTGGACCAGGGTATCACCTTCTAATACTCCCGTTACTCTTTTTGGTTATATTAGGGTTGGAGGGAAGAAGCATACCAATCTCTCCGTCTAAATATTGCTCTTCCATCCGCCGGACGAAGTAAATCTCGTCCAGTACCTCTAGTCGATTGGCCGGCGTGATCTGGCGTCGCACGTCTTGCCCGGCTTCGCGCAGCTTCTCCGCCGTAATCCCGTAGCGGTCCTTGAGCTCACAAAGAATATGGACTAGAAGCCGGAGGCGGTCTATCACCGAGGTTAGAATAGATTGTTGATTGATAGAGGGCGATGACCTACCTCGCTTGAGCAGATGATCTGGTTCGCGGTGCGGAACCCCAGCAGGCCACCAGCCCGGCTTGGTGAGCTCGGGGTCAACGCGCTGTGTAGCGCCCGAGATAACCCGGCGTCCATTGTACGGGAAATGCACCTGTTTGCGGGGCTCGACCAGCTTGATGTACGATTTGGCGATTGCTCGGCAGTTGAGCTGCTGGAAATCCTCAAATGCTTTCTCATAATACCGGCGCATCAGGTCGCGATGGCCAATTCGAAGGATGGTTCGACCCGGTGGTGTTGGCGGCGGCGACTGAGACTTTAGTCTCGGTTTCGCTATTCCCGATCGTTTGACGTCTCGTCGCTTTCGTCGGTGCTGGGCGGATTGCCATTCGCAGGGAATCAGTTCAGTGGGTGGTGGGCCGGACTGTTGCCATCCAGCAGGAACGGGTGGTACGCCCCATGGTGATTGCGTGACGGGGGTAATTGGTTCTTCAAGGCATGTAGTGAGCACGCAGTTTTCCATGCTGTGGATGCGGTGATTTGCTTACCCGTGCTGAATTGCGGTTTGGATTGATCCATTGGCGTTGTCATTTCTACAAATCTGCCCGTGACATCTGGTGTGAAGATGGCGCCGCCGCAGCCTGCTATTGAAGGAGAGGCTTCCATCTGCACTTTGCCATGGTGGTCAACGTAGAGAAGGGCAAAGTGCGGATGTGGGAATTCGAAACTTGACGGCTGTTTTGGGGAACCAGGCTATCAATGCACCGTCAGTCGATGGGTTCGCCGGCCAACAGGGAGTAGTGGTTACCATATTGTTTGAACAGGGCTCCGAGAACCTGCGCCCAAATCCGGGCGTCATCAAGTGTGCTTGGTCCATAGCAAAAAGATGACGGTAAATATATTAAAACTTGCCCTCAACGGTCTATGAGTAGAGAATGATTGGGAAGGAAACGCAATGCGCACGTCAGCGAGGAAAGTAGACTTATAGGATGCCTTTCCTAACGTTGGCTGGGCCCGATGTGGTATCAATGGCTAGGAAGACATGTCATATAGGCCTTTCTGTCCAGGGAAATACATCCGGCACCATTGGGGGATTACGAGGTAATTATACACGGAGTGACTAAGAGGGGAGCAGATCTCTTTACGACATCGGTGTCCCTTGGAAGTCAGAATCCGCCCTATTAGCGCTTATGCAAGGAAACAACCACCTGCAGCGCTGAGAGGGCAGTGGCAATTAGGGCGCATAATACTTCCGCCGCATTCCGCCATCTCTTCGCTTTCTCTGTCTGGTCTTGTATCCTGCGATCGGATCGCCCATCATGCAGGCTCCTTTCCCCTCATAACAGATAAAAAGAGATGGACTTGACATCTAGAATAGGGCTGGACATGGTTTCAACCAGACCCATGGATCCAAAGCCGGGGAACCGAGATCTTCGCTCGAGTTGGTACTGACAGACGTCGATCTGGCGCTTGGACGGCACACTAGCCACAGCCACCATGGCTAGGTTCGCATTGTTGGGAATACTACTGACAACCGTCTTGGGCAGACTATTATTCATCATTATTCGAAGTCCTGTGTGCCCGTAGATACCATTGCAGTCCATTCACCTCGGATCCTGGTCCATATGGGAGTAGGATCTCGCGCTTGATGATTCCAGTCGAGAGATCGGCCAATTGCAGAAGCAAGTTCGCTCCGTCTCGCGAATCACAATGCCCGATCTCCGATCTCCTGCGCATCCTCAGCCACGAATCGTGACACAAAGAAAGCAGGGCAAGATGGCTCTGAGACGATCCACTGCAAGCCAGGGGACAGAAAGAGGCTGACATAAACGTCATCATCTGTCCCTTCCTATCGGCGTGCAGAACACTTCGGCCTGGGCCAAGAGTCGTTCCGATGGTGTGCAGCGCTCGGTCCAGCCGAGATTCCGTGCACGGATCTTCCTGCTCCAGGCTACATCCATCTCATTCGCGATGGGGAATGTGTAACTTCCACGGAAAAGGGGTCCAAACGGCACCGACTCGGCTCATCAATTGACGGCAAAAGTCCCGACCCAGACGATCGGCGAATCTTGAGCTTATCCAAGCTCACGGTAACGCCGTCGTGTCACCGGCCTTGCCAGGCGCCGAACTGGAATCGAGATCCCTGCTGGATTAGGTGCCTTTGTCACACCATTACGTCCCATCGACCGGGGTCATTGGGTGTTAATATTCTTTCCTCCACGAACCTCCGCGGTGCAGCTGCAGACCCTCAGAGCTCTGGTGGGCTGAAGCCACTCGCTTCCCTCGCTTAAAAACCTTGGGAAAACTTGCGTCTCCATCTTTGCACCACTGGGATCGAGTCCTCCTTTCCGGATCTACAGGGAGGAGCCTTGACCTCGCTAAATAAGCGGGGAACCGGGATCCAAAGTTACCTTCCAGCTGATCTCCGAGCTATTATACGCTGAACCGCCCCCGCGGGTTTCCGTGTCTTGCCCGTTATCGTTCTGTAGAGAGACGTTCCTGGACAGACTCACAGGGCTGGCGCTATGTCCCACATTATGCAACCCTGCTCCAGGCAGCTTTTCCTGGTCCTGAGCAACAAGTAGTCCGAACCGGACTGGCGCCACGTTATCACGGAAAATACACCCGTTCTTTGCTCCATGGGCATGTCGTCCAATTGTGTTCGAAAGAGGGAAATGGGGAGATCGAGGAGCAGAGACGCACATCTCGGTCTGGGCCTTGGAGAGATCCCTCCCCCTCTTCTCAGCGCCAAATGCGATCAGGCCATCTGACCCACCAAACTCAGTTCGATAGTCCGTCAGCCTGGCGAAAGCAAAAACTGAAACCGAATGAATCCAGGATGAGCGTGCTGAGCCGCAGTGCCAGGAATCCTCGATCGCCACCCGGGCCCCGAGCCTTAGTTCCGAGCGTTTTCGTTTATGTTCGTTTGTGACTGTTTGGTAGAGAGGTGTACGGCGACTGTCACGCATAGTGGCGTAGAAAGGCGACAAACGCCCCTTGCGTGTATTCGCCATGTTGACAGTGCAGACTCCGCCGACCGATACCGGCTTCGTACTCAGGTGGGCCTGAACGCAGGACACTTGGCATGGTGATCTGTGTTATCGGACTTTGGACATGTTACCCCCGAATTCTGGGGAGCAGTTTCCTTTTTAGTCGTTCGTAAGTGCCTAGCTGCTGTGTTGCCTGTGCCTGACCTAAAATTGTGGCCGAGGCTCATGGCAAGTGCAGCTGGCCCATTGCGTGTTGTCCTTTCAAGCAAGCTGCAGCTGGGGAAGCCTGATATCAGGAAGGGCCGGTGAGCTCGCATCGGAATTGAGCGAGTTCCTAGTTCACCCCTAGTCGATCAGACGTGGGCAGCCTTGATTAGATAGCTATAGAGTTGAGATGGAACAAGGTATATACGCGAGCATAATAATATGCTTGAGAGTTGCGGAATCAACTTCTGTGGAAATTGGTGTAGATTTAAAGACTCGAGTGCAGCGCATCACATGAAATATTATGATTGGAATCGTGTATGGTAGCCTCTTCTTCCAGTATTCCAAATAAGCTAGGCATTGCTATCTACGACTGAATCAGAGGCTCCTTCTTAAACAGGCCAAGTGGGGCGACCATGACTCGGAGGGATCTAGGGCAATCTAGAGCTTCCTTCGGTACGATCGATCCTCTGCGCAGAGATCCACACCATCGCTGCATTATGATCCTCTACATGGCGTCTTCTCAACACACTGATAACTCCCGGGGTGGCTTTTCCTTCGGTGTGGGGCTTCTTCTTTTGGTCAGTTGATTAGCAGCAGCAAGCTTGAAACATCTTTGCCAGTTTTGACACGTTTGAAAATATTTTAAATCAGAGAGGCTTCAGATCTTGCTGGAAAACAGTCAAAATCGCACCCCACGGACTCTTTCTGAGGAAGTCCTTCTTGAATAGAAACGACTCTTTCACTGCACCAAAGATCCGACGTTTCAATTAGGTTCAGTAAACTCTAAGGACAGTACCTCATCTCGCACTGGAGCTTCTGCTGATCTAGATTCATACATTCTCCGTCGCTTCAGACTGGTTGCGCACATTATCTACTTTAGCAACAGCTCCGACAACAATGAACTCTAGCATCTGCCGAACCAGATGTTTAACTACGCCATATTGCGACGCTTAATCCAGCTCCGTAAAATATGCGAGAAGTTTACGTGGAGAGCATATAGTAAAGTTTGTCACGAGACTTGGGCCTTTGGCAACATCCAAGGCATCATGAACATCCGACAGTGGCGGTCGGGTATCACTTTCCGTCACCAGAAAAATTTACGCGAGTTTTAGGGGGCAGGAGTACAGGGGGGTGGTTGGTGCGCCACAGACTGTATATTTCTATAATTGGTTACGGGGTTTCGGCTATATATCCCATTTGGCAATTATGAGTGTCTGAGAAAAGCTCCTGTTCCAGGAAAATATGTACAAGGATATGACCAAATGGAACATTCATCGGCTGATCGGCATCAGGAAGGCTCCGACACTAGAATCCAAGTATTAGCTTTGCATGGTTGTAGAACAGCAAGATAAACCCACGAGATAGCAGCAAAACAAGCGCAGAGGATTGCTCCCTCTAGGTAATTAGTCTTTCCCTTGAGAAAGATAAAGCTGACTAAAAGTGAGGCTCCGATGAGCGTCACAATCTCAAAACGGTCAAAGTGTAGTGTCATAGGCTTGTCGAGAACCCATCCTATAAGAACCATCACTGGCGCCACCAAAAGTCCGATCTGGATTGCTGATCCAAGGGCGACACTGATTGCAAGATCCATTTGGTCTTTGGAAGCGACGATGACGGCTGTGACATTTTCGGCGACATTTCCTGCAATTGGAATAACAATCAACCCCACAAAGGACTCGCCGAGTACTCCTTGTTCGTTGAGTATGGCGAAGCTTGCAGCGAAGTATTCGGCGCAGATGGCTATCAAACACGTTGAAAGAATCAGGAGTCCAATAGATATTGTGCGGTTCGCTGTGACAACATGGCGGTAGCAGTTGCATGGCGTAGGTTTCGGCGTCACGTATCCGCCGTTCAGAACTGGACTTCCGTTGAATGAAGTGTTTGTGTCGGTCGGTTCGATCCGATCTAAGAGTAGCCCTGACTCAACTTGTGCCTCGAGAGGCACTGGTGATGGACTGGCAGGATATGGAATTTCCTGCATTTCTGGCCTCGATAAGTTTGTGGTAATTGAAGCTCGAGGAGCGATGGACTGATTGTTGATGTCTCGGTCGTTAACAATGCTTTGGAAACGACGGTGGGAATTAGGGGTTCGAAAAAGTGACGCGTGAGATCGTAGCTGAAAGAAAAGATATAGGAAATAGACGGCGAGAAGAATGACAGACACTGCTCGACTGAAGCTGAGGGCCATGCGATCTGATGATTGCACATCCTTCAAGCTTCCATAGAAAGCATTCTACTGAAGTTAGAACCGAGGCAGGGCAATTTTTCTTTAGCATCGTTGACATACTGGAATCATCAGGCAAGAGACTGTAAGGTTGAGTAGTCCGACAAATGCGTGTGTCAGATCACTGTTGTAGGTTTGATTCGGAGATTTGAGGCCACCGGCTATGATAGAAGATCCCAGGACAAGCAACAAGTTGACAAGAATGGAGCCGAGAAGAGACGACTGGACAACCTTGATTGTTCCCTTCATTAACGTCGTGCTGTTATCAGGTGTCAGCAGCGAATATAACAAGAGAGTATTCAATCATCGAGCTCACATGCTACAATACTGTTAGTACAAGGACCTATGTCGAGCTGGAAATACTCACAATATTGCAAGCTCGGCCAGATTGCCGGTAGTAATGTTGAGAAGAGCGCCCATTGTCTCTCCAAAATCTTGTGAGATGCTCTCTGTTGCATGGGTGAGAGTAACAGACAACGGGACAATAGCGATCAAGTTCAATATAAAAATGGCAAGGGCCGGGACATCAGTGTTGGACACTAGGATTGCTGCCGCAGAAAGTCCGAGAGAGCATAATGTTGTAAAGGTCAAGAGAGCTTTAGCTTGCTCCTTGAATGCTGGGATGCGTTGGAGGCAGAGCTCGTGGCCATGATGGGGGGTCCGAGGTATTGAGTGTTCTGGTGATAGACCACTCTGAAATTTCTCACATAATCTTCTGAAATGATGACAGACGCATTGCTTGAGGTGAAATCTCGAAGCTTCATCTGTATGGTCCAATTATTGGCATCCGCAGGATAGAGGCTTATAGTTTCTGTGCTCAATTTAACTCACGCGAAAGACTTCGGTAATGAAAATAAGATCCCCCGGGTAAACCATGGCCGGGATATGAACGTGGAATGAGGTTTGTACTGTCTTCGCACACTGAATCTTCACAATCCTCGTTGTTGTGGTCAAGGCTGTCATATCCTTGGGTTGTGGTCATACTGGTAGTATTCCCTGAATGTACCAAACTGCCTTCTCAAGATTGCGAGAAAGGGATATACAATGTCGGTTGCAAAACTGAGCAAAGCAGATATATTTAAGTCGGAAATCTCATAATGAGGGATGATGCTGTCTCCTGAAGGGTTGCGCGAATTGATTGGTCCCGCAACCAATCAGCGGGGGTTCTATCTTGGCCACGGATAAATTTCTGAGGCACTAGCTCTGAGTAGATACTAATCATCCTCTACGATCACTAACATCGCCCCATCATGTGGAGGGGGAATAGGAGATGATATGTGGAGTCGGCGGCGCTGATTGGTGCAAGTGATCGGAGTCTTTGGACACAGTAAATCCCTCGCCTGAACCGTGTGATTCGGCAATGAGCCATTTACGGGATGGATGACCGACTCGACCCTTATGACCCTTTGAAAGGACGATTGTGTTATAACTGATTGGAACCCCGGGAAATCAAAATATGGAGGATGCTTCCACTCGGATATGTAGTCCATCGTCTGACGTGACTTGGCATGAAGTTATACCAAAATTGGACAGGTACTTGCTGACTTGTTAAAAAAATCTGATCATGAGATAATGCCTTTGAATCCTTTAGCTTACCAAGGTAGCTACAACTGCCCCAGTCTTTGTGATTGACAGTCGCAAGCCAATGTGAGAGAAGATGGAGATATGGAAGCTATTCAAAGAAAGACCTTGCCGAATGACACCGAATGACACGCCGATCCAGCCGATTTGACTCAACTTGACTCGAGATGAGCGGGCGCCCCGGCCGACCGAGGTGGGCCGTGCGTTTGTTATTAAAAATCAATCTAGACACCTTTCCAACAACTCTTCAGATAACAATTGCACAGCATGTTGGAAAACGACGTACTCGAAGTGCTTGGGCAGACCCCCTTTCTTTACAAGCTATACACTCAGATATGCTGCGTGTTCCCAGTACCCGATCCGTCCGCGCACGATGCCATTGTCGATACCCTAGCCAAGGGTCTCGATCGGCTAGCAGGTAGTTTTCCATGGCTAGCCGGGCAGGTCATCAACGAGGGGGCAAGTGAAGGCAACACAGGAGTCTACCGCATAATCCCGGGGGACAAGATCCCGCTGGTCGTCAAGGACCTCCGACACGATCGGTCTGTGCCAACATTGGACGACCTCCGCCGGGCCAATTACCCATTCAGCATGCTGGATGAAGAACTCATTGCGCCCTGTATGACTCTCAATCTACCAGGAAGCTCAATTGGTCTCGCCAAAGACTCGGCGCCGGTCTTCTGCGTTCAAGCCAACTTCATCACGGGTGGCCTGATGCTGACTCTTGTCGGTCAACACAATGTTATGGACATGACCGGCCAAGGACATATGATCCGCCTACTTTCCAAGGCCTGCCATAATGAACCGTTTACAAGCGAAGAGGTGTTCTCGGGAAACCTTCCCCGCGCCACCACCATTCCCCCTCTAGACGACTCATACCAACCAGGGCCTGAGCTCGCCGAACAGATCGTAAAGCCTCTTGCGCAAACTACAGAGAACGCCGCAGAACCGCTTCCCCCTCCTCCGAAATGCATCTGGGCCTATCTGACCTTTTCCGCCAAGTCCCTTGCTGCTCTCAAATCTCTCGCATCCAAACATATTACTTGCGGCTTCATTTCCACTGATGACGCTGTCAGTGCCTTCCTGTGGCAATGCATCATTCGTTCTCGACTGCCTCGCCTGGAGCCGAGTGCAAAGGCACTTTTCACGCGCGCCGTCAATGTTCGGCGTCATTTGGGTGTCCCATCGGGCTACCCTGGCCTGGCACAGAATCTAGTATATCACAGAGATTCAGTCCAGACGCTGGCCGAGGAGCCCTTGGGAACTCTCGCATCAGAATTTCGCTCGGCGATCGATCCCAAAAAGGTTGATCTGGCATTCAACACTCGTGCGCTAATAACCTTTCTCAGCCGCTCACCTGATAAGACCGTCGCTTCGGTCGGTGCGACAGTGGATAGCAAGAGAGATTTTATGATCAGCTCTTGGGCTAATATCGATTGCTATGAGCTGGATTTCAATCTGGGGCTAGGAACCCCGGAGGCAGTGCGGAGACCGTGCTTGACTCCCATTGAGAGCTTGGGTTATTTGATGCCAAAGTCACCATCGGGGGAGATGGCAGTAGGGATTTGTTTGAGAGAGGAAGATTGGGAGAGATTGAAGGCAGACGAGGAGTTTATTAAATATGGGCAGTACGTAGGGTAGTTACAGTAGTTAGGGCAAGGTTACATACTACTAGTCCGCTTTCCCCTTGTCTCCGCATTCCCGTGCCTCCGCATTCGACTCCTCCTTCCTTCCTCCTCTCACTCTCACACTCACCTATTCTTCATCTTCTTGCTTCTCTTCCTTGTCCCCATAAATCCCAGTCCTTTCTCTATATAGTTCCTTTTCAATCTTCCCTCCCCATCTCCCCATCGGCACATCGTCATCATGGGTGGAGAAACCCCCCAGCCCTTCCCCGCCCCAGCCTCGAAGCCACTCCCCCAGCTCGCTGAGCGCCCAGTCGGCCGGCGTATCACCAAGCTTTACACTGATCGGTTACGCCAGTTTACTGATACGGGCGCTTATTCGGGTCAGAACTTGGTGTCGAAATATTTCGAGGCTGTGAATTCAGACGAGGACCATGTCAAGTTATCGGTCTATTCCGTCCCCAACCTGCAGCGACCGACGTTCGAAGATGCAACCTCACAGGAGTTTAAACCCACCCACATCGGCGCCTCCTTTGGTCCCAGCTGGTCCACTCATTGGATCCGCGTTCGTCTCACCGTCCCGGAGGACATGCGCCAGAAAGAGCACCTGGAGTTCCACTGGGATGCCAATAATGAGGGCATGGTGTGGACGGAGGATGGCCATCCTCTGCAGGGTTTGACCGGCGGCGGAGAGCGTATCGAATGGATTATTCCTGACGCATGGCGTGATGGCAAGCAACACACATTCTATATCGAGATGGCTTGCAACGGAATGTTCGGCAATGCCCCGGGCGGTGATACCTATCAGCCCCCAAGCCCGGATAGATACTATACACTGAGCACAGCCCGTATCACAGCTGTGAACCTCGAGGCACGAGCGCTGTACTATGATTTCTGGGTCATCGGTGATGCCGCCCGTGAGTTCCCCGGGGACTCCTGGGAGGCTCACGAAGCCAACATGGTGGCCAATTCGATGATCGACGTCTTCATCGCTGGCGATGGAAGCCAAGAAGGTATTTTAGAGGCGCGCAAAGTCGCCAGACGATATCTGGGAGACAAGGTGGATTCGTCCGAGGTCTACTCAACCGACACCACGCCCGTAGCTTATGCTATCGGTCATTGCCACATCGATACATGCTGGCTATGGCCATGGGCTGAGACAAAGCGAAAGGTAGCGCGGTCATGGTCGAACCAATGTGATCTGCTGGAGCGCTACCCAGAACACCGCTTCACCTGCTCGCAGGCGCAACAATTCAAATGGCTGAAGCAGTACTATCCGTCTGTCTTCGACCGGGTGAAGCGCTGGGTGAAGAGAGGCCATTTCCAGCCTATTGGTGGCAGCTGGGTCGAACACGACACCAACTTGCCGAGCGGCGAGTCCCTCGTGCGACAATTCCTCTATGGCCAAAGATTGTTCGAAAGCTACTTTGGCAAACGATGCACAACCTTTTGGCTGCCGGATACGTTTGGATATTCTACTCAGCTTCCCCAGCTCTCTCGCCTGGCTGGCATGAATCGGTTTTTCACCCAGAAGCTCAGTTGGAATAACATCAACAACTTCCCTCATACTACCTTCCGGTGGGTCTCTCTTGATGGTAGCCAGGTGCTCTGCCACATGGCTCCTGCAGAGACTTACACAGCCGAAGCCAATTTCGGCGACCTCAGGCGCAGCATCACACAGCACAAGTCTTTGGACCAGGATAAGACGTCACTGCTTGTCTTTGGTAAGGGAGATGGCGGCGGTGGTCCCACGTTTGGGCATCTGGAGAAACTACGCCGCTGCCGAGGTCTGAGTGACCAGACTGGCTCCCTGGCCCGGGTACAGATGGGAGGCTCGGTCGATGACTACTTCGAACAACTGGAAGCAAAGGCGGCCAATGGTACGCAGTTTACAACGTGGTACGGTGAGCTATATTTCGAGCTTCACCGGGGCACATATACCACCCAGGCCAATAACAAGCGCAACAATCGCAAGTCAGAGTTCCTGTTACGCGAGATTGAATTCCTAGCCACACTGGCGACTCTCCGAGGCTCCGATAAGGGCTACAGTTACCCGAAAAAAGAAATCGATGAAATGTGGGAGGGCGTTCTTCTGTGTCAGTTCCACGACTGCCTTCCTGGCAGTTCCATCGAGATGTGCTACGACGACTCAGATGAGCTATACGCAAAGGTCTTCAAGACTGGTGCAAAGCTGCGGAGAGATGCTCTGGAAGCTCTTGGGATTAGCGGCCACGCGGCTAGCGAGAACTTAGTCGCTATTAACACTCTACCGTGGTCTCGTTCTGAGGTTGTCAAGATCCCCAAAACGCTGACCAGCTCCAATGGACCCGAATATGCCCTGGTCGATGGGACCAATGGAGTTATTCCCTGTGCGGAAGCGGATTTCAATTCCACTACCTCGGCTCTGGTGGGTGAGATCCAACCGGGCGTCTTCCGTCTCATGAATGGCAAGCTCAGAGTCGATGTCCAAGATGGCGCTATCACGTCGCTTTTTGACTTGGAAGCAAACCGGGAGGTTGTCGCCAAGGATGGCAAGGCGGGCCAATTCGTCATCTTCGACGATAAACCACTTGCCTGGCAAGCATGGGACGTCGAGGTCTTCCATCTCGAATCCAGGAAAGAGCTGCGCAGCAGCAAGACAGTCATTGTAGAACAGGGGCCACACCGCGCCAGTGTCGTGACCGAGACCAAGATCAGTGACAAGAGCTGGGTGAAGACTACTATCAGTTTGTCAGCTTCTGTGTCAAGTGAGCCATCGTATGTGGAAATGGAAAGCGAGGTTGAATGGCAGGAGACGATGAAGTTCCTCAAGGTCGAGTTCCCCGTTGATATCACCAACACAGAGGCCTCCTATGAGACTCAGTACGGCATCATGCGCCGACCGACTCACTATAACACAAGGTACGTGCCATCCTGTTTCTGTTGATCGGTTTTATGTATACTGACACCGCACAGCTGGGACATGGCCAAGTTCGAAGTCTGCTGCCATAAATGGGCGGATCTCTCTGAGCACGGATACGGCGTTTCGATCCTCAATGATTCCAAGTATGGCTTTGCTACATCTGGAAACGTGATGCGCCTCTCGTTACTTCGTGCTCCAAAAGCCCCTGATGCCCACGCCGACATGGGTCGCCATCACATCCGCTACGCCATCCTACCCCATTCTGGTGGTCTTGATGCCCGCACCGTACGCGCAGGGTACAACTTCAACCACCCGCTTGTCCTGGAGCGAGCAGGCCCGAAGGCCTCCGCAACAGACTCGATTTTCAAGTCTGTGTCTATTCACGGTGCTCCGTCTCTTATCCTGGATGCCGTTAAGCGTGGTGAGGACGACGAAGATGTTTCGACTGGCGATCTCCCCTCACGACCTGGCAAGAGTGTTATTTTGCGCATTTATGAGTCGCTTGGTGGAAAGGCTCGTGGGTCTATTCAGAGTACTCTCCCTGTCAAACGGGTCTGGAAGTGCAATATCCTCGAGGATGATGAAGAGGAGCTGGATCGCCGAGATGTGGATGATGGCTCCGCTGTGGATATTGAGCTGAGGGCTTTCGAAGTCGCTACATTCCGCTTGCAACTGTAATTTGTATTCTTTTGTGATGAGGCGAATGAATGGAATGTGTTTTGCTTTTTGAGTTTTAACTGAGGGTATTCCCCGTAGCCCTTGAATCTGACCTCGATAGATTCATGCATAGACATGGCGAACCTGCAGTCGGCTTTGATGAATCTGTGATGTACATGATGTCGTCTGAACAATCGAGACAAGTTTCCTGCGCCTTAGCTCATACAGTCCCAGCCAGAATGATATAAAAACAACAAGTCCCCTAAACTCCAAGCTCGCAGGAAAGAAAGAAGGAAAGCACAACCGCCATACGGTTCAATCTCTCCCATAGCTGATCTTCAACCGCTTAACAGGCGGCTTATCCCCAGCATCATCCGAATCATCAAAAGCTTTCCCCTTCGTATTCTTAGACCCACCGCCGCCACCCTTCTTCTTATTCTTAGACCCCGCCGCGGCTTTCATACCGGAGGCAGTCGAAGACGCGTCGCCGTTATTCTTAGATGAAGACATATTTCCGCCGGGTGTGGACGTCGGCGTGGCTGCGTGGGAAGGAGTGGTTTGTGCAGACGACGGACCGGGTGAGTCGACCATGTAACTTGCGGAGCTGCGCGAGAAGACCCGATCTGAATCGTTGACTTGGGCTTTCCGCCGACCACCCACACTCGAAGAGAGACCCAGCCCCGACGCGCCGAGACTGCTTCCGCTAGATGAACCCTTGATGTAATTGTCGAAGCCTTTGATGATGTTTCCGGCGGTGGTTTCTTCGAGGTAGGATTGTTCGAAGCGGAAGATTTGGTCTTCGAGTTGAGCCTGAAGAGGGGAATGTATGTTAGCAGGGATTATTTCTTCGGTTTTTGCTTGCGATCGAAGAGAGAGCTTTGCAGAATTGGCCGTCTGCCGGGTTGTCTTCAAGACACAGACGCGACTTTCAAGCTCAGCAACTTACCATGCTCTTGTCCATCAATCGCTTCTTCTGCAATGAGTCTCGCAGTTCCCGCCGCAGTTTTTCATAGTATGGCAGCCCGCGATTCGTCCCGTTCTGGTCTGCTGGCGCATTCGCGCCCCCTGTGCTTGTGCCGCCTGCCGGGGCCGCGGTGCCGTTGGTCGTGGGCGCGGCGGTGGCGGAGGTAGTGTCCGCCATATTGTCGAATGGATTCCTTCAGAAGGTGTCTATGGGGGGATTCATGCGCCCGGAATACGACCGAAGAAAACCAGGCGAGGATGCGTAGGAGCTGTGTTCAGGCTGGCCGGCCTTATCGAGTTGTTTGTCACGTTTGCATCGGCCACTTTCCCTTGTTTGTCCCCACTCGACTCTCTGCCCTGCCTTCGTACTCACTATACGTCCTCTGGCCTTGTCTTGTCTTCGAGTCTATATCGTTTCTCAAAATGGATCACTCGATGCACCACATGTCCCACGACCATGGCGACATGGACATGGGACAGTGCGACATGAATGCAAGTCCCTAGCTAACTGTCCCATCAACCCACCATCTGGACCTCATGCTAATCAGACTAAATAGATGCTCTTCACCTGGTCGGCCAAGAACCTTTGTATCATATTCCCTCAGTGGCGCGTCACCGGCCCATTCACCTTCCTCTTCTCCCTTGTCCTCATCGTCCTTCTCACGGCGGGCTACGAGGCCGTCCGCCAAATCACCCGGCGGTACGAAGCTGCCCATAATCAGCGCTTGAACGCGTTTACGACGACTTCCACAACAGGGGGTAAGTCTTTCTCTTTCCTTCCTCCTCTGGCAATCTACAAGGCGCTGGCATGGTGGATCTGGTCCTACATTTCCTCAATTGTATATTGCTGAGCCAGTCTCGTTGACGTCTTGCTTCTTCGCAGACGATGAGATCACTGCCAGATCTTCCTCTGCCACTGCCAACGTCTCTGCGGACGCTGCACGCCGCCAAATTCAGGATGAAGGCTCACCGTTGCTTGTAGGGAGGGAAAATAGGGCGGCGCTGGCGCGTCGAGGGCGGATTACCTTGGCTGCGTTGTATGCGGCGCAGGTGTTTTATAGCTTTTTTATCATGTAAGTGCTTGGTTTCTGTCCATTGGAGCTGGCTGACTCGCGGAATTCTACTTGGATACAGGCTTCTCTTCATGACTTATAACGGCATGATCATGCTTGCAGTCGCTGTTGGCGCATTCTTTGGATATCTCCTCTTCGCCGACGGCACTCCGGCTGCCAAGACGGTTGCTTGTCATTAAATATATTGCTATTCCTTTTGGACGGAATGAAGCGTGTGTGCGAATTTTTCTACTTTCAATGGAGGTTTAATTATCATATTGTATTGTCACCAGTTGAGAGTCCAGATTCTGTCCCGAATTGGGTTCTTTTATGGAACTTCCACATCGCTACCATCGTCTCCGAAGCCAAAGCTGAAGCCACCAGCATTTTCGTCTGCGGCTTCTTCTCCTGTCTTTCCGTGGACGATCTCATCCCATTTTCGCTTTTTCCCATCTGCCTTCTTCTGTAGCTCTTCCAGCGCCTGATCCAACAGATCGGGGTGTCTCTCTCGCATACCATCCAGAAATCGTTGATATGGGTCATTGACATCCTTCCTGAACCCAGATACCTGGTCGGCTTTGTTTGACAAGAAATCGAGCGCCGCACAGAGGTGAGACCGAGGGATAAAGTTCTGGGTGATGGCGATGGAAGGTTCCAAGTTCACGACCAAATGCCACCACCCGGACGGAACGTGGAGGATCTCGCCCTCGCCGCAAATGCCTTCCACGCATCCGGGAGTACGCCGTGCCTCGGCGTGGAAACTGAGAAGCCACTCGGCGATGCTCAGCGGCGAGGTCACCTCGCTCTGATCCTCTGATACGTACACACCCGGCGGAGGATGCTGCTTCTCGCCGGACGGAAACATAATCCAGTACTTCGGGCCGCGGAGCACGGCGTTCCATGCGCTGGTGGCGTTGGGATCTTTGTGAAATTTGCTTCCGGATCGTTCAGGCCCGACGATGAGCCACTGTCGGTCGGGGCGGTCCGAACCCAGCACTGAGAAGAGGTCCTCGCCAAAACATGAGGGTGGCCAGTACGCGGCGTCTGGTGTTTCATCGGGAGGACCGACGGTCAGTCCCATTTTCGAGACGAAGGCGCGGTCAAATAGATATAGCGGACTCTCGTCGGAGTTATCCGCCATGTAATCGCCGTATGTGCGCAGAGTCCAGTCCACGGCTTCGGCGCGGAACTTGATCTGGCTGTAGCGAGACAGCAGTGTGCCCACTGTCCAGTCTTTATACACTGGCCAGGCCTTGACTGGCTCGGTCAAGATGAACGGCCGGTCTGTCCAGTCGGCCAGAAATTCATCAGGAGACAAGTCCTGGAAACGCGCAATTTGATTCCGCGCGGGGATGTTCGATACAAAGGGCTCCAGTGCAATATGTGCGCAATTGAAGGGCCGGTAGAGTGCATCCGAGAACAGATGAGAGCAGTCCACCATGGGCACCTTGGAGGCAGGCAGGTTGAGATACGTTGATCTCCATGTTCTTCTCCATGTGAAGGAGGATAGGTCAGAGCTGGACAAATCATTAGTACTCAGGTTTTACGTTGACGTTCTTGCCAACTCAGGCACTGTATATCTTTGCCTGCTGGACAATGCATGTAATTATTCAAGAGATATCTTACCTCACAAATAATGCCTTCCACAGCTCCTCCGCCCGCGTAAAGGCATAGAATGCTTTGCAAGTTCTCCCAACACGCAGCAGACTGGGCCCGTCGAAAAACTCCAGCAGCGTCAGGATCAACTCGTCGGGCAGTTGCTTGAAGGGGCCCATCGCATCGCGCAAACTCCAGGTGGCCAAGAGCGCATTACCACTGGGCTTCACACCTAATGGATGCGAGGGGATCGCCTCGTGGGCGCTGCTGATCCCCTCTGGATGGCCGGGGAGAGATGTGATGTCAGGCATGGTCGGCAGTCCGCCACATTAGGGCTTGTAGGATTTTGGGGCTCGACCTCACACAGAGGGAATCGGGACAACCACAGCATCCACGGCACAGTAAGCCTACCTAGAGTGACACTACCAACATGCAGGCCATCCAGTCCAGCGCCACCAGCACAAAAAAGGCACTCCAGGCACGAACAATACGGAAAATAGGCGAACAAGGAACCGCCCGAGCCACACACTGCGGTGATGGAAGGGGAAGGCGGTGAGGCTCTTCCCGAGAAAAAAAAACCCCCAAGCGTGGAACCAAGAATTAAGACTGGCGGAGGATTTTTTTCTCTTCTTTTTCTTCTTCTTCCCTTCCCTACCCACCCATACCATTTGGACTTTCTATTCTCACTTCTACTCTCCCACTTTCTAGTATCCCAGTTTGGCTCTTGGATTTCAAGAGCTGCGGTACTAGATCAAGTCTTTTATAACAGAAAGACTTCCCACAGCGCTCGTTCGCTAAAACTTCTTCCCTCTCCCCCACCACACGGATCACAGCGACACACGCCTGTGACCGCCCACCTTCCAACCGCAAATATGGCTTCCAACGACAAGGGCCTCGAGGAACTTCCCGAGGGTATGTACGATCTTTTTCTCCTCGTGCCTGGTTTTCCATATTCTATCGAGACGGCGATCGTGATCGCGCTCGGTGGCGATGGCGTTTCCTGCACGATGGCCGACGAGAACCCACACGCTGACCATTGCCTTCCACAACAACAGGAATGATCGAGTCCAACTACGATGAGATCACCGACTCTTTCGACGCCATGGACCTGAAGCCCGAGCTGCTTCGCGGTAGGTGATCCTGACAAAACGCCCCCTCTGGTGGGGTACATTGAGAAAATTTCCTGACCGATAAAACCAGGTGTCTACGCCTACGGTTTCGAGCGCCCCTCGGCCATTCAGCAGCGTGCCATCATGCCCATCATCAAGGGTGAGTTTTTTGGTCCATCAACATGCCCGAATGACGGCCTAACAAATCTATCTCAGGCAGCGATGTGATCGCCCAGGCCCAGTCCGGTACCGGAAAGACCGCCACTTTCTCCATCTCCGCTCTCCAGAAGATCGACCCCAACCTGAAGTCCTGCCAGGCTCTGATCCTCGCTCCCACCCGTGAGCTGGCCCAGCAGATCCAGAAGGTCGTGGTGGCCATTGGTGACTTCATGAGCCTCGAGTGCCACGCCTGTATCGGTGGTACCAACGTTCGTGAGGACATGACCGCTCTCCGCGAGGGCCCTCAGGTCGTCGTCGGTACCCCCGGCCGTGTTCAGGACATGATCCAGCGCCGTGTTCTGCGCACCGACCACATGAAGCTGTTCGTCCTTGACGAGGCTGACGAGATGCTGTCGGTAAGTTTGTTTCTGTCTTCTTTTAAGAAGAACACCGCACTGACAATGAATCCAGCGTGGTTTCACCGAGCAAATCTACGACATCTTCCAGCTTCTTCCCCAGTCCACCCAGGTTACTCTGCTGTCGGCCACCATGCCCCAGGACGTCCTGGAGGTGACCACCAAGTTCATGCGTGACCCCGTCCGTATCCTGGTCAAGAAGCAGGAACTCACCCTTGAGGGTATCAAGCAGTTCTACATCGCCGTCGAGAAGGAGGACTGGAAGCTGGATACTCTGTCCGATCTCTACGAGACCGTCACCATCACCCAGGCTGTCATCTTCTGCAACACCCGCCGGAAGGTCGACTGGCTGACCGACAAGCTGACTGCCCGTGACTTCACCGTCTCGGCCATGCACGGTGACATGGAGCAGGGCCAGCGTGACGTGATCATGAAGGAGTTCCGCTCCGGTTCCTCCCGTGTGCTGATTGCCACTGACCTGCTGGCCCGTGGTATTGATGTGCAGCAGGTTTCACTGGTCATCAACTACGATCTGCCCGCCAACCGTGAGAACTACATCCACCGCATCGGTCGTGGTGGTCGTTTCGGTCGCAAGGGTGTCGCCATCAACTTCGTCACCGCTGATGATGTGCGCATGCTCCGTGAGATCGAGCAGTTCTACAGCACCCAGGTCGAGGAGATGCCCATGAACGTTGCTGACCTCATCTAAACACCCTCAACCCCTCCTGTTACGTCTGATGCGGATTATGATGGCAGAACCTGCGTCAAAAGTGGTTTTCTGTGTCTCCAATACAACTCCGCGCGCAACGGCCTGGTGAAACCGGTCTGAGTTTCGGGTCCTTGCCACGGACATGGTTTCCTATGTTTCCTTGCACCCCCGGAGATGCGACATGTTATGTGCCTTTTCTTGCTCCCACGGTTGTTTTTTTCCTCTTTCTCGCATTTCTTCCGTGTTCTACTTCCCCGTCTCTGTATTTAGCTCGCTCCGGTTGGTTAAGAATGCCGCTGCTCTCGTACTTAATCAATAGATCGGGCCAAAATGTGACTTGTTCCCTCGGGGTTTCTTCTCGTATGCTGCCTTTCGTGTACATCTCCTGCCTTGTATCCCTCGTCCTATTCTCTATTTTAGTCTATAGAACAATGGGTTTGTCCAAAACCCACAAGAACCCACTGAGGCATTATCGTATATGGATGTCCTACTGACTGGTGTCATAGGTATTTACTGCTGCCCTCGCTGGATTTATTTATACGGCCTCTCTTCTTACACTGTGTCTCAAGTTTAGCTCGTAGAATACACGTATGTATTTGATCCGATGATATGTGCAAGATATAGAAATCAACAATAACGGTCTCTAGGTCTCCTTGAACTCATAGCGACCCTCTCGATCCACAACCTCAACCTCAATGCGCCCTTCCTCAATCTCCTTGCCATCAACTTCAATCGACGCCTTCATCACATCTCCGGCCCTGACCTCGCCCACTCCCTTAGGCGTCCCGGTTAGGACAATGTCACCCTTCTCCAGGGTCATGACACGCGAGATCTGCGCCAGCTGCTGCGGGATGCGGTAGAGCATCAGACTGGTCGAGTCCGCCTGGCGCTCGGTGGTGCCGACACTGAGGCGCAGGAACGCGTCGTGCGGGTTGGGGATGCGCGACTTGGCGATCTCCTGCGATATGGGAAGGAAGGTGTCAAACCCCTTGGCGATCGACCAGGGGAGACCCTTCTTCTTTGCTTCCTCTTGCACGTTGCGCGCGGTCATGTCGATGGCAAGGATGTAACCTGTGTAAACACACATGTCTTGTCAGTCGGAATCCAAATAGACGGGTTACTTGCCCACTGTGGTGGATGGAGACTGAAGAGAAGAGGACACCTACTCTGAATCGCGTCCAGAGCACCTTGCTCGTCCTCCGGGTCCAGGTCCCGCACTGTTTTGCCCATCACCAGTCCCAGTTCCACCTCATAGTGCAGGTTCGTGCCCTTGGGCCGCAGGACGGGGCCGCCACCCGGAAGGAGTATCGAGGAGGCGGGCTTGAGGAAGAAGAAGGGCTGCTTGGGTTTGGTGTTGTTCAGCTCGGTGATGTGGTCCCTTTAATGGTGATTCCGTGAGTCAGTCTTCTTTTGAGTCTGCGGGAAAATCTTCCGGGCACAACATACGCATAGTTGCGGCCGATGCACATAATCTTGCGGCAATTGGCTCGGATGGACGCCATAGCGAGGGTGGGTTATGCTGTGCGACTTGGGGAGAAAGGTGAGAGAGTAACAATGAGATAGGAATGCTGAGAGGTTGAACTCGGCCGGCCTCCGACTTGCGGAGGCGGATGCCCGCGCCGACCGCTTGTATCTTTAACCGCACTCCGATATAGTTAATATCACATTTCTTTAATTGTGATGCATAGCACTGTTGTCAAGAAGTGCTCAAGGATCTAAGTTTTTTTTTAGCTATTCATAGATACTGCCAAAAGTACCAAGAACACGACTGTATGCCCTCGGACGAGCTGGCCGGGCAGTCGGATGGATCCGATGTAGACCTCGGGCATCCATTGTTAGGTCCGGTTAACTACCTACACTGCATAGTTAGACCAATATAACTTGGTAATAATGGCATTTATGTTCAGTACCACAGTATTAGCCTATGGGTGTCTGTGCTAACTCTTTTCCAAGTATTAGACTCGAGTAACTATCGCAGCTGCAGCAAAGCAGCAAGAATGCCACCCATGAGCAACATGGGTCTTGCGGTATTCACCACACCAGGTCCTGAGGCAGTAGTACTCGTAGCCTCGGACTTGATATTAGCAACCTTACCGCTAGAAGACGCATCAGTGCCCGTAGAAGCTGACGTGATGAGGGCCGTGCCTGATTGAGTACCTGCCACAGTAACGGTTGCAGACGTGATAGTGCCATATGCTGTAATGGCTGGAACGTCAAAGGTGTTGTCTCGCGTCCATTGATTCAAAGTGGTTGTATCGTCACAACACTGAAGTCAATGATCAAGTCAGAATCTTAGAGAAGCATTGCGAGGTCAGACACGCTTGAACGGTCCACCCTTCGCTTGGTGCAGACAAGCTCTGGAGGCAGCCACTCGCTAATTTTCCCACCCGGTACCCCTGGGGCCTCTTCGAAGACTTCGTCCTCACCTCCAACTAACATCAATCCGACCGCGATGCCAGATAGCCATGCTAGGACCATTCCCTCTCCCTGAAACCCTGCTGAGATCCATTCCGCGGGCTGCTTTCCTTCTTTTGCTGAGCGTGGTGCTATGCGCTGGGTGAATTCTGGGTCTAGAATGCCAACATAAGGCAGGAGGTCTGGCGTGAATCCCATACAACCAGTCCAGGCCATTTTTATCCTAGTACCGTTATCAGGACCCCAGTTGTGTGCTCCGAAGATCGTGGGCAAGAGACCATGAAGATAGGCGCTGATGGAGTAGCTGCTTTTATCATCTCTCCAAATCCCGAATTCATCCATTCCCTTTTCTGGTGATTGAACCACGCCACCACCTGCCATGAGTGCACCGCCCGTCCCCGGGCGTTGGGTGATATAGTCGAAGCCGCGTTTGTGGATGAAGCTCCATGACCTGGAACCGTCAAGCTTTGGAAACAAAGTCCCAGGTTCTTGCGCTGTCATATGTCCTCGGACAGGGAAGATCTTGCCCTTCAATCCCGGCAAAAGGTTCGCTGCAAATGCGTCTGTCGCATGGACGACATGGGTTGCAGTAATTTGTCCCCGGGGTGTATGAATAGTAAATGGTCGCCTAGGATCATCTGAATTCACTTGTATTTCAGTTGCAGGAGTGTTGGTCTCAATAGAAAAAGTAGAGCTGTATGCTGAGAGAAGGGATTCATAGAGGGCTGTCACAAAGCGATATGGCCACAGCGCTCCAGCCTTGTAGGTTATGATGCCATAGCAGTGTTGAGGGTCGATCCCAAGTTCCTATGGTGATTTAGTAAGATAGCAAAAAGAGAAAAGACACATGAGTCTCACTTCGCATGCTCCGATGCCCTCATGAACCACGATATCCTCCGCCATGTCAGGAACATCCTGTCTCAACTCTTGCACCATTCTCTTAGCATCGTTCCACATCTTTTCATCGGTAAAAGTATCCACTGTCTGAACTTCTCTGGCCTCACTAATTTTCAGTTTTTCGGTCTTCTGTACCAGATCAAGTATGACGGCCAGATGTCGTCTCTGAAATGTGAGTAATTTCTTTGCATTCGTCACCCCAAATCTCGTCCTCAGTCCAGCGTATTCCAGATATGGTGAACACTTGATATGGCCTCCATTTCTTCCGGTCGCGCCGCTGCAAAGATTCCGCGCTTCTAAAACCACAACTTTCGGAGGAGAGACGGAGTTTGCACTTTTGTGCGACTGCTTGAAGAGTGCATATGCCACACTGGCGCCTGAGATACCGGACCCGATGATGACAATATCCGCTGTCGCTGGCAGATTCGGAGATTGGATATCAACTAAGTTCGGAAACGGCGGGTGTTCTTGCCAAAAGGATTTGGATGGATTTGGCACAGGAAGTATTGAAGTCGAGACCCGAGAAAGCAGCGCGTCAAAAGATTGTTTAGTTTGGCTGATTTCAGAGATCACGGCGCTCAGATCGACATAAACATGTTTTATGCTGGAGAAAACACCTCCCATAGTGCCGCGGACCCAGTGCCTGGCACGACTGAAGGTTGCAGCAGGGAAGCAGCGGTTGCAGGATCAACAGTTCAGACGATGGAAGGTAATAGTCAACGCGTCGAGGTATCCACGCACGGGGCCCGCGGGACCCGCCGATGTCATCGAGCGACATCCGTTATGAACAATTCTTACAGTATGTCCACCTGCATTCTTTGATTTTTTTCTCGAACCCTAATACTAAGGTCTACCAAACGTTATCGAGAATAGCTACGGAAGAGCAATAAATATTTCTGTCTTTATTTATACAGTATTTTACCGAATTAATTACATGCCTCTTGTCTTATACCCTTGTGGGCGATAGTATCCATCGGTGGCGACTAAGCAGCTTATTCAGGATATTGTCAGCACCCACGTAGAGGACTCGGTTTCCGATAGAACAAACTATATGAAGACTCAGTCTTGCATATTTGGCAGTTTTCTCCAGCCTGCCTCCTTTTGCTCTATGTAAAATCATTATACAGTGTTTTATTTTCTTGGAATATTCCTCTAATACCACAACCAATCCAGAATGCCGGCCCCGTTCGCCGAAGACCAGAATGGCTCCTGCGGCATGAATATACACGCTAATATTGAGCGTCTGGACCTTAAGCCGACAATCCAGCCTTTCGCTGGCCGTATTGGTGGCCACCAGGGCCTAGTGCTAGACCCTAACGATGCAAGCAACGCCGAGCTGCTGAAGCGCATGCCAGATGCGGCGCCTTTGATAAGCTTGCGGCAGGTGTTTGATCTGAAAGCATTTCTTGATATCGACCTCTGGAAATTTAGTGCTACTGAGTGTGTAGGTAAGCAGAGGCAGTGACTCTAAACCTATCTATACGAAGCGCACTGACAACTGCGCGTCAAGGCACAATGATGCTAGACTTTATGACTTCGTGGATCGCAGCGCACCCGCGACCATCACCCACAATGACCTCATCTACAACGACTACCGCAGCCGGCGTTTACGCAACGGCTGCCTTCTTGGGGCCTTTAGTAGGTGGCATTAGCAACTTCCTTTTCCTCACCCTCTTTATCTTCACGTTCGCCTCCGTCAGTGGGGCTCATCTCAACCCTACTATTACCCTGGCCACCTTCACCGCACAACTAATCTCGTTCCCACGCATGGTCCTATATATTGCTGGCCAGATTCTCGGCGGCACCCTAGCTGGCCTTATGCTCCACACAGCGTACGGGTCGCGAAACTTCGTTGTAGGCGGTTGCGCTGTGGATACTGCGCTCGTGTCGGCGCAGCAGGCCCTCGTCCTAGAGTTTATTTGCTGCCTGACGCTCATATTTCTGGCTTTTGGGATTGGTCTAGATCCTAGACAGCTCCAGGTCTATGGAGCTTCGCTATCTCCTTGGTTGGTTGGGCTTGCTTTAGGCGTTGTAAGTTGGGCTTCGGCATTTACGAGACCAGGGTATGGCGGTGCCTGTAAGTTTACTCTTCTCATTTCTTTTCTTTTTAATCAGGAGGAGCGCCTGTAGTTTTTGCTTCCATGAACTAATCTTGCCCTCGCCATTGCCGTGGCGAAGGGACGATAGCGTTGAACCCTTCGAGATGCTTCGGCGTCTATGTTGGCTCGCAATTTCCTGGATACCATTGGGTCCACTGGGTAAGTTTTTGAGAGCAGTTGCTGATTACTATGCGTGGCTTATATGTTCTCTAATGGGACTCCGGCGTATACAGGTCGGTCCTATCGCCGCTAGCATAGCCCACAGCATTATGTACCATTTCGTACCTCCGTGGAAAACCGCACGCTAGCAGAGAATAATTTCGACTTACTCGCTGTAGTCATTGAGTTAGTGAGCTCGATTAACTATCTGTGTTCTTCCATTCTAAAGGATGACGATTCGCAAGGTGGAGGGAGGGGGAGGGGGGCATTGAGGTGTCGGTTCTGCGCCAAGACATTCTTCTCCGCGGTCGCATCTATCGAGACTCAACGTCATCCGAAACAACCATCTTTCGCCGCTGTGCAAAATGCAAGTCGCAGAAATTCTGTCTGATATCACATCATTACGAGTTTGTGTACGTCTTTACTGGCTTGCTTCTAATATCCCTGTCCCTTCCTTTTCTTACAGGCCCAGATTCTCGCCTTCACTACCCTATCGCCTGCTGACCTCTGATGCGTTGCCTGTATACCAAGAAAGCTAATACTCCCCAGGGCAACAAGGAGGCGCTCACCCTGGTGAATGTGCACACAATCATACCTAGTACTGAAACTGCTGGAGCCGGAAAGTCCGGGACAGAGAGTTCTTCACAAGGAGATGGACAACTCTCAAAAAAGGAGAAAGATCTCCTCCGTGTCAAAGAACTGGTTGAATTGCATTATGAAATGAAGGCCCGCCATGCTAATGGCGAAGTGGATGAAGACTTGAGGCGAGCGAGAGAGAATGTTCGTGAAGTGTGGGGAGACCTGGAGACTATGGTTTGATATCCAATTCTAGTATTAGACTTGTGCTAGTATCTAGATCTTCATGAGCATGTGGTACGTTATTTTTTCCGGATAATAATAATAGAAATTGATATTATGATGTCTGAACGTGCCTGCGAAGATCGAACAACTCTCATATTTCCAGCATGGAATTCAAAATCGTGTTCGTTCGTAAAAAAAAGGGAAATATTTGGTTCTAGTAAGGGAATGTGAAAAACCAGCTATTGTCGGAAGCTCAAACCATCGAGTACCTTGCATACTCCGAGGACAAAGTGCATTGCATTTATAGTCTGTGTGACTATGCATTACGCACGTTCATCATAATTTTACAAAAGTGTTCGGCTCAATTATTATCATATATGATGTAGGACCAGTAAAAAGAAATACAAGACCTATTTAAAACCATGAAAACAATGCGACTCGAAAGAAACTATGAAGCACCAATTCTGACCAAGTGGGAACCAAAAGCCCGACAGTTGCACACAAAATTCAATAGTCTACAGAAATCTCAATTAGCAAAGAGCACTATGTATATCTTGCAAGTTTAAATATAAGATGCACCATATTCTGAAGTTTACCTGGCCCTGATTTTGCATCCACGAAAGATATACCCCTGGACTGACTTGAGCAGACCCCAAGAATGGCTCCCAGGGTCCATATCAAAACACAGCAAATGCGGGCAGAATCATGCACCCTGAATGTTAGTTCAAGCTGTTTTGATATTGAAACTTTTATGGCAGTTCTTAATATCGCCTGTCATAGATCTTGGTTGCTGGTGCAGGGCTGGCCGGGTTGGGCGCGGCCATAAGCTGTCTTCTCGCTGGCCATAATGTACACGTTCTGGAAGCAGCCTCCGAAATTCGAGAGGTAGGAGCTGGGATTCAAGTTCTTCCCAACAGCTCACGAGTGCTGCAACACTGGGGGCTAGAAGAGAAACTTTCACTACACTGGGTGAATCCCCGGTGGTGCCACTTTAATGGGTGGAGAGGGAATCGCATATCTTCTATGGATTTTGACGAGTCACAGAGCCACTACCCAGGAACTTGGTATCGCTGCTTTCATCGACCGAAATTGCAGAAGACCTTGATCCACCGACTTGAAGAGCTTGGCGGCAAAATAACCTGTAATTCCAAGGTTGTGGACGTGCTTATTAGTCCGGACGGAGCGACGACCACTGTTCGCACTGAGGATGGCAGTCAGTGGACGGGTGACTTTCTAATAGGGGCCGATGGTGTATTTGGTAACCTGACAGAACGCTTCCTGGGACGTCCAGACCCACCAGTGAAGACAGGGGATTTGGCATATCGACTCTTGCTTTCTGTTCCAGATATGATGAAAGATCCCGAATTGCGTCCACTCATAACTGATCCTCAAATCAACTATTGGCTCGGCCCTGACAAACATATTGGTTAGTTTTATGGAAATGGTAAGCGAATTTTTTATTGGCTGACTATCACTTTTAGTTAATTATGTTCTTAACAAAGAACTCTTCAATATGGTTCTTCTGGTTCCCGATGATATTCCTGAAGACTCCTTAGCAACAACCGTACAAGGAAATGTTGAAGAGATGCGCTCCATGTTCAAGGAATGGGATCCTCGGTGAGGAACGTAATCATTTGAGCAGAACTGCCATTGATACTGACTCTTTATAGCATTGAAAAGCTGTTAAACCTTTGCACATCAGTCCACAAATGGAGATTGTGCATCAGATTCGGTGATTACAAATGGTCACATCCATCAGGGTCATGGGTGATGCTTGGAGATGCGGTCCACGCAACCTTGCCCTATCTAGCAGCAGGGTGAGCAAAGCATCTTCACATCCAAGACTATTTTACTATATCATGTTGCTAATGTGCTGTATTTTAGAGCGGGGATGGCATTTGAGGATGGGGCAGTTCTTGGAGAATGTCTTTCCCGTCTCCCAAACGATCCCAAAACCAGTAAATCATCCAAGGGGTTTCTGGACGCCAAGTGTCATGCTCTTGAGGTTTTTCAGAAATGTCGAAAGGACCGAACCCACATGGTTATCAAAAGATCACATAAACAGAGATATTTGGAGCATATGCCGGACGGCCCTGAACAAGAGGAGCGTGATAGGGAAATGCAGATGGTTCCCACGCCTCCAGGCGAGGCGATGGTTTGGCGCGACCCTGGGACTGCTCCCGAGTTGTTGAGGTATGATCATATCGCCGATGTGAGTATTTTCTCTATCCGCCAGATCCTCCTTCATGAGCTAAAAGCCTGACGAATAGGTGGATAAACACTGGGGCATTCGCTCTCAGGCCATGGAAAATGGGGCTTTAATGGAAGCTCGTCTTTGACCAAATTCGGAGAATCTATCTATAAGTAGGAATATAAGTATAAATGCTCTACGGACTAAACAGTATTCTTCATATCTCTCTGTGGATTGATTGAGTGGCCGAGTTTAGAGCCGAGGCAGCGAACAATCTCATTTGCTCATAATTTTGCCGTGGAGCAGAATCTGTCTGTCGCTTATTTGACCTAGTCGTCGGTCATTTATCCATGGTAGCAGCTAGACTGCGGGGTCCGGGTGCCGGCTTCTAAGTTGTGTATTTAATGGCCGAGTCGCCGGTGTGCACCAAAGACCTGCGACAAGGACAACAGCCAGCTCGATGACTGAAATGGAAAACCAGAAGCATCAAGAGGTTGTGGAAGCTGTACAGGCAGCCCTGCGGAGACACGATGTGCAGCTCAATGATATTAATAAGAAGGTAGGCTCGACTCCCAAAAAGAGGGATGATTTCTCACCACGCATACATTTTAACTTCAGATCTTTGATGACCCAGAGCTCGCATATGAAGAATTCCATGCACATGACAACATCTGTACTCTTTTTACCTCGCTTTCGGCAGATGGCTATAGAGTTCGCCCGTAAAGTTACGACATCGATACTGCCTTTGAAATTGAGTATTCTCAAGGCAGTGGCGGTCGCACTGTGGTTTTTTGTGCCGAATATGATGCTCTTCCTAACATGGGCCACGCCTGCGGTCACAATCTCATTGCTACAAGCTCCATTGCTGCTTTTATCGCGACATGCGAAGCCATGAGAAGCTGTTTCCCAGATAGCACAGATTATACACTTCGCCTCCTTGGAACACCTGCTGAAGAAGGAGGTGGCGGGAAAGTCAAGCTTCTCAATGCTGGTGCCTATAAATCTGTTGATGCCGCCTTAATGGTCCACCCAATGCCAACTTCTAAGGAGCTTCCCTTTGACGGTGTTGCAGCCATTCCTCCTGGCGATTTTCTGGCGACCCGAGGATTCCGGATTACATTTACTGGCAAGCCTTCCCATGCGGCCATGGCCCCTTGGGAAGGCATCAATGCATTGGATGCTGCTGTTAGCGCCTACGTCAATCTCTCGGTTCTTCGGCAGCAACTCCTACCCACTCAGCGGCTGCATGGCATCATTACTCATGGCGGAGATAGGGCCAATGTAATTCCGCCGAGAGCTGTTATGGAATATTATATTCGCTCCCTGGATGCCGAAAGCCTGCAAACCCTTTTTGAGAGGGTCAAAGCATGTTTTGAAGCAGCTGCCACTTCTACGGGTTGCAAAGTGGAATATGAAGAGTAGGTGGTGACGATGCGAAACGGATATTTCATATTTCTAACTGACACTTGCTTTTTATACAGTTTGCACAACTATCTCGATGTGAAATCAAACATGCCTATCTGCGAAAAGTATGCGGATGCTATGAAGAAGGTTGGTCGGAATGTCTGGGTCGGAGGCGGGAATACACTTTTGTCCACTGGGGCTTCGACAGATATGGGTATGTGTTCTATCCATTAACCATTATAACGAGCAAAGCTTCTAAACTCGCGACAGGAAATGTATCTTACGCTATCCCATCCTTCCATGGAGTTTTCTCAGTCCCCGGAACAGCACCGAACCATACCCCTGAGTTTACAGCGTCTGCTGGGAATCCTGAGGCATACCAGAGATGTATAGACTGCGGGGCTGGAATGGCTGTTGTGGCCTGTCAGATCTTGGCTGACGATCAATTTGCCGCGTCTATTAAGGATGATTTCAAGCAGAATGTTCCCCAACCATCAAGCTGACCAATTCCATGTGTTTTGGGATCACTGAATAGGAGTCTCTGCCAGTCTGTTCTTCTTATCTGTGCTATTAAAAAAAGCCAGTCAAGAATTCTAGTGTCGAGATTCAACTGCTCTTCCAACATATCCAATTTTTCGCAATCCAATAAGACTAACCACCAAGCTCGTAATATTCATCGCAAACAAAAAATAAAATGCTGCCCGATATCCGCTCATTAAAGCCATTCGATACCGTTCTTCGGCATGCTTGATATCATGTGCTTCTAATCCATGCTCTGTGACAGCATTTGCAATCATCGCAGTCAAAGCCATCCCGACTGCTTTTCCAATCTGGGAGATGGTATTGAATACTCCTGCAGCCAAGCCTTGTGTTTCAGCAGGAAAGACACCGGCAATAATCATATTTGAAATGGTGAAGAAAGAGTCCGCCGCAATGCAGTTGAGAAAAATGGCAGGAAAGGAACATTTCCAATATGACCAAGCTGGGTCGCTCAACGCCATCATTATTGGCGAGAAGCTTGAGATAATTACCGTAGTGCTGATAATAATGTCCGCCCGAACCCGATGCAAGATAAGCCCAGTAATAAGGCTACTGAGTGTACCGGAGATCGGGATTGGTAGGAACTGCCAAGAGGTTGCAAGCACTGACAATCCTTGCACTCGTTGAAATACAAAGTTGATGACTTGCTCGGTAGCATTGAATGAGCCCCAGATCAGGAATACATTCATGCAGACAGCAGTAAATGCTGTGTTCCTCCAGAGTGAATTTCGGATTACTGTCGGCCTATCAAGAATTTCTTGGCGGCGTTGCCAGACAACAAATCCAACGAGAAGACTGCCAGAAAGAATCAAGGGACCCAAAACATCTGGATCACGAATTTTCTGTACATCGTCTGTAATGACACTTGTATCTGTTAGCCTTTTGTAGTGTTGCCCACTTGCTAAAGTTCCAAATGGCCACTCACGCTAATGCGTACAACAAAAAAGCCATTGAAGCACTGGCAGCAAAGGTTCCAACCCAGTCAATGCCAACTACCAATTGCTCCCATGCAATCTTTTCTAGGTCCTTGGCTTGAAGTGGAAGTTGCCAGAGAGATAGCAAGAAACCGAGGGCACTGGCAATGGCAGCGGAGTAGAAGCCCCATCGCCATCCAATAGTATCTGCAAAAACTCCCCCAACAATGACGCCGGTACCGAAGCCTATGGGTTGTCCTCCACCCATAAAAGCAAAAGCCATATTTCGAAGCTTCCCAGCTGGGAAATTTTCGACATTGATGCTCATAGCGGATGGCAAGCATAGTGAGATAGCGACACCGGACATAATACGAAAGGCAATAAGTTGGGTGCCGGTTTGAGACAGACCACACGCAACAGTAAAGATACACTGCAAGAAACATCCTAGCAGAAATATCTTTCTGCTCCCCACTGCATCTGAGATGGACCCTGCCAACAAGAGGGTGCAGCCAGTGGACAGTGACTGCATGGAAACTGGCCTGATCAGAAAGAAAATTAGTATTCCATGCATCTCATCTTTTTAGTTATTACTCTTGTTTGAAACTAACCATAATTCTACCCCAGGCTCCAACTTCAACTCTGATGCGATCTGTGGAATATCGACTGTGATGAGCCCACCCAAGAAGCTTCCGATAAAAGTCATGCAGGCAACGCAGAAAATAATAAGCGCGGCGTTTTTGGGCACAGTCTGCTGCTCATCGTTTTCGTTGTCACTCAGGCCCTCGGGTACGATAGGGGGGTCATTTCCTAGCAGCGGTTGGTGTTCACCAGGTACTGTATAGTGGAGATCATTGTTGGCTTCTGGACTTAATGCGTTGAAGTCCTGCTCCAAGTAGAATCTTCCTTTTGACATCGTGTAGCTGCTTGTTTTAAGATGTTCTTACGGGTATATTCTGTTGCGTCGGTCATCTTGAATCGCAAGAGCGGCCAGGCATGAAATTTGTAGAAGAGGCACGGAGCGGTAAGCAAGGAAAAGATGGAGGTAAAATAAGCAAAATGAACCTTGGATTGTGCTCGTGACCGGTACGGCAAATTGAATGACTCTTCTTCCGTCTGCCAATTTCTTCGCCTAGTATACTTCATATTGGTTTTGCGCTGTAGTAGGTGTGACGAACACAGGGAATTTATTAGATCGGACTGAAATCTAGCCTCTGCTCATTGAGTAGTGAATATTGAAAAGACATAAATGCCGAGTAGGATACTACAGAGTAATTTACGATATATTTCAACCAACTAGTTCGACGGCCTATAGCACAGACCGATCTTGCATCTGATGGACTGCATAGTGCTGCACGGGGTTGTTAATTATGCATTGCTATCACATCAAAGCAATTGTCCCTTCCGAGAAAACAAATTATGTAACACATAAAATGATTATTGATTCATATTTTCCTAGATTACATCAAGACTGACGTGATCTATAATATAATTTTCGCCAATAGTTTCTTTTCGATCTAGGACCTCAGTATAGCTCTGCCGAGTGACCCGGTTGCTGTGCGATGTAGGTCCTTCCACAACTATTGAGATATCTTTTACAAAATGTTTGAAGGCGTTGTATTCTGATAAAAAAGTCCGGTTTAGATTGATTCAAATATTAACAAGCAATCGCTCCAGTAACACTACCTCGGTTGCGGGGACTTTCCCGTGCATTTTAAGTTTGAATGAATTTTTACGCCCACTGCCTGGGGCCCTTCGGTCGTTTGACAAAAGTGTGAAGAAAAGGGACCAATAAATAGTTAATAATCCAAGGTCCTATCTACTTTCTAACTACTCCTTCATTTCACCCCAGTACGCCCCTTGCCTCTTTGTCCACGACTCATCTGGTCATGTCTGACCTGAAGCTCATCTCGACAAAAGAAGTCTCAAAGCATTGCACATTAGGCCACTGCTGGCTTGTTGTGGAGAACAATGTCTGGGATTTCAGCGAGTTCGCGAGTATTCACCCAGGCGGGGAAGCTGGTGAGTCGCTATTCTCTACTCTTTGCAACGAGGATCATCGAAAGCAGGCGGTCGCTCCGCATGGACTTCCATCGTGCTTCTAACTCTTGTATTTTATTTACCAATCAGCTATTCTCCAATACGCAGGCCACGATGCAACGAAATCCTACTTGGATGTGCATAACACTGGCCTTGTTGAGAAAACTCTCTCTCCCTCGAAGCTCATTGGTCGACTCGATATTAACACAGTCGATGTTGAATGGAACGATCGCCTAAATCCAGACAGCCTTCTACCTTCTTCAAACACTAAAACAACCCCAAGGCCCCCTCTATCTTCTATTATCAATACGCATGACTTTGAACAAGTCGCTAAGGACACATTTTCCAAAAAGGCGTGGGCTTTTTATTCATCGGCAGCCACAGATCTCGTTTCACTGGAGGCAAACAAATCTTTTTGGAACCGTGTTTGGTTTCGACCACGGCTCCTACGCAATGTCAAGAATGTGGACACGCGGTGTGAAATGCAAGGCATGGGATCATCTTTGCCTATTATGGTCGCGCCAGCTGCAATGGCAAAGTTGGCCTATGAGGAAGGAGAGAAGGGAATAGCTAAAGCTGTTGCGAAGAATGGCATTATTCAATGTGTAGGTGGACTAAAATATCATTTTTAACCTATGCTGACCCACATAAATAGATAGCAACGACTGCATCATACCCAGTAGAAGATATCGTGGCTTCTGTTCCGGCCAATACAAACTTCATATTTCAGCTTTATGTCCACAAAGATAGGGGTTTAACGGAGACTCTTCTTCAGCGGGTCTGGGCGGCAGGAATACGAACGATCATGGTGACAATCGACTCCCCATCAGCTGGCAAGCGAGAAGCAGACGAAAGAATCAAAACAGAACAGGCCATCTCAATGCCCATGACAGGCACCGTATCAAGAAATGACAAGATAGGAGGTGGACTCACACGCACAACGGGTGGCTTCATCGACAACTCCCTCGACTGGAGTGATCTCGCATGGTTTAAGCGTATCTGGAAGGGAAGATTAATGATCAAGGGCATTCAGTGTGTGGAAGATGCAAAGCTTGCCGCGCAATATGGCGTCCATGGAATTGTTCTCAGGTGAGTTCTATGCAATTAGCGCTTCTGCCTCAATAGAATGCTGATTATGAATCTTAGCAATCATGGGGGACGAAACTTGGACACCTCCCCTCCGGCTTTGCTGACTCTTTTGGAACTACGGCATTATAATTCCAACATTTTCACGCAAACTGAAGTTTATATTGATGGTGGGATTACTCGAGGAACCGATATTTTGAAAGCATTATGCCTGGGAGCTAGCGGCGTGCTCATCGGACGCCCGTTCTTGTACGCTCTCAGCTATGGTGAGGAGGGGGTGTCCCATCTAATTGATTGTGAGTTAAGGAATTTCAAGGATGATATATATGGCTCGTTGCTGATCTTAGATCTAGTGCTCCAAGCCGAACTGGAGAGTGCGATGAGATTGGTTGGAATTACACACACATCGCAGGCGCACCCGGGTTTGGTCAACACTAGAGACCTTGATTACTTGGTGTCAACACCTTTTCCTGGATCCAGACTTCTTTCCAAACTCTAGGCCGATTTGCGAGAAATGAAGTTCCTCGGAAACTGTTATGAAGTGGCCGAGGCATCAGAAGGTTCACTTTGGAACAACAATGATGCGGTTGTAAGGCGTTAACGCGATGTTAGAGTATATGAGCAAATATAGTAGTTCAAACAACCTCAATGTTGGTACAAATACGCACAATGAATTTTAACATTCCATTTTTGATACGCGAATGTACTCAGCATAATATCAACACACCGCATTACCGCAGTGGCCTGCATCTGACTAGGTATTGTAGTTTATCAATAAGCATCTATCAATTTTCTTTTCATTTTCTTTTTCCTTTTAAAAAGAAGCGCCTCAGCCCGAGATTTCGTTTTAAGGTTGAGCTCAATACAGTCTTCTTGTTTCATCATATCAGGTTGCCTCTTAGCTCTTGCTCTCTTTCGAACGCCTCAAAAAGGCTCTTGAAGTTACCAGCCCCGAAACCATCGAAATTTTCTCGTTGAATGATTTCAATAAAAACCGTGGGACGGTCGAGTACATGTTTAGCAAAGATCTGGAGAAGGTAGCCACCCTCATCAAAGTCAATGAGAATATTGTACTTCTGTAGCAAGTTGATGTCCTGGGCAATCGTCACGCCTTTGGCCGCGAGTTTCTCTTGCATCGCTGTATAATAGCTTGGTGGAACTGATAGAAAGCTGACGCCGCGGCTGCTGAGACTTTTTACAGCTGAGATGATGTCGTGGGTGCGGAAAGCAATGTGCTGGCATCCGGCGCCGTTATAGTAGTCGACAAACCTAAATAAGGCAGGTACTCAATAACCAGCGACCTAATAGTCAAAAACAGGTGTGGACGTACTCCTCAATTTGTGACTTCTTTAGTCCTGCTGCGGGTTCATTGAGCGGCATCTTGACCACATTATCGGGAGAGGCAACAACTATGGATCGCATAGCGGAGTAATCAGAGCACATGTCCTTGTCATCCACACTCCAATAACGATGGAAGTTGAGAGCATTCTCATAGCTGTAATGAGATATGGTAAACATTGCGATCATGAAGAGCGAGCATTCAGATGAACTGAAAATTAAAGCGACATACTACTGCACAATCTGATCGAGTCTATTCCACGGCTGGTTGCCGACACAATGATCAATTTCAATGTAGGCGGTCTTCGGCAGTATAGCATTAATAGGATCATGCTCGGTAACTTTCTTGTAGCCTGGTAAAAACGATCCCTGGTATTCGCTTCGATTGATAAAAGTGTGCGTGGTGTCACCGAAGGTGGTGATAGTGGCACTTGTAATCTTGCCATTCTTTATTTCGGCAACTTCGGTAGGTTGATGGACAGATGTAGCTCCATTGGCAACGGCGTGTTCCCAAATTCCGCGTACATCATCAACTTCGAATGCGATATCCTTGACACCATCACCATGCTTGGTCAAATGGTCGTGAATTTCCTTGACCAGCTGCCTGTCCTCTTCACAGGACGGTTTGTCGCATGACTGATGCGGTCCGATTAAAGGCGCCGTGAAAGACAGACAAGCACCACCATTCTTCACGACATATGATGACAGAAGAGGAGAGCCAGTTTCAGGGCCACGGTAGGCAACAACCTCAAAGCCAAAGCGAGTTACATAGTAGGTTGCCGCTTGGCGAGCATTCCCAACGTACCAGCCAAGATGATGAAATCCGGCGTAGCTGGGATGAGTTTTCCTCACGACACCGACGGGTACTTCCGGATCAACAAGAGGCAGTGGCATTTTTATGAAAAGAAGGATGTTTAATGGAGAATTTCAACGGATAAGAAACTTTCTGCGATTCGAACTCTAATTGTTCAACGATCATCACAACATAAGAACACAAGTGCTCTTTAAATACAACATCTCCGGTTCCTCGAATCATGTTTATAATGGTGAAACAAAATGAATCAGATTTTCTGTGCAATTTTGGATATGCAGGTAACTCGCTAATCTGCTTGAATATTCCCCACCCTGCATATGAGGACTAGTCTACAATTGCAGTGATATATTTGCAGGTTGCATAATGCTCCACATCATGAGAATAAATCGTCTGATATCCCAATTAATTATAGTACTATTGATATATGTTATTTGTCTCTTGAATTGTTGGATGGGGAAGTTACGTTCAAAACTCTATGGTGCTGCGTTGCACTTTGTTTAGTAATCGCGGTGCCTGACCTGCAGCGTGAGGTCATTCTCAATAGTTAATGGTAGAGTACATAATGTAGCACGATATCAAATAGCTAAGTAATCAAACTCCTGATGTCCAAGCTCCACCAACCGGCTTTAAATCGGAACAAGGTCTAATACCTACTTCTATGCTATGATTTACTCCCCAGTCACTCTTTGAAAATGTCACCATGTCCTGCGATCAAGGAAAATCCCCAGGGACATGGACGAAGAAGAGAGAATGAGCATGCTGGAGAGCTTGCTATTGCAAAGGACTGGAAATGTATGTGTCCTCATCTGAAATAAGGGTATACTAATAGACTGGGATTCACTCTTGTCAAACTTTCATCAGATATCTTCAGTCCTGAATGTTCTTCTCGAGCTGTGAGAGACCCGCCATGATTTTGATGTTGCTTCATTCAGACGATACTAAGCCTTGATCATAATTCATAGCACTCGGTAATGCAACGAATGCATCAAATTATGGAACAGCCCGGTGAATATTTTCTTTCGATCGCTACTATCAGTAGCTCGTAATTATCGCACCTCTGATATTCGACAGGAATTCGTGCCCTCGGACCTGGAGCACCGTCCCCAGAATATTTTCCCTTTAATGAAATGAACTTGAAGGTACCTAAATTGAGAGTACAAGAAGCGTACGACCAAAAAAGGTCAACTAGTGCAACCACACTTCACACTGGAAAGTATGACAGGAGAGAGAATTTAAGCACCTACGATCTTGCAACTGCACTGCAATATGGACAAGGGACTGGCTCCGCTCAGCTGCTGGAGTTTATCAATGAGCATGTTCAGGCAAGTTAATTTAATTTTTGATCATTGATTATGCTTTGTCTGACAACTAGATGTATACAATAGCTTCTCCACAACCCTCCATATCAAAATTGGAAATGCATATTAACTGCTGGAAATACCTCTGCTTTGGATATTGCCTTGCGCATGTTCGGAAAAGCAGGAGAGTATATCCTCACAGAAGAATACACCTTTGCTGCATTTCTGGAAACCGCTATTCCACTAGGGTATCGATTTTGTGGCATAAAAATGGACCAGCACGGCATTCTTCAAGAAGATCTCGATCATGTTCTATCCAACTGGGATGAGGCCGCTAGAGGAGCAAAGAAGCCTACTCTACTATACACAATTCCTACTGGTCAAAACCCCTCAGGGGCCACAGCTCCTATTCAAAGGCGTCGAGAGATCTATGAGGTAGCTCGGTGTCACAACCTCTATATCCTCGAGGATGACCCTTATTACTACATCCAGCTTCCCCCATATGTAGACGGTGAGGACATCGAGCCAGTTCCCGATCCCAAAACTGTGGAAGAATTTCGGGATTCCCTCATTCCAACGTATCTGAGCTTGGACACAGACGGCCGTGTTTTCCGAATGGATTCGTTTTCCAAAATCATTGCCCCTGGTGTCCGCATGGGGTGGGTGGTCGCCTCGGACCAGGTTGTGGAAAGAATGACAAGAGCTCATGAGGTCTCCGTCCAGAATCCGAGTGGCTTCTCTCAGATTGCAGTATTCAAATTACTCCACGATAGCTGGGGACAACTAGGTTTGGCAAAGTGGCTGACATATCTCCGACATGAATACACCAAACGTCGCAACGTCATGTACGGAGCCTGCGCAAAGTACTTGCCCGATGACTTGGTCGGATGGGAGCCACCCAGAGCTGGGTTTTTTGTGAGTTGAAAAAGCATTAGTTCGGATATGATTGTTTGTATTGCATCATGATGCTGACCTTAATTTCAGGGTTGGGTTTCCATCAACTGGAGGGAACATCCTGATGCAACTCATCTTTCGCCAAAAGAAATCGAAAAGCAGATATGGGATGCCGCAATCGACAACAAGACATTGATAACGCCGGGAAGCTGGTTTCTACCAGATCAAGGCAGACATGGTATGAATAAGGTTTTCTTCCGAATGACTTTCGCAGCCTGCTCGCCGGAAACAATGACCGAAGGCATCCGAAATCTAGGCGTTGCAATTAGGAAAGTCTTTGGCAAAGAATGATAATCATTTTTCTTAAATGGTTAAAGAGATATTTCGGGTCAAGTTATATTATGGATAATATCAGTGATGTCGCGCTTTGAATGTACTTTATACTGTTGGGGGCCTCGATTCCAGCCATCGTCATCCATGGTACTGTTCCGCTTGTGCGCAAAAATGACACATTGGGCTATTTAAGACACTAGTGTAAACATCACATCATAGCTGCCAGGAGAGTGGGTCCAGAATTGGTGCTCTCTTCCATCTGTTCTCTTATACTCTTATTTCTTCTCCTCGCCAATATGCCTTTTCAGCCTTTCCATTGTTCCTGCCAGGATATAACTGTTGACCAGTTCGGGACACTTCGATGCCGAGCGAAGAAAGATGACGGTAGTTTCAGAGACGCTCAAATGGATTTAAATGAAATCATTGGAAATATTGACGGTATATGCCTTACGCCAACTGTCTTTTTATCATGGTGCTAATCTAGCACAGGCTACCTTAGCTGGGCGGGTCGATTCTTCGGGCGAAGTGCGGAAGATATCCGATTCGTGTTAGAAAGCGGCCCAAAAGATTATGCGATGCTTCGCGCGAAAGTTATTACAGACGGTGGGGATAAAGTTGAGTCGGAGTTAAACTTGGGAGAGGAGATTGGGAATCATAATGGGCAGCTGTATCGCCGAAACTGGACATTCTAGGTCGCAGTCAAGTAATTTTTTGCCCGACAGACTGCCTCCGTGTACCTACGGCCTCTGTCTCCTATCCAAGCCAGAATATATTCTCAGGATCATGGTATCTTTCTTAAACTTCACGAAGTCAAAAATTTCTGTTTACATCCAGCAAACTGTACTACAAAGCAAATTGAATTTCATTTTATTTTTCTCACTTGAACAGAACAGTTAGTAAAAGTCCAGAACGGCGTCCATACTTCAAAATTCCTTATTGAAGCAATAAGCTCAGCACCATTGATACAATTACCACAAAATCAACCTTAGAATGAAATTTCCCATCTCCATTTTCAGTCGGAGTGGGTGTTGTTGCAGCTTGAGTGACACTGGCAGGAATTTTTGGATTGGTCAGCTCACCATTTGCGTTGAACGGCTTTGGGCTGAAAGACATATTCCATTCATTCACGGATGAAAACCACATTTTGGTATTGGAGTCAACGTAAATGTAAGTCGCTTGGAAAAAGGGTATTCCCAGGACCACGGGAGATGACGAGCTGGTATTCCCAATGTCTTCATTCGCCGAGCAACGGCTTGATGAGGCAGTCAATTCGGCAAAGATGGGAATGACAAATGAAGTATATTGCCACATCTTGCTGTTGGTGTTGAACTCCAGGGTGAGGTTCTTCCCACATAGTTCTTTACTAGGTAGAACCACAGAGGGGCTGGAAAAGTTAAGGACGGCAGGCACGGTGTATTGGATATTGTCTGCCGTTGAGTCACTGTACGGATAGGTGTATCCTAGAGTAGACCCTGAGTCGCCTTCGTCGCTGTTATATTGCCAGGATCGAACAGTGACTGAGTCAACTGGTAGATACCCTGTGGCCAGGAATGTGCTCTGGGTATCGTTGGCTTCGGGAATCGACACCCATCCGGTTTGTCCATAAATCCGATTCGCGTCATAATTCCCACCAAATGAAAGTGATCCATTCCACTCCCCCGCAAATCCTATATTAAGACCAAAAGGCACTGTTGACAATTCTTTTGTCGAATCTGAGAAACCGAGCACAGAATTCTGGCCTAGAACCAGCTGTGAATCTTTCGGGTCCGTGAGGTTCACTTCGAGAGACTCATTGTTGTCATTAATCGCTGGCGACTCTGCGTTTATTAAAACAGCAGAAGATCCGGATGAACTGCTAAGGACGCCAATTTGTGTGTCATTGCTGATGGCGAGAGCAATCAGTCTCGGGGACGAGTTGCTGTTTGTCGTGACATTGACACCCCATGCGGAGGAAATATCATTTCCGGGACCAGACAGAGGTATGATCCAGGAGTTCACGGAAGAGCTCTTGGTCACTGAAGAGAGATCCCGAATTGATGGGGGGAGGGAGGGCCTCAAAGAGAAATCATATCCTAAGCTCAACCCAGCCAAAAGACTCAGGGCCAAAGCAATTGCCCTGAGAGTCCTGGAAAACGAAGTTTGTGCCATCGTAAATGCAGTATGGTGTTGCTCGAGAGCACACGGTTGATTCAGTCTGCCGTCGACAAGTATCAATCTTTAGCTTATACTTCGATTTGGCTTCTGGCATTCATATCATTGAATCGGGTAAGACAGAATTTTCGGCCGGGGAAAAGTGACCAGAAGTTCGATATGGATGTCACAGTCAAGCGCCAAGCTCTTTCCGAAGATTTACTATTGAGCCAACGCAAGGGCGCCCAGGGGGCCAAAATGTAAAAACGTTTTGTTTGTCTCCAACGGAGCCGAGAGAACGTGGGTAATAGAAGTCTTGTGGAAGCTGAAAATAGCATTCGCATCCAAAGATAAAAAGGGCCACTGACTCACACATAAATGGATACCAGGGAAAAGAGTCTCGGAGCAAATAAGCAATAGCGATATGGGAACGTGCTATGTGCTGCCTATGCTTTGGGGGGGCCAAAAAGGGCAATTCAGGAACAAGTGCTAATGACGATCACGAATCCTCGATTTGAAACCACGCCCTGGATCCACTAAGCCACAGCACTCACCTACTACTAAACTAGAACTAGTAATCATCAACACTGCCTGCTTCTGAGGATCCTACCCTTCAATTCCCAAGCGAACTCCACGCGGTCAGAAATTAGTCGATTTGGCAAAGGTTCTGGGGCCATTTATCGCACGTGTGTCGAACTATACAGCTCGATGGGCATGAACGAGAAATCTCATGGCAATATGGCCAATTGAAGGATTCACGCGACACAAAGCAGCCGCTATGAATCTCTATATTAATCTCTTTTCAGCTGGGGCGTGTTAACTGTATAGAATCACGTAAGTATATAGAGCCTCCGCTAAAACGTACAGAGAAATGCTTACACAAACAATTTCGCCAGACTCATTTCATTTGCATACTTTGCGCCTAATATGCATTTGGTTCAATTTTCTGGTTTTCTTTTGTTCGCCCTAATTGGGCCTACCGGGGCACTTCCAGGAGGTGTGAAGAGCGAATCCCCAAACGCATCAACTCCATCGACAACCACTAAATCTGACTTATCTTCTCACAATAAACTGCCATCGGATATCAAACATATTAAAGTCTCAGTCCCGACAAAAACAAGCAAAATCTCATCTGGCTCCAGCGCCTCTTCAGCTGTTATCACATCAAGCAGCAGGGTTGGAAGTTTCCTGGGGCAAAAAAACGCTCAAATCGATGGTTCTTCAGGCGTCCTGTTTTCCGCATCTGGCGCATGGCTAACCGTTGCATGTGATGCTTCGGGTGTGACTGATGATCAGATCCCGGTCGCCACCAGATGGGCAGTCGCAGATGCGCAAGGTCTGTTATTAATTTTTTGGGTTTTTTTGTGTATGTATTGAGTAAACTGACAACCTTCAGACGCGTGGAACCAGGCAATGGCCGGCTTTGTGAAAGACCTTAATGACCCCAGTGTTGAATATCAACCGTTTGATGCGTGGCTGTGGAATGCGTTCCATTATAATGACTATCCCCAGTGCTGGAACTGGGATAGCGACAGCTGTGGGACAGTGTCGTGCAGTTCCAACGGCAAGAGACCAGCTGAGTTTCTGCTTCTGGACTCGATCTCAGCTCTGAATGGGGTATGGTTGTTCAACTGATCTATAGGTTTTCTGCTGACTCACTTGTCATAGCTAGTTCGATATACTCACTCCGCTATTATGGATAGTCAAGATTTCATCCAGAACAGCATGACAGACTTTGTCCACACTTTCACCAAACTTCCATCCCAGTTAAGCACTGAAATCCTGAAGATTATTATGGATTCTGTGACGTTCGGTGTTGGTATTGGCTCTGCATTTACATGGAACGTCTGTGAGTAATTTCCATTTAACTTTAGCTTAATTCTGGCATTTCTAATCTAGTCTATCTAGTTTTCAAGGAAGCGGAATGGTTCACTCTCAGTAAGCATACTACTTTCTTTCGGATATTCAAAATACTAAACAAACTTGCTTCTCATAGAGGACACTTATCGAGGGATGTGGAAAGATATTTTCAATGGTATGGTGGCATATGGGATGACTGCAGGGAAGGACAGTATGCCTTCGTAAGTTATTACCAGGACGGGTGTTTCTCCCTCCAGATTTACCGGCTTACTTCTACCTTACAGAGGAACTGAGTCAGATGAATGGGCTAAGCTTCAGAATGATCTGACTGATCTGGATACTATGTTTCTGAACGCATCCATGAGCAGTCTGTCAGGTTTCCTGTATGATACTCTACATGCCAAAACTAACGACACCCAGACCCAGCTAAGTAACATGGTAGCGGGAGGTAATTTGTACTCGCTGCTCTCAGTTGACGAGAGTCCTATGGCGTTGCAAACTGCTACGCTCCAGCTATTTTGGGGTCGGCTTATCACTGCGGCATGGCCCATGTCTCCGTCAAAAATGAACCCTTTCATCTTGTATGGCATACCCCAGTACCGACCCAAATCCTTGTTCAACTACTAACTATAAGCGCTAGGCGAGTCGATCGGAGTGATTATACATGCGGTGATCCCGTTACGACGCCTCCAGGTGATGAGTGGTACGACGGCTTCAACCTCGGCACGATGATGAGCTCTGATACGGCAGCAAAGACGCAAATCTGTGATTCTTCGTAAGTGGGTATCTACTTGGTGGAGGGTTTGATGTTTACACTGACATAAATTTTGAAACAGAGGCAACACTTGGTTTCTTCTGAACGCTGTCCAGAATAAGCAGTGTGGATCCAGCAATCTCGAAAATTGTGTAAGCACTAAGACATATTATCCTTTCCAAGAACTCGCTGGGGGAACCTCGGATGTCTTGGATGGCACCAGCTGGGGTGGTATCACCATCAAGTAAGATACCTGCTTTGAAAAGCATGCACCGCGGAATAAGGAGCTAACATGAGCAGGGATATTATCATGAGCAGCTACGGTGGATTTCTCGAAAATGGTGGCAAGAACGGCTATGTAAGGCTTCTGTGACACTAGACGAAAGCTTTTGATATCTGATTAGGACTCCAGTCGATGCCTGACGATAGCTCACTTCAGATAGATGACACCTGGTCCACTATTCAAGATGGCGGCTTACCTTTCATTGGTGGAATCCAAACTCCTGGATTCTTTAACTTCACGATCTGTCTCAACGCGACTGAGGCTCAAAATAATGCGGTGGAAGGGACGCTCCCGGTCTGTGCCACTGTCCCTAACTCCGATGGAGTCAGTCCGAACGTCAATAGCGATGGATGGACGCCGGGCTGGTGCGGTCTGCACTTCACCCAGTGGGAGCCCAACGAGGGAAATAATAACCCTCTGGACGAGTGGCAGCTTGAGATTACTCTCTTTGACGGGTCTCAAACATGGTTGACGACAGCAACGAAGCAGCCCGTGGAAGGCGGGCTTATCATTCCAAGCAAGCTCACATATAATTTGACCGCTACAATGGAAGACAGTGACGACTCGGACAGTCTTTGCTTCTGGTACTCTGATCAATACTGGTGCATTTCTGACTCGGCAGCCCATGACTGCCAGTATGACTCTTCTTTTGACGGTACTTACCGGACACGACAAGGCAACTGTGGTTTCACCTGCGATAACCCTTCTTCTGATCCTCCTGCATCCGCAACTACTAATTACCCTACGTCCCCTGTCACTGCTTTCTTTGGCACTGGCACGGCCTACACTCAAGCGCTCTCGTACTCGACCTACAACAGTGGTTGGTGCGGGTTGCACATTCGCCAATACCAGCGCGATGAGACTGATGACTATGAGAATCCTGGAAACAACTACGGTCTTGAGCTTACTTTGTTTGATGCCAAGCAGGATATGATCTCGTACACACCCAAAACAGACGCGGCTTCCGGGGATGCTGTGGTCATCCAAGGTCCATTGGCGTGGATTCTGGAGGTTATCTCGGGTGACTCGGATGACTCGGCAGTCAGCTTCAAGTATGGTGGAGAGAGTTGGGATAGCAGTGGTAGTCAGTGCAGCGTTGGCAGCACTAACAACGGGTGGCAGGATGGGTTGCGTGACATTGACTGCGGTTTCCCTTGCTGATTACGGGCGGCTGGTGGCTTGATGATCGATATGTGGTGTTATTCTTTGTTTTCTGGCGTTATGAGACTTACTAGGCACGCCGGAGAAACCTGTCGGACAATAATAATGAAAACAAAAGAGACGACCCTGTTTAGGGCTAGCGAGATCTGGAGTCCTGCCTCAGGCAGATATGGTAGTACGGTATTACGGTATTCTACATCTGCCACTAACGCAGTTTCGGTCACGAACTCACATTCGCGCGTTTCCTTGTTTCTGATTTCCTGCAAACGCTGGCAATCAATCATGGCGACCCCTGTCGATGCCAAGCTGCTGAAACGGACGAAGTTCCCCCCCGAGTTCAATCAGAAGGTGGACATGACCAAGGTAAACATCGAGGTGATGAAGAAGTGAGTAATCGTTTGTCGCGACTTTTCATGGTGGGCCGCCAATTGCTGACCCTGCCCTGGGATAGATGGATTGCCAATCGGATATCCGAGATTCTGGGAAATGAAGACGATGTTGTCATCGAACTCTGCTTCAACCTCCTCGAGGGAACGCGATTTGTAGGTCTTCTTTCCCCTGCACTCACGGCGAACAGACTGCTAATGAACAAATCACTTGCTTGCAACAGCCCGACATCAAATCCCTCCAAATCCAGCTCACTGGGTTCCTAGATAAGGATACATCCAAATTCTGCAAAGAGCTGTGGGGTTTGTGTCTCAGTGGTCAATCAAATCCACAGGGAGTTCCAAAAGAGCTTCTAGAAGCTAAGAAGCTTGAGCTCATACAAGAGAAGGTAATGGAAAATCGGGATACCCAATTGGTTGTCATAATCTGATGCCAGGTACGCAGATCGAAGCCGAGAAAGCTGCCGAAGCTGCGCGACGTCAGAAAGAACAAGAACTAGCACGAGAACGCGAAGTGGAGGATTTGAGAAGGAGAGAGCGCACAGACCGAGGAAGAGGGGGACGGGGCGGTGGTCGTGGTGGCCGAGACTACGACAGGCAAGGCCCTCGAGACTCCCGACCCTCGCCGCCCAGGTATCGGAGCCGTGACAGATACCGTGAAGCTCCACCCCGGCGGGACTTCGATTCTTATGTCCCATCCGACTTTCGCAGAGGTCGCCGGCCCTCCCAATCCCCTGCCCACTCACGCTCTCCTTCGCGGTCCCTCTCTCGATCGCCTCCGCCTCGTGGACAAGGCCGTGAAGGTCGGGATAGACTTCATGACCGCCGTCGCCGGTCCTACAGCAGATCAATGTCCCCCCGTCGACGGGATCGTAGAGAGCCAAGGAGACGCAGTCCGGACTACGGTGATCGAGCTAGATCCAATTCCCGCAGTGATTCATCACACTCACGTACTCCCAGAAGAGACCGAAACAGACGGCGATCTGTCTCCCGTAGCGTGACCTCATCTCCTCGGAATGACCGGCGCAGGAGGCGATCTTCTCATGGAAGATCACCTTCTCGGTCACCCTCGCGATTGCGAGGATCGGACGTCCGAGGCAAGGAAGGAAAGCGGCGGCGTTCATTAGAGCGATATCACCCTGGCGCAAAAATGCGGCGTGACAGCTCTGTATCCGCCCCTGATGATAAAAGACGCAAGACCACTGATGAAGACGAGGACTCCGCAAGACGGCCATCACATCCACCGAACCAGGAAGATAAAGAAATGACGGAGGCCGAAGAGGTGGATCACCGAACCTCAGAGAGCACCTAAGTTTTCCTATGTGTGGAGGGTTCAATCTTGCCTTATGTTGGTTAGTGGCCATTCGTTTCTGCTCTGACCTCGCCTTTTCATGGCCATGCCTCATGCTAACAAATTGACGATTCCAGAGATCCCAAAAGCATGTATCGACCAGATACCTCCGCCTGAACTGCGCCAAAGAGCTGCTTCGTGAGACGTTGATTGCTGTGCAACGCTTTAACGGAGAAAAGGTAGGTGACTATTCTAAGACGGACCTGGTATAACCACTGGCTATGACAGAAAGCCAGCCCTGGGACGCCTATAGTTGAGCGATTTGTGAATCTCAAATTTATTAACAATATTATCGCCTTGATTTCAATGTTGTTATGTGGGCTCGTGTGTTTTAGCCTCATATTTATGGCGTCACTGAGACGAATGGAATAGAAATAGCAGGAAGCTTTTCAGTCAATTCAACCCGTCAGACAAGGAATGTTTCAGGATAATATAGATTCAGAAGGAATGTATTCCATTGAAGAGAGAAAAGTGGTGCCAAGTTTTCTAGGGAGAGTACAGCAAGGCGTCTTCAGCAGACCAGTAACTACCACTCGAACCACCAGGGGCTGTTTGCATCCAAAAAGCCCATCCTGAGACAGGGTAATCGGCCGGGCACGATCTCCCGGAGTATAACAGCATTAGAATTAGAGATATCTACAGATAGGAAAAGGCTGGGAAGCAGATTGGTTATCGGCTGTGCCGTTTTCTGAGTAGAAGGTCATCTTCTCATGCGTAAAACAGAGAATTCAAAAGTAAAGAAAATAATCACATCGAGGTGACAATCCGCAGAATCTTTTTGTCAGCGGCCATCTAATCGCACTCGCAGACGGTCGTGGTCGACGTGACGGTAATGGTAACGGTGCCAGGAGGCGGCGAGACCGGAGGAGGGGTGGTTGTGGGCGGAGGAGTATTGGTCTCACAGGGAGTGGTTGTAGTCGTCGGAGGCGGAGGAGGCGGAGGAGTATTGGTTTCACAGGGAGTGGTTGTAGTCGTCGGAGGCGGAGGAGGCGGAGGAGTATTGGTCTCACAGGGAGTGGTGGTAGTCGTCGGAGGCGGCGGAGGAGTATTGGTCTCACAGGGAGTGGTGGTAGTTGTTGGAGGCGGCGGAGGAGTATTGGTCTCACAGGGAGTGGTGGTAGTTGTTGGAGGCGGCGGAGGAGTATTGGTCTCACAGGGAGTGGTGGTAGTTGTTGGAGGCGGCGGAGGAGTATTGGTCTCACAGGGAGTGGTGGTAGTTGTTGGAGGCGGCGGAGGAGTATTGGTCTCACAGGGAGTGGTGGTAGTTGTTGGAGGCGGCGGAGGAGTATTGGTCTCACAGGGAGTGGTGGTAGTTGTTGGAGGCGGCGGAGGAGTATTTGTCTCACATGGAGTGGTGGTAGTTGTCGGAGGTGGAGGCGGAGGAGTATTGGTCTCACAAGGAGTGGTAGTCGGTCCGCTGGGAGCGGTCCTGGTATGAGTAGGGCCAGATGGGGCACCGGGCATGCTGCAGCCGGTGAGCCACTCGATAATGATAATCTCAATGGTTACATCGATCTCAATACCAGTGCAACCACCAAGGAAGGAAGCCAGCTCAGCGCGAGTGTCGAGCGACAGGACAGTAATGCTTTCGCCCGCAGCGCAGAGACCTAAAGCACCTCGTAGACCAACACTGAGGGTGGAAATGAGAGTCTCGGACAAGAAGCCAGTAATATCAACAAGCAGGCCGCTGACAAGGTCAACGGAAACCTCAGCCGATGCAGCGAAGGACAGCCAGAAGAAAATGACGGACTTCAACTCAGAGCCCAGTGAGCAGCTGGAGCCAGACAACCACACAGCCAGGGAAACGCGAACATCAAGGTCGAGGTCGGAAGCCAGACCACCGCGAGCACAGCCCTCCAGGGCAGTCCGGACATTGACGTCAATATCGACAGAAATGTCGGCCTCCAGGAAAGCCTCGAGGAAGGCCATGCCACTGGCACCCAAGACACCGCTTTCCTCCACGTAGACAGTAATGGAGGAACCGCAGGAAACACATTTTAGAGCAGTGTCAGGAAGAGTGCCGATACGACCGCAATCACCAGCCACCCGGCTCTCCACCCAGGCGAGAACAGTGATCCGCAATGAGGAGTCAAGACCACAGTCCGAGCGAGACAACCAAGCCTGCAAAGCGGCCTTGATATCGGCAGAGATGCTGGTGACAGCACCACCGGCAGCACAGACCCGAAGACCAGCAAGGATGTTGGCATCAATATCAAGGGAAGCAGAAATGAAAACATCAAGAGCAGCCCGAGCCGAGACACTAATGACTAGTTCAGACTCAAGGTCGGCAGAGGAGAATATACCGTCAATAGTAACGTAAAGCTGCTCTTGAGCGGCGATGTCTGCACACGTCGGGATGTAGACAGACAAGGCGGCCAAGACATTGGCCGACAGAGTCAGAGAATCAGAGCCGCACCAGGACAGAAGGTGGTCCCTCAGAGACTTGTCGAGCTTGTCGGCCTGGGAGCCCGACAGCCACGACTTCAACTCACTTCGAGCTTCGGAGTGGATATCGCCAGCATTGCATCCCAAGGCACCTCCTTCCAAAGCTGCCGCACCCTGGGCGCTGAGACCGGAGAAGAGCGATGTCGAGCGCTCCTCGCCGCCGCCAAGGACATTGGTAAGGATGGCGCCAAGGTCGAGGCCGACGGCAGCGATAAGGCCGCGGCGATCAAAGGAGATATCTGTTGGCAGGGCGAGGGCCGAGGCCGCCAGGCCGGCGAGGAGGACAATGTTCGAACGCATTGTACTTAGAGCCGAGGACGAATAGTCGACAATAAGGTATAGCGAGGGTATTCGACGGAAATCTCCCCTCAGTACACAAAATGGCCTTGACAATGGAAAAAAACGAGTGATGAATCGACAGACTTGAACAGGAAATCGACGAGGCTTTAAGCCGTCAAGAGAAATTAGGGATAACTGATGAAGAGGCGTGAAAAGTGAACAAAAACCAGGATCGGTGAGCAGCAAACAAATAGCATCGGAGAGCTTGACCGGTCCTTATATATCCCTCATTTCCCTAATGCACCGGGCTTCTGAGCCGGACGATTCACAGCCCAGTACTGGACACTATGCATCGGAGCTCGACGAAATGGCGACCCCGGTCTCAAGCCGCAGTCCACATTTCGAGCCATCTGCCCCTTTAGCTTCGCATTAGGGATACAGGCAACCTCCCATGCCCGGTGGAGCACCCATTTGCCAGTCAAAAGCCACCAGCAGATCGACTACAGCATGGGTGAGAACATCCGAGACCCGAGACAACCTTTCTTGAGAGGTCAATGACCTATTTTGGGGAACCTCGAGTCAGGCACCGCTGAACGTCATGTCACCATAAATCCTGATTCTGACTGCTCCATACCGACCAATTCCACAATATCGAATCATCTGGACATGGGCCTGACAGGTGTTGGACCATGGTTGCTGGCTACCGTGTGGGTTGAAGTGACAGAACCATCAGGCACGGCTTTGCGCTTCTCCCTTGCCCTAAAATTAGCGCGTCTGCGATCGTCGCGAGATCCACTGACCGCCGTTTAAATCCTTCCGTGGCTTCGTCGGTTAAACAAGCTTGCAAGATGAATCGAACGCTCCCAAATGACATGTATAATTTCCCCATCCAGGGGCATCTTCCTTTCCGAGAGGCCAGTTTGAAACCCAGCCAATTCCTTCCTGCAGCCTTTGAGAGACGGTCGAATAGTTCAGGCACCAATGCTCCCTATACGTCTAAGAAAAGATGGCCAAGGCACACCCTGTTTTCATGGGGTTCAGTAATATCAGCCTATAGCCTATAGTGCGCCTTTTTGGAAGGCCCAAAGATCAGAGGCGATCTTATCAGGCGGGGCTTTTTTTTTTTTTTTGCGCGAGGCCCCTTGCTTGATCGGTAAACTTCATGTTCAAGAATGACCGAACAATATTCATAATTACTATTCTACGATACAACCGTGTTCCGCCCTTGGTGGAAATGAGCGAGCGGAGCCAGCAGATCAGCCAAGCTGGATTTCACGTAATGCGACGGAATCTAGACCATCCTGAAGCGAAGGGTACCTGCAATGCACGGCAGCCACGGTCGACATCGCAACGATGGTATCTTGCAGAAAATAATCCCCCTTCGACGACGATCGGTTTCGCCAACTCGTGCGGATCTCCATGCCTTCAGTGTTCATCACTGCCCAACCGGTATAGTTACCCCTGTACAATCGTCCCGAAAACTGTTGTTTGTGCAGTAAACACGGGGGCGAATGAGTGTTCCACACGCCGGCCGTCTCGGCACAGTTTGGTTAACCGAAATACGGAGTAGTGCTACTCGGAGCAAAGGAGATGCTAACCTTGCTGGGTCTTGATGTCTCTCAGCCTTTAAGTTTCTTCACAGCGAGCTCCACAGAGTATGTACATACTATGTATCAGTTCCACCGAAGATGGCAAAAGCTGCAAAAATCGAACGTCTCGGTTAAGCACTGATATGCTTGTCTCACTCACAAGTCGCCGATGTGGATTCCGAGTCATTCGAGGCTTCATAGAACGCCGCGATCGTGAACCCTGCGGTGTGTAGTAGCGACACATCACAACGCATGAAGTGCGAGAGACAAGAGACATGATGTGTCACTGCATGAGCCTATTCCATCTTTCGGTCGATGATGTTCCACCACCGTCAAAGCCTGCCTGATCAAATCGGTGGCGAATGAAGGGACCAGTCCGATTTCCAGTGGGCCCAGATGGCACAGCTGCATGTTGTGGCTTTGGTCTCATTTTCCCTGATTGCGCCCATCCGGTTCATGAATCGTGGCTTGTGCAGTAGTCAGTTCGTGATGCGACGTGTAGCTCACCAATCGGTTGTCGCGCCCAACGCCATCCTCGGGTCTGCCCTTCTTGGCTTGCAGGGAGACGACCTTTACCCTGGGAGGTGAGGTGGCTAGCCCGCTTAGTAGTTCGTCCATATCCCTGTCACCCACGCTAGCTGGTGTTTTCCGACCTATCACATTTATTTTATTTTATTTTATTTTTGCATAAGGAGAATGGACAGTTTCATAAACTCTCTGGTGTTTTCGGGCGATGGCGGTGATGGTTTTGTAGTGCTTGCTTGGGCATCACTCCTCGGATATATATCCAGAACATGCTGAAAGGATTTCGTATTAGCAATCCCTCAATATCAACATCATCATTAAATCTCATGAATCACTGTCCATTAATGACATGTCGTGAGAAAATACAGATAATACCACTGATCTTTTGAGTAAACAAAATAGCAGATCATTCATCCTTGGCTGTCCGTCACGGGTCTTATTACGAACTTCTCCCTAATCACCTTACTTACTAGAGAAGTCGGTTCTCGAGTATCGATAACTCTTAAAATTGAATAGTACTTCTTTTTCTAATCGAAGATGTTGAAGTGTTGCGACCCTTAAATTGAATTATTGTACGACATGAAATGAAGAATCGTTCATGCTTTGACTCGACATAGCAACTTTACCCACCCAGGCTCTCGAATCGACAGGTATTTGGGAATGAGAACAGATCAGACCTACAAACTCACTTTAGCATGTTGAGAGCCCATTTCCAACTTCCTCCAGCTCAGCTAGTCGTGTTGGTCATCGCATCCCGGCATATTTGTTGTGGTTGTCGCCATGGCAACGATACCACACGTGACCTATAGCGCGCCTGGCACTCGCGACCGAACGTCAGGATGGACACTTTCTCCTGGAGAACACAACAAACAATCGACACCATCGGGTCTGGGCCCATCTACATTGCTGCGGCAATTCAATGTAGATATTACTGCAATGGCCTCCCCTAATTCCCTCTCATCCGCCTACAACAGCGGCCTCTACCGACCCATGTCCCGATCCACGGTTTCACGATCGGGTTCCAGGCGGGCCTCACCAGCACTCCCGCACCCATCAACAGAGGACCACCATATCTCCAGGAGGTATTCGGCAGGAGACAGTTCCGATGACGAGGTCCCGGAACCAAAATTCAGCGCGTCAGTGAAAGCGCTTTTGGATGAAGATGGCTTGGGTTCATCTCCACATCTTTCTCGACAAGAAGTAAACGACCGTTTTGCGGCAGCTTCGAGACAACGAAGCCAGTCGCCGCGCACGACTTCCCCCATGATGGATCTACGGGCAGCCCGGCACCGCGAGTCGTCCGTATTGGAGCAATCTCTTCCTCAAGATTCTCTCGAGAAGGCTCTCCACTGTCCAACAGCCAGATTGCGGAGCCAGAAGCCCAGAACCGCCCCAATGATTTTATTACTCCTGCACCACGGCCACGGAGTGTTCGAGTTAGTGTATCCCGCAGTAGCACACGTTCACCTGCTTCAGTATCGCCGTCTCTCAAGCGGTCCTCGGAACGCAACTCGGGGGGTGAGCACGGCAGTGGAGAGCGATCCGACAGCGATCGAAAATCACATTATGAAGACGATCATCTGTCACGAGTTAACCCATCCTCAATCGTGCGTGGCCGCAATGGAGACGACTTGGCACCTCAGAGCTCTCTGCGGGTGAAGAGAGTTGGCAGACTCACTGGCACTTTCCTGAACGGTCCTGCCCGAAGGGGCGTACTGCGCAGACAGAGTGAGGAGAACAACGACGATGACCCTCATCCCTACTTCAACGATGGCGCGGGAGAGAAACCGGAAACAAATGATGAATATCGACCTCCCAGCTCAGGAAAGGCATTGTCCCCCAAAGTCTCATGGGCTGACACTAGCCCGCTTTATGAGAGCGGAACCAACCGGTCACAACACCCTGTTGCGTCGACTTCGGGCGATGGCCCCTTCTCCAGGTCCTCCTCGCCGAAATCATATGGGTCAAAGTCAACACCTGCATCATCGGAAATGTCTTCCAAATCCTCAAGCATCAAAGAGCAGCCAGCTTACAAGGTTCCATCCTTGCCAGTTCTTCCATCAGCCAGAGACCAGGAGAATGAACCGCCGCCAACTTTCAAGAGAACGAAACCTCAGGGACTGAGCCTGCTGGATAAGCCCGAAAAATACTCTGTCATTTATGAAACGGACAAGAAGGATGCGGTCGAAGCCCCAGCTGCAACCTCCCCTCGCAAGATTCTCGCCACGCGGAACAACAACACACCTCACAGACCTGCTCCACCACCACCAAAGATGTCTGTGCTCGAAACTGCCACGGCGACTGGTGGTGCCTCGACATCCCAGTCTCGAAAAAAACGAACCCAGGTATCCATCAACCATAAACACTTCACTCGATTGGATTGCATCGGCCGTGGTGGCAGTTCTCGTGTGTATCGAGTGATGGCCGAAAACTACAAGATCTTCGCGCTCAAACGAGTTAACTTGGAAGATGTCGATCCCCTCACCTTGACGGGGTACAAGGGCGAGATTGATTTGTTGAAGAAGCTGGAGAATGTTGATCGCGTTGTACGCCTGTTTGACTGGGAGCTCAATTCGGACAAACACGCTCTCAGCGTCCTTATGGAGATTGGGGAATCTGATCTGGAGAAGATTCTCACCTATCGATTGAATGCTGAGGATGCCGTCTTTGACATCAACTTCACTCGCTACTACTGGAAGGAGATGCTCGAGTGTGTCCAGGCCGTCCATAATCACAACATTGTTCACTCCGACTTGAAGCCAGCTAACTTCCTTTTGGTTCAAGGCCGGCTCAAGCTGATCGATTTTGGAATTGCAAACGCGATCCAAGACCACACGGTCAATGTGCACCGCGAGCAGCAAGTCGGTACCCCCAACTACATGTCTCCAGAAGCCCTGGTCGACTCCAACGCGTCACTTGGACTTCCAGCTAGTGTTGGCAAAGTGATGAAACTTGGCAAGCCTAGCGATGTCTGGAGTTTAGGTTGCATCCTGTACAAGATGGTGTACGGTCAGCCCCCATTTGCCAAGATTGCCAAATACTACGAGCGGATCATGGCTATCCCCAACCCCCGGGTACAAATCGACTTCCCAGCTTTCGGAGTTGGCGGAGCCCCCGTCCCACCTGGTTTGATTCGAACCTTGAAGCGATGCTTGCAGCGCGACCAGACCTTGCGGCCAACCATTGAGGAGATGCTCGGTCAGCGCGACCCGTTCTTGTCCCCTGATGCTCAACTCGAAGGAGCTGTTCCCGTCACCCAGGATATGCTCGGCCGCATCTTGGTCAACGTGGTCAAACACTGCAAGGTCCGTGGTGTGCCCACGGAAGAAGAGCTCGCTGCATGGCCCGCCGGTTTTTTCGCCAAAATCAAAGCAGCGTTGGAGGAGGAGAGTGCTTAAAACCTCTCCTCTGTTGGATTGTCTTATTGACCCTGCCCTATCTTTCTTTTTCATTTTGTTGAAACGATTCAATGAACGGTGTTGACTGGATTTTTCTTTTTGGACAAATTGGTGGTTTCTGTGGAGTTCTCTGACTGCCGATTTTGTTCTCCTTACTTAGCCTCTCCTTTTTCTTTCTCATCCTCCTGGGTGTTTAATGTGTTCCAACTCTTCATGTGTTTCAACTCTACTTGTTGGGACTTTTTTTCTGATCAACTGCGGTTCAGCACAGCATGTGGATGCCTTTTTTTTTTTTTTTTTTGTATATGACTTGGTTGATTTCTTTACCTGATTGCATTGGGTACGATTTTCAAGCATTGGGGTTCTTGGAGTTTCCAGTCTTCCTTGCATGCGGTTAATCAGTCTAGTTGACCACTTGCCTATTCAAATCTGTCCTTTGTTTTCATTTTATTTTACTATCGTACGACTCATCTGTTGGGAGTTTAGCGTAGTCTTCATGAGATTTGCACGTCATCGTGTCAAGTATACCCAGGGACCGATTCTACACACCACTATCGAGTAACCCAGTACAAGACGTGTTTTGTTCATGCAATAATTGTTATATGCTTAGGTAGATAATCTAGATGGGCCCATTTCAAGAAGGAAACTGTCGAATACTTTTCGTCAAAAGAGCCAGTGTGCTTTGATGATACGCCGTGAACACCAGCCAAAAGAGCATGATCTGAATAGCCCGGACAAGATAACGAAAGGGAGGATGTCTGAGACATGATGGTATCGAGAGAAGACGGATTGCCGAGAAATGTGACTGCTCTAGACAAGAAGAACCCTATTGACTTGTTAGACTAACCACGGCATTCAAAAGGCATTGGATGGCTTACGCATTGACACAGCCGTCATTTTCAGGGGTGTCTAGACAAAAAAGTCAGCTTTCCTGAATCCTTGGAACTGTGTTCGTTCCATTGGGAGGCTTACTGGTCACTTGAGCCCATTTACCCCAAACGACCTTGCCATTGGTAGTGACAAGACCCAACTCGGAAACGTTGACCTCAATGATAGTACCCTTGGTCAGAACACCCAGCTGGGTATACAGCGGATTCTGAGGGTTTTTCTTAACCGACAGAATAGGCAGCTGCACGGTGACAGCCATCTCCGGGCTAGAGGGGCGAAAAATCAGCACGCTGCACAACTTCCAAGTAACCTGGAGAACAAACTTACTGTGTGACGTTGGCCTTCTTGTACCGCAGACCCATGGGCCGAATGAAACGCTCGTACTTGACAGGCCGACGGGTGAAGTCGCCTCCAACGAAAGTAGGCTTGGTGATCATTCGCTTCCACGACTTTTTGTGTGTTTTCTTGCCCGTGTTGACAACCTTGAACATTTCCTCCTCGCTAATACCCTTAACCTTGGGCAGCGGAACGGCGAACTTGGCCGCTTTCTCAGCACGCTTATCCTTGATAGCGCTGGAGAGGGCCTTGGCGTTGGTCGCCTGCGACCGGTCGAGAAGGTACTGGGGCAGAGGGGTCTTGGAGGGCTCGTCGGGGGCGGCAGACTTGACATTCTTCTCTTCCTGCGCCCTGATGCGCTTCTTCATCTGGATCTTCTCCGCATGGCGCTTCTGCTGGTACAGCTTGGCCCTCAGGCCACGCAGATTCTGTGCATCCTTCGACTGCTGGTGTGACTCACGCGCCTGCTTCTTGCGCAACCGCTCATCGTGATCCAGCCGTTTGCCGTGCTGCTTCTGCCAGCGTTCAATATACCTAGTGAGAACTGGTTAGTTGAGTTGACCTTGGGGAACAGAAAGTGGTGATCGTGGTGGTGGGCGGGGGGAAAGACGAACTCGTTCTGAGGCTATAGGGGAAACAGCTGTTAGCATATGCCGATCTAGAGATTTGCGAAAACAATTTTTCGGGAGACTTACCATGTTGAACGTGCAGTGACCAAGCTGTGCGGGATGAAGAGGAGGAACGGGCTCGATCAGAAAAAAGTTGAGAGGCGGCAGAGATAGCAGGTCACCTGACCGCTCTTATCAACCGCACCATAAATACTGGCAGCAAAGGCACTGACTGTCAGCGAGACTGGAAAGTAAGGTTATGTATATTTGGTGTCAATTTAAAGGCAATCCTAGTTACTACTTGTCCCCTGAATATTAAGCCTACAATACTGAAGTATCTCCTAGTAGAGATCGTGATGTACTATAAGCCACGTGACTCTACGGCCGGCGGTGCGGCCACAAGCGCAGTCACCGATTTTCTCGAGCGCGAATGGACACGGACAAACATCTCCTCCACGCATTGTCCACCACCTCGACTTCGATCCACTTAGGGAGACTTAGGGGAAGGTTACAACCACAATGTTCTCTCGCTCTGTTCTGCGGAGGTTCGCCTCGGACTTGCGAGTGTCCACCCCGTCTACGATCTCAGGCGCAGCTCTTCATCCGCAACGAGCCAGCTGCTTGCACCAAACTGCCTCGCTGAAGACCTCTCAAGAGCAGACTAGCTCTCAATTGTCATCAACAAAACCTGACTCCCCTCTCAGTGCAACTCCACGAGCACAAACCTCTCAGCCTACGGCCAACCAACAAACTCCTCCCAATACCTTCATCCCTCAAAATCGCTCTCATATCCCAGACGAGAAGCGGGCCGTTGCCCCCGAATTCAAAGAACCTCTTAAAGTGACCCGCTCTCTCATGGAGCGCCTCCCTCACCTCGTCGGCCAGGCGCCACACTACGTCGTTGCCAAGCTCCACAACAAGCCATACCTCCTCACGCCGGGCGACCACGTTCGTCTACCGTTCCTTATGCCCAAAGTTCAGTCAGGAGATATTCTGCGGTTCAACCGTGCTTCTGCTCTCGGGTCACGCGATTTTACGCTGAAGGGCAACCCGCATATTGACGAGCGATTGTTTGAGTGTCGCGTTCGCGTGACGGGTACAGATGCTGAGCCTCTGCGGATCAAGGAAAAGACCAAGCGGAGACAACGACATGTTCAGCAGATCCGCAGCAAAGAAAGGTATACGGTGATGAGAGTGATGGAGGTGCGGGTGAAGACACCTGAAGAGTTGCTGCAGGAGGGAGCGGTTATTGTGGAGGAAGGTGAGGACTCTCCAGCCATCGAGGCTAAGGTATGATGTGATGCAGTCATGCTCAATTTCCTGATATGCTGCAAACATTACATTACAGCATCTTCTCATTACAACATCTTCATTCGGTGATATTCGCACCCGACCCTCTTATTTGTTCCGAATCCTATGGTCGTCAGCCTCTTGTCCGCTACGGCATATCCTGTACAGATAGATGGATTAGCTGTTTCTGTGCACTGTATTCTATATTGACTATTCCGAATTCATCAGCGAATTCAGCTCTTGATAAGTATGGTTTCAATCCTATGATATAGACTGGGGCCAGGAAACGTCTACAACTTCACAGTACTATTAAAATGCCCCGACTTCCTGCCCAAAGCCTTGTATAGGGCTTTTTCCAGCTCAATCAAAAGACTAGTGACGGCAGCATCTCCCGGTGGCATGAGCTGTGTGAACAAAGCGGCTGCAATGCCTGTCTCCTGGTCGATCCACTGTAAGAGAAAAAATGGTAAGAGATTTGTCTTACTGGTAAGGAAGACCTCCAGCATAGAAATTGTCTTACCCAATGGAGATTTGGCAAGCCACTCCAGTTGACCGTACCACTTCGTCTGCGATCAGGAATATCTTTCGATGTTATTGTGCCGGCCAAACAATGATCGGCTTGCTCAATGTCATCCACGCCCTTGATCCCTAGTATACGCCGCATTTGGCCTCCAAGTGGCTTTGGCATTGCTGCCCGAGATCTACCACCCAATTGTGGTTTGAACAATATCTCCACACTAGCCTCGGTCAACAATGGCTGGCCACCTGTGAGAAGCGCGGCCAACAATTTGGTAAAATCCATTGGTGTGCTCCAGAGACCGATACCTCCCAAGTCATCTTGCAATGGCTGACCTAGAATAATAGGGCACGGCTTGACCGATTTAGCACCCTGGCCGACACTGACTCGATACCCCATCCCCATTTGTGGAGGTAGGGTGTCACGGTGCAATTCCGGATGAAAAGTTGTCGATGTCGCTCCAAGCTTACTCCAAATGTTGACATGCATATACTCTTCCAGGGTAGAGTTGGTCACACACTCGATCTGTATACATAAGAGGCTCTGATCTGATTCCGAGACAAATGGAGAGACTTACCAGCCGACCAGCCCAGTCTAGCCCGGCTCCATATAACCACGAGGTACCAGGCTGAAAAACTAATGGATGGGTATACCCTGCCTATTATTCAGACCATCAAAAATTAGCCTTTTGCCCAAATATAAGTATAACTAGCATGGAGAGCTTATGCTTACCATGCTGCCAGAAAAAGTGTGCGCTGTCCTCCCTTGGGACTTGGACCACTCTTTTAACAACGGCGAAGAGGTGTCATACACAAAGCCGGCAGAATGACACAATAAATCTCTGAGTTAACTCAGTCTCAAATTAGCCCATGGTTTGGCATTCCACAGAAAGAAGTTCCATATCCTGGAAGGAGTAGTTTACCGAATAGCAATCTTCCCTTGAACGGGCACAAGTTTTGGCTGAGCTGATTCCAGAGAAGAGTCTAGAGACCCCAAGCTGACGATTAGAGTGAAGAACGTAAATCCGGCTTTGGATAGCATACCGTACTTCATATCTTCTAGAATTTGTATATCTCTGAGCTCTGGGACTTTCTCGCGGACGTCATCATCTAATGATATAATTCCGCGTTCCACTAGCTGCATGACAGCCACTGCTGTGACCAGCTTCGTCATTGAGGCAATCCAGTATAGAGAGTCTATTCCCAAGGGCTTTGCACTAGATGTATCAAAATCCGCTTTTCCGGCGGCACGCTTGTAGATAACATTTCCTGTTATACTGTCAGCGATCCCTAAGCACACACGGAATCAAGTACTAGTACGAGGAAGCCCAGAATACCGTGAGAAAAATTACAAAAGACGTACCTGACTTGTCAATCGCAATGAACGCTGCGCCGTGCAATGACCCCGCAAAGGGATCTGTGAAATGGTCGAGAATCCGATCAAGATTTTCCATAATGTTCACAGAGCGCTTTTAATGGCAGAGACAGGGCTTTTTCTTTAGCTGTAACGATTTTGCTTTATTTAAAAATGCCTTACCTGTGTCTGAGCTTGGTCTGTAGGTGAAGTTCGACTAAGCGATCCAAATAGCCGAGGTAAAGTAGCCTTTTTTGAGTTTAGATAGTGCCACCGAGGTTGATCATCATTTGACAGACTTGATGTGACATTATACCTGTAGAGCTTCATTTCAAAAAACGATAGATATGAACAATTAAAATACCGAGATTCTATGGCCTAGATGTCTTTAGATTCTACTGAGCCTTCAGCTTCTTGATGGCTGCCTGGATAGCCGCAATCGCTTCCTCCAACAGTGGCAGAGAGACCTCTTCTCCTGCTGCTGCCGACTTCAACAAAGCATAACCTTTACTATATTTCTCCTCCTCGGACGAGAAATAGAGATAGCTCGTCGCCATTCTCAGGCGGAGGTTGCCCCCACTTACGCATTGCCGCTCATCCTTCTCACCAAATGCAGACCCGGGCAAAGCTGCGAGGCCACACTCTTTAATCAGCCATTTCGACAAGTCGGGACTGGTAAGAACACCGATTTTTTGCAGCTGCGATGCATACGGCTGAAAAGATGGATACAGGTAGAATGATCCTTTGGGCTCAGCGACTGCAATCCCACAGTTCTTCAGAGCATGGTAGAGTCGCGTTGTACACATTCGGTGCAGACAATTCACTGCCTCACGATACGTATCCATGGCAGGCCCAATGGGTTCAGACGTAGCACGGCTACTCGAAAATGCTTTGATGGATGCCATTTGTGAGGGCGCCGATGCGGCAGACCAGCATTCTGAAGCATAGGCAAGGGTAGTTCGTCGGATTGCCTTACCAACTGGGGAGCTCGGAAAGATTGCATAGCCAACTCTCCAGCCACCAGCAGAGTATGTCTGTCAGAAATTAGTATTCTGTGACTAGCTTGCCCAAGGGGGTATTTAGACTTACCTTTGAGAGACCCCCCGTCATGATCACGGTGCCATCTTCGCCGAATGCTGATCCGAAGGCGCTGATTTGTACATCCTCAGCATTGAAGCAGATATCGGAGTAAATTTCATCACTAATTAAGGTGATTGATCGCTCGCGACAGAATTTCACAATTAGTGAGATCTGTTCCTTGCTGAAAACCTGTCCTGTCGGATTGGAGGGACTGTTGATCAACATGATACGCGGGCGAGCGCCAGCATCAACCGCAGATGTGTAGGCAGAGTCGAGGGCCTTCTCCGTCAACGTATGACGATCGTGCTCGTCAGTCTCAATCCAAAACAACTGCTTTCCTGCATGCGCAACCTGGGGCTCATAGCTGACCCATGATGGGCGAGGAAGAAGTACATCCCCTTCCAAGATGTCGAAGAGAGCAAAGAGAAGAGGCTTGGATCCCGGAGCGACAACCACTTGATCGGCTTGAATTGGAATGTTGAGACGACCTGATTGGTATGCAGCTATTCTCTGTAATTTACTCTCAGTCCTTGAAGCTTGAACAATGCATGCGATTATGGTAGACCAACCTCTCGGAGCTCTCCAAGCCCGGCTACCGGCAAATAAGAAGTCAGATTACATGCCTCGCGGTGACATTGTAAAACTTCTTCCTGAATTGGAAATGTCGCTTCGCCAAAGCCCAAGTGAATCACCTTCTTTCCTGACGCGCGGACGCGATGAACAAGTTCATTGATCTCCAACGTAGGTGATAGGTGAAGTTTAGCTGCTGATGCGGTAATCACTGGCTGAGAGGCGTCCATGTCGACTGGTAACTGCGATAATCCTCATAACGGAGACTTGTCAGCCGAACCTCGTTCTTATCAATGATTGCAATCCATTTCCAACATACAACAAGCTCAAGTTCGGTCGAGTCCCCACGGCGGTTCCCCTCCGCTCTGAACCACTTCGGCGAAAAATCGCCGCTGTACCCCAGATGACCGATAAGGGGCCCACAGCGTACTTGCCATCAAGTACTTATGTCTGTCGCCGTATCCATTTTTCCTCGATAGGATCGTGCTCCACTATCACATTATTCCCGCCAACATGGCAGCACCATTGGATAACCAAGCAAGCGTCCAAGACCCTGTCCCTGCGAAGGAGATCGTCGTTGAAGAAGGAGATATCGCGCTTCAGTTTGCTGGAGATGTGACCGAAGTGAGCCCGGAACTCATCAGTCGCGTTCGTTGGAAGGTTGATCTTTTTGTTTTACCTTTGCTTGCGTGAGTCGTTGGAAAGTTGCTTTCGTATTTGGAACGAGTGCTAATGGATGCAGCCTTACAACTCTTTTGCAATTTCTGGACAAGTCAACCCTCAGTTATGCCGGTATTTTTGGCATCCTTGAAGATCTGGTATGTGTCAGAACCTTTATCTGTTTCCCATCATTCGCTTTTCTTGGAATGAAATATGCTCATTACACTCAGACCCTGTCAGGAGAAGAATATTCTTGGTTGGCTAGTATCTTCTACTTTGGTCAGTATTAGATCCCATGTCAACAACTCACGCGTGTCCTCTGACTTTCATATCAGGGTACTTTGCAATGCAGCCAATTGGAAGCTACCTTTTACAGAAATTCGCACCGGCGAAGTGTCTCGCTGCCAGTGTGTATGAGATCCGACTTCAAGAAACTACGAGGGCTAAATCTAACGTCCATAGGTTCTGCTGGGGCATCATCCTGTTTATGCATGTTATATGCAAGAACTGGGCTGGTCTGATGGCTGTTCGATTCTTCCTGGGAATGGCTGAGGGGGTGTACGTTTCCCCAACAAATTAAGCCATGTTGTGCTTATCCTGATACCATATAGTGTCACACCAGCCTTTATGTTGATCAGCACCGGTTGGTACGCTCGCCAAGATCAACCACTGCGAATGGGTTTCTGGTTCTCCTTCAACGGTATCGCACAAATTGTCGGCGGTCTACTCGCTTACGGATTGGGCCATATTCATGTGAACAACATCGCGCCGTGGAAATGGATGTTCATCATCACGGCAGCTCTCTCCATTATTTGGTCAATTGTGCTCTTCCTAGCGTTACCAGATTCCCAATTGACAGCATGGTTCTTGAAAGACGATGCCGAGAAACATGCGGCCATTGAGATGGTTCGGGAGAATAACACCGGTATCCATAGCAGGAAGTTCAAGAAGAAACAGGCCATGGAAGCATTATGTGACCCCAAGGCTTGGATGCTGTTCCTCATGGCTCTAGTGTGGAATATTCCCAATTCGGTTGCAACGGTAGGCTATTGAGTAGTACCTGAGTCCATGTTATTCTGCTAACGATACCTCAGTTTGGCAATCTCCTTGTGGAAAACTTCGGGTACTCTACTCTTGAAACAACCTTGGTAAGTGTCTCCGCTCTCAATGTTAGTCACATAATACTGACTGATATGAAATGGCTGTAGCTCGGAATGCCCGCTGGAGCGTTGGAATTTGTGATCATGCTGATTATCACCTACGTGTGCATCTCATTCAACAACACTCGTGTGTATTGCATGACAGTGGCTTTAGTTCTCGCACTGGTGGGATCCGTTATGGTCTATGCAGCGCCCTATGACAATAAAGGTGCTCTTCTTGCGGGTTACTACTTGGTAAGTTCTCTAAGTTTCATGGAATGGAAAAGAAAACCTTAACATGTTCAGATTTACGTTTTCCCAACTGGTTATATTCTCCTTCTGTCGTTGGCATCTGCCAATATCGCCGGTCACACGAAGAAGGTTACTGTTAATGCGATGCTTCTAATTGGGTATTGCATTGGAAAGTAAAATAATTGACAGCCAATATCTCGTGGAACAGAATCGCTAATTTGAGAATCAAATAGTATCGCCGGGCCTCAATTTTTCAAAAATAAGCAGGCACCTCGCTATGGTAAGCAGCATGATTCTTTTGGATGACTCGATCATAACTGACTCAGAAAATACAGGCCTTGGAATTGGAGCCTGTCTGTGTTCGTTTGCCATACTCATCGTTTTGGTTTTGGTGATGGGATTCTACCTCAACTGGCAGAATAAGAGACGTCAATCTGACCGTTCAACATCGGAGGCAGCTGTTGAGAATGTCGAGTTTTTCGATTTGACGGACGAGACTAACCCCGGTTTTGTATATGTGTATTGAATGTACTACCGTGTCAATCCAACTGATTCTTTTCGGTGAGAAGATAATGATCTCTTGAATACAGATGACTATGTTCTAGCACTTTAAGAGTGATTATCAATATTTCCTAATCAACTAGCAAGTCCTCAAATACCTTTGCTGCGGCCAAAACCTTCTCTTCCTGGAGTCTCTGTGCGATAATTTGCAGCCCAATTGGATGCGCATTCATCCTTTCCGAATCATACAAATTCCAATTCCATTCATCCATTGGATTGCGAGGTTCATACGAAGGATCAGCCATATCGATATCTTTTGATATCGTCGTAACCGGGAACGTGAGAGCCGAGTAATCCAGGAAGTTCCACACTTTTGTATATCCGACCCAGCTATTTCCATTAGAACTGTGGGTTTGTATTAGAAAATAGATCATAGCTTACCGACATGAGTTATGAGGCACTGCTGAGTGAGGCATCACCGGGGCAAGGAGCACATCTACTTTTCGTCCCGAGATCGGTGCTCGAGTGTTGTTCCACCGATCGAGGTACATCTTCTGATAATTGAGCTTCTGGCGATTTAATTGCCAATACTGGTAGACAGAAATTGGCTCTCCTCGATCGACCAGGGCTTTCACGTGAGGTAAGAATGGCTCATTGCAAACGGCGATGTCGCGGCGGATATCCTCGCCTCCATCAGCCGTGTAATATTGGTCCTGTAAAGACGATGAGAATAGAAATTAGACATGCAACAGTCGTTAAAAGACTGACCTGGATTTTAATGAAGTCTGCATGGCCGGTTGGATCCCAAGGAATAATCTCGTGACCCGCCGACTTCAGCTTTTCGACAAGATGGTCAAGTGCCCGTCGAATTGGAGGATGAACTCTAACCACACCATCATCCCAGATAACACCAACAGTCAACGGACGGGATAGCATCTCCTGATACATTTCTGATCTCCATGGTAAGGCAATGCAGCGTGGATCCAGGTTCCAGGGCTGCGAGTCAATCACGGCCTTGGTGGCTTCAGAGAGCGAATGCAATGATCGTGTCATGGGTCCAATTACGGATGGAACATGTTCCTGTCCTTCAGTAGAGACAGCAACATTATAGTAAGGAAGACGACCGTTCTATTTGACATCGTTAGTTTGGTTATCAAGCCTTGACGTAATTTCACCACGGAACCTACGCTTGGTTTGAGTCCATATAACCCCATCATACTGCTGGGTCCTCGGATAGAACCCCCTATATCTGTCCCCCATCCAATAATAGAGCCTTTGCATGCGAGTAAAGCAGATTCACCACCAGATGAACCACCTGGAGTAAATGAGGGGTCATTTGGGTTGACAGTAAGCCCCCACACTGGATTGTCGGTTTCGGCCATCTACGCCCAAGTCAGCCCGCTGTAAATGTATATACACCTAGAGAAAGAAGCGAAAAACTATCACATACCATAATGCTTTGTGGGATATTTGTTTTGGCGATAATCACAGCACCTAGCCGGACCAAGATTGTGACGAGAGTTGCATCCTCAGTACAGGGAGAGTATGCTCTGCCCACATAGCCCAGAGTTGAGTCAAAACCTTTGACGTTGAATTGGTCTTTGAGAGAGATTGGCAATCCATGTAATGGTCCTATAGGTTTACCATCCCGGCGGAAGTGCTCGTCCAATTCACGAGACCGTTGAAGAGCTTGGGGGAACAGAACCTCGGTTAGGCAATTGGTCTGTGGCTGGTAAGAGGCCCGTTGGTCCAAGTTAGGAATTGATGTACTCATACCTCTTGATGCGCTTCTATTGCCCTACAAGGTTGATGTCAGTAATTAGCACTTTTGAAATCTACTACATCGAGCAACTTGCCTATTGATGTAGGCCAATGCCACACTCTCGGCCGTTAGGTCGCCCCGGCTGAGTGACTCCAGCAATGTCTTGTGGTCCAAAGAACAAATTTCAATGCCATACTTGCTAGGCTTTGTTTTTTTCTGCCTCTGCAAAAAGCCCTCAATTGCTTGGGCCTGATCTCGGCGTTTGCGAGCGACAATTTCTCGCCAATCACGCTTCAGGCTGCTTTTCGCATTCGACCCCATATTGTTCATCTTCGAATCCATGCTTGGATGTGCACAAGATAAGTACACTGTCTCGTCAAATAACGTACAGGATCGTTAACGCGCACAGTGGTGACAATTAATCTGCTAAGGTCTTAGCTAGGCCCTATTCCGAGCCACCCTTTCCGCGGCGACGACCGCCGTGTGGAGTCAAAACTCTCGGCATCGGCGAGAAATCGCCGCAAGTAACAAACAAAGCCGGAAGAAAGCTATGCATTATCTGTTCTCGCGTAAATTAATCAAATTATTAGATAAATATGACCTTCGTCTGGCGCACATGGGCGTGATCAGGAAATTCTATTCTTTCGCGCTCATTCGATCCTAGAAATTATGGCTAGCCCGGAAGCTCTTCACAAAGTCGCCGACGACGTTGTCGCCAATGCAAATGCGGATCTGAGAAAAATAAACTTAGATGCAAGTCTTTGAATCCCTGAAAGAGACTAGACAAACCACTAACACTCTTTTCTTGCAGATCCACAACCATCCGGAAACTTTATACGAGGAAGTATATGCTCACAATACATTATGTGACTACTTCGAGAAGGAAGGTTTCGCAGTTGAACGGGGAGCGGGAGGTCTACCCACAGCTTTCCGAGCGTCATTTGGTCCCGAAAAAGGGCCAGATGGGCAGCTGACAAGAGCGGTTGCAATCAATCTCGAGTTTGTTCTGCCCTGTATGCTAAGCCCTTACTCGAACGTCTATTGACAAATTTCTTAGGTATGATGCCCTGCCAATTCTAGGACATGCCTGCGGTCACAACCTTATCGCAACTGCTGGTGTGGCTGCTGCTTTAGGAATAGCGGCGGCAATCAAGGAGGGCAAAATTTCAGGACGTGTTGTCGCAATCGGAACCCCTGCAGAGGAAGGTGGCGGCGGGAAGATCAAATTAATCAAAGCTGGAATCTACAAGGATATCTTCTGCTGTATGATGGTTCATGCAATGTATGATCCTCTTCGCTGCTTGATGAAACAGACAAGATCTTTGAAGCTCATCATCCAACAGGCAATACGACAATGCTTACTTTACAAGCATGTGCGGATCAGAATTGACCATTGAGTACATTGGGAAACCTGCCCACGCAATGGCCGCTCCCTGGGATGGAATCAATGCGCTGGATGCAATGACCTTGCTACACACCAGCATTGGTTTGTTACGCCAGCAGATAATGCCTACCGATCGTATCCGGGGCGTAGTACTTAGTGCTGGAGAGAGTTCTGGAGTCATTCCGCATTACTCCAAAGCCCGCTACTGCGTGCGATCGGCCAGTCTGGTGCGTTACCGTACCCTGAAGCGGAAGTTCATCAACTGCCTTGAAGCCGCGGCGTTGGCGACTGGTTGCGAGCTGAAGACTGATTGGATGCCGGCTTATTGGGACATACGCGTTAATCATGGGTACGTTCCTAGTCATTTAATCGAATATTCTTCTTTCAAATTGACGGTTTTCCACAGATTGGCAGGTAAGTATGTGGAACATATGGAGCAAATGGGCGTTCCATTTGCGCCGATGCATGAACAAAAGGCGAACATGACCTGCGCCAGTACTGATATGGGCAATGTCACCTATGAAGTGCCCAGCATCCACCCAATATTTGCAGTAGGCGTCATAACTTACGATCTTGAATTTATAGTTGCTAATAACCAAAACAGCTGGACAGTCCCAATGGATCAATTCACACAAAAGCTTTCGAGCAAGTCGCAGCCACACAGGACTCTCACGAGCGGGCAGTCAAATGCGGCAGAGCCATGGCGCGCACAGGAATTGAAGTGTTGGTGGACGAGGCGTTCGCAGTGCAGGTGCGGCAGGAATATGACGACACGGACATGAGCATTGCGTTGGACCCATGGGTTGCATAAATATACACGGAGTAGTAGAGTGACTATGTAGTTCAAGCTTCAAACACCATCGATCAAAAGTGCCGAAATGCGGGGAGCGCTGAGGAGTGGAGTTTCCACAAGAAACCCGGACAGTCGGGCCTTTTATGTAATACGTAATGGAATCCACTGATTGATTCGCCCCTGTTCCGAGCGATAACTATCAGGGACGTTCCTCTCTCCTGTATGAACCGCACCGCTAGCATCAATATGCAAACATTAGACAGCCCGAGGTCGCCGGCTTCTCGCACAACCACGGCCTGTGGAGCCTGTCACCGCCGCAAGATCAAGGTGTGTGGGATCGGCGACAGAATATTCGATGTATAGTTTAACAAAAAGATAGTGCGATGGGTTGACTCCAAGATGTGGCCAATGCCTTCGTCGCGGAGTCCACTGTGAGCCTCATTTTCGCACTCGACGTGCTGGGTTATCGACAGAAGACGAGCGGCAACTACGCCAACGCATTGCGTGGCTAGAATCCGAAATTGCTCCTGTCTATGGCTTATCGGCAGATGAGGTGCGAAGCATCCCAACTGGGGAGTCATTCGTTTCTCCTATCTCCCAATCATCGGTTAGGTCATCGTCACTCGATGACACTGAGTTTACCCAGCCACCCGCCGATCGACAAGAGCAGCCATCCTCAAAGGGCCAAGACGATACGGTCGAAAAGGAAGTAGGCGACATTGCTGCTAATGTGGCCGTGTTATCGCTGAATGCTACTGGAGAAATGCGCTTTATGGGCGGCCCCAGTGGAGTCTTATTCTCGCGACTGATCGCGTCCACCGTCAAGAAATATTTGTACAATGCCGATCGTGGACAAAACGAAGAGTTCCAGTCACGCTGGTTACTGTCCAGCCGAGGGTCCATCCCACATAATTATCACAACGACTCTTATGTCTCTGCAGATGCCCTGACGATACCGCCATTAGAGACAGCAAAAAGCTACCTGACTACGTACATGCAGTGGGTACATCTAACATACCCCATATTTCATCAAGCAACGCTGGATTCTCTTGTTTGCTTAGTGTATGAAGATCCATCCATACTTTCTGCTTCACAGTGGACAATTTTCTATCTGGTGATGGCCATCGGTGAATGGCACCAAGGTCATCTGACTGACGTGTCTGGACCTCCAGGGACTTCAGCCGCGGAAATGTTCAACTGGGCGATGACTTGGTTCGATAGGGTCCTGCCATTAGATGGAATGGAAGGTCTTCAAATTGTCCTATTGCTGGCAATATACTCTTCCTATCGTCCCACAGGAAGTAGCCAGTGGCATTTAGTGGGAATCGCGATGAGGGTATGTTTCTTCGTTCTTTTTATTGCTCCACCTCCATATGAGGGCAGCTGACGAAATGGTCACACAGCTCTGTATTGATATGGGCCTACATCGGCATAACCCCGACTGGAAGTTTTCCCTTGATGAGTGGGACATTAGACAACGCTTATTCTGGGTGACTTATGCCATGGACCGAACTGTCTGTTTCAACTTAGGGCGACCTGTCACACTTTCCGACGATCATATTGATGCTCTATTCCCCCATTCTGAACGCCAAAGCCAAACACCAGAGCCCAGTATTGCTCTAGCTTTGCATCATATTCGGCTCCGAAGCATTCAAACCCGCATAATCAACGAGGTCTATACTTTGGGCAAGTCCAAGGCTCTCAATGACGACCACCAGCGAGCGGAGATTTTAGCCAGTATACAGCAGCAGCTCAATGAATGGCGATCGCAACTCAATATTGTCTATTCCGCACATCACAATCCTCATTCATTCAAGTGGTATGAACGGCTTTACTACACGACCACCTCCTCACTTCACCGAGCGACACCGCTCTTCCCACGGCCCACAGAAGATTCCATCAGGCGATGTTACGAAGCTTCGGTTAATGCTGTCCGAATTTACTATTCTCTCCTCCGATCCAACGAGATGGAACACTCCTGGATGCTTATATCCGGATGCTTTCTTGCAGGTATCACCATGCTATACTCCCTCTGGTCCAGCGATATTCTTTCCAAAAGTCTGCGATTGGAGGAAGTTACCGAGTCATGTAGAATGTGTTCAAACGTGCTGGCTGTCCTGTCCGCAAAATGGAAAGCCTCTGCCAAATTTAGCGATACATTTGAATCCTTGACCAATATTACTACCAAACGGCTCGTGGAACAACTCCAGCACCGATACAGCAGTGACACGCTCTACACATCGGCCCCAGAGTTGTTGCCCTTCGATCCGGGAATGTTACTGAACTCTTTGAACTGGCCACAGGATTTCAACTTCCAAACAGCTTTGACGAATCCTGATTCCATTACCGAAGTTTTTGACGATCTACTTCGGGGGCAAGAGGGGATATGGAGTACATAGCCACGATTGATACAATGAAGATCTCGGCGTAATGCGAGCATTGTCGCAAATGTAGTGGCTTGATGTAAAAATAACTTCACCAGTAGGGGTATCACAGGTTTCCTAAGAGATTCACACCAGAACTTCGGAACTGCATGGCCTAAACCATTGATTCAACTTGAGAAGAAACATATTTATCCACCTTATGCCCGTCGCCGTATTCGAGAGACAAAGATCCACGATCAACGACACTGTAAATACCCATATCAAACATAGAGACGCGAGGGTTTGGCGTTCGTGCCGGAGATGGCTGTGCAAGAGCCAAAGTGCTTGTCTCTCTGCCAGACGACGATAGTTGCAGACTGACGGAGGGTCTGTTCTGTGAGGAGAGGCTGGACATAGGACCTTCGCTTGAATGGTCCGTTGATGGACCGTACAGGGTTCGGAACAGAGGGCGCAGCGTAGGAAGGCAGGCGCAAATGATTCCAACAGATTGCTCAATTGATGAATACATTGCCGAATTAACGCCGGTCCAAGTGTGATCATTCATTTCCGTATAGTCGAAACTCGTAACTCGCATAACAGAAACAATGCAGGCGCTATGTAGTGTTAGTAATGTGGTTTTCAACGAGAGTTGACTTGAGATATATTGCCAAGGATGAGACTCACAACCCGCCAAGCATGAAGATGCCGGTTAGAATGATCTTTTGTCGAATTGTCGTTTTCAGCCTCCACGCCATGGGAAATGGAAGACAAAGAACCAGGACATCGAGGAGAAGATTTGTAACTCCATTCCAACGGAAAAAATCGATCTGGTTAATACATGATCCTGCTACCTTTGGGTTCCAGAATTTAGCCACTGGGAAGCATCCGACGATTGAAACAAGGGTGCATGCAATGAAGTATCCGATGACCAGGAATCCAGATACCCACAAAGCCCAACGGAAATGCTTGACCACGCCAAAGATACGGCAATATAACAACAGCAGCGCTGCCTTTGTGAAAACCGCATTGAGGAAATAAATTATCTGGTTGGCAAGAAAGCTCTAATTTCGAGTCAATATGCGGATACTAAGCGAGAAACTTTGTAAATTACCTTGAAAAAGCCTTGTATATTGTCATCTGGAAGATAATAGGCATGATGGCCGAGGCCGAAGACAGGAATTTGAACCCATCGCAAGATTGCCATAACCCAGTTTATTGCCTAGGCAAGAGATTAGTAAATCATTATGCTTCTCATAAATGATGGGAAAGTGAGATCTTGATGAACGACTTACCAAAGCTATCGCAATAGTGTAATCATCCCACCACAGTCCAGCGCGAGCAACACGTCGAGAGATAAATCGAAGGATCACCGCAATTGTAGCTGGAACAATGGTGACTATGGTCCCCACGTAGATATGCCATGCGATGTTCTCATCGGGAGGTGCTTGAGCAGGCGCCATGCATATCTAACAATATTTACAGACAAAATGGAGCAGATCGAAAAATAGCTGACAGAGACCATTGTCCGACTCTGGGGGAGAGGTTGTTATTAAGTACAAAGTGCATTTCGACCGAGACCGAGCAAAATTTTAGATCTTGTTAGATGGGATAACTCGGATCCGACATTTGGCAGCAGCACATAGCCGCTTTCCTTTTTTGTCAGCCGTCGGGCGGACCCGATAAATAGAGATGTGGCGCAGCCGGCCCGCATGGTGAGAGCTCGGGATTTTTGCGGGGCTTGGGACTTGTGGCCCGGCCGAACGGCGGACCGAGCGACTGGAACATACCTTTCTGGACGTACATTTTTATGCCGAGAGAGAAAAGTGAGGAGAAATGTGAGGATCATCTCAATCGGTAAATGGACAATAAAATTCTTTAGAAAGTAATCAGGAATCGCGGAGCACGGTATGAGCAGGATGGGATATGAAATAACAGAAAATAGATATATCTGACTGATGCCAAAGAAAAATCATATCATCTCTTCCAATCTTCTAATATGCATATTGATCGGTATCGGGGTTAGCGTCCAACCATACCCCATAGGGAGATGATGAGCTCCGGGGTGCATACAACATGAGCGGTCTCCACTTCAACTCCATCGTGTATGCATATGCAGTAGGAGGATAATCATTGCACGGCGCCCGAGAGGTACCGACTGAAAAACGTAGGATGTCATACTTTTCAGCTTCGCAGATCACGTTATTGGCTGACCCAAGTTTCTGGATTTGCCACTCGTACGATACTTTTGTCACACCTCCCCAATCCGGCGAGCCTCGCGAAAGAACCTGACTAGTCTATTTTAATAATACTAACTGGCAAAACGGGTAAAAGGACTGTTGTTTGTTTAGGAGCCAATAGTAGAAAGAAACAGAAGCTTCTGTCTGTGAATAGCCTCCCGCCTACAGTGTGACTTCCTTCAATTGCAGTTGCACCCGACAGCTTTCCAGTGACTCCTTCTGTATTTCAGCATAAAGATGAAATTCATCCGCCACATGTGTCCCGAGGCACCGCTGAAAGTCATCGAGATCCGGGTCTGCGTTCATGATGAGCTGCTTGGACTGGGACTCATACCCATTTCCCAGATTGGAGTTGAAGATGCCACCAGCAGACAATGGCAAGAAGTCCTCGTAGGTTAGAGGCTCATACATCACAATGTCTTTCTTTAGCAATTGTGAAATGGAGACCGTCGAGTCTCCTAATTCTACTGCGGCTGAAGTACTATCATTTGCGATTCGCTCTCCGGTTGGTGTCAAGCCGTAGCAAAAGTATGCTAGATTCTTATCATGGAGTGCTGATAAGGTGTCCGGAAAGGCTTCAAAGTGCTCTGCCAAGAGCTTGTCGTAATTTGCGCCTGTGATTCCTTGCATCGTAGCCTCTGCATTGACTCGGTTTAGGATTCGATCGTATAGTTGCCGACCTTCGCGGGTTAAAGCGTAGCCTCGTTGCTCTACCTCTCCAAAACGAGCTGTATGTGAGCCTTTTATGTACGTGTCTGATGTATCTCGGAAGTAGACGGTCTCCTCTAACGCCTTAAAGCTGGTTTGTCGCAACAAAATCGGGCAAGACCTTTTTTGGGGGGCCTTCAATGCGCTCCTTAGCGGGCATACCGTGATCAAGCATTAGCCGTCGCACTAGGTCGATGTCGATTGTGCGAGGTGTGAGATGATTAATGTGAGAGCTAGGAAAAGACACAATGTCGGCAATCAAGGGATGTTCGGCTTTGAGTATCTTGTATTCGTCCAAGCTGACGGTCGCTTTTGAATGCCACCGGAATGTCTCTAAGCCGTTGGCAATAAACTCCGTACACTCTTCCGGTGTCAAGCCACCTTTTGTTTCGGCATGGTCGAGAAGCTCAAGAAGTCTAGGTGGGAAGATATCTCTTTGTTCTAGCGCTCTCTGCGCCAAATTTCTCGTCTTCTCAGTCAAAAGCTCCATGCGTAGCACTGTCGTGAAGACGCGGAAGGGGTTGCGAGCCAGAGCTTCTTGGGTCTTGGGACGGAAAGCCGTAGCATGCATAGGAAATCCTGCTAGACTAAGATCGTAGTAGCCAACAGGGTACATGCCCATGACAGCGAACATGCGGCGGATCGTGGCTAACTCATATGCCGTACCCAGTCGGATGGCACCGTGTCTTTCAACTCGATGTCGCGAGGGAAGAACATCATCTGGGTCAATGGCCTGCAGAACTCCAAGTTTCTGGCTGTCTTGGACTGTTTTGGCGTCCGCTTCCCAAACCACATCGATCAGGTTTCCATAAAGAGGGACTTCGCTCTTATACATCTCAGAAAGAGCATTGCAAAAGCGAGACCGGAGAATGTTTTGATCCCAAATCATAGTGGGCGTGTCTGTTGGGTGTTTCCGAGGGTAAGGACTGAATACCAATGTCCTGTCTAGCTCTGTGGAGACCAAGGCCGTGTGAGATCATTACCGTCTTGATGTAACCTGCAGAGTGGACCAACTCTCTATATACAAGCCATGAAATCGAGAGTCCGCATTATCTCCGCCACCACCGCCGTGTTTATCCGCTATCAGGGCGCTTTCGTCGGGGCCAATGATATGTTATCAGGAACAAGAGAGGACAAAAATCATGTCTAAACCTCATCTCGTTCAAGAGCCGAAACATGCAGCCGTTTCCGCCTCGGCAGTTGAGAATTAATGCGGGGGATGAAGGCGCTCTCGCGTTTCTATTACCAATTGAAACCTGACTTCTTGCAGCATGTGCACAGTCTGAGGGAGAACCTGGAGCTTTTTTTCAAATATATATATTGCTTTAAGACACTTCCATGGGATACCCAATCCGCAGTGCCATTTCTCGAAGTTATTGCCAAACTAAGGGCAGCATCACCGACTTCCCATGGCATAAGATTTAGTCAACATATGTGATCAACTTTGATTGTGCATACTATTACGACTTGCTGAGGAGTTTCAAATAGGTCAATCATTCATTCATAAACCGATCTATATCCTATCCCAGGTCCGATCTATCAAAAGGGCGAGTCCCAAGACCCACGTCACGCACAAGAAACCTAACCAAGGGAATCCATCATAACAAAACATCCATATTGCTGCGACTGGCACAAGCAGTCAGGTACAGGGGTAATAGTTCAAGCATCAAGTCCATCATGCAAATCATTCAAACGCTGAGAAGGATGGACTCCGTCGATACGCCATGGGTAGAAAATAAGAATTGAAAGAAAGAGGAAAGGGCGAGGGAGAATGAGAAGATATGTGAGAGAGGAAGCGGAGGTTTGAGGAAGAAGAGGGGGTTATTTTGGGGAGGGAGTGGATGAGGAAGGACATGATCAAAGAGGAGGCATAGACATATCGTGCTCTTCTTCTCCATCACTAACAGAGGTTGCCGGAGAAGCAAGCCCCGACATGACAGACGATGAAGCAGCTGTACCACCGAGGGTGCCGTCAGCATCCATCATTGAGTCATCGTACGAGACAACACTTGTAACGGGTAACCGAGGGGCAGACTTTGCCGAGTTGGCCATCAGCTCCTCGACGCCAGGCTTAGCGGGCACGTGTTTATCCAGAGCGGAGGCGTTGTCAAGGCTCTCAAGCGCGAAGCTCATGAACTCGGCATTCTTGTGGCTGACGCTCAGAGTCCAGCGATACTCACAAAGCCGGACCCGATAGAATTCAGCCTCTTCCTTGCTCGGGGCAGTGATGCGCAGCAGCATTCCAAAGGAGCCGATGAGAGAGAAGTTCGTGCGTGCGGAGGCAGGCCAGAACGATCGTAGGTGAGCGGGCCGCAGTCTGTTCACAAAATCCATGGCAGAGATGAGACGCGTCTTCGCAGCCGAGCGGCAAATGTGAGCCAGATACGAGTCCGTTCCGTCTTCGGAGAGGGAGCGCACGATGTATCGATGAAGGGTGATCTCCGTGGCGAAGTAGGCCAAGTGCAGAGCACCATTGCGGGCGTGTTCATCGGTAATGGTTTCGACAAGCTCTCCGGAGGACGACTCCATTTTCAATGCTGCCGGCAAGGATGAGAACCACTCCTTTAAGCGGATCTGTGCAGGCTTGGCCTTGTCGAGGATTAGGCGCGTACGTTGCTTCCCAGCCGCCTTGAAGTCATCAATGGCCTTCAGGGTGTAAAATCGATCCAGAACATCCGACAAAATCGTGGTTAGGGCAACCATGTGGCAGAAGAGAAGGGGCCCGTGTCCAACGGCTGCTTCGTCATGGGCAGAGTCGGTGCCAGAAGCAAATGCATCCGAGAAATCCTCCTCCACAAGATCTTTGACAGTCCAGTTGAAGGCAAAGATATGAGAAGGACGGCCATGGACAAGCGAGGACCACTTGTCCTGCATGTACAGCGCCCATGCGAGCCGTCTCCGCAAACCTTTCTCCCAAGTCTCCATACGCCAGTTCGAGCAGTCCTGGTGCAGACCGAGCTCGAAGCCGGCTGTGACCATCTGGCCGTTGAGAGAGGAAGTGGCCAAAGTGGATTTTTGGGTCAAGAGCAGACCTGCTTGGATAGTAGAAATGCTTGGAGATGGGAGAGAGTCCATCAGCAGTTTCATTGCCGTGCTCTCCAACCTAGCCGCATCGGGTCGTCGTACAGTCTGCGAGGCCGCTCCCACATCGACGAACTTGAGAGTTAAAACATAGACTGCTGAGAGAAGTAAAGGCGACAGTCCTCGCCGTTCTCGGTACGATTGACGGAACGCTTCTTCCATCAGGATGGGGAACGAAGGGTGTACATGATCAAAAAACTTCTCAATCAGGGTTGCACCGTATGGTGCGACCAGGCTCTCGATAGCATCGAGTGACACGGCCTGCGAGTCACCGATAGGAACAGTATCAATAACACGCATGAAAGTGCCGTCGTCGGCACACCGGCGCACCCGGGATGTTGAAACTGTGCACTCGTCGTGCTCATCTAGCGGAAGGTAGTCGAGTAGTGCGGGTTCCAATTCCGTAGTCATCCCAATGGATTGTGTCGAGAGGTTGAAGAACCCAGGGCGAATCATGTTGTGGGTGCTCCGGAGCGGAGGAGTCTCGTGGGTGGAGTGTGCGTAATGAGCCGATTGAACAGTCGATGAACGTTTCACGGAATCCACATGCTCTCGAGCGGAGGAATCGTCCAGTTTCCGCTTCTTGGGCGGGACATCCGCGGGCGGGACGGCGGAGAGATGAAAAGTGCAGTCCTGCCGATGAAAGTCGCACGAGTAGCATTTGTTGACCATTTCATTCATAGCACACCTGCTCCTTCTCCGAAGACAGGCGTCGCAGCTGGCTCCATCCCGACCCGGAGCACGGGAGAGAGTCGAGTGGACCGAGCTGGGGGAGGGCGATAGAGTCGAGGGCGAGGCGGCCGTCTGGGGCCGAGAGCGGCGGAGATGGTCGGGGGGAGAATGGTGGTTTTGAGGGTAGGCCGTTGAGGCCGCTGGACCAGCCGTCGAGGAAGGCTGGATGGTGATAACTGTGGCCATGAAGATAAGAGGGAATCCCTAGATAGAGCTTCGGGCTACGCGATTTGGTCACGTAAGGGAACCCCAGGAACTGCCACTCCACAAATCAAGGGACAAGTTCGGGGGCGGATTGGTAACAGGACGGTTGTGACTGGAGCATTGACGTCTGTTAGATAAGAGGACCGATGAATGATTTGTGGTGGTAGAGGATTGATTGTAGGGGTGAAGCGAACAAGCACATACGTCCGATATGCTTATCAGGGTTGGTTATCTCCGGGAAACTCGATCGGGGGCCGCGAGCAACAAGTCGAAGAAAAGAAAATCAGGCCGGCGAGCCCGCGAGCGATTGCAGCAAGATCAGATGGCGGATGGTTCGCTCCGTCATTCCTGAACACGCGACAATAGAGAGGTACGTAGTGCAGAGGGTAAGAAGGCACGAGGGGACGAGGGAAAAAAAAGCAGCCCGGATGATGACATATGGAGAGCAGCTTTCTGGGCCTGCCCGTTTTGCTCTCGTAACAGATTATGCCTTCGCAATTGTCACCGCAGATAAGTCAGTGCGTGCTGATTGGCCGGGAGATCTGTCGGCCGGTGCATTACGTACGGAGAATGCTGAGTCAGCGGGCCATTCTGCCTAATTGGGCTGCCAGGATTACTATGCGCGGACGAGGTCGAGATCCAAGAACCTGGAGAAGTACGCATGAGCGACGCATGGCTACGAGAGTCCTTTCATCGTGATCGATCTATATACCTATAATCGACGTGGATGACCCTCTCTCGACCATAACGACCTTAAACAGGCATCCCGAAGACCGCTCGGTGCCCTCCTGCGATCGACATCTGGAGAACTTAGCTAATAGGTAGACCCCGAATCGTGTGGCGTGCCTGGAACAGGGAGTACCGAGGATGCTTATGATTCATTTAACCTTCCCCTCGCTAGCCCTCCCCGGGCAAGTGGACTATCCAGGTTACCCCCTCGCCAGAATGCTACTCCGGGTGGCGATGATAGCTAAGAGGATCGGGAGAAATCGCAGCGCACCTGATTCGCCCCGTGTCTTACACATTATTCATGGTGGCTGACCAGCTCCCTGTTGATTTGCTGACTCTATAGTTAATCACTCGCATTTGCGACGCTGGAATCCCTCCGGAGCCCTTTCGGGTTTCAGATCGACGGCCGTGGATGATCAGTTAATTGCCAATAACGGCAAAGCTTGAGAGATCGCGGTTCGATGTAATGTACGTAGTAGTAACTCGAGATGACGGCGGAAAGGACTCGAGTGGTCGTGGTCTTTCCGCGGTGCAGTCGCCGCTCTAACAATTTGTTCCAGCTAACATCATATGTGGCCTAGCGTCGGATTTTATGACACATATGTATACAACAGCTGGCGCAGATATAAAAAGGAATAACCAGCTCTGTTTCTTTCGATGCAAAATTCTTCGATACATCTAAGATTTCGAGTCAGAGTCATTGTCCATAAGAATTTACATTCAAGATGTCTCCCAGAAGCAAGTCAAAACGAGCAGAGATAGACTAGAATAGCTTTATCTATTAACCAGACGCCTAGGTCAAAAACGGTCATTCAACCGAAATATTTATAAACTGCATACGCCGTAACTTAAAGGTCAATTTGCTACTCCTGACTACTCGAGTTACTACCTATACTCTTAGATTATCTGGAGTGTGTCAGGACTGCGGTCTGACAGTGTGCGAGAAATTAGAAAAAAAATTGATAAAATAGTAAATACTATGAAAACCAACAACTACTAGCAGCTATTAGTAGAGAGTAGATTTTTTCTTTTATTATTATTATTTAGAATTACCACTTTTTACCTCACCTGGCCACCTGGCGAGCGTATAACTCTGACGTATTCCATATTATACAAACTCAATCCTTAGGTCTCCCCTGGGCTATACCACTTATGGAAGAGAAAGGAACCTCGGAGTTAGAAAACAATCTAACCTGACAAAGAGCTCATTATCAAATAATCGCAAACTCTCCCTCGAAAGCCTCATGCATCACAGTCCTAGCGTCTGCTCTCTGGCCGCTTTTCTGCCGCGCAATGATTTCACGCACTAGATTCGCTGTCCTGCTGGTATTTCCAACCTTGACCTTCATCCCCTCAATACATTCAATAATCCAAGATTGTGTGTCCTCTTCCTCAGCCTCGCAAGCAGCCATCATTAGCGGCCACAGCATACTGACTGGTAGGGATTGCCCTTCTTCTAATGTCATCCGTGAAAGATTCACAATCTTCAATACCGCAGGTTTGATTTGCGGAATCGATTTCAACTGCGCGTATGCGACTCGTTGAAGATGTATGAAGCAAGCATGGAAGTTGGCCGTGTAAGTCCTCAGGTGATGCTGTACCTTAGTTGTTAACCCAGACCCGATATACTGCTGGAGCCCTTTTTGATCCGCTAGATCAATAATTGCAGGTCTGCGAGTCCAAAGCGCATTGAGATCGCGCATTATCTTGTCCGCTGCAAGCAATACCTCTAGCTCGTCTTCCACAGATCCTCGAGAGCGATGCCATTTATCCAGATGTGCGATTCGACATGAGAAGTTGAGCACTTGAAGGTAGAAGTTGTAGGCTTGTCGGTTGAGAGAAGTGAAAAGAATATCTTCCGTCTCCATGCTAACTTGCTCGCCATCTCCGGCGGGCGAGTCACTGCCCTGGACAGTGTTTAAATCTAGGCTGTCTGGATTGCTGTACAAGTGAAAGCCTCTGCCCCCTGCACTTACGACCTTCGCATCCAGTAATTTCAGCCAAATTTGAAGTTTATTGCATAATGCCGAGGTTGAAGGTGCGTTTTGACTTAGCAGAAGATAAGCTTGATCCAATAGTTCCGCAGAGCGCTTGGAAGCTTTGGATACAATGATTCCAACATATGATAAGAAGAATATACTTCCCAAGATTGCCTCGCGGGAGTCCAGTTGGGTGTTTGCATCAGATTGGCTTTCGAGCAATTTCTTTAGTTCGTTCATTGCGACAGTAAAATAGAAATCAGATGACTCTGCAGCTGGAGATGCCCGCTGGGAAGGCGGGTCTTCAATCGATAACGCGGAAAAGGCGCATATCGAGTAGCGTAGAGGAAGGCTGGATTTCGAAAGACGGAGGAGGGCATCTCGATAAGTATGCCACCGTGGCTCAACGCCTACCAGGATTGGTGGCACTGCAAAGTTAACAAAGTGTCTGAGAAGGGTCATTTCATCTATCGGGCTGCACGACGTTTGCTCAGAACTCCGGAACGACAAAGCAGCGACGCTATTCCCATTCTTTGCAGTTGAATTTGCATCGAATGGGGAACAGTTTTCTGTGAGAGAACTTGAAAGGGATCGAGCAAGACTGGAGGAAAATGGAACACATTCGTAAGGAGTTGATTGCTGAACCGCTGTGAAGTTCGAAATAATAGGGATATTGGTGCATAAACTGTCTTCACCAAGCAGCTCCAATTCCCAATTCTCTGGGCCCGAAAAACTTTGCTGCGAGTGTTGATTTCCCATCGAAGCATCCAGATTCAAGCTGGGTGCAAGATTTCCAAAGGCCGCCGTTTCAGAATCATGAAGAGTTTCGCCCTCAAAGCCCACAGTCTGTGGGCGAATTGGATCGACATGATCAGTTCCGGGACGAGGCAGGCTTTGCTGTCCTACCACTGAGCCCCTATTACCTGAAATGGAAGGCTTCTGTCGTAGGAGAGATGGTTTCTGTCGACGCTTCTCTACCCCTGCTGAAGAGTCCTGGGATGCTACAGATTCATAATTGCAGCCAAGCCGCAGGCGATGGCAGTGTCCACAGACTGGGCGCCCTTCGTCACATTTTACCTTCCTTTGGAGGGGATTAGCAATTAACTACAAGGTATTTTAGTAGAAAACAAATAAAAAAACCGGCCTGGAAACACAAGTCGACGCGACGAACCTCTTTCGACAAGTCAGACAACCTCGGCGAGATCGTCTAGCATCCTTCGAGGGCTGTAGACGCGAGCCTAGACTGGAGGCAATTATTTGCCCAGCTGTTGGGGATGGAATGCTATTCGGATCCACCGAGGTGATTGTAATGCGAGCTCCTTGATCTGTATGGCTCGCCGACGATCCATGCGTTGGAGCAACGCTGCCGAGGGCATCGAGGCCCATTTGTGGGTTCATAACGCCTCCGAGGGAGGTCTGACCGATATCAAATAGAAAACTATTATCAACAACGAAGCGATCGCTACCTCTTGGTGTAGCGTGATGGAGCAACCTGCTGAGGAGGATCTAGAAAGAAAATACGCGGTCGGAATGACCCCGAGATGAGAGAAATAAGCGATCGGTTACAGCGGCGGGCTGAGAATCTGGTCGATTCGACCGGCTAACCAACTGAGTCGAGTGGCCCTACAACTGACGCACAGACGAGCGCAGTAAATATCAACATGACTATACTTCTGGCATATTCAGGTTCATAACCACTTCCTCTCTAATAGCGTCGGCATGTCGTTCCCAGTCCACCTTGATCCTCGTCAGCCCGAGGTCCATGCGAGCACGCTCGTTCTTTTAGATCAGGACCTGCTCTGTGCCTGGTTTGGTGGCACAAAGGAAGGCCTTCCTGACACTAAAATCTGGATTTCCAGACTTGACAAGTCCAAATCTGGTGCTACATGGACCAAGCCATATCCAGTGGCATCTGAAGAGGGTCTTGCGCATTGGAATCCAGTCTTGCTAAGAATCCCGGAACGAAATAAAATCCTACTGTTCTATAAAGTAGGATCTCCAATATCCTCATGGCGCACAAATATCATCGAATCGGACGACGAAGGGAAAACCTGGACTAAGCCGCGCGAACTCATCCCTGGTGATGAAGGTGAGAAGCATTTCGCTTTTCATTTGCCAATCCTAACTTTTCAAAGGTGGTCGAGGCCCTGTGAAGAATAAGCCGCTTGTCCTTTCTGATGGGAAGATAATTGCACCAGCATCACTGGAAACTCCCGATGGCAAGTGGGACTGCTTCACCGATGCCTCTTACGATCAAGGCAAGACCTGGACGAGATCTGCATTTGTGATTATTAACAGAGAAACTTGGCCGGGTGAAGGTGCCATTCAACCAAGCTTGATTAATTCTGCACCTGGAAAGATATCAATGTTCACGAGAACTTCTACTGGTCATGTCGGCAGAGCTGACTCTGAAGACAATGGGGAGACCTGGGGTGAAATGTATCTAACCCCACTGTTTAACAACAATAGTGGGTTGGATGCTTTGCGCCTGGACAATGGGAGTTGGCTCGTGGTACACAATCCAGTTCAGCAGAGATGGGTAAGTCTACCTTTGTGAATTTCTTTGGCGTCAGTTGACAGATTATAAAATAGGGCCCTCGGACACCTTTGGTGATATCAAGCTCATCAGACGAGGGCAAAACTTGGAAAGTCGTTGTGATCCTCGAATCAAAGCCGCCACCTACTGGATTTTCAAAAATCGTGGCATTTGACACTGTATGTATATAATTGATCCAGGTGTCCGTCGATATACTAATCCGAGAACTTAGGGGATTGTAAATGACGGGGAGAGTGAATTCAGTTATCCCGCTATAATTAGCGACGGTGAAGGTGGAGTTTATGTCAGTTATACATATGAACGACGAGGCATCAAAATTGTCCATGTGGATGAGACTCAATTGAGCTAGCGAAATAGAGTGTATTTCGTTCTTAGTTCTAGAATGTTTGCTAGTTATTTCTTCTCCGTGAAATAGAGATCTTCAGTCCACATGAAAACTCCAAGATCACCGAACGGCCTGTTTTTATATCTGGAAAGTACTATACAGGCATATCTCATTCGCATTATATCAGCGCTCTCCAAGTGTCTTGATCTCACATTTGAGTCCGACTCGGCCCTGCTGCACTGGGGCATTCCCGAGAATCTGGGGATGTGGGGTCCCGCAACCGACATAGCCTATCGCTTGATAAATCTCAGCCGACGAGGACGACGAACCTATTTTACCCCTCCTAGCTCCCCCATAAAATGGGAGATCTTGGAATCCTTCCTGCAATTTTAACAAAACAGTGGATGGGCATCAAGCAAGCGTCAAAATGTCCAACTTCCTAACCAGCCCCGATGTGAAGGCGATGCCTCGGGAGGTCTTCAATTGGAGACTAGTGTTCTCAACGGGAAGTGCCTGTATGGCCGGATCTCTATTTGGATTTGATACTGGGAATATTGGGTAATATAATTATCGAAGTCCATGTTTGGAGCTGTTGCTGACTCTCTACCCCCAGCGGCATCATCGTCCTCCCTTCCTTTAAAGAGACATTTGGCCTTACAGCAAATGGCCCAAATGCGTATCAGGCGCCAAATCTCTCCGCAAATATTGTGACCGCATTACAAGCAGGCGCTGTTCTGGGCGCTCTGTTGGCCTACACCTCTGCGGATCGACTTGGTCGCAGATGGACCTTGATTATCGGGGCTATTGTCTTCCTCATCGGCTGTATTCTCCAGCTGATTGCACGTCTCAGTAAGTCAATCCGAAGCCGAAAGAAGTTACACTTTTCTGATCTCGTATCCAGGCACGCTCTATGCAGGTCGTGTCATAGCTGGTATTGCAACTGGCCTGTGCTCCGTTGTTGCACCGATGTACATTTCCGAGACCACGCCGAAGGCAATCCGAGGCGCTATGACTACTTGTTTCAACCTTATTATCGTGACTTCACTCTCTCTTGCCTTTTGGATAAATGTAGGTTTTCGGGTTTTCTCCTTGGCTATCCATTCCTTCTAACTCGATCCAGTATGCCGTGAGCATTTGGAGCAATCCCTCAAACAAACAATGGCGCATCCCAATGGCCATCCAGATGATTCCCGGTGGTCTTCTGCTTATTGGAATGATATTCCAAAGGGAATCCCCTCGGTACCTAATCAGCCATGATCGGTCGGATGAAGCAATTCAAAATTTAACGTACTATCGCCAACTTCCTGCCGACCATCCCTTCGTTGCAATCGAGGCCGCAGAGATCACCGAGTCTGTGAAAGCAGAAACAGCCGCGGTTAAAGGATCATCTGTCTTCAGTCTTTGCAAGGAAGTCTGTACTGTCCCAGCAAATCGGCGACGATATATTCTGGCATTTACCCTGCAGATATTCCAACAGATGACGGGCACCAACGCAATCAACTATTTCGCCCCGGCAATCTTTGCATCTGTGGGGCTAACGGGAACGAGCACGTCCTTGCTTGCGACTGGCGTCTATGGAATTGTCAAAGTCTGCACCACAGTGGTCTACGCCTCCCTGATTATTGACAACGTTGGCCGGCGCAAGCCACTCATGACTGGCGCGGTAATCCAAGCTTGCTGCTTGCTTTATCTCACAATCTTCGTCAAGTTGGCTACTATCCAGAATGGTCAGGTCAGCGCCGGCGGATATGTTGGTGTAGTTGCTATCTACATCTATGCATTTGGATGGTCTTTCGGCTGGTCCGTTGTTCCCTGGGTTGTGCCCTCCGAGATTTTTCCCAATCGCATTCGTGCCATTTGCATGTCATCGATCTTCGCCTGGCAATGGTTGCTCAATTTTGCAATCACTCGAGCCACGCCATACATGATGCTCAACTTGGATAAATGGGGCGCCTATCTCATATTCGCGGTATTCACATTTGCGAGCGCGATCTGGGCATTTTTCTTCCTTCCCGAGCTGAAGGGAAGGTCTATTGAATCCACAGATCGTCTGTTCGAGCAATCTGCTTTCACAATGTTGAAGCGTGCGTATCCTACCGAGGAAGAAAAGACTTTGGACTTGTCATCCAGGGATAAGGCGCTTGAAGCTGCTACGGGTACAACCAATCATATCGAGGAGTCGCCAGCGCGGAGGGAGAATATTGTGTGAATGAAGTAGCTAGCAGATATCTCTACAAATCATTTTCTTTCTCTTCAACCTATACTCGATTCAACTTTTCTCAAAATAATATTGAAAGTCATGAATGACGTACTATTAGCGCAGTTGCTTACATTCTACCAACCGAAGCAAACATACTTCAGAAACCATAAATATGAGAAATAATAAGAGACTCCGTTGCCTCGTCGAAATCCATTCTCAGTCTTTGACCATCAATGAAGCCCCTCGATCAGTGTTCGGAAGCCATCCTCTGTCGCTAATGATACGCACTGACCGGTGACAATTGTCGGCTAATATCTTGTTGCGGGTATACCCGAGCCGACGAGCTTGGCTGCACTTGGGGAAAGACTAAATGTCAGAATAATGGCCCCCAGGTAATTTATCCAGCTGCCGCATCCTGAGGCTGACCCATCAGGGAACTGTGCCCCGATGTGGCCAGATCTCACTATGTAGATTTTTCCGCTTCTCTACTACAAATATGGACATGATAGCTAGACCTGAATACCATTGTTTTCAATCATTGCCACATGACACTCACTACCTAGTAAATTCACTAGTGAATACAGGAAATTCAGACTCCGACGCTAACTTCATTTGCCCAAAGATAAAGCCTATTCCAAAAGGCCACTCAATACTAGCTTCTATATTGGAATCTCACTTTATTTTTATTTGCTCCAATGAGTGCATCGATTAATGCAGCCGATATCTTCAACGTCAATGGCTTGGTCGCAGTCATCACAGGAGGTGGAAGTGGTCTGTAGTCTCTTCGAGGCTTGAATTGAAACCAGCTGACTAGCTCCAGGAATTGGACTGATGATGGCCAAAGCATTAGCTGCAAATGGAGCATCAAAAGTGTTTATCATTGGGCGGCGTTTTTCCGTTCTCGAGAGCGCCGCAAAAGAATCAGTGAGTACCTAGCCCATCCTCCTCATTCAACACACAGAGTCAAAAATATTCACGGTTTTGTAGAAATATGGCAATATCATTCCGGTTCTGGGAGATGTAACCTCAAGGATGGATTTAAAAAGCATCACTGCGCATATCGACGTAGAAGCAGGACACGTTGATCTCCTGATCGCAAATGCAGGAATCAGTGGACCTGATCTCCAGGGACTGTCTGAATCTCCATCAATTGAGGAACTACAACAAACACTTTGGAGCCCGAAGCCCGAGACATTTACAAACACTTACGCCGTCAACACGGCGGCCACATTTTACACCGTTGTTGCGTTTCTACGCCTGCTTGACAAGGGCAACAAGAAGCGCAATGGAGGACCACGAAGCCAGGTTGTGGCTACCAGTTCCATCTCGGGATTTAATAGGAACGTTCCGGGTGGTTTTGCATATGGGGGGAGCAAAGCTGCCACGACGCATATGATGAAACAGTTTGCAACATTACTTGCGCCTTATGGGATTCGGAGTAACGTCATCGCTCCCGGAAGTAAGTATTATTTAGTCGCAGATGAATCGTTGATTAACCTTTGGAAGTATATCCGTCTGAAATGACAGCCGCAAATATGGCCAAGCAATCAGAGGAAATGAGGAAGGTTTTCCCGGCTTCAGATATACCAGAGCAGCGGATGGGCGATGAGCAAGACGTGGCTGGCGCGATCCTATTCCTTGCCTCCAGGGCCGGGGCATATTGTAATGGGAATGTGCTCGTAACTGATGGCGGGCGACTCAGCGTGACGCCGGCCTCCTACTAGAACAGAAAATCAGACCATAGTTGATTCGTCAATCATTTTATTATTCATCGTGACCGAGGTTCCTGTCTATTTGTCGAATTGTATAGCACTGGATCATGAAATGCAAACCCCGAAACGCCATGCTTCCCAGAAAATAAAATTGCAAGTCTACTCGGTGAAGTTGCGCAGCTTGGTCAGCTCATCCAGCAGCTCCTGCAGGTCTCCATCGGAGATCTTGTTCTGCAGACTCGGAATAAGCGACTTGGCTTCCTCTGCATTATCGCAGCAAAGACTTCCTATTTGATAGTTAACACGGATTCAAGTACTCCCGGAAAAAGCCGAACTAACCAAGCTGTGACCGCTCGAACATCTCCAGCTCGGTGTGCGAGTTCAGCAACCGTTCCACCGCCTTGATATTCTCCTCGTCCTTGAACCGGGCAAACACCTCAAGGTAATCCAGAGTCCGGGTCAGGTTCCTAGAAGTTTCCGGAGTCAGCGTCTCAAGTCGGACGCAGAGTGAAGGGATCGCAACACTTACTCCGGCTCCTCGTACTTGTTCCCTCCGCGCCGCTTGTTCTCCAGCACCTTGTTGATGACAAGTCGCGCTTCAGACAGCGACAGGGTGTGGGTATTTTGGTCAGCGCCGAGTTTGAGGGTCGACGCGGCTTCGAGCTCGCCTTGGGGCAGAGTGCGTTTGCGATGCGTAGGCGGGGGGAGTTGGACGCTCATCGTGACGTCGGAATTGGAGATCGGGCGCTCGTTATACAGGTGACTCCGATTGAATATTTGTTTGACCCCGACCGCAACTTATATGTCGATGCGTGGTGTGCGTGTGAACTGGAAGAGAAGACGGCCAGGGCAGGAGATGTGGAAACTCTTGCAGGACCCGGCAGTTGAAGGCGGTGAACACAGCGCCGCCTCCTGCCCGATCGGGTATTGGGTCGTCGACAGCAGCCTGTGGCACGAACTATCCAGTGTATTTATTCCGTGGTTGAATACCTATCAGCTATTAAGAATGATCGCAGACTAGTTTCAGGGTATCCGAACTCTGGTTATATTCTAGGCTAATGTCACAAACGCCTAGTCTATGCAACTACTCACTATCCAGCATCGCACTCTACGCCCGGAAGGCCACCTCTCTTGGCAGGCGGAAGCTGGCACAGAACATCTGCTTCTTGGGGCTGACAAGTCGCACATTGTGGATGGCTAGTTCCAGTTCCTGGTTTCCACTTCCCCCGACACAGTCCTCAGGAGTGATGGTATAGCCCAGACGCTCAGATATACGCTGACAGATATCGATGTGGTCATCTATCTCGTTGTCGGAATGGCCAGAGAAGCAGTACACATGGATCATGGGCAGCTCCTGGGACGTATTTGGTGAGAACAGCGCTTCCTTGCCGGTGTAGAGACCAGGGAAAGCATCCACAAACTCGATGGCCGTGGCGGGCAGGTTCATGACGTAGTGGTCGACGATAGAAGGGCGGGTATACGTCTCGGGTGGTGGAAGTGGTGGCTCCTCCTGTTGGCTTCCGTCGGCCTTTCGTTTCCTGTCCCGGCGAACCTTGGGCTTGATTGTGGCGGTGACCGGTTCGGCATCCAGGAGCTCCCTTGCCGCAAAGCGAATAAACTCGCGGCCGTCTTGGTTGAAAGGCGTGACAAATTCCTGAACCTTATTGCGCGGAATCGCGTCCTGCATCACTTCGTACCCATATGGATTGAGATCGTTGGCCCACACAAAGATCTTTTTGCGGCCGGCGGGTACTGCAAAGGGTCCCACGCCCGCCATGACGTCGCAGACCATTTGGCCCGGTTGGAATTTGTCAACCAGTCGGCGGTGCTCCGTCTCCAGGCGGCTGTTCCAGTACACACGCGCGTAGTCAAAGCGGAATTCACAGTCTTGCTCATGCTGGATGACATTCAGGTCGTTGTCTCCGGCCAGCAGCTCGAATGGGAATGTACGGAATTCGCTGTGCGAGCCGACATCTTCGGTCTTGTTGATGACGGTGCGGATGGCGGCATTTTTGTCCTTGAGGATCTCGGCGATGATATATTTATACGGGTGGAATTGTTCTCGGAGGTTCAAATGCACTATCCGGTCAGATTATTTTGCAGGTTTAATCGAATGCAGCAGGTAGCTTACAGACGTGGCCCACTTGGGTGAATCCTTGGGGAATTTCCTGCATATCGTTTTCGGGCAGTATCGCAGCAATAATATCGGCTGGTCGAATGTCAGCACTTGTGCCTATTCAGCAAGAAATTCCACGCACCATAATTCCAGAAATCATATTCGAGCGTCAGTTCGTAAGGACCCAGCCCCACAGTCCCCTTCTCCACGAGCTCACTAATAGTCGGAGACCACGTTGTCTTGTCTGCGTAGTTGCGTCAGCATATTTGCTCCAAATCAGTAGGAATCCCATACCATCATGCTTCAGATCCTCGCGCAACAAAAGAGCCTTCCGCGTCAGTCCATCCGGATCCTTGACGTCGCGCACGCAATTGAGTCGATGTACAACTAGCAGATCCTTGCTGCTGCTCAGTTCCTTGCGCACGCGCGAGATATCGGAGTGCTGGAAGACGCGCGCGGCGGAGATGGGCACCGTTTTGCGGAAGAAGGATCGGTCGAGGGTCCGCATGGCGCGGTTGACGGGCGGGCGAAACATGGCGGGGAGTTCGCGGCTGCGGCCCTCGCCCGGTGGCTCCATTGACGATAGTCGGAGGGCTCTACTGGGGGTCGAGATGGGCGATTGAAACAGAAGCTGGTCCGAGTGCACATGCGACAATTTGTTTCTTTATCTTACACGTGACCGTTATCTGATTATCGATAGCAGAACTATACGGGATTCGGAGAAGAGAAGCAATATTCACTCTCTCTACCGAAACAATTCGGAATAGTCTTCGACCTGATGATCCGTCTGAGCCGTTACGGATAATAGACTGTGCTGTCGATGAGCGGGTGAAAACATCACTACAATACCAATTTGCTCCGAGAAGGCGGAAACGCAGGTGCCGAACTCCGTTTGACCGTCACAATCCGTAAACCAGTCAGTCCCTTGAGATATTTCTAGCATAAACTCATCAAGGATTTTTCATCGCCTTAATATGATCACTATCACTTCCGCGCTGCACCGTCATATGCTCAATCCGCTCGTTCAGCATCTCAATTTGCTCCTCCTTCTTCTTCAGCGCCTTCCGCGACATATCTCTCCCCTGAATAATTCCTTTCATTTTCAACTCCTGGCGGTCGAGCAGCGCCACCAGCTCGTTCAGTGCATGGTTCGGAAGTACAACGCTGTGCTTGTCCAGGATAGCCAAAGCGTCCTTCGCCAGGTCGGATCTATTGGTTTTCGAGTCGGCGCTGATCACATCGCGGTATTTGCTCGGTGTGGGTGTCATGCACACTTCCGCCGATGACGGAGGGAATCGAGATGATCGGCTAGACAGCGGTGTTGCCAATGTGGATGGTGCACGAGAAGGGGAGTCGTCTGCGACATCCGACATCTTCCTTTTGCCAGGGGATGTGATTTCCGATGTGCGCGCTGCTTTAGATGGCAACTCGGGGTGGAAATTGGGTTGGGAGATGAAAGACGCCGTGGCAGATTGGCTGCTTGACAGCGCCTCCTTGAGCTCCTCGTCATCATCTTGGTCATCGTTCCAACCATATTCATCTGTGTCCTCCGCCATCATCCGCGCCTTGGCGGTCTTGGGTGGTGACGGGTATCTGCGCGGCGGGACGTCAACGAATCTGTGTTCGGTCTGTGGAGTGAGAAGGCCCGCTCCTGCACGATATGTTCTGGAGGGCGTCTGAGCGAAGGGATCAGGTTCCGATCGGGTGTTCGCAAGAACGGCGGCTCTCTCGCGGACCTGGGCATCGCTCTGCCATAGAAAGAAGCGGCAGCGCACAGGCTGCGGTTGAGCGCAGACATAGACTAAGAGAGTCAGCGCGGGTTGAGCTTCAGGGACTGCTTCACGTACAATACCGGCCATGGTTCTCGTTGTCTTTCTTGACTTGGTGCTTGATCGCAGGGGGCCGTTCGGGACAGTTGCAGCACCAGATACCATCTTTGAAGAGGCCATCCAAATGGCGACCCGTTCGAGGTGAGTCTGGAGGTTTCTTATGAGGAGATATCATGGTGATGGGTGAACTGGTCACTCATGTGAGTGGTCCAGCAGTGGAAGTACTTGATGATGCCGGGTCGCCGGGGAAACTGCTATCTTATCAGAGATAAGACTGCTTGTTGCCTCAGGCAGGAGTCTATAACATCCCACCATATTTAGGAAATTCGATGTCTGTTTGTTATTATTCGTGAATAAATACACCGATATCTCTCTGCCTCCCTTTAATAATACATCATTTTGTAGCACCTAGGCCACAAATGAACCCATATCTCCGAGGTCACCACCCAAGCCGCATCTGAGACAGTCCGGCACCTCTGTCACTCCATCTCCTCTACCCCCACTGTCTACGACATCCTCCCATTCGCACCAACTCCTCCCACCCACCCACCATGGGCCATGCAGTCAGCCACCAACTTCATCTCATTATCCCAGGAGCTATATCTCTACATATCGGAGTCCCTCAACTCAATTCCTGACTTAAACGCCTTCGCGCAGGTCAACTCTACACTCTACAACCTGCTCAATAAACGTCTCTACCGGCGCGATGCGGCACAGGCACAGGCACAGAGCCATGGCCAGGTCAACCATGCCTTATTCTGGGCTGCGCGGTACAACCAAGTTGGGACTGCGAGGAAAGCCATCGCCGCTGGCTCGGACGTGCTAGCCATGACCGATGAAGACAATCTTATAAAGGGCTGCACGCCGCTAATGCTGGCTGCCGCGCATGGAAATCTCGAGGTCCTGCGGTACCTGCTCACCATCGAGGAGGCGAATCCGAACTCGCGGGACAGACGATACATGCGCCCGCCGATTTCCTGGGCCGTTAGAGCGGGATACATATTTATCGTGGCGGCGTTGCTGGATGACGATCGTGTGGATGTCAATCTACAGGATAACATGGGCGACACAGCGCTCATGATCGCGATCAATCACCGGCCTGATCTGGTCAAATTGCTGCTCTGCAGCGGGAGAGCAGATCCCCGGGTCCCGAACAGACAAGGCGCCACGGCGCTGTCAGTTGCGGCGCGGAATCGCAATACAAACATCGGCCTGCTGCTAGCGACGCATCTGGACCTGATACTAGACGGGCACGACACCGCGGAAGACTGTCAGCATGTATTCTTCTTCGCGGCCAGCACAGGCCATGTCGACACAGTGAAATACCTCGTGTCAGCGCACGGGGACAAACTCCAGCCGACAGGCAAGTCGGACGAATACGTGCGGGGCGCATTTTGGGCGGCTGCATCGTCCCGGCGCGTGGAGGTGATCAGGTTTTTACTGTCGTGGACAGCGACGGATCCCAATCTGCGGAATCCGTGGAGACTACATACGCCGTTGTTTGCGGCGGCGATGAATGGGCATGAGGACGTCGTAGATGTGTTGATGGAGAGCGAGCGCGTTGATCCGGAGATGCCCGATGTGTATGGGGTGACGCCGTTGGGCGCTGCGGCGGATAGGGGCCATGGAGATATTGTGAAGCGATTGCTTACGGGGAAGCGGCATGCGGATCCTAATGCGCGTGATGAGAATGGGCAGACGCCGTTGTTTAGTGCTGCGTTTTCTGGACATCTGGACGTTGTTCAAATCCTGCTTGCGGCTGAGGGCATTGATTCCGACTTGCCAGACTTGGAGGGGAAGACACCGCTGGCGGTGGCTACGGAGAATGGGAATTTCAAGGTCAGTGAGGTATTGAGAGAATATAAAGCGAAGCAATAATCGTGAGATCATCATCATTATGAGCCAGCCGTCTATCTAATTGTATGGTATCCCGGTGCAAGTGCTCTAGCCATATCTATGTTGCGCTCCCATTTCATCTCCTCCTCCGGCTCCTCCACGCAGCAGCGACAAAACACACGAGATAGAAAAGTAGAATTAGCAAATACACAATGAATGAATGTAAAGCGAGGTTCGCTGCAGTTTAGTCTGCCAGCACGTATCGGAGCATCACGACGAACGGATCAGTCAGCTTCAGGGCCTCGTGAACCTCGGGTTTCAGGGGCTCCCCGGCTGTGCGACGAAGCTGATCCTGCCTCTTAGTTCGTCGGCGGCGTTCAGCGGCGATGGGGTTATCTTCATCATCTTCGGCGGAATCTTCGTCAGAGGCGTCAGAGGCCTCGTCGGAAATAGTCAAGTCTTCCAAATCGCCCTGTAGGAATATGTAAGAACTAGTGTATGAATCTGTGGGGGGAGAAGAACATACTTGATCAAGGCCAAAATCGCTGCCCTTGAAGGTCGCAGAGCCCGGAATAGAGTCGGTGCCCGTTCCCTCGGCTGCCATCTTCTGGCGTGTTTTGTTCAAGTGCCAGGCCTTCCGGTCCGCGTGCCATTTAATCAGCGCATTGATCTCAGCCAGAGCAACATCTTTGTCAATTTGGCCAGCACCAACGGCACCCTGAAACAAGGCATTCATGTCGAGCTTGTTACCCTTGGGGCCCTTGCGCAGAAAGTCGAGAATTTCCTCGACCCACGACATCAAGGAGTGGAAGAGACCGTTGTCATGGAGATGCACTTCGTGGATGAATTTGTAAAAGTTAGCCTCGTGGCGGGCACACAGGTCAATGAAGGCCTGCACGGTCTGGTTCGGGTCGGCGGAAGCGTCTTGCCGTTGGGCGCTTTCGATGACGCCGATGGCATCGTCGGCAAACATGGCAAAGTCTGTAATGGAGCTGTACACATTGGCCGACTTGTAGACCCGGACGAGGGGCTCATAGAAGATGGTGAAAAGATCACGGAAGAGTTGGAGAGTAGCCGGCTCCTCGACGATGCTAAGCATCATCGACTTGTCACGCTGCCGAGTGTAGAGTTTCAACAGCTGCTTCATGTGAGCAAACCACTGGGCTCCCTGCTGCATCTCAAGGTCCACGTTTTCCACGGCGTTGTTCCAGGCCACCCAGCCGTTGAATACTTTCCCGATTTGCTCGGGGGTGAGCTCTGGAGTTAGAAGTTCAGAGCGTAAGATGGCCACAATGATGTCGATATCTTCCGCAACAGCTTCCTCTCGGATGATGTTCTTAACGTCCTCCTCGGCGTCGGCGAAACTCTTGAGTTTTTGGGCCAACACCTGGTCCTCAACCTTGGCAGACAACGAATCAATTGACTTCTGAAAGTCCTTAATGCTATCATTCAGTGTCAGGGAGAAGATTCGCTGGAGCAGCGACCGAGATCCAAATGGTTGGGCCAGAAACAGATCGAGGACGCCCGACATGACCGCAGCAGGGTTGGCGATGCGGATCACGTTCTTCAGCAGAGTGTAGGGAACAAGACCATGGATTCTCTTTGCCTGCGCAAACAGTTCGGGGGAATTATCCTCCGCCAAAAACAAATGGTATATTGTCGCAGCAACCCTGATTCCAGTCAGCCAAGGGGAAACCACATCAGTCACAAAAGACGTACTCAATGCGAAGCCACTCGGCGAACTTCTGGTACTGCGGGCTGAGATCTGGGATGGAAGATTTCTCCTTGATCTCAGTGAAAAGCTTCGTCAAGCCATCTAACAAGGCGGGTTAGCATCGCACCCTCATGTCCAGGATAAGTTCGGGAGCTTACTGCTCTCGACGATTTCTCTGCGGAAGTTCTCCATGTAGACATCCAGCTCCGCAGCACGCTGTCTGGCGATTTCATAAAACCGCTTCTGCTCCTCAATCCGCACGGCATCCATCTCCTTTCTCCGGCGAACATCAATCATCTCCTCCTCGTTCAAAGTGATAGGTTGACCAGACAAAAATTCCGCCATGGTCTTGGTCTCAGCAATCCGCTTGTTCTGCAAGATGGTACGAAGAAACGCGCGCAAAGATACACGCTGTTCTTCGCGGTAGAGTACATTCTCTGGCGGCACATCCGACGACGCGCGCGATGACATGGCGGAGCGTAATGAGCTTCGCGAAACTGAGTGCCGAGGACCCTTGGGATCGATCGGAGCAAGAGTTTGGGATGACTGCTTCTCCTGGGGGGTGGTCGGTCCTTGAGTTGAAGCGGATGAAATGGACGAGTTATCGTCATCCGCGGAGCCGAACCAGCTGGATGTCGTGGAGGATTTGTTCTTGCGAGGTAGAGGGGGTAGGTGTTTGCCGGGGAACTCGGTGCGCAGTCTCTTGTGCAGCTTGACAAAGTCGCCATATCTTCTGCCCACATATATCTCCGGCTTGTCGTCTTGACGGACTCGAATAATGAACTCCTGTTATGCAGGCTCCAGTCAGCCAATGCTCATATCTCCTCTCACGAGTCACTTACCGCGTGCGGATGATATCTGACTGTCCGCTTCACAGACTTAACGCGCACAGCAGCCACATTCACATCCCACCCATGAATCGACTGGCCCTCGGGGATATTGACCAGTATCCCATTCTCATCCGCACCGCGATCAACCACCTCCATCTCCGAGAATTGAACCCGTTCCTCGTATCCCGACGCTGTAGGCACACCCGAAACCATCATCAGCTCGATGAGCTTCTCGCACTTCCGGGCCAACTTCCGCCGCTTCGTTTCCTCCAGCCGATCCTCCGAGGACGAGACATGCTTGTTGGCAAACGATTCCAAGAACTATTCAATCAATGCTGATTTAGCATTTCGCGCGTGGCAATGGGTAAGAAATGGCAGACGCACCACCTGCAACTTATCCTGCCAGAACTCCTTCTCGCGTGCCTTGTCGAGAAACGGAAAGTTGCGCACATGGTGCACGAAGATGTACCGCAGAATCGGTAGCTCGGAGTCGACGGGGGCGACCTCGCCGAAATCCGATCTGAAAGGCGCGCCGAATCGCTGCAGGGCTGTGGGGGAGTTGAGTTCGGTGATCTCTGCGCGGACTTGTCGGGCGATGAGCTCGCGCTTGAGGTCTGGATGTCATCACAATTTGTCAGCGACTGGACATCACGAAATGACATGTCCATCTTACAGTGTTCTTGCTTCCCCGTCAGGATCTGTCCATCTGGTGGAGCAGATGGTCCGCCCAATTCACCCCCGCCCGCCGCACCGTTCGTGCCGATTGGAGCCGGCCTATGCGCTTCTGGCATGGTGACGAAGATGATAAACTGAAGGACAACAAAGACGTGTAGTCAAGATGGGTGTGCGGGTGTGAGAGAGGCCAAATTCGAATTCGTCTGCCTAAACAAGAAGCTCGCACAGGGCCAAGATCAATAGTGTAATCCCGAAGCCGTTCCAGGGATATTCCCGTCCTCCGTCCCCGCGTTGGAGGATAATAGTACAGAGGAATCAATTGGAAAAGGGAGGGAATGGAAGGGAAAGAGCGGGAGAGCAGAATTGCGGTTGGTGGGTGAAAAGGAAAGAAGCCGAAGAGGGGAGCACATGAACGATGTCGTCACCGCACGGGAGTTGTTTCTGCAGTGACGCGGCCTAACGCCAACGGCTGACTTTGATTTACGGTGGCTTGGGGCTTAACAAACTGGACTCTAATACGCAGATCAGGACAAGAATGTAAGCTGACAGGGTCTCTGGTTTTGAAAACTAGCTACTCGGTTGACACAAAAAGAAAAAAGGGGGGGTCATTAAACACAGAGATGGTCACTCCATACATGAAGAGATAATCCGGAAAAACATCGCTCAGTTTCAAACACAAATCGTAGATATCATCGTCTAACCCATAAAGTCCAGGTCCATGTCAGAGGGCATGCGCGATCCCTGGGCCGCGCCGTGCTGCTGCTGCTGGTCCGCCCAGGTCTGGATGCCGTGCAGGGCCTGCTCACGATCGAGCGGAGGGAACATGCCGTGGTTCTGGTTGTACTGGCCCGCAGACTGGTGGGCAGTGGTGGTCGGCAGCATGGTGTTGGTGGTCGCAGTCGGGTTCATCTGCACATTCTGCTCGTACAGGGTGAAGTCGTTGCCCACCTGGTGGTGCTGCGCGGTGTAGTCATAGTGGTCCGACAGACTCTCCTCGACCCGACCCGAGTGGGGAGAGTACAGCATCGGGTTGCCCTGCGCATGGGGGGACAGGCCAGACAGCTTGTAGGAAAAGTCAGTGGCATCGCCCATCAGAGGAAGGTCGCGCGTGTACGCCTTCATGGCCACGGCATCCATCGCATTGCCGGCAGGGGGCAGCTGCATCTGCATCGCAGTGTAGTCCTCGCCGAGGTTTTGCATGTCCAGCTGGCTCCACTCCAGGTCAAAGTTCAGGCTCGCGTTCTCAGTGGAGGCAAGCGGAGAGCCATCAAAAGACACGGGGCCCATCAGGTCCGGAACCGAGTCCGCGGAGGGGACAGACATGGTGTTCATGGACTGGCGGTGCATCTCCAGAGACGAAATCAGACCATTCGGGTCGCCGGCCCCGAACTGGGCCTGGAAAGCGTCGAGATTCATCGAAGACCCGAATGAAGGGTCGACGTCGTTGCTCAGTCCCGCAGAGGAGGTATGGTAAGGCGAGTTCTCCAAAAACAGAGGGAAGTCATCACTGCAAGGGGCCGCAGGAGGATCGTTGAAGTTGAAGTTGGAGTTGTCCGCAAAGCCCATGTTCGACTCCAGAGGAGATGGGCTAGGGCCACTGGTCGGGGTGGAGAAGTCGGTTGGCTTCGAGCCCGGAGTGGACACGCTGGGGGTCTGGGGGGTGGCCTGCACGGACGACGAGCCGCGCTTGACGTGATGACCACGGGCATTGTTCTTGGAGCGAACGTAGACCCAGCCGTGGGCCTTCTCCATGTGCTGCTTGCAGTTGCTCTCACGCTTGGAGGCATAGGTGCAGGGCTTGAAGCTGCAGGTGAACAAAGCAGGAGTGTTGGAGTGCTTGTCATTGATGTGACGGTCGCGCTCCTTCTCGGTCGGCCAGCCAACCTGGAAGTACTTGCAAGATGGCTGCGTGCACTTCCACGGGCGCGAGTGAGTCTTCTCGTGCTTGGTCAGGTCGCAGGGGCGCTTGAAGACCTTGTCACAATGACTGCACTTCTGGTTGATGTCCATGGGCGGGGCATTCTTCTTGCGGCGAGCCATAGAACGCTGCACACCCTCATCAACCGACTCATCGAAACTCATCATGCGCTTGAAAACCGGGCTGGTGAGATCAGCCTCGTAGGGCTCCCCAGTGCGCATCGAGACGGGTTTGCCATCCTCCTGCACGAGGACCAGCTCGGCAGGCTTTCCGGTCTTGGACAAGCCACCTTCGAGCTTGAGTGTTCCGGTACTATGATTGCCAGTTAGGAAGCTGTCGGGGTGGGAGAGGTAGATAGCATACATGGTGGGCTCAGTGGCCTTTTCGTTCTTGTCATCGGCCGACCTGGCCGCCTGAGCGGCTTCAATCCGCTCGCGGGACTCACGAATCATGGCGGCGTAGCGTCTAACCTGGGAAACAAGATCGAGAAAGTATCCGTTAGTGTATGGGCGGTCGGCAGGAAGACGTTGGTCGCGCGCGTTCAGGTGCGAGGCCGAAGTGTGAAGACACTGGATGGTGAATTCGCAAAAGTTGAGATAGGAAAGTCGAGTAGGAGCAGATTTCTTGAATGAAAGATTTAGAAGTTCGAACCCAAAACGCCAATAGCCCATTGATCGAATCATTCACTTACCGGCGCCAACCACAATAGGGTTTTCTCCAAATCGCGAAGGCAGACAATCTGTTTATTCAAAATGCGTTGAGGTACACTCTGCACCAGCGGATGGAATGGCTTCAATCGAGATTCCTTCAGTATAGGAGCCAGAATGAACTTCTCGATCTGCTTGCAGGCATTCAATCCCAGCTGGCGCTTGTCGAAAGTTGCTGCTGTGGTGCCCGTGAGGGCATTCGCTTTTTCATTCACTGTTGTGTTTTATACATCAGCACTTGCCTCAACGGGACAATATGGCATTCACCCTCCCCCAAGGGGATGACGGAGGTTGGGACTAAAAACTCACCGTTGTTCTTATCTGAAGAGACACTCTCGACACTGCTGACCGAGGTTCCCAGTCCACTGTCGGACTCGTGGCTGTGGCTTTGATGGGTCATCTTCTCATCATCCGAGCCATCCTCATCAACAGAGGGTGCAGACGGGATCGCAGTGTCGATTTTGCGGTTGAGATCCTTGCTGCTGGATTCCTCCGAATCCGTCCCCAAGCTGAGACGGCCGAGCAGCGAGGTCATCCGGTGTTCGTTGGCGGCAATAGCCTCCAGAGACGTTGGGGAGCGACGAGGCAGCGAGCGTACACTCATAACCGGATCACGGTCCTCGGCAGGAGGGGTTGTCGGCGAGTGAAACGTTTCTCCTTTTTGCAAGCGCATCTTCGATGGGCCGGAGGGAGCCTCGGACGAGGGGGCAGCGTCGGTGCTTAAGACCGGCCGCCGGCGGGGGTGCACCCGGGCGGGTTCAACGACAGAGGCTGTCATAGCTGCGCCCGGTCTACATGGAGTTAGCGGCAGATCGCGGATGGAATGAACAGGCTGTCAGCGACTGATTGGCCTGGGCCTATGACTCACAGGAAATGGCTGATTGCCTGGATGATTCGAAAACGGACGATCGGCTGAGCGAGTCACTCCGATGGGTCGGCGGCTGGTCTATATATACCGCCGTGCTCGTCGACAAAGCGGGTGATCTTGATGTGGTCGAGGCTGATAAGAGAAGGCGGCGGTGTACCCTCACGTTGGCGGGTAACGAGACGGTCGCAGATTGTCTCTCCAAGTGACTGGGCATACAGCGCCAGACCGGATGCTGTTCAGGATGGATGAATCGACCACGATGAAGCGGGCGTGTCAGCTGGTCGACAGGCGATGATGATGGACCCTCTAAGCGTGGAACGGGATCCGCCGATCGGGCAATGTTCGACAACACAAAGTCGACCGAAATCAAAGAACAGTCTCCAACGGCAGCAAACGAGGCCTCAGGACATCTAAGACTCACTTTCAAGAGTAGGAACCGTGGAGAAAGAGATGGAGAACAGGGGAGAGAACAGGAGAAGGCGTTGGCGAACACGCAAGTGTCTGCCTGATAGACGATGCGCGCTAGGCTGGAAGGGGGATGTGCTCGGCGATGGTGATTGGCTTGGGGGTGTTTGGGGATTACCGAATTACCCATTCTTACACGACCAACGTGCGTCCTCCTGGTAATACACCGTCACCTCCCACAGAGCCGCACGCCCTCTAGGCATCCACGGCGTCAGCTCTCTGCCTAGAATCCATCATTCCTCCGAATACGAGTGGAGGCCCTTCCGGACCGGCCGGATGGATTGCTCCGTTCCATCGGGTTCCTTTGATCTTCCGATTTTCTCCTAACAGGGGACTCCGCCACACCGCCCCAACCACAACAGCCTTCCTGCACTAACACGGGCAAAGGGGCCGATCGGCTGGAGCCAATGCCGTCCCATTGATTTCAGAGTGATCATGTCCTTCGAGTGAGTTCTCTTCTTTTTCTTCTTTCGGTGGGTGTACGCACTCCTTCTCCGAACCAGAATCCAGGGTCCCAGGGTTCCATCTTTGGGCGATCGAACACCATTGGCGGAGAAAATCTCGCCCTCTTATCTGGATGCCTGAATGTTCTATTCTTGGTTCTCAGGCTGCCATTTTTCTGGCCGCTCGAGCACCAACGAAGGAATTGGAACACCTCGATTGATCGGCAGGGCGTCGTTCCAGAGTCCGCCATCAGGGCGGGAAGAACAGCGATAACGTGATGTGATGCAGAACGAGCGAGACTGTGCCCCAATATGATTAACGTGACCGGGGACTAGATGTTCATCCGCCCTATATAGAGTGATCTTACCTTCGTACCTGAACCTCAACGGAGGCTCATGATTCTGTAGATCGATTGACTATATCATATCGCTTTAATCCATGATGCCACCCAAAAGACCCCACGGCATGTCGCTAATGTTGAATTAGCACCATGATCCATGCTCCAAGCTAGCTCTCGCGTGAAACTGTCAAATGAAGCTGGTATTTCAGGCTTGCTTCACTCATTATTATTAGTGCTACCATAGCCTACAAATAGTAATGGCATACAGAATCAATCATCTGGTCAGCAACCGCACGGGCATGCTTTGGTTTTCCTGCTCCATAATAACAATGCTGAATATGAGCTGCAGCAGTTGGCCGCTCGTACGGCTAACCCTAACCACTTGGCACATCGCCAACGGGAGGCAATATAGGCTGGCCATGCATGAATACGAACGCCGAGCCCTCCCTCTTCCAGGGTTATTGAGACTTAGAACACGCATTGTCGGGGGAGGAGTGGCTACAGCAGATTTTATAAAAAAGACGCGGCTGAATTTGGCCTGGTGATTCAGTAGAGATTTATGGAGAGAAGCTGAATTAGTTGGGTTGCCGTCATGAGAGCCATCGTTTCTCTCGCCGTTGCTATTTTGGCAGCACGGGTCACTTCGGCAGCAGACATCTTCGCAGACATCTTCGCGAGGTCTCTAGTGTCTGAATTCCCGTCTGAAAGGTTTGAAATGACAGCGCGATCCAGGAATTCAACGTTGTGTCGCAGCAGGGTATAGAACAGGGGATCTTCTGATGACAGTCGGAAACTTGCCAAGATCCTGGTTATGGTACTCAATCTTTCCCCTGCATCAGTCGGGGGGACCACGTTCACTAACGATACTTACTCTCAATACCTTGCTCGAATGTCGCCCTCAAATGCTGCCCAGCCTGGACGGCCGCTCGGTAGATGGTGGATGTTGTTCACTGGGTTTTGGGGTGTTTGTAACCCTGGTCTGGATTTATGTGTTAATGGTGGTGCAAGTAGTGGGATATCTCGGTAGCGTACCTGGATTGTTGATCTTTTATACACGGACCCTACTAAGATATATATTCGGTTCACCCCGATCAGAAAACCGTGGCTTTGAATTAACTGAAATGTGCATATTGCAAACCATATCCAACCGCAGCACAAGTACAATCACTTCTAGCCATTGCTTGAGTGACTCCTGTTCGTCCAGACTTCCGATGCCGAGTCACAGGCATGTCGGCGACCCGCGTCGCCACCGTGGTACACAACTCCTAAGAATTCTGGGAAGGAAAAACTGTGTGTATGAAAATGAATTGCCGACTTTACTTTGAGTGCCAATAAAATAATAATATACCGAAGTACTTAGTACTGGCATAGTTACCTTCTGTTGTGCTGGATGGACCTCGGCTTCGGGCAGCGGGCGGTGCCGAGTTGCAGTTTCCCCCGGATTGTCTCTCCAGTCGGCGCAGTTCCTCTCCCTCGAAGTTACCTCCGAATCCTAGTCTAGTCGTCTATGAGTGAAACCTGTTGGTCTTTTGCGTGTTTCCTTCTCCCCTCCGCCTCCTCCTGACCATCAACACCTCCCGGTCAACCGTGCTCGTTCTTTGCCGCCGGCAAGTCGGTCGGAGAAGCCACCCCCCCGGCTATGGACCACGAGCACTACGGGCAGGGCTCCCATCAGCCCAGACAACGGAGACGGAAGGCGGGCAAAACGCGATTGCGCAACAAGGCCCCGATCGCAGCGCGCCTCGTGCTGGACGCGCAGCTGCGTGGTAACGTCGGCGTCCTATCCGAGGACCTCGCCAACGACCTCTTCCAGCAGCGCGATCTTCAAGGTAAGTGGCGGATCCTTTCCGGTAACGATCAATCGCCCTGACTGAAAGTACGCCCAGTGACCGACGATGGAGTCCTCTACGTTGCCATCTCTCCGCACACCCCCAATTACACCACCGTGGAGGAGCAGACCTGGACGATTCTGCCCGTCCGCATCCAGACCACCCCGCGATCGCACGCACCCATATCCCACTCGACCATTCTGTTCCCGGACTCGGCCGACTCGCTCCAATCATTCCTCCAGGCACTAGGGAAGCTGGATGCCTCGCGCAACTCGTTACAAGCACACCGCACTGTCGAGATTCGGATCCTCGATGTCGCCCCGCTTCACTTGGATACAATCTTTGTGAGTGTTGAGCGACACCTTCTTCGGAATCACGACGATGTGCAGAGCAAGTTTGGTGGAGGGTTCACATCTAACCAGGGGCCCAATGGACTCTGGCCGAAGACGGGAAGGGCGGCGGACGCGAAGAAATTCTCCAAAAAGGCTGCGGCGGACATTGAGCAGCGTCTGACCGCTGCGGTGCGCGAGGCTCTTGGGGCTCAGCGTATTGTGCACGCGGGGGATGTGCTTCCACTTCCGCTGCCACCGCATCCCATCACCTACGCGCCGCCACCTCCCGCGCGCATTTCGTTCTGTGAGCCGGTGGCGCAAGGCCTTTTGATGCCGACGACCAAGGTTGTGCTCGTCCAAGCGCGCCCTCAGGCCAACCGCCCACAACAGTCGCTACCCCCGAGACCGGCTCTACTCAAGCAAGTGGCCGAAGATGAGGCGGATGACACTTCCAATGAAGCGTTCTATTCGGCTGCGGAGGACAAGCCCGGCGAGACTACCGAAATGGAGAGCACATCCGCCGCGGACGAGTCGGAGACGGAAGGCTCGGTGGGTTCCATGAGTGATTCATCAGATGAGTCTTTGGAGGACATGATCTCTCTCACGGCCCCCGAATTGCCACAGCCGCCCTCTGGCGTCCTGTCTTCTATTACTTCCGCAACTCCCCGTGCAGGCGGCCGACGAGTAGACGGCATCCATACACCCGGCTCGGTTGCGTCGAATTTCACATCGGCCACCATGCGGCCCGGCCGTGGTGGAGGAAAGGTCTTCAAAGTGGAAGGACTGTTGCAGCAAGTTCCCAACGAGGTGCTCCATCCTCGCCCGCGAGACGATGAGGACGTGGACTCGTTTGTGTTTGTGGATATCAGCACCCTTGCCAAGATCGGCTGTTTTTCGGGTGATTGGGTGAGGATCGAAGCGTCCGAGGAGCCCCAGATGAATATGTTCGCATCGCTGAAATTCGGGAGCTTCAATGAAAGCGCCGAGGATTCTGGCGACTGGCGTCCGGTCAAGATCTTCGGTCTTGCCGGTCTTCCTTCCTCGAAACCTCGGTATGCCATCAATCACTCTGGGGACCGCCGGTCAAGCATCTCCCAACTACAACCTGCGCGCTTGACTCCCTCTGTCTTTGTTCCTCCGCTCCTCCTCAGCAATATTGAAAACCCCAAATATCTCCGGATCTCTCCCATGACGTTTGCCTCTGCCAACGGGCCCTCGAAAGCTGGTCTTTTGCACCACCACATGAAGAATGCGACCACCAAAAATCCACCCTTAGCCAAGGAAGTTACTCTCATGAAAGTCTCTACTCCTCTCTCTATGGATCGTGTCCTGCAACCTGCATTATTCGCCGGACTCAAGCAGTACTTCGAATCGCGCCGGCGAATTCTGAAGAGTGGTGATCTTGTCGGCATCAGTGTCGACGAGGGACTTGGAAGGGCAGTCTTTGGAACTGCTGGCGGTGATGCTGTGAACCAAGAAGAAGACATCACTAGTCGGCTAGGCCAAGTGGCTGACCCCAATACTGCTGGAGCACGCAAAGTTGGTGTCGCATGGTTCCGCGTTGGACAGGTAGCTCCCTCTTCCGTAGAAGAGCTGGAGGAAACGGGAGAGGACCAATGGGGTGGAGTGGCCGTAATTGACCCGACTACAACTCGCATGGTGCAGGCTGGCAGCGACATCAGCCGTGTTCCTGGCGTTTTGGGTAATGGATGGGAGTATTGGTTGGGCGCAAAGACAATTTCCAGAACGGGCAGTGGCGTTTCACCAGCTCATGGAATCATCTCGGACCCGCCTCATGCTTTCATTCCCCCTCTGCAAGAGCGAATCCGTGATCTGATGGCGGCTGCGACAAGCCCTCGGGCGATCCAGCTGGGAATGAAGCCCGTTGTGATTCTGCTCCAGTCACAGCAGCGACACATCGGCAAGGCCACTGTCGCGACTCGATCCTGCGCAGACATCGGTCTACACACTTTCCCAATTGACGCTTACGATATCTTGACAGAAGGTGGGGCGAATGGGGGCGATGTTAAGACCGAGGCTTATCTGAAGGCGCGGGCCGAGCGTGCTTTCCACTGTGGTGCCAACTGCACCGCGCTGCTGATCAAGCACATTGAAGTCCTCACTGCAGACCGAATGGTGACAGCCATGGCGGATATTGTGAATGAAGCCCGTGTTATCATTGCCACCACCACCGACGTAGAGCAGATTCCGGAAGGTATTCGGAGCATGTTCACTCACGAGTTTGAGATGGGGGCCCCCGAAGAGAAAGAGCGTGAAGGTATCTTGCGAAATGCCGTGGCAGAGCGCGGTATCAACCTCTCTGCTGACGTCGATCTGGGCACTGTCGCCCTGAAGACAGCTGCATTGGTTGCTGGCGATTTGGTTGACGTGGTGGAGCGAGCTGCCGGAGCCCGAACTGCTCGTCTAGAACAACTGGCTGCGACTGCAAGCAAGCAGCTTCCTGGCATTGAAGTTTGTGTCAGAGATGTTCTCCTTGCAGGCGGGGACGGCGCACGGGGTGTCATCAGAGCCGATTTCGATGCCGCCGTCGAGGCTGCTCGGAAGAACTTTGCCGACTCGATTGGTGCACCCAAGATCCCCAACGTCAGCTGGGACGATGTTGGTGGCTTGACGAACGTCAAGGACGCTCTAATCGAGACCATTCAGCTCCCGCTTGAGCGACCGGAGCTCTTCGCCAAGGGCATGAAGAAGCGCAGCGGTATCCTGTTCTACGGTCCGCCTGGTACGGGCAAGACCTTGCTTGCCAAGGCCATTGCTACCGAATTTTCTTTGAATTTCTTCTCCGTCAAGGGCCCCGAGCTACTCAATATGTACATTGGTGAATCTGAGGCGAATGTGCGCCGGGTCTTCCAGCGTGCGCGGGACGCTCGCCCATGCGTTGTGTTCTTCGACGAGCTGGACTCTGTCGCCCCCAAGCGTGGAAACCAGGGCGACAGTGGTGGTGTCATGGATCGCATTGTCAGCCAACTGCTTGCGGAGCTGGATGGTATGAATGGTGGTGAGGAGAACAGCGGTGGAGTATTTGTGATTGGAGCGACCAATCGTCCTGATCTGCTGGACTCTGCCCTGCTTCGTCCTGGGCGTTTCGACAAGATGCTGTACCTGGGTGTCTCCGATACGCACCACAAGCAAGCAACTATTCTCGAGGCACTTACCCGAAAGTTCGCACTCCACCCCGGCGTATCTCTTGACCGCGTTGCCGAGCGCTTGCCTTTGACCTACACCGGTGCCGATCTGTATGCGCTGTGCTCGGATGCCATGCTGAAAGCCATCACCCGCAAGGCCACCGCGGTGGACGAGAAGATCAAGCGCTTACCCGAAGGCCCCGTCAGCACGGCGTATTTCTTCGATTATCTGGCTACACCGGACGATGTGGCTGTGATGGTCGAGGAGGAGGACTTCTTCTCAGCTGAGACTGAGCTTGTTCCAAGTGTTAGGTATGTAATTTTCAACCGAAGCTGATAATTACCGACAATACTGACCATTTGCAGTGCCAAGGAACTCGAACACTTTGAACGCATTCGGCAGACCTTCGAGTCGGTCGACAAGCAGAAGCAAGACCCCAGTGCAGCTGCCCCGCAGACGATTGCCGAGGCTATGGAGGCGTTTAACTTAGGGGGCCATGCCTCTGCTGAGGAGCCTCCCACGATGAATGGAGATGTCCCTCCGACTCCCGCTGGGGGCATCCATGGCCGCCTCAAGGGATTGAAACAGTGGCCCGGAAGCCTTGTTCGCAGTGCGAGCGGACACTCAGCAACAGGAAACAAGGGCAAGGGCAAGGGAGTTGCTGGTAAAAAGGCGAAGGGACCTCAAGGTGGTCCTGAGTCTGACTCGTCCCTTGAGAATTTCAAGGTCACTGGTTCGGTGAATGGTTCTGGCCTTGCACGCAAGTATGGCACTGTTAATGGCGATGATGATATGGAGGACGGAGTGGTGGATGGTGAAGATGAAGATGATTACATTGTGCGAACTGATCACCTTGCAAACCCGATGGAGGATGTGGAATAGATTTTTCCCCATGTTGTCCCTGCGTGAGCTGCACTATCCAGCCCGTGTGTATATACTAACATTTTGACATATTTGAATTCTCATGTGTATGGCTTTGATGATATCCCATCGCCTGCCTTTTAGAAAGACTTTTTGATTGCCAATCTGGAATGTGCCTTTTCCTTTCTGTCTAGTGCTTTGAACGAACCCATACAATGAACCACTGCCACTTTGAAGCATCTGGTGCTTCCTAAAAGGGTAAGTGAGATGCCCGTCGTCTTATTGCGTATTGTGGTCACCGTATTATGGTCGCCATGGCACCGAGGCTTTCATTTACTGAATCCCAGTTCTTGTTCCTTCGCCCTTCTCCTCATCCTGTCATCCTTATCCTTTGCGTGCATCTCCTTCAATCATCACGTGATCTCACAAACCCTCAAGATCAGGACTTGAGCTTCAAGATCTCCAGTCTTCACCTGCTTCTTCGGTGTTCCAAAGCCTTTCTCGCCTCTAAAACCCGCACTCCAGACCCTGTGTCTGGCTCCAGTTTCCTCTCTTCTTCCAGAACTTCTTTTGCCCGGAGAAAACCATGCAGCGAGTCATCAATAGACTACCCAAGTGGGCTGAGTACACCGACCTGGCCAACTGGACGACCAACGAAATCTTGCTTAGGCTTACCTTCGACCGACCTATTCAGCACCAGGAGGTTATGCACGTTGGGATCGAGCCCGCCCTCGTCGTCGAGCCAAAGTGGACTTCCTCCTCGCTGGGTGAGCTCGAGCGAATCCCGCAGGAGATCGTCGACCGCATCGTCAGCGAGATGGATTTCCTTACCATTGAAAAGTTTGCTGCCGTTTCCACCGTCACCCGCTACTCGGTCCAGAGCTGCCAGATATTTGTCGAAGTGCTGAAGTTCGCGCCCTACATGCCTGGTATCCTGCACTCCACCCAAACCGACAACCAACACTCCATCAAGGACGTCTGGTGCGAGATGAAGAACGAAAAGTGCCGCTCTTGCGGCGAGAGGGGCAAGTGTCTCTTTCTTCCGACCTGCGAGCGCGTGTGCCAGCCCTGTCTCAAGCTTAACCCGTCCTACTGGACCTTTCCTCGCAGCGTGGCCTGCATCGCTTACGGCTTGACTGAGGAGCAGCTCAAGGAAATTCCAACTATTCGCACTCTGTCCATAGTCAACGGCACTTTTACCACTGAGATCCCGTTCAACGCAACTGAACCGATTCGCCGTCTGATCCCCCATCGTCGTGTCTTGCACGCCTCGGTCCGCTTGGCCCTGAAGCACGCCGTCAAAATCCACGGTTCACTGGAGGCCCTGAAGCACACCATCGGCCACGGCGAGATCATCTATGCCGATGCAAGCGAGGTCGAACATAGCTATCTGAAATGGTTCGACTACCTGCGCTCTGTGCCCCTGGAGCCGATCAACTTCAACCCGGCCCTGCTCGCATCCCCGCCGTCCGCCATCCCGACAGTCTGGGCATCCCAGGAGCCTTGGTTCCCTCCCTTCAAGCTCAACGAGAACTCCGCACGCCGCATCCATCCGGGCATTGTCTCCATCGACTTTCCCTACGTGTCGCTTGACCGTGAGCGCCTCCAGAGGACCTACCTGTGCAATGGATGCTATGAACTCTTCGACGAAAACCGCTACATGCGCCTGCTCTCCCCGCAAACTCTGAACGCCATGGTCCCGCCCGAGGTTCCCGAGAACAAGCACAAGGAGTTCCTCGGCCGTGAGTTCTTCCGTCGCTCGCTCATCTTCCGGCCCTGGGACGATCTCCTCGCCCACCTGCGTGACTGTCCGGGCGCTGGCTGGCTTATGTGCCGTAAACGTCTCGGCATGGAGAATAAAGCTATGGAACAGGAGTATGGGCTCGAGGGCCATCACATCACCCACGTGTACACCTGGTTGATCACCGATTTTTGATTCTTTCTTCTTTTTCATCGGGGTTACCTGTGTTTTGAGATCAAGACTTCGTTTGTTTCGTTATGGCTCTGTGCTTTGAGATGGAAGATGTACGATTGATTATTGATCTAGTAATCTCTTACTTTTGTTTTTAAGGATTTCTTTCTCTGCTCATTGTTCTCTGGGTACAGAAGTGGATTCGGATTCAAATTGAAGAACCAAATGGAGGAATGTATGGGAACTTTCCCCTCTATCTCACTGGAAACATTTAAATTTTAGTTTATTCGCTAAATCCAGTCCCCTCTAATACTTCTGTAGCGTCACGAAGTAGATATTGACATGTCATGTTGGATCGACGTTGGAAAGAAATCCTTGTTTCATGGTACCATTTCCCCTTCCTCCCCCTGTTCATACTCATTTGCGGCTAGTTCATCCAGAGTATAATCAGCATGCTCTTTAGAGTCCAAAATTGCAGAATGATCGTATATCGGCTCTGCAAGAAGCGTTCCCGTAGGAGGGAAAGCCTTGCGTAAGGTGACGTTAATGAGAGCACCGCTCACAAAATTATAAAGGTAGCCACAGTCATACAGATGCTGGATTCCACTGCCTATCATGTCACTGGTGTAAAAAGCTTCTCTCCATGTTAGGCAGAGCTGGATAATAGGATTTGGTCCTTCACAAGCCTGGGCATTCAAAGCGTCACTGAATTAAAAGCCCAATACAGTAAAGCTCGACCGTGTTCTTCGTGCACTGCGCAGCCTTTTTGCCTTCATTGGTCTCGAAGGCCACTTGCTATGCATGAGAGTCTAATTAGCCCAGGGGTTGGCCCTAGTCCAAGATTTTCCGCCCCATATTTACAACTGATCTATAGCGGAGAATAGGAGCAGATTGTTTGCTATATTTATAAATTTGGCCCCCTAATATTGGCTCCAGATGCTGTAAAAGATTTTGACAACCTTGTGTGGGCCGTTATGCATCTCGGCCCCCTTTTCCAGCCCGCCCGTCGGTCCCGTAAACAATTTTTAAGTATGTATAAAAGGCGCTTTTCGTGTGGGAGATATCTCCTTACATCTCCATGTCGATTCTATTTATGCGAAACATGTATAGTCTGTTTCTTGTGTTTCTTTCCGTCGGCTCGTCGTTGGCCATCCCAAAGTGAGTGGCCCCTACTCCCCGGCACACAGTACATGATAAATTTGACGCTGAATGTCCATAATTTTGCCATACAGCTTCTCAGATGCAAGAAAAACTCTCGCTGCTAGAGATGGCTATCACTCCGGGGCAAGGTTTCGATACATAAACTTCGATGAAAACAACGCCGACGATAGGGACTACCTCCTAAAGTACGAAAAAGGCTGGCAAGATAGCTTAACACTGATCAACAACGCTATTGAGGCCCTAGATCGGGGTTCCGCTGATTCTGTTTTCGATACCTATTTCCCGCCAACCCCCAACGGAGTGGATGGGAAACAGATCGTAAAAAAGGTCTACAAGAAGATGCAGGATCAACTACAGCGGCAGGGAAGCCCAGAAAATAGCATATGGATCGACAATGAGGACTTTACCGACTGGTGCTCTCTTGACGGAGATAAACCGCCCCCTTACTGTTATACGTTTAGCGTCGAAGGCCCGGATTCTTCGACTTACGGATATCTGAAAGAGGATGCGGGTGTGCAGGACCCTCACGAAGGAGACGTCATTATCCACTGTTGCATGAAGGAAATGACTGAGTGGATGCGAAATCTAGATCAGGTGGAGTGTGATGATCTGGGAACCACGGCGTCGTTGAAAATGGACACCCTAGCAAATACGCTAATCCATGAGTATGGGTGCGTGATATCCCTCGCCCCTTTAAGAATATCGAAAACTGATGGTCAAGTAGTCATTGGTACGAAATTGGGCTAAGTTCTGTAAATGAATTCTTGAATAAAAAGAATGCCCAGGGTGAAAATAACGTCCAGGGTTTCTTGTCTGTTGAAGATTTTCAACACTTCTCAGGCGCAAATACTCCTTCGGGCTCAAATCTACTGAGAAATGTCGACCCGTCTATGTCTAAGCATGCATATGCAAATTGCGATAGCTATGCTTGGCTCGCCAGTGTAAGACCTTCCTCCCATCCTTTGCTCCCAAAGTAACCAGTTTGATGCTAATGATCTCGCTGATGGTTATCCTTAAAAGGAAATTTATTTCACGCAAAAATGTCTGGGGCAGTGCGGTAATTTTGATGTATGGCCTTGGGACAAACATGATCCGTGGACAAACTCTTTTCTCTCCGGATATCCTGATTATTTGAATCGTTGGAAGCCAACTGCCGATGTACAGGTGGACAGTGGGGACGAGTCCCAAAGTGCTGTAAAAGGTAGCAGCTAACGGCTTCTCATTTAGAAGAGCAGAAGCCAAGAGAAAACAGAAGAGAAAACAGAAGAGAAAACAGAAGAGAAAACAAAAGAGAAAACAAAAGAGAAAACAAAAGAGAATAAACAATATCATGAAGCTTTTTCTTGTTACTCTATCCATATTGGTGTCGCTGTGTTGTTTACCGAGTACTCAATTGGCATTTCGAGTTCCCGAAATTTTCGCAGTCTTAGAAGATCCAGTCAAACTTTATGGAGTTGACTACTTCTTACATCGATCATAATTCACATGGTGCAAGTGTAATTTAACCAGACAGGCCTGAAGGATTCATAGCTAATTAATCCGAAACTCTAGCTACGACTCTGTCGTCTACTCCTCTCTCTATGCCAACTCCTATCCAGTGCAGCGGTGTCACGTCAGCATCAATGTTTGTCCAACAGCCTTCGTCTGCGAAAGTGGTTGTCTGTCGAGGAAGGACCCATCCTAATAATTTTGGTTTGCTTCGTGTCTTCTCCGCAAGACGCCCCTTGGCAGAAGTGACTCGTCGACGGATAACTTCACTCATAGATGATAAAATTGAAAGCTTTGCGGTATATGATCTAGACCAATACAACTTTGGCCCTGGGTAAGATTGAGTGAGATACAATTCGATAGAGAAATTGGGTTGACCACTGGACTTATAATTGTCTTGAGTCTTTTCTCCCCACCCGGTTCCGCTGCCTTGATAATTACTGATAGGGAGTTGTTAGTCATTCTGGCCCATGGCCGATATCGTCGGCCGAAAAAGGGTGTTTGTCCACTAGCGCCTCCGACGCCCGCAATATTGCCCGTGCGCAGTCGTTGTCGCTCGTTGTTGGAGTCCTAACTGAGATTGCCCGTGACTGAAGCCGCCAACCTCAAACGATCATCATGAATCGCGCTTCAAGATAATATGGAATGTTGATAGTTGCTCTTACGCGGGCTTGATGTCTATATATCTCGGGCACCTGGTAAAGGTTTAATCTATCTTTGGTTGTTTCTGTCTGCTATGCCCGAAAATTTGCATCGCTTTACATTCAACATTCGAACCACCGTGCTGCCACGCCACAATGACCCATACGCACGCTGTGCCTAGTTCCCTGCGCCAGAAATCTACTGACGGATCAGCAGCATCCAACATCCTTCGAGAGACAACTTCATTATTGTGGGCATCAGAGCAAGTTCCAGATGGCCACAGCGATGACAGGGGAGAACCGGACTCATCTGGAAGTTGGCAAAGCGAGCTCAAATTCCTGAGTACCAACTCGAGCTTTCTCGTGTTGGCATCCCTCCTCTACTACTCAGTCCCTGTTACAAGCATCATTATCGCGGGGAGGCTTGGGCCATCTGAGCTTGGTGCCGTAAGCCTTGCCAACGTGACTTCGAATGTCACCGGAATAGTGGTTTTTCAAGGTCTCGCTACCACACTTGATACACTCTGCGCTCAAGCCTATGGATCTGGAAACTTCGCGCTAGTTGGTCTCCATGTGCAGCGTATGACCTTTCTACTTTGGTGCATCAGCATACCTGTTGCTGCTCTCTGGTTCAACGCTTCGGGGGTTTTGAGCATTATCATCCCGGATCAAAGAGTTGCGCAGCTCGCCGGGCTATACTTGAAAGTGTTGATCTTGGGAGCCCCCGGTATTGCGCTCTTTGAGACTGTCAAGCGATATCTACAAGCCCAAGGCCACTTCGCTGCCATTTTATATACGCTAGGCGTGGCTACCGCCGCGAATATCTTCATGTCCTGGCTGCTTGTAGTGGTAAGGCCCCATCCCATTTTTCAACCAACATCGGCAACAACAGCTAAAGATATTGCAGAGGTTATCCTTTGGTTTCATTGGCGTGCCACTCGCCGTCGTGGCCACATATAACGTGCTGCCGCTCCTACTCATCGTTTACGTTCTCCTATTTGCAGACCGAGAATGCTGGCCGGGGTGGAGCCGTAGATTGTTCCATGACTGGATGCCTATGATCCTGCTCGCCCTTCCTGGTCTTTGCATGATTGAAGCCGAGTTTTTGGCCTTTGAAATCCTCACTCTCGCAGCATCTTACCTATCCACGAAACACTTGGCCGCGCAGACGATCATGGCCAGCCTGAGTGGAATTTTCTGGCAGCTGCCATTCCCAACGAGCATCGTGGCCACAACTCGGATTGCAGAGTTGATTGGCGCTGGCAAGGCAGATGCAGCGAAATTAAGTGCAAAGACTGCAACTGTAGTCTCGATGGGAATAGGCGCCTTCAATGGTGTGATCTTGTCCCTACCACAGATGAGGCGGTACATTCTACCCCTGTTCACGGGAGATGAGGAAGTCACTGAATTAGTTGCTGGTGCGCTTCCTATATTAGCAGCTATGCAGTTTTTTGACGCAACTGGTGCGAATGGAAATGGGATTTTGAGGGGCTTGGGAAGACAGAGAATTGGCGGATTTGTGAGCCTAGCATGTTTTTACATTTTTGCACTGCCTTTCTGCTTTTTCAGTGCATTTTACCTGGGTTGGGAACTGAAGGGATTGTGGTCCGGAGTGACAATTGCACTCTCTATGGTGGTGGCTCTCGAGGGATGGTATCTTATTACTACAGACTGGGATACTTGTGTACTCGATGCAGTAAATAGGAACTCGGGTGGCGCAGTTTTCGTTGAGGAATACTGCTAAAATCGAGTGCTCTAAGCCATCTAACATATCAAAATCGGGGGTTTCTCTTCTCATGACGGTGAAATGTATTAGTGTGAAAAGAAGCTTCAAGTCGAAGAGCTTGCGATCTCGAGAAGCTTGAGCTGACGAGTACGTAGTCAGCCACGGTAAAGAATTGCTCGAAGTATAGCAAATGTCCTGGAATGTTCTCGGGAATGCTTATGATCAGAAGGGTTCCTAAAACCTTCGCAGCGGCTACTCTAGTTATCTCGCTGCGTGGTTAGATAAATTTCTCGGTCGTGGGCCATCGTTCGTGTTATATTATTTCCGAAGATCGGCGCCATGGAATATTCCACACGCGTTCAGTGGTAAATTTTATCCAAGAACGGGTCCAATTAATTCACCGGCATCCAACCCGGCCGATCCGCTGCAGAAACTTAAAAATCGAGTGCCGAGACTTCCATCCCCGTCCGATAGTGCCATAATAAGATTGCGTGAATACCCCTGGAACGAGGAGATAAGTGAGTGGCCCCGGGCTCCACTAGTCCCTGGGGCTGCGCGATAAGCATGGTGAAGCAAGTGCCTAGACCCCGGACATCGCGTTTTTTTGCATCTCAAATCCCAACGTCGCTGCATCACAATTATTATTACTCAACCGACCCGATACTCCAATCCTCTCCGCAACATCCCCGGCTTTCTCCAACCATCATCGGAAGCGTTTGCGTAGGACCGCCCCACGATGTTCCGCCTTGAGGGTTCCACCCAGTCCAATCACACTCGCGCACTCTGACATAAGCTCTGGGGCGGCCATGGAAACTGTACCTCGTCCTGATCCACAATGGCGCTGCTTCCCTCCCACTGGCCCCAACCACCGCTCGTCGGTAGCGCGAGCCAATTGCGATACATACGCCACCCCTTTATCATCTTCAGTTACCCCAAAATCGATGGAGTGGTCAAAACCGCCCCCGCGGTGGATGCGCCCGGATCAACGGGGGAAGGTGCATATCGAGCTTCTGGCGTCATGCGCTGACCGGGTTCTTATTTCCTTTGTGCTGCTGCCATTTCCTGTTTTACTTCTGCCCATCCCTTTTTGCGCCGTGCTGCTCGAACGGCACATCCCTTCATCATGATGAAAGACGAATTCCCAAATGAAGATGATGCCCAGTTGGCGCAGATGGGCCACAAGGCGGAGCTAAAACGCCACTTCTCTCTGTTGTATGTTTTTCATCTCGGGTGGCTTATTTGGCCAGCGCTAACCGTTTTCGCGTGCTGTTTAGGTCCATGCTGGGTCTTGCCTTCGCGATTCTGAACGTAAGTGATGTTCATTGATTGGAGACAAAGATGGATATTGACAATTGGTTGCGGCGCAGTCATGGACGGCCTTGTCGGCGAGTTTGTCGCTCAGTCTGCCCTCGGGTGGCAGCGTTAGTGTCGTTTGGGGTATGCGCCCGAGGATTTGTTTGCGATGATAAAATGTTGACCAGATACAATGCAGGTTTGATCACCGCCGGTGTTTGTAACTTGTGCATGGCCGCTTCTCTGGCCGAGTTCCTCTCGGCCTATCCTACGTCAGTCGAGGGCTGCTCCATTGTCCCATTGCTGCTCTTACTAACAGATTTCTTAGCGCGGGAGGTCAATACCATTGGGTTGCTGGTGAGTGACATTCGATTTAATACTTGAGAGCGTGTTGACTGACCGCAAAATCCTTGTTTTCAACAGTCAGTAAGTATACGTGCCTAGTTGTCGACATGCCGCCGAACCGTTGCTAAGAGTCAAATAGTTTCGTGGGACAACTGGATGCCGATCCTGTCCTGGATCACCGGCTGGATCAATTGCTCGGGCTGGGTGGCCCTGGTTGCCACCGGGGGGCTTCTGGGCAGTCAGCTGATTGTCGGCGTTATCTCTCTCATGCACCAGGTAAAGAAGGGTTCCGGGTTTCCAGACTTTCGTCTCTAATGTCTGCCTGCAGAGCTACGAACCCCAGCGCTGGCATCAATTCCTGATCTACCTGGCTTACAACATCATTGCATTTGTGATCAACGCAGTGATGAACAACGTGTTGCCTTACGTGACCAAAGCTGCCTGTGAGAAGCCACACCTCTAGCCCTTGAGCTCCGAAACTAATTTTGCTCAAGTCATCTGGTCACTGACTGGCTTCGCCGTCATTTGCATCACGGTTCTCTCATGTGCTGCCCCTAACTTCAATTCCGGAGAGTACGTTAACCTTCCGGGGGATGCGTGAGAACACGCGCTGACTTGTACAGTTTTGTTTTCCGTGGCTTTATCAACCAGACAGGCTGTATGTTGATTCGATCACTTGAGACTGAATGCTAGTAGCTGACTTACTCCAGGGCCTGATGGTATCGCTTGGCTGCTCGGTGTATGTCTTAATTTCTAAACCTTAGTGAACACTTCTGACACCCGAATAGCTTTTGCAAGGAGGTCTCGGTGTGACTGGATTTGTAAGTGAATTTGCTAAGCGACAAGTTTCCATTCAGACAGCCACTGACCATCTTGCAGGACGGTGTTGCTCATATGATCGAAGGTACCACCAAATACACCAACCACCCTTTCTATCATTTGGTCTGACCGTCATGCAGAGATCCCCAACCCTTCCGTGGAGGGACCCAAGATCATGATTGCCTGTGTTGGCATTGGATGCGTCACTGGGGTGATCTTCCTCGTCGTCCTGCTTTTCGTGGCTGGTCCCATCCAGCCAATTATCAAGTCCACTGCAACACCGCTTCTGGCAATTCTGAAGCATGCAACTCAGAGCAACGCCGGTGCCATTTGCCTTTTGATGTGAGTAGCTATACATGAACATCGTGGATGTCGGCACTGACGATTCATGGCAAGGTTCCCTCTCATCTGTGTGCTTTTCGCTGCAACAACAATCATGACTACTAGTAGTCGCATGATTTACGCTTTCGCACGGTATGTTGCCCCCTTCTCGGTAATAGCTAGTATACTCACGAGCATGACAGGGATGGTGGTCTTCCTGCCTCTCCCTTCTTTTCCAAGGTTCATCCTAAACTGAAGGTTCCCATGAATGCGCTCTACCTTAATCTGGGACTTGTCACGGTGTTCGGCCTTATCTTCCTGGGCTCGTCTAGGTAAGGATTTCCGGTCCTAGTATACCAGTCCCAGACTAACAAAGTACAGCGCCTTCAACGCAATTGTCTCGGCATCAGTGGTCTTGCTGGATCTTGCCTATGGGCTTCCTATTGCGGTTAACTGCATCCGCGGCCGCAAAATGCTTCCAGAACGAACATTCGTCCTCCCCACCGCCGTTGGCTGGACCTTGAACATTGTACGGACCCCTTCATCCTCTGCGATGCAAAATGCTAACTTTGCTTTCTAGATCTCTCTGGTCTATGTCACTCTGACAACGGTTCTCTTCCTTTTCCCACCCGACTTGCCTGCTACCGGGAGCAACATGAGTAAGGATAAATCCTTTGTGACATGTACTGTATTTCCAGCGCTGACTGCTCTCCAGACTACTGTGTGGCTGCGTTCGGGATAGTCTTCATCATTTCGACTATTCAATGGTTTGTGGACGGCCGCAAGAACTTTGTCGGGCCTCGTATCGAGATGGAGGTTTTGTCCGGCCAGGTCGGCAGTACTCCTGCTGAGCCTTTGCCTCTGATGGACGGTGAGAAATAAAAACGACTGGGCACTGCTTACTGGGTATATGTTGCTAGCTTAGAAGATCAATTGTAAGTTAAGAATGTACACAATTTATTCTCCCAAAGAGTGGCATACACAATGAGGCCTTTTGAGAGGGGTTGGTGGGAAGAATAGACAATCTCCCATAGTTAAGGACTGATAAGCCCGCACTATCTTATCTATGATGAGGCACTAAGGCGGTAACGAACTGCCGTGCATTACATCATTCTTCATGCCTCAGGCCGCAGTTTCCCAACATTCACACGCCCCATCGACTGCAACGGCTGTCGCACCGGATCCCAAGTTACATGCGACGACGACCATGGAGAATCTTGTGCAACAGTCGTGATTGACTTTGTTCCCCATGATGATTCTGGCGTAAACAACCACTTCGTATCGCGAGACTGACAACCCCTCGATTAACATCCATTTGCCCCGCCTTGAACACGACGACAATGTTCTCGATCTCGTTGCCGTCGCTCAAAATCTTCTCATTCGAGAAAGGCCAAAGCATCGACCTGGCTCCGGTTCAGGTCCACGAGATTGAAACCGCCCAAGAGAAGCCTGCCCGCGCGCTAAAGCATCTTCTCAAGCTGAACCATGCCAACCACGCCATCTTGTGGAACAATCGCAAATTCCATAATCATGCCCCTCATGTTCGTCCTATAGTGCTGAATATGGATGCCGTGTTTGTATGACTGATCACTGTCTAGATTCTCTGTTCCGCATACCTGCAGGGCGCAGATGCGGATGGTCTAACTCGTGTCTATGAGACCGAGTCCAAGTTACTTGATCCATGGGCTGACTCGCCTGGCGAAATTAGTACTGATGACTGGAGAGAGTACTTGGGATGTCGAGAGTATGTTTTAATCCTTAATCCGTACTTATGCCTCGCTAGCTAGCTAAATCACCTTTTTAGATACCAGCGTGCCTTTGTGGACTACTTTGAAGACGAGCTGGTGCGTTTCAGCTATGACTGGAAGAAAGTGGTGTCAGAATATCTCTTCACCGGCAAGGAACCTATATTCAACGCTCTTATCGCCGATCGTATGTCTCATCTCTGCAATATCTACATACTTGATTGAGTTAATATGATCATCTACAGTGGGCCACCCATTAATCCATCTCGCATATGCATTTGAAATGTCCAGCCGCGAGTTGGCAATGGAAGCCCTGGGTCTTACAGCAGTCTGCTACAGCGACATCCACAAATTCTTTGACGATCCAGTGCTCCCCCAACTCGAAGCATCCTACCACACAACATCGCTTTTTGAGATTATAAGACGCATCCGAGCAGACAAGCAGCTGGATGGCCTCTTCGCTACTCCAGGCGACCACAACCTCGACACACTATTCCGCACTCGCGAGGCCGTGCTCTTGAACCATTGGAATGCATGGAAAATCGACAATCCCGTCGAGCAATTCCGAGAGAGCCAGGAACTAGCCGCTGCGCTCCTGGTCGCTGCGCACGTCGACTCCGGAGAGAAATACGATTTCTTCCTCGTTCATACTTTGACGACCAGTCATGCTGTGCGGGTCTTGCTGCCGTTGATCCCAACGCAGTTCCAGATTCCCCTTGTCAGACAGTGGCTACTGATGACGTTGGCGGTATATATTGCACAGCTCCGGCCCGAGATCGATCTGGACCGGATTCGGGATTTTGATTTGAAGGGAAGAGATTGGGGATGGGCGACTAATCAAAGTATCAAAGCAGAGTTTTCGACGGATGCGCACTATGTCAAGGCGATCCGGGCATTGAGAGAGTCAGCCTCTACCTGGGGTGATCCTGAAAAGTTCTTTTTGAAAGCGGCTGTTAAATTTTCAGATGAGTTTAGTGGTTGGGGTGGGTTCGTCTGATCTTTATCTAGCGCTGATATTCTGCTCAAAAGCCTCATACCTTGATTCATTTCGAATACCTCTAGTTTGCATCGTATCTCATTTAGAAAGAACTCGATCAGAAAATATTGATGAGTGAATGGACTGCTCGATCGAGGCGCCTTTAGATATCACGTGATACAAAGCGATGTTTGCACTGTTTGCCACAAAAATAGCAGTGTTGCTTCCTTCCAAGATGTTTCCTCCAAGTCTCCAGATCCGATACGTTTCGAGCCGGCTATGTCCATAAGACCAGGGACGCAAGATGCAAACGTGTCCCTGCGGTTACACGCCGAGCTGCTTCCCAACATACGTCAGATAACACTCTACGCTTCGCTGCCACGAATCCCTGAGCTGGAAGGGATTCGCCCGGCGATTCAACTCTCAGATTCACGCAAAGAAGCCACTGTCTTTCTTCTACCTCCATTTAATCATGTTTCCGAGACTATCAAGCTGCCTGCGCGTGTCAGTGACGCGTATCGGCGACTTGTGAATGCCCGTACCGGAGCTGCTGTGACCCCAGTATCCACCCAGTCCACGGATACCAGCCAGGACTGCTCTTTTAGGATGCAAGTTGATTCATCTGACGAAGCCCTATTGTTGCCTCGAGCCGAGACCATCGATGACTATGTCCCCTGGACAGCGGCCGACATGTCACCGTCCACCCGACTCTGTTGTCAGAGGTGCGGGAATATGTTTCTGAAGACCAAGACGTCCTCCTCCGAGACCGGAGAAGACGTTGGCCAACCCAGGAGATGGATCTGGAAAGACCTCCCCAGTGGAAATTGGGCTGAGATGATGGACTTTTGGCATTGCCACAAGCCCGATCCCCATGAAGACGACCAGGATGGAACGAAAGATACTGCTCTCAAAGTAGAGGAGCAAACCGCTCAGCTCAAGGGGTACGGAGCCGCCAGTCGAGTCGTTGCAATTCCAGGAACTGTGCTTATTGATGCGGCGACGTTCCTGCTTGTAGAGTCGGATTGCATAGGATTGAAAAAGGTAGGATTCGTTCTTTCTTTTCTTTCGCTACATATTGTCTTGCTCTTGTTTTTCTTTCAGTGGGCAACTCAGAAGGAGACCATCTCTTTGCCATGGGATGGCCTCCGATACTATTGCCCTATATCAATGCTTATATCGTGCCGAGCTTCGTCTTCGTGCTGGTTGAATGGCGGTCCGTCACAGTTTCATGTCTAGGAAGCCAGAGTGCAGTTATTCTCTCCTGTCAGATGGATTTCGCTCTTTGGTTTTTGATGTCACGGATTTGGGCTGGCTGTTTTGAATTCCGGTGAAATCACGGCTTTGCGCGCCCTTTGCATTTTTCGACGCCAGATCTGGTTCTTCGGGACTTTTCCAGTGGTTATGGTGCGATTAAGGCCAGGGACACTTTGGAGCAATAGCTGTGCCAATTAATGCGATTAGTTTTCCCGTTCGCTCTCTTCACTTGCCATCTTGATCTTGCGTCACCGTTTTATTTTCTGGGATTCAACCCGATTGCTTACTCGGACCTACTTCCAGGGCAACAAAGAAGAAGCCAGTTCCGCTGCCCGGCAATTTGACAAGATCACCTTACAATGTGAGAAATGTGATTCGACCATAGGAGTCGAAGATCAAACTGTCAATGGATGGCGACTTCTCAAGGCGTTCACGGGACTAAGTATCAACCCCTCCCATGGCTGGGAATCGCACTGCGCAGACAAAATTGTAGCGGCGCAGCTGCTCGAGTTGGTCGAAAGGGAGAGCGCCCGAAGGTTCATCGTGCATTGCGGCGAGAAGGAGGGACTGTTGGTATGTTTCGCTTAGACAAACAAACATTTTTGTCTCGGGTATTGACATGTAGCAGCTTTGGGTCTTCAATCCCGATATGCGGTATTCAAATTCCCTTAACTGTGTCATACCACAGCAGGCCATGAAGGTGTTGTTCCAGGAAACGGAAGATGTGGACCGATATCTCAGCCCCGAACTGGGGAAGGTGACGCCTCTTTCGCTCGAGGAGCTGGAGCTGCCTTCCAAGGTCTTCACGGATGTGCGGGATGTTCTGAAAGAAAGGAACGAAATGCTACCGTCCTCTACCCGGAAATTCAACGAATGGCAAGTGGGACTATTACACCGCTTCAAGCGTGACAGCACTTTATGACGACGATATTCAATGGAAGATTTAATGCCAGCTGAAAGGCCTACAACATGTGAGTGCTTCTCACTCCGCAATCTTATGATTTGCACTGTGAGAGGCAGTAGTGTCTTCAAAATGTGCGTTTTGGTATTGGATATCATTAACTCGGATCGTACTCTGTATCATATCAGGGAAATCAGTTCTCGTCGCCTTCGAAAGGAGTCTCATAGGGCCTCTCAGCCTGAGGAGTGAGGCGAGCAATGTGACGTCGCTGGCCATCCTCCCAGTCAAAGACCGCAGAGTGGGCAGCCAGGCGGTTATCCCACACAACAACAGTGCCAGCCTTCCAGCGGACGCGGGCCTGGAGATCTTGCGAGAGAGCAATGTGGTCGTACAAGAACTTGAGGAGGTAGTCTGACTCCTCCTTCTTATAGCCGACAATGTACCGAGTGAACTGCGGGTTGACATAGAGCGCCTTCTCGCCGGTCACAGGGTGCGTACGGACAATGGGGTGCTCATGTGTCACGGGGTTGCGGCGAGCAATGCCACCGCCGTTGAGACTGGCGTTGATTTGCTCCGCGCCAGAGTGAACAGCCCGCAGGCCGTGGAGGCGCTTACGGAACTCGGGTGACAGGCGCCGGTATGCCTGAGCCATGTCGCCAAAGAGAGTGTCGCCGCCGCTGGATGGGCCGTCCAGCACGTACAGGAAAGTGGTTCCCGGGGGCTGGCATTCGAAAGTCACGTCTGAGTGCCAGGTGATGGTGTTGGTGCGCTGCTCCAGGAACTTGGCGCCGGTGCGATCCTCTGCACTGCGGTGCACAATGTGAACCTGAGGGAAGCCCGGGGGCGCTCCAGAGGTCTGGTGGATGTGGTGTCGGCCGAAGTAGCCGGTGTAATCAACCATCTCCTGGATGGGCTGAGAGGCAAAGTCCTGGTCCCGGAAGGCAACCACACGGCGCTGAGCGACGAAAAGGGCCAGCTGATCCTTGCCCTTGTCGGAGAGCTTGCTCAATTGCACGCCGTGCACCTCAGAACCGATGAACGGGCAAATGTCGTCCACTTGGGCCACACCCTTGGGCAGCAGATCCGGGAAGCTGGGGTCGGCATCTTTGCCATGATCATAGTGCTCGAATGGCTCCAGAGGGGGGTATCTGGCAGATGTTAGACAATGTGAGACCGTCAAACGTAATCGTTAACGTACCGTTCAGTCTCGTTATCCCAGACGGGCAGATAGTTGGGGAAGGAAGCAGGTGGCTGCGTGGCGGTGCCGTTGATCTCAACGTCCCTGTCGTACTTGTAACCGATCAAGTTCTCCTTATTGGAGCCACCATCAGTCTTGAGGATCTGTTTTGCCGGCTCGCGGAGAGAGAGTGTCGCGGTGGTCTCGGTGAGAGAGGGGGCCATTTTGTGTTATTCTGTTTTAACAAAGAGGCCAGTTTAGTATCTCTCCTGCTTGCTAGTCCCATTGTCCTGGACGTGAGAGTATGTCAATATATATACCCATCTCGGCCGAGTGTTCCGATGGCGACACGACCGCGGGGTTCAGCAGTTACCCAGTTCAGAATGCCAAAGTGGCATCTTTTCTCCAAAGAAGTTAATTGGAATAAAGTCGCGCCGCTGCGGGGTTGTTATTATCGAGTGAAACCAGATTTGTCCCTCTCTGACGTGACGCTATGGTTCGTTCGTTATGTGGACAGGAGATGGCGTGATGGCCGATGGCGACGTCCACTCATAGCCGGGGGTGACCCGAGGGTGAGGCCAATTCAGGCTTATCAACTGGCGTGCAACGCGTCGACTGTTCAGGACCAAAGGCAGATCCAGGAGACTATTACGCTTTTGGCCCGTTTCTGGTGTTGTCAAGGTCGCTGGTGATGGCGTGATGGCCTTATCCGCAACGCTTTTCCGGAATTCACGGACCATCGGCTTGAACCAAAAAAAAGACTTTAGAGCTTGTTCTTCGCCTTCTGCCATTTTATTGTCATGATCGTATGGCCGGAATCTTATCAAGGTCTCGATATGGAGCTCCGCTGTGGCTGTTCGTTGAACATAAAGGCACTAGCCATGTTGTATGGGAAATGGAGGGCCATTTGCAACTCATCCAGATGAAGCGGGGAAATCCTTTTAAGTCCCCGGCAAACAGCAGTCAAGAAGACGGCTTCAACTCTCTTGCAAGCCCGTCCGTGGTCTGTGAGAAGTGGGGAGGTTGTTTTATTTAGATACGAGGCCGTCTAACATGCTTCTCGACCAAGGACGACTTAGACTCGCGTATCCTAACGTCACATTATCCTGTCTTGCGTGATCCAGCCAAACGCCCCTCCTCGGCAAGACTGTGTCGGCTGCACGTTTGATACGTGCAAGCACAAAACTCCGATGGACCAGACTCGGCAACCGGAGTTTTTGAGGGATTCAGATCAGCACGAGGTCCCAATTGACCAGTCGGGATAATCTTCTCCTCTCGGTATTGTGGAACGCTAGGACATGCAGAGCACATGGCGGCGCGCTTGATGTCTATTACGCCTTCCGGATTCAACACGCCTTGCATAAGATCTCACGGACTGGCATCATATTCCAACTACATGGTATCATTCGCATAGAAATGGCTTAGGAGACGCGCACGTCTCCCAAGCGCAGGTGCCACAATATGGCGTGATGATAGAGTGTGCATGGTGCTTTCTACGCACGCTCTGTCCTTATAGCTCTGGATTCCCATCCACCACTTTCCATAGCTAGATCTTCTCTGTACCCAATCTCCAATCCAGATCAAGACCCGACACAATGACAGTCGAGGAGGATAGCAAAACGGTCCCTGATAACGAGGAAACCAAGGCAGCGGCTGCTGTGTCAGCGAAGTCGGGATCGTCGACCTCGCTGTCGGTTACGGGCCGCCGAGGGCAGTACAAGGACATTGACAGTACCTTTGACACTACTGAGGACCCACGTTATTACAAACCCATCCCGGACTATGAGGGGATTCACAGATGGGATCCCGAGTTTGAATGGACAGAAGAGGAAGAGAAGAAGGTTGTCAGAAAGGTGTGTCCTGAATCCGCCTGTCTTCGTCGCAGCTCAATTAACATGACTGAGAATGCAGATTGACCTCCGAGTTTGCACATTTGCCTGCATGACCTTCTTCGCCCTCCAGCTGGATCGAGGAAATATCGTCCAAGCTAATTCAGACAATATGCTGACCGACCTCGGCATGACCACAAATGACTATAACACTGGCCAGACCATATTTTACTTGACCTTCCTGTTTGCCGAGCTTCCATCACAACTTATTTCTAAGTGGGTCGGGCCGGATCGTTGGATTCCTGTGCAGATGGTTTGCTGGAGTCTTATCGCGTCTTGCCAAGCTTTTGTCAAGGGTAGATCAGGATTCTTTGCGTGCAGAGCTATGTTGGGTCTTTTTGAGGGTGGTTTGTGAGTCCTAGCCTCAGACATATGTGGTTGACCATGTTGCTGACCCGCTGCAGCATTCCTGATACGATCCTATTTCTTTCGTTCTGGTATAAATCCAAAGAACTCCCGAGTCGCCTGAGCTGGTTTTGGGTCTCTTATGAAGCCACTGCAATTGTGGGTGCATTTCTGGCATTCGGCTTTCTGCACATCCGAGGCCCTGACGGCGGCGGTGGCTGGCGGTACTTGTTTGCCTACGAGGGTTTGATCACCGGCGTTATTGGCATCGTCGCCGCATTTTGGATGCCCGCCTCTCCCACACAGACTGCCGGACGGTTCCGTGGAAAAGGATGGTTCACTGAGCACGAAGAAAAGATCATGGTCAACCGGGTGATCCGGGATGACCCCAGCAAGGGTGGCATGCACAATCGTCAGGCCGTCACTCCCAAAATGCTGTGGCATGCGCTATGTGACTATGACATGTGGGTTATCTACCTGTTGGGATTGACATGGATGGTCCCGACTGTTCCCGCAACGAGCTACATTACTTTGGAACTGAAGGCGCTTGGCTTCTCGACCTTCCAAACGAGCCTTCTTACGATACCCGCCTATGTTCTCTTCATCGTAAACTTGCTTTTCTGGACATGGGTTTCAGAGCGGTTCAACCAACGCCTGCTTCTCGGTGCAGTTGCCGAGCTCTGGGTTCTGGCGGCTTTGATTGGCCTGGAGGTCATGCCAGACAGTGCCAGTGCCTGGTCTCGCTGGGCGTGTATTTCACTCGTGATCAGCATGCCGTATATCCATGCCGTCGTGGTGGCGATCACCTCACGGAACGCAGGCACGGTTCGGACGAGAACTGTTGCAACTGCGTTGTACAACATGGCGGTACAAGCCAGCAACATCATCGGCAACAACGTAAGTTCGCCTTTATAGGAGACAATAGAGGTATTTTATTAACCAATCTCTACAGATTTACCGCACCAACGACAAGCCTTATTACCACGTTGGGAACAAGGTTCTCATTGGCCTTTCAGTATGGAGCATGGCGTTGTTTGTTTTTTCGAAATTCTACTATATCTGGCGAAACAAGTACGACTCTTCCATTGTTTTGCTCCTGATTTAGTCCTGACTGATGTGTGTTTAGGAAAAATGCCGCCATCTGGGATAACATGTCGAGCGAAGAGAGGGAACGATACGTGGTCGAGAACAAAGATCTTGGGAACAAGAGGTAGGTTGCCGAGTCTGTTCAGTTTATATTCCCCTCAAGCTCCAACTAATATTGCCCACCACAGGGTCGATTTCCGATTTGCGCACTAAAGAAATGATTTTATGGCGCGGTTACAGGAGGTTCTTTCTTTCGTATTCAATAAGTACTCTGTTAGAGAGCAACAATGGATTTGATTCCCCATTGTGCAATCGATGATTGATAACTCGCGAAATATATATCTCCCACGTCGTAAAACAACGCTTTCAAGCTTATTCCCCAATGACGTATTCACAACCTTCATTTCCGATCCAGACCTCATGAAGTTTCCCTGCTGGTACGTCAATCCGAGCTCCCACACCGAAAGTTTCTTTCAAGACCTGGCCCCCATGAAGGTTGACGTTGTCTTCAGGGTAAGTGATTGTGAGGGAGCCGCGACGGATAAGATGCGTCGTCAGACCACCGTGAGAATGTGGAGAGTAATGAGAGTTGCTTGGATACTGTCAGAAAGCTAATGTATAGAGTACAAAAGTGGGAAAACATGGACTCTTCGTGCCATAGGGGGGAAATACCTTCCATCTTCCCAAGTGAAGACATGTCGGAACCCCCAGCTGCGAACGAGACGCTCACTTTCAGCCGCTGTACCGATGGGGTAGGTGTCAGACATAATGGCGCTGAGTTAAGAAAGTACATAACCGTCAAAAGGCAAAAGTAAGAAAGCGTTTTCCAATGTTCACCAGACGATGATGTCATCGGGACTTTTGTTGGAACATCTTGTGGGTAAGGTCTATAGGATCAAGACAAAAGTTCGGGTATTATAGACAGTAGTACGGATATTGGAACGTCAATTACTAGCAGAAAGAGATACAATGACACTTTAACAATTTGCTTCCACTGCACCTGGCCCCGAGTCATTTGGCCGTCCGATGCAAACCCCAATATTCGAACGATTTCCAGATATAGTCGCCGAATGCACCATCGAATCCCTATTCAACAGGGAAACGGGAGATTTTAAAAATAATCAATCACCGAGAAGTTCAAGAAACTTGACATCGATACGAATGTGTGTCTCGCGATTCTGGACCCTCAGATCACTGTGAACCAACGTTTCATGCGCAAGGCGTCCCGCACTCATGGCAGCTCTTGCCTGGGATGACCCAGACCTCCTTGCCCTTCTTCGCACAGTTTGGGCACCGGACGCCAGGCATCTACAATCTCGCGGCGTAAGCATCCATCTACAAAATGAAAAAAAAAAAAATATAATAAAGGACGAACCTTGTCAGTGGGAAGGGAGCTCGGGCAAGCCGGCGTGCCACACTTGACGGAGTCAGGCATTGTATATCAAGGAGAATGTAAGACAGTAAATAGAATAAAGTTTGTGTGTGGTCTGAGCCAGGATGATCGTTCTCGACGGGCTCTATTTGAACTTTCAGCGAAATCTTAGCAACGCCGACTTTGAAATGAGCTATCGACTGGGCCGGACGGGGTTTATATGGCCCCAAGAACAGAACCCAAAAAAGGGGGACTTGATCCCACGATCGCAGAATTGAAATCCCAGCAGTACTAATTTCTTTTGAAAATTTTAGTCCCGCTATCTACAGGTACATTTACGTGCCCGCCCGCCCGTGTGTGTGTGCATCCACGGCAGACAGATCTCTCATCCGGCTGCATTGTTGCGGAAACTCGGAAGGTGCCGTTGTTGGATAGTACGACGATGAACCATCCTTCTTTGTCCTCGATCGAGCCAGTAAGGACACCCGATCGCTCCCATCCTGGTGGATGACGGCTTGACTACTGCGTAGACAAAAGGAAGACCAACCATTCGGTTTCAAGCCACCGGGAAGTTCACAGCCAATCATGACCCCGGGTCTGGTAGATACCAACCACTCAAGGTGAAAATGTATCCAGAGTTGTTCTTTGTTGTTTGCTGATCATGGGCGCTGGCTTCGGACACGCGCGAGATTGTCTTTCTAGTGGACCAGAAAGGGACTGTTGATCGGTCGGTGGCGCCGGTAACTCGGTGCGAGTGCCCGGCCTGGCATAGACTGGTTGATCAGAAGACATCACAAGTTGATGTATCTGTTCACCATGACCCCAGGGACGATCCACTGGTGGGCCCTGCGCTCGGACGTCCTCGGTGTTGGTCTGGAGTGCAGATTATGGAGGCGCTGATTTGTTGACTAGCTTTGACATGACCCAGATCAATCGAGAATATTCGCAGTATCACGATCACTGTCGATTATTGGCTGAATCGGCACGTTTCGTTCCTTGCTAGCATTATTCCAACCTGACAGGTCGAGATTGTTGCACTGCCGAAACCCCGCTCACTGGAACTCTCAGAGCACGGAAAAAAACTCCCCGTTGTCGGAAACCCTGGCTACCAGATCGGAGAATTTAGCTTTTGATTGTCTCCTGCAATCTCAGGCCACCAAGGATCAATTTGATGAATGCCGCCCGTAGGTGTTGCTGATCGGGCCATGCTGAGTGGCCCATAACAGCCCGGTTGTTGTGCCTCACGGCAGACGACATGTGCCCAAATTTGCATCTTGATTTCATCGTCGCTTGCGAAAGCTTCACCGACCTTTGGGAGGTCCACTCGCTTCCATCCGACTGCTAAATTGTCGAGCGTGTGTCGATCGGCCCTAAAGAGTCCCACAATTCACGCTTGTATAGGTCCCGTGAGACTATTGAGACTCGATGGACGTAGTGACTGTGGTCTATTGCCCGCATACTCGTGCAGAATAATACATACATGCAACATAATTGTTTGCTTATAGTATGCAAGAAGGGGGGATGCTAGAGTATGATCATACTGGACCGAGGACTGGTATACTTTATCTGGAAGTAAAATTGTACACCGACTTTCGAAGATACCCTGTTGCGTAGTGTCGGATCGGTCTGATATCCTGAGGTCGTATCGGTGATTATTGTCACTCGATCCAGTAGGTTATCTCATTATCCATCCTTGCTGGACGTCATGGTTTAAACGCCGCTAAATCCCCAAGAACTCTAGTTCGCAGCCAATTTGATGTGAGTCGGGATAGCCGCATTCCCTCACGCCATCGGCAGGATGCAGATAATAGACTATCCTTTGCAGACTGCTCCCCTGTATTTCGTTCTGCCTACTCCTTGCTTCCCGCCGGTTCTGCATTTTTGCGTAGTACTAGAGTCTCTGTTTCTGTACTAATCTCGTCATTGTTGTGCTACTCGCACCGTGCTTTAATTCTCCGAGTCTTGTAACAGCAAAGCTACCAGAATAGTGTTGGCCCCATCAATTGGACTAAACTCTGAAATCCGCAAACGCATCATGTGATACAGCCAAAACAATGCTGGTTTCCGACAACAATCACCGACGGCAACACCCGACATCTGGCGCCATTCTTTCATGCGATAGCAAGGCGAAACACTCGTGGCACATCATCACTGGTAGGAACCATATCAAGCGGTGTCCCGGAAAGACCGCAACATCACGATAGCCTTTCTCGTGGTGGCTACCCTGTACGACACGAGAGGCCTCTCTTCATAATGGCGGAAAAACGACCCCGTTTAAAATATCCACTTCCATTGCACTCTTCACGTCACCGAAGAACAATATCCTCTAGCCTGCATAGGCTAAGAGAAGTGTTTCGTGATGTTGACCAACAGCACTCCGCCGGTCTTCTCCCCTGTGCAGTCGTGAAGATGAACCAATCGATAACCTTCACGCAGCCGATCGAGTCGAATGCAAGTCCACCCAGCCAGCTCGTCACGACCAAGCTCATCGTCCTTTATTTTGAATCTGATGAAGCGAAGGGAGTCAGTGATGATTCTTGGCAGAGATAAACGTCATCGAAAACAAACAGAGTAGATCGTGGGATTTCGGGGACAAATTTCGTGATGCCAGGATCGCCCTGTCTGTCGGACGTATTGAAGAACAAGGTGGAAGAAAATAAGAAAATACTAACCGAATGAAGCTCAATTCCTCTACAATGCCCGTTACTGTTGGGAAAACAAGCTTTTGGGCCCCGAAGTCCGGATTCTTTCCTGACGCACTCTTGGTGCATCTTTTGTAGCTGCTCTTCTCCGAGTCTGAACTGATATCGTCCTGGCCTGTGGCAACTTCACTGTCCGGCTCTTCAACATGCAATTGGCAGTTCAGATAGGGTCGGAATCCTTTCTCCCGGTGATCACCAGGCGGTAGGGCCAAGTCCTGGGCTGCGAAAACTTCGATGGCCAGGTCAAGTGTTTGCCTTTTGGCGACAGTGGAAGAAGGCTCGGTGCTTCTGTAACCAGGAGGCTTCAGTTCCCAACCCTTTGTTCCGCTGAACATGCCAGTGTTGAGCATCATGCCTTTATCAAGATTCTGCCAGTTCAGGGCTACCAATTGAGCTCCCCGTCGCCAGTAGAAGGGTGGATCGGGGTTGGAAGAGGCAACACGCAATGCGAAGGGGTAGATACGCATCAGGTTGGAACGGTTATGGGCAAATAGAGCTTCACGATGGTTGATGTGTGCATCGCGGGCCGCCTTCTCGGACAACGAAAAGATATGGAAAGGGACTTTCGCTTCTACTCAGTCCATTAGCATATCAAAGCATTCACATCGGGATATTGTTGCGTACCTGGCTGATCAAAATTACTGAAATGATATGCCCTGGTGTAGACGGCCATTTCACTCAGAGCTTCGAGGATCGTTGAGGGCTTCGGGGGCTGCGAATCGACAGACTTTTCAACTGTTTCCTGCGAAATGTTGGGGGCTTTGTCTTCCACGGGCGGCTTTGTGATTTTGGTCGGGGGAATTGTCTTCGTTTTGATCAAGATTTTTCTTTTGAGATCTTGCAATGTAGGAGGCTTCTGCTGCTCTGATCCCGACGGAAGTTCTACCAGCAGCCCCTTCCAGGCCTGCTTCATAATATCCACCATCACCTGCTGCTGTTCCAAACAAGCATGCACTTCGAAGCTGACTATGATAGGAAGGTCGTTGTCAACAAAGGCGCTGTCGCGGATCGCGTAGCAAATCTCGCGAAAAGTGGTGCCTTTAGTCAGGGTATGCCCATGTAGCACTCGAGGCTCCCCTCGAACTGGCACTTGACTGGTGGATGCATTTTCCCCTGCTATTTGCTGGGGGCCTCTAGCGGTCTTTTGACGCAGGGCTTCTAACTTCGATTTGGTGGGCTCTCTCAATGAGTTTCTTTTAGATTTGACCTTTTCCTTGATTGCAGCTTTGAGGCCCCCCTTTTCATCATCACTGGAGTCACTGCTCGCACTGCTCTCCTCCCCTTCATTTGACCCAGGGGTTTGAAGCTCGCCGTCCCAGACATCAATCTCAACTGAGCGGCAACCCCGTAGAAGCACCTGGCAGGTAATTAGCAAAGCTCCGCATATTTTTCTCATGTAAGGCGAAGCAAATTCACATTTGTGTATGCGCTGGCCGCAGCATCACTGTAGAGCTGGTTACCAGTCAAGTACGTGTTATGACTCGAGGAGATAAAATAATCAGAGATGGGTGCAGCGAGATCCAGCTCCTTTGCTGGCCCCTGCGCATTTGAGTCGGCATTTTTCATGTAAGCACGGAAGGCATCTGCCGACGCCAGAGGATTTGCAGTTGCCTCATTCCCGGCACCCGCAGCCGGCGAGTCATGTTGAATGGTGGTGAGAAAGTAGTGCGCAGTCGGGGCGGACTTGGAGACAAGACTGTGGATTTTCTCCAGATGCGAGTCCACTGAAGAGTGGAATGAGTCCACGGAGGGTCTGCCCTTGCCCTCATGGAGCGCAAGATGGCGAGCTCGGTCGATGAGCCCTTCTACCTTCTCCATTGTTATTGTTGACTGGGATGATGATAATCAAGGCACAAGCCGTCCCAACCAGGGGGTGGTGGGGTTTATCGCCAATGCCCCACGTTTCACCGCAGTCCGATCGATAGTTAATATAAGCAGATCAAGACAGGAACCAGATCACTACTAGAGGCGTTCAACATATGTTTGTCTCGCGATGTACCTGGTTAGACCAAAGTCCCGCCTAATTTGAGATTTGCTATCGCCTGTCTTCGACCAGGATAAGGCCCACGAAATCTACCTTGTTTATCTGATTCAAGCCTCACATGGCTTTTCCAGGTGGGTAATAGGTATCCCATGCAAAGGAAATCGTAGTTAGCGCTAGAAAACACTTATTGGTAGAAGCACTGGAGGAAAATGACTCGAGCATCCAGCAAATACATCCGTGGGAGCGTGGCGTAGTCCTCGTATCTCCTCGAGCCCCCGCCTTTTCATTTACAACCTTGATTACGAATCAGATCTGATATTTATCATTCGCCATGCCTGGCATCCTTCTCCTCTTGTCCGAGTATCCCAAGAGAAGCATCCAAACATCACCATGGCTGGTTCCGAACCTGTTCACTTCTTCGATCTCTTCTCCGATTTGCCAGGTGCCTGATATTCCTCCGCGGACACAACTCGTTGCTAAAAACAGTTCAATCAGGCGCATCCAAGTCATGGTCTCCAAATACCCTCAAGACCAGGATGGTTCTCAACTTCAAGGGCATTCCATATACGCAGAGCTGGATCTCATATCCCGATATCGCACCGCTGATGAAGGGATTAGCCGTTTCGCCAAATGAGGTCGGCACGCCATACACCCTGCCGGCGATTATTCACAAGCCCTCGGTGGAGTCCAATTCCAACGGGACTATGATGGACTCGAGGCCCATCGCAGTTCAGCTGGACAAGGCTTTCCCATCGCCGCCGCTCTTCCCTTCGGGCGACGCTAGCTATGCGCTTTCGATTGCCGTCGAGAAGGCTATTAGCGGGCTGAGTCCAATGAGACCGCTCATTATTCCCCGAGTGGCGGGGCATCTGGATCCCAGAGGTAAGGAGTACTTTATTCGCACACGATCTGAGGCGTTTGGAAAGCCTCTTGCCGAAGTGCGACCCACGGACCAGGAGAGCATACAAGCTCTGTGGAAGATCCTTGAGAAGGAATCCAAGTTCTTCGTCACATTGTTGAAGGGCAGAGAAGGGAAAAGGGGACCGTTCCTCGAGGGTGAGAAGCCGGGCTATGCGGACATGGTCCTCGTTTGCTGGATAGCTTTCTTCCATCGATTTGATCTGGACGCTTGGGAAATAATCATGTCACAAGGAGATGGGGAGTTAAAAGCGCTTTGGGACGCTTGTTTGCCATGGATGGAGGGCCAGGGCCAGGATAAGGACTGGCCGATCCCGCAGTAGCCTTCGAAATGAGGAAAGGCGAATATTGTATCTCATTGTCATTGGATATATAGTAGCACAATTGAGAAGTCGACTGACATAGTAATACATGGAGGTTGCCCTAAAGGCCCGGTCTACTCGAAGTGAGAGCAGGCGCAAGTATGAGAGCGCCCAGGAAAAGGCCCATAACGAAAGAAATCCAAAATCCTGACATTGCTTCCACTAAGATAACCACCGGGCGTGTGCAGGGGACAATTTACAGACCACGCAAGAAGTTGGACTCCTTGATGGCTTTGCGCCTGGCTTCTCTCGCACTCTTCGTGATCTCCGAACGCTTCTGATGGCTCTCGGTGGCATCAGCGACAGTGTCCACAGGAGTGCCGTCACGGTTGTAGAAGGCAGGTGTGATATCGCTTGCGTGGTGATGGGCGGGGATTTGAGGGGGCAGGGTTTTGGTGCGCGCTGCAAGCTTTTTCTCAAAGCGTTTGCGCTGCTTCTTATTCAAAGCTGCGAGACAAGGAGTTAGCTTCGCTATTATGTGAGTAGTTCGGGTCGCATACTGTTCGGGTCAACGCCGCCAATTTTCTTGTTCGACTGCTTGCCCGAATCATCCAAAAGATCCCAGAGCCAGTCGGGGTATTCCGAGTCCTCCTTTGCGAAGACATCGGGCTTATTCTTGAAGTAGTTGAGACCGTTCATCTTGGTCCCCGCTGGGCAGCTGCTAGGTGGGCGTTGCACAGCAGGTTTCGCTGGCTTTTCGGGATGAGCATTGGTGTGGACACCTTCAGGGGTGCTCAAGGGTTGGGAAATTCCGGGAGTAGCGGAGGAGATTGCGGACGGCGTGGTGGCATCTCCGACTGAAGGTTGACGACCCTCGGAGGGATGTTGAGGAGCGGCGGCGGGTCGAATAGAATCACTGTATGATCGAAGTTGGACACGAGCGATTGGGAATTGGCGTGAAGAGGCAGTCCAAGCCACGGAGGGTTGTTGGTGCAGCCGAAGGCGCAGACTCGTCCGACAGCTTCTGCAGATCATGGTGCGCGATTGATTGGGGAAGGGTTATCAATTCACAATGCTGGAAAATAGAAACAAATTCACGCATTCATCCAGGGTCCGCGCGTGGCTCAAATTCGCGCCAAGAGGTTGATGCGACTCGAAAGAAAAACTGCGGCGTGGATCGCCAAGCCGGAGACCTGATCACGTGGTTATCTATGCGGCCTCAGGCTGCATTTGTTTATGTCCCATCCACAGCAGTCCAGGGTTGACGTTTTCTTCAACTTGAGCAAACTCAATAAGGAATCCCGCGATTATTGAAAATGCTTTTGCAATGAAACATGACTAACATCAATATACTATCTTAACCACAGACTCTATGATGCTTCCACAACCTCCCAGGCGATACCTGAAGACACAGGCTGAACAGCTCTTGGCGTTCCCTCGTGATCCGTGTATATCGTGCCATATAGCGTGGTGGAAGAGGAAAGATGAACTTTTTGATGCCAAGTTCGCCGAGCGTCGAGACAAAATCTACCAGCCACTGACATTGTTGGCATAGTAATTCAGTGGTTGTCTGATACTCTCCTTGACAGGCTTGTGTGCCGCATAATGAATGACGCCGGTTCCTTTTGACTTGGCAACATCCCATCTGGACGGAACCTGGTATCGCAGACCCAAAGTGTGAATTGCTGTTATGTCACGATAATCGCGCGGGAATAGCCGCAAAGTCGGCATTCGGGTCCCGTTCTCCTTAAGGAATTTGTTGGCTAGCTCGCGAGCTTCATGGGTACGACGGATCAGAAGTCGGTAGTTTCGATAGGCACGCGCAAAGTTACCTTTTTTTCTATCAGTAGCAATATTATAACAGTCTAGTTATTTATACATCCAATAAGCTGGCTGCTGGACCATCTGCATGTACTATGCGAGCACAATAGATTCAAGTTAGGAACAGTATTCAACCCAGTTATCGAGGTTCATGTTCTTGATCACTGTGGAGAATCCTTTCTCATTCGCCGCATTGCATGCCGCTGACCGTTGCTTTGGTGTCACGGCGTTGTTGTTATTGATCCCGTCGGGCTTGGGATACTCAATGTGAAAGACTGGTTTGTTGGCTTGGATGAACGAGTCGAACATAGCGCATTCATCATATTGGGCACATTGCTCGTTCACGCACCACTGCATGTTATCGATAACAGAGCCGATGATCTCGCCGCCATTTTTAAGGCCTATGGCCAAGCCACGGGCATCTGCTTCTTTGGCCAGGAAATTGACATAGTTAATGGCGTCCGCTCTGGTTAGCCCGAGTCCGTTTGAGTTGTCGTACGCATCGATATTGTCTGGATCAACACCGTCACAGCCTTTTTTCTTTGCTAGGTCGAGTCGAGCCTTCATGACTTCTCGTACGTTTTCAGAGTTGGTATTAAGCCACCATTCGCCAGACCAGTCAGGAAGATTGTTCCCGAAATCAGAGGTATGGAAATCACTGGCGTCCGGACGCCAGTTCTCGTAGGTTCCCGCTGAGAAATAGCAAATAACCTTCCGTCCCTTGTTCTGTAAATCGGAGATCACCATGACACTGTTGTCGAACATATCGATGTCGTAGACGGGTGCATCAACCGAAGTGTCGTTCAAGGGATTTAGTAGCTCGATTTGCCATTTGGTCCCAGCCACCGGTTGCCATTTGATTGTGGTGTTAGATCCGCCAATGCCCCCAGTGTTGGTCAGCGCGTTTCCGCTGCTCTTTCCATGGTGGTGCTTGAGCCCGATCCCAAGCCCGACTCCCAGACCCACACCAAGCGCTACAATGATGAGCACAGCCAAGGACAATACTAGTGTTTTCTTCTTCAATGACCAAGTCCACCATCCCGAATTTGCCGACTGGTTCGCCATCACAGAGTTGGATAGAAAGAGAGAATTTGAGCCCAGTAATTGTGCGCCGAACGGTACCAACGGGCACCACGATGGAAGGCGAGATCAACCTGAGCAACTCGAGCGAGATCAAAGGATCGCCCGGCTTAAAAATGTGATCAAAGCAGAAGAAAATCAGCAGGGCGCTTGAAACATAGACATCTTTCAATCAACTGAACCATGTAGCTTGGAAAAGGGTCCAACAAGGGGCTGAGCCGGAATCATGTGGGGGCGAAAACTATAGCGCTCCTTCAAGAGTGGATGGTTGCACCAAGCTGCACTGGGGATGGAAGCTCTCAACCTTAAGCAACGTTTATTCTTTGGTCAATTGGCCTACGTGAAGATGGTCGTCAACATCAAACTATTTGGGTGGAAGCACGTCAACGGAAGGAAAGAAAACGCCTAAAACAGTGAGTGCCAACATCTGGAAGTCCAAAGGGTGAAAATTTGGAAGCCTAGAACTCGTTGGGACAATGACTCTGCCAAGCGCGTCTAGCCACATACCAGCTCAGGCTTTGCACTTTTCCAATAATAATCTCACGTGGCCCCTATATTATTATTGTCATGGCATCGTAGTGTATCCGAAGTGAGCCGGAAAGTCTGAAATCGAGGTCAGTAGGCTTTAAAGTGGTGTGGTGGAACGATGTTGATCTACCGATCCTTGATCGTCTCAATATCGCAAGAAAATTAACAATGAAACAAGACACAATAAAAGCTTGAACCAGTCAATAGCTCCGACCCAATTTTGTCAAAAGCAAAAATGAAATTCCCTTGATCTCTCCATGGAGCCACAATTTCGTAATATTCAAGTGGGCTTGTAGTTTATCAGTTACAAAGCCCATGGGGCTGATAATCAATAACTGTGGAGGAGTGGCGTGCAAAACCAAATGTTTGGGATGCTCCTGCAGTTGGTCCGGAACGTCTCTAATCATCCAGGATTGCGTGGACGGACTTATTGAAGGAATCCGGATCCATGCAAAACTACTCCTTCTGGACTTGACATGACCAAGTGGTTTGAGATGTTGGCGTTTGATATTACTGGGGAGATGGCGTTTGGGGAGTCATTCCATTGCATCGAACAAAATAAGATATGAACATTTTGATAAGTTTAGCTTTACTCTGCTTGATAGCTATTCATAACTTAGTGCTAGTAACTAGGCATCGGCATTGGCTGTTCGGCCCGCCCCTAACCCTGAATTCCAACCTCGAGTTCGTATCTGCAAGGGTGTACGGCAGGCCATATCTATTACAGAACCGCCGAAAGTCTAAATCGGATTATTTATTCGTTTTCTTTTTTTGGTTCTCGCCGAAACCAATATTCAAGTTCTGTTCGTATTAACCCTGCAAAAAGGATCGGATTCCCTGTATCAGCACCTCCGCCGAGTCGGCGGAATAATCGAAAATCCAACGACAGCGCGGCGAAATCACATCAGCATCTAAAATCTGCACCGAGGCCTAAGAGAGTGAGGACAGGTAATATGCAGGTTACGTTTCCAGGGGCTGTCCCATTGCTACGCTGCAGACCTGCACCCCAGCGGAAGCCTGGTCTGCCTGTTAGACTCTCCTGAAAGCTTTCTTTGATACTTCGCTTACAAAGGCATGTTTCAATGCACAACCCTATTGTCAGAATCTGATTAGGGGTTAGAATGGCAATTTTAACATGGAGTCGTGTAATTAGCGTACCAGTGCCGTGAGTAGGAATATTCCATCAAGGCGAAAAGTCTCCGCGACCAAACGCTGTGAATAAGACCGCATCCCGAAGACAACAACAGCAACGGCCGTCGTGGTGATGCATGCTGAAGTCATTCCAGGGCCTTTATTGGCCGTCATCTGAAAAGCTTCTTATTCTTGGGAAGCCATGGTCGCACAGTAATGGTACCATTGAACGCTGGATCATGGGCTGTCCAGGACAGCAAGGTCCATTTTTATTATTGTTGGAGATTCAGCAGTCAGGCAGGCAGTTATTCATGCACCTGTACGCCACTTTTGGGGGGTGGGGGGTCATTCCAAGAGGAGACATGGCCGAGACTAAGTTCTTGGTCTATGTACTGGCCCCCATGCGGTCAGACGCTGGCTGGCACACCACTGACTGAGCATGTTCGAATCTGCAACAATTAATTCAGACTAAATTAGAGGGTAAGGTAGGGATGGGTAGTGCATTTAAATTAGTCCCAACCAATTACTTCCGCCGAACTTCGGATCTCACGAGGTCAACCAGGGCCCGACCTCTTCCGTATTACACTTATATGTTGGGACGACCTTCTTCAATTTTCTTTCCATTTTTTATTTTTATTTTTTGCTTTAAAGTATATGAGGGTTGCTCTAGTTTTTCTCTGACGCTAGCCGACACACTATACAGGAATCGCTCCTCATGGCGGGCATGTGGTTGGGACTAGGATTTGTAGTGGGCAGGGCCTGTAGGTCATCAATCATTCTCCAGTTTAACACACGTACAATTTTCTCATAAAGATGCTTTTCCATCCAGTTAGCACCGGAGTCTGGTCTGGTGTCACCGCACCCTTCAGAGGCCAGGAGGGAGGTGCTACAGCTTTCAAGCATGTAGCTATCTCTTCTGTGCGCACACTCTTTGACAATCTTTCTGTAGAGCAGATCCAGTGAGTTTTATTCTGTTTTTGTGCAGATTTATTCCAGTTTAAGAGGCAAATAATGACGAGAGAATTTGCAGACATGTCCTTCCAGCCAGCTCTGTCCTAAAATCTTACGAAGAACACATGCAACAACACAAGAGTATACCCAACATTCTAAAACTTCATGATGGCACCCAAGCTCTCTGGTTAGGTAACCCAGAGGCTGATAAACTCATCATCTATATCCCCGGTGGTGGCTACTGCATCCCCGCGCTACCAAACCACTTCAGCCACGTAGAGGCCCTCTCCACCGACCTCAAAAATCACGGCAACGACATAGGCGTGCTCTTCCTTATCTATGATCTGGCCCCAGGTGCTCAGTGGCCCCGCCAATTAGAGCAGGCAGTTGCCCTTCTACGATATGCCATCGAGACGTTGGGAAAACGACCGTCCGACATCGTACTCCAAGGCGATTCTTCTGGCGCTCATCTTGCTCTGGCGGCCCTGTCGCATCTCGCTCATCCTAGAATTGAAGGTAGTGTGCCGGCCTTGTCGCTCAGTGAATACCTCGGTGGCGCCATGCTGCTGTCTCCCTGGATAGACTTCCGGACTCAATATGAGAGCTACAGCAAGAATGCAGATCGAGATTTCATATCGTCAAAACCTCTTGGTCTCTGGGCGCACGCAGTGATGGGTGATGTTACACCAGACGAGTATAGTCACCCTACGCAGGCGCCAGCGGGCTGGTGGCGGGACCTTCCTGTTGCGAGGATCTTTGTTGGAGTGGGAGGTGACGAAGTGCTTTTGGATTCAATCGTAGCATTTGCGGAGAGGCTGAAGGTATAGTCACCCTCACTTATCTTTTGTGTGTTGTCTGACCTTTTGCCACCATAATAGGCTGAACATTCCGAGGTGAGCATTAGTCTGGTTCCTCGAGAGTTCCACGTCGAGCCGATCACGGACTTTCTCTGGAAATATCCACCCGGAGCGCAATTCCAAGCAATGGCGTCGTGGTTAAATCAAACGTTTCTTCAATAAAACAGATTAGTAGTGTTAGGACTAGCACTCCGGATTGTGACGATGGTGTCTACTAGATGAACGGCAATCATAATATTCAATGTTGAGGGACTTTAGAGCAATTGCTTTCCTTCATATTTTAATGATAATAGTATAACAGTTTGTACGAAGGAAGCAAGGCCAATGAGTCCGTACTATCTACTACCATATGAAGACTCTTACTCAGGATGGTGAAACCACAGATCCAAAATTATATTTTAAAAGGGAACCCGCGAATGGCTTGCCCGGTATCACAAAACCGGAAGCAATTCTTCTTCTACTCCCGTAAGCCCATAATAGTAATTCTACTCTCGCAGCCAGATTAAATCCATGCAGGTATTTATTTATAGTTCTAAAGAAAGTACAGTGTGAATAGGAACCCCTGAAACTCTTCATCCGAAAATAGAGAGCGATACGGCGCGTTTAGCTTTCTTCCACATCGAGTCGATCGGTTTCGGGTTCTCGATGCGATGCCACTCGCCATTAAACGCATTGATGAGCCACATCGAAAGACCTGTCATGCAACAGTTAGCCCCTTCCCTCTACTCCTGTTCAAGATTTGGGTGCACTCACGTTCGTAGACTAGCGAGTGCGCATTATGGAAGTAAATGCTATGATCTGAATCCGGGAACACCTGCATATCATAGTTGGCGATGTTCGACTGGTCCAGCCGGTCGATCAGCACCAGTGTGTTCTGGAGATGGACGTTATCGTCGGCCACGCCGTGCATGATCATGAACCGGATATTCTCGCCCAGTGCCTCAACGTCAGTGATGCTTGCATTTTCGTAGCCGGAGGGGTTGTGCTCCGGGGTATGCATGTAGCGTTCTGTGTAGATGGAGTCTGGAAGTAATGATTAATATGCTGTAAAACATTAAACAGAACGATCGGCAACCAACCATAGTATCTCCAGTCCGTTACAGGTGCCACAGCCATGCCATACTGGAATGTCTGGCCAGCATCCTGCTCGAGGATCTTCAACGTCATGAATCCACCATAGCTCCACCCCCAAACGGCCATGCGGGCTTCATCCACATATTTCTTCCCTGCCCAAATCTTGGCTGTTTCAATCTGATCCCGCGCTTCGTAGTAGCCTAAATTACCGCGGACGATGCAGCGCGCTTCTCGTCCAATGTATCCCGTGCCGCGGCCATCCACAGTAACGACAACGTAGCCCAGGCTCGAAGCGACGTAGGACTGGAAGTCCACAGTAAACTTGCGGTCCACCGTTTGAGAGCCGGGACCACCATATAAGAAGAAGAGAACTGGGTACTTTTTGGCTGGGTTGAAGTGTGGAGGACGACGCTCGAGTACCTGAAGCGTATAACCGTCGATTGTCACGTTTGAATAAATTTCCGCTGGGAGAGCAAAGTCTTCGACCATTTTCTTCAAACCAGGGTTTTCTTCGATGACTTCCTCGTGCTCCACCTTGTCACCGTGGGTGTTGATCACGGCTTGCCAGGGAACCGCGGGACCTTTGTAGCTGAGCAAGGCATATCCGGTTCCGTGGGAAAACGAGATCTCGAAGAATCCAGCCTTCGAGATATCCGTCAACGGTCGAAGGTCAGATCCATTTAGCCCGACCTGGTAGACGTGACGTTGGGTTGGTGCTTCTTTCGTTGCAACAAAGTACACCAGGCCTCTGGCCAGGTCAACGGCCGATGGAGCGTTGACCACCTCCCATTCTCCACTGGTGAGCATGATCGGCTCCGGGTTTTCGAGAGGCGTGAAATAAGCTAAGTGATCATAGCCTTCGTGGATCACGGTGTCGACGTACCCGTCGTGCGGCCGGCCGCTGGCGGGGTCAGCAGGAATGAATCGGGTCGACTGTGAGGGCTCGACCCAACCACCGTCCAGCCCGGCAATATCTTCAGATCGGACCAACTTGCCAGACCGAGCCTGGGTGTCCATCACGAAGATCTTGATGATATCACTTTCGCGGTTGGTCTCCCGAATCAGGACCTTACCAGCAGATGCCCAGACAACTTCAATGATGATTCGGTCGTCGTCGACAAAGTCATCAGGCATGTCGATAGAGAAAACATCGCTTTTCTCAACGTCATAGAACTGCAAGCTAACCACCGGGTTCGTGGTTCCCGCTTTGGGGTATTTGATCTGTCGAACTTCAGGGTAGTTCTCAAGCCCCGGCGCCGGGTTCTTGCCCGACGGACGGGAGAGAAAATACTGGACAGGATATTCGGGGACGGCGGACTCGTTGGTACGCATGAAGGCAATATACTTGCCATCACCAGACCACCAGGTGCCGCTGTTGCCCGCGAAAACTTCCTCCTCATATACCCAGTCGGGAACACCGTAGAAGAGGTCCTTCCCACCGTCTTTCGTAATTGGAACGGGGTTGGAGGAGTTCAGTTTCCGCAGATACAAATTGTTCTCTCTGACAAACGCGACAGCATCGGAGTTGGGCGACCACTTGGCGAGCTGTGCTCGTCCATCCAGATGCTCAGGGTCCAGGGCTTCTGCCTTCTGCGTCTCCACGTCGAAAATCCAGTAGTTTCCGTAATAAGAGTGTCTCCAGTTTCCCTGCTGCTCCGATAAGAGCAACACCTTCTTCAGGTCGGGACTTGGCCACATCTTGGACATTTTGACCATGTCACCGTCGACGGTCCACGCGTATGACTTCTTCATCAGAACTCTGGTCTCGGCGCCAGCGCCTCCATCCTTGCGACTGCGAATATCCTCCACGCGCAAATATCCTTCTCCATCTTCACCACGCTCTACAAGCAGGCCATCCTCTCCATCCGGCCCTGCAATCCAAGAGATCGCATGCGACTTGGCATACCACTGACCCGTCAACACCTGCTCCAGTGTCACCGGCCTCCCGTAGCTCGTACCACCGGTCGCCGAGTCCGGGTCATGGATGCTGACAGCTGAGTTGGAGGATACGGCCGCGGCAGTGGTCCGCTTCTGTGTGAGAAAGAGCACGAATGCAAGCACCCAGCCGCCGACACAGAGGAGGCCGAGCAACCAGACTATCCGGCGCGTGCGACTTCCGGACCCCGTCTTTTTCTTCTTCGTATGCGTAGGTAAAAAAGGCTCGTCGGGTTCCGGCTCTGCTCCGTCTTCGATGTCTCGATAGGGTGTGTGTTCGGCTTCCCCTTCTGCTTCCGCTATGTTGGACCCCTTGTACCGATCGAGGAATGCGGCGGAGGCGACCGATAGGCCTGAGTCGAATGTTGTTTCGGAGGCAAAGGAGGCCGACCGCTGGCGTGTCAACGGCACCGACTCCGGGTTGCCCTCGTCGTCGAGCTTACCCATGGTCGTTTCAATGGGCAGTTTGGTCAGATGGAACTCCACGATAAACGAGTCAGGTCAGATCCGCCTCTTATCGGGGCGGGATGCGGAGTTCAACGACCCCGTCACAAAAATATGTACCAGAGCTGTCAACACGATGGAATGGAATTGAGAAGACGAATTCCAGTCTCGCGTTTCAATCCAGTTCTCAGGATTCATGGCCCGCCCGAGTATCGGGTGTTTGTTCCTTCCCGCGCCCATGATTATTGGGGCGACAAAGAGCTTATTGAGGGCTGGCGGTGGCCCTTATTCAAATCCCTTTTCGACATCGGCCCGGCTGTCGATAAGAAAGATTGGAGTAGGTAGTCTGGGTAGGTAAGCCCATCAACAGGCTTGGGAACGAGGGTGCTGCTGTCAGGGAGATGGATAGGCATACACCTGAGCAGATATATATCGAATGGGATGGAGTTTGAGGGCGAAGCAAATATGTACTTTCTACGACCATCAAGAACTTCAGAGTATACAGTTCAGCTTTTTTTTCTATTGTGCAAATTCCATTTCTTTTTAATTACTCATTGCAATCGCATCATACAACGCTCAGCGCCTACCGCGACAGAGCAATGTCGTCAATCCTCATGATCATCTTCACCGTCTCGGCCGCCAGCTCAATGGCGCTGGTGCTCACCAGCAGCGGCTGCAGGATGTTCTCCTCGGTGATGTCGTCCTTGACACCGCCGCTGCGGATACTCACACCCGCATTGTGCTGGCCCTGCGCGTGGCGGTGTCGCAGGTCGGTGACTACCTTGATCGAGTTCAGGCCCGCGTTTTCAGCGAGCGTGGTCGGCACAACCTCCATGGCCTCGGCGAACGCCTTCCAGCAGATCGCTTCGGTCCCGGTGAGCTCGCGTGCGCGCATGGCGAGCGCGTGAGCTACTTCAATCTCCGGGGCACCACCGCCGGCGATCAGGGCGCGCTTCTTGACCAGACAACGAATCACACATAGAGCGTCGTGCAGCGATCGTTCGGCCTCATCCAGGATCAGGTTGTTGGCGCCACGGGCGACAATAGAGACGGTCTGGTTGAGAGCGGCGGGGGGCGACTTGATGCCGGTGACCTTGACATACCGGGCACCGGAAGCCTGAACCTCCTCGACGAGGTCGGCGGTGCCCAGCTTGTCTTCGGTGAAGGAGTCGACGTTGGCAACTGGCTTGCAGCCAAGACTCTTGCACAGGAACTCGACCTCGTCTCGCTCGATGTCCTTGATGGCTAAGATCTTCAGCCGCGAAAGGAAGTGTAGCGACAGCTCGTTGACGGCGTCACGGAGAATAGACTTCTGGATCAGGAGCACGTTGCACTTGGTCTTTTGGATCTTCTTCACCATATTCAGCATGTACTGGCGCTCCTCCTTCAGAATCTTGTCCATCTGGCGATAGTCGTTCACCACAATTTGGTTCTCCATCTATATAACGAACAGTCAGCCGCAACTCATAATTCGTAGGGAGAGAAAAGCGCACATCTGGCTTAGGCGGGCTCAGCTGGAACTGAATGAGACCTATCCGGGCCTTCTCAATCCTCGTCGGACCTCCGCTGCTCTTGATAACCGGCTGGTTCAAGACCAGGCCATCAATCATCTCACTATCCTCAATTGTCCCACCAACTTTCTTGACTATCCGGATATCACGCAGGTCCACGTTTTCGGCAGTCTTGGGATCAACCACCTTCAGCACCGAGTCGACAGCCATCGGACCTAGCAGGCCAGAGTGCTGAGACACAATCTTCGAGGAAAGCGAGGTCGCGGCGGCTTGGAGGAGGGTAGCGCGATCGGTCAGGTTAATCGGACGAGACATGTTGTGGAGGATTTCGACGGCGGCGCCTGCGGCTCTCTGGAAAGACTCGGAAATCACAGTCGGGTGAATGCCCTTGGATAGCAACCGGTCGGCGGCGCCGAGCAAGCTGCCAGCAATGACAACCACAGACGTTGTTCCATCACCAGCCTCGACATCCTGGGCCGCACTGAGATCGACCAGCATCCGGGCGGCCGGGTGCATAACGCTCATATCCTTCAACATGGTGTTTCCATCATTGGTCTGCGGGGGTCAGTCGGGGGTCGCGGTGACAGGATGGAATAGCGTACAATGATCGTTTGGCCCTTGGGTGTTTGAATCTAGAAATCCATCAGCATCGGAGTAGATATTGATGGTCGCATATGTACTCACCATCTTATCCATACCACGAGGTCCCAATGACTGTGTATCTGGTTAGCCCCTCGTCTCCGTAACCCAAAATGTGTGAACAATCGTACCGTCCGGATGGCATCGGCGACAGCTATGCATTGTCAGTCAAACACTCGCAAAGACTCGAATAATTAAACCACATACCTCTAGCCGCGAGAATGTTGGATGCCCGCACCGCCATCGGCTTCTCCTTATCCTGCAAACACCATCAGCCTGCATCCCACCACACACACCCACAGTCACCGCATCGCACGTACCTTGAAGGAGCCGCTGACAGGGGCACCCGGGACTGCTGTGGTCGCCATAATGAAGATTGGGGCACAAGCAACCGGAGAGAAAGAGAGGCAAGAAGTGGGATGGAGGGAAAGGAGTGCAATGTATTGTCAGTTCAGTCAGTGTGGACGGGAAATTCTACGAAGGCGGTGAGAACGAGCTCAGCTCAGCAGCTACATCACACGCTCCCTTCTGTCGTTCCATCTCTTCCCCCTGCACGTCTTCATCACTATCGGTCCCTGCGTTCGAGTTCCCCCAAATTAGCCTTTCGGTTTTGCCTTCTCCTCCCTACTCTACCTCGCTACTGCGTCTGCCTCCCGTCCTAGCTCCTGGGCCCGGGGCTGTCATCATCTCTCACCATGCCTAGCGCCACCGGAGAGAACTGGGAGAAGTACAAGAAGACCTTCGCCGACGACGAGGAGCCCGAGAAGAAGATCACACCACTCACAGACGAGTAAGTTTCGCCGCTGGGTTGATGTCAATCTGGCTAACCCGGCCCCGGCAGTGACATCGCAGTACTCAAGACCTACGGGGCGGCTCCCTACGCGACAGCCTTGAAGAAGCTCGAGAAGGATATCAAAGACAAGCAAGCAAGTGTCAACGAGAAGATTGGTGTCAAGGTGCGGATGCAGTCCCCTCCTAAAAACGCAGGAGCTCATGTCCCCAGGAATCCGACACCGGTCTCGCACCTCCACACCTTTGGGATGTTGCTGCTGACCGGCAACGCATGGCTGAAGAGCAGCCATTGCAAGTCGCTCGATGCACGAAGATCATCCAGGATGAAAAGGACTCGGACAAGAGCAAATATGTCATCAACGTCAAGCAGATCGCCAAGTTCGTCGTCAACCTAGGGGAGCGCGTAAGTCCAACGGATATTGAGGAAGGCATGCGCGTTGGGTAAGTCTTATCCGTGTTTTGATGGCTGCTCAGTCACTGACGCAGCTTTACAGTGTGGATCGGAATAAGTACCAGATCATGCTCCCACTCCCTCCGAAGATCGACCCCAGCGTGACGATGATGACGGTCGAGGACAAGCCCGACGTGACATACGGTGACGTGGGTGGATGCAAAGAACAGATTGAGAAGCTACGAGAGGTGGTGGAGATGCCGTTACTGTCGCCAGAACGATTCGTGAATCTGGGTATCGACCCGCCCAAGGGCGCTCTACTCTACGGACCCCCCGGTACAGGAAAGACCCTGTGTGCCCGGGCGGTGGCCAACCGAACGGATGCGACCTTCATCCGTGTGATTGGAAGTGAACTGGTCCAGAAGTACGTGGGTGAGGGTGCGCGGATGGTCCGTGAGCTGTTCGAGATGGCCCGTACCAAGAAGGCATGCATCATCTTCTTTGACGAGATCGATGCTGTCGGTGGCGCTCGTTTTGATGACGGTGCAGGCGGTGACAACGAAGTGCAGCGCACCATGCTGGAACTGATCACGCAGCTGGACGGATTCGACTCCCGCGGTAACATTAAGGTCATGTTCGCGACCAACCGGCCGTCCACCCTGGACCCGGCCCTGATGCGGCCTGGTCGAATTGACCGCAAGATCGAGTTCTCACTGCCGGACGTGGAGGGCCGGGCGAACATTCTGCGCATCCACGCCAAGAGCATGTCGGTCGAGCGGGACATTCGCTGGGAGCTCATCTCCCGGCTGTGCCCCAACGCGACGGGTGCCGAGCTGCGCAGTGTCGCGACAGAGGCGGGCATGTTCGCGATCCGGGCGCGGCGCAAGGTGGCCACGGAGAAGGACTTTTTGGCATCGGTCGAGAAGGTGATCAAGGGCAACCTGAAGTTCAACTCGACTGCGACGTACATGCAGTACAACTAGTCGACGTGTATTACCATCATCTACTCCTCAATTCCAGCTATCTATGTTGTTCACTCGTACTATGTAGCACGGATATTCGTTTAGGGAGACAACCGAGGGAAATCAAATTGTTCACCCGTGATTGGTCCCCGGCTGTCTGCTCGGCACATCACGGGTGTGGATGCTGACATAATGCCCTTTGGTTTTAGCAGGAGCAGCAGTTGACATTCCACCTCACTGTCCTGCCTCTCCCCTCTGTCCGTTCCCCCCATCGCCGGTTACGGTGTTTTGTGTTTGTTTCTGTCGGATTAGAGTCTTCCTTCTGATCCACTCGCCATCATGAGCTCGCTCGGCATGCGGAGCCTAGCTCCCGCATCCAAGGTTCGTCGCCCGAGTGATTTTCGGCCCGTCTGCTTTCGCCATGTTCGGCACTGACTGGTGATGGCTGCACAGGTTTCCCGTGTCTTGAGGGATCAGAGACGTCTCTTCTCGTCGTCCCGGCCAGCTGGTACGCTATCCCGAGAGCGTTGTTGCCCTCTTTCGTCGCGCTAACCCGCAATTGCTCCAGCCCGCATCTTCGCCAACCAGCCGCTGCGCGCCAAGGAGGTCAATGGTTACATCTCCGAGAAATACCCCATCATTGTAGGTCGACTTCGCTCTATGGATACCGAGAGATGTTCTGACGTGTGCAGGACCACGAGTACGATGCCGTCGTCGTCGGTGCTGGTGGTGCCGGTCTGCGTGCTGCCTTCGGGCTCGCGGAGGCTGGATTCAACACTGCCTGTGTTTCGAAGCTGTTCCCCACGAGAAGCCACACGGTTGCTGCTCAGGGTGGTATCAACGCCGCCCTTGGAAAGTAGGTCAACTCGTGGTCTGTATGTGCTGGAATTGCAACTAATAGTCCGAATAGCATGCACCCCGACGACTGGAGATGGCACATGTACGATACCGTGAAGGGTTCCGATTGGCTTGGTGACCAGGATGCGATTCACTACATGACCCGGGAGGCACCCGCCAGTGTTCGTGAGCTCGAGGGCTACGGCTGCCCCTTCTCGCGTACCGAGGATGGTCGCATCTACCAGCGTGCTTTTGGTGGTCAGTCCAAGGACTTCGGCCAAGGTGGCCAGGCCTACCGCTGCTGTGCCGCCGCCGACCGTACCGGCCACGCCCTGCTGCACACCCTCTACGGCCAGTCTCTCCGCCACAACACCAACTACTTCATCGAGTACTTCGCTCTTGATCTGCTGATGGAGGATGGCGAGTGCCGCGGTATCCTCGCTTACAACCAGGAGGACGGCACCCTGCATCGTTTCAAGGCCCACCACACCGTCCTGGCCACCGGTGGCTACGGACGTGCCTACTTCAGCTGTACCTCGGCCCACACTTGCACTGGTGATGGTATGGCTATGGTCGCCCGTGCCGGCCTGCCCAACCAAGATCTGGAGTTCGTCCAGTTCCACCCCACTGGTATCTACGGTGCCGGCTGCCTGATCACCGAGGGCTCCCGTGGTGAGGGTGGCTACCTGCTTAACTCCGAGGGTGAGCGTTTCATGGAGCGGTACGCTCCTACCGCCAAGGATCTGGCTTCGCGTGACGTTGTGTCTCGTTCTATGACTTTGGAGATCCGCGAGGGCCGTGGTGTCGGTCCCGAGAAGGACCACATCTACCTGCAGCTCAGCCATCTGCCCGCTGAACTTCTGCACGAGCGTCTGCCCGGTATTTCCGAGACTGCCTCGATTTTCGCCGGTGTCGATGTCACCAAGCAGCCCATCCCTGTCCTGCCTACCGTCCACTACAACATGGGCGGTATCCCCACCAAGTACACTGGTGAGGTTGTGACCGTGGATGAGGCGGGCAAGGATAAGGTCGTGCCTGGCCTGTTCGCTTGCGGTGAGGCTGCCTGTGTGTCTGTGCACGGTGCCAACCGTCTGGGTGCCAACTCCCTGCTTGATCTGATTGTCTTCGGCCGTGCTGTGTCGCACCGCGTCCGCGATATCTCGACGCCCGGCAAGCCCCACAAGGAGCTGTCCTCCGACGCGGGTGCCCAGTCGATCAAGGACCTCGACTTCGCTCGCAATGCCGACGGCCCCAAGTCGACCTTTGAGATCCGGAATGCCATGCAGAAGACCATGCAGACGGACGTCAGCGTGTTCCGTACCCAGGAGAGCCTGGACGAGGGTGTCGAGAAGATCACCGAGATCGACCAGTGGTATGACCAGGTTGGCACCAAGGACCGCAGCATGATCTGGAACTCGGATCTGGTTGAGACTCTGGAGCTCCGCAACCTGTTGACTTGCGCGTATGTATACTCGCTGACGTACCATTTGATATCTTGCTAACCATTTGTGTCTACAGTACCCAAACCGCCGTCGCTGCCGCCAACCGCAAGGAGTCCCGTGGTGCTCACGCCCGGGAGGATTTCCCCGACCGTGATGACGAGCAGTGGATGAAGCACACCCTCACCTGGCAGAAGAAGGCCCACGGCAAGATCGACCTGGACTACCGTGCCGTTGAGGGCAACACTATGGATGCCAACGAGTGCAAGCCGGTGCCTCCTTTCAAGCGTACCTACTAAGCCCGGTAACCCGGAAATGGATTGATCTCCGGTGGAGGAGTTGTTTCAGAGTGTCGATGACGTCCCGGCATCTTGGTTCCGGACTGACTTGTCTTGTCGATCGACCCCCAGGAGTCGTGAAAAAGACTACGTTTTTATTTGATTGTGTTACTTACCATCCTGTATAGCCATATTATTTCCTTTTATCTCTCAGGCGAAGAAAGACTTGGTGTACTGAGCAGTGTTTTTCTCTCAATTTGTCCTATATGATTGGAATTGGTTTCTTTTGAGCCAGTTGTGTTGCCCGTAGTTGCTGGAACAGCACAGCCTCGTTCTTTGTTGGCGGATTTTTTTGGATGTGGCGTTATAGACGGAGTAAGGCCCAGGAGACTCGACCCAGAACCACCTTCCCCGACCCTCGGCCTCCAACACCGTACGGCTACAAGGTATCCCGCGATGACGGGGGGTTAGGTTGGTGGTTTCCTCATGCAACTGTGCCACCAACAATCCCCGACCCAATCGAGAGCGTCTTAACGCACCAACAGTTCTTACATTGCATTCCTATATTTGGGTCGACACGGGGGACGGTCTGACAAACAAAGAATAGGAGCCTCAATGTCTCTTCACAACATGGGTTTCTCTTTCATGGCCATCGTCAAGGAGCGACTCTGGCCAACGTGCCGCTGCAGCCCTAAATCCTGGAAAAACTGGTTTGTCTTGCAAAGGTCTGGGTTTTTCCATTTCCAACAACCGCGGAGTCTTTGGGTGATTTCAGTCCTGCATCTAATCTGATTCCTTTCGTATAGTCTCTGCCACTACGGCGCCCGTCCCAGAGATGGACGTCTTCGATCTGTTTCCTCGAGCGGGTAGTCTGTACCACACCTGCTCCAGTGGCACGCAGTGGTATGTCTGTAGCAAAGGAGGCTACAGCGGCTGCTGCTCTAGTGATCCATGCACGAAGGGCATATGTCCAGATGACGATTCGATTGCTTCTTCGACAACCACATCACCCACCAAGTCTTCGTCGACATCACCGTCAAAGACATCGACAGAGACAAAGACTTCGATACCTTCACTGCCAACTACTAGCACGTTAGCAGACGCAACGGCCGTACAGACAACCACATCGGCAGCTTCTGTCACCGCTCCGACCACTGCTTCAACTGCCGTTGCTACTGCTACTTCGAGCAGTTCACCGAGTACCCATTATAACAACCGCGGGGCAATAATCGGCGGACTCGTTGGCGGCATCGCAGCCGTAGCGCTGTGCATTGTCCTTTTCTTCCTCTGCTGGCGGCGCAAGAAGAAACAAGGCCGTTTCTCCATCAGCTGGCGAAGGAGCCAGACCAATGCCTCCTACCACGATCCTGAGATGACCTCTACTCCTGGTACAAACTTCTCACGGTCTACCAATGACACTAGCTGTCTGAGCAGTAAGCAAGCTCCAAAGCCGTAGTTATAGGTAAACATATCTGACTAGTACGATTCCATAATCCAGACTCATACGCAAGCGCAACATCCTCAACCACAGCCTCAAAATCCAACCCATCAGATTCCTCCGCGGGTCTCCTAACAGGATCCTCCATCGAGTCGTCAACCCTCGGCCAAGCTACCCAACAAACATCCTCATCCAAAGACCTCGCCTCCCCTCCCCAAATTCACCCAATCACAACAACAACAACCCGCACATCCCTGATGGGAATCACGGCTGAACTCTCCGATACAGGCTTCTGGCGCACGTACTGCGAACTACCGCATAACCCGCAAAGAGAACTAATCAACCTCTCCCTTTCGCAGCGAAGACGTAGAGCCGTGCAGCAGCAGTTCCAGCAGAGCTTAAGCCGGCATCAGCTGAGTACTCTCCAGAACTGGGGTTTCCTTAGTTCTACTGGCAGTAGTCCTAGGAGCTCAAGTCAGGACTGCCTCGCCAACGCACCTCCTCTCCCTGCGCAGCGACAGATCGTTACGAAGGAGGGAGTCGTGCTCGGGGCAAATATGAATCGCTACTCGACTGCGTTTGAGTTTACATCGTCGCCGGTGGATACTGCAAATGAGAAAGGGAAGGAGATCCAACAGCAGTGTGCTGCTCATGACCGTGACCATGATCATGTTATGAGTTTTATGCAGTACGATAATGCAACTGGGACTGATGGATCGAGTCAAGCGGTAGAGCTACCGGGGAATCCGAGGACAAGAACAGAGTCGCTGGTTAGGAAGACTTCGATTTCTGGCGCTGTCGCTCCTGCTCCGGCGTTGACGTCAATGCCTTCTTTGGCTTTGTTTCGGGAGGACGAGGTGGTCTACTCGCCTAGTGACATGCCGCCAACATATGCAGTAGAGGAGGGCGTGTCGCCGAAGGATGTCAAGTCTCCGTGTGAGACGATAGGATAAGAGACTGAAACATGTTGCGATTTTTCCCTTTGGGATACTAGGTGTTTGGATTTTGATTCCCCCAACGTTTTCTATATTGGTTTCACCCTCAAAATGTGATATTTTTACTGCATAATTCATACATCGTAGCATTTTATCTAACCGAAACCAATGCCGCATACATACATCTTTTAGATATATCTGAGCAGCCCAAGAGATCTACAGCAGACCCTTAAGCACGGAGGTCTGCTCAATAACCGCCCGTTTGCTGGTGCCACCAATAGCATCCTTCAGCTCAACGGCACGTTCATAGTCCAAGCAAGCCTGGACATCGTCACCGAACCGCGCATCAACGTTCCTAAGCTGATCCAGCGAGAGCGTGTCCATGGGGACGCCGGTCTGCTCGGCCAGCGCGACCACGCGACCAGAGATATGGTGGCCCTCACGGAACGGCACGCCCTTGCGGACGAGGTAGTCCGCGATCTCGGTAGCCAGCATCTCCGGCGCCAGGGCGGCGGTCATCTTCTCCGGGATGACAGTCAGGGTGGACAGCACGCCGGTGGCGATCTGGATGCTGTCGCTGACGGTCTTGACATGGTCCAGCATGGGCTCGACGCTCTCCTGCAGGTCCTTGTTATAGGTTGTCGGCAGGCCCTTGATCGTGCACATCAGGCCGGCCATTTGGCCAAAGGCGCGACCGGATTTGCCGCGGAGGAGCTCGAGGCTGTCTATAAAGGCATTAGCGATGATTGGGCGAGAAAAAGGATGAAGAGAGGGAGACAACACTTACCGGCGTTCTTCTTCTGGGGCATGAGCGACGATCCCGTCGAGTAAGCGTCCGACAGACGCACAAAGCCAAACTCCAGACTGCTGTAGATAATCAAATCCTCGGCCCAGCGCGAAATCTTCAGCATGAACGAGCTGCCCCACTGCATGGTCTCCATAGCGAAGTCGCGGTCCGCTACAGCGTTCATGGAGTTGTACAGCAGACCGTCGAACCCGAGCTCCTTCGCCATGGCCTCGCGGTCAATCTGGAATGGGTTACCCGCCAGCGCACCGGTACCGAGCGGGCTGCGGTTGACACGACGGATGACCTCGCGCAGACGCTGCAGCTCGCTGGCAAAGGCGGTGGCATGCGACAGCAGCCAGTGGGACCAGCGGACGGGCTGAGCCTTCTGCAGATGCGTATAGCCCGGCATGAGGTAATCGATCTCCTGCTCGGCGCGGGAAACAGAGACCTTGATCAGGTCGCAGAGGCAGCTCTCAATGGCGCGCAGCTCGTCACGCAGCCACAACCGCATATCCGTAGCCACCTGCTCGTTGCGCGACCGGCCGGTGTGCAACTTTCCGCCGATCTCCTTGCCAATGATCTCGCCCAGACGACGCTCGTTGGCAGTGTGGATATCCTCGTCGTTCTCCTTGGCGACGAAAGTGTTTGTGCGCCATTCCTCGGCGATCTGCTGGAAGCCGCGCTCGATCTCGGCGAACTCGTGTGCGGTCAGGATCCCGTTCTTGGTGTTTGCACGGGCAAAGGCAATTGAGCCTGCGATGTCCTGCTTCCAGAACACTCGGTCGTAGGGAAGGGACTCGTTATACTGCACCATGAGGGGATCGAGGCCCTCTGTTGTGGAATGATCGTGTGAGTCAGTGGGGACGAAAGATAATGTGCCGGGGTAGACACTGCAAGCGACTCACGGGTGAACCGGCCTCCCCAGAGCATGTTCTCAGCGACTTTAGGGTTGCTCATCTTGGATGTTGGGGTCAATTGGAGGAGAAGGAGAAAGGAAAAGATGTCCAGAAGAAGAGAAGGAAGCACTTGGGGTGAATCATCCACGCTAACCCTAATTGGGAGGACCCACACTTCCATCACCGCAAGTATAGCTTCAGGTACTCCGACGTGGAACTAAATGTAGCAGTCTACTGGTCTAAGATGATCAAGAAGATCAACCTGCGAGCCCGATCTTGTCCAGACTTTGAGCTTTTTGACGCGCTCTCTATTCGTTGCCAGAAGGAGATCGAAATGTTTAAATATGAGTATGAGGCCGACCCCTTGGAGGCTTGGGGTGTACAGAGGGTGAAGGAAAAGGAGGTTATGCATGAATTTGACAATCTATGGGCACAATTTGAAATGCCAAAGAAGAAGGTAAAAAAGGTATAATAGAGGCTTCATGTCCAGCTCACATCAAAGGGGCTGTTCAAATACATGGGGATAAACAAAAAGGAGAATCCGGTATATCACAATGTCCACGCCGTATTGTAGCCCATTATAAGCTCCAAATATATGCTCAAATAGAGGACACGTGACATATTTAACATTATTTGCAATCGTGCCCTTCTATGTTTTTAACCAATGTTCAATCAACCAACTCAATCACAGTCCAAGTCACTGTAGTGAAAGGCTTTCCTCCAATCTTCTCCATGACACGCCGACTTGCGTGGTTATACTGCGCTACCTCAGTGTGCACCCATCCACCAAGCCGATCTTGATAATCAGGAATCTCAACACTATCAGCCCCGAAGAGTCCCCCCGGCGCCATACCGCGTCGCATCACTTCCTTGGACAACCGCAACGCAAGACCCCGACCGCGATGCTCCGGCTCAACATGCAAAGTAGCCAACGCACCGTCCGTGCCGAGGAAGGCCCAGGCAATAGGCATCTCGTCACGATCATCGACTATTGTTTCTGATGCCGACGAAGGATCATGATAGACAGCCACACCGGGCATGGTAGACAAACTCTTGCTGGAGCGGGGGATGTGCGTACGACTCTGGACCAGATCCAGGTGCGCGGGGAGGAGGCCGACCCTTCCACGGCGGTCCTGGTATCTGTACCCCGAAGGCAGAGCCGAGTCGCTGCCTGAGCTGAAGATCTCTTGTGGGAAGGAATATTTCGAGTAAGCAGGGTTATCGAAGCGATGCACCTTGATCCCCGGCAGGGGGTTGTCCGCGGAGTAAATCGGCTCACGTTGGAGCAGCGTAAAAAGACCCGTATGCAGGCTACCAATGAGGAAAGCGTGTGGGTCTGGCGCAGGGATCAAAGGCACGCCATTGTGAGTCTGGAGATCTTCCTTTTCCTTGGCTTCCTGCATGAATGACAGGTACGACGGGAGCAAATGAGTCTTGATGTATGTCAACAGAGCTAGTAGCTGGGCGCGGACCTGCGCTAGTGCCGACGGGCTGGCATCTAGCACAGACACGATATGATCAGAGCCTGTGATCGGCAGATTTGACGTGTGCTCCGCTTCGAGGCTGGAATAGACGACCATCTGGGTCTCACGTCCGCGAAAGAGATCCACCCGCGCAGCCAGCCACGGCTGTTGCTCAGGGGCTGGGGTACCGGGGGCGAACGTAGCTAGGATCTCAGCACTAGATGAAGGGTACGCGAGACCGTGTTGGATGCGCCGCACGACGGTAGCAGAGTGCGGCAAGTGAGCCGCGAGCGCCGGCAAGATGCTGGTGGCGTCGTGCTTGTAGATTTCCACTGCTGCAGGTTCTGTCATCGTCGATTATTCCCGAGTACCTGGATAGCAGTGATCTCTTAGTGCGAGTTGACAGGTTGACAGCTCTCCTAGGAGAGATTGACAAGGGTCGGTCATGGCGTGAGTCAGGGTGGAGCCGCCCTAGAGCGCAGCCCTAACTACCTTCGGATACGATGCTTACCCAGAGTATAGTGCACTCGACACTAAAAGGATCTGCCATCATCACCAAACTAGCGACCAGAATTTGTCACCCAGGTCCGTGCCTGTGGCGGTGCGCGCTATCGATTGTGATATACAAGCAACCCCCACTCTAGATATTAATCCAAGCATTGCCCTTGTTCGTACAGTGGAGCAGCCCTATTATTTATAATGGATGAAAGGTCTGGGCGCATCGTTTAACGCCTTTCGGTAAGACTCTGACATAAAGCTTGGGACACCAGGATTTTCATTTGACAGCTGTCAGAATAATATTGCAGACTACCACCCATCCAAGAACGCCACATGAGAATGAGAAATTAAATCAACCAACGCCGCATAGAACTTCTCGACATCTGGGTCATCTGGTGCCATCGTCATCGCCCCCAACCAACAAAGTAACAAGTGCAAGAAAGAACAAAGTGAAACAAACGAGAGACAAAACGGGTCATGGCTCATTAGGAATCGATAGTCCTACCAGGGACTGCGCGCCCCCACCATCCAATCCTCCATTGCCAGCCATTCACTCCACCGCGCCTCGGCTGCCCTGATCTCATCTTCCGACGGGTCCCGCAGTGGACGTAGGAAGGGTGCTTGCTCATCAGGCAAGATGTCGTAGGCTGCCTTGGTCGAGGCCCACCCGCTGCTCTTGGCCGTGAAGAGGAAGTTCACTCGCTCTTGCTTGTAAATGCAGCCCACGCCGGCCTCCCAACCATCCCCGAAGAAAGATTGTAGAACAGCAGGCGAGTCTTGTGCGGTGACAATCAGGCGCCTAATATACGGCCTGAGAGAAACAAACGGCGCCGGTGCGGCGGGACGGGGATGTGCACCGGCAACTACAAGGCCCATGTCCTGGTGACAGGGCAGTCGGATGTTGATGAACGCAGCAATGGACTGAACTATGGGTGAATGCTGACTGGTTGTGACGAAAAACTGCACGCAGCGCTTGTAGTGGGGGAACCAGCCCGTAGGATCCACGCGGCCAAACTCGCCTTCCTGCAGGACAGACTGGGCCTCTGGGTTGTTGAGGAGGGCATCCTCGAGGGCACGCCTGTCCGAGGAGCGTTCAGCATCCTGCTCGATAGATCCTGGACCAGGGCAAAACTTCTCAGAACTCAGGCCGTGGCGCACCCGGTGCGAAAGGCGGGACAATCGGGACCGCAGGGGGTGGGATCTCTTACTGGGATGGGCGGCTGGCTCGCGCGAGCAGCGATCGCGCATGTCCATACACGGAGAGCTTTCCCAGGACTCTCTTCCGGAACCCTGCATGCTCAGCGACATGATCGGTTGGGGGCATGTGTAGTTGTGAAGATAAAACGAGTTCAAAGTCAAGTGAAGTCGATGAGAATGAAAGGGCTATCATCAACCATGGGGGTGATGGGGCCTTATAGGTGTCAGGAAGATCCGTTCATCCATGACGGGCACGACGGACAGACCGAGGAAGAAAGGGTGAAAATGAGAGCAGCTCTGAAGATCCGATCAATAGAAGCATCAAGCCACATCCACCAGCCACGGACATGTCCGGTGTCCGTGCGTGCTTTTCTAATCCAAGGCTGTGGCTGTGTCCGGTGGAGATGATGTGCATTGTCGGCGAATGACAGCATCCCCAACACGGGCGGGGATCAATAGCAACTTCAATAGCGCCGACCCGACCACCAGGATTCGACCTGGATGCTCGCTAGCGGCAGATCACTGATCTTGCCCGGGGATGGCTGGCTGATGGGCGTCGCGGATGTATTCGGCCCATCTCACGGTCCCTGGATTAAACGTGGAAAAGAGGATGTAAGGGGGTGGACAGGGATGACCCCTGTTAGTTCGCGCATCGGGCTCCCCGTGGAATGACGCTAAATTCATCAAGACATCTGCCGAACTTCGATCTATACGATCTCGGCCCCCGCTTGTTTCCTTGGCTACTTATCTCAAATCATGTCCGAAGACATCGTGTTTAAAATGCAGCTTGCTCGCATCCTGCAGCTCAACATCCCCAACAAGTTTTTTTTTGGTAATCACAAGCCCACCATGAGCTACAAGAACAACTATGAGCTTCACGTCAGTATACCGAGGGCCCCACTGCCCTACCCTGCCCTAGCTGACCAGCTCACACAGAGCCGAGACAGGCTACATGACCGCCGTTCGCCACCCCCGGACGAACTGCTTGCCCCTCTGGCAACACTCTACCCGCATGTCGCAGCCCTACAGCTGCGGTATAACCCTAACAGCTGTACTTTCACGGGCTACCGCCACACAGGCTACTGGGCCTCAGCCTACACAACACAAGGCCTGGATGACCCATCGTCATCTGCACGGAAATATGGTGCGCGGTGCTGTCTGAGACATGTTTGACTTGTATACTAATCAGTTGCGCTGCAGACCAACAGCCCTGCCGCTTTGCCACTAAATTGCGTCGCTTCCTCAGTCGAGATGACCTCAAATACCGGCGACGATCTGAGTCAAACGCATAGTTTTGTATCTCTTCCGCCGCCGATATCTCTTTTACTTCGTCTGTTCGGTTAGCCTATGTCAGGGATGCACGCCCCCAGTCGCTTTTTTATTCCTCAACACGTCTCTTCTATTACTACAATGCTCTCTTCTAGAGAGGGATTAGCAAGGTGTTCTATGGTTTTTGTATGGGTATTGGTGTGGATATTTTTATTGTAGCGTTCTATTCTGAGCTCTGGATTGAGCATTTGATGTATATACAGGAATCTTACTTGAACAGATGAACAAACGAGACCATGGTTATACTCGAATATTTACTAAATCATGCATGGGTGTCGGTTGTTGCCCACCGATTGAGTAGGGTGTCTTTGCTCCAGACAAAATCTTCCGTATGGGACAGGACTATAGACACTCAGGTGGCAATCATAGCGGAAATCCAACACAAAAGCTTGCTATAGATTGTGAAAAGAAAAAAACAAAAAAAGCAAAAGAAGAAACTCACTTGAAACCATGACCTGCATCGCGCCGATCCTTCGCACCAGCCATCGCCTCCTCTCCCAAACGCCGATCGACAAACTCCACCAAGCAACCTGAAGGAAGCCACGCCCACCCAACCTACCACAGGGCAGGGCTCAGTGCTAGCTGACTAAATATTCATTCTGCGCCACAGTTTCCTGACTACAAGCAACCTTGTCTTTCCCTTTATGGAAAATCTTGCATATTACGGTGGAAATATATTCGCCCGCATTCCCACAGCCTCTAATGCACAACTAAAACCACTATATCGTATATCACATTATATCACAGTGGGAAAGCATAAACCCAAATACAAATCAATCCTGTTTCAATATGCGTGTGTGGAGCAATAATGAAAGCTCATCAGATCAGTGCTACGCTTTTTCTCCGGCCGACCGATTTTATGATCTGAGGCCCGGGCCGCGAGTAACCCAATAGCGCCAACTCAAACTCTTCCTTATGCCCCTACTCCTTTCCTGCCCTGGCAGCCACGCGTCAGCCCATATTCCTCAGATCGAATAATGAAAAGGATTTGGAATACCTTGTCTATCCCCCTGCCCCGTGGGGTCTATGTTAGTGGTAACCTAAACTGATGATGCCATTTTGCATATTTTCTTTTTCATCCTCCTTCCCTTCAGTATTACTACCTTCTATTGCAACGTTGTCTCCTATCTTTATGGAAGTTCTAGACCGCTATCAGGGGGACGGTGATCATACGGATGGTGATCATGATGATCTGTTACTTGCGCCATGGGGACATTGCCCTGCATGGTCTGCCAGGCCGAAAACTGAGCTACGGGGCGATGTCACTTCCCTGTTTCATATCCACTACAGACACCGGTTTTGCTATTAAGGGTGATGGCTGTCAGAACGCCAGCTTGCAAGAGACTCGGTTGACATGCACTGTACCCAGTCTGACTGACTGATTTCTTGTCTATGTCACAAAAAGCCTTTTGAATACCTTTATTTGCAAAGTCCCCTGAACAGGGATGACTGTCTACCTGACCCTTGGAGTTGAGCTGAGCATATGATTTTCAAGTTATAGTATCATACTTCATATTGATTTGTACTCTCGCTAGCGGTTTCATGGTTTTTCTTAATTAGCTCATCCTGTTTATGTACCTTGCGCGTCAATGATTCAAGTGGGCATATCTGTAGTAACCCAGTTTGATACTGCGGCACGGAGAGTGTCCCTAACGCAACCCATCATCTATACCTACTTTGTATTGGGAAATTATAAAAGAAATGCCAACGGAAGCCAACAGAGATTAATCCAGCTACTATGTACAGATGCTTAACTTCAAGTAATCATTAACTATCGAGGGTAATACGAACAAATGAGCTAAACCCCAAAAGGAGAGTGGGTATAGAAGGGAAACATATACATTGCAACACCGTCACCAGGACTTTCCCAAGCGAACAGAAAACAAGGCTCTCATGTCACAGCCCCATTTGCTCCAACGAGGAATAAATAAGAAGAAGAAACGCCAATTTTGAGGAGACTTCGTCCTTATGCATCGAGACTGACTCGGTTCCAGACTTGTCAAACTGGAAAGAAACAAAAGAGAGAAAAGGAAAAAACGTTTAGCATAATTATTTGGTCTCATCTTGATCATCCCTTGATATTCATGATTGCATAATGCTGGCCGATCCAGCCGCAGCGGTGCCCCAGCGTAGTCGCTTCAGGCCTCCGCGGACAGCTTCCTGGCCGCACGCAGCCGATGATGGCCGGGCGCCAGGAACGCCTCCGTCGCCCATGATTCCTACTTCGGTTCGTCCTACCTCCCGACCAATCATGTAGCCTGCTGAGAAGCTGATGGCGGAAAATAGAACTACGACGCCCGCACTGATGACCCACGTCATGATCGTGGGGCTGACTGCGGTGGTTGAGTCCGTTATGCTGGCGCGGCGGCTCTTCTTTGATGCGGCGCCGCGCTCTTTAGGAGAGGTAGACCGACGTTTGGCTTTGGAGACGGCGGGACCGGCGGAAACCGCGGGGCCGTGTGGGTGTCGTCGTGGTAGGGGTGGTCCGATGGATGGGCTGGTTTCTGTGTAGGGAGTCGACGATGGTGGTTCTTCGCCGCCACTTTCCTCTCCCATGGCGACCGATTCGCCTACAAGGCGGAATGTTGATGGCTGTGCGCCTGACGGGCCAGAAGACGAGGGTTGAGGGTCGGGCTTGGGAATTCCTCGTGCAGCCGCGGCGCACGAAAGCAAGGTGGACAAGCTCGCACGAAGGGCTGCGTCGTGGTCGGCATGGTGGGAAGGTGATATCATGTTATAAGGGCTGTGTTGAGGTGGATGCCTGCGCGACGGACCCATAGTGGGATAAGAGTCTCTTCGAATCGCGGTACGACGACTGGAGTTTGACAAGACACTGGGTTGAGACCGGCGAGAATCGGTAGGCCGAGTCCAGGAGGGATGCTGCGTGACTGGCGGGTGTGTGAAGACATTGGGTTGAGGTACGAATGGAGATTCGCTGATGCGCATTCCTAGTGCGGTGGAGGCGTCATCTTCATCGCTGGATGATGCTGCGTCAAACTGGGCCGAGGGTGGCTGAGTGGGGAGTGGTGCGCGGATACGGGGGCGGCCGATCTCTTCGTTGGAACTGCTGAGAATCCGATCTGACTCGCTTTCACTTTCTTCGTATTCCTCCTGACTGCTGCTTGTGAGGCTGGCTTCTCGCGAGGAATAGTCTACCTGAGCCGTCGTGACCGCTGCCAGGCGTTGCAGACGGCGTCGTCGACTGCGGTGATGGTATGCGCCTGCTCCGCGATGCTCGACCCGCAGGCCAGTGGTAATGATATCATCGTTCGTGGCAGCGGATGATAGGGATGAAGATGATGGTTGTGAGGATACCTCGATCCAGGAGTCTATATAATAGCGAAGTGAGTACATTGCGTTGCGATAAGGCATGGTGAACTCGATCGACAGGGGGAGAAGAAGTGCAAGAGGGTCGAGCGGTATAAAAGGGACAACATACCCTCTGATCTCATGGGTGCAGCACCAGACACTGACCGTGGCTGACCAGCGTTCTCGCGAGGCGGCTGATGGCCATCGCGCGTCATCCGACTTGCGGCTCTGGGCTCATGCACCTGACCTAGGAGGTCGTAGTGATTGGGTTGCATGGTCAGTTGAGGAGGGTGGAGGGAGAGAAAGAAAGAAGAGACGAGGAGAAAATGTTGATAAGAATAGGGATAGAGTGTTGAAGAGAGCCGGGGTGGGCTGATGGAAGAGGGACTGAGCGGTCAAGAACGTGGGGACGATTTATCTTATCAAGCTGGAGATCAGGATCCACTCCATCCCTGTGGTGCCCAACGTGGTCAGTCAGTGTGTTGCCAGGGCTGGATTTCAGTTGGTCCCTGAAAATCAGAGGCTCACCCGAAAGATGTGGCAACTGACTCTGAGAATGGTTGAGTGGGAGAGAGAGAGAGGGAGAGGGAGGGAGAGAGAGGAAGAAAGAGGGAGGGAGAGCACGGCAGAAGGGATGATCAGGTGAGATCAGCAGACGGAACAGGTGATGTGCAGAAGGGACCCCGTGATCTGCAGAGAGCAGGCAAGGAAGGAGAAAATATAAGAACAACGAGGACAGCAGGAAGGAGGAGAGGAATAGTTGCTAAGAAGAAGACAGAGAGACCAGACCAGGCAAGACAACGAGAAGAACCCAAGGCCCAGACTGCGGGGAAGCCCGTGCTGAAGGGGGCAGGCGGACGGGGCTGGCAGTATACGGCAAGTATATAGATGACGTCGAGAATTCAGAAGTAGATGGATTCAATTCGTAAGAGAATAATAACAGCGAATAATACAGAACTTTTTAGATCGTCGCACAAATCAATAATTAGAGTCATAGCCACGCCAGGTTAGTAGAAAGACCAGAACAGAGAAAAAGGTAATGCTTAGAAGGTAACCTTGGTGCCCTTGTACTCAGGGATGCTGCCCTTGCCCTTGTTGAAGCCACCACGGCCACCACGGTCGCCGAAGCCACCACGGCCTCCACGACCGCCACGGCCACCACGGTCACCGAAGCCTCCACGGCCTCCACGGCCACCGCCACGGCCGCCGAAGCCACCACGACCACCGCGGTCGCCACCGTTGCTGGGACGGGGGGTGCTGAAGTCCAGGCGCATAGCACGGCCCTCGAGCTCCTGGCCAGCCATAGCCGAGTGGGCGGCCTGAGCCTCCTCGACGGACGAGAACTGGACGTAGCCGAAGCCCTTGGGGCGGCCGGTCTCCTGGTCAGTCGGCAGGCGGATGCCCAGGATGCTGCCCTGCTCGCCGAACACGTCGCGGAGAGCGTCCTCGGTAGCGCTGAACGGCAGGTTGCCGACGAACAGAGTGTCGCTGGCAGGGCTGGTCTGGTCGCCGTAAGAGCGAGCACGAGCCTGGGCGCGGTCACCGCCCTGCTGCTGGTTGTTCTGGCGGCCAGTGGCGTAGTCGAGGTTGATGGTACGGCCATCAAGGTCGGTACCCTTCTTGGCCTCCATGGCCTTGGCGGCATCGGCAGCATCGGTGAACTCAACGTAACCGAATCTGGGAAACACGGGTCAGCGATCAATCTAGATACAATCGTAGTAAAGGCGACTTACCCGCGAGAGCGGCCGCTGTCACGGTCAGTGACGATGCGAACGCCAGACAGCTCTCCGAACTCGGAGAACTCGCGCTGAAGCCACTCCTCGTCGACGTTCCACGACAGGTTGCCAACGAACAGATTGGGCGAGGCGCCCTCGGGAGCGGGAGCAGTCTTGGTCTTCTTCGCAGCCACTTCAGGCTCGTCATCAGCCTTGCGCTTCTTGGAGGCCTTGGCAGTATCCTCGCTGTCAGACTCAGACTCGGAGCTGTCAGAGTCATCAGAGCCAGACTCGGACTCGTCGGAGGAATCCTGTCGAATTCAAATTAGTGATGCGTGATAAACGGGAGAGAGACCAGTAACTTACCTCCTTGGCGTCCTTCTTGGCAGGCTTCTCATCCTCAGACTCCGACTCGGACTCAGAGCTGTCGCTGGAGTCGGCCTTGGCAGCGGCCTTCTTGGGAGCTTCCTCCTCAGACTCCGACTCAGATTCCGACTCGGAGGAAGACTCAGCGGCCTTCTTCACCTCCTTGGCAGCAGGCTTCTCGTCCTCCGACTCGGACTCAGACGACTCCGACTCGGATTCAGAGGAAGACTCAGCAGCCTTGGCAGCAGGCTTCTTCACCTCCTTCTTGGCGGGCTTCTCGTCCTCGCTCTCACTCTCGCTGCTGCTAGAGGCATCCTTCATGTCCTCATCGCTGTCGGACTCGGACTCGGAGCTGCTAGGAGTGGGCTCCTTCTTCTTCTTGTTCTTCTTCTCGTCCTTGGCAGCGACCTTGCTAGCAACAGCCTTGCTCTTGGTCGACGAGGACTTGGACGCCTTAGCGACACCAGCGTCCTTGACCTTGCTCAAGGTCTTGTTGGGCTTCTCAGCCTTGGTGGAAACCTTCGTCTTCGACATCTGGGCCAGACAGTGTTAGTGGTGAGGATCCAGATCAAGGGAGGACAAGACATACTGTAATAGATACAGATAAGATGTGTGTTTGGAATGTGCGGCAAAGCCTTCAACCCTCAAGAGCACCCGATTTGGATGTGTGTGATAGTAACCCTCAGTAACCCGCAACCGACAGTGTTCAAGCCCACAGAGACCGACAGGAGATACACAACTGTCTATAGTATGAAACCCACGAAAAGAGCCCAAGGAATAGATTTGCAGTATTCAAGCCCACGATATGATCAGCCCACAGAGATGTCTGTTGAAGTACTTGGAAAGTACAGCCCACGCTACTCAGTTAGTGAGGAGAAGGTTTTGCAGGGGATGGTCACCTTAAGAGGAGAACCAACAGAATGATAGGGAAAGGGGAAGGGGAAAGAGAAAAAGTTGGATGAGAGTGTGAAGGAAGAGAAAAAAAACTCCGGAGGCAGGACAGGGGAAAAAAAAAAAAAAAAGTCAGAGGCTGTCGCGCTGACCGCCTTCCTGGTCGGGGTTAGCGGAAGGAACAGACCCAGCAGAATGCGAAGTGGGTGGGTACCTGTGCTGGTCTTGCTCCGGACAACGCGTATCTGGCACCTTCACTACTCACGCTCCCTCACTCCAATTCACCCACTTTCTCTCATCCATAACCGCTGACTCTACAACTGATGTGACGGGGCTGAGCTGCCAATTGGCCTGTCCTCTCATCTCCCACAATGGCCCCTTCAACCCCATCGTCGCATCGGCCGCGGCGCAAGAGACAGCTCCACACGACCACTTCCACCACCGCCGCGACCACCACTACGCCTCGCTTGAACAACAATCTCATTCTGCATGTGGGAGCGGGAAAACAGGAGCCTGCCTTCCCACTGGTCTCGTTCCTCTGGGCGGCCCGAGCGGGCGTTTCGCAATGGCTGATCCTGCCTCTCACGCTCATGGCCGTCGGTCTCTTCCGGTGGGCAGTTGGGCTCTGGGGCTACTCGGGTAGGTTCGGTCATATCACTGGGCTTGTTGTGAGGTCTAACACCTTCTAGGATTCCAGGTTCCACCGATGCATGGAGACTTTGAAGCGCAGCGACACTGGATGGAGCTCACCATCCACCTGCCCACCTTCAAGTGGTATCTCTATGACCTGCAGTACTGGGGACTCGACTACCCTCCCTTGACTGCGTATCACAGCTGGCTAGTGGGCAAGATGTAAGTTTCTCGGCGCAGATTCGGTGGACTATGATAACTGACCTGCATAGTGGCTCTGTCGTTGATCCCGCCTGGTTTGCCCTGGATGCTTCCCGTGGCTTTGAACATCCTAACCTGAAAATCTTCATGCGCGCCACCGTCGTGATCTCCGAGTACCTGGTCTACATCCCCGCGGTCGTCAATTTCCTCCGCCGATACACTCGCATGCAGGGCGTCCATGCATGGTCCGCATCGATTGCATTGGTTGCCATTCTCCTCCAGCCTGCGACTATCCTCATAGATCATGGTCATTTTCAGTACAACACAGTGATGCTGGGCCTGGTGGTTGCCAGCTTGGATGCGATTCTGGCCGGTCGCATGCTCTGGGCCTGCATCTTTTTCGTGGGTGCATTGGGATTCAAGCAGATGGCACTCTACTATGCTCCGGTTATGTTCGCTTATCTCCTGGGCGTCTGTGTGTTCCCCCGGATTCGGGTGCTCCGGCTCGTTGGCATCGCTCTGATCACGATCGCCGCTTTTACCCTCCTTTTTGCCCCTCTCCTGGTCGGCGCAACGAGTGCTGAGGCTCGGAAAGCGTTTTCTGTGGCTCAGCCCCCGCCCTTGCTCCAGTCACTGCCAATTGCGGTGGACAAGAACTCCGTAGTGTACGCGATTCTCTTTCAGCTGACACAAACCATCCACCGAGTGTTTCCCTTCGCCCGGGGTCTGTTCGAGGACAAAGTTGCCAACGCATGGTGCGCCATCCATACTTTCTACAAGCTGAATCGCTTCGATACCGGATTGCTTCAGAAAGCTTCGCTGGGGGCTACGGTGGTTTCGATTTTCCTCCCCTGCGTCATCATATTCCGGCACCCGCGTGCGTCTCTGCTCCTTCCTGCTCTGGCCTGTGTCTCTTGGGGATTCTTTCTGTTTTCTTTCCAGGTACACGAGAAGAGTGTCTTGCTGCCCCTCCTTCCCATGACCCTTCTTCTGGCCGGGGATGGTGGTCTGAGTAAGGAGATCCGCGCATGGGTGGGCTGGGCCAACGTCCTGGGCTCATGGACCATGTACCCGCTGCTGAAGCGCGAGGACCTCCGCGTGCCGTACATTGTTATAACTCTTCTGTGGGCCTATCTCATCGGTCTTCCTGTTTTCTCCTGGGAGACGTACCGCAGTCGAGGCTCACCGGAAATCTGGACTCTCACCAAACTCGTGCATTTCAGTTTCTATCTTGCGATGATTGCCTGGCACGTCCTTGAAGCGTGGGTGCCTCCGCCAGCGAGCAAGCCGGATCTGTGGGTCGTCTTGAACGCCCTCATCGGCGCCGCTGGCTTCGGAATCGCCTACCTATGGTGTCTGTGGAAGTTGATCTGCCACAGCTGGCCCAGCAGCCGCAACCCAGCCAAGGAGATCACTCCGAAGAAGCAGTCGTGAGGCGGGTGATTTATTTTTTTGCCAAGGGCGGCAGTCGTGTATGTTGAATTGATACCCCATTTAGAGGAGGACCACAAAAGACTTTGTGCTAGCACATTCCAAAATTTGAATCTATTTTTCTGAAAGAGCTGGGATAGGTGTATTCGTAAATCCTGCGCCTAGTAGTGATAGATCTTATCTACAGAATCCAATAAAACTCCAGCCCGTAAATGCTATGGTACAATAATGCAGTATAATACACTTCACGGTCACAATCCTGGGATCAGACCTTGAATCCAAACCCAGCCATGCAGGTCTTGTACTGCTCGATCATCGGCTTGCATTCCTGGGTGGGATCGTCGGTCTTGGAAAAGAGCATGCAGTCGTCGCGGGCGGTCTTTTCGGTCTTGCACACGCAACAGGGCTGGTAGTCTGTTAGTTTTGCGCCTGGGTTCGAGTCGTTGGGGTTGGATAGGTAGTCTCGGAACATACCTTGGGCTTCTCGGATTGGGCGGGTTGAGCTGGTGCCTGGGTTTGAGAGGCGGCGGTGGTTTTTTCTTGATAGCGAAATAAATGTGTTAGTGAGTTCGCGATCAAGGGTACAAGCACGATCTTGCGCGAGCATGGGCTGACAATGGATGACTGCGTTTATAGGGGGGGCATTGAATGGACTTACCACCTGAACCGAAGAACCCGAAGAGCGACATGGCTGGAAATTGGACTGAAGACAAGCAGACAAGAGAACGAAGGTGAGCAAGTAAGTGAATAGCAGGAGTCAAACAAGACAAGAGACTCTCGGAGAGAGAGACTGGATGAATTAGTAATGGCAAAACTGCGCTGCTGTTCCCTGCTGTCCGCCGTAGATCTTTTTTTGTTATCACCGGCCAAAACAGACGGGTTCTTGCCTCCTTTCTGCCCTGCCTTCCTCGTCTTGGATTTTGGTTTTTGACTCCGTGGGAACTTTCCTTCTATCCTAATACGTGGGTTTTCTCTTCTTTGTTTCTCTCATCCTCCCACCGAATTCTTTCAATCCCCAGTGCCACTACCCCCGCCATGGCCCCTCCAAAGGTTTTCTCGCTCGAAGGCAAAGGCCTCAAACTCGACACCGCGGAGGATATCGACGCCCACATCAAGCCTCTCGTTGAGAGTGCTGACTACACGGAGATCCATTTCGGCGGTAACACCCTGGGTGTGGGTGCCTCGGAGCGTCTGGGTGCTGTCCTCGCGACCCAAAAGAACCTTGAAGTTGCCGATTTCGCCGACATCTTCACTTCTCGCTTGCTGTCGGAGATCCCTCCCGCTCTGACCTCCCTCCTGAATGCAATCCTCGAGATCCCGGCCGTCCACACCGTCAACCTATCCGACAATGCCTTCGGTCTCAACACGCAGGCGCCCCTCGTTGACTTTCTTTCGCGCCACACCTCGCTCCGCCATCTGATCCTGAACAACAACGGACTGGGTCCCCATGCCGGTACGCTGGTGGCCGATGCCCTGAGCGAACTCGCGGAGCGCAAAGAGGAGGCCCGTAAGGCCGGCAAGGAGGTTGCGCTGCTGGAGAGCATTGTCTGTGGACGGAATCGTTTGGAGAATGGCAGCATGGAAGCATGGGCGCGTGCCTATGAGAAACACGCGGCCGGTATCAAATCCGTGAAGATGACCCAGAACGGTATTCGGCAGGAGGGTATTTCGCATCTGTTGAAGAGCGGTCTTCGCCACGCGAGCGCCCTCGAGGTCTTGGACTTGCAGGACAACACCTTTACCATTATGGGATCCACGGCTTTGGCAATGGTTCTGCCGGGCTGGCCCGAACTGCGCGAACTGGGCGTTGGTGACTGCCTGCTGTCTGCACGTGGTGGTGTCAAGGTCGCTCAGGCTCTGGGGAAGAACAAGAACCAGAAGCTCCAGACTTTGCGGCTGCAGTACAACGAGATGAAGGCGGAGAGCGTGAAGCAATTTGCCTTTGCGGCCAAGACAGCACTACCCGGTCTGCGCCGTGTGGAACTCAATGGAAACATCTTCTCGGATGAGGATCCTCACATCGTGGAGCTGCGTGAGCTGTTGGAGGGTCGCCAGGAGGAGCATGGCACTGATGACGACCCTGAGGATAGCTGGGGTCTTGATGAGCTGGACGAGCTCGAGGAGGAGGGTAGCGAAGAAGAGGAGGAGTCGGAGGAGGAGGAAGAAGAAGAAGAGCGCAAGGCCGACAAGGATCTGAAGAACACCGAACTCGCCGAGGAGGAGGAGGTTGCGCAGAAGCAGGATCGGGACGTCGACGCGCTGGCCGAGGCCCTGGGCAAGACTGGTGTGTAGGCCAGGCTGTCTGTTTTGCTGCCATCCCATTCATGGGTCCCCGTCCATCTGCGTCTTTCAGCCTGAGTTTTGAGTGACGACACTTACGCCCCAAAGCCGCCCTCCCATATACCCCCGTCGGCCACGACTGCACATAATCCCATCCCACAAAAATCACGCATAGCCATTCCCAGTGTCTTGCTTGGAGGATACAACACTTTCCCATAGACGTGAATACACTTTGGACTATTTATCATAACAGTGTGTATTGTTAACTTTTATCATGGTCTTGTTAGAAGTATAGTTGGTGAGAATGCGGAATCCACTGCCGAATTGGCTTGGCATCAAACCTCCCAGACCCGAAGAGAGAAAAAAGAACTTTGCTTCTTCATCGCCCGCCCATCCACCATCTCTCTCCTTTCCCTCCTCTCTTTCACCCTCTTTGACACAATCCTCTCTCTCCTTCTCTCTTTCTCTTTCCTCTGCTATACACCTTTCTCGTCCGATCGCTGCGACCGCAGGATTCTCCTGGAGTGAGTGCCCAACCCATCCCCCCTCACCCTCCAGTTCCTCCATACCGCATAACGGCGGGTGCAAGCGGAGTTGTACGCGCATTGTTTCTTTGCTTTTGTCTCTGGTCTATGGCAATAAGAAACCTCTGGATGGAAAGCGAACATGACACGTGCGGTTGACGAGGGAGAGCATACTCGACCACAGACGTCTGACCGGGCGGGATCATCTGGAAGAGGGATGCTTCCGCTGTTTGAATTATCATACGTGTGCGGCGGGCAAGATTCTGCGATGCGCTCTCTGGACCCAAAGGCTGAGTGAACGTTTGACTAACAGGACCGTTGCGCAGTTTGTGACCCGCTCTATTATCTACGCATACGCTCTTTATTATTATACCACCCGAATCGCACATCACATCCTCCCTACCCGTGGCCATGGATGCCAAAGAGATCGACGCCAAGGCGAAGTCCTTGACCAAAGCCGCGACGCAGAATGAGCCCGCATCGGTGATCCTCAACATGCTCAAAGATTTACAAAAGGGGGTGCGGGCAACAGAAGACCTGCTTCGACAGACACGCATCGGCATCATCGTCAACAAATTCAAGCAGCACAAGTCCCCCGAGGTGGCACGGCTGTCGGGCGAGATCGTGTCCAAGTGGCGGAACGAGGTGAACAAGCAGAAGACGGGCGGCGCATCGGCCGCAAACCGAGGATCCAGCGGGTCGCCGCGGCCAGCACAGAACGGGGCGGCCACGCCCTCCTCAACCACGACGTCGGATAAGGCGTCGAAATTGTCCGTGCCGCCGGACAAGCGCACATGGAAGGCGGACGCAGTGGACATCAACCAGACGGGCAACAAAGTGCGCGACAGCTGTTTGGGGCTGATGTATGACGGGCTGTGTGTGGGATCGACAGATTCTCCGAAGGCGGTTCTCGCCAAAGCGTCTGCTGTGGAGGCCGCGGCATACGACACGCTGGGCCCCGAGACGAAGGAGCAGTACCGCACGAAGATCCGCAGTCTCTTCCAGAACCTGAAGAACAAGTCGAACCCGATGCTGCGCGTGCGCGTGATGAGCGGCGAGATCACCCCGGACCATTTCATCCGCATGACACACGACGAGCTGCGCTCTGCGGAGCAGCGCGACGCCGACGAAAAGATCAAGAAGGAGAACATGGACAAGGCCATGGTTGCACAGGCCGAGCGCAGCATCAGTACTAGCTTGCAGTGCGGCAAGTGCGGTCAGCGGAAGGTGACCTACACTGAGGCCCAGACGCGCAGCGCCGACGAGCCGATGACGCTGTTCTGTACGTGTCTGAACTGCGGCAAGTCGTGGCGGCAATGAATCTTTGACAACTGGGGAGAGACAGAAGTGTACTATCTTATTTTTTCCTTTCCTTTCCGGGGAGTGGATTCGGTGTTTTTCCCATGCTTTTTGCTCTTTTCCGACTGCGTTTTTTGCGATCTGGGCCCTGGCGGCGGTTCTGGAGTTGAAAATACATTTTGAATCTAGGCGATGATCGATTATCTATCACCTCTCTGGATTTCCTAGAATCGAATCCATTTGATCAACGTCATGGTTATGTAAGGGCGTTGCTGAAATGCAACTATACATCAACTCTGTTTCAACTCCAACCCTGCCTATCTATCTATCCATCTATAACCAGAAACAAACCAAAAAGGATGACGCCAAGAACCACCCTCCTCGAACCCGTCCGTTCCCTCTGCAATGCCTTCACCACGCACGCACCAGTCTCAACCCTCCTCTCAACGTTCACCACTCAACCAACACCGCTAGTCCACGAGCACGGCCTCCCCCAACTAGCCCCCTTCCTCGGTCACACCTTCAGTGGCACAGACGGAGTAGCGCGGTATTTTGAACTCCTCGCGGACCTAATAGAGATCTCAGACGTGACCTTCGAACCAGACGACAACTGGCTCGTCGACGACGCATGCATGTGCGTCTCGCTGCGTGGGTCTGCGACTTTTAAATGGAAGGCCACCGGCCAGGCATGGGATGAGACTTTCATGTACCGCATTGCGTTGGCGACAGATGCGAGCCGTGACCCCGGGAAGAAGGGGAAGCTGCTTGTTTGGGAGTATATGATTTGGGCTGATACGGGTGCCGCGTATCTGGCCAGATTGGGGCGGTTGGGCGAGCTGGTTACTGGAGATGGAGAGGCGGGGATGGGGAAGGGGAAGGGTGTTGTGGAGGGGATTCATGTCCCTGGAATAGACAAGGTAACGACGGACGGGGCGGAGGGGACGGAGACGAGGAGTAGTCGGGATCGAAAGAGGAGTGGGTGTCAGGATGTGCTCGGTGGAGGACTAAATGTGTACGGATCTTGTGGATGACGAAGGTATTCTTTTTCAGAATCAACGTTATGTACCTCCTACATCATCAATGTCCTTTCCCCTGCGCAGTCTCCCAATCAATCCACTGCACATCCCCAAACCGGCCCTCTGGATCCTGGAACACCGATGCCGGCGTGCTGTACGGCTCATAACCCCGACTATCGAGCAGCGTATCAACACCACCATCAACACGACCGGTCCTATTAAATCCAGGTCCGAAGACATCATACTCCGCCATGAAAGTAATCCCGGGCTCATAGCGGCCAACACCATCAACAATCCAATCAATATATCCGCTCGGCTCAATACTAGCATCTTCATAGGTACGCGCAAAGATGGACCGCTGCTGGCTGTTCCACGGCCGGCCGAGAGCGCAGGTGCCCTTAATCTCCGCGGCGACGGAGGCGTTTGCCGCGTGCACGTTCGAGTCGACGATATAAATCCCGTACTTGTTCTCGAAGGTGGTGTTGGTGCCTTTCCACGCTGTGATTCCGCCGCCGCACCCGCGGAGGAGGACTTCGGAGGATTGGATCCAGGCTGTGCCGAAGCCGTATAAGAAGTCCGTTTGGCCGGCCAGAATGCTCTTGTAGAAGTATGCATTTCCCAGTTTGCCCACGTAGATCTAGTTATGACACCGTTAGCTGGAATGGCCGGGGGATACCAATACAGAACACATTGAAAGGGGACAGACAGTATCCTGATACGAGTAGAACCCGCAATAATAAAACCCGCCATTAGCACGACTAAAGCTCAGCGCATGCGCCGGGCCAGCCGAATACTCGGCATACGTGTTCGTGAAGTCGATATTATAAGCGCGGAAGTCACGGTTCCCAAACGGCGTATCATCTGGCACGGGATATCCCGTGGTGCCGGAGCCAGTAAGACTCGCATCCAGGGTAGGCGCAACGATCATCACGCTTGAGTAGACATTGTCGACGCTCTCGCCCGTGCTGTCCTCGTTCGCTGCATCCCAGGTGATGGTGACGCGGTTGGCCGCTGCATCGGACGGGGAAGTGGTCTCGCCGAGGAGGGTGATCGGACCAGAGCGAGTAATGTTGAGTTGTTCCTTGTAGGAGCCGGCGAGGATGAGGATTGTTTGGGTGGATGTGTCGTTGGGGAGGGAGTTGATTGCTGCTTGAATGGTTGTGAAGTCGGCGTATTTGTCTGATGCCGAGACAACGATTGTCCCGTAGGGGCAATGGGCGCTAGAGGCCTGGCATTGTTGGCGGGATGTGCTGCTGTGCTGCTGCTGGATGGCGGCAGAGTGCGCCCAGATGGTATGGATGGCTAGAACGAGAAGAGACAGGAGATGTAGACGGGCCATATTGGCAGCCACGGGGGTTTGTTTTGTGCAATGAAAAGCTCGATGGAAGAGCCCGTTCTTATATACACTACTTCACGCTTGTAAATAAACGGGAAGTCATTATGGTGCAGGAACGGACGGAAAATCTTGTCTTCTCATACAAGTTGGCGGCTACTGGGATAGGCCGAATCGCCAGGGCGAGAGATCCACCAGCGAGAAGTCGAGCAGTCATTGTGCACGGTCAATCATCTTCTCCGCAGATTAACTGGTTGAAGAAGACAGGGGACGGTAACCCCCGCGTGGAGAACCGCCGGGCCACGGAAGACGGAGATGCGACGGAGAAATGACTTCCGCCTGTAAGAAGAGAGAGCTGGAGTTTGAACTCGCAGTCAGAATTAGATTTAGTGAGTTATTATTGTGAACAGTAATCATTAGAATCCCTTGTTGATTGACTAAGTACCACTATTAATGACATACATACACGTAGAGAAAGAAAACTTGACTCTTTATCAACCCGGGAGCAAATGGAGATCAAGGGGTAAATGAAACACAAAGTCTATGATACGAAAGAAAGGAAGAGAGAAAAAGAAAAGACGGCACCCGTCCCCTTTTTTTCAGCTCTCCCACGGGCATGCATGTCTCCAGATAGATGGCAGCATAGGCGATGGTGTGTAGTATTATCGCGAAGGGGTCACGAGAGAGAGAAAAAAGGAAAAAAGAAAAGAGAGGGCCTCGGTTCAGTATCGAGCCCGGAAAAGCGTGGCAGGATAGAGGAGTAAGTATCTACTCGTCGTCCTCGACATCCACGGCGCGGGCGCCGAGGGTGTACTGGGACTTGCCATCCTCCAGCAGCTCGTGCTCGATGGCCAGCTTGGACAGGTGGGCGATCATGTTCTCGATCTGGGTGTCAGCCTTGGAGCGGGTCTTGCGGCCAAGGTTGTCCAGAGCCGGGATGATGGACAGGATGTAGTAGACCACGGCGATGATGACGGTCACACCAATGGAGTAACCCCAGATAACAACGACGGTGACAATGGAGGTATTGGCGTTCTTCGAGAACATCGGGCCAGCAGGATCCTTGGGGTGGGTCTGCTCAAACTCGCCGCCGGCGAGCCAGCCGAAGAGACAGAACAGGGTGGCCAGGACATCGACCACGAAGATGGCACCAACCAGCTGCCACGAGGGCCAGGTCTTACCGCCACGGGTGACGAAGATGAGCCAGTTCTCAGTAAGGGCGATCTCGAGGAACAGAATAGGTTGGGGCGAACCGAAGTTCTCGATGATACCACCATTCTCCAGGAACATAGTGGCACGGATGATCCAGGTGGCGGCAGCGAGCAAGATACCCAGGACGATGGAGATGACCCAGATCTTGGGCAGCTGCCACTCGACGGGGCGGGCCTCGAAGTGAGCGTTGTCGTAGGCGACGGCGATGGTGGCAAGATCAGCGAACAGGGCAATGAAGACGATCAGCTCGGAGCGGACGGTCTCGTCGATGATGATCATCGAGGTGACCAGGTAGATCTCGAGGTGCAGGCACAGGGCGATACGGTACTGGATGTAAGCCTTCATGCGCTGGAAGATCTGACGGGCCAGCTTGATGGCATCGACGATGGTCGACAGACCGGGGGCCAGGAAGACGATATCGGCAGCGGCTTGAGCGGCCTCGGTGGAGCCCTCGACGGCAATACCGCAGTCGGCCTTCTTCAGGGAGGGAGCGTCGTTAACACCATCACCAGTCATGGCAGTCAAGTGGCCACGCTGCTGGAGCATCTCCACGACCTGGTACTTGTGCTCGGGGAAGACCTCAGCGAAACCATCAGCCTTCTCGACCAGGTCGTGCTGGGCGGAGCCAGCCAGACCACCGTGGATGAGGCGCTCAGAGTTGTAGACCTTGGTACCGAGGGCCAGCATCTTGCAAGTCTCCTTGGCGATAGCGATGGCGTCACCAGTCAACATCTTGACGGACAGACCCAGGTGCTGGGCCTCAGCGATGGTGTGGGCGGTATCCTCACGAGGGGGTCGAACATGGGGTACATGCCCAGCAGCTGCCACGGCTCACCCTCCTTCTGGACGGCAACACCGAGCGAACGGAAACCACGGCGAGCGAACTCGCTGGCCTTGTCACGGTAGTGCTTAGCCTCCTCCTCGGTGCATTCAGACAGGTTCAGGATAGCCTTGGGGGCACCCTTGGCGCAAGTGTAGCGGACACCGTCGCAGGTGCAGACAGTGGTGATACGCTTGGAGACGGGGTCGAAAGGAGTGTACTTCTCGGTAACCCAGTTACGCGAGAGAATCTCACGGGCCTTGGGGTAGCGACGGAGAGTCAGGACGGTGACCTTGTCAATGGGGTCCAGGTTCTTGACGTTGTGGGACGAGGCAATGGCGGCGACAGCCATCATCCAGTTGACATCAACGCCCTCGGCGCAGTAAGGCTCACGGATGGACAGCTGGTTGGCAGTCAGGGTACCGGTCTTGTCAGAGCACAGAATGTCGACACCAGCGAGGGACTCAATGGCGGTGAGCTTCTGGACAATAGCCTTCTGCTCAGCCAGGTAGGCGGCACCGACAGCCAGGGTGGTGGTGGTGACGACAGGCAGACCGACGGGGACACCGATGATCAGGAGAATCAGAGTGTAGTGGAGCAAGTTGTTGTCGCTGTTCTCAGGGGTGGCGATCTTCAGGTGACGGAAGAAACCACCAATCCAGGCAGCGAGAATCCAGAACATGACCAGAACGAGGAGCGAGGTACCGATGTTGTCCATGACAGCCTTGAAGTGACCCTGGTCCTTGGCGCCCTGGACCAGAGCGGCGGTCTTACCAACGAACGAGAAGCGGGCAGTGGCGGTGACAATACCGTAGGCCTTGCCACGCTTGCAACCAGTGGTGTAGTAGCAGGTATCAGCCATGTACTTGTCGACAGCGAGCGATTCACCGGTGATGGCAGACTGGTCAGCGGCAACGAGGGAGACACCCTGGTGGACCTCGCGGGCATCCTCATCGTCGTCATCCTCACCCTTCTCCTTGAGGGTGTCATCGTTGGCGTTGGCAAGGTACTCCTTGTAGGTCTCGTAGTTCTCGGGCTTGGAGTAGTCACAGATCAGGCGGACATCAGCCGGGACGACCTGGCCTTCCTCAAGAATGACCTAGATGCGTTGTTAGCAGGAGTTTCCATGGCAGAGGGTGCAGGGTAAGAAGAAAAAACATACAATATCACCAACAACCAGTTCACGGGCCAGGATCTCCTCCTCCTGACCGTTACGGACAACGATAGCGCGCATGGCGATATCACCCTTAAGCGAAGCCACCACGTCGGCGGCCTGCTTCTCCTGGTACCAACCGACCAGGGCGTTCAGCAACAGGATACCGCAGATGACACCCAAATCAATCCAGTCACGCAGACCAGCAGCGAGTAGAACAGCCAATTCCATGACTGTGAGAAAAACGCGTTAGTATCACGCGTTCCCGGGGTGCCGAATCGTCAATTGACCACTTACCATACAGAATGGGACCACGGAAGTAACCGATGAACTGGATGAAGATGTTGGTCTTCTCCGTCACCAGCTCGTTCCAGCCCGTGCGCTTGCGGCGAGGCTCGATGTCGGAGTTGCTCAGACCCTGGCGCAGCGAGGTCTCGAGCCACTCATCCGGGCAGACAAAGCCATCCTCAACACCGTCGCCCTTCTTGCCCCAGAACTTGTACCAGGGGCGCTTCTCGCCACCAGCACCGCTGAGGGCACCAGCGCTCGAGGTGGAACCACGACGGCCATCACGGGCGGTCGAGATGTAGCGGTTCAGAGCCGAGTACTCATCGAGGTTGCCGTCGTTGATGTCACCGGCCTCGCGGTGACGGTCGCCGTTCTCGACGTCGGGAGCATAGGAGATCCTCCGCTCCGCCATTGTTGCTGCTGCTTCGGCTCACAAAGCCTTCGGAACCCAACGATATGAGCAGATGCGAGCCAACACCAGGATGGCAGGGATGGCACGAGACGGAATGGTCCTATGGGAAGGAAAAGGAAAGGAGAGAAAAGAGAGTAACAACGGTTCGGGGGAGGGAAGGACTACTTTATAATACGGGAAAGCGAGGGAACCGGGTGGGTGTGTGGATAAGGAACGAAGTGAGCAGTGAGGGAAAAAAGAGGGAAAATTTGGGACCGAAAGGTATTTCAGACCAGACGCGGTACCTGGCCTCTCGCGGTCGTTGCTAGGGAAGGCGAGGTACCTGGACCCATTTTTTCTGTTATTTTTTTTTCCTTTGGGATGGGCAGTGGAGTCCTGCCCGAAACAGGGATAGCGCCGAACCAACCCGACGTAATGCCCATACACGGCACTGACCTGCCGAGGGTCGCCTCCACGCTCGGCCTACTATGCGCGATTTTTGGGCGCCGGGGAGTCCTGGAGGACAGCAGGCGTGGGCAGCAGAGGCTCAAGAGACCGCGAGAGTCGTCCAGGAAGCATTGCATCGGCCCGTTGCTCGATCGCGAAACCCCCCCGGGCGTGATGGCCAACGTGCGCGGAGCATTCAACAACATCGCTCGTGCAGGAGAATGTTGCTATATTCAGCCAAATGCCCCGTACCGTGTATCCCGATTCCCCCGTACGGGCCCATGGACCAGGTACAGACTCCCTCAAGGAAAGAACCGTCGCGCTCGTAGGTGATTACACCACTCCCGATCGCTCCGGTTGCTAGAGGGCCAGCCAAATTCATCGTAGACCCTCCCGATGTTGCCCATTACGCAAGGGGCACCCGGAAACAGCCACCACGGGCACTGTTTGCGGTTCGACCTAATCGCCACGCCCCTCTCCTCCACCCACGCACCACAACTCCTGCACTCTCGCCAACCATGGTCAAGATCGCCCTACCCTCGTGGGGAGAAAGGCAGAGCGTCATTTAATTTCGGGCGCTCTCACTGGCCCTGGGCGCCGGCAGACTGTGAGCCCCGGGCGAAGGTCGGTCGAATCACCAGGCGTAGGCGCGCCCCTGATGATTTCATCGCATTGTCGATCGGACCGCCATCGCGCGAAATGCACGGATCTCCCATACACACACGCGTTCCCGGTCTGGACATCACCAACGGGGCAGAGCTGCAGACCACTACGCCGGAACGAGTATCGGGGGGAGCTGAGCTATAAGGGTGCGAGATGGGGCCATGAACATCAGGCAGATCATTCGTGAGGAGCTCGACGGGAGGGAGTTACAAGGGCATACTACGCCAGATCCCGTCCAGCTGGCCGCCGCATCTGGGCAATTGCAACCCCAGGTTTTTGTCGACGACAATATGATAACTCCATAAGAATATTCGGTCTACCCGACTAGGCTGGACAAGGCGCACATCGCGGCTGTAAAGCCGTTTGCAATTGGAATTGCGATTGCTCCAATAGCACGAGGATCGCAATCACAGCAGAAAAAGCTATCGCGTGTCGTCATTTGCTGTTGGGGGTGTTATGGCCCCATCCCCGGTCGTCACCCTGAAATTTGCTAGAGCTAACGACAGACCCGGTCGGTTTCCCGAAACAGTTTGGCACAAGGCTGGCCTGGCTTCCTGCGAGCGAGCGGAGGCCCCCAACACTGCTCGCTGGGCGAGGCCTGCCCGTCCTGCGATCCCCGTGCGCGCGTCGCAATTGACTTTGGCGCTCCGGGGGATTCTCGCCAATTTGATCCCGCGTCAGCCAAGGCCCCTCTTGATCTGCCCCAGGGTGTCACCATGGAGTAGGAAGAATCCGGGCAAGACTAATCACGGGAATCACCTCGCAGGATCGCGATGGGCGCTTTTCCAGGGGGCTGGAAATCCGATGTGCAACGATGTCGCGAACTATGAAAAATGAAAAAAGGGGGGCCACAGGGGACCAAGTGGAGAGCTCTGGTGAAGGGGCAGACGAAACATTGACAAACCCGAATGCGGACACACTCCCCACGCGACGAGCCGTGGGACAAATGTATGTTACAGTAATTAGACACCTTCAGGTAGATTATGGTGATTATGCTGGAACAAGTTGCCCTTCTAGTCTCTCCGCGGAGACCCCAACCGATAAAATACGTCGCACTGAGCTTCTGCACGATCCCGCTTGGATCGGAGCTTCCCGTTTCGCTGTCGTAGTTACTAGCTACGAGTCTGACAAGGGTGTCACACGCTCACGTGGATCACCAGCGCGCCGCTGATGTCGATGGGCCGGGGATGTGTCTGGGGAAATAATGGGACAGCACAGGTCACTTGTTTTCGTGCAGCATGCCTGCCTGTCGCTGGCTCCGATGGTGTGCCACCCCGTCAGCGGTGAAAGCAGCAGCAGAAGATCCAACGCCACAGTCCTACTGGAAAAGGAAAAAATATAACGTCTGTCTACACACAACTAATATTGGGTGTCGCAATACATTTCCATTGTTATTTACATACAAGGCCAGCACTCACCGGCACCCGATCCGCTGCTGGCACGGGAATAATCAGGATTCCTAATCGAAATTTTTCCCGCGGTGGGCCCAGTGCGCAGAGTGCGTCGCCCCAGCCCGAATCCGGGTGGTTCTCGACGCCTTCTAGAAGCCTTCCCTTCCGCGCCGACACCCATGGAAAGTGCCGCGCCTAATTGGAAAAAAAAATTTTCTTCTCGCCCTATACTGTATGCTCTCGGTCTCTCGGCCTTTTCGTTCTTTGGAAATAATAATGCTCGCCCCCCCTTCCCTTTCCACCGCCCGGAAAATCGGCACTTACTTACTTCTAAAATCGATAAGAGTGAAACTATCGCGTCATGGCTCTTCTTATCGTGCCGTTTTCGTTTCGTGCGCGGTGAGACTAGACTCGAAAAGCTAGGCCCGAATTGCCCGTTTAAGTTAGGGCTGAACGGTATCCACCAATTATGCCCCATCAATTGGATTGAAGGCAGGGGTGTGTGCCGCCCTATGCGGGCGATTTAGGAGGAATTTACTCGCTTTAGCATTCCTCCCATCGCCTCCAGACATCACATTTTTATACACGGCATAGTTATGATGCATGCCCAGGCGGTGTTATCCACTGCATCCCACGGCCATTCTCTCGGCGGGCATTGTTGGTCGACTTGGCAGAGCCGCTGTGTGCCTTACAGTAGCTAGTGGGATGGGGAACCTCCCCCCATTTAATTCCACCACTCGTCTGAATCAAACTCACCGGTGTGGACCGCACGAAGAAATCATCGCGGTCCCCACCGGGGCCGATCGCCCGCCTGCCACATCGCTGCTTGATGGTTGTCCGCCCCGATGTCCGGCGTGCGCCGCGCTTTTTACCCGGAGCTTGGGCGTAGATCGTGAGGCATTTTTTTGCCCCTGGGTTTTTCCTTGCAGGCGCCATCGTATCAATCAATTGATTGAATAACACAAAACCGTCACCGCTCAGCTCAATCTCATCCCGCGTTGCTCCGCAGACCTGATCTAGAAAGTCGTGCCGTGCTGCTACCAAAAAATAGTGCACGAGCGACGGTGGATTGAATAATTTCTATGCAGCTGCCCGAACCCTAACGCCCGGTTCGCCAAGGAGTCCCGGCTCTATTCTTAAAACCCATTCCCCAGGATTGGGTGTTGTAGTTACGTACATGCTCTGGAGAATTGCCCATGGAGAAAAGGGAAAGAGTCGGGCAAAAAAAAGTTCACCGCATGTCCGACGAGATTTTAGCCCGCAGTCGCGCAGAAATTCATCCCGAATGTCCGACCTTACCGTCTGCAAGGAAGTAAGCAATGGATACCAAAAAAAAAATAACGCTTTCCGTGTTGTGCGCTTATCTTCAGGGACTATGAGTTGGCTATCTCCTCCCGCTTTAACCGTGAGTGCCGCCACCCGAAGAAGGTGTCAGACGAGCCAATCTTATTCAAGGTTATTTGTGTACAACTATCGTAAAAATAAATTATGTCGGATTTTTAAACCTTGAACGGTAAGAAACCAAAAAAACATGATCGTCATCATCATCCCACAAAGCCGCATTTCTCGCCATCGCCCAATTCGACAGATGATCATTCCTCCGGCACGGCCGAGAAGTATTCTATGTATTCGGCAAGCCTTCTCGGGCTTGTCGCCACGCGAACGAGCACATCTCTTGCGTGCCCGTAGAAAAAATGTCTTGTTTCGGCGGATGGTCTCGGCCGGGCACAAACCTTCCCGATATCCCCGACGCGGACGGCAGCTCGGCACCGTGCGCCACAATCGAAGGGTTCAGCCTGGTGGCAGGTTTTGGAACCATGGATTCTCTATCTGCAGGATGTGTTCGCGATTCAGGGACTTCAATTGAAAAAAGAAAAAACTTTGAAAACCTTGAAATTTTGTTTGGTGCGCTTCTGATAGGCGAGTGGGATGGCCGATGTCATAGAATATATTTACATTATCTTCTGCACCACTGCGCTTCTAGAATACTGTGTATACCACTGAATTATGTAGTAGAGGGGTGTCGTTTCATGGGGCTCAGTGGACTCTATACTGTGTTCGTCATTGTCTTGGCTGCATCGAACCCCTGTGCCGATCTTGCCACACGCTGATGGGTAGACATATCTCGGTCCTATGAACACGCATCTACAGTACTCACAGTAACCATAATCGAGCCTCTGCCAATGACCGTGTAGACATTGGCCTTGCCTACTTCTTGGCATCGTCCGGATGCCCACACCCTGTACTGTACGACATGGTCTAGTGAACGCACAGGCATGGCCCGGGCCGTTAGAAAAGAAAGGACAGCGATCATGAAATTGCAGCTGGACACGAGATAAAATACAAGAGCCCAAAAAAGAACAGTCTTACATAGTTCTTACAAGTAGTACTGCGATGTATACCGCTAAGGACGATAGTGCAAGGCCCCTTTTTTTGGGGCCAGACACGTCGTCTACCAACCCCGACGCGTGTCTCATTCGCGATGATAAACAAAACAAAACCACAACGATCGACAGGGGACAAGCAAGAAAAACGGACCCCCAAATAATTTCAATCCAAATCCTCCAATTGCCCACCTCTCCACGTGCCATGCTCGCAACGGGTAGGGATCGAGCTGAGACAGGGTCTGCATGGACCTGATTATTCTGGGTCCATCCATCCCTACGCAGAGAATTGCCTGGGGCGGACACTAGACTATTCGCCGCAGGCAGGTATGCCGAGACCGATAGCTGCACCTGGGCAGTGTCGATCCCTGCAGATTTCCGATTATTGTTTGTCTTGTCTGTCTGTCAAACGGGTAGGGGCTATTGGTTGGTGGCTTTGTTCGATGACATCTTCTGTACAATTTTTTGTTTGAGTTCGGGCTAGAGTCGACGTCAGTTGTCCGTTTCTTGATTCCCGATGTTCCGGGAGATTATCCCTCATGTCGGCTGTTGCTATTGTGGGAGTCTGTCACCGACAATACGTGCCCAGAGACTCCATATGAACACCCCCATAGCTGTGCCCGGACTAACACCGACTCCTCGGCTTGGCCCCGTACACATCCGTATGCAATCCGCCTAGGGTGTCTCTCCAGAATCCAACCTGCCAAGCTAAACAAGGATACGTAACTATAGTTCATGGCAAGTTTGACGATCTCAATGCAGCCTGCTAGCTAATTATTGGCAGTGCCCAGCTCTATAGTGGCGAACTCAGAGCTCGCTGCACGATCTACCCTTAGACCAGCCGAGGAATGACCCACTGGACTTCGGGCGTTAACTTAGTATGCACCCATCTTGCCCGGTATGGATGATGTGTTCAAAAGCTGTTCGCCTGGGTGCAGCACCCCTCTCCAGTGGGGATTGCTCCATATGGAGAAACCACCTGGAAGTACTTGAAATTGATGCCTTCAGGCGAGCTAGACCTCAGAATAAACATCCAAGGATCATTAGTAGCATTGCCCGGGGATCCCTTGGGGCAAATCAGATAATCCTTGGCGCAAATCCAATATGCCCGACCTACGTGTGCATAGGTGCCGGGACAACATGCAACAGACGAACTGTAAACTACTGTTGCTAGACCCGAAACCCCAATACCAAGAAGGAGGACAATGGTCCAAACACCCCTTGATCATGAGATGATCGACCTCACTTCCGCCGTTGTTCCTAAACCGCCAAGATGCCCCATGCATCCCTCTCGTCCGCATTATCGTCTTGGCGGAAGTCCAACAGATCGTGTCCGTCAGGTGCGCCCCCTTTGTCGGACCGGACAACCATGGGGCGGGCCACTGCAAGTACGCGGCGGACGACGATGATCGTCGTGCTAGCAGCAGCGGGTGGAGAGGAGAGGAGAGCAAGGGTGTTTATTAATTGTTTTGGTCTTGGCGGAGGCTGTACGGGAGATAGGGGCCTTGGCTGTGACATTTATTGCATATGTAGGACGGACGGGTTGGTAAATCGGTATGATTTCCTGCGCTTCGTTACGGTGGTGGGCGTGGGCATATCGACGCTTCTGGAATAGTATGCCCGTCTTATTTGTAGTGGTAGTGGCATTTAAAGCAGTAGCTGTACTGCGTGCTGGGTGATATTCGGACTTTAGTCCTAGTAGTTAGTAGATATATGTCAAACAACGTCAATAGTTTTTTCGGGATGGTTGACGGGTTGATGTGTCAGGCAATAGACTAAATATATATCTGCAATCTACCCATCGCTCGCTTAGACATATGAAGAGCATCAAAGAAAAAGGACTCTTTTCTTCGTAGCTTTTATTATCACAATTAACTATGCTGCTGTTTTAGTTCGAAGACCTTATTCTAACAAAAATGGTCAACATTAGGTCCAAGAACGAGAGTGGCTAGAGATAAATAAATAAACTGCTCCAAGGCACTTGCTACGCAAAGAAACGGGAATTTTATTGGGTTGCTTAAAACTCAAATCAAGTCCGCTTCAATACTTGCCTCCACAATGATGAATCCAAACTCATGTGACTGCAGCAAGGAATCTGATCTGGGAATCAAATGATCAAGATAGTGGAACAGCCCACCGCAACAATGCAAGCCGAGACCCGATAATGGAGGCATGTATCCCTTGATAAAGTGGCAGGGTTGCCAACGGCAACCCAAGGAATGCCGTATCGGGATTCAACATCAATCAAAACCCACGTGGATACTAGCAGACATCATAGATCTAGATTAGAAGTCAATCTTAATGCCCACCGAACACGGCACTAGACTCCCCGGCATCGCCTTCTCAATGGCAAGCTTGGACCGCCAGCCAGAGCAGTGGCCAGGCATGAGCACGGCGGGGTCAAGTCGTTTCAGGTCTGCTACTGTGCTCTGGATCTGGGGCTGGTCGCTCATTGCCAGATGAAAGCCACCTACCACGGCGTGAAGAAGTGTTGGTTTTCCGGCAGATTTCAGTGCGTGTCTCGCTGTATTGACCACACCGGCATGGCTGCAGCCCGTGAATACAACGAGTCCTTTCCCTGAAGAAGAAGAAGAAGATAGTCAGCATCTCCTGCATATAGATGTGGACACCCACCCACCTTTGAGGTTGCACATGAGGAAACGTTCATCGGCAATGGTCTCGTCTGAAAACCATTCCTTATCTTCGGGATCGAAACGCATCGCGCCCCGCAGGCCCGTTTCGTAAGGCGTCACACGCGGGATTTCTCCAGAGATGAGGAAAAAGTCATCCAGGACCGTGTGCGAGTCGCTGCGTTTGTCGACCACCGCTCCAGCGGCCTGCATCTCATCAAAGGTTGGATCTGCTTCTAGAGAGATGACATTGTCCGGCAGGGCAGGTATAGCAAACCCCCGGTACTCCGGTCGATCGGGATGGACGTCCACGACTAGCTTATCAGACTGTCCCTGGGCTTGCTTCGCCTGTTTAATCATGCGGATAGCTCGTAGGAGGCCGCCTGCGGGCTTGTCAGAATGGTTCGTAAACGGGATGGAGGGATTGAACCGGAGTGATCTCGATGCCAGTGTGATAGCTGGATGACTTCTATGGAAGACAGATCCGGACGTAGGCGGTTGACGTTCCTCTCCCATGCGTCTTCTTCTGGTCCGACATCGAAGAGGACCGAGTGTTTCTTGTCACCTTTGGTGGCCGTCTAGACACCGGTCAAATACAATGGGGCTTTGATATAGAAGATATGATAATCTACTAACCACCAAAACCGACAGTCCATGGGCCGCGCAGCAGATATCGCCCATCCTCAACTCCTTGATGGCGTTGCCGCGGTCGGTTAAGTTGTGCGTCGATCCCATAGCGATGGATCCCATTTGGCCGCCGACCGTGACGGTATCTGGAGCCGCTGGAGACATGGGGTCCAGTTCATTGTCTATGATGACGATGGCCTCGAGGGCGTCCACTTCGGTGAGTGACATGGTTGCTGACGGTAGGAGATATCTGCCCCGCGAGTGACGTGAGAAATACCCCATTCCATTTCGTGATGACTGTCAGATTTACACTGAACTAGGGTGCATATCGGAAGCCAAACCACCCCGATCTCCGCTTCCCGTCGATTTCATCTTTTTCTCTCAGGACATCTTTGCCCCGCGAGTGACGTGAGAAAACCACATTCCATATAATGATGACTGTCAAATTTATACTGAAGTAAGGTGCACGTCGGAAGCCAACCACCCCGATCTCGACCTCCTCTATCCGCTTCCTCAATCCAAAGTACTCTACCGACTGTTAGGTGACCGAAAGAAAGGTGACGTTATATTGCGGGTCTTGATGTCCGATCGCGAGGATGATTGATTCAGCGGACTCAGATGAAGAGCAGATATAACTCCAAGAGATCACTCGCGGGTGTGTTAGACCATGATCAGATATATTTTTTTTGACAATGGCTTAATGTATATATCAGAAAATGGGGTGAACCACTAAGAAGTCGGATCGATATGATCTAAATGATCCCTGGAGTGGGTGAAATCTTGAAATGTAAAATATTGCATTACGGCATATCACTTTCAACAATCGAATACTCCCTAGAGACTTGTTTAAATAGGTCACTGGGAATTGCTGTCAAATCTATAGTTATGCCTGCATATCGGAAGCCAACCAGCCCGATCTCCGCTTCCCCTCGATTTCATCTTTTTCTCTCCACTCCAACTAATTCATCCACCACTGCCTACCATGCGCATCTTCATCACCCTCCTCGCCCTCCTCTACCTCCTCCTCCCCGTCTCTGCAGTCGCCTGGACATGCCTCCGAGTTGTCGGCAAGCTGGCCGGCCGTCCCGGCGACCTGTACAATAAATTCCAGACCGAGATTTGCGAGCGCGGGTGCCAGCCGACAGTGCCGCACTGGGACTTGTGGACGCGCAATAACTCGTTCGTTCCCGCGGTGCGCGCCCTTATGAGTCGCATGAACGTCCCACACCAGGAAGAAGCTCTGCTGAAGATGGGCGACGACGTTGCGGTCATCATCAAGGAGCGATGCGGACCCGAGCTACATGGACGCCACATCTGCTCCGACCCGGATACCTTGGCGGACTTTGGCAACTGCTTCAAGAGCAACTTCGTCAAGGCAGCGATCAAACACATTCCGATCCTTTTGCCCATGGCTTCCGAGGAGTTGTGCAAGGAACAGTACAGCTATCTCGAGGGCGACGATTTGTGGGAGCGCATCATCCCCAATAACATGCGCGACTATGCCAGCGTATGCGACCAACTGGGGAAGCCGGAGGCGGAGAGCCACGATGAATTGTGAGATACCATGTGTATATAGAATTAGTAAATATATCCTACTGTGTAAATATGTTTTTTTGCACGACTATAATAGTAAGGGTCAACGGCCATTATTCCGTCAGCGTGCCGATCGGAAACGTCACTTTCCCTCGTCAACTCCTGCGATGGCGTCGCTGCGCTGCTCCCTACGGCCTCGCCCTCTCTCTCTCCTGCCTCGGTCATCGATCGGACAGTCATCCCATCGCCATGTTCACCCCGGCCGGTTCCAACCCTTTGTCCCGCCATCCCCAAGCTCCTTGGGCAAACCCACCGCGGCCAAGTCTTACACCCGCACCCGCAAATGGCTGCGGCGATTGGTGTACGCATCACTCGCGACAGGCGTTGTTTGGGGGATTGACACCCAGTTCTATGCCTCGTCACTGACGCGCACAACCCGCACATTCTCGTTGGGTCTGCTGGTCGCGCTGGACTACAAGATCAACTTCCGCCCGCATCCACCGCTGGCCAGCTCCATCGCCGCCGTGCATCAGCGCAATGCCGAGCGCCTCTCGGATCTGCTGCGCCATAATGGGGGGTTGTACCTGAAGATGGGTCAGGCGATCGCGATGCAGTCCGCCATCCTTCCGCCGGAGTTCCAGCAGATGTTCTCACGCATGTTCGACGACGCCCCGCAGAACGATTGGAAGGATGTGGAGAAGGTCATTCGCGAGGACTTTGGGAAATCACCTGAGGAAGTCTTTGGGGTTTCCTTCACCGGTGAGCCCGGTAAGGGTGTCATGGAACGCAGGGCCCGCGCCAGCGCCAGTGTCGCCCAGGTGCATTGGGCTCGCTTGCAGGATGGTCGAGAGGTGGCCATTAAAATCCAGAAGCGGGAGATTGTCCAGCAGCTGGCATGGGACCTATGGGCTTTCAAGTGAGTTAGAACCAGTTGGAGTGACAATCATATACTAAACAGAGGAATTCTAGAGTCGTGACCTGGATCTACAGCAAGATGTTCGATATCCCCTTCTACAGCCTGGTACCATACATCAGCGAGCGTCTCTCGTTGGAGACGGATTTTCTGAATGAAGCCGACAATTCAGAGAACATGGCTCGGCTGGTTGCCGGCGAATCGCGCCTACGGGATCGGGTATATATCCCGCGGGTGCACCGCGAGCTGAGCTCGAGGCGCGTCATGACCGCAGAATGGGTGGAGGGCGTACGGCTTTGGGACAAGGATGCCATAACCCGCTCCTGGCGCGGCGGCTGGCGCCAGGGGAGCCCGGGATGTCATGGGACGCCGCTGGACGCACCGAATAGCAATAGCGCAGCGGCGACAGCACAAAGCCCGCAGTCTAGGCTGGTTAAACCGGAGCGGGATCACTGGAAAGGACGAAATCAGCGGGGTGGCCTGGGATTGTCACTGAAGGACGTGATGACGACTATGGTGGACCTGTTCTCGGCACAGATGTTCCTATGGGGATGGGTGCACTGCGACCCGCACCCGGGCAACATTTTCATTCGGCGCAAGCCGTCTGGCCAGCCGGAGCTGGTCCTGATCGACCATGGGCTGTATATTCACATGGAGCCGCAATTTCGGCACCAGTATGCGCGGTTTTGGAAGGCGCTGCTGACATTTGACAATAACACGATCGGCGAGATCGTGAAAGGCTGGGGCGTTAACAACCCCGACATTTTTGCTTCTGCAACCCTGATGCGCCCCTACCGTGGCGGCGACCTATCTACACATCGCGGTCTCGAAGGCCTGAGCAAATCCGAGCGCAACGAGCGCCACTATGAGATGCAGCAGGCCGCACGCAAGGCCATCCGCGAGATACTCGGTGATGAAACCAAATGGCCGCGCGAACTGATCTTCATCGGCCGCAACCTGCGCATTGTCCAGGCGAACAATCAATTCCTGGGTTCGCCGGTCAACCGCGTCAAGATCACGGGGATGTGGGCCTCGCGAGCGCTGGTCGAATCGCCTGATCTTCCTCTGAACGAGAAGATCCGCAATCTCGGCCGTCATGTCGTCTTCCGCTTTGTGCTGTTCGCCAGTGACATCTTCTTCTGGTTCACCAAGATTAGACAGTTTTTGAGGCTGGGTGGTGGTATGGAGGACGATATCGAGGCTCAGATGCAGCATATGGCTAAGGATATGGGAGTTGAGCTGAACCAGAATGTGTTTGAAGGATAGACTTGCTATCTTCTCTTTTCTATCATTTTGCTAACTCCCCTCGATCTACAGAGTCCATAGCTTGTTCTCTGCCTGATGCCTGCTGGTCTGCAGCATCCTTCTGAATCTTGTATAGTGAGGAGCGGATATATTATATCTAGACCATAGAAAATCTCCAATGCTTATTTAATCGAGATCCTTCAATCTGTAGTACTATTGACAGGAAACCCCTAAAATGTTGTCCTTCATTCATATTATGCGTTCAAATCAAATACCACCCCAATGTCCCGTCCTCTCAATCCTCTCCACTGCCTTCCTTAGATCCTCCATATAAGCCCTATGCTGGTACTGCTTTACAAAATTCGGCACAAACGGATACACAACCCGCATCCAAAGCACAAGACCCTGACACGCAAATTGTTCCACAACCGAAGCCCTCAGATCATATTCCCGCGCCAATCGCTCAGGTAACCAATTGAGAGTTAGAAGTCGGGCAAACGGACTTGCCAGCGCCATGGAGAAGGGCAAGTTCCTGGGATACAAAAGATCCTTACTCATCTTGCGCGCCATGTCGGTGACTTCCAACGTGGCAATATTATAGTCCCAATACTGCCAGAACTCGTCCAGCGTGGCGGGCCACATCTCAGGCGGCATTCGAAGCGAAGTCCCAAAGACAGAAGCTTCTTTAAACAACTCCTCCATTTTCTCACTGGACAATTTCCCAAAGAACGTCTCGTGCACTAGAACAACACCCACAAAGAGCGTGGCAGCTGTCCATTTATGCAGCTCCGGATCATCGGCGTCATATCCATCCCCCTTAACCCGGGAATGATATCTATGGATCACGCCGAAGATGGCATTCTTTTCTTGCGGAGTGCCGCACACAGCGGCATTGAGGAACCGCGCAGTGTTTCGAAGTCGTATGTGGATGCGCGCTGCGAAGTCGGAGTGCTCGTAGCTCCCCTTAGCGAGCGATGGGTGCGCGAATTGGCATAGAATTGCGACCTGCCCGCCCAGGAGGTAGATGTCGTTTTCTACGACGGAGTGTAATAGTTTGGGCTCGGTGACTGGGGGGAAGATTGGGGTTGTTTGAAGGGCTCGCCGGCGGAGAGCTGGGGTTGTTGTTTGAGTTGGTGCTTGTTCGGTCATTGTGAGATAGGGTTGGATTCATCTTTGTAGCCATGAGATGCTCTCTGCGGTGTGTTGGATTTTATAGAGCTGCTTAGTTTTCATGAGTTTATCTCGACATGCGGACCGAGGAGTGGATGAGGTCGCCGTTAGGCTTTCCTTTTCACCATCACATGGGGGTACACTAAGACGATTGCGGACCGAGGAATGGGTTCGTTTTGGGTGGGGCTGATCAACGTGAACTTCATAAAATTGGTTAACATTGTACAGAAATAGGCTACAAAGATAAGATCCACATACGTAATACGCGGAAGACCTAGTAGACGAGGACACAGTGAGCAGGCAGTCATACACGAAACTCCGATATACTGTCCCTCACTCTTATACTGCTTCACTGTAGAATGTTGCCAGTCTAGATCTACGTCGCTATGCAACGAACTTGACGCCTCGAAATGGACGCCTCGAACTTGACGCTTGCAGCTTGGCTCTTCAATGTGTGCATAACGCAGCTCTGATGTTTGTTCTACTGTTTCTACCCGGTGCTTATGCATATTTTAAGAAGATTGGTGTTACTATGGATCGGGGCCACTAAAGATGGGTATCTTCACATGACCACGACCTCTATGGTCCGGATCGGGGCCATCAGGGTGACCCTCAAAGTAGGTCCAGTCTGGGCCGTCGAGGATACGAGCCAACTCGTGTTCGCTCCAAGTTGCGGGGTACGAAGGCTGATAAGGTTCAGGACAGTATCCTCTCGATAACTTCACAGTGGTGTGTCTGTCTATTTATTATAGCTACGATGCGCTGCGTGCAGATACGATCATACGACCCTGCTCGACTTACGACTGAGTCATCCGCTTCTGCAACCCATACTTTATGTCTTCGATGGGTCATAACTGTCGATGAAACATCATTTCCATCACTTCCCTGATTTAGACTACGCGCGTTGAAGCCTCGAAAAGCATATCCGTCACTAAGACCGATATCCGCTCGATCTCAAATTTATCGATCACGCACGTCGCCATGGCTACGTCAAGCTTAAATCCAAAAATTGTTGTCCTGGAGGTCCCAACCGAGGCAGGGACTCATTGGCCGGGTCAGTCAAAAGCACCCGAAGCTCTCAAAGATGCCGGACTGGTACAGAAGCTCCAGAAGATAGGATATGAAGTCTTGAATTTCAATGCTCTTGATGAGGTAGAGCATTGGCTCCCAACAGATATCTTGAATGGCGTCCGCAATGAAGAGAACACTATCAAAGTGATGAGAAAGGTCGCAGCTGCTGTTTCATCCGTGAATTCATCCCACGAATTTCTTTTAGTGTTGGGAGGCGATTGTTCAATTGAGGGTGGTGTGCTTTCTGGGCTTAATACTGTTCATCTTCACGACCGCATTGGCCTCCTTTATTTCGATGGGGATGCGGATCTTACTCTCCCCACTGACGATGGCATAGAAGGCATGACCGGAATCCTCGACTCGATGGTTATCACCCATCTTACGCATCGAGATGGAGGCTTGGAAAGCATGAAGAGCTTTTCAAAACCTGACGGATCTCCACTTGTGACCAATGAGAATATTGTTCTCTTTGGTCTAGACCCCAATCAGCCAAGTGCTGAGCACTGGACTTTCCTTGTAGAAGGAGGATTCAAGGTCTTTTCACGTCCCACGGTGAGCAAAAACCCAACGAAAGCCGCGGTAGAAGCTTTGACGTGGCTCGAGTCCAGGGTTGACAAAATTGTCGTTCATTTCGATCTGGACGTTATCGACACTGGGCAATTCCCAATTGGTAACTACCCTCACTATGCAGGCCTGGAGTTTGATGAAGCTATGACGGCTTTGCGGGTGTTTGCGGGAAGCGAAAAAGTAATGGGGCTGGTTGTAACAGAGGTGAATGCCAACAATGACCCTAGTGGGAAGATGCTTGAAATGCTTGTGGATGGCATTGTTAATGCGTTCTCTAAGAGGCTGGCAGTCAGTATGACTCTCTCTTTCTGCACTTATTCTGCTCATCCACTCTACCTCTAGCTAACTTCACTCTAAGACTAAAACGCAAACACCTGCTAAGCCCAGTCCAGCAACAGTTGTCCAGAGTCAAGTTGCTATATAGTCGTGTTCGAATTCGGCTTCCATCCAAACTCTCTTTAATTGTTTCACATAGAACACCTTAGTACTACAGTATCGTTTCTTTTGGTGCTCTACATCTCCTGCGTTCGGAGATTTTCTGGCGCTGAATTTGGTCTAGGTGGGCCCCTGTCGCTGCATGTCCGCTCTACGTTTGGTGGTCGGCTCGCCACTTGATAGGGGCTGGCGATGCTGCCAGGTCCAGTTTCTATCCTTTGTAAGGTCGATATGCTCGCTGGTTCTGGTGGGATACTTTCCCCAGTGTTTGTGTCCGCCAGGCCTGTTTGCGTGTTTTGGCGATTTCCGTACAAGCCATCCTTATGAATGGAGGGGAAGAGGCCTCATGAGATCGATCCAGGTTTGTTGGCTGTCCGTTTAGCTGCTTGATCTGCTCTTTCGTTTAATTCTTTTTGTGCATGACCGGGATGGAGCCCATTGAGTAATATATTTTTGGCCCAGGGATATGAGGTCCGGGATTATTGCATGCACTTGAAGCGTAAGAGCCTATCCCGGGCCGGCTCGCATGTGTGGTAGCTTTGCGATAGCCACTTGGGAGTCGAGAAAAATCGTGACAAGGCCATTGCAGTTGGTTCGATTTGAAATTCTTAGAGCCTCTAGGGCTCCTGGGAGGGCTCCGTCAAAGACCTCACGTCCTGGCCCTAAAGGGAAGCCCCAGGTCTTCTGCGCTCCGTTAGTGTCCTGTCATGCAATCCCCGCGCCTGTCTAACCTTTCTCTAATCTTGAATCATCAGATCAGATAACTTGCTCAGACGGGATTGCCTAGGCTACTACAATGTCTCCTCGGTGCTCTGGCCCCTAATATGTCATCGGAATGGGCCACTCGCTACCCATTGCTGGCTCTCAAACCCGACTGACGGATCGGCTGGTATGATACTGGCCAGTTGTAGGGCCGTGTTGTCCAAGGAGCCATGGCTTCTGCCCAGGGCGAAGGGTAGGGAATATGGATCTGGGTCGGTTCGGGCCGATTGTCGAGCCGACAATGTGTACCCCCTGGACAGATCCCGTCTGTGTTCTCTTAAGCAAGATAGAATAAACTCGTGATATTTTACCTTGAATATGTAACAGTTGTCGCTTCTTGGGAACTACTCTATTTGCGCTTTTGATCTTACATTTTTACCAGGGAGACCTATGATTAGTCACCTTGGATTGTCAGATGCACTCTGGATCACAGCCTCGCAACTGGTGCCTAAATCACCCCTCTTTATCTCGCTAGAAAGGCCCACCCTACAATTTCGATCTTATCAATCACCACACGGACCTTGGCAAGTTGGAAGGCGTGATGGAGGCAGAGCTTGAGTCGTTTTCCGATGAAGACAAGTCCTATGTCTCCAAGGCACCAAGACCAAGCTCCTCGAGCAGATAGTGGATTCAAGAAAAGACTTGAACGAAAATGGGTAACTCGGAATGCCTCAGCTCACAATTTGTCATTTTTCTCTCACGCGGTCCCCATCTTGGACAAGGGATCAACCATTGTAGCAACTTGAAATCCCTAAGAGATTGTCAAGAGACTGTCCATACTAAGCCTCTCTGGATATCACGCATTGCCTAGAAATGGCAATTCACGAGATACTTATTTCTGTCTTCTCCACGGAATATCGTTTCCACGTCCACAGATTGCTTAGATGTTGCTTAGCAATGCAAGCAGCTGGAGAAGGAAATTTTGCGCCTTCCTATTTGGGAATAGCGGCCGTGTCTTATGCCAAACCTTCTTTGCAGCTCCCTTGAGCTGCGCCACCCCGGAGCCAGGATCTATGACTGAGTTGTCAAGAGATTGTCTTTGTTGAATTGTGATATGTAGATCCAGAGGACGAGAGCGGTGACAGTATGGCGCCTGGCGTATCTTTCGGTGTTCAGTTCTAGAACAGGTTTGTTGTCTGATCTGGAGTCCATTTACATTTTCCTCTTCCAGAAAGGAATTGCTTAGACTTTCTGGAGGTAAGCTATTTTAGCTTTTTAGTGCTGTCAGGTATTTGGAATAGATCTGTCTCTGACTAGTAAGGATGGGGCTATGCCGAAGGTCTTCTAGGTACGTTTCAACTGAATGCTGTTTATTGGATACGAATACGACCCAAAAGGGTAAATGAAAATTCCACATACCGCATATTATTGTTTATACTTCTATGTATATATAAAGGATGGCCCAGCTATTGATTCTCAGGAGGCAGAATTTACACGCAAGTACTTCTATCCACACCGTTTCCGAATTGTCCAAGCAGTTGCAACAATGAAGGCATCTCTATCTCTCCTTGTTCCCTTTGTTCTTCCTTTGGCCGCGGCTCAATGGGGAGGTGGCAGTGGCAGTGGTGGCAGCCAAACTACGACGACGACTGCTGCAACCACCACTATGAGCAGTTCTTCTTCAAGCTCCACTCACTCCGTTAATGTTGGAAAAGACGGCTTCACGTTTGAACCGGATACCCTAATGGTCTCCCCTGGAGACGAAGTCGAGTTCCACTTCTTTCCGGGCGATCACTCGGTGGCTCAAGCCGCATTCAATAATCCATGCCAACCCATGAGCTCCAGCAGCTTCTACAGCGGCTCGTTCCCTGGTAGTTCCGAGTCGGTGCGTTTGTCAATCTCGCAGGCTGAAGGCCCTTCTGATATTCTACTAGTCTAACGTCTTTGTCCTGACCGTCAACGACACAAACCCCATCTGGTTCTACTGCGGACAAGTTGGGCACTGCCAGGCCGGAATGGTTGGGGTGATCAATCCACCGTAAGTATGCCAGCGGAAGCGATCGAATTAAGACACTGACAGTTACTTTTAGTTCTAGTGGCGCGGATACCCTCGAAGCATTCAAGAAGGCGGCGTCGGGTACAAAGAGTTCCAACGTGCCAGCAATGGTCCAGGGTGGTGTTATCCAGGCCGCGAGCGAGGACAATAATGACAAGCCCTCCTCCACTTCGACCGCTGCCAGCGCAACCTCTACAAATGGAGCAAAGGGTGTACGGCCGTGGGCTGAATTCAGTGTCGTGTTCGTTCTGACTTCCATGGTGGCCATGTTCATGGCTTAGATCCTAGTTCTGGGATATGAGGGTGGGATTGGTCACAAACAAAACCTATGCACTGATTCCTGTACCTAGAGTGGTTGATTATTAGTGATGAGAACGCAGTAATATCTAGAGAATGCCTAGCTTGCAGATTCTTCTTGAGGGTGGTTCTCCAAATGAGTAAGGGCTAAGTAACCGGGCCGTACGATTTTTACCAAAATTACAGGCCCTCGCATAATAACCATATGCCGAGCTTAACTTGTGCACGTCCTGATTACCATTCCTGGTGCCAACTCCATGCTCATTGACCCTCAATGCGCTGGCATTCATTTCATCATCTCGAGAGTTGCTAGGTTTTCTGCACACATGGTACCGAGGCTACCTCCCTCAAAGCAATACTTCATTAGTGATATGATACAAAGCCAGTCACTAACAACCTCTCAAATGGCTGACGCAAATTAATACAATGAACGGACGGACAAAAAATGTCTCCAGGAACTTGTGACAGTTCGGAAACTTGGATTCGTCCTCAAAACTTGTATCACTCAGGGATGAAGCACTACGCCGCATATGCTAGAAGTTCTCTGCAACCTACTCGAAAAACCTGATCTAAACCTTTACGAGATGACTGTCTTTCTTTGGAATGAATTCCAGATGGTAGCAACAGCTTCATGAACTAGGGGACGGTGTGGAGTTGAAAAATCCCGTGGCTTTAAGTATTATGTCAAAGTGGTCTTTCTTTTTGTCAACCGTCGCATTCCGGATGATATAACTGCCTCAATAGGGACATCGACGAGCTTGGCATTTAGTTGCTGGATTGCGACCAGGTACTCATCACAAGGGGATAAGGCGACGGCACCATGGCTCATAATTGGAACAAGTCGACTTCGCAATGCCGAAACCGTTGACAGGCGTTCTTCCATCAATTTTGTGATCGCGGCGCGGAACTGTTCCTTCACCCCTTGAGAAGTATCCCGATGTATAAGGTTCTTGAATATCGTAATTGAGGCTGGCTCAATCATTTTACGGTACTCATATAATACGGCAGGATCTTTAATGGCCTCTTTTTCTTCGTTCGAATCTTTAAATCTAGGAAAGAAGACGAATTAGGGTCACTGTTTTCTCTCTGGGAGGTTAGAAGAGGCCGCGTCAGAGGGACTTACATGCAAAGTTCCGCCATCCTTTGTAGACTGGGCTTCATAATTCGGAGAAATCTAGGTAGGGCTGCGAATATATAATGAATGATGCTCTTTGCGGTTTTTTGAAGGGAACCAAAAGATTGAATCCCTGACGAACCATTTCCGATCATGGCTATATGCTTGCCTTAGTAATCGAGGATATTATCCCTTGATATAGAATCGTCAATTTGAGGCCCGAAAAGTAAAAGTTGGAGTTAATCAGGCGACATATCAAGCACATGTATGAACCACGTGCCCTTTAAACTGCGAAAGCGCTGGAGCACGGCTGTTGTGGTGCGCTGGGATCGATCCAGTCATTTGAGATCCTTTCCCTCAAGTGTCTGTCAATAGCGAAACCATTATGTCTTCTCAGCTTCATTCCACAAAAGCCTCGAAGCATATGCGACTGCTCGAATAACTAACTCCCATCTTTCCTCAAACCTCAGCACCCTCACCCACTCCCATCTCTGCACTCTGCGTCTGATTTTAACCTCATCAAGGTCCACTTGACCAAACTTGCCTTCTGGACCGAAGGCATAGTACCCGCCCTCGTTGAATGGCTTCCAAATCCTCTCTCCATAAGCAAATCGCAGCCATTTTTCTTGAAGATCCGTCGAGATTTTTTGTTCTTTTAGTGGATCTTCAACTTTACTAAAGATACCGTTCGGACCATACAGATAAGGCAGTTCTAGTGCATGATTCGCTGCTCGGTTAACGAACCATCCACCAAATGGATTGATCTCATCGAAGAGATATCGGTATACCACTGCTCCATGTCTCACTGAGGTTGACGCGAATCTCTCCGTCGGTTCTGCGAATGTAGAGTCTTCTATGAGCTGCCAAAGGCGAAGCAAGATCTCCTCATTGTCCAGGGTGGGTGTTATGCTGTAAGTTGCCAAAACTTGCTGCAGTCTGTCCTCTGCTATAACGTCTTTGAGACTGGCGATAAAATTATCGGTTGAAGTTCGGTTACTGTCTTGACCCAGAGAGACTTCTCTGGCAATGGCCTCGAACACTGTATATTCATGAGATGTGTCTCCCACAATGATTTCAAGGCCAGTGCAGTCACTTTCTTGCCATGAAGAATTGTAATGAATATTGTCAATGGTAATCCGGCAGATCATAGATCCTAGTTTCTGCAACTGAATCGGGATAGATTCGTACTCAGAAACCGGCAATCTTCGCATTTCCTCCAGAGAATTTACTCCCAACATTTTCTGGTGCTGGTCATAGATGCTTTGTTGTTCTTCTAGTGTTGCGGGGTACGACATAGTTCCAGAGTCGATCTGTCCGGACTGAACAACAGCTCTTCGAAACCGGCGTGGCAGAGACGAGTAGACTTGCATTAGAACACCCAAGGCGCCAGCAGACTCTCCTAACAGGGTTATATTGCGAGGATCTCCCCCAAAGGCGGTGATATTGCGGTAGACCCATTCAATCCCGAGGTACTAGACACGTTAATGAGCTTATTACCGGATCATTTTCTTTGTCCAGGACTTACAATGTCATGGGGTCCTAATAAATTATAAATTAAGCATCGTTTCTTTACTGGTTCGACGCCCTAAAAACTTACCATAATTCCCAACCCCAGCATCCCCGGCCTCCTGATTATCCTGAAGAAGCTGCTTAGATGCAAGGAAGCCCAGTGATCCGAGCCGATAGCTGTGCGATATTATCATTATAACTGAGAAATTGAGCAGATATTATATTAGCCGAACTTACTTCAAAGTAACAAAAATTACTGGTTTCCTAGATATCACGCTTTTTGCTACAAAGGCTCCTCCGTCGACGAACCATGATGCATTGCGTCCATTTAATAGCCCCCCACTAATGTTACTAATTAGCTCCCTTTATCCCTTATTGCAAGGAGAGATCACTTGTCTCACCCATGAATACATATCATAACGGGGATATTGTTCCTTTTTGATCTATCCGTCGGAGTAGAAATATTCAGATTTAGACATTCAAACTCATTGAATTGAAATGGTCCCTCGGTCTTGACGGCATCCATGCTGTTCACGTCGATGCCATTGAATAGGTCTTCAGCTGCTACCGGAGAAGCATATTGAGGGCATGACGGCCTGTTGATATACCCGTCAGTATCGGTGTTCAGAGGTTATCATGTTTGATTTACCCATAAATCGTTGCATCATATCGGTCGGAGTACTCTTCAAATAATCGCGACTGTCTCCACCTTTTTGGTATGGAGGCGTACTTTATACCTCGGAATTGGGTGACCGGTGTGGATGCCGTGCTGTGGGGGTGGCGGACTCCTTGAAACAGAGTATCCAGCTTTGTATGGTATAGTGCATTGTCATCCATGTCCAACGAAAACATTTATAAGGATATGAAGGCGATCTCAACAACTGGAAGTGTCGTGAATGGGATGTTATTAGTGTTGGTTTATCGCCACCGGGCGGTATGAGAACGTCACCTAATATTACATAACGAACTATTAGGGACGGAAGCGGAAGGAATTTGATCCACAACTAACTGAACAATATAACCAAGAAGGCTAGGTTTAATTCTAACTCGAACCCATCACATACACTAATTTTCAAGCATTGTGATATACTGTGCAATTAAGAGTCGGCCATACTACAACAAAACAACTGTCACAGTCACACCGTTCGGGATGGGGTAAGAGAAAACAGTTCTAGGGACCATTTTCGGAACGCCGGCCTGAGTATTGAAGATTGGTTGACGTTCTCTTTTTGACAAAGCCAGTACATTGATGCTACAAGTTGATTCTAATAATCGTCTCTTGTTGTCTATCAAACTCATACTCCGCCTCCGGGGATCCAACTATCGTGGATGTAGTCATTTTCACTTTTGCCATCCCCTTCAGGCAATTCCAACATCTGACTACGAAAATATGCATATTCGCTCTCCCACTAGGTAGGACCAAGGTGACGCACTGCTAAGCATTAGATCTGTACTTTGAGAAGATGTGATAATGACTTACTCCGATCACCGTGCGCATTCTCTTTGTTCTGCCATTCAGGATGGAATATAGTTAGGCGCAACGTGTTATTGAATAGGCCTAGTTCCAAAAATTCTAGTTCCACGCGGCTGCAAACCTCTAGCTTATAGATTCCTGTCAGAATAATGGCCCCCGGGTAATCTATCCCGCTGCCGCATCTGTCCGCTTACCCATCTGGGAGTTCCCCATCAGGGAACTGTGCCCCGATGTGGCCAGATCTCACTATGTAGAGTTTTACCGCTTCTCTGCTATAAATATGGACATGATAGTCATGATAGCTAGACCTGAATACCATCGTTTTCAATCATTGTCACATGACAAAATTTACTAGTGAATACAGGAAATTCAGACTCCGACAATTCCTCTTCGAGATGGCCACCCTGTAACCGCGATACCATGTCCAGTGCCATAATATGTCTAGAATTGTGGCTTGCTTGTAACATGATTTTGGGGAGTGATGTAGTTATAGACTTTTTGTAGCATGGTGGGTCGTTCTCGGGGATCCGAATAGTGTGGATGCGAATAAGCTAGGTAGCGGTATCCCGACAAACTATCAAAAGGACACAAGTAGTGTAACCGCAGTCCGCAAATTCACTATTTCCGAGTATCTAGAGGATAGATAGATATAGAGATAGCTTCCCGACGTGTGGTCGCTATGTAGGAACCGGTGAATCGAGCGGGGCCAAATATTTCAGGGGCCAATATTGTAGCTCAGCTGGGAGGTCAATGCGGCGTTGCGCGATCAGATGTGCGAAGTTACCACTCTAATCTGATTTTCGCCTTCTCGATCGCACATTCACTCTGCAGGCGCTTTACATGATCTCGTGTGGATGAATCGAAAACAGCGAAGTCCTTCCTCGATCAGCCTCGTGTCCTGAGCATGTCCTTGGCCGCGACAGTTCGTTCTGATATTGATACCGGCCGCTTCAGGTGTCACGATGAATGAACACGACTCGGATGCCCACTCTTCAACAAATGGGTCAGACGGCGTTGACTCCGTTGCTGGCTCCCCCACCGAGTCAGTCCACAGCTATGTGCGCCCTCGTCCGCAGAGAGGTGCCAGGGTGGCTTTTGCGCCGCCAGATTTGTCCTCAACATCATCAGCGACTACATCGGAGTTCGTTCGTCCTCGACCAAGAAGTCCATCGCGGCCCAGTTACAGATCCCGATTAAGGACCCGGTCCTATGAGACCATTAGGATACCCGCCAGGGCAGATTGGGACGATATATCACCGCCTCGATATAAATCGAATACTCCTCACGCTTACACTTCAAACGGCTCTCGCGCTTCCACTTCGGCTAGCGCTTACACTTTCAATTCAAGCCGACCACCCACTCTAGGCCTTTCAAGCGGCCCTGACTACTTTGAAAGACATCTGGATGAGGACGATACATCGCCGCCTCGGTACAATTCAGAAGGGCCCGAAAGATACGAAGACGTTTACGAAAATGACTTCGATGAAGTTGCATCTGATTTTCCAGAATCATTTCTTCGTCGTCCAACCCATCGACGGAGAGGACAGGATATCTCCACATTCGCGATTTCAAATGCCAGCCGAAGACCCCAATACCTCCACAGAGACCACGATGACCTCGCGGATGACTCTGATGAAGAGCGTTTCACAGTTCACCACGTCATTAACGTTCATCCCTCTCGCTCCGCTGCCAGCCATGGAAATGAAGAACAGAAGTGGCTCGGAAGCAGGGTGTTCACTCATCAATCCTCGTTTAATCACGATGAAAAAGCCTTTCTGGAGACTTATCATATTATCCAGTCACGACTAATCCCTCGCTCTGAGGATGAATTGCATGACCGAGCAATTCTTACGTACGAGGAGAAAGCCGCATCGTCCAAGACAGAAATTCAATGGGTGTATGTTTGATTCTATACTTTCGTCGGTTTTGTCGACGCGAGAAAGCATTTACTAAACAATCACAAAACAGTCACGTACAAAGCAATTACATGAATCTCGAGCTGTTTGAAGTATGACCCCTGCTAGTATTACCGGAGGTTTGACTAAAGCATTGAAGATGGAAGCTCTGCGTCAGCAAAATATTCCAGAAACGACCAGCATTCTTATCCGCTCAGCATTCAGATACCTCCGGCAACGAAATGAGAAATCATATGTGCACGGGAGGTTTCTCGATCCAACTGCGCTGAGCTTCGTCGCCAGGGATGATGACGACGAGATACTGCTAAGAGAAGAATTGGCATCGATTGCATTTTTAGCTTTTCCATACTTCAGTCTCGAGCCGCTACACGTTGAAGACCCCTCTCCTGCGGAACCGATACACCCGGTGAGAAGTCTTCTTCAGTTTCATTATTCATTCCAGTCGACTGGGCAGCGGGATACGGATCAAGTTGTTCGCAAAGTTCTAGAGGTGTCAGATGTGCTTCATGTGCCCCAGACATGGATGCTTCTGATCAATGAAGGTATGTTCCAATTGACCGGGGTCAGTCACTCAATTTTGATCAATTGCTAGAATTGATCCTAAGCATGAGCCCGAACGACCTCGCTCGTATTGGGGGGAGTATGTTTCCCTCGAAAAGGCGAAAGTGGGAGGTGCAATGCCCCAGATCCGATTGATCGACTTCGAAGGGAAACAGTACTTTCTCCCAAAACGGAGCTGTCAGACATGGTTGGTGAGTTTGAGATTGAAATCCTATCTAATATTGCGAGGCACCGGCTCATTCAGTGAGATAGGAGTTCATCAGCATGTTCAGCTCAATGGAAGAAGATAACACAGTGCTGACTTCCTTCATAAATGGCTCCTGGAGCGACGAATACGAGCTACGGCTTGGGAACGAGCTTATCTCGGAAGCAAACTGGTCAGAAACTGTTCTCCGGGCTGAAAGTGATATAACGATCTATATCGTCGAGAAGCCCCCACGGCCTTTGCCTCGTCGTTCGCGACCCTCGCGATCGTACAGTAGGACTAACTTTACCCACAGACCCAGGTCACACTATGCTCAAACAGTAAATCATGGTGAGTCCACCTTCGAAGCTTCTCAGCTTCCTCAAGCATCTGTACTCATAGGTCTTTTCTTCAACCATTGACACGGCTTCCACAGACTCCATGCTGAGAAAAAGATCGTCTATATACTCTGCCTCGAATATAACACGCGACGACATTCTCGTTCGACATCCGATGTACATCAGCAGTCAGCACAGAGACGACGGCGACTCAATACGCCAATACCATACCAATGCCGTTAAAAGACATGCTTGGCAAAGTGACAAGAAACCAATTCGTTTGAAGGATCTGAATGGTTTCGAACTGAGTATTCCCTGGCGTGTTGGCAAGACCTGGCGGGTACGGCCACTCCCACCCTTTATTACGCCGGAACGCATACTAACCAGATTCGTGATTTGAACAGAAAATGCAATCCGTAATTGGTACAAAGATGCAGCAGAGCTATGTTTCTCGGCGTCCTTATACTAATGGGGATTACATCTTGATTGGTCCGGATGGGCCCATCACGCCCGCAGAATGGGATGAAAAAATCCGTCCTGGCTGTACAGTTGAGCTCAAACTTACTGGACCTGAGACCATTGGACGAATGTCGAGGCCTCGCTCTCGCTATAGGGACTCAAGATCGGACCCCGGAGACGAGAACTCCATCAACACTGCAGTCCAGCCATATTCATTCACGCCAAGGCCTCTGGAAAGAATCGACACATCCCGTCAGATTGAGTATCCTGGGAATTCTTCAGATGGCGTTTCTGCCCGGGATGCAAACTCTGAGACTCCTGGCGAGCCCAACGAATCTGCTAGCGTCCATGATATCGAGAACGTTGCGAGTGGGTCCAATCTGACGATGAGAGCAATTCAGCCTGAGCCCTCGTCGCAGATGTCTCTGGTTCTCCGTAGAAATTCTCCTCTCAATTTGGATACAAACATTTATACAGCAACTGGAGAACAACATGACGGAGTCCCAAGGCTATCCCGAAGATCGACTGGTACCCAGAGCTTTGTTGAAGATTTCGACGAGGATACTGCTGAGGATAGTATCCCTACCGAAAAAACCTCCTCCGTAGACTTTGCATATCCTTTGCCTTCTGTGGGAAGAGCCTCAGGCGATCGTCGCGGATTATCTTTAACGACTCGCTCGGACAAAACCTCGTCGAGCTCGACTGAGTCTAGCAAGCGGGACTCATCATCGCAACTAGCAAGCCCAGAGGAGCCTGCAGCAGACGCACAGCCGGAGACTGGTAAAGAAACAACACGAATGTGTCCGATCTTTGCTTGGAAGGTTGCAACAGGCGATGATCTGCCACCTACACTGATGGAGACAAGCGAGCCAATGTTTGGTTACAAAGATGCGGATGGGACTATTCGCGCGATATTGGAAGAACGAGAGGCAGAGGCAACACTCTATCTCCTCAAGCATGGGCGAGAAAAGTACTACTTCGACTCAATTCCAGAGTGTTCACGGAGAGAAGTCCTTGCCGAGATGAAAGTCGTTGACACTCCTCTAGACCGGTCTTCAGCGGCTGAAAGATCTGTCGGGAAAAAGTCCACGCAGAAAAAGCTAAAGTTGATCTCCAACGCGATTGAAATTCTGGATGCGTTCGTGCCTGTGCAGTATCAGAATAACCATCAGTATTTGTTGATCAAGAAATTCTACGGCGCATTGCTAGCAATAACGTCTGGCTATGTGAGTCGTTCATTCTCTCTCTGCGATGGAAGAGAGATTAATTCTTCAATTAGTTCAATGATGCCTATCTCGACAAAATTGGTGGTCGTATATCCGCTTTTCTCAAATATATTAGGCAAATTCACGCTCGGGTCTCACACGGTGTTGATGAGCAACACCGGACCTTCTACCTTCCCAAGGCCTTGGTTGATGCCTTCAACCCCATGATTATATACGTCTGCATTTCTAGTCAGGAGTTTGGACTAGATTGGGGTCTTCTTGACCCATGTGCGAGAAAAACCCTCAAATCTCTTAAAACTGCCGAATATCAGCTCATTTCCATGATCCATGCAGGCGACTTCAGCGAAGCCAAAGTTTTCCGAAGCGTCAACGCCCAGGACATTGTGACCATGGTAACAGAGCGCTTGGTGCGAATCCCGAATGAGAATACGAGCGGGATATCCTTGTCAGATGGGTTCAATCTATTGCAAATCTATCGACAGTATATCTTGGGCCTGGTACGATTGACAAGCCTGCACGCTATCCATCGTTACGAAAGCTGACTAGTAGTAGGAACTACAAGCTCGGACATCTCCAAATGCTGAAATCTTTGACGAAATACAACGACTCCGAGAAGAGCTGAATATTGTCCATACCGTACTGGACCAGCAGCTGGAGGTTCTTGACAGGCTTCGTACGGTGTGGACCAGTCTCAGACATCCCCGTTACCAAATCAGCCTGCAAAGCATCCGCCAAAGCCGCAGGCTGCTCAAACAAATGAAATGTGATTTAGATGAGCTAGAGCTTATGTCCGACAAGACATCCATGCTGGTAAGGTGCACCTTCTGCCTTGCACATTCCATCTCAATTGACCACCTTCAACAGCTACGGTCCATGATCGAAGTGCGAAAAGAGTCGAATAGCAAAGCAATCGCCATCTTCACGATTGTGACGGTCATCTTTCTGCCTCTGTCGTTTGTGACCTCCTACCTCGGCATGAATAGCGTCGACATCCGAGACGGGACCTTCAACCAGAGCTTGTTCTGGATTGTGGCTCTCCCCAGCGCTGCTGTTCTCATATTTACATTGTGGATTGTTCTTAAATTCAGGCAGAGTCTGAGGAGACGGTGGCCTCGTCGAAGACTGCGTGGATTTCTGCGGATGATTGCATTTTGGTTCTACGGAGCCGCGAGTACGGTGCCCGGTGGTTCCGCATCGAGTCGGACAACAAGGGAAACTACTATAATGTGAACAAGGCCAGTGCTATGTGATGATTATCGGGAGACATCCTACTTGTGGGTACAAGAGTGCGATATGTTCCAATGGCACCTCCGACAGCTAGCAGCTGGATCTCCTTTCCTCCCAGTCTTCGATGTAGATGCTGAGATCCGGTAGTGATGAGTTCGGCACGTAAGATAGGAAAGCCCCAAACACAGAGGAAATCTGCTACGTAGATGTGCCTTGTACATCGAGATTGAGTTTTGACGTACAGTATATATTCATACTACCACTTCACAGTATACAACATACCCCGTATTCTTGTATGTACCTCGTAGAGCATAAAAACATAAAACAGATACTATATCCAAGTAAATGAATGCACCAGTAACATATACATGTCCAACATCCAAAGGGTATGATCGACAACAAAAAGGGTATCGCGCCATATCAGTGTACGATATAAACAATAAACAAATAGAAAAACTACATATGCATCGGCATCCATTCCTGGCCCGGGTATGTCGTCGGAGACATGAGGATTTCGTCGCTCGAATCGTCCTTCGTGAGAGCCAGCTCTACCGGTTCTTGTGGTGGGTCGTTGACTATCCGCGGCTCGTCATCGCGGTGCGGGTGGCCTGCGGTGGAATAGGGATCGGAGCAGAGGCTTTTGTTAAGCCTTGTTGGTTGCTGCTGATCCTGCGCAGTGCTGTCTTCGGATATCCATGGTGTGGATGACATCTTATATTGTTGGCCTGGGAAAGGTTGGCTTTCGGTGTGAGTGTGCCAAGGTGCATCGGAGACCTCGTTTGGTGTGCTGCCAGTGACTTGCGAGTAAAATCTGTCCGAGGCAAGAGGGTTCAAAGTCGAGATAGGTGGCATACTGGCGCGCTGGCGTGGCTGTCGTAGATATTCTGTGTCGGCCGGCAAGGATGGCGGCGGTTGTTCCACAGCGGGTTCTGAGGGCAGGGGTGCCGGTATAGAGGGAGCAGGTTGCTTGGTATACGCGGTATGTGGCGTCTTTCCGTTCACCTGGGGTGGCCTTGACAGCACCTTGAACTCTGTCGGGCGGGAGTTGGTTTTTGCTCGCTCACTCGCTCCGTTTTCTTGGAGTTGAGACTCATTTTGCCGACCGAAAAGACCCTGTACCTCGTTAGACCGTGTTTCGTACGTACCGACTTTCGGATGGGTAAACATACACTAATTCGGCTGAATGTTCGCTTCTGACCTCCCTGCAGACCAGAAAATATATCTCCCACGGACGCCCGGCGTCGTTTCCCGAACTTCTTCAACTTATCTAAGGCAGAATCCTCATCTTGACCCGAAGAACCTGCTCCCGCAGCTTGCGAAATGTCTTTGGCAGGCGTGGCAGGACGGGTTCCCTTGCTGGTGCCGCTCTGTCTACCAAAGCTCATCATACTGCTTCTTGTTCCAGGGGAATATCTGACTTCGTTCCGCAGCGGGCTTTGCACTCCCGGAGTGGTCTCCAGTGCGCCACTGATCGACTGTCGCTTGTAGCCCAAGACCTCGGAAGATGTCGGTGGGGGGGCGGGTGGGTAAACGGGTTTATAGTCTGACACCACCTCCTCAGCAGACGGCAGGGAAGTTCTTGAAACACTAGCTTGGGGAGCAGGTTCGCCATATGCCTGATCAGGCGTTTCTTGCAGAGGCGAAGGGGGACTGTCATAGAGCTCGGAACTCCCCGGCGGTCGATTCGTACTTTGGTCATCAGTTCCAATTGAAGAAATTGACTTATGGCTCTGTGCCTTATTCATCGGTTGCGGAACGGTCATATAATCCTTTGGCGGAGGAATCGGTTGATCTTTTGAAGGGGTAGGAGGTTGGTCCTTCGGTGGGAGCGAGGGTTTGCCCTCAGCCTCTGAAAAGTCCGATGGCTGACCCGCCGTTGAATATTTTGACTTTGGCATGAAGGGATAGGACTTTGGCGGAGTATTGGGGTTGTCTTTCGGTGGGGGAGGAGGTACGTCCTTTGGCGGAGGAGCTGGGCCTATCTCATCGGACACCGGACGAATAGATGACAGTGCAATCTCTGGTCTCTTTTGATCGAGTTTTTGTTCAGGAAACCCTCGCAGATTCTTCTCATTTAGCTCGGGCGTATCCTCTTCGGCCTGTGCCTCTGTGCCCTGTGCAAATGGGGCATTTCTTTCCCATGATGTAGGTCCGGAATCCGTTGGCGACAGCCCAAGAGCAGCAACCATTTCCCTCTCCAGAGCACCAGCATAGTCCGACCCGCTCGTGGCTTTACTCGCACGCCGAGTTTGGTCAAGAGATAAGCGAGCCCGCTTTTGAGCAGAACCATCATTAGCGGTTTCGCTTTGCAACCGCGAGAGATCCATTGACTTGGCGCGGAGACCAGGGTTTGTTCCAATAGGCGAGGCGATGGGCTCTTTGGTGTTGATGGATACATTCTCCTCATTCCGAGAGGCCTTGAAGAGATTGCCCAAAGTGACGGAGCTCCGGAAGGAGAAATTAACATTGGAGCCATTGGCTCCGGGAGAGAAGGGGAATTGCAAGCTCCTGCGTGTCGCTGTCGGCGTTTGAACCTACAGAATTACCCACATCAGAACAGAAGCCAAGGTAAAAGGAGGGGGAGAGAAGGTAAAAAGGTCGGAGGCATCAATCGTGTCGCATTCTAGAATCAAAGCCAAGCGGTTCACGAAATTACATGGTGGTATCCAGAAAGAGAGAAAGAGTGAAAGAAAGAATGGAAGCGCGAAAACAAGAAGAGAAAGCACAGAACCGGTTCCCAACATGATAGAATGTAAGAGATTATGTATCTACCTTTTCGCTAGGACGGAACTTATTTCTGCCTTTGGCAAACAGCCCCTTCGCAGCCTCGCCCGCCTTGCCACTGAATGCTCCTGCTGTGTGAAGGAGTTCCTTGCCGCGGAGTTCGACATTCTGCCTGTTCTTGATGGTTCCGAGATGAGCCGAAGGGCGTCGATTATGGGTTGCACTGGTTGGAGAGTTGGTATTAAGCGTGGAGGCAAGGTTGCCTAACGAGGGCAATTTCGGGAATCGGCTTTGCGTGGGCGACGTCCTGTCAGCTCCAGTAGACGGGCCCTGGCTTTGTAGGTCGGCATACTCCGGGTGGTCGTGGACGGTGAACTCAATCCAATGCTGCAGGCCGGTGTCAAGGGCAGCAAACTGGCCTCTTGTACGATCAAATGCCCGGATGCGTTCATCAGCCGACTTGATTCCAAGGATATCGCGGAAGCCCAATAGACTTGCTTCATTAATCAAGTTACTGGTAGCTGGAGGCATCGTCGCTTCACTGATTTCACTGACAGGTTCTGGTAGAATCTCCGAATTCAAGACCTGCTCGGGTGGTGAACTACTCTCCGCCATTGGAGGAATGATCGAAAGTATGGGCCGTTCAAGGCTGCGCTCGCTATCGGCGTCCATACCAGCAGCAGTCATTTGCGCTGCATCCGGTTCTTCTGCCCTAGGAGCTGCGTCATAAGACAGAGGCTCGGGCTCTTGGACAGCCAGCGATGCACTTAGAGGGGGCGGCGAGGTGTAGCCCCCCGGAACTTGAGGCTCAGCCCCATCACCCGACGATGACGATTCCCAGGAAAACTTTCGTTCAAGTTTAGGCTTCTTCGGCTGTTCCGATAGCGCATCTCTACCGGCAGCCTGACTGCTGGAGTAAAGATCTTGAGGCGCCGAGGGATGCGGGCCAGTCCAATCCGGGTGAGGTTTTGAGACTTCGTCAGGCGCCTGCGACTGGGATTGCAGAGTCTCCTGCTCCGCGCCGTCAAAAGGACTATTCTCCCTGCTTAATGAGCGAATAATATCTTTGCTCAGCAGATCGTTGTCGACATCCCGCGGCGAGTCGTCCGCACCTTCAGGCACGATGATTGGAATACTGCCATGACGGGTATCGGCACTTGTCGGCCGGCTATTGCCCAGGTTGAGCGGCGCAACAAAGTCGTTCTCAGTCGCACTCGCGGGTCCTTGCATGGATGCCCTCTTGAAATATGATTCCGCATCAAGTGACTGCTTTGGAGTGCTTGCCTGCGAAGGGATCTCAGGCGACATCTCCGCTTGGCCTGCCGAGGGAGCATCGTGCTCGGTGATCACAGGTCTCCTGGCAGGGCTATTATCACGGCTAGGAAGGCTCAGGTCGCGACGGTGACCCGGTTTGAAGACGGGCCCTTCGTTCACAGGTTCGGGGGAAGCCACAACCGAGGGAGAAGCCACCTCGGGCTCTTCGGGGATGGTGGGCGTTTTATCATCATTGATACTGCGAGCGCCCATGATGGGGCTGACCACCGACGTACCGTCGCTATTAGATCGTCCAACGCTGCCTGTTGTGGAGGTCGGTGTTTCTGGGACATCGAAAGCCTGATGAACCACGGATCGGAAGCCCTGGGACTGTTGGTGCTGCAGAGAGGGCTCCGCAGGCTCGGTGTTGGTCTTTTGGAAACCGCTGTTCATGAAATCGGTACCAAAGCCAGAGACCCTCTTGAGTTCGGGGAGTCCGATGGAGGGGGCGGTTTGTGTCTGCGAGGGAACAGTTAAGCCCTGGGATGCCAGACTATCGCTAGCCCGTGCTGGAGCTGTTTCCGGCTGCTGCGAGCTTTGCGAATTATCAATTTGAGAATCCGAGTACGCTGCGGCAGGCGGTGTTCCCTGCTGTTCACGCATACGCTTATAGATGTCTGCGGGCCTGATGAAAGGCAGAGCCTTTGAATCCTCCGCCGCGGGACTACCTTGCGATCCATCAGCGCCGAAAGCAAGGCCCGACAAACGCTTGGAACTCAAGTCCGATGAGCTGCCGGTTCTCTGTTGTGTGTAGGGCGGCTGTGGTACTGGGGGAGCCTCCTCCTCCTGATATTCATCCTCCTCGTCACCCCAGTCCGTGCCATCGTAGGAGTATTGCTTCGCTTCGACCCAACGCTTTGTTTTCGCACGATTGACGTTCGGTTGGAATGAGACGGGCGTTCTACCGCCTGCATTGGGTGGGCCCGGACTAGAAGATGTCTTAGTACTTGTGCGACCGACGGGCCAAGGCAGCTGATAGGAATAGCTCACATCTTTGAGGCCCCTCGGCCGTGCGATCTGGATGTAGGATCCGCCATCAGGGAGCTAGAGGAGTCAAGCGCAGGCAAGCTCGATGACCAGCAAGCATCAGTGGCCGCTTAACTTAGGGAGTTGTAGATCGCAAGTCCCACTGCCTCGCCCCCGGACAGTTTCTGGTCCAGGATGGGGAGAGGAAGAGCGGAGGGTCTCGTGTTCGGGGAGAGGGAGGAGGGACAAAAGGTGGCAATGCCACGCATACCAACAACGCCGCAGACGCCGATCAGCTCGGATCAACAGAAGGCTGGGTTGGCCGCCAAACAGGAATAGGGCCGGCGATGACGTGGGAAGGGAGAAATTCCCCCACTGTGAGAGAATAATGAAATATAGGGCTGGTGGTCAAGTATAGGAGAATAATGAAGCTATTGCATCGTCATCATCAATTCTTTCCCCCTGACCAGTAGATAAATTTAGATGTGAAACGGGCGCAGCGCAGATGGGACTTATGTAAGGGGCAATGGAGGTCACGTGGTGTCTTGCATCGAGTGGCTGAAGGCGAAGTTGGCCTTCGGTCGTGCAAGACGGAGTGTTGACTTAGCCAGCGTGTCTCCCATGAGACCAAAGTGAGAGACTCTCCCCGTGCTCCATTTCTCGTCGTCCTCCACATCCCCGGGAAACCTCCCCCACCCCCTGCTGCAACCGGCCACGTCTCTTCCCCCGTATCGATTAGGGATAGTCCGATCTCTCCAGCCCAAACAGTCGCCGAGTGCGGCCTCCTCTCTTCCTTGTTGATCCTACGCCTTTTGAAGATCGTATTCGCCCTCCCCACCTATCGCAAAATGACCGGCCCGTCTATTCAGGATCGCACGACCGAGTTCAGCGCCATTTTGGGCCATGCCCAAAGGCGTCTGGGCACGTCGAAAGTCGGCTCGCAGCGCCAGGCATTATTGACAGACACCCAACGGCGCCAGGCCAACGGGTCGCCCAATGGTGCACAAAACGAAAAGCGAGCACGGTCCGAGTTCGCGCGCAAGGCGGCAGACATTGGACGGGGATCACATCCACCACAGCGAAGCTGCAGCGGTTGGCTGAATGTGGGTGTCCTCGGCATGGCATAATTAGTCGCATTGATCTAACAGTGAGAATCAGTGGCCAAGCGCAAAACCCTTTTTGACGACCGACCCGTTGAGATCTCCGAATTGACATACGTGATCAAGCAAGATCTCGCCTCGCTAAACTCCCAGATCGCATCGCTGCAGTCACTGACCTTGTCACAACATCCGAAGTCGAGTCGCTCGAAGACAGATCAGGAAGGCGAGCATAATGACAACGTTGTTGTCATGCTGCAAGGGAAGCTGGCAGATGTCGGGGCCAGCTTCAAAGAGGTTCTCGAGGTCCGGACGAAGAACATCCAGGCATCGCGCACAAGAACGGAGAACTTTGTGTCATCCGTATCGTCCAAATCGCAAACCGCACTAGACACGCAACGCTCAGATTCTCCCCTGTATAACACCTCAGGGCGACGGACGCCCCAGCCGGGATACCAAGGCAACTCCTCCGACCTGTTGTCACTCGATCCTTCCAATCCATCCCCGCTCGGCCGACCATCGATGCAGTCAGATCAGCAGTTGCTGGTCATGGAGGAGGCACAGTCGAGCAATTCATACATCCAGGCCCGTGGCGAGGCTATCGAAGCCATTGAACGGACAATCAGCGAGCTGGGAGGCATCTTTGGACAGCTGGCACAGATGGTCAGCGAGCAATCAGAAATGATCCAGCGCATTGACGCCAACACAGAAGATGTGGTGGATAATGTCCAAGGTGCTCAACGAGAACTGATGAAGTATTGGACTCGCGTGTCCGGGAATCGGTGGTTGATTGCCAAGATGTTCGGGATTCTTATGGTACGTCTGTCTCTGCTATATTCTCGAACAATTGAGCTAACTATTTCGGCAGATTTTCTTCCTTCTCTGGGTGTTGATTTCGTGATAGACACATTCTTTCCGTTCTCGCACTACCCTTTTCTATTCCTGTACTGTATTATAATAGCTAGGCCCGCCTGTGCCCTCTGACAGATGATGCCTACCTTGCATGTCTCTCACACTCATTGAGCACTTCATATTTCTTTATTCTTGAGACCTATGGCTAGACTCTGGGATGTATCTGATAAATCCAACTTCAGGACTGTGTCCTTTCAAGAAGCAATCGTGCAACTACAGAATACTCCACATCCTATACAGAAGCCTTCTCTACGCAGGCAACTGCGCCATAACATCCCACAGATCCGACTCTGCCCATCCCAACGAGGGCTGGTTATCAAACAACTCCCACACCAGACTATCATTCCACCCCGGAGGTGTCCAGGCCTGGTTAGTGCTAGTGGTAGCGGCAGGACCAAGAAAATTAGCATCACGCTCTATCTGAGCTCCGTCCGTCCTTGTGTTGTCTAGTGTGACCGCAGTAGAGACAGCAGACAATGGTCTCTCGGGCTGTTGTTGTGCAGGTTTCATCTGTATCAATGGTGCACATAAGTCCAGAAATTTAGAGAAGAGCCGATACAGTTTATCGATGGACGGGTTTGCCCCGACGAACTGATGCAGATCGTCGGTGATATTCTTGATCATGTGGAAATCTCGCTGGTCTGATGTGGCGACGACGTTGCAGAACAGGACGAAGAAGGGGGCTAGTGGGAAGAGCAACATTGTCCTAGAATATTTGTTAATGTATATCTTCTCTGAGAGGTGTGGGTGAATGCTATACCAAGTGAGGAAGTATGGGTACGAATCAACGGATGTAATATGCCCTGAGAATGTCTCTTGCAAGGCCCGGAGGGTAGTAAGAGATTCCCGGGCTGCGTAAAGACAGTCTTCGCAGATCAAGCGGGATTTCAAGACAGAGGAGCGTACTCGGATGATGGTTGTTAGGACGGAATAGTAGTTGAAATCCATGGAGAGCCATTCTCGTCGTAGAAAGTGCCATGATTCTCCTGGAAACTCTAGTTCTTGACGACGTCGAAACTGAGCATTGTCAGCTATTTAATTAGTTGGTTATCTCTCAGCACCTACTATCTGCAAGTTCGAATGAATTGAGTGCGCTCGCTCCACGAGATTGGACAAGATGTTGGCCTTCTCCACTTCCCGCATTACCTTGATGTCCAGTAGAACATTCAGCAGGGTATGCTTCAGCTGTGAGTATTCGACAATGCCAACGATCATGGCTGATGTTGGTAAGTCGGGATCAACGTGGATTAACTGAGCAGGCTCTACTTTTAGGTCTGGTAGAGACGGCGGCCGGAGGAGCAGCAAGCTGAGTGTCTTGTCGAAGTAATAGCAAGTATACACAGAGGCATGAATGTCTTCTTCCACCTCGTTTCGAGGCTCTGTATCTGTGATGTTGTGGTAACCGAATGAGACAATGATTCGCGAGGCAAGTGCTGTGAACATCCAACAACGGGACATGTTTCCTTGATACTGCATCAAGCGTGACTGTGACGTGTATGTCAATTAAAATTTAAGATAGAAGAGAATCAAAAGCAAAAATTACCCCGGAGAGCAGAGACTGAAGCAAGCCAAGGCTAGGCGCCGCTGCCAAAGGGAGTTGGTTCAATTCTTCTTGAGCAGCCACTTCGTATTGTTTCTTCAATGTGCGGAAATGGACCCTGAGACGTTCACTCGAGATCAATGGTGCCAATTTTGATATACAGGAGATTGCTTTCACCCATACGCTTATCCGAAAGTATTGGAGCACTTGTTCACACTCACTGCCCTCGATTATGGCAAGTCCCATTCGTTCTAGGGCCTTATCAGAGATATGATCTGGCCAGGAAAGGGTGCCTTGGGAATTGGTTTTGTTATCAGGGCCCATGCGTGTGTTAGCATATACTGTATAAAAATCAAAGTTCCAATAAATACCTGGGAGTAGCATGTGTAGCAACTCTGGCGTAAGAGTAGGAGGTTGCAGACTCTCTTCAGCTATATGATCCGCAGCGCGGGACTCCCCAGACTCCCAATGAAGCGCAGGGTTAGATAACTGACTAACAAACTTGCGCGCCAACTCAAGCGCAGTACGTCGATCTGTCGAAAGCTCTGGGTTGCATTGGAGCTCCTGCTCGATAAACTCCCTAGCCTCGCTTGCATGGCGCGTCGACTCCGGAGAATCCTCATGGATTTTTTGTCGAACGACACCTTGTGTTTTATTACGCTTAATCTCTGGGGGAGAGAGTATAATAGTCTCACCCGGTGCGGTGTATTGCTTTCTCTTTTTCTCATAAGCCGGTTCGGTATACTGGCTCGAAATTGACCCATGAGGACTGTGATGTTTAGTCTGTGGTGACGATGCGGATGTTGCATGGCCATGTGCAGCAGCTGATGAAGACTTGACCGATGTTTCTGCTGAGTTTGATTCTTCAAGTTTAGCAAGACGGGCTGCCAATGCATCAAGACTGTGGTCATGTTAGCTTATCCATGTCTTTCTTCCGCGAAGTACGGCCACACATACCGGGAGACACGCGGTCGATGAATGCGCGTTTCACGAGTACGATGGCATTCCACACCTGCATCTACGCAGTTCATGCAGGGATTTTGGCGGTCGCATTTCACCTACATTGCACTGATTTAGCACAGACAGACGTTCAGGCTTGGGATAACTGTTCTGACCTTTCTGGTGTGGCATAAATCGCACTATAGAGAATTTTTAGTGAAATAAGATCATCAAATATAAAATTTGAGTTGCTTTGCGACTGAGCAATCTGAACTGCGGTTCAAGGTATCCCATGTGGATGCCACTTACTGCAGACATGATTTCCGTGGCACTTTCCGCACAATCGGCTTCCCCAGAGAGAATAACTAATAATAATGAATACAAGACATGTTCATTGCAATCCAGATGAGTTGTATGTAGTGCGTGAATGTTGTGAAGTCAAAAGAAGGGGACATCGCCGGACTCCGGATCACTCGCAGCCGAAATTCCGAGGGCCGACCAAAACCGGAAAGGCGCCTGGGCTTTTCGAGAATAATTGACTAAAAATAAAACTAACCATCTGTCACAAGCATTATTGGGTTGCATGAGACGGTGCGAAGGTGAATCAATTTGAAGGAGAGAAGAGAAAGAGGTTGCAGCCTGGAGAAGATGGCAAAGGGACACCTGGGAAATCAGGCACAAATAACTCGCCCCCATCGCCGCCTTCGTGCCGACATCTCGCTTCGCATGTTTACGCTGTCTTTCTTGAATTGCCATGCTATATAATGCATTAATTATTTGATCTGCCTCCCTTTTATCACCTTTTCTTCTTCTTCTTCTTCTTCTTCTACAGCCATGACAACTCAAAGAACTGCTGGCCAAACAACAATAGATTCCCCGGCAGCTTCATCGAAGTCGTACTCCTGCGTGATCTGTTACCAGAGAAAGGTAAAATGTGATCGACAAGATCCATGTTCTAACTGCGCGAAGTCAAAGGCTGAGTGCATCTATCGCCCTCCGCCTCCTCCGCGTCGCCGAAAAAGAGACCGTGGCAATGAAAGCGTCTCTCGTGAACGTCGCGACAAGTCACGGCGACGGGACAGTGAGACGCGCAGTGTACAGCAAGATGGTCGCAGTATTCTGTCAACAGCCCAGTCTCGGTCTACTAGAACAGCAGCTTCATCAGCTGTCAAGGACAGAAATGGACCGGGAAGAATGATCACCAGAGAGGGTAATTCGGTCTATCTTGATAGGTTGGTATATGGAACCCATTTTATACGGGCCTTATCTAACTAATGACAGTAATCTTTGGACAAGCGTTAGCAATGAGGTATGCAACCTCAATGCGCTCTGAATGGCAACATCCATAACATCCGTCCAGCTCCCAGATGCAGCCGATGTATTGGACAATGCATCTGAAAGTGACACCGACACCTTTACCCCAGGCGTTGCGGATGACACAATGATGATTTTGAGTCCCGCATCTGGAGAATCCCTCACAGAATTACATCCTCAGCCATTGCATATTTTCAAGCTCTGGCAAACGTTCCTTGAGAATGTCAACCCACTGACGAAGATTATACATACTCCAACCGTGCAGCAGCAAATTTTGGAGGCCATGAGCGACTTGTCTCGTGTAGAGAAAGATCTAGAGGCCTTGATGTTTTCGATTTACTGCATTTCTCTAGTTTCATTGCCACCAGGAGATGTTGAAAAGTCATTCGGAGAGAGCAAAGGGTCTCTTCTCTCGAAGTATCGCCGAGGAGCTCAGCTTGCTCTTAGAAATGCCTCATTCCTCCGTACATCGAGTGTTGTTGTTCTACAAGCCTTCATCTTCTACGTGGTTTGTCAGCCTGCCACCCAGTACACCTCCATCTAACAGATGTTCGATAGTTCACCACGCGCGCATTGTCAGATCCGCATACCGTATGGACTCTGTGTGGTATCGCGCTGCGCATTGCCCAGCGAATTGGCCTTCACCGAGACGGCTCTGGGTTTGGGCTGTCAATCTTTGAAACAGAGATGCGCCGGCGGATTTGGCTTCAACTCATAATTCTAGACTCCACAGCAGCGCAGTTCAGTGGCGTTTCCCCGTCTCCCTTTCTATCGTCAGCGGATGTCCAGCCTCCAGCGAATGCAAACGACAGCGATCTTGACCCGCGTATGACAGAGCCCCCTTTAAATAAGGCCGGTCCAACCGAGATGATTTTCTGCAAAGCTCGGAGTCAATTTGGCAAATGGGTTCGCCGCTACGCCAAAGACAATGGCAATGATTGGTCCTGGGGGATCTTATCTTCTTCGTCCAAGTCAATAGAAGAAAAGGACCGAATTATCGATGAGCTGGACGAGCTTATAGAGCAGTCAATTCTACGGCATTGCGATCGGTCCATTCCTCTTCATTTGCTTACTACGTTGATGATTCGGTCGGCCAGCGCTTTTACGAGACTGATGGCACATCATCCCCGACAATACCAAGACAGCAGCACTTTAATGCCCGAATCCGAAAAGGATATTGTGTTTGAAAATTGTTTAAAGATGGCGGAGTACTGCGATCAAGCTCAAACTAACCCATCTATCCAAGGATTTTCTTGGCATATGGAGAATCATGCCCCATGGGATGCCATCATTATCATGCTATCAGAAATGCGGCATCGCAGGTCTCCAGAGGAGAAAATCAAGGTGTGGCAACTCATTGCCAACATATATTCTCGGTACCGTCGGAACTTGCGCAAGAAGACCCAAACGCCGCTTCACCTGGCCATCCAGAACCTGATGGTCAAGGCTTGGCGGGCTTACATTGAAGAGTGTCACTCCCACCATCGTACTCCTACATCCTGTCCCACCATAGTCGCGGATTTCTTAGCTTCTGCCGATAATCGCTCGGAACCGAGTGCAGTGCAAAGTGGCCCTGTGGTTATTGAACAAGACGCTGCATTCTCAGGTCAACCCGACCCCAACTTGGCTGCTGCATCTACCGGGCTAGAAGCCGATGATTTTGGATTTTTTCTGGGTAACAGCCCGGAGGATTGGAATGATTGGGACAGTCTCCTCAATCAGTTCAACGAATCCTTGATGGATGCACCGTTCATGCCAGACTTAGGATGACCCCCATGAAGGCGCTCTGTACATTCTGTATACCAGTCGACGGCTTTCCCGAAAAGTCGGTCAAATGATTTGGAGCTATTGTTCTAAGATAGACGTGGGATTAATCACTGTTTCGCAGCTGTAACAATGCTCATAAATGTTGGCCGGGTCTGTGGACGGAGTCGGAGTCATCGGCGGGCGACTCGCCGATCTTTTCTCGCTCGGACCGGTGCCTGTGAATACCCGAACACGAAGAGTCACTCGTCTAAGGCATCCCGCGTAGTTTTCGCAAACGATCACGAGAACCGAAATGAGCTGTGATTGTCAAATATTTAAAGCCCCTCTCGCTTCTTCAGAGGGAGCTCCTCGAACTTCGTTCAGCCCTAAGACATGCCTCAAACCGACGTTCTGGTTGTTGGCGCAGGCCCCACTGGCCTTGTCCTAGCTTTATGGCTTCATAAACAGGGCGTTAACTTTCACATCATCGATCAAGCAGAAGCGCCCGCCAAAAACTCTCGCGCTCTGGTCATCCATTCGCGCATTCTGGAATTATATCGCCAGCTGGATTTGACCGACGAAATACTGCAACATGGTCACAAACTGTCCGCAACCAACCTTTGGGTAGATAGATATCACCGAGCACACATTCCTCTGGAACAATTTGGTTCCGACTTGACGCCGTATCCATTTCTGACTATCTTGCCGCAAGATGACCATGAACGGCTTCTTGAAAAACGACTGAATTCACTGGGCATATTTGTTGAACGATGCACTCGATTACTAGACTTCGTCGACCATGGACCTAGCGTCACAGCAAATCTTCTCAGTGAGACTGACGGCAGCAAGGCTACCTGGGATGCTGCTTATATCGTTGGGTGCGACGGGGCACGTTCAGCTGTTCGCCATGGCATCCATGCCAAATACGAAGGAGACACCTACGAGCCGCTCTTCTACATAGCCGACATCGACGGCGAAGATGGCCCTCTTTTCAATGGGGAGGCGCATCTTTCCCTCACACGCGACCAGTTTCTTCTGCTTCTGCCCTATTCCCAGAAACGACATGTGCGACTAGTCGGCACTACTCTCTCCAAAGACGGGTCCCTTGATGAACATAAGGACCAGCAACAACAAGTGACGGTCGACGATGTTCTGCCGCAGATCAAACAAGTGCTGGACGTGGAAGCGATCAAGGTCAACTGGTTTTCAACATATCGCAGCCACCATCGGGTGGCCGATAAATTTCGAGCCAATCGAGCATTCATTATCGGCGACGCTGCCCACATCCACAGTCCCGTTGGCGGCCAAGGTATGAACACGGGTATCATGGATGCGATGAACTTGGCCTGGAAACTGGCCACTGTGCTCAAACAAAGCTCAATGACCGAAGAATCCAAAGACCAGCTCCTAGGCTCCTACGAATATGAACGCCGCGCCTTCGCATTGAAGCTGGTTGAATCAACAGACCGCGGATTCACCGTGATGTCATCAAACGGCTGGATTCCCTATATCCTGCGCCGCTGGGTACTGCCTTATGTTGCACCTCTGATTCCCTATTTCCCATCCGCGGGAAAGGAGATATTCCGCACTGGATCTCAGCTCATTCTCTCCTACCGTGGAAGTTCCCTAAGCCAAGCAGCAGGTGGATTCGGGGCTATACAGCCTGGCGACCGTCTGCCATGGGCTAAGACCAAGCAAGGGGATAATTTCTCCAGCATACAGGATATCACCTGGCAGGTCCACGTATATGGAGACTCGAGGCCAGATATTGTGGAGTGGTGCACGCGCAGGAACATTCAATTGTTCGTATTTGACTGGGATAAACAGCATGGAAAAGTCGGTCTTCAGAAGGATGCTGCTTACTTGCTGCGACCAGACCATTACATTGCAGGGATCCTTGCGGGAGAAGTGATGGAATCACAGTTGGACGAGTATTTCTCCAGTCGGGGGTTGACGTGCTAGACTCTTTGTTTTTGGTTGTATCGATACTCCTCAGGATTAATGCCTCTCTACTCACGACGTCTTTTCTCGCTCAAATCCGAATTAATTGTGGTGAACAGGGTGCCAAATGTTGCATAATAATTAGATGGATTGGACCATTCCTGGTTCAAAATCAAGTATGCTCTTATTGGGTTTCTCTCGTTTAAAGAAGCCTGGGAAGAATATTCTTTGTTCGCTAGAATAGATCTTTAATTACTTGTTTCTTGTTACTTGTGCAAAGTTTTGGATTGGGCTGCTTAATATGGGATGTATTTTATACTCCCCCGGGGGGGGGGCATTATGTACAGTAGAACGTAAACCATCAGGTAGTGATAGTAGACTATGCCACGCTATTGAAGGGCGATTGTAGCCCTTGAGGATCGTACTGGGAGCCCGGTTCACAGAGAGACCTCGCGATTACGTTAAGAAGGTCATGATGCTACATCCACTCTGATTTACAGCTTCACCCCCGTCGTCATAGCCAGAAGGGAAGGGACGCGGCGGTGCAAGCAGGCGGTCGGGGGCGGTAGAAGAACGGTGCAATAATCGGGATTGCAAACTCGTAGGCCACTGAACCCTAGGCATATGCTGGCTCTCAATGTGTTCCCAAGAGTTTGCGAATAGTAGAGTAAACGCTCTTCAGCCAGGAGATCTAGGTTCTATAAGTTAAAATGGTAATAGGCGGGGTGAAAATCATTTCCTCAAAAAAAATGGTTCCCGAGTCAGGACAGAAATTCCCCTTTTACTATCGTCTTAGAATAATGAACGTATGGCCATGACGAAGAGGTCTCATCATCTCCACATCGTTCCCGAGGGAGCTTCATTGAAATCATCTTTGCTAGAGCGTTCGCTTTCACCGTCGGATGGATATGCGGGTTCGCTAGTGACTTCAATCGTGGTCTCCTGATAGACCTTTCCAATAGGTGCGATCTCGACGCCCGACTGGACGATGTTATCTGTCGAGCCGTCGTGCTCATCCACCATGCTGCTGTCCTTAGCACCTAGCTTCCGGGACTTTGGGTCGGCCGTGATAGTGGTCAAGTGGGTTTCGCCATAGTGTCCACGGTCGCTGGCGAACCTATCATAGGAACGGCCGTGGCTGGGCTCGGAATCGATGATGAGATTGCGGCGGGTAAGCGTATACAGGATGACATCGATGAGGCCAGAGCTAGTAATGATGGCACCTTAAAGGAAATTAGCGAACAAGACTCTTCTTAGTAAAGAGAAGCAGGATATTATCAGAGGGTATGCTCACCGGCACAGCAGAAGAAAGTGATAGATGGTATGTTGCCGTTCGCGTTTGCCATACGTCCAGCAGCCAAGGGCAAAGAAAGGACCAGATAGACAAGAGGATAAATTGTCATGTATCCGACCACACGACGCAGACGCTTCAAGCTCTCCAGCTGGCTATTACCCAGAATCGAGGATGCGGTAATTTGTCGCCGAAGTTGGAAGTACATCACCGTGTAAAGACATATATTGCCAAATTCAGCTAGGAAAATCCAGATATAGTGAGTCCAGAGACGAATATTTTCGAAGTCTTCGTTAATCCAACACCAGGCACCAGAGGGAACGAATATATCAGCGCCGTGGATTGCCAGAGGAATTATCATTATAATAATAACGACAAATGCCCAGATACCACAAACGAAGGCGACAAAGAATTTGTATGGCATCTTGATTCCCCAAACGACGAGCAAGAAGGTATGGAAGGCGATAGCGAGAACGAAAAGACCGCTGCCGGGGTTTGCAATTTGGAGAAAAAAGCCTTGGAGAAAGCACGCCGCTGTGCCAGATTTGATTTTATCGGTGATTATCCATTTAAGGCAGATCAAGAATCCAACTGATTGTATAAAATCTGCCAGAACCAGGTTGTAGATCAGAATGATATACTGGTTGTAACCGATGTATCTTTGGAAGTATGATTTCCAGAAAACTAGGCGGAACGTGATGAAAGCAAGAAGAGATATCGTGGCAAGGAATGAAAGAAAGGCCATAAACGAAACGGCAATGAGGCCCCTCCGCTGTGTCAGAGGCAAAGGATCGATGTCTGGCCTCACATCGCTAGCCCATCGGGGCACCAACGCGTGGTTCATCGCACTTTCCACAGGGTCGTTTCCCAGCAGCATGTTAAGTAGGGTGAGCACCGATGGGGGTTTCAAATGATTCTGTGGTAACGACTTCAAAGATACAATCCCTTCCAGCACAGCCCTTTTAGGAGACAGGGGGAAACGTGGACTATGCTGAGATGAGGATATTGGCGTTGCGGTCGAAGTTCAAGTTGCAATTCTGGTTGATGTGCAAGGAAGAATAAAGAAAGCCTATCGACCGGGTGCTCCAAAAAGAAAATAGTCAAATGCGCTAATTGTTCTTGACAGGCGGCAAAATGAAAGTTGTGGAAAAGAGGGACGCAAATAGATATACGAGACGGAATTTTTTAAGTTAATTTGAGAATGTAGAACAGAGTCTACAGGGAGACCATTGTCGAGAGAAGGAACTCTAAAGCTACTAGTTAAAGGAGAAAGACAAGGTATTTCACTCAGACCTTCTCGTATCAGGGCTTGCTACTACAGGATTAGGACATCTTCTGGCCTGTGCCCTTAAGATCTCCGTTACGAACCATGGTTGGAAGTCCATGGTTAGGCAAGCAACTCCATAATATTACACAGGCTAAGAATGATAAAGTTTTGTTCTACGTCAGACCACAGACCCTTCTTCAAACAGTGCGTAGAAGTGAGTTTACGTGAAATTTGCCACGAGAAGTCGAATAAAACAGGGTCGAAGTAGCCTAAGAAGTTTATACCCACTCCGATAAGCCCCACGCGGCAGAGGACCTTGGCATCTGGAGAATAGAGTGCAGACCGTTCAAAATAGCCGCAGGCCGAATAACAACCCTTACTGTCTGGCAATTCGTCGGACATATTAAGTGATCAATCACGGACATCATTTGCTTTTCCGATGCAGAGCAAACCTTTTCAAACGCTAGTGGAACACAGGGGCAAGTTTCGCAGCTTGAATAAGTCCCCACCTTGGTAAAAGTGTCTCCAGCACCAGTAGTCTTCTTCGAACAGGGGTCATTCAGGGACTACGAAATACGGAAAGTCTAATTTCGGTGAATGACAAGCCCTAGGGTTACATCAATTCTTAGGAACTTCATGTGCTCACCAGGCAATGCCGATCTCATCTCGAGAGTGTGGAGGGACTATTTGTCCTTAGCGTAATATTAATCTCGCGGCCGGGCTATAGGGGGTAAAATAAGCTTTCTGCCATTTTAATCGATTGTAACGGAGCCTGCCGAGCCGCATGCCCTGAACAAAATACGATGAACAAGGAGATCAAGGCCCGCGAGGATTACACGCTGGCGCTAGCCAGCGTTAGAGCTGCTAGCAGTGATCGTGGAGATTTTACTACTCACCATCTGCAGATACTTCCAGAGTGAATGCAATGTGCTCCCCGGGGACGGCACAGGTTATTATTAACAACAAGAGGGAGAAGAATATCAGCCAAGATTGTATTAACCTGGGCAAGTCCCAACTATCGTTAAATTGTCCAGATGGTCCGCGTTAGTCAACCAGCGTGCAAAGCCATTTTCCCCAACCCTAACTTATCATTGTTAATGCTCTCACGATTTGGCGCAAGTCGAACTAAACAACATACACAACGGTTGATGATATTACCTCTAGTTGTTGTTGAATCAGGTGAGACTGAAAATGTAGTGACAAGAAAGTCCAAAACATGATTGGTAGGATACCGTGTAGGGGCTTTGACGCAAGTAGCATTGAAATTTGGAAATATCCGCGTTGGTCTTCCCACAATATTTGACTTTATTGCGTTTGTGATATGCGGGGGAGGTGGATTATGTCCGTTAACGGTCGCACTCAGTCCCCTAGAAACTCAGCTTCGCGGATCTCTAGAATCGACTAGTGGAGTCTGCACTGGCTCTAATAATCTATAAGCATGGAGAACGGGCCGAGAAAATGGCCATGTTTAGCCCAGGGATGGGGCATGGTTTCCTACTTACAATCACATGTAATTGAGAAGCGGAGATGAGCGGGTGATAAGCGGGTCTGTACCGTGATGTTATTATCGCCCATTTGGAGAATGGCCCACCGTGGGTAGAGATCGACCTATTCTACCTAAAAAAGCGGACAAATGCGGATATTCACGTAATCAAAACCCACAGCTCTGTGCTGGAGAGCTGGTTCATTATAGTGCACAATATTTAGTTATTTGATCTAGTTCGATCATCATTTACTCCTTCAAATTTAGGTGAAATATCACATTTTTATGCATTTGCGGGCGGGATGGAAGGTGAGGGTTACGAGTCGAAGGTAATAATCGATTTGTAGTTTATATAGAGGTTTAATTTCTTGATTGACCAAGGAGTGTTTGTATAACCATAGAACGCAGGAGTGAAAAGGTGATAGCATCCTAGGTAAATTGAAGGAATTCCATTGGTCAGTATGGGATTCGCAGAGAACCGCGAGAGCATTAAAGCAGTATACAAGCAAGTTGAGAAGTAGGGAAGAAGCCGGCCATATTACTTGCCTACTTAGACTCTCAATAACACCAACGATATCATGAAACCGTCTCCTGTGCAGCCAGCTCCTATAAATGTGAAAACTTAGAGGATCAGTGCGAAGTTATTCCATGCACTTAAAGAGGTGGACCGGTCAAAGGTGACTCCTATGGGGTGTCCCAATCGGACCGCATTAGTACGATAGAGCGATGGGGAAAACATAAATGGATTGTCAATGAGACTGAAATTAAGCATAAGAAGAAAATCACAAGCTGCTCCGCTAGTCCAATCTCAACCAGTTTCTTTTCTTACTCGGGACTTCTTCCAGCACCCAACAAATCTACATCCCATCTCGTATAGTACAACTTCTTTCACTTCTTCGTTTTGTTAGGCAAGACTCCGGCAAATTCGCCGCAAGCTCTTTTCGCTCAGTGGAAACTTTTTTCAGTTTCCACTGCTTAATCACACTTGTCTTTCAACAGACTCAGTGGAGTTTCGGCTGAACTAGAGTGCCGTAGCAGTGACAGCAGGCATGCTCCCAACAATCGAAGATGGCCCAAAGTCGGTGACAGTAATGACGTTGGGCTGGTTTATCTCCCAAGTAGTAATATCCAATGTTTGCGCCGGATTTCCAACATTTTGGAAATCAATATAACCATTACCGTCATTCCACGATACAGATAGAAAGGCATTTCCGCATATTCCAGGCGTTAGCGTTTGAGGTTCGTCAACTGCGTAGGAAAAATTAAGTTCGGCCACAATTGCATAGTAGAGGGTATGGAGATCAACTAGAAGACTTCTAATGTACTCACCACCGACGCAGTTGTTGTTCGAATCAAAAATCCCAATGCTAGAGTCGCTAAGCCCCGTACATCCGAGGTAGTTGTCGATTTGAACCCAACAATTGTCATCATCACCATTTGCAACGAAGGTAAGAGTCTGAGTATAAGCCAACTTGGCTAGCAAGGTAGTGGTCAGAAAAGCAGTAGGCAGATGCATGATGGAGATTGGCCAGAGGATGCAGACAAGGGGAAGACTCTCTTGTTAAATACTGTTGCGGCTTCTTCAACAGTCTCGTTCAAGCTCATGATTCCGCCCCTCCACCTCCCCACCCGGTCACATTCAGCTGTATGAAAGTTTCGGTTTCAGGTCGAAGTACTCGCCCCCAAGTAGTACCCCTGAGTGCTGCGCCACGCGGTGACCCGATGTCGAAAATAGAGAAAAAAAAAACAGAGTACAGAGGAGGAAAAGACCTAATGAACGTAGTGGGTACAACGAACGGGAATGGAAGGGAAAAGAGACTAGGCATAGTGGAATAAGAGAAAATAATGGCCATGCCCACGAACAGTTCAGCTGCCTTAGCCCGTTGTATGCTACACCCAAGGGCTCATGTCTAAGGCAATCTGGAGCAGACGGAGACTACAAAGTCATACAGGAGTCTAAAGGGTGGACCATGGAATAAAATCACGAAGGATAAGGCGCGCTGCAGTATTGAATTGTGGAGTAAAAGTAGGAGAACATTTTAGCAAGGCGACGAAGAAACCTATCGGAAGCCAGCAGTCCCCGATCGCCCACAATTAGGCCACCTAGATTGAGTAATCTTGCACAGCAGTGGTCCTATTTGGGGGCCAGTACTTTTCATAGTGAAAATTCGCGCTCGTTGCAGGCCTAGAATACCTGTGGATAACAAACAACCCCGTTTCCCAAGATACAAAGTACTCTCCCGACAAACAAAGATAGAGACGATCGTAAGAATTAACACGATCTCTACGCTTTGTGGGGTTTCCCCTCCTCTCCATTCCTTTACCAACTCGTCGCAGGTACACCTGTAATTTTATCAATTTTCAGGCTCCTCTAAGAAAATTGTGAGTCAAAAATTAAGTGTTATTCACCTGGGGCTTCTAGTACCCTCTCGAACTACTATTAAATACAGCAGCAAAAAAACTCAGAAAGCCATACAAGAGTAGCAGCAAAAGATAGGCCAACTACAAGACCCGTAGCAACAAACGATCCTGAACCAATACTAGTATGGACCCCTTACGGCTGAAGCATGCCATTTATACCGTCAAAACAATATATCAGGGATTCAACGAGAACGATGTGCTCGGGTTTGAACAGTAAGTGTAGTCTACTTTTTCTGTTTTCTTTTTAAAATATCCCTAGAGACCGACCTTAAATACCCCGGGTGGTGAGGTAGAATAATTTTCAAGGTAGCTCTGTGGGAGATCCGCAACGTGCGATAACCTAGATCCCGTATCTGTGTCACGGATTGTGTCGAAGGGATTTTAGCAAGTGATATGAACTGACTGCCCATGTTCAGATAGTCAGACCTGTGAATGCTGCTCAAGTCCAACTATCACTCTGGGTTTCAGTAGGCCATTCGGAGAAGCGTTCGTCTTCAATACGCACCTTTATGAAATAGTATCCCCGTGGAGAAGATGTCGATGTGCATCTTATGAGGATTTTGTTAGAAAGTGGAAATTTTTATCGGATAGAATAATACAAGATAGTGAACATAATTTCTTATCCCATAATAGAAGTATATCAAAAAGCAACAAATATAGCATATTTTAAACTTCGTGGAATTTGGATCAACATTTGTGATCCTGGAAAACTGCAAAAAATGTGACCGCTGCCTCGGGAACAACGCTGGCTGGCATCCATGATGCAGACCGCCATGACCCTAGTAACTCCGACATGATGCAAGAGCAATCGACTACTAGGCCCAGGACTGCGTTTGAGGACTGCATTTGATAGGAAACACAGGACGTTGATTGTTGTAGATAAGTAGAGACTCTTCCTCTGTCTCTTCCGTTTCTCAACTTGGATCTCCCGTCGACTACCGTTCACAAATCGAATACCATCGTTGTTCTCTTTCTTGATCTGATATCCGGTCACAGCAAGGTCTTTTAAAAGCGAGATGTCAAATTTGTCGGCTGCAATGAAGACTTTCACGTTGTTCTGCGCAACTGTTTGAGGCTCCAAACCTTCGGATGCGGCATATTTTCGTCCGGGATGTTGGGGCTCTTAATCTCATCGTAATATTGAAGACACCGTGATGCTCACTGTTCGATAATCAAGGATCTATGGAAGGAGATAATTCAAAATGAGAGGAATGGGTGGATTTTCTTGCATTTTTTGGACCATATAAAGCCGTCCAGTCATCATCCATTGAGCAGGATATCATTTAGATTTTGTAATGAGTCGTAATGGGCTGACACCGCTGTAACTACTCTACTCGATTGATCAACGGCTTTCTTGATCCCGTCTTTGGAACGCGCAGTGACGACTTCAGCGATACGGTCATAGTACTCCATTCCGTTATTGCGCGCGATGCAAGTAAACAGAGAATAGGCGTCTCGAAGTCAACAAGTGAATGAGGTTTCGGACCATTTTCCTCAGCATGGAGCCCACCAATGACCTGCAACCGTCACAGGGCATCACCAACGGCAGCAACTCTAAGACACTTCCCGCTTGCAGATCAACGGTCACACATTCTACGGACAGGGCAGTAACTTTGTGCCCCTCGACCCTTTGTGGTCGCGCAACCCCGGTAGCGTGGTAATTATATCTACTTCTTGACAGAACCTACACATCTCCGCTTAGGAAGCGAAAATACTGTTTCGTTTGTTTTAATGGTTCCTGTTCGTCGATGATCTGCTAAGAGCAAGCCGAATTCATTTGGTTCTTCTGCTCGATCTGCCTGTCCTGATCAGCCATGCCAGTGTGCGACCGACCCGTTGGACTAGGTAGCCCTGTATACTTGGCTCAAATTTCGGCATCGTATAAGCTCTCATTTTATAAGAAATTAAGGGTAGGCTACACAGGTAGTTAGTAGCATATAATGTTACATTTTAGTTCAAGTTGAATATGTGATCGATGAATTGCTAAAAGAAAACAAAAAGTATGAAGTACCTTTTGTATAGTGATTCCCTACCAATGCAATTTTCTTTACGATGGAATTTCTTTTCGTCACAATGCTAAATGACCTTAGATCGGGTGTCGAAACTTGGCTCCTAACTGGTGTCGGGCGCTCGCCATTAGCGCTATAAATAGACAGGATAGTATGTACCGGTACAAAGCACAGGTATCTGGGCGAAAGGGGTTTGGCCGCTGATCACAAAAGTATATGGAGTATGGTGGATCTAAAAGCGAAAGACTTCCCGTTCATCTCGGCGTCCAGCGAATAGGCGTACTATACGAATGCACTTTCCACAAGAGGGAAGCTGCTAGTCGCGTTGCACGGAGATAGCAGTGACCTCGCCAACACGAGAAGAAAGAAAAGGAAGGAACAAAGGGGAAAAATGACAGAAGGACATAAGTCCGTCGCTTGGACAGCCCGGCAGTTGTTCTATAATGCATCCATTAAGCCTAGCGACAGCGCGCCCCAATCTTAGCTCGTATAGTACGCGTTCCCTTGCCCCAAACCCCTATTGCGCTGTGGTATACTCAGCACTTATCCATCAAAAGGGGCGGGCCAGGAAGGAAGATTGTGCACCCCACAGCTGGTTTCGAGCTTGTGGATGATTAACGTGAACAAGCTCTCGCCTCCAAATCCCATGGCCAAACTGGGGGCCAAAATGGACTTCGTCCTTAAAATAGCCCAACGGCCCCCACGCGGGAACCCGAATAGGTACTTAGTCGTACCCCCGTTGTCATTTTAGCACCCGAGGGTCTGGGCCAAATTCAGAAGATCGTCGTTGAGTCTATCCCGAATTACCTAGAATGGCAAAGGATCACCAACAGTTAAAGATCGGGGCTGAATTCACATGGTGCTGTGATTGGTTGAGCGTCGGGGTGTGCTAGTCTTCTTCGGGTATCTGAGATGCTCCGCCAATCAGCGCCTGGGATATCGCAGCGCTTTACAGTGGTAATTGCAGGAGGATGAGACGAAATGATTCCCAGGATCATCAAAGGGAACCTGTGTTGGTCCCCTTTGGGTATCTGAACTCCCGCGCTAGTAAACGCCACGACACGTACTCTGATCTCAACAACGCTAACTACCCATCACGCAAGAAAGAATTCTCAGGAATATAAATGTAGACCAATTGTCCCCTTTCTTTCGGATAACAAGCACACCACAAGTTCCTTTCCTCTTCATCCTTCATCTTCATACCAAACTTCTTCTATTAATTTTTCACTATTACAATGGGGACTGTGACCTACCGAGATGGCATAGCTATCCTCCAGCTCATCGTATTTCCAGTTATCCTTGTTGCCGCAATTTTCATTTGGAATCGGACTGGCTGGAGGGTCGGCAGCAAGATCTGGCGCTACGGCGTCACGCTCTCTCTTATTCGCATTGCCGGCAGCATTTGTTCGTTGCTCACGATTAGCAATAATGCATACAACATCGAGGTCGCCGTGGCAGTGTGCGAGCTGATTGGTCTTGCGCCTTTGTTGCTGACTTTTGTTGGACTGCTGAGGCAAATGTGAGTTGGTACCGGAGAATTCCTCAAACATGGTATATGAAGACTAACGGAGGCGTGTCTCTACTAGTGATACGGAAGAAAGGATGCACCCCAAAGGACTCAAAGTGTTGGCAATCGTCTGCATCATCGGCCTCATCCTCGGTATTGCAGGAGTCAGCAGTGCCAACGACGACAAGAGCGGCTACCACCCAGACAGCATTGTGAAGGCATCCATGGGCATTTTCCTCGCCGTGTTCGTCATCTACAATGTGATGACTGCTTGGCTATATCTCAAGCTTGGTTCTTCGATCAAAGTTTTCCAGAAGAAGCTGTTCCTCGCCATTGTCCTTTCTTTCCCCTTCATGTTGGTCCGTTTGGTCTACGCGGCGATCAGCGATTACGCCGACATTCAGGGTTTTGGCCTCGACGGAAACCCGACCATCTATCTATGTATGGATGTGCTGGAGGAAATAATTGTCATGGGCCTCGTTATGGCCCTTGGACTGTCGGCTGTATTTGAGCCAGACTTCGTCAAGCTCACTCCATCTGCATCGCGCTCCGACCCGAAGGTCGATGAAGTTTAAGCGCGAATTTTGCAGCTGAGTGATGGTTTTTTTACAAGAATGTTCTATGTATATTTACTCGATATCTGTGCGCTGGAGGTTGGCCAACCTGCAGCAGGAAGACACTATCTTAGCAACATGTGGGATGATGGAATTATAGATGCAGCCATATAATACAAGGGGCACTTCTCAGTAATAGAACAAGATACTTAATGAGACTCCTCGATCCCTGCGGCTAAACTCCGTCCGACGTGACAAATTTGACCCACCATCTAAGAACGCCCTTCTCCATATAAGCCCAAAACAAATCAGCAATGACCTCGGAGATTCAGCATCAGCTAATGGTTTTCTGTGAGGTGCCATGGTTAGACAGATTCGAGGATCGATAAAAGCGAACTTACTCATTGCTATTGAAGACGTCAAAGCCGGTGGAAATAATGAGCACAGGCCGAGCAAGATCGGCGATAATCTGCTTGACTGGGGCGGCAGCAAAGGGCGATATTATGATCGAGTCCTCGTCGATTTCCGCGAATCCTCCTGCACCGTGAGTCCCAACAATTTTGAATCCCTTCTTGGTCAGGATATCTTCTGCGACCTCTGTATACTCTGGGTCCTGAGCAAGTAATGGCAATGTTTCATTGCCACGACAAAGTTGAGCGATAGTAAGAGCCATCGAGTGCTGGATCATGCAGCCCATCACATTTTTAGCCTCCGAGTTCTCATCCTAAGAGTCGTGCTGCTTTTTTAGCCATTCAGGCGCGGAGCGGCAAAAATTACCGAGCCCGAAGCAGAGAACTTTCTTCACAGTCTTTGTACCGAGTACAGCGATATTCGAAATCAGATATACCAACATCCTCACACGAATTAATTCTCAAATCCTAACCTGAAACGCGCTAATCTAATTTTAAATTCTACCTTAGCAATCCCTGCTGAAATGTATCGTATTTCCTGACACTGATCGATGAGTCATTGTTCTAATACCGTATCGCTCTATAGCATCGGATAGAATCTTCCGCGTAAATAATCCGAATAGAGCGGGAGTTACCTGTGTAGGGGGTCAACCAATATTGTGCCTGTTTCTATTTCTCTCCATTGCAGTTAGCCTTCGCCTACGCTCGTATTACATACAATATAGGAGGCTTTGCTAGTGCTAGAGAGAACTAACCGTGGTAGGAGATTATGCTAACTTTTTCCTATGGTTCCTGTTCCTTTCTACAATGTTCTTTCGCTATCAATCTCTAGATAGTTATGAGGAAAATCTGGCCTAAGGGTTTCATATTCTTATCGAACGGCATATTGAAGTTGTAGATGCAAGAGATTAGAGCGCCAAAGGCTATTTCCGGCATGTATTGTGTAGGCACGTGCTGTGTGGTCATGGTCATTTCGATCGAGAAAGCCAAGATATCACACTGGAAGCAGTTCCTCGACGAAGCAGGCGAAGGGAAGCTTTGGAAGGCAGCTACGTACATGAAACCGCGAGACTCCTGGGGCTGCATCCCCGTCCTCAAGGTCGGCAACAGAGAGATGACCGATAATAGGGAGAAATTTCGAGCCTTCACGGACTCTTTCTTCCCAGCGATGGCACCTCCCCAGGACAAACCCCTAGCTTGCGTCGCAGCCGAAATCCCGTGGCAACCAATCTCCAAGCTTGAAATCTATCGATCCCTCGAAGCTGCTAGGAGCTCAACAGCGCCGCTGAAGGCTAATGCGCCACCACGAAACGTGACCGGTCGGTCGACCAGGTCGGAACGCACTCTACAGTCGTTCTCGAAATCGGCTTGACCAATATACACATTATAACTATTTTCTGGAACCACCGCCAATAAATGAAAGCCTCATTGCAATCATAGTAAATACGAGAAACCATCACGCCGCCGAGGCATTATCTTCTGTCCGAGAGTTATACCATAGCCGACTCAGATTCCTCCGCCGAACACCCCGCATGTACTTGACTTGATCCGAAGAAATGTCTCGAACGCCATATGTCGGCATCGTTTCAATAATTTGTCGGATTCCGCAGTATATCATAGTGGTGATTGCACCCCCCAGGATGAACAGACCAACAACTAAGCTGCCTTTGCCATCGCTGTCACTCTTCATGGTAGTTGCGTAGGCCGTCGATTTAACTGGTGCCTTTTTCGGTTTCCATATTAGAGCTAGTTACTAATAGTAGTCCAGCTTAGGTTTAGACTCACAGATCGACGATTGTACGAGGTTGTGGCTAGTCTGTAGTCCCACTAGAACTGAAGTTCAAGTTGCTTAGATAGCAAAAGTTTGACCCTTCGGGGTCTAGAAAGTGGTTCAGTCAAAAGGAACATACAAGTAATAACTATATTTATGCGCATCTCAGATCTTTTATTACCTTCTCGGATGGTGTTTATCCCTCGGTTCCCTAGCGTGATCCTCTGACATCGTAGATACATATCGCACTACATCGGCCAATCATGTTATAGAGCGAATATCCACTCCTTCCCGTGTAACCTGAGACCCGCCCCTCAGTTCGCCATTCGATCCTCTGCATTGACGTTTGACTCGAGCACACTCTATCGTCACGCCATCTCTGCTGTGGATGGATTAATAACACTTTTACTCGGCTCTGTCCAAAATCGCTTCCACGTACCTCGGATATTTCTTACATTGGCTGGTCTTTTACCTCCAGAGCATGACCTTTCGACAGTCAATTCATCGAGCTGTAAAATTGAAATCCCGAACAGGCTGTATTGCCTGTAGGTGCGTAGCGATTTCCTCCACAGAGACCATCTAATGGACTATAGGACCCGCAAAGTGAAATGTGACGAGGAAAAGCCCTACTGCCTACGCTGTCGAACCTCTATCCGATCCTGCTCATATGACAATGCCTTCGAGGCGCCGGGCCCGGCATCTATTCTGCATACTTATTCCCCACTTGACCTATCTCTTCGAGAAGATAGAGAAGAACTAGCACTTAAGTACTATTTCGAACGAGTAGGTCCTGCGATCGGAGGCTGCTTTGATTTCTCCTTTTGGCAAGGCATAGTCCTAGAGACTTGCCGCTCTGAACGAGCAGTATATGACGCCATTATTGCTATAAGCGGGCTATACGAAGATGTGGATCGCCTTGCTCGTACATCAATGGTATCTACTGCAACGGAACTAGGGCCCAAACAACGCGAAGCACTCAGGTGGTATCGCCGATCAATTTCCCAAATGCGTCGGCAGATTAAAAAAAAAGCCACTGATATATATATCGCGCTTGTGACCTGCGTCCTATATATCTGTATCGAGGCTCTCCAGGGTCACTTTGAAGAAGCCCTACATTTATATGACCAGGGTGCTAGTCTCATCGCAGCTCTTCCTGACAGAAGAGATGCGTCTTGGAATTCATCAGTCCTGCGAGATGTTATTGTCCCATTATTCCTCCGGTTGGGTACATTCGCGTTGGTAGCTACGCGGTATCCGATTAAAAATTCATCGGCAATTATTTAATTCACGGAAACTGCGCTTCGTACCCCCGACGATTATCGAACAACGATCATCTCGCTAATAGCGGAAACGATGCTTCTCCAAAGAGAAGCAAACAGACAAACCCGTGCTGGAGAGGTCGTGAGCAGGTCGCCCCTATTCCAGTCGCGTCAATGGGATCTTCAGTCCAAGCTCCAGCGGTGGAGGGTCGACTTTGCCATATGGAGTGAAAAGGACTCCTCGTTCGCAAGAACAGCTTTTGCAGCAACTCTACTGAGTTGGCACGCAGCCATCTCAGTCATGATTTCAAGTTGCCTTAAACAACATGAGACCGAATATGATATGCATTTCGGTCAATTCCGGTCTATTGTTAGCTGGTCAAAGCATATTCTAGATTTCTCAGCGACGCCAGGTCGATCACAATCACCGTTCACATTCGAAATGGGCGTCGGCATGCCTCTATTTTTCACCACTGTTAAGTGCCGTCATCCGGCCCTACGCCGAGAGGCACTGGATCTCCTTCGACGAGCGCCTTCGGTACAAGGTTTCTTTAACTGCCCGTCATGGGCTGCTCTGGCCGAGAAGGTCCTTGAAATTGAAGAGGGACGGCTTTCCGAAGTAAGGAAACGCGTGCTGCTGGAAGGAAGGAATCTCAGTTTGCCTTCGCGCGAGGACGAACTGGTCATGGTCGTGCATGAAGAGTGGTACCCGTCCACTGCCGATGGGCAGCAAGAACTTATTTCAGAGAATTGCAGAGTCCATGATTATGGAACTTCTCCTCTAGCCAGTTCACGCTTTCGAGATGGTCTGAGATCAGAGGAAGTAAAAACGTTTCTTCGTTTTACGCGAAACAGACGAAGTGCGAAGGGGGAGTGGTATTTAGAGGAGCTTTTCTGCATGATGTCTTGAATAGCGGTTACCAAGGTATATAAAGTCTGCACGCTGGATACGTTGGCAGCAAGAGTTATCCTTGCCATTGTCACCCAAGGGCTGTTTACAAACCCGCATCTATCCATTTTGGCTTTAGCGAGAACCTCACTCTAGGTTCTTCAACTACAGCCACATCCATGACCGACTCGAAGCATACTCTTCAAGACATATATAACGAGATAAAATTGACGTGAAAGAGGCTTTGCATCATCACTAGCTACAATAGAATTCTTCTGAGCACGGCTAGCCTGGTTGGATACTGACGAACGCCGGCAACAAATGAAGACTTCAACAGAGAAGCTATAGAAACGAAAGACCGAGTCACCACCAGGAAAGTGCGACAGCTCACTGATTACTTGGAGAGATGAGCTAATATCACCTCGACGATGTATCTCAGTTTACGGAACTCGAATTATGGGAACAAAACTCGGATTACGCCCCAAATCCTGGCTATTGTGGCAGCCCCTACGCGGCGCTATCTACTATGGGCCTTCCCCGTCGAGTGTAGTTGAGAGTGGCATGGAGCCTACGAGTGAAACCGCCCCACGCACTCTAAAATTTCTCCCGCTGTGTGAGTGGCAAGATGGGAAGGCCTATGATGAAAACCCACTAGCGTGCATCCACTACCGTATACTGTAGAGTAGGGAGTGAATCAATAATAGGGAGGTATCAAAGGACACCGAGGAAGATATCTTTTTGGCACCTAGCGCCTTTTGGTAGCTATCCTTCGAAAAAAAACTTAGAAAAAGCTCTACGACGCAAAACTACCCGCCATCACTAGGTGAGACCAGACTATACTATCATAATCGCATCAACAACCTACCGCACCAAGCGAAAACTGACCAAACGATTTGACGATACCGATATATCCTGGACCGCCATCGAAAAGCAGCTTCTGATATAGTCAGATCTTTTAGTTCGTGGTAAAGAACTTACGCTGATAATCAGTTTTAACTACGTCATTTTCTACATCCGCTGGTCGGAAAGCGGGGAAAGAGGAAAGTCATCTGTGAGGCAAAGAATGCTCGGTGATGAGATGCACAGCGAGATGCAGAGGAAAGTAGAGGATATTGGGAAGTGGGTTAAAGTGGGACGTTCGCGCGTTGCTATTATATAAAACGGTTTTATTCGTCGAAGCGTGGAGACTGAACAAGCTAAAATGTAAGCTAAGACTTAGCGCGGCCAGAGCCCTTCTTATTGGTAGAAGCGTGGACTTCTCAATCGCCGAGCCTCGCGGTCTAAAGTTAATTTTTATCAACATAGCTACTGCGGGGAGACAAAGCAGACTATAAATATGGCCAAAAATCTCCTCCTTCTGGCTACCTGCTCTTCTTAAACATACCCAACCTGGTTCTTCCAATTTCAAAGAAATTGAACTGCAACCATGGCAAGTGCCCTCTCGGATCTGACTTCTACCCTGATCTCCGCTCTATCGAATCTCCCACCTCCAGAAAAGATCCAAGATGCCGACCGCATGCAGCTCCTGGGGGTCATAGGCCAACTGCAATCAGCGCTAGAGCCTCCCCAACTGCCTATCCAGCGATTTTGCTTCTCAGTATGGCTCCTCCAGTCTCAATTTACCTATTTTTTTTTTCTCTTATTGAAGAGATCACTAATATTATCTTGGGTAGCACTATGGCATCGTCGTCATCCGGATAGCTCAGGGCATGGGGATCTTTGATGCGTTCGTTGGATCTCAAGGCACAGATATGTCACTGAAAGAGTTGTCCTCCGAAGTCAAAGGGGACGAGACGCTTCTGAGTAGATACTCTATCTAACGTGGAACTGGGCTCCTGCTGACTATTTCTTAGGACGTATCATGCGTTTTCTGTCTGCTCACCATATTTTCGAACAAACCACGAGGGATTCATACAAGCCTCTGCCTTTGGCAATGGTATTTGGCAACGAGTCGGTGCCCGGGGACATGATCAAGCACTTGTAGGTTTTTCTGGGCTGTCTATATGGTATGGTGCGTACTGACAATAGATTCCAGCCACATCAGCATGCAAGTAACTGCGAAGCTCTTTGATTACTTTGAACTGAATGGCTACAAGAACCCTGAAGATGCATATAATGCTCCCTTTCAGCTCGCCTACAACACCAATAGCCATTACTTTGAATGGCTGAGTCAAAATCCAACAATACAAGAGGTCTTCAATTCAGTAATGACACAGAGCCAACATTATCGCGGTGCAGACTGGTTCAAAATTTATCCTGTACAGCAAAAGCTGCAGGTTTCACCGGACCGGGTTTTGCTGGTTGATATAGGTGGCGGCATGGGCCACGATATCATGGCGTTTAAGAGGCATTTTCCAGACCTCCCGGGCAAGCTCGTCCTGCAGGATCTCCCTCAGGTGATTGACACCATCAAGGAACCTCTGCCCGAAGGGATTACGGCTATCGGCTACAACATGTTTGAGGCACAACCTATTTGCGGTGCTAGAGCGTACTATATGAGAACGGTCTTGCATGATTATCCGGATGAGCAAGCTCTGGAATCCCTTGCGCGTATCCAAGATGCCATGACAAAGGACTCTGTTTTGTTCGTTCATGAGCATACAATGTCCGATGACCTCAATGTCCCTCCATTGGCCGCGACACTCGATATACACATGATGGAAATATTCTCCTCCCTAGAGCGAACCGAAAAGGAATGGGTGGCTCTTTTGGAAAAGGCTGGATTCAAGGTGATACAAGTCTGGAATGAGGATTCTGTTGGACAGTCTACTGCTCTGTTTGAGGCTACTCTGCCCTGAATATTGAATTATGGTTGAAAGAAGAACAGTACAACCAAGGCGGACACTATATTCACCACCGTTTATTTACTTCATTCACATCGACATGGACGATAATGAAATAAGCTTTAAGATCTAGGCATTCACTCAAGAATGTTTCCGAAGCAGATCAGTTCCGCGAATGACCGACCAGTTCGTCGACTGCTGCGTCAACGTCAACGTGTCAAACAGAAACTTGGACAGCTCCTCTTCCATGTCAGCGTCCACAATCGAGCTGTACAATTGACCATGAGTCCGTAATTCTGCCTTCAGACGTGTTAAAGCCATCGAGACGACGACATTAGAATTAATGATTCCCTCACAGTGGGGCCAGGTCTGCAAGATGTAGATTGCGTGCAAGCGAATTGAATAGTCTGGACACTGCGAGGCCACCACCCACAAGCCCGGGAGGACGCCGTAGTCCAAAGTAAATGTTGGGCGATCAGAACATTTGGCTAGGAACTGCTGATGCGCCGAGAGCAGGGTGATATAATCCGGTGTCAACCTTGCAGGCACTTGTCCTTTGATGAGACAGGTCTTCAGACTGAGGATCTGTCCAAGACTCTGGAGTTGAAGCAGATCGATAGCTTGCTGCTCACGACCACGAAGGGTGTGATAGAAATCGCGATTAAATATCCCGAGATGGTATTGGAACTGATCGTTCAGGCGCAAAATTTGTTGCTGCTTCTGAAAAAACTCATCATATTGTGCTGCAGTTTCAACAGCGGATAACGGCCAGCATCGGGCGAGGAAAGGGATACCTATATTTAAGAGAAGAGTCACGCTTCTGTGTACATCTGACACAGTTTGCATTCCAGAAAAACGATTCAGGGTATGCACGTCATCATCGATTCCAAAATTAGTGAACAGGAACGGGGTGCCAGGCCCAAAATGGGCGGATTGGATATCAAGTCGTCCGAAGATTTGGAGCAGCGAATCGTCTATGCTAATTGTTGAATGATAGTCCTGTGTCTCTTTGAGGATGCGAAGCCCACTATGCAGGTGCTGGAAGGCATTGTCATACCGTCCCAGTAACAGCTCGGACATGACAAAAAGAAGGCAGCATACGAGCATAACTTCCCGGTACTGAGGGTCGTTCGAGGACTGGCGTTGGGAGAGATGGGTATAAGCTCGCGAGGCCTGCTGAAGTGCCAAGCGATGACGAGCTCGCTGGAGGTTTTCTCCAGACAAGCGCATTTCGTTCGCGTCCGAGTCTTCGTGAAGGGCACCGAGCATATTGGCGGCATGATACACAGCAGGGTCGACATGACTAATCTGCAAGATAATGTTCTGCCAGAGAGGAGAGTCGAAGAAAGCTCCGAGGCCAGGAATGGAGCAATGTCGAAAGTATGAAAAGCATCGTCGCTCGTCCATGGTAGTCACCCACCCCGGGTGAGGGTAAATACTCTGGGTCAATGTGAGAGCTCGCTTCCTGACGGGCAAGCGATGCAGATCATAGCCATCGCATTTCCGGCCGGTAGTTTTGCAGGTGTTGCATGTCCCAGGAGTTTCGTCGCACTTAACGTGTCGAATGCTGTTCATCTCACCAGTCAATGCGGTGCTTATTCCATTTGACCCCGCAGGAGCCAGTCAGCCATTGAACGTTCAGGGGATAAATACCCACCGGCATGTTCGGCATCCCTTCAACGACCGAGTGCTGCAATTCCTACGTCGCTTTATACGCAGCATCACGGACGGGCCACAAGAAGGATCGAGTGTTGAAAAAAAGGAAAAGGAAAGAATCGCAAAACGGGGTTTCCAAGTCTTCAGCTTCAGACCCCAGCTTCAGCTTCCGGCTGCCGAGCAAGGGTTGGGGGCGAAAATGTGGAGCGCACTTGTGGATTCGGCTCAAACAACAAATACTCGTCTTTGGCCTGGGAGCTGAGCTTCAAATTTTCACCATCGACTTTAATCAATGTAATCCTCGTATTTCTTCAATTCAGAAGATAAATGAGGGCAAAATGCCGATGAATTGTCAGTTGGGGAGGTCGACAGCAACCAAGGAGGGGCACGCAGCCAGCAAGCGTATAGCACTTTCGTGTAAAATACATCATGCAAATGTCTTGCCAACGTCATGTAAAATACAACGTCTATTCTGGGAAGCGGAGGATCTACAACTACACCAAATTTGGATTGGCGTGTTTCAGGTTAGGGTTTGGGAATTAATTCGTGTGAGGATGTTGGTATATCTGATTTCGAATATCACTGTACATCTTGGACCAAGGCTGCTAAGTGCCTGCAGGTCTTGCTATTCTGCCACAACAAGTGTTTCTAGTCAAAGACTTGCATAGGCTGTGCTATAAGCTCTCGAAAGTTTCGTGTAGTCTGATTGCTCCAATCCACAATGTAAGAGCATAGGTCAGTTTTGATAGGGCCGTTCGGTTGTGCTTTCACAAGACCATTTTGACGTATGAACACATGATTGATTTTTCCCGGCAGGTAGACATGTCAATAGTCGAGCGTGAAAAACATGAATGATCAACTGGACGGTAAAATTGCTATAGCTTTTGGTTCCAACCAAACTGTGCCAAAAATAAACTTGGTGAAAACGGTTTACTATAGTATTGCCATTGCTAACCGCAGGAGAATCGCAGCCGATGGAGAAGCAACTGCTTGCGAAGGTCAAAAATAAAGATGGTTTAGAGACAGAGAGACAAAGGCGGAGAGTCTAAAACAGACGGGCAAAAGTATGCTGTTTAACCACTGCCCTCTAAAACAGGGAGCAGAGTAGGGCTTGAAGTCGACTGGCCAAACATCTCCACATCTCTGCACAATATCTCAGGTGAGTCATATCACGTGCGTTTCGTAATACCCCAGCATCCCCTATCTCGACGGAAAGCCTTTCAAGCTCAGCCATCTGGGTGTCTTGTATGAGCTCCGCGTATAGTACAGAGTAAAGAGAGCCCCATAGTAGCGCAGCCTTGCAGGTTTTGACGCTGTATTTCGGCTTCATCCTGCTGCTAAGACGGCTCTTTGGTCTAAGACTCTAAATAGGCACCACTCATTCACTGGTCAATACCTGGTGAGACCGACGGACTCCGCATTCAGTGGGTGCTTATTCATTTGATCTTGACGCAACATTCGAAGGAAACAGCCCCATTCACTGAAAGGCTGCTGACAGACCAATCACAGAGTCTAGGTAATTGACTGCAGCCTTGCTAATCAGGGCTGTGATAGCAAAAGAGATTAACGTCTGCCGTATACTTAAGATGTTGCCTAACCCGACACTTCCTATATGACCGAACTCAACTACCCGTCAATTTTTTTACACCTTCAACACCGCAATCATGGATGCAACTAGCAGTGCCCATGCCAATTCTTCCAAAAGATCCTCAACCGCGCTTGACAATATAGCCATTGCAGCCAGGGGCAATGAAATCAAAGGTCTCGAAATCTATCAAAAAACAACGGACCCAGGTCCACACAGATTTGAGGAGCTTTTGTCCCAAATGTACGCCGACCAACCCAGTGGAGGCACAGACATGACCTACGGAGCGACGGAAACCCATCGTCTCCGTTTTTGGAAGGCAAACACAACCAAAACATCCAAAGCTCCGTTCATCGTCTTCGTCCATGGAGGTAGTTGGCGATCAGGAACATATTTGGATTCTGTTGGCTCCGCCAAAGTTCGCCATTTGACTGAACAAGGTTATGCATTCGCGAGTATCAACTATACACTCTTTCCCACTGTGACAGTGGAAGAACAAGTACAAGAGATAGCCAATTCAATCAGCTATCTAGTTGCAAACGCAGCTCGTCTCTCCATCGATCCCAACCAAGCCATCTTCATGGGCCACAGCTCCGGCGCACACGTAGTCTCACTGCTGGGGACAAACACAAGCTACCTCGAGCGAGCGCGGGTCAACATCTCCATCGTGAAAGCCGTCATCGCCGTGGACGCGTCGGATTACAACGCTGCCGCCGAAATTCTTGATAATCCGGGCCAAATTGCGGACCACATGACAGAAGCATTTGGGACGGATCTGAACCGACTACGTGCCGTGTCACCGACGTGCAATGCGCGTGCACCCAATGCCGGTGCATTCCTGCTTCTGCATTCCCATCGACATGGGGATATTCGACAGGCTGTTGAGTTTGTTGTGGCGCTAGAGGCTGCGGGTACGGATGCGGACTTGCATGTGTTTGAGGGGCAGGGATTTGAAGGCCATATTCAGATTCTGCTTCGATTGGGAGATCCGGTATATCCTGCGACGGCAGTTATGGATAACTGGCTTAAGATGAAAGTTCCGGTGAATTGAGGATGCTATGGTGAAGGGAAGGCGCTCAGCGAGCCTTGTGACATCATGATAGGGCGTCGTGTCTTGGATACTCTACAGGTGTACTGGAGCACGACGCTCAATAAACAACCGCTCCCTTTGGCGGACATCGCGTAGAAATGCCATCTTTATCAACTATGCCTCATCCTAAGCTCTCGCAATTAAACTACGATCTCTACACTGCTAAGACTTTAGCGCAGATCATTTATTGAGCTGGCCACACTAAGCTGAGGGCCGCCGTAAAACGCCGCTGGTATAGTACAGTGACCATCGAGGTTTATCGCTCCGCAGTCACAGCGCAGGATGTAATATTACAGGGTATGATATAGTATCATACAAGATAGATTTTACAGCGAACCCTCAACCGAGTTTGGCCAGCTCAATAAATGATCTGCGCTGAAGTCTTGGCTGTGGGGCCAGAAAAGAGATTCTCAGTGTGTTTTGGTCAAGGCGATTTCGAGAATCACTGTATACGAAAACACTTTGCAACCCCGCTGACATCCTCAACCCGCTCCTCATTTCCGTATTTCCCTTCATCTAGAGCCCTTTCCTCTCGGCTAGGATTAGTCAAACTAGGTTCGTTCACATTCGAACCACCTACCTCCTTGTCCACGAGCTTGGTGACACCGAAAAGGTCATCCATCTTCTCCAAAGAGAGACCTTGAACCGGATTAGTCACGCGAGAACATTCCGAGGTTGCAAAACGGGATGACGACGACAACAACAACATACCTTTAGTTTCAGGAACACATAGGAACACAAAGAACCACATGGTAAAGCAGAGAGAACCGAAGAAAATGTAAGTTCTGTTCCTTCGTCAACCTGCGGTGCATTCCACGGGATGATAACAAGTTGACTTACCCATATCCATCCCGACCCAAGTTGGTCACTATGAACGATGGAACGTTAGCTATACAGTCGATGACACAGGAAATGAGAGATTTAACTAGGATTTGAAGTTCCATTTAAGAGGGTCTCCACTTACACATCGACGGAACTGCCCTGGCCGTGACGTAGTTGAACAACCACTGCGATGCAGCCGCGAGCGACACATTCATCGACCTCAACCTGGCGCTCGGGATCTCCGTAACGACAATCCAGCAGGACGCCCCCCACCCAAGCTGGAAAAAGACAGCAAAGAGGTATATGCACACCAACGCAACATACCCGGCCGGGGCGATCGGGGCCCCTTTTACAGGAGGCGAGATGCGGATATAGAGGCCTATGTAGAACATGGCCACCCCCATGGCAATCGACGTCCAAAGCAATGATTTTCGTCTGCCCAAAGAGTCGGCGAGGAAGAGCAGGAAGCAGGAGCAGGATACCATCTTGACGACGCCGTAGATTCCGGTGGCGAACAGCCCCGTTGACGTGCCGGTAATGCCTACGCTCTCAAAGATGACGGGTGCATAGTAGTTGATTGAGTTTACGCCCGTCATGCACTGGCACATCATCAGGGAGAAGCTGATGAGGGCTCTGTTTCGGTTGCCGGGTATGGTCCACATCTCTCGCTGAAGGCTCCAGAATCCCGCACCGCCGATGAGAAGCCGTTCATTTTCCAACTGCTGGCATATGTCCTGAAGTTCGCCTTCGACGTAGGCATGGTCCGCGGGCAGCTGTCTGAGCATGGCGAGAACCGCCCTGGCGTCCTCCCATTTATCCTGCTTGGCGAGGAAGCGCGGCGTCTCGCTCAACAGGAACATGCCAAACATCAGGAAGATGCACGGGATTCCTTGGAGGGCAAGAGGCACAATGTACGAGGGAGCGCCGTGGACGTGAGCCTGAACACCGTAATCGATCCAGAAGGCGAGCATGGCTCCGAAGGTATTAAAAAATTGGAAGACACCCGTCAGAGCACCACGGATCGCTCGTGGAGCATTTTCAGACACGTAGAGAGGCGCGGCCATGGAGGCACCGCCACAACCAATACCGGCCAGAAGCCTAACTGAGCGTCAGTATCGGGGGTGGCCATATTCCTCGGGCGAGGATAGCGGTGTGTACCTTCCGAGATACATGCAAGACAGGAAGCCAGAGGCGGCAAACTGTAGAACGATGCCCACCAAGCCTACAAAGGCAAAAAAGATGAGCGACAAACGGCGGCCCCATTTGTCGGCCACGGGATAAGCAGCCAAGGCACCTGCGAAGCAGCCTAGCTGTAGGGTTGACACAATATTTGCAGAGAGCGTTGCCGAATCTGAAGGAGAGAGCCCGGTAAAGCCGTATTTTCTTCAAGAGATACCTTTGTTAGTATGCCGGCCGCGCTGACTCTAAGAAGGCCTTACGCCTGGAAAGCTGGAAGCACAATAACACCACCGATAACTCCTGTGTCCATTCCGAACAACATCCCGGCGGAGCATGCCTTCTCCATCAACGTCAAACGTATTCAACCACGTAGGAAACTTAGATCGCGACTCACGGTCAGAGTCAAAACAAACACCCTCCACCCATATATCTCGGGTGGATCAACTTTCATCGCATCATTGTGAATAATCCTTTTGAGGATAGAAACCATAATGAGTAGGTTGTGCTAGTGACCTGTGTGCTATCATGCCAATCGTGGTAAGCTGCCAGCAGCAGAGTCAGTGGAGAGTTGAAGCCTGGGGATGGGGATGTCTTTTGTGATATATCGGACAATCCTGGGGTAAATGGGCCAATCCCCGCTCGGGAATTCAATATCTATTCAATAGGTCGAACGCTCCACTTCTCATTCTGCTGTGAACTCCACTCCAAACCCTATCTGGTGGGCTGCGGGCTCTTGGTAGAATCGTGGGGTCGACCGGCATATCTTTCGGATTTCTGTCGGATTAGCGGTTAATTGTGCTATTTGGCCACAACATCTCGGAACTGTTGTTTTTACCTTGGCAGTACGGCTCCGAAAATCGCGGCTCCACCTGCTGGACCTGCTGGAGAAGTGCACGAGTTAGAAGGGCGACGCAGCGTAAGCGGAAGTCGTCACTCTTCATTTTACAGACGCTTTATTGGTCATGAGACCTGTTTTCCTTCTTCTTATCGGCAGGAATATTCCTTCCGGCCGACCACCCTTGATCACGCAGCCTCCCAGCCTGGCTCGTCTGGCTCGTAAATGGTATAAGATTACGGTTCGAGCTATGCAGCCAGTCCGACGCGTTTGAGACAGGCCAGGCTTATATCCACAGGTCAGTTAGTCCGCTTCAAAACTCAAGAGACCCATGAATAGCCGCGGCAAATGCAGATTGAAGGCATGTCGGATGTATCTTATTACAATATAAGCATCTCGCTTGATACATTCCATTATATTAACTGAATTGAGGACCCTGCGTTCATCTCTGCGGGGTCTGGGTCTGTCTGCATTGTTATTAGTCAAAACTCAGGCTTGGGAAGTAAAAACTTACATCAAAGCCGGATTGCATACGCTCTGGCAGTCCCCAACAATCGAATAATTGCGCCCAGTCCATATCAAGTTCTGCGCTGAAGCCGACATCTTCGTTTTCGCGATATGGAAAGCCAGGCTGCGGTGTGCTGTAAATGCCTTGGACCTGCGCACAACCGCCAGTCGACGCTACAGAAACGCTAGGCTCGTCTTGGGCAGATTCTTCCCCGTAGAAGAATTCGTGCCTCAACTCTTCTAGTATCGTGTGGTGCTTCTTGCCCGGCGAATGTCTGGCTGCAAATTTGGCAAGACGATGCTGCCACAGTTCGGCACTTGAAAGATCTTGGTCCAGTGGAACGGAGGGGGTGGCGTCGAAGACTGATGGAGAACTGGCAGGGTTGGTGTATTGAAGACTGCGTTGCTGCCGCTGCAGCATTACAAAGATGTAGATGATGGCAATAGCGCAGAAAGATACATATTGAACAAACCACGACGACTGAAAAATGTCATCATCGTCAGTGAAGCAGTCTAGGGCTTTGAGTACGTCTCGTGCCGCAGCAACGCAGTCACGGATACAGCCTTCAAAACACTTTTCACTATGCGTTTCATCACTATTCGGATTCAGTAAGCGGCTTAAAAGAAACGGGCGGTTTGCGTGGATGATGGCGTGGGCGTGGCCAATGTTGAGGAGGATGGATTGGCGCCTGAACAGGGAGCTCAGGCTGGAGGGTGCCACTTCTCGAAAAATGACTGGCAAGTCACGCTTCCATGCCGCGATGGCTCGATTTCCGCGTTGAACATAGTCAAGTTTTTCTTCGGGCGTCGAGTACTTGAGAGCATAAATCTCGTGGGATGCTTGGCCTATGATGCAGGCTAACCTAAGGAAACAAGTTAGCTACAAATACGGTGCAAGAAGGGTGACACTCACTCAGCGTGTGCGTTAGCTGCATCCATGACGCTGTCACTATGCTTGGGCCTTTGTCCCACGCCATCGGTGGTCAGGGCTTCATCGTCCAAGATCGAAGGCACATCTTGATCATGATCGTGATCCTGCAGCAGTCGAGGACGACCAGCCATGACGCTGAGATAGCGGTCAAGGATGTACGTTGCCCAAAAGGCTCGCTTGCGACACTCCTGTTCCAGGAGCCCAATCTCAGTCTTGTACCCATGCCTGCGCTTCTGGCGGTGTAGTCCGATGGTGACGGCCATGGAAACAAGCATTCCGAATTTGGAGTAAACCTCATTCGCCTGGGCGGTCGAGAGGAGGTAGTAACACTCAACCAATCGGGCCTGAACGGACTCTAGGGTCGGGAATCTTAGGTCATCCTGAAGACACTCGCATGCGTACGCATGATATTCCACACTTCACTGTCCGTCAACATGCAGGTCTGGGCATATGGGTTTCCAGCGGTCTCACCTCTTATTCAATGATTCCCCTATGGATTCTTCGCTCTTTTGCTCTTGGTAGAAGCTGGCCTCGGCAATTATCATTAAGAGCACAGCCAGCTCTCCAGAGGCTAAAGAGCTGCCGTGAGTGCTGAGACTGCCGCCGGCATCCTGATAGGCTATCTTAACCCATGCATCTACCACGCCTCGGTGGAGAAACCGGTAGAAGGGCGTTGAGACGTCAAAGTAGGTCTCAACTAGTTGCTCGGTACGGCGTTGGGAAGGAAGTTGAGGAGCGTGGGTCGGGCTCGGTGCCTGCGAAAGACTACGTCGCCTTGGGTTCGATCCTGAACCAGACGCCCCTGGCTCTAAGTGGTCGAAAAACGTTGATACATGGGTTTTCTTCAACCTTTTCCAAGCACGCTCCAAGAAAGTGAGTGGAGATGATGGCCCGTGGTATCGTCCTTCAATCTCGGTATTCGGCACCGGCGAGTTACTAGACGAGTCCCGGATCGCCGGAACGAGTTCGTCTTGGAACAGCACGGTTTGAGAATGCGTCACTGGGGAAAACTGACTAGAATGATACGTCGGGAGGCCGCCTGATGACGTGATTGGGGCAGCCGGAATCCGGGGCAAACGACCACGAGTATAGGTCGCCGTGTACTGACAACGGAAGCTCAATTCGTGGCATCGAACACATGGGAGCTCCCCTGAGCATCGAGTTTTCCGCCTATTAGCAAGTGTTAATAGCAGGGTCTAACCTCGCGATAGGAGATGAGTTGTCTCACTTCTTGCAGGCATCGCATGCTCTGCTGACTTTGTTCCTCTGGGAGGGCCTAGCCGCAGTTCTAGCTGGCGTGTCGGGCACAGACGGGGAGAGCATCAAGTCGAGGGGCCTTTTAGGCGCTATTATCCGTTGGGGTTCCAGCGTCGCTTCTGCTGTTTGCGACCCGGAGTCTGCCATTTGTGTGCATAATGCTGGTGCTGGCAGCGAGAGGACGTGCGGTTGCTATTCCGATGAGGATGTAGGCAGCCAGAGTCGCTGCCGATGCTATTCCGATAGAGACAAATCTAGTCCCTCCACATCCCTCTAAGAAACAAGCGAGATCCAGGCCAGCTAAGATGTCTATTACCCCACACAGAATACGACTGTCTGATAATAGGCGCGGGTGCAAGTGGGGTGGGGTGTGCGGCGCGATACCAAACCCCAAATTGCGGATTCTTTTCCGACGACTAGAACTCCACTCCCATTCGCACGCGACTGCTGGTCTTCGCACCCAAAGGCGGAACAACATGCCGTGTCCGTTTTTTACACGACCGGCATCATGGTAACCATATGCAACTTTACACTTATCGCACAGAGGGGAGTAACAACCAATATGTATATATAAGCTGCAGAGATCCTACCGCAGTCATTGGAGTGCTCATTCACTACAAGCAGTAGATCTGACCAGTCGCTCACCATGTTGACAAGTCGATCCCTTAGAGACCTCATGGTCAGGGTCTTTTGCGAAGAACATCTCACCAGTCTTGGCCTTGCATTTATCATTTTGCCAGTTATATACGTCTTTTATAATGAGTTCTTGCGCTTCTCTGCCAGAGTGCCAGGCATAGGCGGCCCCAAGGGCCTCCCCATCGTTGGCAACCTTTGGGCCATACGCAAAAACGCCGCAGAACAGTATCGGCTCTGGGCTGAGAAGCATGGCCCTGTCTACCAGGTTTCGCTGGGAAACATCCCCATAATCGTTGTCAATTCGGCCGAGGCCGCCAAGGGCATCTTCGGTCTGAATGCCCAGGCTCTGAGCTCACGGCCTGAGTTTTACACCTTTCATAAAGTGCATGAACCAGACCCCTGCTGCACACACGTCAAGTTGCTGACGGCATCTCCCAGCGCCTCACCGGCCTCGCCACGACCATAGGAACGGCTTCGTACAGTGATAGCTTGAAGAAGAGAAGAAAGGTGGCTGCTGCCACGCTTAATCGCCCGGGTACGGCCAAATACGTGTGGCTCCTCGACATTGAGATAAAGCAGGTCATGGCCGATCTCCTTGAAGATGGAAAGGCTGGGGCCATTGCGATTGATCCTATGACCATCATCCAACGACTAAGCCTTTCTGTCACGACGTGCATCAACTGGGGGGTGAGAATCCCGACCCGAAATGCATTCTTCGACGAGATCATCCACATAGAGGAGAGAATCAGCAGCTTCCGTAGCACGACCGGCAACCTGCAGGACTACGTACCTTTGCTCCGCTGGAACCCCTTTGATGGATCTGCCGCCAGGACTCGCGACACTCGTCGTCGGCAGGACCTGTATCTTAACCACCTCAACCGGGAGCTGGCGGACAGAATGGAAAAGGGTACACAAATGTCATGTATCCAAAAGAGCATCATCACCGACGAGGGCAAGCATCTGAACCAGGAAGAGAAGAGCTCAGTCGACTTGACCATGATCTCTGGCGGGTTGGACACCTTCCCCACGACCGTAGTCTGGTTGATTGCACTCCTGGCCAAGCGTCCCGATATTCAAGAGCGCGCCTTCAGCGAGATTCGCAACATGTATCCGGAGGATCAGCCACTCTGCCACCCTGAGGATGACCAAAAGTGCGTATATGTTGCAGCTTTGATACGGGAGACTCTTAGGATGTACTCGGTGCTGCGTCTCAACCTGCCGCGGGTCTCCATCCGGGACATCACTTACGACGGCGTGACATACCCGAAAGGGACTACATTCTTCATCAATTCATATGCATGTAATATGGGTACGGCTCTTCCATAAATTTGTTATTGGCACAGATTCGGTGAAGTTTCTAACAGACATTAGACGAGAAAATCTGGCCAGACGCGCACATCTTCCGGCCTGAGCGCTGGATTGAGCAACCCGATGCGCCCATGTTCACTTATGGCATCGGCTACCGTATGTGTGCGGGCTTCATGCTGGCCAATCGTGAGCTTTACCTTTTGTTCATGAGAATAATCAGCTGCTTCAAGATTCAAGTTGATGAAGACATCGACATTCATCCTGTAACGGGGACGGCAAATCCCAAGAAACTAGTATCGCAGCCACACAGGTACCGAGCCAAGTTCGTGCCCCGGGATGCAAATGTTCTTCGATATGCGCTGGACAACTTTGTTCCCACGGAGCCAGATGCGAATTTCTGACCGCGAGGCACTACGAGGCACCGTGGATTAAGGAGCAGCCAAACGGTCCAAAGCCCGATCTTTGCTGAGTTGTTAGAATTCAGCCAAATAGTATGTCATGACGTGTTTATTGGGTGGTCAAATTCGCGACCATTTGCTGAGGAACGGAAAGTTTGATCGTAGGAGTACACGTAAGAAGACAGGTCGGAAGTTCCAATTGTATGGCGCATCAAGCTCATTCCCACGGCTTCCAGGTCGTCAGTTGTGAGCAATTCAGCGAAGAGGGCCGACCTCTGGGCCCCTGACAAAGCTAAAAAAGGTGATTATTGGGGATAGAGGTAAGATAGTTTGCCCATAACATGAAAGGAACTCGCTGTACAACTGAACTCACAATCGAAAGACCGATATCGTTGGTGCTCCTACTTATTCAAGGGTCATGAATTTTTTAAGCTTGATATCCATATTGAAAAGGCCCTGTTTCTTCGCATCTATCACCGACTAGTAAGTACGCGGAGTCAGCGCTACGTCCTCTTCCGTGTCTCCTGAGATGACTTTCTTATTCACTGTAGCCTTCCACTCTATTATATACCGGATGTAGCTTGCCAGAAGCTCATCATTTGGCATTTCCTTGTCCCACTCGGCTCGCTGAAGTAGTCTAGGATTTTTAGGGTGCTGGGATAATTCTCCGAAACCGTCCTGGGTTAAACGTAGTCACCCGTTAAACACATCTCAGTCCTCGCAGATATCGTCTTGGCTAGTGGTGTTTTGGCAAGCGCATAACTCTTCATCGAATAAATCCTGTCCTTTCCGATAATGAACGCGGCTAGAGTACCCTGCGTTGGTGCTAAATTCAAAGGAGTTTGTGCGGTTTGCGCCCTTGCGCTTACGAAAGAGAGAGCGTATGCAGGGAATTGAGGCCGCGATGATGATAAGACCGGTCTCAATGTACAAACAACAGTCGAGACCCACAGTAGCAGCAGTGGGATCGTTATTTGGTTTCCCAAGGACGTGAACGTGGTAGGTTCTCACGACAGATGCAGTCGCAGCTCTTGATGAGAACAAAAAGTGAGCCATGAATCTGATAAGAATGAAAGTATCCGTCGAGTACTCACAATACACCTAAACCGAGAAGCATTATCACACCTAGCTTGATTCGGGTGTCCATGTTCATGTTCCACAGTATATATGCTGGAAAAGCAGCAAGGTAAAGATCTGTGGCAGAGTTAAAGGCTGTTTGTTTAATAATTCCAACATGTCAGTATAATGAAGCTTTGTTCGTAAACGAAGATAATATATCTTACCACCTTGAAAATACCCATAGTATGCTTGGATGTGAACATTCCAGCACCCTGTATTTCGTGGTCGGCTCCAAATGTCAGAAGCATGTCCTGGGCACTGCAAGAACATTATAAGGATAGAAACTACATTTGTAGTTAACTGGAAGCTGATAAAAAGCCACAGAATGATTCGATGATGCCTCTCAATTGCAAGGAGGCCAAGAATGTAGAGAATAAAAGATATTCGGCCCATGCATGATGCAGCGACACCGAATGCTTGAGTGAGATAGTCATACATGATGACTGTCGAAACTTCTGCGTGTGGGATGTCCCATACGTGATGACCAAAGCCATGCTTCACACCTATTGTGAACATACTTGATCCAATTATTGCTAGAAGCTAGGCAACACGATTAGCTACCAACACGAGAAAGTTTGGCGGCTGTTAAGTTGCTCACATCTGCGAAAACCATGATCACGTCGTCGCGTCCAAATTGCCTCATTTTTAATTTCGCGATAACTCTGATTGCTAAGACGAAGGTGGCGATTGATGTGGCGCCCCAGATAATTCCCAGTAGATGCTTCTCCGTCCCACTTGAGGGATAGCTATCAGACGCGGCCATGGTGACATCGTCGCATTGCTGGCTTTAGATGGTAGGCGATAGTCTAGGAAGGCAGAAGCAGGTACGAGCAATTGCAATATATTCCTCTCGTGATCGATGCTTTTGTCCTTCTAGTCGATGACGTACTTTCCTTTTAACTCTCGCTTATCGGAGATTTCCAGATTTCGGCAGGATGTGGATAAAGCCACCGCCTAGCGAACATGGTAAAGTCCCTTGATCCCCTCAGAGATTGACAATACCCATGGCGCATAAGGGTAAGGTTTACCTACTACCAAACTAGAATGCAAACATTTGGGGGGTCCAGCTGAGAAGACCCAGGAATTCTACCCTGAGTTTTTTGACCCACTCTTCTGGGTACTCCCAAGTTCCGCACTTGAGAGTAACTACCGTCAGAACGCCGACTAATTATACACCTTTATGCACGCTAAACCCAAAATGCACGTTTGAACTATAACATCATCTTCACGTCTTTTGTCTATTATTCTAAGTATGTACTACTTATAAATAGTATTTAAGAGCAAAACAAAGCATAGAACACGTGAAAACGCGTGTATCTTATTTTATAAACAAAGGGGAAAGGGTTTGGTAGAGTGACCTAGCATACTACAATTTGAGCATTCTACAACGCTAGGAAGACATTCGGGCGACTCGGCGAAAGCATAAGGGACGGACCCCTTAGTGCCAAAATCAACCCCATAGTTAAGGCGTTACCCTAATATGGACGGTGCCCGTACCTTATACTTCGTGGCGTAGGATTAATGTCTCACCTTGGTCGCGAAGTCGGTATGTACAGGTCGCTTGGTCTTGATTTTTGATAGTAGGGCAGGTAAATTGTGGTGGGAGATGTAAATGGATAAGTGTAGACAACAATGAGGCGGAAAAATGTGGTTGCTTAGTGAACAGCTTGTAGGACAGTCCTCTTCGTCGTAAGATTGCGCCAAGCGGGATAAGTTTCACGGGTCGATTTAGGCTTCCAAGAGGACTACTCACATGTATCTCGACATTTGTAACGGAATACTCAGATTGTGGTGCAAGCCAATACTAAGCTCTTGATTGATCTTTTTTTGTCGAATTAAGGGGGCGGGTGCAGTTCGAAGCCGCAGACGTCTAGTTCGCGTAGTAAGAGCTGACAATTCCGTAGGGTCAAGCGTCTTCAGAAATAGAAGATGTTTAGTCTTCTAAAGGGTATATCGATATGACTAGTACTGTAGATTCGGGTAGACAGCGCGGTCTCCACGCGCTTCCTTTATCACGTCGAGGGCCGTATATTATCCATGTTGGCTCGTGAGAGCTAGAATTGTCGCGCTTGAAGACCGATTCACTCGTCTAGTGGTGGTGAATACCTTGTTCTTCACGCGAAAATACGTGTAAGACCGCCCTCTGGGTCCCATCACCCGTCTCTAAGAGAGAATCGCGATTAAACGTGTTACTGCGCGACGACATGAGCCGGAGGCTATGTTAGCCTCGTTCTTTGTAATCATAAAGCCGGTCTAGTCTTGTCTTTGCTATGACAACTAGGTTAGTGCGCTTGGCCAAGTGCAAGGCCGCCCCGGCAAGTCCATCGACAAGTGATGTACATAATGGATACGGTTGATCGATAAGCCGAATGCTCAACAACAGCAGCCGTTCGCTCAGCAGCAATTCCCTCGGCATTTTGCTCCGCAATTCGCTCAGGACCTTCAGCCTAGACCTTTTTATTTGCAACCACAGCCAGTTTTCACTCCAGCCGAACTGGAATATCCAGTACTGTCTGCAGTCAGGAGCAGTGTGGATACGGAACTCTAATGGATGTGATACCGTTTGGCCATAACATCGATGATATGTTCAATCTCTGGGACGCATGACTCTTTCCAATTGCAGGTTGAGCTTTATTTTGTACTATCGTACTGTAATTTAGAAAGATTGTTTTTCTCGATGAAAGTCGTTGCTAAATGGCGGGGTTTACGTTCAGCCGGATCTCAGCCTCGCAGGAACGCAACGCTGCCTGAACCGACCTTTCAAGGCATATCCACAAAAAGCCTAAGTTACTGGGTCCAGGTTTGCCTTTGCGGAGCTCTAGATGTGGCTGTTAGTCGAAGTCAGATTTTTCCTAATTATTGTAGAACAGGGTGCTTTGGCTATTAAGGTATAGGAGCATGGGAGAAAGGGACAGAGGTCTGTATATGTGCTGACGTAGTAGAAGATTTTCACATGTTGACTCTTTTTAAGGGCAGATTACTCAATTCGACAATTTTGTGAAGACTTGAAATTCCCCACGGGATGATTAAAAATAAATTAGTTCTCAACTGTCTCGCGCGGATGCTCTTGTATCTCCGGAGTAAGGTTTACTGATGGTATTACTTGTATAGTATGCAGAAAGCGGATACGTTATTGTTCATCAATCCTATCGTCAGAACGTTTACAGCGCCTGAACCTTGAATATACTCAGAAACAGGTCCCTTCTTCATCTTCCGCTCCATCTTCGCCTGGCCACACAGTGGGAAGGGTAAGCGTAGTACCCTCTCGTCCAACTATGCAGGTTATGTCACCCGTGAGGTTGTTTTGCAGGAAGACTTGGCATGTCTTCTTCATTCCGACCCATCCGTCCCTCGCAAAGAAAGTATTATTGCAGGGAATTTGTTTGTTCTGCAATGTCACCTGGATAAATGACACTTCGGACACGGGGTGGAGGCCCCAGACTACGGCTAACACTTCAATCTTTGCGGAGGGCCCGTTCTTGGAGGAAAAAAGTGGTTTCGGCGGAATGGACTTTGTGGATCGACGGTAACCATCCCCGATCCTTCGCCAGCGACTAGTAGTTGCATAGGGTCAGAACCATACTGATAGAGTACGGAGATAGTCTTATGGTGATTATCTGGCCAGGGATCTGGTGATGCGATATGCCGGACGCCATTGGTATCCAATTGAAGAGTTTGGTGCGGTCCGATCTGAGCTTGAAGCACGCTGGTGATGTCTAGACCACCCCAGTTTGCACATATGATGTCCAGAAAAGGAGGTATATCCAAATTTTCATTTTCGTGTACCGTCTTCACGTCACAGTAGGATAAAGCTGCAGGTGTATCCGAGTATGCCCAAGTGACTGACAGATTCTTCACATGACCGAAACACGGGTCACAACCAAATTCATGGACTGAAGCCATAATACTGGGTTTTCGATATGTGCGCGCGACCTTGGCAACCTGTTCTGTAACATCCTGATTGTGCCAGCTTGCAATGAGAATGTGGACTGAGCCCGGGTTGTCATCGAAGCACTCGTGGTACGGGAGAGGAGCATTGAGGTCAATAATAATTGTCTCGCCTTCCTCAGCAATCACCTTCTGCGGCGCCGTATATAGAGTGCCGTAGTCTAGGTATATCGCCTTCCTCCAGACCATTGAAAATGCCTTGACATTATTGAGCCACGGATCACCTCCGAACGTCTCATTTGTTGCGGTAAAGCTGATTTTTGGGACCTTGACTCTAAGATGAGCGCGAAAGATGTGACGCACGGTATCTGCCACATTCAATGGACCATACACAGCCGAAAGCACCTCGAAATCGTCGCTCCGACGTTGCAATCCGGTAACCATATGAGAAAGATTGCTGGGCCGCTGTTCCTCCAGTATCCCAGCCGCAGCTGCCTTTGCTGCCCACTTGAGGATCATGGGCCGATTTTCATTCGCCTCTGCCTCAGAAATGCCGTACGTGTGCATCTCCCGCACTAGCTCTTGCCACATGTCATCCTCGTCTGAAGGCGGCGTCATCATAACTGTATCAACAGTCGACATGAGAGAGCTGGGTCTACGACCTTCCTGAATGCTGATTAAGATATCGTCAAGTTTGTCCAAAACTCGCTCTTGATCGGGACTACGTCATATTAGCGGGGCCTCCTAGAACCGGGGTCTGGAAACTTTCTTAGGTGGGGCATGGCTAATATCTGGAAGCACTATGCTGCTGTTGAATGCTGCGATAATGGCGCAGAGAGTACTGATCCGCGATCTAATGGATTCAACTTCGCCCTGTGACCATTTGAAGCGGTGTAGGCCTCGGGGCGTGAGGCCGGAGCCCTGTCTTTTCTGCAGTTGCTCTAAAAGCCTCCCCGTCTGCTGTACCAGATTTTCCAAGTCGGCGTATTCGACGGACAGCGTGGCGACCTTCGAGTCTGCCTGTTGTAAGGCTAGCCTATTCCCAAGCCTCCTTAACACCATACCGAGTCCACTGATATCGTCACAAAGACCTTTGAACCGTTTTGGAGCGCCTTGATATGTATCGAAAATTTGATAGGCAAACGTTGCCAATGTTAGAACATCTGGAGCGCCAGGAGATGAAATCATCCCAAATTCTGAGGTTTATTTGTTGACCAGGGGGATCCAAAGCACGGCTTCCAATTATTTTTGGAACAGTTACTTGCCTCACAGGTTACCAAAAAATCCACGAACTTTAAATAAATTGTGCCAAAAGAGGGGCAGCGATGCGAGCAAGCGGGGTGTCTGTATCAGGTGACCTAAATTCGGAAGAAATAATAGCCAGCGGATTCACAGACAAGGCGTGTAAGCTGTACTGCTCACCGTCTTAACCGCTGGCCTCGCTCCGTTGTATGCCCAACTTCAACCGCGGCTCGTGCTCAGCACCGGCATACTGTGTTGTCGTTGTTTGTGCAGCCTGATTCTCCGCTGATGGAGGGTGGCCGGCTATCGTACGGCCTCCGCCGTCCGGGACCCCCGCTCCTTCTTTTGCGTGCGTGCCCAGACGGAAAGGGGGGGGTCTCCTACGACGACGGAAGGGGGTCTCGCATGTTTAGGTGGGAGTGGCACAATTATATGGCGTCTGGCGCAATCCCACGCGACGTGTTGGTCTTGGTCCAGTATTTACTATAGCCATACAAATGCCTTGGGCGGCGCATGCAATTTCGCCGTTGTCGTCCCGAACCAAAAAGAACAGTCCTATCAGACACAGTTCCACTACATACAAGCCGGTGAAAAGCTGATTTATGGCTCGAGGGAAGAGAAGATCAATAGTATCAAAGCGAAACTTGATGACATACAGCACATTGTATCGGTAGACGAACCAGAAAAGACCGAAAGTAACGATATTGAAGATAAGGATGAGAGGCGCAACCACGGAATAAATCGGACCTAGCGGAAAGGTTAGTTACATATGAATCGTTAGCACATGCATAAATACTGGGCATACCAATGGAAGCTGAGGTCGTATAAAACGGGAAGAAAGTACCCCATTGGATTTCAATCAAAATGGTCGTTCGAGCCCATTTCTCCCAGGCGGTGGTATCCATGATGAGAGCAAGAATGAACCAGTTGGAAAGTTAAATGTTTGTAGAAGAGCGCCAGCACTGATAGACATGGCCTGCAATATCATGTATGGGAAAAAGTAGTTACTGGACTTCGGAATGTTCTAGGCCAATATTTCTGCCAACCTAGTCATATCACTGGTATCAGGGCTTGTCGAAAAAACCTGTGCCGATGGCGACAATCAAGAATAGCTACACGAACAAAACAGCGAAGTAGTAATTTTGTACCACCAACTCCACCGCCATACCAGTGTTCAAGCCCTGTATCCGACTTAAGAAGCGAAGAACCAGGGGCAGGAGTACTATTAGGATAGACCAAAAAAGAGTGGGTAAATACCCTAGATCGCAGCGAGCAGCTAATCAGGAAGGCTTCTCAACCAGGACAGCCATGTAAATGCGCCCTCTATGTATGTCAACTGCGATAGCAACCGTGTAAATACGATTGGAAACGACCAGCCGACAAGCATCAGACGAACTATGGTAATGATGCCGAAAGTACGCAAGTCGCGTTCCCACCACATCATAGACATGTTGTCCCAGATGAGATCGTTAGGACAAGCTTCCAGAATTCGCGGTGCCATCTTTTTGGGGAGATTGTAAGTGACAGACTGACATGCCATGTGTGCGGCTACTTGTTGGTTGAATTGGATGAAGGCAGAGTTCATTAATGGTGAACAAAGAAATGTCCTTTATTTATATACAGCTGTTTACCACCACAGCAATAAACTTCTCTTCTCCCTCCAACCTCCTTCTGTTTCATCTCTTTCCCCACATCTGTTTCCCACAACGTTGACACATCCCATTCGTCTGCCTTGCATATGACTTCTACCAACCATGTCTGATCTTGGACATCATCCCGGACTGGGGCTCACCAGATTCTACTTCGACCTGGGGGAAGTCCGCAATGCTGTTAATCCAGACCCAGGGCATAGGATCGACGGCCATACCATAATAAGACTAGCCCGTCTCAGATTAGGGTTCGGGAATCAATTCGTGAGATTGTGTAGGTATAACTAATGTCGAAAGTTGCTGTATCTCAGGAATGTTTTGAAACTTTACTTCTACAGTTGAACGCGGTCCAAGCAGTAGGATAGAAATATGGGCAACAATGCCCTGAGGCTCGCAGGTGGAATTTGAAAACATTAAACAGAGAGAATGTTAAAAGCAAATCCCAACTTGGTCGATCAATTGCCTCAAAATCTCTCGATCCGTCTCATTCATGTCGTTTAAAGATTTCTGCACCCAAATATCCGCCTTTCCTTGAGAAACTCCCAAACGTCCTTCGAGTCCGAAAGCTGCGTTTGCAGAAAGTGGCCCACAAGACAAGTAACAAGAACCTTCTTCCAAACAGTCAGGCTCCAAATATCGGAATTTTTCCCAGTCAAAGCTTTGTAATGTGTCTGCAATTTGGCTTTGGCGCTTTCTGGTTCGAGACCAAGTGCCTGGAGAAGCTCATTGTACCAATCCCAGTAACCGTCAAATGTTTGCATAGATATAAGCATATGCAATGCAGACGACCCATCCATGGAATGCGACTTCAACATTTCTTTGTCGTCCTCATCACTCCCAGCCTCTCCTTCGGAGTCTGGAGCAGCCGCCTTGCGACAAATTTTCATTGCTGGTCGAAGTACTGAATTCTCCTCATCCGCCGTATCCTCTTCGCTTGGTCCATCAAAAAGACCAAATCCCATGTCTTCGTCTGATTCATCTTCATCCCCTGTATCACACATGCCGAAGCCCAAAATTCAAAATCGTCATCGAGTTCTACATTCTCATCAACTGTTAGAGTATCAGCCCCAGAGCAGATCTGGGCTGCATCTTTGTCCTTGGAATGATGGGAGTCCTGCACTGCGACAACGGAGCAGTGCTTTCTAGCAATTTGGAAGCGCAACCCAAGTCTCTCGCACTCATTTTGAACCAGCTCCTCAACCCGGCTTTCCCACTTGCTTGTGATAAGTCTTCCGTGACTATCCTTGATAGTGTGAAACCAACCATGTCCTTCGTCCAGTTCGCCCATCGCTCTTTTAGCTGCCAGCTGATGGATGGTTTCGCCGTGTCCAATGTCTTGGACCGGAATATCTAGTTCCAATGGACTATGGTCGCTCTTCGCACGAAGACTGATTGTCTCAGGAAAGGATGAGATCTCGCCAGAGAGGAGAACGTAGATCGTGGATCGAATGAATGGGAAAAGGGGGGCTAGTTCAACGGGTGCTTGAAGGATACTCGGAACAGCGACCTTTGGAAGAGGTTGGTGCACAATTGTCAGATTCTTCGTATTTGTCGTCAAATAATTCGATCGGCTTTTTAGTTCCTTCTGCAAGACCTTCCTTGGTGTGTTCTTTAATCAGCTCGACCGCCACGAAATCTTCGCCTTCGATATCCAGCAAGTTCATGTTCAAGATAGCATCGGTCACACGCGCCATCAATGCACCCTTTAGCATTCGTACAACCGTTTTGTCTAGCTCTTCATAGTTCTGGACGGACTGAGAGAACCCCATACCCGCTCGAGAAATTCCACCGATGAGTGAATGGGAAACAGTATTTCCAATACCCAAAGTGAAAAACCGTGCCGAAATTTCTTTCATGGCTTTTTGTACGAAGTCAAAAACAGCGTCTGGTTCCAGACTTCTCCGTCTGTCAGAAGGTGGACTTCGGGGACCTTGTCTTGGTAACGATTGGCCACGGCATTCTGGAGGGCACTTAAGATTTCTGTCCCACCCATATCGGCTTTGATTTTCTTTGTGTACTTCAGAGCTTCCTCCAAGTTTCCTCGATAACATATCTTGCTGCGCGGCCACAGAGAAGTGCTCTCGCTCCCAAACGACACGATATTGAAATGGATACCAATTGGGAGGGACTTGAGGAACACTTCGAGCGCCGATCGAAGGGTTGGAATTTTGTCCTCCATACTGCCACTGCGATCAATCAGAAGGATAATCTCAGAAGCACTCTGGGGCAAGCCAAATTTCGGAATCAGAGAAACCATCAGTGCTCGCTGGTTCGGCAACCTAGGATGCGTCTCCAGGAAAGCAAAGGGAAGATCTTGCTTGCTTAAGCCGACTGTCGCAACAAAATCCTCCTGAATTACCACATTCTCCCGAAGTTTGACAGATGCACAGCACGATTTGAAAGCAGTTTCTGGCATGGTCGATGTCCGACCGATATTCACCTCGATAGGGTGAGTTGGCGACAGAATATTGCGAATATCAAAGCCCCTTTCCATCACCATATCAACTTTAATAGCCGTCTTGATAGCAATACCCTCAAACGCTCGAGGTGTCTGATCGTTATTTTGAGTACCGTATCGTGGCGCGATCGTGATCGGGACTGTGTATCGAATTCCATCGGTCTGGATATCTTGCTTGGATTCACTAACTAGGACGATGTGACGATGTCGATGTGAACCTTGCCTCCAGCAGGAAGATTCCCTAGGCGAGTTTTGAAGATATCAGCTGCATCGTATGATTGATCGAAAATGGCAGCGGTCTGTCCCCTCGACTTGGCCTTCTGATATACCTCCTCGGCCTTCTTTTTCGGTTTGACCTGTCCACGAATCACTGCGTTGCCAACATGACACGTGAACCCAACGATGCTGGCGCCATCATAGAGAGGGAAAGAATAAAAGAGCTCCGGGATGGCTTCGGTGTTAAAGATGGATTCAGGTAGGTCTGGGTGATGGTCGTTCCAGTGCTGCTAGATAGCACATGCGCATGGATATCGAGCCCCACCTGAGGGAGGTAGCTCTTCACAGGGCCATTTTCTCCAAGGAGGCGATAGAAGCAACCGTAGGACTGCATTATGAATTTCTTGCACATCAAAGACAATTCTGCCGAAGTAGAACTTCGTGTGGGAAAGCTCGGTGTTTTTGAATGCACTTTTTCTCTCAGTTGAGCCTCAAGAGATCTGCGGGATAAAAAGATGATTGTGACGCAATGAACGCAATGACGGCAAGGTTTAAGACAGGCTTAAAACCTTTACCGAGAGCTATTGGCTAATATGCTAGTCTCGAAGGCTGAAAGACGACAATGCGTCGTGGATTCTAAAAACTCCGCTACGAAGGCCTCGGCCGCCCCAGAAAGATTACAGCTGGTTGGATGGCCGATCGCAGGATTCCCCGTCTATGACTCGAGAATGTAAATATTGCATGGGGGCGGCTTGACAGTGCATAAATGTTCTGACTCATATTCTATTTCCTAGGCAGCAGTCCGGGGGCCGTGAAGAGATTTTTTTTCGACAATTTACATGTTTCCATACAACCATTTTAACCAAGGCTGACTCTGGCCCTGATATGCTTTCACTTTTAGCCTCTACAATTCGATAATACCGAAGAGCATCAGTGGCGCATTCTAGTCTGCAATGAGACAGGTTCGGAATATCTCTCGTAACAGAAACCACCGGGTCCAGACTCAGAACTGATAACTGGCATTCAGTAAATGATCGTGATTAATTGTTTTACTAGGTAGCACAACGGGCTCCATCTGGGTGATTTCCAGACAGGTCAGAAACGGATAGACTTGAAATGGCTTCAATAGCGACTTTCTCAATGCGGTGCGCGAAATTGGTCCAAAAGCTATGCTACAACGGGGACGAAGAAGTAGCCGGACAAAGGAATATAATGGTCGGTTAAAGAGACTGTGCTCTTGGGAGAAAATGTACAAGAAGGGCTTCGAGACTTCAAGAGGAAGAAGCAGAGTGATATTACACCATCAATCTGTGAATCAGTAACCTCATCACCCAGTTCTCGCAGCCAGTCTGTTTTTCAATACTGTCTAGATCGTTGTAGATATCTGACTCCAGCCTTTTGAGAGTTTTCAGGGTGTGGACCATACTGCCTGCGCGGTGCAAACGATCCAAAACAATCTTCTTATGGGGGATTGACAACGAACCAGATGCGCTCCTCTCCTGTATTATGCCGCGCAGTATAAGGTCAGGTGGCTGGGAATGCCAGGCATGAATAAGCGGAAAAGAAAATTTCCCTTCGTCCAGGTCCTCACAGAATCCTTTCTCGCTCGTGTACTGAGCTTACGTCAGAGTCTATTGGACATTCGGTGAAGCCGGAGTGCGTACCTCATTATCCATCAAATTCATGTAGTCATCACGAACTTGGAAATATTTTCCGATCACAGACAAAAAGTCTGCAGAGATGGTTCTAAATAGTATTGTCAGTCCAATTAAAGGGACTCTCAGTTTGAAGCTGGGGACCTGCCTTTTATGAAGCGAGAAGGCCATCTGTGACATCAGTCGTGCAATCAGTCTGAACAAGCCACCCGTCTCTAGATACGGAATGTTAGCGCTCAATTGAGTGAGATAGCTGTACATGATTTGGGTGCATCGTACTTTGGCTGACCATCTCTAGGTATTCCGCTTCCGAAGGACAATCACCTTGCCGCGTCCAGTGTAAGTCAAAGCTCTGGCCAATGAACAAGTTTCGAAGTTCATCTATGGCTATGGTCATGCACTAAGGGTCATCGAGATTGCGGACATCGTTCATGACGTCTATGAGCATGAAATTTGCGCAGTTGATAGTCGATGCAGGGCCAAAGACAGTGTGAGTAGCAGGGCTTCCACGCCGAAGAGGCGAAGAATCTTCGATGTCGTCCAACCTATAAATTTTAGACACTGTATACTACCTCCAGCCCTAGAATCCATCTTACATAAGAGACGAGCTGTTAGCTTTTGCGCTATTGATTTTACTATCTTGACTGTACGAGCTGGAATGCACAGCCAGACATTCAAGGCGTCGATAAGCGCCTCACGAACACCCTTTGACGGAAGAGCGCTAATGTATTCGAAAGGAGCAAGTAGAAGCTGAGAATTCGGCAATGTCAGTGCAAGTGAAAGAGGTATTCTTCAAATTATGGAAGAGCAGACCTCAGTACCCAAAGTCACTGGTTTTTGAGTTTCGGAGCCAATAATAATTACATCCAATGACTCCAATGACGATCTGCTTGATGTTCTGGATTTGGGTGTCCCCGTAGAGAACGAACTGGTGGACTCGGCATCTGAATTTTCTTGTGCAAACCGCTCCGAGTTTGCGACCAGGTTTTCTCTCTCCTGCTCAATATTCATACTCTTTTGGTCTTCGGCGCCCACTTGCAACAGAGTTTCACCCTCAGCACAGAGCTCGGGATGGTATCGAGGGCACCTGAGGCTCCAAACGATATTCCCCGGAATCTGAAATGCCAAAGCTCTCAAGTACTCATGTAACTTAGGAGAGCATAGTTCCTTGTTCGCAATGAAATCGCCCATGCGCTGTTGAAATTGTATCTCGTAGTCACACACGACTTGTCGAACCTTCTCCTTCGCCTCATGAATGGAGATATTCTCCCATTTCATATACAGCCAAACAGCATTAGTCATGGTGGCCGCATCGGAATCATCTGTTTGTTGAAATTCATCCCACTCGATGTGGAAAGAATAATAATCATTAGCAAGCCCAAGAGCCGCAAAGCATGGTTTGACAATCGCAGCAACACGTTTCTCTTCTTCTTCGGTCAAGAGGATGCCCATGCCAAATCGCATCACGGTATCGACAAACCTAGATAAAGTTCAGCATTTTTGAATTTGCTTCATGCCTCACCGACACATGTATGGAAAGAACTCACGGAGCTCCAGTGTCAATAATTCGATATTCCACATAATCTTCAATATTGTCGAAAATGCAGGATTTATCGCGAAACGCGGTCAACGCTACCATTTCCTTCCAAGCAGTAATCACGACTTCAGCGCAAGGCTTGTCCATCGACAGAAGCTCTAAGAGCATTTTGGACTGGATTTGCTTCGTTCCGGTTGTTGATCGTACGGTGCGGTAATCGGTTTCGTTCAGGGCTATATTGTCGGTTCCTTCATCCAACTTCATGGGGTTAGCATTTAGCATCTTGGCCGACCTTTATCGAGATCAAGAAGGCCATGGATGCTTACCAGCACTTTGGATACGGATTCGACTACGTTGTCGTACAGAAAAGCATCTGATGAAGGTTAACTGGATGTCAACTTTTGTTTCCCCAACTTCGCGCGTATCAAAGCAGTGCAAAGATCTCTTACATTCAAAAATATACGAGACCAGTGCTAATCTCTCAGGCTTGCACAGTGGCAGGACTACCGTCGCAAAATGCCCGTCGTAGGGATTGCAACTGCCCCAACGTTCAATTGGGCCGATGTATTTCCTCCAGTCATCGCGACAGCGGAAGGAACCTTCATTGGCATTCTGCTCATGCTTATGGCGGCGGAGTGCGTAATGATGGCAGAACCCGTCTATAGTGGGCATTTTTCGTGTCACCAAGTAAGAGGTCTCGTCTAGATCTGACTGAGACTTTGGGTATTCCATGGCGGAATTCGTCGGTGGAAAATGGGAAAAGGATGGACTTCCTCAGAGGATTTCCTGAAGCTATATATCTCTACAGCCAGCGTGAACGATAGAGTCTTATGGTACGTACGAGCGTGAACCAGGTATGACTTCATCTTGCGGCAACTAATGAGACATTCGTCCAGTTTGATTCTTAGGTGGTGGGTCTTAACAGGTGAAATCACGGCACAGAAAAACCCCATGACATGATTATAGGGCTTTTCAATAATCGGTGAAGAAGAAGCCGATAGCTGTGACATCAGAGCGATGTCAAGGGGCATGGTTCTGCTCGCAGATATAAATTTGAATGATCATTGGGGCTGCCCGCTGAGATCAGACGGGAGCAAGAGCGGGTCTTGTTCACATTCCGCTTGCACGAACGGGTTCGTTCCAAGTTTCGGGGTCCCCACTTCGTAAAGCGATTGGTTGGGAGCGATCTTGATCGAAACTTAAGATGTCCTTATCGATCTGCAACGCAAGGACGAGGTTCTTTGCCATTCGTCAGTAGATCGGGCACTAACTTTGCTGCCGACCTTGAACCACAGCGGCGGGATAGAGCCCCGGTTTACATGCGTCATACCGCATATGTGTCACGTCAAATATCTGGATCTCGAAGCATTTTCCTGTTCAATTCTATCCCTACATTAAACTAAAATGATTTCCAGCGATCGACTCTTATCTGTTGCTCAATGTCAATAAAAGCTGGAGAGAACTGGTTTCACGGTCAATTCTAAAACCAATTGCACAATGACCAGAAGTCAGACAGCAAATATGGCGATTCCTCCCGAATGCGACGATAAGCTTAGGCTTTTCATTCAGTCATGTGCTGAACTCGATCTTTTGGCTCGACCTGAGGGCCTTGAGAACGAAGATCTACAAGACGGGCTATTAGACCCGTCCACTCTCTTGTATGTCGCTGTGATGCCTGGCTTTTCTTCCTTTGTTGTGTTCACATCAACAGACGATTTTTAACGGCGCGCCAATACGATACGGCCGCTGCCCTCAAGCAATTCCAAGAAGCATCACAGTTCCGCCGGGAGAAGCACATCGTCAGGCTTCATGACATGGTTGAAGTTACTGATTTTGAACAAGCTCGACAATTCGTAGGTTTTCATTTTCTCTTTCCAGATCAAAGTATTATTCTAACTTGAAATGTAGTATCCACATTGGACGGGTCGGAGAGACAAAAGAGGTTTACCCATATGCATGTTTGATCTTTCTCGTCTTGATAAACATAATTTAGCGTGCTGGGAAAAGGCACGACATATAATTCCTTGGTCAGATTCACAGTCCAAAACAAACCTGCCACCAAAACTCGATATGGTGCAGCTGGCCTCCGTGTATCACGACAGTCTGACTCGCCTGGTTTTACCCCTCTGCTCTATGATGACCGACCGGCCGAATCCCTTGGCACCAATCACTAGCTCCATATATCTTGTGGACGCATCAGGCCTAGGCCTGAAGCAGGGATGGAACTTACGATGCTTCGCCCAAAACATTAGTTGGTTGCTATCAACGTGTTACCCCGAGACCATCCACCGTGTCTTTGTCGGTAGCCAATTTACATGACCTAAATGTGTCGTACACAGACTGACATCAAATATAATAGGTATGTAATGCTCCGTCGTTTTTTTCCACGATCTGGAAATACCTGAAAGCATGGATCGACCCAAATACGGCAGAAAAGATCTTAGTGCTTAGTAGCACAGAGGTGTTGCCCACCCTTGAAGACTGCATTGATAAGGAGAACATCCCAACTGTATTTGGCGGTGGATTTTCTTTCACACATGGGATGCTACCAGAGCTCGATGATAATATCTGGCGGCGTTTCAGCTGGAAGCTCCCAAATCGCTCCCTGCCTCCGGGGCCTATTAAGTGGACCCAAGATCTAGATGGCCGGACGACTGCTGTTGCTGTTGGTTGCGAATTGGGGGCTAAGAGGAATGAAAAGATTGCGACCTTGGATCCTGTTGTCAAATGATACGGGCAGTCCATTTCCCGTTTCCACAAGATATATGCGAAGGGAGAACGCATGATATACTGGCTCTTGGTTAGGGTAGCTTTCTTTCGGTTTTTAAATGATATTATCTTCACAACCTACGGTCGCATAGGCTAGTTTTGACCTAGGACGGATTTTTTGGACTAGGTGTACCTACTGTAGCGGGGCGGAATGGGACTCTTGCTCTAGGCGGAAGTGAGACCTACCAGAGGCTTCCAGGGGAGTTGCAAGAGGAGAAGTGCCCGGTTTGTGCTACTTCAGGTGAGCATGCCTCATATACATGCACTAAGTTATCTGATAGCAGAGGGTATCTGCCCGTCTGCACTAGGTATTCGCTTGGACTACACTACTTTCTCAAGGTACGTCTAGCTGTTGAACGGCGGCCGTGGGACAGTTACGGCTGACGATACGTGGACTGTTATTGGCGGGGCCATAGGCCTGAAATCGATCAAAATATCGTAAGCACGCGAGAAAATACGTACGTTACTGATCGGTGATGGCATCTGCAAAGAAATTTTTCATCGATTAGTTTTCTACCTACGCATGTATACTATTCTCTGGATCATAAGTGTTCAGCGTTGCGGAATGACATCTGAATCCAGCCCCCCTCTCCTCCTCTCTTGTTTGCAGAACTGACGTTCTAGAAACCCTGGAGATCATACAAGCCTGATACGGAAGCTATTCTATGTTTTAACTTACAAGTGTACTGGAATACTGCCAAGAACAGGGGTCAGCGGCAGAGTAACTGTACTAGTTATACCGTGTTTCGAGAGAGGATTAGAGAAAGAATCTCCGCGAGTAAGTGGTGAAACTGATTTCGATCCATCCTGTATAATAGTCACAGAAATTGCGTGTTCTTTCAGTTCCCTTATTATGAATCAGGTTGCTAATTTCCAGCCTGTGATGTCAATTCGATTTCTCACTGCAATACCTGGAGACCAAAATCAACGAGCGGCTATAGAGAGCGAATACAATAGGCTTATGAACCCTAAGGAGGTGTTAAAATATTGATATATATATAAATATATGTTTTAACTTGACCGGTGATGCTCCAGGTCGTCTCTACTAGGTTGAAGAGGCGGACATGCAGTGGATAGCGATGCCGGTGAACAGCCTCAACCCCGCCTCCGGATCCGAAGCGTCCGGATCCGAGAAAACAGTAGCGGACGAACAATTTTCTTCACGAACGGAGCTATGTCTGGAATTACTACATTTGTATACTCGGAATTTAGCCAGTTACCTCCTGAGATGCTTGATGTAAAAGCTATATAAAGCTTCATGAATCCGCCAGGTCAAACTCAACAGAAATACAATCTTCAGAAATACATTCAGTTCTCACTTGAATAAGTACTTGATTGATTCATCAGCGCAGCAATCCAGCAATATGACAGCACCAACCAACGTCGGTATTATTGGGGCAGGACTTTCAGGCCTTGCACTCGCATTATCTCTGCACAAGCAATCCATCCCATGCACCGTGTACGAAGCGCGCCCTGCATCTCTGGACATCGGCGGTGCAATCATGCTATCGCCCAACGCACTACGCATCCTCGATGCAGTGGGAATCTACGACCGCATCCGCGTCCACGGCTTCGAGTTCCAGAACCTGTATTTCCGGTCTGCGGAAGATGAAGCGAGGGATTCGTACGAGTTCGGCAATCGCCAGAAATACGGATACGATGGGCTGCGCATCTATCGCTATGTTCTCATCGATGCGCTCGTGGAAGCAATCAAAGAGCGAGAAATCCCAATCCAGTACGGCAAGAAGTTCACGCGGGTTGTTTCTGAGACTGACACCGCAGTTGAATGGGAATTCGACGATGGGACCTCCAGTCGTGCGGCATGTCTTGTCGGTGCGGATGGAATCCATTCTCGCGTGCGCAAGTACCTGTACCCAGATCTGGAGCCGCGATTCACAAATACAATGGGCGTCACGGCTGATGTGCCGACCAGCCAGATTATTGCTCCGGAAGGGTATAAGATGCCCGTGACGATCATGAATCCCACTCATGGAGCATTTGTCATTGCGCAACAACTGGTAGATGGATCGGAGTCTCTGATCGGACGACAGAAGCAAGCACCGGATCTGGACCGAGAGGGCTGGAACAAGTTGATGAGCGACAAGCAGTGGTGCGTTGACTTCCTGCGCGATGGAGCAGAAGATTATCCTCCAATTGTGAAATCTGCCGTCTCGAATATCCCGCTCAACAAAATCAACCTGTGGCCGTTCTATGTGGTTCCCAAGCTAGACCGTTGGGCCTCCATCCACTCACGTGTTGTGATTTTGGGCGATGCGGCGCATGCCATTCCACCAACGGCGGGTCAGGGCGTCAACCAGGCATTCGAGGATGTCTATACATATGCTCTCATATTGTCTCAGCGTCGGCAGGAAGATCTGGAGCGTGGGTTGAAGCTTTGGCAGAAAGGCCGACAAGAGCGGGTTGATCGTGTCCTAGCGCTCAATAAGCAAATTGATGCTCGCAGAATGCCAAAAGCTCAGGATGCAGGATCCTCGGATCTGGAGAACGAAGAATTTGATCTCGAGTGGCTGTATAGCCCAGACTTTGACGAGCTTGTACGCGACTGGCTCAGCTAGGTCACTAGTGCTTAGAAAAAGAGTCTAGCATCCCCCCTTTGTGTGGAATTTTATGTGATATTTTAGTTTGATATCTGACTTTACCACGATTAAGAAATTTACTTGCCTCATTTCGTACAAAAAAGAATTCAGTTACCATATTATTACTACTATTACAATACTTGGTCACATCTCGATCTAGATTAGACCTTGGTTTACGACGACGTTGTTTCTGGCGCATGGGCTTTTTATTCGCTCTTTCCTCCACAGTTCGGGCACACTAGGTCTGTAAAAAGCTTCATATATGGTGGTTGGTTTTGTCCGAAGTTTCTGCTGATAAAATGAAGCGTCGGGATGAGCGGATTTGGTGGGGGAGTATTTCCCAGGCCCCACTCGCTGCGCGATTGTCTGCCGACCTCATGCGCTACTAAGAGAATTGGGAGCAAGCCAATGCCAAAAATACGCACCCTATTCGTCTAAAGGGGGTGATCTTCCAGTTAGGAATTCTAATGTCCTTATCCGAAACAGGGATATTCTGGAGGCCGAGCAACAAAGAAAACCGATTACTTCCTTGTTAGATTCGCAGTTGTTACGGATACAACCTGTGTTATCGTGAGGCTAGTTGCCAAGACAAAGAATGATTGAATCAGTAGACTCCCAATTTGATCCACCAGGGCAAAGCTAATATTATTTAGGATCTAGCCTGGGGTGGTAATTTGGATAAGTTACCTAGGGGTCATTATACTGACACTAAAGCAATTGGAGAGAGAATGGAAAGAGTCAAGGGACGGCGGCCACCTTTGTAGGATCGACAACTCATTGTCATCCAAATACACGAAGCGGCGCTACGGATCTTTGCCAAGGAATCGAGCGTACCTGCTGACGCAACTACGAACAGGACGCTGCTGGTTATCAACATATGCAAAGGCGTTCCGATTCCTTGACGATGATCTTTGCGTATACGGCGAGCGGGAAAGCGTGGTACATGTTCTGCTAGACTGTCCAATACTCAATCTGACAGTGCATGCGGCTAGGTAAACAACGCTGATATCTCATCCTCGTACAATGACAAAGTCTGCGATCTCGCTACACTGCCTTTTATAGTTCGAACAAACGGCCTATTTTTGCGTACAAATATGAGCCGCTCTTTCGAAAGCTGGACACAGTCGTGGCAACGAGAATTGACCTTGTCAATGTATGGCTGCAAATTTATGATCAGTGCTTGCCGTCCACTGTCAGACTCTGTATCAATTTCGGGCAAAGGTTCAACAATCAGTACCGGGGCCGGGCGACCATGGCCACCAATCAATGCCGACTTGATACCAGGGTGGGCTTCAATCTCGGGCTCAAGACTTGAGGCATGTAACCCATCGGCATGCGACAAGTAGACATAGTCATCTGCGCGGCCGGTAATCTTCCAGAGTCCCTTGTGGACTGGATGCTCCGTCCATAGATCATTGGTTGGGAAGCGGTCGAGGTCTGGATACACTTTAAAGATTTGCTGCATCTCAGTCTCTGGCTGCCGTACAAAGACCAGTTCGTATAAGTTATCCATCCGATGCTCGAATTTGGCTCCTGCATGCTTTTGGAAGACAACATAGTCCCAGGCCTCTGGGTGGTCATGAAGAGCTGTAAAATAGGGTCCTGCTTCTGTACTACCGATAGCGGAGGAAATTTTGACATGGTTCTTTAGTTGTTTTCCGGTTTTGGCAGACAAAGGCGCACCAGCATAGTGGAAATATTTCAGTTCTCGGAGGGCCTCTACGCCACGTGCATTAAGACAAAGCTCATCAGTCAACGCCGGGGTAAGGAGGGCGCCTTGGACATGTCCGTAACATAAGATATTTGCGACAATATCTGGTGAAGGAGGTGCTGACGGCCCCATGACGATCGTGGTGTGGATGAATGAAGTCATGGAGAGCATCAAAAATGTGCCGACGAACTGGGTAAGAGTAAGTTTAGTTCGAGAGAGAAGCCGAACTCTGGAACTTACATGTAGTGATGGCAGTGGGGTATACCATCTCTGAAGCGCAAATTGATGAATAACACTCGGTTCAGCGTCCGTAAGAGATGCAAAGTAGTCAATAGAAGCCATCATGCCATGAGTGTATGTGATAGGTTTCGGGTACCCTAAGCGAATACTTAACAACTCAAACCAGGTATTCAATGGTGTAATAGAACCCACCTGTTGTACCTGATGTGTGAAACACAAGCCAGGGATCACCTTCACCTTCTTCCCATGATTTCTTGTAAACAAATTGTGTTGCTTCATCATCTTTCAAGAATTCATCAAGTTCAGGCACTGTAATGACCTGGAAATCTGAGGCACCGCGTAGGTGACTGAAACTTCATTCCTATTTTTTGCCCAGATATTGCGGAATCGAGGTCGGGAAAAATTTGGCTTAATTTCATGGATAACTACAGCGTCAAATGCCACTCGATTGTTGTTATTCATTTAAAAGACTTCTCCTTGTTCATGAAGAACGCACTGCTATTTCAGTGCGAATATGTGAACCGGCCAAATCACGAAGCTTCTGACTTCTTCCCACTTGGTCTCTTCGGACTTGTTAGAAGGGGATTCTGTTTTCGACTCCGAGTGTACCCGGACGCCGCAACGAGGCCACCTCGTCAAGGCGACAGCCGGTCTAGATAAAATACATCCATTCCGACACTTCCTCTCGCACCAGAAGGCGTTGATTCGAGACCGCATCCACAGCCAATGGGAAGAAGAATGGAAAACTCCGGAGGATCGACAGCGAGCTACCCGCTCCCAGAGCCAGACGGTTATACGGCGCACTACCAGGGAATCGAACCTACCTACTATAGCAACTACGAACTGGTCACTGCTGGTTGGCTACCTACGCAAAAGCACTCCAGTTTCGCGGTAAGTGCGAGTGTGGCTCGCAGGAGACAGTGGAGAACATGTGAATCGGCCCCCATTTGCTTCGCGCATTTGGCCCCTCCTCCAGGCAGCGCAAGAATAAAACAAAATGGCGAATTTTCTGGAACACAATTGATTGGACGTATCGCACACGTTTCTTCTCCGGGTTCAAGCCCGAACATTACGGTCGCCCTACATGTCCCTCCAAAGACTACTTCTGATAACAAGAGGATCGTGAATATCGCGACTTGCTTCAGTCAATAGAAAGAAACGATCATGTTGGCTCGAGCCTGCTTCGGTGTCTGGCATAGTCGATCGAAGTACCCAGTATAAAAACTAAATTTAAATTCAAAACGCCTGAGCCTGGTAATTGGCACTGTCAGTGCTCATCCACAATTCCAAACACTGTATAATATCTTGAATCATGTATCCAAGAGGGAAATTACGGCGCAATAATAGAACCATCCTTTTATGGTAGCCCTCTACACTGGAACAGCCATGCCATCTCCTCGGGGGTCACTTCCGGCCGTATAAACTCGCTGCTCTCCATCAACTATATTCCGAATGATCTGCCCCCGACCAAAGATATCCCGCTGCCACCCTGATCGCATTCGCACGTGATGTCCTCTTCTCTCCAACCCCTGTATCGCCTCCTCACTTATCCCCTCCTCGACATAGACCGTGCCGTCAACAGCTTCGCCATTCGAAAGAACGCTCGCAATACACACTCGTGGTGCATCGAGCGCCTCTTGTGGACTCATGCCAAACGCCAGCATGTTCAGAAGTACTTGTACGTGTCCTTGCGGTTGCATGAACGCACCCATGACCCCGAAAACCGAATGTAGGCCCCCTGTTTCGGCATTCGTCGCCAGCCCCGGGATGATCGTGTGATACGGTCGCTTCCCAGGTGCCAGGCAATTGGGATGGCCGGGTGCGAGCGAGAAATTCGCACCGCGGCTCTGCAGAGTAAACCCGCATTTAGCTGGGATGATACCGCTCCCGAAGCCGTGATAGTTGCTGTTCACGATGGACACTGCGTTGCCGGCGTAGTCGGTCACCGCGAAGTAAACTGTGTCACTGGATCGTAGGGCCGGGCTACCGTGGTCCAAGAGAGTCGAGGCGTGCTCTGGATTGAATAGTCGTGCACGCGTACTGAGGTAGGAGGGTGAAAGAAGGTCAGGGATGGGGTGAAAATGCGGATCGGATATGAACCATGTGCCATCGGCAAAGGCGATTCGCAGGCTTTCGACGATAAGATGCAGATACTCGTCGGAGTTGTGGGATGGGATTTGAGTTATTTTCCCTGACTTCTGGAGCTCTTGGATAATTCCTAGTGCCATCAAGGCCACGATGCCTTGACCGTTAGGCGGATGTTCCCAAACATCCACGCTTGACTGAATACTTTTGAAGCGCAAAGACATGGGTCTGACGTACTCGCTGCCTTTTCTTGCATGATACTCCAAGTCCTCGTACGTGAGATGGCCTCCGCGATCTTGCATTACTTGACAAATTGCATCGGCAACACGACCAGCATAAAAGCCCTTTTTGCCCTCGATGGCAAGCTGATGGAATGTATTGGCTAGCGTCGGCATCTTCATAATCTCTCCTGTTCGAGGAGCTCTGCTTCCATCTGCAGTCGCGATATCCTCCTTGAGCATCTCTTTGAAGTTGGGAGATGCTTCTCGCAATTGTTGCTCGTTCTCTTGCCACTAATTAGAAGTACATATTAGCAGGCTCTATTCCCACAATCTCCCCTTGTAGTCACTGTAAACTTACATAGTACGCTGAAATCTCCGACACAGGAAACCCCTTCTCAGCTAAGTCAACCGCTGGCTGGAGAATCTGCTGCATGGAAAGCTTCCCACTTCCAAACCTTTCCACGGTATCTATCCAACCTGCCGCCGCACCTGGGACAGTCACCGCATAGATGCTATTGAGCGGAATACTCCCGGGCTTGTTGTCTGGGATGTTGAGTTTCCCTCGCACCTCCTCTAGAGTAATGCGCGCTGGAGCTCGCCCCGATCCATTCAGCCCGTGAACTTTCTTTGTCTGGCCATCATAGAAGAGACAAAATATATCACCTCCAATTCCAGTAGACCATGGCTCCGTCACGTTCAAACAGGCCGCTGTGGAGAGTTCTGTGTCAGCTATTGGGTCCTTGTAGCTCAGAGATCATGGGACACACCGACAGCTATTCCAGCATCCTAGTGAAGACCATCAGTATTTCTGACTTGTCAATTAAAGTTTTATGTATTACACACCGCGGCATTTCCTCCTTGTTTAAGAATAGTCTGGCCCGCGATTGCGGCCAAGGGCTGGGTACACGCAACGATGCCGTTGAGGCTGTGGACAGCGCTGCGGCGACTAGCAAATGGTGAGAACATAGAAAGAATTTTGCCGATAAACAGTTCAAGTTGTAATAGAAGAAAATGGGTCATTTAGTAACAAACCGGTCACCCTTCATTGTGTCGAGAAAATCTGGGGGTTGATATTCTTCTTCGGGGAGAAAATGAACATCTCCGGAATGTGGGGGAACACATTGACTTGTTTCACGCCTCCGACTACGCATTGACAACTCGTACTACAGTATCGCGGCCTATGACGAGTCCGATGGTGGACACGAGAACCTTGATTCTTCGTTCATGGGTGGTAGCGGTAGTGGTGGTGCTCCCGGTGGTACTGGCTCCATGCCCGCTCTGCCTAGCTCAACCTCTGCTTGAAAGTTCCGATACTTGAACTAGATAGGCTGGTGGGGTAGCGCAAAATCGATGAATTGATCAGTAGACGAAAAAATAGCAGCGAGAGATCCCCATGACCAACAGTGAGCGGTCGGGCTCCCCGGCTTACCAAAATGCGGTGAGAATAGGGCTGGGCGGGTAAACGATCAAGAATGTAAACCAACCTCCACGTGCCTACATTGAAGTGATTGCCCATTCAGATAAGAGATCGCGAAAGAAGTGCCGCTGGCATAATCACCAGGATTCCCTAGATGCCTTACTCCATATAATCGCCCCCTAAAGTCGGACCCCGAAACGCTGCGCGTCTCCACCAATCCGATCCAATTGGCAACGCCACTATCACCTAAGATTCAATGGTTGGCCCAATCAATGACGACCCGATCGATGATTACGTACTAATTAGATCCTTTCCACGCCCTGTGGTTGACTTCTTGGTACACTTCAGTCTATTAATGGATTGAGTCTAATGAACGCTTATTGTTAAATTTTCTATTCTGCATCCTCTCTCTTGGGCAATCTTTTCCTTGCCTTCCTTTTTCCTTGCCCTTGTTATCGCCGGCTCTGACTCTCACAATGGAGGAAGTAGCAGGCTCGCACTCCTCGACAAACGAGACCGAAAAGGGACTGTACACTCCGGTAGAGGGGAGAACTAACGCTACTCACCTGTCGAACATTAACAATGGCACACAACAACTCCCGCCCATCGATCGCGGGGTAAACGCCTGGCTCTTCCTCGCCGCCTGCTTCGTCATGGAAGCTCTCGTCTGGGGATTTGCATTCACCTACGGTGTATTCCAAGCATATTACAGCGAGTTAGAAGAATTCAAGAACTCCGGAAATATCGCCGTCGTCGGGACCTGCGCTATGGTAAGAACATTGACTAGTCGCCCAATTGAACGCCTCTTTCAACGAGCTAACCCGTAATAGGGGATAATGTATCTCGATCTCCCTCTCGTGTTCGCCGCCTACAGACAATGGCCCAAGTATCAACGCCTCGGCTGCGGTGTGGGCGTGCTATTAATGTGTCTCGCTCTCGGCCTCAGCTCCTTCTCTACAAACGTCACCCATCTCATCATAACCCAAGGCATCTTTTATGCCATCGGCGGCAGCATCGCCTACTCCCCCTGTATCCTTCTAATGGAAGACTGGTTCGATAAACGCAAGGGCCTCGCCTTCGGCGTCATGTGGGCCGGCACCGGACTCGGCGGTGTCGTCCTCCCCATCGTTATGGAACAGCTGCTAAGCCAGTATGGGTTCCGGACTACATTACGCGCTTTCGCTATCGCGCTCTTCATCCTCACCGCGCCGCTAGTCTACTTCGTCAAACCGCGTGTGCCGATCGCAAATAACCGGCCTAGCCCGTCACCGCCGAACCTCCGGTTTTTATTTACATCCACGTTCGCCCTCTTCGAGATCTGCAATATCGTCCAGGCCCTCGGGTTTTTCTTGCCGTCCATCTACCTCCCGACTTACGCGGGGGTGATCGGTGCATCGAGCAGCCTCCAAGCACTAACCGTCATTCTCTTCAACGTAGCCTCCGTCCTCGGCTGCGTGTGTATGGGCTCCATCGTCGACAGACTCGATGTGACGGTCTGCATCCTCGTCTCAACTCTCGGATCCACAATAGGCGTGTTCCTAATCTGGGGGTTCTCCATGTCTCTCGCCCCACTGCTCATCTTCTCAATCGTATACGGTCTCTTCGCAGGATCATACACGAGTACCTGGCCTGGGATTATGCGTGATGTAGTCCACAAGAAGAGCTCCGCGGAATCAAGCATGGTCTTTGCGTGTCTTGCGGCCGGCAGGGGGGTCGGGAATTTGGTTTCGGGACCACTTAGTGAGGCTCTTATTAAGGGGTTGCCGTGGCAGGGAAAGCTAGGGTATGGATATGGGAGTGGGTACGGGACGTTGATTGTTTTCACGGGGGTTACCGGAGTTGTGGGGGGTGGGAGTTATCTTGCGAGATGTTTGAGGTGGTTGTAAACTCGTTCGAGTTCATTAGGGACGTTCCCACTCCCATGTATCCTTGTCTTCATAGACGATGGATTTATGCTTTGTCTAATACCAAAAAGAACTCGGTTACCATATTCTTACTGTTATCATAATTGGTCACATCTCGATCTAGATTAGATCTATTGCCCGCTGAGGATAACGAAATTAGCCATCAATATCTCCCGCATTCTCTGGGCCTATGATACCCTACCCGTGTATGAGAACTGCGTTCGTGTCGCTGTTGACCCATGGGATGGATTGGGAAATGAGCGTTCAAAGAGCCGATGTGATTGCATTAGAGTATCTATATACGTATCATATTTGTGTATCGTTGGATGTACATGGCTTTCTTCGGGGATTATCTAAATATGTGCGAAGAGATGAATTAAAAAGGTCAAGAGATTCACGCAGAGTAGACCTCGCATACGCCAACCTTCGTGGGATTACTGCCGGAAGTATATGAACAAAATCCGCTCCATCTGCCGCTGTAACCAATCCAACTGCTCCTGAGGCAAACCTAAGCTCGAAGCCTTCAAATTCCGGAGAAAAGGCATAACGAACCACGCACCTATCAACGGAGCAGTATGATTGTGCGTGAGAGTAACAGGCCGCGTTTCTGCAGACGGGTACTCGACGAGTCCGAACTTCATGCGCACCGACTCAAGCTGGCTGCCTAGGAAGAAAGGCACTGTCGCACAGATATCATCGACGAGGCCATGTGCCGTTGCAATCACAGATGCGGCTCTGGATCCATCCACATCCTGGGATGACGATAATATGCGAAGACAGTTGAGAATGATGATTTGTACTACGATGCGACATTCGCGGTACGTGTTCCATGTGGTGGCAATCCACATGTCGGAGTAGCAGTCGCAGCGATGACGGTAGAGGCCTGCATCGCGGACGGATTGGGGAATCAGGACGGCTGCAACGGGCGCCCAGTGGGGTGGAACTGATTGTGACCAGGCAGCGAGGCTTACGTCGATATCGGTTGCCTTATTTAGGATAGCTGTTGCGGTGTCTTCATTCGGTGACTTGTCCATCATGCTATCCCAGGCATGTCGCAAATCAACTAGCTCTGATGCGGCTGTGGCAAGCATTGGACGGGGTGCTGGCGGGAGCTTTGGCCGGGAGAGAGGCCATACTTTTGGGGTCGGGACCATGGGATTAGACAAACCGCGTGTGGTTTTGATCTACAATGGTGTTAGTTATGGCCTTAACTGTAATAGAAATTGAAGCCCACAATCTGTGTCTGAATGGAATGATCGATAATCGACGAAGATGGAGTCTCGAGCCGCTTCGATCGACGGTTATTGATCAAGGCGATCGCACCTCTCAGATGGGCTTTCATGGGCAATTTCCAATCTCTCATTGCAATGAATTCCTGTGATACGTAAGGGGCATATCCAAAGATTTTACGGGATGACTTACCTCGTAAGTCGAAAGCAAAAGAATTGATAAAAGAATGTCATCTAGTTCACCATCAACGTTGTCCTGTAACGCCTCCCGGACTTTAGGTAATGCTTTGGTAAAATACTGCTCCGACGCACGAAGCAGAGAAGCCTCACCAGTCCAGGCCGCCACCGAGAAGAATGCAATAGCCAATGTGCTGACATGGAGATGTGAATTTGGCTGGGTGTGTGAGTAGTTTTGCGGCAGGATTTCCATAAAGCCATTGCGAATGTGGGGATCCTTTTGAAGGTATAGATAGCAATTAAAGAAAATTGGAACCACGGTGTCTTCCAGTGGTTGACAAAGACCCGGGGGCAACGATGGCGGCCAGGGTCCGCTTGCCATTGGAAATGCTCTCATGGAGGGAGCCCGCCTTGAGACTAAGAGATTTGACGGAAGATCGGGTAAGGCCTTGTCCGGGCTGGTTGCACCGCCCGATGTGGCAGGAGAATATGGCAGTGGTTGGGGCTTCCTGAAGGACGGTGTGTGGTCCCGGTGCATCACATCAAACGGATCCGGATAGCCTGGACATGCACGACCTGTTCGTGTACATGCCCTGCAATGGGGCCGAGCCTCATCGCACTTTGTGGGATGTCAGATTGTTGATACATAATCAAAAGACGGAATGAGTAAGTACCTTGATATGCCGCTGCCGACAATTGCGGCATCCCATGCTCGGCTTGCCATTGTAGACCATGGTGATGCTTAGAGAGGCAAAGATAAAGCAAAAAGAGCTGGCCGATTGCCAGGTAACCAGGAATAACCCATGCCATCTGGGAATCAACTGATAGAGCAGTCAGCCATTCCCGGCCGCGATAATCTGAAGCATAGAAAGATGTTTCCAGGCTTGCGGGTCAAGATAGTGGAAGAGCACGTGACTGTCGGGATTTCAACTCGAATCTCCGTGCAGATCCAGATCTCTCAACTCTCAATTCGCCCGGGTCTTTTTTATTTCTCCTTCAAGAGTCCCAACAGTGTCTAGCCATCGACGCCGACCCTCATCAGTAATGTTCTCCTTTTTCGGCTGGGGCTCCCGTCCCCAACCGGACCCTTCCACATCGCAAGAGAAGACCACATCCCCGGATCGCAACAATGAGCCAACAACATCACCCTCTTCCGCTTCCATTCCATCCCAATCTCAATCGTCCTCCCAATTAGCCCAGCAAACTCGCCCGCCAGGCCTAGCGCCAAATGTTAAGCTCCTCTTCGGTGGAATTGCCTTTTTCACCCTTTCAGTCCTGATCACGCGACGCTCTACCCTAAAGAAAAGGATTGCCTGCATTCCACCCTTCTACACGAGCTCACTCTACCACCAGCCCCAAGCGAACGGAGCGATGGAGGCACTCGAGGCGCTAAATCTGGCCACCATCAACGTTTTGTCGTTCGGCATGCTGGCTTCCGGCGCGGTGGCGTATGCGTTTGATATCAACGGGCTCGAGGATATGCGGCGGGTTGTGCGAAGTGGGTTGGAAGAGGGGGGCCCTGGTGCTGGGAAAACGGATGAGGAGATGGAGAAAGAGGTTACCCAGTGGGTTGTTAGTGTTCTCGGGGATCGGTTTGAGACGCAGCTGGAGAAGGAGAAGGAGAAGACTAGGAGGTTGGAGGGTGAGAAGAAGTGAAGATAAAAGTGAATTGCCTGGATGCATACACATACATAACCCCCCTCTACTCATGCTTGTTCTACTATACTACTAGATTGTACATTGTACAGAATAATAAGACCAGCCAAAAGCCAATTGAAATGGCCTGGATATCACTATTGTACATGAGGTATTTCACCGATCCATCTGTTCGTATCGTTGGCGAGCAGCCTGCTTGGTCTTTTCCAGGAATTCGTCATAGCGACCTCTGGTATTCCGGCCTGCCTCCTCTGCTGCATCTCCCAGCTTGCTTCCCTGAGCGCCTAGACCAACCCCCTGGGCATACACCTCGGTGGCAATAGGTGCCGTGACGCCAGTTCCTTGAGCGCCTAGCCCAGACCCCGCAGACCAGCCCATCTTGCTAAGAAGAGAAGCGCCTTTGGATGTGCTCTGCACCGGCGGTTCGTCCTCTTCTTTCGCCGGCGTGGGTTTCTGCTTCGTACTAACCTTGGTACGGCCGAACGCTTGACGGCGCTCCCTTGCGCGATCTCGATATTCGGCGGACGGCGGGGCAATCCCGTGTTTGACCAGTTTTCCCATAGCGCGGGACTTCAATTCGTCGTTCTGCGTGTTGTCACGATGCAATTGACTCATCCGCTCATGCCGATTGACCTCAGCGGCGCTCTTGAACTGCCGCAGGCACAGATAGCAGCAGTGACGGTTAGGGTCCGCATACGACTGCGTGGGTGGTGCGGCCGAGTCTGCAGGCACGGTCCCGTCTGATCCAGCATCTGCCGGGTTCCCATTGTCATCTTTCTTGTGGATTCCGTGCAGCTCGGCGTGTCGATTGCTCCAGAATTGCAGATGAGATGGCATGGCCGTCTTCTTCGCATTCGCAGTGACCGCAGCATCCGCCTTCCGTTTCTTGGCCTTGTCGGCGTCCTTGGAACTTTTGTTGTCTTGCTGGTTCCCGAGTGGTTTGTCATCTTTGGATTGCTCTTGACCACCATCTTCCTCGCTCGATGTTACTGTCAGTTCGGTCACATATCCCTCGTCATCCCAGTACATGAGTTTCAACGAAGGGTTGTTTAGCGGGCTGAATGTGAAATGATCGGTGCTAGCTGTGGGGTTCATGACCGGCACGAAAACCCCGGCATGGATATAGCTAACCATGACTGGCCGAGAGGAGATTGTGAATTTATCAAATGAATTCAGTCGTGTCACTGCTGCTTGTGCGTCCTGTAGTCAAATCAGGATAGGGCGTGTTTAAACAGATAGTGTGAACCTACCATGACGCTAGCAAATTCTGCAAACCCATAGCGCCAGCTTTCGTTGGTTTTACGGTCACGCGTCAGTAGGACGCGACGAATAGAGCCCTCTCGAGCTCCCAAATTTGCATCACCGGTTGTTGATGCTACCTTGGCCCCCTTCTTTTGACTGTTTGCAGAGTTATCGCTACCACCCGAGGCTGGCTTGTATAACTTGGCAACACCTTTGGCGAAGAGTTCTTCGGTGACGGAGGATTCCAGCCCTCGAAACAGGAGAAATTGGGATGGTTGGTTGTCAGGCGCGGCATCATTGTCTCCAGTGTTTACCACCTTTGGAGCAGGAATGCCAGGAGGACCTGTGGGACCCGGTTCTGTTCTTCATCAGTAATCAAGACTACAAGCCTGACTTGGAGATATGCGTACCAGGACGGGGAGCATTGCAACGAAAGCACTTCTGGCGAGTAGCGTAGTTGACGATAGCGCACTAGACACCGTGAAATTAGCTGGGGACAGGTGCAGGCCACGCTGACTCAACTCACCATCCTACAGGTCCAGTCTCCCTCGGCTTTCACGCGTCCCCGATCTTCCCTCTCACGACTGTAGGCAATGCGCACCTTGGTGCTCCGGTCATTGCTCCCGGTGCTGGGGCCATACAAATAGATGCAGGGGTGATTTCGTTCCAGAAATGCTCTTGAGGCATCGATGGACTGAAACCGAAGGAATCCCAATTGCCGTGACACCTCTGTTGAACGATTAGAAGCGCTCTTCTTGGATTTCTGTGCACCACTTACTTGTCTGACGGTCTCGAATGACCCGAATATCTTCCAGGCCCTCAACATGATAGGCATTTCGCAGCTCGGTTGAAATCTGGGATGTCTCAGCCTCAGTTCCTCGCTGCCGGGGAATGCGGCGCTAGCTCATGCAAAGATCATGCTCACGTCTTCTTCTGCCATATCCACAGGCAGCCCATCCATCATCACCTCTCTGCTTTCCTGGCCAAAGTATGGCCTACCTCGACTGCGGCTCCGACTATAGCTCCGGCTCCGACTGTGATATCCGGGGGACTGATAACCCTCGCGGTCGCGATCTCTGTAGGTCTGTCTCCCACGCCGGGATGGAGGCGATCGTGATGGTCGACGGCGGTAATCATCTCGGTCGTGACGCGGTCTAGAATAATCGCGCTTCCGGTCTGCAGCCGGCTTTCGGGGAGGCGAGCGAGAATGGTCTTTCATCCCCAGATTCCAGGAGACAACATCAGTGACAATTCAAACCCAGGGAGACACTTGGTCTTGTTGCGAGCACGGTTTAGACAGCATCATTACCGTGCGGGGAGGAGTGTGTACCGCCAGGCGAGCGTGATCGGGAGCGGTCGTCATACATGCGGCCGTCTCGGTCGGCGCGGGAAGGGTATGGCCGGCGTGAGGAGCCGGGAGGAGGATATCGACTATTGTTGTCTGGATACGGATGGGACATGATTAAGAGACATGGAGAAAGAAAGCTAATCGAATAGAAAGGCTGGAGAGTTCGAAAGTCGCAAGTCCAGTGAAAGCAGAGGATAGAGATGTGGCAGAATCCCGACCGCCTATATGTCCCAGTGCCAGTGCCAGTTGGTGGGAGCTATAACTATGTAGTTTGCATTGTTTATCTACCTCCTCCATATGGAACATTGATCCGCCAGCTCCCCTCGTTACATCATCGCGCAGTGGGTCGTCCAAAGCCCGATCCACCCATTATTCCGCGGATGGGGAGCTCTGATTCGGGCCATACTGCAGTCAAGATGACGGTCCGGAGACGATCAGTACATATCAGCCGCTCACAGTCCACCGACGATTCTCCGTGCCCCGCGGTGGGATAAGTTACACTGTGGGTACGACATGGACGATTGCTCACACATATATCCATTCAGTGTCCCTCATTCCATTTGACCTCTTTTCTGCACACATTACACACCATGGTTTCGTCCGGAAACACAAACCACCGCGCCTGGTGGAAGGAGTGCTCGGTCTACCAGATCTGGCCTGCATCCTTCAAGGACGCCAACAATGACGGCGTTGGAGACATCCCCGGCATCGTCTCCGAGCTAGACTACATCAAGAACCTCGGCGTGGATATCGTCTGGCTCTGCCCATCCTATAAATCGCCGCAGATAGATATGGGCTATGACATTGCCGATTACTACAGCATTGCACCCGAGTACGGGACGGTCGCAGACGTGGAGAATCTCATCGAGGGGTGCCACAAGCGCGGCATGAAACTGCTCATGGACCTGGTGGTCAATCACACGAGCGATCAGCATGAATGGTTCAAGCAATCGCGCAGCTCCCGGGACAACGAGTACCGCAAATGGTATATCTGGAAGCCGGCCAAGTATGACGAGCAAGGCAACCGGCACCCTCCCAACAACTGGGTCTCTCACTTCCAGGGTATGTTTTTCAAAACCCTTTTGTTGGGTGCAGCCACTAATATTGCTCCTAGGAAGCGCCTGGCAATTTGATGAGAAAACCGATGAATACTATCTCCATCTATATGCAACGGAGCAGCCCGATCTCAACTGGGAACACCCGCCGGTACGCAAGGCAGTCCACGACATCATGCGGTTCTGGCTTGACAAGGGCGCCGACGGCTTCCGTATGGACGTGATCAACTTCATCAGCAAGGATCAACGATTCCTCGATGCCCCCATCAAGGACCCGCGCCAGATCTGGCAATGGGCGGATAAGTGGTACGCCAATGGACCGCGCCTGCATGAGTTCCTCCAGGATCTGGGTAAGATCCTCAAGCAGTACGATGCCTTCAGCGTGGGCGAGATGCCATTCGTCAAGGACGAGAATGAGGTGCTCAGGGCTGTGCAGTTTGACCGCCACGAGATCAACATGATCTTTAACTTTGAGCATGTCGACATTGACCACGGAGAGTACGACAAGTTCGAACCGGGCAGCTGGAAGCTGACCGATCTCAAAAAAATTTTCGAGCGCTGGCAGACCTTCATGTACAACAATGATGGCTGGAATGCGCTTTACTGGGAGAATCACGACCAACCGCGGTCGATCGACCGATACACGAATGCCAAAGAGGAGTATCGCCTCATTGCGTCGAAGATGCTCGCCATTGCTCTGACAATGCAAGCCGGCACGCCGTTCATCTACCAAGGCCAGGAACTGGGGATGCGCAACGTTCCTCCATCATGGGGTATTGAGGAGTACAAGGATATTGACTGTCTGAACCACTGGCATGGGTAAGCGAAGTCCTTCCAGTAGAAAGAATCATCACTGAATCCCACGCCTAGAATCATGAAACAGAAACAGTTTGACACCAAAGCACAAGAGATCGCCCGCCAGGAGTATCAGAAAAAGTCGCGCGACAACGCGCGCACCCCCGTGCAGTGGTCCGCCGCCGAGAACGCCGGGTTCACGGGTCCCGGAGTCAAACCATGGATGTCCATCAACACGGATTACGTGCGGGTCAACGCCGAAGCGGAAGTCAAGGATCCCAACTCGACCTACCACTTCTGGGCGGCAGTGCTTGGTCTGCGCAAGAAACACCTCGATATTCTTGTCTACGGGGACTACAAAGCCGTCGACAGTGCCAGCGAGGAAGTCTACGCCTACACACGCCAGTGCAATGGCTCTGGACGGACCTCCGTATCTCATAGCTCCAATCTGCTGAACAAAATCGACGCCCGGGCGAAATCCTCTGAAGGCCAAAAGGCTTTGGTCGTGTGCAACTGGACCGAGAAGGATCTGAAGTGGGACGCGGCGGGTAATGGGTTTGCGCAGGTGAAAGAGGTGCTCCTAGACAACTACGATAGCGCCAAGGAAGCCGCGCAACGGATCTCGGGCGACCAGTGGACTCTGAAGCCGTACGAGGCAGTGGTTGTGCTAGTCTAGATTTCTCTATAGACGTTAAACATTTTGGGTTCGGCAGTCTCCGATGTTCCCCGCGGCGATAAACGATAACGATAAGCATCACAACACACCTTACCTTGTTCATTCTTCTTTAACCCAATCCACATACACCTCACTCTGCTCAGTGCCACAATGACATCCTCCTCCCCTTCCACCTCTCAACCTGCGCACCTCGACCCAACTACCTACCCACGCACCCACACCAACCCAACCCAGAACATCCACCTAACACTCACCTACTCGCCCCTCGACCCAACCATCTACCTGAACCAAACCTCCTCGCCGGCCGCAGGGGCCAACGTTCTCTTCCTGGGAACAACGCGTGACACATTCCAAGGCCGCGCCGTCTCGCAACTTAGCTACACCGCATACCCAGCCCTCACATTCAAAACCCTCAGCGCCATTGCGGAGACCGCCGTGACCACGCACCAGCTGCTCGGTGTGAGTATCGCGCACCGTCTGGGGATCGTGCCGATTGGGGAGGCGTCGATTGTTATTGCGGTTAGTTCGGGACATCGCGCTGCAGCGTGGAGGGCCGGCGAGGAGGTGCTGGAGGCTTGCAAAGAGAGGGCGGAGATTTGGAAGAGGGAGGAGTTTGTGGATGGGGGGATGGAGTGGAGGGCCAACGCTGATCGGGATGCAGAGGGGAATCTGATGAAGTGAAGAGAGAGGGAGAATTCGTCACTAAATAGTACTGGGATATGATGAGAAGGCGATTCGAAATCGGGTTTGAAGACCGAGGTATAAATAATAATACAAGTTTCTTTCTACATGTACACGCTGGGAACACACAATCACTCCGTTTTCAGTGGTTTGCCCTCGCGCTGCCAGTCCTTGATATGCTCGAGAATCACCTTCGCCGCCGACTCAGGTGTATCCTGACGCCCAATACACTCCACGAAGTCATTATCGGGATCTATCAGAACAGAAAGAGTCAGCGGAGACGGAAGAAATGTCGTAGGTACTGTTCACTCACCCATCAAATAGAAGTAGATGCTATGATCCACCAAATAATCCTCGCCAGGCTTCACATCCCGGGGCGTACTAAAGTACACCCGGTATTGCCGACAGACATTCTTCACCTGCTCGTATGTCCCAGTCAAGCCCACAATACCCGGATGAAACTCCTTGAGGTACTCGCGCAGTACCTCGGGCGTGTCACGGACCGGATCGCAGGTTATGAAAACCGGCAGAAACAATTTATCGTCCTTGGTCGCCTCCTTGACCTTCTCGATGATCTCGGCCATCTTGTCCAGCTCGTCGGGGCAGATATCCGGGCAATGGGTGAAACCGAAGTAGACCTGAAGAAACTCAGTGAGTAAATGCTTCTCCCCTGACGCCAAAAGAAAGAGGGCGGCATACGAAGCTGTATTTCCCCTTCAGATCCTCCTGCGTGAACTCATTCCCGTTCAAATCCTTCAGCACAAACGGGCCCCCGACCTTAGGCTTGCCGTATCCCTTGCTCATCTCCGCAATGCGCTTGCGCTCCAGACGCTCCTTTTCGATCTTAAAGTAGACCATCATGCCCGCGCCCGTCAGGAGGAAGAGCAGCGCCGCCTTCCATGAGAATGGGCCCGTCGTGTTGCGCGACTTCAGCTCGCCCATTGTCTTGGCGCGCTCGAGGAAGGCACTCGAGGAGAAGTTTTTGGAATTGAGGAGTGGGTTTGCTGCATTGCGCGGTTGCGGTCGCGGTGCTGGGGTGTAGCCTCTGCGGCATTGTGCTGCGCCGTGGTGTTGAGGGAGGGAGAGGAGACGAGTTTCAGTAGAGGTTAGGGAGCGAGTGGCTCGGCCGAATAGGCCTGGAGTCCTGGTTGTCAATAGCATTGTTGATGGTTGGGTCTGTCTGGGAGGGAAAGGAAGTGAGAGAATGATTTCTCCGGATCGCCGGCCCGATTCAACCAACTTGGTGCCTGAGGCATCATTTCTCTAGACTATGTGCCGGCCAAGTATGTACGAAAGAGTATTGCTAGCATGGTAAAGCTCAATGATCATATCTCTGGCAATTAGGTAGTTGAAACAAACGTCTTCAATGTCTCGAGTAGCTTGGTACTTTCCCGGGAATTTCATCACAGCACCAAGATCACAGGGCTGGCCCCATCTACGCCGAATTTATCCTGTCATACAGCCTTGCGTGCCCTTCTCCGTGCTTCTTAGCGTTGCTCAAAACCAACGGAGAAACCAACAAACCCACAATTCTTTTTCTTTTATTAGCGCCAGCCCGAGGAAGCCTGATCCCCCGCCCTCGGAGCAGTGAAGCGGGCCAGCCGGCGTAGAAATCTAGTTGCCTTTAGGAGCAATATTCTCCTTCCCATTCCCATGGACCAGGACACGACCCTCCAAAGGAGCGAAAGCCTTCTCAACACCACCACGAGGTGGGCCGACGGCCTTGCCGAAGACCAGTTGAGCGCGGAGGTTCCAGCTCTCGGGCACGTTCCAGGTCTCCGCGACGGCCTTGTTGACCTGGGGGTTGAAGTGCTGCAGATTGCACGCGAGACCTTCGGCGCAGAGGGCGGTCCAGGCAATGTATTGGTTCATGCCGTTGGAATGTTCGTACCCTGTCGACTGATTAGATCTTGTGCGCCTGACAACGATATAGTCAACTTACACTCTGGGTGGCTACCAATGACGCTCTGAAGAGGGGGTGGGAGCTTCTCGACAGCTTTGGTGTCCTCGAAGAACAAGACCTAGAAAGGCCAGGTCAGCTTACTTCGTCGATAAATCTAGACAGCACCTTACAGTTCCATAAGCAGCCTTGTAACCGGCAATCTTGTCTACGAAGTTCGCGAACACGGGAGGGGGCATCGTCTTCTCCATCTCGTTGTGACCGATTTCCCACATCTTTTCGTGATCGGCACCAAAGAGGACGATGGCACGGCACGATTGGACGGAAAATGGGGACGGAGCATGCTTGATGGCGTGGTTGACGATAAGAACGATGCGCTCATCAGAGATGGGAGACTCTTTGGCTAGGGCGAGGGTAGACCGACGGATCTTAATGGCCTCAAAAAATGGGACGTGGTATGCGTTTGGCATCTTGGGTGTTCTTATTGTTGAGTTCAGAAGTAATTGTCTGTAAGGAGGCAGGGTAGATTGTCTTTAGAAAACGTAAGATCTTGATGTTAAGGAATAAAGAAGAAATCGGAACGAGGACTAAGGCAGTATTTATACCTGATACCCAAAACAACCTCATGTTAGCCTAGAAAGCCTTGCTGCGCCCTACTTCAGACTTTCTATAAGATACTGCCAATCAGGTGCCAGACCCCTCACTCCGATCTGGACTATGAGTCTAATCCATTGTAGGGGGCCTGAGGCGGGTTCTAGTTGATCGTAAACCAAAGTTAGCTGATGTTGCGGGACAGGTACTGGAAGCTAGAGTAGTAGGCCCTCTAAACACTATTATAAACGCGCTAAGTTACAACCACCGAATATCCGTAGATCGGATCCCTTCACACCGACTTCCGACCGGTGGTTTTTCACAAGCGACCCTCAAAACACCATCTTAAACGCGATGGATGACAATCACCGAATATCCGTAGATCGGATCCCCTAAGACCGACTTCCGACCAGTGGTTTTTCGCAAGCGAGCCTCGAAAAACCATATTGAATGCGGATGAATGACACCCACCGAATATCCGTAGATCGGATACCCCACCCACTACTGAGTTCCGACCCTAAACTAGTCAGTGTCTCTAACACGGCTCTGTGCCAAGTGCTGCGACTCCTAGGTTTTTGGAGCGCGGCGCCGAGAGTGAGAGGCATCTGTGGGAGAAAGAACATGTTTCATTAAAGTGACAGAGGGAGGAATCATGTTCTGCTAGCTAGCGCGAATCCCACTATTTACGCTCCTTTTTGTACTTCAAACACACTAAAATTGTCTAATCTAAGCAAGGGTCACGGTTTGTTTGTGTAGATGTTGAAGCAAGAGTCTGTTTGAATTATTTATCGTCCACAACGCCATAGAATTCAATATTGATACAAAATACCCATAATGATAGTTATAGCATCACTCCTGCTTCTCGCTCTGGATAGTATTCTCCGGGCTGCCGTCCGAGTCACCAGGACGATGCGAACGCTCACTTGCCTCGGATGAATGATACACACGACTAGCTTTTTTCAACTCCCGCTCCAGGACCTCAGTCAGCGCACCGAGGAGCCACTCGACCTCGCTCTTCTGACCCAGCAAGGGATTCTTCCCGTCAATCCAACTCCAGTCCCGAAGACTGTCTTTTTCATTGTCTTCTTCGGTCTCTCCATACTCCGAAGGCCTGTGCTTGCCTGAGATCAGGCCGAGGTAGTATTCCCATTCCAGGTAGTCGAACTCCTTGGACAGGTTGCTGGTGGCATATTCCATCATCTTGCGCACCTCGCGGAAAAGCAGGTAGTTGTAGTGATGCACATTCTCGGCAGCGATGTCGCCGCGTTTCCGCGCTGACTCTTCTTTCTTATGTTCCTCGACTTCAATTGTGTTGCGGTCGCCATCGTCGTTGGCTTCCACGTCCGAAAGGACCTCCCCAGTGGTCTCCTCGCCTGTAGTCTCCTGAATCCATTTGTCGACCCAGGAAGCATGCATCAGTCCCTTGATGCGAGTTCCGAGTGACTGGTCTCCGGGTAGAATGGTGATTTCACCCAGGAAGATAGTGACATCGCGCACGAACCGGATGAGCGTGTCGCCGATGTTGGAAATGAGGATGGTGATCGTGGGGACCGCCAGGAGCGACCAGAATACAAAGAAAGATGTGCCGAGGCTGCTGACAGGGTATAAGTCGCCATATCCAATGGTCAAGAGGGTTGTATAGGCGAAATAGAGTGCTTCGAAGTAGGTCCAATCCCTATGAGCCTCAGAGCGCCAGAATACCACGGCGCCGAGCAACCACATTGCCATCCAAAGAACCACGGATATTATGAGTGATATCCATTTGTGTTGCACCGTCGCCAGCTGTCGCACTTGCCGCATGACGATAAACTCCTGCTTCTGCTGCTCGCGTGAACTGCGTCCTTCAGAACTAGCAGCCTCTTTTCCCAGGCGCGGCACTACCTTATTGAAGAGATTCTTATCCGAATATGCCTGCTTAACGAGAAACCGGCGAGTGCGCGAGGTCAACACATCCGCTATTTTCTGCTGGCCCTTCTCCAGCGTCAATGTTCGGATCGAGGAGATAATCAAACCCAGAATCACAATGCCTCCGATCGCATATGGGAAGAGCAGGCCGCGTCCGACGTGGGTGACAGGCGCGAAATTGCCGACGCCGATGGTCAGCAGCGTATAGTCGGCAAAATACACCGCATCCAAGAAGCGCCAGTGCTCGACCTTGGCAAAAACAGCTGCACCGCCGAGGAGATAGAAACAAAAGATGATGGTCTGCAGCATCAGCGTCCGTTGACTCGTGGTAAGTTTGTACTCGAGGCTGTAGTGGCCCCGATATGCTCCATAAGCCGTTACCACTAGCAGGCAGGAAATGATAAAGTAGAGTATCGCTGCATAGGCGCCGTAGAAGTATGCCTGGGAAAAGACGCGGCCAGAGCCTGTTGGAACGTCCCCAACCACTCTGAATGCAATGAGAAGCCCGATCAACAGGATTGATGACATGTACCACCCGACAATAATGATGGGCTGGGCCACTACAAACCGAATGCGACGGGCCATGTTCAGCGAAAGCATCAGATTCGCAATGACTGCGCAAAACAAAGAAAGTGCATTGAGCCCGATCACCCTGGTAAAAAAAAATTAAAACCGCTGCCTCGGGCATGAAGCTTGATTTGGGCGTACCATTTGGGGTCTGGAATATCCACCGCACCGCCATCACTTTGGATTTGCATTCGCCATGTCTGTGCTAAGGAGCAGATGTTGAATGCACTGGCCATCGGCCCGAAGGTACCCTGCAAAAGTAGTAGATGAGTCTATGTCCCCTTTTTTTTTATACGGAGTACTTTTTTTTCGTACCGCCGCTAGAGGATACGCTGTGCTTGCAAGCCACCACCGGGCAGCTTCCGGGTATTCATTGTCGACTGGAGCTTGATTCTCATCATTTTGCGTATCGTGGCGTCCAGAGGGTTGGTCAAGGACCCCAGCTTCGTCGGCGACGGCATCGTCGAGGCCGGGATCATTCATGCTGTGATTGCTAGACGCCGAGGATTGAGCAGGGCAGCTGGTTGGAGAAAGAAATATAATCAAGGAGGGATCAAGGAAATTCGTCGGGCAATCATATCACTTTAAGGATATCTTTTCCAGCTGACCAAGGAAGGCGCTTCCGAACGATGTCTCGGAGGACTGGTGACGATCGCCCCGTACACTGGATCTGATCGCAGGGAGATGACAGCAGGGGGGCCACCAACCGTCATCATCGGGCCTGCGAAACCCAGTTCAGCGCTGGCGCCATCGATAACAACGGTAGGATCGTCGATCTCTGGGAACGACGTCATGTCACGTGGACTCCTGCCCTGCTTTAGAGCAAATCGCAATAGCGTCTACCGTGGAACAACATACAGAAAAAGAAAATATGTTAAGCTAAGAGAGATAGATACAGGACAAGGAGCAACTCTGTACGTTGCATTTGTACATCCAAAAAAAAGAATAAGAACAAGGGCGCCAAAACTCCGCTCCCCAGCAGTGACTCCCACACACTGACACTGCATTGATGTGAAAATGGGTATCGGAAAGCGTGTACTGTGCAAGGTGTGTGTGGTCGGTTCTATACGACAAGCAGTTCATTATACTGGAAACCTCAGGGAAACCGAGTACTGCCTACGACCGTGTCAACGGCCGCCAGGAGTCAGCGCGTTCGGGACTGTGCTGCCTCCCTGGGGTGATGGTCGTCGAGCGAAACGCGGGTCCACATCTTCGTAGTAGTTACTACCTGAGGTGGCGTGCACGGGGGACGCAGAAGGGCGGGGAGCATCATTGCCCCAGCCAGCGCGGGCAGGAACATAGGACTCGGTGCCGCGACTATAGAGGCTCGTCGGGCTCTCTTGGGGCATGTATTGCCCATCCACCGACAGTGCATGCGGTTCGCTCTGCTCTGACTGGGCCGACAAGTGAGCTTCGTAGCGCCGGGACTGCGGCGTCATTTCAATTGCCTGTCCAATGGGTTCCGATTCGGGCGATGAAACGGCCACGCCGATAGGGGGCTCGTAGGATTCCTCCGGATGACCGACAGGTCGCCCGTAGGAATCAAAGCTCCGATTCGGACTCGGAGCATAGCCAACTGGTGGAGGTCCGCGCGGGGGTCCCCGGGGTGGCATCATTCCTCCACGACCACCGCGGGGGGGTCCCATAGGTCCCATGTAGCCGCTTCGCGCACCGTGGGGAGGAGGGCCGTAAGGTCCAGGGCCCATGTATGGCCCTCCCCCACGGCCATAAGCACCTCGGGGAGGGTAACCGCCCCGGCCGCGAGGCCCATACCCAGGCGCGCCGCCTCGATAAGAACCCATACTGCCATCCGAGTACTGTGGACGAAGTCGTGGGTCAGAAGGGTTCCGTGTCATGGGCCCGGCACCGTACGGGCCGGATGGCGGCAAGTTTCCAGCCTCATCTGGGCGGTACGGTGTCCCACGGCGGTCCGCAGGAGGTATTGGAACATCATGTAAGGCTGTCCGAGAGGTGAGTGAAGTGTTGAGTGGGGTGCGATCATCATCGCTGTCTCGTCTAGCAGTGCTGAAGGAAGCGAAGGTCGGGTTTGATTCGGAGGGAGGCGATCCAGCCACAATGGGTTCTTTGAATTCGGTCTGGTCCGGCGGAGATTGTGTGAGGGCAAGGGCAGCGGTATTCTGGCGATTGTAAAAGTTCTCTCCACTCATCTCCGCATTCTCCGCAATCCGTCGCTTCCTCGCCTTGCGGCTCACAAGAGTCCGGCGCATGGCACAGGTCACCACCCCGCAAGACACGAGAATGATGGTCGAGGCCAGCACGATCCATCCGCCCCATTGGAGATGTGGCACGAAAAGTAAGATATCGACCAGGAACGCAAGGAGGGTGACAAGCAAGGTTGGTAGAAGGAGGATGAGAAGCGCCAGAAGAAAGCGAGGCGAATGCGACGGCGCATGGAAATGCGCCGCGGCCGCCAAGCAGAGACAGATGAGGGTCAGGAAGGCGGCAACTGGGTGGACAATGAGAATCGAGGATAGCGATTTGCGAGTGCTCGAGGGGAGGTTGAAATCGTCGCCGGTACTATTGATATCATCTGGAGAGCATTTAGCCCCGATTCATCGAGATCAGGCAGAAGCGAAAAGGAGGTGGTGAGACGAACTGCTCGTGTATCCTACATAAATATTGGTACACTTGTCGCCGTGGCAGTAACCAAAGACACCATAATCGACATTTTCGAATGTCGCCAATGGTATCCCCTTGATGATCGGGGTGGAAAGGCACGACAGCAACAGGAGAACAAAAGCGACCAGCAGCAAAACGGTGAGCGGCGTCGCTGGCTTGAGCAGCATGGTGAGGAGAGGGCGAAGGCAACGCCTTCACGGTAGGGTTCAAGCCGAGGAGAAACAAACGAGCGAGATCCAAGGCAAAGGTGTCAGTCCGGGACGAATGGGACGATCCGATCTTAGCGCGACATTGCCAGGGACATCTCCTGAAACAGGGGGTAGGAAGGGGAGGCTGGGAGTGAGTAATCGGTAAGAAGAACGAAGGAAAAGTAACGAAGGATGGAAGAAAGAAAGAATGCGAAATGAGGGGGAAAGAATAAGCCAGTCGGGAAGAAAAGAAAGCAACGACGATAAGCGGGAGGCGATTGAGGACCGTGGATTGGATAGATGGAGGCCTGAGGCAGCTCTCTGATGATTCCTGGTGCCCTGACTTTACTTCACCTGATGAAGTACTTGTCTTTTAGATCCATACAATAATACTTATTATCAGCGACTGCTCTCCCGTCCTGCGACCATGTAACTGGGTGCTGCTGCTGCTCTCAGCACAGATCTCTGCAGCTCGGCCGCTCATTCGCTCCGCAGTAGGAATCCGGGTCGGAGAAAATGCCCCTAACGTTAGACTGGTCTCGCCAAGGATGACAATCTGATTGACCAGTCCACTCCCCCTCGTCCCGCCGACTGTTAAACCTGTACAACCCTTTTTTTGCGTTGGTTCCATGTCTGCTCGTCCCGTGGATCTTTCCTTGCCACGAACTTTCTTATACAGGCCTCGCCACAGTGGCGAGGGAAACCGAATTCCCCTTGGAACTGAGGAACTCGGCCAATCAGAGGTGAAACAGGATCTGCGTTTCAGACAATCGCCCTTATTATTATCGGATTATTGACGGATTCTTCTTTCGGGGCACCGGTCCGGTGGATGGTCTCTTAGATTACCTGCCGCCTCTTGCCCCGGAAAATGCTTGAGGCCGGGAGTCTGGACTCAACGGGCGAGGTCCACAATCCGCATACCCGCTAGCAACCACGTTTACTTGAAACAGCCATGTGGAAGAGCTAACGAGATTACGGAAGAGCTAATGATGGGCCATTGTCGCGTAAATCATTTTAGCCGGCTGAGGACGAGATAACCGCCCGTTCTCTAAGGCCCCGGCTGTATCTTGGCCGTCCAGCAGATGGGTCGTAGAGGCTAATTAAGCTTATGCGAGAGCTTTCCACTCCAGCACCTGACCACTCCCGGCGCATGCCTGATTGGGATAATTATTCTTTCTATATATTATATCACGATAAGTCGGTCCATGCTTTCAAGAATTCAAGTCAATTCAAATATAAGAGATAAACGTTGTTGATATTGGTATCCCAGTCTGGAGAGACACAGCAGCCGAGAAGGATGGTTACAAAAACATCAACTGATCAGTTGCCATGGCTCTGCATTTCTTTAACAAATGGTTCAAGAGATATATATGTTTACAACAAGAGTACACAGAACCGCATGCTGCATCGAATCCCAAGGCACTGAGGACTCGGAAAAAACCAGAAGAAACAAACCGTAGGGATCTTTTTGCAACCAAGCAGTTTCAACAGGATCCCAAAGACCGCTGTAAGGTGACGTCGGAACTCGGAAAAGACTGTCTTATAGCCAGCATCTGCGTCACCTCCTCACCTCGGTGATGGCAGGCGCCCATTCCTTTATATACGGGGTTGGTCCGAGATTTGGTAAAAACTATTATGGTGATAGCCCGAGAGATATATCGCAGATTGCCACCCAATTACTGCACGCTACTAGTTCGTGAGTATACCATCCAAAAATTCGCAAACAAACTAACCAAGCCAATTCTACCAGTCGGTATTTGTTGGCTGGAATGCGCTGCTTTTGGAAATTATGGATCTGGTCCAAACGGAAGAAGACGGTCGATGAAGACAGATGTGCGCTGCTGGCCGAGAGGGATACGCTCGCACGATCGTGGAAAAACATTCCGGACGGGGCGTACTCGGGATCGGCGTCCAGTCTCCAGGAGCGGTACGTAGGGTTTGGCATCGGCGGAGCTGGGAACACGCGCAAATGCTGCTTTCTTTTCTTCAAGTTGTATCACTAGGCGCTTTTACTTAAGGGAGACGGCCTTTCACTGATAAGTTCCTGGACAGAGTCATGTCGCGCAATGGACGAGTGGTTCGCACATTTGCGCATTGATCGTGGTTGAACAAATACCGCCGGGATTAATTGATAAAGGGTATCTTGACTGCAGTTGGCACATTTTGAAGAGCTCCTTTCTCCTGTGTCTTTTTTAAGAGATCCAATCCTGACCGACATTGCGGCCCCTGCCAATCCCTCGTCATCCAAGTGTGCAAATGCCCCTATTAGAGATTTGTCTGCCAACCAGCCCCCACCTGGGCGCCCAGAGACAGTAATGATCGTTCACTTGGCCTCGAGTTCATGGTGCAATGTTCCTGAGGCTCAGCCCGCGTTAGCTTTCCTCAGGGTCTAAAATCAGGGTACCGTTGGGGTCTTGATCTGGCTGTCGAGCCTCGTCTTCTCACCACGGGCATGGCTACTGCTCTCTGACAAAACATTTTGATTCCCAGAGCGAGATCAGCAATCTTCACATAATTGTGCTGTCGCTTTCTATTTCCTCGAGGACGATATGCGTCACACAGGTCCGAGGCACGGGTTGGTGGCGCTCATCGGTCTGTTTATTTTTAGTCAATCCGCGACTGCATCACGACCATGCTATTTCTTGAACGGTGACCCCGCCTTTGACGATGTTCCATGCTCCGATGACAATTTCTCGCCCTGCTGCAGCTACCAAGATCTTTGCATGACCAATGGCCTCTGTTATGTCCAGGCCAACCGGGGCTTCGTTCTGACTAGAGGAAGTTGTACAGATCGAAGCTGGGGTCCAAATTGCGCTCAGGAATGTCACGGGTGTAAGTCAAGCCTTTGACTGCTTCTGCTCTTGCAGACCCAGTAACTAATTTTTCGTGCTGTCGTAGCAAATGACAATGCAGACAACGGAATCAACATTGTGCCCATCGACATGTCCGTTCCAAACGCCACCCAGTACTGCTGCGGTGGCCTCGTGGATAACAACGGGTCATTTACCTGCGCAGACGGTTCACCCTCGTTTACCATACCTCCTGGAAGAGCCATCGTTGGTCGAGCAGGCCTGAGCAACGCCACTTATATCAGCGATATCCCTTCTTTAAGGAACTCCTCTTCCACAAATTCCTCGTCCAGGTTGAGCCCAAGCACACGTCCCGATGTGGGGACCACTTCTGCAAGCTGTCCCAGTCCCAATAGCAAAGAAACGACAGTGGGCGCAGCCGTCGGGGCTACTCTCGGTGCACTCTTGCTCGCTGCCATCGGGTGGGCACTCTATGAGCGCCGATTGCGCAATAACTGCATCAACGCATATGCTACTAACATGTCAATACAGCCTATCACTGAATCTGTCATTAAGAAACACCAGCAGCTCGGGCCTGCCGAGCTAGAACACGGCCCTGCCGAGCTGCAGGCCTCTGTTCATAACAACACCTCGGAAATGGCAGTGGAGTCCAGTCATAGCAGTCAAAGCTATTACAGTCGAACCGCGGCCTCTTAAGCAAATCGTTTATCTCGGTTTTCAGTTTTGTCAACTTTAAAACTACAGCCACCGGGTTTACATAGTCTGAATGAAGAATCAAGGGGTCTTGCGACCAGCCACTTCGGATATACACGAGCAACAAGAGGGAAGAAATTCAATCGTAACTACTTATATTTATGTATCAGAAATGGGATGCTAGTAAATAATTTCAGAATTGCTAGGATTTGCGACTCAGTATAGATCTAGCATAATTCGAGCCAAGCTTCGGCGCACCCATGGATACACGCGGGTGATCGGCGCAGTCAATCGACGACACTATCTACAAAATGAAAACAATTCCAGCCTCATCTATCTGGAACAATGTTTTTGATCTGTCAAATTAATTTTTTAATTGTCTCATTCGATCCAATCGGCCTGGGTCCCTGTTGGCGGCGGGACTGGAAACTGGTGGCTGGTGGCTGGGGGAGGCTGGGGAGCCACGGCCACCGATGACATCTGCACATAAGCCCACCTTAGCTCTCTTTTTTATTTACTTAGAAGCTCCAGTCTTTGTCTGGAATGCTTCTTCCGTGAAATTGCTATGCACAGCGCATCTTGGGGCTGCCCTCCAAACCATGTCCAACCCTCCCGGCCCGAGAGCCAACTTCAGTTTGCGAAATGTCAATAGTATGTCCTCGTGCTGGTGTAACTTGCGAGAAATACTGACCAGCTCCTAGCAAACAAACCCCAATACAGCCACACGGGGTCGCGGCAATCCGTCGCAGCATCAGACGACTACTACTCCCTCTCTGATCGAGGCAACTCCTCCAGTCCAGACAGCAGAGTTACCGTCATGCGCTTTCAGACACCAGACTCCCATTTATCTGCGCCTTCTCCGGTGTCGCGAACTCGCCAAGGCTCACCCATAGCTGAGTCCAGTCGTCAGGAACAGCGTGCGCTACAAGACCCTCGCCCAGGCACATCCAGCACGGTCCGTTTCGGAGAGGAGACCGTCTCGCGCCTCAGCCCTAGCTCCGAAGAGACGCCTCGGCCTGTTCTGCGCGACTATGCAGGCACCGCTGCCACTCCGGGCCTGGATGATTCGCCCTATGTCCGGTTCGCAATTGATCAGCTGACACGCGACGAGGTCGCCCGGCAGGGGAGACATGGCTCCGTGTCCAGCAGAGACGACTATTCTATGGACCGGTTAGTATGGAATGAGGATCTAGGCTACTTTACCCGTACGCGAACGCCTATCCGTCATGATTACACACCTCCAATGCCTCATCAACAACAAGCAACCCCATCGCCGCAGGCCCTTCCGCAAAGAGCAGCCTCTGTGGACCCGGAGTCATTTGTCGCTGTGGACTCTCCCGAGCAAAGCTTATTGTATCCCGCTCTGGATTACTTACCGGTTGTCCTACGGCCATGGGCTCTAGCACCAGTGATATTGTGCTCTCTGCTGATGGCCGGTGGCGTTTTATTCTGCAACATCTGGTCCCAGCGGAACCACGGACTATGGGGGTACAAGGAACAAGGTGATTCGCGATACTTTGTGATGGAGTTTCTTCCCCAGATTCTGGCTATGCCTATCATGATCTGGACTTTCGTCGTCCAGGCTGCTGTTTATCGCACAGCACCCTTTGCTATCATGGCCGCGGAGAGACCGCTGGGCCGTGTGGTGCAGGAGCTGCCCATTCTCTCGCGGAATTTCATCATTCCCGACTTTACCCATTTCAGGCATGGCGAGCCCATGCTTGGAATCTCTCTCTTCACAATCTGGCTGTCCAACTTCTTCTCGATACCTCTTCTGAGTTGTCTCTTCCAAGCGAAGTATTACTCTGTTGACGGGCAAGATCTATGGAAGTGGACGTCTGTGCAAGCGGTCGGCTGGGCCTTGGTGGGAATATACGGGGTTTTGGCCATTGGGCTGACACTGCTGCTTGCTCGCTTCACTCGGAACTGGACCGGTTTGATGTGGGATCCAACGAGCCTGGCCGATTTGGTCTCCATTATCCAGCGGTCGAACATCTTGCACGACTTTGAACATTCTGAAACGGTGCCATTGGTCAGAGAAACTCTGGATCCGCGGGTGCTTCGGTTGGGCTACTGGCGATTGTCGGGTAAGGCCGATACCTTTTATGGAATTGGTGAAGTGGACGCTCCAATACGAACACCGTCGCTGCATCAGACAGAAAAGAGCCGAAACAACCAACAGCACAGCCTTGCCCGAGTGTGCTTTGACATTGAGCACCAAGGACGCTTTGGGAGCGATGTGTTCGACCATCAGCTATACTCGCCATTTGCTCGCTACCGTTGGACACCATGGTACCTGAGGAATGCGTCTGTGATCGTCTGGATTACTATTGTGTTCGTCCTCTTCCTAGCCTTGGTCCTGGTCAGCTTCATTCACAACGCCATCGAGGACGGATTCGTTCCCAGACTGCCCACACTACCATCGATCAGTGCATTCTCCTCGTCCAACTTCCTTTATAGCTTCATTCCAGCCTTTATAGGCAACGTCCTCTTTCTCGTCTGGCAGCCAATTGACGTCTCCTTCCGCGCACTCCAACCATTCGTCGAGCTATCCTCCCCGCACGGGGCGACCGCCGAGAAAAGCATTCTCCTCGCCTACCCATCCAGCTTGCCAATTCAGGTTACATTACAGGCCTTGCTAAACGGGCACTACAAAGTAGCCTGGATTTCACTGACTAGCGTCATCTTCGGTGCAATCCCCATCCTATCCGGTGGCGTTTTCATGTCGCTATTTTTTCCATCACATAACGACATCCGCATCTCGGCATTTATGCCAGCATTTTACGCCCTCATCGTCTTCTGCGGTGTCTACGCCGCCTCTTTCCTGGCTATCTTCCCTCGTCGCTATCGCTATCTGCCACACGATATAAACACACTAGCTGATCTCATGAGCTTTCTGTATCAGTCGCCGTTGCTGACTGATAAGCTGCTCCGTGAGCCTAGGAGCAAGACCGATCTTGTGACGAGGCTCATCGTTACCCCGCCCAGTGAGCGCGAGCTGCCTCTTTATGGCTTTGGGATCTACGTTGGTCGTGATGGAAAGGAGCATCTTGGTATTGACCGCTTCTCGAGACCTGGGAGAAGCGACATGCTCATTACGACGGGGACGATGAAATGAACCTCTTGCGGTTTTCTGGTCTTTATTTCTTTCGGTTTGATGATTTACGGCCTCTCTCATGTTATGGTCACGAGTCCATGATCCAGATCTTGTTCCGCCAACTTCTTCAGGTTGGATCCAAACGACACTAATGCTTGTATGAGTGAAATTTGTTCTGTTGCATCCGGCGTTACTGTCTACTTTTGTCTGTATTTCTATTTAGTCGCATTCTAGGTCATAGAGAATAATGAAAGTGTAACGGATGAATATGCATTAAAAAAAAGCTCTTAATAGTCACTACATCCTATCCGATTCCGTTCTCGGAGTAGCTCTTCGGTTACTCGAAACACCACAGCGAGGAGGATTTCTGCTTATAATCCCTGCGTCGATAGATGGCGTCCGATATTGGAGAAGTCAACCATCGGTCAACGTCCAACTTCTTTGATCGGCTACATTTTCACTTTATGGGACCTTTCAATTCAGAGAGAGAGCTTGACGAATGGTGTCTCGGTGGGATGAGTACGCTATGTCTACAGGGTTGGCCCCCGTGGTTGACTTTTATTTCCCCCCTTGTTTCCTTGGTGGCCGTGGGAGCCAAACAAGGCATCAACCTAATTAATAGAATCAACTGAACCAAATCGTGATGCTGATTATGTACAGTTGAATCTGACTACTGGGATGTAGCGAAATTACAATCAAAAAAATATATCGAGAGGGATATTGAAAGTGGTACTTGGGTTCGGAATGGGATCCGGAACGGACGCATAATATATATCTTGTGCTCTACAGTTAGCGCTGACCCTTTTTTGTCACTATCGGATTTCAGAACAGTAAAACTACTTGGCAAAGCCTTGTTGGAGATGGCATATTACAGTATCACCATTGAGAAACTAAATCACAAAGACAAGACGTCAAAGAAAAAAAGAGAACAAACAACAACGGCAGCAGCCGAAAGGACGACGCCAAATGCAACAAATACCACAAGAGAAAACAGACAGGCAAGAGAGACTGCCCACCCAAGAAGAAAGGAGAGACACTCGCCACAAATGCGGAATCAAGACAATCCACTCGTCCCCACTTTTACCTACTCCTCTACGTACGCACCATCAAGGAAACATCAACCTAAGCTTGAAACAACCAGAAGAGAAAGCGCTCAAACAGGATGGACGTAATTACAGAATGCCACGACTCGCCTGGCTAGCGCGGCTCGGGCTGGTGCGACTGACCTCATCTTCCTCGAGAACATCGCTCAGCCGCGTGGGATGGCGGTGTCGAGGAGTTACAGAGTCCCAGCCGCCATAGCCGGCGCCGGTGTAGTCGGCTGTCGGAGGCGCGAATGGGGCCTGCACTGGAGCCGACGAGGCGGCGCTGGTGGTGTATCCACCCTCCGTGACAAAGTGGCGTTCGTCCGTGGGGGACTGGTCGTAGTCATCGCTTTCCTCAGACAGTGCCGGCGGATAACTGCCCTGCGGGTCGTGCGTGTAGTGGGTAAAGTCGTCTTCGGCTTCGCTGCTGCCGACGTAAGAGTGCTGATCCGGCTCGGAGGTTGTTGGCACGCCTTGATGTGCTGATTCGTAGTATTGCTCGGAATAGGCTGGTCTGGAGGTCGCAGGATCTGCTTGCACGGGCTTTTGGTTCTCCGTGAAGGGATCAGATTCTGTCGGGGACATGGGCGTGCCACCACTTTCATAGTACTGTCCGCTCATGCCGTGGTCTGCGCTTTTGCCTTGATATGCCGCTCCTCCTCCCATGGACGTGGCAGTGGGACCGCCGGGGTACGGACCTTCGCGCGTAGGCGGGCGGGTGTTGTGGCGGCTGGGCAGACCTTGGATCATAGGCACCACCTGCACACCACCGACCAAGGTTGGCTCTCCGTTTCGCAGGGAGTTGGTCCGATCTCGCTCTTCCTGCTCACGGCGTCCAAGTTCCTCCCACGCGCGACGCGCTTCCTCCTTGGAGATTTGGAGTTCACGACGCATCTCCCGGAGCAAGTCCTCAGCTCGGGTCTTGTCCTTTTCGGCAATCTGGGCGGCGGCAACGGCATCAGCACAGCCCTGTCGTTCGGTCTTGAGCTGGCGGTCCAGGTCTGCTTGCACTTCCTTGGCACGTTCCTGCTCAGCCCGAGTGTCGAAGAACCAGCGTTGGAACTTGCGCTCGGAGGACGCCCGTAGACGTTGGAGTTCAACAACGGCATGAAAAAGATTGGCGCCTGCTGCAGATAGATCCGTGATCTGACGGGCCAGCTGCTGGCTAAGCGGATCTTTCTCCAGCTCTTCGTTGTTCTGTTCGAGCTTGCGGATCCAATACCCGGTGAGCCCCTCCCAGTGCGAGGACAGGGTTTCCCAGCGCTCAAATGCATGAGGGAAAGCGGCGCGCCGAGGTTGCTGGAGGGACTGAGACGTTTCAGGCTGCGCAGGCTGCGCAGGCTTGGCGAGACCAGGCCCCTGGGTGCCGACTCCTGCAGCCGACGCACTCTGTGTGCGGCCATGACCGCCCAATGATTGCTGGCCGGAGACCTGCGGCGGCCTTGACTGGCTGGGTATCTCTCCAGTCGGCTGTGTAGAAGGGTAATCCGATCTGCGGCCGCTTGGCGCAGCGCTCGTGGTGGGTTGGAAAGCCGGACCAGGTGCTGCTGTGGCTGTCACTGGTTGCGCAGGGCCCCGTGGGACCCTTTGAGCAGGTGGATTGGCGGTCACGCCAGCAGCATACTGTTCTGCTTGTGGTTGCGATTGTTGTACCTGTCCCAATTGCAATCGCTTCAATTCCTCCTGCTCTTTGTCTCGGGCCTCTTGCTCGGCTCGGCGACGAGCTTCGCGGTCACGACGCTGTCGCATGATGTCGGTTGGAGTCCTCATACCACTCGGCGGGTGTGCTGATGACACCGGCACAGGGCCTTGCGGTGCGCGCGAGGTGCCACCATTTTGGACGCGGCCATTACCAACCGGAGCGGCGGGACCAGCAACGCCTACCATATCTGACATAGAAGCATTCACCTCCTCCCAATCGGTTGTGAAGGGAAACGGACGTCGAATGGCGTCCTCGAGAGTGAAGAGGATCGCAGATGCGGTTCGCGATGAGACCCGGGCTGTTCTCCGCGGCCAATACGAGGTATGAAGGAGCTGGTAAGGGTCGTCGACGGTGGAGCCGTCGTTATCGGTATGCGCTTCGGAGAGAGCTGGGGGTAAGGCAGCAATGCCACTCGGAGCTGGCTCAACAACGACCGGAATTGACTGCGCCGGTCTGAGCGGGATCCCCGCGGCGTCTAGCGAGACCGCACGACGGTGAGGCGATTGGCGGACCTCAGGCTGGCGATGTACCCGTCGCAACGGACGCTGAGGATCACGGGTGTGCGATTCGACGGAATTAGAGGAATAGGGACGGTGCGTAGAATGCTGGCGCTGCCGCGCAGAGGTCGTAAACGTAGCTGGGTCGTAAGGGTCGTAGACGTCGTCAGATGCGCCGTAGGCGTGGCGAGACACCTCTAAGAATGGAGAGCGCAACGGGAGATAGGACGACAATGTGAGAGAGAAACGAAAAGGGCTGTTCGGGTCCCCCAGGTCAAAAGAAGAATAATTGGCAAGAAATCAATAATGAATCATGAAAGGTGTAAGGAGAAGTTGGGCGTTGGTTGTCAAAAAGGGAGAGGCTGGTGGTGGTTAGTTAATTGGGATGGCTGGGGATAGGCGCCGCAGCGGCAGCTGCGGCCAAACGTGTCTCGGGGATCATGAAGCGCTCCGTCAATGGTGCTGCAGAGGCCAGTTGAAGATGAAATCGAGCAAAGTGAGGTGGTTTGCGCCTGAGGAATGCCGTTGAAGCCGGGGAAGGAATGCCCGATCGACCTCGGTTTCGTCACCGTCCAGAACCACTCGTCTGCCCACACAGCACAAAAGAAGCAAGTGTCAGCTGGGCTTGTTCGATTATTCCCGTCACTACTGCAAATGTCCCAATTATTGCCTGCGACCAGGCTGGTGGTTGTACAGAGAGGGATTGTGCGGCCGTCCAGAGAGAGCCGAGGGAGAGTAGAATGCACACGACGGGAAAAGAAAAGGGAAAATCGTGGAGAGGAACAAGATCTCGCGAATGAATGATGAATCCACGGTTGGGCCGGATTGATCAACAGTGATGCGTTGGCACAGTCTGTTGTACTATCCTCGGTCGGGCAGGAAGGATCCGGAGTAGAGAGTGCTTCATTCGTAGACCCTCATCTTAATTCCTGTCTCTTCTACACACACACTTTCTCTCCCCGACACACCTTCGACATAATGATTCCACGAGACAAAGCCCTAAGAGAGACCCATCGGTTCCACGGGTTCATTTCGGGTTCATTTCGTGGTACGAACTGCTCCTTCTCCACATCTCGATCTGGTGCCTTCTCTACCCGGTAGTACTACTCCGTTAGTACTTGCTCCCTCGCGACCAAATCGACAACACCAAAACAACGCGAACACGAAACACGTTCACGCGCGACAGAGACACGATCGCGGTCTGGACTACCCCCGACTGCAAGGGCCAGGAGAGAGCAGATTCGGACAATTCGATCCCTCCAACGGTTCGGGACGAGTCTGCGGACGCACGATCTCGATCCCCGACCAGATTATGACTCGCGGGTCTCACGTATGCCTTGCAGACCACTCTGTCCGGGGATGGCATCCGGATGATATTTCGAAGCTTCGGTGTTTCAGTTTCAATCTAGATGAGGCTGAGACAATTTGAAGATGATCGGGGGACTAGCGACGGATCGATCCGTGAAGGAAAGGCCGTTGATCTTGTCGCTGCGAGGGCTGCTTAGGGATTGACGCAGAGAGAGATAGAGTGTGAGATCGAGTTTCTACACTACAAAGCCCCAGCGGGAGCAACGGAGGATAGACTATAGGATCCCGCGGCATGTAGGAGAACAAGTGCAGGCCACAGATATATACGGAGTACAGTGCAGATAGATGCATGTCAAACCCTGGAACTGTTTAGAGTCGACAGCATTTAAAGTATGTGATATCACTACTCAATACGATTGCAGTTGTGATTTGTCCAGTGTCACTGTGGACGAGTCTATGCGCGCCTCGGCAAAAAGGCCGGGCCACCCAAGCCCTAACAAACCCTGCCTCCGCGTCTAACGCCTGCAGACACACACTGGAGTGGGAAAAAAGCATAGAGCAGAGATTGCGCCAGCCACGAACAAAAGAAAGAAGGAAATAAAAAAGAAAAGAAACAAACCGGCTCAATGCATCCTTCGTGGTAAATATTACGACAGTCGGGGGGACGGCCGTTGCGCAGCAGCCAGGAATGCAATGCGGGTCTGAAGAAAATGGCCTACAACTCTGTATCTTCACCCGCCACAGTCTCGACCGGACCCTCTATGATCGGCCGCCATTGAGCCCCAGCACTGTCGTTAGTGGCCGATCTAGGACGTCTGTACAGAACTGGTAGAGCCAACCGCGGTGGCGGATATCTCACATTCGGAACTCGGGGCAGACGGTCTGTGGCGTACCACCCCAATTCCCCTCCCCAGGCGTCGTACGAGAGTATCACAAACGCAGGTGGATGATGCCATGAGGACCTGAACTCTCCTGAAAGGGCATTGTTCTCGACACAGCATGATCGTCATGGAGGACAACAGTACCCGCCGGATCACTTCCGCTCCCTTGCTGGAGGGCCCGGTGAGGTGGTCCTTGCTGCGCATCCATCCCTACCAAGGAGCATGTAAGGTCTGATAGGTCATGATCGGCCGTGCTGCGGTCTTTTGTTTACCACAGTGGCATGCATCGATCTGTTTTCCTCCCCGGCTAGCCACCATTGCTGGTCTATGGCTATTTTGGGATGTATAAACATCTCCTCGTCACCCCGGCCAACCCTCTTTGCTCCATTCTTCTCCCTTCCCCCCGGTTTATCACCGTGTGTGTGCCAGTTCATGTCTACTTGCCACTCCATTGCAGAATCATAGTCCATGGCTCACGGAGACTACTACGCTTCGGGCGATTTGGACGTGCACCAGGACCCGAACAGATCCGAGTCCACCATCTGCCTGCCCTCGCCGTCTGCCAACAAGCGTGCCTCGACCTACTATCCCAAGGCCGGGCCCAAGGTGCTCGAGGAGCCCAACCTCGACCCTTTCTATCTAGAACGCTCCCTGGCAGCGACACCGACGGGCGACTCTCGCGATGCTAGATACACCAAAGATAACCACCAATACTACTCGCTTCCTCTGCCCCAAAAATCATACCCAGCCGGCGAAACATACGTGAAACGCTCAACAATTGCCCAGCTGGAACACGAACACAGCTTGAGATTCCACCGATACACCTCCTCCACCTCCTCTGGAGAAGAGCGAAAGCCTCTGCATAGCAAGCAGGACTCGTTCAGCTCCGTGCAAACAGACGGCACAACACCCGACCTTACCCCTAGCAGCTCTTTCTCTTCTGATTACTCTACTCCGGTCTGCCCTGAAGCTGTGCTCAAGGCAACAGAGCAACTATATCAACACGCGCAAAACGCACAGAAAGAGCATCAGTCTCGCTACTGTCTACCTGCTCCTACTCCTACACCTCCTCAATACGCTCCGCCGCCTATCCCAGTGGCTACGGATACTCGCTCTACTACTCCTGCTCCTCCATCCTCCAGCCATTCCACCAAATCCTTCAACATGCGGCGCGAGGAATCTGCAGCTCCCTCCTCATCTCGTCGGAGGAAGCCTCATCCAACCCTACCTAACCTTTCTCGCGCTACGAGCTCTCATAGCTCCCGCCGGAAGCAATCCAGCCCTGGCACTAGGCCACCGCTGGACCCGTCCATGATCTCGCCGCCGTGTCTCTATAACCCTGTCACCATGGAGCCGCACGCAACGCACTTCGATCAAGCTCTCTTCATTCCTGCCAATGACTGTCCCAGCCCGGTTCCCAGCCCAGTGACCAGCTCGCCTCCCATCTCAAGACAGTGGACAGCTACATCAATGGAACGACCATCAACATCCACCATGGACCCCTACTGCGAACAATCCGTGTGGGAGTCCGACTCAGACACCGAGTCCATTGGCCGCAAGTCTATCTCTCGCAGAACCAACGCCACCCTGCGCAAGGTGCGCAGTCGTGCCAAACTGCGCACGGCCAAGTCACATCCCAAGCTTCAAACTAGTGTCGACGACCAGGCACTAGAGAAGTTTCCGGTCATGCCAGATGAATCCTTGGGCGAGCCATTCTTCGAAAATCTGCGAAGTGCCAGTTTCGACCGGCCTCGCCCCAACTTGAGCCGGGAGGCAGTTCCTCGTGGTCTGCAGACCCTACGTCTCGTTGCACCCTCTTCTACATCCTTGCTTCGACCCCGGTCCCGGAATGACAGCAATGCCCGAGAGAGCGACCTCGACCACACAGCCGCGGCGGCATTTCAGGCCAAGTTCCGCCGTCGCCAGCGCTCCGACTCGTCATCGATTCCAAGTACACCGTCAGTTAAAGAACATTTGACTTCGCTCTGCTACGAGCAGACCTCCGTTGCGACCTTGACGGAGCCCACTGACGAGGACAAGTCGCAGCCTTTCTACCGGCGCGTGATGGAATCAATACGATCCCTCAACTGCCACCGACCATTCGCCAGGTCAAGTTCAACATCAAATTAATGTCTTTTGCTCACATTTTCTGGAGTTTTTGTTTCTGTTTTCTTTCATGACCAGCCTTTTGTTTTTTTTCTTCTCTGAACGATATTGCAACGATCTTTGATGTATTTTCTCAATGTCTTTTTACGATGTACGAGCACAACAACTGCTCACACGCTCTTTTGATGTCTGCTTTTTTGTTATGTTCTTTTTCGCCACTCGCTTCTGATCCGAGTGGTGAAGTCCTCCAAGAGGTGGACCTAATGAATCCGGAAACGCTTTTCTGGAAAGACTCGACATACACACGATTTTCATGGAAGGGGACCGACCATGCGTTATGAACGAAGTTACGTACGAACACGAAGGCCAAGGACTTGTGTGTCCGGCCTCTTACTATCCTTACTGTCCTTGATGTTTTTCCTTTTTGTTTTCATGTCTCTCTGACGCCTCCAGTCATTTACGTTTCCCTTTTGTCTCTCTCCTGGTGTTCTCCAACACTTACTTGGTCTTTATGTCCTTGTCTTGGTCTCTCCTTTTTGCTCATGGGAAGTTCTCAGCAGCTTTCACTTGGTTCATCCCGTGCTTCGTTTCATTTCGAGTTCCTATCCTCATATCCTTGAGGGTTATCCATGATTGAAAAACTTGTTTCTGTGTGAGTCAACACCTACGATAATACTTTCTACATAGCGGGAATCTGGCTAGCATCTCTGGGTTTATTTTGGGATGGTTCGGCGTATGTATTAGACAAGATAGGAAATCAAAAATGCATTATTACAATGTATTATTCTCTACCTCTTTTCCATTTTGGAGTAATGTGAGCTGCTACCTTAGACTACCACGGTAGTGGGGTTGTTGGCAGGGTGATGAGATAGAGTTATCCTTCGATGACTGGAATGTGACGGTTCGTGGAGGGGTTGGCTGGTCCGTGGAGGTATTCCGGAATACTACAGTCTCTGTACACATCCTTGTCTGCGATCTGAGGGCGTGTATGGTCATGATCATTCGTTTATCTCTAGCATCTCCATACCCCTCTCTTGAGTCTGGACCACCTTCCTGTATCTTTGTCTCGCATTCCTTGAACTGCTGTGGAGTTGGATCACACAATTCCGCAGACAATACACAGCACCAAGTCTTTTCCTTCACCAGTAGACTAGGCTACCGAAAGCCTCTTGTTTCATTCCATTCCCTTTTCTGATATCCGATCGGTGACCCATGTAGATGTACGTACCCCACTATCCGGATCGGATCCTCTCTGCTTGCAGCTACAGCTTCGTACATATGCCCTGCAAATGTAGGTAGTAACAGGGGCCATACCCCGGATACTGGGTCTTCAGGAAAAGGGGGGTGACATGTTAAATCGCGGAAAGTACTGTGCATCCTGTACCAGTGAGTTTTGGGTTGAACTGTGGGGTTCTGCACAGAAGAGGCGTCGGAGGCTCTAGACCTTCTGTCTTCGGGGAGCTGTCAAGTGCTTAGGCTGCAGAGATCCCTTTCAGGGGATTCTCCTTTGGACAAGAGATAGCGTTGCCTGGATCTGTGAGGGTGTGGAAGCTTTTGGAGGGGAATGTGGAGTTCTGTGCTGTATACCCCACGACAACAAACTATATCGAACTAAACCAATAAATTAACCACACTGTCCTAGACAATGACCAATTTTGCCAATAAAAGATTCTGTACAGCCACAGACAAAAGCACACTGGGGCTGAGTCGACTGTGGCGAGGATACATGTCCAGTCGGATGGGTAGACTGCATCCGCGCCTCCCTTGCCTCGATGTTCCCAACATCTAGACTCTGCCAAGAAACGTTTCACCTTTTGTTCTACCTCGGCTGGAAATCGTGGATGCTTACTTATCTATGAGATCGGAAGTGAAATCTGCTATTCTATCGTACTATACATGCTGTGTAGTTATTCATAACCGATACTACAACCTGGTACCACTTCATTATCACACGCAATCTGAAAGGCACATTTCTCCGATGGATATCTGGCAGATAACGGCTGACAGGGGTCTGCTGTTTGCCCAACCCAACGCAGAATTGCATACATACTTCCAGACCTGTCCAGTCGGACGGAACACGCAAGGTCCTGCCGTCGACACACTACGGGCTGCACCGCGAGCAACTTCCCCGAAACCTTCCAGGGGTGTCGGGTTTCAGATCAATTTGACTTTTGTAAAAGGAGTTCCACTTTCCGGAAACATCTTCATGCAGACAAACACATCGATTGGGCCACTCTGGATCGGGATCTGGTCTGATGCGGCTCGAGCTAGGCGATATTGCAACTGATCTTGCCGCCGTGCCTTATGGTTGATATGGTTGATAAAACGAGTGCAACCCTGTCTTTCTTGATATCACCGAGGAAGTGACAAAGTTGAACAGTATTGCTCGCTGTAGCAACCGCTGTCTCCCTGCTATACCATCATGACTCAGTCCAATGTCTCGGGGATTTGATCAGCGCTCCGGGCCGGCCATCCGCAGCCCGCCCGTCGCATGTGCCTTGCAGCCGCAGCGTCGTCCCGGTGTTTGGGTCTCACATCGGCGCAGGGACAATCGCGTCGCGTCCCGCAAGCAGACAGGGCCTGGTTCGGAGCTGCCCTGTAGCAGTGGAAGGAGGCCCACGCCTTCTCCGTGGAATATACCGCAGTCGCGTACCCTGGCGTGCAGCCAGGAAACCAAGTACCCCTTCAGCTCTGCGCGGCCTTGTTCTCCTTGTCTCCCTGACCCCCCTCCTTCTCCTTCTCCTCTAGGGCCTCCATATTCTCCTCCCACTGCGGCACAGCAACCCTTTCCTCCCACCTCGCAATGACAGTATCTCCCTTCTGAGCAAGTTGGGTCTCCGCGCGCTCCCCTGTTTTCTCAATATGTGCAGGCGATCCTGTCTCGGCCCCTGTAAAGACAGACTGCACGTCCAGCTCCTTGACAGCCATCTGGTATAGCGCGAGCACCTGCTCTTTCTTTTTCCGACGCGCCTCGGCAATCTCCATACTGGTTGAGTCGTTCGAAGACATTTCCGTGCTTGTGCTCGTGCCCCGCGGTGGCGGCTTTTTGACTGCTCCCGAGCTCGATCGATCCTCCAATCCATGCATAATTCCCTCTAAAATCCCAAGAACTGTTCCTGCCCTCATACCCAGCTGCGCACCAACGGGAAATCCTGCGTCGAATCCACGTTGTACATGCTCGCTCTTCGATGCGGAGACTCCGTCGCGATACCCCGCGGTGACGTGTTGGCGGCGTAGCGACGGGAGATCGGAAGGCTCGGCCGTGGTGTTGGAGCTGGTATTATTCTGAACGGGCTCTGCTCTTCTTTCTGGTGGGGGAGAGGAGCCGAAGATGTCGTCCAGAGAATTGTCCACCGCATCGGAATGGGTTGAGGTCATGGTTGTGGCAGGCGATGGTGGGGTGGATGGCGCACTGGAGTTGGAGTCTGCCCGAACCGATGTCATGGTCTGTCTGATGTACCGATAAGACCGTGTACAACTACCCAGTGTGGATGGGCAGACAGCCAATGATTGAAGTAAGTCAGTGTCTTGAAGACATGAAAGAAAAAAAAAAAAGATGATGAGCGGGACGATCTTCGCGGCTCCACTTGAACACCAACATTGTAAGCCGAGCTGACTGACTGCTTATTATCCGGGGGCCATAAACAGTCGGCCAGTTGAATCCCCCGAGTTAGTTAACAACTCCATAGATGTCTCTACAATATAACTAATCCTTCTCACGATAACTACATCCTCCCACCTCATTCCACGCAAAGCAACCATGCCCTCCCGCGCCGCGCGCAGACTATTTACCTACATCGTGCTGCCCACCGCAGCGGCAAGCTACGGCATCCACCGGGGCCTAAGCCACCTCGAAGCAACATACCCGGAGCTCCCCGTAGACAAAACCACCAGCGTAGCACTGCGCACACCCAGCAACCCAGAGAAGCAGCGATGCGCATATATCGACGTCTACTCGGCGCGCATCCCCCTCGCAGCTCTTCAGGCGCGAACACGCGGCAATGAGACCAGCAAAAAGATCGCGCTGGAAGATGCCTGGGCGCGGTCTGTTCTAGGAAGCAAACCGCTGCGCAGTGAGGCTTCGGTGGTTGGACTTATGCGGCATGGTCGGTATTCTCCAGGGGATATAGGGGACTCGGAGAGCGGGTTCTCAGCTGAGGGCAATGGGAGTACGCCTACACCGCGGGCATTGCTGAATGGGGTTGTAACGGTGCAGCGCGCACCAGAGCCGAGGAACGCAGACAGCAATGGACTGCTCATTGCGTGGTTCATGCCCCCTGAACCGCGGGAATTTTTCGAGTCCATTGCGCGTTGGGGGTATCCGTGGCGACTGATGTCCGGGGGACGGCATGAGCTGAGCGTGTCCGAGCCCTTTGATGTGCCGGAGCAAAGGGACACAATGGTTGAGGTGCGCTTTTCGACGGCGCATGACTATGAGGTTGTTTTGGAGGAGGGGGAGTACCAGAAGGTCATCCCGCAGTGGGTTATGCGCTTGCACCGGGGGTGGGCGAGGCTCATTCTGGATATGGCTGCGCGGGAGGTGCGGCGAGGCGTTGAGAATTGAGATGTTCTCTCTCTCCATCTTCATGTACCATTCATACTACCTCCGCTCTTACATATATCCTATCAAGGAATGTCATTGAAGTTATACCAAAATCTAATTTGTGTCATTTCTGAGTCTATGGACTCTATATGCAGACTCAAACACGAAAAACCAAGGTGTATCACTCGCGCCCATTGCCCACCAACCGCCACGCACGCAGAGGCAGATTCTGCAGCCTTGTAGCAGCCGGCTTGATGAACATGATAAAAGTGACGGTGCCGATGAGTACGCAGATCATGTTGGTGAGGTAGTAACCGTCGCGGTCAACTTGACAGACGCCGCCGCCATTGACGCAGCGGTTCTTTTCAGGCTCAATGGCACAGGAAAAGGCGGAGGTGATGAGATCGCCTTTCAGGCTAGAGGCTGGAGGGGCCACGGTCGGAGGGATGCAGGTGGCCACGGTCAGGAGGTCGACCAGCTTGAGGATGAAGAACCGTGGGAATGTTCCGCCCAGATTGGAGACCCTGATGTACTTGTTAGTGGGAGACAGGAACAGAGTAAACAGTTTACGTACGTTGCTAGGAGGGTCATGTATGTTCCCCCAATGGCAGGGTCGGCAATGCGCGCATGGAATGCTGAGATGGACACGAACATGACGGTGTTCATGAATGTTGAAACCACATGTTCCAAAATGACGGTCAACAAGTACCAAAACGGGACGGCATCGTCGTAGCCACCAGGATAGATGATGACGGTGAATTGAGCCAGTATGGCAGCTGCCAGCCGGCCGGTAAATGCCCATCCCCACAGACGCATCGGAGTATATTCAGTGGACCATTTCCCGGCATAGTAGCCTAGCATGATCTCGAACGGGAAATCAATCAGCACCACCAAGGCCATGTTATCCTGACCAAAGCCCTTGTCAAGAAGTTTCAGGCTGGTAACGCCGTCATTGGCCTGGAAACCAATCTTGGCAATCAGATGGATGAAGATGATGGTCTGAATGTTCTTCAGCTTCAATACATTCCACATGCTCTTGTAGACATCCATGATGCTATCGCGCTCCTTGCTGCGTTCCTCTCGCTTCAGCAGGGCCAGACCAAGAGTCACGATCAGGTACGACCACCCCCAGAAGGTGAGGTAGGAGCCCAGGGACAGCAAGCCGCCCTCACTTGGGGTGCTGCGGAACCATCTGTTGGCAAAATCTTGCGAGTTGAATGCGAGGAACACGGTGTACGACAGGAAATGGCCGGCCGTCAAGCCCACGGTTTGGGCCGTCGAAGCGTACGAGATATTCGGCGGAGACATCAGGCTGATGGCCCATCCATCCACCGCGATATCCTGCGTGGCACAGAAAAACACCAGCGTAAACCACCAGTAGGTGAAATTCCAGACGCCCGCACCACCGTTCGCCCCAGCCTTCTCCATCATGTCCCCGATGTGCCCACCCAGGTAGATCATAGCCAGACCGGCAATGACTTGGACCGGAGTGATCCAACTCTTACGGCGTCCGAACCGTGAGCTCCAGACCGCGTCCACGATAGGACTCCAGAACAGTTTGAGGGAGTATGGATACGAGGCGAGCGAGAACACGCCGATCTGACCGTAGGAGAGGTATGGCTTGAGCAGGAAAGGCACGGAACCAGTGGCCAGACCCATGGGCACGCCTTGCAGGAAATACAGCAGACACAGCAACAGGAAATTGCGCCGGTCACTGGTGGGGAGGTTGTGGAAGCTCGTGTTGGACATGGCGGGCGTCTGGGGTGCGGGGGGATCTTCGTCGAGGGAGAAGTTGTCGTGAGACATGAGGCGGGTGGTTCGCTGGGACGAGTCCTCCGTCGAGGTGTCCCGCTTGCGCATTTCGATGTTGGTGTTCATCGTGCCGTTCGCATGGCCGTTCTGGCCGGTCGCCACTTGCAGGTTGGGTTTGGAGCGCCGTCGGGTGAGGCTGCCGTTCTTGCGTGTCATTGATTTTGGGGAGGCAAAGGTGTATCGTGGGCGAAAACGCGTGTCCTCGAGTGTGGGTGTGTGACCGATGGGACCGGAGTCGCGTGGTGGTTCGTTGTGATCGGAATTTAGACCGTGAGATGCGCCAATTCCGATTCACTGGAGGATAGCTCCCGAGCGAGGCGCGAATGAGTGGCCAATGTTTAGTGACAAGGGAGAGAAGGAGGGAATGCTGGATGAGGGTGGCAGAAAGGCATGGTGGGAAGACGCGAGAGGCAAGCTGGCCTTAGCGGCGGCCGAGAACCAACTTACTTAATTCGGGAACGAGTCGGGAACCACGAGTGAGCCACATTTATAATAGATACTCACCTAGCAATCTCTTCAAATAATTACTTTAGATGGTCACCTTCTGCCACAAAATGATTTAGGCGATTGATTTTGGGCAATGTAGATTTGTACCCAATGAATTCTTTGCGTTCCTTGTGCTCCCAAGCTACATATCCTTCGCTCTCCTGGGCCAGTTTACTAAGACTGTAAACACCACTGAAGCACCCCGAACACCAGGACTGCCAGGCAACCAACTAGAACCTATCCAAGCGAGCGGTCATTTAACTAAGATACATGGATAGCTAAAGACGGCGCTAGACAAATAAGGCCTGCAGTGCTACTACAAAAGGAAGGGATGTACATATAAAGATCAAGATCTCATCACGTGCCCAAACAAACAATGGACCGGAGATCAACAGAACAACAGCTTCGCCTCACCTCACCTCTCCAACCCAACCATGAACCAACCTCCCTCTCCATCCCCAGACCCCCGCGAGGGGCGCCTAGACTCAGAAATTGCCTCCATCCGCACCCAAAGTACGCCCAACACCCCCTAATTCCCAGACCAATCAAACACCCTGCTAACACCCCAATCAAGTCCGCACGCTCCACCGCCGCCGCCGAGTCCTCACATCGAGCCTCCTCACCTCAGACCCAATCCAAAGACTGCTGCAAAGGCCACGAGTAACAACATCCCTCGACAACATCTCCTCCATCTCACCCCTCGTCCGCGCAGCAGGAACACACGCCGACTCGAACCACCACCGCATTGCGTTCGGGACGACCGCGTTCCCTTTCAAAGATCCCTCCCCTACGGCCTCAGGGGATCTACTAGGTTTGCGCATTGATGTCTGCGCGCGTAATGGCCGTTTTGCGAAACCGTACTATGTTCTCTTGCGTCGGGAACGCGCGCGCGGAAGTGCCGGTGTCGATGCGGGTGCGGGACATCCTCGGAGACGGTTGCGCGTCTATAGGCACACCGTTCCTGCCTTTATTTCCATTGCGAAATTGGAGCAGAAGTATCTGCCACCCTCTCGACAGGACAGCAATTGGCACAGAGAGGAGCAGGGGGAGAATATGAACCTCGAAGAAGACGAAGAGGAGGATGAGGACGGTCCTTCAAAGCCAGGGAAGGAGTCGGGGAGTGCTGCGCGAAAACAGGACGTGCACGGGTTCGTCCGCGAACTGCGCCGCGAGCTTGTGGCCTGGCATGTCCGTGTTGATGCCGTTGATCTGCTACGTGAGAAATTGGCGTTGATGGAGTCAAGCACAGACATGAACACGGCACCGGTTGAGGGCACGGGGATTGTGTCTCTGTCGTCCACGGCGCTGGAGGCGCGGTATGTGCGGCTAGAATGGGAAGATGGCCGAGTCGGGCGGTTCAAGTTGTCCAATACGGGCCTTGTGGAGAGGGCCGTTGTTATTGGGGACCAAGGTCGAGATAAGAAAGTTGAAGGGGCCATGACTGGTTCTGGTGGGAGAGTGGAAACTATCCTCGAACGGCTGCGTGAGGCTGTCTAGGTCACGAAACGAACAGATATGAATGAATGCATACTCGAGATACCCTATACCTAGCTATAATTCATGGATCAAAATTAAATAGACAAGATTTCTATTCAATGGGCTGCACCTATATAACAAGATCAAGGCTATGCACAACGAATGATCATCAGACTGCCGCCGGAATGCGTATATAAAGCACGACATGTAGAATTACAACATTGGTAAATGGGCATCAGTATCACAAGTAAAGAAAGACAGACGATACTGGAGGTAGAAAGGGTATCACATAAAATGGGATATATCAAAAACAATAGGAAAGAAATTGGCTAAAGCGCCAGCCCGGCCAGAGACGAAGATCGTTCCGGGATAGAGATCGGCGGCGTGGCTGTCGTCTCTGAGGATTGGCCGGTAAATGTCAGCGGAGGCAGCGGGCCATACAACTGACCATGCTGCGTTTCGAGTTGGCAACGGAGGATCGCTTCTTCGAGATGCCAGCGGTATCGGAGAGCGGTCTTTTTCGCATCCAATGCCTGCAGAAAAGAGACCTCTTCGCGCTGCTGCTCAACCCGGAGATTGCTGATATCTTGGACATGCTGCTGGCTCATCTTCTCGAGTTCCTGCTCCATGCGCGCAGTGGCTTCTTGGAGTTTGAGCTCTTGACGTTCGCGGAGGACCTTGAGGCGGGCCTCGTGCAGTGCATCCATGGACTCGTGGGCGTGGTATTGTTGCTCCAGCTGCTCCATGTGCTGGCGTGTAAAACGGCGCGCTGGCGACGGGGTGGTCATGTCGGCTTTTGGGATGGACTCGGAAGATCCCGTTGCTGGAGGGGTGGGCGAGGAAGACGGTGGAGGACTGGCGTTACGGAAATACCCCTCCATGTGCTTGATGCGTGTGCGAGAGTTGATCTTGGCGCGCTCGAACTCACGCTGCTGTTCTATTTCCATCGCAAGCTGGCGTTCTTCGATCCGGATGGCGGCGGCAATATTCTAAATACAATCCTTAATTAAAAAGAAACAGCAAGGGGGAAGCGGTTGTGTCGAACCTTCTCGCTCTTTTCTTCCTCCAGGCGCCGATTATCGGACTGCCGCGCAGAAACAACGGCCTGGTGCCGGCGCCGGAGGATGCTGAGGGAGGTTTCCTGGAATGCGACATGCCGGTTTCTTTCCAAGCGATGCCGTTCCGACATCTCACTCAGCTGCGGATCATCCAAGCTCCTCTGAAGCGCTTCTTTGTCAAAAACGGGGATCTCCAGCTGGAGAAACGAGCCATCGGTGTTACCACCGGGAGCAGTTCCTGGACGTTGGCCAAGGTCTGGCTTGGACTCGATATATATTCGTTCCACGCTTCCACTTTCGCCCTTTGAAACGGTGACACGCGACTCGGGGGGCAGCACGACCGTTGACGGAGCCCGTTTCCTGCGGAAATATATGCGCCCAATAGCCTCCTTCAAACTGCTCCGCCGCTTCTCTTTCTTATCGGAGGACGAGGCGAAGGAGGCGATACTGAGCATGGAATTCCGATTCGCCTTCCTGGCTGCGAACCATTCACTTTGGTTGTAAGGACTGCCGCCATGGTGGTTGGCTTTGCCCTCGCTGGAACAGTAGGAGGTAGGACGAGTGGAGAGCGAGGCTAGCGACCGCGTACTGCTAGGCTTGGCCCGGTCCGAGGAAGCGAAGGTGATTTCCGAGAAGGACGAGACGACCTGGTCGAGAGGCGAGTGGGAGTGCGAGGCCGGCTCGTGCGACGGGGTGATATCGCCGCAGATGGAATTGCGATCCGTCGACGACCCCGATGAGAGAACCGGAGAGGAAAGATCGACCATTCCCGACGCGATCGAGGCCGCCAGCGGTGCCGATGCCTCGATCTCCGGTACTTTCAATCCCAACTGTCGCGCCTCATCGGCCAGTTGCTGCGCCCGCGCCTGTTCGGCCTCGGCGGAGGGCTGTCGGAGAACTGCCCATCGGTATTGGTCCTCGTCGAGGATGGGGCCGACGGCTGTTGGACTCGGCTCCATGTGTTGCATTATCCCCGTCTCTCTTCTTCCGTATTTTCTTTTCTTTCTGTAATGTACAGGGACTGGCGTGGCGCCTGGCCCGCGGGCGCGCACGGCAGGAGGGGTGGGAGATCGGGGTAGAGAGGAAATGCGCCGGCCCGGCTGGAGGTGAACAAGAGATTAGAAAAGGAGCGGGCTCGTCCACGGTACGTCGAGCACGGTGGACGAGAGGATGCGCAAGCACAGCATGCGTTATATTTGGGGCGAGGGATGAGACACGAAGGGGTTGGTTGGGGCTGGGGGTCAAAGGTCAAAGACGGTCAGGAAAGTGAGGGCCAAAGCCAAGACAAACCTGCTGCTGTCTTGGATTTATTTTTCCGCCGACCCATGCCTTCCCCGTCCTTGGTTCAACGAGGTACACTTAACTTACTTTACGATGGACTCCGCCAACGAAATAGTTATTGCATGGGCTATATACAGGAGCACACTGAAAGACAATATCATGGCGCCGGACGGACTATCGGTTCCTGAATCCTTCCTGGCAGCCCAAACTCCCACCAGTCCCCCTGCCCGACTAGGCAGGTAGGGCTTAGGGCATTACCAATCCAGAGCAGAACCGCGGTACGGGGGAGCGGCAAGAAATGGGCCAGGACAGGCACGCCAACTAGGGATTTACAGAACTACTCGTTCAGCATCTCGATGGCCAGAGTGTACGCATCGTCCATGGCCTGGTGCTGCGGCGTGCCCGGCTTGGGATGTTGCTTATCCCACCCATGATTACAGCCCTCCATGCGCTTCAAGACTACATGCCAGCCCGGCCGCTGCTGGAGCCGATGTGCAAAGTCCTCCGCTTCGGGGGCAAGGGAGTCGCCGGACGCGGTAACCACCAGCAGGCGGCGCGGGAAGTTCTCCAACGGCGCAAAGGCCGGTGAGATGCGCGGATCGCGTCTATCGTATGGGGAGTTGGTGGGCACATAGGCGCCGCTGAAGATGCGCGCAACAGGGACGGGTATCACCCGCCCGGACGGATCTGGTGCGACCTTAGCTCCAGGGTCGGTGTTCAGATCGAGTGGCGGGTAAAATGCGATCAGGGAGCGGAACGTAGCAGGCGGAAACAATACCGCAGAGAGCGCCAGGGCGAGATTGGCTCCGGCGCTGAATCCAGAGATTGATACATGGCTGAGGTCGAATTCGTCCGGCCGACCGAGAACGTAGTTGACGGCGTCCTCGACGTCGTGGAGTGCCGCAGGGAACGGGTGTTCGGGGGCTTTGCGATAGGGCAAGTCTAGCACGGTGTATTTGGTTTCGCGGCTCACGCGCCGACAGTATTCATCATCACTGCCATGGAGAGGAAGCATGAATCCACTTCCATGCCAGTTGAGCAGGACGGGCGAGGGACCCGAAGATGGGCCTGAGCGGTACACATGCACCTTGAGGGTTCTGCCCGCATCCCGGGATGAAATGGTGCGCACTTCATCTGGGCGCACCGAGACCCGCCGGATGGTCCACCGGATCCGAGTGAGGGTACGGAGAATCACTGCGAAGCATTTGTGGTAAATATACCGCCAGAGAGACATGGTGGTTTGCTGACCGAGAGGGGGGAAAAGGAGGAGGGAGAGCATGAGATGGGGCCGAGGCAGGACATTAAATGTCGATCCTTCGCGTTGATGATGGTGATATGCAGGGTCGGAGTATCCGGTCTGGGCCTGGTCAGTGTTCGGACTCGTTCCTGATCACTGCCCGCATAGGACCGTCGTCGCTTGCATTGCAACGGCAACTGTTTCTTTATGTCTAGCATAGATCTAGCTCCATACTGCGACGCACCCGCTCCGGCGGCACATCCAACGAGATAGACGGCCAAAATTCCAAGAATTAGATACTGCCATCGTTCGGTTGAGCCGGAAACACTCAGGCCGGTTATATATCGGGCTGAAAATTACCAACAGCACGCGATTGGAAACTTGAGGCACTACAGCGATAAACGTAAGCACACGCACTTCTACTTACTACACACACGCACCTGTCCAGCCAATGGTTATCAGCTCCCACTGTCGTCATCTTCGTCCTTCATCTCCAGCTCAACTCCCGATCGCCAGTCCCGGAAGGAGCCAAGATGGCCACCAAAGCAGACCCAGCTGACTCCAAGTTCACTGTTTTCATCCGTCTGCCTTTCCCCCGGGGGGATTTCGTCGATCCGCCGCCTGTAAGTATCCCGCCCGCCCATCAAGCTCTCTGGGAGATACTGACCTGCCCAGGTTGAATGGAATGCATCCAAAGACCAAGCACTATGGAATATCCTTTCACGCCCATCAAAAGGTGATGATATAGACTGTATGCAATCCCTGCCTTCCCGTGAATTAGTTTAAGCTAACACATTGATCAGGGAAGGCTCTGTAAATCTATACCCTCATATTCCCAGGTCGCCCGAGATCCGCTAACTCATCATGTACAGTGCGGATAGCTTTGATGTTACCCTGCAGTTTTTGCTCCAGCAAGCAGCATGGCTCTACGACCGACAGCTGTCTCAGGTTCGGGCTCAAATGCGCAAAGTCCCCACCACGCAGTCGACTTCTCCGTCTCCGGCACCAGGATCGGTATCTGGCAGCGGCGCATGGGCCGGACAGCCATCGAAGGGACCTCGTGGTCCGAGTAGGCAGGTATCGCAGCAGAACGATACACTACCACTACGGGGTAGGTGACTTCCCGGCATGCATAACACCATCTGACAACCACGCAGTGGGCGGTGCTCGGCGCACGAGTTCTACATCCATCACCACGATCAACCAGTTGGGCAGATCTCGTGATCCATCGCGCACCGATACACCAACGGGAGAAGGGAAGGAGCAGCGCTGGGATTCATTTGGGCGTCGGCCGTCAGTCACAAGGCAGGAGCAACGACCGCCGACTTCGCTCTTGCGGTCGCCTCCACTCCAGGAAGAAGATCTGACGTCCTCCTCTTCGGAAGAATCAGAAGATGAAGACGACACTCAACTAGCACCCCGTTTCAAGCGCTTTGGGAAATTCTCTGCCCATCGGGCCGGTCTGCGCGATGACGAGGATGAAGATGACGATGGTTATACCCCTGCCTTCCTTCCGCTTAGTCGAGAGACCGAACCAACATCAAGGGAGAGGCCCGCACAGGAACTCAGCGCAACTCTTCGACTAGAGGAACAGCGACGGCGCAGCACAGAGCAGCAGCCCACACCACGGATACCGGTGACGAGCGAATCGTCAGCAAGCTCTGCCAGCTCTGTGGGCCCTGCCAATCTATCTCAGGATGAAAGTCGACGACAGAGTCAGGCTATGGCGGCATTGGGCCCTCACCAACGGGGAGGAGAGGTGCCTCGTCGGAGCCCTCGTAAGTCTACCGCATCGGGACGAGAGGCTAGTGACGGGACTCCGAGCATGGGGAGTAGTTTCAGTGACCTTGATGGTAAGTGATTGATTTGTTGTCTCTGATCACGACATTGACAATCGCCCTGTTAGATGCCAGTGTCACACAATCCGCGCTCGAGGAAGCACTGATGAGCAACATGCAGCATGGCGGCATGGCCAGCCGGATGAGCACGATCAGCCAGGCCCTTCGCAGCAAATACCTGCCATGATCGCCGCTTGTGATTATAAATAACTACCAATCTACTCTGTCAAGAGAAAATTAAACCAATAAATGTAGTTGTATAGTTGTATACTCTGACCGCATGCGGTCTCACGTGACCCCTCCCTCGGCATCCTCGGCGTAAACCACCACTCACCCCACGCCTCACCTGCATCGGCCCAACGGCTACTCTTCCCTTGGCAGTCCCGGTCACCCGCGGACAAGATCATGTCGATTGAAACTTGACAGCGGGGTATTATTATTGTCTGTTGTGACTCAGACATCCATTATTGCAACCACACAGAGCTTCCCATGGGAATTGGATCATTATCGCATGCGGAGCTGCATTTCTTGATATCCCACGTCCAACCGCAGTCATTGTGGTTTGCGGGCGGCTTTTTCGGCTCAACCCTATCTTTGTTTTTGAGATAGCCATACCACGTCCTCCCACAAAAGCACACACCTGAACCAAAATGGCCCCGACCCTCAGTGAAATGACACCGGCGGAGGCCGAATCCGTCTACTTCAATGAATATCCACCCCCGAAAAATCTCCCAAATCATGAAGCGCTCGCCCGAGCATTCATTGACCTCCACGTCGAAGCGAACCGGCGCGTGGCCCTGGTGACCTCGGGAGGCACAACCGTGCCGCTCGAAGCGCAGACGGTGCGGTTCATTGATAATTTCTCCGCCGGTACCCGCGGCGCCACGTCCGCCGAGTATTTTCTGGAGCAAGGGTATGCGGTGATCTTTCTACATCGCCAGTACAGCCTCCTGCCGTACTCGCGTCATTACAGCCACTCGACGAACTGTTTCTTGGACTTCATGGACGAGGCGCCGTCGAACTCGGACCAGGGACATATCGTCGTGCGCGACGAGTATCAAAATGAGATGCGCGATGTGCTGCGCAAGTACCGCTACGCCAAGCAGAACAATCTGCTTCTCCTACTACCGTTCACCACTGTTGCGGAGTACATGTTCGAGCTGCGGTCGCTGGCGAAATTGATGCGACCACTCGGCGCCAACGCGCTCTTCTACCTGGCTGCGGCCGTCAGCGACTTTTTCATCCCGCGCAGCCGCATGGCGGAACATAAGATCCAGTCCATGGAGGTGCCTGCCCATTTCGACAGAGAGGACGATATCTACACTGGCGAGAACGAGGATCAACCATCAACGCAGCGGAAAAAGCTCGTCATCGACCTGGACCCCGTCCCCAAGTTCCTGCACCGCTTAGTCGACGGCTGGGCGCCGGACGGGAGCATGGTCATCTCCTTCAAGCTGGAGACCGACCCGGGCTTACTAGTCTACAAGTCCCGCACAGCGCTCCAGCGATACTCGCACCACCTAGTCATCGGCAATCTGCTCTCAACCCGGAAATGGGAGGTGGTCTTCATAACCCCCGATCCGCCGCATGAGCGCTGGATCCGCGTACCCAAGGCGCGGCGGAGCAAGAGCATCTCCGGTGTCGAGGACCAGGTCGGCTTGGCGGAGGCTAGGAGGCTGAATGTCTCGGTGCCGGCCCCAGATGCAGAGGTGGAGGCGAACCCCGTTGCTGCTGAGCAAGGGAAGAGTCGCGATGGGATCGAGATTGAGAGCTTGATTATCCCGGAGCTGGTTAAGATGCATACAAAGATGGTGGAGAAGAAGGCACAGCGAGATCATCAATGATGAACTGTTTTTAAAAAAAAATAAAAAAATAAAAAAATAAAGACAATGAATGTATACCTCGTAAAAATCAGGACTTGTGATTTTCCTTTCTAGGCTATGTTCCCGGATACACTGTTTCGAGTGAATCGCTTTCTATCGGATAGCCACGAGGCCGACAGTCATTGAAGAGTGGGTGTCCGAAGTGTCGGGACTCTTCAGAAGAGTGATGGAAGCCCACTCAATGTGTAAACAGTGTTTGGGTACCATGCTATACTACGGGAAAACAGATCAGGCACATCTACTCAGATGATCACTCGCACTCCCAGTAGATCAAAGAGACTATCTTTCCATAGTCTACTGTCGACCAGAATTGTGCAAAATATCCGACTAGGCCGAGAAGTGCCAAAGGCCACTATATCTATGGTTTCGTCGAAAAGGGGTACCGTACTGTATTAGGCATGTGGGTCAAATTCCTGACACACGTCATGACGGATTCGGCTTGACCAGCCCTTCTCTTTTCCTCCTATCCTCAGGATGTCCGTCTGGCATCCTCTACCCTCCCACTCTCATTAAACCCCAGCATGCTCCCTCGTCGGTTCAGCCGTCGCCTGGCTGCCGTCGCCACCGCCGCCCTCCTCTTCCTCCTCTACCATCTGTACACCCTGCAAGCGGGACTCCAGCCACCACCAAGCCGACAACTCTCCTCCACCACCGAACCCAGGTATACCGGCGAGCCCAATACTGTGTGTCCGCCACTCCCCGGCGTCGAGGATGTGCTGGTGGTGATGAAAACTGGGGTGACGGAGTCGCAAGACAAAGTCCCCGTCCACTTCACGACCACCCTCCGCTGCATCCCCAACTACATCATCGTGTCGGACTTCGACGAAGAAATCGAAGGCGTCAAGATCCGGGATGTCCTCCATAATATGGATTCGGAGGTCCGGGATCGCGTCCAAGACTTCGACATCTACAACCGCATCCGCCAACAAGGGCGCAAGGGTCTGGGCGGGAACGACTTCAGCGATGTGGCCAACTCCGCCATCGGCAAGCCCAACAATCCCGGCTGGAAGCTTGATAAGTGGAAGTTCCTGCCCATGGCGCAGGAGGCCCTGCGCACGAAACCCGATGCCAAGTGGTTTATCTTCATGGAGGCAGACACCTACGTCTCGTGGACGACCGCGCTGGCGTGGTTGAGCCATTACGACGCCTCGAAGCCACACTACCTTGGCACGGAGACCCAAATCGCAGATGTGATCTTTGCCCATGGCGGGTCGGGCTTCGCGCTCTCCAACCCGGCTCTGACCCGTGCGGTGGGGAGCTATACCTCCAACACCAAGGAGTGGCACGATTATACGGACTTCCACTGGGCCGGGGATTGTGTGCTGGGCAAGGTCCTCTTTGATGCCGGCATCAATCTGGAATTCTCGTGGCCGATCCTACAAAACTCCAACCTCGGCGAACTGAGCGAGTTCAGCAAGGGCTTCTACCGTGAACCATGGTGTTTCCCTTCCATGGCTCTGCACCATTTGACACCTGCCGAGATCAAAAATCTGTGGGAATTTGAGTCAAAGCGCTGGCGCGTATGTTCCTCTTCTCTTCTCTCTTTCCTTATTGTGTCTACGTTTGCTAACTCAGCGTCCGATCTAGAAAAACAAACACACCCTGCTGCACAGCGACCTCTTTCGCGAATACCTCTACCCCGAAATCGCAACCCAGCCCACCCGTCTAGACTGGGACAACAGTGCTGAAGACGACCAGCCCTTCGCTACCTCCTTCGAAGACTGTCGCGAAGTCTGCGAGGCGCAGAAGGACTGCGTACAATTCGTCTTCAAGGGTGGATCCTGTTATACAAGCGGTAACCCCCGGCTTGGTGCCAAGGCCTCCGATGCTGTGTCCGGCTGGTTGACGACCAGGATCCGGGAAATGATGGATAACAAGGGATTGTGCAGTGCGCCGGATTGGGGGGTCTGATTGGTCTCTTTTTATATGAGCTTGTTTGGTTACCCGCTTGCTTTTCCTCTTTCCTCTCTGCGCCTGCATATCCGCACATCTCACGCTTTTCTCCCTTCTTCTCTATCTTACTGCTTTCAGCATGGCGTGGCGTGGCGTGGCAGGGCTGCATCTTATCGCAACCGTCTCGTCTATTGCGGTTCTCCCATTGTGCTACTTCTCCCTCGCTTTCCATCTGTCCTCGTCCTCTTGTCTTTCTCCTTGCGCTTCAAAATGTTTGTCATTGGTGTCCTCGCATAGATGCCGGTCTGGGGGTATTCCGTGGCGTCGGTCTACTACATTTCTCTTGGGGGCGTTACGAGGGTCGTTGCTATACATGCATTTCTGCGAAATATACACCTTTCTTTTACTTCGTGCGCTGTGCTGTTCTTGGAAGTAGTCTCCTCTGTGTTGAGGAGTATATTTGGAGTAGAATAGTCATTCAGACGAGTGGATTCGGCTTGCTTGTCATTCTATCCTATCCGTCTGAAGGAAGTACGTCTGAATAAGAATAGGGTAGAATTATTAGGGTGAGAAGAAATGAACTCCGTGTACAATCCCCATTCCATACAAGTCATCACAACGGCGGTCCATCGCCTAAACACTGATCAACGCGCATAATTTGCAGCCCTGCATTCTTAACCAACCGAATGAACTGCGGCAGATACTGGACCGTGGTCGGGTTGAGATAGTGCATGACGGCGAGGTTGCCTCCCCTGGAGACGCTGTTTGTGAATGCCTCGAGTTGTTTCTCAGGCGTGGTGGTATTGGCCCACAGCCAGTCCTCTACGTCGACGCTCCAGTTCACAATGTAGGGGTTGGGAAGATGCTGGGCGAGCTGCTGGCGCATGCGGGCGCCGACGGTTCCATAGGGTGGACGGAAGTATGATGCTGCAGATAGATTAGAGTGAATGAATAGCAATAGAATGGGTGGCTGCGTACACTCGACATCGAGCCTTTCTTTGAAAATTTGCATTGTCTGCAGGATCTCGTCGTCGATTTCCCCCACAGTCGGGAGTGCCTCCATCCTTTTGGTATTGTCAGCCTATTTGCAAGGACCGTTCGAGTCACTGTGAACATACTTGGGATGAGTGTTTGAATGCAGTGCAATTTGGTGTCCCTTCTGCAACATCTCACGGTATACCTGAGTGAAATTTGTCTCGGGGTCCCGGAGTCCAGCACCCACAACGAAGAAAGTAACTCGAACATCCTCCCTGTCTAGGATTTGCATGACTTCCTGCGCAAGCTGCGGCTGTCCATCGTCAATGCCAAACGCAAAAGAACCCGGCCGCGAACAACGAAAAACAAGCCTGCCGCTCGGTAATTTGCTCGGTATTCTGAAGTACTCATTCTCCGGCGATGGCGAAGGAACCATAGGCACGATCTCGACGCGGTGCAGAGTGATTGGCTCCTGGGTGTAGAAGCCATGGAACGAAACAGACATCACACGGTTTTGCTCAATGTGGAAATGAGACAAAGGGATGTAGAGCTCGGTCTTGCTATATGGACCGGGCACCCGAGTATGCCCATCGTTCTTTCGGCTCTTGTTCCATGCGGGCGAGTGTGACTTGCCTCGTTGAGTAGTTGAGTTTCTGCTTTGACTGGGCTCACCATCTCCACTGACAATAGTCCTCATCACATATCGCGCAGCTTCCACTGTATCTGGCACACCAGGGAACGGACGACGACGGGGGTTGCACTCGGCATTGTGTTCGTTAAGTGAAACACTGAACTTATCCGTGCCCTCAAAGACAACATGCAGGAACTGATTCTGCCATGGCCAGAGACTGAAGCAGCCGTGTGTGTCGAACTGGGTATGGAAGTTCTGATCTGGATCTGTCGGGGTGAAGCGCACGAAGCCAGGACTGTGCTCGACGGTCAGGTTCTCACCAGAACCGTGCCAGAATCCCAGGTCATTGTGTGTAGGGCTCTGAAAGGTGTCGATGACGAGAGGTGGTATGGCCTTTTGCTTTTGGGGGGATTTGTGGATGCCATCTCGGAGCTCGTTCCAGTGGTTGTGCTCCACGAGTTGGTGGACCAACCCTGTTGCGGCGGAGAGGAAGAGGACGACAGCAAGGACAGACATCACCTTCATGGATAAGAAATACTTCCTGATCAAGGGCGGATTCTTCAAATGAGCAAATGAAGTTGGTTCGGGTGAAGAATTGCAGGAAGAGAAGGAAGAGCAGGAGAGGACGAGGAAGACATCCCCGATATCAACGGCAAGAACGACCGCCATTAGGACAGGTGCCTACGAGGATACGATACAACGGAGATAAAAGCAAAAGAATCGTTTCAAGGTGTGTGGATGCAAAAAAAATAACGCCAGCGCCAAAAGACAACAGGATACCCAGCAAGAGAAGAGACGAAGTCTGCCAAGTTCTCTCACTGAAGAAAGAAATCCTCCCACCGGGTTTCCCGTCATCCAGTGCGCAACAAAAAGGAAAGAGAAGAAGGGTTCAATATTAGAATCATCGAAAGTCACCAGATCAAATCGCAAAATCCATGGATCAAAAGTCCCCGCCGATGTCACCCCGTCCCCGTTCACCAGTTGTTGGTGGGCTCCTGCTGAGACTGGGTAGCCCACGCCGAGTCACGCAGAAAACCGGCCGCAACATCATCCAGGGTCTCCTTGACACCCTTCTGAGTCTCCTCAGAGGCACCCCAGCCGTCCTGCGCGGGCTCCTGGGAACCCCACGTACCACCACCACCATGAGTGCCATTTTCCTCATCAGCATCGTCATCCTGCGAATCGTTGCTATCATCGACAAACACCAGGGCATTGTCAGATGCAGTAAAGTGCTGCAAAAAATCGGGAATTTTCTGGCTAGTCTCCATGAGAATCATGACCAAAGCGCTGCCAATGTCCGAGTCGCCATCGTTGTAGAAAGAGGTTGCAAGACCCTCATTTCCGATACGGGCAGTACGTCCTAGTGGATAGTAAGCCACGAGTTCCAGATGTGGAAGAATAAAGAGTACATGCCGATGCGGTGGACGTACTGGCCGATAGCGTCGTCGCCACGGGGAAGATCGTAGTTGATGACATGCATCACATTGGCAATATCCAGACCGCGGGCGGAGAGACTAGTCGTGACCATGATGGGAGCCTTCGCAGTGCGGAAGGCACGGCTGAAAAATTCTGTTAGTCGAGGCAAAAAGGGAATCTTCATGGGACACATACATGGCATCTTCGCGTTCAATCTGGGTACGGCCGCTGTGGATAGAAGTGCTGGGCAGACCCATGTTGTAGAGGAAATCGTCCACAAAGTCGACCTGGTCCTTGGTGTTGACGAAAATCAGAGTACGGATAGGCAGCATGCTCATGATCAGATCGTACAGAGCCTGCTTCTTGGAGCGGTCCTCGACAAAGAGAAGCTAAAGTATAGTCAGTATCTGGCTGTGGACAGGAGCAAGATGAAACTCACCTGCTGGGCCACATTGATATGAGTGCTGCCAGGGCGGCCAATGCGGATGCGGACGTGTTCTTCGCCCAAGTACGTGCGTGCAAGCTTACGGCATGCCTTGTTGAACGTAGCCGAGAACATCAGGTAGTGATGGTCGGCGTCCTCATTGACATCTTGGCAGAAGTTAGGAGACGGTCATGAAGAAATCCGTGGGACATGCTTACCTCCACCAGACATGAGCCGACTGAACTCCTGCTCCCAGCTAGAATCCAGTAGCTCATCCGCCTCATCAACCACAGTGTAGCTGGTGCATCGTTATTCAAGCCATTGCGGACTGTCAGGACGGCATCGCTTACCGAACACGCCGCAATGAGAGAACGTGCGGCTGGTTCATAAAGTCAAGAATACGGCCAGGGGTACCAATCAGAATGTCACAGCCCTTCTGAAGATCCTCGCGCTGGAGGCGAAGGGGGGGCACCACCGTAGGCAACACAGGGACGTAGCATCGAACGGTAGCACAGACGGCGCGCTTCGTCAAAGATCTGGGTTGCCAGCTCGCGAGTCGGGCACACAACCAGCACCAGGGGCTCGGCACGAACCGTGTGCGTGGCAGCATCGAAGCTCTCCGCGTAGGGACGAGGAGCTGCCAGCTTCTTCGCCTTACCCATCAGCTTCGACAGGATGGGGATAAGGAAAGCGTCCGTCTTGCCACAGCCTGTGATGTGTCAGTGGCAGGAACCATGAGAATCCAAGAGATTTTGCATACCAGTCTGGGCAATTCCAAGGAGATCATGACCACGGAGGATCGTAGGGACAGCGTACGACTGGATCGGCGTAGGGCGCGCGTACATGCACAGCTGGATGTTCTCGAGTATGACGGGGTGCAGCCCGGCGTCCTTCCACTGCGTTTGTGTGTGTTAGCCAAGCGGAGGTATATAGGCGACTGAGTTGACTTACGTCCAGGATGGGCTTGATGGCGTCCTTGCTCTCGCAAGTCACGTCGATGGCATTCAGGCTGATCACAGACAGACCATGTCAGAGACAATATTGCAGATGAAAGACTGTTGTTACTTACGCGTCGAGCTTGTATCCCACGCGAGTGATGTAGTCGTTGCGGAACAGCTGGTCCTCCAGCTCGGGCACGGGAGGTCCAACCTCGCCGAATTCGTCCTTCCATTCGTACTTGGGTGCGACGGCAGCCCACTCCTTGACTTCGTTGGTATCGATATCATAGTTGAAGGGAGTGGGCTTGGCCCATCCAGCCTCCTGGGCAGCACGAGCAGCATCCTCCGCAGTAGGAGCCTCCGCAATCTCCTCGGGCTTAGAGGCCTCGATGAACTGTTCCATCGTGAATGAAAGCGTTACAAGATAGGGTCCAGTAAAGAAAGCAAGTTGTGAGATGGGGAAAGGAACAGAGAAGACAATCAGGAGAAAAGCAAGAGGGTCCAAATGCACGAGTAGGACTGCGCTTCAGCAGGATGCGCAGTGGATGATGAGCAGGTGCAAATGACAGTGTGAGGTGATGAGAAGAAAAAGTGAAGGAGAGAAGCAGGCAGGAGGTAAACAAGAACGCATCGCTGAGACGGCGGTGCTGAGTCGGCGATGTTAAGTTGAGAAGAGACGAAGTATAGATGGGGAGGTGTGCACCCAACACTTTTCATTCGCGTGCCATTGTTCGGTGGTAAATGAATGCAGACCATAGTCGAAACGATCGATCGGTATAGATCTAGACTAATATGCTATGTATGGAGTACTAGTATGCGTTGTATGTCCCTACATAGTATACTAGACCTCGGCTCGCCGGCCGGTTCCACTCGGCCCAGAAGGACCGAACGGTACGCCGTAAGCCTGGGCACGCCGCCCTGTCTGGACAGCTTCGCCCTTCCCCGTTCTCCGCTGCTGCCAACCAACTGCTGCCCATCCACCATATATCATGCCTTCCGATCGCAAGGACGAGTCGCGCAAGGCCCGTCCGCGCCTCGAGGAGGCCATCACCAACCCGGGCGCTGTCAAGATCAACGTTACCGGCGCCTTCATCGTCGACGACGAGCCCCGGTCCAAGAGCCCCGTCGACGCCGAAGGGGTTCACTACGAGAACAAGGATATCCGCCTGCCCCATCATACCGGTGTGGTGAGCCATGTTGCGGTCGATGTGAGTTCTTTTATTTTACCTTCTGAATTTTCTTTCCGCCCCGCAATCTTCTCCCCCGCCGAAATACTGACGGATTGGGGATCTTCCAGATCGGCGGATCACTGGCGAAGCTCGTGTATTTCACCCGCGAGCTGGACGCCGCCGATAATGGCGGTCGCATGAACTTCATCAATTTTGAGACTCATCGCATCGATATCTGCATCAACTTCATTCGCCAATTGAAGGAGGAACACGAGCGCCGCAATGGCTCCGCCCGGGACGAGCTCTGCGTGGTCGCCACCGGCGGCGGCGCCTTCAAATTCTACGACAAGCTCAAGGAGGCGCTGGATGTGAATATTTTGCGCGAGGAGGAGATGGAATGCCTGATCATCGGTACGGGTGCCCGGCGGCCGGACGAACGGAATGCGCGGATGCAGGCTAACCACTCACACAGGCCTCGATTTCTTCATTACCGAAATTCCCAACGAAGTCTTCACTTACAGCGACGCCGATGTCGAGCCCATGCAGTTTGCCGAGGCCCGCCCGGATGTCTACCCGTATCTGCTCGTCAACATCGGGTCCGGCGTGTCGATGATCAAGGTGTCGGGCCCCCGACAATTCCAGCGGGTGGGGGGAACACATCTTGGTGGCGGCACGTTCTGGGGAATCATGTCGCTGTTGACGGGCGCTCGCACGTTTGACGACATGCTGGCTATGGCGGACCGCGGCGACAACAGCGGCGTGGACATGCTCGTCGGAGACATCTACGGCATGGACTACAGCAAGATCGGGCTCAAGAGCACGGCCATCGCGAGCACTTTTGGCAAGGTATTCCGGCTGAAGAATGCCGCCGAACGAGGTGCCGAGGACGGCGAAGGCCTGCTTCAAGATGAAGATGGCGGCCAAAGCAACGGCGACGTCAATTTCCGCCACGAAGACATGAGCCGGAGCTTGCTATATGCCATTAGGTATGCTTTTGCCCCTTGATCCTTGATGCCGGATTGTGTTGACTTGTGACAGTAACAACATTGGTCAAATTGCCTATCTCCAGTCGGAGAAACACCAAGTGAAGCACATCTACTTTGGCGGCTCTTTTATTCGCGGCCACCGCCAGACCATGAACACGCTTTCCTACGCCATCCGCTTCTGGTCCAAGGGCGAGAAGCAGGCCTATTTCCTGCGTCATGAAGGCTACCTGGGTGCTGTTGGTGCTTTTATCCGCCGACAGCCGCAAAACTGGGGCCGCCGGAACAGTATCGACGACGTGGCTGCACCGCAGGCGGTGCGCAACCTCGTCCAGAACAGTATTCTCAACCAAGATCCACCGAATGGGCCGTCGAGCTCATCATAGTGCTTCTTGTCCATTCCTCCTTTCTCCCATCCGCTCTCCGCCGCGTTCTTCGAACGTGTTCATCGATATGTCCACTTCTCTCCGAATCCTCTGTATACCCTGTTGTCACCCTCTTCCAGCATATTAGAAAGAGCTGGTTTCGATATTAGAATGACGGCCGGGTTACTTTACCTGGCTGTGGTGTATTAATTTACTAGAATCCATGTCCGTTCATATGTTTGATTTGGTTTTGAAGGTAGAGCAAGCTTATCTATGCTCTTACCATCTTTGGCTGTTGCTTGTCCGTCTCCTCCCACTCTGTGTTTCCCGTCTTCGTCTCTCGCTTTCCTTCTCCTCTGCCTCCCTCACCCTCTCTCTCCACTTCCACTCCCCCTATCTCTCTTGATTCAACCGGAGCAACCGAGATCACTTTTTCCCCAAACAACTCTCGTTTCAACTTGCCGCCATGGTTGACCCTCCCGTTCCCCCAAGCCCCAAGGAGCTTGTTGTCCCTGAAGCACTTGCTGCTCATCAGGTTCTTCCTGTGGCCACGATATTTTCTTCAAACGTCCCGCAAATCGTCTCTGACTCCGTGGTGTATATCAGCGATGCCGAGACTGAGGTTCTCGAGACTCCTTGCGGTCATCCGCATCGTCGCCTGCGTCGTCGGGGCTTCTCAGTGCCAGATGACTCGGACGCCGAGGAGCTGGATGAGCCTACAACCAGCGAGCAAGATGCTGTGGTGAAGGAGATTACCGTGACTGAGTGCTCTACTCTTGTTAGACTTCTTCGCCCGCCTCTTACCGAGAGCTCGCCACTGTCGGATCTACCCTCACACATTAGTGACTTTGGTGAAGATACTATCATCCTAGATGTTCCTGCGGTGAAGAACAACTCCGTTTCCGCTGTGAATGAAGGTGCTGGGCCTACTAAGCCTCTTCATCCACCTCCTCGTGGAAGTTCGGCACTGTCCGACATCTCTGACTCAACTGAACTCGATGAGAATGCCAATCAACCATCCTCCCTGCCGAGTGAGACCTCCGCGCCCATTGAACCTCTCGGTAGTCCTGGGCTTAAACTACCTCGCCCTGGGGATGTTCCACCTGCGTCAAGCCGTGCTTTCCTGTACTTTCAACGTGTCTCTGGTCCAGGGAATGTCTTCCCTGCCGGCCTTCGTGCTATCCTCAAGGATTGGCACGATGCACACTCTGAAAAACTGCCTCCGTGCGCCACAAGATCTTGGTCTGCATCACGATTGGGCCGTTTCGTGATATTTGACTGGGATGGTGACGAACTGCAACTTGCTATTTACAAGGTCATCACCCATACAATTTCCACTCCTTACTTCGTCATGGTTCTTCTGTCGGAGAAAGGTCCTGGAGAGCTAGTTGCTCCCACCAGCATTCGCCCCAAGATGACCAACAAGAGTTTGAAAGGCCATTACCTCCTTGCGTGGCTCGGTGACACCCAACAATGGGGCAACGAGGTGTCCGCTGTGAGAGTTCCTATACTCGATGACAGGAAGGTTCGGTTTGACCCCAAAATGTTCGATTACGCGCAGGACAATCCTCTACTTCTACGAGCCATTACCACACCGAAGAAGAACAAGGACTCTTCACCTACAGATTCCGCTGAGCACGCAAACGTCAAGAGTCGTCCCCCACATCTGACCTTTTTGGAGCCTGCACTCTATGCACCTACGCCTAGTCCGATTACACAAGCTTCTGAGGATGACGAGAGACAGTCGCCGCATAAAACGACGGATCAATCTTTCTGGGCTGATCAGACATCAAAGCGCGAACTCAGTGAAGTATCCTCCGACCCTTCCACCATTCGGAATGTGCGACGACGTCTCTTTGCCCCCACCCCCACACCACCTTCGCCCACTACCAAAGCGCGATTCAAGCTCGTATCGGAAACATCCGAGATGACGCGCTGTTTCTCTGTGGAGGATTGCGAGAACGTTGATGTATTTTTCAAAAAAGCACGCGAGTTCTACCGGAGCGCTCGTAAAGCTAGTTCTATGGCTCTTGCGTGTCAGATTCCAGGTGTTGCGGGCATTCGGTATATCGGGGAAGGGTGTCAGGATGAGTTCCGTATCTTGTGCGAGGACATTGACCAGCTCTCTGGCGGAGGTGGCATTCTGGTCATTGATATCAAGCCGGTGCTTTAAATGTGTGTCAGTTGCTGGTGTCTGAAAGAACTGGAGTTGTTCAGGATTGTTGAACAAGATTTGCAAAATTTGGTGGATAGTGTTGATTTACGCACCCTCTCTGTCACAGCGTCAACCTTTGGGGGAGAGCTTGTGAAATATTGATGGAATTTGTACGATACTGAGAAAGGTGAACGTAAAAAGTCTGCTTATTTCAAAATCTTTTATTTGTAGTCTGGTGATATATATACCTGGCGGTAGGTTCAATCTCCGACCCGGGAATAGTCAGTTCTTCCAAGTTAGACATCATCCAGCAAAAATTTTCCCCTTACTTGCATAGTTTTCTTCCAAACCCATCTAAATAAAAGATTTCAAGTCGTTCAACAGTCTGTCCACGGCATATACTTGGATAATCACATGACCGGAGCTGCTGAGTCACCCATCTTGCCGCGTCCTCTTGTGTCTTGAATGTCAAGTCAATCCAAGCAAACCTGTTAGGTACCGACGCTTGGACGCCTGACGCTCTCTTTCTCGGTCCAAGGATGCTGCGACAATAGCCGTGTCAGCTCAATGAATTCACCACCTCCCTCGTTGTCCCCTTTCCCACCACCGATACCCGTCGACACTCACCCGAACCGCTCGAACCCTCCTGAACTAGAGCGAACCCTACCCGACCCCAATCGCCTGGCGCCAGAGGATGCGTACTTTGCGCATTCTATCTCCAGGATCCGCTCGGCGCCTGCGCACTATGAGGACAGTTTCCGAGCCCTGAACGGCGATGCCACGGCCACCGGCATAGCGGCGTTGCGGCCGGAAACTGCCCTGCTCGGTGCGAATCCAAATCACAAGGATATTCGGAGACTGCGAGGGACGAGCGGACGTCGAAGGCGAAAGGGAGCTTGGAAAAAGCTTCTTTGGGTCAAGCAGTCATGTATGTCACTGCCTCTGTTGCCTGATCGATGAATGCTGACGGTCGACCATAGATCCGGATAACTACACCGACACCGAAACTTTTCTAGATCACCTGCAGCGGAACCCTCGGGTCCGCCCTTATGATTTCTGGCCTCTTGTGGCTGATTCCACCGTGATTGTGCAACATGTGTGCTCTGTCGTCATCTTTGTCTGTTGTTTCGTCGGGATCGTCCAAGACAGAGTGAGCCCCGTCTCTATTGTTTGCTGGGGGAGTGTCGGCACTGCAATGGGCTGGACACTGTGGGACAACTGGATCTGGAAAGAGCATGAGGAAGCCTCGCAGGCTACAGATGGCATCGCGGGGGTTGACGACGGCTCCAGCTCGAGTTCGATGACCAGCGCTGCCAACCCGCATGGCAGTCATGCACAGCCGAATGGATCAACCACCAGCCCAATTCATGGACTTGGTCTGACGATGTCTGGCAATGAATCCCGGGAGCAGCTGTCCAGGCCAAACACAGACCTCGGCGGAAACTCTGAAGCAGTGCGGGATGCAACCATACACAACATAGCGCCCTCTGCCTCACCAACCACCATCTTGGGCAGTGCCGAAGCTTCATTGCTCCCAGAAACCACCAGCCGATCATCATTTTTCTCATCTCGCAATCGACAGCGTCTCTCCACCGTCAAATCGGCCTTTCTAATCTATTTTTCCCTGCTCGGACTCAGTCCGATCCTTAAATCGCTGACCAAATCCACTGCGAGCGACTCCATCTGGGCAGTGAGCTGTTGGCTCTTAATCATGAATATTTTCTCCTTCGACTACGGAAGCGGGGAGGGCGCCGACGCCACCAAATTCCCGGCTTCTCTTTCTACCAATGCCGCCGTGATGGCGTCCACGGTGCTCGCGTCCCGTCTTCCGACCACCACCCACGTGTTCAGCCTGATGCTGTTTTCCATAGAAGTCTTTGGATTGTTCCCCATCTTCCGCCGCCAATTGCGCCAAAAGTCCTGGACAGGTCACGCTCTTTTGACCTTCGCCTTGGTGGTTGTTGCTGGAGGTGCCGTGGGCGTCACGCTCAGCGGCGGATGGGCATCAGCCATCATTGGATCCGTGCTGGGGAGCATCCTGGCTGCTCTGGCCATGGGCGGGTGTAGCTGGTGGCTCATCAGCCTGCAGAAATACAAGAATGTGGTCATTGGCCCCTGGGATCCGGCCCGGCCGATTATTCGGCGGCATTGGAACTAGGCTTTCGGCGTACTTCTTCTTTCTTCGCATCTTACCTTTCATGTATAGACCTGGCGTTGTTTCTCGTCTCTGATTTGCTTATACCCCTAGAGCCATTGTACCGTCGAAGATGAACTTATCACATAATGAAATGCGGCTTTTCTTTTCAGGAAATACACTTCGGGCTCGACCGAGACTCGAATACCTAGCGGCCGCCTCAGCATTTTCGTTGCCATTGCAGTGTTTGTATGTGCATTGAACGGGGCATCCAGTGATGCAGAATGGAATGCGGACTAGGCGGGAATGTCTGTGGCGCCGATCTGGCATGCGTGATCTCTAGCCTAGACTGCTTCACACTGTCCAAATTGAGGCCTGAGAGACTGACTCTCAATGTTTCGAATTTCTATGATCTTACCATAGAGAGGCTAGATCGGGATGTTGAAGTTGGTGACCGCATCCATCACATTCCCGCCCTCCGCTTAGGGCTTGTCGTCATGGGCTTCATCCGACCCCAGGCTGTCTTTGCGCATTCTCCACCGCATGAAAGGGATGGGAAGAACAGCGACAAGTACCCAGCTTCTGTGCCAACGATCCGCAATTCAGCCCGTCGCCTATATTCTCTCGGGGAGGCCGCTGGACAGTGCGTAGTGCCCCTAGGGAGCATGACGAGAGCGAAGCACGACGATCATTCTGGTCTTGTTGATCTATATCTACGCCCTCGCTGCTTCTATTTTTTCCGACTTTTTCTTTCTTTTTCTTCTTCCTCTTCTTTCTCTTCGTCCCTTTTCGCGTGCCCGATTCATAGCCTCGGCGCTGGTTTCTTTGCCCTTTTTGATGTTTGGTTCATGCCGTCTTTGTTGACGCGCCTCTCCTTTATCCACTCCTTCCTGTCGCGTGATCGAGTATCACCATGTTGAAGCAGCTTGCTCTCGGCCTACTGGCCGCTCACTGCGCGGCTGGTGCACGCTTTGCCATGTACATTGACCAGTATGTCCTCTCTAATAACCAATTTGCCCGACTACATCTAATACAACATGTAGATACCATACGGTTGACCTTCCAGGATCCAACCAGACAAAGGACATTGACCATGCAATCATGGCCTTTGCCAAAACGACGCTCTTTACCCAGGGCTCGGCGCCTTCGTTCCAGCCCTTTGAGCCGGTTGACACTATGCGCAAGCGCTTTGGTCCCGACACTAAGGTGATGATTGCCATTGGCGGCTGGGGGGACACGGAGGGATTCTCGCAAGGAGCCAAGGATGACGCGTCGCGAGAGCAGTTCGCGAAGAACGTGGCGTCGATGCTGGACTCCAATGGCTTTGACGGCGTTGGTGAGAAATACCGAGTCTATCTCCCCTGTGTCACAAAAGCTAAGAATGCATCACAGATATCGACTGGGAGTATCCGGGCGGTAATGGACAGGACTACAAGCAAAACCCGAACTCGAAGAAGACGGACGAGATCGAGACCTACCCCAAGTTCCTGGCTGCGGTCAAGAAGGCCATTGGTAACAAGACGCTGTCCGTCGCCGTGCCAGGCCGCAAGGTCGACATGATTGCCTTCACCAAGGAGCAGGGACCCAAGATCTGGGACTCTGTCGACATGGTCAACGTTATGAGCTATGACCTGATTAACCGCCGTGACAACGTCACCGGCTTTGCCAGCAGCGTCGAGGGATCTCTGGAGGTTATCCAGAGCTACTTGGATATTGGACTTGACCCAAAAAAGATCAACCTGGGCTTCGCTTACTATGCCAAGTGGTTCACTACCGATAAAGATTCGGACTGTGACAAGGAGCCTATTGGCTGCAAAATGGTCAAGCTTGAGAACGACGACGGAAGCGACAATGGCAAATCTGGCGTGCTTACTTTTGAGAAGAGCTCTATGTCAGCGCCGCCCAAGGACCTGAAGACCAGCACTGATGGCAAGTGCGGTTTCTCTTCGTCTAGCAAGTGCCCCGATGGACAATGCTGCAGCCAGTATGGCAACTGGTATGTTTCTCGTCCACTTACGTCCGTAATCCAAAACTAAATATGCTTTCCAGTGGTTCCGGTGACGACTTCTGCCAGGCGGGATGTCTTTCCGACTACGGCACCTGCAAGGGCATCTCGATCACCGACTCGTGGCGCCGCGCCCAGAAAGACGGCAAGACGGACGATAAGGAGGGCGGCCAGTACTACTATGACGACAAAGTCAACATATTCTGGACCTGGGACACTCCCGACCTGATCGCGCAGAAATACCAGAAGATCGTGGAGGCGAAGAAGTTGGGCGGCGTCATGGCTTGGAGTCTCGGCGAGGATACCCTCAAGTTCGCGCATCTGGATGCCATGCAGCAGGGTATCCAGCAGGTTACTGCCTCGTGAGCTAACTACAGCTCGGTGAAGTGGTGTTATTGAGGGTTGCTTATGGAATAGTCATGGCTGTTTGTTGGAGGCTACTTAATTTCTTGAGGTAACTCCTGATTACATTGTAGTTTGAATGCTTCTTGTTTCTGTTTCTGTATCTGTATTTTGTTCAAAAATAACTTGACACCAAGACATTGGCGTAGGTATCAGGTGTATCGGAAGCAGTAGGTTGCACTATAGACGCCAAAGTCTGGAAAAGCACTGCTTTTCAAATTAAGCAACCCCTTCTCCCTTAGTACCACCCTAAGTCCCTGATTTTCAGTGGACATAAGACACCAGGACAAATGCCTGGTTTTGTGAGATAGTTACTAGACTGTACTGTACATTTGGATTCGAACATTTTATAATCAAATGGATAGCTGTATAATTATACGACCGGCTTTCGGATTGTCTATTAATGGGTTGCGTTCTCAGAAGCCCTGTCCCTGTCTAGGTCCTAGTACAGCGCACCATCGGTCAAGATGATATCCTTCATCAACCCGGTAAATCCCTCTCCGATACGATGCAATGGCGCCTCAACGGCAATAGGCGCCCACGCAAAGCTCTCGCCATTAACCCCGATCCTCGTATTGAACACCATAGTCTTAGACGAGTCTCCCGCATTTGCGACAGTCATGATCGTGTTCGCGCCCTTGCCGATGAGATTCACGCCAGTCCAGGCATTCAGTGGCAGAGTGTAGTTGAGCGAATAGGGATTTCCGCCGCTAATCAGGGTAGTGTTGGAGATGGTGCCGTTGCCGTTGACAAAGGTGGAATCTGGGCCGGCGAATAAAGTGCCCGGCACGTTATTCGTGGGCTTCACGTAAAACGAGAGCGTATAGTCTCGTCCCTTGCTGCCCAGCGGTGTTTCGACGTAGCAGCCATTGTCAAAGTGGACTTGGCCGTTGCGGATCTTGCATCCGTGGACGGTGCCGTCGTAACCATTGCCCGAATGGTCTTTCACCGTCTTCGCGTTGTCTTCTTCAAAGCTATAGTGCAGGATAGTCTTCGTCTTGCTGGGGATACTCCGATCAAGGTTCTGCCCTGGCACTGCGGCGTGCAACTTATCAAAAACACTGTTATACTCCGTCGCGGTGATGTTGCCTCCCCATTGCTTATCAGCGAGTGCGGGTAGGGAATCGCGCCACGAGTAGTACGCCTGCAGGACGGTAGTTGAGTTGGGACCATAGTCATTCCACAGAGCGGCAAGATGTCCGAGCGTACGAGGATTGTTTCTCGACGGGTTGTCCCCAATCAGGGATGTGTCAAATGTCGGGGGTGAGTAAGGCTTGCCGTATGGGTCGTCAAAGATCTTGGTCTGGTTGAGCACCTGCGGGAATGAGCCTGACCATCCACCCACGAGATACAAGTAGTCGTCCGAGTTGAGCACATTGTACCCGTTTTGGATGTAGTCCCAGTAGGGGTGGTCAGCGCTAGTGTCCCAGTGTTGGTAGGATACCGATTTCGAGACGTTACAACCCTCCTTGGGAGTGAAGGTGCCCCAAATGCGCATGGCTTTTTTACCCGACGACTCGGTGCGGATGAAGTCGTTCATCGTGTTCACGAAATACGTGTAGTCCGAAATTAGGCTGCTGTTGTATTCGTCCGCGCCGATGTGCACCGTCTTGCTGTGAAACCACGGCAGGAAGGTCTTCCAGATCGTCTTCATGGTTGGGATCGTGTCTGGATGGCTGATGTTCAACATGCTCAGGTCCCCTAGGCCCAGTTCGGGTTTCCATTGTACGATCACAAGAGCATGGCCCGGAGCCTCAATCTCGGGAATGATGGTAACACCCCGTTGCGCGCACTGGGTCTGGATGTCGTCAAATTCTTCGCGAGTGTAGGACTCGTTGGCACGCTTGTTCAGGCCGGCGACAGCCGGGTCTTCGGACCAGAGGCGAAATGCGGCATAAGTGTCATGCAAGCTGCGCTCCCGCGAGTATAGCTCGACATTGTTATCGATGTTGTCGCTGAGATGCACATGGAATGTGTTCTGCTTGAAGAACGACAGGTACGAGCACATCTCGACCAGGAAATCCGGGGGATAGTAGTGTCGACCGGCATCGAGCTGATGTACCGAGTGAGTTTAAACCAAGTTACTCAGAAACCAGAAATCACCAGGTACTCACCATGACACCGCGAGTGCCCCAACCGGGTGCATCCACTCCAGATCCTTTCGCCAGCGTCGACTTCCCTTCCACCGCGGCCTGGATCACCGATCGTGTTCCCCACCAGGCACCGAGAGGACTGGCACCGGCAACAACCACTCCCTTATCATCCACAGTCAAGGCATATCCTTCGGACGTCCACCGGCCAGCAGCATCGTGGAATCCCGTTTGGTTGGTCAAGGTAATAAAGATCGCGTTGGCTTTGCGCTTCGTGCCATGGGACAACTGCACATCCAGCCCAAAGACCGACTGGAGATCTGCCTGGAAGGTTGCTGCAAACTGCTGCAAGGTCGGAGGGATCCAGGTCTCGCCATTGTGGTCGACCGAGTCCGCATACCGGGAATCGATGACAATGTCCGTCAGCTGCGACAGCGAGTAACTGCCTCCGACCTCAATGAATGGAACCGTGGGGACCGTGTTGAGGCTGGCATGAGCTGTGAATGATCAATTGGTTAGCAAAACAATTTTTTTAGTATTCTTGAAGCATCGTACCTCCCAGCACGCTGCCCAAGACACTGCCCGTGCAGAGAAGAAAGCGATAGAACGACATGATTCTTGTCGATGGGAAGCTAGATCGTGGCGTTCCACGTCATATTTATGGGACGATCGTCCCATGTAACAGTGGCCGTGATCCGAATCGTTCTCCAGAGTCGCATTGGCCAGGAGACCTAGCGCTGCGACCTGAAGGAGGGGGGATCGATAATCGTCTGTCGATCTCGCGCCCTCCGCCAACCAGCATCGTTCGAAATATTCGCGGTAGGGGAAGTGATGATGAAGTTTTGTCTAAGTTGGTGCCTGAAACAATTTTCCGGTTTCGGGTGATTCTGTACGCTTTGATCCGACGGGGTAGATTATACTTCGCATCTATAGGCGAGAGTTGCGATTTTCCTCGGAGGGGCCTCTGCATCTTGAGAAAATTGGACGATCATCACCATTTTACCTTACATTACAATCAAATAATTGATCATCAACCCTCACGACCTCGGCAACTTCCGGATTTCGGCCACAACCGCCGCCGTCACATCCTTTGTAGTCGCCGTTCCACTTAAATCGGGAGTGAGTACGCCACCTTCACACACGGTCTCAACGCATTGCATCAGTTGCCGGGCGGCGTCCTTCTCTCCAAGCCAGTCAAGCATCTCTGCCGCGGTCCAGAACGTCGCCACGGGATTGGCAACTCCCTTGCCAGTAATGTCAAATGCAGAGCCATGAATCGGCTCGAACATACTGGGGTGCTGGCGGGTCGGGTCCAGATTGGAGGTGGGCGCAATGCCAATAGACCCGGCGAGGGCGGCGGCCAAATCGGAAAGGATGTCGGCGTGCTAGAGAAGGGTTAGTTCAGGTAGTCAGCCAAGCATTAAGAAACAAAATAAGAATATAAGGCATCTCTTGGCGAGCAGGGGTGAACTAACCAGATTCGACGCCACAATCGTATCGATCGACGTCGGGTTCAGCACCATCCTGGTCGTCATCGCATCCACCAGCATCTTATCTACCTGCACATCGGGAAACTCGCGCGCAATCTCGACCGCAACCTCATCCCAAAGCACCATCCCATTGCGCTGCGCGTTGCTCTTCGATACGACCGTCAATAGCTTCCGCGGTCGCTTCTGCGCCGTTTCAAATGCGAACCGCATGATGCGCTCCACTCCGTGCCGCGAGAAGATTGCTGTCTCTGTGGCGATCTCCCACGGAAACCCGCGGTGGGATCGTCCGCCCTGGCCGGCATACTCGCCTTCGCTGTTTTCGCGGACGATCACCCAATCCAGGTCGCCCGACTCACAGCGTCGGAGCGGGGATTCCGTGCCGCGAAGGATCCGCGTAGGACGCACGTTCGCGTATTGTTGGAACGGTTGGCAGATGGCCAGTCGGAGACCCCAGAGGGAGATGTGATCTGGGACATCTGGGTACGGGAGTTAGTATCTCGAGTCTCGGATGCTTTTCTTCGCTGTGGACTTACCCGGTGCTCCTACCGCTCCGAACAAGATTGCGTCATGTTTCTTCAGTTCATCGAGGCCACCGTCGGGAATATACTTCCCCGTCTTTCGATACGTCTCGGAACTCCAGTCATAGTGGTGGAACTGCAATTCGAAGGTCTGCAGAGTCTGTGCGAGGGCCTGGAGGGTTTCGATCCCGGCGGCGATGACCTCGGGGCCGATACCGTCCGCGGGGATGGAGGCAATGCTGTAGGTCTTATTTTGGGCAGAGGGAGACATGGTTGAGGAACGTGAAGGCAACCGAGAGGTTGATAAGGTATCATCAATCGGACCAAGCCCGATTTCCCCCACTCACGTGGGGGTCCGCCGAGGCAAGACCCGATATATTACTTACTGGCCACAATAATATACAATAGAACCCTAAATAACAGATTCTTAGATCCTCGGAGCTCAAACGCAACGAATGGGATAGCTATCTACAAATAAGCGTGAAGACCCATCGATCTAAACCAGTCAGTTACCTCGATATACGTAAACCCATAAACCAGGAAAAGATAGCGATAGGAAAATCCAAACCCGAGTTCCTTTGTTATTAAACTTAACAAGGTACGCCGCCACAGTGAAAAGCTAAGAATCGGAGCAACTAAGTGAATCAGAATATTAGTCGCCATCTAGAGACAAACCAGATACAAGGAACTGAGATACCGCCACCTCCCTCTGGGGACTGTGGCCGAGAGGGGCTATATTCGCCACTTCCATAATATTTTGGTGCAGAAAAGACAGACAACTGCGTGATGAAAACAGGCGAGTATGGATAGTCTTGATTGTATAAATGTGGAGTAGCCGAATCGGCTGCTTGGGAAGCAATAGGCATTGGGATGATCTACCGAGGTGACGTCGAACGACGCTTCCCCACTTGAATATAAAAACCCCACCTTCGCCGGGTTTCCGCTTCTTTATTCCACTACATCTTCATTATGACGACCCAGTATCAATTGCCGTTCAAGGTGCGTCAGTGAACTGCAGGGCAATAACTCGGCCAGATCTCCGATTATCATTTCGGCCGCTAATGCCCATTTCTACCAGCTCGCCGATCCAAGTCTGCTCCACTTTGACTCCTTTGTCGGGAATCAATGGGTGCAAGCGAAGAGTGGGCAGCGCTTCGAGGTGCTTGGTATGATCTACGAACTGTAGGAAAACACCGACACTAATAGACCCTACAGACCCCGGCACAGATAAGGCATGGGCTAGCTGCCCAAATAACACAGTAGAGGATGTGGACACCGCCGTGGAAACAGCGCACGCAGCCTTTGAGCAGTTCCGCAAGGCCAGCCCGCGCCAGCGTGCCAAGTGGTTGATGAAATGGCATGATCTGACTCTCGAGGCGCGCGATGACATTGCGCAAATCCTTACGCACGAGACCGGCAAGCCGTTGGCCGAGGCGTATGGGGAAATAGATTATTCGCTAGGATTCCTGTGGTGGTTTTCGGGCGAAGCTGAGCGTATCCAGGGCAGCGTGTCGGTGCCGGCTGCTCCAAACCGGAGACTATTCACTATCAAGCAGCCGATCGGAGTGGCTGCCGCACTAGTGCCGTGGAATTTCCCCGTGGCAATGGTACTACGCAAGGTCGGCGCGGCTATGGCGGCAGGGTGCACTATGGTGGTCAAGCCGAGTCCGGAGACGCCCATTTCGGCACTGGCGCTAGCAGAACTGGCAAAGCGTGCGGGAATTCCGTCCGGAGTGTTCAATGTGATCACTACCGATCTGGACAACACACCACCGCTGAGCGAGGCGTTGTGCAAGCATCCACTGGTCAAAAAGGTCACCTTCACCGGATCTACGCGCGTCGGCAAGCTGGTCGCCTCGCACTGTGCCCAGGGTCTGAAGAAATTGACACTTGAACTCGGAGGGAACTGTCCTTTCCTGGTTTTCGACGATGCCAACCTCGATCAAGCCATCGATCAGCTGATGGTTCTTAAGTGGCGTCATGCCGGACAAGCCTGTATCACTGCAAATCGGGTGTATGTACAAGCCGGCATCTATGACAAGTTCGCCGCGCTGCTCAAGGAGAAGACCGCAGCCCTGGTAGTCGGCCATGGCGCCAAGGCGGGCACGACAATGGGCCCGTTGACCACGCCGCGCAGTATCGAGAAGGCCAATGCTCATGTCGAGGACGCGCGCCGACGTGGAGCAGATGTTTTGCTGGGTGGCAAGCCGTTGACCTCAAGCTCAGGATATTTCTTCGAACCAACCATTCTGTCTGGAATGACGGACGATATGCTCATCTCGCAGGAGGAATCATTTGCACCCATCGCAGCGCTGTATCGATTCGAGACAGAAGAGGAGGCGGTTAAATTGGCTAATGACACCAGCATGGGGCTAGCCAGCTATGCTTTCACAAAGAACATCGACCGTATGTGGCGACTGCTGGAGAATCTGGAGGCCGGAATGATTGGGATGAACACAGGTAGGTTCCTACGAAGCCTTAAGAAAAAGTAACGAAACTGACAAGCTCCATGCAGGGAACCAATCGGCCGCTGAGTCGCCCTTCGGCGGTATCAAGGAGTCTGGGTACGGAAAGGAGAGCGGCAAGGACGTGGCTGTCAACGAGTATTTGGTTACCAAAACGGGCACCTTAACTATCGAGGGCCAGTATTGAGAGTGGTATTAAGATTATGATGGCCAAAATGATAGCAATCAACGTTCCCATCTACTCTCACTCGACTCTTTGTTTACCTTGCTTTCATTCTCCTCCCTCTTTCTTCTTCTCCCCACCAAGTCTTCGTGTCTCTCATATCGCGAGAACTTCCTCACCAGCCACCCGTAGCCCGCTGTCTGTATTCATACAGAACATGCCACCCAGCCCCTCGGATCCGACGAGGAAGCGATCGGCGCTGGAGGAGATCGGAGGTGTCCCGAAAAAACCACTGACTCATCAGCCAAACCCCCCCGAATGGTGACGTTTATCTGACCTGCCCTTGCTTGTGTCATAATTAACTAATCTGTTGATTCCGTAGGCGTCGACGTTGGTCATTTACAGTGATGAGACCAGCGACAAAGAGAATCCAACGAAAGCGGCTCAGGAGAAGATGAGTCGATCTATCTCATCCATGGCGTACGACGATGAGCAAGATGCCATAACAAATGAGAGAGGGTCTAAGTTGCTTGCTGATATGAGAGAGATGAAGCAACTTCAACTGGACCACGGCCGCAAGATAGAGTGCCTCATGTCCGAACGTGAAAATCAAGGCCGCAACATAGAGTGCCTCATGTCCAAACGTGAAAATCAAGGCCGCAAGATAGAGTCCCTCATGTTCGATCGTGAAAATCAAGGTCGCAAGCTAGAATCCCTCATGTTCGAACGTGGAAGTCTTCTCCAGGTTCGCTCGCGAGCCCTCTCGACCTGGGTTCGCGATGCCCTGGGGAAGGATACAGAAAGACGCGTTCAAAAGATCAGAGAACTCAACAAGAACGTGGTTAACGCAGGCAATATTCGGGTGGACGCCTCGGTGGTGCTCGAGCGGTTCAGATCGACTGCGTCCGAGAGAAAAGAGTTCCCCACGCTTTATGGCCTTACCGCTGAAGCCGTCAAAGACCTTGGTATCGGTTACAATCCCTTTGAGTGGACTCTCTTCATATCGCTAACTTCTTCTAGACGCGAACAAGTGCGAGAAGTCTCTGGGAGCCTTGGATGATGCTGCTACTCTTTTGCTGGGCCCGAACAAGGCAGATCTTCCTAAAGATGTAGAGAGCGACCGTAACGCCTTGGTCGCTCTGCTGCTCAAGAAGAAGTACGAAGAGGCCGAGAAGGAAAGCGATACCCTTGTTGCTACGATCGCGTCTTCTGTTGCTGGAAAGGATTCCTAGATGAGTAGAAGTGCTCGGCGGGTGCAGAATAGTGGCGCGGCACAGGCGGTGGTGGGCGGTCAAGCGGCGAGCCGCTCTGGATGGCATGGGTGGAAGGGCCGCCGTTGCTAGACTCAAAAGCGATCATTATCACCCTAAGGATGGATCATCCCTATTACTAGTTAATAACTAGTCTTGAAATAGTTAGTAACTAGTTCTTACCACATTTCGTCTTTCGAGAGTTCTGTGGCTCGTCGATTGATTCTCCTGTCGAGATGCCAGCATGGTGGATCCATGCATAAAAGTTTGTCAGCACTAAACTGCTTTTGTATTTTCACATTTTTGTTATTGTGTGCTTATTTCGCTTACTATGCATTGTGCACTATTAAAGAGATAGCCAGAGTATCCTTAGAATGTCAGACTTCTTCTATCTTGCGGTCATGATATTACTAGTTGGGTAATTTGTGGCGGATCAATTCTCCACCTGGATTCGACATCTCCAGCTCCAACGCCAAGATATACTAGTCTATGTTGGGAATATTCTCGGGAATATCAATATTGCTGTATCAGTATGAATACAGTGACTTGCTCTAATTATAATACATTGCTCTGTATTAGAACTGAATTGGCGAGCCAGGGCAACTAGAATATCCGATAATAATGCAAACAAGTCAAAAAGTAGAGCCTAGAAGGGGCCTCGAGAATCAAGCGAGGTCACTTCCCTCTGCCACTTCTTATATCTAAATGTAGTATGCAGTTTTAGATCTCTTGAGAGTTGATCTTTCTGATCCTAGGAGTCAGAGAATGGCTCCTAGGACATACCATATTCTCCGGTGGCCATCAGATAGCCAAAGATCCGTCTACGTGATAGGCTAGGAACCTCAAGCCATGATCAATAGCTGGTCGCATGGCCGCGATGGTGTGTTACTGTACTGGGTATCGAGCGGGAAAGAAGGGAGGGAACAGAAAGTTCGTGTCATCGTGACCGTTCTATTTGCTTATCTTGTTCTTGTTGATATTGTTGATGTCTATTGCTTCATCCCTTTCTTCCCCTATATCATTGCCTAGTCGCCCTTCTTCGCCCCCTATTTTACTGGCCCCAACTTCTCCACGTCCTGCAACCCCGCCGCGCCTACTTCTTTCCCGTTAACATCGCTAGCACTCCATCACTGTTATTCACGCAACGTGAATCTTACTTCGCTCGCACATCAATACCCTAAGATGCCCGTCACGCTGAAGACTTCCGACAAAGAACCTGTGGCCTGGACAGGCCGGAGATGTGAAAATGCCGAGGATTTCCTCAAAGAAGCATGCGAGGCCGAATACTATCGCTGCAAGCAGGTTCTCCAAAGTTCAATCTCTAGGCTTCCCGTCGCCTCTCAAACTCACATCAGCCCTAGCCCTCACGGCTTTGTGCACGCAGTATGGCATGCTTATTCCGACCACCACAATCTGGTCTTGCGGCCGGAGGACGTGTGGTTTTCCATCCTAGTCCAGCTTAGCTTCTACATCCACGCCCACGCGGAGGAACTGCGGGCGCATTTCGTCGAGCACGAGGGCCAGAAGCACCTTAAAGTAATTGAAGGTGGAACCATCGACTCTGTGGATGTGGGCCAGCTGGCAGTGCAGTTGACAGGGCTCATTCAGCAAAACGTGGTCGACCCTGAGCTTCGCGATTGGATCATGCCCTCTTTCAGTACTACTACCACGACGGACGAGGTTGTCGCTGCCGTGATTATGATGGGAACGATGCAAAAATACTTCTCCTATGAGATGGAGATGACGTGCGGTATTCCGTCGGTGACTTTGCTCGGTGAGAAAGACGACTGGGAACAACTTCAAAGCAGAATCGACAAGATTTCGACGCTCGGCGAAGAGCCAACCTACTTTGCATCTCTTCTGAAACCGGTTCTAGAGAAATTTGTCGCTTCTTTCGACGACTCCCCTTCCCCTGACGTGGTGGACTTCTGGAACCAGTGCGTACACTTCGAATGGATGGGAAGCGGTCCCGACTACCTTTCAGGATGGGTCACGGCTTTCTGCTTTTGGAACACAGAGGGGAAGACACTTTACAGACCCCAGGGCCGAATCGACACGTCGGATATACCAAGTGGATGCGTCAGTGTGCCCGTTCAAGTGAACGATAATGGTTGTGATCTCAAGACCTCGATGGTCGCTGGCATGATTGGTATCGGGGCAAAGTCCGGAGCGAACGCTAAAGTCTCTGATGGAGAACTGGTGAAAGATTCTATCCAGCCGTTCTCTGGATGGTGGATGTTTGAGGAATTGAGCGAGACGGCACTTGCAGAAAAGAAAGAGAAGGAACGTCTGGAGGAAGAAGCGAACAACGAGGAAATGAGAAATGTGCTAAAGGACATTGCGGCAAAGAGGAAAGCGCTGCGGGAATTAGGAGTGTAATCGTGATGGTTGCTAGGCTCACGACTGACCGGAGACTTGAGATAGGATTTCCTTTACACTCTGTAACATATTTGATTAGGTTCCGTTCATGCTCGATAATTGGGCTATAGAGATTGTAATCTACGTAAGAAGCAATAACGTTACAAGTCCAACTGACAAGGGTACTCCGGAAACTCCTAATATAGACTAGCGTGACTTGGCTTTGGAGCCTGGAGAATCAATCGAAGAGGGTAGGTGGTTGCACCCGTTTCGGGACGCACTGTATAGAACTAGTTTTTAACTAGTTATTAATTAGTTTACTTACGCTGTACTTGCGCGTCGAAGTAGTCCGAAATCCTCAGTATGCTCTATGCGTCGCCGGATTTGAGCGAGCTTAGTGAAAAGTGTCTCGTCAGCGTGAAGGTGACCTATTCTAGCACGCTCTGGGTCAAGGAACTCGCAGCGCTTAATACTAGAGCATGTATATCGTTTTTTCTCTGTTGAGCAGCCAAAATACGTATTGAAAACATTTGATGCTGCACCTTTGCCTTTGAACGAGTACTGAATCCATACTAACTAGTTTAGTAACTAGTTAATAAGTAGTTTGGAGGCAGACCCTACCGATTTAAGCACCTCTTTCACCTGGTAGGGCTTAGTGTTTTCGAGGTTCACCACGTATGCGTACCCGGCGTCATGCGTTTGTAGATACTCAGGTAGCAAGGCCACATGCTCAATAGATGCAGCTGATACTGCATGTGTTGATCGGTCTGTCAAGGGCGTCGGAAGAGGGTCAGGGTGCAAAAAAATAGTTAATAACTAGTTAGTGAATAGTTATAGTATTTGTTGATGCTTATATATATTTACCTCGTTTGGGTCGGGAATCGATGAATGACGATCGTGAATACCGCCCTACACTCCGAATTCAAGGGCGTCGTTGGTCGGTTCGGGTATAGGATCAAATCGTATAAGATCATGGATCGTCCGATCCTCATGTTCCTTCCAAATAGGTTGATTACTGTTCGCCATGGTGATAGTAGTGATGGTAAAGACTAGAAAACAGGCCAAAACAGATACAGTATGTGGGTAAAATACCTCGTTACTATGGCATTACAATGATTAATAAGAAAGAATGCGAGATGGGTGCAGTGAGCTGAGAAAAAAAAAGTGTATCTAGGTGTAGCGCCCTCTGGCCCTAGGTGCAGTGACCTGTAATCTGCTTGACAGCGGAGCTACCATGTGGATGCCCTGTCTGTGAGGCCAAAATATATCACGTGGCTGCCGAGCGCCAGCCCGACTGCAATAGATATGCATCTTCCTCCATCCTTTTCACACAATAATGGCTTCCCTAGAACCCCTGCGACATCTAGTGCGATTCCATCCGCTCATCGACAACCACGCCCACAATCTTTTAGACCGCGAATCAGTCACCGACTATGATAGCTATCCTCTCGAAGCCATTACGTCCGAAGCTCACGGTCGGGCTTTGCAAAATTCCCATAAATCTCTGCCATTAATTCGGGCAAGAAGCCAGCTGGCGGAGCTCTATGGCAGTCCCTGCGAAGACTGGGCCGATATCCTGTCGGCCAGGGACCAGTTGATAAAGCAGGACTATGACGGATTGGTCCGCCGGTGCTTACAAGGAACGCACATGCTCTTGCTGGACGATCTTTTAGCCGACGAGGACGTTGAGCCCTTCGACTGGCATGATCGTTTTACTGTTTCAAAAACGAAACGTATCGTCCGCATCGAAGCCGTGGCGGCTTCTCTCATCCGCCAACTTGGCAGTGGTGAGCGCAAGCCCGGCGAAACTGTCTGGGGTATTTTCCGTCAACAATTCCAAAATGCTTTGTCTGAGGCAATGGAGGACCCAGCCGTCGTTGGGTTGAAGTCCGTCGTTTGTTATCGGACAGGTCTGGATATTGATCCTTACTCTTCCGACGACGTCACTCTAGCTGCCTCGCTGGTTCGCACTCTTGATTCGGGTACTACCAAGTCAGGGTATCGGGTCGAAGACAAGCCACTGAATGACTGGTTAGTTCAGCAGACGTTGAAAGCTATCACCTTCCGCAAAAGAAGCGGCATTGTGAAGCCCTTGCAATTCCACACGGGCTTGGGGGACAATGATATCAGCCTTCTCAAAGCCAATCCGGCGTACTTGCAACCGCTTATTGCGCAATATCCTGATGCTGACATTGTGCTGCTGCACTCTGCATATCCTTATACGCGGGATGCAGGTTATCTGGCTTGCGTGTATCCCAACGTGTACCTTGACCTGGGTGAGGTCTTTCCCATGGTCAGTCGCGAGGCGCAGGAGAGAATTTTGCGCGAAAGCCTGGAGATTACACCAACTAGCCGTCTTCTTTGGAGCACAGACGGCCATTTCCACCCAGAGACATTCTGGCTTGCCAATCGACAGTTCCGCCAGGCCCTGGAAACAGTAAGTGGCAAATATTCGCTGGTTTTCTACGGATGGATGCTCATATTCCTGCCTTTGCAGGTTCTTGTGGACTATGTCCAGAACAGGGATTATACTATTTTTCAAGCCATGACGGCCGCTGCCGACATTCTCTTTAACAACTCTAACTGCCTTTACGGACTGAAGCAAACAGCCCAATACACTCCCGACAAGATATCCCAGTTATCACTGACAAAAGAAACCAATTTACCATCTATCTCAAACAAACTCGATCAATTCCTGCTCGCTCATCCAGAGATCGAGTACATCTGGATGCAATGGGTCGACTACACAGCAACACTGCGCGTACGAATGTTCCCAATCCGCGAATTTGCTCGGATCGCTCAATCACAGCGGCGAGTCGGTGTCACACTAGGAGTCCTATGGATGCTACAAGATGACTTTGTCGCACCGGGAGGATCAACCACTGGGCAGTTCTACTTGGAGCCCGACCTCGACAGTCTGTATCCCAACGGGGCTATGACGACCCCGGCAGCACCAAGCGCGACAGTCATGACCTTCTGGCGCTCAGAAACCAATGCCCCGATGGACGAATGCCCGCGGACCACGTTGCAGACTATCGTCAATAAGCTACATGCGGAGCACCAAATTGACATTCTTTGTGGCTTTGAGATTGAAGTAGTATTCTTGCAGCCTGTCGCAACCACTGACGAATCCACCGACAGAGCGACAGCGTACAGGCCAGCGACGGCCAACCACTCCTGGTCACAGATGACTGCCGACACGCGGCGAATGGTCCCAATTCTTGAAGAAGTTGTGCGCACGTTGGCATCTATGGGCATTGAGTTACAGCAATTCCATGCCGAATCAGCGCCTGGCCAGTTCGAATTCATCCTTCCTCCCACCAACCCGCTCAAAGCCGTCGACGCTCTTTTCGCCGCTAGACAAGTTGTTGTAGCTATCGCAGACCGGCATGGTCTGCGAGCTACGCTGCATCCACGGCCAATTCCCGGTAATGCAGGTAGTGCTACCCATGCACATCTTTCTATTCATCCTCCGACGCGCCAAGATTCTTTCCTCGCCGGCATCCTAACTCACTATCCAGCTCTGGTAGCCTTTACACTTGCCCAGGATGCAAGCTATGATCGCGTTAAATCTGGTATCTGGTCAGGCTCTGAATGGGTTGCTTGGGGTTTCCAAAATCGCGAGACTCCTGTTCGCAAGATCGGCCCGGGACACTGGGAGCTCAAGTCGCTGGACGGGTTGGCAAATCCTTACCTGGCTGTTGCTGCTGTTTTGGCTTGTGGCTATTTGGGGTTGAAGGCTGACCTGCCTCTGACGATACAGGATTGTACCGGTATGCCTGTCCTTGTTCTGTCGCTGTCAATACGAAAGCTGCCCTTGAACAAAAGTCCCGCTAATTAAATTATCTTCCAGTCGATCCGTCTACTCTCTCTCAGGCACAACGCACTGCCATTGGGATTACAACACCTCTCCCAACAAGCATTTCCCAGAGTCTCGCGGCTCTCGAAGCAGATGAAGCCCTACAAGAGCTTATTGGTCCGAAACTTGTACAAAATTATTTGATTGTCAAGCGCACCGAGGCAGAACGCTTGAATTCAATGCCCGAGGACCAGCGCCGACTGTGGCTGGTTGAACGATACTAAGATGGTAGCGATTTGCTTATCCACGATATCCACGATAGGCAATATCATTGCATTACACGAGCTCAACTGTGCTAGCTAGCTACTCCGTCACAAGACACAGACATCAATAGCTATGTGTTCATCCTTTCAAGATCTATCCACGCTTAGTCTTCCCATTCGACAAGGATCAAAGGCGTTGTATACAGGGCCACATTATCTCCAACACTATCAGTCTTGGTATAGGTCAGATAGATGCTATTCTCGTCCGCTGGAGAAAGAGCCGGGTTGGCCTGCAGAGTATAGGCACCTAAGGAGTAGTTCCCATTGACCCCTGAATAGAAATGAACAGGTTCAATCCAAGGGCCTTCTGGTGCGGGGGCTGTGGTAATGTAGAAATCTGCCGAAACAGACTCACTTGCCTGTCCAATCCAGACATAGGACTGCCAGGACTCGGAGTAATAGTATGTGCCCTGTCCGCCAGCACTGACGTTGGCTATAGTAGTCGAGTCGTCACCCAATGCGGGCTGCTCAGTTGTCCAGCCTCCACTCACATAGAACTCATACTGCGACTTATCTTCCACACTGCCCACTGGAACACGGGCCAACGCGACATCACCGTTGGAGCCTTTGCCCCAGATATAAGCTGTGTCGTCTTGGACAACACCACCGTAATTTCCGTACGGTATCTCATTCTCAGCCCAGAAGGCTGAGTTCACTATCTCTGCTTGAGGGAGGTTACTGTCACCGGATGTATAAGACACTCGATAAAGAGTGACGGACGGGTCGGCGACGAGGTCCGTCAAACCGGAGATATGATCATTGTCGATCCATGTATATCCGATAGTCGTGCCATTGGACTCGGAGCTTGTCACTAGCGGTGGACTGTTTGCCCAGAGCGGATACCGGGTACCATCTGTACAAGTCCCGGCCTGGTTGCTATCGCAGTTGCCAGGCACAAGAGGGTAGAAGGACATGTCGTTGTTGTTCCCATACATGGTGAGATTTGTGCCACCGCCTGAAATCAGATCGGTCCAAGAGGCGGAGCTTGTGAATAGAGGCAAATCCGGGATGCCGTTTGAATCATAGTGCTGTGAGTCTCGGCATACCCATAGCGCACGATCGCCGAATTGGGCTGAGCCGCAGGAGTCACGGTTTAGAGTGGGGTCGGCCAAAAGCCCGACCACTTGAGCTGTCTTGACTGTAGGGTTATTGACATCACGCTTTTTGGTTGTCGCTACCGTCGCAATGGCTGTCGGGGCCAGAGCCAAGAGATACGTGATATGCATAGTCAAGAGGTGATGGCTTGGAAGAATTCAAAACAAAGTTGGTGGCGGAAGGAGTATCGTCAGCGGCACATGCCTTTCTTATCACATCTACGTCTTCCTGCAATGAAACGTTGGCTGGCAGTGGCGTTAAATTGTCCCTGGCGCCACAGTTCTATGCAGCCGTGAAGAAATGTGGGACCAATCGCAGTTAAATGAAGTTTGATTAAAGGGATCTTTGTCGCCCATCAAACTTCGGTACTGATCATCTCATCCATGCCATTAATATGCATGGTCGACCACATATCTACTGTGTTACTTGAGTAGGAACGGGGCTAGCTTTGTCCAAATGGCCGTCATTACTGCCAATGCGTAAAATTCACGTGCCAGAAACTTAGTGAACAATGATAGTGTATATTTTGCTATTTAGCTACGGATTCTTTCATTCGAAATTATTGTCTGTCATGATAAATGACTCCGCAAACATTATCATGAAAAATGGCCAGTATCGTTAACGTGCTCTTAACAAAAGGAATTCATAAATGATGGGTAGGAAACGAATCCATGTTACCAACAAAGTTCCTGCAGGTGCCTGCTCATTTACTAGCAGTCTCTTCAGGGCTGATTGTTAGGCTTTAGCGAATGTTCGAATTCGGTTCACGGTGAGCAGGGACGCTATGTCATTTTCACTTCTACGCAGCGCTCAGACGCGCAGGAAAGAGTATATTACTATGTCGTTTCACTAATATTTTCTTCTAGACGCTTTTTATCTTAGTCTAACAGTGAGGGGTGTCTGGGCCCCGACTTCTGCCCGATATCACCGCAAAGTCCGGGTTAATTAACAGCGGGGAAGAGCAGCCAAAACTTAGCGATTCGTTCGATCAAGCATCATTATTGTCGATCAGTGGGTCGATGTCTTCTGGAGAGTAAGCCCCACAGGTGCTTCTCGCTTCATCAACAGCCCGAACGACCGCTGACTATTCATCTTTATGTGCCAGTTATGCATTTAGGATTTCAGGTCCAGCGCAGTTCAATCTATTTAACAGAGACGGAGTGACGATGTTTGAGATCCGTCCTAGCAGTATACGCGGGGCAGTACCTCGGCACAAATAATAACTCATGTCAGCACCAATAGTCACCCAGCAACTTGATTTTTTAACGATGCTGGCATGAAATGGTTGCATTAGCAAGTCCAGGGTTGGCTTCTCCATACTAAGTAAGCACTTAGCCTGCGCCACGGTGACTCCGACTGGAGCATGAGGACATACTAACCAATCGAAGTCACCGAGTTCGGTAGCCTCGGATTTTCGTGGTCAATGCGCCGCCGTGCTAGTGTTTCTTTCCCAAAAACTTGGCTTGGGTAGGCTTGGTTCGCCTGGCCTTGCATGCGGGGCCCCAGACTGGACCATCTTCTCTATATCGTCACAAAACGGAAAACCAAGCCACAAAGCCCCTTAAATGGCACACGACCGCACACTCTTAGGCCCCATGGCAGCAGGAACAAAATGTTCAATACCTTTGTTGGAATCGATTCGACAAGAGATCCATCCAATCAACGTCGTTCGATTGTTGCAAAAGCCTGTGTGGAATGCCGACGGCGAAAAACCAAGTGCATTGGGACGCGACCCTGTACTGGCTGTCTTGCCTGTAATGTCGAATGTATTTTCCCCGAGTACCGTCGACGAGGGAGAAAGTTGGTCTTTCTGAAATATTCTAGGGGAGCCATTGGAGCTGACGGAACTAGGAGTCAAAAAGCAGCAGCCACCAACGACTATGAAACAGTTGTCAAGTGTTTATTCCCTAACACCCCAGTTCAGTCACTCAAGAATCTTTCGAAAGAGGCCTTGTTGGAATTGGCGAAATCAGAAAGTGACTATTCGCCAAGTACCGCTCAACACAGTTCCTCCGACGCATCTCCCGATGTCATAATTCCACCAAAACCTAGATCAGTGCCAGACCTAGATGTGAATGTCCGACTTGATCAGCTACAATGCCAAGATTCGTCTATATTCGAATGGGACGAGACTTCGCCTTGGTCTGAGCACTCTGTTGAAGACGATGTGAATGCGCTTTCGTTATCACAGAAAAAAAAGTCTTCTTTCGTTGGCATATCCTCCGTCGCCGCAGCATTGAGGGCTTTGGAAAATGCCGTTCCGGGACAATTCGCCGAGGAAAAGTTAATGCCGTCGAAAAAGTTCAGCGCAAGCCCACTCGAGAGTCAACTGGTCATTGTACCGCAGCCTTCTGTCAATCGCGTTTCCTCATATCATGAAGAGCAACGACTGATTGACGCCTACTTTGCCAATATCCATGTTTTTGCTCCTATAATTCACGAGCCCAGATTTCGCAATAGATACTTGACAAATCAGGGCAGTCAGGATAGATCTTGGCTTGCCCTACTCAACATGGTTCTTGCATTGGGAAGCGTCGCAACCTCTCGTGGTGACTCTGAAGAAGATTTACAATACTACCAATTGGCACAGCGATATCTATCACTTGAAAGCTTTGGGAGCGGTCGTTTGGAAACACTGCAAGCGCTTGTTCTCATGGGAGGAATGTATCTGCATTATCGCAGTCGGCCCAACATGGCCTCTGCAATTATAGGTGCGTGCTATAGAATAGCGAGTGGCCTCGGACTCCATCTTCACGCATCGGAGGATGTTGAAGGAAGGGTTATCCTCGGAGAAGAAGTGAAGCGCAGAAATTGGTGGACTATCTATGTGCTCGATACCTGGGGATCGGTCACACTGGGGCGGCCCTCTGCGATGCTGGGTACCTTGCTTGATCAACCGAAAAATATTCTCGATGACCAGGTATGAGTCACTTTTGTTGAGAATCTTCAACGAGGTTTCTGATAAGATTCAGTTTGGCGAGCTTCCACCGACGGAGCCAACGATTCACTCTCCTCTGATTCATAACGTCCAATTGTGCAAGATCATCAACCAGATCCAGGACCGATTTCTCATTACGCCTGTCCTTGGCGATGAAGAACTGCATGTTTACGATAACATGCTTGTTTCCTGGTTTGAGGACCTCCCACTATTTCTTCGAGTGTCCGATCCTAGCGCTCCCGGCCTCCATGATGCACGGCTAGTGCTCAAATGGAGATACCAGAACATTCGACTGCTCTTGCACCGGCCTCTTCTTCTCGACACCGTCATCAGAAAGATCCAATTTGAGTTTCTTTCACCAAACGAACAATCCATTGTTTCCAAATGCCGACACATAGCAGCGGAGTCGATTTTCAGCATCCAGACCGAGTGGCGCGCAACAAAGATGTGCTGCTGGAATGCGATCTGGTTTCTGTTCCAGGCCTGCCTAATACCATTAATGGCACTAGCAATTGAACCCACTGGAAGCAGTGACTATCAGACGTGGTGCAATCAAGTTCAGATCAGCATTGCGGTTTGCGACGAGATGGCGCAAATGAGCCCCGTAGGCCACAAGACAAAAGCTTTCCTGGAAAAACTATTCCTGGCAATTGTCAAGCCATCACCACAGAACCACCGGTATCATATCAATACAGATGTCCAGGTGCCGTTGGATACTGTCGTGGAACTTTTGATGGGTGATTGGGATCATGTCAATGCGTACGATGCATTTTCGCAGTACAACACACCTGACATGTCATCCCTCGAAGAGCCCTTCTTCCTTCAGCCATATAACTAGACGCTTGATTTGACCAGGAGACTTCGGAAGGACTGTTTTCGAAGGGTTGTGTCCTCTTGTCTGCTTTCGATTGCAAGCACCATTTTCGTGATTTTTTACTTCTTAATAGAATCCAACCCTGTTTCTACACCGCCATAGAACGAGTATGCACCTCGGCTCCTGACGGGGCTGCAGGAGCGGTTACATGACCATATAGTGAGATCTGCAGGAAACTTGGAGTAAAGGGACGAATCCTTGATTTTCGCTCACCTTTCATTCATTGGGTAAATGGATAGTCTTCTCCGCATCCCGGAAAAGGAATACCCCGAGCATCCAGGTTGTGGTCTGGACTTAGCATGTTATGGTTACCCCTCTCTTGACAATACATGATCCTGGCTATGATGCATAGTTCTGGTCTTATAAATAAGGGTGCGATTAACCGGCTGTTCCCCGATCTCCAGAAACTCTACGAGTCGAAATCAAAAACCATGTGGTTGCGAAACCTTGTAGTCCTCGGATGGTTGGGTTACCCCGATTTAATCGCTGGGAGACCTTTGGAGACTGCGAGTAGCGATAATAGTCCTATTGTGGACTTAGGATACGCTAAATATGAAGGCACCTTTTTGGATGTCGGCGTTAACCAGTTTTTGGGCATGCGATATGCCGCTCCGCCTCTGGGGAATTTGAGATGGAGAGAACCCGAAGATCCCGTTCATGAAGGCGGAGTACAGCCTGCCAAAGAGGTACACATATTCTCAAATGTTTAGTCTTCTTTATAAGATCTCTGCTTTATGCTCATGGTTCACCTTAATCCACAGTTTGCACCCACCTGTGTTGGAACCGCTGGCGTCGGACCAGGTTTAAGCAACACTACGAATGAGGATTGTCTGTTCCTGGACATCTTTACACCAAGCAATGCCACTCCCAATTCTAAACTACCCGTCTGGTTTTTCATCCAGGGCGGTGGCTATGCTGGGGATACAGACCAGAACTTCAACGGAACAGAGGTTGTCTCCAAATCAAATTCAAGTATGGTATTTGTTCAGATCAACTACCGGGTCGGGGCGTTTGGATTTTTGGCCAGTGAGAGGATCCGTGAAAACGGGGATCTGAATGTTGGGCTACTCGATCAGCAGAAAGCTTTGCAATGGACACAAAAATACATTCATCTGGTACGTCCTTATCAAGGCTTCAATACACAGGTAACCACACTAACATAGCTCAACAGTTTGGAGGAGACCCAGATCATGTTGTCATTCATGGTGATTCAGCCGGTGGTGGCTCAATCGCCTATCATCTAACCGCCTATGGGGGTGAGCGTGAAAAGCTCTTCGTAGGCGCGATAGCAGAATCACCGTTTCTTCCTACCCACCGAACGGTGGCTGAGTCGGAGTTTCAATTTGCCCGTTTCGTAGCAAATGTCAGCTGTGAAAACGACGCAGATGCGATGTCGTGTCTGCGATCGAAAGACACAGCAACTCTTCAGTCCGCAGATGTGGCATCTCGTTTTCCCGGAACAGAGGAAACGCCCCTTTGGTACTTCCTGCCCGTGATTGACGGAACATTCTCTCCAGACTATCTCTACACTCTTTTTGAACAAGGAAGGGTGGCGAGGGTACCAGTTATGGTCGGTGATGATAACAACGAGGGAACGGCGTTTAGCCCTAATGCTAGCACGTCCTCGGAATTTTTGGAATTTATGCAGGCCAATTACCCTCGACTGACACCAGCTGATCTTCAACTCATCAAAAAAATGTACCCACCTGGGCAACATCTGCCTCTCCACGCAAGTTATTTCCCCCCAACTGCAAAAGCTTACGGAGAATCAACGTTTACCTGTCCTGGGATTGAGATTGCCAGATCGCTTGCGACTTATCACTCTTCCATGAAGACCTGGAGCTACCGATATAATGTCTGGGATGCTGACGACGAATTGGTAGGTCTCGGAGTGCCACATGTGTCTGAGAAGCCAGCTATTTATGGCCCGGGGAATGCGGGAGCTTGCGATGATTGCTCGTATCTGACCTACAACGCGCCAATGGTTCCTATTGTTATGGACTACTGGATCAGCTTTATTCTAACCCTGGATCCAAACACGTACCGACACTTTACAGCTCCAGAGTGGAAGCCGTGGGGACCGCATGGCAGTCAGCGATTGAGATTCCAGCTGAACGCAACAGCTATGGAATCCGTGCCCAATGATCAAACGCAGCGATGCGCCATCTGGAAGAGCTTAGCCCAGACTATGCAGCAATAGTCTTTCAGGAGGAGGATTCTTGCAGAAACCCGCTAGTCTGGCAATTCGTCGAGACAGCAAAGGATTTGGCATGCATCAAATGTCACGAGGACAAGTAAATATCAATTCGTTAAACCAGAATCAAATAGTTTCCTTTGAATGAACGCTCGTTTAGTTTCGGGGGCTGCGATCTCAACTGGAACTTTTCTGGTCTCTCTATCGACTGCTTGATCAAGGATTTGTTTCTACAGACAGTATATGATACTAAATTTGAATTCGCGATCTTATATGCATGCACAGATGTATACCAAATGCTTTTCTCATGTTCATAGGTATAAGCCAAAAGTCAAATATAGTCATATATGTGGATTTGTTCCATTCGCGTCGTGTGTATATCGCCTGAACCCAGAAAACACCAAGTCCAGGCCGCTCCGAACAACCCAAAGCACAAAACAAGGGAAATAGAAAATGCCGGTCGTAGCTTCTCGTATATCCAACTCTCGACCGGATGCAATGCGAATCACAGATGAAGGAAATTTGCGGGGATAAGGTGGGAGACATGGTTGAAAACAAAAAATAACAAATCGTTTGCGTCTGTCAGAGATGAATATGTCGACTATGTTTGCGAGAACATGACCAGAAATAATCACTCGGCAGACCAATGAAGAGACGTCGTATCATGAAGAGGAATGTATCCGTGATGACCAACGAAACATGAGAAATGGGTGAGGAGCGGTGGATATGTATCCCAATATTGCATTTGTTGGGAAAAGAGAATGGCAATGGGAGGTATGTGCGAAGGGACAGTCAGTCATGAATCACATCTCAGCAAACGAGGGAATGACTAGGTCTGCCGGTGCAAGAGCGAGGGGAGGCGAATGGAATAAAGAGCAAGCAGAATAAAAGCATCTCGAAATCACAAAAAAAAAGCCTCACGGGTTCAATGCACTCGTTTGCGCTCTTTCACCAGACCGTCCTTCTCCCACTCCTCCAGCAGGCGAGCCACCTCCTTGAAGGAGACAGGTTTCGTCAGGAATAGATCGACACCCGAGGCCAAAGCCTCAGACTCATCGCGCGAGCTACTGAGTCCTGTCAAGGCGATGATAATAGTCGGCCCATAGCCATCACGATCGCGCTCCAGCGAGCGAATGGCGCGTGTGGCCTCGAACCCGTTCATGACAGGCATGGACATGTCCATGAAGATGATATCGTAACCATTCGGCATCTGTTCGACGGCTTCGACGGCCTGCTTGCCGTTCTCGGCAGCATCCAACTCGGTCAGCCTGCGCTTCCGCATGAAGGTCATCATCAGGTTGAGGTTGATGCGGTTGTCGTCGACGACAAGGACACGCGCCAGACGCTGGGAGGCAATGGACCCTTCGGCTAAAGGTGGTGGTAGGGGAGCCGCGGCGACTATTTCTGGTGGTGCGGTGATCACGGACGGGCTGTCTGGGCTTCGCTCCTCGGCAGATATGGGACCAGTCCCGATAATCTCGCCACGTTCTGTGCGTAGAGTGGGAGGCGAGGAGACGGCCAGAAGAGTAGTGGCAGACTCATCGGCAACACCGGACCCGACGGTTGACGACGCAGTTGACGTTCGGATCGGCAGGTCCATGGAATCCTGAAGAATCGACGAAGTAACAGGCTCGGGCTGCAGACGGTGCAGGCACTTTAGAATGCTCCGGGCCAGCTTGTGTGGCCCACAAGGACGACAGATGATATCGACGGAGGAGGCAAGGGGGGTCCATTCGGAGCGCACCGTGCTGTAATCCACCGACCTTTGGCAATAGATAAGCAGACCCGATAAAGTCGACGTCGGGGGGCGGCATGAACGAAGTGCGGGTAGATCCTGCTCTTCTATCAAGAGCACATCAATGGATTGGTGAGATGGCCATGAGACAAGTTCGAAGCCAAACCAGTCGGTGAGGTATCGGACAATCTCATCCCAGTTGGAATCCGATGCGTGAGTAGGATCAACGCCCCAGATAGCGGCCCGTTTGCCAGGGTACCCTTCTCGGAGCAAATCGGTCTGCGTAAGCGTTTCCTTCTGATTCATTAGAGGCCCCTGAGGTTCGATGGGCGGGCTCTCTTCGCCAACCGGGCGGGCCAGTGGCAGAGACACCCGTACAACAGTACCTTCACCAGGACGGCTGCGAATGCGAACGCTTCCATTGAGGGCTTTGACGAGGCTCCGAACAATGGACAAGCCAAGGCCTGTGCCTACAGCCAGCGAGTCCTCCTGAGCAAAAGGGGTATAGAGTCGCCCCCGAAGGAACTCCTCCGAGATGCCCTTGCCCGTATCGGCGATAGTCAACGTGACCAAGTCCTCCAAGCCTTGCCGCCGAGAACGGCCCTCAGAATGGCCCTGTGCCTCCAGGCGAACCGAAACCCGACCAGCATCTGTGTACTTCATGGCATTGCCAAAAACATTCATAATGATACGACGTAAAGCACCGGGCTGGGTACGGTAGATCCAGTTGTGATTTGCCACATCAATGATCACTTCCACATTGGACTTCGGCGCCGGTGTTTTCGCGGCGTTGTGTGCCATCATCACGGGTTGATCGGCCGAAGCGGTAGAACTCTGACCGTAAGCGTGACCGAGGCAAATGCCTTCCACCACTTCTTCGGCCAGGACAGCGAGGTCTGTCACAACGTAGGAGTCCAGATGGGCAGCCAACCTATCTGTCCCTTTGAAATCAAGCGGAGTTTCCTTTCTGCGCTTCATCGATTGCCACGTCCGTTCGAGCGAGACTACTTTGCTGAAGTCGAGGACTTGGTTCATCGTATCCAACAACGTCCTGCCACAAGCATTGACGGTCTCGAGCAAGGACTCCTGGAATTCATTCATATCGGTGCCATATAGAAACTCGGCTGCGGCCAGAATCCCATGAAGCGGGCTTCGAAGTTCATGCCTAAGGCTGCGGTCAGTAAAGATCGTTGGCGCAAAATTAGAGAAGCAAAAACTTACGAAATGCTTCCAATAAAGTCGCCCTTTTGGCGATCAGCAATAAGTGACTCTACCCGACTATACTCGGCCATGATGGAAGACCCAAAGCCGAGAACAGAACTCAACTCCACGGCAGAAGTGAAGACCTGTGTCTCCGTGGTACTCCAACAGAAACAACCAGCAAACCACTGCGAGGTGGCTGCGTTCCACAACGGAACGAACATGATCTGAGCGGCGTTGGGGAAAAACTTATTGAGCACTGAATTTTCCGCCGCTTTTCGTCGCCGTTTGACGGGCTTCGATACCTCAATGGTCGGGAGAGCACCTCCAGAGTGTGATCTGTTACTGCTAGCAGTTGGCGAGCCTCTATGAAGCACATTCTGGTCGTCGTCATCAGATGTCGAGATCAGACCGTCCCGATGAAAAGACCACAGCTTGCCCTTTGGGTAGCGCCGAAGAAGCGTTTGTAGAAATGACCGATCAAGGTTGGCGGCTGGGCAAGAGGCTGTAGAACCGGCACGCGGAGCAAATGGATCGTCATAAGTCGACATTGATAAGATAGGCGCAGGGCCGCCCGAGTCACTGGAGCAATCACTCCCGTGATCGCTTTCCAGGATGGGGGAACTATTCGCTTCCAGGAAAATGACCCCGCCGTCTCGGCTTAAATCAAGACTCTCGCGAAGCAGGTTTGCAGCCCGCCGGAAACACCAGGAATTGCCATGGGAGTCATCTGGAGGTAGCTGGTTTCGGCTACTGCCGGTTAACCACTCCGGGAGAGAGCCTATCATATAATCGGAGGAGCCGCCTCCAGTCTCCATTTTCGAGACAGAAGCTCCAGAGCTCTGAGATCGTGAGTCGTTGCTGAGTGACCGGTCATTGGCCGGACTGTGAGATGGAATCTGAGATGCATTTCCGAGGCTGTTCTCGCGTGAGCCACCGGAAAAACTGATGCGCTGGTTCGTCGATCGGTGAGAGGTCGATGGGTGAGTGGTTGAAGGAGGAACGGAGCTGCCAGCGCGAGACGGATCGAAGCTATCCACAAAACTCGAACTGCCCTCGACGAAAAAGGCAAGACCACGGGACAGCCGAGCGGCGCGCCGACCCTCGGAGGCTTGGCGGCTGACTTTGAAATAATCCATCACGAGCGACGCCACGGACCCCAAAGTATCCTGTTCCAAGGTCGTCAATCCCTTGCGAGGCTCCGAGCTCAGAACGCAAAAACATCCCAAGTTGATGTTATTCTCGGTTGTCAACGGGACTCCGGCGTAGAATTTAAAGTGCGGGTCGTTCTCAACAAACGGAAGGTGCTTGAAGCGCGCATGCTGGCTCATGTCGTTGACCGTCAGGAAGTGATGCTGCGCATTTTGGCGATCGGAGGTAGGCAGCGCGACAGTATCCTGAATTATGGGCCAAGCCTTGCTACTGTCCGTGGATCCCAGCCAGAATCCATCGTCGTGGTCACGGATGGCGGTTTCGTTGAGGTTGAGGGATGGTGTAGCTTCGGCCAGTACGTATTGTGCGTCGCGGTCTAACACGCAGATGAGAGCCCGGTCCGCATTCAGACGAAGCGCGGCCAGCTGTGCGAAAGATGCCAGGGTATTATTCGAGGTGCCGAGGATCAACGCCTCCGGACCGCTCGCGGTGGACGGCTGCGAAGTCGCGCTGCTGTTAGAGTTGGCCGAGCCATCCGCACTCAGGGTACGGACGGTGCTTGCGGGGTCGGATGAGGCTAAATCATCAGCTCCCGGTGGCAGCCAGGACGGGGCAAGGGATTCCTGCAACTGAGGCTGGTAGTAGCGATACAGCTCTCTCACCCTACGGTCGTCGGTGTGCGCCTGGTGCGTGTGCGATCGAGTAGTAGTCTCCATGATTTGCCGCTAGCCCCGGAGTAGTTAGGATGCAGTCCGGCATCCTCAGACTCCAGATATCAAAGGTATCAAAGGTCGGGAAGGGAAGGGGCGCGGTCAACTTGTGGGAGGAAAGGAGGTTGAAATTCGCGATTGTCCACGCACAAAAAGGGAGCAAGAGCGGGCGGAAATGCGCAAGTTTGACACTTGCTCCGTGAGCTAACAATGTGGGCAGCGACCCAAGGGAACCGGTGGAATCTTGTTCCAGAACTGCACAGTGGTTCTCGGACTGGATAGGTAGAGTCCAAGGAATGTGCAGAGTTAGTCGCCAGAAGAGAAGAATCCCACAAAGAACGATGCGATCGTCTGTCAGGTGGGGAGAGAGGCACACAAGCCCCATCTTGGAGAAAGACTCCGGACATGGTGATTAGGGGAGGATCGACCGGGCCAATTACCCTCTTTGTTCGGGCGTGCCCGACCGGTGTATTGATCCTTGGGCGTGGAGTCGTCGAGGATGTGGACGATGTCGTGTGTGGCGGTACCTGGCGGTACCTGGATGGCAGAAGCCACACCGTCAGCATTGGCTGGGAATTTCGTGGTGGGCGCTGGCTGTGGACGCCCTGGAGCAAGGGCTTCATGGGTATTGCCAATCAGCGTGAATGTGGAGCCCTGCGAAACACCGCGGTGGCTTAAGGCTGGTGGGGACGAAACATTATTTCCAGAGCTCCAGGAGATCGCCCGTGCTAGTGGGTGCGGTGGCGGTGGCAAGATCCGATGTACCGGCAAGTACACGTTCGTGCTCGTAAATGCCGCACCAGATGACTAGGGCAAATGCCCTCTGCCCACGTGATTCGGTTAGGGGTCTCCCTGTAACGAGAGCGAGTAGATTTCTAACCTCGGCCATCCCCCGAGGTGAAGGGGTTGGATTGAATATGTACATGCGCTACACGTAGACTTAAAGCCGCTCCATCAGCCGCTTCCGGACCGTCCACATGCGAGCCCGCTTGCCATATATATACATGGGGATCGACATAAGCAGACAGAACAGCTGGACCCCCCCGATCGCCAAAAACACAGTGCGCGAGCCATCCGCTTCCAACCAGTCCACAATAAAGAGAGAAAAGACCAGGCCGTGGAGCACGTCTAAGGACAAGCGGTGGGTTAGCGAAGGTGATCAAGAGACGTGCAAGCAAAGAGGGAAACTCACTCTTGCTGAAGCTCAGTGTCACCAGTGCCTCGCCGGCATACTGGCGGTAGCTATCGACGCAAAAAGTGATGGCGGTCGTGCTGCCGAGACAGCAGCCGAACGAAATTAGCCCGAAGAAGAGCGTCGGCACAATCCACGCGTCGTGATTCTGGCTACTCCACCCAAAAGCCATCAGGCCGGTGGTGGTCGACAGGCCGATGGGCAGAGCCATCACGAGACGGAACTCGGGCTCGTAGATGCCGCCATTGCGCTTGGTCATGTACCGTACCACAATATCCGATACCTTGCCTGCCACCGCGGTGCCGAGCAGACCGCCCACAAAGGGTGAGATGTAGAGCAGACCCGTCTGGAGAGGAGTGAAGTTGTAGGTGCTCTTGGACTCGAAGATGGTCGCGATAGATTCCGAGATGACGATCAGCCAGCCGACGGAGAGCGCATACACCACGGCCGACCATAGGACCGCTGGGTAGGCGAACAATACAAACGGCCGCACGGCGACCTTGAGCCACTTGTCGCGCGCGATTCTCCCATTCCACACCTTCAATGTCTGGGTGTACGGTATCTTGGCACGTTCGCGCAGCCGGTTGGTGTACTGTAGAGTGGCAGTCATCGGGACTCCAGGCTCCATCGAGTCGCTACGCGCAGGTGAAACTGCGGTACGACGAAAAGCTTCCAGATCATCTGGATGCGCCGAGGGTGCGGCAGTTGGGGAAGGGATTTGTAGAAGAGCATCGGGCTTCTCTGTAGCCGAGGTCATGACAGATGGGGCCGCTGGGGTCATAGTTGGAGTCATAGCTGAAGTGGTGGGCTCAGTGATAATCTGATCACCAGTCTCATTTCCGGGAACACCGTTAACCTTCTCGTTCTCCAGGCCTTGTCTCTCACTTTCGGGCTCATTGGGGATGCCAAAATGAGCATGCTTGGACGTCTTTGGGGATGTGACGCTGGCTGAATCATCATCAGGCTTATTAGATTGGTCGGGAATCTGTACACGGGGACGCCCTCGATAAAGTCCATGAGACATAATGTCGGACACCCTGCGGAGCGGATGCGGGCGTTTGTGGGAACGCCGTGGTCGAGGTGTGCGGTCCCAGAAAGTCTCCGGGACGAAGAAAAACAGCAAGACCAAACATCCACCAACCACCATGGCTACAATCCAAAACACCCAGCGCCACCCGAGGCTTTCGATAATGGCGGCACTGACCAACGGGATGAGATTCTTGCCGCCCAGCAGCAATAGCGTGTATATACCAACTCGATACGCTCGTTCATGCAAGAAGTAAATCTCGGCAATGGTGGCCGACGGAAGACACTCGACGGGGCTGACCGCAATTCCCTGGAAGATGCGTGCAATCACCAAACTGGGGTAGTTTGGGGATGCGGCGCACCAGAGGGCCGAGATGATAAAGAGCGTCGCTCCCAGGAGATAGATGGGCCGCTTTCCGAAAAGAATGGCAGTGGGAGACATGATTACCGAGCCAATACCCAAACCCAACATGTAAAGACCGGTGGTGAATGCCACCTTTTGGGTACTAACATTGTACGCCGCTGCAACTTCGTTGAACCCAGCCGCCAGGACGGGGGTCATGCCTCCTCCCACAAGACAATAGAATCCCAAGGAGAGCAACGCGGCGTCTCGACGCCACACGGGCCAGTTTAACGGGTCATTTACCGAGTCATCCGGCTGGGGTTCAAGGATAATCTCTCCATTAGGCGTTCTTTTCTGCACTGGTTGTTGGGGGCCGCGGGAAGAAGAGCGGGAAGGCGGGTTGAACGACGGAATGGATGAAGCCGACGTCCGCGCGGGTTGATGTCTCATGCCCAACGGTTCATTGCGATTCGCTGACAGAAGCAGGACCGTTCCTAGATGGATGAACCAACGGTTAGCTGCGGTCTCGTGTGGTGACCACGGTCATCCTGGATCAGCAATTTACCCGGTACTTCATCCGTCTGTTTGTCGCTGAGAATTCCAAGGGTCGACTTGGAACGATAAGCGTACTCCGAGCTGGACTCGGACACGACCTTGGGCTTTCCTCCAAAGATTCTCCTCCAGCGCGGTGCCGCCGCAGCAGGCTGCGGCGGGGTATCAGGCGATGGCTTCTCCGTCGGTGGTTCCATCTGGACTGAGCAGTGAAAATGGGTGATATTGCTCAGGGATTATGAAACAAGCAGGCTACGGAAGTTCTTGTCAGTCACCGCATAGCTTAGAGCGAAACACCTTGGGGGAAAGAGGTGGTGGGTCAAGGAACGGGGCACGTACGTCTCTAATATATATGATCAAGAAAGATTCCGTTACCCAGTCTAAAACGGTGAATCGAGCGAGTCAATAGTAATAGCAAAAGATCAAGTTCCCCGGGCTGTAAGAGGCAGGATGCAGCTGTCGAAAATGCAATCACCGCTTGCGATAGAAACCCAACAGGGGCAACTGGACGGCGGCACTGTGCGGCATAGCTTGATGGCACTGGCAAGCAGACAGGTGTCGAAATGGGTTTCAGCAGAGAGAGAAAGCCATCACTCCTAAAAGTCATGCGCTTGTCCGCAAGCAACATCCGGGATCGACGGTCGCCCCATGTGGCCAAAGGCGGTGAGTGAGACCCTCGTGGGGCTCCTTCCTTCTACACGCACCGCTCATTATTATTACACGCCGTCCGATGATGATTATAGACTCGCGCGATATGCGTTGTCGGAGTGCCTTCCTCCTGTCCAGTCATAGCCAGGTGATCATCCTTGGAGATAAGCCCCGTCATGCATGCGCCCGTTAGCTCTCGCACGGCCCACATGCGGTGAAGCGACACTTCCTCGGCGGAATGCAGCATTCCTGCGACCTGAGACACTCCGAGCCGTGATGCTTATTGCGGTCCCGGCTCAGATGACTCCCTGTCGTCATCCTGCAGTATTTAATCGCGGGGGAAGGGATCTCACTGTCACCCCCGGATTATCGTGGTGCCCCTGTCGTCATCCCAGCTGATCTCACGCTGCCGATCTATACGCCTATTCTCGGCGATGTCCAGGTTGGGCATACCGTTGATGCGAATCGTCTCCTCCACTCTACCAGAGGGCTTGGGCTGTGGTCGGAATGACCTGGCAGTAGGTTTTAACTTCGGCTCTGCCATTCCTGCACCGTCATCCCGGCAAGTCCACGCGCAAGTCGTGGGGAAGAATACCCGTCAACTGAGGAGATTCTGCCCGTGCGTGTTCTAATTAAACTTCGGTACCATTTTCATCGGAATCTACTGGCAACCTAAAGTTACGTTGAAGACGTACACATCGAGAGCCAACCGACTATTCCACTATGATAAGGGAAGCTAGAGCAAGAGTTAAACAAGTATCGATGAGTATCGCGCCTTTTACTCCATCTATGACACCAAGTATGAACTTACCTGCCCATCTGCCTTCCAGATGTTAGGCATCGCCCCGTCAGATTTGCATGAAATGGCACCAAAACTGCCCCGCTTCGATGAAGTCTGAATATGGAAAATGTAACGTCTGAACCTGAGGCAAACAAGTGAGAGTCATGTGACCCCCCAGCACACGGATAATTCTCGCTGGAATTCGGTTTCTTCTTCCGCCTTGAAACCTTCTCATTGTACCTCGCTCCCAGGCTCGTTCCTTGTCAAGCAGGACGGGTTCGTGGATCAGACAAAGATAGTACTGTAAGAAATGCTCGTCCGAAGGTGTCCTGTCGATCACGCACATGGCGGCATGGGTCATCCCTGGTCGCTATCGAAATGCTATTCTCGGCAGTTCATTCCTTCGCGCGGGTATTCCTTACAGTACTGACTCTGTTTGATCCATGATCCTATATAGCTGCACAGGGGATACAAGGAACGATTGCTTGGGTGCGAGGTACAACGTGTTCAAACCTGGTCTCAGGGAGACCAGCTGGGGCGCATAGAAGGCTCATGGGGAAAGGTGTGCACTTCGTTAACCCGAAACTCATAATGTCTACCTCAAATCATTTGCCGTTTTCCGAGAAAGTTCTGTAAAATGCACTCATCAGATGCAACAAAATATCCTCGCACCCGCTTCTCGCCAAAGCGAAAAAGCCATAAGGCTGACCATTCTTCTTCAGCTTGCCCAGGGGCATGGTTGCAATGGGCCACCCCGCACATGCAGCGAACGAAACCAGGGTTGAGTCCGAGGGACCAAGCACAATATCGATGCTGTGCTCCTCCATCCATTTCTCCATCCCATCCACAGAGGCCAACCGCCGGAGCTGGGAGATTGCGGATGCATAGGATTCGGGAGACATCGTGCTCTTTAAGGAAGCGATGACTTCTGTTTGCGTGGTCCCCGCTATGTGAAGATCTGTTAAGAGGACTGTCGAGTCAGATCAATAATAGAGAAGGACTAACGTTTCAAGCGCTCCGTCTCGTCGTGCTTCTTGTTCCACTCTATTATATCCTCAAGAGTCTGGAGCTGAGGGTCGGGCCAAAAGTTCAGCAGAAAATCTTGAACTTGACCCGGAAATTCGCAGTCTGTCATTGTTTGTTGGAGCTATGGTCAGCTTCAAATTGTAGACTTGCGCTTAGCATATTGTACTTACTCGCCACTTCCCGGATGCCATGGCCATCGTGCTTTAGAATCTTGGCCTCCGGTATCTGTAGCGGGTAGACCAATCGAGCTCCATGGGCTTTGATTTTCTCTGTAGCCGCCTCGTATGTCGCTTTCTAGTTCCATCATTGGTTCGGGCAACTCAAGAATAATGGGAAGACGGAGACATCACTTACCACGTCGGGCAAATCCCATTTCCCCTTCGAGATGCCGTCATCTATCCCCCATTTGATACCAACCACGCCAAGACGGAGTCCCGTCCAGGAGGTTCCCATGATGGAATTGTAACCTTCTCTAGGAATCCTGTCAAAGGCTTGAGGGGCTAGAAGCACTTCGGTAAGTGCAGCCAGATCGTATGGGTCTCGCGCCATAACCCCTACGCCATCGAAGCTTGAACTAAGCTTGAACACACCATCGAGGGCGGTGGAAGCCGGCGTGATCTTCATGCCATACAGCCCATTCACACTTGCGGGATAGACGTTCGAGCCCGCTGTCTCGGTGCCAATTGCAAGAGGAGCGAACCCGGCAGCTATGCTAACTGCGGAGCCGGACGAGGAGCCGCCCGGAGTCTACATCGGTAATCAGCGTCTTGCATACAACTCAGCTGTAACCCAGGAAAGCTCACTGGCTGTTCATCCTCGTTAAGGCCTTCCTGACGATAGGGAGATAGAGTTTGGCCACCTTGGGCACTCCAGCCAACGGCCGTGGTGTCAGACCTGATGTGTCAGTGAGGAAACATGCACCAGTCGCTGTATTGGCTCACTTCAACCCGCAAAACTCCTAGATTCTAGTGAGCAATAAGACTTCAGCTTGAGACGATGCGTTTGAGACATACCGTCATGTTTGCTTTCGCAAGGATAATCATCCCCGCATCAATCAGCTTATATTGCTTAGCCAGATTCAACCAGCCTTGGAGTATCATGGACCAGAAAGTCATACCTTGGTGATCACCGACGCATTCCTCCTTGCCTTGAGGCTGGCAAACACATGCGACCCTACCGTTGTGGGCATGCCTAGCGATTCGTCGGTAACAATCGCATCCTAGGGAAAGAGTGAGGAAAGTGAGACATGGCCTGGATGTATCCATGTGCTAGATCCTTTACCTTGACGACAACGGGGATCCCATGCAGCTTGCTCTGTACATAGCCAAGTCGTCGTTGTTCGTCAAGCCATCTGGCTCGGGTCAACGCGATATCTTTGGGACAAGTCGAGATGATGGCGTGGAGTCCTCGTCCCTGATGATTATGGTGCTCGATTTCTGCTAGGAAGGCTTCCACCAGCTGGACACTGGTGATCTCATTGTGAGTTAATTTTCTCTGTAGTTCATGGGCGGGCAGAAAAAGTAGGGGATCGGTCGGGGGATGCATTGTTTCTGGTGTTGTTATAAGACGCCGGGGAAATAATAACTACTAGGCGGGGATTTTAATTTACTCGAGTTACAACATGACCCCCCTTCCCCCAGGCTATTTATCTTTGATTGTTGACCAGGCGCACTGATTATTATATTTCGTTGCCTATTGTCGGAAATGAGGGTATCATACCAAATCTGGCCCCCTAATTACGATGTAGCCTGGTTTGGCTTATACGATTGGGTTTGTGTATTTAAGTTGCCTGTCATTTTAATCCTCTACAGGATTAGCGAAGAAGGGATTTATTAACTCTTCGTTTGGACTTCTATGTTGGGACGCCATACATGCTCAGATCTTGACATCTCTCTCTATATATATATTCATCCAGCCACGAATCCACCTGACACGCCTTAATCAAGATATGTATACAGCCGGCACGTCTATTATTGGCATCTACGGTGCAAGACCATTTTAATCCATCTCACACCAGGCAATAATGCCTGCATTGGGCTCATTCATCCCAGAACAAACAAACAATGCTGACTGTTTCCGGTGGGGGGTCACGTGGCTGCCCCTATGCAGAAACCGACCAGCAGCAACGTTCGGAACTCTCTGAGCCACGCAGTACGCAATTTATTATCTTCTAATAGTTTCTGCTCCCTGCTTGTTTTGTTTAATTACCTTCTGCATTCCTTACCCTCGATTTCTCGCACTCGATTCCAGCTGACCGCAGATCTGCTTGTGGCAACTTTCTTCCCTGGCACAACCTTCAAGGGTCCAACCCTCCTTTTCGCCTGCGCCGAACACCAAACATCGCTGTCTGTCACTCGTTCTGCGGTGGCCGCCGCTCCTCAGCATGAAATTTCACTTCTCATCCCCGTTAATCCTCCTCCTCCTTCCCGCCATCACCACCGCACTCACCGACGCCACCTCAAAAAACGACCTCACACAAAATTCCCACGGCTCCCGTGATGACTACAACTCAAACGCCCGCCTCGTCGACTCGGATGCGTCAGGTGTAGCAGGATCTGCTTCCAAGGGGACGCTGGACGTCCCGGTGGACGGCAAGGACGGCAGGCCTCATGCCGGTCCGTGGGTGGAAACGAGCGCGGAGCGAGACCGCAAAAGCTCCAAGGGAACCAGCGACGGTTCGGATCTGAGTTCGTCGAAATATGACTCCAAACTCCCCTCGTCCGGCCATCTCACGGAAGATGGAAAGGTGATCCCGCATTCCAACGGCGGCGTGATGGATGACCCCCATCGAACTGGACCGAAGGAGGGCACGCGCGGTATGGAAGGTGGCGTGTCGGAGAAGGAGAAGGAAAATCAATTGTCGTCCGAAAAGGTACCGGGCGGACCGAAGGAAGCGCCTCCGCTGCCACACAGTGAGCAGAAGAAGATGCCATCGGACAGCGAAAGCACAGATGGAACCGGGACTGGAAATCGCGGAGTCCTAGAGGTATGTTGAATTACTCCTCTATTGGTGGATCACACTAACATCGTTCTAGAAACCGGCCGACCTGCCCGAGACGCCATATGATATCCCACACCCCAAGTCGCCTTCCTCGATCAAAGACGATCCTCTGGCTGTCGACCATGGCAACTATGGCACCGGATCCTCCTCATCCTCGTCCTCCACTACCTATGACAAGGACGCTACTATCCCTGACGCCGGTACCGCGCTTCACTCCCTCGTCTTTTCCTTCACCATGATCATCGTTTCCGAAATTGGCGACAAGACGTTCCTGGTCGCTGCCCTGATGGCGATGAGGCACCCGCGGTTGGTCGTGTTTTCGGCTGCCTTCAGCGCTCTGATCGCCATGACCATTCTCTCGGCTGTTCTGGGCCACGCCGTTCCCACGCTGATTCCGAAGTCATTCACGAAACTCATGGCGGCCGCGCTGTTCCTCGTTTTCGCCGTGAAAATGTTCAAGGAAGGACGCGAGATGTCCCCCGACGAGGGCGTGGGAGAAGAGATGCGCGAGGTCGAGCAGGAACTGGAGGAGAAGGAACATCAGCAGATGAGGATGGGCCGGCGCCGCTCCTCTATCACGCCCTATAATCTCGAAGCAGGCCGCGCGCCCAAGCCGCGTGGATCCACGAACCGACTTCCTTCCCCTCCGGAGAGTGTATCGTCATCCTCATCTCGTGGCTCTTCCCCCCACCCCAACCGCCGCTGGAATAACCTCGTCGTGGGGGTGAATAACCTCTTGTCCCTCCTCCTCAGTCCGGCCTGGGTGCAGACCTTCGTCATGACTTTCCTCGGCGAATGGGGCGACCGCAGCCAAATCGCCACCATCGCCATGGCCGCCGGCCAGGATTACTGGTGGGTTACCATCGGCGCGATCACCGGCCATGGCATATGTACTGCCGCCGCTGTGATCGGCGGGCGCGCCATCGCGGGGCGTGTCAGTATGCGTGTTGGTATGTTTCTACTCGCCTGCCTAATATGTTCTTGCAAGCTAACCAGATTACAGTGACTCTCGGCGGTGCGACGGCGTTCCTCGTTTTCGGCATCATCTACCTGTTAGAGGGTCTCTATTAGAAGCATGGCTCATTTCGGCAGTCGGAATGTGTTCCTGGCATCTCTGTTTGTAGTAACTGGCGGCTGCTCTGCGAGTAAAAGTTGAGCACCATCTCTTAATGATATAATCCTGCGCATCTGGTTTTCAACGGCCAGAGCATGTATACGTCCCTTTATGAACGTAGTATGGAAGCACCTGGGGAGGAAGAATGAGTCTGTATCATTCCAGCAGACCCATTATGATTCGCTACAAGTCATGACCTTCGGTTCGCTCTCTCAATCGCGAAAGTCTGAAACCCGTTGAGGTACCGTGCTCACTATTCTGCCAGCAGTTAGCACTTCCACCACTCAAATGGCCTTAAGGTGGGCGGTACATCTTGAATAGAAACGTGATGAAGAAAGGTACTGATGGGAAGGGAAGCCATAACCATTCGTACTACTTCCAAATAGGAAATCTAACCCCAACACCCTAAACCCTAGTGAAGATCATGGCCCAATCATGACTAGCGCATTGCAACATTGTTGTTCCATCCCGATGTCCTAGGGTTCAGCCTCTCCCCCAACCAAAACATCACGTCTAACCCCCTGTTGTCCTTCTCATCTTCGCCCATCATAAAAGCGTTCTCCCGTCTCTTACTTTTTAGTTTTTTTACTTCTCTCTTCAAGGAGAATACGTCAGGGCGTTGGAGAGGCTGTCGCACTCCCCGGACGCAGCGTGACGCGCTGTTGCTGACTGACCGCCCGACAGCGCGACCGCTTACTTAGCGCGAACCAAACAGTGCAAATCGTCCAGATGATGCCGAGCACTCCTCCACGCCGGAGGACTCGCAGTCAGAGCCGTGAGCTCGAGTCCTATGGCCATGTTGCGAACAAGCCTGTCTCCCCGGCTGCTCAGCGAGCGCTGCTCAAGGGGAAATCCACCGCCAGTCGTGAGTTTTCCTGGTTCTCTTATTTGTCTTGCGCGGAAGCATACCTCTACTGTTGTATTCTGCCGAAAGATGTCTTTCCTGTTGGCTGCTTATACAGTCCACTTCCCTGTCACTTTCACCGGCTACTTCTGCCTCATGATTGAACCAGTGGCAGCTGACACTCTCCAGGACTGAGTATGGTATCAGAAGAGACCCTAGGCAGCTCTCGCAAAACACCCAGCTCAAATACACGCAACTCTGTGGTGCCTGAGTCGCCGGGTATGCATGAGGGACACACCAATATTTCCGGCACCACGATCCTGCCTCTAGATTCTCAGGACAATGAACTCGAGCCCATCTTGATGGTAGACGAGCTTCCAGATCTCCAACGCGCTGCGACCAATGTCATGGATCTTCTGGTTCCCCGCGCCGCGAAACCAATAAGCATATTCAATGCGGCGGCAGAGTCTCTCAAAGACGACGGGGCTACCACCCAGGGTAAGCGGGTCAGCCGAGCAGTCGGTAAGCTTGAGAGCCAAGACAAGGTCTTTCCTCGGCAGACGTATATCGATGTCGATCGGATCAACCGCTTGCTACCGTCTGTCTCCATTCAAGGGGCTGCGCAGCCTTGGACGCCGTTGCCGATGCTATACAAGGCCAACTGTGCATGGCTGGCGCGCGATGTGCTCTACGCGATTGTCGGAAAGCAGTCGCAGATGCAAGTTGTGCGAAATTTAGAGGGTCAGTTCCCTGCTCCATTCATGAATAAGGTCGTCGTGGCGGGTCCCCAATCGAGGCCGCTCGGAGCGAGTGCGGCCGACAAAGACACCTTTGATCTCGCTCTTCAGATTCGGACGCTGTTTTTTGTCATGGAGCTGGAGAAACGGCAACATGAGAAGGATTTCGACCCCCTCTCCATTCTCAAGGGGATGTTCTATGATGAGCTTGCTCTCGAGGGCGAAGACTCGCAATTGGACCCTTCGTCATTCCGTGGATTCAATCTTCCTGGTATTTACCAAGACCAGAATGGATGTCTCCCAGAGCGGTTCCAGGAAGCAGTCGAAGAGAGGTTCAGTGAACTGGAGGATAGTCTCTTTGACAACGAGGGCCTTCCGAATATCCGGGAGCTGAAAGCGGCCTATCCTTGGAAGCGATTTGTTCTGCAAGTCATCCGTTGGATCATCAAACGGGATGACGAAATCAGAGAGGATCTACAAGCACTTCCAGCTGTCGACGATGTGCGTGAAACTCTCGAAAGGGCGTTTCAAGACCAGATCCGTCCGCGCGCTTTTGCAACGCCTAGCCGGCTTTCAGAGTCGGTTGCCTCTGAGCGCCGCCCTCGCCAATCCCTCGGCCAACAGAGCCAAGCCACTTCAAGTGGCCAACGGGTGATCACAGAATCACCGGTAGTGTCTAGAGACTTTGGAGTAACTGCATCTCCAGCATTTCGGCAATCTGTTGGACAAGAGAGTCCCACCAGACCGACTGTCGGTCTGATGGACCGAAAGCGACGGCAGTCCTCAAAAAACGTGGGTCGACAGTTTCTCAACCAAGATTCTATGAGTCTCATGGAACGGCGCGAACAGGCTCGACAACGGAAAGAACTGAGCACTCTCGAATCCCAACCCCCAGCCTCGTCCTCAGCAGCCAACTCAAGATTGACGGACTCGTTCAACTATCCTGAGGAGACACTGTCTTCCGGCCGAGCAGAGATCCCTCAATCTCCCGAGCCACCAGCCCATCGACAGTATCGAGACGACGATGTTGACGAAGTAGACCTCACTGGTCGCCAGCAGCACGAGATTATGGAGTCGAACAGCCCTCCAGGCTCCGCCCGAATCAACCAAGTTAGCCACACGTCTGTTCCTGGTCGGTTCTTCGATTCGCCACAGGCAGCTTCTTCACGGCGGGTGGCAGGACCGTCAAATGACGAGGTGCTTCGACTCATGAATGAACCCACCCCCCGACCCGGACCATCCTCGCGTGCGGCCTTCATCGATCGTCAATCCAACGCGGAGAGGGTGTCTCCGATCAGCCACGATACCGACGTTTGGAGCGCAGAGCGACGACGCGATCAAGCAGAGCCGTTGGCAACGCGAAAGCGGCCTCGACAAGAATCCCCCGACGATGACGAGGGTTCTAACGACGACTTTGATCAGGACGATCGCCAGATCGACACCGCCGAGCGGCGCGCACAGAAGCCCCCACAGCGATCTCACCCGGTTGAGAAGCGCCCGCGCTTCAGCTCTGAGACTGACGCAGCAAACACCCAGTTGCAGCAGTCTTTGAATGTTTTCAGCCACACCTCTCATCCTACAGCACCTCAGCCTGTCGGCTCTCACTCTGCTGCCTCTAGACCTGCGGGTCCGAGCCGAATAACCGCTTTACAAATGTCTCAGTCCGAAGTCTCCAACCCAACCCCGGCTCCAATAGGCCCATGGGCAACCAGCGTGTTTACTTCTCGCTCAGACCAAGACGGTCGGCAGAGGCCCAAAAAGACTTACTCTCAAGAGGAAGATGAGCGCCTCATTTTTCTCATCGGGAAGTATGGCAAACGCTGGTCCGTGATTGAAAAAGAGGACAGCTTCTGTCCTGTCGACGAGGGCGGGCCCAAGTTAAAGGGCCGCAACCAGGTTAGTCTCAAAGATCGGGCGCGTAATTTGAGGGCCATATTCGATAGGTATGTATGCGCATTGGTGGTTACTCGGTTGATATGTTGTGATTGGATTCGTTTGCTGATTGTCATTGCTACAGGGAAGGGCGACCACTTCCCAAGAATTTCGATCAAATCGCCCCTGCGCACCCAAAACGCAAATAGCTTTCTCTGCTTTCTTTCTCTGCTTTTTAATTATGTTTCGCCATACCCGGGGACAAACCATGCCAAGGATGGGATGAGATGGGAGCTGCCAGTGTCTAAATTTTTTTGGGAGGGGGTGTTACTTTGCGCACATAAGATACTGCTTTTGTAAATTATACCTCTACTTTGATCGCAAGCATAAATACCGTCTTCCGAGTCAAATATAAAGTAGAAGCGTGGTGCCATTCACCCACCCATTCACTCGTCCCATCCATCAAAGGACCGAATCAGATCATAGTAAAGCATCATCCCCTCGAGATGAACATCCAGCCGAATGCGCTCGTCCACGGTGTGGATGTTGGCGGCGCCGCCAACCCGAGACGGACTCCAGCGGTAGATATTGCGCGAGAGCGGCCAGTAGAAGCGCGTGTCAGTGTTTCCAGTCATGACATCGCCCGTGACCACGACCGTCGGCTTCTTCTTGGAAGAAGAGGAAAGCGGGTTCGGGTGCGACTCGAAGACGGAGCGAGTGACGCCCGCGAAATGGGCCCAGGTCTTCGAGGAGAGCGGGTCCGTCGGCGAGATCGGGGCGGGCATGAGAGGCACACTGAGCGAAGAGAGCGTGAGGGTGCGTTCGGGCTCAGCAGGGTCGTCATCCAGCAACGAGTGACGGAGCGTCTGCTTTAGGTCTGGGAAGTCAAGCTGCACGGTGAGATTGTGCGACTCGGCGATAGGGCTGATGATGCGCAGGGCGCGGTCGACCAGCTCGTCCGGCGTCTGGTGCAGCGCAACGCGGTAGTTGACCGTCGCGGAGATCTTCTCGGGCAGGGCGTTGGTCTTGACGCCACCGCGGATGAGGTCTGCGGCCTGCGACGTCTGCAGCAAGTAGCGCACCGCAGCGCCGCGCGACGAGGCGACCGCCTCGCCCAGCGCGGCGGCGTCTCCGGCTGCCAGCTTGTCAGCTAGCCAGGGCTCAACGCGCTCCGGCGAGTAGCGTGCCTGGCACTCAAGCATGCCGTGGGCCGGGTGCGCTTCATGCAGCCACGGCGAGAAGAGTTCCTGGCGCTCCAGGCTATACAGAATCTCGGCCATGATGCCGATCCCCGTGTGCGCGGGCGGGACGGAGCTGTGTCCACCAGGAACGGCCATCTCCATAACCAGATCGATAGAGCCTTTCTCGCCGACTCCGGGGAGCGCATAAACCACCTCATCGTCACCCGCCAGACTCTGCAAGCCCATCCCACCCTCATCGAGGACGAACTCGAAGCTATCCTTACCATACCGCTCCTCCAGCACCGAGGAAAGAGCTCCCGCGCCGAGGAACCCGTGCGACTCCTCGTCGTAGCCAAAGGCCAGCACGACGGTGCGCTGCGGTGCCCAGTCCTGCTCGAGCAGTTCCTCCACCACGGACAGCAGCCCGATCAGCACGTTCTTGCAGTCGCTTGCGCCGCGGCCCCAGATCCACTCGCCATCGAAGATGCCCGCAAAGGGCGGGTGTGTCCAGTCTGAGGGATCGTCGATGGGGACGACATCCTGGTGTGCCATGAAGAGGAGCGGCTTGGCTGCTGTGTCGCTGCCCTGCAGCGTGAAGAGTAGGCCGAGGCGATTGACGTGCTCTACCTTGGCCCGAGAGTGACTATATCCTCCATTATCAGACACAAGAACAGATATAAGTAATTGGGGGGTTAGACATACACAAGAGGAAAGGTCTCCTCCAGATATTCCTGGAATTCGACGAACGGCTCAAAGGCCGGGTCGTATGGGTCGACCATATAGTCGGAGATAGCGGTAGGGGCCTGGACAGCCCGCGAGAGACGCTTGGCCTGTCGCGAGCGGAACGCCGCATCGGACAGAAAGAGACTAGCATCGTGCAGGCCGTCGTTGGGAGCGGCGACTTTGGCAGCCTGCGGACAGGTTTCCCGCGCGGAGAAGTCGGTGAAAGCGCCGAGGATCTGTTGCGTGTCGGGAATAGTTAGGGCTAGTGTGGTGGATGCCACGCCGAGGAAGGGGAGGAGGGATTTCATAATGGGCGTCGATTGTCGTACAACAATAATAACCTCCTCGTAGGTAACTACTGCGTGCAACTAAATAGTAATAGTAAAAGTAGTGGCGGTGCGTGCCTATCTTATCTCTCTCTTCCCCTCTCTCATCGCCCTCGGCTGACGGACTTTGCCGACTCCAACACTTACCGGATGAGGCAGGTGATGGCCTCTGCTCGGCAAGTTCAATTGACACTTACATGGATCTACAGATCACTTTGAATAGACAATGGTTTATTGTATATATACAGTGTTGTGTAGTGACAATAGGGTTGGTAGAAAAATAAATGGGAACCAAGGGCCAAGCCCAGCTTCAACCGTGGATCCTCGATTGTATAGACCCGAGATGCAAAATGAAAATGAACGGTGAACTCTCACGCACGCCCCAGACCCGCGGGAAGGCATATATCACCTATGCAATACAGCAATATAGAGTACACTGGAACAATATAGTAGTACAACCCGCAAGAGAAGACCAAGGTCTCACAGCAGCAACCCCAACGCCGCAAATGCAATCCCTATCACCGACGAACCGGCGCGGACTGTATCCGCTGCATTGGCCGGTGTCACTGTGGTCGTTGCCCTGGAGGATGACGTAGCCAGCGTTAACGAAGCCGCCGCGGAGCCGGACGCAGCGGCAGCTGTTGTTTTTGCGGTAGCGGGTGCTGTGAGGATATTGCTGGCTGCCGTGGCTGTGGCGCCCGTGGGAGCGACGACAATCCCGCCTGCAGCAGTCGAAGCGCTGATGGGGTCATTATTGGCCATGCCACTTTCTGGGTTGCCGGTTGAGAAAATACTCCAGGCGTCGTGGCCGCCACCTGAGAAGTCAGTCAGTTTCTTCGTCTCTGCTTGTTTTTGTTCGAGCCAGGGAACAGATGAACGGCCTACATTTATCTTCGGGCCATCCCGCACAGGCGATATTGCACTTGCTGTCCTTGACCTGCTTGTCTTTTGGGGGCATTTCATGTCCGCACCAGCAATCGGTTCCCTTGCTCAGTGCCGCGACGGTAAAGTGGCCCTTCCGGCATTGGGCCTGGCAGTAACCCGGGGATTGAAAATTGTAGCTGCCCTGGCTTTGGAGGGCACCAGGGTCGGAGAAGCACTGGCTGTCGAATTCAGAGGTAGCGAGGGTTGCGGCAGGGAGGGAGAGGGAGAAAGCGAGAGCAAGGAGGGCACGTTGGAGATGCATAGTTGGTGTTGTATGAAACGATTGAACGAGTTAATTTTGATAACAAAGCGAGAGGCGTCGTGTTTCCGACAGAGAAAAAGGGAGCGAAAGACAATGATAAAAGTGAGTCGTGACCATCCCAAAAGTCGTTACCAGTATCACATTTTAAAGAAACCCTAAAGAATTTCCAGCCACTCAAAGGGGGAAGGGACCGGACCGACGTCATGATTATTGACCGACGCCAAAGAGCATCCATATTCGGGGGATCGACTCCTCTATTGAAGTGCCCTGCGGTTCGTCATTGGACAATGGGACCCTCTGCGTCGCCATCGATCGGCACGATCACCGCCATCCCCGGGCTCGGGTTCGCAGGTGTGAAACGGGTCCTTGCTTCATGTTTGCGAGTTGGATCAGGATGCGCGGATCTTGACAGGTTGAACGGGTGTTTGGTCCACATGGCGTTCCAGCCTGGGGGAGCTGATTCGAGGTATCGTTATGTAGCCCGTTTATTCGTTACGCGGGATGCTTTGCGGATACTTGGTGGATGCTTTGCGGGATGGATGGTTGATTGATTGGTTGGCTGCTCGTCCCATGTTTCAATTATTCTACCCTTGAAGTTAAAGTTGAAGGTGTTGGAAGTTGTCATCAGGGGTAACGGCGGAAGTGGCGCAGAAGTCAGCCTGGCCCTAACGAAACTACAACCTACACCGCTGGATTCAAGACAAAGACAAATCGGAGATCCTGTACCGCCGGATTCAACCGGCATCTGCATGTGTCTACTATATAGATAAGACAGAGACAGAGAAAGTCTATCTCCAAAAAAGAAGAGGATAGGGAGAAAAGGGAGAGCGGAAACGCCAGAACCTCTCCAAACCAACACGCTCTCAGAGCCGTGCCGTGTCACACATCATCATCACCAGGATCTACAACCGAAAGAGATGAACAATCAACCGCATGGAGGTCGCTGGAACGAACGACGGTCTCTCAATGGCGATGGGTATCAGAGACCATGATAAAAGGATATTACCAGATCGGGAACCATCAAAAGCGAGCGTAAAGTCTCCAGTGCGCTGTCTTCTTTTCTGCCTGCACGGGGCGGGCATAAGAACAGATGGCACATGGAATAGTAAAAAAAAAATCCACAAGAAACGAAAGTGTTGTCGGTAGGCGAGACTCCTTACGACTGGTTCAAGAGGAGGGGACCGAAAGTGCCGCCCGCGGCGGGGCGAGCGATGAAATGGATTCCATCCGGGTAGCTAGAAAAACTTCTGTTAGCAAGAGTATTTATTAGAGGGAAGATGGAGGGGAAATGGCGACTCACTCTCCCGAGATCGTGTCGTACAAGTCCGTCAAGGCCATATTGGTCGGCGTCTCATTGACCCAGTTAACGAGGTGGTCGATGAACATGGTCTGGGTTGAGCCGCTGGCAATAGCGGCGGCAAGGGATTGCCAGTCAAGCTTGGTGTAGGTGTGGCGTGTATCCAGAGGCACGCCGTACTCGTTCACGACAGTTGGGTAGAAAGCGCTCTGCATATTGTACACGGACTTGGGCACGAGGTTCAGGCCCAGTTGGGCGTCGGCGTAGAGATTGTACAGGATGCCTGCCGGAGTCGGTAAGTACTTGAATGCATCACAGGACCAAAAAAAAAGAGAAAGAAAGACAGAGAGTTGTTATCTTACCATGGCTGGTCCAGTTGTTATAGTTCAGAGTCGTGTGCGGTGGGTTCGCGTTCTTGTTAATAGCCAGGTTCTGCCACTTGGCGATGTAGCTGTGCGCAATGCTGGAATAGTTGGCAGCATCAGCCTTGTTACCGGTCAGCTTGGCAATTTCCGACATGGCCTGGATGCCAATCATGCCCTTGAGAGCCAGGTTGGTTTGGTTGCTACATAGATAGAATGCATGTCAGACATAGTTCGTCCCGGGGGAACGGTTACTCACGCTAGGGCGCCGGCAAAGTCATCGGTCGAGATCTGGTTGGCTGGGTACAGCGCGTCGTCCACTAGATAGCCGGTCCACTGCTGCAGCAGGTCGTAGTGCTGGGTCAAATAACTCGTGTCCGAGGCCTTCTGGGCATACGCCAGACTCATGATGACCATGTTTCCACACTCCTCCAGCGGCATCTTCTCGTCGTTGCCGAGAGGGTGTCCCGTAGCGTTAGGGTAACTGGATCCCATGTCGTGCATGGACCAGGCGTTGGGGTAGTCGCCGGCCTCCTGGTTCTCGTACAGCGGTTCCATCACAAGCTTGAGTAGATCCGGGTTGGAGTATAGGAATGCAGGATAGGCCGGGAAAATGATGTCGACCGTGTTCACGTTGCCATCGGATGAAATCTCCTTTAGGAAGAGGTACATCTTCTCCGGGGTGCCGCAGAGCTGTGTGGAACCAAACACCTGGCGAGCTGAGAGAGATGGGAGCACTGCATAGTCCTGGCTGATCGCGTCGGCCGAATCCTGGGCAACCTGGCTATCAAAGGCACTAGAAATTGCGCTGGCAGTGTTGTAGTCCTTATAGAAGAAGGACAGTGCAGCAAGATCACTGCTAAAGTAGCTCGTCCACAGCGACGGGACGGGATTGTATCCCGAGGTGCCGTTGAACTGAACCGCGTTGTCCTGGCACAGGCCAATGGTGAACAGCGTGCTAACGGGGTGGGAGCCGACAGAGCCCAGATTGGCGGTAAACCCGAACACGGGCCAGTCATCACTGATGGCACGGTAGTTCTTGTTCTGGGAGTTCGTGAGCACGCCGTTCGACGCGAACTGGCCACGCACAACCGTGTCCTGGCCGGACTGGAAGGTCACGCCCTTGGCCGCGTCGGTGGCATAGTACCAGTTACCCCATTCACCCTGCTGGTCGACCTCGGAGAACTCCAACTGAGTCTGGCGGTACACCTTATGATAGCCAATGCCGTTGACGGTACCGTAGTCCCACTGGGCAATGGCACTGCGATCTCCTGAAATCCATTCTAGCACCAAAAGTCAGCTTGTTGGTCAATTTTCCAGCCATAAGAAGCACTTACCAGCTGAGATGTCCGAGTAAACTTGCACTTGGTGGTGTTTGCCATCTAGAGAAGAAACCTCCACATCCATATACGAGAAGATCAGCGACTGGCGCTTCAGATCATTGGGCGTCAACGGTGACAGGAAGGTAATCTTCATTTCAACCTGGTCCTCCACATTCATGGTGAAGATGCTCTTAGAGGAAGTATACTCGAAAGCTGTCTGGTTGACGGTAGTCGAGCCAGGAAGGCCCATCCAGGTGTACGTGTTGTTATCAACACGGATCATACCACACCAGCCAGTGATCTGATTCCTGCGCAAAGATAAATCAACCACTGTGTTTTTGATCTGAACACCGAACAAAAGACCACTTACTGCCAAAATGTAGGCCATTGACCAGCCAGATAGCCGCCATTCCCACCGTCAGTCCCGGCATCTTGCCAGGTGCTCAGATACGGCGACTTCACAGCCAACGGCAACGAAGGTGGCCGTGCTGGAGAGAAGGTAGACTGGGCCGCAATAGCCCCCACAAGGGAGGAGACCAGCAGGCTGAGGTGAGACAGCTGCATGGTGGATGGTCGGTTGTTGTTGAGACGAGAGGAAACACGACCAGGAGATTTCACAACATGGGACTCTTGCCCTGGTTTTAATTAAAAGCCCCCAACGAAAGCGAAACAAGAGCTAGGTCTAGCAATGCAGGCAATGCAGGTGTTAGTTGGCACTGACCCCTAGGGTTATGTTACGACGGCGGGCTAGGGATAACTAGTCGACGGGGGGGCCGAAAAGAAAAGAAAAAATAGAACAAAAACAAGCAGGCGAGGAAAAGGGATCGACAGGAGGGCGGTTGTTTACTGGAATGCCAGGGACATTTTTATACTTGAGGGCCGACGAGAGGAGAAGAGAGAGAGACACGGGCCCTCTGAACAACCACCTGGAGGGATCCGCATGCCAGAAGATACACTACTTTAGCGCGCGACTGGGCACACGTTGATCGCGAATGCAGGAGATGCGGCCAGGAAAGTTCCGAGACCACGTCCGGCTGACTCTGCTGGGCCGATGCACTGCACATGCCGGTCTCTGCTTGGCCATATGGCAAGGGGATGCGATGTCGGAGTGAGGGGGGATCCTACACGGGGGCATCTCACGAGATGAGATGAGTCGAGACGGGGAGATTTAGTTGGGTGCTGGAACAAGCATCGCGCGGATCGACAGAGGCTGTGGCCCTCGTGGACACATTGACCCGAGATGGTTGCAGGGATGGGAGTGGCTAGGGCCAGAGGAGAGACGCGGTTGGTTAAACGAGCGACATTAGTGCGAGAGAGAGAGCGAGCGGAGATTTGCTCGAGATGGTTGTAGACAGTTCTGTCACGGCACCACTATTAATCAAATGAAAAAGTCCGGGGGCGATCAGGAAGGTGCCATCGTGAAGCGGCCCAGTGGACTGATCTGGGCTAGCTGGACAGCCAGTCCGGACAGCGTGATAGCCACTGGAGCGTCGGATGTGTCGAGTGACGGGCTACGGAGAATCTGCGGGGAAGATCAGCGGAGGAGGAAGTTGTAACTAGTCCTAGTATTGGATGGACTGTGTATGTATATGGTTAGGGCAAGTGGGTTAGAGTCGCAGATACAGTGGATACACCAGAATATGGGGCGGAGGGCTGAGATATACAGCAAGCCCCCTTGCTTACTGCCCCATCTCGGTGGACCGGGACCTGGAGCGTGGATCGAGTGGCAAGGCAGGATGGACAGGGGAAAATGGACAATCCCGACGATCACGGAGAATACAACCACTGGTTCAGGAGACCCCAAAATGTGGTTTCCACCACTCCCCGAGAGTGATGCCGGGTCTAGTCTCGTCTAGCCATTGCTTGTCTGTTCTATGTTTGTATCAAGATAACGTTCAACCGGCCCACTTGATTATTGACTATTGCCTCCCCCTTGCCGGGATTATACTGGAACAAGCTGGTAGCTCAGTCACAGCTACGAGCTGCTGCTGCTGCTGCTGCGCGATAGCTCAATGCAAAACTCCCCCCATTCACTCCCGCCACTAGTCGTAATGACCTCCTCGGCAATGGCCTCCTCCAGCCGCTCGCCATACCGACGCCGATACTCCGTCTTGACCTGCTCCAGATGCCGCGGTTCCCAGTGAAGGCGCACGAGGCGCGAGATAAGCAGCTCCGACCGCTCGCGGCCGGAGCGTGATTCACGCAGGGCCTGGTGCAGGAGCAGCGCGTCGCGCATGGGACGGTTGATGGCGCCATTTAGGATGTGCGCCAGGGTTTCTCCCTGCAACAATGCTCATTAGCATCCGTGATGACGACATCTCGCTTACAACGAACACAACTTACCACGAGGTTACGCGATTTGGCAATCATCGCACGCGCAAAATTATGCCCGTGGGCGGATTCGTACGCACGCAGCACCTCGCGCAGATGCGAGTCACTGCGCAGCACGATGATCTGGATCATGGCCGTCTCGCCCCCCCTCGCGAGACACGAGGGCCTGGTGCAGGTCCTGGACGTCTCGGCGGCACAGACGCGGGTCGAGGGGCTCGCGTTCATCCTGGCGGCGGGCTTCGAGAGCTAACAGCACCGCGGTGCGGAACTTGTCGGCGCGCAATTCAGAGCGCATGCAGCGCTCGAGACTGTCTGCGTACCGGGAGTCGCGGAAGCAGTTCTTGATCTCGCGAATGGCAGAGTTGGATCGGCCCATCAGCGACTCGATGAGTAGCTCCCGTCGTGAAGTGCCGGCCTGGTAGTAGCAGTTGGCCCAGTAAGCCTCGGATTCCCAGCGGCCCAGGGCAGTCGCATAGCACACTTTGTTGAACGTCGCACTGCCCTGCACCTGGTGCTTGATATGTTTAGCAAGATTGATCCCCTTGCCATGCAGCTTAACCCTATTCTTGTACTCCTGGCGCAATTCCGCCATCTCATCGTTGTTCAGTCGTGGCAGGATTTGAATGATGGGCTTGTAGTCAATGCTGCGCGTGTGGCTCAACGCGGCCTGCATCGCCGCAGCGTCGGCCCCAGCATCGTAGAATGACACGCGCTTTCGCCCGGCGGTCGGGGAGACCGTAACTATCCCATCCACAGCGGCCACCGAAGAAGCAGAATCATGTCGATCCCGACCAGCGCTTGGGCGGCTGCGCCGCTTATCATCCCTGCGCTCATCCTTTTCCTTTTCCTTGCTCTTGTCCTTACTGCTTCGGTGCCGGCTGTCCTTCTCGCTGGTCGACTTTCGGTGTTTCTTGAGCCGGCCAGATTCAGAGTTGGACATTTCGTCGAGAGGCTCGAGATCCGAGATGTCATCATCCCGATCGTGTGCGGATGGAATCACGATGGGCGATGGCATGGGCGACATGGACTGGTAAGTTCCATGGTACGGCTCCAGCAAGGGACTGGCCGGCGGAGGACCATGAGCATGATCGGCCCCCGGCGCAGCCAGATTACCCGATGTTGAAACAGACAGACTGTGAGGTCGACCGCTTGACCGACCCCCACCGGGCGTGATCTCTACGAATTGCGGCTGGCTGCTGTACCGGTACGGTTTGACATGCTGCTCTGGCGGCGACCTATCGAACTGTTCCTGCGGCGAAGCCGTATACGATTGCTTGGCCGCCGTCTTGGACGAGTACCGGACATTGGGATCCACCTGCGCATATTGGAATTGGGCTGGCTGGGCATATTGCGATGGCGGTGGGTGCGCAACGTCGTTGCTCGACGAAGAGCGATAATGAGAAGGCGCATAACCCACGCCGCCAGCAGAATAGGGAATAGGCTGCTGAGGCGGCAGAGTCGCGTAGTGTGGCTGGGGGAACGTCGGTGCGGCCGTTCCAGACGCATCCGCGTACGTCGAAGCCGGAGGGAATCCCCCCGGCATCCCCGGATGCTCCCCCGGATGCGAGGACGGTGGGACAAAGCCCGGACGCTCGCACTCGGGAACCGGCGCCCAGTCTGACTGTGCCTCCGGGTAGGCGGGTTGGCGCGGGGCCCCGGGCTGGCTGTAGAGGTAGTGCGAGGGCTGCGCATATTGATATTTGTTGGGCCGCGCATAGCTGGGATGGCCTCCGTGATCGTCGCCATAGGCCAGCCCACCGTCGTCCGAGTCCGAATCAACCGGCCGACTGTGACTGTTACGACCCGGGGGCGAGGAGGGCCGACGGCGGGGCTCCCGCGTCACGTACTTGACATCCTCCTCGGAATCCGAATGTTCGTAGTGATCGTCGCGACGCCGTCGGGACGATTTGTCGCTGGTGCGTTCGCGGCGCTTATACTTCTCATCATCCTCTGAGTCGGAGCGTCGCACATCGTACCGAGCGGGGCTGCGAGGAGCGCGCGAAACGATATTGCTCGCTCGCGGCTCTTCCGCATCGCGCTGCCGCTCTTTTAACAGCTTGTACTGGCGGTCGATCTCCGCATCATCATCCGGGTCGTAGCGTCGAGATGATGGAGCGATCTCCACCGCGGGGGAGCGATCGCGTGGCCGGGACGACGGCGAAGGCGACGGGGCTCTGCTGTCGCGCGACCTGGAGCGTTCGCGGCCGCCGGGGGATTTGGAGCGGGTGCGCGACCGTGGGTCGTTCACTTGGAGCGACATAGGATCCAGGGATCGCCTGTGGGGATCCGCGCCAGATTTGGAGAAGTGTTTGTGTTCGGTGGAAGTATGCAGGAGTATGGGCCGACCAGACGAAAATTGAATTGGTTTGTTGCACGATAATGTACCGACGGAATCCCACAATGGAAGTCGGAAATTAGTTCCCTGGTGCGGGGTGACTGATTGATTGCTCGATTGATTGACGGAGGAAGCCAGGTGTGTTTAGCACGCCATGAAGCATGAGCCGTAGTGTAAACACGAAGTCCCAGACCAAGCAGAGAGAAGAGAAGAGAAAAAAAGGAAATGGGAAGAGAAAGACCAAGCCCAACTCGCATCCTGTCAGTCACCTGCATGGCGGCCCCCACCCTCAGCTTCTTCAGCCGGGGGCCAGTGCGTAGGGCGACGGAGTAGTTACTAAGACGCTTACGGAGGATGTAGGAACAGTAATTCAAACACATGTGCACACGAGCTATTGACACACGCAGGACACATTTTATCGGGAAAGGGGAAAGGAAATACAAAGGAAGGACGGGAAGCAGTCAGAACAACACGAGAAAAAGAAAAAGGAAAAGAAAAGAAAAGGGCCGCGAACCGAGGCACGCGACCAGGGGCAAGAACGGGGGGGTATGTGCGGAATCGAAAGCTATGCGGACAGATAAAGAGACAGACAGGCAGACAGGCAGTTTATCGCGTGCGGCGGCCATCGTGACCGGGTCCCAAGCGGCCTCCATACTTCTGCGGCATCGCGGGCTGGGCGTGTTTGCGATTTAGACGGCTGGTTCGCCAGCGCTCGTACCAGGTCACCCGGCTGGCCTCGCGCAGCTCGGTGCGCCAGTCGCTGAACACCGCGTCCTTCAATTTGACAAAGTCGCAGTGCTCCGAGTTGTAGGGGTCTGCAAATCCCCAGGGGAACCGACGGCCGACGGGCTCGTCACCGGCAGCCAGCGAGTGGGGATCGGGAGACAGGATTGAGAAGGGGACGTGCTGGTTGGCAGCCTGGGATCCATTGGACTGGCGTGTGCTCTGACTGCGCTGAGACGGCGACGTGGGAGCCGGCGCCAGTCTCTCCTCCCCAGCCGCGGACTTTTTGTCTTCCTCACCAGCCTCTGCAGATTCCGGTACCGCCGGAGCTTGCTCCTCTTCCTCCTCGCTCTCCGCGGTATCCTCCTCCTCATCCGCGCTCTCCGATGAAGTGTATTCCTCCTGGTCTTCCAGAGTCAGGATCTCAAGGGGGTCGATGTTGGCCAGCTTCAGGCTGTTCCACACGGCCTTGCGGAGGTAGCCCATGTGGGCCGCGGTGATCGTGTCAGCCTTGCTGATTACCGGCACCACCGTGGTCTTGCCGAGCACGGTGCGCAGGACCTGCAGGTCCAGGTTCTGGTCGAGAACTCCGAGGACGGGGGAGTCAGAGGCCTTGGCCGTGCCGTTGGCCGCACGCTCCGCAGCGGCAATATTCTCGTCCAGGCGCACTGGGTCCAGCAGCAAGAAGGTGCAGTGGATGTGGGTGTCGCGGGCACCAGGCGAGCGCACGACCTTCATCTCCTCGGCCAGGGTCTCTTCAAACTTGCTCTCCAGGAAACCGGTCACGCCGCGCATCTGGAGGTCGACGATATTGCGCTCCAGACCCTGCGAGTCCCACAGGGTCAGCCCGACGCGCTCTCCATCGATTTCCGTCTCGAGGTACTGCGAGGTAAATCCTTCGTAGGCCGAAGTCTGGCGCTCGAGCTCGTCCAGCTCCTCTGGGGTGCGTGTGGGGTGCTTATGCGGGGGCATGGTGAGTGCCTTGCGCAGGAAGTTGAGGAACGAGGTTTTGCCAGAGTTGCGAGCACCAACAACCAGCACACTAGAAATCCGCCGATTAGTCAATGCATACATTTCTCCTAGGTTGTATCCGGGTCCTCTTACTTGTACGGGGTCGGGTCCTTGCGACGGCGCAGACGACGCGGGCTGTTGACCGTGCTCACGGCGCTGCTGGCGTAGCTGTAGCGGCCGCGATGGGTCATGCTCTCGGTACGGGCATACGGATCAATGTGGATGGCCTCCGCAGCCGACGAAGAGGGACGAGGCGGAATACGGCCCTCGAGGGCGGCGGCGGCGAGGGCAGCGGGATCGTCGCCTCCAAACGTCTCCAGCACTGGCGTGGGGGAGAGATCGGGCAGACGCGGGGCGATCTTCGATGCCGCGGATTCGCGCTGACGGCGCATTTCTTCCTCCATGGCTTGGGCTTTGGACATCTTCTTGCGGCTGCCAGAAGACTTACGCTCGCCTAGGGGCTCGGTAGATTTGGAGCGGCGGAGGAAACCGAGCGAGGTCCGGCGTTGGTTGTTGAGGGAGTTGGGGTTGCTTCCGTTCTCCGTAATGGCAGGCAGCGTGTCGTTGTGGGCGGCAGGCGCCAGGTGCGCGCCAGCAGCAGGAGCACTGGTCATTTTTGCGGTTATCGGGTTCTCGTCTTTTTTTACTTCTTCTTCACCCGCCCAACTGGATCAGCCCACCATCATATTATCGTCCATCCTATGAGATGGTTCCATCCATACCCCTCATGGGTCGATGGGTCACTTACCTTGTTATTGCCACCGATCAAAAGTCCAATGCGCCACACGGCAAAACGAGAGTATCCGGGATAATGCGAATTGCCGATCACCAGTCAATGGTCTGAGACGGAATGGGGTCGGGCGAGTTGCGATGATTCCAGGCCAAACAAAAACTGCGACAGGAGATGACGAGAACTAATGGAAAGCGAGAGTGGGATCAAAACGACAATCAACCAGCCCAGCCAGTGTACGTGTCGAAGCCCGCTGTACGTCGCTGCTGGAGGACGGAGACAGGGGAGAGAGAGAATGGAATTGTTTTTTTTTTTTCGGGGGGGTTTCGGGGAGAAAAGAATTGAGAAAGGGCCTGCTCACAGCGTCCGGCTACAGCGGCGCATGGAGAGAGTGAAAGGAGCGAGAGAGGCAAAAGAATGGGTGAGAAAGAGAGCGAGAGGGAGGGGGGTGAAGAGGAAGAAAAAAAGACAGCTGAACGAGGCTAATAATGGCTAATGGCTAATGCGGAGGAAGATTATCTACTCATTAGATCGATCGGGGCTGCCTGGTCGTGGCATCACGGCATACTCCTGTCGAGGGCTGCGTCTCCATCTACGAGCGTGATCCCGACCGTCTTCACCCACCCACCCACCATCACCCTGACGGTGGTCAGGCCGTTCATGATTCTTTCTTCGACGGCGAACACCCTCTGGTGGAATTCAGGGGTAAGACGCCGAGAGCAGTCCAGAGCAAAAGGGATCCCCACTTGGAGCTTCCACCGTGCACGCTGTGTGGATGGTTCGTTCCACGCCGGTGGGCGGACTAAGCAAAGACGGGAAGTGCTGGTGTCGATGACTGGTTCGAATGTTTGCACCAACAAAACCACGATGATAATTGCCGTGATACAGCAGGGCCGCAGGTAATTGTTAACACTGTTTCTCCGCGCTGCATATTCGGTTCGTCCAGGATATCCATGGTTGATGAACCGACGCAGAACTCCTGGCACCTGGCACGTGCGGCAACGGGTCCCACTGGCTTCTTTTGCGTCCGAATTGAGCTACGAGTGGAGACAAGGGGTTCGACGGACTCGATCGGCGCCGTTGCGCTGTTGTGCAGCTGTGCGGCTCGAGGGGCTTGTCTCGGCAAGGGAAGGTTTGGATTTTCCCTGGGGGCCCGGTCAATGCCGGACCTGATGGAAGAACAGAACAGGGACCGATCAGACGCTGGACCCGGACAATACGATGCGGCATGCAATGGCCTCAACGGTAATCGGCAGCACACATGGCGTGTGGAGCTCATGGAAACATTCTCCATGGAAGGTTACGCTCAATGGATCCCCCGCAAGGATCTGTATCGGCAGTTATATCACTGGCGTTTGACCATACTCACCACCTGTCAATTCCAATTGCTATGTCTGGAGTGACAGCCTACTAGATGGGAAACTCCCTCTTCCCTTATATTTGATTGTCAGGCCATCTTCCGCAAGGATCAACTCGGGTGTCGCATGGACTATGCGGGCAGTGGCTGGACTGGCGGGAGGTATCTTTTTGTGCACGACAGATTTTCAAATCCAGGTGCTACCTTTTTGTAGCACACGGTGATGAGTCTGTAGCCATCGAGGCACGAGATAATGCCAAGCTATCATAATAACAGGCTGAGACGCGCACCATGGTTATCAAAACCGTCGTAGGGCCCTCCTCGTATGTCACCACCCGGTGCTAACACTTTTGTCGAGGGAGGCATACTCCGCCGCGTTTTCCAACTTCATCCAGCGGGGAATGATATTTATTTTCCTCACACTGCTTGTCCAGAGTCTCGGCTCTCTTTTACAGTAAAGGGATCCGAACGTCAATCAGGAAAATGTCCCCTAGTTAACAATCTCAGCCTTAACTTCAACCACTATCCCTCTTCTTCTCCTGATTCCGCTCCCTCTTCTTCTTTTCTATTTCCTGTTCCCTCCGTGCTTCCTCTCCAGCCTCTTCCGCATCCGCATCATCGTCTCCAATTTCGTACGCTTTCAGATCTTCCGGAATCTCTTCGTACCCGGCATCTCGGTAAAATAGCTCCTCCAGTTGCAGGGTGATTTCCTCGGGAACGTCGTAATTCACGCGAAATACATGACCGTCGATCGACAGGAGATCTGGGGCAACAGAGCGCATAGGCGGACATTGTTCCCCGGACATGAGGATGCAGTGGCGGGGGTGGTTGTTGTTCTCGGTGGCTAGTATTGGGCAGAGACTGGCGCAGATGCTGGGCAGGTGGGCTGGAGATGATAGTCGGTTCATGTGGTACTATTTGCAAGGTTGTTTGGGGAGCTCGGCCTAAATGGAAGAGAGTTATTACACATGGCAGAGTAGAAAGCGAAGAAATGGACGAGAGAGAGGAAGAGTTGGTGGGGGCGAAGTAATCGTAGATATAGCTGGTAGGCAGCCGAGTGGACCAAATCTGGAGTTGTGGGGCGCAGTTGCAGGCTTTGGTGCTCTCGAGGTCGGACCTATCGGTGACTCAAACAGCTCCGAGTTCGACTATGATTAACGCCAGTGAGCGACATGCTTCCTATAACTGGTTTTTGATGTGCACTCGGGTACTGGATTGATACGGCTTGAAATGAACTACGACGTGTCGTATGGTTGTAGCTCACTGGCCAAGCAGTCATATACTTCCTCCTGGTGGACCATACGGGAATGGCTAACTACATGAAACATAACAACATAATCATCCAATGCAGACCACGTCTCAAGCGACAGTCTGATGATTCCATTTAAGTAATAACAATGGAACTATTCCCCGCCTCCTTGAACGGCCAAACAATGCACGGCGAAGCAGGACAAACATTACTGCGATCGAGGTCCTTAAACTTCGGCCCATTCGGCCCAGCGACATACTTCGCTTGTCCGAAGATAGTTTTCTCATTGGACGGCTGGGCGTCCCCCCACTGGCCGTTGAAGTTGAGCCAGCCTAGCGGGTAGTCACCGGCTGCTTCGAAGGTCATGCTGGATGGGTCGTACGTGTAGGCGTAGGCGTTTAGAGTGGGATCCCATAGGACGCCGCTGTCTGTGTAGTCCTCCAGTGGACCGTCGGGGAATGTCACGCCGGGAATTGTGTGGTCGTGCGTCCTGCAGAGATTGATTAGGGTTAAATGCAACCTTGGGGTGGTGGTCAGGAGAGGGGGCGGGACGTACCCTGCCGTGGCGTAGTTGGCGTGGGTGCCATTGCCAGAGTAAGAATACGGCCGCTTGCCGCTCTTTTCGACGGCGTTGTAGGTGAAGGCCTGGCCATAGGAATGTTGGCTGTACCAGACAGCCGTCGGGGTCCCGTTCGCAAAGCGGACCATATTATGTTCCCTATTGACCAAGCACGCTTGATCAGTCTCTGAAACACCAAGTCCCAATAGGCCAAAACATACCAATCGCCAATATGGTCACCAAACATCAGGCCCAAGACTATATCTCCCCGATTAAAACTATACATGGTGTCTGTCAGTTGTGCTTTCTTGCCCAAAAGGAAAGGAAAGGAGAACCATACGCGTAGAAGTAGAAATAGAATGCATCCAGACTACCTCCACCATGATCGACAGTCACAATAGCGCACCCGGTGGCATTATTAGTTTGGCCCTGCGCGTTGGGCGTGACGCCGAACCACCAGCTCGGCTCTGGCTCTTGTGCAATGCCATTGTGGGTGGTCAGGTAGACGCTGGTATTGCCTAGGTCGTTGAGGCTGTCGAGGTTATCCAGGGTTAGTGGTGTGGGTGTTCCATTGACGGCCTTCCAGTTCACCTCCGGGATAGTGTTGGCGACCTGCGCTCCGATGTCGCTGGGCCGGTAGGCATCCTCGCTGTATAGCCAGACGAGAGGCGCTTTATGAAAGAAAACAATTAGAATGAGGGAGGTGGACAAAAACGACAAGCATCACCCACCGTAGTCATATACATATTGTGGGACTGACGCCGCAGCCTTTAGAGACGCTGTGACGGGCTGGATGGAGGACAGCGCCAGCGCCGCCAGACAAGAAGTGTGGCCGCGCATCTTTGCTGCGCTATAGTGTAGGCCAGGTCGAGATGATGACCGGGGACGCCTTTAAGTAAATAATAATCTCGAAGGGTCACGGTAAATAATAGCGGAATGACCCACGTGGGCCGCGGTGTGGTCGCAGACCAAGTACGCCTATGCTTGATTGATTGCAACGCAGGTCCGGACGGGGGGACCGAAGTGCAGAGGATCATCGTGATCATCGCGGGGGCTATTTGCTTCTTATGTCCTGTGATCCGAGGAATGTGAGAGCGGCTTGTCTGCGCCCACCACTGGAATTTCTCTCGCTCTTCTTATTTTTTGGATCACTAATTATACCTCAGTATAGACTTGGAAGTAAATAGTTTTCTTTCATAAACAATAACAACAGTCCGTATAGCACCATAGTATCCCGAACAGGAACAATACCCCTGTACCCGAATACAACGCTGCGACCCACCCCTGCTTGGCCCAATCACCCCGCCTGTCTGTATCAGCTGCACCACGAACTGATCAACGATGGAGATGGAAGTTCCCAGGGTTCACGATGTAACTACGGCATCAGCTGGTCACTCGGCGTCACCTGCTCTTCCGTCTCTTTATTCTGCTTCTGCTTCATCAGCTTAAACACCCTCAGATCCAGTGGAATTCGCTCCCCGAGCCACGTTGCCCGTTGCGTGTGGTTGCGCTCCTCCTCGCTGTCCACCGTGTTCGGGTGGATGAGCACACTGAGCGGGCCCCGGTGCACAACCAGCCAGGGAATAAATGCACCGAACTGCGCCGGGCTAAAGAGGTTGACTTCGAACATGGCGATCGGGTGTGGACCGATAGGGCGGTCGAAGAAGGTGTAGATGCGTAGCTCGGGGACTGCCCTCGTGAGTACATAAACGTGGAGGGAGGGGTCATCGCGGACCTACATTCTCGCCGGATTCGTTCCCAAAGGGCTTTAGCAAAGATGACTTGGTCCGGATTGTTCTGTATCCCATATTCATCAGTGTTTGCGAATGCGGCGATGGGTTACTTTTCTTCCCGACACACCTGGAAGTGATAGATGTGAATATCGAATCCGCCGCGCTGGCTCTTGGCCAACGGGTCTGGGAACTCTGAGTAGGCTTTGCTGAGGACGCCATGCTGCGGGTTCTTGAAAGACTTGCCGTCTTCGTTTCTCTCTCTGTGGATTGCACGTGCTGGTTAGCATTTCGCCCTGGATGCGGGGCATGGCATAGCACGCACTCGGGTAATGGCTCGAGGTTCTCGTAGCCTTCTAGAGGCGAGGCGTATGAGTAGTCGAATTGATCTTTCATCTTGACGATGTGATGGAGCTGAGTAAGTAGTCGCTCGATGTCCAGTTGGAGAGATATATCTCGGCAGCAGCGTAGTTCTCAAATGCTTCAAATTTGTTCCACGCAAGTCGCCTGCGTTTTCTTAGCTGGTAATAGCTAATCATGGGTCGGCATCACGCCAGTCCACCAGGTTGCACCATGTCGTCAATTTCGCATCTATGGCGCCGGCATTTCCGCACCCTGACAAAGCGCGGAACCACCGGGTCCGGACCCTACCGTGGGTAGACTTCAATTCCACAGTATTAACGAATCTATACTCAGGGACAATTATATCGCTGCCATGTTCAATGCATCCTGGCATCTGGTATCTCTAAATAATAATAAACAAAGTACCTGCCAACGCCAGTAAAAGATAAAAACAAATTACCACTGCGCCCGAATGTCGATATGGCCATCCTCATCGACAAACTTGCCTCGATCCCACTCCCGGCCTTCGCCCTTCTTCGACCACTTCACATCTTCCAACGGGCCTGCTCCATCACTAGGGACTCCCGTGAAAGCCGGGTTGCCCTTCCATCGCTCGATGGTATCCTCGTTTACCCCCGCCGCACGGAGCCTCTCCTCACCCTTCTGCTTCCAGCGCGTTCGGTCGCGTAATGCCTCAAGAGCCATATCCCAATCATCGTCCGCGGTCATCAGACCGGCGACGGGGCGACGAGTAGGCTGCTTAGGCGACAGATCGTTCTCGGGTTGAAAGTCCAACGTTGGGTCATAGTCCGGTGCGAAGTGGGCGTCCATGTTACTCGTGTTGGGTTTGTAGGCGCCTCGGCCGCGCGAGCGGAGAGGGGCTTCGCTCTGGCCATGTCTGTGACGAGGAAGGGGTCCGACAAGGTCTTCCAAAGGATCAGAGTCAGGCTCAGTGTCCGTTTCACGTGGGTTCTCCATGGCAGACGACGCCTCCTCATGGCGTGTAGCGGTTTCGGAACGAGACGGGCGAGATTTATGGGATGTAGTGGCTTCGCCGCGCTTTGATTGCCGACTGCGGCGTGATTCGTAGGTATGAGAATGGACGTGCGAAGGAGATTTTGATCCGTCATGTCGGCGGCTGCGATGGCGCGTCGGACTCCGATCTCGTCTGGGAGAACGACTGCGAGATCTGGAGTATGATCGCTCACGGCGCCGGCGCCGGCCTTCTTCCCTTTCTCGTCGATCATGTTTAGACGAGTTATGTCCGTGGCGAGCACGACAGCGCTCTTCTCGGTCTCCCCGGTCTTCGTCGCTGTCATGGTTTCCGTGATGTCGATGCCGTCGAGGCCGCTCCATTTCTGCCGAGGGGGAACGAGTTCGATGTCTTCTGCTGCGATGTGAACGATGTCGGTCCGCATGGTCTCGCCCATGGTCTCTTGAGGAGCGGTGGTCGCCGGATTCCCGCTCGCGCCTTCTAGAAGCGTGAGACGATGAGCCAGAAGCAGATGTCGTGTGTTCCTTCAGCTGGCGCTGGCGCTCTCTCGCTTCTCTCTCCTCTTTGCGCTTGAGGGCAGTATTGTGATTGCTGGTTTCTTTGATCAGGTGTCGGAGGAAGCGGGTGTTGGGTTTGGGAGCACCGCTCGTCGGCCTGCCATAATAGTCTGCGATTAGCTTGGCTTGGAAGATAATCGTCAAGATACTCACTTTCGAGGCATGTACGCCACAGGACCTTGAGACGAGTACTTCTCAGAGCTGTCCCGCGCCTCGGCGGTAAGGACCTGTGCGATGTAGTCGTCGTCCATGAGGATGCTGCCGACCGGGCTGCAAACAAGAGAGAAAGAAACAAATGTATGTGCAATGGAGATCACGGATGCGCCATGACCATCGCGATCTTCGAGACCTGCCTCACCGCCTTGGCCGCTATCCGTTATCGCGATTGTTTACTTTTGCTTCCCCCACTCGTGTCAAGATACATTTTAGTTCAATCTATGAGCATGGCCAATACATCATCAGAGGCCCTCGAGGTCCTCAAAAGCCTGGAGCAGGAACAAGGCGACTTGAGGAAACACCTCGCGATCATCCGCATCAGCGAGCCCATCTCCGCCGAAGCCGTGGACTCGAATGCATCCCCTGCGAAGCGTGGCTCTGATGTTTCCGTGTCGAATCTGAACGACCCGACCCCCGCATCTCTCGAGGCGGATCTCACCCATTACAAAGTTGGTTTATGATTTACCCTGCGCCAATAGCTAAACTTCAACATGCTGATATGGCGGTTGCACAGGAACTCTTTTCAAAGCTGCGATTTTCTTACCTCGAGCAAGTCACCAAAGAAAAATTCCTGCGCGCCATTGTCGGCGATCCACCGGTTGTGGTGGGACACAATGAGAACGTGGAATTGGAGACACAGCTGGCGGAAGTGAAGGCGGAGCTCAAGGCGAGCAAGGAGGAGGCGAGTGCTATGATCGCCGAAATGGAGAAGATGGGCCGGAATTTGGCCAGTCGTGAGTGTCCTGCCATGTCATTCGGCTGGGTACCCCATCACTGACATGAGCCATATTTAGGATACAAAACGGTCCAGCTTCAAATGACACAGCTCTCTACGCTTCCCGACGCTATCCAGAACCTGGAATCTACAATCGCCGGCCTTCGTGCCCGACAGGTTGCGAATATGGATTCCGCTGACCCTAGCATTACCTCCTCGTCCCAGAACCTGCCTTTGCCTGCAACTCTGACGCGGCTCTCAGAGCGCGAGGCGGAATTGGCGGCGCTGAACCGACAATTGGCGGCTGTCCAGAACACATTACCACGGAAGACGCGAGAGGCAGAGGCAATGGAGCGAGAGATCAGCGTGCTTGAGCGACGGAAGGAGGAGACAATTGCCCAAGCCCGTGAGGCGCAGCGGAAGAAGCAAGAAGGAGAAAGCGACGGGCTGGAGGAGATGGGGCGGTGGTATAGAGGTGCGGAGGAAACGCTCAAGGAAATCGTGGACGTGGAGGGCTGAAATGCTCTCTGGGCCCTGCAACGAATGATATACGATGGGAACGAACGGGAATGGCGTTTGGAATCTACTACTGTACAGTACACATGACTACGAAGGGCAATTGAGCACCTGAAACTCGGATTCCAATTTGAAGCCAAATGGCTGTGATGGACTCATTGAATTGCAATCATCGTAAAACAACATGAAATGCTATGCTGCAGTCGTGAACCCCCCGCAGGGTGATCCATTGCCCAAAGCGAAACCCGGCAAGTACTCCTTTTTTAGATCATCATTTACTCCTCCTCCTCCTCCTCCTCATCACCATCACCACCCTCGGCGGCCTTGGCCTTCTTGCGGCGGACACGGCCAGGGCGGCCACCACCGAAGGGCGAGGTCAGGGCGAAGTCAATGTGCTTCTGGGAGTCGAGGCGGACCACGTAGGAGGGGACGTTGACGATCTGCTTGCCGACACTATTGAGTGCATGTCAGTATTGATCGGCCTGAGGGTGTATGTGCCAGACGTACCGGATGTGGCGCTGCTTGATCAGGACACGGGCGTGGTGGATGGACTTGGCCAGGCCAAGCTTGTACACGCAGGTCTGCAGACGGCGCTCCAGGAAATCCTCGGACTTCAGGGCCAGGACGTAATCGAGCTTCATGCGGGACTCGTCGAGCACACCGATGCGCACCAGACGGCGAATCAGGGCATTGCCTTCGAAAAGACGCTTGGGGTCCTTCTCGTCGAGAGTGAGCAGCTCACTGCGACCGTTAGTTCTTCACCATTTTTTTCTGCAGCAGATCTCCCACATACCGAGCAGCACGACGAATCTTGGACAGAGTGAGCTGGACACGCCAGATCTCACGCTTGTTGCGCAGACCGTACTCGCCGACAACCTTCAGTTCCGAGTCACTAGGGAATAGTGGTTAGATTGGAACACGCGACATAAGCAGAAGCACGCTTCTGCTTAGTGGCCGGAGAGTACTAACAGACGAGCCGACTCATAAGCTGAAAGGAAAAAAAAATTAGCCTCAACAACGTCGTGGTATAGTGTGAGATCAAACTTACGGCGACGGGGGACCTTGTAGGTCTTGGAGTAGGAGCGACTGCAAGGACAATGGTTAGAAGGGAGCACATTGGCATCACGAAGAATACTCACGGAACGGGAGCCATGGCTGCTGGGCGGTTGTCGCGAGATTGTCGAGCACACGAACAGGAAGCACAAAAAGGCGGAACCAGAGAGGAAAAGAGGAAAGCGGATAAGCGAGTGTGTCACGTGGGGAGCGAGTAGGGCATACCCTATCACCTGACCAGCACACACCGAGTCACATCCGTCTGGTTGAACTTCATCGGCCAAGTCCCGCTTCCCTTTCAGCAACCACCACCTTCAATACCGTCGCCATGCCTCACTCTTTCGGTCTGCGTCGCGGCACGCGGGTATGTTGCGCCTTGATCGCCCTCTTTTTTTCCTCCGGTGTTTCGATACTGACGGTGATGCAAATAGTATGCCTTCAGCCGCAACTTCAAGGAGCACGGTCAAATCCGCCTGTCGACCTACCTCAAGACCTACCGGTACGATCGAACCATCCGAGTTTTTATGATAGCAGAATAATCTGACGGGTTTTATTTAGGGTTGGTGACATTGTCGACCTGAAGGTGAACGGTGCCGTCCAGAAGGGGTCAGTACAATTTTTTCTTTCTTTTCCTCCCCACAACCCATTTGTTGGCCGCGGAATGGCGGGAAGATCCTTCCAACTGTCACGCTCGGCCCAATCGACGGGAACCTGGATGAAGGAATAATCTATTGAGTGAAGAACATGGCTGAGACGAGAACAGTATGCCCCACAAGGTCTACCACGGCAAGACCGGTGTCGTCTACAACGTGACCAAGTCGTCGGTCGGTGTCCTCCTGTACAAGCGCGTCGACAACCGCTACCTCGAGAAGCGCATCAGCGTCCGCATCGAGCACGTCCAGCACTCGCGCTCCCGTGAGGAGTTCATCAACCGGGTCAAGGAGAACGCTATCAAGAAGCGCGAGGCCAAGACCAAGGGCGTCCACGTCCACCTGAAGCGCCAGCCCGTCATGCCCCGTGAGGCTCATCTCGTCAGCCAGGCCAACAACGCCCCCGAGACCGTCACCCCCATCCCCTACGACACCCACATCTAAACGAATTTTCGGTCGGAATGGGACTGTTGGGGTTGTGGTTGTCTGGTGTTTTATTGGGTTTTCTGTCTTCTCCGGTGAGGCCCTGACGGAATGGGGAGCGCTTGGACTGGTGGGATGAGACGAAGCGCAAAAAGGGTCTCGGATGCCCTGGCACACCCTTTTTCGCCTGTGCATAGATTCCCCTGAATGAAACAAAATCAAAAATTTCCGAGTTCACGCCTGTTCCATTTACACTTCCTCAGTTGTAGAGTCGCCCGTCGAGGTGGATTAGGGCTGATCAGATATGTCTACTATGGTCATGATTTGGGTCCATTGATATAGGTTCGAGGAAGACGATAATCGCAAAATCCACTCTTGATGGACAGTACAACCACAATGAACATAATTACATATTGTAAGTAGTGGTGGTTCATGCTGGTTTGTGTTCATCGATCCTGGATCAGCAGACCCGCCGCGGAAAAAAAATATGACTGAGCAGAACCAACCTCCGTCCTCCTCCATCCACCTTTGTTACTACTCCGGTCTTCCTTTTTTCATTGACTTATATTTCTATTCACACTCATGTGTTAATTGTATCCCTCTGCCGTCCTCGTCCTAACTCGTCGCCGCGCCTGCTCGCCAGACAGCCCCGGCTTGCCATGACGTGACTGTTCTCGTCTCCGTCCCTGCCCATGCCTTTCTCCACCACCCTAGCTCCCAGCTCTGCGCAGGCGCAGCTGGGAAACACAAATCAATCTCCTCCGACCGGCGGTAAAGATGTCGTCGTGCAGTCACGAGAAATGGGCGACGTTGTCCCCAACCGGATACAACCGACCGGCCAGGAGGCAGCCAAGGCTAAACCATTTGCACACTTTGTCGCTGGCGGGTGAGTCGCAATCATCGATCCGGAAGATATTTCGCTAACGTACGTCTTACTGAAGCATCGGAGGCATGACCGCCGCGACCCTCACCTCACCGTTGGACGTGCTCAAGACGCGTCTGCAGTCTGACTTTTACAAGACCCAACTGCAAGCTTTGCGCGCTTCCCATGCTCCGGCGCCAACCTCCTCGTCTGTCGTCTCCCTCACGCGAAGTGCCATTATGCACTTCAGTGAAACTTTCCAAATCCTCCGCTCAATACACGTCCATGAAGGGTGGCGCGCGTTATTCAAAGGTCTAGGCCCAAACCTCATTGGTGTGGTGCCCGCGCGCGCCATCAACTTCTACGTGTACGGGAACGGCAAGCGGATCCTGAGCGAATACTTTGACTACCGCCATGCCGAGCAGACTCCCATGGGGATACACCTAGCCGCGGCCGCAGTCGCCGGTATTGCCACCGGTACAGCGACGAACCCGATCTGGCTGGTGAAGACCCGTCTGCAGCTAGACAAATCTCTCGCAGAGCATGGCAAGGGCCGTCAATACCGAAACAGCTGGGACTGCATCAAGCAGACTGTGCGCCATGAGGGTGTGCGGGGCCTCTACAAGGGTCTCTCGGCCTCCTACCTCGGCGTCACGGAGTCCGCGCTCCAGTGGGTGATGTACGAACAGATGAAGATGTGGCTCGCCCGGCGTGATATCGCCAAAAAAGAAGATCCTGCCTACGAATACACCACCTCCGACGCCGTGGAGCTGTGGGGTGGCCGAATCGCTGCTGCGGGAGCGGCCAAGCTGGTCGCAGCTGCCGTGACCTACCCGCATGAAGTGGTACGTACTCGCCTACGCCAGGCGCCCACGGTCTCAGTGGGCAATGGTAAGGTCGAGATGAAGTACACCGGCTTGGTGCAGTGCTTCAAGACCGTCTGGAAGGAGGAGGGTATGGTTGCTCTTTACGGAGGACTGACACCTCACTTGCTCCGAGTCGTTCCATCGGCTGCTATTATGTTTGGAATGTGAGTAACCCAAGACCTGAAATTCTAACCATCACTGACCCAATTGATAGGTATGAATTCATTTTGCGCGTGTTCGGAACAACCTCGTGATCCGAACCATCCCATTCGCGAAGAGACGACATCTTCTTCACTCCTCTCAATGCACGGTTTCCCAGCTCCGACCCGCGCCACTCCTGTACATTATTGATTCTCTTTTTTTCGTCTCTGCTTCTTGTCGACTATCGGAAGATTTTTGTTTCCCTGTTTAATACTGCATAGAAAGAACGGCTAGCTCCATATTTACGGCGCACACACAAATCCGGGGTGGTTTGAATTGCAACTAACACACTATTATTTTCGGACTGGTGTCTCTACTCCCATTTTAAAAAAGAATTGCATAAACAAGATGTGCTGATCGTTTAGAGGACGGTGGACGTTTTCACCCGGTTTCTAGGGTGTATATTTATGTACTATATATATTTGATGCCCTCGGCTATAGCTGGGCGAGCAAAAACTAGAACTGGCCTGGCCTTTCAATTAAAGTTGTATATTTTGCTGATTTGCAGGCAATACGCCATTGTCCTGGTTTCATACAGCCAATCTGCGGCTGTGTTTGCTTAGGTAGTGGCGATATATATCTGATGAGAGTTTGGACTTGAGGATCGAGCCTCCGTTGCCTACAAATGCCATGTCCAGTGAATTAGTCGACATTAATGTGGAACCTGGAGTTTTCTCTCACAATGTAGTTGCAGATATAAAAATAATTGAGTTACATAACTAAAGTTTGCTTTTGATAATGCATCAAAATTCATCCTGCCCATTGTCCTTCCGAACCATATGTATTCTGAGCTGGATCGAACCATCCTGGAGGCAAAGCCCAACAGTGGCGATGAACACCTGGCCTGTTTGTGGAGTCGATAAAGGCTTACATTAAATGCTCCTGAAACAGATCATAGTATTACAAAAAAACTACATTCTGGCAAGGTCTACGAAAAGCGTTGGGGTCGAATCCTGCAAAACTATAGATCAGGCGAAATCGCCTCTCCCAACGGTCTGAATCGCTGAGGAGCATCCACCACCACCACAATCACAACGCACAGATAGGCTTCTCATTATGAAAATTACCTGTCGTAGAGCAGTTAGTCGATCAAATACCCTAACACAGTCTTGGACCGACGGTGACCTGACTAAGCTCATCTTTGAACGACTTGAACCCCGCAGAACCGCATTGCAAGTCCCGATTTCAATCCAATGCCTCTCATACTCAATCAGATTCGAGCTGGTGAGGGCTTCACTCAGAGCTGTCGTGGTCTGCGGCAATGCATACATCATACAAACCCAACCAGGCAGCCACGCGTCGCTATGGGTTTGCATGTTTAGTGTGCCGGCGGCGGAAGATCAAGTGCGACGGTAAGAAGCCGAACTGTTCAAATTGCGTCAAGGCCAAGGAGATATGCAACTACAAAGGAAGCCCCAATTATAACGCCCAGCTGCTTCACCAGGCTCAGCAGTCCAAGAAGCGCGCAGAAGACCTCGAGGCCCAACTCCGAGGTCTCGCCAGCTTGAGTCCCGAAGGTCGTGATCACCGCCTCACAGAGATTGTGCGCGACCTAGATCGTTTCCATGTATCGGAAGCCTTGCCGGACGGCATGTCCGATTTATCCAAGGCTTATGAGATCGATAACGAATCGGGGCATGAAGAGGTGCCGGTTGACAAGCCAACTGATTTCAGTGTCGGGGAACATGGAACTGTAAGGTGAAGTTTTAATTATTATTCAAAACCATGGATTGACCTGTGTATCCTATAGTACTATGGCGCTACATCTAGGTTTCATCCGCTTGATACACATGACATCCCATCGACACGAGCTCCCAAGCTGGAAGGAACCGAACACAAGGCCACCGAGGAGTATCACCGCAAATGGCTCGCCTCAAATGCCAGATTCCAGGAGTCTTTTGAGAAAGTAGCCTTCAGCCATCTCACTCAATATACAGATGTTGGCCTCGATGTGTGTTCAACTCTATTACAGATCTTCTGGACGTGGCAAGCACCTCTTCACAATTATGTCTATCGTCGATGTGAGTTGATCGAGTGCCGATCGTGAACACCTTTCTAATCCACTATACAGGTTTCTACCGCGATATGGCCCTGAGTGGCCCCTACTTCTCTCCGTTTCTGTTGAATGCGATTTTTGCGCATGCCTCTCGTCACACTAAAGACGAAGACCCCAGATTCGCGGGTGCTGAAAGGGGTGAACATTTCCTTCGGGAAGCTAAGCAGCTTCTGCTCGTGGAAATGGAACAGGAGAAGCCTAAAATATGTACTATCCAGGGTTTGTTGATTCTCGGCGGCCGGCAATGTGCTATTGGAAAAAGTAGCGAGGGGTGGCTTTATACTGGCATGGTCCGTAGCTTCGACTCTAATGATCCTTCCTTCTTGAACTCACAAGTTTAGGCAATCCGAATGATCACTGATCTCGGTATCCACCTTTACCGGGGAAACCTGGAAGGTCTTGATGGCCTCGAACCTGATGATCTCGAAGTGAGAAAAAGGCTTTATCTCTCCGCATATCTTTGGGACAAGTATGGAAGCTCTATTCGCTTGAGACATTTGTTACTGACTACAGCTACAGGTCAATAAGCCTCTGCCTAGGACGGCAACCATGTCTACCTGACCTACCATATGCACCGGATAGTTTGTGTATGTTTCTGTTCGCCCTGTCGTTTCCTAAGCTGACAATCGACAGTTGACACATCTGATAACGACGACGAATGGAAGCCTTTCTCCCTTCGAGAAATAGAAGATTCCTATCCTTCGACCAAGTCCTACGGCACCACAACCTTCATTCATTTCTGCAAATTAGCGAAGGTACGAGGCTTTTTTATTATTATTTTATTTTTTAAGAAAAAAAAAACAGTTTAGTGGTTGACACGAGAGACAGATAATTAACGGGAGCTACGATAAAGTGTACAGCAGGAATGTTCAGCACCTCAAGCCCCAAAGTATTTTTGAACTAGAGACCAAGTTTCGTTCATTCTATCAGAGCTTACCAGAGCCACTCAAGATAACACAGGCTGCTTCCGTACAGTTCTGTCACCCGCCGCATATCTTCTGCCTCAAGTACGTCTTCTACTCTAGCTCGCACTGGATGAAATCCGACTGACTCTGCTAGCATTTTATACCACACAATGCTCATACTGATTTTCCGGCCATTCTTCGGCTGGTCTCGTCACTCTAAGCTTCAAGACCATGCGCTTGCACAACGAGCACAAAAGGTGTGCATCGAGGAAGCGACAGAAGTGAATAAGTTTTTTCGACAGTACGGACGAACTTTCAACTACCAGAACCAGACGTATCTCATCTCGTACTGTGTATACACAGCTGCGACTATCGACGTTCAGATGATCCAAAACGAGGATGCCGAACTGGCCGCCGCCGCGGTAAACCGACTGTCGACAACACTCGAGATGCTAGAGTCGGAGGCCAGACAGACCCCTGGGATCAAGCGCAGTATCGACATCATCAAATCTCATCTCGCCAAGCGCACTCAAGCGGGTCCTCAGGACAGTTCTGTAATACACCATCCTCTTGAACAGCAATGGCGAAGTTTGGATGTCAATGGACCGGAGCAACGTCCATATCAAAAACCAGGAATAGCGAGTTCACCCTCCGGTCACTTGGAATATCGCATGTATCGTGAGAATCACCACAGCGTCGCTCCTCCAACCTGGGAGCAGGCACCAGATGAGAATATTGGGAACATTATGACACAAGCAATGGACATTGATGCTCCATGGAGGGACTGGGAATTTTTCAATGCGGGCGGAGGCTTCGTTCCCGGCCATGCGAACTGGACGCCCTTTGATGCAGCATACAACTACCATTTGTATTAGATCAGTCTTGGCTTCTATTCCTTAGCATGCTCACTCTCGGAGTAGATACACGCTTAAGCCACCTTGACGGAAGTATAGTCTCCGTCAGCCAGGAGCCGGACGATCGCACACCGTTCACTAGACTCGTTCGCTAGTCCCCGTAATGCGGGGAGTTTTAGTCTTGGAGCTCTTGAATCCAGAAGCGATCATCGACCCGGTCCACCCACGAAACACTTTCTATAGGACACGGGAAGATACCGTCACCAATTAAGTTTTGTGGATTCCGCCCAGGGCTTTCCCCATGGGGACCATGGGGAGCAACACGCATCCCGACGGCCATAGAGCAAGACGAATATTATTGACGATAACATGACGGGCGCATGGACGCCGCCCGAGCTTCTGTCTTTTAACCGTCCTTCCCCCCGGACTGCAGGGTGCCACATTTCGTTCACAGTGACAAGAATGGCAGCTACATCTGAGAATGGTAGTGAGGTGAAGCCCGACATCATCGCGTTGGAGAATGTAGACCCGGAAAAGGACGAGGCTCCTCCCGCAGTCGATTATACACCCGAGGAGCTGAAAAAGGTGATTCGGAAGCTGGATTTGCATCTTCAACCACTATGTTTCGTACTTTACACATTTTCCGTTCTGGATGTGAGTTCCCGCTGCCCTCAGAGGGTTATTCGTGGCAGCAAACTGATCGTCCGACAGCGATCCAACATAGGCAACGCTAAGCTGGTTGGCATGGAAGATGATATCGATCTTGGGGGCAACAATTATGCGTGGTTAGGTAACGTCTTCTACATTGCATACATTATCTTCCAGTTCAACACATTGGGATGGAAGATTTTCAAGCCGCACAGGTGGGTGACCTGTGTCGTGCTGTTCTGGGGCGTTGTCAGCACATTACAAGCAACTGCATTCAACTGGAAAGGTCTTATGGCCTGTCGTTTCTTCCTCGGATGGGCAGAGACCATGTTCGGACCCGGAATCCCACTCTATTACTCTTTCTTCTACCCGCGCGAAGCGATCGGCTTACGCTTTGGAATTTTCCTCGCTGGAGCGGCTCTCGCCAATGCCTATGGTGGTGCTCTTGCATATGGCCTAGGGCATGTTCATTCAAGCATCAGCAACTGGCGATTCCTATTCATCATAGAGGGTGTTCCCACGGCCCTACTCGCCGTGGCGACTTGGTTCTTTCTTCCAGATTCTCCATCGCAAGCTCGATTCTTGACTCCTAGAGAACGTGAGGTTGCGCAGGCGTATGCGAATAACCAACCTGGCGATTTTAAGAATGAGGGACTCCAACTGTCTCAACTTGGGGAAGCCTTCACGGACTACAGGAGTATGTTCTTTACCAAATTTTTTAATATCGAGACGTTTGGGACAGAGATTGACCATTTCAGATTATCTTTTTGCGATCATTAACTTTTCCAACAACGTCAGTTTTGCCTCGCTTCCTCTCTTCCTGCCGACCATAGTATCGGAGATTGGGTCTTTCTCGGAGGTGCAATCAAACGGCGTGACCGCCCAGCCCTATTTGGTTTGCTTTGTATCTATCATTGTTGTCTCGATTGTATCAGACCGACTTCAACTGCGTGGACCATTCTGCGCTTTGGGGGGATTACTTTCCGCCATTGGCTTCATCCTGCTGGCAACGACCACCACTGTTGGCCCACGCTACTTTGGTACATTTCTGGCTGTGCAGATTTTTGTAACTACATCGATCGTGCTTGTCTGGAACTCCAACACGAACTCAACAGGCTCGAAGAAAGCAGGCGGTTTGTGGATTATTTTTACTATTGGTCAGTGTGGACCGCTGCTGGGAACCAATGTGTTTCCTGACAAGGACGCTCCATATTATGTCAGGGGATCTTGGATCTGCTGCTCCTTTGCGTTGCTGGCAGCCGTCACATCGGGCTTGTTGAGCTATCTTCTTTGGCGCGAGAATAAACGCCGCGATCGTATCTATGGACCTGTTCAACCTGGACGGCAGGTCGATATGACCTCTCGTGAAGACCAGGAGGCCAACATGAGGTTTATTATCTAAGCTATCTTTCAGTCATATCTAAGTATTGATATCACAGCGTGTCTGCCTCACTTGGAAGGGCCATTCCTTTTATCCTGACTCTTCAAGCAGTTTCTTAGCTTTGTTATTAGTATTAGTTGAATGCACTGCGAATTTCAGAGGCATCCATCCATCATCTGTCTTTAGGGCTACATTCACAACACTTGAGAATGAGAATTAACATAGCATGGCATCAAAAGCAGAGAGAGCCGTAGCCAAATGATAGAAAATAATAAGATAATTTTCTGTATGCCAATTATATCAGTAAACTTAGACTAGGCTAATGTGCTATGCAGCTAAAAGACCGCCGTGGCATTGGCAGGACTGGCCACCCCACCAGGAATACACAGAGGCTGGCTCGTCAGCATAAATGTCCACCGACCTAAAGCACGGCAAGTACTGCTAAGTTTTTCTAGGTCCCAGCACTCGCCAATTGGCATGCCCCAGCCACTAAGAAAGACCTGCAAAAAGGATAGGATAAGTTTCGTATAAAACAAAAGGCACGAAATAATGCTTACCTCGTGCATGCTCACACCCCATGGCTTGGAAGATGGCCAGCCCTCGTACGCAACAGTATCACTAGCAACAGCTGCAAATCCATTATCCCAGTGCCATCGAATGCTTTCTTCTGTGGACTCCACACCAATGGAGGCCCGGTCATCACGCCCGCCGAGGCATTCCTTCTCTTCTTCAGATAACCGGTGGTATGCCGCGGTCCATCCAGTTCGAATGAGTAGGATATCCCCTTGACGAAACTCTACTCCTTGCTCTCTTGCTACTGCGAGTAGTTGTGAGAGAGGTATGGTCTGGTTGGTGAACGGCTTATGTGGCAGTTTTTCTCGCTGTGCGTAGGAGTACCAGTCGATTAGTACACCACGCGTAAGTATGGGTTTCATTGCAATGTCTGAGATGGGATTAGAATTTATTTTCATCATTTAATGCACGAGAAACATACTTTGTATACCAATCCTTAGAGTCCGCCTTTCTCCAGAAATATCATCTTGTGTGACGCCATTATAGAATAGTTTTGCTTCCGAGTATGGGTAGTGACGCAGCCCATCCCAGTGACTGGAGCTTTGTGTATTGAAACCAACCTCAATGATCTCATGTCAGTGAAATTTTATTTAAAACTGGAAGAACTATTCATGATTACCTCGTCATCATTGGCATGTCCTTTGGCAATGATACTATGGAAACATCTCTTTCGCATCGGGTTCATCGGTTTCAACGGTACGTTCAATGGGAGGCTGACTTTAGTCAATAACTGAGCGAACTGAACTGCGCAGTAGAACTCACTTCAGGCTAACAATTTTCCCGGAAGACACCTCGAAGCTAGCGGAGCGTACTACTTCTGCAGTGATAAGGTTCAATGTTCCGCGCTCATCGTCAGTGCCCCAAAGTCCCCATGCCGAACCCTTCGGATGATGTGGCTGTAATGGCAACTGGTCAAAACGAGGTCGATTCAAAGTTGACCTTGAATCAGACAGATGGGATGTGTTCACGACAGCCGAATTGCCATTTTCTCCAGGTTCATGGTGATTGGTCGGAGCTATGATACTAGTTCGATTAGTCATAATGGGAAATCGACAAGCGTGAACGACTAAAGGAGTTCAAGAACGACCCCAACAAAAGCGGATAGAAGCCTTCTCATGTATATTCTGGACACAGTTTTTAACCGGTCATCGTCGCTTTTCACATTTACTACCAGGATTTGATCATGCGGAAAGTTGCCGAGGACGCTCAAAGCGCAGTGTCTCGAAGGATCAAGGGCCTCTCATCGGCATGATACCGAAGGCCCCACTTACGGCATCTGACTTTCCGCGATCTAAATGCAAGAGCTAACTACATGGCAATTCCACCTCTATCAGCATATCCCCCACAAAAAACAAGAACCACACACTTTCCCCGTCTCCTAGACCGCGTCGCGGCGGAATAAATAGCGCAGATACAGTCATGGCGACCGACTTCAGCATCCTGACGCCTAATGCCATGCTGGGCTATGGATATCGGCTGGATCATTTCTGGTACGGCATTAAACAATTCCAGCCGAAGGCTATTATCGTCGACAGCGGGTCAACAGATGGCGGTCCATACAAGCTTGGTCTCAACAAGATGACTTGCGGCCGCGAGTCATATATTCGGGATCTCACGCCCATACTGGAGGCTTGTTTCCATTTTGGCATTAAAGTGCTCATCGGCTCCGTCGGTGGTGATGGTAGCGACAAGCATGTCCAGGAGATGCTGGAGATGGTGCAAGAGATCGCAAAGAAATACGGGTTCTCATTCAAGGTCGCTACCATCTCTGCCGGAATTGGTCGTGATTTGGTCAAGGACCGAATTAGAAACAAAAAGGTGGGACCATGTGGACCGGTCGAGGAATTGACAGAAGATAGCATTGATCGGGCCGTTGACGTTGTGGCCCAAATGGGTGCTGAGCCGTGAGTGAAGGCATTGTTATTTGTTTGAAACTATCTCTCATTCGCAACAGATACCTCAAGGCACTCGAGTCAAATCCTGATATTATCCTTGGTGGCCGTTCATATGACCCTGCTCCTTTTGCAGCTTTCTCTATTATTAATGGAGCTGAACCAGGTGTCGCCTGGCACATGGGAAAAATCATGGAGTGCGGTGGCATCTGCGCTGTGCCCAAAGGTCGGTCGATGATTGCTACCGTACGAAAAGACTCATTTGATCTCACACCTTTATCACCGCGAGAGCGTTGCACACCCTTATCCGTTGCTGCGCATACATTATATGAAAAGACTCGGCCGGACAAATTGCCCGGTCCCGGCGGGGTGTTGGAGCTGGACGAAGCTTCATACGAGCAGTTGACAGAAAAGACTGTCCGAGTGCGCGGCGCACGCTTTGTACCAACACCAGTATACCAGGTGAAGCTCGAAGGCGTCGAGAAGCTTGGATATAGGACCGTGTTCATTGGTGGCATTCGCGATCCGATACTCATTAGCCAGATCGACGAGTTTCTAGAGGAAGTTCGCGCATACACTCAGAATCTCTTTCCTGAACTGGATCAATCGCCTCAATGTCGACTGATTTTCCATTTCTACGGTCGCAATGGCACTATGGGACCACTGGAACCCACCCCCACGGCTTCCCATGATCTGGGCATCCTCGGCGAAGTGGTGGCTCCCTCGCAAGAGCTCTCACATACCATAGCAAACAATGCTCGGGCATCTATTCTGCACATGCCATACGAGAACCAAGTTGCAACCACAGGCAATTTTGCGTCACCACTATCGCCGCACGAGCTTGCTGCTGGTCCTGTATTCCGATTCAACTTATACCATCTGATGGACCTTCAAGAAAACGAACAAACCACTCTTTTTCCGATTTCCACAGTCAGTATGCAAAATGAAGCCCAGGATCGAGCGGTTCCAGGCCTCACTAAGGATCAATTGATGCAGTTGGAGTCTGAAGCCTTAGCACCACTGAAATTCAAGGCTGTTCCATCCGAGGAATGTACGATGCTGGAAATTGCCAAGATCATTCGGTCAAAAAATTCCGGGCCATTTGAACTGACGCTGGATATTATATTCGACACCAAGGAGGCATACGAGCGGGTCAAAAAGTCAGGCATCCTGACAAATGAGCGCATTATGGAGCTCTATCATCTCCAGACAAGCGACATTATCACAAACATGTTTTTTGAGCCAGCTTTGGCATGGAAGTGCACGTTAAAACGACCGTGGGAGCAGGGAACGGTGGGAGAGCGAGATACTCTGGGAACTCAACAACATGCCCCGTTGCTCTATATAAAAGTTCCCTCAGTGAACTGAAGCGGCATGTTTGATTAAAGATCATGTGTGTTTTGGGGTATAGATGCCCCTATCTCCTCCGGGGCACGCTGACGTGGACGTACTTAGTCAGAGATGGGGTCCTTTTGATCTAATTCAGTCGATACAATCTAATCATTTCAGCTCGGTGGATATATCCTTTTTTTTAATTGAAACTGTCCCAGCAGGACCGGCGTCGGCCGACTGCTAGTAGTACACTCGCGAACCATGTCGGTCGATTCAACCCTTTGAAAGCCCCTTCGGTTATTTACGGCATTTTGAAATTTTCTGTTCATCTGGAGACCACGACTACCACTCGGGTGCTATGATTGAGTTCTTTTGCAGTTTTCACCGCAATAATCTGGGTAGGTGTGACTGCTCTGCGGCAAGTTATTGTTGTTGCTCGAGTATGCTTCGCAGGCATCAAGCTAGTCGCATAATTATGTCAAATAGAAATCGAAACATCTAGATCTCTATCTGAGACATCGATTGATCCAACCCAATGAGGCAAAAATAAAAACGATGGCTTATTCTGCTGCCTGAAACGCCCTCCGAGCCGTTGCTTAGGCAGCAAGCAACGAAAGTTAAACTTTATGACGGGCAAAGCTTAGCGGCCGCTTAATTATGGCGATCAGGGTCTGCTGGTCTCTGACTGGTGTCTTCGTTCTCCTAAATTGTCCTGACCCACAATTGCATCCTCTGGCACGCCCGTTCCTTCCTATTCCCCTTTCATAATCCACACCCTTAGAGGCTCGTAGCACACTGGTAGTCTCCGTAAGCCCCGGATCTATCTAGACATGAGCTTACGTGGTTGTTCCTGGCTAGGCCCATTATTTTCGCTTATTCAACTCTCCCCAGTTTTTTTCCCCGTACATTCTCGTTCCTTTCTCACAGCATTCATTCGGTCTTTTCCCTTCTCTGTACCTGTTTTAATTCTCTCTCTCTTTTCGCCATTGGGCTACTTCCATTTCCTGTGAGCTTTGGCCTATCTTGTTCTCCATTCTCTCCAACATATTTATTTTCTTTCATGCCATTCATGAAGCCGCAACGATGTCCATATTCGCTCGCCATGACTCAAGTTTACAGCACAAACCACTACAGCCTATCTCAAGCCTGGCGCCGTTCTGTGCCCTGATCATCTCCATCACCTTCGTGGTGCTCTTCCTAGTCCGGTACTACGTCCTAGAAGGATTCCTGATCCGATGGCTGTACGGACCCATTTACACGAATTTGAGCGACATCAACCGACGGGGCTTTATCAACCACCACATCGCCGGAACGACAAAGATCCTGATCCTGATCCTGGCCGTGTACCCATTCATCGATATCACATTTCTCAATGCAAACTTCCACACCTCGTTCGCTGCTGGCTCCATAGTCACAATGGGCGACATCCTCATTGTTGCTTCTCAAATGTTGATCGCCATGTACATCTTTGAACTCCTCTATCGTGTCAAACTATCTCCTGTTGCAATTACGCATCATATCGGGACCATTATCATCGGCCAGTCTGCGATCGCAATCAGCCTACAACTTGCCCGCGAACCAGATGCGGATATTGAGTTTATTCTCTGCACAGTCTGGGGTAAGTTCTCCTTGACATTATCCATTGAGACTTCATCCTAACCATGTCCCTTTCTATGTAGGTGCCTTCGACATTGTCTGCGAATTTCTCCCTCATGTCGCGATTGTGCTTTACCGCATTTTTCCCGAGCGCCACAGGTTCCTCCGCCGACTCTTCTTCTCAGCCTGTATTACGACCGCAGCTGGAACACTTTGCGAGACCATTGTGACAATGTACCTCTTCGGTAGCTTGTGGCATAAGTGGCAGATTGCATTTAAAGTTAGCACTCCACTTCTGCACCTTGCATTTTCGGCAGCTCAGATGCATGGAAGCTTTGTCTTTTGGAAAATGTACCGACGACAACAGATGATTATTAAAGACAACTCAGGGGAGGATGGGGAGAAAGGCGTTGTTACGGAGTTGAGCTATTCGTTGCCACCTGCATTGGGGTCTTGAACATATTTTACTTTTTGCATAATGAGCTAAATTAGATCTTACAACAGGGCATCATCAAATAGAAGGCAAAGCTCTCTGAGAATTTCCGTACTCTCAAGGCCCGATTCGACGTAAAGTCCTGGTCTCAATTGGGAGAACCAACAACTGCATTTTAGTTATGTTGGGATCATCTTAGATTGCTGGAGAGTTCAAGGAATATCTTAGATACTAATTTCTCATCTGGGTGACTTTTCTTCTCTTAGCTATTCATCGGATTCTCTATTCATTTCTGCTGCTGGATCAGTGCTGGATCTCTTAGACCCACTCTTGGCATTCTTAGCCCGGCAAATCTTCGGAGATTTTATTTTAACATCCCCCCAAGAGCAATCACTATAAAAAACTGCCTGATTCCCCAACACCATCACCTGAGTGTCAAGTCAGAGTGTTGATAAAGACCTTGATACAAGTATACGATACTCAATCATGGCATCCAAGGAAAAGAACCCCGAACTCATCGCCCTCGCCCGCGACCTGGCTGAGGTGCCCATGTGCGAGGACTACGAGAAGATGATCTCCGGAATGCTGTACGTGTCTATCCTCATCCTTAGCTCGAGTTCTATCCATACAACGCCAATTGATCCTTCCCCGAAACTCGAGCACCGGAATGGCCAATGCTCATCGGACCAGGTATAACCCCCTGGTGCCCCGCCTCTTGGAAGCCCGCCACCGCTGCCGCATCCTGACCCACGAGTACAACTTGCTCGACCCGCACACGGTCACTTATGAACAGGTCGCCGACGAGCGATTCAAGCGGCTGCAACGGCTTGTCGGACGGGTTGGTGAAGGCACCTTTGTCGAGCCGCCATTTCGGCCAGATTATGGGTGTAATATTATCATTGGGCGGGATTGTTTCTTGAACTGGAAGTGAGTAAAAATTACACTACGAAATATCTTCTGTTCCGTTGGGAGTCTGTCTAGGAATAGATGGTTGACATTATTTCAGTATTACGATCCTGGATACTTCTCTGGTCATCATCGGAGACCGGGTCCAGATAGGTCCAAATGTTGGGATTTTCACGGCGGGCCATGAGACAAGTATCCTGTCGCGGCGCAAGATGGTTGAGTTTGGACAGGTTGTCCGCATCGGCGATGACTGCTGGATTGGGGGGCATGTGGTTATCATGCCAGGCGTCACGATCGGTGAGGGCTGCACCATTGGCGCGGGCTCAGTGGTGACGAAGGATATCCCGCCCTTTTCAGTCGCGGTCGGGACTCCGTGCAGGGTCCGCAAGACCATTCAGTCGGCGGAAGAGGAGGAGAATGATCCGGCCAATCCATATCGGGCGATGACGAGGGAACTCTAGGAAGAGAGTAAGTAGTTTGGCTTAGGGGTCGGTATCTAAAACCCATCCTTGCATAAAATCAAGGTCGTAGTCTTCAGAACCCTGCTTTATTCTCTCAGTAAAATACTATTGTCTAACGCCGTTCGACTTATCAATTTTATGAATCCTAGTTGTACATATTAATCTGCCGAGATTTCAAGAAACTTACTTGTAGTCTTTTTTTATCAGTACGATGATGTATTATTTACGTCAAATTAATCAAAAATTCCTTTTGTGCGTCGGTGATTATGAGGTGTTGAAGAATTTGTGTTGTAGTTGCAGAAACTGTTCCTCCTTTTAGCTTCCTGGTCTCACAATCAAATTCTCCAGTAACCCCGATAGCCCGGAAGGCACTCTTAACTGCATAGCCACCAACAAGCCTGGTTACCACACGACACAATACATTCGGCCGTAACCTCATGAACCACGAGATGCGTGTAATAGATGGCAACTTAGCGACCAAGAAAATTCGGACCATCGAGAAAGAAAGGGGTGCATATACTCCTATTTAAGCAAACCCTATCTACCAGACCTATCTACGTACCACTAACTCCCATGGGGTAGTATTCCTTTCCTAGAGATACTTCGTTGAAGAATGTAGGTACTGCAAACTGCCTAATAGGTTCTTAAGTATATTTGGTCGGCTTCATGGACTTTACCCAAGGCTTCCAGAATTTTTGAATACCTTCTGGGTAATTCCACCCGCTCCAGTCGGCGTTTGTTAAACCCCAGGTGTCGGTCACGCCTTGAGCACCAGATCTCACCCGATAGCTGCCAGCGTACGCCCACATAGCCCAGCTTATATGATGAGCTTTGGTAAAGGTTCGGATGCAATCTTGCAGTGTCGCGTTAAACAAGCTGGCGTCCTGGGCATTGCCGAACTCAGAGAGAATCACTGGTGTCAACCTCTGTGCCGGCGGGCAGTCGCCAGTGAGACGGCATCCATCCGCTGGCGGTGGGATGCCCAAAGCATTGAAGCCATTGCGATAGAAGGCAGCCTCAATAATGGGACACGTCCCAGTATCAATATCCTCGCTCATATCGTACAAGTGCAGTTCCCAAACAATCTTGTTTGCCCAGGGATAGCTGTCAAGGTCGAAATACACTGGTGATCGACGGTGTGCATCTCGAATAGCCGTGCATTTGTAGCACGGCGCAGTAAGCAGATTCTTCCGTGTTGTCAGTGCCGACAAGTCCTGGTCGTACTGCATCCCAGACCAAGTGATCAGCAGGTCCGGGTTAGCTTTATGGATTGTGTCCGCACCGGCGCTCATATTGCCTACAAGCGTCATCCAGTCGTAGTAGAGATTCGTTCGGTTCCACGACTCCCGCAGCTCATTGTGTAGTGACATGGAGACGACATTGGGATGTCCCTTCGCCCATGTCGCCATGTACGCCATACCACGATGCCATCGGCTGACATCAAAATCCACGTCGTCAAACCATCCATTGCCGTCCGTATGCGAACAGCACCACTCGGCGGTACTCATCTGAGTGTCCGGATGGATAAAAATACCTTTTTGTAATGCGAGCCGTGCTATATCTGACCAGATCTGGAAGCGCGTTGTCTTTGGTGTCCAGCTAGGATTTCGCGCAACGATTTCATTGGTGACCTTACTGCCATTTACCTGGCCCAAGCCCTCAAGCATAGCCTGCTCGAGAGGAACATCCATACCGTCACGCTCGTAGATTTGATCAATCATTTCGACGGCATAAGTTCTATATCGTTCCGATTCATCAGCTTCCAAAGGAAATAGAAAGCAACGATTTCGAGGAGTCTCACAATCGTATAAAGTTGAATCCAATTCCGGCCATATCGTCTAGGATATCCGCAGCGGACTTGAATTCTAGCCCTTCAGGTATCATAGTTTCCACTTCACAAGTTCTTAGTATCACTAGCTGATTTTTCTTTGTCACATCATGACTTACGATGTGCAGGCCAGTTGACTCCGGCCCATTGGATCACGTCGCCGCGAGAATTAATGATATCTCTACCTTTCGTACTGAAGGGACCATATGGCCATGAGGTTTTATGTTGGGCGTTGTCTCGCCTGGGGATATTTACTTCACCCAACTGAGGATTGTCGCTGATCGACTGCGGTAGACGCACAAGCTCTGCGCAAGTAGGGGCAAGAAGTGGCATTAGCCCCAAAAGGCTTTTGACTTTCATCGTTCTGTTAATTTCGAAAGCCTGATAAACTGATAATGGAGATCAATTGTTTTGAAAAAGAAAAAAGAGAATAAGAATATGCATGTTTTTAAAAGTATCCTGTGCTCCGGCTCGGTTCATTAAATGCCGACAATATTATATGGGCTTGATTACAATGCCGAACCCCTCCCCAGCACCTAGCCTGGGCCTTGGACCGTGCACATGGTGTGGGGAAGCCACCACCGCAATTTTTCCGCATACAGTATGGTTAGATGGCTGTCGCTTGCTATAGTTTAAATTCTCCCGCGGAGAGGGGTATGGATTAGAAGGAGCCGGGTTCCCCGGCAGAGGAGAGACTGTTTGGCCCTGTTATTGCTGCTAGTCAGCATGAGAACCTCTCATGGCAATGGAATCCATGTCCCAAGCCCCCTTCCATCACCCTAGTAGTACATATGCAAGTACACGTGTTGATCTGAATCTGCCATTGGACCTTCATACCATATACAAGACGTACATTTCGGGTCATTTCCGTATTTTCGCACGGACCCAAACGGAAAAATCGGGAAATGAGAAAGATTTAAATTTAGAACTTGGCCACTCAGCCAGCACTGACAAATAATTGAGGGGCGTCAGAGGAAACATTGAGGGAAGCTTGTCATTTCCGCGTTTTCCCTCTTTTCACCTTTTGTCGACTTCTAAGTTGACTAGAAGTTTCGAAGTCCTTACTATGGCAGAACCAATACCGCTACCCAGGGTAAGATACTTTAAGTAATCAACTGAAGATCAGGTGCATTTATTCTATATATTTGGTCAAATTGTTCTCGATGGATAACCCACAGCGCTCCGATATGAGCAAATCTATAAATGGAACCCCCATACTGTAACAGAAGAGAATGAAGGTACTGATGGTATAATTGTGAGAACAATGACCAAACAGTCGATATAGGTATTTGATCAGCGCATAAATCATAGGTAATAGAATTCAATCGTTGCCCGCGTTTAGAAGCAGAAGCATTTTCTGGTGTGTGCAGTTGTTTGACTGGTCAGAAACCCTTCCACATGCAATTGAAGAGTCTACGCACCTCTTATATGTGCAATAAAATGGTCAAGGTTACCCTATCGAGTAATAGTTATTATTTTTTTCTGAAAGACAGTGGTCCTCGCATGCAATGGATAAGCTCATCACGATGAGATGTGTTCAGAGATTTCTTTTTTCACCCGCAGGGATGGGATAAGAATTACGAAGTGTATTTCCGAGGTGGACATGAAAGCTAAGTGCCAAAAATAAATACTACCATTCACATATTGTATAATATGCCCAATCGCGTTATCCACGGTGTCCGCCAAGTCATCAGCCACAATGCCCTGAGGCGACAAACGCCAAGACTGTGCCTGGCGCGCGATCTGATTCTGTAAATATTTGGGACTCTCTTTGTTTCTCTTCTTCTTTTCATTCTCTAACTTGGAAGTCTCGTCGACTACAGTATATCAATTTGACTACATTCTCGTTTTCTTCCTGATCTGACTACCTGGTCACATATCAGTCTTAAATACATGATTGACCAGATATCACATCAGACGTAATATGTGACCGGACAGTCAGGTCAGAAGAGAAAACAACGAAACCGATGGTATTCAGTCTGAGTATCATGGTCGGTGGGACTTCCAAGTTGGAAGAAAAGAGAAAAAACAGAAAAAACAGGCAAACAAAAGGAGGCCAACTATGTACAGAACCCATACCACGTGCCAGGCACAGTCGCCTCAGGCACCTCCAGGCTGGTCACATAATAGACGAAGGTGTCTTCATGCACGGTCTGCGCCACAAGCTCATACCGCTATGGTCTTGTAATTAAGGCCCTAATTCACGCAACATTTATACGAGCTGGGGCCCGGGCATAGGCCACTAGATATCAAACATTATTAGCTGATGTCTTATAACGATTTCAAGCATAACTCAATTGCAGAATATAAATGAAACAAATTAAATAACCGAATAAGAAACCAAGTTACTAACCTGACAAAAGTGCCAGTTTCGCAATACCCCTGACCAGAAATAGCACACCAATTGCTGTTAGAGCCACCGCATGATGGAAGAAAGCAGCATTTGACATCATCTGCAGCATCTGGGCAGTTTCCAGATGAGTAGACACCATCATTGTCATTACACCAACTTGTAGATTCACAGATGCCTGAAGCCTTTATGAGATAGTCAGTAAGAGTGATACATCTTTGTAGTAATAACATTAGGAAGGGAATAGGAAGTATACTTACAGATGAATCACCACCATAATTACAAAGATCTCCAGCTCCTTGACCTAGAGCCAATGGAAGGAAACATAAAAGCATAAACTGCCACATTTTGATCTTTGTTTGAGATAGGAACCGGTTGCTATCACAATTGTATGAGGATTTGAGATATAAAATCTCTTCTTGAAAAGTAGGTTCTTGGGTTTATATATTCAAGATTTTGGATTATAGATTAGCCTGTTTAGAATAATTTATCCTAACTCTTGGGTGACCCCAAGCCTATATCTTATAGGGATACATATGGTTCTTCAGAATACGAGCATACATTAACCGACGACTGGTCAAGCTCTGACCCGTGCCTTCTAGGGACACATAAGCTTTCCCAGAATACGAGAATACTTTAGCCAACGACTGGTCAAGCTCTGACCCGTGCCTTCTAGGGACACATAAGCTTTCCCAGAATACGAGAATACTTTAGCCAACGACTGGTCAAGCTCTGACCCGTGCCTTCTAGGGACACATAAGCTTTCCCAGAATACGAGCATACTTTAGCCAACGACTGGTCAAGCTCTGACCCGTGCCTTCTAGGGACACATAAGCTTTCCCAGAATACGAGCATACTTTAGCCAACGATTGGTTAAGCTCCGGCCCGTGCCTTCTAGGGACACATAAGCTTTCCCAGAATATGGGCATACTTTAGCCAAGAATTGGTTAGGCTCTGGCCCGTGCCTTATAGGGTCACATATGACTTCCTCCGAATACGAGCATACTTTAGCCAACGATTGATTAGGCTCTGGCCCGTGCTTACAGGGTCACATATGACTTCCCCAGAATACGAGAATACTTTAGTCAAGGATCGGTTAGGTTCTAGCCAGTGCCTTGTAGGAAGAGGGCGTGACAGAGCCCGTCGACTACCCACCATAGCTTAGGACCGATGGAGCCGTCGCATTTCATGACCATTATGAATCCTACTCGGGAAAGCATTGTAAAAGTATCTATCTGCCCGTGGTCTGTCGAGTCGTTATCTCTCTGCTCTATAGATTTGCTCGCGAATCATACCAGGCACATCTTCATGCGACTGTAAAATCCCTCCGCCCTGCACATATTTAACCAAGATTTCCAGCTGATCCCGGTAGAGATTATAGTGTTACTTTCCGTAAAGACCCTACCAGCAGTGCGGGCCTAGTTCACAGGGCCCAGGACAACGCATCAAAGCATACGCCTCTTTCTAGGCAGGTGCTTCCTTAGCATAGATCTGTCGGTCTCGTTCGTGAAGCATCCGCTAGGTAGCAGACGTAGTGCCTCGTTTATCAGTCGTCCTGCCACTTAGGGTTGAGGTCGAAACGTTCTCCACGTAATTGAATGAAGTAACAAGTCTCAATTTCTTGCCAGCAAGAAAAAGGTCTCCCCAATCGAATTGCTACTTTTCTATAGAGGTCCAATCGATGTCGGTTCCATCAAAACTCACAGTGAGACCCTTCTGCCGAGTGACGGATACGACAACAGACGTGTCATCCCGATTCAAGTTTTCGATATGGATATTTTCGTTCAGTAGCTCCTTTAGCTTTGGTTGCAAAAAGCGTCTCTGGTGAAATCGAGGGGCTAGAACCAGATCTTGTTCTATATCTTTCGCCACCGTCCTTTTGTTGAGGTTAACCTTCCACTCGATCAAGTAGTGGGTACAAGTCGGTGGATCCTCGTCATATGTTCGACCTTCCTCCGAATAACCGAACTAGAGTAACGGAAGTCTATTCTTTGCGAAGTAGTTTGTAATGGCGAGGCGTAATCGATAGGGGAGATGCGATCGACTTTGATGCAGCTTATGTCGGACGGGGAGGCCGGTGACCAACGGAAGTTTGCCAGGTGTTGATGCATATTGTGATGTATCACCCCATGGGCCAAGCACCATGCTTTGTTGAACGCCATAATCATCATGGCTAATGAGAGGATTGGGAGTCATTTTCTTAGGCGTATTATAACGGCAGACTAAAGGCGAGCGAATATCAGTTGAGGCTTACACTATTAGGAGCGATTGAAGACGTTCGCCTGCAAACAGCCGCTAAGTGGTCAGAAATGGTTGTTGGCCGCTAGTGTCATTTGTTGAGGTTGTTCTCTGGGTCAAAGGGACAGCCTAACAGGTGACAACAAGCACACCCGCAAGGCATGAGAAGGAGAACTGAAGCCGCCAAGAAGATCATCAGGTTACTGAGCACCAGGCAGCCCTCCCCACATGATTTGCAGATCCACTATTCGACTCCATGGAATTCCACCGAGGTTTTACACGCATAGCGCAATTTCCATAGCAGGGTACTGTAACATGCAGTACACAGCGCATTTTAGTGCGCCTTCGATTTAACGCGGCCAGCTCAATAAATGATGGGTGTAAAGCCTCGGCAGTGGGGCCAGGAAAGAGTTTCTCGTATATAGGTCAAGGCGATTTCGAGAACGACTGTACAGTAACGTAATTCTCGGGTCAGTAGGCCACCCAAGCGAGTAGGCCAACCCAAAACACCATAGCAAATGCTATATCACAACTCGATATATCAACAACCAAAGGTTAAGTTTATTCGGTTATTGGTATGATAGTATTTATATGGATGATAAACAGTGTCAACAGTCCTAAATATAAATAAAAATAAGTATCACCTTGCTTCCGCACGCTGGCAGACGTAGATAACATTGAAATATAACAACGGCCCACACGTCGGCTCCAATAGCAATCCGTGCCTTAGGAGTAATGAGTATTTTTACAGCCCTGAAAACCAATCCAAGAACGACACATAGCCTTTCGAACGGCCAAACACCCCCAACACCGCATATATATAAGTACAAAGATTAAATAGAAAAAGGACAACTGCGATTTGAAAAAGGACTCTCTGAGCTTTGGGGGATTGAGGATATTTCCGCCAGCCGAGCTGCACACTCCGCCAGATAAGACAAAGAATGACGAATCCAGTACCGTAGAACAATAAGTTATTCCTGGTTGTAATGTCCATGGTCTGTTGGCAATAGTTCACTTCTGATTACAGTATAATTAGCGATTGGACCATCGCCTATCATGTACCGACTTACGCACGATCTCGTGATGACTGATATTTACTAGATCACTAGGGGCGACTATATTTTAGATAATGTCAAGATCTGGGCGTACGACAGTCCCACATGGACGTGTAATTCACGAAGAAATAAATCTCTGATTCTGATAAATCTGGGAATGCCCAACAATTTAGAGGGCTCACTAACTAGCAAATGACTAATACATAATAGGAAATATTGATGAGGGGTAAAATCCCTGTAACGTTATGTGATCTGTAGGAATTCCAATTCTTGACAGATAACAATATCGAAATTTCAAGAGGGAATGCCGTATAATCAAAACGCCTTTTAAGAGTTCTGATCAAAACTTAGAGATAGAAGAATAGATAAAATTTCCCGCTCATGAATATGAAGAACTCTTTCTTAGGGGGAAAATAGAAACAGAGATCATTTTATCTCACCACTCGTAATTTTCCTTTCTGACAATAAAGATAGCAATGAAAGATAGGCGCTTAACCATAGGGCCAGGACCCAAAGGTTTGACCGAAATTCTCCCCGTTTTGAGGTCTGTTAGTAGACATGCTTCGCAGATGGGTTCCAAGTAATATGTTCACCACGGCTTCATATCCATACTTAGCAGACAGAGATAATGGCATATAGCGTGTAGAATCCTTCGGGTCCACGCCAATCTGACCTGTCTCCATTAATAATCTCACTACAGCCCCACGGCCATATCTTGCCGCCCAAGAAAAGGATGTATGACACGAATCCGAGGCGACCCGGTCTGTCTCAAGAAGGAGCTTCATGGTCGCTTCACATGCATCAAGGGCGACTAGAGAGGACAGAGTCCATCCTTCGGATTCGCTCAAATTCCTATCCACCTGTCTTGTCCGAAGCAATAGCTTCTTGACCTCCTCCCATCCTTGCTGTGCTGCCGAGTGTAGACCCATCCAACCAAATAAACCCTCTGACTCTGAATGCACAACCGTCATTCCTGTTTCCAGTAAGAGCTTCACTGCCCCTTTATGTCCCTTGATTGCACCCCAGGATAAGGGTGTATCGCGGCTATAGTCTCGTGAGTCTACATTCGCTTGGCCTGTCTCAAGTAATAACTTCAACACTCTCTCACTTCCAGAACCGGCAGCATAAAACAAAGGTGTCCATAGGTCATTGTCCTTTGAGTCCACGTCTACCCGGCCTGTCTCAAGTAATAGCTCGACCACTTTCCAGCGGTCGTATTCCGCAGCGAAAGATAGAGGTGTACGATCCTCTCCTCTGTTCGAGTCGGCGTCTACCCCATCTGTCTCAAGCAATAGCTTCACCACTGCCTCGTGCCCATGCTCTGCAGCCAAGGATAATGGTGTCCGGCCTAGTTCCATCAATTCCACTTTTGCTCCCATTTGTAAACACCTTCGCACTGTGTCCTCGTTTCCACGTTGAGCGCCCCAAAATAGAGCGGCATTTGAGCCCTGAGCATCCAGTGTGTAGAGATATCGATCAAGGAGAGCATGAAGGCGTTTATTCGCTTGAGACAATGAGTTGATATCTCTTGTTGTTTCAAAGAATCTCGCGATGAGGAGAAGTAATTCTGACGGTAATTGTGGCAGAAGCATTATCATTGAAAGCTCGAACGATGCCGCTGGGACAGATTTCGCCTCGGAGAAGATCCGCTGGTGGGCTAGTGGGATAGGAGGGTACTGCGCAGAAGTCAGACAACCCTTCTGCTGCCGCCTCCCTGAAGCTCCAAGAGACTCACCGCCCGGTAATCTCGGTGTTTGATTAGTGGAGGCTTAACTGGCACAATTTGGAAGGGAATGACAGGTGGGAGAGATCCACTGCCGCTTTTTTGATTTGAACTGTTTGCATTTTTGTGAAAGATCAGGGAATTCAAAATGAAATTTCGATATTCCGAAATTTCCGAAATTTGGCTGCTTGGAATGAAATTTGAAATTGGCCTTGAAATCGAGCTAGTCCTAGATAGGCAATAGACGATCACGTGATAATCAACAGAACAACAGCATGCTGCGAGTTGAGGTGACAAGAAATCAGACTTGATCTGTAGCCATTGGCTCGGTCAAATTCACGAGAATGATGACTCATTAGACACCAGCCCCTTGAAATGAAATTGAAATGAGAAATAAAAGTAAAATTTCAATATTTCGAAATGAGTTGGCCAATTAACAGCCCACCAAGAGTCCAAATACAATATGATAACATTATTTACATAGATTCATATATATTTATACTGCTAATACGGTGTATTACCTGTTAATTACACCCCAACACTAAGGGACGGGAAAAAGGAGCCGAAAATGGCTACATTTGAGGTTATTTTCAGCATCCATTACAATTCTCACGAATTAAAGATCGGGGGCTTTTCTACGCCGAAATATCGACGGTTCGTTCTTAAGTAAAAGAAGGATTTGCACTTCCTATGTATTTATCGGAGTCAGAATCCGATATTGCTGATTGGCTTCTAAGTCATCCTCTAGTTCACTCGCTCCTCCTAGTACATTCGTACTAAAGTACCAAGACAGTATCAAAAATTTCTTTCCAATAGGACTAACTAGACCAAGAATACGAGATAAGAATCAAACGCTTCGCCTCCAAATGCCAAATGGATCAAACTCGTATTTGTGCTTGGCAACCTTGGCAGGTACTTGGCAGCTTATGGCGTGGTTATATCGGGATATTAAAGGGGGAATAGCCCCAGTGAAGCGAAAAACAAACTGGTAAAAAAATCATGTGGCCGATCGGAACTTTCTACTTACTTCTGCTCCTGGTGCAGCCAGTCTTTTCACGCATCAGTCCCTACGATGTTGATAACAATCTACGCCCAGACAACGTCACTGGTCTCGACTATAGCTATTATAGCGATACTGGCTCGTGCGTACCGCTTGTCGATTAAGAACCACGGTTATAACCGGAAAAACTCATCCATGACAATAGTTACTACAATGGCACCCTCGTCTTGACGTTCTCCCCGGAGTACAACCCAAACAAGCTTATTTATGACGGAACCACTTGTGTAGAGCACGAAAACAGCACTTTCAAGATTTCTATGAATGCCATCGCAGGCTTTGAAAGGGTCGCACCTGAAACACCCTCGCCCGATCCCTTTTTCCTAGATATCTACGGATGGGACCAGGCATATAACCTGACCAACCAATACGACACGGCCAATTATAGCGAGTTTCAGGAGATTCATCTCAGCTCTAGTTATAGGTATGCCACTAATTCGAGTGACGCGGAATAAATCCGGAAATGACTAATTGCGCTGTAGCCAGGTTTACAATGAAACTTGGTGGTTCTACAACATGACTGAGACGGACAGCGAGTCTTACAAGTTCAGAGGCACGATGAGTACATATTTCCTTCGCAAATTCCAGTTCAAGTTCAACGTCTCCGGAATATGCGATACACCATTCGAATATCAGCAGTTCTTCAGCGGAAGCTACCTCACAGCAAAGGATAACGCGGAGAGTCATTATTTTGCTCGACCCATCTCCACGCCGAGCATTTCGGGGTCTTTTAATCAGCGGAACGCATGGGTAGAGACTTCAGGGCATTTTACAGCAAATAACAGGGGTACTCAGCTTATCGGTAGACTCACTATAGTTTTTGAGGGGACGATTGATAAGGAACGATCCGACGAGTTGATTCTAGGGAGAAAGAAGCCGGAATGGAACGCCACGCTTGGATTTGAGATTGGATCTGTTGGAGGTGTGACATCGAAAGCGGTGGCTTTGTCTTACTCGGTTTTTATGTTGATTCTAGCGGGGTTGCTGAGTATGCCTATGCTCGGATGAGAATATTATATTCTGCCTCTCAGCATACTCAAAGACTTCGGGGGATGTGATTACGTACGTCTCGGCGTATCCCATTGCTGCCGCTTCGACGAATGCGTTCCCTAGCTGACGTTCCTCCGACGATATGTGTTCGCTGAACTGTCCGGTCTCGGCAGGATGTGGGGATCTGTTGCTGGAAGCGAGATGTAACACAACGAGAACCTAACAGTCTGTACTGAGTACTTTCGAAGGTTAGTAGCTGGGAGCAAGTTAGATTGGAGAATTTACTCAATGTCAACCCCCACAGACTTTCTAAAACTTCTGTTTCGAGTTCAGACATGGCTTCAAAATCCGACCAAGACTGTAAACCTTCTGGGGAGCTGGGCTCATTCTCAAAAATGTCGTCATCTATGACAGTAGAGTCAGAAGAAGAAGCCTGCATTGCTCTCCTTTCCAATCGTCGTGACGATCGATGCTTTTTCTGAACGCGCATTCTGTCCACAAGGCGAGGTTCCCAGGCCCATTTAAGACGATTGTACTGCCCGCGTAGGGATTCTCGAGTACGTCCTGTTCGAAACTTTTTGTTCCATAGAATGACTCGCGCAGGCCAAGAAAGATAAGAATATTTTCACAAAAAGGTCTTCAGTGCGGTCAATTCTTCTTTTTTCCATTGCATAATGTGGTGATGTGGTGATCGAAAAGTTGAATCTGACAAAAAGTGCGCATTACAGTGGGATGACCAGGATTATAAACCTTTCAATCAGCCTTGAAGGTAAATACTGGACACTAAAAAGTATTAAAAGGGGGGAAAAGAAAAACCAAATGAAAAGGTGGAACCAGAAGCATGGGTGGAAGATATAACATCATACTAGGGTGGACCAACATGGCGATCACACGGTGTACGACGACACTGTTCAACAGAAGATACTTTGCAGAGATTCATAGTTTATTGATATCACCAACAGCGCTTAAGAAGTTAATTTGATCGGCTAATTTGCGTTTTCTGGAGAACGGACACAAAGGGAGTTGAGATCTGGCTGGACACGTATCCATGTAGGCATGGTGAAATAGCGAAGGGTTAGCTTTCACATCAATGAGAGAGTTCACCAATAGAAAGTGATTGAGAACATGACAATGAAATGAGGAGGTAGAATGACAAAATACATTCAGGAACGCGAAGTCATGCAGCCATAAACATCGAGGTGCCTCTCGACATCCACACCAGACACAGCCTAGCTCTGGGTGCTGCATGCCTAGACGCCATAGACGACTACGATTATCATTTGATCATTTGTGTCCAAGTTGTGAGATATTACGCGAGCTTCCGGTTCAGGTTGGGAAGAAACTCCAATATAGAACCCCGACACTATTAATAGTCTCAAGGGTCGACATGTGATCCGTTACGAACGCTTTTTCCGCGCCCGGCTAGCGCCCGCTTGTACACCCGCTCCGCCTGGTCCAGCTTGCCTTGGCCCCGATATAAAACCTCGAGATTATTAATAGTGGAGAGAGTCGACGGGTCGTCTTCTCTGAGCATTTCTCCTTCCCGGCTAGTGCCCGCTTGTACATCTGCTTCGCAGGAAAGGAATGCTGACTGACTATACGACAACAAAGGAATGAATCATGGCCCAAAGGTTTGTCTCGCAATCAATGAATTATGTCCAAATGCGATAATTTCGCAGACTCCTCCTTGATCTTAGGGGGCAGCAGGGGCAGCATATCCATCCTTCTTCGTCTCCTTCGCCTCCAGCTCCTCGGTCGTAGGCTTCCTAGCCCAGACGCGTTTCCTAGATAATTAGTCATTTATACCCAGAACTTACCCAATAGAGGAGAAAACTCACGCGCGCTGAACAAAATGAATCCTCGGATTCTGAATCTCCGTCCGACTCTTCGCCATAAGAACCTGCACCTCCTCCTTCGCCCACGGCTGCGGCGAGCCATGCTTAGTGAGCAGGTACATTGCCCAGCCCTCCATGCCAGCCGCCCACTGGTGGTAATGCAGACGACCGGCCTCCTTGAGAGTGGGATCCTTAGGCCACGGCCCGATGGGCATCTTGTAGTTCTTCTCGTGCACATCGACGAACCCGGCTTTCTCCATATATTGCCGCATCTCAGCCATCGTGTCTAGCGAGTGGCCCCAGTTTTTGCCTGCTTCCTTGACCGCGTCCCCGAAAGCCTGCGAGTGGCAGTTCTTCGGCATTGTGTTGTCCTCGCACAGAACTACTGGGTCGCCTTCCCATTGTTCGATCCAGCCACCAGGGGCGAGTTTACTAGGATTTTTGTGAGAATTGATCAATCACGGTTGTGGGACTGAGATTGGGATTGGGGTTTATATGTGTGGACGCACTCATAGCACTGCTTGTACAGCTTGGTCCAATCCTCGGGCGTGAACGAGCCGATCATCTGGCGTAGGTGGATCAGGTCGAAGGCCGTGCGCCATGTCCATTCCTGGAGCACGTCATCAACTTCCAGGACACAGTTAGGCGGCAACCAGTCCAGCGGAGGGGGGTAGAGATCGACGCCGCGGACGTTTGCTGGAATACGGTTAGACGCGATCGGAGCAGAGTCTGTAATATTTACCGTCCGGGAACATATCAGCGACATCACTATATAAGAAAGGTTTAGCTCGCTCAGGTCATATATTTTCAACGACAGGAGATGGCACGTACACAGCCCAATTGCCTCGGCCGGTGCCAAGATCGAGGATATGTTTGGGGTTCTTTAGGGGCGCCTGGAACAGCGGGTTCTCCGAGGCCGAATCGAGGATCATGCAGAGGATGTGTCTAGGATATATTAGTACTGTGCTATATTTCTGTGGGAATCAATTAACGTACCCAGCTTCCAAACTCTCGAAATGTTGTTCGTCCGATGGACACCTGCGCGACTCGGTCAGACCAGTAATCCCATAGACCAGACAGCGCTATATTACCAGTATTCGCCCTCTTTGACCGCTTGGTATCTGCTCAATCATCACATCAATAATGTCGGGAATCTATTATGATAGTCATGCACACCGTCGGCCATTTTCCATGACACCGCGATAAATCGACGAGGCGAGCGAGGTCGTCTCCCTGGTCTGGATTAGCGATTAGAGTATCATCGGAGAGGGGCAGAAACACCCACGACTCGAAATCACTGGGCTGGTAGGCATCGTGGGCGGCATAAAAGTCCGGGTCCTGAGTGCGATAAGAATCTGGAAAGAAATGCGACCGGGGAGGTTGGGGTACATACCACGGCGATCGGCTTCTCGGACATGACGAGGGAGGTGTATGTGGTGATGAGATAATAATATAGTTCCTCACGAGAAAGACACCAGCAGTCACGGAGTCTGGGGGAGAGAAGAGACCTAAGAGACAGTTTCAAGGATTTGGCAGTGTCAATCCTGCTAGTTAGCGGTTGGTGTGCCCACGCCACACAATTCACTACGACAGCACTGTACTAGGCCGAGTAGGGAAGGAAGAGGGGTAGTATTAACCCTGTGTGTTCTAGTGGCCCGCGTTCCTTTTGGGGCGATCGTCGGAACATAACCAATGGACCACTGGCGGGAGCACGGAGGATCCGTGCTGGGCCGTGGTCTAGCCGGTGGGTCAGGGGGGATTGCATTATAAAGAACGACAAAAGTACGGGATAGTAAGGGCCTCGGATAGGGTTCTGTCAGGATTTCTGCTAGGGCTTGGATGTGATCGACGGTATATAGGTCTACCATTGGGGACATTATGCACGGATTTGCACACATTGAAAGCGCCTTCACTGAAGCACTGTGCGTTGTCGTTTCACGGGCTTTCATTTGCATCTGCCTCAATTGTTAGCAACAAGCCAGTGGTTTTATTGAATGGATTCTTTGTTTGCTATGGACGACTAATTTTCTAGCAAATAAAGAGAACTGGGAGTATGGACTGGACGACTAAATAGCCTGGTTCGCACCATCTTGGATTTTGAATTTCTCACAGATCCTCAGAATGCCAGATAATGGGACTCAGCGCAAGCTCCTGCCCGCGAAATTTGAATGCCTCATGCAATCTTTCGAAGTGAACCCGTCGACAATAAAGCGACACAATGTCTCTCTTGCGTGCACAGAGTGTCGGAAAAGAAAATTGAAGGTCAAAATTATCAATCCAATTTTTGCCGACTGGGCTAATATACCCAACATAGTGCTCTGGTACAATTTCACGCATGAGATGTACGAGCGAAGCATGCCAGTGTACGTACGATCCAAAAAGCGACCGTAGACGCAAAGCTCATGGTGTTGAGCTATTGGGTTTTGATGTTGGACTGTGTCGAATTGCTGCCAAACTCCGCTCTGGAACCCCCGAGGAGATATCATGGTTTATCTGGAACGTCCAAAAAGTTGTCAACGGATCAAGAGGCAGTAACTATTATGCAAGCATACTGGACAAATAGCGATTTGGGAATGTTCTTGTGATGCTCACATCTTGAGAACTGAACAATATCAAGGCTCACAGTAAATAGTAGCTTCTGTTATTGTACGCCGCCGCTGTTTTATTGTCTACTTCGGTTCTTCTAAAAAGGGAATAGTATAAGATCAACAAATCAGGCGAATGAGAGATTTGCACAAACAGTCGTCAAAGTGTCTCTACAGCGCATCTTTGCGAGAGTACTTGTACCGTTTTGCGCAAGACTCGTCCATACAGTACCGTAATGAAATCTGCACCGATATGTGATATGAACCTGGTGCAGATTAGGAACAATGCCGCTGCCGTCGGAAATAATTATACCCTCTTCCAAACGGAGAACCAAGTTGATTAGAAATTCAATTGGCCACCATGCTGTATATATAGCCTTCTGTACTCCCTCTGAGATGGTGGCAAAGCTTCAAGTGCTGGCACTCATCACTATAGAATCTTTCTGCCGCTGCTCCTCCCCCATTCGAAAATCCGTATTCACTGTGATTTTGCCATCCTCGCTCCCATCTGTCCTGATATCACCCATTTCGACTTGTACGGCATTGGTCGTTAGCAAGGCCTCATCCCAGTCAAGAGGCATGTGCGGCTTCCGTCGTGTACTCTTTCTCTTGACTAGTGCTATCGGCTCCGAGTTATCCATGTATCGTTCCCTGCTCGTTCCAAATATTCGGGCAATCGTGTATCGGAGAAGTGGCTGCAAGGTTGGGAGACAAGCGCACACAATACCAATGCAGGGTTCGACACTTGACCAGATAAAAATGTCTCCCATGACCCAGGTGACATCGAGCGAGTTTTTGAGGAAGGTCATATAGTATATCCGGATGAGGCTTGCGACGCAAACACTACAAAGAAGAAAGAATTAGCTGAGAAGTCGGTGAATGTTTTGCAGTGAAGACGTACAACCCGCCTAGCATGAAAATTCCGCTGATCAACAGCTTTTGGGTGGATTTCATCTGTAGTTTCCACACTATAGGAATGGGAACAAGCAAGATGATCACATCCGTAGTGACGTTCGCCGCAGCATTGCCTATGTAAAAGGGGAAGAGGTTGAAGACACATTTCCCTCCACTAGGATCCACGTATTGTGTCCAGTAGTAGGAGACCGGCCGACAGCAAACCAGAAAGGCAATCATGCAAGAAACAAAGTAGCCGATAGTGAGAAAAACGCAGAACCACATCGGCTTGGTCATGCCGAAGATTCGCCGATAGAACAGAAGGATTGACAATTTGATTGATGGGACGTTGACGACGTAGAGGATCACATATATGAATAAGATCTGAACCACTTCCACCACGTCAAGGATGGGTACAGCCCAAACGTGTTTTCCGAGGCCATAATTTCCTCCTACGCGGAGGAGAGTCAGATTTGGTCCCAAACAATCGCAATGCCAACTTACCAATGATGGTGCAAACGAGACTCCCAGTGACTGAAAGCTACAATGTACAGTGAACAACCGAACCTGAGAATTGTCAAGAGACGTATATGTCCCTGGGAGAACATACAAGCGAGGTGAGGATCATCCAGTCGTCTGCGGCTATTTTTGCCTGCTGTACTTTGAATCTGGCATAGAAGCGAAACAGAACCGCAAGGACTGCAAGGATATAGGTTGTAATGACAGCGGCATTGTTTCTCTCCAGGCGACTCTCAGAGAGATCTATGCCTGCAGGAGGGTCGCCAAAAGGACTCTGTGACATTGCTTCAAGTTACCATGGGATGCATCGATACTGACATAGAGCAATAAGTGTATCCCATCGATTATTGAGAGGATGAAGATACTTCTGCGACCTCCGCAGAGAAGATTTGGGCACAATCCCAATCTCAAAAAGCCACTTTCCCTGTCTCCACTTGTACCGTGAGACTAGCGTAGACCCCCGGGCGGAAACAACCGCCTGGGGCTGCCGCTGTTACCAGTCCTGCTTCTTTCTCTATCAATTCAGTCCAAACAGTCAAATGTACTCTCTTAGCCTGTCCCGTTCGTTCGCATCCAGACCAGCCAAATCCCCTATCCAATTGAAGTTCTCCCTTCCTCTCGCTCTCGGGCCAGAAGAGACGGCCGAGAATTAGGGTCTAGGATTCGCATCCCTGCAGCGGTGGGGCCAGTGGTCGCTCGAGACGGCGTGCTTTTATGCGCTCAACATGATCCACTTCACAACAACGTCAATTAACACAAAATTGGTGAATAGTAGTGAGGCCGCTAATTGCACTTAGCGAGACGCTAAGGACATCAGGACACTCCCTAATTTCATAATTCTGACACAGAGCACATCGATCTGTCATGCCGCGATAGAAAGAGAAACCTCAATCGTACCCAACCACAACCCATCATGCCGTCCAATGAGTTCGTCTTCAACGAGCCCGTCACCATAGATCCCAGCCGGTATGCCTATCAGGCTCGTAGGCTCCGAGTGGTCTGTATTGGTGCGGGCTTCTCTGGGCTGATCCTGGCATATAAGCTTAAGCACGAACAGCCCCTCGATTTTGTCGATTTCACCATCTACGAGAAGAACCCCGAAGTTGGAGGAACCTGGTTTGAGAATATATATCCTGGAGTGGGATGCGATATTCCTGCGCACAGCTATGTCTTTCCCTTCGAGCCAAACCCGTCCTGGTCCAGATGCTACGCCGGTGGCCCCGAGATTGAAAGATATATAATCGACACGGCACACAAGTACGAGCTGAAGGATCATATCGTGTTCAGCACCCGGGTCGTCAAGTCGATATGGAACGAAGAACGAGGCAAATGGGCGATTGAGCTCAAAGGGAACGACGGTACAGTTGTCCATGACGAAGCAGACGTTCTCATCAATGCCTCGGGAATTTTGAATCGTTGGAAAATGCCGGATATTGACGGCCTGGGTCAGTTTTCTGGCAAACTCCTTCACACAGCCGCCTGGGACAAGACCTACGACTGCATGGGCAAGAAAATCGCGGTCATCGGCAACGGCTCGTCTGCCATTCAAATCGTACCGGCATTACAGCCTAAGGCTGCAAAGATCGTTAACTTTGTTCGCCATCCAACTTGGGTGTCGGTAAATTTGTGTCCGGACATCACTAAGGACGGCATGGGCACCGATTTCGAGTACAGCGAGGAAGAGAGGGCAAAGTTCCGGCATGACCCCGCCGCCTTCCTAGAGTATAGAAAACGGGTTGAGTGCTCGTAGGTTCGATCTAGCCATTTTTTCCTCTCCATCTAGTACGCTGACACAACACAGAGTCAACTCTGTTTACCGACTGATGCTTTCTGGCTCTGACGGGAACCGGATGATATCTGATGCGACCGAGGGGCTCATGCGAGAACGCCTTAGCAAGAACCCCCATTTGATCGAGAAGCTTGTTCCCAAATTTGAAATTGGATGTCGCCGGCTGAGCCCCGGCGACGGATATCTTGAGGCAATGCAGGAGCCCAATGCGGAGTGGTGCTTTGATAACATTGAGGAAATTACTAAAACAGGAATCCGCACAACCCAGGAAGAGAACGACTTTGACCTGATTGTGTGTGCCACTGGCTTCGACACTACCTTTGTCCCGAGGTGGGAGTTTGTAGGTCGGGATGGTCGGCGGCTAGATGAGGAATGGGAGAAAGCACCGGAGGCATATTTTTCAATCTGTGCTGCCGGAACCCCAAACTACTTTATGTTCGCTGGGCCAAATTGTCCCATTGGTCATGGAAGTGTGCCTCAGATGCTTGGCTGGAGTGCTGATTATATGTTAAAATGGGTCAAGAAGATCGCCCGCGAGGATATCAAGTGCGTTCCTATTCGATCTTCTAGTACCTGGCTATAGCTGATGTCCGCACAGATCCATCGCAGTCACTGACTCTGCTGTACGCCACTATAATCGTTATGCCCGAGCAAACCTTCAAAACACCGTCTGGAGCAAGGGCTGCAATGCCTGGTATAACAATGGGACTAGTGTTACGGCTATGTATCCAGGAAGCGTACTGCATTTTAAAGGCAAGTATTCCGACTTTGTATAACAGATATTAACTCGATTGGGGTACTAACCTGTGCTTCCAGAGGCAATTGAGAGCATTCGCGGCGAGGACTTTGACATCCGGTACAACACTTCAGATCGCTTTTTGTTCCTTGGTAATGGAGAATTAGAGTGGGAGAGGGCCGAAGGCGCCGATTTGGGATTCTACTTGAAATGAGCGTGTCCCTCAGTCTTTGCAAATCCTTCGGCTAGACATAAGAAAAGCACACGAGCATAAGCAAAGCGAGTTAGACTTCGTACCAAAATTGCAGAGGCCCTTCGACGTCAAAGTTACAAAGCTGTATGCAGGTTAGCGCATTTCGGAATTATTTTCCAGGAAAAAAGTCGCAAAAGTGTGAAGGTACTGCACTTTAGCATGAGTTAGAAAGTGATTGTAGCCTGCATATCGCTTTTCACTGCGAGGGGTCAGGGTAAATGACATGAACCAACCAACCAACCGACTGTAGCATGATCTTAGACCGGAACGCGAAGATTATGATAGCCATAAGACTGGAAGCCAGGCTTACAGTACCTGACTCATATTCAATTGGAACGATGGAAGGAACTTCGCCATGCATATTTCCCGCAGAATTGCCTGTTGCGTATCTTGACGGTCCCGAAGATAACATGAGGATGTTGCTCTAAGCAGACTGGTTGAAAAATACATGCTGGAACGATACTTGCTTCCTATCACACTCATCCGAAAGAGCAAAACTCGCAGCAGATAATCATAAACTCGTGAACAGAACTGACACCCGTCCAGACACCCCCCCATCTATCTCCCCACATGGTTAAATTCGGAGAACCATCGGAGGACTTGGCGTCAAATTCTCCTCTTTTCCACTCTCACCCACCACTCACGTCGTCTTCTCGTGCTGTGTCGCCACGCGCTGAAGGGACATCACTATCAGTTCCGTTAGTTGTCTATATTGTCTCGCCAGGACTCTACACTTACAGAAGTCCTCCCAACCTCGCTGCTTGTCATGGCTGCGCGGGCTCTTGCCATGCATCAGATTGTCAAAACCGCTTGAGTTGTGAAGCAGGTAGTAGAGCACGGCGCAGATAACGGTCACTCCGAGGGAGAACGCCCACACCCGCACTACAGTCACGATGGACGTGGGTGGGCCAACGAAGACGCCGAAGATGGCGAGGAGAGACGCGGCAACGTCGACCAGGAGAACAGCTCCCACCAGAAGAAAGGATGGGCGCGATGATAGGAATGATTCGTTGGTGCGGGTGATGAAGATCAACCAGTTCTGCGTCAGCGAGATCTCGAGGAACAGCACGGAATCGCGAGTTCCGAAGTTTTGCACCACACCCGCATTCGGGCCCGCAAGGAGCATGGTTCCAAACGTGAACCACGAGCCAGCAGTCAGAATGATCCCCATGACAACTGCGATGCCCCATAGCTTAGGCAGGTTCCATTTCGTCGGCGAGGATGCGTACGGGGCGTTGTCATAAGCGATGGCCAGCGTCGCGATGTCGGCAAAGATGGCCAGAAGAACGACCAGCTGGAGCTTGAGTCCCTCGTTGCGGAGAATCATCCAGAGCCCGAAAAACAGTTCAAGATGCAGAGAAAGTGCGATACGGTACACAACGTAAGAGTACATCCGGTGGAAGATCTGGCGAGAAGTCTTGATCCCATCGATGATGGCGGACAGTCCAGGTTCCAGGAAAACAATATCGGCGGCCGAGCGAGCTGCGTCTGAGGCCCCTTCCACAGCGATCCCCGTGTCGGCTTTCTTGAGAGATGGAGCATCGTTGACACCGTCGCCCGTCATCGCGACAAGGTGCCCTCGCTTCTGCAGGATCTCCACAACGCTGTATTTGTGCTGCGGGAACACTTCGGCAAATCCATCTGCAGCTTCGACAAAGTCGTACAGTTCCGAGCCGGGCATGTCACCACCTCCAGTAACGCCAAGACGCTCCGCGTTGTAGATGTTTGTTCCGAGTCCGAGCTGTCGGGCGGTCTCTCGAGCAATTCCAACTGCATCACCGGTCAACATCTTGATCTGAAGACCCAGGCTCTGTGCTTCCGCGATGGTCTTGGCCGTATCGTGACGAGGAGGATCCGAGCAAGGCATGATGCCGAGGATCTCCCAATCATTGTCCTCGCACCTGCGAGCAACACCCAGAGCACGGAATCCACGCCGGGCAAATTCAGCGACTTTCTCCCGGTATGCCGTCGAGACCTTCTCGGGAAGTGGACCATCCTCCTCAATAGTGCTCAGGACGGCTTTCGGCGCGCCTTTGAGACACACAATACGCTCGCTATCGGGAGACTCGACCACTGCCGTGACCTTCTTGGTGACTGGATCAAATGGAAAGAACTCGACAGTCTTGTACAACGGAAGTTGGCTTTTGACTTGCGGGTATTTGCGGAGACCCTTGACAAACACTTTGTCAATGGCATCAATTCCTTTCTTGTGTCGGGTAGCTGCGAGACAAGCGGTCAACATGAGCTCTCCAACACCAATACCAGGGACAAGGTATGGTTCGCCCAGTGCGAGCTTGTTTCGAGTCAAGGTACCAGTCTTGTCGGTGCAAAGAATTTCAACGCCTGCCAGTGATTCAATTGCAGAAAGCCTCTGGACAATGGCCTTGCGCTTTGCCAGATAGGATGCACCCACAGCCATGGTGGTAGTGACCACTGCAGGAAGACCGACTGGAACGCCGACGATGATAATTGCCAGAGAGAACTCCAGGATGCGCACGATACCGTTAGACCGGTAGTATCCCGCAGTCCAGACAGCGAACAGAGTGAAGATAACAAGTATCAGAAGATACTTGCCGATTGTATTCAAAACCACAGTGAAATGGCCGCTGGTTTGGGCCGCTTGGTTCACAAGGGCAGCCGCCCTTCCCACAAAGGTGTTATCTCCCGTGGTCGTGACAACCATAAGTGCGCTTCCGCGTTTGATGGCAGAAGAACAAAAACAGACGTCCTCCGTTTGTTTGTCAACAGCCAGGGATTCTCCAGTGATTGAGGACTGGTCGACTTGAAGGTGGGCGTTTTGCGTGACAACCACTCCGTCAGCGGGTACGATCGTGCCCTTGGACAGACGCCGTTAGTCTGTGACAATCCCAGCCAGCCATCTGGAAGGGAAAAATCTACGAGTGAGCGCTAGTTTTCTCTTGTTCCCTCTGGAAAGAGTTCCAAACTTCGATTTTTCGGAGCCGAGGCTTGGTTGTATTTGCGGGGTCTCCACACGTGGATAATGTCTTGTCCTGCTCGACTCCAAGGCCAAGGAAGATGCTTATGTAGACCATTAAAAAAGTTGGATAGCTGCTGTTCCGCATCCGCAAGACGACGAAGCTCTTCAATTTCTGACGTGTCGATTAAGGACCATTGAACGATTGAGGGTTTAACATTCTCCTTGTGGGGCTTTTGTTTATAGCTGGCATTGTTGAGAGCGTTGTGTGTCGCCTGTATATTTCAGGCAGAATTATCGTGGTTGAGATAAAAGGGGGCTGTAGGGCAAACTCCCCAACCCACACACACGCTCAGGTTTTTGCGACCGCCCACGCAACAGGACGATCTCCCCACCAATTACAACAACTGTCCACGACAAGTAGCCAACCCCCCGATTTGTACAACGTGAACCTATCACACACCTTTCCGATCTCACCCCCTCGTATTCAACCTTCCACTGCCACTTTATATTTCTCCTCGTATATTATCCCTCAACTACCCCACGAAGGACATAGTAACAACCGCATCAATTCCTAATGGGCATGAAAGGACGCTGCCAATGCGGCCAAGTCTCATTCGAAACACCCCTCGACAAACCCCTCCGGATAAACATATGCCACTGCACAGAATGCCAGCACCAAAGCTCCTCCGCATTCGGCATAACCGCCATCTTCCCCTATTTCGAACTCCCGGCATCCGTCTCTAATCTCGTGGGAAGCTACACACGGCGCACGCTCAAAGGTCGCGATATGGAGTGTCTGTTCTGCAAGAACTGTGGTGCGCGGCTGATGCATCGCCTCCGCAACATGGTGCCCGCGCCCGGGGAGAAGGCCGGTCCGACGGCTACTGCTAATGTTAAAGGGGGCTGTTTGGACTTGGATAAGCGGAGCATGAGCGCTGCTGTTCATATTTGGTGCCAGCATGCTATTGTGCCTATTCCCGAGGGAGCGGAGCAGTGGCCCGCAGCGCCGCCTCAGCCGAATCCGTTGTTAAAGGCTTAGGGACCTGTGGGGAGATTGTAAAGTGGTTGAAGAGCAATGCTAGATTTCTTTTTTTTTAGTAAAGAGAGAAATTTGACAACTATGTTCAATGATATATTCCAAGCTGGTCTTGTTGTGCATTTGGCCCATCGCTAACATCAGGTCTTTCAAAGGATGGCTCAACCAACCATACCAGTCCAGCCATTATCAAGCGAGATGCATGCACCGTTGATAACAGAAGCCCCCTTGCCGTAAGTCATATTCAGACAGAAACCAGCAACCTCATCCAGGTCAACCAGAGGCGCTTTGACAGCTTCCAGGATGGGAGCCGCAAGCCCATACCCATCCATGTTCATGCCAGTCTTGAGCGAATCGGCAATGTTAGTCTGCATCCCGCCCATCATGAGAGCATTGCAGCGGATGCCCTTGTTGCCGTAGAACGAAGCGGTGTTCTTGGTCAAACCGACCAAACCGTGCTTGCTAGAGGTGTAGGCAGCGCCTACAGGAGCCATGTCAGTCTTTTCTGATATCGCCCAATGCAAGATGTTGAAAACATACCGGCTGCCCATCCGGCTTTGCCAGCCACGGAGACAATGTTGATGATACGACCATCAGGCTGTGGCTGCTCCAGCATATTCCGCACAGCGAGCTTGCTCAACAGGAACGGAGCCGTGAGATTAACAGCCATGACGCGGTCCCATAGCTCAAAGTCAAGGTCGCCGACCGGGTCAAATTTGTCCATGATGCCGGCGTTGTTGATCAGTACATCGATTTTGCCAAATGCTTGAATCAGTTGGTCGAATAGGCTCTGCACCTCAGCCTGATTGGTGATATCCGTCTTGATGGCTTTGAACGGGCCCTTAGACGAAAGCTCTGTCGAGGTCTGCTGCAGCCGATCATCGTTAACGTCGCAAATAACCACGTTGGCGCCGGCTTCGAGGAATTTAGTGGCGATGACTTTGCCGAGTCCGCCGGCTCCGCCGGTGACGAGGCAGGTCTTGCCTGCAAGGATCTGTTCTGACATTTTATTTTGGCTGGACGTGGGAAATGTTGAGGAGACTTCAGACTGAGATCAAGGCTCTGGCTATTAATTTAAATGCCGCGCTCTTCAAGGCTCGGATGGCCTGTCATCCGTCTCCCGGCCTAGGCGTCTGATTTACTACGCGCCAGTTTCTGGGGAACAGCCGTAGTGAGCCCACTATGGCTGCTCGGACGCTAGGGGTGTAATGCTGATACACCAGCAGACCTGGGATAATTGGCCAAAAAAGATGATAGAATTGAAAATTCAATGTCTGGAAGGCTGAGCATGATCCACGGAATATGAGAGTAATTTCTATCAAAAATAAATTCCATATAAGCTCACAGTTCCTGCAGATAATGCTAAGCATTGTATTGAAAAGACCATGCAGCATTACGGCCACTCGGGAGCCTGGAGACTCTCATCCGGCCAGGGCTAGCCCTACATTCCCAATCGGGTAGTGCTACAGGTTTCTAGATGAAAATAACACGCTAGGAACAGAGGCAAATGAAGAGTATAGATGAATAAGCAAATCCAACTTCCCTTCGGAGAAGAAAAGTAAGGGTCCTCGACGTTAAGTAATAACAATAGCAATGGAGAGCTATCGGCTCTTTTTTTTATCGGGAATATTCCCGAGCCCCCGCACTTATTCAGACTAAAACTGAAGCTTCGGCCCACTATGTCGCCCCAACCTTCTCGATCGGGCATGTCACATTGCCCATCTATCATCTTATCTGTTTCTTTCATGGGGAATGTGTCAAAGAAGAATACGGGGACGATAGGGGATCCTTATCTCCCCGATGCTTTTTAAACTATTCGTTCCCCTAACATTTGCCGAGTAGCGAACTGCCGGTCAATCGACGCCCACCATGTCCAAGGACGACGAGAAGACCCAGGTGTTCCAGGGCACCTCCAGTGAAGATGTCCGCCTCGAGAGGCTGGGCTATGAGCAAGGTACGATGATCATGGGGGTTTTATGCATACAAAACTGACGGTTGTTGCGCACTGCAGAGCTCAAGCGGTCGTTCAGCTTGCTGAGTATGATCGGATTTAGTTTTAGTGTGGTGACATCGTAAGTTCCGTATGCTGTGTTCGGTCTCCTTCAGGTTTTAACCTCAACAGATGGACGGCGCTGAGCGGTGTTTTCATTGTTGGAGTGACATCCGGTGGCCCACCAGTCATGGTGTTTAGTTTCATCGGCGTTAGTCTTCTCACCATGGCGGTTGCTATCCCCATGGCAGAGATGTGCTCCATGTATCCCGTGGCGGGCGGACAGTACTCTTGGGTTGCCGCACTTGCTCCTCCGAAGATTGCTCGTGGTCTATCTTATGTGACAGGCTGGTTTATGAATATCGGTGCGTTTTGATTTTATTCATAATCCGCCCAATACTGATCTAGAACAGGCATCCTGGCCATGGGAGCAACAAATAACTATATCGCGGCGAACTTTGTTCTCGGAATGGCCAATCTTGTCTTCCCTGAATACGTGATCACACGGTGGCAGACCGTATTGGTGGCCTATCTCGTCGCTATCCTGTCTGCAGCAGTCAACATTTGGGGCCCGAACTTGCTGCACCGAATTGCCAAATTCATCCTGATCTGGAATGTTGGCTCTTTTATCATCATCACAATTGTGCTTCTTGCCACAAACGATCACAAGCAGCCCGCTTCATTCGTCTTCTCCGAGTTTCAAAACGACACGGGCTTTGGCACGGGGATGGCCGCCATTATAGGAATCCTGCAAGCCTGTTTCGGCATGTGCTGCTACGACGCACCAGCTCATATGACAGAAGAGATGCACAATGCTTCTAAGGAAGCACCCAAGGCTATAGTTCTAGCTGTCGTTCTGGGCGCCGTGACGGGTTTCGCATTCCTTTTGACACTGTGCTTCTGCATTGGCAATATCGACCAAACTGCCAAAACCAGCACTGGCGTGCCCGTGATCCAGATCATCTATGACTCCACCAACAGTAAGGTCGCTACCTGCATTCTGTCGAGCATGATTTCCGTGATTGTCATCGTGGCAGGACTTAATCTTTTGGCAGAAGGCTCGCGCGGTGTGTATGCCTTCTCCCGGGACAATGGCCTACCTTTCTCCAAATTCTTCAGCAAAGTCGAGAGTAAACGCCAGGTACCCGTGAATGCAATTATCTTGACGCTCGCCGTGCAACTTGCCCTTAATTCAATTGACTTTGGCACAACCACTGGTTTCGAGACTGTTATTGCCATTTCGACGGAGGGATTCTGTAAGTTCCAACCGCAAATGATTCCAAGATAGGCCTAGCTGACTGTTGTGTCTAGATCTCTCCTATGCGGTGGCCCTGATCAGCCGACTGGCCGGTTATTTCACAGGTCACGTCACCAAGCTCGATGGCCCATACTCTTTTTCCGTGCCTGTGTCCATTGGGCTCAACTTCCTGGGTCTCCTATTCTTGCTTTTCGCTTCTATTACCTTCAACTTCCCCAGCACATACCCTGTAACCCATATCTCGATGAATTATACCAGTGCTGCTATTGGAGTCATTGGTATCATCAGTATTGTTACCTGGATTACGACGGGTCGCAAACATTTCAAAGGTCCGGCGGGCGTTGACTTCTCGAAGGGGGAAAGCGATGCATCGAATCCTGTGAAGGCAGCTGATGTGCCGGTGGAAGAGAAGAGCTGATCGCCTAACTCTTGTATCCATAATTGTTTTTTGGACGAGAATATTATTGTGACTTAGTGTAAAATTAATACCAGGTATGCTTAAACTCTGGCATAAAGTATGTTGTTTTTCATATTCGTTCATTGTTAAATTGCCCGCTCACGTCTGAAATACCCCCGAATCACTCGGCCCGAGACCTGACCCGACCCAAAAGGGTAACGATATGACCCGTCAATTAATAAAAGACGTTGTCCATGTAGTAGGCGCGCTGGATCTCCTCCTTTTTGCACGAAATAATACTTGTTTACTTAACAAAGAGTCAAAAGCATGTCATCTTGGACACACCTGATTCGTTTTGTGGCTATCGAAGATGCTAAGACCTATCTCGGCCAACTGGTCGATACTGCACGAGATATCGGCATTGATTCACTAAACGAGATTCCAATTTATGCGTTTGTGGTGGAAGGCTCAATCTACAATGGACGAGTCACGGACAGAAGATTACAGATCGGGAAGGTTTGTTCCGAAGTCCAAGATTCCCTTATTGCTTGAACTATCTGAGCTTACTTTTCTTGTCAATATCTTAAGATTCTTTCTCCAATTGACCCACAAGAATGTCCGTATATCCGCTGCATAGGGTTGAATTATAAGCGCCACGCAGAAGTAAGGCCCGATGTAGTCACCGGGGGGTTGAAATTCACAATGCATTCTAGGAAGGCAAGTTACCGATCCCAGGAGTGCCAGCGCTTTTCTCCAAGCCACGAACTGCACTCGTCGATCCGTTCCCTGAATCTATTCGCATCCCAGAAATTGCACAAGACGGAACCAGTGATTATGAAGCTGAACTTGCTGTTGTTATTGTAAAGACTGCACGGGATATATCGGCCGAAGAAGCCCCAGAGTACATCCTCGGGTACACTGCGGCAAACGATGTATCAGCACGGGCTATTCAAATGAAGAGTGCAATGCCTAGCTTCTCGAAAGGAATGGATTGTAGTTGCCCTCTAGGTAAGGTAAAAAGAACAAATTGATATCATGAGCAGCCAAGCTAATGTACCTATCAGGCCCTGTTCTAGTAGCACCAAAGGTTATCACAAACCCACAGAACCTGTCTATCAAAGCAACTTACAACAACAAGATCGTTCAAGATGGTAACACTAGCGACATGATCTTTGGCGTCTACGAGCTAGTGGCGTATCTTTCTCAGGGAACTACCCTCGAGCCCGGTTCTATTGTGTTGACTGGCACCCCAGAAGGGATTGGGTATTTTCAATCGCCCAGAATATTCCTTAATCATGAGGACACGATTGAGGTTTCTATTGAGCGAATTGGTACTCTGAGCAACAAGGTTTTCTACGAATAGACCGGACCAAAAAAAGCGGAAAATAAAAAATGTTCTTAACCATTGTGTTGAAAGCTACAGAACGTACCTGCTAAACCTTCCGATTTGTGTAGCTCTGACGAATAGGCTTCTTCTGATTATTGCAGACAAATCTGAGCCTTGAAAGAAGACCGAAAGTGGCATGATCGAGCTCATAATCTGGACTTGGAAGAATCATCCTCGACTCCTGCCCCGTAATCTTAATTATTTCATATGAATCATATGAGCTAAACTATCTTCCAATTCTTGTCCCTTCTTCTGACTCTTGTAAATAGACCTCCAAGCGACAATATTATCCGGCCTGATCAGGACTGCTCCACCGGTCTGTATGCCCTTCAATATCTCCCACCTATCATCGTAGTCCCGATATGACAGTCTGTCACCAATCTGAGCAATAAAAATCTCAATACAAAGTCTTTTTGAGATATTTTGGGCGGCGGCAATCCAATCTCCACCCTCGGAATCGGTGATTAGGGCGAATGCGGTCTTGTTTTGAACGAGATCATGCGTAGAAAGCACTTTACCGTCTCTTTCGAGCCAAGCGTGCGGAAGACGATGCCCGGGTTTGGTAGTCGGAAAATACTTTTGTCCTAGAGGATCTCGTGGCGCTGGAAGGCTTCCGTCATGGAAGAGAAATCCATTGGAGTATCTGAAGCCGAGCTCGATTCCATGGGCACAGAATTCAATGGACTGGCTGTCGATGATACGAGCGACCTGAGCCCTAAAGCTGTATCCCTTGTCGGACTCCTCAAAGAGAGTTTGGAATCGAGCTCGATTTCCTTCTTTTTGGCCAGGAACAAGCCCAACAGCTGTATTGATGACTGCCGAGTTGCTGAATGTGAACAAGCCCCAGTCACAGTTTACTTTCCCAACAGCGCGTCTTTCTGGCTCGTACGTATCGAGAATGGCCTCACTGGCCTTTTTTGTAAGGACAAGTGCCAGTTTCCAAGCAATGTTCAATGAATCTTCAATGGCGGTGTTGAGACCCAGGCCAGTCGTGGGCGGGCGACGATTTCCAGCATCACCCGCAAGAAAGACCCTTCCAACCCGATAGCGGTCGGCAAGGACACTTTCAATAGCCCAGTGACTGATTTTATGCACTTTCATTTCCAGGCCAGGGATTTTCAGCAACTCGCGGATCCGCGGAATCAAGGCAAATTCTTGATGCCGAGCCTCGTCGTCCATGGCGAACCCGAAATGAAACACCCATTCGTCGGAGTATTTGCCCCAGTTTGGGCCCATTGGGACAATAGCACCACTTTCAAATACGGTACCACATTCACCATTGATGAAGTGACAGGCGAAGTATCGGTCATCCCAATACTCGGACAGGTCGGCACTAAAGTGTACTGAGACTATATCGGTCATATTCCTTGGTCCTTCCATCTTGATTCCAAGCTTCGGGCCAATGGTACGCCCCCCATCGGCACCAATTAGGTATTTGCACCGATAAACAGCTTCGTTCCCGTTGCTATTGGCGACCCTAACCACCACGGAATCACCTTCGTCGGTGAAATCTATCATCTGATGCCCAAACAGGATCTTGCCCGGGTTCTTCTCTTCTGCTAGTCGTCTGAGAACTGGCTCAAGTCGAAGCAGCGGCACATTACCCGAGCGTAACGGCGCGTCGCGTCTCAAAGAAGACTTAGCAAACTTATCATTGCGCATAGCGCTGCATGCAATAACTCACTTATAGGACTCGGCATATTCAGTTCCCTCATTCCCTCCAAAACACTCGAATTTATGAATCACTTTCCGATCCAGTGGTCCTGAGCCTCCTAGGGAGGTTTGCCAGGCAACCTGACTCATATGTCGTGGAGGACATGTCTTTTGTAGGATTTCATCTACCATGTTATGGTTGCGAAGAATTTCCATGGTCCGCTGGTTGAGATAATGAGCCTTGGGAAGAATAGACGTTCCGGTATGCTTTTCAAAAAGAATATGCTCAACTCCATAATTCGACAAAAAGCTCGACAGAGTCAGTCCACATCCTCCTCCTCCGACAATGATAACGGGTGTTTCGATCTCGGTTGCCATAACGTGACGGTGTAAAATGAATGAGTTTCTCTGTCATATACTGCGATTAAGAATTATGTGCAAAGGCCCTGAAACGGGGATTTTGACGATCAGATTCCACTGCCTAACCATATACGAGCGGATCGTTTACCCCAGAATTCCACTTTCCTCTTTTGCGCGGAAGCAAAACATATGCGCTGCGGGAAATCCGGGGTTTATGCTCCCCGCTATCCGTTATCCGAGGTTCCTTCTAAGATTATTATGGCTCGCCAGTATTGTTTTCGAAATTACGCCATAGAGCCTGTCCCTTGCCTGTGCTGTTGGCTATTCATAAGGGCAAGTATTTTACAGGAAGTTCGGAAGGGCTTTTCTCCAAATAGACTGATATTGAGATTATCCAAACGCGGAATGAGAAAAAAATTCAAACAAAAACTCGGGTTCAGTTCTCCACTAATCTTATTCCTTCAAAAGAAAGCGTGTGAATCGAGAGGAATAGCACAGCAGTTACTTAACATCACCTCAAATACCTTTGTCTGCGTTTAGATGGACTTTAAACGCCCGCAGGGACCCCAGTTCGCGCCCCAATCTCCGGCCGAATCTTCAGGGCTCTCTCATCCTCCCCATTGTCCAAACGAGCAAGCAGATCAATCGGGTCAAAATCAGTGCCGATGGGGTTTTCTCGAAAATATTTTCCTGTCATAAACTCATTCGCCTCTTCGACCGTGTCGTAGTTATCAACCTGGGTTTCGATTCCGTTGCCATCCGGATCTTTGTAGTAGATGCTAGTTGTGGGACCGTGGTTGATGCACCAGGTCGGCTTAATTCCCAAAGACTCCCTCTTCTTCCAGGCTTGGAGTAATCCCCTCAGCGAGGAATAGCTGAATGCCACATGATGCAGACCGGCTGTAGCTTGGCCTTTGGGAAGAGTGCCTTGTTCGTTGATAATGGCAACCCGGTGATGCTCTTCGTCGTAGCGTAGAAATGCAATAAAATCATCTTCAAAGACTCTCTCTGCTCCAAGGAACGTGATCCAGAATTCCACCATGGGCTTGATGTCCGCGGTGCGGAAAACAACGTGGGCCAGGCTACTTGGTCGCAGGACGTGCGTATCGGCCATTTTGTAGAATACCGTATTGGAGTAGAGATTTATGAATAAGTTCGAGTGTTATTTTCAGAGGTTTAAGTAAAGTGATCTAATGTGGAGACGCTTGCTTTTGATGCGTGGCAAATGTATCTTCCCACATACACAAGTCGCGGCGCGTGCAGGCTTAATTACTAGACATCGTACAACTGCGACATTACCATGTGTAACATTTCAAAATCCGAGTACATCAGCCTGTTTGTGCACATAAGAGCAACAAATCAGTGACGCTACAGAGTGATGTGGGTCTCCAACAACTTCTAGTCTTAATACGTTCGGATAATAGTGGCCTATCGCTATTGGAAGGCCAGATCGGTCCGAGCAAATATGAACTAGCGTCTTTCATCAAAGCTACAAAGAGTCATCTTGTGAGGCATAAATTTGTATCTGCTCATCATTTTCTATTAAACTCGGACCTTTATACTACTACCCCGCTCGATGAATAAGAGCGATTTGACAGTCCCCAGGATCAAGCAAAGCAAACCCCCGTTAGCATTTGGATGTAGCCTGAAGCACTTCTAAATTTCTTCCTTTACATCCGTAGTACTGTTTGTTGATATAACCTCGGTCCGAATCCGGGAGAAGATATTATCTGATTATTGACCACAGTCTGGGAGACCGCTGTAAAGGAGAGGAATGTAGCATTCGCTACATGGTAACTACAAATTATTCTGCCTCTGTCCTTCTTCCGGGAATCTAGCGGCAAAGAGCTTCAATATATCACTGCTGATATATTGAGCACACTTTCCCTCGACTGAAAATATCAAGGTACAACAGCACAGCATAATGGGGTACCCTACTGGTTCAACTATTTGGCCTCATCCTCCGCCATCGCCACATGTCAAGCAAATAGTCGACCAATTCTTTACACTTGCGGATTCGAAAGAAGAGGATGCAGGGGCACGCCTAGCGAAGGAGATATTTTGTTTAACCGGGGTATTCATGGCAGCTAATGGAACATTCGAAGGCACCAACGGTGAGATTCGCAAACCTAGCCCTCTCAACGGTCTATGAATTCCGGATTTCACGGCTCATACTTGTCGCAGAAATAACTAATTCCCGAAACGATGCTTGGACAACTATCAAATCACGCCGCCATGAGGTGTTGAAGGTTTACATGAATGATGCACAAGGCACAGATCTCTTCATTATTGGGAAATTGACCGTAGAAACTCTGGACGGGACTAAATCCAGTCGTGAGTTTGTGGCTCGCATGTTATTCAGAGAGGATGACTCCGTTCTCAAAGTGTTAGAATATCGCGTTGTTGACCCAGTGCCCTCGGATCCACGACCTTTCCTTGGCACATCGATGTAGGCCTTCTACGGCTATGCTCTATATGCCCTCCTCTGAGTGTCATATATTTTCGCTATTAGAAAATGATCATATCTCCGGATGCAGAGAGGCCCTCAAGGATTTCTTTAGACAATGAATCCCAGTGGTCAAAACTGGTATCTACGTCTAAGGATTCAGTCTTATCGAAGTTCAAACCATCAGTAAATGGCGCAAAAGGGAGGGTCCAAATCAGGGAAAGGTAAACAACAACTTACAACAAGGTCACTCATGCCAGTGGGAAGATGTGCGTAATTATGTTCACCTGATTCCTCTCCCGAATTTTCCAACCTCAATTTTGCATCTTTCACCGCTTTATCTGCAATCCCGGCAGCTTCTCGAGGGAAACTAAATGATACATGGGCCGAAGTCAAATAGTGCACCAGGCCAAAATGCCCAACACCAATATCGAGGAAGGCCAGTTCGGACTGCGCGAAAGGGAGTGTTGGGTATTTAAGAACGTAAATAAACAAGTTTATGATTGCAAGCATGGGGTAGTAAAAGACAACCCTACACTCAATGGTAAGTTAAGCAATGAGGTTGAAGCTTTTGTAAGTAAGCGAAAAGAAACGTACGGTGAAGAGGAATTCGAATCTGGTGTTGTATCTTTGAGGGATGCAAGAATCTTCCTGGACGCCTCAGCTGTCCGAGTTGAGCTATGGAAGATTCTATCTCGAAATGTCAGCTCATTATGGTTGAGTAGAAGTGAGCATATCCACGGATAATGGAAATTTGCGTGCAAGGCGATAATGCTGCCATAGTACTCGTTGTGCAGTCGGATTATTTTCGCTGTTTCCTTGATGTCAGAACCTCTCCGATGACTTGAGTCGTTAGCTTCTGACGGAAGAAGTCGTTTCGGAAGAGATTTGTGCCAGTCTTCCAGTTTGCAATCGAGATTGTCTAAATGATTGAACAAGGCCTCAGGGGCTTGATTGAATGTCTTGACGGAGAAAAGCTGTTGGATCATCAATGCACAGATTTGAGCGTGTTTGATTATAGCTGTAAACAATTCATGGTCTATGGTGCTGCCAACAGGAATCGTCGTGGGTATTTCGCAGCTAATATCATCATCATTGAGTGTCTATAGAGAAGTGTCAGTCTCCAGTAGCCCGATAAGATGGATAGCACAAACTGACTGGTGGACGACCAGATCGCAGTGCAAGATATTTGTCATGGCAGTAGATAGCCCAGAACGTCCAGTTCCGGTGAAGAATCTCATTCGTTGGAAGCTTCCAAGCTTTGGATGGCTGACGGTGGAGACCCTTGGATTGCGCAAGCCGCGCAGCTGAAGCGCATAGCATGTACTCCACAGCAGGACTTGCCATAAGCTCTGCATAAGAGGTCTGTAGTATTTATCAATAGTCAGTTGAGGGACCGCACAAATCCTTGAACGACTCACCATGATGACCAATGCCTGTACTGCGGTCAGACCACTTGGCATATAGAGTAAATTTGTATACACTGAGAATGCGTTGTGAAAGAACTTCAGCGACTTTTGCTGAATCTGGTGGAAGTCCTTTGCATTACCCGTTGACGCGGCAGCTCGACAACCCACGGCATATATAGCGTTTCGAAGAGCATACCAGGCCACATCTTCATCCGGCGATCGGGGTCTCTGAAAATGAAGGCGGAGTTGGGCTTCGAATTCTGGTCTGTAGACAACAGCGAGTACGGGGTCATGGGTATGGTCGAAAAATGCTGTCACTCAATTAGCGAGTAAAAATACTAATGTAAGCGATAAACGCACCTGTACAATATTGCCAGGCTGTTTGAATGTCAGGTTCAGGACTATTTTCTCCGATAGGAAGCTGTGAAAGCGTCAAGTGTTTTGTCCAGTCGCCGATCAAATCGTGTGCAATCTGGTCAAATCCATTTGTTCCGGTCCGACTAATGACCCAGCGTACACCTGGGTCGGAACAGATTGAGAGCCAAGATCCAGGGCCTACGGCTTTTAGCTTATTAAAACGCGAGTCAGGAACAATTCACAAACCATGATGCTCCCAGTTGATCTATGTATGCGTCTAGTCAGTGGATATGGAAAGACGTAACTCAGGGGTCGACTTACATGATTCAAATCAATCGTGGCCTCCTCTCGGTCCACTTCAGATCCTCTCGGTGTGAGAATGTTATCATTATAGTTTGGCAGAATAGCATGCGAAGCGAAATTCAGAGAAGAGCCAAGCCCAAATGTTGAAGGCTCGGTTGTCGTTGATACGGTTTGGACAGTGGATTCCGCCGCATTTGCGGTATCCTGAATCTGGAAACTTGCCCATCCGGGGGTTAGTGGCGGAATTGTTGTATCTCGAACAGAGATGGGGCCTTTTGAAGAAGATTTTTGGAGGGACTTTTCGCCTGGAAAGTTTTGGAATGTATCGCTATGATTGGGCATTGAGGGCATTCCCATTAGGCTTGTGCGGGTTTCAGGAATTTGCCTCCGATCATTTTGGACCTTGCGCCCTCTCCGCTGTCTAGGAGGGTAAATGCATTGTGTTTCGTGATCCTAGGTTCATGATCATCAGTGTCCCTCCTTTCTAGACAGCTATCCGGCAAGCTAACATACCAAGCAGTTCCCACAAGGCAAAGAACCATCACCTATTATTGGGTAAACAAGGAGTCCTCGAAGAAGAGCCATAGATGACCCACATTTTACCTTCTTTTTCCTGCAGTAGCTGCAGGCTTGAGAGAGCTTGGTGCGTTCCTTAGCCGGTGGCATTGGATCGACATGGAGAGCTGATGGTTGATGATGCAACGGGGCTGCGGGGAAGCCGAAACATATGCTTGAAGGAGCCTCCTTTAGGTTGTGAATGGTTGTCAAATCAAGCACGTACGACGTCCCAACATGGAAGTCCAAACCACGTACGAATAGATTCCTTCTTCTCTAATTCTGTAAAGGATTAAAATGGCAAACAAACCTAAATACACAAATCAATTATGTAAGCCAAACCAGGGCGAATATGTAATTAGGGGGGCCGAATTTGGTATGGCAACTTCATTTCCGACAATGGACAAGTGTTCCAACAAAACAAACAAAAGGAGCAAATCTCACGTCAGCTTTGAACAATTTACCTATACTTCTCTAGCATAATTCTAGAATTAGATCATTAAACTTTTCTCATGGTTACCGCAAAAATTAGGACAGTAGTGTCCCAAGAGCAGTCGTGGGAAAAGCAAGGTAATTTCCCACTTCTCGCTAGAATACAACATACAGATGCTGAGGGAAACCAAGTGCATTTCCACTGCAATTACTATGCAGTAAAGCATGGACTTAATTTATTGACCGTCTCCGTGTGCGATAAGTCCCGTTGAGTGGTGGGGGCAGAAAAGGGAAACTAAAATCGTCAAAGTTCTGTCAGACCCATCCACATCAAAGTCAGAGTAACCCATGCAGGGGTCAGAGATAAGCGTCTTTGAGGTAAACTCCATGGTGTGGGAACTGACTAAGGAGACCTCAACCTGGTGGTGGTGGAATTCTCGAGAAGTCGTTGAACAGGTCTGGCTTGGTGCTGTACTATGATTTGGAGGATCGAAGGCAGAATAGGCATTATAACCCTGATCTTGAGATGAACATGAAGGAAGAAGAGCCGGAAACTTCTACCAGGACTAACACCGGGATAGAGAACCTTATGTTGCGAGACATTGCATCTCCGTCTCTCAAGCGATAGAATGTTCCATTCGCGAACCAATCAGCTCCCGTTGTAGGCAGAGTACGAGTGCATCGAATTAGCCCAATTGCTTTGGTTTGGGATATTATCTGTCTCGCCACTGGTATTTACATCCTCCCTCCCCACCAGGTTGTGTAACCCAGGTCACTGCATCCCCCACCACAACGAAATGGCGGTCTCACTGCGTCGGCAGGGCAGCGTTCTCGTATCGTCAAAACTAAAGTTTGCTTCACAGGCATCAGTTGATAACCAGCGCCATCAGCAAACAGCCTACCACAACGAATGATTCGAGAAATGAGCCCCTACTCAAGCTCGAACACTTCCACGACTGAACACAAGTGCATGCACAATGACGTGTCCCGTCAACCTGCAATTGATACATCACGAACCCCAAACCCCGAACGTGGCGGTCTGCTCCTGCACCCTCGGTTCGCTCCGTTCACCGCGCCCACGCCGTTCATTCGCTATGCAAGACGGAACACATCTCCGGGTGTGCGATGAATCATGCTTGCAGAGGGTGTTCGTCAAGAGGCGAAATAACCACGAATAATGCAACCAATCAAGCGATACAGCTGGCCGGGTCTCATTTCCATTCGGGTCTCTTGCAGGCCGTCGTGGAACCCTATCGAGAGTAAAGACTGAATCTTGTTCGCGGACCGTAGGGCTGGTGGCCAATAGATGCTGTCGAGCTCAAGACTCCACCGTATGCTGCGTAGGTGATATCAGACCTCATGGGCGGAGCAATACAGCGAGCGGGTTGCTTCGTGGTCAAACCATGCTGCTGTACGTATCACGGCATGCATTGCTGCGATGAATTAGGAAATGTGGCGGGGATTGCGTGAAGAGTCGGTGGCAGTGGGGGTCGTCACCGTGCAAAGAGTGAAATGTCTTAAACCTGAACATCGTCGGTGCGATCGGATTGCAGTGAAATCTACTCCCTTATTGCCTGCTTCACCCGACCCAAGAGACGAGCGCGCACCAGACGATAGAACCATGATGACCGCCTGTTTTCTACTCGGCAGCGCCTTCGCATACAACCTGCTCATGAGTGTTTACCGTCTTCACATCCATCCGCTCAGCCGATTCCCCGGTCCCCGACTGGCTGCCATGACGGGGCTATATGAGATATACTTCGCAGCGTGGGGGGATGGATCCTTTGACCACGAAATCCGCCGACTGCATCAGGAATACGGTATGGCCCGAACTTTTGTCTGGTTCAACCTAGATTAACCATCGCAGGACCCGTGGTCCGCATCACACCAGACGAGGTGCACGTCCAAGAACCACCGAGGAGTTTAACTGACGGCTGGGTCAAAGGAACTGCCACCGGAGAGGTGCGAGAAAAGCAACGAACACGCGATCGAAGCACAAGCACCCAGCAGCACCCACAGCGACTATTCCTCATCCGCAAACGACGAGTCTCCCAAGTCCGCTCCCTCCTCCTCCGCGTCGAAGTCGACCATCTCCTGGCGAGCCTCGTGCAGAAACACCGCGTGCACCGGGTGGTCGGCTCCACGTCTCGGGGCATGCCGAGGCCCGCTCACCGAGCCGACATTATCAAGGATAGATTCCCTAATCCGGGCGGCAGTGGTGCGACAACCGAGAGCTTAATGTGTCGATCCATGTCTTTTCAGAATGTGCGACCGTGCGAGGGTCAACTAGGGTTCTGGAACCGGAGACTCGGGCAGGGCCAGGCACTCCATTCGACAAGCCGGCGAAGTATGCCTGTTTAGGGTTTGAGACGAGAAAGAGCCGGAGAGATGTACGTCAGAGGTAGAGAGAGAGACTTTCTGATGGAGATGCATCTCTGGACGGCCATGGATTGCGAAAGAGGAATTGCATTGAGCACAACGATTGAAGACGACGCCGCCTGAGCATACCGAAGAGCCAGACCAGAGCGGAGAAGATCCACTGCTTGGCATGCTTTCCTCCTTCTTATCCCCCCCTCTCTCTCTGTCTCTGTCTCTCTCTCTTTTCTCATCATCCCCAATTGCACTGCCCTGCTGAACTGTCGTTGAAATAACATACATCATGGTGAGTGCTACCTCCAACACCCGTCACCAGCGAAGATTATCGCAGACCCGGGTCCCTGACAGACCCGACCAAAACTAATTATCACGCCCCTTCTACAGCCTCACGCCGACGCTTCCTATTTCGAACCCTCCCAATCCAAGGCCGAGGTGTACACACAGCTCCTCTCCCAAGCCAAGGGCCTCATCTCCGGCCAACGCAACTGGGTAAGCTCCCTCAGTCATCCACTCGCTCAATCTTTTCTTCCAATACGGCTAACAGTCAAAAATGTCCAAATAGGTCAGCAACCTAGCCAACATCTCCTCCCTCCTCTGGCACGCCTACGCCTCCCTCCCACCCCCCTCCCGCTCCGTAAACTGGTCAGGCTTCTACATCCGCGATGACAAATTCCCCGCGCTCGCCTCGCCCATCTCATCCCCGCCACTCACCGACCCCAACGGCGCTGGCAGCGGCCGCGGCGTGACGATCTCGACGATCTCGACGACGTACTCAAATCCCGAGGAGCAGGTTCTGCTGCTCGGTCCGTTCCACGGCAAGCCTGCTTGTCAACAGATTCGCTTCGGGAAGGGTGTTTGTGGGACTGCCGCGTCGAAGCAGACGACGGTACTCGTGCCGGATGTTTTGAGCTTTCCGGGGCATATTGCTTGTGATGCGGACAGTCGGAGTGAGATTGTTGTGCCGATCTTGGTTCGTGGGGAGGTAGGTCTTTTTACTGCCTAGGTGTGAGTGAGCGTCTTGACTAACTTTTGGTTGTTAGACTGTCGCGATTATCGATATCGACTGCACTGAGCCATCGGGCTTCGATGAGGAGGATAAGCTCTACCTAGAGAAGTTGGCCGCTATCTTGGCCGAAGGCTGCGATTGGTGATATATCCCGAAGAGTATCTATAAGGAGTTGTTTTCTTCTTTTGGGTCGTGCGTTCTTAGCAGCCCTTTTCAAAAGTGATCTTGCGGATCCCGTGGTGTGGGACAAAAGTTCTTAAATTAATAAGTCGTCTGCCCTGTTTTGCAGATGGCAAAGCGATGTATGATTATACGATTTTATGTATATGACATGACAACAGGAGCCCCAGTGGGCATCGATACAAAGTGGAAGATGTAATAGTCCATGCATATCAATCCAGCTCCGGGGAATCTTGACTCGGGACGGGTATAGGTATGGAAGCTGCAATAACTAGGCCTCGTTCAGGCCAAAGACATGTATTGCACACGTGCAGACATCCTCGTAGTCTCGTATTCTTGCCCGCAGCGAAGCGATTGTAGTATCTAACAACAGTCAAAATCCAATCATATCATCATGCGCGTCCAGTCCCGCGCAAAGAAAAGGCAGCGGCCAGCCCCGCTCAGTTCTAGCACTCATCAACAAAGGAAAGTCGTGGGTCTATAGGAAAAAGAAGACAAAGTATGCAGGGAATGAAAGACAAAAAAGCAATGGAAACGCAACGCTGAGGCCGAGAGAAAGCAAAGGCAAAGGTATATAACAAGAACAACAAGGGGCGAGAAATGGAGAGCAGGCTACATATTCAGCAAGCTCATCTGTCTCCGCATCGGATTCGGAGACAGCGCGTCGCCATCCTCACTTGGTCCAATCCCACTATCTGTCCCAGTGAGCCCGGCGTCTGTGTCAATATCCCACTCCTCGTCTTCGAAAACGGCATCACCGTCCGGCCGGCCGTCCCAGCTCTTCTGGATGGCACCACGCGTGTTCCAGCGCAAGGCACGCTGGACACTGGTGAACCACTCGCCGCTATCGGCGACGACAGTCGGGAACGGGTATTGGCTTGCTTCGATGGTGACATAGTCACCTTGGCGGAGCTCCACGCGGCCCTTGCCATCGAAAGAGCAGTAGGCAGTCGAACGGGATGCGTGGGGAACGGCGATTCGGAGGAGATGCGAGTCGGAGAGGACCATGGGCCGGAAAGAGAGGGTGTGAGGGCAGATCGGGGTGAGGAGGATGCCCGGAATTGAGGGGGTGGATTAGAGAACCCCCAGCGGACAGGGAATAGGCGGTTGAACCTGTGATACGACTGTGAGTTTTGTGCGATGTGTCACCCAAGCCTGTGAGACCTACCAGTGGGAGTGGAAAAGATGCAGCCGTCCGCCTGGACGACGGTCAACAGCTCGTTGTCCGCGTATAACTCCAGATTGGATACGTAGGGAGAAGGTCCCCGGTCGATGACAAGCTCGTTCAGAACCTCGAATTGCTCCCCTTCCTCCACAGCGCCCGCCTCGGCACCTTTGCTCCGGTCCTTGCGGAAGACCGTGCAGGTGAATCGCATGCGAAGATTGACGCGCATGCCGACCTCGCCCATAACGGCATTCAGCTGTGACTGGTAGTCGGCGAACTCGAAGTTGGTCAAGAACCCCAGACTGCCGAGCGAGAAGCAGAGAACCGGAGGGACCACGCGTTGGAACAGCCAGGAAGTGAAAAGCACCGTGCCGTCACCACCCAGAGTTAAGACCAAGTCGAACTTATCGGGCGACGTCCAGCAGAGATCGGGTGTCCAGAACTGTAGCATTTGTGTAAAGCGCGGGTCCTTTTGCAACAGGCCGGCGGCATCGAAGCGCTTGGAGTTGCGCAGTTTTGCATCGACGTAGACATTCACACCCAATTCACTTCCGTAGCGAGGCGTCGAGAGCAACCACTCGGTCACCTCACGGGTCAGATGCACCAGGCTATTATCTCTTGCCTTGGTGACGATCATAACGTTCCGAACTGCGCGCTTGATGGGCCGGCGTTGCAGCTGCTTTGACACCTCTCGGACCCCAGTTGCAGTCTGGACTAACCGCGAATGTGACAGCCACTCATCATCCGCAATCTCCTCCAGCACCTTTTCGATGTTGACAGCGCCGTCGAACCGTTGATGGAAATAGCAGGGGGACTGCAACATGAGCCGCGCCGTGGCTGGTGACCGCTCGAGATAACCATTTACTTGCAGGTTCGAAAGCGCCGCAGACAACTGTGACGAGGTATTACTGCACCGGCGCTCTCGGTCCCGTTCCTCCGCCGGAGGCGATATCTGGCTAGAAGAGCTATTGGGCATCAGGCCTGTCCATGGGCCGGCCAGCGGCGCATTCTGATTATTGTTATTGGCCAAGGACGACCGTGAAGCCAGGGCCTTCATGATGGTTTGGCGCGGGATGCAGTCCGTCGACAACGCCTTCTTGTTGCGGAGAGACTTCTGGCGGAACGGACGGAGCGTCGAGCGTGGGGGTAACGGCCTAACGCCGGGCTCTTCCTTAATCGGCTCGGCTGTCTCGGCCGGCAGCGCAGCGCAGCCGGGAGCTCTGGGGTTTGAGTCGGGCCGGTGGATGTCGTTGTTTGTCTGCGTGGGCTCTATATGAAGGGCATAATCCCGGAGGAGGGCTGCCCCGACAGTCGATGCTGATGCGGGGGTGGGGCAGTAGCAGCATCGGATGAGGAGGATGGAGGGTGAGACGGCGTGGGAGTAGCAAAAGCAACAGCGGGTGCGAGCGTCGAGGGCACGTCAGACGGCCGCGGTTGATCACGACTGGAGGCCATGGGTGGCTGTGTGTGGTATTGATGCGGATGACGGAAGCTGCACAAGTCGCGATCTGGAGATGCCTTGATTGAGCTCCCGGATGTAACGGCGATTGCGGGCCAAAGGTGTGCCCGTGGGTCGCAGTGCAGCCGGGGGCCAGTCAGCAAGCGGTTGGTTCTGTCTTCCACCGTTTTCCACGGGTGGGTGGTTTTCTGCTTGCTCAGCTTTTTTTTGGCGGGTGATGGCAGGGATGGGACCGGATAAATTCTAACCAGGCGCCGATCTACTCCACCGGTGGAGTTGGGAGATGAACTGAAACTGAAGCGAAGGATGACGGGAGAAGAGAAGAGAAGGGGTAAGGAATGGATGAAGGAGAAAATAATAGTGGTCCATTTGCATACAGGATTAACTAAGCCTAGTCGTAGATCCAACACGTAGTACTTTCGTTCATTCAACCTCGACTAAAGCTGACGTCGCCCAGCATTCCGTGTCACACAGCAGACGTGACGAGACTAATCAGGGGGGCCGCTTCGGCTGTTCTCTGCATGTCTAGATTCGCAGGATGATGATACCTGGCGATGCAGTCGAGAGGAACATATCACGTCCCTGGAGGGCTGGGCCGGCCCGGGGGTCTCGAGCGATATGGCTGGAACGAGGTACAAGACCAGCCATGATGGCCTGGGAAGAGATCGCAAGGACATGATCCGTCCACCTTGCTTCTTTGCTTCTCGATTTGATGTGGAGTGGTGCAGGATAACCACCGCTTCAAACGGCATCGACCTTCCATGCGTAGTCTCGGTGCACTTGGTCCTCAACTGTCTCACGCACGAAGCCGTGTAACTGTGCGCTATCTGCTCCCTCGTCCATAGAGACATCCCCATCGACACTTCCCGCAGTGCTCTGGCAGATGCCGAGGCCTTTTTGACGAACGGCTTCCCATGTATCAAAGTCGAATCGTCCTTGACTCTCGTTGAGCAAAAGATGGCCCTTCGATGAAAAGGCGAGCGCGTGGAGCGAGGCCATTGCTTTCGCATCGGCCGGAGAAGGGTCGGAGATGATGATGCCGGATTTTGTCACGCCGAGCAAAGTCGCGGAGAAAGTCATGGAAAGGGGCACGGTCGCGGACAAAAGGGAGAGCAGGGAAGTGTGCAAGAGGGCCGGTAGAAGGGTCAAATACTAAAAACAAGTTAGCCGGAATCCCATCCAGAAATTCAAACGAATGCTCACCGAGTCACCACGTTCCACATTCTCACCACCGACAATGGCCAATGTGATCACGACGCCGCGCCGAGGGAATCCCTTCTCACGACCGAGAATGACCGTCGCAAGGACACTCCGCAGAATGCCCTCGACATATCGCTCGCCAACCCCGGCGGTGGTGGTGCCGGGCTTAACAAACACCTCTACGGTGGCTTCCTCGGGCTTCAAGGTATCGCGGCGTGCGGGGAGCTCGATGGGGGCATTGACGGTGCCCAGCAGTTCATAGCCGGTCGTAGGGCACGTGTAGGATGATGAGCCATCGGCTCGATGAAGGGGAGCGAGAGAAGCTGTCGGCCCGACCATGGTGGGGTGGTAGTCGTTTGGTGTGGTGCGTTGAAGGTGAAGTTCAAGAGACGCAGTTTTTCTGCCGGTGGTGGGTCGCGGATCAAGTGGAGAGGTATCGGGTACCTGCACCAACCACTGCGCGCCCATATACTTCCAGGTAGCTGTGACATCCAGAGCTTGACCTGGGACTCACGTCTTCATTATCTTCGCCAGCATTTCGATGCTGGCAAAATACACGCTTATCGGTCAGTATTGGAAGGGCGGCCGGGCACGCAAAGCAAGCCTGGACTGACTCGCCGGAAGCACGGAGGCGAAGGTAGCAGCGATCCTGTTTGGAGACCCCAGTGGTGGCTGGCCGTCGGCATCCAATCCCATCCTTTGGTCAACCTTCCAAGACTCTAGTGGCTGGATCGATCCAGCATAGCCGCAAGCTATCCAGCCGGATTATGGCAGCCAAGGAGTGCTCTCCAATGACCGTGGAGCTTCATCAAACAGCCCCTCCACTTTTGCTGGCTCGGCGCCATCCCCCTCACGTTAGCACATCATTATATCAGTGCGAATGTCCCTCTGTTATCTCTTGTTCTCTTGATTGTCTCCCCATGATACATCCCCCCGGTTCCATCACAGCTCATCTCCCCGACTGACGCAATCTCGATCCGGCCAACTTATCGACATCCTCACTTCCTCATTGAATGGGCATAGAGACCTCCCCCGATGTCGAGGAATCGACAGAACCTCCTATATGTCCTTGTACGGGACATCTTCAATATCAACATACAAATGTAGCTTCCAACAGCGTAGAAGCCCAATCTTCCGTTGTGAACGAGAAATCCAATAAACCCACGAATGAGAAACCCACGTCCATCCAACCGGCGAAGGAGAATCTCGAAGAAAATGCCCATTTCATCAGCCCCTCCCACCTATCTGTTCTTCTTCAGACAGACGTGCGGTATGTCCAGGGCGTGACGGCCATCGCAATTTACTTCTCACCAGATCCGATTTAGTTATGGACTTTCCAGCGCCGAAGCGGCCGCGCGCCTCGAGCGGGATGGCCCAAATACGATGGGGGAGATGGAGAGTGTCTCCGTCTGGGGGATACTGCTGAGACAGGTATCCAATAGCTTGACTTTGGTAAGGACTGGTTGCGGAGGTCCTTCATAACCTGGACTAATCAAGGCAGGTCTTACTTCTTACAATGGGTTTGTCTTATGGCATACACGATTATATCGAAGGCGGAGTTATCACCGCCGTCATTGTTCTCAATATAGTCGTGGGGTAAATAGCTTCAATGATTCTTCCCTGGATCATGTATAACTAATACCGGGTCAGGTTCGTACAAGATTACCGAGCAGAGAAAGACATCCTCTCCCTCCACTGTCTGTCGGCACCGATATGCAAGGCCATCCGCGACAACCGTGTAATCTCTGTGAAAGCAGAGTCACTAGTCGTCGGCGACATCGTTCAACTAGCAGTTGGGGATATTGTACCGGCTGACCTACGTCTATTCGATGGCATGAATGCATCAATGGACGAAGCTCTTCTCACTGGTGAATCTCTTCCCGTCTTGAAAACCCCACATATAACTTTGGTTGCCCCGGACATACCAATTGGCGATAGAACAAACATGGCATACTCAGGCTGCAGCACGACCCAAGGTCGAGCAATGGGAATTGTCACTGCAACTGGGATGCAAACTGAAGTTGGGAAGATTGCTCAATTACTTCAGGATAAGGGAAGTGACGACAGCGCAAATTCATTCGCTCGTCTAGCTCTACGGATGAAATCTTCTGCTATGAACATTTTAGGTCTGGTGGGTACTCCCTTGCAAGTGAAACTGAGCAAGTTTGCCTTGCTGCTTTTTGGTCTTGCCATTCTTCTGGCCATTATTGTCTTTTCTGTCAATAAATGGAATGTTCAAGGAGAGGTACTTATATACGGCATCTGTGTTGCTGTTGCTGTCATCCCGGAGTCCTTGATCGCGGTTCTCACCATCACCATGGCTGTGGGCACCAAGGCAATGGCCAAGGGCAATGTCATCGTCCGCAAGTTGCAGTGCCTCGAGGCCGTCGGAGGTGTCACCAATATCTGTTCCGACAAAACTGGCACTCTCACTCAGGGAAAGATGATCGCTCGATGTGCTTGGATTCCAAATGTGGGTACTATGACAGTGCGGGAAACAACTAATCCATTTGACCCAACAAACGGCCTGGTACAACTCGATGGAATTGAGTGGGACTCGAGTCAGCCAATCGAGCAGCACCCTGCGCTACATGTCTTCTTCTCTGCAATAGCTCTCTGCAACCTATCAACCGTGCATCAAGCCAATAAAACATGGACTGCTGTCGGCGAGCCTACAGAAATTGCCCTTCACATTTTGGCCATGCGCTTTGACTTCGGAAAGAATGTGATCCTTGCAAAGCGCAAACTGGACCTTCATACAGAATACCCATTTGACTCCGCCATTAAGAAAATGACGGTCATTTACACTAATTCCACTGATAAGGTCAATGAAATCTACACCAAGGGTGCACCAGAAGCAGTTCTTCCCCATGTCTCAGCCAGCGAGGAGGAGATGAGCATCATGAAAGAAGCTGCCGATCGAATGGCAGGCGAAGGCCTGCGAGTTTTATGCGTTGCCCACAAAACAGTTCCCATGGGTGACACCTCTGAAATCTCACCCCGAGGCTCAGGCGAGTCAAACTTGCAGTTTGCGGGCTTTGTTGGACTTTATGATCCACCGCGAATTGAAACAGCAGCAGCAGTTCGCAAATGTCAAATGGCAGGCATTGCAGTGCACATGCTGACAGGCGACCATATCAAAACCGCCACCGCTATCGCATCGGAAGTAGGAATCCTCGATCGTCTGGATACTTCTGTGAAATGCAGAAAATTGGTCATGTCGGCCGATGAGTTTGATAAACTTTCCGATCCTGACATCGACAGTATGGAGGAGCTACCTCTGGTAGTCGCACGATGCAGTCCCGCAACAAAGGTCCGCATGGTCGAGGCAATGCATCGGCGGCGGGCCTTTTGTGTTATGACTGGAGACGGTGTCAATGATTCTCCTGCTTTGAAAAGGGCAGATGTTGGTATCGCAATGGGCAAGAATGGCAGCGATGTCGCGAAGGAAGCGGCAGATATGGTTCTGACCGATGATAATTTTGCCTCGATTGTCAAAGCTGTCGAGGAAGGAAGACGGTTGTTTGATAACATTCAAAAGGCAAGCCATATTTTTGTTGTAGATGAATAAACCCCAACTAACTAGCAACGCAGTTCCTCATGCACCTTCTCATTTCAAACATTGCCCAGGTCATCCTCCTTCTGATTGCCCTAGCATTCAAAGACACAAGCGGCAGCTCCGTCTTTCCACTTTCGCCGCTCGAAATCCTATGGGCCAACCTGGTCACATCGTCCTTCCTGGCCGTCGGCCTCGGCCTAGAAGAAGCCCAACCAGACATCATGTACAGACCACCACACAACCTCCGCGTAGGCGTCTTTACCCGCGAGTTGATAGTAGACAAGATGATCTACGGCACATTCATGGGCTCGCTCTGCCTCATCTCATTCATCTGCGTCATCTACGCCGCCGGTGTCGGATCCTCCGATTTAGGTGAGGGATGCAACCAGGCATACAACCCAACCTGCCACGCAGTCTTCCGTGCCCGAGCTACGACGTTCGCAACATTGACATTTCTGCTACTCGTCACGGCCTGGGAAGTCAAACACTTCTCCCGATCCCTTTTCAATATGGATCCCATCCGGTCTCCGCAGGCCCTGTCCGTATTCCCAACAGTCTGGCGCAACCGCTTCCTCTTCTGCGCCGTCATGGCTGGATTCGTCATTGTATTCCCGGTTATCTATCTCCCTGTGATAAATGAGCTTGTGTTCAAGCATCATGCTATAACGTGGGAATGGGGTATTGTCGTCGGCTGCACAGCTGTGTATCTGCTTGGTGTTGAGAGCTGGAAGGCCGTTAAGCGGGCGCTTCGGATCGGGAGTGGGAAGCATGGTACTTTGACCCTGGAGGATGCGGAGTTCCGGGCCGGGTTGGCTATGTCGACACCTTCGTCGATGAGCGCTAATGCCAGTGTCGAGATGAAATGATTCTATTGTTCTTTTTTATTGGGTCACCGCGGTTCAACGTCGGGGTAGATTGTGCCTGCATAGCTGGTATCAGTGTCCAACACGCTGATATTTTTTCTTATTTCCTATGTTTGTTCTACTCCAGAATGTCAGTGTGATTGAAACCGATAATATGTGCCGTCAAGTTCTCAAGAAGAGCATGAGTAATCGATGGAAAAGTTGAGGATGCTAGAAAACCTACAACGCCAGAGTTTCATGGATTCAATTCGAGCACAGGCGAAGACAGGAGCATATACCGTTTCTGTCCTTACAGAGATAAGACCTTCCTGCAGACTATACATGCCGTAATTACCCTGATTGTCTAGAGGCATGAAGTTCCTAACTGGGATTGCTAGATCGGCGCGCCGAACTGAGCGCCATTGTTTGTATCATCTGCAATCGGGGTTGCACAATGAGGCCACATCTAAGTAACGGAAAATCAATCTTGGACTTATACATGATCTATCTAGTGCAGTCTTACAACGATCTGCAATCCGTAATACCAACACCCAGATGAACTAAGCCCCCTAGTCTGTGAAGCGTCGTGCTACCCGCCAGCTGCACCTCATCAAAACATCTGCCTCTATAAATCCCCTCCCCATTCGTATATAACCCTAACCACGGTGTTCGCCATAAATCCCCTCTATATTCTCTCCTATAACCCTCCCAATATCTCAATCCGAATCTATTACCCTCAACTATTAAACTACCTTCTTCGCCTACCGATAGCTCTATGCCTATCTTTTGCCTTCACAATTCGATGCCCTTTTGTCCCCTGATTGTTCTTAGTACAATCTCTTTACTATCCTAATCTATGCTCTAATACTTACCTCATTCGTACTAATCTTATACTATAACCTCTTCAACCTTCCTATATCATTGATACCCATACCTATTGGATTCTCTATGTCCCTCCTAGGCATGATCTGCTAAGCAATTCACAGACAGGTGTTGCAATACATCAATACTTGTCATACCGCCATTACAGGACTATTAACATGTTCCTTATCGACGCTGCGGTCTAAGCTATCAGATTGTAAGGATGAGATAATGGGCGCGTGGTGGTCACACCGTAGGTAAGCGCTGCACTAGAAGGATTTTGGGGATTTATTCGACCGTGGCATTTTCTACTTCGCAAAGACAAAGACAAAAAGAGTACAATAAATAGAGAAAGGAAGGCTAAGTTACTACCAGCAATTGAGAAGACTTCTGGACTCTGGCGTTGTTCCCGGGGACTCGGCTTCGCCACAACAGTTGAGCGAAGACCGGTCTATGCAAGCAGGCGAAAATCTTACATATGCACCTATACTTAAGCGCTGAGAGCTAGCGCGGCGCCTCGCTGCTTTTTTTTTGCACGAGGACGCTCGAGCCCGCTACACAGTTCCATTATTCTTCAGCCACATCCGACACACCAGCGCACGTGTTCTTCAAGAGCAGAACCGCGGTATCGTGGGCGTTCAGCGTAGTCTTAATACTGCCCTTTTTGCAGCCCATGTTCCTCCCTGTCCACGCGTCGATGACGCGGTATGAGTTCTCCGTCAAACCTGGAATCTCGGAAAAGTCGGCCGTCATAGTTCGCGTCGTATTGAGTGAGTTGAACATGGCCACCATAATACCTTTAGACGATTGCCCGGACCAGAATTCAGCCGGATTGGTGGAATTATAGGTCCAGTTGGGGTTGACGCCCCATTTATACGGAGTCGCTGGCTTCCCGTAAATCGGATCTTGATTGAACGCGATCAAATGCTTATTCTGCAGGATATCGATGTTGGCCTGGCTGAGTTGGGTGATATCAGTTCCTATCAAGAGCGGTGCTTTCATCAGTGCCCATAGGGCAAAGTGAGTTCGAGTTTCCTCGACTGTCAGATCGCCGTTGCCGACCTCGAGCATGTCCGGGTCGTTATGCCCCGTGAAATCGGTGTAATCGCCAAGGAAAGAATTCATGTTGAGGATGCGAGTAACATCTCCCCAGGTTGCTGCTGACACTTAGCTATGTGCGAACAATTAGATATAAACAGGCGCATACGCTGGATATCGTTGGACATTCTCCATGAGTTGCCGGTCTCATTTGCCCATGTCCAAGGCTCATCAGTACCCCAGTCGCACAAGCTGAATAGTATCGACCGATTCTGGCTCAAAAGCGCGTTGCCCATGACACGATAACGTAGTGCAGTGTAGGACTGGCTGTAATTTCGCCCGTCTGTGGGCCACGCAGAGTCGCAGATCGGCATCATTGTGGCAGCACCATTCTGTTCGGTGTCGTTGGTGCAAGTCCCATTCACCAAGTTCGTGGCGAAAGTGGGATCAGCGTTGCAAGAATAGCACGTATCGTCATAAAACTCGGGAACCCCGCAGCTGGACAACTCGGTTAGCCAATGTCTCAAGCTCGCATTTATTGGCTCCTCAAATTGTGCCATTACACTACGCGTACGTACTTGTCATATTTGAGGTAGTCGATGCCCCATTCGGCAAACGTAGTCGCATCGATCATTTCATAATCAAGACTTGCCGGATACCCACCACAGGTAGTATAGCCTGCGCTAGAGTAGATTCCAGCCTTCAAACCCAACGCGTGAATCTTGTCTACAAGCCCGTTGATACCATCCGGGAACTTTGACAGATCTGGTCGAATTCGGTTGGTGACATTGTCTCGGCCATTCTTCATTGACCAACAGTCATCAAGCACAACGTAATTGTAACCGGCGTTCTGAAAGCCTTTGTTGGCGATGTCGTTGGCTGCCTGCAACATCTTGGTTTCATTCACATCGCAATGATACGCATTCTATGGTCTGTAAGCTTTGCGGATCTGATAGCTAGGGATGTGACAGAGAGGCAACACACCCAGCTGTTCCATCCCATAGCCGGGAGTCGACCTGTGCCGTCATTGTGAGCAAGGCCTAGTACGGCCGGGATGGCTGACAGAGCGAGAGCGAGCGCGCTTAATGGACCCATGTCAAGTGATCGCAATGAGCGCGAAGGACATAGACGCAATTGTGCAATTGAGATCAACCAGGTTGCCCAAGTCAAGCAAGATCAGATGAAAGAAAAGTGAGGCCAGAGCGAGGTTGAAGCGACGACAAGGTCAATTGAACTGATTGCTGTGATTCATATCTATTTTGCAAAGGATTTTGGTCTGTATTTATGCCTAGTCAGGAGGCCAGAGAGAATTCTGTCGATCAGAAGCTACCATCGGATATTTCGAATTCGGTCCGGAGTGTGCCCATTATTACTCCGCACCTGGCGTGTCATTCTCTTGAGGGGCGTCGATCTCAATTTAATTTGAGCGCCTTTAGGATTAAAGCGGGGAAGGGGCTTTCGTTTGCAATCGAAACCTCCTATGGATCCCAAACTAGGACAGGAAATATAAGTGCATGCCATCCATCCCCTTTGAAGACAATGCGAGAAAAACCGACACATGCTTCTTCTCGATTCTCTTAAGAAAATACACTAGCGATGCGGGTTTTTACCACGCTCTCTCTTGGCCTGGCAGCTTTTCGCCCATGCAAGGTCAGCTCTGGCAGATTCCTTCGCGTACAATGCAACCAGTTTCCTCCTTTGGTTCTATCAACAATGTTCGGCCTGGTGCTTCGAAGCGTCGAAGAACCGAGACTCCCCCAGGCAACACCAGTTCGGAAGATGAGTCGAAATATGAAGCGGTGGAGAGAGACAGCAAGTGGGGCCGCATTGATGATAATGATTATAGCCCGAGTTCTTCGTTGACGCACTCAGATAGATAACTGTCTTATAATATAGTGTTTTATCCTGAATCGAAGAGGGCCTGCTTGGAAAGCAAATTTAGATGCCAAATAATTACAGTACATCTAATCGTCGATTTATCACGCCTGCAGGAGCAAGCCACCTCACGAATTTAGCGATAATCATACCTGCAACAACAATGTGTTGAGAAATGACTCACCATTTATGATCGTGAACCATGAAAGGTCCGTCAATATTGCTCTGTAAAGACGATTGAATCAAAATAAGGGTGGTTATTCAAGGCTAGCCGACCCCATGGAGATGAGAGAAGAGTAATGCTGTTGAACAATGTCTAATAAGGCACGCCGCCTCTTCCCGGTAACAGGGGTCATCGACGTTGCAACAGGCGGTCGGGCAGGAGCGAAGACCTGTAACGAAAACTTCGTACGGAAAGAATGAATGACTCCTTTCACAGCTCGGATCGCGGCAGTGCTGACACTCTTGGCCATAGGGACTGGCTTTTCCAAAATTTTGGCCAGCACGGTGGTTAGGTCGAGTGGGCAGTTCCTGAGAGTTTATCTTCCCATCGAGAAATGGATTCAGGATTAGAGATGTCTGTATGAGTTACGGAGTTTTCAAAAGACGGTACAAAGAAAAGCATACCAATGGAACGGGCCCGAGTTTCACGCACCCAGTACACCAGACTTTCCTCACTGCCCGCAGAAGATGATCATTCTTAACGTCGAAGAGCTTTCAGCCCAGAGAGAGACTTCGGGATACACTTGACATCAGCCTGCTCCCTATGAGCATAAAGAGCCGATGGTAAGTTGAAAAGCCCTCCTTTTGTCCGAGCTGTCCATGGGCCGCCTCATTATTGCTCGTGGCTGTGTTAGGCTTCTCGAATGTGTAGAAGCCACGGCAGTAAGGCGTAACCTATCCAATGTCAAGACTGCTCTCCCGGCTCCCAGAGAATTCCGTAACATTAGTCTTCATGATTGGGAAGCTAAGCGAGGCGAATGCAAGATCTATAAGAAATTCACAATAAATATCTTATGTACAAAAGTCTGGCAGGTAGGGGGAACCGGTTGAAAAGCAGAAGGGATGGAAATGTGGGAAAAGTTAAATAAAGAAAAAGCCAGGCTTGAGGGCTTACTATTTCAGGCTTCCACCCTATAGCCGGACAAAGCCCTGACAGTTTCTCCACAACGCAGTCAAGTATCACTGCGACATTCGTTATTGCTTTTGCCTCCTATGGCGGACGGTGTTAAAGACGATGTTGAAGACTCACTTTTGTCGCAGTTCAACACCAACCTTCAAGATTAAACACCATTGTAGACAACCCTTAAACAACCTGTTTAACTTCCTGTTTCTTCACTCATTGTGAATGGTTGACCGGAGTGGTCACAAGACCCTTAAACGCTTTCATTTCACAACACCTGTAACCTTAGTGTCCCTAAGATGTGGAGCGGTTGGCTTCGGTCACAAGTTCACAACATGCGCTAGTACTTGCGGAAAACCCGTTTGTACACTCTTAGGAGGCTTCTGATAGATGCGCCTAGTGGCAACAAAAGAAATCCTTAGTGGTTATATCTGAGCACCGATGGCTCCAGCTGCTCCATAACAGGGTACAGCAATAGATCTCCAGGCAATTTCATCTAATTTCCCTCGCCCTCGTATCCCTCTGAAGACACATGAGCAGGTTAGAGGGTTAGTAAGCATGACTATATTCTTAGGAGTATAATATGGCCTAGAAGATTGTCATCGTTTAATTGGAACGGAGATTTGTTATTGTTAGACCAGAATGGATACAACGAATTGAGCTAGAATGCTATAATTCGGAAATAAATCGATGATCAATAATTATAGAGTGTGTTTAAACCCTGATGTTTGTTACCACTTTGTTATCAGACAAACAATGAACATATATTCCAAAAATAAATAAGCAGAAAAAAAAAGGTGCAAAGTGTGACCAGTCGTAACGGAACTACGCATACAGAACCACGTATGACGGGACCGCTCTCTCGGGAACCCGTCATGCTGGCATCCACAATGCAGACTTCCATGACCCTGGTAACTCCGACATGATGCAAGGTTGAGGACTGCGTTTGAAGACTGCGTTTGACAGGTGACACAGGACATAGACTGTTGTAGATAAGTAGAGACTCTTCTTCGGTCTCTTCTTCCCTTTCTCAACTTGGATCTCCCGTCGACTACATACTCAAATTGAATTCTTTATTGATTTTCTTTCTTGATCTGACATCTGGTCACACAAAGAGGAATAATCGTAGGATGTTGAAAGGTTGATCAGCCAATTGAACAGACCTCACTCCACATTTACCACGACGGTTCCTAGGAGCAAACTCCCCAGGGTCCAACGTCGGTCACATGGATGACGCTAGGCCTGTTGTTGCAGAGAGAATGAGACTAGCAGGGAAAGGTCACAGCGCAAAACTATGGATCTTCAAACCGCTTCACCAATTGCTCCAGTTTTCAGCAGATTAAGGTGTTAGTAGATGATACTATATTCCTATGAGCATAACATGGCCCTAGAAGATTGATCGGTCATCGCAAATTAGTGGAAGGAGAATTTGGTCGTTGCTAGACCAGAATGTACACGATGAATTGAACCGGAAAGTTTCAACATTAAAGAGAATCGATATTCGACAATTGCAGGTAGGTGTATAAAAAGCCTAAGATCGTTTATTCACATTTTTAGCGGACGGACAATGATCATAGATTCGAAAAACCAGTGTAAACAGCTGTAGTACCGCAAGATGTTGAGGGATTAATATGTCTGTTGAACAGGACCCACCGCGCATTTCGCCACTGAGGTAAGAGGTGGGCCATAGGTCTAATAAGAGTCACATCGTTCATGCTAGTTTTTTGTTCATGGGAGAAATACGAGCGATGCAAAAGGGAAAATATTGCACAGGGACGAAACTAGCCGGGTGCACTTTATTGGGGGTATGCTTACTCAGGGCGCTCTTCCCCATGCTCAGGGTGGGCTCAGTGTCCGAATCAGGGCAATCAGTGAGTGGATCAGGCCGCTCAGGTGAGCAGTCAGTGAGCGCTCAGTGAGCGGACCGTTGTGATCATGTCATGCTCCGTGAGCAGATCCGGCCGCTCAGCGCCGTGCTCAGTTCTACTCAGGGAGCAAGCAGTGAGCACTAAAACGGAAAGAGCAAGCCAAGACTTGCCAGGCATTATCCGGTCTATATGTGTTTGGTGGTCAGGCGACCGCTCACCGCTAGAATTTACAAGTTAAAAGGCGCCCTTTCTGGTCTCCAAAGCTGTCATCTTCAGCGTCAATTCACAGGTCCTCTTATTGTATGCGTAAAGCGAAGACCTGTGACATTTTAGGGCTAATTTTGCTTCATTTAGTTTGCCGCCCGCTTATTCCTTCACGTACTCTCGGCTTCTCGGCCCAGAGACCCTGAAAGAAAGGTGTTCGAGGTTGTTGACGCTGGTGACCATTTCAGACTGCTGAAGGCTCGGCAACAGGTTCTTGGTGAGCACATAAGCGGGGAAGCTGCAGCAGCCAAGATCTGATTGGCTAGGTCTCGAGTCTGTCTTACACTCTGCAGAGTCTTTAGTAGTGATATTATGTTGTTATGATGTAAACGAAGACTACTTTAGCTAAATGTCTCACTTATACCTGAGTAAGACATGACTAGCAAGTGTTCGGCGGAGTATTTCCTATGTGTTCCTCTTGGACTGTTACATGCACTAGCCTATTTTAAGGAAACATAACAGAGTATGTAGCTACGAGAATACGAAGCTGAAGACTGAATGGTGTTGAAAAAGCTTTAAATACCTTCGTTCGCACCTTGCATTGATGCTCTTATTCCTCTCTCATTCGCAGCCCATCGCCCTCCAGACTACAAAAATCCCTATTCCAAGCTTCTCTTCTCTACCTCCAATAATCCACAAATCGCAAACATGCATATCTCTTCGCTTCTTCTGACCACCCTCGTCTCGGCGGCCATGGCCGCCCCTGCTACCAGCGTGTCAATGATGGCCGCCGGCCCTGAATGGACTATCGAGAACCTGAAGCGTGTCTGCAACGCCAAGGACACTTCGTGCACCTGGACCTTTAGCATCGAAGTCGGTTCGGCCGCCGCTGCTGCTACCGCTTGCACCTATGTTGTGAAGGGCACCGACGCCTCCGACGCTAACGGAGGGCCTGTTAATTGCGGCGACTATACTATCACTTCGGGCTGGAGCGGCCAGTTTGGTCCGGGCAATGGCTTCACTACCTTTTCCGTTGTCGACAACGTTAAACGCCAAATTATCTGGCCCGCTTACACCGACGTGCAGGTCCAGGGTGGCAAGGTCGTCAAGCCTAACCAGAGCTACGCTCCCGCTGCTCTCCCTTGATTGCGAGAACAACATGAGAAGGACGGGGAGGAAGGCTGAGATACAGACTGATCTGATGATAACAATAATATCCTTTTTGTACCTAAGTTCTGCTGTGAGGGAAGGGAATGGTGGACATAATAATATACGGGAATATCATGTTCTTCCTAATCGAGCAATTTGCTAGTAATAGAGCGGAAGTAGTTCTGACACCCCTGGTAGCTGTCTGTTTTTAATAGTACGTGAAATCTTCGTAGCCCGCATCCTGGTGAGTAACTGGTATCACCTGTTCTCACTGGCAGCAAGTTCTCTCCATTTGGACCTTAAGTCAGTTGTCGGACGATTCCTAGGAAAGGGGAATAGAGAAATCAAGCTGAGTTTAATTGAGATGAGAAGTCCGTTTGCAGGTCCAAATATGGTTATTTCTGTCCATGGTAGGCAACACAATGACTAGCTACTTGAATGTTTTACTTGTGGGGTATTAAATGTATAAATAGCGACGGGTAAAAAAAGGGGAGGGACTATTCAAGCGATTGGTTTCCGACTACCCGGCTGCGCCACGTCGGGTCCAGATTCTCGTATTATTGCACAGGAGCTTCTATCGCCGCCAGGTTGCCTTCTCAACAAACATACACAGCCACACGACACCGGTGGCATGGCAGATAAATTACTCGAGGAATATGTCTGAGATACTGACTTGGAATATCTCGTGACATCAAGGCATACCTAGTCCTATGGCCTCTCTTTCAGGTTGGTTGTTTGCAGATTTGTGCTACAGATAGCAGCTGACAAGCTTGTAAAAGATTCAAAGCCAAGGAGAGACTCCCACTTTCGTTTCCTCGCTTTACCTTTTGAGCTTCGAAGCAAGATAATCAAATATACCATCAGCTCTACATACTCTACACACGAGCTCGAGGAATGGCAACAGCTTCAACGCACTGCAAATCGCACAGGATGGGAGATAAAGCCGGAGGACTTCACCATCAGTTCGACTGGTCTCAAATGCCATTCTCTGACGTCGTTCAATTTTACTCTTGTGAATAAGCAACTTCGCCATGAGGCTCTCAGCATCATCTTTCGGAATGCGACTGTTTGCATTCATGTCCATATACCCAGATATGGACCATTCAGTACAATCCCGAAAGACATATCCAAAACTTATCGCATTCTTCGAGAGTATTCAATGCTACTGGAACTAGCACGCGATATCACCTTCATCGTTGATCCACAGCCTGTATACAGCCGGACGCTCGACCGTAAACTGGGCTCTGCCTTGAATGCAATACTTGGGTACAATAGAAGTGTTCTTTGGGCTCTTTTGTTGATCCTATGCATCGAAGTTCCACTTGCCGGTGTCGCTCAACTCGCTGCATGGATTTCTGGTATTGTGCCTTTTCAAGGGAAACGACACACTGATCTTCAAGCTCTTGTTGATCTTCTCGTGCAGGTGCCCAGGAACGGCACACATATGAAGATTATTGTATATCTGGAGCATTTGCATCTGCAAGATCTCGCAATTGTCCTCGGTTTACTGAACTTGCGATGTGGGCCCACCACGTTGGAGGAGGTTTGGGCTTCCTGGCACGGTGTAATGGAACTGCTGCTTACTAAAGAAGACTACGAAAAAAACTACAAGAATTTAGTGATGTCTGCTGCAGAGCAGGCTGGATGCACGGAAATTCTCAGTATTCCTCCGGCGTTTACCCTTGATGAGACCGCCTGGGGGGATGTTCGTGGCAGTCAGTGGATCGGGAGGAACCGAAGATCCTGGACGGAGAATAATAATATCGAGGTAGTAATAGAGTGATACTAGAATAGGAATCATCTGGTCCCAAAATCTCTCCGACACTGATACGAATTCTCCGACGCTTATAATTAGTCCTGTCCATCTTCTCACCTCAACCAACGACGAGGCCCCGTGCTAGGCTATCCCTCGCCAAAAGCCGAACAAATCGCCGGCTTTATTAATTTGACTCAGCGATCTGCTTTATCCATCCAGAATAGGCACTTAATTGTCGGGAAGTGCCCGCTATTAATCTACTTTTGGCAAGCCGCCAACTCCCCGACCGAAGCCAATACATCGTACTCCACCAAACAAGCATCTTGCAGCCACGTGCACGGCCTCTGAGGGGCCGAGCATCTATAGACCCCTGCTTGATGTATTGTATAAGAAGACCCTTCAAACATTTGATTCGGGTTACATTCTTGATTATCCTTTCATCTAATCTCCATTTTAGGTTGCTATTTTACGGGGTTGCCCACCATGCGCTTCCCGACGTGGTCAGCAACTGCAATTCTTGCTCTGTCCTATACCGCACAAGGACGTCGGTACCATGTAACTACTGGTCAGTCCGATGAAGATGTTGCTGCAGCTCTCAGGGCTCTTGGTCGTTCAAATCTGCGGCAACCTGGGTCGCTGCCATTCCCAGACCTGGAGCCTGGGACCGATACTATGCCAAACATCGAGCACATTGTCTTCTTGCAGCTTGAAAATCATTCCTTTGACAATATGCTGGGTATGCTTGGTCGCGGTGATGGCCTCAGTGTGGGATCGAACGGAGAAGTGCTGAACTCCAATCCTTATCCCAATGGATCCCTTCAGCACGCTTTCCCCATGCCCAACACCTGCCAGCTGTCGAGCCGACCGAGCCAGGAGTGGCTGGCAAGCCACAATGCTTATGATAATGGAACAAACACCGGATTCGTGAGCACACGCATTAGCTCTACCATCGATGAGATGGTGGGCGGTGTTGCTATGGGTTACTATACCTCGGACCATCTGCCATTCACATACAGTTTGGCAGAGCATTTCCCAATTGGAGATCGATTCTTTTGCTCCCTCTTAGCGCAGACATGGCCAAATCGGCGGTTCCTTATTGCTGGCACCCCGCGCGGGATCGTTGATGACAACGTCAATTTGACGGCAGGGTACGCTCCTGCTGGTACCATCTTCAACGAGTTGGACAAGTACGGCATCTCATGGAACAACTACGCTCCGGACTGCTGCTGGAGAGATATCAGCGGCAACACACCTGACTTCTTTGGCAAAAACAACTACGACACTGAAACCAAGCACCACAAGGATCTGCCCCAGTTTATGGTTGATGCGTTGGAAGGGAACCTGCCCGCTTTCAGCTTCATCGATCCAAACTATGCCAACCAGTCCCAAGAAAATCCTCAGAATGTTGTCAACGGAGAGGCGCTCCTGGCTGACGTGGTCAATTCTATCGGCCAGTCCCCTCTTTGGTCCAAGACCTTGTTCATCCTGAACTACGATGAGCATGGTGGGTATTATGACCATGTACCTCCACCACCAGCCCTGTTCCCCGACGAAGTTCCTCCGCATGTCCAGCCTGGGGAGTATCTATATGAAGGCTATGGCCGTCTTGGCTTTCGTGTGCCCGCCATAGTGGTCTCGCCATACGCAAAGGCTGGTAAATATGTGAGCAGTGTTGTCTACGATCAAACATCTGTGCTTGCCACCCTCCAGAGGAAGTGGAACCTCCCGGCTTTCACCTATCGGGATGCCAATGCCAATGATATGCTTGATTTCCTGGACCTCGATGCCCTAAAGCGCAAGGAACCAACTTTCACAAAGATGCCCGCTCTTGCTGCCCCTGGAAACACTACCGAGGCGCTCGCCTGTTCTACTACTGGAGCCGGTGTCATCCCCCCGCCTGGTACTGTTTCAGAACCCAAACGATCCCTACGGGTCTCGCATTGAGATGTCCAGAAAATGTCACTTCGATGTGGCATGGGCATCTTTGCTACTCTTGGAAATTAAACTTGTTCACTCATTAAGTTCTTGCGTGGGTTAGACATGGTCATCAGATTGTTTCAGGATATATATGACCACGCGCCCGGAACCTCCGATAATATTTTGTCTCAATTAAGAAATAAAAGTTTGATTAGAGTTGAATTCCATATCGCGTTTATTTATTTATTAAATAATGCGTCACAATAACTAACCAAATATACTGAACTTACGATGACGGGATCACGGAGGACTGGTGACAAATCGGATGGCCGGCCATCACTCCAACAAAGACCAATTTTTGCTTCGTAAAAGCCACACAACGCGTGCAGCAGCCCACTCTGCATAGATCTCGTCAAGAGTACCCTCGAGGCAAGTGTTGGTGCCATCAAAGATGGCTTCTATGAGGCAGATGCGCGACCAGAAGAATCGACTGCCAGTATTTCGATCCGCCAGACAGCCGTCGATTACTCCCGATAACCAGCGTTCGAAAGACATGGTTCGACAAGGACATTTATCTTTCAGGTCCATCCGCCCCTCAGATTGGAAATTGCGAAAAGGTACTACCAGCATATTATCCGATTTCTAGTGGAGACGAAAGATAGTATGTAGAAACATGAAATAGCTGAATTCAGACTGCCGCCCCCTGCGCGGAGTACTATTGCTTTTGAATACTCATTTTGAGATCCGACCGGAATATATCACCACTCAAGGAGTCTCCTCTACATTGTAGACCAGCTTCTCTCCGCTAACCTTGTCCATCTTGAGCAATTCCAATCCCTCCAGGACGCCCTTGAGTCCATCCTTTCCAACCTTGGGAGGGTGAACTTTGATCTTGCCATCGGCCAACAACGGCTCGACAACAGCCAAGAAGCTCTCCATGAAAGCCTTGTCCTCTGGTTTGGCCGGGATAGGCGTACTGCCAAACTCGAACGCCTCGCCGACGGAAGTGTATGCCAGGGTAAAACGGTCGTTGACATTTTGCCGGGCAATGTTCACGTTCAAGAGCGCGCTGTACTCGCCGCCCTCAGTGGATAGAGCATTGTCGCAGAATTTGGCACTAGCCTCGAGAGAGATGCAATCGAAGACAAGCTTGAGGTTGTTGTTGGTGTACTTCCGGATTTCATCAGCGGAGTTAGAGTCTTTGTAATCAAAGACGGCATCCGCGCCGAGCCGGCGGACTAGATCGAAGTTGTGCTTGGAGCAAGTCGTCAGGACCTTGTAACCGGACAACTTGGCGAACTGAATCGCGAGGGTACCAGTAGCAGTAGATCCACCGTAGATGAGAATAGGAGTCTGATCCTTGATTGGATCCGTAGGCAGTGCTAGCTTCAGGCTTTGATAGAGGCCCTGGCCGACAGTGCTAATACCGACACCGAGCGTGGCGGCTTCCTGGAAGCTTAGGTTGGCGGGGATTCTGATTGCAGTATCACCCTTGGCGACGATGTATTCGGCGAAAGCACCGTCTTCTGGCTGCACCGCGTTGCCGCCGTGCGCGAATCCGGCCACGCGGTCGCCCTTGCTGAATTTCTTGCGGACATCTTTTCCGACGGCTTCCACAACACCAGCATAGTCACAGCCGACCAGGACACCAGGAGGAGCTAGGAAAGCAACATGCTTCCAGTCTGTTGGGTTCAAGCCCACGCTCACGTTTTTGACGAGGAGATAATCGTCCCGGAGAGCAGGGATAGGTCTGTCAGTGACAAGATCTGCCTTCTTGGGTTCAGTAACGACAACGGCTTTTTGGGTAGGCATTTTGAGTAATTTTGACAGGACTGGTGAGTGTGACTGGTGTTTTCGACAGAGGATGGGGCACAGCTTAAATGCCCCTCAGTGCCTGTCGATGACAAATGCGATCTACAAGTCGATGACGACGAACTTCCACGCAATTCCTTCGTTAGCTACGGAGCTCGTAATTGTTTAATGGGCTATTCAAGATGTGGCCCATTGCTAAACTAACCCAACTTTTCCTAAGCAGACCCCTCAGGGATTACACTCGTGGCGGTTGGCTCTTGCCAATGCTGTCACACAACATGCGGGGCTTGCATATGACCGGGGTCATGTGCTGTGGCCTTAATAGTTTTCCGAATGCGGCAAGAAGCTCTCTATGGTGGGGTGGAGGAGAGGTTCAGCTTAGTTTAGCAAACTTCATGGTCTATCGCCTTGCTCGCAATTAGACAAAACTGGTCGGGCTGCTGCAATCGTTGCCTGGACGATAGTCTGTAGTTAGAGTTTTGAATACCAGTATTGCCAATCGCTTTTAGCCGAGGAGCATTGCCTGGTTAGTCAATGACGGCCACGGCCTCCGGAACAGGAGAGAGCAAGCAACATTGGGATTCGCCGTTTGATTGGAATATGCTTGCACCTGGGGGGTTGTTTACTTCAAAGTACAAGCATAATGTAATCTCAGCAGTGCTCAGCACTCATGGTCTATCATGATTTTACATACAGTCCTTATACCAAATCAAAGTACAAAAACAAACTAGACATGCTTCCCAATTCTAACCCCACTGGCAAAGTACCTTTTGTGAAAGCATGGCCGGTGAGTCCACATCATAGCACGTAACCTCGCTGGTATCCACATTATCGGTGCACTGCACATCAGAAGACCAGCCTGGGCAACTCAGCGTGCCGGGGCCATCACTTGCGCTATTGTACGAACAACCACTGATATCGTTGATGTCAAAGTCAAAGTCATCGCTGGTGGGGTACGGTACATTGTCCAGAGAGATATCCCCGCTGGCACTCCAGTCACCAGGGGAATCGCCGCACAGATCAGTGTTTGACCCAATATCTGGCGTGAATACCATCCACTCAGATGAAAACTCTTGAGTGAAGTAGGCTATCACTATCTGAGCAGTTGGTGACGGAGACGAGGCGGGCACAGTGCTAGAAGAGGACACTGGCAGCAACGGAGTCGAAGATGGAGGCACCACTACTGATGGGCGAGTTGATGAGGTAGTTGTCGAAGTGCTTGAAGAAGGGCGCCCAGGTGGGATAACAGGAGTCGAAGATGGAGGTACAACAATTGATGGGCGACTTGATGGACGACTTGATGGACGACTTGATGGACGACTTGATGGACGACTTGATGGATGACTTGACGGACGACTTGGAATGGTGCTTCCAGATGGAATAATAGAGGTCGAAGATTGAGGTACAACACTTGATGGGCGACTTGATGGACGAATTGACGAGGTACTTGTCGAAGTCCTTGAGGAAGGGCTTCCAGATGGAATAATAGGGGTGGAAGGAGAAGGCACAACAGTCGATGGGCGACTTAACGAGGTGCTTGAAGAAGTGCTTCCAGACGGGATAATAGGAGTTGAAGAATGAGGAGCAGAAGAGCTAGAACCGGAACTTCCTGTGCCACCACCAGTCGGAATAGGAGGCCCTGGTGCACCTGGAGTCTCCTTAGGACAGTCCCGTTTCTGGTTGCTACTCCCACCGACCAGAGGAACCTTTTGATCGTCCCAAGCATACCAGTATTTCTGGTACACATAGATGGGCCTCATCTCAAGCCAAAATCTCTCTATAGCCTGTTGTTGCGGGCATCCACCGGGGGCATCGGGCCGGGCTTGGACAGGATCATATTGAAAAAGACCCTTTCCGATAGGAGACAAGACATCGTCACCACCGCTGCGATGATAGGCAATCTGAATTGGGGGCTGTGTTGTACCCAAAATGCTGTGTACCTTTTCCAGAAGCAAGTCAATCTTGTCGTTATATCCCTTGTCATAATCATCTCTCCCTGAACTGCCGGGCCTTACGACGAAGGCAGCCGTTCGATACAACTTGGGGTCAAATGGCTTGCCCGCTCCAGCATATTGGGTCAAACTGGGAATATCCGGTGTTCCGTTTTCAAGTTGGTCGAGAACTTCCCGCTTGAACGTTTCATCTGACCCAACTTGCCAGTTTCCTGGACTGAATGAAGGTGCTTCCCAGTGATGAGTCATGTACACGCCTTTCTGCGACATCACAACCACGGAAGTACATCCCCACAGACCCCTGACGGCCATGTTGAAGGCTGTTTTCGCTAGTGGCTCGAATAGTCCAGTGGAGAATTGCGTATTATCCCGATCTCCAAGTGGAACCCATTTCGCAAATAGGTACTGATCCACCAAGAACTCCCCGGTGTTCCCGTTGAATTTAGGATCATCTGGTGAAACTAGCACGCGCTTGGCCAAACTGTTCTCTCCTCTCTTGCTCAGTGAGGTAGGGAGAGCTGTTGACAGGCAAGCAGCACAGCCGGCACCGCATTGCTTCATACCGCCAGAGCTACTGCTTGGAGTTGATGTCGCGACAGTTGTAGTCGACGTAAATGCTGTGACGCTGCATCCAGTCACTGTTCGGGTGGACGTCGAACACGATACTGCTTCTTGCCTCTTGCGTCCGGGTGCTAATGTGGTATAGCATTTCACATATACATCATCAGTTGTTGTGGCCGAGCACGGCGTTGAAGTGGAGGATTGTGTTGAAGTAGACGACGTTGTTGATGTAGTGGAGGATGTAGTGGAGGATGTAGACGATGTTTCAGACGAGCCTGACTGAGACGAAGAATGCTCATCGTCGTCGTCTGTGTCCTCGGTGATGTCAGAAAGCGTGGAGGTGATAGCTTTTAGATTATTGAAGTCGTCGTCGGTACCATCTTCGATCTCCGACTTCACTTGATCGACGTTGTCTTTGATACAAGAAACAGTGTTCACCAAGTCCGCAAGCGGATTAACGCTCACTTTGCCGCACCCGCCCTGAGAATGAGGATCTATCTCACCCACCAGATTCTATATTGGGTTAGTTTTAATCTCTATCATCCAGACGATCAACAGGAATTATTACCTCAATATCTGGCTTGATTTTATTGATCTCGTCAATTGCCTTTTCGGCTTTATCATCATCAGGCTCATCCGTAAGTAGTTTGATAAGCGGGATAAGCGTCACATAGATCTCGTTCTGAAGCGAACTGACACTCGAGGTTGCCTGAGGACTGTCCGTGTTCAGCGTGATGGGGAATAAGGGACTCGTCTTCGAAGAAGCAACCACGGCCGTCAGCGTGGTGCTTAGCTCCGTAATAACCTCAGTTGAGCTTTCGGGAACAACCGTGAAACTTGACGGTGGCCCAGAACCTCCACCGCCGGTAGAGCCTGAAGACCCTGGTGTAAGGGAACTTCCAGTACCTGGCGTAGATGCAGCAGAACTTGGCCAGGTAGACCTTCCGGGGGTTGGGGTAAATAGGGACCTTGACGATGGCGTGGATCTCGGCGTGAAACTTGTAGAGGACGAGTTATTGGTGCTGCTGGACAAGGGCTTCAAGTGCTCAATTCTTTCCCGTGGATCAACAGCGCCCTCAGCTCCGGGAAATACCAAGATCACCAATAGCCCCAAAATAGTAAGCCAGTGCCTAACCTGGATTTGTCGCATGGTGGATGATACTTTTAGATATCCAGAACAAAACAAGGAATGGAACGAAACAGGAGAAGAGAATGTGTTTAAGCTGGTTAAAAACTTGAATACTCGGGTTTCCGTTCGACTTTTAAATATTCTTCTCTCTTTATCTAGAAGATATTCCTTAAGATACTAAATCTGAGAGGCGAGGCTATAGTGGATTAGGATGCGTTTCAAGGCACCGTTTGAGTCAGAACATCCCCTGAAAATCATCTCGCCAATATGAAATGATAGGACCAAGTAGGGCATGGTGGGGTAGCAATGTAGCAATGCCTAATTAGTATGAATGAGGCATGCTCAAGGCGAAGAATCCTTGGAAGAGCTAATCTGCCTCATGCAGAATTGTGCATGATCGACTTCCGCCGGATTAAAAATAAAGTGGCGAGGAGGCAATAAAAGCCACTCCTAACCAAAAACTCAAAATTCGGATCATCATGTACGAAACTGGCTATTAGTGGAGGAACGCTAAGTGGCTAGCAGAGGGATAATTTAAACCGACCAATAAAGTAAACCTTCATAGTTGGAATAAGGATGGCCCCCACAGGATGTGCGCATTATCCTAACCCCCCTTTGTATGTAAGGCGTCCACATTTTCCTAGAACAGATCGGCCTGATACATGATCGTAGAAGTGTGCCTTGCTAATTTTCCACTTGAAGGAGTTCAACTTTGAGCAATCGCAAACCTCTCATTCTTGAGATTTAATATCTGCAAAACCAGTCGTTACTTTGATGAAATATGGCGACGCTCTTGGATTCAATTCCTGCGAATGTGCGAGCTGCTTTTTTTGAAGCATGTTCTACCGGTGACATGAATAATGTTGTTCAGACTGTTGAGAGTCAGGGCTATGTGGCCGAGCTTCTTCGATTCGGCCTACTACGTGCCGCTAGCGGAGGTCAGCAAGAAGTGGCTAAGTTTCTTTTGTCTAAAGGCGCGCAAGTCGACAGGGCGGCCAGTCTTGCGGCCACCAAATGCGATAAGCAAACTCTAGGGCTTTTTCAGGCATACCTAGACTATGGATGGGACGTCAACGAGGGAACACTCTTTGGTCAGAGCATCCTGTGGTATGTGAGCCCATCTGAGCAATTTTCTTCCTCCTTTTCTTCTCGCTCGCACATATCTTCAGTCTCGGAATTAGCCCGAGATCAGAGATCTTATTCCTGAGGTTGCGGCGGTTTTCTGACGTTACATAACTAGTCTTGTTGTGGAGGATGAAGAGCTTGTTCGGTGGCTTCTCGACCATGGGGCTGATCCGAACAGAGGAGCACATCTATTGGCCTCTGATGCAAAGGCCGAAAGTGATCACTATTCTGGGGAGGCTCTTAATGCCGCTGCCGCACAATCTGACGTGTCTGTGGTTGATCTCCTTTTGGAAAGAGGTGCGTGTCTCGAATACAGTACACCCCTACATTCTGCAGCTGCTTCTACAAAAAGGCCAGATGAGGACCGTATTCCAATGATGGCCCGGCTGCTGGAATTAGGTGTTGATATCGACGGTCTAGATGATATTCGGGGTCCTTTAAAGATCGGAACACCATTACATTGTGCTGCCAGATTTGGTCATACAAAGAGGGTACAATACCTGCTTGGCCATGGTGCGGATCCGTACCGAAAGGGACTGGATAGTCTTCTCAGAGAGGCAGAGCCATTTGGCGAGGTCAGCGCAGTTATTGAGGATTGCGCCCACCCCGCAGATAAGCTATCGAGCAATATGTCCAGTAGAAGAGAAATGCTAGAAAGATAGAACGATCTAAATTTAATTGTGGTACAATGTTTGGCTACTACTAGGAGAAACGCAAGGGATGGTGCCGGAATATACCTTCCATCATATGCACAGAGTATGTACTATCAGGTATCACCGCTCATCTGTGGGACCCCGCATCTCTCACGAATCAAAAGTCGGTCTGAAGGCCGATGCCTCCTGCGGTGAGCAACTGACAGACAAAATTTCTCCGGATCATCGCCTCTGTCAGTCAAGGCACAAGCATTCAATCCAATTGTTTACAGCCTAACAAAGCTAAACTGGTCCGGCGACGGCTGCTGCCGCGCATTCCCAACCAATTTGACTCGGAAAACGGCCCCTGACACATTCTTTCACGATCACCCCGCCCCCAGTCCGACCGCATCAGCACAATTCACGATGCGAGTACTTTGTCTGCACGGAAAAGGCACCAGTGGTACTATTTTCAAGTCTCAAACGTGTATGCTCCATCTGAAATTCCAGTGCCGCCACGTCTAATCCTGATGTCCCGCAGCCTCCTTCCGTGCCCATCTTTCCGATGAAGACCTAGAGTTTGACTGGGTGGACGGACCATATCCAACCGGCCCAGCTGCAGGCGTTGATCTCTTCTACGGGCCTCCATACTTTTCACTCAGCGACGGTACCTCATTGGAAGCTATTCGCTCGAGCTACACCTGGCTATCCGAGTATATTGCCAAGAACGGCCCGTATGATGCAGCACTCATGTTCTCACAAGGCTGCTGGCTTGGATCGAGCGCACTTCTCTTGCACCAGGAAGAGACCCCGGATCTCCCACCGCCTTTCAAGGCCGCCATCTTTATCTGCGGTGGTCCTTCTTTGACTGTTCTCGAAGAGCTGGGATTTCATGTCTCCGCGAAAGCTCTCGAGCGGGATGATGCTTCGCGGCTTGCTTTAGACTCACAGGCCGACTCTTCTGCTATTCAGAGACACGGTGTAGGCCGCTGGACCGGCCTGAGTTCACTCAGTGCTGGTGTCTCTGTGGAGGAATTACAGAAAGAGATCACCTGCCCGTTTCGCATTTCTGTTCCAACAGTGCATGTCTACGGATCCAAAGACCCGCGCTATGCCTCTGGCGTACACCTTTCTGGTATATGCGACCCAGAGAAGCGTCGGGATTTTGATCATGGCGGCGGTCATGAGATTCCTAGGACAGACTTTGTGAGTAGAACTATTGCAGAGTCGATTCGTTGGGCCATTGCACAGGGAACTGCTGAAAAGTAGTGGTCTCTTATAGGACCAATTCGACGTTGTCTTTAAGTGATGATCTGATGAAATAGAAATATATGAAATGCGATGGTAATATATAGAATCGAACTTGCCACGATCTTGAAACACGGTGTTGTGGTACCTCCACAGAAGATTCTATGAGTCGCAAACGGCGCAGTCGATTCAGGAGGTCGGCATTGGTGCAGTGGAGATCAAATTTGCTGGTTGCTTGGGTATCCAACCGATTTCGCTTGAAAGTAGCAGGCGCATCAGGGGGAAGAACAAGCAATCAAACATAACCAACCCTGGGCAAGTACAAGCCTCAGTGCATCGAGCATTTCCTTTCTTGAACATGCCAGGTAGCGAGAGCTCTAGCCCCCCAGTTTGGACGCTGAACACATAAATCCACTAGTTATCATCATCATCCTGGAACTCAACCCACGTCTTCATCTTCGTCCGCACATGCTTGCCGTAGATGACGAAGCCCTCCTCGGCATCCACAGACCGCACCAAACAGTTTTCGCCCGGCTCAAAGAAGAATGGAACGCTGATTCGTCCCAAAGCCTGGGTCTCACCGTTCTGCTGGTTGCTAACGACAGCGGCTGACGAGCTTGGCTCGGGAGCACGGACGCGGTGCATAGTAGCGACGAATCGGCCTCCAGATACCTTTGCCATCAGATCACCGATATTGACTACGAGAGACTCTGGGATATACGGCGCAGCAACCCAATCGCCGGAAGAGTTGCGAACTTCCAGGCCACCGGTGGAGTCCTGGTGCAGCAGAGTCAAAATCCCGCTGTCCGTGTGCTGAGTGCAACTGAGTTTCACTTCATCTTGTGTAGCGGACCTTGAACCCGACGCGGCAGACGCCACCGCAGGATAGTGGAGCAGACGCAGGGTGCTCAGTGAGTCCACCAAGTACGGATCGAAGAAGTCTGCCGGTTTTCCTAACGACTTGGCCAGCAGAGACAGAAGCTTAGATGCGAGATTCTGCAGCTCGACGTACAGCTTCTCCAGCTTTTCTCGAGAGGTGAATTGCTTCTCATCTGGCCAGACGTTCGGTTCGGCCAAGTTGAACTTGGACGACGGATCAACAGATGTCGCTTGGATGAGCTTTGCGGGCCCCATTTCGAAGCCTTCTTTGAGATTGTCGGTTGCTAATTCTGGCTGCGTGGGGAAGTACCTTCCACATTCATGTCAGTCCTAACATCATCTCGGAATATGGAGTCCAGGGTATTAACCCTCGGTATGTGTTTTGATGATCACGTCGAAACGAGCGCTTGGCGAGCTTCATCTTCTCCTCCGTTGGCAGCACAAAGAAATCGCGTGACATCTGGGACACCTCCGCATGGTTGAAACTCAAAGGCACGTTCGTCAGATAGGCGAACCCCGTCGTGGCGAAGACATCATATAGTCGCTGGCTAAGGGCCGACAGCTCCGCATCGGTAGCACCCGCGGACGAGCCCAGAGGGCCCACGTCAACGATGGGCAGAGAGGAGAAGGTAGTTGTCATTATAATAGATTAAAACAAAAACAAAACTTAAACTCCGGAATTGCAGAAAACGGGCTTCGTGCAGGCATTCGTGGGCTTTTATATTCGAATGACTAAAAACGCTCCACTTGATCAGTCCACTTCCCCGCCAGGGTTGGTAACCAGTCGCGTGCTCAGGGTTGTACCACACAAAACCGACAATTCCTAATTTTAACGCTAGCAGCCGCGTCTTCACCGTCGATCTCGGTGCCCAAGGGCCAATGCGCGTGCATAAGCCGAGAGGTCACAGCTATCTAGAAGACCGACGATTAGGCTTCGACCCCCACGCAGCATTCGACACTTACCGACGCAAAATGCCGCGGGTCGAATTGCAGATCTCATATTGAGCACACCGAGCGGAATGGCCCGACAACAGCATGACTCTTAACCCACTGCAGGTGTCGTCAATGGCTTACCGACCCATTGGTGGGGCTACGCCTCAGTCTCTGCTACGATATTTCAAGTGTCCTGGTGGACTTGTTTCATGCGGGGTCATTGGCTAGATTGGCGGCTGGCTTGCGTGGGGTTGATACAAGCACTAGGCACATCATAATCTCCGTGTGGTTGCCGGATCTAAAATAATCTTATTGAATATCTAAAGCGTGTATAATGATATCTGTGCAAAGAATGGGAAAAACTGAAAGCAAGGCCACTACCTAGCTACCATGAAAATGCTTCCTCAAATAAATCAACAGTTCTCTCTCCTTGGACGTTCCGAACAGCTGCGCGCACACTATCCCCAAGGCCACCAGGGCCGCAAACACTAACAGCCATCGCACCGACTTGCCTCGCCTTTTTGTTTTCCAGCAGAGACTGGAAACAAGGTTTGCCGTGATGAATGCTGACTGGAACGCTAGACGGCGCACATTGTGTCCATGGTGTCTCCAGATGAGGGATATATTCCTCGAAACTCTCCTTGTGTGCGGTAACATGGATCTCGATCGTGAGCGTCAATATTGGGAACTGAAAGTATGTACGTCCGTTGGAGTCGATTCGCCTGTGTAAGGAGGGGTGTTCAAAGATGTCGGTCATCCACGTTTGGATCCAGGAAAGATGATCTGTTGATTTTTTTTTCATTAGCAGGGAGTACAAGACGTAGCATAGGAGAGCGCAAATTACCTAAACTGCGAATCATCCAGACCAAGTGGACTTTCCGGGTGACCATGCGGTTCGAGGTGGAATTGATGATGACTTCATGCAAATATGACATCGAGTGAGTTATACCGATGCCTCCGGCGACCAGAAGCAATGTGCCGTAAGACGCGAGTGAATGAATGCCTCCTAGAGTGTAGAACATAAAGTCAGTGTCTACCCACGAGTGCAGTCAATCTATTGTTCATACCAAACGGGCCTTCTGCCAGTGCCATAGCCTTAATTTTTCCATCAGGTGATTCTTCAAGTTTGCGGAGGAGCTTCTTCGTGAAACCGTGTTGTCCTTTGATCAGAACAGACATGGTAGTCGTCTGAGAGCCTCCAATAAGAGCCACAAAGGAATCACTCGAGTCCCGCTTTTCATTCATGTTTATCGTGTCGGCCCCAGTAGATGTCCACGCGACGGTGAAAGGATGCGAGGTCCATAGGCCCAGAAAGGGCATGTACAAGTACATGTGCTGACCGGGGTGGAAGTTCCATGCTCGTGATACGGCAACGTCGACGCGAGCAACTCCTCCTGGTAGGGCTTCAACCGTAGCTGTCGTCCGCTGCTTGCCACAGTTTCGCCATATCAGAATTCCTAGACGCCCAGCACGCTATAAAGTGTCAGCATTGCCAGCCAATCTCCAGATAAATATCATCAAGCAACGGAAAACGTACATCAAGGCCCCAGAGAATCAATGTGCACATCAAGACACGCTGTTGCAATAGATTTTTCAGATGATACCACAACGCAACAAGGGCCACGATAGCCAGAGCGATATGCAAATGAAGAAAAAGCTCGTAGAACGAGTGTCGAGCCGGCGACAATGATTGAAAGAAAATAAAAACAAACCCAAGAAGGGCCTAGGACAAAGTCAGATATCCCACTCTATTAGGGGGCTCTGTGTGTACGTACCACGAGCCCGTATATATAGAACGGCGTCTGCCAAATTGTGTAGATAATGTATTTCGTGCCATCTGGAGAAGTAACGTCAGCTAAATGTTTTCGTCACATTTGAGTCAGTCTCACGCATATAGGCTTGGTTGGCCAAAACGCTGCTCATATGAATCACCGCATTGATAGCAATAACTCTGCCCACCCAGCGATGCATGAAGTTAAAGGTATCGAAGGAGATCCCCAGAAGTGGCACCAAGGGGTTGTTCCTGCCCGCGCTGAGTACCAGTCCAGGAGTGTTCATCACAGCCAGATGACCAGCGGCATACTTGAGCTGAAACAATTTCTTGGGGAATTCCTCCCACCAGTCAACAGTCACAATGATAAATGTAAAATTGAGCGCGAGATAGACAAGCAAGAGTATCAGCTCCAACCGCAAAGGCAGAGATCCCATATGTAGCCGATTGAACAATCGGAACTCGCGATTGTGACGAGTGCCCCAGATTGGTGCGTAAAGAAGATGCTTCTTGAGGCTTGCATTGACAGAGCTTGTTCGGGAAAGTTGATTTTGGTCATCCATCTGGTTGGCCTGTTGTGATCGTTGACGATGTCGGATGCGAATAACAGTTCGCCAGAGGAACAAAGTAATCACGAAGCCTGCAGCAATGAAAAGAGGCACGGCCACCTCCGGATTCATGGGCGGTTCACCTAACCCGCTGCCCTGGAGTTCGACACCCATTGTTCCATTCGTCGGATACTCGATATATAGCCCGGAGGAATGGAGTGACGAACCGTCAACGGCAGGGCCACGGCGTGAGATATGCTCAGCGACACTTCTTGTGGTTTTAACGACGTGGATCAAGCGTTGCGACTTTTAATAGTAATACTATGAGTCATAGCAACACAGTAGGAGTAAGTTAAACGAAAAGGACATCATGGTGTTATATTGGTAGCCGACTCGATAACACATAGATGCCGTCATCGACCCCTGGCCAAGGAGGGTCCAGCAAGCTTAATCTGGTGGCTTAAATGAAAACATCGTCACTCCGCACGTTTCCCGCTGCCCTGTGCAATCAGATCACAGAACGCAGGTGCAACCACCCGGATTAGAGCTGGTAGATCTCACCAGCATAGGGCTTGTCCATGGTACGGGGACGGTACCTGGGCGGGGAGTCTAAAATCCAAGGGCATACTAAATCACCGACATACTAAGCCTACAGATAAATCGCGAGTCTGGTTGTGGTACTGGCGGAGACGCGCCGGTCTAGACCCTGACGGTGATCGACGCGGTTGTTGACGGCAGCCCGAAAACGGAATGTGAATGTGGTTGAAGCGCCCGCGAATCGCATTCAGATACAGGTCATAGCGGCCAACATAATCGGCATGGAGGAATATTTTAAAAATTTGCACATTTGAACGCAAATTAGGTTTTTTTTTTGGTCCTTGCAATGCAAAAGTCAAAGACTCAGATCGTGACGACAGCCAAAACAGATAGACTCAGGAACTTCAGGCCAAGCTCCGCCAAGTGGAGCCCTGATCGCCCCGGAACCAGCACCCGAGCCGATGGCAACTGCAACGTTTAATAAACAATGTCCAAGTTTTAGCCGGTGGAGTACACCAGGGTAGCAGATGACGACATGGACTCTCAGATTAAACGACAGGGGCGAGGACATTCTTTGCAACGCAATGACTTCAGCATCTCGATAAGGCCACTTGGATCATCATTTGCTTTCAATAATTTTTTCACGCGAACGCATTCTATCGCCAGCCTTATTGACCCTCTGTCGACCTTGCTGCCATTTAGTCTCTCGGTCAATCCAGAGCTGCGGAAATGCTCCTGCGGGAGTAAGAGCAAGGGAAAGTAATAAAATCAGAATTGCGCCCCGAACAAAACCCATATCCGTCGCGTGTACACGCCGAAGGTCCCAGAGAGCGAAGAGCATGATTATCACAATACTCGCGTTCATAGACATAATCTTGGCGGCACCGCCAAAGGCCTCCCCACTGTAGTACAATCCGAATGCGGGGCGTTGTGGAAGAAAAATGCTGACTGTAACGATGTTAAACAATGATGGGAAGAAAGATGAAAATCTCTGAAATGAAGCCAGCAGTCCAATGTCCTGGTCACCAAAGAGCTGCATTTCAGCCTTAGCGGCTGGACTTGAACTGTTGGTTCGGATTCCTTTGAAAAGCGCGATGGATATGGGGAAGAGAACATGTGCCCCTTGCCATAACCAGGTGGGGAAAGAAGTCGAGGATCTCCATGTGTAAAGATATGCTGTGCCATATACGGCAATGTAGGCAGGCATAATGGCTTTTGCCACATCCATATCAACGGCCCTAGGGGAGGGGTAATAAAAGGCCCGAGGCGCAGTGGCAAGAATATAGAGTGCAAAGTAAAGTGGCAATACATACTCCCAAGGGAGTATGGTCGAGGCCAGGGCAAAGAGTAGTCCGCTGTGACAAGTAAGAGTATGTTCACTGAGATTTGAAGGGGTTGCCTACCTGCTCACCGGCTTCAAAGCAAAGAACCGCCTGTAGGATTCAATGCAGATTGTGCTCATAACTGCCGCAATTGAAGAATGGTAATAAAAATCATCACTCCATGACTGATCTTTGTTGAACACCCATGAGAAGAGCCCGCCGATTTTCGATACTAGAAATGAATTGGATAGGTTTAAAGTTCGTGCTTGTGTCTCTCCCCCATATTGAAAGCGGGCGCTATGGATCAGCACATTAATGGCCAACAGGGATATCCAAAATATATTCGAACGAACGGCGCGAACTTCCAAGTTCATCTTGACCTCGTCGTCGAAAGGAAGCGATCCCCGATGAGAAGGAAGTGGAATGTATTTCAACGGCACAGCAGCCGTGTATCCTGACGGAAATCGAGTTAGAAACCCATCAGCCGCCGTTCTACTGACAACTTTTTGCTCCATGAATTTCAATACTGGGGTATCAAATGACTCCATTCGCTGCAAAAGATGAGCAACCTGGATCGTGTCTTTAACCAGCGGCCTTCGGACACGGCTGTATTCGTGGAAGGCGGCTTTGAGTTCGGCATCCTCTATTACAGCATCTTTGCTAGTGAGTTCCTTGAGCTTGTTTGCCAAGTACGCCGCGGAAACGATTGCGTTGTTTCCCCCTTGCCCCGTTACTGGATGAATCTGATCATGCCTCATCAGTTTAGAGCATAGACGGTTTCTTCCAATGGTGTAATACCTTGTGCCAGGCATCACCCGTTAAAACGATTCTCTTGTAAAAGCATGTGTCCAAAATACCTTCCTCGAGTGCCACCAGAGCCGAAAAAATCCGGTCCTTGTACGCGTCCCCAAATGTAAGGCCTGGCTGAAAGACATCGTCTTTGTACATAACAGCCAGCTTCTCTTTATCCTCATCGTTGTAGCGAGGAATAGACTGGCCGTGTGTCTTCTCATCATTTTTGAAAAAGGCAAACCAATACCACGTTCCATTGGGTCCGTCTGCGAACAGGTAACTCCGCTGGTATTGGAAGGACTTTGAAAACTGGGTACGGACTTTTCCATCTGTGTTTTTGGATATGCCGAATATGCATCGATAGCTGCAAGAGAGAGCTAACAGGTTGGCGGGTTAGAATTCTGCCAGACCAATGATATCGGGAGATAGCCACCTACCTTTATCTCGACCGAGAAGGTCAATCCCTGGAGTATCAATGTCACCGAGGCGCTGCATCTCCTGTGCCACATGACTGTGTACCCCATCTGCGCCGACAACCAAGTCGCCATGGTATACAGTGGCATCCGTGGTCTCAACCTCGACACCGCTACCCGACCATTCAATCTTCACGACAGGGCAAGACGTCAAAACCCGAGACTTATCCTGCAGGTTATCGAATAACGTCCGAATTAAGTGCTGCCGGTCCATAAACCACATTTTGTACCCGAATCTGCTCAGCTGTCAAAAAAACCATCCCAAAGGTAGGCCAAAGAGAGTGCATCGACGAACAGTTTCTCCATTAAATCACCCATTCCCTCCAGTTTATTCCAATCCTTTGTCTCGTTATCATAATTCGACATGTTGTCGCATGGTGCGCTCTGTTTGGTGATCGCGTCGAGACATCCCAGCTGCTGAAGAATGCGCTGACCATTCGGCAGCATGGCAATACTTGCGCCCAACTGTGGCGCAACAACGGAATGTTTTTCCAGTACGATAAAGTCAATACCGTACCGCTCGAGCATGTTCGCCAGCGCCATGCCAGCGACGCTGCCGCCGACGATGATGACCTTGAAGGGCGCCATAGTGATGAGGAGGCGAAACAAAGGCAGAAAGAAAGACAATTTTGGCCGTCGCTGCTCCGACAGGGGTTCACCGAGACTTTACAAGCGTGCCTTCCCCGCTATCCGTCTCGCCTGAATTCGGTGTTAGCTTCAAATCGAACACGAACGACGTCCCAGAATGGAAGTATAATTCACGAAGAAATAAATCTTCTCTTCTCTGATTCTGTAACGGACAAAAAGACAGATAATTTAAATTCGCCAAAGAATTAAGTAAGCCACATTCGCTAGTGATTACTGTGCAGGGGGCCGAATCCAGTACGGACGTTATCTTGAAGCGCGAGGGTAGGCTACACCCAAACTCAGGTAGACATTGGTCGGTTTGTATCCTGCATACTCCACATTTGACTTTCGGTCCAACAAATGAGTTATACTGTCTCGTCACAGGCTATAGCTATGGTACATATATCAGCCGTACGGTTGCGTCAGCAAACCTTTGATAGGGCTGTGAACTTTTTTTTATGCACTTATTTATCCGGGTGATTGATACCATACGGTGGCTGTTTCAGACGAAACATCGGCTATCTGAACTTCATGGTGACATGGCTGCAAAGACAGCACAACTGTTGCCATATTTGGTCGTGACATGTCGGTTTGATGAAAGCAGGCGGCTAACCACTAATTCCAATAAAGAAATATCATATGACCGCTAGACCCCGCCAGCTCGGTGGTCCTAGTAAAGCTGGCTCATGTACACATGTACACCAATGACTCCCTCGACGGCGAAAACATCAATATTGAAAAAGAAAAAGGCACAGACTTTATCATCTGACTTGAAATATTGTGCACAGAAAGGAATACCTGCCGAAACAAGGCCTTTTGGCAGATCGCTAGTAAGAGGAATACTATCTCCCATAATTAAGGTGCCTCAACTTCAAGATCGAAGGGCCTACAGCTCGTCGCAGTTCGGTGCGAACTGATAAGCAACACGCTATTTTATCATAGTCCCTCAGGCAGGACTTCACATGTTTGTGGATTTTAAAAAGATTATATGCAGTCTTTAAGCCTTGTATCCGGGAACCTTTCCTTGATGCACCAACCCCCATTCCTATTTTGCATTCCTCCAAGACTAATGAGAGCGCAGCCAGCATAGGGCAATCGAGACAAACGCCAGTCCAAACCGAAGAACGCCAAACTCATTACCAAGATCCCGTTGAGCCACCCACACCGTCCATAGTTCATGTACAAGCACACAGTACAAATCCTCATGCAGAAACCTCCTCGACCTTCTCTGGAATATTATTGGGGGCCTGCTGAGCGTCTTCCTCGATGCTCAAACTGCCATATCCAGTATCATTGCTAGCCGACCGTTCCCTGCGCAGAGGCTTAGTGAATTGCATATCCATCAGGTTTTGATCTTGGTCGGCGTCACTATGGACCGACTGGTCGGATCCGCCTCGGCGGCGGCGCCAGCGTCGCTTCTTCGATTGGGATGGTTCAGGGACGGCGTGGAGGTAGTCGTTCACATCTATGCCGGCATTTTCGCATAGTTCGGAGCATGATTTCACCACAATATCCACGAGGTCAGAGGAGAAGCCGTAGAAGGCGGGGTTGTAGGCGTTGCGCGCCCAGTAGATGAGTTCTGCGGCGACACGGCCGAGGTTCGGGATGTCTTGAGGACAGATGGCGCGGTTGGCGAGTGGCCGGGATTTGTCGTCTGCTTCGTCGTCGGCGGAGGATGTAGCCTCAGAAACTGGGGAGGAAGGTGATGAATCGGATGAGGCAATGTAGTCCACGTCAGAGGCTAAGAGGTGTAGCAGGTGGTAGACCGCAGAGAAGCCCAGCAGGGTGAGGTCGACGGGATCGATTGGAAGCTGGTTGAATATACTGATCGCCTTGTCAACAGTGAAAGATGCAGGCAATGAGGTGTCGCCGGTGGAACGAGCAGTGACGATGGCTGCAATCATAGCGCAGCGCACGGCAACAGAAATTTCCGCACGGACAGAAACCGGAAGCGACGAGTCGAGGAAGTTCGACGCATGATTTTGCTCGCCTCGTCTCTTGTCCTCTGGCAGCGCGGCGAGAACCGCACCCACGTTCTGGATTCGGTTCTGTTCAAAGAAGACCGCTTTCATGACAAGCGCGCGGGTGTATGCTGCGGAGAGGCGAGGAGCAACATCAAGAGACATACGGATCTTCTCTTTGAAGGAATCGCGGCTTGCCTTCGACACGGGGCCTCCTTCGCTCGCTTCGAAGTAGTTTAGGAGCGCATTCTGGAGCAGGTGGCTGGACCACCATGCTGCGAGAGCATCCACGGAGGATTGAATCGCGGGGTCCTCCTCCACCACGTCAAGAAGAACCTCGTCGTCAACATTACCCTCCTGCGTGGGCTGATTCCACGCAAGGTTCACAGCCCTTTGCATGATAGTGTCGGTCATGACCTCCTCACAATCAAGCTCAAGTAGCGCTGCGAAATTACTGGGAAGAGCGTCCGAATGGCCCTCGGGCAAAGCATCGTTGATGCTTTTCGCAATACCCCATTGGTATCTGGCAAGAGCGCGGGCGATATCATTGGAAATACGGAAGGTCCACGAGCCTGGTTCACCGACCCTGAAGAGCAAAATTCGAATATGCAAAGCCTTGAGCATCATCCGCATCGGGGTGCTGGGGAGCGTTCCCGCAGCAAAGATCGTGAGGACGAGCCGGCTTTTGCTGATTTCGGGGTCACCACCCGTAAGCTGCGCGTCGATAGCAATATCCCATGTTTTCACTCGACCTATTTCATCCTCTTGTGTGATACCTGTGGCCCAGGAGTAGACCTTCCATCCCATAAAGCATCGCAGGACATACTCAAAGCATCTTGAGGTTACCACGTACCACTCATGGAAGAACCTATGCCGTGGCACACCAGCCCGTTGCATACTAGTCAGCCAGGCTTGACGGCGAAAATCGCTAGAAGTTGCCGGACCAGCCTTGCCCTCGGATTCCTTCGACGGCACTCGCTGGGTAACGGGCTGTGCGTTGAAAAGGTAGACAAACACCACAAACGCACTGCCGACGATTAGAGTGGCGAGAGCCAAGAAGTGGGTAATAGCCCGAGCATGCCACGAATACCAGAAGTTCTTGAGGTAGTATTCCCAGTGCACAACGGAAGGTGAATGAAGGCGGCGGAGAAGGTTGAACGGGAGAGCAAAAAGGCCTTTTGCGTCCGACTCCGACTTGTCCGAACCAAAGCCTTCGAGAACCATGAGGCCTGCCAGCGCCCCCAGCATATACTTGTTGGGCATATTTGATCGGCGGCGTTTGGTCTCGCGCGTGCTCTCGGTGTTTGATGGGTGCTTAATATACGACTCAGCGTAGGCCCCTTGCTGCGCGGTCTCCGCTCGGAATCGTTTCCAGGAATCGGGAACCTGAATGAGGCCCTCGGGGGGATTTTTGGATATAGGCGAGCTCTCACTGGAGATTTCCTCAGGGCTCGAGAATACGCTTGGGGATTTGGTATGCCCGGACTGGGTCGAGACGGTGCAGTTGCTGGGTGGGGAAACGGAAGCCGCAGAAGTGACAGCTTGGTCTGCTGCCTTGTCCACCTGGCGCAACCGGTTCTTCAGCGACGTGTTTTCGTCTTCCAGTCGTTTGTTGCGAAGCTCGAGATGCTTGATGTATTCCGTCGCCTTGGCCAACACGGAGGCCTTGTTCAGCTTGCTCGCCGGTGTCGCGCCGTCAACCTCGTCATCATCATGCGGTGAATCCCCGCTAGAGTTCTTTGAGGTCCGCAGACTGGGCACACTATCTCGCAGCTCGGCTATTTTCTCGTTCAGATTGGCACGGTATCGTTTCTCAATGACGTTGTGTGCTCGCTTCTTGGCAGGCATCTTCTTGCCATTGCCTGACTGTACCGGACCAGCGAAGATAGAGGCATCATCGTCACTTCCGGTTTTTCGCTTCCGACTGGTCCCAATACTCGAACTCGGTGATATCATGCCAGACTGATGTGGTCGTTGCACGTGTGAGCCATTCACAGTTTCCTCCGGGGAAACTACCATCAAGCCCAGTGGAAGTCGCGGTGAGAAGTCTTGCTGGTGAATCTGGTCTTGGGAGCCAGTGGATGAATGAGGTGAAACAAATGGGGGCTCTATGGACGAGCTTGTTTGCTTGTGATCATCTTCTAGAAACATCGGGTCGTCCCATCTCATCCATTGCGTCCAGTCCTGGTTGCCATTTTCGTTTTCTCCGCCATCCTGACGTGGAGGGGAGAATAGTTGAAAGTCAGTATCCATGCTGAAGCCAGAACATGGGTCAGTAACGGCTGAGAATTGGATCTGGTGAAACTATTGGCCAGGCAGGATGATTGACACTAGAGCATGTGTTAGGAACGAGTATTGAATACGGTGTCGCACAGGGAGGGCCAGGTTTGAGGGATAAGAGGCACCAATCCCGCACCGGCTACCGGCGGTTGATCTCGTGGAAGCCTGATAAGGAGAGAGGCAGTACTCACTGGGTAAAGAACAAGATTCGCTTGTGGTGAAGATGCGGAACACAAGTAGCAGCGTCGGAGGAAGTACGACAAGAAGATAGGATGAAGGGAGAGGGAGACGATAGAAGAAACGGAAGAAGCGGTGGGTTGAGGCAAGGCGCAGGTCGACAAGGATAGGCCCAAGGTACCCACCCAATCCAGGCAGCTAAACCAGGGATCCGAGTGGGTTTGGTGAAGAAGAAGTAAGTATTACGCTGCAATGTGCAGACAATTGACCCTATTGGAGCAGGGTGCTCGGCCTGTACTCCAAGCCACGCGAGACCGTAGTAGTAGCAGAGAAGCGGTGGAGAGGAAGCAAGTTAGCTGTCGTGTAGTCGCAGTGGATTATTGAGTGTTAGTTAGGAGAGTATTCCCAACAGAGCAATGTGTGGTGGTGCACGACGGACGGACCAGAATTGCGCAGCCTTCCAATTTTGGGTGGTATGATCCCGGCTCGTCGCTCATCCGTGACAGAGGCGTATCGGAACGGTTATTTCCGCTGAGTCAATGCATGGAACTGCGTATTGCGTGTATTTGTTACATCATTATCATTGGTTGGTTGCTGCCCCTCCACTTCCCTTGCTTACTTCAGCACCAGCCGCCATGTGATCGTGGACTATATTCCATCGCAGTGGAATTCTCTCCATTGAAACACTCAAAAAACCCGTTTAGATCCCAGCAGGTCAATTTCCAGTTAATACTTTCTTCCGGAAGAGTTTGCACAAGAGCCCCCACCCCTTTTGCCCCTTTATCTTGGCGACCCGCACTTTCATCTTATCTGATCGTCTCCACCATCGCAAATTGGAGCAGGACTACGAATGGACGGAGCAGAAAAGAATACTAGTGGAGCAGCGGCTATCCGGTGTCGGCGTTGACATCACAGGTCTCGTTCCTCTCGCAGACCACCTCGGCGCAATTTCAACATTCGAACCAGATCGATTCGACGAAAGTAATCTTCCAGTGCTTTCTAGCTACATTTACTTCCAACTTGACTACAACAGAACGGATTAACATCTAGATCGCCTTCTCCATCTCCCCCACCGCGCCCATCAACTCTTTCACCGTTTTCTTAACCCCCTCGGCAGCCTCCTCATATGGCGTGCGCGGCTTCAATTTCTCTATCGCATTCTCAATCCCCGCCGCGGGCGCCGAGTAAAGCGCGACCGCATACTTGGTCGATGCAATCCCGCCCTTACACGGGCTCTCCGCCAATGCCGACTTCCGCTGCAATTCCATAGCCTCTGTCATCTTGCCCGCTGTGAAGAGGTTAAACACCCTCGACGCGGTCTTCGGAAACACATTCGCAAATGCAGAAATACACCCCGCAGACCCCACGGTCAGCCCCGCAATCAAGAAATCAGACTGCCCACCGAAGATGGCAAATTCGTTGGGACCGAAGGTAGCAGCCAGACGGGTGATTTTGCCCACGGATCCGCAGGTCAGTTTCACTCCGACGATATTCGATACCCCATTGGGACTGGCGGCCGCCGATTCCCGTACAATGTCGGTGATAGTCTCAGAATCTATATCGACGCCATTGCACACGCCGGGGAAATTGTAGATCAGGACAGGGAGCGGGCTGTTGCGGGCGACATCTGCAAAGAACCGTTTGACGACGCTCATATTCGTCGCTTTGCCAAAGTATGCCGGCGGCAGGACGAGCAAGTAGTTTGCCCCTGCAGCTGCGGCATCGTGTGCTAGTTCCAGGGTCTGCTTTGTGGAATGCGTGCCCACGCCCGCCATGAGGGGGTAATCGGGCCCGACTGCTTCGCGCGCTGTGGCGATGAGCTGTGCGCGCTCTTCGCGGGTTAGGAGGAATGCTTCCGAGTTGGTTCCCATTATGACTAGGCCGGCGAGGCCGCTGCGGGAGAGGTAAGCATAGTATTTCTTTTGGGACTCGAGGTCCAGTGTGTCGGTGGCATTGTCGAAGATTGTTACGGCGGGACACCATACGCCGGCTTTGGGGATTCGGGGTTGCGGGGTGACTTGGGCTGGTTGGGAGCCCATGTTTGCGGTGGTCGGGGGATGTGAGATATGTATTGTGGACACGGTTCTTGGTATGTTGTTTTAAGATTTTAGATCATAAGAGGTAAATGTGGTGAATTCAAACTGCCCGCTTCTTATATTTCCGGAAATCGGTGTGCCGATGCGGGGAAGAGTGAGTGTGGAAAAGAATCCGGGTCGGAGCGTCGCCGATAAGGTGGGGGTTATCTATGAGGGAGTCTTGTGTTCCTAGCAAGGGATTCAAGTACGTTTTCCATTATTGATACTACAAGTGTTGAAGATCCGTCAGGATTTATAGACTCGGATCCATTCCTATGGCATTGACGCCCGCAGCTCATTCTCCAATTAACCCGAAATAGAACCCCCCATCAAAAACAATAAACAAGAATGCACCCGAATCGCAGAAATAATTGCAGGTCATCATCATTATCACAGGAAATCGAGTTCAATGCTGCATAAGCTGGTCAGTCAAGTCAAGTAACAACAGTGGTTGCCATCAACTTACAGTAATGTCTTCCCATTTCTCCCAGCCGCGCCCACGAACTTGGGCGAGTTCCTCCGTGGTGAACTGTTTCCCTGTTGTGAAATAGCCAGCATTGATCTTAGCATCTATCTCGACGCGGGAGTCACTCGGGATCATCTCCTCCGGGATCGGGATTCGCTCGAGGATCTTGATGCCCGACTGCACGATGGCGTCGTATTTCATGTTAGACATGGAGAGCATGCGGTCGATCTTCTTGATGCCCAGCCAGTGGAGGATATCGGGCATCAGGGCCTGGAATCGCATCTACAGAACGAAATCGTCAGCATGGCCCGGCTAAATCAATGGTGATGATGATGATGATGATGTCCATACATCGCGCACTCCAGCAATGTTCTCCGTTCGCGTGAAGTACTTATCAGCAGTATCTCCTCCGCGCTTGCGGGCATTATACACCAAATACTTGATCACCTCTCCCAACGCCCTTCCCTCCTTGCGGAAATAAATGACTACCCCACTTCCACCGCTCTGCGCTTCACGGATCGCCTCATGAATGCCAAAAGCCAGATACGGTCGACAGGTGCAGATATCTGACTGGAACACGTCGCTGCCATTACACTCGTCATGAATCCGCAGGGCCAATTTGACGTTCTCGTCGGACACCCGCTCGGGAGGGCCAAAGATGTACACTGTGAGGCCACCAATCGGAGGAAGGAAGACTTTGAGGTCGGGCCGAGTGATCAGCTCCGGGTAGCTTCCACCAGTATGTTCGAACAAAGTCCGGCGAAGGGTTCCCTCGTCCACCCCGAATCGGTCGGCAACGCCTGGCAGATACCAGACCGGTTCCACGGCCACCTTCGTCACGCGTACTTCCCCTGACGAATCGACCACGATCGATCCATCGACCTCCAGCTGGCCATCGCGGACAGCCTCGCCAATCTCCGCCAGTTTCATGTTAGCCCGAGTAACAGCCATGGTGGGACGAATGTCCCAGCCCGCATCCAACTCCTCACGAAATTGATTCACAATATCATGACCAAAGGGATCCATCGAGACAATCTTCGTCTTATCTGCCCACGCAGACTGAAACGGAAAATCAAACGTAGGCTCGCTGTTGCGAAGATCCGGTCGAAACTCCGGCTCCAGCTCACCGGAAGCAACCGCCAGGGCGTTGTAGATACTATAGCTGCCGCCATGGGCGCCCATGGCATTGCGGCGTTTGAGCAGGTTAGCGCTGCGCGATACGATTACGGGCCCACGCGCTTTGGCGTCGGCAGCACCCCATTCTAGCGGGACAGGCTCGATACCGCTCTGGCCTGGATACGTGGTCAACTGCGCAGGATTAGCATCCACAATACGAATATCTCTCCAGCCCGAGCCTGGGCAGCCATACAACGATGTGCTTGCTGTATCGCGTGGGAGGTGTGGGGGATGCGGCTGTTGCGACAGGTGGCATAGTGGTATGGTCACTCATGGAAGAGTGGGTGGGTGAGTGTCTACTGAATTATGGAAATGGAGGATGAAGAAGAAGAGGAAGAAGAAGAAGAAGAGAAGGGGTAGTAGCAGAGCAGGTGACTCCGCACGTTATCTCCCTCCCTTTATCGGGTGGGGCACTTTCGGAGTTCGTTGATTGTCTTCGGAATACCGAACACCGATGGTATCTTTATTAACAGTACGCATTACACTAATCACATTTGCAAATTCAGAAGCCATTATGAAGTCGGTGGCCCCTGTCTAACACTTAGTTTCCTCTTACTGATTGTAATAGCTCCCGTCGTCGCAATGGCAAACAGGCTTCGTGCGAGCTCTGCCGCCGTCACAAGGTCCGCTGCGACCACGCTCTGCCCGTCTGCAACCGCTGCAAGGCGCGCGGAGTGTCGAGCCAGTGTTTCTATCACCCTGCACCTCTGACTCGACCAAAGGGGCGGCGCATTTTCCCCTTGGCAGAAGGGGTATCTTTTGACAGAGCCAGGTGGGTTCGAGTCTTTCTTTTTGGAGATGAATGTCCATTGCGCAGTGATCTGTATGGTACATAGTGAGAGCTTTCCTTCTAATCCTGTTCTAGGAGCACTGGACCCAGTGAATCTTCATCACAATCCAACACACCTGGGGCCGCTGACCATGTCTCGCCGTCACGGCACAAGCCTCTGCTGCCAGGCTACTTCGGCCCGACAAGTTTTGTCTCTTCTCTGACCGACGATGTGGACCTGTCCTCCAACAGCCAAGGATTGGAGGTAGAGACGGGGCAGCGAGTGTTACCCCCATATTGGGTGCAAAAGATCTCAGAAGTGTTACTCGCGCTGGGAGATTTCTCAACGATCGAGCAACTGATTCGAGAATACTATGAACGGAGTCAAAGTGCCGTCATAGCATCGCCATTTATTTTTAATAGCCTCGCCTCTGTCAAGGCGATATGCAAGGAACGGATCGCCAGTCGCGACTTTGATGACTTTACGTCTTCGTTAACTGTGCGCATCATCCAGAACACGGCGGAGATACTTGACATTCCGCTCACGACTCGAGGTGCCGACTTTCACACACTTTTCACGGGACCACGGATTCGTCTAGAGATCATCGGTGTCATTTGCGCTATCGCAGGCCGAGCTTGCTACTTTTGGCTTGCTCAAGAGAAATTTGATTCACAGACTTCTCGTTCTCAGTTTACACGGAAGATGCTTGCAGCTAGCGACGCTGCACTGCAGACGTGCAAGATTTTAACGCCTCTGAATGATCTCACAATTTGGCTTGTCCATGAGAACCTGCTACTGTCCCATGGGGTAAACGGGGCATCAAGTCAGTCATATTTCCCCATATTTCCCAAATCATGACAACTACTAACCCCTTCAGGTCCACATGTATGGAGCCGACTCGGAGAGCTCTCGACTGATATCTTCGCATTGGGCTTGCACCGAGAGCCAAAGGCCTCAAACGAGATCCCAGAGTTCATGTTGGAATCCCGTCGACGACAGTTCGCGGCAGCATACCAACTAGACAAAAACCTTGCCACGTTCCTTGGTCGCCCTCCTCGAATTCCTTGCCGATACTCCGATTGTCGAATGCCCCTTGATATCGGCGACGAAGCACTGACGGCCAACGATCTGAGCCTTGACAGCCCACAGGATGGTATTGATTCCACGGGTTGGAATATAAACGGTCTATTCCAGCGGTCATCGTGGCTGCGAGTGCGTTTCATCGTCAGCACGTTCCGCGACGAGATTCTTGGGGTCTCTCTCCAGGACATGACTCCATCAACTGCCAGTCTTCTAAAGTAAGAGCCCTGCATTCTGTCTCCCATTACAGATCTGAAATTCTTGCAGGGATATCTCCCATCGATGCCATTCCGCTTGGGAGTCACTCCCTATTCACCTGCGATACAACCCGCAGTGTTGGGACAACGGTCTTCCAGTAGCAGTTTGCTTGATGCAGATATTTTCATACCTGGCGTACCTCTGCAACGACTTCCTCATCCAACGACTTCTCGTCGAAAAGAATAACCCTAGGGGAAACGCCGCGCTTCTATCTGTCAGCTCAGAGATTCTATCTACCGTCCTAAGACTAGGCACGCAGCGTGAATACATGGTCGACCTTCGTCCGGACTTTACATTGACGGTAAGCCTCCACCACCATACATTTATTACCTGCAAAATACCACCAAAACTAAATCCCATACCTCCAGATATTACTCTACGGCTTCTCCAGCGCCAGCATCCTAATCAAAGCTCTACAACACCACAAACGCAGCGGCGAACCATTCCTCTACGAAGGCTCTCGCTCAGCCCTCATTCGCAATCTGAGCGTCTTCATCGCTCACCTCGAGTCGATTGCACGCCCAGATAGTGCAGACTACGCCCTCTTCCAGCGTGCCAGCCAGGCTTTTTCGAAAATCATTGATGAGATTCTTGAGCCTGATTCTGTGGCTCTAAATGCGGAGCTTGGGGAGGTGTCGCTGTTTGACTATGATCAGATGATTAATGTGGATGGGTTGGATTGGTTTAATACGATGGATTTTGGGTTTGCTTTCAATCAGTGGCTGATTTGAAGTACATCCGGGTTGCAGTCGGTAGATGTATAAGAATTTGTGATATATATTGCGGCATGTATCTTCAAGCAACAAGCTATAGTAGGAAATCGAAAGAAAAATAAAAGCGAGCATAAAGGCTGGGGATACACAGTACCAAGATTGATGATTGACAGTATGCAATTGCTGAGCTCAAAAAATGAAAAAAAAGCCACCATTTATCCACTGAATTATCATGTCCTCTCACTCTCACTGACCGTCACAATCTTGGGCTGACCATCCTCGCCCCCATCCCTAGGATATCCCTGCGTGGTCTGATAAGTCTCCTGATACTCATGCTGAGCACCCCAAGGCCCAGGAGCTGCGTACGGCGCCGCCATCCCCGGTGCAGGTCCAGCAGAAGCAGAATACCGCAACACCTCAGCCGCAGGATCATTCCGACGAAAACCATACTTAACCCAGAGCTTAAACTTCTCACCACCAGTCATATCCAGCCACTTATTTGCCAAAGTTTCCTGCTCAGCCGGCGTCTTAGCCAGATGCCTCTTAACAAAAAGCAACCCAAAACAAGAAAGTATAGGACATAGAAAAGCCCAACCATACGGCAGGCCGCGATGACTCTTCTTCCCTAGCATTACTCTTCGGAACATGAACCAGCTCTCAACAAAGCCGACAATAAGAAATAGTCCCCACCACGAGAAGAAGATCGCTAGGCCCAATCCCAGTGGCGAGATGCCCCAAGTATAGTGGCATCCGTCGGCGCAGCAGTATCCGCCTGAAAAAGCTGAGCCGTCGAGATACCAGGTGAATTCATCACAGCCAGCGTAGTCACCATCATCATCATCCCCACTACCTCCCGCGTACGGGCCGCCACCAGAGGGGAAGCCGGGGTAATCGCCGGAGGTCCCGCAGTATAGGTAGCTGTTTGGAACGTTGGCGGAGCTGATGGAATGGTAGACGTCGCTGGGGATATCGGTAGGGGCAAGCATTGCCCTGGTGATGGTATACCGGTCTGCGATACGGGACTCTGACCACGTGCTTGTGATCGTAGCAGTGGGCTTGAGCAGTGTCTCCGCCTGGTAGGGGACGTAGACCGCCACTGCAGTGGTGATGGATTTGCTCGCGGTATATGAGCAAGACGCCGGCGCCGTGTAGACGATATTGACGTAGAACTCTTGGATGTTGTAGCTGGTGATGGCGACGCCGTCTGTCGGTGCGATGACCAGATCGATCTGTGTGACGGATGGGGTGAGACTACCATATATGGTTGTCTGTGTTGCTATGGGATCTATGTTTTGGACTGTGGGCTTTATCTCCTCCGTTTGAGTTTCTAGGAGGGGTGTTTCGGTGAAGTCGCCGTATGTGTAGCCAGATGCAAAGGTTTTTATCTCCACGGCGATGTATTCTGTTCCGATCCAGGGGATGGCGGTGACTTGTTGGGTAAAGACGAATGAGGCAAGGGCGAGAGAAGATGCGAGTCGGGCCATGGTGCTTGTTGGTTCCCTTGGCGCCATTGCGGACGACCGAACTCGACAGGTATTAATATAAACAAATATGTATCAGTAGTAATAGAAAGGAAGGACGAAAAGCAGACCAGGGGGTTCAAATCTTCTAAATAACAATTTGCAAAATGATGCAACTCGTATAGTTGTTAAGCCAAGCCCGACTTAACCAGATAGAGGCGTATTCTGCGGGCGATGCATGCCGATGTGAAATAAAGAAAGTTGGCATTCCCCACACTAGGCCATAGAATTGGGTTATGATCGATCTAAGCCTCTCTTGGGAGCTCGTATTGGATACAGGGCTTTGCTGCTTCTGGGTCGGTTGCAGGGAATACGAGGTGTCCTATGCCCTACTAAATAACTAGAGGTGGTGGTCGGCCAGGGCTGGACTCCGAGCTGTCGTTTGGGGAGTGACATTGTTTATCCAGGGTCCAGATTAGACTGTCTTTAAATTTAAGATAAATGAGGTGAGCCGTTGATCTGGATGTCAGCACCGGGGGGTAGTTGGTAAAATGTTTGGGGCCGTTGCAGCTACAAGACAAGGCTAGACAGAGTACCGTGAGATTCGTAACTGCATTTGGTATCTATTCAACCATCCACCAAGATCATCAACAAAACAACCCCAGATCCTTCAGCTCTAATCACATCATAACCAGGATCCTACCCGTTCCGTAGAGGCTCAGATTAGCTCAATTTTGTTTCTAGGACATTTGGACATAGTTCGCCTGGGAGCGCGGGTTCTTGATCGTCTTCTTGATGACCTTCTCCACCTCATCCCAGTCGTCGGTGTCCACTCGGTCAATATTGCATCCGAAGTGTTCCTGGATCTTGCGGAGCATATCCCATTCGTCCCGGTTCGAGACGAAGGAGATGGCGACTCCAATGCGGCCGAAACGACCCGTTCGGCCGATGCGGTGCAGGTAGGTCTGATAGTCGGGTTCGCGGGACTTGGAGCCGGGGGTGAATGCCTCGGGGATATCCTGAAATGGATCAGTTTGATGCTCAAATCGTGAGGGAACAGACATACGTAGTTGACGACCAGGGACACGGTCGACACGTCAATTCCACGGGCGAGAACGTTGGTGGTGATGAGAACCTTGGCATCGCCATTGCGGAAGGCATCAATCACGGCATCACGCTGCGAGCCCTCGATGCCACCGGTCAAAGACGCAACGGTGTGGCCTTCGGCAACCATGCGCTTCTCGATCTCCACAGCAGAATTACGGGTCTAGGGATGTCAGTGCAAAAACGCGACGAAGGAATGGAATCAACTGACCCTGACGAAGATGATAGAAGATCCGACAGTGAGAAGTCCGTAGAGCTGCACCAGGTTGCGATACTTTTCCTCGTCGTTGTTGCAATCCATATAGAGCTGTTTGATACCCTCGACTGTCAATTCCTCGTGCTTGAGGGTGATCTCGTTCGCGTCCGGTGCGAACTTGCCCGCATATCGGTGGACGTGGGTGGGGAAAGTGGCGGAAAAGAGAACGACTTGAATGGTTCGGGGAAGCATGCTGAAAGGATTATTAGCTAGATCCTCTCCATGTGTTGCAGTTGAGACTTACGCCTTGACACGGATACACTGGTCACCCAGACCCTGCTGGTCAAGCATGTTGTCGGCCTCGTCCAGGACAAGCACCTTCAACTGGCTGGCATTCATGATGCGCTTCTTGATCATGTCCTGCACCGTACCAGGCGTACCGACCACCACCGAGCAAGCCATCTGAGTCGGACGCGTTGCGCTATCGGCGGGGACAGCAGTCCCAATGATGAGGCCGTCGAGGAACTGGCCCATGACTTGAATGACACCGACAATCTGGCGCGCCAGCTCACGTGTGGGGGCGAGGATCAGAGCCTGGGGTGTTTTCTGCGACTGCTCCGACGATAGATCCAGTCGACTCAGGATGTTGAGAGTAAAGGCCGCGGTCTTGCCGGTCCCAGACTGCGACTGACCGACGAGGTTGCTGGGGGGTTGCGCATGAGCAGGGGCAGAGCGCGTTCCTGCACCTTGGAAGGCTTGCGGAAGTTCATCGCAGACAGGCCCTTCAGGATACGTTCATCCCTGTGGTTCCATTCTCGTCAGCAATGGGTGTTCTTGTTGCATTCGAAGGCAGTCACTCACAGGCCGAGATCCTCGAAGTTCTTGACCGAATACAATGGGTTGTTGGGATCGGCTTGCTGGTCGCTCAGTTTAACCTCAACCGAGTATTCAGGCTCCTGGAGCTCGGAGCCGCGCAGCTCAGAGGGGGCGCCATCACCGGGCTTCTCGGTTTCTATTGAGATGAAGGGTTAGCTGGTTGTTCACAAGGTCCCGTCCCGCGGAAGCTCAAGGTCGGTGCAGTTCATACCAGCAGGCTTGGGCGCATCGGGTTGGGTGACGCGATCCGCCAGGGATCCACCGGCAGGGGGTGCCTCAGACGCCATTGTGCGACCGGGGAAGAAGAATCGAGAATGAGTCGGAGGAGAGAGCGAAGGAGGAGGGGTTGGCGGGGTTGAAAAAAATCAAGGATGAAACTGCAGCCACTGCGCTTGCCGGGCCAGCAGGTTCTTAAGTGCCAATTCACTGCAGCCAGAGGCAGTGAATGTCTGTCGAAGCTGAATGGAGGCAACAATGAGGTGAATTGGGAGGAGGCAGAAGAAGAAGAGTGACGGCAACAGGAACAACAACCATCGGTGAATTGCATGGCGACGGGAAGGGACTAGGCTCAACTCGGTTAGTGTCGTTCTGGCATGTATGCCTTCATGCCTCAGGACAAGTAGTTGTCATCTCTCTCTTCCACCTTCCACAATCACAGTCTCCCGGACTTCCCCACGACTGTTGCTGCTGGCGTTGTTGTGGACAGTGGCAGATTGAGGCCCAAGTGACGTCAAGCGCTGACCTGCCAACCGTTGCTGCCTGCGTCCCGCTGTCTGATGCGCAGTCTGACACCCATTTCAACCCAGCCATGGCGGCAGCAGATGTGGCTCCCCAGTTCGGAGCAGAACTGAAGGTGAGATCCCCGAGTCGCAGTCGCAGACAAATCACTGACCGGCTCGGTTCTTCACTAGGATGCATTCAAACCGGTCAACTCTTGGGTATGCCCCTCAACGTTCTTCCCCGCAACGAGTCCCGCGTGTGAGACTGATTTGACCCCTCTCCCCTTTCCCTTAGGTATCGAACGGAATATCCTGGCTAGACGAGGTCCAGCAGTTCTACCGAGAGCGCAGTGTGATCGAGAAGGAATACGCCAGCAAATTGACCGCACTCTGCAAGAAATACTACGACCGCAAGTCGAAGAAGATCAGCCCCCTCAGCGTCGGCGATACCCCGGCATTGACTCCTGGCTCCCTCGAGAGTGCATCGCTGACCACCTGGACGACACAATTGAACGCCGTCGAATCCCACGCCGCCGAGCGCGATCGGTTTGCCACAGACTTGGTCTCCCAGGTGGCGGAGCCACTAAAACATGCCGCCGCGCAATATGAGGAGATCCGCAAGTCCCATATGGAATATCACGGAAAGCTGGAGAGGGAACGCGATGCATCCTATGGAGAATTGAAGAAGGCAAAGGGGAAATATGATGGTGCCTGTCAGGAAGTCGAAACGCGACGAAAGAAAATGGAGTCATCATTCGACCACAGCAAGCCCAAGGCGCAGGCCGCTTACCAGCAGCAAATCCTGGAAATGAACAACTACAAGGTATGTGTCGGAGATCTGAATTAGTGGATATCGGTTGCTAATGATGAGTTCTAGAACCTCTACCTGATCAAGATCAATGTGACGAATAAACTCAAGGAGAAGTTCTTTCACGAATATGTCCCCGAGATCTTGGATGTGAGTGTCAAACCGCTTTGCTGGGATCAGATCGTATCTGCTAACACTCCGCATAGGGCTTGCAAGATCTCAATGAAACTCGGGTCACGAGACTAAACGCCTTGTGGATTCTCGCAGCACAACTGGAGAAATCCTCATTATCAAATAGCGTGAACCACTTTGCAGGCCTTCTCAATGAGATTCCGCGCAACAACCCGAAGCTTGACTCGATGATGTTCCTCCAGCATAACGCCACGCAATCTCAGGAACCCGGGAACGTGGGCTTTGAGCCGAGTCCTGTATGGCATGATGATGCGACCATTATTACAGATGAGGCGGCCAAAGTTTTCTTGCGCAATGTTCTGGGGAAGAGCAAGACACAAGTGCGGGATTTGAGGGTACAGTCCGACCAGAAACGACGTGATTTGGAGACCTCCCAGAACATCCGCAAGAATATCCAGCAGGGCAAGGATAACCGGAGTGAGGTCGATGTCGTTCGCTCAATATTTCACCTTCAGGAAGCCCTGCATGAAGTGGACCGTAAATGGCTGACGGCGGAGGTTGAAACGTCCACCATCATGGCAGTTGTGGGTGACTTGTCCATCGGGGCTCAGAACCACAACTTCCGATCACAGACTTTCAAAATTCCAACCAACTGCGATCTCTGTGGAGAGCGGATCTGGGGATTGTCTGCCAAGGGCTTCGACTGCCGGGATTGCGGCTATACATGTCACAGCAAGTGTCAGATGAAAGTGCCCGCCGAGTGCCCTGGAGAGCAGAGCAAAGAGGACAAGAAGCGGTTGAAGGTTGAGCGGCAGGCCGGCGCCGTGCCTACTGGCGACGTTGGTTCTGCGACCTCGACCATGGCGCCCTCGCTCACGCGCCAGAATACCATGAACTCTTTGAGTTCGGGCTATGCCGCCAGCACAACACGATCTGTCTCCAACGTTGCCGCCCAACCCACCCCTGAAAGTCCAGCCGAGGCACCTCCACCCCCAGTCGCCGAGACCAAGCCGACTGCTGCCAAGAACAAAAAAGTGCTGGCACCGCCACCCACGGCGTTCTTCAGTGCGCCACAAGCCACGGACTCCGGCAATGCTTCCAGGTTGAAACAGCCAAGAGGCAAGATGATGTACGCTTACCAGGCCACTGGAGCAGACGAGGTTACGGTGCAAGAAAATGATGACGTTGCTATTGTTGAACCAGACGGTACGTTTATTCCTTTTGCGGTCTCTTGACTTGACTAACTCCCTAACAGATGGATCTGGATGGATGCGTGTTCGTGCTGCGGGCAATGAGGGTCTCGTTCCTGCAGCCTATGTTGAAATAGCACCCACCCCATCACCCATACCATCAGTTAACACCAGTCTGACCGATCGACCCGGCTCGGTCTATTCGAGTTCTTCCGCCTCACTGGCAGGCAGCACCGCCGCCACGAAACGCGTTGGCCCGGCTGTGGCGCCACGCCGAGGTGCCAAGAAATTACAGTATGTGGAGGCGTTGTACGACTACGAAGCTCGCAGCGACGTGGAGTGGTCCATGACCGAGGGTGATCGGTTTGTCCTGATCACCCGTGACAGTGGCGATGGATGGGCCGATGTGGAGCGTGGTGGAATGACGAAGAGTGTCCCGGCAAACTATATCCAGGAGGTTTAGAGTCAATGTATACACTTTCCGTCATGACTTTTGTTGCATCTTGCAGGGAGCGTTGGGGACACATTTGCGAAGTTTATATTTTGATTTTTTTTTCTTTCTAGCACGGGGAGGGATCATTGAATTTTTTCTTTTTATTGAGTATCAACATTGCAGTCATCACGGTCGTATATATATTTGCATCATCTCTTCATCCCTATATGTGCAAGATTGCTTCCCACACTCACTCCGACCTCGGTGGAGGAGGAAACCCAGTATCCAAGTGCTCGAAGCCGGTCTCCGGCGACCACATATACCTTGACCAATCCTCAACATGAAATGTATCATCACACAAACCTTCCGTCATATCAACGTCCAAATCGTCCAAACAACCAAGCGACCCATCCCCCAGAGCCAGCGCCGGGTCTAACGGGAATTCGAAGGGATTCTCGCCCTCCGAGGGACTAACCAGTGTTTGTGCTAATTGAGCATCGGAGACAGACGAGGCAGTGGAGGTAGTAGGGAGGATGGAGTAGGCAGGGTCAAACATAATCGCCTGAGGCAGTAAAGAAGAGGCATGGTCCTGGTGCGCCAATATCCCCGGGGCCGACTGCGCAAACGACATATTCGGCTGGACCATGCTAGTCTGGGCTCCTGCCCCCGAGGATTCCGACGTAATCGACAGCCGATGGAGCGGCGTATGAGACTCTGGACCAGAAGCCTCAGAACCCGACCAGTCTCCCGGCCCGATAGCAGCGTGGCTGATAGACGCAGCGCGCTCCGACGACACAAGCGGGGTAAGCTGAGCCGACGACGAAGCGGACGCGGACGCGGACGTGGAGGCGGAACGGGTGATGGAAGGCTTCTTTTTGTTATTCGTGTCCTTGCCGTTGGTCGAGTCCGGCCGCGGCGCAATCGGGAGGAAGCCAGCCGGGTTGGGGTGGCGAGGGTAGAGTCTGGCGTGCGGCGGTTTCTAGATATGTCCAAGAAAAAACACGGATCAGCTAAACCATGCCGCTGTGTATATTTCTCTTCTGTTCATATCTGAAACCGAAGAATTGCCCATTCCGGTGGTATTTGTATAGTTTGCGTTACTTTTGATGGAGATTTTAGCTCTGCCTCGCGCCGCGCGCGGGCGTGTTCGCTCGGTGACGAACAAGGCGTGGCATGACAGATAGAGCAGGTGGCGAACGGCCGGCCCTTGCGCTTGATGCGAATCAACGGCCGATCTACCTACGCCGTTAGTAGGAAGTCATCAGTGAGAAATGTGAGGCATTATTACCATGATGTTTGCAGCTGGTCACACGGTGTCCCCGTATGCAAGCTTCGCAAGCCCACTTTTGACCGTCGATGAGCATCCCTCGATTAAGATATAGGAAAAGTGCGACTTCTTCTGGGACGCCGTGCCTTTTATATTATTATTTCGTCGGGGTCCTTTCCATATTGATCGTCCAGCTAGGTAGGACTGAGGGGCAGCCCATGACATGAGATGACACAAATTATTATTTTTTTTCTCTCTGTGATGAGGGATTATTTAGTAGTTGTTACCTCCCCCGGGGAATAGTTAGGGCTAGCTATTGTACAGCCACAGGATCGCCTGCATGGGATTGGCTCGTGCCCTCGGCGGGTTCCGTGCGTGTTTAGCAGCTGTTTCATGGGAGCTTGGGCCAGGAAGAGGTGCTGGCTACGACCTTCCTGGATTGGGATGGGCGTGATGGAGTAACTAGTTGCTGAATACTCATCCGGTGTGTGAAAAATTACTTTTATCGTTAATAGTTGGGCGGGACAAGAGAATTTTCAGAAAGGCTGCGGGATTTTTGGACACCTCGGCAGCCTAGCTGGCTTTTTTTTCTCGGCTTGTCCATTCTTTCTTTTCCTTCAAGTGGAAATTGAAACGACCGGGAAAATCCCAAGGACAATTTCCCAGACTTCTTTGCTCCCGGGCTGCCAGATTGGTGTTAGTAGAGCTGTCGACAAATGCCTCATATTTATGGGAGAGGGGTGAACAACCGTCCCTTCAGATCGTCGATTCATGGTTCTCGGTTCGGCAGTAGGGGCCATGACGCCTGCTGATATCACCCGGGACGAGCTAGCCAATACTTCACATAATCCTTTGCTTCATCTTGCATCTGGAGGTGGCTGTGCACGACGGTAGCTCGCCTAAGTGGCGCATTAATTTTCTGGATAGGCGCCATAGCCTGCGACCAGCAACCCTACCTACCTACCCTAAATATGCCCGAGAACCGAGGAAAGCACTTACCACTGTTCCTGTGTCCGTGCCTGTCTTCATTCTTACCAGGAACCTAATATGGACGAGTACGGCCAGATTAAGGATAATTAAGCTTCAGCGCACTCCAATCACAACGCGTCTAATGGCATCATCTTGGCAGTTGTTAACTATGCGCCATTTTGTATACCTGAGGCATTTTTCTTTTCCAATTGAAAACCTCGCCTTCATCCCCTCCTTGTTTCCACCTGGCAAAAAAAATTATGGCCCCAGGGACACGGGTGCAACTCGGCTAGCAGAAAATTGGAAAATCCATTTGTCACTGGATCATTTGTCCTGCCGCTGGAGGGGATTCGGAAGTGCCGAAAGAGGGTGTGTGGTGTGGGAAAAATTTGGGGGAGTTGCAATCAATCCTCTCTTCACCTTTTTTTCTTTTGAATAACTCAACACCGATATTTTCTGTTATTCTTTTTGGTCTTTGCATCAGTTATTTTGTGGTGTTATTGTTGCCACCTGCTCATAGGCAGCAATCAAATTGTGTGAGACGCCGTGGCGTCATGGACGTTCTTTGCAACCTGGTAATCTGTCTGTGCCGCAATCAGCATCAAGTCGTTGAAATCGTCAAATTTTTGAACCAAATCCTAGATCTGGCCTTCGATTTTCTGGCTTCCTTGTATGGTCGGGTACATCTGAGTTTCCCATTGCACAGTTGTGTGTGGTGTAGACCTTTGTGCTGGGCTATACCTAGGCAATCCCTACTTCCTGTTTTTTTTTTTTGGCTGTTGCTTCGGTCGCAAGAATCTGGCTGACGGGGGAGAGACACAGATATTTATACACAAGCTCGTCCCTTTCCTACGCCCAGCCTGCTCGGATGCAGCGGAAGAAAACTCAGATGGGTACATGCAACTCGGAAGGGCTGTGCCGTTCGTGCAGATATATTGCTCATCCCGCCCGACAGGGCATCAATAACTCTGTGTCCCTCTGGCTATGGCAGAGGTAATTCCCTCACAAGGGCAGGCCATAGCACTCGACACTATTGAAAAACACCCTCGACTTACTGTTCTCTCAATTCGCCGGAGGGCGTGAGGAGGGCCCTGAGATGGCACAGGCCAACACGCTAGTCCGAAAACCGTTGCACGTTTTTCTTGGACTCGGATCAGAGGCAATCATGTTACTCAGCTAGTCGCATGGATGCTATGCTTGTCTTCGGCCCGAACGGGAGGGAGCATGCTTATAAACCCCATCGGTATCTATACGACAAATCCCGAATCTCCCGTGAAAAGAGAGCGGCGGCCCCTATGCACTATCAATGCGGCGGATTGTGCTTTTGATCCTTCGATTAAGGCTAGGCTATATACCTACGATGCGCACTAGACTGAGCTACGATTCGTAGCTCCCCTAGTATTCCGATCTAGTATAACTTGATCACGACATTACTTTTAGGGAGATGGAAGCCAGCCGTATAAAATGGCTATCTATAGCTTCCTCTTTTACGTCCATTGCCGAACACCTCACTTGACTTGCCGTGCCTTTCTCCACGAACTCGTTCCTGAATAAGAGAAGAAATCTCCATCATAGGGCAGCCCAGGAACCGGCTATCTACATAGACGTCCTCAGCTACGTCTGATTCAGCTAATCCAACATAAGGATAACGTAATTCCCGGGTGAAGGGGCCACCCAAGCGAGTGGGCCAGCCCAAAACACCATAGTAAATGGGATATCATACAACTAGATATCTCAAGAACCACAAGTTGATTATTTTTGGATGTTCGGTTAGGTAATATTAAGAGGCATGATAAATAGTATGAACAATCCCAATTCTGAATTAAAAAATGTTACCTTATTACCAAAAATATAGTTCCAGAGACGACAAATATATATATCTGAAACCACAAGTACTATGGACCTTTTAAACCTAATGAATAGGCTACCTATGATCCAAAAAGTACCATCGTAGTATAAAACCTCATATTAAGCTATGATTGTTGGAATATTGAGTGGTAAAATATCCTATTTACTATGGTGTTTTGGGCTGGCCCACTCACCCGGGAATTACGTTACTGACGCTATGTTTACTTCAAGTCCTAATCTCCAGAAGATAAAGATATGATGGAGTACATAAACATTGAAATTCGATAGCGAATCGCTAGGCCATAAAAGCGCCAACACAGCAAACAAAAAAAGAGAAATTTATCTACCACGGCAAAATAATCGCTGCTCCCAAGACCATTGCTGATATAGTCACCCCAAGAACGCCAACAAGTCCGTCCCACGTTGATGATCGTGAATTGAGTCTTGCTGCCGCATTAGTCGTGCCTAGATCCGTGGGTTGATGCACGAGCGTAATGGGATAGCCTGATGTCACGGCAATAAGGGCAGATGTTTCGCTTGGTGCGATACTGTAATGTGAAGTTTGCGTAATGGGAAGGTCTGACACGAAGGTTTGTAGCTCTCCTTCGACCGTGATACCGTAGAACCAGATCTCAGTACTCATGTCTGCCGAGACATCCGCGATCGGCAAGCCGCGGTTACAGCCTGTCGAAAACTTATAGTCACTGAGTGTAGAATAACAGCCCATTGGCTCTTGTGCAGTCATAGAGCTAGGACAGCACATGACCGCTGTTTCGCTTGGGTCTAGTAACTGCATCAGCACATTTGCGGGCGAGTTAAACCCGAAAAAGGCGTCGGTTGTCGGAAGGGGTGTGGCGGGACCAAAGATCCCCGTCCAGTTAACCGGCTTGGTTCCGTCGCGCGAAGCAACCCCGACTTCGTGCCATCCCGACGGGCAGTATAGACCCGGAGAGTAGTAATACCGCTGATATACATTGCTCGGGTGATTATCATACGAAGTGACGGACGGTAAATCGGTGATCGTGCCGGTGGGGTTGCAACTCCAATAATCGGAGTTGATGCCACAGCTGCCTTCATATAACCAGACATTTGGAAGGCTGGACTGGGCAATAAAGACATTCAAGGGGTCAACACTTTGGCAAGAGGCAGGTGGCGTGAAAGTAGTGGTGAGTGGTCCTAAGTTTGTAAACGTATAGGCCGACAGGGCTGAAACAGACGGCATGGTTGCGGGTTGACTAGATGTGTTGAGTCCAGAGAAATATAGCAATCTCAAGCATAAAGACTGACAGGGCCCAAGTCTGGGGTATCCAAACCATAGATAAGTGGGGGAACTGAGGCGCAGCAGCTAAGTCCAGCATGAGGCTCCCTACTCTAGTACTACGTTGGCGTGGTTGAGGTTCAAGCTCCTAGGGAAATTAGCCGAGCATAATAAATCGCGCCAATGGTGAAATGCACTATACGGACGCAGCGCCCTCACTGAGCTAATACCTTGCGGGTTTGGCGAGGCACGAGGGTAGTGCCTCAAAGCAGCTTATGGAGACTAGCCTCTATACGTGCGATCTGTTTCTAATAATCTGATTCGTCTACTCGATAACGTTACATCGAGCACTACGGCCGTCATTAATAATCTGACATTGATTAATAGGGGTGCATCCCCTAGTTTTCCTCTTGCCGTGAGAGCGGAAAAAATGGGATGGTCTACAACAATGGTGACCCTTTCCTGTCGCCAATGTATTTGTGATTCTCGATGCTGCATTTCTGGAAAATAACGGCGAAGCAAGCTCTTCGTCCTGGCCTAGTGATACAAGCACCACATCGGAAGCCCTCGAAGACGACTTCGCCTTCGCCTTCATCTCCATCTTCATCCTTGAATGATGTAGCCATCGGCTTCGAGAAGCTTTCAGCTTGTCAGCATTCCCCAGACCGGCTCCGACAATAAATTTAGCCCCTTTATCCAGATTCAACTGGATTAGCCCCACTATCCGTCAATAAGCAACCGTCGGCTACTTCAGCCCTAACCGGCCTTGAATGGGCCGACAGCAGCAACACAACCAGGTTCATAATGTTGGTGGCAGACTCTGATTGGGCTTTCTAGTGGTATCAATCAGTCTGTTATGCCCCGTATAATGATGGAAAAGTCCAGTTGGGTCTTTAAATCAAGCCCACTATCGTGCCAAGCAAAACTAGCCCCAACCTCGCGAGTACACAGCCTATTATTAGCTAATTCAGGGTCTTAATGAGAGGCTTTGACCCTTGCAATAAACGAGTTAAATAGACCCTTAAAATCCACCTTGCAGATTATTATTGCCCTAAACCTGCACGCTGAGCTTCTACATTTATTTTTCGCATTGATTTAGCGTTCTGTTTCTCATTGCACTGCACTGCACTGCACCCCTACAACATGGCATTAACACAACAATTCTCCAATCGACAGGGTTTCCTGGTCCTTGCTCTCTATCTAATCACAAGTTCGTGCGCCGCATTCATTTTGCCCAAAGTCCCAGATATCCCGACAGTTCCAGACATCCCCCCGACAATTCCAGAGAGCATCCCTCCGACAATCCCAGATATCAGGCCAGAGCCGGAAGAGCCAATAACACATGGTGGCTCTGACAGTCCGCCAGTTGATGTAGACGATCCATCATCCATACCCAACACGGGGTCTTCGGGCGCACCAGGTGGAACTGATCACACTCCGTTATTCGCGGATAAGGGTTAGTTACAACAGCTATTTTACTTCCACCTATTGGCTTTTCTAAACCCTTGAGCAGAGGCTCTAGAGAAATACTTTAAACTCTTCGACGGTGTCACCGACCTTTTAAACATCATTGAATCTGCAACCTCCACTACCGCCGCGACATTCACCCGTCCAGCTGGCATACCCACAGTGCCCGTCAACGCAGTGATAACGCCAGAACCCACAGCCGCAGACCCAACTCTGGGCTGCAGCATCTTCACAAGCTACATGTCCCTCTGCGCACCAACCACCTCGGCAATGGGCAGCAGCTCCGTCTTAGGCGTCCAAGCAACAGACCGCGCCTTCGCCTCCTGCGCCTGCTACTCATCCACATACTGGGTCCCCGACGCTCTCGACAGCGCCGCGCGCGCTTGCGCCGGCTATACCACTGCAACCGTTTCGGATAACCCTGTGGGAGGTCTAGCTGCGGCTGCGACGACTGCTTCGAGAATGGAAGGGTTCTGTCAGTCGATGGACAATGTGCGGCACTATGCCTCAGCGCAGTTTGGTGCGGTAACACCTACTGCATCTGCTAGCTCGAGCGTGAGTTCTTCGAGTAGTCATTCTAGCTCCAATGGAAATGGAGCTGGGGTGGTGCGGGTTAAACCTTTTGGGTTGGGAGTTTTTGCTGCTCTAGGTGTGTATATTCTATTAATTTAGATGTAAACTATTGGGGACAGAGAGAGAGACGAGCATGATGGATGCGTTTTCTAAATTAACGCGGATTACACATATTGTACGATAATGAATTGCACATAACACCTTAGTTCAGTATTTCCCGAACTTGCTTCTTGTTGATTATGAGAAAAGTGCTAGCCGAGCACAACAGCCACAATCATTGCTGTCTGTACTAAACAGATCGAATTCGGTCACAGATGGAGTAATATCCAGAGCACTACGCACTAGATAATCTATGCCATGTCTTGGATTCTCTCTAGGTATCCTTTGCGATAATGGAGTATATAGAGATAGGAGAAGCGAAGGTACTTGTTGCACATTTGGTGAGTGGCTTATAAGATGTCTGTTTAATAAATTGAATTGTTTTCGAAAAGATCTCCTCTCATTTGTCACACTACAGAAAGCTCACCAAGGATGTCGTTATTTCTGTTCGATCACCATACCCTTACTCATTATCCCTCACATCGATAACCGTTCTCTTGAACTTCCTAGCTGGAATTCTGCGGTTGAACAAGATATCGGTCTCCCTGTAGGAGCGGTGCTTAAGCTCCGGAAGGAAGAAGTAGGCCATGATCCAGCAGACGCAAGCGGTACCACCCCAAACGTAACCGCATTTGCCAGCAAGGTCCCACCCAGTGGTGTTGAGCATCTGTGAGGCGAGGTAGATCATGGGAATCTCCGCGACGTAGTAGCTGGCACGACCGACACCGGTGCTGAGAGCGCGAAGGCGGACGGAGGACGTCTCGGAAATGATGGTGTACGAGACTGGTCCGAGGGTACCGGCGAACACAAACGAGATTGTGACACCCAGACAAGCCTGGGCGTAGCTTGTCTCTTGGGTCCTGGGGATAGAGGAGACGATGCCAAGAATAAAGAGCAGAGCGACGTTGGTCGCTGTGCCATAGAGGTAGATGGTTCGGCGGCCGAACCAGCCTGTAAGAAACAAAGACAACCCGTTGGCAATAAATTGAAGACACGAGTTGATCAGGTTGAGCTGGAAAGAACGGTTGGTCGAGATTCCAGCCTCTGAAAGCGAAGTCAGTCATCATCTATACTTGGTGAAAGAAATCAGAGGGAGATGGGAACTACTCACGCTCAAAGAAGAAAGTCGCCTGGTTGCTAATCAGGTTACCGGCGAAATTCTGGGACGCGTACATCAAGCAGGTGATGATTGTGCGCCGCAAGTCGGTACCCTTGAGCAGGTCGAGGAGGGTCGGGGTACCTCCCATCTGGCGTTCGATCTCGACGGTTCGTTCCATCATGGCCAGTGACTGCTGAGCATGCTCTGGGGACTTGTTACCGAGGCGCTCAATAGAGCGAAGGGCCTCCTTTTTGCGTCCGCGACGGATGAGCCACCAGGGAGATTCGGGAGCGAGAAAGACGAGGATCAAGAGGGGGGTCTGCAGAGATAAGTGAGCTTCCTGTAGCTATAAGATCTGAACCGGAGAACCACTCACCGGGAAGATCCATTGTAGGGCAAGAGGCGCTTTCCAAGCCCATTCATCCTTTCGTTTTTGGTAGTGAAAAGTGGCGGCGGCGACAATTATTGAGCCGATAGACCAACTCATTTGCAGGGTAGCCGTGCAGGCACCTCGGAGGGCGATGGGAACAATCTCACTGGCATAGGCGGGGGAGTTGGCAATGAAGAATCCCCAGGGGACACCCTCCAACGCTTGTCCGACCACCAGGACTGTGAGTGAGTCGGCCTAGGCGGGCATTGTTAGGCGATAGGCTTTAAAAAAGTGGAGGCCCGGCTCGGTACTCACAAAGAATGAAATGAAAATGGTGGCGTTCATAAGAATGAGGGCCAAAATGGTCGTCCAGCGGTATCCAAGACGGTTGGTGACGGGTCCGGCCAAGAAGACACCGACAAAAGCACCGCATTGACCAGATTGGAAAAGAGCGCTCTGCCATTGGGTTGGGATAGTCCACCCGGATCCCTTCACGTGGACACCGAAATGCTTTTGAAAAGCCTGAAGCGCGACGAAGTTAGTGTTCAGAAACATGTCGAACGATTCCATGACCTAGCAGGTGTTGTTAGCGATGCTTCTGCGCGAAAGAGGACATTTTCCACAGTGGAGCAGGAAAGGATTCTAACTACTACTCACAATGGTGAAACACATGGTGAATGCCCAGAAGCAAGCCCAAGGGTGGGCCTTGACAGCCTGCCACAGGGTCATCTCATGCTCGCGGTTCTCGCCATCGAAGGCATCGTTCATGAGCTCCGGGTTGGCCAAGACCTCGTCCTGATAAGCCTCGACCTTCTCATATGTTTCCTTGAAGGGCACCATGGTTGAATTGCTCTGTCACCGTAACACATAACACCGCGGTGAGAATAGATCACAAATCCGCAAAGAAAAAAGAAAGAAGACAGAAAGAAAGAAAGAAAGGAAAGACGAAAGAAGAGAAAAGGGAATGGCGAGTCGAGGCCTTATAACATCGCTATCTCGCATTCGTGTGAACACAATTGCTTGACGTGTTCAGCCAGCTAACTGTACATTCTTTCTATCGGAATGAGAGATAGGGTCTAGACCGACCCTCGACCGCAGCCCGATTTTCGATGAGTATACTCTTTCTTCTGCTGCCGAGGAGAGCTTCTTGCCCAAGTTCGTGTACTATCAATATCTCAGTCTCAACTGTACCTGGAAACCTATCTGGACATGAAAAGCGTCGACCGATTGTCCCGACCACGGGAAGCTGGGCTGGCTCGAGCAGGATCATTTCGTTTTCCAACCCATTTCTTCGGTTACGTTATGGGGGCCTTTGGGACAAAAAATGTGCGTACCAACTCTGGTGCGTAAACCAAGTGATCCTTTCTGGCTCATCCCGGGTGTTGCGACTGAGTATGTCCCCTCGGAACCCACTCGTCACACCGCCCGGACCGGGGCTCTACCGCCTAAAAACCACTCACCAAGTCATGGTATAAGGCGGCCAAAGTAGCTGAAGTAAGGGTTAAGAAAATCAATTCGTTAGTTATAGAATTTGATGCGCATTTTATTAGTCAGAAACATAGGTTTTGGCAAGAAAGGTATGTTATAATGGCTTCCTGGCTATTCGTGGGCGGATATCTCGATAGGCAGAATATTATATAATATTTCGGTGTGGGACTAAGCAGTACCACTCAGGCTTCTCCAAACAGCAATTTCCATCTACTCATCATCGCGGATATCGACGACCGTCTGCTTCCATTTGCGAGCCTGGACACCACGCCGGAACAGAATGTCGATCTCACGGAAGGACCTGTGCTTCATCTCTGGAATCCATTGCCAAGCCATGACGGTACAGATAAAGGCAGTACCAGCCCAGACGTAGCCGCTCTTGCCGCCCAGGTCCCACTTATCAGTGTTGAGCATGTAGCTGGAAAGGAAGATGCAAGGAATATTGACCAAATAGTAGGCACCTCGTCCAACACCGGTTGTCAGTGGCCTGAGACGAACGGAAGATGTCTCGCCGATGATGACCCATGAGGCAGGGGCGGGTCCCAAGCAGAACAGGACGGAGACGATCAAGCCAAGTGATGCTTGCGCATTGCTAGCCGCGTTCAAGCTAGCCAGGCTATGCGTGGGAATCGAAGCCGCAATCCCGAGCAGGACTAAAAATCCACAGTTGATGAATTGACCATAGACATAGATGGTGCGTCGGCCGAGATATGTGGTGAGGATCCAAGAGAGCATGACCATGACCCACTGGAGGGCAGAAGTGACGAGACCAAGTGCAAATGCGGTGTTGTCTGCCATGCCGGCCTCTGAGCTGGTGTTAGTCTGCTGTGAGATTGCAGGAAATGGATGGACTCACGTTGGAAAAAGAAAACCGCTTGGTTAGCAATCAGGTTGCCCGTCAGATTCTGAGATGCGTACACACCGCACACAATCAATGTGCGGTAGAGATCGGTACCCTTCCACAGTTCAACGAGACTGGGCTTCTTCTCAGACTTCTCGAGTTCGATCGTGCGACGCATCATTGCGACTGCGTCAGCGGGATTATCAGTTGCACTCGCGCGTCCAAGGCGTTTGACAGCCTTCTCTGCCTCAGCCAGACGGCCCTTTCGTACGAGCCACCAGGGCGATTCAGGCGCAATGAAGAGTAGGATAGCGAGGGGAGTAGGAAACATCCACTGGAGTGCAATGGGAACTCTGGGATGACTGTTAGTACAGTGCTCCTCGATGGCATCTATGGGAGCGGACGAACCTGTACGCTGACGAGTCAAGCTTGGATTGGTAGTGGTAAGTGATACCGCCGACAATGATCGACCCAATCGCCCAGAACATCTGCAACATTTGCGTCGCTGGAGCTCTCAATCTCAATGGCACAATTTCGGCACAGTAGGCGGGTGCATTGGCGATGAAGATGCCCCACGGGATGCCTTCCAGGATCTGGGACGCGAAAAACATCCCGTTGCTGTTGCCGTAATAGAAGACGAGGATGAAGAGGTTCAAGCACATGAGACCGCCAATGGTTGCCCATCGATATCCGATCACACTGGTAATAGGACCTGCGAGGAATACACCGATGAGGGCACCGAGTGGCCCGCTGCACTGGAATGCTGACTGCCATGAAGCAACGATAAGGTACTCCCCTGTTTTTGGGCTCTTTACACCAAAATCCTTCTTGAATTGTGCGGTGGCGATGAACTGTCCCATTAAGAAAACACAGTACGACTCCATGATCTATCGCAACGTTAGAGAAATGATCTGCCTATCATGGGCAAGAGCTTACAATGGTGCATGACATCACGAATGCCCACCAGCTGGCAGCGGGATAGGCCTTGACAGCCTGGAGCACAGTCATATTATGTTCGACCTCCTCGGCATCGATGGCGCCCGTTCTGTCGTAGTCGACCTTCTCGTCGGCATCGTAAACAGGTCCGCGCGTGGAGGCAGGCTGCGCCTCCTCGACCTCCGACGCTGGGGTCTGCTTCTCTGTGATGTCGCTATTCATGTTGACGATTTCTGAGAGAAACGGGTGAATGAAAGAGAGGCAGGCGCGACTGGGGGTTTCAGATCTTTATACCTGCGACAACACGCTCGTGATGGTGATCCCGATCTTAGCTCGATTGAGCGAAGCTTGCTCCGGGCCTTGACCTCCTCAACCCCACATCTCCACTCATGAAGGTCATTTTTCCGGGCACTATGGTAGCAGCGTCGCTTGATTATGGTGGGCTCTTGTCAAGCGGAGTAATCTGATAGGTACTAGTCGGGAGGAAATGTACCGGTTCCTTTGCGGGGTCTGCTGATGTTGGCAATTTAGTGGTAGGGGGTGGTGGTGTGGGTCTAGATGTGGCGTTCCATTCGCCGGAGAATTCCCTGCTTTGGGTCGTAGGTGAGAGTCCGCCGCACCCAACGGATTAGATGATACCGAGTCATTCACAATAATCGCTCATCCATATTAGTGAAGCTTTGTACTTGAAGTCGCGATGTACTCTTCCCTAACGCATGGCATACACGACCGACGAAGCGATCCCAAGACTCCCTAGATCTAAGCTCTTGAGTGGTTTACGAGAATTATGGCGGTTAATTGGAACGATCCAATTCGCATTTAACAGAGCCATAGCCTGCGATCTCAGGAATGTGACATTCTATTAACCGAGGAGGCCAACCAGGGCCTTGCCAACGGTTAGTTGAACCTGGGATTTTCTTACAAATTACCCCATTGGACTGCGAACAGGGCTTGGGCCAGACAGGGCTAGCCCCCGGCGCACGAAGGAGTTGGCAACCCGGCGGCCTACCACAGAAAAGGAGTGGTGGTGTTCGGGCTAGATGGCCACGAGGTTCGGATGGCCTGTGCGGGTGGTCCTCCAGTGGGGTTCTGCCATTTCTGGGGTTGCGGGGGCCCCGGACTGGTTTAGTTAGTGCTTATTTGGCTACGGTGCCTCGCGTTCTGAGTCTCGCCGCTAACCATGGTTACCGGCGCTGCGAGGTGATGGTTGGTGGAATCGAGCATGTAACTAAGACCTAAGGCTTCGGTGATTGGTTCAGCAACATGAAGCCGTTTTAGTATCCGACGGAAGGATCGCGAGTATCTAATAATCAAATCGGCTTCTACGTATATACACCAAACCTACAGATCATCTAGCATCTAGAGACGACATCGTTAGATATGATCCGACCAGCAAAAAAAGGAAGCAACCGGCCATCTCTCGTGCTCGCGCCGTGGTTGGTGGAAATGCGCACGGTCTCGGCTAGGCCCGGTCATCACGTTTGTGGACTAGTGCCGACGCCTCAATCCCTGGAAGCCGGGGCTAGGGCACGGCGTGAAACGACACGGATCTCTCTCGGTTGGCATTGGCTATCCTGCGTGTCTCGGAGCGCAATGGCCCCTCGGCTAGAGTCCTCGTAGCCGAGTTTGAGGGCTGTTTGGGGTCGATAGTCCGACGGAGTGTCGGTGGTCGCTACGCCGGTGAGGGAGGACCGCGACGAAGACCGGGCGAAAGCAGAGTGATCAAGAAGTAAATCCTTAATTAAACAACAAATTAGGACCGGCTAATAGCTAAAACATTCGTGGTTCGGCCACAAAATACTGCCATAGGTCGTCGGCTCTCGGTTGCTTTCATGCTCGGACTGTTGAGTGCTGATGGGACTGGTTCTGCTTTGGAGAAGGGGCTAAGTTTGACCCGAAGGATCAAAATTTTTACCTAGAGTGCGAATCGGGCCACCAAGGAAAAAAACAAATATTTGCATACCAATTCCCAACCCCAACCATATTCACTGAATACTCGTATTGCACTGGCCCCCAGGTAGTGCTAGGTGGCTGGGTTCAATAAATGAGGACACCGGAGTGTCTACGGAGGAATCTCCAAACTACATACATCATTTTGGTCAAGCGAGGAGGTGCCGCTAACCTCTGGCCCGATGATGGAGATATTTTTCGTGATGCTAAGTATGGACATTCTGCATATAACACCGAAGTCGGACGAATCCCCTATAGACTAGATCGCTGAGCCGGATGCAACACATGCTCAGCTGGCCATTTTCGATAAACGCGAGGATGGCCCGTTAGAGTTCGTGGTCACTATTCGCAAAGACGTCGCTCCTTCGCCTCAAATATATCGCCAATAGCACCCTTTGAAACATCACCATACTAGTCGTTGGCGTAGACAATACATTGTTAAGGTTACTGGGAAATCGACTCTTGCGAAAAGTAATCACTTTTACGTATATTTGCCAATCGTACTTTGGTCCTATATGATATACATGATATTAAGCTGCAGAGCGATAAAATCACCTTGGCTTTCATCAACCGAGTGGGAAATGGAGACATCTCAAGGTGGAGCTATACCTGGAGCAGCTTCGAAAAGGATCTCCTCCCCCTCGTCAAAGTTCAATTGATCGGCTTTGCCGTAATTTTCTTCAAAGATCAGATGAAGACCATCAAGACTGACCTTTTTGCATGTGTCCATGAGGCAAGTCTAACTCATGGCATATTCTTTCCTGGTACAGTGATGTTGGAAGTTCTACCCCTATTAAAGAAGCGATGTAAAAAAAAAGCACACTGATATTGCTACGTTATCCTACAAAACACAAAAGTGAGCGGCGTTATGACCTGCTGTACACATCCAACACCCGCGATCCATCAACACTGCGAAGCCATAACTATGAAAGCAGTCCGTAGTACAAAAAATACCTGAATACAAATAAAGAAAGGGTCATCCGTAGAAAATGATGGAATGAAAGGGTAAAAAAGACATAACGACCACGAAGAACAAGCTACAGAAGAATCAGACTGGCGCCGAACAGCGTCGAGAGAGCCGTCACCAAACCCATAACCATGGAAGCCGTGCTCAGACCAATGGGCTTGACGGCCACAGCGGCAGCACTGGATGAAGCCCCGCCGGAAGAACCGCTAGAGGAACTATCTTCGGACACCGAGCCCGAGCCGGGAGCTGCAGTGCCGGTGGACTGGGTGCCTGCTTCCATGCTACCGCCGCCGCTAAATCCCTTGCCTTTTCCAGCTCCCTGCGTCAGGTACTTCTTGGCAGGTGCGGGCATGGCAGGGAGCGAATCGCCATCGACATCCCAGTTGGGAGAGTTCTTGGCTGGGCAGGGGTTAGCACCGCCGGTTGAGTTGTAGCCACCATTGCCCTTGGGGTTGGAGGTCTTGGAGAAGGCGATCTTGAGAGCGTCGTAGTCCGGAAGCTCCTTGACGTCGTTGCCGCTGATCTTGACCAGACCGTAGTTGCTCGATTCCTCGGAGTACTCATAGACCAATCCGCCAGAGTAGACGGAGGTCATCTCAGTGGAGTACAGGGCGCTGACTTCCTCGAACTTACGCTCGTTGGTGTTGCAGCCATACTCGGAGAGGAAGAGTGGAATTCCATATCCAGTGAAGTTCTTGACCTTCTGGTCCCAGCCTGAAATGGTGAACGAGGAAGGATCGCACCATGAGTAGTCGTTGAAAGCGAAAAAGTCGCTGCGCTCGTCGTCAGGGCCGCAGTTCATGTACTCGGCCATCTCCAGGCGGTTAGTGTCGACATCAGCCTATCTGGTGATTAGCACTGAATGGTCATCAAGGTTAAAAAGGACAAACCGCAGAGTATCCAACAGGCACATGGCGCAGTTTCCGCGCACGAAGGTAGGTACGAATATCCCTAGTTACCGCCTTGACGTAAGGAGCTGACTTGGAGGAAGGACCATCGTTGATGACCTCATTGCCAGAAAAGAAGGCCAGTGTGTTGTCGTACTTGGCGAACATCTCCACCGTGGCAAAGACGTACTGCAGGTAGACATCATTGTACGAAGTCTTGGGATCGGCACGGTTAATGGCGTACTTGGGTGTGTTGACATCGAGAACGAGGTAGATACCCGCCTCCGCGAGCGCGTTCATGCACTCATCGTGGTCCTGGGAATTGTCCACCGAATAAACACGGATGGTGTTCAAGCCCAAGTCCTTGAATTTCTGGATATCGCGCTTGCAGCCATCCGCGTCGGCGATGGGATCGGCCAACTTGGAGGAGCCGCCGGGCTGATAGTCCACACCACGGATGTAGAAACGGTCGTTGCCTTGGAAGAAGGCATTACCTTTGACGGTGATGGGCGTGACTGAGCCTCCCAGGACAGCAGAAGTGCCCATAAGGATGGCTGTGGCCACGGATGTGACGGTGGTCTTCATGACGGAGTGAGTGTGGTGAAGTGATTGAAAAGAATGGCGGGTCGTCAAGTCGGGGGTTGTCAAAAATGAAAGTGATGGGAGAAGCGAGAGAATGAGTGGGAAGTGAACGGCAGAAGAAGAAGAATGTAGGACGAGGAAGGAAGGAGAACGAAGGGATGAAGGGTGTGGTGTCGCACCTTCCTGGAGAATGTTCAGGTTGTGCGACTGCAAGGGAGGAAGGAGGTATACGCAGGTACAGAAGTATAGCATTACTTTTACTCGGTACAAGTTACCTACTCTGTCCTTCGTTTCTCCAGCTGATTCGTCCCATGAACCCAATCCAGCAGACCAATCGACCCATAATTCAAATTGAACTTCTCATGGTGCAAATCATGCATCTTGGCCTTGTTCCGGAAGAAATCATAGCCACTATGCACGGTGGCCGTTTCAACCAGCTCGAACGCCAAGAAGATCCAAAAGGTAACCAGATGGCTGCGGAGGAACTGCGGCGGAAGCGAGATGGGCAGCACGTTGGCGAAGATCTGCTCGATCGGATGCGCGAACTGCGCCGCCAGCGCGATTGGCGCCGTGAAGCGGTGATGTTGCTTGTGGATGCGCTTGTAGAAATAGGGGACGTGCAGCAGGCGGTGACTGTAGTAGAACATGGCCTCGCGCATGAGGAGACATAGAATGACATCGCGACATATCTCGGCGGGACCGGGGAGGGAGGACTCGATGCGATATGAGGAGCCGGAGCCGGTGCGGCGGGCGATGAAGAGGAGGCCGATATGGAGGACCGACGAGATGATTTGGTTCCGTGTCACGACCATGAAGCAGCGCGCGATCTCGCGGCGTGTGGGCTGTCTCGGGGCGGGCTGGATCTTGTGCCGCTGGGAAAAAGCGGGTGCGACGACATCCAGGCACAGATAGCAGATGGACGGGAGCCAGAAGGACAGTGCCTGGACCAGAAATGTGCCGAAGAACTCGATCTGCTGGGGCGAGTAGCTGGCCACGACATGGGCCCAGTGTTTCTGGATAATATCCATAGTTGAACAGATGTTGGGGTTATGTCTGGGGATTCGCGGTCCTTTTAAGTTGTGCCTCGGTTCCCGTAATCGATCGACGAAAACCATCGCGCCAATGAAGAAAAGGTGGATCTCGGCTGAGGTTAGTGCTGCTTCATGTGATGATGAAGGAAGTGAATAGATATAGATATAGATCAATGTTGATGTGAAGCGCTAAATGGCCTGAAAACAACCAGGGAAGGCACGCCTGCCATGCCCGAGCCAACATCTACAGCTTCCTTCTTTCTCTTTCCCTTCTCATCATCACCTCTTCTCTAGGCATCTCACATATCCACTGTCTCCAATTCGAAGTACGTACCGCCATGCATACACGACCATCACTAACATCCAACACAGATGCAAAAGTACATTGAATACATGCTCAGCCACCTCTTCTCCAGCGCCAAAGGCCGCGACGACAAGCTCTTCACTGCAGGACCCGCCTTCGCAGGGCACCCGAAGCCAACAATCGAGCTAGCCTGCCCAGAAGTAGGCCCGTCCGGGTCACAACTTCCCGTGGACAACTCAGCCGACGGCGCAGGACTCTTCCCGGGGTTGAGCTGGCCCGCGGGTTCGGACGAGATCAAGCAGTTCTTGCTCATCAGCGAGGACCCGGATGCACCGCTGCCCGATCCCATCATCCACGGCATCTACTACGGCATCGCGCCCAGCGTGACGGGCGTCAATTGGGAGGATCTCGAGCTGGCTGACCAAAGTGATGAGCCTTACTTCCTCAAGGGTGGGTTCAAGTATGGCAAGAACCGTGGTGGCAATGTCTACATCCCGCCTCAGCCGATGCGCGGCCATGGACCGCATCGGTATTTCTTTGAGCTCATTGCGCTCTCTCGGCTGATTGATGTTGCTGCGCTGAGTGCTGTACCAACTTCTGTGGAGATCCAGGGGGCTATTGATGGGGATGTGGTTGGCTGGGGCGAGTGGTGGGTGTGTATGAGCGCGACTGGGAGTGAGGATGGGATGGTGGTGTGTTGGACGTCGGTGATGGATGATGTAGGATGGACGAGACTCGGTGGTGTTGACTACTTTTGATTCCTTGTTTGCGTTAGAAATACCCCTTACCCGACTGATGATTCGTCGAGATGCAGGCTTTGTATATTGTTATTCGAATAGGAGCACATTCAATCTTCTCGGTTTGTTCGACTGTCGGCGTAGTCCAGGAAACGTATGGCTGGAAATTTCGGGGTCAGGTTCAGATGCCGGTTGGCCAGTCAGCGACTATATACATCTAGAACAGCATAGTCATTATTACAAGACTGACCCTCGTCTTAATATATGACAGCAGTCCAAACAATCCCCTTGACTATTACTTCCTCCCCTGCTTCTCCCCCTGGCTCCCCGAGGGTGAACAACAACCCGTGCTACACCTCTAGTACATGAACCAGCAAGCAACGTGACAGAAATTAATCAGGTCACGATCAAATCCCAGTTTGCAAGTCCCTATACCTAGGCAACCACTAGTGCTACCATCTCGCTTCCGGCCAGTTCGAAGACCGATTTTTAACGCGGCCATCCCACCCGATGTATCGATCTATATAAGGTGGGCTCATGGTACTGAGACATACATAATTAATACATAATTAATTGTTAGTCCCTGCGCCGTCATCACTGCTCCCGTTTCTGTGTCTGTTTCTATCAGCAGAACATTATTTGAACACAAGTTTAAATCTAAAGCCTTCAGTCAGGTCAAATTAGCAGAAATACATCAGCCAGGATAGTTGATTGTTAATTGTACGGAAGATGTTTCCGGGAAGAAAAATGGCAGGGCGTTTATCCACCTGGAGGTCGGAGCAACATATGACCTGCCAAGATAACACTCGCCCCTGCCCCTGGCGGGGAATGCTCCGGAACGACTAAAATAGTACGCCTCGCAATCATAGTGTAAACTCTCGGAGACGGCAGGGCCGCCAGCCACCTCTGCACGGTGGCGTCTAGCATGAACAATGCTGCAGGGTTCAAGATGGATCACATTGGATCCATAAGAGAGCATATTATTGCTATAGTTGTCACTACTCATACAGCTGCATATGTAATTTAATATCTACCTCTCCACTAATGGTAGCGAGGCGAAAAGTGAATACGTACAACCATTCGCTGACTTCGAACCCGAGCCGGCTCAACTCACACCATACCATACCCACATGCACATAGCCCCCTGGGCCCTGTAAATGGACAGAGCACACCGGTGCATGGACACCATCCAGCCGCAGTGCTGCTAAGACATTATTATTGATAATACGGAGGTTAGTATAACACCGCTGGGCCTATTTATACAAGGAGAGATTTCCTAGTGAGTGTGTGATTGAGGAGCCGTGGATTCCTGGCATTCATAATTGACAGTGCCACCAAGAGGCTTCCCTTTTTGGCATAGTCAGCAGTCAGAATGTTTACTCTTAAACAGGTTCTGCCGATTCTTTTGCTGGGGGAGCTTGTCGTGGCGGGCTTTGCATGTCTCGATCCGCAATGGTGCGAGCCTGGTGTGGTAGCGGTGCGGAAGGAATGGTTTGTATAGGCTGGCTCACTCCAGTCTTGTCTTTTGCTGATGATGAACTGTGTTGTATCAGGAGCGAAATGACCGCCGCAGAACGGATAGACTATACCAGCGCTGTCGTGTGTCTGCACCACAAACCTGCCCAGCTGCCCAGCGCCGAATATCCCGGCGTCAAAAGCCGACTCGATGATTTCGTGGCGTGCGTAAACGGTCCAATCGTCGCCTGGATGTTGACTGATACCTAGCAACTATAGCACGCACATCAACTACACCCTGAAGGTCCATTACGACGGACTCTTCCTCCCCTGGCACCGGCGGTATCTCTGGCTCTGGGAGCGGGCACTGCGCGAGGATTGCGGATACAGAGGGCATCTGCCGTGAGTCTTTCTAGCCTCAGGACCCAACCAGCCCTCTCTAACCACGCAGTCAGATATTGGAACTGGCCACTATGGGCCAACAACCTCGCCGCCAGCCCACTCTTCGACGGCAGCGAAACCTCTCTCTCGGGAGACGGGGAATATGATCCGAACGAGCAACCCATCACAAACGGCAATCTGACCATCCCGCGAGGCACAGGCGGCGGCTGTGTGCGCGACGGCCCATTTAAGGATATCGAGCTACACCTAGGACCCTTCTCACGCACACTCACCTCCTTCACAGACATCCCCTCCCCGGGATTCGCATACAACCCACGTTGCTTCAGCCGCAGTCTCAACCACTGGGTAGCGAGCCGGTACACGAACAGGACGATCGTCGACACTTTGCTCGCCTCTAGGGATATCAACGAGTTCCTCACCGTCGTAGACCACTGGCCGCCGCGGATGGACGGGGTCTTTGGCGTACATGGCGGCGGCCACTTTAGTCTCGGCGGAACCCTTCAGGATCTCTTCGCCTCGCCGCAGGAGCCGGCGTTTTTTCTACATCATGCGATGATCGATCGCGTGTGGAGTATTTGGCAGGACCGGGACGAAAAGACACGGCGGTATGCACTCAATGGGACGGGGGTTATTCTTAATCCGCCTAGTGCACCGCTGGTCACCTTGGATACGGTGATGGAGTTTGGGATTTTGGATCGGCCGCGCTCTGTGAGGGAGGTGATGAGTCCGGTGGATGGTGGACTTTGTTATACATACACTTAGTGTTTAGGCACCAGGCACATTCGCCGAGTGAGACAAATGGATCTGATGATGATGACACGACTTCTATTTTGGGGGATCGCGGGCCAATCAGTGGTGTGAGTTGAGTATCCACGGTTGCAAGGCGGGCGGGACCGAGCAGGAGATCTTGAGTTGTCCCGAAAGCGTCGGTGAGAATAATACAATCGTGGACTCCGGGATCATAGTAATCATGGTACGTCCGTAGCTATACTCCGTGAGTACCGAAAATATCCCAGCCAAGCTCAGATCGGCTCCGCCACCTCGGGACCTACCCAAGGCTCCACTGCAAATCCTGAATCTTCTTGCTTTCTTCCTGGTTTTTCTCTTCGTTTTGTATTTCGTTTTGTCTCACCTCTTGTTTCTTTTCTTTTCTTCTTCACCCTCTTCCCCTTCTTCAACCTCTTCCCCCAGAGATTGTAAACGCCCACCCCCACCATGCTGCGCTTCAACATTCTGCAGATCTCCCTCTCGCTGATCGGCCTCCTCACACTGATCTCGGCAGAGCAGTCCTCCACCTCCACCACCGACGACCTCACCCACCGTGAGGCCGTCCAGGAACTGCTCGCCAGCATCAACAAGGACTCCATCCACAATACCCTGCACACCCTGTCCGAGAAATTTCGCGATGGCGTTTTCCCTGATGACCAAGCCGCGGCGGAGGCAATCCGTGAAGACGACGAGAGCCTCTCGGATCGCCTGATGAACCTCGTCAAGAGAGATGGCAAAAACGGCACTGCTCACTCGGAAAATGTCTCGAGCACTCCTTCGTCGCAGGCTACTACCACGGACTCCACCACAACCACCACCACCACCACCACCACGGAGAGCTCGTCCAAGCCCACCACTACCACTACCACCACCACTACTACCACTACCACCACCACTACCTCGTCACCCCCTCGACTACATCCACTACCACCACTACGGAGTCTACGACACCCCCCTCGTCCCACACGTCTACCTCCAGCACCCCGACGACGTTCTCCACAACGCCCAGCTCGTCCGTCTCGTCGAGCTCTTCTGTCTCGTCGAGCACCTCCACCCCCCAGGCATCCACCTCCACCTTCCAGAGCACGACCACTTTGCCCAACGGCAGTGTCAGCACTGTCACCGCCATCACCGTCGTGCACCCGAGTGCAACGGACTCCGCTGCCACGGGCACCAAGCCAGCCCCCGGTCTGCAGACCGGCGCTGCAGCCTTGACAACCGGCTTGACTCGCGAGGTGATCGCCATGGTCGGCGGCGCTGTCGTGGTCGCCATGGCTCTGTAATGGCGATAGTGATGCCGGCTCCCTCTCTGCACATCCTGGAATTGCCATGATTCCGAGACATCCTTCGCATCTGTTTTTTATCTTTTGAGTGGCGTTTTTATTTCTGCACATGTCCAAGCACATCACAGCACAGCACAGCAGCGGTCCTCTTGCATCTCTTCATGACTCACGTCATCTTACGATCCTTACGCACGACCCACGAGTTTCCTACTTCCGTCTCTCCTTTCTCGAAGCATTGCCATCGACTGGCAGCGATCCCTGGTCTTATTTCGGCGACGCAGATCTTTTGTACCACACATAGTCACCATATCTTCATGTGAATTAGTTAGATCTTTCGGAGTGGACATACAAGAAACCTTAGTTTCCGAATATCTTGCGTGTAGACATGTGCATTCATGATGTTCAAGTAAATGCAAGGGTATGTATGTAAAAAGGCTCTCAAGCAAAAATAAGTACCAAATCCAGATATCCCACATCTCCTCGAATCTCCTCACTGTCACCGACCGGTGCCAGCAGCACCCTGCCACCTCTCCTCCCCAGTCCAATACCTCACCACGCTCTCCCACCCAGCTAGATCCCCGTCCCTTAGCAGCGCCGCAACATCCACATTGAGCGGCGAGTCCGGTTGCGGATCCGTCAGCAGCTGGTGGATAGCCGTCAGCGTCGTCGAGAGCGTGTACACGGGACTCCAGTGCTCGGTGGTCAAGAGCGTGAGACAGATCTCGCCCGTCGTGAAGGAGATGTTCGGGTGGGAGATGCGCGTCGCGAAGCGGATGGTTGGCGGCGCGAGCGGGTAGTTCGATGGGATTGCAATGCGGAGATGCCAGAGGCCGCCTTTTTGTTTATTCGTTCATGTTAGTTCAGTGCAATTCGGTTCGGATATCTACGAGATACTGGAGGAAAGAAAGACGCGAACGACATACCCTCATACGGTGTCCCGGCCACGCCTTTTAGCACAGCCTCCCAGTGGAGCAGGTCCTCCTCGTCGACGGGGCCGAGGTGCAGGAGGGCTTCGTTGGGTGACTTGGTGTAGTCTTTCAGCTCGCGCAGGAGGCGTTGCGTTGTGCTGGATGAGTGTGCGGATGACGACATGGTGAGTGGATTGGAATGTGCTGAATGAGAGACTGTGTGGTAGGCCGAAGGAAGAAAGAGAAGAATGCACACGGTATTATGATATGAGCTGGATAGAGAATGAATAATGCGACCGCGCTGGCTGTCGCGCCGGAGGGGGTGAAGGAGGTACAAGAGGTGAAGAGAGGAAGAAGAAGAGCCGAGTCTGGAAGCGCCGAGGTTGTTGGACTGGCCTGGCTGTTTCCCCCAGACAAACCAAATCTCCACCCAGATTCATCATCCACCCCATGTGAAATCTACACCAATCCCTTTTCCATTCACTCTCGTCATCATGCGCACTTCGCGTGCCTCCAAAGAAACAGCCAAAGTGCTACAGGCTCTGTCATCTCCTCCGCACCGCCAGACGCGCACTTCCTCGCTCAACGCCAGCGGGCTGAAAACGTTCGCGTACAACGCCAATCCGCCAGTCAACTCCCATCCCGCTGTGAAAAGTGAGGATGAGTCCTCTCTCTCCTCTGCGAATACAACAGACATCGAGGATTTGCTCGAACCGCCGTCGAAACGTCGAAAGAACAACACGGCCCAGTCGACCGCTATTCGCAAGCCCCGTTCAACACCCTCCAAGACTGCCGTGAAGCCGGAATCCGATGATAACCACCCTCCAGCACATTCGCGACGACTCCCGGCGCGAAAACAACGCGCCGCGGATGGCTCAGTTACTGTTGAACCGCCGTCGAATTGGGAAACCATGTACAATCTCGTGAAACAAATGCGAGAGGAGAACCCCACTGCTCCGGTGGACACGATGGGTTGTGCAGAGCTCTACTGGCGCGCATCCTCGCCGCGAGATCGCCGGTTCCAGACTCTTGTGGCGTTGATGCTCTCGTCTCAGACCAAGGACACCGTGACGGCTGTGGCCATGCAGCGACTGCATACCGAGCTGGGTGATGCACCAGCAGATGATACAGATGTCAAAGCAGAAGAAGATCATCTTTCCGAATTCACCAAGATCAAGACCGAAGAAGACGAAGGCGACAAGAAGCTCCCCGCACCAAAAGACAGCACGCTCAACCTCGAGAACATCCTCGCCGTCTCGCCTACCCGCCTCAACGAACTCATCCGCACGGTCGGCTTCCACAACAACAAAACAAAATATATCAAATCCGCTGCCCTCATCCTCCGCGATGAACACAACTCCGACATTCCGTCCACCCCCGAAGCCCTAATGGCACTCCCCGGCGTAGGCCCCAAGATGGCCTACCTGTGCATGAGCGCCGCATGGGGTCGGCACGAGGGCATCGGCGTGGATGTGCACGTCCACCGCATCACCAATCTCTGGGGCTGGCATAAGACCAAGACGCCTGAGGAGACCCGCAAAGCATTGCAGTCGTGGCTTCCGCGCGATAAATGGCATGAGATTAACAAGGTGCTTGTTGGTCTAGGGCAGACGGTTTGTTTGCCCGTTAAGAAGCGTTGCGGGGATTGTTGTCTTGCTGGTACGAAGCTGTGTAAGAGCGAGATCAAGGGATTGCCCAGAACTGGGATTGTTGTTAAGAAAGACAGTCCGGGGGGAGGAGCCGAAGGTGAAGGTTGAGATGTCATGATCGTGTCTTATATAGGAAAGGGCCAGCTATAACTCAGTTGTAGTATATTCTATCACCGATCCAGGGATCCAGGGCGTAACCATCTAATTGTTCAACTATTCTCCTCGATAGACAGTATAGTTGACGATGACTAACTCGACCCAAGCTCCCCACTTAAGCTCCGACGATAAACATCATCTTCTCTTTTCTTCCTCAGTTCAGCCACCATGGCCTTGCATATAGACCACAAAGACCAATTCCCAATATCTGTCTGGGCCGAAAAGGAACTCTACCTCCTCGACAAAGAACAAGAAGCAGAAGCCAACTCCTCCAAACTTGCCGGCACCGCCGCATCCGTCTCTCCGTCTACACGCCGCACCCTCCAAGCAGCCGGGTACGCCCTCACGGGGCTCGTGCTCTCACAATGCCGCACGGGAATGGGCGGGCGTGTCGTCGGCGAGTTCACGCCCGACCCCGCGATTTCGTCTGCAGGAACCGATGAGAAGCTACGGCTAGGATCGCATGGCATTCGCGTTGGAGATGTCGTTCGTGTGAATGCCGTTACGTCTGGGGCTGCTAAGAACAAAGATAAAGAGAAGAGTGGCGACGGGGCTAAGGATGGACCGGAGGGAGTCGTCACTCGTGTCTCGGACAAGGGCGTTTGGATTGCGTTTGGGCAGAAAGGGATGGGTCGCCCGAAGGACGAAGATGAAGCCATTGAGCAGCTGTGGGGTAAGAAGCTCTGGATGTATGTCTCACTTGTTGTCACGGCCAAAGATGTTCTCACTAATTCAGGTCGCAGCCTTAAACTCGCCAACGATGTCACGTATCGACGGTGAGATGATTTGATCCGAGCCCGTTCTACCACCCACTAACTCGCGCTAGGATGAAGCAGACGATGACGAAGCTCAGAGAGATGAAACAAGATGCATACACGAACTTCATGGAAATTGCGTTTGGGCACAGTTCTACATCACGGCCCGAGTACAACATGGACGAAGTCCAATTTGTTGACCCCTCGTTGAACGACTCGCAAAAGCACGCGATTTGCTTCGCGCTGGCTTCCAAGGACCTTGCCCTCATTCATGGCCCCCCTGGCACGGGTAAAACGCACACGCTCATCGAACTCATTTTGCAGTTGGTTCAGCGCAAGCAACGGGTGTTGGTCTGCGGCCCATCCAATATCTCGGTCGATAACATCGTCGAGCGGCTGGCTCCTACCAAAGTCCCTGTCGTGCGCATTGGTCATCCGGCGCGCTTGCTTCCCTCGGTTCTTGACCATTCGCTCGAAGTCCTGACGCAAACCTCCGATGCGGGAGGCATTGTCAAGGATGTTCGCAAGGAGATTGATGCGAAGCAGGCTAGTATTCGGAAGACGAGGACCGGCCGAGAAAGAAAGGCGATTTACAATGACCTCAAGTCATTGCGCCAGGAATTCCGCGAGCGGGAGTCCAAGTGTGTCCACGATCTGGTACGCGAGAGCAGTGTGGCTCTGGCTACACTCCACGGCGCCGGAGGATACCAGTTGAAGCAGCAGCAATTTGATGTGGTGATCATCGATGAAGCGAGCCAGGCATTGGAGGCCCAATGCTGGATTCCGCTGATATCTGCGAAGAAGGTCATCCTTGCTGGTGATCATTTACAACTGCCTCCGACGGTCAAATTTCAAGAGCCTGGCAAAGGCGCGAAAAAAAGCAATGCAAAGGAAACCAAAGACAGCGAGTCTGCTCCAAGGACTAATCCCGAGGACGATAAATGGACCAAAGATATCTCGCTGGAAACGACACTGTTCGATCGTCTACTGTCGATGCACGGCTCAAAAGTCAAGACCATGCTAACTACCCAGTATCGGATGCACGAGAAGATCATGAACTTCCCATCGGACCAACTCTACGAGTCGAAACTAATAGCCGCAGACGCAGTCAAGGCTCGTCTGCTCATCGACCTACCCTACGAAGTCGAGGATACCGACGACACACGGGAACCTCTTGTCTTTTGGGACACGCAGGGCGGCGATTTCCCCGAGAAGACCGAAACCGATGATATCGGCAAGAAAGAGGCTCTTCTGGGCGAGAGCAAAAGCAATGAGATGGAGGCGATGGTCGTGGCCCAGCATGTGGACAACCTAGTTGACGCGGGAGTCCGCCCCGAGGACATCGCCGTCATCACTCCGTACAACGGCCAGCTCGCGGTGCTGTCGCAAATGCTGCGAGAGAAATATCCCGGCCTGGAACTCGGCAGCGTTGATGGATTCCAGGGCCGGGAGAAGGAGGCTATTGTTGTTAGTCTGGTGCGCAGCAATGATGCGCATGAGGTCGGGTTCCTGCGCGACAAGCGGCGTCTCAATGGTAAGTCAGCTTTCTTCTCTGCGTGAGAGTGACCGCTGAGATATTGTCCGAAAGTGGCAATGACGCGACCCAAGCGCCATCTTTGTGTCTGCGGGGACTCGGAGACTCTCAGTCGGTGAGTAAAAACTCAATTTCCCCCTCTTATTCTTCTACAATCAGTCCCATGTTGATCAGGGTGTTTGTCCTACAGGAGCGGGGTGCAGTTCCTCAAGGACTGGATGGCCTTTTTGGATGAACACGCCGACCTGCGCTATCCTGACGCTGGGGATCTACTCCAATCAAGCGCGTAGCCAATCGAATGATGCAATCAATGTCCCGGGATAATTAATAATCATGGGATTAGTCCCATCTCTGGGACCGGTCGATCTCCGTTGGTGAGATCTGTAGGAACACACAGGTTTGCGATTCAAGTTTTGACTTTCCAGCCGCGCCGCACGGTCTCGCTCGCCCCAGGGTCCGCGCGCAGCATCAAGGTCCGGAGTTTATCGCGTGTCCGAGATAATGCAGGATTGCAGCACCAATGCCTAGACAGACACTCCCTTATCATGGAACCGAACCCAAGCTGGACCAGTCAGACAACGCACGCAGAAACGAAGCACAGCACCGCAGCTCAACCTAGTCCCGCCTAGCCTAGTTAGTCCCGCCCGCCAAGCAATGATCTACATTACGGCGGATGGGTCGGAGATGCTATACCAAAAGCAGCACGGCAGTGAGGGGTTGACAAGGGGCGACAGGAAGGACAGGAAGAGCATCCCGGTCAGTGATTCATATTCGTTGAGGTGTACCACTCGGTCGTCTCAGCTTGGAGCTTCGGCAGTAGGTGATTCGTCTGCGGGAGGCCGGTCTGTGCGAACGGGTAAACCATGTGGTGTTTCAGACTGGGGAAGAGGAATTCTTGTGGCTCGGATTGTAGAAATCATCTGCTTGGTAGAAGATTCACCATTAAATGCCTGCTCGCATAGTCATTTTCCTCGGCCGTTCACAACAGCTGGTCGTGGCCCGCTGTGTACTCGTGGACTAGGGCTAGGTCTACATGTCCTCCCCTGGCGACTACATACTACATGCACTTAGTTACACTCGACGACCATCATTATTATTTGCTCCGAATCCTGCTACACTCCACCCCTCTTCGGGAACCTCTCCAGAACTGGTCTCGGCATGACTTGATTGCGATCTGGTCTGGTCCCGTTTCGGTTGTAGCGTGAAGAAAGGGCCCAGCCGCGGTGTGGGGGGTTTGACCAAGTTAGTCTTGCAGCTTCCCCTTTTGCAACACCCACTTCCTTTCCTCTCTCTCTCTCTCTCTCTTCTGGTCTCTCGTTATCTTCTTCTCTCCTTGCATTTATTTCTCATCTCGTTGTTCTCACTTCTCTCTCTCTTCTTCTTTTTTCTTTTTCTTCTCTTCCCTTCTCCCGATCCCTCTTCTCTCGTCTTTCCATTCTCTCACTTCTTCTCCCCTTTCCCTGAAACTGTCTCGCAAACGCCGTTCCGCCGGCATATCTTCCGCGGTACTTGCAACTATGACCCTGATGATACCTGGCAATGTACAATCTCCTCTCGTTTGCCCCTGCTTGGTTTCCGCCCTGACTGACTGGTTCTCTCCCGTTTGATAGCTCCGTTCCATCGCCCTGCAACTCGTTTAAGGTCGTCCCGCGGTTCTCTTCCGAGATCCGCTGAGCGGGTCTGAATCATCTTGTTTGCTTGTTTTTTTCTCGACATTCACTCACTACAAATTCGTTTTTCGTTTTTCGTTTTTTCTGCGACGACTTTATACCCCCATGTTCTGCGACCGAAAAGAATTCCTTGTAATGATCACCACCGTGCTGTCTTTCTAATCCGTGCCGACTTTCTCCTCGCTGTGACCGTCGGCCCTGATATAAGTTATGTCGAGAAACGCCGATCCGCGGTTGATTGGAAGTCCCGGTAGCGATTCAGGGAGTCCACGACATTTATCCACATCCTCGCCTCCCGGCCAAGAACTCTCTTCGTCTGCGCCTGCGCCTTCGTCGTCTTTTTCGCCTGATACCAACAACTATGATACCGCCCTGCCGCCCATCAGCAATTTCACCCAATCTCCCATAGCGCACCGTCGGACAGGAAGCACCCTGAAGACCGTCATGCGCAAGATCTTCACTCGGAAAAGGCAGAGCCAGCCGGAGTGGCTGGAGGAAAGCCCCCATGAGGCTCATTATTCGGCGTTATCGCCTCGAAAGTCCGGGCCTGAGGCAGAGGGGAAGTCGTTTCTGGTTATTCCCACGCCCACGCCTCCCTCAGAGTCGAAACGCAGTAGTCCTCTTTCAGAGCAGAATCTGAATCTCGCGGAGCGTCATCTGTCTCCCACGACGGCCAGCCACAGCCCATTGGGATCCCCGGGCTTTCCTCCGCGCCGCCGGCGGGCTACACTACCCAGTGTGGTCTTCTCTGACGATGAATCTCGGTACGACGAGGTGGCTCCAAGTGCGGTTTCTGACCCGCAGGATGATTGCTCGTATATGCCGGACCCGTCGCGGCCACCGAGTATGCTGCACGCTCGGAGGCGATCAAGAAGTACAGAGGCCCTACGAAGACTTGCGAGCGACGATAGCACATCCACTCCGTTCCCCTCCAAGCCCCGGCACACCAGACAACCCAGTTCCAAGACGCCGAGGGGATCCAGCTCTGCTAGTGGCCAGTCTCGCAGACCGTCCACCGGAACAGCGGTGACCAGTGTCACTCGCGGATCTGCGGATCCATCGCTCCCCGACTCAGACCAGCACGCCGAGCAAATCAGCCTGCCCCCGAATGTCGGCAATCTAGTGCATACCATGCAGCAAGACGATAGCCTCACTCTGGAGCAGCGATTGACCACGCTTGAGGTCAAGTTAATCGACCTCGAATTCGCCATTGCCCGAATGCAATCCCACTCCATCGACAGTTCCACCAACAGCGCAGAGCGATCCTCAAGACAGAAACACGCCCCTCCTCCAGACCCGTTCTCCCCTTTCATGCGCAACAAACCATCCTTCCTAGGGTCCGAGGACCGTGACAACTCCCCCAGTCCCATGACAACCACCATGCCTGGCGGTGGTCGCCCACTAAGCACAGCAACCATCCGCCCAGAGACAATGCAGTCCCGAACCGTCCGCGCAGCAACATCAACGACCTCCCTCTCGGACTACAACGGCGTCTCAATCGAACAATACAGCGCCCTAATCACTCTCCTGCGCCGCGAGCAGACCGCCCGTCGGAACCTGGAAACCCAAGTCGCGGGTCTGCGCGACGATATCCGCCATGTGCAACGCGCGGCTCTGCACTCCATGGAGCTGGGCACTATGTACCCGATACATAGTGCCGAGTCCCAGGAGTTCTTGCGCTTTCGTCGCGCGCTCGATGACTCAGATACATCATCGCCTATCCATGCGTCGGATGAGAAACCCAATGGGGGCACTTTTGATAGTGACTCTGATTGGGACCGTTCGGATAGTTTGCAGCGCGATGATCCGTTTGGGTATCCCAAGTGGGAACGGGGCCAACGGGTTGTCACGGCTCCGATGATTTGATTTTGTTGTTCTCGAAGAACCCGGTGGATCGGATCAATCGGCTCTGGCGAGGGAATGCCCTTCGCTGAGGGAATTGAGGCTTTTGTTGCTTGTACAGCCTGCTTGCCAACTCCACCAACAAGGATTATGATTAATCCCTCATGAATGCGCACAGAATACGTTCTAGACTTCGCAAACGGTTCGAGCGTAACTCCCCGCCTAGCGACAGGATCGCACCCTTCCACTCCCATCACATACATACAATTTTCGCTTCTTTTTCTGCCCCATGGCGCTTTTGACATTTCGGCCCAAGGGCTGGCACAGCATGATATGTTTTTTTCCACGTACAGTATGCAGTCTGCCTACATGTGATACATGCATAAGCAATTCAGAGTTCGGTTTCTATGCCGTATGCGTTCCTATTGAGTTTCTATTCTTGTAATTGACAGGTACGCGGTAGATGGGTCACAAAAGCTTAGTACTGAATTCAGGGTCGGTTTGCCTATACACCATTGCTATTGACTACACAACCTAGTTTATTTGCACACTCATTCCATATAAATTAGTGCTAGCGTGGAGGTAGTGTATCTTTGTCTATGTACCTACGATCATACAATACAGAGGAAATACGACTTTGCGACTCTATGTCCTAATTTTCATAAAACCACTAATTTCTACTCTCATTTTTTCTACCAAAACTGAAAAGTCCAAGCATGGTATGAAAGTCACAAATAGAAGAGCCTCTTGTGATAACGTCCATAGTGAGTTTGTATAGGATTTGGAGGGGTGATGATGCCATATCACTGCCGGCGAGCTACGGGTTGGGATCGAAAGGAGAGGGGAGTATTTTGGTATCAAGTGACACCTCAATGACGCCTCGATACAACCAGAGGTACATAGGAAAGATACACTTTCTTTTGCGCTAGTACTATTTTGTATGGGATGGGTGGGCAAATAGACTCGGGGATGTGTAGCTAGTGGTAGGGACGTGCGGCTAAAAGGACGGACCTTGAAATAACATGTCCGCCCTCGAAAACTGTTACACAAAGTAACACATCGAAGTATAAAAAATGGAGTTGAGGTATCGAAAGTAAATAGATCCACACACGTAAAGCTTCACGTAACAGAAAGTCTGAAAAGGAGACAGCACAATTGTAAAAGTCACTACGTACGTACGGCCACCCTCAGACTGATGCAAACGCCATCACACAAGCGAAATATGAAAGCTTTTTTTATACATTAAGAGTAAATAGATCTACATACATGAAAGCTCAAGTAACCGACCCGCTGGAAAGGACACAGCAAAAGCGTAAATCACGCCGACTCGGAGGAGCCCGCACTGATCTTGGCACCGTCCTCCGTGACAGCAAGGGTGCTACTCACGGACTTGGTCCACTCGCGAACCAAGTGGCCCTTGAGAATGATACCGGCCATGATAAGATCCACGAAGACAATGAAGAAAGCGCCCATGCCCCACATCCAGCCCTCACCAACTGCAGCCTGCCACTGAGTCACAATGAAGACGGACATCAGACCGAAGGAGACTCGGTACGCATTCAGCGAAACCGATGCCTCGACGGGGTTATTCAGGAAACACTCGATGATATAGTTATAGCAGACGGGGAGGGCGAGCAGGGCACCGAACCAGATCAGGAACCCGCCCAGCGCCAGAACCATATAGTGGAGGTGATACTCCAGGCCGGCGCCGTAGATGCCCAGCCCGATGGGGAGGATGATGCTCGGCAGAATGGTGTTGGCCAGGCGGTACTCGGTGTGCCAGGTGCCGCCGCGGCGGCGGGCTAGCATGAGTGGGATCTTGTCGTTGAAGAAGTAGCCGTAGACCTGGGCGGCGATGATGCCGACCCAAGCGGTCATGGTGAAAAAGGCCATTTGCATCGAGGAGAAGCCGTAGCCGCCAGCTTCGACGGGGGGTTGGAGGTAGGTTGCTAGTGTGGAGGCTTGCATGATGGGAAGACCGAGAGCAATGAAAATGTATGTGCCCGTTAAAAGGGTGATAGGAGAGAATGTGATCTGGAAAGGAATGATTGCGCGGCGGATCTAGAACGGGGACTTTGGTTAGCGTTTGATTTTCCTTTATTGCATGGTGTTAAGAGTTATCTTACCATTTCCTTGCCCTTGCCGGAAGGCTGAGTTTTCGTGCCTGGTAGGAAGGTAGCCACGCGCTTTGCAAGCCAGCCCTTGGGGAGAGGAGCGCGGCTGGGCTTGGTGTCATCGCGAGAGTACGTGGTATCCTCAACGAAGAGGAAAACAGCGATGATGGCACCGCCGACGGGGCCGAGAGTCCACCAGAAGACATAACTCCAGGGCTTTGTCTCCGCAATGAAACCGCCGAGGGTGCCACCACCGACAACAGCAAAGATGATCAGGACCTCGAAGACGGCAAAGGCCTTGCCACGCTGGTGCAAAAAGAACATGTCTATGATATATCCACTGCCCAGAATGGCGGGAATACCACCGAAAAGACCGCAAATGAGACGCGAGATAGTGAACGGAATATAGTCATCTGGGCCGGTCATCTCGCCCGCCCAGATCTGGCAGGCAAAGATAGCCACCAGACTCCAAAGAACGACGGCGCTGCGACCGATGACCGCCACGAAGGGGATAAAAAAGAAGGGACCGGCAACCCAGCCTGCAAGGCCGGCTGCGACAGAGTTGAGCAGGGCCGCCTGTGTGCTGTGATATGCGGGGACTTGTTCCATAAAGGTGAGCTGGTTGGAATTGGGCGACATCTGGGCGGCAAAGCCAGCCAGGCAGATGGAGATGAACACCGACAGCTTCTTGAACATCGGCCAGTTCTGCAATCCCGTTAACATCACGATTTCTTGAGGAATGGCCTTTTTTTTCTTTCTTACCAATGGATCCTCCGGATCATCGCTTGGCTGAGGAACAAGGACAATGCCATCATCGTTCTTCTTCGAGGCCAGTGAGTCTGTCTCGGTCCTCACATCCGGCGAGGACACCTTCACATCTCTGTCTGTCGTGCTCATCGTGAATGCCAGCGCCTGGAGGCCACGTTAGAAGCAGGGGTATAATGAAAAGAAAAAGGAAAAGATCGGAGAAGAAAAAGAAAAGAAAAGCCAAAATAGAAAAGAAAAGTGGGTGTAGCGGTCGGAATGGAAATGGAATGAAATGCCGACAGGTTGTTGTCTAACTGCAAAACATCTCTCGCATGCGGTTTAGCAAGGCCCAATTAGTCCAGAGAAATGCAGCTGGGGGCTACGCAGATGTAACACTCAGCCCGAAGGCATGGTTTAATAAAGTCAGTGTTGGGGCGCCTGCAGACTATGATTCGCTCGCGATACCTTAGGTCCGATGCTAGTTTTAGACCCGTCGCGAACTAAAGTGTTAGCGAGCCTTGGGATGGAGGTCTCTGGATTGCCTTGGCAAATAAAGCCCAGGCGCCCTAGTAATCTATGGCGTTCCGTGGTTCCTGGCGGAGTATTTCTATTACACTTAGCACATCCCCCTCACTTGTTGTAGATCCATATTCGGAGAACAAGCCGAATGAATTCATGCTAGTTGTGAGAGATTTTAAATTGGAAAATGAACATGGATTAGTCTAACAACGCCATTGACCTTTTAACTCCCCGTCTTGACGACTAAGCGATAAGTTACAGTACAGTTTTCATACTTGCCTATGTTCCTCAACACGTGGACTGTGTGGCGAGGGTGCCCTTCGGGTCCCGTTGGTCGGAAGTGCTTCGAGGGGCCAATTGGTGGGTGTTGGAGGCTCGCCGTCCGATCCCTGCCCTTGGGTTGTAACCACTTCCACCGACATAGTCTTCATGATACCATGTTCGTCCGGAGCGGCCCATAGATGAGATTGGCTATCTCCGTCCGACTCCTTTCCTCGGTCGTCCATGGTATCCAACATACTATCGATCACTCCGTGGCGAGAGCTGCGGCCAGTGCGCATCGAATGGAGGGGTAAGGATTGCGAGATTTGGCGCGACTTGGATCGGGAGTATTCGGTCGACATGGAATTGTGGCCGATCAGCGGACGAACGGACGGCGCAGCTGCAGCAATGACGCCCAGCGTAGCTTCCAGTCTAGAACTGAATTAGTATTGAATTGCTGAGCAAGACTCGTGCGACCATCACTTACACTGCCCATTTGAAAAGATCCACAAGATCCCCTAGATGGATAGTTAGCGTTTGTTGATCCTGTAGGATTTATATCACATACAAGTCGGGTCGTGTGTTGCCGTCAAACTGGGAACAAGTGCGGTGCGAACGATGGCAAATGCGCCACTCCTGAAAAATTATTCGGTCAGTATTGTTCAGAGACTATTCTCAAAAGCCGGAGAACATACGCGAATCCCAATGCCATAATGGCGCAAATGCCAAACTTGACTCGGCGAGGGAGTTTGATATTCCAAAGGAACATAATCGGTAAGACCGAGAGAATGAAGTCGGTCGCGGCAGCGATTGCTAAAAGTATATCATCAGCTCCTAATACTTGGATCAAGAGACCAGAAGAAGCATACATCCTTGGGCAATTCCGGTACCATTGATCACAGAATCGGACCAGCAAGTCCCCTTAATGCCCTTGTTCCAGTTATACTCCACGGGTGTACATTGTGGGAAGATGATGGCAGCGTCAAGGGCACTGGTAATCGTATTAAATGCGATAAAGCACCAGAAGAAGATTTTCCACTTCTTGCTCGTGAGACTAAATGGTTCCTTTGGTTAGCCGGTGGTGGAGAGCGAGGCTCAGAAGAAAGAACTCACAAAAGTCGTTTCAAGAACAGGCTGATCGAGATCTTCAGGAAGATCGTCGAGAAGATCAAAAAGAACTCGGAGATGCGCAAAAGCTTCACGCAGTAGGCCGCTCGAACAGGATCGAGGGACAAGAAATGCCGCCCGAGGCCATATTTGGTTGATGCGACGACCAGGCCCATCACCACAATCGCACACAACTAGCGCGGGATTTCGGTCAGATACAGAATGGGAGGGGACTTGGGAGAGTGACACCCACCAGCGCAAGAACATTGAACACATCATCCCATCCAAACATTCGCATCACAAATCGGCGCACATAGAGTCGTAAGCCAGTGAGAATGAACGCCACTACCGTGGTGAGAATAGTCGGAACCAAGACATCAATGGCCCGAGAGTCATGGTTCTCGGCCAGAGGCGAAGCGGACACCATTGGAGTGGGTGAGGGCGACTATGCCGGTATATAGTGTTGTTGGGTTGTCGGGAGGACAGTTCTACATGTCTTCGCGAGAAGAATGCGAGGGCCAACGAAGGAACAAATGTGACCAAGGGATCTGCTGCACTCATATGGGTTTTCTCCAATTCAATGGACAGGGAACCGGGCAAACTGTAAAGCCTGATCTCAGATACATACGAGGATCGGTACCATACCGGCTTTTAGTGGATCCTTCTGCTCCTTCGCCCAGCTGGGGACCATGGATCATTACTGTATAATATTATCCACCCCTGAGATTCACCGATCGATCGAGAACTAGTCGATGCAGCACTAGTCTCTGTAACACACCGGGCAATGTTCCCATCAGCTGAAAAAGGGACGCACTACGCTGAGTAGCGTTGGCCCAGGCTTTTTCTAGCTTCTTCTCCGATTGGAGTGTCTCGGTTGAGCTCGCAATGTACACTCGGTGAAATGGCCGTGTTATTTTCTGTGCGCCGCCTCAACACAGCGGTTCTTTTCGTACTAACTTTTACCGAGCTGCAGGCCGGCCCGCCTTCCCTGCAGGGGTTCCTGGGCAGAGAGTAAGTTTTCGGGTGGCGGATGAGTTATCCAATGTTACGGCTATTCTTAGTTTGGGGCCTTCATCCATGGACTTCACCATGACAAATACGGCTCCGATGTCATGATCTACGTTTGCCAAAGAATATCGTCGGGGGATCCTCTGAGAACTCGACGATCTATCAACCTAGGGGCTGCTAGGGGGTGCCCAGCCACCCCACTCGAGGAGTGGGGTGAGGTGTCACTTTTGCATCTCTGTGCCTATACAGTAACTCCCAAACGAGGGGAAGAGTTACCTCCGGCTAAGAGTTCATGCATGGTCCGGGATCATCAAAGCCTATGTTGGTTAATCAAAAAATAATTTGCATTGTAAGAGGTAGATTTGATAAGTCCAAGGGGCACAATCCTTCTCGAAAGATGGGTGGCCAATCAGGATTTCTTATCGATAAAGTGGGCGTCGGCGCTATTGATGTCGATCGGTGCCGCACCCGTTGGGGACAAGCTCGACTCCTTGGATCGAAACTGGAGCCAATTAATCAATTTATGCGCATAGTGGCGCCTCGGTGCGCCTCGGTTGCCCCGTCTCGGCCCCCGTGGGTACCTATCCGCAAGCACTTACATAACTGTATGGTAGCGATTATCAAATGATCTGTTCAGATTAAACCAAACTGGGAAAATGCGTTTATTCTCCACCAGGTCTGTCTTTCCTTATTCCTCATCACTGCCACCCTGCCCACCCCCACCTTGTGTCACGGTCAACCATCAATCAAAATAATAATGGGCAGCGCATCATCCAACAAGGACTTCACCGTCACCATTGTTGGTGGCGGGATAGGTGGTCTAACTCTTGCGGCTGGTCTTCTCCGCCGCAATGTCCCTGTTCGAATCTTCGAGGCTGCCTCGGCATTCAAGGAGATTGGGCTAGGGCTTTCAATTGGCCCCGCGGCTCACCGTGCCATGCCGCTAATCGACCCCCAAATCCGAGAGATCTATGACTCGCTGGTCACCACGCATGCCGATAGCCCTGGCTATGAGAGCTATGCGCAAACGTGGTTTGAAGTTGTCTGGGCGAGTGGGGTCCACGAGGGGGATTTATTAATGAACCTCAAAGCTCTCCCGTCAGGGCAAACGACGCTCCGTCGCGCAAATTTCCTGGAAGCCCTGGTCAATTTGATCCCGCCGGAGATTGTACAGTTTGGCAAGCGGCTGGAGAAGCTGGAGGAGACGGCCGACGGCGTGAATCTGTATTTTGATGATGGCACTACAGCTGTCGCAGATGTCGTTGTCGGGTGCGATGGAATCAAGTCCAAAGTGAAAGAGTCCATGCTGCCCGAAGAGTCGAAAGACAAGCAGCCTCAATATAGCGGCATGTACGGCTACCGTGCTGTCTTCGACATGGATGAGATGGTGCAGGCTGTCGGCGATCAACGCGCCAGGGTATCTACCATGTACATCGGGGACGGTGCATATGGAATCTCGTATCCGATTATGCGGGCCCAAAAGGTTAATGTCGGACTATATATTCTCAACGACACATGGAACTGCGATACTTGGGTGCGACCGGCAAAGAAGGAGGACATGCTGCGAGATGCCAGTAAGATGGGCAGATACTGGAAATCGCTAGTCGAGGTATGACACCAATTTCCGGTTTTGGAAAAATGGCTAACGCAATTGCTTGTTTTAGCACATGCCCGATCCTTCCCAATGGGCCGTCTTTGAACACCCTGCCCTCTCGACATATTCACGATCTCGTGTGGCTATCCTGGGAGACGCCGCGCACGCCTCTACACCGCACCAAGGCGCTGGAGCTGGACAGGCGATTGAAGATGCGCTTGTACTGGCAGAACTTTTTGGTGATTCCAGCGTGAGGTCGGTCAGTGATGTCAAGGCGGCATTTAAAGCATACGACGACGTTAGACGGCCTCGAAGTCAACGCGTGGTCACTAGTAGCAAGGAGAATGCCTATCTTCTTTGCTTGTGCCTGGAGGGAGTTGGCGATGATGCGGAGAAACTGAAAGAAACATTCCAAAAGCGACTACGTTGGCTTTGGGACCTGGATGTGCAGGCTCATGCAGATGAAGCCAAACAGAAAATGGCCGAATATATGCGAGCATAATGTGTATCATGCTGTAGATCTACAGGAGTCCTCAAATGTATGTTGCATTTCCGAGCGTCTTGCCTCGGTTTATAGACTCATAGCGATATTATTCTATTTTAAATTTTGCTTTTGCCAGTACAAAGACCCATAGTATATCTCCAGTCTTTCTTGTCTATTGACACTCCCTACCTTGGTGAAATCCTACGATCCTTCTCCTGAAATATCTCAGCAGAGTTCAACACGGATTAGGCTTACGAAAGCTCTGCCAAGGTGTGGGGTAGGACAGCTATAACAAATGGTGATACCTCGGCTTTTCAATCACATTTAGGCATCCAAAGAATCTAAAAGCACGCGGATTACTCGGAATTCTCTCTTCATTTGCGTGACCCTAAAATTTACAAGGCCATGGCAGCAATCCAGATTTCTGATGAAGCTCTGAAGGGCATCCAAGATAAAGTGGTTCTGATCACGGGTATGTCAGCAATACTTTGCGAATAGGTTGATTTAACAAACTCGTTCCAGGAGGCTCTTCCGGTATTGGCAGGGCTACTGTAGAGCTATGTCTTCATCTCGGAGCCAAGGTGATCATTGGCGATGTCAACTCGCCACAGCCCGTGTTCCCCGAATCGGAAAACCTACGGTTCTTCAAGGTCGATGTCTCAGAATGGGAAAGCGTACGTAACTTATTTATTCAAGCTCACGCGTGCTTTAACCGGATCGATCATGTATTCGTCAACGCCGGGGTTGGTACCACGACGAACTTCTTGGATGAAACACTGGATGAGTCGGGCCAGTTGGCTGCTCCTGACATGCGGACCATGAATGTCAATCTCACGGGTGCTATATACACGCTCCGACTAGCTGTCCACTTCTTTAGAAAGGAAGAAAATACTGCAGCAGCGAAAAGCATCGTTCTCACGGCGTCGGCCACGTCTTTTCAGAACTTCAGTGCCGCCGACTATGCAACAGCCAAGCACGGTGTATTGGGCGTCCTGCGCGGCGTTGGGGGTCAGATTGATTCCAATATTCGGATGAATGCTGTCGCACCATCCTGGACAGCGACTGGGATGGTACCCACCGAGGCCATCCGGTCCATGGGGGTGCCAGTTCAGGAGCCGGAGGCAGTGGCTCGGAGCGTCGTGTTGCTCTTCGCTGATCAGCAAAGATACGGAGAGGTGATCTATAGCTGTGATGGCAAGTTCATAGAGGTCAACAAGGCAAAAGGTGGGCTCCTTGATAGTGCACAGAGCCTCCTTAAGGGCGTTCTCACTGAAGATCAAGTGGTGATAAATCTCAAAGCGGCGGCAGACGCTGCGAAAGCAGCAGTGGAAGCAGGACAGGCCTAAGACACATATAATTCTGGCCCTCACATCTTGCTACGTGGATAGCTATGGCAGAATGCACTCCTCTTCCGATTCGTCATCCGGAAACCTCTTTAGTATTGTTCGCCCATAAATGCTGCGCAGTAATTGACATGTAGCCAAATGCAAACATAATGTGTAATATCGTAATCAATACCTCCGTCTAGATGTTGCCCGGGGTCTTGGCCCACCCTCGGTTCTCCGCATTTTGATGTTTGATCCTGGTCATAAAGAAACCCCCCTCGGCATTTATGAAAGAACATAAAATCACCATCTTGCTATCAAGCTTACAGCGTCCAGCAAATCACCATGGCTGGCTTTCCGCTTCTGTACCCAGACAACCGTGAATTAACGGGAGGCGACCTGCTTGCCCAGTCACTCAAGCGTATAGGCGTGGAGGTTGCTTTTGGCCTTCATGGCGGCCATCTTGATTCTTTCTTTATGGGCTGCGAGTCCGTGGGTATCCGCCTCGTGGACACGAGGCATGAAACTGCCGCCGTCCAGGCCGCTGAGGGATACTCGCGAATTAGTAACAAGCTGGGAGTATGCTTTGTGACTGCTAACAGTGGGTGAGTGTTTTCCCATAAGTCTTTCAGGCAGCCATTTAACCAATAAATAGCTTTTCCAACGGACTGGCTGGTCTTGCTACAGCCTATGGTGATCGGAGTCCCATTCTCTGCATCACTTCCTCGCCACCAACTCGAGATACCGAGAACAATTCCCTGCAAGGCTCAATCGACCAAGTTGTAGCGGCACATCCAATAACAAAATTTGCACATCGGGTTACAACTCCAGAAGAGTGTCCAAGAATTCTGTCGCATGCCATTCGAGTCGCGCAATCGGGAGCTCCTGGTAGGTGACATCGTTGATCTAATATTTCCTCTATTAATCCAGCTTTGCTCTAGGCCCCGTCTTGCTTGACTTCCCAATTGATGTACTATTCTCTCCTATACAACCCAAACTCATATCGTGGGGATCAATTGCTTCGCCTCCCTCGTTTCCTCCCGGGCCTCATGCAGACGCAGTTAGTGCGGCTGCTCAACTGCTTGCTCGTTCCAAACGACCAGTGATTATCACTGGAACTGGCACCAAATCTCTTTCGGTATGGCCGCTTTCCTCTGAGTTCTTGTCTTTACTTATGAATTATAGGCACGGAAGAATCTGGTGCAGTTTGCTGAGACATGCAGCGTGCCCATCTTTAACACCTCCAAATTCGCACTGTTCACCGAGAACTCTCCCATGCTATCTCGAAGCACAGCCGGAGACCTGGCTAAACTGCCACTTCTTAATCTCCCTCGACCAGATCTTATTTTCCTTCTTGGTGCACGCACGGGCATGTTTCTCGGTGGCAGGGGTGGTGCTATCATTCCGCCTCAAGACTGTGCGTTGATTCAAGTGGACTGCGGCGGAGGAGAAATTGGCCGCACGCTACCAGTTGATCTAGGAATTGTTTCCGACGCGGATGCCTTTGTGACAGCGATGAAGCTGAAGGTCTCAACTGCCCATCAAAGTGCAGTTGACAAGCAATGGGTTCAAACCGTACTTGGTCTAGCGACTCTGGAACTTCCTTACGAAAAGGAGCCCGAGACTTTGGACTCTGGGCTTCTACATCCGTACCATGCAGTAAAGCACGTCTTCTCCGCTGTTGAGCCCGGAAGCATTGTGGTCCTGGACGGGGGCGAGGCAGGGGCATGGGCAGGCAATCTTGCCATGCACTGCCAGCCCAGCGCTATGATGACCGCAACAGGCTATCTAGGCTTTCTGGGCACTGGCTTTGGATACTCATTAGGTTGTGCCATTGCAGCCCCTGATCGAAAAATTGTCAACATCCAGGGAGACGGGTCTGCGGGTTTTCACTTGATGGAGCTCGACACATACAAAAGACTCAATCTCAACATCATGACCGTTATCGTCAACAACTCCAGCTGGGGTATGAGTTCCAATGGACAGGATATAGTCTATGGATCGAAGAACCCAGCAAGGCCCATTAGCTCACTGAGCCCTGGAACCGAGTACGATGTCGTTGCCCAGGGATTACAGAATGCCGCTGCAAAAGTCTCGCGTATATCTGATATTGAGAGCACTGTTACCAGCTTCCAAACTATGAACGGACCAAGCTGTATCAACCTCATTGTGGATCGAAAGCCGGTTCATCCTGTTACTACCGCGATGGTTGGAATGACGGAGGATCCTGATTTGATTGTGGTTCCATATTACGATAATATTCCTCGGATACGCTACAAGCTTTAGGATCGGTATCATAGCTACCCATAGTTACCCATAGCTTAGTTCTAATTACGCCGGAGGATGTCAATTGGAGAAGATCGGAGACTATTGAAAAGGACCCGAAGAAATTTGTAAACATGAGTTGGTTATAACCACTGAGAATTAGTTGAGCCAATGAGGATTTCATAAGGTGGCAGCTGAAGTAAAGTGTTGATCGCATTGGACATACCAAGAGCGATCTGTTTAGTGTACCCAGATACAATGGTTCGTTCGCTGCGTTCCAGATAGCTTCGGTGGTCTCTTGGACTGATCCTGTCCACCTATGAATATACTAGGCAGTTATACCATAGACACCAAGCAATTTTATCAGAACGACATTCCTTGAGACTCACACTTCACAATTTAAGAAACGGGTATTGGCATTAAGTACACATAAGGGACGCAGACAGATATCATCCAACAAAATGCAAAATCCTTAAATAAACCCATCGTGTGTACACTCCCAAAACAAAAACACACAAAGCGATAATCCCTGTACACAAACAAGACCATCCCGATCACTAGCTGCTGGAAGTTCCCGATGACAACCCAAGAGCCTTGCCAACATTCAACTCAACCGTCAACGTATTCGCCGCCAGCGCTGCAGTGAAATAAGGCAGATTCTGACCATTATAGACACTCGAGTTCCCCGTGATGTCGAAGGGGATGATCCCACTCGAGTACTTGTTACCGCCCTCCAGCAACTTGATGATTGCGGCGTCATCGACTTTCGAGGTCATGGGGATGGTATTGTTGCCTGGTTTCAGGACGAGGTTCTTCAGGTAGGACTGGCCCATTGGTTGACCGGCGACGGAGAGGTCGAGGGTTAGGTTGCCCTGTCATTTGAATGAGTATTGCTGCATATTATATAGAGAATATCCTCTAGGAACGGAAGACGAGGAGAGGAGAACATACCATTGCGAGAGTCAAGACAGACGGGTTGGGAATCAGCACCGTTCCATTCATATTAGTTCCATCAGGTTGCGTGCCCAAGATATTGAACTCGGTGACGTTGAAGCCCTTGAGCTTATTCAAACCTATATCAATTCATCAGTTCCATTCCATCCCATTCCACACTGCATAGCAGACAAACACAAAGACTCACCCTTCATAGTAACGGTCTTGTTATACGTAACCGTAGTCTTCGGCAAGGCACCCTCCTGCAAAACAGGCTTCCCATAAATATTCAGGTCAACCTCTTCATTCAACATAACCGCCTTCGCATAGTCGCCAAATGCAGACACATCGCTCAGGCTCAACGTCTGCGAGATGTCAACCACAGCCCCATCCTTAGATTGCACCGCTGGCACCTGCACAGAGGCGAAGGGGGCGGCCGCGCCGAGGAGGGAGACGCTAGCGCTGAAAGCGAAGATCTGTGGATGGAACGAGGCGTGCGAGCCGATTACTTGTGTTTGGGTGAGGTGGAATGAGTCGGGTGTGGGATCGCTGATAACCATGCTGGTGATGTTTAGGGTGGATTCATTGACGTCCGTCTGGGCGATTTTGGGGTAGCCGACGTAGACGCTGTGAGGATGTCAATACTTATCAATTATGAAGTGATGTTTGGGGTTCAACTTACACGGGCAATAGGACAACCAGCAGCACGATGATGATGACAATCAGATGCACCCACCACCACTTCTTGTAATGGGTTTTAGCTCGCGAACCAAAGCTGCGATTTGCTGGCGCGGACACCGCAGTAGCCTCAGCTGAGGCCTTGCTGGTGGACATGCTGTCAAGCTTTCTCTCGATTATGTCTCAAACCTGCCTGCAACGAGTGGCATTGTCAGCTTAGAGATATAAGCACAAAGGGGAAGAGCGGGCAGGTGAAACACGCTGTACTTACCTGTCCGACAGTAAACTGCAACAATAATAGCAAAAGTGAGAAGAGGAGTCCCGTCCGCCCTACTGCAAAGAAATGAAGGAACGAACAGTGAATTAAAACGAGCGACAGCAAAGAAGTAGAGACGAAATTGGGGGACGGAGTCAGGTCCAAGAAGGGCGAGGGTTGCATTTACTTTTTATAATAAAATAAACGCGGAGGATGGCGTTTTGGCCCGCATTATTTTTACTTTTTTAGTTCTTTTTTCTATGAGTAGCAGGCAGTGGCAGTCTGAGTGACAGGATCCTCCATCGACTGTTCCAGCTTAGGGCCAGCCAGTCGAGTCATGAATTCCCAGTTCCAGAGAAGAACCACTGTCACATGCCATGCAGAACCGCAAGGAAATAAGCGACAGGCTGGATATATTATTGTGGCTGGTTGTACCCTCCCAGCCAAAATGGAAAAGCTTGGGTGGGTGGGGGGGGAAGGAAGGGAGGGAGTACAAGTATGTAGTAATCCGGAGAGATGAACTAACTGAGTCTAGGTTAGGACCCTTTTTGGCTTCTGTGCGGGGGGGAACAAAAGAGAAGAAAATACGATAATCACTACCTACTAATAATAATCGACCCCCAAAGGCCGATCATCTGCACCGAAAAAGTATTTCGTGTTTCAGGTTAAGTAAGAAATCCTGCGATCCCCCCATCGTTCGATTGTCGATTGAGCCTGTCTGTCTGCGCAAGCGCGAGCACAAGCAAAAACACTCGGATCGGCCGAGGCACAGCATCCTCAGCGCTGAGCCAAAAATAATAAGCTGAATCTGACACTGCCAATCCTGAAAGATTCAACCACAGACTAGGCCGGATGCAGGTCTATGAGCAATAAATAATGACAACGGGGCGTGGTGGCCGTCCTACCTATCATTATTATCTGGCGGTTCTTGCCTGGTGCACCGTGCTGTGTAACCTTTGCTAACTCACTCGGTCAGTAGGAAGTCAGTCAAGGGATGGTCCGCAAGCTACTACGGTACATGCTGTTGCACCGGCCACTTAAGGCCTCCGTTGGCCGCCGAGCACCTAGTATCCTATTGGCCGAACCACGGTGAAACTAGTCTCAGAAAGAGGCGCTGGCCAAGGCCGGATACGATGAGACGACGATTCTGCGGATCCCGTGCCCAGCCGAACACCACTACAAACTAACCACTTTCACTCAGAAAAGGTTGTTGGAGCGGGAAAGGGGGGGAGAAACGGGTCTCCTGAAAAAGTGTACTCGTCCCGTGGAGACTAACCCAGGTTGGTGGCGCAGTCTCCCAAACGCCCATAGGCGTGGATCTAGTTCATCTTAGGCCAATTCTCCGGGGTTGAGACAAGACATGGGGTTTATTCCGGTCCGGCACTAGAGATAAGACAAGACAATTAAGGGTGAAATGTCCGGACCAGGTCAGAGAGACAATGTACACAGGAAGAGTACTTGATATATTAGATCGCGATCTTCGGCGCCTTTCTTTCTTCCTTGGTTCCATCCATCCTCCCATAATCGTCCGTCCTTTCGTTCATTACATCCAAGGGAAAATACACATTAGTTAGGAGACGGCAATATTATCACCACTAACATGTAGTAGAGGGGCAAAAGCACCAAAAAAATCAACATGAACACAAACAAACACAATGTCGAATTTCTGTCATGAGTTCATCGCGAAGAATAATCGTCGCGTGCATACGTCGCTTAGCGGCTAGGCGATGGCCGAAAAATTGATAAAGTAACAGGTAGGTGGGTTGACAAAAATGTCCAGAGGGAAAAAGGGAACAAGGAACAATGAGGTATTTTTAAAAGACCATGGGAAATAATGCGGGTCGGTCAATGGGACTGACTAACTGCCTCGCAAGGAGTGTAACAAGAAAATGTGAAATGAAGAGAATATGAAAAAGGGTATCCACGAAGAAAAAAAGCATTATGCCCGCGACGCAGACGGACGGGTGGGTGGTCGTCCAACATGCTCGAAAAGAAGCTGCCCAGGCGGCTTGGGGAAAAAAAAAGGATAAATGATGAGTGAAGAGGGAAAATATGCAAAGAAAGCAATAATGTCCTGGCTAGGGTATGGCCAGAAAGAAAGAAAAATTCGGCTCGGAACGCTCCAAACAAAGTCGCGGCATAGTTCCAACGAATGCTGATCGACGATGGGTGGGTTGATGAAGGAATTGAATACAGCTCAGGTCAAGTCTATGCCTCGGGCACGATTGACTTCTTCCGCTGGAAGATGCTGCGAGTCCGCGATTTACTCCGCGGTTTATTCTTCTCCTCGCTGGCGTGACGCCCACGAGAACGGGTGCTGGGCTCTTCGTCGCCCATATATTTGTCCTTGTAGATCCTGCAGACACATGGTTAGCTTCCGGACGGCATACAAGAAAGAGAGAATTAACATACCAGCTGTTTCCAACCATGTTCATACCCTTGGACTCGGCCTGCCGATAGTACCTCGCGGCCTTTTTCAGGTCTTTCTTGCACCCGACACCGTCTGCATAACAGAAGCCTGCCTCCGCCATGGCGTCAGCATCACCCCATTGCGAGGCAATCTCGAAGCATCGCAAAGCCAAAGCTTTGTCCTGCTCGATACCCCAGCCGTTCAGGTGGCTAACGCCCAATTCGTAAATACTCAATGCGAACTGCGCCCGGTACGCCTTCTGCAATTGCTTTGCGTAGCCCGCGCCCGGTGCATCGGGGTTTTCCAGCATCTCCAATCCCACCGAGTCCACCGCCTTGCGTAACCAGCGCACACCCTCAGTCTGGTTGGGGCGCATGCCCCATCCGTGACGGAGAGCAAGCGCATATAGTAGCATGCCCGTAGGGTGATTTTGCTTTGCGGCAATACGCAGGTGATACGTGGACTCGTTCAACGATCCGTTCTCGTGACATTCGATTCCTTTGGCGACATGGTCATCCGCCGAGAGGGCAGCAGCCGACGACTGAGTGGTGCGAGCGGTTTGAGGGCGCAGCGTGCTAGCCGAGCCTACTGACGAGGCGGTCTCATCCTTGTCGTTACTCGGTTGCGGTTGCGGGTTAGACATGGTAGTCTCCATGGAGGGACGGGGTGGATCCGCAGCCGCAGCCGCAGCCACAGCAGGAGCAGGAGCAGGCGCAGTTTGCTGAGGTACGATTCGTTGAGGCACGGTAGCGGGCATCTCGTGCATGGAGTGAGCCTTGGGCGACTCCGCAAATTGGGGGCGCGGGGAAGGAGACGGGGTGCGAGCCCGCATGGGCTCCTCGGAGTGTCGGGGAGGCGGCGAGTTCTCAAACAGTGGCTCCTGCCACTCGAAATGTGGTGTTTGCAGGCCCGCGAAGATCACCGAGTTTCTCGAGACCATTCGCCCACGGGGAAGCGAATACTTAGAATAGGTATACGAGGCCACGGCGGAATTGGGGTCCTGTTCCGCCAGCTGGTTTCTGACAATGTCTTCGGTAGCCAGAGGCACAGAGATCGGAGCCGGCTTGCTGGCACGGTGCATGTGATTTGCATGAGGTGCTGAAGTAGGCTCGGAAGTAAGCTGGCCAGACAAGCTGGTGCTGGACCGGCTCAGCGGCCGAGAGAAATTGAACGAGGGCCGTGGCAGGTGATTCGGGCCTGTGGTGGAGGTCTCCGAGCTCAGCGACGGTGAGCGAGGGTGCGGCCGTGCGGGGAAGGTTGACATGGGCGAATACGGCATCGACGCAGTGCTTCCAGAGGAAAGCTTTCGCGGTTTGGAGAAGGTTGATCCGGCATTGGAGCTGCTGTAGTCGTCATCAGAGCTCTCGTGCGTCACCCTGGCACTACTCGAGGGTCTTGAGTACGGCGACGCTGGGGGTGGTGCCAGTGTCCGTGGAATATGGAGTCTTGACTGTATTGAGTCCGTCGACGGCTGCCGCAACGGATACGCCATACCCACTGGAGCATCCTCCTGCCCTTCATTCAGCGACAGATCCTCTTCTGGAGATTCCGCGCGCGGCAAGACATAGTCATCCATGGCCCCATGAAGCATCGTCGTACGGGGCGTGGCATCGTTGTCGCGATAGCTATCACGGTAGCTATCGCGGTAGCTGGCATCGGTGTAGCTCGCCTCAGTGCCGGCGTGGGAGACCGAACTGAACCGGGGATGTTCCGACACGGGACGGTACTTGGGCTCCTCGAGCTCCGGCAGGCCCTTCTGGGTCGGCTGGCGAGTGAGGCCATCACTGCGAGAGGAATCATTCGACGAGGGCGATCGGAAGAAGCCCGGTCGGGGTTGGGACAGCGATCGCGCCACGCTGGAAGGTGGCAGTCGGCTCATGCGTCGGTCCTTTTGGCGGGACTCATCGAGCTGCTTGGCGAGGAATCGGCCCTGGGCGGCGAGCGCGTCGAGCGGGGACAGCGCTGGAGGGACGGCGCCGGCAAAATGTTCGACTCGAGGGGAAGGCATGCCGTTGCGCAAAGTATCGTGAGAGTTGGAGCGATAGTCGCTCATGTTCTCTCGCGACGCCATTCTGTCGGAGAGGCAGTGGAGTTCAGAGGGAAAGCGTCAGAGCATCGATTCATTTAACAATTATCGAACAAGAGGCGCAGTCGGCTAGATAAAAGTGGTCTGTTGATCAAAGACGTGGCAAGGGGGGCTGTCTGACGGGCGGGCGGGCGGGCGGGGAAATGTGGTGAAAGGAATGACAGCCCGAAAAGGCCAGGGTGGGAGACAACAAAGACAGTCACGGCATGGATGGTGGTGATGGGAAAAGAAAGATGACCGATGAAAGGGGAGAGAAAGAAAGAGAGTTGGAACCAGAAAGCGAGGTGGGCAGCCCTGACGATCGCAATGCAGCAGCAACAACACCGAGCTCCAGGTCAGTAGTTCACTCAGGCCACCACTCACTACGTCCGGCTCAGGGGCAGCCAAGCCCACCGCCTATTTGGACTGACGCCATCCAGTCCTAGCATTTGTTCTTCTAGAACGACCCCCTGTCCTCCCCACATTACACGGGCGAAGTGGGTTTTCACCGGCTATAGGATCCTCGATTTATTCTTCTTGTCTCTGCCATAGTAATACTACGTGGGCTATTATTCTTCTTGTAGTGTTATTATTAGGTATAATTCTGTCTTTCATAATAATAAACTGATTGAATGAAATTCTATAATTAAACCCAATACTATCTACTCGTGTGGAGCACGGATCATACAGCGGAGCCTAGCCCTAACGCGAGTACAATACTACCTCACCTGCACCGACGAACTTCAGGCCGAGAACAGCAGTCGTAGATGATCGTAAAAAGCTACCCAACCCTCTCTCCTTCCCTCCCCTCCACCACGCCTTCCCCAACCCCCGACAATGCGTCGCATCCCACCAGCGACCCTCTTCGGAGTCCCCTCCTACGACGACAACCAACACCGCTACGAAACCTCGTGGCTCCTCCCGCCGCCGATCCTCGCGTGTCTGCGCGGCCTGATCGCGCTGTACATCTTCACGACCATCCTCACGGTCTGGGCCTATGACGGCTCCCACGGTGACCGCAATGCCATCGGCCAGTCCTTCAGCTACTTCACCTGGCTGACGTTCTGGGGGCTGCAATTTTACTTTGTTTTCGCGACTCTCCACACGGCGCTCTATGCAAGGACGGGGCGCTCGGTGCTGCTGGATCGTTGGCCGAGGGCCTTGCGCGCACTGCATGCGCTGCTGTATGCGACCGTAACGACGTATCCGTTTCTAGTGACGATCGTGTATTGGGGTATCTTGTTCAAGCCGCCGTGGTTTGTGGAGGTTTTCGATGCTTGGTCGAATGTATGTCCTGATCGATCCACATTCTTTCTCATCTGTCAGGTCACTCGGTCTGTCTCAGCCCTAGGAAGACAGAGCCGCAGAATACTTAAATCTCCTCTGGAATGCATGCTAACTCCCTACCCAAAAAAAAGATCTCACAACACGGCCTCAACTCCCTTTACGCCCTACTCGAAATCATCCTCCCCGCCACGGCACCACACCCCTGGATCTTCATCCCCTTCCTAATCCTCATTCTACTCTTCTATCTCTGCGTCGCATACATCACGCACTCCACCGAGGGTTTCTACACGTACTCGTTCCTGGATCCCGGGTCCCACGGCCAGAAGAGCGGCACAGTGACGGGTTATTGCTTCGGGATTCTGGCGGCGATTCTGGTTATCTTCGTGCTCTCATGGTTGGCTATTCGGTTGCGCGTGAGGCTTACGCGTGACAGGATTAAGCGGTCGCGGTTTGATACCGGGCTAGATAGGAATAATCTTCATGTTGCTAGGGTGGAGCAGGTGTCGGATGGGGAGGAGGCTGAGAGCAAGATTCCTGTCTAAAGATAGGCGGTCATATATGGTATCAAAAATGAGGAATTCAGAATTTAATTCGTTAATAGCCAATTTGGCGAAGAGCGAGGAGAGTCCAAGTATTAGGATATATATCTTTTCTTTTTCCAAAAGAAGAGAAAAGAGTTTCCAGCACGGCCAGTTTCGATCACAATCAGACCCTATCCCAGCTGGTCTCGCTGCCACTGCCGCTCGGGCTATGCAAGGTCATACCATGCCCGCCGCGGTAACCCAGCATCAAACCCACCAGGCCGGCGGGCACCCAAGCGCCGATCACGCTGTATGATCTGGCTCCGCGGCCAACATAGATGACCGGACTCTTTCGCGATCCGAAGATCCCCCGAGAGGCCGGCTCCAGGGCATCCAGCACGGCGTGATGGAGATTCCGCGCTGGGGACCCGCGCACTGTGCTCGGTCCGACCGATGCGACGGGTCGTTGCTCGACGCTGGACAGGTACTGCGAGCCATACAAGGCGCGCTGCTGCGCGCTCCAGGCCAAGACCTCTGTTCCTGCGATCTGATTCTGCGGGTTGCGGTATGCAGGACCGAGATCGACATTGCCGAGACGCAGCTCGACGACGTCCACGTTGCCCTGCTCGAGGAGACGGAGTTCCCGGCGCAGGGATGCCGCGAAGCCGGAGATGGCCCGCGTCGTGGCGACTTCCGGTCCGGCGAAGGGCGCGGATAGAGAGGAGGAGATGGATGGGTAGGCGAAGATGATGGTACTGCTGTTGTTGCGGAGGGTTAGGAGGGGCAGGAATACTTGTGTGGTGAGAATGGGTGAGAGGAGACGAGTGTTGACCGTGTCGGCCCAGGAAGATGGTGGGATTGTCGCCACTGGTCCAGCGGAATAGTTGGGCGACGGGATGATGATCAAGCCGCTCAGTTGGCAGGTATGCGGCGGCACACCAGGCAATGGGGATTGGGGCTGTGTGAGCAAGGAGTGAATCTCATGCAGCGAGGGATGGATTTCTGATGACGACGAGGATGTCTGCTCATACATTAGCTTCTAGACCTGCTGTGCAGCAGGACCCTCCACTTACGGTCGTAAGATCTAGCCAAAGAGGTTTGATATCGGTTCGGTGCTCAGTCTGCACGATATGCTCTTCCTCCGCCGATAACACCGTCACATACACAATATACCCTCGGCGTTCGAGATCGACAGCAATAGCTCGAGTCATGGGCTCATGCGGCGAGCCAGCAACGACTAAATGGGTTGCCAGTCAGCGCACAGCTATAAGAACCGAGGTCTTCTTCTCACAACATACCTACTATTTCCTTCCTCGCCCCATTCGCCGCCTTTCTAGCCTTCCTCCTCTTCCCATTTAGCTTCTTATTCCCATAGAACAAAACACACCCCGTTCCAACAAACGCGATAAGAGCAGCAGTCCACGCGCGGTTCCGAGCCATCCAGTTTTGGACTCGGTCGGTGAGACCCGGTGGCGGGGCGCGCTGGCATGAGCGAGCAGACGGGCGGATCGTCCGTGGCAGCCATGTCTGCTGCGCCAGGGTATCGCGCATCACCTGCGCGGCATGGTCGACCTGTCTGTCGATCGAGTCGGCGACTTGGTGCGAGTATCGCCTTACGTCATGCGGTATGGACGCGAGCTTTGGCAGATAGTTGTCAGCGAATGGTCAAGACTGTTTGTAAGGGAGAGTTTCTCACGTAATCGAAAAAGAACTGGTCATCGCTGGTCATCGCGGCGTGTTAGTTGAAGCGGGGAGGAGGATGGAATGGGGCAAAAGTTCGATAATGATGTCAGTCACGTGGTGTGATGCTCTATGGACTAGATCGACCAAGTAATAATGGTGACGGTCACTCTGCTAACAGCTCAGGATCCACACTGTTTGTCCGGTATCAAAAGGTGTCGTATTGGCGAAATGTTTCAAACGAAAGAGATGACTAGCAAGGTTGTTCAGCCAAGTTTGTTCGGAGAACGAGGGGTCCAACACGATCTGTGCAACCTCCTAGTAGCAAACGTGCATAGACACTGTACGTAGAAGGATACTTTTGGACCGGTTCAAGATTACCGGGCGCCTTGGTTACTTGCGAATGAAGACGCATAGTAGTCACTATATATATATCTTGACGGAGAGTACGTAGGTGCTCACAAGGAACACGCATCCATCCAGAAATTTAACAATGAATATTAGCATATGAGAATAGTTATTTGTCTTTTGAACTTCCCTATTCCTCTTCACCAATTCTAAGAAACCCAGTAGAAAGATAGACGCCCTGGTTGCCAGTTCCTTGAGCAGCACGTGACCAATAGACACCCGAGTTTCCAGGCCAGTAGCATCATCCGTTGATTATCAATGTCTGATATTCAATCAACACTTCCAAGGTTCCAGAAGAATCCCCCGACCCTCATTGCTGCAAGCTCCCATCCCCCTCATGTCTTTATGGGGGACTGGCTCGACCACACACTCTCATTTTGGAGAATGACGCCCCAACTCCGACAGTAGCGTCTGTCTATCACGGCATCTCTATTCCCCAGCCAGTCCACATCTGACCATCCATTTAAAAAACTCCTTTAAAAAAGAGGAAAATGCGGGAACTAGACGCCCTCATCTCCGAGTACCGGCATGAAAAGCAACGGCCGCGCGAATCGGAGGCCCTGCTGATGCTTCGCAAGATTGCCTCCCTGGTGAAGCCGATCATGCGACAACGCTCCTGGCGCGTCGGCGCACTCTGCGAGTTCTACCCGCGCCAGTCGAATCTGCTCGGATTGAATGTTAACACTGGGCAGAAGATCTGCCTGAGACTACGGTATGCCTCTGATCAGCGCCAGTTCCTGCCTCTGGAGCAGGTCGTGGATACCATGTTGCACGAGTGAGTAACTATACGTACCGAGCAAATCTGGTATACAGTTTGTTTGTCGCTGATGATGATCAATTAGACTTTGTCATATTGTCCACGGTCCCCATAATCGGGATTTTCACGCACTGTGGAACCAGCTCCGCGACGAGCACGAGGAGCTTGTTTTCAAGGGGTACACAGGCGAAGGCTTCCTCTCCGAAGGCAAGCGGCTCGGCGGAAACAGGATCCCGCTAGACGAAGCTCGACGACGCGCTCGTGCGTCTGCAGAGCAACGCCGCGTTCTATTCAAGAATTCGGGGCAGAGGCTTGGAGGCGCGCCGGTGCTGCGGGGCACGGATATGCGCAAGATCAGAGCGGATGCAGCGCAGCGGCGCGTCGAAGTAACACAGGGGTGTGCGTCTGGGACAGAGCGGAGCACGGAGCTTGCTGAGGAGGCTTCGAGGAATGGGTTCAGGACGAAGGCTGAAGAAGACGATGCAAATGAACAAGCTATTCTGCAGGCTTTTATTGAGTTGATTCAGGAAGAGGAGAAGGAGAAATATGGCGAGGGCTATGTCCCTCCGAGCCAGGAGAATCCGGCTGGTCCGCGCACGAGGTCTTCTCCTCATCCGCTGCCGGAAAGTGATTGCAGCACACCACCCGCTGCTGTACCGGCGGAGAGCCCCGAAGTCCTGGAACTCACGGCCGATAACAGCTCCTACGAAACACCGTGGACCTGTCCAACATGCACTCTACAAAACCCGTCTAATTTCCTGTGCTGTGACGCCTGTGCAGAGGAAAGACCAGCCCCATCCAACACAAAGGCTACCACTGGACAGGCTCCAACAACAACAGTGAATGTTCGCTCCGAAACACGAAATGCAAGCAAAAGACCATTGGAAGAAGAAGAGGACAAACCGAGGGATACATTTGCATTCAAGAACCGCAGCCGTGCCGTACATTCCCTTGCTTCCTTGGACCAGAATGTCAATAAACGGCCGCTGGGCTGGCTATGTGCATCATGTGGTGCTTTCATGGAGAGTCAGTGGTGGACATGCTCTTCTTGTGGGAAAATGAAGGAGTCTTCTTGACTGGCACATTGTTATGATTATCATGATGAAACGGAATGAATTTTATACAATACAAGGCCTACTTAAAAACATTACCTACCTAGGAATTCTACCTCTGGACATTATTCCTCAACATGCTCCAGCCCTGGAGGTTTCTTGTGGGCAAGGTAGTTAGATGGGGAGTTTTATAGTAAACTGGCACGTGACCCGAACATTTTCTTTTCTCGTTCTGCCAATTCTTCTTCCGTCTCCCACACATCTCTTCTCCAACATCTCTCGACTCACAACCACCAGCTCTAGTTGACACACACACAATGACCACAGCTAATAGTAACTAGGTACGTGACCAATTCCCCTTCTCCTATTTCCTTTCCCCTGCATCTCTCCGAAAAATCCAAGCCCCAAAACTCCAGCATGATGAGATCTTTTCAAGAACCGGTTTATTTAGGAAGAGCCGGAAGAGGTATGGCAGATTGGGTTTCTCCTTTATAAAGGGCTGCTCGTTTGTCGTCGATGCTTATAATGGTTCTGCTGAATGGAGTTTTGGGACTTTTCCATCCCCCCTTCCCACTGGGGGCGATTGAAGCGATTGTGGAGAAGATGATGGGCACACGCGTTATGAGCTGTTGATCTGATGGCTAATTTTGCTCTGTGCTTAGGCTTTCCGTCGGATTTTCGGTGAATAGTATTATTGGGATTGTGGGTTGGATAGATTAGAGCGTGTTGACTTGGCCGGATATCGTGACATGTAGTGGTGATAGACATTCTACTCGGTTGATAATAGGGAAATGAACTTTCTTGATTATAATACATTCCTTGCTGTTTTCAACTCCCAAGGATATCGAACTTTTTATGATCCAAATGAAAAAAACGCCAATCCACAATGCTCATACATAACCCAGCTCAGGCCACACTGACAAACTGGCGTTTCTTGCCAGACCCCTTCTGTACCTGCTGCTCTTCCCAAGTATCCTCATCAACGTAGTCCTTGCTGCTCTGCTCACGGATCTGAAGACCAATAAACTGCAGGGCGGACATATTAAAGCCCATTTCATCCTTCTGCCTTGCCAGAACCCTCCGCAGGGTCTTCCGGATATCGTCGAGCATGGGCCGCATCATCTTACTGGAGACGATCTGGCGGTGGTGGGTCTTCAGCATGAAAAAGAGCACGCGGCAGGTTAGCGCGATGTTCCATTCACGCTCAGCCCAGATGTTGAGGAAGGTGAAGAGGGCGGCTAGTTTGGAGAAGGGCAGCACTAGGAGCGCATCCTGCAATGCTGCCGCTGGGATTTTCTGGACCACGTTCAGAACGTGTTGCTCGGCGGAGACGTTGCCTAGCGCTAGGTAGAGCGGGTTGCGGTCGGGGGGTGCGGCTGCGGCGTTGGGATTAGCGGCTTTGATCTGGCGCCATTCACGCATGGCCGCGAGATCCTCGATGCCGATGTCCAGCGCTTCCATGATCTTTTCTCCGGCCATGAGTGTGCCAGTCGTCTGTTTGCCCGCATCCACTGCTTCAGCTTTCTCACCATCTTCGCCCTCTTCGTCCTGTTCCAGAGACGCCGTGAGGGTGGCATCGTACGCCTCTTCCTCTTCTTTCTCGCGCTCTTCCTCCAGGAAGAGCGGCTCATCAGTCTGTTGCCAGATGCGGATACTCTTGTCGTGGCTGGCACTGACGATGAATTCGCCAGAATGGCTCATGGCGAGCGCCCAGATCTCTCCAAAGTGTCCGGTCAGCCGCTGGATCTGCTCAAACTTGTCCCCGTCCCAGTACTTGATGACTCGGTCCTTGCTGGCACTGAAGAAGTTGTGTCCGTTCCCTTCTTTATTATTAGGAACAAACGCCACTGCCATGATGCTGTCCTCGTGCGCCAGAAGGGCCTTGTGGCAGTCTCCGAAGTCCAGTCCCCATAGACGGACCATCTTATCCGCGGAACAGGTGACAATCAACTTGCTGTCATAAGAGATGTCCATGCTCAGGACGGGAAGCTTGTGGCCGTAGAGATTGAGGAACAATTTTAACGAGTCCGTGAAGAACACCTTGACCGTGTTGTCCAGCAATGAAACAGCAAGCAGTCGCGCATCCGGTGAGAAACGAAGGCTGAGAATATCATCGGAGACCTTCAAGGTTCTTGTGTGCACTAGCTTCAGGCGTGGTGTTGTGCGTTTGGTACCGGGGATTTCTTCTTGGACGACCTGGAATTCCCAGAACTTGGCGGTCTTGTCCGCACTTCCGCTGACCATCGACTTGCCATCGGGATGGACATGGAGTGACCAGACAGGGCCGTCGTGGGCCTTGATGGTGTCCAGCAGGGTGGAGGATGCAATGTCGAACACCTCGAGCTCTCCGTTCTTATTTCCAACGACCACAATCTTGTCACCCGGCAGAAAGGCCGAGCAGAGAGAATAGCCGCATTCCAACGTCCGTAGACAGCTCTCAGTGCGAACATTCCAGATTTTGAGACCGCCATTTGATGCAGACGCAAGCATTCGGTCGTCGGAGCTCAATGCGATGGAGCGAATGTCTGTTCGGTGGCCGGGGATATCCACGGCCAGATTGCGATTGTAGTCCAGGTCGTCACTGTCTTTGCTCTTCTTGTTCGCCGCGACTATACTGTACGACTCAAGCTGGTTGTTCGTCGTGGCAGCCAGAATGTTGAGCCCACTTGACTTGGTAGTCATCCAGTCAAAGGAACGAATCTTGCCCCCAGTCCGCACGATAACGTGGGAAACGAACACCTCCGTGACGGGCGCCGAAGAGGCATCTTCAGGTTTGTGGTCGGCCTTGGGCTCAGCTTCGGGCTGTTGAGCCTCCTTCTCCTTTCTCCTCTTCCGTTTCCGAGCTAGGCTCTTTTGCACCTCCGTTTGTGACCGAATGCGCCAGATCTCGACCGCTTTCTCAGACCCATGAAAGGCAACGTAGTCTGATCGAGGGTGGAATCGGATGCCGGTTGTGCGGTCCTTGCCGTGTCGGTAGAATGTCCCTCTGTCCGTCAGAATTCGGCGACCCTCTGCTCCGACTTTTTCCTTTGAGATTTCAATCAAGGCGCTCTCATCAATCGACCAGACCTTGAGCTCTCCGTCATTGCCAGCAGTGATACACCCACCCTGATCCGGCGAAAGACCCAGGCTCCAGCATTCGCCATTGTTTTGCGCCACATGTGTTTCGATACAGTGCTGTGACGCTAGATCCCAGACCTTAATAAGCGAGTCTTTGCCGGTGGTCAACAAGAAGCCCGAGTGGTCGCTCATCCCGGCGGCATTGAGAAGGTCTGGCGACGGAGATAGGAAATGAAGCGAAGTGATCTGGTCTGTATGCCCGCGCAATTTGAACAGCCCAACCTCCGCGATCAAGTCCCATAAGATAATATCCGTATCTCTCGCACCACTGGCGAGGCGCACGCCTGCGTTGTCAAAGGCCAGTTGGGTAACGGCGGACTTGTGTCCGTTAAAGGAGATGATGATTGAGCCGGTCCTCGAGTCCCAGATTCGAATGCTGCCATCTTCGTACCTGGAATGTGTCAGAAAATGGATGCTTGACCCCCGCTACAGAGGACTTACCCGACTGCGAAGATATCTTCATCGGTCTTGCTCTGCGTGACGACTGTCACTTGAGCCTTGCATGCTGCATCGCGCCATCTGCCGAGCAGCTCGCCCTTCTTGACATCCCAGCACAAGACTTGTTCCCCTGCGCCGACAATGGCTCGTCCGGCACCGGTCTGGCGTGTGGCCCCGGCAGCGGTCTGCTCGTCCTTGGCCCAAATGGCATTGGAAGAAGCCGAAGCGACGAGCCCGAAGGTATTCGAGTGCTCGAATTTTCTGTATCGGATGAGTATGCGACCAGTCAAATCCCCAGCGAGGGTACTTACAGGTACGATTTCACCATCGTGGGCGCTGAGGAAAATTTTAAGGAAGAGCAAATAATGGATGGCTATCGATAGGCAAAAATTAATACGGGCGCCGAGAGCGACACCGCCCGCCGCCTTTCCCCACCGTCCAATGACGATGGCCTCTTTACCTCGACAACATTATCCCCTCGACTCAGTCCCTCGCAGCCATGCTTCTCCTGGACTACCAGAATGTGCTGATTCAGTCGCTCCTGACTGAGCGTTTCTCCGGGTACAATTGCTCCCTCTCTATCTCTCCCCGCTCCGCTTCGAGGGCCATCCCCCCTCATCATCATCAACAGGCAGCTAACTTACCCCCCACCGCAGAGCTCCCCCGGTCTCGATCGATCAAGTGGTGTCAGATTTTGACGGAGTGACGTTCCATCTTTCTACCCCAGAGTCCAAATCGAAGATCCTCATCTCTATCCACGTGAAGTGCTTCAAGGAGTTGGTCCAGTATGGCGCCCAGGAGGTGCTGGAGCGGGAATACGGCTCCTACATCGTCAACCCGGAGCCGGGCTACGACTTCTCCGTGCAGGTCGACCTCGACAATCTACCCGCCGAGCAGGAGGCCCGCGATGACCTGATCATGAAGATTGCTCTCTTGAAACGAAACGCCATGGCCGCTCCGTTCGAGCGCGCATTCGACGAGTTCGCCAAGCTGGCGGAGGAGGCGTCGCAGTATACATCCGAGTCGGCGCCACAGGGTCTGCAAGAGGGCGGCCAGGTTATGGCGATTCATTACCGGGAGGAGGAGGCCATCTACATCAAGGCCAACTCGGACCGGGTGACGGTCATCTTCAGCACGGTCTTCCGGGAGGAGACGGATCGGGTTTTCGGCAAGGTGTTCCTGCAGGTGTGTTGGAATTGGGTCTTTTCGTGGTGCACTGTTGATTGACCATGCCTAGGAATTCGTCGACGCCCGACGACGGGTCTTGTCGCTCCAGAATGCCCCGCAAGTGCTTTTCCGCAGTGACCCTCCACTGGAGCTCCAGGGAGTCCCGGGATTGACAAAGGCCGGCGAGGGCGCAATGAGCTATGTTACCTTTGGTGAGTTGAGCTGGAAGCCGGCTGCCATGCCCTACTGACGACGACCCCCAGTCCTTTTCCCGCGCCACTTGACTCCCCAGCGTCGCTACGAGAGCATCTCCCACATCCAGACTTTCCGCGATTACTTCCACTACCATATCAAGGCCTCCAAGGCATACATCCACACCCGCATGCGCAAGAGGACAGCGGACTTCCTCCAAGGTACGTTTCCCATTCTTTGTGTTGTTGGTGTCAGGTATTGATATATGACAGTGCTCAACCGAGCCCGGCCGGAGAACGAGGACCGTGAGCGCAAGACTGCCAGTGGGCGTACTTTCCGGGTGCAGAGCTAGAAGATGAGCGAGAATTTATGTGATTAGCAGAACTGAAATGCATTTTCTTATTGTTGGGTTGTTTGTCCCATGGCCGTGATTGGTGGCTGTAATGTGTTGTGTTGTATGCTATGCCTGCCTTCCTATTTGGGAGTCTCTTCTTCCAACTTCTCTTGCCCCCGTTCCTGCCTCCGGTCTGCAAACCATACTGGATTCACACGGAACTGATCCATCCACCCGACTGCACTCACCATGAACCACTCGCCTCCGCGCAAGATCCATCGCTGGCACCTTGCTACCGCCAAGCTTCATCTCAAACGAGGACATCGTCGCCCCAGCTCCAAGGCAGCAAGCGACGACTTACACAAAGTGGCTTCCGAAGTTGGCGACGGCCCCCTGGAGGATCAGAAGGATGGGTTCTATCGTTACTCGGAGTCTCTCCTCGAGGAAGAGGAAAAGTCGCTGGCTTTGGCCTTGCAGAAGACCCGATCCTCCCACGAGACAAACACCTCCAGCTCTGGCGACTACGTGGTGAGTCCATACACCCGTTTCCCCTACCTTTTCTAGATTAATGACAAGCTGCTGCATGGCCAGATGGCTCTTAGCCAACGCCCCTCTCGCCCGTACCGGGTCAGCTCTGACGAATGGGTCATACCCTCGACTCCCTCGACCTCGCCGCGTGTGCTGTCCCTGGACGACCTGAGTGACGTGCAGCTCTCAATTCACTTTGGCAACGTTCTGAACATCTTGATCAAGCTGTATGCAATGGCAAAGCTTCTGCAGGTGGTGTTCCTGAGCTACGGCGTGGAGGTAAGTATACAACAACAACAACCAACCTTGTCGCAGCAAAGCTGACTAGCACTTCCATCCCAGCTGGACGTTTCCGAGAACAGCCTTATGTTCTGGATTGATCGCACCGAGGCAGAGATCCGTACCCAGTCACTGGCTCTCTTGATCCATACCACCGAGAATCTGTACTACTCCCTGTACGCGCGGGTTGTGCTGGAGATGGCCAACATCGAGCTCTGCTCGTGCTTCAACATCGATGTGCGTCCCAGACACATTCGCCAGCAGTTCATCTTGCCCGATGCCGATCATCTATATCGCATTTTCTTGGTCTGCAAAGACGCCCTCGACGGCGATGCCATCTGCGAGGCCCTCCAGCAAGGGGTGGTCATGCAGCATCAGGAGGATTACATCAATCACGTCACCGCGAAGGAAGCCGCCAAGGGGTTTGCGACCGATGATCTGCTGGGATATCGTCGCTATGCGCTCAGCATTGTCTCGGAGCGCTCGTCGGACTTTTGCAAGAAGTGGGAATTCCTCACGCCGTTCTTCTGCGACACCCCTCCGGAGATCATCACGATCCTGTCGGAGAAGTATCTCACCGCGATCCCGAAGCGCATGCCCGACGTGGATCGGTCGTACCATGACCTGCCTTTCACCGATCCGAAGACCATCGACCCCGTGGCGTGGGAGAAGGAGATTATCCAAAATCACCGTCTGGCGACCCTGGCCAAGCTCGAGGGTAAGTCGATCGGAGACGAGCGTCTCGCCGACTCCCAGTTCAACCTCTTGCATCTGGCGCAGGAGCACAAATGCATTTGCTCGTCGGTCTGTTCGTGCGCGCACGATTGCACCATGGATGTCGAGCGCCCGTGCCCCTGCGCGGAGCGGCAGCTGCGCATGCTGCTGGCCAAGGGCCGTACAGGGCCCGGGTCTTCGAATTTCATCAATCGCATGAACGGCCTGGCGCGCAGCTGCTTCGAGGAACTGGCCATGACCCGGCGGGACGCGACGGATGAAAACATGATCATGAAGCTGGGCGTGGTGTTTGAGATGTTCGATCTGGAAGTCCACCGAGAGCGCACCGCCACTGCCCTCTCTGCATTTTTCTAAAGAGACGATTCAGCAGTCAAGGGCGTTTGTGGATGAGCAAGGGATACTGGGATTGAGAAATATGGGCATTACGACGGGAATGATGAATGTAGCATGAATAGAATGAATTGCATATGCTTCGGCGACACAGACCAGTGATAACCAGCTCCTTGATCGGCCTCCCGGTGAGTAAGTCAGTGGCCACTTGCTCACTGCGACAACATCATCCTTCCCCAGGGTTTGATTCAAGAAATGTCCAACCCATCCCCCCCTTGACGGGTCACCTCCAGGCATGTCGTGTATCACGCGACGCCGGTGGACGGGGGTTATCTCGAGGACTATTTTTGTGACCTACAGACGATCCTACCGGACAGCCAACGTGTGGCCCTCCTACGGCATCACCACCCCCGGCCCTGGACCAGACCACAACAAGACCAGTCCCTTCCGCTTCGAAACGGGCTATGCGCTATGTGCCAAACGACCGTCCAGACCCTTCCCCCCACCGTTCCTGTCTCCGCCGTCATCCTCTTTCTCCGATCCCCTAACTACCCACTCGCTCAGCCAGGATAAGAGATTATCCGTCGCGGGCGAGCGGATTCGCGGCTTGAACAACGGGGACGACGCCGTGCTGGTCGCGGAGAATTGTATTGCGGTTGATGATGGGGTTGGTGCTTGGGCGACGAGGCCGCGTGGTCATGCTGCGTGAGTTTCTACTTTCATTCTCTTTGATTCCGTGTGTGAGGTGGGATTGACTGACGCCTCCCTCCGCAGTCTCTGGTCCAGACTCCTCCTACACTTCTGGGCTCTCGAAATCGAGAAACTAAATGACTCTACCACACCAACACCCGACCCAATCTCGTACCTCCAGCGCGCCTACGAAGAAACCATCCGCGCAACGAGCTCGCCTACAGAGTGGTTCGGAACAACCACCTCTGCAACAGCCCTACTACACTGGACGTGCAGTCCTGAAGACGGTAACCCTCACCCATTACTGTACGTGACGAACCTGGGCGACTGCAAGATCCTCGTCATCCGGCCGAGCGAGGAGAAAGTCCTGTTCCGCACCGCGGAGCAGTGGCACTGGTTCGACTGCCCAATGCAGCTGGGCACGAATAGCATCGACACGCCGCGCAAAGACGCAGTTCTGTCCACGGTGCCGCTGCAGGAGGACGATCTTGTCCTCGCGCTGTCGGATGGCGTGATGGATAATCTGTGGGAACATGAGGTTCTCAGTATTATTCTGGAAAGCGCTGCGAAATGGGAGCAGGCGCGTGAGGACAAGGATAAAAAGGGGGCTGAGGGGTTGCAGCCGTCGGTTCTCTCAGATACCCGCTTGGTCTTTGTGGCGAGGGAATTGCTCAATGCGGCGTTGGAGGTTGCGCAGGATCCGTTCGCAGAGAGTCCGTATATGGAGAAAGCAGTGGAGGAGGGGTTGGCTATTGAAGGAGGTATGTTCTTCTTCTTTTCTTTTGGGGGGTCTAGGGATCTATACTGACGCATTCTGAGTAGGAAAAATGGATGATATCAGTGTCGTTGTGGCAGCGTGCAAAAAGCGAGCTGGATGACGCTGCTCTTTCCGCGAATATTGGCATCGACATACATACCAGGGGTTGAATGATCCTACACCTCATATCCACAGCCACCCGCTCCTGCCAGCCAGCGAGACGTGTTGAAGCCGGAATCCTTTGGAGGACCCGCGTCCCATCTCGGATGTGAATGCTACACCACAGACAGGCCTCTCCATCCACGGCGGCAGAGAAAGAACCGTAAAGAAAGGAATCTCTACTCACACGAGTCGGCATGAAGTATACGAAGGCATGAAGCCAGCTACCAAAAATATACCCCCTTTGTGAATAATAATTCCTAATCAAATTGTCTACTGAGCAAAGCAATCAAATAATAAATGGAGTTCTCCGGTCTAAGCAAGCAGGCAACTCCCATTCGCTAGTCTATATATTCCCCCTTCCTCTCCATCTTTCCTCTTCCTCATATATTTCCTCTCCTCCATATATCTACTTACTTACTCTGTCCTTCCACCTTCCACTTCTTGGATCACGGCCATGATCACCAGGAGGCAGATATCCGCGGCATCAGCCCTTGGATCCTCCAGTCTTATCGTTCACCTCGGACCTTGACCAGCCATAGTGCCCGATCCTTCACCATATAACCCCCATTCACCAAGGCCATGAGGACGTAATTTCTCTTACCTCGCGATCTCACTGGCCTCATATTCTACCTTGCTTGTGCTTCTCGCTATATCCCGAGGAGGTCCTGCAAGAGTGTCGTGGCCCTGAGCTGTTTCCGCTGCCGATGATCATTTCACTTCACTTGGCCCTACGATCGCTATTCGCGAGTATGTCTACCACAGCTTCCCCAAGCTGCTCTGTTGCTTGTTTACTAAAGAGATCACTGACATGAAGAATGTGAAGAGGATAACCATGACTGTAACGTGGTCGGAAAGTAAGAATATCAGGGATCTTTCTCTATGCTAAAAGCCAAGGCTCATTGTCGTTGTAGGATTTATACCTGCCTATACTGCGTCTACCCCGAGCCAGACCCAGCAGTGACGGAGCGGGGTGACGACCAATACATCGACGCCGCGACCTCGGCGCAGCCCATGGACCTCATCGCCATGTTGCGCCTTGAGTCGCCTGGCTTCGCTAATAGGATGGACGCCATTGGCGTGCTGCGCTGGACGGTGACGACTCTCCGAGCGAATATCGAGTCGTACCCAGAACATCGGCCGGATTTTCTCCGACGGCTTTTCTCACGAATCATATGTCCAAAGGGAGGTGGGAAGCAACTTATGCGGTCTTCCCTAAAGCGATGGAACACGTTCAGGTTATCGAGGTCAAGATCCACTGCGCAAAGACTAAGCGCTACCATGCCCCAACTATATCTGCAACCCCGAGACAGTACCTTTGGCACACGCACAAAGTTGTATTATACCGTTGGCGACAACCCACCGCGGACATCAGAGCACTCGAGGACCAAACGAAAGCCCCCACGCCGCCTGCGACACCTTGTCAAACTCCACCTTGATACCTTCACGCTGATGCCAACAGCCAGGCCTGGAACCAAAAGACAATATCACACGCCCCAGCGGCTTCGAAGATACCTATCTATACTGCCTCTGCTCAGTGACTAGGCTCTATCCATCCCAGGAGCTGTTTTTGCCAAACGGAAATGCTCCATCACGCAAAGGCAGTTTTGCAGTCGGATGGATCCCTGCAGGGTGATCTGGCGTCTGATGGTAAGTACTATGTTTTATTGGAGTTTATTTGTTCTGTAACTAACTAGTTCCAAGCCGTTCTGTGCCGATGCTCATGGTCGATTCCAACCATCCAACCACCGCCTATAAGGGACCACGCGACCAGGCCCCTGTGTACGTCCGGTCCGCCTGCTTGATCACTGAGTCTGGCAGGTGCTGCGTTGATTGACCTAGGAGCTAACAGCGCGGGGAGGATGTTGACAGTGGCTGTCAGCAAGCGGTTTCACTTTCTTTCATGTGACATATGATAAGTTTGCATAATTAAATTGAAAGACATATTTTACTACACATAGCAGACTATTTATCTCCTATTTGGTCCTATCTAGATAGCATCTTTCTTACGAAAGCGGTCCTCAAGGCGGTGTATCATAATGCCCGCAGTAAATCTGTAAGAAAAAAGTTTCGGGCAGGTCAACCTTCCGCCAACCAACAATTGACTCCGCCAGACATTCACAATGCGGGCCAAGCGTTCGAAGAAGTATCGTAAGCTGATGCATCAGTATGAGCTTACTTTCGGTTTCCGTGAGCCATACCAGGTGTTGGGTATGTTCGCGTCCTGCTCACGGTGCTGCATCCAGTGTACTGACCTTTCCTCCAGTGGATGCGAATTTCCTGCGAGCTGTCGACTCGTTCAAAATGGATCTAATCCCGGCTCTTGAAAGAACTCTCCAGGGCAAAGTGAAGCCATGTCAGTCTCCGCCGCACCAACCTACAATTACTGCAGGACACTGACCCATCCGCTCACAGTACTCACCAAATGTTCCCTCGCTGCGGTCATGGCCTCGCAGCCAATCAATCCGAAAACCAGCCAGCCCTATCGCCCACATCATCTCCCTCCGCCGACAACATTACCGCTCCGCCATTGCTCTCATAACGAGGATTCCTCGCCCATCCCCGAAGCAGACTGTCTTCTTTCACTCCTATCCCCCAGTCCAGATGCCAAGAAGAATAAGGAACATTACATTCTCGCGACAGCGGATCCGCCCATTCAAAAGAAGAGCCCCCAAAACGACTTCCAGCAGCGGAAACGGAAACGCGACGATGAACGTGAAGAACAGCAGGCCATGCGCCGTGCCCAGGCGTTGCGCTTTGGTGCGCGCTCGATCCCAGGCGTGCCCATTGTGTATGTCAAGCGGTCGGTTATGGTTCTCGAACCCATGAGCACGCCGTCTGATATGGTGAGAGAGGGCGTGGAGAAGAGCAAGTTCCGTGCTGGGTTGAATGAGAAATCCGCGCCGGTGAAGCGGAGGCAGGAAGGCGAGAGCAGTACGGGCATAGAGGACAAGAAGAAGCGCGGGCCCAAGAAGGTGAAGGCTCCTAATCCGCTGAGTATGAAGAAGCCGAAAAAGAGGAACGATGAGAAGAGCCCAGCATCCGCGCCAAAGCAGGCCGCTGATGCTCCACGAGAACCAGCTGATGTCTCGGAGAAACCAGACGGGGATAACTCGGCTGGACCTAAGCCCAAACGAAGACGCCGTCACAATAAGAGTGGTCCTCGCGAAGGCAACGAGGAAAGCGAGCAACCAAATGCTGGCGCCATGGAGGTGGACGCATAATTTACTTGTGCGCCGTCTTTGCGTCGAACCGTCTTCATCTTTCACGGCGTGGCGTTGGGATTGGGTATTAGTTCATACAAAAGTTAAACAAACCCCTACAAATGTACATTCAATCTCATTCATTTGAGAGAAGCGTAGGAGTTGAGAAACTTATGCGAGTAGAGTGGTATATTTGCACACAGAATATAAGATATATAAGACAGTGGGTGTTGTACATTTGCCGAAAAGGCATGCGATGATAGCACGAAGAAATCAGAGGGAAGATCATATGCACAGGTATATATCACACTGTCGGGACAGTATTTCTTCCAGCAGGCAAGTACAATGCCACCAATTCGATGGCCATCAACTCATGAGCGCATCTCTCCCTCCCCAAGAAAAGAGCCCGATCACTCCGAACGCCAATCCCAATAACAAAGAAATTGGTCCCCGTTTTATTGCTTGGAGGCAGCAGAACCCTCAGCACCAACCTGATTAGACCCGCCCTGTTCAACAGTCCTCTCGCGCGCCCAGACGTCTTCAATGCGCCGCCGGTTGCTCCTGGCCTCGTCTCGATTCCGCTTTGCCCGATCAGCCCGCTCTGCAGAAAGACACTTGTTCACCTCGCGCTTGATGTCATTGCAATTGCCCATTGCTTTGTGGAGGAATCCGCGGGCGTGGCATTCGTCCAGCGCGGTCATGATTTCTTCGCAGTCTGATGGGGGTGGCTGTCAGCACATCATACCGACGCAATAGATAAGAACCGGGAACCATACTGGCATTATAAGGAGTATGCAAATGGGAATGCATGATGGATATCCGTGTCAGCGAGTGTTGCAGTGCAATGAAGAAGAAAGAGGCAGATAGTAAAGATAAATCTGGGCGGTGAGTGGATCGCCCGGCAGAATCGAGCGGAAACGATTCGGCCAAAAAAAAAGTTGAAGATTTGGATGATCTTCCTCTCTCACTCCCAATCATGTCGTCCATGATCACCACAACGGCCTGGGTGCGGCGCGGTATCGCTGCCCAATTCCCCACAAAATATGAGATTGACGAGGAGGAAATGGGCCGGATATCCAAGCTTGCGCGTATGCAGCTGGAAGATGCACAAGAGGATCTGAGCGCTGCCCAGGAGGGCCAAGCGGAAGAAGACACTGCCATGGATGAGGACGACGATCAAAAGAATGGTGGTGTGTCAGTCGCAGGCCAGGATGCCACGGAGAAGGATAGTGGGAAACAGGCCACGAAAGAGTGAGTTGGACAGAACCCGAGGAGAAAAACTGCATACTGACGGGCATAAAAGTGACGACGATGTTCTCAAAGAATTCGACTTGGAGCACTATGACAGTGACGAGAAAGACGAGGAGGGGGAGAAGGTTACTATGTTCGGCAATGTCAAATCTCTGGCGTATCACCAGCCCAACGAGGCAGACCCGTACCTGGTCATCCCCGAGGAAGAAGACGACGAAGAGCGCGAGGAATTGCAAATCTTGCCTTCGGACAATTTGATTCTGGCTGGAAAGCTCGAGGATGAGGTAGCTCACCTCGAGGTCTACGTTTACGAGGACCAGGCGGACAACATGTACGTTCACCACGACATTATGCTGCCTGCCATTCCACTCTGCCTGGAGTGGCTTGATATTCCCGTTGGCAAGAACACGGAGGGGCGGGAACAAGGAAATTTTGTTGCCGTGGGCACAATGGAGCCCGACATTGAGATTTGGGATTTGGACGTGGTCGACAGCATGTACCCCAACGCGATTCTGGGGCAGGGCGGTCAGCCCGAGACCAAGAAGAAGTCGAAGAAGAAGAAGCCCAAGGCGAACGACGAATACCACATCGATTCCGTGCTGGGGCTGGCAGCCAACCGGCATCACCGCAACCTTTTGGCGTCGGCATCGGCAGACCGAACCGTGAAGCTCTGGGACCTTAACACCACCAGCTGCGCCAAGTCTTACTCGCATCACACCGACAAAGTGTGCTCGCTAGACTGGCACCCGAAGGAATCGACAGCTTTGCTCACTGGTAGTTACGACCGGACCGTCGTGGCGGCCGACATGCGTGCCCCCGATGCCCAGGCACGCTGGGGTGTCGACGCCGACGTTGAGACAGTGCGCTGGGACCCGCACGACCCCAACTACTTCTACGTCACCACCGATGGTGGCATGGTGTACCGCTATGATGTGCGCAATATCCCCGCTACCCCAGCTGAGTCCAAGCCGGTGTGGTCACTGCAGGCCCACGACTCCTCCGTCTCCTCCTTCGACATCAATAGCTCTATCCCCGGTTTCCTGGTGACCGGATCGACAGACAAGCAGGTTAAGCTGTGGAACGTTGAAGACAATAAGCCGAGCCTGGTTGTTTCACGCAAGTTCGACGTCGGCAAGGTTTTCTCAACTAGCTTTGCTCCTGATCCGGAGGTGAGCTTCCGCCTGGCTATCGCCGGCAGCAAGGGTGTTGTACAGATTTGGGACGCATCGACTAACGGCGCCGTGCGCCGCGCATTTGTCTCGCGGATGCCGGATCTGGCGGGCGAAGTGCCGGAGCGGACGATTGGGATTCCTGCGGATAACGGAGATTCGGATGACGACGATGATGCTGAGGATGGAGCGGGCCCTGACGTCCCTGGCGCCGATGGGTGGGAGTCGATGGATGAAGATTAAATGTCAGATACCCGAGGAGTCAAATCTTACACACAAAAATAGACCGCGCGTTGATATTGTCAGTATGCAAGTATAGTTTGCTCTTTTCGCTTCGTCCCATCCAGATCGCTATCTAAGCTCTATATCTATAAGCGATGCACGTAAAATAAAAAATTAAGAAGTCTCCCGCTCATGCACCAGACTCGTCAAATCCAGCAGACGATTCGAGTATCCCCATTCATTGTCATACCAGGCCATAATTTTGAAGAACTGCAGACCAGTCAACATCCACATCCCCTTGAAATAAGTAACATAAAAAACATACCTGAGGGTTAAGCTCGGCACACGCAGGCGCATCGATGATAGCACTATACGAGCTGCCGTTGTAATCGCTGCTGACGAGTTCCTCGTCAGTGACTTTAAGCACGCCGGCCATGTCCAGCTTCGCAGCTCGACGGAAGGCAGCTAGGATCTCCGAGAGAGATGTGGGTTGAGCGGTGCAGATCGTCAAATCGATCATGGAGACATTGGGTCTAGTTCAATCTGTTAGAAGGGCGGAAATAGATGCGTCCAGATTACCGTACGTGGGCACCCGGATCGACACGCCGGTCACTTTCCCCTTCAACTCGGGCAGAACGGCTGCGACGGCTTTGGCAGCGCCCGTACTTGTGGGAATGATGTTGTTGAAGACTCCGCGGCCTATTCCATATGAGTACCTATCAATATCAAGATGCAGTTTGTGGTCTCTTACCTAAACGCTTGTTCTTCTTGCTATACCCATCTAACACCTGTTGCGACCGCGTGGCAGCATGAACCGTCGTCAGAAAGCCCTGTGTGATCCCGAATGTCTCATGAAGAACTTTCAGGACGGGAGTAACGCAGTTCGTCGTGCAGCTAGCATTCGACACAACGCGGCAATCCTCGGTAGGAGTATACGAATCCGAGTTCACGCTATAGACAAAAGAAGGCGAATCTGAGCTCGGTGCAGAGATGAGAACGCGCTTCGCCTGGCCGTGTGTGATGTGATCCATTGCCAAATCCCGCTTGGTGAACTTGCCCGTGCATTCGAGGACATAGTCAACTTCCAGTGCGGCCCAGTTGAGCTTCTTCAGATCGCGCTCTGAGGTTAGGGCTATTTGGTTGCCGTTGATGCTGATGAGGTGGTCGGATAGAGCGTTGATGGAAGTTCTTTCGTCCAGATCGCCCATTGATGAGTCGTAGCGGATCAGGTAGATTAGGTCTTCGACTGTGTTGCAGGTGTGGTTGATCGCGACTACTTGGATATCGGGCCGGGCTAGCGCTGCCCGGAGGACATTGCGGCCTAGATGACGGAGATGTTACTGTATGTTCTATGCAGTTGCAAGACCAGCTTACCTATCCGACCGAAGCCATTGATACCGACTTTACAGGCTGTCGACTGTGTGTGGTTGACGGGCGCGTCGTGAATTGAGGGTGCCATGGTAGGTAGGATTGGGCCAAACAATAGGAGATTGAGATTGCATGAATTGTCTAAACAAGGTAAATACAATTGTTTTACATTTTCTCTAAGATATCTTTTCCCGGTCAGAGGACATCACTATCTATAAGTAAACCTCGCCCTCACCACTGCCGGGTCCTTCATCCCAACGACGAAGATCGGACAAAGTACCACGGATATTGCATCGGCTTGGAAAACCTCCGACTAAAGCCAGATATCCAATCGGAAGTACCTCAGTTGCGAGATTACTAGTATAGTTGTCGAGTCCAGACTGCCTTGGTCCTTGCCGTCATCGGATAACCGACACGACGGAGCAGCCCGCAGCCAATAACGATGCCGATTCTCGCCGAAACTCCCGCACCCACGATCCGGTTTAGCGGACCGGCAATGGATGTGGCACAGGGGACCCAGCCTGCTGGAGCGGATTTGTTTAGGATTGGACCCAATTGGGGAGAAACTGGCGGAAGTCGGAGGTTTCAATTGTTGAGGCTTCAGGTTACTTAGCATTGGGACATTATAGTTCGGCTCGTCGGATTTGGATTTCGGGAAACAGTTAGTACATACTAGCAAATCAAGTAGAGAAAACACGAATTGAGGTGAGGTTGACAAGAGGAACCATTAATTAAGAATGAATTGATATTTTCTGTGATGAGCATTGACAAGGGCAGGCCTTCAATGAAGATCTTGGTAGAGATGATCTCATACTCAACTTCGGACAATACCGGAAATTTTAGACAGTGTCAATTTATGCTAGATAATTAAAATGTCGGATTCCTACCGGCCATTCCTATCAAAAATGAAATCCCTAGACAAATTTCTCGAATAAAGGCCATCGTGTAGTTGGCTGACACCTTAGAGCAGCGGAAGAAATCGACCCCCACGCACCACACGCTTCCCCCGCATCGGTCTTTTGATCTGGCAAGAATAGTCCATGGGTGTTCAACATTCCGGTCTCGCCAATCTATAATGTCCTCAAAGCTCTGTTAAAGTCAATAGGTGCGGTACAACAACTGCTATCAAGACAGCGCGGGGAATTTCAAGTTTAAGTCAACATCCTACTTGCTCAACGCAAGTTTCTTAATCTCTACCACCACTGCATCAGTGACTTCCTTGGTAGTGGCGTTCCCACCCAAGTCACGGGTCAAGATTCCCTGCTCGCACACATTCTCGACACAATTCAGCAATTTCTTGGACGCATCTTCCTCTCCAAGCCAAGCAAGCATCTCCGCCGCTGTCCAGAAAGTAGCCACAGGGTTCGAGATGCCCATTCCAGTGATGTCAAATGCCGACCCGTGAATCGGTTCAAACATGCTAGGATACTGCCGCGTGGGATCCAGGTTGGAGGTAGGCGCAATCCCAATAGAGCCGGCCAGGGCAGCAGCAAGGTCAGACAAGATATCAGCATGCTGTAACAACAAGATAATATTAGCCAGACACCCACATCATGACAATATAGAGAGACCTACCAAGTTAGTAGCAACAATAGTATCCAAGCTCTCAGGACTCAGGACCATCCGCGTAGTCATAGCGTCCACCAACATTTTATCCACGGTCACGTCCGGAAACTCCTCAGCAACAGACTTGGCAACTTCATCCCACAGAACCATTCCATTGCGCTGGGCGTTGCTCTTAGTGACAACAGTCAACTGCTTCCGCGGTCTCTTCTGGGCCGTCTCAAAAGCGAATCGCATGATTCTCTCAACCCCATACCGGGAGAAAATAGCAGTCTCTGTTGCGACCTCCCATGGCTTTCCCTGGTGCGAACGCCCTCCTTGTCCAGCGTACTCCCCCTCACTGTTCTCCCTGATTATCACCCAGTCCAGATCATCGGTCTTGCACTTGCGCAGTGGAGACTCAGTGCCGCGGAAGACTCGCGTTGGACGCACGTTGGCGTACTGCTGTAGGGGCTGACAGATAGCTAGACGCAAGCCCCATAGAGAGATGTGGTCGGGGACATCTATGGTTGTTTCTTAGTCGGGCATACAGCGTAAGGAGTTCCTTTGCTTACCCGGTGCACCAACAGCACCGAAGAAAATGGCATCATGCTTCTTGAGCTCGTCCAGGCCACCGTCCGGGATATATTTACCGGTCTTCTTATACGTCTCAGAACTCCAGTCGTAGTGGGTGAAGTTCAATTTGAACGTTTGGAGGGTGTCGGTCAGTGCATTCAGAGCTGTGATACCAGCCTCGATAACCTCGGGACCGATACCATCGGCAGGAATGGAAGCTATGCTATAGGTATTTTGGGCTGGAAGAGTAGAAGAGGGTGACATTGTAGGTGCTTGGTAGGTTCAGGTGTTGCTTGAAGATAGTCCGAAAGAAAGGGTTAGCGGGGGGTTTAAAAGACTGTCGAGTGCGGCGGGATTAAGCCCGTGGCCTTTCATTTTCTAAGCTTTCCACCAATTAATCGCCGTGGGATACAAGAGACACTGGGCGATTTACAATGGTTGTGTAGATCTCGGGGGTTTCATACACCGGAAGACCCACTAGGAGAAAGACATATCCGATGTCCGGGGATGCTATGAGGTGTTCCGGATACTTGCGGGTACGGTATCCGGGTGGGTCAAGATCAGCCCTAGTTGAGTGTCAAGGATGGTATTCGGGCGAGAAATGAAGAATTGCATTAAAAGCGCAGCCATCCACAAATCTCGTCTATCGGCACTGTTTTGTCCCTGAGCTGCGTCTTTCCGCATTGATTGCCATAAACTTCGCCACCATGACAATTCCCCACCAGAATATCAACCAAGTTCTCACTTACATTCTACCCTACATTGAAAAACATACGAAATCGGAACCACCAGCTGGAAAAACCAAAGGCCCGTTTATCCTCGCCCTAACCGGTCTCCAAGGCAGCGGGAAATCCACCTGGACCTCCGCGCTCGTGCAAGCGCTGAACGAGAAGCACAAACTTAGGACAATCAATCTATCTCTCGACGACCTGTATCTCGACCACGAAGATCTGGTCCGATTGCGCGACGATAATGCCTCAAACAAACTTCTCAGGACGCGCGGCCAGCCCGGTACACACGACACGGCTCTCGCGGTTACTTTCTTTGATAGCTTAACGAAGACCTCTCAGGATACCCTGGTTCCGGTGTTTGATAAGAGCAAATTTAACGGCGAAGGTGCGAGAGCACCTAAACAGACATGGACCCGTATTACTGCTGGAGAGGTGGTGGATGTTGTCGTGTTCGAGGGCTGGTGTGTTGGTTTCCAACCCTTGGACGAGCCGACCATACAGAAAAAGTGGGAAGATGCCCAGAAAAGTGGCACGAAAACAGAGTATCCGATTGTCACACTGGGTGACCATAAACTGGAACATCTCGTTCAGGCCAACGACAGCTTGCGACACTACTGTGACTCGTTCATGGGGCCTCGGCATTTGGATTTCCTTGTTCATTTGGACACGAACGATCTGGTAAATGTTTACCAATGGAGGATCCAACAGGAACATGCCCTTCGTGAGATCAAGAATGAGGGTATGACAGATGAGCAGGTTGTGGATTTTGTGCGTGGGTATATGCCTGCGTATGAGCTGTATCTCGACCAGTTACGGGATGGGTTCTTTGGCTTGGATACGATGCCAAAGAAAGGGCAGTTGCGCGTTGTTCTTGATCGGGAACGAAGGGTTGTTGACACGGTTTTGTACCAATGATGTGTGAAATGCTATAGGCACAATGTCATAAGAAATTTTCGTGGATCATCCATGGCGCATCAGCGACACTCCAGAGATCAGACACAGAGAAGTCTGGCAAGGGCGTGGGGTCCTCGCCCATAGCCCAGGGGCAGAATGGCATCTTACTGTCGGCCGTGTTGCCAAAGACAAGGCCGGCAGAAGTATACCCGCTCAAAGAGAATCCGTGGTTTGGCAGGTCAGAAATGACCGAGCTTTCGCCAGCGTTTGTTTGCGAGTCGAGTGCGGCCGAGTTGAAAGGCTGCGAAGACCCCACTTCACGGGTTGATTGCGTTCCGCTAGGCAAATCGCCTTGATAACCACTGCTGCCTCCCCTGTTTTCTCGCAGAGCTGGTATGTCAAGGCGTTCGAGGGACTGATGATCGGAGTGATGATCCGACAAAGTGGCTGCACTTTTTGACTGCTTGGAAGAATCCATGCTGGTCAATAACGCAGATTCCATGCCTTTGATCGCCTCGATGCAAGTCTCCGGCCACCCACTTCCACGCAACGCCAGATTCTCAAAAATCCCAATCCCGATTTTCGCATACTTAAGTGCCAATGGGATGGGAAAGTCCCCTTCCCAAGAGGCATACATCAGAATAAGGCATGCCATCCACGTAGCCCAAGTAAACGATGGCCAGGACAGTGGAGCATCCGACCTTGTCTGTTCCTCTCTGGATGCAGAAGCCCTATATCTGTTCAATCCCAAGAGCAAAGACCGCGAGGACTCGATACACGTCTGCAATGCATTCTTGTATTCAGGGCTGGGTTTCTCAGCCGCGAGGAGCGGCCGATTCATGGAGATGATGGCTTCATTCCTTAGGACCATCAAGAGCGATTGATGGTATGGGTGTAATGAACGGGTATCTCCGTCATCTTCAACCGGGTACACATCATCGTAAACCTCATTCCACCATTGCGACATCTCGCCATTGACGCGCGCTGCCTCCAGGGAACTCGGGTGGCTGTGTAAGATAGACTTATTGCGCAGTTCCAGAACAAGGCCTCGGATTCTCGCGAATTTTGCAAGATGAGAAAGTAGCCGCAGTCGATGATCGCCATCCATTCCAGGTGTAGCTGTAGTATGTCTCTCCTCCCCGGGATAACAGACATCAATATCATCGTCTCTGATGGCGAGCGGGATCCCGAGCGCTTGGGAAAGGTATCGCTCGAGACAATATATGGACCAAAATAGTCGCTGTCGAATATCGGCCTCCTCGTGACCAAAGCATGAGAAGCGTTCTGGGCAGCGGTGCAGACCTAGATGGAACGCGGAACGAGTAATTGTGCCTCCTACCCGAGAGGCAATGTTGAGGCGTAGGAGTGACACGAGCACTAGCTGAATGGCGAATGCAGCTTGTAGTAAGGGCAGGGTTGTTGATTCTGAGAGAAGACTTTGTATGTCTTGCATCATATGCCGAACGGTGCGAAAGACTAGAGTTGAAGGAACGCGTCCTCGATGGGCGGTGCCGATCTGTCTGCTGTCTCCAAGGGAGATAGAGATCACGGAGCGAAGAATGATCATCTCGGTCTGCTCTAACGTTTCTATTCCGGATCGACTGGCTTTCTCCATGGACGTGAGGACCGTCGGTGCGTGCAAAAAGGGAAATATGGGATGCCAGTGTTCAAAGTAATTGTGAGTCCAGCGGGCAAGGTCATCAAACGCGTAAACGGAATTTCCTGAAAAATCCAACTCCTGATTCGACCATAGCTCATCGGCACCCACGCTTCGTAGCCGGTCATCTTCACCCGGCACCGAGCACCGATCACGGACCCGAGACCTATGCAGGTCCGCAGAACGCCGCGCAAAGGCATCGTATACATGTCGGATGAAGTGAATGCCGCTGGAGCTCCCAATAAAACTGGCCGAGCCGTCATATTGGGGTTCTCTCATGTAACCAATCTCCCGGGGCGATGGCTGCGTTGCGCCTGTCGTTGAGGCGCGTCTCTGGCGCTTGGCGCGGGGGCCATACTGCCATTCCGGTTCGTGTTCGTCAACTCTGGTACTGGCTGGGGAATGTGATACCATTATCACATCATTTCGCAGATATTATTCGTTCGTCCGGAAACAAGTCCTGTCGAGGTGAAGCCATTTCAGATCACGTGGTGTCCCGGAGGTTTCTTTGTCCGAAACCAAGTTTGCCTGTCAGCTCCCGTTCAATGAACAGGAAGATCTCACGAAGTCATTAAAAAGCGTGGTATACTCAGCAGAGTTTGTTGAAGACACAACTTGACGCGAGAGAATGGTGCGTCCGCGATCCAAGCGCCCCAGAACATCGGATGCCAGGACGTCGGGTACGAGTCAAACCAACCACCGGGCAATGGAACAAATACTGATCTATATTCAGTCTCCGAAGAGGAAGAATCAAGTCCTATCTCCTGCGAGAGTTGCAGACAGAAGAAATGCAAAGTATGTGTGTCTCCGGAGTTTTTCTCTCACTCGATACTAATTTCGGAACTAGTGTGACCGCAAGCTGTAGGGCCTCATAGAATGCAGCTTTGGTCATCATTTACTGATCGGTAATGAACAGGCCATCCTGCTCACAATGCACTGGAGATCCCTTAAAATGCACCTATCCAGAGAGTGGGAAGAGGTAAAACACCCCAAGCTATGCTCCAAAACATCAAGTTCACACTGTTGCAGGGGATTACCACTGGGCTATCTCAACCAACTCGAGCAGCGACTCGCCGAGACCGAGCAGGCATTATATGGAGCACTCGTGACACTGCGCTCAATGCAGCCCGTAACTATGATCCGCGCATGCCCCAAGCCCGAAACTGCACCAAAACAAAAGGCTGCTCGCGTGGAGGAGTGGACTCGCCTTCCACTTCGGGAATGGCCGGATCTGGAGCGTTGGTCGACGGTGATGTCGGAGCAATTTAGCATTGAACTGCCCGCTAGGGAGGTGTTATATCCCGCAGCCTCTGGTGGAGATGTTTATTCGGGTCCGATTACCCCAGGTCATCTCGGTGGGACCCGCAACTGGAGTCGTCTGGGAGGTCCCCGGTTGCACTCCGCTTCTTATCTGTCCACGGAGAGGGCCCTCGCAGAAGGCGGCCACGAAGAGCGACGACAACCTGCTCCCATGCTGGAAACTTGTCCCTCATCATCCGCCATACACGGCACTGTGGCTGGTTCCGCATCCATTGCTCGGTCGCCCTCCGAGATGGGCGAATGTGCCAGGTCACTTCCGGCTGCAAGGGATGGTGATCCAACCACAACGGAGACAGGACCGGCGCGCCAGCTGACACAGAGAAACCCTAACATATATTTCTGATACGTTTCTGACGCGAAGTGTGTTTGGTGTGTCCATAATAATAATGTAATCATATTCAATAGCTCTCCATGTCCCGCGTCCCGCTGCTTATCTGGGACGGCCGGACTCCGACCCAAGTGGGCCACTTGGGGACGGGGGATTGTGCGAGGAAAGTCTTTGCCGCGAGAGAGTGTTCCGGTCATCTCAAGCGACCCCGACTATAATGGCTATTATTGTCGTGTAACATGGTGCACAGCGGTCGCTGTTCACCGGGCCCTTTTCGTCCAGTGGCCATTCTCCAATCCTGCCCTCCACTCGGTCTAGTCCAGACCTTCCCCTTCTTCAAGAATTGGACAGGCAAAGCCCCACTCCGAACCCACCCACGCGGCCAGACCCATGGACAGACCAGCTGAACTGAAGAGAGACCAACGACCCAGACCGAAGTAACTCGCTGGTGCAAGTGATGGTATCGCATCGCACGGTCGCATCCGGCGCACTCGGCCTGCATCGTCATTGGCCGGTGAGCGCGCGCAGGGTGGCCGATCAGGTACCTCCAATTCCCCTGGCGACGGAGTTAGCGTCCGTTACTAACAGGGCGGGGACGAGCGTGGTTGGTGGCGAAAGGATATCCGTGCCCTTCGAGGCCATTTAGCGCCGGGAGGGCGTGTTCGGGTGTTTCAGTCCCAGGGGTTCTGGGTACCTGGATTGCATCACTTTTACCGCTGGCGTCGCATTCGAATTCTATACCACGAGGAGAGAGTTTCGACCACAGCGTCTCCCCTTGGGCCTTCTAGTGCCCCCCTCGGACAGTCCACCCTAGATTCATCGAGACTAGCAGAATCACTTTGCCCCCTGCCACCACCCTTGGGAAAAGGGTGGGAACCAGGAGGCAAAGCGGGGAAGGGTCTTCCCAGGGTTGTCGGGAGGAACCATTCAGAAGAGTAGCCAGTGTAGGTCGAGTGTAGAGTGAAGTTTTCTCGAGTGGTGGAGCGGGTGGAGCCCTCCTGGAGCCCAAACGGCTAAGCGCCCCGGTCGCTCCACGGTTTGATCTCTCCTTCTCCCACCACCCTTCGTTCTGCGTGGCTTTGCCCTTCATTCTCTCGCTCTTTCTTTTCTTTCTTGTCAGTCCTTGATGCGGTGATCTGTGATCCTGGACTCCTTTTTATTTCTTCACACCACCCCTTTCGCGCGTCCTGGCTGTCCGCTGCATTCCTTTGCTACACCCTGGACGGAAAAGCAATAAGGAGACCCTCGCCGTCCCATCTTTTGCAGAGCAAAACTACCTATCGACGGTCTCGACATTCATTTGTGGAAAGTGCCAGACACCCCAATTGACGTTTCGACCGAACACAACGCGCCCATCCGATCCCGAACATTCCTCGCCGGATCTTCCATTCCCTTCCCTTCTCCGCCTGTGATCGTCGGCCACGCGAGAGACCGATTTCGTCACAACCTGCGATAAATTTAGCAGTTCGTGAGAATCCCCCGATTCCGTCATGTCGAACATCACTCGCGCATTCACCAAGCGCACCAAGCGCCCGGAAGTGTCTGCACCCATGCCATATCGTGCTGAAGGGCATGTCCGCTTCAATTCGGGCACTATAAAGCGCGGCAACATCTCGGGCCCCGTGCAGCTTCTGTCGACTACGAATATGCTCGCCTATAACGCGCCCGACCTCAAATCTGCCGCCTCGTCGTCCTCGTCATCATTGCGATCGGACTCCGACGCGGCCATCTCTCCGCACAGCTACTCTTCCTCCATCACCACCCCAGATATGTCGCCACATGAGTCCTCCCCCGTGGAAGCGAACCCGTCTTACTTCCCCAAGCGCTCGGCGACGGTCACCAGTCACCCGCGCTCGTCGACGTCCTCCTCGTCCACCACCGAGGTCCCGGTGATCCCGAAGCGGGCGCTCTCGCACACGAAGCGGTCCCACCAGGATCTGGCCCACAAGCGATCCATCTCCCGCATGTCCCCTCCCCCTCCAGTGTGCCGACCGGCCACTCAGCTGGACGGATGTCGCAACAAACATCCGAGCTGCACCCATTCGGTAAGGAACTAGCGCAGGTGAACGAGGTTGCCGAGGAGTTTGGCAATCTCCGCGTGGTCGATGAAGAGGAAATGGTGCTCCACCGCAAGGGCCTCAAGAAATTCTCCGTGGACGATTATCTCTCGGAAGTCGAGGAACTCTACGGGAGTATCTTTGACGACCAATTGGGTCCCATCGGCACTGGAGCCTGGCTGTAGCGAACGAAACTCCCCGACTTGATTCATCATCTCGTCCTGGTTGACCCAGGCGTGTGATTTGACGACACGAGCTCGCGGACTTGTTTTTGGAAGAAGGACTGGATTTTCTTCCTTTCGCTCGGCCGCCACTGACGACCAACTTTTATTCCCTCTCTCACGATACCTGATTTGCTTTGGTGCACCATATACCATGGGAGGAGTCCCTTCTGTTCCCGCGTTTTACTATCATTGAATGTCTGCGGTTTTTTTTTGTGCGGCTGCCGGCGCGATTTTCGGTTTCAAGGATTTTTGATCCTGTGTGGTAGATTGGTCGGTGGTTTCTTTTGGATATCTCCTATCATGCCCTTGAGAGTTAGCGAAAAACAAACCATTGATTGACCATTCAACCGGACAATAATAATATAGAGACAAGAGATAACGATGACATAATCCATAGTAGTTTCCCAAAGTGGTTAGTGCGGTCAGGCGGACCCACAACTCGAGTGAGGGAAAAAATTCGACTTGTTTTGCTTTTTTGCTTCAACGTGCTCACTGGCTCTGTCTGCATCCGATTCATCGATCTCTGTCGAAGAAACTGGATGCCTGCCACGGATGCAGACAGATGCAGCTTCCTTTCTCATGCCTGCATCTTCCCCGAAGCACCACGATCGACCCAAAGTCTCTCCACGACCTGTCGTGTGCTCAAACCTGACCTGCCATCAGCTCGACTCCCGACGGCCCAGGTGTTCGAGTGCAAACTAGCAAATGTCAGCATCGATTCTTAGCATAGCCTTGCCTCTTCACCTCATCCATATCCCTCTCTGGTCATGGTTTCTCTATCCACGGCTTCTCGAAACCCGGCAGTAACGGCCACACCCGTACACCCCGAATCGAAAATGATAGCGGCTTCGTCGCCCGTGTCAATACTCAAAAAGTCCAAACCCGCACCTACGACGGCCGGCGTTAAACGCAAAATAAACGAAATGGACCTGACGCTGTCTCCTCCCTCCTCCGTGTTCTCCGATCCGGGCCTTGACGCCCCCTCGGCCAAGAAGCGGCCCCGCGTCCAGTTCAATAACGACGTCGAGATGCGGGAGATCGGTAATCAGGCAAATATGTTATCCCCCGGCACATCAGAAAAAAGCCTTGCGGTCGTCCGGGAAGAGGTGCGCCGGGCGATCCACCGCCATGTCTCTGCATCGGACAGCGAGGCATACGACCGGATCAAGGAGGTATTCTCGGCGGATCCGAAAAAGGCCCATGATGAGGTGATGGCATCGTACGACTTGCCGACGCATACCGCTCTGAAACATCACCTCCAAGGTCTGCTCTCGCATGTGGCCTCATTGGATCGGACCTGCAACGGCCTCGTGCAGGCAGTCCTCAACAGCGAATGGCTTGGTCGGGACGAGTCTTATGTCAAGCTGTACATCCGGTTTCTGGGGAATCTGGCTGCCGCTCAGGGTACCTATCTGGGTACCATGCTGAAGATGCTGGCCACTAACCTCGGCAGTGTTCCTCGCGGGACGGGCAAGCTCGTTGGGTACGCGCCCGTCCCGGGTTCCGAAATCTACAAGCGTGTCCATATGGCTCTGCGCCATGTGATGCAGCTTGTCCCCGCTGGCAGTGGCACCTTGTCCCCCATCTTGTCTCAGCAGTTTCCCTTCGAGACGGACTCGCCCAAGTCCCACATCTTCTACACGCAAAATCTCATTCAAGTCGTCTCCTACGCTCCTGAACTCCGGTCCGATATCCTCTCCCTGATCACTGAGAAGTTGGTCAAAATCGATGTTCAAATCCAGGTGGATATGGAAGACGTCGAGGATGAAGTCGGCGAAGATCTACTACTTGAAGTCTCGGCTGATGAGGAGGACGTGGACGAGGAGGAGGATGACCTTGATGACGATGCCTCTTACGAGTCGGCCGACGCTGAGACTGAGCGCGTGCAGGGGATCAAGGAAAATATCCAGAAAGTGGATGGCATGATCGACATCCTCTTCGAGTACTTCAACACCCCATTCACATCCGGCACTCTTGCTGAGAAGGAGAACACCCTCGACCTCCTCCTGAGCCACTTCCAAACCATCATCCTTCCCACCTATAAATCCCGCCACCCCCAATTCCTACTCTTCCACTTCTCTCAATGCTCTCCCGAACTGGTTGATCGCTTCGCCGCAACCTGCATAGGCCTGATCTTCAACAAGCTGCAGCCGGGCATCATGCGCCAATCCGCGGCCGCATACCTAGCCAGCTTCGTCGCCCGCGGCGCCCACATCTCTGGGGATGTCGTGCGGGACGTATTCGATCTCCTCCTCAGCCATCTCGACAAACTCCGCTCCGACTACGAAGGCAGCTGTCGCGGGCCCGACCTCCGCCGCTACGGGCCGTTCTACTCCACCGCGCAAGCTCTTCTCTACATCTTCTGCTTCCGGTGGCGCGACCTCACCACCGCCGCCGTGGACGGCGACAGCGCCGAACAAGTCGACGACCTAGAGCCGAGCCAAGTAACCTTCTCACCGAATATCAAGGAAGTGCTACACAAGGTGATCTACTCGCGCCTCAACCCGCTGAAAGTATGCTCGCCCAGCATCGTCACGGAATTCGCCCGCATCGCCCACCACTTCCAGTTCCTCTACGTCTATCCGCTCCTCGAGACAAACAAGCGTCTCCGCGTGACGGCCTACCGCAGCATCTCCACCCTCGCAGACCCGCGCTTCAGCGCAGTCGAGCGCGAGATCCGCGCTGGCGATAATATGGGCTACCAGCTCGATGCTTACTTCCCATTCGATCCGTACCATCTCCCGCGCAGTCGCCGCTGGCTGGATGGTGACTATGTCGAGTGGCGCGGGATCCCGGGTCTCGACGGGGCCGATGACTCGGATAGCGAGGCCGATGACGATGGTGAGGACGGTGCGGAGGATGATACTGAAACTGACGAGGACTGAAGAAGAAGATGAGGATTATTGGCCGTCATCTATATAAGCTGGTTTCTTGTCTCGATCTACTTTGTTTCTATCCGTTCTTTCAGCGTGGCGTTTGTGGTTTATTGTGTCAATGTTTTGTCTTGTTTCTACTACTGGGAGATCTTGATACCATGCTTCGATGACTGATGATGCTGTGATGTGATGTGAAGTGATACTGATGTCCTCTGTGTCTTATTATGACCATATGCTAGCTATGATGGTAGTTAGCGCGGGCATTACAAAATGGAATTCTTGCGTATAAAACTCAGTTCCCCTTTCAAGAGACATTGTACAACGTAAGCAAGAGCAAGGGTCGTTCATTGCATATAAACTAAATTGCATACAGCAAGACGATCTTGTGTCGTCTGATCGTGATTAAGCATAGAGTTCCCCAAGCTAATATCAAAGGAAGGCCTCGCCATACTCCTCGTCTTGTCTTGATTAAGCATAAAATCCCCCAAGCTACTATCAAAGAAAGTCCTCGCCATACTCCTCGTACTCGCGCATGAAATCCTCCACGCTGAACTTGTCTGCCATTCCCTTCTCCTTCAGAATGGTCTTTCCTGCCAGCAAGTATCCGTTCTTGAACTCCGCAAACACGGCTGGGCTCTTCTGGCAATTAGGGATGAAGTCCTGATTGTCGCCGGTGACCATGGCGCCTTTGAATGCTTGGTACACCACGTCCGGCTCCTCCTTGAGATCTACGACACTACACTGGCCGAAGTCCAGAAGATACATTCCAACTGCTCGGTGTTGGAAGTCCGGGAGAGTTGTTTCCGAGCCGATGGTCGACGTCCCCAGTACAAACTCCACGTCATCGCCGTTTATCCCAGCTCCCCAGTGCATGATTGCGAATGCCTTCCCCATCGCATTTGCAAGGCCGTTGACATCCATAGAAAGCCTTTCCATAGCCTTCAAGTAGAGACGGAAATTCCTCAATGGGGACTTTCCTTGCACGAAAGGCCCGTCTGTCTTTCCGAGATACACCCGTGCGAGGCAATGCTTGTTGGTCGTTTCATTCAGGATAGTTTCGATGTCCGCTGTGCTGCTGTCTCCCTGCTTGCCGTAAAAATGTGAGTGGCCAAAGCTTTCCGAGTGACTTTGGGTAGAGGAAGGATGCGTTCCATCTTCACAACGTCTCCGCGCGCACGATACTGTGGGGGGATTTTTGGCAGCACATCCCAGAATCGGTTGGCGTCGTCTGTCCTGGAAATAAACTCCAGAGGTTTCGGAACGCGGACGTGGCCGTGTATATTAGAGTCATAAAGAGCGAACGCGGTCGAGAGCTCCCAGTGCAGACGATACTCGTGGCGAAGATTTGATGAACGGGTTTCATTGCCCGGTATTTCCTTCTTGAATGCCAAAGGCTGTCCGACTTGTTCGAAAATTACTCCTTGAAGGCCATCGCCGATCTGGTTGACGTCCTGCAGCTCAGGGCGGATACCCGCTGCTTGGGCACGACGGGCAAAGGAAGAGGTTGTGGAAATGACCGACCTTAAGGTGAGGGAGCGGCCGAGGATGGTCGAATCGGGCAAGAGCTCAAGCTCTGTCGCGATCAAATATTGGAGGGCAACGTTCGCTTCGCGTGCGATGGATGGAACACCCGAGTTCGCAGACTCATCCTCAGCGTTGACGGCACGACAGTCAGGCATGGTGGTCGACGTGGCGTAGTGAGTATTGCTAGAGGAGGGAAAGCGGAAGGAGTGGAGGTGAAGAAGAAGGAAGTTGGCGAGGCAGCACCTGAACTACAAAATTGGGTGTAGTATAACTATAGAACCTTAGATAAGATCAGATAAGTGTATGTCAAGCTGATAAGCAACAACTTCTCTGCAGTTCCTCCCTCAAGCATGCTGTCGACGTCATGAATGCGTTTAATCAAGCCGTATCCCGTCATGCCTTGTTTTGGATATTCTTTGCCTCCGAAGAATGTGCTGCTACCTAAATTCAGGGGTTGCTGCGGATGCCGGGATGCGGGACCAGCCAATAATGGCTGATGCTGCTCAAGATCGTCAGATGCAGCGCGTAGGTGCTATTCTAGTACCTTTACTATTATGCCTTTGAAGAGTGTGGAATGGGAACATCGCATTAAATGATAATAGGATAATAATCGACCAGAAGAAGTTGCAAGCAATTCATATAGGATAATTTCAATAGACAACTGATGCTCTAGACCAACGCCGATAATGCTGCAGCCCAACTAACGCCTGAAAGTACACAGAAAAACAAGATATGCATAAAAGTCTGGATGGATGATCACCGCTGGAAAATGGCCTTCATGTCCCCACACGCATCGCGATACAGCACATCAATGCGGTCCTGGTCGCGGAACGGATTGGGCGATTTATCCCAAGCGTGTGGTACTTTTTCGATCATCATTGACCGCACCCGCTTCCCCAGTCCCTCTAGGCGTCGAACAAAGGACTGACCCTCTTTCATGAGCATGTCCCACTCGCAGATAAACAGATACACATCATGCGGCAGGGCTTCAGCGAGGCTGCGATCAGATGCATAGACAGGCGACGCAAAGGGGGAAACGCGGTCCGCGAGATCGGGCAGGTAGGATTCGTCGAAGAGATTGGTGAAGAACGTCGGGAGGGTCTTGTTGGGGTTGTTGCTCATGGCGCGGCGGTGGTCGCGCGACTCCTGGAAGTCGAGGATAGGATACCAGCAGAACAGCGCGACGATGCGCAGGTCGCTCGTCTGGTCGACAAGCCGCTGGGTGGATTCCGACCGTCCCAATTGCTCCTTGACCTGCGTCGACAGCCGATCGTGCAGTCGCAGCGGCACGGTGACAGCTAGATTGCCTCCGGCCGAGAACCCGCTCAGCGCCAAGCGGCTGATGTCAAGCCCGAGCTCGCCCGCGTGTGCGGCTAGATATAGTAGTGCTTCGACGCCGTCGTCCACGGCCGCGGGGAATCGGTGCTCCGGGGCGAGCCGGTAGTCAACGCTGACCACGACGGCGCCGACTTCTTGTACGACGCAGCAGGCCCAACGGCTGTCGTCCGTGGCGCAGCCGAGGGTGAAGCCGCCGCCGTGAAAATTGACTGCGACTGGGTACCGGTGGCCTAGCCGGCGCTGCTGGTTGTAGTCAGGCGGGCAATAAAAGTGGAGAACGACGGTGTGGCCGTGGGAGTCGGACTTGACAGTGCGGGTGAATTGGGGTCGGCGAGGACGCGGGGGAGCGAGGTCGTGCAGGAACATTCCGATGTTCATCAGGGAGCGCCAGATGACGGCCTGGAGTCGGAGCCACCAGCGTGAAACCATAGTCTTTTGGTGGTTGGGCCCAACGGCTGTATGAGTGGGATGGGCCCGAGAAGGCATTGTGTCGGGATCAAGTAATGGGACCAGAGAGGGAGAGAGAGGGAGAGGGAGAGACCGGGAGGGAGGGGAGGGATAGTCGGTTGTAAGATGATGTGGAAGAGAGTTCACGAGTGATTGATGTTGGTTGGCAAGAGCATCAGCCAAGACCGGTCGGTAGATAAGCAAGTACAGGAATCAACCAGCGGGCAGAATCCGGTAGGACGACCACCATGATGTCATCAGTGGAAGGGGATCTTCGAGTCAATAACTAAATGCATTGTTCCTCTTCTCACGAAATCGTTCAGTTTTCATAATCCGGCTGCTTCCGAGCAATCCATTCTTCCTCGTGGTGCTGGATTCCCCTTGCCGTTCGCAGCCAACCCTCTTCTCGGGACGACCCCTCGACTTCCGTGATTTCATTCTTCCACAAACAACCACTTCCCTTCTGCTATCCGCCCACCATGTCAATCAGGCGGGCCCTGTCCAAGGCCTTCCGCGGCTCGGGCGACCACGACGATGACTCCGGCTTAGGCATTCGCTCGACGATGTCGCCCAGGGCTCGCACCGCTCACTCCCCCTCTTCCCCCCGCCGCAGCATCCTGAGCAACTTCTTGCGCGACCGCGACTACGTCTCCTCATCCGACGATGTCTCCGATGACTCGTCCTCAACCGGCGCCCTCAGCAAGAACCAGCAGAAGCGATTGGTGCGTCAGCAGCGTCGCAGCGAACAGCGTAGCCGGCTCAGCGAGGAGCAGTTCTCCGAACCCGAGCCACGCCGGAAGACGGTGGAGATTGCCCGTGCGGCGGAAGAGGAGACCGCTGATATGAAGGCCCGATATGGCGAGCTGCCCCTCATGCAGTCGCAGGATCGCCCACGCGAAGACCGCACGCGGCTCGACGAGATCTCGGTCGCCATGGTCGGCAAAGAGGTTTTCTTTACGGCCCGGCTGCACGTCGTGCGCCGCCTCAGTTCGAAGCTGGTGTTCCTCGTCTTCCGCCAGCAGCTGCATACCTTCCAGGGTGTGCTGCACGAGAAGGAAGGGATCTCGTCCATGGTCATGATCCAATGGGCCGAGCACCTACGCGTGGGGTCCTTCGTCCGCGTCCGGGGTACTGTGCAAGCACCCGATGTGCCCGTGCTGGGCTGCAGCATTCACGATGTGGAATTGTCCGTTGAATCGCTGCATCTCCTGGTGCGGCGTGAGGAACCGGTCCCCTTCAGTGTCTACGAGGCCGAGATCCGCACCACCGAAGAGGAGAAGGCCGAGGGCCGCCGCAATCATATTCCCGATCGCACTCGTCTGGCAAATCGTCTGCTGGATCTACGGACTGCCACCTCGCAGTCTATCTTCCGACTCCAATCCGCCACCTGCAACCTGTTCCGCGCCGCTCTAGATGAGCGTGAATTCATCGAAATCCACACGCCCAAGCTGCAGGGCTCCGCCACCGAGTCCGGTGCCAGTGTCTTCCAGGTCAACTACTTCGGTCGGCCGGCATTCCTAGCCCAGTCACCGCAGCTAGCCAAGCAGATGGCTATTGCTGCCGATTTTGGCCGCGTCTATGAGATTGGTGCCGTCTTCCGCGCCGAGAACTCCAACACTCACCGCCACCTGACGGAGTATACGGGACTGGACATCGAGATGGCCATTGAAGAACACTACCACGAGATGCTGGAGACGCTTGATGCCACGATCAAAAACATTTTGAGCGGTATTTACACCAAGTACCGCCGGGAGGTTGATCTGGTCAAGTATCAGTTCCCCTCGGAGGATGTCGTGTGGTTGGAGAAGACACCGATCATCCGCTTCGCCGATGGTATCAAGATGCTCAACGAATCGGGCTGGAGAGACGAAGATGGCGAGGAGCTACCGCTCGATGAGGACTTGTCCACGCGCGACGAGGTGCGTCTGGGTGAGCTGGTCAAGGAAAAATTCGGTACCGACTACTACGTCCTGGATAAGTTCCCGCGCGGTGCTCGTCCCTTCTATACCATGCCCGACCCCGAAGATGACAACTACACCAACTCCTTCGATATGTTCATCCGCGGCCAGGAGATTGTGTCGGGTGGCCAACGTATCCATGACCCTCAAATGCTCGAGGAGAACATGCGCCGCGTCGGAATCAACCCGGACGACATGGAGGAGTACATGGAGGCTTTCCGCTGGGGTGCGCCGCCGCACGCAGGCGCTGGTGTTGGTCTGGAGCGCCTGCTGATGTTGCTGCTCAAGTTGGGTAACATCCGCCTCACCTCGCTCTTCTACCGCGATCCCAAGAGTCTGCCCGCAAAACCGCCTGTGCAGCAACTGCGCCACCCGGATTGCTCGACACTGGAGCCCTGGTGGAAGCGAGAAAAGACCGGCGGCCTGGCGAAGGATGAGAGTGAGCTGCAGCCTCTGGAGAAGCTGGTTGCCAACTACGGCGATGCCACGTCGACCTCCTGGTTCGATGACCGCTACAAGATCTGGCGTGACATGTCCACCGGTGCCGCCGTTGCCTACGTGCCCAGCTCCAGCAACTACGTGATCATTCCGGGCAATCCGGTCTGTGACACGAGCCAATACACGCGCACCATCACTCAGTTCCTGCAGTGGCTGCGCCGCGAGACCAAGTACAAACCGGTGTGGATCCTGTGCTCGCGCGAGGTTGAGACTATTCTCGGCGACCGTCTGGGCTGGCGCAGCTTATCATGTATCGCCGAGGAACGCGTTGACCCCCACGCGAACCTGGCCGCATCTGATGGTGAGATCTCCCGCAAGCTTCGCCGTGCCGAGACCGAGGGAATCAAGGTATCTTCCGTGAACCAAGGCGAGCTGCCGCCCGACGACGTGAAACAGAAGCTCGACGAACGCATCCAAGAGTGGCTAGCCAACCGCAAAGGCACGCAAGTGCATCTATCCGAAATCCGACCGTGGTGCGATTCCGAGCACCGCTGGTACTTCTGGGCAACCGACACGAACGGCAAAATTTGTGCCTTCGTGGCGCTAGCCATGCTGTCTCCCGACCATGGCATGCAGGTCAAATACAGTCTTGACTTCCCGGGCTCGCCCAACGGGGTCATCGAATACATCGTCACGAACGCCATCCAGACAGCCGCCAAGGCCGGCGTCAAGAGCCTCACCTTCGGCGCTGGCGCCACCAACCACCTCATCCCGGGTCACAACATGCACGGCGCCAAGGTCAAGATGCTGGAGCACACGTACGATACTCTGGCTAAGCAGTTCCACCTCGTGCGCAAGAGCGAGTTCCGCGCTAAGCTGGGCGCTACCGAAGACCCGCTGTATATCTCCTACCCGGCCCACGGCCTGGGATCTAAGGGTATCCGCGCCATCCTGAACTTCTTCGAGGATTAAGG